GCCAGACAAGAAATAGGCTGGCTCGCTTGGGKAGAGTTTCTCTTCGAGTCATGGCAATGCATGGCCTTATTCACTCAACCGGAAAGGTTGAAATCTCTCATGGACCAAGCGAGGCTCCGTCTTTTTTCATTTTCTAAGAGGTTCGGGGAAATATAAAAGGCAGCATGTCCGGTGAATATACTCGCGATTGAATCCCATGGCTTGGCAAGGKCCTGCTTTCGTCGACGGCGCTCGCCATCTCCTGCCTAGGTTGTCGATGGTATTCAGCCATCTGGCACTGAGTCATCGTCCATCAATTGACCAAGCCTCCAATCTGACCCCAGGTAGCCACGTTTTCTAGAACAATCGTGGAAGACGCGTGGCTTTGATTTAGATTGTTGTTTCACATCATGCAGTATCATGGCAATGACTGGTTCGACCAGATTCCAGATTTTGTAGGCCTCAGACGAAAAGACGAAAAGGGAAAATGGAAAATACCTATCGGAATTCTGGTCCAAAAGCCGTCAACCATACTCATCATGTCTTTTGACATGACATGACGGACTATCCTGACCAGTATCTTCCGACGCCCAGGTCAATTGCTGATGGCCACGGAATAATTCTCTTGTCTATGCACGAACCAAATATCGCGGAAACTCATGTATGTCATTCCAGACTGGGATAAAGCTCTCCTCTTTTTACCCTCTGCCTTCCCGTCTGCACCCCAAAATTTGGACCTTTGCTAGTAATGAAGTTGAGACTATTGATCGATGAGATGCAGATGACTTGCCGCGAAAGAAGAATCTTGACTCACTTTCTTCTTGCCAACTCTTTCAGTGCAACCATGGCATGACACCGCTTGTAGATCTGAATTCTGAAACATCTCCATAAAAACTGGTCATGAATCAGGTCTGGGACATATTGAATCGATACAAAGTAGGTTGATTGAAAACAGCGAACCATACAAATGACCCTTGCTCGTTTTCGGTATTGTGTATCACATTGAAACATGATGCCCCACAGGGAAAAGGTATCCATCCGCCACATGGCTGGTCAACTGTCTTGCGTCTGTAGCGGCCCTGTCTAGGGCCACGTATTGTATCAAAATGGATGGCTTGAATTATGGGTTTGAGTACATGGGCTATCGATTTATGATTTTCCATGCGTATTCAGCAGTTCAATGCTCATAAATTCACGAGAAGTTCATGATAAACCTTGTCCTTATCGCTTGGTGGCAACCCTTAAAATCTACAATCGCTATTTGCGACTAATCCGTCCTCTACTCGCCTATGTGCAATACTGATCGTCGTAGGGAGGGGTATTCTTGCATCGTAGCTGAATTACTATCTTCAATAGTTTTGAAATGGTCAGTGCGCGTTCCTTACATAGAGAGATACCAGGCAGTCATCTGGCCAGTCTTGCTTTGCACGTCCGCCACGGTTCGGTGGATATGAAAGTGCCGGAGGATTGAAACGCAGTCTGTAAGCTGGCTAACTTTTGCTCCGCTCCGATCTCCGCGTGCCAGAACTGTACATGTGTAAGGTGGTCAGGAACGATAAACCTAAATAGAAGACATTATTTGATTGGTAGGGATATGATAAGCCATAGGTAACATATGAACCTGCATCTTATGCTGTGATAGAGTTATTTGAGAATCATGATGAGACATGCTAATTGTATTGTCTATGCAATCAACCTTCACTGTGGTCGCGTTCTTTGTATGTGCACATGTATGCACGGCTAGTTCGTCTGTATTCAGCTTATTTTGACCATCAAAGAACAAAGATTGACAGATAGATATCCTCACGATCTTCCTTCAAAGAGTGGTTTGTCTGAAGATAGTACGAAGAATATTCTGCTTAGCGCATTTGACAGTCATGCATGATCCTGGTTAGTAAGATGACTCGACTCTCAACAACCAGTCCTAGCGCATTGATCCATGCACCTAGCGAAATTATAAGCGCGGCAAAGGATTTTTAGACTCTCGTCTGCAGAGCCAACTGCTCACCTGACAGACGGCGTGTTATACGTCTGTCACGATCAACTGTGGATCCTCTCAGCCTTGACAAGACTCCGATCTGGATACACTGACTCTCTCCACCGCTACTTGCGACGTAGCTGACTCTCTTCTACTTTTGAGATACATGCTTTGATCTCCAGTCATAAGAATCCGTGGTATGGATAAATATCCGTGTTATGGACATGATGTGAGAACAACAAAAGGGGCAATGCAAATCCTTGGCAGGGTCCAGCGGGACCTGCGATTAGTGCAATCAGTGCACTGCAAACAATCTCGGAAGAAACCGTGCGAATTAATTGACGAGCCTACTCATGTAATGCCTTGATTTGTCTGTCTGTCTAACAAAACGCCATATGACGATCAGCCCATTTGGAGAGCCAACCACGCTAGGAGGTGGTGGCACGGAAAATTCATGCTTCTAGAAGGATTTGGTCTCCTCCTGTCAAGTGTCACTTTGAAACGCCATGACTCTTTGAAATGTTTATTTCCGTTCTGGCTCTCGTCTTCTGAGTTTAGTGTGGGCCTTGTTGATATCACTTGTCCTCGAAAAATGTACAGGTAAGCAAGTCTCTTTAGACTTCGCCTCTTTCCTAATCGGGACCAGTCTCTGGGGAATTATTTTCCTTCGCTATAATTCCCCGAAAGTTAGATGATTACAGTTACCAGTTACTAGTGAGCTTGTAATACAGTTTCTCTCGCGCGGATGATCTGCCAGTCTAAGCGCTAAACTCCAAATGTCGGTGTCCTATTTCCCCCGGCAGTGGTCAGTGTGGTTGGCCGTGCGCTCAACGTGGTCGCTGTGCCTTAGCAGTTACCACTGATCCGAGACTAAATGGCAACAAGTTACGTACTAAAATACTAGTAATACTAGTAATACTGGTCAATACCGACTCCGTACTAGCTCCATCAACGTCAATGTGGATCCGAAAAGTGATCGGAATCTGGGGCGCGCAAACTCTATGCCGCGAATTGGCTTGGCTTAGCACTTTCAGTACGGTTGTCGTACCGATAGGCACGATACCGCGCTAGTAAGCTGTTATCTTGGTATTACAATAACCGGCCCAAGACGATAGCTTCCACTTGCAGTTTCTATCTCTCTTTCCACTCATTTGTAAGAATGTGTACCTGCTTTTACTTCCTCCAATCAATCCTCTCTCCCATCCGCCCAATCTATGCAATCCTGAAAGAGGCAAATGGCGGCACAAAATTGATCAGCAGCGGTCGCAATGTACTGTGGTACGTACGTACCGTGGTAGACACGGGATCCGCTAGTAAGCGGTCGAGATGCTCTAGTTCCACACTATGTATCCGTACCATGTAGTATCATGTACCTCCTACGCCGCATAGACGGCTCCGTAATTTTTCCTTGCCAGAGAATCAAATAGTCCATCTGACTTACTACCGTACGCTGTAGCGCAGATATGTACTAGAGAACACAGCCCAATTAGTCTGCTAACCAAACCTGGCTAGCTCTCTGATCAGGTCCACTTCCACTCACCAAAACCCAATTGGTGTCTTATGTTTTTTTGGGGGGAGGGGGTTTGGCAATTAGACTAGCTCACCTGCTCTCGACTGCGTCTAGCAGTCTAAGCAGGAAGCAAGCAAGCGCGAAATTAAACTGCTCTTTTGCCCCAATGCGGCTTGGCTAGCTCCAACACCCCATTTCCAAGTAACTAACCAGTTTCTATATGTAGAAGCCTAACTGCCAGAAATCGATTGTCCAATTTTATTTTAATTCCGTTCTGTTGTAAGGTTGAATCTTGGGTGTATCCATTTCCAGAACATTACCTCGTTTCACTCTCCATGTGAGACTGCAAGTGAGGTGTCTGTTCAATTGTTATCTGTCTATTCTGGGTACATCGCCCCAGACCTCTCCCCTCATCGTCCATCTGTCCAGGTACAGCACCTCATCTATTCCCCAGAATAGTTCACCACAGTCTACAACAAAGACACAGACCTCTGGTACTGCTCTACTGCTAAAATTAAGCTGAAAGCCGTCCCGCGCCATATGTCTGACAGCTCAGTTCGCAGTCTCAGCAACAAAGGTTAATGAAACATCCCATCGCCAAGCAGACAACACCTCAGATTTCCAACAAGGCACCATCTGACTGTGTTTCATTGCGCTTGCGAGCTATCTATTACTCCTTCCAGAAAGAGCAGTTTCAGTCGCAGTCTCTGGATCCATTTTTCAGCGGTCGTGGCGAGTAAGCTGGGCAATAGTGAGTTTTCCTCCGGCAGCTGCCCTCGTCAGTCAATGCTTTTCCCACTAGCGTTTGCTCTCTCTTTCCTTGTCCCCCTCCCCTCCTCCTCCCTCTTCTCCTCCACCACCAACCCTTTTCATTACCCTTTCCTTTCTTCCTTCATGCTTCATCTTTTGCCTCTCATCCTGCTTTATCTACCGCCGTCTGCTCTGTACAAATACAGACGGTTCTCTCTTTCTCTTCTTTCACATCTTCCTCCCATTCTCTCTTCTTTCCCCTCCAAGTCAGGCATTCTTATCATATCGTCCATCCTAATCATCTTTCTCACAGTCGGCTTGACTCAGCTTTCTTTCATATCAACAATCAGCTATTTTCCTCTGAAAGCTGCTCATTCGCAACACTAGATTACTGCTCAGTGATCTGGTGCCGAGCTATACAGCTTGTCCCTTACCTTGTCGTGTCGCAAACCAAACAATACTATCGACACCTGGTTCTTCGCGCTGTAATCAGCATTTTTCAGACACGATTGTCAGCAAATATCTGTTCGGCTCCAAGCAGTCGACTTAATCGCAATTGAATCACAAGAAGCAGAACCAGCCCTGAAGGCTAGGCCAATCGGAAATATCGCGCCTGTTCAGCATTGAACGACAAATCGTCCGAGTGGAGACATGACGACAAGCCCTACATCAAATTTCCTCCTCTCAAAACAGAGCAGTACCTCTTCCGATGCTCAATTGAACGGACAGCCAAACGACTATTCGCAACACTCGAACAATTCGACAGCCCCCCACAATTTGGCCATGTCTAGAATATCTTCGCTTCCCGTGAGTTCTTCTCGTGTCTTCCGATTGACTTGTCTCGACTGACATGCTTTGGTTAGTCCTATGTAGGATCACCTTCCTTCGCATCTGATGCAGGATCTCAACACTCGAGTCAAATTGACGATGCAGTAAGTAGCAATAGCCAACTGCCAAGAATGTGTGATTCCAGGATCTCAACTGACGCGTCTCGAGCCTCAATTTGAACCTATCGGCCATGGCAGTTCACCAGAGAATGGTATCCTGACCACTCGCAGTGGTAGAACTTTCAAATTCCCCCCTGCCTTGGGTCTCCGAACCATGGAAAACGAGAACAAAGTCCGAGTCTTGAAGACTCCGCGCGTGCGACGTCGTCCTAAGACAAAGGGCGAAAAACGACCACCCATAGACCTTCCGGCACCCTTGAGCCAGCTAACCGAGCACCTACACCACATTCCTATCAAGGATATGGAAGCCTGGGTCAATCGGTCAGCTGATGTTCGTCGTCAGGAGGCACAGAAGAAGGGCAAAATCGCACGGCCTATGAACTCCTTTATGATGTATCGATCTGCTTATGCGGACCGCGTAAAGGAGTGGTGCGTTCAGAACAACCACCAGGTCGTCTCACAGGTATCTGGGACCAGCTGGCCCAAGGAACCAGCCGAGGTTCGGGAAAAGTATGAGTTGCTGGCTTTGGTTGAAAGAGACAACCATCAAAAAGCGCATCCAGAGTACAAGTTTGCTCCGAACAAAACACAGACGCCGCCTCGTAAGAAGCGATCCAACAATGGCCACGTTAGTGATGTCGACGACTCTCGATATCGGCTTGGCTCTACCGCATCCCCAAATCCTCACAAGCTGATGAGGCTAAAGAGCGAATTTGACAGTCGTGAATCGACCCCATACGATCAGGACACTTTTTTCCCTGACCCCTATCCGGGTCGATGGCCGATACCTATCGGCCGACCTTTGCCATCGCGCATCATGGCCTCTCACGAGCAACAGCATCCTGGTGCATACCACATGACCATACATGGATCATTTCCAAACATGATCCGATCTTCCGACGACGGGCACGCTACTGCACGGCCCACCGGTTATGTTATCAACAATGGATACGGTACGCCCAGTAGTCTGGCTAGTATTCCAGGAAGCATCAACCAGGAACTGTTGCGTCCATACGGCAGCAACAGTAGCGCTGCCAGCACCTCCACTGCAAATAGTGGCAGCAACAGCCACAGTGATGGTTCTACTGTGACTCGCACGGATAGCAGCCAACTAGACCCACAACTATTGACTTCTCAGCAGGCTGGGCTTGACATGCGTTCATACAACCAAGTCAATATGTCTACAATTTGGCCTCATCAGGACCAGGATCTGGGCACCTACATGCCCATGAATGCTCCCATGGGAAACAATGGTATTCCATACGACGCATTGAACACCAGCTATACCATGCAATCTCTGGAAGAGGGACAGCAGGTATGGGCGCCATGTGCTGAAGATGAAGGAATCGGCGGTTCTGAGGTTGTTGGCAAAGACTTTGATCAGTGGATCCACCATCAGAACCACCAACCAGGCTTTGGTGGGCCACAGTGATACTAGATCTATCGATCTACCACTGTCAAGATGAGTTGACGAATATCACGACGACTCGGGATACTGGCGGCGATTCTCGATTGTTCAGTCGGGTTTGAGAAAGGAAAAAATATCCCTTTGGCTTGTTAGATGAGAGCACGGAATCCATCTACAATGCCTTTAATATCTCTTATTATTGATGCGATGTTACTAATGTGAGTATTTTTGCTTTTCCTCTTCCTTTTCCTTTTCCTTTTCCTTGGTTCGAGTTGTTGGTTTTTGATTTTCTCCAATTGGTTCTCTGTTACAATTTTCTTCACCTTACAACTTCTTTAATCAGCCTGTGTTGCATTTATGGTCAGGAGGCTTTCTGTCTATTTCCTCTCGTTATGGCATGCGTGTACCTTTGGGATAGGTCTTGGGAGGCAATCTGTTCGCGCAATCACGGACTTGTAGAGCTGTCTTAGACATTAGCCTCGGGGCACATCTTGATTTGTTGTTAGGTTTTTTCTGCTTGCGTGTAAGTACTTGGATATCAGACTGAGAATGGACAATGATTTAAACGTATTCTTTGGTTGCGGTGTAGATCAATCCGAGGACCATGGTAACTAATTTTGTAGGTTGGCTTAGGCTTTTGGCCCCTTGAGAAATCAGCTAGCCTTCTGCACAGGCATTAAACTAGTTATTATACAGAATAGTTTCATGCAAGTTCATTGTCTAGAGTCCGTATTATTTGTCGCGTAATGACTTGTTTCTGGCGAGGGTTATCACGGCCAATTGTCCTCTTCCCCGCGGCCAAGAAATGGGTACCTGAGGTTCTCCAAATCTCCGCACCAATTTAAATTGACCATCACGCGTTTCTATGGTTGATAGCATCACATACTGGTCAATCTTTATTCTTATATTGCCATTTTTTTAATAGTCGATCGAAATGTACGGCGAACTAGGCAACAAACTGGTATTTACCTTCTTCTTCCACCAAACTCCGTGGCCAACCTGAACCAGACTGACGCGAAAAAAAAAAACAGGTTCAACACGCGAAACGCACCCAATCCCTCGCCCATCTACCCCCTTACCAAACCGAAATCGTCCGCTCCGTAGCCCGCGAAGTGCGCGACCTCAACAACGATGTCGCGCATCACCTCGCGCCCTTTGAGAGCGTCGACGGAAGCCAACAATCCTCTTTCAACCCTTCCGCACAACCGGCCATTGCATGCGCGTTGCTAGTAGATCATTTATGCATGCGACGAAATAAGCGATGTCTCTTAGCGTACCATCGGGTCCGAGCGGAGAAGTTGGAGGAGATGTGTTGGAAGGGTATTGATGTGTTGGAGCAGCAGCAGCCTGTCAACTCTGCCGGTGTCGGTGGCGCTGGGGCCAACAATAATGGGAATAAGGAGCCTGCGACGGAAGAGAATAATGCGACTACGAATTTGTCAGGACAGAGCTCGCTGAGTCCCGAGGAAGAAGAATATTTCCGGCTATATAGCGAGATGCTGGCGGCGTATAAAGGGCAGTGGACTGATATTGATTTGACGGGCAGTCTGGAGCCGCCGAAGGATTTGTTCATTGATGTGCGAGTGTTGAAGGATGCGGGCGAGATTCAGACTGAATATGGGTACGCTTCTCTTTCACTCATTTATTGCTGGGTTGAAGATATGACTGACTTGAAGATAGGGCAATCAATCTCACCAAAAACAGTCAATTCTATGTCCGGCAAGGCGACGTCGAGCGCCTGATTGCGCAAGGGTATTTGCAGCGACTGAGCTGATATAACGCGATTATGTATATAGATATTTAGATACCCAAATAGTTACTCGTTTCATATGGAGGAAGTGTAGGATGCCTGAGGCCTCAAAATCTGCTAGGGTTCTCAGATTCGCTAGGGTAGCATTGGGCTGGCCAATCAGACACACAGAGTGGGCACAAAAATTCAACCGTCGTGCAGCTGCAGATAAGAATCGTTGCACGTAATTCTAGACTCGCCGGTGGAAAAAACCCTGCAGTGGCAACGACGATGTTGCATGATGAGCATTGTGAGACATCAATTGACTTTGGTGATTTATAAAAAAGAGAGAAAGTTTTCAATTGACAGAATATCTATCAACGACCAAATAGCTAACTACTACAGTAACTCAAGTCAACAATAAAAGAAGCGTTTATGTAAACAAGGCTTATCTGCCTCTTTCCTAAGGAACCCACAGTGGAGCCCGTTCCAAATTGGAGCAGTTCCTTCCTTCGTCCCTCACCCTCGTCATTGTCGCTTTTTCTTCCTTTCTCTTCTTCTTCTTCTTCTTCTTCAAGCTGCCCTGCGATGCTTCGAATTTAATCCCGTGTCGCCGAACACATGCCATGGCTGTCACCAAACCCTTGACCGAATCCAATTAGCCAATCCTCGACATGGACATCCGATTCGGCGGCCGCGGACGCAGCAATTCCCGCATATCCAGAAATGATGTGCTAGGTACTGACCGCAATCACCACGATAACACCATCACCGATCAAAATGACGCTTATGATGCTGCCAGTTCAACAAGTGAAGCGCCTTTTTCACCGACAATCACGAAATGGGATTCTGTACAGAGCTTGAGCAATGTCAAGACTCCTGCTCGCTCGTTCTATCATAGGGCCTTTCATGGGTCTTTAGGTTGGTTTCCTTTCGTCTTTTCAAATGACATGGAACTCGTCTGATTCGCAAAATAATGCAGATCCGGCGCAATATTCTTCTCATGGTGTCCGTGAACAGACTGCAGAGCTTGCTTCACTTGCCATCTCCGATGCAGAGAACAATTTGTCTGCCGCTTCTGCACCGCCTTTAAATGACTCTATACCGCCGGGTCTGGATATCTTCCGGCAGCAAGACGCAAGAAGACACAGGGTCAGTCATGGTTCTACTGACGGCGTCTCACGGCCAACCGCAAGCGACTTCGAGACGTCTGCTCGGTTTGAGCCGTCGTCAATGTCTTCTCCACCGCAGCTGTCGACTTCCAATCTAACGGCGATACTACGTAGCTCGCCGCCAAATACGAGCCAAACCAGACCAGAGACTAGTACGTCTACGAATGACTCCGACTCAAGAGGGGTCGACTCGTCTAGCAATGTGGACGAGGCACAGGACGAGAATCAGCCGGATGAAAGTACGGCACTCATCCGCAAGAGGACGCTCTCAAAGGGATACAACTATGGGACTACTGCAGGGGATATCGAAAGCCAACCTACTTATATTTACGATGGTCGAAAATCTTTCCTCCAGGAGGCATACTCTAGGTCCAAGAGAGTTTTCCATATCACCACCCATCCGAAGTCCTGGGACCGCCATGTCATATGGCAAGAGGGCATCGTACGTCCTTTCAGTCTTCTTCCTGCTGTCTTTCTAGGCCTTCTTCTCAATATACTCGACGCCTTGTCCTATGGCATGATTTTGTTCCCCCTTGGCGAAGCCATATTCTCCGACCTAGGCTCAGACGGAATATCCATCTTCTATATCAGTACAATTATCTCGCAATTGGTCTTCTCATCCGGAGCGTCTGTATTCAAAGGAGGGATTGGCAGTGAGATGATCGAGGTTGTGCCTTTCTTCCATAAGATGGCTTTTATGATTTTGAGCCGAGTCGGTGAAGATAATCCCCGAGCCGTGCTCGCGACAACCATTCTGTCCTTCTCGCTCAGCTCGATATTGACAGGTGTCGTTTTCTTTCTCATGGGCGTGTTCAAGCTAGGCTCGCTGATAGGATTTTTTCCTCGCCACATCTTGATCGGCTGCATTGGCGGTGTCGGGTGGTTTCTGGTCGCTACAGGAGTCGAGGTTTCTGCGCGGTTGCCAGGATCTTTGGAATATGATCTTGTAACATTGCGGCATCTTTTTCAGTTGGATACGCTGTTCCTTTGGACGGTACCACTTGCTCTTGCTATTATTCTACTCGTAGTGAAACGATTTGTAAAGTCCAATTTTCTGGTTGGAGGATACTTCATCTTGGTTGCTGTACTGTTTTATATTGTGAAGTTTATTGCACGCATTGATATGCAGACACTACGAGGGGGTGGATGGGTGTTTGAGCCGCCAGCAGCATCTAATCCGTGGTGGCATTTTTACACGCTTTACGGTAAGTTTTGGACCATACGCTCCATGTTTCTTTTCATCCAACTGATCTCGTATGCAGATTTTGACGTTGTCGACTGGCCCGCTCTTGTTGATACAATACCTGCCATGTTTGCACTAACGTTTTTTGGTGTTCTTCACGTTCCTATCAACGTCCCTGCTTTGGGAATATCTACTGGTGAAGACAATATTAGTGTCGACCGGGAGTTGATTGCACACGGTATTACAAACACATTATCAGGATCTGTGGGAAGTATACAGGTAGGTCTTAGGGCAACAGTGTACATGAATCATTGGCTAACCAGCATAGAACTACCTCGTGTACACCAACAGCCTGTTGTTCATAAACAGTGGCGGCGATTCGAGACTGGCAGGKATTATGCTGGCAGCAGCCACCGCTGGAATCATGGTCGTTGGGCCATCTATCATTGGCTACATCCCAATTCTTGTTGTTGGGGCATTGATCTTTATGCTCGGGATAGAGCTTATGGAAGAGGCGTTGGTAGACACGTGGGGCAAGCTACACCGATTAGAGTACCTGACCGTCGTTATCATCGTAGTGACGATGGGCGCCTGGGACTTTGTTATCGGAATTTTTGTTGGCATCATTCTAGCCTGTGTCAACTTCGTGGTACAAACTTCACGCAAGTCGGCGATTCGAGCTACGTATTCTGGCGAATTCACTTCGTCAACAGTGAGGCGACCTCCAATACAGCAGAAATTTTTGAAAGATGCCGGAAAGCAGACTTTGATCATCAAATTGTCTGKATTTTTGTTCTTCGGGACAATAGTCAAGGTCGAAACGACAGCGCGGGGTTTGATTGATGAAGAAGCTTTTACAAGACAGCCGATAAGGTTTTTGGTTCTAGACTTTTCACGTGTGAACGGTCTAGATTTTTCGGCTGCCGAAGCTTTGACGCGCATCAATCGGATACTAGGAAAAAGAAACGTGCAGGTCTTGATTTCTGGGTTAGACGTTGAAGGTGAAGTGGGCAGAAGTCTACAGAATGTAGGACTATTTGCCGATGAGGGTCAGGTTCAAATATTCGAGGACCTAAATTCAGCATTGGAATATTGCGAGAATGAGTACCTCAAGGTCTTCTACAATCGCAAGGAGGCGCTTACGGAACAGCAGCAATCGTCTAGGGCGTCTCTAGAAGTGCCTACAGGTACGGTAGCTGCTAATCAGCCATCATTCCTAGACCCATATAGCCATTCACCACGACGTAACTATCTTCAACAAGCGGCGCTTTCTACTCTCCGCGAAAACGAAACATCAGCGAGCATCACACAGAAATGGACCACATTCCGCCAACCTCTCCCGCTTTTACTCCAAACTTTTCACGATCTTACCACTTATCAATCTGAAGACTTTTGGTACCCAGCATGCGCATACTTCCGGCGTGAGGCTTATCCGAAGGACACAGTCCTATACTACGAAGGTGACGAACCAGAGATGTTCTACCTCCTTGAATCAGGCATGCTCCGCGCAGAATACGAGCTTCCCCAGGGCCGATACTCAGAACTCATCGTCGCCGGCCGGCCATGCGGAGAACTACCTTTCTTCGGCGGTACGCCGCGCACGGCAACCGTCAAAGTCGATCAGGATTGTGTAGCATGGTGTCTTGATCGGGAGCGCTGGACGGAACTCAGGGCTGACGAGCCCGAGATTGCGCAGGAATTATTGATGGTTACGCTCAAGTTGACTGCGGAGAGGATGGATAGTATTACATCCCATGTGCTTGCGATAGCCGGTTGATTTGTTTAATGTTGTAACATATGTATGTACCCTGAAGGGATGTGATGGGAGATGATTGTAGATAAAGACACAATCTAAGTGCCACGATAAGTACTAACTTATCTGGAGTTGAAATTCTTTTAAGTACTAGAGAAAGATGTAGACAAATCACATGAATTATTATTATCAGTATACTGATGATGATGACGATGACTGTCCGACTATAAAGATAGGTTATAGATGTAGGTATTGAAAACGAGCGACATGATATCAAAAGCAACACCGACAACGTACTAACTCGTCCCATTCACCAACACGGGGCGAAGGCAAAGGAGCAAGAATATCATGGTATCAAGCAAGCAAGCAAGCAAAGAAGACAAGAAAGAGTAAAAGCAAAGTGGTATCAATCTAGCAGATAGACAAGAGGTCAGACAAATGCACAACGGAGACACACGTCGAAATGAGATCCAAGATTTCATGTTGAAGTGCGTACTCGGGTATCGTTGCGAGACACTATTAATTTTTTTTGGGCTTTCGTGGTTGTCAAAGTCAAAGTGAGCTCAAGCAAAAGAAAAACAAAAAAGAACAATTATCGAAGAGAGAGAGAAAAATAGTGGGTATCATCATCTCGCCAACATTCCAACAGTCCTGTCAACAGTCCTGCACATTATTAAATTATTTTCATTTTCCAAAGGCAAGTAAGTACCAAATTGGAAATAGGAAAGAGTCAAAAGCGGGTATAGAACATCAAGTTGTCAGTTCGTCAGGCTGCAGATATGCCAGAACGAGTAGGGTGATCCCCGTCCCACCATTTTTCAAACTCCACTACGCTCGTTCTGGCGCTTCTCCTTCAAGCAGCAGCCTGGACAGGGGCCGCAGTGGGGGCGACGCTGACGGGCTCAGCGGCGACGACGGTCTCGTCAGCCTTCTCGATGGGAGCGGGAGCAGCAGCCTCCTCAGCAGGGGCGTCCTTGGCGATGGGCTCAGGCTTGTCTTCACCCTCGGGGATGGTCTCAGCGGGAGCAGCCTCCTTCTTCTTGTCGTCCTCGGACTTCACGGCCTTGCTGGGCTTGCGGAAGAGACCACCAAGCTTGTTGGTCTTCTTTCCCTCACCGTCAGAGGTGGACTCGGTCTTGGCCTTCTTGCCCAAGGTACCGAACAAAGAGGTACGACGCTTCTCGGGAGTGGTGGCTTCCTTCTTCTCCTCGGTGGCGGCCTCAGCAGCGGGGGTCTCAGAGGAAGAAGCAGCAGCAGCAGCAGCTTCAACAGCGGGAGCTTCGGTCACGCTCTCAGGCTCAATGGGCTTAACGGCGGTCTCGTCAACAGGGTTCTCGAGCTGAGGAGCAGTGCTTGCAACAGGGGCGACCTCCTCCTCGGTCTTCTCCTTGCTGGGGCTAGCGACCTTCTTGAAGAAGTCTCCGAAGATGGAAGCACGCTTGGTCTTAGCAGCAGGCTTGGCCTCCTCCTTCTCCTCCTCAGCAGGGGTCTCGGTAGCAGCAGCAGCCTCAACGGGAGCAGTCTCTTCAGTAGTGGCCTCAGCGGCGGGAGCCTCAGTGGTCTCAGCAGGAGCAGCAGTCTCAGCAACAGCCGTCTCCTCAGCAGGGGCAGCCTCGGTGGTGGCGGGAGCCTCTTCTTTGACCTCTTCCTTCTCCTTCTTGCCCAAGATGCTTCCGAAGATGGAGGCACGCTTGCGAGACTGGGAGCGGCTCTTCTTGTCCTCCTTCTTCTCCTCCTTCTTATCCTCAGCAGTAGCGGCCTCGGTTTCCTTAGCGTCCTTCTCAGGAGCCGGGGTAGCCTTGACGGCAGCAGCAACAACGGCAGGCTTGGTGATCTTCTCAAGCTCAGCCTTGTAGCCCTCGCTACCGGTGACGGTCTCCTTGTCAGCCTCAGCCTCGGCGGACTTGGTGTTCAAGGCAGAAACCCAACCGTCACGCTCAGCGGTAGAGGTAGCCTGGAAGACATGCTTGTGTCCGTGGGTTTTGAAAGAGAATTCGGTGGATCCTTCCTTGGCGATGTCGCTGACCTCAGACTATCGAGATGTTAGCATTGAATCAACTAGGACGAACCACGATAACTTACCAAGTTGAAGATTCCAGCAGGAGTGGCCTTGTCCTCGGCACGCTTGGTCAAGAAAAGGAGACCCTTGCCAGTCTGGGTGGCCCAGGCAGCGGTGCGCTGAGCAGCAGCAGAGCCCTTCTCAGAGGCGAGGTAAGAGGTCAAGTGCTTGGCCTCGACAGCATCCTCGGAGAAGTAGAAGAAGCGCTTGGTGAAGCGGAAGCTCCTATTGTGAACCAATCGCGTTAGTGAACCGTTACACAAATGATCCAATGTTCAAACAATTGCACTCACTTGACGAGACCAGGTCCCTTGTAGCCAAGAGTACCATCGGTAGCGGGAGTGACTTCTTCCTTGGCCTCCTCCTTGGGAGCCTCGACAGCAGCAGCTTCAGTGGTCTCAGCAGCAGGAGCCTCAGTGGCCTCGGTGGCGGGAGCGGCCTCAGCGGGAACTTCAGCAACAGGCTCGGTAATAGCAGGAGCAGGCTCAGCGACGGAGGTCTCGGCGACGGGAGCAACAGTCTCCTCGACGGGCTTGGTGACTTCAGCGGCAGACATTTTGATGGATATTAGGTGATGTAGATATAAGAATTATAAATCGAGTTCGGTTGAATAGAAGTTGGAAAAGTAACACTGAGCTCGCTGGCGAGGACAGGTGGGTATCACTTGTGATTTTGAGGAGGGGGGTATCTTTGGAAAGGGGGTATCTCAAAGGAAAATACAAGAGACGCAGAAGCAATAGCTATCAGACGACTCTGTTGGGGTATCACAATTAAAAGGGAAGCCGAGGGCTGGGAGAAGTTGCGAGATTAGAAGGTGATGCGAAGGATATGAGAGGAAAGAAGAAGAAGAGAAGAGAAGAGGCGGAAAAAAATAGAAGGAGGGAAGGACAAGAAAAAAGGCGTGTATAGCTGACCGGCCCGATTAGGCTTAGTGCAGAGCGAGATGAGGTAGGAGGAAGGAGGTCTCCCTCTCCCTGAGAAAGGGAAGGCGCTTGGACGGGACTAGGCGCACTGCGGCCCACCACGTACCACGTACGTATTAGGTAACCAGCCGTACGGTCACGATACATTCGTACCAGCATTCTGTCGACAAGGCACGGCAGGCAGTCATTTTGTTACCTGCTGGGCTGTCACGACCGGTAATGGACTAAGCCTAGCTGGATACTGGCGCCTGACGATCGTCTAGCCTGGCCCTGCAGTCCAATACATAGTGAGCTACCAGACAGCCTAACAGGAGAGCTCTCCACCACCACAGGCCATCCCCACTGCAGCTGCCGTTAGCTCCTTTTCCAGCACTTATTTTTTTTTCTGTTCCTTCTCGTTTTCCCCTTTTTGCGCTTGCATACTATGTTGTCACTAGCAGGCACGTACTCCGTAATTAGTCACAATCTAAGTTGTGGTTGCTCGTCATCGATCGGGCAGGCAGTCACTCGACAGGTATCACGCATCCGATATTCTGTCTGCTTGAGACGAGTAACGTTAAACGCAGTGCCTACTGTCATCTCTACAATGACGTTCCCTGGGCTGCATAAACAGACACGGCAATCAGGTGACGCTTATCTGGCCGACTCACGAGCCTCCGTAACCTGTTACATACCATACGGTGGAGTCGGTCCTGCTTTTATTTTCCGCAAGGGTGGTCTGTCCTCCCGACTACCTTAACTTGATTCTTCAGAATGCCACAAGGGATACGGGGTACAACGTCTGAACGACAGTATCGTACATAAACATGTACGGAGTATATAAACACATACAACACGTGGAACATGTCTGGTCGTCTCTGACTCTCCTAAAAGGCAGTCAACGATCTTGTCACAACTTACCGCTGGGTGTTGTTTGTGACGGTAACAGGGTAAGCTAGCGCCAAAGCCAAAATATCAGATGCCGTGTGGGCCACACCCAACCATGGAACGCTGCCAAAATAAAAAGGAGAACCTCTTCCTAGTCCTAACCCTAAGGAAGCCAAACACTCATATTTCCCTACTCTTCCCTACACACGAGAGACAATCATAGGCAGAAACCGGGACACAAGGCGTCGTGACTTGACTCTTGGCGATACTTTTCACTTTTCTAATTTTTTCCTGGCTATTGTTCCTGCTGTTTTGCATACGCGGGATGGACTCCCTGTGGCGATCGTACGATCTACAAGAATACGCAAATCCAGCCTGGGATGCCGTTATCTGTTACGAAATGCATGCAATAAGTCACCTTTTATAAGCCTTTTTCTGGTCAGCGTGCTAGTGTCCTTCCCGTTGCGGAAGGCGTCGAGCCTGGGATTGGAAGGATTCGCTGTTCATCTTCTGGCGATTCATGATGGAGGTGAGGTCTACTTCTAGTCACATGTCCGTCCTCGAGTCCGCCCTCGAGTCTTCGAAGGCTTGACCAAGATAACGCGATCTTTCTCTAGTGTACCGTGTAGCGTCTGGTTTTAATTGGCTAGTTTCAGATTTTCTGCACATCATTTTTTTTCTTCCAAGGTTTTGACTTTGTCTTTCGCCGACTCTTCGGTTAAGCCTTGACCGTCTTTTTGATTTGAATGGTCGTTGATGAACGGGTGACCCTACAGGGACTCCGAAACACAACAATCTCCTCCAAATTAGAGATCATCCTATCAAGATCAGCAGAAACGAATTAAATTTGCAACGTGTTGTAGGCTTGTAGCACCAGTGATGGGCGCATGACCGTTTGGCTAACTACCAACCGCAAATGATGTGATTCGCATTCAGGTCAACCTTGCAAGAAGTATGACTATCAGTCCACCGGCCGTCTGGTCCAACCACGGTGGCTTGATTGGGCCGTGCCGGATCCCGGCAATTGGTGCGATGGCTTGTGAGTACATCAAATCAGATTCTGCGGACGATAGGAAGTATGTATCACGAGTTGTCTGTGACCAAAAAAAACTTTTATGCATCTTTATCTAACTGTTGACTCGTACGAAGTTTGAAGTGTCAGCAGTACTTTCAGCTTCTCGAGGCATACTTCGTACTCCGTACTCGTACTCGAGTACCCATCTAGCATTAAGAAACAACAAGCCAGCACTTTCCCAAATGGTGTCTAGTCTCGATGAAACCCGCCAAGCACTGGCAATTTACAGTAAGAAGGAAAATGGTGTTTGTTCCGATTCGCTTAATGTAACCACTTGAACTAAGTTCTCAGGGTGCTCTTCGTATTTTTTTTCTTTTCTGACGAAACTCCACTGCGCTTGGTCAGTCTAGGAATAGAACGTAGTCTCGACTCCCTAGGCCAGATGACTCGCTGAACAGAATTTTTTGGTTCATCGGTCCGGAATCAGTAAAAGATACCTTGTGGTACTCGGCGGTTAAAGATGGTTAGTTTTGTCTCAGACGTTGACAATTGTCAGGGCTTTCTTGCATGTGATTGGCCAGTAAACGAATCGTAGCCTTGAGTTGACGTTATATCATCTTTGCTATATTCATACGTAATCATCCTTCTGCGTATCAAATTGAGTATTTTGCTGATTAAAGGTATGATTTGTTGTGCCGACCGGTAACTTAATGTACCACGTAGTACTGTACTGATAGATATCATATAATACTTGTTTCATCTTGAATGTTTCAGTTCGAAAAAGCAAAGGATAAATTGACAGGCGTTCTTCAATGCGTTGACCAATGGTTAAGCTGTCTTGAGAGGCAAGAAAGCTTGATACGTGTCTTGGCCCTTTGCTTTTTCTTTCGTCGACGTCGACTACATAGTGCGCTGTGCGTCTTGACCTCGACCAGGTTGTAGAGTGCACGGCTCGGAGCCTTATATCCTCTCTTTCTTGAAATTGAGATAGCACTAGCATAAATACCCATGTTACTTACTGACTTCTTCGAAGCGGTCGGTTGTTTTTTACAACAGAGATGTTTCTCAACGCCGAAGCTACCGCCATGTATAACAGCATAAGGACAATTTGACCTCATCAAATTACAAACACATGGATTCGTGGATGGAACGTTCCTTCTTTCCTGTCCCAGACGAGAAGATGTGTACTCGCCTACATGATCTTTTGGCGGATGTCCCTACCGTATCGAATAGGACACTGGACTTACCGGAAAAACTGATACACTGGAGTTGGACGAGCATCTATATTGATGTGAGGGTATGGGCATGACACTGGTCCTGGCGCTTTCACGACTTGTCGAGTGGTCCGTAGGTACAACCAGTGATCTATAGAAGAGTCTCATCATGGTGTAATATCACGGGGAATCCGTGATTTCGAGAAGATATTGAAATAGGTGGACGAGAAGCCAGCCGTGACACTGGGCGCCAAGCGAGTCGTAGACAAGTGTGCCATCGCATAGAGAGACTGATTGCTTCTAAGAGGATTTTTGCCATAGCCTTCAGCGTTTTAATTGCTTGCAGCCCATTTCATCTATGTAAAAGATCTCATATCATCGCATTTCTGCTAGGAAATAAGCGCTTCCGACGAAGTATGATGTTCAGAACATATTTTCCCCTTGGCAGTTGCCATGGTTCTGCTATAGTATTAAGCGTAGTAGAACACAATATCCTTGAATGGCCGCGGTATATGCTCCAGATGGCGAAAAGTGAGTATTCTGTCACTTACCATTACTGCTAACCTTGCAATGAAATCTCTGACAGAAAATGTCAGGTTCTCGTCTGTTAAACATCAATCTTCTGCTAGAGGAAATTACAGCAGATGCTGAGTGAAGCGAAAAATTCAGCGCTACTGAGAACACTGGACGTGCTCTGGATGGCTAGTGAGGCATAGTCATGAATGCAACAACACAGTCAAGCGACTGTCTGAAATGACTTTAAGCTGGCCGACGTCCATGTCAAATTGAGTCAAATGCAGGACTTAATGATAGTTGGGAATAAAATCTCCCCAAGGACGACCGCCTGCATCTAGTTCGTCTCCTCTGCTGCTCAAATTTGATACAATAGATGCGACAGCTCGACCACATGAAGCTAAACTCCGCCGTGTCGTGAAAATGGAACCGAAACAAGACCGCATCACAGCCGGCATATTCTTTGGAGCAGTCCTAGCATACACGGTAGACATCCAAGGGTTGAGGATTCAACCTAAATACTGGACCAATGCCAAATCAGAATATAGATAGAGGACTAGGGAGCGGGACAGCTTGCTTTGCAGCCTTCATTCAAATCAGCAATTGCTGAAGGTCCCAGAAGAGCCTCGTATTCTCTGACGTTATACTCGTGGTAGTGATTCCACCGCTAGGTATAAGGCTAGGATCTAAGATAGGTTATTTGCAACCATGGTGTTGACCTGCTATACCATGAATAGTCGCGAATATAGGCACCATACCCATAGTCTCCTTGACCAGACTGCCGGCCTGCATTGAAGATCGAAAGGCTATACGGCTCTTCAAGATGGATTCGGTCTCAAATAAGGAAGCCGAGAAATTTGCGCCAATATCACCTGGCCGTGGAATAGATCTAGCAGATTTGACATGATGAACCAGAGATTCGCTGCCAGCCTTGCATAGCCGAATCTGGGGAATCAAGATCCAAACAGTTCACAATGAGAAATGAGAAAATACCAAATCGATAGGAGACGCGCTAACGAGCGATGTGAACAGTAACGGACATTCAACATCACTGTCCACGATAAATCGTATTGAACGGGTTCGCGGAAACATGGATAATGGGAGCAGACAGCACGGAGCTTCTCCGTACTCAACTAAGCATACCGTCGTCGGCATGTGATTGAAGATGTCCGGATACTCGGCATAGAGACACAGACGACCGTCATGTTCAAACATGGGGCTTGCAAGCCCCAAGATGACTGCTGTCACTGTATCACGTAGTAATTCGGCTGTCAAATCAAGCAAGCGCCATTTTGGTCAGTCTCGACTCTGGCGGAGATTGGTTGAACGTCCGCGTTCCAGACTAGACTATTCCGGCTAGCTTGTCATCCATTGACTGTTTTGGTCGATAGTGCAACCTCTTGACTAGCTTACCGCCTGGTGTGCCTTCGATTGCCTTCAGGCCAGCTGGAAGACCAATAAAAGCCAGAAATTGAACGGTGAGCCAGCCGATGAACAGGATGATGATCTCGACGGCCTCCATTGTGCGCTAATTTGAAGTAACCTTTGCACCGCACGCCAAGCAAATAACATTCATTCGGCTCGTGATACCCGGTTGAAGCATGGTTGTTTCAACCCGTCTTTACACATTGCATCAAGTCGCTCGAATTCCACGGGTTTATATCGGAAACGTAATTGGCTAGTTGTTGCTTGCAGCGAACTGTAACATATTAACAACTGGTTTGTCTCTCGTATTTGAAAAGTTGCTCCAACTTTCTCGCTGAAATAAGCCTGAAATGGCCTCGATAATGTTAGCCCTAATCCTTTCTAACCGAATTAGTCCTAGGGCGGGGCCGTGCGGAACTCGTGCCGGAATCAATCTAACAGAAATCTATTCCGTATGCCACTTAAAGTGGTGGTGGCTATGCTCATCATGGATCAGCTAGCAAGCTAACCATAGGAATTGAGTAGTCCTCTACTCGAGATAGGGATGACTGTCCAAAAAAGCGAGATCAATTGGATATGTAGTTTTGTAGGGAGTAAAGAAACCATCATCGGCCCCAAAAAAAAACACGACAAATAATTTTTTAGAGTGGGGTGTCAACCTTTGTATTCCGTACTCTCTGAAGCATGTGCGTATACTCCGTAGTGGGCATGCAGTGGAGAATTTATTCCGGCCACAGTCCTTTTGTAGACCTGACGTCGGGGTCAAAGGAAGGAAAAGTCTGTTATCGGCTTCGGAGTTCGTTTCACGATCTGGACGCAACGCCGGCACTGGGAAGTGCAACAGGGTGGAGTGAGTCATCCCAAGTGCCTACGTCGTACGTACTCCATACATAAGTAGCCAAGGAATGTAGTGCCGGCTGCCAATCAGGGCCAGCAGCTGCAAGAGATCACGACCTGGCCGCATATGATCTGTTACTCATCCAGTAAGCAATCATCAAAGGATTCAAAAAGCGTGTTTCCGCACCGTAAAGAGTCTAGACACCGTACTACTACATAGTAGTAGACAGCAAGGATGGGAAATGGCGCAAGGGACGGAAAGAGGCACTAGGACGCGTGAGCCTCAGGCAGGTTTGTCGAAAGGCGTGCCAGACCGACGCGATGGAAGCTGCGGCTCGGGKTCTGGCCAATCACGACGCGCAAAGTCTATGACTCACTCGTAACGCCCCATGCGAAATGCAGGTCTAAGGCCAGACTTGTCTAGCGCACGCGTCATCCTCCCTGATTGGCCCAGTCCGCCCCCGGCGCGAGGCTGTCCGATGGCTCCCTGCCAACTCTGCCTTTTCGGAGTCTCTCTCTGGGCAAGTGCGGGTTTCCCTCGCAGAAACGGCACGTCCCTCGCTTACGCCTTAAGACTGGCCTGATTTCCCCCAAAGTTGGTGCCTGGATTTTCTCCTCTTCTTTTTCTCTCCTCTTTTCATACACATCATCCCATTCATCACACATCACAAAATTATTTTTCATCAAACAGAACAAGATACCGTGTATTCTTCCATAATGGCGGCCTTTTAAAAGTCTCGTCTCTTCAGACCCTCTGTCCCTGCTAAAGCGACAGACAACACCATAAATCCCTCTCGGATCCCCGTTGTCAATCTCCCCTCAACAATCCCAACTTCAGAGTCTCCCCTTTTTGGGTCTCTCTCAACCACCATTTCGTCCGACTTCACGTCGTTCACCACGGATAACCAACAGCAATCATGGCTTCCCAACCCCCCTCACCAGCAGCCTTTGGCGCAATTCCCGAATTTGAACAACAGCAACAACAACAACAAGAGCGATCTACATCAGGACTTCGTGCTCTACCCGCATCAGCAACCCTCTCGTCCGCCAGTCAATTCTTGGGACGAGCGTTCGCCAGCACCTCCGAGTGCCAGCCTTAATCAACCAACTGTGCAGAACCAATCTCTGGTCAACCGCCGACACACAGTTCAGTACAGCAGTGTCAACGTACACCAGCAGCAATACAAATCCGTTCAGCAAGTGAACAGATTGTTTCCACAGTCTACCGGGTCATTAATTCCTCCGTCCAGCTCTTTTCGGTACAGTCCATCGAGCCAGAAGCGTCTCGCGCACCGTCTTTACGCAGCTTCTGTGCCTTCAAATTCTCCGCTTGCAAACCGTCCACCGGTTCCTTTGTTTAACAGCACACAAAACACTCCAAACTACCAAAAAAATCAGCACAAAAGACATCAAATACGTCCCCAACAACATCGCAGAGTCATGTCTTCGTCCAATATCGCTCAAGGTAATTACTCACTCCACCTGCACCCCGCACCATGTCCAACTGAGTCAGTTCCCGACATTGACGCTAACAATTACCCTTTTCCTTTTACAGACTTCTCGCTAGATCTTTTTGATCTACCGACACAAAGCCCTCTGCTAGACGACTTGACCTCACCGATCTCGTCTATGATGGCTTCTCCACTTCCTGACAGCTTTTCTGCGTTTATGACGACGTCCTCGGCTCCTGTGCCCCCGGGTACAGTGTCGCCAAAGGACTTGATGTCGGGCCCTCCATCATCATTCTCCACTGAGCTTGGCACTCCTCAGTCCGCCTTTGACTCGCCTGCAGACTTGTCCTTTGGTCACTTTACATCACCCGTATATGTGGCCGATGGCGATCTTCCGGCCGACCACAATGACTGGAGCTCTCTCTTCCCAGATAGTCATGATATGTCTGAAGATTTCGACATGACACTTGCCACTTTTGCGCAGGAGAAGACTAGCAAACCTCGTCCTTCTACTGTCAGTATGTCGGCTGCTTCTCCGGAGTCTTACACTGATGGAGATGCTTCGTCGCCCAAGGCCAAGAACAAGCGCAATCTTCCCGATCCAAAGTTCGATCCTACTGACCCGGTCGCGGTCAAGCGTGCGCGAAATACGATGGCCGCGCGTAAGTCTCGTCGACGCAAATTAGAGAAGCAGGAGCAGTTGGAGGACCGGATCCGAGACCTCGAGGCAATGTTGGCCAAATCTGAAAAGGATGTCGAGTACTGGAAGGCTATGGCTCAAACCTCCATGACCGATGCTTGAGTGGCCAGTCTTGAATGACTCGAGTATTATTACGACAATTTTTAAAGTGTACCTTCCTTTTGATGGTCTTCTGTTGTGCAAAAGTTTGTTTTATTGCTATTTTGTATCTGTGCTTGTTATCATTGAATCGGCAGCCAGTGGCTACCTCGGTGGTGGGGGGCTGGGTATGCCTCACACCTGGGAGGAGTACCAGTTTGACTGAAAATCAGTCTCACAATGACGCTCCACAAGGCAAAAGTGTGTTTTTTATTTGCTTGTTATACATGATGAATGTCTGTTAGACATTTTATGTTTTCTCTTCCGGCGACCACTGCCCACTGGATTTACTCCATTTTGTCTGTTTCTATATTCTTTCTTTCGACTTGTACGTGCTTACGTGTTTTATATCATGGGTTTAGTCTTTGGTTTCTCTGTGCCGGTTCTGATGTCTCCTCGCTCATGCCTGGATTGACTCGTGGCCAGTTTGGTTTATTTTATCTTGAAATTAGCTTGCTAATCTAATCATCCTAATTTTAACGTTTTCTCATACGTATGATAAGTAATTTGAATGAAAAGTATGACTCGGCTTGACCCGTTAATTCCGAGGCTATGTATACTATCACTCAAACCGGGTAGCCAAAAGAAGCTCTTTGGTATACGCCGCCGCTACAGATGCAGCAAACCCTTGCCACTTATCATTCTTATGGGAGTCTGCATAGTCACAGATCCCTCGAATCACCAGGCATGGAAAAACGTTCATCAACCCTGCAGCTTCCATCTCCACGCATTGAGCACCGAATTCCTGGGCTAGCTCGTCTCGTAATTTGCTATTCTTCAAAAGCGTATTGGCAGACGCAATAGTTCCATAGTGAAATACTGGAACGTTATCGTCTCGAGGACATCGGGGGACGGTAGCCCTTGGGTCACAAGCATCGCAGTCCGTGGATCCTGCATCTACATGTTCGTAGTCGGAAAGGTAAAGGCGATCCTTTTGAGTCGGACGTGCGAAACCCGTGGCGTACTCGCCTAGTTTCTCGTTCATTGCAGCGACATGATCCATAACATGTCTCGCATGCGCAAGGTGCGTGGCTTGCATTCTACTAATCGTCCTATGGAGAATCGAAGGAGGACGATCAGACATGCCCATTCGTATCCGGCCATTACTCATTGCCTTGACAAAGTCATATTGCACAACACCCCCGTGTTTATCAGTAGGCTTACTGATCACCACATCCCCCAGTCGGATATCTGCATCTTTGCTTGGTACCCCTCCGCCAATGCCAACCATCAAACCTATATTGATTGCTGGGAAGCTGCGTTGTAGATGGGTAGCCGTTGCTGCTGCAGGAGCGAGTCCATAGCCTCCCGCAGGTAGACCAGCGATCACTACGTTATGTTTCCCAATCCTTCCCAAGGCATAGGTATTGTTGTCTCTTGGATCTGCCATCAGATCTTCGTGGACTTCGTCTAGGAGAGCTTGTGCTGCTGCCATTTCCGCGGGCAAGGCGCAAATCCAGGCGATTTTATAATCATTGTAGGATAAAATCTTCCTAATTGGTGTAGTCGATAGACTTAAGCGGGTTCGAAAAACGCTTATAACAAAGATAAGTGTTACAAGCAACCAACCAACCCATATAGCTGCGCTCATACTACTTCTTATAGGATGCTTGGATATAGGCAGCTGCACTAAGGATTGAGCCGTAGTTCTGACACAGGTGTAATATCCAAAGGGAGATAAGCGGAAATGATAAATGTTGAGATCCTGTAGAAAAATTATGATCCTATACTTATTTAAAAAGGCTCGCAACATTTGTCTTGTAACCGCCGAGTGAACCAGTCTGGCATCATACCGGCGCTTAGAGACTTTGCAGCACAGCCAATCGTCCCCCAAAACACAATACGTTTCATAACGATATATATATTGTTGAAACCTCTAATGCACATACTGGATGATCACCGTTCTTTTGGTCAACATATTTATGATCATGCTGGTAAAGGTCGAAAAATCGTAATAAATATGATGGGCGTCGGGTGACCTAGCCATAAGCCGTTTCAAGTGAATCAAATGTTCATTTCAACTGCTAGACTAAGGTACTCTCTTCACAATATTTACAGGCTGACATGTAGGCTTCTGCACCTTTGTGAACATCAATTGCTATCTGTGATCTCATTTTATTATCAACCTGTAACGCTCACCACCTTCACCGACGCCATCACGGCTACGGTCAAAGATTAAATTCCTCGGCCTAGCCTGTCTCCGCAAAAACTTGCACCATTGCTTCATCCAAGAATTGTAGATCGTCCTTGCTATCTGTGCAACCTCCACCCCAATGTCCCCAGACACTCGGAACCACGGCAAGTGTTCCCCTTCCAGTAACCATGTTCTCTACCTCAAACTGAGAGTCCTCCGGAGGGAAATACATGTCTGTCTCAACAGGGGCCACCACAACTCGACATTTAATGCTCTGCAGCGCCTTTTGTAGATCTCCACCAAACTCAGGGGCCCTAGAGATATCTCCAAGCTGCCAAGTCCGAAGCATAACAAGCAAATCATCCGGATCATTCTTGAGCCCCCAAGGCTCCCAGAAAGTTTGGAGAAACTCCTCTTCATCCTTGGCACCGAAAAATTTGGAGAAGAGTTTTTGTCGATACCAGGCTTGACTAAACCCCCAACCAGCATATACGCGTCCAAATGCTTTGAGACCAACTTCCCTCTGTTGCGGTGTCCAAGGCTCATTTGAGGGATATCGCTGACCTTTTCCTACCCCTAAACTCAGCCCTCCCCGAGCTGCAATCAAAGCACTTTTGACACCTTCCAGAAACACATTATTGTGTAGCGCATTCTTTGCCGAGGCACAGATGGGTACAACGACGTCCATGAAATCAGGATACTGGACAGCCCATTGATAAGCCTGAGCTCCGCCCATGGAGAAGCCCACCACGGCTTTAGCTTTTGTGAGGCCTAGTTTCTGTGTAACTAGAAGGTACTGGGCGCGCACATTGTCGGCAAAGGTGACGACTGGAAACGCATCTCGGAGATGTGGACTGTTGGATGGAGATGTGCTTTGGCCATTGCCGAAGAGTGCTGGGACGATGATGAAGTATTTTGATGGGTTGAGTGATTGGCGCGTGTCTGAGATTACTGAAGCTGTTTCGTGGATGACTATTGAGGAGTTAGCGATGTAATGACAAAGTCGATGGGTCAAGGCTACGTGCACGCAGTGTAAGAAGTTGGGTGGATAATTGCTGGGTTTTTGATGTCTCCAAATGTCTTGTATGCCAGAAAAGCTTGTGGTAGGATTTCTCCTGACTCTAGTTGAAAATCTCCCAGTTGGAACAGGTTGAAGTCATTCTTGTCGGGTGAGGAAGCCATTTTGATTATCTTTCGGTGCAGTCCAGATTTGTGAAAAGAATAAGAAGTTGGTCTCGCTGATTATAAGTAATGGGGGGTCATGCATCCATGGATAGCGAACAGTACCCCGCAACCTTGAAGATAACGGAATCGTATTAAATTGGAGATCGTACAGTAGTACGTGCATATTTATTATAGGGTAGCATGCAGTGGTTTCACTGCATATCGTACCCGATCTTGGAGATGGTCTCGATCATTCATGTTTAGAGCAATACACGAATGCGCTTCTTCGATTGGGCGTATAATCTAAAGCAAGAACAGTCTCATGACTACAAGGATGCTATTTAAGTTTAAGAATACGGTAAACTGATCTCTATAGACGAGCTGTTGTTCCACAGCAACCCTTCTCAGCATCATCCCCGACCAAAACGCTCTTGTTATCTGCTTGCGTAGAAATCGGTACATCCAGAGCCGGATTGCGCGTAAAGAAGTTGACAGGCTTCAAGGTGACCGTCATCTTTTCGACCGGCATAACCGGCCAATCTTCTACCCGAGGGTTATGGGTAGTACCAAAAGTATGCCATACCACAAGATCCTGATTTCGGACACTCTCCGGGTTGTCCCTGCGCGATTTGATCCACGTCGCAACTCCCGAACCAGTCGTTGACTGTAGCGTGTGCTCTCCGGCTGCGAAGAGCTCATCGTCATAGTGTCGAGTAACCCAGATCGGATAATCGCCGAATTCAGATCTGATGGAGTGATACGAAGATGGATGCGCAAGCAGCATTTGCGAATAGTGTGGTATGAGTTTGTAGCCCACCGGACCACCCGTGATGGGGTTTCTAATATTTTCGTTGACAATTTTGAATACACGGCCAACTCGATTATCTGTATCGAGGGGTGTTTCATTCTCGACAAATTCGTTTTTCGTAATATAGCCGACGTTGGTCATGCTTTTCAGGTCTTCGATTGGCATGGGATGAGATTCCTCCACCATAATCGAATTCTCGTATCCGTCAATTGCAGGATCAATGCGAAGGGAGAACAGGTGCTGGTGGTACGGAGCCATGACACCTGGAGCAACAACCGTTCCAAAAGGGACAGAAGTGTCCCTATCTATAAACGCTGTGCTGAGGATACCAGTTGCGCGTACTTCGTAGGATATTTCTGCTGCCTGGTTGAACTGAAACGCAAAAATATACTCGTAATTACTGACAGTGATGACAGTCTGGAGCACAAGCACACGAGATCGAGTGACAACCGCATTATCGGTTCGGTAGTTTGTGTGCTTCCACAGAATACCGTCGTCGATTTCGTGGCAGCAGACGACGTTTGACATCTTGGTAGGTACGCCTTCGTTGGTATGGTGCCAGAAATGGAAGTACTTGATATGACCCAAGCAATCGCATCCTATATTACCATTAGCTCAAGCCAACAAAGATACTTTGCTGGAGGGTAATACCGAGTCCGAGGTTGTTAGCGTTCACACCAGCACCATTGTTCCCAAAATCAAAGGCCGCCTTGCGAGGATAAGGAGCTCGCGGATCACCGTAAGGGACAAACATCTCGGAACTCGATAGTCGATGAAAAACCCTTCTGTTATCATACGTAACATCATGGATAACGAGACCCTCTCGATAATTGAAGCCAACTCGAAACCTCCACTTCTCCCACTTGATTAGGTTCCCACTGGTGTGGAATGATGGACCAAGTGGCTGAGAGACGGTCAATGGCTTGACTGTGGTTCTACGCTCCGTAGCCAAGTCTGGATGATATTCGCTGGTTGTGTGGATCTTGGCTCTATCGAAGGGCCTGAGTGTACTTGCGTCGGCGGTTATCATCTGGTCATTAACGCCCGAGGGGACTTTTAAGACCTGCATGACCTTCATTTCATCCGACAGCTCGGCAACGAACTCCAAGGGGAAGGCATAGTGATTGGCGTCCCCGTGTGGTGACAACTTCATATAGAAGAAGCACTATTTTCAACATCAGCATGCATTGTGATATGAAAGCGGAATTATCCTCTAACCATCACACAGCGCCGTGTCATATCATTCATGCCGTCAGGCGAATATGTCCATGGATCACAAACAACGACAGCCCCCTCAGGTAACTGCAGTGCCCTGATAGCAGCCTGAACTCGCGAATCGTCCAAACAAGCCCTCTCGCACTTTTTCATCTCCCCAGCATCGACGTATGCATGATGACCGTCCAGATCATTTATGTCTGTTACTTTCTTCTGTTCCAAATCAATTCGACCTCGGCGATATTGAGTTGCCTTATCGATATAGAAAAGCACTTGAGCGATACGTGGTGGGGGAGTAGGAAGTCGCTCTTTGAGTCTCTCTGCTTCGAGGTATGGAATGATTTCTTTCTTTGGGGGCTCCCATAGTGTGATCGCTCGGAAAATTAGATTATTACTGGGGAAGCTGTTGCGTACTATATGCGCAGCCTGGACCATATGTCAGTCAACTATTGAGAATCGCCTTAGCGTTGCGGTTTCTCACCAAGGAAATTTCCTGGGGTGTGAGAGGGTCGAGAGGGTGCACAGCTGCCATTGCTCTAGGAATCAGAGCTTGATATACCTGACGAGACAATGTGTTGAAAGCTTGGTTTCTCAATTGGCTTCCAAGGCTCTACGTGGGGATATGTATGTATATGTAGAGTGGAAGAATGTAGGTACCAAACGCCTGCTTGACTGATTACAAACCCCGCCTACGGAGATTTTTCCGTTGTCTCTTAAATCTAGATCATTTCCATCCTTATCTGCAGCCTACGTGCTGAGTTAGGCAATCCGAGTCAGTCAAAATTTAACTGCTTCTGGCAATTGGAGACGGCGGCCTTATCTAAGTTAGGGCTAATCGTGGAAGGCGTCGGCGATTCGGCGGCGTGGTTCAATCATTGTTGTCAACGCCAATGCCAACGCATGAGTGCTTCAAATCCATAGAAAACACAGATACAAAGGAGAAATTAACAGGCTCAAGGTCTGTCCAATCATTCAACTACAAACTACGCCTGCATTAAATGTCTATTCAGCTCAGAATTGCCTTTTAACAGATCATCGAGTCTCTTCGGTTGTAATCGCCCGTGCCATACTCTTACTTGTTCTTTTGTCTTTCGCTACGACATTCTGATTTCCTCTATTACAACTCAAGCATGGCAAGAGCACACATAGCGCATACCTCTTTTTGTCACCTTGATCATCCGACTCAATATATACAAAACGCCGAATTCGCTCCACTAGACGTGATGCATAATTCGATGACTTGCGAGAGACGAAACAGTGACAGAGCGGCTTTACAGAGAGCGTGGTCTGGCTTGAGTGTAGATAGAGGAGACAGGTGCACATAGATGGAAATAACTCCAGAAGTAGCAAGGAGATAATAGCAAGGGGAGTGAGACTCTCATAAGTATCTGTATTCCTGGTTGTCATCACCGCTGAATGTGAGTTCAATCTCCAGGCTTGTAGAACTATCGAGAAGAATGCGGAAAATTCCAGGGCAGTAAAATGTCTAGATTGTCTGAGTCCCCTTGCTCCTACCACTTTCCATCTTGGCTGTTCTAGAGCCAAATTGAATAGCACGTTTCTTCTCCTGTGCCGTCTGGACCATGCCCAGTTTGAGTGCGAGCAAGCGGAGAGCTTTCTTTTCAAAATCAAGACTTTCTGAGATTTGATCAAGCTCATCGTCCGATGCGGATTCTGATTTCGCTGTACCAAATCCACACCGCTCCCAGATAGGTGTCTGTGTGGCATACGAGACAAATTCTTCGTCAAGGAATGGGAAACGAGCTTCACGTCCCCAGTTTGATATGACACGATCATCACGGCCTAGATTCCGCTTGCCGAGACGACCAACATCTAGATCAATCTCATCAATGAGGCCTTGAAATCCTTTGCGAGCAAAAGCTATGCCATGGCGTCCATAGCCAGCAAAGAGCTCATCTGCACCTAGGCCAGACAGCAACACTCGTGCTACTGTTGTGTATGTTGTAATTTCGTCGCTACTATCGTTGGTGGCCACTTCGCCTTGCCCTCTAGAAGCAAAGTATAAAGCACATGCAATGGATAAATCCATCTCAGTATTGTGTGGCCGCATAAGCTGAATGACCTCTTCTCGATGCGCTGAAAACTCTCGGAATGGTATGTTGACAGCAACAAATTGCCACCCGCGATCTGGACAAACTTTTTGTAGCTCGGCATGCGCAGCCCGACCCGTGATGCGGTCTGGGCAGCTCTCATAAATCGATGGCATTTGTTCTTTTCCATTCTCTTTTTCGTGCTTGGCCTTTAGAGCGGCTGCGACGCGAGGGTTCTCAAAAGCGACATTGATCAAGTCAATACTCTCGTCCTTTGGAAGCGCGTCATGCGCAAGCCTGGCGAGCAACGTACAATCCAAGCCGCCAGAAAATAACACCGCAACCTTGGCGTCAACTCCAGGAGATCCGCATCCTAATTGCGGTATATTTCGGATGCGGATTACTACCGACTGACGGAGTTGATCTTCCAGGGTTTGAATACAAGGAGAGTATAAAGATAAAGATGGTGGATCTTTGCTCGGCAACGTTCTATTCATGGGGGCGACTGGATTTTTCAAACGCGGAGCATTCACTGATTCCTGTGACCATGGAATAATTTCCACTTGGTATGACATTCTAAGTGTGTCATCAGGCGCGTCTTCCGAAAGTGAAATCCGCGAAAGGTCAATCATATGAAGCCCGTCAGTCTCCACTTCCTCAAAGGCAGCACCTGACGATCCGTCACAGACACTGCATATTCTGAGATTTCCATAGTTGTCTTGACCATGAAGTAAGGATCTTCTCCCGAGACAATCTCGGCTAAAATATAGTCTGCGATGAAGTCCATCGTAGAACACAAAGGAAAATGGACCTGTAATGTTGCCAATTATGTTTGTTAGTCTAGAAACAGAGTTATTCAATCTGATTTCTTCCGTTTCACCAGCATCATGGTGATCTCCGAGAGCTTCGATGAACTTCTGGAAAACTAGTTCTGTATCATTTCCATCAACGAGTTCGCCGTTGATTTTCCATGCTTCGCCGTTCCAGCAGAGGACAGAGTTACTGTCACCATCCACAAGCGGCTGACTGGCAACGTGATCGCCTCGTAAAGCAAGAACCGATGAAATAAAAGTGAGATATATGGTCTTTGGAGCGGTTGTCGATACTGCAGCATCATTGAGACTCTCTAGCTTAAGTAGATGACTGTAGTAATTATCCGGTCCCCGATTTCGAAGCCATGTTGCGGTCTTTTCTTGAGGCAACACATGCTCGGATGCACTCAAAGAGAAGAATATGCCGCACATAACAGGTCGACTGGCAGGCAGAGAGGAAGCTTCGAAGGTTGACGAGAAGAAAGAAAGTGAAATTGTTTATCCGGAAGGCACTGGGGCGGCAGGTTGCGGCAGAATGATAAGCAGGCGCAGATTGCGGGATGGGCGCCTGAGTAGATGGCGCCTTAAATTACGATTCTATTTTTAAACGAGATATATTGTGGGAAAGTGTCCATGTCAAGCTGTCTTAGCTCGGAGACTTGCAAATATACAGGTTGACACAGAAACAGCATGCTGCACGAACACATGAACTGATCTCGCGACGATTACAGGAGTAATCTTGAACTGCTCGCTGAGGCGGGGACAAGCTCCATGTCCGCTTCAGATAAACCTCGGTCTTTACTATCGAACGAGGATGCCAAGCTMAAAGACTSGAGCCATGACAATATACAGGAGCCAGTAACCGCAAATCTCGAGAGTATTGAATCTGCGAACGCCGTCAGTATGGCCGAACCGGAGACCAGTCAGCCAGAGCTCCTACACATCGATCCTTCTCCTATGGACGAGCCAGCGGCTGAGAGCAGCGCAAGCACACACAACACTAACACGGAGCGATTACAAGAGTTATCACTATCATCGAAAAAACCAGATACGCTCAGTGTTGAAACTCAAATCGACTCACCGCCTCCACCTCCACTAAAAGACGACGCGTACATTGATCCTACACCAAAGACTCCTCAAGCACCCCGTTCCCCCATGGGCATGCCATCCGAATATACCGAGAAAGAACTCCCAAGCGTGCCTCAAGATGAGCAGCTCGAAGATCGAAAGGAAGATGTCGGAGCCAACGATGACGACCAGTCAGAGATTCAGAGCATAATGGAACAATTTTCAGATGAAATGAAAGGGCCCAATGAGACAGAAATCATGTCGCCACGTTTAGAAATTGCAGAGCATTTTCAGAGCCAATTTCCGCAACGCAAATCGAGTCTTGAGCCACTTCCGCAGAGCGCAAGCAATTACCCGACATCCTCTGGCCCATCTTCCGTACCATCACCTATTATCGTGCCCAAATCCGCGCCAAACGCCGGAACCGATGTACCCGATACTCCGCAGTCGACATCTTCGAGAACAGGGCTTCCTCCCCCTGAGCCAGAGCCGGATCAACCGTTTGATTTCCATCGATTCCTTGAGCAGTTGCGTCACCGAACCGCAGACCCAGTCGCCAAGTTTCTACGCTCCTTTTTGACGGAGTTTGGTAAGAAGCAGTGGCTGGTTCATGAACAAGTGAAAATCATCAGCGACTTCTTAGCTTTCATAACGAACAAGATGGCTCAGTGTGAGGTCTGGAGGCACGTTTCAGATGCGGAGTTCGATAATGCCAAGGAAGGGATGGAGAAATTGGTTATGAACAGGCTTTACAGTCAGACCTTCTCACCAGCCATCCCACCTCCTCCGTCTGTGCCCCGAAGTGCGAGCAGGAGCAAACGCAAAGAGTTGGAAAGAATCCATGGGCCAGGTCGACGGGGCCAGCATCAAGAAGATGTTGAGCGCGATGAAATATTGGCCCAGAAGATACGGATATATAGTTGGATAAGACCCGAACATCTAGATATCCCGTCACTCGGTAACAATGGCCGCCGATTTATCAACCTTGCACAACAAGGTAGGTTCTGCAATCGTCTCATTGGGGCCTAAGACTAACCGGGCACGATAGAATTGAGCAAAATCAAAGGTTACAGAGCGCCACGAGATAAGGTGATTTGTATTTTGAATTGTTGTAAGGTCATTTTTGGTAAGTTCCGTTTTATGCGACTACTGAAGAAGACTTGAATACTCATGATGCTCGATCTAGGACTGCTGAAGCATTCCAAGAATCCCGATACCTCGGCAGATTCATTCGTTCCCATCTTGATTTACGTTGTTCTGAAAGCGAACCCTGAACATCTCGTTTCCAATGTGCAGTATATTCTACGCTTCCGCAATCAAGACAAACTTGGAGGAGAAGCAGGTTATTACCTGTCTTCTTTGGTAAGGACTTGCTATCGATACCTGCTGATTAAGATCTGACTCGTTATAGTCTGGCGCTATACAATTTATTGAAACCCTTGACCGGACGAGTTTGACAGTTAGTGACGAGGAGTTCGAGAAGAATGTAGAGGCCGCCGTTTCTGCTATTGCGCAGGAGAACATGAAAGCCGAATCGGAAACGTCAAGCACCCAGGCTACTCCGCGCGTATCGGCCGATACTGAAAGACTTTCACAAAGACGGGACGTCGGACCTCCTACCACAAATGAAGATGAGAATGCCCCTGTCACAGGACTACTTCGAACGATTCAGAAACCGCTCTCCTCAATCGGTCGGATATTTTCGGAGGATTCAGAAGTCGACAGGAGACCTCAACAGAGCAGCGCAAATGCACCACCATTACCCGAACGGGGACCTGCTGCAGCACAAGCTGGCAATGAGCGTATTGATGCCCAGGAAGCAGCAGCTCGGCAAGCAAGCGCAGAAGCAGCAGAGGCTCGGAGGATACAACGAGTAGAGCATAGAGACGTGGTAGAGTAGGTTATTAATGGCCGCTTGTGCTTCATTCCATACTAACATGGTGGCAGGACTTTGTCAGGCATGTTCCCGAACTTAGATAAAGACATCATTGACGATGTTGTACGGATGAAGGAGGGAAGGTACGTTGAACCACCTTGATTGTGTGACCATGTCAAAGAGCAATGACTGATTTGTTTATAGAGTCGGACTGGCAGTGGATGCTTGCCTCGCACTGAGTAGTACGGAATAGAGGAGTAACTTGGCTGATCGATATGACTACCAAATGATGAATCTTGCACATAATAATGACGACTACAATAATTAGCGAGTCCATAGATACTTAGCATTAGCATGATAGCATAATGAGTGTTGTTCTGAAGGTCTGATCTTAGGAGCTAAACAATGAAATGTATAACAAACAGTGCAAACATGCCAAGCATGCAAGCACAAGGCAAACTGATCAAACAGCTGTTGCCTAGCCGAACGCCAGCCAATCACAAACTCTGGCTGCGCAAGATCACTCCCTCGCTTAACTAGCCCAAAGTAGCACTAGCGTCTCTCCCGTGGTCTATATAAACAGGTGTTCCCCCCCAACATCTGTAGTCTTTTTCTTCTTCTTTCTTTTCTTCATACTTACCTTGTTTGGGTGACTGCGATCAAGAAGGCGGTTCACCACAGATTGGTCCCTGCATTGCACAGCGCGGAGGAACAGTTTGTCCAACGGCCTTCGGGTCATTGGCAGGCGTATTCTTTGGCACCTTCCACTACGTGGTACTTTTCTTTTCATCAAGGCTCGGCTATATGCTGGGTATTGGAGAAGAGACCGTAGCTAGCGATAGTATTATAATAACTGTTTCATCCGCTATGACTGTTATATACTACAATATTGTCCGTGTAGGCCAGAATCCTCCTGTAATGCTGTTAGTGCCACGCGAGCTCTAGCAAGTGACGTCTTTGCCACGAATCGCGACGCCACCTCCAGGCACTTTATTTAACGAGCCTCATCTTGACTTCTCATGTCAATCCTGTGAAAGGATACTTCATCTTTCTCCATTATCAAGCTACAAACTACTTCAAACTGCTCAACTTCCTCCTACACTACCTATCTCACCCAAAATGCCCGTCAGCTTCGCCTCCGCCTCCGATAAACAACCCACCTCCCAAAACCCATCCGAGGTACGCTCCACAGGCAACGCAGGCGCCGCCTCCCTCGAAGCCACCAACTACCTCCAACAAAATGAAATAGGCGCTCGCACACACATCGATGCCTCGAGCGATGGCGTCGTCTCTGCTCCGCACTCCCAACAGCCCGCCTTGCCATCGGGAAATGCACCCAGTGCGCGCCAGTTGACGAAGGACGAGGCCGATCGGTTGTATGAGGAGAATATCGAGGATGAATATGCAAAGCGCGAGGGTGGTGCTTGAGTTCTTGCAATAGTGGTAAATAAGTGATATATGTGTATGATACCAATGTAATGAAGTTCTCTGCTCGTTTATTTGGTCATTGTAGCTACAGATAATATGTAATAATGTCTTGTCTACTCTTTCATTGCTTGACTCAGTGAGCCGCGACAACGATTTCATTAAGATAGTGATACTATACATTTTGGTGACTTCTTACTCAATTAAGCTGTCCGATCTCTTCATGAAATTCGCCCAGCTTCGCCTTGTAAATAGTTGATATTGGAGTTTAAGTAGTTTGGCCGGTTTAATACGACTAAGTATTCTATGACTATGTAGAATTATGTCTTTAAGTGACCCTAGGTTTTTATCATCTTCGTAGGGATCGATTCAAATTTGAGCTTGCGTTTTTCACCGAGGGCGACATTTCACCCATCTCCTTGATCTGCTCTGAACCCGTGTCCTGGTTTTTCTGGTCTTATTCAAGGCGTGCCATCATGAGACGCTTTTTATTTCGTTGCTCCAGTAACATTAGCTGCATTTTGTAATCCTGATCTGCACTTGATAAGATGGTTGTGCCTGTGCTGGGACCATTAGTAGGCTGTGAGATGCTCGTTTGCGCTGATAGAGACTGGCTAGTTCTTATAGTCGACTGACGGTTTGCCAAATCACGGCGCTCTTGGGCAGCAAGGAGTGCCAACTCTTCTCGGGTCCTCTGATCCATTGCTCTTGTATTTGAAGTCGTCTTGCGTGCTGATTGTCAGGTTGTTGTTGTTGTCCGTCCACACTAGACCGTCGAGACTGTATCAAGCCCGTTTATTACTTCTTCCCGAGTTGGGGTTGTTGTGAATGCGCGAGTGACGAGTCAATTCATCTGAACGACTGAACCGTTTCGTGCAGCCTGGAAATTGACAGGCATGAGATTTCTCGCTAGTGTGAGTACGGATGTGACGAGTTTGGTGCTCTAGACGATGAAAAGCACGATCACAAAAAGGACACTTATAGGGGCGTGGAAGATCCTGTCGCATCTTCTCTGTGGTAGAATGGGTACCTTTCATGAGCGGTGGGAATAGATTAACAGAAGAAGCCATTTCCTTGTCTAAATTGGAGTCTATGCCGGTGGTAGTAGATGATAAAGAGGTATTATTTGTTGATTTAAGCGAGTTGGACTGTGGGTTCAGCAGATTGGAGAACCCCACTGACGAAGCTGACGGTGATATGTGAAGAGCCTGGCTGATGTCGAGTTTAGATAGTGAGCTGGAAAAGTAGTCAGGAGCCCTTGATAGACCTTCATGCCCCATAATCTGACTCAAACTGTGACTGCGCTCTCGGCTCCTTGAAGGCAGCGCTATATCAGAACGGATATGCATTCCGTTAGACTTTTCATTTTTCTTATTAAGATATCGCAGTTTGGCAACGTTGTGGTCCTCTTTTCCAGATAAGTCCTCAGATATAGTGGCTTTGACAACAATCCTTGCTTTGTTCGTGCGGTCGGAGTGCAAAGTACGATCCATTCCTTTGTATAACCTAGCTTTTATTTTGATGTACCCAAATGTTCGATATTCTTCGCGTCAAAGGCTTTATCTCAACCAGGTGGAATCAATCAACGCCAGGCGACCGAGTCGTATACGGGAGGAAGCCGATGGGAAGGAGAGATGGCTAGACAGTGTCGCCGATATCGATGTATTCGCTACCTTGTTAGAGTAGACAGACAAAAAATATGATGTATGAGGCTCAGGGTAACTCGGTCGCTTCATTCCATGTGTGTAAGGGTAGACACCGTGGTTGTCAACAACATGAAGGTTTCAACATTGGGAGCTTTGTGTACCTCCAACGACTTGTGCAAGTAGTAACCAGGTTTAAGCTTTGAAATCTGAGCCTGGTCCCCATAAGCGCATTGAAATTGATTACAGTAATTGTGACATCGAAGAGTAGTTCGAGAAACAGAAGATGAGTAGATTGGGATTCAGTGCCTCATTCGGCCCAACAAGGCTGTGTATTATGCGACCGCCACTGGACGATTGATCAAGTGACCACACACCAGAAAAGCAATGCCTCTCACAGGGAGCACGATCATTGGTGGAGCATTGTAGGGAGACTTTGAACGTATCAATGATGGTTCTTATCTGTGCTATTTGACCACTATTTCTTTTGTTCGTATGCATCTTCATAATAATCCATGAATGTGATGGAAGCTAAGATGAACGACGACATGTTTCGTTGGTTTTTCTTCGACAACAAGCCCGACATTGTGAACCCTCCGTATCGCTGAGAGGTTATCTGGTATTCAACGACATGGATGAAGAGAGCCCCAGGTCCTAACAAGATATCTCAATATGTATGTTTAACGTTGCCAAAATTGACCGAGTATTACTCACTAGCGCAACAAAGGTTAAACGTTAGATTAGCAGGTGCCATCAGTTGACGCAGTATCTACATGATACTCGCTCAGTTTTGTCTTCTTTTTAAAATGATTGATCACTTTCGATGCTATCTTGGCTTACTATAGAGTACCTATTGTAAATAGCACATGTGACGATCCTCGCAGAAGTTGACTTGAGTTCAAGTGGTAAGACCGCATGGTAATCTTGATTTCGCAATGTTACTGATCGTTGTAGTATTAGCAAGATACGCAAATTTTCTTCAACTATGGCATGTTCAAATACAGCTCGTCCCCGCGATTTTCCCCGGATATGACGCGAATCCTCCAAAATTTACCTGGCCATGAGGCAAAAAAGTGACCCATCAACTTTGCCATCAACTACGAAGAAGGAACATAGGAAAGCCCACATCTAGGCGACGCTACACGATACTCCCGTACAGGAGTGAGTAGTGCACCGCCAGAGAGTGAGCGAGGCCTTATGCAAGAGGGTAAATACGAGTGCGGTACACGGGTTGAAGTTTTGACGCCTCCTACGTATATTCAAGGAGTTTGACATTCCATACAGTGTTTTCCTACCGTCCGAGGCTTTACTGGTGAATCCTATTCTGGCAGGAAAACCGAAAACGGAGAACTGTGAGCTTGTATCGCACTGCACGAGGTCTATCACTCGCCCAAATCTTTTTGAAGAGATGGAAATGGCCGATCTTCGCCAATGTATTGATCAGACCTTGGAGCTCATCGGTAAGCGGATCTCGGGTGCCTTTCCAAGACCACCTATTACAAAAAACAGCCGTCGCATCATGGCTGAGGAAGGTTTGTTGTATGACCCAGCTACCGCCTGTAACGACCGCCCTCATTTTGCCAATGTATCTGGCCGGCCCATACTGAGTCTACCTTACGCTATGGACACCAACGATTTCTGAGGTGGTCAATCCGGTTCAGTATACACTGGATCTACGGATTTCTTGACTATGAGACAGACGCTTTGATGTGTTGTATCGCGGACCCAGACAGGAGTGCACATGCCGAGGTAGTCTACTGCAAGCAAAGCATCGATGGTTACGAGGCTAGTAAACCTCCATGGGCTGACAGATTGGCAAGAGAGGCGATAGCGCCCGGTTTATCTTCGTGGCTGGCGAGCTTGACGGCACAATGCCAGAAGAGTCAAGACAGCTTGCAGAGAGAGCAGGTGGCTCTATGGTCATAATTGTGCCCAAGTCATGGCATATTTTGAACATTCAATTACCAAACGAGTTTCACGACATATTGCGGATAGTAGGTTAGCTATAGTGGCCCAAGCAGAGCTTAATGATGTCGTAGGACGCGAGTACGACGTATGGAATGCCGGTTTACTGGAACAATAATGTTCCGGGAAAGTACTAAAGAGCATGTAGGGCTAGGGTTGGTATTAAGTCACGTGACTAAAGACAAGACAAAGGTCGCCTCGGGACATATTCCGGGCAATGTCCTTTTCATTGATCACTATACTGGTCAGCCATCCACAGATGTGCCGATTGATTCTTAATTAAGGGATTAGTGTACCATCCAACAGCGCCTAAAATCAGACTCGGGGGGCCGGATTTCAGCGGTGTCATATCAGATTCATCCGAGAATCTAGTGGTTGGCTAGTGATTGAGTGGGCCTGCTAAGACTTGATCGAGGGCTATCAATGTTACATCTCAACTCTGCTCTCAAGTAGCCTCAAGTGTGTAATTGTGAGCAGGAAAATGTGTGAATGATGGACAGCGGAATGAGGGAGGTATCTAGGAAGAATATTAGAGGCTTTAAAACATTATGAACAACATTCAATTCCTATAATACAACGATCCAGTAATACGTATTCCGTATAAATAATCAGGAATAAACAATAAATAAAGAGATGTGATGTGGAGCTAAACAGCGATCCCGTCATGCCGCAACCTTAGCTAAGAAAAGGCATCGTGGCCTCTTTCCCAATGCCGCTCGCCGTCCTTACATATCTCGACCAAGGAATCCATTCTTGCTATAATGCGACATTCTTCCTAGATCTGCATCTCTGTACTCTTGCTTTCTCTTGCCCGTCTTCTTCCATTCTCTTTCACTCATATCCTTAATCCATTGCTCGTTGCTCCAACCCAAACAAACACGCCGTCAACACTTACATCATGGCGCAAATACGCGGTACTGCGGGCTACAATCTCGGCCACCAGAGTCCCTTCGCTACCGGCCCAGGCAGACAGGACGCCACTAGTGATCCTAGTCCACTGGAGGCGATTCGCGAGCAAACCAGTAAAATCGAGGACTGGCTGGATACCATTTCTGATCCCATCAAACCGTACGTTTCTTTTGATGTCGTTGGTGTTGGTCCTGTGTTACTCTCCGCCGGACGGCTCAAAGCCGAGGGAGAAGATCCGTTCTGATTTACGTGTTTTCAATGCTATAGATATATTCCTGCAATTGGCCGTTTTCTCATCGTCGTTACTTTCCTCGAGGATTCTCTCCGTATCGTTACGCAATGGAACGATCAGCTCATGTTTCTCCGGGATTACCGACACAGTATGACGACCCATCTCCGTGATGCCACAACTCGAATCCCATGATTTCAAAGCTAACGATGAACAGTCCCCTGGGGTATCACACATCTCTTCCTCATCGTCAACGTCGTCGTCATGCTCGCCGCTTCAATCATGGTCATCACCCGCAGACACAGTGAATACGCAGTAGGTGGATTGCTCGGTGTGGTGATCACGCAAGCTCTCGGATACGGACTCCTCTTCGACCTCAACTTCTTTCTACGCAACCTCAGCGTTATCGGCGGTTTGCTGCTCGTCATTTCCGATTCGTGGGTGCGCAAGAAGTACATGCCCGCTGGATTGCCGCAGCTCGACGAGAAGGATCGCAAGATGTACGTGCAGCTCGCCGGTCGGGTGCTTTTGATCTTGCTCTTCATTGGCTTCATTCTTGCTGGTAAATGGACTTTCTGGCGCGTGCTAGTCAGCTTAATTGGATTTGTGGCCTGTGTCATGGTTGTTGTTGGTTTCAAGGCCAAGATGAGCGCTGTGATCTTGGTTATCTTGTTGAGCGTTTTCAACGTGTTGGTCAACAACTTCTGGACGGTATTTCTTCTCTGTTTCGGTCCTTTGCCAACGCGGCTGACATTTCCCTTAGCTCAAACCCCATCATCCCAACAAGGACTTCGCCAAGTACGACTTTTTCCAGGTCTTGTCCATTGTGTATGTTCTCTATTCCCTTTCTTCATTAGCTTAGAACTAACGTTCAACAGTGGTGGTCTCCTCCTCCTTGTCAACATGGGTCCCGGTCAATTCAGCGTCGATGAGAAGAAGAAAGTCTACTAAACGATACAACATTCTGGGGACGACAGAAGTCATCCGCAGAGAGAAACAGATAATTACAACGACTCAAACAAAAGATATATGCAGCGATCAGCATGACACGGCGGGKGACGGATATTCATCCTTTCTTTGCATCTTTTTCCATTACAAAAATCACAGACTTCACTTCGGATTTCAGTGTTACGAATTTTCCTGATATGGACATGTTATGAATCTTTTCTTCGAGGAGTTATATTGACATTTGAATTGGATTTATATTGCAGGCCAGTCTGTTCATCGACTATACTTGGTAACGGTGGCCGTGTTTGTTTGTTTATTTTCGACTTTCACTTTCCACGAAGTCATAGTCACGCCTTTCATGTTGAAAACGTAATTTCTGTCAATATCAGAAGGCGCCACATCAAGCTCTTTAGCTAGATGTCGGTATTGATATGGGGCGCTACTATCACCGTCCTCGATTTTCTCAACGTTCACGAATCTGAACCTGCCCTTTGTAGTATGTCTTGCAGTATCAATGCGGCCATCTTGTTCAGAAATTCGAAAAATAACCTTTCCCTCCTCTTCTTGTGTTGTCGAACCGGAGTCTTCCTCGTATATGAATTCCATGCTGAAACCTGAATCCTTGTCGAAAGAGGCTTTTTGAAGACGAATCGATGCTTGGCCTGTGACCGTTTTCATTTCTGGTAATAATTCTCGTTCATATAGCCAATGGCCATGCAGAGCTCTCAATATTGCCTTTGAGAGCCCTCGCTGTCGTTCTTTATGGTTCGAGGATGGTTCGGTTGGGTCCAAGAGCAGATTTCGTAAGGAAGCGATCTTACTATTGTTGCTATTGTCATTCTCGCCGGTGCTTGTAGGCTCAAAGTACCGTGCAGGGATAACAGGTCCTGTTCTCTCCGTAGTATGACCTTGAAGTGACTTTCGCGGTATATGCATTTCTCGCGCAAATGTCTCCATCAGTCCGACGTAATCACCCATAGGGAACTGGGCGCGTGACGAAGTCGTCCTGAGATCTTTGACTTTGGTCATATCATTGTTGGTGTTGACGTTGTTGACCTGGCCACTCCATTGACGTGCCAGACTTCGTGCTTGCATTTCCATAACACCCCAGTAGGGGCCACGATACATGCCGACAAAGCCCAGGTCAGGGATTTTAGGATTCCGAACGCCCTTTTCGTCAAGTACTATAGGAAAGACAGTGTCATTTTCAGTGTACTCCAGGAATTGCAAAATTTCTTCCGGTAGGAAGGATAGAGAATCAAAGGGTGTGAAGCCAGTTGCAAATACTATGGCAGCGACGTTGTCGAGTTTTAGCGTTCTCCCATCATTTTGTTCAATCTCCACGACACCTTTCGATCCTGCTTCTTCACCAGTCCAAGACGTTCCCGACACTCGTCCCAAAGTAGGCGCAATATCTCCCGCACGTACAAACCCAGGATAATGATCCGTCACAGCAACCCACGGCGCACTACTTCTATCCTGACTTTGGGCTTTCAAGGCCAATTCCTCTGCAACATCGGACTGATCCGTTCCAAGCAATGACTCAAAATATGCATGGACCATATTCGCTCTTTCCGCCGTGACGGGTCCCAAGGCATACTGAATATCGCCTGGAGGTCTTCGAGATAGGTCATACATGACTATGTCTAACGGTAGGAAGTAGCCTGGTTGGTCGTTCGCGGGCAGATAAGTAGGGACGGCCCAAAATGGGCGGGTGGTAATGTGATGTATTACCGGTCTTTTCCTCTCCATATCTATGCTTTTTGATGGTAGATCCAGGGCCATTGAAGCTGCAGCTTCGGCACCGGACATGCTGCCACCGACAACGAGGATTTTGCCGCCATCTCCTCCAAGACTGGTCAGGATTTGACTGCTTGATCTGATAGCTGAGCTATGTATGACCCTATCCTTGGGGAACTGATCCAGACCGGTGATGGATGGAATAAAGGGGCGACTGAAATACCCAGACGCAACAACGAGATAGTCGAATGATTCCGAGAGATGCTCTTCTCCATCAGAACGACTTTGATCAGTCCATACAACTGTCCATCGTCTCGCCGTAGGAGTATTCCCGTCAACCTGATTCCGCTGCGTACGAATCACTGGACAAGACAATCTCAAAGTCTCTCGTGGCAAAAATCGATTCGCATAGCTTTGCAGATACTCACCAACCCTCCACGCCTGCGGAAACATGTTTTCTTCATTGCCATCCTTATCCTGACTTTCACCATTCCAAGGATGATCCGAAAATGAAACAGTAAACCGACTCAGATTCGTGCGCATAAAACAGTCCACAAACTCCGATGAACCATTCCTTAAAGTGCTGCCATCCGGCCTGGTCACAGCCCATATCCCGCCGACGGTGGGCTTCGAATCAAATATGATGGGTTCAAAGTAGCCTTTTGGATAGTGGTGTAGAAGAGTTTTGGCCATGACAAGACCCGAGGGCCCAGCACCTGAGATTGGATGTCAGTGCATTGTCTTTCATATTCAAGTTTTCTTTTATTCATCCTTCATTATCTTGGTTTGTCGGTACTTGTAGATAGGACGCAGAAGAAATCTTATAGCGGGGTAGCTGCCAATAAAATGAGGCTTACACTTACCAATGATTGCAACCTTTTTCGTCGTGTTCATTTCTTTCTTTCACTCTGTTAGCTTCATACTGGGTTGACTGAGCCTTCAGAAGTGTTGGATATATGAGTTGTGTAGGCTCTTATGGATCATTTACGTTCAGACCAAGTAGTCGGGCAGGATAATTGCGTATCTCCAAAGATCCTCAAATCTAATAGGGTTAGGGTTAAATACTATTCAGCGAGTCCTCTAGATTAATTTACTACCCAATATCTAGCTAATGTATAATACTCTATTAAATGGTACCTAATTGCTAGCTCGGCAGCTTGGTATGCCCTAAGCTGCACTAGAAAAAGCCACAGAGGTCGTACAAAGGACCCTATCAGGGGTAGTACGTAGCACCAGGAAGAATGGTAATTTTGCCCTTATTAATTCCTGATAGGATCTAGGCAGGCAGGATTGGTGTACACTTATAACAGCCTACTATCCCGCGGCACAAATCATTAAGTCCAAACAAAAATCGGTACGAGTTGACCTTCTCAAACATATCATCGCTTGTTTCTTTATCTGCTCAGTACGAATCTGGGTATCGAAGTTTCCAACACTACACTACGCCCTATTTTCTCTCCCCTAAGCAAGACAAAATACGCGCTGAGAAAACACAGGGGACAATGGAGCAATACCGACTTTGAGCACCTCGGACATGCTATTGTCGGCTTATGCATGATGTCTTTTTCCAGTTCTCTTGCTCAGGTCTACACTAGTTCCGCATTTTGGAATCACGACGGACCACAAACAGAAGGCGAATTTGCATTACTTGTTGCAATAACGACATTTGTTGCTATAGCAATTCCAGCTGTATGGACAGTTGGATTCTATTTCTGGATTAGTCATCTATCCTATGTTTCAGTTATCCGGCGAAACAACTAACTTATTGGTGGTATCGGGGCAGCAAACGTTGGTATGGTATGGCTGTGTTTGTGGAAGCCTTCGGCGACATTTCCGACTTACCTTGCGTACACTATGTGGCCAGCCTACTTGGGGTTGATATTAGGTGCTCTGATAGCTTCCACATCCCATGGTCGTATGCGCTGAGCCACTCGCTGCTTGTCTCATATTGAATGCCATAAGAACATGAAGGCGTAGAGGACCAGGGTTTCCATATCGATGGAATGGTCTGACGGCTTTCTCTGCATGTCGTAGAGACTAGACGCAGACTCTGAGGCCATTTATACCCTTTGGCACCTGAAAATGCACACCTCTCTTTGGACGCAACCTATTCTTACCTAGTCTGGCATTGGTCATATCTTCGCACAGCCTTGCATTTCGCTTGAATCACTTTGCATCGTTTTTACATATGGTGTTCCTGAATTGCCGCTTAGCATGCCTTCAGCTGTGATGTATGCTTCGCGTCCGCGTACCGATCTCAAGACCGTCTGGAGCATGACGGGGATTCTGAGCCTGGGAAGCATTTAACTTGGTGTCTTAGTGCGCCACAGGTCTGGAATAGCGCTATCGTGCTGGGCGTACTTGTCATTCAAGGACGATCCCGAGGAATCCAGCCGTCGTCAACGACCTGTAGTCTTAATGCGCTAAACAGAAACATGAATCAGGGATTATCGATTTTCGTCTGGCAGAGGTCAAGGTAGTTGAAATGCGCGTTGAGAAACTTAAAAAAAGTTATAAATCAATCCAAGTTTTGATTCCATGTTGAGTCTATATCAAGTGAATGATATAGGCAAGAAAGATATAGACAGTATGCACAACCAAGCTAGTTCTGCCTAGCATATAATATCGATCCCTCCTTATTAGACATTAGATTATCTTGAATAACGTGTATCATACAAGAAACGATCAAATTCTGACGATCATTCGTCCAAGATAGGAATAAAGACTCTGCATGGCAGAACAGAAGCAAGTTAACTGTAGACTTGCCCTAACAGTATTCAATGGCGTCCATGGTAGCCTGTTGTCTATTGCAGCTGCATAGGGCTATGCAGTCGTGTGCTAATAATGACAGTAGACTTTGTCAATGCCGTCTGACCCAGTACACTAATCGGACGATAATAATATAACTATTAAAACTCAATCGTGGATGTGTATCGCGAGGTCACGGCGGGAGGGAGAAACTCGTTCTCGTGGTTCGTATCGAACGTGTACGTCTTCCTCGGGCGTCAATTTCAGAGGAATACACGATAAGTACGGAGGAATAATTGGCCATTCGCACTGAGCACGGATTAAAGTTAGCAAAGCAAGGGATGACCGCGAGTCAGTCGAACTTACGCAGAGGAATGCTCATGGCAATTGCTGCAGCCACTGCGACACGTGCAGATTTTCGGCACGGCGGACACGCGCATCATGAAGATCTTGCTCAATCAGAAAAGTGTCCATGTTACGCTGCGTCAACGGTCTCGCAGCCCGGTTTTCTCGTTTCAGGATTTCTCGCTCTGCGTATGCGGCGCGTGCACTCTTGAAGGAGAGCCTGTTGCGCAATTTGCTGGAAATGTTGTTGACGAGTGGAGGTATAGAGATTGGTGGTGGGCGGGCGGCCGTGGCGAGGGGTAGGCTTGACTGCGATTGAGACAAGTCCATATTATTGTTGTTTGGACTGCTACTCTGGGAGGACGTGTTTGTGCTGCTGAGCTGGGAAAGGAAGGTCGATTGTCGATGCATTGGAGTGGTAGTAGACTAAGTAACTGAAAGACAGGGTGAGGTATGTAGGCGAGATGGTGTAACGGGCAGAAGTACACGGCGAGGCGGCGAAGCAGCGAACAGATCGAACTGTACAGGTACAAAGACCGGCGAGAGGGAGATGAGATCTTAATATATCTCGACACCCATGTGCCGATCCGAAAGGAGCGAATGAAGCGACAGAGAAAAGGAGCGAATGGATGCGACGAGAGACGAAGCAGGAGTGAGGGCTCTCTACAAAAGAGAAAGTCCACCCTGCACCCTGCAGGTCCGCTTTGCCGATTTTGGCGGCTCGGTCGGACTCGTAAGTTTGGGTAACGCTTTAATACACGCTATACCATAGTAGGTACGCTACATCACGGGTAGAACGGCAGACAATACGCTCTGAATACACACACGACGAGTACGGTATCGGCCATACAAAAAATTAACTCAGCTGCTAAGTCGACGCTGCAGCACTGGCCATCAGATGACAAGCAGCCAAGCCATTTGTTCTTCTTAGCTTGCTGTCTTAGTTTAATATCTTATGCTTCGCAAATCCCTGATTCCTTCTCTTTTCTTCTTTTCTCGGAGTACGGAATATGTGGTGTGGCATTGACTGAAAAGTTTTCCGGGGTCTGTTGAGACCTTTAACAGTGCGAACTATGGTGAGGGTGCCTATTCAGGTAGCAGCGGTTCATAATTTATTACATATTTTTCGAAGCATCCATCTGCAACACAAAGCTCTTGATAATTCCTCTTGCTAATAGAAAATACGTACGCTTATCGTCTAACTGGCACGCACAGAGTTTGACCCGTGCCGCCTAGTCAGGCTACTGCATGTATAAAAGTAAGAACTATCAACGGGCCAATCAAGCCAAAACACTCTGATTTCGAGCTTGAACCGTGCTGATTAGCTAGACCTTTTTGGTTGCGTTTTCCGTGATGTAAATCGGGAGATCGAGGAACGATTGGCTGCGGTGTACTCCTGAGACTAGAGGGTGGGCACTCGGTACGGTAGCCGCCTCACTGAGTAAATTAAATTTTAAAAATACATGTCTGTGTGCTGAGTTTACTCCACCACGACGTAACCACGCACACGGAGACGGAGTGACATGTATTTTTGCTGCGTACTCGAGTACTTGGTGGTATGGCAAAAAACAGCTACGGAGCACTGCGTTCCTGTTAACTCCCCGTAGGACCGTCGTTGCATTGCTTAATAGTCACCTCTACAGACAGCGACAATTTCCTTAGCCTACGCGCGTTGCGCAGTTGCTTGGACTCAACTAGCCAAGCAGGTATAAAGATTTTGTAGATTTGTTTGGCTGAGAGAACATTGTAAGGAGGGGAAAAAGAAATGATCACGTGATAAACTTTACCCTAGATGATGCGGTTCTATATACAACAAAATCGGAAATTCAAAACTCCATTATATGTATGTGCTCCAGATACCTAGGTAAATATGCAAATCTCGCTAATTCATAAATAACCCTGCAGTCAAACCTCCGCGCCGGACATCGCTGTCGACCTCCCTGATTCAGTCTTAATCGAAAAGTTATCATCCGTCTGCATTGGGAACATCATGCCCAAATGTTCATGGAACAGTATCAAACTATTCTGCGCCATCTCTCGCTGCCAGCTAAGCGAAAGCTGTGAGTTCGCTATTGTCTTTAATGCACCATACATCATTATCGCATCTATCCACCCCAAGTTCGGGATGTAAGCATCCTCGCCTATGATCTTATGATGACTCAATAATCCCAGTACGCGGTCGGAAAGGGACCAAAATTCCCACATACACCGATCCTGCCGCTCCAGTAAATAATATTTTTGTTGTGGCGTACATTTCGGGGCGCGCGAGGCTTCTTGGAGGAACGTTAGCGCGGCGGATGAGATGTGCATTCGAAAATTGCTCAAATAAGAGCAGACCGCCATGGATTGCAGACTCATATTTTCGGGTTTGAGACAGGGAAATGATGCTAGCGGAGGAGGGATGTCGTGATTTACTATTGATGGGTCATTAAAAGGTTCGATATTAGCTTCTAGGTGATCGATATTTTGAAGGATCGATGGAGATTTTGATAACATGTGATCAAGATCATTCGTCTGGAGAAGGGCTTGGATTCGGCTGTGTAGGCGTGTGGAGTTATATAAATATGTCCATATACGGCACATGAGTCGGTCGGATATGGAGCTGTGCTTTGCAACAGAGAGGAACCATGAAGGTACTTCCGCAGGGGGTTCGCGACTAGTTATCAAGCATTTGAAATGCTTCAGGCATCACTATCAGATGATGTATTTTAAGGCGATACGAGCAAATCAAACGAGCTGTTGCGTACTCACTATACAAAAGCAAACCATCCAGATGAGATTCCGGCCATCTTGTCTTGTATATTGCTCCGGTCCTCGTACGCGAATCAACTGTGAGATACCACGGCACCAGACCTCTGTTTTACTGAAGTCCTCGGATTGAAGGTTCATATGTGCCATAGACAGAAACTACAACATAATATGTTGGGAAATGCCGTTGTAAAGAGGGACTGAGAGCAATGGCTTACCTCATACACATTAAACATCCACACAGCTAACAGTGTGCTGTCGAGTAATCTCTGTTGCGGATCCTGCAGAGCCGAATTGACGGCTGCAAGGGCCGATTGGTACATATGTACTCTGTCATGTGTCCAAGTCACAGCACGAGTCTTGCTCCGTACATATGTGAGACCGATTGCCTTACAGACCTGGTGAATAGGGGATGTGGCATCTGCTTGTCGGATGATACGCGGTATTGAGTCGAACACGTCATTTAGTTGATTCACTGGATGATCATTGTTTGGACCAGTTGTAATCCTGGCCGCAACTAGGGGTAGAAAGTCTGTTCTTGTCGAATCAAGCTGAGAACGTCGCCCTACTGGACTTTCAGTCCCCGAAAAAGCAGGGGATGGGGTCCTATCTTGGGAAACCGTCGAGTCGGTGGTTGACTCTACATAAGGGTGGTGGTACTGCTGTTGCTGTTGCTCTTCTTCTTCGCGTTCAACCTTTTTCTGAGTCTGCCGTTCATCTGGCACGGAATGATAGGATGCCTCTTCATCTGTGCGTCTTCTACGGTTATCCCGTTTCATCACAAATGGAAATGAAGAGATATTTTCAACCCGAAAACGCACGTCCACCTCATCTCGATAGCCAGGACAGACCTGTCCACGCCGGACACAACGATCGCAATGTGGACGCGCAAGGTCACACTACACTCAAAATTAGCTGCATAGTTTCCATTGGTCTTTAAGATCTCTTCATTCGGCAAAACCACGTGGTTGGCATCATCAACCAAAGAAACGACAACCCGGTGGCGCATAACACGCACCTTTACTCGTCGCTTTCGACAGGTATGACAGTCTCGACTCGGCCTACCAGTATTAGGCATATTGTAGATCGAATTTACGAAGGTTGAATCCGCAAAGCAAGGTGCTTATGGGGGATCTCACGATTCGTTAGTCCATTCGGATTTTAAAACGGGTGATGAAATGTTGGACTACCTACCTAGTATTTCCTTACGAGGACTGGGCCTTCTATATGAATTTCGAACGTTGGATTCTAGACATCGGGGGACCCGTTGCGTTGGGTCCAAGGACATGTGTAGGGCCGATTAAATGAACCATGATTAGCTTATACCTGATTATCAATAATCTGCCGGACGCCAAATCAAAGAGCGATGGTATACGTAGTTCTACTAGTCCACTGTGGAGTCGAGATCCTTCCCTAGTGTCTGTCTACTCCGTACTCAGTATCTTGTAGCCCTAGGATTTGGCAGCATCAGCCCCTGGTCCCACGATAGAGGGACAAAAGCTTCAAAGCAAATTGACCACGGTAATATGCGCCGCTAGCTTCGAAAGGATATTTATTCGAGCCAATTAGGGCATCATTTGGTAGAGTCCAGCCCATGGGGCGTAGATTGCCTAACCTTCAAGAGACAATGGCCCTTAATTACGTGGTTCCGCAGCTATTAAGTTTAGGTTTTTCTAGCGCCATCGATTTGTCATGCTTCCTATTTCATAAACATCATGTTTTCTTCTTTTCTACTTTCTTTTTATCCTTCCACAAGCTTCGTCACTAAAGCGGTAAATGCTACGATATTTATTCAGCTCAGTAAACTCCGAGCGGCTGTGCGTGGTTTGTGCGTCATAGACCGGAAGCTTGGATACGGATAAATACACCATCTTGCTAAATCCTTAGTGGAATGCTTCTTTCAGCCCTGGCTGTTTCAAACCTTGCAGCGGCTCTAGAATCTGGATCTCATCGCTTTCTCATGCCCATTAGAGCTGCACCTGGATGACATTCTTTTCCCAATACGTACCAAGTTACGAAGGGCTTCATAGACACTTTATAGTACCTAAGCAGGAGATAATCAGCGGTTCAACCTAGCGGACACGCCCGTTGACATCCTGTTGATCGCCTCGGACAAACACTGGTGCGCGCAAGGGTTTGTGCGGAGAATATAAGGAGATAACGGTCTTCTTACCTCCGTGTGTCCGTCCCGATACAGTTCAAGTATCACCAACGCAGATGTAGACGGTTACTGCTGTATGTACTTTACTACGAAAATGGCGCGTTGAATTCTTCAACATGGATCGAACGTTTGATAAACAACTACGTAGTTCATTGACAATGCTATGCTGGAGTTCTTGCCTAGGACATAATCCGACGTTCGGCTTTAAGGAAAAGACTAGAAATGTATGGCTTCAGGGGTCTCAATAGACCGGATGATTTTAACGACCGGAGGGTTTCGACAGACCGCTTGGGATCTACATTTGCGCTGAACTAACCGCAACAAGGTAATCGATCATTTGGTCATGGAGTTCCCGTTTTGGGCTCAGAATTCAGGGATCGGAGGTCTCTTGATTTATTATTGATGCGACAATAAGGTGGATCGTTGATCTAGGTTAGTAGGTAAGAAAGGCCTCTCAAATTATAAACTCGATAATGACATAGACTGAGTCACGTCTAAGCCCGCCCGCCCTATAGACTTGTGCTGCAACCATGATGTCAATGTCAACATTGCAATAGCAAACTTTTTCATGGTTGACTGCACACAATGCCTAGTGCTAAGCCTAGCCACTGCTTATGAATAAAGTGCTTATGAGATTTGTTCAACGACTGACTAGGGCATCGTACGCTGTAAATTAACAGCTTTAGCGTGCTTTAACGTGTTCCGCAGGAGTGCAGAATTGCTAGTTTGGTTTGCTTATACAAATTTTACGGCTCTATCCCAATCTAGGAAGTCTAAAGAAGCTTTGCTTATTGGCCTGTTCGTTCGTTGAGACGCCGCATCCTTCCAAAGAATGTCACTGGGCCCCATGCGCGGAAAACAGATGAACACTAGTAGCTTTAAAGTTCTTGATGTGCCACTTCAGCTATAAACAAAATTGGTTTTCTCATTGGTGAATTCGTTTATTGACGTTCCTCATTGGCCTACGCGAGGACTTCTACGGACTGCAATGTTGGCAGAATCCAACGTCCTACCAGGCGAAGCAAGTAGGAAATGACAGTTTTCGAGAAGCCCCAGTCAGTGACTCTTGATGATGGTTCTTACTACGTAATAACTCCACAGAGACCTATGTCCTCTGAAGAACCGTGGAGAAATGTTTGGCTTTGCTAGCGCTTCGCCCTGAAGTTCGGGTTCGGTACCGTACTCCGCCGATCCAAGGGCTGAACCTGAACTCGTACAATGAATGCCTACAGGAATAGAAGGTTTCCATTGGTGGCACGCTTATCTCACCCGCTTGATGGAGCTGTTAACCGCAGTTCAGCTTCCATGGTGTTTTATGCTATTGAACGACCCACATGCGAAAGACGCTACTTAATCCCACTGCGTTCAGCCTCATGGAATAGTTTTGCCTGCGGAGGGAGTCGCTCATTGAACTCGACTTGCCGAACGCGAACGCGGCGAATCCACATCAAACTCAAGAGCCAATCCCATCTTGTTTCCACATCGGGATAGTACACCGTAACCCTAATTTCTTCATCACACGGTTGAGGCTAAAATCTTGAAAAGGCCTATTTCAGGTGAGGCGATTCATCATTATCAATCAAATTTTGAGTTCTGTTCAGCCATTTTAAGTGCACACTCTTGGGTATGGTCGGAAGTCTGCGACTGATGCTTGTAGCATTGGCTCGAACTCGAAGCTGCGAGATGGGACAACAAACAAGACCTGAAGAAACATACATGACACTCCGTAAACTTCTGCAAGCCAATTCCATACAAAGTGATATGTCAATCCGAATGAAAAAAGCGGCCTCTCAGGGCAAGTTTAGTTTTGCCACCATCGGTACAAACAAGTTAGTGCAGTCATCACTACGTCCAAGCCCACCGAGTTGTGCAGAATATTTTATCAGACTACTATCAACTGAACAAAAGCTGGTGACACTTCAAGCTCCAAAGGTAGAATTAGCAAACTTCCCGGAGTGAGTTCATCTTAGACTCTCGCTAAATTATACTACCAGAATTTTCTTGGACATACTGATTACATGATTGACCAGGAGACCTGCTTATGTTTACAAGATCTAGATCCTACCTCAGCACTGAGGCAAATTGTTAGCCATACTCAAATCAGCCTTATATTTGCTATCACTATCGGTAATTGTTTTTTCTCTTCCCCTCCTACCCCGCATTCATATGAATTGCCCACTTAAAGGCGCATTAATTTTCAATGCAGTAGAAACATCTCAAATAGTCACGCTACCCTCCGCGAGACCACTATATTGCGGTAAACGCGTCAACTTTTGGAAAATTAAAGCTTTTTACTAATGCGTCCATGCATGTCTCTGCTTCTTTCGGAGTCCTGCTCGCATGCACATGTACCGTCAATCCAGTGCCAAACTGTGCTCTGCATGCATACTTAAGTGGTAATGTAACTGCATTACAGTCATTACAGTACGGTTTTAGGAATCAGGGCCAAGGGCTATAATATGCCGTGTTATGCCTTAACTCCCCACATGTAAGAAATGATTCTTATAAAAGTACTTTTTACATCTCACAATAAGTGAACTCGTATTTTCAAGCCCGTGTATGGGTGTAAATGAGGTCTTTGTGGTTCCAAAACTGTGGCGGTCTATTCTAATCGCTTTACCAGCGCTGCAGATGATTACCATGTAAAGTATTCCGACCATGCGAAGAACTAAGCTTGGGTTGGTTTCAATAGCGTTATCAATATCATTGGAGTTTCTCGATCTGTCACCGTGGAAAAAGCACAGACTTGGATGTAGGCAGACGACTTAGGGCTCTCGTTCTGAAACCCTAAACCCTAGGTTAAACCTTAATCACTCACCTCGGTGCTCCAAATAACTTAAAGCAGTCTTTCATTTCGACGATCGATACACTCAACTACACATGAAAATAATTCTCGTCACAGAATACACGTCTATAGCTCTGTAGTCAATGTACACAACCCTGGCTTCAACTCTCTTGGTAACGTCTGTGTTGGTGCGCAACCCAAGCTCAATCTTTCTCAACATACAGCGGCAAGCTGAAATCTTTTCCATTAACTTTGTGAAAATCCAAAGTCTCTAGATCAAGTCCGTGGATGGTCCGCACCTTTATTTGTTTTTGAGTTTCATTGTGGTTAGTTTTTCAACTTCACCCTACTGCGACGGACAGCATCATGCAACGCCCGGAGGATCAAAACAAGACGAACACTTACATTGATACCAACTTTCCCAAACATGAAATCTTCAGCTCTTGATTCGGCGACTACCTGTATTCCACAGGTTTTGCAAAAGGAAGCTGTGATCGACTTGGATCCCCAGCGGTATGTCTTGGATAAAAGCGAGAATGAAGAGTCAGTCATGTTACAATGACTCATGTACATTTCGAAAACAGACCCTGTTCTTTCTTCAGAGATATAGGTATATAAACATACGGAAATATTGTCTGTTCCTTCGGTATATACGAAATCAGTGTTCGGTATATGAACGAGTAACCTGCCAGTAATGGAGCAATAGGAGCCTTGATATGACAGGGTCAGTTATCATGCTTTAATCATAGTATCGTGACACAAAACGAGCAAGTTTCATACAGTTGCATGTTATTACTTTTCGTTCTCCGATTGCTGGTGACATTTGAAATTTGTACTTGACAGTGCCGCAATGGCAGCTACCCGTATATGCAACCATTGAATTAGATTTCTGAAAATCTGTGATTTCGTGTTACTGTGTCTTCTCGATGTGCAAAAAATGTTGCGACTATTGACTGGACGACTACATAGCTAATCTATAAATGTAGACATTCATGAATCTGTCCATCTATTGAAGCCTAATTCAACCAAATTAGTGTTTAGTAATCATCCGAAATGTTGAGGACATCTTCTCTTGGCTTGGGATTCAACAATCAACAATACATCTAACATTTCAACAGTTCTCTTTCTGACGATTTATTGAAAATTCGCTGAAGGACGATGAAGATGACCTCGGTACCTGGGTATATTGGAGTGCGTCGTAATAAGTGCATACGGCTGAATTGTCAGCTTCATTTACAAATCTAGACCGATACTGTAACGATGAACAGTAAATAACGCGACCGTCAACATCAAAGTGCGCTCTATTTAAGAAATATTGTTTTCCAAGCAATCTAACTTATATATAAACAAGCATGATCCAAGTCCCATCCATCATATCGAACAGACAACATGTATGGATTGTTGTATAATTATCAATCTCGACGACGGACAGCGAACGGCTGGCCCCCACCGCATCGGCACCGCATTTACGCGCGGCCCTATCAGGGACCCTAAATCCAGTCACAATTACATTTCGGGCCTTCAGCCAAGGCATTCAAGTAAGATTCGTTGTCTTTCAGAGACATTTCATCCTTGTGTGCCATCGATCCTATCTCTTTTCTTTCAGAGTCTTAGCGACTTTTGCATTTACGATCACGTCGTACATATCTAATGTAAAAGCGCGACAACACCAACTCCAAAACGACTGCAGATTGGCTCGTCGGAATAAAGCGAGATCGTCATAAGGTAGAATGAGTCATGACAACAGATATTAAACGAATCGTGGAGCCTCCATCATCCTCGTTAGGCAAACTCAAAAAGACACGCGCCAGTCGTCCGAAAGTACGTACAGGATGTGGAACATGCAAGTGAGTATGAGACCCGCTCTCTCCATCCTTCTTGGTTGCGACTACAGGATCCTACCGTGGCTACAATATTAGCAAAGCGATGGACAGAGGTGGTCGCGTATAAACGTTCAAAGACTAACTCGACGTCTCGTGGCGACGATCTTCCTAGGATTCGACATAAAAAATGTGACGAGACGCAGCCTGCTTGCTACATGTGCACAAACACTGGGCGTGTTTGCGACGGCTACCAGCAAACCCCTGACAGAAGGACACGGGCCTTCCGGAAAGGCAAGAGGGATAGTTCCTATGATCCTCGATCTCCGATTGATGATCTCCTGACAGAGCCAATACTAGTAGAGGAACTGCAAGCAGTTGAGGCTGGAGAAGAAGCGACCGAAGAGGACTTTATTGGCACTGCCCTTCCTCAAGAAAATGTACCAACACCTTCTGTCAAGACCAGACCGGTCACAAGAAGAGTAGTGGTATCTTCTCCCATGCTGAAAGATAGACCTAGCGTATTTGCCAAGTCTCACAGGTCGGATCTCATATCGTCTGCCCATTATCTAACAGACCCACACAAAGCCAGCCTAAGTCAACGTGAACGCTGGCACTTTGAATTCTTTATTAGATATACTTCGTCTCAGTGTTCGGTCTTTTATGGCTACGACTTCTGGCAACGTATCGTGCCTCAATACACAGAGGCCGAACCCGGTCTTCGCCATGCTGTCATTGCCGTTGGGGCACTTCATCGAAACTTCGAGGACAGCCAACTCAACTCACAAGAGCCCGATTTTTCTTTCGCAATCCAACAATGCAACAGAGCGATTTACAATCTCAAACATCGGCTTATTGGCGACCAAAGTCAGCATATGGAGGTAGCCCTAATCACGTGCATATTGTTTGTCTCGTTTGCTTTTCTCCAAGGAGACGCTGGAGCAGCATGTCGTTTGATACACGGCGGCGTGAAAATGATGACGGAGTGGGAGAAGAATTCAAATTCGCTTAAAGACTCTACAATAAAGCTGACCGTGATGAGGGTCTTTTCCCGGATACAATTTCATGCCATGACGTGCGGTGACCCCGACTTTTTCGTGGAGGAGGAATATAATCCAAAAGGCACAATGAACGTGTTGTCGTCGAATCAAAGTCTTTCCCAGCCGATCGACAGTATCGAAGCAGCAAGCAGCTTGCTATTCGATATCGGCTGGCAGGTCATGCAGAGGAAACCCTGGCTGAGCCGGCCGCACAGAAATGAGCATTACGATGTGGTTGCCACCCTCAACAATCTCCAGAGGTGGGAAGCACAATGCCACATCGCCTTAATGGGCCGACGTGAAGAGATGTCCATTAGAGATCGAGGCTCGTGGATAATGCTCCAAATGTGGAGCGAGACAATCTATATTCTCGCCGCAACGGATTGGTGTGCAGACGGACGCGAGTCGAGATTCGATGGCCTCCTCTCACACTTTCGTAAGGCCATCGGGTACGCCAAGGAGCTCTTAACCACAGAGTCGATGCGATCATTCTTGCCCACCTTCCATATGGGACCGGGCATCATACCGCCTCTTTTCTTATGCATTAATAAATGCCGCGATTGGAAATTGCGCAAAGAAGCAATGTCTCTGCTCCGGAGTTGGCCGTGTCAGGAAGGGTTCTGGAATACTGCGGGCTCTGCAAAATGTTTAGAAAAACTCATTGAAATCGAGACACAGGGTCTTTTACCCGGCGAGGTGGTGCCTGAATCCCAGCGCATTATCGCTACACATGTGGATTATCTGCCTATCACAAACACGTATCGATTCTGGTACCGTCAATCTCACGCGGTTGGAACGTCAAGTTGGAAGAGCACCATATTGTCTGCCTAAGTGTGAGGGTTTGTCGTTTCCTTTTATCTAGACGAGTCTCCATCAATCGAATGTAGATGGCGGTGAAGACTCTGAAGAGTACGTGTTCGTGAAGCTTTTTTCATAGTTTGAAAGTATGTCCGCCATGAGCGGCCAATCAGATACAGCTGATTAGACAGCCGTGGTCACCTGCACCAGACTGACCAATGAGAGGGCATATTTTGGAATACGGATTACATTTGCGGTCGATATCATTGGCTGAACAGCTCCCAGGGCCCCACTTGGCCGAGATCGTTCTGCATGACGTTGACTTACTTAAGCTGTTTACGCCGCCCGCGTCCGCCAATTAGAGCGCTGGGATAGTAATCGTTCAGATCTTTTTGGAAGTTGCTCGCTTTGATCTGGGCTTATTTTCTTTCTCTACATACTTCTTTCCTGTCCTTGTCTACTCTACGTTCATAGTTCGTCTTCAGGAAGCCAGCATCAATCTTTCATTGTCCTAGAAACATCACTCCGGAGGTGTATTATCTTCTTCAAATATTGCCATCTTGGTCCCAGTGGGCAATTATATTCGACGAAAGACACGTCATACTTCAATCGGCATCCCTCAATACTCATACGGATATGGCGCTATTATTCCTGAAGAACAGAATATTCCCATCGTGGGACCAGAGCGACAAGACCAAGAACAAAACTCAGTCGAAAAGAAATGCTTCCTTATCGCCTGATCTACGTGAGCCTATTCTTCGATTCAATCTATTAATCATCACTAACATCAAAATATCTAGGACGTCCATTGCTTGTCTATGATTCAGATAATATAGACAGCTCAACTATTGATGGAACCAGCGATGCAGATATCGAAGCACAAATGGCCGGATCATACAGCACCTTTGCCGGAACCACCAACGACGACAGTCAAAACAGAGACGATACATCAGTCCGTAGTAGCGAGAGCGGTCGATGTCGAATCAACCCGCGACTGATTTCTGATGCGATTCTGGGTCTCTCGGATGGACTTACAGTGCCGTTTGCGCTGAGTGCTGGTCTTTCGGCCATTGGCGATACAAAAGTTGTTGTTCTCGGAGGATTGGCAGAGCTGATTGCTGGTGCGATCTCCATGGGACTAGGTGGCTACGTTGGTGCGAAAAGCGAGCTGTATGTCACCCTCCATTTTTGGCTCGGACTAGTTCCAGAGTGAAATAACGATCGACTAATGTATGTTCGTACAGCGAATCGTATGAGGCAACAGTGCGCGAGGTCAATGAGATCCTTGACCATCCCGACGAAACTCGATCTATGGTCACCTCTACCTTTGCAAACTACAACCTCTCACCAAGCACACTCGATGAAATTAGCAGCTCTCTCCAGGCAGAACCGGAGAGGCTACGCGACTTTCTTATTAGCTTTTATCACCGTGAAACAAAGCCAGACTGCAATCAAGCGTACATGTCAGCTCTGACACTCACTCTTGGCTACTTTATCGGCGGCTTCATCCCATTGATCCCATATTTCATTGCCGACAAGGTTTACACCGCTTTTGTTGCGAGTGTCATTGTCATGGCCATCACGCTATTCGCATTTGGATACGTGAAAACTTGCATAGTGAGGGGATGGAAAGGCGGGGTCAATATCCGGGCTGGTGTGATTGGAGGCATTCAGATGTGTGTGGTTGGCGGTCTTGCTGCAGGGGCGGCTGTAGCGTTAGTCAAATTAATCAACGGGGAAGGCAGTGTCTAGTCTCATGAACATATTGGCATTGTCTACGACTTTATGCGGAGTCCTTTTATTTATCTTCATGTGGGAGCGATAATATCCGGCGTTTTCCGGGGTAACAAAATCCTCCTCAATACATACCAAGAGCTATGCTCATCTGCGATAGTCAGAGAAACCTTCGAATCATGTAATGCAAATCAAAAGCAAATAGAATCATAGATCTGTACAATAGAAAAGTTGTTGGTCTTGGTTGACTCCCGTATCATGGGTTCAACGCTTTCTGTACCAACTCTCTACACCTATCACTCATCTGAATCTCAAGCGCCATACGATGCCCCTTGTCCGACATCTTGCCCCAAGTCTTTCTCAGAATACCCAGTACCTTTTCTTCATCCAAAGTCTTCTCAAAAGCAGCGAACTGATCATCCAAAAACACCAAACAAGCCACATCTTCCAAGATCTGCGTTTCGTCCTCCTCGGCCTCAGCAGCCTCGTCTGTTGTCGTCGTAGTTTTCCGTTTTAGTCCCTCCTTCCTGATCAACGCTGCAACTCGACTAGCCTCCCCATCCGAGTAACCTGCATCAAGACATATTTGTCGCGCCTGATCGGCCTGTCGGTTCTTGAGGAACGTGCGCCAACTCAAGTATCCTACTTTGGTGGTTGGATATGATGAGCGGGGTACTTCCCAGCGCCGCAAGTGTTGAGCGCGAATTGCGAGACGTAACAGTTCAGAGGCGGATGGGTTGTAGGTATTGAGATATGAGGTCATTTTCTGGGCGTAGTGAAGTTCGTATGGGATCGATTTGGTCTCTGCATTTTGTTCCGTGATGGTTGTGAGGTTGGGGTCTTGGGAATGTGCCTCGTCGATGGCCGAGAGGGCGCGGTAGAACTTCTCGGACATTTTGGCTTTTGCTAGATCTGTATTCAACTGTTTATGGCAATACAAATGGACTTTATAGGTTCTAGAAGACGTCTCCGAGGAAATGGTCACGAAAAGGAATGAGGGGCAGTCGAGCAAAGGAAAGTCTGTGAAAGATAAGGAACTACCCTTATCTTTGATGGTAACCCTTATCAGATTATCTCTAAAAAACATCGTTGTAGAAGCCATAATAGTCATTTACGACACATCCTGTATTATTATCTCAATGACTTGAGTCTAACTTACTTCTGTAACTCAGCTTCAACTGCATCCGCAAAATCACCAAGACTTTCAAACTTCCACGCAAACGACACTTTGCCCAACAACTCCTCTACATCCCCTCCCATCCCACTCACACCACCTTTCCCCCTCGCAATCCAAACACTATCCAACTCAATCTGCTTACTAGGGACATGATCATGCCTCAAACTCTGCGCCACATGTAGGATTTCATGCTTCTCGACCCCAAAATCGGCCTTGACATGATTAATCAAGTACTCAAAATTCCTGAGATCGGGTTTATAAGATCCTATATCTTGCGCGGTATATACTGCATCAAAGAAGGGGTCTAGCGGATCCGAACCCGGACTTAAAGGCTCCCTGAGATCACTCAATGGACCAGCAAGAGTCTTTCCAAAGGAGCCATGGTCAACATTCGATACAGGCACGAGTTTGAACCCCAATCTCTTGAGTTTGCGCATTGCTTGGATTGTGTCTGGAAAGGCAGGCCAGACGGCGATGCTATCCGCGAAAGCTACGCCTTCCTCTTCTAACTGGTCTTCTCCTGGCACATTCTCTAGTAATTCCTTCGCGACTGCGATGTAGGCATCTCGCAGAATCTTGTCGTATGTTGCTCCTGGCTCTTCGGATTGAAGCCGGGCTTCATGCTTTGTGAACACAGTGCCGAGAGCGAGATCGTTTCCTCCGCTTTTCAGTGGGGAAGAGTCCGGGAGGCGGTCTTGGATTGGCGAGAGGGCTTGTACGATGCCACTCTCCCAGTCGATGAGGGTGCCGTAGATATCGAATGATAGCAGGCGGTACGTTGAGAAGGGGGTTTGTATGCCAGCCATTTTGTCCACTTTCTTGGTCTCGTCTCTGGCTTTAGGAAAACAATTACTAGCGATTGATCAAGAAAACCTTCTTGAAGGTGATGTCCAAGATATCGTTGCGGTCGAAGAGTTGCTGTGCTGATAGGACGTGGGGTGACTCCCCGCTCTGAGCATCTTGGTGCTCCATCTGTAGTCGGAGGGCACCCATTACATATCCAAAACGACATTAGTGTAGTGGCTTCATTAATTGGGTAACTATAGACGGTGTTCAAGTTTTTTATCATAAAATTTCATTGATTTTCTCTGTTCCCTATCCGACGTATCTGCAGTGTCAGCAGGGCTAAAAAAATGAGCTTACTCAAAATACATTGATAGACCAGCCAGAACCTCAGCTTGGCCATCAAGAATAAAAACAATGGTAGCAAGAGAAAACAAAGATATTCAAGCATACAAATAGAGCAAAAAGCTTGCCACACTCCTTCTCGAAAAGAATAGAAACGCTGACGTTTGTTTGTTGCGCGCATATCAACTCATCAAATCGCATCATGAACCCATCCTATTTTGTTGGTCCCCGATAAAATCAATCAATCCGTGAAGCGGTTGCCTTGGACTGTAATAGTCAAACACAATATATCCTTCCGTACACTGAAAGAAACTGTCATGGCGTGGTTGCATTGCATAGTGATGAAGCGAAGAAAGAGCAGTCGAAGGCGAAGGGAAAACCATAGAACGAAACCTGTAAAATGATTTTCGAAATAATTAAAAATCCGAGAAAAAAAAAATAAACACCCCGTAAAACGCCATCCCAATATTTTAAATAAAGCGGGTATATCCAGCACCTCCATGCATAAAAAACATGTACGTCGAAAAAAATCTAAAATTCTGACCGCGTTCCGTGTCGACTTTGAAATCGTGAGGCTGTCATAATCTGTGCTGTGCAATCACTCATCTGGCCCCGATCCCGTACATGCCGACCCCATAACTTCCCGTTCGTTCTGGCATAGAAGGAGACATTTTGCTAATATGTTCCTGGAAAGAGTCCATTAGCTTGTCTGTCTGATGAGACTTATGACTGGGTTGAAAAACCTTCTTGCGCTTCTTCTTCCCACTCCTGTCTTCACTATTTGAGTATAGTGCACCTTCATCTTCGTCATCTACAAACCCTTCACCGTAGCCGACAAAACTATTGTCATCATAATGCCGTTTCTTTCCACGAGTGGGGCGAGCGCGCTCGGGTGCTGCTGCTGCTGCCGGAGCTCCATTCGCTTGAAGCGTTGGACGAAGAGCATTTGGTGTTGACACTGCCCTCTTGCCGCTCTCGATGACAGCATGCTTCGAGGACTTTTCGTGGCCTAGAATATCTTCCCAGTACTCGCTATTCGGAAGCGGCCCGGCTTCCAGCTTCATGGCCCGCATTTGCAACTTCTGGAGCCCGGATTCGGCTTCTGCGACTTTGATCTCCTTGCCATGGACTTTTTGAATTTGCCATTCTTCTTCTGGCCACATCATCAAGTGTCGCAACCCTCCAGCCTGGTTTTCATTTTTAACAGCCTTGTTTCTTCCGGACAGGCCGAGCCCTTTCAACTTGCCCTCATACGACTTGCGGAGACGATTGATCTTTTCGCCTGTTGTGGGATCTGCTCTCATTACTGACCTTCCAATTGGTCCCAAGCCGTACAACGATATAAGATCAAAGCTCGGATCAGGGCCTGTAATTGTAGGAACTGTTTGTGGAACGTATTAACACATTGACACAGAAGCCTAGACTTACAAACAAGTGCAGTCAAAGGGATTATCTGCGTCAAGAAGAAAATGCCTTACCAGATTTGCAAAGATGGAAGGCCGTGCCAATATCCTGCTGCAATGCATCGAGACTAGAATCACGGAACGAAGAAGTGTCCGCTTTCGAATCGATATCCATCATATCAACGTCTGTAGCTGATGGCCGGCCTTCCATATCGAACCCTTCAGGCAACCTATGCCGATCGTGATCTGTACGTCTGTGTCCTAAATTCTCGGCGCTACCAAGGTCCGTATTGCCTGTCGCATGGGAGTTCTGTGGGCCTTGACCCCAGGATTTGTCGGCAAGTTCCGACTCATCTGCTGGGGTCGTGTTTCGTGGATGACCACTGACACTGCTGGCCGGTGTCGGAAATGAGGTTGTTACGCTCACAGTCGGCTGCTGTGAGTTTTGGGTAGACATGGGTGTTGATGAGGGAGGAGAGGAAAGAGGCTGTCCGTTTGACGTCGTCGTGTGGCTGGGGGACGTATGCGTGTGTGCGAAGTTGGAGGCATAGTTCTGTGCGCCGACTGACATCAACGTAGGAGATGTAGGAGTTTGTGGGTAGAGGTTGTCTGAGATAACAGGCGAACGGTTCGCCTTGATGTTACTGACCGAAAACGAAGATGGGGAGACGTTGCCTGCCAGCGGGAATGAATCGGACATGAGCCTTGTCGCGAGAGTAATAGTGGGCGGTGTCTGATTGATCGAATTCACCAGGCTCCGTCTGCTTCAAGCAGAGTGAAGGCGATATGAGGGATTGCGAGGGCCGATGAGCGAAGGAAGGGATCGGCAGAGCAGAGTTTCGCTCACGGGATAATCCTGGATCGTGCTACCGCTCGAACAACCTGCATCAAGAATGCAAATCCCGTGGCGAGTGACGAATACCTGGTGGTAAGATGACGATAAGAGACAAACCGTTGGGCTTCGCTGGGGTGGTATTGATATCAACGGCGCCCTGGTTGTTGGCCTGAGAGATGGGTGAGTGAGGTTACGGCGAGAGGAATGACGGCAAAGGCGACCGAGGACCACGTGATTCACGTGACCCGTGCTCCAGCCTTCTTTTTCTGCACGGACTTTTCCGTTACCGTCCACTCGGAGTTGCTAGGCCGACGGTCACGTGCAATCTGATTATCTCGCTTTATTCCGAACTACATCTACTTCTATTCTTGATACATACTATCAACTCATCACAGTATATCTGTACAATGGGGACCACCTGATCATTGCTCTCCTGCTTTCAATCTGGTGTGCTAGTTGTCAAATTACTGGTCCCAGCGTTAGTCATTTTTTCATTTAGTAGGACCCCTCTTTTGATGTTTGATTGACATTTGAAACGCGGAAACGGCTTGAACTCCATCAAGGAGGCAGATGCCATATAAAATCAACATCTAACCAACATGGATTCAAAGGATCCAAAGAATCATCATAATCCCAACCCGTGAATGGAGCCATTGACGGATCAAAGGGAAGCGAGAACCAGTCATCCATACAGCTATTCCAAGTATTAGTACTCGTTGCTGCAGCAGCAGCAACATCGAGCTTATCAAGGCTGGCAGTCTCTGTCCATTGGCCATGACTGGAATAGTAGCGCTGATCATCTAGCAAGTCCTCTCCGCCAGACAGCCGAGGTGGGAAGTACGAGGACGGCGACGCGGCCTGATTTGCTGGCAGCTGCAACTTTGGCTGCCACTGCTCGCGACCGATGCTACAGTGTCCCTCGCCGGAGTGCTTAGCTGATTCTTTTCCATGATAATGCGGTGTCCCAGAAGACTCAAAGCTTCTGCGTAGACGATCGACCTGGATTTTGAGCAGCTCCCCATACTGAGCAGCTAGATGTATATCATCCAGATTGCTAGTTTGTAGTGCTGAAATTGCCATTTCAAGAACCTGGAGTGACTCGGCTAATTTTGTCCTTCGCACTCCTAGTGCAAGAGCTTTGAGGAGGAAGATCGATGCACTGATCATACGTGAAAACATGCGGATCGGGGCGTAATGGAGACTGTTGTTTGTGTTTGATTCGGCCTTGCGTATGGTTAGTTCTATGATGTGGCAGCAGCCATCGATTACTTCTTCGACTAGGTGGTACTCATGGTCCGACTGGAATGGTCGTGCAGAAAACGTTGGTCTGAAATTGTGGGCAGATTGGGGCTGCGAGTAATGAGTGATAACTCGCTGCATTCCGGTGGAGCTGGTAAGGACGCGGAGGTATTGATATTCGATGAATAAAAGGTCCTCATAGTGACAATCTTAGCGGCAATTATGTCAGTCAATGCTCAAATTTTCTTCCTCGGTACCCAGTACATGAAGGGAACATACTACCAAAATCAACAGTGGTATACCAATGTGACAACAGTTGTTGTTTCTCCTGAAGACAGTTCTGGAATTTCTCATCATCGTCGGCAGTCATCAGTGGAAACAATGTATCTGTGATACTTTTTGTAAGCTTGGTCAATTCAACCCAGCAATTCATAAATGATTGCCACTGCTGGTTGAGATCTGTGCTGAGATCCTTATCAACCTCTAAAAGCGCGACGGTAGACTCAGGACACATGAATGAGGTGCACCCTAATCGGGAAGACATCAGATTTATGAAACAATACAAGAGCTTCGGAAGTCTCTCGCGGCGTATCTTCAAGTGCTCTGTATAAGCCTTAGCATCCGGCTTGACAGCATCAAAAAAAGCGCCGCTCTTTCCTGAAAGAGCAGGTTTCTTGTCGAATATCCCTACTTCATGCGCCAACGCCAGTGCGGAGCTTAGAACCATCCAGGACATCTGTTCCGATCTCTTTGTTGGTTCAATCACGTCCCTTTTCCAGCGCTCCAACGCTGGGATCTCATGGCTGAGAGGAGGATCGCGAGTATCAGGCATTGTCAGCAACACATCGGAATCCCAACCGTCGCTGTCTGGCGGAAAGTGCACTGAGAGTGGGTACCATTCGACAATAAGTAATAGGGCTTCGATCGTACCGACATTCCTAGTCTTTGCTTTGGATGCTTTCTCTTGACCCAATATCAGACGCAGTAACAAGTGCTGGCAATGCTGCCACAATCTATGATGGATAAATAGTCCGCGTGTTTTCCCCCCTGGTCCTGGCAGAACATGATATCGCGAGGAAATAGCCAGTATAGTGCAGCATAGCATGGGTTCCTGTGTAACGAGCCAGTATTGATTTTTATGAGAAGCGTAGAAGTCCGTCAGAATGGGAGATCGATTTGACATGTTGATGAAAAAGCTTACGACGGTAATTAGTATTAAACCTATTCAAGACTGAAGCTCAACTTGAATAGGACTTACAGATCGGCCAAAGTCATTGCTTCGTGAGCTGTAAACCAGCCCATCTTCACAAATCGACAAGCATTCCATATACGCAAAATGTCATAATCTATAGAGTCAATGCTGCTTAGTTGAGGTGTCGACTGCTGCAAGGAAATTGGCGACTCTTCCACCTCGCGAACAGATGGGAAACCGGTTAGGGCTGTTTTCGAGGTTGAAGGAAAGGCATTGGCCGGCTCTGTACATGTAGCTGCCTCAAATAGTATATTCAATGCATCGTTTTCACTAGAAACCATTGTCCGCAAGACTGATTCTTGGATATTGTTGGATTCTTCAGTACGGTCCACTAGTTGTAAGTCGGTTGTGCTAAGTTCATCGACTGCATTCGGTTTGTTTTTTGGCGAGACAAGTTTCGAAGATAGTAAACTTAGCAAAAGTTAATTCCCCGTTGTCTTGAAATGAAGGAATATTTGATACCTCCTCTGTTCTGAAGATGTAGATGTCCGTCTCGTCTGCCTAATCTCGGCACCTGTATATAGACCCTGTCAGAAAAAGTTGCCAGTCAGAAGATGGCGAACTTGCCTTTCCGTTGCCGTGACCAGGGAACTTTCGTAGAGAAAGTACATTGCAAACCTTGCTTACTACATCTTGCACATGGTGCTTGGCTATCGTCATCACTCATCTGACACTTGATTTTTCTCTCCCGACACGGAAGACAAGCTCTGTAGGCACGTTGGAACTCATAATCCAGGAGCTTTCTGCTGCGTGGAGGCCTCTTTTTCGACTCGTTGGCCATAGTGATAGGAGCGGCTCTTTCTGCCCGCTGGTGCGCTTCAAGGATGTTCTAGATAGAAATTGCCTGTCCACCCCGCGATGATGGGCGGTTATTGTCGAAGCTAGAGAAGAAAATGCTCGGCTATTGCACAATATCCGCAGTGGATCCATCCCCACGTTTTCATGCCCCGGATTAGGGTTCCCCATATTTACAAGATACGTACTAGGCAGTTATGTATTAGTCTCTAGAATCATGATATGGGCTATACAATTTGCAGGGCGCGACACTTTGATGTTTTTCGGCCGAGAAATGTAATTGTAATATTCCGTCTCACACAAAGTCCATGAACTATGAAAAAAGGCCAGGAGTCAAAGAGAGTTTCTCCTATGAATGAGAACCATCCATACATGAGCATACATAACCAGTTAATAACAGTTGCAGGTGCTGTTCCATCAGGTAAGATAGCGGAATCTCGGGTTATAGTCACCACCGTCTGTGACATCAATCCGAGCATCCTCATCAACTACACCATATTGCCTGTCTCTCTTCCGATTCTCATGCTCCAACTTGAAGTGCAGACCCAGAGACAAGATGACGACCATGCCAGTAAAAGCACATCCGATAGCACAGCCCTTGACGTAGGTGGGACCATCTTCCTTTGGAAACACAGAACTACTTACAAAACTGGAGCATTGTCCCAAGATAGCTAAAACTGCCATTCCGCTACCTCGCTTGGAGTCACCTCCCTGATTGTTCAGAAGCCAAGTGATGTTCAGCGCCAGTGCGGGAAATATGCCACAAGTAGCGAGCCAAACACCCAGGTACCGAGGACCGGTCTGCGTCTGGTCTTGAAGGGCTACCAAGAGAACATAACCTATGGTTCCCATGCAACCAAACGCGCTGATGATATAACCTCGTACACCGAATCTATCAGAAACGAATGCTGCCCCAATACAGCATAAAAATGCAGCAAGATACGGAGGGGCGGTAAGTCCCTGGGCTCTTACGCTGGAGAAGCCCATGTCCATGATAATAGTTGGCAGGAAGTTAGACAATCCCGCAAATGAGTAATTGCAGCAGAAATGTATGGCCATGTGAACATAGTTCTTATAATCGGTAAGTCCACTCAAGACTTGAGTCCACTCGACTTGTTGTTTCCGTGTTGTATCAATGATTTGTAGCCTCTCAACGGCTTCAGTACGCTCATCTTCGGTAAGGAATTTGGCGGTATCAGGGGAGTCTGGGAGGAAGAAGAACACTACAGGCGCAAAAAGAATAGTGGGCGCGCCCTCTTTGGGAAAATGATTAGCCTCACATTTTTGCCATTGTTATGGACCCACATCAACTTACCGATGAGGAAAAGAAGTCTCCACGGCGCGATTGAATGCTTGATCTGTGTGATGCCGTATGCAAGAGCACTTGCAAAGCAGTTTGCTAGGGGTGATGTACCCAATAGAATAGACACTCGAAATCCCAATTCACGTCGATGGTAGAAAAGCGAAAGGAAGTATGGAGCACCTGCACCAAATGCGGCTTCGAAAATGCCGAGAAAGCATCGATCAACAACGAGTCCCGCCATATTGTGAACCGTGCCAGCACACATTGCAGTGATACCCCAGCTAGAGAGGAAAGAGAGTTTATTAATTGCCGTGCATATCTTTATCTTGGTGGTACTCACCAAACGCACAGAACGGCAATGTAGATATGGGCCGGTAAGACCTTCCACAACACTGTTGTCCATTCGAACAAGACATAGCAGATGTAGAACGAATACAGAACCCAAGAGAACTGAAGACTGCTGAGTCCAAGATCTTTCGATAGTCCGGCCGTATTCGCGTTGCCAATATTACCTTCCGTTCCATCAGTACAGTCCATCGATAGCACAAAGTTTGTTGAACACCTACCCCTGTCTAAGTAAGACAGGACATACAAAACACAGACTATGGGCAAAACTCGACGGTCAAACTATAAACATTGATTAGATGATTGATGAATACGAGATGAAGAGGAACACATGCCTTTCTGACAAGGAGTGGGCTCCGTGTAGTTGGAGTGGTGACAGGACCCTCATTATCTTTCTTACTCCAGCTGTCCTCCAGGTGCAGAGTCTCCCCCTGAACCTGGGTATCTTTAGTAGTTGTCATGATTTGGAAATTTCGCGAAGCCGATATTAACGAGTAACTAAGCTCAGGGATAATCAAAAAGAGATTCTCGGCTCCTTTATACTTGTGCAGTAACCGCTTGAGCACTCGGGTATACAGGGATGAACATGTCTGCTATGGGTCGTGTATTAGTAGATAATAAGGCGTGCAAGCCCCATGGGGTAGACTGCTTACCCAGAAACCCTCAATTCCCGTGTCCGTGCTCAAATAGAGATCGGGAATTGCCAAACATCCGCTGTGATGGAAAATTGGCATTATCCGCGTCGTTGAAATATCCGCGATGCTACTCAAAATTCGAGTATATATATCAAGCGTGCATGTATGCTTAGAAGCAGTCCTAAATCAATCAAGTCGTACCTGTCCTGCATTCTTTTGTTATTTTTTTTTGGAAAAGACAAACCTTAAAATTCACCCACTTTGTCTTCGTTATTCACAAATTGAACACAACCGTTTCAGAATGGCCACATCTTACCCGTTCAAGTTTGAGAGCACAGGGTACAAAGACATCGAAGCAAGCAATGGTGCTACTCGCGACATAACGCTGACCCTCAAGAACGTTCGCGGACGCATCCCCTCACTCCAAGCCTCCCGTCTCCGTTCAATGATGCTCGAAGCCCACAACAGCCCTGATAAAATTCTCGCGCACTGCTGTTCTTATGACGGATTGTCTTCTCGTCTTGTTGAGGAGGCCGGATATCCAATGGTATTTCTTGCCGGATACCCCGTGGCAAGTTCCTACGGCCTCCCTGATACGGGATACATTGCTATGGAGGAAATGTGCCATAAGATTCAGGAGGCTGTTCGTCAAGTCAGTGTTCCTGTCATGGCAGATGGTGATACCGGCTATGGAAGTCCTATGAATGTGCGACGTACCGTGGAATGTTACGCAGCTGCTGGAGCTGCGGGCGTGATGATTGAAGACCAGACGTGGCCAAAACGTAAGCAGACTATCAAAGATTCTTAGATTGAATCTATAATAATCAAACATAATCAACTTTCCAGGCTGCGGACATACCAAAGGAAAATCAGTGGTATCCCGTGGTGAAGCCTTTGCTCGCATACAGGCCGCATGCGATGCCCGCAACGAAGGAAAGGACATCTTTGTCCTCGCCCGGACAGACGCTCTCATTCTCGGATGGGACGAAGCAATGGCCCGTGCCAAAGAATTCAAGCGTCTCGGGGTTGACGCAGTCTTCGTCGAAGCCCTTCCCGATCGCGAAGCAATGAAGGCCTGCGTCCAAGAAATCGGTATTCCAACGTTTGCAAATATCATTGAGGGCGGAAAGACAGAGAATCTTTCTGCTAAGGACTTGGCCGAGCTCGGATTCTGTGCTGTTGCATATCCGTGGACTCTTGTTGCGGCGAAGCTCAAGAGTATCCGGGAAGCTTTGGAGGGTTTGAAGCATAGTATGACTACTGGTCCACCTCCGCAGATCCTCAGTTATGCTGAGGTGTGTAAAGGAGTGGGTTTCAATAGATACTGGGTACGTTATATTTCTGCCACTTCCATTGCAATTTTGGGACCTATTTTAACATTCGCCGTGTAATAGGACCTCGAGGAGAAGTACAAATATGAGGCGTAGATGGAATCACGTAGGTATAGATTCCAATTTTTGTGAAATTGTCAATCTCATTCACCAGGGAGGCCGAGTGAGGCCTGATCTAGGCCCACTATAATATGACACCACACCAGTTTGTATATATCAAGATTGTGGACTGGGCGACGTTGGAACGTTTAATATGTGGTTGCCAAAATTATCCAGGATATATTGATCCCCGGTATATTCCGTGGTAATTACATATATGTTGTATACCTGTATCGATGATTTATCGTATTTACATCTGTATAACGCGTATCAATCTTTTCTTGCCGTTTTGGCGGTATGGTTAGATAAAGTATATCACATCAGACTGTATACTTTTTAATCCATGGTAGCCTGGAATATGTCTCCTAATAGAATATTTTTGATTTAAAAACCGATCTAAACTTTCCCCTCAAAACGTGGGACTAATTATCATGTTTGCTCTAATATACAACGAGCAATTCATGATCTATAGTCAGATCGAAGAAATCAGCAAAGGTCCTTATTGATATTCAGGCTACTTCCCCGCAACCTGACTGTTTCTGGACTTGTGGAATCTGCCGGTCGTACACACGAGGACGATCGACTAGAGGATCGAATAGTCGCGTTTGGTGCCCATGGCATCACCGGCACTCGAACACTGTCATCAGAGTGTTGCTGAGGACCCTTTACAGTACCACGCCTTGACTGCAAAGCTTCCAGATCAAATAAATCGTGAATTCTCTTGCGCCCTGTTCTTGAGAGAATGCCAAGTTGTCGAAGTCTCCGCTGAGCAAAGGACGTTCTGATGACATCGCCTTCGTTCTCGTCCCACGAATTGTGATACTTGTTCGAATTTTCGCGCCGGGAGGCTTCCGGAGAGCAGTTGACTGTTAGTGAACTACCTCTTTCCGAAGGCAAGATTGATCTCGGTCCGTCGTAATAGTAGAGTTCTCCTGGGGGATTGATGCCTGATTCAGCCAATTCGTCCGTGCGAGGATTCTTGGCGCGAAGGTATCGTCGTCGTAGATAAAGTATGAGTCCGCTGACCAAGGTAACGCCAATGAGGACAAAGGAGACAACATAAAAAGCTTTTCGCTCTCGCCTCCATTTCGCTTGGCAATGTGCGTTGATAAGTTGAGCGTTCCTCACAGGGTAGCACATCTTGCAAGTCTGGGCTACGCTTGGATCGATCTTCTCGGCGTTGCAAAGCTCGTTAAGACGATTAGCCTCACAGACTCTGTCCTCACAGATCTCATCCCTGCGGTACTTGTGTTTTAACCGATGTCTGGCTGTATCGGGAAAGGAAGAAATCGCATCACGAGCCAAAATCTCTTCGCTAAACTCAGTTGAAAATGTTTTTTGTAGTTCAATTTCTTCCAGATCTGGTCGATTCTTTCTAATTAAAGCCGGGAGGTTTCGCTGCTCGCGGGATTGTACGTGGCGATGCATTGATCTATCGACAGCTTGGTCTAGTATAGCAACGACTCTTTCACAAGCTTTGACAAAGTCTAATGAAGCAGTGTCGTTGCTGAATTCTCCGGAAAGCACATTGAGACCATTGAGGAATTGCCCACAAACCCTGACATCCTCGATGAGGCGATCTCGATTGCCTCGAACTTGATTCATGCGAACGTCGTCGGTGTCGATAAGTTGCTTTCCTTGGCCCAGGGGGGTTTCGTCGTTTCTTTGATGGGGTGTGAAGCATAGGGAAACTGCCACGAGGCATACAAGAGTCGAGTAGTAACGCATGGTGATTAGCAAATGGCTTGCACTGCGATGGAATCTTGAAAGTGAAACTGAATATAGCATGCAACAGATATTGACTGCGGTGACGATGGTATACGGCTTAAACAGACGGCCAGATAGAAGGTTATACAATGTCCCAATGTAGGCGTTATGTTTATAGAATGAAAGTGTTCACTTCCTCCGCCCTAAAGAAGAGGAAGTCACGTGTGGCCAGAACGAGCATGAGGAAGGAGCGACCATCCTACTCGCTTGTCATGTGATATAAGCCAACGTAGACTCGGGCTATTATCTCGGCACTTGTATCGACTCTTTCATAATGTAAAGATACCACAGAAATGTGCATCAGACATTCATTCCGCCAACCCCAATGCCACGTCATCGAATGGTATACAAGGGGTATAATTCTATCATTGATAATGGTAGTTAGGACCAGAATCCGGGTATGTTTGAGATGCTGGATGGTCATTGGCAGGCAATGAACTCTGTGCGGCGTAGGTATACGGCGGGATTTGCGACCCCGCTTGAGAAGAGGATCCTTCATCTGGAGATAATCGTTGCCTGACAGTGATTGACTCCCGCACAAAACTGTCCAATTCATCCCGCATATTCCATCTGGTACAACCATAATGCAGTATATCGATTATATACTGCAAACATCTTGCGGCGCGGGAGCGACAATTTATCCGGTCTTCCACCGCAAGATATGGAGGCTCAGGTGTACCAGGCGGAACGGCAGGAGGCTCAGGCAGTTGATTGCTCAAAAGCAAATCATAACTTTCTTCCAAGATATTGACCAACCGATCTCCAACCTGGTATACTCGTCGGATATCCACGAATGTCATAAAGGGAAGGCTGCCTGGTTGTTCCAATACTTGGTGGAGCTGGCTGACGTAGTCAATGCATCGATCAAAAAGCACAACTCGGCTGAAGTCACAAATTTCCGGGTCGCCAAATGAAGGCGACAAAAAAACAATCGTACAATACAATAGCTCAAGCCGGTACAGGAGACCAATTGAACTTGTCCTTGTTATCGGCGCATCGGCGTACCATTCTCGCGCGTCTGCGCAAAGTTTCCACGTCCGGGCTAGTGCATGAGGCACAGGGTCTCGCCCATCGAAGTACATTTGCTGGTAGCCCTTTGATAGAATTCGCCGAATCTTGATCATGTGCGTTGCACAGTCCGATTTTCTCATGAATACATTTTCATTAGGTAAATCCACAGGAAGCACGCGAACGATTGGGAGGTCAACATCGACGGAAAGATCGGAGAATGAAAAGCTATGGCCTAAAGACGTACACACAACCCTAGTAAAACAAATGTCAGCAGATTATCTTCCTACCACAAGTATTGTGCAAATTGACATACCGGTCCAAGGTATATAGCGCGTAGAAGAGCCGTCGCCGCCGCTCCAGACGCTCTCTGTCGACGACCACTTCCGTTGGAGGATCTTGATGGAGTCCTAAGTCTATCATTACTCGAGACGCGAAGAATATTAGGAAGCGAGGACGAAAGTGTTCAGGATTGAATAGTGAATATTGTGCTAGAAGAAGGATGGCCTGGATGCCGGAACTTGAGCCAGGTTGTAGGACTTCTCCTGCAAATGGCATTGCTGCTGATACCATGGATAGAGCGAATTGTTGGTTGACGCTCGGTTGCTGGTGCCATAATGAAGCAGATGCGATTGCAAGGACCATGTATACCATCCACTGGTCAATCGGCTTCGCAAACCGGCCTCCATCCTGATAAACTGCCTCTACAGAAGTCCAGAACGTAGTCTCGGTAAAGAGTGGCAGCTGCGTCAATATGTTGTCGAAATAGTATTGAACAAACCTTGTCGCTTCTCGTCTTGAAGGTAGCGGCTGAGGAGCCAGTTGCGGAAGCGGTTTCACGATTGATAACGTCAATAGGAGCTGTGCAAAAGACACATTCGACGTGATACCATGGAAGTCTCGCGATGTGGCATTGACTGATCTATACCGGTAATGTTAGCCTATTGCAATATGAGACCCTTCTCATCGAACACGTACAGAAAGCCAAAGTCCCCCACTAAGTCGTCTATATCTCTGACTTCCTTACGATGAGCCCTTGAGCTGCTATTTTCGGCTGCAAAGGCCGTAATGGAACTTTGCGGCACCTCTTGCCCGCTGTAATGATTTGACCCCTGCGCTTCCTTGCGACGCCGTAATTCGGCAAGACGTTTTTCTAGCTTCTCGCAATATCCCTCCAAGGAGGCGACATAGCTTCTTTCTTTTCCTTTTGCAAACTCATCTGTCGCGCCCGAACAAGTACCGGCCTTGCCAGCCTTTTCGCATGCTGAACAGGCTGGTAGCTTCCCATCACATTTGATCTTGGCAGTGCGACATCTCAAGCATGCCGCCACGGGACGACTTACTTTCAGGACCGGGTGATCGAGAAAGATTGAGGAAGGCATGGCTGGCCGTGTCACATTCTCCTTGGCCAGCAGGAAGTTCCGTAGGTTTTTTGCCTAGTGTCGAGTAATATACACAGCAACGATGAGGCAAGAAAAAGATGTTTTATTGTACGATCACTGAACATCAATGAATTAGACTACTCGAAAGACAAGTGGAGTCCAAGCAGTCTCTTTTGGGGTAATTGTAATTGTGGAATTTACCGCAGCAAGAGACCATCGGTTAAGGCGTCGTAGCAATATGAAGTTCCGTCGCAGGATGATCTTTTCGTATTGTACCCAGCCCTAAAAGCGAGGTGAGTAGGATCTGCGATGTTGCCGGGCACGGAATTGCCCTTCCTTTCTTGCGTCTTGTCTTCTTGGGCTGACCAGTCTACCGGGGTACGTTTCAGTGCCTGATAGTCGGTGGCACCCCTCTACGATTGCGAGCGTGCCAATAAGAGGCGTGCGATATGAGAGATGGCTGAGGTCAAAGTTGCAACATGAAAGGTCGAGATGCCGGGGTGGGCATGTGGGGTGAAATCTCGGCTATTCCGCCTTGGGCACACCAATCACCCAAAGCAGCCTAGCGCGTGGACTGTCGGTGTACTGCAGCAGACCTTGACTGAAGTTGATTCCAAGACAATTGCTATAGTAATTTACAGCTTGACACCTCAGTTGTTTCATGCCAATCGCAATATAACTCTGATCCTGCCGCAAAGTACAGCTGTGCCTTCAAGTAATGAGCAATTTGCCTAGGTTTCGTCGGAGCAGCTCGAAACTTGTTTGCTGGCTAACATCTCGGAATGACTTGCATCAAACTTGGCAATTATACGCCATGCTGTCAAAGACCTACATCAGATGTCTACCATAAACTGCGATACGTTGCTTCACACAGTTATAATAAAGGATGGTAAAATGGCGTTTTAAAGCCATTCAGGCCAGTGTGACTCAAAATAAGCATTGATCTAGAAAGATCAATACAGCAAATGTACAGAGCTTCTGGCTCTTTGGAATCTTGCGCTAGGGCTTTCCTCTTACGCAGCTGGTGGCTTCAATATAGGATTTTTTTAGTATTAAAAATGACCTTTTAAGGCACAAAAAGACCTTTTTTTTTTTTAGTTAAAAGATCCACTGGATCTCTGTTGCTATTCATCTATTGGATCTTAATCATTTCCAGTCGTTTTTATGACTAGTCTAGGCACATGAATCCAAGTATGGTTGGTTTTTCATTCCTCATGAAAGAGCTGTCGGCGAGAATGAGCGTATCGTCTGTTTGTATGCAGGTGATCCCGACTCCTTACTTATGGCCGGAGCAATGAAAATGTCGTGGGTTGTGTTTTGAGCTAACTCCTTCATTGTCCCTGCGGTGTACGTGGTAAGTGTAGAACGAGCAGTTACCTGATTTGGGAATTCTGTAGAGTCATAATGTGATTTCTAGCAAGGCTTCTCTTGGTATTTTGGCAGCGAGCTGTGTCAAAGGAAGTGGCAGTTGAGGTTTGTCTTTGATTGAATTTTTGCTTCTATCAGGTCGTGAATACACAAACCTTACACTTGACACATTCCAGAGAGCAGGAGATCATACGAGCATCTCGAACTATTTCATTGCTGTTGTAAGCCTCTACAACAAGTCGTAGTCTCTTCAAAGTTTGATCTGAGCTAAAGTTTCCATCCATAGATCGTGCAGTAATAATCCTGGTGGTCACTGGCGCTCATTACCTTAAGAAGATACCTCGCTCCGCTACAAGTAGGTGACCTATCAATATCCCTCCAGTCGAAATGAATTTAGACCACAGTGGAATACATGCCAAGCGTTGCGAGCAGAAACTTTCCTGCTAGTGGGCGGAACGACATCGTTCGTGCTGAGTTCGTGGCTCTGGTGCCTCGCCAATAGGTCCCTGAGTAGGGTTCTATGTCAGGTCTTGCATAGGTACGGATTTGACGATTCTTTCTCGTCGTCTAGTTGAGCACCCCCATCCCGCGATTTCTTGTCCTTTGTATAGATTTCGTTAATAGTTGAGGGGAGCTCGGTTGGACCAGTAGGAAGCTCGATCGTATACATCATTCCTCCTTCTATCTGTCCCAAACAATCTGCAAATTGACGGTGCAAATGGCCAGTTCAGTTTTGTTGAAGAAAATCGATTTGAGTCGAATAATGTAGCGAGAGTGATTTGTGGAGGTAACCTCATATGTGTGGCTAAATCGACTTACGATTGGTGTCATCAGCGTGTTGGTCTCCGGCCGACAATAACATGCAGGTATTTTCAAAGTGAACGCGTAATTATCCAGGTTCTGCAGATGGAGGAGAAACTGTGTTGTCGCGTTGACAGTGTGGAATCAAATTTTATTTACCTGAGTCGAGTCTGATTGCTGCTGTCCTTTGTCTTTAGGGATGTTTTTGGGAGCGAGATATTGGCTATAACGCGATACAAAAATCAGTACTGTCGCTGTCGATGAAGGAAGCCTTTCGTGAATTAAAAATGATAGGTATCCTGGAATTTGTGAGCATCTTGCTCCACAGCCTTGCTTTACTTGATGTGGGCTTTTTTGAAGAATAGTAAATCTATTGAGTACGCTGTAGCCCGATTGTAGAGTTCTGCTGTGATCAACTTACTTAAGCAGTCTAGGAGCGTTGAATCCGTACTTCCTCTAGCCAATTTTTTCTCACCCTATGTGTACTTATCTACGTACACACTAATCTCAGTACTACTTCTTTCAACACCCTAAGCGATCTCCAACGGATCACATCACTTATATGGAACATACACTGTTTGGCCTCTAATTCGGTTGGATTAGATCACTGCGGATGAGTTGGTCAGCCTGAAAGAGGTCTATCGACTTCTGTGCAAGGCTTTTATTGTTGATGACATCTACCAAATAATCTAATTCGGCCAAAGAGTAGAACAAATCAATAGCAATTTATAATTATTCAAGTGTGTGAGACTGCGGTTGGCGGTCATCGTTAGGCTTTCCAGGTTCCACCGCTCAGTTTAAGGAAGTTGCGAAAAATTGTTCGTCCATGTTTAGTAAGGATGCTTTCTGGGTGAAACTGCACTCCCTCGGTTGTGAACTCTGCACTGCTATATTAGATCCAATCTCTCTCAAAACAAGAAGGGCCGAGTAACCGACCTTTGTGCCTGCATCCCATGATAATAGGCTTTGCGTCTTGTTCCAGATTCGTCGAAGACGACACTTCGAGCGAGTCGGGAAGTGTAGGATGTATGCCTGCAAGGGAATGGTATCTAGCAACATCTAATGAAGCCGGTAGCCCGTCATACACGCCCTTTCCATCATGCTTCAATACCGAGGCTTTCCCATGTAAGATCTCMCCCGCCACATCAACCTTGCCACCAAACACAGAAATTAGGCATTGATGGCCCATGCAGACCCCAAACACGGGTATTTTCCCACTGAATTCCTTGATTGCTGCTTTGCTAATTCCTGCATCGGTGTCTGGATGGCCAGGGCCAGGACTGATTACCAACTGTGTGGGCTTCTTGGCAATCAGCTCCTCCAGCGTGATCTGGTCATTGCGGTAGACAGTGACTGAAGCACCTTCAAGGGCCAGGTATTGATAGATATTCCAAGTGAAAGAATCATAGTTGTCGATGAGAATGACATTAGATGCAGAGCCGAGGTTTTCGATCTTTGTCGAATTGTGCTGGGAGTAGTCGACTATGCCATTCTCCATGATGTCTTACAGCGACGTTCTTACCGCGAAGTATTGTCGATCTTGTGGGCTATCCAAAATGATTTTACTCTCGCCGGCTGGTTGAAAAGGAGAGTGAGTCGGCGGAGTGCGGAGGGGCGAGTGTGTGACATTTTATACCCCCACCGTATGTTACCATTAGGATAATTATGATATAATTTAAAACATCCTTTTTTGAGCCGATACTGCATGGTAGTTCCCCAGCATTTGATTGGCGCTAAGACCGTCATCAAAATCTACTCTTCGCATAATAATGTTTCTATTTCGCGAAAAAAAAGAGAGAAGAAGCAATATGATATTTAGGCCGTGAATACGGCTATCCGAAATAGGAAATAGGAAAGCCTACATCTACCTGACCTAAGAGTTTTCAGTGATTCAAGCGCTTTTCCCAAATTGTCCATCTAGTCTATTGTGAGAATGACTTTCCCTCGACCAGAATACCTCCCGTTAGTGTGGTCATACGCTTGTCGCACCTCCGAAAGAGGATACGTTTGTAATACAAAAGGGCGTAGCTTGTCCACTTCTGCAAGCTGGGCTAGAAATTTTAAAACCCTTTTGCCACCCTTCACGATGAAAAACAATGCATTGATTCCTTCCTTGCTTAAACCACGCTTCTGATGATCAGCAACAAAGTCGTAACTTGCAGAATCCACTGAGATAATGGAGCCGCCTTCTTTAATATTTTCCCAACATCCTGATAGAATACTCCCTCCAACTGTATCAATAATAACATCGAAGCTCTTCTTGTATTCGCTCAGCAGAGCACTGTACTCCACCGTCTCATCAGCACCGAGACTCTGCAGGAACTCTTTATTGCGAGCGTTTGAGCTTGTTGCGGCCACAGTGTACACATCAGATATAGACGCCAGTTGAATCAGGTAGATCCCTACCGCTCCGGCGGCACCGGTGATCAATAGGCGTTGTTTGTGCTCAGATGTCAGAGACCGATGGCCATCCGGTCTAGAAACATCCCCTAGTACAGGAACAGATATACCTGCATGATCATATAATGCCTCGTAGGCAGTCATGGCACTGAGGGGCATTGCGGCTGCCGCATCCCAGGTTAGACCTTTTGGCTTCAAGGCTACTTCATCCTCCATAACAATACAGTATTCTGCCCATGTACAAGGTCGATCACCATCAGTCATTCCAAAAATCTCGTCACCAGGCTTGAACGAGCTTTGCGGGGAGAAAGTCTCAATGACGACTCCGGACAAGTCGTTTCCGAGAATGGGGTATTCATGGGCATACGTCTCAGGCCATGTCAACATGTCTCGAATCACTGTTGTGGCCTTGACACGGACTAAAATCTCTCCGGGTTTTGACAACTTAGGGACAGGCAGATCTTTGTCAAGATGTAATGCCGAAGACGGAGCTGGGTTTGAAGGAGAGTATGCCTGCGACGTGGCAGGAGCAGGATGAAGACGAACGGCCTGCATTGGGGGCGGGATCTTTCGCCAAAGATGTCCTTAAGGTGAAAATATTGAGAATAGCCTTGATTATTTTCTGATAGACTAAGAATAGATGAAGTGAGTGAATAGTGTACGTAAAGGTGGATGAGACTATAATAATGTACATGAAAATACGAACGTACGTGGTCTAATGAGTCTCATATGGCTTAGTCCTTTGCTTTCCCCTCCATGCTTCGTACTTTCGTCGATAGCTACCCAATACAGAGATATTGGTCTGGGCACTTTCTCATCAATCGTACCGCCCCCAAGGTAGTAGTAAGGCTATGTTGCATTCATTGTTCAATAATGTAAAAATCAGGTCTGATTCCGTCATAAATCGCTCACTGGAGATAGTCATAACCATCGTCTAACGAGATATATATACGTAATAGAAACATTTTTTCCTAGAGACTGCAGTAGGTTCGGATGCCGCCTACTCCGCAAATTTCTTGGCCCACCCCACAAATCAAATTAGCGTCGGGATTCGGATCCTTGTTGTGATCGACGACCCGTAGTTAAGCCTCTTTTCCCGCAGTCATAACACGCCATGTTAATTTCATCAGATACATGTATTTGTATTACCGGTACATGAAATTACCAGTACCAAGCCAAAGTATTAAGTTACATACTAGGCCTTAGTGCTCGGAAGGGTATAACCGTGGACCCCACTCTTGGTGTGCACAAGAAGTATCATTAAGTCGACTTTAGTAGACAGCAGAATTGGATTTCAGTGATGACTATAGTAGGGCGCAGCGTTGCCGGTATGATGTCGTTGTAGTGTCGGCGGATCACTAAGCACGCTATATTGAGAAATTGCGTAATCGTCCCACCTTGGTTTGGGTGGATAGAGTTTGGATACTATGTCGCTAGAAGTTTGGCTGCGGTGAGTCTGACTCAGATCAGCATTACTGTTGGAAATGTACCTGGCGAATGTCAGGGAATTGCACGGGGATTTTTCCCGTTGCCAAGTTTCAGGCAACGCATGGGTCAGGCTTAGACGGTATATGTATGTAATCATAAACGTTGAATGCTCTTGGAACATTCGAAGATCTATTGCTAGCTTTTACTAAGGTTTTGTCCGTGTTTGGGCTTTACATGAACCATGAAGTTGTTTATCGCCACCTTTTTGCCAGCATTTGCGGCTGCAGCAACCTCCGTCTCGATCAGTGCAGGAAAAATTAATGGTGGACGATGTGAGAGTGCCGAAGACACGGTCTTCTTCAAAGGAATTCCCTTTGCTGAACCACCGGTTGGAGACCTGCGTTTCGAGCCCCCGAAACCCTACAATGGGAAGTTCCCGGAAGAAGGGCTGAATGCAACTACATCAGCAATCTCATGCATTCAATTCACACACGACTATACCCCAGCACTACCCACATCGGAGGACTGGTAAGCCAAGTCATTCACTTTCATCATTCTACATGTGTCTTCAGAGTTTAATCGTTTTTCAGTCTTTATCTGGACATATATGCACCAAGAAACATTACCAAGGACTCGGGACTGCCAGTCAAAGTTTGGATATTCGGTGGTTCAAATACAGAAGGAACTATATCGGATTCGTTATACGACGGCTGCAACTCTCCCAATGGCGATTCTATCCTTGTCACAATTAACTACAGAGTGGGCCCCCTTGGTTTCATGGCACTCAGCAGTGCTGGGATCCAAGGTAACCAGGGAATCCAGGATCTGATTCTTGGGCTAGAATGGGTTCAAAGCAACATTGCGGCCTTTGGTGGTGACCCTGTATGTAACACCACTCTGATGCAAATCACTGTATAAGAATATGGAGCTGACAATCGACTTGATATACAGAATCAAGTGCTTCTGTTCGGCCAATCAGCCGGCGCTGAGAATGCATACGTCATTGCATCTCTCCCTCAAGCTCCTTCCCTCTTCAAAAGTGTTATCTCGGAATCAGGTGGTGGTAGGGGTCTCATCAATAACGCGACTACACAAATGATTGGAGCGTCATATGCGCAGGCTCTGAACTGCAGTCTTACGGATGTGAGTTTGCTGATTTGGGAATACTCGACTAAGCGTGCTGACTTGTACAGAAAGCTTGCCTGAAGCTCAAAACTGCTGATGAGCTTACCAAGGCGTATGATGACGATGACTTCCTGTCTCAAGGAATTGGCTACTGGGGCTTTCTCGGGATACTCGGTCCCGTAACACATTCGTTCTACCCCTACGCAGATGGCAAAATCGTCCCTGAGGATCCTTACACGAGCGGAGTAAAAGTCCCGGCAGTTTTTGGGTTCAGTGAGTCTTCACCACTAGCAATATGCCATATTAGAAACACAGTAGCTAATAGTCACCCAAAGCCAAAAACGATGGTATCATTTATTCTATTGACTGGGCCAACTCGAGCGGAAATATTCCATCGCTAGCGGCATACGAGGAGTTCTTGCGTAAGGACTTTGGGCAGGCCGCTTCTCTTGTTGAAAAACAATACCCTCTCTCTTTGTTCGAGTCTACTATCGGTGACTCACCGCTCCTTGGCGAGTTATCCGCCGCCTTAGGCCTGAACAAAACCGAGGCTGCCGTTGTTGTAGCCATGGCTACCGTCATCACCGATTCGACGTACAAGTGCCCAGCATACTACGGTGCAGCACAAGCTACGCGTAACAATATCCCTGCATGGACCTATGAATTCACCCACAACTCAACTTGCACATGGATAGATACCATCCCCCAAAAATACGTCTCCATTTTCAGTGCCACACACACCGCCGAAATCCCGTTTGTCTTTGGAAACATGAACAACTTCGATCTCCCAGATGGGGATTGTACGTTCACTCAGTCCGAAAAATACCTCAGCCAGCAGATGAGAAGCCTTTGGACGTCAATGGCTAAACATGACGACCCGTCAACCGCGAGCCTCACTTGGCCGCGATTTCACACGACAGAAAAGAATCTCACAACTCCGGGATTGATCTTTGGAGACTCGGCAGTGGCCGGCACAGTTGATTACACTGGGTGTGATCTGTGGCCTAAAGTCCACGCCATCCTGGCAGGGAGCAACTCGACAACAACTTGGAGCAGCCCGACTCTTTATTAAGCTCCACCAGCAGCGTAAATACGTTCGTTGTCAAATGGTGCATCTATTTCGCTGCCTAAGGCAAGCGGTTTTTTCCCTTTCACCGCTCGAGTAATGGGACTATTTCTATAGAATCTAGTATGGCCAAAAGATGTACTCACTTGAAGTTTTAAGACTAAATCTTAGAATGAGATGACTTGGAATAGTATTAAAATGTCCTTCTATCATAACGATATGATCAGCTGTGAAATGTATAGATTTTTATTTTGTTAGATATTTGATCATTTTTTGAGCATGACAGTAAATAGAATTGGAATCCAGATTTTGATGTGTAAAAAGATTATATTACCATGAAACACTCAGTCCTGTGCGTACAGTATATAGTGACTAGGTTTTCTGCTCACTTTCGTGAAAAGGAGGGGAGGGGAAGAAAGTTAAAGTCGGGCCAAGGCTCAGCTCAGCATTTTGTGCTCTAACATCCCTTTGGTGCAGTGTAATTGATAATGATATCCTCGGTTATTCCATATTTGGGACAACGTGAGACATTCGAATAATTTTTTTGACTATTGACTACTGGACATGAATACCAGAATTGAAGCATAAAACCACCAGGAGGTACCCTCAATTGCCTCTACTGCAAGTGCAGTCTTTATTTTCCTTCCAAAGGCATCACCTGAATTTCACCGGTATTTTAAAATTTGAACTTGTTACTTATCCTGACACTCCTGCTGACACGGAAGTATCTCAGACTGGAATGTCGGACTTAAGGTCCGCTTGCTGCAACCATTTATCCATTGCCTTCTCCATCAAATCCTTAGTCAAAACGACCTACCAAGCTTCAGTAAGTGTATCAAGTTTGAGAGTATAAGCAACGGTTCAGTCATGTGTGGCTTACCAATTCTTCTGACTCTATGAGTGTATCATGATCTGCATCTTCAACAATGGCCCACTCGACATTCTCCGATCCAACCATTTCGTCCCAGCCACCAGCATCGAAAGACTCACGCGGGACAGTAAGCCAGTCATTGCTAATTTGTAGTTTTGTTCCTGGCCCTTCTTTCTTTGCAAGTTTCGTTGCTTCGAGGACCATATCTGCCATCCTGTCATGGTCACCATGCCCAGCCCAGATGACGAAGATCTTCGGTCGACTCGTGTTTCCTCTGTTATTAAAGGGACGAGGTGCATATTTCATTTTGGCGTAGTAAGCTGCAACTCGATGCTTTTTCCGAAATGCGGGAATCTCCACGTCAGGTTTGCCTTGACGACGGATTGGGGGGAAGACGCCCATCATTTCGAACAGTTCGACAGTTGCCTCCGGGATCGTAGGAGGTGGTCGAGGTAATGCTAAGTCTAGCATAATGATCCCCAGTACTTGCTTTCCTTGTTCATGGAGCTGGTATGCAGTTTCATATGCAGTAGCTGTCCCCATGGACCATCCGCACAGCATGTACGGGCCATCCGGATCAATGCTTTGAATAGTGTTTGCGTAGATGGTGGCAGTCTCTTCTATCGTCCATGAAGTTTCCGATTTGGTCATGAGGAATGGTGAGCCAAAGCTGTAGACCGCACAGTCATTTGAAAATTTTGGTAATGTTCTGTACACGAAGGCATTTCCGGAGCCTGGAGGTGTGAGAAAGAGGGAAGGAACACCCGCTCTGGGGGTCCCCTGAAGCAGGACCGAAAAGCATCTATCCTCAGGCGCATCTTTCATGACAGGTGTAAAATCAAGAAAGCCTGCCGTATCTGGAATCGAACTGATTTGTTGAAAGATTGCACCGACTGTTGCTTGGGTGAAAAACAAGGATGACGGCAATGACACTCCTGTTTCTATTTGAACACGCTTGAGAATTGCGATAGACCGAATCGAGTCGATCCCTAGCTCAATCATCCCAGCAGAGAGGTCAATTGGGTGTCCCATTGTCTTTTCGATCGCCATGCTTAATGACCGCATGACTTGAGGTCCTGAAATCGGTCCATCAATACTGTGCCCGCCCTGCGTATTTTGGCGTTCCCAGTATGTCCTGACCAGTTCCTCCAGTTTGGTCTTCTGGACTTTCCCTGCCATAGTCGTTGGATATTTTTCATGCCCCAATGTTTGTATCGATATCACTTCTGCTGGAACATAAAGATTTCCCATCCGTGTCAATACAATATCCTTAAGTCTATCCGCTGTGGAATCATCGATTTTCTGGTTCACCACAGCAACAGGAACTTCGCCGGCAATATTGTCCGGTGCGCGTACAATTTGAGGCTGAAGGATGTTGATGTCGGGGATTTGACCCAGGACAGCCTCGATGGCTGATGGTTCAATATTCTCGCCTCCACGGATAATGGTATCTTTGTATCTACCAATCAAGTAGAGACGACCGTCGGTACCAATGAAGGCTTTATCACCACTACGAAACCACGGGCGCCCGTCCTCTCCGTTGTAGAAGTTACTATCCATTCCTCCAATATAACCCTTGATCAAAGCTGGGCCTGAGAAATGAATCTCACCAGCCTCACCAGTCTTAGTTGATGCATTACTGTCCTTGGCACAGACACGAACAGTCATACCCGGGAGTGGAGTGCCAATAGAAACATCTCTGCCTTTGATTATATCGCTGGCATGGCTCACAACATCAGTAGAGATAAGAACGCCCTCGGTCATACCATAGAGATTTTCGACCCCCGACGCACCCAAGGTGTCAAGGCAAATCTTGATGACCTCTTCAGTCGGTGGGGAGCCCCCCATTACGATCCGCCTAAGTGAATTGAGCTTCCCGGATGCAAGCGATACATTGCTTAGAGCATGCAGCATGGTTGGCACCAGTCCAGCGTGGCTCACTTGCTCCTCCCTGATGGCCTTCGCCACAGCCTCTGGAACGAAGCTTGGCCCCGGGAGCACGACTGTAGCCGCGTTAAGAAAGGGACCTATAATACAAAGCCAGCCAAACCCGTGGTTGTTTGGCAATGTAAATAATGCCCGGTCTCCAGGCAGCATAGGGACACTGCTTTCGCGCCAGCGTAAAGCGGCGGAAAAGCCATACGCAGATGGTATAAGACAGCCTTTAGGGAGAGACGTGGTCCCACTAGTGAAGAAAATTGTCCGATCAGAAAATTCTGAGTCGTGATCTCTATACACGCTTTGCTGGAGATCAGGAGCAGGATCCGACATCACCTCCTTAAACGGTGTCCACCCGTCCCTCTCCCCTTCGACCAAAATTCTCATGCAGTTCTGCTCGGACGTCAACTCTTCGATGCGTGCACATATATCAGACTTCCCAGCAATAATGCCCACAAAGTCTGACTGACACTGTCCTGTCACGATTTTCAACATATGCCGCATCTCTTGGGCATTGGATAGACCCTTAGGGTTGATTGGAACATAGGTACAGCCCAATTCGTACGCGGCCCAAGTAGCAATAACGTATTCCGCAGTATTCGGCATAAAAATAACCAAAGGGTCACCTCTCTTCAACCCCCTTGTTTGTAACCCAGTGACAAGTCTTTGTACAGCGTGACTGAGGTCTTGATAAGTCCATCGTAAGTAGTCCGCCCCATGCTTTGCGCTGTCGATGGACGTGCTTGGGATGCCGTATAAAGCTGAGGGCTGCTGAGTGCTGATGAGAGCGATAGTATTGGGGAACTTCACAACATTTTGGTAGAACGCCTCGTAGAGAGAGGTAGGTAACTCTGGAAGGGTGCTTCCATGTAGTTCACTCGGTGCCATCATGGTGGAAGATGATCGCGATTTACTTTTGAGTATTCTCCAAAGACACGATCAAGGGGGGATAATGACTGCTATTGTCAACAGTACGAGACACTAGAAGAAACGACAGTAATCAAATCCGGAGAATCATACGGAAGTATAATTGACGGTACATGCCCATCACATGCTACGTAAAGGCTAGCCCAAGCCTATTTACCTGTCTCACCGGAATATTACAAATAATCATACAGGATATAGTGGCGACAAGTCAGGCTACAGTTTTCTAGCTGCGTGCTTTTGCATTTTTAGTGTTAACTTACAGAATACTGCTAAAGCCGAATAGACAAAAGTAACTCCTCTGACTCAGTGTGTGGATAATTCAATTTCAAGGGGATCTTCGGGATTTATGTATTACCTGATTAGCTCTAGCTCGTGTGTTTGGATTAATCAAAGTAAGAATCTGCATACTGAGGGGTATCTACAATGGGATAAGCGGCAATCTGGTGAGAATCAAAGGACACTCTGTTGCCATGAAGCCGTCGATCAACGCATCAAGGGCGTAATGCACGAGCTACGCCCCCATGCTGAGGCTGGACTGCAGTCTGTGGGTACCCGCTGACCGTTTTGCTGTACATATAACAGAATTCTTGTATCTGCATGTATGAGTTTCAGGAGAGGCCCCGATTAAAATACAGTCTAACAGTATTAGATTGCATCAAGTAATACGTACGACCCACTACGGTGAAATCCTTGTAAGGTGCGGCCCGCGGAGTGAAGAATCCATTAGCAGGTGCAGATTGTCGAGGATAAAAATATTTTATTACGGTGATCAGAATACTGGCCTCTCTCTGGTTACTAATCAATAACAGATACTCTGTACAATTGTCTTTAAGACTTTTCCTACGCTCTATGTTTGGAGGCAGACATAACGTTTTTATTTTGGTACACGGCTCGCCATTGCTTTCTCACGTATAGTGAGCATCACTGAATTAATATCATGCAACCTCGTTATTGACCATTATTGACTGTACATTGCACTTTGTTGTCAGCTCATCATGGCCCATAGAACGACTTCGGCTCGCTCAAAATCGACCGTGATCGTGGGAGAGCGATCTCTGGATGTTGCTGATCTCGAAGTAATCGAGCTGGAAGGCCTCACTGCAAAAGACCCGGCTGAGATAGCAAAACTTTTGAAAGCTGCTGAGAGTCAAGGGTTTTTCTACGTCTCTTTTGACAATAGTCTCTCAAAGAAAATCTCAGAATTTCTCCGAATCTCTTACTTGAACTCTCATGAATTCTTCAGCAAGCCTTTAGACGAAAAGATGAAGGCATTTAGAGAAGATGTCAATTACGGGTATGTTAACCTCCTTACTCACCATAACTCTAGACCTACAGATACTCATACATCAACAGCTACAAGCGTGCAGGCATGGAATCATTCGGAGTAAGCATATCTAAGATTATGCTGAGCTGTAGCTAATATCCGCTAGATCTTCCGAGACGAGCAGGACAGTATGTCTCTGCCAAGCCCCTTTGCAGAACATGCTGTAGCGACGCTGGAATTTCTTAATGTCTGCGATAACATAGTCCGTACCTGCCTCCACCGCTTCTCTGATAGCCTTGGTCGTGGTGATATAGACAATGCTCATCACCCTGATGGAAAAAGCGACTCAGAAATAAAATTCGTATCTTATCCAACCAAAGCATCTGCTGCTGATGCACCGGATACTACCCACACCGACAGCGGTTCGATTACGTTGCTCTGGTGCGAGAAATGGGCTAGCCAGATGCAGACGAAGGAGACAAAAGAATGGCTATGGATTGACCCGAAGCCTGATCATGTCTTAGTCAATATCGGGAATTATCTACAAGGTCAGACTGGCGGTCGACTGCATTCTCCAGTCCATCGAGTGAGTCAACCACTTGATGGGTTTGAGAACCGATACTTTGTATCCTATTTTTTGAGGCCAAATTATGAGTCTTAAGAAACAACACTTAGTTTATCAACATGGGGGGATCATTAGTTAAGGATATGAGATTTGAGTTTCTCGGACACTTTTTGGATGGCGGCGAATTCTCAAAGACTCCCCTTAGTTTCCACCTAGCCCTTCAGCTTATTTCATTATTTAGCTATATGATCAATTACTGCGCACTTAGTTCGCACTACTATGGTAGACTGTATCCAATTTAACGATATCATTTGAATATTCCTGTGATAGAGGGAGTATGGTATAACAGAGCAAGATATCAGAGCAGATTGTATGGCATAGAAAACTAATAAGACGTGAACTCATGAATAGGGGAGTAGGCCCATGTTTATACCTACACAGGGCTTGCTCCATGGCATGAACCCTCGACGTGCCTGCAATATCCTTATGAATACCCCTAATGGAAGCCTACAACAAAGCTACTGGCTAAAACCATCACCAATACGTGAAACTAATCAACCAAAGATCTCCGCGGTGTCATGGAACCTCCTTTCCCTTTCCTTTGAGTCGATCCGTGACAGTTACCAGTAGTATTTAATTTTTTATGCCCCGTTGATCTATTTTCACGCAACGAATAGATATCGTTGAGGTTATATGACTCGCTTTGATTAACCATATCATTACATATATACGAGATCAAGACAGTTACTACCATGCTTCTTAACTTGTTATAGGTTATTGCTTCTGACAGCCCATTACTCCCCCTGATTGGCCAGACCCTCCCAACAGTATAATCGATGAGCGAGAGGAGGCTATGTCAACCCGCTGCTCGATCCTCAAGGGAAACGCACTCACAATGATCTATACAGAAGGCAGTGGATACCAAGGGTGTTTTGGGGCAGTGTCAGTTGTCCCAATGATATGACGGTCAAATAAGGGAGTATATCAACAGTGTATGCAGGAGAGTCATGTAGATCAAATTTACACTCGAAAGTCTACTCCGCCTCATGAATTAGTTAACGTAAATATTATAGGATATATGATGCAAATCATATTATGAACAAGATGTAGTAGTATACTAAAATGGAAAACCAAGTTGGGTATGTTGCATATACCTACTTCTCCGCTCTGCAGTAGCTTCTACAAGGTTACAGACATGTAGTTGACACAAACCCATTACGTATGAGAAAGCTGAAGCGTGCTCATCCGGCCCACCGGGTTATTGTAAATAACAATACAGGATACAGTGGCGACTCAGGCTACATTTCCTAGCTGCGCGCTACTGCAGTTCTTGGTATCGACTTACAGAATACTGCCGAAAGCATTAGCTTTAAAATACAATGCTGCTAGGTCCACCGTCAGGAAGCTACTGATCTGGAACTGCCCTAAGGGAGAAATTTGGTAATATCGCTGTGCTATATCCTCTCTGCAGGTTGTTCCTTCTCGCATCCAAGACCGACGCGGGCAACACCTGCTTCGCCCTCCCATTGCCATTCCATTAGAGAAAACTGATACCGAGCACCCATTTCAAATTCCGCCCAGCATGCTGAGCCCTGTGAGTATTCTATCTCTCATCATCGTCACCATTGCTGTTCTGTCTAAATTCCTCAGGCAAATGTAGAGCCGTCCCTCGACGTTGCGAGGGAAGTTGTCGCCAAATCGCAAAATTCTCAGTATCCGCCGAACGTGCTTCCCCTGACCGCCTCGATTCCCGCAGATCTTATCACTCCTACTGTTGCGTATCTAAAGATTGCTGCAAAGTGTGTACATGCTACTTTTGCAATGCTGGATTGTGCTGAATAGCTTGGGATAGGTCGAAGCCGTCGTTTCTATACGAGAGTGCAGCAACCACTGAGACAATAGGCCGATACAGCTTTTTCGGCGCAGGTATTTGCTCCATTCTGCCTCGATGTTAGTCCCATACTGAACCCCAAGACCCTAAAAAAGTCATCAAGACCGGCCTCGGCCATGGTCCTGAGTGCGACCCGCTCCCGATTCTCGAGAAAGAGCTGTCTGAAGTTCGCAGCGCAACTATACCAGGGCTGAAACTCCCCGCTGTGACCGGCGGTGCCATTGGATACGTCGGATATGACTGTGCACGGTACTTTGAGCCTAAGATAGCTCGCCCACTTAAGGACGTGCTCGGAATACCTGAGTCTCTCTTTATGCTCTTCGATACGACTTTTGCGTTTGATCACTTTTTCCAGATTATCAAGGTCATAACGTATATCCCGATTACGGATGGCGGTGCCAACTTAGAGGAGGCATATCAAAAGGGCAAAGAGACCATTCAAGATGCAATCAACACCCTACTACACCCAGATATCCCCCTCCCACCGCAAGACCCGATTCTTCAGAATCAAGAGTATAAATCAAATATCGGCCAAGCAGGCTATGAAAGTCATGTGACAAGGCTCAAAGAGCATATCAAGGTCGGAGATATATTTCAGGCCGTGCCATCGCAAAGATTGGCCCGCCCAACCTCCATACACCCGTTCAACTTGTTCCGGCACCTCCGTACCGTCAACCCTTCGCCGTATCTGTTCTATGTTGACTGTGGCGACTTCCAGCTCGTGGGTGCGAGCCCGGAACTGCTAGTCAAGAATGAAAATGGCCGTATCATCACCCACCCAATTGCTGGTACCGTCAAGCGAGGCAGGACGTCTGAGGAAGATGAAGCCTTGGCTGCCGAGCTGCGAAACAGCCTGAAAGACCGCGCTGAGCACGTCATGCTCGTCGATCTGGCTCGAAATGATGTAAACCGAGTGTGTGATCCCGTCACCACGCAGGTCGACAGACTAATGGTTGTCGAGAAATTCTCGCACGTTCAGCATCTTGTCTCTCAAGTATCCGGTGTCCTTCGACCGGATAAGACGCGATTTGACGCCTTTCGGTCCATTTTTCCTGCGGGAACTGTCTCTGGAGCTCCTAAGGTGCGCGCTATGCAGCTCATTGGTGAATTGGAAGGCGAGAAGCGCGGTGTGTATGCTGGTGCGGTGGGCTATTTTGGATTCGACAGGTCCAACCAGGATGGATCGAGCAAGATTACCGGCGACATGGATACCTGCATTGCCTTGCGCACGATGGTTCTAAAAGATGGCGTTGCCTATCTGCAGGCTGGTGGCGGTATCGTCCTTGATTCTGACGAGTATGACGAGTACGTGGAGACTTTGAACAAATTGGGTGCCAATATTGCATGCATCAAGGGCGCCGAGAAAAAATATCTGCTGTTAGAAAAGGAGGCTGCGGCTGCCAAGTAGAATCTAACTACAGATGTAAATAGTTGTTTGTTGGTCACTAAAACGTGAATCAATGTTTTCTAGAATACGACGTCAGCCAAAATAGGTAAACGGGCGCTAGTACTGGTGTAATTACAATTTAGCCAGTTTACATGAAATTACAATGTTCGTAATTACAACACCCTATTCCCGTCAAATGTCTTCGTCGTCTTTCCGCCGCCCTACAGTAGGTGTTCGGGATTAGCTGACTTGCTCAGTAGAAGGATTACTTTACAGCTATTCCAGATATGGTGATTGCAGCACATCAGCCTGCTTGGCTGATCTCATTGAATAATCCCAGGTGCCAATTACTTTCGCTCCATTAGACACACTTGAATACAGTACAATACTCAATCTCTCAGATATTTACGGAACAGGAGTTCTGGAAACCTTTGACACTAGTCATGTGACTACACTTCTTCACAAGATCAACAATCTTCTATCTAAGATAACCAAGAGATACAGGAGTTTCTGGCCTTATATGTGTAGACCTGCCCCAGGAGACAATCAATTGACATTCGGAGTGAATGGCGTAGAAGTAGGGTGTTCGAAGAGTCTATGGATTTCTATTTTGGCCATGCTGAACCCATGGTCGATGTCTCCGCGTCGCGCATCTCCAGCGGGAATCTCCCCAAGACAAATTTGTAAGTATTGGTACTGCTTCCGAACTAGTGTCGCAAGGCGCTCACTGCTCTTTGGACAAAGCAAGCCGGGATTCGAAGACTCCGACATCATCTCCTGTAGTTCAAGGAACGCTAGAGACATACCTAGTAAGACACCGATATTTCGAACAGGGCTGGAAGCTAATTTGAGCATGGTTGTCGCAAAATCAGACGGCCAAACTGAGAGGATGCCATCTAGATTCTCAGGGACGGGCAGGGAGGCCTGGCGAATCATTTCTAGGCCAAACTCGACGATACCTCCATTTTCCGCTGAGTAAGGCTGGTCGTCCGTTTCGAAACCGGACTGAGCCCTCAAGAACCCCACCACAGCGCACCCGAGCTTGTCGCCCGATCTCTGTGGGGCGTACAGAAACGATTCCAGTAGGCAGCACTGGGTAAACCAGAGTGGTAAGAGATGAGCAATATTGAGATGAGCTGTCCGATCTCCTAGGTGCTTCCTCAACGAGGCTAGAGTGGCCGGCTCAATGGCTCTGCTACCAGCAGCGAGGGCAACATGATCACTATGATCCAAAGCTAATCTCATGGGCGGCTGTCCGATGTAAGAGTAGTGGGAAGGTCTGTGCGTGCTGTCCAGGGAGTCAATCCAAAGCACAAGTGTATCAAGCTCGCTCGGCGTAAATGAACCGTACATCTTTCCTCCCCATTGAAGCGCTTGAACCAATTTGCTCCTCTGGCTGTCACCTGGATATATCCATGGCTTACTTGTGCTCAAGCTTTCAATAAACTTCTGTCGCCATTGCTCGGTCGAGAACGCTTCAGGATCCAGCCAGTCGGTTAGCAAGCGCTCCCCAATTTTCACCCGACTGCCACAATGCAGCCTATGAGCCGCTTGAATTTTCGAGCCGAATATCGCAAGAACTTTTGACTGTATGGACTCCAATCGACCGTGGGAGTCATCATCGAGTCGTGCAAGAATATTTGTTGCTTGGTTGCCCTTTCGAAATTGCCACTCGCTGAAAATATATCCAGCCTGAACACGCTTCCACACTGCATCAGCAGCCACATCGCCCTCGGATTCTGAAATGTGCTGAATGTAATCCTCAACGCTTGCTGTAGCCATCGCAGCGTGGCCCGAGTGGCTATTATCAATGGAGACGTGAAGCAGGAAATAATACCCGTCAAAGCCAACTTCAGGTAACTCTTTCGCCGCTTGCATTGTTTCCAGTTGCAGGGCTTCAAAGTGCATGTTAAACCCAAGAATCTCAGGCAAAAACTCGTGCGGGAAGAGAGACACGAGTAACTGTGCCACAGCTGCTCTCCAATACTTAAGGCTACCTAGCTTGTAACGAGGATGCAGAATAGCTTTTGTTGTTGCCGAGGGCAAGTCCGGTTCAATTATTCTCAAAAGGTCCTCGTAGATCTTGACATGATGCTGGTCGGGGTTCCCATTCCCCAGTTCATCTGTAAACACTTGCCAAGTCTGTTTGACGATGTGTCTCAAGGAGAAAGGCATAGTGATCTTGTTTAAATGCCCGAGCCAGGCGCCATCGACCAACTTTAGCGGTGCAATCTCCCTCAGCCAGTCCTCAGCTGCCTGCCGATTGAGAAAAAGCTCGCGTGGACCTCCCGATCGTCGGCGACTGATGTACTGATGATATTGCCTTGTGACATCATCTTGATCATTCATTAGAAATCGAGAAAGCGCGTCGCTGTCAAAGTGCTGAACAGAGAGTATGTTGGTCTCCGGTGCCTTGGCGTAATCTTCTACTGCTTGCGAAAGCAAAACTAGGAATGCCTGTCGTGCCACCGGTATTATGTCGGGGTGTTCCTCCAAATTTTGAAGCTTGTAATAGAGGCTTTTATAGAATTCTAGCTCTCTCGCTGAGCTTACGGTTGCCGTGGTATATGGACGTGGCTCTTTGAATCCTTTGAGCTCTTTGAGCCCTGGTGTAGATAAATCATTGGATCCTTCAGTCTTAAGATAGCCTTTGAAAAGTTTCCATGACAAGAAAGCAATGACGAACGCGCATATGAGCACAAGATTACCGGGAAAGCCGGCTTGATGATTTGCAATGGTCGATTCAAACTTGAAAGACATTGTAGATTTTCTGGCTTGTCAAGTTGGTAATCTGACAAAGGAAATCTCCAGTCTAGTTTGCTAGATTTTTGGTTTGCTAGCGAGAATGGTGAGGAGGGTTAGCACTTGAAAGTTCAAAGGCGTGTGCCTAGGCTTGTTCAAAGTGCTCTGGAGTCTGGAGACCTCGAGAATGGCGGAAAAATATCCTGGTTATTCAATAATGTAATCTGTTCCTCAGCCTAAATTTTTTCCCCTTTGCCTTTCCCTGATATTTTTCTTTCCCTCTCTAAAACTCTTGTGGACTATGTCATTTCAAACAAATTACGACATAGTTCGGTGGAATGATGACTGTAAATACCGACAGGAAGAATGTCCAAGTGGCAAGTAAGTATTTTTGTGTATTTTTACGTAAATTTCTGAAGTATTCCAACTGTATCTTTCAACGCAAGTGGCTTCTAATCAGCAGAATCTCATAAGGTATATGCTTCTAGTAGTCAGGATTCAGGAAAATAAGCCAGTATAGTACTAAAACCTATTTAGGAACTATCTCTTCTTGGCATAGTGGTAATCTAGTTGAAAATCATATCACTTATAGGATAGAATTAAATCTTTCTTTCTTTATAGCGTCTTTTTTTAAACCTCTTTTTATGTTTAATCCACTTAGTAGTATAGCATGTGTATAATACCTCAAGCTTGTAACCTTGTATTTCCATTCTAGTATACTACTATATATTCTTCATAATATGATTCTTATTACGTTCTTTCAAAATTAATATATAATAAACATCTTCTCTGACACATAACATGATTTGCCTAGAACATAACTGCAATACTGCCATAACCCCAGCTCGGCCACTGGGCCCAGCAGGTTTTAATCAGCCTAAATCTTAGTGTAATTTACTAGCTGAAACACAAAAACTTTGTACGCATTAAGATACCATTTATTACATTACAGCTCGACCATGCGGGGCGCGGCGGATGCCCGGATAGATGCCAAGAAAACCTAGAATATAGGGCTGTCTAGACAAACTCTACTCTATGGCGGCGGGGCGGGCCGGCATTGCATCCACACTACATACACGTGTGGGACCTGCGTAACATGAGTAGTGCCATGTAACTTTACGTAGTGTTTACCAATTTGAGTATCCTATGCATATAGAGACCAGGAACATGCGCCTCATATGCAGTCATACTAAACCTACTTTCTGCCTTACTGTACCATGCAGATCGATATACGAAGCCGTATAGAATCTATGACTAATGAATTGTATATAGCACCGCGATCTACACCTATTTCTTCCATAGATCCCACTCCGAAACCCCCACGAGAATTTTGTCACCTTACAATTGGACGAGATGGAGATGACCCCCATCTCATCTAACTATAGGTTCGCGGAGGTCTATTTCCGAATTAGGTAAGGCCAATACCAATTCTTCAAGATAATACGTGACGAGTGATACAATGTATATTTTCAAGGACTGATTTCCTCTTCAGACGTAGTCCACATGTTCCAAATGTCGAATCTATTAGCGCTGCAAGATTGATTATCATATTTGCTTCCTAGAGAGGTAGTAGTTGCTGCGCCCTTAATAAATACATTCTCTGAAGCGGAAGTACCGGATCTTTTGTATTGAGTCTGAAAAGTCAATTCATCCTGCCAAATTGCTTGATGTGCCCTCTATCTACCCTCTAAATAATCATCAGGATTGTGCACACTTCGACCACTCTATCTGTATCCAGCATTATGGGGCAGAAATCTCACGATATTGCCAGCCTGACTACAAAGGCTGTGGCATCCATTGATACATACCAAGCGACTCAGACTGAGCAGACCCGACAAGATGCGCTTGCAAGTGCTATCAGCCTCGTGAGAGCTCTGGAAACCCCTGGAGATGCAATTTATAAACTATTTGCTTCGGTATGAATCAAATCTCAGCCATCTATCTGCCTGCTGCTGATAATCTCTGGGATCTATAGCCCGCCATTCTTATGGCTGTGAAGACTGCCAGTGATCTGAACATCTTCACTACTTTATCCGACAGGACGTCCCCAGTCTCTTGGAAAGAGCTGGCCGGACCGAAAAACGCAGATATTCAACTTGTTGGTAGGTTGTCACATCAACTTAACCTTCTCGTTGTACAAATTAACCTTTTTGGTAGAACGTATTATGCGTGTTCTTGTTTGCTACGATTTTGCTAGTGAAGTGGGCTCTGGTCAATATATGCCTACCGAACTGTCGAGGAAGATGACGGAGAGGAAAGCGATTGGAACCATGGACTCACTGTGAGTACTTTCCAATGATGTCCGTTCTCCAGAAACCTCGACCAACTCTAATCTTACATGATCGACTTAGTTTTGTCGACTTTTTACCCATTATTCAGAAAACACCAGAATTCTTCCAAAAGTCGAACTACAAGAATCCTGGGGATCCCAATGGAGGGCCACTTCAACATGCCTATAACACCACCGACTCTTGCTGGGACTGGTTAGCCAAGAATCCAGATGCTCTAGGCCGTTTTAATACCTTCATGGAAGGCGGCCGAGATGACACATCTCACTGGGCAGATTGGTTTCCCGTTCAAGAGCGATTACTAGACAGGTTATCGCCCGATCGTCCGTTGCTTGTTGACGTCGGCGGAGGCCGTGGTCATGACCTCGAGGGGTTCAAGCAAAGATTCCCTGTTGAAGCTGGGAAGCTCGTACTTGAAGATTTGCCTTCGGTAATTGACGACATCCAAAATCTCGACGGTGGCATACAAAGGATTAAGCATAGCTTTTTCGAGCCTCAGCCAGTTAAAGGTCTGTGGTGCCCTTGTTCTGTCCACCAATTATCTAACAGGTACCATAGGTGCTCGCGCTTACTACTTTAAGCACATTATGCATGATTGGTCTGATTATAATTGTCAGGTTATACTCAGGCACATTACAACTGCCATGGAGAGAGGGTTTTCAAAGATCTTGATTGAGGATTATATTATCCCTGACCAAAATGCCAGGCTAAAGGAGACACTGACTGATATGATTGTTATGGTGTGGTGCCCAGGAATTGAGCGGACTCGTCAGAGATGGACGGAGCTTTTGGAGTCAGTAGGACTAAGAGTCATAAACTTCTGGCTGCCTGATGGGTACCATAAAGGCATCATTGAAGCCGAACTGCAGTAGTTAGCTTCTGATAGCATAGTTCCCTAAGGCCTCCTGTGCCTGATGGCCTGGGGATACACTCCTGCTTCACTTCATGTATATGGTCCAGCAGATAGCCTTCCCAGAACACATTTAGTCTCACCTACAAATTCTCTTCACACTCAAGATTGGCGTCCAGGCCTGCGGCGTGCGTCAAACAAAAGTCATTTAACCAACCATCCGTAGCTATCTAATGAAGATGGGATCAAATAGTGAACCGACCTTGTCTCTTGGTGCTCTCAAGGTTGTCATTTCGACCAGCTGCATTTGAGTCATACCTTACAGCTATCAATCACTACAGATGTGGTCCTCTATGCTTACAAAAAAAATCGAAGTCATAATACTAGATATACATTGCAGTTACTAATKGAAGGAGSCCCGCCATAGCTACTAGTGAACATCGAATTCGAAACATCAGTACCACACCTCCCCCCCCNCCCCCCCCGACCCTCGATTTACCGAAGCGTTGCTTCCACTAAGAGTCAGAATAGGGTCGAGCGTCTGATATTTGGATTTGGGCGCAGTTAACGGCGAGGCTTGACAATTGCTACCAAGCAATCAGTGGTGGCAGTGGGAATAGATGAGTGTGACGGTCGTACGCATTATTTTGCTTGTTGCTCGGTCTGATATGGTGCCGCTCCGGATCTTACGTCGTTGTGCTAAGCCCTAGCAGCGGGATTTTCCTTTGAGCTTCACGACCTCTTAATAAGGCACCGTCGCGGGGGTTTTTGCACCATATAAAACCTGTAGCAAGCGAGCGTGTAAGAGCTTCTTCTTCCTTTTCTCTTGTAAGCTTAATTTCTTCGAGATAGGCTACCCTGTAGTAGGCCAATTTCACAATAAGCCACATGGACTTTGGCTAGGCTAAACCTACGGAATTAAGCGCGTGGCAGTCAATTTGTGACACGAAAATCGATCAAGCAGAGAATAGTTTGTTAAAGGGGGTCAGACTATGGACGGATCCCAAGATGAAAAGCAGTGGCATTAAACCCGTCGGGTTGTGCTAATTGATAGAGTACATGGCTCTTTCCCATTATAGAATTTTTCCTCATAGCTCAATCTCTTCTTTCCGTCGCCGAACACGGGCTTTAAGGCCCGGATGAGCCACATGAGTCTGCCCACGTTGAAACCATGCGCCTTCATCAGGAATAGTGACCGAAACTTCATATCTCATTAGAATATTACACAGCAGTATTTTCTGCATATACGATGCAAAAAACCTTCCAGGGCATGCTTGGGATCCGTGACCAAAGCTAAAATGGTCTGGAGATGTCGATGTAAAGTTATATGATACTTGGGATGTAGATGGCTTTCCCTTCTGGCGTAGATTGTAGAATCGGTAACCGTCAAATTTATCACCATCAGGCCAGACCGATGCATCGATAATGTGGCAAGCGGAGACGAAAAGTGCAGTCCCTTTGGGTATAATGAGTCCATCGGGTAGAACGACCTCCTCCACAGCGATTCGTTGCATCATGACTAACATCGGTAGTTAAGAAAAGCCTTCAGGAATGTGGGTGGATGTGACTTACGAACAGACTCAGGATGCATACGTTGGGCCTCCTTCAACACGCTGTCCATGAGCACTAGGTTTTGTAAGGTATTCTTGTTGAACCCTTCTTTCCCAATCACAGTCACAATCTCGGCACGGAGGTCATTGACCAGTTGACTATTTGTAAAAACCGAGTGAAGGACATGAGTGAACAGTTCACCTCCTCCATCATATGACACTAAGCAGAGCGCAATCAACATGGACGCAAGCTCGTCCAACCGACCTCCCGTCTTTTGGTATAGGAAACTGAGCGGATCTGTAGAATCAACCCCCGGTGGTTCCTGATCTAGCTTTTCCTTCAAAGGCTCCAGGAGTTTGTTAATATGCTTGAAAAGGGACTGAAGCTTCCGACAATTAGGTAGAAAAGGTGCGACCCAGCGCTTAGCCCATTTTGGATACCCTCGAAGCTCGTATCCCGCCAATGCTGATAGCTCGACATACTCCGAACTTGCATTAACCCACTCTGGATTTCGATAAAAGTCTTTATCGTTTATAAAGGTTCTAGACATTATACGTCCAAATATCTTCCAGACGGAATCTTTCAACATAACCTCGTGGAATTCTGATAGGATCCTTAGCTTCAACTTCAATATAGAGTCAACGTTGAGGGTTATGGGGTGCTACCAGGGTCATCCGTCCAGACTTGAGCAAGTGCGTACTTCGATTCCTCATCTAGCGGTTCTATAAATGTTCCTTTTCAAAGTCAGACCCGGAAAGCAAAGCTGGCCATGGTAGGGTGGCACTTACCCAAATGGCGATTGAGCGAATGCTTTGTTACGGCGTGTATGATCTTTTTACTGCTTGTCATTGATTCCATCGGCTCAAAACCAGGAACACCGTTGACAAGTTTCTATTTCCGTGTCAGCTTCTGATTTCTCCGGATTGACATTTTGCTTACATCCTCCAATGCTGTAATGAAATCCAGGCGCTTCTCATTGCGGAGCATATCAACATACTTGCCAGAGAGAATTAAGCGATACCTAGAATCAGTATAGAGATAGAAAGCATCCCCGTACTGCCGTGTGTAAATTGATTTAATTTGAAGGACAGAAGCTTAGAATCGGGACACGACTGACCTTCTCCAAGCAGGACCTAACAAGTCCTAAGCAATCATGCCGAAATCGCTCCCTGGCTTTACCATAACCTATCTCATACCATCTTCGACCAATAACTGGCAATCCAGATGGATTCTCCAGCTTTGTGGACTTCCACCAGTAGAGACAGAGAAAAACGACACAACAAAAGACATAGAATGGCCCGATTTCAAAATTTTGAAATCTCGAAATTGCAAGTTCTAGACGAGAAGACATTTCCAAGTAAGCCTCATGCGTTGTCTCTCTCTTTTTTTCTCTCTCTCCTTCTGTGTGTGTGTTTGTGTGAAGTTATACACTGTATAGATATTCACAGTAAATTTGACGTTCCCTTCGCTTTCGTCCAAAACAGTGCCAAGGTAGTACTAGAATAAAACTGATGTCATGAAAGAAATAAGTTTGATCCAACGTACCAAATTACGCAATACACGATTTCTAGTCACGAAAAATGTAGTTAGTTCCTCAAGGACTCAGTGCTGAAAAGATGTTACAGGGGTCAGATTATTCCAGGCCTAGCCTAAATGTTCTAGGATTTCTTGGCATCTTCTCGGATATCCACTCGCCTCGGACCGCCTGGTCGAGCCGTAATGTATTGTAATGCGTATAAGGTTCCACTGTGTATACTGAGTACGTACTACAAGCAGTTTTATTTTCCAGCTGGCAAACACTAATCAGATTCAGGCTAAGTAGAAGCACACTGACCCGCGTTTAAAACAGCACCATTCTAGACAAAAATGACAAAATCATATTATACATCAGACAAGATATTCATCAGTATTATAGGATATATAACGTAAATCATAATATGAACAAGATAAAGTACTATGCTTAAAATAGAAATATTAGATTGATATATTGTATATACACTATACTACTCTACTTTGCGGTAATTATATCAGAGTTATACCTTTATAATAATATAGCTGAAGCTTGACATTACATACTCATCAATTTCATCATGTACAGGCTAGCTCAAGCCTGCTTACCAGACTCACCGAGATATTACGAATAATATGACAAGGTACAGTGGCGGCGACGCAGGTTGCATATTCCTAGCTACTTGCTACTGCAGTTTTTAGTATTGATTTACAGAATACTGCTGCAGGCATACGCTTTAAGATATAATACTCCTAGGTCCACTCCTTTCAATTCACGTACTCTATACGAGGCAATTATTCATATCCCTGCAGCTCTCTGGGTTGCCTCTGCAGATAGACGCAACCTGTCTGAATCAGCGTGTGGACAATTTTGTGGAGTATTCAGACAATCAGGATTTATTACCTCATTAGCTCTAGCTTGTGTGTTTAGGATCAATCAAAGTAATAACCTGCATGCTTGAGAGTAAATACAATGATATACTATGGTTGACCCGGTAATTTCCCTAGTACGTTTTTTACTTTACTCCTTTACAGGGATCACGTAATTCTGCCGTACTTTTGAAAGCCAATAACTTGCTATTATCATTTTCAATCATATAGAGACTTTACTTGTTCAAGTAGACGGTCTCCTCGTAAAGTACCATACATAGTATTAACTACATGGTTCGTATTTACATCAGGATAAAAACGTACTAGGGGAGATCAACGGGGTCAACCTTATTATATATGTAACGTTATTAATTATAATATTATTATACCAAGAAAAGATAATTCCTAAATAGATTTTAGTCTTATAATAGTCTATATCCCCAAGTTGGACCCCAACTACTAGAAGCATATGGAAAACCACCAATAATAGGCCACTTGCGTCCGGAACTTTACGTAAAAAACATTTACTTGAACATTATTCCTGTCGGTGCTTTCGGTCGTAATTCCACTCATGTTGTAAAATGGTTTGAAACGAATTAGCTCACAAGGATTCTAAAACGTCAAAGAAAAAAGTTAGACTTAGAGGCGGATTAGACTACCGACTAATCAGGATCTTCCGCCTTGAGGTGTCCACAGCACTTTGAGTAAGTCTAGGCACACGCCTTTCAAGAACTCACCTTCCGGATCGTTCTCGCCAGTAGTCCATCAATCCCAGACTGGAGCCTTCCTGCAGCAGATTTCCAACTTAACAAGCAAAAACTCTTCAGCACCCCTGAGTATTACTCTCACTGTGCCTTGTGCAGCCAAGGACAGGTCGGTACGTCTACCACAGACAACAGAGGTATACGGACACAATGACCGCGCCACAGGAAGAATCAGGTCCCCCGCAGGGCGAGCAATTACGCAACCCTAATGACCGCCCCGAATGCTTCTCCAGTACCCTGCAAGAGTGCCTATTTGTCTTGACGACGACGATGGCTATCGCTCAGACCTCATTCTTTGAGGGCCTGGTTCTTGTCGTGTCTGCTTCCATCGGAAAAGATCTTAACATGAGCTCTGCTGAAATCACATGGATTACCGCCGGCGTTTCGTACGTTCTGAAGTTTTGCTATCATTCTTACATAGTCTCTAATTTTTGGGGAAATAGACTCACGAGCGGCGCATTCCTGTTGGCGTTTGGAAAAGTGGCTGATATGTTCGGCCGCCGAATAATGTTCATGGCCAGCATGGCGGGCTTTACGGTCGCATTGGTAATCGCCGGATTCGCCAACGCAGCTATTTATATGGATGTATTCTCGGGCGTCATGGGTATTTTTTGCGCTTCTGCCGTACCACCGGCGGTCGGATCGCTGGGGGTTGTGTATTCAAAACCTTCGAAACGAAAAAATCGTGCTTTTGCCTGTTTCAGTGCCGGAAACCCATTGGGCTATGTAGGGGGCATGATTATCTCCGGTGTTGCGTCTCAAGTTGGTAACTGGAGAATTGCTATTTGGACATTGGCTGTGATATACGCTATTTTTACTTTTTTGGCCGTCTGGACGGTTCCTAACGACCCGCCAATGGCCAAAGCAAAGTTGAATTGGCAATCAATGAAGAGACTAGACCCTATTGGTATGTTGTTGGCAATTTCTGGTATTGCTCTGTTTTCGACTGCAATTTCGTGAGTATCTCGAGCTATGAGCTTCTGTATGACACTGCTCACCCAGGGATAGGACGGCTGGAGACGCATCCAATGGCTGGAAAACACCATACGTCATTCTGCTACTCGTATTGGGGATTGTCCTTATTGCTGCTTTTTTGTTCTGGGAATCGAGATATTCAACTCCTTTGATGCCTCTTTACGTCTGGCGGGATCGGAACTTTTCTCTGGTAAATGCTCCTCCACCCCCCCTCCCTCCGAAGTTACAATCGACTAACGCGCCTAGCTAATCGCATCTCTCTGTCTTGGTTTCATGGGATTTATCAGCAGTGAGTTCTGGATGGCTTTATATATGCAACAAATCAAGCACTACAGTCCTTTAGAAATCACTGCTCGTTTGCTGCCGATGATTATCAACGGAATCTTGGTCAACGTTGTCTGCGGTCTCATTCTGCACAAAGTCAGTAACAAGTTGCTCATGCTTATTGGCGCTACGGCGTACATGACTGCGTTCCTTATTATGAGTTTTACACCGGATGATGGCACTTACTGGGTCTGGTATTTCGTGCCGCTAATGTTGATGGTTGTTGGGGCTGACACTGAATTCAACGTGGTCAACGTGAGCCACCTTCCCTCCCTTCCTCCCCTGAAAGCTAATGATACTTGGAATATAGATGTATGTCATGTCCAGTCTTCCATCGTCCGACCAGTCTCTTGCCGGAGGCATTTTCAACACTGCGTCTAAGTTCTGCGCCAACACCAGTCTTGGCATCACGACTGCTGTTTATAACTCTGTCCGCAACCAGGGACCGGCAAGTCCAATCAAACCGTACTTGTCAACGTACTGGTTTGCTGCAGCGTCAGCCGGTCTGGGGGTCTTCTTGATACCTTTCTTAAAGCTGGGAACGCAGGGACACGAGGACAAGACCAACTCGTCTGACGAAGATACACTAGACACACCTAATGTTGGCGCAAACGCTGAGACCAAAATTTGAGCTGTCTCAAGTACGGACTTGAGTTTTCTTCCTGTTTCGGATATATCGCATGGCTATAAGTGCACATGTTAGAATATCAACAGATTACACTAAACTTCGTACACTGATTCAATAATCACGGTCAATTTTAGTACACCTAGAAAGACTGGTACTATGTTCAAACGTAATCCACTCCCCAACCGGTCACTCTCGCCCGAAAGCGCACTTTGTACTATCTTTCAAAGCTCATCGCGTCACTATGCCATCGGTTCAGAAAGAAAAAATAATAATACTCAAAAAAGAAATACCGACGGGTCCAATTAACAACTTCGATACAAAATGTCGAGAGCCCGCTCCATACGGTATGCAGCAAAATCTATGATGCCACACTTTTCAGTCTTCAATAGAGCTGAAACGGGCGTCAATGGACAAATTGGCCAACATCGAAATCTCAAATGGTAGTTGCTTGTTAAAGTGACAATGGACCTAGATAAGCGAAGTTTACCTCTCCGACCATCTATGGTACGAAATATGGCCAAAATGCTTCTCGCACAATATGGAAATCGACAGATTGGAGACCAAAGGATAATCCAGGATTACGAACGAGAGCCTACATTAGAATATGGTATCTCAGCAGAAGATATCTAAAACTCTGTACGGCTGAAAGGTGATTACTGGAAGCGACCGATATGACCCCCCAAAGCTATTGCAACCTAGCAATTGGAGATAGGCAAATTTGATTGAGGCGATTAATACTACTGGATGGGCTTTGACTTCATATGTGATCTTCAAAGCAACAAAATACTCCCAGGAAGGCTAATTGGAGAACCTTCCAAATGACTGGAGAATCAATATTAGTGACAAGGGGTGGACCACAGACAATATTGGAATGAATTGGCTTTATTAACCACTTTACTTTCTTAAACAAATGGCCTTACAATCGGCAGATATCAAATGTTGATCCTTGATGGCCATGGAAGCCTTTTACAGTTTTGACCGACGATATGAACGACTTTTTGAGCAGCAAGTGAGGCTTTGGTTCAACCACATTGATAAAATTAACCTTTGCATTTCCGGAAGCCCGATTCATGGCATACAAAGTTGAGACTATTTGGAATGTCTTCAAGGCACATGAATTAGTGCCACTTGTTTCGGATTGAGTCTACCAACAGCTTAATTTTCATTTAAGGACTCTTACACCTCAAAGTCGAAGCATCAATTCGCATTCTTCTTGCTTGCAAGCATTTCAAATACTACGTCAGGTTGAACAACAACTCAGGACGATCAAGGAGCGTATAAGCCAGCGCAAATTGAGCCCATTCGAACCAATCAATCAAGCAAATGCCGCATATCCAAGGCTTATGAAACGAGCACTAATAATCTTCTGATCGTATGAAAAGAAGTTTATGAATTCCGAATTGCGCATAAGAAAGGGTAGCAAAAATGCAGACGGTCTAGAAGGCAGGTATCGCATAAGCAAGGAAAAAGACGGAGATTTCAGAAGTTTATACAAGGTCAGGTTGACGCATCCCAAATTTTAATGCTGCTCCAGTTGAGTCAGAGCTAGGGCTTCCAGTATCTCAACTGCCTTTACATGTTAATTACACTGCAGTGGTCGTGGAATTGAAGGACATAGGATAACTGGATGTCCCAATCGTGTTTCCAACTATTTTTTGTATTTTTGAATTTTACTACAGTTTTCTTGTTTTTAGTTTCTGATGTTTCAGACCTCTATAGTATCAATTTCATGTCTGTATTGTCTGCTTCTCGCACCTAAGCCGAAGTCCGACACCATGTAGATAATTAACCGAGAGTTATGCTAGTACGAATATTCGAAAATTATCCTCAATCTACGGATATAGTATAAAACCCGCTATCCGATGGAGAAAATATGCTGCAGTCTATATGATCAATGGATGTCACGGCGAGACCGACAATAGCATGAGGCTTCTGCTCCGTCATGCTTGGATACAGGTAGTAGGGTGCACAATTTCCACGGTTATTGGGGGAGTGCATGGAGGCAAATCTAGCAGCTTGGCATAGTGAAGTGATTGGTTACACTGAATGCATCAGCTCCGATTTCCACTTCAGACAACGAACTTCAGGACGCAGCAGCCATCACCTCTCCGGGCGTAACATACGATTGTCAATTCGCTTTCCCCAACAGTCGCTTAATATTATAGCGTCAGTGGAAACCATGGTGGAGCATTTGAAACATGTGTTCTAGATCTGGAAAGGAAACTAGTTTCCGAGATACGCCTTGTATTACTCGTTACATTTCTTCGTGGAGGATCGGCTTTACCTGAATGACGTATAAACTCTAGCTTAACTAAGGCGCACATCATCATCACCTCGCCCTGAGTCGCCCAATTATAAGGTGACAAAATTCACGTGGGATTTTCGGGGTGGGAACTTTAGAGTAGATCGCGATGCTACATACAATTAGTCATGGATTCTATGCGACTTCGTATATCGATCTGCATGATCCGGTAAGGCAAAAAGTAGGTTTGCTATGACTGCATATATAAGACATGCTCCTAGTCTCTCTATACATATAAGATATTAGTCTATAAAATAACACTGAAAATAAAATCAGTAATACATATTCAAAGATACCTCATTACATTACCATTACGCCCCACTCCTTGTATTACACAAAGTCCCTCAGATGTACAGGATGCAACGGCGGCCCGCTCCGTCGCTGGAGACTAGAGTAATTCTAGACATAGCCCCATATATTCGTAGCCCTATATTTTATAGGATTTCTTGGCATCTTTCCAGAGGTCAGTCCCCTACATTTCTCGGCGTGTGTTAATGAAAATAACGCTATCGCCGAAGCATCCATCTAAAATGCGTGCTTGAAAGGCACCAGCTCTATTTACCTAGGGGCGGAGGCCGGTGCTCGCAGGGGAAAGTTCTCATTCCCTCAGCTATGAAAATTTTTCTACATCCCTCCATCTAGACCCCATCAACAGCAGCACCTGGGACGTGAAATCAATCTTCCACGATTTCGCATGCCAAAATGTCTTCCAACGGGCCAGGTATTCAGTTGAAAATCACAGTCATCGGAGGTGGGATGGCCGGCCTTGCATCGGCAATAGCACTCTCAGACATGAACCCCAACCACCAAATTACAGTTTTAGAGTCAAACGCATCCCTCAGCGAATTCGGCGCCGGACTGCAGCTCTTCGCAAATAGTACTCGTATCCTACACAGATGGGGACTAACTCCCGCCCTGGAAAAAGTTGCCTTCCAGTGCTCTCACTTGTCTATTCGCCGCTGGGAGGATGATGCAGAATTAACCTTCAACATGAACAACCCTTCCAGTACATGGCTCTATGGTTGGCCCCAATGGCAGATCTACAGACCAGACTTGCAGAAAGCGCTCTTCGAACGCGCGAAAGAGTTTCCAAACGTATCTATTTTATTTGCCAAGTCCGTGAAATCCGTAGACGCTGTGACTGGTACCGTCTATACGGTTGACGGGGAGGTTTTTGAGGCGGATCTGACGGTCGCAGCGGATGGGATTTGGTCTCGGACCAGGCGATGCTTACCGGCATCAAAGGATGTGTCCCCAACGGCCTATCGGGAACATCACTACCGTGCCGTGATTCCACGGTCCCGGATGCTCTCAAATCCCATTACTGCACCTTTTATAGCTTCCCCAGAGGCAAAATTATGGGTGGGGCCCGGCGTATTTGTATTGGCATATACAGTTGCCTCAAAGGAGTTGTACAACCTTGTTGTTGGTGTCCCTCGGCCGAGCGAAGGGGTACCTGTCGGGTCTTGGAATCACCCTGCCAACCTTGAGACAATGCGCGGCCTTTTATCTGGATGGTGTGAGGAAGTGCAAGCGCTGGCTTCTCTGGTTCAAGAGGACTGTGTTTCCTGGACCTTAGGCGAAGTGCCCCCTATTCCTAGCTTTGTTAGTACATCTGGAAGGGTAGCGCTGGTTGGAGATGCGGCGCATGCTCTCCTTCCACATGCGGCGCAGGGGGCCGGAATGGCATTCGAGGATGCGGCTGCTTTATCGGAGTTCGTAAGACATCTGAGGTCAAAAGAGGATCTACCGAAGGTGATGAATGCTTGGAGCCACTTTAGACAGGCTCGTGTGGATCATTTACGCAATACCAGCCGAGGCAATGCAAGTGACATGACACTTCCTGATGGAGAGCTTCAGATTGCGCGGGATATGAAATGGAACACTATTCGCGATAAACAGCGGGCACAGTGGGCTGAGCTTGGACTTGAGAAGATTAGAGAGAAGATGATCCGGGAAAAACCTACGCCTGATCCAGATTGCAAAAGCACGTTTGAGCCTGGTGGTAGAATGTGGGTCTATGGATATGATATATATGAGAACAGTAGAAAATTCTGTCGTGAACATCTGGAATGGCAGTGAAGGCTTGCTATGTATAAGGGCCAGCCGCGTTTGGGTCGTAAACGCCTCGACGTATAGATTAAACATGATATACGGATTCATCTGCCGAGTATGCCTCCGAATTTTCAGAAAGTCTTACAATTTCAACAGCCCAATTCAAGCCCTCAGCAAGATTATATATGTGAAAAGTCACTTAATTATCATACACATGTGAAATCGTTGCCGTTTCCTGATTGAATTCGGCTTTCTTTGCCTCATGCAGGGGGAGCAGGGGAAAAGCTATGTTAGACACTACAAGCCTATTTAACCTCGAGCCTTTCTCATTTCTTCACATCTTATGCGCCAATCACGGTCTCACCTTTGTAAAATCGGTCGAGATCATTTGCTCATCGGACGTTGGCGTCGTGCTAGGTAAAAGGGAGTCGGTAGGGATTTTTAAATTTAACCGACTTCACACGCCTACATCCATGTTAGGGTAGATTTTCAAATTTGTTTGAGCAATATATGACAGACCTGTCGGCACACAGAATCATTTTGAGCACATTTCGCCTATTATTCATGTTGTTGCAGCAAGTAATCTAAAATTGATAGGGTTATATTGTGAGGTGGTTAGAATACGGCTATGTTGATGAAGGCATACATCGGAGCGTTCATTTAATACGTACCTACATTGTGCTATCGTTTTGAATAAACTGTGTCAACCTGAGTACCCGTTCTTCCATTGAATCGGATGTTCCGGATTCTTTTTGAAGACTTTGCTTTCAAGAAGGCGTTCGTACTTCGAAGCCTTATACTCTCTTGTATTATAAGCTAGACGAGATATACTCGACGGTAGTTTAGAAACCGAAGTTTCCGACAGTTGGTGATGCCGAATATTCTGCAGTTATCGCAGTTCGAACTCGAGTAGCGGGTGATTGTCTGATATTTATGCCATTAGGTAGTATTAGGGGTCACTTGGACGAGCATCTACGTCGACCTACGCATCAGGTCGAGCAACAAGGCCGAAATTCACCATCGTCCCGAGCATATCATCAACAGTTACTCCAGCGCTTTCAACAGTCTACGCGCATCACCATTCCAGGCCAACCTATTGCACCTCTTGTGTTATTAGTTGAGCCATTCCCCCAAACTCGATCGGCCTGAGAAGTTGATGAAAGAGAAACAACAGAACAGGCAGACACCTCCTGTTCATCGGACAGATATCGAATCTGGCCTCCCACCGAAATTTCTTCAGTCGGTATTGCCGGCCACTGAGCTGTCTTTTCTCTTAGTGGGAAACCTTGCGGATATGCATTCCACCGGTCGTGTGCAATAGATCACCGTGACGCTGATTAAACTCGCCTTGAAATATCCCTCTAGCTGGTCGGAATAATATTAAAAATCTGCTTTATTATCTGCTTCCTCTATATTTCCCTTCCACAATATGACACGAGAAACATCCATGTAAGGCGCCCTTTGTATAGACCGAAATTTTGGAAGCAATACTACTCGTGGCGTGCGGTTGAGAGAGACTGTAAAAACCAAATAAGAGTCCATATCTTCACAAAAAGAAAGTTCTTCACGCCACCTAGCTTGTAGCACATTGAGACGCAAATTTTCACAAAGAACTATTCATCTAGTTTGAAAAGATTTCAGAAAACAACCCACAAACTCTTCCAGCCAACTTTGGCGAGTTTGGCGGCAATAAACGCCACGAGACCGGCAAAGTAACAGGCCACCACCCAAGTAATCAACGCCCAATACTCGCCATTAGATCTCGATAAAATTTCTCCGGCAATTGGAATCCCAGTTAAAGTTCTACGGAAGTCGTCAGTCAAGATTCTCTCAAAACGAAGATTTAGAAGGAATAAAAATGAGATGTGACGGAAGCACGAGGACAACCTACCCAAAACTAACAATTGTGTACATCGTGGCATAGTATCGGCCGTAGTTTTCCGTCTTACAGAGTTGACCCACGCACACTGGAGTTAGACTGATATTGCTGCCACTGAAGAAGCCAAAAGCCAGAGCATATACTATCAGCAAGGCCTTGCGGTCTCCAGCAGGCAGCCAGAAGCAAGCACAGCTCACAAGGCAGCCCAGAATGGCTAATATCATGGTGTTGAACCGACCAATGAAGTCGGCAATATATCCGGGCAGCCATCGGCCTAAGATGGAGCCAGCGTTGAGTATGGCAAGGATTTGGTAGGAAAATGATGTTGAGTAGCCCTGAGCTAGTGAATAGGAGGAGATATACGTAATCGGCACAAAGAGCCCCCATTCGATGAGAAAGACGCCGGCAGTGGTCAGCAGGAAAATCGGATCCCTAAAGATCCGGACATCTGGCATGATATTCTCCTTTGAAGCCGGCTTGGATGGAAGCCGAGAGCGGATGAGGATGCAACCGGCGCCCAGGGTCAACAGACACAGCAGCACCACGACCCGTGTTGCCCATGCAAAGCCAATCCTAGGAAATAGAGCCTCAAGAATCAGAGGGAAAGCAATGCCTCCAAACGAGCCACCAGTCGTTGCAATACCCGTCGCCTCGCCTCGTCGCCGGTAAAAATAGTGACCGATAGCCGCAATCGCCGGATTGAAGACCATAGACGTTCCTATACCGACAAAAATTCCAATTGTCACCATGAAATGCCAGTATTGCGTGCAGAAAGCTAAGGCAACCAAAGACGCAATAATGAGAATCGAGCCGCCCAGAACCAGAAACCGGGGGCCCTTTGCATCAAAAATGGGTCCAATCTGCGCGCCGCAAAAGAAGGTAAGACAGGCAAACACGCCAAAGATCCAGCCAACAGTGCCGTCACTGTAATCAGACAACTGGTGCTTCGAAATGTATGCCTGGAATGTGCCAATGCTGTTCAGCAGCCCCAGAGACCCGAATAAAGCCATCCAGCTTCCTACAACAACCAGCCATGCCTGCAGGCCGCCTTCGGGGTAAGTGTTCCCGTCAGGGTCGGTTGACACCCGCAACACGGTATCTGACAGCGACGCGCCGTCTTCTCGTTGGGATACAATTGGATGTGATGTATGAGATTCTATCAGTGTATGGCCTGCATTGTCGGAGGCGGGCTCTTCAGTGGCTTTCGCTTGTGCCCAAGCTGTCTGGCCGTCGGGCACGGCGTTTACATCCTGACTGCCGTCCGCCTCATGATCGCGGCTTTCGGAGGATGCTGGTTGGTCGTGGTCCAGCGTCATTGACCGGTTGTGTGTATCGTGCAACTGTTTCTTGCTGAGAAGAATTGAAGCAAATCCGCAGGTTTTAGGTACTAGGCAAACACGAGGCTACGCCACACAGTTGGATGAGAGGAGAAGAGTTGGAAAGAAAAATTGTTTTAACCGAATTTAGGCTTGAAAAGGCTCTGGAGAGCAGGTCGCCGAGGCGGGCTTGTTGACCCCTGAACGGAAGAGTCCTTGTTATTGAAAGAGTGGGCGGCAGATCTAGCAGCTTGGCAGGGTGAATCGATTTGTCAGACTGTCACCTCTCCACGAGTCATTATGATTGTCGATTACCTTTCCCCAACAGTCGCTTGCATATTACGTAGTATAGCGCCAATGGGTACGAGAGCCGAGCATCCAAAACCTACGCTCTAGGCCTGGAAAGGAAGTCAGTTCTCACAAATATGCTTTGTTTAACAGAGGACATCCCCACTAACCTTGCGTTCCGCGCGCCCTACTAATGTGGGACTATCTACTACGCTAAATGCACGCTAGAGAGTAGTATGTGAATTACATAGTACAGTACAGAGTCCTCCGCATTACGTAGAGTACTAGATTCCGTAATAATCCGTACATAATTTTCCTAGGGGGCGAAATGTTATTTACATTCAAGAATTGCCTTGAGAGATATCCACTATTACTCGACGGAGTCGCCTCCGTACTAGGCAGCTTGATTGGCTAGCATCGCAAGCACCCAAAAATTGACGAGCTGGTCATTGTAGTATTGTACAGCTTACAGCCACTGCCTGATAGGAGAGCCAAGGATGCCATGTTACGAAACTAGTACTATTCAGAGAAGACATTTGATTATCATAACTAATGTTATAGCTGGCTGGTTCTGTGAAATTATAATCTAATATAGAAATAGTAATTAGAAACCTAAACTCAGTATTAACTAAGAAATTAAGTCTTCAATACTTTGCACAGCCTCCATGTCGCCATTCACAATGATACTCCCTCTCAGATCAGGTATCCTCGATTCATTTGCCGCAACCCACACATACGACTTGAATTTCCAAGCAGGTATCCGTTTCTTAAACATTCCATCGATTTCGTCGAGAGTTTGATCTGTGGTTTCTGGTAAGAAGAAGAACATGAGAGGAAGTATGCAATACTAGATCCATGCATACTTGGCTCCCTATACGGCAGTAAGTTAGCGTCCATAGGACCACCACATGAAGGTATCATCGAAGAAGTAGACTGTATGACAAACGCACCTATAGCTTTGTTCCCCACTGAAGACTTGCTACCGTCCGAACTCGCAATGGCGCCAATGACTAGCATACACATAGCTTGAATCCCTGCACTGAGCAGTAGTATCGTGCGCCTACCCCAGATCGTAATCAGGTAAAGGGACAATGAAATACCTGCAAGACCACCAAATTCATTCCAAGAGTCTCGGCAAGGGAGTTTGTAGAGCCTGAAATTTGGAGAAAAGTATGTTCAATAGACGACGAGGTAGAAGAATACCAGTCGCTGATAAGGAGATAACCAAACATATTGACAGGGTCGACTGACGGCGATTGACTCCGCCAAACATATCAACAAGCTTGTTGAAGCTCTGGCTTTTCTCTGCTCATGTCATTTCAATGATCTCGTCGACTTCGGCTTCGAGGAACTGGTGATCTGTATTCGATGGTCGTAGTCTCTCGAGAGCTTGTCGAACATCGTCGTGTCTACCGTGAGCAACGAGCCATCGTGACGTCTGCGGAATGAAGGGTAAGACGAAGGCAATGAATCCGGGATGGTAAACAAACAACCACATGGAATCTGATATGCCAACTTATTCAGACAGGTGGATGTGTGGCAATCCAAAAATGAACCGACGATAATTCCGACTGCAATGCAAATCTGGTAAACTTCCATCGTTACTCCTCTGAATTGTGGCGCGGAAGCTTCCTGGAAATAGAGCTGTGTTTCGGCCATGAGTAGACCGTTGACAAGACCGACAATTACCCGACCAGCATATAATACTACAAGATCAGTAGAAACAAGCATGAAAGTAGCACCGACATGATTGAGTGTGCATGTTATGAAGAGCGCCAATCGCTGAACCACAAACATCCTAAGAGGGCCGACAGAAAAACTAGCGACAAACGCGCCAATGGTCATGGAAAGTTGCAGGATACTCCATCATCGGATGCCGCAGTACATTCATACAAACCAACAACAAAGAACATGCTTACCTATGACTACATCTTCCTGAAGGCACCCTTGTTGCCGGATTCTCCAGACCCGAGGTCTTTGTCTCCTGCAAGGATCATAATGATTTTAACATCTATGTCACGATTCGTAAACTGTCAGTAGATTGTGAGCTTAGGGAACAATCCAATTTAACATTGCACGAAGTCCCTGGCGATGTTAAGACGGTGAAAGATGTCAAAAATGTGAGCCCGGTTAAGTACCATGGGTCGCTGGAATGCTGCGCGCATCACACAGAAATCAACCGAACACTGGCCTTACCACCCTCATTTATCAGCTGATTGTGTAGAGCCGCTTGGGCGCGTGGTTGAAATGAACATCGGGTTTTGGTCGATGAGTGTTATCTATGAAAAAGGCGAAAGATTGAGACTGCAGATTTCAGGCAGGACAATCCCATGGTCGAACATCAGGAGCCAGTGTTCAATAAGTGGTTTCATAATGTTCACTTGGGTGAGGAATATGCTGACAACCACTTGTTGATACCAGAATTATAGTTGTCGGCCTCTAGGCTTTTGATTTCGAATAGTTGATAAGACCCTGCACTATTATGTGACCTCTCTTATATTGTAGTCGAAATCAATTCTTACATCAACCACAATACGTGGTACGAATTTGTCCATCCTCAATAAATGATCTCAGAGAAAAAGTAGGGTTCATGTCATCATGTGACGACTCCCATGAACTATAAAATACCTAACGTCCCCGCGTCAAATACTGACACCCTTTATCTCCCACCTCGTTCTCATGTCTCCTTCCTACGAATTGCTATAACGCATGTCAGAGCATTTTATGGCAATTAGAAGATGGTATTTCCAGTGCCTTCGAGCAACGACATTCCATTGAGACAGTCACTATCGTCATCACGATATGGTTTCATTGTCGCCACGCGCAACTAGAGCTGCTTATTGTACAATCCAAGGTTTGAGGAATAATGCCAACACATCATTTCAGAACAAGCGCTCAGCAGATTATGTTTTCGGTGATTATTCTTTAGCGAGCCAGGTAGGTTACTTTGCCGTTGCATCATTGGTCTAATACATGGCTGACAGTGGACATGATTCAGTCATTTTTCTGTTTTGCTCCTCGGGTTCGTTGATGCGCTTGAAGGACGTCTCTTCATGGACAGACAGGGAGAGAAGAGTATACAATCTTTTCATGAGACGATACAACTTAATCCGAATCGTAAGCTCTTCCATGATGACGCACATCTCTTCCACAGTCTTACGATCATGGGAGTTTGCCTGAGCTGTTGGGGCTTTTTTGGCACAGTTGGATCTGCATTAGCAGTGACTGCTAGGACTAGTGAAGTATATATGTGGATTAAAGTATAATTACAGTGTTCTGGGTGCACTTCAAGTGTCATTGCATTTGACTATATGAAAAAATCTATACTAGACTTTCGACAGGGGTATAAAGTTGCATGCTACCCAACAACGCATTGCCATGAAATTCTCGTCTGTGTTCAACTTCTTAATGAAATCGCAGTCCTAGGAAGAAACCTTATTCGATCCTGCTGCACCATGGCCTCGAACTTCATTGAGCTTGGATTGCTGATCGTTTTGAGGATCTCGTGCCTCTTGTCACACGCCTTCTGCAGCAAATCCTCTCCGGCCTCGCCTTAGATGACCGTTGCCAGTGCATCTGAAATACATCCTGGATCAGTCTTACCTGTCATGAGACCACACCTTCCTATAGGGTTATTGGAATGCGCAGCGTCTCCCACCAAAACCACCTCCCTGACAAAATCTTTTTCAATCGTTCGGGGGCAATTTCAGTTTTCATATGCTCTTCAGTCAAACCATGCTCAACACTGAAAGCAACTCGCCAGGGATCACTCAATGGACCTGCTCTGCCTATAACAGCCCATTCTTTACCTCGAATCAAGAAGTTGGCAGCTCCCCAGCCATACTTTGCAATTGGGAAGTGCACGTTCATGGCACCAAAGCTTTCTGTATCCCAAGTAAACCCTTCCACAGTGTCACCGATCAAATTTCTGGTCGAAGGCTTTACTTTGCGCCATCCACACCAAGATTCCAGTCTGCCGTGAGAGTCAGGACGGATCCTGTGTCCCCGCCCTTTGCGACTTTGGCTTCAACTCTATTGCTGTCAGGTTTCTGTTCTATTTCAACGAGCACATGATCAAACAGAACGTTGGTGGTAAGGAAACGACCACAACACTTCGTCAACACTTTTGCTAGAAGGTGTTGGCCACATTTCAAACTGTATGGCTTTACCCAGACGCTTGTCGGTCGCATCTTCAAGCAGACTCCAGTGCATTTTTGCCAATGAATCACCATTCAGATGCCGCCATTGCCAGATTGCTCTTTCATCAGCGTAACTAATATTTTGGACTTCTTCTAGTATGCCCAGTTTCTTTAGATCAGCCAGGACCAGAGCCCTGTCACATGCATTTTACGTTTTATCCTTTGACAGAGTAGAGGAAACGAAACTTACGAGTATGTTAAAGCTTTCGGAAATGGGGCAATGAATTTATCCTAATGCCACTGAAAAATAAGTCAGAGAAATTTGTCAACCGAGGATTGATTATATAAACAATTACTTTGTGCTTCTCATGTTCTTCGTTCTATCAGCAGCCAGACCATACATTTTACCATGTGGCTGCTATTCGGGCTCGTTCCGGGTGGGGATCCGGGGTTGACCAGAAATCATTGAGATGAAACCCCACCGGATGGATGAATCGACATTTGATCAATTGCGATTGACGTGTGTCCGCCGAGTGACAATATGTCGAGTTGAAGAAACTCATCTGTATCAGGTACTACTCTCGAACTCAATGGACTCCAGATAGTCATAACCCTAACCCTGATTTACCCATGACTCGTTGACTTGTCTCGATGGACAGTCAATTTCTCAAGCTCTTCCGTTGGCTCTTGCAAGCCAAGACTCACAATCTGTCAACGAATGTCACAAGCAAACGATAGCAACACGAATATTCGATTTCTTCATCGCATGTGATTGTGTTTCACTGGCGATTTTGGTGGCACAGCTAACGCGTCTAGATATATAGATTGCGCATGTAGCCGGGGTCCATCGGCAAATATTCAATGATAGACGATGCAAAAGGCTCGGGAGTATGGACTCAGTAGCATTACTTACGACTCGCTAGTCGCAGAGTCGCACAAGTGCAAGTATGTCTTCGAAGCTTTCTTGGTTTGGTGAACGCTTAGCCGGCAGTGCAATACCGAGTCTGAATGGACTGATTTATGGGGTCCTGATCATAGCGAGTCAGTAGTGGGCACTGTGTGGATTCAACTGGGATAGCTTTGGCCTCTGGTAGACTTGTCGGCACTTGCCCTTTATCCGAGCAATTCGGGGAAAGACAATTCTGACTGTGACACTGTGCGACACACAACCATGAATGAATATGGAGTGTGATCCACTGATCATGAGAGTATACATAGTGTATACTATATATTAGGAATGAAGTGAATCGAAGAGGATTTGCCTGAGTAATTCAGAAACAGTCGATATAGTGAAGACTAGGGTGAACAAGGTTAGGCCGCACCTTCCTTTGGGACAGTGGGACAGTGGGACGGACTTGCACCGGTCGCTCCTGCCCTGAACCTTGGTCCTGCGGTACCTGGCACAATGCTTCTTCCTTTCCTCTCTTCCTTCTTCCTTCATCATTCGACTTCATCTTGTTGAGCTGATGCGCTTACTGCAGGCGCTTTCGAGTTTTCCCTGTGCATAGTATGTGTACATAGAGCAGGTCATACGTCTGTTGCTCCTTCGATCAGTTATTGTGGGCACCGATCGATTCATGTTCTGTTCTGTTCTGCCCCTCCACTACGGGTACCATCTCTACATAGTGCGCTTGTGCTCTCGTCCAATTTCCAAATCTATATATAGCAATCTGGTTCGTACACCCTGCGACTATCAGCACGTACTACGGACTACATATGGCATAGCAGCCAGCCTGAAGCGCTGTCAAGAGCCCCTGCCCGAGTGAAGCTTTTCTCATGCAAAACAGCCCTAGCAGCACATGCCGATTGGTGGATCTACACTGGCAGGAATGCTCGTCGACCTTACCTTCCATTGTTTCGAGACTCTTGTCAGTCTGACTGCGGGCGATTCCACCATAAACTTCACAGCGATTACTAACTCAGTCAACGGCAAAGAGTATACTGCGTCCAAAAAGGCACTATCCTTACAGAAACCCAAATGATCCGCCTGTCCGCCCACTCCAAATCCCCGAGGAGCAGCAATTGCAGCACTACACAACCGAGTCACAGACCATGATTGAAGCCAATTCGGACTATTTGCTATTCAGACACTTTTCATGAGCCCGTTCTTTTGAGCATACAAGAAGATCAACATGGCGGAGCACCGGAGCCAAGCTTCTCGACCGCAATTCACCAATCCATGGAAACATGATGCGCCATCTAGAACTTTACAAGATGTGCCAGATGGAAAGATAGCCCATACACTAACGGCTTGTACGAGGTGTCGACAAGTAGGGKATTCGATCTCTTGCATAGCTCCGCATTACTGATCATTCACTTTCTGCAGAGAAAATCCCGATGCGATCCAGGCATACCGAGATGCGAGCCGTGCGAACGAAGCAATGCGCGATGTGTCTACTACGATTCGACAAAAAACCAGACTATCTCCCGATCCTATATAGTACAACTGCGAGAACGAGCTCGCGCGCTTGAAAGAGAAATAGAGGCAGCAGAAAAAGAAGTCAGGCACGCCGCCGATGCAGAGTTGATGGTTCGGAGCGCCGGCCGTATAAAGTTCACAGCAAATGATGAGCCGAGGTATTTGGGGCCCTCCAGCGGTATCGCCATAACGAGGTTGGTGATGGAGTTGGCCAAGCAAAACACCGACTCGAAAAGTATCAAAGACGTTGTACCAGAAATGACCGCGCAAGAAATTCGTGACATGTTTGCCAAGGAAAGCTCCAAGCCGACATCCAAGGTCTACCCGATGATTAGCTCTGTGCCTCAAGAGAGCTTACCTCCACATGATTTGACGAACAAGCTAATTGATCTCTACATGGTCAAAGGACAAGCTATGCTTCCATTATTACACGAACCTACGTTTCGTCAGGATGCGGAGGACGTCTTCAGGGCATCCCGAGACCCTGTTCAGAACTTTCAACTGCGAATGGTCATTGCAATCAGTATGCAGAAATTAAGTCCCGAGTACGCAGGCTTGGCCGATAGTTACTACCTGGCAGCTCTACCCTTTCTTCAACCTTCACTGCAACGAATGGACACACGGTCGCTTCAATGCCTGGCCCTTATCGCGCAGTACTCGTTAGTAACGCCGACTAGGACGGCCTCGTATTGGGTAGTCGGGGCAGCCGCAAAACTTGCTCAGGAATTAGGGCTGCTTGAAGAGGCCAACATAACAAAGTCCGCAACAGGCGAACCGCTGAACGTTTTGGAAGTGGACATGCGTCGACGTGTAGCTTGGGTAGTCATCACCATGGAGTTCGGCCTCGCTCATAGCTTAGGTCGTCCCAATGCGTTCTGCATCAGCCATGATCATCTTGATATCAGATTTCCTCAACTTGTGGATGACCGATTCATTACTGCGCAGGGGATACTTCCAGGGGCCAAGCCAATCTGGGCCAAGTGTATTGCTATACATTTTTTCAAGATGCGCTTGCTGCAGGCAGAAATTCGACGGACGCTATATTTGAATAAGCGAGAAGCTCCAGTAAATGATCAGGATCCTTGGTTCGATCAGATCTTGACCAAAATAGACGACTGGGTAGAATCATGCCCTAAAGAGGATGGTGGCAGTGGTCTGAGCAAGACATGGTAAGCCTATCATTCAGTTGTGACGAGCTAAGTGGACTAATATTCTACAGGTTCGTTGGCCGAAAGAATACCATGATTATCATGCTATATCGTCCGTCGCCGCAAATACCGGAACCCTCGGTTGATGCTGCTCGAAAATGCTACGAGGCCTGTGCCTTTAACGTTGGGATGCACATGGACCAGATGTCCACAGGCTCTGTTGATTTGACTTGGGCGTTTACTCAATCTCTATTTCAGGCCATCAGCACCATGCTGTGGACGCTGTCATATCCTGACATCCGCATAGAGCACGATATTGAAGAGGTCAAATCTTACCTTCAAATCGCCCTGGAGGCGGTTGCTATTTCCGCACAACGTTGGCCTGGGTGTGAGTCGGCCTTGCAGCTATACAAGAGCCTCATAACGGCATGCCTGAAAGCATATGATACCGCGGAGTCTTTTGTTGTGCATACGCCGTCAACCCAGCCGTCGCCGGTGTCTGTGCAAGATGTGACCACACCGCCTTTTATTTCAAGCCCTTCAGCCAAGTCCCAGCAATCTGTACAAACAGTTGTTACTGTGGCAACGTCGACATCAGATGCATATCTTTCACATTCAAGAGGACCATCAACGGAGCCTCTAAAAAACCCCACCCCTGTTCAGGAGCAGCCCAACACACCGGTTTCTCAACCTTCATCATCTCCGATATACATGCCTTCACAAGCTTATAACCTCCCTAACACTCATCTCGCCAACAAACACCTCCATAGGCGAAACATGCATCACAATCAACATTCCAACATACAGATGTATGCCGCGTACGGCGATCCGAACTTTGATCCTTCTACACCTTTCAATACCTTTCCATCTGTTGTTCCTGGTCTTCCTGGTTGGGATCCCAACTATGCAGCCGTTCCAGTCACTACGAGCGGCAGCTACGTTGATATGAGCGCCGACTCGACATATTGGATGGGGCCCTTTGGAGACCAGTATTCTCAATATTCGAATCAACCTGGACCTTGGCGCGGCCGGACGTTGAGTCAAGAAGAGCAGATAGAACTCATGGACTCGTTGGCGGATAACATACCAGATGTGTCGTCAATGCTGATGAATGACACAATTATATACTACCGTTCATGATGAATTATGATTATTCCTTGCGAGCGTGGCGCAGATATTGATACCATGGTTTGTTATATTATTAACCTATTTTTGGAATAACTATACAACTATCTAAATATATAGAAGAGTTGAAGAATAATCGGTTGATGACTCCGATACCGGGTTAGGCTTATCTACAGATCGGAATTTATCCGACGATCCGATAACTATAGCTTTAGTGGCATAAACATCAATCTTCATCCGTATATTAACCTCTTCTTTCAAATAAAACATATTCGCAAAGTCGAAAGGACAGACAAAATGCTAGCCGTCTCGGAAAAAGAGCTGACCAAGCTCCTCCACAGCCTAACTCACACCAAATGCGACAACCTCCTTCAAACCCTTTCAACCGCGCTGGCCGCATTCTCCGCACAACGCAAAACAGCAGACATCGACATCCACCAACCAGCCCGAACCAGCATCGTCAGCGAAAAATGGTCCTCAACAACACTCTTCATGCCCGTATCCGACCATGCCTCTACAGGCTTCAAGGTCGTCACAGTCCCCAAAGTGAGTACACCCACAAACGGGATTAGAGGCGTAATCAACATCCTCTCTCCCGAGGGCCGGCTGGAGGGCGTCATGAGCGCGGCGGAAATCACTGCGTTCCGGACTGCGCTTGCTAGTATGATTCCTTTCAGACGATTCTGTTCTTCCGCTCAACAACAGACGAAGGGGAAGAGGGTTTTAATTTTCGGGTCGGGGAAGCAGGCGGAATGGCATGCGCGATTGGCGTTGTTGACTGTACCAAAACCTACGGATATCGAGGGGATGACATTCGTCAATCGAAGTCAGCGACGGCTGGAGGAGAGTATTTCATCTACATTAGTCCCAGAGCTAAAGGTGCAATATCCCCATCTTGAGATTCACGCTTATTCGCGCGAAGAACATGAAGGCAAGGAAGAGGATTTCCGGGCTCGTCTACGTGCTGATCTGGCATCGAGCGACGCCATATTTTGCTGCACACCTTCCATAGAACCATTATTCACATACGACGATCTCAACCCTCCAAAAAGGAGATATATCTCGTTGATTGGCTCGTATAAACCGCACATGCAAGAGATCGACTCTAGGACACTATTGTCGGGGGTAAACGGGACGATATACGTTGACTCGGTGGAAGCGTGCATGGAAGAAGCGGGGGAATTGATTATGGCGAAAGTTGAAGAGAGACAGTTGATTGAGTTGGGGGAGCTTGATACCTCTACTGCTAGTATTCTTGAAGGGGACGGAAATGTGGTTTTCAAGTGTGTTGGGATGGGTATTATGGACTTGGTTATTGCGAGGAATTTGTTGGATATGGCGAGGGAGCAAGGGCTGGGAACTGTTGTGGAAGGTTTCTAGATTTCGAATCACTTCTGTCATGGTCCGGAGCTGTATAGATTCATGACATACAGACCATCATCGTGGAGAAGTGGGTCAGATCGATCAGATCTGGCGTCTGCACAGAATCTTAGATCAAATAAAGGTCCGGACCATAATCTGGAGATCCGGACTGATGTATCTATGGAATATATGCACATAGTGGGAGTTCACTTCATTTCAGGGTATTGTTGATAACAACTTAGGAAAAATACAAGCGTATACTCTCACACATACAAAAAAAAATACAATACAATAGAAGAAAAGCACAGACAGGCCATGTCAAATTGTCCATTCAAGGCCGTGCCCACTAAGCAATATGGCTAAATGCTTCAACCTTTTTTTTCCCTTTTTTCTTTTTACCCTTCTGAGCAGGTCAACGAGCTGGAAAAAATTATGCCTCCCAATGATTTGAACGCCTGAAGTTTTGTTTCCCAAAGTGTACATCAAAAGAGTATTAAAGATAAGCTCCTTCCTTGGATATGTTATCTGTTCTTGAGCCGATCAAGCAGCCCAATCCGAGTCAAGAGGGTGGTTCTTTCCGCGTGGGATGGGAACCTGTGTAACTTTTGGAGCGACCCATTCGGATGCTTGAGGTGTGGTCTCGGGCTCAAAGGAAGCGACAGACTCAGAAGCACTGGCTTCGTTGGCACTCTCGTCTACCTTGGTCTTCTTCTTTGTCTTGTCCTTCTTCGAAGACACAGTGGTCCAGTCCTCGTCAGCGGCCGGGGCAGCTACGCCGAGAATACGCATCTGTTCATCCTCTGTAGGAAGGTTTCCAGACCAAGCGCCCGAAGAGCTTCCGCTGGCAGCCGCTGAAGCAGTTGGCTCAAAGGTATCAAGTAATGGCAGAGCAGCGTTCACTGCAGGAGCAGGAGCAGCCGCCGCACGGTTGCCGTTTGTGCTGGTCCAGGCATTGCTTGGGACGGAGGTCGCAGACTTCTTGCGGCTCACTTCCTGGCGCTCTGCTTCGCGGGCTGTGTGGAGTTGCTTCTCGAGATTCTTGCGTCGTTCGGCTTCGGCTTCCTGGTTGGCCTGCTTACGCGCTTCGTTCTTCTGTCGGTTCTGGCGCTGCTTCTTTGTTTCAACTTGCTTGAATGCCTGGGGCTTGGCTTTTTTCTCCTTGGTCTCCATTGATCCTGTCAAGCGGATAACAGAGGGGCCTGGGGCTGGCTTCTCGAGCATGTCAGAGACATTGCGACCCGAGGGAGAGACAAAGTCTGTCGAAGACAAGTCATCGTCGGCGTCTGCTCCGTTGCTTGATGGCGCACGGTTGGAAAAGTCGCTGCTGGCGCTTTCCTGGGTAAGAGGCAACGGCTTGTTGCGCTTCTCCTTGGGGGCCTTTGCCTTCGTTTCACCAACAGAGACGCCCGATCTAGCGGCAGCCAGACGTCTAGCGAACTCTTTGTTATCGACATCCTCCTCTGGCTCATTCGTGTCTTCTACCTGAGTGGTTACAGCAACGGGTTTTTCGTCCAGCTTTTTGGCAGGCGGTTCGGGTTGTTTGCGCGCCTTTTGTTTCTTTGGCTTGAGCGCTTGGACGATAGGCTCGACTTTTTCAGGTACGGCTTTGATTGGCGCCTTGTTCTTCAGCTTGGACCCGTTCGAGTAGTAGTATCCCAATCCACCGGCCACCACCAGCATAATCGCCCAACTCACGTAAGGGTTCATGTTGTCGGCCTATGCAAGAGCATATTAGCATCATCCACTTCGAAGGCGACTTTGAAGGTGGATCTTACTACAGATGTGTTTACAAGTAACACTAACCCAAGAAGATCGGAATCGCGATGCTACGAGCTTCGCAGTAGCGTGATCAGGACCAAGCGATGAGGGATTCAGTTCATGAGGACAACTTCAGATACGTTTCCTTTGGATGTTGCAGATCGGCCTTCAAGACCCGGATTTGCGGGGCCGCGTGGCTCGGGATGCAGGGGTTATTCTTCCGCAGGTGACTTAGACGGGTCGCAAGCGGGAATGCCAGATGTCCTTTTGAGTCGAGGTCGAGTGAGACAGGCACAGTGATATAGAGTGTGCCACAGTAGGACGACAGGCTGGTGTGTGTAGCAATGACGTTGTGAGTTGGCGTGTATGAGACGTGTCTTTTAGCGAAGGGAGGCTGTTGTCTGACTGTGAGATCAGAGCGTCGGCGAGTCGGTGGCTCTTGAAAGGAGCGGAGCGGAAGCTTCAAGTGGACAGATTGTCTGATTAGCAGCTATGCTTGCAGAGCAACGACAGAGATGAAAAGAAAAAAGAGAGCGTGAACAGGAGGTGGTTGTCAGTGAAAACCTTGACTGTTTACAAGTCGGTCGTGAGGATAGATGGGGGAGAAGAAGAAAGGAAACAGTGCAAGACGTGAGGTGTGAGAAGGTGGTTGAGGTGGTCTCTTTACGGCGGTGTGGTTGGCTGGGAGGACGTAACAAACTCGGAGCTTCAGGGGCCCTCCTTCCTTTTCCTCCTCTTTCCCCATAACACCATACAACGCTTATTATCATTATTATTATCAATGTCTTACTATCCCTCTATTCCTACGACTCTTGTACCTCTCAATGGAATTGCTGTACGTAATTATCACTATGAGCTGCATAATTAACAGATTCAGTCTACTGTCAGTTGGTCTGTGTTTGACTTCACATACAAACATCGCCAATTTCTACCGTCGCAACAAGCTTCGATGGTCGGTCGCTAACACTTACTAACTCATTTAGTACATTAGCAAGGTGTCACCCGGGCCAACCGCGTGCAGTATTCTCCTGAGCCACGTATACACTTTCCTCTCTTCAGATTCGCCGACCGTTGGTGGTGCCAATGGTTGCTGGAGTGGTGTCGCGGAAACGCGGTACTACTCCGACAGCATCCAGAGCAAGAGGCCAAGATTGATCATCTTTCAGTACAACTTCTCTATCTAGGTTTTCTGTACTGCCGTTGAGCTTAAACATGACCTACATACAGAGCTGGATAGATCCAATGTCGTGCAGACAACAATGAGTCTTTTAAAGAATATGACACAGCCAATGGCGGGCTGGCATTCGCGTAGCGGGGGAGGGGCTGCTGCATAAACTTCTTTGAGGCTTGAGCTCTCCGCTTCCTCTTCAACCGCCAGCCAATCTCCGCATGGACTCAGTGCATAAAAAGAAATTGTATTTCATATAAATCAGACATCTACAACCTCATATTCGGATTGGGATTAGTCAACCGTACACTCAGACATCGACAAGACCTCTCAATATGGCCAAGAACAAGATCATCATCGATACCGACCCAGTAAGCTGTCTATCCACTGCGGAAATCAATCGGTGGATTGACGAAACAAAAATTTTAGGGTATTGATGATATTCTTGCATTACTGCTCGCCTTCGCGGCGTCTCCGGAAGAAGTTGAGGTTGCGCTTATTTCGTTGACGTTTGGCAATATTGAGGTGCAGAGGTACGTAATTATATGGCATCCCGGTTACCTCACTTCTCTCATTTTACTTTGTTACCCAACAAATATCTTGCTCATACGTCCATGCTCAACGCTAATTTACTACACAGCTGCCTACGAAATGTCGTCTCAATGCTACACATCCTGGAACGTGAAATGGAATGGCGCAAGAAACAAGGCAGACCAGAAGGCTTTGAGACGCTGCGAACACACAAACCCGTCATTGCTGTCGGCGCTCAACAACCGCTAGACGACCAGAAAATGCTTGCAGACTATTTTCGTATGTATTGCTTAACCTTGCTGATCCGATCTGCTTGGTCAATTTTGACGCTAATAGTTATTAGATGGAAAGGATGGTCTAGGCGGCATTCATTTCACCGTGAGTCTCATTCTCCGGAGCTCTATACACATCTAATGTTGTCACTAGCATCCCCATCTCACGCCGGGCGAATCTTGGGAACATCTTTTTGATCCAATCTCAGATCCCGAGGTTCTTCCCAAAGTCGGCCCATCTCCATCGAAATCCCACCAGTCATTCATCCCGTCCAAACTTCCTGCGGCAGACGAGATTCTACGAGTTCTCAAAGAGAATGAAGAAAACACCGTGACTATTGTTGCCGTCGGGCCTCTGACGAATCTCGCATTGGCCGCCGCTAAAGATGCGGAAACATTTCTCCGTGTAAAGGAAGTGGTTGTTATGGGTGGGACGATCGACAAGCCGGGAAATGTAACACCATCACCTCTGAAGAACGTATTGTAAACGTTTGGACTAATGTTTCGATAGGTCACACCCGTAGGCGAGTTCAACTCCTACGCCGACGCAGTTGCTGCAGCACGCGTATTTGCCCTAACCTCACCTAAACCCGAAAGCACGCTCCCMCCCAGCAAACGCCTACCAGCCTATCCCGCAACACTCAGCAAGACACTTACCCTGAAACTCTTCCCACTGGATTTCACAAGTCAACACGATCTGATCCGCGGCGACTTTGACCGCACCATCACACCACTCCTACAATCAGGCAGCCCCCTCGCCGAATGGGTTGATGCCTTCATGGCACACGTCTTTCAAACCCTCGAGCGTCTCCATCCAGGCCACGAAGGCGCAAAGGCCAGTCTTACGTTACACGACCCCGTCTGTGTTTGGTACGCAATGACATCGGGTGATACTAGGTGGAAACCTACCCCAACATCACCGGAGGATATCCGCATTGAGACGGTGGGACAATGGACGAGGGGGATGTGTGTGGTCGATCGACGGAACAGACATAAAGTTGAGGATGATGTGGAGAGTCATAGTGATCATGGGTTGTGGTTGAGCTCGAGAGCTGGGAATAGGATTATCAGAATGGGGGGTTCACCTGGTGGAGAGACTTTTGGTATGTTGTTGTTGAAGAAGATTTTTGAATAGTTTACTACTTTGAATTTGTTTGGGTGATGTCATCATTGAATAGACGGGGCATATTAGGACTAGACTGCAGTTGAATAGACTACGCTCAAACTCGTTTCAGCCCTTGAGGCAATATTTGGACGTTAGTATCTGAGCGTCAAGTAATTTCAAAAACTGTCATGTAGATCTTTCGTTTCGACTTTGGCGATGTTACAATCTATCAAAATTTGAAATGATGTTGTATATTGTGGGTTGTGAGTTGGTATGTGTACCATGTATCTAGGTATGTCGTGCGCTGATCTCCATATGCCACCTTGCAGATGTCCAAGTCTCTGAAGATAAATGACGAAGTTGCAGTTAACAAAGTCTGAATCTTCATTAATATATCTAGGTGTGCAGTGTCTAGGTGGTGTCCAACGTAAAAAGCATCCTGACCACTGGCGATGACTTTGTCGATACATGAAGTGTGAGTATTGATAATTCAGGACAACTACAACATCAATACAAAGGCCACATACGTACTACCCTGATTGAAATTCGCAGCGGGTAGCTGCGTACTATTCTCCGGAATGCATCGTGGGTAGTTTGGAATGTGAAGCCATCCCGCCCAAACATCAATTACTCCAAGCCTATCGCGCGATAGGCTGGAGCTTATCCCCCCGGACACGAATCATAAAATAGTTGCAAATATTTACGCGGCGATCCATGCCAGTGAAGTTGATTTGGGGCGCGTTTTGTCAGTATCTCCGCTGCATGACATGTCTTTTGACTGCCGGTAGTCGTCGTATAAGAGAATCGAATATCTCCTTCTGTTGCGAGACTAACTGATACCTCTCTTCCTTCTACATACTTTCTTCTCCCTGTCCCTCGTTTGATTTAGGGTTTATCTATACAAGCCATCCTTTTACTACACTCATTTAAGACAAATAAAATGTACTTTCAAAACGTTCTCGCCTTTTCTGTGGCCTTGCTGGCAGGCACATCGATCGCTGCAGACTACAATGGCGGCGAAATACCTTCAAACCTGCGCAAAAACCGGTCCAAGCTGCGCGCCGCCGACCTCCTTTCTGGCTCTTCATCTGCACAGGTAGTCACAGTGACACCTATGGCGGCTGCTACCCCCAGCTCATCCGCTGTAGCTGATGCCAGTAAAGTCATGGTGCCCATGTCGTCAGTCGCCAAAGCAACATCCTCGGCGGCTCCATCATCATCGAAACATGCAACTAGATTCCAATCTTCGGTGAGACCATCAAAGTCAGTCGCGGCATCATCATCAGCTGCGCATCGCCCTGCTCAAGGCACCCACGCCGCGCAGATGCCTGCCTCAAGCCCATCGACCGTGGGCGATAATGACGTGAGCGTGCCAGTGCAGGAACTCGCCAAACAAGCAGATGCAACCGCCAACAAGGACGCGAACAAGCCGTTCTGGAACCGACCCATTTCTGACAGCAAACCCCGGCCCAATGCCCCGGATTTCAGCGAGGCTCCTGAGACGCGGGTTGATGACAAGGATAGTTGCTCGTTGCGGTGCCAGGACTTGGCGAATCAATGCGCTGAATTGCTGCCGAAAGACAATGATTTCTGGTAAGTTCTTCCATCCTTGTGGTAAGTAGTTATATGTTTAGTGTATTGATGCTAAATGATGATGGTGATAGCTGGGAGAACTATCCGGCGTGCCAAGACCGGTGCATCAAGGAGCACGTCCACTCGTGATTGGCTGGGCTGGCAGGGTAAGAGCACGTGAGTCTGTGCTGGTGTCTGAGCCATTTTTTAGCAGGACAATCCATTGATCTTCACTATGTAATACAATACCACTGTCACTGTTCTTTGCCCATATTAAGGCGTGTAATGTATCCATATAAACTAACCCAAGTACATACTGTGTGTAAAATAACACACTTGATACCAGTAGTCGGGGAGAATTTAGCCCAAAAAGGCAATCCCCTGTCGCGTGCTCAGCAGCGCCATTTTTACAGGCCAATAGCCCCGGCCTATCAGCGGCGATTGTTGGAGCACAAGGCACGCGACAGTCCCAGCGCCCATGTGATGTCGACATCTATATCTTGTGTAGCAGTCTCTAACTCTTGTCTAACATGTCTGAGTTTGACCTTGATGCTGTATAGCTGCTTATCGGAGTACTGTGTACCACTCTGCCAAACATCCATCTGAGCAGCATGCCAGCTCATCTCCCTCCTACMCCTGCCGCATCTGGCGAGTTTATCGTCAAGGAGTCCTCTTTTCATGCCATAGACGCCATGTCTGAACACTCGTTTGCCTTGCCACCTGCGGCATTGAGCCCTGTTGCTGCGGACAGTGGCATCGCAAACAGTCGCAAGGGGTCATTGGTATCGCAGTCTCCCATATCGCCTGCTTCTCCAGAGCGCAAGAACAGTGTAGGCTCTGCTGCTCGCGCGGGGACAAAACGTACAGCAGCAGCAACAGCTAGCACTGCATCCTCGACAACGGCGCTGGACGAATTTAACCTGCCGCCGCCACCAACACGATCAAGAAAGATCATTCAAATGAAACCCAAGACCACCCCATCATCAAGCCGCAGCGCATCAACACCATCAACAGCACTAGCAACAAAGCAATCTCCACAACGGAAAGCTTCAACATCCAAACCCAGCTCAGGCTCAACCGGCACTTCGTCTAAAAGCGGAAATAATGCTACAGCCATTTCCCCAGTAGAAGCCGCACTCAACAATGAGGCTACTTCACCCACCCAGCAACAATCCAAAAGAAAACAACCCAGCGCTACGTCCGCGGCAGGACGCAAAATTGCGCGCAAGACCGCTCACAGCCTAATTGAGCGCCGAAGACGGTCCAAGATGAATGAGGAGTTTGCGACGTTAAAGGATATGATTCCTGCATGTCGGGGGCAGGAGATGCACAAGCTCGCTATTCTTCAGGTCAGTCTTTTCATCCGGAACAGGAAATTTGCGAAATGTATGCTAATTGTCCGCATAGGCAAGCATCGACTACATGAACTACCTCGAAGAATGCATCACTGAATTGAAAAACAACGCCTCATCAGCAGCCGGACGGACAACCTCCGTCTCCAAAAAGCTGAAATTAGACGGTCCTCCTCTCGCACCACCGTCACCAACATCACCTGAAATGCTTGTGCCACCGGACATGGCAGAAGAAGACTCTGCTGGCTCAGCATCAGAATCCTCCTCATCACCCGAACTTTTCCCTCAGACAAGCAGCAATAACAACAGAACAAACACATCAACCTACTACTCCTCGCCATCCTTCTCACCCTACACAGGCCCAGTAAGCAACTCACAACAACAAATTCAAACCCTCGACGGAATCAACCATCCCATCCTCCCATCCCCGGCTCTGAGACCTTTATACTCCCCTCAAATACGGGCCCAGCAACCACAATCCGAATTACATCAAATGGGGAACGCGACCTCATACCGTGTTCCGCAACAGATTGCCTCCACGACTCCGTCACCTGCTATTCTGCCTCAGCAACAACACCATTACCAACAACAGCAACAACATAGACAAAGCATCTCGTCGACGCATACTATGGCCAGTCCCGTGTTTGTGGCGCACGATAGTATAATCGACCAAGAAGCGAGCGCGGCACTATTAATGTTGAATATGGACCGGCGTGGAGCGTCGATAAGTGAAGGTAGTGCTGGGAAAGAAGATAAGAAATCTCCTTCCTCTGCGTCTGCATCATCCGCGTCACAGGACAGGAGGATGGGTATGAGTGTACGGGATTTACTTACGTCGTAATTTATCTACTCTTCATGTACCTTGTTACTTATGATAGACTTGATTTATGAAATGAACGATTAATTTGTCTATGCCAAAATGCAGCTTTAGTCATTTCATGTATCGAAACTCTGTACAAGAATGAAAAAAAGGCAAATTTCAACCAAACCTTCATGGTTAATGATAAGCAGACCAAAAGAAAAACAAGGCAGGACAGTTTGTAAAGAGAACAACACAGTTGCCCACCCACTTTCAAAAGCAAGAATAGAACGTACGCCGTTGTATGTGTTGAGAGTAAGACAAGAAAAAATATTGAACGAAGGGATGTCGATAGACGTATGCAATGATGCTGGACAGAAAAAAAGAACATGCAATAAGGATGGATGGTAGTGTACTGTACATTAGAGGTATGTTGGTAGGTTCAATGGTGCCGCATGAAAAAAAGGGGAGAGACTAGATGTCAAAACTCCATCGCCATTTCAATGGCTGCATCTGTTCTCTCGATCGCGGCTCGTTCACTTCAAGATGTATAGCTTCAATGCTTTTGTCTACTTCTCGAGACGAAACCGCTAGGTTGAGATACGACGGATGAAACCCCTTGCCGCCATCTGCTGCTGTGCGTTTGGAGTCAGGCCGCGAATACGGTGTGTCCGGCCAATGGAGCGAGTCGTCCGGCGACCCCATGCTCGATGGCGAATTGGACCTGGAATGGAAGGATGGGGATAACTGGAGATGCCACTCGTCGTATGCACGTACGTTCGTCATGGATGTCGATCGTGGTGTCTCTACTGTAGTTGCTGCTTTGGGCGGTGCTTGTAAATTGTCGCGGTCTCCGTCACCTGTCTCCGGTGACGACAATGGCGTGTCAATCTCTAGCATTGGAGGTCGGTGCTTCTTGTAATTGTCGAAAGTCCGACGGTACGAATTGGTCGCCTTGTTGATCAACCACCCAGGTCGATCTGTAATGGGACTCAACTGTCCCTCCTGGATCATCTCTTCCTCTTCCTCTGACTCCTTGATCTTCATGTCAATGCGACTTCTTCTTCGTATGCTCGGATCTCGACTTTCACGCATAACATCATGTCTGGCTTTCCCGGCCATGACCTTGGCGCTAGGAGGCGGCTGAAGCATCCATCGTGTCTCTGCCCGACTCGTCGGACCGCTCACTATGGGCGGGTGCAAATCATTGACGGGTGGTGCTCTTGCAATATAGTATTTATTTGAATGACCAGTCCCGGCCCTAGCACGACCGGAGATACCCACGGATGAGCCCTGGATGGTATCTTCCTGCTCCTCCTCACCCCAAAGTACCTCATCCTCTCGCTGGAAGCGCGACCAATGAAATTTGTCACTCAGGGTTGCTTTCTCCTTCCCACCTGACAGCACTGACCCCTCAACTGTCATACTCGACGTAGACGACAACCTTGGCAATCCATCACCCGGGCAATTCTTCGATCGGTGCCGACGAGCTGGCGGACCGGGCCCTAAGGCAATCTCCTCCATCCATCCTGCATTTGTACTAAAAGGCGTCGGCTGAGGAAATAGGTGAGGTTGATCGGTCACAATCACCGAGGACTTTGCCTGTTCCCGCTGAGCCCGAAGGGCGTCCTTCTTACGGCGACGACGATTTTCGGCTTCGGCACAGGGAGTGCATGTGGCATAGTAGAATATAGCGGACTGTACGCCGCGAGCCAGCCACATGGCGCTGGTTCTTATGGAAGGTAGGTAGTGTCACTTAGGACAGTTTTGGGCGTTGCACGCAACGACTTGCACGGGATACGGAGCGCATGGAGGACAGCGGCAATTAGCCCGGTGGGCGATGATGATGCCCTAAGAGGTGGCCGGATGTGTCGATATGTTATTGGAGATCTGCACGCCTTCGCTCTTCGTCTGTCAGGGCAGAGAATGTCTGTTGTCGATGTTGTACGAATCGAGTATCCGCCGGCGCTTGCAGTACGGAACGCTTCTGCCTCGATTTTTGGCAACGGTCGCTAAGAAACGGTGAAAAGAGAGAAATGAAATCGCAAAGTTCGAAGTCGACCGATTTTGTAAAATGAAGCACGTAAAGAAAAACCTCATGCAGGCTGAAGAGGTGAAGAGAGAGCGAAACAAACGAAACAAAGAGTTTGACATGAAGCAAAGCAGAGATGCAAGCGAACAAGGGGAAGTTGGCGTACTTGCTGTACGTCCAACGAGGAGGGGGGATTGCTTAGTGCGTCCCAGTTTGGCACACTAAAAGCGCTGCCCCACCGCAATGTACCGATTGGCAGTGTCTCATTGGTTGAGACATGAGCACACTGCCGCCGCTACGGTGTCACCAGGCTGTTTGTGGACTAGCGCTACATGTCTGACTGTTTCGTATCGTCGTCTTGGCTGGTACTGTACATTGTATTACTACATAGTACGTCTACATTGTATTGTGCTGTGCTGACTCTGTTGCGCTCCAGATATAATTCTACTTGACAACGATTCTACCAATTCTACACTTTGAGGACGATTTCTGAAAAATCGAGTTGCAGACAGGAGAACGATGAGTCGGAACTCATTCGACTCTGCCCGTGGGGCGCCTTACACCGCCACATGGGGCGCAACCTGATACGCACGTACAAACTGATGTGGAGACATGTGCTCCGTGTGATGGAATCATTGGCCTCGGAATATACGTACGTAGCTGAGTATCAAGTAGATCCTACGTCAATTTGTGCCCGTGATGTCGCACGGTCAATTCGTGTGTACGATGTAGATATGTTGAAGTAACTCCGTACTCCGTCTCCGTAAGATACCCAATCTTGATCAATCGATCGTTCAGTGCTTCCCCACGTGGCCAGCATGTCATGTCAGGTAATCGAAATACATGAATATCTATGTTACGACTCACAGTGACTACTTTTTGAAGCGCCGAGTACTACAAGTCAACAAACTTGAGTGACATGGCTGTTATAAGAGTCATGTGCTTTCCGAGGCAGCCTGTACATACCTCTCCGCGGTCTTGCGATGCGTCCCTTTCCTACGAGTCAGTGTTGGTTCAGGTACATAGGCACGTACACTATATCGGTCATGTCTCCCAATCACACCCCCGATGTGGTAGCTGGCTATACCTAACGAGGTCGGTATTCATTCAGACTCTAGCCATACACTTTGACGATCTATAAAGGTAAATCGCACCAAAGACAAATACTTCGTCGCTCCCGATCACTGCCAGCAACATTCGCGCATCCCTCGCCAAAACAATGTACCCTCTTCGCTTCTGCATCCGCGCACTGTTTCTTACGACAACCCGCGCAAAGCCATCCGTCGTGCACAGTGCAGCGGCAAAAGTCTCCGTCACCGGGTTGGAAGTTGTATGATGTCGATGCCGAAGGCGGTTTCGTGAAATTTCGGCTTCTATGCGGATTTCCCTCTGCCCAGCAGTCTGTGCAGAGATGACGCGTTCGAGTGCGCCATGCACTGGTCTTTTGTGCAAAGGATTCCTATTGCTTGATCGTTAGTTGGGGATCTTCAACGGACCGAGGGACTAGATGGGTTACTGACCCGCACGATGCAAGCGTCGCATACAGGGCTAGAGCAGTATCGACATAATCCAAAATGATAACCCTTTCGATGATCCGATTCGGCACAGTGCATTTGCGTGAGGCTTTTCAGATGTTTCCAATATGGATTCTGGTGCCAACCGACAAATATATCCTGTCGTACTTCTGCAGCGGCTCCATCCTTTTGGCTCGACTTGGTTGACTGTCTGGGGCGCGGAAAGCCGTGGAGGACAGCCCTGACCTCGCTGTTCACTCGCGAAAGGTGGAGTAGGTCTCCGACTCCCAGATGAGATGCCAGTGTCGAGACCACCGGCCATGGAAAAAGTAAGTCAATCAATTCCGCCATTGAGCATAGTCATTCATATATCGGCCCCTTTTGCTATGTATCCGTATATGTATGCAGGTGTTGATGATCCGGCTTATATAACGCCGCACGGCTTGCACTTAATGTCGCTCAAGCCCCAATAGACCATTTCAGCAGTTGCTGCAAGACATATACAGTCGACCAAAAGTCTGCCAACTGTCTATGTTCTGCAAGATAATATCCAGCCCAAAGCTTCATCGAAAAGAATCCAAGACGTCTCGTACAAGGCTGCGTAGTGGGCTGAAGATCGTCGGGATCAGGTTGATGGATTAGCGTGATGCGGCGAGCATGCGTAATTGGCTGCGTAGACTGGCGAATGCATGCTTAGGCAAGCATGAACCCTCAGCTTGCTATTAGCTAGGCTCGCGAGAGAAATGTCATGTCAGCAACCGACGAGGCCAAATAGTGAGATGATTCGATGAGGGATCCGCCAAGACAGTGAATGCAGTCAGCGCTGAGCCGGGAGTTATGGTTTGCGGAGATTGCAAGGAATGAGTTAGATTGAACATGTCCGATTTGAACATGCTCTTGATCAGGTCGTATAGATCATCTAAGGTCTGCAAGTCATGTTCAGAGCAAAGTCTAGTTGGAGATGAAAGCAAACTACAGCAAACAAGGATAAGGCGAGCCTCATGAAAGCGCCAAGACTTGACCAAAGGTGGAGCTAGCCTCCAGAATCTGAGAGCTGCGGTCCATTTCAACCACGACCCTAAGCACCATGACAAGCACTTGAACCAGAGCATGCTTTGACTCTAGTTCCTCAAACCCTTCAATCGCATAAGGTTTCGCTACAGGCTTTGTCTCATGTGATGCATTGAGTGCCATCATCCGTCTTCTTGAAGTTAGGCCTGCGCGGTCGTCGGATAGCTACTGCGCAGTAACTACCTCAGCAAAACATTCGTCTGTCGAGATACCTCACAGATTGACATTAGTCGATCAATAACCAATCAGGCGCCATGTCTCTAAGCGCATATATTAATAGTAAGCTTCCACTCCCTCTCCTGATAGTATCATGCCCCGCCTCAAAACAAAACCGAAAAGCAACTAGAATGCTAGCTAACAACATCACAGAAAAAGTCCTCGTCATCACCGTCGACGGCCGCACCCTCCTCGGCACCCTCCTCTCCACCGACCAACTCACCAACCTTGTCCTCACCCAAACCGTCGAACGCATAATCCGCACTCCGGAGGACCCCGAACCCAGTTCCGAGATTGAGCATGGCTTGTACCTGATTCGAGGCGATAATGTGGTTGTTTGCGGCGAAGTGGATGAGGGGATTGACAATGATATTGACTGGAGTAAAGTCAAGGGAGAGGTTATTCGGGGGACGAAGAATGTATGATCATGTCACTGTATGAATAGATGATTAATATTGCACGACTCGAGAGAGGGGAACCGCATGAAGTCTCAATGAGAGAAAAGAATAGGAACGAGGAATCAACGATACCATTCTCGCATGGATTATCGAAATGCATATCGCTTCGATCCGACACATAACGTTCGACGAATATGGAGGTTTGAACGAACTGGAATCGAATCCGACGCCGCAACAGTTGACTATGCGACAGCGCACAAATCTTTGATTTACAAAAGATCGCAGACTAAGTGGCTCTCTCATTTCTTCGTGCATTACATGGCAATGTTAGGAGTAGATTACTTCAGATTGCTGAGCGAAATGTTACTCAAACTTACAAACGTAATCGCCCGTAAAAGGTAAATCAATGGTATAAAAGCGTGGTAAGGTTTGATGAGATCAACTTTTAATATCATCATAGAATTCGACAGTAAAATAAACGCGTTCAATCTATCCTATCGAGCTAAGATCAAGTGGGACACTACTTCCTCTGCCCGCGCGATATCTCCGTACTCCACCGGTAAAAGGTCGAGGTTTGGGTAGTAGACTCTCGTCCTGGAATTTGAAGCGCGTATCTTGTACCGTGCTTCGAGTCGGTCCTGGTGATGATGGATGGGAAACTGGAGTTGATGTCCCGTTGCTAAGTGTATAAGCGCTTGGATCTAGAGCTGACCGCCCCTGACTGCGGAGAGAATGGTCATCGTATGAGGTAGGTCGTGATGATACGGGAGTTGAAGATGCAGACGGACGCCCAGGAGGTGCTAAAGAAGGCGGTGACGTAGGCGGGGGAGGTGGTGGTGGACTAGATACTGGCAGTGATGGTGCTGAGCCTGGAGGTGGTGCTGAAGGAGCTGAAGTGTTGTGTGAGTGTCCAAAAGCATTTCGAGCAGCTTGCATCGCAATGGATGCAACAGCAGGAGAAGCCCCATTGGGTAGAGGTGGAGCTGAAGATGGCGGTGGAGGAGGCGGGGGATGAGCCGAAACAGGAAGCCTCGGAGCAGGTATGGAAGGCGGTGGTGGTGGTGCACTCGGCGGTGCAGGGCTCACTGATACAGGAGGAGGAGGCGGCGGTGGTACTGAGGGCGCCGTACCAGACGGCTTTCGAGATGCCAATGGGGGAGGTGGTGGAGGAGTCTTTCCTGACCCTGGAAGAGGAGGGGGAGCACGCGGTGGTATCTCCAAGGTAGACGAGGGCCGCGACGCAGGCTTTGGTGGTGGCCTTCGCAGATTCGCGACTAATGGGTTGGGTGCAGGAGACTCTGGAGCAGAGGGAGGTACTGGAGGTGGTCGCGCTCCTGGTGGTTTCGGTGCTGCGCCTACTGGCGGTCTTGGTGCTGACGCGGTCGTGGCTCSTGGACGAGTTGCTTCTGAGTCGGACAGATATGAAGAGTCTCTGTTCGCACCAGTATCAACACCGCCTCGACTGCGTAGCTTAGGCATGCCGCCAGCGAACAAACCCCCCAATTGAGGTGCACCGCTCGTTGCGCCTGAACTGCCACTATCATCTCTCGCCGGCCCGGTATCACTACTGCTTCGTAATCTGTTCGCCGAAGGGATAGGAGGCGCTAGTCCACCGGGAGCCTTGGGCATCCCCGGTACTGGTGGTGCGCCTCCAATCGGTGGACCTCCAGATTTGTTCTCGTTCCCAACAATGGGCGCCGATCGATCATTGGTAACCGCTTTCCTTAGTCTGGGCGCGCCTTTGTTGATATCTGCGAAAAGAGCGCTCTATACGCACAGTTAGTAAAGAATATTTGTGTTGTATGACGTAGACCTATCGACTTGTGTTAATTGAGAGAAGAACGTACTCTGTCCCCACCACCAGCACCTTTAGCTGGCCTGGCAGGCATACTTCCTCCAGGCGGCGGCGGAGGCGGTGGTGGAGGACCTCCCATGCCTGGAGGAGGGGGAGGGGGAGGAGGCGGCGGAGGAGGCATCGTGTTCGTCTATCGTTGAGCTGGAGGTAAGCTGTGCAGAATGGCAGAATGAGACCCCAGATACCCGCAAGGCAGGTAAGCTGGGTAGGAAGTAGTCGATATTACAAAGTCGGAAGGTCAGCGGGTCGTAAAATTGGCGACATAGGAGGGGCCAACATGGGACGTTGATCGTGAAGGCAGATGAAATGAAGCCTGTTTGTCGGTTAGTTGAGTGGTTTGTCGAGTCGTAGTTCCATCGCCAACGATGTCACTTGGGTCGTTGAGGGCTCGCGTGGCGGTGTTCTAAGCGTAAATGAGTAAGGCTGGGGCTCCTGCGGGCCTGCTTGGACCCATATTAGTTAGGCGGTAACTTTTCCGCCTGCGTTTCCGTTAAGCGCCAGAAAGCTCAGGCGTTTATCTCCTTTCCTCCCAAGGTCTCACAGTAATAAAGACACAATGGGTAGTGTCTTTATACGCCCTCATGGGGCACCTAGGCTGCGAAGGGCAGTTTGTCAATTCTGCGAACGAACGAAACGAACAGAGGCTGTGTCTTACTCGACGTTACAGCGGGCGCCACTTAGAAACGCTCTCCAACATCCGACTCGCCATGCCAGTAACACACCATTGCGACAAGATTATGTTCACTTGTTAGCGTCCGATTCGTCAATCGTCAAGCCGTTACAGATTCCTAGAAGACTGTTGTCGTCAACTCCAGACATAACGACATCTCTTGCTGAGATCAAAGAAAAGTCCGAAGCCTTACGCCGTTCAGATACAGCAGCCCCGGAAGAAGCAGTAATTGCGCTGCTCCAGCAATGCCTACATCATGTCGAATCCTTTCTGAAAGTACAGGAGTTGCATGAGACAGAGAACTCGAATCCGGCTCCGAAGGTGACTGCGACGAAATCGACTGCGGCATCGTCTCTACTTGGCCTCGACGAAAAGCAGGCTACGCCCGGAAAATTGAGAATACCTAAGGTGGAATCTAGGGTTGTGGACTCTATATCGCAAATATCTACTGAGCTTTTAGTGGATGAAAAGGTCTTCATTTCTCCTGAAGTCCTCGAACTATACACCAAGATCCACGTCCTCCTCAAGCGGGCCGACTACCTCCCTCAGATCTTCTCGCTATACGCCAATAAACCTATTCCGGAAGCAAACACATCACCCATTAAATTCCGCCAACAGAACCCCAATAGCTTGAAGAATGCCATTTCGTCAAAGCTTGCAAACGAGGCTTTAGAGATTGCTTTAGAGCAGAAGAATCTATCGCTTGCGCTTGCTATTATCGACACGACCTTTTGCGCGCCAGCCTTTACCAGAGCTAAATTGTTAAAGAATGCTGCCGTGCCTCTCGCAGGTTTGGCAACTGCGCCTTTGGCATCGTACGTGGTTGCAACATGGGCTGCGAATATGCAAAACACCATGGACGAATCGCTTGCAACGGGAATCACGTTTACCGCAACGCTGGCATACATAGGGTTCACATCATCCGTGGGAATTATCGCTGTTGCTACAAGCAACGATCAAATGGAGCGAGTTTCATGGGCTCCTGGCATCCCCTTGCGACATCGGTGGCTTAGGGAAGAAGAGCGAGGAGCACTTGATAGGGTGGCTATGGCCTGGGGTTTCAGAGACCCGTACAGAAGAGGTGAAGAGGAGGGTGAGGAGTGGGAAAGTCTTCGCGAGTTCATCGGTATGAGAGGTATGATTCTCGATAGGACAGAGTTGATGGAGGGTATGCAGTAGTCGCAGTTCGTAAATAGGCTATAGATATCCCATATCTTGTACAACTAATCTATCAATGTTGACAAACTCAGAGCAACAGATTTCAAGGGAGTAGAAAGTCTTTATTTTGGACCTAACTAAGCCTATTTGGTTTTATGTTATTTTCAGTCAACCAGACCATGACGCCCCAACATGCAGTCAATGCAATTAAGCACAGAACTTAGTACAGGCGCTTAGGAGGAGACATGGAAGCCTTGATGACAAGACTTCCAACGTTCTGCCAGCCCTTCTTGAGAAGAGAGACAAGGTAGTTGATGGCAAGCATAATGTTGGAGATCAATTCCTCCTCGGTCATGCCGACGTTGCCGACGGCGACACCCAAGCAGAGAACCTTCTTGAGCTGGAACTTGATGGTAGACTTGACTTCGGTAACCTTGGCGTCCATGTCCTCAGCGTGGGAGAGAGGAGTAGGGAATTTACCAGCTGTAATGATGTTAGCATAATGCAAGAGAATTCTTTTGGAGTAATACTGACCCCTAGAAAGACCGGGTCCCAAGATACGGGGAATCTGCTTGATCAAGGTGTCGGAAGCGACGAAAGCATCGTACTTGCGGGCGAGCTTCTTGATGAGCTTCTTGTTCTTGTTGAGCTTCTTCAAGTCGTCGACAGAAGCAGACTCCAATCCCAAGTGCTTGGCACGGTCGAGATCGTGCTGGTCACCAATGATGCTGGACTCTAGTCAGCAACCTATAATCCCAGTCTCGCACATCTTGTTTCCAATTTCATGCATATAGAACAGGACGGTCGAACATACCAGACGGTCATACCAGGGCGAGGAACGTTGGGAAGGCGGATGGTGCCGGAGAAACGCTTGTCACGCTGGGGGTCATAGTTCTTCAAGCCGATCTGGAGTTCGACGGTCTCGAGGAAGTTACGCTTCTTGGTGTTTTGAGAGTAGTCCAAAAGCTGTTGGACATTTTGACGCACTCCGGCTGTTGATTGAAATTCAGTTAGATGGCAAATTCTTCTTGGACGCTCGCAGACAACATCGAGTCGCTCGACAAAGAAGAAGCTTACCGACTGTGATCTTAGACATGATGGCGACAGTCTTCCAGAAGAATGATAAGTTCTTATGGTGTGGCTCTGCGTTAAATGTCGTTCGGATTCGAGGAATTAGCAGTACAAGCAGCTCTCGGCTTTTGAATATCGAAAAGATTTTCCCCGCTTGTGGGAAGAAGTAGCCGCTAGACCGGAAAAAGACTAGTATGCCCTAAAATTTCGCAGCTGCCAAGACCTTTCCTTCGTCAAGAAGTCCCGTGACTCCGAGGGATTACAGGCAATGTGATTGGTTGGCGACGATTGCATGTAAACATTCTGTAAAGAGCACATTGAGCGATTTGCTGATGCGATAGACAGATTAGAAAAGAGATTAAATGACTTCAGATTAAAGAGCACGGAATGGTAAGGGGAACTCTTACGGTATAATCTTGATCTTGCCTCTTCTGAACCATTCAGTCTCCTCTTTTTGGTACAGAGTAGTCTTCCAGCTCATATGTTTTTGGACGCATCACATTGGTCATGACTGCGACAACGGACAAATATGGAATACATCCGGATCTAGATTAAGACTCAGGCTAGGTAACATAATGTAGTATAATGTTTGCCAATGGGATGTCTCCCATGATCGACTATTAGTGGCTTKTGCATCCAGGGAAGGCGCAGGCGGCTGCAGCAGCCTAGCAGTTCCCATCCTGCCTCGTGCACTTAAGCCTCATCTGACCTCTCTTAAGTCAGAGGTCATTCATCCAAAGTCAAATTACTTGCTTCATATTTTCTGTCTCTACTTAAAGCAAAGTATTCGCTGCAATAAAATACGCAATACTTTTCTTTCTTCTCTTTCTCACCTGCTTAACCATCAAAGAGTCAGATTCTGTACCAATCAGGGGCTAGACAAGTAGACAGGGATTCTCGGATTTCATTGTTGACTTCAGCCATCATGGCTACACATCAGACAGCTGCAGATTTTTACAAGAGCTTGTCATCAGAACCTGCCTTTGCAGAAATATTCACTAACATCGACGATGCTCACAATTTTCGCCAGTGCCAACAGAAGCTCCTAACTAGCACCACGCGCAACTTTGTTCTCGATTTTGGCGATCAAGATGCATGGTGTGGATTCGACTTGGAAAAGGATGAGTTTATGTCTCTGATGAAGGATCAGGTACGAACTGGACATAAATGGGGTTCGCCCGGGCTAACAAGCAAGCTAGAGACCAAAAATGTTTGGGACGAGGTGGATGTGAGTATGATGGCGACGAAATTGCTTCCAAAGAGATGCTGATTTTCTGAAGTCATCTATGGGCTCCAGAAACACAGAAAGAATCCGTCAACGTGCGTCTCATCAGTTCCCCTTTACTTTTACGAAGCTGACAGAATCTTGCAGGCTCTTGCAAATCAGTACGGGCTATCCTACCGCCTAGTCAAGATGATGTGTTCAGATCCCGTACGGCAAATGAATACCACTGTAGCAGAGCCGAACGTACTCGAGATGTCAGTATCTGCTGATGAATCTGAAGAGAAGACTCAACATAATGTGTCGTCTGGAGATCTAGAAGGAGCCTATCACCTTGACCGACTGGACCCTGTGGCTGCGAGTGCCGAAGTTGCTTCTCTTGGCTACCTGTCATTCTCCAATATCATCAATCAGATCTGGCATTTCTGCTCGGTGGATTACGGCCCAAAATGTATTTCTCATTTCTGTGCTTCAAGGACGATACTAATCAACATTAACAGACACATGTGTTGGGTACAATTCCCTTTACACGGTCAAAATAAATGGCAAAATCATAGAGAATGGAAAGGGCCTACCTGAGGGGAAAAGACTATGGTGCTGGATTATATTATGTGATGACGGTACGTTCATATTTTGCCATTGAAATTGTTGTACTCCGCTAATGCAGGTCACCTACGTAGGAACTGTCATCTCCATGCAGGAAAACCCATATCCCGGACCATACATGCCATCCATCGAGGAAGAGAAAGTACTCATAGCTGCCACTCGACGAAATGTCGTTTCGATTTTCTCTGGTGCATCCAAACAACATCCGCTAGTTTCTGACAATGAGTCACTGGTTTCCGTACGCGTTCGCCATTTCTCCAGTATTGAGCCTGACGAGGCTAGTATCAAACAAGAAGATGGTCCTGGATTGATATTGTACTACATGTTCGACGACTGGGTATCAAGCTATCGCTTGGTGGCTCGCAGAGAGCACAAGTATGGCGCGTTGCTGGATGAATTGGTAGGTCTTTGAAGCATAACATTACGACAGATATACGAATCGCTGACTAGTTTTACAGAGGCGAAATATGTTGACGAAGCCCAATGTTGACTTGGTGGATGATCTGCATTGGCTCGGGCGGCGTCTTGCAATCTTGAAGCATCTCTATCAGAGCTATGAGTTAGTCATCACGCGCATTCTGCAACGTCAGCGTCTTTTGCGCGATGAAGCCGCTCAAATCCGACGCGAAAACCTTCACAATGCGAACATGTCCGGTGATCCGGAATATTCTGAAGCAGCGCATATGTCTTTCAGCATGGCAGATGTATCTAGATCTTATGACTTTACTGCAGGAGTGCAACTTACTTCAGCTGCAGTTGGCCGCTTCGAGCGCTTAGCAGACCGTATTAGACTATACTGTTTGAGTGAGATCGAGACATGCTTGACAGAGAAAGAAACACTGACATTTATGGTAAAAGCTCTTCTTTCCAGTATTCTTTCGCTTCTCTTTCAGCATCGGGCGGGATTACTAACTATTAATAGAATTTCAACTTGATAGCCCTGAAAGACTCTCAAGCGGTGGAGAAACTGACTCGCATTACAATTCTACTGGCAAAGGCTACGATCCTTTTTCTTCCCATCAGCCTAATGTCCCAATACTTCAGTATTCAGATTCCAGATATTGAAGGTCCCCTGTCTTTGCGTGCATACTGGATCTCATTTGCAGTTTTGATGGTACTGTCGATTAGCGTTTTAACCCTATTTGGCTATGCTAGCGATACAGTTGAAGGGAAAACGATCTATCGATCCGTTACGAGGACGTTGTTCAATTCTTCGAAGCAAAAGTCGATGGAGCTCATGTCTCAGAGGCGAGTGCAGCGATGATATGATATGATATGAGGTGCATGAACTGATAGATGAATACGATCATGGCTGCGCAAAGATTTTGGAGAGACATCGATCGAAGCTCACATCCACGATTGATCATGCTGGAGAACATATCCAACGGACCAGTGAGAATTATCACAATTGCGTACAAGCTGTCAGGCCTCGCTCCGCTCAGCCACAGCTCGCTGCGAAAGATTGTATGTATATGTGACTGGCGGCTCCTACAGCCGCTCATGTAAAATCTGCGAAAAAGGACCTTGTTTTTAAATAAGAGGCGGGACGAAAGTCCTCAAAATACTGGAGCCTGTTCTTAACACGACTGGTCGTCGAGGCAACACGACTCTTGATATCGGGCAAGAGAACATAGTGTTAGAGGACAATCCAACACCGTGTCCTTTCGCAGCAGGCAGACGCCATATAAGAATTATTGTAGCATAAAAGGCAGCTCTTCTCATCTCATTGAGAAGCTAAACGGGGCCTGTCATCTCCTGACTACACGTGCTGAGGCGTCAGACGAGGCTGAAATCACGTGGTGGCTACACCAAATCCCTAGTGACCACGACTACGCAGCGCACGGCAGTTCCTGACCTGGGCCAAGCACTGCTCCCGAGAAATTCTCCCCTGTTCGCCTTTGCTGCGATAGACCCGACGACACTAATACTAACTTAACGCTTAACAGAGCTGAGCGCCTAACTCTACCTACACTACACCACTCTCACTATCGCTGCCAACCCTTTCTCTCCTCCTCCCATCTAGACTCCTCGCTTTCATCCGCGACAAATCGACCCTCCACCCAACCTCTATCCTCCTGCTCATGTGAGTGCTCTCCATTTCTTCTCCATCTGGCCCCTCCTTCCCTGCTGCCCGCTTTATTTTCGCCTCGTGTGTCCTTGCCCGCTCGGTGTCTACTGCAGCCACAAGTGGACACGAGGTTCAAAAACCCAAGGCGAAATACCAAACCACCTACCCCCACAATTGTACGACGCGATCATCGACCCTGGAAGATTATACTTGTCGTGCTGGGCATTTTGTGATTGCTCTTTTTTGTCCTTCTTTTCTTTTCTGACTGTTGCTTACGTCTGGCCCCTTGCGCCTCCTGAGTTGTGTTTTCCGCCGTGTTTTTGTTGTCTCAGATAACACCACCACCTCACCGCAATCCTTACCCCTCGTGGTTATCACTTTGTCAGCCAACTAACAGTTCTATCCTTTCGGCCTAACAGTCTGTTTACCCCTCAATACCGCCAAGATGGGTATGGTGGTTTCGAAATTGCTCGACCGACTATGGGGCAAGAAGGAGATGCGTATCCTGATGGTCGGTCTCGACGCTGCCGGAAAGACCACTATTCTTTATAAGTTGAAGCTCGGTGAAATTGTCACCACTATCCCTACGATCGGTTAGTCGGACCTACTCTCCTTATCATTCCAGGCCTTTGGCCTTGCGGTTATCGACATGTTTCGAGATACTTGGCATATAAAGGAAGAATTGAACACAATGACTGATTGGGCCTTTTTCACTTCCATAGGATTCAACGTCGAGACTGTCGAATACAAGAACATTCAATTTACCGTGTGGGATGTCGGTGGTCAGGACAAGATCCGTCCTTTGTGGCGACACTATTTCCAGAACACCCAGGGTATCATCTTCGTCGTCGACAGCAACGATCGCGACCGTATCGTCGAGGCTCGTGAGGAATTGCAGCGTATGCTCAACGAAGATGAACTCCGTGATGCCCTTCTCCTTGTTTTCGCCAACAAGCAGGACTTGCCGGTGCGTACATTCAGTAGAGATAAAATAAGGACTTGACTAACGAATGCAGAATGCAATGAGCATTGCCGAGATCACCCAACAACTTGGTCTCCAGAGCTTGMCCCGCCGTGCCTGGGTATGTTTTCTACGATACTCGGTCGAATTATAAAGGTGACGCTAACATGTCTCTAGTACATCCAATCTACTTGCGCTACCACTGGTGACGGTTTGTACGAAGGTTTGGAATGGCTCGCCGAGACTCTGCGAAAGACTGGACGTGATTAGATAATGATGGGATGAGAGTGAGACTTCGCTGGCCCTTTGCATCTGTTTCTCTCTCTAGTGTGCCTGTGTGATGTGTCTTTAGGGAAAGGGATGAGTTGTTGAAAATAAATATTACTCTCAAACTGGAAAATGGTCATCGAGCCGCTCCCCTCCAAACTGGAAAGCAAAGTGAAAGAGTCGATCAGTTCTGTGATGATTTGGCAGAATTACAAAAGACTTCTTTGCTGCTAGGGTCCATATTCGTGTTCTCTTCATTAAGACGATTTTTTGTAATTTTTTATCTGTTGTTTTCCTTGTCCTTGTCCTTTTTGTTTCCGTTTTCTATTCTTCTCTCCTGTTTCATTTTTGCCGCTCCTCAGATCGATAACTCCATTCTTATAAGTTTCTTTTTGTTCTTTGTAGATCTACCCTATCCTGGCCAGACAAAGGTTACTGGTCTTTGGGATATTGTATTGTCCTACGCATAGGGCCGAAATCAACACATGTAGATTTCTTTTTATCCCCAAATAGATATGAAAGGCTTCAATGGTCTCTGACTGGCTTCGAGACATTCAATTGCTTAATACAGGGACATCAACAACCCATTGTTGGAGACCATGTGGGTATAAATGCAGTCAAGTACTCCGACATTGAGCCATATCAAGTAGAAAATTCCAGAGCATACATCTCTCCTACTGGCCAGCATGTCTTTTACGGAACCCATGGCGGTGCCTACTGAAGGCTACATAGAAAACATCCAGCAACCTTCTCATCAATCTGATTTGGATACAAGTAGGTCTATACCACCCAGTCCAATGCTTCTAATGGACTGAGAGGAGCTACACGGCTGATCATGACAGTAGAGAAAAATTCTGTGGTGAAGAAATTCGTGGATAAACTCAAAATGCGTTGGAAGAAGTGATCAGCCCATCGTCATTGGAGGAGATTGTGTTCAAGCTGACTTGTAGATGGGTATAGGTTCAAAGCCAAGCATATGGACGCCGTTGGGTTTTCCGAGACGGCTGATAGTACATGACGTTGGCCTTGCAGTTTTGTTGGACGTCTGTAAAAGAATACATAGCAGTCCGCCATAGCTGTAGCTGTTGTATTTACATCTTTTACGGAGTTGAATTCAAGGCAAGATGTAAGGTCTCATATGCTTCATTAATGCTATCTTGTGCCAATATAATTGTCAAGTCTGCCCGACCTAAAAAAAAAAAACGAACAAAAAAAAAGATATCACGTCTCCTCCACAGCTGAAGCGCATGGAGCCTCGTCGAAACGTAGCCCTAGCCTAGCCATAACATGATTGGGAAAAAGGAGGACGTGAAAATTGCTCTACAGAGCCGGGAACGGAAAGAAACCCAAAGAGCATGATTCTCAAGAAGGATAACTCTCAGCAAGCCGCCGTAGCGGAGCTCCGATTATAATGATTTATTTACATAAGTAAGTAAACCACTACTGATGATAGATGAAGAAAAAAAGAAAAAAAGAAGAGAGAGAAAGAGAAGCGGGAGCGCGTCCGTTTTAAAGGACTGGGCAGGTGAGAAGCACTAGGCCGTTATGGGCTTAGCGTAAGCAAACAGACAGACAAACTAAAAAAAAGATTGATAGGGCTAGGGCTGAGCTAGGCACGTGCTACTTTTGAAGAAAGCTCAGACCGCCTGGGTGGATCATTTTTACTGCTGCCTTATTGGTCTGTAAGCATAGTGGGCTATACCACTTCTGCACTAGCTTAACCACTCTTACGCTGCGCTAGACTTTTAAGGATAGTGGCAAAATCACATGTCACGAGAAGCACAATCGAATCTCAATTTTTGACGAACAGCAGGCGATGTCTGACGTGCTATGGAGTATAGCACGTCAAATGAAGTGACTCGCGACTGTATCTATCCGATGAACACTGGATAAGGCTTGACAAGGTAGGAAAAAGTCAGCGAACGGTCGAATATCACCACAACCAAGTTCCATCAAGTCAATCTGTCCCGGTGGCGGACCCTTAATTACACGGCCAACCGAAAGCCCCTCTTCCTCTTAAGAAATCCGAACCTTACCCCTTGTCGTTCGTTGGCACTGGTGGGCACGAGACCACATCCCCTTTTAATTTTGGCCTCTCATTCCTGAGTTCTGCTTGTGGTACATACTTCCTTTGCAGTGTGCATTTGGTTCAAGCGGCTCTGGCGGTTATCACTATCTACGTCTAGCCCGACAACTAATTTTTTAGGCTGCTACTTAGCGACTCTCTTGTTTCTCTAATCATTCAATTCGATCACAAACACGGATTGATGGTGCTGGCATTCAGTGAGAGTACGTTCCCCGCATTGACACTTCGTGCCCACGGAGACAGATCTCCGTCACTGTGGCGGACAACCAATTCCTCCTTCTTTTTGTGACGTTTCCCAGCTAACGATGATTCTGTTTCACAGACTCGAATATCACTCGTCTTACATACTCTGATAGATTCAATAACGCATCCACAATGTCGAACGATACCCTGAGATATATACCCCTAGCCTACGACCATACCGATTCACAAACCTCCGCCCTCAGACTGGTACTCACAATCAAACCGGAATGGGAAGGCCCGGGCAACAATATTGAATTCGTGCGGTTTACAGACGGAATAACGAATACTGTGTGTGACTGATTATCTTTCTCCAAAGGGCCACTTTTCTTCTCGTGGAGAAGGCCACTGAGGGCAGTAATCCGCGTACTAATCGGACTCAATACGTAGTTACTCAAAATTGTCAATCGCAAGCCCGGCTTGACCGATGAACAGATTGACAATGAGGCCGTTCTCATGCGCGCCTATGGTAACCACACCGAGATACTCATAGACCGTGAAAGTATGTACCATGCATGACAAATCATTGTTTGCGACTCGTGCCCCAATGCGACTACAATGCTAAGTAAATATTACTTTTCAATCTCCACAGGGGAGACTAGATCTCATAGTTTGCTCGCCCAACACGGCCTCGCTCCTCCGTTGCTAGCTCGCTTCAAGAACGGGTTACTATACTGCTTCATTCGCGGTCACGTCACGTCGCCTTCGGATCTAATTCGGCCTTCTGTCTGGAGAGGTGTTGCCCGTCGGCTGGGTCAATGGCATGCTATTCTTCCCATTACCAGCTCGGCCGACGATAGTCAGACTCCCTCGTCATCTGCGCAGGATCATTACGATATAGACAAGTCAGATGGAATGCCTATAGCCTCCACCATAACTCCCATCCAACCAAGACAAGCCGGACCCAATCTGTGGACAGTTATGCAAAAATGGATTCTTGCCCTTCCTGTCCAGACGGAGGAGCAGCGATCTCGACAAAAGACACTCCAGACAGAGTTGGAGCGTACGTTAAACGAACTTGACGATGGAAGCGGAATTGGCGAAAACGGAGTATGTTTAATTTCATCCCCGAAATTGTACTGAAACAAGCTAASGAGCCGATTCAATAGTTAATCTTTGCTCACTGCGACTTGCTCAGCGCGAACGTCATTGTGTTACCTCACGCAGAAACAAATGGGGCTGTCAGCAGCCACTTAGACTCCCAGGATGTGCACTTCATCGATTACGAATATGCGACTCCGTCCCCCGCTGCGTTTGATATTGCAAACCATTTCGCCGAATGGGGTGGATACGACTGCGACTACAACATGTTGCCTACACGTTCCGTGAGGAGAGAGTTTTTGACAGAATACATCAAGAGTTTTGCGCAGCATGGTGGCAAAGGCGTTGATGCTGATCAGCAAGAAAAGGTTGTCGAAAAGCTGTTTCAAGATGTCGACAGATTCCGAGGAATACCCGGCTTCTACTGGTAACTATCCACCAACCCTTGAAAAGCGGCGATGTCTAACAATAGTATGATAGGGGCGTATGGGCTCTCATCCAAGCGACCATTTCCCAGATCGACTTCGACTATGCTTCTTACGCCGAAGTTCGTCTTGGCGAGTACTGGGCATGGCGCCGAGAACAGGATGGCAGCAAGTCTAACGGAGCCCACGAAGAGAAGCCATTACGAGAACGTAGATGGGCGCAGGAAGGCTAAGCCACGTTACTCGTCAGGAAATGCAATGCACAACTAGACCTACTTTTTCTATCGCAATTCTGGATATTTCTTTGACTGGACCTTGGGGTGCATGATGGTTGTTTCTCGTCGGATAGATCGAAAGAAAGAATAATTTGGAGGTGTAGTGATGGAGACAAAATCATCTATTTACCTTCTTTGGCAATACTTAATAACCCGATTAGCATGCTATTCAATCCACTCCTTACCAGAGATCGAAAGGGTGATAACGTCAGACAGCAGTCATGGCATGGCACAGAATTCCCATGCGGTCATATTTTAGCTCAATCTGATAAGATTAAAACCAGGAAAAACAATACAACGACAGGCCGTGGTTGTCTATTTCTGTTTTTTTGTATCAAGTGGAGGAGGATTTTTCAAACTGCTGTCGGAGATAATTGTTAGGGCTCGGATTTTCGGAGCCGACTGCCCTAGTGATGGACGGTCTGGTGAATGTACCTGGATATAAAACACTCAGTTTTCTGCATGAAGATATTTCGTATGATTGATCAGGTATCCAATACTTGCGTATTGCTAAACATTCATAATGGCGGACATTCAGAAAGAGCAACCAACACCTATCACCTCATTGACAGGTAACGCTGTGTCACCCATCCACGATACAGAGAAGGGAAAAGATACAAGCATCACCAAGTTATCGCCCATTGAAGCACCCCCAGAGGTCATTACTTGGATTTGCTGCCTTAAATCCGTGTGTTTTATCATCCAACTAACATCTACCTACATATAGTTGACCTTGGAGGGCTCCGATGACCCATATAACTGGCCAACCGCACGCAAAGTTACAATCTCCCTCATAATATCCCTATCCCAACTGGTCTGTCTCATGACAACAAGCGTCGTGGCCCCGGCCTTGTCTCAGATAGCCACAGATCTCAATCTATCAGCTTCCAAAGCGCAACTTGCATTCTCCATCTTTGTGCTCGGCCAGGCATGCGGCCCCTTTGTCATTGCGCCTATGAGTGAGGTATTTGGTCGGAAGCCGGTCTGGGTAGTATGCGTTGTCTTTTTTATCTTTTGGAATTCCATCTGTCCTGTTGGAAAGTCGCAGGCTGTGTTGATTGTGGGGAGGTTCTTGTCCGGGGCTGGAGGGTCTTGTGGCGTTATTGTATGATATACCCTCGCTGATCGTCAATCTCTACAAGAATACTTAGGTATTGACACTGACACAATCTGCAGTTAGCAGGGCCTATAGCAGCGGATATGTTTCGCCAGAAAGATCGAGGCAAATCACTTGCTCTTGCTTCCATGTTTCCCTACCTAGGGCCGGCCCTAGGTCCTATAGTGGGTGGACTTGTCAGCCAATACGTCAGCTGGCCGTGGTTGTTCTGGGTCATATCAATTTTCAGTTCCGTTATCTTTGTTGCTGGCGTGCTGTTTGTACGAGAGACATGCAAGCCGGTTTTACTTCGACGCAAAGCTCAAGGAACGGACGTGGCAACAACGGAAGTAGTCAAGCCGTCATTGCCAGAAGAACGCCTCTTGTCCAGAATACTCGTGAGCCTACAGCGCCCATTCAAATTGTTACTATCACGACCAATAATCCAAATCCTTTGTTTGATCAACGGCATCGGATTTGGCATTTACATCCTCGTCCTATCCTTCTATGCAACAGTGTTCATAGACCAATACCATCAATCAGCCACAACAAGCAGTCTGCAGTACATCGCCATCGCGCTCGGATGTACCATCTCTACCCAGACAGGCGGTCATTTAATGGACATCATCTTCGCTCGACTTCGTTCTCGTCTCCCGGAGCATTCACCTTTACGTGACTCCCCACCCCCAGAGTTTCGTGTGCCATTAATGATAGTCGGAGTCCTGATGCTACCCATTGGCCTCTTCTGGCTCGGCTGGTCCGCTCAAGCACACATCGCGTGGATAATGGTCGACATCGGCGCCTTCATCTTCGTAGCTGGTGAGTTCCTAAGCAGTCAAGCCGCGGCTGCATACCTGTACGACGAGTTTACGACTCATTCTGCCTCGGCAAATGCTGCGAACAGGTTGATGTCTAATGTCATGGGGTTTGCGTTTCCGTTGTTTGCGCCGCAGCTGTATGGTCGGTTGGGTTATGGGTGGGGGAATAGTTTGTTGGGTTTCATATGGATTGCTACTGTCGTACCCATTCCATTTGTGCTTTGGTATTGGGGGGATAGGTTGAGAGCGAGGGGAAAGAAGTAGATGATCACACTATTGTGCATGTCTGGCAATATTGAAATGAGTAGACAAGCTGTCAGGCTTCCCTCTACTCGGCCACAGCTTGGTGCGAAAGGTTTTGTATATAACTGGCAGCCCCTACCGCTACTAACGTAAAATCTGGGAAACCGCCGAAAGGGGCTCAAGTTGTCAAGTCTCGCTTCGCTCGACCACAGCTTGCTACAAAAGATTTTGTACAGCCATACTGCCAGTTATATCTAGACACACAAGCTGAGCCTGCACAGATGAACTACTTGAGATTACAAGGCTGGTGCAGGTAAAATTCTGCACTGGAGTCAGTCAACTTCCAAGGTTATAGTGAAAGTAAGAAATGCATTGCGTGGTACGTGTCACCTTGAGTAAAGTCTACTATAGTACATGTAACGCCATAAAAACCCTTCCTAGATGATATGATCATTTCTCGTGATAAATCGTATGCTCCACTGTCTGCGGAGACCTCTTTTCTAGTGACTTCTTCACCGGATTGGGTGCCTCGAAAATCTCCGTCATCTCTTCCAGAGTGCGCTCTTTCGTCTCGACAAAGAAGAAGTATATGATGACGAATTCCACCAGGTCCCAGAAAATGAAGATGAGATAGTAGTAGTAACCAATTGATCCGATGGCTGTAGCAGTCGTGTATTGTCCCAGGATAGATGCTGCGGAGCCGAATAACTGTCCGACTGCCGTGCCCTTCGCGCGGGTTTCTGTGGCTAGAGTTTCAGCGATGTAAAATGGGATAAGCGGTACTATACAAAAAGCAAATATGGCACTGAAAAGGTAGATAAAGAAGATGCCGGTATGGCTAGCCACACGGTTAGAATACTCCACAGATAGCTTCGTGCAGCCGGTGACAATGGCCAAGCATATCGACATGCCCAGCACGCCGGTCAGGAGGAACGGCCTGCGACCCACGCGATCGAGGAGCATCGCTCCTAGAATGGCCATGAACCAGGAAATGACCGGGTTCAGGGCATTTAATAGAAGTTGCATATGCGGATCGTTGATTCCGGCCTGCTGCACAATGACAGGGAAGTAGTAGCTGACTAGAGCGTTACCGGAGTATTGCCCGAACCAAGCCATACCAATAACGCAGATCATGCGTCGACGTGCTGATCGAGTGTTGAACAAGTCCCTATAATCCCACCAGCGTTTATCGGATCCGGTTTCGCGGATCTGGCTCTCCATTTCGGCAATCTGCAATTGGACATAGCAATGCTCTGTAGACCCCTCGCCGTGCAGATCAGCCAGGACTCTTTCGGCCTCTTGACGTCGGCCTTGGGCCATCAGCCATCTTGGTGTTTCAGGGGCGAACCATATACCTATGGCGACTATACTGGCAGTGACGAGCTGGAGCCAGATGGGAATGCGAAAGGCTTTTTCTCCATCAAGATATGCGGTTCCATATGTAACCCACGACGCAATGATACTTCCGATGAAAAAATTTGTCTGCATGAGTCCGGAAAGAGGACCTCGCCAGCGAGGATGAGCTAGCTCTGACACGAATACCGGGGCAGAAACGTTGACAAAGCCCTGGCCAAACCCACACAAAAATCGACCGCCGAGAAACATTTGTCTGGAAGTAGCGGGTGCCTGTACACAGGTTCCGATGATAATAAAACAACAGCCTAAGAATATACCGACTCGTCTGCCCAGAAGATCGTTGACTGGACCGGTGATTGGAAGAGAACCTAGACTACCGATATTGTAGATGGCAAAGACTAGACCGGTAGAAGAACCAGCTGATTTCCTACGTTGACAATCAATTGACAAGTCTTTGATGTTGTGATCTCGAGGTGTGCACTTACAATCCGTAATAATGCTGGTATTGAGGCTGATGAAACCATCAATGTAAGCCAAAGTTCCTTTTTGTCGTGTAAAGACTACGCAAACCTACCATAGCATTGATGGACGGCATCAAGGAGCCATCGTAGCCCTGAAATACGATGCAAAGATAGCCTAATGCAAGTACGGCGTATAGCCGAGACATGTGGGACGTCCACAAACTCAACCGAGACTCTTCGCCATCGGGTGGCATCGAGCTATGTGAGGATTTGTGCACAACTGAAATAGAATCGTCCTGCATCCTAGATAGATTTGTTGTTTATGATCTAAGTCCCATTGATACTGTAGATGTAGTTCGAAATATATTGCCGACGTCGATCGAATCTGCCGGATCGATAGCCGCGTTATCGGGAACCGACTTGCCTGAGCGTGGATATAAGACTTTATGCGCGGAGAGTTGGGGCCCCATCTATGGAAAGTGACACGAAATTCCCAACATTCAGATGGGCCGTACAATTAAATATACCTCGGAAGGAAATAAAGAAATAAGAACCCTGAAATCGGGAGTAGAAGTAGATTCGCCTCAGTTGAGTTTCTACGTAGTAATTCTCAGAAATCGAGGCCAGGGAAAACCGCGTTTCCATTCCTTCTCGAAGTGGAGCCGCCTGGGCAAGTTCTTCCTCTTTTGTCATGGCCCCATAACCCTATCTTACATATCCACCAATGGCATTGTGTCAATACAAAAAGCATTGAAATTGAGTTTTTTAGCAACCAATTAAAAATTATCTTTGCCGACGCGCTCCACACTAGACCCATATCGCTGGAAGTCTAAATGCGTGCCGTCTGCGCCAAGACCGCCGAGCTGTCATTTAGTTGAACCCTTCGGGACCGGGATCGAAGATGTACTCAGCTCAGATATTGCGTGTTTAGTAATCCTCACCATACTCGCCCTCCATTGAGCGGTCAAGCGAGATAGATGTACGTACATGCGGGCAAAACTAGGTTGAAAGTTCAGGTACCAATGGTTCGGGGGCCAATCCCGCGGTTGCATCAAGTTAGCTGCATCTGATGTCTTGGATAAGATGTCAAGCATGCATGAAGCTTAGTTGAACTGCAAATCTTGTCAATTACAACTACTCCGGACCATACCTATTGGTGCAAATCAAGAATCTGTGGAGAGACTAAATGTCTGTTGAGTGCTGGTAAGCTTTACGTACATTTAATTTACTGATTTGATTATTCTGATTTGTCTCACTACGATGTGCACATGGCAGCATCAGGTCTGCATTAGGTCAATCCACAATATGTACTACTTTGATGTTTACGTGATCATGTCTGCCAGCCACAGGGACAATTGAGGAGGAGGTCAAATCATTTCACGTAAAATTCATAATCATCACGGCCAGCTGAACTCGCTATTGACGTTGATAGTTGAGTTGTCATTCTTGTCATCAAATTTTTATGGAGTATCATGATTGCTTCATGGTCTTCCCTTTGAATGGATCCATTTCCTCATAGACAACGGTAAATGGTTACAGTACCTTAGATGACTTCGCCCTAAGACCTAAATATGGTAGAGCTTTTCACCCAAACAGTAAGAACTCTGACCGAGTACTGCACTAGAAAAATCACAGTCATCAAAAGCCTGTAGCTGCTCTCGTCTGGTTTCTTCAGTCTCTTCTCACTGCAAACAAATCAAGTCAGCCACAAGATGTTTTCCTCCACCAGATCTTGGAATAAGAAGGAATTTCGAGTACTTAGCACGTGGACCAAATACCTAAGATGCTCGGAATGTTAGTTGAGTTTGATTCATTACCAAAGACCTCCAGGGCAAAGGGTTGACCAGAATACGATTGCTTCTAGACCTGTACGTCATTACTGACATGGCGAAAATCTTGAAGCTACCACAATCCTGAGCTCAATGTTCTGCTTTCCGCTCATATCTCGACTTGTCATGATGCAAGCTGTGACTAGGCTGGTTGGTAATTCTATTTAACGTCCGGTGTAGCTCCCTATTGTTCCGGTGCTATCCAGACTTCAACAGGTCAAATACATGAATCTTGCCTCGCAAGTTGGGACTATTATGCAAGCATTCATTCATACTTAAAGTATGTTCGTGAAGATGACAACTATTCTATACTTATGAACTCTCATATGCAGCGTCAAGTCCATAAATCCATGACGTTTTCCCTACTAATAATATCCTCCACGTCGTTTATTTATCCTCCGTCCTTTGCAGTTTCCCGATCATTTCTCTTTCTTTTTTATCGGACACTCCACATTGCTCAGGTACCTACGTAAGTAGTCACTATATACAAAGAAAATTCAGCATGATCCTTTCGTCGTTGCTTCTCCCGAGCCTTGCGCTCTCTGCCCTTGGACAGGCGTTTACTGCTGCTCCAGTCATCACCAACAAACCGCCTGCCACTTATACTGCAACATTGTCTGACAACCCTAATACCCCAATCCGTGGCTATGTCACCGCAAGTGGTGCTCCGGATGGCGTTGGCGTGGTTTTCCGTGTCAATTTCACCGGGCTACCTCCTGATATTGGACCTTTCCGTATGATGCCTCATCTTGACTTGCGATCCGAAAGCATGCAACATAAACTAATGTCTTCAATCAGCTTATCACGTCCATCTCTATCCTGTGCCAACAAGCGGTGATTGTTATGCCACTGGGGATCACTTGGACCCTTACAGCCGCGGCGAGCTACCTCCTTGCGATCCAAGTGACCCTGCCACTTGCCAAGTTGGTGATCTCAGTGGCAAACATGGCTCTGCTTCAGGAAATGATTTCTTTGCCGAGTACACAGACCGCTATCTGTCTACTGATCCCATCAGCAATGCTTTCTTCGGCGATAGGTCCATCGTCATCCATGCTGCTTCTCTTGCACGTTTGAACTGTGGAAACTTTCAGCTTGTACCAAGTCCACAGGCCGCGAGTGTATCTAGAGTGAATGCCGGGATAAATGTGGCATCTACGTCTACTCGCACATCTAGCCGCACATCTACTCGCACAACTATCCGGACACCTACTACTCGTCCAACCTCTACGAGGACACCGAGTTCACAGGTCGCGGGTGTATCTAGACCGAATGTCGGGATAAATGTGGCATCTACGTCTAGCCACACATCTAGCCGCACATCTAGCCGCACATCTACTCGCACTTCTACTCGCACTTCTACCCGCACTTCAACTACTCATCCAACCTCTACAAGGACAACGATCAGTCCAACCTCTACAAGGACAACGATTACTCGAGCCGTCCTTACGCGTACCACCACATTCACCACTCGTCCCCTCACCAGCACTAGATAGTGCCCAGCGGCGGAAGAGGCTGTCATCGATGTCTCTCAAGGGAATATGCCCTTTGAGACATACTAGCATCTTGGAAACAGTCGCACCCGGATGTCTCGATGTCTGGGTTCTCAACTCGGTTGATGCTCTAAAAGTGTTGATTCTAGTTCTTAATCTAATGGATCAATGGCCTTGAAAATTGATTCTCCTCCTGTAGTCACTTCCATCTTCTCGGTGTAGCACGCCACAGGTTGACTTAACATACATCGGCACGACACAAAGACTAAATATGTAGATGTTGACTCCCCCTAATAGAAGTCGAGTAGCTTGTATCTAAGTTTCTGAGTTCGGGTGGAAACGGGTCATTCATGAAGTGAAGGCATGACAGCACGATTATGGCTACACCAAATGCAAATGTCATAAACTCAAGATTACCAGCTTATTGAGCGACATCGCTATGCCTGAGTATCATCTACACTTCGCGTCTTTATGATTGCACTGTCTATATCTTTGCATTACTTATTTTCGGGAGCGAGACCTGTCTCGACAGCTTTGATCTGCAGAGCCAGAAATTTCGAGTAGATTCGGCACAACGCCAAATTACCACCCATATACCAGAAATTGGGATGTCCTGATGGGCGCCACATCTAAAATCAATAGTCAGTAAAAAGCAAAATGTGATTAAGAATGAAGGAAGCTTACAGCCCGCACTTCGCCCTCTTCATCCAAATCCCAAACATCCTTACAGCGATCCGCAACCTTATCACCAAGCACCTTGCGCACCGTTGTACGCATATTATCAAACCCAGTCGCCAAAACCACCATATCCGCCTCTAATTCTTTACCATCAGCCAAAATCAAAGTATGTGGCGTAAACTCCTTGATACCATCAGGCGATTTGTGGACTTTGATCTTGCCCTCGGCGATGAGTTGACTGCATCCCACGTCGATGTAGTAACCTCCTCCACGAGTCATGTATAATCTTGCAATACCGCTTTCGTCGATGCCCTTGTAGACATCGAAGCCTGCTTTGGCAAGTCCATCAAGAACCTCTTTGTCGACTTCGGAGATGCGGCGGGTGAGATGCACGTTGAAGGCGAAGGCGACCTGGTATGGGAGAGATTCTGCCCAAATATCGGCCTGTTCTGTTGGTGGTCTTTTCTGGAGTCAGTCAATGTGGACGGACAGGTATTGATAGTTTACCTACCCATATTCATCGTGTGTCCCCTCGTGCAGCATGAACACACCCTTATCAACGGAGATCACATATGTCCCCCTTCTCTGTAGCATAGTAACCTCTGCTCCATTCTCATAAAAGTTCTCGGCAATGTCGTGACCCGAGTTTCCCGTTCCGACGACAATCACTTTTTTCCCCTGCACATCGTACTCGGCAGCATCTCTATGTTGAGAACCATGATATACAGTGCCTCTGAACTTCTCTTGTCCAGGGAAAGTTGGAACCTTTGGCTCTCCTGAGTGGCCCGTGGCAAATACTACATGTTTAGGATGTAGAGTACGCTCGAACCCATCTGGTTTTCGAACAGTAACTGTCCAAATTGATTTATGATCGTCGTACGCGGCGGATACGACAGATGTGTTTGTCCAGATGTTGAGTTCCATGAGACTGGCATATGCCTCAAACCAATCACCGAGCTTATCTTTCGGTGTGAATTGAGGCCAATTCTTGGGAAAAGGGAGATAGGCCATGTGTGTGAATTCCGCTGGGTCGTGGGTTGTCAATGTCTGTAATTCATTAGCAATCCAGCTGTATATTCAATGCCATAAAGCAACAAACGCGGTATCTCTTTCGCCAATTGTCTCCGATCCGTTCATGACGATCCACGAGCAAAGTCGACACATCAAGAGATTGCAAASGAGCCGCAAGATTCAATCCTGCTTGTCCTGCAAAATATTCAGTTTACTCTAGATGCGAATAAGAGAAAGGTAATACATACCAGCACCAACAATCAAAACCGTGGGTTCTACACCTTCAAACTTGACAGCCTTCTCTCTCCTTTCCTTCCACGTACCACCAGCCGAACCACCCGGCAAACTGTCCAATGTCCCATACAATCTCTTCGGACCAAGCGGCTCCTCCGCATCCTTCAATTCCTGCAGCGACGTATATACTGCATATGCCTTCCACTCCCTCCCAGCGTCGTCCAAGGTCAACCTCAAAATGCCCGATCCGCGACCCGCTTTCGTCTCGAAATGGAACATGGAAGCCACAAAGTCGATTCCCGGGACGCCATTTTCGGGCGTATCGAGATGAGGTACGTATTTTCCGCTTGTTTGTAAGGAGAAATTGGATAACTGTGAGGCGGGTTGGAATTCCTGCAGGAACGAAGCGATATTTGTAGCGGAGTGGATGGTGCGGAAATCCCATTGGAGAGCGATGTGATCGCGCCAGTATGAGTCGTCGTGGAATAAAAGTTTCATTTGGTCTGCCGTGAAGTTACCTTCATTTGTGGAGAGGGTTGTCTCGAGATTGGTGAGCCATTGTTGTGCGATTGTCTTAGGATCGATGTTCTCCGTAGAGGCACGAGGCGGCTTGGGCAGGGAAATGACGTGGTTTTCTTTTCTTTCTCTTTCTGTGAGGGTCGTCATTTTGTGATTGTGCGTAGTCTGTCCTGGTAGAAGGCAAGATGACAATATCCGAAGCTAGGGTGAGATAGTGTACAATTTATATACCTATCAACACAGAAAAAAAAATTATAGAAAATGCATGTCCCCGTGGGTACAACACAGAAGGAAAGTTGCCCGATGAAGCAAGCGTACCATGAGACATGCAGACATGCAGCTCCAAAATCTAGACTCGGAGCTATGGCCGACTGATGAAGCCATTGTTCCTTTTCCCCGCACAAGGAACAACAACACACGGCAGCGTTGCCTGGAACATAGCCGCCGAGCACTGTTCATTTTTCGAGTGGGGGGAAACGAGTAATTCGAGAATTTTGCAATCCGGCTCCTATCAATAATGTCTTCTTTATTTCATCCATGGTGGTTGTCGAAACGATCTAGAGTTAAGGAACCCTGAGAGGATAAAGTGCGGGGAGAAGGAAGCTGGGGCAGTTGAGGAAAGTAACCCGAGAGCGATGTCGGCTGAATTACCCGTTACTATGCTTCTGTACGGACAGTCAGTTGACCTCATTTCTTATATTCAGATGGTAAAGAGCATTCGGCCGATACATATACTCTCAATATCGATGATTGATTCTCTCTCTGCTGTTCGGGGTGATAGCATCACTCCAGGTCGTAGTTGTCTATATACATTGCATCGTTGATCCCGTCAGGAAACAAACCATTACAGACACAAAAGCTTGTCCAATCAAAAAAAAAAAAAAAGTATGAGAATACGAAGAATGAGACATTACTCATATCTTCACACAGAAATCAGAAGGGGGAAATAATAACAATCAGAAAAGAAACCCGCTCAAACACCTGTTCATCCGAATATCCAGTAAGAAATGGAAGTGCAAAGGTGAGTAGGAAAAAGAAACGAAAAATGATATATGCGAGCCAAAAAAAGAATAGATAAGAATAACCAACCACCAGGGCGACAAAGTGAGCATATGATGTACATCTAGGAATTCTAAGCCCCCAACCGGATAAAACAATAATGACAAGAAATTGATGCAATAAGTTGGCGAGATAAAAGAAACAACAAACCAAGGCTCTCGTAGATTCGTGGCTCGTTTGACTATGACTCTTCTTCGGCGACTGGCAAAGCCACTTCCCCTTCGTCGGGGACATCTCCATTGTCAATCACCAATTGCACATCCTTTACAGGATGCAACAACATAGGAGGCAGACACAGCCGACCCTCACCGGCAAGCTCTTCTTCTTCACCACCGTCATTATCAACTTTGTATCCCAACCAGCGGCGGTACAAGTTCGATGAAAAGCCTGCAGAATAAAACCATGTCGTTCCGCGAAAATTGTGTTCGCGGTCTCCAAAGACTGAGGTACGGGCTCCTCCAGAAGCACCGTTGCGGCCTGCGTTGAAGACAGCCTCTACGTACCGTGTTGGCCACTTGCGATCAATGTACACCGAGTGAGGTACATACACAGCTTTCAAGCCATGGTGGAGTGCTGTTGTTGCTGGCCACATCTCTGAGAACATGGAGTGTCGCTTCATACTAGTTTCGCGGTGCATGGTCAACAACAGTTTGCGAGAAAGTCGAGACGCAGTGATAATAGCAGCACGGCGTTCAGGGACTCCGTCTTCACGGTTGTATCCGGTAACGTCGTTTCTGAGGAGCCAGGTTGTTCCCTCAGGATCAAATAGCGGATTGAAAACGAGGAGATCAGCTTCTTCACCAACGCCCCATTCATATTTGTCCTTTTCCATACTTGTAGGAGGGATGACATCGGTGTCGAGCTCCATAACATCGCTCTCGTGAGGACGAACAGGGCCCCAAATGAAATCCTCGCCATGTCGACCATGATCTTTGTGATTGGGGTCAGATTTGTCTTCGCTATCCTTGACGGCGCTCCAGATGTTGTTGGGACTATTTGTGCCCAACTCTGTTTGCACGCGGACGGTATGCATGAAATCGTCCCATGGACCATGGACGCTAGGAACGTAGAACCGAGAGTTTCGCTCCCACAGTCCCTTTCGAGGTTGTTGGCGAGCCCAACTAGCTGCCTTGTCAAAGAAGTGATACCAATGACCGGTGTGGCGAACATCCATCTCCCAGTTCCACACATAGTCGTATTCGGGATGAAGATGCGAAAAGTATTGGACGGGCATAAATGTGCTACGGTAAACTCCGTGAACTGGCAATCCGCGCTCGAAACTCTCTTCCAAGCCACCGTAGATGAGGTTCATCTGCCTTTCTGACCATAGGATCCCCATACCCTGAAACTCTTCGGGAAGAGCGTCTCGGAGCACGCGGTCGTATGTCTCTTCATCCGACCAGATCTGCAAGTTGTCATCCTTGACATGAATCAGGAACTGTACTGTAAATTCTCCACCGGTCATCAAGGATAACTCCGTGACAAGAGCTCGCAAGTACATTATATCCTCTTCCGTGTAGTGAAAGTCGTGCCAGGTTCGGATCAAAACTGCTGTACGTGGTAAACGATCTGTGCCTTTGGCGTATTCCTTCTCGGAAGCGGAACTCTCCATATGTGGCTTGGGAGGAGCACCAATCGGCATAGCGAAGGCACGGTCAAGATGAGGATCTCCAAGCTTAGCGAAACGGTGACTGTTGGCAATCACGCAGCGATTTTGTGCTGCAGCCCAGTTGATTTCACGAAAATCCACAGGTGCGACGTCATCCCATACACGCTCCGAGCCCTCACGATCGCCTTCCATGCCGGCTCCGCTACCACCTTTCCTCGCGCCGTACCCCAGACCATAAGGACCAAGACGACCGAAACGATCGAAGCAAACGTCGTCGCGCATTCCCAACATCTCGTTGGAGCCCATGATCGCGTCGGGAAAGCCTTGTGGCACGCCAGGATAATATTGCAAGTAAGGCATTCTCACTTGACTATCTTCGTCAAGGAAACACTCAACCTTCTCTCCATATTTATGGATGTATTCCTCTGAGTTGTAGTTCGGGTACGGATTGTAAGCGGTGCTGGTCATAGGTAAGCCTTCCGAGCGTTTTTGCACCGTCTTCCTTGCTTGCTCCTCCTCCCCTGGTGATTTATCTGTTCGCAAAGCATCTTCCATGGCTAGCGTCAATTCATCTAAAGTGCCATCTCCTGGATATTCCGGCACACTTTCATTTCGTGGCACCAATGTCCTGATGCCTCCATGGTAGCGTTTAAGGAAAGGGAAACTTTCCCATGCGTGTGGTTTCGGCGCTGGTTTCGCGACGTCGATTGGCACCTGCTCAGCACGGCCAAAGAGTGTGAATCGGAAGAGATTGAGGACAAAGAGGAGGAGAGCGACAAAGACGGCCAGACAGACACATCTCATCAATCGATGCGGCATAATCCCATTTCTCCGCGGCCTCCGCCGCCGAGACGGGCTGCCTAGCATGGGAATGTGTGAGCTCAGTGAGCCTGAGGTTACTCGAGAGGTATCGGAGTACACGGGTTCGTCGTCGCTGAGGGAGGAATCATAGGCCATGGGCGACGAAGCCTTTTCGGGGTCAAGATGATCGCGCGGACGAGACCATTGGTTCGGTTCTCGATATCGTGTCGTCTTGGACATGGCATAGATATGGTTTTGGGATCAAGGTCGTCAAAATGACGTCCACCCACGGTTGCACGTGCACCGGGCTTTGAGTTTGTTCAAGTCGTGATCGTGTGTAATGATATGCGACGGAGTGATGGAATGATACTCTGTACGATAGTGAATGGATACTAGAATACCAAATACAGCGGATCAGGTGTAGGAGTATATTGGTGAGGAAGATTAAATGAGCAGAAGGAATAATAACAGATACAACACTTTAGTTCGACCATGGGGATCTGGCTGGAGGCAAAAGCAGGTAAATAATAGGAGGAAATGGTGGAGCGTGGCTCTGTCCATCGCAAATCAAGTGAGGAAGCCAATAATCGCCGAGCAAGACCGGCCCATCGTAAATTGGACTAAGGGACGATGGTTGCTCAAGTGACTGGCGCCATAAGTTGAGAGTGGAGCTGAGGCGACATGAAAGGCCCAATAAGGAAGGCGTCCCTGATTAGCAGCGAGTATCATTGGTTCGAGGAGACTTAATATCACACCAGCCAGCGAATCAAAGCAAAGTTTGGAAAAACTGTGCCGCGCCTCTGTGGGCGTTGATTGGCTTGGCAGACGGTCGGTGCCTCAGGCGGCGTCAGGCCCCTGTCGTCTCCCCGGGAAGGACCGCCCTCAGCCGTGCTGCTGCCTCGTGGTTTGCAGCTTGCGGCTGCCACTTCCTCAGCAACAGCGCTAGCCCTTTCCGCTTCAGGACTAGCGTTTCTCTCGTTGTCATGGTTCCCAACAGTAAACAACCCTCCCTAACTCCCGAATCAACTTCTACTACCAGAGCACACCGATCAATTACAGAGTAGGTGCACAATGCAGTGACATCAGACATGTCAGATCTAGATATCGTCACCACGACTGAGGTGGTTATTTTCTAGCCCAAGGGCAACGGCTTCATGTTCTCGACTCAGCGGGTGAGAGCTCATGAGACAACCGCCGACCAGTGCAGCTCCAGCAAGACCAACATACTACAAACCGTTAACCTCGTGACAATTTTCCCAGCCACCACGCGACTTACCATAATCCACATACTTGTCAGAGCATGATGCAAGGCATGTCTTGCAACTGCCTGCTGTGCCGGAGGTAGCGAGTTGACCACACCGATATTCGCTGCCGCATCTCCGCTCGAAAGAAGGCCTCCGAGCGACGGCCCAAGAGCTGCTGTCAAAGTTGGACCTTGCTTCACCATCTGATTCTGAAAAACCACAGATCCGAGGACTAAAGAGATTGCGCAGGCTATGGTCCGGACAAATCCGATAGTAGAGGTGGCTGTAGCAGCGTTAAGGCTACCCACAATCGCCTGCAGGGAGAGCAAAGGTGCTTCAAAGTTGAGTCCAATMCCCGCCCCTGAGACGATCTGGAATGCTATGAGTTTTGGCCAGTTGAGATATTCATCGAGATTGATCAAGAGGCCCACGCCAAGCGCCATCAAAGCCAGCCCCAGATATGTCGTTGGCATGTAGCGTCCCGTTTTCTGGATGAAAAACCCGGTCAGTGCTCCCGAGATACTTATTGCCAAAATGAAGGGCAGGAAATAAACTCCTGACAAGATGGGGCTGATGCCTAGTACAGCCTGGAAATACAACGGCAGATAATAAGCTTGTCCCATGAAGACGAGTCCATGACAGAAACAGAGAACAAACGATCCAGTGCCAGATCTATATTTGAAAAGATCCATCGGAATAACGGGGTATCTTGCAAACTTTTTCTCGTTGACAACGAATAGAGCTCCGACAATAACGGAAAAGACTAGAAGACAGACCACAGTTGCGGAGCTCCATGGGCGCGTGACGCCACCAAAGTCCAGACCTAGGAGAAGCATCAGGGTGCTTCCAATGACAAGTGATCCGCCTGTCCAGTCGATGGCTTTGATACCTTCCCATACGGGAGTTCGAGGATTGTTTAGATTCAGTGCAAACCACAGTAAGACAAAAACAGCTCCGATGATTGGCACTGTCATTATTAGTAGCCATACTTCGGAGCGTGGTAGACATTTTCTGGACTTACGGTTAATATAAAAGCACCATCGCCACCTGCAATGATTGAAACGAGTTAGCGGATATAGTATGGTGAGGTGGGATCTTGACCAACTGACGATATTTTTTCCGAAAAGAGGCCTCCAAGGACAGGTCCTACACCACTCGCAAATGCCCATACCACAGACAGTAGTCCAAAGTAGAATCCTCGGTCCCTAAGCGCAAACAAGTCACTCACGCAAATATTCACCAGAATGTTCAGACCAGCCGAACCGACACCTTGAATTGCCCGTCCCGCCAGCAGTAGACTGATTGAATCTGCCGCCGCACAAATCAGACTGCCAGCGAAGAAGATGACCAGCCCAGCCAAGAGCAACGGCTTGCGACCCCAAATATCCGATATCCTACCCCATGTAGGCATCGTAGCTGTATTAGCTAGTGTGTATGCGCTACCGATCCATGTATACCCAGAAGCTGAACGGAAGTGACTTGCAATGGCAGGGGAAGCGGTTGAGATGATTGTGATGTCGAGCGCGGAGACGAAGACGCTGGCACTGAGGGATAGCATGATGACTGCAATACGAGAAGTCTTCAGTGTGGATGCTGTTGCTACTGACACTGGCTGCGTCGGGGTCGCTGTGATGATTGTTGACTGTCGCGAGATAGCATTGTTCTCGGGTTGCTGTTGCGAGCTGTGTTGATGATTGCCATTCCCATGGACCTCGAAGTTGGTATCAATGCTTTCACTTGCCATGGCTTCGGTCTCCATGGTTGTATTGAATAGCTTAACTGCAGTGGTCTGAAATGTAGATTGGGGTAACTTCCAGATTCAATGTTCAATATCAAGATTACTTCAACGTTGGGCCGAGTCGGTGAGGCAGTATTTATACATATCTCTGCAGGCCCTAACGACACTATGGTGGGCAGGTAATCGCATGATCATATAAGAAATCTACCAATCGGATTGAGCTGCATGCCTGCATCCGGTCTGACTTGGAATTGTACCAATGTGTAGCAATAAAAATATCAGATAAATCTACAAATCAACGTGAAAGCGTTCCGGTTGAGCTGAGTACTACGTAGATATCCAAATGTTCCCATTTAGCGTGCGGAACTAGCCTGCCAGGATCCACAGGGGTTGCTCATCCATGTCAATCAGGAGGCGCCGTTGAGATTTCCGAGCTAGAAGCCATGCCCACCTCTTTCCCCGAAAAAGCCATCCGAAAAAATTCAATTCGGTCTTTAGCCTCGTAGGTGCCCACCCTAATACTACTACTAAGATGTTGTAAAAAAAAAAAAAAGGAGTCTATGTTTCGCTTCGAGTACGGTACATCTGGGATGCCAGTGTAAGTCTTTGTAGGACCAGAACAAAGATGCAAAAAAAGAGGAAAAATTGGAAAAAAAAGAAATCACGTGACCTACGCAGGGATCGAACCTGCAATCTTCCGCTCCGTAGGCGGACGCCTTGCCATTGGGCCAGCAGGCCATTGATGGAAGACAGTTTCGAATTTCACCTCAAGTATCAATACCTCAGACGAAACGTAAATGGCTCTTGCGCTTGACTGGTCGATGATCACCATAATATTGGCATTCAACGTCACCGTTACAATATAAAGAGCGGAGCAGTCTTGACTTTGAGAGACATATCGATAGTAACAACCCTCTACGAATAAGTCAGAGTCTATTAACAGGTACACCAAGCAACTTGACCCTACCTACTCATTGTTCTACCTCATCAACCACTCTCTCGACCTCACTCTCCGAGAATCGATGAAACAGCTTCCGTAGCCCCGACTCATCTTCCGAGGCTGCAGGTTGCACGTGAAGCACAGGCACATCAAACTCATAGACATCCTTCCATTTCTTGTTCTCCGGTACCATGATATCGACTTCAGTGTAGCGGATTGTCCGTCGTTGTTGGAGCTTCGAAAGGGTCAACTTGGCGGTGTCGCATAGGCCGCAGTGCGCGCGAGTAAAGAGTGTCAGCCGAGCTGGTTGCGCACTGAGCAGCGCTCTAGTAAGGCGCATTTTTGCCGATAATATTATAATGATATGTTTGAAAGAATTGACTTGTCTTGTTTGTTGACCAATTGTTGATAGCAATCGAGCTCTTTCTATGGAACCTTCGAGTCTCCGGCACTAACCCGATTAGGCGCAGTAGATCCCCGCAGATCGAAAGATGCAGAAAGTGAGCTCACCTTTCGACGAAGTTGAGCAATCTGTCTTCTTGCGTATATATTCCGCTCCGTATTGACGCCCGTCTTCTACCTGTCAAGCAACGCGCGACTCGGTTTACTCAGCCTTTAACCCTATAGTACATAAAGCTACTCTCCTCAATGGCGAGCAAGTGTGTTCACAAAGGCTGCGGAAAGGTCTTTACTGACCCGGAGGAGGATTGTGTCTATCATCCAGGACCACCAGTCTTTCACGAGGGTCAAAAGGGTACGGTTGATCCATGCTCCGCAGAATATAATGACAATTACAGTCGCTAAGCTAAAGTGCACTGTTATATAGGCTGGAAATGCTGCAAACCCCGCGTTCTCACCTTCGACGAATTCCTGACCATCCCACCTTGCACAACCGGCAAACACTCCATAGTCGACGATACTCCGAAAGAAGCACCAAAAGAAATCGACAGCGCCGCATTAGCGAACCTTGTCACTGAGCAATCGGCTCCTAAGACAACGACGCCGATCTCCGCAGCTGCGGCTGCTCTTCCTACACCGACACCAAACACAGCATCTGCGCCTGCACCAGAGCCGGACTCTGATGATCCTTCGCTCTCGATTCCGGCAAATGCTACATGTCGACGTAAGGGCTGCAATGCCACCTATAACCCGGATGCTTCGAGGGATAGTGAATTGTGCGAGCACCATCCAGGAGCGCCGATTTTCCACGAAGGTAGCAAAGGTTGGTCTTGCTGCAAGAGGAGGGTTTTGGAGTTCGATGAATTCATGAAGATTCCTGGCTGTACGGAAAAGAAGAGACATTTGTTTGTTGGCAAGGGAAAGCCTGCGGGAGAAGAGAAGGTGGAAGATGTTCGGTAAGTTCAATTTTCCTGAAGTATGCTTTCTGAACATCACACACTGACATACTCAATAAGAACGGATTTCTATCAAACCGCTACCACCGTCAATGCGTCGCTATACCTTAAAAAGATCAACAAGGAAAAAGCCAAGGTCACATTCAACGAAAGTTCAGTTGAGTTCGACCTTCCAACCACCGACAACAAACGATTCACAAATACATTTAATCTGTTCGGTCCCATTGATCCAGAGGCCTCATCATATAACATTTTCGGCACCAAGATGGATCTCAAATTAGCGAAGAAGGATGGTCAGAGTTGGCCGGTGTTGCGCAGCGACGATAAGTGGACCGGAGAGCGAATTCAGATCGGACAGGCTGGTCGTGTCGCTTAGTATCGATCAGACTTGGTGGAGAGGCGTATACAGTCACAGACTTGATTAAAAGTAAGAAAAGACAATTGGGTTTACATTTTGGATCAATGATCCTGGGGCATACAAGGAGTTTTTATCATTTTCGGCTTTGAAGGTAGGAATGCTATAGTAGTCATCAAGTATCAATCAATTATTTTACAGAGAAAGTCGCTCTTTATATGACGATTACAATGCACTGGAACTATTACAACATGAATTCGAGAAAATGATGTGTGGTTGATGTATACACAAAATTGGGAATTCATTGCACAGCGCTCACGTGCTCAATCAAGCCCTACATCCAAGATGGATGTAAAATTAAGCCACTATCCCAGTCTCCTCGCCCAATATCATGCACCAAAGATTGCTGCGTCCAGTTTCTCCAATTGGTCAGTTATTAACCGACCAGTCGAACTTGAACAAATCCAGTCGCTTTGTGTCTTCCACGCCCTCGATTCCGTTGTAAAACAATACAAGAGCAGCACCGTCTTTAATTACTTAATTCAGCCTCTGAACGCCAAAGGAGACGTTGATACATATTTTATCTTGTAGTACGTGAGAGTTCTACTTGGGATCAGAGGCAAAGGCAATCGATTTCAGGCAGAATAAACGATTATCAAGCAGGAAGAACATTTGAAATAGGCGCTTTTGGCTACCCTACGCTCTGCATCTGGTACATATGAAGAACGCGGAAAGATCTCTTGTATGTAAGTCAGATAGATTGTTTCCTAGCCGGGTGCTGAAGATGATGATGATGAGGAGAACTCTGAAGAGAGTTTGAGTGGACGATGCTGATTGGGAAAGATAAAGATGAGAAATGGATAGAAGGGAAAAACCACCATTCTATAGCCTGTATGGTTGTATTTGTGAGAGAAAAAAAGTCGGGAATTTGCTGTCAGTTGCTTCCATGATGCCTAGAAATATATGATTTTTCATTGATAATTAGACGGCTTTCCTCGAAGACCTTTTGAGGATCGGGAAAAGTAAATTAAAGCCTCGAAAGAGCTTCGGAGGCACGACTATCTGAACATGAGTCATTCCAGCTGTATCAGGGGGACTCTCTACAGCTCAATGATCGTTTCTGTCTGGATGCTCCTCACGGAGCCAGGTGTCGAGCAAGCCGATTTGGTTGTCGGCGTTCATGATACGCAGGACGGCAAGACGTCTAGCTCATACGTGACAAATTGTAGCGAAGTCAACAGGGTAAGCCTTTTGTTAGACTTGTGAATGGTAAAGACTTCGCTTTGGGTACGGCTTTCCCCGGCGATTCTTGCCTTAGGATTCTTATTTCCAGGGGGAAAAAATACTCAACAGTACGATGGCTGGTTCCACGTTTTGGTAGTCGTCCATTCGCCGCCTTGAGACGATGACCTGTTTGTCGCGGGCACTGTGACCTCGGATCTTTTATGGGGTAGATTCGATAGTATGTCTTCTTTGATATCATTTCGCTCTTCAAGTGATTGAAAAAGCTCTTGCCTCCCTTTGAAAATGATGGTTCAGTATTCTGGAACATGAGTGTGTGTCATAAAAGAGGTCTCAATGGTATTTATGCGGGCCTGCTTGGCTCTTGTGATGTTCATCCATTTGGTTTTATCATCCCAGTCCCATCCGGTGTCGTCTATGTTTATCACTTCCTAGACAACATAGGAAGAAGCATCAAAGATTCGTCTGCTGTCTTGATAGAATCGTTTCATCGCTAGAATAGCGCTTCCTTTGTTTCGGAGCCTCCTTTCTATGTTACCGTCTTATAATCGTACGCCCATCCCAGGCGGTACAAACTGTTTGCCACAGAGCCATTTGCGAAGCAACTTTAAGGTCGTTTGGTATCGACCGTGTTGTGATGGCCTTCTTGGTATATCGCAAGCTTGGTCTTGTGTTAGCTCAACTGGAATGTAAGAGCAGTATCCTTTTTAGCTACCATATCTGAAGTCATTTTCTCTAGTGCTGAATTGGTTTGATATAGATTAGACCAAAACCCCATAACCTTAGGACAGACGAGTCGCTTTGAAATATCAGCATTTGGTGTATAAGCTGTGTTGTAATGTATCACCATCGATAGAGCGACGGCAGCACCAGGTCGTTGTCTCAAAACGACGTCCTTTCTTGGCGCTGCAAATTATGTGGTGTTGTTGCAACATAGGAGGAAGTTTATACAACGAGAGTGGGAAATGAGTTCCTTGAGATATCAAGGAGAGTTCGACTTGCGGGAATAGTCGTCATTGTACTTGACTTTTGATAGAAGGAGTCTTTGCCCTGATCGAATAGAAATAAGGCGGATGTTGAGAGACTCTAGTTATGACCGGTGGCACAGTGGGTTTCCAAAATCGCGTAGTTCGGAGAAAATATCAGAACGGCTCATATATAGCAACGGTTCTGTTTTATTGTCAGAATCTCTGTCAGAGGTAGGCAGACAATTCGATGACTTACCGTTGTTATTATCCCGCTCGTTGAGAAGTAAATGACACACTATCGACATGTTATGTGTTACTGATGTTTGTTTTCAACATATTTTGCCAATGGATGTCTTGCAGTACCATGCTGATGTAGGAAGTAATGAAAAATTGCTCAAGTTGGGAGATTTCTTAATCATAAAAATAGAAAGAAGAGAGCTTCAATGTTGGAGGAAGAAGGGAAAAGGCAGAGGTCAGAGGGTGAAATCCCTTGTATCTATAATTTGTCCATAAACATCCTAGAGCCTGATATCGCCGCCTAAAAGCAGAAGACAACATTTTGTGCAACAGCCAGAGCTCTCAACTCCTGACATAGATGCATAAAGCCCCTGCGAAGAACAAAGGGCGGTGCCCAAAAAGAAAAGCTAAACGGGTCTTTCATTCAATTGATCCTATGTAGATGTTTGCAATTCTGATCGTGGCAAAGTCACAAAGTATGATTTGGAGAAATTGCTTGCCTATGTTGCACAAATAGAATCCGCCAAGATAGTCTAATTTTGCAGCCATATGATGTACATGTTCATTGTGTCCAACGTCCAGAATTTCTTTGCTTGGAGCGATGTTGTAACCACCAAGAAAACATAATCGGTGACGTAAAATAGCTTCATTCCTAGGTGGATATAGGAGTCAATCGGCGAAAGTGTTGAAAGATTCTTTATGAGAGGCTGAGCAAATGAATGAATGGGCAATCGCCGACCTCAATACATTGTCCAGCCTCCGCTCGCTGAGATCGTCTGTCCGGTAACCCACCTACTTCGTTCCTCCGCTAAAAAGGTACATATCTGGGCAATATCATCCACTGTCGCCAGTCGTTGTTCGACTGGGGTGGATTTCTTTTGTGCTTCGACAATCGCCGGGTTGATTTGATAAATCATGTCCGTGTCCACAGGGCCGGGATTAACACAGTTGACAGTATGTCCGTCGGCGCCGAGTTCAGCCGCCCAACACCGCGTGAAACCTTCCATGGCTGCTTTACTAGAAGCGTAAAGAGAGTAACCGGGGAATCCCGCTCGTGCACCAACGCTCCCAATGTTGATGATGCGACCTGGTCGTCGAAGATGAGGCAGGACAGCTTGCGTCATCAACATGGTCCCTCGCACGTTTAGATCGTAAACATACTGCAAATCCTCTGCAGTGACTTCTGACAAGCGCTTCTGCACCTCGCAGCCAGCGTTGTTGACGAGTATGGTAATGCCGTTGTCAGGGAAGGCTTTCAACGTCGCAGCAACGACCTGTGATGGTCCTTCCAATGTACGTAGGTCGGCTTGGACTTTGATAGCAGAGCTGCCATATTTGTAGTCTGCCAGATGTGATAGGACATTGTCAGCTTTGGCTGAACTGGACTCACTGGTATATGTAATCACCACCTGCAAGATTTTCAATTAGCAATATTGTTATCTTGCAACATGGGATACAACGAGACCTTTGCTCCACGCCTAGCAAACTCCACGGCAAGCCCTTCGCCTATGCCACGGGATGAGCCAGTTATTATGGCTACTTTTCCATCAAGAGTGAGATCCTCCATTTTGTGAGGTCTAGCCTGATGAGCGTATATACAAGGAGGAGTGTAATGAAAGGTATGTAAGAATGTCCAAGTGGGAAAGAATGGCGTGGGGCTTTACACATATGCCAAAACAGTCACGGAACAGGAATAATATCTTCCGAACTATACTAGTACTTTCCATAGGCAGCAACACCTTTTCTCTGATCTTATTAATACCTTAGTCACCACATACGTCATGGCATATCTAGATGGGTAAATCATATTTTACATAGGTGAAAATAACAATAGATAACCAAAGCATTACTCTCCAGCACAAAAGGGTCTGCAGTTCATCAGTGTGATTACGCATAGAAAAATCAAAAAAAGAAGAAGTCCAATTATTGGTGTCTAGAGTCGAGGCTATGTGCAACATGAAGTCCATGATTACTAGGCCGGGTATATCTCATGTGTCTGAAGATACTAAATCCGAACTTGAGCATAGATAATACTGGGGATCTCTTCCTGGCGCATCGAATATAGGCGAATCAACAAATCATAGACCTATATAAGCAAGGTAGGATAATAATGTGGCGTATAGAGTGGCGGAGTAAGACGATATATTTTGAGATATGTCGACGCAGGCATGAGAGAAAAACATCGACGAGACAATCATATGAACCCGCATCGTAGCTGCTGCCGAGTGGGTCGCATAAAAAGCAACAAATGATGTCGATCCTCAATATCTTGATGTGATGAGGGGACACACAATAGCTGCTGCTGAGTGGCGCTCAGCAGAGCAGAGAGAACTCTGCTTTTTATGCGAGCAATATTGTCAAAGTTGACATATGATGATCAATGTAAATGACTTGACTCTGACCGTGTTCATTATGTGCTGTGGGGTTGGCACATTGAGGAGACTCATCCCTTGCTGAATCAAATGCTGTTGCACACAATAGCTGCTGCTGAGTGATGCTCAGTAGAGCACAACTTATGTTGCAAGCAATATTGTCGAAAGGGAAAGAAAGATCATCGAAGCAAGACTTTGACTTTCGTCGTGTTCTAGCTGCTGCTCAGTGGCAGCTATCAACAGCATTGTTGATGAAAGTCGTCGATCTTTGTTGGTGTTTTTTCGGCGATTTGAATCAGACTTGAAAAGCCTAACTCGAAGAGTAATATCAGCATTGCGTGTGAGATTTCGGATCAATTCAAGTTTCACCGTACCTCTATTCACATACAGCCCTCATTACGATCGTGGTCATCGTCGTCTTCCTCCTGTTTCCTTGTCGCTGCGGCTGTCCGGTCATTGACTTGTTGAACCTTGTGCTCAGCAACCCAAATTTGTTGAACCAGCTGTTCGTAGCAAAGGCCCATGACTCCTGAACCAATGCCGTCATGATCAACGAGTGATTAGTCCAAGCGCCTAACCAATCCACATGTTGACCGTTGTCTTGATCAAATCATGTGTATACTCTAGTATCTTCTTTCCGTGACGAGATGACACCAGCAAGCTCCATGTCTAGAGACTGTAAATCGAAATTCACATTCTAATTGATTAAAAAAAATGATAAAGAATGGTATGATATAGCAAGACAACGGGACCAGGTAGAGTGAGGCGGGGTAGCTAACATGCCGACTTCAAAACTGGCGTAGGAAGAAGAAAAAGAGAAGAAAAATTGCAAGCTCGATAAGAGGGGGAAATATGTGGTATTTATACCCTTCCTGCCTGAGTTGCCCGGCGTAATGGGAGGTACCTGATTAGGAAGAAGGATATCAAACAGAATCAAACGGATGTAGAAGTCACGAGGACCGCTGACGCCCGGCATCATAAAAGTATAGGCAATGAATCTATTGTTACTGAAATACGCTCCCTCTCATATGGCTAACAGCCTGAAGAGATCTCATTGTAAGCCTATATTAGGAAAGAAAAATCAATATTCGAACAAGTAATGGTAGGGGTGAGAATACAATGCACTCCCATAAAGAACAAACAAATAAACACAAAAATACATTTACTCCTGAGCAAGTGGAACATGCTTTTTCCAGTTCTTGAAGGAGTGCAACGTTGGAAGAAATGTGGTAAATGCCAAAAAGGTGAAGTTACAATGCGCTTGAAAGCGTTTGAGGAAAATGACAGAAGACTAACTCCATGCGCCACCGCCGATGCATCGAAAATTAGAAGATCTGAAGGGAGAATCGTGCGCTATATCGTGTCATGTCGTGTTAGATAGGATTGATGACTGGGACGGGGGCTTTAGGCGTGGTACTTCCCCCGGACCCCGCGGATGGAGAATGCTTCGGTTTGCCTTTCATTTGCGAAGGTGTAGGGGGAGAATATTTCTTTCGACTTGGAGTAGGTGAAGCTGACTGTTGAGCAGGTGTTTTCTGGTGATTGGTAACTGTTTGTCGTACGGGTGTATGTGGTGTTTGTTGAGGCGGCGTTCCTTTCGTAGTACTTTGACGGTCGTTGCTGCGAGAGCGATCACGGTCACGGCCAACACTGCTTCCACCGGCACTGCTTGTCTTTCCACCACGCTTCACCATTCGTCCGAGAACAGCGACCAATTCGGCTGCATCCTCGAAACTTTCGTCATCCATTCCTTCCTGCGCATTGTACACGTCTGCGATAGTCTGTTTGGCTAGTCGCCGGCATGCGTCGGCATCGTGAAGGCAGTCAAAGAGATATGCAGCGTATTCAAGTTTCACGGATAGTCGGAGAGGATGCGACCCAGGAAGCAATGTATCAGCTAGAGTAGCCGCATGGCTGAAGCAAGGAGTTGCTGTCTGCGTATAGTCGAGAGCTGGTAATAGAAAAGATGCCGCCCGTTTAGGCGGTGGATATGGGTTTAGACCTGGAGGACCCTTTTTGACGCTGCTTTCCGGAGGCCGTCGAACTGGTCCACCTTCACTGGGCGGAGGAGTTTGCGATATTGATTCTCGCTTGGGATCTGATTGATCGTCTGAGGGTGTATGACGGACACCATTAGGTAGGTTAGTTGAGCTTGGTAAACTCGATATTCCCGGAGTATGAATGGCCGGCTGATTGTGAAAAAGCACAAATATATGATAGAATGATGCGCGCAGTTTGTAGGCGAGAACTTTGAGTAGGATATAGTCTTGTACCATGGGCAATATGTACTGCTCCACAATCACCAATCCTTCGCGCGAAAGCCAGACAATATGGTAATAGAGCTGTAAAGATTTTGTCTCGCGCGTTGGATCCAAGCGGCGAAGCTTCCGAGCACGAACAAGCTTCTTGGATAGAATCACAGATAAACCAAGGATCTTGTAGAGCATGCTCGAAAGAAACGGATTTTCATGGCGAGTAGTAGCCGCTAGTTGGCCCAGATACTTCTGGTCAACTTCGTGAGAGGCCATCCAAATAGCAAACAACGAAACGTCCAAATCCTGCAATAAAGGTTTCATGTTAGCGAAATCTTTCAATTCCTGGTCAGTGTCGTCGTCGTCGCCATCCACTGCTCCGGATAGCCAATTCGGCTGGCATGCATTTCTCGTCGCCATTTTCTTGAACAATTTCAATGCGCAAAACGGGAAACTGTAGGAATAAAGTGATGTGCCAGCGGAGGATTCAGGGCTCTTATGTGTTGGTGGTTATGTTGTATGAAAATGTAACCGCCGAGTAGCCGCCCGGCGGCCATCAGGGACCAGATAGGTGAAACGAGCAAGGGGACGAAATTGGCAAAAGAGCGCTTACCTAAATCCCTGAAGACGATGATCAGCAGTATTTTGTAATTCATATAGATGAACTCTTCAAACAATAAATAGCGCTTAACGGTGGTTTTATTTTTGAAATGGGGTGAGTGGATGGAGGAAGCGCGACACGCCTTAAACCCGTTGTTAATACCCTCCCAGCGTCAACAGTTTCACAGAGTAGACAATAAGAAAGCGTGGAATGATATAAGAATGATCGGAGAATTCTTGACTGCAGTTGTTGGGCTTTATCAAAGCCGATGCGAATGGGGGAATCGAAATGATGGTCGACGCGATGCGAAAAATAGCTCGGGAGACTTATTGAGAGCGAAATGACCTGACGGAAAGACACAACTTCGCAAGTATTTGTACAGAGTGTTACTCAACAGTGATCACAGTGAGCTGAGAGTAAAACTGCAAAACCAATGGCAGTATGAGGTTGGAGTGGGCAGAAGCAAGTAATATACAGGCGCAACGCTAATAGATCAATCAGGGTTGTAGGGCGGCCGTCATAAAACCTAATGATAGGGCTAAGTAAGCTCCTCTAAAGGATCTGGGTTGTGATTGTTTCTAATCTGAGCAATTGTGCCCGATGAGATACATACCTGTCGGTTCAGGTCGATTCAGTCAGTAGATTTTGTTCGTTTTCCGGGGCGTCGTTCGATCTTTTCTCTATTAGATGGTGATTCCGTGAAGGTCTCCGCGCCAATCAAAATGATCGTATTCGGCACAGTAAATCCCCAGGCGAGAGTGAGGGAGCAAAGAAAATGTGGCTGTACAACTTCTGAGAGTCGCAATTCATCGTGAGTTGTCAGGCAAGAAAAGGCTATATCTCTGCTAGGCTGGAAGACATGGTGCGGTGGCAGAATCTATGAATATAATAAATCAGGCACAAACGTGCAGTTCCGCCGCACCACAGCTCAGCCTACGTAAGTAGACAGAAAGCTTAGGGGCAGACAGCACAACACAGTGACCCGATCGAGGCGGTCAATTGGCTCCCATTGACCGCACAAAAAAGGTTTTTAAGGTCGATGGCCCAATTCCCAGGTGTCCGGTCGAGGACAGTTGGCGGGTACAGCTGTCAGCAGTAAAACCGATGCCGAGCTGTTGGAATAGCGAAAAAAAAGTCGAGAAGGAAGGCTGAAAGCTAAGCGGTGACTGGTCCCTTCCTCAATCCGCACAATTTCTACAGATTGTAATCGATGATGCACGTCATAATCTTGTATTCTTTCGCGCTCTTTCTCACTGGTACGGCGAAGGTGGAAGCAATTGCTCGATCCTTGGCAAGAAAAAATCGGGGGGCAAGAGGGTGGTTGGTGGTGCGCAAACGCAACAGTCCGTATGCATCCAGAAACTACGTGTCAGAGCCAGAGCTCTTCGCGACGCCCTTTAGCCTTGGACCGGGGGCATTAAGCCGCGGCGATAGTGGATCAGCAGTCGTCAGACAGTCCATTCAGAATGGGTGAATCCCACGCAGATCGGATATCGCCAGTGCTTAAGTTAGCGCGACACGCCTATACCAATCCGTTACAAGTCCGTTTTTTTCTTGCATTCAGCCATGGTAAATTTTAGACTGGCGCTTGCCAGCGTGGCAGCGGGCTGTCCCACAGTGGTTTTTACTCCGTGAATCTTTGGTTTCTTGCTCCCCGAGCGCACTTGAAGACTCCAGGACTCCGCAATCATTATAGGAAATCATCGTCATCGATGCAACCCCATCATGACATAATTTGTGGCTATAACTCGACAGTTCTTAAGCAGAGTGTGGCGGTTTGAAGATGGGGACTTCAATATCGAGAAATTCGGTATTGGTACGGATTGTGTATTGTCGGGTGAGTTTTTCGGCGGAAAAGCGCCAGGGGTGGGCATTGACGACAGTGAGCAGTACGTATGTAAGCAGAGAGCGCAAGGCAGCTGGTACGATAACGGGCATAGTGCGTAATGGCCAATACCCACCGCCAGTTTGTCCGTATCTGTGGCTCTAGGCTAAGCCAGGGACGGCTAGGAGCAATAGTAGCCGGGGAACGGTTGTGGTTGGCTGACCGGTAAATTTGGATTTTGGAGATGTCAATGTGCGTCTCATGTATGTAGGTACCGGCTGTCGAGGAAGGCAAGCATGCAAGATAGTGGGAAATGGACAGAGACAGACAGTGTGAGTGTGTGAGAGTGTGTGAAAGGGAGAAGAGAGGCGGATGTCGACTAATGTTGACAACGATGGAGCAAGGGACGAAGGGGACCACAGGGAAGGCGCGGCCCGTTGCTGACCCAGACAATCGTCGATGCCCGACACGTAAGGCATTCCATCCAACGCTGTAGACCACAATACTGCCTGCAACAACATTTTCAGTACCTCTTCTGACAGCTAATTAGTCCCACACAATCCGCAATATGCTTACATCTTGGCCCCCTACATTGATGCGTCTACGTGTGTGTAGGTCAGTCTAGAAATATGCAGCCAGCCTCAATTTAGTCCCATCAGCATGCGCATCATGTTTACTGCTTTGGTATCCCATATTAACCCAATCACTGACTCTTTCATGCTCATATATTCAATACATTGACCGGAGACATGAGATTGGTCAATATGATCTCATGAATGAAATAAGGTGGTCGTGCTATGGTTCAACCTGATTCAGAGCCCTGCTTTCTTCGACACTATTGCCAATATATATAAATACTACAGTCAAGTGCTTCGGTCAATCAAAATATACATTAAAATGGTGATCTTGCTAGAATCTAGTATCTGGAGACGTAATGAGATCTATCTCACAGTTGGTAACACAGAAATTTGCACGCACTTCCGCTTTGGGCCTAGCGCCAGGCTGCCACTATCGACACTCCGATCCTCGTACAGGAGCAACATTGATATTTGCATCTAACATCATCTCGAATCCTATCTCTGATCTCAAACCGTTATCCATTCTCGTCTGTGGATACTCATCACAAGGGAATAAAGCGACTATCAAAACATAACGCAAGGAAATAGATGGCCATGGCCGAGTCGCTCAACCCGTCTTCCGTGTCTCAGAACATCTCCAGCCTCGGACAGGATGACGATCCCGTCAAGCTGTTCCGATGCTGGATTCGCCAGTCGTGTGATGACTGTATCTCGATGAGAGATGATTTGGATTGTAGTTGGTGTCCATTTGTATGTCCTTCGTGCTTTTTACATAGTGCATCTTTGCCTTGTTGCATGTTGTTCTAGCCCTAATCTTATCTTGTTTGTGCTATCTTATAATCGTTTTTCACTTGAGTTGATAATAGCCTGAAGCATAACAGGTTTCTGATGATATCTGTTACTAACAAAATAACAGTCATCAACCTGCGTTCCCAACCCTTCCGCCAAATATCCCCTCTTAGCCCCTATCGACTACCCAGACATCTGCCCACTCGGCGCCAAAGAGCGCTGGGAACTGCGCGCTCGTGGCTTAGGTTGCAATGTTAGCACGCGTAACCTTCTATCTGTGGTTGTGGCTGTTATCAGTTCCTTTGTGCTGGTTGGCCTGATTGCGATCGTCTTTCACGTTCTAAGTAAGATGATTAGGTGGTGTATGGAAAGGAGGAGAAGTAGCAGGGGCAAAAGAGGAAGAGACCTTAGAAGCCATCTAGGAATCATATTTTACAGAGATATGGATGGTGATAGAGTTGATATTATTGAAGAAGAGACTGGGTATCGACGGGCAGAGCGGGTGTCTCATGATGAGGCTTCCATCGATGAAACGAGTCCGCTGCTGAGGTCAAACAACCCAGGCATAAATGTCTGATTAGCCGGGTGTTTCCAGAACAAAATCTTCTTGTCTTTACCTAGGCTAGTGTATGAGTATAGCACATTTGTAGCACGATAACGTCCATTACCATCTCAACCTCCTATTCTTGCGGCCCAAATATTGGCTTAGGGCTTGTTTTAGAAGGGGATCATTCTGGTCCTTGTCTACATGATGTATACGGACGTGTCTAAAAGGGGATGTTAGTCAGTCAGGGTGACATGTGAAAAAACAAAGAATAGGCAAGGGTATAATAGAGTTCTCACCTCTGAAGATTATCTGGTCTTGGATATTTGTGTTTCTGATCAGCACAGAACGGGCAGGTGTATCCTGGACTATCATGGACTAATCCATGCCTGAACATCTCTTCCTTTCTCTTGAAGCCCTTTCCTCCCAGACCACGAGGACATCCTGACACTGGACAATAATGAGGGCGAGCATGGGAATGAATGTTGGAGTGTGAGTTGAGCAGATATTGCGTAGCAAAAGGCAGTACGTTGCAATTTGGGAAAGTACATTGGAATTCATTCGTAACCGGCGTTGGTGTTTCTGCTCGTGCATTCTCCCGCTGATCTTCAAGGTCAAGTCTCTGTTCCAGGCTCATGGTTGATGTCGGAATGGGATCCGTGTTTCTTCCAAGAACATTAGAGACCCAGCGACCTGCATCTCTTAATCTATCCCTGGTAGAGCTTTCGAAATTACTGACCAGCTGAATGATGTTGATATCCGATCCACCTAACCGCGGTGTACCGGGAATGAAGGATGCCGTATGCTCAGCAAACACATTGAGCATTTCCAGCGTATCTTGGCCCACAAGGATGTCTGAAGTCAGACCATCTAAGACGTGAAAGGCAAGCGAGAGAGTCTTGCCTCTAGCAATAAATTCAAAACCATTGGCGACATCCCCAACAGTGAACGAAGTATGAAAGACGCCACATGTGTAGTCAATGCTTCCATCCGCAAACATGACGGCCTCATTTGCCGGMTCAATGTTGAATTTCGCGCTTGCGTACTGATAGCTCACTAGATCAAGATCAGATCCGGTGTCAGGATTAGCACATCCCACATAATTGTCTAGCCGGCAAAGAAGGCTCTGTTTTTGCTGCCCAACAGCTTGGACACGAAAATTCTGCAGTATAGGCGCGATTTCCTCCACGAGGCGGTCACGGTGCTTGCTCAAAGTCTCAGTCTTCTCCAAGAACTCCATTCCCATGATGATAGGGACTGCTAATTTTTTGAATACAAAGAAAATGCATTCATATACAAGTTCGGTACTTGTAGCTCCCGTGGTAAAGGCACATTTGGCTGTTATCTTCCCAATCGAATTCACGGTGCCGCCATTCGCCAGGACAAATTGAGTAGAGTCAGAGCTTCCATGGGGTTCAATGGGGTAGCCAAGGCTTGCAGCTGTCTCAAATGCCATGACATTCCAATCTGACCCCGAATCGGGACATGTCAAAACCGTGGTCGGTCCTGTCCCTCCCTCGAAGAGGAGTGGAAGACCTAGGCGTCGTCTGACCTTGGATTCTCGATAACGATTAAGGGATGACGAATGCTCTGCATTCATCATATCTGGGAGTATATCATCTTTAGCTGGAGATGAGCCGTCTGCTATATCGACAAGCAGAGACGTAAAGTATTCTGACGCTTTTGCAGCTGTCCAGTTTGTTTGTGGGTCTAGACTCCGCAAAAGAAACATATCCGCTATGCTCACGTCTTGACCATCTACTCTGTAGACGAAAGTAAGTCATTTTAGAGTCCTCAAAGAACGACTTTGGGAGTGGGAAGCAATTACTCGAAGGGACCTTCACCATTACTGGAGCTCCACGGCTTATCCTGGGAGACGTTAGTGGGTACGGATTATTTGTAGCATATATCTATGGCGCTACTGACTATATCGTAATCCAAGTCAAGTTCGGCATGAAACTCGTTAAGTTCATTGAGGTCGTGGGGCGTTTCCCAGTTGACTCGCACAGGCTGGAGCCGAGGGGAGACCCTTCCATCTGGATGATCCTCCATCTAAGCAGATCTTTTGTGAAAATGTTAAGTGTAAATGGCAAGTATAGGAAGCCGATGAAGTGATAGATTATAAGGTCGACTCGATTTTCTAATGCTACTCGTGATGAACTTGAAGGTGACGCCGGAAGGATATGACGTGGCAGTGCTTAGAGGGAAGGAGTCGCCTGGTTCAGCCTTGCACCTCATATACAACCATTCAAGGTTGCTTTCATCGAAAAAGATTCTTCAAACTTGAAAAGTGGGACAGCGGAGCAATCCTGTCGATAATCATCATATTTCTTGATAACCGGGCGATTCAAGAATCGTATTTTTCTGCAAGCTGCATGGGATGGCTTCGCTAAATGTATCAAATCTCGCACCTCCGCCTTCTCGCTATCTTATAACTGGTTATCCTTCATTGGCTGCCTTTATTGCAAGCGATCCGGACCGTACAGCAGGTATCTACAAGCGATTTGACCGGCTAGCAGCAAGGAATCTACTGTATCTCCAAAGCGAATTGGCCGATCTGCAAGCAGAGCTAGATGTTCTGGATGAAAAAGACAAGGCAGACCGAGCTTCGAAACAATGTGCAAGAAACTGGCATGACTTCAAGAAAAGGGCTGAGCAAGAGCCATCTCGATTACAGCTTGTAAATGACATTCGGGCGACATTAAAGGAGTACCGTAAGAACTTGATCAGATATTCCTTTCTAGCCGATTACAGCTTGAGCTCTGACCAGCTATATTAGGAGAAGCCCTGTTCGCCGAGGAGAAGCTGGCTTCCATGCCACATCCAGATAAAAAGACCTTAAACGCATTTCGATTCACATTCTTCCATGGACGACCCGGTGATAGCATGAGCTTTCCCACACTTGGTGGGAGTAGCAAATGGGTATATGACGATGCTAATGACCTTGTCGCTACCAAGAACCCAGCAGAACAAGATCGGCTCTCTATGTTCATACAAGATAATTTCGCTTTCCTCTTCAAAGTTTGTTACTTCCCCTTCTTCAAGTACAAATGGTCTCGTGTTCATGCTGACCGATGTAAACTTAAGGAATACCGACCTTCCAAGGACAACCTACCAACCCATAGTGACTCCGTAAGATATATATCCGGTCGCAGGATATCGGTTTTTGCATCTTATATCAGCACCGTGTTAGTGAGCATGCTCCTTATAGGCGCCGTTGTCATTCTGTACTTGGTCCCGTCATCGAATGTGAGACTCGGGCTTATATCACTCTTCACCGTCCTCTTTGCCAACAGTGTCGCCTTGTTGACTAACGCTAGAAGGACAGAGGTATTTGGTGTCACAGCGGCGTATGTTGATCTCGATTGTCTTTGCAATTGTGACTGCAGAAAATTACTGACCTTGTTGCAGGTATGCAGCAGTCCTCGTCGTGTTCGTCAGTGGCAATTTAGGTAGCAGTCAATGAGGATTTCCCCCTCAAAAGCAACTTGGATCCTATTCTCACGTAAGATATGCTAGTATTTTGTTACACTACAGGGCCGAGTAATTGTGAAGCATACGGAGCACATGCTGTTGTGCAATTAAGCCGGAGTTACGGAGCGGACCTACGGGCCCCTCTGATTAGTAACTCCCTCGTTCCTTCCCCTCATTGTTTATTTCCTCCTCCTCCTCCCCGTCACATCCCTCTAACCTCCTCACCTCGTTTAAAAGAAAAAAAAAATTCCGTTCATTGAATTGTCAGAATTGCAGCAATTAGCCTTGACATAATTGAAGTTTAAACGTAGAACGCCCACTCTCGGTTATCATGGCCGGCTTCCCGGCTATCAAACCGGCGTTTACCGTGAGGGTCAGTGAGCTTCCCTTCTATTCATTGATATTTGCAATTGAAGCTCAATATGTATCACAAAGAACCGTACTGATTCGCCATCCTAGGTCTTAATTGATGCGCCATTTCCTGTTGGTATGCTCCCCTGATGCGATTCACTCTACAGGAATCTGTGGGTGCTGAGATCTTGCATCTTTTGACACACTGCCATACATACAGGAAGCCATCACCGCACGACATCTCTCGTCATCGTGGTAAGTTGTGGCTATAAATTTAGACCTGCATGCATTCCGAGGTTAACATGGGACAGCCAATGGTTGGCGGAAGTATCATCTCGGAGCCTGGATTTACCCCGGCCTTGAATGCCAAATTCGAAGGGACTGGCAACGACTATATTCGTAACGACCCTGATGGAAAGCGAATGCGCTTAGATGCGCATGGCGTGGTTAGAACCCATGATGATGCAGTGAGTAACTTCCGATGGTCTGAACGTGGTACGAGCATCTCAGCTGACGCTGTATAGTTGATTTACCTCCATTATAAAGGAACAGTGATTATGACCGAGGGTATTAGTAAAGCTTTGTCGGGCCAGTCTGGCGACGCAGAGACGCCATACGGTGACAGCTGTACGTACTGTCTTTTGAATGAACATCACCATAGGGGATATTTGCAAGTATACTGACACATACTGTGACTTTCTAGTTGTCTCTTTCGAAATTGAGGTACGTACTAGCCGGTACTTTATGATTATGCAGCAAACTCATATTTGTACAGACTGGAGATGAGAGATACAAGGATCTCGAGAACGGTGTCTTCGTCGGTCAGGGCCACTTCGTTACCAAGACAGGAGAACAGACCATTGTTGAATACAAGGTCGGCCAGGTTGTTGTAGGCTAGATCGTTGATCGATTATGTGGATACATATGCCTTATATACTGGAATCAACGATTTATCATTATTACATTACTGATGACCAAATCATATAGAGATCAAGAGAAGTCCAGCCTCAAGTCCGGATCAACTTTCTTTAGCACATCCAATATTTCCCTCCACGCTTGCTTTTGTATCTTCTGTCCTTCGGGTGAGCTCACGATATAACCTGGGCTGTGAGAGGTACATCAGTATGTTGTGAATTAAGTCCCCGGATTGACAGATACTCACTCGGTCACCTTCTGATTCTCCAACCATTTCCCGTGTCCATCTTGCCTGACTGCAGCATCAACAATTGCTTTGGCACCATCCGCCGGAGTCCGCGCACAAACGGCTTGCACAACTTTAAGCAAGAACGGTGCCCCTTCTTCGCGCGACAACAGCTCACTCTTGCAGAATCCCGGCGTCGCACTGGTTACTATAACCTTTTCTCGACCTGCGCGGTCACGGGGTACCAACTTTGCCACCTCAATACTCGTCCATTGGTTGAAGATTTTGCTCACAGCGTATCTTTCCACCGGACTCTTTGCATGCAGCTTCTGCCACTGTTCCTTGTCGTTTAGGGCTTCGAGGATGTTTGACGCCGAACGTTGTGGTAGTAAGGCTTGCTGGTGCATATCACTAGACACGATGACCAGGTGCGGCCTCGATGGAGAAGATGAAGCGGAGGAAAGCAAAACTGGTAGCAACTCGAGACTGAGTAGAGCCGTGGAAAGTCCGTTCACTTGAATTTGCGTCTCCCAGCCGTCAGGGGTTAGTTGCCAGACCCCCGAGGCGAGGCCTGCATTCAAGATGGCAGTATCAAGTCTGTTGTCTGGCCGAGAGAAGTATTCCTTAATTCTGTACACAAAGGCCATCACACTCTTGAAACTTGACATATCGAGCTGCCAGACTTCGATATCCAGCTTTGCGGATTTGTTTGCTGGTATTTTAGACAGTATACCCTCGCGAGCCCTTTCGCCCTTCTCGACGGATCGAACCCCCATGATGATCTTCGATGCACCGAGGGATACTACATGACGAGCTGTTTCAAGCCCGATCCCGGTATTTGAGCCCGTTATCAGGACGGTTTGGTCCTGGAAGGAGCCTGGAGGTGGCAATCGCACCGAGTGGATGGGTTGAAGGATTGTTTTGAGCATTCTTTCGGTATCGCAGGGACTTGAGTAATGCCTTTCGGCCTTTCTAATAAAGCAAAGGCCAAAATAACAGTCAAAATCTGATCGTCCACTCGAACAGAATTGAGCGGCTATACGATATAGAGCTGGTGCTGATAGAATATTTAGACACGTAATAATCTCGCGGTCGAATTTGCCCACTGAATTATCTACTTCATTCCTTGGATCAAGTGTTTGCATTCCCTTCTTTATATAGGACTCCTGACTCTACTCTTGCATCGAGAAGGTGATAGACAATGTAGATAATCGGACGAACAGACTACCGGTGTCAAATACGGCTGCAAACTTTCTGGTAACGAAAGCTAATTTGCGTACGACAAAACCTTAAATTTGCCCGTAAACATGGTTTATTACAAGCTAAAAATACACCCCATACGTAATTCCGCCGCGCTAACAGATTTTTGCAATTTTTGCACACATGCCTGAATTCTTCCGATGCCGATAGCTTGCTAATCATGCTGGTTCTCTGGATAGAAGATATGCCTGATATACGTACGTACTACCTAGTTAAGTCTCCGATGTTCCGTAGTAGATGTTTCATCAAATTATTATCATGTGTGCAACGGTGCAACCACACACGCAGCTTCTCCTAACCAGTGAAGGGCAAATTCCGAGTCAACTGTCCACCAGACACAAATCACATTGCCCTTTGAGTCAGCCTTCGTATTCGCTGCCTAGTCTTAGAGTCCTAGTGACCGAGTAACCACTAGTTGGTGAACTTAGTGTATAGATTCGTGCCAGAGCGAGTATTTCTTTTTCTCCTGAGGTCCTCGAACTTTCTCACAGCCAGTCCTGGGCGCACGTGGGTAGCAAGATGGATTAGGGATCGTGTGATCGCCTTCTCCAGATGGATGGAGCCTGTCACTCTTAGCTGTGGAGGGGATCTTTAAATATGCCACATCGCAATCGACAATATCCTCACAGTCTCAATGCTCAAAGGAGATAGATTATGTATTGTGTGCTGTGTCGTTGAAAAAGGAGAGGAATATTCGTTGTTGTATTTTCCAACCAATCACAGCGCGCGTCCTGCAGGCTGACGTCGATGCTCCTTCCTTCAACCGATTTGGTTTTCTTCAGACAACAATCCGGCCCATTTACCACGCTTCTACATACGACATATACAAAGGATATTCTGCATATCCGAACGGCGTACAATAGTATTTCTCTTCCTACACACCATTGCATGTGTTGAGCTCTGCGATTGCATGGTCCCGCTGAGGGCTGCCACAAAATTCCGACTCCGCGATTGAAAACGACAATTTGCAATCGCAACGATGCAGATTAACTTGCAACGACTACTTGTCGCTGCAGGTGCTGTAGCGATAGCGGCAACAGCTTCACCATTTGTTCCCTTTGAGCAGAAACCGTTGATTGGGGAGTTGCACCGGCCAGAGACAAGCGATGTCGGGGAAACAGCTTCTCGAAAGTTGACGGGGAAGTTCCTACATATTACAGGTATGCTATTGCCAAGAAATCACACGAAAGATGCTAGGCAAACACTGACGGTTTGAAAGACTTTCACTTGGACCGATTCTACGTCCCCGGTTCGTTGACTGACGAAGACAATGTCTGTCATCACGGAAAACGAAAAGGAAATGCAGGATACTTAGGCACGCCGGGATCCGAATGCGACTCGCCGGAATTGCTGATCAACCAAACTTTCGGTTGGATCAAAGAAAATTTGAGGGACGAGGTCGACTTTGTCATTTGGACCGGAGACTCTGCCCGCCACGATAACGACGAACGTATCCCACGAACGGAGAACCAAATCGAAGAACTCAATCAAGACATTGCGAATAAATTCATCCAGACCTTCAGTCATAGCAGCACACACCCTGACGAAACTTTGATAATTCCCATAATTCCCAACATCGGCAACAACGATATCATGCCCCATAACATCTTCAAAAAGGGGCCGAACCGGTGGACAAAAACGCTGTCTCAAATATGGGAAGCCTTTATACCGGAAGCACAGCGTCATACATTTGTCGAGGGCGGATATTTCTATACAGAGGTCATTCCAAACAAGCTCGCTGTATTCAGTCTGAATACCTTATACTTTTACGATTCCAACCAAGCCGTTGATGGTTGCGCGCAAAAGTCGCAGCCGGGATATCACCAAATGGAGTGGCTGCGCGTACAACTACAGCTCCTTCGCGAAAGAGACATGAAGGCCATTCTTATGGGTCACGTCCCGCCTGCTAGGTCGGCGGACAAACAAGCCTGGGACGAGACGTGCTGGCAAAAGTACACCCTGTGGCTGCAGCAATATCGCGATGTCGTGGTTGGCGGACTATATGGACACATGAACATCGATCACTTTATGTTTCAAGACTCGAAGGACATAGACCTTCAGTATCTTCTTCCTGAGGAGCACATGTCACCGTTTGTTGCAGAGAACAACTACGAGAATTTCACCATCGAGTCTAAAGGCAGCTATCTAACCAGTCTCCGTGATCTATGGGCTGACTTGCCAACTCCACCTGCATCCGTTCTTGAAGACTGGTCGATTTCGGACGTAGACGAGGATGCCGGCGTAGCAAAGAAGAAAAGAAAGGGCAAGAAGAAAGAGAAAGAGAAGAAGGAGAAATTCTACAAGAAAATAGGAGGCAAATATGCGGAACGCTTCTCTCTTTCTCTTGTATCTCCAAGTGTGGTTCCCAATTACTACCCGACTTTACGTGTGATTGAATACGACATTACCGAAATGGAAAAGGTTCCTACATGGGCCGACGTACAACACGACAAGGCCGGGAAGAAAGATGAGCAATGGGTTGATCGAGAAATTGAGATTCAGAAGAAGTCTAAAAAGTCTCCAATACCGGACCCGCCGTCCAAAAGTGCTCCGCCGGGGCCTGCTTATTCGAGACAGCCATTGACCCTTTTGAACATTGCACAGTATTATGCCAATATTACCAAGGAAGAGGGAATCAAGGGAGTGGTTGCAGCGAATGATGGCGTGGATGATGAAAGCTCGCCCAAGGGACTTCGGGTGAACTACGGAGTGGAGTATCACACGAATAAAGATGACATCTATCGACTGGACGACCTGACTGTGCGCAGTATATACAATTTGGCCACACGTATAGGTGCGGGCGATAAAGCATCCTCCTTACCCACAGAGACGGAGGACGATTACACCGAAATAGACGAAATCAAGGCTGATCAATTCGAGGATGAGTCTGATATTGGCAGTACCAAGAAAAATAATACAACAAAGAAAAAGAGAAAATACAAAACGAACAAGACATGGAAAGCATTTGCTGAGCGGGCGTTTGTGGGGTTCCTTGCCTATGATGAGATTGAAGATAAGTTATAGTTTGTTGTGTGGTGTTCTTCCATAAATATATACATGGTGCGCATTGGGAGAGGAAGGTGTTCAGGTCTGTTAGCAAGTCATTTTCACTTCATTCGTACACGTTCCAAGACTTACTATATACCCAATATTGATGTTCAAATCTCTTTATTCTACCATTTCCATAGCGACTAAGTTGAGACATGCAGTTACACTACTGCTTCCTGACTCCCTCTTCTACTACTAGAAGTTGTACTATCGCCACTTTCCGCTACATAGCTCTCTTCTTCAGGCCCTTCCGCAACCAAGCGTGAGGCCTCTCCATGGAATTTTGAAGCGGAGATATGATACTCGAAATTGAGTTCACCTACTAATTACCGTACGTTGCTAGAGCAGAAAATATATCCGTTGAGGCCAAATAAAAGCAGTAAATTAAAACTAGCTCACCTTGAGAGATCCCTTTGTACCATGCTTCTGCGCTCTATAGTGTTTAGGTTTAGTCCCAGACCCCACGGTCGAGGAAGCCCTCTGGGTGAGATTCGTCTTACAGTGCAATCGTAATCGTGAGCGCTAAGGCAGCTTTCATTGACAGGAATAATGAAGGTCTGTCCATTTCGAGCAATGACCACCAATCTGTCGGATTAAGTCTCCTGGATCAACATAATCTGTTACCACACCATTCTGCTGACGACATAAGTATGGCATGATTGACCTCCAACATGTTGCAGTGTATGAGTATCGAATCACGTGCATATCAAAAATCAGACCGAGTACATACACTCCCTACTACGTAGTATTTTTTAATTTACTACGTATTAGTAAGGCTGTCAACTGGTCATCGAGGGCATCGAAATTACCGGATTAGGCAGTTTCGACGAAGCTTGGCACTGATGTCAGGAGCTGACGTCATGCCCTGCGGTCGGACAAGACTTCCGCAAGCTTTTTTTTCTTTCTCTTTCTCTCCTGCGACAACCTCAGTTTGATCGTCGATTTAGCATGGCCATACTCTTTCATTTGTCCTTTCCTGTTTGTTCAAGCATGAGTCGCGCTCAGCAAAGCCGTCGTCATCTGCCCTAGCTTCACAGACACCCCGCCATCATCGCTGCAGCAACAATCCTCTGCAAGAATAGTCCTCGTTGTCTGCCTATTACAGTGTATAGCGCCACTGCCACACTGCTCTCTGCTGCGTCTCGGCTTTGCGTCATGCGCATGCATCCTGTTGGTCCAATCATCGAGTTCGGATGGCCACAATTTTAGCAACATCCACACCTGTTTATTTATCTTGTTTACTTACTCCGTTGGCGGCAAGAAGGACAACCAAGACGAACGAGTCGGAGGAAATAATAAAAAAATAAAAAAAGAGGACGACGAACAAAACACTGCATGAAAGAAAAGAAAATAGAAGAATTGCCCCTCACGCAGATCGCTCGTTATCAGCTGAGAAAGTACATATCGGTGTTATCAGCTGGCACTAGGCACGGCTTTGTCTGCGACACCATTACACATACATCACCTCGAATGCTGCTACTATGAATTCTGGCAATTCTAGCACTCTTCATCTCTGAGAAAACAGGTATTGACCAGAGAACCACATTATATTCTGGAAATATGAGGTCGGGTCTACAAACCCCCGGTGCAATTCCATTGTTGGCTGTGCTAGTCGCGGCCTTGTTATCGATAACGCCGAATCTTTGCGAAGCTTGGACGAAGCCAGGAAGCAGTCCAAGTATTGGTGTGTACTTCAGTAACTAAAAGATTGATCTCGAAGCTTGCTAATTCTCTATGTTACTACAGGTTACCCATCTGAGCCGAGTATATATCAACTTGAATCTGCGCCGACAATATCACCACCAACCGAAATCTCCGCGCCATCTGTAATCAGTACATTCACCAACATAGATCTACTATGGCAGCAGGTCTGCCAGTTTACTGTCTTGATTCTGTCCTCCTACAATCACCCATTATCATATAGCTACCCGTCACAGCAAATACCGGAGCCAGTCCATAACTCGACCGAACCACATAGTATCACGCAAGGCTCAACATCAATTACAATATCGCTTGCAGCTATACCCCGTCCAGCGAGCAAACAAAAATCTATACAGTCTTCTGATGAACATACCCCTTCAGACGAACTCGAGAAAAGCGCACACATCAATTCATCCAGCCCTGTTGATAACAAGGGCAGCTATATGGCCATTCTGGTCAGTTTGGTCGTTGCGATTATGTGGTTCTGAGCAGAAAACCAGAGCTTTTGGGACCTAGGTTACTATTTTACTCCCATGCCTTATTGAAAGATCATTTCTGGTATATGATTTAACATTCAGACTACGGTCTACATCCTCGGAGGCGTTATGGTTCGGAAATACCCCTAATGATCTTAATATGCGTTACGATTGCGCTAAAATGTCTGCGACGGTTTTTGTACATGAGTTTACGTTGCCTATAGATTTAGATAGTTTCTTGAAATGTCACATTCATTTCACATTCGATACATACATAATCAAACATCTGGGAACAATATACCGGTGTTTGTTACATCTCTAGGAAAAGCAATGTAAACAAATCAAAAAGTTCGAGGCTAAATATGAGCATCCCGTTCTAATCGCTTTCTACCAGCCTCATAAATCTTTACCAACTGCCTCACCGCCAAATCAAGCAACACATCCTCCGAACCACCCGGTATCCTCGACGTGGGCACATCCCTATAAATCCGCTCAATAAGCTCTCCCTGACCAGTACGCGTCAAACCATTACCGCCGAACAGCAGCATAGCCGTCTGCGAACATTCATTCAGCACCATACCGGCCTTGGCTTTGGCCATAGCTGTCAAACCACCCAATTCACGGTCAGCATCTTCCTTTTTCAGCTTTGTCATTTGGAACAGGAATTGCTCGATCCAGGCGGATAGAGACTCTAGTTCAGCGCCTGCCTTAGCGAGTCGGTGTCGCACGACGGGTTGCGTGATGAGCGGCTTTGAAAACGCCTCGCGCTTGAGCACGTAGTCGAATGCAGTCGACAATGCAACTCGAGCCTGCCGGGTTGCGCCTACGGCGATGGAGAGTCGCTCGTGGTTGAAGTTGGTCATGATATATTTCATACCTGCGCCTTCGGTGCCGACTAAGTTGGAGACTGGGACGCGCACGTCGTCGAGTTCGATGTAGGTTGTGCCTGAAGTCTCGGTGCCGCAGACTTTGATGGGACGCATTGAGACGCCGGGGTAGTTCTTCAAGGGGACTACGAGTAGGGACAAGCCTGCTGCGCCGGAGCCGGGAGACCCGGTGCGGACTGCCATAGTGCTGTATTCGGCCCAGATACCGTTGGTGATCCTGTAATATATTAGCATTGACTTTTGGAGCACAATAGCAGAGGAGGAATTACCATTTCTTGGTTCCATTGATGATATATTCCTTTCCATCTGGTGACTTCTCGGCAACGGTGGTGATATTGGCGACATCGCTTCCGGCATCGGGTTCCGTAATGGCAATACAAGATCTCGCCTTTCCGGTCAACAAGTCTGGTAGTACTCTCTCCTGAAGCTCAGGCGATGCATATTTGACGAGAGGCGGGATGCCATAGGCCATTCCAGCAGTGAGCGATGCAGAAGGACCGGCAATACCGGATCGACCCATCTACATAAGCATGTCAATACGCAATTGCGCGCAATACAGAAGAGAACAGAGTGAATGGACCTCATCAAGGTAAATTCCGGTGTGCAGATAATCCCACTCCTCAACCTTAACACCCAGAATATCATGGATACCTAGTCTCTTCAACCACTGCACGGGCAAAGGAGATGGCAGATTCGGAATGAGCATGTTGTTCTTGGCAAACGTGTCAAAGACGTGTTGAGGGACGATACCATCACGCTCATAGTCGAGCGCATGTCTGCTCAGATTCTCGTAGATGAAAGCACGGGCTTTTTTCTGGAAGGCGAGATGCGATGCAGTATAGTATGGGGAAGGAAGGCCACGGAGGTAAGGCGGCTCGGCGAAAGGGAGCGGGTTGGGGGAATTGGTAGCCATGATGTCGGTGTTATTTTCATGCACCTTTACTAAGTCATAAAAGGGAGACAGGTGAAGAAGAAGAGACAAAGGAAATGATTAGCTATGTATACTTCAAGAAGCCACTCCGACGGGGCAACCCTAAAGCCGGTGCTTGTTTGTGGGGTAGCTCCACTGACGGACCGAGGTCTGGATGAATTGCTTCAACTTCACCACATGCGGGGATTGGTCACCTATCTGTGTGCTCATTTGTATCAATGATCGTTTGCGAGCGCTCGGCCCGTTTTCCTTGGTTAGCAATCAATTGTACTTTACAGCAGTCCCGAGGTAGCTCTAGCCACAGCGTGATACTTAAGGCTGCCGGCCCCGGTACGTGAATCCTCGGTATTGGATCTAAAGCTGTAAGTAGAGCTTATCTTAGTTTCAGCTTGCAGTCCAAGATTAGTAGAAGGCTATTAAGAGAAAGAGCTACTATAAGCTTGCAGCTTGAGATCACTATTCACAACGGTCCGGCTGCTTCACCGTCAACTTGGCAACGGGACTTCGTCAGCCATACCGAGCCCTAGAATGTACTTTGTTTGTCTTAAAGAAGTACATATATCAATTGTTTTGGTGAACACCATGTTATGCTTTCGACTAGGTGATATCTTTCATTTGATATGCAGTAGCTGTTCATTGGGGGCCATCGTCAAGAGTAATGTTGATTATATTGTTCGTTCATTTCGCATAAATTGAGCTATCATCTGGCATAAAACTACAACCAAGCAAGTATCTTTCCCTCGATATATATTCGAGCCAAAAGGATCTTGCTCCCAACCAATGTTTTGAACGCCGCAATATGATCCGAGGAAACCGCAACTATCATTCGTATGTCTCAAAGGCGAGGCACTAGCAAGGATAACTTTCAATCATTCTAAACAACACGCTTGACCTGTTTAAGAACCCATTAGTCCCCAATTCAAAGGACAATCGATCATGTAGAGTATATAAAATTTTATACCTCGAAGAATCGCTTTAGCCACCACACTTGGAAAATGCCCTCGCCGATAAGGAATGTAAGCTGGAAGATGCTCCACCATTTTACACGCGCGTTTGTGCTTTCGGCTGTGTTTCGGTGGACTCGTTCTCGTACGACAATGTAGGATTGCTCATCGCGGACTTGGGCCAACGATTCGGAAAGGCGGCGGACTATCAACCGCTTAGAGTCAGCCTGGGACTTGTTATAGATACATGTATGGGTAAATATCATACCTTCAGCTTCTAGGGGATCCTGTGCCAACTCCGATTCGGGGACATAGACAATTCCATGCACGTTGAAGGATACTTCTTTTGAGTTCGATGTCCAGGCCTCATTGCTAAAGCAGTAGGTGAATTTTCCATCTCTTTGTGCGGTAAAGGAGTAATCTTCTGATGAAACACTGTTCTTGAAGTATTGGCGGTTTCCGGCAGGGTCTTCGACCTGTTGTCGAGAAGAGGGAAAAGTTAGGGTGGGAGTCGAGAATTAGAGAACCGCCAAATACATACCCAGAAATCAATCTCTAGATTGCCGCTTCCGCCGAATTCTCGGTCGCCAACTTGAAATGTTACCGTCATCTTGTCATCTTTGTGGAGTTTTTCGTGGAAGCATTCGCGCGAGTGAGCTTTGAGTTGAATGTTGTGAGCTGTAGCAGCCCCTATCCAGCCTAGCATGGTCACCAGGACCGCGGACGTTGAGAAGCGCATTGTGAATATTAGAAATTATCCGACAGTAGATCCCGTGTTTGTAATAGACCGAGCGAAGTAAGGAGAAAGTGGAATGAATAGTTGAAGCGAGTGTTGTGAGCGTAGATTTACGGACTGGACAAGGTGTCAATTCATCTTGAAGTTGTTCCGCGTCTAATGCGGGCGCTCGGACCACCTCCAATTCCTGTCTATTCGAACTTGCCTTGCGAGCACTTTCCTTCTACAACTCTCAACTCCTCAACAAATTCTTGATTTTATATGAGATTATAATGGATCTGGCAGCCACCACCAAACAATGCCATTCTCTTCGAAAGTGTTCCTAACTAGCCCACCCTCAATACAAATTCTCATGGAAGCAACCTGCGCAACCTAGAATCAATCGTCGAATACTATACAGCCGCTCGAACATCTTGAAACGGAAAATAAACTTGTCATTCAGTCTATCACTACGGCTGCTTGCAACTAATAAGCGTGTCTAAATATTACACCACGTCAGGAAGCCACATCTTGACAAGTCCCTCGAGCCACTCCTAGCTCTTGTGGCGTTGGTAAAGACGATATCTGAATTTTCGTTGGAACGGGTTGGAAATACTGCTCATCTCTTTTAGCGAGAATGTAGGTTTTGTCGTCGCGAAACGTTGTGATGAATTCAAGGTCAATATAAGTCGTAGTATTCGTCTTTGTCGAACGATGCCCGGTTCCTGCCTGAGGCAGAAGTAGAAGCACCTCGGTTTCTTGTGGAGAGAGCAGACGGGCCAATCACGTGGTGAGAAATAGGTTGGTGGTACAGCAAGCAAAGAACCATGGATCCAGAACGCATGAATGGGGACGGTTTGTTTTTACCCCTGAAATTAGTCGAGTGTTTTCCTTATACCTTTCTGATATGTTATGATAGCGTACGTGCGTGTGGTACATAGGATTGCCTGAACAGCGAACATACTATCAATTCATCATGGCTACTAGCAATAACTACACGACGTGAATTCGTTTGTTGGCAAGTACTCACCGTTATTTCAGACCCAAGGCATCACATAAGAAAGCGTACGTTCTACTATAAGTTAGTAGAAATCAGGCCAATCAAGGCATCCCACATAGCAATACAAGTCAATACGGCGTATCCATACAAACATCGGCGAGAAGAACGTGTTTCCTATGCGTAACGTGTATTGACGCGTGTATCGGTAAATAGAGTACCTATGGGCGGAGGGAAAGCGCGATGGAGGCAACTGGCAACTGCCCTTCTGGGATCCATCTGGTTGCTGCTAATTGGCAAAGCGCCCAATTAGCGGCCGCTGAGCTCTATTAGTGGAGGCTTAAGGGCCTAGTTACCTACTCCGTACAGTGCTTAGTGTCACCAAACGCTACTGGAACTTTTTTTTCGACGTAGCCGGTTCGTGACGTGCGCTCTTGACCTCCTTTCTCGCTCTCCGTCGACCACCCTCCCTAGACGTTCCTTCACCCTAATTCGCCAACCCATCTACTCGGTGAAGAAGTCTATCTCAGAACTGCTTCCTTTGTTGCATGCGCCATGATCCCAGTTGCTGCATGCTCCAGGTCAATCTAAATCTGGCGTTGTGACATACCAAGCACCTCGCGGAACCGTCGACTTTCACATCGATTTCAGACTTTTGTGCGCGACTTTTCCACCCCCCGCGAATTCGCTTATAGGCTTCATCGTTTACAGCCTTGAGTGTCTAGGTATTTCGAGAGACATTTGTGTATTGTCCAGAAATCACCTCCCGCCTTGGTCAAACGTGCTGCGAGCCGTCCAAGGTTCCCCTGATTACAAGCCATCTGCAGTTCTTGATTTCCATGCTTCAACATTTCAGACTATAACGGGCGCGGCAAGCAATTGCTTGCTGCAATAGACGACACGGAAGGTGAGTGGAATCCAATGTTCAGCATTGGTTACTACGTTCGAACCATTTTCATCTCCAGCCAACATCATACTAAAATTGACTACTTTTGCTTATAGAGACCACTTCGCCGGCATTCCTTGATTTGACATCTTCGCCGTCCAATCGTCCGCACGAGCATCCAATACTGGCAGACGAATCTGTGCAGACATCAGTCGGGCCTTCGCGAGCGACCTCGCCCGCAGCTTCGAGTGTCATCGCACTTGGATCACCAAGCCAACCCCGACCACCTGTTTCCCCGGAATCGCTTCCGTCACTGCCCAAGTATCCCGGCGCGTGGGATTCTCTATCATCGTCGTCTCCTGAGAATCGAAAGGCAAACAGCGCATACTTTACTGCTGCGTGGGGCTCTCCATATGCAACCCCTAGCCCACGTCGGCTCTCGTGGACTCTCAGCAATCAGCCTAGCTTGAACCTCCCGTCGCGCGATAACTCTCCTTCAAGAGGCCGTGGCTATACTTCCGTGCGTGGCCCTGGATCATTCCGAACGACGTCAACGTCTAGCCAAGTACCCAGGCCAATCCACGGCTCAATCGGCCGATCCTCGGTAAGGGACTTTTCGGGCGTACAAGCAAGTTCCTCGTTCAAACAATTTACTGAGGACTGGATCGACCGCTACCTGTCAGGTCAGCCACGTACCGAGCGCACGAATTGGTTAAGTGACGACGAAGGCAGCGAGGCACCATCCTTCTTCACTGCCCGGAACAATTTTGGTGACGACCCAACTGAAGGTTGGCTAGGACTGGACGAACCTAACGAGGAGGACCTTTTGAGAACGCCTACTGCGTCGAATTCTCTATCAGTCAGATCAAGAAAGGGACTTGGTAAACAGCTCAGTCGGACTCGGAAACACCTTTCAACCTTCAGCACCGCCACTTTACGGCAAGAGGACGTTTGGGGATTTGCATTCGGGGACGAGCATCCATCGACCGCGATGTCTGATATAGCGGATACACAACTGCCTCCAGCGGAGCACGACTCCACTACTGAATCGTCTGTGGAGAAGCCTCTACCTTTACCGCCTGCACAGAATGCCACGCCCGTCGATAATAATGAGAGCCTAAAGACTGAGACTACTCCCAGGCCTCCATTAGTCAGCCAGGGTTCGTCTCAACGTGGGAGAAGAAAGGTAGCATGGCGTGGCAAGACCTGCTTGATTGCAGTACCTACAGATGATAAGAGAGGGTCTGAGGGGTCCGGGTATCAGCTACTCTCAAAGGCGGATGTTGAAAAACGCCTGCAAAACTGGCTGGATGAAGGATACCACGTGGACGGATTCGACGTTTTTGCGCCGGAGCAGGATTCAGTTTCGAGCCAAACTGGTGGCTTCAGCCGGCTACCTTTTCCCGATGAAACTGAATCTCATCAAGACCAAGTATCGAGGAATTTTTCAGTGCGATTTCCAAACCTTGGCGAATGGGATGCATATGTCCAACACCTGCAAGAAGAGAAACTCCGTGCACTAGGAGTCTTCCTTGACGATGACCCTCCAGCTTCGGAATCCCCTGCAGCATCTATGGGGCAAATGACTCAAATGGGCCTTTTCCCTGGTCACATCACTTCCCCACCAATTCCTACTTCGTCTGCAGCCAGTAACCCGATGTTTGGGTCTCATACTTTCTCCCCTCATTTCAATCAGTCTACCAACCCGAGTACGCATACTGAATCGCTGGCATCGCCGCCACCTCAGTTTGGAGGACAGCATTCGTTCTATGGCATGGACGCAAATTTTGTGCCAGGGTTACCTTATCCTTACCAGCCAACGCCTCCAGTTGCAGGAACCTTGACTCCCCAGAGTTTGTTTAACGCTCGTCAAGCCAGCTTTGCAGGACCGGGTATGCCGAACTTGAATTCGATTTTTTCACCTGTGTCTCCTCTAAATGCCGACGATATATTCAATCAAAGCTCGAATGGTCCGCGAGATCGCACGGACTCGATTCGGGATCCATCATACCATGATTCAAGCAACAAGCGACAAGTTCGTGAGTCGCGGGCTGCAACTCTCATTCTGGACGAGTCTCAGCTCGAGACAGAACACTTCCAAGCATCAAATGTTGAGATTGCCCATCCTACGCCTCGTGGACATAGTCATAATCTCAGTGAAACGTTACAGAAGGGTCTAGATCGGTATTCGCAAGCGGATTATCATCTAGAAAACTCAATCCAGCGACAGTTGGATGACAATGAGGGTGACTTGCATAACTCTCGCTGGGCTGTCGGTGCAGATGACGTGCAGCCGTCCCCAGCCCATGCACAATTCTCAGTTCCAGATTCATTCTCTACTGGCCACCATCGCCTCTTTGGGGAACAACAGCAACAGCCTATGGATATAATTCAGGATGCTGATGAAATTGATACCAATCCAAGTCTTACTGCAAGCCCCCGCGAACCCAAACTCGACATGAGCCATCACCCCTGGCACAGTGCAAAGCCAAGTTCCGGCTCCTTTGTCGCAGGGCACAAGTCAAAGGCATCTCTGTCCGGCCTCAATGTGGAAGCTCAGGAGTTCAACCCTACAGGTTCATTCTCGACTAATACTTTCGCTTTCCAAGGGGCGGCCCCCTTTCAATCGAACGGGCTCGGAAATGGATCGATATTCTCCCCGACCTCATCCGTATTCAAACCAAGCGGTTCGATCGGTAGCTTCAATGTGGCAGCTCCTTCATTTACACCCTCAAGTAACGACTTCAACGCTAGCAGTGCCTCATTTGTACCTAGCGCGTCGAAGGGATTCACCTTCTCGACCGCATCCTTCAACGCCGATGCACCCGCTTTCAATCCAGGCGCAAGCGTCACTTCTAATACTTCGGACGCACCCAGTCATCTCAAAGGTAGTATCTTTGGAGACATCGACTTCAATCAGATTAATAAGCCCAGCAAGTCATCTAAAGCTATTCCTATTGTCCGTCCTGATGATGACGAAGAAGAGGAGCCGATTGAACGTGGTGTTCCAGGAACCCCGCCACGCCAAAAGCGTGCTCGCCGCGGTGCTGGTGAAGAAGACAAGGATGTCGAGTTTGCAGTGCCCACGCCATTGGCAGAGGCCACTCAAGCCCAAGCTACAGCCACAGCAAATCAAACTCACAAGTCTGCTGAAGGTAAAGAGAACGAGCTACCTGAGCAAAACGCCCTGAGGGTTTCTGTGAAAGCAGACAGCCCAGATACAAAACGTCGTTTTGTAGAAGATGACGCTGTTGCCGTGGAAGATGCTGTTGAGGATATTCAGGAGAAAGCTGCTCACCCAGTTGACACTGAGCCATTCCCCACCGTATCCGATCTTAACCAGGTTATAGACCCTGCTGAGCCGATCATTGACGATAGTGCGCCCAAGGAGTCGGCAGAGGAAAACATCGCAACCCCGGTACCTGAGGCTGCACCCGAACCTGTAGCTGAACATTCTAATGCGGAAATTCCAAAGCGAGAGCCAAGAAAGTCAATCTTTTCAGCCTTAAGATCATTCTCGTTTCGCCCTTCGATTTCAGAATTTGTTCCGATCAAGTCGCCTAGCAATGAGGCCAAGTCGCCTGGCCCTGAACCTACTCCTAGCCCCGAACCTGTCAAGGCTCAACCCGAGAAGCCCAAGACGGGACTATTTGCATCTCGATATGCTGTTGAGGAAGAAGAGTTGAACGTTACCGAGTTGGCACCGATCAACAACCCGCCCGAGATGTCTAAAGGAAATGCGAAAGACACTGCCAATGGTCACGATTCACCCGATGAAGAAGAACTCAACGCCATTATGGATCAGCTCAATGGTGATGATTCTGATGTCGGCGTGGAGAGACTCAGCACGCCCTTGCCACCTCAAATGACTATTGGAACACCCGGAGGCCACTCAATGGAACAGACACAGCTACCTCACATCATCCGCAGTGATGCCCCAAGCCCGAGTCCCGCTAGAGACTTCAATCAATTGCTGCGAGGCACTTCAAAAATTGGACCCGAGTTGGATGTTGGTCAATCTCATCACTCTTTTCCACAGCGAGGCTTTGCTTCAGGTGCTCAATCGCCAGTCCGTCAATTACTTAGTACGAATGAGCACATTAGTGACTGGGATGATGTCATCTCCTCAGGGGAGGACGAAAAACTGGTGCAACGAAGCAGATTCTTTGATCGCCATGTCAATGCTCTTGTTAGTGAGGTTCTAGCGGAACGATTAGGCCCTCTCGAGCAAGCATTAAGCATCATACAAAACTCTGTGGTTTCATTGCATTCGCAATCAGCCGGTCGCCAATCTTTTACCGGTAGACAAGCAGATGTGGAGCATAGCGATGCCGATGACGAAGATGACGAAGTCAACATTCCTCGTTCAATCTCGCCATTGAGCAAACGGGATAGAAAGTTAGAGAAGATGAAGGGCGCGGTACTCGAAGCTCTTACAGCTCATGGATTGGGTCGGCAAGAAGTCCCTCCGGCTTCGGCAAACCTCAACGTCATTCAAGAAACACTGGCTGAGCTCAAAGCATTAACTCAACAACGTCAGCAGCCAGAGCTTCCAGACTTCAAGGCTTTGGTTCAAGAAGCTTTGACAGTCCATGCTCAAGCTAACGCTAGAAAGACACCCCTTTCAGAGGCTGAAGAAATTGGCGCAGAGAGTTTGAAACTACAATTAGACGGCGTGAAGAGCATGCTTCGAACGGCAGATGAGCGCACCGAACAAGAAATCAAAGCTCGCCGTGACGTCCAGGAAGCTTTGACAGAAGTCCAGAAGATGCTTGGTCATGCGGAAGGTGAAGTCGCTCGCTATCGCCAAGCTGCTGAGCAAGCAGAAGCAACTGTTCGTGAACTTCAGGAAGAGAAAATTCCTCAGTTGGAAAAGGCTCAGACACGATGCGACGCACTTGAGAGACAACAGGAATCGTGGGAAATGACACTATCAGAGCTTTCCGCCAAGAATATTGCGCTGGAAGGTACACTGGACGAATACCGTGTTTCGCATGATTTCTGGAAGAAGAAGGTTGCAACGACGGAAGAGGAGAACAAGGATTTACGGTCCAGCATTACACATCTCACCGCTCGTATCGAAGACAGTATGCGCGCTAGACAGAGCCTGCGAGGCAAGTTCGATAAATTACAGGACGATATGGCGAACGTAACTAAGGATGTGACCCGCGACCAGGCCAATTCGCGAAGAAAGGAAGAAGAACTTACCGCCAAATACGAAAGTCTCCGTGCTGCATATGACAGAGAAGTGAAACTGCGCGAGAAACTCGAAATCGATATTGGCGAGCTAGAGAAGTCCGAACGAGAAACTGCTAAATTGAAGTTCATTTTCGCCCAATCTCAGCAAGAAAACCACAGATTGGAGGAGCTTGTTGCATCTTTACGCCAGGAAAGTCAAGAACACCAGAACACCGCCTCGCGCTTCGAACGCGAATTCAATGAAGCCCGTGAGAGCAGTCGAATGGAAATACAGCGCACCCGAACGTCATTGGAGGCCGACCTTGATGCAGCGAACAATCAGGTCAATTACATTCGTGCAGGACTTGAAGCTGAGATCAACCGTTTGGAAAGTCAACTCGAAAATGTCCGCATGGATGCCGATACAACGAAAGAGCGATACGAGCTTCTCTTGGAGGAAGCTCGTGAGAACAAAGCTTCGGCTATGGCTGAGTTGGCAGCAGCAAAGGACATGGCAATGGAAGAACAACGCAAAACACATGACCGTGTTCTTAACGACCTCCGCGAACGCCACGCTCGTGCACTCCACAATGCTTCTGAAGATCGACAACGGATTGAATCTCACATGAACGAGAAGCTAGACCTTAGCAACGAGAAAGTGGCTCATCTGCAAGACCGCGTCGCCCATTTGGAAGAGAAACTTGAGATAGCCAAATCTGCTGCTCGCGCAGCTGCTCAGGCGGCTCAAGCCAAAGGTGTGGCCGTTCCTCACCCTGTACAGCACCATAGTTCGCCGTCCTTATCTTACAACAAGGATTCGTCGGGCCCTGAAAGGATTTCACCTCAAGCTCTCCGTGAATCCATTCTTGTACTCCAGGATCAATTACAACAACGCGAAAGCCGAATCGAGGAGCTAGAACAGGAGCTCAGTGGAGTCGACAAGGAGGCGCCCAACAAGATCAAAGAAAGGGATACTGAAATCAGCTGGCTTAGAGAGCTTCTCGGAGTCCGTGTTGATGATCTACAAGATATCATAAACAACCTTTCACAGCCTTCTTTCGATCAAAACACCGTCCGGGACGCTGCCATCCGACTTCGAGCCAATCTCCAAATGCAGCAGCAGGAAAAAGAGAGGGCAATGTCAGGACAGGCATTCCCTTCATTAGCGGATATTGCAGCATCTCCACGTTCGCTACCGCTCGCAGCAGCCGCAGCATGGGGCAACTGGCGTAAGGGACGTGACTCTTTTACATCAGAAAGCGGAGCTTCTCAGACACCTTCAAAGTCAACGAACGCTGGTGGCTTCCTGTCCGGGCTACTTACACCTCCTAGCTCAAATGTGAGATATACTCCCAAGAACATGAGCGCCCCACCAGGACCAGCGCGTCTAGCAGGCCGCCGAACAGCATCAGAGAGTCGCCCGCTTCGAGGATACAATCAACCGCGTTCTCTATCTGCGCGACAAATGGATAAGCTTCCAGTTGTTCATCAGGAGTCGATTGAACCACCAACGACTCCACCACTCCTACGAAGGTCCAGCTATGATCATGATGCCGAGCAAAACAGCTATGACGGTAGTGCCTTAATGGACGATGTTGACAGCATGATAGCCGCAGACTCGCCGGAAGGAGTCAGAGATGATGGCCTCTTTGCCCGTGACGAGTAAAGGCATTATCTTACCGTACCTCTCTCTTCTGTTTCGTTTCAGACTGCTCATATTCGATAGTATCTAGAGTTTCCTCATCTGCATAGCGTTATCTTTTTATGGCCCATGTCTTTCTCTAGCCCCTTTTTATCATTTTTCTTCATTTTTCCCCCCTTTTCTTATAATTTAATTCTTCCTTTTTTACCTCTCAAGTCTTGATACCACTGCTGCCAAATCGTTACAGCTTTCTCTACATTCACTGTTAATACTTTATCCAGCACTTTCTTGTCGTGTGTTGCTGCTTTTGTGTACAAAAACGACATGTCCATTCACTTACCCCCAAACATATTTTCCTTAATTCCTTCATACTCTGTCTATTTGAACCTCGTGTGTGTTGTTACGTCGAAATTGAATCTATCTATTCCCCGAAGGATCGAGTTCATTGTCGTCATTTGTTGTGTATGTATTTTTATGTGTACAACATTGTTCCTGGTTTGTGTAGAGATATCCCAATTTTTGATGTGGCTGAGTCCATGTCACTTGATGTCATGGTCGAGATAGATTCCATGTAGCAATACAAAACTTACAGCATGTGGATTTAAATTTAGAGGCTAGCCTTTCAGGGCGGGTTTAATAATATACGTTAGTGCTATGAAGAATAGCAGTCTAAGTCATAGCCATTAAATACATGTGCTTGAGCAATCATAACAATCACTTCGCAGACGGAACCCCCTTCTGTTTCCCATAATTGAAAGCCTTCTTCGCAAAGTCCGAAATGACAAAAAGACACACAATACTACTCAACCAACTCACCACTGTATCGAAGAAGACATTATTCCGTGGACTCGAACCCAGCGCACTCGTCCTCATCAGCTGACCTATAGTGTTCGTGACGATCTGGAAATCGCCCCTCTCCAACCCCTTGATGGCAATGGTTGCCACTTCTTCTGGGAGTTGGGGCTTGTCGGCTTCTTCCATGATATGCGTAAGCTCCGGCTTCAGTTTCTGCTCATTCTCATAGCCGGGACTGGTCATACCCATGGGAAGGACAATGTGAACCTTGACGTCGGTTGCGGGGGCATCAGCGTCTCTGTTGCGACGAGCGCCATTGTACATTTCGATTTCTTGCACGAGGACATCGGATAAATTGCGCATGGCGGCTTTGGGTGGTGAGTAAGGGCTGTAGCCGGAGACCGTGAAGACGGCGAGAGTCGATGCAGTGAAAATGAGGTGTCGTGGAGGTGGTTGCTCTGTCTTTGCTGCGGTACTGATTTGGGAGACTGGGACCAGCCATCTCCTCAGCGTGGCGTGTGCAGTGTACGCGCTCGTCCAGTAGACGGTGTCCATTTGATCGCGCAGTGTTTTGATAGGCACATCGATGAAGAGGCCTGGATGGCAGAATCCGGCGCAACACCAGACAACATCAGGGGCTGCCCCGTTATTCCATGTTGTGGTTTCCTCCAGCAGGCGATCCGCGGCATCGGGGTCTGTCAAGTCCGCGCTAATGAAGTGGAAGCGTTGTGTCGATGAGTTCACTGCAGCGGCCTATCCTTGTCAGCATGCTCGTCCCTACATGGGGAAGTAAAAGCCCACCTTGATATCTGCAATGGCGGCTTCGAGTTTGTGAGCGGATCTCGAGGCAATGACAACATTGGCGCCTTTTTGGGCAAGTTGTATAGCAATTGATCTACCCAATCCCTCGGAGGCACCTGTTACTAAGATTGTCTATCAAATATGCAAAAGTTAGCCATGTCAATGCCTATCCCACCAGTCAAATGTGTTAACTTACCTTCCCATTGACGGGGAACTGATTTGGGCCGAAACCGAGCATATTGTAGGCAGAGTAAGTGATGATTCCCACGATGATAGCAATAAAAGCATTCGTCACGTTGAAGTAATCCATGGAGGTACTCTTGTAATAAAGGAGAGACCAGCTCAGCTCGCTCTCGTAACTTAAATATACGAGGTGTTTGTACCCTATAGTAAGCACTAGAAAGTTGTTTAGCTCGCACCTGCCGAAAGACTAAATATCCAGCTGTCATCCGGTTAGCCAATTATATCCGTTAAATTCGGAGTGATGTGGGGCACCAAAGGCGGTGAGAGCGGCATTCTAAATTTTTGTATTCAGAAAAAAGTCCAAGAACAGAACATCTCTTAGTCCATTCACATTATCACTATCAATATGGCGGCCAAAAAGAGAAAGGCCAGCGGCCGACAACCGTCAGGCAAGAAACCTGACTCGGCTATGCGAACGAAATACAACATCAATGAGACTTTTGACAATTCCGAAGATGAGTTTCTGGCCGGCCGCGATCAGGTACTGCTAGAGGAAGGTCCGGAAGCGAAGAGAAGGCGCAAGATACAAGAAGAGGGTATGCTTACACAAACAGAATAAGGAATGATTTGGAATTCTCAGACTCACATGTTCCTACAGAAGCCGACTTTCAACCCTCCGATGAAGAAGTCCTCGGATACGACGAGGACGAAGACGAATTAGATGAAGATGAGGATGACGGATATGAAAATGACTACACGTCCAGGAAGCGGAAAGGTGGGTCGGAGTCCGAGTTGGAAGCAGGTGTAAACGACGAGGAGGAAGACGAAGAAGGCCTCGAGGCTTGGGGCACCTCAAGAAAAGACTATTACAATGCCGATATGATCGAGACAGAGGCCGATGCCCTTGAGGAGGAGAATGAAGCGAAAAGGCTTCAGCAAAAACACTTGAAGGCTATGAAAGAGGCGGATTTCGGTTTCGACGAACTCGACTGGGTAGAATCTGGAAAGGGTGCCGGAGATAGCAAAGACGATCAGGATGGGGTTGTTACTGAGGTACTACCTCAGCTTGAGGTCACAGATGATATGAGCTCCGAGGAGAAACTCAAAGTATTGAAGTCGAGGTATCCCGAATTCGAGCCTCTCGCAAAAGATTTTGTCGACCTTCAGCCTGAGTACATGAACATTCTGGCAGAAGCCCAGAAGGCGGATGAGGCTATGGACGGCTCGGAGACGTCTGTTCCAGTACCAATCATCAAGTTCAGGGCACTGGCATCATATCTCGGCTCCATCAGCATGTACTTTGCTCTTCTCACGTCCCCCGCAGAGGATGGTGATGGAAAGACAGTTGCTTTATCGCCAGCAGAATTACGAGATCACCCTGTTATGGGATCTCTATTTAAGTGCAGGCAACAATGGGAGACCGTCAAGGAATGGACTATTCCCGAGTACTCAAAAGATCTTGAAGACGTCGAGGCTGAAGACTCAGAAGAGTCTGTGGAACTCGCACTAGCCGTGCAGCTGAAAGAAAAGAAGTCGACCCAATCGGCTCAGAAAGACAAGAAGCTGAGCAAATCGCAGCTAGCAGCCGAGAAAGCGCGCGTCGAAGCCGAAGCCCGTCGTGCCGAAAAGATCAAAAAAGCCGAAGCCAACTTGGCCGATTTGGCCGACCTGGTCAAGACATCCAGCAAGAAGTCCAAAACACTATCGAAACCAACATCCCAACCCCAGGAGGACGACGACTCCGATCTCGGCGACGAAGGTGCCCTTACAGCCCGTGAAGCCGAAGAGAAGGCCAGAAAGAAGCGCTCTCTGCGATTCTATACCTCTCAGATTGCACAAAAGGCCAACAAACGGAACGCCGCTGGCCGAAACGCTGGTGGTGATGAGGATCTACCGTATAGAGAACGTCTCAAAGACCGCCAAGCACGTCTTAATGCGGAAGCCGAGAGACGTGGTCGTGCTCAAGCCAATGAGACTGAACAGCTCGGCGGTGACTCTGACGAGGAGGATCACCGTCTTGCGCGCGAGGTTCGTGGTGATACTGCTGGAACAGATGACGATGAGTACTACGACATGGTCGCTGCTCGTAACAAGCAAAAGAAGGCAGACAAGAAGGCTCGTGCTGAGGAAGCCGAGGCCGCTCAGAAAGGAGAGCGCTACGAACAAGTCGAAGAGGTCGGTCCTGATGGGAAGCGTCGCATTACTTACCAGATTGAGAAGAATAAAGGTCTGGCTGCCAAGAGGAACAAGGATGTGCGTAACCCGCGTGTCAAGAAGAGGAAGAAGTTTGAACAGAAGAAAAAGAAGCTCGCTAGTATCCGTCAAGTGTACAAGGGAGGCGAAGGTCGTGGCGGTTACGCCGGTGAGCTTACGGGTATCAAGAAGAATCTTGTCAAGAGTGTTAAGCTATGATCGAAAAGCGTTTTTTAATTGGTCAATATTTGTTCACGGCGTTGAATGTGTGATGAGATCAGCATCGGTTTTGGATACCTGTACATATTGCATTTATAGTTCATTTGCTTACAGATGCCTATATAACCTGGACAACTCTGATAATCAAATGATGCTACCTGTTTTTATATTTCCGCATGTTCTGATACATGTGACATGAGACTCAACAACTCGTCGATCAGACAATAACTGCTCCATCCGCTAGCAAATCAGCCAGAACCTGCTTGATATCTCTTCCCATTTTCGTCGATAGGTCCATGTTCAAGAATCTGCGGGCAATCGACTCCTTTCATAACAAGGATTAGCTGTCCGCTTCTCACTAACGTGGTCAAAAATGGCAGACAAACCGCTTTCTCTAAGATTGCCTCCTCTGTCTTGGAAATTCTGGCACAAGCTGCGACGAGGTCTTGTCCTCGGGCCGAGAGTGACACCAACTCGTTTGCCCTTGCAACGATAGCTTCATCGACGCCGTTCATAGCAGCGCACCTAACACATCGCCTGATTAGCTTTCGCTTACGTTTATCGCAACAATGGTTCCACACAGTATTCCGAAGCTCTTATTACTGCGTCCTAACTTGAAACTATCATCAGTCAGCTTGAAAGCTCCCGTTCTGCGAGGCACTTAAGTCTACTAACTTGTAGAGATAGGTGATCTGCTCTCTGGCGTTGGCAAGTTCCTCATCAACTCTGACTTCCATGTGTCCAAAGGTTAGAGGTTGTCTCTCTGGTAAGAATCCATTCTCGAATATCTCATGAAAATGGGTGGCAGCAAGAACTTTCGGCCTTTCGTCACCAAGGCTTAAAAGGTACTCGAAGATACCGCAGGCTAAACCAGCCCCATCTAATTAAACAGAATACATTAAGTCTCAACCAGTCATTCCGGGAATAAAAAAAGACTCACCATTCAGATCAGTGCCTTTCCCAAACTCGTCAATAATAATCAAGCTTTTTCGTGTAGAGAACTTTAGGAGCAGTGAAATCTGCTGCAAGTCCAGCATAAATGTGCTCTGGATCTGACACAGTCTAAGTCAATGTAAATTATCTCTAGCCCAATCGGCATACCTTCGATACAGTTTCTGGAGTACTGATACGAGTCAAGATCTTGTCAGTAATCCCTATCTCTGCAGCTTGAGCAGGAACATAACTATTTGTGTCAATATTTCCTCGGACAAGTACAGATAGCAAGCCTTCTCACCTTCCGATGTGAGCCAGATACACTATCAAGGCAACCTTCTCGGGATCAGTTCTGAATCCACTTTCCAAGTACCTGAGAAGCCTACCTGCTTCATGTATATACTCTTTCCGGAGAAGTTTGGCCCTGTTAACAGCAACATGCTCGGGCCGTTCGAATGTCGGCGATCAGAAGCACCATAGCCACCGCATAAATTGACGTCGTTAGAAATATATGAAGCTACAGTAAGCTCCTGAAGAGGATGCCTTGAGTATGGAATCAGCAATTCTTCTTACGTCACGTCAGTCATTACCCACCGTCCACCTTCGACTCGAATCACGTTCTCCGTGGACATTTGAGGTCGAGCGAATTTGTAAACTTCTGCAGTTTTAGCCATCGCAAGGTAACTGAATTACTCGTTAGAATGGGATTACTTCAGCAATTGGACAGTATCGTTCACCAATCTAGCTCTCCACAGAGGTCTGAGCACGCCGAAAGCATCTCCTCGAACTTCAAAACACTTTGGGCTATCTCGTGGGCAATCTCTATTTCTCTTTCTGAAGTATGGACGTGAGCAACAGAAAGTTCACAAAGCATGGTGGGCGTCTTACCACAAACAAGACCGTAGATATCACCAAGCTTTTCGTCCAACTCCCTCATTCTTTCGTCCTTGAAATATGCTCTATTTTCGGTTGTGAAAACCTGCTCCCACGTTCCACAACTTCCCGTATACGCTGCACGTCCTGTATCGTCAAAAGGGATGGCGATATTGAAGCCTAATTGCGGGAAGTAGATCACATTGACTTCAATCTGGAGACTTGCGGGAATGGTGGAAGCAACATCGATGGCGACTTGTTTCAATAAACCGTCGAGACCATTGTATCTGTCTTTGAGGAGGTCTAAGTCACGGTCCACGCCTTGTTTGATGACTGTTCTCTGTTGCTCTTGCGATTCCTCGATATCTACCTATTCCAGGTCAGTTTTGGTATTAGAAAAAGATTCTTTATACCGACCATCTGGTATATAAGCCTTCCTACTGCATGTAGGCCAATCACATCTAGAGTTTTGAGCATCTTGAAGATCGTGAGTTGAACGCAATATAAGATCCATTTAACCGGTGCCTACCCTTTCACGTAACGAAACCATATCCTGCCAATGTGTCTCACGAATTGCCTCCTGGAGGTCTAAGGTATGTGTAGCAAACTAGAACTATTATTTAGCATAGCGAATCAGGAACTCGAAAATTCGGTGGCACACATTCAGCAAAGTACCCCAAATTGTCCCTTTAAAGCCACCAAAAGCGCCCTTCCCACTACTGAGACCTTTGCGGAGATTCGTCATGACCGGATGCATATTCTTGACTTTCTTGAGGCAGCTGCACATTTTCTGTAGAATAGTTGCATTAGCAGGTAGGAGAAGAAGATCTAAAATCCTGTGTCTTTGCGATATGACATCAAGGTCGACGCTGGGACGCAGAAAGTATTGTCTCAGTCGATTCCTGCCCTGAGGAGTGAGGAGATATTGGTGAAATAAACCGTATAGAGAAAAGTCTTCTTTTGCTCGTGATGATGTCTTTCCGGGACCTTGATTGAAAGTGTTCGGGTGTGATTCGGTTTGCAATATCTGTAGCGAAGATAGGGTATTCAAATTGATATGCCTTTGGCTCGTCAGTGGAACTATGCATTTGATACTTCGGATTACTTACATCGTTCCTTTGAGGAAAACAGTCTCGACTGATCTGACAACGCAAGCATTCCCACTGTTATCTATGCTGTTGTAATCTGTCATCCTTCGCCGTTGAATATACGTAAGTACTGCTCCCGTACATCCTAGTGAGACTGTATTTTCAATGTCAACTATTCCCCCTAGTCGAAGGAGTTTTCCTTTTTCGAAAGAGAATCCTGCATTCTCGGCGATCATTTCCTCGGCTTGTTGAGTAAGTCCGTCTCCAGGCACGAGGAATTGTGCAAGGTCTGCCTCTTGGTGGAAGATCTCCAACTCGGCCAACTTTACCTTTGCGTCGTTGACACTGTACTCTTGGATCGGCCGTACGTCTATGCGATAAGGGAGACGAAGCGCATCATCTGAAGGGGATCAGTAAAGGCCAGTATATGTGAGACCTCACGCACCTGAGCTTTGTACATCAGCCATTGTAGCTTCCTCTGCTCGAGTCGAGGTCAATATGGTAGTCGGGTTGATTTCGAGTTTCACTAACATGGTCAACCGACCAACAGGAAATAATGCATGTTTCAACAAAGCAACTTACAGATATCAATCAGATTTTCTTCACCAAATTGAACATCACCGAGAATGCCGAGCCTCTCTTCACGAGCAATGTAGAAGCAACAGCCGACTGTGCCTTTCTCCTTGATGTCGACGGCCATGACAACCTCTCCCGAGTCGTCAATACCGTGTTCATCTTCATTTATTGCAGAAGGTACGCCACACCACCCGTGAGTCGGTACGTGCTCCAATCCTGTAGTGACGTTGAAAGTATCAGGATTAATTGGTCGCAATCGAATTGGATTGACAGGATCCGTTGCAAATCGTCGCTGAGCACTCGAAGCCCTGAACGAGTTTCTTGGACCTAAATCTCGTTTTCTCTTCAGCGACGCCATGAGTAAATAGCCACAAATATGTCTTCGGACAGGACTTGCAACTGGAGTAAGTGATGAATTTGGAAGAAGGTGGTAGGGAGGTTGATAAGTGTGTGGCCTCTCGCTCCTTCCCTATGTGCTCCCTCGGAACGTAGCGGGCAACCACCTTCCCTTTAACAATCATTGACTAATATTAGCATTCAATAGTAAAAGCTGAAGAGCTGTGTTCACGAATAATAGAGATAATCATTATATACGCAAGAGTGGTTTTCCTATGATACATGTTTCAGAAAAATTCGCCAAAAGTGACAATATAAGTACAATGAGATAAGAAATACTCCCCATACCACACCACCATATCTAACACCCGCTAAACACAAATGCCACCAAAATACAGACAGAGACTGAAAGCTCCATACACCTGATCAAATATGCTTTTTATCAACGAATGCAAGTCGTGCATTAGACAGCGACAACTTCCAACGAATCCTTCTCCTTATCAAGTTTCACTTGTGCGGCGTGCCCAGCAGTAACTTCGCCCCTAATGATCTTATCAGCGAGTTTGTTGCCAATTTCCTTTGCAATGAGTCGATTGAGTGGACGTGCTCCGTAACGTGGGTCATAGCCCTTTTCACAAAGCCATTGTTTGGTCTCGTCGTCAACCTGGAGTGTCATTCGTCGATCATCTAATCTCCCTTGTAACTCCTTGAGTCGGATGTCTACGATATCACGCAGTGCAACCTTGGACAGTCTCTTGAAGATGATGAATTCGTCAATGCGATTGAGAAATTCCGGAGGATATGACGATTGCACAACGTCCATGACTGCTTTCTTGATATCGTCAGGGACATTCCCCTCATCCGTGAGTTTATGCTTATACAAGGGATCTAGTCCAACGAGAATATCGGCCCCCAAGTTGGAAGTCAAGACAATGATCGTGTTTCGAAAGTCAACCTTGTGGCCCTGAGAGTCTGTCAAGAAGCCCTCGTCAAGGACTTGCAGCAGAAGCGTTGAGATGTCACGGTGAGCTTTTTCGAATTCATCGAACAATAAGATGGCGTAAGGCTTTCTCCTTACAGCCTCAGTGAGCTGACCAGCATCATCATAGCCAACATAACCGGCAGGGGATCCGATCAGACGGCTGATTGTATGTTTCTCCTGGAACTCACTCATGTCGAATCTGAGGACGGCACTCTCCGTGGAGAAGAGGAATCCTGCCATCTTCTTGCAAAGCTCCGTCTTGCCGACACCAGTGGGGCCAAGGAACATAAAAGATGCCAAGGGCTTGTTCTCGCCACTTAAACCTGCTCTTTGCATCCGAACGGCGTTTGCAACAGCCGAGAGGGCCTCATCTTGGCCCCGTACTGACTGCCGCAAGGTGTCCTCCATATGGATCAATTTCTCAACTTCTCCTGACATCAACTTGGTCACAGGGATTCCGGTAGTGCGTGAGACTACGTTGGCAATATCGTCCGCCGTAACCGAATCGTGGATTAAAGTATCTTTATTTTCGTTTTCGGCACCTTCTTGAGGTAACTTGGCTTCGAGGCTAGGGATGACGGAGTAACGAAGCTCACCGGCCCTTCCAAAGTTTCCTTCACGCTGTGCTTTTTCTAACTCGAAACGCGATTTTTCTAGTTCTTCCTTAGTTCGTTTGATTCCTTCAATCTCTTCTTTCTCCTTGTTCCAAACATCCATGAGTTTCTTGACTTCCTCTTGTTTTGCCTTCAACATTTCCTCTAGGCTCGCTCGACGCTCTTTGCTTGTGACATCCGTTTCCTTGCGCAGAGATTCCAGCTCAATCTGTATTGTTGTAATTTCGCGGTCCAATTCCTGGATAGAATCGGGTTTGGACTCCTGTTGCAGTCGCAATGCAGAGGCGGCTTCGTCTACCAAGTCGATAGCCTTGTCTGGGAGGAAACGATCCGTGATATATCGATTGCTGTATGTGGCGGCGGCAACGATTGCAGCATCTGTGATTCGTACACCGTGGTGCACCTCATACTTGTTTTTGATGCCACGGAGAATGGAGATGGTAGAAGCGACTGACGGTTCGCTAACCTGGATTGGTTGAAAGCGGCGAGCTAGTGCAACATCTTTCTCGATCAAGCGGTATTCATTGAGGGTCGTTGCGCCGCAGCATTGAAGCTCACCTCTGGACAGAGCCGGCTTCAATAGGTTGCTTGCGTCGATGCTGCCTTCGGCCTTTCCAAGGCCGAGCAAAGTATGCAGCTCGTCGATGAACAGAATCACGCTGCCTTCTGCGTCTTCGACTTCCTTTAAGACTGACTTAAGCCTTTCCTCAAAATCACCCCGGAACTTCGCTCCAGCGATCAGAGCTCCGAGGTCAAGGGAAATGACTCTTTTGTTCTTGATACTTTCGGGCACGTCTCCCTGCACGATTCTCTGTGCTAGACCTTCCAAAATAGCGGTTTTTCCGGTACCGGCGGCGCCGATGAGGACGGGATTGTTCTTCGTTCGTCGCGAAAGAACCTGGATCGTTCGATGGATTTCTGCATCTCTCCCAATGACTGGGTCGAGTTTGCCAGACTTGGCTTTTGCGGTGAGATCGACACCATACTGCTCCAGGGCGGATTTCTCTGGTTCTCCGCCGAGATTCATACGATGTGTGCCGCCTGGGGGGTGGGGGCCACGGCCTGTGGCATAGCTTCGTACAGGGAAGTTCGACAAATATGTAGATTTGGGCTGACTAGAGGGATCGAAACGGATTCGCGAAGCTTGAACGTAGAAGCTGCTTCGAGCAGAGGGTTGAGACGGAATGACTGCTGAAGGCCGACGTAGGCCGAGCCTAGCAGTGCGCAGTCTGGAGGCAGACAACATTGTGTCAGTTGCTTTCTGCAGCAGTGCTACAAGAGTGGAAAAAAATTATCTCCAACAATTCAAGAGATAGTGGCATTGTATTTACATACGTACTGATGAGGCCAGTGGCAAGCTATCAGACCACTGGAGAGCTTTCTGGAAGGAGCTTGGGTGGATGCTCACACGGCACTATACCACATCGGGATGGCGGGGAGCTTCCTGCGGCGTGCGCAAAAGACGAGAAAATTGTGGCGGCTGGCAATATCACAGTCACGTGACGTAGCCCCTTTGGCTGCGACGGTAAAGGAGGGGCTCCCGCTAAGCAAAAGAAAATTCTCAACCCGAATTTCAGACCACGTCGGACCGTCCTTTTCTTTCTCCCTCCTCCAATCCTTCTTCCGACATCTCACCAGTCTTCTTCCTTTCTAACATATACCCCTCTCTCCTAATATTTATCATCCTTCATTCACAATGGGTTTCACCGACTTTGTCTCCGATGCTGGCCTTGCCATTGCCAACAACTTCCTCTCCACCCGAAGCTACATTGTTGGGTAAGTCATGAACACCACTTCGACTTTGCATGTTCTTGCTGCCTCTACTGGCTTTTCTCTCTGTGTGCTTCTGCTTTTATGATGAAATAAAATTGGTCCGTGTTTAGGAGGCGGCTTAAGACACCGCTGTATGACTACACACAATGCGAGCAATCGCGCTTCTGACGTTGTTTTGGCACTTTATCGACTATGCGTCTATTCAAATACACTGACTTTGTTTTGTTACGATATCGTTTCCAACTAACATGTCTCGCATAGCTACGCTCCTTCTCAGGCCGATGTTGTTACGTTCAAGGCCTTCAGCGGTGCTCCTGACGCCGCCAAGTACCCCCACGTTGCTCGCTGGTACAAGCACGTTGCCACATATGAATCAGAATTCTCCACCCTGCCTGGTGACCCATCCAAGGCCTACACCACCTACGGCCCTGAGTCAGTAGAGCTTCCTACCAACCCCAAGGACAAGCCTGCTGCTGCCGATGACGATGACATGGACGACCTCTTCGGCAGTGATGACGATGAGGAGGAGGACCCCGAGGTTGTCAAGGAGCGTGAGGCTCGCCTTGCTGAATACAAAAAGAAGAAGGAGGCGAAGCCCAAGCCCGCTGCCAAATCATTGGTCACATTAGAAGTTAAGCCATGGGGTAGGTTGATTTCTTCCCTTGAAGATTATGCGGCAATACTAATTCTATCTTGCAGATGACGAGACCGATCTTGTACAGCTGGAGAAGAACGTCCGTGCTATTGAGATGGAAGGTCTTGTCTGGGGTGCCTCCAAGCTTGTTGCCGTTGGTTTCGGTATCAAGAAGCTCCAGATCAACTTGGTTGTTGAGGATGAGAAGGTCTCTACCGATGAGCTCCAGCAACAGATTGAGGAGGATGAGGACCACGTCCAGTCCACCGATATTGTACGTTTATCAACCTGTTGCTTTCGAATCTGGGATTGTACTGACTTTTCGAATAGGCTGCTATGCAAAAATTGTAAACCGATAAACGTGATATGCTTAATGATATGAAGAATAAGATGATGAATACGGAGATTATGTCTTCCAGGATCACTGAAATATCATGACCTTTCCCTGATCTTCTTTTCCTTTGTTGAAAATTAGACACTGGCCCGGTGTAGATTGGGTAATAACAAATGATATGAAAGTACGCGTCCAGTTGATGCGCACAATTCAAATGGTTTTTTTTTTCTCCTTTTCGTAGACAGTGGAATAATAGACTCGCCTTGAAAACAAGCAAAGAATTTGTATGTGGGTTTTGCGCTAGAGGGGCTTTGCGCATCCGTAGAAGCTAAGCTGCCAAAGATTCAACCATTGCATTTTCGACTACCAACCTTAAATCAGTTACAAAGTTGCATTATCTCTGTCGCATTCCTGCAATATTTATTGAAACATAAACTGTGGCTACATCAAAGATCTCGGGGACGTTTTCTTTCTTCTATTCCCAGCTATCGGTTGAGTCAATCCAACCGCTCTTCACCATGGGCTTCTTCTCACGCATCATCACATTCGTTGGCCTTGTCCTACTAGCCCATGCGTAAGTATTCAATACAACCAAACATCCCCCTTTCCAAGACAAAGTCTAACATACTACAATCAGAGGATACTCGGCCCACGAACACACAACACTCTACAGCAACGTCGCCCTCGCCGCTAGCACAGCCAGCACTCCTACAACAGCGAGCAATTTCTTCGCCGTTGTCCCGCTCGATATCACAATAGAGACGTTGATTGCCGTCGTTTTGGTCTCGGCTGGTCTGGTCTTGGGCGCTGAGAAACTCAAGCCGGTGACACACAGCGCATGGGCAGGTCAGATTGAGCGAGAAGGGGGTGCAAGGAATCCGTATAAGAATTTGGAGATTCGGTCTGGGTTTTGGGATGTTAGGGTATGGTTTCTCTCTCTTCATTGATACCGGTGGGACAAATGCTAATTGTCCTTCTACAATAATAGAAAAGTCGTCAAGAGTTTGCCGACTGGATGCGTACCCAGGGTCAGGAGAAGTGATAAGTCGCGTTTTAAACGTTATAGAGGATATGTGGATTTCTGAGCAAGAGAAAAGTTGTCATGACTACCTATATACAATGCAATATGAATTGAGGATGCACCTGATACCAGCTCACTAACCCATCAACATAATCAAGTCAAGCATTATCTCCACGAAATCGCCGCCGAATAGCGCAAATCAATTTCCTAAACTGGTTGAAGAAATTCAATGTGGCATCGAAGATTTATTTGAAGCCTCACAACCATCCGTGACTGTCTGCAGCATAGCAACTAATGGTTGTCTGAGTAGATCTAGGCGCCCAGCATTACGAAGGCCTCCATACATTGCGTGGGACGTAGTTCTGTTCATGGGCTGTGATTCTTCTGGAAGAAACGCTAGAAGCCAAAACAGATAAATCCTCATGTACATGTGATATACAAGTTCCTCCTACAGCCAATGTTAGAATATATTGCCAGCGCCCCATTCCTTTACTTGCAATCGACTCAGCTTCTTCAATCACATCATCGACGACTTTCTCTACAAGTCTGTCAAGATCAACATCACCGTTATAACGTCGCATGAGCTCAAGCACATTGCTGACGAATACAAGATTCATGTAGAATTTACTTTCCGTGTGTATCCTTTACGAGCCAGTGTACACTACAACTTAAAAGAATCGAAGAGAGTGTCAACGTAGGTGTGTATCTTCGGAAAAAGAATCTGAAGAAGTGGCAGGKCGAGKCGCTGCCTACAAGCCCCTCATCAACGAACCAAAATTGTCTGCAGTATACGATCGGTAGAAATGTGTGTTCTGCCTACTTGTTGACTTCATCGACTATTTCTCTGTCGCCTGGTGTGAGGTCATAGTGTAATTGTAATCAGCTGTGATCTAGTGTGCAACTACACAAACATGTACTCCGTATACATAAAGTTCTGATGTTGTAAATTCCAGAATCCATATGGACATTAGACTTTTTCAAGGCAGTGACCAAAGATCGCGGTCGTCACAGCAGTATATCTTACCCGAGGGAAACGCATCAGGCGATCTCTAGACGTATTTAGGGCAAGCTACTGTTCAGGTAATAATCGAGCTACAGGTATGTAAAGGTGTCGGCTATACCAGTTCGAATAGTAAACATCCATTTAATACCAATATCAAAGGCCTACTTAACGACTATCAGTTATGGTAGACTAGGGCTATGCACCACAAGCCCAAATGTGGCCAACCTAGCCCTGTATATCTAATTATCTGACAATTCAGCATCATTGTAGCTCCTTCATTTAGATTTAGCTTCGCCTATTCATATATGTAAACATAAAAGTTATACAGTGATGAAGAGTAATTATTAAATCTGAATCTCAGTGAGAAAACTTCTTCCTAAGCGTTCGGCGCTCAATGATGAAGCTATGTAGGTAGAGCGTTATGGACTCTAAATTCAATCGACTTCTGGATCCAGTCTCGGTGTGATCCACTCGAAAATTCACAAAAATTGCAGCTGAGACATACGAACCCGTGATGGTCTCTATATATAGACGAGAATTATTTATTATGTACCAGCTAAAAGCACAACCATCAACAAGGCTATTACATATATTGTACTTCCAGTCTTAGTTGTACAAGGATTGCTTGCGTGTTTCCGGAGTATATATAATTCACAAGGGTGTGTTTCATTTGGACATGGAAGCAAGAGACAGACTAAACACATGTTGTTCTTCGCAGTACACAAGAAAGGGAATCCGGCGTTCATGCTGCAAGTCAAAGAAAGCCCTAAGCAAAGCTCGCTGTCAGGCTGAACTAGGGGTAGCAATCTTAATATTGTCGATCACAAATCGAGTCAAGGGACGTCTCACAAAGTGAGTTGGGGTTGTGATGGATCACAAAGGAAGGGACTCTTACGTTGACTTAAGACATGTTGGGTTAGTCAGCAGCTTGTTGATGGTTGATGCCCTGGTGCCTGAATGAAATCTACGAATAGTGACATCCACGTAAGCTACTTCGGTGGCCAAGTCACAGCACAACAACACAGAAAGTTCTAGTTACAACGATGTTGATGTCTTACTTTACCATGGCTGGACTAAGAGAGTGATGGCATCATCCACTGACCAACTGAAACAAGGCTGTACTAGCGTCGACGCCACCCGAACATTATTCCTGCCAGGATGAAGCCATCGGAGCGAATCAATCTGGCGGTTTTATGTAAGGATCAGAGTAAATAATCATTTTCATTGGACTTATACTCCGCAATTAATGCGTAGAGTGACGAGTCTGGCAGCCGAAGTGGTAGTCTAGTCCATGCAAAATCAGGATTGCCCCTGCCTTCCAAGCTCTTTTGTCCCGTCTTTGCTTTGTTTATAAGGTCCTGTTGTCTCTCCCCAGATTACTTGGGTTTTCTTCTCTTCCCTTCTACATTCCAACTCCTTCATCACGCTCCTCACATTAGCTAGAGCTCTTAGCCTAACGTCAATTGACAAATCCACTCGTTCAAAACAAATCCCTACCACAAGTAGCCATCATGCGTTCCATCATCGCTGTCGCCGCTCTTGCGACTGTCGCTATGGCTCAGAGCAGCTCTGAAACCTCCGTCAGCCCTGTCTCAGTGGTACGTTCAGCCACTGGTTTTCTGTCCCTCGAATGTACACAACTAACGCTGGCTCTTCATAGTCAAACCCTGCTACTCAGTACTTAACCGAGACTAACTCGCTGGGTGTGGTCACTGGACAGCCTACCGCCGTCACCAGTCAGCCCAGTGCTGTCACCAGCCAACCTGAAGTTGTCACATCCCAGCCTGCTGCAGCATCCATTCCCGCTGGACTCTCGTCTCCCGTCGTGCCACTTTCTTCTACCACCTCTGGTTCAGCTTCTGGATCCCAGACTGGCAGCACCTCTGTTTCGGGCACTTCCACTCGAACTGCTTCTGGAACTACTACTACTGGCACCGGTTCTTCTACTTTCTCTACCGGTACTGCCACCTCATCTGGATCCAGTCACACCTCTGGTTCGTCCAGCTCTACTGGCACTGCCGCCGCATCTACTGGTGCTGCCGCAATGGTCACTGCTGGCCCCGTTGGTCTCTCTCTTGTCGCTGGTGCTGCCTTTGCCATGCTCATCTAAGTTAAGAATCTTTTGATCATTGCGACCTGAGGCATGTCTTAATGTCGTATGATCACCATCGATCTCTTTCATGAATGTTTCACAAGAACATGCTCTAGCGGATTTCCCCTATCTACACAGTTGGTACCGTTCAGGGTCTGTCATATTCGTTTCGTTGTACATGCATAAATAGGCGTACAGAACCAATAATAATACTAATTCAAGTTCTTCGAATCAATGCTTCACAATCGCGATCTAATCGATAGGCAACATGTCTTCCCCGGATTAACTAATAGCATTCACTAGTGACTTAAGTGTCCTAGCGTAAGCCACACTCACGATGATCGTATTATGTACTGTGAGATACCGTAAGAAACGCATCAACAGCGCTTTGCTAATTTTGGAAGTCAAATTAAGATGACGCGAAAAGTCGCGTCTTTGTTTCGCGGAACGCCTAACCGTTTCGAGGCTCGACGCGAGGCTCTCTTTGCCGAATCTGGCATAGTGTGTAAACAAAGAACGTAAGCTTCATACACAACACGTAATTTTCTTCCCTTGGGCGGCGCAACCAAAACAAAAGCTCCAAACAATAAGAGCGCCGGCGACTCCCCGATCTTCCGCTTCCCTGGCAACCTTAACTAACTCTTCGCAATTCCGTACTGCTTGCTTTCTGCTCACCCACTATTGCACATCTTCGACGACAGTTTGAGCTTGCATATTCCCTGCATTAGTTACTGATTCGTTCTCGATCGAGTCAACCTTGAACAAACAGATCCGATTTTTACAACGACCGCGTTTGCGACAGCTCGACAGTCTTGTGATTGGCAGTCAAAACAGTGACTTGACCACTGCGACGCGGTGTGCTATATACAAACATGGTATGTCGCTTGCATACTTTTATCCTCTAAGCATCTACTCACTCATCAATAGGTTTCGAAACTGCGTCGGCTCATCGCCGACCATGCAGATCTCCGCAACAACGAACTCCCACCAAACTACCTCTTCTGCGCAACAGATAACCAACACTCTGACGATCTGAGTCAATTGGTTGTAATGCTTGCAGGACCTCATGGCACTCCATACTCAGCCGGGTTGTGGCGGTTACAGCTTCGCATCCCTGATGATTATCCTGCTAGCCCACCCAAAGCAGCTTTCAGGACGCGAATCTGGCATCCCAATGTTGAGCAGTCGACAGGCGCAGTGTGTGTGGATACCCTCAAGAGAGACTGGGAGTCTAAGTTAACATTGCGCGATATCCTTGTGGTAGGTTGTGGTATTCCCTGAAGTACGGGATGAGCGAACGGACTGACAGACCATGCAGACCATATCTTGCCTACTTATCCACCCTAACCCAGACTCGGCCTTGAACGCTATGGCAGGATCCCTGCTCCAGGATGACTACAACGAATTCGCCCGCCAGGCACGCTTGATGACGTCGCTACACGCACCAATACCATTTGCCATGAAAGCTGCCGTTCTACAAGCCAAGCAGCGAGGAGAAGATCCTGAGATGGCAGCGAGAATCGAGAAAGACCCTGAATTCCGAGAATGGCGACAAGTGGTAAAGGAGAAAGCGTCCCTGGTCATGAAGAAGAGGTTCTTGCCATCATCTCAAACTAATGCGGACGAAGATATGGAGGATGTCGAGGACGACTACAAGGAGAACGATGCATCGCTATCGCCCGAGTTGGGTGCTGCTTTACCCACTAGCCATACTACTACTAGACGGAGAGGATTGGCTAAACGGCCGCTGTCCGTGCTCCCAATCACACAATTTTTGGATACAGACTTGGTCATGCTTGACTCTACGTCTGACGACGAGGGCATGCCGGACGATGGCATGACTGCATCGGAGCGAAACATTGCCGCCAACACTGATTCATCAAACTCCTCCTCCCCTTCATCTCAAAACTCGTCGATATTCTCCACTCACACTCCCCGACAGCAAACTTCCTTTTCTTCTCAGCCATTTCCCAGTCTGCACAACAACAGCAACGACTCCACCTCAAACTCTTTAGCAATTTACGAGGATAACGTCGAAATCGACAGTCTCCAGGCCCTTGTCAACAGCCATAACAGTAACCACAGCCGCCGTCCCACTTACGGCAAGGAGAACATGGCTGGCTCCTTCTCCTCACTACCAAAGGGATTGTCAATCTCGTCACTATCATCGACGGACACTTCACCCTACTCCACTCCAACAGGCGTCTTCATGAAGCCAATCAGCGCATCCTCATCCTCATCATCTTTACCGTCGTCAACAGCAGCGACAAAACCCCTCTCACCGACAAAGGTCACGAAACCAGCTTACAATAGCAACAACAGCGGCAGCACTCGCAAAGGCATGCCCTCGAAAGGGAAGCCTAGACTCGGCCTGCGGCGACTCTGAGCCAATCTCAAACACACACACACAAACATGACGATCAGCGAGATGAATGATGATATATCACGAGACATGACAAATTTTCTTTATTTTCATACAGATTGGGATAATACCAGGGGTGTTTGGCTTTTGTTATGGAATTGGGAGTTTACTTCTTAGATTGAATTGCTGGAGGTTTGATTTGCATTTTGCATTTTGCATTGGGATGGGATCGATGACTTGGGACAGTTAAAGCGATGGGGGTGTATTAATGGCGTTGAGGGCATACACAGACATACAGTCAAACGACATTTTTCTACATTGTTCAATTGGATATCAGAAGTCTTTCATTTCCAGAGTTCTATGGTCATGGTTCAAGTAAAGTAAGATTAATAGATCCTGCATTTTGGTATAATGAATAAGTAATTAACAGATAAACAGCCATGTAAATATTTCTTGGACAAAAACATCTCAACTCGCTTGAAGGTAGCTTGGACATCGAGCTGGCCTAGAACCAAGTCATTTCTGACTTGCACACTTATCAACACAATCTGTCATCAAACATCACCTTTTCGATACAAAGGTACGTTGCGCAAGTATATAAATAAGCTCCTTTCCTGTTGTCCCTCGGCGTTGTTGATGATGGTCGATAACAGGAACGCTAATCAGATGCAAGATGTGTTCTTCCCGTCATTCAGTCGGCTGTCCAAGAGTCCAACAATTGATGCTATCACACCAAGTCTTTCGCAAAGTTAGGTAACGTATACCGCGATACGAAGAAAAGGTATTTACGTAGTGTCGTCGATAGCTTTCATGTGACCACCCGTTCTAGTGTATGCAATAATCCGAATATTTCATATTCCGAGAAGGACCCCAATACAAAATGTGCAACAGGTCGTAGCCGACAAAAGAAACTCAACCAAAATTGTTGTGTTCGCAAAGACCGGGTTCGATTGATTTATAGAGCGTAAGGGTTGACCGAACGGATGGTCAGGCATCTGGAAAACTTGTTAGTAACGATGATAGTAACACACAGTAATATAAACTCACGGTGGGCTCTTGCTCAAATCGGTCTTGAGAATGATAGGAACACGAGTCATTTCAGTCACATCCTGAATATATTCGCCATCCTCCTCCCGAAGCTTGAAGAGCTTGAGGTACTTCTCCTTGTCCGTCAATTTCGCTTCAGGTGTTTCGCTGGCACTGATTGCGATCTTAGGGTCAGAGCGAGCGCGTTGCGGACCTTGACCATCATGACCATTGCGCGTCGGTGATGGAGGCATGCTCTGTGTTGGGCGATCGGCCGAGGAGTTGAGTGACACGCCGGCAGCCATCTCAGTCACTTCCGAAATATCGTCATCGTCATCAAAGAGAGCATCAACGTCATCCGTAGACATTGTTCCAGTCTCGGTTTGTTTTCGTTGAGCCTCTTCTCTCTCGCGTGCACGCTCGCGGGCTGCTTCTGCTTCTTGAGCAGCAGCTGCCGCGTGAGCAGCTCTGGAACTGCTTGCATTGGGACGTTCATCCTCCGGAATGTAGGCAGAAGATGGGATACCCTTCTCCCAGTACAATTCCAGAACACGAGTGTCTTTACGATATTCCGCTTTCTTCAGTGGAAGCTGGTCGCAATGCACGCGCTTCTCGAAGCCGAATTCAGGAAGGAGCACATCAAAGGCAGACTCGTAAACGCAAAGAACGATACCTTCGCTGATAAGATCACCACCGAGTTCAGATCGCTTCTTGTCCATGACACGGCAGGATTCGATATGCACACTTTGTTCCTGGGCGTTGTGGGCGGAGTCTTTCTTATTATTGCACTGTTCAGCAGTCTTGACCAATGTATCAACATCCTCAGTGAATTCAATGGCGCCATTAGACAGAACAGAATCCAGTTGACGATGAACAATGACATCAGCGTAGCGACGAGTCGGGCTTGTAAAATGGGCGTAGAGCGGCAGGTTCAAAGCGTAGTGTTGGCGTTGGGCTTCAGTCACGTTACCAGCGACATAGTACTTGGCGCGTTGCATTGCCTTGATCAGGACGGTTTCCATACCCTAGCCAGATTAGCTTGAATTTCTACCTGGCAGCAAAATGCATGAACGTACCTTGCGAAGATCAACATCTTGGATCTTGAACAGACTGGCTTGCAGAGAACCGCTACTAGAAGGGTCAATGTCATATCCTAGTCTGTTCATTCGGTCAACAAAGGTCTGCAGGCGGCGGGGGTTGGGAACAGCTTGGCGGCGAAGGAACGCTTTCTCGGGCATTGCAGCAAAGAGCTTGCGTGCAACGAAGAAGTTGGCTTTGTAGCTCAATTCTTCGATTACTTCATGAGCTGGAGATGAATCGAAGATATTAAGTTCCACGGGCATGTTCTCATCGTCGAGCTGATAGATGAGACGCAAGGCCGGAATATCGGTAGCACGATTGCCGAACCTGGTCTCTTTGAATTTGGTGGTGATTGCCTGTGGAATCTTATTTTAGCATTCAAATCAATCAACTGGTGGCTGTTATGTGTACTCACTCCGAGAAGACGAATATCGTCGGCAGTTACACCTTCCAAAGGACTTCCTGTCTCTCCCTTGATGGCGGCATTGACATCGTCGTAGCTCAGCTTCCCAGAACTCTTGATCACACTTTTTCCAATCCACACATCATCGTCGACTGCGCCAGTCGCGGTGTCAACCTGGAAGACAACACTAACGGTCAAGCGTTCCTGACCAGGAAGCAAAGAGCATATCTCATTCGACAACCGAGGTGGCAGCATATTGACGACTCGGGTCATTAGATGGACTCCTGTTCCTCTTTTCTTGGCTTCTCTATCGACCAATGAGTTCGCCTTGACAAAGTGTGCGACGTCGGCTACGTGAATACCGATTTCAACCTTGCCGTCACCGACCTTCTTAATATGGATAGCATCGTTGAACTCTTTGGTGCCAGTTGGGTCAATGGTGAAGGTGATTTCGTCACGGAAATCTCTGCGGGTGGTTAGAAGAGCATCGCCTTCGGCAGCCACAGTCCAGTCTTCCCAGCCAACGTTCTTAAGCACAGCCTCGGAAAATTCATCGGCTGCGAAGTTGTTGTCACGTAAAAGTGCATCAGTCTCGACTTTCAAATCACCCATCTCGCCAAGTTGCTCAACAAGTGTACCGAATGGATGAAGAGAGGTGATAGGCCACCGCTTAATACAAGCGACGAAGATGCGGTTCGCATAGTCGTGGTGTTTTTCGACAAAATCACGGGGTGCCTGCTCAGTGGGAATGGCAATCAAGGGTACACGCTTGTCAGTAGGTTTGAACCACACAATCTTAGGCTTGTCTTGCTGTCTGTCATGTTGGCGACCGTGTCCGCCGTCTCTGGCGGCACGTTCAGCCTCTTGTTTTTCTTTGGTAGCTTGGCTGCTGGGACGTAGAAGACCTAGAGTTCCCGAGAACATTTGTCCTGCGACACGTTCAATGACGGCAACGATATGACCAGCATACAACGGTTTCTGTTCATCGCTGATCTCGTCCTCTTCCACCAACAGAAGGCTCTGTCCTTCCACCTCAACATCGTCGTTCTTCTTCTGGGTCGGGCGTTGACGCAGACTACCACGACGACGAATGCTACCGTCAGGGCCAACCTGTTGGTTATCACCATTAGCACCAGAGTCAGAACGAGATAGCTTGTCTCCAGATCGAGAGTCTGTGATGTCCTTGCGTTTCTTCTTTTCTTCTTTTTCACGCTTCTGAGACCAAACTTCGTCAACGTCTAGAAGTTCGACGGCAACAAAGTCTCCCTCAAGAGCACGGTTACGATCTTTGCTTCCACAGATAAAGATATCAGCATCTAGTTCGGTGCATGTGACATAGGCGTCCGACCGGTTCTTCTTATTGACACGAAGGATACCGGCGACCAGTTGGCCATTGCTGAGGAGGGCAGGTAGATTGGCTTGCGGAAGGKATGGGGKGAAGAGCGTCTTGCGTTGTTGCTGTTGCTGCTGCGCAGTCAACTGCTGAGGGGCGTGTTGGCTAGCTTGTAGGCCATTCAATTGACCATTCTGTTGCATAGCCTGAAGTTGAGCGAGCTGGAGTGGGTTGAGTTGCTGGCCATTGAACAATTGCGGTGCCATGACAACCTGGCCTTGAGGTAACTGGATCAGCTGGGGAGCAGCGTTAGGATATTGGAATTGGCCGATCGAACCAATGGACTGGTTCATGGATGCTCGCGAGCGGTGGCCCGGCTGGAAGGTATTGCCACCTTGCTGTTGTCCAAATCCGCCTTGGTTCGATTTCTGCTGATCCTGATTTTGATTGTTATTGTTATTTGGCTGGCGCCAATTGCCGTCAAAGTTCCTCGAAGGCGTTCGACCATGGCCACGACGAGGAGGTTCAGCAGGGCTACTCTCAGGGATGGGAAATTGGAAACCGGTTGCGCCGCGACCAACGGCCATAGACTGGCTTCTGCCGTGGGTTCCACCCCGGAAGTTGCCTGCACGTTGCAGGCCTAGTCCTTGGGGCTGAGGAGTCTTCGGCTTTTCTTCTGCGGTGGGCGATTCAGATGAGCCGGGAGCAGGGAACTGGAAGCCGGCTGCAGTACGCTTTTGCTGTGCGAGCTCTGCAGCCTTCTTCGCTTCTGGAAGAGCTAATGAGTGGCGTCGCTGATGACCTCCGCCGATAGGTCCACCTCGTCCCCTCGACGGACCACCATTCTCACGATTCTGGTTTCCTTGGTGAAGATCCGCAAAAGCCGATCCTGATGCGCCGGACGACGGAGCTGGGGGCGGGCCCATTCCCATGCCAGGTAGGGCAGACTGGTTTCGGCGATGGGAGGGTCCATTGTTTGTGGGAACTCCGAGCTGCTGAGGAAATTGGAAGGCGTTGACCTGAGGTGATACGCCGGCCATTGTTCCCTGACCAAGTTGGGGAGAAAATCCCGAAACCTGACCAATTGGTTGTTGGGGTTGCAGCAGTCCCATATTAACGTATTGTTGATGCGTAGCGGCAATTTGTTGCTGTTGCTGTTGGAGCAACTCAATCTGTTGCTGAATAGCAAGTTGTTCCACTAGGAACCCGCGAATGTTAGTAGTCGTCTTTGCCATTGATGGTGGGTAGAAGCTTACTCATTAGAGGGGTCAACTCAGATGGACTTCGTCGGTGGGCAATATGAAGCCGGCGGCCGGCAGGGCCTGGAATCCCTGGTTGACCTTGCTGGTGGTCCATCTTACCGTATCAAAAGTATATAATGATGGTTTCTCCGTACGTAATGCTAGAAACCAGGAAATCAGAGGATCTTACTCCTATGATGTCAGGTTCCAACGGGGTGAAAATCAATTGTCGACTGACAAGGACTACTCGAGTCGGTTTCCGACCAAGAATAATCCAAATCTGTAAGGGTTTCGAGCGTGGGTAGCTAACGGATCTAGCACCGAAGGAGAGACGATATCAGTGATTGTGTTCTTGTCGCAATGCCGATGTTTCCGAGATACATGTAGCTCAACAGTGACAGCGAGAAAACATGGGCGTAGAAATAGCTATTAGTAGGTGATCGAAGGGCCACTCACTATTGTTTCAAATGATAGTCTCAAGATAGTTTGAGATATTTGGGTCCCTGAATGAAGGATTTCCAAGACTGCTGCTAAAATGGGCCGGGGTGAATCAAACGAAATGACAAAGCCAACAGCAAGCAATAATGGTATATAGTCCCAGCAGCAAAGAGCATGCTATAGAACAAACGAGTCCACAACAGTCACAGCAAAGAGCAAGCAGCCAATGCAATGAATCAAGATATTTTCGAGCAGGACGGACTACCACTTAAGGAGGGGCAGCTTTTTCTTTCCCGGAAAAGGGGGAACAATGGGGCAATGGAGCTCTGGACGGGGGTCAGACAGTCGGAAAAGGATCGAATGTGGTCGACGGAAAGCGTCAGGTCGTTTCATAAACGGGGTTGCTGGTAAATTGTAGGCACACAGACGATGGCCTCGATGACGACGACGAGCTCCAGGGTGAGGTCGAGACGAACAGGAGGGTTGGAGGGAAGGGAGAGAAAGTTGCGTAGTCTTTTGAAAAGCGACCGTAAGATTAAGATGGAAGACAGATGGCGCGAGGGAAGAAAGACTCTCCCACGGGCAAGTCTGTGGATAGACTGACTGGGTAGAATGATGGAATGAGCAGAAGGAGCAACTGCGAAGTGAGGTGCAGAGCTTCCCGCTGTACTATGTAGTCGTTGGTTGCGAGGGAAGGAGCCGTGGAGAGTTGGCCTTATCCCGATTGGGCGGGTACGGCAGCAAGCGGAACCCAAAAGGAGGGAGAAGGGAAGACGTTCACTCTAGTTGCTCAACAAATCATCGGATTTATTAAAATTATTCTTGCGTAAGAGAACGACAAGTCTGCGCTGCGATGGGCGATAATAATTATTCGAATGAGTGAGAGATAGAAGGATGAAGAGAGCGGGGAGAAAGAGGACGAAGGCGAGGGGAGAGAAGTAGAAGAGAGTGTGTGGGAGGAAGGAAAAGCGAAAATACGTATGTTCGTTAGACAGAATTATAGTACGGGCGCCGGAGGATTATTGTTGAGGCATGGTAGGTTAGCTGTTATTTAGTTACTTAGCTACTTGATTCACACGTAGTAAACTTGTAGCTGACGAGCGAAGGACTGCGAATCGTCTACGGGGTTCCCACCAACGAGCAGCCCCAACAGCTGTAGCATTTTCTATTGTAAACATTCTCAATCTTGGCGCAGTATTGGGTGGGAATAAAATACCTTTAATTTGCTTTAGCAGAGGAGGATCAAGTGCAAAAAGGCGACGCGAACCCAAGAGGCTTCACGCTTCTGAAGTTCTTTGGGGGAGCGGGGAGCCGCTGTCAGCCAATGACTGCCTAGAGTGGCTGCCTTATGTAAGCCTCCTAGGGAGCTTCTAGCCTCCAAGGGTCTCACCTTCGACTAATGAGATGCTCTCGATAATGGTCAGTGTCGATGCTCGAACGGCTTTATGTATGTGTCTCGCCACACAACGGGCTTTATGATCCTCATCACCACTCATTCGTCACATCTGCGCTGATCGGTCTGATTCCAAGAAGAAATGATGATGGAATTGGCCACCATAAACTGCTCACTCGAAGACGGAGGACACGCAGAATTGCACAATACAAAACAGTGGCAGAAATAGTGTGCCCAAAGGGGACTAGTGCTCCGGTCTGTAACTACGCCAACTACTCATTAGTCTCAGTAGTCGCTATTGTGGACCCCAGATCATAGAGGGGCATGAACATTGCGTTCAGGGGGCAAGTTGGACCGGCGATGAAACCATTCCCATTGCGAATATGCGATGCGAAGCAGCCTGTCTGTATAGCATATGAAACGAATGTATTGCCTATCATTGAGAATATTGATGCGAAGAACACAAAGCAACTGTCAAAACCGAGATTGTCAAAGCTCAACGGGAAAGCTCCGCTGGTGGGGGATGACAGGACCCGCGCATGTCTATGGAGCCTCGCAGTGTGAAAGCAGTGAGCGCTGGAGGGTGTTCATCAAGATTTGCTTGGAACGGGTCTCCGTCTGAGATAATGTGCAATTGCTGAAGATACAATGAAACATACCATATTGCTCTTTTCTAGTCAGCACGTATACTTATTCATCCATCATTAAAATGCAAACAGCATATCCATATCTGGAGATCTTTTGTCGCCCCCATAATCAAATTAGTCGGAATTGGGAACATGTTTCAAGGTCGGTCAGCTAAATTCAAGGTCATCCTCCGTGCTTTGTAACGTGACCATGAAACAAGATGGTAAAGTCATCGACCCATGGTGAGAAGAAGTCATACTGAGCAGTGCTTCACAATGCGGTGAAATTTTGCTCGTTAAATGAGAATACAAGAACCATTGACTAGAGATCTATCGACTCATGATGTTTAAAAAAGTCAGACTGAACGGAGAGTGAGCTGGGATTGGCGATTCCTCGGGGAGATTGCGCCCGATGCAAACAAAGCAAACGCCGGCAGCCGTAAGGTCGGGAAAGACCAAAGCCAGCCAATGAGCTCACTATAAACAACTTCAAAACGCGATGGAATAGCTCCAGCCTTCAAGAAACAACGACAACGACAAGATTGAAGCACTCAACACTTTCTTGAACAGGCAATAACCACAAAATAAAAAAGGTACGGATATCTCCTGCAATAATTAAACCGTCCTGACCTTGACCTCATATTCACGTTTGTAGGTATGGACAAGTTTGGTCGAGTCCCTCATACAAAAGCTAACCAAGATAGCAATAACAGACACATTGAGGCTTGCTTTAATCGCGATTGCAAAGAAAAAGACGGATTCAAGAAATCGATCTCATACTCTGAGCTCCAAGTTGTCGTGAGCAAAATGCCATACTCCAGCTACTAGAAAACTCCCGTTATTCGCCGCTACATTGATATCCTCGTCCTGCCACCACCATTCCAAGAGCTCGGCCTTGAATATTTCTGCCGATGGTCAGCCTATTGACTCAAAGCCTACTCGCGTCCTCAAGAACGACATTATGGTAGGGAGGAGGAGCGTCGGCAAATCGCTAGATAGCCCTTCAAGACAACTCGTTTTTGACCTCGCTAAAGACCTCGAGGCCATACGATTACATCATGAAGACTTGAAACGGGTATACAATTACCAAGCGCAAGCGCAAGAGGACGAGGAAGACGAAATTGATCGCGCACACCAAGAATTCTATTATGCGGCTATAGAAAAAACATACGACTACTACGACGGACATCGTCGCGAAGCGGAGATTGTCTTACAAGAACATCTACGAGAAGAGGAAGAAAAAGAAAGGAGAAGGCAGGAAGAAGAGCGCCGTCGTCAGGCAGAAAAAGAACGACTCGAACGCGAGCGCAAGGAACGAGAGGAAGCCGCACGAAAACGAGAAGAAGAAGCTCGACGAGAAGCAGAGAGAATCGCCCGGGAACAGGAGGAGCTTCGTAAAAAGGCTGAAACTGAGGCTAAAGCTAAAAAGGACGCCGAGGAGGAAAAGGCTCGACGCGAAAAGGAGGAGGCGGAAACAAAAGAACAACAACGCCAAGCTGAGCTACAGAGGGCAGAGGAGGAAGAGAAAAAACGACAGACACTTGGCGGTTCTCAAGGCGTGACACAGGAGGAAGTCAAGGCACAGGAACAATATCTTGAACTACACAAGTATTTGAAAGAGTTGCGAAAGTTCGTTCTCGCCGAGGGTAAGAAGAATCCAACGTTGAAAAGCACAATCGGAGACTATCGACGTGGCATTACAAAATGCATTGGACAGCTCAGAGAAGGTCAAGGGACAGTTGCCAATAAGGGTCAGGTAAGTTGACCACTACAATAATTCATATGATTACAGTCGAGTTCTGACCGCGTCGTAGGTAACCGAGATCAGGGATATACTTCGGAAATCTCAAGACATACCTATACCCTGTGATGCCCGTCGATTTTTCGTCAACGCGCCTGAAATCGCGAGCCTGGCAGAGGACAAGGCCCAAGTATCTGCTGTATTTGTCTATTTACTCAACATATTCGTCAAGGCTGTCGTCTTGCAGCTGATTAACGAAGCGGGCATTAAACTCGAATATGCAGAGCCCCTGGGAGTCGTTGTCGCCCAAATCTTCTCATCCGAGCAATTTTGTTTTCAGGGGCATGCTTTTTCCGATGTGTTTTGGGCCAAGTACCGAGCGTCGTGTCCTGCGCTGTGGGGATTCTATGGGGATGAGAAGACGGCCGCTGGCAAGCAAGCGTTGGGCTGGAAACGAATCGAGGCTGGAGGGCCATTCCTGTCAGAGGGAGACCACCGTCAAAGGATGGTAGGACTAGGAGGAGGCTTTGCAGCCGTGACGTTGCGCAACTTTGGCAAGACCAATCGCAAAAATCCCTTTCCCAATCATATATTTTGGAGAACAGTGGCGCGAATGGTATCGATCCCGCCGAATGAACTTCAAGAAACACATTTCCACCTGTTATATGCGATGCTGAGGTTTTCCGCGGAGCGCATTATCGGATTCTGGGGCCATGCAGGACTGGCATTACTCAGAAGTGCGATCGTGAACCTGCCTAGCATTGCCACAAACAAACAAGCCGGTGCAGTTGGACAGCTCAAAGTGTTGAAAGGCTTGTACGCTACTGAAAAGAGTATCATAATTTGAAACCTTTTGATTTACGGAGTTGATGGGTTGGCGACTATACAGAAATATGGATTATGTTTTCTTGGGAGGATTGGTTTGTTATATGTGACACATTCAGTGGTGTGTTGTTATCTATACTAAATTACTTTGAATAAAGTCACTACTTGAATGACATTGCCGCTGTATCCCTGGGTTCGGATGCATACATCCCCAAGTCTCGCCCCCGATATATGTCTGTGTATACTACATGTATTAAGATGATATCAAGGTTCTCGACTAGCACACCGATCAACCAAAGCGTAAGATGTGCACCATGTGGCCATCACGTGGACCAACCCTGACATCCCTGGCCAGTGACCACTAAACGCTCCTGGGATCCGGGTACATACATGAAGTACTACTTACTACCTGATGGCGCCTCTCACACTTTTGGGGATACGTGGTCCTTTCGAAATTAAAAATTAGCGGTGGCGTCGAAGAAATTTCTCGCCTGCCAGCGTGTGTTCAGCGGCGATAAACCTCTCAAAGGGGTGTAGGTGGCATCGATTCGATACCAATGCGCTGGACCGATGAGCAGTGAGTCAACAATTGTCGGATATGTAAATGGCGTGAGTCAGCAATTATGCTATTATAGTTGTTGGTTACAACTCTAGGCTTGATATGGAAAGGAAACTATATTTGATTCGCTCGTGTCTTGATCAGAACTCCATGGCTCTTCAGAGAATATAGAGAATAGAGTTGTAGCTGATCGATGAGCGGTATGTGTGTTGATGAGTCTAATCATTCGCAGGGCTGAGACTCCCGAGAGTCCCATTTTCCTAATATGGAAAAACCATGAATGATGGATAGTACTACCATATCAGTAGTGGCATATGCCATCACCGTAAAAGTGTGAAAGAAGAAGCAAATATCGGTCAGATTGATGTCCTGCATGTCAGTACATGCATGCTTAGCGGTTAGGGCTAGTGAATTCCTTTCGCACGAAACGGTCTGGTCCATGTATATCCGAGGAGCCTGGGGTGGTGTGATGGAGGAGAGGAAAGTGATGTAATCTTACAAAATCAAACAAATCTCTAGTTTCTTTCGCCCGAACTCGTGGCTTTCCCTGCATTTGGCCCTCTTTTCTCTGTCTTGGTGTTCGTCTTTGGATCCTCGTTCTCGGCTGTGGAAGATGATACCTGACCTATACGCCGGGTCGGAGGGCGTCCGCCGCCAGTTGAGTTCTTGGACGGTCACGAGATACATTAGCCTCAATAGAGGCGTTAATCTAAGACATTCGTTCCAAATACATGATCCGACTGTCTATGAATAGACGATATCTTCCAACTCTGTCCCCCCAGATTGAAATAAAGCGTTCATTTCTCATAGATCCGTCCTTACCGACTTTTGTGCAGCACGGGTAGTCGGTCATCTAAATACTCGCAACCCGATGGCCCGGACCCCCGGTGTCTAGCCCTAAGGCGAATAACTGGTAGATTTCCTGCTTACCAATGCCATTACTAACTTTTCAGCGCAGCTCACGCTCTCATTAAAACGGCAAGAAAAAATGTGAAAAAAAATGGATTGGCAATATATGACACATGATTAAATAATTAAGTCAAAACGTCTTCTAGAAGTAAACATATTTCCGAAGAGCTGATTAATGCCGACACTACTAGACCCGCATACGGTACATACCTTAGTTAAGTAAACTACGAGTAGGCTATTAGTCAGTAGTGTGGGTGAAAAGAGCAAGGATTAAACGCAGCAGGAAGAATAAGAAAAGAAAAGAGAAGAACTAACTAGATGTTTATCGTTTGGGTGTGTCTGCTGTCCAGTCGGCTTGACCGAGTATGTCTGGAGGTACCAATGGGTAGAGCCACTGCGTACGGATGTTAGAGTTGAGTAGTGAGGCACTGCACGGCTCGAATCAGCCGTAAACCCCCATTAACTATGCTGCGTTGATCAACTACATCATCGCCTATAACCAAACTTTGTATATAATAATCATCAGTAATCTGAAAAGTATCCTAGCGACCTGAATTTTGAAGCTAAGTCTCGTTGTCTCATTTCTCATATATTCTTCTGGATTCTGTTGCTTTTGTGTTGGCGTCCTGTTTCACTTGTGGCGAGTATAAATCCCGAATCTAGCCTACATTACCTATATTGAACAATCAGAGTTTGTTGCTCAGGTAAGAGCAAGTCGGAGAACTCTACATGATAGTTGTCGCGAGCTATTGATCGATCCATGGGCACTTTTTCAGTGATCAGACATACCTCAGAAATGTCGGATTCAGGAGACTCGTCAAAAGCAGAGAAGAAGAGGGAGTACAATAGAAATGCTCAACGACTGTTCCGTAAATGATCCTGCTGTCTTATTTGAATTCGTCATTCTAACTATGGATAGGACAACGCCGGAAAGAGCATCTAAAAACTTTGGAGCTTGCAGACAAAGAACGCTCTTCTACACATGCCGAAGAAGTCGAGCGACTGAGGCGAGACCTTGAAGAGTTAAGGGCTGAAAACAGAGCGCTCAAATCATCCAGCAAGCTCTCATCACCACATGCATCATCCCTTCCCTCATCTGTGATCATGCCATCAAGTCCGTCACCATATCCAACCAGCCCCTTTCGTTCCCTGGAGCTGTACGACTCTGCACATGATTCCGCAGCAGATGACATTGTAAAATCCCCGTCCGAAAGTCAAGCCGACGAGGTATACCAGGAACAGCACGAGTACCGAACTCGCGGACACCGATCAAGACCGACCACGGGACCGGACTCTTTCTGTGCACTATTTCCGCAGGACATCGCTGTCGTCCGCCGCGACTTGCATCTCCAACTAGCGCCTGTGCTGGATCTGAATATTATCAGTAACCCGCAGCTCCATTTATCAACTTTGGCCGCGATAGGACCATCGCTTCCGCTGGCACTACAACCGACTTTGCTGCAGTTACAGACGCCACATCATGCTTATATTGATCTGATTCCATCCCCAACGCTGCGCGACTCTCTGATTCAAGCTGGGTTCGCGGTTGCAAATTCATTTCTTACTGAAGTGTGTACGTTTGTATACGAGACTGAGGATCTGGGTCAACTGACGATCTGGGGCCGAGATTATCTGAATGTCATGTCGTGGGAGTTCTCGGAGCAAGTGCTCAAGGCATGGCCCAATCTGCTGACGGAAGAGTGGCGAGAGAGGGCGAATTTTTGGAGGGCGCAAAGGAATGAGCCGTTGATTATTTTTGATTGATCAGCGTTTTGTGAAGCCTGAGGCTAAATATACTTCTACGACTTGCGTGTATGACTTGACGAAAGATTGTACCTATGAGGAAAAAATTGATGGCATGGCGGGGGKGTTTGGGKTTTCTACTGAGATTTTTGTTTAAGCGTTGGCCCTGGGTATAGATGATAGACATTTGTGATATTGCAGTTTATGAAAAGCGTGATTAGACATTGGTCATGTTTTCCTTCGTCTTCCGTAAGTGTTTCTTCTTAGCAGTCGAAGTAAAGAAGCTCTTCCATTAGATATTCTAGATGTTCTGATAGGTCTTGTAATCAATACGGAAGATTACATAGGCTGGCCGGAAATATATAGATAATTCTCGTGTATTGGCTGTGATTCGTATTGATACGGTAATTCACCATTCCAGTCGCAACGTCAAAATTGTTGCTGACCTTGACGTCACGAGTCGCGACCTTGCTCCATCTCGATTCATCAATATCAACCATGTACACAAAACCCCCTCGACTACCCCAGACAATGTTATAACCAATATACATTACTGTCTTATACGCCTCCAAATATATTTTGAACAAGGAGTAACATCCTCACCGCTACAATGCTCTTCACCAGCCTCAATCTCCTCTTCTTCTGGATGACATGGACAACCCTCGTCCTGTCGCATTCTCCACTCCGAGTCGAGTTGTTTGGCACCCTCGCGATCCGCCTAGTCTTTTACCTTGCGCCTTCAATCTTCTTCTTCGCTTTCGACACTATCCTTCCCTATGCAGCTTCTTCAATAAAAGCGCAAGGCCAGATTGCGCTACCCTCAGGCCATAAGCGGCGCAAAATCAGTCGCATGGAATTGAAGATTATTGGATGGTCGCTCTTCAATATTTTTTTAAGTATTGCGGTGCAGGGTGCTATGGAGTTTACTTTGACGACGCTACTTCGGAGACGGAGTTTGATCAAGGTTGCCGTGCGGTTGCCGTATCCTTGGGGTATTACGATTGATGTAGTGCGAGGCTTCATTGTTAGGGAGGTTTGTTGACCCTTCTATTTTTCGTTGATATGGTCGCTTATCATATTCAGATTTTGAACTATGCTATTCATCGTTTTGTCCTGCACAATGATAGGTTGCGTGTCAACCGTTTCCATGAAACCTGGTATCATGGCCTAAGAGCACCCTGGCCCTTGACGGCGCATTACGACCACCCTCTTTGCTATATATTGTGGAAGTTCGTTCCACTTTACTTGCCTGCGGCCCTATTCCGCTTTCACATGATAACATACATGATTTTCCTCGGACTTGTGTCTCTCGAAGAAACATGGACGCACTCCGGCTACTCTAGGGTTCCTCTGGGATTCTTGCTAAGTGGAATGGCTCGTCGGACGGAAATGCATGTGATTTCAGGCGGAGATGGGAATTATGGCGCATGGGGAGTTTTGGATTGGTTGGGTGGATCTACTGCTGATGAGAGCGAGACGATTGAGGAGGATGTGCGAGCGGAGCTTGCAGACTTGGATATTGACACGAAGATTCGCAAGGCTGTGCAGGAGGCGAGGGATCATATGGGGGATTCCGTTGCAAAGGAAAAGGTCAAGACAAGAAGAAGAATCAACGGCAACGGCAAAGCCTGATGTGGATATAGCTTATGATTATGTACGATATGTGTCTTTTAGTTGCAATTGCTTAGCGTATCTTGAACTTCATTATTATAATCATAGACAGAAGGAACTAGAAAAGTTGGGTTGTATTCTCATTGTGCGGTTTTTGGATGTAGAGCAGCTCACACAAAGAAAAAAAAAAATCTAACGCATTTGGAAGCTGCTGACATCCGAAATCGAGTTTACATGTGTCTCATGATAGCCCATGTGAAAGAACTCTTTTTCTTTTTAACAAAAAAAAAAGACATAGCAGGTGCAAATGATAGTTTTTTTATATCCCCACTCGCGCAGTTCCATTTCCAAACCCATATCCACAACACGGTATGGAGAGACAAAAAGCCCATTTGCAAACGCCGAATCCTCCTTTCTCATGTGTTGATAAAAGAAAGTTTTTTGTTTGGCAGAAAATTTTTTGGCACATCAAATTCGAAATAAAACATAACCCCTTATGCAACTGTCATAAATTACCACTTCATCTCGTGAGGCTTGTCGCCTGTCCGGAGGCTGAAGCTGGTGGCAAGGTAGCTGGCGAGGAGATGCTCCTTCTTGATGGTGGCCAAAAGGGACTGGTCGATGGCCTTCTGGTCGGCGGCGCGAGCACTGGTAATCTTCTTCTTCTGTAGATATCTCCGTTAGCATTCCAACCCAAACCCTTTCGTGAAGCTGAACGCACCTCGGGCTTCTCTCCCTGCTTGAAGAAAGCTTCCTCGGTCTTCTTCTCCTGGGCCTTCTCCTTGGTGAAGTAGTCGGAGGCAGCAACCTTCTCGAGAGTAGCAGAGTCAATACCGCTGAGGTCGACCTTGCCGCTGGTAGCGATCACGTAACGAGCGTTCACCCGTCGGAGGGGGACACCATTGATCTTGAAGGGGCCGGTGACGAGGAGGACACCCTGGGGGAGGTGCTTGAGGAGGACAACGCGCTTGCCACGGAAACGACCAGCGAGGAGGATCAGGATGGTACCAGGCTGGAGGCTTTCACGAGGCTTGGCGGGGCGGAGGGTCTTGCGGACCTGTAGATAAAATTGTTAGCTCGAGTTCGAATCGATACCATACCGGCTGAAAATGCAGTGTCTTGATGAATTGTAGGACGTCGAAGGATTGGTCTTTCGGCTTTTGAGCTGGTTTGGAAGTTGTATGATGTCGCATAAAAATTGTTGGCTGCGGTGAAGCGAATATCTCGTGTCTTTGCTAAAACCACCCACATCTCGAGGCTTTTGCTCCAATCCAATCCCATCCAATTCGCAGGCACTGCATTCTCATCCGGAATGTTTCTTTCAAAGGCTACTGACTTTCTTGGGTTGCGTCTCATCGTCCACGGGATACCACTTCTGAGCCTTCTGGCTGTGGTGAGGGATCGTCCGCTCGCCCTTTCCAAACTTCTTCGTCTGAGCGTCCGACATATTTGCCCGTTGTATGACGAAGAACGTGTCCGGAAAGAATTGGGTGTGTTGTCGACGATGATAGTTGTTGAGTCGGAGGAGTTGACTTGGTGCGGCCCAGAGCGGGAAATCGTGAGGGTTTGTGGGCACCGAAAGCCCTATCCTTTAACCGAAATGCGCTAGTGCACATTCGGCCGTCGAATTGCCGGGCGGTGGTTGGCTGGCCGGTTACGGCTGGCTGGTTGTTCTCAAAGTGCAAGATTTCGGGCTACGGCTGACGGTAAAAGCATTACATGCAGTCTTGTTTTTGAGAGAACGAGAGCTTCTGACGTACCACAGCAAGCTTACCTAGCCGCACAACTTCATCAAGCTCAACAATCCTCATCCCCGACCTATTTTCCTTCTACCTTCGATCAGCACAAAATAATATCACCATGTCTATAGCAGCGCCCATAATCACATTCAAGGCGGGAATCTGCGATCTCGATGTGAGTAGTATAAGCAACTGCCTGCAAACCTTCCACAGAAGCTTGTCAAAACAAACACTGACTACTGTTGCTTCCCAGACTTCTGCCAACCCTCCCCAAGTTAAGCCCAAATCAACTCCAGGTTATATTTATCTCTACTCAGAAGATGATCTTATCCACTTCTGCTGGCGGCCTCGATCTGCTGCACTTACGGATCCTGAGCTGGACTTAGTAATGGTGCCATCCGACGGTACTTTCACTCCGTACCGTTCTACCCAAGAAAACACTCGGGCGCCCACGAACGGGCGTATCTATGTCTTAAAGTTTTCTTCCAGCTCACAGCGATATCTTTTCTGGCTACAATCGAAGAGCCAGAACGAGCGTGATCTTGCATATTTCAGCCCCCGAGACTTGAAATTAGGAGAGATTGTGAATACTCTTTTGCAAGGAGAGGAAGTTGATGTACAGACGGAAATTGCCAACCTGCCCTCGAACGAAAGCGGTGGAGATGATGGCGATGACGATGCCACTATGGAAGATGTAGAAGGATCGCACCACACCAGTGATCATCACGGTGGACACGGCAGCGGCGGCGCTGGTTTCGACGCAACGGGCGGCGACATTCGCGAGGAAGGTGAAGAGTCCCGTGAAGGGGGTGCAGATGGTGGCCGAGCGTAGGTACATCTCTCTGAGATTTTAATTTCTTTCAGCATCATGTCTTATATTTTTCTCGGTGTCGCCGGTCAATCTCGTTGCAAGGCGTTTATGGAATGCATACTTTTGTTACAAGATTGCGAGCTCAAGAACACAAACAATAGCATATGTTTCCTGCATTGAAAACAAGCTATCTATCTAGGCTGTTCTTTTAGCGTAAACGCTTCAAACTTGCTGATAATGGGTGCTGTAATAGGGCTTCTGCTGGTCAGACGGACGCATCCTCGGTGATCCAAGGTCTTTTAAACTCTCTTCAAGGAGGAAACCAGCACACTCAGTCTCAAAGCGAAGAATACCTTTACACCACGCTCGCCGACTTGCTGTCGCCTTCATCAACAATTCCGATGATTGAATCCGCCGATGACGACCAAGTCGACAACTTACTGAACTTTCTCCCGCCGGCGCTTCTTCTTTTAGCGCAGAACATTGATGACATACCTGCGTCCGACATCAATGCAGAGACGGCGCAGGCGGTTCTTCTATCTCTCGATCTGCAGCAGAAGAGAGATATCTTACGACGTGTGTTGCGCTCCCCACAGTTCACTCAAAGCTTGGGCAGTCTTACTGTTGCTATCCGTGACGGCGGCTTGCCTAGTATCAGCGAGGCACTGAAGGTTCCAGTGGAAAATGGAGGGTTTGTTCGAAGGGGGGGTGTTCCTCTAGGGGGAGGAGTGGCAGTTGAGGCATTTATGGAAGGAATCCGCAAGCAAGTTACGGAAAAGCCTTCTGGCAGTCGCGGAGATACTATGGAGACTGATTAGAAGCTTCATGTTTGTCGTGAGCCTCGGTGAAAGGAGGACATGACCTAGATACACACAATCAACCTGCTACCACGTGCATTGAAGATTAGACAGGAATCGGTCCAATAGACAGGATCCGAGATATGTGAGACGTCCAAGAACGTGGCGCACTCGTCACGTTTCGGATAGGTCTGAAGGGGTTTACTTCGGGCTTATATCATCATAGACTTAAAGCCTAAGTGTGGCTGAATGCTTTAGGACGTCGAAAGCTCGCTCCTGAGATATTGAATTGAGTACATGCTCCGTTCAGAATTGTAGCTTCCGGGTATGATCAAGCCACGATAATGGCCGGCCGCGCAATGACCCGGCGCTGCGCCACATGATGGATGATTGATTAGGCGTGCGTAATGTGATACGTACTTATGGAGTACATACAGGAACGAGTACGGAGTCCAACGGTCTGTGTCGCATGTAAGCGAAGAAGTTCACACTTTGCGTTGTAGGAGGAATGGTGCTTTTGTTTCTCCTTTACTGCAGTGCATAATGGATATTCGATATACGATCTTCGAAAGTGTGATAAATAAATGACGCGTAGAAGAAATGGTTGTGGTTCATAATAATATACTATTCAATGGGTCGTGGCTGATCCCCGCCGAGATGGAGCCAGCGGATGTCTCACCTAGCTGGATCTAGCCGCTACAATTTATTCCTTATTTTTAGACTTGGCCTGTACCTGCTCCGGGCGTCTCTCAAGGCTGTGCACAGAGACCCTCATCAGATCATCGTGGCAGACAGGCACCATTACGATAATTCCATTCTTGTTAATCATTTCCCTACCACGTTACAGAAACGACTGCAGAGCGACTGCAGCTGTCAAGGTAATGTCCTTCCGCCGTTAATCCGATCATCCATCGTGAAACCACCCCCTTTGCATTGCTGTCAGCCCCCCCCGGAATCGACAGACTAACTCTTTGCCAGCTTCTCCAGGCTCCAACGTTGATTGTTCATGATCGCTTCGCAAAGACACGATATAAGACTAATAAACTCCACGTTATAATCCTCATGCGCCAGCACCGGTGATCTAGAATAATTGGCGATGCGTGCCGTTGACTAGAGCAGTTGCCGGCAACCATGGCATCTAACAATAATCAGGGCCACGTTCCCGGCCAAGATCCGACACAACGAGCAATTCCTTTACAGAATCTTTCCCGAGATGAAAGCGACGATTTTGAGAATATCGATGATCGCCGAGGGAGGAGGAGGAGTAGCGGCGCAAGGACTGGACATGGGCCGAGACGGTCACTACTTGCGGGCGGAACCTTTAAGACATACGAGCGCGTCGCGGAGGACTCACCTAGTCCAAAAGAGAGAGTCGGCCTGCGAATTACGCAACCATCGAGCGCGAGGCTTAGAGAGAACAATCCGTATGCGCCTGATGATCATGACTTTGTCGATGACCCAGGTGGTTTCGCCGAGGCCATGGGTTCGATAGGGTTTGGCTTTCGTCCACCGTCACCGCGGCGGCCTGATAGCGAAGAATATATGATGAGTTCATTTCCAGGGCCGTCTGGACACGGTGGAAGGGCAACTCCTGACGATTATTTTTCTTCTCCAATCGTACCGATCGATGACACCGCTCCGTTGACGGACAAGAAATACCTCCAACCTATCAGCGGCGCAAAGGAAGGAGACTCCGAAGGTCGAACGAGCATGCAGAGCATAAGGCTGGGGAATAGTTACAGCAGCTCCCGCTTAGGTGATGATTTGGAAACTGGTGCAGGAAGAAGACGGGGCAGCAGCAGTGCAGGCGGCAGTCCTTCGCGTTCGCGCTCTTTATCACCATCTGTGTCCGGCTCGGCTTTGCACAGAGCCGGTACCGTCATGCAAATGATGTCGCAGCGTGTGGTCAACTTGAGTAACGAGCCTGTCGAGCAGGCCATCATGCGCCGAGAGTCGATGAAGAGGTCAAAACACGACGAGCCACCGAATTCACCCTCGCAACACGAGTCTGATAATATTCCGCATCGAATGGAAAGTGTGTCTGAGAAAGGGAGCACTCAATCGGCCTGGAGGACAAACGTTAACCCGTTTAAAGGGAAATCACTCGGTATATTCAGCCCGGACAACCCACTGAGAACAAAGCTATGCGATGTCCTTGTGCACCCGGCTACGGAACCATTCATTTTGCTGGTCATTGTGGTCCATGCCGTATTGTTGACTGTGCAGTCTGCCCATTCAGTGTGGACTCACCCAAGGTCTGATCAATGGGGCTCACAGGCAATCGATTACGCCCTATTCGTCATTTTTGTCATTTATACAATCGAGCTGTCTGTTAGGATTATAGTATCCGGTTTTATCTGGAACTCAGCAGAGTACAGTACTATGGACAGGTCACTCGGCTTCAAAAAGGCGATTGCTGAGAGAGGAAAAAGCCTGTTATCACTCCAACGAGAACCTTCAACAAAAAAAAAATCGGTCAAGTTCGAGGACGCTCAGCCCTCATATTTGCGCAAGACTGTTACGGGGCTGCAACCATTTACCGACTCCTCAGATGATCCTCGCCACGGGTCACGTAAACGACTTGCTTACAGGGCGTTTCTCAGACACTCTTTCAACCGATTGGACTTTCTGGCTGTTATTTCATATTGGATCGCGTTCGGCTTGCAGATCACGGGGTACTCCAGCAAACATAATATATATATTTTCCAGATGCTCAGCTGTCTGCGTTTACTCCGACTACTCGGTATCACGGATGGAACTTCGGTAAGTCGATGCATAAATGTTATACTCTATCGATCTAACATAATTTAGGTCATTCTACGGAGTTTGAAAAAAGCGACTCCACTACTTCTTCACGTTGGTTTCCTCATTGGCTTCTTCTGGCTGCTCTTCGCTATTGTGGGCATTCAAAGCTTCAAATCCAGCTTACGCAGATCTTGCGTCTGGATCGATCCAGAAGGTCAGAGTAATTTTACTATGAATGACCCTTATAATGTTATCCAATTATGTGGAGGATATCTTGATAGCACTACAGGTGAAGCGCGACCTTGGGTCTATGCAAACAACGAGCCTTCGTCGTTCAGTCCTAAGGGTTACCTTTGCCCTCAAGGCTCCATGTGCATTGAAGGAACCAACCCGTACAACGGAACAGTGAGTTTCGACAACATTTTCAATTCTCTTGAGCTCGTTTTCGTTATCATGAGCTCCAATACGTTCACCGATCTCCTATATTATACGACAGACTCGGATTATCTTTCTGCCGCCTTGTTCTTTGCTATCGGATTTGTGCTGCTAAGTTTGTGGATGGTGAACTTGTTAGTCGCGGTTATCACATCCTCATTTCAAGTCATTCGAGAGGAAAGCAGGCAGAGCGCTTTTGCCATGGAGAAAGTAGAGGAACCTGAAAGCGATGAGTCGGCACATTACAAAGTCAATCACCTCAAAACCCTCTATGAGAAAACCAGATGGCTATGGATAACCTTGATCGCATACGACCTGATCGTTCAATGTATGCGAAGTGCAACGATGAGTCCCTCGACAGAAAGGTTCATTAGCGACACCGAAACAGCCGTTACCTTTGTTCTCTTGTTGGAGATCATTCTACGTTTCGCGTCTGACTGGAGACATTTCCATCAAAGCAAGCGCAACCTTGTAGATCTGGCTCTCGTGATAATAACATGCATCATACAAATTCCGCCGATCCACTCCTCGGGCCAAGTATACATGGGACTTACGCTCTTCCAAATATTGCGTGTATACCGCATCGTCTTGGCATTTTCGGTGACGAGGGACCTCATCACGGTGGTGTTTCGCAACGTTGTGGGTTTGTTGAACTTGATCCTCTTCGTGTTTTTGATCACATATCTCGCGGCCATATTTGCTGTGCAGTTATTCCGCGGTGTGATCCCAGCCGAAACCGACAATGGGAATACGATTGATATGACATTCTTCACTATATACAACTCCTTCCTCGCCATGTACCAGATTTTGTCTAGTGAGAACTGGACTACAATTTTGTACGGCACTACTACATTCACCAAAATGTATGGCACCTCCTGGATATCAGCATCATTCATCACAATATGGTTCATCCTCTCGTGTTTCATCATCTTGAACATGTTTATTGCTGTCATTCAAGAGAGCTTCGATGTCTCGGAGGATCAGAAGCGTCTGCATCAGGTGAAGGCTTTCCTACAACAAAAAGAGCTCGGGTCTTCCTCGGCCAGTAATCTTGCCCTAACGTCTATATTCAAACTCGGCCGCGACAACGCTCGGCATCGGGAGCCTTTGGATTATGGCCCTGCCACTATGGACATGCTTCTCAAGGATGCCGTAGTGCAGGAGTTTCTCGACGAGCACTTCGAGTCCTTCGACACCCAAACGCCACACCAGCCATCTGTGGACAAAGATGCGTTACAGCCAGGCTGGCTTTCTACAATCTGGACTAAGATCTCAAAGACATTCCTAAACAAGGAGCCTAATCCATTCTACTCCAGGTTAAAGTTCTCAAAAGCGTACGACGAGCTTGATCCTCGAACTTTGGCGAAAGAGGTGGTGATGGCTTCTGAGCAGCGCAAAGTCGCACAAAGAGAATACCTTCAACGTTACCCGCTATACAATAAATCTTTGTATATCTTCAGCACCAAGAATCCAATTCGAAGAGGATGCCAGCGTATGGTCGGACCAGGACGTGGCAGTCAACGATATGAAGGTGTCGAACCCTACAAACCGCTATGGTACACCTTCTCGGCCTTTATCTACGCCTGCATCGTTGCTATGGTCTTGTTGGCTTGTATCACGACGCCGTTGTATCAGAGAGATTACTTTTTGACGCGAGAGTACACTCCTGATAACTGGTTTGTTTGGACGGATGCAGGATTTGCAGCAGTATTCACTATCGAAGCCGTGATTAAAGTCATTGCTGATGGATTTTTCTGGACGCCAAATGCCTATTTCCGAAGTTCTTGGGGTTTCCTTGACGGTGTTGTGCTAATAACGCTATGGATCAATGTTTTCACTTCCTTGTTTACCGCCGGAAGTGTATCTAGAATTGTCGGAGCTTTCAAAGCTTTGAGGGCATTACGGCTTCTCAACGTTAGCGATAGCGCCCGTGATACATTTCACTCTGTTATCATCGTCGGTGGTTGGAAAGTTGTCTCTGTAAGTCTTCAAGTCTAATGGGTTTTTGACACCTCTAATCAAACACTAGGCTGCATTCGTTTCGTTGAGTTTCCTTATCCCCTTTGCCATCTACGGTTTGAACCTATTCAATGGACAGTTGGTATCATGCAACGATGGTTCGCTTTCAGGAAGTCTCGGTGGTTGTATCGGGGAATATCAAAGCTCGCCATACAATTGGAATGTCTTGGCGCCTAGGGTTGCTGCAAATCCATATTACAGCTTTGACAATTTCGGCGAATCCCTATTCATTCTCTTTCAGATTGTCTCTCAGGAAGGATGGATTGATGTTCAATCGAGTGTCATGAGCATCACGGGGCTTGGCCAGCAGCCTCAAGATTTTTCATCACAAGCGAACGGTCTTTTCTTCGTTGTTTTCAACTTGCTCGGTGCAGTTTTCGTGTTGACTTTGTTCGTCACTGTGTTTATGCGAAATTACACGGAACAGACTGGAGTTGCCTTTTTGACTGCGGAACAGCGTTCGTGGCTTGAGTTGAGAAAACTTCTACGACAAATATCGCCATCTAAAAGATCGAATAACGCTTTTGCTGATAATTGGCGCAAGACATGCTATCGCCTCGCATCAAGAAAGAACGGTAAATGGGCGCGCTTCATCACGGGCTTACTCGTATTCCATCTGCTGCTGCTCACTTTGGAGTGGTATCCATATCCGGTTATGTGGGATCTCATTAGAGGTATGTTGTCGTTTGTTAACAATTGAGCCGAGACTAATGCCGACCTAGATGTACTCTTTTTCATCCTGACCTTCTTCTATATTGCGGATATTGCGATACGTATTATTGGACTTGGTTGGCCTCGCTTTAGACGAAGCTCGTGGGATCTTTATTCCCTTTTGGTCGTCCCAGGAACTTTCATTACTATCGTTTTGGCGTTCATCTTCCGCAATGTCAACCGCATGAACGCCGTACTGCAACTTAATAAGCTGTTCATTGTCTCCATCACACTGCTGATCATCCCTCGCAACAATCAACTCGATCAGCTTTTCAAGACGGCTGCTGCTAGTTTGACGTCTATCGTCAATCTACTAGCAACTTGGTTTGTCCTGTTCCTCGTATTCGCCATCGCGATGACGCAAACTTTCGGACTCACGAAGTTTGGAGCGAACGAAAACAACAACCTCAATTTCCGGGACGTTCCGAATGCGCTGATCTTGCTCTTCCGGACAAGTGCTGGTGAAGGCTGGAATCAGCTTATGGAGGACTTTGCAACCATGCAACGACCGTACTGTACATTGAATGATGAGTTCCTTCAATCAGACTGCGGAAGCCAAGGATGGGCTCGTGGTCTTTTCATTGCGTGGAACGTGATCAGCATGTATCTCTTCGTATCGCTTTTTGTCTCTCTCATTTTCGAGAGTTTCTCCTACGTGTATCAACGAAGCAGTGGCCTTGGTCTCTATACTATTGACCGAGACGAGATTCGGCGTTTCAAGGAAGCCTGGGCTAATTTCGATCCTCGTGGTACTGGGTTTATCACGAAGGAGCAATTTCCGAGGCTACTAGGGGTAAGTTGAACAATGCCCACACTCATGAAAATATATTGACTTGTGTTTGTTAGGAACTTTCCGGTGTCTTTGAGATGCGCATCTATGATGGAAATTTCACTATTGGTCGGATCCTTGAAAAGTGTCGAAGTGGTCCCAATCCCCGAGACTCTCTAGTTTCTTTCAATCCTTCGGAGAGAGCGGGAGGCAACGAAGTTGATATCGCAAAGCTAGCTCGGATCCTTGATCAAATTCCGGTCGAGGAGATTCGTGCTCGCCGAAAACGCCTGAACATCTTCTATGAGGAAGTTTTGGTGTCGGCCGACCCAGAGCGTGGAGTGTCGTTTTCTGCGTGTCTCATGATTCTCGCTCACTACAAGATCATTGTCGATAGCAAAAGTCTACGTCTCGAGGAATTCCTTCGGCGTCGCACCAGGCTTCAACGCGTTGAAGAGGCTGTTCGACGAAACACTGTCATCGGCTTTTTTGATACGCTGTACTGGGCTCGGCGATTTCGCAAGCATATCGAGAACCGCAAATCGGCACGTCTCACAGCTGTTCCTCAATTTTCAATCCCTGAAATTTTCGTTGAGGATCAAGAACGTCAAGAAGCCGATGACGACTTTTTCGATGGCGAGTCTAGTCTGCAGAAGGACTCCAGGTTGACACTGTCTTCAGCAATCTCTCAAATAAGTGGGATGTCACCTACCACCTCTCCTCGACCATCTTTGCAGATCGATACCAGTATTGCGGCAGATTCTTCAAGCGAGTGGTCGAGAATCGGCGCTGCGCTATCACCACGATCAACCGCCGCAGAGCTCGGTGTTGMCCCCCCCGGCCGTTCGCGATCCATGAGTGGTCATTCATCACAGGGCAGCCAGTCGCAAGACAACAGTGTCATTGTGCAAGATATGATGCAAAGTTTGGGTGATTCGGCCTGGGGTCAAAGTATTCGCAGGAGCTTTACGCAGAGACGCTCAGGTCAGGGTCCTCCTCCGTCGTAAGACTGCACTGCTGGGATTGATATATCTGTTCTCCGGCTTTCTTACTAATCTTCGTTTAATGTGCCATACTATGTACATCGGAGTTATGTGTCTGTCCTTCCTTCCTTTTTCATTTCCTTGTTCCTTCTATCATGGATTATACACCTACTACATCTTGTTTCCTTTTCAATCTTGATCTCTTCTGCTCTATGCTTTCATAGATTGCGGCATTAGCACGATTCGCACGACAGGGCATAGGCGATGGCGTTTTGGATCTTACCATCAATCTTCGATGCATATACCATTTTGTCAAAGTCTTTTCTTTTCTTTTCTTTTCTTTTCTTTTCTTTTCTTTTCTTCTTTTTTCTGGTTTCATGGCTTTGCGTACGAGTCCATAGACTGTTATTGAGAAATGGCATGTATGATTCAAAGAGTGATACAGGTTTGACCTGATATATTGCTGTTCAAGAATATCACATATTACCTCAACTTAAATGCACATAAATACAATCCGTGGCCTTCCCTACGGCATTGATAATGAATCAACACACACCCAAATCATAAACAGAATCCAAATCCGTCGGAATAACACCTGCAGCCACAGCATCCTGATAGGACCATCGATAATCACCCAACTCCGACTTCCATGACCAAAACAGCCAGCCATCCTGCTTCTCGTAGGCAATGACCTGCGCCGCAAACCACTTTGCATAAAAGTCTTGGTTCGTGCTCGGGTCCCAGTCCGCTGTATACTGCACGTCGTCGGGGACACTCAAGCTCCACTCCGAGACGATGGTGGGCGTGTTTCCGCCGCGGTCGTCGTTGCATGATGTGCTAATGTAGTTATCCTGGCTCACGGCGACGCTGGTGTCCCATTTGATGTAGCGGTGGTCGTCATAGGCGGCGAAGTAGTTGTCCGTCAGGTATTCGGTGGGGTCACCGGAGCCCCAAAGATTGTTCATCATTTGGATGTGGAGTTCGTTGTTGGCGGTGATGTTGAGGGCGCTTTCGGCTGCGCGGATTCTCTGCATCAAGTTAGGCGATGTAATTTACAGACAAAAAAAGGAAAAGGCTCACGCTGAAAGCATCAGGGTAGTAGGTTGATCTCATTGTTCCAACGGAGCTGGAGTCCTGCACGGGTTCGTTCACAATCTCGAGCATACCGACGTTGCGGAAGCTGTTGCTCGAGTGAATCTGGGTAGTCATCCACTCGAGGAATTCAAGAGCTCGCTCGAACTGGTAGTCGACATAGAAACCGGGGGTGGAAGCCCACTGTCAAACGACATCTCTTAGCTTGGGAGACAAGGCAAGCATGTAGTGTAACGTACCTGTCCAGTGTCTGCATTCTGTGCGACCTGAGCACCAGGGGCACCATGCAAGTCAATGATGATGTAAAAACCATAATCCGCAGCCCAATCACAGATCTGCGCAAGATACGACAACGCTCCCTGAGGGAAGTGCTCGCTATCACTATACACGATATCCTCTCGCACCCAGTATCCAACCGGAATGCGAATGGCATTCAAGCCATAGCTTGACATATTCGCAATATCATCTTCAACAATCCACGACCCCCAGTGATCCTGGAAGTTAGTATTGGCAGTATCCTGACCCAGGGCGTTGACGCAGTCAAACTCCGAGTTTTGACCTGAACATCCAATGCTGCTCCATGAGTTTTCGGCAAGCCAGGGCTCAAACACAAACAAGGAGCCGAGGTTGACGCCTCGAATCTTGCTGGATGATGGCAGCCAGCGCTTGGTGATGGGGTCGGTCTTGTTGAAAAGGTTCTCGCCGGAAAGGGAGACGATGTCTTTGTGCACGCCTGGCATCCAGGCGGAGGCAAGACCGGCAAGGGCTGCGACTGTGATTAATGTAGTCTTCATCTTGGACTGTTGGTGCCCTGGTATCCTCGATGGTGACTCTCATCACCGCTATCGAGGGCGCGTCCGCCATCTTATATACCCGATATAGAAGTTTCGCCTCTTCCCCGTATAGGAAATAAATGCTTTGAAGTTCTTACCACCGACGGAGGATTCGTTTATTTCGCGGCCAGTGGATACTCGAGATAGGGTCACTTTCCTGGGACCGCCGGTCACTCTACAGAGAATGGGACGAATAGCATTTCTTTGTCAGAAACAGACCATGTTTAATTGTATATAGCACGCAAATCATAAGACCTTTTCTGGTTACTTCTCGGTGCACTAACGTGCTTAGCGGGTCGCTATATGTAACCCTGTCCTTGACCAGGGGAACTTGTTGACCCTTGACTCGTTGATATTTGCGATCTGTCCAGGGCGGCCCGAGGGAGTCACGCTTAGCGAAGGTCATGATGGTCAGGTGTGTAGGAATGTAGAGCTTTTAGCATTCCTGGGGCCTTTCCATGTGGAGGTATGTGGTCCTATGATGGATGTCCTTGAAATCAGGTACGTGTAACTCGACTCACGACCGCCGAGTGGGATTCAGAAGAACACCCGACGGACTGAGTATTGTGAAACGGGCACGACACTTTCTCGCTCATGTTGCACTCGTTCTTTGTCATTCGTGAATAGTGCAAATTAGTAGGCAAGCCTAAACGTTCTACAATCGACTAGGAAGGTGGTATAGAAGGGCATCTGTGAAATTAAGCTTCCCTGCGGGATAAAGTGACACCTCTAGCCTTATGGGGAAACTGGTGTATAAATTTAAAACGGTCCTAAAGTCCTGAAGGCCGAGGGTAATTAGAGTCACATTCCACGGATTGCCAAGTCCGCTAGAGGTCATCATATCAATCACTAATTCAATGGTTCTGATCAGTGCCTTATTTGGGCTTTTTTGTTTTTACAATGACAAGTGTGCAAGTTCTGGGAGAATATTTGGGAGATCTAAGAGTTCTACGACCGTCCATATGGGGCAGATGTCAATAAAGATGCTCATCGGTAAGAGAAACAGTCTCTGGGTAAGATGAATTTGCCACGAATAATATTAGTCAGAAACCAGGAGCCATTAAAGTAAAACGTGATATCTAAATCGAATAAACTACCCCGATGTTACCCTTGTCCATTCATTTTAGTTTGGCCAATCATATCAACTGCAATTAACCCTATCGTCCATGTAACCCTAATCGGAGCAAGTTTAGTGCTTACCCTATCGTCAAACATCGAGATTCAGGAGTCGAGCGTCAGAATGCGTGCGAGATTAACTTACGCCTGATCGCGCGATCCATAACTGAAGTTTGAACGATATTATAAGTGACTGCATACGTACGTGGCGGACAAGAAGGAATCTGGGGAATGAATTAGGGCTAGGAACGACGTGCCGAATATCTGCCTTGGTCAACATCTTGTTGAGTTGCGATACAGATATTCAGATCGTCAATTGGCCACGCACAATCTCGAAGTTCCATAAGATTGTTTCAACTCGTTTTTAAGATCCCAGACTCGCAGGCGCCCCCGGTCGAGGTTGATATTGGGTTCACCCATTGACCTTTCGCAATCATCCAATTTATTGATAAGTCATAACATTTGAATATATCTATCGGGGGGCAGAATTCATGATGGTCGGAGAACCGGTCAAGCTCAACGCTGAAAGGTACTACATTCATGTTATATTTTCCGGATGAAATAATACACCAACATTTTACTTTCTCTATTCAAACTTTAAGATTATTCTTGACCTCGAGAATCAGTCACGGGGAAAAAGTGTAGGGCAATCATCGACACACGAACGCATTGAGTATAAATTGACCGCACCAAGGAACGAACATAATGGTCCAAATAAAAGCAATAAATATCTAAGTGTACATAACTAGTAGACAGGAGAAGGCTCAATGCATAAGCATGGATCGCCGGAAACGGATAGCGTGTGTAGTAAGAAGCCTCCTGCAAGCCACCGGAATGTGGAATGCAATAAACCGTATTTGCGAAGGAGTCGTGTGTGTTGCAGGTGCGTTGCATGTGCAATATATACTCCGTACATGATAGTTGGCTGATTCAATACATACATATGTAGTGAATCGATGAAGGAAGGACGCACGCAGGAGGTTGTTATCAATGTTATGCTTAGTGTAGTTTATCCCTCGCAATGACCCATGGACGTCGATATGTATGTAACATATTTTGCTCGACTAGACTGCCCCTGGTACCTATATTGCCTGATCCTGTATACAAGTAAACATGCACAATGAGAGATGATACCAGTCGCGTCTGAGTCGGTCTGACATAGGGACGTGTTGCGCCCCTGGGTACTTAGGGTTGTGCGGTCATGGGGCTTGGCTTGGCTGTGCAATTATTGACATGACACGAGGCAACAGCAAGGATCTGCTTCTGTAGCATCACTATCTGAGGGTTGATTGACGAATTGCTTTTTACCAGCTCCGTGGTATCCGGTCAACTGAAAATCAGCCAGGGAGTGCGATAGGCATCTCCATTTACTACATACTCCATAGTACGTAGTCCATATTAAATCGATGCCTGGGGAATCAGGATACGGATACATCCGTTCCGTGATAGTCTAACCGCATGCGGTCAGGAACGCCACCACGATGAAACCGGCGATCTCCTTTCTGTAACAGTTGGCTTCAGTCAAGACAATTCATACCTGATCAACTGAATGAAATTGATGCAGTCAAGTCAATGGAAAACACTCGCAACAACTCACAATAGACTGAATCATATTCAATCAATGTATGCTGACAACTGAGACATCGAGCCACAGAAGCGGTACGGTGGGCCAGCTCAGCCCCTAAAATCACGAGTCTTTACACGTATGTACTAGTTCGTAGTACTATTTAGTAAATAGTCGGCCGCTAGAAGCTTCTATCGAGTATCCTTTTTGAACAACAACGCATTGAACACGGTACTCGTAGGAACAAAGGACTGTTGACGAACGCAATCATCTGCATTGAATGCCTGTATGCATCCAGCGTCGCAGTCAAGCCCTGACAATACAATTTCCGTCGCAGGTCGAGTCCGAAACCAGGCACATCGGCATGAATTCTTGAGAACTGACAGGGCTAAGCAGGATCAGGCTAGCTCTAAAAATAATTAAACGCGGCGCCCCCCCTTTTTCTCCACTTGGCTCTGTCTCTCCTGGATGGGATACGTAGTACGATGTAGGAGGATGAATCCATACATATACGTCCTCGCCAGCTACATGTCCCGGCAGCCGCCGTCATTCCTGTTCTTGCTCCCTCGTGTGTTGCTGTGACTTGTCTTATTGTCGAGAACGGCGCTTATTGATTCTTGTCCTGTTGTTGACATTGTTCTTCCTAACAATCATTGGAAGACTTGATTGTGGACTGTTTTTCTAGAAGCCGTTATTGTGGTGCCTGTCATTTCAATCCCAACGTCTTTGCAGCTCAGCTCAGCTCGACAGCTTAACTCACCATCTTATTCGAATCGACTGCATTTTCGCTTCGAAAAGCCACAGCAAATTTTTCGTACCTGATTGCCTCCCTCTGAGCGGCTCGACACGGACTGATTGGTAATTGGAGTCAGTTGCTCGGGATAAATCTTGCCGTTCGTCCACAACGTCATCACTTGCCTGGCTTTTCCGTCCAACACAACACCTACCTCAACCACAACAACAAACACAACAGTACAACAATTTTATTCAGAGTACCTTGCTGGATTACTCTGCATACAACCAATTTTTTCACTCCTTCAACTCATACACAATGCAACCCAAACGTCCCTCCAGCCCGTCCAAATCCCTCGAACCCTCGCCCATGGCCGACATCAGCCTCTCACTCCGCACAGCCTTCATGGACAACACACACTACCGCCGCGAGAGCGACTCTCTATCCACCAGCGCCCTCAGTTCCGCCAGCGGCAGCCCGACCTCCTCCCCAACCTCCGGCTGGCCCTGGCGCAAGCACCGATTCTCGGGCTCCCACACCACTGAGCCGAACAGTCGGGATCGCAGCCAAAGTCCATATGCCAGCATCATCCCATTCTCATTCCGTCGCTCATCCCCCTTCTTCCTCCGTCGACGACCATCCGCGGTGGATTTGGCGTTGAGCGAGGAACGGTCGCGCTGCGACGAGGATGCTATTGAGCGAGTGGGATTGAGCATGATGGAACCGCGTCCAGTGGACCCCGTCCCTATCGCGATGGGTTTGAATACCAACGTTCTCAGCGATATCGCGAGTCAACGAAGCTCGTATGCCCCGTCGTCTCAGGGCTCGATTCGTGGCGGCTCACAACCGCGATACGTGATGGGCGGTATTATTGAAGTTATGGAGGGGAGTGCTTAATCTCTTTCCCTGAAACGAGTCACTCAATCCATCCGTCTCAATGACATCTGCCTTGGACATTTTCTCCTCGGCGAACTCAGACCCATTCATCCACATTCTACATTTCATACATCACAGCAACAGCATTTCAGGGAGGACCGGGCAACCCACGATTACTATGTCTTTTTACTGGCGTTATTTACGGAATATATATCTACGGAACGGGACGGAGTTTGGTTTACTATTTCTCATTTGGTTGATTCACTTTGATGAATGGACTCTTTCATGATATCACTCGGCGAATGTTCACGGTGTTTTTTTCTGCTCGGATTATGAGCTTACTTCGGAGGATCTCTACCTTTTTTTCTACGATTCTTTGTCATCCTTTATCCGAGTCATGGACGTAGATGACAAGAATGGAATTATTAGATTTTAATTCATGATCCTATTTCAACAAACTGCCTTTTCATACCTAGGTACAAGTGTCAAGACATCAATTAGAAAACAAATGGGTATCATCAATTCAAAGACTAGGGACGCTATGTATGCCAGACGCTGTTCATTACCCATAAGAAAAGTTGGTGTGCCGGAACACCACGCTGATTCGCTCTGACGCCTTCTGCGAAGATTTTAAAAAAAAAACAGACATTAAAAAAAAAAGACAGTCGCACGACAGGATGACTCTTATTCCAAGAGTAACAACAAACCGCCGGAATTTTAGAAGATCAAACATTTGTGCTCTTCCGCTGGTTCGGCCACAATTGTCCACGGCACTTGGCCTCCCCACACAAACACTTGACAGCGTTAGGGTCATCGCTATTCATCTCGGGGGTCCAACCAGGGTTGTAGTCAAACGTCAACTCAACCCCCGGCGGAATATCGCGGCGTGCGAAGAATGCGAGATCGTAGATCTTTTGGTCGCCGTGATGGGTCGAAACGGGGATCATTTTGCAGTTGGGATTACACGAGTGATTCATGAAGCGAGAGGGCCCGCCGAAGCGCTGCCCATCGACGACGTAATGCGAGGAGGATGTGCCGTCCTCGTCGTTGTCACTCTCATCGTCGGAAGAAGGGGGAAACCAGTCGAGAGAGAAGAGGTAGGAAGGGCTGCTATGAGAGCCGTTGCTCCCTGCCGTAGCGTCTTCACGGAGCTCAGCCTCTGCAGAGGTTATCACCTCCCCAAGATAGGTATCGATGAACTGGCCCTTATGTACAGTGTCAAGTGATCTAAGCCCAAAACCACGGTCCCCGGTGTGAAAAATCTCTAGTCGTATCTTCCTTCCGTGTTGTACCAGGCGATTCCAGCATGTGGGTGGGCACGGACAGAGACGCGAGCACTCGTATATCATAGCTTTACGCTTCAAAAAACTCTCCTTCAGCAGAAGCTTCCCATTGCGGTGTTCATAAGCTACCATGAGTTCTTCCGAGTCCTCTTCCTTAGACAAGCAGGTACAGCTTGACGGGTCACATTGGAAACCGCAATCGCAGCCGTAGTTGAACTCCTCAGCCACCCGAGTAACGCCCTGTCGCAGCTTGTAGGTATTGGTGAACTCGAAATTCGAGGCAATACTTCCCGTACCGTCCCAGTCCCTCGCCATTGTCACTGGTGGGCCCTGAATTTTTCGCAACTTTTTCTCCAGCATTTCGCGTAAGTATAGCTTTCGACTCTGAGGGGGTTTCGGATAGCCTCTGGATATGTTGCCGTTGGGGGTCGCAGGCCGTGTAGGCAGAACAAGAGAGTCACTGTTTGTTGACCGTGCCTTCGGATACCGGCCCATATCTGCCTGCAAGTCATACATTTCAATGGGATAGTATTTCTGCTTAATCCCCTTGGGCTCGTCAGGATCAGATTCTTCTTCACTCTCAGAAGACGCAGACGGCAGCCGATTGATCTTCCTCTTTGAGAGCGAGCGGGTATCTGAGACGGGTAGTGACTGAAGAGGGGGTATAACGACCTTGACTTCAGGAAGTTTGGAAAGCTTTGTCATGACGGATGGGGATGGAGTGTGGCGTGAAGTAGATATCTCTCTCGCCTTTTTTGTAAAGCCTGCAGAGCTGTCTCTTGAGGAGACACGGGAGTCGACTGACGTAGAGGCACGGGACGTAGTCTTTGCCTTGAACGCAGGTCTCTTGGAGCTGCTTCTCGAGGATACATTGGACGAGTTGGTTTGAGAGTGTAGAGATGACATGGAAGGTAGATGAGACTGAAGAGAGGTAATCGGACGGGGCGGGGGGGGCACACCAGCAAACGACTTTGGGGTCTGGTCTCTCGACTCCCGTTTGACTCGTTTCCCAGATGCCGCAAAAAGAGACCATGGCTTAGGGCTGCTAACAGCAACCGAGATGTTTTTTTCCACGGTCTTATGATTGTCTTTGGGTTCTGGTAGAGGACCCAGAGGTGCTTCACGGCTGAATACTGCCTCGTGGTTCACTGGTATTGCTCTCACTTCAACCTCGTCCACAGGCGACTTTCGCTTCAAAGGCCGCGACTGCCCAAATGTAGGTTTAATAAACCTGGCCAAGAGGGCTTGTGCCTATGTAGTTGTCAGCCCGAACTGAGCTCCAAAAGAATGTCATGTCGCGTGCAGCGTGCGAATTGAGCCTGGCGGCCAATACTGGCAGGCCCAACGGGCCCACGAGTCGAGCATGCCCTCACCCAAAAAACAACAGCACTTAAAAACACAAAAATAATATCAAAAAATCCGTAAAAATCGCAGCAACAAATTAATATAAATTTCATGAAAATAACGAACAAATAACGCGCGCTGATTGGCGGGCGCCGCGGGCCAGCGGCGTGCTGTATGGTGGTGTCTGTAGCTTACCTGATCCGCATCATCCTCGTCCTCCATGTCGTCGTCGCTGTCTTGAGTCAAATCAATCACTTTAACCTCGCGAAGTGGCGCCATTGTGCCCTTTTTCCAAGACGGTCATCCAGTCTCAATACTTTTCATCTCTTTCATTCGTTAAAACGTTGTCGTATCATGAGAGAGGAGCAGAAGTAAGCTAGGGAAAGGCAGAGTTAGCTTCCCAACTTTTGGAGAGGCCTAAAATAAATAATAGACAATACTAGCCTCCTATTGGTTGATAGCTATCACGTGAGCTCTTATATATTATCCTTTCTTCATATATTTCTATTACTTCCTTTCTAACATAGTTCCTGGGCAAATTTAGTCTAAAAGGAAAATATATATAAATAGTTTTTTTTATTTGTAATTTTATATAATTTTTTCTCTTTTCTTGGCCCTAATCTGTGAGCTTTATCAGATTACACGCGTTGTTGACGTAGCCTGACCACATAGTAAATTACCGCCAGTTAAAGGGTCTAGAAATGCGTCTCCGGGGCTAAAATAAGTCTCCATTTTGACCATTTCCTTTTGTTGGTTTTCCAGGCCGCAGAGCCCTGCTAAATTAGTTAATTTGATACCTTACGCTGAAGAGAGATCTATCCATTCCTAGCCCGGCAATTTAGTCTAGTTTCATGTCGTCGATGGTGCTTGGTTGACAGACAAAATGCGTGCTTCCTTTCATCTCGAAATGCTCCAAGCTGCGATCTGATTCGTCGGAGGACGGGGGCGACGGGAGATAATCGTCACGTGATATCAAATAGGGGGCCGACAGACCAACCACATCAGCCAAGAGACATGAGATCCTCGATTGTGCAACGCTGCGGCCGCTCAATATGTTCCTTATGCATCATTTGTGCCGCCTTGCTGTCGCTGCGGTTGGTGGCCTCTATTGCACGTGGGTTGGTTGGATCTGATCTCCAGGATACATAACCTAGTTTCTAAAACAGCAGCATATTAACGGATTCAACCAGACTTCATCGATTTCGATCTGGAATTGAGTTGATAGGGAGATCTGAAGGAGGAAGTGCCGCATATTATTCACATATCTATCTAGCGACTGTCGGACAACAAGAAAGAAGCTATGCGATGCCATGCCATGCCAGTATAACTCTCTGTAATCAAACATGATTCTATAATATACAATAGGACAGAGAATAGATGAAGATACACAAATAATTAATTTCAAGGTAGAACCCGCTGGCAAGTTGCAATTGCATAACGTGTTGATGGAAAAGGTAAAGAACCGAAAATAGAGAGGGATCAATACAGGCAGATTTTCATCAGGGGGCATTTAAAATATAACGCAAAATAGAACACAAGGAAAAGAAGATAAGAAAAAGGTATGCAAGACCCGCATGATCAATATGTAGCAGTCTAAAGTCTCAAAGCGTCTAGTATCCGCTTGGCCATTTCTCGGTATTGCCACATACCACCTGAGACCTTCTTGAACTGGATGCCATGCAATGAAAACAACGGCACCTTCACAATGAGGATCTCGAAGCGTAAAACGAGGTTTTCGCCAGTATCGCTCTGCACCCGTGTCGTAGTTTCGCCGACTACACGCTCACCCACCACGTTGTTCTGGGATTGGCCATAATCATCAGAAGCCTCCGAATTGGACACGAAACTGCGGTCCGGAGGGCCTTGGTTGCGCCGGTTATATCGTGATGCATGGGCCGCTCTTGTATCGTCTCTGGCTTCTTCATTCGCCCGCAATCCCCCAAAGCTGATTCTCCGCCTGTGAGCAGAAACTTGACCCTGTCTTTCCGGGCTCGAAGGTCGGGCATCTACCACGCGGTCAAGGTCAATGCTAGGTGCATGTCGGCAGCTGAATCCACCCTTGATTTCTGTATACTCAACGTTCAGCTGTCTAAGCACGCGAATAATATCGGCCCGGATGAAAGGAAGAGGCTTGCTACTCGTGGTAGACACACTGAAAAGACCTTTCAGGTAGACCGGTTTGGCAAAGTCCTCGCCAGTGTTTGGTGCCTCTAATGCGTTTCCAGTATTTGATAGATCGCCGTCATCTTCATCTTCAGGAACGGTGGCTTCTCTAGCTTCTTCTCGACGAGCCCTGCGGGCTTGTATACTCTCCCGTCGTGCGTGACCAAGAGACTTGGCCCGCATAGCCCCTGATCGTGGTGCAGGTTTGGTCTCATTCAACGGAGCCGACTCTCCAAGACTAGGCTTCTGTTTCTCAATGTCACTGCCACCTAGACCATCAGATCCACTTGTAAGAGGCGGCTCATTGAGATTGGAGCCATTGCCATCCGCACCGTACTTTCGCGCCAATCTGCGGGATCGATAGTCAGCAGAGTTGACGCTCGTAGATCTCTCCAAGTACTTGTTGGATCGCGTCTCTTGAAGTGGTCCTCCTGCTGACCTGGGGGGCTGGAGCGGGTCTTGTTGTGTTTGGCTGCTTGACTCATGCAGAGTAGTCGGTGATGGCTCGGCACGCCTTGTTCTGCGGATACTAAAACCACGATGCGGTGTTGAGGCCATGTCGGCAGGCGGCTGAACATTGAGACTTGGTACAGTTTGTGGAAAGTGTTTCTCTCTTTCGCCAGATTCACGGCCTCGGTCTTTCACTCTACGGGTGCTGAAGCGCCTCAGAATACCAGCTGCAGTACTCTCCTTCTTGGCGGGCGAGTCACCTTGCGGTGTAACAATCGTCGGGTTAGTATTTGGACTAGCGGACTGGTTGACGTGAAGTTTCTTGATTCCGTCGGCCAAATCGTCATCGCCATGAGTCCTGGCTCGTGGGCGGCTTCTGCTGCTGGTATCCTTCACTCCGGGTACATCATATTGATTAGTATGTGCGGTTTCGGGTGCGGCTAAATCGGGCATTTTTAATACGGTGTCAGACGGAATAGAAAGAGCTCCCGGATTCTTTGAGGCTCTTTCCCGATCAAGCTTCTCCTTGACTAGAAAATAGACCGAAATGAGAGGGCTGTAGGCATTAAGAGGATCGCTTCCGGTCTGGACTGCCTCGACAGAGGAATTGGACAAGGTCTCTCTGCTTGCCGAGTTCCGTCGTCGATAGAAATCAAAGACACCTCTTCTCTTGTCGCTGCTTGGGTTTGGAGTTGCTGATTCTCGAGTAAAAGATCTCGCAGCAATTTGGTAGTCTTCAGATTCCAAGGTCTTTGTTAACTGAGCCGTAATAAATTCAGGAGGGCCAAAGTCGAAACCCGTCATCTTCTCTACCACCTCTGGATCCAACGGAAGCTGAAGCGGTTCTCGTACCGGGAGGTAGTTTTCTGGTGGCCCATTGAAGCCTTTCGTCATCCACGGGTGATTCATAATTTCGGCCAAGCTGGCCCGTTTCTTTGGATCTGTAACTAGCATTCGTGATATTATGTGACGACATTCTACGCCAATAGATTAGTATGTGACGGCCCAGAATGCATATAAACGCAGCTTACCTGATGTCAAACCTTGTGGGTACTCGACCTCACCCTTTTTGATTTTGGCATGAAGGTTTGGCATGCTTTGGTCGTCGAAAGGAACCTTGCCGCAGACGAGGACATAAAGGACAATACCAAAACTCCAAACGTCTACTTCAGGGCCTGTGTACTGGCGCGCCTGCAGTAATTCTGGAGCGGCAAAATACAGACTTCCACAGAATGTACGCAAATGGCTCCTCGGTGAAAATAGATTGCTCAAACCAAAATCGATAATCTTGATGTCACCGGTCTTGCTAATTAAGATGTTTTCGATCTTGAGATCGCGATGAACGATACTGTTGCGATGACAATAATCCAAAGCACTGGCAATTTGCCGAGCGAACTTCCTCGCTTGCTTCTCTTTCAGTTTGCCGTGTGATATAATATAATCCAGCATCTGGCCACCGTTGACGTATTCAAAGAGCATGTACCAGTGATAAGGGGTACGAACGACATCACGCATGCCGCAAACATACGGATGATCCACGAGGGACACGATGGCGGCCTCTCTCGCGGTACGAATTTCTTTTGACCGGTCGGCGCGCTCAGCGTCTCTTCCACTTCGATGTTCCTCGGTGGTTTGCCTCGGAACAACCTTGACAGCGACCTATGTAGCATTGAATAGTTAGCAACCAAGACGTGCATTTGATTAATAATAATTCAGAAGGCAATGATTACCTGCTCGCCCGTTTCTATATTTTTGGCAATCTTGACTTTGCCCATGCTTCCAGCACCGATAGTCTTACCGAGAGCCCATTGACCCGTTGGCGTGGATATCATGGTGCGTCGTTTGGGCTGAACTGGGTTACTGTGGCCTGCTTGTTGCGCCGAAGCAGCGGCGGCGGCGACGTTGGCCGCATTCGCATCAACAACGGTTCCAGGCATATCGACTGAGTTTCGTCTATGTCGAGAGGCGGTGCCGTGGTGTTGAGGGGCCCGAGCTGGGTCGGGGCGGTGGGAGGTGAGCGGGCGCTCCTGAGAACGTTCCCGAGAGGAGTCTCTGCGAGAGGTGGACGGACGGGCAAGGTTAGAATTCTCGAAATCTCGACGTGCTATGTTTGCAAAAGCGGCCTGATTGGAGGGAGGTCGACGGTCGTACGATTGAGATCGTGAGGAGGAGTGTTGTTGGGAATAAGATGACGGGGGCCTGGCGGTTGTGCTTCGAGTCCTGTGGGGAAGATCCGATGATGGGGGGCGATGATGCGCGTGAGGGCGGGAGGACGAATGGCTGCGAACAACCGTTGGACTCGTTGAGGTCGATGCCGCAGCGGACATACCGTTCAAGTAGCCAAGTAGAAAAGTACAGAGCTTTTCTCTCGGTGCTAAATTAGATATACACGGGGGAGGGGAACAATGGTTTGCGAAATCGAGCGGTCGCAAACAAGACAATGTTCAGCAGCCCAGCCTCCGAGGACAACTCTTAGACCTGCCAATCACAAAGAGGAACAGAAAACAAGCGAACACCAGTCTGTACTCCGTAGCGGATGCTCTATATTAATAGTCACGGGAATTAATACCAAGCCCCGCGAAGCAACAGACTGGGTGGTAGCCAGACAACAAGAGCCTTGGGGGCAGAAACAAAGGAGAAAAGGTCGGCACTGGACAGAGGCACAGGGCGATAGTTTAGTAGAGGCAGAGGGTTAAATGCGCTGGCGTAGATGGATGCAGCTGGAGCAACGGGAGGCTGGAGGAGACGGCGGCGGGAGTCAACTCAGTCAAGACTCCAGGGTTAAGCCCAGGCAGCTAGTGGGCGAGCTAGTCTGAGCGGCGTGATGTAGGTCACTAGCTGATTTGACATGAAATGACGCATGCAATGCAGAGACAGAGAGCAAGACTAGCGTGGAAGAGGTAAAGATGTGATCAAGCAAGAGTTTGGTGAGCAGCTGGAGTGGAGAGGTGGACATAGTAGGATGAGTGCCTGAGGGAAAGCGCGGACTGGGTCGGTTGGTTACTGGGTAACATAGTGGCTGATGGATGCGGCAACAACCTGGAGATACCAGACTCACTGTACTTGCTTACTATGTACACTTTCCATGTTTTAGCTACGGATGATGATTATCCCAAGGAAAGCATATTTACACAAGCTGTCTATATCTTGATCCCGACATGGCTCCTTTTTTGATCACGGACCCAGAAGTCCGAACCTTTACCTTGGAAATGGCTGCCCCGGGAGGAGGCTAAGAAACCTAGAACTCTTGGAGACCGCGGCCCCACCAGGACGTAGTGTGCCTGGTGCCCAAGATATCTTTTAGAACTTACATACCATTAGACTCATCCTGATACGTCCCAAGAACCTTAGCCCAATAGGTTTGTTTTTTCTCTACCTTAAAAAGTAGAGAGATCGGAATTTTCTGCGGAAGCAATTACGTTGGATCTGTTCCTTCTTTAATTTTCCCTGTGATACTCGTCATCTGCATGTGGCAGCTCTCAATCTTCGATCGAAAGAGATAGTATACGTATTACGTACTCTGTTATGTACGTACTTCACCTACCAGTTAAATAATTATGGAGGTTGGAGTACTATGTAAGTAAGAGGATAGAAACACATGCAATTTGTTTTACGCTTCAGCCACAGATTGTGTGTTGAAAACTTGAAAGACACCAGCCACATTGCAGMCCCGCCTCCAGTGGCGGTGCCATAGCGTCAGACAGTGATCTGACATCCGGGAAGGTGCAAGCTGCGTGGTTGCCTTTGCAACTATTCACCTGCGCCGACGATGGCTCCCATGTCAGAATATCTTGTCTCTTTCTATGATTGACTGAATACTCTGGAACACTCACCCCGTTCCCAATAATATCACCTTCAAGCAACCATGGCCAGCAAAAGATCGCGCGGCGCCTTTGAAGCCGATCTTCAAGCGCTCCAGTCGCCTTACGCTTTCTATGGCACACCACTTCCCCCTCTCGACCCCGGTACGCGCGACGATGGCTCTTACGTCCCCGTCTGGAAGCAAGAAGTAACCGACGAGCGAGGACGGAAGCGACTGCACGGCGCGTTTACCGGAGGTTTCAGCGCCGGGTGAGCTCGTCGCGTTTGGATTTTCAATCAATGGGAACATAACGACTAAAATATGATTTGGAACAGGTATTTCAATACGGTGGGCTCAAAAGAAGGCTGGACACCGTCAACTTTTGTCTCTTCAAGGCAGAACCGCGCAAGAGACACAAAACAGCAGAAGGTCGAGGACTTCATGGATGAAGAGGATATCCGTGAGGCGGAGGAATCCAAGCAACTGCAGACGTCCGAAGACTTTGCAGGTTTGGGCGGTGGGCAAACTCAGGCCACGGGCAGACGTGGCATAGTCGACCTCCTCAAGACGGAAGGTGAAACTATGGGTGTCAAGCTGTTGAAGAGGATGGGTTGGAGGGAAGGGCAGGGCATTGGACCGAAAGTGAGGCGAAGAGCCAATCTTGAAGACAGCAGCAACCTCCCACAGCACGCGATCCATCAACTTGAAACCCATTTATTCGCCCCTTCAGACGCCCCGATGGTCACCTTTGTGCGAAAAGTTGATCATTTTGGTCTCGGATTTGAGAGAGAAGAACGGCTTGACTCCAACTTGCGGCTGAAGGACACCCCGAGTCGCCAGGATGAGGATGAAGATGAAGCGGGTGATTCATTCTTCGGCGGGCGACTGACAACACAAAAGCCGAGGAAAGTGAATCAGGCTCCGCGTCGAGGAGTGTTTGGGGTCGGCATCTTGAATGATACTGGTTCTGATGACGAAGATCCATATTCGATGGGACCCCGAATATCCTACAACCGTACTATAGGAGGTGACAAGAAGAAAAAGAAGAAATTACAAAGTACCGAGGAGGGAAAGGCGGTCTCAGCAAATCCTCTTTTGAGTAACAAACCCGTTTTTATCTCCAAGAAAACGTCCCTAGCTGGGTTCCGGAAGTGTCACGACGGACGTCTACCACTCGACGGTTTCGTTCTCGCGGATGCAGTTTCCGGGTTATCACTCTCAGCTGGTAGAAAGTTCACGCCGCCAGATATACCCCCTGGTTGGAAATCGGCGAAGGCTCCTGCAGCCCAAAGTGATTTATCGAAGTATATGTCAACGGCGGACGCGGCAAAGTCTTCCAATCTCGATCCGAAGTCTCGTGCCGAGTTGCTCGGTGAGGAACAGCTTCCAGGGAAGTCTATATTTGATTGGATGACACCAGAGGCTCGTGAGAGGCTTGTCAAAGCCACTGGGAGGACTGATCTTCCACCAGCCTTGGGAGAAAAGGCTCCAAAAGGCTTTCACATATCAGAAGCCGAGCGGCGGAGGAATTTATGGGACCTCGTGCCTAAGCTTGACAAGGAGGCTGCCGTTCAGGCTCTGAAAAGAGCAGTAGGGGGTTGGATGCCATACTCGGAGGATGAAAGCAAGCGAGCACGTTATCGTATTTTCCTTGAGATTTCGGCTGGTCTGAAACAAGGTCTTCCAGATCGTCTGCCAGGATCAACAACAGATGAATGGGTAAATGAGATGCGAGAGTTCACTAGAGCAGCTGAAGTATTTAAGCCTATATCTGGCGTTATGGCCTCGCGATTTACTTCGGCAAGCTCTGCACCGAAAGTTACATCTGATCAACCAGATTCCTCTACAGAGGCTCTACTAAGTCGACCGCCTGCTAAACCGGAAGATCCGGCCGAAGAGGCGGCTAAGATTGGTATGTTTGGTCCGTTGACTCGCAGTACGATATCGTTTTATCCGACTCGCTTGCTTTGCAAGCGATTTAATATCAAGCCTCCGGCACACGTTCACATGGACCCTGGGGATCATCTCACGGGAGGGACCGGAGGCCCTACAGGAACTGCAGGCTCAACAAAGACTTCACTCGTTTCTCAGGAGACAATGGATCAGCTTCTCTTGGAATCCGGGATAGCGATGTCTGGCAAACATATTTCTGCTCCGGCACCAGAGCAGAAGCCTCTTGTGATTGAGCCTGAACGAAACGAGGCACTGGAAGGCGAACGACCAGGCGAAGCTGTTTTCAAAGCTATCTTCGGCAGTGACTCGGAAGAAGAGGATGAGGATTAATGTATATTATTTAGCATGAGACATTTACAAGCTACTATCAGGTCTCTACACTTATTATCGGCATTGTAGAGTTGAACCGGAATTGCTAAGGATGCTAAGCTTTCGGAGGATCAGTGACTGACGTCTTGGCGCGCTTTTCATAAATCAGACACCGATACACGGATTTCACTACATGTACGTGTACATTAAATATTATTAGAACGATTTTGAGAGACCAGTCGCCCCTTCTTAGATGAGGCCTTGTTTTTCCGAGACAGGTCGTCTTGCTGAACGATTGGACCGATCGGACCGCCTGCAGACTAGCTTACGAACCTTAGCTTGGCCCCTCTTTTCTGCTTCTCCTCTTGTCTCTGTCTCTGCTCCACAGATAACCGCCAACATACGACTGACTGGCTCCGTCACTATTCCCTCGACTTCTGATAATCATACTATTTGATGATGCTATCAGTCGTATATTTGCTGATTCCAACTTCGCACCTGCTTAGCGATTGCGGATATCTTTGACAGGAGTTTTAGGGAGCCCAGCATCCCATCTACATACTTCGGAATCATTTCGACTTCTGCTTGTCTATCGCTAAACTCCGCGGACTTCTTAATATACAATCATATTCATCAGCATCTTGTCTGCTTTATACTAGTCCTATCGTCCTTCTTACCCGGCGGCGACTGAAGTCTTTTAATATCTGGCGAGCGTTGCACTTTACTATTCACTCGAACGAGCATCATGCAAAATGGTGAGTCTCTTCTGTCCACTAAGCGCATTTGCTGCGTCATCTACACCGCATTATCCCGCGATTCTCTCCATGAACTAGTATCATATGCTAGAAATATAATTTTGAAACTCATTATCTAAAGGGTTGCTGTCTTTCGCGTTCGAGCAATGACGAACAGCCCACAGCGACACAAGAGCGTCAGGAAGACGCTCTTTCTACCCACCAGTCTGAGCGTCATTCACGTCAACAAGACTCGAATAGTTCGACCCGTCGCCGCTCTCGCCCCCGACGTCAGGGCGTGGCGCTCCCGCTAGACCAACATTACAACCAACCGATCAAGCCGCACGTATGGCGCAGCAAACGTCGCCTCTGGACACGAACGCAAATCGATCGGGAGCGGGATGAGTTTTTCGATACGAGGGTTACTGGCCGCGCAGAGGTGTGGGCTGCCCTCCGCGCAGCCCTGTCGCTATTGCGCGAAAGCGAGATTGAGACGGCGCAGGGAATAATCGACGCCGCTGGGGTCACTGTGCCTACTGGCGATCTATGCGAGGGCGCATATGACGAGAATGGTGTGCTGTACCGCTTACCGCAATGTATTGTGAGCGACCCGGACAACATTGTGGATGACTCTGGTGGCGCCGCCGGCGAAACCGACGGAGGCGATGATGATATCGAAGATGGCATTTCAGATCGCAAAATTGTTTCGGAAGAGTCGGACGAGGAACTCATTTCCGACGATGTTGAGAGACGTCGTGAAGAAAAGGGCAAAATGAGCGAGCGCGATATGATCAGGGTTAAAGCAAGGTTGAGTGACCGTGGTGGTCCAGATGTGATCATGCCTATTGGAAAGACGCAAAATGTGGGTGTGCTTGCTCGCAAGATACATAGTGAGGCCAAGGTATGTTCGTCGTATTTATTCTGTTTCTCCGATCTAACATTGTTTCAAAGTTGGCCAATACTCAACGTATACGAATTGTATACCTTGGCCGGATGCTGAGAGAGAACGAGCCCTTGGTCGACCAAGGCTGGAAGCCAGGTCAGGTCATCAATGCAATGGTGGTCGCCAAACCATCTTAATATTAATGAGTCTGGATTCATTTTCAAAGTTCAAAACCGTGACCACGACCGGCCGTCAAACTACTTCATATTCATCATCTACTCTCTCTCTCTCTCTCTCTCTCTCTCTCTGTGCTGCATCTTTCTTATATTGGAGTTCTGACTGAATTTTTTGCACAATACCCCAACTGTTCTACATACTGATTGTTCCATTTGTTATTTGAGCTATCTCTATTTAATTCATGAGTTTGTACTAATTGTACTTGTTCATGCATCAACACCGGCGCATTATCTCTTGTCTGGTCGACGTCGGTAGCTGCTAGCTATACCGGCTTCCCTAATCTCCCCTAACCATGTGACAATATAATTTCCACTGATTTACTATCGTTGAATGCATATTTCGATTTTGTCGTAACTATAGCGTATGGACTACAAGTTCAAATCACACATTGTAAATGTTACTACGTACTACATAAATAGAAGGATCTTATCAGATGCACCGATAAGAAGGGCGGTGAAAAGCGGAGCGGAGCTATTATCGCATACAAAAAAAAATAATCTCCGCAGCAGAAAAAGTTGTCCAGTCGGACATCGATATTGCGGCACACAATCAGGACAATAGTTCGACACCTCGGATCTTTTCTTATATGGTCTAATTCTAGAGTCCATACTGCATAGAGACGATCGCCTTGTAGCACTGCCGTCATGGCTACCGCAGATATTCAAAAAACGCCGTTCGTGAGGGAATTGGCATCGAGTGGTGAGTTCTCAACTTTATGGCTGAATGTCAACCCAATGGCGGTATGAATAAAAACTAATTGATATCGGTATAGACCGTAAAACCCGTGACAAAGCCTTCGAATCATTGACCCTCTTCCTCAAAGCTCGCAAAGACCTAAGTCTCCTCGAACTGCTCAAAGTCTGGAGAGGATTATTCTTCTGTTCGTCCCTCCTTCCTCCTCTTCTCTTTTTTTCTATGCCTAACAACAGAAACAGGCTTCTACCATTCCGACCGCCCCCTAACCCAACAAGCCCTCGCGCGCGCCCTCTCATACTCCCTCGTCCCCAGCCTCCCGCGCGAAAGCCGGCTTCGCTTCCTGCGCGCGTTCTGGATTACTATTGGCACTGAATTCCACAATCTGGACAGATTGCGACTTGATAAATACTTGTTTCTGATTAGGTGCTATGTCGGCGTTGCGTTTGAGATTTATCTGAAGGGGAAAATTAATGATAAATCGGAGACAGGAAAGGAGGAGGAGGAGAAACAAGATGAAGGGAATAAAAAGAGAAAAAGAACCGGAGAAGATAAAACCAAGAACGGCAAGAGGAGAAAACAGTCCGGGGGCAATAACAACGAGGCAACGTCAGCGCAAGGCGGGAAATGGACAGAGTTGGAATCATATATTTCGCTACTAGAGGAGGGACCGCTGTGTCCCATCAACTTTGACCCAAAAGAGCAAAAACCCGGCAAAGATGAGATAGCCATGCCACATGGTCCTGATGGATTGCGGTACCATATTACTGATATCTGGCTTGACGAGTTGGAGAAAGTTGTCTCTTCATATGATTCTGACGACAAAAGCGAGGAAAACGTACCGGTAAAAGACCGTCTTGACGTCCCCATTGAACTACTGCTCAGACCATTTGAGAAATTGAAGAAAGAATCTCAGACGAAGTCAGTGCGGGTGAAGGTGGTTAGTGAGGTGTTGGATGATGAGCGGTTGGTTGAATGGGGGTTTAAGGAGAGAAAGAAGAAGAGGAGTGTTGGAAGTGGGGATGAAGAGGATGACGAGGAAGAGGAGGATGAGAATGCATCGTGGGATGGGTTTGATGATTAGGTGTTGGCTCTGGTTTGGTTTGCACGTACTTATTCATGGGATTTGCATTTGTAGAATAACAACTTTATTAGCCTACGTCTTCAACGATTTTCTACATGTAGCACTTGAGAGCAGTTGGAAGACAGTCCGACTGATAGGTTGAGTCAACAGAATGGGAACGATATCCATTCAGCATCAATGGTTCAGATGATCATGATATAGACACAAAATCAGAAGCAAATTTAGAAAAGCACACTCGGTGATACTATATAATAGAATGGAGGACGACGGTGAATCATTTAGAAGTAGAATAGATAAAAATAGATAAACGTAGTAGCGCCACCATGAATAGACCCGGGACATGACAGACAAATACAATATGAAACGAAAAAAGTGATTATATCCATGACTTTCAAGAAGGTGTGAGGTGGGGGAAAAGGGGCAAAGTAGGAGAATTAAGAATTCATGAATGAGAAATACGCTGCGTCCTGAGTTCGTAAAGGGGAAGAAGGCGAAGGAGAAGGGTATAAGAGTATAGGAGGATATAGACATTTTGAGGAATAATGTTGGAGGCCTTCAGCCTTAGGGATAACGATTCAAGTCCTGGGCTGTATCATTGTACCAATATAACACCAGTAGTTCGTCATATGCACAAGTACATATATTATCCAGATGCCCATCAAATGACTATTTTAACGAAATTCGATCGCCGGAGTGCATCCGCGATCCGGAATATGCTTCAATTCGAGTTTTTGATACCTAGAAGGGAGGTAGTTAGCAGCTGATATAATAGACGGCGTGGGCTACATACTTTTCGCTTTTCGCGTGAAAGTAAATTCCACTGACAGTTCCTTCTATCTGATTGAAACAGATGTAATAGAACCCTTCAAAACTGGCTCCGGAGATCTGCCGCACTCGATGATCGGGTACTAGGAAATACTCTTTCCAACGCATAAACAAATGTTCGCGCTGTGCATAGTTTCGGTATGTGAAATCAGCCTTTTTGGCCTGTTTGGCGAGCGGTCTCCACGCCTCGAATCGGGCCCAATGCTGCATATCGGTTTTTTCGTTGGCACCCCAGGTCTCGTTCTTGGTCACGAATGTGTGTTTTGTGCCGATGATTTCTCCTTCAAAAAAGGTGGTCAGGGTAGGGTGTTCCTCTGTGAGGCCTGTGTCATGTTAGCTATATTCCATTTAGACTAGAAGTGAACAATTGAAAACTTGCCTTGGATACGCAAATAACCACAAAGGTAAGACTCCGCCATGTCGACGTGTTTGATTTCGACGTGCACATTGTATACTTGGTGGTCGGACTCTTGTGTACCTTCGAATCTGCTTCCGGCGCGAAGAAACGAACAGGTATGGTTTGGGACGAGCTGTTTGAAATTAGCGAATCGATTCAATTGTTCGATTTTTACCATGACATACCCTGACATTAGAAAACTCGTGGCTGAGCGACGAGCTTGTGGATGAGGTTGAAGTGACTGATGACGTCTGCGACGTCGGGCTGCCTGATGAATCGTCCTTGCTATCCGCGGGAGAACTGGCAGGACTCGGAGAATCCATATCGGTATCATCTTCGCTTTCTCGTCCCTTCATAGACGATGAGTCTGGGGTTGTCGCGATTTGTAGTGACGTAGCATCGTCGCCAACCCGTTCCTCTATAGCTGTGGACTCGACGGTGGCCGACACGGTCCCTTCTTCGAGGGCACCGTCATCGCCATCATTGACAGAGCGCTCCTCGGTCGCGATGGAAAATGCAGATGCTCGTATTATCTCTGGCGGGCAGGTAGTGTGCACGATCTGGTCATCGACGAGGGCGCTCGCGGTTAACGGTGGAGTGACTTCGCTCGGCGTCGGCATTGTACCGGTTGAGATCAGAACAAAAATGACATCGGAGGAGGAGAGGAGATGATGATGTTACACAATCGTAGGAGACATAAGGCAATTAACACAAGAACAAAAGAGGTTTCTAAGACTAAAGGATGAGATCTTTTCGCAGGAGTCGAGAAGATGAAGTGAGGAGATATGAACGTGGTTGTCTTAGCCCAAACGGGAAAGGGCAGGCATGCTACGTCTTGTTCAGGCTGATCAGGCGATCGCGGGGAAGAAAGAAGCACAGGTCACTCCCACTAATATTCAGCTTTATGAGAAGATCATCTGTGCAATGATAGCATATACTATACTATATAGTATAGCCATAACTACCAATTCTCTTCTGTCTGCGGCAAATTGAGCGATCACGCTGACTCATCGAGTATACCGGCTTAAGGCCCAAGCACCCCGGATTTGGTACAGATTCAAGGTTCGATGCCATGATTGGTTCAATTTGCTTGATCAAGTCTAGACACGCCTTTCAACAGTGAACACTCGTTTTGCCACCAATTATATGCCAATGAACGCCGCTCGTTAGATTGATATTATCATTAATTCCAGGCCTTTCACACCGCGAAAGCAATCGAAGACTAGATGGGTTTGATCTGTGTGCGTGAATATGGATTAGCACCTATGGTATGGTAGCGCGCTCTGAAGAATATCAAGTACCTTGAAATGAAGAGAGATCAGCGAGAAGACAAGTGCTTTCAGATCTTGCACAAGGTAGTAAAACACGCGGAGTCCTTCCGGGTCGGCAGATTCGGTCACATCTACTAACGATCCAATTTTCGCCGTCTATGATTATATCAGCATTCCCCAGTCAATGAGGAGAAAACTTGGGCGAAATACCTCAAACGAGATGTGCTCGGTGCCTAGTCTGATTTCCAATTCCTGTCGTCCGTCCTTATTCTTCTGAGGCCATTTGGAGTCATCTTCCCTGGAGGCAAGTTAGCATGATGCGACGCCGATGAAATACCTGGCGACTTCGTACTTCATAATCTCGCTGTCCTTGATGATGCGCTTGATCTCAGCAATCAACAGCGAGCTAACACACACTGTAATCTCACTTAGTATTACCGACGGTTGTTGACAACAGGGACGGTGAGCTCACTTTCTTTGCGGATGAGCGAGTCATTTCGGTAATTCGAGTTGTTCGCGTATCGCGCAGAGGCACTTCGTCCATCGCCGAGTGTACGAAAGTCGAATTCTGCGCGGTGTCAGCTTTCTGTTATAAAGACACAGAGCGACGGTCTTACCTAGAAACTCATGTCCAAACCGCCCAGAGTGACCTGAGCTGCTGGCTGTTAGCAGCGGAGGAAATCTGGGCCATAGTTGCGCCTTACTAGTATCTGAGGTAGAATGGTTCGTTGGTGTCCGACATGGCTGTAGTTAAGAGGTAATGCTACAGTTGGTTGATGTTGATGTCTGATTCAATGTTGGATGTCGAATGATAATAAAATGGCCTCGGCGGGGGGCACAGCAGCGACATCATTGGCGGCCAGCTGGGCTTAGTCATCCACACACTCCGGCCAGGTTGCGCTGCCCGCTCCTCCAAACAAACCAAATGGACAAGTAGATCTAGACACCCGGTCCCTGAATTGTCTGTGTTTAACAAGTGTCAACGGCTGTGGAGGGAGCTTGGAACTTTCTATTTCTGTCTGACTGACTTCTATTTGATCGAGGAGCTTGTTGAGGTATAAGGTACAACCCMCCCCGCCGATTTGTCTGCCGCTGACCACCCTTTGTAGCTCCTGATTCAACGTTTCGTTATACGTTCCTTCACCACCACTCAGCAGCAACCATGGCGTCGTACCTGGAAAATGCATACAGCCTGGTCCACCAGGATAACTCGGCGGATCAGCCTAGTCTGCAGGAATTGAAAATGCAATTGGAAAAGGGGACCGACGAGACCAAGCAGGAGACGATGCGGAGAATCATAACAATCATGCTCAATGGCGACCCAATGGCCGGACTGCTCATGCATATTATTCGTTTCGTCATGCCATCGAAGAACAAGCCTCTAAAGAAACTCCTCTACTTCTACTACGAGATATGTCCGAAGCTTGATGCCAATGGCAAATTGAAGCAAGAGATGATTCTAGTCTGGTGAGTTAGGCTCCAACATACCGTACATATTCGAGTACGCGCTGATATCACTGATTAGCAACGGTATCCGAAATGACTTGCAACACCCTAACGAGTACATTCGAGGCAATACCCTCCGCTTTCTTTGCAAGCTCCGCGAGCCCGAGCTTATCGAACCCCTCCTCTCCTCCGCTCGCTCTTGCTTGGAACACCGTCATGCCTACGTCCGGAAGAACGCAGTGTGGGCGATCTCATCTATCTTCCAACACTCCGAGTCGTTGATTCCCGATGCCCCTGAACTCCTTCAAACCTTCCTCGAATCAGAAAGTGACCACACTTGCAAGCGCAATGCGTTCGCCGCTTTGATGTCCATCAGCCACCAGAAGGCCTTGGAGTATTTGAGTACAACTTTCGACAGTATTCCCAATGCCGATGAACTGCTTCAGTTGGCCGAGCTGGAGTTTATCAGGAAAGATGCTGTTCAGAATGCGCAAAATAAGGTTAGTCAGGAGACACGACGAGAATTTGTTTCGGTGCTAATATACACCAGGCACGGTATCTACGTTTGATTTTTGACCTCCTAGATGCCTCAGCAAGCACTGTCATATACGAAGCTGCCACTTCCCTTACCGCCCTTACCAGCAACCCTGTCGCTGTCAAGGCCGCAGCTTCGAAGCTAATCGAACTCAGCATCAAAGAGGCTGATAACAACGTCAAACTCATTGTTCTTGACAGAGTAGATCAGCTAAGAATCCGAAATGAGGGAGTGCTCGAGGATCTGACCATGGAAATCCTGCGCGTTCTGTCCAGCCCTGACATTGATGTTCGTCGCAAAGCCCTCGGCATCGCAATGGAGATGGTGTCCAGCAAGAATGTGGAGGAAATCGTCATGCTCTTGAAGAAGGAACTCGCCAAGACCGTGGATGAACAGTATGAAAAGGTATGTCTATTACTCTATCGACTGGATAGCAGCTGACCACATTATACAGTCGAGCGAATACCGACAACTCCTTATACAATCCATCCATCACTGCGCCATCAAATTCTCAGAGATCGCCGCCAGTGTTGTCGATTTGTTGATGGACTTTATTGGCGACTTCAATAACAACTCAGCCGTTGATGTCATCTCCTTTGTCAAGGAGGTTGTCGAGAAATTTCCCAAGCTTCGTGGCTCTATCATCGAGCGCCTGGTAGCCACTCTCAGCGAAGTACGAGCCGGCAAGGTCTACCGAGGAGTCCTATGGGTAATTGGAGAATACTCATTGGAAACAAGTGATATCCGTGAGGCCTGGAAACGTATCAGAGCCAGTCTAGGAGAGATTCCTATCTTAGCATCAGAACAACGCTTGTTGGACGAAGTGCCTGACGACAATGCTGCTGTCCTTGAGCAGGTCAATGGCCACAAGGCAGCAGCTCCTAGCGGATCTCGCAAAGTTCTGGCAGACGGCACATACGCCACTGAAAGCGCTTTGACAAGTCAATCAGCTGCAGCTGCTAAACTAGAGGCAGTCAAGGCTGCTCAGAAGCCCCCACTGCGACAGCTTATTCTTGATGGCGACTATTACCTCGCAACAGTTTTGTCATCTACTCTCACAAAGCTCGTCATGCGACACGCTGAGGTCTCTCAGGACGCCGCTCGAACCAACGCTCTCCGTGCCGAGGCTATGCTTATCATGATTTCAATAGTCCGAGTCGGTCAGTCTCAGTTTGTCAAGGCCCCTATTGATGAGGACTCGGTGGATCGGATTATGACTTGTGTGCGATCCCTATCTGAATTTTCCGAACGAAAAGAGCTTGAAACTACATTTTTGGAAGACACTAGGAAAGCATTCAAGACTATCGTGCAAGCCGAAGAGAAGAAGCGCGCTGCCAAGGAAGCGTCCGAGAAGGCCAAGACTGCCGTCCAGATTGACGATGCCATTCCCATCAGACAACTTACCAAGAAGAATGCCGGAGAAGGTACCGATGAAATTGAGCTGGATCTCATCAAGGCTACCGGTGGAGATGCTACCGTGGAGGACCTGTCATCGAAGCTTAGCCGTATAGTACAATTGACAGGCTTTTCGGATCCTGTATATGCCGAAGCGTATGTCCAAGTACATCAATTTGATATCATCTTGGACGTGCTTTTGGTCAACCAGACAACGGAAACTCTACAGAATCTTTCAGTGGAATTCGCAACATTGGGAGATTTGAAGGTCGTCGAGCGCCCAACGACACAGAATCTAGGTCCTCGGGATTTCTTGAATGTCCAAGCCACAGTCAAAGTGTCCTCAACTGATGCAGGCGTCATCTTCGGAAATGTTGTCTACGATGGGTCTAGCTCTACGGAGACACACGTTGTCATTCTCAACGATATTCATGCTGATATCATGGACTACATTCAACCTGCTTACTGCACCGAAACGCAATTCCGCACGATGTGGACGGAATTCGAGTGGGAGAACAAGGTCAACATAAATTCAAAAGCCAAGGATCTTCGCGAATTCTTGAAACAGCTTATGGAAAGTACTAACATGACCTGCTTGACGCCTGACGCATCCCTTCAAGGTGACTGCCAGTTCCTGAGCGCCAACTTATATGCCCGCAGCGTGTTCGGTAAGCCATTTCTTCCTTTAGTATCAACTCCGCGAACATCGACTAACTCAATCATAGGCGAGGATGCGTTGGCGAACTTAAGTATCGAGAAAGAAGGAGAGGACGGTCCTATCACCGGCTTCGTGCGGATAAGAAGTCGCTCGCAAGGTCTTGCATTAGCTTTGGGCAACCTCAAGGGCCTCAAAGCTTCTGCCGCATAGAATGTTAATAATGGAAGGTTTGCTTGGGTTTGTCCGCTAGCGGTTGTTGTACTGTCCTTATGTCTAAAATTCTAACGGGGGGCATTTTTCCTTGAAGGCATGTAGTATTCTTAATTACTTATAAAAGGATTGCATGTAATGGCCTGAAGGCTGAAATGAACGGACTATGTTATCTGCGCATAGTTAGCCCTGAGAGTCCTCCACGACATCGGAATACCACACGCACAAGTGAACAGCCTAGCAGAAACATCTTAGAAGAGCATATACAAGAAAACGCGTTGCCAGAGTAGGAAGTCATCCCTGTAGGCTTTGAGAAAGGGGCTTGGCAGCTCAGCCCGGATTGCCGGGCAAAAGTCAATTAATTCCGAGGGATTCGACTAAACTAGCTGCCTGAAGCATCTCTTCTACCAGTACTCTTTCCCATATACTTATACACTGCAGCCCTATACTTACCAACCTCCACTCGTTGTCTCTACTCCTAAAGTACTCTCCGGCAATGTTGCAGACTGTATAGATAAGAATGTCCGCAGACGAAGTMCCCGCCGACGCTTCCGCCGCGAAGATGGCGGCCAGCGATATGGGAGAGTTGAGCCCGGACCTATCTCTTGCAGTGGGAAATAATGTCACTCTGACTCTGCAGTCTGATGCGCTCTTCGTGAATGGTATGTACAAGAGTATCTATGCAGTGCTGCAACCGCATTGACCTGCCCCCACTGTCCGCTGATTCCGAGCAATCGCGTATTCTGACCAGTTTCTAGATCCCGCGACAAAAAAGGACGTTCGCTACTGTGGTCTACAAGTCGTCGGTATGCATACAGCTACAATCGGTCATTGTCCAGCTACTAACTCACTCAGCTACTACCGCGTCCCAATCAATCCCCTACTACGACATCCTCTCCGCACAAATCTCCGACTCCGCTCTCATCCTCAAATACGCAAAGCCCGTCGTGAAAGACGACTACGCCCCCAGCACACTTACATACGCGCTCGACAACGACCAAACATCACTCGCCATAGCAGAGGCATGGATTGAGCAACTCCTCAAATCCGCATACGGCCAAGCTCAGCGCAACAAGCGACTACGGGTCCTGATCAACCCGTATGGTGGTAAAGGATACGCCAAGGAATTATACAATGAATATGCAGCTCCCATGTTCGAGGCGGCGGGGTGTAAAGTTGATCTGGAGCTGACCAAATACGCTGGCCATGCGACAGATATTGCTGAGAAAATGGATATCGACGCCTACGATGCAGTCCTCTGCTGTTCCGGAGACGGTCTTCCCTATGAAGTGCTCAACGGATTCGCGAAACGAGCCAATGCCGCCGAAGCACTCGCCAAAGTCGCCGTTGCCATGGTGCCCTGCGGCTCCGGAAATGCGATGGCATGGAACCTTTGCGGGACTAACAGCGTCAGTCTTGCGGCGTTGAGTATCATCAAGGGTTTGCGCACGCCCCTGGACTTAGTCTCTTTGACCCAAACGGGTACTCGGACACTATCGTTTTTGTCGCAGTCTTACGGAATCGTCGCAGAGTCTGATTTGGGCACGGATCATTTACGATGGATGGGCGCCGCGCGCTTCACGTATGGCTTCCTCACGCGGCTTCTGCGTCAGGCGACGTATCCATGCGACATATCCTTCAAGCTGGAGACGGACAGCAAACAAGCAATGAAAGAGCGATATCTTGAATACAAAAACCAGAAACCGGCCCTACGACCCATCGGCGGCAGCCAAGAAGTCATCGGTCAGGGTCTACCGGCACTCAAGTACGGCACCGTCGACGACGAAGTGCCGAGTGACTGGCAGACGATTTCGACCGACACACTGAGCAACTTCTACGCCGGTAATATGGCCATTATGACTGCCGACGCGAACTTTTTCCCGGCCACCGTGCCCAACGACGGATTGATTGATGTCGTCATGATTGACGGCGCGATTGGTCGATTGCGAGCATTATCCATGATGACCGCCGTCGAGAATGGGGGGTTTTTTGACTACCCCGAAGTCGAAGTTCGCAAAGTCCACGCTTATCGTCTTACTCCCAGGGGTAGTAAAGACGGGTATATCAGTGTGGATGGTGAACGGATCCCCTGGCAGCCGTTTCAGGTAGAGGTTCATCCGGGTCTAGGTACGGTGTTGTCTAAGAGCGGGCATTTGTATGAAGCTCAGGGACCTGTATGAGTTTGGCTCTAGTTATTGGTTTGATTTGTCTTGATTCCCTTGGTCTCTCTTTTTTGTGCGTTTCGCTCAATGATATCCTCCTGTATAGCTTCATCCTTGTATAGTAGAGAGTACATAGGTATATGCATAGTCAGGTCTACTGAACTCAATCATAGCATTATTCAGATACAGCCTTAGACGTGCGTAGTATGTGCATCAAACTGGCTGTAGCGGCTGGGGGKATGTCGTACATTTCACATTTTTGAACTTGAATGAATACTAAATGATAAGAATATACAGATGTCATGTACTACCTAACTAGGCACAGGAGACCAACAGAAATGCGGTTATGCATTACATTAAGAGGTACTCGAAACGAGTCTCGCAAGATAAGAAAAAAAGGTGAAACATGTTTGTTCCGGGTATCGATGTCGTGTACTGAAGAAGATGGTGTATATAAGAAGACAGGTGTGAGAATGAGAACGAGAACGAGGAAAATGCTAGATTCTGAGCAGATCGAAAATTATAGATATGTGCTCGAGTTATGTCGGCTGCTCGCAGCACTGGAATTACTGGCCGTCGAACTTCCGGCATCGCTAACAGGCGTCTGCGGCTCAACGACGACTTGGTTCCTGATGGATACAATCCATTCGTGCTGCAGTAATTCCGCCGCGGTGGGCCGTTTCAGAGGATCGCGCTCGAAGCAGCGGCTCAAGAAGTCGATACCGATATCACTTAGTTGTTCGCGAGTCGGGAGTTGGGGTTGGTTGCCCTGTGCAATGTTGTACATGATTGCCCACTCGTTGTCAAGGCTTGACCATGGACGACGGCCCGTGGCCATTTCTAATATAACGCAGCCAAGAGACCAGATATCGATCGCGCCCTGGCGTTCAACCAACTCGGATGCATCGCCTCGAATCACTTCGGGAGACATGTACATGGGTGTACCAGTCATGGTTTTTTGGTTCTTGCGCTGTGGCTCTTTGGCGCCGCCCAATCCTTCCTTGTGCCCACCACCAACGCCGTTTGTAAAGGCCTCGGCGTTTGCAACCGTTTTGCCCTGGCGCGCAATGATCTTGGCAGCTCCAAAGTCGACATATTTGATCACGCCATTGTGATCCAAGAGGATGTTCTCGGGTTTGATGTCACGGTGGATGATGCCAGCTTGGTGCAAGTATGCCAAACCTTCTAGCAGCTGGAGAGCGTAGACCATGATGAAAGTCTCGTCTTCCACACGACCGTGTTCCAGCAAGCCTGCTAGTGAGCCTCCAGAGCAGTACTCCATGAAGATGTAGACCTTGTCGCGATGGACTTCGATGCCATAGTAGGAGACGATGTTGGGATGATCAAGAACTTCGAGAACACCCATTTCATCTCTGATCTGTTGAGCAATCACAGGAATAAGTTGAGGATCTTGAAGACGAATCTCCTTAACAGCCATGAGGTAGTTGCTATCAAGATTGATCGCAACGTATACAGAGCCGAATGTTCCGCCGCCAATAAACTGTCCTTGCTGCCAGCGAAGTGAGACATTTGTTGCAGACGAGGACAACACTGTAAGCGACCTATCAGCCTCATTGGAACCTTCCAATACCTTTCCAACAGCCTGTCGTTTGGCATTCTCTTCGACTCGCATGTCTTCAACCGTGGCAATGTGTGCAAGACGCTGCTCACGGACAAGTTTTGTTGCCTCCTCGTCGCTGAGAATTCTTCCMCCGCCGCCATATCGCCTCGAGCCTCCGCGTGTTTCGTCCAAGCGTTTGTTCTCAGCCTGGGCGGCCAATGTTGACCTGGCGCCCATGATATCAAAGTGAGAGATGAGCACCGACATGCAGCCAGCAACCTTGACTCTGAGCTGAGAATACTGAGCATCATCCATGGATAGGAGATGGTTACTCGAGGTGATTGCCATCGCAAACTCCAGAGCAGCCACCGCCCATTTAAACGTTCTTCTATCCGAAGCATCGCAATCATCGCAGATAAAAGACACCCACTCCAGGGACAGTTCTACCAAACGAGCACTGTTCATGGCCCGTCTGTTCGCATCCACATAGTTAGAAGAGCGCTTTCCGAATTCAGTCGCGAAAGCATAGCAAGCTTGGATTAGCTCAGTATTATCGATTGCCTTCTCTCTGAGCTGCTGTCGAATGACAGCAACACTATCCATGATGGTCATGGACAATTTGAATGAGATTTTTTTGATTTTATTCAACTCAGCATTGACTCTACCCAGATTAGCACGTTGCTCAATAGCGATATCGAGATTCATGTTCGTCAACTGAGCTAGTTCATGCCGTGCGCTGACAAGTCGTTGCTGCGTGCCGTCTGCAACGAGACGGAGCTTTCCTGGACGAACATCTGTCGGATGCTCCAATCCTTCAACTTCCATGACCTTGCCCATCCATGACAGCTGACGCTCGGGACGGATAACAAGGATGTACGGAAAATTTGATCCGTCCTTGGGATGATCCTCTTCGCGGAAAGAAGTACCAAGGATTGATTGGATGTCAACAGGCTGTTCCCACAGAGCGTGATGAGCAATCAAGTAGACCCCTTTCTGGCCTACAGAGTCGTTGGAGGTAATAAGGAAATGGTCAGAGATCAGAAGGGCCTCGAAAAACTCATCAGCAATGTCTCCACCCATATTGTATTCCGTAGCATTTTCAAATAACTGTCGGAGAAAGCGCGAGAAACGATAGAGCTTTCGCTGGCGGACGCGAGTCGAATCCAAACTGCTCTTGTAGCGCTTGTCCATATCCGCGGGATCTTCATCCGAGCGCGGTGACAATTCACGTTCGAAATGAATCATCAGTCTTTGCAAAGACTTGGCAGTCAAAGCACTGTTATATTGTTAGCTCTGTGTGTGTGGAACCGAAGGGTGATTATATACCTGAACTGTTCGGCCACCTCGATATCACCGCTCTGAAGCCGACGACCAATCTCATTCGAGAAACCCCACTCCTGCTCCAAAATTTCAGCCTCCTTGAAAGTGTTCTTGTTGGCATTCAATTTCCAGTTGAGAAGTCGGAAGTAGTATTTCATAGCGTCGACCACAACGTTGTCGAAATTCTCGTCGATACAGGGCGGCAGATCCCAGCCTGGTTCGACCTTGGATATAACAAGGTAACGTTGCTTGATTTCAACAGCAACCCTCATCAATATTTGGAATTGCGAAATCATTTGGTCCACAAGTATAGGCGACTGCTGTGCTGGATCTTTCATTTTCTTAGCGTATGTGAGACGGACCCGAATGATCTCTTGAATAAGTCGAGACGGAAAATTGATTAAAGTAAGCAGCTCCTCGATATATGGTGGAAGATGGCGTTTCGAGAAAGCTTCCGCATTCTCGATTAGCGTAACTTTGGCTTTGTTGATTACTTCTCCTATGCCGATAATCATATTATGCTCGCCCTGTAAAGTTTTTAATCCATCTTCCTTCATGATCCGGTCAAGAAATGATCCATCGTCAGACAAATCAGTTCTCGTTGATCTATCTCGTGGCTTCGTAAAGTCTAGCTCATCATTGCCAACCCAGTTTTGTAGAATGGCCAATTCGGTATTAATGAGCTGTGTGATATTGTGCCAGGCACAGACGGCAGCGCAGCTTTCATGAAACTGTTCAGAAGCAGCTCTAGGATTGGCGAGTTCCATTTCCTTTCTGGTAGGATAGAGATCTTGGCATTGGCTGATTTTGCGGACGACGTCCTCCACCTGCTCGGTAGCAGGTTTACCAATTTCTTTCTCACCTTTAATCTGAAAGTTGATAATGTCTTCAATGACAGTGCCCAGGGATGCGCGAGCATCTTCAATGAGCTTCTTTTGCAATGGAACACTTCGGCCGCATGCCTTGGCCCGGACACCCAGCCAGATATCACCGTTCATAGCAGCAGAGCGCCTTGTTTCCGTCGATCCAATCAATCGCTGTTTTTCCTGTTTGACCACATCACCCTTGAGCACAGAAGCCAACATAGCGTGCCATTCTAGACGTTCCTGGTTCTTGGGATTCTTCAACTCCTCGATTGTCGGCTGATTATCGTTTTCGGCGAGAAAGAGTTGAATGTCAGGATCGTATTGGTCGTCTTCAAATGGCATTTCGGAGGATGGAGAGGGCTCGTCAACGTCTGAATCTATGGTGGCCATTCCCTGAAAGTCTCCAAATTGCTGGTACCAAGCTTGCGGGTTGGCGCGTAACCGCTGTACATAGGCCTTTTCCTGAGCGCGATATTGAGCATTAGGGTCTCGCCGGGCATTCCTTTTTGTGGACGATGAACGACGTCCATCATTTTGTAGATTAATAAAGTGCGGCGGCCGTCTTTGAGGTGCATATGTACTCGAGGGCGTTCTTGCAGGTCCCGACGGACGTTGCAGTCTCAGGTCGCGTTCGGTCAAGGGGACTTCAGGTTCGAATGCAGGAGTGCCGACAAGGCTGCTTCCTCGGGGGCGTCCCGTCGACCGTGATGACCATGTTGACGCATATCCGGATGAGAGGGTGCTGACGAGAGACGGAGGTGAGGTAGCTAAGGGCGTGGGCTGGCCTTCGAGATCGCTCAAGTCGGGGGTTGACCGGACAATAAAGGCCGGCGGCGAACTGTACTCATCGCCAGAGCCAGACCCATCCGAATCGGGGGCGTTCATGATGATATCTGCAGTGTCCATGTTTGATGATGGGCCAGAGGACACAAAGCAGTATCTGTGAAGGTCTTCGAGGTAAGCCGTAGCTGCGGAGGCTGCAGTGCTAAGTCCCAAACGGGAATGGATGTTTTTGCTTTCCCAACGGCTGTGGCGGTGCCAAGAGTGGCTTGACTTTGATAATTCTTAGGCAACAACTTACTACTTATAGTAGAGCTAGAAAGAAAAGACGAAAGAAACAAAGTGCCCAGAATGGGTTTATTGTCTTTGGCAAAGCCGCTTCCTGCATTGTGATTTGAGCATCGCGTTGTCGTCTGTCAGCTGCCCGACAGCTCAATGAGGCACGCAGCGGGATCGACACGCGCTGTATTGCTTCTCACGCTACGGCGAGACCTCTATGTGGCAGAACGTCTGACGTCTGATCAGATTCGACGCAGCTCATACAGCGGGGTCGCCGTATTGATTATGATCTAGAAGATATTCAAATATAGGATCGAGGAGCTACAATATTAGATGTAACACTGTTACTTGCTCAGATAACTAGGTCCCCTACCCATCATAGCAGCGTCATACTCACTCAGTGCAGTGCAACGCGTATGAGTCTGCACTAGTTTCTACGTATTTTGATCTTTTTATCTAATGGTCCGCTTACCGCGAAAAGTGTATGCTGGAGGATAATCACGTGACTCGACGAGAAAAGTACAGTGCGTTCCGAGTCATGCCGAGTCTCGACCCTGGAACAACTTCCTTCCCAAGCCTGGTACGGAGTACTGCTGTCGTGTTAAGTGAACAGTGGAAATAAACATAAGAGAAGAAGCTGGCGGATTCAGCGGAGATGCGAGAGTCAGATGCCGCACCGGTCCAATCAGGCGTCGCGGGCTTATCTTTTGCTTGACAGGTTGACGGACTATTCTTTATAGCCAAGCGTTTTAGGGCATGGCACTGACAACGGCTTATCGAGTCGTTATCTGCGCTGGCATTGTCGCATGTAGGTAATGCAAATTCATCATTCTGCCTCGCGATTTCAAATTGGTAGATGGCTCCATTTGGGATTTTTGGATAGCTGCCGTACGGTAACCACGGTGTCACAAACTGGAGGCTGAGAATGACAATGTCATCCGAGCCACCCTAGCCTTGCTTGGAAGATATTTTGCTCCTTTGTACTACAATCGGTCTCAGCTTCGAGTGTTTTCGCCCATCTTAGTCCCCGAAGGACTGCTTTGTGTAGAGACGTTAATCGTAATGCATACGGAGTACTCCTCCGTAAAAGATCAGAGTCGCCAACTGATGTCATGCGTCAAGGCAGGAAGACAGACACACGTGGATTCCTCCATACATGATACCCCAGTCCGTGCAGAGACGCGCGCGATATCTCGATGGCCGAAGACTCAATGACCTCCATACGTACATCATGCAATTACTTCGTGCTAGATCCAAGCGATAGGCGATGCCACTGTAAAAGAGAACCGATTAATTTCTAATGAGAATAGAAATCTCGTCCGGTGATTGGTTCTAAAAGGCGTAGATAAGAACGATTAGGTTCACCAATCAGTGGGGGCCCTTAAGATTAGGCTGGGAGGACCGCTTAGGGTTGGCGCGTTTGGGAGCTCGTATCTTTAATGCAGGTACTATGTAGAACTCATGGTCTCCATACACATTCACGAACAAGCGAAACTAATCATGACTAGTCGCCGATGTATGGCCGATGTTTATTGCCTCTGAGTGCCTTTGAGTCTTCAATGTTTGTGCAGCAAACGCACTGCGATCAAATCGAGCGAGATCAACAGGAGAGACGGTGCTTAAGCTTAGAACGCCGGACATGCAATGAGCCCATTAAACCTGTACCGCGGTGATAGACTGCAATATTGAAACCGTACATATTCAAAATTGCCAATAGACTGATTCCGCGGAAGTGATGGCTCTCCAGGATTGGGCCAGCAATTGTCCGACTTCCAATAGATTGAACCGATCCACAGTAGTCGGAGACCCCCAGCGTAGTGGATATGCCCTAAAATGGCCCCATCCGACCCTAGATTCCCAGCTGAGCTTAGGCGCTGTAATTCCACGCTATCTTCGCTTTCGAGAAAAAAGAAACAGCGATGAATATTAGTCAATTGGATCTGTTATCTCTTGGCATGATAGTAGTGGAGTCCCCATTCATGACAGCTTCCGCCTTTCAACCCATCAGAGCAGAGAGTCATGGCGAGCAGTCTGGGTCGCTCCGCGATATTATCGCCTGCTAATGTTGCTCCATGAAGTCGTAGTTTTTTATATATCCCTGCATCGTTCCTTCCTATACTCCCTTGGTGTTTTCTTTTGCTCCTCCACTCTCCATCTCCATCTCGACCTCAACCCTCGACACACCTTCCTTCAACAGTCCACCTGCTGCGCGGGCGTTCTCACTCTTCCCATTAAGAACTCGACTAAATGAATTCGAGACATCATTCATTCGACTTGTCAATTGGAATCTGGACATTATTAATATAACGCCATGTCGGACAGCGGCGATTACGTTCCCCTGGTCCCCTACAATGGGACCACTGCCACCGGTGGTGATTCCTTGACCGAGGATCTCAACCTCTATTACAATGCCGGTGATATTGCATGGATGATTACCTCCACCGCTCTCGTCTTGCTCATGATTCCCGGAGTTGGGTAGGTCAACTATCGTCCTTTCTAACATGGACAGCGTCTAATACTTTGTCCTATTACAGATTCTTCTACTCCGGTCTGGCCCGTCGTAAATCAGCTCTCTCCCTCATCTGGCTGTCCATCATGTCCGTCGGGGTTATCTCCTTCCAATGGTTCTTCTGGGGCTACTCCCTCGCCTTCTCTCACTCTGCCGGCACGTACATCGGTGACTTGAGCAACTTCGGTTTCAAGGATGTCTTGGGTGCTCCCTCTGTCGGCAGCTCCAAGGTCCCTGATCTTCTATTCGCCGTCTACCAGGGAATGTTCGCTGCCATCACGTGAGTAGCACCTGCTTGATCCTTTGAAGAGAGGTATACTAATGAATCATAGTGTTGCTCTTGCTGTTGGCGCCGTTGCTGAGCGTGGCCGCATGCTTCCTTGCATCGTCTTCATGTTCGTTTGGTCGACCATCATCTACGACCCCATTGCCTGCTGGACCTGGAACCCATCCGGTTGGGTATTCAAGCTCGGAGGTCTCGACTTCGCCGGTGGTACTCCTGTGCACATTTCGTCCGGTGCCGCCGCTCTCGCCTACTCCTTGATGCTAGGCAAGCGTCGTGGTCACGGTACTCACGAACTCAACTACCGCCCTCACAACGTTACTCACGTCGTCATTGGTACCGTCTTTCTCTGGGTCGGATGGTTCGGATTCAACGCCGGTTCTGCCTTGAGTGCTAACCTCCGCGCCGTCATGGCTGCCGTCGTTACCAACTTGGCTGCTTCCGTTGGAGGTGTCACCTGGTGTCTCCTCGACTACAGACTCGAGAAGAAGTGGTCCACCGTCGGTTTCTGCTCCGGTGTCATTGCTGGTCTCGTTGCCATTACTCCTGCTTCTGGTTTCGTCCCAGCTTGGTCTGCTGTTGTCTTCGGTATCGTCGGTGCCGCTGCTTGCAACTACGGCACTAAGCTCAAGTATGTCATGAGCATTGACGACGCTCTTGATATTTATGCTGTTCACGGCATTGGCGGTCTCGTTGGAAACCTCCTTACTGGACTCTTTGCTGCGTATGTCTCCTTTTTTTTTTCACTTAAATAACCAGTTGGCTAATCTTTCACAGTGACTACATTGCTCATCTTGACGGTGCTACCGTCATTCCCGGAGGCTGGCTCAACCAGAACTACATCCAGCTTGCTTACCAGTTGGCCGACTCCGTCAGTGGTCTTGCCTACTCTTTCTTCGGCTCCTGCCTCATTCTCCTTGTCCTCAACTTCATTCCCGGTCTCAGCCTTCGATCCACCGAAGAGGATGAGATCATGGGCATTGACGATGCTGAGATTGGAGAGTTTGCTTATGACTACGTCGAGATCACTCGCGATGTGATCGGAGCCACTGACGGAAGCTCCATCCCCGTCAGCAAGGTCAACTCCATTGAACGAACAGTCGAAGAGTCTAAGGTTTAGTGCCTTGACTGTTTTTTGAGTCACAGCACTCGTCTGTCATTTTTGGAACGCTTATAATTATCCCTTCATTACTTTTTCAGTTCTCTTGTATTTATCATCGCATCAGGATGGTGTTACACATTTGTCGCCGCACTCTGATTTACTAGATTCGATACATTTTACTTAATTATTCAGGATAGATACCCAATCAACGATTACTATGTCACTTCTCCATTGTAGAATATTCGTAAGACTATATAATAGAGTCATAAATACAATGTCTGAATGAAGAACGTGATCAGGTCATTGGACAATTGTATCCTAGTCCGGAAGAGCTGCGAAGCTCAAGCTCCGGCCCCACCAAACCTCGACTTGGCTCCGACAACTTCATCCTGTCTACAATCACATTAAATACCACTTTATTGCGATATCAGAACCCAGTACACACTTATACGAAAGCAGATTGTTTTTTATACATACCGCTGAGCGAACATATACCGCCGACCGCAAACATGGCGGAAGAAGAGCAGCCGGCAACGACATCAGCAGGCGGTTTCCCTACAGACCCAGCAGATTTCGACAGCGATCCGCGCATCTCCTTCTCGAAGCTCGATAACAAATTCATCCTCGAGACGGAAGATGGCCAGGAATATGAATACGACTCTGCGCTGAAGCGATGGGTGCAAACCGTACGTCTAGTCGCATCCTCAGATGTACAGATCAATGATGCACTGACCGAAAGTTTGTCTAGATCGATGATGCTCTACTGGAACAACAGCGACAAGCATATAGAGTCGAAGGTGTGGACGAGACAGAAGAAGTAACGCCATCCGAGTTGCGAAAGAAGAAACGAAAACAGCCTGATGAGGTGAGACACCCTCTACATCTCTTGCAACAGACGAACTGACTGTTAGACAGGAGAACGGCCAAAAACAAAAACGACAGCGCGTCAATACTGCCGTATACATTACCTCCATCCCGCTCGACGCAACCCTCGACGAAATTCGCGACGTATTCTCTAAATGCGGCGTCATCGCCGAAGAAATCGACAGCGGCCGACCACGAATAAAAATGTACATGGACGAATCCGGAAACTTCAAGGGCGAAGCGCTGGTTGTCTACTTTCGACCGGAGTCTGTGAACCTGGCAATACAGATGTTGGATGAGTCGGATTTTAGGATAGGGCAACCTGGGCCGTTGGGGCCGATGAAGGTGCAGGCGGCGGATTTTTCGTATAAGAGTCAGCAGAATGCGCCTACGAATACGAATATGAGGGACAAGAAGAAGATTATGAAGAGGACGCAGAAGCTGAATAGGTCAGTACTCAAAGGAGTTGTTTTGGTTTGGTGTCTAACGTTTGCTCATAGTAAGCTTGCCGATTGGGACGATGACGAGCCTTCTGCGCTTCCGGATACCAGTTCGCGTTTTGATAAGGTGGTGGTCTTGAAGCATATGTTTACGCTAGAGGAGATTGAGGTACGAGTCTATTTAGTAGTACAAGTGAGCACAACTAACTGCTTATAGGAGGATCCCGCGGCCATTCTCGACATCAAACAAGATATTCGCGACGAATGCTCCAAACTTGGCGACGTTACAAACGTGGTTCTCTACGACAAAGAGCCTGCAGGCGTTGTGACGGTGCGTTTTAGTGATCCGGATGCTGCCAAGCAATGTGTACAGGTAAGAAGTCAGATCTCCTCTGATAGCTATACCTCTGCTAATGATAAGCCAGACAATGGGAGGTAGATTCTTCGGCGGCACGCAAGTCGTCGCGTATATAGCGGACGGCTCAGAGAAATTCAAAAAGACCAACGAAAAGCGAGCAGCGCTGGAAGACTTGGCTGAAGGGCGTGATCCAGACGAAGAAGCCGATCGACTCGAAGGGTTTGGTTCGTGGCTAGAGAATCAGCATGAGAGCGAGCGAGTGGTGGAAAGTTTTGCTCATTGATCTCTGTCTGTAGTCAAATACTCGATATCAGATAGACTGTATTGTATGTTGAATGTACGTTCTATGATACACCATGATGATTCTCCCAGGGACGACTAGAGTCTTGGCCAGAGCTGGTGGGGTACGGCCTGATCAACAATTCTTAGTCTACTCTAACTAGTACAAGTCTGTTAGTAGTCGACGAGCTTGCACTAACATGGCATGGTTGATTGGCTAGCGCGGTCAATGTTTTTCTGCACGTAGTCAGTCCAAAGCACTCGACACAGAGGACACGCGATGTTTTTGAATTGAAAATAGCTGTAGAATATCCAGATGTAGATGATGTTCGTTCAGACAGGTAGATTCAAAATTCAAGGTTGGCTGGTCGTAGTAAATACTCAACGCGGTATGTTTATTTGTTGTCCAGCGCTAACCGCATCGAGTCTGGGCCGCCCCTGAGTGGCTCCTGCGTTCGTGCACGTCTCTCACTCGCTCGCCCTGACCGCTCAAGACTTCTTTCCTCTTAGACTCGCTCACCTCGACCTCTCCTGTTCTTCTCTTCTTCTGTCCATACCATCTTGTGAATACTACCTCCATCCTCTGTTCATATCCCATCTTCTAATTCCCATCCACATCTTTCAAAATGCGTGAGATTGTAAGTCATTCTTTCTTCTGCCCGACGCGTCTCGGGTATTCGTGTTTTGCACAACCCCCTGATCACCCCACTTTGTGTCTGCTCTGATATGTGTGTTTTGAAATGCTACATCGTGCTAATCAACGCTTGTTCTCGATATAGGTTCACCTCCAGACCGGTCAGTGCGTAAGTATTATCGATACCATCCTCGTGGAATGCTCGTCGGGTCAATATGGAAATAAATATTAAGATTGCGTTGTGATAGGGTAACCAAATTGGTGCTGCTTTCTGGTGAGTTTGACTCGTCCCAAGCTACTATCAATTGTCGCGACAGCACGCTGACTTATCCAGGCAAATCATCTCTGCTGAGCACGGTCTCGATGGCTCTGGTGTGTAAGTATTTCACAGTTCGAATACACCTACAGTCCGACAACATCTGATCATCGACAGCTACAATGGCTCCTCCGACCTCCAGTTGGAGCGTATGAACGTCTACTTCAACGAGGTGCGTTAGAAAGTCTCTCGACTCCTATAGAACAGACACTCATTCATCTAGGCCTCCGGCAACAAATACGTCCCCCGTGCCGTCCTCGTCGATTTGGAGCCCGGTACCATGGACGCCGTCCGCGCTGGTCCCTTTGGTCAGCTCTTCCGTCCCGACAACTTTGTTTTCGGTCAGTCCGGTGCTGGTAACAACTGGGCCAAGGGTCACTACACTGAGGGTGCCGAGCTCGTCGACCAAGTCATCGATGTCGTCCGTCGTGAGGCTGAGGCTTGTGACTGCCTCCAGGGTTTCCAGATCACTCACTCCCTCGGTGGTGGTACTGGTGCAGGTATGGGTACACTCCTTATCTCCAAGATCCGCGAGGAGTTCCCCGACCGTATGATGGCCACCTTCTCCGTCGTCCCCTCTCCCAAGGTGTCCGACACCGTTGTTGAGCCTTACAACGCTACCCTTTCCGTTCACCAGCTCGTTGAGCACTCCGACGAGACCTTCTGTATCGACAACGAGGTATGTCTAAATCCAATCCCTCCGACGTGTTCGAACTAACGAAATAGGCTCTCTACGACATCTGCACCCGTACTCTCAAGCTTTCCTCCCCCTCCTACGGTGACTTGAACCACCTCGTTTCCACCGTCATGTCCGGTGTCACCACCTCCTTGCGTTTCCCCGGTCAGCTCAACTCTGATCTCCGCAAGTTGGCCGTCAACATGGTTCCCTTCCCTCGTCTCCACTTCTTCATGGTCGGCTTTGCTCCTTTGACCAGCCGTGGATCTTACTCCTTCCGTGCCGTCACTGTTCCTGAGTTGACTCAGCAGATGTACGACCCTAAGAACATGATGGCTGCTTCTGACTTCCGTAACGGTCGTTACCTCACCTGCTCTGCTCTCTTGTATGTTCTTCTTCTCGACTAGGTGGATAGACTAGGTGGATATGTACTGACTTCTTACAGCCGTGGTAAGGTTTCCATGAAGGAGGTCGAGGACCAGATGCGCAACGTCCAGAACAAGAACAGCAGCTACTTCGTTGAGTGGATCCCCAACAACGTCCAGACCGCCCTCTGCTCTGTTCCTCCCCGTGGTCTCAAGATGGCTGCCACTTTCGTTGGTAACTCCACTGCTATCCAGGAGCTCTTCAAGCGTGTAGGTGACCAGTTCACTGCCATGTTCCGTCGTAAGGCTTTCTTGCATTGGTACACTGGCGAGGGTATGGACGAGATGGAGTTCACCGAAGCCGAGAGCAACATGAACGACTTGGTCTCCGAGTACCAGCAGTACCAGGATGCCTCCGTCTCCGAGGGTGAAGAGGACTAGTAAGTTCTTCGTGTCATTAGCTGTATGAATGATGCTAACTATTGCAGTGCCGAGGAGGAGCCCCTTGAGGCTGAGGAGTAAATTCAGTTTGCTAGAATATCAGCTTAATACCCTCTTCTTTTTTTTCTTTCACATGATTCTTAGCAAAATGCAGACAAATACTTAAAAGATTCAATATGTCGATACATTCATCCGCGGACCTAGTTTGTGTGATGTCTACTGTTGTCAGACAGAGTAATTAATTACCACTTCATGAGCATTCGCCTGCTTGCTTGATTTTCTATCTAGCTGTCAATTCTTGAGGAAACACGTAGAATGGTGGGTAAAGATCATGACTTCGTATAGTTCATATTTGTCTATCTAATAAAAGCAGAAGTGGCAAAGCTAACAATAAATATCAGGTAGTACAAGGGAATGCAATCATGAAAGAATCGCTGAACCAGCCTCCCACCTTGAGCACCTGTGTATGCATGTCGTCAAGTCATGGAACATGAAAAAAAGGTCATCCGGTCAAAGGAGAAGAGCTACATGAAAGGACACTGCCCCGTCCTTTGTTTCTCCATTATATTCATCTCCCGCTCCAAATACTCCTTGCCCTTACCCTCGAACGACCTTGGGCCCATGTCACCCAAGTCATACCCCTGAGGATAGTACTTATCACCCTGATCACCCGGCAAAGGGAAGCCCAGGACACGCGCCACAACAGCAGATGGACTCAACCATCTATTCCACAGCGTGGGCTTGACATAGAAGGGTTCAGCAGTCCAGGTGGTGACGTGATACGCTCCCGTTTGGGTATCCGGCTTCTCGGTAAAGGCGACATGGCGCATGAACTCGGGTCGAGGAAGACATAGGTTCTGGAGGAAGAGTTTGCGTGCCTCAAAGGCGAGCCAGAATACATTCTCTACGATCCGGGGCGCGCGCGGGTAGAGCATTGCGGTGCGGAGACGGTCGTCCATCATGGAGGAGACGAACCAGTTCCCTATAAACTTGAGTGGGCGCGGAAGGGCGTAGGTGAGTATGGCCGTTGTCTGATCCGCGGTATCCCTGTTCGTCTGAGCGGGGACCATGGCTTTCTTTTCATATTCCTGTGCCCAGGCCGTGATTTCATCGAACCAGTGGATTCCATCCGTGTATCCATTGGAACCTTCTCCAGCTTCCGCAGCTGCTTTTGCAGAAGGCAGGAAAGCAGCATAGTCAATACCCAACGCATCACCGACAGATTTCCAAAACACGCCCATGGCACAACGCTCCAGGTCCGTGGCGGCACGCCATTCGTATAGATTCACGAAACGGATGGGCTCCGTTGCGAAGAGAGAAAGAGTGTAGAGCATGTCTTCCTCGCGGACAGAGCCTGATTTGCGATACCCGCTATGCAAGTACTTTGTGCGCGCGAGTCCTATTCGAGAGCGCACTGTGGCGGGGCCATGGACTATGAACTCGCCGATTAGGACGCAGGTGTCTACGTAGCGTTTGCCGGAGTAGAGATTGTTTGAGAATTGTTTTGTTTTCATCAATGTGTTTGAGATTGTGGGGATTCCATACGTCTGTTAACAGTTAGTATCAACGAAAGATGAAATTGAGGGGGGATGGAGGGAGGGAGCATACGCGGAAAAGCGCGAATTGAAGACTCTTCTCAACGGTGAATGGGAACTCGTACTGAGCCATTGCTCGCTGAATCTCCCAGGCTTCGTGGTCCGTCATTTGAGCCATTGAGGCGCGAGTACGGTAGTTGTAATGGGCCTCAAGCTGCCTGATTCGACGATGGCGAAGCGAGCGCACAAGAAGCACGTACGCCCCCAGAGTCAAGGAGATATATAGAGCCATCTCTGACGTAGAGAGTTGCTGGACTGAGGAGATGGTCTCTTGAAGATAGCTTGGGGTGCTTTCCATTATCTTCATGCGGATTGCGCTGAGACTGAATTGCTCCATGGTGAATCCAAATCTGGGGATTGATTTGAATGCTTGAGAGGAGCTAGAAAGAAGAGGAAGGAGGATGTTTGAGGAAGGAAGTGACGAGGGGAAGAGAAAGGTATGATTAAAGTTTTCGTGAGTGGTGGCCATGTTTATCTCGTGTCTATGGTTCAATGTTGTATGCTTGCATCTTTCAGGTGACAACGACCCAGGGAATGAGTACTCTATCCAACGGCAGAGTAGACAGACAAAGAGTTGATCAACCTTGATGAAAGTCTAGATCTGGGTCAGCAACAGAACAATCAAAATGTCATCAGGTCCACCAAAGAAGGAAATCCAGGCAGTTAAATACCCGGGTATCAAAAATCAAAAAGGTCCATAAGGCTCACACGGAAGATTTCGCGCCATTCAAGGCCCCTCCGGGCATATTTCCATTCCAGCAAACCCACTCAACTGGCTAGCTATAACGCCCTAAAATATACCATCTAGATTTAATGGGACGCTAGGGCATGTGTTCGACCGCTGCACTGTCGACTTTAGTTTGGGAACCGTCATGCATGAAGTGCAATCTAGATACGTAGGAACTGAATCTAGAAAGGAGTCTGTCCACGGTCCAACGACAGCAGGCTAAATAGGTAAGTAGGTTGGTTGGCTGGTTGGTTTTTTATTATTACAATTTTGGACCCAATGTTCATTGGACGGAGATTTTAAATTCCACACTTATTGACACGAAAAGCGCCTAATCGGGTAGCTAATATCTGTCAGTCTCGCTCGCACTTCGGCGAGCCGAATCCGCTCCACCTTTTTACCTCGATCAGTGATTTGATTCTGTGCATTCAGGTCCTCCTTGTTTCTCGCTTGATGTGTCGATACAGTGCACAATGTATCTATGATGTAAAACCCTGGCCCAGGTATGGTGGGTGATACCTTCTCACCTTCCCTGTCTTTCGTCTCACATTCCGTATCGTTCACCATACATCTACCACTTACAGCTCAGACTCAGCCTATATGAGAATGTGACGAAACGAACACACCCACCCTCGGCGTACGGCATCCTATCCCCTTCTTTCATGCGCTGATTCTAGTCTTTTCTAGGGTATAACAATCGACATGGTTCATGGAGCCAACCAGAAAACACATCTCGGGATTTCCAACGTATTCACCAGCCTGGAGAAGCAGATACCGAAACAACCGAAACCAACACTTTGTACTTACTACCATGACTCAAAATTGCATCACTCAATAAAACCCTGCTTATATAGTGCTATAACTCGCTTTGCTAGCCAGCTGACTCATGAACAGGGCTGGCCTTTATCTCATTTCCCTTTGTTCGTTTCTCCCGTGTTTCAGGAAATCGTGATCATCGCTGAGGTTGAATTCCCTAGCGCTTGAACGTGGCTTTGATATATCTGAGTAGAAAGTTCTGAGGTTATTGTCTTCCTTCCTCGATCTATCATCGCTGACTCGTAGTCCAAAAGTTCAACAAAATAAGTACTTCCTTTTTTGGGAATTATGTCTCGAATGGGAAATCTTCCGTTTTTAGTGCGAAAAGCCGGCGGCAACACCAGCGCTTGCCAGTGAGGACTGAGTCCTCGGGCAGTATATAAGTGCATAAGTGCGTATACTACACTGCATATTAAGCTGTATAAACTACCCTGACTCGGTAAGAACCGCCTTAAATTATGTATAATATAGATCTTAAAGCACCGAGGCGGCGCAGCTCGAATACCCTTGCTGACACATACCAGGCTGACATTTCAAGGATATGACAACTTCCCCACCATACCACCATATATGTAGGCAGATTCGAGCTGTGCCGCATTTTGTATCTGCTCTCCGTCACTGCATAATGGGATGCGAGGCCATGCGATGCGATGCATCTGCCAGACTGCGGGGTGGATGTTTTCCTGTCGGGTCTATACGGTATGATTGGCTAAGCAGTAATAGCCATAACAGGAGAAAGTTGCTCAGAGCCAGACCCTTTATTCTCCGTAGTGCTTTGTCTCTATTTCATACAGTGTGGTAATGTCTTTGTCCAACTGCACGATGATGTACAATGTACTGTACCAAGCGAGATGGACCTTTGTTAGGGTTTAATCAAGGATCCAGTACCAGGAACCACAGATTCCCTTGAAACTCTAAGGTTGTACAAGGTCCCAATTCGTGCACCGCTCTGCGTAACCTCCCATGTCGGTACGGAGCTATGAAAGGAAATACGGTAATTGCATAGATCCTTGATGATAGGACACGGTATCATACACCGTACATCGAACATCGTAGACAACGCGGCGCTGGCAGTCAGGTGGATGTTTTTCCTGAATCTATTCCCAGCTAGGCAGTAAGTGCAATTTGAGAGCGCAGTAGACACTAAATAGTAGGCAACCGGCGACAGGCAACAGTGTGTCAAAACGACGAATCGCATTCTCATCACATTTCCCTCCAACGGCCCAACCTATGTTTGCCTTCTCTCAGCGAGTCTTATCCATCTATTCTCGCCTCGAAGCGCTGCTGTGCCGCACTTATATAGTTCGAAAAATTACTTCTCGACCTCTGACTCTCACTGCGCGAAGAGCCAACCAGCTCGTAGCCGAGACTAATTAAGTATGTACCTAGAACCGGGCTTGCTCGCTTACGGGCCAATGAGCAGACATATTGACTACATCCACCCGTGACGAAGATGTCACTAGCTACATACACAACTCTACGCATGTATTGTGAAAATCTACGACTGCTTGGCTTCTTGTGAGTTCTGTCACCCTGGCGCCACTCTGATGAATTTGTGTGTTGGCCGTGGAGAAGGAGGGAATGTGAAAATCACATGTTCATCTCCGAGATCTCGACTAAGACTGGTCAAAAGAAGAAAATACTATATGTAGCCCTACCTACTACGTACCCCGTAGACCTACTTCACCTACCTAGGCACTAAACCTAGGGTACTCGGAACTGTTCAATCCAACATGCCGGTCAACCCGTTGTGTCTGATGAAGTCGCTTGAGATTTACGCTTTGTAGACCCGTGCAAGCTTTTGTAAGACCCCCATCAAGTATGCTTACACCGCTTCTGGGACGCATCGGCTCGACTCATCCATTGCACTTTGGACTAGGTCATGTTCTACAATGTACGCAGAGAGGGGTCCAGGGGGTTCAAGGTCAAGTAGTGGTCTACTATGAACATTGAGCGAAAGTAGGCAGTAGAAAGCGAATCAGAAGGTGGATGATGATGATGCATCATGCAATTGCCACTTATGGCCAGTACTCCGCCGCTTACTGCAGGAAACTGGACCTAATGCGAAGGTTGGGAATTTCAAATTCTTGCGATGATCATTGAACTTTCGCTCTGTTCTTCGGCTGTCTCTTGTCGAGTATTCCAAATGCTGCTTCATTGTTCTACGTGTGGCTATTACGAAAGAAAGAAAGAAAGAAAGAAAGAAAAAAAAAAAGTGTGCTGATCATTGTCGATTGGCAACTAAAAACTCCTATCTAACGAATGCATATCTCTATCCCAGAGCTATCGAGCAAGTAATAAAATCAATAAAAATAAAACATGTACAAGCGAATGTAAGAATAAGAATATCAATGCCACGCACTTTACGGCAAGTAAACCGAGCAACAAGCAATCAACAACTCCGTATGCTATGTTTGACGCCCGTCTGGCAGAAACCGAGTACCATACCCGACGAGACCTCGACAGGATAATGAACCAGTATGCTTTTGAAATCACCAAAACACCACGCCACCCAGTCTATTAAAGTAATTAAGCCTTTGGGCATTCACTAACTCCTGACAAGAAAAAAAAAAGCAAAGAGAGATCCGGAAATATCAGAAAGAGATAGTAGGCCATACATTCGGCTGACGTGTTCACTCGAACACCCGAGACAAAGACCAAGTCTATTGCGGCGGCGCTTGTGAGTGGGAGGTGGATCGTCGACTATTGAAGGTAGTCATCGTGTTTGACCGTGACCGTCTTGAAGTAGAGCGTCGTCCACGACTCGGCACGCGATCCGGTGGACCATGTTCGAATACTGGGATGAGATCAGGATTCTGACTGGGTGGGGTCGAAGACGATAGTAGATTGTAGTCGTTCACAATAATGGGGTCATCCTCGGCAGTTTGTGGGTGAATGTCAATCCCTTGTTGTTTGTCCAACCCCGAGTGTGGACTGGTGCTTGACAAATGCCACGATTCTCGATCGCCTGCATTACGCTCCACAGGCGACCAGCCAGCAATGCTTCCTGCGATAACACCAGCCATCGCAGCAGCTGGTCCAAATGCAGAGTTTGACCGGGATCGCGGGGTGCGATTCCGAGAACGCGACTCTGGTGTTGCCGGAGGAGGAGAAGCAGTTTCGGTGGGCTCGCCGTTGTTTGATCCAGCAAAGATCGATCCCTCACGAGAACGGGATCCGCTACGCGATCGAGGGAGGAGAGTTTCAGGGTGCTGTAGTTTGTGCTTGATGTTCTTCAAACGTCCACCGCGGACCTTCTTCAAGAATGTGAGCTGGTCGCGAATCTCCTCTAGAGCGGGATTCCACTCATATCGCCGCTCTTCATCCGACACTAACACTTGAGGGCTCTGGCTCTTCTTGCGCTTCCAGAATGATGGTATGAGTCGTCGGACGAATTCATCGGGTATCAGTCGGATGATGATGGCCACTGGAAGAGAAATTGCGCCAAGGATCAGGGAAACTGCCCACTCAGGACCGTTCAGACGCGTAATAGCAAACGCTTGTCCTCCGACAAAAATAATCAGGACTTGTCCGCCGATAATGATCAGTTGAATTCCCAAAAACCAATAGTTGCGGAACATTCCTTCAAAGATGTTGAAGCGGTTATCCAGGCGGCGAGAATTGTACTGGTTGAAGATCTGCATCCAGACAAAGGTGTTGAAAACAACAGTCTTGAGTTCTTTCGTGGCATTTCCGGGATCGTTCGGATTGGTGAACACACTCATGCTCGATAAGATGCTTAGTCCAGCAAAATTCAAAATCAGAGTGATAACCAGTTGATAAATAGCCTGCCCAATCACCATCTTCCACATGGTGGTGGTGATGAGAGGAGCAGATTTCGGTTCAGGGCGGCGCTCAAGAACAGATGCAGCTGGTGGATCAGTAGCTAGAAATATGTTAGAATCGTAATCTTCTCGTAGTAGGATATTATAACTAACCTAACGCAAGAGCTGCGAATGTATCCATGATCAAATTGACCCAAAGCAACTGAACCGCGGTCAAAACAGAGTTCTCATCACCACTAGCAACCGCTGACACAAAAGTAAGAATGACGGCAGTGATGTTAACGGTGATCTGGAACTGTAAGAACTTCTTTACAGCGTCATTAACGGTACGACCCCACGACATAGCTTTCACAATGGAGGTGAAGTTATCATCCATTAAGATGATATCCGATGCCTCCTTTGCGACCTCAGTGCCGGCAATACCCATTGCAAACCCAACGTCGGCCGTCTTCAAAGCTGCAGCATCGTTGCTACCATCGCCTGTCACGGCAACCGTCTCGCCGAGTCGGATAAGTGCGGACACAAGAGTCTTCTTGTCTTCCGGACTAGATCGCGCCAAAACTTGCAGACGAGGGATAATCTGGTTCATTTGCTTTGTACTCAGCTTCCTGAACTTGGGACCTTCCATAGCGACTCCGCCGGCCGTGTAAATTCCACATTCCTGAGCAATAGCTTTGGCAGTGTTGATGTTGTCACCAGTGACCATTCGGACAAAGACCCCTGCGCGCTGACATTGCTGGACAGCCTCGGTAACACCGGGACGTAAGGGATCCTGAATTCCCACCACGCCGACTAGTGTCATATCCATAAAAATAGAGTCAAAAACAGCCAAATTTTTATCATCCTCTTGTGTAGGAGCTCCACGAGGAGGCCACTGTTCGAAGTCGCGGTAGAGCAAGCTGATGGCTCTCAAGGATCGCGATGCATATGTGTTGGCAATATTGAGAAGACCGGTACGAGCATCATCGCTGAGTGGGATGCTGCTCAATCCATTTTCAATCTTGTTGATAACACGGGTCGACTTTCCAAGAAGAATTTCTGAAGCACCTTTGACAAACATACGGTACTGGCCTTCCTTGCGCTTGATGACAACAGCCATACACTTGCGACCTGAGTCAAAAGGAACCATTTGAACCATGTTAGCATTAGATCGTTCTTCGTTCAAACTGCCAAGGCCAAGATAGTCTCTTGCAAATGTGAGCAAAGCCGTCTCAGTTTTAGAGCCGACATATGTCAATCGTCCGTCGTCTTCTTGTGATTCAAAAGCCGTTGAGTTGAGAGTAATAGAGTCCAGTAGGAGCTCTTTAGCATCTGCAGACAAACCAGATACAAGTGTGGAAGGGGAAACTTCTCCCGCGTCAGAATTTCCGTTCTCGTCGGATTGGGATGATTCGTTATTCTGACTGTCGGAAAACCGGTTTGAGGTGCCCAAACACCCAGCAACCACCTTCATCACATTCTGAGTCAAGGTGCCGGTCTTGTCGGAGCAGATGGTGGTGGCGTTACCCATTGTTTCACATGCGCGCAGTAGTCTGACCAAGTTGTTATCCTTGAGCATTCTCGTTGTTGCAAAAGCAAGGGCCAAAGTAACAGCAAGTGGCAATCCTTCAGGAACGGCAACCACAATGACTGTAACAGCGACGATGAAGATTTGCAAGAAAGCCTGACCCTTCTCATTGGCGCTGTCTATAGAGCCCAACTGGGCGAGAAATTTGATAAAAAGGACGACGAAGAGCAAGAGACCAGCTGCAAGACCAAGTTTGGCGATGTATTCGGCAAGCACGTTGAGTTTGGATTGCAAAGGCGTGGTTTGGCCCTCGTCCTGAAGAGACATCAAGGTCTTTCCATATACTGAATGTACGCCGACAGCGGTGACCATAAACTTGCCAACACCCTCTGACACCTTTGCTCCGGAAAGAATGAATGGATCCAACTTGTTCAACGATTCGTGGTTGTCGATGGCACGCATTACGTCGTCCGCGGAGTGTTTTCGCAAAACATCTGATTCGCCAGTGGTAGATGACTCGTCGCATTTCACGTTGTGTCCTTCGATGAGAACCCCATCGACCGGTACAAGATCACCAGGTTCGAGCAGAATTACGTCGCCAACCAGAACATCATGAACGGAGATCTCGACCGTTTTGCCGGAGCGGATAGCTTTGACCTGGCGGTCCTCCTTCTTTTTGTTGAGTTTGACGAATTGTAGTTCCTTTTGATAGTCGTTCACAGCTCCAACCCCAACGACAATTAAAATAGCGACAATAATCGCAACACCTTCAACCCATTGTACTCGAGCTTCGCCATCTGTAGCTGTGACAGATTGATAGATTCCTAGCGCCAACGAGATGACTGCAGCAATGGAAAGCAGGATGAGGACTTTGTCATTGTAAGCAATCCAAGCAAGTTCCCAAATTGTCTTGACCTTCTTTTCAGGAAGCTCATTTGCTCCGAAAATGCGTTTACGATCAGCAAATGCCTCTTTAGACTGCGAATGTCGGCTTGCTTGTGTTCGATGGGTGTCTGTTCGGCTGACTGCTTTAGGTTGATTCGCTTTTGTAGCATGCACGGCATCCTCAAAGGATACGGTACCATCGAGATAAGCTTCGTCAACGCTCAAGCCAGAGTTTCGGTCGGATCTTAAACCTTTTTCCAAACCTTTCATTCCACCCACGGCGTGGAGTGCACCCAAGCTTTTAGGGTTGAAAAACTTTTTCAAATGTCCTGGTGCAAATGCGAACTTGTTATCTTCGACTTCAAAGTCCTCCTCAGTCCCAGGATCTGGCCGCAAAGCTTCCTCATCATTTAAAACGGTGAGTCCGCGACTGAGGTCCTGCGATATGCGTTCGGTGTGCGACGGACTGGATTGCACATAGGTCTCACCGCCGAATGAATAGTCTGTGTTGGTGCCGCTCTCGGATTCTATGGAGTTCCCACGGGATCTAGTCCCTGGTACAGCGAGAAAATTTGAGTGACCTTCGCCATTAAACTTTGATGTAGGGGAAGAGAAATTATGTGGAGAGGTTGGCCTGCTTTCTCGGTACCACTCGGAGGATGTTGTTGACCGTTCGTCGGTGGGCGAGATGCCCGATTGTACTGTAATGTCTGAGTTGTCGCGTGATAGCGATGGAGCACCGGCCGGGCCTGTCGGGGATGTCGGTTGAAAGTTCTGCTCGGTAGGCGTTATCGGGCTCACTGCAGAGGTATCTATAGTGATTGTGGGCGCTCTTGCACGGCGCACGGGAGCCGAGGTGTGAGAAGGCTCTCCATCTTCCGAGACGCCAGACATGATGCCTATATTCAGACTTTCGATATGCCAATCTTTCCAGGATGGCGATTAACGAAATGTAGAAATGAGTGTCAATTGAGTCCTGGCCATCGGGAACCAAATTCAAATCGTAAAATTAGGCAATGGAAGACGCTCTTGACAGAATTGGCAATTGTGAGTGATATGCTGGGGTAGTCGATTGTAACGATGCAAGGCTCGGATATGGATGCTAGATAGTAAGCGTCAAAGACAGAGTCAGCCGTGCCACAGGCCTGAAATGGAGGACAGGCTGCTTCATAAGCTTGGAGAATGAGCCGTATGTTTGCGAGTCACCGGAGAATGAATGGTTACGTCTGCGAGTCACTAAGGCGAATCTAGGAGGCGCAGCACACCCGGCGACGTCCGTCTGATGATAAAAGGAGGGGAGAAGGTATAAAGAGGCAAAGAAAGGCCGGTGGACCTCTTGGAAGTCTTGACTGCAATACGAGACAGTTGTGTCTGGGATGTGCTAGAGGGATTGGTCGTGTGGTAAAGAGACAGAAGCTCTTGAGGGACGGAAGGCACGATGGAGTATGAACAGGGAAGGAAGGCGCCTGTCAGGGAGATGCGGCCAATCACGGCAGGCGGCAGCTTGGCGGTCAATATGCGGGAATTGCAGGCCTGTCCCAGAGCTTGAAACTTTCCAGACAGGAATGCTCTGAATCTGTGATTGAGAGCGTAAGCGAGAGGCAACCGAGGTCGTGGATCGGCCAGAGGAGGTCTCTCGATGGCGACCAAGCCGCTTAGAGTGTCTACGCTCTGAAAACTTTGTACTAGGACATAGGATGTTCCCAAATCTCGCCACTCATCACACGCGCGAAAAAACATGAGCCTGAGGAGTATCAATATTACGGAGTACAACATGCATTCCGTTCGTCAAAGGTCTTGGCATTAGCACTGCCTCAGAAACGGCGCTAGTGTTTCCACAGTGGAGACAACCGTGTTTAGTCCGTACTACATAGTATACTCCAGCAGACACTTTAACTAGAGAGGGCTAGTGTCCTCCTTACTCAATGAAACTCACTGCAGAGTACTCAACGACTACGTACATGGTATATCAACTCTCCCTATTCTTCGGTGAAACTTCCAAACATCGATGCGGATAGACTTGGAGGAAGCGTGCACGGTCGTTTGGCGCCGGCCTGTACCCCATGGCAGTGACTTGGCGCGCGGAGATGCATGAAACGCAATTTGGCTGTGATTTCGGTCTATGACGCTCTCCGTTGTTGCTCTCTCGAGTGCATGATTCATGATGTGCTTCCTACCCAACTTTCGAGGAGCACGCAGGGGTGCCTTAGAAGTTGGCCCTTGGCCTAGGCCTAGGCTATACCGCATTCCACCAATCACGGCCTGGGAATCGTTCCCTTTAAGCCAGATCAGGTCTAGTTCCTCCGTCGATGATCTGCTGCGATTTGATTGGCTGCTCCGTCATGATTGAATTTTAGCCACCAAAGCCAACGACGTAATTACTTCTTCTTCGTCTCTGCTTCAATCTCCATCCTCTGGTTGATCTGATAACTTTGGGCGCCATGCTCAGGCACAGGGTCTGACCGCATCGTTATCAATCACTATCTACAAAGTACCTACCGATATACGTAGTGTCCACTATCGGCTGACTTGTCAAGCGACTGCGCCATTTGTTTTACCATGTGATTTGTTCACGATACTCGTCCGCTTATCAGATAGATCAATATCATAGTCTCGTCTTTGATCGCCGAGTCAATCCAATATCTGTATCCATGATACCATCTCGCAGCCAATAAAGTCATTTGATCCATATTAAAGAAGACCTCTCTCAATCTTCACAGCCCCCTTGCCAATGCCGCTACATAGTACGTACCACCTTCCAGATCCAGACCAGCTCAGCACTACCTTGGTGTTTCGTGCGAACCTAGTAGGTACGTACCACTATCAACTACTCATACGGCGCCATCAACTTATTCCCCATAACCTTCGCAGGAAACTCCTCCTCGCCGAGCGCCGTCGTATGAGCCCAAGGCTTCAATCCATTCTCCTTGTGAATCGTCTCCACGAAACAACTACTCCATTTCAACCGTGGAAACGCCGTCGACACAGCCTCAATAGTATCTTGGTGCACCAGATCCGCATAAGCTCCGGTATTATCTGCTCGCCACGTTAGCCATTCTCGCCTTCTCTTGTCGATGAATGAAGAATGATGGGATTCGCACCGAAAATCGTGGCTAGTTGAATCAACTGTCCCACGGCAGTAATCGTGCCAATCTCGCACAAATCTTGATGCCGAATAATCGCCTCCGCTACACTTTCGGCCTGTTCTCTGGGCGCAACGGCAGCGTCATTTTCGTCATTCTGAAGCACATCCAGCGCAAGAAAGCCGCCGTAAAACTCAAAACTGAGCCGCGTCTTGTTCAGATTCTCCTCTGTAGTTCCAATGTCATGTAACAGACAACTCAAAAAGTACGTCTCGTCGGAGAAATCCCATACTGATGACCCTCCAATATGGCCAAATCGGTATCGCTTGATCGCCTGCCCAAAGTAGTAGACTCGCAAGCTATGGTTGTAAGTGGGTTCAGGCAAATGGGTCTTTGCGTAGGCCTGGATGCGCTTGGCTAGGGCTGTGTCTGGGATGGGGAAAGATGACACCGTAAACGCTGGTGGTGGCGATGAGGGCTTGGTAGTAGGATCATTGAGGAGTTGTGTTGGGGAGGCTGGGACGGCTGTGAAGCCGTATTCGGTGATGGGGTTTGATGACATTGCACCTATATTGCTTGCACGAATTGCCAGGATAGGTTGCTCTGATTCTAGGCAAGGCAACGATTTGCAACGAATAGGTCTAGGAGAATGACAGCCTACAGATAGCTGGTTACAGAAAGTCTCGAAACAGCACGTCAATTTATACTCCGACAGACCAAGGGTACGTCCACCCAAAATACAACGTTTGCCCCTCTATGAACCGATTTCAAAGACACACCAGTCAATTGCAAGGCGTAGAACGTCTCGAATCTGGGGTTTACCCAATCAAATAATCAGTTGGTAATCATGGTCGGTGGTTGTGGTATATCCGATCCGATAAAAACGCATGCCAGAGCCAGGGCGTAGAACCAGACATCCGCCTTGAGTTCCAAGGTTGACTTTCCCAGTGTGCAACCAGCCAACCGGATACAATAAAACCTATAAAAATCATTGAATGATGCTTAATGATGAATAGTTTTTCGCCTTATACTCAATACAATGATTCCTCCTATGCTCTGTACTTTTGCGAACGAAGAAATCTAGAAGCAAATACAAGTGACCAAACTGTCACCACATTAAGACCTAGTAGAAACCCTGCCATCATTATTGTCCTGCGCCACCTCGATATTCCAGATATCGAGTCGAGTTGGCCCATCCGCCTTCTTCCTCGTCTTAGCATCAGCGGGAGCGTTCACCATTGCTACTGACGCCAAAGCCATGGCGTCTGCCAGTTCTCTTAGGCGGCCTGACTGACGGAAGCAATCAAGAATCTGATTGTCCTCTGCAAGCAAAATCGCAATTTCCATGTTTCTGGTGAGCAGACCGCGATTGAGCTTCAGGCTAGCGTAATACACGGCACTGAGATAATTCAGAATGATGTCGGGGAAATAGGTAACTCGGATGTGTGCCAGTTTCTTTTCTTCCTCAGCTGTTTTTGTAAACTATTAGTTCTCAGGACCCAGAAAAGGGAGAAAATGGGCAGCTGATCATGCGACTTACGCTTTGACCTCTGAATGAGCGTTCCCCATTCTTTGTCGAAAAGGGCCTCTACATGCTCTGTTGCCTGTTCAATGGCTTCTTGTAGAGCTTGCGAGAGCTCTGTGATCTGCACATCATCTGCGTCTGCCGAGTTCTTGAGCCTAAACATTCAGAAGAAAGTATTGTTAGCAATCAATTGCAAGGGTAGGGTAACGAAAACTTACAATTCGAAATGCTCCCAAATCTCGGCGAAATTGTCCAAAGCATTGTATGCCCAAATGACGAACTCCAAGTCAAGCAGAACAAGAGCTGCGTCGTACTGTCCCTGTCGTTCAGCCTCAGTCTGAGGCCGGCGAAATCTTGTACTCTTCGAAGGGCTTTTTGTCGGACTCCGAAGAACCGAGTTCTCATCTATCACGGAAAGCTCTTCGAGGTATTGACCCGCGCGAATGTCATATCCAAGGAGCTTTTGCGATAGTTCAGAGAGGGGCAACCTCAAACTAAGCTCCCTGACTTCCAATAGCATACCGTTACCTGCAACACAATTAGATATTGTAGTTTGATCGGTGATCCTGCGTATACTTACCAAAAAACCTTTTGTAGAGAAATTCCAGCGAAGTGCACACTATGTCCCAACCCGCTTGGAGATCTGCAAGCCATTCAACGCATCGAATCAATTCCTCCGTCTTCGCACTGATTTCATTCCCTGTAAACCTTCTACTAACTGGTAGCAAGACCACGACTCCTTTCGCCTGATCACGCTTGACCTTATGATCCATAGTAATAGTACGGGTTTCGGCCTTTGGTGATGTGTATAGCACATATTCAGTAAGAGCCTCCTGCACTGCGACTATGTCAATGCTGTGCTTCTCTAGGAGTTTGATCATTCTGCTCTTGTCGCGAGGTTCGACGACGTCAACCAGCACTTGCACAATGACATCTGGAACCAATCGAGTCGGCATAAAAGAGACATAGAGTGGAGTCCAGTCCGTAAGCCCAGCTTGACGAAGGTTCTCAGCATAAGCGATCACAATGAGCGCAGTTGTTTCTGAAAAATGCGAGTCTGAACGAGTGTATGACAAGCGCTGAGTGATGATAAACGAATGGGCAATGATGCGCAAGGCGTCTTTATCTCGAACCGCGATAAGTGCTGAGCTATCGACACCTGTGGCTCCAAGATCCGGTATCAAGGACGAGTACCGCGAATCCTTGTTGCTCTCCGATACTGCTCTTGCCATTGATAAAAAGAACGAATCGAAGTTCCGGCCTAGAATAGCTGATTGAATCGTCACGTAGGGATTGCGAGCTTCCATGCCAATGGTTTCATGAGCCCTCAAGCTCTCCAGGAATCTTTGGACAGCGCCGTAATCCATTGGCCCAGGGACAAAAGGCACACTTGCCAAAGGGGAGTGGCTGAGCTTTCTAGAGAACTGAGAACAGAATTCCCTATAACGTGAGAGGAGGATATTGTTGTAGAATACATAGAGGTGGTCATCCCAACTTTGGCACACACGGTATGCCGGCTCTGTCTCACCGCTAAGCAATGCATACACTGCCTTTTCATATTCGCCCGTGTTTGGATTACGAGCGAGAGCGGAGCAAGCAGCTCGCCATGTGTCCTGCGACCTGCAATTCATCATACGTGTCATGCTGTCTTCTGCCTGCTTTTTGGCGCCTGATGCTTGAGTTTCAACCCTTGAGCCACAGAGGCTCACTGCACGCCAACTTTCGAGACGTTCTTGAGACCACTCTTGGATTTTTGTCCAGGTTTCTCCTTGTCTGATCATTTTCCAGCAAGTTAACCAGGTAGCTTGTTCGTAGAACTGGTCCTGTTTCTGTAGTCCATGCTTTTGACGGATGACAGCATCTGGATCGAGTTGGGTGATTAATGGTTCTTTATTGTCGGAATCGAGTAATGAAGCCAAGAGACCAGGGTCGCCTGGCTCTAGCGGTTGCGGCAATGCTCGCAGTCGCTTTTGACCTTTGATGGATTCCTTAGTGTACAGCCAACCGTGAGCCCACAACCCGCTGCCCCTGTCAGCTTGAGCTTCCAGATTCGCAATCATTGTATCCAGATGTTGGGATGACGATTGTGCCTTGACCTCAAGCCACTTCAGTACCATCGCACACTCCGAAGCATAGTTATCAGCGCTCAAAAACTGGTCCCAGATTTCCTTATCGGTGGAATAACGATGCAAGTTTTGGAAGACTGTTTCTTGTGCGTACTTGAAGTTTCGGATCGATTCGGAATCACCTGTAGCAATCAGATTGAGGAAAAGATCCCAAGTGTCGACTTCGAGCTGCAAGCGTCGCAAGTCTTCCTGTGTTTTCGCATCCGGTTGCTCTGCCACGCGATTTGTATTCCAGCCCATCCTGGCCTTTTGAAGAGTGTTCTGGCGGGATGCATCTTTGATTGCGTCCGAGGCATGCTGTTGGTAGCTTTTAATTAAAGTGTACGCGGCTTGGTAGGTAGATTCTTGTGTACGACCCTGCTGTTTGAAGCGATCAAGCTTCTCTGCAAAAGCTTGCATTTGCCGAGTAACGCGATCGGCAGTGTGTCGTAAGGGATGTAGGGCCTCTTGAATACCCGAAGAAGTGAACATCGAAGTCTGAGGAAGACGAATGGCTAGTTTGTGTAATCAGCCATGTTGAACACATAACAACCTCGGGTTGTAAAATCCTACCTGGACTACTCTGTAAAGTCCTCCTGGTGGTGAAAACATCCGTAGAATCAATACCATTGACTTTTCCGAGTGATTCCACTGTGAGTTCCTCCTCCTCCTCTTCTTCTTCCTCCTCCTCTTCACGGTCATCATCGACATTGCTCTCCTCTTCTTCGTCTTCTTCTTCGTCCTCGTCTTCGATTACTTCATCTTCATCGCTTTCATTAGCGTCGTCACTCTCATCTTGGTCCATTTCATCGACGCTATTTTCGGTGTCGCCAACTCGATCATCGTCATCGTCATCGTCAATCTCAATAATTTCGGGTGCGTTGTTGAAAGATTGGGTTTGGTTTGTCTGCGAATAGGGTACTTTGTCAACAAGATGCATAAACACCCAAGCTTAGTCGTCACTTACCCTCCCAAAAACAAAGCTTGGCGCAGTGCGCGTGGGGGCGGGTGAGTTGAAGACCGGCGCCATGCTTTCGAGTTACTGCTCGAATGGAACAGTAAGCTTGAGATAGCACGCAAGTAAAGTAAAATGAAGTTAAAGTGTCTGCAATGCAGGAACTGAAGGAAGGAAGCTCTTTTGGGCGGCGACTAAACTGGGAACTTTTGGCGCGTCGAGGCCATACCTAAAGCGGATTAGTGCAGTAAGTCTCCGCTCACTGTTTAAAAACATTTTTTCCTTCCCATCCTTCTTCCTCTTCTTTTCCTTCTTCAACAAATGTCTTTAGGCAACTATTAGAGTCTCGGATCTTACGTTTCAATGTTTGACAAGCCGCGCTCCAGTTCGCCTTATATTCAAGTTGTCAATTTCTACAACTAGTCCGGCTCTTTTCGATTTTCGACATGAGAGTTTAGACTGCAAAGGAATTGGTAAATACCGCAATCAGTATGCTGGAATTGTCGGTCTATCTCTAATCAACAAAAGAATGCCTATGTCAGGCTCCATGTACAAGGATCTTTCTCTCTCGCTAGATCTCAATTAAATGGGTCATCATATTCAGCTCTGTTGCGCCCTCTGCCTCATTTTAACCCTGAGTAGGGTGGCTTTTGGACAACTGGGTGTTTTTGCATCCTCGCCGCGTTCCTTGTAGAAGGCGTTGCAGCATTCGTACAGAGCGTCTATCTGAGCTTGACACTTTTCTTCGTTGTAGGAATTTTTAGTCAAACATGCTTGACAGCGCGGTCAATATACGGTTGGCAATCGTTCAATGAGGAGGACTCACCCTGGATGGCACACTAGAGTACCAGTGTCATTAGCGATCATTTTCTAAGGATGGTTCGATAATTTGCAAACTACAAGTAATACTTACTGCTCGAGGATGACATGGGGGGTCATGCGCAAGATCATCCTTCAGATTACCCTACGATTGCGTCCGTTTGTCAGTCTTTGTCGTTGATGGCAGACTGATCACGACATGGTTCATACCATGTTGAAAAACAATTGATGCAATAAATCAGTCAGGCAGTCACAATCAAAATCAGTCGATCTGAAATTCAACTTTCAACTGAAAAAGATACAAGGGAATAAATGTCTTGCTTAATTACACCGACTCCAATGACGTCTGGTGAACCAGGCAGCTTAGGCCTGAGGCTACCCTGATGCGCCGCAAGATAGATTTTCCGGGACAGTGGGGTTCTCACTGATTGGGCGGTGGCGGCCATTACCTTCGCATTGCGATTGCCTCTCATTCTCTTCTTGACTGCGCCAACCAATTTTCACCTTATTTTCTACTCAACTCCCTCTTAATCTTCAACGTTTGCGGGATTCAAAAGCATATCTCATCTTTGCTCAGGTCCCTCCACGCGCTTTGCGTTTCTGAGTATGTATCTGCTCTTCTCATATGCTGCCAAGTCCAGCTGCTTTGGACCTGAATTTATTGTCATTCCAGGAATACCTCGCATAACTAACCTATGCTGACTCGCAGACATCTCAACTCTCATACTATTATCTCTCGTCACCGAAGTTAATATTCATCCATCACGTCTCACAAATGGCTGACGAATCTGGAGACGCTGGCCCAGCACCTGTCGAGCACCTTAACATCAAAGTCACCGACAACCACAATGAAGTCTTCTTCAAGATCAAGCGAACAACTCAGCTGAAAAAGCTCATGGATGCCTTCTGTGATCGTCAAGGAAAACAGGCTTCGACCGTGCGTTTTTTGTTCGATGGAACACGAGTTCGTCCTGAAGACTCACCAGACACGGTACGTGTAGCTTATTCTTCTCTTTTCTTTTTCGAAAATGATGTGGACGTCGAGCCAGAATGTTTCTTTGATATTATACATTTGCTAACGTGAACTTTGGTATACAGCTGGATATGCAGGATGGCGATACTCTCGAGGTCCACCAAGAGCAGATTGGAGGTTAAACCTGACCCCGCGTCCGAAACCGCAGACCTCACTCTGGACGACTTTTTCTACACGTTTGTTACGACCGGGAGTTAATTGCCTCAAAACATGGGATTTTACCAGCTAAGCGATGATTTTTGGCGGAAATCGGATTTGTCGATAACAACGTGGCTACGGGGACAGAATTGACTTACTTCATACATATTCATGACTTTGTGTCACGGAGTTCGGACTCAACACAAGCGCATTTCCCTGCGGTGCTTTCATCAATTTAGCATATGCAGCCTTGTGACTCCATCTTAGTGTCAAAGATAGTCTAATTGATACCACAGTACTGCCTTGTTTCTGCAAAGCTTGTATCATTCGCTTCTCAAACTCCATAGACAGAAATGATTTTTTATAATACAAGTAATAAGTAGAAGATGCAAGACTCCAAGCGTCAAGCATCCCATACAGCCGCCTTTGCACGTTCCTCTTCTTGTTTTGCTTTGGCCGCTTCCTCCTTTTCTTTATTTCGCCGTTTGATCTCCTTTTCCTTCACAGCTCTGTCATAAGCACGTTGCTCCTCCGTTCGTTTCGGAGCGCGTATGCCCAACGCACCAGCAATCAGCCTGCTAGCTACCGCAGTTTGTTTCTCCGGCCTAGCGCGAGCCCCATCTCGATCTCTACCGGGAGTAGTAGTATTTGTGGAAGGAACTCTACCCCACTGAGGCAAACCGTAATCATCTCCGGCGTGGTGGGTACTTGGTGTTGAAGGAGGTGCCAATGGTCCCTCGGTTTTCGCAGCTGCCAGCGAGCTCTTTAATTGGGCATTTGGGTCGTTTTCCTTTTCTGTTTCGGTGGCGGAACCATCCTCTTCTTCATCGGAAAGCTCGTCTTCCCATGAGTCGGCTACATCAGCCTTCTTTTTCTTTGTCCCTCTCTTGTCGTTGCTTCCTTCGACAGCCGCCGACAGGCTCAGCCGCGAAATATCAGGATCGGGCTTCTTGCTCTGTATGTTCAATTCTTCTAATGACTTCTCGAGACTAGCTATAATGTATGAACTGGCTCCAAATGTTGGCCATCCAATGTATTAGCCTTAGCTTTTCGAAATATGGGTATCATCTTACAGACCTTTGGACTCTGCGGGGAGATCGCTGGCCATAATCACTCAGATTGTGCGAATTTGACAGCAGTTGAGAGATGAAATGCAATAGCGACGATGTCCAAGCCGTTCCTGGATGTATTGGAGGACAGATCAAGAGGACCAGGTACAAGTTGTCGATGTCCCACAGAGACAAGAATTCGATAGAGAAATGCGTCATTACAGACATGCAACATGCCGCGGTAAGTCCGGTCCACCATACATGAAAATTACATGAAAATTACAGTATTTTTAACCCCACGTTTTTCCGGGGTGAGCGATCGCTGGTCTGATTGGCGAGATCTACGAACACATACCATACATCTGGCGATCTTCATCTTCTTTATTGTATTTATTGTATTTGCGTGTCATTTGGAGGTAGTTTGTAGATCAGATCGTGTGCTGACCTGATGACGTCAATCATATTCTTTCGGGAACGCTTCGAGAATATCAAAAGTAGCTAGCTGTATTAGTGTATAACATGTTATTCGGCTACTAGGACTAGTATGCAAAAGGATTCGTCTGAGACAATGCCGAGAAGCTCATCTTCGGTACTGTTTTTCCTATTTCTTCGACAGTGGCGTCCAAGCTCCGCAAAAGGATCTGTATGCAACCACTTTCTTCGCCTTTGGGGACAGCATTCGATACCGTTGATGGGACTTCTTCCTGATTGTTGCCATTGACTAGATTGTCGCCCCCAGTTTTCTTCTTCAAGTAATCGGCTTTTATTCGCTTGGTGCTTCTGTCCAGTTTGACTTTCAGTGATACCAACACAGAGCGTACATTTGAGAGCGCCCGTGTAATGAGCAGAGCCGTCACCAGGCTGTGTTCTTCTGGTGAGGCCTTATATTTCCCTATGGTAATTTGATTCCCATCGAGTAACTGCGCGGACGAAGAAATGGCAGAGCCCTCGTCAACTTTATGGAGGTATATTGATTCTGCACAAAACCGCTGAAGAAGTGCAAGAACTGTCCGAATTGTCATGGCCGAAAAGATAAGGACCCCCTGATCATCATCGCTCTCACACACGGCACACTCGTTCAAATGATTCCAAGGTGTAAGAGCCTGCTGTACCGACACCAAGACATCGTCGAGCGATAGTAAGTCTTTATCGTTTTTCAAATTGCTCAATTGCAGGAGAAGAGCAGCGTGGTGCGTCATGCAGTCACATCCATTCCTCTCATCGCGGGTGGATGTTCGATTGCGATGTTGGAATGGACCGCTGGATTTATCTTGCCGTTCTGCACTCCGGCTCATGTCTTGTGACATACGATCAGCCAGACTTGGCTTGAGCCCAGCAGTGTTAACAACCACACCATCGTTCGGCGCATTGAAAAATGAGGATATATCAAAGTCAAGTGCTTCCGGATAAGATAGGCTGCCCTCCTTATTCGCAGTACCAAGCAAGTCAGCAAACGGACAAGTGGTGTAGCCAGATTCCTGTTCCTTTGAGATGGCGGATTGTGAAGTTGGAATGGTCTAAGTTTCAGTTTTAGGACATTTTTGGCAAAATCAAACACAATTATGGGAGCATGATCAGCAGGAGAAAATTTACCTCTGTTTGTATATTCTGTATATCATTCAGATCATTATTAAGTAGGAAGCCCGGTTCAATCATGGTTTCCTGACTCATCAAATCCCAAAATGACTTGGGACTCGGGACAAATAACGCATCTTGGGCTATTTCTGATGGCGGATCGACTATCATACTATCCTTCATAGGCGATGGATCCTTGTAAGGTTCTGACGTCGCAGAGCTGGAACGAGTAGTACTCGATAAAGCGGAAGAAGTATTGACTGTTCGCTGACGTTGAGTCCTGTACTTTGTTGTCCCTTTAGGTCGCCCAAGTCGATTGGAGACGCTGTACGTGCATTCAGCTCCTGAATTTTGACATCCTGTGCAGGGGTTGCCACCAGAACATCGTGTCTTTCCTTGATGACAGATATCGCAGGCTGAACGAAGTCTCCTCGTTTGCATGGTGTCATGCAACGGTTTTTGTAATGGTCTCGACATCAGTAAGTACTCGAGACAGAAGCGAGATCAACTTTGGATTTGGTTCACACACGAGTGTGTGAACTCCCATCAGACTTAGACCTTCAACTTCAGATGATCACACACGTATTTATCCTCTTGCACTAAACAGCTTACTAGTGGTACCAAAAACATACAGCTCAGTCGATTCGGGATCAAGCACGTTCCATACCGAAAAAGCAACTAGTAGTGGTTAGGCAGAACAGAGTTCTAGCATAGTCACATATGAATTCGTCACTATTCGTTGAGACTGCAACTCCTCACTATACCGACATGGTTGAAAGATTCGGCGGTATGGAGATATGTATCAGCTCACGAATTAGATACCTAAGTTGATAAGTTAAGTTGACTTGGAGGTTCAATTACTAATCAAGGCCATAAGTAACGTACTCCGCGTCGAATCACAAGGTTCAGAAAAGAGCAAGCGCTAGTCAACTGTAGTTAGCGAATATAAACCCATGAATGTCAAATGATTGGTGAAGAGAATTATTACCAAATACTTGCAATTGTTCAGGTTTTAGCCTTCGGATTTACCGATATAAGCCTTTACACGTGACTTGCCTGCCCTATTCCCTTGCTAGTATTGATCGATGTTGCAACAGCAGTTGTAGAACACACAAACCTTGCTTCAGGCACGATTCCATTTCTATAGACCGATTAAACACCTGTATGTACATTCATATGGATTGATCGAATCTTTCATCCAACATCGATATTCCTGACACCGGTTTCCCGTTGAGTGACTGTACTCGTAGCCGTATGGGCTGAAAATATCATCCCTGTCTATTTCCGGAATAAAACCAAATTGTACTGCGCCATTTTCCGCTGCCAACTCAGCGAAAGCTGCGACTCAGCTATAGTCTTCAAAGCACCAGAAACCATCATAGCATCTACCAATCCCAAGCACGAGACCGAGAGGAAGCCTTCTTCGCCTGTGAATTTAAGATGTCTGAAAAGCTCTAGGACTCGCTCAGAGATTGACCAAAACTCCCACATGCATTGGTCTTGTCGTCTTAAAAACAATTTCCGTTGCTGTGGTGTACATACCGAAGAGCGAGAAGCCGCTTGAAGGAACATCAATACAGCAGATGAGATATGCAATCTGAAATTACTCAAGTAAATGCAGTTAATTATAGAGCGTAAACTCATGTTATTGGGGTTGAGACTCGGATGCGATGCTAGCGGACGAGGAATGATGTGGTCGACGGGGTTGGTAAGAGGTTCGACATTCTCTTCTAGGCAGTCTATCTCATGAAGCACCGATGCGGACGTTGATAACACATGACTGAGATCATTCGTCTGAAGACAGGCTTGTATTTGACTGTATAAACGTGTGCAGTGGTAGACATACGTGAATAAGCGAACGAGCAGTCGGTCGGATGATCTGGAGCTGATTTCAGAAATGGAATCAAACCACAATGGGCCTTCGACAGGAGGCTTGCGACTGGTTATTAGGCATCTGGAATACTTCAGAAATCGAATTGTTAGCTATGCATGCCGCTACATAACGGATCTCTTTTTTTTTTTTTTTGACTCACTATACAGTAACTGATTGCCCATATGAGGTTCCGGCCATCTTGTCGAGTGAACTGCTCCGGTCCTCGTAGGCGAATCATCCATAACATATTACTATCCCAACCCCATCCTTGATTGGACGCCTCTGGAGGATTCACGTGTGCCGTGAGCAACAACTGATATGACTAGTCAGAGCCAAGCTTTCTTCATGAGATGCAGAGGGCCATGGCTCACCTTGTACACATCGATCATCAATACCGCCACTAGTGTGCTGTCAAGTGTCCTTTGCCGAGGATGCCGGAGAGCTACTTCAACAGCTTCAATCGCTGATTGACAGGCACGAGCCTTGTTGTCGTTGAATGCAGCAGGTTGGCTTTCATCGGTGATATAAGCAACGCTAATCGCGTCACAAACCCGTTCAAGCAGGGATCCAGCCGTTGCTTGTCGAATATTGCGCAGTATGACATCGTTTACCTCGTTGAAATGGTGGACGTTCTTTGAAACATGATTACTTACTGAGCCCGATACGATTCTGGTCATAACGAGGACCCGAGGGTTCGTCTCTACCGGATCCAGGGGATAGCGTCCAGGCGTCATATCAATAGGGGATGTTGACTTGATGCCTGATTCTATGTGATAATAGTGGTTGTAGTAGGCCTCTCCATCCCTCTCTTCAAGGGTATTGTCACATGGTCGTTTGTTGGCTGTAGTAGGTGATGGCGATGGTTCTGGCGTACGTCTCTTACGATTGTCCCGGCTCAGCACAGATGGGTATGACGAGATGTCCTCTACGATAAAACGTAGGTGTATCAGATCCCGATAACCAGGACAGACCTGTCCACGCCGGATACACTGACTGCAATGCGGATGAACGAGATCACACTACTCTGGATTAGCTGCGTATTCTTTTGTCCCTCTCTGTCAGTGTTCTATGCCGTCGTTATGACCTTGAGATACACTCCTAGACACATACATAACTCACCTTCGCTCGCCGTTTCCGGCAAGCATGACATGCTTGACTTGGTCTCCCGGTATTAGGCATAGGTTAAATCTAGAATATTGGAACTGCAGCTTGTTGTTATGCTTAAATATCCCCCAATCCGTTAGTCCATTCGAAACGCACGCAAATGACTACTTATGCTCTCGAAATCTCAAAATAGTACCTGCCAAGATGTTCTCCGGAAATTCCGTAACTTGTAGTAGCCACCGCCATGAATGATGATTGAAATCTCAGAGTATAATTAGAATGATCCCATACTACCACTAATTGGAGTCTCTCCGATTGGCTAGTAGCGGAATTACGGAGTAATCATCCATGATATACGTATAAAAACTATTCGGGGGGCAAAGTGCCTGCACAAAGTCAACGAATAAGCTACACCCCCAACTTAAGTAGTGGGCCTGGTGGCTGATTTTTTTGAGTAGGCTAAGAGCTGTGCAAGCCTATCTTTTAAGGTTTAGATAGCAGGGCTCCGCCTCTTTTTTGAATTGAGCTATAACATTATCAACGTCATGTTGGTTAACCACCATAAAAGCTTTCGTTCGCATTTGAGGCAGTCCCCGGAATTGCTAGGCAATAGTGGACTATAGGAGAACATGCAGTCAAATGCCTGCAGTATAGATTTAAATGTGTTCGCTGCGTAGTCTACCATTTTCTCGAGCACGAATTTGAGTAGGCCTCGAAATGTGTAATGACACATTGATAGAAAGGAGAATAGACTCCGCAGAGTGGATCCCCTAGGCGATATGTAACTTCCTAAGGACAAATAAGAATGAGCACTTAGATTTTATTGGGGGTTACTCTCTACCTACTCCGTAACTCCGTAAAGACTAACGAAGGCGGCGAAAGGCCTGGATAGCTTCTTCCTGTGGCTGATCGAGTGGGAACTAGGAGTTCCACAGTACCAATGTTTTTGTAGAATTTAAAGATAAACCAGACCATATTTGGAGATCCATACGTACTTACTAGAGCTGATCAGAGACAACGAAGCTTGCCAGCGAAGAGCGGCTATTGAACTGAGATGAGGCTTTGGCATGCTGAAAGACGAATAGTGTTTACATAAGTATGTTTGACCCTGCTCGAACACCCTGAAGCTATTAAATTAAAAAGCAAAACGAAGAATCTAGACTGCTCTTTCTTATCAAGCGAAATCGAGTGATCTAGTCACATTTCTATATCATCGCCTCCACTAACCAAGTACCGTACCACAACTGAGATAGAATGACCGACAATGGTGTGCATCAGGCTGAACAGTACGACACAGGTCCAGTGGGCATATTGACTACATATCAGCTAAACCGCCTCGGCATACGTACGACTCACGCCGAGAGGAATTTGGAAACAACAAGACGGCCGAAGATGGACCTAATTGACTGCAGGAGCATGGAGCTTCTTAGAGTACTGGGTCTGGCAGATGAATACAGATCCCTGGCGGAGGCTGTAAGTATCGATGCCGACTTCGATTCAATTTTGTTAACGGCCTCGCCCATGCGAGACGCGTACTCGGCTCGTGGGTAAGTTTGTCACGCCAAACAATTAATTTCCTGTGGATATCCCGCTCACCGCTGTGCATACAAAATATACTGAGGGGTTAGATTGATATAGAGAATCCTACCGGTCTGCGAACAGACAGAGTATATCGAGCTGCATAATGATGGTACTCAGCCGGCTGAATCCGGCCAGCGACGCTCCCAGATTATCTTCGAGGCTTGGTTCAAGCAGGTCATTCAAAAGAAGACGGACGTAAATTGTCTGTTTGGGTGGACGTACACAGGCCACGTTGAAGCGACGGATGGGATAATGGCGACGCCTGTAGACACTAAGGGTCAAACACGTACCCTCCGCGCCCGCTACCTAGTAGGATGTGATGGTGGAGGTAGCAGGGTTCACGCAGCACAAACATCAAGGTGGTTAGTGGTCAAATGTGAGGATTCCCTTTCAAACAACACGCATCCTCATTTCCCTTTCTGTTCCAAAAAGGACAGGCCCGAATGTCACTCTAACCTGTGCCTAATATCGTGAATAAACAGTTCACTTCAAATCAGTCGAGCTCGCAGAAAATTTTCATTTCGGACCGTTCTGGCACGCTTTCCAGGCTGGAACGGTATTTGTTATCGATCAGGATGAAAAGGGTACTTTCACAGCCCATTATTCCCTACAGGTATACAGCAGCAACCTTGATCTTCGTGAGGTAGTATACAGGATGATCAGCGGCTGTTTGGGAAGCTGGGAGATCAATATTGACGAGATCCTTGTTCATAGCAAATGGCAGCCCAGCTTCAGCATTGCGGAGCGCTATTACAGCGCTGCTGGACATGTACTGCTTGCGAGTGATGCAGGTATATACAGAAAAGGAAAAATAGGAAAAGAGCCGCTTAGCGAGAGAGGAATATGATTTTAGCATACAGATCTCGACTAAGATCTGTATTCAACGTAGACCTGAACATCTTCGGAAGATTGGGCTGATGTTCAGCTGCAGCCCGAACTATGCCGATATAATATAAAGACTCTTGCAAAAGCAAATTGGAGCCATCATTTTAATTTTGGGACCGAGGGCTGATCCGAACCTGGCGAGCTGAGCCAAAACTCAAAGCAGACCGCTGCACTAATTATGTACCGCATCTGACGGTTTATGATGCATCAGTTGCACGAACACGTAGGGATATATTGATTTCGACCTCTCCTCGGCCCTTGAATAAAACATAAATCACGGCTAAACGTGGAAGAATGCTAAAATTTACAGAATCATAAGTGAGAATTTTTTTTCAACGACATTCACTAAGGCTGACATCTCGAATCAGCCTCCGTAGAGTCGCACCTTTTATGTTCAAAAATGCAATAATTCCCTTCTGAATAATGAATTACAATTTAAGTTTAATTCTTGGCTTGCTGGTGAGTTTAATTTTAATGGCCGGAAAAATTCGCCTGACAAAGTCGCCGGGATTATCGTGTATGCGTATGCCTCCGTGCCCTAACTCCATGCTGTTCTTGAGCTGAGTCCCCAATTGGTCCACGACTCAGATTTGATTAGAAAACCAATCGAGCAAAAGAAATTTGTGAAAAGTGATTTGAAGCACACTGCTCGGCCTATAGAAACTCACCCCTCAGCCCTCTGTGTTTTAAGGCTGACTGAAGAAACACTCTTCCAGCGCTGGTTACAGTATATTACAAGTACACTCTCTAGGATTTCTCATCGACTCAAGTGATCTAAGGTTCCATCAAAGACCAGTGCGAATCAACAGTACAGTTTATTGCAAGGATTTAATGGTCGACCGTTCTCCTACGCATACTCCATGCTCCCCAAACCGGCCGAAATGACCGAAAAGCTTGACTCGGAATCTGTGCCGACAGCAGCTATTGATGCTCTGACGGAAAATGATAAAGCTTCTACATCGAACGCCATTATCTCTGGAGACAGTACTGATATCGAAAAGAGCGAGGATGCGCAAGTGGCCGCCTCGTCCGCTGCTGTTACGGAGGAAGATCCCCATCCAGTAAAAGGGATCAGATGGTGGTTATTACTCTTGGCAATCTACAGTACGACTTTTCTTTACGGACTGGATAACACTATTGTCGCCGACGTACAGGGTTCTATTTTGGACAAATTTGGTCAGATCGAGAAGTTGAGTTGGATTGGTACTGGTTTTCCTTTAGGCTCAGTTGCCGTGATTTTACCGTTGTGAGTACTCTCTTATCGAAAGGACCTTGGTATTTAGGGCTATGGCAAGTCTTCAGCTAATGCACCGTTTAAGTGGGTTTGCATATGGTAGTTTCGATAACAAATGGGTTTATGTTATGAGCATCATTATATTTGAAACGGGAAGTGCAATATGCGGCGGTGCCCCAAACATGGATGCTCTAATTGTTGGACGAGCAATAGCAGGTATAGGTGGCGCAGGGCAGTATCTTGGGTCAGCTTGATATCCTCTCTTTCCCAGACAATCCATTCTTGAGTCATCCTGGCTAATGTGTAGTTTTCAGGGTTCTGAATCTGATTACACGCTTTACCACATTGCGCGAACGATCACACTACATGGGAATGACTGGGTTGACATGGGGTGCGGGCACGATTTTAGGACCGGTTATTGGGGGAGCATTTGCAGATTCTTCAGCAACTTGGCGATGGGCATTCTATATCAATCTTGTCATTCTAGCTGCGTTCGCCCCGATATACTTCATCTGGCTTCCCGCTATTCCTGTGATACCGGAAAAGACTTTTGTTGCAAAATTTCTTGCAATGGACTGGACAGGAATGGCTCTTAATGCTGGGATTTACACTACCGTACGTAATTTTTGATTTCACTTGGCCCATCAATATTTAACCCCAAATGCTAATCGATTTGGCACACAGTGGGTTATGGCTCTCACATTTGGTGGCTCTATGTACCCTTGGAACTCCGGCAGAGAAATTGCGCTATGGATTGTCTTTGGCGTACTATTAATTGCATTTTGTGTCCAGCAATACACTTGTCTCTTCACAGATCGCAAGCGACGTATCTTTCCAGCGCAGTTCCTTCAGCGCCGAACGCTCGTCCTCTGCTTCATATGTACTAACTGTGCAGCGACAGCCTTCTTCGTCATTGTCTACTACTTACCCATCTATTTCCAATTTGTGCATAACGACACTGGTCTGGAATCTGCCGTCCGTCTTCTCCCCGTCGTTATCTGCTTTGTGGTTCTTTCTATTGTCGCTGGAACAACGATGCCCTATGTCGGATATTACTTCCCTTTCTACATCGTTGCCGGCGTTTTAATCGCTACTGGTGGAGGCTTGATGTACACAGTCGATGAAACAACCTCTACATCCGCAATATACGGATTCTCTGTACTCATAGGCTTGGGAAGTGGTTCCATGATGCAGGCTGCGTACTCCATTGGGCCGGCCAAAGTCATCCCAGTATGGGAGGATATCCCTCCCGTAATCGGTTTTATCAACGTTGCTCAAATCGGTGGAGTTGTGCATTCTCTTGCCATATCGGGAGTCATCTTTCAGAATTACGCTTTTCGTTACGTTAGCGCAGCTGTGAAAGACCTTCATCTCTCGCCCGAACAGATTCGGAGTGCCATTGCAGGTACCAACAGTGCCGTCTTTGATACGATGACCACAGAGCAGCAGTCCTTAGCAATTGGAGGCATCGTGAACGCAATGCAGAAAGTCTATATTCTAATTGCTACGGCTGGAGCTCTCTGCGTCGTTTGTGGAGCGTTGATGCATCGTGAGAAGTTGTTCTTGGAAAGTTCTGCCGGTGGTGCTTGATCTGAATCAATACCTGTTTTTGACTCCTTCTTAAGATGCTGATAGAATAAGTTTACGAAGATTTTTATAGTAATGAAATCAAATTGTATGTTTTTTGATTCGTCGTTCAGTCTCTCACGTAACCCTAAGAAGAACGTCATCAGCTAGCCCTAATCCTACGCGTATAGAATTTCGCCGACAAGACAGTGAGCCAACATTGACAGCGCCATTAGCAGCGCTCACCAGAAATTGAGTATTTAAGACCTAATAGCTGTGTGACTGTTAAAGAAAAGATCGGAGAATAAACCGGTGGTAGGCTTAGGCATTACGGGGATATACTAGGCTAATAAGGCCCCTGCCAAATAGCCGAGCCGAGACGATCAAATCGGCTTCAACAAAGCGAGTTCCGGACAGGTACTCCAGACTCTTTCTCCGCATTCTTGAACTCTCCTCTGTGAGCTGTCCCACGGTTTGGCTGTTGTGCTTGTGCCATAATCTACACGCCATATAGCCTACTGTGTCCGAAAGAGACTATTTATTCATGCTATAAGAGGCTTAATTGGGGCCTGTTACTCAACTGCTTCTCCTCCGATTTCGGGATCCTTTGTGTGCTACAGCGTACAATTAATGACTAGAGCCAGCATTCCATTCTACCAATCACACTTTTAGAGTCTAGCAAATAAGCTATCTTCTAAAAAGAGTCGGAGGAAAGGGGATGACGATGCGGGCTAAGTTATTTCCACACGTTGCGGTCCGGCTGTCAAGTGCTCGCACTGCTAGCTTTTCGACATCTTCAAGAGCGCTTGGCTATGCTGACACGCTACCAAACTTGAAGATTGGTGCGCACACAAAGGTCTTATATCAAGGATTTACTGGTATGTACTGAATTATTTACTGTCCTCAGCTGAGCTCAACATTAACTTTTTTTTCAGGTCGCCAGGTAGGAACAGCCTTGTGAGATACTGCGCTTTTCAGTACTAACCTTACCCTCCAAGGCAACTGCAAATGTCAAAGAGTCATTAGAATGGGGCACCAAAATCGTTGGAGGTGTCAAGCCCGGGGTGGAGGGTGAGCATCTGGGCTTGCCTATCTTCCCCTCGGTGCGAGTAGTAAGTTACACTAACTCCATTGTAGTTGCATAGTCATATGTACTAATAGGATATAAAAGGCCAAAGAGAAGTCAAGTCCGGATGCATCTGCTATCTATGTGCCAGGAAATCAGACGGCGCAAGCAATTGAAGAGGCGATAGAAGCCGAGATTCCTCTGGTCGTTGCCGTTGCGGAACATGTTCCTGTTCATGATATGCTACGAGTATGTGGACTGTGCTTTATAGATATTGCGGCCGTTGTTAACGCTTTTCTAGATCCATTCCATACTTCAGACACAGTCCAAGACGAGATTAGTAGGAGCTAATTGTCCTGGTATAATATCTGCCGTTGGCAAGTGTCGTATAGGATTTCAGCCTTTGCCATGTTTCACGCCCGGTAGAATCGGAGTTATTGCCAAATCTGGCACGTTGAGTTACGAGGCTGTAGCGTCATTGACCCGAGCTGGTTTGGGGCAGAGTCTGTGCATTAGTATGGGAGGTGATGTTTTGGCGGGAACAAACTTTGTCGATGCGTTGAAGGTCTTTGAGAATGACGGGGACACGGATGGCATTGTCCTCATTGGAGAGATTGGTGGCACTGCTGAAATAGATGCTGCAGAATGGATTAAAGATTACCACAGGAGGACGAAGAAACCGAAGTGAGTTTTGCATTTCCTGAAGATTGATTGATATTTGCATCTGATGATTATTCCAAGACCGATAATGGCCTTAGTTGGAGGATTGGAGGCTCCTAAAGGCCGAGTAATGGGACATGCTGGAGCATGGGTTGCACCCGGCGAGCCTGATGCCAGAGCTAAATATGACGCACTCCAAAAGGCTGGGGTCACTCTTGTGAGCCACCCAGAGAAATTTGGACCTGGAATGAAGAGCCTCTTGGGGAACACCGGACGTGTTTCAAACACTAGCGTAAGTAGGCAACTACAGGCCTCTGTTTTGAAATAGTACTGACATAAGGTGTAGACGACACCGACATCAGCCGGTCAACGCAGAGGGTTTCACACAGTGAGACAGACTAGAGACAGAGTTCAACCTGTTCAGTGCCGTTTCCTTCACATCAAACAACATCAAGCGTTCGATATGCTTGAAGTAGCACAAATCCAATCGCAAGCGAAAGAGGCTTCCTCAGAAGACTTTCACCTATCAATTACTGTTGATCGAACATATCTTTCGCCCTGCGTTACTGTCTCGTCTGGTAGTAAATCTCCAGAATCATCATTAAGAATACCGTTCAATTACGAAAATCCCGAGTTTGCCACGAATACAAACAAGGCAATTCAATCTGAGATTGTCTCATTCCTGGGCTTTGAGGCAGAGTACCAAGAGGCAGTGCGCAAGTACTTGCAAGAGCTTTATAAGATATTTAAGGATAACGAAGCATTTGCGTTAGAGACAAGAGCTTCATTTTCGGCAGGCAAGAAGATAGTGGTGCACGAGACAAGATTCGGATTTGATGATGCTGCCTACAAGAGCTCTGGACGACATGAAAAGCTACATCAGCTCCGTGATGTTGCTGCTGAGGTTACTGAAGAAGTCAGAGCTGAGAAAAGTGGTATAGTCTATGTGAAGTACGTTCTATGATGTGGTCAGAGAGTGAAAGTTGACTAACATGCTGGTTGAACCTTGTCAGACTCGACGGTGAAGGAAGTATTGGTACACTGGGTAAGTAATTTCTATGCGTGTGTTCTTGAACATAACTAACTATCATTCGCAGTCAATGGAGCCGGCCTTGCCATGAACACCGTGGATGCTCTGATCCTGAAAGGCGGCAAACCAGCCAACTTCCTCGACACTGGCGGTAAAGCCACGGCGGCCACTGTGAAAGAGTGTTTTAGCATATTGTGTGAGGATGCTCGCATAAAGACGATCTTTGTCAACATCTTCGGCGGATTGACCAGATGTGACATGATTGCGGAGGGCATTATGGATGCTTTCAAAGAACTCGACATGAAGGTACCCGTCGTTGTACGATTAAGAGGTACCAACGAAGAAAAAGGGCAGAAATTGGTTAGAGTGTCTCTCGTTTCTTCATGGCATTGCGTTACTGACAAATGTGTGTTTGTAGATTGCCGAAAGTGGACTTCCATTGCATGCCTTTGATAGCTTCGAGGCAGCAGCAGAGAAGGTCATCAGTCTTACTAAAGCTTAAGCGTCATGATCGATTTTCAACAAGTTTAGAACAATCTGGATTTCAGGAGTCTCAAGACAATGGTTGAGAGACTTTCGGCACTCGGGTGTCGTGTTAGGCACCAGTATTTGGACTTGGAAAAAATTGCCCGTCGCATTATGCCAGCACGTATAGAATAGATCTAGTCTGCTAGATAGAAAGATAGCGAATACTCAGCAATTATGATTATTGATCAGTCAAGATTTTATGTTGGGATTCTAGTTAAAGTTGCCGAGGTATGTTCTGAAGCTGGTTCCGCGATGGACGGAATCCGGCCGATAGCTACCAAGATTTCGAAGAGAAAACATTGCTAAACAATAAGAAAATTATTCACCAGCTATGCTTTCCAATGCCGATCAGGTACTGGGTGATTTCACTTTCCAGTACAACAGTCGAACATTCTGATACACAAAAATAGAGCCCAGTATCGGGCTCTCGGCAACCAGCTCGGAGTATCAACGTCTTTTGTATGGGGAAAGGGTCCAGGCTAGCCCCGAACGGTGCGGAACTCCGCTGGTCCGCTCTCGGTCTCTTTTTGAGCTCTCAGATAAACATCCCGCCTCAACATTTTCATCTCTGAGAATTGTCGGTCTGCACAGCTCATACGGCCGTTATTGAGGATCTGAATTATCCACTGGGGGGCCTCTGTGGTCTGTTTCCACATGTTGTCCACCAGATCTACTGGGCGGGCCATCGCTGGCGCCGTGCCTACAAAAGTGCCGCTCCCCTCGTCCAGCTGGAATATCCTGGTGCGTAATAGCCAGAGACGATTACTATCTACAAGATCTTCTACCGGTAGGCCTTCCATTTTTTACCATATATTTCAAGGTCATCACCCCGTACAGCGTTTCTGACAATTACTACGAATAGGATCAACGGTCCCGAAACCGCGGTCCAGAATACGTCGTGTCATCGGATTCACCTCCCTCGCCGTATTTTCATATTTCGTTGGATCGGCTATCCCGCTTAATAGAACAGTCATGGAAATCGTCACTGGCGGCATTCCTTCCGACGAGGAATCCCTCACCATCTTTCGGCCAACGGATGAAATATCCCAAGAAATCGAAACCCATATCATGACACACCCATTAGCTCAGAAATATCGCAATGACCCGGCGTTTACTGAATCGCGACCGCACATGAAAATCCCGGAGAAGCTTCGTGGGCGACACTTGATTACGGGTACTCTGCTTGGGCCGAAACGGATGGCCGTTCCGCCACTAGTTTTTCTGGAGGAGAACGGAAAGGAAATGATTGCTATCACATATTTGGGTCAAGAGGTGTGCGGGCACCCGGGTATCGTTCACGGAGGACTGTTGGCGACCATCTTGGACGAGGGATTGGGACGTTGCTGCTTCCCTGTGTTACCAAACGGTATCGGGGTCACTGCAAACCTTAGCATTGATTACCGGAAACCTGTAACTGCCGATAATTACATTGTCTTGAGAGCCGCGACAGTCAAACACGAAGGTCGTAAGGCATGGGTTGAGGGGCGTATTGAAACCTTGCCGGAAGGTGATGAGGAGCCGATCGTTCTTGTGGAGGCGAAGGGGTTGTTTATCGAACCGAAATACGCAGGTGTAAGTCATCTTGAGTCTTCAATAGGGTTGCGCGTTCTTAACATCATTTAGGGCCTATCGAACCTCTACAAAGCGACTCGGAAAAATGTTACATAGACTTTGCGCGGCGTTCGAGGATGGTTTTTGGAGTGGTTTCGGTTTTTCGTAGCATGTTGTATTTGTTACGACTGGTAATCTGCATAGACATTAAGCCTGTAATATTTCTTATATGTTGAACCAGTAAAGTTGATATTGTCGCCAGGCACCAGAGTGGTTGTAGGGTGGAGTCTGTGTGATGACGCCGGACGGAGATCCAATAGCAACCTTGGAACTAACTAAGTCCCGACTCCCCCATCTTAAGCTTCCCAAGCTCAACCTCAACAGCTCTCACACCTTCCGATATTTCCGCACTTCGTGCCCGCTTAAGAACGAGCGCGGCAGCAGGCTCGAACTACACCAGAAATCTGGTTCAGTAACACCTATAGGCGACCGCAAACATGTCGAAAAACACTCTGTACCAGTTACTTTCCCTCCCCACCACGATCGTTCCCTCGCACCACCATGACGACGCCCTCGAAGCTATCTCCTCAACGATCGGTGTCGATGGATCGGTCTCTTCGTTCCCCATTCCTGAATTCAAGATCGGCACATTAGATGCTTTGGTGCAGCAAGCGGAGGAGCTGGCCAAGTTAGAGGGTGTCTGCCAGGCCGTCGTGGGCAAGGTCGGAGAAGCGCTCAAGGGTGTCTTGGGGAATGATGAGGAGCAGATTCAGAGGATGAAGACGGTCAATGATAGTACGTTACTTTCTCTCTAGTGTGATGTGGAAAGTCATCCTTTGGGTTTTGCTGATTGAATAACAGAACCCGTCGACCAGTACCTCCGTACATTTCAATGGAACAAGGTCAAGTACCGAGCCGATAGATCGATTGGCGAATTGATTGATCTTTTGAAAAAGGTAGACTTGCTATGATCGGTTCACTGGTGTGTAATTGTTAGACTGGAACTAACGAGCAATAGGAAGCTGCCAGCATTGATAGCGACATCCGAAGCAAATATTCTCAGTATAATCAAGTCAAGAACACCCTGGCAACATTACAACGCAAACAAACGTAAGTATGTACCGCGAGAATTTCTGTTCACTCGCTGACTTGTTTCTATTAGCGGAAATCTAGCATCGAGATCCCTAGCATCAATTGTCGACCCGCAAAAACTGGTTCACGACTCGGAATATTTAGAAACACATCTCATCGCCGTCCCATCCCAACAAATCAAAGACTTCTTGAAGCTATATGAAACGATATCTCCGATGGTGGTGCCACGGTCTGCGAACCTCGTCGCCGAAGACGACGAATTCAGCCTGTATGCCGTTACGACGTTCAAGAAACACGGCGCAGAATTCACCCATAAGGCTAGGGAGAACAAGTGGATACCTCGCGACTTCAAATACACTGAAAGTGGCCGGGAAGAAGAAGCCAAGGAGGTTGAGCGAGTGGGCGGTGACGAGCGCAAACTTTGGGGCGAGACGATCCGACTTGGTCGGACAAGCTGGAGTGAGGCTGTCATGGTCTGGATTCATGTCCTGGTATTGCGCGTCTTTGTTGAGACTGTGCTCCGATATGGATTGCCTCTGGATTTTGTTTCTTCTATTGTCAGGGTGAGTCTTCCATGCCATTCCTCGTAAGAGAGGCAACTATCTAATAACATACAGACAACGTCGAAAGGCGCCGAAAGAGCAAAGAAGAACCTGGACAATAAATACAACTATCTCGCCGGAAACGCGTTCGGTCGCGACAAGAAAGGCCGGGTCAAGAAGGACGACCCGAATGAGATGCAGGTAGCAGGTGAAGGAGGCGGAGCCGATTATACGGCGTATGTGTACTATGAGTTTGAGTTTGAATGATTGCTACATATTGAAGTCTGTATATGTCTTTTGGAATCAGAGCAATGCATTTTGATAGAGGGTCAGTAGTATGCGTGTCTAGTTAGGTGACTACGTCTGTACAGAGAACCTGAAGGTCTAAACTTTTTATCATTCTAGATAAATATGGACATGAAAGGTAATTACAGAAGCATGAAGAGATTTTGTATATGAACAGGGAAACAGAAAAGCACAATCATGATATCTAGTTGGCAGTCTTTGCTGGCAGGTATCCCTTCGAGTCGAGGTAAGCAATAATCTGAGCGACAGCCTCCTGAACAGTGACTTCGTGATTCTTGATGTGCACCTCGGGCTTGAGAGGAGCCTCATAAGGAGCACTGATACCAGTGAACTCTTTAATTACACCCTCCCTGGCCTTCTTATACAGACCCTTGGGGTCTCTTTGCTCAGCAACCTCAACGGGGACATCGACATAGACCTCGACGAACGGTAATCCAGTCTCTTCACCAGGAGTAGGCACCTCATGCAATTGASGAGCCGTATCTCTGTCCACACGGTATGGAGAAATGAATGAGGTAATAGCGATAGAGGTACTGTCAGCAAACAGTTTTGCGACTTCGGCGATACGGCGAATGTTCTCATTGCGATCCTTCTCGCTGAATCCTAGATCCTTGTTGAGTCCGAAACGAACGTTGTCGCCATCGAGGCGGTAGGCGTGTACGCCACGGGTGCTGAGGAGTTGGTGCTCTAGTTCGACGGCGATGGTGGATTTGCCGGAGGCTGAGAGGCCGGTAAGCCAGATTGTGAGGCCTTGTTGGTTGCGGAGAGAGGAGCGCTCGGAGCGGGTGAGGGCTGCCGCGTGGTATGTGATGTTTCTGTTTAAGTTAAGTCAATAATCTGATGAACTGAGTGATTTGAATTGGAGCTCATGTCGCTGCTAGAGAAAGTATCGCGATTGTCTGTATCTCCAGCATGCGATGCGGGGAAGTAGACGAGGGGCAGGAACATACGTTGCCATTTTTGATCTGATGGATGGAATTGCGGTCTGGTTTCCGTAGTTCGAAAGGAATTTATATTGCAGAGTAATCCGAATCTTCACAAGACAATTGAGATAGTATAAAAGGGTATCACGAAAAGGAAGTTGTAGATGTTGTTCCATAGATCAAGGAAAAAAGAGGCCGCATCGGAGAATCCCAAAATGGTAAGGCGCAGGAACAGCGATGGCGTGATTGTGGAGCTCTACTTAGCCCTAATTTCCTGTTTGGGAATGCCTCTCGATATGCTAGTTTCCCTTCTATACTCGGGTTTCTGATATGGTCAAGTCACTCTTGGTCTTTATGGACTATACAGTGTTTCTTGTTCTTTCCAAGTGTGCTTTACTGAAAAGAGCATACGTCAAGAGTCTCTTTTAGGAAGTTTCATACCTTAGCTCCATTCCAAATATCAAAGCAGTTGCAAGGAATAGCACAAGTACATTGTGTGCTCTTCACATGCCTCAATAAACAGACAAAGACTTGGGAGCTTCTCAAGTTTTAAGACTTTGTCTATCCTGATCCCTCGTTGTTATTGCAATGTAGCAATAATGAAATAATTTTTCTATGCAGTGAGAGAGTTGTGGTAATCATTGCTTTATAAACTACCTAGATACAGTACCATCCGCTTACCACAAAGATAAGAATTAAGTGACCGGCTGTGAGCAGACACAGGTCATAATTGTATCGAGCTAAGGGATTCTCCCTGAAAAGGGCATCAAAAGAAGTCATAATAATTCTTATTATCAGGGAGACTGATTAACCCCAATCTACTCACAAAAGTGTCAGGATAACCCTTGGCCATTTCACACAAACAATGGCTCTTTATTGTATTATTTCCTCGTCAATAACCTGTCGGTCATTCCAGTAAAAAGATCAATGAAACAAGCAGACATTGTCAGTCTTCCCCAGCGAGTGATACGTCCAGAAAAGGAACTCTTCCCTCTCATCAATGAGGTCTGCCACTCCCATATGAATTACTTTTCAGATTCCATCATCACATTCAAACATCTATTAGCCTCGAAAAGTCGAGATTACCTGTAAGTATACATCCGAACCTGTTGTCTTTGGACTGGGGTTATCTTGGAGACTGATACTAACTCAGCCATCTCGATCATAGCAGACGCACAAACTCAAGCAAAAACTTTCTTTTCTATCAATATATTCCAAGCTACTGATTTCAATATCCTGCTGAGAATCCAGAATCGCAGCATCAATGGTGGTCGTTTCATCCCGTGGGCTCGAACCGCATCGGACGCCAATGCCGTCCATGCTGGATTATTTCAAGATGCGTCTTTCTCCTGGTAAGTGGCTGGTTAATCCGAGATTCCAATCCCGACGCAGTCTAATCAGCTCAAAAGGTACACGGCACAAGAACCAGGTCTTTCCCTGTCAGATGCCATACACTTTAGGGCTACAGTTGAGACTCTTGAAGCCTACCACGGCGGGAAAGGTCTTTTTGGTCAATAACAGCCCGATTCTAAGCATGCTTTTGCACGAGAAGATCTTCAAGGTTGGAAGTCAGGCAGTTAAATCTGCAGAATCGCCCACCGAGGCACAAGGACAGAACATCGACGCCCTGCCTGAAATGGAACAACCTGCAGAACCAACATCTGAGACAGAGGAACAGAATATTTGTGAGCTACCTCAAGCAGATGAATCTACCTCAGGGGAAGTAGAACCAGCTTTAGGTGCTGAAGAACAAGAAGATCAAGCCCTAGAAGACAAATGGCCAGATTGGATGAGTGACACTTCGTCAGTTTATACTTTCACGGTGACAATTCTTGACAAAGTTCTCTCTAGTGGCGGCCAACATCCCATTGTCAACTTCGGCAATTTCAACTGTGTATCAGAATCAGAGAACCCGATACCCCCTGAGTATGAGGCAGGCACTGAGTTTCTCAATGCAGCACTGAAACAGGCCCCGTCACCACGACCAAATACTCCATCAACAGCCGATACTCGCTATCAACCTCATGAAGATCCGCTGGATTTTATAAAGACGCGTCTTACCGAGAAGAATCTAGAGAAGAACCGAAAGGCTTGCATGCCGTCGATTCCCATCCTCCCACGTTTTTATCATTTTATGAAGAATCCTAGACACCCCGACCCTTGCCAAATGCCCTATGATAGAAATGGGACGCCATTGGGGTGTTGGGATGGTTGTCCAGACTGTGAAGTATGGCCCTCGGATTATGGTTCAAGGATTTGGCTCGTTAATAATTGGTTTGAGACCTACTTTACGCCTCATGAAATGGATATGTGTGATTTTCTGAAAAATCCATCACATCCTTCACTCAAATACCCGGAGCCTGATCCGAATGATGACGATGACGGCAATGTCACAGTAGACAAGCGCGAACACGATGAGGATTTTCTGATGGGAGCCGAAGGGCCCGATGATTTCCCTGGTTTCAAATGGCTATATGATAATGAGCCCGAAGATACACACCAGGACGTCGTCACTTTGTTGGCTCAATACATGCAACTTTGGGAATGTATTCATGCTGATGGAGGTCGTTATGGATTCGACTACTACTACGGTGAACGTTGCAATGCCATCATGAACGAATATGAGCCCCACGTTCTTCCCAACGTCGGGTTCGGCGCCGAAGATAAAATGCATGTTCTTCGTTATCCGGGGATAGATGATATGAGCAAGCCTATATGGCATACTAGTGGCTCCCCGTGGCCGATGCAGTGTGATTACAATACTCGTGTAGAGTACACTAGGAAGGAATACAACCGGAAGATGCTTATGTTTCGTGGACAAGATGAAGCACGTCAGCGATATATCCAGCAAGTGAGGGAAGCTGCTCGTTACGAATACGTTCAGAAGGGACATGTGGAAGAGGCGCAGTGATCTCTTATGGGCTGGTGGAGAGATCTGATTTACTTCTTGGTGCACATGTGAAGCGTGATGGTTGTTTACACATGAGGGAGGAATCACATTCAATGTTCATAATAGCTAGTATTTTTTGTTAATCCACATTGGAAGTCTACTAAAAAGTCATATTTTAAATAATATTTGACATTATCACCAAACAATTTTATTTATGTAGTCTGCCATTCAGATAACACTTTGAGGACCTTCTGACAAGGATATTGATATCCTACTGAGAGCTTCTTTACGGCATAAGAATACATACCGATGTAGTATCAGATGATGCTCGACACCCATATAAGGAGATACTGAAAGAATTGGCTAGGTACACAAAAGAGGTTCTTTGTTCGAAGCCAACTCAACGAAATCAATGAAGCTCACCGGTACATGTAGCTGCTTTATTATTATGCGATGACGAAGCATTCCTTGCCTGATATATACGATCCGGTGAGCCAATATTGGTTAAAAATGCAGAGCCTTTTCACCGAGCTCCTAATCTTTAATGAAAATTTCTGGTAATCAACATCGATATCAGTCTACATCAAATCTGGCACCATTGCAGGATGCATACATACTACATGTCGATATGTCAGGTAGCCCTATCGCCTAATGTTACCTTCTCGGTCCTCGTCAGCATTCCATCTGAAACAACACTCACATCGATCAAGGCAAACTCGCAAAATACTTTGTATGGCATAGTAGACATTGATGAGATATCTTGGTTTAAAGTTGACAACCACATATCCCTTGCGTCCCAATGATCTGCACTAACCCAAGCCACGCCAGTCTGGACTCGGGTTTGGCCGTGTCTGCTTCCATGGCTTGAGGTATATATTGGTAAAGGGGACTTATCCCTTGATACGATCAAGCGGTATAGACGATGTATGTGTTCGAGTAAAGGCACAGGGCCAACAACACATTTGATAGTAACTCAGTTAGACCGACAACCACTGAAGTCAAACAACCTTGGAAACATCAATAAAGTTTAGAAACAAATGCATCCACGACGATCATATCGTGGATTCCATTCCATCGCTCCACAACCACGATTTTCTGAGCGTCCATACTTCCATAGCGTGGTCACGGTCAATCCCTTCTCATTCCATTGAACCCAACAGAGAGTGGAGGGATAGATCTAGAACAGGCTTAGCTGTCAGCCTTTGACCCCTTACTTTGCATATCTCCCTTTATCGGGTCGATATAAATAAGCCAAGTAAGAGATCTGACCGCGTGGCTGCCATTCACCATTTCCTCCGTACTTCATACATATCTTCATGATACACTGAAATCATGCAAAAAATAGACAACACAGGTGGTCTGAGTAGCTGTCCATTCTTAGCAGAAGTTTAACCGTTTTTAAGAAATAAAGGGGCCCCTTGCTGAGGTGAGGGATATCAAGATGCTGTGCTCTGTACACACCGCAATGCCTCTTTTTGACTTTCACAGAGATATGTCGCATCTTTTCATGCCTGATTACATGTAAAAATGTATTTAATATCCGTATCTTTCAATACACCAATACCAAAATCCAGTGACGGCTCTTTCTGGAAAGTCTCTCGAGTGACACTTGGTGACCCCAACGGTGAACCGTCATACATAACTCGCCACAGTTGAAAAGGTGACATGCCATGGCTGTTAGTGTTTCAATAGGCGAGCGAGTTCGTACAACATGCAATAGCTAGCTCTTCTCTTCACAAAATTTTCTCATGTCATTCGCGCCAAAGTCGGTCTAGCACGGTATACCCTCCAAGGCTGGTAAATAGGCTTGGCAGATCGACACTGGGGCTGAACGTTGGAATTGCAGCTAAATATATGGTCTTTGTTTTTGCTCTGAGAAAAGACTGAAAATCACGCAATGCCATTCCTCTTCCCCAGAGTAATTCAACTCGATAAAATGATAGACAGTTCTAAACTACATCGATTCTCGGTGTGTCCGTTTTATCTTACTTGCATACGCATGTACGTAATAGTAATTACATACATACAATACTTGTACGTAACACATAAACCGACTAGCGTACCACGCTAAGGTCGATCATCCACAAAATCAAGACAAAAAACGCCTTCGACGCCATTCCCGCCGGACCTTGTATTCATACCGTTACTAAGCTCATGTCATGGTTCTCAACGAAGAAATAGCAACTACGTCAAGGCGTACATACATTAATTACATAGTAGACGATTTGAAGAACGCATGATGTACACTCAGTTCAGGAAATCTTCTAGAAGGAAGCGGGACTTGATGATTGTGTCCTCAGTTTTTGATTGTGATTGACATGTCAAAGGATTGCTACTCCATATGCCGGTGGATCTATCCACATCAGTGCATACTTCGAGACTAACTAAACGAACAACGTATAATACTACACTGTCTGTTCTTAAGCGCCGTCGTTAAGGACTCGTAGTTCATAGTCTTTCAGCAAAATACTGCGGAGTACTCTAAAGCCCGAGCGACTACCGACAGTTCGTAGACCCAGCCAATCCTCAGAGCAGGGAAAACTCTCCTAGCTCTCAGCCCGTACATGCCCGGAGTGACAGTTCATCATTGTAGCAATCTAGCAGAATTTTGGTACTACCTACATTGTGCGAGTGTCGTACGACAAACGACCGTTCCGGCTTATTGGTAAATAGGTATTTCGACAGGTTACATTGTCCGACGAACTATGAAACTCTCAAGACTTGAGGCATTTTTCAAAAAGGAAGTCCTAGGTATATCCTTGGTTGCACAGAATATTGAATATCTCCATCTCACAAGATTTCTGCCCAAACCTTGTCACCCTGCCTGACGGATTTGATTCTGGGTGCTTCACTGTTGGTGGTGAAGCCAAAACTCGAATTCTCCGCATGATCGCGAAACTTTGTCCTTACCAGACACGGAAATTGTTCGCGCAAAAGAGTAAAAGCAAAGCAGCTAGCTGATGCAAGCTATGCCGGAGCCGCGGATGCAACGACACTCTATTCTACCCCATGGGCCGGAATGTTTTTCTTCTCGAGCAACGTGTCTCTTACCCCGTGGGATCTCCAGACTCGTTTCCTTGGGTTTGTTGGTTTGCAGTGTTTGCATGAATGACTCGTGAAGGTGGTTGACGATGTGGTTATGACGTCGTAACCAGGGCAGAAAAAACAAGCTTTGGAGCCGCCACTTCTTTTATTATGTTACTACCTCCTTACCAAACTTACTAGTTTCTGTAATGGTTTGCTTAGTCACTGTTACGTACCTTGGTTCCGGCAAAAACAATTTAAGGGCTCTGATGAACCAAGATACAGTTCAGCACTTGGTCTCAAACCAAACTCTACCCTAGATGAATTCGATTTTTCGTACATTTTTGATCGGGTTATAGCAATCTATAATATAGACAGATAAAGAAGTTTATAGTGGACCGGAGCGTGACCCGGATCCAAAAACATGGAAGTGCGTACCTGGGATGCCGTCATCGGGGTTCAGGAAAAAAGTACTTCCGGGTAGCACTTCGGCTAGCCTGACAAAAAAACGAACTCGGCCTGCCGAGACCTGGTCCCTATGCCGAAGCCTCCATTTTTCCTTTTCACTTGGGCCCAGAAGGAGTCACTCCTGAACATTCCATGGATCTATGCTACATTTTGACTTTTTTTTTTTTTTTTTTTTTTTTTTCGAGTTGCGTTCCTATTATTTCCCGACTCGTATCGATAAGGAGAATTTCCTCAGTTGGGAAGGTAATTGTGCAACACTGCAACAGCAAGCCACGGCTCCATCCGCGTTCGGACATTCCGTCCAGTCACACGATCAACAAGTCCCCCAAGACGGGTAGATCTAGAGCATTTGTTCTGAAAAAAACCCAGTGTAAAAAAAGGTTACCTTAAGAATAGCACATGTAGAAGAAGAATGCTTGCGTGCGGCCTTAATGTCCTGATCGACGCAGGAGTCTATTGCTCTGTCCCAACTTCCCACCAAAGTTTGCTCACCACAGTCGAGAAGCATTAAGGATGACTAAGCGTTTTACGGAGTATTTGTATTTGTACTATGTAGGCCCAATGATCAGTGGAGTAAGTCAGTGCTTCTTCCCAGTCGACTACACAATGACGACAGAAGCTGGATGTAACAAGCGTCTCTTGAGTGATGATAGCGACTAGTCCGCTTCGGGCCATCGAATGAACATTGTCAAGGCACGATTCGGGGCTCCACTCTGCGCCACTTAAGCCAACTAGGTCTGCGCTCGTCACAGTGCCCTGACCGGCCGGTATCCAAAGTACGGTACATACGAACATTACCAACCTTACCGACTTTTTCCAGGTAGTTTCAATTTGCCTCTTCCAACATAACTATTTGTCAATTGTTGTAAGCAGGGATAGGTGGGAAGGAAGAAGGTATTTCCGCTTGTGGAGGCAAATAACGATTATGCCACACGCTCAGATATTAGTCAGTCCGTCCGTCCGTATGTGTTTATCCCTTGTTTATACCAGCGGAAATACTTTACCGGAATTACCGTAACCATGACTTGGCTGAAGTGAAATGTGGGTATACGGTATCGTATCGATACGATATGGAAAGCCCCAAACCAGAAACAATCCCTTCTTTTCTTTTCTTTTTCACTCTTTCGCTCTTACCTCTTCTTGGGGCCCCAGTTCCTTCCCATGTGCTAGCCAATAGCCCCATTTTTTTCTTTTCTTTTTCGTGGATCTCTGTATCTTGCTCGTTATGTCCTCTCCGGACGCAGCCTTGGTCGGATGCGGACTGGAAAACGTATATGAACGATGGTCCACCCCTCCTCGACACTGGTTTTGTTATTCCTGTTCCTCTCTTAGCTTTACTCTCTAGACAGCAAGTAGAACGGTGATCTTTCACTTTTCTTCTTTCTCTACTTCTATTCAACCTCACTCCAGCTTTTGTTGCTGTGAGAGTAAGCTTCACTATAAACAGCGGGCCTGTTGCCTGAGGCACAACTGTCATCCTACTGTCGATCACCTGTCCATTTTTCGACAGTCACCAAATACTCAGCTTTTGCTCTCGAGGTAAGAGACTTTTTCTATCTAATGTGTTTTGCGCCCTGTTGAATCCACGTGATTGCCTGTCGTGCCTATCGCACCTACCACACCAACTGTGGTAATTGCGCCCTGAGTGCCTTCCTTCCATTTTGGGGTGTTTGTGCTCGTTTGCTATGCAGATTGGTGAGCCATTGGCTCCTTCCTTTTTTGTTGACTCACGTGCACTTTCCTTACAACGCGCCTGCCACACGGCTCCTACACGGCTCCTACTCAGCACCGTCACGGCTGCCCCTCGAGATCTCCCACCTCTTCTCCTGTCTTCTTTCTCTCCTCTTTGTCTTCTTTGTCCTCCCATCACACGCTCAATTTCCGTTAGTTTGGCCATCGTCAAGCCTTCATTCTTTGTACCCAATCGTTCTTTCGACTGGTCGTCGTCACTGTACTCATCTCATCTATCACATTTGCTGATTAATCGTCATCTGAAGTCCATTATCTACTACACGCTGTCTGCTTGACGACATCCTGTCAAAATGGCACCTGGCAATGAAGTCGACCAGGCCCCAAAGCCTGTTCCTGTCGAGACTAACGAAAAGGTCCACGACTCTGAGACCTCCTCCAGCACTCAGGCAGATGTGACTGGCACTGGTGCTCTTGACGCTGAGAAGCCCTCTCGTCACACCCACTGGACCGCCGACAACCAGACTCACGAACTCGAGCCTACTCCTAGTGTTCGTAGTGATGGAAAGGTTCTGCTCCTTGAAGAAGATGTCTATGACCAGCTCGGCTACGGATTTCCAAGCTGGAAGAAGTGGACCATCCTTACTGTCATTTTCTTGGTCCAGGTTTCCATGAACTTCAACACCAGCCTGTACTCCAACGCGCTCGGTGGTATTTCTGAGGAGTTTCACATCTCTGAACAAGCTGCTCGCTGCGGTGCTATGATCTTTCTCGTTCTCTACGCTTTTGGCTGTGAGCTCTGGGCCCCATGGAGCGAGGAACTTGGACGCAAGCCCATTCTCCAGGCTAGTCTGTTCCTTGTCAATATTTGGCAACTCCCCGTCGCTCTCGGTAAGAACTTTGCAACAATTATGGTCGGTCGTGCCCTCGGCGGTCTGTCTTCTGCTGGTGGCTCCGTTACTCTCGGTATGATTGCCGATATGTGGGAGTCCGATAATCAGCAATATGCCGTTGCCTACGTTGTCTTCTCTTCCGTTGGTGGTTCCGTCTTGGGTCCTATTATCGGCGGTTTCTGCCAGGAGTATCTACACTGGCGCTGGTGCATCTGGATCCAGCTCATTTTCGGTGGCTTTGTCCAACTCTTGCATCTTTTTCTAGTGCCCGAAACTCGCTCTACTCTCATGATCGACAAGATTGCCCAGAAGATGCGCAAGAGCGGCGAGAACCCCAACATCTATGGAGAGAACGAACTTACTCCATGGAAAGAGCGCTTCTCAGCCAAGGAGATCATCAAGACTTGGATGCGTCCCTTCCACATGTTCTTGACCGAACCTATCGTCTTGACTCTTTCTTTGCTCAGCGGTTTCAGCGATGCCCTCATTTTCATGTTCATTCAGTCATTCTCTCCAATCTATCAGCAGTGGGGCTTCAGTCCTTCTCAACAGGGGTTGACATTCATCGCCATCCTTGTCGGTTATCTCCTTGCTTGGTTCTCGTTCTTCCCCGCTATCAAGCGTAACGTCCGCGAGCGTCGTGCCAAGCCTGACGATGAAGTTGCTCAGTACGAATCACGACTGTGGTGGTTGCTTTACACTGCTCCCTGCTTACCCATCGGGTTGATCGGTTTCGCTTGGACTACTATGGGTCCACCTCTTCCCTGGATTGCCAGCATGATCTTTGTAGCGATTGTCGGCATCGCCAATTACGCTATCTACATGGCAACCATTGACTACATGATCTGTGCTTATGGCCCATACTCTGCATCTGCTACAGGCGGAAACGGCTGGTCTCGCGATTTTCTTGCTGGTGTCCTCACCATTCCGGCAACTCCATTCTTCAACAACATTGGAGGACGTTATCACATCCAGTATGCGTCGACAATACTGTGTAAGTTTTTCCTCGCCACTTTGACTTTGATCAGAGCACATTGCTAACAAAGGTTCCAGTCTGCATCTCCTTCCTCCTCGTGTTGGCCGTCTACGTGATCTACTGGAAGGGGCCTGCCCTCCGCAAGCGATCTCCTTTTGCTCAGCAGCTCTCCGATGCACGTGCTACCACCGATCCCACTGGCAATCGCTTGACTCGTTTACCAACTGGCTCTCGTGCAAACTCCTTTGCTCGCTCTCAGCAAGAGCTTCGTCTCCGTCAAGCTCTTGGCAGCCGCCAGAACAGCTACTACGGTTCACGTGCTAATTCTCGAGCCAATTCCCGAGCCAATTCTCGCGTAAACTCTCGCCGCAACTCTGTTGCCGAGGTCTCAGAGGTCTAATGACAGTTTCGTTGATTGTGTCTTTTTGGGTCTTTCTTAGGATCGCTCTCCGGGGAGGCAATCAGATACGAATAAACAAATGCAGGCTATGGAGTCAATGAAAAATGGGTTGCTAACGACATGGTTTTGCAAGTGCTTCGTTGATTCTCGAAGATTCTCTATGTTTTCATTCTATCCAGTCTTGTGATGTGCAGGGCCGAAATTCGCTGTTACTGTTTGAGTTGATACCCATCTCTTATTTCTTTTTTCCTAGTGATGCTTCATGGTGCATGGTTTTGGTTGATGAGCGGATGTTTCATTTACGACTGAAGGGGGGCAGGTCATACTACTTTCCAGGTCTCTGCATCGAGAAGCATATTGCAAGTTAGCCTGTTCAGCATCGATATTAGGCAGGAAGCAATTAATTCATGTATCTTATTCGATCCACTATCTGCGCTCGACGGCCAGCCAGTTTCTAATATTGTTTGTATGTATGACTACTATCCGTACGTACCTAGGTAGCTTACATTATACTACAAACAGTTCATGCACTTCTTTTGCATATCTATTGAATGTTATGGTATTCAGAATCTCGAGCATGATATCGAAACAGTATCTCTGTCGCACAGAAGTCCACCAAAGTGACGAAAGTAAGGGAAAACGCTCAAACACAGAATCAAAATTTCTTTAACTGACATGGGTCAAGAAGGACGATGGAATTTACTCTCAATCCACGGCATCGGCGTTACTGTGGCCTTACGTAACTTATTCCTCACCAAGACCGCGACCTCAGTACCCTTCTTGTGCAGTCCGTTCTTGATATATCCCATAGCAATATTGGTGCCTCCGAGCGAAGGACTAGGCAACCCAGACGTGATAACACCAATCTGAGTAGGCGTCTTGTTCTCTTCGGTCACGCTGCTCGGATCAATAATGATAGCACCCTCGCGAGCCGGCGCACCCTTTTCAATAGTAAGACCAATCCGGCGCTGGGAGATGGTCTTGGACGGTTTCGCGAGTTGAGCAAGGATGATGGATGACCCGTTGAACTTGGATGCTGGGGATGACTCGTCTCGTCGCTCTTTGCCGACGACCCAGCCCAATGCGGCCATGGGAGGGGTCTGGGCGGTCGAGATATCGTGGCCGTAGAGACACATACCGGCCTCGAGACGGAGGGAGTCACGGGCCGCGAGACCTGCGAGACGACATTTGTCGGGTTGCGAGATCAGGAGTTCGGTCACCTGGTGCGGGAGATCGGTTGCGCCGTTGGCGGTCGGGATGGATATCTCAAAGCCATCTTCGCCTGTATACCCAGTTCGGGAGATGAGGAGTCGATGGGCTGTTTTGCTTCCGTCGGGGAGTTGGAGGTAAAGTTCTCGTGATTGACCAAAGTATAGTGTGTTGAGGTCTGTCGAGGCGGGGTCTTCGCCTTCACCGGTGTAAATGTATGATTGTAAGAGGGAGGGTGCCAATGGTCCTTGGAGAGCGATGAGGGCACGGTCACTTAGAATCTCCCATTTGATGCTGTCGGCGCCGTGCTCGCTGCGGTAAGCGTCAATTTCAGCTGTGAGGAAAGCTAGATCTTCTTCTCGTCGACCGGCGTTTGTGACGAAGTAGAAAGCCTCGGGCCCTTGTCTGGTAATGACAGTGTCATCGATGATGCCGCCGGTACCGTCTTCGAGGAGACAGGATAGGGTAGATGTGTTGTTAGCGAGTTTGTCGAGAGATGATGGCGTGACTTTCATGAGAAGCGGGAGAGCCCCGGGACCTGTCAGACGGTGCTGGACCCTGTACACAATTGATCAGTTAATCCGAACCCAAGGCAGAAGAAGAAGAAGAAAGGAGGACGAACATATGGCTGACATCGAACAAACTGGCCTTTTCTCTTGTCCAATGGTGACTCTCTGTATGCGAAAGATCGGAATATTGCAACGGCATATCGAAGCCGGCAAACGGGACCATCTTTGCTCCATATTTGAGATGCAAATCATACAATTGCGTGCGATTTAGGGATGTGCTGCTGCTGGAAGACGCATATCTCAGAGACTTCCCTGTGTATGTCGGTACTGTGGCTATTGTTGGCCTGACGATGTGTTGCTGTGCCGGAACTGATTTTCGGAGACCGGTGATAGCGGTAGTAGATGATACCGATTTGGGGATACGACCAGCGACGACGGTAGACAATTGTCGCGCATTCTGAAGAGATTTTGCGCCCCGGTACACGGATCTCGTAATTCCAGACATTTTTTATATTTTTCAATTGATCTTGTAAACTGTGTAGAAGAAAAGAAAAGTCAAAGAAGGGGAAAAGAGGGAAAGAAAAAGGTACACCGCGAGATAAAGCTTGAATGCCGATGCGGAGAAGCGGGCAACTGCTACGATAACGGAAAAGTCACGTGAAGATAAGCCGGGGATGCGTTTACCGACATGCGCCGAAAGAAACCCTAACTCGGCTTCATAAGCGGCTCTGCAAATATCCTTACGACCTGCAATCAAGACCAAATCAGATGTATCAAAGATAGGAGTCTTGCAAGGTAAGTAATTACAAGAATTCAAATAAGGATATGAGAAGAGAAGAGAAACGCGGTTTATTTAGAGATCCTTATTCAAACTGCAAACTGTGGTAGAGAATCAATCGTCGAAACAATAGCAAATTCCTAAAGCAAGTTGCATCCATCTTTCCAGAAGACGGTCGTCGTATCTAAAGACCATTGTTGGCGCACGAGAATGGTCCGCCGAATCCGCCTTCATTATAACTCAGAACGACACTTTCGATAGATGCCTAAAAGATGTGTTAGATCGTGTGATACGTCGATTGAACGAGATGACTTACGTAGGTGCCTGCGCCTAAGAAATAGAAGCCGATAGCAATCAAAAAGACATTCACAATAACTCCAATCCAGCCGCGAATGCCACGCTCTTTGTAGAAGCTCGAGCCATGGTCTTCTGCCCGCATGCGAAGATAGGCCACACCCCAGAAAATGAAGCCAAAGAATGAGTCAAAGAGCGAACTCATGATCGATTCAAGGTCCGAGAAGAAGGGGACGATTTCGGCGATTATGAAGGCAAGAATCCAGAGAACAGCGAGAATACCAGCCCATGACGCCCATCCAACCACGGTATGCTGCGTCTTGTGGCGTGTTCCATCGAAGAATTGCAAGAACACGAAGCGAGCAGAAACAGAGGCATATAGAACACCCAGGAAGATGAGAGTCGGAATCATGAATGAGAAAGCGACCTTCTTGTACAAATCATCTCCCAAAGAGCCAAAGGCGGGGGCTGTCATGTATTGGTTTCCAGTGTAAGCGTAAATGACAGCTCCGACGATGCTGAAAACGATGACCTCGGCAATGGTCACAGCAGTGACGGACTTCCAAAAATCCTCTGGCTCCTTCATTTCCGCAATGAAACTTGGCAATATGATCTGGCCGATGAAGGTGTAGCTGATATTGAGGAAAGCGCTCATACCACTGACGAAAGTAGTACCAGAGACGGGGAAGGCCGTCACTATTGGTTTACCCAGTTCCTCGGTGTAGTCTGCGGGATGAGGCTCAATACCGGCAAAGATGGTCGCCAACAGGACTGAAATGAATGTGAAAAATGCAGATACTGTAGCCATGTGGGAAAGCCCACTGAATGTTCTAGGCAGTGAAAAGAAGAACGAGATGATCGGGACGACGCAAGAGAAAACGATGGTACAAGTCGCATGTCCGGTCATGGTGTTTAGGTACTCGGCGCCGACCAAACAATGAAGACCCTGCAGTTATTAGTTTCGTAATATTGGAGATGAATATCGCAGAAAATTAGCTTACCTGAATGAAAGTATTGTTCAACAAAAACATCACAGCAGTGGCCCACCAGGCAATCTTGGAATCCCAGAACAGATACTGACCAATGTCGCAGACATCGCGGATTTCAGGGTGACGCAGACAGAATCGCCTATAAGAAGAGTGAGTATGTGAGTCTGTAGTGACATTTGGTGCAACATACCAAATTGTGAGTGACGTGTACAACACAACGAGAGCGACGAAAACCGTCAAAATCAAACCTGGAACCAGACCCAAGACGGAATACGCCCACGGAAAAGACATGATAGCCAGACAAATGTACTCGGAGAAGAGCAATGCCGCGGTCTATCCAATCAGTACAAGTACTAGCAAATCGATCCACGAAATCAACCACTCACCTTCTGCCAGCTGCATGTCCGATATTTGATAGCACTCTCCGCCTCCAACTCCAGCTGCTTCCCGATAGTAGCCCTATCAACCACCACGTCGCCTATAACGCTAGTACGACGAGTCTGGCTTTCTTCGTCAGATCCATGTTTACCGTAAATGGCATTTTCGGTTTGCTTTTCCGGGTTGTGTGACATGTTCAACGCCATTTGATCTGACGAATGAACTCCTTCTCGAGGAGAACGGCGAGGAGGGAGGTGAGTGAGCGAGTTAAAAGACCTTGTAGCTGCATGAAACGGCAGTCTTTATAAATGCTGTAGTCGGTATGTTCGCAGATAATTCGGAATGGTGATTAATTCGAGAAAACTGACTGATTCAACTGATTCGGCACTTTCGGCTGACAGATTCAATTGGTTCTTTCAATGGCGAAGGGAACAATAGTCGACGAGTTTCCGAGAGGGCTTTGCAATCAGTAATTCTTGGGGGTCGAAACGCAGACAGAAAGGAAAGCTTTGAATATATGTCTATTAAGAATGAACTAAATTAGCATTCGTTCCTTCATCATACTAACGGACACAAAGCAAGGTTTCCTTTCCACGCTAAGCTCTGATCGCTCCGTGGTAGTGTCAACCATGGGCCATTATCTCCGGACATACCTAACTGGAGTTGTTGAGCGAAAGAACACCGGGAGAACGTGGCGGAGGCAAGGCAAGGTACAGTCGATGTATCAAATTACTGGGACAATAGTCATTAAGGAGCAGGCGGCGACTTAGAGTAGAAAAATCGGAGGAGAGCGAACTGCATCATCGAATCCAATGTAAGCCGGGTCAGTAGCATCTTGACATGGGGTGGAGCCGAGGCAGATCTAACTTACCATTGGCGACTGGATGACCCTCATCCCATAGTATGGAGACTTATGGATTTAGTATGGAGCTGGTGGTGAAGCTAGACGTCGCTGGCTGACTTTAGTGCTTCTTGGGAGCCATCCTAATGGGGCTGTATGCGTATTAGTATGGTAAACCGTCAGAAATGACGTACTTCGGTAGTGGAACTCGCGCTGACCGTCCACTCACAGACTGCTACTTGCAGGACATGCGGGTAACTCTGTTATTGCAATACAATGCAATACAGTTGCAATTTACTCTTGCATGGAGGATCAGATTCACGCAGAAGGCTTTTTGTTTCTAGAAGTACCAACGTGTACATCATTTTCACAAGTTCGTGCCGGCACAAATATACTAACATGACTTGCAATGCTTCCTACGAAACTTGATTCCTCTCATTTTTCTGTGAACAAGCATTGCAGTCCGAGATCGATTTCAGCCCGCCGCATCGGGACTCGGGGAAGGGTACTGTCTTGGCTTTCGATCTCGGCCGGTTCGCAAACATCGTACAGCCTACAAACTTCGAAGAAAATTCTGCTTTCTCGTAGACTCGTACAACGTTTAATGCAATTCCAAGATTCATCGCAAAATAAGATTAACTATTAATAATGAAAACACCATCACTGGTCGGAGACTCATCTAGTTGGCGCACTAACCAGGGACAGTGCGGGTACGGCGTCACCGAAAAACTTGAAAGGCTGAAAGAAAAACAGTGGAGATGCCAGGTGGATAAGGCATTAAGGCGACAAGGCTGCATTCGGCGGGATCGTCACTGTTCGCTGCTTTTGGACTAGTGCCATTATCACCCGCCATGGCTTCAGCCAGTGGCTTGGACCCTGGCGCCACAATATACTTATGCTTAAGTGAACTGTCTCTTCTCGATTCCTGCTTGAAGATGGCAAATCGAGAATATACCCCGAGTTCTGGCCGAGATAAAGATTATGTAAATACTTCCATTATCCATGTGCCATGATCTGCACCAGGTAAGGGGATCAACGGGGAACTACGTACCACGTGGCATGACGTGAAAAATGCGATACCATGTGATTCGGCTTACCCTAATCATACGAGATTGATGAAATACTAAAAGCTTTAGTAGTAATCGAGACGTAGTGCCTTCGCTGGATGTGTTGACAAAAGACCGCTATTTACATTCACAACGCCCAGTACGTCTTCACGAGAAACCAAATCACATCATACCATCGTCCTCGTCCGCCAACAATGCCGCATAATCCTCCATGGAGGCAAAAGTAGGCAAGTGACGAAGCTTGCGTTTCTTCGACTTCTTCTTGTTGGCGGCCTCGTCCTCTGCAGTAGAAGGTAGAGCGACTCCACCCATGTCAATATCAAGATCCGAGGGAAGATCTTCATCACTGTCGCGGAAGGCCTCTTCGTCAGATACGTCCATGTCGAATGAGTCTTCGTCGTCTTCATCCTCGTCTGCCTTGGATTTCTTTTGCTTGACCTCTGTATCAACATCTCCTTCTTCGTCGTCGATCTCTTCCACATTTTCATCAGACTCGTCGTTAAAGATAACACCCCCATCTTCGGAACCATCGACTTCATCCTCATCATTGTCATAAGCTGATTCAAGATCGTCCATGTCCAAATCATCTTCATCGTCATCGTCCTCAAGACCAGGCCGCGATTCAACAAGTGCTTGCCAAATCTCGGACTCGTTGTCGCTTTCATCCGCTGCTTCCTCGTCACGAGAAACAGGATCCTTGGACTTCTTCTGGGCTTTCTTGCCAGTCTGGCTCTTGCTCATCCGGTTGAAGTATTCATGGAAGAACACATCATCGGCAGCAACATCCTCAGTGCGTTTGCGCCAGAATTCCTCCGAATTGACTGGCACTTGCGCACGTGCATCCCCAGCAAGACCACTTGCGCTGACCAGTAGATCATGGCTGTCGGTACCTGCGAGAGGCTGCATGATCGACTGTCCACGCGGTGCGCCGCCTGCCTTGGCATTGCGGTAGATGAACCGGTCCAAGAAGTGGCTCAGTGTGTGCAAGGTGAGATCTGGCTTTCCACTTAATGGCTCGTGGTTGAGAAGGTGGGAGGTCAAAGCGGAGACTGAAGGATGAAAGTGGGATAGCAAAGGTAGCTGAAAAGCATTAGCGATATCTTACCAAATACACATATCAACAAACTTACCAATTCCCACAAGCAACTCTTTTCGGCATTGCTATGTTGGGGGTCTCTTTTGCGAGCATCGTACCCATCGTTGACTTTCTTTGTCAGTTCCACTTGCTTGCTCGTCTCCGCCTCTGGCTGATCATCTTCGTCGGGTACGTCCCGGAATACTTCTTCCTCATCGCTTTCGTCTTCCTCCGGTTGATCTACTAGAGACAACAGACCAGGGTATGTCTTCTCCAGTTCCCGTATCAAAAAGAAGACACCACAAATGAACGACGGTTGATGCAACCCCAATATTTGAACAAGACGTTTGACAAACGCCTTGACTCGCTTGATGCTCGAATCGTTCTTAAGCGATTTATACAACAGATTAAGGTAGAGTGACTGCTTGGAAGAGGTGGCAACTCGAGGATCAAGAAGGGACTCGTATAGAGTACGATAGAACCGATCAGCTGCAACTTGATGTGTGACTGTGAGTTGCTGAATCAGCATCAATGCTTGAATACTCGTGTTGAAATTGGAGGAGTGGGTGACTCGGAACAATGTATCAATATGCTTGGAGAGACTGCAAATATCGGTTAGTCTGTTCCAAATTCATTCTTAGTAGGGATATGCACATACCGATCAGAGTCAGAGCTAGTAAACGGATAGGCTCGGTTGACTCCCGTAAGAACAGCAGAAATCAACTTCTCTTTCAGCTGGTCGTCATGCTCCGCTTGGGCTTTCTGGGTCTTTGCATCATCGCTCTTCTTGCCCTTCTTCTTATTGTCTGGTTTCCAGCTCTTTTTATCAGTAGATTTGAGCAACTGAAGGAAAACTGCAAAGTAAATGTCCAAAAGGTGAATGGCAACTTTCTCCTCTTTCGTGCTGAGGATAGTCTGGTTGAGTGTGATGATTGCATAGTATCTAGCGTGCGGACTTTGACCCGGGCGGAAAAGAAACTCCTCCACACTTTTGACGATCGTTGGTTTCATCAATGGATGTGCTTGACATAACTGAAGCAACAGATATGATGCCCTTGAAGCGATCTTCTTTCCAGTATCACCTAATTTGTTCACCAATAGACGCAATAGATTGGCCTCTTGCTCGGGCTTCTCCTTGAGCAGTTCATAGACGTAACTGACGGCTCGTGTGCGCGAGAACTCAATTTCGTCATTGCACCAGATTTCCAAAACTTTGAGAATCTCGAAGAATTGAACCTTGAGAAAATCCTCAAATGCCCAGAGGATCAAATGTTGAGGTTGAAGGTCACCTGGCAAAGGATCACGTTCGGTCCATTTGGGCCCGGCTTTTTGAAACGATGCCACAAGCTCGGCATGATTCGCAAATGCTTTCAGCTTGCGGTCGCTAGGAAGAAGTGTTCCTTGCGCAAACAAGTCTTTGAGAGACCGTAGAACATCAACCGCCTGAGCACGGCTTCGCTTTTTGGACAATGCAACAAGATCTCCTAGAGCCTTGGTATTGTGAATTGGTGATTCTTGCACGGCAAGAGTAAGCGCTGAAATCTTATCACTCAATGTTCCAGATGTCATGATAGTCGAATAGAACTTGTGGGATGATGAAGAAGATTGCTGTTGAATTTGCGAGTATAGTTGATTTTCTTTCTCGAGCAGTGAGGTGGCATGTTGCTGTATCCGATCCATAAGGAATTTGGGAAGGCCAGTGGTCACTTTTGGGGCGGTCACAGATGGTAACTCAGTGCTATACCAGTCCGCTCTGGGCATGACAGTCTATCAAGGACATTAGTACTTTTCCATGAACAAGTTGAGTTCGCCAAATGACTTACCAATCGTGAGTATTCCTTGGGGAACTGTGACTGAGTCTCCGCGAAAGCGGCGTTTTTCTTGTCGGGAACTTGTGTAGCGATCTTGGACTTGATTTCTTTAGAGGGCATGTTGGCGTCATCCGCCTCGGATGCACTGTCTATCTCCTCATCGCCATGCTCCTCAACCTCCCCTTCCTCATCTTCCTCCTCGCTTCCATCTTCACTCGCAGGCTGTTCTTCTTCGACTTGATCATCGGCAATTACAGGATTGTACTGCCCGGCATCTTTCAATAGTTGAGCCAATTCTTTTCTCAGTGCATTATCGTTCGACCCTGCCTTTATGTGCGAACCGGATGCCTCTTCAACTTCCGAATCCGAAGCTACCTCCGCCAGAAGATCGAAATCCTCCTTGCTGCCACCCAAAGCCAAAATTTCCTTCCTTAAAATATCATCCTGGCTCTGGTCGTTCTTGGAATTCCCGCCTTTGGCGAGTTTCTCGATAACCTCTCCATCCCGGCTCCGCTTCTTGCCCTGATTTGAGTTCTGTGACTTGACAGCAGTATCCTTCTTGTCTTTGAAGTCGTGAACCGGCACCTTTTTCGTTTCGGTCTTCGAATTGTTTGTGCGTTTCTGAGACTTGTTGTTCGCGGTGTTTTTTCCGTCTTTCAATTTCTGTTCGATATTGCGGGTGAGGTTGGCAAGTGCTCCGGCGTCGAGAGAGATGAAACTTTCGTCGGTAGAGACCTTAGACTCGCCGGCCTGCGGAACACTTCCTGTCGAGGAGCGCTTTCCTTTATTTTTTGCCATGACCCCTGTAGAAAATTACTGGTTTGGGTCGAATTGAGCAATGCTCTTAATTTGGGTGTTTTTTTCTGCCGGATAAAACAGAAAAATTATGAGCTCCGCCGGAGAATAGTTTTGCAMCCGCCGATATCAGAAGCTCGGGCCACCAGCCTGCAGAATTGGGTTTAGTTCCTATCTCCACTCATTCTCCAGCTTCATTCGACCGATAATCTTGTTCCTGATTTCTTACATTTTGTGGTAAATATCATAATCTGATCTTTCATAAGCCTTCTGGCTAGATGTTTACAAATTGCAGGCTGTTAACACGCCCGAGGCCTTTTTTCGGCCTCCGGCCGGCCTGCTCAAACGAACGGAACAGATATTTGATTTTAAAGTGCAACATCCATGTAAGCATACTATGTTAATCGGTTCATTCGTGTCTTTGCATTGCTAATCATCTACAGTATGATGGCCGTAATAGAGCCTCGAACTTCTGGCTACCTACAGGCGGCATTGAAAGGAAAGCGGATGAAAGAGAGAAAGGTTGTCATCTTGCCAATCAGCTTCTAAGCACTTGTGCTGACAAGAGCGTACAGAGGATGCAAATCACCTCTTAGTCAGAGCTGGATTCATACGCCAGGCTTATGCGGGTGTCTTTCATATGCTACCGCTGGGTCTTCTTGTTCAGAATAAGCTAGAAGCTTTAATCGATACACATATGCAATCCCTTGGTAAGGATTGATAGGCCTTAATCAAGCGATCGGAGTGAACAAAGATCTGACTTTACCTCAGGTGCATCAAAAGTTTCTCTTTCATCTATATCATCTCAAGAGCTATGGAAGCAAACAGGGCGCCTGAAAAGCGGTGCAGAGGTACGAGTAATCGCTACTTTGATTGGCTGAAAGCTAACGCTTAGCTCTATAGGTCTTCAAATTCGAGGACAGAAGAGAAGCTCGTTTTCTACTTGCGCCCACACATGAAGAAGAGATAACCTCCCTTGTCGCACGCTTGGTCCAATCATACAAGGAGCTACCACTCAGATTATATCAAATCTGTAAGAATTTTCAAATAGCACTTTTATACATTTTTGGATCATTAATACTTCTCAGCAAGGAAATACAGAGATGAAGCTAGGCCACGACAGGGTCTTCTTCGTGGCCGAGAATTCGTCATGAAAGACCTGTATACGTTCGATTACAATGCGGAACAAGCGCTAGTGACATACGAAGCAACGCGGGAAGCGTACAAGCGCATATTTGACACATTGAAAGTACCCTATTTAGTTGCTGCTGCCGATTCAGGGAACATGGGCGGCAATCTGAGTCACGAATTTCACTTCATCAGTGACAAAGGAGAAGACACACTAATCAGCTGCTCGAATTGTGATTACGTATATAACGAGGAAGTATCGGACGGCCGCACAACCGCAAGTGTTACTGAGAACCCACTGGCTGCTCCTATGCCATCGGAAACTGGCGTCGGGACTGATAACCCCCTGGCTATATCCATGGCACTGTGGACTGCCATTTCAAAGGATAAAAAGACTCTAGTCAGAGCTTGGTACCCACGATATTCGACTCAAGATCTCGGCAGTGAGCCGAGGGAAAGAGAAATCAATTCGCACGCTGTCAAGGCTGTAGCCAAATCTGCAGGGGTTGATCTCGATACTAGTGTGGAAAATCCTGTTAAACTTTGGTACGAGCACGTTAAGAATGGTGAGATAGAGACTCTTGGCTCCTACGAAGAATCAGCCCGAGCCCACAAGATTCTCGATCTATATGATTCGCAGGTTGCCCCCTACAGTCGTCCCCCTCTCAGTGGACTACCGGAGGACTTCGACAAAGTCAAACACCCCGTTGATTTTGCCCTATTGAACTGTTTCCCTGGTAGTCAAGACGGATTCAGCTTGACCCGAGTCATCGATGGCGAGAAGTGTCCGAAGTGCTCCACGGGTTCTTTACATACGCACAACGCAGTGGAACTCGGTCACACTTTTTACCTTGGTACCCGTTACTCAGAAGTTCTCAATGCCAAGGTCTTTGTGGACGACTCGGCTCTCAAGTCCAAGGAACCCATCAGCAACAAATCCCAGAAGGTTCCGATGGAAATGGGTTGTCATGGCATCGGCGTTTCTCGAATGATATCTGCAGTGGCCGATGCGTGCTCCGATGTCCACGGCTTGAATTGGCCGAGAGCAATTGCACCATTTGAAATCGTTGTTGTACCGGGTCGAGACCTCGAGTCCGAAGCTGAGAATGTCTATGATCATCTGAGACGGCATACAGATACCAGCGATGTCATTCTGGATGATCGTGCCAAAAAAGTCGGATGGAAACTTAAGGATGCTGACATGATTGGATACCCGGTGATCGTCGTCGTCGGAAAGGCGTGGCAGTCGTCACAGAAACTTGAAGTGCATTGTCGACAGTTGGATGGTCTACGGGAGGATGTTCCTGTGGACAACCTGGTTGATTGGATTCGATCGCTGTTGGAGAAGCTTTAAGCAGAGCCAGAAGCTGAATGTATACTATTCATGTAACATATCTTGTATTATTAAAACTCGTACATAGGATCAAGCGAACTGTTCTTTCCGTCTTTGTTCGGAGTCATGATTCCCTATCTAGGTAGACACAAGGCACCAGTTGGCAGATGGCTATTCTACGCAAAGCAGACTGGTACCATTGCAAGCTTCTACACCGTGGTTGCCTTCCAAGGTTGTCATCTTGTTATGGCTGTGTTTTCACTAGAGAGCTCATGTTGCTGTCTTCAAGGTGGTGGAAGAAAAGGAAGAATTGAAGCTTTCGTTGCCCCCGGCCTGTGTACGTGCGTATACTGTACTTCGTCTAACGGTACCTGACTGGCCTAATCTCATGATCGATCATCTCGCATCTCTAGGTCATTATTACAGGCGTCAAACAACTCTGCACGCTCCTTCTCCGTCCTTAATATTCTTTCTACGGAGATTACACTAGAATAGCCTTCGATACCAGATGTAATTTCATTCCATTCCCTCTTCGCGACTTTTACCATGCTTTTCTGAAAGTATGCTGCTCAGCTATTCATGATACCGTCTCTGGACACGATCTGAGCGGGGTAAAGTGTATGTAAAAGGTCGGCTCAATTAATGACTGTCTCTGGCGCCCTAGGCTATCTTCGACGGATATACCAATACTGATGATACTGTCAATCTGTTCGTCAAAAACGAATAGAAAAGAAAGCGTAGTTGGTCAAATGATGTTTGGTGCTGAATATATAGACAAGTGGGTAGTTCCCCACTTGCGGCGAGAGCTTGGATGCTTCTCCCACAACTTCACTTTGACCTAACTCCCATTCTGCATTGCACCGCGCGCAAACACTCCGGTCACTGACAGGGGCGACGATTTCAAGCAAGCCATATTCAGGTATTGAACGGAGCATATTGAAGTCAACACGCACGATTGACTCACCATCGACGATAGCCCAGCGCTCCAAATTATTCAACATCAATAAAAATGTCTACCCCCGCCTCCGGAGAAGTTCCACCAGGAGCAGGTACGTTTCTCAATCGACCTCAGGAATTGCGCCTGTCGTTTATATGATCGTCATTCTGTCATCGAGACACTGACTAACCGCAAACAACAGTCGACGTTACAACCCTCTCCGTCCCCCAACTCCGCTCTCTCCAAACGCGACTCAACTCCGAACTCGAACAACTCACTAACTCACACGCAAAGCTGCGCGCAGCACAGTCCAAATTCCGCGATTGCGTCCGGACAATCAACGATGGCGTCGTGGGGAAGAAGACGCCGCAACCACAATCCGCAGATAACAACAGTATTCTCGTACCGTTGACGAGTTCGTTGTATGTCAAGGGGAAACTTGCGGATAGAGAGAAAGTCATTGTGGATGTTGGGACGGGCTTCTATGTTGAGAAGGTGAGAAGCTTCTTTTTCCGCGGAGGGATTGTGTTTGCTGGTTTCGCTAATGGAGCTTGTTGCAATTAGACTACCGCCAAAGCTATCGAATTCTATAACAAAAAAGTCAAGGAGTTGGAAGCGAACATAACTGATTTGGAAAAGATTGTTCAAGGGAAGAGCACAAATTTGAAGATTATTGAAGATGGTATGCTATCGACAATTTGCTCCCTATCGAATACACATGGCTAACTATGATTAGCACTTCGACAAAAGGTTGTGAGCGGCGAAGCCGTCACCGCCCCCTCCGGCTAAGTCTATAAGTTAGATAATGATGAAAACTCCAGCGTGACAATTGTTCAATAACCAAGGCTAGCCTAGAATACAGAAATCGGGAAAAGCCACAGCGATATATGGCAATCGGCATAATACTACACATGCAGGATCGCTGTGATAGCCACATGAAGCGGATTCAGATAATAAACCACTGATATGAGACCATTATTTGATGATCTCTTCGTTGACAGCTTTGCCTCTGTTTCGCAAATCTTCAGAGCCAAATCTAGTTTTCTCATAGCACGAAACAATACTTGTCAAGCCATATGCTGTGCGATTTCATAGATTGCCATGATCATCAAATATTATCCATTCGTATTGTCGAGCTCTGCGCCTAGTCCAGATCGATCAAAAACCCTTCATTAACAGACATTTTGGTTGTACGGGATGTGGATGATGGTCGGGGAATGGATTCCATAGGTCGTGAGCCAGCAGGATTCCAGAGCCCTGCCACATTTGTGGCAATCAGGATAAATCGTTCGAAGGCGTCTCTCGGCGTCTCTCGCCCCTCGGGTTTGAAAAGAGCATAAAGAGCGGAATTCAAATCGAAGCTTTCCGTGCCTTGTATCCTGCCGAAGGCCTTCGTAGCATTGTCCCAACTTTGACCATACAGAACAACTTCGCTGAAGGATGTGGGAGGGTTGAACTCTAGGTACGAAGTAGAGTCTGCAGCCTGGCGTGCCCGACTTGGCTTTGGATAGTAGATATCATAGCGAGCGATTTCTAAAAAGTAGTCTGTATTTCTGACTTGATATTGCACCGTGGCCTTTTCTACAAGACGGAAGATTTTTGCGCCGATAGGAAGCTTCGAATGCCGTTTGGCCGGTGCTAGAAAAGAAAAGTCGACAGTGTCATTTTCGGATGGCCTGAATCGAATACCTTCTAGTATATCACGCATAGATTGATCAAGTTGACCAGGGTCCAGTATTGTTTTTTCTTGGATCTTGAATTCAAGATCAGCTCTGCATAATCGTCAGCTATCTCAAAAATTTAAAATAGAGGTCCATCCCTTACCTCTCCGGGTTCAGCATGACTGCTTGAAGTAGTGGTCGGTTCCCAGCTGTTGATCTACCCAGATCAGATCTCACCCAGCGAGAATTCACCTTTTCATAATGCCCTTCGGATGCTCGGAAATCGACCTCTAAGTGAATCAATTCGTTGTCTTTTGGTGGGAATTCCACCTTTACTGAACGACGAGCTGTTGAAATTGCGCTTTGATCGTTTTCAAGTACGAACATCTCATTTGCTTGCCTTATCTGGTTAAGCAATTGATCGAGCGAAAGTCTAATGATGAGATATCGCGTTAGCGAACTTTTTGTATAATAATATTGCTGCTCTCACCCCGAAGTGATACGGCCTCTAGTCATTGGCTGGGACAGCATCTCATTAAATTCGTCAAATGAGTAGCCATTCTGAGGATTCTTTGGATAACGATACTGCTCAAAAGAGAACGAGCCCAAAGTGACTCGCATCTGAGCAACTCCTTTAAGTGAAGGCACGCACCGAAAAGATTCTTCAAATGCAGCGAGCAGACGATTGATGTTGGTTGACCACAGCTCAGCTTTATCGATGAGCAGTCCCGTAAACCTAATCTCAGTCGTCACGAAATTCACTTTCGCTTTTTTGGTCTTTTGCTTATCTTCTGGTTGAATATCCAATAGGATGGATTTGACAAAGCGTCCGGGGCATGGCAACCCCAAGAGGTACAATTTCGTGCTGTTACGGCGGTCTGATATTCCCGAGTTTGCCTGGGAAAGGAGAGTCAATATTGCTCTCGAGTTGTTCGGCTAGGCAGTACTTGACCACATAAACTCACCGTGTATTTGGCACTTTGAGCTCCTCCATACCCAAAATCTGGATTTCTGGTGACATTTGGGAATGCCTGCTTTTGCAACTTTGGCGCCTGCCTGTTTCTGGTAGCCATATCTCACTTGTAGAGGGTTTGACGTCTACAGCTAAAGATCAGACGTTTCCTTGATGTTTCGACTAGAACGAACTTCGGATCAGAGCATTGGATGTAGGCTCGATAGCATTTGTCTGATTCGGACGAATAAATTGCTGTCCCCTAAGACCTTAGAGAAAGAGATATTCAGAGGGTCTCCGCTGCTCAATTTGGTAGTGGTCTTGACTTCACGGAGTAGAAGTTGAGATGGAAAGAGGAGCAGACATCTGCTGACCTCTCTCCGCGCATCCATACAAAGGAATGTCGCAGGATTGAGAGAGGAAGAGAAAAAGGAAAGATACAAAGGAGATTTCTGGGTTGGACCTGAAAATAGTCATGGTTGGAACGTTCCAAACTAGACTAGAAAGCTTGTGCATATAGTAGATGATCTAGTATGGTAGTATACATAGAGGCAACATGATTGTGTAGGATATAGACATGACTGGAGGGGGAAGGGAAGGAAGTTTCCCCTCCGTTGATGAAGAGGAAGAAGGAAGAAAGTGATGGGAATCAAAGTCCTTCGTGGGAGGAAAGAACGATTCATCTTTGGCATGCGGAAGTTGCCCGTTTGACAGGTCGCTCCTTCTCCGCCTGGCAGCAGCTGACCTCCCAATCAGACATGTCCATTTATCACACAATGAACATCGAATCCCATAATAGCTCTTCCGTTTGTTCTATTTTGTGTTTTGTTTGTCCTTTTGATGATTGACAAGCTGGCAGGCCTCGCTCCACTCAGCCAGAGCTTACTGCAAAATATTGTGTATGTGACTGGCGGCCCTTACAGCTATTCATGTAAAATCCGCGAAACGGATCTTAATTTTCTATAGTACGTAAGAAGGGAGAATATCGTGATGGGACGAAGGAGGCTATCGTTGGGTGGCACTAGTCCACTCCTGATCTAGCGGGAACCGATACACACTAGCCAGATGCAGGAAAGTGCGACGCGTCCCGCAACTCGGGGAAGGAACGCGTGTACCAGATTAGGCAAGATTGAAATTTCGCGAAATTGGCAGCACCAACTACGGGTGACAGGACGACCAATGCGGAGAAAATATGTCTGACATCTGATTGAAAATACCCACCCATCGACTCCCCGACAAGTGCCTACAGCCCGCGAACACAATGGCTGCGCAAACCAGGCCTTCATCTGGCCAAAACGTCCGAGATACCAAGGAAAAGGCTCGGCAATGGCTTACCAAGGGAGCCCTCGTCCGTGAAGACTCGGACGATGAACTAGGTTACGATGATCTTCCCTGGGAATGGATCTACGAAGAGGATACAAGCGAAGATAAAGAAAACAAGCCTCATGTATCGGCGACCGAAGAAGACGACCACGAATCGAAGACTTTGCGACGACGTTCTGGCCGCTCGAATAACAAGAAACGAAAGATCGTGGGCGCTCGTATGGGTACATTTGAATGCAGACTAGGACATGTGGTACTGCTGAAGTCTCCAGAGGCCGGCAAGGACTGGGTGGGCTTGATCACGGAATTCGTCGAGGAAGACGACGAGGATGACGACGAAGAGATAATCAAGTCAGCCAATATCATGTGGTTTGCTTCGCCAGAAGAATTCCTGTCGGCAAAAACGAAAAACAAAAAACGAGCGGACGCTTTACCCAACGAGCAATACTTAACAGCGGACTTCAACGTGAACCCTCTTACCTCGATCAATGGCAGAGGAAGGGTAATGTCGAAAGATGCTTTTTTTGCCAGATATCCAAATGGAATACCGCCCAAAGATAAAGAAGAGCTGGCAGAATATCAGAAGTGCATTGTCTGTCGAAGAGGAGTCAATCAACTCCAAGGGAAATATACTGAAGAGTTCCTTTGGGAGGATGTTTACAAGGGCGATGAAGCAAGCGTGTACAACTTGATTGAATTGATCAAAGCGGGCCTCAAAACGGCCAAGAAGCGCAAGGCCGCTGACGATGATGTGAGTATTCCTGGGCCGTTGTCACTCTTTTAGCTGCTAACAGCTCTGCTACAGTATGTCGATATGAATGACGGGGACGAGAAAGCGCCCATTACACCTAGAAAGAAGCAGCGTACGACCGCTCTAACAACGCCGCAGTCAAAACGAAAGATTTTTACCACACCGACCAGCAAACGGTCAGTCTTCTTGAGACTCATTACTAATATGGGACACGTAGCTAACATGTTGCCACATACAGGATTGTGGTGAAAAAACCACTAGAATTCACTCCACTTGGAACTCGTGTACTTGATCCTACTCATTTCACGTCTTCGCCATATCGTCAAGCACGATCATTACTGCATGTTTCCAGCGTTCCGACCTCACTACCTTGCCGTAGTGCAGAGTTTGAAACAGTGTATACTCATCTCAGTGCCGCTATCGCCGAAGGTAGTGGTACTTGCATTTATATATCAGGCACGCCAGGCACCGGCAAGACAGCCACTGTCAGGGAAGTGATTGCCCAATTGAACAATGCGGTGCTTGATGAAGAAATGGATGATTTTATCTTTGTCGAAATCAACGGTATGAAAGTGACGGACCCCCATCAGTCCTACTCTCTACTGTGGGAAGCGCTGAAAGGAGACCGCGTATCACCCTCACACGCACTTGACCTATTGGAAAGAGAATTCAACCATCCATCTCCGCGTCGAGTCCCGTGCGTCGTTTTGATGGATGAACTTGATCAGCTCGTAACGAAGAACCAGTCGGTCATGTACAACTTCTTCAACTGGCCTGCTCTCCGCCACTCACGTCTTATCGTCCTTGCTGTTGCGAATACTATGGATCTGCCAGAGAGAACACTCAGCAATAAGATCTCAAGTCGTCTTGGCCTTACTCGCATTACATTCCCTGGTTACAAGCATACAGATCTCATTGAAATTATATCATCCCGACTCGCCAACGTCCCGGGTGATATTGTCGATCCCGACGCTATTCAATTTGCTAGCCGCAAAGTTGCAGCCGTTAGCGGAGATGCTCGTCGAGCACTAGATATCTGTCGACGGGCTGTTGAAATTGCCGAGCAAGAGTGCGAAGCAAATACCTCGAAGAACGATATTGACGACGCAGAGTCACTTCCACCTACCCCAAGCAAAAGTGCCATACGCAGAACCCAAAGTCAGAAGGGTAATAGCAAGTCTCTTGTCAAGATTGAGAGTCCTCAGAAAAAGCCACCGACACAAAAAACTATTCCACGAGTCACGATCGCTACAATAAAGCAAGCCATTCAAGAAGCAACATCCACCCCTTTACAACAATCCCTTCGCTGTCTTCCACTTGCCGGAAAATTATTCCTCGCAGCTCTGCTTGCCCGAGTCCGCCGCACTGGTATATCTGAGTCTACAATGGGAGATGTCTTAGATGAAGCACGACGAATTGCAGATGCAGCAGTGGCGGTTGCCGGGCTCGCAGGATCCAGCATCAAGAATTACCTACTTGGCAAGGACAATCCGGGTGCAAGAGTACATGCCATGGTCTTTGCCGCCATGGAACTTATGAATTCAGGCGTTGTGGCTCTTGAAACCGGTGTTGGTATTAGGGTTCGTGGTGGTGGAGACAGAAGTAGTAAAGTGAGGTTACGAATTGCTGCTGAGGAAGTCAAGTCTGCCTTTAGAGATGACATTGAAGCTAAGGGATTAGGCTTGGGTTTTGATCAATAGATGTATATATGAATTTATTAATTAGAATATTGATGCATGGGTACGGCGTTGATTTGCATGTCATTAATAGCATAGCCTGCTTTCTATATTATGAACATTCGATTATAGGTTGAGCACTAGCACTGCCTAGCTTGTGAGCGTGACTATGACAAGCGTAGCGAAAGATCATTTAGAATGTTCAGCTCGAAGAGGCTATTTTCCGACGGCCTGTTTCCTGGATCTGTTTGCTGTACCATGCCTATTGAAACACGTTAGGTTAAAGTCTCATTTCTTCACAAATTGTACTCACAGGCTCAGCTCCCGAAGTAAGAACCTTGATTCCAGTCCACCTAACAAGCCACGGAGCCGTGATCTTTTTGTAAGGAAGCTGCGCCTCTTCATCAGGAACCTCATTGTTAAAAATAATACTCTTAGGAAGGGACGGCATTAGAACTGCAGGACGCGCAAGCCCAATCAGGTCACACGAATTGTTCTGCATCGCCGCTATCATTCCCCGTCTCGTACGGAAGCCACCCGTCAACAAAAGAGGGATTTCTGGAACTTGGCTACGAATAGCGTTTGCGAACTCCAAGAAGAAAGCTTCACGAGCGACTGTATGTGCTGATTTCGGATTTTGAGATTGACCGGTACCTTCTATGAACTGCTCTGCCCGTCAGACGTGTATGTCAATAGTATGGATGGGGTCTCTGTACCGTAACATCCTCGTAAGATCCACCACTAATCTCGACGAAATCGACTCCAGCTTCAATTATCATTTTGAGCTGTGTTATACATCCTTTTAGGGCCTCAGGAGATTGATGATCGACAGAGTTCATCTTGAGACCAACGCAGAAACCTTCAGGGGTTGCAGCACGGACGGCATGAATGATGTCAATGACAATCTTCGCGCGTTTTTCGGGAGATCCTCCGTACTCGTCCGTACGATGGTTTGTATCTGCAGTCAAGAACTGTGTAAGAAGGTAGCCGTGGGCAGCATGAATCTGAACGCCATGAAACCCGGTCTCTGCAGCGAGTTGACTGCATTCCACAAATTGCTGAACTACCAGATCAATATCCGTCTGATTCATTTCGCGTGGCGTACCAAAGACGAATGCAGACGCAAATTTTGCCAACAGACCCGGTCCCACGTTCAATGGGATAGCGCTGGGTGCTAAGTTTTTGGCAAAGAAAGGGCGAGTTCCTGCTCCGGCTGGCGATTGTCGTCCTGGGTGGTTGATTTGCATGATGATAGGCGTATCGTTGCTCCTGCAGGTCGATGCATATGCCTTCCATTTGGAGAGAAGCTCAGTCTTTCGGGACGGGTTGACTGCGACGTCGCCTGCGTCTCCTTTGTATGTTCTATCCACCATGACATTGCCTGGATAGGAATGAGCGAAATGTGCAGAAAAAAGGTGTTCAGTGAGATTTACCGGTCAGAACCATGCCCCATCCGCCCTCAGCCCATTCTGTATAGACACCATTGTGCACGTCAGTTGGCATGCCGTTTGCATCGGCCATGTTCTCTGCCATTGATGCCTTTACGAGGCGGTTCTTCAACTCGAGACCGCATTTTAGCTTCAATGGTTGGGCGATCGTTGACTCCATCGTTTAAAATGTCGCCCTCCGCTTCAATACTTGAAAAGACAAAGTGTCAATCAGAATTGGCAGGGAGACTGGTGATTTATGTGGACATCTCGAAACCACTCACCATGCTTGTTGCCACATGGGTAATAAGCCGAGGCCGGCTGGTACTGAAGCCTGCGGAGAAAACGGACGAATCTTATCCTGTCTCGCCGAAATCGAGAGCAAAATCATCAATTAAAATCAAAAAGTGGCGCTTGAGGTTTGTACGTGCGAAGATCCTGAGGAAGGCTATTGGACTTCACCGGGGTTAGTGCCTAATCAAGTAAGTGCAGGGGTCCACTAGATTTTCACATTACGATGCGGACACTAGGTTGAATGTAGCAATCTTCCAGAAAACTGTAAAAATATTAAATAGTATGATACGTATGTTCAATGTCCATAGAGGCTTTTGAATTTGGTCTCTTCATCCTTGCTATAACTCCATAACTCCCATGCCATGCAAAACAAGAGTTGCCACAACCTTAATACTTTTGTCTTCCCAGAGTCGGTTTCCAGTCCAAAGGATGGGATTCTGGTGTAGCTTCATCGTCCGGTTTCCAGATCTTAATCGTCTTATCAGCTTCACCAACAATCAATCGGAGACCTGTACGGTCGAATGTGGATGACATGATGCCAGCTTCGGCATCCAGGGAACCCGGCTGAGCTGTGGTATCGAGGGATTGGAATCGATGACCCGTCTTCCAGTCCCAGAAGGACATGGATCCATTGTCGCCGCCGGAGAAAAGAACATTATCTTCATTTACTGCGATAGAATTGATGACTGAATTCTGGCCTTCGAAATTCTGCATGAACGCGCCTTCGGGACATTTCCATTGTTTGATGCTGCCCGTGCTAGCACTTGCGAATGTAAACTCCTTGGGATGTATGGCAAGGCTTCGCACACCTTTCTTGTGGTGTGTCAATACCCCCATAGTCTTGCCTGCCGCGAGATCCCATAGACGAACGGTTGAATCCAGAGAACCGGTAATGATCTGAGGATCGGCCTCCTGACACTTGACATCCGCGACGGTACCCTTATGGCCGGATAAGACGTGGATGTTGCTGCGCGTTCGCATATCCCATACTCTGGCGACACCATCGCGACCTCCTGTAACGAGCACATCTAAATTTGGGTGTATAGCAAGCGTGTAGACACCACTTAGATGGCCATGGTAGTGTCGAATGACTTTATTCGCTTCCAGATCCCAGCATTTGACCATCTTGTCCTCTCCGCAAGAGAATAGATACGGGTGACGAGGTGATACCGCAAGACCCCGCACTGTCGATATATGACCGGTCAAAGTAAGACGCAGCGACCCAGTAGCCAAATTCCAAATCTTGATAGTCCGATCACCGGCACCACTAGCAAACCATTCGTTATTAGGCTCTACGGCCAATGCTCGTACCCAGCCAAGATGACCAGAAATAACTCTCATAAGCTTCCAAGGAGCATGCCAGTCAGGGCGTTGCTGTGGCGTCGCCGTGGGCCGCGCAATAAGGCTTTTGCTTTGATTTTCAGCGGACGATGGTCCTGCCGGAGTCGTCTTAACCAAGGCCTGTGAGCTACCACTTTGCTGACCCTGACCCGAGATTTTGGGCCGCTTTGTGCGAGAAGCTGTTGCTTTTGCTTGTTTTTCGGCGAGCGATTTGGGAAGCTCTTTTACGTCTTCATATTCGGCCTTTCGTCGATACGAGACACCTATTGAACCATCTCCGAGTGTCGAGGGCGTCGCCATTAGGTAATCGGATCCGAATAGCTCGACAGTGCGTTTGGCAGATTGACGCACAGCTTGGTCGGCTGGCAGTGGATGGGGAACCACGTCCATTGTGAAGGAGGAGACGAGGCTTCTCGCGTGCGCGGTAGTCAAGCTGACGATTTAAAATATTTCTTCGCGGTCGCTGTACAGTTTTAGCTCGAGTAATAATTGGCGAATCTGAGTATTATAATCTGCAAACTGTAGTCGCTTGTGGTGCGCGACAGGAGGGCGTAATTTGCAAGTGTTGAATAGACGTGGAAGAAAACTGATGGTAGAAGGCGACGAATTGCGGCGGACTTGCGAACTTTCAACTTCGACTCCAGAAGCTCGGGCCACACTTCTTTCCCCGTTGCGATAAGTTTGGCCCCGCATGATTTCTGCTTCGACATCTCAACATCTCCCACACATATCCATCTCTACATCGTCATATTTTGTTCTTTCTTCTCTCGAAGCTTGCATAATGGCTGCAGAACCTGAAGCAAAGTTCGCCATACATGAGGCCGCCCGTGAAGGCAAGAGTAAGTTCATTCGAGAAGTATAAATCAAAGTCTCCGCTGACCATTCCTGAGCTTCCGTGGTGGAATCACTATTGAATGTGAGTTTTCCTCGAATAGAAACATGTCCTTCTTATCCTAGACCTACCCTAATTCATTTTCAATCAGGCAAACCCAAAACTCGCTTCGCGTAAAGACGACGATGAGCGTTTACCGATACACTGGGCTGCAGCATACAACCGATTACCAATCGTCGAATTGCTCGTCTCGAATAAATACTTCGATCCTGATGTCACGGTTCGTCTGCCTCTGTTTTTCACTCTATTCGGACTTTCTTTTCATACCTTTTCTAGGACGGCTCCGGTTGGACGCCACTTATGATCGCCGCGAGCTTGAAGAATGCGGAAGGAGACGCTATAATTGATTTATTACTACGCAAGGATGCCGATGTCAACATCAAAAGTGTATCTGGTCAAGTAAGGAGCTGTCTAAAATCTCTTGATAGACCGCTTTCTAACGTTCGTTTTCCGACAGAACGCTCTCCACTTCGCAGCTTCTAAAGCCAACCTATCCACCGTCAAAATTCTCATCGCCCATAAATGCAGTGCGCGAGTCAAAGACAGGCGAGGCCAGCTTGCACTACATCGTGCTGCCGCTGTTGGCTCAACTCCTATATTGAAGATATTACTCGATGAAGGAAAGAGTCCTGTCAATGCTACCGATGTGGACGGCTTGACGGCGTTACATCATGCTATTTCCGAAGGTCATGGTGATGCGGCGATATTGTTGATGAAGGCCGGCACAGATCTTGAAAAAAGAGACGGTGACGGCAACCTAGCTATTGATTTAGCGCCAGATACCAAGGTGCGTTAACCCTTCTTCCAAGTTGAAGATCATTCGTTAACATGACATACGCAGGTTCGGAAATATATCCTACAGACTGCAGAGCGCGAAGGCATAGAACTACCTTGATGGAAATAGCTGGCATGGTCTATATGGCGGCTTATTAAAATCAATATAAGTTTCATCAACATACACAAGTTCGCTTGCTTGCGAAATGACACATGTACCAATGATATATATACACTATACGCAAATGATGATTGATAATACCGGGTGGCTAGAGACTTAGCCTCATTTCATGGTGCTATCAACCAACTCCCGGTATATCTTCTTGAGATCTGCAATATCGGCTTGCAGCTCATCGACTTGCTCACTCTTCTCTCCAAGGAGCTCTAGTGTCGTTTGATAGCGCTGGTCAAGCTCCGCAACTTGCATTTCCAGTTCCTCGATACGCGACTCCGCTTTGCGCCTCTCTTCGGATTCTCGCATTAATTCGACAACCTCTTTCCTGGCTTCGTCTCGCTGTGCTGTGATGCGCTCGAGCTCATCTTTTGTCGCAGCTCGTTCACTTTCGAGCCGTCGGACAGTCGCGCTCATACGCTCAACGAGCTGTACAGATGGGCCGGCTCCAACCGTGGACACAGAGATTATTTCGTTGATGCCATTTCCGCGGGAGTGGCTTGTTTGCGCTCCATAAGCCGACGGCGTGGCAGGCGTCCCGCTGTAATATTCATCTGGCTCCAGTGTGTGGATAGGCGGTGCACCCAACAAATTGGGATTGGGGAGACCATTTGATGCATGGGGCGAGCCCATACCCTGGAATGAAGGGAAGGAGTTCGTTCGTGAAGGAGCTCCCATCTCTTGAGACGGCAGAGTGGATGAGCGGCGGCTCAGTGGACGGCTATCAATGGTCAGAGGATCGAGACCTGTTGATCTACGGCTCGAAGCGACAGGCGACACTGTTCGAGGTTCTTGAAGAAAAGGCGGCGGCGAAGCAACCTGGTCTCTCCATCTTACCCTTTCTTCTTCGAGTTTCTGAGTCCAGAATGATTCGACCGACTTCTCCTTGTCTGCCAATTCCTTTCGAACTGCGTTGAGGTCTTCTTCTGACTTTTCAACTCGCTGGTCAAGTTTCTGCAATTGCTGCTTCGTCTCTTGCAGTGAGCGGTCCAAGTCCGCAATCGTTTCATTTGCAGTTTCGAGCTCATCCTCTGCCTTCTTGGCTCTAATGTTCTATTCAACCCGATTAGTATGGAAATGAATCAATTTTTGGTTATGGTGTATGCACGTACCACTTCCCGAGTTTTCCGTCGTAAGTCTGCCTCTTTACGGGCAATTTCGTCACGTTCCTTCTCCATTCCGTTCAGCCTTGACAGTAATGAACTCTCAATACCTTGCCAATTTTCACTGGCCACCGCATACTGTGTCTGCAGTGTCTCGATTTGACGAAGTAATTTCGCTTGCGTCTCTCCGGCCGTGCTAGAGGACACCTCCTCGGCTCTGGAGCGAAGACTCTCCATCTTGCTTTCCAGCACTGATTGTTCGCTCTTTAGTTCGGCTTCTAACAATCGAGCGTTCTCCTTCTCTCGTTCTAGATGATCTTGCAAACTTCGAATCTCTCTTCTCAGTTTCTCCTCGCTGAGTTCTCGTTCTATCTTTGCGCTTGATAGATCGTCTTCAAGTTCTGTGATGCGCCGTTTCGAGTGTTCCACAACCTCAGCTTGAGCTTTTGATTCTGCTATTTCGGCGCGAGAGACTGCCCTGGATAATTGACTCCTAAGTTCCTCCACTGTTGAGGATAATGCGTCTCTTTCAGATGTGATAGATTCGAAGTCCTTGGAAGCTCTCGATTGCGAAGTCAAGCTTTCCAGTGCCTTCTTCTCCGATGCCTCCGCCCTTTTCGCTCGTGCTTCTGCATCGCTAATGTCTCGCTCTAGTTTGGCCGTGCGTCGCTTTAGCTCAGTTTCCTGTTTGTTGCTTTCTGCCAACTGTTGTCGCAACTTCTTGATGACGGTACGGTTGTCTAACTCTGTTTTGGACAGTTTCTGTCCCTCTTCAAGTAGCAATGCTATGCGCTCATCCTTTTCGGATAGTCGTTTTTCGATGCTGCCTGGTTTCGCGGCGGTGGCTGCGTCGCGTGCGGAGTCTGCAGCTTCTTTAGCCAGATACATCAATTTAGACTGTAATGCGTCAATTCTTTCGATGTATTCGTGCATATCTTCCTGCCATCTAGACTCTGCAGCTTGGTGTTCAGCCCTTAGCTCCTCAAATGGGTCATTTGTAGGTGGAGAAGGCGGCTTTGTGAATTCGGGCTGTACAATGATATCTGAAGCGTCAAAAGTATCTTGCTTGGCTGAGTCGTCTGCTACTTCCGGCTCAACGATCTCTGGCACTTCGCCCTCGGCTTCTTCGTTGTTGTTATCCGGCATATGCTCAATCACGGACAATTCCTTGGAAGTCCGCGGTTGACTGACTGAGTCGAGACTATCTCTGGTCACAGTAACGGTAATAGCTTCGTTGTTGCGGGCACTGGATACACTTTGATCTAAGCTCGTCCTCGTACTGTCCAGACTAGCGCGTGCTTCGGTAGGTTGTAACGGGGTCGACGAACGAGACGGTACATCAATGGACGAGCGGGGGCTACCGGACATTGTCGGGCTTTGTGACTTGGCCACGGCTCTCGCCAGACGTTCTTGCAAGCGGTCATTTTTGCGAGCTGTGGAGGAGGTTCGAGTAACTGTTTGGCAAGATTATATTAGCCTTTGATCCCGCAAATTGAGCGTATGAACTTGTTGCTTACTTCCGGCCGGTTTTGCGGCCGTTAAAGCAGACTTGGTAGCTGCATCCTCGGCTTTGGGTCCAGACGTCTTCGGTGATTCTTCATCATTTGCCAGAATTGTATCCAGTCGAGATTCTACTCCCGAGACTGCTTGCTGTAGTAAGGCGCCAACACCCCATCTGGATTTTGTCGGCTGCGCATTGGACGTCATTGCGATAGTGGGTGCGGTCGTAGTCGGTCAGACTAAAATATAAGGATCGGTCAAGCGGGTGCATTCATGGAAAACGCTCTAGTACCAGCAGCGAGCAGAGCTGATCGGACGAGAACCGTAAATGGTACTCTTGTTGCAAGTTACGCAAGACAAGGCCAATTCCGGCGGGTCATCTACCCACGCCGGAGTCAGATACGGCGAAAGCTGTTCATTGGATCTGTATAAACAAGAATGCGATATATGTGTCACGAGAGAAAGACTGGTGAGGATGGACAGCGGACAAGCAAGGATATGGCACGGAGTGTTGAACTTGACTCTGTCCACCAGGTACCAGCGTTAACAATAAATACGGAGCGGGCTAAATTAATCTATGTCAGCCACCTGGCAAATCAGAGCCGGCGCGTGTTTCTCTTGGCGAAAACGTCTTTGCATTCATTACAGCACCCCCAGGTCTTTCTCGCTACATTCAGTACGTGTGTACAACTCTTAAGATGAAAGGAGGATAACAGTGATGAGTACTGGTGGAAAATCATGAAGCTCGATGTATTCGTAATCCCGAAGTACGTGCGCATCCCGAAGCTTGAAGCCGTCCGCGTAACTACGTATACCCAAGTACAATATACGTAAGAGCGAATGCTATGGTACATAGATTAGAAGCGGACTAGTGTCTGATCGAAACGTGTTCTGTGCAACTGGACATATCGTACAGTCAGGTGTAGCTATGGCGGAATAGCTTTGCCTAGGGACGGCTTTCACGCCTATTGCTTCGATAGCCGTTGTTACTCCTTGACGGCCCGAAATTGTAGGATATCAAAGCTGTAATTACCTGAAATCGAATAATTAATGTCTTTGCTGTACTGTTTTAAGGGAATGTGATGGTGTAGTTATTGTAAGAGTAGATTGAAGTGGGTCCTCGCCTGGTCAAGCTAACTCAAGCTCCGTCCCTGCCAGCGTCTGCGGTGCCTCTACGACATCATTCCGCCTGAAGCACTTCGTCTCTCACCCATCCTACCTGTGCTCACTTCACTCAGAATCAGGATCAAGAAGTTCTTCTCGGTATATTCTCAGTCGACGCAATGTCGCTCGAGCCGCCCACCTACCTCAACTCCCTCCAGAACAATATCCGAGCTCGACCTATTCCATGGGATGGCGCAGTGCGGGCTGGGAACATCACCGATGAGCACTTGCGCAAGATCAAAGCAGTCGACAAGGTTCGGAAACAAGAACGCAAGCAGGCAGTTGAAGCCGACTTGAATGCTTATACGACGCTTCTTGCTGGCAATCCTCCGGACGTGAAGAGTGTCCTGGACTCGGCTTCTCGACGGACTGATATAGTGCAGTATATTCTGGTACTAGCTGCAGACTTAATCAACGGTATGTGTTCAACAATAAGCCTTTACTAGGCCACCGCTAACGACTTTGTGCAGACGTTCCTGCTCTTGCCTCGGCGCTCATCTCGCATCCCAATCCCTACAATGCATTCCTTCCATTTTTACGGAACCTCACAAACCCCGAAGACCCCATCCCTCTACTCGCATCCTCGTTTTTAACGAATCTTCTTTCGAGTGCGCTTATTTCAGATCAAACTTCCGATACAGAAGAGGCAGCTCTACCACCTTTATATACATACCTGGCGGATTTGACGAAGAATCAGGATAGTGGACTACAGGATATCGGCGTTCAAGGGTTTTCGGCTTTGCTACGCAATAAAGTGGCTAGAGAGCTGCTCTGGAAACAGCGCGCAGAGACCCTTGATCCCTTGGTGGAGATACTTCGCACAGCGGCCGGCGGCAAAGACAACGGGTCGATCAACCTGGCTAGCTCTGCTGCTACCAGTAGTCTTCGCACTGCCGATATCAGCATTGGGGGTGGAGTGGGACTGCAACTGCTATACCATGTGCTTTTGGTTATCTGGCAGCTCAGTTTTGAGGGTAGTCTCGTCGGAGAAGAACTGCAGTCGTAAGAACGGTCTTCGAATCCTTCTTCAAAACTTTGCTAACCGTTGCAGGCAATACGATATAATCGAGCTATACACACAGTTACTACGGCTCTCGCCCAAGGAGAAAACTACACGCCTTCTCCTCGCTACCTTGAACAATCTCCTTGCTGCAAATCGTACACTCCTGCCTGTAGCAACATTTGTCCGCCTACCTGCATTACTTTCGAATCTGAGCGGCCGCCATTTGACTGATCCCGATCTTCTGGAAGACCTCCAGTCGCTGACGGACTTGTTGGAGGAGTATACAAAGACGCAGACTACCTTTGATGAATATGCAGCCGAACTACAATCGGGACACCTACGCTGGTCTCCTCCTCATCGCAACCCGACGTTCTGGCGAGAGAACGCGCGCCGCATTCTCGAAGAGGAGCGCGGTGCCTTACCCAAGAAATTGGCAGAGATTATTGCAAAGAGCTGGGAGAATGACAAGCAGGTTCTGGCGATCGCATGTAATGATGTCGGTAACTTGGTCAAAGAAGTTCCGGAGCGTCGTATCCAACTCGAGAAGCTGGGACTGAAGACCCGAGTGATGGAGCTGATGACTGATCGTGACGAGTCAGTGCGGTGGGAGAGCTTGCGTGCAGTAGGAGAGTGGCTTCGATACAGCTTTGATAAATAGGCGGGKCTTTTTAGGTGTTTCTCGTTGTATATACCTCTTTTCCTAGTGCGTTATTCACTGTCTGTTAAAAGACTCGAGAATCATCCGGTCTGTAATGGGGCATTAGTGTGGGGAAGAATTGCTTTAAATTGAGCACTAAGGCATCAAGGCACTAACCGGTCATGCCTTCCTTTGCAGGCGGCGATGCCATCCAATCGTCGCCGGGCGATAAGACCCCTCATCAATCTAGACTAAAACAGCCTCAACTCTCAAGTTTTCGTTTTCAATCAATTAGTTCTTCTCTATCTCTCCGAGCAGGCAGAGAGTCCCTTGTCACAACAAACTTTGGTGCTCCACTCGATTGATTGTGCTCCATTCGTTATCGCTCAACATTCTGTTATCGTATCGCGATAAGCACGCAGCGCATTTTGCGTCTCAACATTGCTACAAGCGCAGGACGGGGAAACTGTCTGATTTAGCCCATCCCCGTCCTCCCCAGATTCAGTACCCACCATTGGTCAAAAATAGATTATCAAGATGTCTCGGTCCTTCAAGGGCTGCAAGCGTTGCAAAGCAAGGAGGCAGAAATGCGACGAGCAACATCCAGAATGTACGTTCAAGCCCATGTCCTCTGATTCTCTCTTCGATACAAAGAATGCGATCTGACGAAACCTTGTGGCAGGCGGTCGATGCAAGGCAACCGGAGTGCAATGTAGATACGCCATGGAGCTGCAGTGGGGTGGACGAGCGTTCTCACGATCGAGATTTGGCGACTGCGGGCCTGGAATGCAGAAACTGGGTATGTATGGCTATTCGTCGTGGTATTTCGCAGTGCATTACGAAGAATGCTAACTGGCTGTCAACTCTTCCACGTGCAGAATATTCCCCGGGACAGTTTATCTACACTACAGTGAAATCTGAAGGTGCCTCACCTGCATCGTCGCCAAAAACTACTACCGCTTCTTCACCATCTCCCTCGCCATCTGCGGACTTGTCAATCGCTCGCAGGATTGACCCGTTCTCTTCCTTGTCACCTAGTCAAAAGGCGCTTCTCCACCATTTCATTAGCGATGCATCACGTGTCACGTCATCTCATGGTGGAATGCAGCAGGAGATCTGTCAGATGATCGTCCCCATGGCTCTGCAGACACCATCTCTTCTATATGCAACCATGGCTTTGTCCGCCATCCACATTGAGGCCTTAAACAATCATTCCGGAACAGTCAAGGCCGCCCCAGATATTGCGAGATTGATGGCACGCAGTCTGGAACACTTCCGCCTAGAATTACAGGATTCCTCGCGCAAAGGCTCGGACGTTCTTTTGGCCACCGCACGCACGCTATGTCTGGCCGAGATACATTCCGGTGCTATCCAGCCAAACACGTGGAGAGCACATGTGGAAGGGGCTAAGGCGTTGATGAGCACAACGACACAATCGTCATACACCCCGGCGACGGCGTTTCGCAAGTACCTCGATCGTTGGTATCGATCGATCGTTGCCCTTACAGCACTCAACGGAAATGGGCCTCCTATTGGTGAAACGTGGGCTCAAACGGAGACGTCTGTATCTGATGACCCGGATTATCTGGATGATTATTGGGGATTCACTGTCCACTTAGCTGACATTTTCCGAGAAATCGGAGCTTTGGCATGGCAGCGACATCAAGACGCCATCACCACGACCCAGCTGAAAACCTTGGAACCAACGAAGAAGGATGAGGATGCAGAAATGAATATTGACGAACAAGCAGCGAGATTGGAAAAGTCTGTTCTCGGACTGATAGCTCGTTATAATCAACATGGCGGACTTGTCTTTTATCCGGGCGTGAAGGAAAATCTGTCTGAAGAGTCGGTACAGGAGTTTATGTTATGCAACGAGGCTTTCCAACACACTGCACTGATACATATCCACCGCCGAGTACGTAAAGTGCCTGCTTCCTCGCCTGACGTACAGTATTCAGTTAAACGAATTCTGGCATGTACATCCCAGATTGTCCCCCGGAGCGGACTGAGTCCATGGGTGATGCTCACCACACCGCTGTTCACCGGTGGTTGTGAAGCGCTGGGTGAAGATCGTGATGCTTTCAAGCAACTGCTCACGTCATTGCATAATACGACGCGCATTCCGAACGTCTTGCAATCGCTGGAGTTCCTGGAGAAATATTGGTTGCATGGGGCGCATACTAAGAATGAAGATTGGAGCCATTTCCTAGGTATGCTCTTCGTGACGCATGAAGGATCTAATACTGACTCATCCTTTGTAGACCGAATGAGCTTCGACTTCATTCCGTACTAAATCCCTATATGGAACTGATTGTGATAACGAATACCCTTGTCGAAGGACACGATAATAATGTCGGCATATAATTTGTAGTTTTGACGGCTTGCGGCATGACCTGTGTATAGTCGGTTTATTTGGAGTTGAGGTTTCTTTGTGACATTTGCGATATACCCAGTCTATATAAATGATACTTGTTCTCGTTCTGAAATGTTTTAACCTCCATTACCGAGGTACGCACTACGTTGTCCTACACTGTTCTATATATGCAACCGAACCAGATGTCATATTCTAGATCTTGATAGCCCTCGCCCCTCCCCACAACCTCGGAATCGGTCTCCGGCTACCCTACATGTATGTGAGTAGTGCATTTCAAATTTGACTGCATGGACATCAAATAAAGGTACCAACGAACTCATATCTAGGTGCCTGTATCTTGCGTACACAGCCATGCCAACATCCAGGTCCGTGAACTCAAAGGCCATTCCGCCCCGAGAATTGATACACATACGTAGTATGGCTATTGACGGGTGGGAAACTCCGTAGGGATTATTGGATAAATCTTAGTGCTGCTAGCACACTAGTCACAACTTACTAGCAAGTAGTACTATGCAGTGCTACATACGTGCATAGATCAGCTGGTTGACCGTCCGGATGGGGATCACTCGAGAGATAAACTTAACGAGACTAGTATGATGCCGATCAATGGCTGCGAGGACCCTGATTGCGTACTCTTATGGCCGTTCAGACATACGGGTTGATAGAGCAAGGTGCAGTTTCTGATAGTCTTTGCATAATACTTGTAACTGGATGTAAACATGGTTATGAGTTCGATGATAGTCAGGCACGCCATGAGAAAGAGTCTCTTACCTCCATACTCCGCAGAGCAAAGCAACTTGATAAAAGCGTGCTACTGCATGACATCTTCACATAGTACTATGAGTATCCTCCGTACTATGTAGACTAGCCGGCCCCTCACAGATGAGCCCCTGAATGCTAAGGCCGCCATGATAAGGAGATCCCGTGATCAGCCAATGAAAGCCGCGGCTGGACAGCATGCTATTATTCGCCCCGACCGATCCTCAAAGCGTATGTACTCCGTCTATTGCCATCCCTCGCTGATGTCAAGCTCAGCTTGTTGGTAGCGGTCGCTGACTCGCTACGTTTAGTATTACCTCCCAACCTTGGCAACGTTGGTACGCAGTTCCTGCTTGCACACCAATAGTGGGAGGCAGGGTTACAAGGCTGGCAGCAGCCAGCCACTGCATTGAAGCCATCTCCAGGAACAATGCACTCTTTACTCTCACTGGTCGCGCAGCAGGATGCTGATCTTGCAGATTTCCGGCCACCGTCCAATCACCGAATAAACCGAACAGCTTCATGAGGATTGGTCGAATCCGGACTGGTCGCTCCAACCAAGGAGACGCTCGGCCGCGGTGTGCCGCTTCGTTCTCCACCAACAGCCGAAAGCGCAAAAAAAGAAAAAAAGGAGACAGGGGAAAAGTCAGGGGAGACACTGCCAGACAACCGCCCATTGGACCATCTGCATTAACCCCCTTAAGCGCCCACCAGACTAATAAAGTCTAGTCGACTTAGACTCCTTGACTACTGCCATACTAGGGCGAACTACCTGCGCGAACCGAGGAAAATTCGCATTTTGTGCAGCGACTATGGCTTGCTCTAACGATCTTGGGTAATATGGGCTATCCCATCTTCTGCAGGCTAAGCTTGCACTAGTCAACTAGCCGCTCTACTACGACGACGTCCTGTTCCTTCTTCCACTGCGTGCAGCTGTCTCCTTTTCCACCTACCAACAGTCCACTGAACAAACCAGGTCAAAGTCCGCCGATTGCTACGCCAAACCACTCATAGTGCTCCGTACGTACCTACTAGACCGCTGCTTTCGCGCGTGTGCACTTGCCCGTGCTCGTGGTCATGACTTGCCGATCAAGCCCATTAGTGCAGTCCCTTCTCTTGGTTTGTTTCATCTGAAGAAGGTTACAGCGGATGGCCAGAACCCTTGGCCTGCCCTCAGCGTGCCACTGTTCCCCCCCCAAGACCAGCGACCATCGATATTAATAGTTTTACCCTTTTTTCCTACGCAGCGCACGCTGTCATTTGCTCACGATGAGTAGCATGGAGGGAGTTATCAGCGCCAATCATCCACCGCCAATCGCTACTGGTTCCGGTGGCTTTTCCTCCTCCTTCCTCCGCCGTCAAAGGAAAGATACCTCGAGCTCAAGCTTGACCTCTACCTCTACCTCGACGACCACTGACGACCACGACCTCCCTCCTCCTATCCTCCCTGACACCGATCACTCTGCTCGATCGATCGTCGCATCTAGCTCATCCCCGGTCCGCAGGAAACCTTTGCCGAGCAATGCGTCGCCCGTGATCCTATCTAGACTATCCCAAGGTTCATCTTTATCCTCACCACTACTCTCGCCGCCACCAACTCGAATACCTCCACCCTTGCTTCCACAAACACCACCTTCGTCCAGACCTCTTGCGACTGTCCCAGCTGGCAGACAATCGACAGATTCTTCTTCAAGGCAACTTGAAACCGTCGACGAGGTACTTCCTTTTGTCCCAAGGGATCTTGACCGGTGAGTACCGTCCTTGTTCCTTCTGTCTCTCCGTCATATCAATGCGACTTCTTTATCTTATCATATCCTCCCTTTCACAAATCGTCTGAGCTTTATTGTTCCGGAACGTTACTGCTTTGGTTTATATGAAACAAGAAACCCAAGCTAATCAGAATATGGCATTGTCCCAGCTATCCTCGAGGCCAGTCTCCATTGATCCCCTTTCCCATTGATACCTCTCGCACCTACAAAGACTTTCAGCAAAAACAATCCAATTTCTCTTACAATAGAGTCGACGACGACTTCTATCTGCCGCATGGGACCCCTATCCACTCCCGTCTTTCAAGCGAACCCATTATCCCGGTGTTGAGGTCGCCGCCTCCGTCTACTAATCATAAGAGGTCCGAGACTATGGCCTTGCAGCCTCCTCAGAGCCGGCCTCCACCTCTAAATATTGACGCCAGTTTATCAGCTATGCCCAGTCCAGGTGACAGGCAGCCAAAGACGCCCGGTAATAAAATCACTTCATTCTTCGGATGGAAAACAACTTCATCTCCCGGAGCGGAGTCAACAAGCACTGAAATTAGTGATACCGGCCGTTCTCCGTTGCCTTCGCCCTTACCACAGTCTGCTAGTGCTCCTTCTTTCACAACCAAAGCCACTTCTTCTTTTCCTACCTCGATATCTGAAAATAACATCCATGGATTTCCTTTACCTCCCGCCCGTATGGGATCGCTCAGTGGCCCGGCTTCCGGTAGCAATGCAGACTTCATGAACAAGATCTCAGACCTCGAAGCCGAGCTCCGAGAGATTAGTTCTGAGCTTGCTGGTTCTATCCGTCGGGAAATGGAACTGGAGGATCTTGTTGAGAGGTTTCAGCTAGAGTCACACAACGATGCCAACCGAAGGACAAGTGATTACTTCTCGGACTCTGGTATGAGTGGTTCGATACGAACAGGAACGGATGGCGGCAAAGTTGAAGATATTGAGCGGATAAAGCGAGCCGCAGAGCAGGAACGGGCTCAGTTGAAAGTCGAGCTGAGTCAAAAATGGCAGGAGGAGCGTTCCAAGCGAGCGGCTTGCGAGTCACATGTCCAGATTCTTGAAAATCAAGTTCAACAGGTAATACCTTTGATTCTCTTGAATTATGTTATGCTAACAAGGTTTACAGTTCCGTGCTCAACGCGTCGACAACTCAAATCTATCCTCGAAAACAAGAGAGTTGGAGGTTGCCCTGGATGACACTCGACGAAAACTCCTCGAGGAAAGACAACTAAAGGACAACTTTGAGGACTTACTGACAGCTATGCGTGTGGAACTAGAGCAACTTCGTAACGAGCGTGATCATTTCCGTGACGAGGTTGTTCCTGCTTTGCAGGCAGGACAGGCAGGACAGAAAAACCGATTCCAGTCCATAGCAGAGGAGGACGGTGTCGTCCGTAACCGTGGATCTATGGTTGGCTTGTCGAGATCGAATTCCCTGGCCCGGGTGCCGAAGCGGTCGAGTATGGCCGGTGGTGGTGGTCTATCACGATCGAATTCGATCTCAGCGGGAAACAACAGACAAGTGGAGTCGCGCGAATCATTAGCTGATCGAGTAAAGGACGTCGAAGCCCAGCGGGATGCCTTGCACAAGGCATTGAAGAGTCTTTTGGATCGACAAGCATGGCAGGCTCGTGAAAATGAGAAGCGGATCACAATTCTTGAGATGGAGCTGACTAAGGCCCAAGATATCGGCTCTCCTCGAAAGCTAGGCTACGAAAGGGAAGTTCGAAATCTTCGGGAAGAAATCAACCTCCTGCGACGACGGGCCGACGATGCTCTCGAACAAAAGTGGCAGTGTGAGAAAGGTTTGAGTGGTCTCAAAATGGATTTGGACCGTGCAGAACAAGAGACTACTTCGTTGCGTATGCTCTTGCAGGAGCATGACATTGCACTACCGGCAGGAATGGATATGGCTTCGAATGAAGAGGGACTGGCCAATATGCAAATCACCTCGTCGGCATTAGAATCGGCCTATCAACAGTTGCAGGCAGAAATGGAATCGGCTGAAGCAGAATCCTGGTCTCCAGAAGATGTCAATCGTACGGAAAATCTAGCTGGGCAAGTCCGTCAGCAACTCGAGACGAACAACGCTTTGCGTCGACGCCTTGCAGAAGCCATCGCCAAGGGAGAACGAGAACAGAAAATGTCCGCATCACGCATCAATGAGATGCAAAACCGGCTAAGGAAACTAGAGGACACCGTTATGGACGCCCAGCATCACTCGGAAGATGAGATGGCCAAACATGAGGAAGAAGTCCGGGCATTAAAAGACAGTCACAGCGTACAGCTTATGCGGGCCAAGATGGGAATCAAGACCCCGGTCTCTCTATCTCCAAACCCTGCAGCCTCGCCATTCTTGGGGGCACGATCTCCGCGTCTTGATGTAACGACAACTGGAGAAGGTGTTCCATTGAGTGAAGCAGTCTCAGTAGCCAAGCTCGAAGTCAAGGTCAAAGAGCTTGAGAAGGCTCTCCGGGACGCCGATTTCGAAATGGAAGAAGTCGTGCAACGTATGAACAAGGCGCAAATTGAGGTTGCAGAACTACAATCTGATCGGTAAGTACTCTGCATGTTGGGGTACTTGCATAATGCTAATTTGTTATAGGGACGAGGCACTCCGCCAAACTCGCCGTCTCGAGGCCGCAATCAAGGCTGAACGCGAGAAAGTGAAACAATAAATTAATGAACGCTACGAAACGATCTTAAACCTGTACAATATCGAAACATTCTGATTTTGCAGTATATACACCATACACCCCGTATACATTTGAACAATTATACGGTCCTCGAGATTCATCGACTTATTCTTCGACAGCATCGGTGCCCCTGTTGGCTACCATCATGACGATACTTCTTTTTATACTTCTTTTCACCGGCGGTTTGCGACGATCAGACCCCGCGTTGTTTGCTTTCGAATACCCTTGAGCATATCTTTTCTATTTTTACAACCTACCTTCTTGGATTTGGAGAACATGACGTCGAATCATGGACGGATTTTGCGATATTGTGTCTGTACATATTTCTTGGACATTTGGAGTTTGGGGCGTGAGGGAAAATCGGCGCATGTATATACTGGTTATTGCTTTTGTGGGCCAGGCCGAATGTGGTTGGCTACCTATTTTATAATCGTGTTGATAATATCTGTTGACAACATCTATCTTGAGAAATTCTTTATAACGGAAAGTCGTTGGTAGTATTATACTAAGTACAGTGGAGACGACTTCGATTCTGCTGAAGCCACGTCTAGTGAACTTGGTATATGTCATACCTGGATGATCATTGGAACTACTAGATATCGCAACGTGTTCGAAGGCCAGGGGGTCCGAATCAGCAACGATAGACACATAGAAACAACTTGAGTTCAGAATTCACAATGACGAGAGACAAGCCTTGCAAAATAGTCGGAGACGAGAACGAAGGTGACTGATGTTGCGAATATCGCTGTGAGAGACTTTGACGCAAAAATGTAGTATGAAGAGGAAAGGCATGTAATGGTATAATTAGGTTAAGCCTGGTGGATAGGTGACCAAAAGATAAAATGTGCGTGGAAGAGTGAGAGAAAGAGAAGAGAGTGGGAGAGAACAGCGCTTTTAATGGTTGAGGAAAGATCGAGACAGACTAGGCATCCAGGCAGCAGTCCGTTTTTTGTCTGATATGTCCAAGCATTCAGTCAACAGAAACTTGATGGGGAGCTCCCGCTGGAGAGATCAAGCAAAGTTTAAGCCAGTCCTTGTCATTGACATATCTTCTTTGATTCAAATAGAAATCCTAGAAGGTCACGTCACTTGAATCAAACGGCAAAAGGTAGAGCTGCCATTATAAGAACCAAGCGCTCAATACATGACTTTTCAAAGTGACACACAGTAAACCCCATTTCAAAGTGATCATTGATTCGACGCTGTTGAGAATGTTGAAGGTCTAATGGTGAGGCAGGGTATGAGTTGAGCGAGTGTATCGACCCTCCTGGCTTGGAGCCTAGCAAACATGGGGATGGATTAGCATATTCAGATCAAAGACTGACCACGAGACAGCGATTTCCTGTCATGTTGATGTCCTCTGGTCGATGTTTTTGACCAATGCATTGAATAGCACTGAAAATGATGTCTGATAGAACTTTAAGGGTCTGTAAACACCTTACTCAAAACAGTAAGGTGATCGCCCAGCCGCATTGTACTAGGGCTTAGGGCTAGGGTGATGACCTTACATCACCACAAATAAAACCGAAGCATGAATCTTAGTCAAAGATCTGACCGCTGATTCAGTAATGCCATGAACAACAATGCGATAAGGCCTCGAGTAATTGTTTCAACTGAAGCCTCACGATTGGTTCGCAAGGGTCCCGGATAGGGCGGAAGTAACTGGGGCTTCCGAGGCGTCCTCCGAGTTCGTATTGAAGATCATTAAACGCCAGCAGTTTTGGGAGACAGGAAGATGCTACAGCTGCTTGGCTGTAAGAGGGAGAGAAATAGCTCTTGATTTACTGGTAGCTACTTGAGATAGCAACAGGTTATGTGTTCATTGATGGTAAACTCAACATTCTGTAAGATCAGACACAAAGTAAACAAGAATGTATCGTTGTTACGCGACATGTATCAGCTAGTACCAAACCGGTAAAAGAGTCTCAGAGATGGACTCCGTAAAGCCAATAATATATCTCAAAACAGGCTCATGGGTACTAAACGGGGACACTAGTATTGTACCTTGTAAGGGAGGCACCACCGTTCCTACCGAGTCTACGTCACGCATCCGGCCATCTTCAGCTTTCACCCACTCTCTTAAACAACATTTAAAAACTGATGTCTTATTCTCTGTTTGAATGATTGATCTGCTCCAAGATTATTTGTCTGTTTCTGCCTACCTTTTCAGTCGACCGTCTGTCCGATCCCTTGTTCCGGTCCTGTCTAGAACAGACCGTGAATCCATCCCACTTCGGCCTGAGCTTTGATCGTTCGCTAGTTCATCGCTCGAAATAAGAAATATGGCGGAGCATTGGCCTCATTTTCCATTCATTCCCTATCCGCCGTCCAAGGCTGGATATTGGAGTCCGGTGACATCGACCTTGAACTGGTGTGAAGAGGTATATTCCTCTCGCGATCTGATTTTCCCATGGTAGTTGACTGGTTGATTGCTAATGATATCCGATTGTAGGATTACTATGCCACGCCTTACTCCGCAGAGATTGTGAACTCGTTGACGAACCTTTTGTTCATGTTACTGGGTATCAAGGGCATCTTAAATGTTCGCAAACATGGCCACGACAGGGTGTTTGAGATTGCTTTCTATGGATACCTGCTTGTTGGAACGGGCAGTTTTCTGTTCCATTCGACTTTGAAGTGTAAGATTACGTTCTCCCCATCATGTGCGCGTGACCCGCTAACAGATATTTCATTCATGTCCAGATCCCATGCAATTGGTCGATGAACTCTCCATGATCTATACGACCTGCCTCATGTGCTACGCTTCCTTTTCATACTCGCGATCATCACCAGTGAAAATCTTCCTTGCCGTGGCGCTCGCCGGACTCGCGGTATTCATTACACTATACTATCACTACCTACAGGACCCCGTCTTCCACCAGAATGCCTACGCACTCCTCACCACTGTTGTCGTGCTCCGAAGCATGTACACCATGGAAGTCGCCCTGCGCCCGAAATGGCGCAAGTCCCGCGAAGAAGATCGTCTCGCTCGGGAGAGACAAGGTCTCCCGGTGCCCAGTAAGGAGAGACAAGAATATGAGAATGCACGTGATCTCAAGATTCTCAATACAATGTGGTTCATGGTTGTTTATGGTCTGAGCATGTTCCTTGGTGGTTTCGGAATCTGGAACTTGGATAATTTCTTCTGCAGCACATTGCGGAGCTGGAGACAGCAGATTGGTCTACCGTGGGGTATTTTGCTTGAGGGCCATGGTTGGTGGTGAGTCAAACTTTATTTTTGCAGGCTTCTACCCGTATACTAACTCGTTCTGCGTAGGCATCTGATGACCGGAATCGGCGCATACCTCTACATCGTCTGGGGAATCTGGCTACGACACGTCTTGAACAAAGAACAAGATGAATACACTCTTATATGGCCGCATACATGGAACTTTCCCGAAATTATCCGCAAACCAGGTGTTCCCTCGAAAAAGACGGAATAGATTGTGAGGATATGGAGCTGGGCTCTTGCACTCTTTAGGGGAGGTAGTGCGTGTCAGGTATACACACAAAACGACGGTACGATGCGACGATTGGCGGGCTCTGATCACTTTACTTAGACATGCTTGATGGCGGTATCAATGTGGAGTTTTTTAGATAATCCGCGAGCAGAGGGCTTGCATCACACTCATTATCGCATAGGTTGGTATGGATGATGCTGAAGTATTGTTAGAGCCCCTTTTAGAAAATGAATATCTTTGCTTCGTCGAGTTTTTCTCTAGACTATTTTATATACATCAAGCGTCTATGCTTTTACAGCTTCGGCTTAGAATTTCCATCCGTAGTCTTCGCAGCCCTCGCAGGCGGCGGACCAACCTCCTTCAACCACCTCTCATCAAAAGTMGACTTCTCAACCTGCGATTTCTCACCCCACATCTTCTGGAACACTTCCTCTTCCTTTCTCCAACGCTGCAATTCCCTCCCGAAAAACTCTGCTGCTGCCTGCGCGCATTCTTCGACCGCTTCTTGCGCCAGTAAATGACCCTTGTCCTTGAGATAGACTGACTTGACTCTCCCGGCTGCGACACCGCCGCTTCCACCTTGTCCAACGCCCGTATTGTCCATTTTATCCTTCATCATGGACGGTAGACACATGAACGACTGCCCCGCAAATATATACAAAACACTAGGTCTGACTCGCGGTAATTGACTAAAGACGAAATTCGGCTCCATCCGATAAAACGGGAATGTATTTGGTCCTCCGGGTAAAAGATCTGGCGTATCAAACCTATCGGCGGGTTTCTCCTTCTCACGGTCATAATCATAATTTGGCCTCGAAAATGTGAACACTTCCTGATGCCGTGTCGTGGCCAAAGTAACAGGCTTATCATCCCCTGCCACTTTGTGTTTTGACTCATCTGGATGAACGACAGTTGGTAATTCGCGAAGGCCGTATTTTACCCATCGATCAACCACGCGCGGATTCCATGCTTTGTAGAATGGGCTTCGTTTGAAGCCCTCTGCTGCTGCTTTCCTGGATGGCCAGATGTCGCGTCGATGCGTTGAGAGGATAGTGTTCATGGGGACAAAGCGGCCTTCGAATTTGTCGGGAAATTGGGTTGATTCATTTTGAATAACGGGATCTAGAAGTACTAGGCTGTGGAATAAGCGGGGTTGCAGAAGTGATAGATATGTCCTGAAGAACGTTAGATTGGGTGAATATATAATTGGAGAGATCTGGAGAGATATCACTAACAATTGTGCGCCGCCCATGCTATGACCAACACCTACTATCGGGCGCGGCATCTCTTCGCGCTTGAGATTGATGAGATGTAACAAGTCCCGCGAATGATCAAACCAACTTGCTGTGAATGGTCAGCTCCCCAAGTCATACATCATACACACGGCTAGCAACTCACGATCATTCCCAAGCTTATTTTCATTGATCACGCCGCTCTGACCTTGATGCGCTACATCAGCCATCCAGATACTGCGTATCCTGAACCCATGTTTCTGTGATTGGCCATATATGTCTTCCCACAATGGTTCGTAGAGCTCCTACATCACAGTCAGAATGACAATACCGAACAGCCTGTGGGTCAAGTTCTCACCTTTGGAAATCCATTCGCATGCGCAGCAATAAAAGTCACGTCTCCCGGCTGTGGTTCAGGGTTGTCCAATGGGATATATTGCTTTACAGCGAGATGCAATGTCTCTTCTTGCGAGGTTGATGTTGCTCGGGGGTACTCTCTCAAATACTGCCCGGGAATGACATGTTCCACGATGCGAAACGGAGACGTCATTACGTATACCTATAAGCTTAAAGTAATGAAGCTGGTGCAGAATTATCCTAGAAGGAATTGAAAATAAGGGAAGGTGAATTGATAGTGGTCTAGGTCTATATTTACGAGGGCTATCCGATGCAATTGCCGGGTTCTCCGCATTTTGCAATTGTTGATAAGAATACCGTCCCTTTACCGTACCATATAACCTTACGCCATGTACCGAGGCTGTTAATATGACCGAGCCAATCACAGTACGTCCCTGGATTGAGCTCACGTGACAAATCAACATTCATTCCAACCACTCGACATCTTGTTCCTCAACAAACTATATACAACAAAGTCAATCTTGAAGGAATCTATAGATTTACCGTGAGAGGTTAGTGACTATCCCTGATAAGATCAGCAGCTTTCTCAGCGACTGCAAACACAGTAGCCTGAGTATTTCCCCGAGGAATAATAGGGATGATACTGGCATCAACAACCCTGAGATTCTGCGTCCCATACACCCTGAGATGAGAATCGACAACACCACCCTGCTCACGCGGCAACATCGCGGCGGTACCCACGACATGATAATGGCAGATAATTCTGTCACGAGCTAATTCTTTCGCAGTCTCGAGGCTCATATCCGGAGACGACCTTTGCAATCGCCGACCATCAGCCTTGAGAAGAGAAGCCAATGGCTCAGTCCAAGCAAGTGTCTCCAACCAGCGGACGTGGCGGGCATGAAGCTCCAAGTCCAATGGATGTGAGAAGAAGGCCGGATCAAAGACGGGAAGAGCCTTAGTATCGGCAGAAGCGAGATGAACGCTTCCGCGAGAGAAGGGACGATTAAGAACTGAGACGATACTGACAAAGTTTTCCGGCTCAGTCATTCCAAAGATTCCCTTCGGGCTAGGTCCTTTTTCGGGGAGAATTTGGAAGGGTGCCATGGTGTATTGCCCTGTGGGCTCCTCTCTGTCCTCGAGCATTCGTCGAAGTACTTTGTACTGTGTTTTGAGGAGCGGTGAGATGGCTTCCTCTTTCAAGTACGTATCAAACAGAGCGCTCAGCTGGCCATTTTGTGATTCTGGGAGTGGCATGAATGCAGAGGGTAGAGGGCAGAGACCGAGCGGACCGGCACCAGATTGTTGCCAGGCCGCCATGGCCGCAGCTCCAATCTCAGGATTGCGAAGGGCTTCGGCTGTGGCCTGGCCTTCCGCGGCTTCCCAGCTGAATGGAACAAAGCCGTGTTCTTGAAGGTTCTCGCCGACGTTGGCATTGTCGATGATGGTCTTGATACCTTGTGATTTGAGGAGGGCGCTGTTACCGATACCGGACAGCTCCAACAAGTGCGGTGTCTTGATCGAACCTGCGGCGATTACGACCTCTCGATTAGCAGACACAGTCTTCTGGACACCATCTTTAGCACAGTACAAGACCCCAGTAGCAATGGCATCTTTGCCGCCATCTTTCTCGAGAAGGATCTTCTCCACCAGAACTTCCGTAACGACCCGGAGATTTGGTCTTTTGGCCACCTCTACATTATAGTACGCTACACCGGCGTGGCTCCGCGCTCTGGTCGTAGGATCAATACTGCCTGGACCGCAGAAGGCTCCCTTTGCAACACCAGACATAGGATCACCGGTCAGCTTGTAACCGAGATTCTCAAAGATCTTGGGCCAGGCTCCATTGAAAGCTGGAAACGGTCCATCGCCAAACGACACTTGAAGTKGGCCGGATTGACCCTGAACGGCCGGATCGATGTATTGGAGTGAAAGCTCCTGCTTGATCTCGTCGGAAGGCGGGGTCAAAGTCTGGGATTTTTTCAGGTAGTGTGAGATTGATTTCCAGTTCCATCCTTCATTGCCTAGTTCTTCCCATGCGTCGATATCGGTCCGGCTGGGGTAGATGACCATGCCCAGATTGATAGCAGAGCTACCACCGAGGGTTCGGCCGCGAGGTTCGGCGAGACTTCGTCCATTCAGCCCTACCTATGTAAGAACTTGTCAGTTGTAAGTTCCAAAGCTTATAAAATGGACTTCTTCATATGTAGACTCACCTGAGGAACACTGGTGACGCACCAGTCAAACTCAGGATCAAAATAGGTACTCGCAGCGAGACCCGGAATTGCGATCCGTGGATCACTGACACGATTGCTTCCAGCCTCGAGCACAAGCACGCTGACCGCTGGGTCTTCGGTCAAGCGGCTAGCAACTACTAGACCTGAAGTCCCTCCGCCTACAATAATGTAGTCATATTGCTCACGCAAGTCAGTGAGCGATGAAGTGTCGACGGATGCCATTGTTAGATATGAGAGTTGTGGATGATCTTAAAATCAAGTGTCCCGCATGCCACAACTATAAGAGTAGATATCGTGGACACTAGACTCAGATTCAGGAACGCAATGGGACATTGTAAGTGGTCAACGCTACGGTATGGTCTCAAGCAGACTACTGCAGGTCGCCAAAGCGGTGTTTCTTGAACCCACATCTTATCTCATGCAAATACAATGCCCAGACAAGTCGGACAGCATCACATATGCACACTTTACCATCATTTCACAGCGGAGGGTCACCACGTGCAACGCACCACATTTGAGACGTTCAAGGATATGCTCGAAACATGACTGGTGAAGTATAAACCGTCGCTCGACGCTCGACGCTCGATGCAAGGGTGGACCCTGTCGCTAATAACCCAAAACGAGTCAGTACACACAAACCCTAACACTCTCCTGACTAGCCCGTTTTTGTTGTGCAAACTCGGAGACATAACCACACCCGCACAAGCCTGAACTCTGAATGTCAAACGATAGTACGAATTAGGTCGAGATTCTCGAACATATATCTTAAGTGACCGATTCATCGGAATTGACGACAAGTACGTACGAAGTAAAGCATTCTGACTGTTGGGTGTGGTGGTCAAGGTAGTGCTAACGGGGACTGCCATTATATGGAAAACGGCTGCGGGATATGCCGAGTTCCTCAGTTGACCCTATTTGACAGTTCAACGTCCAGTTGAAACAGCTCTAATCCAACCCTGTGGGTTCGGCCCCATGAGGATTGACGAATTTCATTTCACAAAAACTCTACCCAAATACCGAAGTCCTTACTGTTCATGGCGGTTACTGATCCACTGCCTAGCCTATGCCGCGTTGTACATCCGGCGAATCCACGGAGGGCAGACGATGTGGATGAGTCCACTGTTCAGTGTTTGCAGTCTTGCACAGCGCACAGGTGTCAACAAGACATGAGACATTCCGTTCTCGAATATACTATGTAAATGTACTCCTCGCTTATTTCCGTTGTCATGATTAAACAGCCAACCTGGAGTACGAGGGATAAAATTTAGACCTGACCAGCTACCGAACCTTCTTGGTGGTGAGAGGCCCGGGGAGGATGAATAATAAGTCTGAGTGCTGGCTCCACCGTAGCCCCAGAGAAGGCTTCATACAGCCTAGCCCGCGACTATAAAACAGCCATCTAACGTGCTACTGCAAGCATCAACTCTTAGCCTGCTAGGCTAGGCAAGAATAAGAACCATATCACGATGCATCCCTGCGGAATTGACGGAATATAGTACATGAAAGTTTTGGCTTTGGTCTCCACGAGGTGGGCAATGCGGCAATGGATGGTGGCCATCCTGTTTCTTTGATAGTGCCCCAGCTACGCGGAAGAAAATGTCCAGATTTGTACGTACGTCGTAGAGGACTACCGTGATGGACTAAATTGAAAAATCTTCCCGTTTGGTCCATGCAACTATAATTGGACCATTCAATGTTGTCTACCCTATATACTGAGTATTAATGTTATATTCTCAAACTCGTTTAAACTTTCTACTGCATTGCAGTTGGAGCCATAAGCACGGATGCGGTGATCACTACCTTCTTGAAATGAGCCTAAGGTTCTAAACAACCTCAGGGTTTTGATGAAAAGTGAAAAGCCGAATGTGCGTTGAAGCCTCCTTGCCCAGTATAAAATTCGACTTTCCAGAACCAGCGGCCACCACGACTCACGACTGTGACGATTTCGCATAGTTCTGTCTGGCCGGTTGATACTACAGATTGATGAGTTGAACGATTTCTTCCTTGCGGAACAGATCCAGTGTGCCCAGGTTGGCTACACTTCACCATGGCCATTACTTATGCGCTGAATACTCCATTGAGCCGAAACCCTTGCATTGCGGTGACTGTGCTGGGTGCTGTAAGCACCATCACAACGATATTGAGGTTCTATGCCTTGCGGCTAAGAGGAGTGAAGCCGGGAGCGCCAGAATGGCTCATCGTCGCGGCATTGGTAAGACTGGCTTGCATAGCTCGGTACAAAGAATCTTGAACTGACACTCGTCATAGGGTATTGTTTATGTTGATATTGCCATTGAATTTATCCGTACGTTTGACCTCTTTAGACCCTGATATGCGGATTGTTTCTCATAGATATCTCAGTCACCATTGTTGGTGGAGCAGGCCGCAAAATGGGAGAAGTTGATCCATCATCCATAATCGTCACGCTCAAGGTACACAAGGATGATCTGCTTTTATAGCTAGTTTGCTGACATAAGGGTCCTAGACGATTCTCCCCCTTGAAGCTCTTTATGGAATCGTCCTAGGCTTAATCAAAACGTCCATCATGCTCTTCTACTTCCGAATTTTCGGCTCCAAAAAAAGCTTTCGAATTAGTGTTTTCATCACCATGGCCATCGTCTGGGCGTGGTCTGTTAGTGTGATTCTAGAGACATTCCTTCTGTGTCGGCCGCTGGCATACAATTGGGACACAACCATTCGCGGCACATGTGGCAATCGCAATGCGACGTATGTTGTAGCAGGAACAATGAACCTGATAACCGACTTGCTGGTCATGGCTCTCCCTGTGCCTCATATTTGGAAGCTGCAGCTCGACATTGCGAAAAAAGTGGCGCTGTCCAGTGTGTTCTGTTTGGGGTTATTGTAGGTTCCTTGTACTGCGCTACCATTGCGATGACTAATTGTGAATCTGGACAGTACATCCATCATCAGTATAATTCGTTTGGTAGCCCTCATGGCAATCGACTTCACCGACATCACCTATTCCGTTCAAATGGGAGTCATGTGGACGGTCATCGAGCCCGAGCTTGCCATCATCTGCGCCAACATGCCTTTACTTAAAGCAGTCTTGTCGAAGGTAGTACCCGGTTTGTTCTCAACAGCCCGCACGAAATACGGCGCCAGTGGTCCAGAGTCATTCGAAAGACTTCAGGATCCGCAATACAAGAATACTCATGTGTTGAGTCGGCTCGATCGGGGTACAATGAACACGCACCTTTCTACTACTCGGGGCACCGGAGAGCGGGAAGGTTCTGAAGAAAGTATCCCAGACGACTTTTCAGATGAGCAGCGCCTTCATAATCAGCCTGAGCATGACAAAAACGGCATCAGAGTGGACCAGAACTTTGTTGTGAAGTATGGCCAATAATGCTGGTCGTCAAGAGGAACAAGTTTTGTATCTAACCCAGGAATTTGTATAATGCTAGTCAATAATATAGAATAACGTCTTATATGATGCGTAGATCTGATGTTGCGAGGGCCATCGATCTGATAACGCATGAATTAAATGGTCCACGTGACTCGGCGTTTGTTGCGCGCGTCCGACGACCGCGTTCCGTCATCTCCTCCGCGTTTTCTTGACAAACAATTGTCAAACAATCTTCTTCCCCATAACGTCCCCGCCAACAGCTTTGGTTTTGTACTTTCTTTGCCTTGTATTTACTTTACTTTGTTGCGTTGCATATTTTGATACTCTCACAAGAACCTCCCTACTGGGAGAAAGAAGAGACGAATCATGACCGAGCGCGCGCCACTACTGAGCGACTGCAAGATATGCATCGCATGTAGCAATGCTCTGGAAGAAGATTCTGTGATGCAGGTACGCGTTCATCTCCCAAATTAACTAGCTTTATTTTGGAGTATTGAGCTTCAACTGACTCGTTTACTCGATCAGTTGGATATTTCAATCTCAGAACACGGCGGCGAGGTTGTCATACACGAAGAGCCAGCACCTTTCCCACCCGTCGAGCAATTTACGCACATCATCTCATTGACAGCCGACTTTCCTGCATATCAATCAGCATGTGATGCCCTTATCCCAGTCGTCAAGCCTCAATGGCTACAGGCCTCTATTGCAAGAAACAAACTCGCAAMCCCCCGCCAGTACAGCCCTGACCCAAGAATGTTCTTCAGCGATGTCGTGGTGACGTGCGGCGATATTCCAGATGGCGATAAGGACGCGATTATTGGTGGGGTTATGGCAATGGGTGGTCTATACTCGCCTCGTGTGACTTCACAAGTAACTCACCTTGTCGATCTCAGCATGGAGTCAGAAAAAGCGAAACTCATCGTTTCGAAAAGCCTGGGGGTAAAAGTAGTCTTACCTCACTGGTAAGTGATACATTGTGCGAATTCTTTCATACGCTTCGCTCATGACAGTTTCACAGGTTCGACGATTGCTTGAAACTCGGAAGAAGAATCGATGAGCGCCCCTACACTCTCCCAAACCCCGAAATTTTGAGCGCTGGACCAGGTGTGCCTATACGTACTTTTGGCAACAGAGACGTTGTTGGGGCATCTACACCAGAGCCTACCGCTCTGCCAACACCCAGTCGTTCGCCAAACAAACGTAGCCTAAATGTTTTGGAGGGCAAACATATTATGTTCTCTTCGGATCTTGGAATCGGAAAACATCTATTGGAGTCAATCGAAGATCTGGTGAAGCAAGGGAATGGCACAGTCACCCATGATTTGACAAAAGCGGACATGTTTATATGTCGATATCGCGAAGGGTTTGAGTATCGCACAGCATCGAGATTGAACAAAGACGTTGGCAATTTGTCGTGGCTATTTTATCTCATCACGCACAACACTTGGACATCACCTCTTCGACGGCTGTTACATTATCCGATTGATCGCCAAGGTGTCGAAGGGTTCAAAAAGTTGCGTATCAGTTTGTCCAACTATGCTGGTGAAGCCAGAGCATACCTCGAAAACCTCATTCAAGCTGCAGGTGGCGAATGCACAAAAACGCTGAAACAAGATAACACTCATCTTATCACAGCACATAGCAACAGTGAGAAATGTGCGGCCGCCAAAGAATGGGGTCTACAAGTCGTCAATCATCTCTGGCTTGAAGAGAGTTACGCAAAGTGGAAAATGCTACCAGTTTCTGATCCGCGATACACGCATTTCCCCAAACGAACAAATCTCGGAGAAGTTGTTGGTCAAACCAAGCTTGACAAAGCTGTGCTCGAACGTCACTTCTTCCCTGCAGATGACAAGGCTGACGAAAGTCGAGTAATGCAGCAAAAGAACCAGAACGTTGCTGCAAACGTCGAAGTTACTAAGACAGTTTCACCACAGGGACGAGCGAAGTCCGTAGCCAAGTCATCGCCTGCTCCGTCCAAAACAACCGCAACTATTACGCCTCAAACCAACAAGTCAACACGCAAAACGTCAAATTTGGCAGATGCAAAAACGCCAATCATTTCTCGATTCCTAGCAGATGAGAAGGAGAATGTCACCCCCTCGACGACCAGMAGCCGCAAGTCTAAAGAAGCTGCTGCTGCGCGTATTCATGATATTGCTCCAGATATTGCACTCTATGAGAAAGAAATGAAACGAGTTGGCGGAGTTGTCTACGGAGGACGGCGCAAAACAGACCCAGATCTTGTCGTTCCTGCGAAGAACAAAAAGCGAAGATCTGCTGAGCCAGATGAAGAGAGCGATGTTGAGGAGAAGGATGCTAAGCGGCAGAAAAACGCGAAGCCTCCTGTGACTATGCAATTGATGATTACTGGCTTTCAACGATGGGTCGGCAATATGAAAAAGGAGGATGCGGATAAGGTGAGTCTTGCATTATCTATGACTAGCAAATAAGTACTAATCAATCCAGCGACAACTTCGCAACCTGGGGATTGCCATAACTCAGGACGCCAAAAAATGCACCCATCTCGCCGCACCGTCCATCCTGCGTACGCCTAAATTCGTCAATGCCCTTGCATATGCTCCAATCGTTGTGCATATTGATTACATCACTGAGTGTCTTGCCAAAGATGAGCTGCTTGACCCTGATGAGTTTGCATTGGTCGATAGAGTCACCGAGAAAAAAGCCGGCATCAACTTGAAGAAAACGCTTAAGAGGGCCGCGGCTAACAAGAACAAGCTTCTTCACGACTATAGGATCTGCTGTGTTGAGACTATTCGTGGTGGCTTTGACGCATTCAAGTCGATTGTCGAGGCTAATGGAGGTGAATGCACACTGTTTCGCGGACGTGTCTCCATGAATGATCGTCGTCGAGAATCTGGTTCGGAATCAAGTCAGGACGGCAAAGGCCACCCAATGAAAGATGATGTGTTCCTTATCAGCGGCGACGAACCGGAACATGTCAAGGTCTGGCCGCGTTTCCGCCAGCTGGTTCTGGAGGCCGGAAGAACACCTCGTATTGTGAATGTCAATTGGCTATTGGACATTGCCATGTCTCAAGAGATTGGTTGGAAGGATGAATATGAGTACACAGATCGTACTGCTTGAACAGGGAGATCTTGTAATGCTCAGAAATAGAGGAAACAAGATCGTACATAGTACATAGCAAAGAGTAATGAGTTTATGTCTGCTGATCAACATATGAGCTGGATTGGTTCTCGGCGTCGAGTTTCAGCGGTCCTGGCATGTTATGATACCTTTCTGTTTGTGCATAGTGTCACTAGCGTGGATCGATACCATACATAGCAACAATAATGAACAAACTTTCTGCAAAAGATCGTGTATGTAACCGGCGGTCCCTACAGTTGTGTATGCAAACGCGAAAAGGCTCAAAGTTTTATAGAGAGGGGGCTGTTTTTTAAAAGAACTTGACGCCCTTTTCGTCGTCGTTTCCGAATACCTGGGCTTTGCCGCCTTTGACGAGGACGTTTAGCGATTTGAGCATGACGTCGGCATCCATGCCGTGGAATTCTAACAAAGTAATTAGTTTCCAGTAAGAGCCTTTACGTGTCAAGGATCATGACATACCTTGCGATGTAGTAGCCTCTCCATGTATCAATTCATAAACCGTCAAAACGGTATTCTTCTGCGCCGTTTCCTCGACCTATTACTCCGTAAGCCAGAAATTCCATGAATCGTAGAGAGCACATACCCAGTCCGCAATCACCTTCGCCCACTCCTCCGGCCTCCTCCACCATATCCACGCAATCGTCTTCTCACTTCCCCCGGCCGCAGCGGCAGGAACCCATTCCGCTCTCCTCCCACCACCCCCATCTTCCTGTGACATCACCATCCAATCCACAATGGTCTTCGCCTCCTGTATTCCTACTCTTCTCCGCATTTTGGCATTATAGAATAACGGCGACTCAACAGCTTCAGTCAGCGACAGGCGGAATGTGCGGTGATACCGACACCAGTCGGAGATGAGGTTTGCCCAGCGACGCATCTGGGCTTGACGGGTTTGGGTGTTGGGTTGTAAGGTGAAGAAGGCGGGCCAGTCGTAGACGTCAGGGAATGTATAGCCGGAGGGGGATACTGTTCGGGGACGAGTTGAAGCAGAAGTATTGCTGGGTTCGCGGGATGAGATGGTGCTTGCTGGTGTGAGGACGTTAGCTGCCGTTGTGGGCGCGGAGAGGTATGAAGTTGCAGGCGAGTTGGTTGTCATTTTGTATTTTGTCTGGTTATATGTTCTTATATCGTTTAAACAGCATTCCGACTCGACTGAAGTAGGCGGTTGTGATGATGCCTAGTGCGGGGTGTCAAGTTGTGTTGATTGATATTGAGCATATAGCCAGTGTCCTTGCAAGAAAAGCTCTGTATGTAGATTGAGTTTAATTGACTAGAAGCTTGTGTAAAATTTCAAAAATTGAAGTCGGGATTTGTTATAGAGATTTGTGTAAGAGTTGAGGTTCAAGTTTTCAAAAATTGAAGTCGGGATTTGTTATAGAGATTTGTGTAAGAGTTGAGGTTCAAGTTGAAGCTGTAGAGTATATGAACGGTCCCCGCTCTAGCCTGTCCGCGGAGACCCACTACGTCAGATCAACCGCGAATTTTGACTTCATCTTTTTTTTTATCGTTCTTCAATCAAGTTGCCTTTGATCCCAATTGAGTATTCAAGACCTTGGAAAGCTTTCTCGTTACCTATAAACTACTGCGAATATCTTTGCTTCATCTCAATTCCTTCATCTAGGTCTGCAGCATACAAAATGCCTAGTAAACCCGTCCGTCGCAGGGACTACCTCAATACGCAAAAGACATTACGGGCAGAGGGCAGCACAATCGACCTGCCCAAGAAACGCTTCTATCGTCAGCGAGCACACGCCAATCCCTTTTCGGATTATGCTTTGGAATAGTACGTCTGCACCCTGTCCTGCTGCTTTGCGAAGCTGGTTGAATGTGAATCGATTTACTAACATGCTGATAGTCCCTTGTCCCCGGCCCATATGGACTGGGCGTCGCATTATCCCGCCTTCATAGACCCGGATGCGTCGAAGCTTACTTTGTCTGGTACACGAAAGCTTCTCAAGGATGTAGAGGTTGCTGATATCGGATGTGGGTTTGGTGGACTGTTGATCGGATTGGCGCCAGTGCTACCAGAGACGTTGATGGTTGGTATGTTCGACTGCGTCGACTCATACTATTAAACTACTTTGAGCTGACGGCCGTGTTTTCCAGGTCTGGAAATCCGAGGCCAAGTAACAGAATACGTCAAAGTCCGTGTCGCAGCTCTGCGCAACCAACAACTCAAACTCCGCACCGCCTCATCATCAACCTCAACGCCTCTCCCCACAGCAGAAGAGCCAGAAATCACAAGCAACGAGAACCATGAAGATCTCCCAGAAGACGCCCCCGCCCTCCCCGACAGCAACCAACAAGCTCAGACTTTGATCCCAGGCGGTTACCAAAACATCTCCGCCATTCGCGCCAACACCATGAAATTCCTCCCCCGATTTTTCGCGCACCACCAACTCTCAAAGATCTTTATTTGTTTCCCCGATCCACATTTCAAAGCCCGCAAACATAGACAACGCATCATCTCGTCGAGTTTGAATGCGGAATATGCGTTTGTGCTGAAACCTGGTGGACTCTTGTATACGATTACAGATGTGGAGGAGTATCATTATTGGGTTTTGAGGCATTTCGGGGTTTTGGACCATGCCAATCCCGCCACCTCTGAAAATGGCGCTGAGACTACAGCTCAGGAGAAAGGTAGTGCAGAGGAAGATGATGAAGATGAGGATGATGAGAATTCGGGTGTAGCACGTGTCAGGGAGTTGTTTGAGCGTGTATCAGATGAGGAGTTGGCGGCTGATGAGTGTGTAAAAGTCATGCGTGAAGAGACGGAGGAAGGGAAAAAAGTTGCCAGGAATAAGGGGCCTAAGTTTGTGGCTGTTTTCAGACGGTTGCCGGATCCTGACTGGTCTATGTCATAAACATCATAGGTATCAGAGAAAAAAATGTTATAGACGTGTATTCAACATTTGACAGAACTCTTATCCTTTGACCTGACCTAAATGCACCCCCTGAAAGGATTCAAAATGGACACTAAATCAAACCTCGTGAAACATCAACCGAGAATGCTCGTGCCTGTATATAAGATCGTACCCAACTTAAAAAACTAAACCAAACCCTTTTAGGTAGCATCACGCCTTCAACCGTCGAGCCTCGCAAGCCTCACATACAGCCAGTTGTACAGGACCACCTATAATCCGGCCCTTGGCAGTACGTTTCGGCTCGCCTTCCTTCACAAAGAATTTACCCTCAGGCCCAAATCCACCACCACAAGTATGACAGACGAAGCATTTGTCGTGCCATTGGCCGCCGAGTGCAGTGACGACAACGTCTTCGAGGACTGGGTGCTTGCAGCCGAGGCAGCGTGAAGCCGTGCGACGGGAGTGGCAGCGGAGACACCAGGCAAAGCCGTCTTTTTCGACGAATGGGGTTTCTTGCGAGAAAGGCTGTAAAAATTGTTAGTGGCTGAAAACTTAAATTAGGGAGATCAATGGACGTACGTCACCGCATTCAGCACAGAAGAAATGACCAACGTGCCATTCAGCACCACACGCAACAACAACCTCTCCTTCAATCGGAGTCTTGCAGCTCTTGCACCGCGGGCTGAACAGTTCGTGAAAGTCAAGATGGCAGTAGAATCGCAAGACACGAGCCTCGTCGTCTTCAGGCGAAGCTTGAGATAGTCTCTCTTCTCGCTTGGCGTCTGGTTCTTGATAGAATGCGACGCATTCAAGACCTGTGCCGCAGTGGTAACAAGAAAAGCATTCAGGATGGAATCGGGACCCAGCGGCTGTGACGACTCGGCCTTCAATGGGCAACACACAATTTGTGCAGGTTGCAGTAGGGACGCCGGCTCTGGTAAAGGGAGAATACCATTTGCCTTGGGAAGTTGGTTGCATCCCTTGAGGGTTGTCGAACTTGCGGCGTCTAGATGCAACAGACTCAGTCGCTCCGGCGGTTTCTAATTTGGGTGGTTCAACAGCAATGGACGGGACATCTTCCTTCGGATCATCGGGGAAATTGATGGTTGGAACACCGTCTGATGCGTCAACAACGTTGATAACAGGAGGACCGTCTCGGGAGTTGTTCTTTTCCTCAGGAGGCTCCCATGACGGATCAAAGCTAACAATAGGCTGGCCTGGCCGGTCACTGACGGCCGTAGGCATTGGCAGCTTCTCACTTCGGTCCTTGAGTCTCATGCTCGTAGCTGCTCTGATGTCGTCACTTCGAACTTCTATCCCATTCTTCATGCGCACCTCTTCTTCCTCTTGTTCTTCTGCCTCGTCTTTCTTCTTTGACTCTCGATTCGGCTGTATAGGTGCATTCGTCGTATATAGAGGATTTCGTGTCTGAGTTGGCGGATTTTTATATATATCGACCTTATTTTTTCTGTCAAAAGGAGAGTTTCTTATTCGAACGGGAGGATTTGCGCCTTGCGGTAAAGAATTTCTAGGCTTGACTTTCAGAGCAGACCGCACATTTGTAGATGATGTCTGGCCGTGCGTCTGCATGCTCGAGTCCTCCGGCTCTTCATATATCGAGTCTTCGGGATTTCGGAAGATACCCTTCGAAGACTCGTTGCTCACCGTCCTTGTCCGTGGCGCTACACGGTGTGTCTCAGGTGAACCATCTTCAGAGGGCAGGGCGAAATTGACTCTTCCCTTCTTCTTTATACTGTCCTTCGTAGATGCGTTTGAGCTTGTTGGTGACTGCGCCTCTTCGTGACTCCCAGATTCCGACAGAGACTTCCTGTGATTGTAGGCAGTATCGGCACCAGGCACGGTCTGGCTCCTGGCATGACTCCCCTTCTCTAAGTGTTGTCGGAATCGATTCGTGCCGTGTAGGTCTGGATTGCGATAAGCAGCGTGTGGGTTTTTGTAGGCGGCCCCTGGGTTCTGATGTTCCCAAACCAACTTCGTAGCTTCATCCTGCGCAGCAGAATGCAAACGTTCCTCGTCCTGCAAATCCATCTCCTGCAGCGCATCCCGTAGCGAGCGCGCTTCTTGCTTCTCCATCCAGCGCGAGCCGCTCTCACGATAAACTGCACCAGGCGACACGGGACCTTCATACTGCGAAGTGATTCTGGCGCTAGGCGCATAGCTCGAGTCTACAGAGTAGCCATTTGGCTGCTGAACCAAGGGACGTCCCGCGGAGCTGCCGCGGTTCATGTCCGAAGATCGCCTGCTATTCGACATGGCGCTTGCTGAACGAGGGTACGGGTCGGTAGGCGATGGTCCGTTGGCCGGGGAATCGCGCCATTCGTTCATCGACAACGCGGATGCGGCCCGTGGATGAGGTTCTTCGGGAACCTTGGACACGGAGGTGGTGGAACGCGATGGGAGAGGACGAGAACCATTTGGTCTAGAGGGACGACTGGAGCGAAGATCTTTCAAGTAGCTGGCTATATGTGATGCGCACTCGATATTAGGGCCATGTGTGGTGACGCGACTGGTTGCGAGAACTCACCAACTTGGTCATCGGACATATAAGTCGGTCCCGGAGGACTGACTTTCCTCGACGAGTCTTTCATGCGGTTTCTGTGTATCATGGTTGCGTTCGATAACTGTGGAATGCCACTGTGCTTCACAGTCCAATCGATGGCAGATCGAGAAATGTGAGGGAGCCGGCGGATAAGCGCAGTCGATGTGTTTACATACAAGCCTCGGGGAGAGCCGACGATCTGGGCCCGACCTCCACAATGCGGGCGGGCTATTGATAACAGGTTTACTCCCACAACTTGAGCAATTGCCCGCAGAAAGAGTCAAATTGAATATAAGGATTGGGCGAAGTGCTTATTGTATGGTGTGAGTCAGAATCGAAATGGTGAATCGTCAGAGATTAAGAGTGTTCTGGAAGTTGGAGACTGGCTGGGCTGGCAGGGAAGGAGGAAGCTATGACCATCTGACAACAAAGCATCGCATCCACTGTTTATGCTTATCGCCAGCAGAGCTTCAGGATTGATCTCTGGGACAACCAGACACTCGGGAGGCTAATGCTCAGATAGATCATGAAGAAGGAGAATTATTGTCTACATCTGATAGAGCGTATGGAGTACAAATTAAGGTGAATCGTATTAATCATCAATAAAAGAGCCCGGAACGGACGCAAAACAGATCGTCGCGCGGCCAACCGCGGGGCGGCCCTAACATACGGTATGACGAAGGTAATAATACCCGATCTGTATTACTGCCCTACACGTCCGAAGTTGACTCATCCTCTCATTGACTTGTCAGCTATCTCATAATATTATCAATCACACTATACTTTTCCTAGAATGAGCATCCGCACTTTGCGTTTGCCAGCACCACGTCCGCCTTCTTCCTTGACCGAGCTGACATTCACCTGGACTCTCTCAAACAACTCAACCATCAGAGATCTTTCAGTCTCTGGATGGGTCTTGTCCCACACGCGTAGAGTGTACTCTTCAGCATCATATTCGCTCTCCCGTCGGTGGGCAACCTCCCTCATCTGTTCAGGATCGTGCACGTTAGGTAGTACCTTCTCTCCAGGCAGCATAAAATCTTCCAATCGCACAATGCCCTCGATACCGAATCGAGGAACAAAGACAACCACGCCGTTCTCAAAGACTCGCATGATGTAAGCCTCTTCATCGACACCGAGGTTCTTGTCATTGCCCTTGTTCTTAGCCATCATCTCACCCCGAGCCTTCAGTGCTTGGCCGACATAGTATTCAATACTGGCTCTGCCCGCGAACTGCGCATTGCGATGACGGAAATTGATATTTTTGCAGACGTCCTCTAGCTGACTTCGTCGACTAAGACCTTCAGCTGAAGTATATCCAATCGCGGCAGCAAGTTGTCGATGGACGACAAGATCGGCATAACGACGGATAGGAGACGTGAAATGTGTATAGATAGGTGAAGCAAGTCCATAATGTCGGAATTCAGCTTCGGCGTGTTGACCGGCAGTAAAGTACTCGGCTGAAGTCATACAACGAGTGGCCAAGATACGGACCAAGGTGTTGAAAAATGGATTCTTAGGGTCAACACACTTATCAAGCGAATCGGCCAAAGCTCCTGAGCTAGAAACATCGAGATTAAGGCCTCGCTTCTTCTGAAGCTGTGCAGCCAACTGTTCGAAATTTTGAGGAGGAGGTGAGGCGTGCCTTCGTAATAGGGCGGTTTGAGGGAATGCGCTGTAGATCTTAGAAGCGACTGTGATGTTGGCGAGAAGCATGAACTCTTCGACAAGACTATTTGTCGCCAGATGCGCCTTTGTCTTGACATCAGTGAGCGGGTCGTTGAGTTCCGACTCGGTTTCAATTCGAATCTCAGGAGATGCAAGGTTCAAAGCACCTGCATCCATACGTTTTTGCCGTAGGATTTTGGAAAAATGTAAAAGTGTGCGCATGCTTTGCGTCAAGTCATCAGTCTGAGACGCGTCGTCAATTCGTAACTGGGCCTGCTCGTAACTGAATGCCTCCCGTGATCGAATAACAGACTTTGTGAAATCAGAAGACACAACCTCTCCATTGGGTGTCATCTCCCAGATGGTAGAAAACGCAAAACGTTCTACATATGGTTTGAGAGAGCACAGATCAGTTCCCAAGAGCATTGGAAGCATGTCAATTCTCTTATCCACCAGATAGACAGTGGTTCCACGTAAACTTGCTTCCAAGTCCATCGCATTGTTTGGCTTGACAAAATTGGATACGTCGGCGATATGAACACCCACTTCGTAGTTTCCGTTCGGCAAGAGGCGTGCATGTAAAGCATCATCAATATCTTGACATCCAGGAGGGTCAATACTGCAAACTAGTAGATCTCGTAAGTCTCGTCGTTTTTGCCAACCAGGGTGATCCATATTTGTCGGAACCCTCCAGTCGTGGCCTTCGGCAGGCAAACAATCCAAGACCACTTTTGGGAATGGTCGATACTGCACATCATACTCAAGTAGCAGGGCTTCTGTTTCTGCGGCCTTTGTTTCTAACTCTCCTAGTGATCGCACAAAGTGGCCGGTAGGATACCGAGAATCGCGATCCCAGCTGTCCACGGTCACAAGAATTCGTTGACCGAGAAGCTCGGCTGCTTGCCGGGTTCTGATTCGAATCTTGGGTATACGCTTGTCCATGGGAAGCACAAAGACGGTTTGCTGACGCCTTCCTGAATTACCCTGGAGTGACGTCGATGATGCATCGACGTGCCCAACATATTGGCGCCAGTTTCGCTTGACGATGCCCACAATTCGAGCAGTTGGCTGGGCTTTTCCCTCGGCGACTGTACCATGGGCTTTCTTTACTTCCTCCTGAAGAGCTCTCTTTTCCCTCTCGTTCACAATAACTTCTGTCTCCTCACTGTCCGGATTCTCATTTTTGGTGACTGCTTCTTCATCTATGATCTTTGAAGACGGCGACTTCCACTGATCTTTCGGAAGCACTTCGACGACAACTACATCGCCAGAGACGGCTCGGTTGCTGTTGTCACGCCCAAGAATGAGCAGCGATTTCTCAAACGCAGGCACCTTCACAGACCCTTCCAAATAATTGTAAGGTGAAATGTTGAATATGCCTTGGTGCAATGTTCCTGCGCGTACACCCGTCATCATTTTTGACATTGTATAGTATTCCGGGTAGAAAAATTCTGTTCTCTTTCCTCTCTCCTCACGAGAATCATTAATCATGTCAATCAGAGTATCAGAGTCCTCAAGACCTGACACATAAGCAGCGAGTGACAGAGCTACAACGCCTTCCTCTTTCGCTTTGCGGAGATTCTCTTTATCATCAGTGAGTACAACAATTGCCGGAATACTTTTGCCTTTAGCGGCTTGACGGAGATGTTCAGTATACCACTTTGCGACAGCGCGCACAGCTCGGTCATTTCGGTCATTGATGGATTCATCATTCTGTCGGCGAACGTAGGTCTCAAGTCGAAATTCATTGAAGAATAGGTAGAATCGTTTCTCATCGGACTTGATAAGGGAAATAAGACGGTTGTAGAGGGGTAGCGAAAGATTTCGGAGCTCTTCCAAGACGGTTTGTAGAATTATCACGTCATAGAATGCGCCAGTGTGCTCGAAAACATCCATCCCATTCAACAATGCATTTGTATCCGGAATAATATAATGGCCTTGTGGGAAGGCTTTCGTACCGGCAGGGCGATCGGAGAGAACGAATGGTGCGACTATTTTGAAGATAAATGTCAATGGCAGATTCTATATAACCGTAAAAAGAGAATCACTCACTATTTCCACTCGCATCTGCTGGTGCATAGGTCGCACATATTGTACATAACTGCGAAGAGCATGGGATATCTTGTCTTAGGTATAATTCGCGAACGATTTTCTGAACCTTGCCGCTTTTTGTCGACCTGATGAAGACTTTGCTGGATACATTCTGAGCCTGTGGGTTCGAGGAAAAGTCTCTTCGTAGACTTTTCATTTTGACTGAAAATAGGAAACTGCCCGACAGTTCTTCTTTCTTGAAAAAGGTTGGGCTAGCTCGAAATGAGCTTTGTCTTGCGATGGACTAGCACGGCTTGTCGTCGTCAGATGAAGCAAAAAAAGGCAAGTGCGGAAGTCGACTTGGATCTGCAAAGCTTATCGGCCGGCTTCAATCACCTTATCGTTATCGCTCTCGCACGCCATGGAGAATGCCCTCATTCATCTATCTCACTTGTATATATTTATATAGCATTTTGTTGACACTATCGAGGATTCATCAATCGATTAATTCTATTATATCTGCATATGACTCATAGCGACAACAAAATGGTGAAAATTGCACGTATTTTACCTCGATCCTTGCTTCAGATAACTCGCTGACACATCCCAGGCGATAGGGCAGCTATGCTCAACAGCGAGCATGGCACACAACCTCGCTCAGTGTCAGACGTTAGTGAAAAAAGCCGTAGCTGCAGGGGCCAAGGTAATATGACTTCAAGTCGACTCATCGCAGCAATTTGGCGATTTGATCTCACAGAAAAGATAGGCGCTCTTTCTCCCCGAAGCTACCGACTATATTGCATCTTCGAGCGCTGAAAGTGTGTCACTAGTGCGCTCCGTACAACAAAGTGAATTTGTTCTTGGTCTTCAGAAAGAGGCTAGGAATGCAAAGTTTCCTATTAATGTGGGTATTCATGAGCCTGCCCAAGGTGGTATCAAGGTGAAGAATACCTTGATTTGGATTGATGAGCACGGAGAGATTGTGCAACGGTATCAGAAGATACATCTCTTTGATGTTGAGATTAAGGATGGCCCGACACTCAAGGAAAGCGCGTATGTGTATTGCAAAGATGGGCATCATTATTTGACCTAACCCATGCAAAATAGGAGCGTTGAAGCAGGTACCCAAATCCTCCCACCATTCGAAACCTCTGTGGGACGAGTTGGTCTTGCGATCTGCTTTGACGTGAGCTGAACTGACCACACCTATTTTTTCGTGCTAACGACTGGACAGCTACGATTCCCTGAGATCTCCATAGCTCTAAAGCGCCAGAATGCGCAGCTCATAACCTTCCCATCAGCCTTCACTGTACCTACAGGACAAGCACATTGGGAGGCTCTTCTCCGTGCTCGTGCCATTGAAACACAATCATATGTCATCGCTGCGGCACAAGTAGGAGCACATAATGAGAAGCGAAGAAGCTATGGAAACTCAATGATAGTTGATCCATGGGGCCAGGTGGTTGCGAAGCTGGGAGGAGAATTCAAGGAGCCTGAAATTGCGACTGCTGATATCGATTTTGATTTGATTGATAAAATCAGGAAAGAGATGCCTTTGCTGCGTCGGACTGATATCTATCCTGAGGTATGATCGTTGCTATGGGAAGCCACTTCTAAGTATCTTGACGTTCCAGGCTGATATACATATACGAGCACTATATCTCTGAATAGTTACCTTTGGTAATACATATTTAGACAAGCAGACATTGCTATGTTGACACAACCCGTTCACCACCTCTATGTTGTCAGTGTTTCTCAGTAATACATGTAGTACGCTGCCCCCAGCTAAAATAACGAATTTTCACATAACACATGCTAAACAAGTCATATTACGGAAGCGGAAAAGGAAAGGAATAAAAACGTGTCTATCAACGTGACCCAGCCATCTTTGATATGACTGCGGTACAGCAGATCAGAAAAGATAATGGAACCGATCTTTTATGTACAGCGCAGTATAACATCATGGAAAACAAAATAATTTAAAAAGGCTCACCGAGATCGATTCTTATTTCTGAGCCTTCTCGGGGTCCTCCAAGATACCCTCTGCTTCCAATCGTCGGCGAGCCTCCTCCAAGGCCCATGTTTGTATCCTGCATGACAAGCGTTAGCAACTTTGCCTCCATTCGATGACTTCAATTGTACGCATGTGTTGTAATTATGTCCACGAACAAACAGTCGAATGACTCGAAGGAAGACTCACGAGGTGTCCGGCTTGAAGACATATGCAACACCAGCAGCGACCAAGCTTCCAATAAATCCAAAGTACCAGATATTCTCCCAACCTTCCTTCACATACTTCTGACCGGGCTTGACGCCGAAAAGCCAACCACTGGGGGGGTCGTAATGGTTTCCATGATCGGCAGAGCGAAGACCGCTTTGTGTTGAGAAAGCGCGGCTAGTCTGTGGTGTGCGCAATAGGCAACGAGAGCGGAGAGCGATGGATGTAGCTTGACGCATTGTGAACGATGCTAGCGAAACTGGAGTAGCGTCAAGGGTGTGAGTGCAGAGATGAGTTCGGTAGAACGACCTGGGCGGTGCGGGCCGAGTTCTTCAGGCGGTACGACGCTTCAGTAAAGGCTGGAAGCGATTTTCGTTAGATAAAGAAAGTAATTGAACGCCCTTGATGGGTTTTCTTATGGGCTTGTGGGCGACAACTTCTGGTAGTCGCTCGGGTTGATTGGGTTGACGTTGGAAGTAGCAGTGGCCGAAATTGAAGCTAACGTAGGAGGTTTCTCCGAAAAGGCTGGACCGTTGATGCCTTACAGGACAGGCATCAGTTATGCCTTGTTGCCTCAGGCAACAATAGCCCATCCAATCTACGCGGAAAGACGCGTTTTCGTGTCGAGGGCGACAACAACCATACACCACCGTTTCAATGCGAGTCCTTACTTGGATACAACAAACCTACACATAGGCAATTGGCAGGTTTTATTTACAATGATCTGTATAATCTAGACACGGAATATCGAGGCAAGTGTTTTCCATCCGCGTCACTATATGGAATGTTGACATCGCTAACTCCATCTTGTAGATAGTAGTGTCACAGCTACATACGTCCATCATGACCACGAAACAAAATCCTTACGTTTCAGCTAGCTCAAAGTCGAAATTGAACAACTTTCAATATGTTCCTACCAACAATGATGCAATTCCCAAGAAGAGTTCGTCAAAGAAATCCGCCCAAGCTATCGCCAATGCCGACAAGGAAAACCATAAATCATGGATAAATGGTGTGATGGAACCACCCAAGTCTCCAGTAAAATCTCCAAGCAAGTCTCCCGGCAAGGCCTTGCCGTCGACACAGACCAAAGAAACGAAGCCCTTGAGTGAATGTCCCAAAACGCCGGCCAACAGAATTCCTCTAGCCGACCTGATAAGCAACGCGGAAGATGTGATGGTTATGCCTTCGGGACAAGAATTGACGCCCGATGATTATGTATCATGGCAACCAGCTCCTCCTCGCAGTTCAGCTACGCGACGTGGAACAAGCAGTCGAAGTAAAAAGCGTCGACACAGCTCGTCTCCAACAAGTTCGCCGCTTAAAGATGGTACTTCGAAGAAGCCAAAGGGGTCATTCGATATGAAGAACTTTCAACGTCTTTTGAAAACACCCCAGACCGATATGGCAACCGATCTATGGAATAAATACATTGGCCAAAGCAAACTGGAAGGAACACTGGATATACCGACAAAGTTCACAAACTTACCCTCATCGCCTCAAACTCCCGCGTCGCAGAGAACAGGACGGGACTCTTCGGCCTTGCGCAGGTCGGTCAGTTGCAATGTTGACTGGCCTTCATCCAAGACAAAAAGACGAAGAGTTGAGGGCGTTGATGGCGCTCGCACAGCCCGAGATATCTTTTCTCGGTCAAAAAGCAATGTTCTGGACTCTGGAAGCTCAACCAAATTGAGCTTTCTGTTGAACAAGATTCAAGATACGTTAGCAAGCACGAAACCAAATCCCAAGATAATGCCGCCTTCATCACCACCGCCTCCTCTTCACGATTATGTGCGGGAAGACCTCTCTCCATCGCCATCCAAGAAGCAGCAGTCCAAGCCTGCTAGCCGGCGCCACATTCCAGAGGTAACTATGGAGGAAAAAGTTCCTTGGGATCGACCACAAATAATTCAAAAAACTCACAACCTAAAATCATCATCTTCAGATTTTGGTGATGATGATTTGGATGATGATCTTCTGGCATTAGTGAACTCGTCGACATCACCAATTATGGATTCCGGCCACGAAGACAATGCGGTAGTCGACAACAATGCTCCACAACATTGGTTAGTTGAACAAAGTAACCAGCCAGATTTACCGAAATACGAACAACCACCTTCGAAAGACGACGATGATGACGAATTTGATGACGGTGTTGAGTTCGGAGAGGGTATTGAAGAACTGCTCACACAGTATGAGAAACAAGCACCTGAAATACAGAAACAAGCGTTACCCCAACCTAGTCGAAACTTGAGCCATGAACAGCCCATGATGAAAGTTTCACCAGACACGATCACACGAAATGCCGGCATTTCAGATGAAAACTCTCTCTCGGATGATGAATTTGAGGATGATCTGGACCTCAACAATGTTCTTCAAGAGATGGAACACCAATCAGAAGTCGGTTTTCCTTAGCTTATTTATATATTAGATACTTACTATGATATATGTGAATAGAAACCTAAAGCTAAACAAGCTATCAAACGCTACCTCATTGTACAGATTGCTGAAAGCACGTATACAACTCAGAAAGGGTTTGAACAACCAGAACAGGTCAGTGAAAGTATTTACTTCCTACTTGAAGCCAATTTGTAACTCACCATAAAATCATTAGGTGCTTTCCGTGATGGACGAGAAAACAAGTACTCAAAAGGTCATCATTCTTCGGGAATCATGGGCCGACAGTCCCTGCACGAAAAATTCCTACATCCATCTGATCGGCGATTACGACCATAAAGACCAATGCATAGTGGACAACGCTCACAACATGATCATCCTTCATCCGGACCACCTCATCTCGGCTACCGTCGTCGCTGACGCCATTACTTGTCAGAGACGCGCCGTCCTACAGGATCGAATCAAGGCTACCTCTGATATCAACAAGCCTCAGGTGTATGGTCATATTCTCCACGAAGTCTTTCAGGAAGCCATGAAAGTCAATCAATGGGATCTGCAGTCAATGAGAACATTGGTCGAGCGGATTCTTGTTCAGTATGTGGAGAGTTTGTATGCGATTCACGTTAGTATGATTGAAGCTGTGGAATATGTGATGAGCAAGGTGCCTGAGTTGAAGGCATGGGCAGACATTTTTCTTCGTCCCAAGCCGGATGTAAGTGCCTTCCACCACTGTGTAAGAGAGCATAAGTTGATACAATTACAGGCTGAATGCATGGTTGAAGACCGTAATGGATCCAAAGCCAATCTCAGTATCAACAAATTGCTCGAGGTTGAGGAACATGTTTGGTCTCCAATGTACGGGCTTAAAGGCAATGTCGATGCAACTGTGCAAGTAGCTTACAACGATGGCGGCAACCAAAAGACATTGACTATTCCTCTGGAAATGAAGACGGGMAAAAAAGACMCCAGCCATAGTCACCGAGCACAGACTTCATTGTATACACTTTTGCTTTCTGACCGTTACGGTAAGTCTCGACTGGGTAGATGTTGGAAAACGTGTGCTGATTTCTCTAGATGTCGAGGTTACTTTTGGATTGCTTTATTACTTGGAAATGAAGAAAATGTTTCGGATCAGGGGCATCCGTCATGAACTCCTACAGATGATCCAAGAACGAAACCGGCTGGCGGGKTTCATACGGGAAAAAATGGAATTACCGCCAATGATACAACGAAAACATCTCTGCAACCAGTGCTATTCAAAGACAGCTTGCTTTGTATATCACAAACTAGTTGATGATGGCAACGGTGAGACCAGTGGGCTTGGCCCGAAATTCGACGAGGTGGTTGGCCATTTAGACGCGCGTCATTCAGAATTTTTTAAGAAATGGGACAATCTTCTAACTCTGGAAGAAAAAAATATGATGAAGTTCAGACGCGAGTTGTGGACAATGACCAGCACAGAGCGAGAACCTCTTGGGCGTTGTTTCAGCGGTGTGGTCATTGAGCCTGGTTCTGCCTATGAGGATCCGAGCGGCTCAAAAATCAATCGCTATAGGTACAACTTTGTCAAGTCAAAAACAACACCTGGATTTTCTTTTACGGAGTCTCAGATTACTGTGGGTGAGCCCATCGTCATCTCCGATGAGAAGGGTCACTTTGCCTTGGCCAATGGCTATGTTGTGCGTACCAGTCCAAAGAGGATCTCGGTTGCTGTTGACCGCAGACTTCACAATGCGCGCGTCAGATGCAAAGATTTTGATGCAGAGCGCAATCAGAGCTTCAAGGGTATTATGGAAGTTGGACAAGGCAGCAGTTCAGAATACCCAGAGGAACAAATGGTGTACCGTCTCGACAAGGATGAATTCAGCAATGGCATGGCTACGATTCGAAATAACCTCGTCAGTCTGATGGAGAACTTCTCCATGTCTATACCTCTGAGGAAGGTTATCATCGAACAGAAGACACCTGAATTCAAGGAGCCGTCTTCGTCCGCAGAGGCAATTTTCAGCTCGTCTCAGGCAAACCTCAATATTGATCAGAAACAAGCAATCGATAAAGTCATGAGTGCAAAGGATTATGCTCTTATTCTTGGTATGCCGGGTACTGGAAAAACCACCACTATCGCTCATATCATTCGGGCCTTGGTCTCGCAAGGGAAGAGTGTGCTGTTAACGTCTTATACCCACACTGCCGTCGACAATATTCTGCTCAAGATCAAGAACGACAATATCCGGACTCTTCGTCTCGGGGCTGTTGCAAAAGTGCATCCAGAGGTACAACAGTTTGTCGACCTCGCAGCCATCCTGAAGAAGACGATTGAAGAGTTGCAAGAATCCTACCAAGAATCGAAAGTAGTGGCGACAACTTGCTTGGGCATCAATCACCCGATTTTCAACGAGCGTATATTTGACTATTGTATTGTCGACGAGGCTTCTCAAATCACGCTACCTGTTTGCCTGGGCCCGATCCGAATGGCAAAGACCTTTATTCTTGTGGGTGATCACTATCAGTTACCACCACTTGTTCAGAACAAGGCTGCTCAAGAGGGTGGTCTGGATGTGAGCTTGTTCAAGCTCTTGTCTGATGCGCAGCCTTCATCTGTTACGAACCTCGAGCACCAATACCGCATGTGTGAAGAGATCATGTTGCTATCCAACACACTTATATACTCCGGACGCCTGAAATGCGGCAGTTTCGAGGTTGCTTCACGATCCGTCAAATTGCCGAATCTGCAGAATGCTATCAAGACCCATCACGTCACTTCGCTCGCAGATATAGCCTCCGGCCGCTGCCCCGGCCCAACTCGATCTCGCTGCTGGCTCAGCGACCTCCTCTCCCCCGCCGCAAAGACCCTCCTCGTCAATACCGACACCCTCTCCAACCGCGCTCCCGAGACTCTGGTCGGCTCCCGCCTCACAAACACCAGCGAAGCAATTCTTTGCGTCCAACTCGTGCAATCCCTCATCTCATCCGGCATATCGCCCCGCGACATCGGCGTAATAACATTCTACCGCAGCCAACTCTCCCTACTCCGACAATCTCTAAGACAACACTCCTCCGAACTCGAGATGCATACAACCGACAAGTTCCAGGGCAGAGACAAGGAAATCGTGATCCTGAGCTGTGTGCGCAGCAACGGCGAGAAACAAGTCGGCGATCTACTGCGGGACTGGCGCCGTATCAACGTCGCATTCACCAGAGCGCGCACGAAGTTGTTGGTGATTGGGAGTAAATCCACCCTCAGAGACGGGAACGAGTTACTACAGAAATACGTTGAGCTCATGGAGTCGAAGCAGTGGGTTTATGATTTACCTCGCAACGCATTGCAGGACCATGTCTTTGAGTCCCTTGAGGATGGCGCAGGAATGTTTTCGCCTACACAGCGGAGAAGTATTCAGTACAATAACGTCAAGACCTCGCCTTCACCGATAAAGAGGTCGATGAACGACATACGAATGACGCCGGACAAGAACCTCAAACGGAAATATATCAATGGACCTGGATCACCGACTGGTCCAGGGGGAAAGAGTCCATTAAGTCCAGCCGCGCAGCAGCGCAAGATTATCAAACGAGAGAAGAAGATGAAGACGCCTGAGAAAAGGGGTAACAGAGTCCCGGGTGTGGAGAAGCTTGTGCATAAAAGGCCTGTTCTGCAGGATTTGTTGAATGAGTTTATGGGATGATAGGTATGGAGTTAAGGATACGCATTTGTTTTGGGGTATTGGATTACCATGGTTTGGTTGTGTGGGCATCTTGTACTGGGACCCTTGAAGGGATATCGTTTACTAGACTTGGCATGGTATAGATGTAGGTAAATAATGATATTAGTCATGAAATAGAATCGTGTGCAACTATTCGAAGTTCACCACGTTCCTCATATCGGGAGAAGGGTTGGCGTCAAGGCCATCTGCCTTGGTCGATGTCTTGACCCTGGAAGTCTGCATGCACTGCCAGTCTGAGCTATAACATGGCTCCAAAGCCTACTTGGATTATCTTTTGCTTGAATTAACCACAAAATTTTGAAATGTCGATACCTCCATAGTAGTCATCCCACAAAAACCAATCAAATACGTGGTCTGACGTTGGCCCGTGGAAGTATGTTGGTTCATCTTCCATTTTGCGGCCTGAATGATGGAGATTAGAAGCATGGATCTCGGCTTCGAGTATCCGTGATGTAACATCCATGTCGACCGGTAAACAATTCAAGTAATTCATCATGTTGAAATTACCTAGATCTGTGCCAGTCAAATCATCCCACGGCTGTGCAACATGCTCATCCATCCCGAGGCCATTGGGCTGTTGGTATGCATCGTCTTCGGCAGCAGGCTCTGTTGAGTTACTATGGTTGTGGTGGATGTGAGACTGAGCAAGTCGCAGGAATACAGTAGCAGTATGCTGAAGCTTGGAGCATACACCAGCTAGAAGCCTCATTTGGGTTCTCATCTGGGAGTAGTAGGTTACTGACGTGTTAAGTAGATGTAGATCCTGCTCAAGTGTCGGGTACGGGCCAGATTGATGGACGATGTTCTCAAAGATCACAAAGAAAGGAACGAACGGATAATAGAGAAGCTGCCAAATAACCCCGTTGTATACCGAGCTCCAGTTCGATACTAAATCTGGAAGAAGGGAAATTGCTTCGCGAGCACAAGACAAACGCAGATTTGAGGTCCAGCCAGTTTTCAGTAATATAATCAGCACGTGCAAGTATTGAAATTTGATATTACAGATTCCCAAATTCATTTCACGGGTTTTCTTGGTATCTGATAAGATACGCTCGTTGTCCATAGCCTGCGTCAATACCTGGTCTCGAGAGTTGGTCATCTATACCATACGGAAACAAAGATTCATATATGAGAAGATGGTTGCTTACCATATTTGCGTTTGAAAACCAAGTGTCTAGTTTTATTCGCATGGTATCTCTAGCTTCTTCGGAATGACCCACGGTCAAAAGATCCAAGACATCGCCCACCATCTTCGCAAACTCAACAGTATTTTGAAACAGCAAAGCACCAAATGTGGAGCTTTTATTTTGCTGCTGGTTGGTATCATGAGGACAGAACTTGAGCATATATTGTTCGTCAGGCAGCGGGACGTGGCGGTAAAGGGAAATAGGGAGAAAAGCTGGCCGGCCAAATGCGAGAGCACAGGACTTGTCAAGCGTGAATAGCATCCAAAACAGACACAACCTGTGCTGTGAATCGTCCAATAATGTATCATTGCTGGCTTCTACATGCAATCCCAAAGCTTCGGCCTGGCGGCATGCCTGGCTTAACAGCATCCAAGACACGTTGGGTGCAGCAAAATCTTCACCGTGCACAGATAGCAATGTCAAAGCTTGAACATTCGCAATACATGGTTCAAGGAAAATTCGGCTATCGTTAAGGGCCAGTCGAGCATTCTTTCGGAGTTTATCCTCATACTCATCGAGCTCGGTGGAAACAGCAGCAAGTAAGATATAATTAAAGGAGACGATCCACCCTTTCTCCCTGATTTTATGAGGCTCGAAAATGACGTGCCTTAGGATTTCGTCTGACGGAAAGCGAAAGAATGGCTGTCCGAGCTCGGCTTGCTCTAAAAATTCTTGTAGAACAAGTTCTAAGTTAATGAGGTCCTTTGATAAGAGAGAGATATGCGGCGAAGTGTAATGAGCTTACTACCAAGAAGTATATATCCTACAGCTCTCGGCGGCACGTGAAATGGTGTTGAGTTTTCCATTGAATACCTTGCTGGAGCTGTAGATAGACTGGATGACATATCACGAATCTCTGTAATCGCACGCTCTTCGAGCCCTTGCTGGTTTACGTGCTGGATGCCCACAGGTGCCTCTCGTAAGAACGAGAAGGAATGTGACGGGCCAATATAGAGCTGCGAATCAGACGCATTCTCTTCACTCGTACTCTTCTCGTGCGATCTTTCGTTGAAGTTCCTTTGTTGGGAAGTGGAAAAGGCAGTCAACGCTTCATCAATGGACTTCGCTAGAAACTGAACTGTGCGTTCTAAGCTGTCAATACGGCTCTCTATGCTTACTTCGGTAGCTGTACGAGATGTCATGGCCCCGACCCCTTTAGTGGTGGATGACGACGACTCTCGCGAATATACGCAACTACTGGGCCACGGCTTGCAAGTACTGCATTTTGGCAACTCTCGTGAACATCTTGGAATCATTAGCCAGAATTAAAACTCATGTGCGCTCAAGAAAGGTTCAGAAATACTTCAGTTTCTTCTGCCGACAAAAGTCACACTACTCCTGTCAGTTTCTGCACAGCTCGACCCGCTCTCGAGATTGTTGACTTACGGCAAATCGAGCAAATCCCGGTGCTTCCATGAAACCGGAGCCCCGAACGAACGTTTCCGGGTTACTGATTAATATTTGTTATACTGATGAGCTTTCAGCGAGAATGGCAAAGTAGTTGGGTTGGTCCAGAGAGTGTAATATCACTGTCCCCGGAATGTCTCCGGAGGGTCCGGATTCAGCCAATCAAAGATGGCGGACTCGGAGCTGGATGTATAGAAAAAGTATAGAAATTTTTACTATATATTGAGGCAGAGAGACCACTTTTTGGAAAGACTCAAAATGCTCTATATTCTATATCATCCATGTCATTCCATATCTCATATGAACATATAGATCATCCTGTTCGAACATATATTTCACCATGACTTCTCCACCCTCCATCGCAATCATCGGTGCTGGACCTGCCGGTCTTCTCTTCGCACGGCTCCTAGAGGAAAATGGACTGCGGGACTACGTTGTTTACGAACGTGATGAGTCGTCCGCCCCTGGTTTGTGGCAGCAAGGCGGCTCTCTGGACCTCCATGGCCCCTCAGGCCAACTGGCCCTCAAAGAAGCAGGTTTATTAGATGAATTCAACAAGGTCTATGCACGCTGGGACGCCTCAAAGATACACATCGTCAACGGCCATTCTGGAGAAACAATTGGATGCTTTGGAGAGGGCCGGGATGCTCCAGAGATTGACCGCTTGCAGCTACGTCAGCTTCTGCTTGAGTCTATACCTGCACATAAAGTCGAATGGGGTCACGGCGTACGCTCCATTGAGATAAAAAATCCCGGAAACTCTGGAGACAGGGATAATGGATGCATTATTCATTTTACCAATGGTAGCTCGGCTACTGGGTTCAAGTTGATCGTCGGAGCTGATGGTGGTTGGAGCAAAGTCCGTCCTCTGGTGAGTCAACATTTGATTGAAAAATAAATAATTTTAACTAAGATTAAAATATTTGGTTTAGATTACTTCCGCAAAGCCGGTGTACTCTGGAAAAATGTATATCGAAGGCCAGCTCTCGCACAACAACCCGGTTTACCGCACGGCCAAAGAGTTAGCCGGGCCTGGGACGATGATGGCGCTGGGCCCTTGTAAGAGCTTAGCATTGCAGCAAGGATCAGATGGAACGTACAGAATGTACTTTGGTCTTGTCGTGCCTGAAGACTTTTACAACCACCGCAGTGGCAATGCCGTGGAAAAGACCGAAGCTGTGCGGGAGCTCATGCTATCATCAGACAAATTTTTCGCAACCTGGGCTCCACAACTCAAAAGCATCGCTGCGAATGTCGAGGGTCCTTTCCGTGCTTGGTCCTTGCACCATCTGAAAGCAGATGAAATCGGATGGAAACGTGATACAGCTCCGGGGGTAACCTTGCTTGGAGATGCAGCGCACCTTTCAACACCGTTCGTAGGCGAGGGAGTCAATTGCGCCATGTACGATGCATTATGTCTGGCTAAATGCCTTGTCAATATTTATGAAGAAGGCTTGGGTTTCGTGGAAGCGAGTTTGGACAAGGCTTTACTTTCGTATGAAGAGGAAATGTTCGAGCGTGGCCGAGACCTCATCCGGCGCAGCGCGGAGAGTGAAGCTGTCCTGTTTAGTGAGAATGCAATGGAGGGAGTGCTAGGGTTTGTCGACGGTGAACATGAGGAATTGTTGTATGATGTGAAGGCTTCTAGTGATAAATAAATTTACCCAGTCTATTTGAGACATTTAGTTCCAAAACTTCCTCTGGTTTGCCCCAAAAGAAGCTACCTATTTCTCTAAAAGCGGCGAGGGGGTGAGCACTATAACGGAAAGATAAATCCCAGTACGCAGGTAATGCAGAGCGTGTTCAGATGAATGATTGTGGATACATGGGTTATTTACTTGATATTGAAGGGCGGTATTGTCAATGAGTATACTATCTAGGTAGGTTGAGTGTGAGTAAGGAAACGCCAGTCTTGTCCTCGGTCCTCAACCGAACTTGATTGAATGGAAGTGAGATATAATTAAAGTCTTGATGAACTTTGAAAGAGACTGATATTCATTGAAGAGTACAGAGAATATGTGTGCGACACAGCTTTTGGTCCAACATGCTTCAAATCTATAGGGACTTAACACCGTCAAGAGCAATGCAAGTGTAAAAAGTGAACTTCATGAACTCATATTCACTTCCCTCCATTACCCTGACCATGCTGATTGGCACCTTAGTTGCCCTCCTGATGACGTTGTCGCTCCTCTCGTCGTTTCTCCGCCGCCCCTGGCGCGTTCAAATACCGCCAGCCCGCCGTGGTCGAATATTCGAAGCGGCCATGATTATCAGGATTCGGGTAGAAGTCCGTCGACATGGACAGCTTGTCGTGGACGAAGACTAAAGTATCCTCGGCTCCTTTTCGCCTTTTGGGCCGTCGCCGTGCTCGCGGTGAACTGGGCTGGCTTCTCTTTGGCGGCGACAGCGTTTCGGAAGACGTATTCGAAGAGTTCTTCGAATACGTATCTGGCATTGCTGCCAGGGATGGGCGCCGTTGGGGTGTTGTTGGCGGTGTGTTGGGAGACGAAGAGATCTTCAAGTGAGTATTTGGCAAAGCCAAGGGTGCATGTATGCCAATAGGTTGGCGTGCTTGCTGGCAGGTACTAACCCAACCGCCGTTCAGCATATAAGCGCCCCCGTTTGTGCCATCGAGAAAGGCTCCGTAACTAAATCCTTGGAAAGATGACTGTTCGATTGGAGTCTGGAGGTCGATCGGCATGTTCACGTTTGCGCTTCCTGCAGTGAAGTCAAACGGTGAGAGAGCGCCTGATGCGGCGAGATTCGACATTGGGAGGCTGCCTGATACGTTGATGCCTGCGTTTTGTGTATGTATCGGCGAGCCGATTGTCGTGTTGGCGAGAGCGCTTTCTGCGCCAGAATTGAACGTCGAGGGGGCACCTGACCTGATATCTGCACTTCCAGCAGTAACGTTAAACGTCGGGGGGGCACCCGAAGTGTTGATGTTGGAGAAGCCTGGTCCGTTCCCGGCAGGCATATCAAAGTAAGGAGCGCCCTCCGGCAGCTGATCTTCTGTTATAAGATGATAATCGTCCCAACTAATGCCAGGCAGTCGATCGCTCCCGAAGCTGGCTTCCAAGCCTGTGAGGTCCCCGTTGGCGGTAAAGAGGTCGTCAAAGAAGCCATTGGGGTCGTTCTCTGAGGCATTGCAATATAAATCAAGAGAATTGCCTGGAAGAAAGGTAGGATTCATCTTGACATGAGAAGAAAAGAGAGAAAAGATGGCTAAGGAGAGAGGAGAGGAGAAAGATGGTGGGAGAAGTGGAATTGAGCAATTGAGCGATTGAGAATAGGAGGCATCCGAGTCTTTATTAAAGAAAGCAAGAAAGCAATTGGGTATAGTACAGGAAGGAAGGAAGACACTGGCCGGAGGGCACCTGCCTCATATACCTCACTCTGCGGCAGGCATCAACTGGCAATTGCAACTCAACTCAGGCAGACAGCGAGGCGCCGACGAACTCCCAGGCTACAAAACCAATTTCTCTGGGTTTCGTACTTTCTGCCATTGACAGAACTGTATATCCATCACTATTCTCAACTGCCACTCGACGGAACGTTGACGCAGAAAGAGCACTCCAGGAACTCAGTTTGTCGGTGTGGAGCCTTCGTTCTAGGCTACTTATGGTCAGTATGGTAGACCAAGGGACCGTCGAGAAAGTCAAAACGGAAGACAGACACTCACAGATAAGAAGTAAACAACTGACTGATCCAACGTGATGTTATGAACCCTTGCCAACGGAGACTCACTAGAGCCGTAGACTGGGGTTGTAGGGACTCGGACCGGGGCACGGCATAGCGACTTAGGTATGTATCGATTACATCGTCTACGGAGATACGAGGGGATTGTAGAGAGACCAGACCAAGCCATTCGGAGACATCGTTACAATAGTCCTCCAAGTCAGCTGGCGAAGACTGCGAGCGCACCTCATCCATGGAAAGGGGCGGCACATTGACGACTGGGTGCGCGATTGTCTCAAGGTGGCAGTCTAGAAGCCTAGGCTGATACTTCTGGAGGGCAGCGGCAGCTAGGTATTGTGAGCAGGCAGCCTGACGTGAGCGTAATAATACATCATACCTTTGTCTAGGGAGGTTTGGGAAAGCGCATTGCAAGCCAGGAGCCAGGTGACCGAGGCATTGAGTACATTTCGACAAGCCCAGACGATCCGTTCGAATCCTTTCTTGCCGTGCAACATCGACGGCTGGCGGAGATCAAGCTCGATTACTAGAAATGTCTTAGAAGTATGACAAGATAGTCTCCGTAAAATGAACTAACCGAATCTTTCCTTTGCATGTTTTCTGCCTCCACTGCGGATTGGTTTTCCTGTGAGGCCGGTGCGTTCGTATTTTTCTCTGCTCATTTGGAGGGTAAGGATTCCTATAGAAGGAACAACCGGTCAGCCATTACCTTGTTCAACACTATGAACCATTCGTCTTTGGCTTATACACTTGAGAAATCTGGTTTATTTTTGGTTTAGTTAGACTGATTTTGGAAAAATTACCTTGCTCTAACGAGAACAAATCGTCTACTCCAGGCCGACCTTCTGACAGCATCGAAACAGATCCTACGAGCATTAGACAGGGGCACAATGGAGTCCACGAGTACTAGTACATACCAGGCTTGACAAAATCGTTAAAAAAGTCACCTTCAATCAATGCGATGAGTGGCATAATGACTTGGATGTATCGTGGCGTTTCGACCTTTTCCTGTATTGAGCTCCATGTCGCGGTGTAGACATCCCTTGGCAGGATAAATTCTGTCTAGACGAACATCAGAAAAAGATCTGAGCCCACATTTGGAATAGAACCTACAGTATGCACAAGCGTATGTTTTGATATTATCGAAAAGGGCGCTTTTTTCGATTCAGGGTTCGCGTCTTCTAGGATCTGGCCAATCGTGATGTAACTTTTTTCATGCGCGGATGCGCCGTCTACAAAGTCGAGCATTGTGGTAGTTCGTATCTAGCTGCTAAGATTGCATGGGTCGGACACTACTGCAATGTTTTCTCAGCGTCGATTTAGATTATCAGAGGAAGCGTGAAACTCGAAAATTTCAATCTTCAAATGAGGCTAGGATAAGCTCAACCTTGTAGAATTATGTGGGGAAGCTCTATGCCCTTTGATAGACCCTTCATAGGCTAATTGAAAAGATGGTTTTGTACAAAACCATCTTTTCAATTTTCGGTTAGCGTCCTTGACTAGCTACATTGACCAGGACTAACTTAGCTAACTTAGTTATGTACTCCGTGCTGACTTAGCTTTGTAGCGTGCTTCATTGTCGAAACGCGCAGCTTGAGCGCTTTACCAGAATAGGCCAAAAAAAAGCACATGTGCGATTTTCGGCTTATTCTGGTTAGCTCCTTTTGTTTGACTAGCTATGTACCAGTGCACTTTGATATCGAAATGCGTGACTATGATTGTGGCACAACCATACAGGTCATCTTGGTTAGCACCCTGACTGGGTCTATTCAGCCGATGATGCTGTACGTAGTCGCTGTGCTGACAGCCTTTCAGGGACTACCCACAAACGTCTTTTTCTTTGGAGCGTGCCAGCCTCCCTCTCAGAGCCGAAAATGTGTTGGTACCACATCAGACCCCAAAGGCGAGCAGAATATCTCCGAGTGTGCTTTAAGCCATTGAAACTACTGTAGCAGAAGGTGTTGTTGAGATACAAGATGAGTTCTGGCGGTAATGACACCAGTGCCATATTTCAGGTAGAAAGAAGTCGAAGAGGTTGCTTGGAGGTACCAAATTCTCGGTGAAAAAAAAAAGGAGAGAATACTGTAATCAGGTATTAAGCTAGTTTGGTGACAACGACAACTACTTATTTTCGCGAGAGACCGATCATGAAACATTCCTGTACAGGTCTTTTGCTGCTAGTTCTCATTCATAAACAAAACCGATCATCAGCCTTCGGCAGACTTACTATGTAGACAGCTTATCGTACTACGTACTAATATCTTCTAAGAACCTTGAGCGTTTCTGGCCTGGCTTTGTCGAACTCGAATAGACTGACAGTCTTTCTAGGCACCTTTCGGTAAGTGGCTGATGCACTCAGCAGGGATCTAGCTTCTTACTTCATCATGCTGTGAAATATCATAGCAAATATATCTGTACAGTAACCCAGAGAGATCATATCAAACACATCATGAATCATTCCTATCCAGCTCATAATCCGCCCCCAGCAGCACCCACAATCCTCAATCCACCCGCATTACTCCCCTCCGCCATGAGCGAATATGCCAGCCAATACCTCGTCGGATGCCACGCAACCGCAGGCACACCCGCACTTGCCGCAATTTTATGCACACTATCCCCTGTCTCAGCATGAAAGATCTCCAGCCCGTTAGGACCAACTTCTTCGCTCGAGCCGCACAGGAACCTGCCATCGAAACTCCAACTTACGCCCCGGATTGTGCCGCCGCCTTCACTTGATACGGTGCGTCGACAGACCCAGTCCGTCGTATCCCAGAGCGATATCAAGGCGTCACTACCTCCGACGGCCAAGTAACGACCTGTAGGTGCGAGTGCGAGTGCTAAACAGGCTGAACTGTGTGCGTTCAAAGTGTGTTGGAGATTGAAAGAAGGATACGAAAATATTCGAACTGTGCCGTCACCTGTAGTCGCGAGGAAATCGAGGTCCGGTGCGGAGGAGGTGGGTATATGATATGAGAACGTAGTCGCATTTGTCTGCGTATTTTGCGGGTGAGACGGTAATATCGTATACGTCGACGCCGCTTTCTGCTCTCCCACCGAAGAAGAACTTGCCCCGTTGCTTACTGCTGGCGTCGACAAGCTCTCCACCGAAACAGGAACGAGTGTATCATCCTTCCTGCCCACTACAACAACCCTTCCATCCGCCGACCACGACAACGTGAACGCCTCCCCGCCAACATCCAATTTACTCACACACGTTTTTGAGCGCACGTCCCAAAATCTCACCGTACCATCGCTAGAGCAACTCGCGAGCTCGGCGTCGCGCACCGGGTTAAAGATCACTTTTTCGATGCCGGCTGTGTGGCCGCGCAGTTCGGTTGAGTAGCGCGCGTTTGCGCGCTCCGGGTTCCAGATTCGGAGCGTGCGGTTTGCAGACCCGGTTGCTATGAGGGTGCCAGTTGGGTTCCAGGCGAGTGTTCGAATACTATGACGACCATCAGTCATGTCCTCCTCCTTCTTTGTGCGTAGAAACTTGCGCGGTTCGGAGGGAGGACGAACGTGTGCGAACCAGGCCCGCGCGCAACGGGATCTTGGTAATTCTGTGTCTTCAAGTTGCCGAATACATAGCCAAAGCGATCTTTGTGTATAAGCCGGCGGTCGGGCTGCTTGGAGGCCATTGCTCAAGCTCCCTTTGTGCGCGTGAAGAGAGCTGGAGCTCCCGAGTTGGGCTGGACGTCGTCAAGTGCGCGCAACTGTACGAGTTGAATAAGATCGTTCGGTGACTCAATTATTATTCCTTATGATACTCTGCTGCTTGATATTTGGTCGTCACGGAACATTTGTTTCATATAATCGTTCAATTGGTGATCTTTATTGCTGTTAGAGAAGATCACGAACGGTGGGACTATCAGTTTATCACTTTATCGACTCTTGGCTGCCTCAGTCTTCAGGCAGCAACATGCTACCACGCTACTTTGTACTGGATATTTTCATCAAAACTCAATTGTATTGTCCTAAAATAGAGATATTTTCGAAATTAAAATCAATATATAAGAGAAGAGTTTTCAAGAATAACAAAGATTACTCCCAGGGTATGAAGACATCGTCACGAGTCAGAAAAGCCAAACGCCATCAGAAGGAGACCACAGTCCAGGTATTCATGAATAATTCACGTATCCTCCCAATATACATATTTGTGCACAGTCCAAGCCTCGAAAAGGCGTACGCCAAAGTAACCTAATCAACAGCAGTCCATTTTCAAGCTTGGTCATTCCAACCATTCCAACCCATGTTTTGAAGTAACAAGTCGAATTGGCGGTCCGAAAAGTTGTTCGTATTGCCCATCATATCCCCGAGTCCATTATTCGCAACGCCGGGGTTTTGTTGCTGTCCTCCCCAGCCGTCATTGAGAGGTAAAGGATTTTCCATGCCTATTGCGTTGATACCAGTGTCCATGGCATTGGAATCAAAGAACGGCGAGAATGACACATTGCCATTCATCGAGAAACCGTCTAGGCCGGTACTAAAATCTATCAGACTTGGGTTCATAGGAGATTTAACATGCACATTATTCAATTGACCGCCCATGGAAGTTTGCTCCATGCTTGGGGGGGTGAATGCAGGATTGGAATGGTTAGAAGACGAATTCATCGTCTGTGGTGACGCATTTTCGGAATGCATATTCTCGCTGCCGCCGCTTACGACAGGTGAAATGTCCATGTCAAAGTTCGTTAACATGGCGTTGTCATCTTGTTGAGAACTAGTGTTGTTGGAATCGGTCGAGTCCAAGGCTGTGTTGCGGGACACGTTCAGCGTTTGCTGGTCGCTTCTAGGCGTGTTGTTCGATCTTTGACGATTGGGGAGGGATCCGAAACTTTGCGAGGACGCCGAGGTGCCGACGGGCGATGAATTGTTTGCAGCGGCATCTCTGTTCAAGTTGACCTCTGCAAGGGCATCTGCTTCTGATGAGCGTATATTGGCAATAGGGTTACAGTATTGATTGCTACCGGTATTGGACTCGACCTGTCGATGTGTTAGTTCCTTTCAAGGATGCATCTCTGTCGGGAAGTCAAAAAGAAAAGGTGATTGCGATCAGAGTTGGTGGGTTATCAACACAGAAGAGAACTTCCGTAATTATTTTGAGAACTCTTTCTGACAGGGATAACAAACGATCATCATAAAGCGAGGGGAAAACGGCGAGAGCGAGAAAGCACTTACCGCTTCTTTACTACGCATACTTCGCATTGATGACCCAAAAGTTGTCCCACTCAAGTCGACATCTAGTTGAATGAGGAAAGACTCGGTCAATGCACTGAATTGCTTCAACGCGCCTAATGCTGTGAGCAGGAATTGTAACGAAGATTTGACTGCCTGGCCTTCGGGTCGGGATTTGAGATACTGCACGAAGACTCGAGCAGCGACGTATAGACAGAATGCGCTGAATGGATTCAACTTTGAAAGTATTAGTTTATAGCTAGCGACGTGAGGAGCACGAACTTACCAGAGAAAGATCGGTATGGCTGACCATCTTCATGATACTAGATATTTGGTCTGCCGCTATGATGCACCTTCTTTTACTTTCTGCGGCAATTTGTGTCATATTCTTGTGCTTTTCCGCTTTGAAAATGGCCGCTTGGTGTAAACAGATAGTAGACGTATGTATAGCCATGTTGGAGAAGATGATATTCGGATCTGCAATGCCTTGAGGCAAGCGAAGTGAGTGAGGAAGTGAGAGAGAAATGTTTAGTAGAATGTTGTCGTAGGCGCGATGGCGTTTCCAGAATTCCCCGTTCACATCATCTTCTCGGTCATGAGGGTCGGGTCGGTGAAGATGCGTCAGATTGAGACCAAAAATGCACGCCATAACAGCTACACTACCCAAGGGAGACAGATTGGCGATATCTCCGGCTAATACATCTTTCAGCGACGGCGCCGTTTCCGGAGTACCTGTCAAATAAGCCTCTTCGCTTGAAGGCAGGTTTGTCATGATCTATAACACAATGTCAGCTCTTCTCTACAAATTCCCCTATTCGAGAAACACATACATCTCTCTCGTCAAACACCATTGGCCATCCAGTTCCAATACTTGCATATCGGTCTTCAGAGAAGCACATCCAAAACGTCCGTCGTCGTTCTTCTCTTTCGACCCAGTCAACCGGTGGGGGAACGCAATGCTTGACGTCCAATCCGACTCCATCCAAGCGATTGAAGCACATCATAGCCGCCATCCTCGCGCCGCGTCCCACGCTAACCCATGCTCTTGGGAAAAACATTTGTTTGAACTCGTACAGTGAAATCAAAACCCAGGCTTGACAATGGCTGACACTGACCATATGCTCGCCATGACCTTTCATTTCGTCCAAATGGGCATACTTTCGAGCTCGAGCATAAAGATGTTCTTCTAAGAAACTGTATTTTGGCGTGATAGATGCAGCCAATGCCCACATGATATAACGTAGACAAACAGGTGGGCGCATGTGGGGAGCTAAATTCATGGAAGCAAAGAATCGAGGACGATGAATCATAGGATGGGATGGGTGGATCTTTGTGAAGAAGATATCGAATCTTGTATCGTAGTCAGTGACTTTTTGTTTTCTCAGAACCGACTGAAGTAAGAAAACTTACAACTCATCGATAACATCCTGGGTCGGCAATGGCTCTTCCAAGCCTAGACTAATAACCTCCCAGGACGATTCATGATCAAAAGTCGAGTTTGTGGTAGAAGCTCCATTTTGAGAACCTTGTGGTTGCCTCATGGCATCTGGAACTCGTGTTGTCGACCCGTTTACAAAGCTCATGAGATTTCCTACTCCTGATAAAGGATTCGATGCTGTTGGCGGCATGGATGTGTTGGGAAGAGCGTTGCGACTTGTCTCGTTCCAAGAATTCTCTGGCTCCTGGTTTTTCAAGAGAATTTCGACTTGCGCTGATTGGAGTGATCAGTCAGCTCTCCCTGAGCAGCAGCGCTACCAACTCGATAACATACCTAACCGTGCCTCCAACTGCTTGACATATCCCCTCTTCGGTCCACTCTTCTTGCGCACTTCATCATATGCACAATTGTGACCCACACGAGCACATGTCCCGCAACTCGGTTTCTGTCCGTCACATCTCAATTTCCTCTTCCTGCAGACGATGCATGCCATTCGTTTCGGACGAGGGACGGGGTTACCGTCATCTTCGGTGGGTGAAGTGTTGCCGCCTGTGTTTCCGGACTGTGATTGAATCGCATCTTGCGACATGGACTGACGGGAAAGGTCGTTGAAGTAGTCGTCGTCTTGATCCGCCATGATCAAATGGGGTAAGTATCGCGATCGTAGATGGATGGGCTGCGGTTTCCTCCCGTTGTGAATCTGGAGGCTGTCCAAAAGTATCAAGCCCTCAGGCTGACTAAAACTCTCGAGGAATAGAATACCAAACTACCGTACTCCACGAAGCATATACAAGTTCAGTTATCGATATTTGAGTCGGCGGGKGGATATTCAAGAGATCGCAGTCGCCATCTACCTACTGATTGGAAAGACAAAGATACGGGGAGTCCGGATTCAGTAAGGTCGGTCAGATAAGCAGTCCAACGCGCGCTTTTCAGCACTACCCTCAACAAGCTGATGGCGGAATCTTTCGATCTGCAATTTGTCGAAAAGTCAAGTCTTGATCATGCTGAAGTTCGATTGCTGTATGGTAGTTGCTTCGAAAGAGAGATAGAGTGACTGCCTAAGGGCTAAGGCCAGTGAGCTGAGCATGTTGGCTGATAATTGGGCGAGGGGGCCGTTGGATGGGTGGATTAGTAAGGCCCAGGTCGGACGATGTTCTCCGACATTCCGACCGTTACGATGCAGGATGATGACATTGTATAGAGACAATAGTTCAGAGAAAAAAGAATATAATACAAGTTATACAGAAGCTAGTCCCATACTCAAACTATACATTGTCCCATAGCAGAACTCCAGAAATGCCTGCATAGAGACTAAGCAGGGATTAGTCCCACATATCCTATGACAAATTGAGGAGAAAGCGAGCAGATGTAGTATCGATTTTAGTTGTAGCCTCTGCGGCGCTTTCCTTGGTTGCGCACACGAGGAACGACGACAGCCTTGTTGATTTTCCATTTGGGACGGGTCTTGTAACCGGATTTGGTCTATCGTAATATGTCGTTAGCAGACGGACAAGGCACGGAAAGCATGAAGGCTAGAACATACCGGAATACCCCAAGGACTCTTCGGGTGCACATTACCCTTGGATTTACCACGACCACCACCGTGAGGATGATCCATAGCATTCATGGCCAAACCTCGTACAGTTGGGCGAATGTTTAGCCATCGTGAACGACCAGCCTTTCCAAGCTGTGTGTACTGGTAGTTGGGATTGCTAGCAACGCCGACTGTGGCACAGCAGTCCTTGTGGATCAATCGTACTTCACCGCTCTGAAGACGGATGGTAACGTGGTTGGCATCACGAACAGTCTTCTGGCGATCTCGCTGGGTGATTCTCTTTTGTTCGGTCTCGCCAGTACCGGCCTCGGCTTCTAATTGTTGCTTGCGTTCCTCGTTCTTTTGTTGTTCGGTTCCCTTGGCGATGACCGTAGCAAAGGTACCTGCGCTACGACAAAGCTGACCACCTTTGCCCGGTCGTAAACCGACATTGAAAATCAGTGTACCAACAGGAATCATGTGGAGAGGCAGGCAATTGCCTCTCCACGCTGTTCGCGCAGCAAGCACACCAGGGTCGATGACTCCACCCATGCTCTTCCACAGATCATCGGGAATACCGGGCATATAACTCTGAATCACATCACCGGCTCTCATGCCATCGGCGGCTAGAATATAGCTCAACTTGCCATTGCTTTTGGCACGAACCAAAGCGATATGCGCAGTTCGGCCTGGATCGTGCTCGATTCTCTCCACGACGTGTGGGCCCGGATCGTTCCTGGCAAAATCTACCATTCGAATTCTCCTCTTGTGACCACCACCTCGATGTCGCACTGTAATTCTGCCGGAATGGTTACGACCACCCTTGGCATGACCTCTTTTGGGGAACGTCAATCTGTGTACAGGACGACCTTTCCATAAGTGGTCGTTGATCGGTCGCCGCAAATGTCTCACACCGGGCGTGCGAGGTTTGTATGTTCTGACTAAAACACCGGCTTCGTCTCGGGTTGGGGGAGGTGCGAAAGCGATACTCGGATCGAAGGAAGAGGTATCTTCGACGGGAGGTCGTTCGGTCTCTTGGATCACGCTCGAATACGACCGGAAAGATGAGAAAGAGACGCCACGAATTGGCAGCTGTAGAGCTCTTAAAAAGAGGCGAGGCTGGAATGAGACCGCCATTCTGATAGCTACTTGTGAAGGTCGACCGAAGCCGCAGTTAAAATTTCAATAGAAGGAAAGGGCGGCCAGCCTCTCCTGTAAAAGTCGAGGAGAAAGATTAGAGAGAAAGAAAACCACGCTTATAGCATGGCACCAATGAACCTTGACCTTGATGGCGGAAAATATAATCTGCTCTAAAAGAGCCCCCAGGTCATAGCAGTTCAATTGGTCAATCTCCTTATTGATGTCGTACCTTCCGATCTTTTGATGGCCCGGCGGAAAAGTAGAGTGTGGCTTGGAGATATACCACGTGATCCAAAGCATACCGCCACAAGTTCCTGGCAGTCTGTGTGGCTGGTGTGTATCACGTGACTCTTACACGGTCACGTTGGCACGTTTGTTGCTGGGGCGACGCTGTGTTTTGAGGCCCACTCGCGCGCTCCTCGCATGCTGAAAAGGACCCGCGTATTTTTGGCGTATTCTGCTTACCCGTCATTTACATAGTATGGCTTTTCGTGACCGAAAACAAAGCTCTTTTACCTCTTGGCCGCGTTCCTGAGCGGCAATCTGCAAGTCATTTCGAGCGTGAAAAAGAAACGAGAAAAAACTACCCGTATGGTACCGTCACGCTGTTCCAATTGCCCGTCTTCTAGTACAAAACTGGCAGTCGCGTCATCACCTACTCCTAAGCTCCAACGAAGCTACTTTACACATCGCGACTTTCACGTCTCTTCTTCTCTTGATACTCTTTACCGACAACGACCTCTCACAGCTCCTCTTGTACAGATCGTCATTCCTGCCTCTGTATTCAATTGCCTTTCAGCTTTATTCGGTAAGCAGCATTTTTCGTGTATTCCAATTTCCCGTCATCAAAAACGACGCGAGGTTTGGCCTGGCTGGCAGTGGGGCCTATTACCGTCACTGACACCAGGATCCACGCTAGAGCCCAAGCCAAACATCGCCTGTGTGTCCGTCAACCTCTTCAAATCTGCTCCATATCCGCTACCTTCACGCTGTGCTCTCATTCCCTCTTCCCTCATACAAAGACGTGCACATTCCCCAATCTCTTTTACTGACTCCATCCTCACCTCGACTGTACAGAACTGCTTTACTGCCACATTCACCACGCTTATTGCTTACTCGTCGCGCTAGATCGAACGTGACTGAAGGTAAAAACCCTGTCAACAACGCGGTTGAAGCTTTGATAGGTTTGATATTGCTCGTCAATATTGAGCTGTTGAAGTTTGAACGCACTTGCTGATCTGTCTCTGGTAGTCTTCTCGCCATTGAATATCTTTCCACGTGTGGTATGTCCAGGGATACTCCTCATTCTTTGATATCCACAGCTAGATCCAAGGCTAATGGAATGCAGCACGACTACTGTGACAACCGATCTACACCTCAGTCACCGGCTGGTACATTACCTTGATTTGTCCAGTCATCTCTTGCTGCATTGTCTTTTGACGCGTTCTTTTCCTTGACATCGATTAATATGCCTCCGGTAAGCTATTGAAAACTTCTTATATCACGTCCTTTACCGGTTACTTGGGCCTCATCACGTCCGAACATGTCCTCATTCACCGTTCTTCAGGCCCGGAGTCTCCGTCAAAGGACGGTCACTAATGAGAACGACGAAAATGCCACCTCGACACGCCTAACCAGGGCCAAGGCGGCTGCCCTCACTTCTACCGACCTCAATGGAGGCGCGATCAAAAAGCCCCTCCAGAGCAAGAGGGCGAATGCAACAACCGCCACCACAACTGTCGCACAGAAGCGACGCCCTGCCCTTGGTGATGTTAGTAACGTGACAAAAACAGATCTTGTCGACGCAAAGGATGGCAAGAAAGCTACCAGCAAGGCTAGCCTCACTTCCAAATCAACTACACATGCAGGTGGCGTACAGAAGCTCAGCAGATCAAACACCACTCGTGCTGCTCTTGGTGTGAAAGATACAAACAAGAAAGCCGCTTCCACCGAAGTGAAGCGCCCCGGAAGTGGATCTGGTGTCAAGCGTTCATCTAGCCAGAAGTCTATCAAGGATGACCTCAATCAGGAAGAGCCACCTCGCAAGAAGGTTGATGTGGAGAAGAAGACCGAATTCATCCAGAAACAGATCGTTTCTGAAAATGCTTCCGAAGTTGGCGTGGACGTGATGGATGAGAAAGATTTGGAAGCCGAGGGCGTTCTAGATCTCGACACAGAGGATCTTGACGATCCCTTGATGGCGGCTGAATACGTGGTGGATATTTTCGACTACCTCAAGGACCTCGAACACGAAACACTTCCAAGCCCAGATTACATCGACCACCAGCCGGAGCTTGAATGGAAGATGCGTGGAATTTTGATTGACTGGCTGATTGAGGTTCACGCAAGCTTCAGACTTCTTCCTGAGACTCTCTTCTTGACTGTCAACATTATCGACCGTTTCCTGTCTGCCGAGATTGTTTCTTTGGACCGCCTGCAGTTGGTTGGCGTCACCGCTATGTTCATCGCGTCAAAATACGAAGAAGTCTTGTCTCCACATGTTGCCAACTTCAGTCAAGTCGCGGATGAGACTTTCTCGGACAAAGAGATCTTGGACGCGGAGAGACACGTTCTTGCCACGCTAAATTATAACATGAGCTACCCCAACCCAATGAACTTTCTTCGACGCATTTCCAAAGCCGACAACTACGATATTCAGACGCGTACATTGGGCAAATATCTGATGGAAATCAGCTTGCTTGACCACAACTTCATGCCTTACAAGCAGAGCCACGTTGCAGCTGCAGCTATGTACCTCGCGCGTCTCATCCTTGACCGTCCTGGCTGGGATGCCACTCTTACACACTACTCTGGCTATACCGAAGAAGAAATCCAACCTGTATTCCTTCTGATGGTCGACTACCTACGCAGGTCTGTCGCGCATGAAGCTTTCTTCAAGAAGTATGCCAGCAAGAAGTTCTTGAAGGCGTCTATTGTTACCCGCCAGTGGGCCAAGAGATATCACTCCCTATATCTTGACGTCGAGTCCGAGGAGGCACCGAAAAAGTAGTGCCGAATGAGCCATGACACCTTCATCCTTATGACGTCCTTCCAGGGCTTACAGTTGGTCGGCGCTATATTAGGGTTGATTCTGTTTTATACCGGGGCGTTCTCTCTATATTCATGCGGGCGCTGGCGAGGGTTCATTTGCATATTACGATGGCATTAGTATTCAGCTTTTTTTCCACTGGCGTTTTACTTTTCTTCTTCCCCTTAACCTGTTGTTTGCATCTTCAGTACTTTCACAGTACTTATACAGTGCTCACGTGCTTCTACAAAATAAAACCGGAGGGCTTCTTGTGCTACGCATGCGTGATGCATGTGGTTGCATGCTGGCATGAGGCGGGACATGTTTATACAGACTTGTTTAATTCTGGGGGTTGCTGACTGAGGTGGCTTGTTGACTTGTTCGCTTGTTGCGAGGTATTTGTTTTGGCTGCGAGGATCGGGATACTATAGGCTTTGGATTGCACTTGAGTTATATTGATTGTTGTTTGTTTTAATAGGCGTTGTAAATACCGTCTTGAATTGAGCATTTCAAATATTGGTTCCCTATATACTAGACATTGTAAACATATCCTCAGAAAATATTGACTAAAATCTTTCAGTTCTAAGGAGGATCTCCGCAAAGCTCGGACAGCGCATCTCGCGGGCCGCGGCTTGGACTAAACGAGCATCAAAACGGAGATAATCCGGGGCTGGCGAATGACCGATCACTTCGCCCCCATCATTCAACCAATTCTTCCACCTTCCATACAGCCCTGTATATCTCAACCCAATTCAACATACATTCGACATATACAACTAGGGTATCATAAAGAAAGAGCAATGCCGACGACAACATCCCCAACATGTCCCTTTTGCTCTATCGCAACTGCACATCCACCTCTCCCACCATCGTCAGCATTACAAACAATCCCCCAACAACAAGACAATTCCTATCCCGGAAGTAGTCAAAGATCACATGCATTCCTGGTCCTATCGACGAAATATGTCCTCGCCTTTCTGGATATCATGCCCTTGTCAAAGGGACACCTTCTCGTGGTGACGAGGGAGCATTACGAGAAGGTTGGGGAATTGGGGGTTAGGATTGGGGAGGAGGTTTATTCATCTCTTCCTATTTATTGAAGGTTAAATGGACTGATGAAGGTTTACATGTAGCTGGGTAGATGGCTCCCGATTATCTCGCGGGTAGCTATGCGCGTCATTTTTGGCCAAAGCAGTGCGACGGAAGAACATCATTGGAATCTTGTACAAAACAACGGTATATCCTCTATCCCTCGACAACTTTTGAACCGATCTACTAATTACACTGCCAAAATTGTACAGGCGAAAGAGCAGCACAAGTAGTTCCCCACGTCCACTTCCACATCATCCCCAGACCACCTCTCGTCTCTGCAGATACAATGGCGGCATCGCCCAGTTGGACGATGTTTGGTCGTGGCCGCAGAGAGGATCTGGATGATAATGAAGGTGAGGAACTTGCCAGGCTGTTGAGGGAGGAGCTGGCGAGGGAAGTGATGAGGGTCAAGCAGGAGGAGGGGGTAGATCTGGATATTGATAGGGATTATAGATTGTGATTTTTCGGCCATACTACACCCTGTACATAATCTAGATATTGTAATCTTCGATAGATGTTCAGATCTGTTCTGTTGTAGGGCTTTTTGCTGGCTTTTTTGTAGCGAAGTACTATTCATGTCATTAGCTTTGTCCAAGCATTGCATGCTGTACAGTCGCACATACCAGTCGTCTAAATTCATTCAATTCATTTGCCGTAACACCGTTCGGGTCATCCGTAGCTGACTTGATGCGAGAGACAGACGACACTTCTCCTTCCGGCAATTTGCGATACGTAAGTAAACGACGTGACCCTAGAATAATCAGTCAGTAAGACCATTTCAGAAGAGCTCCAGGGCTGATTCACGTACAAGTTGAAAATGTCTGCACGCCTATACTGGCAATCTCTAATCTCGGATGAGTGGGTATAATGAATTCAACATTTTGTTCATTTGCAGTTGGCATCCACATTGCAATCCGGCCTCCAACAACCAGAGTTCGAGCTGCAAAGTTCAGGATGTCGTGTTGTAGGGTGACGAAACCGTATGGTCGTTTAGGGGGTACCCAGTCGTCCTGTCTGGTTAGTCTCAGTCAGCTAGCTCTTCTTCTACCAGGCAATTGAAGCGGATACTAACGTATAAGCCAGTACACCATCCTTGTACGCCGGCTCCTTAGACTTCCCCTCTCTCACCCCGAGAACACGGAGTCCCTCACGAATCCCATACGGCGGATCACAAATGATCCCATCCAAAAACGGCACATCCCGTATTGGCGTATTTGTAAGATCAGACATGAGCGCATCAACAAACTTATCCTCAATTCCATACTGTTGGAAATTCGCCAGTAGTCCCATGGGATTCTCCTTGGTGATTTTGTGTCGGCCCTTGAAACTGCGCCCATCGATATCTGCGCCGAACGTTGCGGCACCGAAATGTGCAGCTGCGATGAGGAAACTTCCCGTTCCTACAAAGGGGTCGAAAAAAAGCTTTCCGGGGGCGGCGTGGGCCATGTTTGCGGTGACGAGAGAGAGTTCTGCATCCATAGATGTAGTGGATATGTATTTTCGTTTTTTGAGATCGTATTTATCCATCATTGTGCGACTGCTGGCGCATATCCAGCGGCCAAAATATACATTCTTCAAATCTTTCCGTTTGCCTTGTTTGGGCGGTTTTTGTTCTTGTTGTTGCTGTTCTTGCTGTTGAATTTCTTCAGTGTCCGAAACATAGTCCTCCAAAATTACAAACAATTCATCAGGATCCTTCAATTGGATCGGTCCCTGGAGGTCAAGATACGCAAAACTCTCGATAAGGCTTCTCTTTTCGGCTTGTGACCTCTTTACCGAAAAGGTGTCTATCAAGAAACGGAAGGAGACATCCCTGTAGTCCTTCCAACGATGTTCTGTTCTGTGTCGCACATCTGCATGAAGTTCCTCGTGGGTTGCACCTCGACCCCAGAGTTCAAAGACGTCTTGGGCGAGGACGCTGCGAGAGATCACTTTGCGAGCTGCCTCCAAATCAGAGAATTTGGCGATGCAGAATGGTGACTATTCCTTCTTAGCACTTGTTCAATAATTGACAAATCCAAATCTCAGAGTGTAGCTCACATATTTATCGTACAGCACAAATTCGACATCGACCCCTGCGAGGCTGGCGAGGGCTTCGATTTCCGCCTGTCGAAAGGTCTCGTGCGATTGCGCAAAGCGGATCACGCACTCCATAGTGTCGATTGCGGCTGTTACCTCTGAAACTGAATTGATGCCGATTCTTCCTTTCTATGACGGGCCATGTAAACAATTACTGATTTGTTTGTGGTACAACTTTAGGGCTGGTGGTGATCATGAGGGGAGAAAAAACCCCTCCGGCAGCGGCAGTCGAAAATATAAAAAAAATTATTCAAATACTTCAATGTTGTGCAACTTCCTCGCCATAAATTTCGATTTTATAGCACACAACGACGTTCCATAGAAACGAACAGTTGGAAATATAGTATTGAAATACCCCTTTGATAGTTTCGCATTCTAGATTTCATCCAGTTAAATTATCGAAATGAGACTTCCCACTCTAGATGTGCTCCACGAATAGGTTGAATACCGTGTACTCTACTCTACATTGTAGGGTTGTCTTGACTTCAGTAACCACTCGAATGGACACAGATTGATTTCTTCTCAACAAATAGACCGTCAAAATAATATCTGAATCATCGCATAATGAAACCACAACGCCATGCCTAAGAAAGTATGCTCACAAACGTGGTCGTGACAAGCCTAGACGCCTTGCTAAACAACCCTGAAGGTATGTCGGGATACATAGCCTTCTTCTTGAATGATCTCAACCTTCTGATCCTCGGGTATCATGCTATGTTTCAAGTCCCACCCGGCTCGTCGACATAGCTCTGACACGACTACATCAGAATCTCCTAGAAGATCGATATCAAAGCCGATATGCGAGACAGGCTGGATGATGTTAGCTTTGTGCATGCAAAGTGTTGTTAGACAAGAACATACTGTGCGTGAGATGTAGATCTGAGGGACAGTGCTGGGTATAATGCTGGGAACGTCGGCAACAGGCGCCACCTTCATAGACGTTCCAATCACTATGACCAAGTCTGTCACCTCGCGGTCCTCCTCGACCAGTCGTCTTCCAAACTCGTCAGGAAGGTCTTCGCCAAAGAAGGTGATATCAGGCTATTCCATAGGCTTAGTATACTGAATAGCAAGAAGAGGCATGCATATTGACTCACTTTCATAACACCAGGCGTAGGGATATCATAGTCCTCCTCATCAGAATCATCGTCAAACGTACCCTTCTTGCGACTGGTTTGTAGGCCATTCGAGCTACGTTTCCGTTTCAACATCTGCGGTCGCAGAGCAATCTGTTCTTTGCAGGGCTTGCAAAGAGGTATTTTGCCAGATTTGATGGTGTCGAAAATGGCATCGCCCGGTACCTTGAAGCCGCACTTGGTACAGGTTGCGGTTGCGAAAGACCCGTGACATTGCACAATCTTCTCTGGTTTGACACCCGCATTGGCTTCGATGTTGTCAATGTTTTGGGTGTAATTTGTCAATAACTTGCCCTTGTCTTGTAACAACTTGATGAAAGCGTGCGTAGGAGAAAATTTCTTCTCGGTGGGGAGTATGTCTTTCGCGACTGAAAAGAAGATACTTGGATCCTCATGAAACAAGGAAATATCAAACACTTCTTGAGGATCACTGAGTCCGAGATGTTCTAGTCGCGAGTACAAACCGGTGTCTTTGGAACGAAAGTCTGGTATCCCAAGACTTGTAGAGATCTAGTGAGTCTCGTCAGCAACCAGATATGGAAATTTATACGGATCCCACTTACACCGGCACCAGTAATGACAATAACGTTCTTCGCCTTTTTCAGCAAGTCGACCGCATCGTCGATAGAATTGTACTCATCCAGCTTCTGACGCTTTGCAAACTCTCGGGATATGACAATACCCAATAATGGATGGTATGCCTCGTCTGGCGCATCTTCAAGGAAAGACGGAGGAACGACACCGAACGCAGTCAGGAGTTTCTTGGCCGTAATCGTACTCTTCCCGATCGTCTCTTCGACAAAGGCAACCTTTCCGATCTCACGTAATAGTTTCCGATAGGCGGTCGCCTCTTGCGGTGTGCATGCATCTGGGACTACATAACATAATGGTCAGGGACTTCCTTGAGTGCTAACAATTAGACTAAGGTACTCACCAGTCGAAAGTTGATCATCCCGAACAAAATGTAATGTCTCTTCGTACAACGAATCCGTCTCCCACTCCTCACCCTCACAAGACTCATCACTAATATCATCCGCGTCAGATGTCGGCGATTTTGACTTCTGGATAGTAGGCTGCGATGGTGTACTATCATCATCTACGTTCGTATCATCCGCCGCCTCCACCACATTCAACTCCACGACCGAGGACTTGAGCGTCTCGGTCGCATCTGGCCCTGGCGCGAGATCCATGGCTAGACGAGAGGTCGAAACACAAGCGCCTTCCCCTTGGCGCCTCTTCCCAGAGTTGAGAGGGTTTGGTCACATTGGAGTTGGCCGCGGATAAGGAAGGTCAAAGAATTAAGCCTATCGCTAATCTTATCATACTTATCGCCCGGAATGTGTGTTAATCCGGGTTCCGCCGGCCGATATGGCCAATCGGAGTGTCGCCGCAATAAAAGATTCAGGAACATTTCTACAGATATTCTTTGATGAATATAAATATTGAGGTGTTTGTTCATGACTGTACAATCTCTTCAGAAAACTGGTTGTGTCAGAGTGACCATACTTTTCTTTGTATAGAATGTATTATAACAATCATCATGAATCCTCCATCTCATGATCTTCATCGTCATCATCGGACTCTGCCTCAATCTCCCCATCCCACTCTTCATCCTCCCCTTCAGCACCCGGGAAAACAGGCCCATCGTCGTCGCTGTCATCATCCATATCATCACCGAGCTCTTTGTTCAATTCCTGAACTAGCTCAAGTGCATGGTCCCTGAGCCTCTCATCCTCATATTCGAGTTTCTGATACAGCTTCAAGCTCTGTTTTAGCCATCCGCGACTGGCGACCATGGACTCATGGCGTTTCTCTTCAGATGATTCTTCTTTCTCCTTTTCTGCCAACAAGTATAAACACCACCCACCCAGATACCAAGCCTCAATGCTCTCATCATCTTCAAGGATCAATCGCTCCAACACCTGAAGTGCCTCAACCTCCATTTGTACTTCCATGAGTAGTCGTGAAAGACTAATGCGCGAAGGGAAATCTGGGATTTTGGGGTCTTCAGGCGGTAAGTCTTGCCATAGCTCTAGACTGCGGGAAAGAGCAGCGCGCGCATCGTCAATGCGTGTCTGGGAAATTCTTACAGACGCGAGGGTCTGTAGGCAATCTGGTTGATCGGGTGCGACGAGGAGGGCTTCGGTAATTAGGGTTTCGCATCGTGTCTCGGCGTCATCTTCCCATCTATAGTAGTCAGTGTTAGCTGTAAAACCTTTTGACATTGTACAAAAAAAACACTCACGAAAGATCAGTCATATATAATTCCACCACGCCGCATAGAGCAACTGCCAACTTCTTCCTCTTCTCTTCTAACACCAAAGGCGTGTCTGTGCCCCCATTATGTTCGAGAGTTTGGATAATATGTCTCAAAGCGCTAACGCCCTTCTCATACCATGCCACACTATCCGCACCACCTTGCTCACTCAATTGCGCAAGCCACAGGAACTTCTCCGCCCCTCCACCTTGCGACTCAGGTATTATTCCTTCTGGATCAAGTTGTACAGCATGTAAAAAGCTCTCTCGTGCGGCATCGATTTCGCCAAGTTCGACATATATCTCTGCGATGAGGTTGATCGCCAATAATGTGTCCTTGGGCGAATTTTCGTCGGAGATTTCGATCACACGTTGAGCTAGAGGGAGAGCCGCTTCGGCTTGGCCTGTTTGTAAGAGGATGGTGGCCTTTTCGAGTAATTCTGTAGAGCTGTCTGCCATTTTGCGTTTGGAGACGGTGCTGCCCACTGAGTGGAGGACAGACTTTTCGGATTTGGCTGAATTCTTTTTGTTTTTTGTTCGCGAATTGCCCATAATCTGTTGAAATGAGGTTGAGATGCCAACAAGTAAGGATATTTGTTCGGGAATAGAGATTTATGATGTGTCGTTAAAATATAAAAGTGACGTGCCCAACTGAGATTTGTAGATAATTTTTGGATCTTTTTAGACATGTTTGCGGTGTTTGCATGCGGGACACAGTTCTTACTCCACCGTCCAGGAAGAAAGACCCGACTTTGCGATATCAACATAACCAAATCATATGAATTTATGACTCGAAGACTTCGAGTGTGCGCTTTTGAATAAACCCGACGGCCTTCGATCTCTCCAAAGCGTACAAGGATTGCACGCCGCAAGTTTTTTTCTCCTCAATTTAGCTATGGGTCGCGAAGAGCAGGTGGAGGAACGAGAAGTTCTCGACTCAATCTTTCCAGAGGAAATTACAGGTACATATAGCAATATGAGGCCGTTTGGGCATTCGCTAACCCATACGTCTCGGCTTCAGATATATCAGACACTTCCTATCGAATAACTATAAACCTCGACCTCGACGAAGACGAAGAAAATGATGAAGCACCAATTCTTTTATTACAAGTCTCCTATCCAGAGGCATATCCCGACGTCGCACCTGACCTTGAAATACTGACACCACCAAACTCCGCAAAACATACTCGCTTCGACATACAAGAGGACAAGGCGCGCCTCATGGAAGCAATTCAACCTAGCATCGAAGAGAACCTCGGCATGGCAATGATATTTACTTTATACAGTACGCTAAAGGAAGCGGCGGAGACCTTAATAATGGAGCGTGTAGCATCTGAGAGACAAGCGCGCGAGAGGGAGATTGCGGAAGCCGAGGAGGAAGAGAATCGGAAGTTCCAGGGCACTCTTGTCAACAAAGAGAGGTTCCTTGAATGGAGGGAAAAGTTCAGGAAAGAGATGGAGGAAGAAGAGCAGAGAGAAAAGGAGGAAAAAGAGGCAGAAGAAAAGAAGAAAAAACCGTCTGCTCGCGAAGAGCAAAAGCTTACCGGACGACAGCTCTGGGAGCGTGGCCTGGCAGGTAAGGGCGATTATGATGAGGAGGGCGAAGACGAGTTGGCGTCAGAGGGCGTCGAAAAGTTGCAGATTTCAGCATAGAAGATATCCTCATACTATACTGTGGCTTCATCTCCCACATAACACCGCACAAAGCAATGCATCTGGTCGGCGAATCATATATGTATGTATTGTAAATGACTTGCCCTGTTGGCAGATCGCCTAAATTTGGAAGACCGTAGCGGCCGGACTATATCACGCGAAAAGCTTTGCGCGAAGGGTTCTTATCAGAGATTTCCAAACCCCAATCAAAGGGGGTCTCCAGAAACCATCTGAAAGTCCGCTCTTCTTAGCTTCCTCTTCTGCAGCTAATTTACGTTCGGCGAGAATGACCTCCCACATTTTCTCTGCGAGAGCCTGTTGCTTCTTCTCAAACTCTATATTATCGTAATACGCCTTCTTGTAACACTCCAAAGGGCTCTCTAGCCAAGTTCCTTCAACCCAAGCCAAGTGATTTTGTGCATGTATCACTTTCTCGGTGAGAGTTTGGCCTGTAAGGAGCCGATCCCAGTCTTCCTCATCCTTTGCAAAGAGTGTTTCGACAAGTAATCGATCCCGCCTTTCAATGAGTTTGTCTTTGAAGCGGAGCTTGTACCGAATGATCCGACTTAGGTTCTGCGGCTGCGGTTTCTTGATTCGCAGAAAGGGTACACCGCGTGCGTTGACGAGCTTGGGTACCTGCCGCTGACCAGCAACGGAAAGTCTTGGGCGCGATAAAATAGGTTCGACGTCGGGGTGTCGGTACATTGTTTGTATCTGGAAAGCTATATTTTCGAGTCTTTTCTTTTCGCGTAGACCAGGCTTCGTCGGTATTCGAGCTTCGTTTCGTTTCGGCGTCGGCCGACTCTCAATATCTCGAACAAGTTGGTTGATTCGCAGTATGGAGTGGCTATCTCCTTGCGCCGCTGCATGCATGAGATCTAAAGCCTGTATGTTTCACTGAGCGAATGCCCGCTGCCGACGACGAAACCAGTTGCTCATACCTCGTAGCCTGCCTGCAGACTATGTATCGATTTTGTTGGACCCTTGAAAGTTCTACTTCTGTTAAATTCTCTCCTCACAATTCTCGACAGTGGTTCCTTTCCGCCAGTCGTCGGAGGTAGTTCTGAACATTGGCGCAAAAGCGCTCGATATAGGGCGAAACCTATTGAACATTGAGTTGTTAGCAATTATAATATTCCTTGCATTCTGTTAACGTACATGTATGGCGATGTACGCCATTTTTTCCAGCACAATCACCCCACTTCATCGGGCTCAGCGATGTTCAAAATTCACAAGTAGTGGTGTTGAAGCTGTCTTATTCTAAATTAAATTCCAATCCCGTCCGGGGAGATAGCATTATCACCACGTGACTTTATCGTTCTTATCAGCATGTCTGGTCAATCTACGTACGACGTCACTGGGAAATCAAATAGAAAAAGACTTGGGCTGAATATCAATAGACCCCTGTTCATTGCCTCAATTCTCCTAAAGTAGCTCCTTCGGCAATGCAGATAAGAGATTGAATCAAAAGCCCGCTAATACATAGATAAAAATGCATGAACCCCCATATACTCAAAGAAAGAAAGTGACGAGCCGTTTCCTCATAATACACCATGTGTCTTGTATAATAAGATGTCTCTCCTTAGAATGTGGTGCCTTCAGGGGGCTGGGGAAGCTTCTTGTGTTGGGGTAATGCCATAAATCTGCAACTCAAGTCTTAGTCATACTGTGTATATTCAATTGGATGGTACAAACCTGCGAAGCTCCAAAAGGATAGTTTCCATGGTGTAGTCCCTCTTCCATGTTGCTAGTGTGGGTAAAGTCGAAAGATCGACCTGTATAGACTTAGCCAAGTGTCATGGGAAACAGACCCGATAGACCAACCTTTCCGGTTCGTGAATCAACACAGGGCAAGTTGATTTTTGATACAAAGTGTAGAGTAGGTGGCGAGTCAGGGTATTCGGGTCCGCACTGAATATTGACGCTGTATATCCGATTCTCGTGCACGCTCTGTAGACGGTTGTTCAGCGACGATTCCTACGATTCCTTCCTGGTTATACGCACATGAGGAGGTCCGAGAATGGTTCCATTCCAATTGGTCATGGTAATATCATCTCCGTCGGCGAGACCGTATGAGCATGCCTCTAATGATTGCAAGAAACACATCGGTTAGTCGGGACTTCATTGACGTAGGAAGTACTGTACTATACATACCAGCTCCTTGGCCTTTCTCGCCCTTCTCCAACTCTTCAAGTAGGCGAAAGTTTCTGGGAACCTTGGCCATGGTTGCGCTGTGGTTTCTGAATGTTTCCTTGGGGGTTTTTTATGGCGGTGGTGGTTGCAGTCAAGGAAACCTTGGAAGCAAACAAATGTTGGAGGGGCAGCAGATAGTTAGTTCCTTCCTAGTGGCCATTGGCCAGCGGAGGCACTGCGGAAGGTGCGGGTCCACCACACACGTGACGCAGAGTCTTTACCGCCTTGCTTCGAACCAATCATATCGGATAACCCACTCTCCATGCCGCGGGATCCTGAGGCTTGGCGACACGCCATCACCCAACAAGGACACGCTTTCATGTATACTCTCGGTGTCTGTATAGATCTCCAGGAATGATAGAACGCATATTCAAATTGTCTCGAAAGCCTTGATGTACGGGAACTGCATCCCTATTCGCCCTGTCTCGCCAGAACTCCGCATCCGAAGATATCGCCCTGATGGACTGTTGAGCTCCGATTGCCAAGCATTGAACGTACTGGACACAGGTTCACATGAAATGTTATAGCTACAATTCGCATGATTGGATATGTCCTCTCAGATCTTGCAGACAGAGCTCTCAAATCTGATCCAGGAGTCGAAGCGCAAATACTCTGATCTGAAAAATGTAAACAGCTTGTATGGATTGCTTGAAGCCACGTCTAACGATTCGATGTAGGCGGCCGAACAATCACTAAATGAGTTGAAGTCATTGCCTTCAACCTCGGAGGCACAGATAAAAGCCGGTATGTCTATTGCAATACAACCATCTGTCAACTAGTCAGCTAATAGATCGACCTTCAGATCTCATACGGCGCCCGCACTTTGTCACTCCATTCATTCTTGCCTGTCAGACACGACAGTCTAAACTTGCGTCAATCGGAGTTGTTTGCCTGCAGAGACTCGCAACATCACATGCTATCTCACCTGCTAGGCTCAATGATACTCTATCTGCCTTGGGGGACATTACTGGGCTGAGTACGTGTATCATTCCCACGTTCGTTTACCCTTATTGACTGTCCATAGACCAGGATGTGCAGCTTAAAATCCTTCAAACATTACCAGCCTTGCTTCACAACTACTCTGATAATCTGAGTGGGGAACTGCTTGCCCATGTTCTAGAGGTATGTGCCACTTTGCAAGCTAGCAAAGTTGCTGCGGTCTCAAATACCGCAGCTGCTACCTTGCAGCAACTCATTAGTTCGGCTTTTGAAAAAGTATTGGTTGAAGATGGTAAGATGCAGCCTCTCCCCAAGCTTTTGCAAAGGATAGAGGACTTACTTACATATCACTCCATCCATAGGCTTGCAAAATGCACTTACTGTTCAGACGCAAGTCGGAGGTTCGACGGTGGACATCGGGGTGGCTGCGCACGATGCTCTTCAGGTATGCTTAGGCGTTATGCCAACTAGTCTAATCACTGATGGGGTTTGCAGATATTGAGTGATCTATGCCGTGCCGTCGAAGGCGAGAAGTTGGAATTTCTTCACATTAAGGCTCTTCCAACCAATTTCGTCCTGGAGCTCATTGAAAGTATCTTGATCAACAACATCAGACTATTTCTGAACCACCCGGAGCAGATGCAATTATTGCAAACCCGCCTCCTGCCATTGACTGTCAAGCATCTTTCAGAGAGACATAATTTTCCCCCGACTTTGCGAGTTGCCCGGATACTGCTGGTTCTTCTGCGCAATTTTATGAGCCTGCTGCAGGATGAATGTGAAATGGCTCTAGGTCTTTTGATTCATTTACTGGAACCAGAAGCATCACCGGAATGGAAAAGGGTTCTTTGCATGGAAGTTTTCCGCAGCCTACACTCAGAGCCCAGTCTGATCCGGCTTATTTTCACTTTATTTGATGGTACTCAGGGAAGAAAAGACATAGTGAAAGATCACATGACCGCTCTCTTCAAGATAGCGTCAGAAAGTCCGTCTCTCATAGGTGTCAGCCATCAGTCTACGGTACCACAAGACGCTTCGCAAACCCGATCCAATACCGATGATCAGATTACGCTCGAAGCTGGAGGCGTCGATGGGGTCATTGCAGCAGCCGTAAACTCGGCGGATGAGAGTGTGACGGGGATCAGCAGTCAGTGGAGCACGGTTCGCACACCGTATCTCGAGCTCCTTGACAAATCAGAGCCACCGCCCCCTCCAGTATCATACATCTATAGCCTCGTTTTGAACTGTCTAAGCGCACTAGCCGAAGGTCTTGCCAGATTCATCATTCCATTGACAGTAACAGAGTCGAAAAGCAAGCGGAGGAAAAGAATCGCAACTAATGATCGAGAGCAAGGCTCGAATGACTTGCATAGATCAGACTCCACAAAATCAAATGGATCTGAATCTAGAAGGCAAACAGTGCCGCTCAATCCGTTAGACCTTCAAGAACATCCACAGCGTTCCGCTATTACTTCTAGTGCTGGGATTATTGAATCATGTTGGCCTGTCATTCTGACCACATGCTCCATTTTCTTCTACGCAGCTTTGGACGCGGATTTTTATCACAATCTCGTACGGTCGTTCCAGAAACTAACACATGTCGCTGGCCTTCTCCGTCAATCTGCGGCGCGAGACGCATTTCTATCCACACTCGGGAAAGCTACTCTTCCTGTGGACGACGTGACCGCTCACCTTCCTAGCACACACGCTCCTGAAGCCAAACAATCGAGGAACTCAGATGCAGGCCATGAGCAATCGCTAGCCGCGCACTTTGACACACCCAAAGCGTCTTTTGAAGCTACAAGGGCCTCATTGAGCACTAGAAATCTCCTCTGCCTTCGAGCTCTGTTGAACCTGGGCATTGCTTTGGGACCAACACTAGACCAAAGCGCATGGTCTATACTTCTGGAAACCTTACAAAATGCGGACCTAGTAATCAATGCCTCCGCGACGGCCTCTGGTAAACAAACGCCGACTATCGGAAACGGAGAACAGGCCGCACAAAGTGGTAACGATGTTCCTAGAGCTAACATTGGAAACGAGATACTTGCTGTTTCGACTGCTGCATCGAAAATGTTTGAGAGCACAGCAGATTATCCGGACCCATCTTTTCAAGCAATTCTCGAGGCGCTTCTTGGATTGCTATCCGCTAAGGGACCAGGGGCGCTACCAACGGCTCTATCCCCCGTGAAATCTGCGAACCAGCATTTTGCGAATTCTAGAATCCAAGATGACGAAATCAATCTCGTGCTGGATCGGACCAAGGAACTCTGCGAAGCAAACATTGAACGTTTATCAGTCGTGGGCGAGGATGAAGACTTTGCTTGGATTACGTTGAATAAGAACCTGAAATCGATCATAACAAGTGGCACACATCACCGGACTCTTCGTTTGAAAGCGAGCGGTATCCTCAACTACGTTATTCTTCAAACTATGAAACATGGCTGGTTCGAAGACGACTCTCGAAACACTCTTCAACTTCGAAATTTGCAGTCGTTGCAATCGCAAATCTCATCTTTGTATGAACACCGCGACAAACTAACAAGTGTGGATGCAGAAGCTCATGGGCAAGCTCTGGACACACTAAGAGTCATGCTTGAGCAATATGGCGAGGCTTTTACATCTGGATGGGACTTGATCTTTGAGTTGATCTCGAGTGTCTTTGAAAAGCCCGAGACTGAACAAAGTGAGACATCTTTTACGAGAAAATCCCTGTCAAAAGCCAGAAATTTTAAGGCGAGATCTCCACGTTTGGTGCGAGTAGCTTACACTTCGCTTCAACTTATCGCATCCGATTTCCTTACTTTACTCCCACCGTCGTGTCTCCTTGAATTGGTCGATTCGTTGTCATTTTTTGCTTCACAGAATCAGGACTTCAACATCTCTTTGACTACCACCACCTTCTTCTGGAACGTCTCAGACTTTCTGCAGAGCCAAGTCGGCACATTCTCGATTGAGGAGTCTATGGATACATCTATAAGCGAAGAGTCACTTGCCTCGTTAACTGACGATGATGATATCTCTACATCAAGAGGAGCGCTGTGGCTACTATTGCTTCTACGCATCGTTGATCTTACTACAGATGATAGGTCCGGCATTCGCAATAGCGCCATCCATACTCTTCTTAGAATCTTAGATGCGTACGGCCCACAGCTTACGCCAAAAACATGGCATCTTTGCTTGAACCGAGTGCTATTTGTCATGATGGTGGATGTCCAAAACAAAGCACTTGAGATTGAAAGTTCTGCCGACGGGGGATCAGATGCAGTGAAAGAATGGATTGAAACATCCGTGGTTGTCATCAAAGGCAGTGCTGACCTGATTGCAACCTTCTTCGACATAATTATCCAAGACCCACGATTTGTTAATTCCTGGAAGCGAATGCTCGAATGTTTCCAAGCATTGGTCCGTATCAACAACTACGGAATCAAAGAAGCGATATTTGCTAGTACCTATGACATTGTAAAACATGCAACTTCCAGCGAATTCACCAAGGAAGCTATTGAATGTGCTTGGCTTTTATGGACAAATAATCATTTAGCCCCTGAAGGTGCCCAGTTGAATTTGGATGAGCCGAACCAGGATGCACTTATTGCCTACTTCCGGTTTTTTCAACAGATCTACAGGTTATACCGGGATGAATTGTCGAAAGAACTGGTCGCCCAGGTTCTGCATCACGTGCGAACGGCCATTTATAACGCAGTGGTTTCAAGATACTCGGTCGACATTGACCATCAGTCGACTCTGCAGGAACTGGTCCTCGATTGCATCAAAACGCTTTGTACAGATAAAGACGAGTCGCAATCTGACATTGTGATGTGCCTAGCAGATTTCAGCGATGCCGCTCTAACTCAGTGGTCGACAGACAGAGACAAGAGTCGACCATCATATGTGGCGTTCTCCAAGAGCGCCATCGATCTTCTGAGTTGGTACATTGCTGAGCATGGCATCAAAGCGGACATATTCTCTGATGGGACATTGACAACGGCACTTCAACATTTAGCTCATCCTATTACTCGCAAGTACGAATGGCGTGGCAAAGACCGTGAGCAATTGATTTGGCAAAAGGCGACGACAGCTGCTATCAAGATAATTCGTGTTGCTGTTCCGTATGTTGAGAGCAAGTATGCCTCGTCCCAAAAGTCTCTCATCACTTCGTTCTGGTCTACTGTCATTGATATTACTCGAGGTATCATCTCGGCGGACGGATATGACGACTTTGCTTTATCGACCTCGCGAATTGAGGCTGACGAAGATTTCGACATTGACTCTTTCAAGACCTTGATACCGTTGCTCATTCCATCTCTAGGAGCGAGCAACGTACCCGATAGCACTCGGAGAGATTTGGCATGCGCTCTATTCCGATCATCGCTTATCTACTTCCCCCAAAGAATGGACACGCCCATGGAAACATTGCTCGAAAACCCGCTTCATGACCTGTACAAAATCCGTCGTGGAAGGACATATGACCCATCACCCACCGCAAGATCCCGCATAGCAGACGTCCTCATCGACACAATGTTCACACTCGCCGAAGCATCGTCACTTTCCTCAACAGACGAAAGCCAAAACGCATCTCGCATTGCCATAGCACGCTCAATCCTGCCGTATCTAATTCTCCGATCTTTCCTCCCTCTCAAATCCTACATTGCCGATCAACCTTTGCGCGGATTACTACCACAACCGGCACCGGCGCATCGCGAGTTGGTCCATATTCTGGATCGTCTATTCACTCTAAAAAGCGAACCCGCAGCGATACCCGATGCACCTTGCGGAATCGTTTCGTCGCCTCAATCCACATCATCCCCTTCCAGCAAGAACGACAAGCCTGGCTCCCGATCAACCTTCCATCTGGCATATAGTAAACATCTAGGATGGGTGTATCCTCTCGTCATAAAGTGTGTGCGTGTAGCCGGAAAGCAGAAAGGGCGCGGGAACAATGATGTCGTGGTATTGCATCATTTGACGCGAATCTTGGATGCTGTGTGCGACGATGAGTATGAAGATGAAGATGTGGTCTAGAGTTTGTGGTTTGGATTGGTTTTTTACTATACTGTTATGTACTACTTGTCTTGATAGATACATAGATCCTGAAATCAGGACCGTGATTATAATGAATTGGTTTCGTATTTTCAATACAAGTCCAAACCCTTGTATCAATTAAATTATCTCATCCTGTATAATCTAGCAGACAAGCAGTACGACAAGTACATCTCCATTCACGCTCATAACTATTCATTGATATACTATACCGCCATATTTACGCACAACCAACCAAGCCCCATCTCAAACCTCAACCCTAAGCCTGAGCCTGCGCTTCTGTCGCCGGGGTAGGATTCAGAGATGAAGAAGCTTCTGCTGCTGCTGCAGCTGGAGCTGGAGCTTGACCCTGAGGCTGAGCCTGGGGAGGAGGTTGATGATACTGCGGATTCTTACTGGGACCCACGAGGACTTGCTGCTGTCTCTGCAGTTGTTGTTTTTGAATCAATTGCTGCTGCGCAACTTCCGGTGTGGGCGCGATTTCAGGGGCTTGGCGGTAGAGGACGATTTCCGACTGTTTGAAGTAGCGGCGGGCATCTGGAACTCGTTAGTTAGGAGTATATTTAATATTGCATTGAAGATCGCGTGAGAGGCAGAAAAAATTAGTCTGTTCGGGGCTTTGTTCGGGGGAAGGCAGAGTCGGCAAGTGTGGGGGATGTGGAGGCCGAGGTGATACTAGTTGTATTGTATTGTTGTCCGCGTAATGACAGCGTTTCAATTGCCGTCGGTTATAGAAGGCTTCATACCAGGAGTACCGAGTATCACACAGGGATGTATGAGGTATGGATAAGAGTTGGGGTATGAGGGGAAGAAAAAGTGTGCCAGCAGAAAGCGTGGATAGACTAACCTTCGTCGATCAAAACCAGACTGAGATAATATCGGGTTGAGTATTTCTTGTTGACGTCGCGGAAGGTTGGTGATAAATCGAATCCGCCGAGGAATAATCTGATAGGAATTGTCTCGCCTGTGTTACTGGTCAGCAATGTACTTGTGCTATCCATGCATTTGGGTTGAACATACCTCGTGAAGGAGAACCATCCATAATCTGTCAGACACAGTAGCATTAGTGACTAGTCACCTCAGCCAAGGATTGCGACAAGTCTGTAGCTTACCTCAAATCGCACCAAAGTCTCACTCTCGTTGTACTGATTAGGCGCTGCGCCCGTCGTCTCCCTCCGAATGATCGAAAGTTCCATATGCTTGATCTTCAGCCGGACCAGCAAGAAGTATATTCGCCCAACGATAACATCCTTGAGATGATACTGTGACTTCGAATACTCAAACTCAATGTGCAAACAATCCTCAATACCGACATCCATCTTAATTGGGCTGTTGGTCTCGGGGGGCATGCGATAGGAGTAGACCCAAAGGTCCTTTTCGCGGATCACGTCGGCCATGCGCCGCGATACTGTGACCCGCACAAAGTATCGCAGCTTGACGTTGATGCCGTTGTATGACTCGTATTGCTTTTCGACGTTTTTGAAGTTGAAGGGGAATGTCTGGGGGTGTTGAAGCTCGCCTGGCGCGGCGAGTTCTTGGACGAGAGAGAGGAATTCGTAGTGGTTGCCGCGGTCGAAGAACATTTCTTTAACTCGTTAGCAAGGCGATATCAAATATCGATGCAAGACAGAACGGCAGTATGCTTGCAATTGTGGGTAAAGGCTGCCTACCAATTGACCCAATAAACTGCACTTTGATACCGGTGTGCTCTAATCGCTTCCCATCCTTCGGTCGCACTGTGACTGCACCCTTGACAGACTCTCCATCCATGTAAAGCGGCGCCTTTTCACGACGGCCCTTGTCCAGTTTCATGTCGACGGTCTGTCGTTCATCGCTGTCCTCGAGAACGACGTCGATGTCGACGGGTGTCGAGAAGAAGAATGGAGCCATTGCGACTCAGGAGCTCTAGCTGTGCGTGCTGTATTAATTGGTAGCTTGTACGAAGTCAAGCATTTGGCGATATTGTACTGATTGGATCACTTGATTGGTTTCAGGTGAGATTGTAGCTATGTAGCTGTTGATGGTGGTTGTTGATATGGTGGTTAATGATACTGCCTACCCTCTTTGTGGCTTGGCTCTGCCACGAAATATGCCTTACGTAAGCAGGAGCTCAACGGCTTCGTCATAGGAGATGTATGTCAATTAGACGTTGCGCGGAGACTGTGAAGTAAGCTGTATAGATAACCTGGCATAGACTGATGACAACTACTCGTGAGATATATCAATAACTAATTTAACGTATCCTTCATGTCTTAAGTGGACTGTTTACTCCGTACAAGCTCGTGCGAGTCATTCAACGGCATCAAGAACTTCAACCAATCAGTTCAATCATGGACAGTAGGGGCTTTACTTTATCAACACGTGGATTGCATTGGCACATTACGTAGCTCCAGTCATCTTCCAATGGCCAGAATCACGGCTAAACTCGACAGAACAAAACAACAGGTTCAATATGAGAATAGTCGAGGTTTAACCAGCGGAGTACCCGGCCTGTTCTGTAACCACTAACGTATGTAATGGATGTATCAAACTCGTAACAGATACATACAGTTTCCTGCTTTTCCGCTCGGAAGCAGGTGGGGATGCTAGCGTGGGGGGCACCGATTTAGCCTCCACGGATTAAACATCCTGTAATCTATGTATTGCGTCGTATCGGGGGAGAGAAATGTCTGGCCCTCCGTGCTGTCTGGTTGGTTGATGAGGAAAGCTGGTATCGTTTCGTCTGCTGTTTTACATCCCCTGTAATTAACCCAGATTCTTCATGAAATACCGATACACCGCCGCTGGAGGCATGCAACATGCACCTGCAGCCCAGAACAATATCATGGTCATGCGCCTGCCAATTGTTTTGATCTCTGCCATACTACGTAGTACAATAATCACCTTGGGCGTGCATAGAGTGCCCAATCCGTACTGAGTATGTACATTCTACCACGTATGTACAATGTATATCGTCATATTCCGCTGACTTGCGACGACTCATGGCGAGTGGATGCCTTACCATACCGTTGGAAGGCCAGTCTGCTCCACTGTGCCGGGTCTGGCTAAGATCAAGGAAAATAAGTCGGTAAATGTGACTGGGTCTGGTAATTTTGACGTACTGCGCATGGGGGTATTTATACATATTTCAGATCGCCCTTGCTACTACTCATTTTGTGTTCTTTCAATTTTCAACGTTTTTCTCAATTTCTCGACAATTCTAGAATAACACTAATTCCAGCTCACGGCTCAGCTGACTATATTCCGCAAGCGCCAAAGGAGTATATGTGATATATCCTCCGGCACCAGGCTGTTTCGCAACGGCAATTAGACTCGTCTGTAATTATTCGGCATAGAAGAAGAGCTAAGCACTTTCAGACTCACCGATTGTTGCGCAAACTAAGCGAGAACCCGGAAAAAGAGAAGAAAAAGACGATTCATCCGTAAAGTTCGTCGAGGGAGATAGGCTATATATTGGGCGCCCTTTCCACGGATCCAAGGCGTACTTCACTACCAAGGAACGCAAGAATCAACCAACAGAAATAAAGAGAAGATGCTCTCTGCAAACGATAAACCCTCGACGACAACGTCAAATGGACTCACCTCCAACCTCTACGGCGGATGTACTGCACAACCACAATCACGACACACCGGTCCCAAAGCATATATGCGCAACCACGCCATGAACTCGGAAAGCTCGCTACAACATATATGGATAGTGACGGGACCGGCAGGGTCGGGCAAGACGACAGTTGCAAAGAATCTTCAGGCTGAGATGGGATTGCCATTTTTGGAGGGTGACGATGTACGTTTGTTTGTCTGCTGTCAGAGCATATGATGCAAGTCTGTACAACACGAACTAACCCGAATGATTGTTTGATAGTTCCACCCTCCGGCCAACAAAGAGAAAATGGCCAACGGTATCCCGCTCACAGACGCAGATCGATGGGACTGGCTCATATCCCTCCGCGATGCCGCTATCGACATCCTCACAAAGCCCCCTTCAACAGAAACCGAAACCACAGCAGCAGTAGACGGCACGTTACCCCCTCCAACGGGCGTAATAATGTCTTGCTCCGCCCTCAAACTCAAATATCGCGACGTCATCCGCGTCGCTGAATACTACAACCCATCTCTTCGGATTCATTTCATCTATCTGAAAGCCGACGAGAAGACGCTTATGGAGCGTGTCAATGGACGCGCAAGTCATTATATGAAGGGGAATATGGTACATTCGCAGTTTGAGGCGTTAGAGGATCCGTCGGATGAGGTTGATGTGTTGGCTGTGGATGTTTCGGTGCCGCCTGATGTGGTGCAGAGGAGTGTGTCGGATGTTGTGAAGAAGAAGCTTGCAGAGTACAACTCATAGTCCTCAGGCTTCGAATTTTTTTTGGCTCTCTGTTTTAGCATGGGATATAGCGGATAACAAGCTACAGCGTCCGGAGTTTCTAGAGTATGGGAACATCGACTACCATCATATTGTTGGTGATTAGTATATCTCGGCTTGTGGGTTTGGTTTTTTTGTTAGTTGCTGTATACATGACCTGGCAGTCTTTAATTGTAGACTTTTATCAATTGAATTGTTCGAGAGTATGCAGTCTATGCTATGCAATTTACGTACAAGCATCAATCATCGTAATCGTATCAACATTCTGTCAGGCTCCTCCACAAATTCTTTGACTTTACTCGCCATTCTCGCCATCGTAGCACCATCAATCACCCTGTGATCCGCACTCCAACTGAAATTCACCATCTCCCCCTTCGTCACTTGACCATTCTCATCAAACACGGGCAGAACTCTCGACCGACCAACACCCAGGATTGCAACCTCCGTCGGCACAATCACGGGTGCAAGGTATGTACCGCCAATGTTACCGATGTTAGACACAGTGATTGTGCCTCCAGTGATATCAGCAGGCTTGAGTTTCCCTTCTTTACCGAGCGCACTTAGACGGGAGATTTCAGCGGCGATCTCAAAGATGGATTTGGCGCCGACGTTTTTGATGTTGGGTACTATGAGACCCTGTGGGGTATCCATGCCAATACCGATGTTGTGGTTGGCGCGCATAATAAGTTTCGGTGACGAGGGGTCCGATGCGTCGACTTTGGCATTGAGAATGGGATATTCCTCAAGGGCTAGAGAGACCGCTTTGATAATGAAAGCTAGTGATGTAACCTTTTGGGTGTTGTTTGGGTTGCTGGCAAGTTTGCGACGTAATGCGGTCATGGTGTTAATGTTCAGTTCGTCGGCGTAGAGGAGATGGGGGATGGTCAAGGACTTGGTCATGGTCTTGAACATTTGGGATTGGATGTGGGTTAGTGATTGTGTGGATTCAACTTGTTGTGAATCATTGGATGCAGTAGCTCGCAATCCGCTGGTGGGTGTACTGCTGAAATCTGTAGATGATGCTGCGCCATTTGATTTAGGCTGATCTCTCTGCGAGACGAATTTCAAGACGTCCTCTTTCAGAACTCGACCATCCTTGCCGGTGCCTGTTATGTCGAGAATGTTGAGATTGTGTGTTTTAAGCATGCCGCGCACAGCTGGTGTCGCGAAAGAGGCATGTTTTGACTGTGACTTTTTCTCTTGTTCAGGCGCCACATCAATTTGAGCTTCGGTAGTCTGAGTGGTCTCGCCGATTGCAGCTGACTCTGCAATCTCTGGTGCGGATTCTGCCTGAACTGCTTGTGTGGGAACGTTATCATCTGGATAAAGCGCATCGTCGACTTCGATATCGCAGAGCGCCTAGCACAATGAGTATATTTTCTCACTTCTCTGAGTTGTGGAAAGGCTCAAGAGAACTTACTCGTCCTGTTGGCACCGTATCGTCTGTCTGAAAGTGGAGCTTCTTGATTACCCCGGCATATCTCGATGTAATCTTTGAAAGTTAGCTCCTCATATTCTAAAAGACGCGTGAATACAGAATATACATCATCAACAGCCTTGTCAGACTGATACTGACAAAGTGGTTTCCACTCTTCCACATGCGCACCCTCTTCCACATACCACTGTATGATCTGGACTTCCGTGATGCCTAGAACAAAGGACATATTAGCTGATAGTCACAAAGACAGCTCATATTTTGGCTCACCCTCTCCAACATCCTTCAAAACCTGCGACCGAATCCCCCAGAAAGCTGATGATCCATGAAACGCTCGACGATGACGGGCCAGGTTGAGAAACGCAGGAGCGATTGGAGACGCGCCGTGATGGACGCTGCGACATAGGAGTCGTCTCGAGAGACCCAGAGACCTCATCATGGTCTTTCCAGTGTGTGCAGATTCATACGATGTATTGGAATAAGCAGAAAAGAAAGGAATAAGTCTCTGTCCCTGTTATTATTGTCAACCACAGAGGGGAGTGGAGCGGTTAGACAAGGAGTATGAGTGTTATCGGGAGGCCGGTAATAGCCGAGCTCTTATCGCTGACTAAGTACGTAGCTGTGAATCACTCCGCCACTTTGTCTACAGCCGTTTGATGGCTTTGTGTATTGATTGTATATGCTAACAGTAGCTGAACTCTTTGTGCCAACGGTTACATCCTTGTGAATGCAATTAATGTATGTAACTGCTGGAACTCCCAACGTATCTAAACAAAGGCTGTCTGGGGTAATTGATACAGGAACCAACAACGCTCAACCTACTAATGAAGAGTTCCGAGCATATAATACAATCTAGTCTCAGTACATAATAGGGAAGAAGCAATTGGAGCTACACAACTGTATCGGCCTCAGGCAGACAGCAAAATTGGAGTCTGTTTTGATAGGGTTAGGGTTGCTGTCGGCTTCGATATGCCATCCCATTGTATACAACATTGAAACTATTGAATCTCTTCTCATGGTTTCCAGCTAATGGCTCCTATGGCTAGAAAATTATCCGCAAGCATCGAATTGTGAATTATGTGAATTATCTTGGTGACTGTTGAGATGGAAGACGTCAGGACAGTACGAAGACTCCACAATATCACCCCGCACCTAGAACAATTAAACTACGCAGTCAGATCTATCATCCAAAGGGCCAGTATCATCCGCCCAACAGCTCGAATTGTGTCAATGGATAATGCTCTCGTCGCACAGAATGCCAATCAATCGCCAAGAACACAGCCGTATGCTGCACGCAATGAGAGGGAATGATTGGCGCTCGTGGAGGCATGGCACACGCAGCACGATGTATCTCCACTCAAAAGCTCTTGCCTGAAAATCACCCCCCATTAATCTGAGTGATCTTTCTCTTCCCTCTTGTTTCCTTCCTTAACTGCAATTGTCGCAATCATCATTGTATACAAGTGCTTCAAACACCGCCAACATGGCCCAAGCACTGACAATCCGCAACTTCACCTCCACTCCACTGGAATTGAAGGTCATCGAGCGCTTCGCCCCGCAGGAAAAGCGCAAAGAAGATGGCCTCCAAGCCTTTGGCACAATGGCCAAAAACTTCACCCGTATGGTGACCGACGCCGCAACGAACGTGACTCGAGCTTCGAACTCCGCTCAACCCGTTCCCCAGGACGCGCAACCATTTGCTCATCTAGACACTAATATACGTGTTGATCCATTTGCTACCAACAAGACGGACGTCAAGACCTTTGAGAACAATGACAAAGAGCGCTTACGTCTTACCTTTGAGGTTGACGGGGAGCGACATGTCATTACCGTTCCTGTGCCGACAGTCGAATCCGCCGAGATGCGTTGCCTGACGGACAACCCTCGTCATCGATTCACTGGTGTCTATGTTACGCAAGAGGGTTATCTTGCGATATACTCTTCTGCCCAGCTCAATGCGTGGATGCGCGAGCTGCGGGATGAAACTATGCTGTCTTCATTGTCGATTCCCGGCACGCACAATTCTCCTACTTGCCATGTTGCGCCTCCGTCGGTCCGTTGTCAGGCAGTCAGCCCTAAAGAGCAGCTAGAGAATGGTGTTCGTTTCTTTGATATCCGTGTCCAGCCTCAGTCTCCTGACGATCCCTCCAAAGACGAATTAATCCTTGTCCACAGCGCGTTTCCTATCTCACTCACTGGAAACAAGTATTTCAGGGATCTGCTAAATGTCGTGAATGAGTTCCTCGACCGCAACCCCTCCGAGACCCTGATTATCTCTCTGAAAAGAGAAGGAACTGGCAAAGCAACAGACGAACAGCTCAGTCGCATCATTCGCGATCACTACGCCACTCCTGAAAGCCGCTGGTATACCGACCCCCGAACGCCAACACTAGGCGAAGTCCGCGGTAAAATCGTCCTTGTCCGACGCTACAATCTCGASGAGCCGCAAAAGGGAGAGCACGAAGGCAGAGGCTTCGGCATTGACGGCGCCGGCTGGGCTGACAATACTCCCAACGCAACCTGTCCAGGTGGCGAACTCTGCATTCAAGATTTCTACGAAGTGCTTGAAACGCAAAACATCGACAAGAAAATTCAGTACGTCAACGAGCACATCTCACGAGCAGGTGCTGCTCGCTACCCCTTTGGACGCGGTGATCCAAACCAGAAATACCCCTTCTTTGTCAATTTCTTGAGTGCCAGCAATTTCTGGAAGACTCAGACATGGCCGGAGAAGATTGCCGCGAAGCTCAACCCGGCGACTGTCAAATATCTCTGTTTGGATCATTGTAATCATCCTGACGGAGATTGGGGTACCGGTATTTTGGTGACCGATTGGGTGGGTTTGGACGGTGACTGGGATTTAGTCAGGTGCATTGTAGGTATGAATGCGAAGTTGAAGCTGAGGGAGAATTAGCAGTCAAGAAATGGCTGGGGTGATGAAACTACACACATTTTTAGTACAGAAGCGCGATGCAATTGATATAATATAAAGTATAGTACAGATGAAAATATTTAGTCGTACAAATCTAAGAGGACTCCTCCTTTTTCTCCCCACCATTCTCCTCCTCTTCTAACACACTCCGCCGACTCTCCATGGTAAGATACAAACTCTTTCCCGCACCCTCGAGAGTAGACGTGACACCAGCTCCAACAGCTTGCAAAGCATACACAAGCTGAGCACGAAGACCGTCAATACCACTCTCAATGCTTCCCACCCATTTCGTGCCTTCAAGATCGAAAACGCGGCCATCTACGCGAGCAGCCACGACCATTAGTTTCTGTAATCCGTCCTGAACGGTCAATTCATGATATCCCGGGTTCGCCTTGCGAGAAGGCGCGGAAAAGCCCGATGCCTTGGGCGCGAGAATTGAAAGAGCGGCTTTGAGATGTTCCGGCGAGACGTTGGGGATCGTAAGAACAGCTAACGGACCAGACAGGATGGTGGACAAGTCATGTTTGCCCTTCATATGTCGTACGGCACCGTGAACGGTACGCGACAGATCATGCAACAAAATATCCTCCTCTGCCTCCGCCGCGGCAATTTTATCGGCAAAATTCTCCGGCTTGAAATAGTCAACGATTCGCAGCGCAACCTCAAAGATACTCGTCTGAATAATCTGTAATTTCACATGTGGCGCTATAGGGGTCGTGCTTCGTCCCTCGGAGGCTTGTTGTTCGTCCACTTTCCTCAATGCAAGCGTCAATTCACGCCTGATCGCAGTCCATTCTGTAGACTGCAAATTGTTATGTTGGAAAAACACCATCAACGGCGCTGTGCGGATGAGGGATGTGTATTGTCGGAGTAGTTGGGAGCGGCGTTCCTCGGGTCTTCTGTGAGAAGGGGGTTGGACGGAGGGTGTGCGGGCGATGCGAGATGGGCTTTTTTTCATTTGTTCCAAAGAGGGAGGAGGGACAGTAGCTGATGATGCGGCGGCTGCCGTGGCCGTGCTGGCGTATCGAGTGCTGTGTATCATGCCATTTTGTTGTCCTAGGCGTTTTTGCGTCCGTACTGGCCGGGAGAGATGTGAGGACGAAAGACGAAGACGAGGTGGCATTGTGTTATACAGTAATTCGATCGTCAGGCCGGTTGAATGAAGGACGAAAAGGAAACTAGTCGACAATGAAGCGTAGATCACTTTGCAGGCTCCTGATCTAGCTGGTCAAGAAAAGCTTCATAAAGTTTGTGCTAGATGCGCGGGCGGTGAATTTCTGCCGATGTTAGGATGGACCGCCTAGGCTACGTATTAACCAATAAGAGCTCGAAATTCGAGCATGTCTGTTCTGCCGCTGAAATCCGCCTGAGTCACAGATAGATTCATCTGGACAATTTGATACCCCGCGCTCCATTGTCAGATTACAAGACTGGCAATTGGGAATAAAAGACTCTTCGCTCACTCAATTACGCCTAGTAGTTGCCGCTAATTAGTTGCATCATGGCTGAGGCCCCCAAGCCCGAGCCCGTCTCGATTTCGCCCCTCCTCCAACGCCTCGCATACCCCGATGTCGCCCAAATTCAAGTATCCGCGGAGGAAATCGCCGCCGCTTTTGCGCTGATATTCGAAGATAGATTATCTCTTATACAGACGGCTGCTCTGTTGACGCTTCTACATTCAACGGGTAAAGATCGTGACGCAAAAGTCATCGCGCTATGCTCGCATCGCATGAGAGAAGCTGCCAGCACGGTGGATAGGCCTGCGTTGAAAGCTGTGGTTAAAGCGAGAGGGAAACCGGAGGGACAATACAAAGGAGGATTAGTATGCGCTCTCTTGAATTGAACACAAAAACACCATAGACTAATCCATGCATAGTGTGACATTGTCGGCACCGGGGGCGACTCCCACTCAACCTTCAACGTCTCTACAACCTCGTCAATCATCGCCTCCGCCCTGCTTCTAGTAGGCAAACACGGAAACCGCTCACAAACATCCTTTTCCGGCTCAGCAGATGTCCTTAATTGTATTCTCCCTGTGCCGCCCAAGATCTCCGCGATCAAAGCAAACGATATCGCCAAAGTGCTCGAAGAGACCAATTACACTTTTCTGTTTGCGCCCAATTTCCACCAGGGCATGAAATATGCGGATCCCGTTCGTCGTGGGCTGGGTATTCGTACGATTTTCAATTTAATGGGCCCTCTGGCGAATCCCGTGGACTGGGCACTGGAAGCTCGAGTCGTCGGAGTTGCGTACCAAAGTTTAGGACCTATTTTTATCGAAGCTTTGCGGCTGGGAGGATCAAAGAAAGCGCTCGTTATCTGCGGTGAAGAAGACATGGATGAAGTCAGCTGCGCCGGTCCGACAAACTGCTGGAGGCTTTCCGAATATCCCAACCCAGCATACAAACCCGAGAACGATGACGACGAAGAGGATGACGACGAAGATGAAGAGGACTCTAATCCGCGCACACTCGCCAAACTCGACATCTTCCAACTCCACCCCCGAGATTTCGGCTTCCCTACCCACCCCATAACGGACGTCTACACGAAGAAAATGCCCAAACAAAACGCGGAGAAGCTTATGAGTATCCTGCGTAACGAGCTTGATCCCGAGGATCCGTTGATGCATTTTGTTCTGATAAATACGGCTACGCTGTTGGTGACGTCGGGCGTATGTGAAGCTGAGACTAGTAATATGGGTCCTGGAGATGATGGAAAAGTCATCACGGAGCGTGGACCGGGTGGCGGACGTTGGAAAGAGGGTGTTCGACGAGCTCGATACGCCATCACAAGCGGCCAGGCTCTGGAAAGTTTAGAGAAGTTCATAGAGGCCACGAATCGCTTGTGAGTAGTGAAGCCCAAAAAAGGAATATGAATGGAGCGGTAAAATGATATGAATATGAAAAGTTTGGAAATCAGAGCCCAAGTTCTGGGGCGTTGGAAATTTTTCACGGAGGCAGAATGGATGGAAAGCTTCGATATGGAATATTTGTAATTTGACTATGACTCCTTTCATGACCATCAGGTATATTTAAAAACCAAAGAGAAACCAACGCGCCAAATGAATGCGTAAAAACACCGATAGAAGCGGTCTATAGCTGTAGCATCTCGTGAGCATCGAACCCCAGAGAAAAATCGTAATGCTTGTTCATCGTGCCTCAAACTGGACGATTCTATACCAAAAGTCAGCATCTCGACCCTGAAATGCTTCACCAACAGCCCCAAAAAAGAGAAAGGGAGAACAAACCTCTTCGTCCGCTCCTTGTACAATATACGGTGTCCGCACTCCGTGCACCGCAACGTCGCATTAGGCGGCAACGAAAATTTTGCGTCGCATTCACCACAGATGTATCGCACGGATTGCACTTGTGGTTGAGCATAACCACCAGCACCGCCAGCGCCGGCGCTGTTCCCAAAGGCGTTTTGGTTGTCAAGGGCGGGGACTTGGTATGCTTCGCGGGACATTTTGGCTTGTGTAAATTTGACTCAAAATGCGCAGGTGTGAAGGTGGTAAGGAGGTCGGGCGCGAGGTTGTTCGAGTTGTCTTGAAGTTGAAGGTGGATGGGAAATTGATTGATTACGAGAAACTTCGATGCGTTCTTCTAAACCTCGACTCACCGCCCCGCCTCGATCTTTTATGCGCTAACCAGATACGGAAATGTTCTAGAAAAACTTCTGCCCGCCTCGAAATAGCCGATATCGGGGGCTAGACGGAGAAGCTTGAGATGTGAGGGGGGTTGTGACTCAAAAAAAAAGAAAACATTGAATCGCTCATTACTCTATGATCTAAAAATGCAAAATGGGTATGTACATATGCAAATCATCAGCATCTACCATCCTCCTCCTATCTTTCCGGCAAGTTCAGCAACTCGTGTAGTATCGTTGACATTTTTGTCTTTACCCACGTCGCTTTCGACTTTCCGGAATGTCGTATAGACAAGATCTTCTAACCGTACTTCGGTCAACTTCGTCCAATGCTGAAGAATACTCTGAGTTCTCAATTCCATGTCACACAACGAGTTATCTGCTGCTGCTGCTGCTGCATTGGCCTCGTTTTCGGAATCTGACTCCGCGGAGAAGTAGGCTTCGTCCACCCGTGAAAGCCACTCACGCTGCTCATGGGTAGTGTGTTTCTGTGTTGTAATAGCCGGATCATTGGAAGTGGTGCTATGTAAGCTAGCATTTGCTTCTCGAGCATCATCGAGGCGAATCTGTCCACCTCCATTGGTGCAGCCACCGGGGCACGCCATGACCTCCACAAATGCGTAATCAAGTCCAGACGAGCTGGCACCAGAGCCAGCAGCTCCACGTCTATTTGCACCGGGTAAGCGTGAAGCACGCGCTGGCTTCATCTTGCGAACGAGATTCTGGATATTGCGAAACCCGTAATAGCGAGCTGCTTTCATGATCGTTTCGTTCGAATCCGACAACAGAGAGTATTCAATGACATCAGAGTTTCGTCCTCGTTGAACTGCGATGCGGCTGCCGGGGTGTTTTTCTTGGTGCGACGATAATATGTAATAGAGGTAACCCCCCGAAGTTCCGTAGGCCGAGCTTTGTTTGGAAGTTTGGGAGCGAGAAAACAGGAATGAGTCAAGAGTAGAATCCGGGAAACGAGGAGCGTATGTTGGAGACAGGGACTTTAGGGGTAGTGATGGTAATGATATATTCCGCGATGATGCCAGCATCAAAAGTTCGCGCGAGGTAATAACACAGTCGACATCTCGTACAGGATGATTGGAACCAGTGTTCCATGCCGCATCCGTCAATTCTTCGCGGCTAGCCTCTAGCTTCTTATCAAAGCAAGGCATGACTGCTAGATGCCAGATCTGAGACGGAGCGATACCCAAATTGCGTCTTAATATAGATTTGACTAAAGTCCCAGATAACGCTTGAGGTGATTTCAAACGTGAGAGATGCGGCAAGACATGTGGATGTGTTTTTTCAGCGTAACAAATCCACCCAGGGCAGGCAGATGATAATATGGGCTTCTTGGGGCTCGTATATTTTCCGCTTCCACTTTTTGTAAAAGATGTCTGTAGGGTTTCTGTAACCTCTTGAGCAGCAAGAGTAAGGACCATTTGTCGTAGGACATCAGTATCAATAACCCATGTAAACCCATTTCCGTGTTTTCCTCCACCACGCAGACCTTGTGGCCCACTAAGAAGTTGATCAATCATATATCCAGCCTTGCGCTCGGAGATACCGTATGTTGCAGCTAGACTAGCCCTAACCTGCGGACTGACACTCGCAACGAATATCTTTTCATCAGGTTCGACCTTGCGAGAGACACTAACATTTCCATCTTCCGCGACTATCAATGGAGGTGGTCGATGAGCGTCTAGCGTATTCAAAACCTCCGCATGAGATTGTAAGGAAATCAACACCGCTTCGGCAGAAGTAACGCAACCTGAACAGGCGAGGCAATCTGTGAGCGAGATCTGTGTCGGCGCTTGATTTTCGGGCTGAATTTTGTCTTCTGTCGTCACTTCGTAGGCATTCTGTAGTCGCGATGAATGATTTAGAAACGAGTACTTTTCTAAAAGGGTGACTCCGCAATCTTACCTCGGTGCTGGTTGTACTGTTCTGAGGCAAAGTCTCGACGGGTTTGATACATGCCAATCCGGGAGAAATGAAGTCGTTCAAGTCATCGGCAGAAAGAATGGCGCTCATGGTCACGGTCTCGCGTGAAGCGACTCGGGTTGATGGCTTCGGCGCACGACGTCTGGCAACACTAAAAACGATCCTGAATGCTGCTATCGTACAGCGCTGCTACGAGTTGTTATCATAAAGGGAGAAGAGTCATAAAAGAGTCGTCAAGTCTAGGACAATAATCTGACTGACAAATTGAAAAAGTTGGATTTGTCACTCTCCGTGTTCACCTCTGATAAAAAGCGGCAGGTGGAAGTGGCAACCTACCCCGCCGGAATCGGCGCCAAGCGTGATTACGATAAGATTAATTACATTAGCCGCGATTGGTCACGCGTCTTCAAGTAAATTTATCAAACGACATAGACATCTCTTCTCCAATGTATTGAGTTGTGCAACTACTTGATATTGAATGACTTCGTCCATGATTTCAATCAGGTACCCATTGTGATATTTGCACGAGTGACGACGGAAGCTCTCTGACAGCCTCTCCACATAACAGTGCGATCCTGATCTCAAACCATATTACTTCTCTCAGTCGAAACTGCAACATGCACATAGATCACAGATAGATGATTCAAAATGAAGCGTGGATTGGATTGTATTCAGAGTTGAAATTCGAGTCGTTCAAAGATTGTCGTCGGCTAGAAGCATTGGATCAAATTGTCCGGATGCTAACCACTGTCAAGCAATATTGACATCCTAGAGGCATTTTCGTTGGACATACGAGCAAATGCCAACATATTATATCTGAAGCATTTAAAATACCTGCGGCGTGACCTTGATTCTAGGTTGGAGCCCTCTTCATTTGTTCCAGTTGATTTAAATTCGTGTCTCGAGCCACCCTCAATCCCGTTCTTTCTTCACACGTCCCTGTGTGCTGGTCTTTGCGCCGGATCTGGTGGATCTGGTACCCCTTTTGGATGCTGCTCGCTTCAGTGCGACTACCTCGTCTTTGACATCGTCCTCGTCCTCCTCCTCTTTCACGGCTGCTCGCTTTCGCTTGCCGGTAGCGACAACCTTCTTCTCCTTCTCATCCTCCGGATCTTCATCGCTTATCTCCTTTGCCACTGGTCCAGTCTTTCGTTGAACTGAGGGTACAACAGCACTTGTTCTACCACCAACGGTAAGGAACACGATCTTATTGCCATTCGGGAGCACGGAAGGTTGATTTTTCTTTCCTTTGCCCCATCTATGTTTGAAAAGCCATTCTTCTGGAAACTGTTCCGAGTCTGCAAGTACGCCCACAGATGTCGTGCAGACGTAGTCAATAGAGGTATGAAGTTGTTCTATTTGTTCATCGGTCAACGTATTACTATATTGCTCTGGGTGTATCTTAGAGTGATACAGAATCTCGTCACTGTCATTGGTCAGCTATAAACGAAGTGAAATCCAAAATTCGCTGGGCTTACCCCATCCAGTTGCCAATACCACTGATGTTGGCTTGATCAAGCAGCAGAGCCTTGATTGGAACTCTTTTGCTCTTAATTTTATCTTGTAACCATTCGACGGTCAAGATATCCTTATCTGTGACGGGATCCGGACCATTTTCTTTGAGAGGAGTGTATTGTCGAATTTCGTCAGCTGGACAATCAACAAGACGAATCCTCGCTAATCTGCGAGGATCTACAAAGGCTGCCTCTGTCTTTGGGCTTTCGTCGGTTTCAAGTAAAAATTTCCAATATTTCGGCGGCCACTCTTTATCATCAGCGTTGTTTGTACGGTAATAGTATGTATCCGCGTTTCTGATCTTCATCCAGCCAGTCATGCCAAAATGCATCACCACATGCGGAGGTTTTGACATTGTGATCCAAAAATATTTGCCCTGTTGGCCAGCGCCGATAACTTTGTTGCCCTGCATTGCCTTTTGAAATTCTGCAGCGCTTGTGCCAACTTTGCCATAGACAATATCGTCATTTTGCGCTTGAACGTTGGCCAGGGTCTTGCCCACGAGATGTTTTCTGATGAAGTGCACGATACGCGCAACTTCCGCAAGCTCAGGCATGTCGTGTTACAGATAGGGAGTTTCTGCGGATGTAGATCGATAATGTGATTACACTCTTATGAACACGGAAAACTAACAATCAATAAGTGATGAAAATGCGAAGTTAAGAATCATAACGATGTTGTTGGTGACGGCGAGGCTGAAGCGCGTAAAGGAGTTCTGTTGGCGCGCACGCGTGTTCCCGTGACCAAGCTCGACCATTGAGATGGACCGTGCTCATCCTTAATTGCTTTGTCAGGAAACCATCCATGACGTGCCTTACTTTGCCGTTGTACATATTTTTAATAATATAGACAAATCCAGCCCTATCACACAGGGTACTTCCGGATGCATCTGAAGTGGTTCTGGGCGCAACAGTCGAAACAAATACAGGTGGAAGAACAGGCCACTGGCAGGATGTCGACGCAGTCCTCGGTCAACTCGCCGTCGTTGACTCCGCAATTCTGCTTTAACGAACGAGTCTTACGAGGTATAGAGCTTCCATCGGATATCTTGGAGCGCGATGTCTCTAGATCTGTTCTTACACTTTATTACCAATAGATTTCCTCCGCTTATCTCGATCCACCATTGACGATTCCATCACCCAGAACCTAAATGCCTTGTTAACACCTGCCCGCGAAGGGTTCAATCCAACATCCACTGACGTCCGACAGCTCGGCACACAAAGCAGACGAAATCCCTCTAGAGGGTCATGCGATAGCTTCAAAAACAACGTTGTGTTTCCCTCATGGCAGAGCAGATCAGATGTACTCAATTACTGTGCCATGGTGGCAACGAGTCCTGATCCAGAAGACCCCGACCTTGTTACACGACAAGTGGAAACTGCGAGAGAGCAAGAGCGAGTCGTTAACGAACGTTTAGACCCTTACTCCAATCGACACTTCCCCCGCGAAGCTCGCACTGAGTCGCTGGCCAACCTTGTGCGAAACGAAAGGAGCGTGGAACAGATTATACGAACACGGACTTGGGGTATAATATCTGATAGATGCGAATCTAATGGGTCGTGGGAAGATGCTTTGAACCAGTGGCATGAAGGTGAAAAGTGACCCTCTGATGCGATATAGGATCCGGCCTTGGGTCATCACGTCAGCTCAAATTTATTGTGCTGACGAGTATATACAGTTGTACGACTATGGTGCATTGCATGGCGTTTTATATGGAAACAGCATTGGGTGTTTATAGTTGAATGATAGTCTCCTTTCGTCATATACTTTCGTGAATATAGGAACCGACTGCTCCAATGGATGGATAGATAGCTACTGAGAGCGAGAAAATCAGCAAAATATTGCTATTAGAGACTGTAGTTGAAAGCAGACATGCATTTTCAGAGATGCAAAATACGTAACTGTTCTAAAGGAGAAATCATCTGAAAATTGCTGATCAAATGTGAGCCACTGCAGTGATGGCCACAATGGAGCTGCTCCGCCGTTAGCGTCTTCTTCACCAGACGCTGGTCCCCGCACTCAACCTACCATCCACCCACATCACCAGGCTCATCTTGCTCAGGACCTGCGTGTGTTACCAACAAAGCGCTTGCCCATCATGCCTCAGCAATTGGGGTCCAAGGACTCGTCGCTGTTCCGTCAAGTGGTCCGCCACTACGAGAACAAGCAGTACAAGAAGGGTTTGTGTTATGAACACTTTGCGGTAAACTTGCAAAGAGGTGTATGAGCATTTTTCGAGGCTAACCACTCTTCTCGATGGATAATAGGTATCAAAACGGCCGATCAGATTCTCCGCAAGAATCCCAACCATGGCGATACGCAAGCGATGAAGGCTCTCATTATGAGCAACTTAGGACAACTCGAAGAAGCGTTCGTTTTGGCCAAGACGGCGCTTAAGAACGACATGAAATCCCATGTGTGCTGGCACGTGTTTGGTCTTCTTTATCGGGCAGAGAAAAACTATGAGGAGGCCATCAAAGCTTATAAATTCGCTCTGAGGCTGGAACCCGAGTCGCAGCCTATTCAGCGCGATCTCGCCCTTCTTCAGATGCAAATGCGGGATTACCAAGGGTATATACAGAGCCGCAACACAATGCTGCAAGCCCGGCCTTCGTTCAGACAAAATTGGACAGCATTAGCGATTGCTCACCATCTCGGCGGAAATTTGACCGAGGCTGAGAATGTACTCAACACCTACGAAGAGACCTTGAAGACACCTCCACCTAGAACCGACATAGAGCATTCCGAGGCTGTCTTGTATAAAAACACAATAATCGCAGAGTCTGGGGATCTTGAAAGAGCGCTTGAACATCTCGACACTGCCGGAAAGCGCTGTTCGGATGTCTTGGCTGTCATGGAAATGAGAGCTGACTACCTTCTTCGTCTCGATCGCAAGTCGGAAGCGGAGACGGCATATGCGGCTCTTCTTGATCGGAACCCCGAGAACTCACATTACTATGACGGTCTCATCAAGGCAAAGGGCCTTGCGGATACCGACCACCAAGCTCTGAAGGCCGTTTATGATGAGCTGGTGGAGAAATTTCCTCGCGGTGATGCGCCTAGGCGCATTCCCCTAGACTTCCTGGAGGGCGAGGACTTCAAGAGAGCAGCGGATAATTATCTTCAGCGGATGTTGCGCAAAGGCGTGCCGTCCTTGTTCGCTAATATCAAAGTACTTTATGACCGTCCAGCAAAGCGAGACACCGTTCAGGAACTTGTAGAGGGATATGCGGCTGGAAAGATAGAACCACAAACAAATGGATCATCCGAGTCACAAAAGCCAGAAGACAAGACTAGTTTTGACGCTTCGACCTTCTACTTCCTTGCTCAGCACTATGATTATCATCTCAGTCGTGATCTACAAAAGGCTATGGACTATGTCGAGAAAGCGATCAGTCTTGTCCCAAAGTCTGTTGACTATTACATGACGAAAGCAAGGATATACAAACATTATGGAGCTCTTCCCAAAGCAGCAGAGGTCATGGAGGAAGCTAGGAAACTTGATGAAAAAGATCGTTACATCAATACCAAAGCTGCCAAGTACCGACTTCGTAACGACGAGAACGACAAAGGACTTGAAGATATGAGCAAGTTCACTAGAAATGAGAATGTCGGTGGTCCTCTAGGTGATCTTCACGAGATGCAGTGTGTATGGTACTTGACAGAAGACGGAGAGTCATACTTACGGCAGAAGAAACTTGGACTTGCATTGAAGCGATTCCATGCAGTCTACAACATCTTTGATGTATGGCAAGAGGACCAGTTCGACTTCCACAGCTTTTCGCTCCGCAAAGGCATGATTCGGGCCTACGTCGATATGGTTCGATGGGAAGATCACTTAAGAGATCACCCCTTTTATACGCGCATGGCCTTGTCCGCGATCAAGACATATGTGTTACTGTATGACCAACCCGATCTCGCTCATGGTCCGATATTCGCGGACATGAATGGTGTGGACGAGGAAGAAAGGAAGAAGGCGATCAAGAAAGCTAAAAAGGAGCAACAGCGGTTAGAGAAGGCCGAAGCAGATAAACAGGAGCTCAAGAAGGCCAGTGCTGCCAACGCCAAGGGTGCTGATGGTGAAGTGAAGAAGGAGGATACTGATCCTTTCGGCAACAAGCTGGCTCAGACGACCGAGCCCCTTAAGGACGCCCTGAAGTTCCTCACACCTTTGCTGGAATTCAGCCCCGGTGATATTCGGGCTCAGACCGCTGGGTTTGAAGTATACATCAGAAGACGTGAGTTTTTATCCCCCTTGAAAGCAATTATAAATCAAGTGAACTAATGAATTTCTAGAAAAATATGCTCTTGCATTGAAATGCCTGCTCGCTGCACATGCCATCGACTCTTCGGATCCGACATTACATGTTCAGTTCGCACGCTTCCGCCTCGCACTCAACAATCTGAAAGAGCCACTACCCGAAAAGATCTCAGACGTTGTCCTCAAAGAATTCGAGGCTATTCTCCCTAAATCCACAAACCTCAACGAATGGAACGACACTTACTTGACATCACATAAGGAGAATGTGGACCATGTCCGCGCTGCACTTTCAGCTCGTTTGCTCATTGCCCCTAACGAAAAGTCCGCCTGCGAGAAGGAGTTTGTTGCCACCATCGACCTCGCTAGCGCGACTCTAGAAAAGGCAATCTCCGGATTGGAGACTCTGGACGAGTGGAAAGCCGACGCAGCTACCAAACAAGCATACAAAGAAAAGGCCCACAACAAGTGGAAAGAAGCCTCGGCATTTGTTTCGAAGTAAGCGTAGAAAGCAGCGCTCAGCGTTTTGCTTAACCTTCTGCTTCTTGTCGAATTCGCATGCATTTGAAGTTTGTACGTTTTAGCGTCGATGGTGAGGCTGGCCATGGGAATTGAATGGGGTATTGGCGGTGAAAAGACTTGATGAAAGTAACGATTGAGGTGTGATTCTAGCGTTTGCATGCTTTCGTGATTATCATATCATTAACTAGTATGCAATGCTCATGTATCATAGAGCCACAAAAAAGGAAATAGATGGGAAAGTGAAGGAGGGTGCAGAAACCAAAATGATAAAACTTAGATCAACGTTCTAAACAGGCAATCCACTGGTTTGTTTGATAAGATACGAAATAATGGTAGGACGATGTTCACCTTATGATAGATCCATCTAGGTGGTCACTAATCTCAACCAAGGATATTTCAGGGCATGTAAAAATCACACTGCGAGTTGAAGATACATTTGACATGAATGAGAATGACGTTGTTTAGAAAAGTAGGTATGCTAATATACAAGGTGCAAGATGCAATTATAAGACAGCCTCGTGCAAATAGTAGTGTTACATATATCGAGAATAAAGGAAAGCGCCAGAAAAGAAGGGGCATCCATCTACTCTCCCTCGTTATCAATATTTCCAAGAATGGGCTTCCGTTTAGCAACCTCTGGATCTTCGCCATAACCATAATTGATCCAGGCACGTTGCCAAAAGGGCAATTTCTTGGGTCTTTCGCCCTCGCCTAGAACCCATTCTAACCCTTCATCGATGCGTTTGGCGCGTGCCTCTTCCTCCGGTGCGAGGATGTATCGACTCATTCGGGCAGCGATGCGGGGATCAATGACGACGTCGTCAATCCATTCACGCTCTTCCTTCAAAATACCGGGCTTCTCTGTAGCTTGGATGTCATCGCTCACACTAGCTGCATTGTCTTCTTCAGCTTGCTGTTTTCGGGCTTCGGCAGCTTTGCGCACTGATTTGTGCCATTCCTTCTCTTCATGTTCGAGGAGGGTCTGCTGCTCATAGATTTGCTGTGATTGAGTTTCAGTTGTGAATGATTCAGTTGAAGGGCCTACGTCGGAATCAGAGGAGTTGGTGAGGCCTTCATAGTATGGCCTGCTTGCAGAGGCTAACACAGCTGCCGCGACTTGTTGACCAACGGCGTCCGCGAGATAACGCTTCGTCAAGTAGCGGTAGATTCTGATCGGGGTGTTCAAGAAACCGAGAAGATGGGGAAACGGAACTGGTAAAGAGGCCTCGAATGTTGCAGGGATGGTCGCAGGAAGGTTCCGCGATGAGTAGTCTACAGTAGAGATGTATGCAGGGGTCGGGCCCTTCGGCTTCTCCTTCTCTTTTTCCTTTTCAGGTTCGGTGGGTTTTTCTTCAGGCGTAGATATTGGAGAGCTGTCGGGTTCTCCGGATATTTCAGCGGCAGAGATATCAGCAGGCACCTCGGATGCGCTGATTGGGCTGGGTGATTCGATAAGTACCGGAGGAGGCAGAGGAGGATCAAGGGGTCCCAGCCAGCCTTCATGAAGACCTCGAATGTATTCCTTCCATGTATGCCGTCCAATCACGATATCTCCCAATGGCCCAGGTTCATCTGTAACACCCATCCGCCGTCTAGTTTCGGCAATGATCAATTCTTTGCTCGGCTCTTGAACCACGGTACTCGGTTCTCCAGCTTGACGTCTGCGTTCACGAATTTTCTCGGCCAAACCCGCTCGAACATCGCCTTCTTTTCTTCCCTCAATAACCTCGTAATCTAGAGCCGCAGAAACAAGAACAGGCTTCACATATTCAATAAAGTATTCACGAGCAGATCTAAGACCGTCCCCCGGAGGTGCCGACAAGAACACTGTAAGTTTCCGTCTGTTCTGCTCTATCGGTAATGTCTCTTTTGATATGTGAGCGACGAGGTCAGCCCATTTCTGCTGTGCGCGCTTCTTCTGTCGGCGGTCGTAGGTTATAGCAGCTGTGAAGCCTCCGGTGATTGAGAGGAAGATCATCCAGTTTCGCGAGGGTAATCTGAGACGAAAATTTGGGAGTCCTTTGCCGGTTAGCTTTAAGCACGATTCTTGCAAGACACTATCACTGAAAACTTACCCATCATCTTAAAGACCGGGTTCTGCGGTTTGGGCGGAGTCGGAGGCTTCGTTGTCGATGCACTTGCCGTGCCCGACGTTGGGTTGTGATTAGCATTTTCAGACATGGCTGCTGATACGGCCAGATATATTCAGATTGAACAGATATATCCCAACGGCCCAGAGCAGGCTGATGCATAGGTAATAATGTACCTAAACAAGACGGAACGTCTCAAAAAAAGTTCACGGGCCGTCCGAATGTTTTCCGGTGCATTATGTAAGCGAGCGCTAATTGGATGTTGAAGAAGTATACTATGAAGCTTGAACGAGTCGATATTGGACCTTCTTACGTGGTTGTTATTACTTTATTGCTTTGGATAATGAAAATCGATAGAATCTTTAGTGCGCTCCAGATATTTTAGACTTGCTGGTTCATTATCATTTGAAGCGACTGAACCAACAAGACCAGGTCAAATACGAAGTGCTACTGTATGCCCCCACGTTGCAACCATGATGTACTAGTTGGAGCATTCAAGAATCCAACCTTCTGTCTTGCCCAAGAAGTTGCCTCCTGTACGTCTGATAATTGTGCTATCAAGAAGCCATTCAAGATTCGTGACAGATCCCTCACGATCTCCTTACCCTGGCCCTGAAGCCACCATGCCATGGCATTTCCTTTTTTCCCATCACATCCAATGGAACACCAAATACATAAAGCTCTGAGTTTCTGGCCGCGTCAAAGAATTCCGGGTTGTTGACAGAGGCAACTATCCAGCAATAGTTTTTGACCACATCGCGTATCTCCTTAACAAAGCTGTATTTGATATGTGCAATAGCAATTTAATATATTGGCTGTCCCCAAAAAAACCTGGAAGGCTCATCATCTGTTTCTGGTAATTCGATCTGATGACTGGTTGTGCTCAGTCTGTCCAGGGAGGCTGCTGTTTCGGAGTTCAAAAGGCTCAGTATGTTCAAGTCAACCTGCGATATTATCTCAAAACTGGCAATCAGGGTGTGAAGCCCCGGTAGCTGCTGGAAACATTTTTTTGCACTGGCCATCATATCCAAGGCTGGAATGAGTCGGTCGATTTGTTCGCAGTTGAGACGAAGTAACAAAGTCGAAAGCTACCATAAGCAATGCGAAGGGATACAGCTCATCGATATTTCCGGTTAATGATCTTTAACTGGCCACGCATTTCGGCTGTGGCTTTTGCATGATACTCAAGAGCGGGCCTCAAGTATGTCTTCTGTCTCGAGTAGGCCAGTTCTGCAGCTGTAAGCGCAAGTATGCCATTCATTAGAGAGAGCTATTGATCAATGCAGCTTGTGTTGAAGCACCTCAAGATATGCTGTATCCTTGGGAATCATATAGAAGCACTACGCTGTCCTCGTCAGCTATCAATGTATAAGCTCATTCTATGATTGGTTTCTTAGAGAGGGGCTTAGTGAGTGAATAATAGGCGGACTGTGACTGAGCGACTTGTTTATGAACAATGATGGTTCTCTGACTTGTGGCACGCGGCCCCTTCTCCTCTCTAATAGTATTGCCGTCGATGGGCAAGAACTTGAATCTCTGGACTCCATACCCCGTATACGGAATCTTTAAACGTGCACAACGAGAGTATTTATCAGGGGACTCTAGTACATCACACTGCAAACAAATAAGCATCGCTGCCTATACTAGCTCCTGTCTCCTGTCAGAGAGTAACCTTCTTTTTTCTTTTGTTTCTTGCAGCCATCGCAGCCTCTGCCAAATGGAACACCTGGCATTGGAAGTAATTCAACATATCACTATTGACTGAGGGATAGTCTTGTAGGCCAGTTCCTTCTTATACGAGCATGCTGATGTCATGGCAAGCTGAATATCTTGTCTTAGGGTTAGTGCCCGTTCTCACGTGATGTAACCCAGAGTCGGCCAATCAACATATGCGGAAGAACAGTTTTTCCCCGCCCTTTTAGCCGAGTCTAACAGACCCTCAACCTGACAAAAAGGGCATAGCGCGTTCGCCCATTCTATACAAACCATCAACTACGCAGTCGCTCCCAGTCATTGCACAAGTCCGTACGAGGCAATTGTGAGATACACTTGTGTCCGTTGTAGGCACTTCGAGAATATTGCGAGATTTTGAGACAACTACAGCTTGTTGACGTGTCCTCAAGCCAGAAACTCAAGTTCTGAAGTTTGAGAGAAAACTCCACCGTTCGCCCGTCCCACACTGCCGATAACTGGCCCGCCAGTTAACTCCCCCCTTTCCCATCCTGGCCTTTGGCGCCTCGTTCTGGGCCGGGGACCACTCGACTATGCTCTCCCGTTGGTCTATCGCCCTTTGATCGGTGTGCTGTGTGCTTAGTGCTGTGCTCGTCTGTCTGTTCTTAACCCTTGATCAACCAATGCCACTTTGTGACTTGTGTCGAATCCTGAGTTGCCCTGGGATCTGGTGTGTTCCCTGTCTCACCACGGCTCATAAACATTGAACATCATCTCGCGTCTGTGTGACTTCGCTCGCTTTGCCTGGGCATCGGACGTATGCTGTCTGTTTCACATTTTTGGCTGCCCTGAAACCGACCCGTCAACCCTTGATTTCTCCTCCAACTCCTCGACCCCTCGTTCCTCCGCCCCCTTTCTTTGACCACGGTCGAGACGTCAGTTCTTTCATCCTACAGCTTACAAGCCAAGTCGAACAAACCGCTCAATATGGATCCGAATAATAATCGATTGCACTTGAACTTTGGCTTCAACAACAATAACAATGATAGAAACTACAATGCGGCCAACAACCGTGTCTACCCCACAACGCCCTCCGCATTCCCGCAACCTATATACCAGGGACAGGACTTCATGGATCCTCATGGAGCGCAGAACACCGGTTATGGTCAAGGATATTTTGTGAATGGTCAATATGCGCAGCAGGCTCATTACCCCATGCAACAGCAGCAGTATGCCCAACACAACCTCCCGTCTCCTCAGCCCGCCTACGGAGCTCGTGCCTACAACAACGACGGCACAAATGGATTGATTCAACAGTTCTCGAACCAAGACTTGAGTGCATCGCCTCGACCAGGATTGTCTCCGCGAGCTGCTTCTCCTGCGCAGCGACCTCGGACCGCTGGCTCGACCGGACCGCAACAACATGGTGGACACTTGGCTCCCGGAATTGCTAATCGCAGCTCAAAGCCACCTGGTGAAGAAGAGGAGCTTCAGAGATATCCGGAGCGGTATTCGGAGAACGTTCATAAGCGTGGAAAGGCTGCTAAGGAGCTGATCAATGTATTCTTCCAAGAGAACATCGAGCGTGCCCGTGAACGCAATATGCGGTAAGACACATTCGTCTTGACTTTGAATAAAGCCGACACTAATCTTGTAACACGACGGCAGATCCGTCAATCTTGACAAGTTGGTGCAGGCCCATAGCATGCCGGAGGCGAAGAGACGCTCAGAAGCGGAAGCTCTAGCGAAGAAAGAGTCGAACTTTCTGCGTTTCCTCCGTACCAGGGAAAGCCCATCGAACTTCCAGACAATCAAAATTATTGGAAAGGGTGCATTCGGTGAAGTCAAGCTCGTGCAGCGGAAGAGTGACGGCAAGATTTACGCTCTCAAGTCATTAATCAAGACAGAGATGTTCAAGAAAGACCAGTTGGCCCACGTTCGCGCTGAGCGTGATATTCTTGCAGACTCCAAGGATAATCCTTGGTTGGTCAAGCTTCATGCTTCGTTTCAAGACAGTGCCTACCTTTATTTGCTGATGGAGTTCTTACCTGGTGGTGATCTTATGACAATGCTTATTAAATATGAGATTTTCTCGGAAGACATTACGCGTTTTTACATGGCCGAGATTGTCATGGCCATTGAAGCGGTGCACAAATTGGGTTTCCTTCATCGGTAAGTTCCTAAGCAAGGTATTTGGGACACCGTTGATTATCTAACATATGAATAGTGATATTAAACCTGACAACATTCTGCTGGACCGAGGCGGTCATATCAAACTCACAGATTTTGGATTATCTACCGGTGGCAAGAAGACACACGATAATGCATACTATCAGAACTTGTTAAAGAATTCAACGTCCAAAGATAAGAATCGAAACTCTGGCTTCTTCTCGGACGCCATCAACCTCACAGTGTCGAATCGTGGACAGATCAACACCTGGCGAAAGTCTCGTCGTGCTATGGCCTATTCGACTGTGGGAACTCCAGATTATATTGCTCCAGAAATCTTCAATGGACAAGGTTATACCTACCTGTGCGATTGGTGGTCCGTCGGAGCAATCATGTTTGAGTGTCTTGTCGGCTGGCCTCCTTTCTGTGCCGAAGATACCACGGATACATACCGCAAGATTGTGAACTGGAGAGAATGTTTATATTTCCCAGACGAGCTTGTTTTGTCACGAGAGTCCGAGGGCTTGATCCGAAGGTACGCACTCTTTGCTATTAAAAACCATTCTGAATTGCTAACTAATTTATTCTAGCTTCCTATGCGATGCTGAGCATCGTATTGGTAACGAAGGTGGCCAACACGGTGGTGCTTCACAAATCAAGAACCACACCTTTTTCCGCGGTGTGGTCTGGGACCAACTGCGCAACATTCGTGCTCCATTCGAGCCCAGACTCAGCTCTAATATCGATGTGTCATACTTCCCCATTGACGAGATTCCTCAGGAAGATACGAGCGCGGCGCACAGAGCACAGGTCCGCGCAATGCCTGAAGAACAGGAGGCCGAAATGAGTCTTCCCTTCATCGGCTACACCTATAAAGCCTTCAATGCGTTCCAGGCGAACTAAAGTCCGACGCATCTATAACATAGAATTTCCTTGTTACAAACTGCATATTTTATGCATGCAATGATGAGCTTTGGTCAAATTCATAGGAGCAAAATGTACTTGAAGAACGTACCAATTTCCTAGATATACTTGCAGTGGAAGATATCTACAAATATGAACTTCGAGAACATTCTCAATTCTCTATACAGACAGTTATTATGATTTGAAAAGACAAGCTTAGTTCTGGTTTCCTACCAGTGTAGCTTACAGCCATTACATGGATCAATTTATTGAGTATAGCTGCTATGAACTGTCATGTAAAGGGCACCAGATAGATAGGAGGCACGATTGGGACAAAGGTCAACGTAGAATTGCCTGATATCAGACAACTAGAATAAAAATATCTAACTACAGGATAATGCGCCATGACAAGACTATCCTAAACGCCGTACGTACCAAGACCAAGATAGAAAGCAAAGAAATAAACTTTTCCCCGACCTATAAAAGTACTAAGGCCGAGGCGCCAAACCAGGAACACCACTATATCTCTCCTCACGCTCAGTTTTGAACATAATCTGTATCCAAAACTCCTTACTATCTTCGTCAAACCAAGTCCAATAACGCCCTTCCCTCCGATCAATATCGCGAGCCTGAAGTTTAAAGCCACAAGTCTGATATGGCTCCGCCGCGACGAGAAGATATTGAAAGTTCTTGTCCGGTGGATCATCCACCTTTTGCTCAAAAGCGGACATGAATCGTACACGGGGCACGACTCCTGGTGTAATTTCTTGATATTGTAACTGGAAAAGCAGACCCAACTGCCTCGTCATGGGGTCGCGTGTCTTGGTAATTTTATAACCCGGTCGGCCGATCTTAACAACATTCTTCTTAACCTGCACACCCATCGCACCGGGTACAACGCCATCTTGAGCTTTGCCTTCTTTCTGTTCGCGAGCCGCTCGACGGGCTAGGTTTGTCTGATGCTTGCGACCTTGGGTATGCGCGAGATAGGAGCCGTCATTCTGGTGCACGGTCAGACATAGACGACACTCGAAGCTGCCGAGATGGTTTTTGAAGAAGTAAGGGTCCTTGGCAAGGTCGATTGTTTCGAGAGCGAGTTTGCGAAGACGCTCGCGACGGTCTGCATTGGTTGCGGATTGGGATGCGACACCACCGCCACCGAATTTGGAGCCGGCGCGATTCTATAGCTGATAAGCACGTATCTATATGAAATGGGAGCATCACGGCAGAGAATTCTCTTACCTGGTAGTCCATGATAGCTCTGTGTTTGACTTGATATGATCTGTTTGAATCTGGAGAGCAGTCAGTCTTGAGGAGAGCCGCCTTCCTTTTCCATAATTTGAGTGGCGGTAGGAAATGGCAGAATAGCTGGGACTTCTAAAGGTATCCACCTTGAGCGCTATATCTGATTGGACGACTCTCCGATCTCAAGTGTGCAGGCCTATCAACAAGTTCCCCGGTATAGTGTGTTTACACTTCCAAGCCTACCTCTACAGTGGCCACAGGTATGAGCCAGAAATTCAATACAGGCGATCGCCTCTCCTTTGACGGCGCACTGTGTACTGTGCGATATATTGGCGACGTCGAAGGCACCAAAGGTGACTGGCTTGGAGTGGAATGGGACGATCCATTTCGAGGCAAGCATTCGGGCGAGCATAAGGGGAAGAGATATTTCACATGTAATTATTGGCTCCCTTTCTCTCTGGATTTCTGAGAGTATACCTTGTTAATAGAAGTCATAGGCATCAGTAATCAACCCACAGCCGGCTCATTTGTGCGGCCTACTCGGCCCATAGACAAACCCCAATCCTTCCTGGAAGCACTTCATCAGAAGTATGCATCTGAGTTCGAGGAAGAGATTGCAAAGCGGAAAGCCGCGAATAATGATGCGGGCTTTCAGATGAATGATACTATCCAGTTTAATGGTAAAGTCGTGGAGGAAGTTGGCTTTGAGAAAATTAGAAAACAGCTTGCCGAGCTTCAGGAGCTCAAGGTTGTTCTTCTTGATGGGTTGCGAATCGCAGGTGTACTTGCATATGATGGTCAGGATGAGTCCAGATACAGTGAAGAGTTGCAGAAGATTGAACGGACGTGTCCCAAGATTACGGAGTTGGATCTTACTCGGAACCTGATTCACCGCTGGCGGGATGTGCATGACATTTGCAAGCAGCTGAAGAAGCTGAGGAGTTTGAAATTGAAGTAAGTCTTCAGTTTTCTGCTACTCGGGAGATGGGATCTGACTTCTGAAGCGGGAATCGATTCGAGAAAGTTCAACCTGGCTTCGTGTTTAGTGGAATAACAGAGTTACATCTGGATCAGACACTCATGCCGTGGGATGAGGTATTTTCCTTTCTTCTAAAAATTCTCAATACAGTGGGCTTACTTGAATATTGATTAGGTATCTTCAATATCAGCTCAATTTCCAGACCTGCAATCCATATTGGCCTCATCAAACAGTTTGGCTTCCATAACGACGACCCTACCGGTCACTTTAACGAGTGTAGTCCTCGAGAACAACGACTTCACATCTCTTTCATCGCTCAGAGTTTTGACAGAGCTTCCGAATTTAACGCGGCTCATACTTCGCGGAAATAATATAGACACGGTCTTTGTTTCACAATCCGGAGATGACAAGGACAAACCTACTTTTCAATTTTCACGCACCTTGACATACTTAGATGTCTCTCACAACAAAATAGACTCATGGCAATTTATCAAAGATCTAGCTACAGCATTTCCCGGCTTGGACTCCCTACGAATATCCGGAAACCCGCTGCATGACAGAGCCGTCGCTCCTATGAGCGTTACAGGATTACCTGAAAAGCCCATGACAGTGGACGAGGCTTTCATGCTGACTCTAGCTCGACTCGAGAATTTAACCTCTCTCAATTACAGCAAAATCACACAACAAGACCGGATTAATGGAGAGTTATATTACCTTTCCTTGATCGGCAAAGAATTATCTGCTTCCTCGGCGTCGGATGAGGCGAGAATCCTCGGCGCGCACCCAAGGTATTCGGCTCTATGTGAGACATACGGCATACCTACGATTATACGTAAATCAGAAGGAGTTCAGGGGTCGAATATCAAGCCAGGTTCAGTCGCTGCACGATTAGTGACATTCGAATTTTACCAGATGTCGTCAGACTCAACATCAGAAACTGCCATCGATGCAGCAAGCAAGTTGTGTCTGATACCAAAGACGTTCGATACGTATAAAATAAAGACAATCGTGTCCCGACTATTTTCTCTCGCACCATTACGATTTCGTCTGGTGTGGGAGACAGAGGAGTGGGATCCCGTGGAGGAATTCAATATTCTAGGTGGAGAAGAATGGGATAGCGATGATGAAGGTGATCACCAACACAAAAGAGGTGAAAGAGGTGGCCAGAATAATGATCGCACCGAACCCACGGTCGTCAAAGCTGATGGAAGCAAGTTTGTTCGACGTGAAGTCGAGCTTGTAGATTCCACGAGACAGGTCGGGTTCTGGTTTGATGATAATACTGATAGAGTGCGCGTTCGGATAGAGAGACTATAATGAAGCTATGAATATGACCAATCTCAACAAATATATGAAAATGTTGTTATGTGATCTTTAATCAAAGTATTCGTGATGGCTGTTCTGGATTGTCCATACAAATAAGGTTCACCGCAAACGAGTTAGCTCCGATCCGTCGCCATTTTTACATGTTCAGCTTCCAACGTCATACCTTCACCACATCACATACAACAGATCTTCAGAGATATAATACAAGATGGCGGAATATTGGAAATCAACGGTACGCTTACTCACATTATATCTCGTTTTGAAATAGACACTCACGCGGAATAGCCAAAATACTGGTGCAAGCACTGCCAAATCTACATTCGCGACACCGCATTCGAAAAAACCCAGCACGAGGCCACAGGCAAACACCAAGGAAACCTGAAACGCTTCCTTCGAGATATCCACCGTAATAAAGAACGCGAAGAAAAAGAGAGCCAACGAACAAAAAATGAAGTACAAAGGCTTCGAACCCTCGTGGGTGGAAAACCAGCTGGAGGAGATGCGTCGCAAACCCGCCCGGCGGCAACGGCAGCATCAGCTGCCGCCACGCCAAGACAAGCGAGTGCAGAGGATCGAAAGAAGCAAATTGCACAACTAGCGGAAATGGGCGTTGCGGTCCCTGAAGAATATAGAAGAGAAATGGCGCTTGCGGGAGATTGGGAGACGATATCAGTACGGAGGATAACGCCAGCTGAGTTTAGCAAGGACGATGCAGAGAATAAACTTAATATCGGTGTGAGGAAACGAAAGTTGGAGAATGAGGAAGATGAGGAAGAGGCTCAAATGGTTGCTCAGCCTAGACATAAAGGATGGGGCAATACGACGAGAGATTATCCTGGGGCTGGTGGTGGTGAAGACGGTGATCTGGACGCTCTTCTCATGAATACGACGACAGTCAAGAAGAGAGATGTTCTGGACTTGAAGCCGACATTGCAATCATTAGAGGCAGAAGACGAGGCAGAACCGGGGACTGGTGAGAACACGGAAAAGGACCCAGACGTCTCAGACATGAGCAAGCTATTGAAAAAGGAAGAACCTGGCATAGAACACTCGATTGAGGCGCCACCACTGCCAGCGGGTGATGCTCCAGTTGTCTTCAAAAAGCGTAAAAATAAAGCTGCAAGGCAATGAAAGTCACTTGATGGTCTGAGTATTGACAGAGACCTCTTTACGTGCTGCACTCTTTTCAAAACCTAGAAAATGCTTGCTGCTATTAGCCGAAATGCTTAATACATACAATGCAGAGCATAGACTTAGCTATTATGTCTTACTCATTTTGTAAATACTGGGTGATTGACTGCTTGAACCTTTTGAGTATTGCTTTCTGGGCTGTGATTGGTTGAACACAACTAGTTGCTTATTAAGGCTAAGTCCGGACTCAATCCAAAAAGTACAATTTGTGCTCCAACCAGGTATTTCGATATAGATTTTAGATCCATTTCGAACTCTTGATCTATGAGTCTGACCTCAAAAAGATTCTGCTCCAATGCATTGAGTTTTAGCTGTGCAGTCGAGTCTAGATCCTCTGTCCTCTCATTCTCGGCGTGCTATCTGATCTAGTCCCACTCTTTAACTGCGGCTTCTTTCCAACCCGCAGAAATCTTAGCTCACCACTCAACATCTTCATTGCTTCGACTGTCTTGCCTGACCACTCGTGGAACGACTAGATGTTTGCCAATCGCAGAACACTCCACATGTCTTATCTATTTATATACAGGTGAGTAACCCCTGTGTCCTATGCTCCTGCTGTACTGTCCGCGTCATGATTCTCATGCATAATTTCTAGTGGTCGTGTTCTGTGTTAGACCGAGTCTCTAGGTACGCAAGACAAAGCTCTTTCTTTTGATTAGCGCGCCTTGTTCTTATGGCTACACACAAATGCCTTTCATTCTATAACTACCTAGCCCATTTGCTTTCCTAGGCTTCGGCTGAGCCTGCGATTACTCGTCATCAACTGCTACGATGCTCGAGGACGGCTTCTCGAGTGAGCTTTTCGCATTACACGGGGCTTTCACCACTTGCGGTCCACCTGCCAGAATCGCTACTTCACATGTTTGAATACTTGCTCGAGCCATTGCAGACATACTAACAAACTTCCTGGCCGCAGAAAATCCGACGACGCCACGCAACGTACGAATCCGCCCATTTTAAGCGGACACTTCGAAATGTCGGAGACTCAACCAGGTCACGTCCCTAATGGGGCGTCGCCTACTCCTACAGCTACAGCTACGGCAACCCCCGACGCTACCACGCCTGCTCCAGCCCTATCCTCTGCTTCGGCTGCCGTTGCTGCTCCTGCGCCAACGCCAAATCCTGCAGCTTCTCAACCTGCTCCAGCAACAGCACCTGCTCCGGAGCCTCTCGCAGCACCTGCAGCAACTTCGGCAGCTCCAGCTTCCTTAGTGTCTGATACTGCTGCTCCTGTTTCGTTTCCCCCTCTTCCGCATATATCAACGGATGATTTCGAGAGAACTACGGATCTTACAAGCACCGTTCCAAGTGCGCACGGCACGTCTCAAGACGTTATAAATTCCGACGTGCCTACTACTTCGTTCACTGCAGTCAATGCGCCTCCTGCAGTATCGGCACCGGCACCAGCACCTACTCTAGGAAGCGCACCGGCGCAAACATTCTCTGCGCCCCAAACAGTAGCCACGAGCGCAGCGATGCAGACATATTCTTCAGCGCCGGCATCAGCGCCTGTCCCAGCGCCTCAGGCGGTGTCTACAACTGCACCCGCACCTTCGCAAGCACCTTTGTCTCTACCCCCAACGACATATACGCCAGCGCCTTTATCTGTCCCACCACCGCCTCCAGTAGCGACGTCAGGTCCTTCACAGTCTCCGTCAGTTACTCCGGGGGGACCTCTTCCTCCGTCAATGTCACAATACCAGTCAACACCGAACGTTCCATCATCGAATCCTCCGCCGATGCAAGGGCAACCTCATATGGGATCACCGCATCCGTCTACTGTGCCTCCAATGCAATCAATGGGTCAGTATAATCCGACGTATTCTCCACAGATGGGCCAAATGGGTATGCAAACGCAAATGAGTTACCAGCTTCCGGGTAACAACTCGCGGTCACGGGCGCATCAAAGAGAAGTAAAGAGACGGACGAAAACAGGATGTTTGACTTGCCGTAAGCGCAGAATAAAGGTAAGACCTCGCATAATCTCAGTGAAAGAAAGGCAGAAGAAAAGGATAAGCAGGGTTGGCGGGCTCTTGGGCGGGTGCGGGAGGGCGGGATTTTCCATGTTTCGCGGTCGTGTCGCTTAAGCGTTGCCGCAACAGCTCCGTGACTAGCTCGCGCGTCCATCCCACTTTGCCATACAACAGCCCCGCCAGCCCTCTGTCGCTTCCCTTCCACTCCGATCTTTTCTGCCCTGCATAGCTTTCGATGGGAGAGGACTCTCGCACTTCGCAATGATGCTAACGCATAATTGGTAATTTCTAAAAGTGCGACGAAGGTCATCCAGTGTGCCGCAACTGTGTCAAAAGCAAACGCGAATGTTTAGGCTACGACCCGGGATTCCGACCACAGCCTGCGCCCTCCGATATACGACCTGCCAGCAGCACTCCCCAACCTTCGCTTGTCGTGAATCCGCAAGAAAATCACACCAACAATAATCCTTATCCTTCTGCTCCCCCGGGTTACATCCCTGCTTCAGCGCAACCCTTCGCCCCTTCTGTCCAGTCGGACTCTTCAATTCAGTCGTTCGACCAATCCAACAACAACCGACAAGGACCTGCCGAGCCCTCTGTAGAGGAAAGCGATACCATGTCAATTATGGCAAGCGTGCAGGATACTATCGACGGTTCCATGTCTCAACCTGTGGGAACGCCCGATCTATCGACGCCAGCACTCATGCCGCTCCCTGGTCAAATCAGCCAAGTCGGTCGACAAGGTGTGTTTACATCGAAACAGTCTTTATGAGCGCGTCACTGACTGTTCTAATTGCAGAAAAAGTAAAGATACAAGACCTTTTGGCGCTTCAAGGTATCGCGCCGCCTCCACCATATCCTATCGTTCCCATTCAGCAGGCTCGCTTGGACCAAATACAGACTGTTTACCTTCACACATACGCGCCAGCCATAGATCGGTTTTTGGAAACTCGGTGGTTTCGCGACAAGGGGTTGTCTCAATTGTTGACCAATGCGCAACTCATGGCCCAATATTCGGCTCTTATTGACGCTTTCAATGACCCAAAATTAGACGACATTGCCGTACGAGGGCGCGTGGAAAGCTTTGAAGCTTCTGTTGTATGGGATACAATGTCCATTTGCCGTTCAGCCCGTAATCTTGTGCGAAATGGTTCTACCGAGCCTATGCAGGAATACGATTTACTCACAACGGCGAATCGGTTCGATATTCTAGAAGCTCTTATCACCGATGACCATCTCAAGGACAATCCATTACGAGCAGATCTCGCTCGCCCGCCTTCAACAAACCTGAATCCTCTTGAGGGTCAATTGCGTACGCGGTCCTTGAATTTCTGGAACTGCATCGGGCACTTCCTCACACTCCACGATAACGAGGCATCTTCAGCCGTGGAAATTGATGAGACTTTGGCTCGTTGTCGTTCGCTACTTGACGAAATTGAGAACCGGGACGTCTTGTATTCCATGGCTATTGGACGACATCTTGGACAGCGTCTATCAGACTTCCACCCTCGCAACAGACCAGAAAACTCTAGTGACGAAAGAAACGCCAACACCAAGCTCATTGTCGCGCAGAGATTTATCGAAGATGAATCTAAAGACAAGGGCACCACGCAAGTTGTCAAACGTCTCTGCGGCATGGTCCATAGACTATGGGAGCTGAAGAATTTACTGCTACCGCGTGCATAACGATTGATGACGGAGATTTGGAATTTGAATGCATGAAATTTTGATTTGATAAGACATACAAGCTTGCGGTGTTATGGTGTTCAAAAGAAGAGACTTGACTTTTTCTGTTCATGTAATAAGACATGGCGTTATTTGTTTCCTGTTATCTTCAGCAATGGCGCTGTCCATTGAGGAGATAATATGATGCTCTTTGTGACTATACCCTTTTATTTGGATTTGCTTTAGAGCGCCATGTGGTGTATGATAATATCTGAGGCTTGTATGAGTTCTCGATTATCACATTCAACCTCACTTGAGTATAAATCAACACACATTACGTACACTTAATGTTCTTGACAAACGGATCGGGAAAGAAGATATATCGAAAAAAGGGCTCTATATATTCTGCGCTCTATAATCTGTTACCGCTCATCAAAATCTATAGCAAAAGGAGCACAATCTATAGGTCCACATGCTCAGGCACAATACTCTTCAACGTCCCTTTCTCAATAGCCTGGCGCACATTTCCAATAGCCCATTCCTCCATCTCAGTTTGTGTCTGGCTACAGTCAGTTCACACGGTCAAAAGATTACCAAAAGATAATGTAAAGAAAAAAGAATACATACCTCATAAGACCAAGTTCCCATATGAGGCACTAACATCACATTCGGATTCCGCAACAGACCAGGGTGAATCTTGGGCTCTTCCTCAAACACATCCAACCCCGCTGAAAAGACCTTGCCGCTGTCCAGGGCCTCAACGAGAGCGGCTTCATCGATGACTGCGCCTCGCGCTGTATTGACGACGACAACGCCATCTTTCATTTTTGCGAATTCGGGTTTGCCGATGATGTGGTATGTGTGTTTCTACGAAATGTCAGTACTTGTATCAGATGAAGAGAGGAAAGGGGCTCACGTTAAGAGGCAGATTCAAACTAATGACATCACTCTTCGCCAACAAGTCATCAAACGTAACATACTCTGCGCCTGCAGACATGGTCTCACTAAGCTGCCGTCTATTATGATAGATAACCTTCATCCCAAACGCCTCTGCTTTCTTTTTCAGATTTCTTCCAATACCGCCCATGCCCAGGATACCGAGGACTTTACCCTCCGGGTCATGTCCCAAAGGAGGCGCTGGGTCACCGCGCCATTTGCCCTGTCGTAGCGCGTGCATGCCCGTGTTGAAGTTGCGGATTGCGCCGATGATGAGGAACATGTTCACGTCGGCGGTGGAGTCGTCGACGGCCGTGGGCACGTTGCTGACCCGGATAGGTGGTGTGCGTTCACTGCAGGCGTGGACGTCGACTTGGTCATATCCCGCCCCTGTTCCCTCCCCTCAATCAGTATTCATCTCATACATATACAGAGACAGGATATGGACAAACCGCAATGAGCAAGGAAAAGCAAAGACTTGGGTAAAGCCGCTACGAGCTCCTCGTCAATCTGGCCCGTGACGGCAAAGGAGCCAAAAGTGCGATATGCCGCGACCACGCCGTCGAGCTTGCCGTCTTTGCATTCTTGGATGAATTCAGTGCGGTTGGTGGCGCTTGTGGTTATGAGGTCGGCGATGTCGCTGAGGTCTTCCCATGTTTTGCCAGCGCTGTTTGTATGTTAGAATGTACAGGTTCAGTTGTAGAGAGGTATGGCTTGATATACTGGACTATTTCGCCTAAGAGGAGGACTTTGGGGCGGGCCATTCTCTTTTCTTTTGGTCAATGTATGTCTCGATTAATATATATGAGCAATTCTCAATTAATCATTCGCCGTGTCCCAGCCCAATATGAGATACAAGATCAACAACCAAGGCTCGTAATCAGAAAAGAAATCGATCAAACGTGAGTCACGTCAAAAAAAATCGCTATCTCAGGGCAATTATCCCGCTGATAGAGTGCGGGGTCCAGGGGAACGGCGAGATGTCCGACTCGGCGAGTCGTGTATGTTCTATCCTCCATCTCGCCAGCCTTGAACTCACCCGAATGCAATTTCATTGGTGCAAGAACTATTTCTATAAGTTTGTATGTGTACCGTTTGCTTTTCATGTAAGAGTGATTGTTGCTAATTACCAGCTACATTTTCTTTGCCGTAATTAGAAATTGAGAATCCATTTTCCAACTGGTTCCTCTCCTTCATGTCATATTACAGGATATTGTACAGATAGAAAGTCCCGGTACTAGGAAGGTTCATGGAGCGCTTAGCTATCCGACACTGTGGTAGCTATCTGCTACGTGTTCGGGGATTCGGGTAAACAACTGCCGCACAATGGTTGCCATCATTTAGATTCGAGGAGTAGGTCGGCCTCTCAAGGAGAACATAATTAACAGCGATCGTGGCATTGTGCACTGTCTCGCATAGTTTCCAGAAATTCGTACGTATCGCAAAGATTGATTATTGACCCTCGGTGAGAATACGAGTCCAGTCAAACTTTCGCCAGCGTTTTCGAAAAGGCTCGACACGTCGATCCCCGCCTCTACTCCACCGGCCCTGTCTTTTGATAACATCCGGAGGCAGATCCAACATACCCCCTATCGTCTCTCGAGCAAAAAGATCTCCGCGCGGCCATCGGTGAGTATCCTCCACAACATGGCCCAAGCCACCATCAAGCTCAAACCAGACGTGAAAGTATGGCATTTCCTTGACTAGCGTCCGACGGAAAGCCATCTTGCCCAAGCCTTGTTTGGACTTTGCTAGAGTGTCAATTAGTTTTCGATGCTGAGTCCATTCTGAATCTGCTGCCAGTATAGACTCTCTAAAAAATGCCGGCGATGTTTCGCCTAGACTGTATGGCAATGGAACAGCTTCTAGAGATGCATGGCGTTTTCGATCCGGATGCGCTGCGTTCTCATAGAAGATTACATCTCGGCCCTGATCGTGGTACATTCGAGTCAAACTCTTCATGAAATTGCGGATTTCCTCCCACTCATCATCGTCGCATTCCATTAGATTCGTGCGGTGCTGGATGGGAACAATAGTAGCGCTTCCTTCACTGAGTTCCGGTTCTGTTGGAAGAGTCAAGAAGATTCGTGTCGCTAATGACACGATGGGGGCCACTGGCGGTGTGTCCGTATCTTCATGATGGCACAACGGGCAATTATCTAGTATTCTGTTCATCTTGTGGAACTCGCTGATGGCCGTATTTTTGAGGTTTAATTCTGATTTCTGTACACGCTTGGCGAGTTTGGCCGCATTGTCATCCATATATTCCAAATCATTCTAGGTTTCAATGTTAGTAGATATCCCTGAATAGAGTGTGTTGGCTTCACTAACGTCGAATTTGACATCCTTTGCAATTCTTTCGGCTAGTCGAAGACCTTCTCCACCAGCTTGGCCGCGCGTTCGTCGCTCTTCCACTATCATATCTTCAATCGACATATCCTCATTCTCCTGTAGCTGACCACGTTCACGGCCTCGGCGATTTTCAACCGGTTTGACTTCGCTTCTAGTGCCGCCGGCCAGCATTCGGTTTTCCATAATGCCAAGAACCACGACGTCGCCTTCTTTTCGGTTTGCCATCAAACCAGCAGCAGCATTATACTGTTCCTCCAAAGAAGCTGCATCAGACGAGCCTTTCAATTTTGCTTTCATCATTTTTGCGCGAAGTCGGTTCAGTGCAGTGGCATCCAGATGTTGCGTGGTCCTGGTAGGTTCCACGGTTTCCATCGACTTGCCCTGTTCCTTGACAGGAGATGCAATGTCCCTAGAATAACTGGCTCGAAGGTCTCTGTGAACACCTTGTTCGAGCTTCCTTTCTTGAAAAAGCTCTCCACTGGGTTTGTCTTTGCCCACATATGACTCTCCATATGTCTCTCTGCGATCCATTTCTATCTCTTCTTCTCGGGCGTCATCGAAAGACCTTAAATCTCCATACCGCTCAATCGCAACATCTTCCACCTTTTTACCCTTTTCTTCGGCTTCTCGGTAAACATTTTTCAATTTTATCATTCTCCATTGTGAGCCCGCATCGCCAAATGTATAGTCGACTTCATGTTGCGCAGGCTGATTGTCAACTTTTTCTGAAACCTTTCCTTCTTTTAAATCACGTAAATGAGTGTTGAGTTCCTTATCGTGAATCTTCAAATCGAGATCGATTCGTAGCGATTTCGCTTCGGGCTGTTTTTGGGCGCTCTTATCCGGTCTGTGTATATAATCTATGTCGTCGGCAGAGGGGGGCTGCATCCATGAATCACGTTTCAAATCATGCGCACTGACTTTAGCAGCTGATTCCCGGGCTTCACCTTGGCCGAGATCGTCATCATCGCGATTGCGGTCATGGCGATGCCGTCTCTTGAGAGAGCTCTCGTCGTCGCCATTGTCGTCTCTTCTGGACCTTTTGTGCCTATGTCTGCGCTCTTCATCTTTCTTATCGCTTCGATGATTGTGGCTTTCGCGCGTTCGGGACGAATCACGGTGATGATGTCGGTGATGGTGGTGATGGCGATGTGATCCCGACCGATCTTTGTCTTTGTGGTTATCGGATTCTCTCCGTTCGTGACCTTCCGCAAGCGATTTCTCAAAGTCCTCCAGCGTCATATTAATGGTCTGTATAATCGCGCCGGTTATTGGTGAATTGATTCCGCCCTCATGAGACGGACATGGACAGAAATTGACAAAGTAGCTTGAAGAAAAAGCTGAGCTTAAGCTCGAGCGCGGTTGCCCAAGGAAATGACGTTTCGAGCAGGGCCCCACTTGCCCTAGGACGAAACCCAAAAGTTTCTCGCCCCGCCATGGGAAAAAACTACAACGACTTGCTTGTCCAGCACCATTTGATACAATACTCAACGACGAACTACTTTCTACGAAAATCCTATTGGACGGTTTATGGGCGATAGTCGAGTAACTGGTGGAAAAGACTCTGAGATTTTGCTCCAAAAGCACAAATTGTGGCAATATGGCGGCGGCAACGACACCAGAAGCGCCCGCAGGCGAATCTGCTTCGCCAGTGACGATAGTATGCGTGGGCATGGCCGGTGAGACACCGTTTGCTCTTTTTGTTCAAGAAGCCGCCGTAGACGCTGTAGCATGGGAGACGTGGAAGTCGACATGGACAGAGTGATTCTTCAAGCAGAGGCTGACGTGTTTGACCGACTTAGGCTCAGGAAAGACGACCTTTATGCAACGAATCAACTCACACCTTCACTCTCAACGAAAAACCCCTTACGTCCTCAACCTCGACCCAGCAGTCCACTCCGTGCCGTTTGAAAGCAACATCGACATTCGCGATTCGATCAACTATAAGGAAGTGATGAAACAGTATAATCTAGGGCCCAATGGAGGAATTTTGACTTCGCTTAACCTCTTTGCGACAAAAGTAGACCAGATCATTGGTCTCTTGGAGAAACGCACGGCTCCAGTTGATCCCGCTCATTCCGGTGGACAACCGATTAAGCACATCCTAGTCGACACCCCTGGTCAGATCGAAGTGTTCGTGTGGAGTGCGTCTGGAAGCATCCTGTTGGAAACTCTTGCGTCCTCGTTTCCAACTGTCATTGCATACGTGATAGACACGCCTCGGACGAGTTCCACCAGTACCTTTATGAGTAACATGCTCTATGCTTGCAGTATCCTCTATAAGACCAAACTTCCTATGATACTAGTCTTCAATAAGACCGATGTGCAGGATGCAGAATTTGCCAAGGAGTGGATGACCGACTTTGATGCTTTCCAGACTGCTTTACGCCAGGAGGAGGATGCTGGTGCATTTGGAGCGGAAGGTGGTAGCGGTGGCTTCGGTGCTGGCAGCGGCTACATGGGATCCTTACTCAATAGTATGAGCTTAATGCTTGAGGAGTTTTACCGTCACCTGAGCGTCGTTGCGGTGAGCTCGATGACCGGAGATGGTATCGACGAGTTCTTTAGTGCCGTGGAGGAGAAGCGACAAGAGTTTGAACGTGACTACCGGCCGGAGCTTGAGCGCAAAAAGAACGAACGAGCGGAGCAGGCCACGAAGAGACGCGATATCGAGCTTGGTAAGCTCATGAAAGACATGGCTGTTTCGAACAGGGGTAAGAATAAATTGGCGGATGATCCAGCGACTGTAAGTGAAGCAGAGGACGACCCACATGGAGACGACGACGCCATTGGCGGTGACGAAAGCGACGGCTCCTCAGGGGAAGAGGACTCTGCTTCCCCGGATGGTGGTCTTGCCTCACGCTACCAGCAAGCGCTGGCGGATACTTCGCAGAATCCCACTCAGCCTTCTGATGAAGACATCAGTTTCATGAGATATCTTCGATCCAGCCAACCTTAATAAAGAGATTAGCCCAGTGTGTTTATTTTCTTGACCTCCTCCTTCCCGATAAGTACCCAGTGTTCGGCCAACGCGCTACTGCTGCAGCGCCACCGGGAATCCTCAGCTAAAGCATCATGAGTCATAAGTCACTCAAAAAAGAATAGAAATTGACCCCAAGGTTTCGTGATACAATGCGCTTTTTCACATTGTCATGGCCGACCATCATGATCCAAGTGGAGCTGCAGCGATGCTATGACATATCATTGCCTGAGTGGGATTTCGGCTCTGGTGGCTTGTGCTTTTTTCTCATGTAGGACCGTTTCTTTTTCCTTGAGCTGCACTGACCGGTCTTTTCTTTGACGCTTCCAAATTAATACACTTGTTTGCAATTTTTGGCAGCCTGAGCTTGCCGTCATCGCCCTGATCCAGCTCGACTACGGAATACTGGCCGGCCGCTCTAGAGTGTGTTTCTGTTGCGATCATTGGTGGAGATGCAGGTCATGTCGCATGCAAATTTCCTGTATTGACCGGCCTGATCGGCAGCCATCTTGTACGGTGTCACTAACATGTACGGAAACTCCACATGTTTCCAAAATGTTGGAGCGGCGGTGCTGGAATCGAGGCTTCCGTCAATTCCAAGTGAGGTCGTGACGAACGAGCTAGTGCGCTTTACCATATACCACGTAATATGATCACTTTCTCTGTGCCTCACCGAATGTTGCGATGTCTCAGTCTCTCAGACCGCGTCTTTTTTTTTTCCCTTAATCGGAGAAAGATTAACCGGACTATTAATAGTGTAGCGAGGGCTTTTCAATGACCGCACGTGAACCACCGAACCTGTGTCCTTAAAATGGAAGAATTGGCGAGGGGATGTTTCTGTAATGGGCTGGCTCGATAAACGTCTCGATTGCCGATGGCGCCAAGTTCGGTACGGGGGACTCCGTACTGGGATGGCGTTTCCCGTAGAGTCGTTAATCCTGTATCTTACTGACTCACCCTTCAGTCTTTGGCTACAGGGGCCAGTTCTACGGTGATTGCGTTGATCTTCCGACATTCCTGACAGCACTCGTGTGGATGAGCATTCGTCGTGTGCGTGGTCGCAGATTATCGTGGCTTCTCGGGAACAACAGCCGCTTTGTCGCGAGAGTTAATCGACCAAAGTCGACCCCTAGATCGAGCAGAAGCCATACGTACGGATGCATTTTCCTGTGTACCTCGATGATGTATGATTGACCGAGGTGGCTGTTGCAGACGGATGCAGCAGCTGTCACACTTGCAGGGGAGTTCATCCACGTTACTGACACGACAACCCACCGATGCCAACCTATTTCGAAAAAAGCTCGAGCGCCAGGATCTGTGGCGACAGCTGGTGGCCAGGCGGTCGTTTGCTGAGTCTCCGCAATGGCATTGTGCATGTAACTAGGTGCTTGTTGCTCTATCCATACTAGTACGATGACCAGGACAATTAGTACTTCCACGACCCACCCCCGAATGCGATTAGCTTCTGCCCTCTGCGCTTCTAGTTCGCTCTCGGGGGCGGCTAGTGTGTATGTATGTACGTAGTGCGTACATGCTGCTGCTTGAGCCTTGCACTACGTGCATGAAGCTGAAGGGAGTAAAAGGAGTGACGCGAGACGTGAGTGGTCCTTGCGCGACAAGCGTTGAGACCGGCATGGCTTCGTGGGCAATGATAAGTTGATAGTGATAAGGCTTGAGCGTCCGGTCGAATGATACTATATGCATGGATTGCCAGGGAAAACAGGAAGTCTTCCCCCGCGTGATGATTAATGATTTAGTGAAGGTCCAGAGTGGGCTATGCTGTTCTGGGCAGTGACCGCTCAGTTAGTAGATGGCTGCTAAGATGCTAAAATGCTGAGATGCTAGGCAAGGAAGGTCCTGACAGAGGTAGGTCCCTTCCTCCTTCCTTGCAGACCCGGGCAAACTGTCAGTCATCCGCGGCTGCCTCCGAGGGGGCATGCAGAAAAAGAAAAGAAAAAAAGAAAGAAAGAAAAATGTCAACAGAAACATCAGGAATTAAAAAACCCACGACTCTGTGTCAAGGTCACACCCCAAGGCTGAAGAAAAAAGAAGAAACCATCCTCGCTTGCTCGTTCAATCCCAGGACAGACACAAAGAAAGAAAGAAAGCAGACACGTAATCGGCAGCTATGATTTGAGAAGCTGATCGCTTTGCGTACCTGGTGCTTTCTTTTTCGCTTTTCTTTTTCTTTGCCTATTTCTGGGAACACATCTCTGTGCCTGCGATCTTTCTATTCAGACTGGGCTATCTTGATTATTTTATTTCTTTATATTACCCTTTTAGGCTGTTTCTCTTCGCATGCCAGTCTACGTCCAATCAGTGACCGCACCGAACTATTGCCTGCCAGCAACTTTCCCCAGAAGGATCATACGTCTTCGCAGCACCGATGTGTACTAAAGGAATGAGACTGTCGTTGCATAAATTGAGCGGATGGCTGCGTCGCTTCTACACCGGCAACAATCATCGAGAAAGTCATCCGAGACGACAGAACCCGAAAAAGTCTGACTTGAACAAGAATTTGGAATCGAGGACTTCGAGTGATACAGAGACAGAGTGTGTCCAGCATCATACCATCGTCAAGGCCAGCACGATGGCTCCTCATATGCTTGAATCCGACTCTCCCATAAGGACGAGAATTGGTATACCGGACAGCGAGGAGTACGACAAAATGATAGCAGAACTTCCGTGAGTTGTCACTTTACCGAACGACCTCTGGATCGGGAGTGTTGACATAATGGTGTAGTTTCCGAGTCATATCTTGCCCTCTACTCCAGGCTAAGAAGCTTGAGGCACGGCGTTTCTGTACTAGATATAATGTCGACGATGAGATTCTTAAAGACGATACGATACCCTTACATGAGCTGTTCATGGGTCTACGTAAAGAGCGAGAGCGCTTGCTTCGCACAGTCATCGGGACTGTTGGTCAAGGACCAGTCATTGAACCACCGTTCCATTTTCAATATGGCTGTAACATTATCCTTGGTGATTCATTCTACGCAAATGTCAAGTCCGTCTCCATCTTATATCTATTTGAGCTTTGTGACGTCTGATTACTGACAAGTATCTCAGTCTACGGATCATGGACAGCGGGCTTGTGACTATTGGCAATCGAGTTTTGATCGGACCGAACGTCACCATAGTCACCGAGCTCCATGAGAAGGAAATTATGTCTCGTCGAAGTGGCAAGGTGTTTGCCAAACCAGTTACGATCGAGGACGATTGCTGGATAGGGGTCGGGACCACAATCCTTCCTGGAGTAACGATAGGCAGGGGCTCAGTCATCGGCGCTGGGTCTATTGTGACTAGAGACGTTCCCCCTGCTAGTGTTGCATGGGGAGACCCAGTACGGGTGGTCGAACCCGTTAGCGACGCCGATGCCGTCTTTGCTGAGATGACTTAGACCCAGTTTCGTTCTATCACATTGATCGTTAGACGTCGGTTGCTTTTAGCCTTTTACGACTTCATTTACTACGAGGTGGATGATTGCATACGGTCACTAGACGATAAGGCGTTGAGGAATCATATTTGCGGGTATATATTGACATGATTGGATTGCCTCATTACGCTTACTTGTTCCTTTTTTTCGCTACATTTTCGGGCTGGTCTGATCATGAATTGCATCTCTCGCATCCCTTTATCGCGAGCTGGCTCAGGCATACAGGATATTAAATTAGTGCCATCTGTACAAAAGGTGCTAGGCACTAGTTTGCATATGCGGAGTAGCTAGGTCAGGAAAAAGAACTCGATTCTTTTTGCATACGTATTTAAGTTTCGGATCTCATATGCAATGTCACACCACGAAAGATACATCTAATGTGGTGCAAAAAAACCGGATCTGGTATCCGCTAAGTGGCTTCCACTGCTCGATCTTAGTGACTTGGTCCAAGTTAGTAGACTTGGGGGTTATTATAGTGCGTTTTAGTCTAGTGCAGTATGTCGAGTATGTAGTATGTAACTACATAGCAGCATGTAGTCAACTACTCGGCGGGTGAACTGACTAAACATTACATCATCTGTCCAACCTGACCAAACCGATCGCAGAGCTCAATTTAAAACTTCACAACTTAATCTTGCGAACCATCAATCTTTAGATCCTCTCATCAACGATCAAGTCGTGATCGAGTCAGGTTTGGAACCAAGCTGCATTAATCACTATTATTTTTTCACAGGGTTTTTCCTAGTTCTTATAGTCTGTTTCGATCTCAACTATCGTCGTTGTCCCGCGGATCGACTGAATCAGAGCAAGCACTTACTTCGGAACACTTAACCAACCAACCAAGTCCTAAACATGGATGTAAGCTATTCCAGACTCTTGAGATACGAAGTCTAGAGCTCTTTTTCTCTTTTTGGCTAACGGAAAGCATCTTGGATCAGGTCTTCTATCTGTACAACTACGGCTCAAGCGCATGGCTAGCGTTACAGGGCGTAGCTTTAGTCGCAACACCGAAGTTGATCATAACGCTGCTGATTGATGACACTCGAGCTGCGTCAGGTAGGTTGTTACCCTCCTGCAGATCGAATCAGTTGCACTGCAGGTCCAGATCTTGGGGGAAAAATCTTGGAACCAAAGCCTCACTCATGTATCTATTCTAACGTTCATTGGGTAGATATCGAAGCCTATCTATCCCGAGCCTTTGGTCTCGCCCTACTTGCAGTTTCTATACTGACCATCCTGCTCACCGGATCGGTGCCGTTGGTGTCCCCCGTTGGCGATGTTGATGCTACTACTCCATCCCCGGAAGACGAGAGTGCGCGGGCCCCTTATGCCGTACCCACACTGCTCGTGACGACCTTGTTTCAAGCCACGCTAGCATTCTACAACTATACCTGGTACCTAGCCAATGGCCAGAAGGCTTTAGGACTGGGTATGCTTGGATCGGCTGCCGTGGCCTCGTTGGGAGTCTGGTGCCTGCTTTTCGCCACGAGCAAAGGTCACATTAGCAAGAGGACGGGTGCGGATAAGAGGACGTCGGGATTTCCGTTTAGAAATACCGAGTCTGATAAGAGACACCCTGAGAGGAAGCGGTTGTAGGTCTTCTCAGTAATGGAAGGAGTTATTCACATGGGTGGGAATATCGCATGCTGCTTTAATGGTCTCCAAATATGGCGTCTCCCAAGGGTTTGGCACAAAGATTGAAGTTGTTAACCTATTGATATAATATCATGGGTCTGTGTCTGCAATAGCTCGAGCATAGCAAGCTGGTATTTTGTTCTATACTTACTGTTCATATATCTTCGCGCCTGTACCATCGTGTAATGACATTGTTCAATTGTCGCGTCAATCAATCTCAGCTGGTGCAATTATTCTTATCGCAAGCAAGGGCCAATTGATAAGCGGATAAACAATAACTCCGCCCGAGCTGTCCAATGTCTGTAAGCTCTCTGCTCTCCACTCGAACCACCAAAGGAAATCCAGTGCCGCTTCAACACAACTTTATCCCCTAGCTCCTGATTATTTGTTTTCTGCATACGTGCAGACTGTATATCGTATTGGCGCTGTATATTACATTTCTAGTGACACAGATCTTATTTATCTGTCTTTATGCAGCATGGAAAGCTCAGAGCTGCCGCATCTACCTCTGGGCTCACAGTTGCCTTCTGGCTTCAATCCTCATGATGTCCAGTCGTTTCAGAGTTTCTCTCCTGCTGATATAGATCACAGCTTACAAGCTGTTAGCAACTTTGTCCGTATACGACAATTTCCTCTGAAGCCTCACGTTGACTACTTACTTACCATCAACAGCCGCAATTCGATAATGCGAACGGCCGATATGATATAGCTCCCGCCCGAGGATCAGCTCATGGCCTGACAGCCAACAATAACCAAATTACCCCAAACCGAGCACAAGTCTGGAACGGCGCTGGTGAGCTCGAATGGGTGGCGGCATCTATATCTTCATCCTTGCCGAATGCGAAGAGCCGCGCCCAGCAAGTCGATACTTCTCTGCATGTGGGCGGAGACGGTTTGGATGTATCATCTGCGGCTGCAGCAGAGATTAAGGATAGCCATCTGGGTGGCCTGAAGATTGTGCCGAATCCCCCTGACCTTAATGCTTGGAGGGAGCGGTTGTTTAATGTTGATGAGCCTATTACGTTGACGGAAGAACAGTACGCCTCTAATATCTCACATCTCGTATTTAGCGATTGAGAACTGAACAGAAATAGGTTTCAAGTTTATTTCCCGCACGTCGACAATGTCTACTCCCATCGGTCGACGCAAAAATACAAACGCAAACCATTCGTCTCTCATTACTGGGACTGTCGCCTCAAAGGCCGTCCCTCGGGGACACCCAAATCCGATGATCCCAACAAGAAGAAACGCAAACGAGTCGCTCGAGAACGCGATTTGTGTGATGTGAAAATCAAGATTACGGAGTACTTTCCTGAGGCCACTGCAGCAGATATCGCGCATCACCAGAGGAGCGCTGCAGAATCTCCGATGTTGTCGAGCGAGAATCATCATGGTGCCACTGCAACTGGTACAACTATGTTCTTTACTACGAATGGGAGTGAGGCTCCTCGTGGTAATGGCAATGCGCAGCCATTTGGTATGTTGGCGCCCAGTGCGGCGCTATCTGAGAATCCGTCCGTTGTTCCGGGAAACGGCCATAAGTTGTACACTATTCAACGAGTCAATGGTAACGGCGGCAATGGGAAGACAGATGGCGTTGGCGGCGGTCATAGGCATACGCTGGAGGATAGTGACCGTGTCAAGAAGAATAGCGTGCATAGGTATCTGCTCAAGAAGTCGAAGGACGAGAAGAAGATTGTGGTGAGTGGACATTTTTCTTAGGACTCCTATTAGCCCCAGATGCATACGAGTAAGTCAAGGCAGGGCAGTAGGGGATCATTTGTAGTGGCCTTTTCTTGTGGATGAATGTCACGGATGCGCGTGGGGTTATGCATACGTCACGCACATATCTACCCCAGACCTCTGCTGCCCTGCTGTCAGTTGCTGCACTTGCACTTCCTCGAGTATGAGATCAAAACAGCTTTTGAGATTCAGACTACATCCCATTACCTCTACCGGACGAAGACTTCACTATCTACTATCACATCATCGCGGCTTATCAGTCATGACTGACCAGCAAAAGCAACAGACACAGCCGAAAACCTATCACAAAAAGGCCACTGGCGAAGCTAACACCACTGTGCAAAAACGCTCGCAAGAAAATGACCTTAAATTATTTGGAAGTTGTTTCTGGTAAGCCAAGACCTGATTGGCTGCTATTTACTAAACAATGAATAACTTATCATGTTCAGCCCCTTTGTCCAACGTGTATGGATTGCGCTCGAAGCCAAAGGTATCCCTTATCAGTATATAGAAGTTGATCCATATGAGAAACCGGCGGAGTTATTGGCTATAAACCCTCGTGGACTGGTGCCGGCTCTTCTTCATGGAAATTGGGGTTGTTATGAGAGTACTGTGCTCTTGGAATATGTCTGTCCTTCTTCCTGACCGACCGGTGATCATTTCTGACTCGATATTTGAACAGCTGGATGACCTTGATGAGGGAACTCCCCTTCTCCCTCCTGGTGACGCCAGGCTTCGCGCTCATTGCCGGCTCTGGAGTGACCATGTTCGTTACCTTCCTCCCATGGGAAGTTCGTACTTGATTTCATATCACTGACTTGATTGTTGTTAGATCAACCGCCACATAGTTCCCAGCTTCTACAAAGTCCTGATGGAGCAAACTCCTCAAATGCAAGCCAAGCATGCAGCAGAACTGCAGGAAGAGATTGAGAAATTGGTCAACGCGTCGCACGTCCACGGTCCATTCTTCCTAGGTCCTAGCATTTCGTTTGTCGACATTCAGCTTGCACCTTGGATACTCCGTCTAAGTCGTGTGCTCAAGCCGTATCGAGGATGGACTGAGCCAGCGATGGGTAGTCGGTTGGGTCGGTGGATCCAGGCCATTGAGGACAACGAGCACGTCGTTGCGACGACCAGTAGTGATGAGCTTTATCTGGAAAGCTACCAGCGGTATTCTGGTGAGTTTTCAATTGGCCTCAACACCATGGCCTTGCTGAATGAGCTGACATTCGTAGAAAACCGGCCGAATACCTCGCAACTGGCAAATGCAATCAACAGCGGCAGAGGTCTACCGTAGTCTGCTCCCGTTAGCTATATATCCCCCCTCGAATTGACGAGCATAAATACCATACCATAGTCTGACGCTGCTTATATTTTCTTTGTGCTTTACAAGTCTACAAAGACCTTAAGTAGAAGCATCTCTCGACAGCAAAGTGCCTCTACCCCGAGGATCAAACCCAAACCCACCCCGTCCACTTCCATCCGGGTTTCTAGGATTTCTCGTAGGCCTTATAGTCTGCTGCTGTTCACCATCCCCTCGTTCCGTAGAACCCTGCGGCGGTCTCCGTTGCGTATTCGGCTTAGTCGAATAACCCGGATCATACAACTGTCTCTGTTTATTCGGCGCTCCACCTTGCGAATCACGCTTTTCGCGACCATTGCTGTTGTTGTTTTCTCTGCCGCCAGGGCCCCGATTCCTCCCACGCCCACCACGAGGGCCACTATTCTCATACCCCGAATCCCTATCCCTATTCCTCGATGGCGGCGGCGTCCCACCAGGCGACGAAGCACCCGATCCCGGCGCAGACGACGAATTCCCAAACAGTCTCTCCCTCGCTTCTTCATATTTGCGTTGCTTCTCCTCCCTATCCTTTAATGCTTTGGCCTGTCGCTCTTCGGCAGTCAATTGGGGTGGTTTATTGGCGGACTCGTCGTCGGAGTCTGATAGATTCGCGCTGCTGCCGTTGATGCTCAGATTTGAGATACCTTCGCTGGCGGCATTGATGTTGTTGCTGTTCCGAGAGGCGATTTGGGGTCTTCGACTGAGGACTGTGACGGCGGGKTTGAAGTCTTGTTTTAGTGGGACGGCGGAGCGGGATTCGACGTAGTGGAATGTCTCCGGTGCTTCTCTTTTCAAAGTTAGTGTTTGTTCACGGTCCCGGAGGAAAAGACATACGCCTCCTCCCATAGTTTCCTGTTGAATTCTGCTTGTGCCGCTCGGCGTTGAGCTTTGGTCACTTTTGAAGAGACTTTTTTGGGCTGCGTATTGGCGGCGTCGGATTTCTGATTTGATCAGTACTAAACTCTCGTAGAATGGGTGTGTAGAGTGTGTACATCGGCGAGACTCTCCCAGTCTGCTTCCCATGCATCAGGGACATCGTTCTGTTCTTTGCTCATGTCTCGGGTACCTTTGAGTGCCTGGGCGAAAAAAGATTCTGATATGCTGAGGGAGGGATATGAGACTCAGATATGCACAGTGAGCCGCGTATAGGACAATTGCAGATATATACGAAAGGATGAAGTAAAGAGTACAGAGTCCTAATTCCTCATAATGTGTGCTCGTTGAAATAATTATCAGATGGTTGTACGTAGTTGGCGTTTGGACAAAAATCGGGTCTAGCTTGCCCGCCTATGCAGAAGTGCGCCCCGGCAATAAAATGCGGGGCGTCCGCCTTGTCTGTTAACGTGAACTAAGCAGCACATCAAACTCCATCATCGTCATCGAATATTTTCCTGACCACCCTCATTCACTGCTCAACCATCTATCGCCCTAGCAGCTCTGCATACATTACTTCAGTACCTAACTGCATCATCCTCAAGTGTATTTGTATACAATCGACTATCACCATGTCTGCCGGTGCGTTGCCTACATCTACCGTATTTCTCTTCTTACATCTAAGCTAACGCTCAGTTGATCTACAGACCTCGACGGCGACTCCGAAATGCTCTCTTCCTCCGGCTCCGAATCCCCCATCGGCGCTCGCACACCCACATTCGACAAACCCATCGAACTCTCACCTCCCGGCTCACAAACAGCATCTCACCACGAAAGCTTTGGCGGCGCTGGTAATGCGCTTGTATCTGCATTTGGTGCCGGCACCTCATCCTTCACATCCGCGTTTGACAAGTTAGCTGGAGACGGGAACAAGTCGGGGGCCCAAGGAAAAGATGCGCCTGGTGCGTCATGGAACAATCAGCGGGCGCAGGAGGAGTTTAATAGGGCTTTGGAGAATGTGGTAGATAGGGAGTTTAGTTTGGGTGAGTTTTGTCTGTCCTGATGCATGTTACCAGTGTGCCGCTTGTTGACAGCAATTATTTGATTAGGCGAATTTGGAGACCCGTTTGATGAATCGGATATGTTACAAGGCCAAGCTTGAGCTACACGGCTATTGTGGCTTACCGTCAGACTTGCTGCTTGTGAACAGTCATGATTGCGCATTGATAAGAGAAACGATTCGGACATAAGACATACACCACAGAGACATCTTTGATGCCCATCATACATGGCAAAAGCTCTCAAAGCGGAGTCCTTTCGAGCCGCGGCCATCAGGCCATGTCATGGAACGCTGTACCACGAATTTTGGTTCTTCGAGAATGATCGATGAACTCATAGAATACCTAGAATAAAGTCTCACGATAGCTAATGAACTTAATGACATGATATTCGACTGTATCTTACTCCAGTGCTCCGATCTAAGCTGTGGTGGTTGGCACGGCAACGCCACTGTTTAGGCATAGTCTCCTACCACGCGACTTAACTCCCCTAATCTCAACTCTTCAACAACAACAGCACGATACGTATACTTACACAGCAGGAAATAACGATCACCCATATCGACATTAGACTCTGCCTTGCATTATTTTAGCTCTGCATATCACGGCCCGTACCTCTTGTCTTGTTTTCTACAATAGCTATTCTTCCGAGCGACTAAGACGGAGAACAACAACATTCCTCTCGCGTTTTTTCTTCTCATTCTCCCCCCGCATGCGAGCCCCATATCGAATCGCAAAGGGTTATTCGATTGGCGAATTGAAAAAGACCGACAATTGAAGGAATTCCATCTGACATTCGACATTCCATTGGCGCGTGTCACTAGTAAATATGGAGGGTGTGGAAATGACGGGCATGGCCGATGTGGTCATTCCGATTTCACAAACAGAGTTGCCAAAACTGTGAGTCCAACCAGTTCGTACTCGTGGCTGTATTAGATCTGTTCCTACAGCGAAGCTGGATGATGCGCTTCAAGCGCGTTCGCGATTCAATACAATCGACGTAAAACTCTTGAATTAGAGCCTGTGACTAACGAGTGACCCCCATGGGGACCATCTGATTATAGCATCACACAAATAACAAATCAAATCAACTTCGCGCCGACCGCGCCAGGCAAAAAATCAACTCTACGATCCTGGGAACGTCAACCCTCCACGCCATTTCTGGCACGACACAAAACTCGCAAAATCTGGAAACGGTTCAGAAAGAGCATGGAAGCGATTCGCTCGCGGACAGGGCCATCAGCTGCACCGAGTCGCATTGAGGAGAGTGATTATGTGAATGAGATCAGTCAGTCAGCCAATGCAGCATATCTTCGTGCAGTGAAACGACAACGGGTACTACATGCGCATACGGAGCGGGGTGGTTCGTTCTTGGAGACTAAGTGGGAGCTGGAAACTGGGAGAAGAAAACGTGAGCAATTGGATTATTTGTGTCTGCAGATATGCACGTTGCACCCGATAGGTTACTAATTACCGGAACTAGGCAAACTTGCTGGCCGTACAGGAGACGAGCAATTGGTCACAAATGGTCAGGAAGTCGAAAATGAGGCGGATGGCGAGATTGCCGAGCAGTCATTGGAGGAAATTTCGCAATCTGTTGGCATGAGTGCCGCAGTCGATTCTGGTGAAGAGGAAGAGGACACCGACCAGAGTGCTGTTATTTCGGAGATAGTTGATTTGGCAATTAATGCGCAAGGTGGTCAGGTAGCAGCAGAAGTGCGAGAACTTATTGCGAAGAAGGAGACAAATTTAGTCCGGTCGGCTCTTCGTATGAACTCTCTGGACGGCGAGGACGCAGCTTTGTTAAGTGAATTTTTGTCTCGTGCTCAAGCGAAACGGGCAGCGAACGCGGCGATGGCGGGTGCAGAGAAGACTGTAGTTCGTCAGAAGAAGGAAGAAGTGTTGAGCTCACCGGCAGTACAGTCGCGCCGAGCACTTGAAGAGCTGGATGTCAATTCGCCGTCTATCAAATCATCAACATCGACTCCAGTCAAAGCTGAGAAATTACCAGAATCTCCTGATGCATCTGAAACAGCCGATATTGATCAATTGACGTCGTCGCCGACAGTCGCACGTCGCCGTAGTGGTCGGACGAAACCCACGGAGCAAACACGCAGTCTACGACCAGCGGTGCCAAACCAGATTCCAGTGCGACGGGCGAATGGGACGGAATTTGTGTTTTTGCAACGAACGGAAGCTCAAGAGCTGGCACTTGCAACCCGGAAAAACACGCGCCGCAACAAGGGCAATGCTTTACTCCCGAGGTACTTGCTACAGGCTATCGTTAAGCAAGAGAGAAAGGATGAAACGACGCAGCCGTTTGCGCAAATCGAAGGAAAGGATGGATCACGTCAGGCTCGGAAGCATACAGCGGGACGTAAGCAAGTGTGCTGGAAAGAAGACCAACTCGTCGAATATGCGCCAGAAAAGGAATCATCCCCCGCAACCGAATCCCCTTCTCCAAGCAAGAAGAAGGGTAGCTCGTCTCGACATGAAGGAAACAAGTCGGCGTCAGTGACAACGCACGCTCTGCCAGCAACACCAAGCAAGAAAGTGCGCAGAATCAACATGTCAACGTCTGGTACGAGCACAGATGACMCCGCACGAGCCATCAGCAAGCCAATGCCCGTTGGCACGCCAGTTCCGAAGCGCAAAAAGCTGACACCGAGGCTTAAGAGCACATCCGTCGCAAGCAGTGTTGAGTTCTCGTCCGACCATCCGTCCAGAGATATGCTGTCTTCTGCCGCTACAAAGACAGCCGCCAAGCATATAGCACCACCTGCACAACAAACAGCGTCGAAAATGAGTGGCATCCCAAGAAGCAAAAGTCTAATCAAACCTTCTGTGCCATCAACATTGACGACCACATCTTCGGCCGGTGCAACGCCTATGGTGAGACGGATGCGAGCACGACGGGCCGTTTGATATCATTCACAAAGTTCGGATTTTTTTTGTGCGTGGCATGTATGGCATGGCATGGCATCACCCTGTCGTTGTAAAAGTCATGGTACTTTGATAAGTTGATACCCGGTTTTGACGTTTGTTATTCTTGTATATATTATCTGTTGAGTATGATTGGTTGTCATTGTTATTGAACTTTTCACTACGTTCTCTATCGGATTGTGCTATGATCCATCAGATCTTTCCGTTTCCAGCGTTAAGAAACATAACCGTAAAGATCGATTTATCTACCCTGAGACGGTACCTGAAGAGATACGGCAACCAACCCTACCCTTACGAGTCATATCCATCTACAAACTCAATTTCAATTTCAATATCCGATACCAAACTCCACCTCGAACTGCAAGGTAATATCCCGGCCTCCAACGGAAAAAAAAAAAAAAAAAAACATTAGATTTTCAAGTTACATCCATCTCCCCGACACCACGATAATCACGAAACACACCGACACGCCAATATCCAATCTCATCCAACCATCTCCTCGTCTCCCAAAGGCATGAAAAAAAGCCGCAAAAACGGAAGACAGATCTCCGACCAGATCAGATCACTAAAAACTTAGAAAGTACCTAGTAATTAACACGAAGACCGTTGCTCGACTAAGAATTACCCAATCTGGCAATGGAGACCAAGTGGACTCAAGTGGAAACGCTAAGATTGATAGTAGATTAGCCGTAATTTAGATCCCGTATTTGTGTAAGATCCGTTACAGTGCTGTAGACCGGCGTGTATTGATGATGTATAGTGGTGACATCACCGGTTCCAGGATCCGGCGAGATGGGCCAATGGCTGTGATGGACAAAACAGGAGATTTTTGGAGGAGGATGAAAATTTGAACTGATTTTGCAGAACGCCATGTGAAAATTGAGTTGCCCGAATAGTAAGTAGCCTACAGAGTTGCTGGAGAGAGCTGATTCGCGGTTCATTCTGGACGATTCTTGAAGTACCTTCAACTTCGACAGACATCAACTTTACGATGTGTTGGACTACAATGCGCGCTGTTTTTGACACATACGCCTTAACGCAAAGCGCCAACATGTGATTTAAAGAGAACAATCATATTAAAAAGCTTGTCACCCGAATGATCACCAGATCTAGACTCTTCTGTCGGATTTTGGAGTCTAATTCTGAGTTATGACGCCAGCACTACTTCATTCAGCCATCTTCACGGAAATTACTTTTCTAGCCTTGATCAGCAGGAACAGCAATAAATTGGCGAGAAGAAGAAGAAGTTCTAGATGTTTTACAATAGGAATTGGATGATTTACAGTAAGAGATGTAAGTATTGTGTAGTCGTAGTTTGTCTATCGTCAAATCGTGGATATCCATGCATGCAAATTTGTACCGAAACAGAACATCAAACAAAGATTAGGTTGTGTCATCACCAACTTCGTGTCGAAGTTTCCCGAACGCCACAGAAAGTAAACGAAAATCTTTTCAACCAATGTAAAGCAAAGTAAACAAAGAGAGAGCAAATTACTCGACAGCAGAAAGACTATCCCCACCGTGAAGTACAGGATTGATCTTCTCGTTCCACTTGAACTTAAACTCCTTACCCAGCTCTTTGCGCACGACGGCTTGGACAGCTTGCAAAACGTTGTCGAACACGCCAAAGCTAGCCGGACTGTTCGGATCGTTTTCTCCTGGTCCACCCTGGAACACGCCGGTGCGCACCAGACAGGTGTTCCAGCCATACATGTTGCCACCAATGATGTCGGAGGCTGGGTTGTCACCGATCATGTACACGTTTTGGGGGAGACGGTTCTCGTTGTGGATCTGCTCCATCCAAGCCTTGAGGACTTCGTCCGCGTATTTGTAGGTTGCCAGTTCGGGTTTGCCGTAGACGACTCGCTCGAGGTCGGTGCCGGTCTGGGCCTTGTAGATGGCTTCGATGGCGATACGGAAGGCGCCTTGGGTCATGCGGGGGGGACCCTTGAATTGGGTGGGCATGACCATGTCGCCCTGTGAGAAGTAGATGGGGATGCTGCCAGACTCCGGGTTCTTGGATCGGGTGCCAAAGTATCCATCTTCAGAGAGTAGCAAGTCAATGATGAGTTGCATGTCTGTAGCGTAGTCGCGGGAATCGGCAAAGACGAGGATGGCATCGAACTTGACGCGCTTGAAGTCGACGGGGTGGGCGTCGGCACGCTCGGCATCGCTAAAGTTTCTCCAGGGGGAGGCTTCGGCGTCCCAGGCCAAAACGTCCTTGGGGGTGTAGACGTGCTTGAAGCCGTAGTTTTGTGCGACGCCGCGGCACTTGAAGCCCTCACCACCAACGACGAGGACAGTCTCGTAGTATTCGGACAAGGCTTGCATGGGTGTATGGGACTGAATGAACTGGTCAACGGAGATGGGACTCTCCAAGATCTCGGTCAATTGCTGGCAGCGCTCTTCTTCTGTCTTACCACCACCGTTGGTCAGCAAGATGTGCGGGATCTTGATACCCAATTCGTTGTCTCCGTTCAGCATCTTGAGGACCTCGCGAGCCTCGAGAATAGCCTGGTTGCCATGGGCCAGGACACCGTCAATATCAAAGGCGAAGGCCATGTTCTTGGCAGCAGCGACCTTCTCCTTGGCCATGTCCTGGACCTGAGAGGCCAACAGCTCGCGCGAGACGGCAGCTTTGGCGCTGTCAATGCCCGAAACGATAGAAAGGCGAGATGGTCGTGGAGAGCGGGGGATGGGCAATGAAATGCCAAACGAGTTTCGGGAGCCGCGCTTTTCGCGCATGGACGGGTTCAGGCTCAGATTGTGCATGTATTGAGATGCATCGCTGATGGAGCTGCGTGTGGCAGGCACTTCGACGACTTCACTTTCCCGGCGACCGTGATGGAGGTCGGCGGGAATGGGGAGCGTGGTGCCATCTGAAGCTGTGATGCCGCCGACACTGGGTCTGGCGTCGCGAGGAGAACGGGTTTGAGTCAAATCGGCTCCAATATCGGAGTCGTCGAAGCGAGGCATGTTGTCGTTTTTCTTAGCAAGTCAAAATACGTGATGTAAGGTAGATAGTGCTGTAGATGTAGCAATATAGTAGTAATGTAGTGAAGATAAAGAGGTGAGGGTATATATGATGTCTGAGGAGTGAGATGACCTATGAACCAGAAATTAAAAAATGTAACCATGGATTGGAGGGCCGTCCAGGGTATTTATTTACGCAGGCAGCCAGAATGCTGGCGAAGTAATAATCATCATCATTATGGCTGAGTTTCTCCAACGATATCGATACATAGTTGACCCTTCTGAAAACGGTTTAGTAGTGCTGGATCCAGGCTCCACAGAGTGCGTATCATCATCCCTAAGAATTATCGTCATCGCCAACCAGTCACCACATGCAAAGTAAATCAGCGGGCCTGTCCGTCTACCAGCTTGACAGGTAACTGAGTAAATTACGTCTACAAAAATTCAGAAAGGAAAAAGGTGGATCTAGCGGGAGGAATCTCTGGCAGACCGTGACATTGCGATGCGGCGAGAAAAGAGTGGTTCGTCCTATCTTGTCGCTCGATGGCACGCCACTGATTGGGGCGGCTTATTACGGAGGAAATGAAGTTGCAGTACTATTCGTTCAATCCAGTTGAAGCTTACAGTTTCATTTCGTTTGATCAATTTCTGAAACAGTGAAAAGCCAGTATGTAGTATACAAGGATGTATCTTGTCGGGAAGTTAGGGTTTGCTCGTTCGGTTGCCCTCGGTCGCCCAATCAGTTCGCAGATCTTGGCGTGCTACTTTTCACCGAAACGCTGCTTCGGACTGCTCCAAGCCGAGTCCTTTATCAGCACGATGCCGAAACTCGGCTTTTGTTTTGTTTTCTATATGAGTATCCTGACCGACTGCGAGGTAACTGCCGTCTGTATCTGTACAGTAAGGACGACCAGGCTGAATCCAAACAATGCCGTCATTCAACATGTATCTAAACAGCTACAATATAATCGCGTCATGCCACCTGTAAGCGCAACAGTGATGGAGCACCACACCTAACGAACGTCTTACACGGCGGACTAACTCTGTGCATGAGTTATAGGGCGTGGACCCATTTCAGTAGCACACCGTCATGAACCGAGGACCCGACTGTATCAATAATCACACTACGTATGGAGTACAGACAGTGGGATGAAATAACACTATCACGGATTGACGAGAAGAGAGAGATACGAGACCCATAAAAAGTGGGTGGATGGTGGACACCTTGATGTTTTGTTGCATGAGTCTCATATTTGCCTGTGTTGTATCGCACACTAGAAGAGTCGATCCATGCATTGTCGGCTTGCTGTGTTTGTGCTTCCCGAAGAGCCAGCCGGTGCTCAGCTCATATCAAACAGGTGGCTATCCAGAGCGACAAAAGCCTTCCGTCGGCACTCGGGAAGTATGTAGGCAAAGAACGCCTCCTAACGCCATGAACACACTGCATCCAAACCCAAGTGGATACAGAGGCGCCGCCACTAAGAGATCTGAAAGGCGCCACAAATACCCTCGCCCGTACCAAGACCCCAGCAGTAGACTAGAGATGCCCTAACGACCCTAGGAGGAACTAATGCCAGGCTAAGGCTTGCCCTAGGAACAATCCTAGAACCACCTGCAGCGAGCCGTCTAGGAACGGGCACGGGGCTGATAAGTAAATACAGCCGATAGTGATACGAGAATTGAAATTGGCTGCATACACACCTTGGAAAGATTAGGATGCATGCATTGTAATAGAGGGGAGGGACAAAGCATCCATCCTATCATTGCGAGACACTTATCCTCCAGTCCATACTCCATACTTAGTACTTGGCACTTAGCACTTACTAGTAGTCCAACGTACTACTACATTCTCAAACTGAGAGCCCACAAAGACCCATACTGACCCATAGATCCGTCGGCTCTTGGACGTTTAGTGATGTCATGGCCCTCTCTTTTTTTTGGTTGATGTAATTGGATGTACTCTGTGCAAATGTTTCAGCTTGCGAGAATATCGTCCAATTATTGACAGTACATATGAAGAGTTTTCGAGGTTGCATGGGCAGAGTAAAATGCAGAGAGTATGTACCAGACGGAGTAGTAGTACATGTTAGAAGGTAAAAGTACCGCGGCTGCCGGAATGTATGGCAAAGTATCCAACGAGGGGCAACATGACGGAATTACTCCATCAACCTAAAAAGATTCATCCAGCAACTTTTAAGCATAGCTCGGACGAGTACAATCCGGGTCGAGGTCGTGCGAAAAAATATTCAATGATGCAACAGCTTCAGAAATTGAAAATTTTACTTGATAAAAAACAGAAAACAAGACGCATTCGTGGAGACAGGAGCAGTGTCCGTGGTGGGTGAGCTTCGCAGCGCATACGTAAATATTAGTACTTAGTAAATAGCTACCCCGCGACAGCCACCGGCTCAATTTATCTTCTTACACTCCCCCAATTCTCGATATTCACTTCACCCAATTCGTTTACTTTATATATCTCCATATACATTAAATATATACTATTGCTATCAAGAAGAAAAATGTCAGACGGCAAGACATTCAAGCTAAGCAACGGCGTCACTATCCCCGCCGTTGGCTTCGGCACCTTTGCCAACGAGGGCGCGAAAGGCGAAACATACAAGGCCGTCACCCATGCCCTGCGCGTCGGATACCGCCATCTCGATTGCGCGTGGTACTACTTGAATGAAGACGAAGTCGGTGATGCTGTTCAGGACTTTTTGAAAGAAAACACCTCTGTAAAGCGCGAGGATATCTTTATCACCACCAAAGTGTGGAATCATTTGCATCGCTACGAAGATGTGATCTGGTCGTTGGAGAACTCTCTCAAAAAGCTCAAAACGAGCTATGTCGATTTGTTCCTGATACATTGGCCCATCGCTGCCGAGAAGGATGGCCAGGAGAAGCCTAAGATCGGGCCTGATGGAAAGGTACTACCAACTCTCCACTCTCTAATCATTTGTACACATAGCTGACTCGAGCAGTATGTAATCCTACACGATCTAACTGAAAACCCCGAACCAACCTGGCGCGCCATGGAAAAAATCTACGAGGACAAGAAAGCCCGCGCGATCGGCGTCTCAAACTGGACCATCAAGGGTCTCGAAAAGCTCAAATCCTTCGCCAAAATCCAGCCACACGTCAACCAAATCGAGATTCACCCATTCCTCCCCAACAACGAATTGGTCGAGTACCTATTCAAAAACAACATCCTCCCACAAGCCTACTCCCCACTTGGATCCCAGAACCAAGTCCCCAGTACAGGCGAAAAAGTCAACGAAAACGCAACCCTGAAAAATATCGCCGAGCGTCGTGGATTCACTCTCGCGCAAGTCCTGATTGCGTGGGGTATTCGCCGCGGATACGTCGTCCTCCCCAAATCCTCGACGCCGTCGAGAATCGAGTCGAATTTCAAGTCTGTGGAATTAACAGACGAAGATTTTGCGGATGTCAATTCCGTTGCGGATAATCGTCATTGCCGGTTCGTGAATATGAAGGATACTTTTGGATATGATGTCTGGGCTGAGGAGGATTAAATGATTGCCATCACTATGATTTATGTTACATTTTCGAGGCTGTCTAGAGCTACTATGATGTTATGTATTTTTTGATAGATTAGTTCAAAAGAATTAAGGAATATTAGATGTCATCTCATCTTGATGCGGAGTCACATTAAATATTCAAATTCAGGCACAGCCCTAGCCCTTGTCTTATCTATCGTAGAGATAAGGCGTCTCACCTTCCCCACGTTCAGTTCTAGAGCACATTGAGCGTAGGGCAGGAACTTAGACCTCAATTTACTTAAGCATTGATGATCTTGTTGGACTTCTACCCATGAAGCGACATCACTGTATAGTCCTGGGCTGTGGGAAGTCGTTATCGCGCCCGTCTACCTGGAGCGTTACGCACTGAACCACTCAAATACCCAGTAGACTTGCAATAGATGCACTGCCACTTTCAAACGGCTTGACCCCCTGGGTGTTTTTGTAGCACCACTGAATCCACTCATTGACATACTAACCAGATGATGATGTAAAACGCCACAAAGATCGGCATGCTACGAAAAATCGAAGCGCTGGAGGTGCTGGTTCGGGCGTTCTGCAAACGAAGAAGCGATTCTTGAATCTTTCTCGTGCTGCATATGCAGAATCTACTTCGTCTGTACAGTCTGGTCCCAGGCGAAATGAGATTCCGGACGAGTTTATTCATGCAGAGATTCATAGAAAACCCTATCTACCTAGTATACATGAGGGCGATGCCTCTGATACGTCGGACGAGTGACAAGGCATGTTCAGGCTTGATATCGGCATGGGATCCTCAAATTGCAGATTACATTCTGTCAATCCAGTCCAGTCCGCAGGGATGCTCAAGTCTCAAACGGTGCGGCTCAACATGAGCCGATTCAAAATGATCCCCTGGGTGACATGTACCATGACTTGACGTTTGATCTTGTACACTACAATGTAGCTGTATTCACAACTTCGCGATATGATTTCTATCTACCAACAGATGCTGGTCGGTACGACCAGCTCAGCAGTCAACTGAGGTCAGATCCTGACTCGAGAATCAATATGCGCAGTCCATCTCAAGGGATTATAAACACGCCATTCTACCCTAGACCTGGGACAAGTCCTACACGTGTCGCTAATCAATCAGACTATCCTAATGAGACACCGGTAGCCGGACGGAGTCCTTTGTTGGCCTCTTCACCAACAACCGCAGTGTGACAAGCACGCCGTGAATCTTATCTGCCAGAGTATCGCAACTCGTTCATGTCACCGTTTAACCGACTGAGGATAGGCCTTCTATTTCAAGTACAACTGTACGTAACAATCCATTGCTGATTGCTATACCCTCCGATAAGCGAACAGAAACACTTGAGCTTATTGCCGAGATTCGTCCACTTCGCCAATCCTGATAAATAGGAACTTTCCAGAACTCTCACTAGCAACCATGCAAACCTACCTCGATTCATTCTTCAAATACTTCAACACTTCACATCCGATATTGCATTTTCCACTCTCGAAATTTGAATCTCGATCCAATCTCTCTGCTGTCTTTCATTGTCATGGGTGCTACTTACCAAGATAAGCACGCGCATCAACTTTCCGTATGCTTATACGATGCGATTATTCCTACGTATTCAGTGGCCTGTTGAGCAGCATAGTGCCATATATCGCCATTCTACCAGCTTTTATAGTTCTGGAATGCTACGGCATGTACCGTGCTGGTCTATAACAGCGTCGGACTTTGGTGGTTTGATTGCATATGTCATTTAGACGATGGGATCTCGTAGAGATATTGTAGCATGGCGTTGGCTCTTTATTACTGAAGGCGCGATTCCAATCTTCTCCTGCAGGTTCCGCAGGCTGATATTTTCTCATACCCCGGAGACGGCGTGGCTCCTGACCGAACAGGAGAAGGCTCTCATACGCGCCTGTAAGCGGAGAGACATCGTTTACAAGGATCAAGACGAGTTCGAGTCCAAGTGGAATAAAGAGGCTTTGAGAGACCTATTTATTTACTTGGGTACAATCTGCTTTTTTATCGTCGACTGCTATCTTTGGATTTGGTACATTTCTACCAACAATCATTAGAGGTCTTGGGTATGATCCAGACATGGAGTGCTCCCCGGAAAGCTATAAGATTGACTCATTGACTATATCTAGATACTCAAAGTTGCAGGCCAAATATCTTATCATCCCGGTCTATGTCACTGGAACCCTGGTTCCTATTCTAGTGACATTCCTATCAGATCGGTTCAATAAACGCTCACTTTTCTTGTTAATCACACAAATTCCTCCAGTGATTGGATATTTGATTATTGTTGCAACACCGAGTGCAGGCGCCGGTTATTTCGCCATGTGCTTCTGCTGCTCTGGCACCTATTTTAAAAATGCCTTGATTCTTACCTAGGTCACCAAGAATCTTGCACCGTACTATAAACGATCTGCCGCTATGTCCATCTTTACTTCTTTGCCTGAGATCTCGTCTCTTATTGCTCCTCGATTATATCAGTCAACAGACGCGCCAAGATATCAGGTCGGAAATGGGGTATCGATGGAATTTGAAGCTGTGGCCGCAATCATTCTTTCGTTTGTGTACTTTTTTCCGAATTAGAGAAATGTGACAAAGCAGAATCTGCTCTCAGAGGAACAAACTTCTAATGCAATGGATGGAGATCGGGCTTTAGGTTTTATGTATGCGTTGTGAAGCTCTTCTTACTTAAATGCTTAGACAATATTCACCTATATTTCAATCCACCTGTATAATCACCTTTCCTAAATGCGAGCCCCCATACAGGTAGTCCAACGCCTCTCTTGCCTCATTAAATCCAAACACACGGTCAATCACAGGATGAACCTGAAACGGCTCATATACAGTCTTGATCATCTCCTCAGTCCTATCTCTAGGCCCGACATTGATCCCCTTAAGAGTGGCATTCTTTCTTATTAAGCTCAGGGCTATAGCTTGACCTGCACCTTTTCCTTGATCAGTAGTCCCCGATAGCACACCAATTGCGTTAATGTTCCCCCCTGCTGCCACGCATCGTATACTCTGCTCCATTGTCGCAGGACCGCCAGTCTCAAATATGATGTCTGCGCCCCTTCCGGCTGTGATGCGTAGTACTTCGGCGGCCCAATCCGGTGTGGTTTTATAATTGATTGTATGGTTTGCGCCGAGTTCACGGGCACGTTCTAGCTTTGCAGCCGAGGACGACGTGATTATAACTATGAACCAAAATTAGTAACCCAGTAATGGAAATCATTCTTGTGCTCTATTCTTACCAGTTAATCCCAATGCCTTAGCCTGCTGCAACCCAGCAATCGACACTCCTCCTGTCCCAAGCAACAAAACAACCACATCCTTACCTCGCCGTGGTCTCCCAATCTCCCGATCCCAGTTCAATGCCATCCACGCTGTAGTCGCCGCGGTAGGCAAAGTACAAGCTTCTTCGAGAGACATATAATCGGGAATAGCAACAATCCCATCTGCCGAAAAGACGCGGTACTCTGTCAGGACACCGGATCCCGGTATCCCGATTCCTGAAGCTGCATGCTCGGGAGTTGTTGGCCCTGTCAAATGCGTAGGTCGCATCAAACTCAAGACTCGATCCCCCCTTTTCCATTTTCCGGCGGCGGTGATGGAGTCGCCAACTTTCACTATTGTGCCACTAGCATCGGAAGCTGGAATTAAGGGTTGTGATGGAGTTGGATAGGAGTCATTGAAATCGCCATTTATTACTATGCTAAGTGTTAGTCCAAGGCTCTCCACTTTACTTGTTTGCTCAGCTATGCATACTCTTTGCATCGCGATGATTCAAAGCTATGCGATCAATTTTAACGAGGACTTCGTCGTCTTTGATTTCGTTTGGTTGTGGTACTGTGTTCAGCTGGAGGCTGTGGATGCCGTCCATCAAAGTCGTCCATTGTTTCATCTTGAATGTATGTCCTTCCATCATCTGAATGTGACAGTGAATCCATCACTGCGTGCTATTTGTATATGACTACTGAGTCTTTCCAAACAACATCATGTTGGTGCTGACTAATTTCAACATAAAGTCTCCGTCTCGCGGGATAATTGAGAACGAATGAACCTTAGATTTCAATGTTGGTTGGTATATCGCCAATGATCCGCCCTAAGGTTATCATCGAAGTAATTGAGTAGTTATATGTGTCTTATGATCAACCATGACAGGCGGCTAAAAGTATATGCGCCGGTCTTGTCTTTCTAATCCTTGCACATAGGGTGGATTAGCCCTAACTTGAAGAGATTTGTTCGGCAAGCACGCTACATCAATATGCAGGAAAGCTCAGGCCTTGCAGATCCTCTAAATTCTATTCTGACTATATGGGCATGTAATTTTGATTACCTACTACATACGTATCGGCACTGTTTTCTACTGGAACATGAGATGTGTGAACGTTGCTCCAAAACAGGTAAAATTGAGAGCTCCGGATAATTGCCTCTTTGGGCGCCTGTTTCTTCTTCCGGCGGGGTGCTCTGGCCAAACCCCTCCTCGTCTTACCCCAGATAGGAAGGCAGCTTGACATTTGTAAAATCAGAATGGCCTATATAAAGACTAAATTAATCTCCTCACGTATCTCTCAACGTATGATAGAAAGACGTACGTGGAGGAAAGTTCAATATGGCCTCACCTAGCGACATCCGCGACGTCACCCTCACCTCCACATTCTGGACCTCAATGCAAACCCGTTCTCGCGACATCACAATCCCAGCAATCATTCACGCCCAAAAATCCTTACAGCATTGGTACTGTCTAACATGGAAGGAAGGCCACGAGATCAAACCGCATCCGTTCTGGGACTCGGATATCTACAAAGTCACAGAAGCGGCTTGCTATTTCCTGCTGAAGAATGATGACGCAAATTTGCGACAGGAAGTTGAGCAGGCTGTTGATATGATTCGTTCTGCGCAGCATGAGGACGGGTATCTGAACTCGTACTACACCGTCAGGGACATAAGCAAGAGGTGGACGAATGTGAGGGATATGCATGAGTTGTACTGTTTGGGCCATTTGGTGGAAGCCTGCGTTGCGTACGAGACTTTGACGCGGAGTGGACGACTTTTGGAACCAGTCATGAAGGCGTTGAGACATGTCGATTCGGTATTTGGGCCCGAAGAAGGGAAACTCCATGGGTACCCCGGTCACCCGGAAATCGAGTTGGGATTATTGCGACTTTATGATCTCACACATGATCCTTTACCTCTCAAATTGGCAAAATATTTTATCCTGGAACGAGGCCAGAAAGACGAGAATGGTGAGATCTTTTATGATCATGAAGCTAGAGCCCGAGGAGGTGATCCATATGATCATATGAGTGCAGAATTGCCGAATCCTTACCATTATCCTAGGTACTACGAATACCAACAGGCACATGCCCCGATTGTTGAACAGGATGAAATCAAGGGCCATTCAGTCCGTGCAATGTACTTTGTCACTGCAGCCACGGAATTGGTTCGTTTGACTGGTGACGCTGAAGTCAAAGCAGCCCTTGACCGTCTGTGGCGAAGCACAGTCGACAAAAAGATGTATATCACCGGCGGTATCGGCACACTACGGCAGTCAGAAGGATTTGGCCCAGAATATTTCTTGAGTGACACCGAAGAGAGCCATGCCTGCTATGCCGAGACGTGTGCGACTTTTGCCTTGATCGTATGGTGCTCCAAGCTATTGCGCCAGGAGCTCAGGGGTGAGTATGCCGATGTTATGGAAGTGGCTTTGTATAACGGGTTTCTGGGAGCGGTCGGTCTGGATGGCAAATCGTTCTACTATCAGAATCCACTGAGAACGCTTACTGGGCGAAAGAAGGAACGCAGCACCTGGTTTGAGGTCGCTTGTTGTCCACCAAATGTTGCAAAGCTCCTGGCACAACTCGAGACGTTGATTTATTCTTATCAGCAAGATCTTGTTGCTATCCATCTCTGGATTGCGAGCGATTTTACTATCCCGGAGAGTGAAGGCACCATCGTTTCACAAAAGACTAATCTCCCCTGGTCTGGTGACATTGAGCTCAAGATATCAGGACCAAAAGCAGTGAGACTTGCACTGCGAATCCCCGATTGGGCAGCATCGAACTATACATGTTCGTTATCAGGTGGTGACCTCAAGGACGGATATCTCTATCTCCCAGCCGTGACCAACACAACCATCAACTTGACCTTCCCTTTACAACCACGCAAGGTTTATGCACACCCCAAGACAGGCAAAGACGAGATATGTATTATGCGCGGGCCATTGGTCTACTGCATTGAGGACGTTGACAATTCCGGCGTTGACATTGATCACATCGCCTTGATCGATGGCCCTGTGGCCGATGCCCCGGCCGCAACAATTGCTGACGTAGAGGACGTGGTGACTGTCAATTCGCCCGGGAGGGAATTGGTCAATACCAATTGGTCATCGTTATACAGTTCTGAGGGGTGGAAATATGGCGAATCGACTAAAGACTTGACCTTTGTGCCATATTTTCTGAGGATGAATCGGGGTGGTAATGGTGGGATGAGAGTGTGGGTGAAGAGGATATCATCCTAACTCGTCTCCGATGTTTGTCAGTAATATTAGACGTACACAATTAAAATGGACCAAATGCTTTTGCTATAATGATTAGTAAAGATACCACATATGATACAGTTGCTATTATTTGTAAAGATATCATGAAAAGTAATCATGATTTTATCGTCTATATGATGACCCTTCACTCATTTGTTCGGCTGATTTTTTGATATACAACTCGACAACCACTTGAAAACTCCAAAGCCTTCCGTACAGTCACACCGACCTAACGCACCTGGATGTAGAATGACTACTCCTCCGACCAGCACTATACCAATCTCATGCAGAAAGTCGCAATCATGCGTGCTTATCGCGTGCTCTGGATAGTCCTCAACTGGAGGGAGTGATGTCGAAGCTGCTGCTACGGCTGGAAATCAAAGACTTCATCAATTATGATCTGGGTGAGTAGACAGAAGAGTTCGTTGATGAGCTGATATTAGCAGTCAAGGAAAAATCAAGCTAGGTGACGACAACAATGCGTCGTCGCAAAGTGGGAAGACTTTTCTCGGACGTGAAATCTTTTATTCACCGGAGGTAGTCAAGGGAAGTTGATCACAAAGGTCGTAGACTGAAATATGACTTTTTGTGACAATTTAGTCAATGCCGATGGATTTCCTTTCCGATCTGAGTATGGGATAAGGAAAATGAAAGATAGAAGCCAAAGTCTAATTCACTCAAATCAGAAAAGTGGAACATCAGACTAAAAGACACCCCTGAATCTTTCCAACAATGGCCTCCGCTGTGATTGCCCCGACGATCCTTCCACACCACTGCTGGCACCCTGTTGAGCAGCGGCAGCCGAAGCCGCATCCAGTCGCCTTCGCAGATCTGCATATCTCTCGCCATCCTCAGCATCACCATTTCCACTAGCAGCAGAGGAAACGCCTGCAGGACGCCTAGACTCTTTTTCTCCGACTATCCAAGCGGGCACCCTCCAACTTTTAGATCCTGGCAGAATATCGGCCCTCCATGCAGTTCCTACGGCCCAGCCGACAAAGGCGGGTAGAAGTGATGCCGGGAATTGCGACAAGGCTAGCTGAGCCGCAACGAGGTAGGTCGTTGATTTGTCAGAAAGCAATATTGTTAGCGAACGTTTGGAACTGTTGTTGGTATTGTCGTTCTGTGACGTGCTAGGTTGGCGGCTTATGCTTTCACCGGTTGTCGAAATGCGATATTTAAATGTATGAGGAATTGACGCGTGGTATTGCGCCAGGAGAGCAAACATGACCGCAGTAGGTCCGGACGGCAGGTAGTTCAACGTACCGAGCGAAAGAGGGCGTAACACAAGGGCGAGAAGAAGAGGTGTGATGATTGTAGTGTACGGTAGGACGGCCACCACGAAGGTCTAGGAATGCATCAATTACGTTAGCGACCCCGTTATAAAAAGTTTTATAGACCAAAGTACTCACGGCCAACTTCCTAGGCCCCCAGACTCTCTCTACCACCCGCATATGATACGCTAACATTGCGGCGAACAGAACTTCCGTCGAATTGGCATACCCTGCTACCTGCCAGAGGAAGACTCGTGAAAACTGTCCATATCGCCATAAATGAACATCGACAAGAATATTGGCGAGGTGTTTGACGTCAAATATTGAAAGAGCGATTGACGATGCGACTATGTAGATGACGAGGGATTTGGAGACCGGAGCATTGGTGAAGCCAGATGACAACATGTTTGTATGGGTCGTTATCAGGAATTCGACACGTATTGTTCAGAAATTGTGCGACTGTTGTGGATTGGCTGATTTCGTTTGTTGTATAATGAGCGGGGTGATTAACGCGATGGTAGCGAAGAGATGATGTCGACGTGGCGGTTATCGCGAGAGTCGCAGCTATATTACTCCATGAGCAGCCACACAGCGAGCGTATTGTGATCCAATTGACCGTTGGAGCCAAATATAATCAGTACGCAGCAAGCGAGGCAACAGCCCAGAGCAGTAGATGAATTGTGTGTATCTGCAGGGTAGGATGGTGTATGAAGATAGGTCAAGCGGAAAAACATGTGACTTTGAAGACTCCCGCTTCGGATGATTGCATCAGACATGCGGATAATCTTTCCCTCAACCCAACATCAACAGTGCATCGTCACTCCCGGTTTGGGTGCACATTCTACTTGAACATATTGATAATATTCTGAAGTGTATCGCCCTTATGTTTCACCTTGCTTGCCGAGTCTATCCCTACAGAGTACTTCTATGTGAGATACTAATCATGTCTGCTGTCAACAAAATCGATTGACAAATTGTCATCCAGACAAAAGCGCCAAGCGCGCCAACTTGACTGATTTTTGAGTCTGCTAAGAATAAGCAGGAGCAAAGCCACTCAACAATCGAGCTTGTATTAATGCGCAGTCTGAGGTCGAGGGCTTGGCGACACGGGACAGAATGAAACAATTCGCAACACATCGTGGCTATGGCATCCGGTTTGGTTCGTTTCGGTAGTGTTTCCAACGGGAGATTCTGCTTCGCTAATTGCGTTCAGATAACCTTTGCAACTGAAAGAGACCTTAGTGGGTTTGCTACCTAGCATGATGTTATCCAACATTGTGAGAACAAGAGGGGCCGCACGTAGTGGCCCTTGGTGCATCCAATCCTTGGTGGATGGGACCAGTTATCAATTCCGGCCCAACTGAGGAAGCATGGAATTGCCCGGCAGTAAAGAAGAAGAAGCTGATAGGCTCTTCGGGTCACCTACCCTACACCCTGCAAATAGCACGATTGATGTAGTATCGGGTTACCGAGGAAGCAGGATGAGCAGAGCCCGGACCCGTAAGTGCCGTCACCGATATCTATGCCCTTGTCTTTTCAAGTGAGCACCCATTACACCATTCGTGGACTTATGTTTTATGCAGCAATTAATTCGCGTCTCAGGCTGGAAACCTGCGTCGATCCACAACGCTAATGCTGCGTATTTAACTAAATATACTTTATGCAGGATCCCTGGCGATCATCCGCGAAAATCATTCGTCACTCAATCCAATCACCACCACTAAATGAACCATCCGTTTAGATTCTCCGGTCTAGATGCTCGCATTATCGTTGCCGAGCTTTCCTCCGTCATCGTTGACGAATATGTCTAAGGCTTGCACTTCCCTTTTCGAGAAGATGTATCGTGCTTCTTTCGCCTTCTCGAGATAGCCAAGATAAGACCAATGCAAGATAGACGGAGATATTTCGATAACAGGAAGCTCGAATATCCCTTCTGCTTTGGGTTGCAGTTACAATCCTTTCGTATTGACGCACGTTTCAGAGCCCGCTGTCTGGATAAAGGCTTGGTATCTGTGATTCTGCAGATGGTATACATTCGCATTCTTCACGTGTGTCAGATGCAGTAAATCATTGCTGCCTGACGGAGTTTCAGTGGGAAGTTATGACAGAAAGTCAAACAGCGTATACCTGCATTGCTTGAAAATCCAGGCAGTGTAAGTAGCGTGTGTAACTGATCTGCGTAACAGGTCACATAATGGGCCGGGCGTCGGTAGGGATGTGATTTGTTCCCCTTGCCCGGCTCCCTATACGATGGCAGCCCCTCCAATATTCGTATATAGTAGCCATCACAACCTCGATTGTCATGCAAAAAGTTGTTACTCATTTTCATGAAAGCTTCAGTATCGATGATAGGCATTACGTCCCGAGGTTTCCGAAGTAGTAAACCTTCTTTTTAGTTTTCATAGCAATTGCGGACTTGCCCCTTGTTTTCTGGATAGGAGCCTACTAGCACGAGAAGAATGACTAGATTCGATTCGACAGACGCCCCATTCGAGGCATCAGCCTCTTCATCAATAACAGAGGCCGAACCACCATATCACATCCTCTCCAAAAAGCAAAAATGGAATCTCGTTATCTTTGTCTCTCTGGCCGGCGCCTTCTCACCTCTATCTTCCAATATTTACTTCCCTTCAATAGCAACCATATCCCACGACCTAAATGTGGATTCATCCCTAGTCGCTTTGACAATCACCGTGTACATGGTCGTTCAAGGGCTTGCACCTTCTCTCTTCGGCACTTTCTCGGATACTTGTGGTCGTCGGCTCACGTTTGCGATTAGTCTTACCATATACACGGCTGCAAATCTGGCTCTTGCTTTTACGTCGAGTTACCCTATGTTGATGGTGCTACGAGGTGTGCAGGCTGCAGGTTCTGCGGCGACTATTAGTATATCAGCTGGCGTTATTGCTGACATTGCTTCTCCGGATGAGAGAGGCGGGTTTATGGGGACGAATGCTGGTGTGCGGTTGGTCAAGCCTTGACTTCGATACATCTTTCTGATTCATATCCCTGACTTTGAACAGTATGACCGGTCAAGCCATCGGCCCTATTATCGGAGGTTTACTTAACAGTGCATGGGGTTTCCGAAGCATATTCTGGCTGCTTTTCGTCATGAGCGTGATTGTCCTCGGTGCTCTTCTTGTGTTCCTACCTGAGACACAACGCAGCATAGCAGGGAATGGCAGCGTTCCTCTCTCCGGCTTCCGAAAACCATTGATATACATCCTGAAACCACCTCAAGCATGGCAAGGCGAATCCTACACAGACCCGAAAGCAACAACAAACCGCGCTTCAGACCAAGCCCGTGCCAAAATCTCCTTCAAAAAAGCCTTCGCGCCCATGGTATACCTCTTCGAAAAAGATATCGCCGCACTCCTAGCCTGGGGTGCCGTCGCATACACAGCCTGGAGCATGGTGACATCCTCCACCACAACGTTACTCCTCCACAGCTTTCCGTTCCTAACGCAATGGCAAATCGGTCTCTGTTTTCTGCCAAACGGACTCGGCTGTATCTGCGGTTCTCTCAGTACAGGCTGGCTTTTAGACCACAGTTTCCGACACGTCCAGGCCCGTTTCAAGGAGGAGCACGGCATTCTATCACATGAAAATGTCATTAAAAGATCCGATTTCCCTTATATAAAAGCTCGTCTTCGTCTCGTGCCGCTGTTTAGCGTCATTCTCATGGTCTCTCTTGTCCTTTACGGGCCGAGTTTCGAATTCAACGACTTGCACAAATTTTACAGCCCTAATCTTGCGGCGCCGCTTATACTTCAGTTTATCATCGCGTTTACGGCCACGGCGATATTCAATATTAATTCTACGGTGTTGATTGACTGTTTTCCAGATCGGCCTGCTAGCGCCACTGCACTTAATAATTTGTGTCGTTGTCTGTTGGGCGCGGCCGGGGTAAGTGTTATTCAGCCAATGATCAATGCTGTGAGAGCCATGAAGGCTTTTTCTATTGTGTCTGGGGTGGTGTTGTTGTGCATGCCGTTGATATGGGTCGAATGGAAATGGGGCGAGAAATGGAGGCAAGAACGAGAGAAGAGGCTAGAGGCTAATTAATTTTTATTCTTACGTGAGGAGCTTGGAACTGCTGCACAGAGTTTGGAATCGAAAAAACGAATGTTTAGTTGGAATTGAAGATTAGATGCGAGTTAGGGTTTCAATGACCTAGCCCTAACTATATAGATACATAGACTTTAGATTGAAATGTCATGAAGGCTTCTTAGATATGACCATTCCCTTGTACAGAGCTTTTACGCATACTCCAAATTCAACAAACTGACACCCTCTACACTCAGTCTTCCAATAAACCCACTCCGCCGCCTCCGCAGCCATCCCATTGTCCCCATTTAAAAAATGCTGCAGCGTCAACAACAACCATACAACCTGCTCCGGCTCCTCCAATTGCGCCAAAAACGCTTCCCATCTCTTCGCCAATTGTGCCGGAACATCCACAATCAATTTTACAGCTGCTTCGATCTGTTGCGTGTCCATCACCAGAGTGGGTATCGATTCGACGCAAGGGTCAATGATACCCGATTCTGGATTTGGAAATTCGAAATCAGCAGGCAGAACGGCGCACAAGGGGTCGAAAATTGCGCTTGTTATGCAGGATGAATTGGAGTTAGTGGATGGGATGGATGTTGGAAGCGGGGTGTTGTGCCAGTCGCCTTTTGGGTCACCGAAGGTGACTAGGCCGATGAAGCTGTCGAGGACAGGGGAGGAGACTTGTTTTGAAGTGCTTTGTGGGCGACGAGGGCACTTTGTCTATTTCAATATCAATTGTCATGGACTTTTTTACAAAAGGGGAAGGTGTTGGGAATAGGTACCTCCATCCCGAAACGACTATCTCGCTATCAGGATACTGCGCGTTGTGCGCCGTGACACTGTCCGCCATCGATGAAGCGCCGTTGCTGCTACCGCCTTCAGCTAGATAGCCTGACAGATCAACTGCATGAACATCTGCATCACCACCCTGTAATGTCACAGAGCCTGATACACCGGAGATCTCGCGGAAAAATTGAGGTCCGACCCAATCGCCGCTATTCGCACCCATTCAACAATCTTCTTGAGGATTTAATCAAATGAAAGGGTGACTCGAATGTCCTCTGGCATAGATGACAGCTAGAGATGCGCAATCTGCGTCGCCATTTGCGGTGTCGAGCATGCCATTCGCAGTGTCGTTGAGGTTTTGGCCTGTTACGGCTGCTGCGAGGCCTAGAGCTGCGATAGTTGGTTTCTTCATTTTTCTTCTCTCCCTCTAACAGTGATTAAGAGTTGATAATGTGGCCACGTCGAACACTACGTACTCGTCGTCAATCTTGAGAAGGATCCGGATGTAGGATTGGGGCTACATCTAAAAAAAATCGCTTGTTCATTGATCGTCTAGTCAAATGGTGTCCAAATGCATACGTATATTACACCCAAATAAAAGCATATCATAATGCCATAGAATCTTCTCTAGCAGATATAGCCGTCGCCTCCGCCAACGCTTCTTTATATTTATCAACCGCCAACTTGAGCGCCGATATAGTCGGCGCAAGTAACTGATTAACCACTTTCTCTCCACCGCCGACGCCAGCTAGATTGACACGTATTTTCTTGCCTGTTGCTGCAAAGACTTCTCTCGCGTGCTGTTTCAGTTTGTTGATCTCTGTCTCTTTCTCGGCTTCGGCGTCTGTTGCGACGGCTTTGATGCGCTCCATAGCACGGTTGAGGGATTCCACAAGTGAGGCGAGTTCGCCGGCGCGTTCCGGGTTGCCAGAAAGAAAGGCGTTCCAGAACTGGTTAAGAAATTCGGTAGTAGTGGCGTGTGTGAGGGATAGACGGTCAAATAATGTAGACGACAGACCCCATGTACCCGAGTCCGAGGTCACGTCTGCCTGTGCTCGTCGTTCACGGATAATAGCAAATATTTCACTTGAGGCTTTTTGCATGTTGATTTTCGATCCTACTACTTTGCTAGCTTTGGTCTCGTCTTCCTCGTCGTCTTCATCTTCGTCCGGTTCAACAATTTTGCCCAGATGAAACGATCCATCAGCTGGTAAAGTTTGGTTTAAATCTGTCTGTAAAGACACTATAATCTCCTTTGGATCACGCTGTGCAAACAATGCCTCCTTCTCCTCTTTTCCTTCCTTCTCCTTATCCTGCCCGAAGAATCGACTTTGGTCGCGAATATTCAGAACAACGCGGCTTTGTTCTTCGTCGCCCTTAAGATCTCGTAGTAGTAGCTGGTTATACGTCTCTTCATCCATGCCAACCGGCGCAGATGGATCACCGTCAGCAGGCGCCACATTAGCCATGATACTTTCACTCAATGCATTCAAAGTCCGAATGATAGGGACTTTATCAATTGAGGCAGGCCGCATATCGAAATCAGGCCTGTTTCCCTGTCGTTGACTGTGGTTGACCTCATTTCCCGCCAGATCAATGAAATGCGGTACCTGCGTATCTCGTACTCGATCGGCATGCTCATCAATTTTCAGATATTTATCTAAAATCGCATCCGTAGCATCAGAATCAGATATACGTTCTCCTCGCAGCTTTTTGAATAGCCGACTCTGGAAGAACCGCGACCAAAACTGCTGCTCACTAAGTTTTGGGACATTCTCATCGTAGACCTTCTTGACCAAGGGGTGTTGATTAAAGATCAACTGGATTTGCTCCTTAGTAATATTGAGTTTCGTGACGTTGTTGTCTGTACGCGGTTTCAAACTCGATAACACATTATACGAACCCCGTGTCTGCGCTCTTTCTATTGCGTGTGCCCGCAGTAAATGGACGCGACTCGACCAAAACTGCGACGCAAACTGGCCAACCGACAACGTTTCCGGTCTCGTGCGAAGCGACTCCATGAACATTCGTTGCAAGTTGGCATCAGACTTGAGTAAAGACTGCTGCAACTCGGCATCCGCCTTTAATTTATCATCATTATCCCAGATCGCGAGTCCCGTGCCCGAAGACGAGATTGCATTCGCCATCGCCATCGCTGCCGATAATCCTCCTCCGCCTCCTTCGGCGCTTGGTGTGCCTGCCCCGATGGCAGCGGGTGCAGAGGCAGCTTTTGCAGCTGCAATAGCGGCGCTGAGAATATCCTTGATCCCATCTGCTTCGGGGCGGGCGTTTGCGCCAGACGTGAATGTGAAGACGTATTGTTCTTGGGTTTCATTTTGTTGCGCGAAAATTCGGAGCATGACTTTGGGGTTGCTTGCGGGGGTTTGTTGTAGGTCTGCACCATATCAGCCACCATTCTGTCATTCTCCTCGTGGAAGGAAGCTTGAGAACGTACTAGTCATATTCTGCACGGGCACCGTCACTGCACTCCCAGCACCGCCCGCCGCCGGAATCCATGATATCGACTTGTGATCCTTGGCAACTGTAAGAGTGCCATCCTTCTTTTTGTACGAAGCCGACGCAGATCGAGTAGCCATTTTAAGTTGGAGCTCAGCAGAGCGGTTTCACGGTACTGGAACCGGATTTTGGACACTGCTTCCCCCACCACCACCTTCCATCGGAAATGTAGCTCTCGTCGATATGTGACAATGCGAAGCTGTAGATTAATTCGTAGTCGTGATTTGGAGTAAATATGGAGCTGTAAGGGTGGTTGTGGTTGGAAGATGAAGTTCGATGTCTAAGGAAAGAAAGAATTATCTCAGTGCCTAGAACGCTCTCCGTCATTTCGATAAAAGTCACGTGCTACGTCTACAGAAGCCAAAAAAAATATTATATTACGAAACTAGAGAAAACAGTTTGAATTATTATGATAAGACTTTTTGGTAATTGGTGAGAAGTATATGACAATATGATAACGCTCTGTAGCGATTATTTTTGAATCATATCTGCCTGGCCGCTAGCAATGCAACAGTATATACACTTTTGATATCACAGCAATCGTTAACAAATAGCAAAAGGAGAGAAGAGAGTTCGAGATGAGAGAAAAAAAAAGCCGCTAGCACGTCAAAAGCTATGCAAATTAAAATCAATCGTTTCATCGTCGAAGCCTGCAAAACGCTCGATAATCCTGCAACTCCTGTTGCATGCAACAATAGACCACAAAAAAGGAAGTGAAAAGAAATCACTTTTTAAACATATAATGGCCATATAGACCTCCAACCTCGCCAACAGTGACAGGAATCTTCCTCATTCCCCACCATCGAGCTCCCATCTTCCACGAACGCGATCCATCGTCGATCATCCATTCGGCGCCTTCAACTTTGATGGGCTCTCGGACGTACCAGCCTCGACGACCAAGTTCTCGCAATGACCAGCCGGTTGATTTTGCGGACTTTGTGCGGTCGCGAAGAGGAGTGATGAGCTTCTCGCCTAGTTCGACCACCTCTAAAGGAAGACTTCGTGGGGAGACAAGCACGCATAGTCTAGGGTTGAAAAGTGACTGTAGAGTAATGGAAGTAACTTTACTAACGTCCAGATAGTGGAGGGCTGATGGCTGCCAGGACTTTTCAGACTCGAGATCTTGAGGGACGAAGAATGAATTGATGTCGCTAGCCGACAGGTCGGCGCCGCTGAGTCCTAACTCTTCCAAATGCTTGGTCAGAGGAATCAGAAGTGGCACATGCTCGGTAGTGATTCGTGCGCCGTTCAAGTTCAAAGATCGAAGAGTCGATGGCAACACTGGGAGGAGATTGGTAACGTCATCTGATTCGAGAAGACGATAGCGGGAAGGGTCAGTCATCAAATTGAGATAGACCAGCGATTCGGTAACGGCAGGGKGAGTTGCTAAAAAGTTGACAACCTGCGAGCCAGATAGTCGCAAGCATTTAGACAGATTCAGGTGTGTAATCTGAGCAGTAGTCGGCAAGGATAACAACGCCGTTTCAGTAACCTGTGTCCGCCCAAGATCCAAATGAGTCACATTAACCAGTCGTGGAAGCAGCTTTTCAAAAATCGCAGACGGCAACCCACTACACTCGTGCAGAGAGATCCTTTTCAACTGCGGCAGAAAGAGAGGGATGGTAGAGTTCACTGTAAATGCCTCCATGAATCCCGTCGAAAAAGTCTGCGAAGAGCAACCACAAAAGTCGACAGCCCGAAGCTTGGGCAACCCAGCAAATATCTTTTGCACCACCGCGGTGTCGATATCCGTCTCCAAATGCTCTTGGAAAAGACCTTCCATCAAGTTCGGAAGAAGATCCAAGCATTGCAGCAGTGTCTTTGAAGTCAAATTCTGTATTTCAGCGTTCATTTGCCGTGTCCGACCAAGTCCTACCGAAGTAAAGTGCGAGAAATCCAGGCGACGGACAATAGTCCCTAGAGCCGGGAAGTGAGTGAGGTGTTTGAGCAGTTTTGAGAAGATGACTGAGTGAGGAACGGTGATGTTGCGGTAGAGTACGCTCAATGTTGCCGAGTGGAGAGTGCGAGATGTCAATAAGCAAGAGATAAGGTCGACATTTCGGGGCGTGTAGCCATTTGGTGGAAGTTCCACAGCCAGATATGATATGACTTGTACTACGTAGTGATGTTAAAACGTGATCCATATATTTATATCAGCTCAATCACTTACTTAGTACTTCAACAGGTAGATCTTCAATAGTCAGAGCCGGGCGTTTCTCCTCAACTTCCACAGGCACTTCTTTGATCGTCGGACGTTTGCTCGTGGTGTCCCACATCCACCCCGTCGATGAGCTCCTTTGTCCCAACATACTCAAATCACTATAACTCTTGCTCATCTTGCGGCCTCCCAGACGAATCTGCTTCCAGCCCATGAAGCCCCCGCAGGGACAGCAAAAGTCGGGCATTTGGTCGACGGCGGCCGTCATGTCGACGAGATGTGCGTTGTCCTCTGATGAACCTTCTTTGGGTCTGGTAGTATCCAGAAAACTCTGAGCGATGCCTTCAACGTCTTCCTTGACAGAGCCAAAGGATGAGCGTCGAACACGACTTGAGGATCTAGAGCGTGACTTTGACGACTCTCTTTGCTTGATGTCACCCTTGACTGGATGAGCTAGTGCTAGAGGAGAAGAATGGGATGTGCCTGGAGAAGACACCATCTTCGCGGGCGAGGGAGTCATCGGATCCCCTTTATACACCCAGCGCAGACGGGAGCAAGCGGCGTCACAAGCCAATCAGATACCAACAAAACCTCAATGTACCCCGGATTTTGGTAAAGTTTCGACCGATCACCGAATTTGTTGTGCTTTGTGCGAGATTGTAGGAATGCTGAAATAAGGGGAAGAGCAAAAGAGGGGCCGCAAAGTTCTAGTTGCAGCAGAAGAGTTGGGAATGGGGATGTTGTTAGTCACAGAAATCGTCGTATGGTACAGGGAAGTTGCCAAAGGTAAGCACGCGGCTGCCGTCGGACAAGTCGCAACCCAAACAAGGAGGTACCCTAATATTAATAGAATGGCTGTCTGATGACGGCAGAAGCTCAACGTTCTTTTCTGTGACGAGGCGGATTATGGATCAGAGCCACTACTTTGTTATTGAACCTACGGAGTATGGGCACATGACTGGCCAAGCCCCGATGACTCAACTTCAAGATTATAAGTTATCGTGAGATGCTCTCAGAGATACAAAGCCGTCCGAGCCGTGATGAGACCTTCTTTGGCTGGGTTATGGTCAGCAGTTCTACTTATTCTCTTGCAAAACGCAATTCGCCTCTCTGATAGTCAGTGTGGCTGCCAGGGGGGCAAAGAGTGAAAAACTTGAAGGATGGCAAACTGATCGGTCCACTTTACATCTTTGTGGGTACAATTCGGATAACTCTCTATTTTTTTTTCTCAACATCCAAATCCAGCATACATTTTCCAACGCATTAATACTACATCATAGGAGGATTCCAATCGAAACCGACCATACTTGCTAGCTCTTGAAAATTAGGGAAAAATGAATAAGAGAAATAGAGCAATATCAAATCACATCCCAGCCATGCTGAGCGTGCATTCGTTGACTAACAGAAACCGTTGACGACAAATTGCATCAGCGTGTCGAATATTGTTACATAAGGGCTCTGTGCTAGCTTTGTGTAGCACGGCTGTCCTCAAGGTACGGTGGAGTGTGCCATGTGTGGGTGTACTATGTAGTACATATTAGAGGTAGAGTAACCGCCATCCGAATATCCGACAGCTACCCCGGTATTGTACTGTGGCAGTCCCAACATGAAGTACGTACATAGTAAGTATACCAGGACCCAAATGCCAACGTGGTACCTACTGCCCAGCAAACCAATACGTAATATCCAGCCACAGAAAAAGAAAAGACCACGATCCACCCTGCATAATTCTAGTGCTATTGCAGTACACAGTAATACTTACTACGTAGTATTACCCCAGAGTTCAGGCCCGGCGAGATCCTTGCTAGCCGCCCCGACAGATGGAGTACTTTACCTAACGAGAACTCGCTGTGCCAATACTACCTACACATGCGCCGACTTTTGTCTTTCGATCCAAGATTTTGAGCTGCCAGAAGAAAATCTGATCGGCCTCGTGACTTGGTCGACCTACTGAGTTCGGCCGTAGGTCAGGTCCAAACTTCGTAACTTCAGAGGGATCAGCTGACCCGTTTCCGCTGTTTGCTTGTCTACTGCCTAGTACATAGTAGTGCCCTACCAAGGGACCTACCAAAGGAACTTATGGTCAGCCTCTCCGCATATTCGTCAGGAGCTTCCCCATTCGTCTACTGTCACTTTACTAGTCATTAGGCAACGAATAGGTTTAGGGCTTGTATCGGAAGACATATCCATTGATCTACATAGTAAGTACACACTCATATCGATAGCTATGTAAGCAAGAAAAGAATTCATTTAACTCGACCTGTTCATTCATTCTGTACCACCATACACATCTGCACCTGTCGCGTATATAATGTAGGTAGGAGACTATCGAGCCGACACTCGGCCACGCTTCATACTCTCCTTGCACTCCGTGCAATACCATTTCACTACACCAGTTAGCACCACGACTTAACAAGAAAAAGAAGAGAGACGTACCATTTCGGCCAGGCGGCTTTGCCAAGCCCACGCACGACAGGTGAAACCACTCCGTCGGACAAGCATCATTGTCGCACGCAACCATCTCTCCAAAACTGACCTGGTTGCAATAACAGTACCGCGGCTCACTCTCGTCGTCCTCATCGTCACCTTCGCGCGACGATTCTTCTTCTTCCTCCTGTTGCGCGATCTTGGCCTTGTACGCTGCTGACACGGTGCTGTTGCTCTTTTTGTGAGTGTTGCGTTTCGTTGTTGCAGCCGTCTCAGAATTGTTGGTAGCGTTATTGTTGCGCGAAGAGCGGGCTCGCGTTTGTGATTCTGCAAAGGTAGATACCACCGGGGTCGATGTCTTGGATGTGCGTCCCTTTGTAACTCCAATAGTGGAAAGTGCAGGCGACATCTGCACCGCAGAAGTGATAGCTTCCAATGGCTTCACCTCGGACCGGTCTTCCTTATCAAGTGATGGGGTCGGCTTGGTCTCCAAAGCATCCTTTCTAATATTATCTCCAGGAATCAGTTGGGGCGTTTTCTCCTTGGCGGAGTCTTCTGTCGAAACGTTGACCTTGGCATCCATTGGTTTGTCTACTGTTGCCGAATTAGAATTATTACTGAGGGGAACATCTCCAGATAGAGGGAACGTACTACTGCCATTATTTGCGCGACTAGAAGCTGAAGGTGGGCGTTGCCGCGAAGTAGCCTGAGTCGTAGCTTGTTGAGCGCGTGAAGATTGTGGTCGAGGTCCTGGACTGGGGGCGCTCCTGGGAGGATTGAAAGTTCCAATGACGGGGGGAGATGGCGCCAAAGGTGAGTCCACGGCTGATGTAACAGTATTGTTCCTGTAACCAGCCACGCAATCAGTAAAGCACATATTCGACTTGTAGATAAACATACCTCTTGCGACCAGCAGTAGTAACGGCATTCGGCGCTCTTGCCCTCTTCTTAACCTCCATACCAGCACTATCCTTGGACGCCGTACGCCCATTATTCGTTACAGTGCTGGTGGAACGTTCCATTGCAGCACTACCTGTGTGAACAGCAGCTGGTTTATCCACAACCCTCCTCCGCTTTGGCACAGGAGGAGCGCCAGAGTCCACACCATCACCACCAGCAGCACGAGCCTTTGCAGCAGCATTCTTGCGCTGTGTTGGACGTGTCTCATCGAAATCCGAATCTGCCTGATTGCGACGCGGTTTCCGGACTGCTGCGTCTCGGCGGGCTTCGCTTCGATGCGCTGCGACGTCTGCCTCGTGTAGAGCTTGAACGAGGTGCGATGTTGCTGTGGCAGCTTCACGACGAGGGCGCTCGGTTGTGGTCGTTTTGGCCGCCGCTTTCGCAGTAGCACGATTCGAGTAGGCCCAGTGAGTGAGGCTACCCAGTCTGGCCTCATCGCTGACTTCATTGAAGATGAACGGGTGGACGGCGTCGAGCCGATACAATTGGTGGTCGAGCTCCTCGTTCGCATTCGTCAAGACATGATTTTTCTCGTCCGCGGTCAACATGAGGTCGGACAGGGTGCGTCTGATTCGATCGAACAGCAACCGACGCTGTTTGCTTTCTTGCGACTCGACATTTTGCGCATCACCCTGACGAAACCAGTCAGCTCGAACGAAAAAGAGAACGTGTAAATAAATAGATAGATAGAGACGTACCAAAGTATGAGCATAATCTCTGACCTCCCCATCCACAATCGGCGCCGGATTCTGCGGAAAAGGTACCGGTCGCGAATCCGACGCACTCAACAACAACTGATATAAATTATCCTCCAACGCCCAGGCCTTGGCATCGACTTCCTTCAGCAGGGAATTATGTCTGCGAAATTCTCGCGGCAATGCCGTAATCGCATCTGTGAAGTGGGTGAGAGCTGGGAATAGGCCGTGGGGGACGTTGTTTGCTGCTGATTGTCCGGCACCGTCGCTGGCGAGTGAATGCCCTTGTTGGGAGCCGTAATAAGGAAATGAGCGAGCGGCGGTCTTGGAGACGCGAGATGGGTTTGTGCGTGTTTGACGGGCGGTGGTGCGAGAGCCTGGAGCTTGGGAGAGGGAATTGCTGGCGGTCGCGCCGTTGAGAGCTGAAGCCATGCCGAGCGTCGAGACAGTGAGCTTGGAAATGAAAGTTGGTTAGATCAAAGTGAAGAAAGAGAATGCCAGATAGACTCAAAGACAAGACAGTCCCATGCTCTTGACTGACTCAGAAAACTCGACAATCCTGGGGAGATTTCCGAAGATGCGAGACGAAGAAAAGGATTGTCATGAACGAAGACGGACGGCCGGCCTCATTTGCATTGCCGCATGCCCGTGTCCTGAAGCGGTTAGTCCCGCGATAAGCTGTTATCAGTCTTATCGGCATCAACATCAGTTTTTGGAAGATAAATTGTGATAAATTGTCATTTCCAAACCATTATATTAGTTTATAAATGAGTGTAAAAGAAGCGATGAATGGTGTATAGGAACAAATAATACAGATGCATTGCTATTACAAAGTAAAATGCTGAAACAAAAGAATTATCCAGTTTTACATCAGGTATCCCGACATTGGTTCACCGTTCTATAGAACAAAAAGGCCCGGAATCAGGCCTCACCATAGTTGCACACAGATTACTCCCCCTTAAGACGCTCCTGATGCACGCTAAAAGCATGCTCTAACAAATCTTGCTCTTCCTTGACGTGGCTGGCCTTGAGACCCGTGGCGACAGAGGCGCTAGGGGCACGACCGGCGTACATGACGTGGCGGCGGTTGTGGTGCTCAGTGGCATTGAGCAAGGTCTCGATACGGGGCTGGACGAAAGACCAGGCACCGGCGTTGAGGGGCTCTTCTTGAGCCCAGACAATGTCCTTGGCGTTGGGGTAGCTGTCCAAGTTCTCCTTCAACTGAGCCCAAGGGAAGGGGTTGAGCTGTTCGACACGAGTGATGGCGGTGTTGCGGATGCCATTGGCTTCACGATGCTTGGTGAGAGCAGCGTAGACTTGACCAGAGCACATAATAACACGCTCAATCTTCTCAGGCTCGTCGATAGTGGTACCGTGGGCTGAGTCGGGGATGATCCACTGGAAGTGAGACTCGCCAGTGAATTCCTCAATGTCGGAACGAGCAATAGGATGACGCAACAAGGATTTCGAGAAGAAGATGATGAGGGCTATAAAAATTAGCGGGGTTTTCAAATACAAATGAAGAGAAGGATGACTCACGTTTACGGAATTGACGGTTGATCTGACGACGCAGAATGTGGAACAAATTGGAAGGGGAAGTCATGCAAACAATCTGCATGTTGCAGTCCTGGTGCTGACGGTCAAGCTTGTCAGGCGAAGGGAAGACACGAGGCTCCTCGTTGGACAGCTGCAACCAGCGCTCCATACGTCCAGAAGAATGCTCAGGGCCCTGACCATCGTAACCGTGAGGCAGCGAGACAACCAAACCAGAACGCTGCAACCACTTGACTTCACCAGAGGCAATGAATTGATCAATGATACACTGAGCGTTGTTGGCAAAGTCACCGAACTGAGCTTCCCACATGACGAGGGCATTAGGGGAAGTCAAAGAGTATCCGTACTCGAAACCGAGACTATAATCATCAGCACTGACCTAACTATGAGACAGAGAAAATACTTACACGCCAAATTCACTCAATGAAGAGTTGGAGATGACAAAGGTACCTTGGTCTTGGCTAATGTGCTGCAAAGGAGTATAAGTAGCCTCAGACTCCTGGTCGTGGAGAACAGCATGACGCTGCGAGAAAGTACCACGCTCAACATCCTGTCCCGAAACACGGACGTGGTGACCCTCCTTGACCAAGGTACCGAAAGCGAGAGCCTCGGCGGTAGCCCAGTCAATGTTCTGACCCTCATCAACAGCCTTCTTTCGGTTGCCCAAAATACGCTTGAGGTTGCGGTGGACGTTGAAACCCTCAGGAGCTCCGCCGATCTTGTCACCAATAGACCTCAAGGTTTCAATGTCAACCCCAGTAGGCAAATGAGGCAAGACCTCAGTGGCCAACTCCTTGGGGCTCTTGAAACCGTTCCATGCAGAAGTCAACCATTCCTTACCAGTAGGCTGGTAGTCTTTGCTGCGGTCGAAGCTGTCGTTCAACATACCCCAGACCCACTTCTTGTGCTCGTCAATGTCCTCCTTGGTGAAGGTACCCTCGGAAATGAGCTTGTTGACATAGATATCGAGCTGGTTCTTCTTCTCAGCGATACGCTTGTACATCAGAGGCTGGGTGAAGGATGGCTGATCAGTCTCGTTGTGACCCTGCTTACGGTAGCAAACAATGTCAATGACAACGTCGCGCTTGAACTCGGCGCGCCAATCGGCAGCAACCTGGCAAACGTAGTTGACAGCTTCGACATCGTCACCGTTGACGTGGAAGACTGGAGCATCAATAGCCTTGGCGATATCAGAGCAATAAGGAGTAGAACGAGCAAATCGAGGATCGGTAGTGAAACCGATCTGGTTGTTGACAACAATGTGAACAGTACCGCCAGTGGAGTAAGCAGGGAGAGAGTGGAAGCCCATAGTCTCGTAGACAACACCCTGGGCAGCAAAGGCTGCGTCACCGTGAAGCAGAACACCCATTGCGGTGTTGAATTCTGTTTCGTCTCCGTTGTAGTGCTGGATAGCACGAGTCTTACCAAGAACAACTGGGTCCTCAGCTTCCAAGTGAGACGGGTTGGCGACCAACGACAACTGAACACGCTTTCCAGAAGGAGTAGGACGCTCAAAGTTCATACCAAGATGGTATTTCACATCACCGGAACCTTCATCGGAAGGTTCGGTAGAACCAGAGAACTCACTGAAGATAGACTCGTTAGGCTTTCGGACAACATTGGACAAGACGTTCAAACGACCACGATGGGGCATTCCGATAACAATGTCCTTGACTCCGTAGTCGACACTGCGGTCAATAAGAGCCTTCATACCGGGCACCAGTGTCTCACAACCTTCCAAACCAAACCGCTTGTCGTTGGGGAATTTGGTAGCCAAGAAAGACTCAAAGCTGGAACTCCAGATCAGGCGATCCAAGATGCGGCGCTTCTCATCGACAGAGTACTTGTATGGTTGAGGGATTTCGAAACGATCGCGGATCCAGTCGCAGGGCTTGCGGTCAGGGATGTGGATGTACTCGACACCGTAGGAACCGCAGTAGATCTTCTCGCACGCAGCGATAATCTCACGAAGAGTCATCTTCTTACGTGACTCGGTCTCGAATCGGGGCAGGATACCAGGACCAAGCGTAAACTCCTGGTCGAGATCTCTCTCGGTGAATCCATAGTGATCAAGCTCCAATTCCTTGGGTTTGTTGTAACCAAAAGCCTCTGCCTCGCCACGGATACCGAGGGGATCGGTCTTGGCTTTGTGGTGACCACGAGCCTGGTAAGCGCGGACGAGAAGTTGCACCTTCAAGTGGTTCGTCAAATCCTGCCCTGCGGCGTGCATATGCTGTGGCACACCTCCGACAGGGGTAGGAACGATGGTTGGGGGAGGTTGGAAGGCCTGGGAGATGGGCATGTCGCCATTCTCCATGTTTTTGAAGTATGTTTGCCAGGAAATGTGGACGCTGGAAGGATCTTTACGCCAGGCTAGGTACATCTCGTCGATATAGTTTGCGGTGTTTCCCTGGAGGAAGGAATCGTTGGCATCCTATTCAGGTCATCTCGCGGATTGCGCAAGATGCGCACGCGAGAGTCATAGATCAGCTTCAAAAGCTTCAATTGCTAGATGAGAACTTCTTCTTACCACTCCCCGCGAAGTCTCCTCCGCACTCTGCGCATATTCCCTCCGGCCAGCAAAGACCCGATCGATAACGGCCAGCGGTCTCCGGGCAGTCAATTGCAAATTCGATCGCGCACCAAGAGCGGCAGTGGTGGTCTTGGAGGTAGCAAGAAAATGAGATCGGCGACACGCGGAGCAGGCAGAGCTGGTGCTGCCACGCAGTAGCAAGCTACCGCTCGTCGCCTTTTTCGAAGCGAGAGCTCTCATCATCTTGAGAACGAACAATCAATAAATTCAATCAGAAGAAAAAGATAGCCGCGAAGGCATTAAATAAGGGGAAAGCTTCTTGATGGAAGATTGACACGCGGTAGAGTAAGAGAAAAGGTCAGGGTATGGGGGAATGACGGAGTGGAGAGGTGTGTATTTTTTCCTTTCCCGTTCGTCCCTTGCCCGACACTAGAAATCTCAACAACGACCAAAGAACAACACAAACAAGGATACACAATAACAAGGTATCTTTATCTTGTTTGGAGAAGTTTTGGTAATGATGATAATTAAGGGAAAAACAAGCCCCCAGAAATCCCAAGTAGCGAAGATCGGATCGATCCGGACGGGCCTTACTTTAGTTGGCAGGCGGAATGATGTCGATTCGGCTATGGGAGTCTATCTCAGCTTCCGTTCTTGCCGTAGACCCGTGAATATATCCCGACTTTTGCTTCCTGAGTCTAGATTGCGAACAACAGAGTTGACGGGTCGAATTTGCATTACTATGTACTATTTCGCTGGGGCAGAAAATATGAAAGGTCACAAGACTGCCCCTATATGTATTAAGTATACGTAAATGCCATACAGACAGACACTTGAGTCATTTGCTCCTCCTGCAGACGAATGATCCTTGGAATCGTGGCCATGTAACATCTACACAGAGTCTCAGATGATTGGTACGTAGAGTACAAAATGCGCCATTTTTTGTCCTTCTCCTGTGGCGCAGTTACGGCTTACATACAAGTTTCTTGTTATTTGGTGAATCCTGACTGGCTGTTGTTTTGTCTCAGTAATCGCGCTAGCTGGGTTCGTCACGTATTACGTTACTGGGCTAGTCAGAGTCCTACATTCTATGATTCAAGGCTGGTGAGGTTAGTGACCTATCAGTCTGCTTGGATGATATTATTATTATATTACTACTTATTATTTAGAGATAAATTCAAAACGACTACTGCAAATGACCACCATGATGTCAGATCTGCAAGTCAAAAAGACCTCCCCCAAACGCCAGGAAAAGGAGGTGAAATGGCCAAAAATATCGAAGGTTGATGCATTCGTCAATTCGTGAATTCGTAAATATCGAAGTTGTGATTATGAAACACTTGCAGTAAGTCTAGGTGGTATTGCCGACAGAGCTGCGTCTCTCGCCACCCGTCAACCTATCAAGCGTAAGCGTCGGGCTGCCAGGTAGACTCTGGCCCTCTGACAAGGGTGACTGGTTCATGTTACTGTTGTGGTAGTAAACACCACTAAGGCCACTGCCATGTTCATAACTTTGTTGAAATCCCATGTCCGGAGTCAAATCTACAGGACTGTCTTCAGGGATACTGAGAAAACTGCCTCGATTCGAATGACCGACAGGTCCAGGTTGAGGCGACAAGCTCCCTGTACTGCGGAGACTGCCGTTACTACCACCAAAGGCACCACGACGAAGCTTCATAAGTGCGCCGAGGGACATATCTTCTTCGTTGTATTCCATATCGACCAACTGGGACAGTCCAGGGTTCGGCGGCGGTGGCTGCTGCACAGCACTTGGGCCATGAGTGGTTAGGGAAATGATCGAGTTACGAGTACTCCATTCACTGCGTTCGGTGATTGGGGTCAAACTTGGTTCACGAAAACCTGCGCCGCCACTGTGACTGCGATTTAAGCCCCCGGCCCCTGAAGGACCAAAGTATCCACCGTAAACCGGCTCATCGATGCAGTTTTCAGTATTGGAACGTGCATAGAAACCAAATTCTTGTCCGTAGAATCCTTCATCATCATTCTCCAAAGCGTCTGCGTTGGCCTCTGCGATTATAAGATCGTCATCAAATCCATCGTCGTCATCGTAATTAAAGTCATCGAGAACCTCATCATCGAATCCCGAATGCTGGCTGCTCACACGGTTATCATCCAAGACCAGACCGGGATGTGAGTCTGCCAGCTGCGAATTACTTCCCTGGCCGAGTGAATTCTCACTCAGGCTAGTATTTCGTTGCAAGCTACCCGCAGCAGCCTCATCCGCAACTCGAGCCAAGGCACTGTGAAAGGCTTCCAGGTTCTGTTCAGAAAGCACACCACCAGGTGCTTTTGTATTCTCACTAGCACCACCAGTGGCTTTTGCTGGAGGATTCCCGTTTCGAAAATCCCAAGACTCCGGGCGAAACTCACTAGCTAAGCTGGGAACATGTCGGATTTGAGATTCTGTATTCTGCTGCTCATCCCCTTCTTGCAGAGCAATTGGTATTTTGGTACCGGGATAGAACTTGCGTTCGTATAATTGGCCGCTTTCTTCGTCAAATATGGACTCGTCAAACTTATCATTTTCTTCGTTGTCGGGTAGTTCGCCAAAATCTCCATCGTCATAGTACATGTCGTCTTCATCTTCTTCAATCAGTGGAAGCGGCTGTCCACTTAGGGTTGTTGTCAAATTCAATGTATTGACCACAGTTCCTTCAATTTCATCGTCACTCTGGTCAAATCCATCCTCCTCCTCCTCCTCCTCCTCCTCCTCCTCCAAAGACGTGTTTAGATCAAATGGCGCTGTCATATCTACCGGAACATCACTAACACTTGCAAGCGGAGTGCCACTAGCAGCATTAAACACACCCACCACCGAATAAGAAGGCGTAATCGGACTAGCAGCAATGGTAGGCAGCATCGGAACAAATGTAGATGGCTCAGAAGTCCTGACCACCCCTGAGAAATTCTGAAATTCGTCGTCGTACTCATCCTCGGCATCAGCGTTGATCCCAGGTATTCGCTCCTCGAACCCGTCATCATCTTCCATTGCGTCGTAGTCAAAGTCGTCATCATCATAGTCACTGAAGCTAGATCGTTCTTGTTGTGCTTTTTCCTTGCGCGCGGCTTCTTTTTCTTTGCCTTTTTCTTCTAATATTTTTTCCTGCACCGAGGACCCTACGCCGTTCATGTCGAAGCTGAATCGTGAGGCATCGCTTTTGAGACGGATGGGGATACTGGAGGCCTGGTTCGGTGCCACTTCAACTGATTTCCGTGGGCTGGATCGTGGCGTTTGCTGAATGGAAGCTGGAGGTTGCGGCGTTACTGAAATAGTATCTTGACTATCACTCTCATCTTCGACCTCAACAGGCTGTTGATGTTGATTATCATGCACCGGCAAGCTAGATGGCAATCTGCGCGCAAATTCAGGCAACTCAACAATATCGTGATCAGCATCAGTAAGCAACGATGACTGCAAAAAACCCTTTTTTTCTATCTGCAAGACTTTGCCATCTTCTTCAAAATGTTCTTTGAATACAGGTGAATGCTCGCTATGCCGTGTGACTGCACTTGACGGCAAGCTGCTCTTCTTGGCAGACTCACCACTACCATCTCTTCCGGCTAACTGCGGACGTGGTCGCGGTGCAGAAAAGTCGTGTACAATATTTCCACGGATTCGAGGATCATAGTCATCTGGAATTGCAGGTACCAAATTCCGGCCTCCCAGGCTACCTTCGTCAACGCGTGATCCAGTATTTTGCGACGATCTCCGCCGTGCCAGTAAAGTCATGGGATTCAAGAGATGACGTTTGGTCTTACCATGCTTCTGCTGGCTCGTATGTTCTTGCTGTGACTGTGGTTGTACTTGTTGTTGTTGCTCATGATAGTAACTATCCGTCCTCAATTCCTTCAATGTAACCCCTCCAATGAACCCAAGCTCGCCATCGACATTCGTATTGATCCGTAGATCCTTCCCGACAGTCTTCCTAGGATATGCACCTCGGTGATCCTCAGCCTGATTGCGATTGAAACCCAATCTCCATGATCCATTGTTCGACCTGTGCTGCGACTGTACATCCGGTTGAACTCCATATGCGTTCGACGACGGCGACTGAATCGAGTCCACCGCCAACAATGACTCGTCATTCTTTGCCGTGTTCCCTGGACTCGAATGAGGGCGCACAAGGTTATCCGTTGACGTGGTAGACGGTACTCGAAGGTTATTATATGAATGCTGCGAGCTCAGAGCACTTGATAAGCGCTTGTCTCCTGCGCCCAGATAGACCACCGAATCTGGCCGCTGCTCATATTCAGGCAAGTCGTGCGCATCAATGAACGTCTCACTCAATGTTGTCGGTGCTGGTAATCCTGGCAGACGCGGCGGGGCATTGGTCGTCGTTGGCGAATATGCTCCTCCCGTTGCAACAGCTCCAGGCGAAACCGATCCGGGGGCAGGGCTTGTTCGACGATGATCGCGACGCCAGTACGAGAAAACGGTAGACGGGGGCATTGTCGTTGTTGTACGGGCAGTTGGTCTTGTAACGCCCCCAAGACCAGGCGCTCGGTGGGAAAATGGAAACAATTGTCGCACCACTTAGGGTGTTGCTCATAATTAGATTTTCATTGTTATAAGAGAGTAATCGTTTGTGTCATGAGACAGCTGAAATATATAAAATTGATGGCTGCAAAAAGAACAAGAGGCAGATCAATGATGAGGAATAGCTCTCAGTGGCAGATTGTCTGGTGTTGTTGCTGAGCTAGGCCCACACGTGCTGACTGCAATGCAATCTATAAAAGAAGAACGTTCTAGAGGTCGTGCGTCAATGAGATGCAAGGGAAAAATATTGGAAAGAGAAAAAAGTGCAGTAAACCGCCGAATCTTGAATAACAAGGGAGAAAAATAAATTATAAAATCGTAGAAAAATTTGGAGGAAATTGTCAGGATGTTTCAGTTGTTTTTATTTATGCTCAGCAGACGGTAGGGCGGGCAAGAGCGGGCCTGCCCCAGAGAAGTTAAGATGCACCGAAAGAATGTAAACGATACGGAGAACTGAGACAGGCTGCGAGCTGACGCACGCTCATCACATACTGAATATATTAGAATTACTTGAAAGGGTTGGATGCAGACGGTTGAAGCTATATTAATCTATAACTCGCTATGGGCTTCTCTGTGACACTAACAAAACTGCTTTCCTGAGGTCATATACCATCCAAGAAAGACAAAAATAAAATTGCATTAGGGGGAAATAATTGACTCAAGATAGGAAGAAAAAACTGGGGTATGACTCAACATAAAAATCAAAAGACCACCGGGTACGCTATGCTGATGCGAATCGCTCATATGCGGCAAAATATCATTCACAAAAGAGATAGAAATCGTAAAGTAGAACATCTGCCAGTTGATAGGGGACTATCTGGCAACACTTTGGCGCCATCGATCAATGACATCGGCCTGTCTCGAGTCAACAATGTTTTGCTGCATCATTGCTGCATTATGTGGATGTTGCATGCCCCCGCCGTAAGCGTTCATGCCTGCTGCTGCACCGGACATAAATGCTGCATTGTATGGCATATTTCCGTAGGCCGGCTGGGTCTCGTAGCCAAGCATTGAAGGGTGGTGACTGGGGGTTTGCGCAAGGCCCGTGTGGAAGGTCATGCTGGGTGGTACTGTAAATCCGGTGGATAATCGTTGAGTATGGACAGAAGCTGGTCTCAAAGATGTCTGACGAGCGTGGGCGTTGCCAGAGACAGGAAACCCAGCGTTGGATGCGGGATATGCCGAAAGGATATCAGCCATACTGCGGCTAGCTCGCACGTTCTTCGATTGTGCCTGCGCAGCTTCGGCTTGCAGGCGCTTTCTACGCTGAGCCAGTGTTTCTTCCTCTTCTTCCTCACCTGCAACGACCTTTTCAGCCGCCTTGGTAGTCGGTTCCGGTTCTGGTTCTTTGACAGGCTCTGCTGGTAAAAGTTTGCCCAGTTCGCTCATGATTTCAGTCTCAAATTCAGTCGAGATGACGCTCTTTGTCTTGTCCTTCTTCTCCTGTTTTAGACGACTTATTCGCTGGGCAAGAGTCTCGCCTTCATCCTCGCTGTCAGATTGTGCCGCAGGGAATGACTGCAACTGTGTCATTGTGCTAGCGCGCTTGTTGGGCATCGTCGCAGGAATTACCTCTCCACGTAGTCGTGCTCGACGTTTACTCAACGGTTCGTTCTCCTCAAGCTCTCGGCGCTCCATGAGACCCAGAGGTCGGTCTTCTTCCGCAGGGTTCTTATTGCCATATAAAATGCCAAGCGGTATGTCTTCGTCATCGGCATCGTCGGGATCTCCAACGGCTTCAGCCTCCCAAGCCAGAGTAACATGTTTTTGTCGTCGTTTATTACTTTGTGCTTGAGCAACAGCGTCGAGCTGCAACAATGTCGAGTGCAATCCATTAGGGAATGCTTTAGCCGCTGAACGGTTTCGCTGTTTTTGTTCCTCTTTCCTCATCTGTAACTCTGCAAGAAGTGTTGTTGGGCGACCGAACAGCATTGACTCGTCATTGTCGAATCTCTCCGGCTCACTGGTACTATCTTCCTCCTCGTCATCGTTTTCATCGCTTGTGTGTTCCTCACTACCGTGTTCATCACTAGATTCAGCGTCCGACGAAGACTGCGAATGGGAACGATGCTCGTGCTCGGAACCACCGGGGTGCATTGGATCTCCCTCAGCTGCGTCTGTGTCAGAGTATGCGTGCAATCCTTGACCTGGAACGAAAAGTGCGCTTTCACGAGGGCCAGGACTTGATTTGATCCTATCTTTACTACCCTTCCCAGCCAATAGCCGAGACGCGCGCTTCTTGTCCGCCGATCCATAGACCTTGGCTCCAGCACTGCCCACAATTGGGTGATCTGTAAATGCAGAGACAGGAGCATGTGTAGAAGCATCCAGAATACTATCCAGAGTAGTAACTGCAGAGTGGTCTTTTAATTGAACTTCAAGAGATGCGAGATTGGATGATGGTTGATCAAAGAAGACACTGGCTCGTAGTTGCGGAGGTAGAGTTGAAAGTCTTTTGCTGACACGTTGTGCATTCATTTCCTCGACCTTGGCTTCCTTGTCTGTAGCGCTAATGATGTCCATCAACTGTGTGCGACGCTTCTCATTGTTGACTTTTGCGGACTGTTTCGAAAGACGCTGCGGGAGATTCAAGAATTTAGGTATGGGAGCTGGATAGTAGACCATATCCTTGCCAGCCTGTGGTTCTTTGTGACGTTCGGCGGATGTCGCTAGTGGTGGCCTGTTCAGTGACAATTGACGCGAGAGACCGGGCTCTTTTGGATGTGGAACGAAATGGACGCCATCGAAATCGAGGAATAGATTGGTTGCCTGTTGATAGGTATCGGTCGACTGCGCAGTCAATGGCCGATCAGGCACGTCCTGAAACGGTTCCTCCGGCGCGTAGGGATTGTGTAATTCGACCTCATTGTTGCGAGCATGAGCTGGCAAAGGACGTGGCGTCAAAATAGGAATGTCTTTATCGTCGAAATTGTCAACTGCAGAGGCTTCCATCTCCTCCTCGTGGCCTGGTTCGTGAATCTCCTGTAACGGCGAGGTAACGGAGGTTGACCGAAAGCGCGAACCTGAGATGATCGACCCACGCGGCGAAGTAAGAAATCCTCCTGGAGAGTACCCTCCTGAACGAGCGGCGGAATTTACAGCGATAATAGAGTTTGACAAGGAACCGATCGACATCTGACGCGTTGACGGAGAATCAGGACCCTGATAAGCTGAAGAAGCCGAAGAGCGTCGCTTTTGCTCGAGATCTAGCTTTCGGAGCTCGACCCCTATGTCGGAAGAAGTCAAGCTGAGGCGCTCGGCACTCTTCTCTAGCCTTTCAATGTTGCCGACATAAGCGCCTTGTAACGATTGTAAATCAGGGGTTGGGTGGCGTAATGGGATGGAAACATCGCTCGAGGTACGAACTAGCGGCTCCGGCGACGTGGATCGTGGTGCTATTTCCGCGCCGGTGGACAAGTCGGCGACCGTTGAAGTTTGGTGAGCGCTATTTGTCCCAGCCACTGGAATTGGTTTGTTTTGCTCGGTAGTCTCTTCATAGTCGTCGTCTTCGATTAACTCGTAACTGGATGAATGATTTCTGTCGCCGGTATTGATGCTGTCGATCAGATTTTCCATTCCCTGCTGGACAGAAGCGATCGACTCGTGTGCTTTGTGTCCCGAATTGGCAGCCTTGACAGATGGATGATCTGCGATATCTGAATCACTTGACTGGGATGCAACATCATTATCGTCAACCTGAGCAACAGGATTGTAGTCCATCGTGAGAGAAAGCACTGAGGATCATGCAAACAATGGCCATCAAAGCAGGAAAGGAAGTCTGTTCAGTGTTCACGACTGTGTTCGTTTGTGAGGGATGTTGTTCCAAGATAAGAGATTGTCAAGTGGCAGCAAAGATAAGCAAAGTGAACGACTGAATAATAACTGAAAAGCCAAAGCCCAACTCTTGAATGATTTACTCCTTCATTGTGTAGGCAACGCTAAGACCGGGGAGTTGTCAAGGACAAGTGCAAATCTAAGGGAGAGTTTTTGCAACCAACAAATTCAAGAATCTTGTTTATCTGACTTGGAAGGTGGTCACTCGTCCCTCCCGCGACATTCCTCGGTCTGGAAGGCCTAATAATAACAATGACAAACAGGCTCACCAATTGAACTGAAGGATCGACTGTACCGCCACTACATCATACACATCACTAAGAAATTGAGACATCGCTCAGAGCCCACAGCCCACAATTATGGTGGAGTTGTGTCCGGGTCTAGACTTGTGAGCCACACTCGGGCGAGCGTTGATTGAATCGGTACCTGGGCAGATTACGAACGTTGTGTAAATGGTAAAAAGTAAATTCTTAGATTATGCTATACAACATCCGAAAACAGCGTCGCACATCCAGGGGTTGATGCAGATACAAAGCACAAATAGCGTACGTAGCAACCCATCCATGCTCAGCTGGAATGAGAATGTTTCACCGGCCTGGTCACTATTTCGAGACATTTCAAGACATTACAAAGTTACCGACTCCACTACCCGAGGCTGGCTCCATGTATCGTAAGCTGTTACGTTACATGTGGAATAGTTACGTAGAAGCAAAAAATATTCTGTGATCCATACTACTACACTCTACATGGTAAAAGTGTTAGTCCCAGATAGATTGAAAGTATCTCCTTGGAACATCACTTTCGTGTTCCCATTGTTGTTCCATTGATTCTTCTGTTCCATGATTAGCCTTCCCCAAGTTGTTAATTAAAAAGGGCTCTGGCTTACCACTCGATATTGCTCCTTGGTGGCTTGCTTCTCCCATTTTTCGATAATTGCCTTGGTACATGCCCATGCGCTCGCAGAGGCAAATTCTCTCCACAGATCATTCTTATGGCTATCGGCGTAGTCGCTCACGCCCTTGACAACAAGCGTCGGAAGCTGGTCCCATACCCCGGCCGCCTCCATCTCGAACGCAATGACCTTTTCCGCCTTCGCAATTCTGTCTCGATGGATGCCAGACTTCATGACCGAATCGCTAGACGCGACTCCGCCGAAGTGGATGTTTGGCTCACTATGTGATCGTTCTCGAGAAATCGTGGGGGGGCTTCCAGCCAACAACTGGTCCTCGTGTACCCCGGGAAATCTGGCCGTCTCAAAGCCGGGCTTCTCAAGCAACATAGCAAGATAGCTTAACGTGGTTGCGCTGATATTCGACTTGTCAGATTCTAATTTCGCGAGGAAAGAACCAATCTCTGGCGGCGGTTTTCTTAGGTTGTCCCGGGTTGTGTCCTTCCTGTCGAAGCCCTTTGGGGTCCACTGTCCAAAGTCTGTTTGGACGACACTCGTACCAATAACCACGTCTCCCAGAAATATTCGCTCTTCGTTAGCACCCTCTGGCACTCCACCGCATATCCCAATAAGTAGCACGAGTTTCAAATTCCTGAACGTGGACTTAAGGGTAGATCCCGCCGCTGCAGCATTTACCTTGCCCATTCCAGGCAGGTGCGCCAGCACTACCTTATGCTGTCCGATTGACCCTTTGGTGTATGAATTCAAATCACCCGGTTCCTTGCCATCGAACTGATTCTCGCTATAAATGGTATGAAAAATCTCTTTGAGTGCAACTGCTTCTAGGGGAAGGGCGCAGATGATACCAATCTCGAAATCGGAATTTCGAGTCGCTTCTGACGCTTCTGCATTCATACCGTGATGTTTATTGGCGGTGGATCTTATGAGATACCCAGGTGAGAAGGATGGGTAGCCGGAAATTAAAGAACAAGGGGGTTGAAGGTCAGGCCGATTATCTAAGTTCGATTTATGCTAACTACCACTGGTCTTCCTTGTGGTCGATAAATTGATGTATTAGAATATTTGCGATATAAGCTATGATCCAAGAACCGAAAAGAGGCGAATTGCTCAAAGAATTACCGTCGACAGCCTTGCGATCAAGCCTCAGCCTCAGCCTTCTTCGACATTTGGATTGCTTGGTGTCTATTTACGGACCCCTGTTCGCCCGCGAGAACATTGCTTTTTTCGATGGGCTTCTGCACGTTCTGTTAGGTAGTCAATCAGGCGGTCACCCAGTCACTCCCAATCAATTCTAGAAAAATCTCAAAACTACTACCAAGTTTCAGAAAATCTCATAGCAACTGCATTTTTTAACCCTCAACCATATTCTCACAAAGAGATAGCAGAACCCAAGCGAGATATCACACAGAAGTCAATCAGGTATTACACAAAGTGGATTCAAGACTGTTCTCAGTTAAGGCGCGGGGTGTGATGGACTTGTGGACGCCACTCATTGTGTGAGACAGGGTTGCAGATTACAGTCCAAGTACGAAAAGGCAGTATTAGCCTATAGTTGACCTTGCCTATTTTGACTCTGGTTCTATTTGTGACAGCATAAAACGAGATTTTGATCTTCCAGGCAAGCTCTCGCTTGTAAGTGATACGGCGCCTCAGCACTAGATTATTCTTTTGCTTTCAAGAATGAGGTAGTGCATGTCAATATGGAATTAGAAGACAGTAATTTCGGTGCTGTTCATAATCATGGGGGTAGTTATGGGGTGCAAGCACGAGAATTCAACAATAATGGATCCATGACCATTAACATCACAGGATCCAACCATACAGAGGACGAAAAGAAAAGTAAGATATTACGATTCTAATAGCATCAAGTCCATTTCTAATCAGTCCAGAATGTCTCCAAACTCTATTTTTCAAGAATTACGATTTACGAAAACAAGGCATTTCAGAAGCATTCAGTAAGACCTGCAGCTGGCTCCTTGAAACGTCCGAGTTCAAACAGTGGCGTGATCGCTCCCATATAATAGAAGACAACGGAGTTTTCTGGCTGAAGGGAAAACCTGGTAGCGGCAAATCAACCATGATGAGCCACATCTCACATCATCTACAAGAATCTGAGAACGCTGTCCTAGTGGAACATTTCTTCAACGCCCGCGGGAGTGGCCTCGAAAAGACTTTTCTGGGATTACTTCGATCTTTAATTTACCAACTCGTGAGCGAAGTCCCGGAGCTTTATAGTGCATTTGTCCCCATCTATCACAAAAAGGACATGATTCAAGGACGGTGGGAATGGCGACAAAACGAGCTCAGAAACTTTTTGCGGTCTGAACTGAAACGCTCTAAGCTAAGAATCATCATCTTAGTAGACGCAATAGACGAGTGTAGTCTTGATGAGATAGCGTCGGTCGTGTCATTCCTTGAAGACTTAAGTTTGGACGCAGTGGAAGCTGGCTTCAATCTCCGGATCTGCTTGTCCAGTCGCCCTTACCCTAACATCAGTATGAGAAAGCACTTGGGATTTACTCTTGACGGCAACGCTGCGCACGATGAAGATATCAAAATATATGTCCGAGCTAAACTAAAGTGGGAAAATCTAGAGATAGAGAATAAGGTTCTCCAAAAGGCACATGGTGTCTTCCTCTGGGTTGCCCTCGTTGTTGCAATGCTCAATGAAGCCGTCGAACGTGGACGTCCCGAAGATATGCAGAAGACGCTGGAAGACACTCCAAGTGATCTCGACAAGTATTTCGAAAGGATTATCTTTGGCGATCCAGAAAAGAATCCTGAGACACTTCTCATGTTTCAACTTGTTCTATTTAGCAAAGAAGAGTTAACTCCTGCAGAGCTAGTGTTTGCTGTGATCGCCAGACTTCAAGAGGTCTACCTGAAACCCAGGCGTCAATCCAGAATGACTGATGCCATGCTGAAAGCCCGGATCGTCGATTCATCTAAAGGATTGATTGAAGTATATAGGGAGAGGAGAGTACAATTTATACATCAAACTGTTACAGACTTCTTTCTTCGAAACAGAAGACTCGAGAGACTTTATGCTACGTCCGAGCCAGACGCCATAGCCGSGAGCCATGACCGACTAAGAGCTTGCTGCCTAGACTATATCTTGAAATTTCCAATCGACTCTCAATCGCACAATGGCTGGTCCGCTGAGGAATTGAAAAATGAGTATCCATTTCTCAACTACTCCGCAATGTATCTATTAAGCCATACTGAAGCCGCAATAGAAGGTCATCAGTTGGGCATTGAGAGTGCGAAATGGCTTCTATCACCAGATCCTTGGTTCCAAACCTGGAAGCGCGTTGTGTCTGCCGTCGAGTCGACCTGGTATCTCCATGGCGATCTCAACGTCGGCTTAGTATACGTTCTCCTCCTTCATAATTTTCATAATTCTCTTGCGGTGGTCTTGAGGCGCGGTGATGTGGATGTCAATACCCAGGCAGGATTCTTCAACAATGCGTTACAGCTTGCATGTGCCCAAGGAAACCACAGTCTTGTTTCTATGATCCTAAAGAGAGGCGCTGATTTGAATGCTTCGGGTGGACATTACGGAACTGCACTCCAGGCAGCAGCTGCTCGGGGGAACATTCGCATTCTGAAAACTCTGCTTGAAAGAGGTGCTAAAGTGGATATTTCCGGGGGCATTTATGGAAGTGCTCTTCAAGGTGCCGCACATAATGGCAACCTAGAAGCCGTCAACCTCCTTTTAGAACAGGGTGCCTTGGTAAATTCCCAGGGTGGCATATATGGCAGTGCGCTACATGCAGCTATGGAGCCCCGAAAAACCGAGATTTTCCAACGCTTGCTACGGGCAGGAGCTGATGTGAATAGCTGCGGTAGGATATACGGATCTTGGTTGGATCTAGACGGAATGATTGATCGGTATCTTAAATTCGTCCGGTCATTTTCATTTTCATCTTCATTTTCACCTATATTGAAGGGTACAGCTTTTAGCCTTGAGAATAGTCCATCAATAGTTTGGGCAGCGAGAAATTTGGATTATGATCAAGTCAAGCTACTTCTTGAGAATGGTGCAAATGTGAATGCTGCCAGTGGGCCCTGGAAATCCGACGTTCCTGTGGTGTTCCGAATGGACCACACCGGATCTTTTAATTTCGAATTAGGTATGACAGCCCTGATCTGGGCAGCTCGAAACGGAAGGAGAGACATTATTGAGCTCCTACTGGAATATGGGGCTGATATAGAGGCACGTACATCCTCTGGCCAAACAGCGCTTCTAGCTGGATCAGAGGCTGGGCATGAAGGAGCAGTGAGGTTTTTGATCGAGTGTGGGGCTGATCCATTTACAAAGGATAATTCTGGACAGAACGCTTTGTTCAAAGCTGCCGCTAATGGTCATGTAAATGTCATGCACCTTTTTCTCGGCCACGAGGGTTTCCACGACATCCAGAATCAGAATGTGAGAGACCCCAATGTGATCAGATATCTAAATCGAAATATCAAAACAATCATTGTCAATGGCGGATTTTTCACATACCGGCCCTTCGACAACAGTAACTATTCAATTCAATGTCTGGTCATGAATGGGGGCTTTTTATACTATCAGAATAGCGTTTCTATTCAGAGCTTTCAAATCAATGGCGGTATCTGCTATTTTGATATGAATAATGGCCTCGACATTCGAAAGCTTGAGGTGAATGGTGGCTCTTTTCATTTGATGGTACATAGCGGGAATGTGCGTATCAGCAGCCTCGAGTTAAATAATGGACACCTATCCATTTCTGCACAGCGTGTGAATTTCGATGAAGTTTCATTACTGGGAGGGTCATTCATTTGCAATTCGAGGTCGAAAATCTATGCTGAGCATGTCAAGATGGGCAACACCCTTTCGCATTCTTCTGACAGACAGAGCACAGCAGGTCCACTGTCCACCGGTGGCCTGCCAGATATGTATATAGAGAATTCAAAAGGTCGGATAGAACAGTACGGAATTGCACGAACTGGAGAACAAAATATTCAAATCGACGCCGTGCTAAGTCCACTTGATGTGGCAGTCCAAAATGGCCATCTGGAGGCTGTACAGCTCCTTATTAAGTCAAAGGCCAAATTCGACAAAGTGCTGCCTACAATAACACCCTTGGATATAGCTCAACGACATGGTCATCGTGGAATAACTACAATTTTGAAAGCAGAAGACATAAAAAGGATAATGGAATCGAGGAGAAGAAGGAAGGAAGAAGCAGAAGACAATGAGAATGTAGGAGAATTGGAAGAAAGAAAGGGGCGAGTAGGAGACGATAAAGGGAAGGAAATGAGAAGCACAAGAGAAGGAGGAGAGGACACGAAGCAGAATAGCAATAATGAATGGCAAAACGGAACTGAAACAAACGAGAGAGACTGTCGGATACTTTAGCTCTAGGTTGATAATTGTGATGCCCTGTCTTCTGAATTGTTGCGTCAAACCTGTCAATAATTCGATATCACGAATAGGCAAGGATACAAGAATTTGTACGTCCAAAGTAACAACACTATGTACAAGCAGTCAATTTCGCATGGCGACAAATGATCGTGCCGTATTCCACCATAAAGCAATGATTCTAGTAATCGAGATAGCGAGCAAGTAAAATGCTGACAGGGACATCTTAAGCTATCACAACCCCTTTTTCCTATGTTTGAAAAATAAATGACACATATCGCCTCAATATCTCTGGATATATTACATGGGGAGGCAGCTCAAACAATCCCTTCTATAACAGAAAACGAAGAAAATAGGTGTTAAAAGCAATGAGCTAAGCTTTAACATTACATATACTATCAATGGTTCTCACCAACACACTTACGGTTCTTATACAGCGTCGCAGTATCAAGCACAGATCCATTGCGGCTCGCAACGAAATCATGCGTCAAGTGCGTGCAATTGTGGAACGTCAAACGGCTCCAGCCATACGCCGTATCCTGAGCGTATTGATTGTATTGCTGAAGGGGATAGACCAGACTGTCGAGACCATCGTAGTGTCCCGCAGCGCCGTTTGTGATGTACCAAGGGCTACTAGGGTTGTCCAATCCCTTAGGGTCAACGTTAAATTTGGCCACGGGCGAGTTTCGCTCGTAGACGTGAACGTGCCCGGACAGGACGAGATCGACGTCGTATTGCAGGAAGAGAGGCTCGAAGACTTCGCGGCACTCTTCGCAGATTGTGCTGCTTCTGTTGGAAGCGCTGACGTACCAGGGGCGATGGCCGGCTACGATAAGTTAGCTATGTATATCAAATCACCCCAAATCGGAATAAGTTCGGACTGACCAACGACAACCCATGGAGTCTTCTTGCGGTCTACGCTCGCGAGGTCCTTTTGCAACCAGTTCGTTTGCGCGTCTTTGAGAGTGCTGAATGGGCCGGCATCTTCAGCCTCAGGACCGCCAGGCTCATCCGGAGCAATCAAGCCGTGACCCAAGTCAGTCTCAGTGTCGAGCTGGATATAGTGCACCATGCCATGGTCAAATGAGTACCAGAAATTGCCAAGGCCGCCGGATTGAGGACTGGGCATGCGGAAGTGGTTGATATAACCGGTGAAATTAGTTTGGCCTGGCATGCAGATATCAACAGTGTAAGAGATGTTGTGGGTCTTGTCGGTGGTGCCGCCATTGTCGCCTAAAAACGATTAACATTGATAAAAGTAATGTGGTGCTAGGGCAGAACGTACAGTTCGCTTCATGATTACCGGGACCAACCATGTATGGCTTGACGGAAGTGAGGGGAGTAATTTCATCATAAAACTGGTTCAGAAGAGACTCGTAGACTTTATAGCCATCGGCAATTGTCGTGTTAGGGAGATATCCCTGGATTTCTTCCTTGAGCCAGTAGTCTGCGTAAGCAATATCACCCGCTGTTCATGATGTATGGTTAGCACAGAAGGTTTGAAGAGTGTGCACGAAGCGGGAGAGTTCGCGGACATACGGTGCCAGATGAAATCAATGCCATCAAGATGCTTTTCGATAGACTGGATAGTGTTGGTATCGTTAGGACCGAGCGGGTTTGCAGCGCCAGTTCCAACGCGTGTGCTCAACCCATCAGGTCCCATGAGCCCCATGTCCACAACCACTGCCATTGTAAAAGGCGTCTTGTCACCAGCACGGCGGCTCGTCCGGAACGTGTAAGGCTCGGTAGCGTTGCTGTGTTCTGGAAGATAGTAGTAAAGCGTATCCTCCTCCAAGTGCTCGAGCGTTACGTGGTTGTTGTATGTGGTTGATGTTGGGTAGGTGACCGACACATCCGATGATGCTTCGTGGATCAGAGCATCGGGGGATCGTCCGTATTGAACCATTGGACGCTCCAACTGCGAGTATGTGTTCCAACTGACAATCATTCCCTTTGGACCGGCATAAGCCAAGCGGACTTGCATGGGGATGATGTCGTCGCAGGCCGCCGAGCCTGGAGCGAGCAGGACAGCGGCAAGCGCGAAGCTTGCTGCAATCCTAGGAACGTTCATCGTGTTGAACATTTCGAAAACCAAAGGTGAGCTGTCAGACTCAGTGCAGATCGAGAGGCTCGAAGTCTGACCGGCTAATCGTGTCGCTTTATACCTTAGTACATCGAGACGAGCGTTACATCCGAAATAGGCATATGGATATGGTAAGCAATGAGCCCGAATACGAAAACTAAGCTCAGTCCCTGCAGCTTATCAAATATCTTCGATATGTCACTCTTCCGTACAGGAAATTGCCAGTTTGAGTAATTCTCGATAAACGTGCCACGCACGGTCCTCATATCTGATAGCTAGACCCTACTCGAAGTTTGTGTTGATCGTCTTCGTCTGCGGCTCGTACATGGCAGATCTACATAGTACATGGCACGTGGAACAAGGGCATGTCTGGTTGGTCGTAAATCGTCGAAGTCTTCATAGGCGCTTGCTTGGACGGTTTAGTCTCCACGGTTAGCCCGGATAGAAATTATGGACGAGGCTATCATTACTTGAAGAGAAGTTTTCCTAACCCGAGCACGAGCACGTGTACAGTCGAGTTCTGGAAACTACGTAAGTAACATGTAGTATACATATATAACAGTAGAAGCATGGGAAAACCGGCTTCATCGGGATTGCACCGATTTAAATGAATTGGCAAAACTTAAAACGAGCCCTAACGTCGGCTAAGTGACTCAGGTACCTGAGTATATACTTGTACATCACGGTCTATTATTTCGCTACCAATGTCAATTAGGACCAGGGACTCGAGATTACAGTCCACCGCAGGGACTGTACACGGTACAGCCACATGGATGTGCATAGCTCTATGATTGGCCTCTTCTTCGAGTAGAAATGTGATGCCTAAGGCAGAAAACGCGAGCTGAGTCTGCACGTGACGTAACGCGACCTGGATGCGCGAACCAATCAATCCTGCTGCGGGGCATCTCCAATCTGTTTGTCGCGTTCTCGACACAAGTATTACTACGTATATATCTGTCTGTCGAATACATTAAAAACACCATGTCTTACTACGATATTGATGCCATTTTGACGGATGCTCAAGTATGTGCGCAGTCGAAACTCTACAATGACAGCCCAAGCTCACTGATCACCTCAATGTACAGAAGCTCCCATGCACATTCGAATTGGAAGTACCTGGACTTGGGTTCCTTGAGGGGAATCCAGGCGAAAATGTGCGTTCCTGCGACGAGTCTCAACAGACAGTGCCTAATTCGACCGACGGTCACAGATCAAGACAGGAACCCAGGTAGACTTGCCGTTATGGCTCSGCGAGATGCTCTCTATCGGGTAGGCCGACTACACTCAATATCCTGTCAGACACGCGTCTAAATCAAACCACAGTGCTCGACTCGGCACATCGCGACTCGTCACTCTAGATCTACCCTCGGCGCTCTCCGAACGCGTCTTGAATGCCCTCAAAGCAGACCCTCGAACCGTCGACCTTCGATCGCTGGCGCCGCATTTCTATAGTCTGGGAATAAGAGTATTGGAATTGTTTGAAGCAGATAACATGGCGGATATCTTGAGCGATGTACGTATATTCGAATGCTCGTCATCTTCACTGGGTTGCTGACGGTGGTGATTCCGCAGACGTTCCGGAAACGAGCATCGGAAATCGCAGACCACGCGCACAACTCACGCGGTGCTTTGGGTGAAGGAGTCGAGTTCTTGAGAGGGTTGGACGAGACCGAAAGACAATGTAAGTCCTCTTCTTGCCCAATGATTACGAACAGATTGACTGACAAACGTAGTATTCCGCATAGCTCACGACAGCGCCAAGGAGATTCGGATCTGGTCAGGCGAAGCCAAAAAGTCAAAGTAAAGACAAAGTCGGTGGTGTATCTGTTGCAGGTTTGTTTCATGTCACGACGTCACGAATGGAGTTGGAGTGTTTCTGTTATACCAGTGCCATTAATTGCCATTGATGGTGCGATGGATTGGGCGTTTCGTCATTTCTTGGTCCATGCGGGGGCTAGTCCAAGTTTAGATTCTTTGTTCTCGTCTCATACATAATACTATGTATGTAGTACGTACAATAACCGTACATCGATTGTGTTTGAGTTGATTCGATCTATCATAGTTTCGAGATGAGGCACCATTGTCGACTCCATTACATAGTAAATGTATAAAGTCAATGTATCCGAAGATTAAATGGCATACTACGTAGTGAAGAGGCACAAAAAAGGGCATTCCCAATGAGGCTTAATGCAAGGGGTAATTCGAGCCAGCCACTTCTGCGGGCATTCTTCCGATTGGGCGTCCAGGCCACTACTGCACCGTCTTTCTTTTGCTCTCGCAGACACCCCCAATCACCGCGTCCATCCCATATCAGCTCTATCACCGTCCAATTACTGCCTCGGGACGCAGACCCGTTTTCGAAGTCTAGACGAACCATGGCGGCGCTAGCTTGTGTGATTTCCTGGTACGCTTTTTCACTGACAGAATCTTAACGGAGTCCTTCCTCCTGATTGCCGACTCGACTCGTCACTGTCGCTTTTCAGCTTCAATTTTCGCTGTTGCGCCATACTAATCGTCCCTCGCTTTGTTTTTCGGACCCCACCATGCTGGTTAAAGTATGCTCAGTCAATTGCATACATCTGATTCACGTTTAAACTCAATTTACTCATCGGCGCACTCTTTTGTCTGTACTCGAAGCACCCGTGCGGAGTATTCTCTTCTTGTGTGCGAACTCACCACCCCCTCGCATATCTCCAACCCCTTTATGTCGACTTCAATGCGCTTTGTCGTCGCCCTCGCTGGACCTGCCAATCAATAATTGCTTGCGCACTCTGTCTGCAGGCAATTCGAGGCACAAATAACCTCCGACACTGGCTGCGTCTGTGGGCAAAGAAAAGTGCTGCAGGACGGGGTCCCGCCTTCCGATTTATTCGATTTTCGCTGTGTACCTTTAAAGCAGGGCCTCACCTGCAACCTGTGGGACAAGATGAGTCTCTTCGATCAGAGACGCAGGCCCTCTCGCTCTCCTTCACCCTCACTGTCGCCGTCACCTTCCCCTCTACTGCAGCGCATTCGTGGCGTGTCGCCAACACAAAGGACCTCCTCTCAGCGACGAACACACAGTCAAAGGCTTCCTTCGCGTGAGTTCCTTTCTGAACATTTACTTGTTTACGTCACACAATACTAACAGTATTCTGGTGCGAAGGAACCCCTAATACTGCACACTCACTTCGTCATTCATCTTCCCGGAAGATCTCTCGCAATAATCCACCCCACGTCAATCATAGTATGTTATGAAGGAATTTCACTGTCGTGCTTCGGATGTTGATGTTAATCTGTATTCATTCTAGACATTGCAAAATCACAGTTCGCCATCATGAGCTCCCCAAGCTCACGTCCCCAAACACCAGATTATGAGAACTTTCGTATGCCTCTCTCTATCCCTCACTCTTTCACTGCACTACTAACCGTCATTTACTACAGTTGGCACTGACTCCTCCTCCCCCTCCACCACACTCGTGAATCCAGTGTCGAGCTTTCTTCAAGATGCGATCGAAGAACGACGAGCAAGTCGGAATACCAAAACTCCCCAGCCCTCAGAAATTGTTGATAATAGACCTACAACCTCGGGGTCGCATTCCAAGTCACTTGTGGCTAGTCGCTCTGGGAAAGAGAAAGAGAATGAGCGATCCGATCATAAGAAACCGCAAGACATGGGCCTGCTTGCAACGAAAGAGGTTTGCCTCCTCTCTGTCAGGGGTAAAGTTCTTGACTAACGAGTTTTGATAGTACATATCTAAAATAAGCAAATTAAATTTCGATTTGCAAATGCGGATTGCCCTGCGCGAACAACAGCTCGCCACCTTAGAGAGAAAAGTGGAGCGCATGCATCAGATAGAGCAGGAGTTGGAACGAATGCAAGGCTTAGAGGATGAGTTGCACCGATTACAAGCGGTCGAGGAGCACAACCAACGATTGCAAGAAGTCAATGATCAACTAAAGTCAGAAATCGACGTAAGAGACCAAGCTGTCCGCGAGGCTGTGGACTTGATTGATGAGTTGGAGACAAAGAACGAGGAGTTACGAGCGGAGTTACGAGCTGGTCGTGGGAAAACATCGCTACCCAGAAATGGTTCCACCGATGATGTCTCTGAAGTGTGCACTCCAAAAGCTCAAACCTTTGTCGATATTCCGGACCGAACGTCTTCAAGAAAGGGAACCGTCCGTCGGCCACGCAAATCCCCTTCTTTCTTGCTTGAAAAGAGCGGAAGCACCGCAGCTCTACGAAGCGTCTTTCTGGCCGAAGAAAACAAATCGGTTCGGTCTGTCAGTGCCTCAACGATAGCTACTACTGTTGACTCGAAGGCGGACCCACAATCACCGAGACTGAGTACGCTCAGCGAGTGCAGTGACTTTTTTCCACAGCTCACAGCTACTGGATTTGACCAATTGGATCGCTTGGATGTACTTACTCTTGTCAACAACGACCACTCACCTGTGGTCGCTGCTCCTACAGAAAATCTTTCACAGGGCCGCCTCTCTGACCGAATCAGTGAATGGATGCAATTCGACGAGCACAGTCCACGACGTAGAAATAGCAACAGACCACGTGCTCTTTCTGATGTATCTAGAGTCTCACAGGTTCCTATTACTCCTCTAGACGAGCCGTTTCAGCCGATGCGCAAGACGAGACGTACTCAACGAGCGAGCCCACGTCAACAGCACTTGGCTGATTTTGGAGGCAATCTGCCACCAACCCCAGATACGATGAGCACCTTTCGCCCTACTTTCAAGAACGGATCAAATGCTAGTCTTCGCATGGATAGGTCATTGAGTCGGCCACGTTCTGCTGGCGAACTCACTACCCGAAGTGCTAGCATGAGCACACACTCTGATGGTATCGATACTGCAGCAAGTGTGATTTCGCAGTACAACGTGCAGAACAACTCTATCGCTCAAAATTCGACCTTCAAATATTACGGCAGAGGTTCGGCCAAAACCACCCGCGTGCGAGGGCCCGGAAGTCCAATTGATCCCCGAATTAGCTACCACGGCGGGGATCTGCTTTTTAACGAAGAAGTGATTGAGAATGCTGTCTCGGACATGGATATGACGCGGGCTTTGTCTCTCAAGGCTACTACTCCTGAAGCCTCTGGTGAGTCGTTATACGCTTCAGCGTTGACGCCACAGGATTGGCTAGACGCAGCAAAGCCAGAACAGGAAAAGAGTAAGATGCAATATTCTAGTCCAGAGCTGGAAACAGACGAGATGTCGCTTGAGGACAACAATCCCATCGAATTTACGACTGAGGTCAACACTCCGCGTAACTCACCGCTTCGGCTTCATGCCTGGGCTAACGAATCACAGCCTATGCCGGAGGTGCAGCAACATCGCAGGCGATTATCACGATTCTTCACTCGAAACCGTCAGTCAAAGGATGCACAGCCGGAATCGGTCCCTACGCCAAAAACAGGGCCTTCGCCCATTCCACAGAAAATTGTGCTGGTTAAGCATCGGCGAACAAGCTCAGGACCCGGACTTAATTCCGACGAAGGTACCGCTGCTATTGGTCGTGCTTCTGGCCGCGCACTGTCAAAGTCGCTTTTGGATCATCGTCCCTCGACAGCTTCGCGGCCAATCACCTCTGACAGCGCTGAGCCGCGCAGCAAAGGATCCGGTTTGTTGGGCTGGATGAAGAGCTCCGCCTCACACAACAAGGATAATGAGCCATCTCCCAGTGGCCACCTACGGTTCGCTCGTTCTACAACAGAACGGCCTCAATCTACCGCCAGCCTTGATGTTTCGAATCTTGGTCTTGGTCTTGACGTAGCGGCGCCTGATGATGAACCTGCCTGGCGAGCCCGAAGACGGTCTAGAAGGATGGCATAGACTGTACCAACCACTACTGCATCTTGTTCCATATCTACTCTATCACCACCGACCACTCATTGACAATAGCCAGGTGTTTACACACGCTTGGCTTCACACACACATGATACCCAAATTTGTACCAATACCAAACTCTGTTTCATGCACAACTCTTTCCCTATTACTACCAACATCACTTTCTTTTTCATATCAAGTTGATGCTGTTCTTGCCTATATGTTTCATTACTATCTTGCCACTACTGGAGAAACCGTCTCCATTTCTCTTTGTCTTATACAGTCTCTATCTTTCTTTCTGTCCTTTGCTTCCCTCTGCTTATCAGCGTTCTGATACTTTCCTTGCCTCCGTGCTACGGGCTACGACTATACTTATGTCTTGCATGTATATATTGAGACAGCAGTGATGTATGAATACAATTGACAATGCTTCATCATGGATACACGAGAAGTAGGAATGACCTAAATAGTATGATACGGTATATCTTCATTAAAATTATGTCGTAGGAATACCTACCTCTGTGTACTAGACCTCTCCTCGTTTCCTTTATATGTACTACGACTCAAGCGTATCAAGCAATCCATCCCACTCAACCCTCAGCTCCTCCATCTGCCGCCAACACTCCCTCCCCAGTTCCTCAAACCTTACTTTATCCTCTGCAGTCGCAACCTTCATGCCCCTCCGCCTTCTTCTCACTCTATCCGCCTCTACGACATGTTCTCCATCAACGACGCCGCCATACCCCCACCCATCCGTCTCGGTACTAGCCACAAGTGGCCGTCCCCAAAAGTCGACCGAAGAGCCCCATTTCGCGTGTCCGCCACCTCGGTCCCGATATGGTTTCTCGGCTGCGTCGAGGGTTGATTGTGGACTCAGCGCGAGCCAGACGAGTGAATTGGCGCCTGGGTACGGGAAGATGGTGTGCCAGGGCGACCCTAACCAGCGCGCAAGATACATAATAGCTACAAAGGACCAGTACAGCGGAAGGATAAGGGGCACAATCGATGTGCCGCAGACGCCTGGGTGGCTGAGATATGTGACAGGCGCTGCTGATTCTGCATCTGTTCCTGTTTCTGTTTCTGCTTCATCATCGGCGGACAGAAATTTCCGCACCCATGGCGCGGTACTCGGCAAATCTGACGTCAAAGCCAATATATCCGTCAGCGTCTTCGAGCTTTCATACGACACGTCCGTTCTCAGTCCCTGTATGTCCTCGACATCAAACGACTCGGCCCTCGCCTCGACACTACCAACCCAAATCACGCGTCCGGGACTCTTCGACCGTCTAAGTAACGGCATCACATTATGAGAAAGCATATAATGCCCAAACACATTTGCGCAAAACACCGATCCCAATGGGTTTTCCTTCGGTGATTGGGTCTGTTTCGGGACCACCATACCGACGTACCCGAGCTTGAAACTCGGCCACGTTGCGGCGTGGAGTGTATCGGTCAGCACATTCCAGATGGCCACGGGCCAGTTTATGCCTGACCAACCACCTATGCCCGCGTTCAGGATTATGGAGTCGAGTTTGGGGAAGTTGCGATTTAGGCGTATGGAGAGCGCGCGAATGGAGGGTAGATTGAGTAGATCGACGGTTTCGGCGAGGATGTTTATACGTGCTGCGACCTGAGTTCCGAGACGGACGGCATAATTTCGCATGTCATCTTTGAGCGTCTGGACTTGCGCGGGTGGACGGCGCGTGGTGAATATGAGGGTTAGTTGTTTGCTGTTATTGGCCGGGTCTTTGGCGAATTCGTCGATTAGGCGGAGGCAGGTTGAGTAGCCGAGGCCACTGTATCGTTTTGCATGCGATTAGCTGGTGGGCATTCTGAGATTGTTCTTGAGGGGACGTACGAGTTGGCTCCCGTCACGAGCACGACGGTATGGTTCTCGAGCTTGTCGTCGGGTTCTAGTTTGAGACGTGGCTCGTCCTCCGTCGGGTAGGGAGTTTTGATTGACATGGCGTAGGAGAAATAGAAACGATTCAATGTTCCTGCAGATTGCTCACTGCGCAGAGTGAAGGATAACAGGAAGAAGTTGGCGGTTACCCCGTATCAGAAGAAAAATAATATGCGGAGCTATACAAACAATGATTGGTCACTGCTCAGCTCCCTCCCGCGGCGCTAAAATTAGGCTCGATATCAAACTCGGACAGAATAAGGTACTCTTTTGTACTGATGCTTTCAACTACTTGACAATGCCCGGTATTTGGGATGAAAATAATAGTATTGACATTTATTATGATATTGAAGTTTTAACAAAGTATTGTTCAATTGCAGTGCTGACCGACCAAATCACTATCTTCTCTGGGTCAGGCACATCCGAGTCGTTCGACGTTTTCTCGATCCACTTCCGTTGACTCTCACCTATGAACTTTGTTCTCGGCACGGTCTCAGAGAAACAATTCATAGTATAGATTGTTCGGTTGGTTGAGCATAACCTCCATTAAACCATTTGCACCTTGCGTGCTCAGCCACTCGTGCGTGACTGAATGGCCAGCAGCCGCATTTCCATGTTCGTCTTGGTCGTATAGGGCCGACTCGGCAACCACATGCATGAGATGGTTCACTTGGATAATACACTCCAGCAACTTTCTGTCGATGCCGTCAAAGTCAATCTCTCGTTTCGTTGCGGGTATGACCACAGTAGCGCCATTGTCGACATAGACTTTATATTGCACACCGGTGTTCCGAAGACACGCCAGGAATGTGTGGGATACTTCGCTGCGGAGCTCATCGGGTTCGTATCTGGTCGTATTTTGTGACGATGCGGTCACTAATTGGACATATGACCACACCGGCAGTATCACGGCCAAGAAAGGCCTCATACTTAGGTTCTGAGTATATGTATAGAAACGACGGATAAAATGAGAAAGACAACCTTGCTAGGCAGAGAAGAGTTTGTTACTCGGAGGCAAGCAGGGCTTTTAAATATCTTAGGCTTGAACGAGAACCAGATGAGTTGTTGGTCATAGATCATCAATCCAATCAAGTATTGTTATTTTGCTTAACCGTTGGTAGATTGCCCGTCCTCGTATTAATTCGGAACCACCCCTGGGCCCTGGGTGTTCCGGATGAGTCAGTATTGATGTAAGTCAGCCATCTGCTCACCGGCTTTCCATCCAGCATCGTCGCGCTGATAATCAAGTCAACCAGTCCAGTGTAATCCGCTGCTCAATAATTGCAGAACGGCTTCCAGTGAGTCCTTTATAGAAACATTGATATCGTCAACACGACCACGCAATCTTTTTCTTTCGTCATCGGTACAGTCAACGCATACACAAAGGCGTTTGAAGCAGAAGAAAAAATGGGTTGGTCTTACCGAGGATGGTTTCTGGCTGCTGTCGCCAGACATTATCCAACGCCTTTCAGAATGACAGACGCTGTCAGACCGTGTAGTATTCAGCTTGGTATCTCGCTAGATTTTGCGACGCGGCAGGAGATAGGGACCTGGGTACATATGATCTGCGAGAGTCGGAAGTCTACAAGTTCGGAGCATATTTTACAGATCAACTAATGGTGCAGTGCCTGATATGGAGCGGCTAACTGGTCAAGGTAGACTCAAGCTTGACCATAAGCCCTCGCATGCACAATATAATGCTTTCACGGGGTGCCAACCTATTCGCAAATATCTTGAAGCCCATGGAAGAATTCTCATATTTCGTGATTGTGTCTACTACCAGCTAACCAAATCAAAATGGAAAGCTGATCGCGCAAAGGATTTTGTGGAGCTTCAAAGCCCTTGACGTAGAGTTTGAGGATGATGCTATGGTTCAAATAGTGACTGACCTTTAGATTCCAAAGTTGCTGGTCATTTAGACTTGGACAGCAAATCGTCGATACCATCACAGAGATATCAATGGAGTTGTGGCCAGCGCACGAATCTTACTGTGGGAAGCTCAGTTATTCAACGCTTCCTATACACACTATAAACTAAATCCTGCATCACAAGATAACAGTTGCCTCGAACAGGCCATGCTAGCATTGGTATGACATAACAGTGTGGAATAGAATGGGGTCTTTGGGGCAATATCCCCACAATATTGGAGCTATTGATGGATAAAATTGAACGACCATGCCCTGTACAGACGTGTATTAGGCTGGCCACTCGATCATACGGCGTGACGCCATCAGTATCTTTCAGGCACACCCGACGAGGGGCGAATCAGGACGAGAATAGGGTTTGCCTGGATCCTTACAATATGCATATGCAGTTCGACACTGCATCCTATGCTACGGCAATAGCCACGGTGTCGAAACACTACGGCGGGCAGCGCAACTACACGTATCGACTTTCCCACGGGCAGGTATAACCTTGTAGTGAATTACCACGATATCACTGGAGATATACCTCGATGGAGACTGTTCTTCGGTGATAGACAGATTGGAGAATGGTCTGGGTAACACGAGTATACGTTGGGGCACGCTCCAAATGTGTTTTTGTATAGCCATTCTACTTCGAGAACTAAATTCAGAGGCATCTCGATCAGGAAGGTGATGACCCCATTCTGGAGTCAGCCCAATGGAATTGAGCAATCTGCATTTGTTCATGTAGTCTTCTTACCTGAAGGGTTGGCATCTAACTGATATTCGTCACTTCAGGACAAAGGGTAGACCTTGAGTTGTCAAGCAGCTATGTGGTTAACGAGACTCCTACACGCAAGACTTGGCTCTTCGCGATATTCAATGGTCAACGTCTACATGGTCTCACAGTTCCTCGGTGGACGATATTTGTCTTCCTGAGTTTTGTCGGTAACATTTGCCTTACATACCCAAATAGGAAAGTGAGCAAGATCAGCTTCGTACGAGGTAGATTTCATGCATGTTGTAATATTATAATATTCTATATCTGAATCATATTGTACCCTGTCATGTAACTCTCTTTTGTCTACAGGTACTTGCTCCGGTGGTTACACAAGAACGCACAAGGGCACATACCTAGGCACCTCATATGCAAAGCCGGAAGAAGCGAGAACCCTCGATATACCTAGGTAATTTTGTTGGAGGAGTGACAACTGTTCTATCATTCAGTCCGAGATGTAATCTAACAACGCGACTGTCAATCAATTTTGTTTCGGATCGATGATGGACGGTCATCACATTCCGCCTCACTGCATACTGCATCAATATACAAAGGTCAGGATGCATAACGAATATTTTACCCGAGCCGTATTCCAAGAAAAGATCAGCCGACCTAACTTACCCAACAGCATTGCCTACTGCGTTGTCCCCTCGAAGATCCCCCCAGAACTGTCGGAACATCGACCCAGGGATATCAAAATGTGATACAACACATTTTCTGGCAGGACAGATAAGACCAGCGTCTAGTACATATTCGTACTAGAATCGCGATTCATCCTCTATCATTAGAAGTTTAGCTTAGTCGCTAAGCATGAATTTCGAGGCAAGTGTCGCCGTCTCTAACCATAGGATCAAATTGATCGGCATTCACTTTAGACCTGATATGTAACATTTAGGTTTCAGCGATGACAATAATAGTTACCAAGATATTATAACTCATAGTGGCCACAAAACCTACCGGCTAGTACTCTCCAAATGATCATCATATATATGATCTAGAAATTACGACGCAAACTTCGTAATCTAATACATGTACGTGCCGCGCTGATGGCATGAAATCATGCCAATATTACTAGTTCACACTACTGTGAGTAAGAAGACAATCAATTTGGTAGAAGAGACTGTTCCTTTGCGAGTAATGTGAACTAAAACAGAGCTAAGGAGCCGAATATCAATCCAGGTGGTTTTAGGGCATACATTATGTAGTCATCGTTGCCAAGCGAAGTGTACTAGGAAGAAACTAGGTATGCACGAAATCAGGATCTCGGAACATAGTGTCCCAGAGAGTTAGTATCAGCTCTCTAGTCAGCTCAACCACGTACTTTAGTAACATACTTTGAGATTCGATACCACGGGATCAAGTCAGGAATGTTTATTGAATGACAGTATCCAATGAATTGATCTCGATCTCAATGAGAAATCCAAAGTTTATTAGCTTTCTTACGTACATTCTTTGGAGTGATAAGAGGAAAGACTACGTAGTTGTCTGTCTGCTTCATAGCCCACGAGTATGGACGGATGGATACTCTCTCATCCTAGCGCCGATCTCTTCGCCACCAGATGACTGCCAAACGTATACAAGGCCACCAATCAACTGCATACAGGACAAGTGGGCTTGGAAGACCGAAGGTCATTCTCGATATCAATTAAAGTTCGGCGTAAGTCATGCCATACCCAGTCTGATAAGAGATTCTATCATATGGAATCAAAGTGAGGGGGTGTTTGCCAGTGGTCGGCCGATCGCCGAGGGTGAAATGTGAAGTCGTACGAGCAGACGAAAGTCGTTTCGTATGCCTAGGCACTCTAATTGCATACGAAGTTCTCTCCCACGCGGGGGCTTTGTCATAACGAATGCATATACTTATATAGTTAGTGGGTCTCATGCCTAGGTATTATACATATGCTCAATCAAATCTATCGCCAATCAATAACCCGAGATTTAGGTTTGGGGTGCCCTGTTTATCATATACATCTTAGATGCGGATTCAATTTCCAGCAATAGATATCGTCAGCTCACATTGACTATAATTATATGCTCAAATCTTGTTACTTTGATCTCCTGGCTCAGCAATCCGTCGTTAGTTGCAGGGTACCTATACCAGATAAACGGTGAATGAATTGTCTACGTACATACTCACCGTCGGGATATGAAACTTCATGTATAATCTTATCGGGATATAGCATCATTCCAAATATGTCGAACCTAAATTCTGTAGTCGCATACGTTGTAAATGTTCGCAACACTTACCATCCCTACCCACGATGAACCAACATTGTGTTGGGCTGAATCAACACAACCAATCATTTGTATCAATCAATCAGTCACCGTTGTTGGCTACTAGAACCGCTTCGGTATAACCGATCAAGCCGGCGGCTGATGTTCCGCGTTCTTACTGGCGAGGACGCCGAGACAATATATCAACTAGCGAACTGTGGCCGGCGTCGCAATGCTTTTATTTCTTTTACTTTCCATGCAGCTGAACCGGTGATGCGGGGTCTGTTGTAATGAGATACGTACTTTTAGTTCGCGACATACCTATCTGAGAACGGAACTTCCGAGCAGGTCAGCTGTTCGGCGCCTCTTTTTCCCTGCAAGCAATTAGAGGCGTCCCGAGTGATTATTTTTTATATTGAGAAGCAATCAATTAATTGCACAATAATCAATCAGAATGATGAGTGGCTTGAGAAGGATGCGCCGTGGTAACTCGCAACTGACCGAAATGGGATCCACGAACTTCTTTTTATAGAATAGATGGAATGAAATAGAGAATTGTCGACGAAAGGAAAAAAGCCACCATGTACGTGCTATGTACGTGCTACTGTAGTCAGACAGATTTTCCACATGTCAGAAACGCAGGTCGTCCGTCCGTATGGCTTGGCCGAATAGGGCAAATGATAACGATCCTTGGGAGAGAAATTTGGGGCTTTTGAGCCGAGGAGGTGTTACCTCGTCGGTACGTTAGGCGAGGTATGTCTCAATATCTGCGTCTCGGCGCCAATTGGCTTGCTTGGCATGGGTATTGTGAATGCAATGCCATTCAAACGTTGCATTCGACAATGGGGTGTTATACATAAAGACTTGATTATTATGCATAACGAAGGATTCCTAGGTAGGGATGTGGGAATTTCGGACGCGAGATAAGTAGTTTTAAATATAAATTTGGATTCGTATATTAATCATCACCAACAAGAATGAATCGCCGGATTGTGCGATTGTTGGTGTTTTATTGCCTCTAGCTTCGACTCTTCGAGAAGGCTGACAGCTGGTGAAAGAAGGGAGGAAGGTTGATCCGACCACCCAGACTGCTGGGTCGGTCTAATTGTGACCTACGTATGTAACGCGTTACAGTAGATCTACGCTATTTCGTGTATTATTTATGTATATCTACGTATTGATAAGAGTAATGTTGCAGTATGTTTCCGTCAGAATACAAGTATTACGCTGATTACCGTATACTTCGTATTGCTCGTAACAGTGCAGCCAATCATCTTGACCAGATATAAAGTGGCTTGTAACTCCATATTCTCATTATAATCAATATACGCATGTTCGCAAGCCATAATGAATATAAATCCCGAACGATGAACGATATACCTTGACCACAAGAAAGAGGTGTAGTTGCGCGTAAAGATACTCGGCCAAATCTTCCTAATCGGGAACTAAATATACTAATATATCTCATCACAAGGTCGCAAGAGGTTCGCAGATGATCACAGAATATACGCTGAGTAAGACATTCGGCCAGTGCGAAAGAGCTCATCCACTAAAAGCGCGAAGTTGCCGAGTGACCGAGTCGTTGAGGCTTGCTGCCCGATAATTGGAAAAGAGCGACATACGTACCCTTTATGAGTGATCAATCTTGAAGGGAAGTATAAACCATGGATTCTGCCGACCGGCCAACTAACATATTATCCACAGTGTTCTTTTGACAAGCCCGAAGTCGGGTTGTGACTGATTCCGTCAAGGGAGATAACGACATATACCTTGGGTGGGTGGAAGTATACAACCATGCCAATGATATATGTTTCATTTTCCTTTCCCACCGAGTAGTGCAATGAGCCTCATAGGATCCTGTAGATAATCGGTAGACAACCGCCAAGAGACTTTGAATACTGTCGATCCACTGCCAAGTGACTTAGATAGACGGACCAGTATCCCTATCGAGTCTGTATGACCGTGATCACCCCTCGATGCGGATGATACGTAGTAATCAGGTTCATTAGAACATGCATCATGCGCACATGGAGATCTGCATTGTTACATGGCCTCATATGAGGTAGAGGTACGTACTGCACTCGCAAATCCTGGGGTTGGGCTGCCCTATGGACAAGGGCTATGATCCTGTAGGCCAACTAGTTTACCCCGTGGGAAGCTAAAATGTCTGGAACGTAGTCGATGCCCGTGGGTAGCAGATCTAGCTAGATGTCAGGAATGGCAGATGAGTTATCCTTCGGAATGATTATTCTGCGGGTCACTAGTAATACTTACTAGCATATCCCTAGTGAGGCAAAACTTGCTAGATCTGTTCGCGAAACAGCCACAGTACACCACACCGACGACTCGGAAGAGTATTCGATGCAGAGAGGCTTTCCGCATGGACACAAACTGCATGCCAACCGGTGCTAATAACCTGACCACGAGATTTGGCCCTTGGCAGTTGCCAATCTGTCGGGTTGATCCGACTTAATCGAACAATGATATAATGAACATTGCATGATGGGATTTGAAAGTAAAGAGTATCGAACGGTTGAAAAAAAAATTGAAAGAAAGCTGGGACTCGGTTCAGGGTCTACACCTAGGCGGAAAAGAAACGTGGCTATGGAATGAGGTTTCGGTGTGTTCGAACAGTCCCAGGTGATTGTCCGAACTGTTCTTAGTGCCCTGAGGCTATTCCCGCGTCCTAACCATGCTTGGAACTTGGGAGGGAGCTTTGAACAACACCTGAAAGTTACCAAAGTTGGAAGCTCAACCAACACAGAACTGTAAAATTCCGTCGCTTTCATTCGTGAACTCTATTATCCTTGTTGCTTCTTCAATCTTGAGTTGTCTGCATCAATACTTTGTACCTCAAAATCAAACTTGAAGTATCTGTATCACCTCGCATCTAATACGACAATTGCACGCCGTTTGTCATCAGCTCATCGAGCGATAGATATATTGTATAATCTTACTAAATATTAAATATTAAAAAAATATCATTAGGATTTAATAACTTATCTAGAGTTCGAGAGGCTGTAGTAGCCTCACGTACAACTGTGGGTGCCGAAACAACTGATCAGAAATTGCCGGTGAAGTGACAGATTTGGCTTTATCATTATCCACTTTGAACTCTTCCTCCCCCTATCATAGGTACAGAGTCCAAACCTTGTTGACCCTGAAATGAGGGGATCCACCATTATGCACTATTAGCAAAAGCAAAGGCCACAACCTAGAAAATCTAAAACGAAAGAAAGAAAAGTAAAGAAGGCCATGATACAGAGTCTCGGAGTATCGTTGCGAAGTACACACTACATAGTAAGTACGTAACTTTACACGCCTTCACAAGCCATTTGTGTAGGGGTTATGTATTGACGATTGACAAGTGACCGTAACCATGCTGACCAATCGAGAGACAATACAATGCTAGCCTGAAAGTACTAATCCTCAGGTGTGTCAGAAAAGTCAAGAATATTTTGAGTTTTGCCCCAGAAAGCCACCAAAAGTTAAATTGACTAGACTGGATGACCTTGGTGCACTCGGTGGTGAAAGATCTGACCAGGGGATGTATGATAAAAAGACGCATACCAATGATTGCATTTCAAGCTTGTATGCCTGTACTACGTAGTACGTACAGGGTAGTACGTATGCACTGCACAGTAACGTAATTGGAAGGTCTGGCCAGTCCGGAGTGTAAGTAGGTGTTTTGCTGACTGGAGTTGGGAATTGGGCCAGACCGCGGCCATTTCTAGTGACTTCACCGCGGACTAGACTGACTGACTAAACTTGTTGACCATCGATCTGGCCGATCGTCCTTTTTCTTCCATTGCCATCGTCGAAGTACAAGGATCTTACAAGGGTAACTGGGTGGATCAATTAGTTATTAGGTAATTAATTACTGTCAGAATCAGGAAAAGAAAAATACGTAGACGCGTATTCAGTAATGTATTACCAAGCTACCAATACGGCGTATTATAATACATCGTCCCAAACGTAATTTACGGAAAGGTGCGGTGAGACTACCACACACACTAAGTGCGCGCTTTCACCGTCCCGTTAGGTCAACCCTGTCGGGCTCCACTCGTGTTTGCAAGTCGACCCGAGACACTGGAGACTGGAGACGCGGGCTATATGGTTTGGCCAATAAGAGTTGGATGACTTGATTGCACAGTGTTAACTGGTCAGTGGTCACCGGGTGTGTGTTTGTGGTATTTGCAATGTAGTCTGGTTGAGAATCATCAGAGATTGCTGGGCATCTTGATCAATCTGTGAGACTGTGCTCCGTCGTTACTGAGATACCGTGAAGACTCCTCTGATACTGGTATATGACACAGTCTGCATCGTGGCATGGCATCTTGGCGCCACTTGGCGCCACTTGGCGCCAAGTTGCCTGCTTATCTGTATGCTGTATGTATGCTGTATGTAGGGAGTACATTGTGCGGGGAAGGAGAGTTTGCATGACTGTGGGCCAATTACACGGCTCATTTGCTCACCCACTACGTAGTATGCAGTTAAATCGCGATCGAAACAGTGCTTACTGGGTGGCCTCTTACTCTGTACTATGTATGCCGTTGGTTCTTGGCCGCTGCCTCTGTCTCAGCCTCAGGCATTCATTGGAAGATCAGGCACACGAGCTGAGTGTCATCACCTGAATCCGCGTAAATACGAGATATGTACTAGTCCTGTAAATTACCAGCCAGGCCGAGCTGTAATACTGTAAGTAGTATTTCGTCCGAATACCACCGTAACGACGTATCAACTCAGTGATGGACCACCAAGATAAGGACAGGGTCCGGACGGAAACTCACGACGACCCACCCACTAGGATAGTATCGGATGAAACTACGCTTGTGAGCACTAGCTCTGTATTTAATTGGCTCGATTTGCTGGCTGCCTGTCACTACCCCGGTAATAATACACCTACCTGCGCGATACACAGTACAATATCCGCTAGTAACAACAGCGGATGTTGCCATCCTTTTTCTTATTTCCTCGCCTTCGTTTTTCTCCCTATTGATGTTTGAGACTAGACTGGGATAATACGCATCTGTCGACGTTTGCTTTTTTATCGTCACTTCGTGTCTTCTACGCGGCTCGTAAATTAAGTGTGATTCTCAACCACCCCGTGTGGTTAATGGCAGACACTAAGATTTTCACCGGGCTGATGGACTTGCACCAAGAGCGAACTAACTAATTTATGCTAGCCCCTCTTGTCGCTCGTCCCATGTTCGTAAAAAAATGTAATCTAAATTAGCCCTTAGGATGTCATTTTAGTCGGCGGGTCATATAGACACATTTGTTTTTACATACGTAGGGGCATGCTGGTAGAGAGCTTGAGAGGGGATGTTCTATATTACTCGCCCTTTTCCTCGGTGTTATGCTGAGTTAATGTCAATTGTAACTGCACCACAACATGTTAAGCTTTTGACCTTCCATCCGGAGCTCTATACATGATTTTATCATAATCTTCTCCTTACAACTCGGCGTTCTATAACAATCACCAACATTCCGCAACCCGTCTCCCCCTCTCCGTCTTGACTCTCCTCTTTTCTCTTTCCATCGCGCAATTCATTGAATCACCGCCATCTAACCCAGTTGATTACTGCTCGTTCTAGCCCCCTCCCCATCCGGACTGCCAATTATAATACCCTGCGATCCCCCGTTAGAAGGAGACGGCGCACCCAGAAAGTCCAGCCGGTCCACCCTACCAAACCCCGGGCTTTTCGCAACCTTGGATTCACTTAAAACAACTTAGCTCGAATAGCCTTGCCCATAACCAGTGAATCACCTGTTTGTTGCCTCTGATCAAAAATCGAGATATATTATTCCGTCGGCCTGGGTTCTTTCTCCTTTCCTTCCCTCATCCACCAACGTTCTTCCGACTATTTACCAACCCCACTCTTCCTTCCCTTTTCTTAATTTCTCTATTTGCTCTCCACATACAAATCCTCCATCTTCGTCTCTGCATATTTAACTTCGTTGCAACTTTCAATTATTTCGCAACAAACACAATTCACAAAAATCATCATGGCTCCTGGAGGTTCACGAGGGTTCAACTGTTCGTGGGAGAGATGCGGAAAGGTAAATACCAATACACTATCTCTACTGAGCTAATTTACTAACTCGACTAGTCGTTCAATCGCAAATCCGACTTGTGCAGACACTATCGCATTCATACCAATGAACGTCCATACCATTGCACAGTGCCCAGTTGCAACAAGAGCTTTATCCAACGCAGTGCGCTAACAGTACACTCGCGGACTCATACCGGCGAAAAGCCCCATGTCTGCGACCACGAAGATTGTCGCAAGGCCTTTTCTGACGTGAGCATCAGCATCTTTTGATTATCTTTCCTGGTCACTGACTTTTTTTCAAGTCATCGAGTCTGGCGCGCCATCGTCGTATACACACCGGCAGACGTCCCTACATTTGCTCCGAGCCTGCGTGCGACAGAAGGTTTGCTTTACTCTTGGCCAGCCATATATCAAACACGACTAACTATTTCAGCTTTTGCCGGAAAACCACCTTGACAAAGCACCAAAGTCGTACTCATCAACCAGGTGGAAACACTCGCCCATCGTCTGAAGAGGCGCCTACTCCAGAAAGCATGACCTACCAGACGCCTGTTATTACAACGATGACTCCTAATTCTAATCAATACATGATTGCGCAACAACCCTACTACCACAATGGACCTCCACCAACTACAGTCGACTTCTACCAGAATTCCCAGCCGGCTATTCATTTCCCTCAGCCCCAGGCAATGGTGCCTCAGCCTATCCCCACCGCTGGACTTCCAACACCACCTTTTGAGCCTCAACACTATGCGCAAATAATGCAACAGCAACAACCCAGATACGACCCAAATCCTCATCCAACTTACATTCACCCGCAATATCAGTCTCCAACTCCGCCGTTTGTCGCGCAACAGCAACAGCAACACCACATGACAGCGGATGTTCGCCCTCTGATGGCCACATATCATCCTGACCAATTTAAACCACCTGCTCGGATCTTGAGCTCACAGGAAGGTACGGACTGGTCGTTCCTCGGAGTAAGCTGAGCGGGTCGCAAATATTGAAAAAACTCGTGTTAATCAATTTTTCGTCCTCTTAGTGCCTTGACTGGAGGTGCAACCCCGGGCCCGGAACACAGGATTACGCAATTACTTTCTCGGGTAATGAGAAACGGCCACTTCTAGGACTGTCCTGACTATTCTGTCTAACTGGTCTTCCCGCAGCGATGGATTTTTTACTTCGTCGAAAGACAGCGTTCTACATAATGAACCACCTAACGAACCCTTGTTTTGTCTTCTTGCCAAAATGATTCTTCTTCTGCTTTTTCCTCCATCTTTTATCCTGAAACGCTCTATTGTAATTACGGATATGCAATTGGCGGGATCTTGAGGCGGTTTTTTGCCTGTGATTTACGACTTTTACTGGTTTTGGCTGGCATATTGACTTTACTGGGAGGTCTGCGTCGAGACCCACAAGAGGGCTCATTTTACTGTTCTGTTCAGTGTTCATATGTACGCCTAATTGTTCACAGCCTGTCGTTCGTCCACTAGTACTGTTTATCTGTCTGTGTCTGTCTTTCTTTATTGCAATAGGGATCGGCGATCACTCGCTGGTTCAAACGGTTTTTAGCAGCCGTTTCTATGTGACTACTTGATACCCCATCATTCCTTCGATCGATCGATCAAAATGCAATTCTACTCATTATTTGCCTCGGCGCATATGCCTTCAACATCTAGATATGAAGTTTCTATCGGTATTAGCCATCGGCAAAGCACCTCAAAAAGGACTAAGTTTTGTGAAATCTAAGGTTTCAGATGTCACTTCCCGACAACCTAAATACATGTGATAACTATCCGACATTGACAGTGGCAAGATGCATATTCGCCTTCAGAAGACAACAAACCGGGACTGAGCGGCTATGTTCGGAGGAAGTGCCTATCTATCTAAACGGAGGGGCTATGTGTTCGGGGACAAGACCGAAATGATGAAGCGACTTGACTAGTAGCCTGGGCTATATCGACTATCAGATATGATTGACAATTGGCGGGCCTAAAACTCTAGTTGAGACTCTTGAGAAGGAGAGGGGGGGGGGAAGTCAAGTCAAAATTCAATCACGGGCTCTGAGTCTCTGACTTTGGCCAAATGGGTCCCTTTTTTTTAAGTTCTTATGCACCTAGTAAGAAATAGGTTAGGAAAGAGTGTGATTTCTCCACTGTAAACAAAGTCAAAACGACAACATGAAAGTCTAATGTCGTCGACATGGGATTACGCCTCAGTGCTTCACTGGACTAGAAGGACGACAGTGGAAATCATGAATGGAGTCAAATATCCACCTTCGCGGGCAAAAGGGAGAAGTATAGCCTGCCAATAAGACGTTAGTCTCGGCAGCCTGTCGGCAAGGGTCTAGTCTAATTTTTTGATTTATCTTGTAGATTTGTACGTACTGGTCTGTGTTTAAACTTCGTACATCTAGAGTTTGGTGTTGATAGGGACTAGCGAAGATTGAAGTAAGTTGGCGAAATATTACCTGTTGTGGCAATTTTCGTGAGTTTATGGTTCCTCCTTTTTTTTGCCCCTTCACGCGATTTTAGGACTTAAACATCAGGCACTTTGATGAGACTCAGATTGATTCTTCACTACATGTACATGTTATGTGGAAACTGGGAATGAGGATAGAGAATATCCGGGTTTGTTAGCGTGGCCGTCATCAAGATATTTGTCGGGGTACTACGAGCGTCTAAACTAGGTCGACAAAAAACCTGCTTTTCCTTCTAAGGTAATAGTATGGTGATCACATTCGTATAGAAAACAGAAAATTCGCACAAGAAAGGGAGATGGGCAAACAAGTCTAACTGGACACTCTCAGATAACTCTATGCTCGATGATGGAATTATTGTCTCCTCGATTCCCCCCTGCAACTTTTCACGAATTTACGGGAAAACGGAGAACATCCTTGTCCATGTCGGAAAATTGTTGCGAGAAGATAATTGTTGAGGGCATTATTGCAAGGATAATTTCAAGGATGGCTCCAGAATTATTTGGTTTGTTATTTATTTGCTTTTTGGTTTTGGTATCTTGATTGGTAGCGGTACGTCGTGGGTGCATGGCTACATAGCTAGGTACATATGTATTATGTACTGACGGGTGGTAGGTACGTAAGCTTGTGATACTGCTGATCTATTGAATCTTGACTGGAAGTAGATCTTGGAACTGTCGTTCAATACGTAGTGCATGAAATCAGTCATCTGATTACTGACTAACAAAAAGTACATAACTAACAGCCCATACGTAGTTTGCAGTAGCGAGATAGGTCGATGGTTTTTATCCATTCCTTCCTTTATCGCATCCGATCCCTATCCCTAGTGCCTTGCCTACCCATGAATCAACGTAGAAAACATGCCTAAACAGGCAGTTTCGGTCACCTTGAAAGGTAAATAGAGTTAAATAGACAGAAAAGGCTCAAAGATTGATCGCCGACCAATTATTAGCACTATCGGCAATTGAACACGAAACATGGTACGGAGTAAAGAGCTAGGATAATCATCAATTTGACGAATCCAGCCGGTAATTCTTTCTCTCATTTCTTTTTCCTTCTCGCCAGGAAAAAGCAAAGATACTCCGTCTCTCATTCCCAGTTCTGCGGAACAGATATATAGGCAAACACGGGGTAAGAGAATGATACTTGCCGAATGTGATTGGCCAACAGAGAGCTTTGCCTTGAAAAAGCTGGGGCCAGTTTTTATTAATTAGATTAATCCCGTAACCCAAGAGGTTTGGAGGTTCGCAACAGACTGATCCAAGCTTGGTTCTCGACTTTCCAGGTTTCCATGGATCTGGATTATATTCATCGTAGTCCTCCGGTTAGGTCCAATCATGTGTGACATATGGCAAGCTTATGGATGAGTTCCTCCTTGAAAGCTTTAAGTTGTTCAACCGACAACGGTTCCCGAGTCCTGATACAGCCAATCATTCACCCTCGTGCTGTTGCCGTAACTTTCCTTAGAAAAGCTGAGACCAGCAAAAGGGAGTTGGAAGTCTATCCCACCGGTAATGACGATCATCGTACTCCGTATACACAGCCACGTCGAGGAACCAGCTTGAATCCATCTCTTGTAAGGAGTACGGAGCAGTCCGCACCGTGTCCGTCGTAACAAAAGCAACAAGAGCAGTTCATTAGCCGTCAGGGATGAAGCATCATCAAGAGTGGAACAAAGAGCGCAAAGATTTATATAGCCGCTTATTGGCTCATCGGCAGAGACGGATTACATAATGGACATGCCTGTACAAGCGGACCCATAAAAGCTTGGCTGTGTGGAGACTMCCCGCCGCTCCACTATTTACAAATCAGGAAGGTAACTAGCGCCATTGGCTGGCCGTTGATTGGCGGGCAGTGAAAATGTTGAGATGGCTCCTTACTACGTACCATGAACAACGTAGTACGTAGTAACTTACCCAGCCTCTAGCAGCCCGTAGAGAAAAAAAAAAATCAAGTAATGGCTACAAAGACTCAAAATAATTGACGGCGAAAGAAGCAATGTTACGGTTCGTATAGGGAAGAATACATCCGCCTGTCTGGCCAAGCTTCGGCGAAGGGAGAGTGATCCATGGGCCAGGAGACGTTGAATGTTCGTGGTCTACATACTACGTGGAACATAGTATATTATTGTATGGAGATGGACAATCATTGAGAAAATGTACGATGATCTACCCTAATTTCGGGGATAAGTCTTTCAGTCGAGACTCTTTTGCCATACTGCTGTATTACAGGAGTACGCTCCGAGGAGACTCTCAACTCAAATGACGTCCAGAGTGCAATCTGCCTGCCGCGTGGGGCTGCATCACGAAACAATGTCATTGACTGAAGTCCTGGCTGAAGGTTTAGTTTGTGTCAATCAGAAGTTTATCTAAACTCTGACTCTCTGAGCTAAATCATCCTTTTCTCCTTGCTCCTTTTGCCTCCTTCACGTGTTCTCGGCCATGGTATTCTGAACATTGGCCATTCGGCCGACACATCGACGATCGAAAACCGTTGGAGCAGCGAAGCAGAGGACCCTGCATTTTTTTTGAGAGTTGAAACGAGTCCAACGACGCAGCCACGCTGCACGAAGTATGGAGTAGACCGAGTCACGGGTATGTGATTTGATGCATGTACAGTAAATTATCGGGACATATGCGGTGATGGCTCGAGACCAACCAATAAGAGAGCCTGCATTAGTAATGGAGACCACAGTGGGTCGTGGAAATGTCTAGATGATCTATGCTCTACCTGGTAACCAGGAATACCAGATGATACGCATCATGATCCAACAGCACGTATTACGAAGAACGAGGAGGCTCATTTAAGTTAGTGTCCGTGATGGTCAGTGTTCACCTGTCATCGATATCCGTGAAGAAAGTTTAACCCAGATTCCTGCCTTAAGGATGCCAAGATACTTTATTGGCAATGTGAGAACAAAACGTACGAGTCAAGTACTTACGGCTTKTACTGTTACAATCTGTAACATGGTCGAAATACGACGAATGGAAACCGGCTGGCGCTCATATCGGTATTACCAGGAACCAACATGTAATCTTTGTTACACGGCGCGACCACTGTATTAACCCTTTACGGAATATGGGGTAGAAAATCATTTGAACTTGTGTAGCCAACTTTCAACCTGTCAACATATACTATGCGAACCGTAGTGGAAGCATGTACTTCGTACAACATGCTAGGCCTCATACGTAGCGACTATGTATTACATAGTGCGACAACGTATGTACTCCGCTTTCTCAAGTGTCAAATTTCATGCGCGTGTCGTCTAGGAATAGTCTCGGAAGTTCCGGCGTCTTTCGATCCACAAAGCATTTTTCAGACTAAGTCAACTCTACCTGTCAAGTCGCAAAACGAGATTATTTCTTTCGCGTGGCTAGAGACCCTGATCATCGTCTGCCTATTGGTCAAAACCGTTGTATCTTTTTGCAAACCCCCTTACATCAAATTACATGAAAATGACTCAAACCCCATGATTTCATTCACAAAAAGATAAACTGTAACATTTCTTTTCCCTTTTTCTTTCTGCATGGCATGAATTAGGTTTACTTCGTAACATAGCTTTTAACCCCCAGGCGGCCAGATAGAATGCAGACGTACAGCTTCTCTTTCCCGCAACTGCGATCGAACCCATCACAGCTTGCTAATTGGAGGGAACATTGTCCCGATGGGGCATCTCCGAATAAGCATCTCCTCCTTACATTTCCTCGTTTTTCAAGATTTTTTTTTTTGTTCGTTGCACGTGAGATTGACCGTTTGGTGAAGCGTTGTTGAGTTGGCTATTCTAGACTTTCTAGCAGAACAAGATTCGTCACGTCCTTGATTCGCTGAGGAGATATACCAACTTTCTCTCCTAGATGCGCAGTGTATGGCGCGAAGGATCGTGAAATATCATTAGCCTCAACGATGGGACCAGACTAAACCAACACCCAACTACTACTACGTACAAGCCACAACATGCCAGGCAAGTTATCTGCCATGTGGTTCTTGAGAAACTCAATTCAATGTAACATGGCTGGTACATATCAACCTGTCTTCTATATACTCAGTGCAATATGTCGTAGAAGACATGCAAAGTCGTACTAAATACTCGGAATCAAGTTCCGGCTTATGCGTCATTTCATATCCTAATACAGACAGGCATGTGTTACGCTAGTACGTATGCAAATGCACGCTATCCGAGGAATAACAAGCAATCATGGGATGTTTCGAGTTTGTGCCCAGGTAAAATTAGATGGAACTTGGAAAAGCTGCGGCAGCTATCGATACTCTGTTTCTCCATCTCATGTATTTAGTCAATAATGGGATTAAAATACTTCATGTTTGCTTACTTGATACAAAATGACGAGGTGGATTTACATGGTACGCGCTCTGTATGTACTGGTACTTACAGTTACACGTCCGACGCTAAGACGGGGTGTAATTACGATGTTTTACCGCTCTATCTCGGCATTCTAGCTAATCAACGTAAACAGCATTAGCGTTAATACCGGGATCTGAAATCGTCCAAAACCAACACAGCGAAAAGCGGGAGTGTAAGACGTGCGTATCCCTGTTATTTTGCTTCAGACTGGCTTGGTAACTGTGTTGCCTTGTAGTCCGTAATTTATTCGATCGGGAATCGAGATCACGAGAAATGTCATCAGTTACATCTCATTGGCTCCCGTTGTCCACACACTGCCACAGCCCCATAACCCGCTTACAACTTGGTCTAAATAGGTTAGCAGGTCGTAAACTAAGCCAATATAATCATCTCCACTTGGCGTACGTTGGTTGGTAATCTGGGCGAAAGAAAAACGAACACTGATGTCAAGTCTGCGCACTAACCGATTCTGTCATTCTGGGTCTAGAGTAGAAGAGCTGGGCAAGCTAGGCTAAGGTTTCAAGGGTTTGGGAATTTAAACTCAAATTCTAATTTGTCTGCGAAGCCAATCATAACTTCGAATAGACGAGGTGGCATGTGCTAAGTTAGAGTAGGCTCCCTAGTCCGTGATGGCGGATCAACGGAGTGGGAACGTTTTCTTCTGTGGAGCATATCGTTTGATTGTGATTAACGTTTTGATATTCAATGTCGGAATCTATGGCGATGGTTACTCAATAAGTTAGCTCACAACGGGGGGTATGTACGTACACACTACGGCGGCGGTTAGCTAGTTCGTTGCGACGGGATGTCAGCTCGCGAAGACACTATTCAACTATACGAGATATCTCTTGCATCTAGAGCATCGGATTCTGGTTCCCGTAACTTTGTTTTCAGCTTCTTATCTTAAGTTACGCATCGGCTCCTCAAACAGGACTCCCGGCGGCAAGCAGTCCGACTCCGAGCGAGATCTTCTCTCCTTTATGCGTAGGAAATGAGGCCGAAAGCACTGAATGACTCGAAAAACAAACCTTAAACCAAAATCAATCCATTTGAATGCGTCTTCTTTGTCAGACATGTGCCTGGGTAATTTGACAGGAGTTTAGCTTTTCAGAAAGTTAGGTAACTACGCACATACTACTAATTTGCCTGTGCTCGTCGATCAAGTTTGATGAGTGATCATTGCGCAGGTTCGAAACCTACCTACCTGTTTGAGTAATTTTTCCCATATGTCAAAGTTCAAGGGACTCGGAGATGAGGAGCAAGACCACGAGGATTGGCACGTGGAAGGGACTTGCCAAGGTTGTTCATAGACCTTGTCAACGGCTCTGACATCCGTCTTACGTATGGGAAAGAGAGAGCTTTGTACTGTGTCGATTCTGCCTTTGTGGCTCSACTGTTGCATCGTTGGCTTCCGTAGTACATGGTCATCATCACATAACATCAGCATACTGGCATACATTCATGATTATAATTTATACAGTCAATAAAAATGAAGTCAAAGACAAATAGAATAGCATAAGCCAAATCGCCCTTGAGTAAATATCAAAAAGTCATCATATGCATAAGTTTCGCAATGAAGCCAGGATACCGCGAAGTCAATTCGAAGAGAAATATATTAGAAAGAGATAACTATGCGCTAAATGATCAATTCTTTGCGTTGTACTTTTCGTTAAAGGCGTTAACAGCTATAGAGACACATTAGCAAGTCCTCACTCGAACGATGATGATAGCGACAAAAACTAACCGATAGCAATCTGCCTGTACAACCAATTCCGAGAACTCTCATCCTGCACTGGGATATATGGCCCATTGGCACCTCCTTTGAGAGTGATGCTCATGCCCGTCCGCTCTTTAGAAATGGTTTGGATATCTGTAAGCTTAATCTCCCATTCAGAGCGAAGTTTGTCGGAGCGAACGAGTAGTATGCGGTCGTAGGTTAACATCACGATCATGTCTCGGCCCGGCAGTTCAAGATGAGCAATGTAGTCTTCCTTGAAGAATTTACCATCATCGGTGGTTTTGAGCCAGAATTGTCCGAGTGCTTCGCGCTGAGAGTAGGGTCGGACAATGCCATCCATGCCAATGAAGCGAGTGAGACGGACGCGGTCAAGGCCATCAGAGTCAAAAACGGTTGTAGTATTTCGAACACCCTCGGCAAGATCTGTATTCAAGTTAGCAAGAAGAAGTAGCAAAATCTATATAAGTATACTCACTAGATGCAAGATCAAATGCTCCAATTGCTGGCTTGGTTACAACACCGAGCATGCCCACGCCAACACCTTTCATGAAGCCACCAAAGCCACCTTTCTCTGCGCCTTGAAGGGGATGACGGGCAAGACCTTCGATACCGCTCACAATACTGCTAGCGAAAGCATTACCACCAGAAGTGACACCATAAAGCGCATGTTTAGGTCGATTACGTGCTTTTGACATACGCCGTTGATCTTGGAACTCCTTATCAAGAGTCGCAGCTGCGAGGCCCTTGGACATACTGCCGGTGATTTTGGCCATACTATCCGAGAAACCAAAGACGGATTTCTTTACAAAGCTAGAAGCACCTTTGGCAATGCCATAACCCAGATCCTGAGGTCGATCGGTGACAAGACCCTGGTATGGTTCGTAGAAAATGTCCGCTACACCTGAGCTCACGGTGTTGAAGAGACCAACTGGGTTCCCAAGGAAATCCGCAGAACCCAAGACGATGTGTATTTGACGGAGGAATTCCTGAGTGTAGTGCTTTCTCATGTTGGATATGAGCAGGGGCACAGATACCCTGGCGTTCTCCAACATGAGTGCATTCAGTCGGACTGGAGCGTCATTGACATTGCCAATAGACATTGTCATGACATTAACGAAGAACATGAGTGGGTTCGATGGCTGAAGTTTATCTTCAGCGTTCACTCGTTCAGTGCGCATAAAGGAAATATCCAGCTGCATAGGCTGAAGATGCAAGAGCTCAAAGTACACGTCTTGTCGATTCTCCTCGTACTTTGGTTCGGGGATATCGAGGTCTTCATCACAGAGCTTGCCCTCTTGTTCGATAGACCAAGAAGCACCTGGCACTTTGGCAAAGTCAAGCATGGCGAAAACAAAGTCCTCGTCTAGTTCCAGAGTCATCTGTTGCAAGAGCAAGGTGGCATACTTGATGTACAAGACTCCATACGAATCGTCCTTGACTCTCGTGACCATAGCATGGAAGATAGGATGGGCCTCCATCTCCTTTCCAGTCTTTGGCACAACACTGGGATAAAGCAGAATGGGGAAAATGCCTCCGTACAGCTGATTATCGATCTGGATCCATTTGATCGTGGTGTCCAAAGTCTGATATACCTTGCTCTCTCGCAATTTAATCTCAATCTCTCGGAACGTGCAGTAGAGCAGCTCTTTCATGTTTTGATTGATGAGCGAAATGCCCACTCCACCAAGCCGTAGCTGTGCTTTGAAAGTTACATCGGAGTTTTCCACCTTGACTTCGAAGCCAGTTGCAACACTGGCTTGAGACGTCTGGCCCTTTTGCTGTCTATATATACTCTTGGATGGCTTATAGTTGGACAAGACCAACGTCTGCGTCGGACCCTCTGCGACGATGTTCAGATCGACGATGCTCTGACCATTAGGGTTGTTGTTCGAAGGAACCCTCATGGGAATCAAGTTTCCAATTTCTGCCAATCGAATGTGACGCTCTTTTCCGTTGCAGTTGAGAACAAGTGATTTGCTCTTCGCAGCAGGATAATCCCAAGCATATGGCATGATACTGCGAGGTGGCAAACGGTACCGAATGGGCCGCCATCCGCTGCTTGTATCTTCATACTCATCCTCGTCAACATTAGGGTTTGATTGATAGAAGATGAACTCCATATCACTTTCATTCCGCATAGAGTATGGCCAATGTCTGGTCTCCATTCTCAAGTGAATGAAGATGGTCGCATTCTCCATCACCACTTCCACCTTGATCAGTCGCTGTCGCTGAGATGCCTTGGCCAGTTTCACATGTATGATACCCACATCGGCAATATTGAAAGGCGAGGACCATTGGTTGTTGACACCAGGGAAGCACAAACACAACTGTTTTTCTGGAACTTGACGTAGGAAATGAAGAGGAACCAGATCTCCGGCTTTCATCGTCAACACATTCGATGTTCCTGGCTCCCGCACCTGAAGCTCTTCATTGAGTTTATTGTTGAGAATAAATCTCGGTGTTATCGTGACCACCCTCGTCAGTTTATATTTGCCCTCACCCTCAGCAACAGACACGCCGGCATGGAATTCAGCTCGCTCCGTTCTCGCTCCGACGATGACCTCGAAAGTACTACCGATCGCATCAAAACTCTGTGGCTTGCTCCATCTGGAGTCACCTATTTTGATGATCGATCGATTCTTCTGGTCATCAGTAGGATAAGAGTACATATAAGGTTTCGCGTGACCAGCTGCCGAATCAGCATGGATGCCTTGCCCGGCTGATGATTTGGCAGATTGCATGAATCCTTTACTTTGGACTTCCATGCTCAACCCAGTCTTGTTCAATACAAGATACGGGCTGTACACGCTGACCTTGAAGGCACCTCCACTGTCCGGCAAGTTGAAGTAGTGCAGTTTAAGCCTCAGCTCTACGCCCCGCTCATCCTTGAGCGATAACGCATCTTCTCGCCGAAAGTCTTGAGAGGTTCCATTGATGATGGCAAACTCGCTTTGCTTAAATACCGAGTCTTGTAAATCGATACTGAGGAGAAGCAAATGAGACAGTTCCACTACATGTACTGGACTGACACCGCCCCGCCTGAGAAAGTTTGTCCAATCTTTGCGAGTATTCTTGTCGTAGATTCGATACTTGAAATCATAGGGAAGCAAATTTTGTATCTCGACGGGAGCTGATAATCGAAGCTTCATGTGAGGATAGTTGTTGATAATAGGGTCACGTTTGTCATATGAAGCATTCAGCTGGAAGTAAAATGGTGGAGCCTGCTGTCCACTTTCACTGCGGCACTCAATTGTTCGCGTTGGTCGGCGCAAAAGGTCTTTCCAATACAATTCTTCTTTCGACCAATCATACCCAAATCCTTGATCAGGGCGCACGAGTAGTTGATGCAGGTACGCAGACCCGACTGGTGCGGGTCGGGCATCACCTGGTTGAATCTTCTCAATCTTGAGGAGGTGGCCATCTTCGGAACTGAAAATCCCCATCTCAACAGGTATCTGCGTGTTGTTTTCCAATAGCAATGGAGATCGGAAAGTGATATATTTGACATTATCTGAGCCCAGCTTGACTTCAACAAGTAGCTTATGGAGGACCTTGTTCTTTTTGGGCTTCAAGTTGTACAGAGTTTCACCTTCCCTGATGACGGGTATGCGCTGAATACTGTCAAAGCCACTGCCCTCCAACTTGATGCCCACCAGGCCTGCGTTACCCTCTGGGGTGAGGTTTTCACGCATCGTAGTTGCGTCCTCAAAGCGCCAGGGATATTCCTCACCGTCGCTTAGTTTAGCGGCTGGTCCATTCTCTCCATCTTCGACGTCTGCCCACACATTGAGGTCAAATCCAGTGTGATTGCGGATCCTATATGGTGCGTCGGCTCCTCTAGGTTTGGACAAGACATCCTCGTCAGTGTTAAGGAATTGGAATGACTTGGACGCGAGAGCGATAGTTGCAGAGGTTAGAGTCAGATCCATGTTCTTGTGAGAGTAGGCCTCGACTGAGAAGACATCTGGATTCACTTCCTTAGACATGTGGAATCCAAGCTGCCAGGGTTCGATGAGAGGCTCCCAGGCCGATTTCGAGAAGTTGTAGACATTGATAAAAGTGTCAAATGATGTATCAGCATTCAAAGTGGACGACCAGTCTTTAACATCGACACTGAATTTCTTGACACTCCAATCAAGCAAGGGCAGTTCGTGCAGATCTCCAATGAGAATAACTCGAATGCCATCAAACTGAGCACCCAACTCCTCCCTTCGAATGACTGCAGATTGCTGTGGTGCGAGCCTTTGTTCGGGGACCAAATGACTCCTTGACTTCAAAGCTGTTGCTGAACTAGCTTTTCCTCCTATCGTAGAACGCCTCTTCGATGATTTCTTGCCAGTGCCCTTGATTTCCTTGATTCTTTGCGGCTCATCAGTCTTCTCTACTTCAGGTGGCTTTCTCATCTCGGACACCTTGTTCATGATCTGAGTGGCAAGGAGAATATCACGCAATGACAGTCTCAAAACCAGGGGCTCCACATGGACATCAATGCTAGTCAGAGCTGATCCCTTGTCTTGCGAACGGCTATCTACAGACAATTCCAACGTAAAGTCGTCTAAAATGCGCAGCCGGCTTGTTTCGAATTTGTCCATCCGGCAGAGAAACATGCCAACTTTGTTGATCTGTAGAGTGGAGACGTTTTGATGAGAAAAGAGCACCTGTTTTGTCCCTAGTACGATTGCTTCCGTGTTTGCTATTGCAGGATTGGCAATCATGATGACCTGAGCGTCGACGATATCAGCTCTAAGCGAGAAAGTCATCTGCTGTTCTTCTGAAGAGGTGCGGAACTGTTCATCAGTAGATGATTTTATACCGCTTACTGCAGCGCTAGACGCGGCATCGGAGTCCTCGGGCGTCTCGTCGATTTCTTCGATCTCCAAGGGCTGATCTTGCGCGAATGCTTCACTAGCAAATGTTTGCAGTGCTATCAAATAATCAAGTGCAAGTATGATGCGTGGACTATCAATAGTAACCATGGCTATGACATGCTTCTTAGGTCCCGGAGACATTGAGATACTAGCCATGAATTGTTGCTGAACGTCGTTGTTGATCAGCGACATGATCTTCCGGAACTTGTTCGTCTCTTGGGCGCGACTATCCCTGATTGAAAAGGAGTGTATCAAAAGTTCCGATTCCAAGGCACCATCGCTCAACATGCGTAATTTCACCCTAGTGTTATTCAGTGAGAATCTAGACAAGCTAGAATCCTCTATTTGGCCAACAGGTTTGTTCTCCTTTGCCAAGAGCAGCTCCAAGCCAACGCTTTCCACCTTGAATATCATATCAAGTTTCACCCACGTGTCCTTTTCTGTACTGGTGGGTGGACTTGGATTCGCCGGCTTTTTTACCTGCTGAATTTCTGGGCTCTGCTCCTCGTTTTGTGTATTGAGTGAAGGAAGTGACTGCATTGCTTCAAGTTCCTGCTCATCAAGATCTGGGGTAAAGACACCCGGTACTGTCTTCAAAATCTCTAGCAGAAATTTGAGTTGTGGTTGCGAGATGCGTAGCTTGATTGGAGACATTGTTCCCTCAACCTCAATGTCAGGACGAGGTTGGTTCGGTTGGTGTTCGAGATAACAAATACTGAAATCAAGATTAACCTTTTGGATCATCTCCAGTTGTTCGTGTGTAGCATCATCATAGTACAAATCAGACGTGAGGCGGATGTTGCGAATACCAGTCGTGATCATATTGACCGCTGGACTATCTTTTCGGTCATCCAAAGGAACAAAGGTATTATTTGCGTAGATCTCTCCGAGCTCTGCAGTAACGGTATCACGTTGCTTGTTTTCTGACATGGCTCTTGGAAAGACCACAATTGGGGTGCGAACGATGATATCAAATCGCATACGTGACGCATTCTCTTGAAGTTGATTAGCCTGGTTTGCCGCTGCCTGTCGAGCCGCATTGAATATCGCTTGCATCTTTCCGAATTTAACCAGGAAATTGACAATCTTCCGGTATGGCTCCTCCAGAAGCTGGATCTTGATCGATCCAGATCTCAAGAATACTTCAGAGTCATAGCCAGGGTATTCTGCCGAGTCCGGATCAAAGGTTTGATATCTGAAATCAGCAAAGTTCTCGCCCTCGATTGTCATAAGTCTCCTAAGAGAGGAGTGCTCTGACGCGCCAACATTCACGTCATCCACTAGCGTCAAACTTCCAATCCGAGATTGGATCTGCATGGTCCGGCCGACTAAGAAAATGCCGACATCTCCAGTATTGAGACTCAAAGTTGCAAGTCTCACACCGTCGTTATTCAAGATCAACGCAATACTCTTCAATTGCGACTTGATTCTGATTTTGCGAACCTCTTGCGATTCCGGTTGCCCTTGAGAAACGTCCACGGCAGTACTATCCGCCGATTGATCGACCGCTTTTGGCTGTTCAGGATTTGTGAAAGTAATCAGCACGAAATCCAATAATGTCAAAAGCGTCCTTCTGGTGACTATGATATTGATTGTGGACACTGTAATGTCAAGATTCATATCAACGCCCTCATATGTCGAATGAAATTCAGGGGAATCCGGTCTAACTCGAACGAATTTGAGATTGAACAGATCCTTATCTTCCTCCGCATTGAAGCCTTTGGAGGAAACAATCTGTTTGAATTCTGGTGTCGCATTCTGTTCTATGTAGTCATCCACGCTCAGAGACTTTAGTGTCAGCTCGGCTACCATATCAAATGGTCGAAGGTAGTAGTCCAACTCGAAGGCTTCTGCAACCAACTCGGCCAGTAACTGGTCAGATTTCGCTTCTCTTGGATCAGATCTGAACAAAGAACCACGAAGCTTTCCCACAGTGAACTTGAACTCAAAGATTCGCTGGTGCAAGTTGATGGGCTGGTCGTCTTTCTTCGCGACTTCACGTTTCCCAGAGTCTTCCGAATCAGACTCCTCGTCGAGAAGTGGGATGTCTCTTCTAAAAGACGGCTGAAACGAGGCTGATCTCGCTCTATTCCTCGCTTCCTGTTCGGAAGTTTTATCAACAATTGCTTCTGGGCGGTCAGACTTTTCTTCACAATCCTCTTCAAAGCGTGGGATAGCTATTTCTATAAGTTTCATTAGATTCTTATACTTCGAATCTGACATTGAGGCATGCAACTCTGGCAAATGACCGGAAACACGTGTTCTAGTGAGGGCAGTGGTTTTCGGAACAATACAAAGTTCGAGAACAAAATCCACATTGATGCGATCGACGATATGGAGGTCTTTGGTCGGGTCGTTTGAGGTGAGTTGCGCTTTGGTAGCTTCGATGTTTGGGCCTATGAGCAACTGGATCGAATCGAGCTTGATCAAGAATTTGTCATAAAGAAGCTCTTCCAGCTGTTTGTAGTCTTCTTCGCTATACTGCCTTTTCTGCTTGTTTTGGAGCTCTGACATCGTTCCTCTATCAACAAGCTCGCTGTTTAGTCTGATGTGACCGGCGTCAAGGATGAGACAAAGCGCGCCTTCCTCTGTAATACTCTCTGGTATAATGATGAGAGGGGCTTGCAGATCGAACTGAGCGTCTACTTTTCTGTGCGCTTCAAGAGCGTATTCAAGACCTGCTCTAGTTTGTTGCCTGATTTCTTGTACCGTGGCCCCAGCGGAGTCAAGAAGGGCTCCTACCGACTCCATATGGCGCTCAGGGGGTTTGAAAAAGCGGGCGACCTCAACCACAAATCTAGGATTATAGATGACCTCAATACTCTTAAGTTTTACCTTGACAGCGGTATCGGCATCGCTTTCGAGCGGATTCTGTTCGACTTGAAGGTGGAACAAGTTGTCATCTTGCCCGCCGTCGTCTGATTCTTCCTCGTATTCTAATTCTTGCGAGTCGTCTGGGGATGAATTCTCTATCTGGCCTTGAGAATCTTTGACACGTACGATCTGCGGGAAGATAGTGCCTTCCGTAGTCCCGTCGTATACTCGCAAGCCACCAAGATTTAGATCAACAAAGAATGAATCAGGTCGCTGTAGAGCTTTGGCTCTAAAGTTATCGAACACAAGCTTCATAACTTCTGTTGCCGCACCATGTGGATCGCGTTTCAAGGTCAAGCTACCAGCTCTGAGGCTCGAATTGACCTGTAGCTTGACTGATTCTCTAGGAAGTTCCACACTCTCGGCCAGGGCTTTTTTCTCGTCCCAGTCGATCGCATTGTATAGTTCCTGTCGTTGCTCATCCGTCATTGTTTCTGTTTCATCTTCCTCTTGTTTCTTCGCTCCCCACATCCATTCGCTCCATGTTTGCGCCCTAACGGGCTTCTTAACGCCAACGTTCTCTTTCCGTAGCTGATTTCGTGCTAGAGAACGCCAAAAGCGGAGATCTTCGTAGGTATATTTCCTTTCCAATTCATTTAACTCCGTGTTCTGATCCACTGTAAGTGCCTCTTCTCTTTTCTTTTTCTTGAACAGATAAATATAGGCTAGTCGATCATCTCTCCGCTCTTTGATATAATCCCAAGTCCACACTCTGTTCCGTTCATGGATCTTAGATAGGATAGCATTTCCGGCAAATCGGAACCAGGCTCGCGGATCCTCCTTCGGGTTCTTCGAAGGCCGTAGTTTCTTATACTCTTGATGGCGGATGAAATAATGAAACAAATCTACCAGCATCAATGTGTCACGGTACTGATCACTATCAAGAACGAAACCCAATTCATTGAATAAGAGACGGGCTTTCATTCTGGGCCTCTCAAGCTTTCCCGTTTTGTCCATCTCGAGCCCCGCGCGACCACTCACAGGTCGCAGGATATACTGGTTATTTTCGTCCAGTTCGATACCATCTCTGAGTTTGGCCATGAGCTCTGCATGCGGTATACCTTGGGCTTCCGCGCCAAAGTCTGCGCCACTTCCGGTACCTAGTAGCTCAGTGTCGGTATTCCAGTAGACCGCTAAGGCTCCTAAAACTGCTAGCTTGTGTGTCGTGCCAGATGTAGATTGAATGAAAGTAGGACGCCATTCTGAGTCTGTGCTCACGGCACTCAATTCTTTCAAGGTCATGCCGACAGCGAAGGGGTGGCCGGGAGAAGCAATAGAGTCCTCATATCGGATATGGACATTCTTGATGGAGACCTGCAGATTATCAACGATGGCAGTTGTAAAACTCTGTGTAAAGCTTTGATTTCTCTTCTGCTCCTCTTGAGTCATTCCTTCTGCGTTACGCTCACGCAGGATCTCCGCACTCTCGAGTTTATCCATCTTGATATTATGAGCCCGTTTTTCTTCCTCCTCTGGGTCGTAGTCGGTCTCCACCTTCGGAGCTGCGAGAAGAAAAACATCCTCGATTTCCACCCTAACCGGCTTCCCTCGTAGGTTCGACCAGGGGATGGATAATGTAAGCTGCCCGATGTGTCCTTCGACGACGTTGAGGGGGAGGTGGAGTTGATCAAGTGCTTCTCGGCGCAGTTCGAGGTCATGCAGTTTAACGTCGCCCGACCAGATTCCGATGTTTAGTTGTTTCCCATCGAAGTTCTTGACGTACATGCCCAAAAACCTGTTGAGCAGGTTTGCAACCACGCCTTCCAACATGGCGGGCAGTGCGGGCCGTTACCCAGGCCGGGAGCGATGCTTTATTGTACCGAGTCGATCGTTGCTTATCGAGGGTCAAATCTCGCTTGATAATTTGCGAAATTCGTTGGTTAGGTGGTCAAGACGTGATCCTGAAGTAGATCCTCGGTGGTCAGTTAACTATCCAGAAACATTCAAGAAAAGTGCATCGCATGTTAACACGATTATAATAGCACCGGATAACACCAATAAGGCTTACCGAAAATATATCGGAGCGATCCATTCAGATGCGCTGTATGTTCTGCTGTAATGGTATCTCTTTGGACGCTCACTTGACCAACATCGATAGCAGGCCACAAGAACTCGAGTACAGCGTCGTTCTCGAGCCTTTTTGCAATTATGAAAACTTCGACTTTGAGATCAAAAATTTAAAAGGAAGATCTTTCGTGGCTGTTGAGATGAACAGGGCCGAAGAACGATGAAGTGTCGTCCCTGATGCCTAGTGTGATTGTCCCAATCGTATGAGGAGGATTGGGCTTGTTTGTGTTGGATAATCTCGCGGGGAGGTGACGTCGTCTGCTTGGCAGCCGCACATACAGGCTTCATATTATATGTACCTGGTAGTCAGTCCCCACAGACATTGGGCTGTGCAAAGGGTTATCATACACTGTTTACGATCATGAGCATACTGATATGTATGGAATTTAGCTAGCTGCACTATATGCCTCAAGGCTCTTCTATGCGCTATCAAAGTATCTGATTCATGTTTCAGAAATTTGTCTTTCCGAACCTATCTCCGGAGCTTTGACGCTGTTGACACATGGAACGTATGATTTCTTACTCGCTTCCTCCAGGAAGGACTTACCTAGTTGGTAGTATAAGTATCCCGACCATCTTCATCACTTAAAAACGCTGTTAAATCTAGCAATTGAGTTTGTTTTTCTGTCTCACGAATAGAATAGACTAGTACTAGTTCGGCCTGAGGCACAAGTGCGGTCATGGTCGCTACGGGCGGGCGGAACGAGAGCAACTTCGGCTCAGTTCCTCATGCTTTCATCACCGGCAGCAGTCTATCTTCAGACCTCACGTCAATCCGCCAACGCCGCACCCTCGCGTCACACGAGAGTAGCTGAAGCTCTTTAGAGCAGACAATCACCCATCTCCACTCCAGAATCTCGTTTTCCTTGTCTCTTGGCTTCGATTGGGCAATCCGCTGGTTGTCCATCTGAATTCCTACTATACCCGAAGCTTTTTGCAACCGTCCACAACAATGCTTTACCGCATGTCCGCTGCCCGCGCGGCCTTCCGCGCTGCTTCCAGCTCCAATGCCTCTGCCGCTATTAGAGCTGCTGTTCCTGGCAATGTCTTCCGGGCTCAATTGACCTCCGCTAGCCGCCAACGTTTGACCACACCAAAACTCGCTTTGGCCGTCCGCAAGCCAGTTACCACCGCCCTCGTCCGTTATGCTTCTACTGCTACAGAGAAGGCTGGTTCTTCGGTCAGCAAGTCACTGAGATTGTTAATGAAAACATGACTGATGGATTAATTGCAGGCTGCTGGTCTTCCCGAGGATGAACCCGATATGCTCGCTGGTGTCAAGAACGATGCGGTACGTTGAATAATGTCTAGCTATTTTGGGCTATAGCATGCTAAACAATCGCGGTACAGAAAGTCATCAAGGAGACCTTCACCCTCAATGAGGTCCCCAAGGAGGCTCTTTACTTCGGCCTTGCCGGTGTCGTTCCTTACTTGGTTACCTCTTTGAACACCTGCTACCTCGCATGGGAAATCAACAACAACGTCATCAATGGCTCTGGCTTTTTGCTCTCTGGAGAGACTGCCTCTTTCCTCCTCCACCTTACTGAGCCTATCCAAGTCGGATACGGTGCTGTTGTAAGTTATGACCGCAACACTAATTCAGTGGGGATTTCTAACGACTAGTCATAGATCTTGTCCTTCCTCGGTGCTATCCACTGGGGTCTTGAATGGGCTGGATATGGTGGTAATCACGGCTTCCGCCGTTATGCCACTGGCGTCATCGCCCCTGCTATCGCTTGGCCCACCTTATTGCTCCCCATTGAGCACGCCCTTATCACCCAGTTCCTCGCCTTCACTTTCTTGTACTACAATGACGCCCGTGCTGCCAGCCGAGGGCTTGCTCCTCACTGGTACGGCATGTACCGCTTCGTCTTGACGTTTGTTGTCGGTGCCAGCATTGTTGCCACCCTCATTGGTCGCGAGCGCATTTCCCAGAGCGACTCTGAGGAGCACACTTTGACCGAGAAGATCCAGGCTCTTCTCTTCCTCCGCAAGAAGGAGATCGAGGAGGCCAAGAAGCGTGCTCAGGAGGCCAAGGAGGCTCTTGAGGAGTAATTGATCCAGAATTTGGGTATAGGAACAGAAACAGTGGACTCACCCAGCCTTTAGGGCTGAGATGACAAAAGTTGTTTCATTATTGGATGCCGCTGCTGCATTGTGTATTGATCAATGTTTCTGGCTAGTCGTTTCTTCTAAGCAGACTTTCCTTTTGTCTTTGTAGATTATTCAAAGAGTGATTTAAATACGAGCTGTTTGGTGAATAGATCTACTTATCTGTTACATATATATATATATACAACTGGGTAGAAGAAGTGTTTCCAAGGTTCCGTAGTACCTACGTAGAAGCTTGCTAACCGACCCATGGATGAAGAGAAATCCGTTCTCATCGTGGCGGAACCCTAGAGGCCCAGCACCAAACGATCGACATATCAACACAGCCTCTCCGGTCGCGGTGTACATATTGATCTACACTGAACCAGAGAAACTGATTTGTCAATTCTCGCGTCGACCTCGGAATTGATAATTGAATCAAAATGAGACGAATACATGTGTGCCGAGAGGGGCCGACAGAATCAGACACAATCAAGATTGACCAACACACGGGAAGAGTCTGGACCGTGAAAGCGATATCACGAGGACGTAGGCTAGGTACATCTTTTCTCAGGTAGGTAGGTAACTAATGCACCGAGATTATTAGGTCTCCGTGGGGAGCAGTCAGCATCACGTGGACCGCTATAAAATCTTGCATTAGCATCAGTTAGTTGTTTTACCCAAGATGCGGACCTAGATTGAGCTGCAGTGCCCCTTGTATAATCATATTAGGTGTTCATTAAATTGCAGCATATATGAAAAATAGACATTGAGCTAATTGGCATCGCAGCTTATCGCACACGACCTTGGTAATATGAAACCGCGCATGAAAAAGGGTCGTGCTCAATTGATCGTCGACTGTTCAGTGTGTATTGGAAATTGAATAGATACAATCAATGTCTACCTTCAGTAGGTAAATAATGTTCACCACAGACCCGAACCGATTATCGGCATACGCATGCCGGGAGGGGCACAGGAGACCCGAGACTGTGATTGCTGGAAATATAAAGCACCGAGGGAAAGCAATGCCTAAAGCCCGGTGGCTTGGGTAGAGATTGGATCGCAGGAAAAAGAAGAAAAGAAGATGGAACGGAAAAGGACGAAAGGGTCGGTCCAGACAGACACTTGATGGAGGATAATGCTGATGCAGTGGGGGGGCAACCTATGTACTCCGTCGAGAGACCCAATTTTCCGAGGTCGCCTGATCAAGAAAAAAATTTTGGAGGTAGATTGAGTGTATGTACTCCAGTCGAGCACGCAAAGCACGCTCTATGGCTGCGGGGATACTTTCTGAGGAACCCCCACCATTGCATATTTTTAGCTGTTCCTTGCTTGTTCTAGCCTTCCAGCCGGCCTTTGCTCCGTGAATACATCCGATTAGTTAAGTTACATAGTAGTAAGTACACACGGTGCACGGTGCTAACAAACTGCACACGTTAAAGCCGGCTGCCTCCCTTCCCCCTCCTCGTTCTTTCGTTTTTCTTCTCCTTTTCCTCGTCACCACATCCTAATCATTCTAATAATTTTTAATATTTTCTTATTCTCTTGCATTGCATCTTCTTTGCCGGGTGGATAGACATAGAACGCTGATATACTTCTATCGGCAACAAGCATCCTCATTGGTCGAGAGCGTCCGTACTGCGTCATCATCAGCCGTACGTCACAACCCACCAGCAAGACCGAAAAATCGAGCATTGCGAACCTGCTTCTTTTCCAACTGGCAACTCCTCCTGCCCCTGAACTTGCTACTCCCCTCTTCGCTCCCTTGTACATTTAGCTTCATCTAGCTCCCTGAAAAAAACTCGCCCATTGCATCCATTGCATCCATTGCATCCATTGCATCCATTGGCAAACTCTATAAAAAACCGACATCCCGCCCTGCCCTTTCCCCTTTTATAGATATAGATATTTTTCTTTCGGTCATGGCTCCTCATAGACGTCGAGAATCCGTGATCAACAAAACGACCACCCATGACGGAGACCGGTCAATCATCCAAGATGAGACTTCGCGCACCGATAATCTGAAGGACAAGTTTATCGGTGCCATCGACCAGGGAACTACGAGCACCAGATTCATTGTCTTTGATGGCACGGGTCTGCCGGTTGCTTCGTATCAGTCTGAATTCCGACAGATTCATGCTCATTCAGGGTGCGTTACCCCGAAGACCTAATTAGAAAGCACTAGCTAACACGGCTAAAACAGATGGCACGAACAAGATCCTCGAGAACTCGTGTCGACGGTCGAGAAGTGTATAGAAGAAACCATGAAAGCCTTCCTGGCTCTCGGCCACTCCAAATCCGATATCGTAACCATCGGCATCACCAATCAGCGTGAGACCACGGTCGTCTGGGATTGGGAAACCGGCGAGCCCCTACACAATGCCATTGCGTGGCCTGATACCAGAACAAAGGGGATGGTACGAGAGTTGAGATCCAAAGAAGGAGCCGATGAATTGGACAAGATTTGTGGACTTCCGCTATCTACGTATCCTTCGTCCGTCACTCTCATGTGGTTGCTCCGCCATCGACCGGATGTCAAAAAGGCCTACGACGAAGGTCGTTTGGCATTCGGAACAGTCGATTCGTGGCTCCTATACAACCTCAACGGAGGCGTCAAGAATAAAGTATTTGTCACTGACGTGACCAACGCGTCGCGTACCATGTTCATGAACTTGCACGAATTGAAATATGACGACAAGCTGTTGAATTTTTTTGGACTTGACAAGAATAAACTGCGGTTACCGAAAATCGTGCCGTCAGCAGACCCAACTGCATTCGGCAAGCTTGACGGTGGACCATTAGCCGGTACGACCATTACCAGCTGTCTTGGAGATCAATCGGCCGCCTTGGTGGGCCATTGCGCCTTTGAGCCGGGTTATGCAAAGAATACATACGGCACAGGTTGTTTCTTGCTTTATAACGTTGGAGAAAAGCCAGTTATCTCGCAACATGGGCTCTTAGCGACGGTGGCCTTCCAGTTGGGCGCTGACCGAAAACCGGTATACGCTCTGGAGGGTAGTATTGCTGTTGCTGGTAGTGGTGTCTCGTTTTTGATGAACAACATGGGTTTCTTCCGTGACTCTAAGAAAGTGAGTGAAGTCGCTGCAACTGTGCCAGACAACGGAGGTTGTGTGTTTGTCACAGCTTTCAGTGGTCTTTTTGCCCCATACTGGATTGATGATGCCAAGGGGACTATCTGTGAGTATTCTCTCGAATCGACGATAATGACTATGGCTAAACCTTTTCAGTTGGTATCACGCAGCACACACAACGTGGCCATATCGCTCGCGCAACACTAGAAGCTGCATGTTTCCAGACTAAAGCCATCTTGGATGCAATGGCCAAGGACAGTGGTCATAAATTGACCGATCTGGCCGTGGACGGAGGAATGAGCAATTCAGATATTTGCATGCAGGTATGTACAGCCTGCTCTAATGTTTTAAAAATTGGAGCAACGAACTGACTTCTTTCTTTAGTCTCAAGCGGATATCATTCAAATTCCAGTCGAGCGGCCCTCGATGCACGAAACGACTGCTCTCGGTGCAGCGATTGCAGCTGGATTCGCAAGTGGCATTTGGTCAACATACGACGAACTCCGACACATGAACCGAGCTAACAGAAGCGTCTTMAAGCCATATCTTGATGCCCAAGAGAGTGCGTTGATGTATAAACAATGGACTAAAGCGGTAGAAATGACTCGCGGCTGGCTGGACGCCAGTGAAATCGGCATGGACGAGGATGACGAGGACGCTGCAGGCGGCGAAGAGCCATCACACGCAACACATGAGACTGCCGAGCACGTCGTGCGAGTACTACAAAAAGAAGAATCCGACAACAGCGCCGACGATGTCGCCGTTGGTTCGGAGTCGGATTGATTTCTCTCACCGTGATGATTAGACTTGTTTTCTACATGATGATATAATGTCTGGGATCTTTTTACGTGAGCGGCATTCTTGTTTGTTCGGTATTGGGCTGGATTACTGTGCAGTAAGCGTCCATGGCGTGTGTGCGCATTTTGTTGGGGAGTGTTTTATATATAGTGGTATAGCGGTTTTAGACAGGATTTAAATGAATGATTTACTATAGATTGTGTCAAGTATTAATCTATCGTACAGTAAGCACCATCCAAGACCCAGCAGCAAATACGACTTCATACATGATAGAGTCGCCATGGTCCAGATGGCGTGAATCATTCTCCATAATTGAACTCCCCACACATGTAACCCCCAGGAAACCAATCTCAAGTGCGGAGGAAACATTATCTCAAATTTAGTGCTTGACATTAGCTTCATAGGATCTGGGGTATGACACTGATGGCTTTCAAACCTCATTAACCTCCTCCATACTACCCAGTCAGCTTAGACGGAATCATTAGGCACTTACTACTTGGGTATACTTGAAGCGGAAAGTGACAATATGATTGTTGAGGTATCTGCCTAGTACCTAGTCAGTACAAATTCCTCATTGAACGTTGATGACATGACATCCATAATGTGGATCGACGAATGTAATGTATGCAAGTCAATTCTTTGAGTCAACTGACTGACTGACAAGTGAACAAAGCTAATAACAATAACTTACCTACGTAGATCCTGATTTAGATACCCTCACATGTTGTCGCAGCAATTGCAGCGTACGTAGATGTATATGCAGCGGTGAAAGAAGAAAAGTTGATACATCCCATTTCCCCTCAAGACTCAACTTTCGAGAAAACCAATCCCATCATTGATGGTTTAGGGTACATCGCTACTCCGTAGATGTGTAGGATATGCAGGTGTGTTTCTTTGTTCTCTTTCTCCATTCGGTCTCCAACACGAAAACAAAAAGTCAAACCAGACGGAATTTTACTGGCTTCTTTCCCTATTCGGCGGATGTTCTCCGAGCATTACAGATGAAACGGCGTCATCTTGTTCAAAAGGTCAGTGCAGTTGATAACCGTTCTGAAGAATCAAGAAGGATCAACTAGAGTCTGTTTTGGATGTAGCACACTAGAAGCCTGGAAGAAAACCGCCAGAATACTTTACTAGGACTTAGTACAGACTAGATATTATTTCCCGAACCTCTCAGGAACTATCGAACCAACCGGATAGCACCGCCGGCGCCGCGCATCCTTCGTTAGCACTACTACGAGCCTAAGGCATGCATGGACTAGTGCAGTGTCAAATGTCTGTAATTTTTGTCTGTCCAAATGTCAGCTCGGCCGTGTCATCCGTCGGTAACGGAGAGGTCTGAGTGAGACTTGAGCCGGCAATTGGCATTCGATTCAAATTGACTGTAGCCCTTGCTTCAAGCCTTCAATGTCCCCTGCCCGTCATAAGGCCGCTAGAAAATAGAAATGCACTTACATCCACTTGTTCCAGACTCTGGCAATTCCGTTTTGTTACGTGCATTAGTGCCAATACTACGGATCCACTGTCCATAGTCGTACTACGTAGAGTCTAGTACGACTCCAACCAACCCGTACCTGAAACATGGAGTTATGGAGAGAAAATTTTATTCAATCAGTCCGGTTGGTCTTGACTTTGTCAAACGTTGGCTGGTCAAACTCAATTGATTTAGTGTTTTCGACAGAGAAAAGAGAGAGAGAAAAAAGATCCAATGCGGGGCCTTCTCGTTTTATCGATGGTGTCGTCCCGGCTGATGCTATGGGATGGACAGTGCATGGCGTGCCATGATGCATGTAACAAGTGTCAAGACGCAAGAAAGCAAGCGTCGACGCCCCTACCAACAGGTTGAAACCAAGCCAGGGTGATCCTTAAAGCCACTAGACCTAGCAGACCAAAGTTGCAGGGATTGCTTTCCCGTCCAAACTTCGCCAGGATGTGTTCGGGATCTGGAGCTGAGGCCATAGCATGGCCCTTGTCTTCCCGGCGGATTAGATTCTTTGACTTTTCCATTCGAGGAAGTAAATCAGAAGGATCCTGGGTGTACGTAGTCTCATCGAGATTGAATATCCAAGGTCTAGGTACTCCGTGAGACTGACAATAGAAAGACACGGTAAGTAGAATGAACCTTGTCATTTATAAGTCTGACCCGCTCTGCTCATCCTGTCATACATGCATTGCATATGTATACAATACTAGTCTGTCTAAATATTAGTCTAACGGCAACGCCACTACGTAATAACATATGGTGATATGATAAGTATAAGAAATAATGTAATATATGGGGATTCCAAGGCAGAGAGTTTCCTGATCCTCGCTCCATTTCCGTACACACAAAGTTGACGGCAAATACTACTAGTAATAGATAAGCACAAGTAAGGAAGAAAATATTATTCTAGAAGGAAAAAGAAAAGAGCGAAAGAAAAGAGCCCAAACTCAAAAGATTGAAAAGTAAAAGCTTCTTCGTATTTACCTTGCCGCGTTAATGTACAGCACCATCAGACTCTTTGCAGTTCCAGGGCAATTTGCATGGGGGTATCTTTATTCAGAACTTTCTTTTCCCTCATTTCCCTCTTTTTTAATCATTTTCATTTTTTCCTTTTCCTCTCGAATCAATTCAAATACGTACTTTAATCGCGATATCGCCATTCAAAAATTCGGTACATCCTGTGATCATTCCAAACTTGGTTTTTTTGATTCGTACTCATCCAAGACCTATTAGATATATCAGTGACCTGAATAAAAGCCAAAAAAGGAAAGAAAAGTAAAAAGACGTTGTATGTGATCAAAAGCAAATTTACATTTTGATGTCTACATATTTAAGGCTAACTGTTTGCTTCAGAATCCCTTGTTCTCTTTCTCTGGATATGTCTTCTCATCAATGATCTGCAACCTGCATCGTACATCAATCAGCACGCCTTTGAAGGAACGTACAGCAAGAGAAAAAGCAAAATACGGGAAACCACTTCAAAAACAGGAACCTTATCTTATTTTACACAACGAAGCAGAAAAGACAAAATGTGTGACCATTTCGAGGTCACGTTTCGTTGCGGCCATATGCGAATATTGGTCAATGCCTGGTGCACCAAATATGCTAGCACTCATAAGCCTTGCCCGGCGAACATTGTTGCGAGGTAAGGGCTGAATCACGTGGCCAACGAATCATGAGAACTGATCGAATGGTTTCCTGAGCAGGGAACGCAGAATTGATGAAGATTGTGGTATGTCTTTCTACCTAGGAACCTGGGTACCGAGGTACCTGCACACACCAGTTGACTATAGATGGTGTTTGTATATGCAATTACATCAATCGTCTCGAACAAATTTGACACTCGACTTCCTAGAAAGCCACACCGACAAAACTGACTCGTGTTTTCTAGGATCATGCAAAAACAAAAAAGGGTAGCCCCCTTTTATTCTGTTCTGTCGACATTTCTTCAACTCATTTCGCGGCTATCATATTTCTAAAATTCGTCTTCCACAAGCATCAGTCAGGCAAAAAAACAAATTCGATGATGCCATGGATTTTTTTTAAAAAAAAGCAAAACTATATTCCATTGCTTAGGGCGGATAATCCTTCCACAGCCTCGGAACCGAAATCGTTTTAACTTTCTTTCTGGAATTTTCCTCACGAATTATCGAATGCGTTCTCCGGGGAGCAGCAAAACGGAAAACATCGCAAACGGCGCATGGCAATAAAATCGATCTCATTTCCTTCGACGGCATTTTCCCGGTGACTTTTGGATCTACGGACGACAAATTGTTTACGCATTTACATTGATTATTACCCGGCCGGCGGCTTGGACCGCTACGTTCCTGGAATTGTTTCGGGCGTTTGAAGAATCGCTTCCTTTCAAAGCTTACTTGCTTTTTTCGTTCTTCATCATCAATCCTCTGGTTCTGGGATATCTGTTACACATTTCCTTTCTCTTTTTTCTTTTTCTGCCTTGCGCGCGGCATAGATGAAATTCGGGACATGGGCATTTAGCATTGGTGTTCAAAACTGTTTCTTTTTCCTGTTTTATTATTTCCGGGATTGAATCCTTACATATAGCGTGTCTGGAATATGGTCAGAGCTTCATTTAATTCCCGTATTCACAAGTGCCGTCTGGGCCGTGGCCATTTCATCATTTCCATGGAGTTATGGACCATGTGGCCCACTGTCACATCAAGCTAACTAAAGTAGCTGCTAATTATGCCTGCTAGGCTGCTTTGCTCCATGCGTGTCAACTGTCTGTACCTGGTTTATATTCTAGTTCAGCCAGACGTTCTAATTTCCTGCTTAACGGACGGCGTGTGCATGTAACTTGACACTGCTTTATCTTCCTCAGGGTGTGCGCAGCAGGAAAGAGAAAGGAAATAGATACTTCATGTCGTCCGTCGTTCGACGTCGCGTGATGAGGGCAAGAGCAATCACGTGGTCTCGTCGCTCTTCGGACTATGTCATCGCACGAGAAATTCCCCACCAACTCCGTACGTATTTGTAGTAATATAAATGAAACAAAAACCGTTGAGAAAAAGGAACAGGTTCGGGAATTTTTTTTTACATGCCAGGTGATTGCCTAGTACGTATATATACAATTACTACAATGCTGTCGGTGCCCACTATTCATCATCGATAGACCAACGGCCCGCTCTGCCCGAGCCGGACCTTGTACCTAGTAGAGCCCGTCCCGCAAAAATATCGGACGAGCAGCGAGTAATATCACCATCTTGATCCTTGGATAGTGATACAATGCATGAGATCAGATTGGGTTTGAGAAGTCTATGAGTCCACGTTCAGAATTACATGGTCTGTGGGATTCCTCTGAGAGGTTCCAAAATTATGGCTAGCTTGCACGTAGGTACTCCGTCGGATTTCCTACAAGTCAGGATGCTACGTTGTGTGAATTTCCGAGCTTCCGGACCCATGATCCTATTCTTCAGGTTAAATTACACGGATGAGGCCATCATGGTTGCATTGACCACTGGTCATTGGTGTAGAGCTATCGCGAATTTGGATAATGCATATCTAGTCAGAACGATATGAGATCATGCATGATGCCGATTTGATCCTTGTTTTTAGGTAGTTCGAACAAGTCGATCACCAGCCGCTGACAAGTAAAGAAGTGTAGTGACAAATAGGAAAAGGGGATGAAGTGGTAGAGACAGTTGAGAGGTGACGAAGAAATGTAGTAATTTTCTGGTAGAAATTACATGCAATAAAGTTATACATGGAGACACTATGAAAAAAAAAAAAAAGTATCAGGCTTCCGTCGAGCCTGTTCAATCTTTGATTTGACAGGACGTGGAAAAGAAGACGAAATGGCTATGAAAAAATCAAGAAATATGCAATGGAGCGGTACTATTTCGCCGTTGTGTCGGACTCAGGAAGTTGAGTTATCGGATTCAGTCTCACCGCAGTCAACGCTTCTGGCAATTTGAGTGGCGCCGACGGTGTGGACTGCATCTTGTCGAGTTTCTCGCCTCTGAGAACCTTCTCCATTTCCTCTTTAGTCAGCGTCTCGTATTCTATGAGTGCTTTGGTGAGCAGCTCCAATTCTTTCCGCTTCTCGGTCAGAATCTTGGTAGCACGAGATCGACCTTCTTCAACAAGGCGTCTGATTTCGGCTTCAATTTCTTGTTTTGTTTCTGACGATAGCTTGTCGTAGTTTGTTGATAAGTCGACGTTTCCTAATTTCTTGGAATAACCGAATTGTGTGACAAGTGTGAAGGCTGTCTCTGTGGCTGATTGGATGTCCTATGGTAATCATGTCAGTGATCAACTATACAGTAAAAAGGGAATATGATGCTTACCGCGGAAATACCACTGGTCACATTGTCAGGACCAAAGATCAATTCCTCCGCAGCCTTGCCACCCATGGCGACATCAATATCGGACAGATACTCAACATAATTCCTAGAAACCATGTCCATTTCAGGCAAGAAATGAGTGATACCTAACGCCATACCACGAGGAACAATGGTAATCTTATAGAGAGGCGTAGCAGATGGAGAAAAGTAAGCAACAAGGGCATGACCGGCTTCATGGTAGGCAGTAAGCAGTTTGTCCTTATCTTGAATGATACGGCTTCGAGCCTCTGCGCCCATCATGATCTTATCCTTGGCCCAGTCAAAGTCCCTTGGTCCTACTCTGTCTTGTTTGTGTCGGCTGGCATGGACAGCTGCTTGGTTTACGAGATTCTCCAAGTCGGCACCAGAGAAGCCAGGAGTACCACGTGCGACAACCGCAACATCGACATCGGTACTGGTTTGTACACCTTTCATGTGATGCTTTAGAATTTCCATACGGCCTCTCACATCTGGAAGACCAACAACGACTCGTCGATCAAATCGACCAGGACGGGTCAAAGCCTTGTCGAGTAGCTGAGGGTAGTTGGTAGCTGCGAGAATGATAACACCGCTAGTTTGAGAAAAGCCGTCCAATTCGGTCAATAGCTGGTTCAAAGTCTGCTTGACATATGCCGCATCACGTTCGTTTCGCTTAGCGCCAATGGCGTCCAACTCATCAATGAAAATGATGGCAGGAGCCTTTGCACGAGCTTGAGTAAATAGATCACGTACGCGCTTAGCGCCAACGCCAACGTAAACCTCGTCAAACTCAGATCCAGACATGTAAAAGAAAGGTACMCCAGCCTCTCCAGCGACGGCGCGTGCAAGTAGCGTTTTTCCGGTACCGGGAGGTCCAACCAAGAGAACACCTTTGGGAAGTTTACCACCCAAGGTAGAGAATCGTTCTGGGTTCAACAAGAACTCAACCACTTCTTGCAGTTCATCCTTGGCTTCGTCGCAACCATGCACATCGCTGAAACGGACCTTTTGTTGTTGAGGCGTAGCTTCGTTGGTTTGAGTTCCTCGGACGTTCTTCAGAACACCAGTCGTTTCAACCAAGAGAGTAATCACCACAAGAGACATGTAGGTAAAGAAGCCAAAGATGAGAAGGAATCTCACCCAGCGAAAGACAGAGCTGCCTAGGGATTCCTCGACAACGACATATAATGGAGACTCTTTTGCGCCAGTTCCGGCTTGTTTTGTTGACACGCCAACCTGACTACCATGAGTACGAGCCGCTACCGCTTGTCCAACAGACTGCAGCTGCTCAGAGTCCAATCCTTGGCTGCCAGAAAATGAGCCTTGAACTGCGCCGTCACCCCCAAGTCGCTGGAGAGCCTTCAGGTAGATGGTCTCAGTAGCTGCGTTACTGGCAAATTGACCGGTTCGATAACGTTCGACGATTATGGCGGGCATGTTTGCGCGTAGGAGAGCTTGGTAAAAGGTGTTCTGAGCATTAGCACTGCCAGGATTGCTATTCGCCGCCCTTTCCTTTTGCGCAAGGAAGTTCTGCGATAGTCCTCCAAAAATCGACCTCTGTTGTTGGACCTTGGGACCCGACAGTACATTTGGCTTTCGAAATCCTTTGAAACCGATAGTTGACAACGAAGAATAGTTTCGGGTAGAGTGAGCGGAATGACTTGCGCCAACAAGCAAGCTTGCCGTTCTTAACGTGTTTTGTCCAAAAGTAGGCCTTCGATATACCTGACCCAGCGCGAGTTGAGATCTCATCTTGTCGAGAGGTACCGGTCGCAACGCTTCTTGGAGTGAAAATGGTTCGACCTGGAACAGAAGTTTAGTATGCAACATACATCGAAAATGATCGCCACGGACCCTTACCGATACCGGTGACGCTTCGGTGTGCTGTCTGCGAGTAGAAGGAGCTCTATAAACTGTATTGGCACGGCGCCAATGAGAATTCATCAGCGCCCAGATGTCGGAAGTAGCGGATTGTATGTTCTAGTCGTAATTCAACTGTGTTAGTCTTGTAGAGTAAGCCCGTCGCAGAGAACTCCGACTCACCGGCAAATTGACTGTAGCGTTGAAAGCCATGACTGTAGCTCAGCGGCACCTGGCCGCAACCACACTGAGAAAAGACCACAGTCCGAGCGTAAGTGCGATTATACGTCCTCGAGTAAGACCAAAAAATATCAAAATGCAATGAGATGGATTATGCGATTGGGAGGATGAACTGAGGGTGGTGATGATGCGCTCAGCGTATCGTACAGATGCCTGCTGGAACTGCGGCGAAATTCGTGGACGGCCGGATATCATTTGCCACGATCGACCTCCGCTTCCATATGCAGATTAGTCATATCGGTATATCACGTGACTGCATATAATCAATTAGGTGCCCGCTTGCTTCTACCTTGCGGATTTGCTGAATCGAGTTATTATAAACACAACCATGTCATGATCTAGCCAACTACTACAATAGTGTAATTGACTATGCCATCCACAGACAATGTCGCGGAAGACCATCTTTCTGATGGGAGCTCCATCCGGAAAACTACAATGGGATGATAAGGATCTTCTCCAGGTCGCTGTACCGCCATTCACTAAGCTGTCTACTACCATTCCATCTACAAGCAACTCATCCGGGACGGATTCGACCAAATGGAGGGTCTTACAAAGCGCCGGTACGGCTAGGCTGCATCATCCAGAGTGGACGCAGGATACGCTTTTTCTAGATACCGCCAACCTGCCTGCTAAAATGCCCAGGATGTCCGATGATGTTCTTCTTTCGCAATTTTATGAACATTCACTGTCTGTTTTAGGGACAAGCTTCTCCTCTGAGTCTGATAACAATGACACTACTCTGCCTTTTGATGAAGATAGTGACATCAATGAGATCACAAGCTCCGGGATTGCGGGCAGCGCCGAAGCAGTACCTTTCCCTTATCCATGTGAACTGCATAATATCAAGGATATCCCCAATACAACGTATCTTCGATCCATAATTCCGCAAACTCCGAGTGTCAATCTTGTTGTGGCAGTCATAGGCATCAACCCCGTACGGCGAGTGACAGCACGACAATCAAAACAAGAGCTAGATATCTTGGAGATCATTGTCGGAGACGAGACCAGGACCGGATTTGGAGTTACTTTCTGGCTTCCCAGAAACCATAAACAACTAAACACTCTTGCCGCTGAGTTTAGAGAGAAAATTTTGGGCATACGCCTCCGCGATATCGTACTTATAAGGAACGTGGGACTAAGTTCCTTTCAGGACCTGGTATACGGTCAAAGTCTTTGGAAAGGTATGACCAAAGTGGAACTCTTGCATCGACAACAGGTTGACTCGCAAGATGTCCAGGGGGCATACTCTACAGTCGCGATTGAAACAGCGACTCGTGAAGATAGACTACTTTACAAAGTATGCAATGTGCGTAACTGGTTGATGAATTTTGTCGGGACTAAAGCGCGATGTGGCCGTCATGATGTTGGACAGCCATTACCACCAGACACTCAGTAAATTGAACTCGTCATTCGATTACTCGTCAGCGTTACACCTACTTATCTATCTATCTATCTATATATATATTCATGTAACAATAAGGGATGATTATTGTATCCATATCATAAATCATTAAGTACTATTCATCATAGTTGAGCGAGTTCGTTCGCTTTCGGCCACAAAAGATGTTCCCGTCTGTCACATTCCCCAAAACGGAAGTTGACCCCTACGTATTTCGACGATCCACATGTAAGGATGCAATAGATATCTAATAAAAAATGGGAAAAAGAATGAAAATATGACTAGAATGTAAACATTATCGTCCTAATCTTGGCCAAATTCCCTTGCTAAAAAATAGCCGTATAGTCGACTTTCAGGCTAAGGAGGTAGACCCTACGCAAACCCTAGACGCGACACCTTGCAAGGAGAGAAAAAGCAGCAAAATGATCGAAAATCAGTCAGAGAAGAGCGGCGGCCAGATATTAGAGCACAACAATAATAGCAGCAGCAGTCGCGACATTGAGAATAATTTTCTGAGTGAAGGCTCTACTCCTCCTATCTCGAGTGGTGCTACTACACCTCCGCCAAAGCCTGTCTTACCAGAAGGTGGCCGGCAAGGATGGTTGGCAGTGTTGGCTTGTTGGTGTATTATGTTCAACACATTTGGATATATCAATGCTTTTGGGTATGTTTATCCTTTTATGTGAGGTTGTGGCTTCGTATAGTCGATGCTGATGCCATTGGTTAGCATTTTCGAGGCATATTACAAAAGCACTATATTGCCTCATGAAAGTCAATCCAGCATTGCTTGGATAGGATCCATCCAAGTCTTTTTCATGTTTTCAGCAGGACTCATATCTGGTCCGCTAATGGACCGATATGGACCAAGAGTCAGTATTCATTGCCGCTTTCTGAACCGAGAGGCTAATTGAGAATAGCCGATTCTGATTCCATGCTCATTCCTCTTTATTCTGTCGGTTATGCTCACAAGTTTGTGTCGCGAATATTATCAATTCATTCTCGCACAAGGCATACTAGGAGGTCTCACCAATGGTCTTACGTATACTCCTGCGCTGGCCGCAGTTGGACACTATTTTTCGAAGAAACGACCTCTTGCCATGGGTATTGCTTCGACCGGCGCTTCAATCTCCGGCATTACACTCCCAATTGCTCTTAACCGTCTCCTTAATCAAACGACAGTCGGCTTTGGATGGTCGGTTAGAGTGTTGGGGTTTGTGATGCTCGTCCTAAGTGTCATAGCGTGTCTGTCTGTTAGCTCGAATGCGCCCAAAAGACGCAGTGGACCTCCTCTCCTGCTGAAAGCTTGGAAGAATCGAGCGTATTCGCTCCAGGTCGCTGGTACATTTCTGGTGATATGGGCTGTCTTCGTCCCATTATTCTACCTGCCAGGGTTTGGACAATCCATCGGATTGAGCGTGGATTTGTCTTTTTATCTCCTTGCAATCCTCAACGCAGCATCGCTGTTTGGTCGACTTCTTGGCGGCGCGGCTGCTGATCGCATGGGTCGAATCAACACTTTATCATTCGCCTGCCTAATCTGCGGTATTCTGATTCTCTGCTGGTTACCTATTCGAACCCAGGGAGCGATTATCGCATTCGCAGCTCTGTTTGGATTCTTTTCCGGAGCAGTCATTGCTGTGTTTCCGGCGACAATTGCCATGACGGCGCCTCAACCAAACGAAATCGGGTCGTATCTGGGAATGGCGTTGGGTGTGTACAGTTTTGCAGGTTTGAGTGGCACGCCCATCACGGGAGCCATGATCAACGATCATAACTCGTACCGTCCAGCAATCACTTTTGCCGGCGTGTCAGCCTTGCTCGGAGCGCTGATCATATTCGCGTCGAGGTATTATATTGCAGCAACCAGGATGGTTGTGTGACGCTGTCGGAGACCCATGGATGACATTCGGTCAGGTGGTTGACTTGTGAATGGTTTCATTCGGCGTACAGAGGGGAAATTGTTAGGTGGCGTCCTTGTCCATTGGTCAATGGCGACCAAGGGGTTGTCATCACGTGTTTTGAGGGAGTCGTTGACTCGTCGACGGTCTTTCCTGTGGTTGCGGCGGCAGGCTCCGTTTGCCACTCAATGCGGAGTATCTCATGTTTGTCCATCACATGGCACGTACATAATACTATGTAAATACTACGTATCAATAAAATTTTCGTATCCGATGCGTATGTCATGGACGAAATTGAAACATGCCAGATTCGTCCAGAACAACTGTTATACGAATCCGGCTGTCAATTGGCTGTGAGAGGTTTTATTGCTCGGTACCTAGGTCCACCGAGGGACGGGGCGAACGCGTACTACATAGTACATCACATTCGTAAACTCGTAAGAGGCAGTTAATGGCGGGCGATTGGTGGTACTTGGCACTCCAGACGCTCTGGCTTCTTAATGAGCAGGGTCAATTACTATAACAGTGCCAGTTTCAGGGGGGAAATAGCCAAGTGGCTGCAAACGAGTGCCTCAACAGTCCTCGGGGGCCAGGTGACCAGTGGTGTCCCAGAGCGGCAACACTCTTAGGGTCAAACTGCCCCACATAGGCAAGCTCCCAGAACTTCCAAGCCACGATTCACCTCAAACTAGGCCAGGCTCGCTTTGCATGACAGTTGTTCTCTACGCATACCTTTCTCCTTCTCTTTTCTTCTTACTTTCTTTCTCTTCGCCCATACCATCGCGCATTGGGTCATTGAGCATCGAACATTGGATTTCACGGAAGCTTCATCAACTACGTACTACATACCGTACTATTCTCTAGTCCTGTCGCCCACTACTGCGCTGGTCGTCATCGATTCGAGCCAGGAAAAGAGAACACAACACTTCTATCCTTTAATTCACAGTATTCTCTCTATCCACAATGAAAGGTAAGCTCCTGCTCATCAATCAGTTTTTCGGCACAAAGCTAATTGATCGGCAGCTTTAATTCTCGTCGGAGGGTTTGGAACCCGTCTACGACCCCTCGTACGTTCCCCTCCGCTGCCTACAAGTCTAGCCCAGCGTCAATTGATTGCGCAACTCATTGAAGCTAATTTTTGACTGCATAATGATAGACCCTCACACTCCCAAAACCTCTGGTCGAATTTGGCAATCGTCCCATGATTCTCCATCAAGTTGAAAGCTTGGCTGCAGCCGGCGTCACTGACATTGTTTTGGCTGTTAATTATCGTCCCGATATTATGGTGGCAGCTTTGAAAAAGGTATGCGACTGTCGTAAGAGTCCTTAATCTAGGCTAATACGTTATGACAGTACGAAGAACAATACAATATCAACATCGAATTCTCCGTCGAGTCTGAGCCCCTGGGTACCGCCGGTCCCCTGAAGTTGGCAGAAAAGATCCTTGGCAAGGATGACTCGCCATTCTTCGTCCTAAACTCCGATGTCATTTGCGAATACCCCTTTAAACAGCTGGCCGAGTTCCATAGAGCACACGGCGACGAAGGCACAATTGTGGTTACCAAGGTCGACGAACCATCGAAGTACGGTGTCGTTGTTCATAAGCCCAACCATCCCTCGCGAATTGACCGTTTCGTCGAAAAGCCTGTCGAGTTCGTCGGAAATCGTATCAACGCCGGTATCTATATCCTCAACCCAAGCGTTTTGAACCGTATTGAATTGCGCCCAACTTCAATTGAGCAAGAGACTTTCCCCGCCATTGTCAAGGAGGGAAAATTGCATTCTTTCGACCTTGAAGGTTTCTGGATGGACGTCGGCCAGCCTAAAGACTTTCTAAGCGGTACTTGCCTGTATCTTACGTCGCTTGCCAAGCGAAACTCGAAGCTCCTTTCGCCTTCTTCCGAGCCTTTTGTGCACGGGGGCAATGTGATGGTCGACCCCTCTGCGAAGATTGGCAAAAATTGTCGCATTGGTCCCAATGTCGTGATTGGTCCCAACGTTGTCGTCGGTGATGGAGTACGACTTCAGCGATGTGTTCTTCTTGAGAACAGTAAGGTCAAGGACCACGCCTGGGTCAAGTCGACCATTGTCGGATGGAACAGCTCCGTCGGCAAGTGGGCACGTCTAGAGAATGTCACCGTTCTTGGTGACGATGTCACCATCGCCGATGAGGTTTATGTCAATGGAGGATCCATTTTACCTCACAAGAGCATCAAGCAGAATATTGATGGTAAGTTAGGTAGTCGTCCAAAAATTGAGGTATCAACTAATGTAGTTTCTTCCTGCAGTACCCGCTATCATCATGTAAGCTGCTACAGCTATCACCTTCGGCTTCCGGCGCATTGATGCACTTTCACGCCCTGTCCGAGTCGCTCATACTCCTTCTCATCCGCTCTACAACAATTTACCTTCACATGTTCATCTTATTTCTCCTTAAGCCCTGGTGGCGAGAGGGGCTTCGTTTGTCTTCACTGTATGCATCTAATCCAAAAGGCGCACATTGTCTGAGTTGTCCTCATCTACTCAATTGAGTGACGATCATCAGGCACTGCGCTATCAGCCACGTTTTTCACCTTAGTCACACGCTTTATAACTGAAAAGATGCCCCCTGCATCATCATCTTGCGATTCCAGCCCTGTCGCGCACACACATACCCCCGCATCATCTCTTCTCGTTTTGACTCGAGACGAATCTCCTCTGCTCTCTTCAATTTCTAGCAAATCCAATTCTAATCAATTTAATGTCATTTCATTTCCCCCTCAGTTCTGCGCTTCTACAATTATGTATAATGCGATTTCTGCCACTGCTCCTCAAAAAGAAACTATTTATTCGAATCTTCTAGCTTAGCTGCTTGTTTTTGTTCGTTGTTATTTTCATGGCATATTTTTAGGGTGGAAATGAGAAAATCTTGGTGGGTTTAGAAAGGAAAGACACAGTATGGAGCAACATCGAAGTATACGGAGATTTAATCCCTATTTCGTCTACAGCAGACACCAAAAAAAAGGTTTCAAAACAAGATGATGTCGAATATTTTTGGGAAGGGAAAGGTAGAGGAAAGAGATACGGAAAAGAATATCTTTGATATCAATGTGAAACTAGGTGAGAAGGATGATTGTATACCTATATAGCAAGTAGATAGGTATGTAATGAGAGGATTTCATTACTTGGAAAGCAAGAACGATACACTTGCCAGTGGCCTTTACTAACTATTTGCTTGATTTAAGCACCGAAACGCTTTTCAGCAGCCTTCCAGTTGAGGACCTCCCAGATAGCCTTGAAGTACTCGGCCTTGCGGTTCTGGTATTGGAGGCTGTGGGTTCATTTGATTAGTCTCGCTGTTCCTCTTGGAGAAGTTAAGAAATGGTGACAACTTACTAGTAAGCGTGCTCCCAGGCATCGACACCGAGAAGAGGGGTGTATTGGCCAACGACAGGGTCCTGGTTCTATTCACCCAGTCAATCGTGTCTTCTCATCCAAAGGAGAACTGAGTAAACTCACAGCATAAGTCTTGATCGAAATATCCCCCGTCTCCTTATCCTTCACCAACCACGCCCAACCACTACCCTGAATCGCAGCAAGAGCAGTGTTGAACTTATTCTGAAACTCCCCGAAGCTACCATACGTCTCATCAATAGCCTTACCAAGCACACCGCTGGGGGGTTCACCACCACCGGCACTCTTAGGAGCCAAATTCTCCCAGAACAAGGAGTGGTTGATGTGGCCACCGCCGTGGAAGTTGATGAGCGGCTTAAGGGCGATTTGAGCTGCAATGTCGTTCTTGGCCTGCGCTTCTTGGAGCTTTTCGATGTTGGTGTTGTAGCCGGTCACGTAGACGTTGTGGTGGCCCTTGTGATGTATTTCCATGATTTTGCCGGAGATGGATGGTTCGAGGGCGCCGTAGTCGTCTTCACTTTTTGTTAGTAACTTGTCGTTAAGCTTCTGAGGTTCGAGGTATGGCCTGGTCTTATAGCCGGTTGCAAGAGTGCGGATAGCTTCGGGGACCCAAACTATGGCCTGGCATCCAAGAAAAGCAATGAAATAGAGAATAATTCATGGAAACCTACATGACAGATCAGGCAGAGTGACCTTGGTGCGAACAAAGCTGGTTCCAGCAAGACCAGCACGAGAAGCCGAAGCTCCAGAGCGCAGAGCTGCGCGAGCGGTGGAGTTGCGCAAAAGAGTAGCAGACATTGTTAATTTACTTGGGAACTGAAGTTAGCTTGATTCTTTACCCAAACTTAAACTCAATTGGAATGGAGAAGGACTTACTACAAGATTCCTGACTCAGATAGATGATGTTTTGAAAATTGAAGATCCGTATTTCAAATGCTCGGAAGCTGGGACTGGCGATAACCGGAAGGAGCATAGGCCAACAAAACGTCATCGGAAGTAACGTAAACCCGCGGCTTGCTATTGGAAATTCGTTTTTCCGTGTTCCGCCTAGAAGCTTGAGTCTTATCTCCGTTCGGAAAATTAAAGGTGCCACGATAAACATGTCTAACTTTGTATATATTTGAACCACAAGACGAACAGCGTCTTATTTGACTGAAGACAACGGTCTACCCATCAGTTCGCGTCGGAGGCGAGGTTTCGAATGATCATCAAGAACGACAAGATGGACTACGACGACGATGAATCCCCAGCGCGATCGCCTTTTGCAGGACAGAAGCGCAAACTGCGGGAGGTGAGCTCTTCAGACGAGGAAGAAGAAGCTACTGCTCGGCCATCGTTTGGATTTCAGCCTTTCCGGCGCGCTGCTTCTCGCTCCGAATCCCCGCCAACGATGACCGCCGGCTTGGGTGGCGGCGCTGCTCGAAGCGCCTGGAACAGCACTGCATCTACCCCAACCGCTACAATGCAAAGTCGTGGGCGCGGAGGAGGAACTGGTGGAGGTGACAATAAAGGCGGATCTACCATGGGGAAGAACTCATTTGCGGCCAGGATGATGGCGAAGATGGGTTACGTCGAAGGCCAAGGTTTGGGTGAAGGCGGTCGCGGTATTGTCAATCCGATCGAGGCGCAGGGGCGTCCACAAAGAATCGGTCTCGGTGCTGTCAAGGAGAAATCAAAACAGGCAAGAGAGGAGGAAAAGCGACAGGCTGCTGCGAGAGGCGAAGTCATTGAGGATAGTTCTGACGAAGGACGACAAAGACGGCAGAAGCGCAAGGCTCAACGGCATAAAGCTGATGATCGTAGTGGAGTATCAACGCCAGCTGGTCCGCCCAAGACTAGGTTTCGGACAGCCCGAGAATTGGAGGCGGAGGTCGAAGGTCTTGTTGTGCCTAATGTGCTCAAGTCACTGGTTGATGCGACGGGAAGGGAACAGAAAGTTCTGACGTCTACCGCCGGATTAATGACTCCTATGGAATTCGTGAATCAAGCAGAAGGAGAAGCTTTGAAGATTGCTCGGCGTGCACGCCATGATCTCGAAGCATTTGTCGATGAGTGGAAGGGCCTGACGGAGCGAAAGAAGTTCATTGACCTGGAGGAAACCCAAGTTGTCGAAGAGATGGATAGTTATCAAGTCAAATCAGAGCAACTGGCACGTTTGGTATCGGCTCTCGAAGGCATCCAGATAATGGAACCCAGAGAGACTATTTTACAACGATTCGAAGAAGTTACGAGCAAGCTTGAATTGATCGAAGTTGAGTATCGGGATGTTATTGACGAATATCGGCTTTCGGATGCAGCTGTAGCTGCCATTCATCCTTTGTTCCGCGAAGCCATGGAGGAGTGGGAGCCCTTGAAAGATCCCACCTTTCTTGTTGCAGACCTCTCGCGTTTACTCCCCCTTCTTTCTAGGAAAAGTCAGCAGATTGAAGACGAGCAAGTACAAAGACACCGGCAGTCTACATCACCCTTTGAAAGTCTCATATATTCTATTTGGCTTCCTCGCGTACGTTCTGTGCTCTTGAACGAGTGGGACGTCTACGAGCCGTCGCCCGCTACGTCGCTTGTTGTTGCGTGGAAGGATGTCATCCCCACTTTTGTCTATTCGAATATCCTCAATCAAGTCATAGTGCCTAAGCTTAGCGCTGCAATTAGGGAGTGGAAACCTCGCAGCAGTCGTCGACATCCCGACTCATCACAGGGGTCTCGATTCCCATGGTGGCTTTTCACATGGTTGCAGTACCTGGATGAACGACACACTAACCCCAGACATGCAACCGGACTGCTTTCTGATGTGAGACGAAAGTTCCGCGTCATCCTAGACACATGGGATCTACGAAAGGGTTTGTTGAATGGGGCTGATCTATGGAAAGAGGCTCTTGGCTCAGAGTTTGATGCTGCCCTTCACAAACACCTACTTCCACGACTCGCGCGTCATTTGCGAGAAAACTTTGAAGTCAATCCTCAAGATCAGAATTTGACTGCATTCGAAGATGTGCTCAAATGGAAGGATCTATTTAAACCAAAGGTCTTCGGTCTACTCCTGGTTGCGGAATTTTTCCCCAAGTGGCACAATATTCTGTATATCTGGTTGACGAACGATCCCAACTTTGAAGAAGTCGCCGAGTGGTTCACATGGTGGAGATCTCAGATCCCCGCGGATCTCAATGAGATCGTCATGGTCGATGAGGAATGGACCCAGGGCCTTAAAATGATGGACTTGGCCTCCCAACTCGGCGATCGTGCCGCAACAGAACTTCCTGCGCCTGAAAAGATTCCCACAGCAGCACCAATCACTGCCGCCGGTCTTCAACCTGAAAAGACCGTCCCCGCCAAAGCGGCGAAACCAAAAGCTCCTGTCAAAGAGATCGCTTTTAAGGATATTGTGGAAGAATGGTGCGCAGATCAAGGTCTTATCATTCTGCCACTGCGAGAAGCGCACCCTCAAAATGGGCAGCCTTTATTTCGGATCACCGCCAGCGCGAGCGGCAAAGGAGGGGTTATTGCATTTTTACAGGGAGATGTTGTCTGGGTGCAGAACCGCAAGGCACGGGATACCTGGGAGCCGATGGGTTTGGAGGATCAATTGGTCGAACGTGCCGAGGGGAAATAACATCATGGACATGGCATATTAGTGTGTGACACACGATTAAATGACTTATACTGTATGATAGAAGCAGATTCTCAAAAGGAGCAGTATGCATAATGATTACATAGCAATGATACCATATTGATTTTGTCAGTATTATCTTGCAAATTATCAGGTACCTAGATAAGGCTTAACTAATGGCTGTAACGACTTGACCTTCCAAATCTCGCTGTATACATAATTAGTGTTGTTCTAGTCGAGACCGTATTAATCTCGACAATGGCTAGTATATCTGCTTTTCTGCCTTCTATCCATCAATCTTTATCGTCTATCCGTCATTTGGTATGCAAGTAAAACAACATCAATATTTCAAAGGCATCAACACACTACCATTGCGTCTCATCACCAACTAACCAATCCCTTTTCTCTGTCAAACCCACCTCGCAACTGATCCGGCTTCACAAGCTTACCCTGCAAAATCGTAAACTTGATGATGTTCTCACACTCCTCTGGACGCACTCGCGCCAGCCAAATACCCTGAGCCGCACCTTCATCTTGACTCTGCTGAGCTTGAACCTTCTCCTCCTCCGTAGCTGCTGCCGCCGTTGACGAAGACGCAATCTTCTTGTGCCAATCAAAATCTCGTCGTCGGTAGATAATGACATTAGCAGAGTATTTGTGACCACCCACGTGGCTGATAAAGTGAACGGCGACACCACCGGGTCGCTCATCGTGGGAATCCCTGTATAGACCGTGAGTGCGCAGATGGCGCTCAAATTCGCGTTTCAGTAGAGGAGCGGATTGGCCGCAGCGAGCGTCGCGAGTCTTTTGGCTGCAGAGGAGGATGACAGCTGCATGAGGCAGGGGCCGGGATCGGAGTGGTGTCAGTGACGATAAATCTTGCTCACTGATCCCGTTAGCAGGGATTGTTGTTGTTGATGGATTGCTACGAAGTGGTGTCGTGGTGGTAATCGATGGATTGACAAAGTACTTGATCAGATCCGGCGCAAGGGCTGGGGTGACGTGGTCAATGATCTTGAATGCGGGTAGCAAGACAACTGTGGTAGGTCTGGCGCCATCTTCTGCATGATGATATTCATCGGGGACCGGAATATTAGAAGCAGATAGCTTCAGATTCTGCAGATACAGTCAGCTCCCATTCCAGAGGATGATGAGAGGTGTGAACACACTCCATTAGTAGGTGTCAAACCGCCTTTATCAATAGCCTCCATCACACTCCCCTTCTCATCCGCCACATCCCTAACCCAATCCGCCTTTCCTGTCGCAACAAGTACATGAGTAGCCCACCCTTTTACATGTCCATACAACTTATCACTCATCTCAACTTCAAACCTCGCCGGGTAATGGATCGTACAACTAGAGCAGTCATGATCACAATCCTCACCGTCTACTGCGGGATCAACCTTGGGAAACAAAGCGGTCTGTGTCGATGCTGTTTTGAAGCCGTAATTCTCGTCGTCGTCCGTGGTGGCGGGACTGCCGGTGCGCGGAGATAGGAGCTCTGCGCCGCGGCGGAGAAATTTCTGCATGTTTTCGTGATGAAGTTAGGGTTTTACACACGCACTGTCGGTTTGAGATACAGCGAAGCCTCTTTTGATTAGGAAATATTTGTGAATCCAGTGCAATCGAGGATGTTTCTACAAACAATACTCAAGTTGTGGTCTTGTAAACGCTGCACGGTGGGGTGTTGACGCAACCTCGGAGATATCTTATCTGATCAAACGTCATCTCCGAGCTCTCGGAGTTGTTGCTACAGCACCACTTCTTCGGGTTTAAGCGTGTTTACGACGTCTGTAAAGAAAAAGATTCTGTTGGTATTAATAAGACGATGGTATTATGTACTAAAATAATATATGTACAAGGTGAATTAAAAATTAGATGTGAGGCTCATACAGAGCCTGCAGTGTTCAACCTTGATAGGTTGATCTCGTACGGAAGTTCTGACGGACTGCGCGTTCTCGTGAGACGAATGACGCTGCCGCCGCCGGAGCTCTGAGAAGCAATCGATCGAGCGCGCGATACAGACCTCGACCACGGGCTTTGCAGGCCACGACTCGCATACCGGTCCGTATGTCGAGCAAGTGTCGGCGAGGAGCCAGAGGGCTCCATTGGCGCAGTATGCACGGAATGGAAACTACTGCTCCATGTCGACGAGTCTGTGCTCCGTTCACGCCGCAGAGGAACAATACTCTGTTCCGAATTCAACGTATCGGTTTCCCCCTCTTCGTCTGATGGACCGATGAATGACTCGCTATCAACCCTAGACTCAAACCCTCCAAGTTCTTGCAAATAATGGTAATCCAACTCCTTCATCCCTCGCAAAATCTCCGCAAATATTCCCATCAATGCCCGAAACTCATCCTCGAATAACGGACGAGATGAGAAGCGTGACTGCTCATAGATAACCAAGAATTCAGATCCCAACTCAGGCGGATTGATCAAACCAAAAGTTGTAAGGTGTGCAATATACTCCCGCAACCCCATCGCCGACGGTCTTTGCAACAACTCGACCAACCGCGGGTCGGGAGCGTCGTCGTCCCCGGGCATTGTAGGATCAATAAAGCCCCTCACAGGCTTTGAAGGAACGAGAGAAACCGCTTTAGCTTCGATCAAATGCGGCAGCTCTTCGATGACCGACTCATATCGTAATCCAGGTAAATCAGTAGACGACGGCGCTGACCATCCAGCATGCGATACTGCACCCCACGGCGGTCGATCAGCCGCGATAGAGAGCTCAACATCATGGACCGGTTCGCTGCTTTCGTCTGACACATTACGTGGCCGTGCCTGAAACGCAATTATCGCACTCCGATTCAGACCTTCCTCCACCACTCTCTGCACCTTTTTATCCACCTCGCCTTTCGAAACGGGTATCCATGCTTTTGGGATTCCGCTAAGCGCGGTACGATTCGTATATATACGGCTTGCGTAAATCAGCAGGCCGAGCAGGACCGTGAGGACATATACACCAGCAACGATGAAGATATTCGTAAATCTATGGTTGACGCGACACTGATAGATGAAGTCGCCCGGGGTGAGAAGGCTGAGGGCGAGGAGAACGATCGTGAGGATGAAATAGACCGTCGAATTGAGGATACTAAGAGCATTAAAAATCATTGTGGAAAGGTAATTCCATGGCTTCGCAGACCGGGTTGTTCTCGGTGCATGTGAGCGGACAGCTCACTAGACCAGCGAACCCTTTTGCTGCCGTTGCGATGTGGTGATAGCGGTTACTCTAGAAAATGAGGAGGAGCTCGGATGAACGTATGACGGAGAAATGGAGATGACGATGTTTGTTGCTGGTGTATCACGTGATTGCAATGCCGATGAATACCTAGGCAATTGGACAGTTAGTAGCCGTGGCTATACGATTTCCGATTTATTTTCAACTTATTAATATCAGCTGACGGCCGTAAGCTAGACATAAATGAAATTCGTAAATCCCTCATTCAATATATGTTCATGTATCTACATCCCAAAGGCAATTCTCTCTTCATCCTCGGTTTACAGATCTCCAGCATCTAGTGTGTATAGCAAAATCTCACGAAAATTGCAACATCGCTTAATCCTCCTCAATGGCAACCTCATCTTCCAATGTCGGGCCTACATTCTCTCCTCTGGCGCGACGGACGACACGTTCAATGCCGTCCAAACCCTTCTTCAAGACTTCCATCTTGGGTCCGTAACTGAGACGCACGAAGTGATGGCAAGGACTATCGAACAAATCACGACGCTTGGCAGGGTTCAAGTCGAAGAAGATACCAGGAACGACAATAGTCTTCTCTCTCAACAAAGCATTGAAGAAGTTAAGACCGTCGGAGATGTTGGCACTTTCGGGCAGAGGAGGCTCGATTGAAGTCAAGTCCAGCCAGATGTAGAAAGTGGCCTCTGGGATATCCTTGATACGGAAACCAATCTCCTGGAGACGACTAACGACATAGTCGCGTTTGTTACGGAAATGAAGTTGCAGTGCCTTCATCTCTTGCTTTACGAGGGATGGTTCGAGCATAGGAACGGCTGCTTCTTGGAAAGGGACGTTGGCACCACCGTCCAAGTAGGAACCTGCAGACCCGAGAGCCTCAACGAACTCCTTGGGTCCGACAATCCAAGCGATACGCCATCCTGGAAGACGGAATCGTTTGGTCAGACCGTCAATGAGGAGAACATCTGATTACATTGTCAGCCTCCGTTTTCTATATTAAAAGACTCAGCTGACGTACCATCCTGATCAACATCGATAACATTCTCAGCACCACTCAATGTCGTTCCGTCACAGTCAGTGGTGTAATTGTAACCGCCATAAAACTCATCCAAGATGAGGGTAGCACGATCACGGCAAATATCTTGAATCTTGGCAAGATTCGGGTTCTGGATAACGTGACCAGTGGGGTTACGAGGGTTTGATGTCAAAAGCACCGAGGTACCACGCGCAATCTCCTCTGCGATCTTATCAGGGTGAATTTGATAGTGATCACCTTCCGAAAGGGGGATGGGAATAGGAGAGAACTAGCACGGGTCAGTATCTTTTCCTCGACAACAGTCAAATTGGCTGACATACGTTCTTGAACAAAGACAACATCTCCGAATAGGCGGTATAATCGGGGATAGGGAACGACAAGTACGAGTTTCCCAGAATAGCCGCAATTCTGATCAACCCGGCACGACCACCAGGCACAATGCACACATTCTCCCATGTGTATTGGCTCTCCTTGCCCTGTCGGTACTGCTCATTATAGAGCCGAGCTACAGCAGCACGGAGAGACTTGATACCGGCAGTGGGGCCATATTCTCGGGCAGCCGAGTCGATGGGAATCGTCGTCGGACGAGGGAAACTGCCAGCAATATCGTCGTCTGCCTCGGGAGCACCCTGGCCTAGATTGGCCCAGTCTCCAGGACGTTCTGAGAAGCCATGCTCATTGGCACGCTCTGTGCACCAGATGACACCTGTAGAAGCACGGGAAGCGTCGAGACCGGCGTGGGGTTTGTGACCTTCGTGCGCAGAACGGAAGTGACGATGGGTTTCGGAATTCTTTTCTATTTAGATAGAAGCAGGGTCTTTGATTAGCGGAGATCTAACGCATACTGCGATGGAGAAAAAGGAAAGAAGATGTGTGACAATGCTGGAGGTAAGCGTTTGCCAAGAACGAAGTTTGACCGCTCCGACTGGATATGAGGGGGAAGATTTCAATACTTCGACAGGAAGCACTCGACAAACATACCGTTCTGAGAAAGATCCTTGCTGGCAGAAAAACGCCTGGTTTCTGCAGGACGCAGAATGCTCACACGGCGACCGGAGAACGACATCTTGGATTTGTAGATGGTTGTTGCGATAGGTTTGTGTTCAAATGTTTTTCTGGGGTAACGACTTTCCACGGAGTTAGCACTTGGCACAGGTCAGGTACAGATCTGCCAAGACTCAACGAGATGCATACCCAGTTTTCCCGGACAGGCAGTATCAAGAAGAATTACAAGTCCCTTTTTGATCAATTCAACGATTATGTATGATGTTCAGAAATTGATCTTAAAATACTTCATGTAAAATCTGTCAACAAGAGCAAGAATTAACTGGAAGTAGTACGTAGTAGATCTACTGGAGGACGCCACGTATTTATTCGTTAGGTAGCCGCGCGCTATCCATGAATCGTTGTCTCATCAGAGTCACCACCAAACTCATCATCTCCTTCGTCAAACACGCAAATGCCACAGTGCAATTTAATCACTCATGTTCTAGCCCTGAAGGCTGACGTGACGAAACGCTCGGGTCAGCAATGGTTATAGCTCATCGGGATGATGAATCCGATGAGACATTTTATTTTTCTTCTTCTTCGAAGAACGACTACGTACTGCGCCACTTGGCTTCAAGGTTCACAGTCCAAACTTGCAAGCCTTAGCCATAAAAAAGAGGTCCTTACTGAAACAGGAATACGCCGATCGGCCCATAAGCCGGTCGGGCGCCCCGAAAAAAAGCGCTGCATGTACTATGTAAGAGAAAGGCTGCCCAAGTTTCTTGCACTGGCTAACGGCGCAAGAAAAAGCAAAGAAAGACGAGAATAGAAAATCCCGCCCCCTTAAGTCACAAGTGCCCAACCCGAAAATGTGACCAAAATGTCGACTCCTTTGCGCATATCGCGGAATGTAAGTATGTCATGTCATTGGCTTGCACAAACGCCTCCCTGCCTTGCCCATATGCCGGCTAGCCGATCGTGTATCCCTGCTAGCTTTGCATTGCAGGGAGTTCTGAATCTGTTGAGTCGCGTTACAAGGACATGGATGATCACGTAGGCTATTGAGTAACTAGAAATTCTGGCAAACTATTAAATTGGACTCAGTACATGCTGTCAAACAATACAAATATCAAGATTCATTTCGAGGTACATGACGGTTCGTTCAATGCTCATTAAAATGCAAAAATGCCTCTAAGAAGAAATTTGTAGCACCAGATTGCGGAATCCGATCAAATGGTTATCGAGTACAGCTGGCCAAAGACAACTGAAACAATTAATCGGATCGTAGATGAGCCACAACGGGCTATTAGTAGAAGAAGCAGAAGGAGCAAGAATAGCAGTAGTGAATCAATAGAGCAAGGCTCAACACCGGGTACTGGTCATAACGAGTTGCATCATACCAGTCTCTTGCTGATGAACAAATGTAGAACGCTTGACGATCATGATCTTGCGAAACAGCGAACAACACCACCCATTTTCTTTCTATCTGCAACCGGAATGAGAACGCCATAAGACAAAATAAACGCCATAAACTGCCTCATTGAATGCTACATGAATCATAACGTAGGAATGTTTGGTTGGTCAATCAAGCAACGCAGCAGTTTGATCCAAGGCGGACTGGAGACGACCTTAGTTTTCGACGGCTTGACAGAAAAGCTGAATCTCGCCGACCTGGCCTTGAGCGAGGCTGTCCTGATGCTGATCCCTCCATTCCATAAATGCGAGTTGGACCGCTTCATCACTGTCAATAGTGATGAAGTCGCCATCCTCATCTTTATAACGTAGTCTCACAGACCTATTGCCGATGGAGCGATTGGTAAAACGAGCAAGTTTGGCATCAACCCGGTCAGTCAAAGAGCGGAAAAGGATGTTGCTGGCTATGACAAGCGTTACATAATTGTCATCAAAGTTGACTTTCGCCTTGAGCTGAGTTGGCATGATAGGCTCTTGAGAAGCCTGCGTGTCTGGTTCGAGGGTGCCAGAATTGGCTAGAGGATGCTCCGAGAGTGAAGACTGGCTGTTGGCCATCATGGGGAAATATCCATCACTATAATCGTTTCCTTGCATGTGTCGTGACGCCCCAGATGGCGTTTGAGTCGCGGATCGGAGTGGAAGTCCGTTGTTTGTAGGCGAATTATTCTGACTTCGGTTGACTGGTGCTCGCATACTCGCGAGTTGGGGCGGAATTGGGGGTACCGGAACGTTATCGATTGTTTGCATGGAATGCCCATTCATATATCTGGGAGTGTTGTGGATATCCGGGCTACTCGCCGATCGCATTCGTTGTGACATTTGGCTAGACCCTGACCCTGACATTGGCGGTAAAGAAGGTCGCTGAACGCGGCCGTTAGCGCCATTTGATGTACTGAAATAAGGATTGCCATTAGTCCCATCTCTTGAAACTCCTCTAGATAGAGCTGGCGCAGTATACCGATTTGATTCTTCATTCCACGCATTAGTTGGCGTCATCTGTCGAGGATAATTGAATGTTGACTGTGAACTGGAGCGCGTAGAAGGGGTTTCGGTGACTGGAGAAAAGTAAGACGTGCCAATCACTCGTTCACCAGGAGACAGGTTGCCATTTGATAACTGTGTTTGCAACAACGGCGGGACCTCCGGCAAAGGGAAACGAGGAGGCGGACGGGCCGCAGGAAGACCGATCGACCCGCTGCTACCTCCTGTTGCTGATCTGGCTCGAAGGCTGGTGCTTGATGCATTTCTGCTGACCGGGAATTCCGAAAAGGAGGCAGATTGGATGTGAGGTACTTCTTCAGAATCGTATTCCTGCTGATATGGATTGACCATTCCTGCGGTCATACTCTGCATATACGTGAACTCGGAATCCGATGTTCCAGTGTTGCGAGGATTACGTAGGCCGACACTCTCAACCCGTAGCCTGTCGATATCCTGGTACCACTTCTTCATAGTGTCTTCATTAACATATCGGATAATGAAATTGTCAACCACGCCTGGGTCACCTTTCCAAAAGATCTGGATACGGTAAGAACCTATGGAAAGATAGTCCTGTTAATGCAAGAAGCCAAGCAACGCTTTGATCGGGTGCTATACAAGGACGTACCTGGTTTTTGAAGCAGTACAACATCTGTGACGTTCGCCATATAGATCCGGCCCTTGAGCTGAAGACGTGGCTTGCCTTTTAGATTTGCTGATGGCTTATCCTTTGAGCCCATAAGTTTGGTCTTTTGTTTATTAGGATTGATATCCTTGCAACAAAGAAGAATTCGCTGGAATAGATAGATATGATACTGTTGAACAGCAGTTAGCAGAAGAACATGCAGATATAGCGACGAAATTCTAGCTGTAGCCAACTATCGCAAGGCATCTGAATACCAACTTACTTCTCTTTCTGAATCCTTGTTGCCTTCTCCTTTCAAGACAGTAAAGGTTCCGAAGCGCAGCAGTTCTCCGAAGCCATCGACTTTAAGAGCTTTCCAATCATCAACACGATTTGCGAGGTCGACCATTGCCATTTGCAGATGTTCCCTATCAATGGCGGCATTCGCGGAATCAAGGACAGATTGAATCATGTTGATGGCTATGGTGATCCTTGACTGTAACGCTTCGTCATCGATTTGCTTTCGAAGTTCCTAATTTTTGAATTAGCGTACAAAGTCGCAGTCAAGAAAAAAGAGAGAGCTTATTTCGACCGAATACGTACCCCGAGCATGAGTGGATACTTAGTGAGTCGTTGAAATGGCTTGACAAAGAAGCTGTTAAGAGTAGCGGGCATTGCAACCATTTGCTGTAGGTCTGAAGACCGCGGGGCGACCCTGATCTTGTCCCATTCACGAAGACATACTTCATCACACTGTAATTGATTCGAGATGAAGGGCTCGTATCTTCGTAAAAATTCTTCATTCTCGACAAAAAGATGGCCCCAGTCTTGACGTTCCTCGGGCAAAGCATAATGTTGCTCCATTCGGATAAGGAAACGCTGCGCAGAGTCCAACAAATCGTTCAAGTTCATGAAGATTTGATGGCTCAAGTCACCAGTGATTGCGCCAGTCTCCTCAAGCTCCTTCTTCAGCGCCTGAAGATTCTGTAGATGATGCACGTAGTCACGTTCCGTGACAAGCAGTTCCTTAAGGATGTGTTCGCGTTTCGTGAGCTTCACGCTGCCCTCTGGACCTTCTTGCAGGCTAGATACTGCTGCGGAGGGCCGGCGAAGACGACCTTGCATCTCTAGTATATCCAAGACACGGTTCACCATTTTGATAACCTATTCTCGTGAGTTAACCGGATGAGATATTTGATACATTATTCAAAGAATCCGAAACTAACCTTGATGAAACCAGTTGTGTTTTCACCGTAAAGATCGGTGATCAGAAAGCAGTCCTGCTGAGGAAATCCCATGTCCTGAAGACATGCCTGAAGAAACTTGAAAGTAGCAGCCTTAGGTCTCTTCGCTTCCGGTACTTTTTCAGGGTCGATCTCGAGCATCTCATCAGGTTGCGAAGCGTTGAAGATGGTAATCAGCGGGTAACCTGCCCGAAGACAGGTCCATAAAGAATTCACTGGGTCTGCCGTGTGTCGTTCTTCAGCTTCCATCTCGTCTAAATGTTGTTCGAAGCCTGGAACCTCTGCGAGACGCAATTTCAAATTCACGCAGCTCTGGTAGATGGACTCGCCACCTCTTCGGTTGATGATATTGTCCTCTGCAACCGGCCCTCCAACGGGAAGTCCATTACTCAACGGAGTATCCATATTGAAATCCTCCCCTACTTCGAAACTCGGTCACGCCGTGTTCTTTAACTATAATCACTCAAGTATCTGTCCCAGCCAGCGTACCTATTGCGCTTTAAGACTTGTGTATCATGGATATCGAACGTGGTGCCGCAAATCAATGCGTCCGGATCGGGAGGAATCGAAAGGTTGACAGAAGCGACACGGCGAAGTTCCAGTCGGGGCCACTAGGATCTTTCGCAAAACGAATGGGTCCGAGTTGTTGGACAGCTGGTATCTGCCGCACGACTATTTCTGCGATCGCGAATCAAGCGAGGAAGGAAATAGAAAGCTACCGGCGTGGCGCGCAGAGGAAGGGGAGTGGCGGAATAAATTATAGTCAGCGGCCGGCCCCAGTGGATTCGAGTCGTGGTTGCTGGAGACAGCGCTCAGTATCGGGGTTTGTAAGATGGCGGCAACACCCAACAACACGCAGCAGCAGCGACCAGGCAGGTGATCTGTATCGACGTGCTTTATGAAGTCTCTTGTGATCGAGAAGGGTTGGAGTCAGATCTATCCAGGACAGCACTTACCAGGGGGTTGCAATAGTGGTGGGGGGGAAAGGGAAAGTTGTGTGGTCGGGGTGTGGAGAGGGGGGATAAGCAGAGGAGAAAGTTGCCAAGGGTCTCAGAACGGGAGCGGCTTGAGCAACAACAGAGGAATTATACAACAAGTATTATGTTACTACATACAATATAGCGAGGAGCAGCAGTATCAGTCGTGGGAAGGAAAAGACTGAACGAAAGGGACATGGATCAAATGACTACCTTGAGTTTCTTTAACAGTTTGCGCCTGACAGACTAGTGGCCTCAGTCATCCTAATTGCAGTGTGCTCCCGTCGTAGCGTGTTTCGGCAACGCGGGCTAGCCGTCATTGGGGAAAGCCTGTTCAATTAGTTTAAAGATGTCGAAGAGGTGAGAACAAACAAAACTCCTCGTGCAATCAGTGTTTATTCGGACTAGGGATGATCATTTCCCTACAACTTCGGCTTGGAAGACGATTCACACTAGAATCTCAGAGTAGTCCTCGTCGGGCCATTTTAAACTTCCATCAGGACGTGGGCATATACCATACATAGTTGTAAAGTCACTGCTGGTAACAAGCACATGTCGTTTAATGAAACGTTTCACCCTAGTTCCGTCTAAGAAGATGTGGATTGGCTTCTAGATCATGGCTCCCACCCAAGCCGCCACTCATCACTGTGACTGGAGAGATGGGTTCACAGCCTTATGTAGAAGCGAGACTTTGCCCAGATTTAGTAGCCACCAACTCGATTATCTAGTAAACCTATATTATTGTAAAGTGAAATCCTATGACAGCTCTCGACTATGTAGCCACCTAAGCTAGGTAACGCTACCTTCCATGACTAGCCTCGTGTTTGTGGCGTAACAGCACTTTAGACTCATTGCCCATTACTGCAGTCATGGTCCTTATGGATAGAGTAGTACTACTTATAAACACGAACCTGTTGATTCCTTGAACAAAGAAATATTGACAGGCCTGAGGCATCCACCTCATTATGGGCGCGCTAACCCCAAAACGTCATTAGCCCGCGTCTCCAGCAGCTTCCACCGTTCCAGCCTTCCAGCGTCCCCGAAGGGTAGCGAACGATCTCACGCTAGACTTCGACGACGGTCACTAGTCACTGACTTGTCGACGAGGTCTCGTGTGTCACACGCTTCTCGCTTTCTTTATCGTACGAGTCCGGTATCCCTTCGCCCAAGGTAACCACAGTCTATGTACCACTGACAAACTACTTGGTCGTTCCCCCACATGAGAGACTCTGGTACCACCGCCACCAAAGAAGAAAGGGCCTTTGGTTTGTTTTGGTCTGGTCCGACTCGGCGTGCTTTGTAGGATCACTCGGTGGCTCAACTATCCTTGTCACTTCTCCCATTGACGGTCTTATCTCCAGTGTCTCCAATCGGAGAGACGGTTCTGGTCCCCTTTGTTATGCACTCATCAGAGGGTCTACTGCGAATGCGCTCTGATAAAGCCGCGTACACCGCGGCGTCATTGGCGGCGTCCTACAAACTGGACGAGGGCTATTCCGACGACACACGAAGTCAACTAGAAGGTGAAGACGGTGTCGCTCAAAATGTATCTATGCTTTTACCAGACTGGATCCTCCCCTATAGTGATTCAGAAAGAGCTGGTGCGTGTCTTTCGTCATGTTGTCTCCGTACTATGTAATTAACCGTGATTCACAGAGCTTGCCCACTCCATACTCACCAGCTTACCAACAAACTTGGTCGCCTCAGTCGTAGAGCGACTGACGCCACGGCTTCACATGGACCCCGTCCTCAGACTTCCACCCGAAATCACTGCGGAGATTTTCTCATATCTCGATCCAGCCACCTTATTCACTGCATCGTTAGCCTCGCGAGCTTGGAGGAACCGCATCATCGATCCACGCTTATGGAAGGATATGTACATCAGAGAAGGATGGCGAGTGGATATCGACGCTGTCGCAAAATATGAACAACTGCATACGGAGCGATTCGTGTCCCAAATTCGCAAGTCTCGTTCTCGACTCGCCGATTCTGACTCGCCCGAACCTCAGCTCAAGAGGCGTGTCACGGAGGCGAGCCTCCAGTCGCGAGACCCCTCCGATTACAATGCGCAGTCTAATCCCCCATGGAATGAACAGCATCCGATGGTAGAAGCTGATGTGCCAGTCTCTCCACTCGATGCTGATAATGACCGAGAAATGCGAGATGTGAATGCTGCATGTCAACCACTATCATCTGCCGACAGTCCCTTTGAACCTACAAAATCACCAAGGCAATCGCCCTGTGTGATTCGATTACCAAATGGAACTGCCAAGATCAATTGGCCCTACCTTTATAAACAACGAAGACGCTTGGAGGACAACTGGACCAAGGGCCGCTTCACCACCTTTACACTTCCCCATCCAGCATATTCGGATGAAGCTCATCAACAATGCGTCTACGCTATTCAATTTGTAGGTAAGTGGATGGTCAGCGGTAGCCGTGACACAACTATTCGTGTCTGGGATTTAAGTCGAATGCGATTATGCCTTCCACCGCTTCGGGGCCACCAGACATCAGTACTATGTCTTCAATTTGATCCCAGCCCAGAGGAAGACGTGATCATGTCCGGCGGAAGTGACAACAATGTCATCATCTGGAAGTTTTCCACAGGGCAAAAACTTCTCCAATTAACAAATGCGCACCAGGACTCTGTTTTGAACCTGAAGTTTGACAAACGCTATCTCGTGACATGCTCCAAGGACAAGTTCATCAAAGTATGGAATCGTCGAGCACTCACCCCTATGGACAAAGATTATCCGTCAGTTGTCAGGGGATCAGTCAACAAATACCCTACTTATATAATTGACACAACCCAATACTCTCCTTCCTGGCTAGAAGCGAACCTTGCGAACGGCCACATCAAAAAACTTGAACCGTATAGCCTGCTAATGACTCTTGAGGGTCATGATGCCGCTGTGAACGCAATACAAATCAATGACGACGAGATAGTCTCAGCTGCAGGAGACCGGTTGATCAAAGTATGGAGCATACACAATGGCTCATGCTTGAAAACCATTCTGGGTCACAAAAAGGGGATTGCATGCGTTCAGTTTGATAATCGACGGATTATTAGTGGTAGCAACGATGACACGATTCGTATCTACGATCACGCATCAGGAGCGGAAGTAGCTACTCTCGAAGGACACAGTAATCTGGTACGAGCCGTGCAAGCCGGGTTTGGTGATCCTCCAGGCGCAGAGGAAGCACTACGACTGGAAGCTCTTGCAGTGGACACCGACTTCTGGGATGCTGCTCGTAATGGTAATATATCTTATCAACTTCGAACACCCGTGTTCCGTCGTCGTGCGGGACCGCGAAATACAGGGTCAAGAAACCCGAATGATGTCATGGCATTAGGTGCTCATATTCCACCGGGCGGCGGAGGGAGCCGATGGGCACGAATTGTTTCGGGCTCATATGATGAAACTGTTATTATATGGAGAAAGGATCGTGATGGCAGGTGGCTAGTTGGGCATCGGCTTCGTCAAGCAGATGCTGTGACGATGGCGAGCTCGTCTAATTCAATCCGCGCTCGAGACCAAGCAATGCGTCACATGGAGACGCTGCAGTCACAACCGCGAACCGGGCCGATAATACATAACCAGGCCAGGAACCTTACCGCTGCAGCCGTGGCTGCCAACAACAACAATAATATCAACAATCAAGCACCGGGCGCCGTTTTCAATGCTCTGGCGGCACCACAACAAGCCAACCAACAAGCTGCCCCCGCAGCAGGCAATAATTTCGCGCCAAATCCATTGCAACAGGCAMAAGCCGTCAATGACATCGTTGCTCAGGCTCAGGGCGTCGCGCCTGCGCTTCAAGCGCATGCAATGGCAATAGCAGCAGCGAATCGCCACCAACACGCCCAGGCAACCACACCGGCGAGAATATACAAGCTTCAATTTGATGCGCGTAAGATCATCTGTGCCAGCCAGGATTCACGAATCGTGGGCTGGGATTTTGCCGCAGGTGACGAGGACATTATGGAAGCGTCTCAGTTTTTTCTAGGCGTATGAATGCGCAAACCTTACACATATAGCGGATGGTTCGGTGTTACTTGCCTTTTATCATACGACAAGAAGCCGAGCACTCAGATAGTCTGGACCGACGAGGTCTACGGCTCTACATCTCTACAATCAATGAAATCATAATTCTTTACCGAAATAATCAATTATTCAAATCTTATGACGACGACACGAAAAGATGCTCATGAAAACTCTGCATTTGACAAATTCCGGAGTCAACCAGTTTCTGGGAAAATCGGCCATTATTGCATGTGTCTTCTCTTGTCTTGATTCCTGCTAATATGATTGACGTCGTGTACTTATTGAGTAGTACATTTTTAGAGAAAATGCATGAAAAGGCTTGAATTGAGTTTTCAGATGTCACTTTTTTGAGTAATCTTAGAAGTATATACCCGAATAACTCGAATCATCACACCCAAAGCCCTAAGTCAGAGTATCAAATATATACATTAAATATACAAAACATTCCCTAGAAACGAAAAATAAGACAGACAGAGAAATCCGGCACATACCAGGAAAACATCCTGTTAGGTGAGTTGTGTCACCTCACCAGCGTATCCGAAAGAAAAGAAGGGAAATTATAAAGACGCCCCCCTGAATCCCCCTATATCTATGTAACAAGTTCGAAAATTCGCTATATATGTATCTTTTCACACAGGATGCAAAACAATAAATTTGAAAAAAGATCGTTTGGATCGTTTCGTTGCCCTTTGTCATCATATTCGGAAATCTTTCAAATGCGCGAAAAAAAAAGTTAGACCATAATCGATTAGTAAATATGAAGCGTGTACGTTGTGGAGCGGAGAAAGGTCTAGGTGACCATGCTCTGGTTGAGGGTTGGTTTGCCAATTGTTTGTTCCATTTTGAGACTGCGAACCAGCGCTTCGAGTCTTTTTCGTTCTTCTTGTTCGGCCTGGAGGAGTTCCTATTAGTATGATAGTTCATCAATCTATAGTGATGGGCTGTCTTACCCTGAGGAGTTTCATATTTTCTGCTCTCGTATCCCGCATCATCTTCTTGAACTCATTCTTCAGTACCATTGTCGATGTGGTTTCTGTAGCTCCGTCCCTCATGGCCGTTTGGCTCACACCCAACCATGTGATGCGTTCATCACTGAGCTGTGCTTCCAACTGCTCAATGCGATCGCGCATATTATCAATCGCGCCTTCGTATCGTTCGCGCTCCTTCTCAAACTCAATGCTTGCTTTGGTCATTGCTTCGTAATCTTCGATCGTTTCTTCGAGTTCCTTCTGCAGTGTCTCGACACGCTTCTGAAGCTCGCCTTGGCCCGCTCCATTATTGACTTGCTCGGCTCGCAGGGCTGCTAGCTCCTCTGCAAGGCTGATGTTCTTAGTGTTGAGGTCTTCTATTTCTTTGTATAAAGCTGGGCTGGCCGCAGCTTCGGCTGCACGCTCTGCACGAGTACCATATGCACCATCAAGCTCGGCTTTGACTACAGTCAACTCAGTCTGCGCGCGAGCAAATTCAGTTTCAAGGTCGTTCAATTCTTGTTGAAGCCGCTGGGCTTCCGTTTCTGCACCCTGTGCACGTGCGTACTCCGCTTCAAGTTCGTTCAATTCTGCCTGAAGACGTTGGACTTCTGCCTCCGCAGTCTGTGCGCGTGTAGAACCCCCTTCAAGTTGGGCGACTTCACCCTGAAGACGTTGGACTTCTGTTTCTGCTCTCGATCGTGCCTCTCTCTCAAGCTCCAACGCTTCGGCCTGCTCGCGTGCATATTCTCCCTCGAGATGATTCAGTTTCTCCTGGAGGTGTTGAACTTCTGCTTCTGCCTTGGATCGAGCTTCCTTCTCGTTTTCGAATGCTGCTATTTGCCCGCGCTCTCTTTGTTGGTCTTGAATATTCTCCTGTTGTCTGACTGAATCAAGCTGCTCCATCACCAAAGCCAGCTCATCTCTGACGGCTTCCAACTCGCGCTCAGAAAGTTCATACTGTTTCCTTGTCTCCACGATCTGTTGCGCCAAGTCCGCGACGTGAGCGTCCTTTTCAGCATCCGATTTGGAATTCAGTTCCCTTTGTTGCTGAATCTGCGTAGTCAAAATACTCTTTTGGTCTTGTAAGCCCGCAACTCTGTTCTGCAGATCCGACATTCCAGACTTTAGATAATCTATATGACTGCTGAGAAATTCGCCAGTCGGACTAGGCGGCGGCGGCAGCGTAGGCGATAGGTGAGAGCCGGCTTGTCCCAGTAAAGTCTGTAAGCGACTGTTGATGGCACTAAGCTCAGAACCCATTTCGGTAGCAGAAAGCTCCGGTTCGCCTTCGCCCCTCCGAATCCCTTCGGTTTGGAGAGTGTCCAAGCTTCTTTCCAGGTATGAAAGGTGATCTTGGACAAACGTCAAGGAAGTATCCTGAGTGACTCTAAGCGGCAGTGGTCCTATATCATGGGTGCTGTGGTTTTCAAGCAGTAAATCGCGTAGTCGTCCATTAAGCTCCTCTAATTTTTGTTCAGTATTTCGGAGAGTGTCAACGTCTGCCGTCAATCCACTGACTCCGCTGTATGATCGCAAACCCGCATCATCCGTCTCCAATTCTCTATAGAGACTTCGATCGTCAAATTCGAATGTAGTACCATTAAGGCCGTTATTTATGCTGCCGCGGTTGGCATTCTTCTTCAATCCACGATGTGTTAACTGAAGTATCCCGGCCGTGTGTTCTAGAAGGCGTTTGTGAACATCTTGCGCTCTCCTTTCCAAAGCCCATAGTTCCTGAGAAAGCTCTTCGCATTTTCGAGAACTGACAGTATATTCCTCATCTTCGGGATGATGCGCTACGCCGTTCGTATCGCCGTTCGTCACGCCGTTCGTATATCCGTTGCTCTTCAAGCTCGAAAGGCGGCGTAGAGATTGCGCGGCGTCTCTGAGCTTGGTTTCCAATGCAAGTTTTCGCTTCGTACTTTCGACCCGGCTCGACAAAGTAGCATATTCGCGTTTCAGGTCTTCAACTTCTTCGAAGGGGAGGATTTCGTAGCCGGCGCTGTCTCCGATCGCGGTTTCGGTTAACAGATGCAACAATACCGGATCGTGGGTGTCGATAGAAGGCGCATTCATCTGAGGAATTGCAGCGGAATGCTGCAAGGCATTGCACTCGTCAACAACCGTGAGATATTGCGACGAGGGTGAGAAATCAACATACCCCACTATATCGAGACCTATCATCCGTTGCCATATCTGACGCACTTCGGTAGCCATCCACCAGGTCCCGCGACGGAACCAGAGAAACGGCGCCGTTGGGATAGCCAGTCGAGAGGTACCTAGGATCCCCATACGAGGATGTGCTCGATCGGAGGCTATCCATAGTCACCACCAAAGCAATCAATCACGCCTGGAAAAACGGCAATGAAAAGGCGTAACAAAATATGAATGCGAATATTATATAAAATGACGATAGTTCACGCGGAAGACATGACGGGACAGAAAGGATTGACTGCGGTCAGTAGTGAGGAGAATAAAGCGGAGAATGATGCGATCAGCTGGTTCGTATACCCGGGAATCTCGTTGTTTCTGATGGACAGACACAGTGTCAGTCGGGAGACTCACGCTAGAACAAGAGGAAAAGCAAATGAGAACACATCAGCCATACCTTTATATCCTTCCCGGAGTTTCTAAGCGAGACGAGAACTGGGCGCTGTATAATTTGACGATAGCCGGAGAAGAGAAAAAAGATTAAGAAGGCTCAGGGGACTTTACCTAGTTGAGCTTACGGGGGTCAACCGTTCTGGTGGCTCGATCGGGCGGCGCAGTCGAGATCCGCTTTACTCGTCTCCCCTTTCTTCGTCTGTTCGTCACTCCAACTCTTCCGATTTTCGTGGTTTTGTACAACGTGATTTCTCCGTTTATTATCAACTCGGTTTGCACTACATCTAATCTCCTGAACCCACACACATGTATTGTCATACGAACGTCTGTGTTCCTTAAAGTGACTCGTCATGGTTGACACGGAGCCTTCTCCGTTCAGGAGAATCTGACAGGGTCGAGGATCTAGTCTAAATGCTGCTAGCGTATTATGTTACTGCTACCGATCACATCCTATGCATAAATTGCATTGAAGCTGAATTTTTCATTTCTTATATTGCACATAGTCTGATGGCACAGAGTGACTTGGCTAAGGTTTGGTGTACACTGTCTGCTAACCCGGGACTTCCAAATAAATACCAAAGGCACCCGGACAAATCCTTGATCACGATACAAGCTTTATGAAAAGTCACCATGCGTTGGATTTAGATTGGGTTCAGTGTCGGTCATAAAGTCGAATAAGTTAAGGTCCGGTTCGAAAAAGTCCATAAAATTGAATCCAAGGAGGCTATCATCTGTGTATTCATTCGACAGCAGGGAAACGTCGTTCGGGGAAAGCTGCTGGCCGGGTCCAGTAACCGATTCTAGGAGATTGATCTCACCACACATGTCGAGCGGAAAGGGAAATAGTTCCTTAGCATGGACATCAGAATCCTGGAGAATAACATCAGGGCCTCCGTTGTGTCGTGAGCCTTTCTCAACAGTGTCTCGCAATTTCGTCATTTTTTCTAGAACCATACCCGCATCTCCGTATCTATCTCGCATTCTGTCCAAGATAGAATAGATGATAGCTACGTTCCTTTCTCGCACCGCAGTCCCGGGATCTGACTGAGGATAGTGGCAGATTAAAGGAAGAGAGATGGCCAAGCAGAAGAAGCCATGATTCGCAAGAAGAAAGACGATTTCCTCTCGACAGAGTATCTCATCATATAGAAAAACGGCGCATGACGCAGCTACGCGTGACGGAATAGATACCCGCCATGGCCTGTCTCGCTCCTTGTACCTCAGCATCTGACTCATCACGATAGCAACGAGGTACTGGATAAACATCTCTGAAGCAGGGCGATAGTATGCTCTCCTTTGCCCAGCTGCATTGTACAGCTCAAGATCTTCTGGGAGATTGTTCACCCATTCACACAAAGTAGCATCAATTCTCGACAGTTCGGCTTTTTGAATATGCCTTCTTTCCATATATAGCTCGGCTATGCGACTCATGATTGTGCATAGCTTCGTGGTTTCTATAAATACTAACGATTGCGTATTCGGCACTTCAAAATCCTCTATTGTCGGGGGCCTCACATTGAAATCTTTCTGTCGTAACCGTGAAGGACGACCCCAGCAGGCTACCTGTAGCGAGTCGTTGTTCTGAAGCAAAGGGTCAGGAACAGAATCCACATATAGAAAGGAGTAGTACGAACGTATAGGTACCAGAATATTCGCCGCAGACATCTTGAGTCAACCCTGGTTGCATATGTGCTTTCTATATGCAAGCCCATCTGTATCACTAGCTGTATAGCCAGCCCTGTCCAATGCCATGGCCCATCGAGACTCACGGGAGTTGAAGGCTTAAGACTCCAGCATGACATGAGACAGAGTATTTTGAGGGTTTGGACGCAGTCTTCTTCGAAGTTGATGGATAACAGTAGCTTCAACTTTTGATACAGCTCATGAGCTTGCTCTGGACCGCCGGAGTCGTGCGTCATGAGGCCGCCTACCATGCAGAGTCCTTGCTGCAACAAGAAGGAGGATCCAAATTCCAAAATATCGCTTGAGCTGATTACTGGACATTGATGAAAGATATGGGTCATATATGCGTCCGTCCTGGCGCTTAGCAATGCAGGTCTGGGAAGTATCGAGGCTTGCGTGGCCCTCAGGATAGCATCTCGCAACGGGGCAGAATCTACGGTCCCTAAAGAACCGATTTCTGTAGGGCCATTAAGGTGCTGTATTATCGAACAATGACTCACGAAACCAGCATTTTGGCGAGCGCGTGGTTCTGCCCTACTGCTTCCATTATCCGACTGAGCAGTAGATGTGAGCGGATCAGATATGATCGAATACCGGAAGCCATCTTGAACAATCGGCTCATTCTGTACTGATGAAAGGCGGCTTCGTTCTCGCGGCCTTTCCGAATTTCTCTTACGAATACCCCTGCGTTGCCTATTATGGTCAGCGTTCCTGAGCCGAGTCTCAAGCCGGAGACCTCACTAACATGCATGGATCGTTTGAGTGACGGCAGTTCTTGCAGATACCATCTGGACTCGTCTGTAGATCACATTTTATCTGTCTTGATCTTAGAAGCTGAACATCATAGTTTGGCTTTCTTGTTGCTCGGCAATGTGAGACTTACCTTGCGAGAGTGACATCGGGTACAGACTATATTTGCTCGATCCCGTGTGGGCATTGGCTCGACTGCTGGTACTTGCTAGCTTGGAATGTTGATGATCAGATGTGAAGAGAGTTCGGTATGCAGTTGGCATGAGAGCGAAGAATCAACTACTGAAGAGCGGGAAGGCAATGAAAGACGGCATTCGGCATTCGGGAAAACCGGTGCTCTTGCCGAGTCGCCTTGTACCAATCAGAACTAGGTATGATTTTGGATCATAAGATCTTGGATGTGTAAAACACTACTCAAAGAAGTTGAAGTGAATACGAATATGCGTTTCCGAAGACCAGTTATGGTTCGTTCCCAGGACTTTCATTTGTTCAGGAAAGGTGGAAAGCGATTAGGGCTAGGTTGATACGGAACAAGGAGAATCGATTTCTATCACTAATGAAACACTGCTGCGGAGTCTGTGTGTGCCAATAATAGGATTTATTCGAAAAAAGATGAGACGATGATCTGCTTATTGTCCAGACATAGCTGCAGGGATGAAATCATCGAGGAAAGTCCACAATGTCTTTTCCTTCCAACCCTTGTCCTTCCAGTCGTTTACAGTCTTTGGGAACAAATCGACAACATCAAGAATTCGCATATCGTGAGCGAACACAAAGAACACGTTATCCTGTGCATCTGCTTCCTGCGTCTCTTTGATACTCTGAATTGCCCTAGGTATGTCGACGGCAAGGACTGGGTCAAAGAAGGTCTCATCGGGCTCGCGGCCTCGTTCCACATTCAGCTTGCGGAATTTCTCGCCGTCAAGAAAGGTGCTTTCTTGGAGGGAGCCTGTTCGAGAGAATTGCACTTGGCTTGGAATCGAAAGGTAAGGCGAAGGTCTAATCTCTCCTCCGTGATGACAAACATCGCCGCCCATAAAGATGAATGTGTCAGGTTCAGTCTTCGTTCGTGCGAGACCTGACATGTGGCCAACAGCATGCCCAGGAGTGTCGAGAAGGTAGAAAGAGCCGTCGCCGAAAAAGTCCACTGCACGAAAAGGGCCATATTTGAGGGACAATTTATCGTTAGAGAAGTCTATTTCTCGCACATTCCGACCTCTGAGATTGCTCATAGTTAGTAAGGATACCTTTGGAGGGGATGAGTGTGGACCAGGGGTAGCCTACTCAAAATATCTTTCTGATAGCTCGACATCCGGCTTCGTTGGATAACCAGGGCAGAACGCTTCCCTGAAACCCGGACCAACAACTAGTTCTGTTGTCGATGGGAATACCGTTATGTCTCCAACGTGGTCCCAGTGCCCATGGCTTATTTTGGCTATTAGCGAAAGTCAAAGCATGGACGACTGGCATGATTATCAATACCTTAAGATCACGCTTTCAACATGAGCAAGCTCAATTCCATTCTCCACGAGAACATCTGCGACAGTCTTTGTAGCCTCAACTTTAGCGTCAGCTTGCTTCACAATATCAGCTACCAGAGGAGGAAACTGATCGATATCAGCTGGACCGCCAAGATCGAATAGAATCTTTCGTCCAGTCGAGCCTTCGATAAGGAAAGACCACGAGCCAACCCCTGGTAATCTATCGAAATGTTCAACTGGTGGGGTGAGGAGTAAGTCGGTAGCTAGGCCGGAGAGTCGAAATCCTGAATCGATGATCGAGACCTTTGCGGCAGCGCCAGCTGGCCCGGTGAATGAGACGTTTGAAGGCATGATAGGAGATTCAACTGAGTACTTTTTTATATAGTTCAATGTGAAGATAAATACGGATTTTATCTGAATAACTCATTTTATTGCTTTTTATATCTGGTGTCTCGGTATACGGTACTCGGCAGCGACGATTAAGCCGGCTGCCGTTTGTTAAACATAGGCGGTTAGAAGAGACCTGCATGCCTGGTAGAGCGAATTAGGGCTGGCTCATGGGAAACCCTAGCCTCGAGATTTTCTACAACGATCAATATGGCATATTTTAGTACAAAACAACCGATTTCATGAAATTATTGTTTTACTTCTACCAGCGGGCTTTGTACTAGATTCTTGAACATTGGTGGTGAGTCATAGTCTTTGGTAACTTCAACCCTTTCAATGTTGATTTTGGCTAGCAAAGACATTTCAAACTACAAGAGACTGTACAGTATTGAAGCAGTGCACCCATATGCAAACTTAAGGAAGTTCAACTAAAAGCTATCGATTTAAACATGAAGGTAGTCCTTCATTTAGCAAACGAGACTTCCATACATCCACATAAAAGTTCATTCATCCTCACACGTAGAAAACTCTGTCTGCGATTTGGAGAACTACTGTAGCCTAATTGACAGCTGCAGACCAATTATTGACCGTCAAGGTTGTCTGGCTGCCGGTAAATGGCTCCGTACCGAATTGCAGATCTAATAGTTGAAGCAATCATGTCAGATGAAAAGAATCTGAAATGTAACAGAAGAAGTGTATCACTTACCAATCAGATACTGGCTACTGGCTGGGAATCCCTGATTCTGGGACAAATAGTGGAAGAACTGCAAGATATCACCGCTCCATGACGTTTGTTGGCTTGGGGCGACGAAACTGTATGTCTTTTGTGATCCGTTTACACCATACCACAGCTGCCAGGTTATGCCTGCCACGGTGGCTGTACCAATTTGGCTGCCGAGGGGCTGAATACTACCGTATTTACCCAACCTGAAGATTGATTAGCAGGAGATATCTTATACTTGAATGCGAGGAACTATATTCACCAGATCATGAGCTCATAATCGCCACTGTAGGTAACATGATTGATATCCGCTGCCGTGAAGAGATCATACGAAACATCGGCATTGATGTTGGTATTGCTATAGCTCCACTGTACTGAAGTAGGAATGCTTCCAATGTTGCTGACGAGCTTCTTGGTGAGACCACTCAGCTGCGAATTGGCGTAGCTCTTGACCTGGCTGTTGCTATTTTGCCAGGCCCAGGTAGTGGACCATGAAACACCAGAGTTGGAGATTGAGTTGACATAAGTGCACTGGGAACCAGATCCACTGCTCTCACCCCATAGATTGTTGTTTACAGTGTATTGGCCGCTGGTGTAGCTAGAGTACTGAGAGCATAGACTCTGCGCGTACGCAGCAGAGGCCAAACCCAGGAGAATAGTCAACTGCATTTTGAATGGAATTGTTTTAAAGCTTTGGAAAGGAAATTGTAGGTGTAAAGCTGTGATGAACTGATGATAAAGGCTCAAAGACAACCTTGGAAGTCTAGGAATCGAGGCTTTATATAGACAAGTCAATCAATACTGACACGCAGTCTTTCCGAGCAGGCAGGAATTTCTGTCTCGATAACAAGCTTCGAGGTCTCCACAAAGTAAAAGACGGGGATTGATTTCATTTCGGCTTTTTGTCGGATCACGGAAGAGGGATACAATATGATGATTACCCTATAAGAGCGATATATAGATTACACCAGCCTTAGGCTTTGCAATTATTAATATAGATTATCAGTGCAATAACACTTTAATTCGCAAGTACAAAAATACATAGAAGTGGATGGGTCTTTCCTTACAAGATACAAACAGACATCATCTCGAGTTTTTTGCTGGTTACGCCAGGTTAAAAACAAAGGCATGATTGTACATTCATACGATTAAGATCTAAGCACTCATACTTGAAATCAGCTTCAATTGCCCGTTTGAATGACGCATCAAAGCATTGGAGAAAGAAGTCAAAAATCTCTAGAAGTCTCTCTGCTTAGGGTTTCTGATGCACGTGAACAAACTGGCAGACAGGGGCAAAGGACTTGAAACATCTTACTGTAGCGGAATATCGCATTTGTAACCATTTGGATTGGTAATTAACACGTCGATCATTTATTGACTGTTTTTATTAATTAATAGTTTGATTCTGGATGTTCATGCGAGTAGGTAACGTGCATAACAACAATTTCAATATTTCTCAATGCGGTTCACGCCGCCGAGCTGTCTTGAACAATATCCGAAATCACATCTACCTATGTAGCTATTGATTGTGTAATCTTTGATGTAGAATTATGAATACCATTTAAAACGTGTATCATCTCTCAGCTACGTACGGCCACAACTCGAAGAGAAAGTTCTTTGGTATGCCCACTGAACGCCTCCACAACCTCTAAGTCCCAATTGGGCGTTCTTAGAGCAAATTCGTATCTCGAGAAAAGGGTAGCAGTGAGCAGTGACATCTCAAAATAAAGCGATATTCCGTCCTAGACAAGCCCGATTGCCCCGCGAGAACCTCAAGAAACCACGCGGTATCTCATTACATCCAGGTTTCAGCCATCGCTCCGGCCTGGATTCTTCAGGCAAATCACGCGAGAAAGTGGGGTCACGTTGAATAGTTTCAAAGAAAACAGACAGCATGATACCTTCATCAAACCACTCACGACATGCATACCACCTGCAGGTACACGCGGCAGTTCACCGGGGAGAGATGGGAATGGCCTCATCGATGCATGCGCGGAAGTAGGGCAAAACTTTGACCATGTTGTAGGTTGGAGGGCTACCAATAGGAAGACCCTTTGCGGCATATGCATCGTTCAGTTCTTGCCGCAGTCGTAAATTAGCCGAAGGAGTCCGTGTCAACAGCCGGACGATATTGGTCAATGTAACCTGAGTTTTTTTGCCGGATGCACTGAACATGTTTTTTGTGCCTCAGTAATCAGTTCGCCAAGCTCAAGACAGAGCGGCTCATTCTTGTCTTTAATATCAAACAACAGGTTTGTCAGAATGTCTTCCAACGGTGGCTGGCCCTCACGAATCTGTTCGGTGTCCATACGTAGTCATTTTCGAATCAAATAAATCATAACATCGCGTAGACCATCACCATCGGACCACTCTTTACGCCATGCTTCATGGCTTTGATCCAATGGGTAACCCGCGAGGCCCAGCCGGCACTGATTGCCATATGAGCTGCACTCCACACAATCGGGTACATATCGACACTGTATTTCTCGCCAGCAAGAGTCTCCGTCGTAACCATAGTGTCGTTATGTTCCAAAAACTGGGGGTTGAAGCTGAACATAGTGACATTCGAGATGTTATACATGAAACTAAACATCTTCTGCCTTATATCTATCTCCTCATCAACACTGTCGTCAATTAGACGGGTAATTCGATTCAGGTAGTCTTGAATGACAGGCTCTGATTTCTAGATATTCTTTTAGGCAAAAGCAGCAGCGAAGCGTTCCCGCTTGACGCCATGTACATTTTTGTCTTGCGTATCTGACACGTCTAAATGTCCTGGGTGAAGAGAACGTAGGAGTTGTCCATGAGCGTCGGAGTTTCATTGCCGGAGGCACCCACCGTGGAGTTGTAGGTATGTGACGGCCCTACACGGACAATTTTGCCGTATCGTAGATGTGCTTTGTGTACGGCCCCGGTTCGAGTGTGGCAGAATTGGGGTATGACTCCCCATGCATTGGTGAAAAGGGCGACAGAAACTCCGGGGAAACGTCGCAATGTGAGAGGGTCTCGAAATACTTATTTATAGGGTAGGTAATGAAACGAAGAGTAGCCAGACCGATGAGTATTTGAGCACAGAGAAGTGTATACATGTTTTAAGAGTAGCCCAATAGAGGACAGATGCGTTGCAGAAATAGTCGAGAAACAATCATTAAAGGTTCATATCTATCAGAGGAAGCAGGAGGTACACTGCAGATTAATCAAGGATCTTACTATTGATTTGACCTGACTTGTGAACTTATACCCAACTCGACTTCTTTCAAGTGGGCAAAAGTGGACAGCATAGTGACGAGCCGTCATTAGTCATGATTATTGCATCTGAACTGCGTGGAACATTTCTGGCAGGCCATGTGTGACGACCCAGTGATATCTCTTCACTCGCGACTCATCTAGATTCGAAGACCTCACGGCGTATACATCGAAACAGACTCACGCGGCAAAAAATCACCAAAAATGGTAGCCAGGGGCCCGAGTCAAAGAAGCTCGAGTTCCGAGTCAACAAAGTATGGTCCATCTTCACTTGATGTCCCACGCGACTATCTACATATCGAGCTTGAAATCGGTTCTGTTACACTCAACTATCAGACTGGGGACCACATTGCTATCTGGCCCATCGACAATGAGAGAGAAGCTGATAATATGTGCCGGTCATTTGGCTGGGACAACGCCATCAGACAAGCTTCAATTGATATTTCACCAAATGAAGAGGACGATGAAATCAGCCTCCATGTCCGTTTCCTACCCCGACTACACGAATGATCGCCCTGAAGTACTGCCTTGATATTGGTGGCCCGGTCTCAGAAGAAACGATTAAAATGTTGCGTTCGAAGTATAGTTGGGACATGGTTAAATGTGACGAGTTTCTGGACTCTCTGCAATCAGAAGCACGTCTCAAAGAGGATGTATGGGCATAGAAGAGCGCGCTTTAGCTTCATTTGATTATTATTAATTAACGTCCCAGAGCAGCGATAGTTCTCATATAATATAGACGTGCACTTACACTTATCAATCGTGACACGTGAAGACGATTGTTTCCAAATGCGGAAAGTCAGCTCATGATCTCGTCGCCGACTCGTCAGCGATAAAGCCACAGTATACGAAGCACTATAAAACCCAGCCTACCCCAGGTAGTGTTCAAATAACGGGACAAAGCGTTATCGCGTGGGTACCCAAAAAAAGCAAGCTATCCTAGACATCCTCGGCAATGGTCAACGGGCTGGTCAAGTGCGACTTGTCTCAAAAGATAAGTATCACAAGTCCATAGGTTGCTCAGCGTATCAAATGCAACCCAAGCCCATTTCCCCCGCATCTACCATCCATCCATGACCAACACAACTTTCCACAAATCCGCAATGAGGTAAAAAGGTCCATGCTTCAAATACTTAAATTTGCGTTAGTACATAGTTCCAGGTTTCTTTAATGTCGGCGAGTTTCTTGCTTTTTTCCTCAGCAGTTTTTGAGATGCTACCAGTCCCATTCTTGAATACGAATACGAATGACAAGCTCCTGAAGCTATCTAAAACGCTACTTCGAACTTTAAAAGAAGAAGAGACTTGAAAAACTGTACTTGCGCAACCAACAACGGGCGTTTTGGGTATTGAAAGTTTAAGTGAATGATTTAATCTGCGACTTTTCTCAGTGCACGAGATGATCTAGGGTTGGAATCGTGTGGTCCAGTGTCGAGCAATGAGTTCTCAGAGGAAATCTACAGAGTATCTGACTGGAACATCTATTGATGAAGTTGCAAACGACACACTAGAGCAGTCCCCATCGTCTAATTCTTATGGAGACAAGAAAAGTAAGGACATCAAAATGGCGTCGGGAAAATCCGCTTCTCCTGATGAGGTGACGACGAATATGGCAACGGAAATGCCTGTTTACAAAGTCTACAAACGACGGTTCTTTGGCTTATTCCAGCTGGTTTTGCTGAATGTTGTTATAAGTTGGGATGTACGTCACATTCAAGTTGGGTATTTTGTTTGCGCGACGTACTAAAAACAAGCATTTAGTGGTTGACCTTTTCTGCGATCTCCAGTACGTCAGCCCAGTATTTCAGGGTGTCAGAAGCCACAATTAATTGGCTAAGCACTGCTTTTCAGTTCGCTTTTTGCGTGGCTACACCGTCAGTGAAAACGCCTGTCTGCTCTTTCGTCGTTGTTACTGACAACCCGTTCTAGCGTTGTGATGTACATGTTGAACAAAGGAGGTCCTAGAGTCGTCTTCATCACCGCTTCTGTCCTGATTCTAGTCGGCAACTGGATTCGTTACGCCGGCACCAGAGCCGACAATGGCATCTTCGGCTTGGTTATGTTCGGACAATTGTTGCTGGGTCTAGCGCAGCCCTTTGCTCTAGCTGCGCCTACCAGATACAGTGATTTGTGGTTTTCAGAAAAAGGTCGAACGAGCGCGACTGCATTGACGACTCTGGCGAATCCGCTGGGAGCAGCTATTGGCGAGCTTGTGGATTCGGCGTGGACTACACAGCCCGGAGATATACCTAATATGGTTTTGTATATCTCCATAATAGTAAGTCCTTTCTTGATCTTTCGAAGTTTTGTTCGCGGTTTGAATACTGATCTGGTATGTGATCATGCAGTCAACCATCGCCTGCCTTCCATCATTCTTCATTCCAGCCAAACCTCCAACACCACCTTGCGCATCAGCCGAAGTGTCCAAAACCCCATTCCTCGAATCCGTAAAGGGCATATTCCGTATTCGCGAATTCTGGCTCATGTTCATTCCTTTCTCCATCTACGTCGGCTTTTTCAACAGCGTCTCAGCCCTAATAAACCAGATCCTCGAACCATATGGCTTCACCGAGACCGAAGCCGGAATCGCAGGGGGCGTACTGATCATCGCCGGCTTGATCTCATCCGCAATCGTGTCTCCAATCAACGATCGCTTCAAGAAATACCTACTCATAATCCGAATAGCCGTACCCATACTCGCAATATGTTACATAGCGCTCTATTTCGCACCCTCGAGCCCCTATGGACTTGCCCCTAGCATCGTCGTGTGCGCACTCCTAGGCGCCAGCGCGTTCGCACTTTTACCCGTCGCACTTGAATTCATCGTCGAGATCACATATCCATACTCTCCCGAGATCGGAAGCACAATCCTCTGGACTGGTGGCCAGATACTCGGTGCAGTATTCACGATTATCCAGACAGAGCTCAAGGCCAGTCCGAATGCCAATCCACCGGCCAATATGAAAAAATCGCTGATATTCAGTGCTGTTGTGGCTTGTGTGGCTGCGATATTCCCGTTGACGCTGAATGTGTTTGGGCCGAAGATTGTGAATAGGCGATTGGAAGCGGATCATGCGCGAAACAATGTAAATGGTGTGGAGTTGGGACACAGAGTTGATGGCGAAGTAAAGCAGGTTGAAGTGGCATAAATCTAAATGATGACCTCGCCATTATTTCTGTTAGCGTTGACATCGAATCTTCCTTCTTTCTCTCATATTTTTTCCATTTGTTTCAGCGCAGTCGGCGTAAGGTGTGATGTCTGATGACTTTATGGTGTACATAGCACAACCAATGGTACATATTCCACGATTTCTGTACATTTCATACAATCATCGAGCATATGACCACGATGTTAGCATGTATTATGAATCATGTGCAAGATATAAGATATACTTGAACCAAATCTAACGTGCACAAAGTAAAAAAGACATAAGAAAATAAACATTGAATCAATATAGAAGAAAGTCACTAGCTACCTGTACATAAAAAAAGTGAAACATGACGATCTATATTCACTTCTTTTCTCTTTTGGGCTCTTTACCAAGATCAGGAAAAAAACTCCCCCAACATTTGACAGCTGGGGAGGTTTATGCAACACTTTGAATGATAATACATATAATTTGCAAAGGAAAGAGTAATCAGAACAAAGCTGAAACGATTTTTCGAAGCCAGTATGTCTATTGCCGTTCCGTAAGCTCCGATTTCTTTTCCCTTCTCTGTTCTTCGGGCGTTAAGCGTCATTTGCGGTGGAGATTCGATGGAAAGATGCGTTGTTGTTATTCTCGTAATCCGATTTTCCTCGCATGTATAATGACGCATGAACGTGATGGCGTCAAAGATGGGCGATTTACCGCAAGCTCCTCCAGAGCTTGGGGGCAGCACATTGGGTGGCGCAGTGCTGGAGGTGGAAGACTATGGAATAGAAATGTCAGCAATTGAATCATTTTCACAAATCTATACAAAGTCGATAGATTTAATTGGAAAGGAGTGGCAATTGGTGTCGCGTGCTTACATTCTTCAACGCAGTCTTCCTGGGGTCCGCTAGAGTCGCCGTCTTCCTGTGCGCGTGTGACACGCTCAACGCATTCGTCGAAGTGGTGCTTGAAGGGAGCGCATGTCTTGGAGTTGGCGCAGTCTGTTTGGTAAATCTATTAGCCGATTGGTCATGCTACATCTTTGACGAATTAAGTGTAGATTGCTCTCCGCATGACCTCATTGTTATGGATATGCAGAGATGCACGTTCGCAAGTGACAGCAGGCTCTAGAATGGATAAAATAAATCCATTGAGTATACTCACCCTCCTCGAGTTTGGGCTTGATGTCCTCAGGCTCTTCCTCCTCTTCTTCCTCTTCCTCCTCTTCCTCTTCTTCCTCCTCCTCTCCCTCCTCAGCGTCTTCGGCCTCAGCCTCAGGCTCAGCCTCCTCGGATTCTTCAGTGGACTCTTCGGTGGGCTCTTCGGTGGGCTCGGCAGACTCTTCTGTCTTCTCTTCCTGCTCTTCGGCAACGCTGTCGTCGTTCTGCTCGGCGGGAGGAGCCTCAGCGTGGGCTTCGGCCAAGCCGAAGCTAGATACCAAATCGGAGAAAAAATCCGTGAGACCCATTTCTGACCGCGTCAGCTCACTCGATGAGCGCAATTGAGGGTAGGTGGGAAGTGTAAAGGGTGGTTAAACAAGAAGTCGTGGACGGGATCGGTAAGCAGGGTCGGAAGTTGAGGTTGTGAGAGCTTCCTTGATGGAAAAACGGGACGCAGCGGTCTTCCCGGTCCCGATGCTGACTGGTCAATTCCCTTACACGTGATTGGCCGTACCCGCTCCCACCCGAAATGTTTATAAGATCAAGCATCATGCTTATCAAAATGGGTTTGAAGTAAAGCATCTTAATACAATTACAATCTTGAAAATAAGCAGAAGGTATTTCTTTCAGTATAGAGCATCCATCAAATATTCATAATTTGGCCTGCGTCTTATTAATTACGGCGAATATCAACAAAGCCTAGATTCTGCGGGTGACTACGAAAAATGCATCATACACTAGATGCTGTGATACTTAGGCATAAAGATGATTTGTGGACGTGGGCTTTCAGGTGCTGAAAATAATCTAACCTGATAAAAATGGATTAACAGTAATCTCAAAAGGCTACGCGATTTAGCGTGCCCTTCGGAGCTGCTCTTCAAGCTCTTCCGCTACACTCTGTTGCTGCACTTCTTCATATCCTGGTGGAGGCTCCACTGGAGCTGGAGAGGTTGTATTCGCAGTCTCTCTGATAGGTGGTTCGACAGCAACATTGACCGACTGATTCCGATCAGCGCTCGAGACGTTTGGCCCATCATAAGCAGGAAGTTCATCGAGATGTACGTTGGTGAAATTTACCCCACGGCCGGCTGTAGCTTGAACAGACGCAGTTCCACTGTCTCTTGCATGATCAACAGCTTGCTGTAGACGGTCTTTGATACGTTCAAAGTTGGAGTGGAAATCGAAAGCTCCTCCTTCATTGAATGTGACCTTGAGTTCCACAAGCTGTAATGACGCGGGTATACCTCCTCCAGACACTGGCTGTGCTAGGACAGTCCATGCATTCGGGCCAAACCAAGGTGCTGAGACGTGACTATCGTGAAGATTCAGGAGGGGAGCCGTGAACGATTGAATACGTTCGTTCGGTTCGGTCGGAAGGTAAACGATCTATAAGAGAATCGCACAATCAGCATAGTCGTATGCCATACGCAATCCCAGGAAATCGCACTCTTTGATTCGTGAGATATAGGCGTCCGGAGCTGCTAGATATCGAGAAGTTTTCCTTCCCTTGCCATGCGCTAGGAGGTTTGAGCGACAGTGCTGTGCGTGGCGGAGAGGTGTATATGATATGTTCGTTCGGAAGGCGGACGAAGCCCTCCTTACTCGAGAGCATAACCCAACTGCTCAATAGATTTCATTAGTCTAGAGTCTTGTTAAATGCGTTCAAATACCGATAGCACGTATGAGCCTCTAGATATGCAAAACCGATGTAGGAAAGTCATACTTCAACGACATTTCCAACACAAAGGAGTCTCTCAGTCCAGACAAAATGTTCTCGTTTGTTTCGACAAAATGTGATTTCCTTCAGGCGCGGATATTATTTGCTTCTCAGCTTTTTGACTGCGTGGATGATCGAAGGTTGTTGTAGCTTTGTTGAAGGCTAATTGCGCATTGTAGACGGGTTGAGGCTTGGAGGGGCATTTCAGATGACATCGGCACCAGCGGCAATAGTCAACATGATCATCCTTAGTTTGATCAACCTAGATCAAAGTTTTATCGGAGTTCGAATAGGAAGTAGATTTAGCGAGTGAAGTGTGTTGGAAAACACCGATTGTATAAGCATATAGAAAGAGGTAGAAACAGAGCTCCGTGTGTCCTGACTACTGCGGGCAGCCTCAGGCAGCAAGGCAGCAATGTAGCATTTCATCATGGGCTTGTGATCCTGCCGTTATTTTTAAAGTTCTAGAAGCGTCACAACGCGCCTCACCCCACTGTCGACCTTCGCATGAGATACATTCCTTGATGTATCTGCCACGAATGTCGTTTGAAGAATCTATGGTCGTCGCTAATATTTTTCGGAATCTTACTTAATATATCAAAACAACCATATGTGAATAGACTCGTGTCGCGCTGGTAAGCTCCGCTACGTCATTACCCCAGATGCGCAGACATTGGCATGGTGTACTTCAGGAGCTGACTACTAGGTGGTTGTACGCAGGAACCGTACCTCTAAATCCCAACTCGCTGCTCTCCGGCCGATACAAGAAAAGTCGTTCCGAGAGAAGTGAATAACCAATTTGTATACAACTTGACGGAACACCTGCGAAGCCTTAAAAATGGCGAAGGCGCCATATATTCCACCCCAGATTGGGTGGTTGTATGATCTAGTGCTCTGGACATTTTCGGTGCTGGTAGACCTCTTTTTCCGGGAGGTGCACCCGCGCGGCTCATGGAAAGTACCAAGAAGAGGGCCTTTGATCATCGTTGCCGCACCACATGCCAATCAGGTACAACATGCTTGCTTGCCTTGGATCATAGCGAAGAGTTACAACTGACAGCTCCTATTACATAGTTCGTCGACTCACTCATTCTCATGCGCGTCGTTCGAAGAGAAGTCGGTCGTCGCATCTCCTGGCTTATCGCAGAAAAATCATTCAAGCGCAAGTTTATCGGTCTCCTATCACGAGGGATAGGAGCGGTTCCCGTAGCACGAGCCATGGACAATTTGAAACCCGGAGCTGGAACGATTTATCTACCAGATCCAGTCAATCAGCCGACTCTATTGCGCGGTAACGGAACGAAATTTGATGGCCCCGGATTTGAGCCAGAAGGAACCATACATCTACCCACAATCAATGGCAATTCATATAGTGCAACCATTGCCGAGATCAAAGGACCCGAGGAGATTGTTCTAAAGAAGCCAGTCAAGGAGAAGGACGCCCTATTCCAATTGACGGGTAGAAATGATATCACTGATGATGGGAAATTCAACGGAGAAGGCTCTGGTGACAAGTCCGACTTTCAAGGCACTAAATTCAAGTTCGCGCCGCACGTGGATCAGAGTGCAGTGTATAAGGCAGTTTTTGGCAGACTAAGCCATGGTGGCTGCATTGGTATCTTCCCAGAGGGTGGTAGCCACGACCGTCCGGAGCTGCTACCGTTGAAAGGTATGTCCAGAAATAATCACTGAGATCAAAATAAGCATCATGTCCTGATAACGTCTTATAGCTGGTGTTGCAATTATGGCACTTGGTTCTCTCGCTGAAAACCCTGATTCTGGCTTGAAAATTGTGCCATGTGGAATGAACTACTTTCATGCGCACAAGTTTCGGTCACGAGCTGTGGTGGAATTCGGCAGCCCGATAGAAGTTCCTCGTGAGTTAGTCGAAAAATATAAGCGAGGCGAGAGACGCGAAGCTGTTGGTGAACTTCTCGATACCATTTACCATGCGCTCTTGGCTGTAACTGTGAACGGACCGGATTACGAGACATTGATGGTAAGCGTGCTTCCCTTCTTCAAAATAGCTGGTTGCTCTACTAAAATTGCTCTAGGCTGTTCAAGCTGCCCGTCGTTTGTACAATACAAAGGGAAAGAAGCTTCCTTTGCCAATGGTCATAGAGTTGAACCGTCGCCTAATTACAGGTTACGCACACTTCAAGGATGATCCTCGTATCGTAAAGCTGAAGAATTCCATCACGAGTTATAACAAACAGCTTCGCTTTTTAGGCCTTCGCGACCATCAGGTCGAATACGCTAAATTCTCAATTCTCAAAGTAGTCTTCACCTTGGTTTATAGGCTAATAAAACTCACGCTGCTAGCCATCGGCACTTTACCGGGTCTCGTCCTATTTGCGCCTGTCTTCATTGCAACAAAGTCTATATCGAAGAAGAAATCGCAAGAAGCCTTGGCTGCATCGACAGTCAAGCTGCAAGGGCGGGATGTCATGGCAACGTGGAAACTCTTAGTTGCTTTAGCCTTTGCACCCGCTGTGTACGCATTTTACACTGCAGTCTTCACATACTGGACTTATCGCAATCGTATTCAAGGCTATGTGCCGGAATGGGTTCCATTGTGGGCAATGATTCTCCTGGGCGTTGTGCTGTTTCCTACCATCACATTTGCCGCCCTTCGTATTGGAGAGATTGGCATGGACATCATCAAATCTCTTCGACCGCTCATGCTGTCGCTCAATCCCTCATCGGCCAACACACTCGTGAAACTCAGAGAACGTCGAGCCGAGCTATCTCACGAGGTGACTGAAGTTATCAACACGCTTGGTCCGGAACTTTTCCCAGACTTTGATTCGGCTCGCATCGTCGCCGACCCCTTCAAGGAATCTGGGCATGTTGAAGGCGAGAAGAGCGCGGAAGGTTACGGCGAAACTCGCTCACGACCTGGGATTCAGAAGAGTTATAGGACACAGGAACCACTACCCCGGAACGAGTCATTCCACGACTTGGCCAGCATCGGATTCTTTTCCACACGGCCGGCGAGTCGCAGTCGAAGTCGCAGCACAGCTGGCGGTCTTCGTCTTAGTTCTAGTGGCTCAGTCCAGCCTTTAAGTGAGATAGATGGACATGATCGACTCGAGGAAGTGAGCAAGCGCATTCGGGGTGCGATGAGGGAACGTGGTAAGGAACGTCGGCAACGTAGTGAAGACCTTGGTTGGGAGTCAGTCAGCGCAGGATCCATCACACCACCTGATGACGGAGAAAAGAAAACTCGATGATCAATTTTTGATAGTTGATGATATTCAAGAGAACATACCCCTCTTTGTTGGTCTGCATTTTTTTGGATTTGGAGAATAAGATACCTATATGTATACTAATGATTCAATGCGATTGTTTGTCTGTACGGAGTGACCTTGTTCGATGTCCCTGCAACTTTTTTCTTTTTGGGTAGGGAAGGAGTGCCTGCGGCATCATATGACATGTTTGATTCCAACCACAAGAATGACAAAGAAGGCACCATGGTCCGGGAATGATTCACTGAAGAACCAAACTTGGGCAATACGAGATATTGGTTTAATCATGCACTTACCAACTACATATTTGCTAACTTGAACTGGGACGCACTGAAGATAATCAGAGGCAATTGGTTATGATAGTAGGCAATGAAATTATACTAGTTGAAAAGCTGGTCTCTGCGACCCCCGGCGCCATTGGAAAGAAGATTGGTGCAGTTGTCCAAGTCTTTGTTGCAGAGCACATGGGCTACCACTTTGAGCCCGATCAGTTTGCATCGGAGCTCACGCTATGGCTCAAGTTGTCACTGCGGCTTTATATAAGAGAGCGAGAGATAGACTTTAATGCCACAGAGGGCAAATTTAAGCTGTAAGGTCTTTCCGAGCCCGTGTCGACGCTTTGTCGCTACGATAGAACTGACTTATGTTACCGATAGACTTCCATTTTGATTATTGATATCACAAAAACCTCTGTCAAAAGTAAGCGGGCTTGCAATCTACCAATTTCCGCTGATCGATCGACCGAAATTGCATGAACGGCTTGTCTCATTGATGAACCTTGAGGAAGGACCTGCAGGATTTATTCAGAGGGATCTCAAGGCAAAATGTCCATCCGCTTACATAATGCTTGCTAGCGTGGTTAACTAGTTAGTTCCCGAGGTATCCTGACATTTAGTGCCACGCGGCGTCAAAGTTAGGTCCGTAACACCATCTCCGCATTTTCAGTTTGTCCCTGTTTCCTGACCAGGGAAGATTCCAGCTTGTCATCTGATTCACACTCGTTCGCTTGTATATTTGTTTAGCTTATACCCATGCTTTTACATACATAGACTGAATTACACGAACTTCTCAAACCATCAACACCTCCCTTTCGACATACGAAGTACCAACTCCAACTGTGAGAAGACATATCAAAGAACTTTGCTTTCTACTTCGTCGTTCACAATACGTACCATAGCTTCCGACATAATCTCCTCCTACGCGTTCATATAAATTCGTCAAAATGTCGTCGTCCATGCACTTCTCGCATCTCCGAAAATGGTTCATCGCTTCTCCCCCCGTCGAATTCGTGATCAACAGAGTGCGAGAGTTGCTCCTCGGTGCCTTGAGGCAGGGTCCCATACCACAACATATCGCCTTTGTCATGGACGGAAATCGGCGCTTTGCAAAGAGCCATGGAATAGAGACTATTGAAGGACATCATCTCGGTTTTGAAGCTTTAGCTAGGGTAAGATCTCGCGCACCAAGATTGCCACGATTGAAGATGGAGTACAACTGACGTTGAATTGGTGTAGATACTCGAGGTTTGCTATAAAAGCGGAGTGAAAGTAGTTACAATCTACGCATTCAGTATCGAGAACTTCAACAGATCGCAATTCGAAGTGAACGGGCTTATGGACATGGCGAACGTGAAACTCGCGCAACTTGCTCAACATGGAGATATTTTAGACAGATACGGGGCTAGCATTCGATTCCTCGGGCGCAAAGACCTACTCAGACCCGACGTGGTTGCAGCAGTGGACCGAGCCGTCGAAGTTACGAGTCGCAATGGAGATAAAATCTTGAATATATGCTGCCCTTATACTTCGAGGGATGAAATGACGCACGCCATACGGCAAACAGTGGTTGACTATAGCACACCTTTGGAAACAACAAGGGCGAATGGGGGACGAAAACCGTTCTCCGAATCACACATTGCATCAAATATTCGTGCGCAGACCCTTCAGAATATGAAGGACCAGGATGGCAGTGCAGACTCGGACTCGGCATCTGCATTCTCACAAGATGAAGATAACGGCTCSCCCMACGTCAACCAAGCAAACAAAGWATATGACTCGCCCTCGTCCTTTTCATCATCTACTACCCTCCACCTTAACGGACAAGCCGCCGGCAGTCCGGACTATCTATCATCAGAATTCATCACCTCTCAAACACTGACAGAGCGCATGTATACCGGAAACAACCCTCCTATCGATATTCTTGTGCGAACCTCCGGCGTTGAGCGACTGAGCGACTTTATGCTCTGGCAATGCCATGAAGACACCGAAATAGCGTTCTTAGATGTCCTTTGGCCGGAATTCGATCTGTGGCATTTCCTTCCCGTCCTCTGGAAGTGGCAGCGACGGATGACGAAAGCGTGGAAAGGCGAAAATGCTCTGGACAATGACGAATGGAACAGTGCGAAGAACGCCAACATTCTCGTTCCGGAGACCAAGACGCAAGTTGAGGCATTTTAAGCATATCATGTATTGTATTCATAGTGAGCTCAGAGCATGAAGAGCTGCCAGCTTATCGCTCATATGTAAATTAGAAATTACCTTTTATCCCTGAACCCATACGGCTAGTTGCGACTACGCATAAAATTAAATCATCACAGCAACGTACTCATCGATGCTAACAAGACAGATTTTGTACCTTACTACCTATCAAGGGGAGTAAGCGAGATATTTGGCGGTATTGTGCACTACTTTACAAATATCCCTAGTGCTGCTAATGCTTATCAATTGATATTGACAACCACCTTCACTTTCATTCCCCATCCCTGTCGCCCTCCAATTCTATTCTTTTTCTTTCCCACTTTTTCTATCTTTCTTTTGGCTCCCTCGATGACCTCCTTTATCATCATATGATCAGAGCTAGCATGGGCAGTGAACGTAAGCTCGATGCCAAATTTATCTTGACGCTTTCCCAAATCGGATGCCCATCGGACTGACAGCAAGACACGCGGCCAAAGCGAATCAATAATTCCAGTAGGATAGAGAATACCTAATACCAGTCCAAGTTTCCCGACGTACCGTATCCACCATCTTTCTTGCACACTCAAGAGATCTTGGAATGCTGATTTGGCCTTTTCTTCTCGAGGGGGCAAGTGGCCGCCATATCGCTCTTGGAGCAAGAGGGCTAATCGAGTTCGGTCTCCGTGTGAGATACCGTGTACCTCTGCTAGTAGACCGGTGCTAGTGCTATAAAGTGCTGCAGTCGAAGCGAGTTCCTTCGAGATGCCTGCATGCGCATACATGAAATTGGCAAAGGCTTGAATTATATGAACATTCAGTGTGTTCGGCATAGAAAATCGGTTCGCACTAGAGGATGGCGGAATGGCCGTAAGAAGTAAATGACCGATAGAACCTGCAGATCGCGTTCTGAATGGAGTCGTTGCGACTTCCAGAGGATCCTGTCGGCGAATGACCGGCTGAAGCTGCCGGAATAGAATGCCTTCTCGAACGCCTCCTTGACAAAAGTACACTTCCTTGATCCCATGCGGAAGCGATTCGGCCAGAACGTTTATTAAGAAGGCTACTGCTGGGACCTGCTGTCGACGACGGTCTGAAACACGGAATATACGATCTGCTGTTCGAGCTATCTCCTTTAGGGTTTCTGTCTTTGCAAAATCGTCTCTGCCAGCGCGATAGCCGTTGATGATCGATATTGGATAATGACGACCCTTTGTTTGATGTAGGTAGAGCAGCAAATATCCCCATCCACGAAAACCTCCGCCGGAGATATACATGCGAAATCCTCCGTTTTGCTTGGCCTCGTCAGCTAGACGATCCGGTATTTCCAGTTTGTTGTATGCATCCAAAAAGTTATTTTTCATCTCTTGACGCAATTTGTCCCTAGCGTGCTTTGCTTCCTTCTTACTTTTTCCCTTCTCCAGTTCCGCCAGTGTTCTTGAAAGAGCCCCAGCACCATAAGGGAAACTGATAGAACCCTTTGGGCTTATGTGCAGCTCAGCGCCGTGAGAGACCACCCATGTGATTTGGGTGCTCCCACCTCCAAGATCCATAGCCAGCCCTTCGACATCCGAGTAGCCACTAGCAATCCCCCAGGCGCCGAGAAGACCCTCGTCGGTCTTTTCCAAGAGTTCGACCTCATAGCCAGTTGCATTCTTAATTGATTCAAGAATCTCCGCCGAGTTTATTGCCGTACGTGTTGCCTCCGTTGCAACAATGCGAATGCGAGATGACGGCACATCAAAATGCACACAAGTTGCCTGGAATCGCAAGATTGCTCCAATTATGGACTGGACAATCGACCGAGGAACAGGGATTTTAGAGCCTGATTCGGTGTCGTATTGTGCGTCATAGAGAGAGATTCCGACTCGATGAGCATGCACTGTAGGAATTATACGTCCAGTAGGTGATGAGAGATCGGATATGGAAAATCGAATGCCATTGCTACACATGCAACGATTGTTAGCTGTTTGTCACATTGCTAGAGGAGTAAGGTAAGAAGACGACAGAAACCAGACTCACCTTCCGATATCAACTACAGCATACAGGTTGTTAGAACTTGGAGAAGGATCTTCTGCCAATTCCGCGCCAGGCCGCTCAGGGAATAACGGACCGCCTCCCATTTTGGGCTCTCGTAAATTAGAGGATTATTTTGATCAACTTATGCATTGTTTTTCATCTTTGATACCTATCATGTTCACTTACACATGTATCTGTAGTGTTTCATGTGTTCTAACCGGTTGCGGAAACTTATATGACCTCACCACTTTGCCATCAGGTTCTAATAAAGCCGTCCCTTGAATGTTTGGATTATTCCATATTAAAGAAACCTGCTTTGATAATAAAACATACCAAGTTTCTCGCGGAAAGCCTATATGTGTTTGTCCCTGACACATACAACAGAGCTCAAAACGTCCTGCAAAGTGCATTTGAAGTAAGACTTAGGTTTAATAATTATTGTCCTCACAAGAGCACTATTTACCTTCTTGCAACTAACAATTGTGATCGATGTAGCTTATACCATTCTTTATGATCGAGTCGCCAATTGTTTATAAGGTCAATGGTTTTTGTAGTGTACAGATAGTGAGAAACTGGGTCAATAAAGAGAAATGTTTCACTTGCATTACTAAAAGTCGAATAATTGTCATCATTAAGCATGTTGGCCGACCTTAGTGTCACTCGATGCTTTGCCATTTAATCCATGCTTGTCATAGATAGTTGACTACATGTATACAAACTTGATTTTCCCTTGTAGGTGATGCTTTCCTTTTTAAGCCGGTACTACATGTACTTTTACTCCGTATACAAGTAAATATATATAATCTTACTTAGACTTAGTTATAACTCAACTAGCTATATTTATATTGAGGCCATAAGGGCCACAATTCCCAGAGAGCAGCAAATAGCTGCGAATAATATTTACACCTATGTTTCTAAACTCCATCTGCCGCCCATACTACTACGCTCTCGTGAAACCCTCTTACAAAATATGTCTGGAAGCTATTCCGCACTTCTATACCCGTAGCGTTGACCACGCGATCAGGAGAATCTTTCATGTCCACCCTATCCGGAGCCGCATGGCTTGAACAACGTTTCCCTGCTTCTGAATAGCCTCACGTCAAACTATCACACCACGAAGCTCTCGATCAGCATACCCAGGAAAGCGGGAGTGCACACTAAATATATGACTAATCCCGGTTATGTAACTTAGGGCTATGAGTGGGTGCGTGTCTGACTATGGAATCTTAGGAGTTGTATTATTAGTAAAAGTGACATATTATGACTCATGATCAATCATTGAGAAAAGTTGAAATTTACCTGGTCCTGGTGTGAGAGTAACTATCCACCGCCCATTACTCACCAGTATGGTATTGGCTGTCAGTCATAGCTGCACATGATCGAAACTTCTTCGTAGAAACCATCCATGCTCAATCCTCCTTTGTAGTACAAACAATGCAGCAAAAATGGCGCAGTATTGCATGAATAGTACATTTAGGGTACTGTAATCTTGCCTATAAGATGTAGTCGTGCGGTCCTCTCTCCCTTGCAAATTCTTGATATATCCAAGGTACTTTCTCTCAATCATAGGTAAGATAAGCTTTACGTCTTGCGCACTCCTTTTCTATGATGATTATTCTTCCTTCACTCGCCGAAATGACTGCACCCTTTTTGCTTAAGTTTGGTGCTATCTTGATTATACTCGAGGGTTACTGAGACTCTTATCTGCGAACTCTGCTCATGAAAAAACTGGTTGACACTTCGCTAACTATCTACTTAGCAGATTGGTCACTAGCACTCGCTAGAACCACATTGAAAGGACTTGATCAGCGAGTAGGCCCACTGCTAACACGAAGCCATACTCAGTTCTGCTCAGGGAGTAAAAGCGGCGACGGCGTGAGCACTAAAACGGAAAGAGAAAGCCCTAGCGCATCAGGAGAAATGAAATACGTAGGGACTACAGTGGAATGATGTCTAATCTTATTGCAATGTACTCTACCCAAGACGAGTTACGGATAAGTGCGTGCAAATTCATGTATTATATCAAATAACGAGCAGAGGCGAGCTAATGGCTCATGTTTCTTTCCATGGCCTTAATGTTGTCCAAGGCGTCACGCGCTATATGTAGGGAACAGATCTGATGAACTGAGCGCAAGTGGGAGGCTGTTAGATGGCATTCAAATCATCAAGAATCTTAGAGTTCCTGCGTCAGTCAGCAAGTGCGAGTCTATAAACTTACGGTGATATCCTCTGGTATGATCCGTTGAGTCTTCTCTTTTTAGGACTTTATCAATTAGGGTTAGTGGCAAGTTTCTGTACGGTTTTCGTTTCGGCGATTGTCTCTGTGACTTTTTCTCACCAAGTGCCCAAGTTAGAAATCATCCAAGCACTCCTCGTTTCTATTCTGTACATATGTTCGTCACTTCTCGACCACTATGCTCTTGTTCCTCTGCTCTCTGATCCCTTTGCAGTCTGATTTCAGTGACGCATCAGGTCACGTGAGCGACCCCTGGTACAGGGTTAGGGCTTCCCCATCCTCACATTCAGTTGGGAGAGAAACTGGGAATGACAACATCGTGTAGATGACCGAGTCAAGCAGCCTAGATATGAATACAAAAAACAAAGCGTAAAAAGAAGCTATACGCTGGCTCGTTGAGAGCTATCAACAAGTTCAAGATGACTAAAATCCCCACATCAACCGCGCAATTGCATATCATTGGCTGCTGATGCTTATCCTCATGCATATACAGCAAAACGAAGCATTTTTCAATGGGTCTTTCAAAGCGCAAATGTGTCTTATTCGCTGCCATTGCGAATCAATGCATCACGTTTCTATCAAAATAGAGAAAAATTCTCTGGGGCCTGAGGGCTGTTTTGACGTCACGTGAAATCCACACGTTCAAGATATAAAGCTCTCCGTTTTCGGAGAAACCCCGCGTCTGTGATTCTAAAATATCTATCTTTTAAACTATATTACTATATCAATTGACTATTTCCTTTTATCACAACATTCAATATGGGCAAGGATATATCTGGATCTAAGGTCCTTCTTTTGGGCTCTGGTTTTGGTATGCAATGTCGAATATGTTTTGTAGATAACAGAACATTGTGTGAGAGGGGAAATTGTTAACACGACCTCATTTCTAGTTGCCAAACCCACCGTTGATATTCTGGACCAAGCTGGTGTCGAGGTCACCGTCGGTAAGCACCTATTTCAACTTCATTGACCTGCAACGAAAAGAGCTAACAATTGATAGCCGCCAGAAACCTAGACAAGGCCCAGAAGCTTGCTTCCGGCGGAAAGCACACCAAGGCCATCTCTCTCGATGTCAACGACGCCGCCGCTCTGGACAAGGAGCTTGAGAAGGTCGATCTCGTCATCTCCCTCATTCCCTACACCTACCACGCCCAGGTCATCAAGGGCGCTATTCGTACCAAGAAGAATGTCGTGACGACTTCCTATGTCTCTCCGGCCATGCAGGAGCTGGAGGCGGATGCTAAGAAGGCTGGTATCACTGTCATGAACGAGATTGGCTTGGATCCTGTGAGTCTATAGAGATGATAGGAGAATAGTATCCGTACTAATATAGGGTAATAGGGTATCGATCACCTCTACGCAGTCAAGACAATCACCGAAGTCCACGAAGCCGGCGGCAAAATCACCTCCTTCCTCTCCTACTGCGGCGGTCTCCCCGCGCCCGAAGACTCCGACAACCCTCTCGGCTATAAATTCTCCTGGTCCAGCCGCGGCGTGTTACTGGCCCTCCGCAACACTGGCAAGTTCTACCGGGACGGCACCGAATTCACCGTCGACGGAACCGAGTTGATGGGTGAGGCAAAGCCGTACTTCATCTACCCTGGATACGCATTCGTTGCATACCCTAACCGTGACTCAACGCCTTACCGTGAACGATACAATATCCCCGAAGCACAGACCGTTATTCGCGGCACACTTCGTTACCAAGGATTTCCCCAGATGATCAAGGTGCTTGTCGATATCGGCTTCCTTAGCGAGACCGAGTACGATTTCCTCAAGACACCCATCTCATGGAAGGAGGCTACCAAGAAGATTATCGGCGCCAACTCGGAGAAGGAAGCTGATCTCCTCGCAGCCATCTCCTCCAAGACCACATTCGCCGACAACGATGAGCGTGACCGCATCTTGGCTGGGTTGCGTTGGATTGGTCTGTTTTCAGACGACCTCATCACACCACGCAACAACCCGCTTGATACCCTGTGCGCCACGCTTGAGCAAAAGATGCAATACGGGCCTGAGGAGCGGGACATGGTTATGCTGCAACACAAGTTCGAGATTGAGAACAAGGATGGCTCCCGCGAAACTCGCACTAGTACGCTGGTCGAGTACGGTGATCCCAAGGGTTACTCTGCCATGGCTAAATTGGTAGGTGTCCCGTGTGGTGTGGCCGTCAAGTTTGTGCTTGATGGTACCATTAGTGAGAAGGGTGTTTTGGCGCCGATGGGTATGCAGCTTTGTGCCCCTCTAATCAAGACTTTGAAAGAGGAGCATGGTATTGAGTTGATTGAGAAGACTCTGTAAATGTTACTTTGCGTCTACGGAAAGTCGTTAGAATATGAACTCTAGAGGAACCAAAAAATTTACAGTTTTGAACAAACATCCGCGAGATTTACGCATGAAATGCATTTGTCTCAAGTAAGGTAAAAGTCTTGATATGATGTCTTGATTTATTCTATTTTCATTCATCGTTTGCTCATAAAAGCGACAAAAACCGTATGACCAGAAAAGCATCTCCTGATTTCAGCGCCTTGTATCTCATGCTCCAACTATCTCTAAAAAGGGAACCGGTTCGAGTGAAATGGACTCTTCCATCGTGCAGAAATGGGTTTGAACTAGGACTGGAAGAACTTCAGGATCTCAGAGTATCGTGCCAAACCTACGCCAAGAAGAAGAACAAAGAAGAACATCAGCAATCGTGTCACCAAAGAAAACTGATTTGAAGAGGACGATGAGGTAGAAAAAGAAGGGGGAGGGGCATCTCGGGGGACAGTGGTGATGGTAGCGAAGGAAGACGGGGGACTGTACCCGAAGGTCTGCTTAATACTGCGAACATAATATCCGTCCCAGTTACGCTGCACAACCTCTTCTTGTCCAACAGGGACACCGGTCCAGGTAACCCGCATCACAGTCACACTATCCACATCGTTCTGATCGAAGACGATTTCCTGTGTACTGAAGTGACCTTCCGGCCATTGAGCCAAGCGCCATTTCTGGACAACTCGCTTCGAGGGTTCGAGCGTAACGTACTCGCCGGTCACGTTGCCGTCAAAGATGGCGAATTTGCCGCCAACGTTGGCACCTTCGAACTGGCGGGGTGGCCCGCGAGTGAACGCTGCGATGCGTTGGGGATCGGTGAACGTAGTGTACAATTCTTCCGCGGTTGTGCGGAATTCATCCGACGCAGTCACAGTCGTCGTGTTAACAGAAACCTTGCCAGTGGATGTGGTGGTTGTCTTGGGCGTACCAGCTGCTGGGCTGGGTGATTTGTGTGGGTGATAAGCAGGTGTCGCAAATCCGCTGGAAGGGTTTGAGCCGGGAGCGTGCTGGATATCCTTTCCGTGTTCCGTGACGAGAACCTTGGGAAGTTTGGCGAGTTCCACGCGTAATTGAGGAAGAATCTTGGACCGAACAAGATCCTTTACAGGCTGCTTTGACGACGACTCCGAGTAGACGCTGATTTCGAACTGATCTCTTGTCAGACCATGAATACGACACAGCAAGAGAATACAAAACATACGACAAACTCATCCTCTTCGGTATCATGAGCGACTTCGGGAATGGTGATGGTGCCGGTGACGGTCTCCTCATCCTTAGTTTTACCTACAAGTTGACGAGAAAAAGAGTGAGTCTTTATTATCCTGAGACAGACAAAAAGAGAAAACTCGCTTGAGTGAGGGGAATGATGAACCTTCGTATTCTAGCTGCAATTTCACATCATAAAGAGTAATAACCTTTCCTTTACGCTGGCTGACATCTACGTCGCCATCCATACTGAGCACTTTCTCAACCTTGGCAGAAACGCCATCTTCTTCGGCGGAGATCTTGGACAGGCTATCCTGGAGATAGGTCTTGGTCCAAGGGGCAACATCCTTATTAACCCAGTGCCAGTTGTTGGGATTGTGGAGAGCCATTGTGTGTACACGAAGTCTCGCTTGGAGAGATAATAAGACTAGAGAATTGACCAAGATGCTGCCTGACGCCCAACAATTTTGCGTGTGATGTGAAGTCTATTTCCTAGCCATGTACGTTAGCTACTGGTGACCAAGAGATATTCAAGTCAAAATAAAGCAAGGAATAATTCAGAGCGTTGGGCCGACTAAGCGACCCGTTGCAAGCAAGTCCGCAGTGAATAGAGAACAAATCTTTCTAGGACTGGTGCCAGCTATATATCTCATCATATAATCGTGGGCGAGCATCAATGCATAGCATGACGTCGAGCAGAAGTGAAGCAATGAAGCAATTGCAATGGAAAAGAGGGCAGGTAAACGGGAAGAGGGGATTCAAGTACTCACAATTTCACACACACCACAGAATAAAAAGTCGAACTTCAAGTCTAATAGCAGGTAGTAAGTACTGGTTGCTTACACTGGGATGGAGTATTTATTAGTCGAAAGAGAGGTCACAGAAGTTGTTGGGGGAAGAAGAAGGACACATCTTCCCTGCCAAAGAAAGTCGCGGAAAGAAGATTTTGGAAAGAATCAGCCGGGAAAAGGAAAGCTCTAGAAGGACGGCGTCACGTGACGGCTCCACTATCCTTCGTCACTCCATACACTCAGACGCTGAATTGCTTATACGATGATACATGTACTAGAGATAGATCATTGTAAGGTCATATATTCATAGCATTAGCGACAGTGGGTATATTGCTCTCCTCATCTCACACAATCGGAATCAAAAGGGAAAAGAAATAAGTGACAAGAAACGAGACAAAAACTATATCATCAAGCCCCCCTAATCAAGTCTTCAAAATTCATAAAATCAATTATCCCTACTCCAATTGCTCCGAGGTCTCATCCCACCCATCCTCGGCAAGAAGATGACTTTTCACCCTCGTCCGTAGACTCTGTATCTGGCTCCCCAGCGCCTCTGTCCACTGTCCCTCGACAGTGGAGACTTTCTCTTTGAGGTCGGCTGTCAACTCTCGCTCCTCGCGGGCTTGCACCTCCTGCATCTCCCTTCGGACTAAGTCCTCGGGCTCGCCGTGCCGGGTTTGCTGTGCGGCCATCAAGCGGCAGTTGGTCATCATGACCCCCGATCTCACTTCGTGTAGGAGACAGAGGAGGTTAGTCTGGGATTCGATGAACTGATAGGATGATTTCTCGGCGTGAGACAGGAGAGAGTAGAGATATTGTAGAGGGAATTGGTAGTAGCTGGGATTCTCTTCGTATTCCTGTGCCGGGATCTCAATTTGAAAGTTCGACAGATTTTCGGGAACTTGTTGCACCAGCGTGAGCAGTGAAGGCGCAATATCCCAAAATGCGGATAGATGTGTTTCAACGCCGCGCTTGACGTTCTCCTCAACGACATCCATGAATCGCTCCATTCTAGCAAGAGCCTCTGACTCATACTGCACGCGGCGGTCGTAGGAATCCTTGACGAAGAATGCATCGGCCTCACGAAGTTTTTCATCGTTTTTACTTTGCTTGTACGGCAAAGTGACGATTGCTCGGTACTTTTCATTGCTCTCCCCGAGAAGATCGTAGATTTCTCGATATAGCTGTTCGSGAGCCTCAAAGAGCCATTTCAACTGAGTAAGCTGCTCTAGAATCTCTGGCTTTTCGTCACCTTCTTCCTGCGTGCGGTCCGGATTTTCATGCTGAATATCTTCCTTGAGTTTACCGCTCAACTCATTAATCCGCTCTGTAGCCTTGTTCACCCGGTCACTAAGAATAAGATGCAATGGCTCCACTACTTTCTTTTGGTACGTATCATATTCACTCTGTGCCAAGTCTCTCTCTTTCTTTTGCTCTTCTGCTTCAAGTGCTGCTTCCGCTTCCGCGGCTTCGGCGTACTTGATGCTACCTTCTTGAATCTGTTGCTGAATATTGGCAGTAAAGAATTTGCGATTTTCTCGCATCTTGCTCTCGTGCTCCTGCTTCAATTGTGCCATTTGCTGTTTGTTTTGCTCCCTCGTCGCCCTCACCTCAGACAAATCACTGATTGAGCGGACAGTAGTCCTGTAGATGACGAGATCAGGATGGCTATTGTTAACTGCAGGATGATGTCTCGGATAAGGTGGAGGAAGCGTCACCAATCGTGAAATATCCATCTTCTTCGGTCCACGGGTTTCCCGATAATGACTTGCGTGCGAGATTTCGAGTTGGTATTGGTGGTATTGCGCGGAATTGGACTCAGGTTCATGTAACCCAACCTTTTCAGGTGGATACTCGTCCGGACCGTAGCCTCCCTGCGAGAAGTTTTGTTGGTCGCTGTACTGTTCCTCCTCCGTCACGGAAAGAGGTCCACCGTAGCCTCGTTGCATTTCTTCGCGAAGTTCTCGTGGTACCCCCATGTACTTGGATTCACGTTTCGATCGTTGGGATACTCGCTCCCCACCTTCACTACTTGAGCCAGTCTTGGATTCCCACCAGCGACTGGGCGGACGACCCCGAGAACTCATCTCATCAGCATCGATACTTATGCTGGCAATGGGGGACAAGCAGGGCTTGTAATTGTTCCACCACATAGATTCAGGCCTGGTAGGCATATTCCCTGGAGCCTTGTTGGGCTGAGTGAACGACGTGTCCAGCTTGATACCAGTAGGTTTCTCTCGAGGAGGTTGCGGGGGCTGTGGTTGCGTGAAGAGCTTCTTACGTGTGCTCTCAACGTCGATTTCGGCATCTGCAATAGCACGCACATACAGACGTCGCCGAAGTTGTGACTCGGTGACCAAAAATTCCATGAAGATTTTCAATGCCTCTGCTTCACTAGCTGCGGCAGCTTCTTTTTCGAGAGTTGCCCGATACCTTTGTAGGCCGCCTTCCAAGAAGTCGTTATCCTTGTGAAGAACCGAATCAAGTGACGGCGTCTGAGTCGTCGACATACGGCGTGGAGACAGTGGCGGGAGTACAGAAACAACATCATTCGGGATATGCAGCAGGTGAGAGACTGGCCGTTCCTCGAGTCTTGTCCCAGGACGCGAGGACGATTTTGACTCACTAGCTGGGCTTGATGGAGTTGTCGGCAGGGGTTTGGAGTTCAGCATATGCTGCTTGTCCTTGGCTAACGGCGATTCATTGTCCGGCGAGAAGGGTGGCGTTGGCGTAATCTCCGCGTGCGAGAAGATCGATTCCGGCTTTGGCGTTCCGTACGACGATTGGTCCGAGAATAGTCCAGATGATGTCCGAGAACGACTGCTGGAGGGTATCTCCTCCGATTTTGCGCTTCGTGCACTTGAAAGTGGCTTTGGGAAGGCTGATCGGCGCCCGCTTGGGGTTTTGTCTTCAGAAGTCTCAGTGTCGTTGGTACCATGAGCGCCATTGGTGCTATTTAGAACAAGATTTGTTGGCGTCAACGCATTTGCCCATGGATTGCTGGTGTTGGATATGGCGGAGAGATCTTCAGAAACTTGCTGGCGTCTATGGCGATTTTCAATTCGACGTTCACGTATACCTTTGGCGCTGGAGTCTCTTTTCACGGCAAGACTGCGGAATAGCCCCCCTCGGCTTGACGCGCGTCGAGATGATGATGGCTCTGCAGGTTCTGGCTCTGGTTCTCGTTCTCTGGCAGCTGGCACTGCCGGTGCGTTGTATGTTACTTCCGTATCGATATGTAGCCTTTGTGCTCCGTCGGCAACTCGTCTTGATACAACAGTCTCGTCTACCCAGTCTGCTGGGGTTGGTGGAACTTGGCCGAGAGATGTGCCTAGGATCGGAGGACCTCGTGAGCGCGGGACTTGCAATGCACGTCTCGAAGAAGCATCCGACGTAGTAGTGCTCGCACTTCGAGATCTTGCAGCTGGGGGAGGCCCAGGAGGCGGCGGTGGGAGCGGCATTCCAGGCTCCCAGCTATTCCTCGGCGATGAACGTTCATACGTTGGATTCAACGATACCGACGAAGTTGCCGTGTTCAAAGCGCCGGTAGAAGCAGCTCTCTTGGATGATGGAGCATGTAATGGCATATCAAATTGGCGCATATTGCTCAAGTCGCTGTACGTTGCCTGCTGCTGAGTCGCGCTAAGGTAATGGGAAACCATCGGTTCAGGTGTCGTACTGCCGTAACCGGAATCCATACTGGTCTGATAGCGATCTGCATCTGCTCGAGATGACGACCTGGAATTCCCGGCCGGAGGCGGAGGAGGAACACTATACGTCGATTGCCAACTTACGTTACCTTCAGTCATTGAGATCATCGAGAGAGGTCGAGGTTGAGAGATTCCACTATGATACCTTGCATTCCCACTAACAGTATCGTTTGATGGGCCATGTTGTGGGGGTTGAACTGATATGGAGGTTGGGCCCGAGGGTGATGGTGCTTGAGTCCGTGGAGTGTATGGAGGTGGTGGTGATGGCACGGAGTCTATATGAAAATCAGCGCAGGACAATACTATAGAAAGGAGATTTGCTACCCAAGCTATGCTGCAAATGCGATGGCTGCACAATGCGAATTGCATGACTGCGCTGAGAATGCGTAACCTGAGCAATCTGAGGCGACCCGTCTCCATTCATAGGCGCCCATTCCTGAGGATTGTAAGGCGCACTGTATGATGACGATGACATTCTCATGGTCATTGGAGAATTACCTCTCTGCGCAGCACCCGGCGATGGTAGGTAGGCCGAGTGCGGAGGTTGCGAGAAGGGGCTCGAAAGAGAAGTCGCCGGAGAAGACATGAATCCAAGACTGGCACCAGCACTGTGGCTCTGATGGTACTGATGCCCATTTAAAGATGTCATCAACGCCGGAGGCTGAATGGCATGATTCCTTCGTCCGGGCGATAAACCAGCAGCGGTCGATTGAGCAGTAGCCGGGCTGCTTGTATGACTCCAACTACTTTCTGTCAGTTCAATCCAACCAGTTCCACCGCCTCTTTTGTTTCCATTGTTCTGTTCGAGAGGCAAACTCGTGAAGCTTTGTAAATGAAATCAGCCCACCTATTAATATTCATGTTGACTGACGCCAAAGGCCGAGACGCGGCTATCAGGCGGCGTAGTTGGTATCAAACTGTTGTATGCGCCATGTCTGCCAGTAACAGAATTTCAGACCTTCTTGTGAACGAGTCAGTAACACCAACGCGAACAAAGAAGCAACAACCATGGACCGTCTCGACAAAATCGAGTCAAGTGGTGCTTGGGTGGTAAACAAGAGGGTAAGAGGGGACAGGAGAGAATCAATGCGGCTGGTTTCTATTCTTTGCAACGACTAACTGGCGGTTTCCCCATCTACCTAGTCCACAACCAGATAACATGCTTATTTTAGAAACCGCCAGCGCAAGTTAGCAGCAAGTGGTCGCAACGTGGGGACGCGGTGTGCCAGACCACTGGCGAGGCTAGCGACACTAGGGAAGCTTTAGGGTTGGTGATCGGATGGTATTTCATCAGGCTAAGGATGCTCAATGACCTGGAGGCCACAGCAGAGTGTATATAAATAGCTCGTTTGTGCCGAATGAGATGCAAGCTAGTTGGTCGGCTCATGTATGGGCCAGGGTACGACTCAAGAGCCCGCGACAAGCTTATGCGCGCCCGCAGGTCATGCCGACATTCACACAGCGAGAGGAATGGTCTAAGAGTCTGAGGAAGCATCACCCAGACGAGAGTTGTATGAGAGGAGAAGACGAAAGCTGATACGTGCAATACATGCAGCTAACCCTCGACTTATCACATGCTTGGCATCTAGGAAACTGTCCGCCGGCCCAATCACCGCCTAGAAGTAGCCGCTCATCAACTAGCTCTCGGCCAATACGTGCAACAGATAGATGAAGATCCATCAGACCATGTATGGTCTAACTGGATACAGAACACAGAGGGTGTATGGCCATGGCCAGTGGCCGCATCGTGTGGAAGACACGGCGATTCATGACTGGTTGAGCCTAGCTCGCTACAACTACGATACACTCGTCTCGACTCTGTATCTGTGTACCTGGTGAACTTAATGACAGAACTAATGCGGCTGGGATTGTGTAACTCAAACCTGAAGAATCCTGAGCTCGAATTGACCTTCCTACTATGGTTTACAACGGGACATGTCTAACATGCAATGTCATGCCTTTATAATGATGTGAATGGAGTACGTTCAAGAATCAACATGGATTGAGAAATTGGAATATATTTTACTTTTATGATAATGAATTTTCTAGTGATCGACGGCCCAACACCAAATAAACCAATGCAATCGTGCCGTCATGAACTCGAAAGAGCAACGATAGACCTACGTTCTGAATAAGCGTTAGCTTAAACTCGAAACCATGCATGAGTGGTGCGAAGAAAATTGAGAAAGAGTGTCAGTTAAAGCCCTGTCACAGGCAGTGGTCATCAATTTAAATTCCTTATGTTGACCGTCGTGATAAAAAATAAATAACTCATCATATGAAAGAAGTGTTGCGAGGGTGTCCAGCAAAGAAAGGATTAATGACTTACACAATAGCTTGAAGATGTAGCTTAGCAGAAATAAAGCCTACGTCTGATCATGTCGGTCAGCGAATGCACACGACGACCATACATGATATTTTTGCGGAAGAGACTCTCAGTCCGGACAATTCTCGTCTTTGCAGGTAAACCAGCTTGGACATATGCTTGTCTTTGATTTTGTCGAGAATTCATCATTGGAAGGGAAGGTGTAGATTGCCAAGTGGGTACGTACCTTGTAAGAATACTACACGTGTATGGCGGACAATCAAGAGCAAGCTCATCTATATATGCATCTAAAGATTCGCGGTCAGCATGGTTCGCAAATAGTATGAGCAATATCAGAAAGTAGACATGTTATTCAGTAAAGCATGAATGGTTAAAAATAAAAAGGTTGTCTGCATCGAAAACTCGTATAAGACTCGTCATCTAGGCAATCATCATGTAACAAGAAAAAAGGACACAATAAAATAAAGCTTACCATATCAGTAGTATTTCTTTTGTCGGCAAACTTCTACACGTTCTATCGAGCCAGACGTTAGACAACGCATCTACCATTTGGCAACGAGTGATAATATGTGCATGTCTCAGTGGGCGAGGTTTTCTAGGCCTGCCACAAAATAGGCGTGTCCATCATGACCGAACTGCTTTGCAGCCGTCGGAGCCCAGTGCCGCTTCATCACCGACAGAAGGATTTGTATTGTGACATGAAAGCACGGAACGAGCAGACAGAGCATACCTATAGAGGAACTTGAGACAATTAGCCGATGAAACGAATGATTGGAATAGATAATATTGTGGTGTGGTATAAAATCAGTAATAGCCATTAGATATAATCAAAGACCCGAAAGCCTCAGCCGGTAATTTCCAGCGTATATAATACGAAATGATCATCATAAAAATAGGAGATAGGGAGACGCAGAGTTTTCACCTACCCAGTAGATTTCCCTAGACTTGATCGACTTCACATTGTGTTAAAGAAGCAGTAGCTCAACATCTGTAAAACTAAATGAGGCACGTTAGCACGGTGTCTCTGAAGAGCAGCAGTGGCATTCAAAGCATGTTGGTACCAATATCAGACTGACGTGTCAATTCGAGTTTCATTCCTTGGGAGGTCAAAGACTCTAGTTTGCGGTTGTAACAAATCATCATAACAGAGGGGGAAATGTGCAAGGATCGAGCAGGTGAAGATTTTTCAAACATACCAATTGAAGTGACCTATAGTCTTTTTGGTGTTAGTCGTTTAGCAATGGATCAATCATTTAAGTTGTCCATGCTGACTTTCTTGAATAAAGACAATGCCTGTCCACAGCATTGATGGAAAGTTTTGTCTTCATGAGTGGTTAGAAGAAACAAAGCTTTGCTCAATAATTTTTTCTTCCGCAGTTTTGAAGGTCGGCTAAAAAGTGGCGCTTGACTAGATACGGCTAAAGGGTTGTCACATGACCTTTTGCAGTGTTTGCACTCTAATCGAGAGGTATGGGTCTTGGCATTAAAATGAGCAGTTACATGGAAACAGCACTATTGGAAGCTGTCGCTCAGTTCAGTCTGTGTGCTAGTCAAGATACTTACAAACATAGACTCAACCCCGATAAGTAATTAGTCCAGGGGTCTATCCCAATCAGATCCTCGGGACAACACAAGCCTTTCCGAAACAACAAGGAACATTTATCCGTTACAAAAATGAACACTCAATCAACTAAACTCGGGCCGTTTCCGTGGAGCTCTTATCACGATGCTTCGATTCTTTGATTGCTAAGTGGTCATTGATAGCTGATGCCATGTCTAGAAAAGCTCGAATTCCTCTGACATTCCCCTGAAGCAAAGCTCCTCAAGTCCAGAGCATCCTGAATTGGAATCAACTGTCCACGTGAACCCACTGATATATCCCTCAGCTAGATCCATCATCCCGCAACTTAATTTCTCCGTTGTCGAGAACATTGGGGGTAGTCAGCTGGGCGTCGATATTTTCCACCAAGCAGCCGATGCCTACGGATAACGTACCTGGAGGAGATCGGAGAGCTGTCCACACGTTCTTTTTACTACTACTTGCCAAACAGCGGAGAGGACCGGAAAGCGAGCCGGCATTTCATTTCTGCGCCTCGAAGATAAGCCGGAGCTACGGATTGCGTGTGTCTGCTTCAGGCTTAGTGCGGGGGAGCAGGAAGGCGGATCTGGACCCATTTGTATGATTTCATATACAACAGCTCCGTACATACATTGGGTACAATTAAAATGGGTAACGTGACGAAATCTTGATGTTGAAGCTTGCTGTTGAACATGGTACATAGGCCGGTTTGTTAAGTGTCTCGCCAGAGTACCTACCGAGCAAAGATCGGGACTGACGCACTGGTCCACCCGATTGGAACCTGTTGTATCCGTACCTAGGAATTCTGCTACCCTTTATATACTGTAGACTGGCTATTTTGCTCAATTGTTTCTGTAAAACTTACATTAAACCCTTGAACACTTCGAAGCCATTCTGACGTACCGAATCAAATTCTCATTTCACTCATTCTGCGCTGGTCGTGTTACAACTCAAGACTTCTGCATCCCACTTACACCTTAGGTACGGTCTCTTCTCCGCTGAACCGAGGTAATACGCTCGTTTAAACACGGATCTGTTGAGATTGGATGACTTGAATTCTAATAACTGTCTCAGTTCCTTGACTTTTTGCTCCATCTGCATCAAAGCAAAAACCAATACAAAACAGCAATCACAATGGCAGCCAACAGCAACGGCGGTTCCGGCGTTGGCCAGGAGAACATCAACACAGATATCGTCACTCTCACACGATTCCTGACGGAAGAGCAGCTTCGAGTCCCAGAGGCCACTGGTGATTTCACGTATGTTATAATGTGGACTACGTATCTGCTGTGATGACGGAGGCTAACTATGCGGTTGTGCAGTCTCCTCTGCCACGCCCTGCAATTCGCCTTCAAGTCAATTGCCTACTACATCCGACGAGCCAGCCTCATCAACCTGACTGGTCTAGCCGGTTCTTCCAACATAACTGGCGACGACCAAAAGAAACTCGATGTAATCGGCAACGATGTCTTCATCGCCGCCATGCGCGGCTCCGGCAAAGTGCGCCTGCTCGTCTCCGAAGAAGAAGAGGAAGCAATCATCTTCGACGAGCACCCAAACGCCCGCTACGCTGTCGTCTGCGACCCCATCGACGGCTCCTCCAATCTTGACGCCGGTGTCTCCGTCGGCACCATTTTTGGCATTTTCCGTCTTCCCGACGAGATTCTGGGCGCCGGCAAGACCGTCTCTGGCAAGGACATCCTGCGCGACGGCACAGAGCTCGTCGCCTCCGGATTCACCATGTACGGCGCCTCCGCCCAACTCGTCATCACCATGCGCGGCGGCTCCGTCAACGGCTTCACCATGGAAAACTCCCTCGGCGAGTTCATTCTGACGCACCCCAAGATGCAACTCCCCCCCAAACGTGCCATCTACTCCGTCAACGAAGGAAACAGCATGTACTGGGACGACTGGGTAAATGATTACTTCCACCAACTCAAATACCCCGGTGAAGGTGGAAAACCTTACAGTGCTCGTTATATTGGTAGTATGGTTGCTGATGCATACCGTACGTTGTTGTACGGAGGTATCTTTGCCTACCCGGCGGACAAGAAGAGTCCCAAGGGGAAATTGCGTATTCTGTATGAGTGTGCGCCCATGGCGATGGTGTTTGAGAATGCGGGTGGGTTGGCGATTAATTCGCATGGAGAGAGGTTATTGACCGTTTTGCCGGAGCATATTCACGATCGCAGTGGGGTGTTTTTGGGCTCGAAGGACGAGGTGCAGAAGGCTATTGATGTGTATAACAAGCATCATAAGAAATAGGTCAACTATTAATGTGAAACGATTCTGATTATGAGCTTTTAAAGGAAAATCCAGGAAGTGTAATTACATGAGCTTCAACCTGTGTTGAAGCCGATGTTGACCTGGAGGTACTGATGTGTCTAGCGAAATTAGAATATAGACAGATTCATTGTAATCTACATTTCTACACTATGCCACTGTTATAGATACAACAATTTAAAAGAAAACAAAGAGCGAAAGAATGCTTAATCAACAGGATCCTCTTCAAGAAGTGTCTTGAAGCTAAACGGCTGGAACGGAATACCGTCTCCAATGAAATGCTTGCTCATGGCTTCAACCCAGTGCAGACGCAACGAGTGCAACATGGCACTGGTGCCTTCCATGACACACAGAATGGCCACGGTCAAGAAAAACCAGAGATAAAAGCCGACAACGATCATGATGACACGGGTAGTTGGGCTCTCAATGCCGAAAGAACCGCCGAGAGTCATGGTCCAGAGAACGATGGAGAGTTGCTGGTGAGCAAGTGACAGTGCCCACAGACGGAGATAAGATGCAGTGTGAGAGATACAGTTGAGACAAAATTCTAAAAATAGTTTGTTAGTGTTGTATAAATCAAAGACCGCGTGATGTTGTAAGCTTACCGATGGTATGGATGACTTGATGGATCATTTCGTCTGAAAAGTCAAACTCTTCATGCTCACCCTCGTCGATGTCCTGCGCAATCATGGCAACTCCTTCGCCATCGCTAGCTATACTGTCACGCCCTTCGGAAGCGCGACCATTAAGATCTCCATCTTCGTCCAAAGCACTCACATGGGCACGTTCACCAATTCCTTGGTAACCGAGACCTCTAGCCCGATTATGCTCTCTTCGTAGCCAAAGTGGTTTGAGAAGGAGCATGATAGGAACCTGTAACACAGCCAATCCTAGCAAGAATTTCTGAACACCAGCTTGTCCTGGGTAGAGCTGTTGTTCGATTGTTCCGGGGCTGAGGAACATAAAGATCAACATGTTCAACAAACCAGGTGGAGAGTCTCCTCGAGCATTCCAGTCGATAGACCATTTATAGACAATGGTAAAGACGAGGTAGCCGAAGATAGATTGGAAGAAGATCATGCCCGGAAGGAAATTGCCGAGAACGTCAACTTTGGACTTGAAGTGACGAGCGTTGATGTATTGCAGAGAAAGCGAGTAGGTCATCTGCATTCGAGTTAGTGAGATTTCCTAGCATTTCTTGGGAAAGCACTGGTGATAAAGAATAGACTTACATGAGCCCATCCCATGAGAATACTGAGCTTCATCTTGTAGCTGTTTGTGAATAGCAACGCATTTTCGGCCTCGTGCCAGTTCCAATCCAAACCGAATGGGTAGCGGTAACCCTGCTTCAAAGTCGCCTGCACAACTTGACCCTCGTCGATGTTACGAGGCCATTGCCACTGACTGGGGAAGATCTCAAAAGACAAAGAAAAGACATCGTTGTAAATCAAACCGGTGTACATCGAAAAGATACCCATCATTAACATGATGTAACGACCATAGAACGCCATGTACGTCAACTCGTCCAACTTGGTCCGTAAAAGTGTCTTCTCAAATACAATCATAGCGGTAGCAGTAAGAGTCATCAAGAACCCATGACCAAAATCACCAAACATGACGGCGAAAAGAAATGGGAAAGTGATAATTGTGGGTAAACCAGGATTGACTTCACTGTACTTGGTGATACCATAGGCATTGATGATCGTTTGGAATGCTTCCGTGAACTTGTTTGTCTTGACATAAGTCGGAGGTGTCTTGTTCGTTCGAATCTGGTTGACGATGGTAGGCACTGACAATCCAGCGCGATCATTAACGTCCTGGAGAGTTGACTTGATCGATGACAAAGAGTTGGTCGGGACCCAAGCTTCCGCAATCAAAGTCTTTCTAGCCTGGTCATACGAGAATTTGTTCAGTGTATGATACACGGATTTTTCTTTCTTGACGATAATCATCCACGCAGCGAGTGAGCGAGCAATCTGAGTCAACTCAGCATCCAACGTATTCTTAGTGTTTCTCAAAACGCTTTCGACGTCTCCAAGGCGAGTGTTGACTTCGTGAATCTGGTCACGACGAAGTTCGCTGTTCTCGTCCACACCATAGAGACTTGATCCGAGCGACTCGGAAATCTTTCTGATTTTCGCCAAAATCTCTTTTCCATGAGCGAAGATGACAAAGACATTCTTGTGAATCTGTTCGTTCGTAGCAGGATCGATGATCGGCTCTGGAATCTCAGATTGGTTCATGTACAAGTTTCCACGCAAAGTACGCCACAGAATGCGCTCAAATGAACCGATGCGTTCTCTGGGGATGACACCAGCAACAAAGCCAATATTCATGACAGAGAAAGACTGCTGGCCTTGCGTTTCGCCGTTCTGGTCCCGCCCAACCTGGTGTTCAACGTCTTGCAAAAGTGGAGCATCATCGCCATCCCCGTCCACAGATGTCCTGATTTCTTCGGTATGCCCATGTGCCTGAATATACGGTATTAGCAACTTAACACCCAAAATGATCAGCAATCGTAACTTACGCGATCGAAGAACCCTCCAGCTTCCCTCAAAACCCAGCGCCATTCGGTAAGCTCCATCTCACGTTTCTTCAATGTCTCATAGCTATCATTCAGCGATACGATGCGTTGTTCGAGGCTTTCGCTTCGTTCGGCAAGCTCATCGATTTCAGCAGAGGACGGGGCAGTAAGCGTATTGCCAAACTCGGAGGAGGGTCGCATGGTGATGTTTGCTTTCTCCATTTGCGAGGAGAAATAGCGTAGCTGTCTTTCGACGTTGTCGAGCCGTCGGATCTCCTTAGTGAAAGTACGCTGGAATGCATTCGTATCCGGGTTAAGCTAGGAACCTGTTAGCTTGAGTCCCTTAAGGATGTATGTAGTATCGAGCATTAAACTCACATCTCGGAACTGGACCTGTCCAACTTCACCCAAAGCGCTTACAACCTCTCGACCGATTTCATTTGCGATATAGAGCTGAGTCAAGCTCATGTCCGCCGAGCGGAAGAACGTATCTTTCGGAGCCATGTTGTAAAGGATTGCTGGCCTCGAGAGCCAGAAGAGCCGTAGACCGAACGATCGAACCAGGTAACAGCGATGAGGAACACACTGCTGATCAACAGCTGAAGCAGTTCCTGCCAGACAAAGTGTAGCGACCGCCCTATATGAGTACAAGAGATCGTACACCCTTTTTGATAGATATAGAGGGGTTCTCTTGTCTTTCGTTGCAACACCTATCCTAACTTGAGTATGTTGTTGATGGGGTGTTTCCAAAAGCTAGAGTTGCCGATGAGTCACGTGATATCATGTGACGTCGCTCGTGGCTTGATCGATATATTGATCTGTCTGGTCATTGAACAGCAAGTATTTTGAGTTGATTAATTTTTTCTTATTTGTTTTCAAGTCACTTGCTGGCTTTTAGCCATTTGCAGATATTAAGCTGATGTCGATTATCTCCGACGTGGTCTCTTTGACATTCACTGGAAGCTATATAATTTCAAGATCTAACACACCATTGCAATATTGTACTTCACTCTCCAGTATCAAGACTCAAATGACCGCCGAGAAAGAATGCAACTGACATGTACACCGTCAGACTATACACTAGCTATTCAGCTAGTCCAGAACATAAGCTCGGAATTCGCGACATCTGGATGTCCTCTTTGCATATACTCTTCTAACATCGAGAACGCTACCTAGGTCTCGGTACACAACATGAATTACCTGCCAGCCTATTTACATATTGAACCTACAACAAGCTATAAAGGGTTACGATGCTTTTTCATCGCCTCAAATACTGACATACCCTTCTCCACGTCCGCCTTGACTTTGTCATCCTGAGTCATTAGTTTTGGGCACAACTCCAAGACATCATCAAGCAGGTTTCTTGGTATTACCACGACACCTTCCAGCGGGTCACAAAAGATGATGTCTCCCTAAATCTAGCATGAGCATTTGCCTGAGACAAGTCAAGTGTTGAAGATTAGCTTACAGTATCAACGGTCACGCCATTAAAGTCAATGGGCACATTTCGCAAGCCCGCTTTGGCCTCTGCTCCGGTACCTACTGTAGATGTTGCTTTTGACCATACCTGCGTCGAAAAATACTGCTCAGTAACCATGTAGAGACTTGGAAGCATCTTGGTGTAAAAAGTACTTACATGCAACCCCGAAGCACTCAATTCCGCTAAATCTCTAACCCTTCCATTAACCACAACAGCCTTGACTCCAATATACGACATTCTCGCCGCCATGATCCCACCGAGCACAGCACAATACTGTTCCGCCGGCTGATCAAGAACCGCGATAGTGCCTTGTTGATTCCAGTCAACCCAATGCTTCCCAGGTGGGAAGCCGTTCTTTTCAGGATCTGCGACTGTTGGAGCAGCCTCGCCTTTGGGAATGAATTTGAAGGTCACCGCTGGTGCAATTATCTTGGGTTTATTTGGCTGTCGGCCAATGAAAGGGGATATCGGGGCTACATTCTCTGCATTAGTCTGATGAAGTGCAACTATAAAATCCCATGGACGTACTAATGTCGGCCAATTGTCCTGCTCTTACTGGAGTGCCGGGAGGCACTTTTTGTAATTTCACCAATGCATCTGAAACCTAGATTCAGGTGTTACTATTTGGAGATCGATTAATAACGACGATTTTGGTTGAACTACGAAACATACATCACAAGCTGACAGGCTCTCCAGAGCCTTGAGTTTCTGCTCAATAGACCCAGCAGAAGACATATTGCGCTTATATTGATCACCGAATCTCACTGAAAAGGCTTGCTTTCTCGCAAGGGGCCTTGTCACTGTTGAGGATAGGCGGAGTATCGAGGCACCGGAATATGCTAAAGGGGATCGTTTCATTAAGGCAGTCAGGAGTACCACTTCATTAAAAACAGGAGCGTAGCATCTGAATTGAATTTTAAAGAATATACAATGTCAATCAGGATACCTAGGTTAAGCGCAACTGAGGTTACCGTCGGTTATCTCATGGGGTTGAAGCCGGGATTGTCCGTTGGATTTGATTGGAGCAATTCTTGATATTGATTATGATCGAAGATCCATTGTTCCTTTTAAAAAGATGTCTTGTTGTCTTAATATTTGATTTCTATATGAGATTTAAATGATTGACTTTATGATATCTTCCTATGTGCTGTTAGATTAGAACTGTCGTGGGTATCTGCAAAAGCAAGTTCCGGGCAAATTCTACAACCCCTCCTAGTGAATGGAATTTAGGCTAGATCGCAGAAAAACATGCCATACAAGAATGACAGGAATTCAGAAAACAAGCAGTAAAACCAGAGCCGGCTACTATCGAAGTGTGTGAATGCGGTAGATCATTGTTGAGTCGGGATCGCTCTAGTTAATCTCAACTCAAAGGTAATGTTGGAAAAGCGGTTATTTATTTCTATTTTTCCTTCAAAAAAGACACGGTTTTGCTTGCAGCCGGTGGCACATGTCGGAGTTAACTGTACAAAGGGGACCCTGAGAGCCACGGTGGAAAGGTAATTTGAATATCGTGAATGAAAACCTGAAGACAGAATGAAAAACACCGCCGCATCTAGTATTGTCTCTTCTCGAGCTATTGAAAGAGTCAATTTCTAGTCCATCCTTTTTGTAGAAAAGAGCTCACGTACCTTCCATGGGTTGCTGACTTCGAAGCCAGTAGGGGCTTCTACATTGGTAGATTGGCCTCTCATGCTTCCTGTTATCCGGAAATCTCTCTCCATCACTGCGCGTTTGCGATTAGCATCTGATTATATTCCTCCAAGTTGTATTCGATCGGTATCGAATAGAATCACACATACTTTGCTAAAGAAAAGTTAGCTTCAAGGTTCTATTTCGTGATATTGGTTTCGGCCAAGCCTACCTTATCCCAGACATCTCTGTTCCATCGTGCCTTCTTGTGATCGTTTGCATAATATTTCGTAACACTGAGGCCGACACCGGTAACGCAGTACATCTGTGCCTTGAATTAGCGGTGCTGAACGTTGTAAGGCGCTTGTCAAAGCTTACGCCGATGATGATGCCATAAGGAATCAAGGCCTCGAATGGGACACCCATTTTGGCGAATCAAGTCGTGACGATTTTATTGAGTGACCGCAACGTTTATCTGGCGTTCAAGAGCGGAATTGCGATACAATTGACGGCAGATAGTTAAAAATGATCGTTGTTGCGGAGAGCTTGCGGTCGGTGGTGGAAGGAGTCTCACGGCCATAAACGGAATAGCGGATTCACCTGGCTTGGCATGCTAAGTCAGCGGCAGTAACACCAATTGTGCCGGCACGACAAGGGGACTTCGGCGCATCGTTGCTTAGGAACGAGTACAATTTTGCGGTATTGTGCACCGAGTCCCTACAAATCTACGCGTCAGCTACGTGTTGAACCTATCTCTCTGTACGTTGAGCTCATTAATTCTCCGTTTTGGACAAAAGCGCATACGTATTTACCTCTTCAAGCCGCACCAAGCTAACGCCACAGCGATCTGCGAACAGACTTCGAATACGTTTTGCGCCTACAGCAAGCAACTTCGCAACGAGATTCACGCCAATTTCTTGAGTTTCTTCTGGATTGGTTGAGGCATTGTCATGCCTATCTCCGATGCCTTGCTGCTCTAGCCTCAAGTGACGGCGGCCTCCTCACCATCGAGGAGCCTACCCATTCTCTCAGTCGTGCATCTGTTAAGAAAACTATCCAGGGCTGGCAGCGCTAGTTTCTGAGTTCATTTGGCGACAAAGGGGCGTTGAAGGGGACATACGATATGGCCGCGATCATGCCTGCTAGCCACGAGCTAGGGGTCAATTCACATGTCGAGGATCGAGTGGACAGTGACCAGGACGCTGAAGGCGAGGAGGATACCGATCTCTACCAGCTGGATCAGGAGCTGCAAAGTGCCGTTCAGAAAGCAGATGCTGGAAGCGCGGTTGAAGAAGAAGAGCCCATGGCGGAGTCGGACGCTGCGGAGGACGATGATAAAAGTGAGGAAGAGGATTATGCAGAGCAAGTCAACGATGATGCGGTATCGAGGGAAAGTGAGAATGAATATGATGAAACACCGCGAAGGCCGCGCCGAGTTCGGAGAAGTGCCGCAATATCTTCAAAATCTGACGACGAGGAAAGCGATGCAGATGTCGCTTATGGAAACGGTGATGCACGCTCAGATTCGGAGTCGGAAAGCAATGCATCGGACAGGGAGGCAGAGGATTGGGAAGCAGAAAGCAATGGAAACGATGAAAATGATGCGGACAAGTTGATTCGATCGAATTGCATGTGAGTCGCTGCTCGCTACCGAAATTTGTGGTTGGAGTTTAACATTCAAAAGATTCTGCGGTCAGGATGAAGATCATGATCCGTCGGAGGATTTCGAAGAGTATTTGACATGCGCAGTTTGTGGCGATCACTGTAAGGCTTTTGTTCCCGAAGCTCGGGTTTTGTTGCTAAAAACAGATTCTACAGCCCATCGGCAATGCGCGCGAGAACAAAGCGCCTTTAATGACGACGAAGGTAAGCTACAGCTATATTATGATGACTTTTCAAGCATCTCTAACTTATATGAAGATGCGGAATGGTGGCGATGCACTACCTGTGTTCAGGATAATCTTCAACCTGACCCAGAAACTGACGCAGCTTCACGGAGATTAGCTGCGGAAAGTATTGCGGGCGATTTACAAGCTGCCTCAGCAGATGGTCAGCACTCTGTTTTTAATAACCTAATAGTTGACGACGATCCGATGGATGGGACGCGGTCATTGCGGAAACGCAAAACTTCACCTACCGACTCGGAAGACCACGTTCCTGCATTGCGTAAACGACAACACCGTACACCTTCGCAAGGCGCAACAGACAGCGCAGATGGCTCTTTGGATGCAGACGGCTTGCCGCGCACTCGGCCGCGCAGGGCGCGTAAAGCAGAGAAAGAGCTATGCCGTGTTGTGGAAAGCGATGTCGGCAGGTGTATCATTGCACTGCACCTAAACTTTCCGAAGATGGCCAAAATCCTCAACTCACGACCGCGGCCGAAGCAACGGCGGCGCAAGCAGCCGAAGCCGCCTCCCGTAGAACAAGAGCCTCTCTCTCATTTCGCCCCAATCCCACCAAGCTATACTACACCTTTCTACTCTTTTCATGATCGCGAAGTTGACGAGCTCAAGTCGAAACCGTACGGAGGGATTCTATCAGAAGCCGATGCCGATACTAGTCGAACGTTGCCAACGCAAGCGGACCGAGAGAAATTCGAGGCTGCTCGACGGAGCGCCGAGGAGGACTGGCAACGGAAGGTCATGGAGTCGGAACCTGTTGGAGAATTGAATCACCGTGCTTCACAAAAAGTTTCTGGCCCGCCGAGCAAAATCAAATGGATCAATTTTGGCGGTTACGAGATCGAGACATGGTATGCTGCACCATATCCTGAAGAGTACAGCCGCAACAAAGTGTTGTATATCTGTGAATTTTGTCTCAAGTACATGAATTCGGACTTTGTGGCCTGGCGGCATAAATTGAAATGTCCAGCCAAACATCCACCGGGCGATGAAATATATCGGGAAGGTTCGGTGTCCATCTACGAAGTGGATGGGAGGAAGAACCCTGTTTACTGCCAAAATCTTTGCTTATTAGCAAAGCTGTTCTTGGGCTCAAAGACACTCTACTATGATGTCGAGCCCTTTCTTTTCTACGTGATGACCGAATACGATGACTTGGGATGCCACTTTGTCGGGTATTTCAGCAAGGAAAAACGGCCCAGCTCGTCGAACAACGTTTCATGTATTCTGACGCTTCCTATTCATCAACGGAAAGGTTACGGAAACCTACTCATTGACTTTTCATATCTCTTGACACGAGTTGAGAAAAAGACCGGATCTCCTGAAAAGCCGTTGTCGGATATGGGTCTAGTTTCGTATAGAAATTACTGGCGACTTGTTCTCAGCTATCAATTGCGCGACCAGAAAACTCCAGTTAGCATTGCAGAGCTTTCTGACCGCACAGGAATGACTGCGGACGACATCGTTTCTGGTCTTGAGGGACTACGAGCGCTTGTTCGGGATCCAGTCACAAAAACCTACGCTTTACGGCTCAACTATTCGTACTTTGAAGAGTACATCAAAAGTTGGGAGGTTAAGGGCTATGTGAAACTCAACCCGGATGCCCTCGTTTGGACACCGTACGTCATGGGCCGTAGTAACCAGTCACATTATGATCGTGCCCAGCTACACACTGTCGCTCCCCGCGAAGACCCCAACGATGAAGACGAAGAGGGAGCCGACGAAGATGGAGACCTTGGTCTGGGCGCAAACGGAACGTCAAGAATGAATGGCGATTCCACAAAACCAGACGGTCTCTCATCCTATGCGCCCGCCGGTCCTCCTTCGACAGCAGGCTTATCATCATTCGGCGAAAACTCCACCGTCCTGTCCCAAACAAATGGCGAAACAAGGTCAAAGTCTCCTGATCCGGCAGCCGGTATCCCACCAACTCGATTTGAGATTTACCCTCCTGTGCGACCGCCAGTCTTCAAGCGCCGACCTGGCCGACCCTGGGGCAGCAAGACGAAGTATAACAGCGCGTATATGTCGACACCGCGAAACGCACGCTCCACACCCCGGCGCACGTCGACCTCTATGTTTGGGATTGGGTCGCCTGCGTCTACGAATGCAGCAGCTACTTCCGCGCGGAGGGGCCGGAGCGGATTAGTCTCGGAGCTTGCCTCTGGTCCCGACAGTCCTTTGGTAAACGGCACGGAAGGTCACGACGATGACGAGGAGGAAGAGGAGGAGGAACAACAACTGCAGGATCAAGAGATGGACGAAGCAGCTGAGCCTGATCAAGAGCTCACGAATGGAAATGGTGCTACTCCCGACGCCGCGATCGAGGCTGAAGAACCCTCGATCGACGACGCAAAAGGCGAGGATGAGCCCATGACTAATGGCATTGGGCAACCCGATTCTGTCTCTGTCGTGGCCGAGTCGGGTAATGATAACGCCACTACCGCGACAAACACGACCAACAGCACGGGGAATCTCACGCCTCGTCGGACTACGCGACGATCCATGGCAGATGGCGAGAAGAGGGTGACGAGGACGACGCCTGTTAAAGCTGTCTCTATCACCGCTGCTGCGAATGTACTAACAACAAATGGTAACGGAAGCGGAGATGGGAACGGCGACAGCGATATAGACGCCGACGGCGAAATTGACGACGACGTACCGATGGGATTATAACCCTCAAAATCGAAGCTTCACCTTTCACTTTTGTTTACATCTTCCTGCCGACTGTCATATGGACCATTATTTCATTCTGTTCCACTCTCCTTGTTGCTATACAGATTCAATCTCATTCTAACTTATCGCAAATGCGACCGACCCTGCCGAGACCGGGATTTCCACGAATTACCTGACCAAGGGGGGGGATAGGGGGTGGGGAGTTGGCGTTTACTTTTCTTTTCTTGCTTGTTTAAATTATATGAAGTATACTACCTAGTTAACAATACCATTGTCGTCTATTACCAACTCTCTCCAGTTTACCAATTATCACAAGACTTGACGAGCATAAGTGTTAGCACGTCACTAGACCTCCTCCCCAATTAAGCAAAACAGACAGACCCATCCCCAAATCCATGGTTGTTAGTGTCACTAAAACTTAAGCATCAAGCTATCGTACCTAGGTACACTCAAATTCACAGCATTTGGTTGACAGCGGCTCGTTAGTTAGAAGGGGAGGGKCCCCTAGTACTGTATGTACCGGATTTTGCCCTGAAACACAGGCTTTCCCTCGCCGCTTTTACTGACTGAGCACGCCGAAGTCCTACATAAGCTCACGCAGTTGAGTAACTTTACACTTCCACCCCAGTAGTACTGGCAGCACTTCTACTACGACTTCACTCGGCGAGTTTTATATTTACCATGTGAGACGTAAATCTATATGCTTCGTATATTAGATAGCATGTTGTCGAGCAGTACGAAGATACTGAGCGCCCTTACAAAAGCGGCGGCAGTTGTAGCTACCTAGGTACTGCCCCTAACTAGACCCCTCGGGCCCTAAATACCACTAAGTTAGTTAAGTCTCGGGACACGTTAGGTGCGTCCATGGTTATGGACTGGGCTTGGGTAGCCCCTGTAATACGAAGAGTTCCATGGTCTTGGGTGTCGCTATCTACTTAAATCTACCTAGGTACGTATGAGTGGGTAGCTGTCAAAGTATTTAAAGTTTGGTGGTTCAATGTTTCCATGTGTATTGAGTCTATGGATGGTTTATGCTGCTAGTCAATTTTAATGATGACTTGTTTATTTGTCAGGTACTGACGTCAATATAAAATTGACTCGTTCCTTTTTCTTTTCTTTTCTTCTGAGTTGTATTTTCGGTTTAAATGCGTTGTCACTTCACCTGCCAAACGACAAATGACAGGTAAGGATCACCGATCGGAGTAATTTCGGATACTTCGTATAATGTGTGCACAGAGTCATAAGTGTGGTAAAGTATGTTCAAACGAAGCGCTGCATATTCAGCTTCTGCCTCATGAAATTCAAATCTATGTACTCACGGCGTTTGCGATACCTGTAAGGGTAGTACCAGGTCAGCCGGAAACCACATTCCTAGTATATGAGTATATGAGTATCGTCAGTTTGTGACTTGTAGTAACGAGAGCTGTCAGTGGCAGGKACAACTTTTAGATAGCCCACACTGCGAACATTGTCACAAGTGGGCTACGAAGAAGAGGACAGCGGGCTCCTCCCCGAGTATCGAGTACAGACCACACGTATGTGTGACCCACCTGCACTGAATGATGGAGTTTGCCCCTTAGCGCCTATAGAGTGTAGACCCATGCAGTTGTGTAGCAAGCAGTCACAGCTCAGATGCCGGGCTACTAGCGAAGACAAGAGCACCCCAAGCATATGTAGTAGCTTCTTTGGGCGTCAAATGCAGAGACAGCTGCTTATCAACATGACAGGTCAATTTTTCTGCATGCATAGCGGCAACTCACAGACGAGCGCCTTAATTCTGTAGAAGGTAACAGCCGACAAGTATGCCAAGTCAGCTGATCACATTGCACCCGGAAGTATACCCCAGTCCAGTTATCGTCCTCGTCGCGCCACAGCCGAATGTCCACTGTGTGTTCATTAAACTTCATTCTTTCCTTCCACCTAGTCCAGAAACTGGCACCAGAACTTGGACTAGATTGATGCGAGGGCGGCCACTTATGCGGCTAATCGAGTAGTTCGTGATGTAGCGGCGCAGCTTAATGTTTAGTGTCGATACGGCGATACAACAATACGCGTACGGGTGGGTTGACATCATCTAGGCGTTGCGTAAGCGTAGTTGACGGTCGTCAGCCGGCGTAACTAAGGTGCACGTTTATCCGCACGAACCGTAAATGCTTCTCCAAGTCTGTATAGTTGTGCCATCACAAGGTTGACGATTATATCGCACGAGTTGTTTCGTACTAGTGCCGTTTTCACTGTACCGCATTCGATAATGGCGTAAGTGAACATTGCTTTTGCTTGAACTGAATCAAGGCGACATGGCAAGATGTCCAACTAGTCGTTCGGTGGTCAGTGTAACATACTGAAACTACTTGTGTGAGTGGTGTTGTTCCTGGTCGGCTCCGCTGCATCGCTTCTCTAGGTACGGGGCGCAATAGTCGGTGGCTTTGACATCTTCCCATTCTCGGCTCTCGACTCCTCTATTTGACGATTGTATGGATACCAAGTCAATCGTGCATATTGACCCGACGTCGCTGTGGATGCGCAAAGCGTCCATTTGCCAAGCTGATCAACCTTCTCCTAGCATGTGCTGTCAAGGTAATCGAGTAAAGCGACCCTCGAACATAATGGGACCATCATAACAATCGATATCCGCGTTTTCTTTACCTTGCGATGTAACAGTTTTAACGAGGACCGACGATCACATGGGGGGAGGGTTGGGCAATTCGTCCGTCCAGCAGGTGATAGAGCAAGACGAGACCCTTTTTCGTCACGGAGCAGTCAATCGAGGGAGATCCGATGGCAAAGGGGATCAAGCGCGTCAGAGGATGAATTCGGAGAAGGTGAGTGTTGGCAAGTTGTCGAGGTCATGGTCGCGGTCCAGGGGAAGGAACGCCCTCATAAAGGAAGGGGCTGACGACACAAAGGCAGTCATCTGACATTTTTGGCAAGACACCCGGATAATGAAAGCGTGCCTGCCTGTCAAGTAGAGAGACTGTTCTTCTTCAGGATGGAAGGTTTAAGTGAGTTACAATGTCGGGCTTCATTCAGGAGAGCCTCGAGGTTATAAAGCCAGGGCATACTCTGGTACACTAAGCATGCACTACGGCATTAGCTTGCAAAGTACCACACACTGGCCAATTTGTTTGCTACACGATTGAAGTCACACTTCTTTTGTCGCCATGGATAGGGCTACCGTACTGCAACAGATATAGGTGATGCTTGGACTGCAGTGAATGATATGGGACGATACTGGGCTACATGCTGGTTGTAATCTATTGTTCTGATGAGTATACAGAATACAGAAAGTGCGTAACGATACGGCGTATTATAATAGAGTTGTATTGACTATAACCGGGGAATCAGGGATGGAATGCTAGTCACAGGCATCCCACCCTTAAGGCCGATCTCTAAGATTGCCCTTGCATGGCTGGGGCCTGCAGCAAGACATCTTGCATATGACTACTCGGTACTAGGCGAAGTAAAAGAACAACTACGCCGTATCAAGGGAATTACCGGCAGCCGGCTGAGGGCGGCTATGCGGTCTGATTGGACCATTGCGATAAATGCAAATCTGCACAGTGGATCCCGCTTGTCCTGACTGGGAATGGCTCAGCCAGAAATCTTCCTGCTTTTCCCTCGTTTGGACGCTAGTGTACGGAGCTAGACCGATTGCGGCATCAGCTTGCATACAAGTAGTACTGTACTCGAAAGCGTATTGTGTAATATACGTGCTCACGTATTGCTTTACATAGTATTTAGTACACAGAAGATCGAGTCTCTTGTTGCCGGCATGAGTGATTGCTTCTCGGCATCATCATCGTCGTCATAAATGTGATGCCCCAACAGTGCAAACCATGGTCCCCGAACAGTCACGCTTCCTGGACTTCCGGCGACCACTGCTGTCATCTGCGGATCATTACCCACTGCATGAACCTTGCGAGCCATGGCATGGGTTCACGCTGTGGAAAAAGAAAAAGACGGATGGTGGTGTGGACTCGACAAACGGTCAACCTGCATTCGTGTGCTGATATCCACCACGAAAAATTAGCAAGCGATCAGACGAGACCTAGACCATTGTTCAACCCCTCCATCGGAAGTGTAAGAGTAAGACAGTACAGAAACTACGTCCTCAGCCCGGCCAATCGCCGACTTTTGATCATGTCATCATTGACTTACTAGGCCTATTTGAGTCAATTTTCGCTTTCTTTATTCAGTCAGTCTGATTCCTTTCGTCTTATTCGCACGGGTTATCGATAAAGACTGGCTGTGGTGGGGTGATTCATCCCTTTCATCTGCATCGATTACGATTACTTATCCAATTCTTTCTCTCATCTTCACATGATCGGACTGCAAGACTAGATTAAGCTTCTGGTTCCAAACTGTCAAAGGGTCATAACCAGCTCAAGGGCCAAGCACGGCGTGCATCGTGCTCAGTTCTTTCCATGGGTGGAGGTTGTGTGGGATAATCGATCGGTGTATCGTACCGCTATGAAACTTTCGCGGTGACCAAAATTACCGGTGGGCACTGTGGGTATGGCATGTAACGTTGTAACAGAACGTATTTTGACGCATTCGTCTGTCTTCTCTGAAGCATTGACATACTAAGTGGTAGTTATGTACTGATGCACATGTAGTTTTTGGAGAGTGTTTACTGATTGACGACACGACCAAATGACATGCAGGTGTATAGAAAAGAGCAATACAGAGTCAATGTGAAACACCAAGCCAATCACCCGAGCAGACACAGTTGTGGCGCTGCAGCTTGATTAGCAGCTGCAGCTGTATGGAGGGACGACAGATGGATCTCTGTAGCGTCTCGACCAATCTGGATGCGTGCGTTAAACCAGCCAATGTGTGTGGCATTAGCGCAAACACAGCGTACAGTGTAGTGTACAGTGTACGTACTTACATACTATGGAGGAGACTCTTGTTGCCCTAAAAGCGGAGGGTTCGTGTCGTCAGTATTGGTACCAAAGTATACCTACCCTAACGTGCTGCACGCAAGCGGCAACCACCACCCCTCCCTCTTTCCCAAAGGCAAAAAGTAACTTACCGTACTAGCTCACTTGCCTCTTTCCATTAAACAATCCACATCGCCTTCTCCATCTCATCTCACCATCAACCTCATCATTCCCATTATTCATTCTCGTCCACCCTTACAAAACGTTCCAGACCCAAAGTCTACTACGGCTGGTACTGTTGCCTTGTACCTAACTCGTACCTCACTTCTTCCTATCTTTTTACATACTAAACCAGAACCACACCCACACCCACAAAGCCAACCCACCTACGTATTATACTTATTATCTTCGAAGCTTCCATCTTCTCAATAATCTTGGGCGCGGCAGAGGACCGCGAGCTTGTCGTCTTGTCTCCGAAAATTCTCCCTTATGCCTCGCTCCGATTCCCAGAGGTTGGTCTACTGACGTCGCCCGTGTTTCTCTGCCTTCCCCGTTCCTGGTCTTTAAGAAGCTCTGTCTTCTTTGCCTTTGATTTTCTTTCCCCAAAAGTTCCTGCCGTCAACAAGACAAGCTTGGTTAAGATTGTTCCTTGTTTCCAGCACTAACCATGCTCTCCAATACTAGCCCTGACTTCGAGTTGATTGTGCGCCAACAACCGGAGCAAGCTCGCGTGGCCGGGGGCAAGGAGAAGGGTACGTTTTGCCTTTTCTCGTCTGGACGAGCTTGTAACTCACTCCCCGCAGAGCGCAAACCAGTTGATCCACCGCCGGTGATTCAGCTCAAAGTCTCGCCAGAGAACACCTATCTTGCCCAGTAAGTGACTCTTGCTTTGAGCTTTCAGGAGCAAGCTGGAAGCAGCTACCAATTCAAGGCAAAGCTCACAGTTGGCAGGCATTATCTTCAGAGTCCCTATTATTTCATGTGCTGTAGCTTATACCATGCTACCGAGGACCACCCAGTTCACTCCAGCCAGCCTTCCACAGCACTAGCCGGCACTCTCGTTTCTTCACTGCATCGTTTGAAGGATACAGACAATACTGGTGAGTGTGTCTGTTTTGCGTCTCTTTCAGCCAGCGCGTGTCTGGTTACTTGAAAGATTTGGAGAACTGCTGACTGATGCGTCGAACAGATGGAGGATTCTTTGTCTTCGGAGACTTGTCCATCAAGGTCGAGGGCGAATTTCGACTGCAGTTCACTCTTTTCGAGATGCAAAAGTAGGTGTTCTATTAAAAGATTCGGGCGAGCTTGGACTAATTGTTGTTCAGGGATAACGTCGTGGCGTTAAAGTCGATCATTTCCAATTCATTTCCAGGTCAGTATTAACCCCGGAGTCATTAGCTCAGTGCGCTAACCAGGTCAGTGTTGACACCAAAGAATTTCCCTGGAATGAGAGAGTCCACGCAGCTTTCGAGGTCGTTTGCCGATCAAGGGGTGAAATTAAGAATCCGCAAGGAAGCGCGGAACGCACAGTAAGTGTTACTCAAGCTACTCGAGAAAAAGAAGAGAGGACGTTCATTGACAGACGCAGAAAACGTGGAGGCGCAAGCAGACATGAGGAGTATGCTCCAAGTCTACCTCGCTCACCTGATCGCCCTCAAATGCCGCAAATGGTCTCTAGCGCTTTTTCAGGATACCCTCAACACACCTTCTACCCTACGACGCCAGCTCCCAAGCGTGTTCGCACGTCGATGGACATGGACCAAAGAGTTTTTGAACCTGATGCGCGGTATGCGCCCACCTATCAACCCCCAGCGATGTACTCGAATCAGCCTGGACCTTACCCAAATCCGATGTTCAGCTACACCGGGCCATCGCAGCATGTAACCGTGCCAGACTATGGCGTTCCGGTTCGACCGCAGCAGCCATTGACGAGCACAGGCTCGTCATACCCTCCCTCGGAAGATCCGATGCTGGCCATGAGATCTTTCAACAATACCGGGTATAGGTATCCCACCTAGGCAAGATGAGGGAAATGAAAGAGAAAAAAAAACTACGTGTATTCTATTGTTATGTCGTACGAAGAGAGCATGGTGGCGTCTACCATTCTTTATTTGGAGTTCGGGGTTATCCTTCTTTGATTAGAGGACGCATGGGAGGTATTGTGTGGTGTATCTTGTTCGGGTGTTCTATATTTCTAGCTATCAAGAATTTAGATATTATTAGTTCATGAAATCGGGAAGCTATTGTAAACACCCTGGCTAGAAGTTCCTTTGAGGATTACCGATCTCCAGTATTCTGTGCCACAAGTTCTTTTAGCTTTATACAGTATGAATCCAAGCTCTTGAACTAACTACTTGGCCGATAGAGACTGATATACAGCATATATTAGGATGATTTACATGGAGCCCCATCCCAGACACAGGGCTCAGTAACTCGAACGAAAATCCGCTATAATTGGGCCCTACATTTTAGCGTATAGAAGCTGATTTGATGTTCGGTTAGGGCTGTTGGGCGGCTTAGCGCTTAGCGCTGTGTTGGTTTCTTTCCCTTGGACGTCTGGACAATTTTTTATTATTGTCGGATACTTCGTTTGTATCACCGCGCGGAGATATGTTCGCATAGATACTCATGGTTGGAGCTGTTCAGAAGATTTATCTATTTGGGATAGCTGCTTGTCTGAACACTGTTGCCTGAAACAATGATAATCCCCGTTTACTCAGGCCAGGCTGGTACATAAAAATGTCCTCCAACCTCAACAACCCCGGACACATCCAACTTAAACCCCTCCCAACACTAAGCTGCGAATTCTGCCGCCACCGCAAAATCAAATGTGACAAACTTGATCCTTGCACAGCATGTCAACGAGCGGGCGTGAAGTGCGAGTCTATCCGGCGCAAGAGGTTGCCTAGAGGTCGACATATCGCCAAATCTGTTGCGGGGAGAGGGAGAGGTAGTACTAATGATAAAATGACGCGGCACGATGCTTTAAAGGAGAAGATTGATAGGTTGGAGGCGCTTGTTAATGTTGCGTTGAGTGAGGCTGATGGGAAAGGAGGAAGTGGCGGTGCGGGAGAGACTGCTTCTACTTCTTCGGCGGCCGGGATGACGGGGAAAGTCGTTTCGAGGGATGGAAATCAAGGGAGTGATGGTTTTGAGCCCACGCCGAATGCGTTGGTTTCGCAGTTTTGGTCTAGTGTTATTAATGAGATTCGCGAATCGCGTGAATCGCGCGGGTTTGCGGGTGATGATACGGAAGGTGATGATGATGAAGATGACGAGGAGGAAGAGGAGGAGAGTGAGGTCGAGAATGAAGAAGCTAAAGGCGAAAGAGTGCATCTTGCACAAGAACCGGCTCGTGCTTATTTGCCATTCATGGGCCTGTCGCTAGGACGGCTGGGCCATACCCTACCGCACTCATTGMCCCTACGCCCATCGCCCGCCATTACAGCTGCACTGTGCGATATCTACCTGAACCAAATTGACCGAATCATAAAAGTGCTACACCGGCCTTCACTGCAACGGCACCTTTTAGAAGGAATCCCCTACCCCTCCTCGCTTAAAAGCAAAAGCTCGCGCGAAGCTGAGAATGCGCTCGATACAGCAGTTTTTTATTCAGCGGTTGCGAGTATGACGGATAGACAGTGTTATAAACTTTTCCAATGCAGCAGAAATGAAGTACTGCCGGAATATCAAAGTGCATGCGAAATGGCGTTGGAGAGGGCTGATTTGATGCGGACTACTGATATGATGGTTCTACAAGCGTTTGTCCTTTATCTGGTGTGTTTATGATCGGATCGATACAGATACAGAAATGACATGCTAACGTCGGATAGGTGGCTACTCGCGCTCACGACAAGTCCCGCGCCGTCTGGACTCTGCTGGCCACAGCAGTCCGCGTCGCTCAATGGCTCAACCTGCACGTCGAGTCCCTGAGCCAGACAGAAACGTTCTTCAACCAGCAGATGCGCAAACGGCTCTGGTTTACTATCTGTTTGCTAGACCTTCAGACCTGTTTCGACCCGGACTCGCGGCCCCTGATAACCCTTGAAATGACACAGCCCACTTTACCGCTCAATGTGAATGATGCGGATTTTGATCCTTCGTTTGACAACAGCGGCAGCACTGCGTTGCAGGAGCGCGATGAGGTGACGGATATGACTTTTGCTTTATTCACGTATAACTTACAGTTCTGTGGGCGGCGATTGTATTACATCCCTCGCGGCGCGCACTCGGCACGGGAGGATATCCTGTCGGATTTTAAGAATAGTGTCCTGCCGCTGACACGACATTGCAACCCGGACGATAACAATTATTCGTGGCTTGTGTACTATGCATCGCAGAATCTGATATCATCGACGCAGTTGCATACTTTCAGACGGCCTGACTTTGTTAGTCAGCAGCAGCAGCAGCAGCAGCAGCAGCAACAACAACAACAACAACAACAACAACAACCATCTCTACTGGAACTGTGTCTAAGAAATCTCGAAAATATCCCGCGCATCCATGGTGATGACCGCGGAGAAGGATTTAGGTGGTATATACAACCCCAATGGCCCCAGATCCTGCTCGCTATCAAAGAATGCTTCGTTACAACCGACGCAGCTCTGCTGAAGCGTGCCTGGCCACTGATCGAAGACGTCGTCGGCCACTACGAGAGAACGCACCGTGGTCCAAACACGAGCTCGCGGAAGTCGATGTTGCGAAAGTCGCTGAGAAGGGCGCGGAGAAGAGTTGATTCGATTATTCAGTCTGCGGAGGAAGATTATCAAAATATCCAGGCGAACGGGTTTGAGGATCTGCCGGATATAGATGTTGGATGGGACGAGTTGTTTAATGATTTTTCGTTTGGAGAGTTTCCGTATGGCGACTGCATTGATTGGACGGGCTCGAATGTTTTTTGATCAATTACAGGATGAGCAGTACATAAAAATGTACTTAGTTCTTCATGAAGTTCACGTAAATCGAGCTCAAAGCACTGCGAACAGCTGCTAAAGTATGTAAATAGTAAATCAGCTCATCAACCAATCGTGCTCTCTGATCCACCAGATTGCGGCTCCCTTTTAGCCTTAATTGGCTCCATTATCAAGAAACTTGTATATTCACAGCTTAGTGCTTACTGCTTATGCGGAACTGCTGCTCGATATGCAACCGACTTCGCTCGCATTAATTTCCTAAAATGAGCCTACGTACTCGCTACTACTCGCGCCCCAAGCCTCCGGATTGAGCGGTAGTACGTAATATCTTTTTTGGCAAACAATGCAGAAGCGCAGACAGTTCCACAGCTGTGATCGCTGCCGCCAGGGCCGCCGGGCCTGCGACGCCGCGAAACGAGGAATCAACCCCTTTTCACTCTCAGCCACGAATCAGGATGCCGCCCAGAGTACAAGTGGCCAGGCCTTACCGGTGCTTGCATGCTCGCAATGCGAAAAAGCTAACAAGACATGCAGTTTTACATGGCTGAAGCAGCGGACGCGCGGGCAGCTTCCGGAGTCGATTAAGAGGAAGTATTTGAGGGAGATGCCGTTGCATATGCCGTTGCCGCCCTCAGAAAATTTGCAGAACACGACTGGTAGTAGTTCGGCTAGTCCGGCGACGAGTCAGGGGTGCATTTGTCAACTTCTACCACTCATAGCAAACCGCCGGCTGGGAGTGAAGTATTCCTCTACCGCGAAACGCAATCGCTAGTCTATGAAGACAACCTCGCCCGCGAACTCGGCAAGGATACAGCCTGCGATAGTTTTTTTCATGTATATGCCTCAAGTTTTGAGCGTACAATCTCTGAATGGGCTATTCCGACTGATCATGCTTCTTCGGGGATTGTGCGCTATCCCGCTTTGCACAATACATTGTATGATAGTGTCCAACGGCTTGATGGGAAAGCCTCCGCATTGATTGTGCGACGCACGAGTCCCGGACATTGTCATCGAGCAATCAGAGCTTTGAGATTGACGGTTATGGCGTTTGCGAGTCAGTCGAATTGTATCAAAAGAGCGGTTTCGCGGGATGACAGAACGCAAGCGTATGGAGAGGTGTTTGTCTCTGCGAATGATTTTCAGACTCTCCTCTTTCAGACGCTGTGGCATGAAGCGCGGCGGTCGCTAGAGTGGTTTGTGGAGGAGGACTGTCTTCAGTCGATTCTTGCAAAGATTATCTTTTGCTTGACGCACAGTCCGTACTATTACTTGCGATACGAGGACTCTGTTTCGAGGCGTGATCCGCTTGCATACGATAGTCCTGATATAATGGCATTGAGAAAGACGCATTTCGACAAGGCGTTGCAGTCTTTGTCATTGTGGAAAAAGGAGTTGCAGCATCTCTTCCAGGACCCGGAACGACTGCAAAAGTCCAGGGTCGATATTGACGATGAAGATATAACCAGTTTCTGCCTTTTTGTCAAATTTGCCATCATATGTGATGAAACGAGTGCCGTGCTGTGGAATAGAGATTTACTCATTGCTGAAGAAGAAGGAGATGTGGCCTGGCCTCAAAACGGGTTTAGTAAATCCTTACAGACCTTGTCCACGGGATTCACGAACCCAAGTCCAAGTCCATCTGCGCAGTCTGGACAGGTCACGCCGCAGAACCAGAATCATACCAGTCCCCCACGACAACCGCTGAAATTACCCTGGAACAACCTCATCACCGCCGATATCTTCCTTCAAGCGAACTTCCTCAAAGCTTCCCTGTGGCGGAAGCTAGGTCAAATACGCAGATTCGCTCGTCGCAGCCCTACTCTCACTGGAAACCCCGAGACGTACATCCAAGAAACACTTCAACTATTCCACGAATGGGGCACGTGCTGCGCATCCTTCATCGAGAACTGCATGGCGTCAATCACCACTTCGTCCTTTGATCTTCAAGCGTTATTTTTCGGGCACGTCATGCACTGGCATCTCGGCGCGCTCCTTTTCGCGACTGAAGTCGAGCTATTAGATGCCACTAGTCGTTCGGACAGCGTACGCAGTTCCATTCGACGCTCAACGGGCCTCACTAGGGAACTGAGGAAGGACAGCGTCTACGCAATCTCTGATTTGGCGCGTGCAGCAAATCGACTTGCGATAGAGGGCGTGAGTCGCCAACAGGTCGATACACGAAGAGGAGATTACTACAAGCATCCGTTACTCGTCGGCCCGCCGTCTGCCGTCAGTCACATTGTGTTTAGCGAAACGTGTGAGATTCTGATGGAATGGAGGAACCAGCTGCTATTCAAGCTGGGGGGTCATCGACCCGGAAGTTCAAGGTGTCAGGATGAGGAGTATCTTGCTGATATAGTGGGGCGGTTGGGTCATTGTATCAATACACTTGACTTGTTAGGGGCGAAATCTGTTGTTTCGAAGGGTTATGCGCATGACTTGAGAACGAGGCTTGATATTGATCGGGGGTTGTATTGATGAGAGAGATGAATAGGGGAAGAAGGCTACAATGATGTCGTTTGTCGACAAAGGCATAGTTATAGACAATAGGATTGGGCTCATTGAATGAAGAAAGTGCCAAACAAAGCGTTCCATGAGTTAGTATTGTCTGTGTTGGAGGGTATTGCCGTCTCATTTCTCCCAGGTCTGTTTGAGCAGCCTACAATTTCTTTCTCAACCTCGACATCTCTTTCTTCTCTCAACTTTACTACTCTTTATCCCTAGTATCAAGTCTCAAATCTCATCCTTACCAACTATCGCATCTTACTTCTCTTTGTCCTCGGTATCAAGTTCCAAAATCTTGTCTTGGTACACCATCAAAAAGAGCTGGCTTTCCAGCAACCGCGACAATGCCCAAAACCCTCCAGCCATATAGCATGAGGCTAGTCATCGACTGGTTCGAGCTCGAGGATGATGCCTATCCCGACGTCGGCTTGCCGCTAGGCATCACCGTCTTTGTCGAACTCCAAGTTGAGCCTGACTCTGTGTTTACGGTGATGAGAGATGTTGAAGGTGTGATCAACCTCGAATCGACTTGGTACAAAGGTGTCACGAAGATTGCAGATAGAGCGCCGGCGTCGAGCGTTGAAGATGTCGAAGACCAGGATACGAGTCTCAAGACTGAGGAGGAGGACCACAATCTTGATGCTCGAGGAGATTCGTATTCTGCAGACGATCTCGACGAAGGCGAGAGCTTCGCATCATCCACAAGAAGCTCAGATACCGTGCGACCCTCTACAATCAGACCAAAACTAAGCAGAATCCCTATCCGCAAATCAGGCACAGACGGCACATTCGACGACCTCGATCTCGAGCTCGATATGCCCCCAAGCCCAACACTGTCATCTCAAGATTCATTACCCTGGTACTCCACCAAGGATACCGGCGATAATCACATGGACGACGAAAACGGCCCGACAGGAATCGACCTCGACGACCTATTCACCGATCTAGAAGACATCTACCATCCCTTCCTGCGCTACGAGAATGGCAACATCACATTACACGCCGCCCGCGAAGTCGAGCCGGGGTTTTATCAAGTCGAAATCGCATTTTATCGGCATTTTGTCAGGGACACGCAAGGCTGGTATGGCGTTGATTTGTGTGATGTCGTCAAAAGCTGTCCCCCTATTCCGGGCAAACTCGTCTTTAATATTCAAGACCACCCTTCACTGTATCCCGACATCATTGGTCCTGACGATCTGCACGACATGGAAGATGGTTCCCGCGAAGCCACTTTCGATCCAAGAGAGGAACCCTACCTGGCATTCTGGGCGTGGACGCATGCTACATATCTCGAGTTCTGGGGCGATGGGAAAGTTGACAACAATTATTATGATGATTTGATTGCGCCGAATGCGTATTTGGATTCAGATGAATTGGTGGACTATGTGGATTTTATGTTTAAGACGAGGGATGATGAGGAGGTGGTGGATGGGGCGAGTGAGATGGCTGAGACGCCGGAAAAGGTTGCGCAGTCGAAACAATATATTTCGCCTATTGCCGACCAAGAAGATGATGATGAAGATGAAGAGGAGGAGGAGCAGGAGGAGAAAGATGGCCAGGTCGATGGTTTGATACTGGGGGATGTCACGGAAGTGAATGTTGATCATGTCGTGTCTGGTCTTGAGGAGCGCCCCATGTCTCCTATTCCTGAAGAGGAGGAGTGCGAAAGTGGGGATGATGAGGATGTGATATGGGAGGATGTTCCGATACCAGGTGTTCAGAATTTTGAATACAATCCCGAGGAGGGCCCCGAGACGGCTAAAAAGGGGGGAGTTGAGGATATGTTAATGGATAATGTCACAACACCGAATGTTAAAGATGATGCATCACAATCTGAGGAGACCGTCATCGAAGAAGAGGCCCATGATGTGATCCTGAAGGATGTCACGGCACCATATGTCGACAATGTCACGCTCGAATCTGAGGAGCTCCCCAAACCGCCTACTTTTAGAGAAAAGGCGGAAAGTTCCACATCGGAGGATATCACATCATCTCACGACGACAATCCCCCTCCTCTTTCTCCTGACGGCAAACCCCCTGCTGATGACAGTAAAGAAAACAACCTCAAACTCATCACCTTTTACCACCCGCTTCCCCCACCCCCTCTCCCTACCTATGCAGAAGCCCTAGAAGGCTACGAAAAATATCAAGCCATGATGACCTCACGAGCAATCCTTCGAAGACGCGCGATATTCTGTCTGTCTCGCATCTTACCCGCACTATTCGTCTTGGTGTTCACGATATGCGCATGTATAGGTGGTCCGCCCACAACGATCTCAACGCCGACGGCTACGTTGCAAACGGTCAGGTACTACGCCAACCATCTGGGCGGGATGGGGTACAATGCATTGATGCAAGTGCCGACATTTGCTGATTTCGGTGCATATCATCAGCGTGATTGGTATGAGGATGGCGTGGCTTTGTTGGAGAGTGGAAATGAGGGCGAAGATTTGGGCGATGTCGAGGTTCATTTGTGGTGGAAGTTGGTTGATGAAACGCTGGAAATAGCGGGTATTGCTGATTCTCCTGCTGTGCCTGAGTCTGCCGAGCCGGTGGTAGAGAGTGTGGTATCACCATCAAGATCAGAGCTTGATGCAAAGAGTCCACCTCCTGAGATTGCGGCAGAGGCTTTAACACCGAATATGTCAACTCCCGTGCCTGCGCCGGACGTCAAAACACCAGTCCAACCAGAAACAGCATCATCCTTCAACGCAACAACAGCAGCCCTCTCTCTCGCCATCAAACCACCTCCCCTCCCACGCCTCTGTCCCAACCGACACCGGCAACCCAACACTCCCTACCCACCCGACTGCCCTCTTCCTTCTCCCCCAAAACCAGCCCTAACCATCCTCGCCGACCTCACACAGGAGATATTCCGACACATCGCCTGCTCCACCTCACCGATATGCACAATCTCACGCATAAGCGACAAATACGAGCATCCTGGGGACATATTTGCGCGGTTTCAGTGTGATGGGAAAGGTGGATGGGAGCCGGAGACAAGGAGGGATGGATTTGATTGGGGTTTGGGTTGGGTGCCGGATGAATGTAGATTGCTATGATCTTTTCATCCCATGCTGCTGAGTAGATACAAGGCGGAGGTGTTTGCCTCGCTGGTCTCAGCACCTTCAATTCATGTTGATTAACCTATTGAAGGTTGGAGGTGGCTACCTGGCTCGCCTATCGCAACTTGCGGGCAAGTCGATTTTGACATTTGATGTTCTGATATTGTCTTTTCTGAAGATACCATGTTGTGATGGAAACCGTCGTATTCACATTTCAATTGTATTCTATCATATCTTCAATAGACCGTCAACATATTTCTAAAAGCATCGCTAAACCCCATAACCAAAGAAAAAAAAAGGCCCAGACTAATTAGTCTTGAAAGCCGTCAGCCGCGCCTTAATCTCCTCCTGCGACTCCTCCCCACCATCCACAGTCCTCAACAAGCCCGTCGCAACATCATAAATCAGACCCGAGACCTTGAGTCCCCTCTGCTCGATCGCCTCCAGCACGACAGACTTTTCTTTGATTTTCGCAATTCCATCCAACACATTCAACTCGGCCAATTTCACAATCGCCGCGTTTTTGGAGTCTAGCTTCTCGAGAGTCGACAAATTCTGCGCGCGCAGTTTGCGTAGCGGCAAGAGCCAGGTATCCAATACGCCCAGCTTCGCATCGCCCAACGCAGCGTTTACGCCCCCGCAAGAGGTGTGGCCGCAGATAACGATTTGCGAGACTTTAAGTGCGCCGACGGCGAAATCGATGACGCATGAAGAGCTCAGGTCCCCTTCGTGGATAATGTTTGCGATGTTGCGGTGCACAAAGACGTCACCAGGCTGGAGACCCAGGATTGTGGTCTCCGGGCAGCGAGAGTCGGAGCATCCGATCCAGAGGATTTGGGGCTGTTGGCCGCTGCCGAGAGAGGCGAATTTCTCGGCGTAGGAAGGCGCCCATTGGGATTTGTTGAATTCGAGACCTGACTGGAGTTTGTCTGTTTGATGCGAAGGGGTGGTTGAGAAGTGGTTAGTCTGGGGTTGTCTTTTGCGTGTTGTTGCGGAGTTTGTTAAAGATTTTGAGGGGTGACACGAGTGATGGTGATGACAGGAACGGCGTTGGTAATGGACATGTCGCGAAACAGCAAGAGCAGACGTATTGCTTTCAGCAAAAGCAGGACGTAATAGCGACTTGAGTGGTAATTGAAGGGAAGCCATTTTCACAATTGTAATGCCAATTTTATGTCCGGCAGCAGATGGAGATGACTCAATTCAACCAACCCGCTCAACGTTCAACAACGACGACTGCGCCAAAGAGATCATTCAAATCGATCAAACGTCCAACCAAAACTCCAGAAACAGAATAAAATCAAGTCGATAAAAAGAATGCGACAGAAATGTGCGACATATACAGGGTGAGCGTAGAGCGAAGGAGGTTAAGAGCGGAGGAAAGAAATTGGACGAAAGAAGAGGGAAAAGCGCGCCAAGCCGAAGAAAACCGTTATCAAAACGACGATCAGAAGACGAACGTACCTGCCATGATGCTGTCTGTCTTTCGACTCAACGTGTTCTAGTTCTTGCGTAAGATGGTGATCAGTCGAAGATGGCGGGATCTCTCTGATATGAAGTTTTTAAACAGTCCGAAAGTACGCAACTTATAAAAGCTGATTGAATATGAAGGCGCGCAGGAGCGGAGTTTCAACTCAATCGAGCCCCGCGGAGCAGGAACGGAGTGCTCAGTCGCTCAACAGAAAATCGATCTGCTTCCTGTTTGGACCGTTTGGGACTGATGGAAATCCCGAGGCTACTACAGTAACTCACCGGGTCAGTCGCGATCCAATCACAAGTCGCGTATAACGTAGATGGCTTGGAATGTCAGGGTCTGGCCCCCCCCTCGCGTTCGTTATCCGTTATCTCTACTGTATGGCTACACATTATCTAGCGGATGTCGTGATGTCCACTGCCAGTCACCAGTTGAGGCATCTGATTATATGCACTCATTCTGTGATTGATCCAAACCATCCATTGATTGTATACCAAATAGGTTTTGGCGGCTGGCAAGTCTCGAGTTGTTCGGTGGGGGTTTGCGCATCACCCGCTCTCCGTGGCTATCCGCGCCGATTCTGGCCCATTATGCGATTTGATTACTCACTTGGCAGACGGCAAAATATATCTTTTTAATTGAAGGAGATGATGCTATGTACAATATTGTCCGAATGACTGACAACCAGCGCCGTGTCTGTTCACTATTAACCCTAAATCAACGCCACCGCATATTCGCTTGCTATCGCTATCAAAACGTGTCGGGTATATCGCTAATGCTTTTTCCGTCCAAACATAGATGACAACCGGCGCCATTTCTTCGTCTTTGCTTTTGAGTCTTCTTCGTCCGCGTGGTCCACTTCTCGTCGTCCAGGATCCACTGAAAGACGTTGACCGCTCTCTATCGCTTTATCGACCTCGACATCCGTCCAACGCTCACCGCGATCCGCAGTCGTCAGACTTTTGCTGCGTCGCCGATTATCGCTTGATGCGTCGTGCTCCGAGAGTCTTTCGCGACTGACATCGGAATGCGTGCTGCGCCGATTGATCATTTTCTTTCGGCTAAACGAGTTCATGCGGGAGATTGTCGGTGTCGATGGGCCGCCCAGCGATCTATCTATTGACGATTCCCCTTCGACGCTGAGATAGGTCGATGATCGGATTCGCGGTGACAATGGTGAGTCGGTGCGACTTGCGTCTCCATTTACAGGCGACTTGGTGGACCAGCCCTCCATAAAAGCAACCCATGTACCAGTCATGACGATCAATTGTCGCAGTTCTTCATCCGTGGTAATGAGACCTGCTTCAGGTGCAGATCTAGTCGATGCAGTCGAGGGCGATGCTGGAGGGCTCTGTTCATCATCGTGCTGGATTGGATAAGAGTATTGGTCGAACACAGTCAACCCCTTTCGAGTCATGGATGCAATCACGGGATGTCGACGCGAGTTGGGATTAATAACGCTAAAAGTAAATCGGCCAGGGGTAGATGATGCTGACACGGTCGAACCCGACAAACCTGACCCTTGTCTAGGTTTCTTGTCTCGTGCCACCCATCGTATTTTCTTCGAATCTGCAATCCCGCTCTTGGATACAAGCTCATAGGAGCCGTTCGGCATTGCAGTACCCTCCCAGCATGCCCCCGAACTCAGAGCAAGCTCGACTTTCGATCCACGCGGAAAATCCTCAGCTGACCCAGTTTGGCAGATCGTCGCTACTACTTCTCGCTGCTCAGCGCAAGCTTCGTCCGAGGAAACGCTGCGGTCATCGCTCGTAGACACCTGCTCATACATATCACTAGTCACAATAACCAAATCCTTCGACCCAAAAGCGCGTACATTGCCGAGTGGTTTCGAAAGCCTACAAACTAGCTTTGTCGTCATATCAGGTGGAAGAACATCGTATTTCGGAAATGGTCGAGAAGACGGATTGCTCTCATGTAGCTGAAGCAATAATTTTGGTCGCAACTTTAGTCGCCGCCGACTTGCGACGGGATGACAAAACTGGTACAAGGTCTTGGGACGATTAGGAACCTGCCGAGACATGGTATATTTCTTTGCTTTTTTCTGCTCATTTCCTCTATCTTCTTCTTCCCCTTCGCTCGATGAGCTTAGTTCAGTTTGACTCGGCCTGGAAGTGATGATGGGTGGTGGTGGTGGTGTGATGTAGGAAGTCACGCCGTCTTTGAGCGGCTTCACGAAGCCCAAAGACTGCGTGATTTGCAACATGGGACAAGCCGCCGGGTTTGTCTTGGAGTATTCGTGGCGATGAGCTGCGGCTGCGTCCGCAGTGAAGCCGAGACTGAGTGGCATGGGTTGGCGCCAGCACAATCAGTATCAGATTCGAATGAAGATTTATAAGAACATGACATCAGATATAAACTTTGTCTCGCATAAGCTTCTGTGACATGGGCAGTCGACAGCAAGCAAATACCCCGCGATTGTCTGCTCAACGAGACGTTAGCCCTCGCGTACTACTTTGGGTAGATGCACGTATTCTCGGACTTTTGATCTAGAGTAGCCAGGTAGAATGCAAATAACATGACAATAGTGGCGTGGAGGTTGGAATCGTGTTGGTTACGCCGAGGAAGCGTTACACAGATAATCAGAGTGCAGGTGACCGAATCTGCAACATGCGCCGACGGAAGGTGGACGAGAGCAAAACTCACCAGCTGAGAGAGTCACTTTATAGCTGAAGGGCATAAACTCAATTCGTTGTATTACTGTCGTAGTATATGCCAATGTGGTATTGTCGAGCTTTAAAACATGTATGCCTAGAGTGCGTGTGGTAGACTTGTATAGAAGAAGTACCTCGTTACAAAAAGCAGGCAGGCAGGCAGGCAGGAAGGCAGGTAGTCTAATTCCAGTACATATGAAACTTTGGTATAAAAATCCTATTCTTAGCTCCGCTGGCTGGATCGTATCGTCGTATTTGTATTCCGTAAAAAGTCGTACACTTCTCAAAATCGTCTACGTGCGTAGCCCGGCAATGACACACTAAMCCAGCCGCTAGTGGGCTAGAGCTTTTCAGCTAGTTTGGCGGTGGATCAGCCAAGCCAACGCCTTTTGCCTCTTAGTTGATTAATTCTCAGCCCGCTGAGCAGTGAACCCAGTTGGATCCAGGAACGTCGACGTGTTTCCAGCTTATGTGTAATTCTAGCTGGACCTAGCTTGACGCTGCTTATGGTAGAGTTTGCGAGAATTGGCTAAGCATGACAGATTTTTTTCAGCCAAGTCAATTGCCATTGTTGAGTAATCAGCACCTGTTTAGGTAAAGTAGGATGTAAAATTCCGGCCGAATAAGAATAAAATACGTACATCGTATCAGATCAATTACGCCGACCCATAACTGATTCAGCGCTTTTACACTGAAGAAACTATACCGGACTCCGGCTGAAACACATCCATTACCATACAACCCGTAAAAACTGTATACAATCGCTCTGGATTCCTCCAAAATTGAGTAATGCCAAGCCTTGCCAGAATTGTATTACGCTTACATACTCCGTTCACCGTCAGGGATTAGGCCAAGTTAAATTTTAGTTATGTCAGAGCTTATGTCCGTCGATTCATACACAACGACACAAATGCCGGAACGGATCGCCCTGGGTTCCTAAAGCGGGGACAAGTATCGTGTGATTATCGTCTGGAAGCACAAAGAGACAAGACCATGCCTCAAGGAGTAGTAGCGATGTAGTACCACTACGTAGCCGCTCTCGAACATACATGGTAAGGTTTAGCGGATTTTCTACCTGATTTGAGTCCTCATCCGAATAAAATTGCTGAAGCATATGAGTATGCCATAGTCATACCATGAGCTTGCCAAGTGTCTTGTTGATCCTGGGACCCATACGGACCCGAGGCGTTTAACGCCCGAGATCTCGGTCCTTCGGCTGTCGCGAGTCCCGCGTTCGGGAGTCGGATAGTCTTTTCCTTTGCTTATCAACTACATAGTTTTTGCTTCAAAATCTGCCTGGCTGGATTCAGTGGACTGAGGCATTTTTTTTTAGGAGCATATACAAAGAGAACACATGACTTGCAAGTTTTGAGCCGTGAATCTAATCTCCTGCAGAGACAGTGCGTCATACATTGAATTGCGGGGGTTCAAATCCGGTCGCGGAAGTCTTGGCACGAGCAGGTGTCTGTTGTTACGGACGAAAACGTATACAGAGTATATTACCCAGCACGGTCTTCGACCGATCTGTATGTCACACTACCATTACAGTCAAGTTGAACTATCCCCAACATGGTGTCGATTACGACGTACTCGTATTCTCGTATCTGCGTTACTGGAATTCTGCGCCGTATTTAAGTATCTGGAGACGGAACAGGCAACGAAATAAAATAGACTCAAGTCTAGTTCGCAGTATGCCCACTTAAGAAAGATCTGATACCTGAAATCCGTTGGATTAAATCGGTTGCCTGAATTTGATGTTGTTCCTCGTTAACTTGGAACATCTTCGTATTGTTTCCTGAAGAAAATCATCTTGTATCGACCTGCATCAATCTGTACAGATAATGCGTGTGCTAATTTATTAACTAGTTAAGACGAGTTCTATACTGAAGAAGCGCTGCATATCCGTGCACAAATGCACAAGTGTCAAAACCCGGCCAAAATCCGTTCCAGATCCGGTATCGAATACGAGCTGAAAGAGTTAGGCGCGCCTGTCGAAGACCTGCCAGTGCCAGGACATAATGGGTTAGACTAGACCGGCTCACCGCCAAAAGATTGAGGGGAGCTCCACTTCTGCTCCCAACGTGACTTGTTTGGATAAGCTCTCCTGAGCAGCCACTGCTGATCTAAAGTCATCCAATCGCAACACTGCGAGATGTAGGCATTGAACAACAATTCGATTGTCTATTTGACCACAATTCGACAACAAGACTGATGCATAGAAGCAGCAGCATTGCTCGTACCACTAGTGGCCGCTGCGGGAGGTTCACACAACACCCTCTGCCATGAGTACACCCACAAGAACAAGCAACCCGATGGACGATGGCTCCAAGCGCAAAGCAATTGATCCATCTACTGATCCGTACTATCTTCGCCACCCCATCAGAACGCTAACGCTGCTATTCTTAGCCTGGAAAGCGATCCTGGACCCCATTATTGCTATCTCTCCTGGTCTTGGCTACGATACCTCCACAAACCTGTTGGCGGTTTCTTCACCGTCGATCGCTTTTGATGCTGATTCCTTAGCCACGTGGTTTGACCTGCTGCTGTCGATAGCAAATTCTTCGTCCTCGGGGATTTGGAACTTTGTGAGATGGGATGCTATTTACTTTGTTCGCGTGGCTGAAAGAGGGTATCTGTTTGAGCAAGAGTGGGCTTGGGGCTATGGATGGACGGGGTCGTTGAGCTTCCTCGGTTCTGGTACATCACTCTGTCTGTCTATCTGATGATATTCTCAATTAACTTGCTTCAAATGCAGCTTTCGCAAACACCAATGGCTCCGTCCCTTTATCGGCAATCGCAGTTAGCGGCATTGCGATCTCCCATGCCAGCCATTTCCTATCGGCATTAGTTCTGCACGCCCTCACGAAATCTTTGTTTGGACACGAAACACAATCTCAGAAAGCGTTCTGCCTCGTCTCTGCTGCCCTTCATATAATCTCCCCGGCGGGGGCGTTTCTCTCTGCTCCATACGGCGAATCGCTATTCTCGCTGTTGAACTTCACTGGCTTCTACGTTTATTCGTCCGCTTTGCTTGCCGAGAATGCTAGACACCAAGCACGGCGTGATATTCTCTTTGTGCTGGCGGGKATCATATTTGCTACGGCTACTACAATCCGGGGAAATGGTATTATAAGTGGTTGTTTGTTTGCATATGATGCTGTGCAGGGGACTTGGCAGTTTCTGAACAGCGGACTTTCGATTGACTTGATCCGTCGGACGGCCTTTGTTGTCCTTGGTGGTAGCATCGTTGCTCTGGGTTCGATCATACCCCAGTACATCGCTTACACGGAGTATTGTGTAGCCGCCACCCGGCCATGGTGTGAGCGACTATTGCCTAGTGTATATAGTTGGGTTCAAGTTCATTACTGGTGAGTTCTACACTTAAACGGATCTGCGCTTCATGTCTCTGACATCTACAGGAACAACGGCTTCTTAAGATACTGGACTGTGTCTAATCTGCCGCTATTCATACTAGCAGCGCCTGTGCTCACAGCAATGCTATACTCCTCGTTCAGAGCACTGACAGGGCGTCTCGGACCATATCACATCGATCACGTGTCTATATCCCAAATGAACACCTCCCAAACTGTGGTCCTTCGTCTCGCCATTGCGCAAGGCATCCTCGCAACGATGACCCTTACTAGTCTCCACATTCAGATCATCAACCGCATTGCGTCTGGTTATCCCGTGTGGTATTGGTATCTCGCTACCTCGGCATGGGCTTCTTCCAAACCACTCAGCAGTTGGGTTTTCGCCACGGCAATTCAAGGAATGGCCATGTACGCGCTGATACAGGCGGTCCTGTATGGCTCGTTTCTCCCACCAGCATAGCTATAGATAGAAATGTCATATCTGGTTCGCTCACAATCGAGATGGAGTCGATGGACTAGCATATTTAGAGACCCCGACTGCACCGCAAAATGGAGACACCCATCGCGCTAGACCAAATTGGTCAGCTTTTGGGTGGCTCGGACCTCCTCACCGACGAGCTATCACCATGCTAGACGCCGTCGATTGCTGGATAGAAGAGAAGAGTAGATTGTAGAAAGCAACTAGCTGATTTCTAATCTGATGTCCTTGTCTGGTGATACGTGCTAGAGTACACCTAGGCAGGCGTCGAAGATCACCGTGGCGGTAGCTTGTCAGTCTAGAATTGTATGGAGACGGGCAATCAATTGATCCGTGACCACCGCACTATGTCATCCTTAGTGGGCGGGCCCCAAAGCAAATCAGCGCTGCGGAGCTAGCTCTCGTTAGCCTCTCTCGTGACAACTACTTAGATGCTCCAAACCCCATCACTATATCATATCGTTCATTCATATCCATCTAATCGCTTGTCGCCCTTGCGAGTTGATTATAGTTAATCGAGTTTTCATCTATCTCGTATTCCGGAACCTATTCGTCTTTGCTTGTTGTCGACAGAAAAGGTGCTGCTCACTATTGCTTCACCCGCACTGCACCTATCTCATTATTATCGTCCACCCTCTTACTGCAGGTAGAGCGAAAATCAGCTGTCCTTGAAAATATTAGAAAGTTACGACCGCTTGCCGCATTCCCGTTCAGCAGATGCAAAACATATCAGGGTCGTGTCAGCTTCTCAAACGCTCCACTAGTCCCATTGAGAAGTTTCCCTTCTCATGAGGCACTATATTGAATGAAACTGTACGTCCAATCATTCTTCATTCACGACTTTTATTCTCTGCAGATTTGCCTCTGATCTACTCATACTCACTGGTCTAGTACGTATACTTGATTTGTCATTTCCACGCTTCTACTCCCCGAACGTGAACGCCGAAACGAGTTCTGCGATGGACAGAAATACTGCAGACCGCATCGCCTCAATCCTCACCTCCGAAAACTTCCAAAATGGTCACGAAATGTCAAGAGCCACATCTCCGGGTGGAGAACCCGTGGAAACAGATGGCTCAAAAAAAGCCCGAGTGCGACCTCGCACCTACCCATATTTCAGCTACTTGCCCTACCAGGCCGAAGACGACAGCCAGCGAGAGCACGATTTACATGAGATTCTGAGTTGTTTATATGTTGCTATCAAGGCGGGGGATTTTAGTCCCGGCGCTGTGCACTGGACGAGAGAGTTGAGAGGGTGGCTTTCGCTGAAGTTTGATCCTACTCGTGAAGAGCGCATTAAGCTTGTGAGGCTTTATTATGAATTGTCGCTTGCGCCGGGGATAGATCCGAATGTGGCGGAACGGTTTGCGAGCATGTTTATGCTTCTTACAAAGTAGGTGGTTCGTTCGCTTGTGTCTTCCAGCGACTAACGGGCAATAGACGGAAACATTACCTTCGACCCGTGAAAGATCTGGTGCTGGACTGGAAACCCCTGTTCAAAGAAATTAAAGCTTTCGTTTTACCGACCGAATCCGGCTTGATTCAATCGACGAACTTGAAGCGCAATATTAAGACTCTCACAAAGCTCTGTGCATTTGCTCAGCTTTATTTTGATCCATGCGAAGTACCGGCGATGCTGGAGGAATTCCTTCCTCATTTCACAACATCGTTTTCAGAAGGCGCCTTTGTCGTTGTTGGGTTGATGAATTTATTGCTGCCCACATCTCCCGCACCAGAACCCCGAGATGACCTCCGGCCACAGAAATTCCTGCCTACCTACTTCCACCTGTGGTCTCTTGTCAACCGGTCAAAGACGTTTGACATGAATTTCCTGGATCTTTTGTCTCGACTTGCAAGAGACTCCTTGCCAGCATCCCATATCCCGTTTTCCGAATATGGTATCTTTACCAAGGATCAATCCTCCGTCATCTTTACAGCCATTCTTAGACTGCTTGAAATCCCCGTKGGGMAAGCCACTTCTCCATATAGTGCCTTAGTTGATATCTCGTCTGGTTTGGGTATCATGCTCGACCGCGATTCAAGAAAGCACCCTGTTGCGCACCATATAGCCCGCTGGATTGTGATGTCCTTGTCCCCTGCATGCTTGGATTCTCCGGATTCAATCCTTCATCAGCTGGAGGGTCTCATACAGGCTGTAGAGACATTTTTCCACCCTTCCAACTCTGGAAATTGGACCAAGACGCTCGCACAGTTGGTTTATTACCTATCTGATTTCTTCATCATGCGATGGAACCGCGAGCACAATGGGGAAATGGAGGTGCCTCCTGAAAGGAAGCTCAACGAGCCTTTGAGGAAACGATTTGTGTTGTGTCTGCGCGATGTGATCTTCATGGGTATCTACGCAAAGAGCGGAACCGCAATGAACTTTTCTCTCTCTACCTTGCAAAGTCTAGCGTATCTTGAACCTCAGCTGATCTTACCCGGTGCTCTGCAACGAATATATCCGTCTATGCAAGGATTAGTCGAAGTGCATCGAACAACTTCATCACTCAGGTCTTTACAAATTCTGTCCAGGATCATCGCTCGCACCAAAGGATTCCGTTGCCACATGACGACTTTGCTAGGTCTTGCTCTACCTGGTATCGACGCCAACGATCTGGAAAAGTCCATGCACGCATTGTCCTTTATCCAATCAGTCTGCTATAACATCCCGTTTGAAGACTTGACAAAAGGACGAGATGACGTTAATTGCAACATGCTGGCTATGCAATGGATAACCGGTGAGGTTGAGAGAATGGAGGTCGAAGGCGCCAATGTGCAGCTCAATTACGACACAGACTTGAGTGACGAGACCGAGGAAATGATTCTCCGTTCATCCACCACCGGATTTGGCGAGTTTTTGACCTCATTTCTCGGACGAGTCTTTACTCTATTGGAGAACCTTCCTGATGCCTCACGGGTGAAGAGCGGCTCACCTGAGGAGAACGTTGTCAATACACTTCCTGCAACTCTTATGCCGTTATTATCGGCCTTATCTCCTGAACTGTACGATATGGCTCTGCAGAAGGTCGTTGATTTCGTCTCGAACCACGTAATCCACCAGGCCAGGGACGCAATGGCTTTCATCTGTAATGCGGTTTGCAAGGTGAACTCTGAAAAGGCTCTCAAACGTTTTGTGCCCCTCTTGATTCAAGCTATCCGTTCTGAAATCGACGAGAATGGTGCAGCTTCTACACGAACAACCGGATCAGAGGTTCTTCCAAGAGATAGGGCCCTAGTATGGAATGTCAGCATGCTGAGCATGTGCGTTGTTCACGTCGGGAGTGCAGTCCTCAATCACAAGAAAGAGCTTCTGGACATCGCGATTTACATGCAAGAAAAGTGCAAAGGCATCCCGACTATTCACGTTTCGAATTTCATCCATCATCTCCTACTCAACCTCACGGTTACCTACACCTTGGATTTCGGCCTTTTCGAACATGAAGATATCAAGGACGGAATCAAAATCGAGCACTGGGGCTATCGTCCCGATCCTCGCAACCTCAACATCAACTGGCACATACCCAACCGGGAAGAGATTGAATTTGCTGTAGCACTCTTCCAGAGTCAAGCAGAAAGCGCATTGTCACAGCTCACTGCTTTGACCGACGGAACGTCTAGCGTGAAACGTGATGGAAGTGGAAAAGAGTGGTCTGATGAAGTGACACGGAAATTAGTGCTGCTCCGACTCATCATTTCTGGCATCTCTGTGCTTTTTGATCCAAAGGCTGCTTCCAAGGCTGGCGATGACACCAATGGATCTGCCAGTGACGTTGAGATGACCAACGGGCACGTTACCGAGGAAGAAGACCAGGATAACAATGATTCTTCTCTTGACAGCTCCGACGAAGAGGCCGTGCGGGAGACCTTCACCTACCCCACTGGATACTCATTGACAGAGGATGATCCTCTGTACCATACCATACATAGTATCCGGAAGCGGGCGGGTTTCATTCTTCACGATGTACATCGATTCCTTACCGACAAACAAGAAGATGATGTACCTTGTTTTGGAGCTTTGTATACTGCTTACAGGTCCTGGTTCATTGATGTTGGAATTGAGAGATCAGCCCACGTGCTGGATCGAGTCACACGTCTTCTTGCCGCGGACATTCATCCTTACAAAGTGAGTGGAGTCCGCAAGGACTACCCACGACCACTTCTCGTTCGAAGAGCGAATGTGTATCATCTACAGCGTTTGAGACATAATGCTGCGCCTCGACCAAGATCGAAGCTTGATGAAGTCCTGTTCCTTGATTTAGCCGAATCGAGTGTCTCCCTTTATACAGACATCAGAAGAAATGCCCAGAACGCTGGCGAATCTGCGCTGAAGGCCGTCTGGGGATCTCGGCTAGTGGTTATACCTCCGCTACTAAAAGCTCTGCAAAAAGCCATCAAGGAAAATGATCATGCCAGGATAAAGGGTGCTTTGTACTCACTCTTGTACGGAAGTCTGGCCAAAACGGTCGGACGCCACTGGAAATATACTCCGGACGTCGTTCGAGCTTTCATAGACGCCAGTAGCGTCGACAAGCCGTCCGTGCAAAAACTGTGCTCGGGTGCTATCTTTCAGATCATGGACTACGGCCGGCCTCTAGAACGAATGGCTGTGCTCAATGAGGAGCTCGTCAATGCAATTGCACCAGCTGAAAATGTTGAAGACACAATCATACAAAAGCGTAAATCGATCAGCAAGAAACGTGTGCAGATTGAAGGCAAGAAAGCAGAACTTGCCGAAGAGCTGGTGGAGATGGCCCAAACTTCGCACTGGAAGATTGCTAGTCGGGCTGCTAGCATTGTAGTCAGCATGGGTTTGAGATTTGATCATATCGCAAGCGAGAAGCTTATAGATTTGGTGACCAAGGGATCTATCGATACACATCCTGGTCTTCGTGGAATGTATTCGCAGGCTCTGATAGCTCTCTTCACTATGATTGATGTTCGTGCCATCTGCAATCATAGCTACGAGAATTACATCCTCGGGGAGCAGACTTTCCTGGCCCGGATACAAGTCGCTACTAAACGGTATGAGAAAGGATGGACAGAAGAGTACTTGGCTAGCTTCGCCAAACCTTCAGCAGAATACTACATCGACCATGATTTCCCTGGGTGGCTGGTATGGTCGAGCAAGATGCCTGCATACAAGGCTAACATTAAAAGAGACATTGAATATGACGATGTAGAATGGACGATTCGGAAGCATATGGGCCAGCTTCTTGATCGCCAATGGTTCCGCAGTTTCTTTGCCTATCTCAAACAAGAACCTCGTGATGCATCTGCTGATAAATTCCGCATGGCATGTGCCATGATGCTGCTGTATACATTTGAGTTGATGATCAGAGACGGACTGACTGCGGCTACCTTTGAAGAGATTAAAGAAGAGGTTGAGCTGGTTTTTGAGGATGGAAGTGACAAACATCAACACAGAGCGACAGCAGAGATCCTCGGTGCATTGATTAGCTCTGTTGCAGACACCGACGTTGAAAAAAGGAATATGGTCTGGGAATACGCCTTTCCCATGGTCAAGAAAATCTTGGAAGACGGTCTTACTCCTGAAAATTCCGGGTACTGGACAACTTTCTTGCACATGATTCTTCAATGCAGAGATCCTCGTCGTGCTTGGCCGTTGGTTGATTGGCTGGCGTCGTTCAAGCTTGACATGGCGTCCAATGCGGCTTTCAAAGAGAGCTCCAAGATTAGTCTCTTGCACCAGTGCATTATAGACGCAGGCTGGCACTTTCAGCTTGAGAAGCCGATTGTGGAAGATTTTGTCGCTCATCTGGATCATCCATATAAGGGAGTGCGTGAGGCTATGGGTCATACTTTGGGATCGATATTTCGGACTAGATACCACGAATCCCATGCAGATGTCGATAGCTTGATCGAGGCTCAAAGCTCTTCATCGTCTATCGGAACCTATCCTTATGATCCATCAAAGGACTTTTCGGAAATGCTGACCACAGTCTTCGAGAGGCTCAAAGTGTGGCGACACGAACGTCAGCCAGGCCAGCAGACTCCTTCGTCGTACACATCCGGAAGCAAGACGGTGCTACTCTGGCTCGACTCGACACTGTCTTCCCACGAATGCACGCAATTAGTACCGTTCTTTGCGACGACATTTACCGAAGAATTGCTGCATATGATGGATGTCAAAGAAGACCCCGAACTCCAATCACTCGCGTACCACGTTTTCCGCCATCTCCCTAATATTCCTTATCCAGCCGAGAATGAGTCCGCCTTTATCCAAACCCTGGTGCATATCGGACAGCGTGCGACATCATGGCATCAGCGACTCCGTGTCATGATCAACATGCAAATCATCTACTTCCGCCGCTTGTTCCTGCTCTCTGCAGGCGACCGCGACAAGCTCTTCGAATGTATCGCCAACATGCTCCAAGACAGCCAACACGAAGTCCGCGTCGGCGCATCCGCAACCCTCTCCGGCATGATCCGATGTTCCCCCATCGCCTTACGAGAAGCATACGTCGCAAAATACCAAGAACGATTCACAAAGACCCTCGTCGAAAACCCATTACCCAAAAAACCGAAAAATCACATTGGTCGCTCATCAGCTACATCCAGTCGAACGGGTACACCGACGCCTGAACACACGCGATTAGTCATAGTCCGACACGCCGCTGTTTTGGGCCTGGGCGCTTTGGTCCAGGCTTTCCCTTATGCAAGTCCGCCACCGTCTTGGATGCCGGATGCGTTGACGACGCTGAGCACCAAAGCCGCGCATGACCCTGGCGTCGTTGGTTCGAGCGTGAAGAGTATCATTAGTGAGTTTAAGAAGACGAGACAGGATACTTGGCATATTGATCAAAAGGTACCTATCCCTCTCCCCCTCTCATTTCTCATTTCTAAAGACAGATATGCTGACGGTGTATAGGCTTTTACGTCAGATCAACTCGAGGATCTGTCGGGAGTTTTGTGGAAGAGTTATTTTGCGTAGATGTGCCTGTGACCGTCCAGTGTAATGAATAGACATTTTGGTTTAATATAATTTAAAAATATCCTTATCGTTGTTTGATTGTACTTGTAGAACTAAATTCATGTAGTCTTGATTCTACATCTGCATATGGCTTTAAAGAAATAGCATTCATGAAATAACTAAATATACATCGAAACAAGCGCCTATGACCTGAATGAATCTAACCAGTCCAGATGCTGGATAGGGCTGTGTAGTCTACTCCGCAACCCAAACAGCAGCCATGCCCATCCCCGTTCCAACACACATACTCGTAACCCCGATCTTCTTATTCGTCCTCTTCAGCTCCGTGAACAGGGTACTAACCTGTCTCGCTCCCGTACATCCCAACGGATGCCCAAACGCAATCGCGCCACCTTTCGGGTTAATTTTTTCGAAAGGTAATCCCAACTCCTTCACACACCAAACGCATTGCGACGCAAACGCTTCATTGATTTCGTAAATGTCTACATCATCCTTTGAGATTCCAGCCTTTTCGAGGGCCACGGGGATGGCTTTCCATGGTCCGATACCCATGAGTAGAGGCTCGACGCCGACGATGGAGGCCGTGACGAATTTTCCGATGATAGTTTGTCCTAGTTTTTCGGCTGTGGAGCGCTTCATGAGCAGTACAGCGGCAGCGCCGTCGGAGACTTGCGATGCGTTACCGGCGTGAATACTTCCGTCTTTGGCGAAGGCGGGTTTGATTTTGCCGAGAGACTCAGCTGTGATTCCCTCGCGCACGCCGTCGTCAGCCTTGACGGTGATGGTCTTCTCCTCGCCGGATTTGGGGTCTGTCCATTTCACGGTCAAAGGGTAGATTTCTTCGTCAAATAGACCCGCCTTCTGGGCTTTGATGGCTTTTTGGTAGGATGAGGCGGCAAAGGCGTCTTGGTCGGCGCGGGTGATGTTGCGGTCTTTGGCCATGTTTTCGGATAGGACGCCCATGGGCACTTTGCAGTTTGCGGCTTGTAGGTGGTTTTCGAGGAGGTCGGAGAATTCTGTTACGGCACCGGGTCTGTCGTCGTTTATTAGTACAAAACCGTTTTGATGATGAAGGAGAAAAGGAGGGCTAACCCGTATTGCAAACTCATACTCTCCACACCCGCACCAACACCAACCTCAATCTGACCCGCGCGGATGGCATTCGCAATATCAGTCACAGCCTGTAATCCGCTCGAACACTGCCTGTTCAAACTGCGCACAGCAGTCGACTCTGGGAACCCAGCCACAAGCGCCGCAGCTCTGAATTCAGTTGCTCCTCCGCCGGGTGGCAACACCGATCCAACGGCAATATCTTCAACGAGTTTCGGATCAATACCGCTGCGCTTCAGAAGGCCCTGGAATGCACCGACGAGGAGGTCAGAGGCGGCGGTGTCTTTGAAGCCTCCCTTTCCGCCCTTGGTAAAAGGGGTGCGGAGAGCGGCGGTTACGACGATGTCATCTGGGTTTTTGGAGAGGATGTTGTTGGAGGTGGATTTTGGCGTGGAGAGGTGCGAGGACACCTGGGAGAGGCGTTGTTGTGCTGTTCATATTGTTAGTTGGATCGTTGCAGAGATTAGATTGGTCTTACCTTGAGACATGGTGATGATAATAAACGAATCGTATACAAATCAATAAAGCGAAAAAGATGTATATATGATAAGACTTTACAAAGAAGAAGTCAAATGCAAGCCGTTTCCTTTTTGTACTTGCTTCGTCAGCGTCGTATTAACTATCTGGCAGCTGTTGAAGAATGGCCTCAAATAGCCGGCCCATCTATTATATCATTGCTCGTGAAATGCCCGCTGACAGCCGAGGCACTCGGATTATTGTTTCCCCAGCCGAACCTGACATCTCATTGGCGGACATTTAGACGACACGTGATCTGAGTGCGGCCTTAGTAATCAGGTTCTCCGCGGTTGTTGCATGTGAAAGTCAAAGTCCTCGCTGTCAGCTGATGATGAATGTCCTTCTATCGTACGTAAATTACACATGATTCTGATATACATTCCGCCATATGATATGATTTGACAGAGTCTTTTGATTTTGTTCACTAATCATCCTACTCTTTCTTCTTGATGGGTCGCTCAGGAGCCGAGAATAGCGAGTTGATCGAAGCGAAGAAATCCTTTCGGAACTATCCTCATTATCAGTATTGCTTAAATATTGCAAGTCCGGCAAAACACTCACATCTTCGAAAGGATGCTCCTCTCCTTCCTTGCCCCATTCCATGAAAAGTAGCGAATATATCACAATAACTGTTCCGACATCTGTCAGAGACTAAAGACATTTCCAGAACGAAGTAAGACACTCACAGATGATAATCCCCCACTGGGCCAGCTTTGTAAACTTCACCCATCTGGGCCGCGCATATTTCAGCGCTGCGCGCCGTCTATATTTCCGTTCTAGTCGTAACTGGTGCTTGGGCGAGAGTTTGGACATGTCCGGTGGCCATTGGCGTTTGGGTCTGTACGGGCTGTAGTATGCGCCTTCATTTTCTGCTTCGTATTCGTAGCGGTATGCGTCTTCGTCTTCGGTGGGTTGGGGTTGGGATTGAGATTGTGGCTGTTTTGGGGATGAGCTGAGCCGGAATGGAGAGGAAGATGTCGAAGCGTAGGTTGCTCGTTGAGTGTAGAAAAGCGTTCGGGATAGACTCGTGTTTAGCGATTTGTTCTTTTCAAAATCAATCAGCACAAGTCATTCACTAGAAGAGAAGCGCTGCGAGGAGAGTTGCCGTACATTCCGACATGAGCAATTGTAATAATTCCTTGATGCGACTGTAAGCGCCGACGATTGACGGGGAAGAGCGACTTGGCTTGGTCGCATAGCCAGCTCAACCAACGGCCGTAGAAGTCGTATGCTCGCCATTGTCGTATTGTGGGCTGGCAATTGATCTTCGGATATTGGTCGCCAACTCGACTGAAGTCTAACTTCACGATTGTCAAGCTGTGGAGTCGCCGAGCTTATGTGGAGCTAAGCTGTTGACCCCATAATTATGACTAACTTGTTAAGTACTAGTCGTATATTGAATGAGCCCTAACTTCTAAAACTACATACATGGACTTAGTACGTCCTTAATCGGTCATTTGAAGGTTTAACAGATCGAAAAAATAGGGATGACCGGATCGGGGCTCGTAACAAAGGAAGTATGTGGAAAGAGCGAAATGCCATACTCAGGCAGGAGCCACTACTGTTCGACATTGAACACCACGGAGATCCGATCATAAAACAGATATCAGAAATCTACTATAGACGAGCTTGGTTCTTTTATACATCTTTCAAATTATCAGCAGGGATCATACCAATTCAAGAAAGAAGTGGTGAATCACGAAGCCGTGTCTTGCGATGAATGGCGGTATAGATTGCAGAACTACTAGAATGAACATCAGAGTGCAATACTTTCACTATCACTTCGCCACTTACAAACGCATTAACAATCACAAGGTGTAATTTCAGATCCAGGCTTCCCTCCAATCGTAAGATGCCACCTCCAGGCATTTTCCGCGAACTTTCCTGGAATAAAAGCCCTCTTGCCATGTCTTTCCCATATCCCTCTCTCAGACCTCCCAACAAATATAACCTGCGGCCCTCCAAAGTGCATCAGACCTAAATGGGCCAAAGCATAGACTCGGGCCTCGCCCAGAACCACCACGTGCGACCCCGTAACGTTCTTTTGATCGACATCGCTGAAATCAAATTTCTCTCCATCGCCGCTCGTGATCGACGCACCAGACACGTTCTGGAAAGTGATGGGGAATATTTTCGCGCAGATGAGATCACCATCAAAAATACTCGTAGGAGAGGTTTGTATCTTGATATCATATTCATGGATGTACGTCCCCGACTCGGTGTATCTATTAGCAGGCACCAACTCACGGTCAATATCGTACGAAGGCATGTCATTAGGATGAAATATAGGTAAGGCAGGCACAAGCCCAAATCGTGCATCAAACGGGATATCTTCCCCTATATCCAGCCATGACGGTAGGTCCTTCGTCTTTCGCGCTAATTCTAGGATAAGATCCTCGCGCGTACGGTCATAGTCAACCTTAATGCTCACACCTAACAGGTGCATGACGCTGAAGACCATGTCTTGCGGTTTTGTCGACGTGCGCAGGTATATAGACCTCCATGCTGCGGATCTCTTCATTTCATCAGTATGGCCCCTCAACACCCCCTCCAGGGCAGTAATCAAGGATTCGTCGGCACCAAAACAACGAACGATGAATGGCACGCGGGTTTTCACTTTTGTTGATTTATTGACTCTGGTAATCTCGAGCCCTCTCTTACGGCAGCTCAGCAGGTTTTGGAGTTTTGAAAGTGCGAGGTCATCGTCTACCTGATCAATTTGATATGTAGGACCCGTGGTACCATACTCATAGTCGTAGTTCGTTGTATCCCATCTCGGTTCCTTGATTAGTACATGCACGTTTTCTGGGGACAAGGTCGCTTCTTGTAACGTCCAGGCCCGCGTTATCCATGGAGCGGTATTACCCACACCCTGCGCCGAAGCAACACCTCCAGGCATCACGATCACTGCTACTGATCTTTGGTATACATGCCCCATATGCTGAATCTGCAGCTTCTTGTCTTCCGACGAGTTTTGATGCACACAAGTCAAATCCAGCCAGATAAATACACAGCCCAAATGCTGTGCTGCTTTTGCGGCCTGAACGAGCCCTTCCCAGCTGATCGTGTGGTATTTGTCGTTACCCAGGTCGATTCTAAGCGGTCGATCAGCGATTTCACTAAGTCGTTGTACTTCGTCGCTGGCAGCCCATGAGTGCGAGATGGTGGCGTATTTGGGGATGAACGAGTCTCCCGGGTTGGTGATATCTAGTCCGCGCCATTCGGAGAGGATGAGTGTCGGATTGTCATCGTTCAACAAGTCGGAAACTGTGATGAGGCGTAGCCAGCCTGGTTTCCAGTTAATTGATGCATAGGTCCAGTCTCTGTTGTCGCGCTCTTTTATGAGTTGGATGGGATAGCCGGGCATTTTTATTTCTTGTGCCGATGACTTGGATATTATTGACCTTGGTAATTACAATATGTGTTGACAGATTACATATATCTTCGAAACTAACTCTAGAATGAGAAGACACATCGAGTCTTTTATATGAGTATTGAGAGCGCAACTGCTGCCGCATTCGGGTGCTATGTAACTTGTCCTTAATAGCTAATTATTTCCGAGTTGAGACTGTCGAAAGCCACTTGCCTATCATCGACCGGCTCAGCTAGCCATTGAAGGTGAGGGGTGTATGACCCCGGTCGCTCATGACCCCTCGGTGGGAGGCGTTGCCGATGATAGTGCTGATAGAGCTGTATTGGCTGGTAACGAGGCTTTCTTTTTTTTTTTTTCATGACGGCAATAACATATCTTATTTGACATGAGAAACCCGGAGTATATGGATATGTGGTCGGATTTCAAAAAATGAATACGAAGTAGACCCCGCGCGTTCGAGCAGCCCGTTGACTCGGACACCTTAGCTTAAAGTGTCACAGAGACGCTTTTTCTTGTAGACTTCAATTTATCTTCATTTACATCCCAGTCAATTTAGCTGCTCTTTATCTCCAAATATATATCATCCCCAATGATATAGCAACATTCTTAAACATGTGTCTAGAGCGGTTCGGTGCGAACTACATACGTGATATGCAACGAATATGTGTAATGTACTCATGATGAAGAATCTGAGCCCCATGCTCTGAAAATATAAACGTGTCTTTCTTCAATTGGTTGGTGAGACTTGCTACCAGCGCTCAAAGTCACGATTCGGCATCTCGTACTACCTGGATATCTAACCCACTCCTCACTCAGCTACAATTTTCAAAGGAAGAACTGGACTATTTATTTCATTTTTAAGCAGGTACTAGACGAGTCTCAATGAGAAAATTAGATATCCGAAAACAACAGGCTAATCTCATTTAAGAATCTCCATCTCTGTCATTTCAGTAGCCTAGCCCTAGCCCTAACTCAATTACTTAGGTTAATCCTGCTGGTTATTTAATCTTGATATCTAGTATGTCTACAAGACGCATTTTTCGGCCTACAATGTTTCCTACACTTTTAATCTCAACATCAGTGTCCAGTGGCAAAGTCTTCCGAGCTTGAGAGTCAGACTAAGTCCGGCTGACAGGTAAATGCATTAATGGAATGAACAGTAAATGATCACTTAACGGCGAGAAAGTCGACATGATAGGACAGAAATGCCTAGCATATGCTGAGCACGATCAGTCTACTCACATACGTATTTCTATCAAGGGCAGTCTTCTATAATCTGGCAAGAGGACCATCTGGACGAGCAATGCCAATCGATGCCTTTGATATTTCGGCCACTGACTTACAACCAGCCAGCTGCATCACACGTTTGAATTCATCGTAGAGAATATCGAGGGTTTTCGTCACACCTTTCTCTCCATCATACTGTTAGGTAAATGCGTCAATTTCTTGCTTCTAATGAATATAGATACGGTATAAATGTACTTACTCCAAGACCCCAGATAGCAGGTCGACCAACCCAACAGCATTGTGCACCAAGAGCAATAGCCTTGAAGATATCAGCACCCGTTCTGAATCCACCATCAATATGAACAGGAATCTTCCCGTCGGCAGCTGCGATGCACTCCGGCAAAGCATCAAGAGTAGCAGGTGTTCCGTCGAGTTGGCGGCCACCATGATTACTGACAAGCACACCGTCGCATCCATACTGGCGGGCCAATAGAACATCTTCTGCAGTCAAGATACCCTTTATCCATATCTGCATCTTAGTCTTGCTTCTTAGCCAAGGGATATCGTAGGCCCACGAATGTGAATCCGAGTTGAAGACAGTGAACGATTCATCATGCGTCTGGGATTGGATCATTTCCGTGGTCTTCTCAAGCATAGGGAACGCAAGACCGGCTGGKGTACGCCAGTCGTTCCTCCATTCATTGTAACGAAACCCCAAGACTGGGCTATCGGCAGTAAGAAAGATGGCTACACACCCTGCGGCCTCAGCACGCCTGATAACACGTTCTTGGAGAGCTCGGTCCTGCATGGTATAGAGCTGCATGACGTGTGCAGTACGCCCAAGGCCAGTCTCTTTACTAGCTGCAATCACTTCCTCGACTGTGTAGTTAGAAAATGACGAGACTCCCATGTGAACGCCCCTCTTGGCGCATGCTCTGGCCGTGGCTAGCTCGCCATCAGGATGGGCCAAGGCTTGGATGCCGGCCGGTGAGACACACAATGGGAAAGCAATCTTTCTACCTAGGACAGTGACGCTGGTATCTGCATTGGATACATCTTTTAGAACGCGGGGTCTGATGCGATACTTGGCAAATGCTGTGCTATTTTCGCGGACAGTGACCTGATCTGTAGAACCGGAGTTGAAGAAATCTAGCAGTGTGAGTCAGCGGCTAAGCCTGAAGATGAGTCGGTTGCGAAAGGCTGCTTTCTTTACCAGTTGAGCTCTTTTCCAACTTTTTTTCGGCCTCCTTGCGGATGTCATCAATGCAAAGAATTGGAGTACCCATCTCGCCTGATTATTATGAGTTTGTCACTTAGATACGAGCTTATACTTCTGTACTCGTATGATATTAGCAAGGTCTCTTCGCGGGTGTCTGCTAATGAAAGAATTCATTATTTTATATCCTTGAACTTATCTAGGTACATCTGCCTGAGTCATATGCGAGCAATAGAGGCAGAAGCCCCCACCATTCGGACATCGGACAGTTGTCCGGCGCTGATAAGACAGATCTAGATGTCGGGGCCGATGTACAACACTCGATGGGGTATACCTATATCTGAGTTATTAATTTTCTTTATCGTAGGTCGCTTGAGATAAAGTAAACTAGTTTCACAATGATATCTGCCGTTGCAAGCATGACATGGTCACAATTGAAGTATAGCCGATAGATTGAAGTGGTTTTACTCAGATACAAATTTCAAAATAACCCTAAACCAATCTCTCGCATACTTGATCAGAAGCACTCCATGTTCAATGTTGTTTTGGAAGGTCGGGGGGCTACTTTGGACTATCCTTCCAAAAATTTTTGTGTCTACAAGGTGCTGCTCTCATAAATACTCAATATGGTCTCAAAACTATCCACGAATGGCATTTCAAAAGGGACCACAACAATGATCATTGACACTCCGTTTTCTCTATGATATTCCCCGGCGAGAACTACATTCAACACCTCGTAGCTTTTCGTTGTCGATCAACGACTAGAAGGCCAGAGGATAGGGGTAATGTTCACGGTGGGCTTTCTTGAAAGTCTTTAGAACTGTGTATAAAAACTATAGAACATGACTGAAGTTGCGGCGTGATTCTTAATGATCAGATGCATTTTCGGTACACACAAAATGTATATTAATATCGATAGATCACGGGAAAATATGTGGACAAAAGACTCATCTCTATCATTCAAGGAGTATTAATTCTAATTGTAGCAAGACGGCTAAAACAGCAAATCTGATCAAAACATAGTACAAATTAAGCAACCACATCCTGCTTCGTGCTGATAGTTGCTCCATCTTCAGTGAAAGCAAGAGTCTTGCTCAACTTGGTAGTCCACTCACGGACAACATGGCCCTTGAGAATAAGTCCAATCATGATGATATCGACGAATAGAATGAAAAAAGAACCCATCCCCCACATCCAGCCCACACCAACGGCATCTTCCCAGTTAGTAGTGATGAAGACAGAGATCAGACCGAAGGTAACGCGGTAGGCATTCAGGGAGACGGAGGCCTCGACGGGGTTATGCAGGAAGCATTCGATGATGTAGTTGTAGCAGACCGGCAGGGCGAGAAGAGCGCCGAACCAGATCAAGAAGGATCCTAGAGCAAGGACCATATAATGGAGATGATATTGCAGACCAGCACCCCACAAACCGAGACCGATGGGTAGCATGATCGATGGCAGGATGGTGTTCGCCAGGCGGTACTCGGTGTGCCAGGTGCCACCGCGACGACGAGCCACCCAGAGGGGTGTCTTATCATTGAAAAAGAAGCCATAGATCTGGGCACAGAGGATGCCAACCCATGCGGTCATGGTGAAAAAAGCCATTTGCAGTGAAGAAAAGCCATAACCGCCAGCGACAACGGGAGGCTCCATAAAGGTAGCCAGAGTGGAGGCTTGCATGATGGGCAAACCAAGGGCGACGAAGATGTACGTTCCCATGAGAAGGGTAATGGGAGCAAAAGTGATTTGGAAGGGAATGATTGCCCGTCGCACCTACTTGAAGGTTAGCGTGTTTTTCAATATAGAGGGCGTAAGGCGTGATGATGACTTACAAACTCCTTGCCTTTGCCAGCAGGCTGTGTTCTTGTGCCAGGGAAAAAGGTGGCAATTCTGTTGGCTAGCCAGTTCTTGGGTAGAGGAGGACGGGGGACGGCAGCTTCGCGGTTGTATGTAGTTTCCTCAACGAAGATAAAGACCAGAATCATCGCAGCGCCGATGGGGCCGAGGGTCCACCAGAAAACAAGGTCCCAAGGATTATTGTTGGCGATGAAACCTCCCAGTGTTCCTCCGCCGACGACGGCGAAGATGATCATGATTTCGAAAACAGCAAAAGCCTTTCCACGCTGGTGCAGAAAGAACATGTCAATGATGTATCCGCTGCCAAGAATGGCTGGAATACCACCAAAAAGGCCAGTAAAGAGTCGAGAGATGGTGAACGGAATGTAATCATTGGCACCAGTCATCTCACCACCCCAAATCTGGCCGGCGAAGATGCAAACGAGACTCCAGAAAATGACAGCACCTCGTCCGATCACTCCAACCAGTGGAATAAAGAAGAAGGGACCGGCGACCCAGCCAGCGAGACCAGCTGAGACGGAGTAAAGCAGGTCGTTTGGGGTCTTGTTATATACTGGCACCTGGGACATGAAGGTGAGCATGTTTGAATTGGGCGACATCTGAGCTGCGAAAGCAGCCAGACAGACGGAGGCGAAGATGATTATCTTCTTTCTTATCGGCCAATTCTACATGCATTGCGTTAGAATGTTCGACTTCTGATGATTTAGGTAGAGCAGCATACCAAAGGATCCTCTGGATCGTCCGTAGGCTGCGGAATCAGAACTACATCACGGCCCTGCTTGTCCTTTACCATCTTTGGGGAATCCGCATTGGCAGTCGTAACTGCCAACGTGGTCTTCATCTCCTCAGAGGCAGTCTCAGACATGATGATGTTGTTGATAATGCCAGGTACACGAGAAAATATTCGTCACGCGCAGTATGACGAGGAAGAGAGATATGCAAGTGACAGGGAAAAAGAAAAAAACAACGAGACCTGGAGACATGGATTATGTATGGGCCGGTTTTGGGCCATCTCGGAATATTTCTCATTTATCCTCCATGCCAAGTGGCTCACTGAGTCGCCGGCCAGACGGGTCGACCATGCATGATTCGATGCACAAAGGGGGATCCCAGTTCTGGGATTGATTTGATCTAGAAGCTCTCTTTCGCCAGCAGCAACACTAGTACTGCGCCATTGGTTACATCGTGTAGCTATACGTGGACTCGTTGGACGTTCTGGATGGCTTGACCAGGGTGAGGCATTAGATAATGCTAGTGGCGTTTTCAATATCGGTATAAAATAATTGTGGAATATATACGAGAGAAATATACAACAGAGCCAATAGGAATAGAACCTGGAGTGAGGATAGTCAAAGACAATAAGGAGTAGAGGCTTGTTACGATACACAGACGTTACCCGTACCGTATGTACCCGTATGTATGGGTCAGGATGTAAGCCCTAATTTCGTTCATGCAGGCACTTGAGCTTTCCCAGCGGACACGCATTCTCGGTATTCTAGAATCCAATCTACTAAAGTTCTTAATCATGGAAAGGAACTAGATTAGGCATTCTGCAATGTGATGATTCCACCTCCCAGCAATCGAGATGCGTCTGGTACGTAAAGACTTTATTAGAGTCATTCATGAGCACACAATCTACCTAGATAGTTCTAAGAAATACGTAGTCTAGCGTAAAGAAATAACAGACTCTCCTCCCCATCTAACGACTCTGCTTTGGGTATACCACTGCGTCCGACACCAGCATCTCATCACTCGACCGGTCTGTTCCCCCTTCGCGACTCGAGTGAAAGACCGACACATCGGTCGTCTTCACAATACCGTGTGTCTTGCTCTCCCACAACTTCTTCTGGCTGCTACCATCCGACCCAGGCTCTTCGTCAGGCAGCTCCTGCATCTGATCGCGTTGTGATCCCAGCCAGGAACGATGGCGCGACCTCTGCCCGGAGCGAGACATGGTGTTGAGTGGAACGGAGTGCGATCGCGAGTTCGATTTCGAGTAGGATTCTGTGACGGAGTTGTGGCCGAGTAAAGGACGGACGGAGGGTGCCGCTGCTGCGATAACGCCGAATGTTGCTTCAAGTCTGATGAAGAGGTCTTATTAGCGGTTATCCATTTGAGGAATCCGGAAGTTGAGACTTACACTGCCCACTTGAAGAGCGGAACTAGATCCCCTGTTATTGAAAAGTAGGTCAGTAGATACTTCCAGAAAACAGGCGTATCAAACTCACAGGTCGGGTCATGGGTTGCAGTCAAACTAGGAACCAAAACAGTACGCGCAAGGGCAAACCCTCCGCTCCTATTGCATTGTTAGTCATTATACTGTAGAAGAGACGAGCGACAGTTTGCCGACGACGTACGCAAAACCCAAGGCCATAATAGCACAAACACCAATCTTCACTCTCCAGATAATCTTGATATTCCAGAGAAACACGATTGGCAGAATCGAAAGAACGAAGTCGGTCGCGGCAGCAATTGCTGCAAATCATGGCATTAGTCATGAGAATACTCCATGAGGACAGAATGATGGCACTTACTTCCCTGCGCGATTCCAAGCGCATTGATGGCAGTATCCGACCAGCAATGCCCTTCAATCGTTTTGTCCCAGTTCAATGCAACGGGGGTGCATTGCGGGAAGATGACGGCGGCGTCGATCAGACTTGTAAGAGTGTTAAACACAATAAAGGCCCAGAAGAAAGCCTTCCATCGTTTGCTGGTAGGACTGTCACAATAAGTCAGACCTGTATTCAGTGAAATCAAGTCAGTACTATAGCAAGCACTTACAAGAGACGTTTCAGGAACAAGCTAATCGAGATCTTCACAAAGACAGTGGAGATGATCAACATAAACTCAGCGATTCGCATGAGCATGATACTATACGTCGCGGCGTGTATATCGTTCTCTAGGAACTGAATGTGTCGTCCTATTCCATTGGATGTGCCGCCAATGACTAAACCCATTACTACGAATGTAGTAGCCTGTAGTCAGAATAGAGATTAACTTTCATCCTCGCTCAGGCCTTTTCTTTTCTCTTTCTTTTTGAAGAAACTTTGTAAAGTATCATTGAAACTCACCATGGCTAGCACATTGAAGAAATCATCCCAGTCCAGCAACTTAATAAGTCGTAAGCGCACATAGATTCGAAGCGCAGTCACAATAAAAGCAACGATTGTGGTCAGGATGGTGGGAATGAGGAGCTCAGAGGCCCTATTGACATCGACCACTGTCACCTGCGAGCTCATGATGGCCGGTCTATCACGCAGAATATAGGAAGTCGTGATGTGCTCATGAAGAAAGGAAGAAAGGTACAGCGCTGGCAACTTGTAGTATATTATGGCCCGTCTGGGATATCTTGCAGAATCTGCATGTGGCTTGTACAGGGCCTACAATCTAGTAATCTACGTACTCTTACTACTCCGTAGGTACAATCCAATGAAACTCCCTGTCGGCATTCGCCATACTCGATCAAGCCCCAGGGATCTGATGCAGCTAGTACATATACACCCCAGTACCTGCAAATCAAAACACGAAGGATCGGTTACTGCTGTGATTGTTGGATGATGATTACAGACCTAATGGATTTGCTTTTTCTACGTTTGCAGGATCTCATGCAGACTTGTCACACGGTGATCACTATGTCTTGCTGATAAAGATTACCTAAAGTTTTCTTCTTTCAAAGTTCTTGCAAGTCCGAGGGGTCCAGGGGGGGAGAGACCTCGGATAATTTCAAAAACGTGAAAATTCCAGAAAGAAAAATTACCATATTCCGCATGTGGTAAAACGTGCGAAGCTATGTATCAAAACCCTGGAACCGACCTCTACACATAATTACGTACTAGTACGACTGCGCAATAATCCCTGTCTCTTCCTCGACAAGCCACATTTCGCCGCAATGTCGTACTATGTGTACGTTCCCAGCATACCTACTACGATAGTAGGTATGAACCAAAGCCCGGAGGATCGACTACTTCATGCATACTACGCAGATATCTATCGCTGATTTGTCCAATGCGTTACATGCATGATACTAGTGGCTTTTAGGGTCGTACATGGTCGTACAAGAGCGTGCATTGGACACCTCAAGCTTTACTTTGCTCATTGGAAATGCCTGCTTGTGTACTAGTGCGGCACAGTCAAAGTGTCCAGGGTCCAGGATAGTGTAAACTAATATTCCGAGTACTAAGTGCTAATTAAGTAGCTTTATACGACCACGAGAATGCGTCTAGCCTCTAGCCTCTAGCCTCTTAGACTCTGCAAATTCTGGGTTTTCGTCAATGGTTTTGTTTTTGGAACAATCAAAAGACGGAAATGTTCTTTTGTGGTTGAGAATGAGGTGGGGAATAAGTGATCTTTGTCACGCTCAGGTCGTACGGAGAAGTACATAAAAATCTTCAGCACATAATTTAAACCTGCACAGTCTCTGAAGATAAGTTTTAAAAAAGAAAAGAAAAGTAAAAATTTGAACTAAACTTGCAAACAGCCAATAATTTCCCGGGGAAGTGATTGCTTCTATAATAAACACAGGCTATGAACAGGGGTTTTCAGGGCTAATGCAGCCGCAACCCTATTAGCCCTGATACAGGGATCCTCGCGGAACACAGCGTGTTACTCCCGTCGTTTATCCCCTCAAGCGATAAGTCTTCGTGGCGATTTTGAGTCTACCTAGGTAGAATGATTTATTTATTATTTGAACTTGTCTTCGTACGGATTGAAGTACGGTTATTCCGGGAAGCCCTCTATAGGATTAGTAAGTTAGTAACAGCTCGATACCTGTACTAGTATGTTTACATATCAGTGGCATGATATTGCACATGAAAGGATTAACATAGTAGAAGACGAGACTAGAGGTTCGGGGAACATTACAAAAAGAGAAGACGAGGGACAGAAAAAAGAAAAGAAAAAAAGGAGAGGTGAATACGAGCGACAACGTACCATCGAACGCCAAACTGCCCAGGCAAATCTTAAACATGGAACGCTCTGAAGAATCCCCCAAAAAGCAATTCACCGTCGCCATCGTAGGCGGTGGCATCGGCGGCCTGACGCTCGCTATCGGTCTTCTTCGGCGCAATGTCTCAGTACGCATCTACGAAGCAGCCGCTGCCTTTGGCGAGGTCGGGCTGGGCCTCTCCATCGGCCCAGCAGCACATCGCGCCATGCCGCTTATCGATCCCCAGATTCGGGAAATATACGATTCACTCATCACTACGCATGCTGATAGTCCTGGCTTTGAGAAATTTAGGCAAACCTGGTTTGAGGTTATATGGGCTACAGGCGGGCAGGCTGGGGAGAAGTTGATGACGCTTAATGCGTTGCCGTCTGGCCAAACGACGGTGCGACGAAGTGATTTTTTGAATGCGCTTGTCGGTCTTGTGCCAGATGGAGTGGCGCAGTTTGGGAAGAGGCTGGKTAAGCTGCAAGAGAACACCGAAGGKGTGACGCTGAGTTTTGAAGATGGTACTTCCGTTGTTGCTGATGTGGTGGTCGGCTGTGATGGTATACGCTCCAAAGTCAAAGAGGCGTTATTCCCGGATGAGGGTGATCTCGAGCGCTTTAAACCAAAGTATAGTGGCATGTATGGCTACCGCGCTGTGCTCGATATGGAGACCATGGTAGAAGCAGTGGGTGATCAGCGCGCGAAGGTCTCGACTTGGTATGTTGGTAAGGGTGCGTATGCAATCACATACCCCATCATGCGCGCCAAGAAGGTCAATGTCGGCCTTTATACGTTGAATGATACCTGGGACAGCGACAGCTGGGTTCGCGAGGCTAGTAGGGATGATATGGAAAAAGATTTTGGGTATATGGGGGACTATGTCAATAGGATTATTAAGGTATGTCTATCCTCATTGCCCGTAAATTCCTCCTCTAATTGATGGCAGTATATGACCGACGCTTCTCAATGGGCCATTTTCGAGCATCCTCACATCCCAACCTTCGCGAAATCCAAAGTCGCTATCCTTGGCGATGCAGCGCACGCTTCTACGCCGCATCAGGGCGCTGGTGCCGGACAAGCCATCGAAGACGCACACGTGCTTGCAGAATTACTAGCAGACACACACATTACTTCCCCAGAGCACGTCGCGCTCGCTTTTCAGGCATACGATGCCGTGCGGCGGGAACGTAGCCAAAGGGTTGTGACGAGTAGTAAGGAGAACATGGATCTGTTGTGCCTATGCTATGAAGGCATTGGCGACGACGGAGATAAATTGAAGGAAACATGGCAGGAGAGGTTTCGGTGGCTGTGGGATATTGATATTCAGGAGCAGGCGGAGAAGGCTAGGACTATTATGCTTGATTTGATACGCCAGCAAGAGTTGAGATCATAGGCCCGCATCTGACGTAGTCTAGGTTTAGAGCAGCGTACTCGACATAGAGATTGCACGTATTAGAAAAAAAATCATCAATTCATTCCTCAAGTCATTATATACGCCTGATGTAATCATAATCATGGTCTGGTCATGGTCATGTATGCGCGCTTTCTGAGTCCAAATGGACATGCACAAAAGATGCTGAAAGGTGCAAAAAGCCTGTTGGCACGAAGCCAGCAAGCTGAGACAGTCATACTGAGCTGAAAAAAGCAGATTGCATCTGCAAACTCCAAATGCCGATACTCCAACGCCCTTATCCACATACGCCGTTCATAAATGTAAGACATAGAAACACATAAAAAGAGAAGAGAAGAAAACATGGTGGTTATACTCAAATCCACCCATCAACATCGCAAATGCGACTGGGAGACTTTTTCTCCAGGTCAATGTCAAGGGCCAGCTTTGGTGGCTCTTCAACAGGCTTCTTGCTGGAAGTTTTAATGGGTGACTTCTTGGGGGACCCAGGTTCTGGTCCCTCGCGGACGAATTTGAAATCCCAGCCATCGTCCCGAGCTGCAGAGACCCATGTCTTCAGACAGTCGTGGACTGCGCCGTAGAACTTTTCCTTGCAAGTGCGCATACTTCCTCCCATGGCCTTTTCGAAGCCTGAAGCACGGAGGTCTTCCCGAAGAGCGTTTCGCTGCTTGGGCGTAGGCTGACACGCAATCAATCCATTCATAAGGTCGAGGTGCGTGGCAAGATAGTTTGTAGCGTCCCATTCAACACCGCCGACATATGGAGCAGCTGGTACGGGGGGCCTGGGTGCAGGGAAGTGTTTCTTGAAGTAATCTCCTTCCTTTTCAACAACAACATTGTCACGACTCAAAGGAATGACGTTCAAATGGTGAAGAAAAATCCAAAAAACTTCTTTAGTGACGTTGGTCACTTCTCTGCACCACACACGGTATGGACGGGGCTGGTAAATGTTTGAGATGAACTCAACCTGGTGTTTGTTGGAGGTAGGGTCGCGCAGGTAGGCCAGAATCTCCGCGGCTCGTGCAGGCATTTCGCCTTCAGGAGCAGTTGAAAGATGCGTGAAGAGAAGGCTGATGATGACGCCTCGAGTGGTGAACTCGCTGGGGCCTTTTTTCTCTTCGTCAAAAATCATTCCCAGCAATGCCGGGAAAAGCTCCTTGCTTAAGGCCGTCAACCGTTGCAGAGCAACAGAGGTCGTACAGAGAGCTTTGAGACAAAGCAAAGCTTCGTGGAGTAAGTTGTCCTCATGTTCCTCCCTGTATAAGGTAAGTAAAAATACAAGAACTATCTCTTAAGATACATACCTCCATTCAACCTTCATGATGCGGTAGAGAAGCTGAATGATTTCATCCATTCCATCACCCGCAATGAAGGAGTCGACCCACGCTACGGTCTCATTCCGTAGCAGGAGACGAAGCTTGTGTAGCTTGCCTACTTCGACCAGCTCAGGTTTTTGAACTTCCCGCAAGTAATGTATAAAATCGGCCGGATCCGCTGAAGTGTCAGTCTGGTTCTTCGCATGCAATGAAGTGGAAGAGGCGGACGCAGTAGGCATCATGTATGGCCGTGAAAGATCTACTGATTTTGGACGCTTGAAAGAGCTGGCACTATTCGATTTCTGATGTTTCTTAGGTGAAGTATCTCCCCTTGTAGAGCTAAATGGTGAACGAGCACGCGAAAGTGAGCGCAAGCTCTTGTCGCGAGTTTGGGAGGGGGCAGATCGATCATTCTTCCTTCCACGTCGGCCGGCACTATCAAAAGTGCTAGACGTAGCGGAGTTAGGGATCGAACTTTCGGCGTGATTCTTTTGGATAAAGTCAGCCTTGATGTTGGTATCAAGCGATCTCATCTTGTCTCGCATATTCATAGGAATGTTCCGTGCGTCCTGTTTTGGTCAGTAAAGGTCTTCTATCCGCCAAAGCTTGCATAAACTCACCAGAAGCTTTTCAAATTCACTCTCAATCTGCTTACTGTCCTGGTCCTTACGAGTAGAGTCTTTGGCTTCCAACGCCGACACGACCGCCATCACACGACCACCGCTCTGGGTAGAGTTCCTCTTCGACTCGTGAATGGAGCGAGCATCAGGTGCAGACTGAGGTTCAGCCTGCTTTTCCGAGTGACGCTGCTTGCCCGACGGAACGCGCTGAATCTGTCCGAGCATTTCTCTGACCTTCATTGTGCCGGACGAGATATAGTCCGATTTGGGTCTAGGCTTCTGGACAAGAGTAGGCTGGTTATCGTAAAAGTTCCGTTGCTTCGAGGGTAGGTATTGCTTTGGAGTATACAGAGACATTTCGTCTTCCAATGTCCTCTGACTTTCTGGGACATATACATTGCCCGTCTGGTCTTCCACTGGCTGGGTAGCGAACTGAGCCCAGATGGGAGAGACAACTTCTGACACTGGTCGTCGGTTCTCCTTGTCCTTTGGCTCAGCAACAGTCTCGCCTTTGCGTCCTCGGTTCGACCTCTTCAAGATAGCAGACAGACTAGCCGTAGACTTCATCTTCTTCATCGTCTTTCCCAATGAACCCTCCTCATCCGGTGAGTCCGACGAGCTCCGACTCTCTTTCTTCTCGCGGTCTCTCAACAGAGCTCTAAGTGATACAGAGCTTTTTGTCTTCTTATGCAACCCATCCCTCCTGGGTTGTGTACCCGCGGCGTCCCGATTGTGTGCTCTTTCCCCCAACGGCTGAGCATGGGGGTGATCGGCCGGAAGAAAACCGGCGTTGCCTATAAAGCTTGTTCCTGGCATGACTGATGGTAGAGCATCGCCAGCCGAGGTGTTTCTTTTGTGTGCTTTGGACGGCAAGATAGAGCGGAGCATGGACGTCTTTGTCGGCGAGCGAGTCGCGTCGTCGAAGATGGTCGGGGCTTGGGTGTTCGAAAGCATGACGCGTAGACACTAGAGAACAATGAGTATGCGAACAAGGCAAGCTATGATTATAATTAAAGACTGACCTGAAGTGTTGGTATTGAAAACAAACGCCTCTCGCAAGGTTATGCAGATAAAAACAAAGAGAAACAAACGCCCAACACGGAGTCTGAGGGAAGCGAAGCAAGGGTCCAGCCAGAAGAAACAAACATGAAGATAGCAGAGGAGAAGAGAAATCAGGGACACAGTCTCTACTGGTGACGAAGAACAAGAGAGGAAAAGGAGGAGGAGGAAGACCGAAATTAAGAAGATTTGGGATCACGGGAAGCTCGCAACTGGAGAATGAGTTGCTCCGGTTTCCTGGGTAGCTTGTCTGTTCTGAGATAGGCTCTCCACTCGAGAGAGAGAGTCAGTAGTCAGTCTACGACATGAGTAAACTAAGTGGACTAAGAATTTATGGAGCTTCCATCAGTGGTTGAAACCTTCCGGCCCCGTGCAGCCCGTAAACAGTGGGGGAGCCGCCGTTGCTGAGACAACCACCACCCACTCTCTGATAGCAAGGCCGATTTTCAACGTCCTGATCCTTGTCTAGATCATTAAGATGGTCTATAATGTAATTACTCTAAAGACCGATGACATCTCTGATCAGCGAATATGACATCTGCTTGATTGTCTAGTCTATCTGTTTCATCATATACCGGAGAATTGTGGTGATTCTAGGCCACGATCTGACTCAACTAGCTTTGATGCTACATTTAGGACTCTTCCTTGATCGTAATTGAATTCATAAACATCACTTTGCTTTGACCAGTGACGCGGAGTCTTCCGATTCGATTGGATGTTTGTTTTCATGCAATCAAGGGTTAGGGCCAGCGGACACGTAGATACATGCCTGGAGAAACTCAAATCATACACCAGACCGCTCTTTGAGTGGTTCGTGTGGTGTGGAGGGGACACGAACGATTGTGTTGACATATAAATGAGAGTATTAATGCAGCATTCTGGATTTGTCCGTTGTCCAGGTACCGACGATTCAAGGCGACGCTGTGAGAACAGATAGGGCACCGAAGCATGAGATCTCACATCGATATTGACAGGCAGCAAATCTGGGGTATGACAGAGTAGGCTTTGGTGGCTCAGAAATACATGAGAGACTAGAAAATGAGATGTACTTGACGAGTTCTAGCCTCAGCTTTGTCATAGTCGTGTAGTCAACTGGTGTCAACTAGTGGTGTGGCTAATAGATTACCTTAAAGTAGTGCTATTCTTCCCGTTGGACAGTATACATGACTGTAACGTTGAAAACAGTACTCGCCACATATATGAGTAGATTTCTTATTTTTCCACTCCGAAGTAAAGCTTCATGTAAGATATCTCTTCAGCACGGATAGTTGTAGATCTTGTGGAGAAAACCGGAGAATAAAGCTAAATAAAAATGACCCCTCCAAGACGTATCACATCGGAAATGCAATTTGGGTACGTCGGTAGGCACCTAGGCAATCGTCAACCCGCAAGTTCCTCATTTCGCAGTTTGAATACGAGCGATTACGGATATTCCGATACGATTCTCTTGTCGATTTCGGGATTCGGTTGTCTCAGAATGAAGAAAGACCGCGGGCAGAATCGGGTGGATCTGAGAACGTCGAAGTGTTCCAAGTCTGGGACGACGGCATCACGTAAGTCAGAGTAACCCTATTTCCAACTTCACTTCTTCAACTACCGACTTATATATATGTTGAAACGCCACCAGTTTGCTCAATTCACAGCGTATAATTTAACAATCTACACCATCAGAGCATATGCATTGAACAGCCATACCAACCAAGGGCTTCCAGAGGCACCAACCCGTCCACCACCAAAATGAATCAACCATCCAGGACTGACGACACTCTGGAACACCCAGGCTGGAACCAGAACCCGTCAGCCCTCAATGCAGACGCAACAACCAGAAATGATTTCAACGGCATAATCAATCTTAGAAATCGAAGAGATCATTCATTACAGACGAGCTCACAGGATGAGTTAGCCCAGATAGCTGTGATACCTCCACCGCCAGATCCATCTTCTTCACCAAAGGCAGCAGCAGGAGGCGTCTTGACGACCACGACAGGAAATGATACACCGCAATCGCGCAGTAAAGCACTCACTATGTCCATCTCAGTGCCCAAATTCCTCCGTCCCATCGTCAAATTCGCCTCCTTTATCGGCCCGGGTTTCTTGATTGCTGTTGCATACATCGACCCGGGCAACTATGCGACAGATGCCGCTGCCGGCGCCCAGAGCAAATATGCTCTACTCTTTGTCGTACTAATGTCAAATTTATTTGCTGTGTTTCTGCAATCTCTCTGCATCAAGCTGGGCAGTGTGACGGGCCTCAACCTTGCGGAGAATTGTAGAGCGCATCTTCCGAAATGGCTTAATATCATATTGTATATTCTGTCGGAAGCGGCTATTATAGCTACTGATATCGCGGAGGTGAGCTTCAGCTTTCTCTTATCCTCTGTTCTAGCCCTCAATTTGAGACTAACAATGGTACAGGTAATCGGCTCAGCGATAGCACTAAACCTCCTCCTCAAAGTTCCCCTCGTAGCAGGCTGCGTCATCACCATGGCCGACGTGCTCATTCTTCTAATCTTCTATCGCCCACAGGGATCAATGTGGGGACTTCGAGCCTTTGAGTTCTTCGTCATGCTACTTGTGCTCGGCGTGGTGGTATGTTTCTGTATTCAACTGTCCTTAGTTAAGACCCAATCCGTCGGTGAAGTGTTTCGAGGATATCTGCCCTCGCCAGCGGTCATCCAAGGCTCGGGACTGTATCAGAGTTGCGGTATTATCGGGGCTACCGTCATGCCTCATTCGCTCTTTCTGGGTAGTGGATCTGTTCAACCACGGCTTAAAGAGTATGATCTCAACGCTGGTTATATCGAGCCTTCCTCCGAACATGACGACGAGATATATCGTCCTTCGATCCACGCTATCCGTGGCTGCTTGAAATATTCCATTATTGAATTGACTCTGACCTTATTCACATTCGCGCTCTTTATCAACAGCGCCATTCTTATCGTCGCCGCAGCTGCGCTGTACGGTACCCCGGGAGCAGATAATGCAGATCTCTTCGGCATCCATGMCCTCCTCTCGCAATCCAYCGCMCCCGCCGCAGGCACCATTTTTGGTCTCGCATTACTGCTCTCAGGTCTATCTGCAGGCATCATCTGCACAATAGCCGGACAAATGGTCAGCGAGGGCATGATAAACTGGACCTTCCGACCATGGGTACGCAGATTACTTACCCGCGTTATCAGTATCGTGCCGAGTGTTATTATAGCTGCCTCCGTGGGCCGGCAGGGGTTGAGCACGGCGTTGACAGCATCCCAGGTGGTGCTGAGTGTTATATTACCATTTGTCATTGCGCCGCTCATCTATTTCACGGCCAGAAACAAGTTTATGACTGTCCGAAACGAAAGCGTCGATCTGTCGGAGTTGAACACTAACGCCGAGCAAGCGCAGTCGCAGCCCCAAGAAACGGCTTTTAAAATGAGGAATAGTTGGCCTGTGTCGGTGTTGGCGTTGATAATTTGGGCTGCTATAACTGTCATGGATGTTGCTGCGCTGGTGTTGATTGGCCTGGGATTGGCGTAATTTCGATCTTGGTCTGGTTTTTCGGTGTTCACTATTAGTTACGTACATATATATTACATATAGCTTGGTGGAGTTTTTTATTTAAAAAAGGATATCATACTATAAACCTATCCTACTGAGTAGTCACAACCCCAACAATAGGCATGATGTTAGCCAACCCCCCCAGCCGCTTCTTTGACCTTTCCCTGCTCAGGCGGCTCATCAACAAAACTCGGCGGCGCAACCTCATCCTGCAGAAAGCTTGGTACAGCCTCTGAGTCCCCCATCGGATTCTCGAACAGACTCTCCTCTCCCAACGCCTCCAACTCCGCATCCAACTCCGCCTCATCCACATCCTCGGGAATATCATACGCCCTGGATATACTCTCGTTAATCTCATTCCCGATATCCATCAAATCTGCCATCTCATCCTGCATTCTTTCGATTTTATCAATATCGATTTTCCCGTATTGTTTTTTCAGAGTCTTCGTAGTTGTCTTCATCGCATCGACGGTGGTCATTACGTTCTTGAGATTGTCCTGCATCATATTCGCCTGCTCCATGTTCCAGGATTGTTGCGAGAGTTGGTCGCGTTGCGCTTCGTACTGTTTTCGGCGCTGAAGGATCTTGAGTGCCTTTTGGCGCAGGGCGGTTTTGCCGGGCCCGTCGCGCATTTTGGAGAGGCGGGTTTGGTAGGTGGAGAGTTCGGAGTTGAGGGCGGCGAGTTTTACGTCGATTGAGGAGACGCGGTTGTCTACCTTTCAAATTCATGAGTTAGATGCAGATGACGTTGATCATTTGGTGACTTACATTTGAGATTGCAGAGTCCAGGGTTGGCTTAGGGGCCTGGTTCTTTGTGCCGAAGAGTCGATTCATTTTGTTAATCAGGTATTGGGGTTAGAATATGTTGTATTGAGATCATTCGGTCAGACCAGTGTAGTGTTGACTTGGACGGTTGGAGGGGTAACAAGAGTCGAGCAATTCCAGCCTCACCGCCTCGACATACAGCGCCTTCGACAAGCCAGTCCCATGCAGCGATAGAAATGTAAATCGAGGTTTTGGCTACGTTCTATAGCTTCACGTTGCAAAACATGTGCTGGGCTAGCCAGATTGTTGTTGGTATTAGAGGTGGTAGTGGCGACGTCAGAGTGTAGCCTAGTCTTTGTATGGACGGCGAATCGGGTTAGACTGACATGGCCATAGCATCCTTTGTACTCCAGAGCCACATGGACTTGGCCTGTTCACATGAATAGGTACATACGTAGTTCTAACGTTATTTATCATTTATCTTCAGTTCACATGAACTCTTGTCTTTTGTTCATGTGAAACATGATCCTGTATAAATGTAGCTGTCTTCTTCTATAAAATTTCCTGAACCGAGAAATCAAACCATATACGGAGTAGTAAATACTTGACTCTAGTCACTCTCCTACATCTGATGAAGCATAGCCGCCATATGCGCAGTCTACAGATAAGGCAGCAATCGAGGCCTCAGGAAAATGGCATGAAACAGTCTCGTGCTGACCGTGTGTTCTAATTGGCCACAGCCAATCGGCACCCGAAGCGGCCCCTTCCCGCAGAATCATCACACTACGCTCTCTTCAGTCACTCTCCAGCACATTATTCATTCACTGCTACATCTATCTACGGTTGAATCTTGTTGACATCCGCCATTCCATACCTACTCACTTCTCCAGAGACTAAACTTTCATGGGCTGTGTGTTGGTTGTCTCTTGTGCCATCCGCCAGCAAGGCACTGAGTCCGCCCAACAATAATATCACCAACCATCCCCCACTCGGAGACAAAGGAAACCTGCCTGCCTGATAGCTATTTCGCTATCGACAAGTGACCACTTCAGCCTCACCTGAGCACTCATATCTTCTTTTCTGTCTCTGATTGATCCATCGATACGAAGTCCGGGGTCAAGCAAGCACTGGCAGAACGCCCGTCATTCTTTCAGGTGACACGGTCCAGCCAAGTCAATTACCTTTTACGCACATGCCCCCATCGCGTAATCCGTCACTCCTTTACATCTGAACAGGTAAGACAGTTCTTTGACTTCCCCAGATTCATGTCATGTCTGTAACCTATGTGCACTATCCTGCAGTTGACTGTCTTTGGCTATTTGTCTCTGTTCCTTGATTGAATTACGCTGACTAACTCGACCAGCGCGGTCGCTAATTGTGTGCCTGTCTATTACTGATCTCATTCTGCTACGACTTACGACGCCTGATACGACTAATAATATCACGATCGAGAATACGCCTTGTATCACTATATCCATCTCATCAACACGACCAGAGCTGATAGAGCATTGCATCGAGCGCATAGACAGCAGCAGACTTGCATTCATCTTCGCACTCAACTGGACTCATTTGGGGAACTGCATACTAGATCATATGACTCTATCGTCCATCGCTCTTAGTCCTAGTTCACGATGTTCTGGCGATTCGGGGGGTACGCTAATATCTCCACCGTCGACACTCTACTCGACAAACCCGATGTCAGTCTTGAGGAGCTGTTGGACGAGCCGGAGCTCATTTCCGAACTGAAACAACATAATACGAAACTCATAGAATATTTACGAGAGGACCATATACTGAAAAAGCTGTTGGAATATGTGGTCGCGCCGCCTTTAATTAATGACGATGATAATGACGATGACGACGATGATGACGCAAAGAAAAAATCTGATGAGAAGTCCGCCGCTGAAGATGATACTAAAAAGGATGAGGATATCCTTGAACCCGAGGATCTGGAGAGGGCCGATAAGCAGCGTTCCAAGTTCGCCTACATGGCTTGCGAGATCTTATCCTCGGAAACGTGGTCAATTCTGGAGTCAATAATGCTCAACGAAGCGTATTTGCGAGAGTTTTGGAACTTTATGAAACGACCAGCGCCCTTGGACTCTGCTCAGGCCGGCTACTTCACCAAAGTCAACGAAGTTTTGTTTGATAAAAAGACGGAAGAAATGCTCGAGTTTTTCAAGTCGCTGAAAGGTATCGTTCCTGCTATATTGCAACATGTGGACAATCCCATGGTGATGGATCTGCTATTGAAAATCATTAGTCTCGAAAAGGTGGAGGGTGGACAAGGCATCGTCGACGTAAGTTTTCGTATGATATTGAAGATCAGCAGCTAACAAGTAACAGTGGTTGAAAGACGAGGATCTTATCCCTGTCCTGCTCTCTTACATTTCATCCGAACACTCATCTTCCATGCAGACTTCTGCCGGTGACTTTTTGAAAGCAATCATCACCATCTCAGCAAATGCAACCCAAAACGAGCAGTCCTGCATTGGACCAAACAGCCTAACCAGGCAACTTGTCTCGGCTCCATGCGTTGAACAACTCATCGGGTTCATGCTCCAAGGAGGAAATTCGCTTACTGTGGGCGTCGGTATCGTCATTGAAGTCATTCGCAAGAACAATTCCGACTACGATGAGAATATCGGAGGACCAGATGCACGGCCCAGCATATATGACCCGATTTACCTGGGAACTCTACTCCGACAATTTTCAACGCACATTCCCGACTTCATGGCTTTGATTCTCAGTTCAAAGCACACCGTTGTTGAAAATGGGCAAATAAAGATCAAGGACCGTGGACAGCTCAGTTCTGCATGGGGCATGAAGATTGAGCCTCTGGGCTTTGATCGCTTCAAGACCTGTGAATTGATGGCGGAGCTTCTTCACTGTAGTAATATGGGCTTGTTAAACGAAGTCGGCAGCGAGGATTACATCCGACAGCGCGATACTGAGCGGGAGAACTTGCGAGCCCAGGGCGCGTTTGACTTGAATAGGAAGGAAGCTTCTGGCATGGCTTTCAGTGAAAATGCTGGGGAGTCGGAACAAGAACAAGCCTTCAGAGTCGAACCCCAGTCAGCGACAGTAGAAAACGTCAATGCCAGCGACGATGACGGCTTCGAAGATGTTGGTTCCACGAAAGACCTTGGTCCAGAGATCAAAACAGATGCGGGAGAGCAGCCTCAACCGGAGAAAGTCGAATTCCATGCGCAAAGTCCGGGTCTTCGTATTGAAGACAGCATTGTTGAAGAAACCTTGAAGAATTCCAGCAAAACTGAGACTGGTCTTGCTCCTGTTGAGTCTTCGGTTGATCCTATATCACCTACCGCATCTGGTCTTACAGAAAGTGTCAATGAGATTACATTGAACAAGAGTGAGCAAGTTTCTGCAGTAGACGAGCTCAAAGACCAAGCCAAACCCACGGTAGAATCTCATGCTGAAGATACACTTACGTCTACGACACAATCGGAGCTGCAAAGTGAATTGAGACCAGAAGGGCCATCTGGCACAAATGACGAGGGGCAGTCAAATGACTCTCAAGCTACGCATATCGAAGATGAGTTTGCACCTCAGATTCAATATGACCATTCTGGTCAGCCTGTTGTTGGTGACTTTTTAAAAATTCAATTTGTGGAACATAAAGTTGTTCCAACAATTTTGGTATGTTCTTTCTCGTGATCAAGTAGCTTGTGGCTAACAATTTAGGATTTCTTCTTCCGCTTCCCTTGGAACAACTTTCTACATAACGTAGTGTATGATGTCGTTCAACAAGTTTTTAATGGATCAATGGATCGAGGATACAACCGATGCCTTGCTATCGATCTTTTCAATGCTGGCCGCATTACAGAGAAAGTTGTTGAAGGTCAAAAGCGCAGTGACGAGGCTCAGACTACGAAAAATACAAGGCTCGGCTACATGGGCCATTTGACTCTGATTGCAGAGGAGGTTGTGAAATTTACCGAGCGTCATCCTGCTGAAATTCTCTCGCAGAGTGTCATGGATAAGGTTCTTCATCCCGATTGGGTTGAATACGTTGAGCGAACACTCTCGGAGACGCGCGAACGTGACAATGCTATTCTAGGAGGCACCCGACCTGACCTTATGGGCCACCGCCAGGCTGTAATGAACGCCGTACAGGGCTTTACTGGCTCAAACGCTCTCGCCAACGCCGGACTCAATGGAGGAAACGGCGGTTCTAGTTTCGAAAATTTCGACTCCATGACGCATGGCAGCGCATCCAGCGGCGCGTTCGGTCTAGGAGGTAGCAACTCCCTTCTCAGCGGCTTTGGAAGCTCCAGCGATGATGAAGACGAGGAGATGGAAGATCAAGACGACGACGACACCAGAGGATTTTCAGACAACCTCGCAGAAAGCGGAATAGAAAATGTGGGTACTTCTTTTTTTGCAGACATTGAGATGCAGCAGCTATGAGAGATAGTTTTTTCTGGCATCGGAAAGACAGTAGCCAGGCTCGGTGCGGCTGGACATGGAAGTGCTACAGTGTAAGAAGCGTTGATAGAGGTTTTGCGGGTTTCAATGCCTGTCTCAAAGGTGTGCGAAATCCGCCCACTGTTCTCTCTGCATCTCTTGTTTCATTGTTGCTTCCGCGTTCTGCTGCATTGGCCGGCGCTTGTCGCTGTAAATAGTGATATCATCGATCTTTATACCCATTTACCCCCGCATTGGCCTTCGGGTCATTATTAATGATTCTCTTGGTCACATTTTATATTTTAGCTGGTTGGGCACAAATGTCTGAACGTTGCTGACATATTCACTTGCAGGAACCCGCATCATCATCAACTAGCCAGCCTATCCCCATCCTGGCTCCCCCACCTGCCCCTCTGAATATCGTCCCATCACGGGCACGTCGCCAGCTGGCTGCACGACTAGCCCTTCACAAACAACAAGCCAATGCCGCTGCCGAGAACTCAAGCGACCAGTCTAATGCTGAGGAATCGCATCACAATGGACAATGGCAGTCGAATCCGTTTATCATTGCCGATCTCGAAGATGACACCCGTGAGCTAGGGTCTGCTGAGTTTTCAGCCATGGATGAGAATGACCAACCATCTTCGCCGACATTCCACACTGGCTTTACACCCCCTGGCTCGCCGTCCACCAATTCTTCAGATGACACTAGCGGCGATCCCAGGGAAACAGTAAGACGCAAAGTCCGAATACCTTTGGAAGTAGAAGATGACGATGACGATGAAATGGGAGAAATGGTCGGTCCCGGCTCCGGCTCCGGCTCCGGCATGATGGACTCTGACGAGGAGGAAGAAGCCATCATCAACGAATCACTCGGCTATTCGAACTTGTTCGGGGCCGGTAGATACGGCGGTTTCAATCGCGCATACGGCCGCAACGGACAATCTTCATTCGACGACGATGACGACGATAACGACAGTAGCGATGGAGAGGATGGACTTGTCGAGATCTTGGTCCCTGGCCGCAAATCATTTTCTTCTAATTAGTTTCTGTTGATTCGAATTGTACATCATCCTTCCGGGTTGCGATTGCATTCGAGGAGTGGGGATTTAGTTTGTTGTTTGTTATTTGTTCTTTGTTATCGGATGGGTAAGCAAGCTTATGAGGTGAAGAGCTGACGTCTGAAATATGGCGAGATATACCACTGTACACTAGTTGCATGCAATTTGATTGTTTTCTTTTAAAACCTGTCAACTGTAGACATCGTGGATATATATATAACGTAGACATATATCTAATGTGTAGCGTAGTGTCCCGCCATCAATGATTAACGTCAGGTTCCCGAGAAAAAGTGGAACAAGTCAATCATTCAAACTTTTACAACTAAAACCCCAAACTCAATCTGTATGAACATTGAACCAAAAATAAAGCATCTCAAGTGCTGCGACTCTATATGTCGATGAACCCCACAGCATTAGGTACCTGACTTATGATCAAAATGATGGAAGCGTGGACCCATAAGTTCGTCTTCATCCCTCTCAAAATGCCTACATACTCGTCCAACTCACGGATTCCAACAGAACCCCCAACGAAACCCTCAATGCTCACATTGAGCTGGAGGCATGGGTAACCCAACACGGCGGCCGACTCGATGACACTGTCCAGTTCGCGCATGATGCGCAGCGCGGTGTACATCTGCAAGTCAAGCCATCCACCACCGGCACAACAGCAGTAGCAGCAGCTACAAAAGGGACATGCGTCATGAAAATTCCCATAGAACTAACAATGTCTTACTTTAACGCAATAAATTACCAACCCCTTTCCTCAAGCACCACTCCTCAAAAAGAACAGAGCGCAAAAACATTCTCATCCCACGGCCTCCACCTCCCCCAAAAACTGATAGAAGCAATCGGCCCCGAAGAAACGACCGCTTTCTTTCTAATGGGGCAATATCTCCTTCAAGAAAAAGGGTTTTGGTTTCCGTATATCAAGTCTTTGCCAAGAAAGGAGGATTTGACGACGCCGTTGTTTTTTGGGGAGGAAGAGGATCTGGAGTGGTTGGGGACGACGAGTCTGGCGGCTGAGAGGGAGAGGAGGTTGAGGATTTGGAGGGGGAATTATGAGCATGGGGTTCGGGTTATGAAGGATATTGGGTTTGAGGGGGTGGAGTTATATACTTGGTTAGTATATATTTCATACCTCTTTGGCAAATTGTGTGTTGCTGATTTGGGAATAGGGATTTGTATCTATGGGCGTCAACGATAATAACCTCGCGCGCCTTCACGGCCAAGGTCCTTGCAAGCGTGATCCCAACACTTCAACAGGAGGCTGAAGCAGATCGAGTGTCTGTTCTGTTGCCCTTGATTGACGCTACGAACCACAGGCCACTGGCCAAAGTTGAATGGAGGGCTGGGACTGATAGTATTGGTCTTGTAGTCATGAGCGATGTCGGTGCTGGGGAGGAGGTGGGAAATAATTATGGGCCGCGGAACAATGAGCAATGTAAGTGTCTATCGTATACCACGGCAGTTTTGTCAAATTCCGTCTCTTTCTCTAACGTGGATGGCAGTGATGATGAATTACGGCTTTTGCATACCAGACAATCCATGCGAATACCGCGTCGTAAGTCTCAGAGCACCGCCAGACAGTCCCCTGGCTCAAATCAAGGCCCAATATGAGCAACATTTCCCCAAGTCCGGCAGCAACAACAGCAAAGATTCAGAAGAAGATAAATACTACGTTTTCTCCCTACCCTACCCACTCATCGACCGATCTCAACCACTGGAATATTCAATGTTCTCCCCAGATTTGTTGCATGCATTATCAGTCATCGTCGCCAACGACCGCGAATTAGAGACCGTAACCATCGACGAGGATGGCTTCAAAATTTCGCGCAATCAGTACGCGCATTCGAGGAATTTGATTGCGTCGCTCAATCAGATTGTCGTTGAGTTGTTGTCTTATATTCGGAGACTTGAAGTGTCGGGGAGGAGATTGGGGGAGCCTAGGAATTTGAAGCAGGTTTTTGCAAAACAGTTCCGGGAGAGTCACGTCGGTCTTTCGAGGACGGCTGTTTTTGTTGCTAATTGGACGCTAATGAGGTCGAGAGGGGCTATGGAGAGGGGAAGAGAAGAGGTTCTTGACGAGTTGTTATCTCGCATTCCCTCGCAGGTGTTTGATGATGAGAAGAAGGGAAAGATCAAGGAAAGGATTCTGAGTAGAAATAGTTTACTTTCGGATAATCAGTCCGGAGAACTTTTTCGATTCGAGGATTTATTCCAGCTTCTACCCTCAGCTTTTCAGACTATTTTCCGGCAGTGTCTCGAGGATCTGGCTACGAGAACCAAGCAAGCAATTGCCATTGACGATGGCACGGGATCTGTATCTGGGACAGAAAGTGGTCCACACGCATTATTCGCCTATGCAAGCTTCATCAATCTCGTCATTGCAGTCCACAGACATAACCCATCACACCTCCCCTCTCGTCTGCGAACATGGTCCCAGTTTTTGCTGAACACATATCCCGCTCCACCAAACGACGTAGCATGGACACTCCCCGATGAAACCGACGAGACTATCCTCTCTGCATTTGACTCATTCATTAACGATCATCTCCCAGGTGAAGTTTTAGCAGCTTTCACGCCCTGGGTAGGCACGCCGGTCCCGGACCAGGGCGAAAGGGATGTTAGTGACTGGTGGCTTTCGCCGAATTGGTTGCGCTGGGCGTGGTTAGTTCTTGAGCAGGAGATGGTTATGAATGTTGTTGATGATCCATTAGGGGAGATGTCTAACGGGAGGGGGATGAAGATGAGGAATTTTTTGTATATTCCTGCTCTATAGCACTAGTGATATGAATAGAGGAAAGCTTTCAAGTCTCTCGTTATGTACTGAATTGTAGATGGTCAAATTACAAAGTTGATAATAAGATGAATAAGCTGGAAAGTCACGTGCATTCACAACCAATCAGCGTCGAGGTAAAATAAACGCGAGCATCCCGGGACCAGCGATCTCACAGGCTCACACCTTCTCTCCGCCCGCTCAGCGATTCCTTCCATTAACCTGCTCCCCGCGCCATTGAGCGTCCAGATCAAAATGATGTCTCGAGCAGCGGTCCCTTCGACCTCTACACTCGCCCACATCTCCCACCGGGCCGCCGCCCTACCCTCGTCTGCCGCTGCCCGCTTGTCGACAGCAACCCGATCTTTCGCCACCGTTCAAGATGGAGCTGCCCCGAAGAAGACATACGGCGGATTGAAGGACCAGGACCGTATTTTCACGAATCTGTACGGTCACCATGGTACTGACCTCAAATCGGCGATGAAGTATGGCGATTGGCACAAGACCAAGGAGATGATTCTCAAGGGTCATGATTGGGTATGTCAGGATAAGAATACGGTCAATTGCAAGGATTGATGGTTGACTTGATGTGAAAACAGCTTATCTCTGAAATTAAGGCTTCTGGTCTTCGTGGTCGTGGTGGTGCCGGATTTCCTTCGGGACTTAAATATGTGAGTGTTCACTGAGCAACTTGCTTACCAATGAAGCTAACACATACAGTCATTCATGAACTTCAAAGATTGGGACAAAGACTCCCGACCACGATACCTCGTCGTCAACGCTGACGAGGGCGAACCCGGAACCTGCAAAGATCGTGAAATTATGCGCAAAGACCCCCAGAAACTTATAGAGGGATGCTTGGTTGTCGGTCGTGCCATGAACGCTACGGCCGCCTACATCTATATCCGTGGTGAATTCTACCATGAAGCTACCACTCTTCAGCGCGCGATTCAAGAAGCATACCAGGCCGGTTTGATTGGCAAGAACGCTTGTGGATCTGGCTACGACTTTGATGTCTACCTCCACCGTGGAGCCGGTGCCTACGTCTGCGGTGAGGAAACCTCGCTCATTGAGTCTCTTGAAGGCAAGGCTGGTAAGCCTCGTCTCAAGCCACCTTTCCCTGCTGCTGTGGGTCTTTTCGGCTGCCCCAGTACTGTCACCAACGTCGAGACCGTCGCTGTTGTTCCTACTATTGTGCGTCGCGGTGGCAGCTGGTTTGCTGGTTTCGGTCGTGAGCGCAACCAGGGTACCAAGCTTTTCTGTATTTCGGGCCACGTCAATAACCCTTGCACCGTTGAGGAAGAGATGTCCATCCCTCTCCGTGAATTGATTGATCGTCACTGTGGTGGTGTCCGTGGTGGCTGGGACAACCTCTTGGCTGTAATCCCCGGTGGTTCATCCACACCTATCTTGCCCAAGAACATCTGCGACKACCAATTGATGGACTTTGACGCCCTCAAGGACTCCCAGAGTGGTCTCGGAACCGCCGCCGTCATTGTCATGGACAAGTCTACGGATGTCGTCCGCGCCATCTCCCGTCTGTCTCACTTTTACCGTCATGAATCTTGCGGACAATGCACACCCTGCCGTGAAGGTAGCAAATGGACACAACAAATCATGCACCGAATGGAACACGGTCAAGCCCGCGAGCGTGAAATCGACATGCTCCAGGAATTGACCAAGCAGGTCGAGGGCCATACTATCTGCGCTTTGGGTGAGGCCTTTGCCTGGCCTATCCAGGGTTTGATCCGCCACTTCCGTCCCGAGCTCGAGGCTCGCATCAAGAAGTATGAGCAGGAAAATGGCAAGCAGCCTTTCGCTGGCGGTTGGGCTCCAGGCACCAGGGATGAGGGCAAGCTTATCGCGCCGGGTCAATAAATAATCTCCTCTTCTGATTTACCTCGCGTGTTCGTTTAGATTGGTTTTTAAAAGCAAGGCCAACAAGTGTAGAAGGATCGATGTGTTATTTTACTGTACAGTCTTAGTCTAGCAATTGATTTTCTTTGTCACAATATACTGTAGACTCTTAACGACCTAGCGTCTACCGCGAATAATAAATCACACAACCATCCAACTATCACTTAAATCAGTTCTTTCCCTGTACCGCATGAACCGGCGAGACTTAACACTGCTCGGGCCGGGCCTTTCAAAGAGCTAAAGCTGCCCGGGATCGCCCCGGAACCGGCCATCGCCACTTAATGCGCTCCAAAAACCCTATACACGTGAGCGGAACCGGTATTGTTGTATTAGACCACTAATTCGCACTTAACCACTCAATTAGCTGCATAATATTTTATCCATTAAGCATGGCTCGAGTATATAAGACTTGCCTGGACCTTCATTCCCTTGATCTTTCAGTCGAGCAAGGTAGTTGGGCATAATCCTGGTGGGGTTTGATAATTCAACGTGATATCTACGTTCAGGGATTTGAGGTTCTATTGTTTGATTACGACTAAATAGAAGATCAGGTATGTATACACCATACTTATAGAGAACTTGAGCTGATATAGTCATAGCCAACTCATCGCATCCAAAATGACAACAATACCCGAAAAGGAAACCGCGATGATGCGCGATGATCCAAGCAGACACTCAATATCAAATGACACAGAATCCAGCCACGAAAACAGTCACAACACAGACCAAGCGACACACCCCGAAGAGATCGAAAAAGACGAAAAAGAAATCGAAAAAGAAGCCGCAACACCAAAAGACGAGCTCACCAAAACGAGCACAACCCTCAGCCAAAAACCATACACATCATTTAGCACAGGCCAGAAATGGTTCATCGTCGGCATGGCTACAGCAGCATCCTTCTTCTCGCCTCTCTCGGGACAAATTTATTTCCCTGTGCTACCAGTCCTAACGCAATCGTACCATCTGAGTCAGACTCTGCTGAATATATCAGTGACGACGTATTTGATCTTCCAGGGCCTGGCGCCAAGTTTCATGGGCACATTCTCAGACGCCAGCGGACGACGACCAGCGTACATTCTCGCATTCATAATCTACACAGCGGCGAACATCGGCCTTGCGCTACAGAATAGTTATGCCGCGCTGCTTGTGTTGAGGTGTTTGCAAAGTGCAGGGAGTAGTGGTACCGTCTCCTTTGGCTACGGCGTTATAGCGGATGTGACCACGACAGCGGAACGGGGAAAGTTTTTAGGTCCTATGGCTGCGGGTGTGATGGTTGGGCCTGCGCTGGGCCCCGTGATAGGTGGTTTATTGGCGCAGTATCTGGGCTGGAGGTCTGTGTTTTGGTTTCTGGTGATTATCAGTGGTGGGTATGTCGTCGTATACGCCATCCTGGCGCCCGAGACGCATAGGAAGATCGTGGGTGATGGAAGTATTCTGCCGGCTGAATCATGGCGTTTGTCGTTCTTGCAATACGTCCGTATCCGCCGCAGGATAGCACGCATGTCCCCCGAAGAGAAAAAGGAATACGACGAGCAACAAGCCGAACTTAGGGAGTCACAGAAATCGCGAAAGATTGGATTTCCGAACCCGTTGTTGTCGTTTGTGATCCTGCTGGAGATGGATGCGTTTTTGATTATTCTTTACGTTGCATTGATGATGTTTGGGGCGATGGTGATGATGACTTCGTTGCCGACTTTGTATCCCGAGTATTATGGGTTGGATGAGTTGCAGGTTGGATTGTGCTTTTTGTACGCCCCTTCCCCTCTACTACTCTTAGATCTTGAATTGATTGACTAACGACAACAGACCATTTGGAGTTTCCTCCGCCATCGGCGCAGTCATCAATGGAAAACTGCTCGACATCAACTACAAACGCATCGCACGCAAACTTAACTTCAGCATCGACCGCAAACGCGGCGACGACCTCACAAACTTCCCTATTGAAAAGGCCCGTCTGCAACTCACTTTTCTCTGGAGTATTGTACTCGCCCTTGCATTTCTGGGTTATGGCTGGGCACTCAACTACAAGGCACCCCTAGCCGTACCACTAGTCATTTCGTTCCTCATGGGGTTTACGTTGATTTGTACGATGAATAGTCTAACTACTTTGCTCGCGGATATATTTCCTGATAGAGTGAGTACGGCGTCTGCGGCGCAGAATTTGCTGCGATGTTTGCTGGGTGCCGTGGGTGCGGCGGTTGTGGATTCCATGTTGAGTGGGATGGGGGTTGGGTGGTGTTATACGTTTGTGTTTTTTATTATGATTGCTGCTGTTGGGTTGTTGTGGTTTGAGTATGTTTGGGGCATGGGATGGCGGCAGAAAAGGTGGAGGAAAGTGGCTGACAAGGCTGAGAGGGAGAGGCAGAATGGTGTTGTTTAGCGGAATGTCTCCGGTTATAATACGTACAAATAATTTGACAGCAATGTAATTAGATAAAAGTTTTCTATGGTACACTTTTTATTCGACATCAACGCTAATCGACTGATCGATCCAAAATTCAACACAAAGCAAGAAAGTAAAGGCTAATGAGCAGTAGCCATGACCATGCTGTAGTAACGACGACCTATCTCAGCGGTATGTGCTACTCTCGCTTCCCCGGTCAATGGCAACCGAAGAATAGCAGACAGATCCACACCCTATCATCAGTTAGCAAGCATTCAGCACGATCAAGATTTAACCACAACCAATAGGGAAACTTACATCCTCCTCTCGCGCMCTCCATCCCGCCACAACACGACTCATCTCCATAAACGCAACTCGCTCCTCCAACCCCTCCAGGCCAGAGGTCTGTTTAGTCTTCTCACCCATATGACCCAACGATGCGATCAGACGTTTCAGCACATTCGCATCTCGCGATCCCTGCGCCGTAACGAGCCGCAGGTAGTCCTCATACACCGCTCCTCCACTGCTCCAACCACGCACTTTTCGATCTGGCGACTCACCAAATCCTTTAATCAGCGCACGTAAGAGACCCCAATCGCCTTCTATGATGGTTCGCGGTCCCACGACACGACAGAACGTTGAGTGTGCCTCGTTCCAGTTCTTGGCGCGAATGAGATAGCCAACTTCATTGGCAAAGTCGCCACTGTACCTAGCGTATAAGGCCTTGGCGACCCAGATCCATGATTCAGGTAATTGCAAAGCTTGAACGAGGTAGTTCCAGACATTATCAGGCTTGCCATCTGACAGTGGAGATGGCAACGAAGCGGCAAATTGGCCAAGGGTCTCTTTGATGGCACGCTCTCTGGCAGTAGCGCGCGACAAGTGAAGCAAGACGAACAGAGCTGGTTCCACGGCATTAGAAGCTGCCAATTCCGATGCATAGCTCCAAGTCAGTTGATCCGTGCGAGCTTTGTCAATCGTGACACTATCATTCTGACCGACTATGGTGGCAAGTGCTTGGTGGAGTTGGAATGACAAACGGCTTGACAACCGACTGCCAGACACAGCCTCTGGGGATATCGCGTCAGGAAGATTGACTTTCAAGTCAGAAGCAACATTTGTCGACATCGTAGCAGCATAAACTTTCAATACAACCCAAAGAGGGGACTCCAAGAAAGAAGAGTTGACACCTTGACGCAAACCAGCAAGTTCTCGTTCTAAGTGCGCCGGAAAAGGGTATGCGGGTTCGTCACCTGCGGTGATATCATCCAAGAAACGTGCAACAGCAACCTCAAGAGGTTCGTCTTCTGTGATGCTGTACCATAGTCGCAAACCAAAGGCTTGGATCCAGTCAAGTTCAAATCGCTCTGATAACGTAAAAGTAGACGCGCGGTCTTCAGTGGCTCCCGAAGAACGACCAACTGACCTGAGAGCGTTGCCTGCAAGTAATTCGTACAGCGCACGGATTGGCTCGTTGAACTCGGAGTAGACATTGTGTTGACGCCATGATTCAACTTGCTTCTGCATGTTGCTTCGAATAATATGATCTCGACCTATCTGGGCAAGCATGGTCGCTAGATGAAGGTTTCCGCTATCTACCAGAGTCTTACATGCATCCTCAACACGATGTTGCGTGAGATAGGCAATAGCCACTTCTTCCGGAAGAACAAGTTTCCCCAAATCTTCACCGTGCTTTTCTCGAACGATGTTTTCCCAAAGTCGGCTGAGACGGTCCTTCTTTATACGGTGCAGGAAATTGTTGCGAAGCTGTGGTGGCACGCCAGCCGAGATGTCATCCTCAATCTCATCATTGAAGAGGATATTGACCAGTTGCCAGACATACCGCTCAGGGCCCGTAGAAGATTGTACGAATGACCGGAAATCAAAACTGTTCAAACGAGCAAATGGTGCGCTATCAATAAGACGGATTGAAGATTGGCGCCGCTGAGCTTCTAGAACATCGATTGACTAATTATCTGTTAGTTGAGAATTGCACAAATTGTTATGACTGGACAAACCTCTGCTGCCTCAGCAAACCTGAGCACATCAATCTCGCCAAAAGAAATACCACTCGACCATGGCTGATTTGAGCCCTGAACGTTACTGTAACCATCATTCACCTTCACCATGGTATCCTTACTTGCCCAGCGAGGTTTGCGTGTACGATGAAAAGCGACTTCGTCAGCAGACAGTTCAAAAGAACTGCTTGCAAAAGTTTTCGGCGTTTTCGTATGAGACAACTGTGGACAACATTTAGCTTCTTTCAATCACAATTTCCATTCTGAGGTACAATAACTAGCTACGGGTGAATTCAAGCACAAGGCTCAGAATTCTTAAATACATTGTGCTGGAACGACAGGAGTAGATGGGGGGCAAACCTCAAAAGCCTTCAATTGTCCTTTCTGCTTCTTGCCTGGTGATCCTGCGTGAACACCCTTGTGCGCAAAGAGCGAGTGCATCAAATCGATGCTCGAGGTGATAGTCTTTGTCTTTGCAGTAGGAACCCCGCGCGATTCGGGTCTTTTGTCTGGTGAGTTTCTGTCAACAAAAGCGTCGGCCTGCTTCTCTCGCAACAAGTCACGGTTCTGTTTTCGTGGACTAATCGTTCGTTGTAGCTGGTCGGCCCAATCGCCACTAAGGTCAAGGCTTGGCTTTGAGGGAGTACCCCAATGCGTGGTGCGATGTGCAGTCAAATCTTCAGACTCCGCGTCGTCAGGAGGTATCGGAAAAGAACCCGCCATCTCCATATCCCCATCATCAATAGATACATCAGAATTAATACTCTCAGTAACGTCGTCAACGTCTTGCAAGGAAATCGAGCCGGTCATGTCGTCATTTTCTACTGTAGATCCATCATCATCTTCTTCCCCCAAACTCATCTCATCACCCTCAATTTGTCCTTCCTGGGTTCCGAAAGCTCCAGGTACCAATTTACGCTTCTTAAAATCAAATGTGTCGTCAGCAATGGAATCGTCGAACGAAATCGTCGTATCGAATTCGGAGTTAACAGTGGTCTCGGCAGCTCGGTCTCCTGCGTCTCGCCGTACCTTCGGAGTCGGTGTGTCAGGGCCCGCACTTAATGTGCTTTGGTTGAGGCTCTCACCTTCATCGTCTTCATAATCAAGACCATATGTAGTAAAATGAGCAACGCGGAAGACCCAGACACCGGTGTCTTTCTCATAGGTTACAAACTCGGTGTTAGTCACCTTGCTGAGGCGGTCCACATGCTTATCGAAAAGAGGGCCGCTGATGATGCTCGACGAGGTCTTGCGATCCCTTCCACGAGGCCAAGAGTTCTCGATTCGTAGAGTTGAGGGAACATTCAGTCCTTTGCCACGGGGAGGCTTCGTCGCTTCGTCTGGATAGACAGTGATGGAACGAACAGTGATCTGCACAATACCGCCGAGGACGTTGTCTAGATCAATAGTAGTGAGATCAACCGGGCGATCAAATGTAACTTGACCGCATTTTTGTCGACCGACGGTATATCCTTCAACCTGCTTGAGCTGATCTCGCGACATCTTGCTTAATTCGGCGCGAGATGGTTTCATCCAGTATTCGCCAGGCTGGGGATCGACGGTAACACCTTTCGGGGTACCATTTGTTGTAGGCAGACCGGTTTCTGGTACAACAGCTAGTTCGCTACCCCGGGCTTGTTCCATTTCCGGTTTCTTAGGCTTGCCAGGAGCGGTTCCATTCGTGCCGTTGACTTGCTCACCCTTGCGTATAGAGCGCAAGAACCCAAGTTCTTCAGCGGTAGGTTCAGCGCTTTCGGTTTCAGCGCGAACCAAGGCTCCATTAGTCGTCGCCTCAAAACTAACACGTTTCTTGAGCTTGTCGGGGGATTGTGCTGCATCCTCGCCGTTGGTGATTGGCGCGGGAGATGCGGAAGGACGTTGGAAGAGGTCGTTTCTCAAGCTTCGATCAATAGTCAATCTCTTCAAGCTGCCACTGGAGTAACGAGATGCGGAGCCTGTAAGAGCTCCCGGTGCCAAGACACTATCGCTGTCCGGATCGAATGACTTGCGAAGGTTGCTGGTGGAGAAGCTCTTTCCGAAGCTACGTCCGAAACTGCCGTTGACATTACCTCCGCGAAGACTGCTGCTACCAAGCAAACTTCCGCTGAAACTAGAAACGCTTGAAGCACTGGCCGGGCTGCCATATGTGGAGTAAGAGAAGCCGTATCCTTGGCGTCGGGGAGGGGTGATGAGACGGTTGGCAGCGTTTGGCGTGAGTTTGTAGATTGGAAGAGGTGTACGTTGCTTCTGTCTCATGCTAGCTGATAGAGGGGTGGCGAGAGGACCTGGGCTGGGAGCGTTTTGGCCCGGCAATCCCGAGAAAATGGATTGGCCGCCGTACGGATTGCCATCAAGAAGCGAAGCCTGGAAACTTCCGGGTGCTGGAGCCTGTGCCTGTTGTTGAACCGGTTGTTGCTGGTTCTGTTGAGACGTAGAAAACATGCTTGTGCCAAACCCAGTTGTTGGTTGTTGCTGTGTCTGGCCTCCAAAGAGAGATCCGGTGGGCTGAGTGGTTGTACCTCCACCAAACATCGAATTTCCACCAGCGTTCCCGAATAGACTCGGCTTCTGCTGTGGCTGAGTCTGGGTGTTGCCAAACAAGCTGGTTGTTCCTGTTTGAGCGGGCTGATTGCCACCCAAGCCGCCAAAAGCAGAAGTGCCAGTAGCTGCCGTATTCGTACCAAGACCACCAAATAGACCAGGCTTTTGCTCTTGTTGTTGCTGAGCCCCACCAAACAGTCCAGTGCCACCGGTCTGTTGAGTTTGACCTCCTCCAAAGAGCGATGTTGTACCTTGCGGCTGTTGTTGTTGCTGATTTCCGAAGAGAGACGTGCCTGTAGTGCCACCGCTGCCAAACAGGCCTGTTCCACCTTGCTGCTGTTGAGTGTTTCCGAACAGGCCTGGCTTGGCCTGCGTCTGGGCCTGTTGACCAAAGCCGCCGCCAAAAGCAGAAGTAGTTGTTCCGGGTTGTTGGGCATTTCCAAAACCCGTGGTGGTTGTAGTACCTCCAAAAGGAGTAGTTGTGGAAGTTGTGTTTGTGTTTGCTCCGAAGCCACTAGGAGTACTTCCGAATCCAGTAGTTGTAGTTTGAGTATTACCGAACAAACCAGGCTTCTGTTGCTGTTGCTGATTTCCAAACAATCCTGAGCCTCCTCCAAAACCTGTGCCCGTCGTGTTGGTGGTATTGGCGCCAAACCCACCAGTGGTAGCTGTATTTGCTCCAAAGAGACTTGGCTGAGTAGTAGCGGTGTTGCTGGTTCCGAACAAAGAAGCGGCTGGTTTGTTTGCTCCAAAGAGTGAGTTAGTCTGGGTTGTACTAGCGCCAAACCCACCAGTGGTCTGTGTTTGAGCACCAAATGCCGGGGCACTGGTAGCAGCTGCACCGAAACCACCACCAGTAGTTCCGAAACCTCCGGTAGCAGCTGGTTGCCCGAAGCCCGAGCCGCCGAATGCTGGAGCACCAAAAGCACCTGCTTGACCGCTTGCATTTGCAAAACGACGGCCAGCCTGGTAATCTGCTAGGCGAAGTTCTTCAAAAGAATGTCGCGCGTAGGGTTGCATATACGATATGCTCTGGTAGACATTATTTGTGGTCGAGTTTGGATCCTTCTCAGTCACTGGATTGAACGGAGTGCCTGCTGTTCCATCTGTGGCTGGTGCCTGGCCGTTGAAGGCAGTGCCAGCGCCAGCTCCACCTCCAAAAGCAGGGGTTGCTGTCTGACCAAAGCCACCCCCGGTGCCGCCAAAGCCTGTGCTAGTAGTGGTAGTAGTAGTGCCAAAACCAGTAGCTGGTTTCGCTCCGAAAGGATTGGTGTTTGCGGCGGTGCTGTTGCCGAAGGCCCCAGTGGTACCTGTACCCGAGGATCCAAAGCCTCCCGACCCAAATCCGCTCGATGTGGTGGCGGTATTGTTGCCAAAGAGACCTCCTCCAGTCGTGGCTGTGGAGCCAAAGCCACTCGGTTTGTTGCCACCGAAAAGGGAGTTTGTTTGTGTTTGGTTACTACCGAAACCTGTAATGATAACTGTTAGTGAACAGTCCGAAATATGGTTGATTACAATAAAGCATTTTAATAGGGCATGAAGATTGACATGGACAAGCTTCAAGGTAACTCAATGATCAACGACAATCCTGAAAGGCCATGGCTCGAGTCCGAGTCGTTGTAGCAAAAAGCGAAAAGGTTGCCTTCCAAGCTCGACAGATGATGACTGGTAACTAGAAAAGCCTCCATGACGATTTATGTATTTGCATTGCGTTGCATACCTCCGCTGGAGCCGAAGCCTCCCGTTGTGTTACTCCCAAATGCACTTCCCCCAGTCCCGGTATTGGCAGCACCGAAGGGAGTTGTGTTACTTCCGAATCCTATATGTGATAGGTACCGTTGTCAGAGAACTGAACTGGAACTGGAACTGGAACTGGGACTAAGACGGGATACGTCGACTTCGCAGAAAAAATCGAAGCGGACACAGGACGTCGCGAAGTCGTGACACTTTGTTTTGACGTGACCCATCATTTTCGATGCAAGTGGAAACGTCGTCGCGAGCACCAGCGCCACAACATATGGAAGGCACAAATTTCGGGCCTCGAAGAGGCGTAATGATGCGAGAAACCCAAAGACGCAAGAAGGGGATATAACGTAAAACTAAGAACAAATTTCTGAAAACCTACCTCCTGCAGTTCCTGATCCTCCAAATCCTGAGCTGCCAAAGCCAGAGCCTTGCTGCTGATTGTTCTGCCCGAAGGCGTTTGACGAACCAAACCCACCGAACGACATGTTGTTTTGTCCGAATGTGTTGTCCTCAATACATTCGGTTTTGTTTTGATGAAGTAAAACTAGGTCTGAAGGTCGCCACGAGGCGCGAACTTTGACTAAATGAACACAGCCAAGTTTTGGGATAAGGTGTATCGAGTCTTGTTTTCGAATCGAAGAAAATGCGATCGAGTATTGAAAGTCAAGTCGCGACGCGCTTTTTTTTTCTCTAGCTCAGATAGCCGCAATTTCAAACGAAATGGTCGCGTTGCAGAATAAACAAAGAGAAATAAGAGAAAAGGAAAAGGAAAATAACAAGACAATCACGGGCTATTATTATATTAAGCCGTGAGACGAGAAAGAAGAGAGAGATGGAAGGTCGCAGCAAGAGGTGGGAGGAGAGACAGGTAGAGGAGTGAAGAAGAGGAAGCGAGGTTGGCTGGAGGTTGTTAAAAGAAGGTTGGCGGCGGAAGTTCCTTAGGCTGCCAAAGGACAGCGCAGCCTGCGTACTTGGTAAGTTAGCTGTGCTCCTGCAGAAGGGAGCAGCGCTGTCCGGCTGGCCAATAAGAGTACTCTATACTGTAATCATGTGACTGGCTGACTCATCAACATAGGAGTTCTCTCCTCCAGCCAACCAATCGGAGGTGAGAATGCTTGTCACAGCACAGTGACTGCAAGATGATTATAAATAGGGAGTATGGCTCTATTTGCTCTATTGATGTTGGTCATGTGAGCAATTCATTGCTGTCTGTGTAATCTAATGGCTGGGCAGTGACTGCCTACAGTAGGCAAAAGCCTGATGGTTATTCATGACATGATGTAAATGACACAACTAGTTGTGCCCTACCTCTCACTCACTTAACCCCCATCAGCTCACTCTACGACTCCGTAAAATTCTCAGAATATAAAAAGGTATCATTTTCGCATATCAACATCAGGAAAGGAAAAGAACAGAAAGAGCCACTTCTCAATGAAAGAAACAGGGGAATACAGAAGCCCAGATCCACCTCCTTCTTTCAACGCACAGATCCAAGATCATACAAGAAAAAAGTCTTCCAGAATGAAAACACATGCTCTTTAGTAGTAAGCTTGTTGATGGCTCCCCTCCAAGCCTTTTTCTGCTTTTCTTTTCTATTTGCATCTTATTTTCATTGGCAGTCGCTTGTGTTTATTTGCGCAGAGCTTTGACTGCTTCGGTGATCTTGTCAACGACGCTAGGATCCGAGAGCTGTAGTTGACAAAAAATGGAGATTAGAATTTGAATCATCACATGAATGGAAAGGGCATACCGTAGATGTATCACCAAGGCTATCCTCCTCGCCACTGAGAATCTTGCGGAGAATACGGCGCATGATCTTGCCACTACGAGTTTTAGGGAGGTCCTCGACGGGAATAATCTGCTTGGGAGCGGCGAAAGGTCCAATTGACTTTCGGACTTGCATGATGAGGTCTTTGCGTACTTGCTCGGTAGATTCGTTGCCGCTCTTGAGCGAGACAAAGGCATTGACAGCCTGTCCGGTGAGCTCATCTGCAACACCAACGACGGCGGCTTCAGCGACCATTGCTGTAATATGATCAGTACAGCTTCATGCTCTAGTGGTATATGAGAACCTACGATGCTCGAGAAGAGCAGCTTCAATCTCGGCTGTGGAAAGTCTGTGACCGGAAACATTGACCACATCGTCAACACGTCCACGGATCCAGTAGTATCCTTCGTGATCACGGCCAGCTCCATCACCAGTGAACTGCGGAAATCCATCAGTATGAGACTTTGTGATTTGTTCAAAGATCACTCACATAATAGCCCTTGTACACATTCAGATATGTGTCCATGTATCGCTTGTGAGCACCCCAGACGGTACGAGCCATGCTGGGCCATGGTTGCTTGATGGCCAAAACACCCTCGACGTCGTTTCCGGTGATTTCGGCGCCGGAGACGGGGTCAATGATAGCGGGCTCGATACCAAAGAATGGAAGAGAAGCACTGCCAGGCTTGGTAGGAGTAACACCACCCAATGGAGTGATGATATTTGATCCGGTTTCCGTCTGCCAGTAAGTCTGTTTGTAGGGGCAAATGTTAGTAACTAGTGATAATTCGAGTTATGTCGGAACAGCTTACGTCGACAATGTGAGCCTCCTCCTTGCCGACACTCTCAAAATACCATTTCCACACTTCAGCAGCGATAGGCTCGCCAACTGATCCAAGGACACGAAGGTGCTCCATCTTGTGGTGAATGTGCTCATCACCCGCACGCTTGAGCAGACGAAGTGCAGTAGGAGCGACATAGAATTGAGTGACCTTGTGCTTCTCAATGACGTCCCAGTAACGCGAGAAGTTAGGGTAGGCAGGAGTACTCTCGAAGACAACAGTTGCCACACCCAGAAGCAAAGGAGCGTAGACCACATAAGTGTGACCAGTGATCCAACCCACATCACCACCGCAGAAGTAGCGATCATCGTCGTGAATATCAAAGACGTATTTGCCAGTCATTGCAGCTCCGAGCAAGTAACCGGCAGTTGTGTGCATGACACCCTTGGGCTTACCGGTAGAACCGGATGTGTACAGAAGGAAAAGAGGGTCCTCAGAGTCCACGATTTCAGGAGCGATGTAGTTGGGGTATTTCTCGACCTCGTCGTGCCACCACAAGTCGCGGCCCTTGGTCCAAGGAACATCAGCACCGGTGCGCTTAAAGACAAGGACATTTTTGACGTCGGGGCACTGCTTCAAAGCCTCGTCGACGATCTTCTTTGTGCCAATAATCTTTCCGCCACGTTTGCCCTCGTCGGCGGTAATGACGAACTTGGAATTGGCATCGAGAACACGGTCACGCAATGAGTCGGAAGAGAAACCAGCGAAAMCCACAGAGTGAACAGCACCAATACGGGCGCAAGCCAGGAAAGCAACAAGCGCCTCGGGAATCATAGGTAGGTAAATGGCAATGGTGTCACCTTTGCGGACACCTTGCGACTTGAGCACCCAGGCGACTCTGGACACCTCACGGAGCAATTCGCCATATGTGATGCTGCGGCCCTCGCTGGGCTCATCGGCCTCGTAGATGATGGCCACTTTGTCCGGGTTCTTGATCGCATGACGGTCGACACAGTTGAAAGAAGCGTTCAACTTGCCGCCCAAAAACCAGGAATTATCTCCGTGCTCGAAAGAGCCGACGTGTGTGGTGTGGAAGTCCTGTTCGAAAGTAAGGAGCTCACGTGCCATCCGAGCCCAGAAGACATCAGGCTGTCGAATTGATTCTTCATAGAGCTTCTTGTATTCTCCGAAACTGAGATGTGGTCTGGTGGGGTGCTTCTTATGGAATGCCGCGGGGACATGGAAAGTGTCAACTTCATGAGCCTCTGCGACCTATTGAGATTATTTGTTAGTCTCCAATGCGCTTTGTCTAGCTATAGTGACTGGACGCGAGGAACTTACCACCGAGGCCTTTGGAGGCAAGACATCTCCTTCAGACATGGTAAGTGCTGATGTCCCAAGAAATTCTTATTATATGCTGTCGCGAAGTAAAATCAGTGAGGCGTCCGGAGAAAAGGGAAACAAAAGTGCATGTTATGAAATTGTAGAAGTTGTGATTGAAAGGGTCCCCCGGCACCGGAAGTAACATTACATGTACCCACAGCGCAACTTTACCGACGTTAAGGGAAGGAGGGGTGCGGAACACCGAAAATGGAAACTTACTCTCTGCAAAAGTACAGCGTGTAATTTATGCAATCAGCCTTCGAAGCTCTGTATTGAAACGTGCGGTTTATGTCCCACTCCGACAAACAATTTCCAATACAAGTCTGTTTGTATGTGTTTACTGTCGCGGAGGAGGGGAAGAGATGGGAAGAGAGGAGAGAGTTGCGATGACAAGAAAAGGCAGAACCAAATCAAAGAAGCGACGAGAATGTGCGGCTGAGGGGGGATGAACCCTTCTTATATACAAGCTTGCTATGGAGACAGCATGGAAATAGTACGGGGTCCGTTTGAAGGCCCGGGGGCATGGAGCAAGACCAGACCTGGAGTCAACTCTGACTGGTGCCGAGAAAGACAGCGCCTGATTAACGGGAATATCCATGAACATTATTAACCGGGACGAGTCAATCAGAACTCTACGCAACTCAGATCCCATGTTAGCCTGAGTGGCCAGTTGACAAGGTACGCGGACGGGCTACGGAGAGATGGAGAAAATTAATGTAGCATAGAAATGGACTCGTCTTACAGTAGGTACTTTAGCGACGATTAGCTCATTAGATTCGTGCCACAGTAATAACAATGCGGGGCTGGGCACATGAATTAGAGCAGGTCTGCTCAACAACTCGACAGCTTCCGTTACCCCGGGTGCGCGTACAACAATCCCAGCTCGAACTATGTAACCGGGACACTGAGCTCGGGTATGATCTGATAAAATCCAGTTCCCTATCGTACATTCAATACAAGATTGTGTTCTCATATTGACTACCATAGGGATTGTTCCTTCCTGGAGACAAGCACGAGCACTCGTCGTCTCCCCGCGGGGTTCGTATTCTCCGAAGCTGAGCTGGTCAGTCCATATTGATTGCTCGACAAATAATCTGTCCTACATGAGGCCTGAGCGTTCTTTGAGCTAGAAAACCCTCCGCAACACAGTAAAGGCCCTTGTACCCCTACATAGACCATGCACGCCTTTATACCTAGGCATCCTAGGTAGCTTTGCGCAATGCTCTAGCGAGGGGTACTTCTTACTCGGCGTAATTGATACACAATTAATTGTATTCGTGACGGAATCGCGTGGGGTTAAAGGAGACCAAAGCCGGAAACCATGTCACGGCCGTACGGAGTCTCTTGCGAAGTCTCTCCTAACATTACCGCCTTTGACCGTCGGAGCTGGAACCGTCGATATCGGACTTGGGGGGTTATGGGCAGCTGGTTTCAGGATCAGTGCGACTTTTTGGGTTCATGTGAGATTGTACGGGATTTCCGACCGACTCCGTTTTCAGAGGAATGGGTGATACGGAATTGATACCATACGCGTAAGTCGATACATACGTACAGTAATTGAATGGATGATGTGGGGTAAGCAGCGATCATTTCATCATGTGATTAAATTGGAGGCACTGGATTTGAACGTGAATTGCAAATCGTTGTTTATTCAACTTAATAGAAAAAAAGCAAATAGAACAATGATCTCAGTGCACAGCACGGAGTAGTGTATATAAACTTTGCAGTCACTCAACATCTACATATTGTATTCGTAATGTGTAATACACGCCGTACGACGGTATCCGCGAAACTAAAACTGTGGGGCCGGCCTGTCGACAAGCTTAAACGAGCTAGAAAGACGGCAAACTCTAGGGACATCCGTTGGACCGGCACTAGTTATAAACATTAAATAAGCATACTATAAATGACAATAGCTTGTCTGGGAGAAGAGGTGCGTAACTATACTACGTATATTAGGGGATTGTCTGCGATGGCTATTACGTAGGAGAACATGCGTGGCATTTCTCAGATATAAATAGGTGCTAGGTATGCAACATTGACAGGGATGTCACCGTCACTGTCTCTGTATGAGGACAATGCATTGTTCTGTTCTGTTCTAGGTCTCAGGTTATGCATGCCCACGAGGCAGTAGGATGAAACATCTACAGAGTCTAGGGTAGATCAGGAGCTAGTGGTATCGTTTTTGATCATCATAACAAAATATCAACTATCGTCTGCCTACTGACTTGCAGCTACTTGCCAACCGCCATTCCACCACGATGCAGCACCTAGAGCAAAAATAGCAATACTGCCATCTCTCACAAGCGTTCTGAAAATATGCAGCCCGGTAGCCAGCGTCCCCTGCTGAGTCTTCCCGAAAGCCACACGGGCCCCAATCAACAACAGTTCGACAGTCATGAAAATCACAAACGGATTCTGCGCCGTTGCTGGTGGCGGCGGGTTAACTCCGTAGGTCGTAACAGCCGAGCCCACAAGCGTAACCAGATAAACACCGATAACCAACGCGAACAATGTATGCAGTAGCTTCAGTATCCTCTCTCTGTTCTTCTGCTCCGGCGTTTGCTGCGAAGCTCCTCCACCGAAAATCATGTTGGACAGCAGCGGCGGAATGCCCAAAGCCGAGGTCAAATCGTTCATTCCTAAATCTCCCTGGTTGGGGGGTGCCATCCCGGCACCAGGAGCTGTGTTCTCGGCGCCGGGGATGCCACCGAGCATGGAGCTCAGGACCTTCATCATGGGGTCTTGGTCGATTTGTTGTTGGGCTTGTTGTTCGGGTGGGTTGGCGCGTAGGAGGGCTCTTAAATATTCTTGTTGCGCACGGATGGTTTCGGCGTCGGGCTCAGCTCCTCCTGCTGATGGGATGGTTGCTTGAGGTGAGGGCTGTGTAGGTGGATTTGGGGTAGGTACGGCTTGAGGGCGKGGKTGTGGCGATGGTGAAGGCGAGGCATCTTGCACTTCAAGGGTGTTAGCTGGATTCAATGATCGTCAGACTGGCCGTGGGAACATACTGCTAGCAGGCGTCCGTCCACTCAAACTCGTGATTTTGTCCAGTCGAGCACTTCCTCCTGCTTTGATTTTGGCTTCACGGCGTTCGCGGCGTAGGCGGGCGGCCTGTTGCGCGGGTGACTCTTCTGCGGACGACATTTTGCCCTATTTCCGTTTGTCTCAGCTTGGTAACTTTGTTGATTGACTCTCAGCTACTTTTGTAAATAGATCTCAGTGGGAAATCGACTAAGAAGATTGACGTCGCTGTGACAATGTGTGTTCCATTTAAGTCTGTATCTAACCAAAAGCGGCTAGCGGTACGATTCTATATCGACACCTTGTTTTTGAGGCGTGAAAATCGCTCCTCTTATTCTCTTCTGTCCCAATTCTCAATAGCTGATCTTTGACCGATCAAATATTAACTTCATGAGCATCTTTCTTGATGCTATTTGATACCATCATGCATCCAGTAGAGTAGATGTACATGTACGTCAGGAAAACCATCAATGGCCGCCCTTCAGACCGCATCTTCACAGATGATCTAGCCCACGTCATGGCGGAGTAGCACGCTGTACAGTAGTCCTGCTTTACCTAGTACATAGTAGCTCTTGAGTATGAGATCTAGATCTAATAAAATGCATTGATTAAGCAAGTGAGCGCTGTGATACGCACAGCAATCACTGAGTGGGTCGCCCGGGGGAAGACCGATGACGTAGCCGCCCTGCTGTCTGAGCTCGATGATATCAGTCGGCTTGGCTTCTGTATACTACTATATTACTAGTATCCTCGGGTTGCCCACGTCCGAGATGTACGGTCCATTGCGTCCTCAGAGGGGACTTCTCTACCAGCTGTTTGCTACTCGTCCATTGACCCGACAACTCGATTCCAACTGGTGGTGACGATGGTGTCTCAAGGAAGCGCCCAGCATGGCCCTGCTGGCCATTGGAGCGCCGCCAATCCAATTCCCACCATCCACAAATTCGTCGAGAACCTTGACAGGGACAAAAAAGAACGAGACAAACAGATCGACGAGGAAGTCCAGCGCAGACAGCAAAATGCCCAGGATCAGGGCCAGTCTTTCGATAAAGAAGCAGCCGATATTCAGAAGAAAGGAACCCGGAAGGTCACCGACCCGGTGACGGGTAAGGAAATCGAGATTGAGGACGTACAAAAACATTATTTGAAGGAAGCCAAAGATCCAAAGGTGAGATTTTTGGTACTATTGCTGAATCTATTGAAACAAGTCACTAATTGGCCGAATCATAGCTCACTGTCCCAAACGCGAATCTGAATAAGCCAACGGTATGTCTATGAGGCCAAACACCTGTTGAAAATTGCTGACTTTAATAGAATGTAAAAACCGATCCGAATCAGGAGTACTCGGAATACAGACACAACCAAGACATCACTGCTCCCCCAGAGCCCGTGGCCCAAGGTACAACCTCGGATGTCCCTATCCACGGCGAAAAGACGAACATTCTCTTCCMCCCTACACCGTCCGTTACTTTCCAGCCGATGTTCGATGACATTGAGAAACGTGCCAATGGTCTCGTTGCTGGCATTTTCATCGGTATCATCATAGTCGGCCGTACATTTGGTGGATCCCTATGGGGTCTTATACCTCTTGCGGCCTGTGTAGCATCAGGGGTATTTCTTTGGGTGAAAGAGCTTATTCGCAGTGGTCGGGATGCTGAATGGCGAAGCGAGCAGCTTCGAGGTGAAACGGTACGTTAAGCTTCCCTCCGTATCTACTGATACTAAGTATTGACGTCTCAAGGCAACTGTAAACCTACTCCCTGAGTCGGTAGAATGGATGAACGCCTTTATGAGCGTTACCTGGGGCTTGTTGAACCCCGACATGTTTGCTAGTGTTGCGGACACCATTGAGGATATTATGCAGGCCTCGGTGCCAAGCGTCATCGAGAACGTCCGTATCGCCGAAATTGACCAGGGAAACAATCCTATCCGAATTCTCAGTATTCGATCTCTTCCAGATGAACATGTCGAAGACTTGAAGCACAACGTCCGTGAAGAAAACAAGAAAAACAAGGACCCTCAGGAGGCAGCTGCTGATGACGAAGGGGGTGATTACTACAACTTCGAGGTATCTTTTGCGTATCATGCAAAACCAACCGAAGGATCCGCTTCTGCCAGAGCACGCAACATGCACATGCAAATTGTCTTCTATCTTGGAATCAAGGGTCTCTTTGGCGTCCCTTTACCAATCTTTGCCGAATTGATTGAGCTTATTGGCACCGTCCGTGTGCGACTCCAGATGACACCCCAGCCTCCATTTGCCAAGTCACTTACCTTCAGTTTGATGGGCTTGCCGCATGTACGCGCCGGTTGTGTTCCTCTTGTCAAGCGAGGAGTGAACATTTTGAATTTGCCATTGATTTCGAACTTTGTCAACTATGCCATCGGAGCCGCCGCCAGTCTATATGTGGCGCCCAAATCGATGTCCTTAGATTTGAGTATGATGCTCAAGGGTGATGATATCCAGAAAGACACTCAAGCATTGGGAATTTTCTGGATCCGTATTCACCGAGCAATCGGACTCAGCAAGCAGGACCGCAGGGGTTCTGAAGGCGGTGGTAGTGACCCATACATCAACCTTTCGTTCTCCAAATATGGCAAGCCGATGTACTGCACTCGTGTTATTACCGACGATTTGGATCCTGTCTGGGAGGAAACAGCAGCACTCTTGGTCACTCCAGAACTGATTAAAGCCGATGAGCAGCTCAGCGTCGAGCTGTGGGATTCGGATCGTAATTCTGCAGATGACATCGTAGGCAAAGTGGAGCTTTCTATCCAGCAGTTGATCCAGCATCCTGGCAAAATGTACCCTCAGGTTTCGAAACTACAAGGCTTAGATGAAGGAAGCAGCATGCCTGGTGAATTACACTGGGAAGTCGGCTACTTTGGAAAGCCTCGGGTACGACCTGAACTGCGAACAGACGGAAAGAACCCGGAACTCCCAGCCACTCTCCGGGATGAGCCCTCACTACAAGATGACAAGGGTGTTATCAACACTGAAGAAGAAGAAGCAATCACTAGTACACCACCCGATCCCCTGTGGCCTAGTGGTATTTGCAGTATTGTCGTGCATCAGATTGTCAACCTTCAGTTGGAGAACATCTATGGCAGCCAGGGTAATCGCAAGGGCAGAGAGTATGAACCGGCCAAGGCATATGGAGAAAACACCGAAGAGCAGGGCAAAGAGCTACCTACCAGCTATTGTACAATATTGCTCAATGACCAATTGGTAAGACACTTCAATATGCGAAATGGAAAGCAAGCTAATTTGGACCCAGGTTTATCGAACTCGTGCTAAAGCAGTTAGCAGCAAGCCTATTTTCAATGCCGGGACTGAAAGATTCGTCCGTGACTGGCGCTCTGCTCTGGTCACTGTGACTGTTCGCGATCAACGACACCGAGAGCATGACCCAATCCTCGGTGTTGTCTCCTTGAGATTGTCTGACTTGATGAAGACCTCTTCCCAAGTGACGCGCTGGTATCCACTAGATGGAGGAATAGGTTTCGGTCGTATCAGGATTTCTTTGCTATTCCGTAGCGTTGAGACTAAGCTTCCTCCAAACATGCTTGGTTGGGACGTGGGCACTTTTGAGTTTTTGTCAAACCGTATTGCATTGAAGAATTACGCGCAAACTGCTAAGATCCGAATGCGCACTGGTGGCAGCACCGGCAAAGTACCACGATCTGCGTGCAAGAGCGATGGAAACGGCGGACAGTATTTTGAGTTTTCTGACGCCATAACAGCACCACGCTTGCCAGTCAAGTACCGCTACCGCTCACCGGTTGTTTTTGAGTTTCATGTCGCAAGCAAACGTGGTGCAGCAGCATACGCGGTCCTGTGGCTGCAGCATCTCGTCGACAACGAAGAGACACAGATCGACATTCCAATCTGGACAACCAAGCGCCCAGGCCGCTTGATCCAGAACTACGTCACAGAACAGAACTACAAATCACTCAACTTACACTGCCTTGAGGATTTGACAGAGGTCGGCCGCCTCCAATTCACCGGCCGCTTCTCAGCTGGCATGGACGAATCCCACGAGAAATTCGTCATGGACAACAATTCGCGCGAAACATTCGAGACATGGGAAGCCTGCCTAGCTGAAGGTATCCGTAGCCGCGAGGTCATTGCCAAGACGCCCGAAAACGTTCAACAACTCCATGAAAAGTCTCTCGTGCAGGGTCGAGATGTCCTAAGAGATATTGATCCAAAGGAACGTCAACGCTGGATGACCAAGGAAGGCGTTGACTGGAGTGGCGCATTTGGCGAGGATCCTAAGGAGTATGTCGATCAAGAAGCCAATGAATCAAGCGCCAACTTCTACAACGCGGGCGAGCACACTGTAAAATCTCACGACCACGCTGAGGATCCCGATGATGACGATGACGATGACGATGACGACAGCAGCTCCGACGAAACCCAGTCAGTCCATGCCCGTAGCATCGGAACAGCAACCACAACCACAACCACCTCCTCATCGAGTGCACAGTCCTCCAAATCAGGCAACAAAGCCAACAAACGCACTGAACAGCGCCAACAGCGCGGCCTGATGCAATGGAAGCCCGCGCGCAACGCCTTGTTCGCGAAACACGAGGCGACGTTCGCGCTGAGGAAGGCGAAGAAGAAGTTCGGACTGGGCGATTTGACGGGGAGGGAGCCTGATGTTGAGACCGAGACTGGTTCATAGTCTACCCAAATAGGGCGTTTTGTATGTATTGGAGTCATGCGGTATTGATACGTAACGAATTTCTTTGCTTTATGTATGGCGGTATATAATGTGATCTGTGACTGTACTTTTTGACATAACCTGCAAAATTTTAATTTTGTATATCTAAAATGGTGTATATAACCAACTGCTCCCTATCGTATGATCTATCTCGTCTAACCCACCTCATTCGCGAGCAGAGTAGAGATTCACTCAGACTTGACTATATACCTCTTCAATCCCCTCAACCTCTCCTTGGCCGTCTCCAAAACATCATCATTCTTACAAACCGCAAACCTCAAATAATCCTCCGCAATATGCGCATTCTCATCTGTATAAAACTCCGTAGGCGGAATTGCGGCGACGCCGACTTCTTTGATTAGGAACCAGGCCAGTTTGAAGTCTCGCGGCCGGCTGGCGACATGTGGTGGGAAAGGGTAGTCAGATGGAAGTTTGACGGAGGCCATGTTGGCGAGGACGAAGTAGCCGCCTTCTGGGTCGGAGTACTTCAGAATACCAAGTCAGTCAAGAATTTGTAGTTTGGGGTGTCAAGTAGGACGGACCGGAATATCCAACTCATCAAAAATCTCACAAAACCTTCTGATTTTCCCTTGCATCTCATTGCGCGATTCCTCCCAGAACCCCTCGGCATCAGCCTTCTCGAAAGCGACGGCCGACGCTTCCTGCAACGGCGACACGCTACTATAACATATCCTTGTATGCGCTGCGGCGACATATTTAATCAAATGAGGCGGTCCGATGAGATATCCCACTCGCCAGCCCGTGGCATAAAACGCTTTGCCGGCAGAGCCGACAGTAATGGTGCGTTCGTACAACTCCGGAGATAGAGTGGCGATGCGCGTAAAGGGAACATAGTAGAGTCTATCGTAGACTTCATCGGAGAGGATGATGATATTGTGTTTTACAGCGAGGGCGCCGATGCGTTCGAGTTCTTCTTTGGTCAATACTTTGCCGACGGGATTGTGTCTGTCAATATTAGTGCTGTATTCTTCATGAGTCAAGTTTGGTCTTACGGTGAGTTGAGAACCTATGCATTAAATCAGTATTGACAATCATACCAGCTGATAGGGAGAATTTACAATCATCTTTGTCTTGGAGTTAATCGTCTTTTCCAATTGCTCAAAGTCAATCGTCCATTGAGAAGCCGACGAGGTCCTGACTGCACCATCTTTGGGCGGAAGTAAAGGGACATATCGAATAATACCGCCAGGCATCTCAATGTTGCTGATATATCTGTTCACCACTGATCTTAGCACTAAGAGCTTCTGGGTAGTAGTAGGTAATACTGACTGATCAAAAAAGGGCTCGAAAATTATAACCTCATCGCCTTGCTCGATGAAAGCCATAAATGCACTCAACATTCCTGCCTCATATCAATACCAAGAACGCAGTGTCATTGCATATTAGCTAATAACGCACCCTCATTCGCTCCAGTGGTAATAGTAACTTCCGTCTCCGGGTCAAGTTCGCGCCCAAAGGATTTCGAATACGCAGCAGCAATAGCCTTCTTCAGACGGGGGCGGCCCTATATAACCCGTCAATCAACCGTTTATGCATTCGTATGTCCACCGGAACGGATTGTACCTTGGTCGGAGAATACTGGTTACAATCAACCTTGTCGAGAGCTTCCTTGGCAGCATCGAGCGCGAATTTGGGTGGGTTGTAGCCACTGTACACAACAAAATGGAAATGTCAATCCTATATCCTTGCGTTGGGTGGAAGGAGACGTACAAGAACCCCTGTCCCATGTTCACAATTGGTTGCACCGGGGAAGCGGCGGCTGCTTCATTGACGATGGACCTGACCCGAACAACAGCTTATCAGCGCAAAGCTCAGAGATCCCACGTAATACAAAGAATAGTATACCAAACATCTTGTCGCTGTCCCGCAACTCTGGCCGCGGGCTGGAAAGGGTCTGATTTGGGCGCGGTAGTGGACATGTTGCGATGGTGGTGGTTGCGGCGGGGKGAAGATGGGATCGGCTGAATCACCGAGGGACGATTAGACGGGGAGATGGGGTGAGTAGCGTAGATAGCCGAGCGAACAGAGTCTCTATAGATTGAAAGCGTTGACGAGACTGATCGAGAAATGAATGAGGATATTCTTGAAGCACGAAAGGAAATCATTAGGGTCACTTCCAAGGTCGGAGGGTAAAGCAAAGTTGTTGGAGAAGATCGGGCAGATATCGGAGGTAGAGGGACGGATAGGGAAGCTGTTTGTGTCACTCACACGCCGAATCGCGTGCTTGGCTCCACCAGCTCGTTTTTTACTCTTTTGGGAAATTTCTATAAAAGAGAAGAAGCCCTAAGATCTGTGATTTTGTTTTGTTTCATTAATCCTTATGCTAAGTTGTCATTTATTGTTGAATATGTCCTATCCTCCATCGCAATGCTTTCAATTTCCAAATCCAAATGAAACGCCGTGTGGTATACCCAAACGCTTTCCATTCCAAGTCCCTTTTTAATGTACTGCCAAAATCGGTCTTTCCAATATGCTGAATAGTGGTTATAAATGTTTTAGTTGAGATGATCTCCAATAAATGCGAAGTCTTCGCCAGCAGATGGTTCAACGCCCAAGTCGACAGTGCTCTCCCGACGAGATATGGTTAGGTCTGGCACATCAGGAGGCGGATATGTTGTATTGGTGATTCCACTTCCAACTTGGTTGCTAAATATAGCTTGGTCATCGCTGCTGCACAGAGTAGTCGAATCATCATGATCTGCATCTGTGTCGTTCCGAGTCATGTCGAGTGGTAACAACGAGGGATCGATTGTCTGGGCCATGTTCTCACCGAATTCTGAGCAGAGGAGGTCACTGACGATATAACGGATTTGTGCGAAGTCTACCGAGCCACATATCCCCTGAATTTGTGATCGAACTCCAATTAAGATTTCAAATTCAGGTGGGCCGAAGTCGAAAGTATGATTTGCGTGAGATGTTGGTTTGAAGTTTTCATCAAAAAACAAAAGGCGTAGAAGGTCCTGTAAGCCCTGAAGGCGAGGCTGCGCTTGCGCAAAAATAGCAGACATCAACGAGTTCGGCCACTGCAAGTTGACCATGTCATCAATGACCTTCATGTATAAGAGGACAGGTCGCTCAGACTTTCTGGTCGATGATATCGTCTTGAGGGAGTCATAAAGACCCTTGGCCAAACGTAGCGACACCTCGTACAACTCTATTGTGTATATAGTCATCAGGAAAAACACAATCACTCTGGCGTTTCTGATGTTCACCGGGTCTGTCAAGCAATCAGACATAGAAAGTCCTTTGATTGCTGCAAGCAACCTAGAAGCCCTTTGAGCATCCCTCGAAAGATCATCTGATAGATCCGATTGAGGAGAGACAAGCAGATCCATCAAAGATTTCCCCAGTGTGGTATCAGCTTGACGCAAATCAAGTTGATCAGCAGCTGAGATTAATGTCTCACGGTATCGTTGATTATCAAAAACCCAATGAACCACAACCGGAAAAGAAAGTGGTCGTAGATTTTGCTTTAGATTCTGCAATGCGTCTTGGGCCTGTGCAAATATCGCAGGATGCAGCTCATAGTGGTCGTCGTGTTTGACTGTAAATGCCATGCATAAAGAGGAGTAGCCGCCGCGGACGCAAGGAAGATTTTTCTGTTTGCAACGATTACACGGCATTTCCGCGTCACATCCTTTCTTGCTTTTGGAGCAGAAAATACAAGAGCCCCCGGCGTCTATGGTCAAGCGCTGCATTAACGCATCTCGCTTCTTGTGGGAGCCTTTGGGTGTCTCTGCTGGATTCTCGGAAACCCATTGGAACTTCCGTGGACGATCAGCCTGATCGACATCTGATCACCATGTTAGAGGAGTTGTTACTGAGCTCAATTTCTGACTCACCATTGTCCTGTATGTATGGGAAGCCATTTCTGGCACTCTTTTCGCCAGGGGTCCCAATGTGCCCCGAAAGGGGCACGGTGTCTCGACCAATGCCATGAGCAGCAGAGACGGGTGCATTAATATCAAAGGATTGCCCTCGCACTACTTGTCCCGGGATATCATGTACGCGCCTTGAATGGGCATCTTCTGTCAGTGTTTCCAAGCCAGTCTGTATGCTAGGCCTTCCCAAGAGAGGATTGAGACGAAGATCGAGACGGGATTCGTGGAAAGGCTCAGAGTGTGAAGGCATCCGTGTGTTTGGTGGATGAGCAGGATACATATGAGACGGTTCTGGGTTCGTCGGCGGCATCGAAGAGGCAGTCGAAGGAGCAATAGCTGGAAGAATGGGCGGTGCCGTTCGTGGATGGGATCGACCGGATCTCTTATTTTCAGACGGCATCTGTAATAATCCATGTCAGTATGTAGTAAGCTGGATCAGACGTAGCAACAAAGGGTAATAACTAACTGTTTAGCATTAGAAAAAGCAAGCTGACACAAGAAGACTAAGTGCAAAGAGAGGCAGGTAGTGATGCTTCAAGCGTGTAAGGATAGGCTGGTTCACAATAAAGAATACAAAATCAACTGAAGATATTTATTCAAGCTCTAGATCCGTATGAGATGCACAAGAAGCTCTCCAGTCAGATTTCTTGCAGCTCTCTCATCTCATCTGGGCTGTGTGAGGGAGAGGACGACAAAGACAACATCGATACTCACCGCCAGGAACTTAGCGTCGGGTCCACCGGATTGAGTTAGCGATAAATGCGTGCGCGTCTCTTATTAGTCAATGGAGGCGGTAAGTCGAATATTGCCGGCAAAATCAATTGTTTACTCGCGTCAAAAAGTGTGCCACACCAGCAGCGGCAAGCTTATCTTTGAGGTAGCAAGACATTGACAGTCGAATATTCAACAGGACATACCTATGTGGGTATTCGATGCAACACACTCTAACAGTAAGATCATTGTTGAAATAAGTGAGCGCTGCGTCGAGAGGGAGGGGTGCGTCCTGCTGAGTTGCGTCATCCGTGCTGGTCTTGGCGGGCGGCCTTGCGATAACGATAAGCCGCAAGGCTAGCTAAACAGCTCAGGGTCAACGATATCGCCCAAATCGTTGTCTTCGAGGAATTTTCTTTCTTGCAGGCTCTCTGGCAGATACTGTTGAACAACTTGGCCATCCTTGTAATTAGGATTGTACTTGTACTCTTTGCCGTAGCCAAGCTCCTTCATCAGCCTTGTGGGGGCGTTGCGGAGGTGGAGTGGAATGGGTAAGCTCGCGACCCCAGGTTCTGACAACGCCGCAAACGCGTTGTTGAGGCCTCTATATGCCCTCGTACTCTTCTTCGAGAGCGCCATTGCGACCGTGGCATGGGCTAAATTGATTCGAGCCTCAGGCAGACCGACTTTTTCTACCGCACTGTGAGTGGAAATGGCGAGCGTCAACATGGAGTTGTCAGCCAGGCCAATATCCTCGGACGCGACGACGATCAAACGACGAGCGATGTACAATGGGTCCTCGCCGGACTGGATCATGCGTGCAAGATAATATAGAGCTGCGTCAGGGTCGCTGCCACGGATGGATTTATGGAAAGCTGAGATGGTGTCGTAGTGTTGGTCGCCGGCTCGGTCGTAGACCAGTGTCTTTGTAAGTGATTTCTTCAAGACGTCTTTCGTCATGCCGGGACGGTTGGACAAGCCCATGGCCAGCTCGAGCAGATTCAAAGCTGTTCGAGCATCACCGTCTGAGAATGTGGCGAGATATTTAATGAGTTCGTCGTCAACCAACTCGGATGGCGAATAGGTCGAGCCTTCTGTAGCCAAGGCGCGCTTCAAGATGGAGGTAAGGTCGTCATTCGTAAGCTTCTCCAGCGTGAATGTCCGACATCGAGACAACAGAGCATTTTGAACTTTGAAGCTGGGGTTCTCCGTCGTCGCAGCAATGAGCGTCACAACACCGCTTTCCACTGGTCCAAGAAGCACGTCTTGCTGAGTCTTTGAAAACCGATGAATTTCGTCACAGAACAGTATGGTCTTCCTCCCCGTCAAGCCAAGCTCATTTCTCGCTTCTGCAAATATCTTCTTGCATTCGGCGATGCCGCTGGTAGTGCTATTGATTTCCACGAAGCGGCTGCCAACCATGGATGCAATTACCCTTGCAATTGTTGTCTTTCCTGTACCCGCACCGCCCCAGAGTATCATACTAGGTACCCTGTCCTGCTCTATTAGAGATCGTAGGATGCCATTGGGCCCAACCAGGTCTTGTCCGCACACTTCGTCGAGGGATTTGGGACGCATGCGTTCTGCCAAGGGGGCTGCTCGTTGGAACGCCGTGGGTTTGGATCTCTTGACGGTGGCATCTTCGGGCTCTGCAGTCGACGAAGAAGGCTCTAGCTCTCGCTTTCGTTTTAGATCATCTTGTGCTGGTGATGGCTTTGAAACTTCATTGTTGCGAGACGGTGTGGACAGCGTTGATGGGTGAATGACGGTAGAACTAGCCTTGCGAGCAGAGGATGGCTGGAAGAAATTAATGGCCGTGCCATTCTTTTGAGAAGACGCGGAGTCACCCTGACTCAATGACGAGTCATCGATGACAAAGTTCTGGCAGTCTGAGTCGATATGGGCGTTGATATTGGCTTCTTTGACATTCTTTGCGCAGATGGGACATGACACCATGGTTGAGTTGAGCCTTGACTATTGACTCTCTTCCATGTCGCGTCTGGATGAAAAGGGTATTAGAGTTGGGAGGAAGTTGGGAGACAATGACGGGCACGATAGGAAAGATGATGGGGACGGCAGTCGCGTCCAGAATATCCGCTGTGATTGGTCCGAACCATAGTGCTCTTTGATAGTTCACAAATTCACAAACATCGACAGCTTAGCATTGTGGACTGTTATTTGACATCAATCCATTAACAAGGCTCACAGCATGGCGATGAGTACGAGGTCGCTGTATGGACTGAGGTTCTGGTGCAGAACCTGGTTGATACTCCATTATGCCTTACTAGGTAGTATAGAACCCTCGTGACAACGACAATTATCAAGATACAAGTATGTTGTTTTCTATAAACATAAATGTGTAGGGCGTTCCCAGAGCAATATCAAATCAATTGACTTCTTCACCAGTAATGTTGCAGTTGAACTATTCCGTGTATCTAGACCTGCCCAAAGCGGTAAGCTATTTTGGCGCGTCGCCGCGTTTTCCAGCAGAACAAAGCGAGCTGCAAGAATTTGACCGACGATCCTCCCCTCCCCGCTTGCTACACTTCACTTGGACTCACTAACATGCGCAAGACTGTGATGTTTTGAGGCTATTTACTTTCTCCGTCAGACTTGATCAGCTCTATTCAACATTAAACAGCAGAAGCAGACCGTTTCACTCCCGGCCCTCGGGCCTTTCTTCGAGATCGACCACATCCACCACAACCAACTCTGTCGCAAACCGCGCATATACCTCTCTTCAAAAACCGTATCTACACGCCCTCAAAAACCCTCAAAATGGCCGCACCACATCCCCCATTCGGCTCACGCTCCGCCTACGCAGGCGCAGGCTCAAAACTCCCCGAGCGCCCAAACCCACTCCCATTTAGCGCGTCAGCTTTTTCTCGGAATAGAGGCGTTCTCGGCAGTGTGAATAACAACATCAACAACAACAACAATACAGAGTCAGCGCAACAACAACAACAACAACAGCAMCCGCCTATACCGCCACAACATTCGCAGAATCATGCTAGTAGCAGTGCAGCAGCAGCGACGATGATGATGGGGACCGATGCTGGTAGTGGCGCGAACCCGTTGAGCCGATTGACGGAGGAGCAGCGGGAAGAGATCAATGAAGCTGTACGCTCTCCTCCCACCTACTCTCCTTTCAAGATGCCAAATGCTAATCACAAGCGCACGATCATATAGTTTACACTCTTCGACCTGGACCGCGACCGCCACCTAGACTACCATGAACTACGAGTCGCCCTCCGAGCCCTCGGCTTCACCCTCCCCAAACAAGAACTCATTTCCCTCCTCACGACATACGGCGTTCCGCGACCCCAAGTCCAGCAACAGCAACAACAAGGCCAACCATCAACAGCACACCCCAACAAACCAAACAACAACAGTAAAGACCCCCCACCGCACCCATCCTCGCTGCTCATGCCACTCTCAGCCTTCCAAACCGTCACAGCACACAAAATCCTTGAACGAGACCCGCGCGAAGAAATTTTGCGCGCCTTTGAATTGTTCGATGAAGGCGGGAAAGGGTACATTGATCTCGAGGATTTGAGGCGTGTGGCCCGCGAATTGGGTGAGACGGGTCTTGAGGAGGATGAGCTGAGAGCCATGATTGAGGAGTTTGATCTTGAGGGGGTGGGTGGTGTGACCAGGGATGGCTTTTTGAGTATTTGTTGGCAATAATCTTCCTCCCTCCCTCTTTCCTCTGTGTGCCATCTGTTCTCTGTTTCGAATGTCTGGTTTTTTGTTTATAGTCTGCTGCATATCGGGTGTATGATTCGTTGCAGGTTGAGGTTCGTCTTTTTGTTTCTCGTGTGATTGAGTCTTTCTGAGCGAGAAGTGTAGTTAGTCGGTCAGTATACGGCTTAAATCCGTTTCGCTTCGATTTGATATTTTCTACATATAGTTAGCTGTCTCTAGGTGTCCGGGCATTCAGCGGTGAATTGAGATTACTTCTACAAATAATGTCCACCTGTGCATATAGGCAATCATCATCCTGTAAGCGGCAAATATATTCATCATGAATGTTCATAAATCCCTATATACCCAAAACTCCCTATCCAAGCAGTGACATGCAATAAACCCATACCCACAAATCTAAGCGAAATACCATGCGACATTGAACCAAACTTATGCATATCGTGGCTGCACCCCCGGCCAAGGCGCGCCGTTATGATCGTATCCAGGCGGCGCATATGCAGGTGGTGCACCATATACGGGATTCCCTTGCTGCTGCATCGCAGGCGGCATTGGTCCCGACCAACCTCCAGCGTTTGTTGGAGGCTGTCCCGGCGGCCCACGATATCCCTGATACCCTCTCCCACCAGGCGGCCGCGACGCAGGGAGCGTCTTTCTAAACCTGCGTCTTCGGCACGAAGAAATAATGCAACTCAGTATAATCAGCACGAGTAACCCGCCTATACCAGCCGCCAGACCGATCACAAGAGGTTTGTGTTGGTCGACCCAGGACTTGATTTCGCCGCCTACTGAGGAACCCTGGCATTGACCGTTATTGCAGTGCCCATCGCCGTTGCACGGTGTTCCGTCGAGGAAGTTTTGTTGCATGCTGCCACATTCGTTGGAGGGGAGTTTGGAGGATGCGCACCACAGTGTGCACGAGGAGTCGTCGCAGGCGTAGGTGTCGTTACTGCCCAGGACGGCGCCGAGGATAGTGCGACATTGGAGGTCACGGCTTGTGCATTGTCCGCTGGCGCAGGKGAGTCCGGTGGTGTTTCCGCTTGTGCAGCTCTGGCCATCGGCAACGAATTGGTCGGCGGGACAGGCGCCGGATGATCCTGAGCAGACTTCAGCGATATCACAGGGACCAGTGCTGGCGCGACAGGTTGTGTTTGCAGCTTTGAATTGGCAGCTGGAACAGCATGCTTCGTTGGAGTCGTCGCAGACCGCGTTGTCCTTGAACTTGCAGGTAGTGGGGTCGCAGCAGGCGTTGTCGCCGCAAGCTGCTGTTCCTCCGCAGTCGCAATCTTCGCCGCTCTCTACAATACCGTTGCCGCATTGGCTGCCAGTATAGGTGACCACGTCTTTGTTGTTTACCAAACAGTTGGATTGGACGCTGTTTCGACCTAGGGCTGAGCAGATATTGCCAACTGTGCATTGTGAGAAGTGTTCGAGATTGGACGATGTCGAAGGGTTCATGATATATTGCCCGTTGGCATCACAGGTGCTCGAAGTCAGCGGGCAGCATTGTGAAGTTGTCTGTAGGCCTTGCTGACATGTCGAAGAGTCGCAGTCATGCACAGCACCAAAGGTATGTCCTGACTCGTGTCTATTGAAGTTAGCTTTGTCAATTCGGAATTAAGAGGTAAGACTTACGCAAAAACCTGCCACTCAGTCGACGTTTTGACTACGACATTTGCTCCTGCGACCGAAGCATTGCTCGAGCCATGAACACACAATTGCCCTAACCAGGACACTCCAACTTCGGAATCTGTAGGACAATTGGTCATCAATGTCCAGTAAGCATTTGTATCATTCTGATCGCCACGCCAGGCCGTGAAATCACTTAGTCTTGAAGAGATATTTCCCGAAGTGCATGGCATATTCCAGGGGGTGGCTGTCGACGAAACGTCAGGACAATCAGCAGGACTCATAGTCAAATTCTTCAAACCCAGAGAGATATTGAATGTGCTCTCATACACACTCGATGCAGAATTGAACATTGAAATAACATCCGCGCGAGCCGCAGACTGATTGTTCCCAAAAGCATTCAAGAAATTGCAATCCGTAGCCACGCCGACGAGAGCGACCAACTTATTTTTGGGACAGCCTGTGGTATCACCAATCGTCGACGCCAAGTTGATACCTCCCGTATTTCCGCCCACGTTGCCGGTATCAGACTGTCGCTTGGACAAGCCTAATAACTGATCAAACGTCATGGCAGCAAGATTAGTTGACTGCTGCGGAGGTCGGAAGACAGGATGGTTGGGGTCCGCATTAAAATCCAGCTTGTCCGCATGACAAGAAGGGTCGGGAACCGATCGTTTGAGCTCTGTATGTTCTTCGTCCCAATACATATCCGAGTTTCTGAACATTACCATATAATCGTCATCCTTCTCAGCGGGTATGACATCGGAATCGGATCGCGTCCGCATATAACTCGAGCGCAGTTTTATATTATGATAGTCATGCATCAGACTAAACGTACCCTCAAACAGAGGATCAGGTCCATCGCGTTTAACATATAAGCGTGCCCAGCCGACATATGTCCAATGATCCGGCTCAATCTCTGTCCATGCCGAGCCTTTAAACACCCGGTGATCTCTGCGATCGATACTCTCCGTATGGCTAATGGTACCATCAGCATTCAAGTATTGAATTTCAGCATCCTCGGCCAAAACATCATGATTCGGTTCTAGCTTGAGTTTGATTGCTTCCGCGTTGTTGTGTATTGTGAATGTGATGTCGAAGCTGGAAAGGGAGTGTATTCGATGGGAAGGGGTGTGTATCACGACGTTTTCGAGTTCAGAGACATGCTGAATTGGTGGCGGGGCTTGCGAGCGAGCTGCATATGCATCAGAGCTGAACAATGAGAAGTAGAAGGATGGAGGACTTACCATCACCGCGTTGTAGAAATATGGCTGTCGCAGTAAGGGTCGCGGATAGCCAGCCAATCCCGAGTTTCATATCTGGATGAGTCGCACTCGCGAGGCCTTCAGCGGTTGTCTCTGCGAGTCGATAGTCGAGTTCCGGCGGTTGGTGTATACAGCCTCGTGTGGACAACGTTGATGATCGCAAACAGTCAGATCAGCCCAGATCAACAATGCCAGAGTGATCGATAATCAAGACGCGCAATGTACTGAAAGACAAACGAGAGACAGCGCCAATACAGCAGCCAGCGCATAAATTATATATCGTACCACACACACTGACAGATGTAAGAAGTTGGAGCTGATCTTCTTGGAAGTTGGCGCAGCAGCCTTGGCGATCCATCAGCCTATCGCTGTCAATACGCAGGAATTACCGTGTCTCGGTAATATTACGGTCTGGGCCGCTGTCAAACAGGAGGCTCTTGGCGGCTCTTGGCGGCTCTGGTCCTTTGGGTCCGTAATAGCGCTGTTTCGGTCATCGATGATAAAGTCGATCTTGATGATTGCCAGCCAATCAGTGAGGGCTCTCAGCCGGCTGGTCCGGCAACTCCTCTACTATCTAGGCCAGCAAAGACATTATAAAGGTGAGACAAGAGTGCTATCACTGAGGAAACGCTTATTGGCAGTAAAAATAGAGGTACTGCCTTCGTTTTACAAAGCATGTGAGACATAATGTCAAGTTGAATAACTTACGGAGTACTCCGTACATAGCATGCATAAAGCTGACACCCGCAGCTCGTTCGTGGCTTGGATMCCCGCCGCTAACCCTAATCGAGGTATTTCCAAGTACAGCCTGTGACTGGCCGGCTCGATCTAGATACGGTACCTTGTACAGTATCATGATGGAGACTGTCTCTCTGCCTCTCTTGTCTAAGAAGTAACAATTGATGTCTAGTTGATGCAAAGTAGTTAGTACGCTTGCTGTTAGCCAGTCGATCGTCACTGTACATGTTTTAGACAAAAGAAACCGCAGCCGAAAGCTTGCCGATTTCTAGAGCGCATTGACAAGGTGAGGAGTTCAAGGACCCATGGAATGCGCTACTCGCATCCGATGTCGACCGGTTGCCAGGGCACTTTTATAGGTACGTACTAATTGCAATTATTACAAATCAAGTAGCACCATTGGATGGTTAGCTAGCATAGGCCATGGACTGTACCGACATTGGGAATATCCTCCACATCCCGACAGTAAGGGCTCAAAGCTGTAAACGACCAAACGGACTGCCAACGGTTCGTTCGGAATAATTACTAATAACATGTCGGAATGAGAGGGAAATAGGATAGAAATGTGAGAAAGTAATGAGGTACCAACAGACACCTCATTAATATGACTATTAGTTGTACTACAACGGCGAAGGCCGTCCTTAATACAAAGCATTGAGTGCTAACTCTCTCAGAAGTAGTTGTCTGCTATGTGGAGTCGTTGAATGAAATCTACAACTTAGCAGCCCTTTCCTCCTTGTTTTGCATATAACGACGCCACTAGGAAAATGTTAGTAAAAGCGATAACATGATTCAAACGTTGAGACTCACTCTAGGGTTCAACAAGTAAACCGGAATACCAAGCGCAAAAACCCCCGCATTGATACCCGCCAAAATCCCCATTGTAGTTTTATAACTATAAGTATTAACCATGGGGATAATTCCATAACTCAACCCAAAGGCCACAATATTCTTCATTCCCACCACAGCCACAAGCGCCGGGCCGGGATTCTTCTCCCAGGCCTCAGCAGCAAAGGAAGTAGATAGAATCAGAACAGAGACGAATGTGATCTGGTACAAAGTCCATCCCATGTACGGTCCACCCCAAGTTGCGCCGCCACTGGCGGTGAAACCGTAGAGAATGAGGGCGACTATGGCGAGGATACCCGGGAAAATGAGCAGAATCAAGCGATGCTCGGGGGCGTGAATGCCGTTGTTGCGTTTGGCCATCCAGATAATAAATTTGTCGCCTAAAAAACCGGCATAAAACATACCGCCGAAACCGCCGAATACGCCGCCAAGGTTGATGAGGCCGATCGAGCTGGCGGACCAGTTGTAGCTAGTCTCGAGGACAGTGTCGTACGTGAGTGACATGCCGATTGACGAACCGAGGACGATGGCAGAGAGCAAAGTCGAGTAGAGAATGGCGGGAGACGAGTATGCCTCAGCGATATGAAGAAAGACCTGCGGAATGAATGTCAACGCATTCTCCGTCGGAGCCGACCAAGGCTTTAACATCTGCACGTAGGTCTTTTTCTCTCGCAACTCATCCGGCACCTCGTCATTGGGGTGAACGCCCCTGGATTCGAGGTATTCACGCGTTTCATGTTCGGTAAGCACGCGAGTCACTCCGAACTGGTCTGTGAGCACCATGCGGCCATTAATGAACTGCGAACTGCGCTTGTAGCTAGTCTCGAAGCTGCCAAAGACGACCATGACGAGACCCACTGCAATCGTGATCGTGAAGACCCAGTAATACCAGCGCCATCCCAGGGCGGCGACTTCGTACGAAGCGGCTAGAGTAAGGCAGCCGGTGATGGCGTTTTGGGCAGCCCAGTAGAGACCATAGACCATGCCGTGTTGGTGGACGAATGTAATCTCGGCGAGGATCAGGGGGAGGACCTAGCTTATTAGTCTGGCACAAATCTCAAGTCTTGTTGTAAAAAGCTTACAGATTCGGTAGCACCGGCTGCTAGACCCTGGATAATTCTCAACGCAAGATGCTGTTCCCATGATTTATTGAGAGCGCATCCGATAGTAGCTCCCAAGAGGACAATTGTCGACACGATAAAAGCAAAACGACGACCATAAAGCAGTCCAAGTGGGAGAATCAAGAAGTTGCCTTGAGCTTAGTGTTAATTCAACAAGTTTCAGTCAAGTAAAATCCCACGTACCAATTCCGACAAAAAGGGAAGGAAATGTAGACAACCAGACAATCTGATTGCTGCTGTATCCTTGAGGAGCGTACATCTCGAAGAAGACACCGAGAATCGCACCGAGACCACCAACACAGGACAGAGACATTGCAGCTGCCAACATCATTAGTAAGCCGCATCCTCCAGGGCTAACAATTGTAGCTATTCGTAACGACTCACAGAACCAACAACAGCTCACAATAATCGACGCCTTCTCCTTCCAGGAGAAATTCAACGGATCATTAGGATCCTTGCTAGGCACCGGCAACTGCTGCACCAGCCCATCAGCATCAACCAAGACATGGTCCGCTGGCTTGTGCTGTTGACCCTCAACATTCTCCGTAAATTCGATGATAGGCTTGTCCCCGGACATGATTGAATCTGAAGAGTCTCGGATGAGACGAGTTGCACGACAGATAGTTCAGTACCAACGAGAGATTCCAAGTTAGAAAACTCCGGGGGTGGAGGGGGGTTATGAATAGATCCCCGTCACCGTGCCTGGAGTTAGTCTCTGGAGACGCGTAGTGTCTTCCCCATAATAAGAGCCATGTCTCTTAGGTTCAAGCAAATGGAGGAGAAGATTTTGCCGAGGAGGTCTGAGCAGTTGCGGAAATGTGGAGGAGACTCCGGCACGTTTAACAAATTTTGTGGGGAGAATTTCCTTTCTCCGCAATTTTTTGACCACCCGTGCCGATGTCCGAAACATTTTCTTTGGTCGTTGCTAGTGACCTGCCCGCTGGATTCGGGGATTTATAGCGGAGGAGTAATCAGCGATTCAACGTTTGATGTACACTGGACTTACTAGAAATTGAAGAACCATCATTGGTTTCATTAGCTCTTACTGAATCATATAGTACATACACCAAGGGGTCGAGTCACAGATTAAGGTTATTTTATAGTCTCCAAATTTAGGACAAATCCCCCAATTCCCTGATCAAATTACATAGATTTCCCACCAGCGGCGGCAAGTTGTCTCCAGAGCCCTGGCAATTCCCTTCCAGGACCTGCCGCGCAACCTCCATAATCAAATGAGGACTACATAGCTGTATGGACATCGAGACATGACCTCCCTCGGGACTGGCTGAGTAATACGTCAACCCCGGTTGGCCAACGGCTCCATTGACAAACGCCTTTGTGAATTCGTTCTCAGGACCGTCCAGCGCAATCAACGGCTCAGTTTGTTGTCCTCCACCACTACTACCGGGTGGTAAGTTCAGAGCGTCGCGCGGCTTTCCGACGCATTGCAGCAACCCGAATATCCAGAGGACCAGTGTAGCATGATATATGGACAAAGTGTCAAAACCGCGAAGTTCGAACGGTGGAACCTCTCGCGCAGCCCTAAGGACCTGACCAGCATGCCAGATTGCAGTGCGTGCTTCTCGTGTAATGCTCCAGTCTCGTAGACGGGGATATTCTTCTCTGGCCTCGAGTTCGCCGAATTGACCCGCAAAGCGTTGTATTGAGTCAAGGTTGATGTGCAGATACATTGTGGCGAATTCGGCGAGTAGAGTTGCGATTGCCGGGCGGTTTATCATATCCAGTTTGGCCGCCTGGATAGATATTGACCTGCATCTACATCAGCTGAATGATCCTTTTACACCCATGTGAATGGACTTACAGATCCTCCTGTCTGCTTTTCAACCAAAGCTGCGTTAACGCCCCTCGCTCCGAATGCCGGTTTGGTGTCAGTAGCGCCTGTTGTCGAAACTCCCAAACCTGACTCATTAGTCCATGTAGTAATGAAGACTTGCAGACTACCGTGTCCACATTAATGGGAAGATGATTCAGTATCGAAGGATCGGCGAGAAGGTCTCGTAGAGACAGAGTGGGGGGTTTCAAATGAGCATATTTGGTCACTAATAGGTGTTTCCAAGCTGCCGCTGTTGGTGCGAGCCATAGTTCACGAGAGCTCGGGAAGGGGAGTGTAAATTCCGTGTAGCTGGTTAGTGGAGGTCTGTTCATGGCGGCTGTAACTTCTGCGTCGTGTTCGAACAGGTGATATGCGAGCCTGTCTCTTGTCAGGATAATCTCAACAGGGCAGAAAAATGCCTTACCTTTTCCAAGACTCCTGCCTAATCCAGTCATTCCACGTTTCTTCCAATGTGTCGTCAATCAGATCTGGGTACAACGTGAACTGAGAGTAGAAGGACCGGTCAAAGGCACCAGCTCTTCTCAAAGCCTTTACAACATTAGATCAAACAACACAGAGGAAGTTTCTCATGCTTACAGTGCACAATGGTTGTAAATGGCTTTCTGCAATTTGCATTTTGCGTTTATGGCCACAGAAGATGCCAATATCCAGCCACATCATAGAAGCTTGAAAGTATTGTAGATCTCGGAGAACACTATTGTCCAGTTCGGCCTGCATTATAACAGCGTGGGTGACTGTCACAAAAGAAAGGTTGCATGGCTCGAAATACTTACTAGTTGTGCCAGACTGACTCGAAGAATCTCCAGTAGAAGGACCCCAGTCTTGTTGATAGACGAAATGCCACAACAAACACACCCAGCAGCAACTAAAGCTGTCAAAAGCTCAGGCCTCGAGTCCTGCCGGAAAAGTGTATATGGATGAATCCATGCATCGGTTTCCGTTCTCTTCGAGATACCGATCTTGATCAGTGCATCTAGAGACTCGGCGGATGGGAATGACGGGACGGATAGTTGTGATCTTGCAGTACTAATGATCAGTCGAAAGATATTGTCTCTGGACTGAACTGTGAGTTTTCCGCGTATATTCAAAGACTCTAAGCGCGATCTGTGCAGCCTAGTTATAAAAGCAGTCATGTCGCCATCCTCGAGGGGGATGTGGCCTTCGCCGCTGAATCCATTTTGGTTCTTTTCGGGAATCCAGAGCCTAGTATAAAGTCAACGCACACTTACAATTGTGAATTATTGGTAGATATACTTACCATAAAGACCTTCTAAAAGCAGCCACACGCTGTTTGGCAGTCTGATCATCAACAATAACGCCTGGATCGAGATTGGCGGCGACAGGAGATGCACCAGATCCGAGAATTATGTCCAAGTCGGTAATCGTATCAAAGTTGAACAAACCACCATCTGGACTCGTGAACTCTGGGTCACACATAAAATCAAAAACGCCCCGTGGTTGCTGAACACCTTGAAACCATGGCCACGGAGATGTATCCGGCGGCAACATGACCTGCTCAAAAAAAGCTGGAATCTCATTAACTTCCCGATAGATTCCCATCTGCTGTTCAGGGAGCTGATCTCTATGACGCGGCGGAAGCGCCCCCGTGAGTGGAATAGCTTGGGGAATGGAAGGATCGGACAAGCGATATGCTCCATTTCTATCTGCAAATGCGGCTTGTGGTGGCTGTGGCATACTATAGTCAGCCACAAACGGCTCTGTTGATGATGGAGTGATTTGCGACTCTTCAATAAAGCCGACCTGCATTTGGGTGTCAGGTGTTCCGTCTTCTGAGATTGGAGTAGATAAAGTCTTATTGGGGGACTGTCGAGGCTTTCTGGGGGCGCAGGCAAAGCCTTTTCGTCGGCATCTCTAAATTCGTAGTTGATTAGCGGAAGACAAAGCATAAAATGAATAGCAGTCACTCACGGTACATGGTCTGTTATGATCGCAGCTTACTTTTGAAGCTGCACATTCCTCGCAGGCTTGAATGACCCTTCCCCTACGCTTTGCATTCGGTCTTCCTTCTATGTGAAGCAAGCCGTGTCGCTGCAGCACATCCCTGTTATTCTAGTGTCAGCAACCACACAAGTCTTTCACATGAAGTAAGCTTTTGACCTTCGATTGAAGCCCCTCCCACAAATATTACACTGAAATGTCCTCTTATTCTGATCTATAAGCTTCCATTAGCCAGTTTGATGAGCCAAGTCAACCTAGCCGCTTACGGGAATCTAGGTGCCGCGTCAAATGATCTGATCTTTCATAGACTCGGTCACAGTGTGGGCAGTAGTGCAGAGACTCTGCATCCTTTGACCGAGGAGACTTGCGCGATTCTGCTAGTTCGGCCATGGTGGCCGGATATGGGCGGTTCGTTAGCAAGTGGGAAGCCGATAAAATTTGCGGAACCGACTAATGCAGGGTCCAATGCCTGCGATCTCAAAAAGGATCCGTCTTTAGCCAATTAAATAGACAGTGTATTGAAATAGATTAGAAGCAGAGCTATAGAAATCGAGTCGCGAGCTTTTGACAGGGAGTAGATGCAGCAGAAAAGCGTGTACCTGGAGAGAAAAATCCGGGGCCCCTCATTGCGCTGAGAGCCGATGTGGAGAACAATGTGCCGATGTTGGATTAGGGTTATTTCACGAACCCGGTTATGTACTGCAACGAAATGACTCGAACTATAAGCTTGGAAGTATTTTTTACATATTTTTATGTTCTATCATATAATCTAAGCCTGGAACTAGTCACACCGGTTTGCGACTCCGTTATGCCTGCTTTTGCAGCCACTCTTTGGCGCCGTTATACATGCAGTTGTAAGCCATGAATTCATCCGGCCTCCTACATGTGAAAAAAGTTGTTAGAATGAATCCAAAACCTCTGCTATGTAGGGTGCTACTGACATTGTGACCGTCTTCTTCCCTTTTGCTGTACCGGGTTTTGCAGCTTGTCGGCTATACGCTTGTATGAGACTCGCACGAGCATGTCGACTCTGGAATATGTTCTGTTGCTCATCAGTTACATATTGTTAGATATTTCGTATTTTTCAGGACATACTGTGAATATAGAACTTATTTCTTTGATGGACGGCTTCTCAGTGATATCCTCGAAAAAAGCACCCAGGGCCTCGGAGTCCTCAATTGCTTGACTGGCTCCTTGACCCTGTGTAGGAAGCATTGCATGGGCGGCGTCTCCCATCAAAATGAGGCGGCCTCGAGACCATTTCTCCAATGAGTCCTAGTATACAATGGTTAGCATGATTACGAGAAAGATCGATTGGCTATTTTGGTATATGATGATACATACAATATCTCGCAGTTGCCATAACCCTAGATCTGTTGAATGTCTATAACAGGTCAGAGGAATTTTCAAATGAGAGAAACAGCCACTCACTTAAATATGCTTGTTATCCAAGAAGGGAACTCGGAGAAAGTCTCCTGCAATTTTTCCAGGCTTCCTTCCGAAACCCAAGACTGGCTTGCATTGGGATCCTCGTTCATTCGCTCTAAGCAAAGTCAGTAATCAGTATGTACCATGACACTATGAACTGGTAACATACCATCCGAGACCATTGCAACAATACCAAAAACATCACCTTGTCTTCCCGGACCCATGATTAGCCGGCAATCGTGGGCAATAACCATTGAAGTGAATGGGCTTCGAGGATTGATTCTGTCGCAAAATTCCTTCTCGTGTTCTTCAAGCACCCTTGTGGGGAACTATTCAGTAAGCATAAGCCTTCAAAGCTTTCTAGTATTGCTTACCATCAATCGATATGCTGATCATAATTAGGTTAGCTCTTCGACTGACGAGGTTTGGATCTCACCTGAATGGCCCGTGGGCTTTGGAGTCTGATCATGATCGACTACATAATTGCGCAAAATGCTATGTCTGTCATATAAATTGATTAACAAAGTTAGTAATCAATTACTAGAGAACGTTATCCTACATTCCATCTGCCCCAATAATGACATCTCCCTCAATCTTTTCACCATTCTCAAGATGCACTATCCCGTTCAACGGATCACAATCAACCACCCGGGATGCAACCCTAATGGTAGAAGTCTTCTGTGCAGCTTTTTTAAGTGCATCATGCAAGTCCATCCGATGATAGACAATACGGCTAGCGCCATATTCTATCTTCGTTGTAAGTGGGACTTCAGTCACTAATTTACCCTCTGTTGAATACACCCGGAAACCCTCGTCTACCATTGAGCGGGCATCCTCAAGCTCTTCGCCCAATTTCCATGTATCATACACAATCTTTGTAGCATTTGGCTGAAGAGAAATCAATGCTCCGATCTCTTTATTGAGTCGAGACTGCTCAAGCACTGTGATTTGCCTGTCAGGGCCGCGGAGCGCAATAGCAGCCGTGAGGCCGGCTATACCACCACCCACAATAACAATTCGAAATGGGTTGCTTTCTGTCATTGCGTGTATGAGATCTGAGACTGCAAATCTGAAATTAGTATAGCACCTTCCTTTTAGTGTTGACGCCGATTTGTGTCAATGCTCTGAAATCTCAACACTTTGTCGATTCCTCCACCCCCACACCGATATACCGACACCGAACATTCGCCTCCTCCGCTTTTCCTTCCACCTCTGTACCGACATATCAAAACAAAAGCTTGCGTATCCAGCTGACAGACGAAGACTGTCTCTTTAATTGTTCAAATCGGAATAAAATGTGGGCAGTGGGGAGATGGAAGGATTCGACAACATCATACAGCGCAACGAGGTATCCAGAGTGCACAGTATAAACTGTCCGTTGCGATCTCTCGACATTGGGTTTGATCTTCGAGATATCAACAATAACAATCACACATTCAATTCTACATCATGTCCACCACTACTGTTACTGAGACCATCGCCGCTCCTGCGCAGAGCCTTCGCATGCGCGTCGACGGCACGGACCCCAAATTCGGCGATTTCAGAGATGACCTTGCCCGTGACGGCTACGCAGTTGTCAAGGGCGCCATACCCCGTGACCGGGCTTTGAAATATGCTGATGATATGTATTCGTGGCTAGAGGGCTTGTAAGTTTAGCTTCTGCACGTTTGTTTTTAGCAAGGCTCGTGCTAACAAAAAGCAGTAAACTTGGCTACGACCGCAAGGATCCTCAGAGTGTTCACAAGGATAAACTTCCTGTGATCAATGAGAAGGGCATGTGCTTGCAATATGCTGTCGCACATGAGAAATTTACCTGGGATGTTCGCTCCGAACCCGGCGTAGTTGAGGCATTCGAAAAAGTCTACGATGACAAAGATCTCATTGTTTCTTTCGATGCAGTTAATTTTGGATTCCCCAAGTAAGCCTCTTTAAGCTCCAATCACTATCTCGTTTTGGATTCTAATACATAGCAGCCGTACCGACCTCCCTGCCAACAAGCCATGGCCACATCAGGACCAGGACCCTTCCAAGCCCGGCTTCCGTTGCCTTCAAGGCTTGGTCAACCTCCTTCCCAACGGTCCCAATGACGGTGGTCTCATTGTCTGCCCCGGCGCCCATCTCCTCTCTGAAGAATTTCACCGTGACATGGCCGACGAAGAGCGCATTCCCGCCTGGACACCTGAATGGTACGGATACACCGAGCGAGGAATGAAGTGGCTCGAAGACCACGGATGCAAGTGGAAGAAAGTCTGTGCTGAGCCCGGTGATCTTCTCATCTGGGACTCTCGCACCCCTCACTATAACCTCAGCCCTAAGGGTGAGACCCCCCGTTTCTGTATTTACACTTGCTATATGCCCGTCGCGGATGCCACACAGGAGGACCTGCAGCGCAAGAAGGAGGCATTCGAGAAGCGATTGGGAACTACTCACTGGCCTAACGCAAAGCACACTGGTTCCAACATTGCTAAACGTGATGGTCAGGAATGTACCAGCAATCGCTTCGAGCCGGTTAATGGAGTCGATCTTGGCGAGCGAGCTTTCAAGCTTACAGGCATTCCTTATATCAAGGCCCAAGCTTAGATGTGTATTTAGTATAACGAATCTATTTTTTTTATCATTAAATGTTTAATAGTCTTAGATCTCTTGCCATCGCTTTTGTTAAGTACATATCGATGAAAGCATTGATAATATCTAGGCCTTCGCGGAATATTGCACAATCTATCTAGACAATCGGGCGAGCTCCTGCAAGATCCGGCACCCCCTCACCTTCAACAATCTTTGCCTCGACAATATCGTATATAGGAAGCTCGGCCAATCGACTAATTACATGGTGTAAAGTGGGTAACTGTTCCCAATCCAATGGGTCAATCGCAAAGCTGGCCTTCTGAGCCTTGTATGTCTTGTGGACCTTAGCTTTGGTCTCATCGGTAATTGCGTCATATAGGACAGTATATTCTTCAACAGCCTTGCCCTTGTTCTCGGGCCCAGTGGTAGGTAAGTACTTGTATGTAAGAAGGGCTTCTTCCGCTGGCTTTTCTTCGGTTAAGGATGAAGAGTCAACCTCCTCCAGACCTTGTAGCAAGAAGTCTCCCCACAAAGCGCCCTCCCAGCCTGTTCTGACACGGTAGGACGTATTGCGACGGTAGATGTCAATCGTAGAGTAGATCTTGGGCATACCTAGCTCTTCTCGGCCGGAGATGATAGGATCTGTCAACGACTCGAACAGGACGGGAAGGTAAGCTCCTTTGACAGCTGAGCCGTCTTCGCGAGTATATTCGACCCCATGGATGTACAAGCCAATGTGATTGTAACCAGACCCACCCAGCCAATCTAGCTTGTTGAGGGTTGTTTGTGAGAAAGTTGCGTACGCCACGGTGTCATGGACGCTAAAGCGCCAGCCACTGCGCATGGGCGGGAATAAGGCCTCCAAGAGGGTCCTCGAGGTTTTAAATTTAATTGAAGCGGTGCTGAAAGTCGACTTTTGACTATTTTGTGCAACGCCGAAGTGTGTTTGTCGCGGTCCGGGCATAGGTCCAAAGGCAATTGGCATACGCCAGTAAGCGTTTTTGTTACGTTTCCATGTCCATTCTCGAAGTTTTTGAGTCGAATTATCCCACTCATCGTGGCCGAAGTTGTAGTTTTGGAAATCCCATACTACAAGCAACTGGTTAGCAGTGTATCAAAAGTATGAAATATGGTGAACTCACTGTTAGGCTTTTCATCGCCTGGCTTGAGGTCTTTACCCACAAGTCTGGAAAATGACTGGATTTTGGTTGCCCTAGTGTATCGAATCTCGTTGTACAATTCTAGTCGATCCTCGATTTCATCGGTAGTCGTGTCTAGAGACAAGACTACAGCCAAAGCAGCTGCGTCCTCTATAGCAACAGCCGCACCCTGACCCTGATGAGGCAAAAATGGATGAGCTGCATCACCAATTAGGGCCAATCGACTTTCATTGAATTTGGGCAGAATATCCATGTCTAGTAACTTCCAGACACGGACGCTCTCGGGTTCTGCCTTAGACAGTAATTTCACCATGGAGGGGCTGAAAGACGAGAAGATCTTGAGCATCTTGTCGAGATTCACGGATTGATCCCAAGTATCCGATCCAGCTGTTTCGCTCGCCGACTCTTCATCGGGGTGGATGTTTACGAAGTTGAGTATACTATTGTTCGACGTCGGATACATGACGATTCGACGATCGACACCAAACCACATACTTAGTTCACCAGTATGCTGAACCAATGCTGCCGTTTCCGGGTCATCTAGCGCTTTCTGTCTGGGGAGTAGAAAGCGGAACGCGCTTTTGCCGCTAGGGAAGGGCTTAATGTGCTCGCAGTTTGGTAAGGCGGATCTCGAAATCGAATGAACTCCATCAGCGCCGACAATCAAATCTCCTTGAATTTGGGTTCCGTCGGCAAAAGTGATGGTTGCATTATATGGATCGACTCTCTCGACGCGGCTAGAGGTTTTGAATTCAATGGATGCTTTACCATCAGAGGTGGGTGTTGAGACGGCTCTTTTGAGAGCGTCGTGTAACTCGATACGATGCGCCAATTGCCATGGCTAAGATACTGTTAGAGAACTGACAGTTGCGTCATTGGGGATATTTTTGAAACCTACATGTTGCCATCGTGTGTTGGCTTCTTCGACGGAATGTGTGTGCAACTGGTGGCCGCCTGCAGTGTACTCGGTAGTCTTAAAGTGGCAATATGTTAGCACTCATCTGAGGTACAGATACTCGGAGAAAATTACTCTTTGAGTTGGATTTGCCCCAAAGTCTTCTGGAAACAGTCCCAGTCTTCTTAGGATACCATTCGCATTAGGAGCAAGGTGAAGCGCGGCTCCAGTCTCAGTAGCAAACCTCGACTGCTCAAAAATTTGTACATGGTGACCTTGTTTTCGAAGAGCAATTGCCGCTGTCAGACCACCTATACCAGCTCCGACAATCAAGATCTTCAACCCAGCTTTTTGCTCTGTTCCGTTTGTCGGCGCCATTTTGTGGTCTGTCTGAGCGGTTTCGGGTCGATGAGATAGCTCGAGAATACGGTTCCAATGGTTTAGAGAGCTACATCGGCATGATAAATATAAGATCACTTGGAAAATACCTATCCTCATGAATTACTTGCGACCCCACGCAAGAGTCAACATAGTCACGCGTTGTGCAACGGGACAGGTTCGGGTGTATACATTGATATCGGGACCACCCTCTTACGATATGAATGCTCCCTCCAGATGTCGACCTCGCAATTTTGTCCGAAGTGGCTGTTCTTAGTCCCCGCAAAGCAATTCATCTGTTTGGACGGGTTTATCGGACTTACCCCGCGGCGATGTCTGGGACGCTCTAGTACTGTTCAGATTCTGAAGCGATAATATGGCGGGGAATTGTCTTTTCATTCGGGACCTTTCTTTTCCAGTCAAACATGGCTTCAAATGAGTTTTGTGCAATATTTGATGTTAAAATAGAATTTTATTTTTCCAATAAAAAGCTCTAGATATGATTAAAAATCTATGAATGAGATGCTGGTACTCCATCCATGCCATGTCCGTAGTCCTCTCCTAAGGCCTTTCCATCCTCCAACCGCAAAGGCTGCGATTCCTGCAACACAAAAAGTACACGAGCCCATTCCGTTTTGCTGGGATTTCTCCATGCATGCATTGTACCCCGCTGAATTGCTATATCTCCCCTCTTCATGTGTCGAACTTCACCCGAGTCGAGGACAAGGTCGACTTCACCCTCAATTACGACCCCATAGTCAAGACTAACTGTTCGATGCATTGGCGAGAGCGAATCCGGATTCATATCGACGATACGTAGTACCGAGCCACCAGGAATGGTAAGACCTGGTGGGCTTTGAAGATAAGATTGATATTTACCAACATCCTTACCGTCGTTCAAATTGACGGGGAATTCGTTCGTGGTATAACTGAGCGCAAATGCTGCACCGTTTGGCAATTTTTGCCAGCTCAAAGGGGCCGGAATTTCAGTGTTGAAGACAGCTTTTCCATCCTGTCTGTGATCTGTAATATAGCGATTCATTTGAGGTAGCCCATTATCGAGGATCTGTTCTTCGGCCATTGTTTTGAGGGTAGAAAGGTATCTGCAAGGTTCGGATAGATGAAGATTGAGTTTTGAAAGGTCTGCTTTCTTTGAGCAAGTCTGCGAATTTCAGTTCAAAGTTGCGCGAAATGAAAGAGATTCTTTTTTCTTCGATTCGAGCAGAAATATTCAATTCACCCTCCAAAAACCCCACCGGATGAACGTGAGGAGGTGCCTGCGCAATCTCACCCGAGTTAGGGTTTACAACCCCAATCGGGTCTAGCGTTATACATTCTTCCCAAATTGACTTCCCGAAGTGGAGGAGCCGAGGAGTAGGGTATGTGGCCCACTTACCCATACATCTTCGTACCTGAATCGCAATGCTTGACGTGAACTTTTGTCTTGGATTAGAATATATTTCTTACAGCTTCTTTCTTCCTTTTTTCCGAAAGAGAATTGATCGCTGTTGTAAAATCAGATTGGTACGAATTTCCAGACGCTCACCATGCCGAACGAAATAAAGGATATCAGCTCGGTTGACAGCACGTCATTCCCTTATATCTTCGAACAGAATGTAGACGTGCCCCTCAAAGCTGCTAGTGGTCTCGTCCGCGTGAACGTTTACAGACCCAAAACCGAGGATGGCGCTCGTGTACCTGTTGTTGTCACTTACGGACCATACGGAAAGGATATTCATTACAAGGAGTGCGTGATGCGCAATTGCAATGTACCTACTTTGAAGGTTTCAAACTAAGTTTATTTTTGTGAATAGTTTCCATCCCCAATCATACTCTGAAGTGAACCCGGAGCATCACTCAGACCATTCAGCTTGGGAAACCCCAGATCCAGGTTTCTGGACTCGCAATGGGTACGCAGTTGTTCGCGCCGACGAGCGTGGACTTGGTCAGTCCCCAGGTGTTTTAGATACCATGTCTCGTGGTACCAGTGATGCCTTCTTTGATGTGGTAGAGTGGGCAGCAGAACAGCCATGGTCGACGGGCAAAGTTGGTCTTTTGGGAATTAGGTACGAACACTTGATTCCTTTGTCGCATCCTGGTCATGACTGATATCTTGTAGCTACTATGCTGGAAGTCAATGGCGTGTCGCAGCTCGACACCCTAAGGGATTATGTGCAATGATCCCTTGGGAGGGTATGTCCGATTATTACCGGGACCGATGCCGTCAAGGAGGCATCCTTTCCAACGGATTCATCAAGTTCTGGTGGAATCGCCAGGTTATCACCAATCAATACGGTCGTCCAGGAAGATCTGCTCGCAACTGGGGTCCCGATACAATTGAGGGAGACCTAAGCGAGGAGGAACTTGCCGCCAACCGCAATGATCAGACTGAGGATAACGCAGCAAACAAATTCCGTGACGAGCCTTATTACGCCTCCAAAGAATATAATATGGGTGATATCCAAGTCCCTTTGCTGAGTGTGGCCAATTGGGGTGGAATCTGCTTGCACCTTCGCGGAAATGTGCAGGGATGGCTCTGGGCAGGCTCTGAATTCAAGTACCTTCGGTTCATTACTGGTCGTCACGACCTTCCATTCTACTACCATGAAGAGGTCGAGATCCAAAGAAGCTTCCTTGATGCATTCCTCAAAGGCGAGGACCGCGAGGGATGGTCCGTTAAGGGTAAAGTGGCTCCTGTCAGTATTCTTTTACGCAAAGGTAACGTAGGGTTCAACGACGCCGAAGCTGAAAAAGTCTATACTCGACGCGAAGAAACCGAATGGCCCATCAGCCGAACGCAATATACAAAGTTCTTCCTCGACTCAACCGGCTCACTTACGACTTCTGAGCCATTGGTGAAGAGATCTGAGAAGCTATCATACAAGGCACTAGGCACAATTGAGCAACCTGAATTAGTCAAGTTCGAAACAAAGCCTTTCGAGGCTGAAACTGAAATCACCGGACACGTGGTGGCACACCTGAATGTATCTGTGACTCCTTATTCGGGTAGTGAGTCAATCCCAACTGATATTGACTTGTTCGTCACTTTACGATACTTCGGTCCGGATGGAAAAGAGGTTTTCTATACAGGCACAGCAGGTGACCCAGTTCCATTGACCAAGGGATGGCAACGTGTTAGTCTACGCAAGGTTGACTCTTCTCACTATAAGAACAAGACCTGGCTTCCTCACCGCAACTACACATCTGCTGATGTAGAGCCAGTCATTATTGGAGAAGTCTATCCAATTGATGTGGAGATCTGGCCGACCAATGTGGTTGTTGAGAAAGGAGGAAAGATTATTTTCGAGGTGGCATCGGGCGACACCCAAGGAGCAGGCATTTTCTTGCACAATGATGCTGTAGACAGGTATGTTCAACCCTTGTTGCTTATTTCGTTCGAAAATCTCTGACATGATGCTTTCTCTTTTTAGATCGAAAGAGAAACTTGACGGATTGAACCATATCCACTTTAGTCCTCACTTCTCGAACTATCTTACACTACCAATCATACCATAGTCATGAGTGAATGATGTTGCCATGAATGTTTATCAAGAAAAATTAGCTCCTCTATCTCAAATGTGAAAATTTTCATCCAAATTTCGCCCATGGATTGCATACATGAGCCCTAAAATATCGATACATTATTAACGGTTTAAATTTCAGCACCAACGCCGGTTCCTTCAACCTCAACGTATAATAATAGATGGCCAGAAACAGCTCTCACCTCCATCTTCTGTCAGCCTCTAAAATTCCGCTTGGATTAACGGCCGCAGAAATTGTAGCATGTGCGGCCGCATCTTGTCCTCTTCGTGAGATACACCGTCAACTATGGTCAATTGACATGATATTCCCTCGCATTCCCATGCTCCTTTTAAGTCGCAAATAGATTGTAATCTGCCCTGTTTCATCCGTTGCAATTCCTCATTCTGCCCATCTTTGTTTTTTTTCCTTCTCATCTTCTCCAGCTCTAACCAGTTCCAAAACTCCTCGCTCCCATGAACCTGATCATCTGCGGATCCAACAGCCAGTTGTATAGGAACCTGTTGGATTAGTTCCTTCCGGGTAGGTCGGCCAAATAATGTCTCCACGTTTGCTATACCCTCTGGCCATGGTTTTTCGAGGTTCAGCGTTGTTGTACGGCCCGGGGCTCCCACGCTGACTGCCAATAGTCTCTCGGGATATAGATAAAGAAATCTTTGAGTAAATTGACCACCGCCTGAGAACCCCATCATAAAAAATTTGTCCGTCCGAATACCTGGCCATCGAGCCACGACTTCTTCTAATATGGACACAATGGCAAGGTCCGCCGAAAGAGACTTTGAGCGAAGTGTTTTGTAAGAGTCTAAATCATTCGATCCATCGAGACCGCTGGGAAATAATGGGGCGAGAATTGTGCAAGGGGTCGAGTTGGCAAATGAGACTACATCTTCGGCATAGAGTGCGGTTATTTTACGCCGAGTGCCGTGCACCCAAACTATAAGTGGGAGTTTTTTTGGATCTGAAGTTGTGTCGTAATGTTTTGGGGGTATATAGAGTGCGTAGGATACCCGAGGATCCGAATCAAGGGCTTTGAGTGGTGTATGGCCAGTCAAGTATGTGGCCTGGAGGAATTGAGGAGGAACCTCCGAAGTTGACAGTGGTTTGTGCATTATCAAAGTTCTTAACACGAGACAATTGAGGAGTCTCGATTTCAGACGACTTAATGCTTACGACTTTTATAAATGCGGATCAAACAGCGAGCATCGGTTATCAATGCGAACTTCGGTCTAGGGTTACCATGGCTCTATTGACATATCTGTATCAATCAACAATCAATGAAACAATCATGTTGATTCCTTAATTCGTCTTTCCTTGTGAAACGAAATGACTAAAAGTTATGCTCCTGCTTTAAAGTACGAGAAAACCAAATATCCATCCATGAACCTTGGAATATATTACCATTCTCCACCAATCTTGTATCCAAATACCTGATCATTGATCTTTTCACCGGTCATCCTCCACAATTTATTTAATCGCTGTACTCGGTACTTGCATTAGTCTTTGCGCATGACCATCCGAGGGGGAGGAGGGGGACAAGGGCAGCCCCAAACATACAGCATTGTTCCTCACACCCAAAAACATCATTGTAATAAAGGCTCTCTCTGCACCATTGATATACACTCTTCGTTCCCCTTGGTTCAAATCATGGTTGATCGGTCGGTATGGTGGAATCCGGCGATAATGATTTGCCCATTCTGGGCCCTCACGGTCCACGTGTGTCGGTTGTTGGGATGTTGATGGTAGCTCATCTTGAGTTTCGTTATCAAGAGAAGGTGATGAAGGAGAAGTGTTAGAATGGTGTACTTCGTAGTCTGATGGATAACCAACGACTCGCAGACGGGTTTGCGACTCGGTCGTGGAGGTGAGGGTTGACGTTCGTGACATTTTTGATATTGTGGTGGTTCTGGTTATCCTGGGTTTCGAGGATAGTTGATGCGGATGCGTATATGTTGCTTAGTCTTTAATCCAATATCCCGGAGGCACTGTAGTAATACAAACCAAGTGCTGATGGCGTCTGTTACATTGCCTGTTCTCGGGTATGTGGAGGGGGGCACACCCACCTCGGATATCAACCCTACGTGATGTGGAGGTCCCCAGGAACCGCCAACTCCGAGCTCTGCCTCACACACGATCACATGTGCTATGTTTTATATTCTTTAAAGCTGATAAGCTAGAACAAACACTTGCGTCCTCATACTGTCTTTCTTGGTTGCAGCTTAGCATACCGCAATACCACACATCATGTCGCAGACACTTCGACCAATCCGTGAAGCAGTCATTGATGGGCGCACGAAAAACATCATCTGGCGTCAAATTCAGCTTGAGAATTTGCAGCGCACCTTAATCGACAATGCGGATACAATTCAGGCTGCTATTCGACAAGATAGCGCATACACCACCACCGAAGCCGCCATTGAGTACTGTCTAACTCTAAAATGTCTGAATGAGAACTATGAGTCGTTGGATGTCGAGCAAGCTCTGAAAGATGAGTATGCGGTCGCACGAGGAGAGAATGCCGAAGATTTTAGAGATCCGGTAGGAATTGTGTATATTGTTCCCACGACGCATAACTTCTTCTATTCGATCGTTAGCGCTGTAGGCGCAGCAATCACAGCTGGCAACTGTGTCGTTGTTGAGGTATGTCGTCCCATGGTCAAGCGCATTATTCGAGCCAATCTTTACTAATTTTACGCAGCTTCAGATCACCGGTGGGCAAAAAGCCGTCTCTGAAATACTACAAAACCTTTTGAAGGCCTCTCTTGACCACGGTGTCATCGAATTTGTCTCAACCCGTGCCAGCGACGAAGACCTCTCACCAAGCCACATCCGGCTTTTCCAAGAAAAGTCACAGAATGAACGTCAACCCGCTTCCTCTAAGAGTCTCTTTCCATTATCATCCGCCACCCGGAGTATCGCCATCGTCGACCGTACTGCTGATCTCACTGGCGCTGCAGAAGCGATCGCCACGGCGCGATTTGCCTATGGCGGTAACTCTCCCTATGCGCCAGACTTGGTGTTGGTGAATGAGTTTGTGAAGAGCCAATTCCTTCGCGCACTTATACAAGCTACTATGGATCAATTATCGCTTCGAATGTCGGTTGATGCAAAATTTTCTCCGTCGCGGAATACTCAGCAGACCGCGAGTTTGATTGCTGCTGAGATTGAGGGGAAACGAGCTATCAGTCTTTCCAGTGTTGGCGAGGGAAGCTTGGTAGATGTTACTAGCAGGTATGCCAGATCATTGATTCTGTCTCAGTGAGAGGAAAAATTACTAACATTGCGTACAGAGATTCACAATTGCTACGGAGCAAAATCCGAGGATACAATATTCTGCTCCATAGCGTGCGGTCGTTAGACGATGCTATTGACTTAGCTAGTCAGTGAGTATTTCTCCACGGTAAATTAACAGGACTAAGATGTATTTACTAACTTTCTCATAAAGACATGGAGAACTACTAGCTGCATACACATTCGCAGACCCTGCTTCAGGGAAATACGTATCTCAATTCGTCCCTTCGCAAGTATCTTTCGTCAACCAGATTCCGTTTGAAATCTTAGGTAAGAATCACCTCGCTCCCAACTTTTCATCGCAGCCATAACTGACACTAGACTTATTTCACAGTTGGGCCCTCATTCCCCGAAACATCTCCCCTAAACCAATCCCTCCATATTCGCTACCCAACAGACCTGTTCTCCATCCCTAGGCCCCAATATATCCTTAAAACACCACTTTCCCAACAAATCCAGCAATACTTCCTCCTCAAGGGCAGCAGCAGCAAGAACACATCCCCAGCCGTCTGGCAGAAAACCTTGATAACCAGAATCTCAAAAAGAATCTCCGCTACAAAACAGAAACGTCGTCCAGGCGGGCAGGTGGGATTCTTTGAGCAGGGGATTCTGCTTGGATTGGGAATGACTGGTGTGCCGATTTTGGTTTGTGTTGGTACATTAGCTTATTATGGATTGGGGTTTGCGTGGAGGCATTTTAGGCACTGAATATGATGTGAGGGTGGGATAGAAGAAGGAGGGTTTTCGTGTATAAGTATGATGCTTTAGCTTGAAAGAGAGTCGTTGAAGATACATGATTTGTTACTTCAAAATAAAGATAGGTTCCCGTACACATTTGTGTGGTGTGGTATAATGTGTAAATATCGTTATATCATACAAAAAAACTACCAAGGTACAATCATAAAGCCATAAATCATGGCATCCATGGTAGGATCTCATTGCACACCATCACGTTGTCTCTCAATCAAATGTATCAAATTCGCCACCAAAGGCGGTTGTTGCGAGAACTTCCACCGGTAATTTTGTTCCATCAATCTGATCATTAGATCCAATACTTCCTGTGGATGATATATATGTACTGGCATAGCATCACCTTCAAAGCCCTGTAGAACCGGGGTCCCTCTTTCAAGCGCAATATACCGGTTTACATCATCTGCTTGTATCCCGTCTACATAGACTTTAATCGGGTCAAGATCCATCGAGTCTCGGCTGTAGGGTGGGAGCGGAGCAATAGCAGTTGATTGTTGCATATCTATGTTCGGTGCAGAGGAGATCATAGACGGTTGTTGGAGAATAGGTCCTCGTCTGACAGTACCATATGCCCACAGAGTCAGACCAGCATGATAAAGTGCAACTGCACCGAAATCTCGAAGGTCTTGCGATGGAAGTAATTTTATGTGTTTGATTATCTGACCTGCATGCCACAGGGCCTGCCGAGATTCTTTGCGGTTCGCCCATTCATGGAGGGATGCTCGCGCTGGGTGGTACGTTTGTGGTTCAGCTGTAGTCAGGAATTGGACGTCTTCCAATGAGACGTGCATATTCAACAATATGACATGCAGACTAAGCGCGCTCTCATTTTCGTATGCAATTCGATAGTAATCAAGTATTCTAGTAAGCTCCTGATATCGAGATGTGAGGACTAAGCCATTGTCCCAATAGCGCGGCTTGTTCTTGAGTAATTGGTCGAATTGACGATACTCTCTAACAATGCCCCAGAAAGCATATATCACCGCTTCGCAGGACATCTTAAGGTCGATGAACCTCTGACTCAAGTCAAGGAGGTCCAAGTTTGCGACACATTGAATCACTGTGGGCACAGACATGGAGTTCATTGAAGCCAATTCTTTGCAGTACAAGTCGTGCCACTCGAAGGCCGAGCTTGCATTCCAAAGAGCCGATGTTGCTGGAAGTGGGACGGCAAACTCGGCATATGATATTAGTGGAGGGCTCAGTATGGCCAGCGACGTCTGTGCATCATGTTGGAAAAGCTGAATCGCAAGTCGCTTGAAGCTCTCCTGTCTAACCCAAGTCCTCCATGCCTCCTCGAGCGAGTGGCCTGTTTGATCATCTGGCAGGGGAATAAAAGGATAAGATGACTGATAGTACCACCCTCCGCGCCGCATCATTGTGATCAGCAGCTTTTGGATGCTCTCAGCGATCTCAATCTTCCGACTATTTCCGCTCCATAGTCCGATATCTAGATAGAGAAAAAATGCTTGATGCATCTCGAGATTCCGGGCAGCAGTGTTATCTTCCTCTACAGCGGCTGTGAGCTGGATCCGCATCACTTCGTGCATGGCGTAGCCAAGTTTTCGTAATGCAAGATCAGGTGCAAGAACAGCACCGGCCGCAGCCAATCCGAGTAACAACTCGGGCCGAGATCTCTTGAAATTAAGTGTCGGTAGATGAACCCATGACCGGACATTTGAAAATGGTGCAGTCAAATAGTATTGGATAAAACTGTCCAATAATTCTACTGACGGAAATGATAAAGGGTGAGAAATATTCGGCTGCTTCATCTGGCGGAGAAAGATACCCAGTATCTTGTCTCGCGAGGACAAGTCCAGCTTCTCGTTGGTCGTTCTATGCTCGACTTCGACAAGACTCTGGGGTGTCGGGTTCGACTCGGGCTGATCTGGCAGTAGCAGATTATCGTGCTCTGCTAGACCATGGTCCTGAGGCGCAGGAATAAATCGCCACATCAACTTTCCCAAGGATGTCGAATCGGTGATTGCTCTATCATCTTTGGTTATATTAACCTCAGGTGTAGTCACGCTCGGTAGCGGTAAGGGCTCGGGTGGAAGTTCTCCGAACTCAAAAGGATTCCGGGTATTGTACGACTCAAGAAAGCTCAAGTCCACATTACTCAAATCAAGATCGGTTTCAAGGCCAAACGCAATCAAATTACGAGGTGTTCTGATGCCGCTAGGGTAATTTGAGCTAAGAGTGTTTAAAAAGGCGTCATGATGATAGTGCCCCTCAGGGGCTAGCGAGTTCATTTGTTCAGGAGGTACGATGGATAATGCGGGCTCAACAGATACCGAAGGAAAGCTGTCAGGCACCTGTTCCGACTGGCCTGGCTGTTCTGCCAGCCAATGAGAGTCTTCTGGTTCGATTTGTACATGCGACGAATCATCATGTCGGCTGGGAGAAGTATCACGAACAGAGTTCGCATTCTGCTCTAATCGTGGCGAAGATTCGGAACCTTCGTTGGTCCGAGAAGCCACCCTACACACAATATTTCGGCGCTGACATCGGCCACAAGGCTTCGTGTCATCGCACCTCAGATGGTTTTCTGCACAAGCAACACATGCTTGCGAAGTCCGAACCGGTATACTTCGGTCATTGGCGCCGCGCCGACGCTTCCGTGAAGAGGGAGAGTCGTTGTCGGCATTGTGGAGAGCGGAATGCCGACTTAGCAGATCACTAATTCTCGAGTATCAGCATGGTGTAATACTTACAGTGATAGTAGACTCACATTCGGCCAAATTTCTTGGCACACACATGGCATTGATACGGCTTCTCTTGAGTATCTTGAGTACGGTTAGCAGGAGGTAAGAATAGCCGTGTCCCGAAAGACCTACGTGTCCGCACATGCCGAGAAAGATGGTCGATGCGTTTGTACGTTTGCGAACATTTACCGCATTGATAGAGATTCGGATTCGGATGGCTAGTGCCTGGCAACATGTCTCCCCGGGGCACCATCTGATCCTCCGTTGCTGTTGTTGACATGATGTCGGGTAATGTTTGAGAAGGTCAACTTGTCCAGGGAGGTTGGAGTTGATAAGAGGGAATGTGGAGGTGCCTCGGACCCCGCGTTTCCTCCGGTTGCCCCAGAATCTGTGTCAAATTTTTGCAAGGGTACTCAACGCTTCGTCCAGCCAACCACGTGGGTATACCCTTCCAACTCAAAAGACGAACCAACAGCTAGCCCCATATTTAGTCGTCTGGCTTGGCTGAATTGATAGCACTAAAGGAAAAGAAGCTGTTCTAGGTTAGCTGGATGGGGCACATCGGGAGCTGCGTCCTCCACCTCGGAACATGACCTTTGCGATTGGGGGTATGTGGGGGTGGGGCCGGACATCCAGCTATCCACCAGCATAGAAATGTCCACACCGTCTGTGGATAACTGTCTAAGCTAGGTAGTTAGAGATCTGAGTAGGAAAAAGTCACAGGTGCGAAATCAAAAATCAATATGGCTAGTATGCATTATCCCGTTGTATAGATCGAGAGAAAGTGTCAGCTCACAATGTCTGCAGAACCAACACCAGTGCATTTCTTCTCCCATGGCTCGACTATGATGTTGGGCGAGGAGTCCACATCGGCCGATTATTGGAAGAAGTGCGGCGATGAAGCACTTGCCAACGGCATCAAGGGAGTAGTGATGATGGTATGCCCATTCTGGTAGTTCTATTTTTTCTCTGTCGGGCAGATAATTAACAAAAGCACAGGGAGCTCACTGGGACTGCTCTGGACTCAACAAGATCCAAGTCGCAATGAACCCTAAGCCTAAAAAATCACCAGTCGCATATGTGCATCCATCAAAATATGTCGATTATGAGCTTGCGCCAGACCTAGAGCTAGGTCAGAAGTGTCTCGATCTCCTGAACAAAGATGGCTTCGATGCCTCCGCCAACGAAAGCTTCGACTGGATTCACGATACATATCTCATTTTGATTCGCATGTTCCCCGAGAAATGCCCACCGACTACCATTATATCTGCCAATTCTCGCTTTGATCCTCATTTCCATATGCGTGTTGGAGCTGCGCTGCGACCACTTCGTGAACAAGGATATCTGATTATTGGCACTGGCGGCGCTGTACACAACCTTTACCGTAATGTTTGGGCACCCATGCTCAAATACTCGGATAATTTTGCACAACTGACGCCTCCCGGAGACTGGGCAATGGACTTCCGGCAGGCGTTTGAGGACGCTATTGTTAATAACAGTGGACCGGCGCTTCGTCGAGCAATCACGCGATTAATGAAGCACCCCAAGTTCAGAGAGGCACATGCAACTGATGACCATTTTATGGCTGCATTATTTGTCGCCGGTGCTGTTGGCAGTGAGCAAGACAAGGGTGTTTATGGAAAGCTATGGGCTGAGACATGGGAGCTCACGAATATGTGCAATTCGCAATTCACTTTCGGAGAATGGTCCAAGGCTCCTCAGGCAGTCTATTGAGCGTTTTGACAGTATTGCTATAATGTACGTTTATAATTGATGTTGGATCATATCTATTTCAAAGTATCACGTGCTTGAGTAAACCCATCATTATCAATGTTTACCTGCTGAAGCAATTAATGCATGCCTAGGTCTAGCATCAATTTTGGCTTGAATTCATAGTAAATTAGCATATTCACTACTCATATGCAGACTATTGGCCTCAATGCTCAGCTTATACACATATCAGATAGGAACTAAAACAACCATTACACCCACACATTTTTAAATTCCCTGTAATCACTTCTCTGCAATCTTAGACTTAGAACCCCTCCTGCATTGGCATTTAGATTTCAATTTTTGCACCATCCACAGCATACTTGGTGGTAAAAGAGCGAATCTTCGCGCCAAAGAAGAACACAATGAAGCCAAAGGCAGAAATGACTCCCATGATAATAGCACAGATATTGAAAGCGCCATCGTATCCTTGCTTAGTGACGAAGTTGGTCACACCAAAAGAGATACCAAAAGAAATTATACCACGAATAGCACAAATTAGGGTTAGGATCGGTACAGCACGCTCACCATAACTGTCAAGCGAGTAGGTATAACCAATCAAGATGATACCGATGAAACCGAAGTAGATACCATTGTAAGTGGTGACAACAGCCCATGATGACCATTGTGTTGGATTCTGTCCGGCTTGACCAAAAATGACAGCAGAAACCAATGTAACCACTACCGGTAAAGTGATGGGGATAAGGCGCAGCTCAGAATTGACCATGCCGTCGCGATTACCGGCCATCCATTTGTATAGTATATCACCACCGTATCCAAGAACAGGGACCATGAGCATGGAGACCACGATCTGACCTCCCTGGACGAGGCCCAGGCTTGTGGACGGGTATAGATAAGGTGGTGAAGCCAGAATGGCAGCAAACTCAGTCGCGGAAACAACGTAGATGCCCAGCACTGCACTGTTCATCAAAACCACCCAAAGAATGTTGGGAAACAAAATACATTGGCCCATCTGTTTCCAGCAAGTAGTGAACTTTGTCCAGTCCGCGGGGCCGTGAAAAATCTTGAGATTGTATGAGAGCGTTCGTGCATGGTGCCTTTCGAAGTCGAGAGGTGGTCGGTTCCTTGTTGTTGCACGTACAAAAGTCGTTTCCTGGGTTTTTTCGTTATGCACATGCACAAGGCCATTGTATGCATCATCTGGTCGTGTGTAGCGAGACTCCGGGATCAGGAAGAAGGCAACGATCAATGTAAGACCGCTGAAAATGGAGAATACGCCGTACCACCACCGCCAGCCTATACTGTTGACTAGATACCCAGTCGCAATAATCAAAGCTGCAGAGCCGGTAGACTGAATAGCGCTGAACCACGCGAGTCTTCGACTACGTTCGTGCACAAAGTGAACTTCCTGTCAAACCGAAACCGATGAATTAGCTTCCATCATACAAGACGCACACAACGAATCGAACATACCTGGATAATTAGAGGGCACAAAGCTTCCGATTGCCCAGCTGCCAAAGAGAGAATATCACGACCAGCTGTATGTGAGCCGAGACTATGGCTTGCAGCACACCAGACAGCACCGACTGTCAAGAGGAGAATAGATGCCAGAAACACAGGACGTCTTCCTACTGCCATGGCAATAGGCATAGCAATCAGATTTCCAATACCCATGAACAGAGTGGGATAGGTCATGAGGTCGCTAGTTCGTGGATTGCCGTCGTAATAAGCGTCGATCGTGTTCAAAATCGCTCCCATACCACTAGTCCACGTCACAGCCAGAATGGAGACTGAATTATGCTGAATATTAGCAAGTTTCTAGCTTTCATAATCAACCCTGAACAATGTCTGGGGAAGAGTTTCTGGGTGTGCTTACACAGTCCGAGCACAATCGTGATGGTCCATTTGTGCCATTGAGGGAGATTGAGGGGATCTATGAGAAATCTAGTCAGCAAACTGCCAAACATCAAAATTGAAGCTATTCATACCTCTTGGATCCGGCGACGGAGTCGGAATAAGAATCACCTCTCCATCTTCAATCAATCTGACTGTACCAGTCGCCTGGTTCTGCGCTGCCTCCTTGGCTAGTGCCAATTCCTCATGGTGTGTTGCGTCCGCACCTTTATCCATCGTCGCAGAATGAATAATACACAAGTTCGAAGTCGAACAAGAGAGACTCTTAATTTGACAGATGCCGTATTATCCAGATGTCAGATTTGGCCTGTCATTCTTATATTCCTGGTTCTACATGTATTTCCCCATGGGGTTTCCAAAGCTCGAGCAGACACCACGGCTGGTTACAACCAGGGTGGGCAATTCCCGAACCGATGCCCTAAGTCCTCCACATTAGATGTCCATCTTCCGAAGAGCTATATTTCATATTAATATGATATTGTGGGCGTACTCATGATTGGTGAACACTAGATAGTGATATTCCTAGGACACGTAGACATGGCGATCTGTTGGACCAATTAGGAGTTGTACCCGACGTCTTTGAGTGCAGTTGTAAGTCTAATATGTCCATGTGATGCTGATGTTCCGACTAAAACTTGCGATCAAAAATCGAGTGTGCGCAAGGAATGAAGATGTAAGCCGTGTTGAAAGCATTGGCCCTTAATTGATAGTCAAGAAAAATGCAGGAGCGCTTTTGATATTATTTTCTGATGGAATAGATGTCTATTCAATTATGTCATATAGATGAAAGAAAGTATTGAGTGACAATTTGTACAGCTAGCTAAGACTCGTAAAAACATGGGTAATCATTAATCAGTAAGGAATCACTCCAGCCAACTTCAACAATCTCTCAGTACGCTCCGGCTTCGTAAGAGGCTCCTTTCGCTCCAATGGATCAGGTACCTCCTTTCCATCCACAGTAAGCGTGGCGTCGCCATGAGTATACAAATTGGTATGTGGCCAGTGAGTAGTTGTCTCCCAATTTTCAAAAAGGTCCTTCTTCAACTTCTGCTCCTCTTCCGACATCCATGCAGCTGGGGTATATGTCGCATACACAATGGTTCGAAGCACATCTGACTCTCCGAATTGAGCCCAGTGCATCTCACGCGAATCCCAAATGATTAAATCACCTGGCTCGGCGCAGACTTTGACCAATTCACAGCCGTGTTCACGGTACCAATCCAAATCCTTCTCGGCAAAAGGATGGAAATCCTTGTGTTTGGCTGTTCGCCAAGGAGTAGGTCCGGTAACAGGGTTTTCTTCAAAAAATTTATCGAACAGCGGGGCAGAGCGTTTCATAACGACAAGGCCACCGTCGTTAGGACCGGACTCGGACAAATTCACGATACCCTGAACGCAAACCATGCCACTACGCTCGGGTGCCTGGTCACAGTGTGGCCATGGCTTGGAGTCGTAACCTCCGACAATCTTTGCGGGCAGAGTGATGTTTACTGTGTCAAAGGAAACAACGAGTTCGTCTGTGCCCCATAACTTAGCAAAGGGCTCAATTACACTTGGTTCACTATAGGCAGGAATGTGTTAGCTTTTTATATACATATCGTTTCCAGTATTTCTTACGTTCGAATGTCCCAGACATATTTCTCGTGAGCAGCCCGGAAGTGAAGGTACATGCCACCCTTGAAGCTCTGAGGCACATTTTCTTTTTTCCAAGTCGATTTGTCATTGCGGTCAAATCCAAGTGGGAAGGACTCGAGCCAGTCGAGGGCCTTGCTCTGATACTCCTTTGCACGTTCTTTGCTCAGAACACCCTTGATCACTGCGTAGCCGTTGGCGTAGAATTCGTCCCGGAAGTCACCATACGTTGTCTGGGCATCAAGTTTATTCGAAGAAACTGTGGMGGCCTCGGAAACCTCAATGCGAGATGGTGCCATATTGAGTCTGCTGAATTTGATAATGACAGTATAAACTTGAAGGCTGTCTATTAGGAGATAGATGATCAAGTATGAATGGACTTTAAAGTTCTTGAAAGTCAGGGGCGATTTATATGCCAATGATCCGCTCGCTGAGATCTTTTGGGGCCGTATGATTCAGATGTACTTGTTTCAGACGCGGACTTTGATAGAGTCTCATAATTTGCCACAAAAAGACTGATGCATCGGCTCGTACATCTGAAATCTACCATGCTCATTTGAACTTGCTGTCATTCACGTTCCGAGTGGGGGATGTATGAATCCTACCCGAGATGCCCACACAACCCCGATGAGAAGGCCTCCTCGAACCCAGCAATTGACGAAGACTCTGGAGATGAGCGCGGGTTTCGTGGCAATGTAGCTCAGGTCCGCAGAAAAGATCTAAGTCGAAGGCGGAAGGTAGTAAGAAATAAAACCTTCTGCAGAAATTTCGATCTTGTAGAAATTGACAATTCCTACCTTTTCCTGCTTCCCATCAGATACAATTCACACAGTAGACAAGCATTCTGACACCATGCCTTCTCCTATACCTATTGCTACTCGTCCCATCAACGAGCCTAAAGTGGGGAGGAATAACTACCAACCTTTTGGCTTTCGAGAGGAGGTCTTACCAGCTGGTTGGACAAGTCAGGAAGGCTCACTGCCCCTTCCATGTGATATTCATGCTTCACATGATGTCAAAGTTACAGTTCGCGACGGTGCCAACCTATACATTGATATATACCGACCTAATACATCAGAACCGGTTCCAGCAATCCTTGCTTGGAGCCCCTTCGGAAAGAAGTTTAATGGCATCAGCATGCTGAGAATGCTGCCTTGGGGCCTCGGAGTTCCCAAAGGAGTTATCAGTGGACTTGAGAAGTTTGAAGGTCCTGATCCGGCCTCTTTTGTGCCTAAAGGTTTTGCCATTGTCAATGTGGATGCTCGGGGTGCTGGTGACTCGGATGGAAATGTGCATATCATGGGTACGCAGGAAGCCGAAGATGGCTATGATGTTATTGAAGCCATTGCAAAGATGCCATGGTGCAACGGTAACATTGGCTTGGCCGGCAATTCCCATCTAGCAATTGTCCAATGGCATATTGCACAATTGCAGCCGCCATCGCTTAAAGCCATCGCGCCATGGGAAGCATGTGGTGATCTGTACCGAGAGCAATTTGTGCGAGGCGGTATCTTTGATGCCGGGCTTTTTGACCTCATCATCGACCACAACATTCAGGGTCATGGTGGAGTGGAAGACTTTCACGAAATGTACCGAAGATACCCCAAAGCCGACTCTTTGTACTGGAAAGATAAGAGACCGGACATTAGCAAGATCTCTATCCCGACTTATATCACAGCCTCCTATACAAGCTTTGTACACACAATGGGTTCCTTGCGTGGATGGCTCCAACTCAGCACCTCTGAAAAGTGGTTACGAATCTGCCCGTGGCAGGAGTGGTTCGACATGTGGAATGATAAAGACTCAGCAGCCGACTTGGCGGGCTTTTTCGGTCTCTATCTGAAAGGAGAAAAGAACGGATGGGAGCGAACTCCTAAATTTAGGACCACTGCGTTGCGATTTACACAGGACCCAGTCTTTGATATTGTGGAAGAAGATTTCCCAATTCCTCGCACAGACTACCGGAAATTATACTTCCAACCTGAGCAGAAATTAGGACTCGAAGCACCTGTTGAAGCCTACTCTGTGTCGTACGACTCCGAAAAATACTTGGACCATGCTGGCTTCACCCATACATTTTTCGAAAAGACGCGACTGATGGGCATTCCCAAGGCGGTCGTCTATGTGTCTTGCGCGGACTTTCATGATCTCGATATTTACGTTCTCGTTCGAAAGCTAGACGCCCAAGGCAAGCCTCTACTCAACTTGAACATTCCTTGGTCATCTATTGCTTCTCAGGGCGCGAGCCCCGATAAGATTGATGAGATTCCACCCAGTCATAAAAACAACCTCTTGTTCCACGTCGGATCTCAAGGTATTTTACGCGCATCAAGGCGGGCTATTGACTGGTCCAAATCAATCCATGAGAATTTTCCATTCCATCCGCACGACCGTGATGAATATGTGACTCCTGGTGAGATTGTGAAGTTGGAAATTGGTATCTGGGCCATGGGTGTCGAGTATGAGGCTGGCGAGAGTGTGAGGGTGGAAGTCCACGGCAACAGTCCCGCTTTAAGAGGAGAGTTCAAGGAGGATAATGAGTTTGCCAGTCTGGCTTCTCACGGAAGGCATCAAGTGTACATTGGTGGAGAGCACGCATCGTACATTATTCTTCCTTTTGTATGATGAAATGCTACATCAGATAAGAATGCAATGTATTCGCTTTGTTGGTCCAACTTATTGGCTGAATTTACTTGGCTCAAATGAATGTTTTGCATAGTCAGCTATACATAATTCTGGGGAATTGCGGGGATTCATGAAAGAATTCATTAACTACGTATGTCAAAATGCAGAAAGCCCCCACCGGATCGGGTAGGTGGAGGAATTCAATAATTACTCTATATGAGTGACGAATGAATGTCAAAGATACTTTAAATCTTAAAATGAATCCAATCTGAAAGTTTTTAAATCTGAGAATTTTACGGCAAAAATGGCTTTCACAATCAGTGTTAGCGCGGATTCCCCCTTTACCCTAGACAACATACCATTTGGGGTAATCTCAACTGATTCTAATCCCAAACCACGCTGTGCGACGGCATTGGGTGATTATGCAATTGATTTGGCAGCATATTGGAAAGATAGAACATATGCTCAACTCGAAGGAAGCAGAAGTCTGTACGGTATTTTCAACCAGGTATTTGACACACCATATCCAACAGCCCTCTTGATCTGAGAAGCTAATTCTACTTTAGGGCTCACTGAATGAATTTGCTGCTCTAGACTCCTCAATCCGTTCAGATGTTCGTAAGCATTTGGCTACGGAGTTAGCCGCCGGAAATGTTTCTGAAACATGCGCAATTCCTCTGAAATCTGTGAAGATGCATCGTCCTATGGCTATTGGAGGGTTCGTCGACTTTTTGTGTTCGCTTGAGCATTGTAAGAATGTACGGCTCCATCTCCCATCCAAGAAGATGGATGTGGGAACACAAGGAATTTCAAGATCAAAGCTTTGACTAACTAGTCAACAGTGTGCTCCCTTGGCCGGTGGAGCGGTTTCCAACAACTTCTATTATGCGCCATCCGTATACAATGGACGAACATCAAGCATTGTACCCTCCCCAGAGCCAGTTCGTCGACCTCACGGAATCATTTACCATCCAGAAACAAAGGAACCAACATTCTGCCCTTCGAAGAAAATAGACTTTGAATTAGAAATGGGAATCTTCGTCTCCAAGCCTGTTCCCATTGGAGAGAGAATATCGATCGAAACTGCAGCTAGCCATATCTTCGGCTTTGTCTTGTTGAACGATTGGTCAGCTAGAGATCTTCAAGCATTTGAGATGAATCCTTTGGGCCCTTTCCACTCTAAGGGTGAGAGATACCATCTCCTGATATTGTCAATGAATTACTAAATTATCTATTTCCTTTTCAGGTTTCGGAACAAGCATCTCGCCATGGATCGTTACCATCGATGCTTTGATGCCATTCACCTGCAAGCCATGGCACGATCATACGAGCACAGAGTTCGAACACCAGCGTTATTCAGATCGAACCAAGGCGACATTTGATATCAAATTGGATGTGACTTTAGTTCGTAAGTTTTCCTTCTTAATGGCCACGAGTCGAAATCCTTGTACAGAATACTAATCTGAGGGATTTGCAGGAAACGGGGAATCTCATAAACTCGCAACCAGTAATTTGAATTATCTCTACTGGACACCATATCAACAAGTTACACATCATACTCTCGCCGGCTGTGGCTTGGAGACCGGCGACTTGCTTGGTACAGGAACTATTACTGGAGAGGTACCATAGCACTTCCCTGCACGTTATCTAAACAAGCTTAGTTAACTAATTTGTGCTCCGCATTTTAGACAAAACAAGAACTTGGCTCTCTATTTGAGGCTACTTACAACGGCACCAAACCCATTGAATTGGCCAATGGTGATAAGCTTGGGTTTTTACAGGATGGTGACGAGATTATTCTCGGTGCGTCTTGTGGAGGTGAAGAAGGTCAACCTCGTTTGGGCTTCGGGGAATGTCGTGGAAAGATCCTGCCTGCTAAATAGAGATTCAGTCCTCTGTAAGTAGAAATGAACTCGGGGCGCGTGCATGTCCTTAATGACGATATAGGGTTACGATAGCCTAAAAAGGACAATTTAGGGGTTTGATATTTTTTCCTTTTCTGTTCAATGCGTCATGTAGACTAAGAGTTGGGGAGGATTTGGTGCGCCCACAAGCTGTTTGCAGGCCAACAGGTTTGCTCTCCAAGCGACTCAAGATTCTAATTTTTTCTGTAAGCATTTTATTGCCGCTTTGTCGAACTTATCGATTGGAATTTGGCTGCGTTATGTATTCAATTGTCTACGACGGATAAGTGGTAGCCTGGGGTATCTCCAGATCGAATCATAGTAACATAGAATCATTAGTTCAAAACAGAGGAACAATGCTTCCAGGTCCTTGAGTGTGATTATTTTATAGTTCGATGGCCCTGGAATATGTCCTTTATTACGTGTTCTTTTTTTAACACATACTGAGATATTTGAGGGAATTGCGAACAATTTGTTGTTGTGCGAACGAAACGGGGGGCTACATTGTACTATCCAAGGGTTGGAGCGATCGAGTAGGTAACAATGAAATGACATCGGTTGTCTACTTTATTAGATCATGGAGACCTCTGTGACAGTCATTGGCTCATAGATTGCTTTCAAGATGCCTGACTAAAGTTGTCGTGTCCAAAATCATTTAAATATCGTGAGGTTCTCAACTCCTGGCCACCTCAGTAAATTCCGTCTAAATGTATCCCACACTAGTAACCAGGGCACATATTAACGGCCCAATTTTGAAAATTTCCCAAACTTTGACCGAAACTTGCTTGCCAGGCTTTTTCCAGTCTCGTCACCGTGTCCAATATCTCGCTGAATCATTCTTTTGATGTTCTTGAACCACCACCCTTTTTTTCCTCTCTCATCACAAGAACGACACTCAATGCAGAGAGCAGGCGAGGTCCAAGTCCAGTACGTATTATTCAAATCGAGATCAGTCATGCCAGCTTCATGAAAGAATCGTTGGAGCCATTCTTGGGTACTATTATGCTCATACACTGGAGGTGGTTGTCTTCCTCTCTCTGCGAAAAACCTCCGTGCTGACCTTCTCTCGTCCCTAAGGAACCTCATCAAGAACCCCTGTTCTTGAAAGCCATACGTACTTTCCACCACCAAAGTATTGGTATCACTCTCCCAATAGAGGACTGTGGAAACATAAAGCGATGAATACTCAAAGCCATTGAAAGCGCGGACATGGCTGCGGTGGCTAGGGCCTTCCCACCTCTCTGGACTGATAAATTTCCAAATCCAACTTGTTAGAACGTTCCTTGAGAGACCATTGGGCATGTCAACATATCTTACTGTCCTAAAAAAGTCGAGTTCCCCATGGTGTTTCAGGCAAGGGCAGATATCAATTATACCAGCAAAGGGCATGCAACCTAATTTGTAGGGAAGCGATTCCTTTGAGCCCAAAATCTTAGAGCTGCCCAGCGCAGAATGTCGATGGAGTTTCCAACACATACGGCAGAATCTCCATCGCCTATTCTGAATCCGATGAAGCAGTTCCACTCTCGGGGCACTATATAAAGTGCCACTACAGCGTGATCGGCTTTCATCTGGTAATAATTGAGAGAGATTATGATTCTGAGCTTCGAGATTTGATAGAAAAGATATCCATAAGGGTTTGCAAGCCAAAGCCAAACAGACTTGGTCTACCTTTGAGAGATGAGAGACGATTTCGTTCAGTACCTCAAAAGGTAGCTTGTCGAATGAGGTTGCATCATGCTTCGGTTTGAGAATTTTAAGACGTCGAAAGCTCATACTGAACTCGTTTCAGATGTAGCGTTACGAGATCTCTGAGCAGCACAGGACTTGATGCAGGACGAATGATCTCTTGAACGTGGAGGACAATGAAATCTGTGAATCTGCCTCAAAGTAGTGTCCTCAGTAAAAAGCGAGGATATTTCTATATCGTTTCTCCCCATTTCAGGCTAAGCTACTGATGGGGGCGTCCTCTAATAAAAGAAGAGGTAAAAACCAATGCTGTCTATTCACAGGCATGATGCTCGTAGTTCACAGAAAACGATGCTATTCACCGGTGAACATGGATAGATAGCAATTTAGGAGATAACAACCCTCACTAAGATTGTTCAGTGCACTCTGTACCTGCTATACCCAACAAACAAGAAATCTTTATATTATTTTTTGTCGTTTCCATGTTGCAAATATTCTTTGTTTGGTACTGGACCTGAAGGACAATGAGCAGCTCTATGTGATAGAAATAAGCCTCTATCTAGTAAACTTTGTGGTAAGCCCACCCACAGACAAGTCACCTCCGAAAGTACTACTAGGGTATTAAATTACCAGAAGACAGTAAGTCGTAGACGCAGTCTAATGAGCGGAACATATTTATGTCAGCTCGTCGTGAAAGAAGAAGTACTCATAGCTCGTCAAGATACCGCGGTTGCTTCAATCAACCGAGGAAAAAACCTTATATGGTTCCAGAACAAGATGTAGCAGATTAAACATTTTCTCCCTTTCAAGCTGAAAAGCTCAATTCTTACAATCGCTGAACGCTCGATTATTGCATTGCGCAATACCAAGTTATTTCGATTCTGTATATGATTCGGGTCAAGATCCATCCAAGAGGTGAGCTCTTCTCCATTCGCTGTTTATTGGCGGGKAGATATGCCGGAATAGCAGCTGGGTTTTATTTAAAGATAGTTGCGTCTAGCCTTTATTCAGGGTCTTAGGCCCACGACATACCGTTGATCCTTGCTTCGATCGATGGAACATCTAAGCGATGTGGACCCGGGTAATAGATCTGGAAAAGAACAGCTGGGGAGATCGATGCACTAGTACAACACTTTGATCAATATTGACGATATCAAGGAAAGATTCATGGAACAAGTGACGGAATATCGATGAAAAGTGACGAGCAGTTCAAAATTATTCATGATATTTTGGATACGAAGTCAAGTTTAGCAAGAAATTCTCAACGATGTGGATAGCTGAGCGTCCACATTAGGACAGCAGTGTACAGTCCAACTCCACATTGACTACACATTTCAAGGAACACTGATGGCCCGAACAGTCGACCTGGCTTTAGGGATAATTACATATCGATGACCGTCTATGATGATTTCCAAGTGAATCGAGCACGAATTGACATATATAAGAGGGTGTTCTCTCCCTCGAAAAGCATTCGATTCAATATCAATCCCATCAATCAATCTACAAAGACAAAAACTACTTTTACCAACACAAAACTTCTTTACACTTCCAACTATCACAATGGCAGACAAGTACAAGCCTACTGGTACGTTCTAATCTTCACCATTTCGAATCTTTTGTCGATTTTATTTGCTAATCAACTCTCCAGAGCACGGCGGCAAGCGCGAGGACGGCCAGCCCGACAAGCGCACCCAGCAAACCGAATTCGCCTATGGCAAGGTTGACCCTCACAAAGCCGGTCAACAGGGTGGTTCTACTTCCGGTGCTGGTGGCAGCGCTCCAGGAGAATTTGCGCATGGCAAAGTCGATCCTCATGAGGCTGGAAAGGAAGGTGGCAGCAACTAATTGGAATTTGGCTGGAAGTGTCAAGCCTATTACGATAATGACGATATGTAATCAGCACGATAATATCTGACTTATGTATGATAATTCAATCAACACGTATATCCTGACTGAAGTTGCATGCCCTAAGTTGATGTGACTCTTAATTTTCAACCGTAAGCCGTACGGCTGACAGAGACTGGAAAAATCTAAACACTGAATTAAATCTGAAACCCCCCAAATTTATTGGACCTGTCTACTTTTCCAATACTGTAATTAGATGTGGTAGGGTGTTAGCTTACTCTGTCATGACTCTGAGTCCTTCCTATTAGGGTTAGCATGCACTATCTTGACGATGCTGCCGATCCATCTAGCCTCCGCAGACAACATCCATCGCAACTTCGGAAGCCAACCTGACTGGATTCGATCCTTGAGAATTGAAACTCGGTGAAGTGACATATTCAGAAGCGACGCTCCACGTCAATTTTTCACCATGGCTCCAACATCCTCGATTCACCTAACATGCCTCTGCGGCTCAATCTCCGAGTCTGGCTCGATTCTATCCGACCAAGAAACACCAGTCTACGCAGAAATGTGTCATTGCGAAACCTGTCGATATACAACAGGTGCCCTGAGCGTAGCATTTTCACCACTCAAATCATCACCCTCTCAGTCAACACTCAGCAAATTACAAGCCTATAGAAGTTCTGACATTGTCACTCGTTACTTCTGCCCTAAATGCGGCTGCTCCTGCGTTTTCTATACGGCCCCACGAAATCAGTGGTATTTCATCAGCGGGGCTATTGAATATGTTCCAACTACAGAAGCCCCTACAGAACCAAACAATATCTTCAGAGTCATGCGCCATGCCCATATTCTTGACACTAAAGATGGCGGTCTTGCGCCGTTTCTACTTCAGCTGGGTAATCGATCCATTCCTACCTGGACTGGAATTCCGCCACCCATGTCTGAATCTCAGGGCTCATTTGATCTTCCGCATGAAAAGATTCTCTCTATTCTCAATTTATCGTCTGAAACCCTTACAGAACCCCCGAAAGAGGACTCGTATTTAACAGCCAAATGCCATTGCGGGGGCGTCAATCTCCGAATCAAACGTGCCAATAATGCACCTGGAGACCAAAATCGCTGGAACTATCCAGCCGACCCAACCAAATATCCAACATATCTCTGCGCATGTCGCTCCTGTCGTCTTTCGACGGGTATATCGCTCTTCCCATGGGCGCTCGTGAATGCCGATAATGTATTCAGTGGCAAAAGCGCACCGGACAGCCCCGCACGCATAACATTCGGATTCGACGCTTCGACTCTCGGCTCAAATCCGGGCCTATCCTTGAAGCATTATTGGTCTTCGACTGATACATGTCGAAGTTTTTGTGAGAAGTGTGGCGCGGCGGTGTCTTACTGGTGCGCTCAACGGCCGGAGGAGATGGATATTACGGTTGGGATTCTGAGGAGCGACGATGGGAGTATGGCGAGGAAATGGCTTGGGKGGGKATGGGGTGAGTGTAGTTTCTCTGAGGAGAGTACTAATATAGAACTCTATGAGGCTTGGACAAGGGCTCCTGGGTTGATCAGGGGATCAATTCGTAGTTAGACTCTGTGGTTTCTAAAAAAGAAAATGATATGTTTGAAGAATGAGATATGGCTTCATGAGTGATCAGAAGGTAAAAAGGCATCTGGAACTCACAACAGCTTGAGCAGCCGTCTATATACGGACCATTCTTTTTCTCGACGTGGTTCCAACATTGAACGTGAAGGTTGATAATGTAATCCAGCAACGAAGAGTAATCCACGGATGGATCGGTGTCAACTATATATTTGACACAGATCGGGTGATTAAAATTACAACAGTTCCCCTAGGCAAACACCTAATGCAAACGCATATCTCACTTTCCTTCACACCAAAACATATGTTCAATAAAAAGCAACACCTTTTCGGAACAGTAAGACTTATCCCATCTTCTCACACTGCTCTGTCTTACGAGTAACACATAGTTTTGCTTGATGTAGCACTTTTCTTCGGTCCCATACATCAATCCTCAGTGGTCTACCGGTCATGATTGGCGCTTGTCACTGCAATAGCAGCAACCCGCGCTAGAACAGGGTTCGACTGGAGGATTTCCTTTTTTACTTTTTCCCCAGCGTATATGATCGGACATCGTGCTGGTTTTGTTTTTAACTTTTTAAATTTTTTTTTTTTTTTGGCTTTCTCCAGATATCATCGTATGGTGTTTGTCAACTGATGTATGTAGGGTGGGAGATGAAATCATTGTGCAGGCTTTTTACTGCCAGTGCGGTTGCCCTCGACCGACTCATATTGGTCCGAGAATGTTTTGTAGTACGTAGGTAGTTTTATTCTTGCAGTTGAACATTTGATACAATATTGGGCTTATACTTGATTTGATAAGCGCAAATACTTTCTACCAGGACGGGTTTGGGTTCATTTGATTCAACTTAAAGCGACGTACAGAGGAGACCTCTGGAACGGTAGAATATATATCGAGGGATTGATTTCAGGTGAAGGCCATACAAGTCAGAACCAGCAAAGCCCCAGTCTATTATTAGAGCACGTTATGAGATTGTATGTATGTTCCGTTATTAATCTCTATCGACATATGCTTGATATGTAGAAGAAAAAAGAAAAGTCATCTGAAAGATGAAGAAAATTAGTCTTGCCGCTGAAGCAGACAGGCTATGTATGCAAAGAATGTTATGTCCAATGAAACTGCCATTTCCCAGAACGCCGACGCTAAATGAAAGTCGATACATATGCCGACTAAATGAGTTCGTTTATTTCATGAAATGACTGTATCGTTGCCTATAGGCGGTTCAGATGCTACAGGTCGTTCGAATGCGATAGGCTGTTCGCATGATATTACTGGTTCAGATGCCACAGGCGGTACGGATGGTGATTGTGTAGAAGGAATGGTTCCGAGCTTCGAGTCCGACTCGGTTGATGGTGAATTGCCTAGCGTCCAGCGCCATTTACACCGACGTTTCTGACTGGTTGAATCGGGCACTGCTGAAAGAGCGGCAGCAATACGATCGTTGTCAATACCATCTCGAAGCGCAGCTGCCCGGATCTGTCGCTCACTCGGAGCGGATTTCCGTTTCTTCCTCCGTATCGGCCGGTTTTGTGCGTCTCCATCGTCCTCTCCGGATGAGCTGTGGTCTGACTGTGAGTCACCAGAGTCAGAGGACTCGGAGCTATTGCCTTCTTCACCCTCAGAAACCGGTTCCTGTTCACTCTCAGAATCGATATCCGAATGTCGCGCCACGAATCGAACGGTCTTGATCTCCTCTTCTAGTTGATTTCGGAAGCCGACTTGTTTCTTGGCGGGGAAGTACACGCGACGATTCTCTGCCATAGCGCCGGCAGATATAGAAACCGAGCGACGTAGCATCATCTTTTTGAGAGGTGAATTGCGAAGAATGCTTCGTACACCGAGCGGCTGCTGATAGGGCATACCATCCGATCGATAGCTGCTAAAGGGAAACGGAGACCCATGACGAGCGCTACCCCCAGCTGATCTACTGGGTGAAGGCGAGTCAATAGCAGATAGCGTTTGCCTTATATCATAAGCATTGCTGAATGTATTGCGAATAGTAGGCGAAGCTGTTATACACGATCGAGCGACGAGCCCCGTGTTCGAGTTTCCGAATGTAGCAGGAAGAGCGGCCGTTTGTAACGAAAGCTTCGGCCTTTTCGTGATGGTAGTGTTGTGCATCACCGATGGTGTTGCTGTGGTTGTAATGGCAATCATCTTTTGCGCGGTTGTATGAGATACAGAGGATGGCGATTCACGAGCGACAGGGGAGATGTGCGATAGCTGCAAGGTCATTTGTATGCTGAAAGATCGTGGTAGAAGTATATATATTATCCCAGTGAAAGAGATGAGACAACCCGGTTGTCAGATCCGATAACAGCACTCTGTCCCACCAGCGTCTGAGGCTAGGTCATTGACGGGGCTGCTTTGTTGAGTACGTATGGTAATGTGTAGAAAGTTTGGACCATGAGCTGGGGGCCAACACAATCAGGCGCAGTCCAACATAATAAACATTGAAAGCTGAATCAGATTGAACTCGGTCAACTTCGAAATACACTTTTTTTTGGCAGTCATCAAGAGAAAATGGGGGTAAGAGCGTATAATAAAGCCATTCAGGACAGTCTTTCTTGTGGTGAATAAGTATGTGTGTTGGTGGGCGGAGAGTCACACTGTATAGATATTAATAGCAAGACGGGGGTGGAGTGAGCCGGAGAGTGGGGGAAGGAGCGGATAGAAGCCAAAGACAAAGAAGGAAGTTGCGTACCCACGGACCAACTGGAAGCTGGCCATACGTAAGCCTTCCTTTCGTCGTCTCCACCTCTCACGTGAGCCAATCAGCAGCGATTGATGCCAACGCCCACGATCATTGGACGCCATCGGTATCTATACTTAGATAAGAGTTCATTGCTAAATTTATCGACCGCCCATAATTAGCGTCAGTCTGCAACATAACTTGGCCAATTTAATTCGATTTAGCTCAATTTGCTGCATTATGGCCGGAATTACCTTTGACCGGCAGCGAGACCAGAGGCAGCCATCCAAACAGCGTCGGCCTGGAGTCGCCACCATCAACATACGCGCCAGCCATACCTCCCTCATGCGATCACACAGCATAGTCACATCGCGACACCGACTACCATGTCGGGCATCCTTACGGGTACCTACCTTCTAGGGTTACTAGACTTCAATTATGATCACCCACTGTCGGATTGACCATGCGGTCACAGCATGCGGTGTTCCTTGCTATGTGACTCCAGTTACATTCACGCCTAACTATCTCAATCCTAGCTTTCGCCAACTAAATGTACACTCCGACGCCTCAAATTGCCAAATTTAACATCGAACGTATCGTGACGTCGCCCTCGCATTCGACTCACAGAGTCACAACCACGAAGTACTACCTGGTACTGGAACGTTCGTCGTTGATCGATTCTTCATGCGTATCCCTAGAAAGAGAGGTCGTCTTCCGTGCGACTGATCAGCTAGGTCCATGATGCAATCGCATACCATCGAACGTCAACATTCTTCCCTACTTGCGCGGGTTACCGCATTATAGTGATCGTTGTCTTCATAGGTAGACGGAACACGTCAGCGTCAGGGGAAGGTCTGAGGACCTGATAACTGTGGAATGATTAGAATGAGAACCAATTAGTCGACCGTCCATTCCACAGCGGCCTGCTGGCCCAATGGCAAGGCGTCCGCCTACGGAGCGGAAGATTGCAGGTTCGATCCCTGCGTAGGTCAGCTTATCTTTTTACATTTTTTGCACTTTTTTGCTTTTGATTTCTTCCTTCATCGCCTGGATTATGATACGATTTTTGAGGCCGACATACATCAACTGGCCTGCTGGCCCAATGGCAAGGCGTCCGCCTACGGAGCGGAAGATTGCAGGTTCGATCCCTGCGTAGGTCACGTGATATCTTTTTGCATTTTCTTTGATTTGATTCAGTGATCTACGGATCATGAATAGCATCCCAATGCTTGCTCGACATATGGGATGGGAACGTAGCCTACTATGAAGACTGTAGAAGATCTTTTTTTGAATACTCTTTTGGCTGAAAAAATTCTCACATGGGTGGGTGGCACTGTATAGTGGACCTGGCATGGCACCGAAGTGAATTGCAGGGCTAGGGCCTAGGGCTCTGAATAGTACCCACTCCGTGGAGTAGGACAAACTTGAGTAACCTGTGCATAGTTTTTCTGAGCTCTCATCGTCTATACACATAGAACATACAAATGTACCGTGTAGCCTCTCTCTATCTTCTACTTCTTACTTACCATAGCCGTAATCGAAGACAATATCCACTTTCTGGTGAGACGATAATGGCATTTCCTAGCGAGTCCGTCAATTATTGGCACTCCGATATCAGCGAAAAGGCTCGCAAGTCAACCACGAGAAACACCAATCCAGTTCCATGAAGCATCCCAGAGAAAAAGAAACAGCACTCGACATGATAGGCAGAGAAAGGAAGGAAAATTGCAAAAAATTGCAAAAAGAAATTGACCTACGCAGGGATCGAACCTGCAATCTTCCGCTCCGTAGGCGGACGCCTTGCCATTGGGCCAGCAGGCCATTCATGAAAGAAGCTCCAGCCTTTTGCCTCATCAATCAAAAACCATCACACGACACGCGTGGCAAGAGTGGCCTGACGCTAGCTCAAATAAAGCTTAGCGTGGCCGAGTTGTCTAAGGCGTTAGGTCGGGGTATCCACTATCCAATCACCGGTACTCAGCCTTCTAGCTTCTTTCTCCATCATTGTTCATACCTGTGACAGGCCCATCATCAACCTTCGAAGCTGCAAGGTGTAGCATCTCATCACTTTACCAAATCGATGAAGGTGTCAAGCGCGAATGGCAGCGCTGCGTCGCGATGACAACCGCGTCATTATTCATTTTGTCAGTCCACAACAACACTCAGACCAATCTACATTGACTAACAAAGTTGTAGGACTATGACTGTTTCTACGCCAGTGTCCTCGAAGCAGAGAATCCAACCCTGAAGACTCTGCCCTTAGCTGTACAGCAGAAACAGATTGTAGTAACTTGTAACTATGAGGCTCGTCGACGGGGTCTGCGGAAGCTTCAGCTCATCAAAGAGGCGAAGCAAATATGTCCCGAAGTCGTCATTATTCTTGGGGAAGATCTGACCAAGTTCCGAAATGTTTCTAAGAGTCTTTATGGATTCTTAAAGGGTTTTACTTGGACTCAGAAGGCGGAGAGGCTGGGATTCGATGAGGTGGGCATCAAGTTTCTGATGAATGTTAAAGGCGCTAAAGTGATTGTAAGGTCTTTCTGGATGTTACGGATATGGTCGACTATAACCTATCGCTATTGAACCATCATGATTTGGCAAATTCATTCTTTTGCTTGGATAAGCAAGACCCGACAGTTGGGTTTCAATTTGATGCCGCAAGTTATTGCGGTCCAACTTATCCCGAGTTCACGGAAAATTCCCTGTCTGGGAGTACAGCCGCCGGAGATGACAATTTGGCGCAACGACTCATACTAGGCAGTCATTTGGCAGCTTATGTGAGATCTCGCCTCGACAATGAACGTGGGTACACAGCGACCGTCGGAATTTCCACGTCGAAGCTATTATCAAAGCTGGTCGGCAACGTGCACAAACCCAACAGTCAGACAACACTCATCCCACCATATTCGTCAACCGATGAGATCAGTAATGTCAATCGATTTATTGACGGCCACGAAATTGGTAAAATACCAGGGATAGGATTCAAGTCTGCACAGAAAATCAGGTCCTACATACTACACCGCGAGGCTACATTTGAGCCGTATACCGAACGGAAGGAAGAAAATCAAGTCAAAGTGCGAGACGTTCGTCTCTCTCCAACAATGGGCCCACCAAAATTACTAGACTTATTAGGTGGTTCTGGTGCTCCTAGGGATGTTGGTGCTCGAACATGGGGGTTGTTGAATGGTGTGGACAACAGTGAAGTCATGGAAGCGCGATCCGTTCCTACCCAGATTAGCATTGAGGACTCGTATATGGGACTTCAGCATTTTGAGGATGTCAAGAAGCAGCTCCAGCTCCTTGCCACGAGTTTGATAAAACGGATGAGAATTGACCTCGTAGATGATGAAGATCGCGACGATACGAAAGAGAATGATGGTCCACGTTGGATAGCGCACCCTCGTACTCTGCGACTATCAACTCGACGCAGGTCACCCAAGAACGCAGATGGTTCACGGGACCATAGCTACGCCAACGGGCGGATATCACGTTCGGGACCTGTACCAAACTACATGTTTACCCTTGCAGAAAGTGCCGAGGCAGTGGCGGAAAAATTAGTGGATGACTGCCTTGTATCCATGTTTCGAAAGTTGCATCCGGATAAAGCTTTTGGAGAGCTTAGCTTGATCAACGTCGCGGTTACTAATATGGTGGAGAGTGCGGGAGACGATAAACAGAGTAACGGGAGAGATATTGAGAAGATGTTCAAACGACAGGGTTCTCTTGCAAGTGCGGCTGTTGAAACAGTTCACCGGAATGATCAGTTGTACCAGGGTTCTGCTTCTGGAAACTTACCGGATGCGACTACTGGCACTCAGGTTGATGAAACGGCCTGGGAAGAGAGCGATGAAGAAGATGTACCATCTACTCAGCTATGCGATATATGCGGCAGTCATATTCCACTGTTCGCTTTTCGTGCGCATGCTCTGTATCACGCTGCTCCGGACTGACAAACTAACCGCTGCCGGTGAATGTTTCAATGTTTCATGTTTTGTATGCCATCTCCATAGAACACGTAGATCGCATGATAGACGTCCTGCCCTATGAATAGCTCTAAGAAAGACTCGTGCGGTTTCAGGTCGATTGGAGGCCACGAAATGATTGGCTGAGGCTGCTTTACTTTAGGCGCGTGAATCCACGCTAAAACAAGACTCACCGCTTCTAAGCACATTTATTGGCTGGAGGGTTGCTTAGAATAGCAGGACTGTACCCAGAAATAGATTAGCGTGTCTTATTCACGATCTCTATTCCAACACCAAAACAGTCTATTGTTCGAACATTGTTCGCCAAAGACCTCCTCGTCAGTTGACTGGATTGAAAATACTTGAAACAGTTTTGAATGTCTGTGACTCATGGCTATGTTTCTCAAGCAAAAGTCAAGTAATCGGGTGGAGTCTGCAAACATGAATATGAAGGCAAGAAGTCATTTAACTCGATACTCGAATTTGCTCTGTGGCTTAGCTCACGATATTACGTGCCTACAGTACCACTGGCTCTTCTTTTACACAAGAGCCGCTTGAGATCGAATCTGCGGGGAATAGATGATTGGCCATGGAGCCTCAACGGTCGCAGAGTCGCGACCCCTGGCGCTTGTAAGCCGCTTGACTCATCGCTGTCTATGAATACTTCCACTGAGTACTAGTACACGAAGGCCTCGAAAAACAACCAATCAGACCCAGCATTGCTAAATATACATTGACATCTACCTAGGTAGACTCGTTTTAGAGTATACGGACTCGCGACGATGACTGGCTGTCTGCCGCCCTGCGTCGACAATACTGTCAGATCTACTTGATCGGGCGTCAGTAGAGGAACAGTCACCGAAATTTAAAACAGTGCATATGCCCTTTCGACCAGCACAAAAGATTTGAATCACTCATTTTACTGTGTGACAAACACAAGCCCATTGTCATTGTCTTATTGTTCGTTGACTGACTCCCCTATTTAGACAACAATAGGAGTCATGCCCCAATAATCACATTGTCGTTTCTTTTCCTATATTTTAATTCTTGTCTATATTTCCCTTCTACTAAAACGTTGATCTGGGTAATGCGCTTTTTTGCAACGTGATCTTCTTCTTCAATTTCTTGCTAGAACCTTTCTATCCCTGGAGGAATACGAAGTCGTCGCCAGTCAGATCTTTTCCTCCTTACAATCTTTCTTTGCATATACGATACCAAGCGCCGGTCGCTTTACTCAACATACAACTACACCATGAGGCTATTCGGTCGCACAATCTTTCCCATGCTTCCGCCCTACGGCGCTCACGACGGCAGCGATGCTCCTCCACCATACGCAGACCCGGACAAACCAACTCCTTATCTAGGGCTCAAAGCACGTCTCTCGCAGATATGGATCAACCGATGGACCATTCTGATCCTGCTCGTTCTCGTCCGTGTTTTGCTCGCCTCGACAAACCTCCAAGGAAACATGGACAATGCGCAATCACAGGCTCTTTCTGCTTGTAACTCTGTCCAATCTGCAGGCAGTGCGATGGCGTCTTTGCCGCATTACATGGCACAGGGAGTCAATGAACTTGCGGCTGATGGAGTCACGAAAGCGGTGAATGGGCTGGTGCAAGTTCTGGAGTTGATGATTACTGGTGTTGAGGGGCTTGTGGTTTTCTACATCAACTTCCTTACGCAAATGTATTTGTGTCTGTTCACTCTTGTGGCCCGTGGAGCGGCGCAGGTGGCTCTTGGTCTTGCGGAGGATGTGACAAACTTCCTCAATCAGACACTGCCAAGCATTGGGAGTGACCTTTCCTCAGGGGTGCAGACTGCCGAAAGTGGCCTGAATGCAATTGCATCAGCACTAAACACTGTGAAAGACGAGTGTAATAAAGTCAGTATATTGGGCGATTCTCTCTGTGGAGACATTCCTACCGTCCCTACCCTCAACTTTACCAGCGAGATCAATTCCCTGAATTCTCTCACACTTCCATCTTCCATCGACAGCGACATTCAAAAGGTCAATAGCTCAATCCCCACATTCGACGAAGTCAAAAACCTCACTACAACCGCCATTGAATTCCCCTTTGAGGAACTCAAGAAACTCGTCCAGACCAATCTCGGCAACTATTCTTTCGACAGCTCCGCCTTCCCTGTCCCAGCCAAACAGTCGCTCTCTTTCTGCGGCGAGAATGATGGGATCAACGAGTTCTTCCAAAAGACAGAGGATGTCATTCTCGAAGCGAGAAAGATCTTCATTGCGGTTCTCGTCATCTTCGCTGTTCTTGCTTGCATCCCCATGGCCTGGTTGGAGATCCGAAGCTGGAAGCTGGCTCGAGACCGTGCCAAGATTATCGAGACCGGAAATCACGACGCTCTCGACGTTGTCTACCTTGTCTCTCGCCCGCATAGCTCTACCTATGGCATGAAGGCCGCAACATGGTTCAACAACAGCCGTCACCAAATCCTCGTCCGCTGGATTTTTGCCTACGCCACCACCATCCCGGCCCTTGTGCTGCTCGCTCTCGGTTTGGCCGGCCTCTTCGCCTGCCTGTGCCAATACATTTTGTTGAGAGCCGTCGAGAAAGAAGTCCCCGAATTGACGGCCGAAGTAACCCAATTCGCCGACAAAGTCATTGACTCCTTGAACAATGCCTCTGCTCAATGGGCGCTAGCCACAAACCACGTCATCAACAACACCAACACGGATATCAACAACGATCTATTCGGATGGGTGAACACCAGCACTTCCGCCCTCAACAACACTCTAAACACCTTCCTCGATAAATCCAACGAAGTTATCAACGCCACCTTCGGCGGCACACCCCTCTACGGCGCCGTTACGGGCATCTTCGACTGTGTCGTTGAGCTCAAGGTCGAAAGTGTGCAAAAGGGACTGACTTGGGCTCACGACAACGCATACATCTCCTTGCCTCAACTGCCCAACAACACGTTCTCCATCGGCGCAACGAATAGTGTCAACACAGGTGATAGTTTTCTCTCGGACCCGGGCTCGACGACATCAAACCAAATCACCGAAGTCGTAAGCGAGGTCATCGATAAACTGAAAGAGGGCATTGAGACTGAAGCCAAGATCTCTGCTGTTTTGGTGCTGCTTTGGTTCTTGCTGATTCTCATGGGTGTTCTTCGTGCGCTTATGCTCTGTGCGAGACGGGAACGTGTTCGTGGGAATGGTGGTGGTCAGGAGAATGTTGTCCCCGGGGGACCAATTGAGCCTGTCGCGTTTCATACTACGTCCAATACTACTGTCAGCAGAAGCAACGACAACAACGCGGCGATGATGACGGGTGGCATTGCGTCGAATAGTACTCGCGAAGTACACATGGATCCACCTCATGAGAACAATCCATTCGAATACGAAGACGAGAAAGTCGGCTATGCCGGCGAGCGTGATTACTCCTCCGCTGTGCACGCAGATGCACGCAAAAGCGCCTATGTCGAGTACGGCGGAGACGAGAAGCGTCGATAATCCTTTTCTTCCTGTCCATATGTTCAAAAAGCATACCTCTCTATCATCTCTATTCAATTTTCCAATTTTTGATTGTTCATATAGCTATTGCATTGATCTCAGGCGTCCTGTTATTCTGCTTCGTGGCATACACATACTTACGATACCCTCATTCCACACACATGCTCATTTGATATGATCTGTTGCTGTATGAGAAACCATATCCATGTCAACTACCTGCATTTACCGGGGAGTGTGCGCTTGTAATAGATAGCCTTGTTCGAGCCCTTATACAAAATCCATATATTCATTAATTACATGAAATCAAAAACCAAAAACGTCTTCCAATCTATACACTCGTGATAGAGATCTGGTATCATCTAAATAGCGACGAAAAAGCTCTTCTCCCCTTCCCTAGGCACAACACGCGCCCTCTCAACAATCGGATCCGCACAACTAACCCTAATCCTCTCTGGAGTCGCAGGGCTTTCCAGACGCAGAACATCCGTAACACCCCATTCCTTGCGCGCGGCTTTGAGTGCGTCGCGAATAGCAAAGAAGACTGAACTGCCCATAAACAGCGGCGGTTCACCCACACCGCGCGAACGCTGGATTGTGCGCAGATTCTCCCATTGCACGTCCTTGAGCAGTGAGATGTTGAAAGTTTGAGGAATATCGCGGAAGCCTGGGATTTTGTACGCGCCCGGTCCCTTGGTGAAGATCTGGCCTGTGCCGCGGTGCCAGAGACTTTCTTCGGTTGTGAAGAGGCCCTGGCCCTGGATAAAGGCGCCCTCGATTTGGCCGTAGTCGATAGTCGGGTTAATGCTGCGACCGACATCCATTTTGATATCGGCTCGGAGCGGTGTCCAGTCTCCGGTCAGTGTATCGATTTGAACTTCGGCGGCGGCGACACCTTGCGTGAAGTAGTAGAACATTTGGCCCTTGTTCTCGTCCCAGACGTAGCCGATATCCGGCGTGCGGTAGTACCCGTTTGCGGAGAGGTTGACACGGTCAAAGTATGCGGCATGGGCCAGTTCTTTCATCGTTGCGTTGGGCATCTTTTCGCGATAGGGGCGGAGACGTTCGTTGATCTGTTCGCAGGCGTTGTAGATGGCATACCCGTTCAGGTCGGAACTGGCGGAGGCGGCTGTGGAGGAGGTGTTGGCGACGGTGTTTGTGCCTGTTTCGGAAATGTGGACATCTGATAGAGGGACTTGTAATGCCTGTGCCGCTATCATGCTCATCTTCGTGTGCAGACCTTGGCCCATTTCTGTGCCTCCGTGCGCGACAAGGATACTGCCGTCATGGTAGATATGAACCAACGCACCGGCCTGATTCAAAAACAGAGCTGTAAATGAAATGCCAAATTTGGTGGGGATGATGGATAATCCACGTTTGGACCATTTGTGCGTTTTGTTGTATTCGTCCACAGCTTTTCGTCGCTCCGTATACGAACTTTCCTCCTTGACTTGTTTGTACATGAGGGGAACGAAATAGTCTTTGAGTTCTTGATTGAAGTGTGTTGAATCCCCGGCTTTGTACATATTCAAAACGCGCAGGTCATCGGAGGACATGCCGAGATGGTCGGCAACTTCTTCAATCATTGATTCGCACATAAACATTCCTTGGGGACCACCAAAGCCACGGAACGCAGTATTCGAGACGGTGTTGGTTTTGCACAACCATCCTCGCACATGCATGTTCGGGATTTTGTAGCAACCGTCGATATGAGATAATGATCGTTCGACCACAGCACCCGACAAATCCTGGGTATGTCCTGCATTCGCAAACACATCAGCATCAAAGGCTGTGATTTTGCCTTCCTTGGTGACGCCGACTTTCCATCGACAGAGGAATGGATGTCGCTGGCCAGAGGTGATGATATCTTCGTCACGGTTGAGCATGCATCGGACTGGTCGTCGCGTCTTGTTGGCTGCCGTGGCACAAATTCCTGCTAGTTGGATAGAGCGAGTTTCTTTTCCGCCAAATCCTCCGCCCAGTCTTTTGACCCGAGTGACGACCTTGTTTGCAGCGACACCGGTGACTTGAGCAACATATGTTTGACTGCCATACTTGTTAACGAAATTTTGCTGAGCATGAGAAGGGGGACTTACGTCTCGGTAGGATTTTGCGTGCAACTAAACACCTCAATCTCCCCATCCTCCGGCTTAGGCACAACCACACACGCCTGTGTCTCTAAATAGAAATGTTCCTGACCGCCCATCCGAGATACACCCGTGAACACATGGTCAGCGTTCTCGAATGCTGCCTCAGTATCCCCATTCTTGATATGTCTGAAGTGCTGAAAGAATGACTTGGCTTCAATGGCTTCTTCCATCGTCAGGATAGCTGGAAGTTCCTCGTATTCGACTTGGACGAGCCGTGAAGCCTCCTCTGCGATTTTGGCGGATTTTGCGAGAATCATGCCGATGGGTTGACCGGCTGTAAAGACTTCGTCGACGGCGAAAAATTGCTCGTCGGAGTTGGGAGCTCCCCACCAGTTGGCTGCTGGAGAGGGCAGATCGTGGTGGTCAACGTAGTCATGAACGCCGGGGACGTCAAGGGCTGCCTCGACATTGACGCTTAGAATTTTGGCCCGGGGTTTAGTCGACAGGACCAGACATCCGTAGAGTTCATTCTTCTGCACGGGGATATCATCCGTGTATTGAGCTTCGCCTGTACACTGCTTGAGAGCAGAAACATGGTTTCCAGACTTGCCGACAATTTTCTGCTCATATGCAGCGGAAGCATCATGATCTTTTTGACCGGAGGAGATATTTCTTTCAATCTCGTCAATGATATCTTGATCGATGTCGCTTGCTTTGACTTCGAGGGTTGACAAGACGTCATGGTAAAATCGATAGAAGAAGCTCAGCGCCAACGTCTTACGGTACGTTGCCATACCTCCTGGAACACCAAAGCGCAAATCAAAATCTTTTTCTAAAGCATTCATGACACCTTCCAGAGTCTCTGGATTTGTCAATTTCTTGCCAATAATATAAAGCTCAGCATTCTTTGCCGGCACCGTCATCGGCGCCATACCACCATATACAAGATTAGCACTCAAAACTTCATGTGTATCCGATAAGGAGACCCTCAAAGCAGCATTCACAATAGCGATGTCATCATCCTTCCGCTTTGACTGTTTATAAGCCCGGAAGTGCTCGCCTTTTGCTGCCACTGGAATGCGCAAACTAGCAATAATCGCGTCTGCAGGAAGGGCAGTGGCACGATAACCCTTGAAGAATTGCGTCATTGGGATCTCAGTTTCTGTGGTCAATGACTTGGCGACTAGAACTGTGTTGGATGCAACAAACACGGGGTTCAAGTCAGAAATCGGAGAGGCGGTGGCCAGATTGCCAGCGGGCGATGCGACATTTCGGATTTGTCTTCCCGCAAAGTAGCGCAGCTGCTTCTTGATGACAGTGAATGGTTGTCCTCGAACCGGTCCATAGCGCTCAAGTGCTTCGTCGCAGATATGCTCTAGATCTGTCAAGGAGACGTTTGCTCCTAGTTCGAGATGGTCGTCCTTGAAAGTGTATTGTTTAAGTTCAGCGATGTCGCCCACGTAGACAGACGGATCGTAACGCAGTCCCTTGAACTTGATTTCAATCTGAGTCTCAGTACTTCCTCCGATGAGCTTCGCAGATGGATACACATCTTTGATTTCCAAAAGCTGTTGAAGCGTCACTGGACGGTACCATCTCTTCTTCTTATTACCAACTGCTAATGCCTTGAAATCATGTTTCATCAGAATCGGAGGGAAAATCAATTCCGTCTCTTTGTTGTAAGGAATAAAATCTGGCTTTGGAAGATTAGGCAACTTCGAGGTATCTCCCTCAGAGACGCCATTCGATTTGCAGCAACCTCCAGCACCACTCTCTTTATTATCCATACAGCATCCCGATCCGCCATTTGTTGTACTCTTACTGCAACCCATTGGTTTCGAGAAGCTATGAGCTACATCTAGGATAGGACGGTATCCGGTACATCGACAGAGGTTTCCGTCGAATGCTTCTTCAATTTCGTCTGTAGACGGTTCGCCATCGTTGTTGCGTAATAGAGCGTATAGACTCTACACATGAATTGTTAGCACCCAATCGAAAGAGCGATACATTTATGAGTGGTATACATACCATGACAATTCCGGGTGTACAGAAACCGCACTGACTGCCGTTTCCAACAGCCATCCTCTGCTGCGCAGGATGCGGATTCTTGACGTCTCCAATCCCCTCCACGGTAACAACATGTTTCCCATCAACACTGATAACAGGCGCTAGACAAGCATTCACCGAAGCATGATACAGCTTTCCCGTCGTCGGATTGATATGTGATACCACCTTTACCAACACGTGTTATGATTAGAATCACTATCAAAGCTTATCTTTTCAAAAGGCTACTTACCACGGTACAAGCACCACACCCTCCCTCCGCGCATCCCAACTTTGTGCCCGTCAAGCCAATCCCGCGCAGGTACTCTAGGAGCGTCAATTCTGGATCGATGTCGTCCAAAACAACTTTTGTGCCGTTGAGATAGAAGCGGATTGTGTCGTGGTAGTCTTGGGTTAGGTGGAGCAGGTTGGAGATCTTTTCTGGCGCGACGGCTGGGGCAGGTTCGACGATGCCCGGCGCCATGGTGAGAACTGTTAATTCTTTATTGAATTAGGGTATAATGGTGTGTATATGATGATGATGATACCCAACATAGAAACATCTTACAGTAGATAGATAGATAGAAGACTAGAAGAATGAATGCGGGGATCGCGGTGTTATAGATACTGGAATATCTCTTATCGGCGGTCCCCACCAGCCAGCCTGCTCGCCGGCGATCGCCACCGTCCGACGCTTACTCTGGGGCCTCGCATTGGCTGAATAGGCACACTGAAGAATCTATTACCAACACAAAATACAAACATAACGCCATAAGATGCTGTCGCAACGCAAAGATTGCAGATATTTACACACAAGAGAAGTAGACGAAGATTATGTCAATGAACGTCGCGGATTTGAAGTTGTCTTTTTAGTCAGCTTTGGCTCCGATAAAGCTCTTTTCTTCCTCCTCCCATTGCTCTCGTTCAACAACACTGCGTGCTCTGTATCAAGTAAGTCAGTAAAAAATCGATTACATCAAATGGAAGAAGACATACCTATATGCTTGCACAAATCGCCACACCTCAATATCTGCCAGATTCCAGGCTTCTGCAACATTGCGCAGACTGATGCGACCCGACTTATCTCGAAGCATATCGCGTGCTTGGCTGATTAGCTCGTACTCGTGGTCTAGAGATGGCTTTTCTTTGGATTCCTCTTCACCCTTCTTGCCTTCATCTGTAGCATCTCCGGTCTTGATCTTGAATCCAAAATGCCACTCTAGCTCGGATACTAGCGCTGTAGGAAGATTGTCTCCGTCTTTTGCTGGAAGAGTCTCAACCGTCATCCAGAATGTCGACGATCCGAATTCACCACCGGCAACCAGCTCTTTGAAAGTGACCACGCGCGCAGAATTTCCACGAGTAGGCCCGAGAAGCTCGCTGGTGACGGCCGCTAGCCATGGGTCACGAGGTGTCTCCCGTCGGATGTAGCTGGCATCAATCTCAACCGAATCATGTTGAAGAGCAATCAAAGTAAGTGGATGAGGCAACACGCCAATCGAGTAAGCGTTGGTGTCATTCTTAAAAGGCTGTGGTTGATTGATTGGGATTGCCTTCGATTTCGAACAGGGCTTGCACGACGAACGATTAGGCGGGCACGAGTCGGCAAACTCGGACGTAGGGCAGTTGGAAAGTGCTTGAGCGAGCTGCACGGCGGGCTGCACTAATGCCGTTGTGTGGTCGGGAAGGGGTTTCAAAACTGTAAATCCAGATGTAAAACTATTCAGAAATGTTGTATGGAGATGCGCATCAATCATTTCGACGAGGGCTTGTCGCTCGGCACCTGGACGGGAATTATATTTCTCAGAAAGGTCGTGGTAACTGGTAGCAATGGTATCTGGGGTATAATATGCCAACGCTTTGGATTGCTCTTCCTTGAAGAGATCCTTTGGAATAATGTCCAAAATAGACGACGTTTTTTCGTTCGCGTCCAAGACTGCAGCCTTGATCGCAGCATTAATACGAGTCTTTTCACCAGCAAATAGTGCGCGATCAAGCATATCGAATCGAGTAATAAACTCAGGAATAGCGCCAGCACGGAGGTACGTAAATGTCGGGTCGTCGTATCGAGCCATTGGAAAACACAACCAATCCGCAAACAATCCACTACCCATATGACCCCAAGCCAGCCATTTGAAAAAGTCCAATTCAAGTTCCGTGTCGAGCTGTCGTCGTTGAACCTCTTCGTACAGGGGGTTCTTCATTGCTTCAGCTCGGCTGAGAACAACAGGGCGGAAACCCTTGGCATACCAAGCGCGTCTCCATGCCAAAAGTAGCTGGCCATCGGCCTTTTGTAGAGCTTCATCGTTCTTGCTATTCAGTTCGTAGAAAGTGTACACGGGCGGACGTTCCGGTAGAGGCGGGAGGACGGTACGGTGTTCGTCCAGGGTAATCGACGACGAAAAGGGATTCAACCACTGCCAATCACTGAACCATTTTGACTCGCCACTGGTACTGTGAGCTTGCTCGGGCGGTTTGTGAGCAACGGGACGGAAAGGATGGCGAATGTCTTCAAAGGAGGGTAGTTTAGTTGGAATGTATCGCGAGGGACCGAACTTGACGTTCGATACGGACTCAAAAGTGGTGTTTGTTGTTTTTGAAAGAATGAATAGCGCACACGCAACGATGGCGATGATGGCGATTAACGAAGTCGTCCGTTGAACAATCATGGCTGCTGGTGAACAGACCCTCTATGCTCAACTCCGTATGATCAGCGATGTGTCGGAGATTAGGAGCGATCTGCCTGACCGTGGATCGGCCGAGAAAAAACCGCAATTATCTCGACATGAACGAGATGAGGTCGGGGTAGATCGTGAGGCCAGATCTGATCAGGAATCATAGATAAATCGTGTAAATGATTCCGTCTCCTGAAAGCAAAGTGATTAACCTCCAACAGCCAAGCGTCAGCCTCACCATTTGCGGCCGGAGTTCATATCCAGCCATTCCGTTTCGGGAATAGTCTGTTTCACCCTGAATCTCTCAGTTTGAAGATTCCAACATTTTACAAGTCAATAGCGATCATCAATGATGGGAATTGGATGCAAAGAGGCGCCCGTACTCTCTCAATCTTCGCTTTTCATCTTCATCGACTTCGCTCAGCTTTTTATTGTGGGACGATCTTGCTTATTTCTCAATATCTTCTAACATTGGCACACTCAAGATGACTAGTATGATTGATGAATTTGACTAGCTAATCATTATTCTAAGTTCACTCTAGATACAAATCTATTTCAAGTCGACTTCTATCACCGAGAAATTTCATTTTGATAATCATTATACCGAATGCCTTCTAGATACATTCGTATTCGAAGCTGGCTTGATAAGGTTGGAATAGATGATCAATAACTTGGGTTCTCTCTAGATATCAATCTCTTCCAAACCGGCTTGTATCACTGTCCAAGTAAAAAACATACAAATGCCATTCCAAGGCCCTCCAGATAAAGATCCCTTCCAAATTGGCTGATTTACTGAATGATTCAGAGGTAGGCATTTGCTGGCCTGAGTCCCTCCCGATGCCGATCTACCCCATTCTCATGTCCGTGTCAAGCTTGGGAACCCTCTCGCTGGGTGGGTAGGCAACCTCTTCATCATCATCGAATGTATCATCAAGAGACTCGCTAGAGTGGACCTTCACCGCTTAAACTTCCACTGAGTGTCTTCGGTGAGGCTGTTAGCCGGTCTAGTGGAACCAATTGATGTCGAGTTGTCCATGTTGGACACTAGTTCAGGAGTCTGATTCTGGGAAGAAGAAGAATGTCGAGAGCGAGGTCCCTCCACTAGCTCATTCGCCGCTTCGATAAGCTCATTCCTTGTTTCTTTTGTCCAGTCTCGAGCATTCCGGTATGCTGTTAGCCCCTGCCGAAACGCCCTCAAGCTACCTATCATAGAAAAGCTGTCAAGCAGCGTCATAATGTACATGGGGCGGCCATCTCGACGCGTGGATTTGGTGACATGGGTAGCATATATTTCGAGATGACCAGAATGGTAGGCCGATGTAATGACATATGCATTGTTGTCATAGGACGGCTTTTGCCCATAGCATCGTAGAGCTTGCATGGCTCGAGCTCCTAGTGCTCCATCATAGCACGCCTGCCTTCTGATTACCGCCGGGGTACCATCGGGACCTTTGAGTTCCAGGAAGAAATTTTGACATATGGCAAGATCACTTTGTGTTGATGGAACGATCAAATGATTCAGTTCATCACGGATCTGACGATTGACATCTTCCGGTCTAACGCCGAAATGATGATCTGGTTTGGCTATAGCCAGTGATCCATCAGTCAAAGGGGCAAGATTAGAAAAGAGATAATCCCCTCCGGTGCATTTAGGATCATCATTGAGTTCACCATCGAACATCGGAATCACTGAAGTGGCAACATCCTTTTTTTTTGGATGCGCGATCTTCTGCTCGTTGGAACTTTCGAAATTCGCTTTCAAGAATCAGAGATTTTCGATGTTGAAATAGCATCTCCCGAAGTTCCTCCACATTGCTTGGCTCTGGGACACGTTTGCCTTTAATCTCGTGGCCTTTAGGATAAACACCATGTTCGACTAGATTCTGTTCAAAGTTCCTACTATAGGCCGAGGTAGCGGTAGTCTTGGTGGTTGTCTCTGTTTTCTCCGCGGTTTCTGACGGAAGATGGTCTGCCTGGAGTTTCTGCACGCGCGAGGAGGTCCGTCTAGGCTCCATGGTTTGGGGTAGGGGGTACTTGAATGATGTCAGCACACGATATTAGTCTCGAATAGTAGTTACATACATTCCTCAAATCGGTCAGATCAGCGCCCCCTGATTCTGCAAGGCTTTTGATCTCTTCCAATCGAGAAGGCGAGCAATCACGGAGGAATTCAGGCGCGAACTGAAGGTGCTCACGTTCTTTCTTTGATGAGTGATAGAACTGAGCTGCAGATCTGTTTCTTCGATCCAATTCTCGTAAAGCCCTAGTTGTCAACCAAATTTTTGATAGGTTGTCCCAAAATTCTGCAGGCGGATGCGAGTTCGACCTCTCTGGAATTATCTCAAAAGAGGAAGACTCTGAGCTCTGGCATCTGCGATCTGAAGAATATCTGGAAGTCATATTGTTGGAGTACGCGGTGGGAAGAGATGAGAAAGACACTTATTGACAATGAACCTTTCTCAGGAAAAGTACGCGTAGATATTAGGCGGGGGGTCCCGTGTGTAATGATTCGCTTGAAGATATTTTCTTTGACATGTTGACGGAGTACTTTAGATGTCCAAATCGGGACCTGGCAGGGTTACCAAATAGGCATAGCGAAAGTATATCAAAGGCGGTAGAGGCCTGCTTGAGCTACAGAATGACACGGAGGACTTTTCCAAGAAGAGTCTCAAAGAAAGAAACCACAGGCTGATATTTCATGTCGGGCGTTGCCCGATATGACAAAAAGATATGACTGAATCATGAGGTGCTCGAGAGTGTTCTGGTACATAATGAAATTGTTTGAAGAGATTCTTGATGAGGGCTCATACGGCCTTGATTGAGGCATCTCACTGACTTCTGTGTGGCCTCTAGGCGAGGTTTGATATGTGCCCTCGCCTAGGGTAGCACTATGCCCAACTAGGGCCCGTTTACTGTTTGACTCACGGATCAGCTTAAATTAGGAGTGCTTGAGCAATCTATTTATAACACGCATCGCATGCAATTCCAAGTCCTTTCTCCGGATAACTCTGTCGCATATTTTCTCTTGGCACCGATACCGCATGGATAGATCTTCTCAGAGGGTTATATAATAGGCAAATTGCAGACCTGGTGATCAAATAGTAATATGGATCTTGAAAGGTTGTCGTAGCCTAACTATGTAGTCTTACTATGGAGTAAGGGGTTCGAATATAATTTTGAGCCTCACGACGCTAACTCCGACCGCTTACGGAGTTAATATCCAGAACAGGCATAGCGCCCGCGGACCGTGCCAGGCATCGAAACGAGTGCAATTTGACGCCTCAGGTATCCAAGCAGAAGAAGATTCCAACATCATCGACGACGTTCGACATCAACCTTCACCTTTGTTCTTTGTATACAAGCCACGACAACATACTCAACCTTGCCATACAACTAGAGGGTTGATTCAACTTCCACGACCTAGTTAATTCAAAACTTTTCAGAAATTTCATTATGGGTTCTATGGTCCTTCCCCATCTCCAGAATGCCTGGCAAGTCGACCAGGCCATTCTCTCCGAAGACGAGCGTCTGGTCGTAGTCAGATTCGGGCGCGACTCACATCCTGACTGGTGAGTTTGTCTTGTTGCGAATGCGCTAGCATGTCGATATTTACCACTTATTGCTTATCATTTTCACTGGCGCTAACGCATGGAAATTTTAGCCTGCGACAAGACGATGTTTTGTCCAAGATTGCAGACCGAGTCAAGAATTTTGCTGTTGTATACCTGTGCGATATCGAGCAGACGCCGGACTTTAATGCTATGTATGTTCTGCACTGATTTGTTTTGAGATGTAATGCTAATATCTGTCTAGGTATGAATTGTACGACCCGATGACGATCATGGTATGTTTTCATCCAGACTCTTGGTATACAACCTACTAACTCGAACGTAGTTTTTCTTCCGAAATAAACATATGATGTGTATGTATCGCTATTTACTCCGCTTACGAGTAATCATTGCTAATCAAGTGTATAGGCGATTTCGGAACTGGTAACAACAACAAACTGAACTGGGTCTTGTAAGTACTCTTTTACGACGATTGATACATCGAATGCTAATAGCTTCATAGGGAAGATAAGCAAGAACTCATCGACATCATTGAAACTATCTACCGCGGCGCAAAGAAAGGTCGTGGTCTGGTCGTTAGCCCTAAGGATTACTCGACCCGTTACCGATACTAGTCTACACCATCTCTAGTTCCGGGAACATGCATGGATTGTGCTTTAAATAATGAGTTAATGATAATATATTCTACTTGATCTATCTACACCTTCAAATAACTCAATATCTCATCCACAGCCCACCTCAACACCTCACTCATAGGCATCTCACCCTTCCCAGGCGCCACCACAACACCCGCATCACTCCTTAGATTAACAGCCTGCCCAGCCAGCCTCAATAACTCTTCCTCGGTCTGCGTCGAACCAGCCGCATATCTATCAGCTAGCGACTGTCGCTCCGCCTCATCATCCTCCGCCACCAACAACCACGCATGATCCTGGACATATCTCGGCCAAACGATATCATCCACATAACCAGGGGGATCAGTCCAGAAGTTTTGGGGTTCGCTTTTGTCTTCTTCCTCCAAATTAACTGGTGCCGATGATGATCCTTTATGCTCGTCTCCTCGTTCATTTGTATCTTCTCGCTCGGCGGATGGTGTCGGCGCGGGCCCGATAGTTACATATCCACTCCTCGCCTCTCGTCGAGACTTGACAGTATCATAAGGCGCAGATAGAAAGATATGTAAATGGATGTTGTCATGAACATGTCTCAAAACATGCCCCGGATTTTCCGTAGCGGGTGGCGCGAATAGTAAAAAGCCTTCCAAGAATGCAATTGTCACTTCTCTCTCACCTTTTAGAAGGCCAGCCTGGTTCAGTTTTCCCTTAACTTCTTCCGTAATGGTTTGGATTAGTTCTTTTGCAACACCCGGATCCTTGGCTTCGTTTTGATCTTCTTTACTCCTGAGCCGAGGGGGTAAAGTACCATGGTCACGCACATAGGCCAATGCAGAAGATAAGAAGTCTACATCTATGGCACCTATGGTATCCCAGTCTTGTACTAACTCTCCTTTTTTGGTTCGAGCGACCGGTATTCTAATAAATATTAGACCGCGTCTCTCGAACGGAAGTAAAGTGAAGTGGACTCACCGGTCATCAGGGAGATAAAAGTCATCTTCATGGATAATAAATGTTCGGATCTTGTTGTCCGCGGAGAATATGGGACGCAAGAGTCTTGCTAAGGTCGTCTTGCCGCTTGATGATGGACCTGAGAGGCCGATTATGATGGTTTTGCTGTTGGCAGAGGATTGCCCCGCTTGGCTGTCGGACGACATTTCTTTCCCTTGCTCCTTTCTTCCTTCCCTAGGTATTCTTCCGTTCCTCTGCCTGTCCGCTTTCAGGTGCCGATGAGATTTATTGTCTGCTTGTCGTTAACTATCGTCCAAGCTCCATGACAAAGTCAATAAATTGTCATGCGAAGAGATGGTCTTGATAAGAACGGCCCCACGTCCAGAGTGTCTGTCAGGCACGAGCCTAAAAATAAGCAAATTTAGGGCGTGTTTAGCGTGGTTTCACCAACAACGCGATGTTCCTCAGACGCTTTGATTCGACAACATCTGGCACTTTGATCTGAGTAAGGAGACCGTTTTGGTTGGTCGCATAGACTAAATTCTCACGAGCTCAGCTATGACAATAAAAAAATAATTAGCGTTGTGGGCATTGACAAGGCTGAGAACTTGAAAAGGCCTCAATTTCTCTCAACATGGACAAACACACATCACCTTCTGCACTTGCAGTCATCTGCAGCGTAGATGCAAGTCCAGCACCATGGCGCAGCGAACTTGGATCTTTTTGATGGTATTCGCGCTGATACAGGGATCACTAGCCGCCTATCTCGCTAAGCGCACGACTATCACAATCCCCGACGGCGTCACCTACCACCCCGAGTCGCAGGACATCTGCACGCAGACCGCATGGACGGACGTGGTCTCGTTCTTCGTAGGCAACTATTTGTCGCACGTCGCAACTATCGTCAAGGCTCCCGGTGAACCTGTATACATCACCGGCATGAACATGGTCTTGGTTTTGTTATTTCCCTGCTTCGGAGCCGGTCGCGGCCTTATCACGATCTATCAACGGGCAAGCTTTTACAAAGACCCGCTGCAGCAGGCGCTCAGAGCCCAGGCGTTGGTTATGGTGATTCGTGATCCTAGACAATGGAAGCCGCAGACTGGAGACTCTTTGCGCTCGCTTTCTTTGTGGCCCCCGAAAAAGGCGCAAGGGACCCGTGCACGGATGGATCCTGATGAGTACTATCAAGCAGGTATGTAAACATACCTCAAAATCTATATTGGATGGTTATTGATTTCGGCATTAGCCCTTAGCAAGAGCTGGACGAAAATCAACTCAGAAAAATTGTACGTTGCTGGATATCTCTGACATATCATAATTCTATCTGACAGCCTCGTTTTTAGCAAGGACTACATCGGCCAATTCAAAATCATCGTCGCACTACCTCCTTGGTTGACCATGAATTATGGGCTGAGCAAATTGCATATGAAGACTGAAAGAGGCTACCACGTCTCAGGAACATGCAACCTACCGGAGGGATATCGACTCGCCTACGTTCCACCTAACGCGCAGGTGGAACATGTCATGCCTGAAGTCGCATTGAGCCGCATTCTCCAAACATCGTATAGCTTAGCCTCTGGCGTCATTTCCATCGTCCAGATATTCTCCGCTTGTTCTGCCCTGTACCAATCCAGGGGCTATCAGATCGATGCATATGGATACGCTGCATTCGGATTCACCGTCACACCGTATCTGGTCATGTCATTTCTGAACTTGCTTGCCAATTGTTTCACCCCTACGTTTCCGAACTTGTACCTTGTTCATACTGAGACGATGGATGAGGCGATAAGCCGTGGCGGTCATTTTACTGATCTTGTTGGAAAGCTGGAGAGCGAGCCACTTCTTGTCGAGGATTTGACTTTGTTTAGTGCTTCGATCGAGCCGCCGCAGGTAGGCAAAGATAATGATGAGCTTATGTGTCATATTGCGACTCGGATATTTGAGCATGGGAGCACGGAGCCGATGTCGTCCAATGAAAATACGAAGCCCGAAAGACAGGACGGCAAGCCTTCTTCTATCAGCGATAATATCGTGACATTGGCCACTCCTTTGGAAAGTATCGCATCGCCAGCAGACGAGGAAACAGCGCAGAAGCAAGCAACAGTGACAATCGAACAAAACCACATCCCCGGAGAACCTCAATCTCAAACCGAGGACGGTGACGATGACGACGATTCAGTGCCAACACTAATCATCCCCAGCTGCTACAAATTCAAAATCGCCTACTCCAACACCTCCTCCACAAGCATCCTCTGGAAAAAGAGACACTACGGCCTCCGCGGCTGGCTCATAGGGGCAACTACCTGGGGCGTAGCCGCACTGCCATTTATCCCGCTAGGCATAATGTCCAAATTCCGAACAGGGTCCAGCAGCACCGTTGCCCAGAGAGTGTGGCTTATGGCTTGGTACGTCGTGGGCATCGTGTCAGTGTCAAACCCGTATTTTACGGATAATTTGGTGGATATTATTTTTCACAACTCTCGCGCATTGATGAAGAATCATGAAATTGATAGGTTTCGGCGAGCGCAGATCCTGTTTTTGAGAGCGGCTTKGGKGGTTGGTATGTTAATTTTTTATGTTACCCCGGCTATTGGCGGGTTTGCTGTTGTCGGGCAGATGTTGATTGCGTATGGGTCTTGTACGAGTCTCTAGACTTTCTAGAGAAAGAAGAAACGCGGGATATTCAAAGAAAACCTCTATTCTGAGATCTATCGATCAAAGTCCTTATTCTCAATTGGGAAATATTCAACATAGAATGTCATCGTTAACGTAAACATAATCATAAACCATAGAAATCCAACTGTAATCATGGCAAACACAAACCCTCCAATGCGCTCAAAAAGCATCTCCTCCAAACAAACTAGATCCACGTATAGGTAGTGATGACTCATCTACACCCCCAGGACTCGCGGCCGGACTCTGATAATCCGACGCCGACGGCGGCGATCTCGACGCTCTAGACGACGACCCTCTTCTAGGAGGAGTCATCACAATCCCCTGCTCAGTCACAATCTGAAACGTCGAGACTTTCTTCTTCTTCACAGGCGTAATCAGATCAGGCGAAAGATCGACTTCAATTTGTGGGCTGGGAAGGGATCCCTGAACCAGCAGGGGTACTTTTCGTTTCTTGGTTGGTGTTGTCGATATTTGTGTCGATTGCTCCACGTAGTCATCAGGTATGGGTAGTTCATGACGGTCGAAGAATCCACATGCTTCTTGCAAATACGCTGGTTCAATAAGGTCGTCATGTTCCGGCAACTCATAGAACCGTTCGTGTTGAATTATCGAACTCATGGTCGAATCGTCAAGCATATCCTTTTCGGCATGTTGCATTTCGGAATTGGACATTTCCTGTCTTCGATGTAGCATTTTCTCTTCGAGTGTATCTTTGAGAACGAGAGTTTCGACATAAACAGGTCTCGTCTGTCCGATACGGTGGGCTCGTTTGATGGCTTGGCTCTCGACGTAGGGCCGCCAGATAGGATTCACGATAAAGACACGAGATGCACTAGCAATATGCAGTCCGTGCGATGCTTGTCGTAGATCCATGAGAAGGATTCTCACACTAGAAGACTCCTCGAATAATGATAGATATGCCGCCTTTTGGCTCGTCTTGAGAGTGTTGGCATAGATGCGGAAGTCAATACCTAACAATTCTAGTCCTTCTGCAATCCAAAATGCCGTGTTGTTGTTCTCATAAAAGATGATGATCTTCTCTTTTATGTGCAACTCCTGAACCCGGTCGAGCAGATATGTAAGCTTTGCAGATGTCGTTGCAACCATCTTCGTCCGCGAAAGCGGTGAATCCGGCGAAAGTTTTCTGCTAATACCTTTGAGGAACGTCTTTTTAGGCGATCGATTTTCCGTCGGCTTGTTCTTATGTGTAAGATTGTCCGCAACGTTTGACTCATTCCTGGCCGGCTTCTTCTCGGATCTCTGCATTAATTCACGACGAGCACTAATACCTGCTCCTGCAAGTCCCTCCGCTGGATCATCAGCCATGAGATGCGACGTTATGAAGGTCTGCGCGAGGCGTGCTTGCGATAAACCTAGCAATAGAGGTTTTGCTTCATCGGAGCTTGAAGTCAGTGACCAGTACTCGCGGGCATGGTCTGGAAACCTTTGAACATATACGCCGAGCTCATCTGAATGGCAGAACGAGCTAAAGCTCTCACTGGTAAGTGCTCGATGCGCAATCTTGAGGCCCTCTTTCAAGAGTTGAATGTCATCCGCCGCCATGTTTTCCATATTATTTGTCAGGTATTTCTCTGCCACCTCGATTGTAGACTCGATATCTTTAGGTTTATGGCCAGTCCACCAGAAGCCCGCCTGACGCAAATGGTTAATCAAAAGACTGAGATGTTTTCTATTCCGGCTTTGAAACATATAATCTTGATCCTTGCGCTCAGATGTAATCGCATTCACGGTAAGATTGAACAGAAACAGATTGATTGACATTTTGTCGTAGAATGTCGGCTCAAGACTAACAACTTTATTATGCAGTCGAGGTAGCGGAAGTTCTTCGTTGATGACATCCAAACGGTGTCTTACCACAAGACCTTGAAGTACAGCCCGCAATGACGGTGCTTTCCTTCGTTTACCGTCTTCGCCAACCGGTTTGATGTATTTCGTCCAGTTCGCCGGATCGTCATGTCGGGAGTTCGCCCAGGGCTTATGCTTCAGAAAGTCGACAACAATCAGCCGTAAATTGTCCACATCTTTCAATTCCTCGTCTGTTCCTGTCTTTTTGCGAGAATGTAACACTAAAGATGGCACATCATCTTCAGAGCTCGTGTCGCCCGCCAGTCTCTGATGCGAGGCAAGACTAAGTTCTGCGCCGTACAGCCCATTTGACGGTGTTCCTGACACGACCCATCGACGCTCGATATGCAGCTGATCTAACATGTGCATAGTGCTGGACTTGTACCCATGTCCGGCAACATTATGACCTTCATCAACAATAATTCGAAGCCAGTGGAACTTCTTCAGAGGAGATTCTGCTGCAGACATCGAAAAAGCCGAAGGGGTATGGCGACTGGTCTCTGGTTCTCCGGCTTCTTTCTCGAATCGGGTTCGGGCGAATAACACGATATCATATTTCAACAGCTCCTCCTCTGAAGGAGTCTTGTCATTTCGGCTTCTCAATACAAGAACATGAAGCCCTTCTGTGTGGGATGCGATTTCAGATGTCCAATGATCCACAAGATTAGGCGGAACGATTATGAGCGTGCTGGAAATGAGACGAAGACGAACAGCTGGTGGGCGAGACATCCATCCACCACGGCTCGTATACCTTGACGGCGGTGGCGGTATCGTATACTCACCTCTATGCCGTTCGCACTCCTCTTCGCATCGTGCGTAGTTGACACCAGTTTCTCGCAAACGTCGAAAGTGACTAGGCCATGGAACAGAAAATCGGCCCGCTGTAGCGGCTGCCATCTGCATGAGCGAGCCAACAGACTTGCGAGTTGGATTCTTAGTTTCCTGATACTCTGTCGGAATGCGAGGGAAATGGCCGCGTGTTGATAGGATAACCGCCAAGCAAATTAATGTCTTTCCGCAACCCATAGTCTCTGCAAGAATCCCTGCAATCAAATTAGCGAGTGAAAGGCACTAGCCGGAAATAGTGTACTCACCACCACAAGCCTCCTCATAGATGCGTTTACTACGTAGCATGGTTCCCTCTTCCTTGTCATAGTAGTATTCTTGGCCCAACGGTGTCTTGTAAACCTCTAACCGCGGATCCAACATTTGTCTCGGATGTACTTCTCGTTGAATCATAGTGGCAGCCGAACGGCATTGATAAGGGTGTAAAGGAGTCTTGAGTCCAATCACACTAAATATCTCTTGTACCTCCGGTCTTGACTCTCTTGAACTTGCAATCAGTTCTTGCATAGCCAACTTGCCGTCTGCATCTCGCACATCGTCTATCGTAGGATTCGGGTTATCGAGGGTATTAAATATATACCACAGCGATTCGTCGTCGGCCTTCTTACTCTGCTCCTCAGAGTTCGTGTCAAAATCACCATTCCAAGCCGCCGGAGATCTGTCAATGTTCGCCATCACAACCCGCAGTGCCTTCCTAAGCGTATTGCTCGTGCGTGAAACCGCAATCCGTGCCACATCGTGAGGTAGGACGTAGACTTGAACAAACGACCAAACGGGATAAGACTCGTATATGTTCCAACGTGTTTGTATCCATTCATGATTTTGCAGGCTGTAAAGCTCCGCCTCTGGAAATTGTGCAGACGATCTTCGCAGTATGCCGACGGGGACATATTGGTCGCTGATGACCGATTCTTCTTTAGGATATGATTGAACTGTGGATGCTGCTTTTAGAAGTGACTCAGCTATTCGGGGGAGACTCGAGGGTTGTGGTGTATCCGTCTGAGGAGGGGTGATAGCGCCGAGGCCAAGTTCGTTCGTCACAGACGATTTTCCATCATTCTGTATTGATTTTCATTAGAACCATCAAATACAAATCACTCGAAAATTACATTGATGGAGAAGAAGCACTCACATCGTTGTACGCCTCGATGCCCGAGAGAAAAGGATAACCAGCATCGGCGACAGCTGCTGGTGCCATGCCGGCGTTGGCAGTGGGCGAATATCAAGCGAATGAATCCGATGCGAGGGGAAAGGAGTGAGGCGCCAGTTTCTTATGTCATGGACTAAACTAATAACAAAATAGACTTGAATAGTATGTTTGAATCAGGGTTAATGAATGATGCCGATGGGTGAAGTTCTTTTCTTATCGGTTACTGCAATCCATTTTCTCTTGCGCGACTCGTCACACAGTGGGTTGTACACTCGGGTTGCCAATAACTCAAGAGGCCATCGAAAAAATCAAGTTTTCAGACAGCCAGAACCCTGCCTGATAAAATATAACAGATGTGCAGTTTCCCACCAGCTGGGAGTACTGGGAATGAAGTTGAATGCGGAGAAGAAACTCTGATAAGAGATTAAGTGGCAGAATAAACCAGGCAACAGTAACAAGCTTTATGGTTGGTCACTCTAATTTACCGCCTTCTAACCCGCTATCTGCTCAACTTCGACGACCTCCTTCTGATTAGAAATGATTTATTGGGTTGATTGAACTTCAATTGACCCTAGACGCTGGCCAGAATGTGCTATACTCTCTATGTAAGAATTAGAAGTGATACATATGAAAATGTGAAAAGAATGGAACAGGATTAGGTGGTATAGAAGCCAAAAAGAAATCACCGAGTGAGAAAGTCCTCAATCTCGAAGCCGACACGTCTCAATGCTTTTTCCTCGATGTCCTTTGACGGATCAGGCACTCGTCGAACGACCAAGGTGCGTGCTTCGTCAAGCCGTATCTCTACAGGGTTTGGATTACCGGGGCCATGACGCTCGATTTCTTCACACTCACAATTTCGAATGTGTACGATCMCGTCAGGGCCGATGCAYCCCCGCCACAGGGAGGCCATCCATTGCCAATGGTCCAGAAATGTGTAACAGTCATTAACCGGAGTTTTGCAGGCATATGCGTCGGCGGCTGTGAGCTGGTATCTAGGAACTAGTGCAATGGGAATGAGTGATGCGCTATATTGAGACAGCGTTGGTGAAGGGCTGGCTGTTGGGCAGCTACCTGAAGACTCCGGTGATCTGGTGCTGCAGCCGGTTGAAGACTCGCTGGAAGCGGACCCTGAAGATTTCGGGCTGATGAATTGGATAATTTCATTTGAGATGCGATGCCAGTTTGAAATAATGCTCATATATTCGACCATAGCATTCTTCATCTCACCAGGAGCCGATTCGTTGCGAGCAAGGATATCTGGCCCTTCGAAAACTCGGACAACGTATTTTCCGTCATCCATGAGAAGCTGACCAAGATATTTCATCATGACCTTGACCTGAGCTGCGTCCTGGCCGTCAACTGCAATAACGGCGCCTCGGGACGGTGTATTGTCTCGCCCAGAAAGCGGAGGAGATATTTTGGCTAAAAGCTGGATCTTATTCAAGACAGGGATTGTCATCACGCTATCAGTCTGGATGCGAGTTGTAGCAGAAGGCGAACAAGGAGAGTTGCCATCTGCTTTTAATGGCGGAAGCGTCAGACTCGGATCATAATAACCGTCACCTTCGTGTCGTGGTGGCTGTTGTTGCTGGTGAATAAGCCCAGTGTTCGACATCGACTCCACATGACTCCGGAAATAAGCGACACCCGGTCGAGAGACATAAGTCTTTTGGGACGAAAGAGAGTAAGGCTCCGTATCAGGGCTCTCAGTGCGTTGAGACGTGCCACCATTCAAACGGCGACGTTTGTTGTCTACAGGTGCGGAATCGGGTTCTTTCCACTGGTTGCTGAACATACGACGATCTGTATCAGTCGGTATGAGCAATTCATTTGGACGACGATTTGACTTGTCGTTGTTGCCTCGAGAAGAAAAAGAGGATGTGGAAGAAGAGGATCCAGCATGAGGAGACACTGAGCCCATAGAACGACTATTGGTTGGCGGTATGGTGGCAGTCAGGGGCGTATGGGGCGTGGAAGGCGGGTTCATCAGCTTTCCTCCACATCGATTACATGTCGTTGAACCCTGATTGCCCGAAGCCGACCCGTTGCGAGAATTATAGTCACGACCGTAACGTCGTGGCTGATATCGGTAGTCTGGGTACTGTTGTTGATGTCGGGCTTTCTCAGCCTGTTTTTTGTCAGCGGGTACATAAAAGGAAAAATAGGTTACAAACCTCCGCCAAAGCTTTCCATTGGTCCTTGCTTTCCGGTGATAGCGAACGCCACTGCTCTCCGATGATCTTGGAGATCTCCGGGTTTGCAAGTCCAGGATTCTGGGCAACGACGGCCCCCTGGTAATGCTGCCTGTACAGAATGAATGCTATGATTAAGATTAGCTCGTATCACATATCAGTCTTCTGTGACGCATACCATTTCTCGGCCTCGGAATCTTGGGGTCAGGCTGACACAAACAAAATTGCGCAGCCACCTCTTTAGCAGCCTCCAATCTAGTGGGACTGCGTGAAGCCGATCTATCTTCAGCTCCATTTGCCGTCGATTCGACAGTTGCGAGCACTGGAGTGTTTTGTCTAGTTGACGCCGCAGAGAAGCTAGCCGTCAGTTGGCCATTCTGAACAGCTTGCTCCCGATTGATAGCAGAAAGCTGCATCTGGGACAAGGCCGTCGAGCAATTGTCAGGCTCAATGGCTGGTCTGCTCGTTTGAATCTCTCCAACAGAGACAAGTGACATGGCTGCTGCTCTGGTGCGTTCGCTCATATTCATGATTTTGTGTTCCAAGAGACTGCTTGATTGTCTGTGCAGGAGTCGAGCTCCAGGCTCATCGTAGAGCGCCGGTGGGCGTGGGAGGACTCTATCGAAGGACATGACAATACTTTTCCAGGTGTGATACATACAATGATTGAAACACCTCGAAGCTGTCAACGTGTTGAGGTAGTTGACTTGACTTGATATGAGCCAGAGAAAGGGAAAGAAGAAAGCAAGCACAAAAGCACTTATATAGATGTAATCTATGTCTTGCTTGATGCAAAGCAAAAGGGTCAGGTGAGCAGTATCGAAAAGGAGGGGTGCAAAGAAATTCAATGAAAAGAAACGAATATTGACCGTTGAGAAATAGGTAAGAAGCTATTCTGGATATATCCGTCTAGTTGGGTTTGCAAGACTGTTTCGGTTCGAATTGAGTTGAATCTCTTTGATCTCCCTCCCCTCCGCCCTAAACCACAATGGACTTTATGGAGCTAGCTCTCTGCTTGACCTTACTTGCTTGATTATGTGTGCTGTGCACAACACAACACGGTACAGTACAAATACAATAAGGCAAATCGAGGCCAAGCCAAGACAAGTAAAAGGCAACAAGAGGGGCGAATGAGTTAAAACTTGACAAGAAGAAAAAAAATATTCCAAATGTCCGGAACAGAAAAGCCAACTTTTTCGTAGGACAGCCTTTGTTCCGGAACTTATATCATTCGTTCAAACGGTACCTTTTTCAAACCCGTGATCCATATTTAGAGCTGACTGGATGGAATCGATGAAGGAAACTGGGGAAACGTCGATTTWCTTTTTTTTTTTTTTTTTTGCTTTTTTGGATCGTGCTTTGACTCTGGCTTTAGCTTTGTCTTGTATCCTTGACGATTTGCCTAACCCTTACTAATCTGGCAGGTTGTCTGTTTAACTTACTAACCAGATGTCGTTGATAAGTGATGATGATCTTCCGGGCCGTTTATACTCTTTGCTTTTTTATTGTCTTCTATTTTTCAGGATTAATATTTCTTTTCCCATTTCCCTCCATTTACCGTATCCGGTAAGTTTTACACTGTTGTCTTTCGCGGCATACACATCTAATACCGAGACTTTCCCAATTACGATGCAAACAAAAACCCAGTTCCCTCTTCGTCTTCATCATCTTCATCATCAGTCGGTGAAGAAGGGTAAAAGGGCGGAGCAAATAAGAATCCCAACCCTCCAAAAGACAAAAGTGATGAGTGGGAAAGAAGAAGCTGCACCACACTCGAATAGGAAAGGACTCTTGTTTTAAGACCACCAAGACCCGTTCGGAAATAGGATGAATAAAGAGAATGAGTGGTAGGGCAGAACCTTTACCTACCTCAAATCAACTAAAATCCGTTCTAAGAATCAATGACAATAGAACGGATGCCGGACGTATGTAGGACGCTAATTAGGGAGATAAGGGAAAAAAGACGTGCATGCATGAATGACAGGCAGCTTTTTTAACACCTTTTCTTTGTTCTCTGGCTCAGCCTTCTGTCAGCCGCCCGCTCACTTCCCTTCTTCTAAAATCCTTCTCTTGAGAGTCTAGCGGCAAGACAGACGCTGCGCCAAATTCGGAAAGCTGCAGAGCTTTGGACACCTACGCATCTGTCTCTTGACAAGGAGTGACAAGTTGACAGAGTGGCAGCCTGATGGGGAATTCCCTTCAATTACGGGGAACTGGGATGGAATAAGGTCCGTCACCTCACCTAACCTACGGAATACTTTGTTTGGACTGGATCCAGATGTCGAATGGGGAAAAGGGAGAAGGCGCTGCACTACCGGGTGAACAATGATGCAGCTCTATCTTGTCCTGGCCTGAGATGGATGTGTCATCTACACCTGGTATAAGACGGACATGGTGGTACAGCTAGGAAGAAAAGGACAAATTAGTAAACAGTACGCAAGTCATCTATCAGTATAACACCAAGAATAGTTAGATACATCCCAAAATATATACATACATTTCTAGCACATAATATGTAAGTATAATATGTAAGTTATGTAAGTGACAGTATGTCAGGATGTACAGCCCCAAAGCTGTAGCTCAACTACCGGTCTCTTCCAATCTCAAAAGACATGATTGCATCTCGCAATAGAAACAGATTCCTGTACGTAGTGATGTCCGGACTCGACTAGCGCATCGGATCAGGGACACAGAATAATTTAGTACTGTACATTTCAGGCAACACTTTATAGCCCCACAAACAACGCAAAACAACTAGCCTGCCTCATAAAGAATGGCAACTCAGGGGTCGGTATCTCCCGAAATCTGCCAACCACGGTCCTCCAAATTATGTGCTTGGACAGCCAAGCGCGCGTCGGCGGTGTAATAAACGCCGTGATGCGTCTGTATGCATCTGCAGATGTACGTGTGTTGCTGTCAGTGAGTGTGGCAAATGACTGCAACAGACTCTATTCTCGACCAGCGAGAATATTCTCAAGTACAATATAACGTCGTAAGTCATAAATCAGAGCATCTGACCTTGGACTGAATCAGAGTCTTGTCTTAAAGAGGCTATAAATCAATTGAGCGCTCTCCAAGGTTAGACAAGCCCAAACAACCGATCATCTGACCACTAATGAGAGATCAGGTAAATCGCGGCTCGATGCGTGACTCCAAATGTGCAACCTTATGATGGAATTCTGGGGCACCAAATAATAGTTCTTTGTGAATCAAACACTGAGGTCAAGCAGAGTGCCAACTTCTTTATGTCGACTCTGTCGAATTCGAATCTTTGGCCCACAGATTCTCAATCTCGTGAAAGATCTCCGTAGCCATCATCTGATTCGCTGTCGGCCCGAGATGCAAGCCATCCCTGTAAGAATTGAAGATACATTGTCAGCAATTTTCTTTGTTATCCAGTTTTCTTTGTTTCCCAAAACGATTACTTTGTCGACAAGACGTACCAAAACAGGAATCTTTCTGGATTCTCACACCGCTGATCCTGGTTACCCAGGAATGGCAGCCAAGTATTTTTGCTGGAAACGCATGGGTTTTCGACATCATCCCACGGGGTTTGATTTCCCAGCCCTTGTCCATCGAGCATMCCCGCCATATAGAACTGGCGTGATCTGATTTGGTCGTTGAGAAATTCATTCGTGTTGAAAATTAACACCGACCCGTTCCCCCAAACATGAGCCTTTTCTTTGAGTTTGTCGTTCCAGTCGGTGACGATATCGATCATATCCTTCTGTCCCTGAGTTGGGTCGAACGCGGGCAAGAATGTGGGATCAATAGACATCATAAGCAGAATACGGAGGTCATCAGAATCGGTATACTTTTCAAGGCGATCTAGTTGCTGGAAGATGGTATCAAGACTGCGCTTCATAGATTTCTCCATGTCCTCCATCGACACACCGTTGAACTTCCAAATGTCCCATATGAGAAATGACAAAGCGAAAATGGTATTGTTTGTCCGTGCCTTCAAGCCACCGCCAGATGGGTCAGTCTGCGTTGCATTCAGCTCTGCAGCGAGCCATTGGTCAACCTGACTGCGAAGGTCGGGCAATGGTTCCAAGGAACGGGCGGCATCGGAAACGACGGTGTGAAGCTCGGTTTCGTCAACTACAGATCCGCAGACAGAGCTTTGGCAGACATGTTCCCTTTGCGCATATGTCTCCAAGCGACATGGCCACTATAAATGTGAGCTTTGGTTTGCAAAAACAATTTGAAGGAGTGTAATTGCTTACCATTGAACAAACCCATTCTGGCCAGGCTTGTCCTTGCGCGGCTAGACGCGAACCAATGGCACTCCAGGCATCTCCAAATACCACCAGTCTGTGATCGGAATTGGGTGGAATCGTTGTGGTAGGAACGTCATTTACTAGGTCTTCCTCGGCAACCTTGCCAGTCCCCTTCAGGCTCAGTTCATTACCGGCTGTGTAGAAGTTGCCGGATGCATATAAGAGAGACAAAGCGACTAATATGCTGATGAAGGCAAGACTGCCGAGCATATTCAGCCTTGTTAGATACCGCATTTTCATCCCGTCTATTCTGTACACCGTACCACCAGCACGCGGTTAATTCTGGTGTCAAGGGTTGCACAGACTATGAACTTTCCTCGCAAGAATCGTTTGTTCGAATTTGATACTTGATCTGAACAGAGCATATAATCTTGCAGGACGTCGAAACTTTGTAAAACAATGGAGTTGAAAATCCGGATTGGCGCCGAAGTATTGGATGAAACGGAATGTCTAGACTTTGTGAAACGAGAAACGAGCTGAAAAGCAGCCTCAAGGAGCAGAGACTACGAATGCTGGGTATCGAGTAGTTGCAAATAACGCGGTGATTAGGGATATTGTGACAGATCAGAGAAAGAGTAGATGAATCAGGAGAAGACGAAGTGTGCTTTCCTGCACAGTAAGCCAGGCACACGACAGAGTTGCAACTGATGCTGCTTAGTTCGCCCTAACGGTCGGATCGGCTGGTAATCTTGTAAGTTACGTACATCAAATTTACATGAATTTCATGAATTTCATGAATTTCATGAAATGACCGATTTACAGATCAAATCGACCAATAGTATGCTGAATAGATTATCTGATTTCAAGACAGTGACGCAATGACTGCAGAGACAGCGGCAATATGGGGCCCTTTCGGGGATAAGCTCAGACTCCTATTGGACGCTAATTTACATTACGCGTACCTATATCGACTCGTCTCACGTGGGGTGTTGCCGTTCCTGGTTTTCGCTTTTCAGTACGTTGTTGCGCGCCGAGATACTCTTTCTATCCAGCTTGTATTTCCCAGATATGGATATAGAAGACACATCAGGTTGACAGCTTTACTAAGATGTGACCGATCACACTTCATCGAAACACGGGAGAAAAGAAAGAAAACTTGGGCCCTTCCAGTTTCAACCAGGGTTCCGTTTACCGCCCGCTATTATCGGCATACGTAAGCCGCGTCGAAGCAACGTAAGCCAAACACCAGAGAAACGACAACGCACGTCTGCTTCCATTACACATGTAACAACATAGCCTATGTACAGAGACGGTGTGTCTGACCAAGCATCAATTTAGTACTCCCGTACTTCATATCAGAACTCTCAGATATTGCCAAATATTGACCATAATTCGGAGGTTTCGGATAGGATATGAAAACTCTAGATCGCAACTCCACAAAAGAACAAGATCTGCCTCAGCCCCAACACGGTTTGTTTGGCTTGGCAGAGGAAAACCAGGATGTTTGTATTCGGTAACTAACTCCCCGTTACGGCGCAAGCCATACAGTCGGACTAGTCTTCTTTGTGCACTAGTGAAATACCTTTCTGCCTGAGGCATTAATGTCTCGTGATCGCAGGTCACATGACCAATCTAGTCACATGACGGGAGAGCTAGCCCTACGCCAAGACCCTTCTACCTAAATAGGCTAGTGTGTCTTAGTCATCCCGCTGCCCACAATGCCTTAGCGTCGGTAAGCGAAATTTCCCACAACGCTCAGAGACAGAGGAAGAGGATCCGCGAGAGACTTCAACTTGAACATTCGACCTTCGACAATTCGCGTCTCCGTCTTGACCGCGCAACCACCCCCGTCAAGATGAAGCTCAACATTTCATACCCGGCCAACGGGTCACAGAAGCTGATCGAGATTGACGATGAGCGCAAACTCCGTGCCTTCATGGAGAAGCGTATGGGAACTGAGGTCCCTGGCGACGGTCTCGGTGATGAGTTCAAGGGCTACGTTTGTCTCCCTTTCCCATTCATTTCTTCACTTTACAATCGATCGGTACACGGGAGATTCGAATTCTGCATCATTGGGTTGGAGATTGGCAGGGACAACACTTGAAAGGAATTGTAGGATGGGTTCAACACAGTTTATAAAATTTCAGCATATGGGAAGAGACGGGCAATAAGATATGAAAAGGGAGGGGATCGAAAATCTATGAGCCCAGTGATGCAGAATACTCGAATTGCTCGGACTGAATCGATGGCACTGGTTCGAGAATACTTCATTCAATATCATGAATGAAACGGTCTCGAACAAGCATTTCGCACATCCTTCAACCCCTCTGATAGCATTGCTAACGTCTTTACAGCTCTTCAAGATCACTGGTGGTAACGACAAGCAAGGTTTCCCCATGAAGCAGGGTGGTATGTTAACACTCAATATCAGTATGACCCCAAGCCAAACTAATCATTCCACCAGTCCTCCTCCCCAACCGTGTCAAGCTCCTCCTCTCCGACGGTCACAGCTGCTACCGCCCTCGCCGCACCGGCGAGCGCAAGCGCAAGTCTATCCGCGGTGCTATCACCGGCCAGGACTTGGCTGTCCTCGCCCTCAGCATCGTCAAGCAGGGTGAAAATGAGATCCCTGGTTTGACCGACGTTGTCAACCCCAAGCGCCTTGGTCCCAAGCGTGCCACCAAGATCCGTAAATTCTTCGGTCTCGACAAGAAGGACGACGTCCGCAAGTTCGTTATCCGTCGTACCGTCACCAAGGAGGGCAAGAAGGAATACACCAAGGCCCCCAAGATTCAGCGTCTTGTTACTCCTCAACGCCTGCAGCGCAAGCGTCATCGCATTGCCATCAAGCGCCGCCGTGCTGAGGCTGCCCGTGAGGCTGCGTAAGTTCTACTTCCCGATCTCCTTAGTATCTGTCTAACCGCTATTTCAATAGTAACGACTACGCCAAACTCCTCGCTTCCCGTGTCCATGAAGAAAAGGCCAAGCGCAGCGAACTCCGCAAGCGCCGCGCCTCCTCTTTGAGGAAGTAGATGCTTGTGCGGTGTTGAATCGGGAAATGGAGAGGGGGTGGAAATCCAAAAAAGACGGTTTCTGGGGTTTTCTTTTTGACATTTCCATGTTGTATTAATGAAAGAGAGAAAAAAAGCCCCCCGAATCGAAAACACATAACTTCTTTCTTTCTGTTGTCTCTTTTCCTACTCACATGACCCAGAGGCGGGATATACCAGGAGAGTATGAAGGGAGGGAAAGGACAATGAAAAAAATCCCATAATGATGAAAGGAAACTTTACAGGCGCAATATTATTCTTTTTTTAGAATTTTTTACTTAAATCCTGTCTTTTCTCTTCATATTATTGCAGCGGGATGGGCACAACTCGTCGCTTTGGGAGGATTTTACAACGCAACACAACAAACACATACTCTCGAGAAGTTCTAGGACAGAATAGAATTTTCTCATTTTTCTTTTATCTGAATGTCTATCGGTCCTCTCCGTCTATGAGTCTCCTATAACGCCAAAGTAGCTCTATCATTCGCACTAGTTGCTTAATTGTTGTGTGCTACAAACCAGAGCATGGCCATGTCAGGCCAAGGGACATTAGGATATGGTATGTTTTCATTAGACTGAGTATTCACTCGACCTGTATTTGGACATCGTAGTTATCCTTTGGGATTGAATCTCTGCATACACATTCGATGTTGGTGTTGTTGAGATTACCTATAGATGCTTAAATATCGAAACAGGAATTCGCTATCTCATTATTGAATATGAATCTGAGGTTGATATACATCAGCAATAGGAAAAGTACAGACAGAAATAGCAACAACAATAAACAGAGATCATGATATATCATTTCAAACATAGAAGCGGAACGAAAACCCCATCACCCTTTCAATATGCATAGCAAATACAGCAGAAGTCATATATTTTACTCAACAGCATGCGAGAACAAGAAACTGACAGACTCGCCATTATGCGTCCTCCTACAGGCCTCCGCCAACGTCGCACTGATATCTATCGTCTCAATCTTGTCGCAAGCCTCCTTCTTCTCCGCATGAGGCACGGTATTCGTCACAACCAGACGACGCAGACAGCTATTATTCAGATTACTGATAGCGTTGCCCGAGAGAATTGCGTGGGTCACGATGGCATTGACTTCTTTTGCGCCGTGTTCCATTATGGTGTCGGCTGCCTTGACGAGCGTGCCGCATGTATCAGCCATGTCATCCACGATGATGGCGACTTTGTCCTTGACGTTGCCGACGAGGACCATGCGGGAGACCTCGTTGGGGCGCGCGCGTTCTTTGTGGATGAGTGCGAATTGGAGGTCGAGGCGGTCGGCGATTGCCGTTGCTCTATATCCAGTGTTAGCCAAACCTCAAACCTTATCATATCGAAGGAGGGGAATAACGCACCTCTTAGCACCGCCAGCATCAGGACTAACAATAACACAATTCGTAACATCCAGATGCTCCCGTATCCACTTCAACATACTAGGCTCAGCATAGAGATTGTCTACTGGCACCGTGAAAAATCCTTGAATCTGGCTGGCATGAAGGTCCATGGTGATGATATGGTTTGCGCCGGCAGTTTGCAGCATGGTAGCCATCAATCGAGCGGTGATGGGTGCTCGACTCTTATCCTTCTTGTCCTGGCGCGCATAAAAGAAATTGGGGATAACGGCGGTGATCCGTCTGGCTGATGCTGTTTTGCAGGCGTTGATCATGATAAGTAGCTCCATGAGACCGTCGTTTATATCGTTGGGTTTTGTGGATTGGAGGATGAATACTGTGAAAAAGACTTGACGTTAGGACATGACATGATATGATGTTCCGTGCGGAGTTGAGAGAAAAAATCGTACCATCTTCGTCACGAACACTTTCACCTATGGTCACACTCGTTTCTTGATTCGAGTATTGGAGGACCAGAATCTTGGTCATTTCAATTCCCAGTCTGTTCGTCAATTAGCCTCACACATCCTTGTAGCCTATGACAATATCGTCAACAAAAGGGTGATCACTTACCTATCTGCCACGAGCTTCGCAAGCTCGGGATGACTGTTTCCAGTCAAGAGTTTGATACTGTTCGTCGCCATTATGTAGAAATATCACTGGCGCAAAATGACAATATGAAAAAAGGTAGAGTACAGTTGAAAGCTCACTCGATCGACGAGAATCCTGATTGACCCCGCGGAGCGAAAGAGTCAAAAGTTTCTCTTTCCCCGAACTTTTTTTGCCATGTGGGGAGACTGCCTGTTGCGTCCCTCACCGCCTTGGGGCTTCCTTAAAACCTTCAAGTATACTAAGTAGCTACAAGTACAAGAGAATGGAGTAAAGTTGACTATGTTGATTGAACTATCGATATATCAATAATTCAGAGGATGTAAAGATAGCCACAAGTTCGCTCGTATTCAAAGAGACTGACTGACCTGCACTTCAAATCAATCCCCCGAAACAACGAGCTCTGCTCAGGCCATGTCAAAGTCCTTCTAACTGCCCATGAGAAGGACATGAATCTAAAATACAAAGGCCGTAAAGCGTCTCTGATCCTTCTGATGCTTTGCAAGAAACAAGAAATAAAAGTAAAACACAATTTAGTGGAAAATTACTCAAACAAACAAGCGCCCTCGCATGCTAGAACAACGTGCATAACCTTGAGATCATGATAAAACCCCAGTTATTTTTAGGCAAAGCCAAAGTAATCGCCGCCGGCAGTCATGGCTTTATACAGTCGTGAACGGAGATCCTCGTAGCTTTCGTACTCGGGCAGATCAAGTTCTATTAGGCGAATTAGTATCCGTCTCAGCATGTGTTGAGAGTGTATAACTTACGGTTGAAACATGTATGAGAACTTGGCAGGCGTTCCTTATTGCCATAATCCCGATGAATATTGAACCTGCTGAATCCATTCATACCTTCCAGCTCCTTGAAACCATTGAGTGGAACTTTACTCGTGCCGGTCACGAATTGGAGCAACTTCGCACGCTCTTCTTTGTCGAATGACCGGACTGCTCGCCAGAACCATTGAATCTGTTGCGACGAGGCAGAGTAGTTGTGATACTCCGTATTGTTCTTCCAGTCGTCAACGTCAATCTCGGGCAGACCAGAAATGAGCAGCTCGAGCTCTTGTTCATTGAAGATTGATATGAGATCAGGTGGGATAATATCGTGGAAACCTTTGAGGAAATTTTCAAGTTGTTCCTTGACAGAACCAGCCAGTTTGTATTCAACTACTCGCTGCACGTACTCCTCCTTGTTTTCCTGTGTCACGGGAATGTTGCGACCATTTGGTATGAGGTCGATAACCTGGGTCTCGCCGAAATCGTCGGTCTCGATGGCGAAGGTTTCAGTGATGATATCCGTGATATCGTTCTCCAACATCCACAGCAAAGATTTGTAGTAGTCCAAATCTAGCGTCTCCATATCTTTGATAGACACAGACTTTCCAAGGATGCTCTTGTACACAGCTCGACTGAAGTGACAATCAAGAACACGGCCTTCGTAAAGAGCCTTGCCAATGATGCGGCCGATAAATTTGAAGAACATCAAGTGTTCAGTGTTGACCCCACTCAATCGGTTTGGATGGAATGTTGTTCGATCAGAGGCAACTGGGATGAAAAGCGCATAATTGGGGTTGAACATGCCACGTGCAAGGACTTGGAACCATTCTCTCGTCACACCACCGGCATCGACACCCTCCTCGCCATGGAAACGAATGTTGAGTTTTCCATACTTGACTTCCTCTGCAGTCTTGAAGTACAGACTCTTGAAAGAGTCCAAGAACACTTGGTCTCGTCGAACAGAGAGTTGGAGAGGAGGATGAGGTTGTCGGACTTCGGCGCCCCGCGAATGGATGCGGCGGGTGAAGTAGTTTCGCTTGTTATCAAACTCCAAGACCTTCGGGTTCTTGACGAGCAGAGAGAATGTTCCGCTCATGAGTCGTGGGTTCTGACGGACAAGCTCGTTGAGAATCTTACGATGCTCTTCAGTAAAGTTGAAGAACAAGTTCTCCATTCCGGGGCCAGTTTCCGAGGTAGGCGTTGCAACCGAGTGTTCCCTAGTGAGTCGCGAAATGGGTGCATCCTTGAGGCTTGTGTTCTTGCAAACAACCATGAGAGCCTCAATCAACGGAAGTAAAGTCGTGGCGACGTTGAGCATATTCTCCTTTTGTCTAATGATTGTCAAGCACGCACTAAGCTTGTTCCAAAGAGGGCCAAATGTTGAGTTTTCGTATAATGTCCTAAGAACATCCTCTTTGGGTGCGGATTCTGGTTCAGCGCCCTTGACCTTGTCAACACGATTGGGATCAAACAGATAATCGAGTGCTGTCAAAATACGGAGCAACTTGGCTTGGTCGGAGCTAGCGGGTGAGAATTTCGACAACGCCAACCCTTGTACATCCGTGCCAGAGCTTGCTTGTTCGATATGCGGAAGCAATTCATCAAGATTGATCAAAATTGCTTCGCTTAAGGCCTGTGCTTGAGAGATGAGTTCTTTGCCGATGACATCCTTTGCGCCGGGAATCGCTGATAGATTGTTGATTGTCGAGAGCGTCTCCCGGAAAGTCTTGCCATTGCATTCACGGGCCGCAAGAATACCCACCACCAGCTGCAAATTGTGATCTGGAATTACTGGAGGTTCTATAGTCCGCTTCTTCGACTTCTCCTCATTCGCGCTTGGATTGGTGCCCGCAGCATCGGTAGCTTCAGGCATATCTGTATCATGTACCTCTGTAGCCTCAACAACGACATGACCTGAATCGTTCTCGGTTTCATCGGGACGCTGCGGTTCCTTGCCTTTGGAGGTTTCTTCTTGTTTTTCTTTTTCACGTCGAAGAAGAATAGTGAGAGGCTGAGTTACAGTGCTGAGAAGATGGGCCAGTTGTTCCATGCAATTCGGGCTTTCCATGATCATGTCTCTATCTAACAGCGAGAGAAGTGCATTGAGAGGATATCTGTTGTCCTTGGCCTCCTTTCCTTTGCCTTTGCGCAAAGCTCTAAGTTTGAGCATGGAAGCTGATTCGTGTTCTGTAAGGAAGAACCAGGATATGTGTGGATTGTACTGAGTCAGGAAAGAAAGGGTGTCAAGACATTGTTGCACAACAAGAAGAGGCGTTACGTCGTTATTGGCACCACTCGACGCCGGAGGGGCTTGATTGCGCTTGGCTGACTGAGGCGTTTTTTGAACGGGGGGCATTTTAGCACGTAGCGACAAATGAGCAAAGCTCCGCTCGATCGCTGCTGCGTCTAAGCTTCCGTCTTGGAGGATGGACAGAACAAGGCTGATCGTTTCTACCCGGTTTTGGCGATTCTCACAGACATTATGGAGGATGTCGTGTAACTGATGGCGCGCATTACCTTGTAGAGGCATGAACATCAAACGAAGTAGCGTGGCAACTCCAGCCTTGTCAAGAATCTGCACAATTTGACGGCGTTGGGGCTTTTTAGTATCATGTTCATGTACCTCATCTCGCTGTCGTTGCTCTACACGGCCGACATCTCCGAATTGTGCAAGCCGCCTTCCAGGAAGTGCACGGGCTTCTGTCAAGAACTCCGGTCCTAGTGTAGCTAGAATCTCATCGGGCTGATCTGCCAGCACAGACTGTCGCAGCGAAGGATCGAGGGTTGCCATGAAACTTGCAGGATCCATTTCTTCTGCGTGAGCTGGGGCTCCGCTCGCAGCAGCTTGTCGACGAGCAGACTCTCGCTCGCGACGTCGCCGAGCTGAGGCTTCGGCTTGAAGAATCTCCTCTCTAATTTCGGGCGGTAATGCTTCCAGGAACTCCTGGCTGATATCTGTAGGCTCCTCTCCAGAAGCAACGGCTTGAGATCGCTGTTCAGCCAATTGTTGCATAATGACCTCCTCTCTGAGATCTTCCGGCAAAGCCTCTAAGTATTCCGGATCAATGTCCATGCCTGTAATTTCTACTTGACGACCGCGTATATTGGTATAAACCCGCTGCGCTGGTTCGGAAGGTCCAGTTTCTTGAGCTTCAGCGGCGGCTTCGGCTAGCGACTCTGCACTGTCAACATCGTTCATAGGCTCATCAACCTCCTCAGCCTCTACGATAGGTGCTCCATGTTCGGCTTGTCGTGCCAACTCTTCCTGGCGCCGAGCAGCCTCCTCAGCCTCTTTTCTTCTTTGTTCACGTTCTTCTTCCTCTCTAGCGAGACGATCGGCTCTCTCCTTTTCCAATCGCTCTTCCTCCCGGCGTCTGCGGGCTGCTTCCTCTTCGGCTCGACGCTTCTTTTCTTCTTCAATGGCGGGGGGCACGAGAACACGCAATAGGGAGTTGATGACACGCTGGGTCTTTTCGAGGTGGTTACTGCTGAACAGAATGCGAGCCTCCTCTTGCCACCTAGCAGTTGTCGTTGCTAGAGCAAAGCTGATCGACTGCGATGGATCATCCCGAGATCTGCTAGATGGAATTTGTGGTCGTCCTAGTTCAAATATGCTTTGGAGCTGATTCCCAGGCAATAATGCGCGGCGGTCAACATGGACATGAATACCATCTGGTCGAGTAATGACACCAAAACCAGGGCCTCCTTGACCTTCAATGGCTTGCATGATGGCGTTCATAAAGCTTACAGGCGTGTCCATGGAAATGACGCGTCCTGCCGACGTTGAATCTACTCCATGAACCCAATCCGTGAAGGCTTCAGTGCCCGGGCCACGAATTTGCCCAGTGCCGTCAGGTCCACGATCAGTACGGATGAGGAGCGGATTCGTGCCATCGTCGGTGTTGCGAGAGGTTATTTGAGAGCGTTGAGAGCGATACGGGGGGATAGGAATGATTCCATTTCGGTTGAAGCCACTAGGAAAGCTTGTCCATGCTGGTGTTCCACGTACATGGCGATGATGGTGGTGATGATGATGGCGAGAAGTTGGTGGTTCCTCACCATCCCAGCCCCAGGGCTCCATGTCCTCATCTAAGAAATTGTTAGATATGATCAAGAAAGACAAGAATGAAGAAGGAAAAAGTAATTACCATCAATACCTTCATCGTAAGAAAGTTGATCATCGTCCATATCATCCATTCCTTCTTCCAATTCATCAACTTCATCTTCTTCCTCTTCATCTAATTCACCTATTAGCCTTGTCGAGAGCCAATGGCAGTGATGACTTACCCTCTTCTTCATTCATTCCATCAACAGCCAAGTCTTCCTGTGGATCGCCTCCCAAGCTGTTCGTTGGGAAATCGTCCATGGCACCCGCTGCTTCATGGATAACACGGAAGAGGTTCTCAAATCGCGATCCTTCAACATGAGGGTCGACCTGTCTCAAGTCACCAAATTCACTCTCAAGCTGGTTGAGCATTTCGGCTGCCTCTTCATTATCTTCCGACATGTCCTCGCTTTCCCATTCATCATCTTCATCGCCCTCTAAGCTGTCATTATCGCGATCGCCAGTAATCTCCCCAGCCATAATCTCATCATCTTCATCATCGTCATCCATGTCTGAATCATCGTCATCTTCGTCGTCTGAATCACTGTCATCATCTTCGTCTTCGTCGAGAAGGACCTCAATATCCATGCCGGTATCTCCTGGCAAGCCCTCAATAGGACCACGGCCATCAAGATCCTCATCTTCATCGCTGACAACCTCTCCATCATCTTCGGGAAGATCTTCATCGTAATCCATCTCATCACCATACTCATCATCGAACATCTCATCATCTTCTTCAGATTCCTCCTCGCTAGTGTCTTCTTCATGATTAGGCTCCAACATGCCCAGGGTGGAATGGCGGAAGAGATCTGGAGTTTCTTCGCGACCATTGTCGATATCCGAGACAGATGTCGCCGACGATATTTCGTACTCTTCGGTCTCGCCTGAAGTTGAGATACTTGAAGTTTCGCTTAGTATGACAGCAGTTTGCGTCAGCTTGTTCAGAGGCCTAAGAATGTATTTGATGACTCTTTTTGATGCGGGGAAGTTAAGATCGACATCAGCAATTGAAGCTGTCAACGAAGAGATAAAATGCTTTTCAAACATCGTCTTGGCGAGTTGTCTTGTAGACGATGGGAACGTCGTGTCACCGCTAGCAAATGTATAGCCGCTAAGCATTTTGTCAAAAAGATCTGCTAGGCACATCAATCGCGAGTACTTCATGTCCAGTGGCTCAGTGGAGGACATGGCGTCTTTGTATGCTTTCAGAGCGTGCTCAAGAGCAAACCTGCGAACGAACAGCAATTCAGGCTCTTCTTCCTCGTCTTCAACATTTCGCCGTCTATTATTTCCACCGAACTCGCCCGTCTTAGTGCACAATGCCACGAGCACTCGCATGGCACAAGAAGATGTGTTGCTGCGCTTCTTGGAAGTTACTGATTCGTCATGCTCCAATGTCCCTGTAGGCACTAGAGTATTGAGAAGGTAGTTCAGAACTCCTCCACGAGGTTTGGAAGGCGTGGTTGCCATAGGGTCTGCCTTGCGGGAATAATTTATAAACTCCACTTTCGTCCGGTTGTACGAGGAAAGCAGCTCAGTCAAACATTGAAGAAGGAAGCATCGGTAAATGTAGATGGGGTGGTCATCTGCTTTGAATGTTGGCTTTTCTTGCTTCTTAGTATCTCGAGCAGCACTGAGATCTGCAATTGAGGACGATGGCGATGTTTCAGCGACGGACATTTCAGACTCATTCTGTGGCTCTGGAATATTTGCAGTGCTTCCTTCCACGGCCTCTGAGGTGGAATCCTTGTCGTCCACATCACGATAGGACAGTAGTTCAGACAACAAGTAATGAATCACGCCGTCGGGATGCTCGATTACTGGCGGCTTCAGCTCGACGACTTTGCCCTTGTCTTTCGTTTCCGAAGGTTCCTTGTCTTCAACGGTATCCACAGCTTTGTCTGCAATATCTTTGCTCTCTGGTGCTGTTTCGGATTTGGTGACTTTCAAAGCTAGGTTCTGAGGCTTCTGACTTGGTTCGAAACGCTGGATTTTGAGTATCTCGTTTGTTACTTCAACAAACAGTTCGGGGGACCTCAAAACTAGATGGTACATCTGTCGCACATAAGCAGTCGTATCTGTCTGCCTTGAAGACCTAGACTCGAAGCTTGCAGTTATCTCGTTTCGCATGATTTGTCGAACAGTGTCATCATCTTCCACAATGTGGCGCAAGATTAGCATGAAAGCACCCTGTAGTTTATCATTGGAAGAGCTTGAGAGCTGTTTCAACATGACAAAGAGGCGTTGAAGATTACGTTTCTCGCCCATACGAACTGCAATGTGCCTAGCTCTTGTGAGAATAACAAGAATTCGACACACTGATAAGGCAAGACTTTCGTCCTTTCCGACTCTAGGTAAAACCTCAAGCAAGGATTCAAATAATTGCACCTTCTCATCGGTAGATAGCAGAGGTTGCTTGAGAGAAGCTGGTCCAGCATCTATAGGCTCATCGAGTGTTGAAGGAGCGTTCCACTGAATCTGGGGTGGCTGAGCATCGTCCGACAATAATTTCTCGATGACTAGCAGAACTTGTCCGACCCATGGTGAGGATTCTTTTGCTGCCTTGTCAGAAACAGGAATCTTGATGAACTCAAGTAGAGTCAAGAAGCACTCTTTCAGCTCTTCTATCGTTGCTTGGTAGATCGATCTGTCCTGGAGAACCAGCGCCAGTAGATTAGCGTAAGCCGCAATTTTCTTACCAGCAGGCTGGACATCGTCATCAATTTGTAGTGAAATCAGTGACTGCACCAAGGTTTCACCGACTTCCTTTCTGAATCCTTCTGGGTCCCGGTGTTTCTTCGTTGCGGATGCAATGAGATCGGCTAATTCAAAAGTGACATCGTGGTGAACATTGAGAACATCGAGACATCGTTCTATCATATTCTTCCGAACCTTGTCGCGTTCCGCATCGAGATCTTCGATCGTCGTGATCTCACGCCTGCGCAGCTCTGTTGACTGGCCTACGGACTCACTTGGGGCACGACGGTGCATTCGTGACGAGGGATCATTTTGAGACTCGTTTAGCAGAGCTTCTGGATCACTGAAATACCGACTGAGTGCTCTTGTAAGAAACTCCGCATTGCTACCGGCTTCATGATCCATATTATTGTTGGAGCTACCGTCGCCTTGCACTAAGCGAGGCGGTCCTTCACGAATAATTCTTGCTAAAGCATAATTGGTATCCGTCACCGACAAGTTAGAGGTTGCATCAGCTACTGGTGCTTCTTCAGTAGTTGCGTTGGTCCTTCTGGTCGACTCTAAGTCAGACTCTGGTTGCAGTCTTGGTGGTGGTCGCAGCCAAGTCTGGGCATGGCAGTACTCATCTGCTGTGGCCAAAACATTGTTGCAACGGAAAAGAGCCTCGTGAGCTAATTCCAAGTCATAACCTCTTTCGACAAGCGTGTTCAACCGCTCTTGGTTGAGGAAAAATTCCTTCTTCGGATACTCTGAATAAAATTGGTGGCCATTTATCTTCTGAACGACAGCCCCCTGTTCATGTTCACCATCAAGAATAGAGCGGAGAATTTCAACAAGACACTTCACGATAGAACTCGAAGCTCTATCGACGAAATCGGAACTCCAAAGCTCTCTAACCATGGGTAAAACTTCCATTCGCAGATCCACCAGAAATTGACCAGCACTGAAGTAATCAGGGCGGTCTCGCTCCCGCTCAGTGGATGCTAGGGCCTGCGCCTGGCTTGACTCCTTGGCAGAAGTAATCTCCGAGAAGAATGTCAAAATAATCTTCAAMCCGCCATAGGCTGATGCAAGGCGAGCCGATTTGTTGGGGTCATCAACCCCTCCGGCCTGGGGTGCTAAGGTGTTGATTTCTTGTAAAAACAATCCACAAAGATTTCTCATCATACTCAAGCCATTCTGTCTCTTGAATGCAAACAAAATGGCGGTTAGGCAGTGAGAATGAGATCGTTCAACGGGTGCTTCAAACAATAATTGAGTGAAAGCAGACAATATCACAATGAGGTACGAAAAGCGATCCTTCACTTCCGAAGACTTATTGGGAGCTTCCAGTTGAAGTTGACGAAGTACAACCCCGGCGATGGCATCAGCCACCATTGACGCATTCTGTCTGGAGTAAGTGTCAGGACGACGCTTCCCAAGGATACCATGTCCAAGCAGATGGAAGAACCCCGAGATTGTCGTCGGCAAAGAGCTGAGGAGGTAGCGAAGGGTTTGTGTGTTTTTGAACGCGGGCTTGTGATCATCTTCAGAGTGAGCACCTTCACCTGCAGATGCAGCTGGTGCGGTATCAGATACCTTATCATCTGAAGCAGTCGGTGCTGTAGAAGAAGTTGGTGGAGTTGGTTCGACATTGGACGGAAGATTTCGTCTGTCATCACCAATGGACAGCCCAAGCGCGTCGTTAGCTTCGTCACTGCCCAAATCGTAACCCCGCACCTTTGTAGCTTCAATCCAGCGTTGCGGTAAGTTCTTTTGTATAAGTATTTCGTCCCACACACAGGCAGCGTGAAGTTGGCCTAATGATTTAACGAGATTTGTATACTGCTCTGTCAGATTGACTTGGGAAAAAGCCGATGTTTGTTGGCTAGGGCGTGTTTGATACATCGGAGTTGTGTAAATCTCACGAAGAATATCAGTCAGTACATGTGTGGCAACCAAATGCTTCACATAATACGTCCCTCGTTCTTTCGCTAGCCTATCACTACCTTCGATTGACTCAGTGTCCATAGCATCTCCGAGGTCGGGCTTCGTTAATGAGGTGAAGAATCCTTCCGGTTTAGGTTCTTTGTAGAAGTCGGCAAGACATTCAACAGAATCTTGGGTCCGCTTGACTATTGATGGTATAACAAGATGAGGCTTCGTTTCGGCCATCATGTGAACCAACTGAGTCAATTCATTGTTTGCCTGGCGACTTTGAAAATCAAAAGTCAAGCTGGGCAGAGTGGCAAAGTCTAGAATAAATTCAACGCCTCCGGTCTCAATGAAATATGTGCAATTGACCTGGTTCTCGAAGAACGCTCCTAGGAAACGCATCACAGGATAGATGTAGTTCGCAGCAGTAAGTCCCCACTCGTCTGCATCTGAGGGAGCAGATCGAATAGTTCCCAAATCTGAGTCAGTGATTGGGCCAAGTTCAATACTACCGCCATTGGGCAGAGTTCCTTCCCGCAACGCAGGGTAAGAAAATTGCCCATCACGCTTCACTGTGTCCTCGTATGACTCGCCAATTTCAGTGAACAGGCCGTACTTGCCTCCTAAGACTTTGAGATTTCCTTGTTCATCAGAAGTCCATAATTTGGACCCGGCGCCCTTGTAAGCCAGCTTCTTACACAACAAACCAACACGGGCTACCATCACGAGGACGGCCGACATGACGGATTTTTTCAAAGCCGGATGATGCCTGACGAGCTCATCAAAAGTCGTTCCCAGAGACCGGACTAGATTTGCGTCCATACATTTAACATGCACGGGGCTCTCGAATATCTCAAAATAGCTTTCTAGGGCACCTGAAGATTGGAACAGCTCTAGTCCAGCCGCATTGAGACAGATGGCACCGAAAGCCTGCGGGATGCAAGACATTGCTTCTGAGGCAGGTATGATACCACGAGCCAGCTGCTGATCGGGAATTCGAGATAGGCGGTGGGAAATATTTGCAGCAGTCGAGGAAGCGGACGAAGGAGCACCAGGCTGAGTCGCAGAATCGATTTCCTCGGTCATCACAGTGGCATCAGCTTCCGGGGTCTTCAGCTCTATCAGAGTAATGGCTTCCAATAGACTCTTGCTAAGACCGGCTTCAGCGATGACAGCATAACTAGTGGGTTCGTTGTGTATGAAGCTGCTCAAGATGCTGACCGCTCCGCTCCAGACATGGGAACCGAATATTTTCGCATTTTCGAAGACGAGTCGGAGCGCAATCAGCAATGGAGGAGAATCGACAAGGTTTCGTAACAATCGATCAAAGCCTCCACCGTTATGCTGCATAATGTGATTCACGAATCTGAATAGCCATCTCAAGGATTGTTGTTGAAAATACGGAATGTCGTAATCAACCGATGGGGTGCGATACTCGGTCGGTATACCAATTCCCTCATTGACATTGTCAAAAGCAGATTTGGTCTCAAACCCTATCAAATCGGAAATCGCATCGAAGCCCTTAGCGTTAGCCAATGTCCCAAGGGCATCTCGCACAGCGTGTACGAATGTATCAAGAAACTCTAGAACACGTGGGTAGACACGTCGTGCCTTTTCTGTGCGTAGATTGAGAACGTCCACAAACATAGGAATCAGGCCAGCGGCGATCAAAGTTTCGGGCGTTCTTGAACTTGAACCTGGTAACGTCCGGAGTAACAGAAGTAGTGCGTCTCGCCAGTCATCAGACTCTTCGCCATCATCCTGGTCAGCAGAGAGCTCTGCAATTGCCTTACGGGTCAGGAACATGAGGATTCCGTGGTTGACGTTGACATTCAAGGCTGCGCAGACATCAGCAGACCTTGATTTGTGTTTCGTGAGAGCATCCAAGGCATATAGAGCTGCGGTTTGCGTGCTTCGTAGTACTGTAAGATCTCCGCTAGCGCCTAGATGAGCCAACTCAGCAAGCTGGTAGGTGATCTGTAGCCGTTTAGGCTGATCTGAATCTAGTTGCAATATTCTCTGCTGCATAATAGCTTCAGGATATAAGTATGCCAGGTTGGTAAGTGCAAGAATCCGGATGGTCAAAATCTGTTCACGAGTCAAGTCAGATTTCACTAAGGACTGGGCGACCCGGGCGCGGTGTAAGAAATCGTATTTGGACTCCGTCGGAACCTCACTTAGTTTTGCCCCAAGGATGGTCTCCAATGGGCTGGCTGTAACAACCATTGCAGGTATTTCGATCAATTTGGAATTCCGAGTGGATTCCCCTAGTCTAGAAGATGGCGTGGCGCCGTACACGGGAGACTCTTCGTTACTAGACATACGACTAAGGCGAGGCGTAGGCATGGTAGCGCTTCTTCGCAGTGGCGTAGGGGTAGATGGAGCTTGTTGCTGATGGGACTGCTCGCTTGACTGCGTTTCCGTCGGCTGCTTCTCTTGATCAGCAACACTAGGGTAATACACAGCACGTATAGTTCCCCATTCTTCCCACCCATCTTTTTCACGCAAAAGTACAACCGCGTCGTTGGCGTCGTGTCTTGTCTGAACTGCCTTCTCCTTTGCTTTCACAACAGGGGCGGTTGGTGCGGCTGGTGGCTTTCCAGACATAGTTGGTCTAGGAAATGGCGACGAGAGTTTTTGTACCCTGTCTAGATCAATATTGTAATGGGCAGCAAGCAGGGCTTGTTGGAAGTGGGTGGCGCTTGCATTGCGTTGCCGAGCGTGGTATCGTTGTGCGAGTAGAAGAGCAAGTCGAAGGGTGGTTATCAAAAGGGAGTTTGATGTTGTGTTCAACAGGTCGTTCAGTCGATCACTGCTGCTGTATAGACTGCGATTCCCACACTTCTCTTGTAGCAGCTGTGAAAATGCTAGAATAACCTCGACAAGTTCTCGATCGCCCTCGGAGCCGTAGCCAAGGCCGTTGAGTATCTCATCGACATTATCGTCCTGACCGGCGACCGCATCCTCTAAGACATATCGACCAAACGGCGTCACTTGAGGACCGATATTTAAGCCATAACGTTCAATGACAGAAGCCAAGATATCGTCGAATCGATCTAGCAGAGGTATCCAGTGATAAAGATCGCCTCGTGGAAATGGCCATGTCCGTGGAAGGGTCCTGAGATGTGATGGAAGCTGAGCGAGCGGGGTCTTGGTCGCAAGCTTAATAAATTCGGACAGATATGGCGACTTAAGATTGAGTTTGGTTGTCAGTTCTCAGATCATCAAGCAAATTCATCGATAAAATCTCTTTACATACAATTGTAGCCTCATGCTTTGAGCCTGCCGCCTTCTTGATTCTCCCCATTTTATTGGATCAGGAAAGAAATGGCCACCATGGGAGAGAAGTTAGCTCCCCAGGACGTGGGTTGGCGTTGCCAGTCTCGGAAAAAGGTGCGCGGCACCAGTCGATTACTGAGCAGGTGGATGACGTCTTGAGGTAGCTCTATCTGAAGTATCAGAATGAAGAATGAGGTCGTAATACACGTTCGATGACAAGAGAACTCCTAGGTAAAGGATATATCGAGTCGAAGTGAGCTGAAAAAGTGAATGTGGTTTTAAGGTCGATATCGAGCAAACAGCTTCTAGAAAAAGCCTGTACTTGGGAAAACGGCGGGAGGAAGGCAGAGCAGACGGTGCAGGTCGGCGCTCTGAGAAACCTCTTCAGCGTTTATGCTCAAGCCAGAAGGAGTGGAATAGAGGATAAAGAGAGTAAATTTCGCTCTTTGGGAGAAGGGAGAGAGGAAAAGAGTTTGATGGGGCTATCAGAATGAAAAAGAAGTTTGAAGCTGTTTGATGTGAAGGTCGATGTTAGCGCAGGTGGGGACTTTCCTTTCCGCGCGGTGGTCGACCTTAGTGAGGTCTTGGCTGCAATGACATAAACAGCCCTCTCCAACTTAACATTAACTAGTTAGTTACGATTAGGTATCTTCTTCTACGCCTATCTATCTCTAATTGCTATGTTGAGTTCATGAAACTTTACAGTGTCTTTATAAGTTCACTACAAATGCTATCCAAAATATGAAGTTCATCTAGATTAACCGCCACTCGGGTCTAGTTCACTCTGGGCAGCTTCCGGACCCTGACTGGATTCACAACCATACCTTAGTAGGTGCCCAGTTTCAACTCATCTTCAAAGTGATTGCAACTTTGAAGCACTTCTACCCAATGACTTTGGTGGTGGCTCATGATCTTCAATGAGATCTCGCCCAGCTATTCAAGATATTCAAGGCTGACAGAGCTGCTTCAATGTTTTCTGGTCTCCTCTACAGAGCTGCTACAACATATGATATATTTATATCTTCAAATGTTGAAACCAAACCGCCAACGTCCTTCAGCCCGATTGCAACCTTCAAGCCTGTCAATCAGTTGAAAGATAATTTATGCTATGTATGCTGAATTCAGCTTTCGAGTCCGATCGACAAATCTCGGAACGTGGTTTGATATGCTCTGCCATTCACGGAATGCGAAGAGATGCCGAAGGCATGGAAATATCGCCGGAAATATCGGGTGTCCTCTGTCATTCTCGAACAATTCTTTCATAAGACATATCAGTACCCTATCGACAGCGAAGAAAAGCCCAATCAATAGTTATCAAGAATATCTCCAAATGCTTTTTCTCCAAATGCTTTTCGGCCGCATATCGGGTGCAGTTCGAAGCACCCCGTAGCAACGACAAGATGTGATACGTATACCAAGCATTTGTGATGCATAGACAAGGCCCCGTCAATGTTGTATGTATGCTCTCGCGTAGTCACAGGCAGAGAGCAAGGGCAGTCGACTAGTTATCGAAGCGGACCCCAAGTTCCCAACAGAAGGTCTTGGCGGCGGCTTGCCTAGGCACTTCTGTCCCTCTACACGTGATTTATGCCATAACTCTTTTTCTTGCGATCGCCATTTCCTGTTTAATTGTTGGCGACTGACTTCTTGCCTCAGGTAAAAGGTGACATTCATTTATATCATCTGTGTTACCACACCACACCTCACGACTACTGGTTTCACTTCAGCAAATCCTTATTATCTCCCCGAGAGCGAACTGAGTTCTGTGATCCTCATTTACCACAATGTCGAGCATCGAGCTCGTCATCAACCCAAGGGGTATGTCTTGACTTGTTACTTTTCTCGGATCACTAGATACTGACACTCTCTTCCAGGTAAGCCGATAAGGAAGCTCCCAAAGGAGCTCACAGTGTCCACCAATGCTCCGGCTAGCGATATCTACAACACCTTGGCTCAAAAAACGGGTTATTCAATTCATCGACTGAGGATCACAAAGGGTTCAGATGGAAGCGTGTTGCCCAATGGCTCAGAGACTATTGATGGCAGTGGACTCCGAGCACAAAGTGTGATCTATGTCAAAGACTTGGGTGAGTGAAGGGACTCCGTCTTTTTCTAGACTAGTTGCAGCTACTGACTCTCTATTGTTCCGCAGGTCCCCAACTCGGTTGGCGATTCGTCTATGTGATCGAATATCTCGGCCCCCTCGTCTTCCCACCACTCTTCCTATACGTCTTGCGTCCCTACTTGTACTTCAACTTCAATCAGCTTCCTGAACCGTCATGGCTACAACAGCTTGTGTGTGCGTTGCTCTTCGTTCATTTTTTGAAACGTGAGATCGAGACTATTTTCATTCACCGCTTCAGCCTTGCAACTATGCCTGCTCGCAACATCTTCAAGAACTGCGCCCACTACTGGGCTTTGGCTGGTGCTAACATCGCGTATTGGGTGTTCCGTCCCGATTCTCCCACGGCAACCGATGACCTGAACCCAATTCTTTACTACGGCGGATTGTTCCTCTTTATTTTTGGTGAATTGGCGAATCTTAATGCCCATTTGATCCTGCGAAATCTTCGACGACCTGGAACCACTGAGCGCGGGATTCCAAAGGGGTTCGGATTCGGTCTCGTGACCTGCCCCAACTACATGTTTGAGATTATCGCTTGGATTGGTGTCTACCTCTTGACCGGCCTTAGCTGGAGTGTCTTGATTTTCCTCGTGCTCGGTACTTTCCAAATGTGGGACTGGGCTAAGAAGAAGGAGCGTCGTTATCGCAAAGAGTTCGGCGACAAGTATAAGCGCAAGCGTTTCGTTGTTCTGCCACCTCTTCTGTAAGATCTGGAAGAGCAAAATACCCTGCGACCGATAGACCAGATTCGAATTCGGAGAGTTTCAGGAGGGGCGTAGGTTACGGATAGCGGCTCGGAGGKGTACCGATTTTCATGAAGCTAGAAGAGGGAGAATAGATAAAAAGGTGTATTTTTAGATACGAGCTTGCGACTTCTTCGTAAGGCCAGTATAATAATGTCAATGCTAACCACAAAGTAGTGTTCATGAGATGTGCCACAAAGAGCTAGATGGTGTAGCTAAGGGGGAATATCGATGATCCGGCCCGCAAGTAATTAAGGTACCCAGACTCTGGAATATGGTTGCTATTGACATGTACGACATGACAGCTTAAATCTCCTCGATCAATATCCGGACTTTCTGAATGGACGAATGAGCTGGCAGTCGTCGAATACAATGTTCTCGGCCAGATAAGCCAAGGAACTTTTGGTGTGCCGTTTCTTTATAATTTCAGTCGCCCGCCAGCAACACCGATTGCGCAGAAGCCATGCATCACGCTTTACCGCCGCGAAAGTCGTCCAAAGCTCCTCCTTTTGCTCCGCGTACCTCGAATTTGTCCCTACAACGCCGGCGGCAGCTGAAGGCTTTGGGGCTTATTGTATTTGGATTGATATTTGTGCTTTTTGTTCTCTCACGGTTCTTCTCGTTTTCTGTCAGTGAACAGATTGCGGCTGTAATACCTTCGGGAACTGCGAGTGTTGTCCTGGTCACTTTGTTCGACAAGCAGGTTCTGAGCGATCGATATACACAATGGATTCAGACCAATCGAGAGGATTATGCGTCGCGACATGGTAATCCCCATCCACATCTACAAAAAAGGTTCGATCCAAGCTAAGACATTCACGGAAGGGTATGCGACATTTTTTGCAAACACCTCCGATTATCTATATACTCTCAATGAGAAAACACCGCGAAGCTGGACTCAAGTCCCCGCTGTTCGACATGCCATGGCCGAAAATCCACACTCGACATATTTCTTCTTCCTTGACGCCCATGCTTTCATCATGGACCCTACCCTACCCTTAACGTCGCATGTCCTTGAAGCGAAACGCCTCGAATCGCTAATGATCAAGGACCATCCGGTAGTGCCTCCGGATAGCGTCATCAAAACATTCTCACATCTTACACCAAAAGATGTAGAGCTTATCATCAGCCAGGACGGTGAGGACTTGGTTCCGGGGAGCTTTATAATCAAACAAGGGCCTTGGGCCAGATTCTTTTTGGACGTATGGTATGATCCGTTATATCGGTCATATAATTTTGCGAAGGCGGAGAAGCATGCATTGGTATGAACATACTCAAACCTGGCCCCACGAGTACACGTACAAATGTTATCTAACCCCATCTTTAGGACCATATCGTGCAATGGCATGCAACAATACTGGCAAAACTAGCCCTTATACCTCAGCGGGTAATCAACTCATATAGTAAAGATTCCCCTGATGTTGCCGCAGATGGCACATATCACGATGGCGACTTTGTCATCCATTTAAATGACTGCGACGCTGAAGGTCGGAGCTGTGAGGAAGAGTTACAACCGTACTATTCCATGTGGCAGAGGAAGACTTCCAGCTTAAAGTCATCGTAACCTTTGCTGTCCATCGTCATGTTTTCGCATATGTGTCATGGATAGTTGGAAGAGTTCTTTGTGAGCCATGTGAAGATTCAATGGGGCGTTTAAGGGACTGCATATCTATATGGATGTTCCATTCTGTTTGGGGCATCGGCCTGTACTATGAATAGATTTTCGTCATATCGAATCGGTTGAGCTTCTGTGTGTTCAGGAGGGCTTCCATTGTTATAATTGAATATCTTGATGAATGAGTTTAAACGAAAAGCCTAATAATAATGTACATACACATGCAATCAATCTACCCGCATGATCCAGATTCGCCAGTCATGATATGATACAGAAGTTCACTGTCAACTCTTTTCTCCGAATCATGCCAACACCGGTGCCTGCTCCTTCTTCTCTCCCTTCAACACCTCAGCCTCGGGTAACGACTCCTCGTTGAGAGGTGTCCCCTCTAGAGTTTCTGTAACTTCTCGAGCATCTTCAACAGCCTCAACGACCGAAGTAGCCTCAGTCAGTTGCTTCGCCTTGAGCCATTGTTCAAATGTATCCGGAGCCTTGGAAATCCCCAACTTCTCCCTCTCCTCCGCAAACTTCTTCTTCATGGCCGGAGACTGCATAATCCGATACCTCAATTTCCAACCCGCCAGACCCAACTCCTTTAATCTCGACGGCTTATCACACAAAAGATATTTGTCCAATCCACCAACTTTCCGAATCGTCCGCAACGCCTTTCGCGTAAGCTTGACAAAGACGTCTTCCCCTAAAGCTTCACTGGGCATTTTCTTCCATCGCACGTTGGGTTTCCATGATCGTCGTGTTTTGCCTTTATTTCTGCCCTTGGAGATTTTGTTGCCGAAACTGATTGAGACTCCGCCGTAGAGACCACTGTCGGCTTGCTTGTATACGCGGTTCGGTTCGTAAGGATATGGCGGGATGTGTTCGGGGATTGTTTTCACTTTTTGGACGGACAGGGAAGTTGAGAAGCTGCGCTTTATCGTGGTGTTCAAGGATAGTCCTCGGAATGCCGTATGAAGGGAGCCGGTTGATGCGGATATCAACCGGGTTGGTAGMCCCGCCATTGTGTATTGTAAATAGGCCAGTCGAACTAGCAAGCAATTATATTATTGAGATACTTTCGGGATGGTCTTGCTGGCATCAAATTGCCTTGCAATTGGAGTAGCGTATTGACGGTTGGTGAACAATGTCAAGGATGTTAGCTGATTTCGCGGAAAAGAAACTGGCTGGCCCAACCTGACCGCCTTCCCATGCCATCAACATGATTGGTGGGCAGCCTGCTTGCACCGCGAAAATCAACCTGGAGGAATCATTCAAAGCTCCGTCCATTCACACCACAAAGTGCTTAATCGCTTACCTTTGTTGAGATAATCTATCCAACAGTACTGAAATTTTCATTCTTGCTTTTCTAATAATATTACCTATATCTTTTTTCTCACCAGTTGCAGCTTCAGTCGAAGCTCTGATTCCTCAAAATGGTCCAGATCAGCGAAGTCAAGGGAGGTTCGCGCGAGAACAGGACGATGGCGCATACACACATCAAGGGCCTTGGTCTGCGCCCTGATGGCACAGCTGAGAGCTCAGCAGATGGATGGGTTGGTCAGACAACTGCCAGAGAGGTACGACTTATCTGCGACAGGCTGGTAAAAACACAAACTAACCTGTATCTTTCCTCTAGGCATGCGGTGTCGTCGTGGATCTTATCAAAGCCAAAAAAATGGCTGGCCGAGCTGTACTTCTTGCTGGTGGACCTGGTACTGGAAAGACTGCTCTTGCTTTGGCTGTTTCGCAAGAGCTCGGTACCAAAGTGCCATTCTGCCCTATTGTCGGAAGTGAATTGTACTCTGCAGAGGTCAAGAAGACCGAAACACTTATGGAGAACTTCCGAAGAGCTATCGGTATGTCGGGTGATCGCACAGCTAAAGGATGATGTATCTGACTGTTTATAGGCTTGCGAGTCCGCGAAACCAAGGAAGTCTACGAAGGCGAAGTGACAGAACTCACACCAGAAGAAGCAGAGAACCCCCTCGGTGGCTACGGAAAGACTATTAGCCATCTCATCATTGGTTTGAAATCTTACAAAGGCACAAAGAAGCTCCGACTCGATCCTAGCATATACGAAGCTATCCAGAAAGAGCGCGTGACCGTCGGCGATGTTATCTATATCGAAGCAAATACAGGTGCATGCAAGCGAGTTGGACGATCGGATGCTTATGCTACAGAGTTTGATCTTGAAGCGGAGGAATATGTCCCAGTGCCGAAGGGAGAGGTCCACAAGAAAAAGGAGATTGTGCAAGACGTGACTCTTAATGACTTAGAGTATGTCTTGTGTTTCCACCTTAGTCGCTACCAGCTAACATGTCACAGTATGGCCAACGCTCGGCCCCAAGGTGGGCAAGACCTCATGTCTATGCTTGGACAATTATCGAAACCGAAAAAGACCGAAATCACGGACAAACTGAGAGGTGAAATCAACAAGGTTGTGAGCAGATATATTGAGTAAGACATTACTTTGACAGCATTAATGTGAGAGCCACGCTGACAACTTGCAGTCAAGGTGTGGCGGAGTTAATACCCGGTGTCCTATTCATCGATGAAGTGCACATGCTTGACATTGAATGCTTTACCTACTTGAACCGCGCTCTCGAGTCACCGATCGCACCCATTGTCATCCTAGCTTCGAATCGGGGCAACACCGTCATCAAAGGCACGGGAGATGTTACAGCAGCGCACGGCATTCCTCCCGATCTTCTTGCCCGTCTTCTCATCGTACCAACCCACCCTTACTCTCCCGACGAAATCAAGACTATAATCCGACTTCGCGCCAAGACAGAGAATCTCAACATTACAGATCCTGCGCTCGAAAAGGTCTCGGAGCATGGTAGCAAGATCAGTCTCCGATATGCCTTGCAGCTTCTCACTCCCGCTAACATTCTTGCGCGAGTGAACGGGCGTTCGGCCATCGATGTTCCAGATGTCACCGAGTGCGAAGATCTTTTCATTGACGCGAAGAGAAGCGCTACCATTGTCAGTCAAGATAGTGGAAACTTCCTGTCATGATCAATCGAGAAACGATGAATGTATTTCAAAATTGAGGGTTTCTTTTGGGCAAGGAGTGTACGGGGCCGGGTATACTGTGATTCATATACAAGTAGAAGCTCTTAGCCAAATGACTAGTCTTGTAATATCAGCGTGTTATGATGATACTTTACTGTTCTTGTTCGTAGAAGTAGGAATAGGCTGAAAATGAACTGATAGCTTGGCATGCATTGCGTCACGTGGGTTCCCCGGCGATAAGCTCCAGCAAATGCATGTGCCTAGGATAGCCATCCAACCAGCCTCCTTCGTTCATCCTCAAACATCCGAACCGAGTACATCGCCTTGAAGAGACGCAGTTGTTTACGATTTCATGAAATAACGAAAGATCACATTGCAACCTTCATTCCGATCTGCAACGTCACAAGATACTGCGTTAATCTTCATTTCGACCTTTCTACACAGTAACCACCACGATGGCCAACCCACTCGACACAGACGCCGGCTCGGAGCTGTTCAGCAGCTACGAGGCAGAACTCAAACTCGTTCAAGCCGACCTGAACCAGAAATTAGATCAGATCGCAGAAACCACCGGCGAACAACGCAAGTCGGCCATAGGACAGGCAGAGAGGGCGCTGGATGAGGCAACTGAACTGGTAGGCTCCCTCGAACACCGGATAGTATCCTATTTCTTTGATCTTAGACTGATCGGCTGAATAGTTGGACCAAATGCGCATGGAGAAACAAAACATCCCCTCCAACGCCCGCTCAAAAGTCAACGTTCGCTTCCGCAACTACTCCAGCGACATCGACGAACTCAAACGCAAACTCAAATCTCTCTCCGACGACCGTCGCGCCTTATTCGGCGATCGATATACGGATGACCCCGAAGCTGGGGATGTGCATATGGAACAGAGACAACAACTCCTGTCAGGCACAGAGAGATTGGAGCGCAGTTCGGCTCGGTTACAGGAAAGTCAGCGGCTTGCGCTTGAGACGGAGGATATTGGTCGTGGCACACTTGCCGATCTGCATCAGCAGCGAGAGACAATTGAGCGGACGAGGCAGAATTTGCATCAGAGTGAGGGTTATGTTGATACGAGTATTAAGACATTGAGGGGTATGGCTCGTAGGKATTGTACCCCCCAATATTCCGGATGTCGACTCTACGAGGTGTATGATAGGAGGCTAACTTTTGATTTCGCAGGATGGCTACAAATCGGATAATCACTATTGCTATTATCACTGTGTTGATTCTATTGATTTTTGCTGTTATCTACAGCAGTTTCCGTTAGGTCATGCATTTGCGTTGTTTTATTCAGGCGTTAAGTGCGGCGATGCTCTCAATTCTATGGATCTTTGTTTATATTTGTAGTAATGCTTTGATTTGAGCTAGCAAGCATCTTTTTCAATCTTTCAATGATAACTTCATTTCAATAAATATGGGTATCTAACATGCTATGCAAATCAATCTATATGTACGACTATGTACTCCGTACAATCCTCATGCCCACATGCACCTTCTGAAAGGTGGATCATCAATTCATAACCCTCACAGCCCCAAAAGCAACATTAACGACCACCCCAACGAAAACCGCCAACCCTTTCCGCCAACTCCAAACCCCTTCCTCACGCCTTAGCCACATTGCGCACCCAATCGGCCAGAAGAACCCCATCACAGCGCCCCAGAGCATATCATCCAGCGCGCTATTAGACGAGGACCCAAACCCTCCTCCTCCTCCGCCTCCGCCTTCGTCACCACCACCACCGCCCACTGCTCCCGTCAATCCGACACCCGCGCCGTCTGCGGAGGAACCTTCGTCCATCCATCGATCCTCTAATTCGCGCATTTCTGCGCCTGTAGGCATGGTGTCCGGTGTATGATTGATAGACTGTAAAGCCATAAACTGAGACCTCAACGCGGCAACTTCACTCGGCGTGAATCCCGCTGACAATAAACGATCAAAGCCCCTTGGGGCAGGTGTCGTCGTCGCCATATTATCCACATCTTGCTCCTCTATTTGTTGCTTAGCCGGTAACGATATCGTTGACCCATTTCGTTGTTGTTGCTGCTGCTGTTGGACAAGGAACGTCGACGCTATAGCTGCCTCGGCACTCAAATCCGTTGCAGACAAGACGATATCTCCAATAGAGCAGTGCACGTAGACACGCGGCACATCAACCGGAATCACCACATCACGCACCACGCCCTTGCCTTTCCTGTCCTTCGAGGACGGTGACAAGAATCCATCTTCAACATCCGTGGTGGATAACGGCGTACTCGCGCGCGACGGCAATTTCAGCGCCGTTCGTAGTGAAGAGGCATCCTCAAGACCGCGGCCGGAATATATGAGTCGGATCCGTCGATTTGAGAGCTCAGACGGTAAGTGCGCTCGGATTAGTTGTTTGAGCCCGGCGACGGTTGTGGTTGAGGGACTGGGGATGCCGAGTTGGACGTCGGGGATGGAGGCAGAGAAGCGGATTATGAGGTAGAGTTCGGGTGCGGCTTCGGGGGATGAAGAGGGTCGTTTGCTGATAGTGTGGTGGTCCATGTTGCATTAGAGGCTGTTTCGTGAGTTGTACATTTGTATATGCTTGTGCAAGTCTGTAGATGAAGTGAGATCAGCGGTACATCCCCGGCGATAGCGCCACCCCGGAAGCTAAGCTTATCGGAGCTCCTGACATCCCGCATCGATACAGCCTATATGAATGGTCCTATGGAATAATCCAAGAAGAACACTACATTGAAGCTGGTTATGGGGAAGCCCCGTGAAAATTCAGTTCGAGAATTTTATACGTAGTTAATTACAAGACACTAAAGCAGAAAGAATATCACATTGACAATCTAAACTACATCTAACCCCGATCATGAAGTATATACAAATGGTATTGTCACTATCACGATGTAATATGTAATGTATATAGGTATGATGTAAACGATCAGGAACATCCCATTCCATGCAAGTCCGCTGTAATATGGTATTTAGCGGTCCGTGTATAGTCATATAGTGAGCATCTCTCACTGAGTCGAATAGAAACGCCGCCCAATGCACTGCAAAATCGAAAGTCGAGAAAGAAGAAGAGAACCAAATCAGACCATGAAGGATTCTCCGCAGCCACATTGTTCCTCTGAAAAACGGTTAGTAGATTGCCAACATTTGCATTGGAAGTGAGTACTCACTTATATTCGGGTTACGGAACACAAATCGTTGACTGAGTTTATCCTCGTGCCAATCCATCTCGCTACCTATGATGCTGAACAGAGCCTTGCTGTCAATAAGCACTTTGACTCCATCTTGTTCAACAACCTCGTCAAATTTTCCTGGCTTCTCGACGTATTCAAGATTATAAGCCAATCCGGAACATCCACGATTCTTCACACCGACACGAATCATCTTTGGGTCGGGCTGGGATAGCATAGACTGAAGTTGTGATACAGCAGTTGGCGTAAGTGTCATTGCTGCCTTCCTGGGGCGCAGTCTCGAGCGACGAGGTTTCGCAGTTTCCGAAGGTTGCGTGGGTGTGGCCTTCTGAGCTTCGCCTTCTCGTACGCTGATCGAAGGCTTGCGGTCTATAGATTGGAAAGCATTGTAAGCGGCTTGCGCATTGTATGGTGCATCTGCCGCAATCGAAGTGTCTGGGATACCGGCGTTTCGGGGAGGGGGCGGAGCGTCTGGGAGGGTATGAGGTCTGTAGGCAGTCGCAGTCTGCATGTCACGTCTGGAAGAATGATATTTTCCGGCGTGTGAGGAGAAGGACCGGTAGGAACACATGCATCCTTGCGCGGTTCGTTGGGTGACAAATCTGAAGAGCGCGGAGGATGATGTCACTGAAGGACGAATGACCTGATGTAAAGACATGTTGCGAAGTTGTATGAGCGTCGACGATGAATCAAGTGGGTTGAAAAGAGCTCGATAAGAACAACAGACAAAGGATCATGTCCTGTTGAGTGAGTGTGTTATGAGACAAGTCTTGATTTATAAGAGAAATCATGAGGAAGCCATTCGTTTTCTCCCGAGCGCTCGGCGGCAACTCGGCTGTTCCTTGCCGCAGTCAGGCGGTTGCACCAACTAGCCAATCAGCGTCGAGGTATTTCACATCCGACCTAGATCAGACGAGCAACAAACACAATACAGAAAAACAACATTTCTGATACATCTATGCAAAGTTATGGTGTCATCTCTGCCAGGGAGACAAGCAAAAAGAATCTGCCACTCAACAGATAGCAAAAAGATGGACAAACCGGTAATCGAAACCGGGACCTCGTCTATGCTAAAGACGCGTTATACCACTAAACCATTCGCCCTGATTGGTTGATTAAGCGCCTCATTTTCTGTCATATAAATTATTGGGTAGATGGTAGAGCTATAAATGAAGTGATTTGGATAAAATAATGGCAGTATATTGTTGGAATTTTGGAGTGAGTGTGTGTCTTGTGCTTGGGAAGGAAAGTTGATGGTAGAGGGAGGCGTCTAGAGTGAGGTCGTCTTGAGTCTTTGGTGGGCAATGTGGGTGACTACTTGGCGCTTCCTTTTCTCATTGGATAGAACATCACTGCTATTGTTATCTGGCTTGTCAGATCAACAGTGAAACACATTCTCTTGAACGAAACATCCCTAGGTTGTTTCAAAGTGCTCCATCGACCATATAAGCCGACCCGTCATGTCATGGTTGTAAATCCTGGCTCAAATTTAGGTCCAGGTTAGGTGCTCACCATGGAAGCATCCCCTTTGACTCAGCAAAGTAGACCAGAGGTATTTCAGCCGAAAATAGTCAAACTGTATGAAGCGCTCTTTCAGGTAAGTGCTTTTGTTATGAGTATTTGGATAAATTTTACTAAGCCTCGTCTAGATAGACGAGAATGTCGAGCCAAGCGAAGGCTTCTGGAGGGAGTTCTATTTGCTTCCTCCTGACAGAGCACACTTGCGCCGTCTCTTAGATGGACTTTCGCCAGATGATACATTATTACTGCAGGTGAGTGCTTCCACCATCTAATCCGCTACTATCTTTCTAATTGTCTCGCAGACAGTCACTCAGCGACTATTTTCACGCTCTATACGCGAAGCCGCATCCGGACTATCTCCAAATGACGCTCACGCACTTGAGGTGCGTATATCAAAATGTCTTAGCTTCTATTTTGAAAATTCTCTCTGACCGCTCTCAGACCCTCACTATATTCCTAGGAAGCATTTTGGTCAAAAAGTACACCAATCCTAGCTCCGATATTATCACCGTTCTCGCCGGACTCGATGAAGTGGACCAGGTCTTTACGGACTTTGTCGCCGTGCTCGACAAGATCATCCGTAGCGGCGGTCAACGTAAGCTGCTATATTCTATTTCCCGTATTAACAGCTCATTAAGTGAGGATAACAGTGGACCTCCGTCTAAAAGCTATCAGAACGACCATCGCCATGATCAGCGGAGCATACAAAACAAGCCTCGTCGCTTACTTCATGCAACGGGATTTCTTCCCTTCCATAATGAAAGTTTGTTATTCCTCCCACATTATTGATAAAGCTTTCTAATGAAATCAGTTTGTACATGATTTGGACACCAACTTGCAAATACTAGAGCCATTCCTGCTCCTCGGTTTACTGGCAAACTACAATAAGTTCGAGTTTCAGAACCCATATCAACAACGTCTCGATGACTTTGTCAATGAAAGCTCAATCCAAAAGATTGTCAAGGGTGTTGGCCTTTCCTGCGCCGGGCTCAGAAACTCATATGTTGCCATCCAGGACGATCTGCCAGAAGGCTGGACGATGAGCAATACTCTTGCTTTCTTTGGGTTGCGAGCTTTGGCGGGCGGAAATAAAGATAAAGCTACGACTTCGACTGCAGAAGAAGTCAAGGAGACTTTTGCTGCTCAGTATGTTTCTCAATTCTCATTGCAACTCCAAGTCATTAACGTGTGAAGGCCCGAAGCTGAAGCTGCCGTCCTCCTGGCTACATACGACTTTGCCAACGCCAACAAACTCTTCGGATACAATCTGGTGACTTCCATACCTGAAAAGCGGAACGAAGAGTCACCCTTTGCCAGTTTTCTCTCTTTGACATCCTATCTACTTCAACATGCCTACCGCTCCGAGAGAGTTGCAACATATGCCGAACTCAACATGTTTTCGCTTCGCATAATCGTTGAGGATTCAGTGCTATGTAAGCAGATTTGCAGCGATGACAACAAGCGTAGCGTTCGTCTATGCAGACAGAGACAACCGCATCTCCCTCTCGTCAACGGCGACCGAGTGCTAGCGACTGTCATTTTCGATATGATGATCGATACCATCACACACAATCTCCGGCGCCGATTAGACACCAACCTTTACAGGTAAGTCTTCTTTCTACATAATTTCGCGCACGAAATTGAAACTAATGCAGAACTAGTCACACAATCGCAATACTCATCCGACTCTTCACCTATCTCTCATCCAATAAAACTCGCCTCGCTTATCACTGGGCCGAATTGTGGCGCACTCTGCTGTCTCTCATGCGCTTCCTCACCACCTACTCCTCCGACCTCTCCTCAGCACCACACATCGACGCCCTGACAAGCTCCCTCGTAGACTTGATCGCATTCACACTCTCCACGGGCGACACATTCCTGCCAGATCCAGCCTCATACGACGACCTATTCTACAAAATTGTCGAAGCAGGTCCCATCATCGCTCGGTTCCGGGACGTATACAATCTCTCGACGACTACCCCGTCTACCTCATCACTACAACAGCAGCAACAAGGAGCGTCAATTAATACGTTACTGACTGTATCAACGCATTTCCTCTCCCTGCTTTTTCAGACGGATAAGCCCGCCAGCACCACTACGACGGAGTCCAGTGAAGTCGCGGCAGCAACAGCACGGAAAAAGAATCTGGGACCGAGGGAGGTTCATCAGATCATAAAACAGGGCTATGATACGCTCAGTATCCAGCCGCAGGAAGGGTTGAGTACGTGGGAGAAGTGGCGGGAGGCAGATAGGAAGCTTGAGTTGAAGAAGGCTGCGCGATGTGCGGTTGAGGATGCGAGGAGGCTTGTTCTTTGATAGAGGGGGCCAGGATTCGGTCTTTCTGGTTTGGCTCTTGTGTATTTATACATATTTTGTGTGTTTGCTGTCCATGATACCTCGTGCTGACATTTGATCGGTGAGGGGTTGTCACAATGACGATTGTCGATTCATACAGCCTAATTATCCTAACACCTATCGCACAATTCCAGAGTAGCCCCTGTAAAAAATCACCGGTTCCAAAATCCATCCAGCCACTGACTAATCCCCTAACTTCCACATCACTCCTTACTCTTCCGCTCCGATACTTAGACGAGACGAGAGGTTGCAGTACCCAGAGCTGGGATGGGTACACCAGTAGCCTTTTCCAGGTATTCGTTGCTGGCGCTAATGTACTTGTTTGAAAAGAATTTCTCAGAGTTGCGACTCAGCCATATCGTGAATTTGCTGAGTTCCTCGCGTAGACGGTTAATGGATTGCTGGTCCATGTTTGTCTGGGCAATGAGTTCGGGAAGGACAGCTATAATTGTCAACGTGAGTCTGATGAGGGTTATTCATGAGGTAAGAAACATACCGAACAGGCGAGCTAGATGGTGAGCTCCATAAATGTCAAGAGGCCCCTTGTCGGTATAGTTCTCTGCACCGCTTTCCCATTTCTGGCGCAGCAATCGGTACTGCTCTCTCTCAAACTTATAGAGCAATATCTTGTCCAGAGATTTGTCAAAGTACTCTTTGATGCCCATGATCACTTCTTCGAGGATGTCCAATTCAGCTGTCGTTGTGCGCTTTGGCTTCTCCTCATCAAAGTATAATTGGAGTATCTCATTCACGGAGTGAAGAGCTGGTAATGCGACAACTTGCTGGTTTTTGGTCACATTTTCCCAGTCATCCACAAGCAATGCTTTGAGACTATCGGGAAGCATGATGCGGATTGATGGCCGCAGATGAAATTGGTCCTCCTAGAATCGGTCAGATGCATGTTCTAAAGTACAAGTCCGTTAAGACGCACCTTTTCAATTTCATTGTCACGGCCTCTTTTGGTACCTTTGGCGGGAACTGAAGACTGTCGTTCTTCACTGCCTCGTCCAGAATCCGAGCCTCCTCTTCGTTTGGGAGTTTTGCCAGTGCTGACATTGGCTTTCCCCCACATCTGAGCGGTAACTTCTCTTCGAATCTGAGCGGCTAGTTCCCGATTCTCTTCAGTGAATTTGCGAAGGCGTTCTTGAGGGACCCAGTCATCCCAACTGCATGCATATCAGCTACTGTATTTACCACAATTCAATAACACTGTGCTCGCTGATACATCAATAGCCCCGAAAGTAGGCGTTTTACACGCTACAACAGGGTCCGGGGATGCTAGCACACCTGGTGGCTGTTGATGATGCGAGAACCAGCGCCAAGGCTTCCATAACGGAGGGGCGCTGAGGTATAATTGGAAAACTTACGTGTTTTTCCAGCCCTTATAATGAACTAAATATTCATAAGGACTCTTGCGATCATCGGGGTCGACATGCCTCATATCCATAATCTTGGCTTCGTAGAGTACTTCATGGTGGAAACAAAGAACCTTCTCATCTCGGTTGTAATTCGAGCTGGTCGGAGCCATGATGTCGCTTCAATAGTAGGTCTTTCACCAGATGTTTCCCAAAAAAGATCAACAGATCTGAAAATTCAATTTTTGGATGCTCTTTGAAGGTCTGCCAAATTTGTGGCCCCTGAAAGATGTAGAAATAGAAACCGAACTCTGGGATATGCTTTGACAATGCAGTTACCACATCCAACAAAGACGAATAACTCAGAGATATTCTCAAAAACTGTACTTCAACAGTAAATAGTACTCCTCAGTATATTTTGGGCCCAGTACAGCAAGTTTTCTGAAGATATGAAATGAGACTCTGGTGGAAAACAATGGGGAGAATAGGGCCAAACTCAGCTCACTTCTGGAAACAGCGCGCGATGTAAGAATGCTTTGATTCTGTATGATTGATCAAATTTCTTGTAACGCACAGATCGCAGTAACAGTAATTATGTCAATCAGACTGCTGTGATTATAGGTGCAGCAGACAAAGGTCGAAGAAATGTGAAGGGGAGGAAGGGAGTAAAAGCAACGGGGAGCGGAAGGAGGAGGCAAAACGCGTGCCTTCTCGCTTTGGCTTGCTCTTCGGGTGAGACCAGCCTTTATCCTGCATCTTCCTAGTCTACGTGCATTAGCATAATCTTACTTTGTGGTCAGCTTCATACCAGTTCTAGACATCATTTTTTACAGCTTTACACGGCAACTTGACAGGGTATCTGCCCTACTTTCCAGGATCTTCGTTGGCTGGTCCGATTGTACGCGTCTTCGTCTGATCTATTTGACCTCGCCCATTGCTAGCTTACAGCCCCAAGACGCTGCTTCAATAGTCATCCCAAGAGGATTTACCCTGATTAGACCTTTTCAATCCTTAAAGCGCGACCAGCGTGTTTTCAATTCATCCTGAATACAGGAAATTGCTCAAGACTGCCACAATGGCTCCTTCGGAGGAATCTATCCTAAGCAATTTCTTGCTATCTCCCGCCTCTCTGCCGACCATCGTCTCGCTGCAGAAATTCACTGAGCTTTTCCCAAAGCGCCTGCAATCGCATCCTCAGGTAAAGGTTTTGTACCGCGAATTGCAGGAATTGCGCTCTCAGGATATGGATATGATCACGGAAAATATCCTCAATGAAGTCCAGGCCAGTGAACAACCAAAGGCCGACTTGCTGGCTGCTGCAAAAGCATCGGGCGTCCATGGCTTTGGAGATGATGAAAATCGCGAGACGAAGCTTGATCTTGAGTTTTTTGGACAGACATCAACGACTCATGTAGTGGAACATCATTCATTTCCAAGCCTTCTTGCTGAAATGGAGAGTGCCTGTGCTGCTCTGGAGCGAGAGATCGTAGCTACGGAACAAAAAGTGACTACTACTCTGGCTACAGTAAAAAGGACTGTGGGTGATCTGAGCGATCTTCGTTATGGCAAGCTGAACAAGCCTGGGATTACCCCCGAGGAGTACACAGATGAAATTGTTCGCGGTCTACACGGGCTCCGAGATACTTGCGACCGCGCCAACAATATAAAGTGATGATGATGATGATGATGTGTGAACGCCTTCTGCGCAACGACACTACAGTCTACATGGTCGAATATTCCCTCTAATTTCGAGGAGAAATCAGCGAGTACGCATGATATTAAACCAAAATTCACTCAACCCCAAATCTCCACCTAAATACATGATTTCAACACTGGGGGAAACGTCAGATGCTAAACACACTCTTGCCTTGCGATTCTCTATGCATCTATCTCTCGAAGAAGCGAATCGCCAATCATCGATTCCACATTCAGATCGTCTTCTGTGGATGCCTCTTGCGGTATGACCGGCAGGCCAACCAGATCAAATTCATATGCCGATATTGGTGAACGCTGCTTCCAATTGACAGTTGGGTTTCCGGGGACTCGGGGGAGGGGTGGGAACCGGCTATAACCAGATCGTACTCTTTGATAGCCTTCATGTTTGCGCTCGCTTGAGTCCGGCCACGGGGCCTGTGGCCTTGAAGGGTTATCCAATCCGTCAGGCCTCCAGATCGTTGTTTGAGCTAACACGGTTGATCGGAAATCTTCAAGCCGTCTTCCGCCCAGCGCCGGCTTAATGTTCACATTGCAAGCCGAGGCTTTTTCTGTCCGTCTCAATGATATAGCTCGGTTGATCTTCTCGATATTGTCCTGCGCTACCTCCACACGGTGGGCCAGCCACCCTTTTATGTCTACTGGAACGAAAGGCGAATTTGGTGATATATACCCGACGTTCATTCGCATTCTACGAAAGCTATCTCGCTCTTTCGTGTCGTCCGAGATCCATGTCAGTGAGCCCCCCGTGGCCCCAGATACGAGGCTTCTTTCCGACGTTGAAACGATCCTCTGTTGTGAATCTGTTAGCTTTCAGTACTTGATTCGATCCAAATTGTAGATGTTACTATGTCATGATCTCCAGATCCGACGACCGCTCCATCTTCCTGTGTGTTGTGTGAACTTTCGGGGCTGCAAGTGGTTACTTGGGATAGGCCTAGAGCTGCTTCTCCTGACAGGTCCATGTGAGATTATTCCTGCCAGTGAAATTCGTGGGCTTCGGTCTATGCGGTGGCAATCTGTGGGTCGTAAAAGGCATCTGTAATGATGTTGGCTAGATGTCAGTCCTGGAAGGGGAGGATCACTTGACACTGTGGGCTGCTCATCGGATATCAGATGTCTAGTACCATAGAAATGTGACTCTTCTGGGATTCAGTCACAATCATTGAGTCAGGTTGCTGATCGAAGAAAAGTTGCTAGGCACCTCTTGATCTTCCTCTCGAGGTCTATGTCAGGACGAAGAGGGGGGAATAGGAGGAGAGGAATAAGAAGAAGAAGAAGAAGAAGAAGAAGAAGAAATTAGAAGGATTTCAGCTGGAAGATATTAACCAAATGACACAACCAATCAAAGGGTCATGCTATCTTTATTGAAAGAATCCAGCTGAGGGTACGGGACGTGATTTTTTGCGAAGGGACATACCAGCTATTGTATCTGTATGTATGTACTGTGACTACACCTCAATCTCCGCGGGTATTTCCAGCAACTGTATCTGAATGACTCAAATTTAGGCGGTGATGGTGTTTGCAGAGGTGCCTAGTAATCGTTTCTGTGTTACATTTTCACCCCTATCTGTTTGTTCTAGGCTCCATTTGTTTCCTTTGATGAGAAATCTTCAGATGGAGCGCTACGTTTTGTATTTGTATGCTTGATTTACCCAGAAGGGCACCGCCTAGACCTATTCTTCAGTACGTGCTAATCACGAGGCGTTGACTGATCTTTGATGTTTGCTTGATTTCAAATAACTATTGGACACTGCTGTATTCACACCACCGATGGTACATGTAAATAGCGTAGAGAATACTTCTCCCTTCAACGTTCCAAATGCAGTTCTTGCTGTCGTATATTTATATATTTCTGAATGCTTGGACACCCATGATATCTGTAATTGAGTGTTACCCCAAAATATAATACAACAGGCACGAGGCACAGTCTATGCACCTTCTATTGAAGAAGCCTAGTCATGATGCTAATTGACATTCCAGGTAAACAAAGGATAATCCAGTTGATAGCCAATTGTTGACTATTTGATGCTTTGGAACAATACAATCGGTTGTCACCTTATTTCGGCGGCCCTCGATAAGATAAGATGTCTTGGCAGAGACTAAACGCGTCGGCGCGTTCTTGACTTCTTTTTCATCTTCCGACTTACATGTTCCATTGATACAAATTACACGAGACAACCAGACAAGCAATCAGAAACCATGCCTTCAATTCCACTCCMCCCTCCCAGCAAGCCTATCACCGTCAACAATCCCCTCCCTGCAATCCTCCAAACACCCTCCGGACTCGCCATCCTCGAACTCCAAGGCACAATCAACTTCCCTACATCTACAACCGATGACGATGGCGACAATGACACTAACATTAACACTGAAGAAAAATCAGAAACAAAAACAAAAGTCGTCGAAACAGAACTAGGTAAAATCATGTTCCCGGATTACTCAGAATTTATGGATCCGGATAGCACAAAGTGGATGAAGCGTGTTTATCTGTATGCGGGTCGATATCAGCGGATGACGGGGGAAGTGAAGAAGTTGGCCAAGCCGTTGGCTGTTGTACAGCGACGAGAACGGGGTACGATTGAAGCTGATAGAGGAGGGGAGGAAGGAGGGGATGAGCTTGAGATTGTGGATGTTATCAAGTATAAGATAATATTTGCGTCTAGACCGGAACCTGTGTCATTGGAGTGAACAGAACAGAATGGGCTGGGTTGATAACATATGGGGTGACCATCATGCTCGAATGAACCGAACCACCTCTCCGAAAATAATCAACAAACTCAAGCAAAGCCAAAATTACCAATACCACCGACGCCCTACCACCCACTCCGGGAAGCAACGGCGCCCTTCAAGCCGCATTCTCAAAAATCACCGTCAAAACATCCCCCTCCTTCCTACCACCCAAAGCGGCCTTCAACGTCTGATGCGCCGGACACTCGGTATCATAAAACTTGACGTCTTCTACCGTCGCAAACGTCGTCTTGACGCCGAAATTGTATCCCTGACTCCGCTCGTCGGGGATTGCAGGACCAAAGGAGACGTTGCTTATATACGGTTTGCCGTCCTGCTCGACATTGATTAATTCAGGCTTGGGAATGGAAGAGAGATTAGGGGAGAAGGACATTACCTTGACGGCAGTCTTGACGAGCCGCTTATACTCCTCAACGAGTAGTGCGCGATCCTCCTCCTTGGGGATGTTGAATAGAGTGATTCGCTCGAAGGTTGACATTTTGGATGTTGTGGTGGCGGTAAATGTTCGACTGTGATTGACTCTGGTCGCAATTGCGATATTTGCACAAGCAATTGGGCGAAACAGAATATGTAGATTCGAGCGGGAGAATGGTCGTAACATGAATAATATATTTGTATGACTGATCAGAAAATGAAATATTGTGGTCATAACCCCTCATCGGATCGCATGCGATGTTCCCACTCGGATTGCGCAAGACAGCCTGAATTATCCGCTCGCGCACCCGGAGAATCGTCGCGTTTCTGCATCATGACTGGCTGGGAGTCGGCTGAGTTCCCCGAGGCTTGAGCGGACTCCGGAAACGAGAGAACTTACACGATATTTCGGATACATGGATGCGGAATGTTTAGTGACAAATGCGTGCTAGTCAAGCAAGCTGAGGAATGAATGTCATTAATCATATTCTTTTGATATAGTTTGATAATCTCATGTTTGATAATGACATGACTGACATATGGCACCTCTTCAGGCTGCGTTTCTGGTACAAGTCATATACATACAGGGAAAAACAAATCGATCAGACCTAGACCTGGATAGTCATACAAATTGGTATAAGACAGGATAACAAAGAATTGAGTGGGTACTCGACTGGGAGCCATGATCACTCTCACCCGACCAGGGGAATAAAAAATATACAGAGAAGAAGCAATCGCAACAAGAATGCTAGTTCAGATCATCCGTCCAAAGCCCTCCGGAGATCTGCCCATTTCTGTCTGAGGCCCTCGTGGTTTTCTGAGAGCTGTGTTGTGTATTTCATTAGCAATTATTATATTGTTTCAATGGTGTTTGAGTGTCTTACCTCAGCCCATTTCATCTTGGTCTCCACTAAATCTTTCTCCATCTCTGCCATTTGTTCTTCCATATTTCGATTCTCGTTCTGCACTTCCATGTTCCGTTTCATAATACGTTCCATCTCGGTCCTAAGCTTTTCCTCGACCTCGGCGGGCTGCTTGTCAACTACAATCTTCAGCTCCTGTACCTGAACCTGAAGACTTTCATTCGTGTCAGACAATTCTTCGTTTTCGACCTTCATTCGCACCAACTCGGACGCCAGTTGAACGTGTTCTTGGTCAGACTTTTCAGTGCGTTCTTCCAACGACCGTATTCGTGCAGCCTGCGATGCCACGGTATGCTTGAGACCTTCAAGCTCCTGTTCCCTTTCCTTCTCGGTTCGAACCTTGTCTTCCCACTCTGTCGTATACGACTGGATCATTTCAGCCGTGAGTGGAATGGCGCACGCATCTTGCACCATTAGATCAGCCCGGTAAATCTCCTTGTCGCTTCCACCAGAGCTGCCGAAGAATCCAGACTCAAGGATCGAGCTAGCGGATGGTTGTTGATCGATGTAAACATCGAATAATTTTTCCTTGAGAAACTGCGAGAGACTGGACATGTCTTTCATGCCGAGAAGCGTTTCGACGTTGCGTTGCATGATAGCGACGCCAAAGCGGAGAATAGTACTTTCTAGTCCTTCTTCAAAAATAAGATCGTAGATGCGGAGTACTAATTGCAACGGGAATCGATATGCGAAAAGAGTCAAGAACCACTGTGTGGCATACAATTGCGGGCTAACTCCGCGTCGTCGAAGGTGACAATAAAGTGCAGGTTCAAGGTCCTCCAGAAGTCGTTCAAACTGGAACAAATGCAAATGCAGACCGGGCATGTCCTGGATAAACATATCTCGTAGACCATATTTATTCATAAGTTTCACAAGAAGCGTAAAAGCCTCTCCCTCATCCATCTAGCACAGAAATTAGTACATCACCAACAAAATTCGCGCAAGAGTTCTTACGTTGAATAACAGCGGCATAGCAATGAAGTTGATACCTTGTGCATAGCCTACCGCCTCGTCATATAAAGCATAAGCCTTGCATAATCCAAAGAGAGCTTCCTGGCTCCCCTGTGAGACGAAATATTTCGAATAACTTGTCCGAGATCCCAAGTCTCTTCGTATAACTTTTTCTAGCCTACGAATCGCCTCGGTATCCTCTTTGAGTTTCTTTTTGCGAGCCGTCTCCGCAGTTATCGGGTCGACTTCCTTCTCGTGAGGGACTGGCGAAGTCGTAGTTTGACTTGATGGAGACGGGGAGCCTGAATTATCGGATCGAATAGAAGAGCGCGAAGAAGCCAATGACTCCTTCTCTGAGGCAGCACCGCTGGGTCCCTGTCCACTAAGACTCATATGACGTTCCTTGTCTGTTCCTCGTGCCACAAGTTCCTTGTATACTTCTTCAAGTTCTGCATTGCGACTGTCCGCCAAAACTTGCCAGATCACGCCTCTGATTGTTTGAGGGATACCGCGCTTGATAGCGGCATTGAGTTCTTCTGAGTTGGCACCTGACAATGCTTCCGGTCCATTGTTTACAATTCCTTCCCACAATTCCCAGTCAACTGGTGCCGCCGCATCAGTCGCAGATGTTGCGATCCCCGAAACTGTGCCAGGTAGAAGATTAGGGTTGATGGGCGGAAATGGCCCACCGGTGCCAGCAATGACTGGTGAAGGAGCTGGTAGTGCGTGTTCTTCTGCTGGGCTGGCAAGCCCTGCACCGATGGATACATTTCCCGAAGCGATGCTCACTTGATCGGTTTCAGGTCCCTCTTCCCGCATACGAAGAAGCTTGAATTGATCCTTGAGACTGTTACGTGTCGGTTTCTTTGATCCAATGCTCATACTGTCTCCTTCTTCCACCGTGTTGACCGTCGAAACCGATGCAGCGGTATTTCGGCGACTATTACCCAAGTTAGTAGGGGAAGACTTGGAGTCACCGGAAATGCTTGACCTGGAAAGCCACGAGAATGGGCTTGTCAGCTTCCGACCAGGTAGTGCGGGAGGAGCGGGCGGTGGCGGAGCAGGAGCAGGGACAGCAACAGGGACAGGGACAGGTTTGGACGCAGTCGACCATGGTACCGACGGTAAACTGGACATTAATGTGGACGACATGCTCTGTTTCGTAGCAATCGAATCGATGGAGGCTGCTCCAGGAGAGTCGAGAGATGAATCAGCTACCGGGCTGCCCACATCATTGAGTTCATCATCATCTTTATTGCCCGCCAAATTAACGTCGTCCAGCGAAGTTGTTGATAGGCGATGAGCTGTTAAAAGTGGTGATTTTTGGTATTTCTTCCGTCTAGGGGTGTCTTCGTTCTCTGAGTGAGGTGTGGGTGTCGGGCTGACGTTGACCGAATCGTCGTCGTCTTCTTCGGGTTTGGCATCTGTAGATGTAGAGGGAAAAGGAAAGCCGGGCGAATGCTCAGCACGCGGAGTCGTGACAGATCCATTCGACAGTCGCCGATCGGTTAAAGAGCGTGTGGACGTGCTTTGTGGCATTGGAGGAGCCGCATGCGTGTTTTCTTCGCTGGCATCTTCAAAGGATTCCTGGAAGCACGGAACGGCCACGGTTAGCCAGAAGATATAAACAGGATACCACACCCGCTCGTCGGGATCGCGAATGTGATCAACCTACCTCGCCATAATCCTTGGGCTCCGGGCTTGAACTCATTTTGAACAGACTGTCGCTCGCGTGATGGCTCCCCTTGCTTGAGTGCTGCGTGAAGGGGAGGCCGTAGATGTGACTGGTTACAAGTCACGAATGGCCATCAGCTGAGGATAGGAGGTAGGTACTAGGCTAGGGGCTACCCGAGGTCGGTGTGAGTCCACGGTATGAGCAATTGGCGCGTATGACTGCCGGCGATTGAGTCAGAGAGATGCGCTGATAAATGACTGAATATAGAATGCGACCGAATGAGTGTATAGTCACAACAGACAAAATGAGGAGGATCGATTGTGTTGGGGTGAGGATGCAACGTTTCCCAGCATGAAAGTAAATTTATTGGCGGGAGGATCGTCCTGCTTTTCCGCTTCCGACATAGCTTATCAGGTCCACCCGTTCCCTCCATCTTGTGCTCTCAGATTCGATACTCCGTCTGTTTATTATTAAATATTATTGTGGCGAGATATGTAACTCTGAAACGATGATCTGGCCTGAGCGGAAACATACATTTAGTCTCTACACTGTCTACGCGGCTACTTGATCAGCTGGAATTATAATCGTGTCGACACCAATGAGCAGCTTACGCGGTTTCAGGCAAACGCATTTCTTGCAAAAATTGAATTATCGACACATCAACGAATAGATGGTAGCGTTTTGTTTCACCATCCAAGTCTCAGATACAGCGTGTACTCGGGACATGATCGACTAGTCAAGCCTCGTTAAGCCAGTCGCCAACAGTCGCTAATCAAGTAGCGTAACAGCCAACTAGCGGGCGACTAGCCAGGGGTCTGCCAGGTACCAAACGCTGGGCGCCAACGGCTGATCCACCCGGAACATCGGCCTGGAGTTTAGGCTTCCCTAGGCTTGATCTCAAATTTGAATCTCAATATGAAGCTATTTCTTGTCAATGTGGTATCACGTCACTTGGTTCTCGATGTCTTTCCAGTGCCCCTTTCTCAGAGGATCCAGTTCATTCAAGGACTTTAGCCATTCCAACACCTCGGCTCGGTTCTCAGCGGACATGGTTCCTTCAATCTTCGCTGCGATCAAATTGCAGTCCACCAATCCCTGATATATCCATTTGCAATCCGTGTAGTCTTCCAACATCTCGTTGATAAGTTCCTTTTCATCCTGAACATATCTTAAACGATCGGAGTTTGATAGACCCGGTGCTAGAGTGCGATCCGCCAGCGATGGGTCGAACACACACATTAAATTCTGATGATAAAACCAAAGTGACTGATCGTATGGATCGATAAGAGCGTTATGGGATAATTCCAATTCTACGTTTCAAAGAGTCAGTCATGGTAATATCATAGTCTCAAAACAGTAATCATACCTTGTTCCAAAACTTCTTTTCGTTCTTCGTTACTTGCTGTCTTCTCATCAAGAAGCTTCTGAATCGCTTTGGTTCGGTAATGCCATGCCGAAAAGTTGGACAAATTAGTCTTGATCATTTTGGTTGTGTAGTCTATTTGCGCCTGTGCCATGCTCGGTTCCCCGTCATCGGCTAAATCTTCCAATGCATCGATCACAAAAGTCCTATAGCCCCAGCCATGAAAGTTGCGGCTATCTGCGGTCAACATCTTGCCCAAAAGAGCCAGTTCTCCTTCCCAGAACTGTCGAGCAAGCTGCCTTGGCAGTAGTCTCTTGCCTTCGTTCAGTATCCAGAGCCGATAATTCCAAATCCAATAACATTTTGGAAAGGAGCGAAGCAATGGAAAGAGGAACTCTAAATCGTATTTGATGATAGGGATGATCTGATCAGCCTCTGGTTGACCTGGTGAAGAAGTGGCCTGAGCAAATTCATACTGTCGTATTAGTCGCCGGTAGTTCCATATCGTATAATATTCAGGGTTCTTCTTCAATAGCTCCGATACTTGTTCCAGAGTATCATGTGTATATATATGTGCAGCGATCTGGCAACCAGTGAGTCCTTGGACATTCATAAAGACACGAATACAAGTACGGACCTTCTCATGTACAGAGCTTTCCAGTTCCCTGTATGTCTGGACTTCTTTCCGATTCTGCTCAGTATCCACCTCTGTCTTGACACTGGAGCGGGGAATGCCATGCTTGAAAATATATTAGCAGATCTCTTGAAAACGTAACAAATCACAAAAACATACGCTCGCCATCTTATCGACGTTACTTCCGAGTAGCGATAAACAGCAAAACACTTTGATTGTTGATAATTTTGATTGATGTTGAGAGCACGCGGAAAGAGCCAGGCACCGAAGAAACACAAACGGGTGTCACGTGCACTTGGTCTCCTTCCTAAATCGGTAACTATGCAACAACATAAATTGCATCGACGGCCGACTATCTCTCATACAACTACGAGCAAAGCCGGTCAATTTTTCCTTGAGCTGCATATATAACATAGGAACTTCGACATCGTTCTTTTGATGGGACTACCATATGCATCTCTAGTTGAGCTATACGCTGTACAGGCAGCCCCTACAACACATTCCTTTCTCATTTGCTTCCAAGTAGAGGTCTCTCTCCAGAAGCCAATTCAGTCGTTATCAGTTACATCTCACAACTCTCTTTCTTTGAACTTTCAAGTCTCATCATTGATGTCGTCTTACGGATCACGAAAACTACCTCTCCAAGCCCGCCTGAAAACCAGTCTCTTCAGTTTATTTAGAAGAAGCTTCAGTTACCGACATGCCCAATCTCGGCCATGTGCCCGGTCCTTCTTCCTCGGTAGACAGGTATAAAATCGCGGTGAAACGCCCGTGTCTCAGGCGAAGACTTTGCGTGAACAAAGATTCATCGCGTCCGAGAGATCGCTACATCCCTCATCGCTCGTACTCGGGTAATACAACATCAAAGTTCCATGTCCGAAAGCTACCGATTGAGCTGGCTGCACACGAGAAGTTACTTCGTCAAAGAGAAAAGGGCGAGAACCCTTTCGGTCGACGTCGAAAATGTGGATCTGGAGTTCACTTCGATAATGATTACCACTTCCAGCCGCCACATATGTCACCACACTTATTAGATAGTGAGGTGAACCCCCGACAATTTTCCACATCTGGACAAAGGATCTCACCGCGACAGGTGAGTGTTGGGGCTGTATGGAACGTCGGGGGGCCCTCCATTGCAACAAGAGGTCCGTGGTTAGGCATAGTCGATGGTCGAAAGATGTACTTCGAAAGAAATGTCACGGCGCCCTTATATATTGCACGCTATTGGATTGATCGGAACAAAAACATTTCTTCGTCAGAGGAGACTGAGATTAATAATTCAAGGTTGGCAGCAGCCTTTGATATGGATTTGGCGCATCGGCAGCTGCCTATACCGAAACCAGCTATGTCATCAGGAAGTCATCCCTGTGCTTCCTCGCCGCATTTTGAAAAGACTGTTCCCTTCACATGGAAAAATTGCACATGGAAAAAAGCTGATCTAGAGGCCGGTAAGTAGCTGGATAGAGGAAAGACGAAAGAAAAATGCTGACAAGAAGTCCTTTAGACACTCGTTGTGACCTGATCAAGAAGCAATCGTCAGTCCTAGGAGTGCCATTTTGCACGTTGGTGATGAGCCCTCCTATAATAGACGATTTCTATCATTCAGTGCTTGCTTACTGTCATTCTTCTGGGTTAATCGCATATGCCGTGCTGGATGCTATCGTTCTGTGGTCGACAAAAACCTGCAAGAAGGTCAAGACATTTTTACCTGGATACCCCTACGACTGTGTTACAGCACTAGACTTTTCATCTTTGAGTGGTGGCGAAAGTATCCTAGCAGTAGCGACTTGTAGCGGCCACTTGCATTTATGGGATACCGTGAAACTTCGGAGGAGGTTTGTCTGGCAACTCGACAACAAGGCAACATGTGTGGCATTCAGACCAACGACAACTTGGTGCCAGTCCGCGGTAATCCCAGGCGCCGAGGTTCCCGGGGAACAATTGGCTGTTGGGGACGAGCGAGGGTCCATATGGTATTATTCTATAGAGCTATCACCTTTCGAGGCTCTGTCAAAAGTGACCCTTCTGGCGAAAGTTGATGCACATCTTGCACGCGTATGCTCGATTTCCTGGTCGCCAGACAAGAGATTCCTCGCCTCTAGCGGCGATGACAACTATTGCCTTCTGTTCGAAATGAGACACATCTTACAGAATCAGCAGTATTTAAGATCACACCCTGAGATTAGAAATCTTTCTACATTGCAGCTTAGTGCAATTGTCTCACAAGTGGCTCGAATTATAAGGATTAGTTCTCTGATTCCTTCGTACTTGCATTCCGAATCTCAGCCACTGGAGGACTCCCGTGCATCTTCAACATCAGGAAACGTTCGGTCTGTGAGCATGGATGATGATGCCCAAGCAAACATCACAAATCGACGCGTTCGTGGCCGAGCACTAGAATCAACGAGTGAGGTTCCTCCCGGGGGCATATTCCAACCTTATCGACGTGTCGCCTCCGCTTATTACTCTCCAGCGATAAGAGACCATGGTACAACAGCATTGCACTTTTTGCACGGTAATCATATACATTCTTTCAGACATAACTCGGCGGTAAAAGCAGTTGCATTCGCGCCCTGGCAGCCAACGCTACTGGCCACCGGAGGAGGCATGTTGGACCGTACTGTTCATTTCTACCATGCACCGACTGGTAGCTGCTTGGCCGAGATTTATATGTGGTCTCAGGTGACAGGTTTGGTCTGGAGCAAGACTCGACGCGAGATTGCAGTTGTTTTGGGGTATGGCGAGTTTGAGCAGGGGCATCAATATCGAGTGGTGGTTTTCGCATGGCCCAGCTGCCAGCAGGTGACAGCCATTCCGTGGAATTCACAGGTCGATGAGAATTTCAGAGAGTATATGAACGTGGCAGATCGGGCTCTGTCCGTTATAAGTATTCCCTACTTTGTTGATTCATTACATCAAAAGACCTCGGGTGATGTGGATTCCAACCCTGAAGATGAGTGCGTCGGAATTGCCTCGTCTAGATATATCAGATTCTATCGCATATGGGCCAAACCGCACAAGGTATTTGCCGGAGTAGCCGGTGTCATGCGCAGTGAGATCTTAGAAGCGCTTGACGGGATTGAGGATCAGCGAGATGAAGTCATTCGATAATTGTATGATGTGTTGACAGGCACCAGTGATGTTTCGTGCTTGTTTCTTATCCTTAGAATATCATAACGTTCGCATCCCAGGGGACCTCCCATAGACAATCATATTGATTCGTCGTCCTTTGCGAGCTCTTACCTATTTAGCATACTCAATTGATATGATATCCTTTTGGCGCGTCATGGCGTGACAGTATTATTTCAACAATTGTTCAATGTTGAGACATCCTAACCATCACGGTATCCATAATGACCGTTCTCGCTACCTAGTTCATTCCATACTAGATCATCTGGTATGCGCGGAGATTTTTGGTGTCGTTGGTTATTCCAACATATATCCGACTACTGCAATAGTACCAGTCTCGAAGTCAATAAAACATCTCAGCATTCATAAAAAACTAAACCCCTATGTATGAAGTGTATGTATGATGTAAACAATGCCAATCAATCAATGAGATTTATAACAAACAAACACGGAATGGATGATAACGGTAGACCGATGGTCTGTCTACCTAGCAAAAATACTTTTTAACCCAAAACAAGAACAAAACAACAAAATCACCAATCAGCCGATCCAGAGGAAGAACGTCTAAAAAAGGCAAAATGCTTAGCGCCGCGATTTAGAATTCGATTTCGACTTCTTTGATGGTGGTGGTGCGGATTTTTTTGCGGGTGCTTCGTCTGCGGATAAGTCTTCGTCGTCTTCGGAGTCGGCGATGAAGTCGCGCATGTCACTTGCTGCGTCTGAATCTTCTTCTTCGTCTTCATCATCATCTTCTTCTTCGTCTTCGTCATCGTCGTCATCATCGTCGTCAAGAGATTCTTCGGCTTCGATGTCAATCATGTCACCGCCTTCTTCGTCCAGGTCTTCTTCGCTCCCTTCTTCCTCGTCGGAGTCGGATGCAAGTCCGCCAACCTCGTCAGCGATCTCGTCATCTTCATCGGCTTCGTCGTCGCCGCCGTCAAGCGCTGATTTCGATTTAATATATGACAATGTCTTCTTGCGCTTACGGCGTCGCTCGGCGTCACTGTCATCGTTGCTGACGCCTGCATAATGAGTGATGTGTTCCAGGGACTCACCGCCGTCGTCCATGCCGTGTTTCCTGCTATCGGCCATTGACTGTCGAAGATTAATCTGAGCGTCGAGCATGTCGAGTTTGCCCTTGAGTAGGAGCAAAGATGGGAGACTGCGGGAGCGTTGATCCATGACTTTGTAGAGTGTGGTCATGCGCTTGAGGATCTCGGTGTTGCCGGCGATGGCGCCTCCGTGCGCGATACAGGTCCATTGGACCCAGACGAGTAGATGTCCGTATCGGCCTGGTCGGGATGCCATGCGTTCTGCGAGTCGTTGGATCAGGGCGCCTGCTAGCGCGGAGTTTAAGCGCTGCACGGTGGCGCGGATGATGTTGACGTCTGAGGTACGGAAGCACGATTCTAGCATTTCCGAGTCGTTCGTTTTGAGGGCTTGAGTAAGAACCGTGGATAGGGATACGCCCGATGGAATCTGCGCAACGGTTTGGTTCGTGTTATTAGATAGGCCAGGTACTAGTGCGCCAGCGCCGGCGTGATCATCCAATTCGGCCTCCACGTCGATTGCTGAGCTCCTTTGGACGAGTTCGCCGAATGTGAGCTCCCCTCCTTCATCATCCTCGTCCTCATCTTGTTCCGCGGTAGTATCTTGCATATCCGTATCCTTATTAGTTCCGTTGATACCGTTGACTTTCTTGGTTTGACGCTTCTGGGTCGTCTCAATCTCGACGTCAGAATGTTCTTCGGCGTCCGATATCGAAACTGCATCATCTTCGACATGTGCATCATTCATCTCGACATCTTCAGAGTAAAGACCCGACTCGATAATAGTGCTGTTCTCGTTGACGTACGACTTGCTAGCCTGTTGCTCCTCAATCACGGCGGCAGACTTGAGCGCCGACGCAGACTTGCGCGCTGTAATCTCAGTTGCACCCGAGAAGGCGAGATCTCCAGTATCTTGGTCCTGCCATCTCACACGCTCAAAAATCACGTTCACACCACCCTCAGCCCACGCAATGTATAGCTCTGGTCCCTGGAATCCTACTTGAACGGCATAAACGGCCTTTCCGGTATCCGGTCTCAATATCTTTAGTATAGCGTCGGCTTTGCGAATCATTTGTTTTGCTCTGGCTTTCTGGCTGGTGGCTTTTGTGCCGTTTTGTGCGATAGTCTGTGAGAAGGGTCTGTTGAACAACTCGACTGTGCCGTCTTCAACCAAAGCGGCGAGAACTTGCTTGTCGGTTGAGCTCCTCTCTTCTTCCTCCGGCGGAGATAACGAGAGGGATGCGACTTCTTGCTCAGCAACCAGGTTGTATGCAATTCCGAGTGTCTTCGGATCAAATACAGTAATATAGCGCTCATTATCGGCCGCAATGAAGTTGGCGTCTTTGACTGAGTGTGTGGATGATGGAATAAGAGTATGAATGGGATTGGTCAAGGAAGGGAAGGTAAGAGATTCGGCGTCAGAGTTTTCGATATCGAGGATCATAGGAGTCTGCGTAGCGCAAATCACTGGAGGGTTGGAAAGTAGTGGTCGCGAGAGCGCCGAGACTGTGGAGGTAGTGGGAATATTTATAATTCTAGATAAAAATCCATTAGCGGTGCCAAAAATACTGTTTCTCGTGTGATCGCCTACCTGATGCTTTGGCGGGTGTTGAGATCCCATTGGACGAGTCTGTTATCGCCGCCAATACTCCACCCCTGGGATGTGGATTCTCCAGCTGTAAACTTGAAATCCTTGATACCTCCCTCGTGAACACCGCTCAGACTACAGAGCACCTTGTCTTCTGCAGGGGAGTACATGCGAATATCAGATGAACTCGTGCCAAACGCAACGACAGCCTCACGGCCAAACTTGTCTTCAGCGGAGCCATTGACATCAGACTTTCTCTTCCTCTTCTTCTTCGACCCTTGATCCCGCAGGCCACCCAGATATCCCCAGTCCAAAGAAGTAATCGACTCCTTGGGAGCTACACTGTGTTCGCATTGCAAGGCACCGGTGTGAATATCATGGATGCGGAGATGTTGCGAGTCAAGGCCTTGGATAACCGATGCAAAGAGGGCCAATTGGTACTCGGATGGCGAGAAAGCAGCCCGTATGATGGACGATTTTTTGCCGGTGACAGTTGCTCCGGAGGCTGCGGGCTGTGCTGCGGAAGCAGTTTTTGAAGCTGGAGGGCGCGACGACTTCTTCCCCATCTTGTTTGTATTTGTTAGAAGTGTCACTAGTCGACTGTAACACAATGACAACGATATGGGAAATGTCAGAACCAAAATAGATATTGCTGAAACGAGCAATATCCGTGGGCAATCAAGTCGTCGACACGGTCGTCGATATCAGCCAGTTCAAAGATGATAGAGGAGAAAAAAAGTTTCTAGGTTTGTACAGCGGCTAACCCTAGTATGGACTAGCGTATATACTATCTCTTTTGCCTAAGGCATCAACAATTTGTTATCTTATCTAATCGTAGCTAGCATGCTAAATAATTCTGCAGTCTGCAGCTACCAGTCGACTTTTGCATGTTTCTTGGAGAGACGATAGCTATGGCTGGAGACAAAATGGTAAAAGATGTGCACGTCAATACAGCTAAACTATCCTAAGCATAGATGCTTTGGATCACTAGGCCGCTGTCTAAGCATCTTATTACTTCTCTGATCGTTAAGTCTTAAGCTACGTAAAGCTAGTAGTGATCATGAGGACTCGGCAGTAATCTGCTAGAACGAGACTGTAGACAGTCACGTGAAGATAATGCTGATAAAATTCAAGTTCGAGGTCGCAACTCCTGCGTGATCATGTGATTCGTTTGACGAAAAGAATAGTTCTAGAAGCCTAGGGTTGACGGCCACACTGCGACTGGGTTCTGAATCTTGAGGGCTCTTGGGACAGGTACAATCTAGGCACGTGACTTTACTTGGCTACAAACAACATGCTATGGTGCTCCTACTACATAGCACGTATGTAGCGTACCAGAATCACTAAGTGGTGGAGTCCATTGGACGGTTCACCGAGAGGATCCACATGTACGACTTAGAGCAGTGATTCGTTGAATACGAGTCACACTAGGCCCGTTTGATCGGTCTGTAACCCACCCGGCGAGTCTGTGTTCCATCTTGCATCAGAGTGACGGGGGGCTAGGCTTTATCTGCAAGGAGCGAGGGCAAACCCTACAGTCCTCAGCCTACGGTGACTGTGAAAGTAGTGACGAGGAAAGGTGCAGGACTTCCAAGTATTTGTGGGCCGCTTACATGTGGGATCAAACACAACCACGAATAAAGAGCGGGATTACCGTCGAAATGTGACTCTGCAATGACGAATTACGACGCCGATGAGACAGAAAAAGCAGGCTCAAATACGATGAAAAATTTTCATATCAGGATGTGCGATCAAAGAGAACGAGAGAGACGGCGGACAGAGACGAGGAAAAAGGGGAGCCTGGTGGCTGAGGCCCACCAAAATTGTGCAAATTTGATTCTTTGCTGGGCGGCTTTTCGCACTAGGACAGCGAGGGCTCCGCTTTCGGGTGCGCTGAAACCAATCAGCKGTAGGTCGCAAAGCACCGATGCAGGCGGCGGCCAATCAGGAAGTGGCGATTGGCCTGAACCGGGATAGCTGGGTCGACTGGACGCAACGGGGCTAGCGGCATTCGACGGGCGAGCGCAATGCGGACTTTCATACTTAAGGATTCTGCCACCCCCTCCGATTTTTTCAGTGTCCTTCGTCCTCGGAACTGCTGTTGTGCGTTTTGTGTGTGTGTACTGTGCCCTTGTCTGACTCCTCTCTGAGACACGCGCCTGCTCCTGTGCCCAGCCCAGCCTAGCCTAACCCAGGCAGCCCAACACGCCCTTGTACATAGTAAGTTGTCTGATTACTGTTTGTTTCCCCCTTCCAGTGCCCACCCTTCACTATTCTCGCCCTATCCGTCCACTTCCATTTCCCATTCACACCTCAGGCATTAAAAACACGAACATGCCCCGACGCGTCTTGTGTGACGCGCTCTCTCCCTTGCTGCCCCATCCTCCCACAGCTTATTAGCTGCTTGCTTTCCGCTCTACCCTTCTGTTCAGTGCTCCGGATCGTGTCTTCTTGTTTTGCCTGACACCCACTCTGCTCTTGCGCTGCTTTAGGCTTTGTATTTTTGAAAGCATACTAACCGTCTTTAGGCACGTGTCAATTTGGCGATTGTACTGCAACCGCCTACGCGTACTGTACCAATCACATCACCATCCAGACATTCAAGTCACCTGATCAGCACCCGATCTGGTCCTTTTATACCCGCCCGGAGTCTTGGCCTGTCTCCGTCTTCGTACCTTCTACTTCTTTCCGCCCTTCTTGCCTCTCCCGCCCATTAGTCAACCTCTCGCCTCTCACGTGACCTCTTTCTTTCTTGGCAATATAAAAACGGCATCGCCGTCTCAGTCTCGCTTTCTTTATCTGATCGCATACTTGCGCTCTCATTGTACCCTTTTAGATCTCGTGCTTTCGAAAGTCTTTCAATCGAGGGTATTGTGCGCAACACTTTACCTCGCCAATTCAGTCATCTGCGCCCACATCCTTGTGTGTGCGTTTCAGTGTTTGTGAACTAGATTGACAGTACTCTTTCCTGGCCGGGCGTTGGCAACTTTTGCAGCCCGCCTTTGATATCACAGACGCTTGCCACCTGATCATTGTGTGCTGTCTGCGATCCTCTGCGCGACATTTCCATTGATTGCGCCTCTGTGTATTCTGGTCCGTGGGGACCTATCTCAAACTCTCATTATGGCTACTCCCCCGCCCGAGGGCACTACCGCTGTTCTGAAAGCAGACAAGCCGTTGCTGCCGCCGACAGTGACTGGTTTGCCCGCCGATTCTCCTATTAATAGGTACGGCAACCCTTCGTTGATCTTCATGCTCTTATCTCCTGTGTGTTGAATGAGCATTCACTTTGACTAAAAATAAACTGACTGTGCTGACTTTGACATTTCAGATCGCCTGATTCTTTACCAAATGGCATTTCACTTTCTGAGAAGACAGGTCTCACTTCAGCTCCTGTGCAGAGCACACTAGAGGAAGAGAAAGAGTCGACCCCTACTGTGAACGGACACTCGACTAGTCAGCCTCCTCTCACAAACGGAACAAGCCCACATATCGAAACTTCCACTCCACCAGCAGATGATTTGAATCAGTCGAACGACTTGAAGGAATCCGAAGGTTTGAATCAGGGAAGAGGAGAGGCAACACCAGTACCTCCTGTGAAATCTGAAGAAGATTCGAAACCAGCGCAGCCTCAAGAGAGCGCCGCACAACCTTCAGTAATGGAAGAACCCAAGGATCTTCCGTTGAGGGACAACGTCGAGCCTCAACAGTTCACTGAGACGTCTGCTGCCGTTACTGATTCTCTGGTTGAGTCGGCTCCTATCAAGGAGCCATCAGAACTCGCCCTTCCGCCGACAGATATCGAGATGAACGACGCCCCACTGTCCCCGACCAAAGTCTCGCGCGAGCGGGAGTTGGATATGGAAGACGAGCCCGCTGCGAAACGCGCCAAAGTGGATGACGATGTACCCATGGGAGATGGCAGCTTTGAGAAGGCGGATATATCTGCCTCGACAGAAGCCGCACCATCTGCACCCACTCAAACATCCACGGGTATTACACCTGTACAGCACAAATTCTTGGCTAAGCAATTGACGAACCTCAAACGATCTAACGACGCACGATTCTACCGAGAGCCCGTAGATCCCATCAAACTTAATATTCCTAGCTACTTCACCATTATTACCCAACCGATGGATCTGTCGACAATCGAGGGCAAGCTGAAGAAGAACCAATACAACGCCGTTGCAGAAATTGTGGCGGATGTTGATTTGATGGCTGGAAACGCAGCTAAATTCAATGGTCCAGACCATATCGTCGCGCAAGAAGGCCAGAAACTGAGGGCTCTCTTTGCAAAGCAGCTGGAAAAGCTTCCGAGACCTGATGAGGTAGAGGAAAAGAAGCCCAAGAAAATTGTACCTCCAAAGGAGCCTGCTGCGCGCCGTGAATCTCGAGTCATCGCACAACCTGCTCCTCCCAAACAAACTAGTGCTTCTCCCACATTTGCACTGAACCCTGAAGGTCTGCCAACTATTCGCCGTGATTCTACCAACCCTGACGGACGCCCGAAGCGTGCTATCCATGCTCCGAAACGGGATCTGCTCTATTCTGCGAAACCGAAGAAGAAGAAGTTCCAGTGGGAACTCAAGTTTTGCCAGGAGATTTTGGATGAATTGCATAAACCCAAGTACTGGGCTGTTGCAAGTCCCTTCTACTTTCCAGTCGACCCTGTGGCTTTGAACATCCCAACCTATCACAGCGTCATCAAGAAGCCCATGGACATGTCTACTGTTCAAACCAAACTGAAAGCTGGGCAGTACGAGAATGCCAAGGAATTCGAGACGGATGTTCGTTTGATTTTCAAAAACTGTTTCAAATTCAATATTCCTGGAGATCCAACCTACGTGGCCGGACAAAAATGCGAGGAAGTTTTCAACAACAAGTGGGCTGCAAAGGCGCGATGGGTCGAACAGCATGACCCAGATAGCCACAATCAAAGCGGGTCTTCTGATGAAGAGAGCGAAGAAGAAGAGAGCGAGGCTGATGAGGACCAGGAGAAGCTTCAAGCTCTTCAACGACAGATTGCTGAGATGTCAAAGCAGGTTGAAGCAATTACGCAGAAGAAGAAGAAGACTCCTCCTGCATCCAAGAAATCTGGAAAGTCCAAGTCTGGCAAGAAAGATTCTAAGAAGAGTTCTAAGGGAGACAAGAAGTCCAAGAGTGGCAAGTCTGAGAAACGTCATGTCACATACGCAGAGAAGCAAATGATTTCGAACGGAATCAGCACTTTGAACGATAAGAAGATGCAAGAAGCTCTTCGAATTATTCAGAATAACGTCCCGTCCCTCAAGGGTCTTCAGGAGACCGAGATTGAGCTTGATATCGACGAGCTTCCCAATGACGTGCTCGTCATGCTGCTCAAGTTCGTCAAGAAGAACGCTCCACAGGTCATGGACGATGAGGATATGTCCGCTCCAGTCTCGGCGAATGTCCAGGCCAAGCCCAAGAAGAACAAGCCCATGAGCAAATATGAACAAGAAGCCCAGATCAACATGCTTGAGGGTAGTCTTTCCCGATTCTCGGGCGGTAATGGTACACGATCACCAGAGCCTGTTAACTCCGTTGAAGATGACGATAGCTCTGATGATTCCAATGACGACTCTGAGGAGAGTGAAGAGGAGTAATCTCCTCGTCTCAGTCTCGGATACGGATTGAGGAGAGCGCCAGTGACAATCTTTCACTCCGGTTTCTGCTTAAGTTTTTTTTTTGAATCTTAGTCATTGATTGACTCAGGATCAATGTCTTGGGGACTCCCATAGTGTACTTGTACATACTAGTTTTATCACTTCATGTTTTCGCTCCATTTTAATGCGCTTAATTGGGCGTTTTTCAAAAGTGTTACTCGCCCACGCGATGACTTGATGAGGGTGTTTTGTTTCTTGGAAGGTTTCCCGGGGGTCTTTGCGAGCGTTTTTGAGTCCTTTTTATTGTATTGTTCCTGTTATTCTCTTTTTACAAAGAGAGTTCTATCTTGTTCTGCTATTTTCAAGACAAGAGAAGTTGGTGGTGGAAAGCTTTTGATGCGCAAGCTGGGGGGTTGGATGGCGAGGCAGAGAGATGCCTCGAGATGTCCTGATGATATACCCTTGACCAAGCTGTCACTTTGTATTAGTATGATTCAATAATCAAAACTGTATCATTTCCATAACACGGACAAGATGTGTATTTTCTTGTGGTAAAGAGCTCGGCGACGTCCCTATTGGCCATAGCCACTAGTAGCGGCGCATACATTGAATCTTCTGCCGGCATGTGAACATCAACATCAAATCATCCTTCGCCTGAACAACAGAATGATCCCGCCCTGCGATCCATCCATACTAGACAAGAACCCACAATTTAAGAAACTGCATCGACATCTAACAGCCAAACTACTCGATGCGGATGCGTCCACCAGAGCAGACGGAGATATTCCTGAGAGGAAAGCAGTTGTTGCAGTTCGTTGCTTCCCACCTGTTGAGTCTCAGAGAATAGATCTGACCACCTTGGACCCTACAGGAATTGAGAGATCTGCAAATCAAGAATGCTAAAAGAAAGATAATCAAACAAGCGCTGCGGCGTGCATGTCTTGAGGATTCCGTGGACTCACTGAATGGCAATGCGTTATCGAACATTGTACGATATTTTTCTTCCATTAGTGATTGATGTCATGATAAAGATAATGCTAACACTAAAGGCCAGCTTCGCGAAAACAGCGCAGTCATAGCGATGTTCCTTGATGCACCTTGTGGTTTGAATGAATATGAATCCAATTCTCTTCAAGACCGCCTACAGGAGGCATCGCTTCTGAACCGCGATATTCAAACCTTTCATGACAAGACTATCAATGCGTTAATGCTGCCGCTTTCTGAGTCTATCACATCATGGCTGAACAATCTCCGCTCGGTCGCTGAAATAGGCACCCCCTCGGCACAAACAACAACAAATACATCATCATCATCTTCTAACATCCCAACAATAGCTTCAGCAAACCAGTCCCGACCACGAATCAAATCACGTCTATCTATCGGCGCGAAAAGAATTCAACCACCCCGTCTATCCATCCAAGTCGACGAGCGAATTATGAAATTGCGCCAGATGCAGGTCTCAGATTTACCAGCCTCTAGAAACAAAGTAGCCATTACAGCAGCAAATCTTCTATCCTCCCGTGGCGAGGCAATGGAGCGCATGATTGTGCTTCTAGAGAGGACGAAGTACGGCTCSTTAGCTAGAGGTACAAAAGCGCAAGCTGATTATTTGGCGAGCGTGGCGGAGTGTATGAGCTACAAGGTCCAGTATGTTTCCCTACCTTATTTTGGTGCTATGAGTCGGTTAATCCGTCTGTCAAAAGGGTCACGAAATTCGAAACACTATCAACCATATACACGCCTGAAAATGTGGCCGCGCTGAAGAAGTACAGTGCACATTTGCGAGAGACACTGGGTCGATTGGAGGAAACTCAAATGATTGCGAATCAGACACTGGAAGAATACGACCAAGTCGGCACTTCTCAAAGCAATAGAAGTGGTAAGACAGGGCCCATGGCGGATATTGCGCGACGGTACGGAGACTTGGTGCAGGAAGTGGACGCTGTTCAGAGGGAGATTAAGAAGTTGAGAATATAGTTTCGATAATTGTATCGACAAGTGTGTATTCTTTCTTGATTGCATACTATATAAACTACTATGAGGTCACGTGCGTTCCGTTGATCTGATTCGTTCGTTCGGTGTAGTAGTGCCTAAAATTATTTCCCCGGCCGAGTGGCGATGGCCACTTTTCACCTCGCAACAGACTCATTCAGATGACAGTCGTGCCGCTTTCGGAAGAGAAAAGACAAGCAGAGCAGAAGTGATAAAGAATATACACCGATAACAAACTCGTCCATAGCCCTTCACCGTTCGATTCCACCAAATCAACCTCAAACCCCGCACTCCTACAAGAATCAGAAACGAACAAAAAAGGAACCAAATATGGCAGACGAAGACCAACTCTCAATTTACGACGAAATCGAGATCGAAGACATGACCTTCGATCCAAACCTGCAAATATACACTTATCCATGCCCGTGCGGTGACCGGTTTGAAATTGCGATTGATTCGCTGCGCGATGGGGAGGAGATTGCGGTTTGTCCGAGTTGTAGTTTGATGATTAGGGTTATTTTTGATGTTGTGAGTTATTCTATTCCCGTCAAGTACTGGAGATTAGGGATGGAAAGGTGCTAACGTGGTTTTTCTCTGTTGGTAGAATGATTTGGTGAAAGAGGAGCCGAAACAGGAGCCCGTTGCGAGCGAGGTAAAGGTGCAGGCATGATTGCTCTACGTCTATGAAAACAGAAGAAGATATATATCTTTCGCATTCGCTGTGCCTGACAGGCTACACTGTCTCGATACCACATCAAGCCGAGCCGCCTATTGCGACCACCCCAAAGGCCGACATACCCGCAACACCAGTTCGTCGATGACCACGTCAAGTCAATGCCCGAGCGACTGGCAGTCATACAGGACAGTGATAATGGATACGTTATGCGCGATTGCGTCCGGATGATGGATGAATGTCATCGAACAATCCAATCTAGGCACCATAGTCAGGTAGCATTGAGCGAGAGGAACAGCAGATATAAGAATTGATTCTTCAATCAACAAAATATCATTGTGACACTTAACAACCAATAATCATACAACTATATATCCGCTCAAACATTCTTCATCCGCATCAGATAAATCACTCCTCAGCCGCAGAGTAAATATCCTCCGGCAACTGCAACGTCAACTCATCATTCAACAAGGTCGTCAAATTCGAGCCATCGCGCAGATAGATCCATTGACCATTAATAAACCCTCTCGTATCCTGCTTTTCATGCATTTGGTCCCCCTGAATAACCCAGTCGTAGCGTTTGGGTCCCGAGATGGGCGAACTTAGCCAGATTTGGTGGTTTGGTGGTTGTTTGTTGAGGACGTATGTGCCGATGCCGGGAACGACGACGTTGAGAACGCCGGCCTGTATATACGTTAGCAATTCATTCTTAAAAAGCCAAAGGCTGAGGGGCTAGGACATACGCTGTACTCAGCTTCAATCTCCGACCCGTCCTCCTGAGTTCGCTCTATTTCTCCCAACAGAACTTCCAGATACTGGTCCGCTACTTCATGGTAATTCTTGTCCGATAACGGTGTTGCCTCGACTACGTGAGTAGCACCAGCTGCGACGGCGGCATTGCTGGACTGTGGGTTTGGAGCTTTGGGGTCTGAGGAGTCGGGTGTGATGCCCTTGCGGATCGCGGGGGTTGAGAGGAAGGTGCGACGTTGAGAAATTGTCTGTTTGTTTTGCTGATGGGAAATTGATTGTTGGGAAACGAGAATGCGTGACCTTGAGGGAGAGGTTGGAGCAGCGCTGCGGCGCAAGCGGAGGAGGGTACCTCGTGTTGATCGAGAGAGCATTTTGAAATGATTGGAATGCTCAAAAAAGTGTATAGAAGATCAATTGCTTGGATTTTTAAAAGAGTCGCTGAGCTTCCCTTTAATGGAGAGGGTCAAATGTCGAGCGGAGTTAGAGGTTGTTGACGAAGGAAGAGACAAAAACGATGATATAATCGTCATCAGCCCGCACTTGCCTAAGTAAAATGCGGGCCAATGAGAACGTTGATTACCGCGTATTGACATCAAAACGGTAATTTATATCCAGCTTCCATTAGATTTAGCTTCATTCATCATCCATCATTCACCATCGTAACGTCTTCCATTCCTTTCAGACTGCTTTGGTATGGATGATCTTCATTTAGAATTGACGACTACACAATACACCAGCTTGAGTACATGAGCTTTCTAAAGCTCTAATGCTTCACCTTCGGAGACATCGAAGCTATGAACTGTTAACGACACAATTCACTGATCCATCTATTTCCCCAAGGAAGAGCTTAACAAAACTTTTCAGTTTTCAAGTTGCTCCGGTGACGACCATGGCTGCAAATAACTTACTGCCCCAAAAGGAGAAAAAACCTCCACTCACACACTTCTTGTGTCTGCCTCTTGTATCGGAGACTTCACTGCCGCTACTAGAGAACTCACTCGCCAAATTCAAACACAATCTACTATCTAGCCGCAAATCTGGAGGTGATCACCCCTCGGAATGGCTTCCGCCGTTGTTCCCAGACTCCGCGATTCGACCGCTGGGCACCGTGCACTTGACTCTGGGCGTCATGAGACTCACATCACCAGATCGGATACATGAAGCTGTCAAGTTTCTCGAGTCACTAGAAATTGACGAGATATTGCAGGAAGTGCAGTCCGAGCTCGCTCTGGACACGAATGAGAGTACCACACTTGGTTACGGCAAACCTATCTCCGTGTCTTTAGAGTCTTTGGGTACATTACCAAAGCCAAAAGCGGCAACTGTTTTATATGCCAACCCAATCGATCCGACATCTCGATTGCATCCATTCGCAGTCAAGATACGTCAAGCATTCGTTGATGCAGGTTTCATCGAGCAAGACTTTATCAAACAGAGGCCGAAGAAGCACAAAATCAGAAAACAGATATCGAGCAGCCAGAACGCCGCTAATACCAATAACGGAGACATTAACGGAACAATTGTTGTTGCAGAAGCCGCAGAAGAAACCATAATACAGCAAAGGCCGAAACTGAGGCCGTTATTATTACACGCCACGCTTGTCAATACGATATATGCTCGCGGCGAGCGAAGCGCTCATCACTCTTCTCATCATGGCAACAAAGCAAAAAAGGGACGCAGGCATGTCGGGCCTTTGACGTTTGATGCACGAGACCTGCTGGCGCGGTACCGCAATTATTACGTTGATGGTACATGCATGGAGGAGAAAGAGCATCTTCCTGCTGATATTATAGAACAAAGTAGCCCAGAAGATGATGGCGATGATGGTGCATCTCGGTCATCAGAGGAGGAAGCTCATCCTTCCAGGGGTGTGGAACAGATACAGCATACACAAGAGACAGATATGACTAGATATCCATTTATATGGGCGAATAATGTTCCGATTGACAGACTGTGCATCTGTGAGATGGGAGCCAAGACATTGACTGAAGAGGACAATCATCTGGCCGCGAGGTTGGGACAGGAATATCGAGTTGTTGCAGAGAGGAAATTGTTCCAATAACACCCACAACGTCGGAGTTGATGTACCGACTACGAACAGCGATTGCGCAAGGATTATTCATATTCAGCCATGCCTAGGTACAGTGACAGTATTGGAACATATGCTATGTACATTACACGATCAAGAAGCATAAGTTGTGATAGCAGTATTAAAAGCATCATCAATCTGAGCCACAATCAGCGGCGCCACTCCAGCCCAAATAGGAGTCAACTTTGCAACAATTGCAGCCGCCAATTTATCACTATCGCTCTTGAGCTCCTTGAGAATCGTCTCCACCAAACCCGTCAAACTAGCAATACCAAGCAATCCATCCTCGAAATCCGCTTTCTTGCCCTCGATGGTCGTCAGGCTGGACTCGACTACCGGCACGAGAGAACCAATAAACGCTTCGGCGATGGACTCCGATTCTGCATCAGTGAAGTTGGCAGAGTGTTTTGCGTCGTTGGTTGTGCTGACAATTGCATTAATGACCGCGAAAGAATCGGCGAGGATCTCGACGGCGGTGATTGTGCCTTCAATGCCGCCGGGGTAGCTAGCGACGGTGTTGTTGAGTGTGAGTGTCGCGTTTGCGATCTTTTGGATGCCGGTGAGGACGGATGCTTCGTCTCTCTTGGAAAGGGCTGGAGAGGAGAGGGCCAGAGGAATAAGGGGGAGGAAGGCGAACGTCTTAAGAAGATGCATGTTGGTATTTGGCACAAGTCACCTATTGCAGATTTGCTATATTGTATAGATTTGACACCTGGTAGACCACAAAGAATATAGAAAAAGCAGTCCAATGCCTCTGTATAAATACATTTTCATACCCCTGTAACCCAGGCCTACTTTCAACTGTCAAGGACCAACACAACCCCAACCATCCTCACAAACTACCGACAATTCATTGTTGTTTTTAGATATCCCCCCAGAGAAAGGAGTAAAATCTTAAGTCATCATTTAATCTCTTTTACGGGGGAGTTTGAGCGTGGCGTTGACCTAAATCCGGGGTTCACCAATCATATGATATGTTTGTTCCGTTGAGGCTAGACTCGAGCAATATCATGCCGTGATGATGTTTGTTGTGCCTGATTCGATTGGTGCTTTGGGAACGCGGAGTAAATTGGCATGGTTACATTTTTGTATGCGCCTTCGTATGCCGAGGTGTATCGCGAAATCACGTTCATTTTTGCTTAGGACTTTGAAATTTGTGATCTATTGTTCACGAATCTCCTGAGATGCTTATAAAATTCTCCAAGGGGTTGGGTTGCAGGCCATTAATAGTTCTTCAGCCTCACAGTCCCTGTGTCTGTATCAGATACAAGGGTTCCGATATTCCGCTCGTCCAATTTAATCACCGGGCAGTGACTACAAAGACTTGTCAAACACATGATAATAGCAAGTACCTAGGTAAGTACAGAAGGCGCAACCAACAGTTGTAAAAAAGTTCAATATGTACAATGTGAAAACCAAAGTCATTCATTCATGACTTGGGGATCAAGATTGGTAGACAGCGACATAAGCGACCTCCATCATGCTACCATAACCCCCAAGGGTTGCAGAGTTTGGGTTTCCTGGCTATAAGGCAAGATGTTAGTATCAGGTGTCTCGTTCGAACGGTATATGAGTGAACTTACCCAGTTACCACCAACAGCCACGTTCAGGATGAAGTACAACGGATCATGGCACAACGTAGCCCAGACACCCGAGTCTCCAATCGTAGCACCACTGATCTGGAAAAACTGCTTGCCATCCATGTACCAAGTAATCGTCTCGGACTCCCAGCTCGACGGCGTCCGGTCCCAGGTCATGCGCCACGTGTGCCACGACTGATCCGGAATGACGATGTTCCCACCTCGTCCGTTAGGCTCATTGCAAATCCCGCCAGGATTAACATTGCAATGCGCAGTGCCGTAGCCAGTTAACAAACCATCCACAGTCTCGAGGATATCAAGTTCTCCGCACTCTGGCCACCCGGTTCCGTGTCGAAGCGAATCGCCCAAAATCCAGAACGCAGGCCAGATTCCCTGCTTATTCGCAATGGCGTTTGTGCCGAATCTGATATCGGCTTCGGCGAGAGTGATCACACCAGCGGCCGGGGTGAAGGTGTATTTGCTCTCGACACGGCCTGAGGTCCAGCCGCCGGAGACAGAGCTGTCTGCCCAGGGGACGAGTTGAATTGTGCTGCCGCCGCTCAGCTGGACGTTGGCGCTTGAGCTGGTGTAGGTTTCTAGCTCGTTATTGACGCCAAGGTTGCCGGTGATGATGTTCCAGTTGCTGGAACTCGGGGATGCGCCTCCAGCGCCGCTGAAGCTGTCACTCCACACCAGGGTGTAGCCTGAGTACGACGGGGGGGCCCAGGCTGAGGCCAGGGAGGCCAGGGCAGGGAGGAAAAGAGCGTGATGGCTATGCATTCTGAGGTCTTGAAAGGAGTGTGTTGTGTAGTCACAGGGCAGTAGCGGCAACGTACAGTGGACTTTGGATGAGAATCTCCAGGTTCCACAATTTGGGTCAAGGAATAAGGATTATATATGGGCGAAACATCGTAGGGACCCATCACCAAAGGTCACCGCTACTGTTGAGCTCGAAGACTCCTGAGGCATCGTGTAGATGATGCTATCAGGAGCCCTCGGGCGTGTGATAGAGGCGTACCAATGTTACAGCACTAAACAAACGGACAGAGAATGAGTTTGATCACATTTCATTTTTCAAATTGCTGTGTAGATTATAGAGGGTGCTTGTCAAACAATGTACGCCCGGTGAGATAGAGAATGGTTTGGTCACATACTTCCCACTGTTGTGCAGGCAGGAAAAGGTGGAAATTAAACATGTACGCCCGGGTGATAGTGCATAAAGGCGTTGCGTGAATAAAATAGGTACTAATGCTCGAAGTAGTACTCGAAATCTTCACACGTTATGACCATGTTACCCAAGACGGCGATTCGACAAGCCACAGCAATTTTATAAGCACTACGGAATAAACTAGACAAAGGAACTATAATAATAGCGTGGAAAATATGTGGCTTCTGACAGTGCCGACGTGATAACGTGCCGGACTCGGCGTCTCGGGACTCAATTAGGGCTTTGTATGAGGACCATCATGCCGTGTCACGAGCGCCACTCGGCAGTTTATGCTTATATACATGAAACTATATAGACATACCATCGCTCACACGCTCAACGCCCCTGAAGAACTTAAACAACTAACTTCAAAACTAATCCAATGCTATACACATACACGTAGTATCGGTCATAAAAGGTATGAGAAAGTAACGTCATTTAACCTTACTCATAATCGTCTCTAAACCCCTTTCAACGTTTAATTCAGCAGCTTTAGCTTTGATCGAACTGATCATCGACCGCTCAAAGTCGTCACGAGAGCGCAGCACGGTCTCTACCCACGACATTTGTAGATCCCAGTATTCGGTCTTGAGCGCTTCATAGACGTTGACGATACCAGCGCCCTTTTCGGCTTCGAGTAATCGCACAAGCCAGTCGACAAGGCGCCATTTATTCTTGATTGTGGTTTGGAAAGAGTCGGGGAATTTCTGGAAGAATGCAAATACGGTGAGAACGTCGTCTTTAAATTTCTCGGTGAAGGGATCCTGGCGCCGGAATTTGACGCCGCGGTTGCGGATGGCTGATAGATAGCGCACGAGAAGCTCATCTGATAGCTCCTCGACGAAGATTTCGCTGAGTGATGGATGTAACACTGAACCGTAGTCTGACATGTAGTCCTCAAAGGTGGAGATCATGCGCTTGATGGCGAATTCACCGTACCATTTAGACGTGAAGAAGTCGGGTAGTGTGGTACGGAAGTCAACGACAAAGATGAGGTTGACGAACTGGCTCAAACAGTGAGTACTAAGATCGACGTAACCATTTCGAAGAGCGTCCAGTTCGACTGAAGCTCTGTCGTCCATATAGTTCGGTGTGACGAGGGACTCGATATCCCGTTTGAATCGAGTCAAATAACCCACTTGACCAGTTTCTTCATTGTCATCAATACATGCAATCTGGTCATTGGCCACGGCGACCAGCCAATCTTGCAGAGGCTGCAATCCTTCAGCCTGGTCGAGGTTTGTATTATTATATTTAGCACATTCTTCATCTAGAACGGTCTGCCAAGCAGTCTGTCGAGCCTTGAGAGCTCGGAACATCGAGTCAACAATGCCTTCTATGACATCGGCACGATCAGACGCGGATGCAGCGCCAATCTGTTCATTGAGCATTCGCCACATATCTCCCAACATCTTCGTTCGGAAAAAGCCATCCGCGTTTGTTTCAAGGGCATCCGGCGAACGTTCCAGAAGCGCTTTCTTATCCGCGGCAAAGATACGATCCATCCATTCATCCACGGCATTGAGAATGACGCTCTGCCACTGGCGAACGAGCTCTGGTTCTCGGTCATCTAAAACGTTCGGTGTGAGGTCAGTTGGTTTCCAGCCCAGCTTGGACATCTTTTTGTAATATTTCGGCGTCCAGTGAAGGATTGATAGTAGGTTGTCGGGTGGTAATTCGGGATCTTCAACCAGACTGATCAGGAAATCATGCATCATCCGGTGGTACGTCTTTGTATAAGTAGCATATATCTTCCATTTTTTGGGCATCAGCTGTTGCATGCCTTGTTGAACCGTGAAAAGATCATTAAAGAACCATTTCAGGCTTTTCTCAAGACTATCTGGATCTCCCAAAAAGTCTTCTTTGCTAGCATCAAACTGACTCTGAGCATAAAACTCAATAGCCTGTAAAAACTTCTCCTTATAGCCCCTGACCGTCTTCGGTCCGATGTTCATCGACTTGAATCTGTTCGCCAGCTCCTCATGATCTCTTTGAGCCTCTTGTAAAGCACGGACATGCTCGTCATTTTTCTCTTCTTTCGCAATAACAATAGCCAGCCTCACCACCATGCCATTATTGTCGGATTGTAGCAGCGGGATCAGATTCATGCAGGCAGTACCGACATGATCATCAAACCACTCAACTATCGAATCCAATCCCTGAAAATAATCCAACAGTGTAGTCTCACTACTTGAATCATTCGCTCTCCGAATCTGATCGAGCGCTTCATCCCGAAAATCCCGTAGCTGCGAAATCAAGATATGCGCCTTCAATAAATTAGGCTGGTTTTCCAAATCATCGTCGTCGTCGCGAAGTAGAGCTTCAGCCTTTGCCAGATCCGCATCGAAATTCTCCAATCCCTTTTTCATCATAACCACAGCCTCAAAGTTGCGTTGCACCCTTGCCAGTTTATCGATCTGCGAGAAATCCTCCACCGTCTCCTGCGACTCGGCACATAGTTTATCGATACCCTGAAGCTCATCGCGGGTTTTGGAGACCTGGCGCTGCCCTTCCGTCAATACGGCGAGACTTCGTTGGACATTCTCGAGTTGTTCGCGTAGACCTTCGCGAAGCTGGGCGTCTACTGCTACTTTCTTGCGTTGGTATTCGAGCTTCAAGGCGGGAAGTTTGTCGAGATCTTCCGGATGGCGTAGGAGTTCAGCGAGCCGCGGGATCGCGGCTGCCTTGTCCAGTCCTTCCATCTTGTGACCTGCCAGTTGTTTTCAAGTTGTCCCAAGTTGTTCCTGTAGAGCCCGCGGATTCGATGTATCGGTAGATGGGGAGCGATTGAATGTTGTTTACGCGCTTAATGTGTGTGATCGGGACATGGCATGAATACCGCTCGCTGTAAACAGTAATTGCCGTGCTTCGCATTCGCATCCGCGAGTGTCCCGCCTGTCTATATTATCCCCTGTGTTGTCTGTCTTCTGAAACGTAGCTGTTGGCTGGGGTTGAGATGTATTCCGCAACGTCCAATCATATGCGTAGGGAAAGCCGTCAATTGGGCTCACATGACTCACCGCCTTCTGTATTGGAAAAACATCAGCGGATTTGCATTCGAATTTCCATCTCCATCCTCTCCAGCAGTACTTTCCTTCGTCTTCGAAATTGAGTTTTCCATAACAGAGAAACAGTCAACAAGCGTCTTCGAATCATTATACGCTTGTTGATGAATGATTTAGTCTAAACAACAGGCCTCGTGATAGGTCTTCATCAGCAAAAAACCGTTCAACATATGACAAAGTCTCAACCGTCCCATCACACTCAATTCTCGAAATCACAAACCATATACCATCCATACATTACAATCAAAATGGCCACCAAAATAACCTACTTCCGCATAACCCTTATGCGCTCCGCGATCGGTCTCCCCCTCCGCCAGAACATGGTCCTCCACGCCCTCGGCCTCAAAAAGCGAATGGCAACAGTCTTCTACCCAGTCTCGCGAGACGTGGCTGGTCAAATCATGAAAGTCAAAGAATTGGTGGATGTGCAAGAAGTCGATAGGCCGCTTACGAAGCGGCAAGTACATCTGCAACGGAAGCCGGATCCAGGGTATTATGTTGAGAGGAGGGCGGAGGAGGATTTTCAAGAGAGGACGCTTTCTTAGATCAATCGAATATTGGGATTGAATTGATTTCTGCGCCGCCAAAGGTTGATTGGCTTGTTTGAAGGGTTGGGTATGCAAGCAGACGGACTCTTTTATGTGCGTGATGCTTCACCGCGGAACCGTCGAAACAGGAGCGCTTGTATTATAGGAGCATCAGGTTTAATCAGGTTTACACATCCGGTCTGCCACCGGACTCACTGTGGTAGCCACAATACAAGGTACCACCACTGTACAATAGACAAAGAATGAATAATGAATGTAATTATACTCTTTGATCGACTGTAAGAATATCTACAAGAATAACCCACGGTAACCCGAACGCCAACCAATGTAAACGACACTGGAACAAATCAACCCGAGAAGCTTCATACGGTGATACCAGAAACACACTTTATGGCTTGTATAAAGCATCAAGGAATCCCTCGGCCAAGCGGCTGACAATACTTTTATCTGGCAGACTACCTGCCACACCGTACAAGGCCGAAGTATCACCTCGTTGCCTGGCGTATGATTTTCCTTGTCTTTGTCTCTCCTCCGCCTTTGCAAGCTCTGCGCTTACAACTTCAGTCAACTCAGTCTGGAGTTTCTCCACAGCCAACGCTGTCGGTCTCGTAAAAGCCATGTGAATAGCTGCTGGATCTTGAAGAGCATTGAGATGCCATCCCTTAGCTGACATTGCATCGGCAATATCGTATGTGTCAATTCCGACATTTTTGCTTGCAAAAGCTACCACACTAACTTCAGGGTTGCCGATAACTTCAAGGTTCGCTGACAAGATTGGGTCTTCTCGGATGGCAGTTTCGAATTGCTTGGCTGCACCCATGATTTGATGACAGCTAGCAACATATCCTGCCTCTCCAATGGTCATCAAGCTGACCCAACAACCTGCGATCAAGGCACCGGAACGAGAGCCTGCAATTGATGGCGAGGCATACACTCCTCCTGTCCATTCGGGGAAGATAAAGTATTGGTGGTTTCGGTAAGACCGATTGCGATATAATAATACAGAATTGCCTTTGGGAGCAAATCCGTACTTATGAGTGTCGACACTAATACTGGTCACACCTGGCTGACGGAAGTCGAACCCACCCTCCTCTTCGTATGGAGACGGGAAGCCGGCTTTCTTGAGAAAGGCAATAACGAATGAACCAAGACAGCAATCGACATGAAGTGGTATCTTGTATTTGACAGCAAGGCGCGAAAGAGCTGGAATGTCGTCCACGATACCATGAGGGAAATTAGGAGCAGAACCAACAATGAGAACGGTATTGCGGTTAATCAATCGCCGAACGGAAGGAACGTGAACTTTATAGTCCGGTGCTGGGCAGGGCACCTGATGCACCTTGATGCCAAAGTAGCTACCAGCCTTGAAGAAGGCGGCATGCACAGTTTCAGGAACAACCCTGCAATTGTTAGTACTTCATCTCGCCGCGATTACTTGCTACACTCACATTTCTGGTTCTGTAATTCCGCGCTCGGCACGACCTTTCTGTCTGGCAGCAAGGCATGCCATGAGAATAGATTCTGTACCACCACTGGTGGTTACACCAGCACCATCCGAGGGACCGTGGAAGAGGGAAAGGACCTAGTCAAAGTCAGGACAGACAACTTAAGTAATTCGAATGACAGTCCATACCATGGCCACAATCTCGGATTCCATCTTTCGGATACCAGGGAAGACATCAGGATGAAGTGGATTAGAGACAGCAAAAGTTCCAATAGCTTCGGTCTGTAGCTTCGAAAGATCTTCACCCCCATGATAAACGGCACCGCTGACACGACCCTCTTCCCATTTTGCGTGTTCCATACCAGCCAACTGAGTGAGCTCCGCGCGAATTTGTTCAGATGTCCATCCTTCTTTTGGAAGAGTAAGGTAGCTGTTAATACCAGGACCTCTGCGAACCATCTTCTCCTCCAGCTTGGTAACGGCGGTTGTGACCTGCTTCTCTACCTGGCCGCGGACACCAGGTGCACGTAAAAATAGGTAGTAAGCCCATAGCCGAATAGCGACAAGGACTCGTTTGATACTTCCAATAATGCCATATCCGCGGAGGGAATCGAATGTCTTGCGGGTGTATCGGAGGACGAAAAAGAGGAAAACCACGTTCTTAATACTGTATTGAGGACAATTAATTGGCCGTTCAATGATTTAACAGAAGGATATATTTCGCGCTCACAGGTCGAGATTGAGGTAAGTAAGAGTGGCGTTTGACAAGTTCCGCGACGAAACTCCCATCAGCTTGCTCTGCATGGATGCGGGAATCAGTGATGACGCCATGTCTGCCACAAATATCGGACAGCTGTGCAGTAAGACTGCTAGCTATGAATGCATAAAGGATATATACGATACTAGCGAGAGACTGTGTAATGTGTAAGAGAAGAAGAGGAAGTGTATGGAGGGGAAGTCAGAAGTTAATTAAAGATTATGTCTGGGAGGCAGTTGCCAATCCTTCTCGCATCATGGGAAGGCGCGGCCTCGGCTCTCGCATCAGCCCGCTTGCAATTACAGACTCAATACGGTATGTAAATTATGATTTGGGTTAGCCTGCGGCTTGCGAGGTGCTTGCGAGCCTGCCATCGTCTGCTTTGCCACAATTAATTACGATGCTGTATGAGAATTACGCCAAGCCTGATTATCGATCTTACTTGTCTGTATTATCACTTTTTATCAGCAACATATTCACGATTCATATCTAGAAAAGATGCGATTGGACCGATTCATGAGTTCCGAATACTACATACAGCGAGTCATCGATCACGATGCGCCTGTTGTCGTTGGTCACTTCTACTTCCACATAATTACATAGCTCGAAATGATTGTTGAATAAGGCAATTTGTATCAGTTCTAATAAACAATATGCTTTTCTTTGAATTACATCAAATCATGTCGAAGATCACCGTGCAAGTCCTTATATACAGGCGGCGACCATGCTTTTTGAACGCCGAGACCCTTTTGAGTTCCCTTTCTGAAGTATTCTTCTTCGTTGACAAATGAAATGCAGGTGGATTTTGGTATAATCCATTTTCAAAAAAGCCAAAACAGAAGGACCATGACCCAAACGCCAGAGCGCAAAATAAAGACCATTCACATCGTATAGATTAACAGGTAGAGCTAGTCATCGAGACCGACTGTTGCGTAGTCGATTTTTTTTGTCTGAATATAGGGTTACTTAGGCACCGATGTTTTCACCGTTAGCCTGAGCTGCGGCGATTTCCTTTTCCTTCTGGGCAAACTGGGCCCTTTCCTCTTCGTTGAGTTCCATCAGTGGCTTGTCAGTGCCGAGCTTAATATTGTGGTGGAAGGCACGGATGATGCTGTCGGCATCGTCAACAGCAATGGGACGAATGTCGGCAAGAGCCTTGATCTTGGCGGTACATTCCTTATATTGAGCATCGGTCATCTCCATGTTGAGTTGCTGAGCACGAGACTTGATAGCGTTCCACCCAGTAAGACGCGACGCGAAGTGCACGTAACGAGTCATGCCGAAGTCAGCGGGGTTAATGATCTCGTAGGTGCTGGGGTTGTTGAGGATAGCCTTGGCGTGGATACCCGCCTTGTGGGTGAAAGCGCAGAATCCGGTGATGTAGTTGTTGAAAGGAATGTTGACTTGAACGGACTCAGCGACCAAGTCTTCCAAATCCTTTAACTTGTCCAACCTGTACTTGGTCTTGACATATTCAGGGGCTTGGACCATCATTCTGGCCATCAACCCACCAAGAGGGGTGATACCATTGCGTTCACCGATACCAAGAACTGAAGTGTCGATGTGGGTGGCACCGGCTTCCAAAGCGCAGAAAGCATTTGCGATAGCGCAACCAGTATCGTTGTGGAAATGGGTTTCAATGTCACAGTGGACGACACCTCGGAGCACACGGACAAGCTCATAGACTTGGCGGGGAGAAGCGCACTGTGGCCGGTTAGTTCAGATCTTGCTATATTGTAGATCTTCAACCAACTTACACCAACGGTATCGGCAATACCAACTCGGTGGACACCAATTTGGTCAACGGCAGAGTAAATAGAGAGAAGGTCAACAAGATCTGTGGATATTTTATTAGTAGAGGGTCCTCGCATGAATGAGCACATATAATCTTACCTGAACGGAACGAGTCTTCACTCGAGAATCGGACCTCGATACCCTTGGACTTGACAAAGTTGATGACCTCAATGGCAGTGTTGATAATATAAGTGATATCCTTGCCGTGGGAGTGCTCACGGAGACTATATTTAGGTTAGATCATGGGCACGGCGTGTATCGACGAGTGTGATTATACTCACTAAGAGCTAGTGCCAATGACGACATCGACACCATCAACACCAGTTTCGACTAGTAGGGTCGTCAGCACGTGGAATTAATTACAGCCGTTGAACAAATTGGAACATACCGGCTACTCGGGCATCGTCCATGTGGCATCGAATGTGTGTCAAAATCTAAAGAGTATGAGTAACAGAAGATAAACATTTGTCCAGCGCGACCAACCTTAGCCTTGAGTCCCAACTTGCAGATAGCCTCGCAGTCCAGTCTCGATTGCTCAGATGCACAAGGGCTGGTCAATTCGATCTATTTCCGTATCCGATTAATGCATGATCAAACCCACAATAATACGGGCATGACTTACGTAGTCTACGCCAAACTCATCAAGGGCTTTGGCAATCTCAATCTTCTTCTCGGTATCAAAAAAGGCATTGGCGAACTGTTCACCCTCTCGCAGTGTGCTCTCTATGATCTTAAAACGGGAGACATTGCTCAGGAAATCGGTGACGCCGGCGTTGTGGCCGTAGGGATTTCTTGTGGTTGTGGGGTGAGGGTTCTGACGAGTTTCAATGGCGGTGAAGCCATCGTGGTTCACTATGTCGAGAAGATTATCAGCTCAGTCGAACGGAAGCAAGATCAAAATCTGAAGATGAAGGTAGCACTGTACCTTTTCCGTTGGCATTGGTAGTGCCATTGCCATTGGCGTGCCCATTGGCGGTGCTGTCTGCGCCGGGACACATTTTGAGCGCAGGTATGTCTGGAGTTTGGGTCTAAATCAAGAGAGTACCGCTGAACAATGGAGGTAGAAACGTAATGGGATGGAAAATAATTGGTAGGCAAGATGATGGAGAGTCAACACAGTGTTTCTTATACATAGAGAAGAAGAAAAAAAAGAGAAAGAAGAGTCATAGAAGGCGGGGCTTGATCCGGTATAATGACTCAACCGGCGGGCGATCCGTGATTGGCTGTGCTGGGAATGATGACTGAGGCAAAAACTGGGGAACCTTAAAAATTTCCTTTTTTGCCTGCAAAATTTGTTAGTCCTCTTGACCAGGCCGAAATCGCTCTCTGTTTCGTCGCCCCTCGCGATCAACTACTACGTAGCCTACACACATTAGTCGATTTGTAACGGATCAATGATGGAGTGGTAATTAATAATTTAACTGTTCTAGGCTCATCACCATCATTGGAATTTACCAGAATCAATGGCTGAGTTAGGGCACATAGACTCACACTTCTAACGCATCGCTGTGGTCTCCGTCGCGAGCGAATATCGGGCAGGATCAAGAATACATCATCGCATACACAATCCCTGCCTCCAATGCTCAGCGTCACGCCGCTTTATGCTCTTTCTGCCCAGTCGATCGCAGCGCTGAAAATGGCAGAAAATTGTCTCATCATTGGCTATATACGTTGAACTTACCGCCCCAGTAGCTCACAGTGACCACTTGGCATGCTTGTACCTACGAAGGTGTACTTCTTTTGGTTGATCAATCACGTGATCTTGCGTTAAAGCGGCAGGGGTTCTAGGAAGTAGTGAAAAGGACGCGTACTCCACGAACTCGAAAATGCATAACTAGGCATATTCCTAAACTGAATTGTTCATGTCAGAGACCTTAGAACACTGAAACCCCAATTTTCTAACATACCGTGAATTGAATGGACAACATTCGCGACATTTGGCGACTGCGTGATAGATGTATAGCCCAATGCGATATCATTTCAATGAATCAAAGTCATTCTGACCTCTCAAGAACATTATTCTCCGTATTTAAGCAAACACACGTGCAGGCTGTTTGCATTAATTATGTCCGGGGTCCGTACGCGGCATTAGTCAGTACCCCCCTATTAGCTAGCTCGGCTCGTGTATCATATTTACGGCCAGCTAGCCTCATCGAACATTCTGCTCGAACTTCTATCAACGTCAAGCCCGAGCATCTTCCGTTGACAAGCCAGCCGCTCTCTTTGCTTCGTTGACCTTCTTTCATCTACAAAAGCCATATACTTATTAGTTTAATACCTCTTTTTTACATCCGACCGACCTTCCCCGTCAACATGCGTGTCTCCGCTTTGGTCACCCTTCTCCCGGCCTTGGTCGCCGCTCAGGAGTCGCAATTCGCGTTCATGGACCAGGCCAAGGGCTGGTTTGACCAAGTCAAGTCCTTCATCCCCCAGGCCCCCAGTGTCGCCGAACCCGTTCAGCAGGCCGCCCACCACACTACCTCGAAGATCTCCGAACAGGCTGTTACCCATTTGAACATCAATAACTACAAGGATGTTCTAGAGCCAACAACCCAGCCCCAGGAATGGCTCCTTTTCTTCACTGGTGGAAACAAGACTTGCTTTGGTCGATGCCTCCGCGCTGAGCATGCTTTCAATGTATGTCACATCCGACGCATTTGATGTCGCGCAAAACAACAAGACTAATTGTTTGATAACCAGGACTCCGTCGCACTCTTCGCCGCAGACCCAACCGCACCAAACCTCGGATACGTAAACTGTGAGCAAGAACAAATTCTCTGCTCAATCTGGGCTGCCGCCGCCCCCTCCATCTGGCATCTTGACCTTCCGCAGGTCCACCCCGGCGAGAAGCGTCCCGCAGTCCCTCTGCACGTACAGAACTTGAACTTCACCACCGTCACCCCCGAGACCATTTACAACGTGCATGCCGAGAAGACCTGGGAGAAGGAGGACCGCTACGAAGGCTGGCTTCACCCTTACGATGGTTTCTTGGCTGAGTCTGGATTGAACGTTCCCCTCGGTCGCGTTATCTACTACTTCTCCGTGCTCCCAAGTTGGTTGACCATGATTGGTATCAGCTTTCTCAGCCGTAACGTAATGTGAGTATTTCCACGTTGACTGCATCATTTTTGATTATTGTGTCATGCTGATTGATCGTGTCCAGGGGTCGCCGTGCGGCAAATCCAGGCGCAATTGCCGGCCGTCGTTAGATTAGTTGAGTTGGCAATTTATTCCAATCTGCTTAGGTTATATTAATATATTCCTGTCACTAAATCGAATTTTACGCACATCTTCCATGTATATGATTATTTCTTAGGGCAGGCATTGCACTGGTAGTTATTGGGTTGAATTGTCTAAGGAAAGTGAGCTTTGCGTTTCAGCCTATACTGCTCTTAGAATGTATAAAATCTACAACTGCCTGACAATTCGTGGATTCCTCTGGACTGTCATAAAGCGACTGTCGGTGCGTTATAATGTTATGTCGAAGATTAGGGCATGTAGTTAGCTTCTCCGGATTGCCCGCCTAAAAAGGTACCGCCACGGCGAGCTGTTTTTTTCCCTCTCCAAACACATTTTGTACATACCAAGTATATACAGATATCGCCAACATGGCCGCACCAGTAACCCCCGACAACGTGCCGACTACTGCCTCTTACGTATTCGCGACCGCTATCATTGCCGGCGTCGTTGGCTACTTTGCTGGTCAAGGTGCTTCGCTCGGTTTATTCGGTTCTTCGCCGGCGGCGACTGGAGCATCGAAGTCGAAGCGCGCGACGAAGGAAAAGGAAACAAACGAGGAATCAGAGTCTGAGGAAGACGAAGATGGTGCTGAGTTAGCGACATTTGATGGTAATCAGGACGAGGTGAAACTTGTTCTCGTTGTGCGGACAGATTTGGGGATGGGCAAGGGTAAGAAATTTCTTTTCTACATAGAAGCTTCAAATCGCTTACCACGTTCTTGATATCAGGAAAAATCGCCGCCCAATGCTCCCATGCCACCCTCGCCTGCTACAAATACTACTTCTCCAAAGACCCCAACTCGCCCATCCTCAAGCGCTGGGAAAACGGTGGACAGGCCAAAGTTGCTCTGCAAGTCAAGACGGAGGATGAAATGTTGGTATTACAAGCTCAAGCGATGAGTCTGGGACTTTGCGCGCGCGTGATACAGGATGCTGGACGAACGCAGATAGCTAGTGGAAGCAGGACGGTGCTTGGTGTTTTGGGACCGAAGACGGTTGTTGATCAGGTCACTGGTCACTTGAAACTTCTTTAATGACTGCATAATATATTCCCCTACGAACATGCCAAATGTTACTATGAATTACGAGTAGCCTTGGATCTGCCATCAAAATCCTGCTCAAAATGAAACGCAATCAAAATAAGAATGTTGGCTAGTCATGGTTTTTCCCTAACCTCATCAGCCGACGGCCAAAAAAATCAGTAAAGGGAGTGGGAATATGACGCCGACAGCAACTCAATCCTCCAACTGAATTCACCAATCCCCGTAAAGGGAAAGGGAGCTCAAAGCCAAAGGGTGTTGAGAGCTGTACATCGATCTCAGATCTGTCGACAGGAAATTGACACCATAACAGTATAGGAACTGAGAAGTGGCTCCTTTGTCGTCGAACTGCCCAGCAATCGACCGATCACAGCTTGTAGAAACAAACTGGCCAGGATCGCTGAACACAGACCTGTGTAAATTTTGTGATGAGGAGAGAGAAGAAGGAGAGATGTGGAAATTTTCTGAACGACATAAATACTACTGCACTAGCGCGCATTGTGGAGTTTGTCCGCAGCGCTAGTCCTGGAATGGCTCGGAGCGGATAAACTTGCAGTAACGCTCGCCGCCTAAATATCAGTGCTTGTTTAATCTTGACAACTACCGGCAAGCAATTCTTATTACCCTCACATCCGCTGTGGTCACACTGTACCGAACGGTGTATTACCATATAAAACATGGCGGACGCTCTGTCGATCGAGCAAAACAACAAAATCCGAATCGCCCTCGGTCTCAAGCCGCTCCCCGTCCCTGGAGCAGAAGCGCCCTCCGGACCCGTATTCAAAGAAGCCAAAGACTCTGCCGAAGAAGATGAGCCCGGTAGTACGCTAGAGTCCCGCGAGGCTCAAGGATACCAAAATTGGCAAAAACTACAAGATGAAGCCGACGCAAGGCGCAAAAGACAAGAGAAAAATGCCGCCATCAAAAGAGCACGCGATCTGGCGCAGCGAGATGCGAAACTAGAAGGAAGGGGTTTAGGTGATGCGAGCGCTGAATTAGATACAAAGGCTTGGTTGTCGCAGCATAAGAAGATGACCAAAAAGATTGAGAAAGAGAGGGCCCGGAAGCTCGCAGAGGAGCTTGCTGAACGAGATCGCGCCGCTGAATATACCGCTGCAGACCTTGCAGGTATCAAGGTTGCGCATGAAATGGGCGCTTTTGAGGATGCCGAAGACGGACAGATCTTAACACTGAAGGATGCTACGATTGATGAAAATGAAGAGGAGGGAGACGAGCTAGAAAACTTGGAAATGGTTGATAAAGAAAAGTTGAAAGAAAAACTCGAGCTGAAGAAGAAACGAACTGCCTACGACCCTATGCAAGCAGATGGTACTGCTGGCATACTGTCTCAATACGATGAAGAGATTGATGGCAAAAAGCGAAAGCATTTCACACTTGATGCCAAGGGTTCTACAAATGAAGAACGAGAGGCTAAGCGACAGCATGTTTCTGATCTGCTTAACAAACAGGTATTTAATCTTGATATCATACCTGATGCTCCCGTGTCGGACTACATGGACATTAGCGAGGTCAAGATAAAAAAGCCGAAGAAGAAGAAAGCCAAGGCTACGAGGCAAAAAGCAATCGACGAGGACGACATCTTTCCTCTTCCAGACGCTAATGGGGCCAACAATGGTGAAAATATGGAGGAAGATTCAGCACAGACAATTACAAATGTCGCGCCACGAAAGAAAACATACGACACTTCATTCGTCGATGACGAAGATTTGCAAGCTTCCCTTGCGATACAGAGACGGGCCGCGTTCAAGAAGCGCAAACAACTTCGCCCAGAAGATCTCGCACGCCAATTACGGGAAGAAAGTTCTCAAACGCCAATGAAAGTGGATGATGGAGACGGAGCAGAGGAACCTGGCTTGGTTATTGATGAAACGTCGGAGTTTGTGTCTAATTTACAACGACCGGTGATATCCGAGCGCCCTTCCAGACGAGCAACCACCCCACCTGAAGAAAAGGATGAGGAAGAAGGGTCACCGGAGGCAGGTTTGGCAGATGTGGATATGGAAGGTGCTGAAATCAAGGAAGAAGGCGAACTTGAGGCAGCCGAGGCTGGAACTGCAAAGATCAGTGGTACTGGCCTGGATGAAGAATCAACGCTCGACGAGGGTCTGGGAAGTACTCTCGCCATGCTACGTCAGCGTGGTCTAGTTCAGCAGTCCGACGCCGCAGACATGAACTCATTACATCGTGATCGCCAGAAGTTCCTTCAAGAAAAATATAAGCGAGAAGCCGAGGCCGAGAAACGTGCGCGAGCACAGCGTGAGCGAGACCGTGCCACCGGTAAGCTGGATCGGATGTCCGCCCGCGAGCGTGAAGAATATGCTCGATGGGAGAATAAGCAACGAGACCAGCAAGAATCACGACAGATTGCTGATGTTTTCAACCGCGAATACAAGCCCGACGTTCAGCTCAAATACGTGGACGAGCATGGTCGACTTATGAACCAAAAGGAAGCCTTTAAGCATTTGAGCCACCAGTTCCATGGTAAAGGCAGCGGCAAGATGAAGACGGAGAAGCATCTCAAGAAGATTGAAGAAGAGAAGAAGCGAGAGGCTATGAGTGCGCTTGAGAGCAGTCAGCATACTGGGATGAACAGCGCGATGGGAGCCACGGCCAAGAAGAATCGGCAAGCGGGAGTGCGTCTTGCTTAATTGTACACACTTGTTATATACCTTAGACGAAATATGAGAGGATAAATAGCATCTGTACGTCTAGTGTTTCAAAACCTTGTATTGTATTCCGGTTAATTAAGCATCACGAGCTGTCATGTGATGGCCACCTCGCGGTTATCGCCGATTGGGCCGAGCCAGCGGAGAAGCGCCGATCCAGAACAACAGAGTCAGCCAATTTACCCGCTACCCGTACTTGCGCCTTTCTTTCGACTTCATCTCTGAGTCAATTATTAACTGTCATCTGTGTGTGGATGTCTCTTCCCTCCATCTCTTCCCTTTCTTCCCTGTAATCTGTCTTGCCTTTATTTCAATTGCCCATCCTTTCTGTCTGCAACTATGTTGTCCACTCTGAGAGTTGCCAGCCGCCAGGCTGTCTCGCGTGAGTCAAACATGCGGGTCTTGATGACTGGAGTGCGAGCTGGCTCTACCTGGGCCAATGTCCCTCAGGGACCTCCTGTACGTCACTAGAAGCTGAGAAGCTGATTGATGTCAAGCTAATAAAGCATTGATGATAGGACGCTATCCTGGGTATCACTGAAGCTTTCAAGGCGGACTCTTTTGCGGAGAAGATCAACTTGGGTGTTGGAGCGTACCGTATGTTCTTCTCCAGGGGCGCAAATCATTATTCTAATTGTGAATAGGCGACGACAAAGGCAAGCCCTACGTCCTCCCCTCCGTGCGTGCCGCCGAAGACAAGATCGTCGCATCTCGTCTCGATAAGGAATACGCCGCCATCACCGGCGTTGGCAACTTCACCGCCAAAGCCGCCGAGCTCGCCTACGGCGCCGACTCTGCTCCCCTCAAGGAAGGCCGTATCGCCATCACACAGTCCGTCTCCGGCACTGGCGCCCTCAGAATCGGTGGTGCTTTCCTTGAACGCTTCTACCCTGGTGCCAAAAAGATCTTCCTCCCCACCCCTACCTGGGCAAACCACAATGCCGTCTTCAGTGACTCCGGACTCGAAGTTGGCAAGTACCGTTACTATAACAAGGATACCATCGGACTGGACTTTGAGGGTCTTGTCGAGGACCTAAAAGCTGCTCCCAAAGGCAGCATTATTTTGCTGCATGCTTGCGCCCATAACCCCACTGGCGTTGACCCTACCGCCGATCAATGGCGCCAGATCAGTGATGTGGTCAAGGAGAAGGAGCACTTTGCTTTCTTCGACATGGCTTACCAGGGCTTCGCTTCGGGTAACGCCGACAAGGACGCTTTTGCGCCGAGATACTTTGTCGAGCAGGGCCACAACATTGCTTTGTGCCAGAGCTTTGCCAAGAACATGGTTCGTCTTCCTTTTTTCCCCTTCTGGAAGTCTAGATGTATTCAACTAACAGTGATAAGGGTCTCTACGGTGAACGTGCAGGTGCATTCTCACTGGTCTGCGCTTCCGCCGAGGAAAAGAAGCGCGTCGACTCTCAGATCAAGATTCTCATTCGCCCCCTTTACTCCAACCCTCCTATCCACGGCGCCCGCATCGCGTCCACCATCTTGAACGACCCCGAGCTCAAGAAGCAGTGGTTGGGCGAAGTCAAGGGCATGGCTGACCGTATCATTGAGATGCGCAGTCTTCTCAAGCAGAACCTCGAGGCTTTGGGTAGTAAACATGATTGGTCTCATATCACCAACCAGGTATGCTCTCCCTCCCCTCTTTTTCTTGATCGTAATTTTTCATGATTCGACGCTAATATGGTTTGTCAGATCGGTATGTTCGCTTACACCGGTCTCACGCCTGAACAAATGGATGTCCTTGCCAAGGAGCACTCCGTCTACGCTACCAAGGACGGCCGTATCTCCGTCGCTGGTATTACCACTGGAAATGTCAAGAGACTTGCCGAGTCTATTTTCAAGGTTACCGGTTAAGTTCGTTAACTCATCATGGGTTAGGGTACTTCTTACCGAAAGGTTGGAAAAATAGACTGAAAATCAAAAGATTGGATCTGTAATTGTAGTATGTTGTTGGAGAGAAGGGTTGAAAGAATGTCTATACGGTGGCACAATATAGAAATAATATTACATTGAATAACATTTCTATTACCTCAAATATTGCTATCTGGGGTTCCGTTGTAGATGGAATTACTATATCTATCGAGCGATGCATGATGTCTTGATCTTAACCTGTCTACCATTCGTGTAGGTGACCGGTTCGTGACCACTGATGCAGCACACTACTCTCATCAGGAGGCATACGTTAATGATTGGCTGGCTTAGGGCATAATTACTATAGTATGGTGGCTACAGATGTCATACAAAGCGCCGTCGACGAAAAACTGCGTAGCGACCTTCGTGCTGGCTGGTATTGGTCTGCGTCGACATTAGTTCAGCAAGTAGTATCAACACGCCTCGTGTATCAGAGAAGCGACTTTTTCGAAGCACAGCCTAGTAATGACTATGTCGATTGTCGTTCATTTTGACATTGCTCACATCAGCAACAGCAACACCAAGTATGTCTGGTGTATGACCGGACGTGTTGATCTGATACAGTATAGGGTTATGGAATATGTCAACCGTCGTGACTCGGTCAAATAGGAAGAAAGTGGGTAATAACGTAGTCGGGATCTACAGAGCTCGTATGAAGTTGTCGCTCATGGCATGGCGGTTCTTTGAGACGGCTAGGAATCGGCACAGTAAAGATCGGTTTTGGGTATGTACGGAATTGATTCGAGCGTCGGTATACTCTTGCGATTGTAGGGCGACTCGTGTTCACTGATAGGCTACGAGCAGTATCATACCAGAGACTGCATTGACAAGATCTCGTCCAGCAACCAGATAGACAAGGGTACCATGTGCTTCTTGCTAGGGTTGAGATCTGTCCAGCCGAGAGGGTCGTGTCTGCAAAATCCGTCGGGCAAGCCCTAAGTCACCGCAAGCGTCGCTGAAAGTGAACACAATTGATATGACTGTGGCAAAATAAGGATCAAGTATCGGGATCAAGTATTAGGACCAAACTTGATAACCATGTAAATCTCATTGATTCCATCAGCCAATCATTTTTAACGTATATAACTTACATGATCACAAAACGTGTTTGTTGATGCAATGTCCTCGGACGTATCGACAAGAACGAATGCCATCGGGTCGTTCATATCGTACATAGCAGTCGGTGAACTCGAGAATAGAAGACCCCCATGGTTCGTCGTGCCGTTGGTTCTGCGGAACGCTTGCCAGCCAATCGCTATGTAACTACATACATTTGAGTATGTGCCTTGAACTGATGTCGGGTGACAACTCCTATTGTCTAATAGGTTGTTCTTCGCAGATAACAAGATCCTTGGTCGTCGGACAGTTATCACCGAGTACAGCGCTAGTCATGCGAGAAGCTCGTTGCGGACTTCATTCCAGTCAAGAGTAGAATAATCGAGTATACGTCGCATTGGAAGCTTGGATTCTTCGACATTCGATCTCGATACGACTGCATTGTTCGATGGACTTGCCCTTCTGGGTTAGGCGCCTGGTAAACAGTCACAGCAGGCCCAGAGTCACAAACAGGGTTGACGGATGGTCGACTCTTACATCTTGCATTTGAACTGTAGAAACCAACAAGAGTCGCCTAGTTGCTTGTGCCGACGGTTAGTGAGGTAGTATCAGTCCTCTCAGATCGAATCAGACCAGATCAAGGCTGAATGTCTCCAGCGACCCCTCTGGTCTGCAGGATTAGTAGCTAGGCGAAAAGAGCTGGATTGGATATCGTGCCAGCTCGCTTGTAAGTCGGACAAGTAAAGTGGAGCATTCCAAATTCTGGCAAGGTCAAATTGTGTAGTGCTGTAGGCTGGCGTGTTTTGAACTTGGGACCGGTTTATTCTCCCGTTTTCCGGTTTCTCACCGATGCAAACGAGTTGGAAGATGCATGGTTTGCAGACAGTTGTCACTTGCGGATGACATATGGCGTTTCATACCCAATAGTAAAAGAGGAAAAACAAGTCCGGCTGCAGAGTGGCACGAGATTAAAGCAAAATGATCAGGAATGGGAAAGTAACATGTAAATCAAGGGTGGGAGGAAGGGAGCCTTAGAAGGGTTGTTTGGTTCCTCACCTCAACCAGAACCTTTCTTGGCGCAACACGCATACCCACAACTCTTTTGTCAACAATAATCTAAATCGTCAGTCGTTAATCATGTATCTTTGTTGTATGATACTATACACATAAGAGGGGTAGCCCTGACTCGCAATAGTACTGTATGTATGTGTAGTTTGCAGTGTTCCAGGCGCTGGGATGGCCTAACCCATTTCACCGAACACAGGCCAAATCGCTTAGTGTAATTTAGTCCCCGTTTTCGATGAGACCGCAACGCTCGAAATGCGTGCACTACTGGGAAGGATTTGTCGAGGTTTGCTGAGGAGGAGACCACCTGGGGCTTTCTCGGCGTAACGAGTACCAAAGATACCGTGTGGACCGGCACAGGCGTGAGAAAAGAAAGAAATGGGACGTTCTGGCCCATGCATGTTGATGTCACTGCTCTTTTTGGGGGAGTTTCTGTGCGGCGGATGACGGTTGGGCTGTGTTGCCGAGAGACAATCAATAATTAATATCCTTGTTGACTTTAGTCTTTTAGCCCGCTTTTTGCTTATTGTGCCGGATCCAGTCGTGTCCCTCTCAGCAACCGTGGGTTGATTTCATGATGATCAGGCCGTCCGTGATTGCCCGTCCCTTCTCCCTGAGTTCGAGCCTAGTCGAGTGTCGAGCAGACAATGTTCTGACCTGCTGTTCGTAAAGAGATGTTGTCCTTTTCCCTGACGCGAATACCGTAGGTGATAGATATAATAGGGACCGGGGGCTCATAGGCTGGCCTTATACACAGCGTAGAAGCAAATATAATTGGTATTCGACCACCGAATCAATGCTCGCGCCATTCAGACCGTTCAGACAAAGTCTCGACCTGATAGACAGGCAATGGGCAAATTGACTGACTGACTGACTAATAGGGGCATGTGACGAATGAGACAGGAGAGTTTTGCTCTAATCCCGTAAGCCTTCGTCGTCGCAATTCCCGTTCAGCCCCTAGTCTCCCTGAGCAGTCGACGAAGTTTACCCTCTCGTACCCAAGATCTTTTTGACGATCTCGCCAGGGAGAAAACCCATCTACGCAGTCTACGATCTCTAGGAAGCCACGCTGATTATATACGGCAGGTGCTCTTTCCCTGGCCTCAGGATGTGGCTTGCTCTTTCCTCGACGACCAAGTTGAAGCCAACCACTGTGTCAGTGTCTGGCCCTACGTAGGAAGGCACGACGTCATTGGCGGTTGTGCAGGCTTGGCACTGACCGCGACACGGCGCACGCCACGACGTCATAGCTTCGCTCTGATTGGTGGATGCACCCCACACTCGAAATGCTCTATTTTTTTTCTACTGCTGGCCAATCGCTGTGCCCGAGTCACGTTTCAATAGATACTCCGTACACTCTAGCAGACTAGCCAGATACAACATAGTGTTCGTGAGCGCTATATTCTACTACGTGTGGTTTCTAGTACGTAGTTCTGTCAGTATGGAGTCCATATGAGTAGATGCACCAGCTCAGGTACGGGTCGAGGCTAAGGGAGTTTTCTCGGCATTCACGTCATACAGATACCCATAAAAAGATCTCATCATGCATCCGTAGCGTGTCTCTCTATATCCGTGTGTCTCATAGGTGCCGGCTCTCTCCCATCTGCTCTGTCTGCGAACCGACTCTCTTATGACGCATCCTCAGTCAAGCAGACGACATGCTGACCGGGCGACCCGAACACGATCTGCAGCGATGATGATGTACATGAGCCCTACGTAAGTTCGTTGCGCTGGGAGACTTCTGCCGTTAGCGAGCGACATAAGACGCGACCTCGACTAAATATCAAGCAGACTCCGTCCTCGAGGGATCGCGATGGTGTTGACTCTCCGTGTCTGATGCCGAACGTATCAGTGAGTTCCACTTTTATCTCATATCGTACCGTTGATGAAGGAACGCTGACGGTGCTCGTTTGACGTAGTGAACCAGTAGTCATGGATGTGATGCAAGTATCTGTCTGAGTGTAGCGCATTGCTTCTGAGAAAACAAGCCCTGCAAGTAGCTGCTAACCTACTCCTTCCAGGAAAAAGTAAGGGAAAGCAAGCTGCAGCGTAGTAATATCCGTCGTCGTAATATCGAGGCTTCTGACAGTGGAGGAACTATTATTGTGTGTGTCCCACTGAACCGCTGGAAAAGCAACCACCGTACCAGCCCCTCATCCCGCGCGCTACGCTTTCCCTTAGTCCTCCTCTCTCTTCCCTCTCGCTCTGCCCTCCACCATCACTTTTTGACACCCGGTCACTTGAACAAATTATTTCCTCTCTGTCAGACCTGCGCCGTCGGCGAATACTCTTCGAGACGCTTATTACTTCCTGTCCAAGAACGTATCACCGAGACTCCCCTCTGTTATCTGATTGCCCCTCCACATACTGTCTCCCACTTCGGCTCTTTCCTCTTTTCTTCTTCTCTTTCTTGAAGCTATCTATTATCGCAGCGCCGGTACGTTGCAGGAAGAGTGATACCCCTGAACGTTCTTGACCATCATCCAGTATTCTTTGATTTGTTCTGAACAAAGGTATTGTGTATGATTTGCATGGCTTTGACTTGTGCTAATAAGTTTATAGTCAGGGTGCTGATAGATTCATCAAGCCCTACCCCTCCGTTGCGGCCTCCTCAACATAAAGATCTCTTTCGGCGACCCTTACCCAAAACATACCTCAGAATAGCAACCGTATACGGTCAAATTACAAATTCAGAAGACCTGCGCGGCTTTTCAAAAGGCGAGTACAAAAATCCTACGCCGTCACCCGCATTTCAGAAATGTTGACTAATCTTTCGTTTTTACAGTTACCTTACAATCAGCTCCTAAACCAATCTCTCTCCGCCAAACGTTCCGGTTGCTTGCACATCACTGGTCTGGTCTTTACGGTTGCGCGCGCAGACAACTCCAATACACGACTCGGTGTTAATCTGCGCACATCTCGATTTCTCGATCTAGAACGGAGAGCAGCGTCCAATTATCTGGACGAACCACAAAAGCGCTTTTTTCTTCTACAGAAGACTCTATAATCGCCTCCAAAATGGCGCCCAGTCAGACCTCCAAGGAGGCCTCCGTACGTGTGTCGTAAACCTGCTCATTAAGAGCTTGTATGCTAATCAATGGCACAGAAAAAGGAAGGTCCTCCCGATCTTACACATTACCAGGATAAGCTCGACTACAACACATTTGAGCAGATCCTTGAGATGGACGACGATGAGGAGGAGCGAGATTTCAGCAAAGGAATTGTGTTTGGATTCTTTGAGCAAGCAGAGGGGACATTTGAAAAGATGGAAAAGGCACTGTAAGTGACCATTCATTGGAGATCCATTTTCTTGATGGTGTTTTTACAAGGGCTATAATGGGCACGTGAGCAAGTCACATGAATGGTTATGACACGTGCCTATATAGTTCAAGTCTTAAAGTTCATCTTTGACTAAGTCATCATCATACAGAGCCGCAAACGACTTTGACGACCTCTCCCAGCTCGGTCATTTTTTGAAAGGGTCATCCGCCACCCTAGGCCTGACAAAGGTCAAAGACGCCTGTGAAAAGATCCAACATTGCAAGGAGGATCTACCAGATGAGAAGGACGAGTCGGAGCGAGAAAGGTCCATTGAAGGAATCAAGAAGACCCTGAAAGATGTACAGGTTGATTACAAGGAAGTCGCCAACATCCTACGACGATTCTTTGGCGAGGAGCCTGTCCTCGATGATACCCCGGACGAGAAGAAAACAAAAGAAGAGAAGAAGTCTGAAAGTCCCAAAGCCGAGAAGAAGTAAACTGTCACTTCGAACTTCAAACATCAAAAGCTGAAATCATCTACATTCTCCTTGCATGTGTTGTGGATTTTGTAAAGGGGGCCTGCTTTTCAATTGGTCGTGGTGTTTTTATCTTTCTCTCTTCTTTTTTGCCCTATATATCTCAGCTGTCTGATGATTCAAATCCCATTTTGAATAGACTTTGCATATCTCTATGATTCAAGGATCATATCATACCATTATCCATTCATATCCATCTTTCATATCCGTGCTCATCTGTCTGTGTCATCTTTTATCAAGTACTCCATCCAGCTGCTGTTATTGATTTACCTTGAGTCACTTCGAGCCTAGCATGCGTGAGCAGGTGATGTTGTACAGAAGGAGAGAATATAATATCTTGCCTCTCGCAATATGCCACTATATTCAAGATTAAAGACGTTAGTGTATTCGCTATTTCATCCCGACCTAGGTATATAACAATATCAAGCTATGTATGTGTATATGCATGTATCTACACCCTCGATGCCTACGTAGGTAAAGCTAATCCCTAGCCTTTCTCTCATCCTCTTTTTCCTGCTTTCTCTCCGCCTCTTCCCTTCTCTCCTTCTGTCGACGCTCATTCTTCAATGCCTCCGTCACCCGCTCATCCTCCTCATCCCCCCTCTCATCCCAATCCACATCATACTCTTCCGCAACAGTCTTGATCTCTCTCCTCAACGAATTCGCCTCCTCGATCAGCGACTCCCAAACCTGCAGATCGATTCCGCGCGCTTGGTAGAGTTTTTGCTGACGACGGTTTACCGTAAAATCGAGCGCGGAGCGGTACGAGATTTCGCGGTTGTGGTACAGAAACCAGGCATAGCCGCCCATTAGCGTGGATAAGCTGACGAGGTACGTGATGGGTTCCATGGTGTCCCATCCGTAGTCGGTCTCGAAGGTGAGTTTGTACACGATGCACCACCATGAAACCATCACGCCGAGGCCGCCGAGGGCGACTCGCTGCGCGCCGCGGTGGGCGAGAACGTCGCATTCTTGTTTGATTATGGCGAGATTTTTGAGGCTTTTGGAGAGTTTGCGTAGTCGCATGCGGAGATAGTAGGTGCGGTCATTGAAGGAGGGGACAGCTACAGGGATTTTGCCCAGGGGTGAGTTCTCGATTTCGACGAGAAATTCTTTGACACGCGCTGCGTCGCGAATGAAGTCACCCAGCTCGGTGGATGAGGACCATCGGACAAAGGAGCCCTTGCGTAGGGCTTCGGTCTCTTTGTCTGTCTCTGTATTGCGCTCAGCGTCAAGGCTCTTCCCTACATCCTCTTTCTCGTCGGAGACGTCCCCGAGTCGAGCTATCTGAGAGTCTCTCGTCGCTACCGACGACTTTTCTTCATCTCTGTCCAGCGACTCCTGTTCATCATCTTTTGACTCGTCGACCCAGTTTTTGGCTTTTGGTTTCCTGGGCTGAATCGTCCCGTCTTCGATCTCGACGGCTAGAAAAGAGACGTGTGGTGGACGCAGTTTGCCCTTTTCGTCTGTGATGGGCGGGACTTCTGCTTGGATCAAGCGTTCGAGATATGATAGTGGTTGCTGGGAGTGTAATAGGAGTGCCAACGGTTCGACGTCTTTCTAATTAGCAGATGAAGATGTGAAGAGGTGAATGGAAGGAAACTAAACATACCCTTTCTGTCATCATTATAATCCTTCGTCGTTACTGGTAAAATCAACTTCAAAAGTCGTGATGGTGTAGTCAAGAGCTTTCCTAATTCCAGTCAATATCACACCCCTCAAAGCTTCAGGAGAGCTTACCCTTCGTCATAGCGGATGCATCTCTCTCGCGTTTCACTGGCGGTATCTGAGAACCCTCTCTCTGCCATGGTGTCTTCCTCTGGTTTTGCTTGACATACGACACAGCCTCATCCAGTTTAGAGGACTCATCATCAGGCTCATTCTCAGATTTTCGCGTTGGGTTGGTTTCTGATGCCCTTGACGGAGTTACGTATTGACGCAGCCATGTAGTTCTTGGATTCGTCGGTACGTCCAATCGATTGTGGGTTGATAATGGATAAATCTGTGATTTCCCGCTTATGAATAGATTGCTTCGAGTGCTATATTTATTTGTTGTTGCCAGCGTCCTCGGACTGTTGTTCAGGCATAATCGCGGTTTCTGCAGATTACACTGTAGTGCCACCCTGCTGCGAGCATTGCCCATACAGACTGCCAGAGAGACCATTGTGCAATTGAGGTCTGAAACAGCCTCACAGCATGGCAGTCAAGATATCAAGAGAACCTGGCAACATGGCCAGATCGCCACTTAAAAAGAAACTACGGAGTAGTCTAGACGACACAAAAGATGCCGCCAGGAACGCGTGAGCATCGCAACTACGTCATTGTCGGTCGTTACGTAGACAGACAAACAGTGCAAACAGGAGCTAGGCAATCCAAGCTCCCCGATTGGTCGAACTATGTCCTATATCCTTCGAGTATCTTAAATCTTTTTTTCTTCATCCCTTTTTCAACTACTGGCACTCTCAATTGATTGATCGTTCAAAATATATTCATTCCCGAACATACGCACTCTATACAGAGGGTCATCAGATTCGTCAAGTCATTATCATCATCATCGTCATCACAGAGCATCGAGAAATGCAAGCAACGCTATCAGTTAAACCCCTATCATCACCATCCCGTCCACTATTCATCATCTCATTCAGTTCTAGCGGGGCAGATAGCATTTCATCATAATGGTCATGTCATTGATGTCATTAGGGTCGTCATAAATGCCAGTGAGGCGTCGGTTTATTCTTCGTCTTGATCTTTTCACTTTCTCTCGTTTCTCGTTTCTCGTTTCTCATTTCTCATTTCATCTCGTTCGTTTTTGGGCAGCGTCTCCTACAGCTATGCTGTGGAGCTAGTACCGGTAAGCAAGAGCGCGAGTAGGAACCCCATGACGGCGGTCATGGTGATCACGAGTCATCAATCGCGCTCCGTCGTGACTCTCAGGACTACTCCCGCCGCTCCGACTGCCACCACTAACTGAAGTCGAGTCGCTCTCATCATGGTGCACAGTCCCATACCGTGAAGAAACTCGATGGCTTCCACGCCCAGTCCCAATCGCAACGGGCACCCCCTGCAAAACTCCACCGTGGTCATGGCCAGCGGGATACATGCCGTCATTCACTGAGAAATTCCGACAAATCAGGTACGCGCGCATAGCAGCGTTCTCGCGGGCCATGACTTCGGACTCGCAGATCGAGTCGGTTTTGTATTCGCGGTTGTTCACTCGGACTACGCAGGTGAAGCCTGTGGAGCTTTGGAAGGAGTCATAGTGTGGTTCTGACCAGTGTCTGCGTTTGCAGAGACCTGTTACTGTCAGTCAGCACATATGCCACGAAATCATTGGCTTGTTGAGGATCAGTAGCAGGGATGACGAAAGATGAAACATACTTGCAAGGTAGAGGATGTAATACATGATGATCTAGAATGGAACCCCTTTTTCTGATGGCTCACTGCCCAATAGGTTCAATTCCAAGTCTCGACGGGGCGAATATGAGGCGCGAACGGAACTTTTTTTTTGTCGTGGTGGGGGTAAACACAAACGCACGCGCACACAGTCTTTCCTCAAGAGGATAATGAGTGAGGCATAGATGGTCTTGTGTCAGGTCAGGCCAGATTGTGTCAGTCAATTGATGCCCAATTCGGACCCTTTTGTGAGGCGGTTGCAATATTGTCTAGTTGTGCAGCTTGTGGTGTTGTTCGATATCATGTATCGACTAAAGGATCTTAGTGCGGGATGGAAATGATTTCTGAGGAAAAGAAGATCGGGGATCCAGTTGGGGTATAAATAGGATGCAGAGCCCGAGAGATTCAACTGTTGGAAAATATCTTTTGAATATTTCCCCTCGGCAGTGATGGGAGGTGGCAAGAAATGGTTGAAAAATCTGCAGTCGACAGACAGACAGACAAACAGTCTGTAATTTTGCTTGCCGATACGAACTGTCAAGTATCTTCTTATACAGCTCAAACAGCTTTGCAGCTTTGCAGAAAGCTCAATTGGAATAATTAAAGCACGAAGACAAAAGCAAAAATAAAATAAATTGAACGGAAAAAGAGCGGAAGAGGGGTCTACGCATAAGAGATACCTTTTACTTCTTCCAGTCTTCTACAACAATCCCGACAAAATACTAAGCCTCCAAGCAGATCCCCACGAGGATAAACCAGAAAACAGGCAAAGTCGCGCACAAGCGCGCTCACAAAAATTCCTAGTATGTTGTCTGTGTGTTTTATGTGTGTATGTATGTACGTGTGTATGTAAGTAAAGTTGCTGATTGAGCTAGTTGTACACTCTGGTAGGTATCTGGAACGGACGGACGGGGTTGATGTGCTGGCATGGCTGCTCTCCAGTTGATGAAACCCTAGGATCCAGTCTGAGGTTTTAGCTGGAGCCTATGACGAGTGAGGTTGCTTGTCGATCCAGCGTTCATACTGATTAAAAGAGAAAGCACACCGAGAGCTTATTCTGAGTTTTTGTCTGGCCTTGTAGTGCCAGTGGTAAGTTGTTGTTCTCTGATTAGGGTTAGAGATGTGTCTCTCACAGAAGATGACTGAGGGGAGCCAATTGATCCAATTTACCCTGGACATTGAACATACTGAAGAATTTTGTTTCTGCTACTTACTATGATCAATTGACACTTTAATCAACGCCTAGGTCCGCAACTCCGCTCCTACATATGTACAGCATCCAGCATCCAACAAACAACGTTTCTCCCCCGCAGCGACAATTGCCGCCGTACCATTTCAAGCACAGTAACCACAATGGACTCGCTCTGCATTAACGGCATTCCCAAATCACCCTAACCAAATTATTGCTCTGGATTACACTATATGATGGAACTAAACACGGCACCGAGGTGAAATTAATTGAGCGATCCCTCCAATTGGCAAGACCCGAGAGAGACTCCATAACGTCTCCATTAGTATGGCTCTCAATTCGATTGGAACACCGTATGCATTTCCGTGTCGAAAGAGAAACTCGACATGCCGCCAAATTACGGTGAATATATACATAAATCATCATCCTGGTCAATTCTCACGCACTGCCGACGATGCATTGAGATGCAGAGAAGGGTCTCAACCAATCCATGCATCGACGATGATAGGTAAAGTTCATCACCGGTTTCGTTCTAAGTAGTATTTCCAAAAAGACAACGAGCAGGCAACAAGAAGAGGGGCAATTAATAACGTTTTCGAAGAGCAAAAAGAAATCTGTTTTCCATTTCCAAGCCTGCATGTCATACATGCCCAGTTGCATTAGAGGCATCTTTTGGGGCTAGTGTGGCTAGTCAGACAGGCAGCGTCGAATGCATTGATGAGTTGTCAATTCCCGATGGTCTCGCCCGCTGAGTTGGAACTACAGAATTTGCGAGCTAGCATGTGGAGAGTCGTTGTGTTTGAAATCAACTTTGAGTACGGAGTTGCTGGTTTTAAATTGTTTATCTGTCGGGTTCAATCTGGACATTGATAGGGTGTCGCTCATGGTACTGTAGTCGAGTACATTAATGTACCCGGGTAGCATTGATACCTTCATTACTTCCAAGTCTGAGTCTCAGATGTCTTTGTGCACGTTAATTTCCCAAAAAAGCTCACTTAGATTTATCGCCTACAATTTATAATCTAGGACTAGCGTCTAAACAAATGCTAGATAATTATCGAGATCGCGGACGGCACAAAAGCCAGGCGATATTCCAGTCTTATTTTAGGGGAAGGTTACTCGATTCTCACTAGGCATCTCATAAACTACGTTCCTCGCTATCATAGATTTCCTGCGTGAACTCGCTTTCTCGGTGTATATCCGTTATTCCCATCCTTTGTACTCGAATCCGCTGAAAGCAGTATTCCGCTACAAACAAGTTTGAAATGGTGTTTCTCGGTGCTGACTCTCTCTGTAAAGATAGACCTCCCCTTAGCTTCGGACAGTATCTCACTGTCGCCGTCAATGAATCTATCCCGAAGATTACAAAGACCATGTTTAACACCACTGCGTTTACGACAGAAAGGTGTTTGATTTAGGCAATGAAACTCATTAAATCTCGTCATCTGACCTATTAATGCAACATTCTGATAGCTCTTTCAAAGATGCTATAGAGAAAGGAGAATTAAGGATGATTCAAATTTGTTGGATAGAAGGGAGGTGCTCGGCCTCCATAAGAAAGAAACTGTGTGTGACAAATCTGTCTACCTAGGTACAAAGAACTTTGGTAGGAAAGAGGATATAAGTGTCCTAGGTAGCCACAGGCATCATACAGGTCATATCAAACTTTCACCACAGCATCATTGACAGAATCAAGATATAACTACCTCAAAGGCAAACCTACAGGAAAGTAGGTCGATCCATTTTTCTTTGTGGTGTCTCATCTTGCGGTGTTTTCCCCTTGATGCAATTGCTATCTTGCCTTATGCTTTCTCTTCGATTATGATTGATGATTATCTTTCCTGGTGCTCTACATTCAGTTACGATGAATGTCTTTCCTGGCTAGTGCTTCCTGTTCTTACAGATCAAAGCTCTTGCTCAACATGTCTCGTACAATGATTTACACTGCTGATTCAATATGCAGATCGAAAATGTCAGCAATTCACCGTACAATCGCTATCGAGGATGTCGACACTCGGTGGCCGTATCGTGCCGGCTTTCCTCGCCTCCTTCGTCCACGCGTTAAATCACGACCCATCGAAAATGAGGCCGAGATTCCAATCTCCGAAGCCGATTTTGAAAGACTGAAACAGCGCATCAATGAGATCACGGAAGCCCACGGCATCACACACCTTGATACACCTAGAATGGTGTATCGGGCCCATTCGTCCTCCGTCTCTCAGGCTCGTATTGACTTGTATTGTGTCTACGACAAAGGTCTCAGTCACAGCAAGACATGGGCCAAGGCTGTCACCGAGATCTACGAAGAAGCGAACATGCTGTGTGTTCCAGGGAAGGATCGGTGTCGAACTCTATGACTACCATTACATGGCCACTTATCGTTTCGGCCCCTGCCCACCAAAAGAGAGGAATGAGATGTCCATGAACTGGGAAAAGGGTCAGAACTATCGCCAAAAGATCCTTCAATTGTTCGAAAACCGCCCGCACATGTGGCAAGTCATGGTGCCTATTGGCCTATATGCGGAAGGCAAACGTTCCCAAGATCACAAAATGGTTATCTACTTTGATGCACTGAATGCAGAAGATGATGCTTGGGATGAACTTGAAGAAGCAATGCGTTCCATACTTCCGGAGGATATTGGTATCGAGATCCTGCAGTCGACCGGCCCACTGTTTTGCAATGACAATTTGGCACCTTTACATAATGAATTCAAGCCCAAGTTCTCCGCCGATAACTACATCCGACCTCCGAGGCCAGGCTGTGAAGTCAGTATTGCGCGGAACGATTTATCTTCTGGGACAATGGGTGGCTACGTTATGACAGAAGCCAAGGATACCAAGAAAAGAACAACGTTCGGAGTCACGAATGCTCATGTTGTATTTGGTAGTAGGTTTTGATCAAAGCGTGGACTGTGTTGTTCGTGACTAACATGGGAGTTACAGAGCGTAGGGAGGCTACTTTCAATACGCAAGCCGGCGACAGTATCGTGATCCAGTCTCCGGGTGAAGAGACTCGCAGAAGAAACGAAATCGAACTTCGCACTGCCATCGCAGATCTTGAGGGTCAAATCTCGAAGCAGACTGAAATCATTGAGGCGGTGAAATTCTCCGATCCCTCTCTCGCTGAACGATTGGATGGACACGTGAACTTGATACAGCCTACTTTGATCGAGCTCAAAGCTTCTCTTCAATTGACGGAACGTGATGCAACTATTGGACCAGTTCAGGTCGCAAGACTTGGCTATCGCCATTATGAAAGACCATCTTCGGTGTCATCGGGTCCAGACTATACCAAACTGATGATGGACCTTGCATTGATTCGGATGGACTGTCTCGAGAGAGAGCATCCACGAGAAATCTTTCTCCCAGTGAACAGAGAAAATCCGCGTATACCCGGCGATACGACCTACAACTCATGGGAGGTGGACTCATTGGGGAATTCTATAGATACCAAGGAACGTATCAGTGTCGTTGCAAAACTGTCTCGGCAAGGTAAATACACCATGGGACATGTGACCGAATTCAAAGCCGAAATCGAATTCCCTGTTGACCTCAAGAATGGCGGCGCCAAGGAGATTCGAAAACGGTCTGCATGGGTTGTTTCCACGCCTCCCATTGATGGAAATGATCACAGGACCCAACTAGGCGATTGTGGATCGCTGATCCTTGCTGCGCATGGTTGGGAGTTTGGCGGCTCTGATAACGAAGTGGCGATGCCGAAAACGTTGAATGTTTGCGCTATGAAGCCATTCGTTGTCGGCCTACTTTTTGGTGGTACTGACAGAGGCGATGTGACACTCTTCACCCCATTCGACACAGTGAAATCGGAGATCGAGTCCTTGACTGGAGAAGAGATGGTGTGGCCTCCAAAGCATTCTACCTGTATGCAAAGATGGGAGGAAGGTTACATGGACGACGGACTCTAAGGCACTAGTCGTGCTCGGCCACAGCTTGCTGCGAAAGATTGTATTTGTGACTGGCAGCCCCTACGGCTGCTAATGTAAAATCCGCGAACAGGACCTTAAGCCTTCATAAGAATAGGAATAGTCAGACTATAGGATGTCGTTGCAACCAACTAGAGTTGATCCTAGTTCGCTGGCGTGTGCCCGCCTTCCAGTAGAATTCAATAATCAGAAACGTAGATCCTCCAAGGTATTATCTATTTTGTAACAAACGTTTCTCTTCCGGGAAGTTCTATATAGGCTTCTCCTCACACCACCTCCGCAACGCCTCCGCATTTTTATGCGGAATCGTATAAATCGGATGAAAGGCCACGAGTCGATCGCACTTGTCTACTATGTCCCTGCTGGCTTCGTCGTCTTCGGTCGTGGTGATCTTGGCAGGTACGCTCTTCCATGAAAATGACGAGGCGAATACGCCGCCTATACGTGATGAGGTTGTTTCTTGCTCGGTTTGGTAGTGGTAATATTGTATTGTGCTCAATCCGGTTAGGGTGTAGCATGTATGATATGAGTCGGGGTGTCTATTCAGCCATCAGAATGGGTATTTGTCTGTTTGTCGGGTTGCAAGGGGAACTCACTTTCCAGGCTTGTCGCGAAGACCTCCATTCTTATTCTGACAGCAATTCATGATATACCGCGCCAGACCTTCGCGACTAAACAAATATTGAGGCACTTTTGGGACTGCGTCTTCGTCCCCATGTGGCCCGTTCAATGCTGACTGTACTAATGGCCAACAATCGCCTACCCAGTGACTATAACAACCGTCGACGAGTTTGTTGGTACGACCTGAGAACCCGCCTTCAGGTGCATACTGTCGGGCTGAGAGCCAGGATACTAATAGTGGGATATCCATATACCTAATCATCGCTTCAGTTGAAGAGCTTTCACCTTCACAGATGTGGAATCTCACCTTGTTATCATGTCCTTTGGCTGACCCATGATACACAGACATGCCAACACACAGAATGCATATGCACCATGGGCCTCTGCAGCACCTGGTTTGCCGGATAGCCCGCCTTCGTAGGTTTGMCCTGCCACTTCGTCAGTGCTGGCTATCGTAGCGACTTCTCAAACTCACATCGAGACAGATACTCTGGAAGACCGTCTAGAAATGTGCGCAAGCCATGTTTGCGCACTTCAGCTTCTGGGGGCAGTTCCAGCGGTAGGTTTAGAAGAGATATTGTCACCATTGCGCAATAGGCACCTCTGATGCATATGTTAGTATATTTCAATCTCATATCCTGTCGTTCGATACTCACCGGACGTCTTCCTCCCCATCTATGACCAATTGAAMCCCTCCATCAGGTTGCTTCAGCTGTCCCAGCCATGACCACCTGCAGAGCGTGAAGTTAGTAGGGTAACATAGACGTCTCAGTTGAATCCTACATTGCTCCGCGATCGACCACCTTATATGCATCCTCACCCCCTACCAACGCCAAACTCAGCACAGCAGGAAACGTAGAGGCCAGATGCGACATCTGACCATGACCTCCTCCAAAGCCGCCTGTAGGATTTTGTGCTGCCGTAAACGTCGCCACCACCCTGCCAGCATGTCAGCACGAATACCCACAAAAACGAATATCAATGCAAAAATAAGAAATCCACGACAACCACACAGAATCCACTAATCCCTTCATCAACATCAACCCCAGGACAAACAAATTCTTACCGCTCTCGATATTTACTAACATCCTCCCCCAACAACGCCAACCCGGCAAGCGCCCAATAAGACATCCACGGCCTACTCGAATCCATGGCCACAAACCCTTCCGGGTAATCTTCAAGCGAGTCATAAAGGTACTCAATATGCCGATCTTTCATCAAATGCGATAACCCGAATTCATTCAGATTCGACTTTAATGTGCCATCGCGGCCTGTTAGGAAAGGAAGACATTTTGTCACGGTTTCATCTTGGTCTTGGCTTGTTTTGGTTTCTAGAGAATCTTGAAGTGGAGGTAGGGTTGTGAAGAGAGACGAGATAGAGGGTTCATTGGGCATAGTGCTGGTGGTGGTAGATTCAGGTGATGAGTTTTTGATGCGGCGTGTTGTTGAAGCTTCCCCGCGATATTCTGTTGTTGTCGCTACTGATGCTGCTGCTCGCGTACTCTGTGGAAATCGGATCTTGCGCCGTGACTTCCCTGACGCCGCCACAATCGGCATGGGATCACTGATTTTTTGTTTCCCTAGGTGCTATTAAATGTTGTGGCGACGCTGCACTTGGAGCTTGTACGTGATGATGTTGACGGAGGAAGATTTTGATTGGGTGGGCTGTTCTCGGTTGAGGCCGCCGAGTTTCTTAATTCGCTTACATCACGAGTTAAAAATCCTCCATTTCATGATGTCGTTCCAGAATCGAATGATAAGATGTATCTTTGTGATTTTTTGATACGGGTGGCAGGAATAGTATCCACGGTTATTGCCTTGATATCGTTCTCGACGTCAATATATACTCCTACCTGCACATTTGAATTTGAAGATACTCATTCGAAACAACGTTAACCTGTTCCCTATCAGAAGCTCTGTCTACATTTGATCACCTCAATGGTAGCAAGAACCCAGTGCTCTGTGTAACGTATAGATCTAGAAGAGCGGAATAAGAAATCGACCATGCCAATTAACAAATTCTCAGAGGACTGGATTTCGAGTCGCTGGCTACTCCTTTCATGGAGTTCACACACATTCCAGAACCAGCTCTTTTCAATTTACCGTGAATATTCTCGAAATACGATCCAACGACAGCATCGATCTCCATTGGACAATATGTCGGATGATCTCAACTATATACTGTGCCAAGCTGCTGACGCAGTGGAGGCTGATAGGTGCTCTCTTTGAATTTCATGCCAAGTACGGCACTAGAATCCTTGTGGATGAATGACCTGGAGACTGTCTGTATCACGAGGCATTTTTTGATCATTGGAGGAGTGGGTTGGTGGCGAGGATGCTGGCAAACCTTTTGAAGCAATCAGAACGCGTGTTCTTGGTATAGGAACCGAATAAACGTGATCAAATAAGCACGAAATCAAAGAGTAGAACATTAGAAAAATACCTGCAAGTCTTGTCATACAGAGATATCGCTAAACAGACAGATCACATCAATATCCGTAGCGAATCCGGGATAAACCCTGCTACAGCCTACGCAGCCTACGCCGCTTTACCTGCAAATGTGCAAATCTTGTCATTGACCTACCTGGAGGCTGGTCGCATGCTTGACAAGAACTAGCCTGGCATGAAGAACCTAAACTATTGATTTAAGTGCATGGATTTGCCTTTGGTGGATGTTGAACAGCTGTCATCTGCAATCCTGCCAGTGTCTGCCTTGCAAAGTGGACACACTATCCGGTGTCTGAGCTTCAAGCCTTGATTTCCCATCATGATAAGAGTCCAGTGGGACCTTCACATATTAATCCAAAAAGTTTACCTTGAAGGACGAAGGTTTGCTGCACAAACGCATGCGATTGACCTGATTCGTCATATTGCAGTCACATGCGCTCGGAAATGAAAAGACGCGAAATAGCCAAACGCACTGGTAATGGATAGATCCCCTGCATTGAGCATTGTGTGCCAGAGCCGCACCGGGTAAGTCAGATGTACTCGTGAGAATGAGGTATCTTCGTTCGCACTCCGCAATCATTGACGATATTTTCGGTATCCACGTACCCAAAGTGAATATGTATCGATAAGTACCACGCCCTGAGGATAATCCCCGATTTGTCGATCAGCCGAATCCCCCGCCACAGTGCTGTCAAAACATAGCGGTCTGAAAGCCCGCATGCCGAAAAGATCTTCATCTGCAAATAATTTCTGAAAAGGGAAGCGGCTAAACGTGAATAAAGATGATATGCTTCGTATGCGTGTTGTGCGTTTAAACGACGTATGCATGCTAGCCAAATACATTATTCAACAGATGCCGAAAATAGCGAGAAAGTCATGACCTGACTCGGAACTAGCGATATCTAGATAGTCAAGGTTTTGGCTTCGATTTTGTGCTGCTGACATATACGAAGCCAGGCGATTTCAAGAAGGTCGTAATCTGGACGCGCTAGCGCGGTGACGATCGAGCAACATCCCAGAAAGAGAATGAAAGTATTCGTCCATTCATCAAAGGCGCCAAAAAATCGACATGCAGCATGGCAGACTCTGTGACGCGGACGTGGCGCCATCTACTGTCATTCGCTTCTTCCAGTCTCGTCCGACAGCTGGAGTGGTATGGTTGGCTCGGATGAGGGATGCACAATGCATGGTCAGATATGGGACGGCAAACTAGACATGTGTGCAGTGCAGTGTGCAGAGTGCAGTCTGAGGGCGAGTTGGTGTACAAACTCCGTAGAGTCCGTACCGCAACGGATTCGGCCGTTTGAATCAATGAGCGTCGAGCGTTGTGTTCCCGTGACACTCATGCCATAATGTCACGACCCACCGAGACCCATTTCACTTTTGCAAGTTACAAGACTCAAGACTAAGACCTGTAGTAGATGGACGTGCGTGTCAAGATAATGCACAGACACGGACATACTCCGTAGAGTCCGCGCTAGTACTCGATACACCGTGTCGAATCATCTCTGGGCCATTGGCTGCGAACACGGTTGAGGAGATACTTACATAGTGATGAGTGCATGGAGGCACTGGTAACTGTATCGCGGTACGGGACGTACTGCGTACCATTGTCATGCAGTACGACTCCACGGCGTGCGCCTAATGACATTGAAACTTTGAGAGTGAAAACGAAAAATTCAGCCAGTGGGGCATCACCGTGTTATTACTGGATTGAGTACAGTCTCGCCTTGAAAGTTGCACTGTTGTAGAGTGTAGACTAACCAGACCAGGGAGGCTTGTCTGGGCGTGAGATTCGTTGGCCGATGACACCAGCCACCATCGACCGTGATGCTACCTGGTCATTAAACAACCTCGCGTATCGACTCAATCCGTCAGTCCATGAATAGTAAACACGTACAAATAAGGTGCTTGCATGAACGCAGCGATCGAATATATACATGGTGATTAGCGGACAATCGATCGGAGGCATCGCAGCACGAACGCGGGCTCATTAATGAGGCTGGACTGGCTGGCGACGGCACGGAAAGAGACAAGGCTCGCTTAGGCATGATCTTATCACGTTATCCCATGTACATACGTAGTAACTTATCAAAGCAGCGCTATCTCTATCAGCCTATCAGCCTATCATCAGCACCCGCTAGCGCTGTTTCGGACTAGCGCGAGCATGGTCCCGAGCGGTGATTGACTGGCGCACGGCTGGGATGTTGCCGCTAGACCAAATAGAGTAATATGGAGACCAAAGAGAAAAGTGGGAAAAAGTGGAAACTGGACGGATCACTTTGGCACTAGACCCAAATAGGCTAGCGACAGAGCTATCGATAACACAATTGGCGCACGCAGCCAATCAGCACGGGGTCTCGGCCTCAGGTGTCAACCCTCCATCTCCGCCGTGGATCCCTCCTAGCGTTCTCCCAGATTCAACCAACCGGCTCGGCTCACTCACCGCCTCTTTCCACCATTGTACGACCTCGACTTTCCCTCTTTCCCTCCCCCACCGCTTCCCTCCCCAACTCACCTCGCTCCCACGTTCATTACAAGCCCGCCTTTTCCCTTCCATCTCTTCTTTCCTCCACTATGAATCGACGAACCAACTAAGCTGAAAGAAGGCGTCCCTCTGTCCGACCTTCACCTTCTCGTCTTCCCTAGAGTTCGTTCTGCCTGTGCCGGCCTCAGAGAGCTGCAACCTATTGTGTGTTTCTCTCTGCAACGGAGATTAAACCAATTCATCCACACACACACAACATATCAGTACAACACCACCTCTTTCCCATCCAATTCTCCATGACTTTGTTGTCGTCTGCTGCCATTGTCGCCTGTTGATCCCCAGTATATGATGTCCCAACATAATCTCAGCAACGATGGCCTGGTAGATCTCGACTATGACTCGAGAAACTATCTCCAGGCCCAGAGTTGGCCACTGGCCGTCGACCAGAATATCCCGCGACACGATGATGCCCGCGACATTGCGCCTCTGCAGACAAGCGGTCATACCTTCGACCAGATCCCAACAGGTGCCAATTTGATGCCCGAATGGCAGTTTCAGCAATCGCTTCACAGTCAGGTGTCGTATCCTCATGTTGAGACGACTGGCCCTCAGTTCACTTCAAGTTATGGCGTCCCTTTGCAAACGTCTCCCGTCGACTTCCTGCCTGCCTCGCAAGCAGCAGCCTCTTTGGATGCCAGCAGTCTGCTCGATGGCTCGTATCTTTCGCTGTCGGCTCCGGTCGATATCACTATGCCATTTGCCTATCCCGACTTTCAGGGACTTATGACTTTTCCTAACGGGATACCGGATTTGACTTCCTATGGAGGTATTGCCCACAACATTCCTGAGAGTAGCTCACCCACGGACACGTATCTTGAGGTCCGCTCCTTGACCAGTTCGAGCAGCGACAATGGATGGGCAACTGTCGACCATCGTGCCATCGACCACCGTGCCATCGACCACTTCCACCACCACGATCATGCATTGTTCATCAACCCTACTCAGACCTTGCACGACCGAAGTCTTTCTGAATCCTCCTACTCGGATTTTGAGCCAAACCGCGCTTCATGGGGCAGTAGCTGGGTGGACGTTCAACATCCCATCAGCTCACCGGGATCTGATCATCTTGACTCAATTTATAACCCTGCTGTGGACCGACGAATTTCTCTTGATCACGCCTCCCACGGATCCGTGTCCCCAGTTGCTGTCAGCCCGGTCGCTATCGTACGACCAATCCCAGTACCCTCCAAGAAAGCTACTCCTCAATCCCATTCACCCAGATCATCCACATCGTCTTCCTCCTCCTCGCCTTCATCGTCCTCGCCTCCCGCCAGAAAGAATGCTCGCAAGAGCCCGATTGCCGCAAAAACCGCCGAAACAAAGGTTCGCAAGCAATCACAGACAGGCAAGCCAGAGACTACCGAGAAGCGTATCGGAAAGCGTAAGGGTCCTCTCAAGCCAGACCAGAGAAAACAAGCCAGCGAGATTCGGAAGCTGCGAGCTTGCTTGCGTTGTAAATTCCTCAAGAAGACAGTAAGTCAATTTCTTTGCCTCTAGAAGATCGGAAGATCAATTATCTGACTTGAACAGTGTGATAAAGGAGAACCTTGTGCTGGGTGCCAGCCTGCACATGCTCGTTTGTGGCAGGKTCCTTGTACTCGAATTGACATAAAGGAGATTGGTTATTTCATGAAGGACTGGAAGGCCGACTATGAGCGTCACGTTACCCTGGGATTCTCGGTTGGAAATATTAAGGGCTTTTCCGACCAAGAGAGAATCCTTTTTGTCACTCACGGCTACGGCGAGATCATGCCCATCAATGCCCGCGAGGTCTTTGTTCGGGACGAAGAATGTTTCAACATGGATTGGTGTGAGACTGTCGAACGGGAGATGGGCCATTACCAAGTGTCGACTATGAAGTTTTCAGCTGGTATCGAGGGTATCTCTCATTCAAAGTTGTCTGACTATTTGGACCGCCACATTGACGGTAACGGAAGTTATGAGAAGTTCGTGGACGACTACTTTGACGGCACGCCATTCCTGACCCAGATGCTGAAGACTGCATTCCGCTACTACTTCCGTACCAAGTTGCCGGTAATCCGCAAGGCTTTGAAGTTGATCCTTGCCTACAACCTCACTCTCAGTGTGACCATGGTTGAGGGTATTGGTGAAGACGAAGACTTCCTGGGTAAGATTGAGGGCGAGGGTTCCCGCTTCCGAGGAAAGATAATGGCACCCGTCATGATCAACTTCCAGATCAAATGTGCCATGGCCAACATGTGGCGTGAGTTGCAGAAGGACGTTCTTGAGGAGCTATCGGCTCTTTACTCGAGCGTGTACAGCGGTGATAGGCTTAAGAACTGGCCTACCATCTACATCCTCGCTACAATCCTCCTTGCTGTTTGGGAGGAAATGCAATTTGACTGCCATTACCGTGTTCCGGTATGTACCAGTGTATTTTTGAGGATAGAATTTCACTAATATGCTTTTCAGGATGTCTCTGCCGTCGACAAGTTCTGCCACGACATGGAGTCTACTCCCGTTGGTGTCATCGTCGGGCTTTTCCAGGCTATTTCCCAGAAATTGCCCGCTTTCACCGATTGGGAGACCAGCAAGCACCACCAGTTGCTTGCCTCCAACCCTGATGTCTGCCAAACTATGACCGAGGTCCGACATCACGTTAAGCAGCACGGTATGTACTATTCATCGTCTTTCTCTCTCTCGACTAATGATTTTAGAATCCTACCTGCGCAACCGCTCCAACACGAAATTCAACCGTACCGACTTCGACTGCCTGTCGAACAAATTCCTGTCACGACTAGTTATTCGCGCCAACTGAAATGATTAATGAACTACGAAAAGCGAGCCGCCATCGATAAAATTTGTGCTATTTATGTTATTACCATTGATCCGATTTACGGTCTTTACGAGATACGGCGTTGATGTACGCAAAAGAAAAACATTGAAAGAGTGATGATTTATGCAAACGCATGCGAAGAGGTCGGTTGACCTTGACGACCTTTGGAATTACGACAACGACTTCCTTTCCAGTGATTTTCGAGCTCTCGAAAGACCATTTTTGTTCATACCGTTCATCATACAGTACTGTATGATTGCGATTTAGTGTTGTTTCTTTATTCTAAGCGTGGCGATTGACGATGATGAAAGATGAACGAAACTTATGAAATGTTGAGTGTTTGATTTGCATGAGTTTCAGCTTTGCTGGAATGATGTGTTTGATTTGAGTGTATTGTTTTTGTTGTACTGGATTGGTATGGGATATGGATTGACTTTGTTATTTTTCCTTTGTATTTGATTTATCTCGCATTTCAGCGATACCGAGCGATTTGAGCCACTGTGCCAACGAACTACCTACCGACTCTGGACGAAGTTCTGAATCAATGACTGAGTGACTGCACTGCACTGCAGGACTAGGTACATAGTATTTGATACCTTGAACAAAGATATTGCATTTTCAGCTATGAATTATGTACTCGGCAGTAAACAATTGGCAATTCAGCGCGCGTAACGAAATCGCAAAAATAGATCGGCTCSTCATGCCTGAGCGACAAGCACAGGCACCGTCTGCCGTTTCAGCCGACTAAGGTTGGAAACGAAAACGGCACGGGCGAAGTCTTGCCGTGGCGTGACCTCATCGAAATCCGCCGTGGTGGAAAGTAAACAGCGCAGATTGTCAAACAAGCTAAAGGAAAATGAGCTACGTAGTCAATTCTTATCCAAACTGTACATAGTATTAAGCAGGAATTGTGCCATCCTTGCATGATTGATAGTTCCATTGTAGTAGTATTGCTAATCAAAAGACAAGCCATATGGCGTCATCGCGGGCGGACGCTGGCTTTCCTATCGATAATGAACTGATAGTACGTACTCCATCTCGACAGTCAAGTAGGATAAGGGGGTAGGAGATGTAAACAACCAATTCATGGAAAAATTTCTTCAAGATTTGTCACCGGAAGAATTATCGGGATCATCAGGGGTAAAAATTTTCAGATATCAGAGGTAGGTTGTGTCGATGCAGAGTTTGTCGCAAAAAGCCTCGAATATCGGATCAAGAAGGAAGGGCTGGATGGCGTCACACACTGTAGTACTTCTTAGTAGAGTTTGTTAAGAGGTGACTAGCGTGGCAGTACTAGCGACTGCTGAGGTTAAACCGGAGTACAAAGCGCTGCGCGACTCACCTGACTTTCTGCATCAGGCTTAGTGCACCGGGCTCAAAGTGTTGCGATTGGCGGGGGGCTTATCGTGAGTTCTAGCAGGTTCCCCAGCCTCAGCGCCTATGAGCATAATCCTCGAAGGTCCTTCCAGCCATACGGTCGCAGTCTGTTGGTCGCCACGAGCCAGAACCAGCCAGAAGGAGTCTCTCAGAGGAGAACTCAGAACAGCACTAAGAAAGTTCAAACAGGGGAAGCTGCCGATTGCCGGGTGACCAGTCAGACCGCGATTACTAAGGCTACTACGACGTCTTTCTACTTGCGGCAGTGCTGCCTGCCTTATCGCCTCCACCCGGCTTCCCGCCTTCGCTCCTGCCTGCGAGCACGTATAAGTACCTTCCCCTTCCCCTTCCCCGCTCGCCTTCTTCCTCTTCTCTCTTCCACTTCACTCTCATCACACATCTCCCTCTGTCATCTCTGTCAGTGAGGCTACCATACACACCTAACCACCCATTTCTACAACTCACTACCTCCTACCGATAAACGCCATTATGCAGATCTTCGTCAAGACCCTCACTGGAAAGACCATCACCCTTGAGGTGGAGTCTTCGGATACCATCGACAACGTCAAGTCCAAGATTCAGGACAAGGAGGGTATTCCTCCTGACCAGCAGCGTTTGATCTTTGCTGGCAAGCAGCTCGAGGACGGTCGCACCCTCTCTGACTACAACATTCAGGTATGTCGACTTATGGTGAGCGCAAGTGGCAAATTGACAGACAACTAACTTTTCTACAGAAAGAATCTACCCTCCATCTCGTCCTCCGTCTCCGTGGTGGTATGCAGATTTTCGTCAAGACTCTTACCGGCAAAACCATCACCCTTGAGGTCGAGTCCTCTGATACCATCGACAACGTTAAGTCGAAGATTCAGGACAAGGAAGGTATTCCTCCTGACCAGCAGCGCCTGATCTTTGCTGGCAAGCAACTCGAGGACGGCCGTACCCTCTCCGATTATAACATCCAGAAAGAATCCACTCTTCACCTTGTCCTTCGTCTCCGTGGTGGTATGCAGATCTTCGTCAAGACTCTCACTGGAAAGACGATCACATTGGAAGTCGAATCCTCAGACACCATCGATAACGTGAAATCCAAAATTCAAGACAAAGAAGGTATTCCTCCCGACCAGCAGCGATTGATTTTCGCTGGTAAGCAACTTGAAGATGGCCGCACACTCTCCGACTACAACATCCAGAAAGAATCCACTCTACACCTTGTCCTCCGTCTCCGTGGTGGTATGCAGATTTTCGTCAAGACCTTGACCGGCAAGACCATCACATTAGAAGTTGAATCATCCGACACAATTGACAATGTGAAGAGCAAGATCCAAGATAAGGAGGGCATCCCACCTGACCAGCAGCGATTGATTTTCGCTGGTAAGCAACTGGAAGATGGACGCACTCTTTCTGATTACAACATCCAGAAGGAGTCTACTCTTCACTTGGTGCTTCGCCTCCGCGGTGGCAACTAGATTCTTTTCTTCTGTCGCTATTTAAATGGGATTGCATCGGCCTTTTCTTTGGCGTTGGAGGCTTCATGGGTTTATGATTCACAATATCTTTTGACTTTCTTCAGACTACTAGCTAGTTATTGACAATACAATTGACCGACAGGTCTTGTCACTCATCATCTTTCATTCTTGTAAAACACTTGTAGCGTTCAGCCAGTGGAGTATTCCAAGTAAATGCGGAGGCGGGTCTTCATCGCATCAAGATGGCGAGACTAGAACGCCTACATCGCAGTGTAAGTACAGACCAGTAGCTTCAAGAAGCATTCAAAATAGTTAGTAAATGAATTCGACAGACAGCATATTCTATTGATAGCGCGGTAATCCGTATTGTATGGAGAGGATACTGCGACAAACGCCACTTGCCACTCACATGACATCCGTGCTCATTGGCCCAGCGGAACCACTTTTTGACGTTGACGTTGAGAAATTGACAGCTGCGCAACTTGCAACACAAAACAAAATAACGAGTCCACGATTACACGAATGGTGACGACAGCTCGAGTATCATCAAATCATGCGTCGGGATGCCCTCATACTTCTACCACATAACGCTTGAGCTTCTAACCTCCTCATCAAACATCGCACACGATCTCTACGACGACGGCAACGACAACCTCTCTCGTTTGCGATCGGACCGTTCACTCGCCAACGAAGCTGTGCGCGAAGCTTTCCTCCCTTTCCAGCGACATTCCAGCAAAAAGACGTCCGTAATCGCGCATCGACAGCACCGTTCTGTTGGGTCACAATCGGGGGTGGGAAGCGGATTTAATAATCTTAGCGGGGTTGTTCACGACGGCCATTACCGCCCAGCCAGTTTCGATGCGAAGTTATCTTCTCTATCGTTACAGGACCATACTTCTTCAGCGGATATAGCTATCCAGTCAGATCTCAGATTTAGTCAAATATTCATCCAGGGCGTCGATATGGTTGCTCCCGCGCACAACCGCCACCGCAGACCGTCCGCCGATACCAAAAGCGACGATCGAGATACAATCACAACGGGCATAGGGACGGATATTCTAGGCGGCCTTCATACGCGCGGCAAATATGTTCCCCTCGATCAGACACTGGCCGATAGCGTGTATGGTATTGTTCATCTCTACAGAGATGCGAAGGAGACCCCGTCATTGATCATTGATGATCATCCGTTGTATCTCAAAGGATCTTCAGCCGCTGCTCGACGACCACCGAATGACTCGCCGCATACTGCGAGCAGTGGGATGGTGCACAGGACTCAATTGGGGAGCGCACATGGCAGTAGTCGTAGTCGTAGTCATGGTTTGAATGATCATGACTCGGCGGAGTATAACTCCTCGTCATCTCCTTTACAGGTGTACTCGCCGAACGACGAGGATTGTTCGATATTGTGCATCCTTGCTGTACCGTCGTACCTCTCTCCGGCAGACTTTTTGGGCTTTGTGGGTGAGGATACGAGAGATGAAGTCAGTCATTTTCGCATGATCAAGACTGCGAGAGCGAATCGGTATATGGTTTTGATGAAGTTCCGGAGTGGGAAGAAGGCGCGTGAATGGCAAAGGGAATGGAATGGGAAGGTATTCAATAGCATGGAGGTATGTTATTCTATCGTCTTTGAGAAAGTTTATGTGCTAATATACGTATAGCCTGAGACGTGCCACGTCGTCTTTGTCAAGTCAGTGGAGATTGAAACTGCGAAGCAGCATGAGATGAGCGATGCTTCTGTTCAGTCTTCTGCATTAACGTCAAATACTACTCGATCCCTCGGAGCTGCTAATAGTTCTTCGCCCGGAATTTCGTCTGCGTCGCTATCCGCAAAACCCTTGGCTCCTCCAACTCCTTCTCTAGTCGAACTGCCCACTTGCCCAGTCTGTCTCGAGCGCATGGACGAGACTACCGGTTTGTTGACTATCATCTGTCAACATGTCTTTCATTGCACATGTCTCCAGAAATGGAAAGGTAGCGGATGCCCCGTATGCAGATATACACTCGACGACTTTGGGCGGCGAAGTCAAGTCGGATTTTTCGACGAAGGCAGCTCAGGCGAATGCAGCGTATGCCATTCCGAACTCAACCTCTGGGTATGTCTTATTTGCGGCAGTGTTGGCTGCGGACGTTACGATGAGGCACACGCCTTTGCACATTTTAAAGAGACCTCGCACGCGTTCGCCATGGATCTTTCCACCCAACGCGTATGGGACTACGTAAGCGATGCGTACGTCCATCGTATCATCCAAAGCAAAACAGACGGCAAACTCGTCGAGCTACCTGCAGCAGACAATTCCGCCCTCGACCCACCAGACTGGACGGACGCAGTGCCCCGCGAAAAACTCGAAAACATGAGCGTCGAATACACACACCTACTCACCAGCCAACTCGAGTCTCAGCGAGCCTATTTCGAAGAAATCGTCGAACGCGCTGCCGATAAGGCCTCCAAGGCAAGCGCGGCGGCATCCGCAGCCCTCGAAGCAGCCGAAAACGCAACTAAACAACTTTCAGAGCTGCAACAACGCTACAACGCCTTGGCGAAGGATAACGTACCCGGTCTAGAGAAGGAGAAAGATCGCGCCGAGCGCCGAGCCGAGAAATTCGAGACCATGGCCCGCAAACTCGAGAAAGAGTGGCGAGAAGAGAAAGCCATGAACGAGAACCTGGTCAAGCGCGTGGAACTGTTGACCGAAGAAGTCGCTAAATTGAAGGCAGAGAATGCGGATTTGAGTGAACAGAATCGCGATCTGACTTTTTTTATTAGTGGCTCGGAGAAGTTGAAGGAGATTGGCGCTGCGGGCGATGAGGATATTGTGGAGGGGACAGTTAGTATTCCGGAGCAGCAGTCTTCAAAGAGAAAGGGGAAGGGACGGCGGAGATAATTCTAATACTAAGAGATTGGATGGCGTGGTAATGATGGTGATGATGGCCGCGATGCATTCATGGAGTTGTTGCTGTTTCTTTGCATGTGTTTTATGATACCATTGATTTTGCTATTTCGCTATTCAATTCAATATTCTCTTGGAAGTCTATTGACCTGGCAGTCATTTCCGGTTCATCTAGTATTAGGAAATGGGCAAAGGGCTACGGCAATATTGAAAAAGCGGTTGAAGAGCAGTTGACAATAGGCTACACGCCGCCTACTCAAGATAGGGAAAGAATTGCATTCTCAGTGCCTACAGCCTAGGAGATTGCTACCATCAGCACATACAATAGAGCCTAATAAAGGACGAAAATCGTCCAGGTAGCGAGTCGATGTGGTTGGATATCTCCACTTACTATTGGCTCTATCTGGAGATACTAGTCTGTGTCACACGCTACTTATCCATGAAAGCTAGCCTGCTCTATATATACATCAATAACTAACCCATACACTTTGCTAGCCTCCAAGTTACTACTCTTCCCCACATCTCACTTCTTTATCTGGTAGCCAAATACATCACATCACAATGGTGCGCACAAAAAACCCTTCGCAAAAAGGACCACGGAGAGGCCCTATCGGCGCCAGCAACGCTCCCAAACCTAGATTCCCGATCCAACGCACCGAGATATGGGATAACAAGGTCAAAATCTTCGGCTGGCCATCACACGGTGGCGTGATCGTCCTGGACAACGCGACCCTCGTTGATTTGGATTTTCTTGGCTGGGATACAGTGAATCCGCCCCTCAAGCGCGACCGCGACCAAGATGCCGAAGATGAAGTGTGTCAACGTTTGTTGCTGCTTGGCGCAATATGGTTTGATAGCCAGGAGCGGTACGATATAGCTGCCGCAGTAGAAGATGATTTTGATCCGTTGGCGTCCAAGGTTGAAACTGGTGAAGCTCCGCGTCCAACAAAGATGGAACGGCGGTGGGTGAGGGTTGGATGGCCGAGTCACGGGGGCGGATTCTGGGTCGCTGAATTCGATAACCACGTTTTTGGGCCTCCATGGCAGGGTCCTGGACTGCCGGGTGAGACAGCACACTTACTCTTAGCAAGAAACATGGATGAGAAATGCGAGATCTTGCAGCAGCTAGGCGGCCAATTTCTGGCAAACCTGGAAGACTATCAGGGAGCCGGGTGCTTGAACGCTTGGAACAATAAAGAAACGGGAGAAGTTGGTCCGCTTGTGATTACGCGGTATGTTGAATGGTAATTATTGTGCCAGTCATACGTCTTGCGAGCCTGTCTCAGTCCTTTGGAAAGCCGTGACGGGACCTCTAAGCCCTAAGTCCTAAGAGCTTGTCTAATAGATTGTTCATTTTTTATTATACCTTCTTAGTTAGTTCCTACTATAAAATATATGATCTATAAAAGATTATAGTATATGAGGCGCAAAGATGCATGATTGAACCCATCTCGGATTAAATCTATTTCTTTAGAATCGACCGCCAGAAGCCATCTGAGCTGAAAGCGGACCTTTATAGAGTATGGCGCAGTGCTTACCTGGTCCGGTGTAGAAATCAATAGACAAGGGGTTTCTGTTTACTGTTTTGACCTCCAATTGCATCCAGTCTAGTATATCATACGCCGTGATGCTGGATGTACGCTGGCGTCTGCAGACGGCTGCACGGTTATTGATAGGTAAATTAGAACATATCCGCGAGAATTTGAGTGGAATACACCCCAATAATAGTGCTTTGATGTGGAACTCGTTTAAAAGGCAGTATACATTATTATACGTCATTACATGAATGAATATCACTGCATTCATTCGATCATGATAGAGGGGGGCAATTATCCCGTATGCGCATTGACTGTCCCCTCTTTGCCAGGAAGATATGCGAATGTCCAAGACAACTCCAAACCCTTATCAATACGAGAAATCTCCGAACAACGGCCTAGATCCAATCCATCTCCCATATCGACCAATGACCCTCAACGGTCTCGTCATGTTCGCCACTCTGCACAACATCTCCGAGAGGAACAAGCCCTTGGCACCGCTCTTGGCAGCGGAATTCCTCTCTGTCTCTACCAAAATATGCCCGTTCCGCGTGATGCCAAGATGCTCCTACATATCCAATCAAGTGACTTTCCGATTAGGTCAACCCGAGTAACAATGACTTTTCCATCGCTTATCAATCGCCGAGGCATCTAGAAAGTTGTTTGCGTACGACAAGGGTGGGTCGTCTCCTCCGGAATAGGAAATAGTCCGGGGAACATGCCCTAACCAGACATGGCTCAGTTAGGGCTTGGAGGTGGGGCGGGGCCTACATCATGACTTTTGGGTATGATGATTGGAAGACACAAACTTGTTTCGCTGGGTATAGAGTCTTGGAAGTACGTATGTATGTCTTGGAAGGCGATTGTTGATGTTTGTGAGGGAGTATAAGTAGGCTGATGTTCCCATCTTGGAAGGATTTGTAAGTCCAAGATTTCTGGGTAAACATTCATGGTATAGAATTTGATAGACATCAATCTATGATACCCATGTACATTTCTTTGTTCTCCATAGATATAAATACCATATGAAGCAAAATGCGACGCAAGTCCTCATCCTCGCCATCTACCCAATCCTACCCATCTCATCCCTTCCTCCTTCCCACCGATGAGATCACATCTCACTTGGAGACAAACATCGACACGGGCCTCTCAACTCAACAAGTTTCGTCCCTTCAAGCCCGCTATGGAGACAACAAGCTCTCCGGCGAAGGAGGAGTGACCTGGTACTCCGTCCTAGCGAAACAGGTCTCGAACGCCATGATACTCGTACGTCTCCGGTTTCATTTTCTTATCCACACAAGTGAGTACTAACCTAACACGAACATAGGTCCTCGTCCTAGCCATGGCCCTCGCCTACGGCGTCTCAGACTACATCGAAGGCGGCGTCATAACCGCCGTCATAATCGGCAACATCTTGATCGGCTTCTACCAAGAATACCGCGCCGAACAAAAGATGGACGCACTACGCAGCCTCTCCTCGCCATCTGCGACCGTAATTCGGAATGGCGAAGTTGTAACCATTCCATCGACGGAAGTTGTCCCCGGCGACATTGTGCTTGTCAAAACGGGTGATACGGTCCCGGCCGATTTGAGGTTGGTCGACGGTATGAATCTGGAATGTGATGAGAAGATATTGACCGGTGAGGCGGTGCCGGTTGCGAAGGATGCTGCTTTCGATCATAAATCGCTTGTTGAGGATTCTTCGGCGAATGCAGAAACGCACATCGGGGTAGGCGATAGATTGAACATGGTCTATTCTTCCTCCACAGTCACGAAAGGACGCGGGAAAGGTATCGTTGTGTATACGGGTATGTATACAGAAATCGGAAAGATCGCTTCCTCAATGCAAGGTAAGAAGAGACCCAGTGGAACCAAGAACAGGTCAATGTCAATGAAGAAATATGGTCCCTTGCAAGTCTTTCGAGGCGGGTTTCTCAGATCTTGGGATGCCTTGGGCAGGTTCTTGGGATTGACGACTGGGACGCCGCTGCAAAGGAAATTGAGCAAATTGGCTTATAGTCTGTTTGGACTTGCAATTATCCTTGCTATTATTGTCTTCGGTGTGAATGAGTTTCATGTTACGAACGAGGTTGCTATTTATGCTATTTCGACTGGTATGTACCCTTTTTTTTGGAAGCCCTGATTTGAAGTATGCTAATCGTTGAAGGTATCGCGATCATCCCCGAATCTCTCATAGCAGTCTTGACAATCACTATGGTTGTTGGTATGACTCAAATGCACAGACGGCGAGTCGTCATCCGCCAGCTTTCAGCGCTCGAGGCTTTGGGTGGAGTTACCAATATCTGCAGCGATAAGACCGGCACTCTGACTCAGGGTCAAATGGTCACGAGAAAGGCCTGGATTCCTGGCGTGGGAATTTATAGTGTCAATAATTCTGATGACGCTAGTGACCCCTCCAGAGGTTTCGTCACTTTGGACACTGCTTCGACAAATGAAGAAGAAGTTGAGAAGCAGAATGAGAAAACTCCGTCCACCCCAATAGACAGCAAAGAGCACGCAATCACAGAAGTGAACCCAGAGGTTGAAAGTTTTCTCCTCGCGTCTTCCTTGTGCAACCTTGCAACAGTACGATATGACAGCACAGCTGGCAAATGGCAGACAATGGGTGACCCGACTGAAATCGCACTACAAGTGTTTGCGCATCGGTTCGGCTACGGCAAGAAAACTCTCGAGGCAGACCTTAAATGGAAGCAGATTGCCGAATATCCCTTCGATAGCGCAATCAAGCGGATGTCTGTGATATACAGTCAAGGAGCGGATGAGCCCGTTATCTTTGTCAAGGGTGCTGTTGAACGCATAATCGACCTTTGCACATCTGTAGGAGCTGGAGGTCACCAAGAGAAAATGACGGCCGAGTTGAAGGAAAATATTCTGCAGCAAATGAAGTCTCTTGCAGAACAGGGTCTGCGAGTTCTTGCCATTGCTCAAAGACCTGTACCCGTCGGATACCAGAAAGGTGACGAGCTACCTCGTGAAGACGTTGAGACCGAATTGAATCTTCTCGGTTTAGCCGGGTTATATGATCCGCCAAGACTAGAGACGAAAGATGCTATCAAAGGTATTGTCCCTTCGTTATTCTTAAGTGCTTGGATGCTAACTTTACCAGAATGCATAAATGCAGGCATTCGCGTCCACATGTTGACCGGAGACCATCCGTCCACAGCAAGCGCGATTGCAAAAGAAGTCGGCATCATCCCCAGATACACGGAGTCCCTCTCGGCTGAGAAAGCTGCGTCGCCAGTCAAGACCGCCGCCGAGTTTGATGGCATGACAGACGATGAGATCGATGCTATGCCAACCTTGCCCCTGGTCATTGCACGTTGTGCTCCCGACACGAAGACAAGAATGATCGCTGCCCTGCACCGTCGTCGATGTTTTGCTGCCATGACCGGCGATGGAGTCAATGATGCCCCATCTCTGCAGGCTGCCGATGTAGGCATTGCAATGGGCATGGGAGGCTCTGATGTAGCCAAATCCGCATCTGATATCGTTCTTACAGACGACAATTTCGCAAGTATCGTCAATGCGGTTGAAGAAGGGCGAAGAATGTTTGACAATATTCAAAAATTCGTCTTGCATCTCCTGGCATCGAATGTGGCCGAGGTTGTTTTACTGATCGTCGGCCTCGCGTTTCAAGACAATGATGGCGTATCCGTCTTTCCGCTTTCTCCGCTTCAAATATTATGGATCAACATGTTGACTTCGTCTTTTCCTGCGTTCGGGTTAGGGCGCGAGAAGGCTTCGGCTTCCGTCATGCGGCGTCCTCCACATGATATGAAGAAAGGTGTCTTCACCTGGCAGGTCATTGTGGACATGATGGTGTATGGGATGATTATGGGAATTTTGACCCTACTCACATTCGTGATTGTCGTTTATGGTGTTGGCAACGGGACGCCTGATTTGGGATACGATTGCAACAGAAAAGACTCCGAGTCTTGCCATGTTGTCTTTCGTGCACGTGCGGCCGTTTTCGCTGAACTCACTTGGCTCATACTTATTTCGGCGTGGGAAATCAAAAGTCTCAGAAACAGCATGTTCAATCTTGATCCACTCCGCGCTGGACAAGAGAACGTCAAGTTCCCATTTTTTAGAGATGTCTGGGAGAACAAATTTCTCTTCTGGGCCGTCGTGATTGGAGCTTTGTCGGTGTTTCCGGCAGTTTATATCCCTGGTCTGAACACGGACGTGTTTAAACATCAGGGCATTACCTGGGAATGGGGACTGTCGTTTGGCGCCATCATTATCTTCGTCCTGGGCGCTGAGGCGTGGAAAGGGTTGAAACGTCGGACGGGCTGGTTCCGTGAACCTGACTCTCGGGAATATGCTTCCGTTTCAGAATCGGACTTTGGTCTCAAGTCATCTCTCTCGACTGCGAGGTCTATGACTAAAGATAGTCGAAGTACTAGTACATAAGAATATCGTTTGGTACTTCCGAAGTCGTATAATATGTATGTTTGTTGTTAGTTTCAGATTAGAATGAATAATAGATTTGCCATCCTTCATGACACGCAGGAATTCATCATCCTCGAACGTCAAGTATGTTAAGTAATGCATCGTATCTCCATTTGTCAGTTTCATTCTCAAGACCATTGTCGAACAAGCCTTAGTTAGCATGTATGATAATTATCCGAAGGCACTGGTATCACATCCCGCTAAGATCAACAGACCTTTCCAGATCATATCTGGACTTTTGCAGAACGATTGGCTGCTGAGCCCATGTCCAGAACCAGAAGAGTGCACGCCATTATTTGATTCGATAATTACAAGCTGCTCTGTCTCGCCATTGCGCTCTCTCGGAACAGACTCGGTGAAGAGAGAKCTCATGTCCAGAGGCATCTGAGTAAAAGTGGGCAATTGCTTCGACAAGACGTCCATCTCCCATATGTACCGTTGTTTCAAGAGCTGAAAATCTCTTCGTTGATACGGGGTGCAAGCAGGAATCTTCGAAGCATATGAAACGAAATCGACGGCATAGGACGAGAGGAGTATTCTTGTAATGTATTGATGTGTGCGAAGCTTCGACTCTTCTGAGTTGAGACCTGCATCATTTTGCAGGAGTTGAGACGGAGGGTCGATTCTCAAGCTCGCTATGGGCCCCTTTTCAGGAAAGGGTTCAACTTGCTTCTCGACATTGTCGATCGCCTGGATGATATCTGACGAGTTGGCAAGCAACTGAGCAGGATTATCCGCTTCGATCAAGCTACGGATTCGATAGCAAATGTGAGTGCAATGGAATGAGAAAACATATGTTCTAAGGACAGGCCATTCTGAGGGGTCACATAAACGAAAGAATTCGTGCAAGAAAGGGGGAGGCCCTTGTATGGGAAAATTTTCTAGTAGAAATTGAGTTTGCTATATGCTTGTCAGGTAGAGTAGACTAAGAATGAACTGGTGTTGCAGCTTACCAGATGACAGTGCGTCATGCCGATGAGATTTCGAGCATCTCGAGTAGCACACATGTCCGAGCCACGGAGACACATCAGATCACTCAATGCTTTTGTGTGGGCCTTGTACCCAGCAGAATCCACAAGAAATGAGCTATTTCCGGAATGTGCACCAGAGACGACCTAACGATAGACACATTGTTAGGGAGTAGTATGTACGAGTCATGATGATACTCACCTCGTAAAAAGCAAGTAAACAGATACTCAAGAAAAGGTCGTCTGACGTAATCTTTCTAGAGTCTCGAATAGCTTGCTTCACAGCAACAAGAGAACTCGAATATGCCTTTGCTTGGTCAATGATTGCTTTGGGGCTCTTTGTCATATTGGCTAGAAAGGCACTCCCAATAGCTTTGCAGGCCATGTGAAGGTGTGATGTCTCTTCCATCTTTCTAAAAAGACTTAAAGCGGTGTCGAAGACCGAAGGACCCATCACATAAATAAGCTCCAGCTTAGAGATGGCAAACGGAAGACAATGGACATCCCAGGACTCAGTCATGGGAACCGTCAAGGGAAATACTTGGTTTGATGGTATTGATATCCGATGCTCGAGAGCGGTCTGTGTCACATCAATTTCCAACAAAGCTTTTGAGTCTGTCTTTTGTTCTCGAGACTTGGTCTTCCGTCGTACCCTATCTGTGACTTGAAATGATGAAGCGCTACTCATGCGAATTCGCATTTCCATTTCATCGCGATAGCCAGGACATGACAGTCCTTTGCGCAGGCATTGGGTACATTCGGGGCGTATTAGATCACACTGAATAACGAGATTAGACAGGCCCATATCCACGTGTACTTGAGATACGTACCTTCAGTCGGCGTTTCCGACATGTATGACAGTCACGACTTGGTCGACCGACGTTGGGCATTTTGCAGTCACGGATCAATGTGAATGGTCAATCTGCCGATTTGTTCTACAGCCTGAGAAATATTGGAAGATTCTCGTCCTGCTATAAATAACGCGCGAATGCGTGGCTAGAATTTAATTTGATAGCCTAGTATGATGGTGTTGCATGGGGCTCTTTACCCCTGTAACTCAATAGGCATAACTCTATTTTGCGTATGAACCATGTAGTTGACTGTGAATCACTTAATTCGTCTGTCAAGCCCTGCTGGTGATATTGTCACCACTCGTCCAGCAAGTGCCAACAGGTTGCTGATTTCAAACTCGTGTAACTCGGGATCTGAGACTCCAACTGCCTGGTTCCGCACCAATCGTCTACGTCTTCCTATGGGCTGTCAGCAATACGTAGCTAGTATTGCAAACTTTGATAGATTGGATATGCCGTGGCGCATTTATGCATTGATGATTGAATGGTCGAACGATTCTAACTGTCGTTGACAACCTAACATCCAAATTGACCTCGGACCTCCCCGCTAACAAAACCCTCATCCCCGATGTTCAAGTCAGACTCGCAGTCAGCCTCAATAGCGGCCCTAGCGGTGCGGCCGGCGGGGGCCCATTATAAGAGACGCTAGGCGTTTAGTGTGGCCATCTAAGTCAACATTGTGTGCTGCTTGAAGCGTATCCCGGATTGGGGGCAGTCTCTCAGCGCGGGGCGATGCTCTTATTACGATATGCGAAGCAGCCTATTATTGGCGGTTGTCGCTATAGTCCGATTTTGTGGTCTCAACTCGGAAAAAGCAAAAACATCGGGGATCTATCCTGGAGAACTAGCGGAATTGGTGAGGTGAGAATATCTTGTCGGTGAGACACGTGATCTGCCGTGCATATGGTCCACTTGATAAAGAATTACACATCAAACGACCAATTGGAAATTATTCATTAGATTGACAGAGTACAACTTACCTACGTACTTGATTTCTCCTGACGCGCCGCGGCTTTCCCTTTCCGTTTTAGTGCTCACCCCGTCGCCGCTTTTACTCCCTGTGTAGAATTGAGCACGCCCCGGAGCGCCGTGATCAGATCAGTGAGCCTTACATAAGCTCGCCGAGATGCTCAGTGATCCGCCACTGAGAATACTATTACAGCGAATAAAGACCTAGTAATCCTATAACTTGAAAGTATAACTTAGAAGTATCATACAAGTATTAGCAAATAAGTAACTATCTATATAGTAGCTAAGAGCTTATACTACTATAATTGTCAGAGCATGTCGGTGAGAATTGAACGAGAATACGTATTGACAAGAGTTCTGCTCCACTGCTGAGCAGAAAGACTTACATCTAATCTCGAAATGGGCTGCCATGATACATGCGCGATGGAGAACGATATGGCTTACGGGAGAAAGCTATTGTATCTCAGATGGCGAAAGTAGGTGCTCGGCAATCTACAAAAGTGTTCTTCGAATGTGTGAGGCATCTGTTGTTACGGCCCAGTATGATAGTGATCTATATGTAAGGCACTTAGATGGCCATTGCAGAGTGCTAAATCTTGGGTGGATTCAATGATCAATTCAGTCAGGTGCTGTCTCTGATACGTTCGAAAAACATCAACAGTATATAGGTCCGCTCTTTGTAATATCATGACCATCAGGATAGGGTCCACGTTGTTACTTGGGTAAGATATTTTGTCTTAAACATGCAGATGTAACCGCTCCCGAAGTTGTTGCACTGATACCAGTGAACTGATATTATTTCATATATCGAACTCTAAAAAAAGTGTTACTCATCTCCAAGTACCCAATACCATCCTATATCCTTAAACCACTTTCGAATCCTTTAGTACTATCATTCTGGTTTAATGGCGTTGAAAGGTTGAAGAACAAACACTCTGTCGGGCATCTATTTGTTATACTCTGCGGTAATTCCTCACCCATTTATCTGCCCACTTATGTAACTCGATTAACATGTGAAATCCTACGTTTTTTAAGTGGTGCACTATTGCTATAAAACTTTCCAGATACTTCTGGTTTTCGGCGACGATGGCGAATGAGCAACTCAATACGTGCCCCAATAAGCTTGTAGTTCAGTCGACTCCCCCAATCATCATCGATACATACTTTTCCGATTCAGATTACTCAATCATTAGGATCAGACCTACGATCCTCAAAATCAGATGCCACCGCTCCTGTTGTCTGACCAAGGTTTCGTAGTTGGCGCCTGTACCAAGACCTATGATATACACAAGGAAAATTTCTATGACACTCAATGTAACGAGGATCCTTCTGAGTTCCATATCAACATCTACCTACAATTGGTGAATTTTCAATAACCGAGTCTAGTTTACATTATAATTGAATCAGAGCTCTTCCATCGAACTACCCGTAACTAGCCTTCCACCTCCGTACCCTCTCCTGAACCTGCTCCCTACCAGCACTAAGCGGATATTTACATTTCATTTCTGTCCAGTAGCAATTCTGGAGTGCACATTCTGTCCAACCAGGTAAGGATTCCGCAATTGCAAATCACCTAACCCCTTACCAAGAAGACCATAACAGTCCTTTAGAACCTTTAGGCGCGTTAATGCACCTATCCAGATCCCTGAAACTATACTGCGCATCTCCATCGCATCTCATGTTGTTAAATAACCAAGCTCCAGCATTTCCTGTGGGACCTTCTTCACCGATGTTCCAGGAAACTGCGGGGGCTTCAGCGTCGGTAAGGGAACGTAGATTAATGCACTGAAGTTCGAAAAGGTGATCGGCGTCGGGGCAGGACCCGCCTCCATCGCTATTATTATTAGAAGGCTCCGCTGCCCCAACCAAAGCCCAATTCCGACTATCAGACCGGGAAATGACTTCATTCCCATTTCCCTCGGATGCAGATAGTCGGGATTCATGCACCCAGACCGGAGGAGAAGTCCCTCCCCGAGTGGTTATGACCCAAGAAGTGTTGTATTGTATGTTGTACGATGCAAATGGGTGATCTTGGTCAATGTCGAGGTTATTAGGTGGGCTTGGCGCCGATTCAAGAAGAGAAAGATCGATGACATTTGAAAAGGCTGGCGATGCCTGAGCTCCTCGCAAGGCGAGAACAGCTACTGATGCGAAAGCGAAGGCATTGAAGAACATTATAAGCTCAAGTTCTAAAGTAGATACCTGACAAAAATTGAATAGCTTGAATGTAACAAGTCAGGGGCTCGCTGAAAGTTTGAACGTGATGAATTCTCTCAGTACTGCGGAATGACAGTAGTGAAGTCAAGGGGTGCTGCAGTACCAATCGTGTTGACACGAAATGATGAAGGAGTATACACACACACACACACATATATATATAAATATAAATATGAGTCAGGTCTGTTTGGATGAATGATGAATGCTTTGCTTTTCCCCAAAACGGCGATTAAATATATCTGCCTCAAAAAGCCAGGAGAACTCCAACCAACTTGCCTAGTAATTAGTGCACACTGCGATAAATGAAAAATTACCAAAAGTGGAAAATGCCAATGCTCTCGGACCAATAAGATTCTGCTTGGATATTCGTGATGAATAATTTGACCGTCTCATCTTTGAGATGATTAATCACTATTATACGTTTGAGATATTTATCAGTGGTAATTTTCCACGTTGGCTGAATCCAGGCGCCTAAAATAAATCAGAATCTGCAACGTGGAATGATAACACCCTCCCAGGGCTATTCATTGGTCTTGCTCTTTGAAACTAACTCCTATAGATGTGTTAGAAATGATATCAGTTACTGGAAAAGTAAATTTTAGAAACTACCCGTTTGAGAAAATGGTACTTGAGCGTATGCTACTGCCCAAGTTTAGGGATATGCCCATCTTCAACGTTATATTACAAAGTAATGTTGCATAAGACAACATAACTGACTAGTTAGTTAAGTAACCCAAATATTTAAATATCAGCCAGCTACCTGACTCTAGATATACATATACACTACAAGTAAAAACCAAAGTTTGCTCTGTTGCTATCATGTACCAAAAAATGACTTCCATTGTTCCTCCACTTGACTACGTCTTGGATGTCCGAGCTGAGATGAAACCAGTCAAGATCAGTCAAAACAGTACGCCTCAAGGGAAGTCCTATTACTTTCAGTTCATCGGTGGATATATCCGTTCAACAAATGGCGAACTTGATATTCCACTTCAGCCAACATTTGACGACGCATTTCTGCCCGCTGATGCCGACGTGGTTTCTCTTCGGGTGACTGCTGTGGGCTATGATCAGAAGTCAGGCGACTATTTTCAGGCGAGAAATAACGGATTTCTCAGTTTAAGTGATGTTAAAGGAGAAGCTAACTCCATTTCGGAATATGGAAACTCCAATTGCACGGGTAACTTCACAATCCAGACTGGAAACAAGGAATGGGCCTGGCTTAATACTTCCGTCCTCGTTGGGCCTGGAAGATTTGGATATGATGAGAACGGAGATATTGTCTGGGTTGAATATAAGGTCTTTCGTGTCAGGTCAACGTGGTAGAAAGGTTGGGTGTTCCTACTGATCAAGAAACGGAGAAGCCCAGCCCAGCCCTTCAACAGTGTAGGGGTGCCAATTTTTTTTTTGTATTATGGATTATAAATTTCCATATTACTATATATCTATTTCTTTAAATAAGTGGTTTCAGTTCTGTGTTGGTACTCAATAGCCAACAGTCGCTAAGCAATTGCTAGCCGCTTTTATTGGTTCGTCATTGTATCTTTCCAATTTCTACGTGTCGCCATCTCTGCGTATCAGTTCAAAAAAAATTGCAACGTCTGAGAACATTGTAAGGTCATATCTTGATTTAAATTACCTGGGTTTACTCCTTCATGTCTTTATAAGCAGAAGAAGAGGGGGGGGGGGCGGGGAAATAGCAGGTATAACATTCCAAAACTCTGGCCTCTAGCATATCATCAATCCAGTATCGATAAAGAAAGTCCGACGCCTGTAAAAATTTTCAATAGAGTTGACCAAGCACGCAATGAATATCATAAGCTCTTTTGCACACACAAACTGGGCCTGGAGATATGCTAATTCTTGGGGCAAGCAGAAGAATTGGACTTGGAATAGTTGAAAAATCGATAAGACTATACAAAACAATCAAACAAGGTTTACGAATGGAAATAAAATTTTTACATATATATATATATATGCAACTGTCTACGCGACTGTACGCCGAAGAATAGCGCGCTACGCAATGAAGAACGATATTTGACTAGAGTTCAACCCAGAGTCGATTCAGCGTAAGGCCTACGCAGCGATCAACATTCTCGGAATATGTTCTTATCAACAGTAAGTTTATAATAACCTTTGCCCTCAATGTCACTTCATACTAAAAGGGTGGCATGTTTGCTTCTCCCCAAAGTCTTTTGCCTGCCGAATCACCAGCAATGTCAAGCCAGAGGATTCGCTCAAGGATTAGCTTTAGTTCGGACCAGTCTGAGAGTCCTGCGTTGAATGACATGATTTGGAGTGCGCTAACGAACCATTGTCTCTCAATTGAATGGGATGCTGCAATACCACCCAGTACAATGGCCCACAATAAGAGGTGCGATACGTCTGATTGGAGCTGTAAGTTGAGTTTCGTAGACAGTTGTTCTTTCAGAAGCGTGGCGAGCAGCTGAAGTGGAGCGGTTGAAGCCGGGAGAGGGAATATTATCCCAACTCCAACGACCAAACATCCAAGACGGCAAATCTCGTATAAGGGATGAGCCATGTCGAAAATCGGACCAAACTCAGCAGCACGTGGCAAGGACAGAATTGCATTTTGGACAAAGTTGCGTTGATCGGCGATCATAGATAAGTCGAGGTTCGTCCATGGCGACTCACAAAAATACCGGACAGTATCGATATAAACGTTTGCTGTTTCCAGAACATTTGCTAGTTCAGCAGTCAATCCAATATTGAGCAGATATTGCAATCGCGAGTCCCTCTCAGCAGATCCTATATTAGAGTGTAGCGGCACGAAGTCATTCTGTACCGAAATAAAAGGAACCGATGGTCGTGACAGGGTACGACTAGCGTAAATAAGTCCGGAACTATGGTAGCGATGAGAAAGTATTTTCTCGTGAAATTCGACGGACGAGGGGAGCTCACTAGTGAATAATTGCAGACAGTCCTGGGTATTCAATCTTTTCAACACCTCCTCGAAGCTCCACCATTCGGGCGAGGCCACGTAAATGTGGGTTTTCGGTGTCAAAATAACCATACACATCTAACCACTGCAAATTACTAAATGGTGCTTCAAATGGTGATAATACTTTGCACAAAAATGATTCCGGCGCGGGAGTGAAGGCCAAGGTCATCACACTCATAATAACGGCATCAGATGTGGCCTTGTCAGGCTCCCGAAATGCTTGGTTGATTGATTCAATAGATTTAAGCTGGCTGTGAAGGAGGTCCCGGTCATTCCAGAGTCTTTCTGAATCATGGCCCTCTCCATGGCCAAAACGTAGGAGTGCTTGGTGAACTAGAGATCCAAACAGAAAGGCAGGGAACAATACCTCTTCGCTCAGGATCAGAGGAAACCAGTGAGATCCAGCGAGGCTGATGCCACTGGTTGACTGCGGTGTCAAATAAGGTAACAAAAGTTTCACGGCTGAACGTCTGAGTGAGTAACCCTGGTCGATCTAACCCGCAATGTAGTTAAAGACCCCACTTACAATGATGGATACATTTACTGACGGTCTTCAGGGAGAAAGGGTATGGGGACGATTGAAAGGGATCGACGGCGCCACAACCCACATTGTCAAAGAAGTAGTAGGCACCATAAATCCTTGCATTTCGCGGTTCAGCTACCGGGTTCCTGGATCGCGGAGTTTTGTCTTGCTGATCCTGAACGTCGTTGCGAGACGACGCTTTAAATTTGTAAGTCGACCTCGCAGGCCGGGCATGGAAACGTCTCGGTCGACCAGCCAATCTGAATTTCAAGACCATCGGCATTTTTTCGCTCGAAAGTGGAGCCGAGGTTACGGCATTTGCATTGGACATATGATGCGAAGATCTCGAGTTCTGTGAGGCAGCTACATGTTTTCGAACGAATGAACGTGAATCCTGATCCAGCTCGCCCATTCCAGTAATGTTCACGAATTCGAGGCGACGCGAGACATGGGAATCATTGTCGTCCGGATTATGAGATGCATTACGAGCAAGATTTGAAGTTCGTCCTTTCAAGAAAGGTAATTTCTCCGCCATGTTATGCGAGTTCCCACAGAGGGCACCGTCACCTGGAATAACAAGGTCAAAGCAAGATTCTTGTCACAACTTGAAAGAAGAAACCTCAAATAACGAAACAAGGTTTCCCTGGTGGAAACATCTTGATTCTGGACATTTGGCCCTCGAGTGTGTTAGAATTACTAGTTACCCCGAGGCTGTATCCTGGCCAATTAACCAGGTGGGAAACGAGTCAACTAACTACGGAGGTGGGGGCAGTCAAAGGCGATGGAAATGCGCTAGATATAATTAGCATACGCGCTAATCTCATGTACTACGATGTATACTAATTTAATGCTTTCTATTTCTACAACCAAACCAAAATGAGTTAAATAGGGGCTCTATCAACAAATGAGAAAGCTTCCATGTATTTCTAGTTATAATTAATTTCGATATACAATCCTAGTGCGATTCATCTTATCTTGGCGTTCTCCTCACTTTTGACCCCACCTTCGAAGTCAGTCAGCATATTCTTCCTTTATTTATGACTTTTTTTTTGGAGGTTTTTAATAGATAGCTTATGTGGTGGCTTATATTTTATCATAGTAAGTAAGGTATTGGTGGTGGTGTTGTTAATTTGATGAATATTGAAGTACTCGCAGGTCACATCTATGATATTTGTCGATGTAAGATGGGTAAGTTCATGGATAAGAGTATAGGCTCCTGGTATCTGCCAATCCAATCTCCTTGGTTTATTCGGAGTCGGGTAGATGAGGTCGGCCAGGGAGGCTACCTTATCTAATCCTACAGAATGATCCGCAGGAGGGTCAAGAACCTTGCACAGAGTCATTGTAGGAGTCCATGTACTTGTTACCTCGACCCTATCTTATTCGGTGTTGAATCGGGGTGTAGGAACGATAGTGAATGCATTCGCAGGATCGCATGGCCTTACATTTGGCCCAGTCGGAGTGACGGTAATTGCGTTCAGAGGTTTGAGAAAGAATGGCTGGACGTCAGCATTAGTGATCCCTGAGCCATACACATCCCATATTTAATAGTATGCTAAAGGATAGATCCACTTTATCGCTGCGTTTCCATTTTAGTCAATCGCAGGTTCAAGCCAATTCAGCTTGTCACAACCTGCATCGCCACAGAAGACGTAAGGCTTGTCTTAGAGGAATGCTGCGGTTGGAAGGCCTTGGCCTAAGGGTAAATCCTCCACTGCCCCGGAATCGCACATTGCAAAGTGAGTACCTGAATCTCACAAGCTGGGTAACCATCTGAATCACGCCAAACAATCATATAAAGAATTTAAGAAATCATACTAACCTTGCATCTAACATGGATAGATCTCATGATTCAGGAGGATGCACGAGCCAATTCTGTCTTGGGCATAAGTTTCATGTTATATCAGGCTCAGACAGCCCTATCAGTATACGAAGAATACAAATCGGTGAAACAACTACACCTAAAGCTCCTACAAGAAAACCTAGTTTCTGCTCAGGAGAGGACTGTGGATAATCTAGAATCCGAAGAACGCGATTTCAAGAAGGAAACAGACGCCGCCAGCAAGTTATTCCAGATCCTTGATCCAAGAATTGCTTTTCTCAAAGGAGTATTACGCCATTATGAACATGTCCTTCAGAGCTATGCAAAATCTGGACTATTTTCGGAATTTGAGAATCTAGAATCTTGTCAGGTTGTTACCGTCCTTTCTGAATACTCTGTCCGTATTAATAGCGTAGAGATATACCTATGCTAACTTCGATCTTTATGACAGAAGGAAAACCTTTCGCAGAGTATAAGAATGAGCCGCTGATCAAAGGACACTTGTCAATTCATATACAGTCGATTACGGGGATACCGGTAAATGGGACATGTTTCACTTTGGAATTGTATAATATCCGGGAATCGCGATTTCTGAGCAAATCCGGCTACACACCCCATTATGTGGAGTGGATGGGCACGGGGATTTCACTTGATTATAATGATGTCGATACTAAAACAGAGATTGAATTGATGATCTATGAAAACGACAAGACTCGGAGCCCAGTTGGTGCTGTTTGGCTTCGTTTGACAGACAGTCTACATTCCGGCAATGTAGCTGTCCATCGAGATGGCGATTCAACTACAGTTGACACGTGGTTCAGACTTGCCCCCGAAGGAAAGACACAGCTCAAGCTTGTTTTCAGTAAGTGCTTGTTTTATTCCCTTCTAATCTTCTACGGGTCACTCTTCCCATTCATCGCTAACCAGGAGACGTGTAGCCAAACATTTGGAAGAAACTGTCGAAGAGAAGGAAGACGGTTGGATGAATGATTACACTCGGTACAAACTCAATCATCATTTCGTTCGAACGAAATTCTATCATATTATGCGCTGTGCTTAGCTGCCACAAAGATTTTTATTATGGTGTGCAATGCAGAAAGTGCCAACTGGCCTGTCATCTTAGATGTCATTTACTGCTCCACTACAATAACAATGGTTTTGATGTGCCGTGCTTTGATGTGCCGTGTTTGGACACTCCCGAAGAATTGAAACAACGTTTACTGAAATTTCCAAGAAAACATCAATTTGTGCCTTTGTTCAATACATCGGCCAACTGGTGTTGTTATTGTGGATGTTTTCTCTCTCTGGGACAGGGGAACAGCGAAGGCGCCAATCGTCGATGCGCAAAGTGCGGCTTGACATGCCATGCTCAGTATCAAGTCTTGGTTAATAAAGCTTGTGACGAAAAAATTCTGAGAGAAACCTATAAAGCAGAGGAGGATTAGCTGCGTGGGATCAATCCACTTTGGAAAGATATCATCAAATGATACAAGCTCGTTCCAGCTGTGGTGATATCTTCAATAGTGCAAACAGTAGGTTGGTGCTATCGACATTATTTTCACAAAGATCACGAACACTTATAAAAACTAGATCTTTCAGTAAATATTAGAAAATAGTGATCAAAATGGATGTTCCAGTAGTTCTCGTATCAACCCCCTAAATGTATTTTGTTTTAATTAACTCCAGGTGCGCTCTATGTACCATATCATCACGTACTTTTCTCCAAGCTGCGAAATGTACAACGTGCAAGCTGTCGTGTCATACAACTTAGAAGACGGCAACTTTATATTTGCAAGGTTTAATATAAAAGCACTTGGAAAGGTATATCATACCCCTACACTGCTGACTTATTTGCTTCTATTTCCTGTAACGGATCTCTTTCTTTTGATATTTCTAACATCAGCATTGAGATAATTTTTAATGATATGCCACTTTACCACTACGAGTAATCTTCAGTGCGAAACAGCCAAGCTATGTAGAATTGGTCTCAGAAAATGAGTTGGTGTCGATTCATGTTCGTGTCAACGCTAGTAAAGCCTCGTTTGATGTAGAACCTACAACTGTCCCGATCAAAAACTCGGTCCATCTTACTAAGATGCTTTCCATCCCGATGTACTAGTTGAGTGCTGAGAAGGAATTCCTTATAGGAACGCTTAGCAGCCCGAACACGCCGTTCCATCAGACACTTTCTCACCAGATCGTCGTTTCTATCTTAGACGGTCCAAATGGTGTCACGACCACATGGCGAAAAACATGTTGCTGAAGTGGACTTAAATTTTTTATTTTCTGCCAGGCTTGTAAACTTTACGGGCTAAAAAAGGTCGTTACCTTGTTGAAAGCCAAATTGCCAAATCGAAAGAAAATGACACAGACACAGACGAAGTACTGGAGACACATAAATTTCAGAGTTTAAGACCGATTTGAAAATCATCCATTGGAATGGAAGTATGCTTATTCAAGGTCAATTGAACGGTTCTCACGCATGGACCGATCAGCAGCAAGAACAATACCGAGCGATTTAACCGCGTCTTGCATATGTTTTGACAAATCCCGATCCTCACGAATCGCATCCAACAGGAATTGCTGCTCACGCGCACAAAGCTCATAATGATCCGGTTCCCCCTCCATAGAAAGCATCTTATTCCGTGCCTGTCCATCGACCACAGTGCTCACGCGTATATTCGACGTTCGGGTGTGGCTGTTGATATCGGCTGAGCCGCAGCCATCCTCACCATCAGCAGTAGCCTTTTTACTTTCGTCCATCACAATCGATACCGAACCACGCGGCCCCATTATATCCTTGACAAAGTATGCCGTCTCAGACATCATTGGTCCCCATCCAACCTCGTACCAGCCGACCGACCCATCAGCAAACAGAATCTGCAAATGCCCATAATTCACCTGCCCTTGATCTGGAGGGAGCTCATCACTAAGCCGCAGTCCCATACCGCGTACCTGCACAGGCTGGCTATCGGTAATCTGCAACATAACATCCACGTAGTGAACCCCACAGTCAATTATGGGATTCTTCACATCCTCCAAAATCCGCTTATGAATCGCCCACGCATCACCACTCGAGCGCTGATTCAGGTTCATTCTCATGACGAACGGAGGACCGAGTTGGCGCGCCTGATGAATAAACTCAACCCAGCTTGGGTGGTGGCGCAGGATGTATCCTATGACCAGTTTACGGTTTGTGCGCCGCGCTGTACTGACGACTCTCTCTGCGTCGGAGACTGTTACTGCCAGCGGTTTCTCGACGAAGACGTGTGAGCCGGATTCCATTGCGGCAACGGCATAGTCAGCGTGAGTCGCTGTATGTGTGTTGACGGATACAACGTCGGGTTTCAGGGAGAGAGCTTCCTCAAAACTGGACAGAAGGGGGTAGTCTTTGAGTTCGTCGGGAAATGTCTTTCCTGGACGTCGTCGGTCGACCAAGCCGATGATCTGGAAACCAGGATTGTGATGGTAGGCCAGCGCATGGCTGTGACCCATCTGGCCGAGGCCGATGACCACGACGGTCAAGGGTTTATCTGTGGAAGTCATTTTTATTTATAAATTGTAGAGCTTTTTATGTTTTTAATGGTGTTGGAGTGTGAGATTTCAGCTTGGATGGAAGCGGGAAGGGTCAAATATATACACAATTTACGTGGTAGAACACATCAGACAAGTGCCATAATGATGTTGCCATGAGTCAATGTGGTACTGTAGTACTGCAGCACCTAACATGTATATCCCGTGCAAAAGGCGGCTGAACAATTCAGCTGTAGCGTTGCTGCCGAAGACATCTCGGTTGCATGCCAAAACATTTACGTCGCATTCGTGATGCGATGGGGTTAGGGTTAATGAATTTCTTAGGGCCCTCCGGGATGGAAGAACATTTAAGCGAGGCGATCTTGGATTGCTTGTTTTGTCCGTCGTTCCCATGCGTCATTGGCTATTATCGACGACATTCATCAATCACCCCAAATAATCAAATAATGGATGCGAGACGACAGGTAGGACTAAACGCGTGATTATACTGAGATTAAGGATTGCATTCATGCATATAAAGCCTTGTGCTGTTGAAAAGTCAAACATCTGATCTGAGCTCAAGCTCGGATCAAGAGCTGCAAAGTGCTGTATACATCAGAGGATTAGAATCGCTCCGATTGATACCGGAGACTTAATCGGTCAGTTCAGAATGTCGCATTATAAGGTCCTTCGACCTGCCACCGCGGCCGCAAGCAGGCTAGCAGGCAGCTCGATAAGAAGCAGTGGCTACATCTCCAGACAGACGCAGAAGCAGACATTGCGACATCATTCGTCCGTATCTGCCAATGAATTATCACACTTCTCCGGACTCGCCAGCAGCTGGTGGGATCCCATGGGTCCTTCGAGGGTTCTTCACCTCATGAMCCCTACCCGACACGACTTCATCGCGTCTTGCCTCTCAGAATCCGAGCTACAGACGAACACCCAACATGGTCTACGATATCTCGACGTAGGCTGCGGAGGTGGCATATTCGCCGAATCACTTGCTCGAACCCTCCCCTCTAAGACATCTGCAAGACTACATCCACGCACAAAAGCCGGGTCAATCGTCGCCATTGACCCTTCCACCAGCCTCATCAAAATAGCGCGTGACCACGCCAGCAATGATCCAGCAGTATTTGCGCATCTGCAGAGCGGTTCATTTAATTATGAGAATACTACGATTGAAGCCTTGTCGCAAACCCGCGGCGAGAGCGACAAAGAGTTATTTGACGTCATTACCCTCTTCGAGGTCATTGAGCACGTTGACCCGAGCACATCCTCTTCCTTCCTGACGCATTGTCTCAAACTCCTCCAACCGGGCGGATGGCTCATCGGGTCGACTATTGCACGCACAGTCCCGTCTTTCATCGTCAACAAGATGGTCGCAGAAGCGCCATGGCCGATTGGCGTGGTGCCTTGGGGTACGCATGAATGGAGTAAATTCGTGAATGCAGATGAGATGCGTGGATGGGTTGAGGAAGGTCTGATGAGAGCGGCGGATGGAGCGGCTTATCGGGCCGGTGGTGAGGCGTTGGTGGGGATGAAGTGGAAGGTTGCTGGGGTTGTGTATGTGCCTGGGTTGGGGTGGAAGATGGTTAATGGAGGGGAGGATTGGGGAAATTACTTTTGGGCTGTTCGGAAGGGTGTATGATTCATGGCTGGTAGCTGATTAGCGTTGTATGTACTATACTATGTAATTTGTATCAATCCGCATCTTGATTTCACACCGTTGAATTGAAACTGCAAAGACATCTGTCTAAAAACCTTCTAGAAGCCGACTAGAACAAAGACCGTTGCCGATGACAAAGCACAATTCCACTGTCTTTGTTGGCCGATCGACAGGGGATTTTTACCACGCAGATCATACGTACGTGTTTCCTACGTCGACATTCTTGATGATACGCTCCAACATCATTGGCAAGGCCCGTACCCCTTTAATCATATTCTAATTACCATCCACGAAGTGTGTATGTACGAACAGCACACTCCACAAAGGGACATTACTACATAGTAAGTACTGTTTACTATGTACACTAACAATCGCCGGCAGAGCTAGGAGCAACAACAATGAACGCATCCAATCGGTCCCCACCATCGTGACCTCATTGTTCCCTGAAACGATCAAAACAGCCGAGACAGAAAATCTTATTTTCTCACCCTTGATTGTCCTTCGCGTAGGGCGACGCCTTATCCTCCGCCTACCCCTTTATCTATCACACTACTACCTAAAGAGTCTACCTCCCGTGACCCTTGGCCGAGGGTCAGTGGGCTCACTGGCTCAGGGCTGGCGTGCCCCCCCTGATTTTCGTGCGATCAGATCCATTGCAAGTGGACACTGTTTTAGATTTCGACTCCGTACGTCTACGTAATTGTAACAAAGTCCTGGTATGAAGCGTCGACTTTTCTGTCCAGTGTGCTCATGTTCGATAATAAAAAGAAAAGTGGGCCCGCGAACGAGCCCCCTTTTTCTTCTCTTCTAGAAAAATACCTGATTCATCTAGCGTGACTGGACTCCGTAAAACCTGCTGTCGGTGGTTTAGTGTCACCCTACGTTTCACCCTGCAGCCAATGACCCTCGCATACCGCCCTTGCGCCTCGTTTCAGATTTGGTTTTGCTTTTTGTTTGGTGTTTGTACCCCTCTATGCTCATTGCTCATTCATAAGGATCTATCCGTGCTTGGCCGACAATGGACACTCCGTACACATTCCATCTTCGTATTAAATAGGAGTGAGAGTGCAGACAAGGAGCTGCAGGGGCATGCATACAGTAGCATCGGGGAGGGAGACCAGCATAAGCTAGAGTAAGACACTAACTACTCTTAGGATGTCTTCTAGAAAACGAGAAGAACAAAATAAAATGACGATGCACAGATGGCGCGCCTTGGCACCGTCGCTCCACTGTTTGGAATGCTTCTAGCGGCCTTCTGGAATAACTTTGTTAATTTCAGGGCTTTCTAAAATTGGATCTTACTGACGGCGTTGTATGCTTATAGTACGGCTTGCCGTACGATATTATACGAAGCTAGCCGTGAATCTCATGTGAGAATTCGAGAAGGGGGCTGTGCTGTCTAGCAATTATGTTGGATGTATGCACTCCGTACTCCTTAATTCCAGAGTATCCATCATATTCCGTATTTGTAATAACGAGTGTCCGGACTTCCATGGTGAAATCATAGCCAAGAACGTACGTATTGTGGATGGACGGAGCGGTGGGTAGCATGTCCAGCTCACGGACGGGGAGTTCTCGGCGGCTTGATATGAGTACGACAGCCACGCGTTGGCAACTTGGCGCCCGTCCTATCGATCCCGTACAGCGCTACGCTTAGTGTGGTAGTCAATCGCTCAGCTAATCCTTAGCGTTGTCGACAGATGTCCTCTATATAGATTCCTGACTCGTGCAGAGGAGCAGGAACAGTAATTGTTGGGGGCGTGAATTCATGAGCGAACAATTCGACAAAAAGTTGGCTTGTTGAGTCATGCTGTTGTATCATGCCTACCACTGCCCAGGACAGCGGACAGATACAGAGTACGTATCGTACAGAACCCTACTGTCGGAACCGCGACGGAACGGGGACTAGGGTAGCCCTGGCCCAGTGTTTAGGAATTTAGCGTGCATCGTTAGGCTTAGACCGTTTGTCGCCGCCAGCTCCATCGCCGGCCGGCGTCTGTGCTGTCCGCTTAGCTTGCATTCAGACGACGACATGACTGAGTCAAGCATCGGGTTAGTTGGTGGCCAGCTGGATGATTGATTATCCAGTCTAGCAGACTACACCTAGTCGTAGCCTGCCACATGGCTAAAGATACTCCGTGAGGTACAGAGTCCACGATTCATCAGTCTGTCTCCTGGCGTCGTACTTGGCGTGGATCTGTCGGTAGACCATGTAATGTAATGAATACCTTCGCGAAGACTATCGTGAACACTGAACGAGTAGGGACAGAGGATATAGGATAGAATTACCATGTTCCCAAATACGTATCAACTAAGTACATGAAAAACAAGCATATGAAATTAGACAAGAACACGAGACCAACTGCCCCCAAAGGCGGCAACTGCAAGCCAACCTTACGCTTATTAGGTCTCAGCCGTATTCGCAATACGACCCAGCGTAATTTATGCTAGCGCTATCCCTGCAGCTCATACTATTAATACGTGCCACTACCGACTATGCCGACTGGGATGCGAATTTTTATTTATTATTATTACTTTCCTGCGTCCTCTGTCTGATCATTGCCCTGTTGTTGTCATCCTACGTGCTGTTCTATCTATTTACCGCGCATGCTAATCTCGATCTGCCGTGTATCGGCTCCACTGTAATTTTTTCCCTTTTCACCGCGTCATTCTCCCCCATTGGGCTGGCCTGCCATCACAAATAATCATACCGCGCCATATCCGATCAACGTCCTTTTCTTCCATCAAACAACCTCGCTCCCTCATCCTACCGCATCTCTTCGACTGCGTCCTTGGTCTTTTGTCGCGTTTGGCAGGTACATCGAGACGGCACTTGTTGCACAGGCGTCATAGCGGATAGTGTAGGTGATGATTTCTTTGCTTGACTTTTACACTTGGGCAACGACAGCAGAACGACACGTACAGTTGAGGGACGGGCATCCTCGTTTCTTCCTACCTGAGTCCTCGGTCTTCACAGTCAATCTCATGCGAGATTACTAAGGTGATCGACTGAGGCAAGAGGCGAGGGTGGCCGCGACTAGCTGTTCTCTTGTCACCTATCCAGCGCCCCCTCTTTGTAACCGACGTGAATGGAAGCTTATTTCTTTTGACAGGAGCCACTTGCACTGCGATACCGAAATCAATTTCATCATCCTACGTTAAGACGACGATACGATTCGACACATAGCAACAGCTTAGTCATACGAACGCAGAATCAGCTGATTCTTTCAACATATCGACAACCTCAATAGCGAATCTGAACACAGTCTATCTCAACTACCGTGTTGATCTTACGATCCGATCAGAAGTGCGAACACACCCACCGAGCTCCTATTCAACGACTCGCTATCCACTCACAATACGAGGACGACGTTGACTTACCCGCAATACTTCTAATCAATTACAACCTGCCTCTAGGGCAGGTCATGGAGATCCCGACCATTTTGAATAGGAAAGCGTCCGCGGCAGTGGCTGCAGATCCTCGCTTCCAGGCACAACTCGCGCAGGCAGTTCATTTGCACACACAAGAGATGAGCGAACAGGCGAATGCTCAACCAAATCACGCCGTTATGGGTTACCCTCCCAACACGCAACCCCTTCATCAGGGACAATTGCCTGGTCAACTCTGGCCTACGCATCCAAACGGTGCTCCGATGATGCCGAATAATTGGGACCCAAATCCTTTTGCTGGCGCTCCACCGCAGCCTCCACAACCATCGCATACACCGCCTGTTCAGCAACAGCAACCCCGCGCTGAGCCAGCGCCTCGTGTTTTCCACTGCTCGACTTGTCAGAAGGGGTTTGCACGCCGTAGCGATTTGGCTCGTCATGGTAAGAGTCTCCCATACATACTAGGTCGATAAATGCTAACTAGTCTAGAACGCATCCACAGCGGAATCCGTCCTCATGCCTGCGATTGGCCTGGTTGTGGTAAACAGTTTATCCAGCGCTCGGCGTTGACTGTCCATGCCCGCGTACATACTGGAGAGAAACCTCACATGTGCGAGCGATGTGGAAAGGTGAGTCCGATTCATTGAGATGCAAGGCGTAGACTGACTGTAATAGCCCTTTAGTGATTCCTCGTCACTAGCGCGACATCGTAGAATTCATTCTGGGAAGCGGCCATACAAATGCCCCTATGCAAACTGTCAAAAAACATTCACCCGCCGTACTACGCTTACTCGTCACCAAAATCACCATACCGGAACTATCGAAGAGGCAGCAGCTCAGACAGAAGCTAGTCTACGACAAAACAGAGAAAAGTCGGCTCGGGCGTCTGAAAGTATCTATTCGGAAACAGGATCAGGCCACTCAACACCATCGCCTGGACAGCAAGCTGCCATGGGATTAGGCAGTGAGCTTCCACCGTTGAATATCATTCGTTCTACAGGGGAGTATTATATTCCGAATGGAGGAATCCCGCCACATGTGCGCGGCGACTTCCAGCAAGCAAGTCCTCGTGCTTCACCGGCAGCTACATCGCCTGCGCTGTCGAGTTATAGCAGCCATCCTCGACCTTCCATGACCTCGCATCCTAGCGGTTACGGACCACCCCAGCCACTCGAGCCACCGGCGACCACTGACCACCGCCCCGGCAGCGTCACAGGCAGTCCCCATATGACAAGCATGGGCTGGGCATCACCGTCTCATGCTAGTATGCCGTCACCTGGGTCTCCACACGAGTTTGGATACACTGAGCCGAATGTAGCTGCATACGCCAGCGCCATGCCGCCGCACATGTACTTTCCCAACTCGACTATCCGACGACCTGGAAGCACCGAGCCGGAGAACTACGAAATGAAACCCCGAATCGGGCCTGACGGATGGTCCACTCCTATCTAAGGCGTTTGTGCTTGACTTTTCGTTGCATTGTCCTGGTGACACATTTCCTTTTCAAAGCGAACCGATTCCCCTATTTGTTTCGTCTTTCTATCGCTATCTGTTTTATCTGTCGAGAGCATTGATTGATTCCCTAATATTCCCTCCATACTGATTACCCTTTGTTTATGAATCATGTATAGCATACCTTTTTTCATTTGTTCAGAGAGACCCAATGTCTTAATACTAGTGAGTCAGTCCTCACAAAACCACGCATTCGCACTGGATGGAGCTAGGAGTACGATTCAGGGCATGGTTTGAGTTGTTGGTTGGTTGGATTCGGCGGCGTTTGAGATATGGTCTATAACCAAGAATGGTGCGCCTGGCTTGTATGTATGCAGTTGCTTGACTTTTTGTTTTCTCATTTGTCGGGTTTTTTGTTTTCTGTGTTGTGTTTTTAGCATTATTGTAATAAATACTTGAATCTGTACACTTGCTGATGTCCAATCTGATTATATCGCTAAGCGCTGTGGATGGAAATAGTCCGTTGTTCCATGTTCGAAGTCCGCGCCTACATGTAGAAACGGCCAGTGACGGCGGTTACGAGAACCTCTATAGACACTACGTATGTACCTGGGGTATATAAGGATACAGGATAAGGTAACGAGATGAGCACCTACCTCTATCTGCTTTGTTTAGTAGTCAGTGTTCCAAACATGACTCAAAATCATATGAGCAAGCGCTACCAGAAATCCCTTGGATTCAACTCCAACACAAGAGGGGGTCATTATTCAGTCTTCATAATCATAATCATCACGGTACGCCAGTTGCATCTCGGGGGTAATGGTGTCTATAGTATGCTCAAATGCCGTTTTAAGCCAGGGTAACCAATCCCAGTTCACCCGGTCGCCAAAATTATAAGTTGGCGTGAGCTTCCATCGTAGAAGTGGAGAGACATACTGTCCCAGGAATAGATTCGGTTTGTATTCTGGAGGAACAGGGTCATCCCTTATACGACCAAAAATCGCTGCTGCAAAGTCAATGAATATAAGCCGTTTCTCTGGATGCTGATCCTCGTCAGAATTAGCATCCAGGGTGGATTGGGGAAGTTTCATCATTATGTTTCGAGGGAATAAATCCGCTAGTAGAATATCACGCTCGTAAACTCGGCTTTCGAAGTCAATGACTGAGCGCATGATACTCTGTCGACGTTCTTGTGAGAACGCTCTGACATTCATGACCGACAAGTTTGATCCGCGTATGAGCTGAATTAGGACGAGTCGAACTGAGCGGAATGTGTGACCAACAGACGGCAGTTCCAGGGAATACGATCCATAGAATTTAGGTATTTCCTTCCCTTGCATTTCGCAAAGAACATGATATGCGCGGGATTCGTGGGTGTAGTGCCGGTCCACGCACAAGAAGGGATTGAGAGAACCTTCTTCATCGTCGAAATAGAGCGGATCATATATTTTGGCAACGAGGCGATCTCCGATTTGAAATTTTTGCACCTCTTTTTCTTTTTTCAGTGTGTTGAAGCCTTCACTCTTGTGCAAAACTTGGACAACGACGACCTGCGCATTGCGACCATCTCCAACCTGCACAACTGGGCCGGTTAGTTCTAGTCGAACATAGCATGGTTTCTCGAGATTGCCTTGTAGCGGCGGGTGGCGATTGCATCGCTCTAATGCCTTGTCGATCGAATCGATGCCTCGCCGTTCTTTTATGTCGGTGGTGGTGTTGATGCAGTTATTTCTAATGACTGGGGTTGGAGGGGGAGGACGATGAAGGTGGACGGTCAACTGCGACCCCTTGACGTAGGGTGGCTCGGGTTTTGGTAGTGAAGTAGAGGGTATATCCATAAGCATGCTGTGTGGTCTTTTTCTACATATGTAGGTAGGAAGTGAAGCTCGGAAGTTGATTGCTAGGTTTGACTACGTGGTTGTCGKGTACAGATAGCCGAGTTCCTTGTACTATTTGACCACGCGTCTTTGAGACTGTCAACATACATGTACGGTGAACTGCGACCGCTTGACGTAGGAATGGTCGGGTTTGGGTGGTGAAGTAGAGGGTATATCCAAAAGCATGCTGCGTGGTCTTGACCTAGATACTTGTCCAAAGAAGGAAATTTTGTAATTTTCACAGGCCAGCATCACCTCTCAACTCACTCGGCGGCAAGAGATCGATCTCCATCATGGACCTAAATATTAGGGGAACCGAACCGGAAATATAGATTTACCAACCAACCAACCCGATGAATCTCCAGATTMCCGAGCCGTTTATCTACAAGCCGAGAAGACGCAGGTAGAGGTTGAGAGAGAGAGCGATCATATACCCGAAGTCGGAGAGGTACGCGTACCGATGGGACCAAATGGACGAGGACAGTGTGGATCACAAACATACAGAGTAGAGTAACTTGTTAAATTTGATGTGGGCAATTCATCCGTCAGCCTGTTGGTTAGACTAGATGGAGCACGCGCTTGGTGTTTTCAGTTGCTGTAGCCCAGTTATTGGGTGTTGTTGGATGTGTCTGTTGGAACTTGGTGCTGAGCGCGAGAGAATAGCCCTACATACCTACATGAGTCATACTTGGTCCGGCTCATCACATATACAATAGATAGTTTCGTGTTACGATTCTGTTGAACATTTACACGCTTTCTGGATAAACCGAAATATTACTCTCGGTCTTGAACACTAAAGTTGATCCTTGCTGGGATGTCTTCTCTCGTTCACGAAGATGCGTCTTCGCTTCAGCGCGAAACTTTTCAAGTCCAGAATGACGAGACCACTCCCAGGAAGATGCCCAAGATTTCCGCTACCGCACTCATCTTTTCTCTATCTTTGACTACCGCGATTCCTTCTTTTTTAAATGGAGCAATTGTAATATGTTTGCCAAATATAGCCGCGGAGATCCATCTTGCGCGCAGCTTGTTGCTTTGGTAAGATCCGTAACTTGAGCACGCTTTATACCCTAGCAAAGGACTGATTTCGAATATTACATGCAGGCCGTCATCTATTTCTCATTGATCAGTGGTTGCACCCTCCTTTTAAGCGGCGCCCTGGTCGACGTCTTCGGGCCGGCAATCATGTTCCATCTCGGATGTCTACTACAACTAGTAGCCAATATTGTCTGCGGCTTCTCTCAAACGGGGCCCCAATTAATCGCCTTCAGAGTTCTTGCAGGCTTGGCTAATTCATTGTGTCTTCCATCCGCGGTTAGCATAACGACGAAGCTCTTCAGCAACGGGAAACGACGGAATATTGCGTTTGCTTCAATGGGAGGAGGCCAGCCCGTCGGCTTCTCAATAGGCCTCTGCATGGGGGGTGTTCTCGCGGACACAGTTGGGTGGCAATGGTCAGTGTATCAACCTTGCGCCCTCTTGATAAATGACGTTAACTGGGACACAACAGGATCTTCTATTCTGGAGCTATATTAAATGGTGTGAACATATTGCTTGCCATCACCACGCTCCCGAAGCTCACATCGCCGAAAAAGATAACCTTTCACTATTTGCTCCATGGTATAGACTGGACAGGGGCTCTTTTGGCAAGCGCCTGTCTGGCAATCATATCATATATATTACTGTCAGTTGATCCATTCGCATTACTTGACAAATCGGCAAACTGAGTCTTGTTCAAGCACGTTAGCAAGCAACGGGCATAATATCGCAAAGCCTCTCGTGATTTCATTGATCATCGTATCATGCATTCTCGCGGGGGCATTCTGTTTATGGATCAGGTTTCAAGAAGAAGCTGGCCGAGCGGCACTCATTCCTACCACTATGTTAAAAAACCGTGTTTTCGTCAGTGTTTGTGTCAATGTCTTCTTAGTCTGGGGAGCTTCAAATGCAACTGAGACGCTAGCTTCTTTGTTCTTCCAATACGTCCAAGGTCTGTCTGCGCTTCAGACATCAGGTACGTTGCACTTCCAGGAGAACTTTGGATTCTGAATTGAACGCTGAGATGCTGGGTAGTAAAACTCTTACCTGCTCCCGTTGGAGGAGTACTCGCCAGTATTCTCGTCGGGCTCTTTGTTCAACGACTAAGAGCAGATGTGTTCTCTATTCTTGCAGTCATGATAGCCTCCCTAGCACCGCTTTTAATGGCAATCGTTCACCCGGATTGGTCATACTGGGCGTGTATCTTCCCAGCCATGGCAGCGAATGCAATCGGGGCTGATACTCTGTACACGATCTCGAATTTGATCGTCACTGCTTCTCTTCCTCCGGACAAGCACGGTATCGCAGGTGGAATCTACAATACCATTGCTCAGATCGGTCGAAGCTTTGGACTCAACATTTCAACCATCATCGCGAATTTGGTCACTGATAGGTATCCCTCTACTGATCAAGGCAGTCCCGAAGCTCTCCTAAGTGGCCATCGCGCTGCGTTTTGGTACTGCTTTGCCGCAAATTTGGTCACTCTGTCTGTTGTCCTATGGGGTCTCAGGCGGATTGGCAAAGTTGGTATAAAGGATGACTGAGCCAGCAATTATGCATAACGCGATGTGCGCGGTCATTGTGTCCATTACGACAAGGGCGTTACCCAAGAGTCTTGTACCACAAAAAATTACAATGCAACAGATTCAAGGCAGCTGATGCACTTGCGGAGAAGATACGAATTACTTCATAAATACTAGCATGGGCGAGATATGGTTGGGGATTCATAAGCGGCATTTTCATGGATAGCTGCAGTCGGAAGAAGAACATGCTTCAATAGAGCCAGCAAAACTGACCGTACCTGGTTCTACATTGATACTTGAGGATATAGGCGAATCGTGCCCGTATTTACTATCTGTCTCAATCTATCTACACTGTACCATATACCAATCAATCCTCGATTTTGGGAATCACTTAGTCAAGTGGCAATCAATCAAGACTAAACATAGGACACAGAAATCCACCCATTTATTCAGCTGCGAATCAGCATAATTATAAGATATAAACATACACCAACAAACCCCATAAACATAGATATATGCACACCAGCGAGGTAAGTATTAAACACTAGAATTAAATGCCGGACAAACACACGTCCCGTCAACGCCCATCGACGAATACGGCGCGCTCATCGCCGACGATGACGATTCCCGTCCGAGCAAATTCATCATCAAATTAGAGACAAACGATGGGCCGGCGGGATTCTCGGCTGCATGGTTGCTAGACAGTATTCCGAATCGGAGAAAGACTTCGCTTGTGGTGACGAGGATTGAGATTATGATTAGGATGATGATGATCCATGTTTGATCTGTCGTGGTCAGTATGGGGCTATACACAGTCAAGGGATCAGGCTTACGTGACTCGGTATTGTCTGCTACAGAATCAGACAGGATCTCGGTCAAATCGAGAAAGACTCGGCACCGCTCGTTGAGGACCTGGATGCGCGGTTTGATTTCGAGGTATTCTCGGACGGCGATGTAGAGTGGGTAGAGGGTTGGCTCAGACTCCCAGAAAAAGTTGGGCACATCCAACATATTCGATGCTATCTTCATTAGTTCCAGCCTTCTTCTCGAAGGCAAAAGGGGGAACTTACACAAATTGACTTCAACACGACTTTTGAACAATCGGCCCAATATCCGAAACACCTCATCACGCTTCATTCCAAGTTTGCCCGTCAAGGCAAGTCGGCGTGGCACATCCTTGGCTTCCGTCATTTCCTTTGACATGGCCTCTTCGAAAAAGCACAATTTAGTACTTTGGGCTATTCCGTGCGATATCGCTAATTTGATCATGTGGTCTCTCGACCGTAGTGTGATCATGTCGTTGTACACTCGCGGTCGAGAGATTTCAGTTGAGTACTCAAAGTGAAACTCTTCCGTCTCAAAGTCTTCTTCTGCAAGTGGCAGAGTTGCCAACGAGATTTGTGGCCCGGTGCCGGATGATGAGAAAGTCAGGTCGGCGAGTATGTCCTTTTCTTGCCGTTCGGTAAAGTTCCAGAATACTACGACTCCGTAGCTAAAGACGAACATCTCGGCGTAATCGAACACGTTTGAGGGTATTCGGTTTGCTGTTGTGGGTGTTGTTGGTGTTGTCGAGGATGATGTCGTTGGCTGAGGTTTATGAGATTCCGATGTTTCTCGCTCGCTGCTTGAAGGTCGACTGTCTCCGGAGTCCGTATCTTGTGCATCCGATTTATGATCGTTTTGATTCCTACCGCTGTCCTCAGACTCATTATTCTGGTTCCGTCGCCCACCAACAGAATGCTCATGCTCCTCCACATAATACTCATCATGATAATCCCTCTGCTCATTCCGCTCAATCTCGTCATCCAGCACAACCCGTCCACCGGCCCCTTTCAGCACGGGACTACTGCGTAGCCTATACCCGCCTCGACCAGGGAGTAAAGGCAGATGGTACGCTGTATACAAACAATCATCATACAGCTTCGTCCTCGCTCCATGCCACTCCTTGACAAAAGAAGCGGTAGCACCCATCTTGAATCCCTGCGCAGTGCAATAAGCCGTTACACGAGGTAATTTCTCTGCTCGTCGAGCCTTCGGCAATCGTTCGGCATAGCTTTTCGCCTTTTCCGGTGGCACAAATCGCTGTCTCAATGCTTCTTCCTCAGCCAGTAACGGGGCAAGATCATTATCAACTCCAAAATCTCCCTGTAGACGCTGCTGCGCCGCTAATTGTAGTCGTCGGCGTAACGTATCCGGGTCCATGTTTCTTTCTTCTGCGATCCTACGAACTAGTTCATCATCAACCGGCTCGGCAAGAAATTCTTCGTCTCCTCCATCGCCACCAATCCGACCGACGGTTTCTGCCTCTGTGGTGTCTTCCAAATCCGGCAATAGAACCAGCTTCTCACTGACCTTGGTCGATCGAGACGGCAATCGAGCCTGCGCCGCCAATCTACCGGCTGTACCTAATGTGCCCGATCCACCACCGCCAATACCACCACCACTGCTACCAATGACATTCCCACCGCCGCCGACACCGACACCACCAATGCCTCCGCTCAATGGCGCATTGGATCCAGACGCCGCGCCCGCAATACCAGTAGACGCCGAAAGACGTGATCGAGGCCTCATCTGCGGACGCTGTTGCATGGGCCGCCGTTGTTGCATCGATGGGATATCCGAGGCATATTGCAGGACATTGTCGACCGTGATGAGACGCGTGGCAGGCAGCGCGGCCCGGCGACTGGGGCGTTGAGCATGTTGGTCTCGCGAGTCGGTTACCTTGTTGTCAGCCTGTCAGCATGTCGAGATAATCAGAGTTATTTTCAGGCAGTATACCAAGACAGTGGGATTCCGTCTCCCAGCTTCGGGCGGCGCCATCTTCCCTTCTTTCGATGATGATGGTTGTTGCAAGCAATTGAACGCAATTCTTCAACGCAACCAATCTCTATGACTTTTTTCTCAACTCATCTGTAATCCCGTCCTCACTAATCAGACAAAAATAAAATCGATGTGCGTGCAATGATCAAACAGGCGGGGATCTGCAGAGTCCAATCGTCACCCAACGTCGCTGCCAATGATTGGCACGGGACATTTTGGGGAACTTTTCTACATGACGTCGAGCGGCAGTGCTTATATAATCATTACTTACAATCTGTCAAATACGCAGTACGACCAATACCGCTAACGTATGGAGGATGTAAAATACAAGCAGCGGCTAGCCACGTGCTGACGGTGGTCCGTCCAGTCTGGGTCTGCCCACCAGCAAGTCCACATTCGGGCCATAACATCCGTCCGTGACTGTTTTGTGTACTATGTACCGTCAGAAGCCAGAGCGTATCGCCGTACGGCTGTGTACACTGTACATGCACCAGTCGGCCCCAGCCGAGTTGGCATCCGCTTTTCTGGCAGCGCTAACAAAAACTAGCTGCACTAGATTACTACTTACATAGACTCCTTAAGAAAGGCAAAAAAAAAAAAAATCAAGAATCCATAAAGCAAAGGGCGATTTATCAGATGGGGGAGAGACGACTGAAAAGTCAAACTCCAGAAGATCTGATTACATCGTAAGGTCATCGGTCCCAACCATTACTTTTTTACATGTATCATCCTGTACTATAAATATGCATATAGAGATCTAAAAACAAATATATTTCTTTGTACATTTAGTCGAATTGGTCGAATGTAGTCCAACCAAACCTGGAACCATCGCCCTTTTTGGTAAGCTTTGCAGACAAAGCATTGTATTCCCTTTCAGACTACTATTGACCAAACGGTTCGAAAAATGGATACCAAAGTCTATTAGACGCCGGCTCGTTTATAATTTCCTATTTATCCCGTCGTACTCATTACCGTACCACGGTTTCTGATGTTCATGTGAACGTTTCCCCGAGAACAGTCAAAGTCAAATGGTTGGATAAAACATATGCTGGCTATGTAACCCAATAAAACTCCGTTGTTTCCTTTCTAGTTCAAACCAAAGAAACAAGATGCAAATATGTACATGCGATATCAATGATGCATTATGCGTGTTATTTTGTGTATCCCGTCGTCCTGTCTGTCCAAGCTGTTTCGACATGCTTATCTGCAATATTTTTGTGTAGAAAACAAAATGATAGAATAACAGTAGACACCAAAAAAAAGAGCCAGCCGTTAAGACTTTCCCCGCAATCGTCGATCTTCGTCCCAGATTTCCTTCTTCATCCGCTGCACTCGAGCATGCATTTGTTTCAAACGTGAAAGATCCGAGGGCGTGGGATCCATCTGGTTGACCAGAGAGTTGTGAAGATCTCTATACCTCGAGTATAGCTTCTTAAAGTCCATCGATTTCTGTCGTAATTGTTGGCGATGATAGTCGCGATTGTGCGGTGGTGACGCGCTTCCAGAACTCGTTCCACTTGGTGACATTGACTCAATCGGTCGCCGGCGTTTAATGTCCTCGCCATTCCGATTCAACCGACCAGTCGGCATCGGGTCGGGTAAGGCCTTTCTCTTCAAGGGGTTTGTCTGCTCAATTACCGGTTTCACCGTGCCATTGGGTTTCGCAGGAACTTTTGGCTTGATAACGGTAGTAGGGGCCGCAGTTTTCGTCTTGTTTTGCTTGGCCACCTGTGCTATCAGGGGTGATGAACTAGATGAGCTCGTCTGTCCAGAATTCTGACTAGAATTGTCGATATCAGAGGCATTGGTTGGTGGAGAAGACGCCAATGGAGACGGCTTGACTGGAGAAGTAGGTTTTGTTGCTCGAGATCCAGGCAACGTCTTTGAACCAGTTCCATTTCCATTGGTGGCAGGAATAGTCTTGATAGTTCGCGGTTGAGGTTTCAATGTAATCTGAGGCTTGACCGTTGGTGACTGAGCGGCAGAAGTGGGTTTAGAAGCCGGCTTTGCAGGTTTGCTGTCTACTAGCTTAGCTGGCAATTTCTTGTTTTCTGTAGATTTCTTGGCTTCCGGAGGTTTCTTGCTTTCTGTCGTTGCTGCTGGCTTTTTAGCTGCTGGCGGAGGCGATGGAATAGGAGGAGCGTCCGGAATGTCCGTGTCTTCGTCTGAATCATGCACAAACTCGGCAGATTTGAACTTGCCGGTAGGCTTCGGAGGTGGAGCCTTCTTCTCCGTCTTTTTTGTAATTCGTCCTGTGAGTGTACTGTTCTTGGCTTTGGTAGTCGGCGGTTTCTTCGCTGCAGGTTTGGATGAAGTATCGCCTGCCATAGCGTTGGGTGTCAATCGGCCGTTGGTTCGGTCAGTTTCGTTGCCAGTCAAATCGCCTTCTTTGCTTGTCTCTTCCGCAGCATGCACTTTGATAGGTGGTGGAGGTGCAGTTTGAAGTTTCAGTCTTGATTTGCAGATTCCTTTGGCTCGCTCTTCTTTCGAATTCAGCATCTGCCAAAGCTTGTCTGACGTAGAAACTCGCTGTCGGTCGAAAGCTGAGATTGCGTTTTCGATGGCAGAGGCACGATCGGACTCGCTTGGGTAAGGGAAGCTCCAAATATCCAATTCTTTGTAGCTCTTATCCTTCAGATTGAATTTAGAAGGGTCGATACGGTTCTCAACTCCATACTTTCTGGCTAATTCAAGACAATCTTCCTGCGACGAGCGGGTTGTTTGAGCGAGGTACTTGACTGACACGGGTCTGACAGCGAGAAGATGGATGAATGGTGTTTTCAAAGCGTCCTGTCGGGCCTTTCGCTTGTTCTGGGAGGACGGAACTGACGTCGGAGTGAGAGTTGGGAGAGATGCGGGAGATCGAATGGCACCCAGTGAGGGACTGCCGGAAATGGAGCGATTCTTAAAGAAACGTTCCTTGTCCAGGTCAATCTTGCTCAAGGGAACTTTGGACCGAGATTTTCGGTCGTCAGGCTTAAGATTGACAAGTTGTGTCTTCTTCGATTCCTTGCCCCGTTCAAAGGCGCTCAGGCTCTGTTCAAGGGTGGCCAGAGCTTCGTCTGTAGCAGCCGTTGCTTCTTTTGCCTTTTGTACCTCGAGACTGTGACTGAGCACGCCGGAAAAGTAAAGGTTTTCTCGATCGTCTTCGGAGGTCTTGTATAATTCGGAGCGATGGGTTTCGAGGTGGGAATGGAATTGCTGAGATTTGGAGCCGTAATAGAGGGTTTGGTGCTTTCCAAGGCGTAATCGAGCTTTCTGGTCGTTGCGAAGGCTTTCCACGAGCTCGTCCAAGGTGCTTTGAGCGAGGTTTAGACGCAAAATCTGAGTCTGTTTGGCATGGGGATCTGGAGAGAGGTTGCCGGGCTGGTCTCCACGCCAGAGAGACAGCCCGGTGTCGGGGACGGTAAGAGCCATGGCAGGAAGTGCCCGACTTAGTACAAACGGTGGAAACAGTCGACGTTGAATAGGCCAAGTTATGCAAATAAATTAATTTGACCAGAAGGGCACCGACAATTAGATCGCAGGGTGTTGTGGGAGTGTTGGTATCAAGGAGCTGCTGGTTCAGCAGGGTGGAGGCGAATGGCGGATTCCAGCTCCATAGAGAAGCACCAGCCAGGAAGGAAGGTTGGTCAAACACCACAACAAAGCAGCAAACAAAGCGGGCACTCGAGATGTCACGGCATCATCAAGCACAAAGAGGGTGACCACAACCTGGAGGGAGTAGAAAGAAGAGGGTGGCAGAGGGAGAGAAGGAGAGGTGAGGTGAGAGAGCCAAACGGACGATTGATGGAGTTACGTCGGTTTGTTGGAGGGAAATCAATCATGAGCGAAACAGCCCCGGGCTAGGCAGGATACAGCCGTCCGTCGTACGATACGTATGATACGGTGCAATACATGGTAGAACCAAGCCTATGCACGGATGCAGCGCGCCGTCATACATACAGTCTATTACATACATACGAGTACGGGCGCTGATACGCTGTCGAGGCGGGAGCCAGCGTTGACCCGCTTCAATAACACAAAGTTCGTGATTCGTGTAATTACCTAGTTTCAGGCCGTAACAGTACGTACGATCTTACGCCTAGCTTCGGTGATCTATATAGCTTCAGATTATTCTCTACTCCTGAATAGGAAGTTAGTGTAGAGAATTGCCTTGAGTAAGCACAATGAGTTTACAAATACGTCCTTGTACATGTACCTACGGCGTAGAGTGACAGTGCCAGCACCGACCAACTCTAGCTTTGCGGCGGCTTTGTTCGGGAGCCAAACTCAATGAAGGACGGGCCCTGTAGTAGCCAATACTAAAACTCCGGCAATCGGAATCTGTAAACCACCAGACAACGGTATTGTCCGGTATGTTGAAACGAGATCTTAAGATTCAAACAAGCCAATGAAAAGGATAATGATGAATAAAAGGACAGCAATGAGTATTATGACTTTGTATGTTTCGGGCAATTTTATATTCAACCCGACCATTGCCAGTTTGAAGCACGAATAATGACTACATCTGGCAAGGCAGAGGGCGGGTTCCTGACTGATACCGGGGCACGGCAAGCAAACCACGAAACAATAAGCTTATTGACTGTCTCTACGCCGTAAAGACTGGACAGTGATTCCCGTAGATGATCATTAATTTGCAATTACAATGATTACACATCACCGGTCCGTATCATTTGCAGACTGCTAGACTCACCGTTCGCTATGTCTAACCTGATATCCAATACCTGAAAGTAGTGAGTGGGGAAGACCCAGTCCACCTAGACCGGACTTAGTAATCCAGCTGTGGCTAACGACTTTCTTCACATCACAGGGAACTGATTGGAATCCGCGCTGATTAATCTATTTTACATGAATGATGAGTTGTACATAACACACACTACATACTACGTACAACGTACCAGGGGCTTGGCTTCAAGTACAAGAGCCAGCACTGCAGATGATGACAGTTCCATTAATGGGCCAGGTACAAACCTGTTTCACGTACATTCTTGCCAATTCTATCAGGCTTTACGCTGGACACTGCCAGTGGACAGAGTGCTCAAGTGAGCGATAGTATGATTAGTATCGGAGTTAGCCTGAAAATGCGGGCCACAATCTGCCCGTCACTCTTTTAGGCCCAGTGTCGCCACACCACGGCCCCACTGCATTAGCACCGGTAGTCTGTATTCGGTCGGAACTGCTTCAGAGGTGCTTGTGCTTCGTTTGAGTCTTGAGTCTTGAGATGAGTTCGCGGATTGAAAGTATTCACAATGATTGAATCTTGAGTCGTTGATGGACAAATCTAGAATCCGATACAATCATGCTGGATATGGTTTTCCCCACGACAGGGCCATGGGTCACCCAAACCTTCTCTGCCAACTCGTGATCGGGGAAGGTCTGGGCGGGGCCCACGGACATGTGTAATTACCGTATTCTGCCTGGGTAACGATAATACTCGTATCGATACACGCTTCGACGGTGCTTCCAAGGTCCGTATTCGTGATCAATGAACATGAATAACCACTCGAACCCATTCATATAATCTCCTAGTTTGGACTGATTTATTTAGTATACATAGTATGTAACTGCCGTCTCTCGTATGAAACGGAGAGCTGTCTAATCAACTTAACACACACATGACACAAAACATCGGGCGGACACTTAACCACGTCAAGTAAAACATCCATTGGCAGCTGTTACACAAGACCCAGGAACCGAAACGCCCTGTCTCTCCTCAGCTAACTACGTAAATTGTTGTTGAAGTCAGCTCTTACATACACATACACGCTTTGTAAATAACTAGCTGGCTAGCAGAAACCACAGCTACGGGTGCAAGAAAAAGAAAAGCGTGTGCCCCCGCGGAGAAAGCCTACTTCTTATTCGACGACAGGTCGGCGATTGGTATGAGTTCCTTGCGTTGCGAAAAAGCAAAGATGGGGTAGACTGGTGGCGAGAGTTGTTACTGTACCTGTTTAGTTCTCGGATCGCCTAGAGAAAACAAGTTGTCGGGGAGCGTAAACTGAGTTCTAGATTTACTTTACTAGTGAACGTGCTTTTCGTAGTCATGTAGCAACGAGCCAGCCCTTAGGAGGAGGGTAATACTGTTCTGCGCTTACAGTTGCATGTAATTAACCACGGAATAGAATGTGAATTTGGTATCGACAAATACATGAATCACGCTCTCTGTACCGGTACATACGGTACCCGATTCATGAATCATGAAAGCAACTGTATGACCCTCACCGTACAAAGCACTGTGAAGCGAACTTCAACTGGTGGTATTTTGTGAATGCTAAAATCGTCGAAAATCATGTCGTATCAGCTAGACCATTAGGAGTAAATTGTAACATTTCTGTACAAATTAAAAGGATCAACTGATGATCCGGCTCCTTTCCCCCTCTTATGGAACCGGGCCTATTATTATCTAGTCTAACCGGCTTCGATCCTGCAAAAAATGCTCCCCTCCCCTTCTAATCTCACTACGTACTCAACTAATCATCCCGATATAATCCTGTTTCTTATTTAAATGCTCCTATTATTCCGCCACTCATAACAAACTGCATCATGGGAGGAATGATTTTCATGCAGGTACCGAAACTGCTGACTTGGTCGTTATGATGAGTCCTATCCCTAGGCGAGCTGATCGGATGGGATGTATCACTTTTTCTCGAGCCTTATTGTGTGCACACAAGTAGGTTTGCTCAGCATTTCGAAGTTCCGCCTTCGATGTCGAGTTTCTGCAAGTCAGAAATAAAGAACAAAGCTAAACCCTCTATTCTTCTCCGGTCAAGTCTGCACCGAGCATCATTACATGCAGACATACATTACTACCTAACTAGGTAGGCCTTTCGCATGTTGAAAACCTGATCGTAATCTTGTGGAAGTCACAGTTCTCCGCTATTGTGTTACATGTACCATCTACAAAGTAGTACAATCATAGTCATGGTAGTCGCATACCAGAGGATCATAGCCGCGTTACATCCATGACCTCCTAGGTATGCAGCAGCCACGCCCGTCCAGATGTCGGTAGTTGGGAAGCCTGTTCTTCTTGTAATAGGTTATGGTCATGATGAAACATCCTGAAATCTCGGCTCTTCGCCGCTCTCAAGAGTTTCAATTGAATTAAATTCCGTCGATCTTCATGCCACCTTATTCTAGGATGATCTCCACAAGCGAAGGAATATCGGAGTATCATGGAATGGCCTATCCAGCTCGGATATATTAACGCTTTACGTACTTGACCTGCCTAGATGGTCATCTGGCAGTACTAGTGCGTGCGGATAGTTGACACTAATTACTAGACAGTGATACGCCGACACCAAATAATGTGTGCTAGTAGTGTTTTAGCAAATCAGGAAAATAATGGGCTCTTCTGCAACCTTGAGGTATTCGTACTGGTCAGCTTGAATAAAGTCCGCCCTTCCGCATGGTGGTGTACAGGCTATTATGTACACCATTATCCCATCAGGTACACAGTCATGAGCCACAGGTTTCTTTGCTTTTGTATTCAGCTGGATCCGGGACTGAGAATGGAATAGCTTGTGGAGCTTGGTCGATTGCAAAATACATAATCAAGATATATGCATTTGATCGACTACATACCTCCGCCACTTATGATCTTAAAAAACCCAGCAGTATTGAAATTTAACCCGTCATCTTTACCCTGATGCTACCCAGCACCAACACACCAAAATCCCCGGAGTATCGCCAAAACAAACCAACCTAAAGACTAAATTATATAATGTAACAACCCTAGAAGCGGCCCCTGCTTCACTGACCTGACCATCAGGGTCCGTCCTCAACAAACCACGCACGATCCAACTGTGCGTACGTACATACTATACTTTCAACCAAACAGATACGAACTTACGATTCATCTGTGAAATTACAAATTATGCTGACCAATCGCTTGATTGGACAAATCTATCTAACATCTGTACGGAGCCAAGATGGGGGTGTGGCAACGTGAGGTGATCAATGCACGCGGAGTGAGTCGGGTCTTGGGTGTATGGAAATTACTAGACCCCAGAGGTACTAATTAGACTTTCGAAACTATTTGTAGATGGTACCTAGATAGTAGATACAATGTGATTGTCAATATCTTGATCGCGGATTTAGGATGTAGGTTACCAAGGTAGGGCCTGAGCATCGGTCCTTTGGCCCGATTCTCCCCTCTTCATGATCGGACATCGAGCATGCGAGTGGTATTCTATGTTTCAAGAAGGCAAGAAACAAATTCCTAATCAAATCAGAATTCATAAAGCTAAAAGAAGGTTCACAGAGTCATTTATCCCCGCATTCTATGCTAACATCGTCAATATGTAGTAGGATTAGGGTTATCGATCCTGCATGCCTCGGCTCGTTGGATAGCCCTAACTCATCCTTCGTCAACATACTAGACACATCGATGATAGCCTTCAATCAGGAGTAAAGTAGATAGAAAATTACTGAGGAATGTGATTGTTGATAGTTGGAAAATGACCACGTCTACTTCATCTACTTCCGCAAGATTATCGTAATTCTCACCCGACAGACCCATAAAAGAGTCATCTGACGGCTGTAGGATTTCCCGTACGTATTACGATGTAGGATGTCGATGACTCAAAATATCTACGTATATACTTTACCAAAAACGCATAAGTAACAGACTGTTGGAATAGATTATTTAGATTGTAAAGAGCAAAGTGATAGTAACAATAAAATGCCCTCCAACAAAGCCCTCGTCACCTCAACCCCTAACATCCAGCTCGACCAAGGAACAATCCTAGCTCAGGGCGACATCAACATCCCAAACTCATCGTCGACAAAAGTATTTAACATTCTAATAGATACATCAACATGGCCCAAATGGAATCGATGGGTTCCCTGCTGCACAATTCGATATCAGCCACCCAGCAACTCAGCATCCGTCTTGACGAACAATGAAGCAGATTTGAACAGTGAAGAGTACTCACCCATCCTCCATCTCGGCACAAAGTTCTCAATGCACGTCAACATGTCTATGACACCAACGACAACCCTCACCGACTCCTTGCATCTCCACGAAAAAGGAAAATTGACGACACTCCACCTCATCGTCACCCTCATCGAGGCACCGGATTCGTCAACTGACAAGCCCGGGAGAATTGCCTGGACGCTAGACTACGACGAAATGCAATCTGTGCCGAGATGGCTGATCAGGATGGAGAGGATGCATGTTGTATCCGAAAACTACAGCCCAGAAGAAGGGAAGGTGGTAAATGTGAATACGTGGGAGATGATGGCGTCTTCGTGGACGGCTTCCGTTATGGGATGGTTATTGAGAGGCAGGTTTGAGGAGGTTTGTTTTCCTGCTTGGTTGAGTGGGCTGAAGGGGTATGCTGAGAGTAGTTGATGCCTCGGAACTTTGTATATAAGCGTATTTGTACTCTGTTGATATTCTCTACTCTGTAATATTATAATACACCGATCCTGTGAAGTCATTCGTAACTGCAATCAAATTCATATTCTAATGACATCTTTTCATACAACGTTAAATAGAATAGTCACTTCACATCTGCGCGAAATACTTTTCCCATCCGATTTCCTTAATCTTGGTACCCTTGATATCGAGGTTCTCTGACTTGGCGCTGGCCGCGTACTCCTCGACTTTGCGTTGGAGGGTGGGTTCATATGAGCCCAGAATGCGCACTGCCAATAACGCGGCGTTAATGCTATTGTTAATGCCGACTGTGGCGACGGGGACACCTGTATTATGAGTTAGTAGCTGTGTCAGAGATCGAAAAGAGTTGGACTAACCTCGTGGCATTTGCACAATGCTGTACAGACTGTCAACACCATCCAATGCACTGCCCTTCACTGGAACACCGATAACAGGCAGAGCAGTATGCGCAGCCGCCATACCAGGCAGATGAGCGGCACCACCAGCAGCCGCAATAATAACCTTGATACCCCGAGACGCAGCCTTGGAGGCATATTCAGCCATATAATCTGGGGTCCGATGAGCAGAGGTAATGTCCACTTCAGGATCGATACCAAAGTAATCTCTCAACAGCTTGAGACCGGGAACCAACGTCTTCAAGTCACTATCCGAACCCATGATGACGCCAACAGTAGGCGTGGGTTTTGCGGCGCTGGATTTGACAGCAGCGGTTTTAATGTCGCTGCGCTCAGCACGGATATTGTCGACGAGGTCAATCAATGGCTGAATATCTGTCTCGGCCTCGTACATGGTCGCACCAGTGACGGTGATGTGTCCCATTTTGCGACCCGGTCGTGCGGCGCCTTTGCTGTATAGGTGAATGCTAGCATTCGGTATTGAGAGAGCGTGCTCAGCAACACGCAAATGGGAATCACTAGTAGCTCCACCAATAATGTTGAGCATGATAGATGGTTGTCGAAGCTCCAAGCTCTTAGGCGGTATGGGCAAATCCAAGATAGCGCGCATGTGAGCATCGAACTGAGAAAGACCGCAGCCTTCGATCGTGTAGTGGCCGGAATTGTGCACTCGACTGGCGATTTCGCATAGCAAGATCGAGTCATCTTCCAACAGGAACATCTCTACGCCAAAAACACCTTTGCCCTCAAAGGCGGCTACGGCGTTACGAGCGAGCTCTTGGGCCTTTTTGTTGATGGCATCAGAGACATTGCGGGCCGGGGCATAGACGAGTTTGCAGATAGAGTCTTCTTGAACAGTCTCGACTGTAGGGTAGGATAGTACACTGTCCTTGGTTTTGACGACCATCACAGCCAGTTCCTATCCGTATTAGGTATGAGTTTATACAGTGTCAGGGGTATGGCTCACCATTTTGAAATGGGCCCATTTCTCGGCATACAATGGCCGATCCTTGAGTGCCTCAAGGGCGTCTGGAATATCCTCCTTGGTCTTGACTGGGTAGTTTCCTGTTGTATGTTAGTATCGAATATCTCTAGGCTACAATTCTGACATACCTCGACCATCATATGCAAGTGTCTTTGATTTGAGCATCATGGGATAACCCAAATACTCACCAACCTTGGCAAGCTCTTCTGGGGTATTCTCAACAAGCTCTCGATAATCCGCCATTGGGATATCATACTTCGACAAGTGTTTCTTTTGGTCATATTTATTCTGAATAATTCGAATGGATTGCCAAGAGGGCTCAATCTTGACTTGCGAAGCAACAGCTTCGAGCGCATAAGTGTTGACATGTTCAATTTCGGCTGTTACAACATCACAAGTCTTGGCCAGTTCTTGCACTGATTCCTGATCGTTGAAGTGGCCGATTGTATGGTTGTCATGAGCGCTAATCTGTTTTGCAGGCGCATTCGCAGCGTCTAATACATGCACTTCAATATTGAGTCTGTTTGCGGATTCTGTAAGCATGCGTCCTAATTGACCACCGCCGAGGATGCCGACTTTGGGTGAGTTCCAGGCCATTTTGTCTTGTAGCTGCCTGATAACAGTGCCCTTGTCGAAGTGTTGTGAGATGTGATTGACTTTGACTCAGAGATCAAGTGGATCTCGAAAAGTACAAAAACGGTTCCAGCAAAAAAAAAGTCACGTGTTTGAGAATTCGAGGTGCTTTAATGACTTTAGTTCAAATGACTGAGAGTCAATTCATGCGATATTCTGATAAATTCCACGATCTCGCTAAAAACATGAAACGAATCTGAAGTTCTACCAAGAAGAAAGTTTAGTGAAGACAATTGAAAAAATTTGTGGCTGCCATATTTCTCAGGCAGCTTCACGTGTTGCGGGGATTTTCGAAGTTCTTTCTTCTTTAATCTGATAGCATAATATCAACCAATAGTGGTGCATATACAGCTCCACTCTGTACAAACTAGGACTAGCTCAATCAGTCGCGATTGCGGCGTTTAAAGCTTCCATCACATCCTCCGTCACTTTCCCTCTCATTTGCTTTCTACATCACCCACGCTTCTCTGTTGGACTACAGCGTGAGGGCTTAAGAAAGATGATACTAGGTACGTTGCTGCAGAATATATGTCTAGCTTTACGCTTGCGCAGACTACCCAACAATTTCAATGCCTTCAGCCCCCGATTGCTTCAACGTTCTATTTCAGCTTCGCGCTAACTCTTGTCGGGGACACTTGCAGACGAAGATTTGCTAGAAAAGGTCGCCCAGGATGGGTCTATGAACTAGTAAGCCGTGGAATCTTTATTGTGCTCCAATTGAGTACTGACGCATTCAGCGACCAATGGCCTGAACAGTTAGAACCATTGATTCAGCGCCTCGACGAGGTACATATCAACTTGATCACGTTACAAGAATCAAGCTGACACCAGGAAGATTATTAGCCAGTTTCCCATACCGAAAGTACCTCCCGAAATAGCATCCTCCTACGCCTCCTCCTCTTACGCCTTCCACGACTCTCTCCAGAGCAGCAACAAGGAGAATGCCCCTCCTTCYCCCGCCGCAACCCAGACGACATACAACGGCGCTTCAACGTCAACATCTGAATATGCCACGGCAAATGAAACCATAGTGCCAAACTCGCAACCTTCGCAACCCGACACGAACTCTTTACCTCCTCCACTCCTGTCTCTCATTGACTCTATAAAGAGTACCCTCCGAACGTACTTTGCGTCGAAACCACCGCATACCGTTCAACGACTTGCAGAATTGATCTTGCGTCCTACGCGTCAGTATCGAACACTCCCTGCATATCTGAGAGCCGTGGATAGGGTAGTATCGGTGTCCAGCAGTGCAGACATATTCCCACTTCCGCGAATGGGAATATCCCCCGACGACGAGTTAGCGAATGGGATTACGAATGGCGCACGATCAAGTTTCATGGTTACAGATGAGTCGCTCGGCAGTGATGAGTCACTAGGTGGAGCATTATTAACACCAATTCCCTGGCTGAGAAATCATGACCTCGAGGCCGTGCAGGCCGAGATGGTAGCACAAGGTATCACCGCAACATGTCTTCCTCGGAAATCACTATACGCTAATCTTACATTAAGGTGCTGTCCCACTCCGTGCAGATGCCGCAGTAACGCAAGGCGAGCTCATAAGACAGGAGCAAGAGGCTGGTTTGATTGCTACATCACAAACACCACACGTCTCTTCAAGATCTCTAACCGAGAAAGAAGAAGAAGACGGCGAAAACTCGTCTCCTCAACCAGAAGAAATCCCGCATGCACGAGGGCCCTCCGTTCTCGGCGTCGAGGATCTGGGCCTCCAGGATGGCAAAGGCGTGGAAATGGTCCTTTCGGACCCGAACAAGTCTCAAGAAGAAGAAAAATCTGAGATGGACGTGTCTGATTCAATCGTGGACTTGATACCCGACGAAGTGGTCTCCGAAGCAGCAACGAAAGAAAATGGTGCTGACGACGAGGATATTATTCTAGACGACCAAGGTACTACTTCGTCGACAGAAACGAGCACGGAATTAGATACGGATGCTACGAGAACACAGGACGAAACGGGCTGATTCTGTCGAGCACTAGCGCTATTATGATTGGATGAATATTAATGACATTGTCGTTCTATCTACTTATGCTTCGAGCCGATGAATTTGAGTGAGCCCATTAAATGCTTTCTTTGTACCTAGATTTGCTACTTTTGATCTGTTTTCTTCTCTTTTCTGAAAAAGGGTATTGACCTTCGGCAGTTAATGAGAAATTAAATTATTGTGATTAATACCCCTCAATCAAGAATGACTTTTCATGACTAATAATACAAAATGCCCCTGAAACGGAAAGAAAATAAGCAGGTACAAAGACCAAATTGAAACTGAGCTGGGAATTGTAATTAGCAAGCAGAAACAGGCTTGGAAAGATAAGTCGACTAGATGTTTGGTTGACTCCAGATAATTATTATACGTCGTCTTATCGTGATGTGTTGTAAATATGTTCGTGCAAGTCGTGCTTTTGTCATATGTTGTTCTGTTTAATGTATCAACACAAGGTTGAGGGTCATGACTGATTCGATGACTGAATTGATCCCTGACGCTTCCTTTCCTTTTTGGCCCAGCGTACTGTAACGTATTAGTGATTGTCTTAATTAAGAAATATAATGAAGAGTGAAGACTTACGACCGCAAGCATTACACAATGTCTTCGGACCGCTGGGACCCTTTCTCCATTCCGGAGACGCCAATGTACCGCAATCAGTACATACATACTCCTCTGTCGTCTTGATTCGCTTCTTCTTGTCATTATCATCCGAACTCAAGCCTAGATGGTGGAGATCTGCTTGTTCCTGTACCAACACTGCATCTCTTTCACCCGTACTCAGGCCCTTGGATCGTTCGCCTTCGCCGTATCGCAGACCTGTGAGCATCTCAATGCCGTCTAGGACCGAGGACGTGTCGCTTCTCGAGATAGTATCCACATTGTTATCCAGCGTAATCATAGAAGTATACCCGTTCTGCCCAGAGCTTGACACACTAGGTCTAGCAGGCGGCAACATCATACCACCCTGCTGATCTGTGGTGGTGGTAGTGGTAGTACCCGGTGCACTGTTGTAAGCGTCGATCTCATCAGGGCTCATAGTTCCCGAATTGTTGTCTGATTGGAGCACCCACTGCTGCTGAGCTCGGAGTTCCTCCTCTTCTTCCTTTTTCAAGTCTGCTATTCTTCTGTTCAGGCGTATATTCTCAACCTTGTGTTCTAGAAATGTGTCGAGAAGCGCGTTGCTGGCGGTTGGATATGGGCGGCAGACGAGGAAGAAGCCATCACATGGATTTCCTTCTTTGCCCGTTCCGAGTGTGATTTTCTCGGAGGACATGTGCGCATGCCCTGAGGCTTCGACAATGGCGAAATCGCCGTCTGGCTTTCGGAAGCGAAAATGATATCTCAGACGATGTCCTGTGGCAATTGACTCATTGAACTCGCGAATAAAAGACGTTCGGTCATCATCATGCACAAACTCAGAAACAAACCTGCCGTCTAGGTCCTTTGGTTCGTATTTCGTAATCGGTTCGATTGCAGGCGAACAATACAAGACTTTCCCATCCGGGCTCAGCACAATCAGTATATCTTGCATCTCAGCTAGGATTCGCTGCGTCCAATTGCGTCTCCTGGTAAAATCAGTCACTGCGCTTGTCGCGCTCTTCTGGACGCCCGAATCGTCTGGTCGCGGCCCTTGTTCTTGTACATCATCGTCCTTCATTGTGATGTCCGCCGAACCGGTGCCTTCAATCCCCTGCTCGTCACCATCATCGAGTACCAGGTCGAGATCGTTGAATTCCATGTCGAAGGCGTCTCCAGTGATGTTGCTTTGAAGCATGACGAGAGTATCAGAAGCGTTGCTTCCGACGGCATCGTTGAGATACATTCCCGCGTGCGAGTTTGACTATGTACAGATCTGAGCACACATAATGTCAGCACCGCTCGATAAGCAATTGGCCGAAATAGAAATGTAAAGGAAATCATACAATGCAAATATATTCAAACAACCCCAAGACCACACTATCCATAGACGAAAATGTGCACGCAGAGACAGAACCAACGATAGCGATAGCGATAGCGATCTGCACACGGATAAAGCGCTACCTAGCGGGCAGCATTAGTATGGACTATGAGGGCATAAGTAGGTACTCATAGTACTCCGGTTGACCGCAAGCTAGAGCGATTTTCGGAGGCTCAGCAGGGATTAATGCGGGCGTTTTTAGACACGTTATAGGATGAGCATGGAGGCGCGATCGTTGCTGCCATTTATACTCCGGTACAGATCAGACATCTCAGGGTGGATCTGGCCATTGCATTTCCGCTAGGCTAGTTCCCAGAAAGGCAGCTCGCGGCTCGTGTCACGTGCTTTCGCGCCGTCCCCGCGTTGAATGGTTCTTGCCGTGTTGGCGCAGGCAGCTCCGTCTCAGCTCCCGCGAATTATCCGTCGTTTGTCATGAGATGATCCATCATCCCAGTTTGTGCTGAAAGAATTGCATGTTATGCATAGTTTCTAGCTTTCAGCACTATCTGAGGCAAAATGTGAGTCTTTTTGAGTGCTCGCATCTACATTCATTGACATCATTTTTAGGTGTACGTACATTTCTATGTGAGGAATGTTTGACATTTCATACTGATAATCACCAGCGAAAATCGATAAGCTTTCCATTCTGGGGTAAGTCATTCTGTCATCTCATGTTAAGACATATACTAATAATCTCATTTGCAGCGTCCGATCTTTCGACAACACCCGAAGCGAGACTATCCAATTCCACACGCCGTTGACTTTGATTGTAGGATACAATGGATCGGGAAAGACTGTACGTTGATCGATATCTGGGAACGCGGCGATTACCTGGTGAACAAACCTCTGAATTTTTTAGACAATCATTGAATGCCTCAAATATGCGACGACCGGCGACTTACCACCCAACAGCAAGGGTGGCGCGTTCATCCATGACCCCAAGGTGCGAATTGCTTTTCAACTTGGCTCAACACTCGCTGACTCAGGTAGCTGTGTGGAGAGAAAGAGGTTCTTGCCCAGGTGAAATTGGCATTCAAAGCTACGTCCGGAGCGAAAATGGTGGCGACCCGAAGCCTGCAACTCACCGTGAAGAAAACGACTCGACAACAAAAAACTCTCGAAGGCCAGCTCGTGATGGTCAAAGATGGAGAGCGAACGGCAATTTCTTCTCGTGTTGCTGAACTCGATCAGATTATGCCGCAATACCTCGGTGTGTCGAAAGCGATCCTCGACTCTGTGATTTTCTGCCATCAAGATGAAAGTCTTTGGCCAATGAGCGAACCCTCCGTACTCAAGAGGAAATTTGACGAAATTTTCGAGGCTATGAAGTATACGAAAGCAATCGACAACATCAAAGCATTGAGGAAGAAGCAGAACGAAGAACTGGCCAAATTTAAAATCATGGAACAGCATTCAAAGGAAGACAAAGATAAGGCAGATCGCGCAGAGAAACGATCGATCAAATTGCAAGAGGAAATTGAAGCATTGCGAGAGGAAACGCACCAGATCTCCCAAGAAATGCGAAATGCCGCCGAATTAGCAGATAAAGCCTGGAAAGAGTCCGAAAGCTATGCGCAGGTCATCGGAACCCTCGAAGGAAAACGTATTGAAGCAAGGAGTGTCCAGTCCACGATCGACAATTTGAAGCGACATCTCGTCGAAATTGATGAGTCTGATGAGTGGCTACATTCCACTCTTGAGCATTTTGAGTCCAAGCAGCTCGAATACCAACAACAGGAAGACGCTCAAAAAGAAAGATACATGGACATCAAGGAACAAATTGAGTCAACCCGCGACCAGCTAGGATTGAAACAGGCAGAAGTTGGCAAAAATGAAAATGACAAGGATCAATTTGAACGTCAAATTGGACGTCGGGAAAACATGATCAAAGAGTTCGCACGAGAGAACAATATTCGTGGGTTCGACGATTCTTTGGACGAGTTCAAGATCGACGAGTTCATGCAGAGAATGCAAAGGATGGTAAAAGAGCATACTCAGGCATTAGAGCGGGTCCGAAAGGAAGGACAATCCGAAGTACGAGAGACTCAAAACATTCTCAATCAGATTGCGCAGCGAAAGTCCGCCTTCCAAGAGGCCAAGAATGTTGCGAGAAGACAGATATCCGACAACGACAGAGAAGCAGCATCAGTACAAGCCCGTTTGAACGAAATTGACGTAGACGAAGGTACGGTTGCTGTTCTCGAGTCGCAAAAGGAGGAGGTCCAATCACGGCTTGAAAAACTGAAACAAGCTTCTCGTGGTGCAACATGGGATAAAGATCTCCAAGATGCCAACACTGAGCTTAGATCCCTTGAGGACGAAAGCACCAAGCTCAATCAAGAGCTTATTGCAGGGACTAAAAAGGCTGGTGATCTGGCTAGATTCGCACATATAAAGAAGGAACTCAAAGATCGCGAGCGCCAACTAGAGACTATGTCAGGCGCGCACGGAGATCGTCTTTCGCAGTTGGTGAGCGAACAATGGAGCCCGGAAAACCTTGAGCTTGAGTACCAGAATGTCGTAGCGGATGTCTCAAATAGCATGGCGTTGGCTGAACGCAGTCGCGATGGCATTGGAAGAGAGCTTGATCAGGTTGAGTTCAAGCTGAAAGAGTGCAGAACAGCGCTTGAGCAGCGGAAAAAAGAACGTGACCTATGTGTGAAGAAAATTCGCGATGCAATTGACGATGACCCTACTGAGTACCCTGACATCTTGCAAACAAGACAGAATCATATGGACCAAACCAGGAAGGATGTTGAGCAATTCGCGGGCATGCACGAATATTTCAACATGTGTCTTGAAGCACTCGACCAGAAAAAAATGTGTAGAACATGCATGAGGCCTTTCAAGAACGAAACCGAAATGCGAACATTCAAGAACAGACTAGAAGGTCTTATCAAAAAGAACTTTTCCTCTTCAGATGAGGACTTGAAGCAAGCCGAAGAAGAATATGAAAGTGCTCGAATGGTAAATGCCGATTACGACACCTGGCTACGCCTAACAGAGACAGCAATCCCTGAACTCGAAAAGAACCAGGAACAATATCAAGGTCAGAAGGAGGAAATCTTGAAGAAACTGGAAAGCCACGATACCACCGTCGACGAACGAGCGGAGAAGAAGCGAGAAATCGAATCTCTTTCCCGCACTGTAACGTCTATAGTTCGTATCGACAACGAAATCAAATCCCTACGTTCTCAAATAGAAGAAGTTTCGTCTAAGCAACAGCAGGCCGACTCATCGCGGGTCTTGGAAGACATTCAGAATGACATCGCAGCAATTGGCGAAAAGTCACGAGCAATCAAGCTTACCATTTCCAAGCTTTCTTCGGAGAAGGATCAGTCTCGAGATGACCTTAACAAGGCGGAATTGGCGCTTAGAGACGTGCAGAGCAGCCTTGCCAATGCTAGCCATCAGCTTGAGAAAAAAACCGGCCTTCTCGCTCGCGTCGAAGAGTATAAAAAGTCGAACGTAAAACAAAGAGAGTCGATTGAGAAGGCCGATCGTGACATTGACGAGCTAGAGCCGGAGATTGCTAAAGCTCAGACAAAGCTTGATGATATCAGTCGACGTGCTGAATCCAAAGAACGAGAGCTCCAACAAGCTTTGACACATCTGTCTGACCGCGTGCATCAACTCAACCTCGCCAATGATGAAATTAAGTCGTACGTTGATCGTGGTGGCCCAGAACAGCTGAACAAGAGCAGAAAGGAGCTAGACAATATCCAGCAAGAGATCAGGAAACTGGAAGAGCAACAAGGTGAAATCACACGCGAAATCAACAAGATATCCGCCCAGCTCAAAGACAGTGACAACACTAGAAGGCAGTATTCAGACAATTTATCTTATCGTCAATCATGCCGACTACTAGAGGAGGTTCAAGACGAGATACGGCAACTTGAGGAACAAAATGCAGAAATTGACCGGAGTCGGTTCAAGGAAGAGTCAGAGCGATGGACACGAAAGCACAATGCCCTTGCTGCTCAGCAAGCAAGTAAAATGGGCGAGATGAAGTCGAAAGATGATCAGCTCTTACAATTACTTGCGGATTGGAATACCGATTACAAAGATGCGGCTGCTAACTACAAGGAAGCGCACATCAAAGTGGAAACCACCAAGGCAGCGGTTGACGACCTTGGTCGGTATGGAGGAGCATTGGACAAAGCTATCATGAAATACCACAGTCTCAAGATGGAGGAGATCAACCACATTGTCGAGGAGCTTTGGCAACGAACCTACCGAGGTACTGACGTGGATACCATCTTGATTAGATCTGATAACGAGAACGCCAAGGGAAACCGTTCCTACAACTACCGCGTCTGCATGGTCAAACAAGGAGCAGAAATGGACATGCGTGGTCGTTGCAGTGCCGGTCAAAAGGTTCTCGCTAGTATCATCATTCGTCTTGCGTTGGCCGAATGCTTTGGCGTCAATTGCGGCCTCATTGCACTTGATGAGCCAACAACAAACTTGGATAGGGACAATATCCGCTCTCTGGCCGAATCGTTGCATGACATTATCAAGACTCGCCAGCAGCAAGCAAACTTTCAATTGATTGTCATTACGCATGACGAGGAGTTTCTGCATCACATGCAGTGTGCTGACTTTAGTGACTATTACTATCGGGTTTCGCGAAATGAGCGACAGAAGTCCATTATTGAGAGACAGTCTATTGCTGAGGTATGTACCGTCAAGCTACTTAAACGTCTATTTACTAACTCTGCATAGGTTATGTGAGCCCCTTTTGATAGCTTTCTCGATAGTCCGCGGCTTGACCTGGTCACTTGTACTCTCGCACTTGATAAGATAATGATGTATATCAAAACTATTTCCATAATAAAAAAGTCTATAATTTTGTAGTCTGACACAACATGCCCATTAGTCAAGTCTATCTTCATGAAAATAAATGGTGGATTAACCCTAACAGGACCTTATCGCTATCGGCGCCTTCTCGCTCCGGGCGGGGAAGTTTGTCAAAGATGCAAACATGTAGCTATGCTAAGTCGAGTTACTGACCTCACCAATGCCTGCCACTTTCATATCAAGACGCTCTGAAGTGAACGTGAATCGACTTCTTACAATCAGAGATAGCCGTCTGAGATTCTTTCGACCCATAAGACGTCTATCTCATAGCTTCTGTACTACAGTGTGCTGACCGCTCATCTACCAAGCGGAGTGGATGACATTGTGAATCCTCGATAGTGTCTACATTTATCAAGACTGAGAAGTTTCTAACGAAAAGAACAAAGCCATGGATCAAGCACACGCTAGGGCCCTTGAAGCCCTTCAGCCCTTCATCCATCTAACGACATCATCAACAGCCTCCTCCCCTCGCTTCGTCGCCAACATAATCTCAAACGCAACCTCAAACCCAAACACATACGTCTTTGCTGAGCTATTGGAGACTCCAGCTGTGCAGGCCCTCGGCTCAACAGATACTCCTGAAGAGTTTCGCGGTTATTTGAAGTTGCTTGAGATATTCGCTTGGGGGACGTGGCAGGAGTATCAAGGTAGGCTTAACTATCATTTTCAATGCACATCGAATAAATCTTGTTGACGCTTCTGCTCTAGAAACACCCGGCCTACCAGCTCTCAACGATGAACAAGCTCTCAAACTCCGCCTTCTGTCCCTCCTCACCTTATCCAGCACAATTCGCCCCCTCACCTACCAGGCCCTGATGCAAGCCCTCTCAATCCCTTCCGCTGCCAAACTCGAGTCCCTCGTCACAACAGCCATCTACTCATCTCTCATCGTCGCACGACTCTCGCCCGCCACAAACCCGCCCACCGTCAACGTCACAGCCGTCGCTCCACTACGCGATGTCCGACCTCAGACTGTCTCAACTCTGATCTCGATCCTGTCTGAATGGGAGGGTCGTTGCGGGGATATCATCAATGGCATCGAAGCTGAGATTGCGAAGATCAAAGATCAGACGATCAGAAACGGCGTGACGGATCGACAGCGTACTGAAGCTCTTGAGAAGGCTGTTATTGCCGCTGCTGATGCGGATGGGGATGATACTGTTGCCGGTTTTCGTGGCGTTGGCAGAAACTCTAAACATGGTCTTCGCTCTGGCAGAGGCGGTGGTGTCAGACCCAGTAGTTCCTCTGCTGCTGCGGCGGCGGCGGGTGGCAGTGGCAGTGGGAGTGGCAGTAACAGCAACAAACGCGAATACAGCGGCGATGATCTAGAGGATGAAGATAATGGGTATTTCGACAATGGGAGCGATGGTGGGTTGGATGTGTATGGTGGTTCGCGCATGGAGATTGATGAAGGTGCTGGTGCTGGTGCTAGTGCTGGGAGAGGGGGTGGTGCGAGCAGGCAGTCAAAGAGATTGCTTGGTGTGGGCAGGAAGACTTGATTGTTCAATGAAAAGCAGTCTGCATAGAGCTGACTGTTTTTCTTGATATTGCAGTTTATGCGGACCTACTTAGATTATGACTATGACTTTTTATGACACCAGTACTCTCAAAAGAAATTGAGCATATTACCAAGAATTATGATTTCAGACTCCATGCATTAGGTGGAATTCCGGCACTAAATACAGCATTATTGAAAACCAGATCTAGCTGGCAAAGACTTCTACATACATGGATGAACAAATGAAAGGCTGGCAAGCTCAACATGGACAAACGCAAAAAGGAAAAGAAAGACATTACGCTTGAAACGGAATAACCAAGAGTATTAAATGCAACGCTTCTGCATCCTCAAATTAGATGGAAAGTGAAAAAGGAAAAGGTATATCCGCAGGGAACGCCGGTGTCAGTCACGAGAAGAAAAACAGGTCGAACGCAATAAAGGTTATCACAGCATTGTACCCGGCACGAGAATGAAGAGTATACTCAACGCAGCAGCTATGAGAAGGGTATATGCCAGCGTCACCAAGGCGCGCTGATTGAGCAGAGATCGCACATATGGTTCTTGAATCCTTTGCCAATTCATGAAAGTATACTCACTGAAACCGAGAAGAGCCATGAATGGGTCGATTTTGTATTGGTATGTTGTGATGAAGTATGATGCCACCACGAACGGGAGTATGACCTGAATGCATGTTAATAACACTAGATAAACAGACAGGTTGTAGGAAGACATACCCAGCACCGTGTTGCTCTCGACTTATCAGTCAAAACAACATAAAACGACGCCCAAAACGCACCCCAAAACACAATCAATCCAAACGCTAGACGCGCAAGGATACTAAGCGGAACAAGGTTTCCAAGAGCTTTTGCCTGCAAAAATCCTGGGAAAGCGTCGCGCTCCATTGCTTGAAAGACGTAATCCTTGGCCTGATCGAAGACTTCCGGATCATCTCGACCATCGTGTTCCACCATCTCGATAATCGAAGTCAGCATCTCGGCGGGTAGGACGATCTCACGCTCCGAGTCTGGGATGAGATATGTGTATAAAATCTTTTCTGCGCTTCGACGAATGTCTGTTCGCGCTACTGTATGGCCGGGAGAATTTGATGAGTCGTATCGAGTTTCGGGTGTGGAGTTCATGAAACTGGGACGCGGTGGCCGTTCCTCGGACGAGTGCTTCTCTGAATGACCACTGACTGGCGGCGAAGGTTGCGATGGGTTCTCAGATCGCAAGAATGCGGAGAGTCTGGAATCTGCATCCTTTTCGGTGGATGGAGCATAATATCCCGATGGACCTGCTTCGGTGGGAATGTCGGGAATATTGTCGAGCATGGTTGAGGACGGTCTACTGCCACCTTCGGGTGTAGCTACGAGGACCGAACGGCGTAATTCTCGGACGTAGTGACGGCAGAGAGACATGTGCTGTGAGACATCGAGCCTATATAGCGCAATTGAATGTTAGGTCGCGCACAAGTGTCAGAGATTGACGGTGGTATATACCAGAAATCTAAATAATCAACCGAGCGCTGTTGGTCTCGCATGTAAATGTAGAATGAGAATAGGTCGACAGGAGCGAGGGTGTAGCGACTGAGCACTTCGAAGAGGGTCGGCAAGCGCTTTCGCTTCTCAAGATCGAGGCTCGTTAACGACGCCATTGTGAAGTACGCCGGGTGTTGTTTTGCAAAGCCGAAAACTTGACACTGGTGAAGTTCGATATCCTTGGTCTATTGTATCACTGGCGCTACACAAACACCCAGATTGAAATTGTGGATCAATCGACTAAGGAAAGAAACTGTCCAGAGAGCGAAAATCAGAGTAAATCGTGCCGTCTGCCAAATCCAAAGCGTGATCCCCTAGAGGCTAGTTGTGTAAGTCGCTGAAGAGCCAGTAATAGCTGACACGAAAGGAGAAGCAACAGTCGTAAGCGCACAGCGCCGTGAACCGAATTACCAACGAGCGAATAGAGCGACTGCTGTAATTGACGGAGAACTTCCAAACTGGACTGACTGGATGCTGTAGACAATATTGATTGAGGTAGTTGAGATTGATCCAAAGGGGGCACGTTGAAACATTAATCCGAAATTGAAAGTCTTGGCAGGTCGACGCGGGTCAGTCCGCACGTGGATCGCCAGCCACATGAAGTCATTTCGCACTCTCTCTACGGCATGGGAAAACATTCGATGTTCAGAAGTCTGGCTATCTATGTTGATTGCTATGAAGTCATGATCCAAGTACACCAAATATGCTCCTCCCAGCAACGAAACACCATAACGCCTCCAAACAACTGTCCTAACCCTAGATAATGCGGTGGTATATTGCGATTGTGAAACAAATGTCTTGATCATGAATGAACTGTCCCTCGTTACCTTCCTAGTGATTTTCCGCAAGATGCTTTTGACAGTTAGCGATGTGCATAGACTGGAATGTTGGCGTAAGAGCTGTACTTACCGACCACTCGGGAATGTTCTTGATTTGCTGCCACATGAACTTCTCAAGTTTATTGGCACTCTTCGCGTATGGCGTAGTCTCGTTATTGTATTTTCGACAATTGTCGAATATCAACATCGCATCCCTGACGAAATCCTGTGGCGTAGGATACAAGTCTTTCTCGTGTTTCTCCTCCATGGTTGACAAATCCATAGGCTCTTTGATCACCTCGTAGTAATCTGGGACTTCATCGCGGTTGACTGGCTGTACAAATGGCCAGGCTGCAGAATGATTCTGCATGTCATTGAGGAGATGGAGCAGCTGGTTGTAGTTGGGTCCATGTCGAGGTTGGCGTGCGAGCTCATCCATATCCGGTGACCAACCTGATTCCTTGATGGCAGGAATACTGAGCGGGTCAATCTTTACCACCCCGTTCTTCCATTCTTTCGGAGGCGAGTGAACAATATGTGATCTGCTGAATGCTCGAATTTTCGCATGCACCGCCTCTTTTTGCTTGAGAATCATGCGGCCAGACTCCAGATACCGGATCTTGGGCAGCATCGTGCACTGCATGATTGTTCCACCTTCGTAATCCTTGATATACCCCATCCATATTGATCTGTCGAGACTGATTTCTTTCGTAAACCCTTGTTTTTTGAAGTATCCGATAGCGTAATTGTCGGCGTACGTAAGGAAATGCATCACGTCCGAAGTTGCTTTCACATAGTCCTGCTTACGTTAGCTTATCATCAATATAAGACTTTCAGATGGTGTGTACCTTTAAGTGCGACATCAAATGTGCACCGTATCCCTTGACCTGCTGATCCGAAGAAATGGCGCAGAAGACGATTTCGGCGAATTTACGACCTCGAAACGGACGATATGTGATTCCACTAGAGATAGTTAGCTGACTGTTTCGAGGCTCCGCTTTTACAGTTTTATACGCACCCTACAACTTCTAGAGGGTGCTTGACAATGGCAATCGACAGATGTGTCCTATCGTAGACCAATCGCGCGATATAATCCTTCGGCATTTTAGGGAGTTGTTTCTGAAATATGCACTTCAACCCGGTGAGAATGATGAAGCTCTCCCTTTGCCCGTCATTGTTCACCACTCGAAATTCAATTTCGCCATTTCGTTCTTCGATCACGGCGGGCTGGTGGTAGAAACGTGTTAGGCTCGGAGCTATGAACGCAAGCACTGTGGATGGAACGCACCTTTTCGGGGTATGGGACGATTTTGAGGGGTGGCTTTTCAACTACATCTTCCTATGATGACACACGCATTAGTAAAATTTAATGGATATTCAATTTAACTTGTCTGTACCTTGATCTCATTGAAAGACTCCGTCCGAGCCTTCTTGCTTCGGTGTTTGCTGGAATCTGGGGTGTCGGCTTCTTCCGAAGCCTTGCGCTTCATATCTGAGGACACATTAGACCATGCGTTAACTAACCAACCACGAGAAAATTCGCGAATTGTTCTTACCCTCACTGACAGTTGACATGTTCGCGACCAGAATTTTGATGGAGTTGTGTCTGAACGATGATAGCAAAGTGGTTGAGATTGACGCCACTACGTTCGTCTGAGTCGGTCGCGCATACCCCAGCGTCCTCTTGGCGGTCGGAGCTACGGCCGGAGATTAACCAGCGGGGATACTATTATCCGGTGTCACTATGCCAAGAGGACAGCTTGTATATCGACAGCTCTTTGGTCTTCATTATTCTTGTTGTCCCAACTCAATTGAACTTGACAGTTATTATCACTTTCGCTTTATTTATCATTTTTGTCTTCTCAAGAACCAGTCGATCATCCAGCCAAAACCAATGTCTCTCAATACTCTCTGGGAGACGTCCAAAGCTCCGTACTATCCCATTGTCGCAAAGGAGGGCCAGTTTACTGTTGGCTTTGCTTTGCTATTCATTGGTAGGCTAAAATAATGGATCAAAGAAGGTCATTTTTCTGACAGCACATTTAGCTCTTTTACTCACTGGACTTTTCGGATTGAGTGGGTTCTATTTACCTGATTCTTTACGCATCGGCGACTAATCAAAATATAGATCGATCATTCCTGAACATACCTCTCCTCGGCCTCCCAGCGTCGCTTGCATTCGGGTATGCTATACTCTCCCCTCACCTGCGTTATTGACTGCTAACTTTGTAAAGCTTCGGAGCCGTATTCATGATCTGTGCTGTTGGTGTCTACGTTTAAACCGTCGCGAAACCTATCCCCACTACGCATGATCATGTACTATAATCGAACGATCGGGGAACTCTAGACTGCTAGAGATGTACATTTATCTTTGAAATTGAACTTGCAACTTCTTTCTAACCGAGTTCGCTTCGTCCTCTGAAGTTCACTTGTCGACCTCAATTTCTCCCGAGGCCCTGCCACCATGGAGCCTATCTTTTCTGCCGTTTCGAATGATGCCTATCATCTCTACACTCTTCTACGCTGTATCGGATTTGCCGAAAAGGCTCGCATACAAATAACACCCGATGGAATCCGATTCTCTGTAGAAGAAAGCCGGGTGATGCAGGGACTTGTGTTCCTCGACCGGGCCCTATTCACAACTTATACATTCAACGCTCCTCGACCTCAAGACCGCAACGATGATACTTTGGTCGATGAGGAGTCTGCCGGGGACATTTACCCTCAATTTCTCATATCTCTTACCGCTCTCTTAGAAACTCTTCAAATTTTCGGCATTGGCGACGCTAGTCAGTCATCTTTTCTGCCAAATGGCTCTTTCCAGAACACTTCTGGCGGCGCTTTTACTAGTCCAGCTGTGTTACTCGGCCGCACTTGTGCTTTGCGATACTCAAGTCCTGGCAGCTCACTTTGCATCACACTTTCAGAATCCGGGGTTACTACTACTTGCGAACTCACCACCTACGAGTCCGATGATCCTTCGTTTGGGTCTGCTGGTGGTGAGGTGGACATACCACTGCAACGCGACGCTATTATCATGAAAATTATTATGCGGTCTGCATGGCTGTACAACGCCATCAATGAACTGGACGCCACAGACCCTACCGTTCTGACCATCTCAGCCTCTTCCAAAAATGCACCCTTCCTCACACTATCTGGATCCGGCGGGCCATTCAGTGAGTCTAGCGTCAAATTCTCAGCGGACAAGGAGAATGGGGAAAGTGAGGCGAGTTACAAAAATCTACAGGATGAGGGAGCGAAACGGGCTAGATTGGCTCCTGCAGTGACCGAAACCTTTCAAGTAAACCCCCCTTCCTCTATGGGGTCTCTAGTCAAGGAGAACTATCGCTTTGCGCTCATCCGCAAAGCGTCTCGGGCCATGGCTGCTGCGAGCAAAGTGAGCATGCGGGGGGATATCCAGGGCGTCTTGAGTCTGCAATTCATGATTGAGCTAGGTGGCGGAAACAGTGACGGCGATGTCGGTCCTGCACGAGGAGGCACCAAGCATGTGAGCTTCGTTGATTTTAGATTTGTACCTCTTGTCGGTCAGGAAGATGATGAGGAAGGAGGAGAAGAGAATGGAGATTCGGAGGGATGGTAGACCTGTGCTTTATTCGAAATGATATCCACGTGAGTTCACATTAATACGTACTACGTAGTCGGAGGTACATTGGCTGTCTCAGAGCAATGGAGAATACTTCAAGGTCAAAATGAAATGGTTTTGAGGCTTCTCAGAGGTTTGAATCTGCTTATATTCATGAGGAAACATTCAATATGCCGGGTTTACCCCGACGAAGATGTTTTGGCCGTTGCGAGTCCATTTCTCCGGATACTCCAGATATCACAAGCAATTACAACGTTCCGTGTTCCAAGCTCATTTCCTAGGTACAAATGGCCAAATCATGATCATAAGCGGTAGACTATGATTTCTTGCGCTTTTTTGGGGGTGGAGTGTCGGACTGTCCAGTTTCTTCCTCGGACTCTTGGATATCCTCGGAGTCGTTGGTATCTTTATCAAAGCGCTCGTCAGACTGATCACTATCACTAGAGTATTCTTGTCGTTTAGATTTCCTTTTTTTCGTGTGCCGTTCCTTACTCTGTTGCTTCTTTTTCGGGTCGTGAAAGTCATCATCCCTGAGCCACCATTGCTTGGCCAAAGTCGACTCGCTTTGACCATCAGCTATGCTCCTAAGGTACCGGTCAAAGCTTCTTGCGGTTTTAGCTACTTTTGTGAAATGATCGGAGGTCAGCCTCGGAGGTTAAGGTCTTTCTCCCTTCGATTTTGCTTCTTCTTTGGCATCGTAGGCGGCGGTGGCAATGGCAGTTTGGAATGCATTGCGTATTTGCCTAGCGAAGTGAAAGCAATTAGTCATGAATATAATGAACGCATAAATATTTGATTCATTCACATACCTTCCATTCCAGACGGACAGACGCTCGCTCTTATCGGATTGCCGAAAGTGCTTCCTGGCAAATTTGAGGATAGCCTCAGTTTCGATGGTCCACTTGTGTTCGCCAAATTCTTTCTTTATCCTTTTCAAGGTGTTTTCCTATATTTTGATTGTTCCCTTCTCATCAAGCCTTGGATAAAGAAGACTGAGATGTATCCGGGATTTGAATGCTCTGTCCATTTGACCCACTCTATTGGTTGTGAGGAACAATATGCCCTATACAAGTCTTAATGAATTGATTTAAGTACGATGGGTGGCAGGAATGCTTCTTTCTCAGTTATTTTTGTCGCTCTTCGGACAGCAGCGAACCCAGGAATCCAGGGACTATGTTATGTCAACTGATCGGTCAACTAATTACCATTGCAGGCAAATCAGCAGCTGTTCCGGATTTGACTTTTCTTGACCATCGTTACATAAAGCAAATCAAAAAGAGAGACGTCCGAACGCTATGCGAAGTATTCGGTCTCCTGATCCGACAGCTCAAAACTGCTCAGATCGTGGTCTTCTGTATCATTGACTCAATTTCAGCATTTGAAGATCCCACTAGGAGTGACGACAATCAAGTGGTTCTCAAACGGCTTCTTAATATTGTCCATCAAAAACGGAGTAGAGGTTACAAGTTGCTATTCAAGTTGATGATTACAGCTCACATGCACAGTATCTACGCATGGAAACACTTTGACCAAGATGAGCGAGTGGAGATGAACGAAAATGCCCATGTAGGGGGTACCACGGATTTGCAACTGTCGAGGAGTGAAAAAAGGCTAAGAAAATAAGGGCTCAGCTCTGACATATGTTAACCGTTCTCTGTCTGGTTCCAACAGATGTGGTTGTCTGCCAGGCATTTAAACAACCTACTATTACTAGTGGGCTTTGGTCTAGCTAGTATCTTGACTCTGTAGAGAAGCTTTAGGTCCATGAACACGAAGCATGGATTAGTATGAAGCTAATATCCTGAGTCTGCGAGGGGCTAAGCGGAGCTGGTACTACGTTGTCCCGGTATATCCACGGATGTCTAGTTGTACTTTTTGTGTCTGGATTGTTTTGCGACTTATGTGACCGGATTTTCTAACTCTGCACTATAATATACACCAATTGAAAAACTCAAAGATCAGGATCGAAGTTGAAGATAATTCATTCACGATGTCGTTACCTTGATCTTCATACTTTAATCACCGGTCTTTCACATAGATCAACTTCTAAAGATAACATCGAGAAACCCAGTACGGCCAGCTCATCTCCTTTCCACAGCTCCTTGTTGCTATTGTTCAGCATCCGCCATTATCGCAGCAGCAGCTGTTAGTGCCGCAGCGCTCGCATAGAAGCTATCATGATCTACCATTGTATTTTCCACTTAGGTACCGATCACGTTTTCTCCATCTCAAATGAGCAAGGGCTACGAACTACGTAGTGTGCCTCAGGCCAATAGTACATAGAGCTAAGCCGGATTTGGCAGTTGCTTCGCGACGATCCCGAAAGTCGCACACGTGATCTTCGGAATGGCGGGATTGTTCAGCTGGCTTAGTAAAGAACTTGCGCAGGATGCATGCATCTCGCCTTGGAAATAGCGACTCTGCCCCTTCTTAATAGTTAATTGTTATAATTATTAATACCACCCCCTCTCTTCGTCCTCCTTTGGATCCCTCGCTCAACCTCAAAAGCCATGGGGAGTCTATTCCGTTAACATCATAATGAGAAACTATGATCTTATCAGATCTATAGATCCTCAAACGTCCTGACGCAGTTCCTGAGACTGTCCGCGTGTCGCCAACCACCCCTGCCAGCGTCTCATATAGACTGCGATAACGAGTCGCTTTTGCGCTACTGTAGCGCCGGTCTGATGTGTTATAATCCCCGTTCGCCCTGTTTACATTTTGCACATACCTTTTCACCAAGTATTTAAACAATTTATCGGCGATATGGCTGCGATATCGTCATCCCGAGCACAGCCCACTGCGGCCGCGACGACCTCTCTCCATATGGCAACAACTACGGTAAAGGTAGACGGCATGACCTGCGGCGCTTGCACATCTGCCGTCGAAAGCGCATTCAAAGATGTCGAGGGCGCTGGCGAGGTATCGGTCAGCTTAGTTATGGGTCGCGCTGTTGTTCACCACGACCCGACTACGTTATCGCCTAATAAAGTTGCCGAATTGATCGAAGATAGAGGATTCGACGCCGAGGTATTATCTACGGATATGCCACAATCTTCCGATAAGAGCGATAAAGCTGGTACACATTCTTCTGTGTCGACGATTGCTATTGAAGGAATGACTTGCGGTGCCTGCACCTCTGCGGTCGAAGGGGGACTCAAGGATGTCGCTGGTATATATTCAATCAATGTATCGTTATTATCGGAACGCGCCGTTGTCGAGCACGATTCTACAGTTGTGACTGCAAGTCAGATTGCCGACATTATCGAGGACCGAGGATTCGGCGCATCTGTTCTGGACACAAAATCGGCCGAGCCTATCGACAGTTCACCGTCGGATAACTCGAACAAGCTGATGTCTACGACTGTCGCTATAGAAGGCATGACATGCGGGGCCTGTACATCGAGTGTCACGAATGCATTTAACGATGTGGAGGGCTTGATTCAATTCGACATTAGTTTGCTTGCTGAGCGCGCGATTATAGTGCACGATTCTGCAGTTTTATCGCCAGAGAAGATTGCTTCTATGATTGAAGACGTGGGATTTGACGCTCGTGTACTGTCTTCTATACCCCATCTAGGTGTGTCTCAAAAGTCATCCAAGACAATACGACTTACGCTTTACGGGTTGAACGGCGCTGCCTCCGCATCGTCGCTAGAAGAAGTTCTCAGCCAGAAGCCTGGAATATCCTCAGTCTCCATTGACCTCTCGACATCTCGTGCTACTATTGTACACAATCCCACGGCAATTGGTATTCGGTCTGTGGTGGAAGCCATTGAAGAGGCTGGGTATAACGCGTTGTTGTCCGATTTTGAAGATAACAATGCCCAGCTGGAATCGCTTGCAAAGACCAAGGAAATACAAGAATGGAAGCGAGCATTCCTGTTTTCTCTCTCCTTTGCAGTGCCGGTGTTCCTCATCACGATGATCTTTCCCATGTATCTGAAATTCCTCGATTTCGGCAAATTTCGCATCCTACCAGGCCTATATCTAGGCGACGTCGTTGCTTTGGGCCTGACAGTGCCTGTCCAATTCGGTATCGGTATGCGATACTACAAGAGCAGTTTCAAATCGCTAAAACATCGTTCTCCTACCATGGACGTCCTTATCATGCTAGGTACTTCTGCTGCTTTCTTCTTCAGCGTTTTTACGATGCTCCTCGCGATTTTGAGTAGCCAACACAACCGACCAAGCACAGTTTTTGACACAAGTACTATGTTGATCACTTTCAATACACTTGGTAGATGGTTAGAAAACCGAGCAAAGGGTCAAACTTCCAAGGCTCTATCTCGACTGATGTCGCTTGCCCCTTCTATGACAACCATTTACGAAGACCCCATAGCAGCGGAGAAGGCAGCCGAGGAGTGGAACGAAAAAGACACTAGCACCGGTGGTACTTCGCAAGCTGGACAGACTGGTCTAAAAGCTGTGCCGACCGAGCTCCTTCAAGTCGGAGATGTCGTACTTTTACGACCAGGCGATAAAGTCTCTGCCGATGGAGTTGTCATTCAAGGTACAAGCCATGTTGACGAGAGTATGATTACGGGCGAGGCTCGTCCTATTAACAAAAAGAAAGGCGATTCCGTCATTGCTGGTACTGTCAACGGGGCTGGTTCCCTCGAATTCAAAGTGACTCGTGCTGGTAGCGAGACGCAATTGAGTCAAATTGTGAAGTTGGTGCAAAACGCTCAGACAAATCGTGCCCCAATCCAGCGCATGGCAGATATTGTTGCAGGATATTTCGTTCCAATTATCATCCTTCTCGGTCTGACCACGTTTGTGGGGTGGATGATCCTGAGTCATGTATTGCCCCATCCGCCGAAAATATTCAACAAACCTGAGAATGGTGGTAAGATCATGGTTTGCTTGAAGATCTGCATCTCGGTCATTGTTTTCGCCTGCCCTTGCGCCTTGGGTTTGAGCACCCCAACTGCCGTTATGGTTGGAACTGGAGTTGGCGCAGAAAATGGTATCCTGTTCAAAGGAGGCGCTGCTCTGGAAGCCGCCACGAAAGTCAACCACATTGTTTTTGACAAGACTGGAACATTGACCGAAGGTAAAATGAGCGTCGCCGAAACTAAGCTGGAACCGACTTGGACATCCAATGACTGGCGCCGCAAGCTCTGGTGGCAGATCGTCGGTCTCGCCGAAACCAACAGCGAGCACCCAGTGGCAAGAGCTATCGTTTCTGCTGCAAAACAAGAGATTGGTTTGATGAGTGACGATGCTTTGGATGGAACTATTGGGACTTTTGAGGTAAACGTTGGCAAGGGTATATCAGCTGTAGTCGAGCCCACCTCAAGTGTTGAGCGGACTCGGTATCGTGTTCTAATGGGAAACGCCATATACCTCCGCTCTAGTGGTGTAAATGTTCCAGAGTCTGTTGAAACTACTCTCGATGGCAACGTTTCTACTGGGCCGAAGATGGACGATTTCTCCGGATTCACACAAATTCATATTGCAATCGATGGTCACTATACAGGTACTATTTCACTACGAGACGCACTCAAATCGAGTGCTGTCGCCGCTGTTGCAGCTCTACACAAGATGGGCTACCACGTCTCAATTGTTACCGGCGATACCTACCCTGCTGCACTGGCAGTCGCTCAAGCTCTCGGCATTCCCAAAGCCTCTGTCAAGGCCGGCGTTGTTCCCAGCGGGAAAAAGGAGATTATCGAGTCCTACCAAGCTGCAGGCGACAAAGTGGCCATGGTTGGCGATGGAATCAACGACTCACCTGCCCTTGCAACTGCAATGGTCGGTATAGCCCTCGCTTCTGGAACTGATGTCGCCATGGAAGCTGCCGACGTTGTCCTCATGCGATCCGATGACCTCCTCGCCGTTCCAGCGAGCTTATCTCTCGCCCGCACCATTTTCAACCGCATCAAGCTGAACCTGATGTGGGCCTGCGTCTACAATATTATCGGCCTTCCATTCGCCATGGGAATCTTCCTGCCCTTTGGCGGCGCCCCCTTGCCACCCATGGCCGCCGGTGCTGCGATGGCGACATCCAGCGTGTCCGTCGTGGGAAGTAGTCTCCTGCTCAAATTCTGGAAACGACCCGGGTGGATGAAGATTGATTCACTCGAAGCAGACGCCAACGCTGGGTTCACTAAGTCCCCCACTTCAAAGGAATCTCGATGGAAATCAATCCCATTCATTGGCACGGGTGACAACAGACCCGGAACCGGCTCTCGTCTACGCACCATATTTACGAAACTTGTATTCGGTAAACAGTCCAAACAGGTCAGAGAGGAGGAGGGATACGTACCTCTGCAAACAGTTGAAGTTTAGACCTGTGTTTTTTCTTGATGCTCTATTTCCTTGCTCTGAGTCCTTGTTCCTGAGCGGCGTTGTTTTTGGTTTTTCTGTTTATATCTCGGATTGCATATGTTTATGAACTATTACCCCCCGGCACGATACCATTGCCGTTAAGCAAGCATGAAGCATCTTTATGTTAGATTTACGAATGAAGCATAAGACTTTCTATCAACTTCAGCCTATATCTAAAAAAAAAAATACTAATAGTAAAACATCGAGACGTCTAAGGCTTGATGCATCTAGGGTTGATATTCATGACAACCTTCAGCATTCATACGATGGAGCTACATGGACTTACTCCTCATCCGTGGCGGTCTACCAGTTGAGAGACGCCTGGTTTGACGAGGATGTTTATTCTTTCCCTTCTCCATGGCGTTAGCACTAACAGACACCCCCTTCATCGGCTCTGACAGGTCTTTCAATTTACTCCTCTGTTCCGCCTTCAATACCCACTCCTTCGATGATCCAGATTGCCTTTCCTCATACGGCGATTCTCTCATCCAATCCATCCACTTGCGAACAACTGCCACCGCAAGATCCCGCGAACACTCAAACCACTCGTCATGATTCTTGCCGCAACCCGGACAATTCTTCTCAATCTTTCTTAGGTTCTTCAATTCCAAATGTATAAGCTTTTCCACGCGGTAGACATGGTCGACTGCGATGATTTTTTGGGCATCGTCTCGACTTGGGTAATAAATTTCCATCGTTTTGTTGCACCTTTTAATCCACTCCTTCATGCGCTTCTCAAAGGCCTGCGTCGTATAGCCGATTTTCAGGTGTCCGAAATTTGATGGTTGCCAGTATATATATATGATACCGGTATCGCCAATCTCCTTTTTCCCTGTAAGGGGTTTCAGCAGAAGCCCTTCAAGGGCTTCAGACACAGAAAGTTTTTGCAAATACTTGGGAATATATGGTTTGAAGTATTGCAGCAATCGATAATCCCCTAGCGAAGTAATGCTGTGATCGCTTTCCTCGACTTTTGCAGAGCTGGACACTATGTTTTGTCGCGGAGGGAGACCTTTCCCCCCACTGAGTATATCAAGATAATTGGCGAGAGCTAGAAGACGATAATCTGCGGACACTGACGTCGATTCCTTCATGTCCGCGTGGATATCGCATAGTTTCTCGATATCGACCATCCACTTTTCTAGCTCTTCTCGTGCCATGCGTTTGTGCGTCGTTGAACATAATGCTGTAGAGATCATGTCATTCAGGCACTTTGGTAGCTCGCTACTTTTGAGCGTGGCCATGCTGTCTAAGTACTGTATCATTTTCGGGTGACTTGTTTCGTGAATCCTCTTGCATCGCCGGTTCTGAGTTGTCAATGCCAGGCAGTGATGGGTATCTTCTTCCAGCCACTCACGAATCTTAACCGGCAGAATATTGGAAAGTGACTTATCGATTGAGTCTTGCTCCTTTTTGGAGATTGAAGCGGAGAAAGCTTTATTTGATAGCAGAGACAGCACATGCTGAATTGTGCCATCGCCCAGCAATATATTTTTGCTAGGCGGTGTATTTGCATCTCCTATTTTATGATCTGTGCGATTCGCATCCGGTGGAGAGAGGGTGATTTCTGGGATAGATTGGCTCGTAGGTTTGGTAAGAATATGGTCAACATCCTGTTTCTCCGTGCGGGATACGACTGTCTTAGATGTGGGTTTTACGGCACTACCGAAATCGATGACTCTTCTTGCTTCGAAAATCCACGTCTGATCGGTAGAAAAGTTGATGTCAATATACCCGTCGGGTCCAGGCGTGCAGAATTCGATCAGCTGCAAGTGCATTGGTTTCTTTGACTTCGGTGGAGTGATTAATACGCCCCATATCTGTCCCTGATCAGAAGCCAACGTATTGCCGTCTACAGGAGAGTCCGAACCCTGTTTTCGTTTTTCGAATGATGTGACACTGATATCCACTGACCCTAGAGATAAGGTCCTAGCTTCGAAATCTCGTCTACTGGCGCTCTTCGTTCTTCTTCTCGGCGCTGTAGTTTGAGTTTGAGTGTCCAGCCCTTTGTCGGGCTTGGAGAGATCCTCGGCCCTCTTAATTTTGTCCTGGGTTTCGTTTTGAGGCGATCCGAGAATGTTTCTGTCTTCTGCGCGGGTCATCGATTTACCTTTGACTGGTGTGTCCCATCCATAATCATCCGCGATATCCGTGGTATCCGTGACGATTGATACCGAAGGACTGAAAATATCATCTGCAAGAGAAGGAGTAGAAACTGCACTATTGTCCAAATCGCTGCTAAAAGATGGCTCGTTGCCATCATTGGAAGTTGAATCTTTCATCTGCGCCAAATGATCTGGTGTCTTTCGGCCGCGGTCGCTATCATTTCGTGCCATTGTTGTTGGTCTTTGGGATTTGTAGAACTTGAAGATGAAACTTCGAAAGTTCTTTGAGTCGATCGATGAACGAGGAAGGTTCGTTATTCAATGCATTTTACCAGGCTTTTTGAAGGTGCTTTGGGTCGATCGATGAACGATAAGGGTTCGTTATTCAGCGCATTCCACGAGGCTGAAACTGAGCACTCTCCTTACGCAATGGCCATGATCACATGCCATGCAGAAGAAGACAAAATCCAACCCAACAGGTTACATTTGCGGCGCAGCTGCTTTCTGACTTGGCCCCGACAGTGCCATCCGTACATGTCGTATATAATCCAGATTCCCTGAGGGGGTTGGGATGAGCTGAGACATGCAAGGACGACGCCTCTCTTTGAATTGCAGGGATATGTCTTTTTAGTGTACCTCTATAGAAGTTAAGTCAGGTCAACTCTAGATAACAAGTAAGTTTTAATTTAATGCTACTAGGGTATCTCTAGATCAGGTTAGTCATCTGCAACGAAACCTTCGTCGATTCAGCCTTGCGTATGTTGTTCACGATATCTGAAGTCCAACATTAATTATAGACTTGACAGTATCTTTTGGCTATTTACATATTATACCAGCGTGGTCATAACCTCGACGGTCCTGTATTAAAAAAAGAAATTAAATGATCAGCGGAAATCCGATGTGCAGCACGATATTGTCAACTCGAGACCTGAACCGAATTTAGACTGGTTTTAGGGCTTGGAGGTAATTCGCCACTGACATTCCCGGCATTAACATAGCTAATCAGCAATCATTAAGACTCAATTCTCAACAAACTAACGCAATAGAAAGATACCCGAGCAAATAAAAATAAACCATATCCAACGTGGATGGAAGCATTCAAAAAATGATCAGCAAAAACTAATGACCAGTGCCGGGCTCGATCCGGCGACCTTATGTGTTAAAGTTGCTGTACATATACAGCAATGTTAAACATACGAGATAACCAGCTACTCCAACCGGCCATTGATTGGACGATCACATTTTGAATATACAATCTCTCGAGAGCTTTCATGGTCACTAGAGAGGTTTAATACAAGGGCCGTTTTGTCAACAATACAGTTACATGTATCACGACTTTAGTTAAACAGTGTTGTGTCGGGATACGTTAGGCTTGGCTGAACCACATAAATGTTCTAATAGTTGTTGTCGAGAGAGTAGGCTGAGTGATTAGAGTAACAATACTGTAGCTGAGGTATGGAAGTCTTAAATATAACAAGATAGAAGATTCCCTGGATAGCTTGATGCCCATACGAATATAAACGCCTTGCTGACTCTTACTGTTGTATTTGCGTGGCTTATATCAAAAAGCTATAAAAAATAACTAAATATATAATAAACAAGTATATTCATGTAGACTAAATTTCTTATATTTCTTTCTTCACCCATTATATATATGTTAGTATATATCTAATAGTTATCTTTTCTGTTACATATAATCTTTCTGCACTCGCGGTATTAGTCCGATTGTATTCAGTCATATGTTCCTAGCTTTTATCACCTATAAGCCTATATCCTTAGCTCACTGCTTTCATGCCTATTGTGGAAATGACTGGCCACAGTGTTAGCTGCTATAACCAAACGCCTCTCCCAAATAGCACTAGATTCTGCCTAATATCAGGTAAGTTGGTTTCGTAACATTCTCCACCCTCCTGCTGTGAGCGCTCTAGTGGAAAAATCGGTCAACATAATCGTGCTTCCTCAGCGAAGAGTGGCTGAGCTTGCTGAGATAAGTCTTTTCCAAGATCCCTTTTCTTCAGATTCACGGAATGTAAACCAGGATTAGCGCATTTCTACCCCGACAACTAGGGTTTCCATGTTGGGTTTGTACCCAAACCCAGTAGGTTGGAAATAAAAGTCCCCAAAACCCGCCCCATAGCCATGTCTATACAAATCCTCCGGCATATTTATCTGATCGTCTTATACCGAGTTACTTGGGAGCCATCGCTCAAGTCCACTACTGTTGGCTGTAACACATAACCAAACACCCGGGGAGCAAGAACGAATCGCAACACATAGTAGATGACCCCCAATGACAAGATGCCAAGAGCAACGACAGAGGTAAGCCAGTATGGAAGGCTCGTGTTGCCTTTACCATTAGGCGGACGAACAAAGGGCATGACAAGAAGAAACTATATATTCAAAAAGTTTAGAAAACCATGATCAGTTTGCCGTTTTTGGGGTAACGGAAGGGACTGAGTTGCTCTGAAAGAAATAACTTACAATGTTTCCAGCAATATAAAGTGCAATCACAAACCAAGGCGTTGGGCGTGTAGGATTCCACCTTTCGGTGTTCGACAGACGCAATTTCACCAATCCGATGGTGATAGCAGTCAGAAGGAAGGTTGTAGGGTATGAAGACAAGCTGACGATGAAATTGAAAGCGTCACCTGCTGGAGGGGCGCAAATGAAGAGGATTGTAACGCCCAGGTGCAAGGCAAGTGCGAAGATGGGAGTTTTAAATGGTCTGTTCTGCATTATCGTGTTGGGAAACGGAGTCACACCATCCTTAGCGAGTTCTTGAATCACGCGAGCTGAGAGAGATCTATCAGATATTATTCATATATTTCAGAGACTGAAGTATACCACTTACGGACTGTGAATGCAATTCCGAGAAGGTGGCCCAATGCAGAAATGGCCACAAGTGCTGGTAGAGCTTTTGTAGCTGCCGAATCCCCAAAAACATTCCGAAACAGAGAAGCAGCAATGGTAATCTTAGAGGATATAAAGTCTTCTTTGGGCACCGCAGCAAACTGTTGTTTCGAGATTAGTTAAGTTGATTGGTTGGCCGCGGTTGTTTGCAGGGAGAAAATACGTATGCTATATTTGCCAATAGATAGAGTACAGTAATGACAGCCATGGCGGATGGCAGGGCAATCTGTAGCGTCCTCTTCGGATCCTTGACTTCAGATAGGACCTGGCCATTGCTTTTGTTAGCAACCAATGATAAGAGTGTCAGTAACTCGTGGGATGAGCTTACCGCATTGACATTATCGTATCCCTGAAATGCGAAAATAGCATTCAGCAGCGCTGTTCCAATATTATATCCATTGCTAGATGTTCCCTGAAAGGAGGTCGAGATGTCAAAGTTATGAGGATTGTCAATTCTCAAATGACCTCCTAGAGCAGCAAAACCAGTGCAGACAATGAAAAATAGAGTAAATAACTTCACTGCACAGAGTATATCTTGAAGACTTCGTCCAAATCTTGGAGCAACCGTATGAATACCTACGGCGAATACAGCCGAAGCGGTGGCGACTCCACGGACTTTCCAAGTAGTTTGATCTACACCAGTTGCGAGCAGTAGGTAGGATGAAAATGTATAGGCATTACTAGCCGATACCTCTATTTTTCAAGTCAGATGGCTCCTGTCAGAAACCGGCGAAATGTTACTTACGAAGAAACACGCAATAGAAAAGATAAACGCAGGTCTGAAGCAGCTTTGGTGAGAATGAACGCTCCAGGTAAATTTTTATGCCACCGGACCTTGGGATGGCTGATCCAAACTCCAGCATCACCATAGCACCACAAGTTGAAATAATACCGGCAATAAGCCAGAGGATCAGAGACATTCCAACACTACCACTAAGTTTGAAGATAGTTGAAGGTGTGGAGAAAATTCTTGAAATCCACGGGTTAGAATAATACTTCCTTCTCTTCATCAAGACATATATTGATACAGTCAAAACTTACCCAGCTCCAACAATCTTATTCACTATGAGTGATATCGCACCTAAGATCCCGATCTTTCTTTCCTGAAGGATATTTTCTTCAACAACATGAAGGGAATCTTGATTCTTTGGTCCATCATACTGAGGGAGTGGCTCAGGCGACGAGACTACTATCGACTGAGTATGAGCATTGACATTTCGCATCTTTGTAGGGCAGTAGTATCTCACCAGTAGATATTTTATTGTCCGTTTCCATCATTTTCCGTCTCTGGATCACCTCTATAATCGGAAATGAAGTCCTGGAGAAATCGTCTGTTTCATCGAGAAGTATTTGTAGTCACGGCTAATCTGTCCAGAGCTACTCAGATAGAGCACGTCAGTACCAATCCACAATACACCATCCTAACACGATGAGGCATAATTGTTGAATTCCAAATTAGGCAAGCAATTAGGTAAGATAGTTAAGATTTAGCCAGGGCTCGGCATTTTCCGAGTGGCTTTTACTGATGGTTCTCATGCATGGGGCCCGTTTGGTTGTAAGTGGTGTCATTTGAAGATCGGATCACGAATTCAATGCGTTAGTGCAAAGAAATCACACAACACGGGAGGATCATTATAAAAAGTATGGAAAAAGAATGGACCTCAAAGATCAAAGCAGAAATATACAATCTATCCGTCATTCGAGATGGCTGTAAAGTTTGAGCCTTTTGATGTTCCTGGAGCACAGGTTGTGTACAGTAATGTATTTCCCTATGGTCTTCAAGTAAAGTCTGAGGAAGGAAAATTAAATCCTCCTGCTCTTGAAGATTCCGTGGAATCAATCAAGACACTGTCTGCATCAGGCCATCTCTCCGAACTTCTCAAGAAGCATGGAGCTGTTCTGTTCAAGGGAATCGGGCACCCAGCCGCTGAGTCTTTTGCAAAAGTTATCAACGCAGTAGAGAAAGCTCGTGGGTCAACACCATTTGTTCAGATTGGACTTGCGGGAAAGAGAACTATAGTTGCAGAAAATATTTGGACGGCCAATGAAGGTCCTCAAGATCGTCGCTTTTACCAGCATAACGAGGTAAGAGTCCAACAATATTTTCAAGACAACCTTACAGATAGCAGTTTGATTATAGTATTCGAGATATACAAGATTTCCTGCCAACATCCACTTTTATTGTGAGAAGAAAGCTCTTGAAGGTAAGTCGTAGCATGCTCTGATAATGTGGTTATTTGATTTCCGACTTATCTTGATTTGTTAGGAGGCGAAACCCCCATCGCGCACAGTGCTTTAGTGTACGAGAAGCTCGAAGAGTCCGTCCCTGAACTCGTTCAGGAAATCAAAAAAAGAGGACTAGCAATGAAAATGCTTTTCCGCGCTCCAGGCAAAGAAGGTAGAGGGAACGAGTTCAATTGGGCCGGTGAATTCAGCTTCGGACAGGAATTCCTCCCTGGAGATGATCAAGCCACCAAAAAGGAGAAGGTAGAGAAACAAGTACGGAAGTTGACCGATGACTTCCGCTGGACAGAGGACGGCAGTATTGAGCTCACACAGCATATTCCAGGTACGCTCCCTCTTCATGGCCGGTTTATCTATTTTTGTTGTAATTTTTTGGCTTACCCAGCAACAGGAATTCGACGGGCATCTGCAAAAGATCCTCCAGTATGGTTCAATGGACTAGTTGGGCGATTTGGCATCACTCGCGATATCGGAGCATTGGATCCTCCCTATATTGGACGTGATGGTATGACCTGTGAGTCGCAATATTGCTTCAGAAGATGTGATATCGTTTGTTCTGGTTTATCTGATAAATACCGTCTTTTAGACTTACCATGTGAATATGGCGATGGAACGCCTATTCCCCGCGAACACCTAGAAAAGCTCGAGGAGACTATTGATAAGCTGGAAATCAACCTGAGCCTCGATGCAGGCGATATGTTGCTTGTCGACAACCTCCAGGTGTCTCACGGTCGCAAACCATGGAAGGGCGACCGACGGATTCTGGTAAGCATGTGGGAAGGCGCTGAACCTACCCAAGCGTTCTGATGAAGTGGAGGAATCTTGAATATTGTTTCAGAAGAAAGAAGTGAAAACGGTTCTGATACTTCCATATCTAACAAGCGGCTGGGCTGGTCGTTTCAGGTGAAATATAACCAGGAACACAATATTAGACGGGGTTCGGCAGCCAGGGGCTTGAATTAGTTAGTGGGTCAGTAATGCCTCGTTGAGTAGGCGAGCGCTAAGCAAGAACTAATCTAGCGTGCACAGCTTTGTATAATATTCCTGTATAGCAGCCTATGCTAGGTATTTTTGTCTCTTTTAGTTAGACACACAGTATAATATATTATATATTCCTACGCAATTTTTAACAGCAGTATGTCTTATAGGTAATTAAAATGTAAGAGGGCTGTAAGAGGGCGTGACTGTGAGTGACGATTCATAGAATAGATCTGACCTGGCGTTTTCACGGCGCCTGTTACGATGGATAAGACGCCTACATTGAAGGGACCGAGTTTGAGGCGGAGCGTCTCGGCGATGATTTCGATGGATCGCTTGGAGGCTGTTTAGCTTCCTGTAAGATGCGATCAGTCTTCAGTACCAGTGTTTGCCTATCTATTGCAAAGTTTGGATGTGAACATGTCACAGCACAGTATCGTCGCTACTTACCCATTTATCCACGGCACATTAGCATATCCCCAAATAGAAGTAACGAACACAACCTGACTCTTCGCTTTAATGAGCAACGGGCGTAAACGCCTGCGTAATTGCCACCGGTCTCCAAGTTTTAGTCTTAAAGATCGTCCGAGTCTTATTTAAATCTTCATCCAGAGTGGGCATGAAATGATTTCGGCCTGCATTGTTGATGAGGTAGTCCCATGTACCCCCGGCTTTCTCGCGGACAGCTTTCACAGCTGCAGCGATGTGATCGGGTTGTGTCATGTCTAGTGATGAAAGGGCGACATTTGGGAGCCCCTCAGGTTTGGTCATTTCCTCGATGTCGCGGGCTGTAGCGAAAATGAGGTAGCCTCGTTGTTGGAAGGTTAGGGCTAGACCGTAGCCGATGCCATCGTCGCTACAGCCGGTGATGAGAACGGGCCGTTGCGACATGTTGATTGATGTAAGTAGTAGCCAGAAGTTGGAGGCTCACTCCATAATTAGTACAGTAACCCAGCTAGCAGAGGTAGACAACTTTCAGTGCAATAAACCACGCACTTAGGTAGCTGTCTATTCATATTCATATTGAGTAAAATTGTTCGAGGATCCCTAATTGTATTGACTCAATATTGATACTATTCTGTATCGTGATGTACCTGACACTGACATCAAACTTTATAAACATATCAAAACTCCAAAAGTCAAACCCGAAGCCGAATCCGAACGCCCCCTAGAATGAAAACAGAGATCGAAAGTTCAAATGAAGGTTGGTATATACGTTTATCCTTTCCAAAACAACAAACATTAATAATCAAGGCTATGAGAGCATGAGTCAGGACAACTATTTGTTAGCCTTCTTAGGCGGTGGTGGAAAGTAAGGCTGTTCCTGTGGTTGTTCGGCCGCTTCCGAGATGTTAATGGAGACGTGGCCGCCGTTAGAGAATGAAGACGTCTTGGGCGTATTCCAGTTTCGGAATGGGAGGTCACTGGATGATGATGGGGATGGGTCGTTGAGAGACTGATATTGTCCCTGGCTTTGGAAGAAATGTGTTTGATGATAAGGCGAGCCCATCGGTTGCAGCCCTGGGGTGTACGCGGCACCAGGCAGGGCTGGAGGAGGGAAAGCAGGTGAGTTGATGATATCCTCGTACTCGCGCAATGCACGGTCTTCGGCTTCCTTTTCTTCGCGTTTCTCTTCCTGGCGTCTTCGCCATGCATCCTTCTCTTCTTGGCTGACGAAGCAGGACATGATCGCCAGTATGGTCTCGACAAAGTATATCACAATCACGATAACAGTCAAAGCGAACAGGGCTTTTGCCTGTTGACAGTATCCGATGTTACTGGGGCTGTAGGCCACGGTGCATTTTTTGGTGATGTACCAGGGTGGCCCGCGTTGGGGATGACGAGAATCTGTCGTGTCGGAGCCGGCTTGGAAGCATGCAGCAGCAATATAGAGGATGCATAGGGTGCCGTGCACGACAGCCGAGACTGGAGGGTAGAAGAAACGAAGTACGTGGATGGGTACCTTTGTTAGGATGACGAAAGTGCTGAGGACACCAATGACAAGGTTGAAGTTGTACAAACTGATCGATTAGTTTTTATTGTCGAAATTTCAGAGAAGGTGAACATACAGTGAACTCCAGACAATCGGCACTTTGTATGTTCGGCCGTTTGTCAAAGCGTAGACGACTTGGTTGGGAGCGCTATTAAAGCCGTTGTTTGCTCCATCTTGCCATAATTTCGTCGTATATGTATTGTGTGAAGCGATACCGGTCAAAATGAGTACTGGCAGAATGAATGGTATCTCGGCGCACATCAAATACAGCGCCAGATAGTGGTTCTTGTATGCTCTGGGAATGAACACCATGATGGCGAGCAGGCCACGGTAATCGATCAACTGATGAAGTTCGACTTCTGAGTACCTTAATACCGCAATCCCTCAAGCCAGTCCGGCTGGCTTCAGCTCATGCCGTTAACAGTCGGAAGCATAAAATTGATGGAATTCGGATGGTGTTGAGGACGGGCATTCTTTAAAGGTGCGACGAGGAGAGGGAGAAGCTTATTGAAGAGGCCATGACAAAGAACTGCTGCTACTGCAGTAGGTTGCACAATGTGCCTGTGCCGCAAACTCTGGTGAGGGGGCATCGGACACGCAAAGTGCAATGCTCGAATACAAGGCCACCCATAAGCGCCGAGCAAGGCACTTTCAACGATAGCCAGCCAGTCAGGGTTGAGGGATGGCTTCTTGTCCGCAAAGAGCGGGGAACGAGACGGCGAGCGGGAGATGTGACGGACGTGCAGCTTCGGCCAATCACCGCTGCAAACACCACTTTTCGCTGCAATCCATCACATCTTAGCGCTTTTCTGGCCAGGCCACTCGATGTCCGTGGCAGGATTTCCTATCGCCGCTAGCGACTCATTGGCTGATTGATGGGTGATTTTGTGAGTCGGTCTGCATGTGCCTAGACGAGCACTGAGAGTGCGTAGTTTGCAGTAGTGTCTCGCCTTCCACATAATCACACTGCTAGCCTATGAATCAACTGTAAGATGAAGCCATTGTGTGATGAACATCCTTCAATCACCGATCAGATGTTCGAGGCGCTGATCTACATCCATGTCAAAAGTAGCTAGCATTAGGTGTAAGTTAAGTGAGTGTGAAAGAGGAAGAGCTCTCGGGAGGACTTCCGGCCGGGTAGATCATCTTCCCAACCAATACTATACAATCTCGGCCAATCAGAGTGCTCAGTCTATTTTATAGTGATTACGAAGTACAGTGTTTTCATTTGAATCCTGCACGGATGGACAACTTTTCTCGGCATCGAAGGCGTTCAGGACAGGAAAACAAAGGGTGATGGTTGGCAGTTCAATGCACACCCATATCTCCGGCTATAGATGTGTTTTATGCCCCGTCTTCGTAACCTCGCAATTAAATAATAACCATAATGAGAATTACTCTATCTTATAAATTTCTCCCGATTGCCATTTACCACAAGAACTGGGCATCTGATTGTGAAGACTTGACCATTATATGTCACAGCTTTTGCCTATAGGGTTATTTAATATTTGGGGTAGAGCTTTGTAAGCCATTGTGAAAAAGGTCTCACTATGCTGATGAAGCAGGGAGATACATTTTTTTTATCAAGCATGGCTCACAGAGCTTGCTAAAATAAGATAAAGAATGACAGGTGGAGGACATATGTATGCTCGATCTTGTTTAGACGTGGACTATCGCAGAGGTTAAGACCATTCCCAATATAAGCTTCTCGCTCACTTTCGAACCTCTACCACCAAGCTTTTATTCTCGAGGTGCCAGCACCCATTCACTGGGCCTAGGAAACCGAACGGAGTCCCTTGTTATTGCAGTCATGACCGCGATCTAGTTTACACCCACAGATGATATGCTTGTAAACACAACTACGCAGTCATTGCTTGATAATGTTGTTTCTGCGGCTACAGAACTTGGGGGCTCCGACTCCTTCATATACCTTAATTATGCGGGTAAATATTAGAATCCGATTACCAGTTATGGAAATGAAAGTGTTGGGTTGTTGCAGGAGGTTAGACAAAGGGTTGATCCGATATTTGTTTTTACAGAGCAGGTTCCTGTTGGGTATAAGATTCCTTCGTAAGGATGGATATACTTTGTTTCTCCTCCGCCACTTTCCTATGCTATAGATCAGAAAGAAGATTGATGCAAGACTATAGTATCGACATATGTGTGTGTTTTATCTTATAAACCTCTTACATTGGTTAGATATTGTATGTAATTTATAACCTACACGTATCATTACGGTACGTATACCTAGGAAAGAGACATTAGCATCAACGACGTCATACATACAGAACCTCCTCTAAACATCAACTTTGTTCTTGCAACACGCTTAATTATCAGTGATACAAACCGTAATGTTTCAGCCCAACTCCCAATGCGGCCGATTAGACTGATACATTCACCCAACATATGTAGTTTACAGTTTACAGTCTTCCATCGAGCGGGGCAGACATCCCGACTATCACTTTGGTCTCGCGGCGCAACAACCATGACTCCACGCAAGGACTCCATCCCCCATGAGACACGCACAGCGGCAGAACCACGACAGAACAAACTATACACTGTTCATGTCGCGCGTCTCGAGCAAGTCAATCCATCCATTCGACTGCTTCGGTTCGCACTGCCGCAAGAAGCGCCTGCGGACGAAACTGCCGTATGTTCGTTTCTTAACCCCCCGACTGCAAACACTGACTTTCCAGTTCGACGCCCAATCCCAAGAGACATTCTCCTTCCTCCCCGGTCAATGGCTTGATGTTCATATTCCCTCCATCCCGCAAGCAGGCGGCTTCACCATAACTTCCACCCCTGCTGATGCCCTCCCCCTCCCCATCCCCGATCCCACCATCATCCAAGACGGGACTGAGAACCTATCCCATCAACAAGGCGAATTCGGGACCGAGGCTGCGGCTGATGGAAGGTATCCGTATGTAGAACTTGCGGTTCAGCAATCACCATCCAATCCGGCGGCGGCGTGGTTGTGGAGACCACATAAGGAGATTCTGGGGTGTGAGTTGAGAGTAAGAGTCGGGGGAAGTTTTGTGTGGCCTCCTGCTTCCGTGAGGACGGATCAGATTCATAAAATAGTCTTTGTGGCGGGKGGTGTTGGGATCAAGTAGGCCTCTGTACTCCCCTGAAATATGAATCATTGAACTGACGGCAAGACCCAAGCCCTTTGATATCGATACTCTCCCATCTAACAGAAGACCAAACACTCAACCCTGCAATCCCTCTTCCAGAGAGGTCACCTAATCATCCACTTCACATCCGGTTTCTGTACTCGACTCAGATCCCAGCATCTTCCTCCGTGCTGGATGAGAAGACGCTCGATCAGATCCTCTTCCTGTCACGACTACGCAACATTCTGCAACGCACAAGAACAGTTAACAACCGGCCCGCAAATATCAAGCTGGATCTGGACCTTTTCCTGACTAACCTCTCATCCCCTACTGCGGTCGCACAAGCCAGCGAGATATTGAACAAGGTGACCGATGGTAATAACGCATCCGACAGCAGGCCATTCATACGCGTTCTTGGCCAACGCATCAGCAAAGACGATCTTGACCCAAAGCCACAGCAGGAAGACACGGTATATTACATCTGTGGCCCGCCGGCCATGACGGACGAGTTCGTGCAGTACCTTGAACCGGTGGTTGGTAAGGAGAGGGTTCTCTACGAGAAGTGGTGGTAGCGACTACTTCTAAAAATAAGACAAAAAAAGACAGATAATATGCTAATCACCTATTGCAACTATAGACTGTCCAATTGCAATACACTTCAAAAGTAATCAATATCCAGTGGGTATACTGTAAAATAAATACGAATGGTCTTCCTCCGTATAATGAAACGCTATGAAAGAAAGCAACAACAAGAATGGTATCAAGCTCGAACCTGACCCGCATCGACAATCATCATCTCGTCAATCCGCGACTCGGTATCGCCATATTCAAGACGTTTATATGTCACAATTCTGCCGGGGCCCATGTCGAATTCGTAAAATCGCATGCGCCGGATGAAACCTCCATAGCCGCCGTAGCCGCCGAAACCCGAGGCACCGCCGTAGCACATCCATATGTTTGGTTTGTTGTTCATGTCTCGGTTGAGCATGCAGTAGTCGTTGACGTGGTCGCTATGAATCTGGTTAGTTCAAAAGTTTCAAAGTGCAAGGATGGTAGACGGACTGTCCACAGCTCACGAATAGAATATTCTCTTCTATGAGAGCATCCATAAATCCAGAGTTGAAGCCCGGGGCTGTCGGTGCTTCCAGCCAATTACCTTTCCACGAGTTGGTATCTTCACGATACTCAGGTAACGGAATATGAATAAAAGCCATATCCATATGCATATGGCTGTATTGATTATGCTGCTTCTTTAAACTCTGAGATGTAGTCTTGAACCATTTTATCTGGCTCGGTTTAATCCAGTCATAGCCCCGGAATTGACGCTCATCTGGCGAATAAGAATGTGTGTCAAGAAGATATAAAGTCAAAGCGGAATGATGGGCACTCGACCGACCCATTACCTCGACAATGTAATTTCCGACACCGTCGACATCGTCCGGACCAGCGGTAGATACTGAATACGGCAATTCTTCGAGAAGCGCCATTAGCTGCGCCCGGTTGAGATTTCCTTCGTCGTCGTGATTACCAAAAATAGCGGCGTACGGGATCTTTCGATCGACAAGCGGCTTGACGAATTTGAAAACAGCGCTTTGGACATCTTTAGACGTCTCGCCATTGACTTCGTCACCCGAAAACACCACGAGGTCCGGCTTCTCCTCATCCAAGAGTTTCTCAACAAAGTCCAATGTTCGAGGATCAGCTTCACATTTTTCTCCCGGTACTCTTTCTTCAGGCACTGGATCTCTGCAAGCGCCAGTTCCTGTGCTCAGATGTAGATCCGCCGCCTGCATAATCTTGAACCTTTCGCTATCGTTTATTCTGAGCTCTGGCTTCTTCAACACTGGTGGTACCCCCCTTCGAACCGTGAGTCGTGCTTCCGTCGCCTCCGTCAAACTATTCAACAGCACAAAAGTATCTTTCACCTCCCACTGGGGTCGCGGATCGACTGCGTCCGCTCCAAATAAGACATCAACCGACGTAAGAGCCTGCTTCGAATCGCTCACATGCGGCTCAGAACTGCGCCTCAACCATATTCCGCCGGGTCTCGCTTCCCAGTCATTTTCATTCGAGTCGATGGCGTTGGGCGCACCGCCCCTCGGATTCTTTGTCTTGGAATCCAGTAGTCCCGGATTGAACCTACTGATTCGCAGATCGATTACCACTTTATCAGTTTCGAGGAGTTCCTCCTCCCGTTTTCGCTGGAAATGTACATAGGCGGCAGATGTCCACGTATTATCGAGGTAGAGATCCTTGTCGACGCGGGACCACACCGACGGGTCAAGGGTACAACTCGAGAAAAGGTTTATAGACGAGCAGGTCACGATCGTAACGTCCGTAACGACAAAGCCCGGGTGATGGGTCGGCAGATGGCCATGAATGGAATTCGGTAGGACGCGGAATTGTTTGTCGATGAAGAGGATGATAAGGAAGACGAAGAAACCAAAAACGCTGAGCTGAACTCCCGTTCTAACCTTTGCAGGGCGGACAGTCAAGTTAGAATTATACATCGCTTTGAGATGGACTTGCAATTGAACAAAAATAAAAGAAGAAAGCAATAGAAGAACATACTATACGGCGAGTCATTTTGACCCTTCGCCCGTCAAGAATGAGGAGTCCGGCGGACTGATAGCTATCAACCAACGGGATTCACGCGCATCTAGGTGTGCAGTAGCGACGAGGCGTCTAGCGAAAGTGATCATCCGATAAAAGTTGCAGCCTAGGCAGGCTTCCAGGCATGTTGCGGGGTTTCCGGAGCTGATAAGAAAAACGCAAGCCCTATGTCCTAAAGGAAGTGTAGAAAGAGCATGACATATATACCGATTTCCACCTCTTCGTCCGGACGTTGTGATGGTTGTCTAGAGTGTTGGACAAGGAGCGAGAAAGAAGGTCTGAGTCCGGGGAAGATTCCTTGCTGCGGATCGGCCAATCACGGAGTCTGTATGGGTCCGTATTGATCTGACGCCTTAATGATACGACTATTACGGTAAACTGTAATACGGTAAGTATATATTCCTTGCGTCTGGCATTATCTCAGTTCTTGAGAATATTTGCATTGATTTATGGAATCCTCTTGTTATTATTATTAATTGTATAAGGATGGGTCGCCGTCAACCATCAATCACAAAATTTGTACGAACTTTATTCTTCGACCTCGGACCGGGGTGGCGCCGGATTCGGTTCACAGATTAGCCCTAACTCGACCACAAGTGCTGAACTCAACAATCTTCTTACATTGCTGATTTGGCGGGCCGTTTGTACTGATTCTTCATCATTGGTATATGTCTATCCTAAACCACGATCTTGTCCTTCAATATTTGAGTATAAGCAGTCAGCATCTTACGGACTGACTGATCTCCTCCAGAGTTTGTGTCTTCTTTGTCGCCGAAATGTTTCCTTTTGTGGAAGACCACACAACCCTAGCATGCTAGAGCTAATTCGTTATGAAGAGCCTGACATAATCTCAGCCTCTATCCTTTGCGCTCTCTGTTCCCTCCATCCGGGGCCCCAATGCATCAGAACCCACAGAATCGGCGTCGTAGCAAATATGACCAATGAAATGAATGTAAAGCACCAACCGTATCCCATCGAGTCAATCATCTGGATGATGACGGCTGCTTCCCCGGCGCCCAGCAGACAACGACAGAGATTGTTACCCGCTGTGGCTGTTGCCGGAGACATTGGGTCTGGGGTTGTCAGTTTGTTATTTCGGAAAGCACTTAGCAATGAAAAGCACATACAATAATCAATCAATGCGACGCTGCAGCAATTGAAACTGCCGGAAATACAATAGCCAACGAAGAAAAGGAGCACAAGAGGAGCCGCCAATGGAGCTTGGATTTGCACGACCTATCATAACATATGAGCTCTGATTAGTTGTCTTTTGGTAGCGAGAAGAACAAACAAGGGAAGAAATACCCATCCATAGCAGAGCAATGCAGAATTTCCAATCAATATCAAGATCAATGCAATTGGCAATCGCACTTTTTCCAAAGGGAAATGTCTGGTATCAGTGGTCTGACCCTTAATTATTTCAAATCCAGCAGCTTTGGCAACTTGACGAAATCGCCAGTCTAAAGCTCGCCCATTGAACAGCGAGGCCATTAATGCTCCGATACCATAGGGAAGGTAAGTTAATCCGATTTGCAGGTCGTTGAATCCGTATTGTTGCTGAAAAACATATGGAAGACTGCTGGTGACACTGAAATAGGAGGCATATACGAGGCAATTGTATAGAAGCAGGAGCCCAACATCCTTTTCTTTTAGGATTTTGAGCGTTGCAAGCGGGTTTGGCATTCGGATCCCTCTTTTACCGTCTTTCAGATGCGTAGGATGTGACGAAGCTTGCGTTTGTGACTTGGCTAGACTCCGCCTTGCCCGTATGATACTGATCAAGTCTCTATTCCATCGCTGGGGTGGAATTGATCCGTTTCCCACCACGTTGCGACCTGTTTCTGGAAAGGCCAACACCATCAAGGTAAGTAGTACACCAACAAAGATCACTAAGAACCAAAATATAGACCGCCAGCCCAAAAACGCTGCTAGGATACCACCGAGAACGGGGCCCAGGGCAGGTCCAACCAATGCACCTCCATTTACCAAGCCCATATACGTTCCACGTTCGGCAGCGGTGGCAACATCAGCGGCAACGGCTGTTCCCAGTGCAATGGTTGAAGATGACCCCGTTGACTGTAGACAACGCAATACCAACAGAGCTGGGTATGATGTCTGTAGGGCAAGGCCAATACAGGCACCAAGATAGATTATGAAACCAATTATGTACGCCGGGCGACGGCCACTGGTATCAGCCAGATTTCCCATCAATGTCGGAGAAATACCTTGTAATATCATGTAGGTGGTGAGAGATATGTTGATCAGTGACTGACTGACATGAAGGTCAACCGATAATGGATTGAGTGCAGGATAATAGATGTTTCCAGACAGCGGCGAGACCATGCCGCATATGGCGGCCATGGTGACAATCCAGATTCGAGTGCCTTTGGGGAAAACAGAATGGCGCGCTGCCTCCGCATTTTGTGGTGGTTTCTCCTTGGAGCTGCTGCCATTGTCTGTAAGGTTGTCATGATTACTAGGGCAGTCGGCCAAGGAAGCGATGATGGCGTCTTGGTTAGTTTTGTCATCCCTTTCGACGCTGTTGTGTGCACCTTCTGCTGTGCAGTCTTGCATGGTTTGTGTATACGTCTGTAAAGATGTTGTTTCACACAAGAATTTCAACAAATGTCAAAGGAAATTAGGATGCGAAGTTTTGATCTCGGAGATCCCCTTTGTTCTTTATTTTCAGAATGTACCACCCCACTCGCACTATAGCTGTGCAAATGAAAAATGCAGGGTTATTGTTGATTGTCTACTTCTAGTTATCAATCTAACTTGCTTCCACGCACAGAATTTATTATCGAGTATGTTACCACTAGTACTAAAATAATTTATATAACTCATACTATAGACATGAAAATTAATCAATCTGGGATTTTCACTAACAAAAAAGCGGTCAATCATTACCAATCAAAACTCAAGAGTTCAGGCACTAGAAAGTTGTACTTCAAAGTTTCCATGCCTAGGTAGCTTTCGAGCCAACTCACTCTTCAGCCGCTGTTCTGTCGCATCCAAATACTCGTCCGTCATCACATATGTCTCTGGTTGCCCAGCCGAGATGGCCAGATCTTTAGTCATTATGCCATCCAAATCGACTGTGTCAATGCACGCCTTCTCCAGGCATTCTGCAAATGCAACAAGATCGGGGGAATCATCGAGTTTGCCGCGCTGGATCAGTCCACGCGTCCAGGCAAAGATGGTTGCTATAGGATTTGTGGACGTCTTCTCCCCTTTTTGGTACGCGCGAAAATGGCGCGTAACAGTACCGTGGGCAGCCTCGCTCTCAAAAGCTTTGCCGTCTGCGGTAGTGAGAACAGAGGTCATCAGGCCTAGAGACCCGAAGCCCTGCGCGACAAGGTCGGATTGGACATCACCATCGTAATCTACCAAGAGAAAATAAGGCCATGCTAAGTTTCTTGTCTGTGTGCGGGAGAGGCAAAATACTCACTCTTCAGAGACAAGACAAACCCACCCTCGCTCTTCATCATGTACGCTACCATATCATCAATGAGACGATGCTCGTACCAGATGTTCTGCTTTTTGAACTCAGGCTCGTACTGAGTCTCGTACAGTTCTTTGAAGACTGCAACGAAGCGACCATCGTACTGTTTCATCACATTATTTTTCGTCGCGACATACAAGGGAAGACCCCTACTAAGCGCAAGCCGGAAGCTGGTATGCGCAAACTTGAGGATAGAATCATCCGTGTTAAGCTGAGTTTGTGCGATCCCAGGCCCTTCGAACTTGAAGACTTGGATGCGAGTTTGTTCCTCGTCGGCATTTTCAGGAGTGTACACCATCTCTAAGATGCCAGGGCCAGGAGCAACAAGGTCTTTACCTGAATACTGGTCTCCAAACGCATGTCGGCCGATGATAATCGGCTTTGTCCACGTCCGAACAAGCGGAGGCACTCGTGAAATCACTACAGGCTCGCGGAATACAGTCCCACCAAAGGCATTGCGGATCAACCCATTTGCTGATGGCAAGTTGTTCCTCAATTGAAACTCCTCACGCCGCGCTTTATCTGGGTTTATCGTAGCACATTTGATGCCGACCCCGAATTCTCGGATTGCTTCAATGGCATCACGGACAACTTGATCATTGGTTTGGTCACGGTATGGTAGGCCTAGATCGAAATACCGTAGATCAATGTCAAGATACGGGTGAATGAACCGCTTTTTGATATCATCCCAAAGGACTCGCGTCATTTCATCGCCATCCATTTCGACAATGGGAGTTTTCACCTGCCGCATGTAAGCTACTTTCTCAGTCGAAATTAACAGGCCATACATACACTAATCTTTGGATATGCCGACATTTTCTTGGTTTTAACAGCTATGATCAAGGCAGTAGATACTATAAAGTGATTCAAAGATTGTGATGGTTTACCTTAGATATTTAAGAATTTTTCTACTTATAACATACTTCTTTATTCTAGTTTTAAATACTTATATTAATGTATCAAAGTACCTGGGTCACCTCCAAGGGAGATGTTAAAGTGTGTGGTACAATTGACTGCAATACTGAGCAAGTTTCCCCTTCCCTTCAAATCCATGTAATCTCGCTGATTGATAAGATGAGACCTTCTTAAAATGCTTTGGTCTTATTGCGACGCACCACGAGGACCAAGAAACAAACTCTTAGGTCCTGCCGATCTAGCCGCTTAGCTGACGAACAAGTACAAGGAAAATGGCATCATCAGACGCTAAAGTTCACACCGTAAGTCTCAATTCGATGCGGGGAAGTGGAAGTTGAGCCGATCATGTTGATCCCTGCGATTAACAGTGTGCTTAATCATGCTGCTTATGGCACTAGTCTTGTAGAGGAAATCCGTCGTGTGCCTCTGAATTTTGGCTGAAGGTGGCATTTTGATTTTCAGCAGCCTTGTGTTTTGGTTGACTATTACTTGTAGCCAATTAGGTATTTCGTTGTTCAGGCTATATGTCTATACATAATTCATCCTGGCTTCAGAGTGCAGCACACCCTGCTAGAAAGAGGTGTGGCCTTGGATGAATGGCCAGCCGTCCTTCCAACACACTTGCGATGAAAGAACTCGGTGACATATGCACCCTCTATCAGAGGGATATTTCCTTACCAGCCTTAATTGCATCAATTATAATGACCGGGCAATTTATTAGATTGAGTCTGATCGGCCAATGTCTTCTTAAAGCGGAAAAGATAATAGTATTTGAAGAGATTCTTGAACGTGTACGACCTTGGAAACAATAAGACGCATATCCTACGAGGCTTACTTATAATCATACGCATGGTTAATTTCCATTCAGACGACATGCAACGCTTTGGGTCTCAAAAAGATATCTAATTGCGTCCGTTGAATCAGTCTGTCTATGAGAGAGTCAGTTGAATAAGGCTTGAAATTTCGAAATCACACACTCCCTCGGCGCAGTTACCCAAAAAAGCCTCGTGTGACCAGAGTGTGATATGAAATATTCTTGCCTTTTAGGGGTATGTACGAGATAATCTAACATGAATCTCAGTGGCGTTGAATTCTGACTGGAGGGCGTGCTCGCAGCCGAAACCAACATGCATTTATAACCAGGATAGGTGGTAGATATGACATTTCTCTGTTGCAACACACCATCATTCATCTACTCGGAGCTTTAGGATTACTCCCCCAATTTCTGAGATCATGACGTTGGCCAGTGATCCCTGTTTCAGGGAACACACAGATAATCAATGCAATCTATGCAGGATTTTGCTTATCGTGGCGAATACTCTTTGGTGTCTGGAGGGCTACACGAAAGCAAATGTGGTGAAAACTCAACTAGTGTGGAATAGTAGTAGCCCATTCTTTGGGAGAAGTGTCCTCAGGCCCGTTTAGCTGTTTTCCGTTTATATGTTCGTACATTGTCATTACCTAGGTAGCTCACCAGTAATTCTCTCTCAGAATCGGGCTCTTCACACTGGATATTTGGTTTATGTTGACATCAATTGATATATTCTCTCAAGCACATCATTATGGCTATCTCAATCAGAGCTCTTCTCTCCCAGGGCAAAGACGTCGTACGTCTTTGCGAAACGCATGATATTAGTTCTACAGAAATCATCAGAAACACTATCACCGACGATGGCCAGCGCTTTGATGGCTTGTGGTTTGGTGGCCTGTGCCAAACGACCTATCTCGGCATACCAGACACTGAACTTATATCTCCCCTTCAGCGAGCAGCTCTGTTGCTTTTAGAGAACAATTTCTATCAACAACGCAGCAAGCCTTCTTTGCGGAAACCAGTCTGCGCAGCTTTTGATGCTGATAGCGGTGGGGCCCTTGCAGATATACCGGCATTGGTTGCCTTGCTGGATCTAATGGGCATTTCGATGGTGATCATTGAAGACAAATCCGTCTCTGAACCGGGCGAGAAGGTCAATTCTTTAGGCGAGAGTTCCGGTGCTCAGCCCCAGGCAGACAAACATGAATTTGCAAATGTGATTCGCATTTTCAAAGCTGCCGCTGTGAACAGAGATGTTATGGTGACCGCAAGGATCGAGAGTTTTACTGTCCGAAAACGACGGGCTGATGAAGCTGAGGAGAAAGCATCCGTTCAGGCTGCGTTGCAAGATGCCTTGGACAGGGCACAGGTCTACCATGAAGCTGGGGTAGATGCAATCATGATTCACAGCAAAAGCCGAGATCCAGGAGAAGTGAAGTCTTTCTTGACTGAATATCGGTCTAGAGATAGCGTGACACCACTGGTTGTTGTTCCAACCACCTACTCAGACACACTGCAGAGTGATCTTTACAATTCAGGCGCCAATGTCATTATCTACGCAAACCATCTGATGCGCGCAAAAATCAGCGCAGTCAGCAAAATTTCCAAGCAACTTCTAGCCGAGAATCCGGATTTATTCTCTGATGACCACGAACTAAGTGCATGTCTGGAGGCTCAGAACTTCGGCTGTCTTTTGCGCATATTGTGGGAGCGGAAATACTTGGGCAAGGAGTCTAAAGTGTCTCAGATGTATCGTATTATTGCTACTACATATGCATCGGAGAATATGAGGGCCACAGTCCAGGATCTATTGACTGGGGAGCAGTCGGGCTGTGAAGCTGACGAGCGAATTATACCAGTGAAAGATTTGCTTAAGATTAATGCTCGTCAGATTTATAACCCAGGAGATCTGCTTCCACGTCACTGAGCAGACAGTATAAGAGCGTATCTGATGTTTGTTTTTCAACGATTTTAGTTCAATATCTAACGAATTCTTCTTTCTACCATGCTACGTATTGATATAAATGTCTTTCTTCCCGCGCTCTGATTTCAGAGACATGCACTTCACATTCTGTAGTGGTATTAATTGACGGCTAGATATTTCTGATCATACCACATATAGACTGCAAACCACCTAGCTGGTTAAGGCACAATATCACGCGACCATGTGTCAATATGCATGATGAAAACATGCCTACCGGGGATGCCATGAGAGTTGACCTTAGAACATGCCAGTCATGCATAATGCATGTATGTAGGATTAGGCAATGATGTTCTCTACAGGCAGGTGCCGTGCAGAATGGCATTGTGCAATATAACTCAGCCCATAATGCCAATTTTCTTGTCAGGGATTCCACGGGTAGCTGGACGTGGCAATCCCGAGGGTTATGGATGCTGATAGAAGGGAATTCCCAAGTCAATGAAAGAAGTGCTGCGTGATCTCTTGCCATATCTGGAAATTGCTTTGACCTTGACAAGTTCCCAAAGTCCTCTTTATGCAAGATCCCTGAAGATAGATCCCTGAAGATAATGCAAGTAAAACCTACGAATCGGCGTTGTAAGTCTACATTATTGCCACGAATAAGTTCTCAACAAAAAGAAAACAACAAGTCACGAAGTTGCTCAAGAAGACAACGCATACTATCAACTGCATGAGAACAACAATGAAACCAAGCGGGGTTGAAAAATGTCAAATTGATATCTCCATCAGATAACATTTATGAAGTTACCTAATTGATATAGCTTTGTCCAATTGATCTTTGATATTGCGTTTTTGGGTAGGCTGATGAGATCATAAACTATATTTGATTTGCAAATGAGAATATATGTTGTTAGACATAAGTATTGTTCTAAAACCTCTTAACTTTGTCGAAACAGTTGGCTCTCCCGTCTGATTTAGATAGATCTAGTTCACCATATTAGTTGATCATACAGAAACCCTATCATGTTGCTCAACGGTGCATCCAAAGCAGGCTCTTCTATCAGAGGGCCATTGAAAATAAAGAGAGTTCTTGATAAATTCTAGTACTTTGATGTAACACCATGTATTGGCCGAGAATATGAAAATTTCAATTTCAAAGAATGGCTCCGGGCCCCAAATTCCGACGAGCTCATTCGTAATCTAGCCATCACCAGTATGATATTTTTCTACCTTGTTGAGTGAATCAATCTAAAGGTAACCTCTACTGTAGTTTCCCAGCGCGGCGTGGTCTTCTTCAAATCCCAAAACGACATGGATGACAACCTCCAAATGGAACCGGCTGATCATCTTGGAAAAAGAAGTGGCAAACCAAAAGATTCAGGTCTGCCCATCCATTCTATTTCAAACTTTAGGTCGTGAGCACGGCGGAAATGATTATCGAATCAATATCATCAGTTCAGTAGCGTTAGAAAAGCTCTATAAAAATGACCCAAATGAGAAGAAGCAGGAAAGCAAAATTGGATGGCACTCTGATATCAACTTTGAGCCCATTCCAAGTGATTTTACTATTCATAGGCTGACCGAACTTCCTGGCGTTGGCAGCGGTACAGTCTCGAATTCTCTCTCCAATTAAAATGGTCTCCTGAGATGCTAGACACCCTCTGGGCCTCCGGATATGAGCTTTAGGATCGTATCTCAGCCCCTTACCAGAAATTCATGACAGGCTGGGCCATCGGACGATTAGTTTAGGTGAAAGACCGTATTTCGATCCTAATGGCCTCTTTCGTCGGGAGGCTTTGAGAGACGATGCGTTGTGTTCTTAATTCCTACTTGCTACTCTATCCCTAGCACTATTTAGCAATGGTTTTGTTCGATGCCTGGACCTGCTTCGTACTGTAATTGTTATAAGTCAATTGTATACTCATGAATGATCAATATAGCGTCAATAATACTGCAATAGTAAGCCTAAACGTATCGCTTCTGATGAATTTTTTTTTGGATTTTATCCCTGACTCTGTCCATTAGTCGAACAGCCAAATTGTACATAGCCTTCCTAGGTCACATACCTAAAATATATTTACTATCAAGATACCACATACATCTTTAACTGATTTCCCTCAAGAATCTCGCACACTCAGTTGACCTGATCAATTGATGCCCTTCGGCTCCGTGAGCCTCCATCAAATGAACGTAATTTTGCACTCAGCCCTCGTTAACAATCCGAACAACACCCTCCGCCATCTTTTATCAAGCTAGTAATATCCCTTGATCACAAATTGCCTCTTTCTACTCTCGGACTCATTCCCAGCTTTTGTGCCAGCTTCGAGCATCAATTCAAAGTTTTTATAGGTGTGGCTTTTGGTAACGCTCGCCGGATAGCCATCCAGMAACGGAGAACGTTGCGCCTGGTATCATGGTGTTTTTTTTTTTTTGGCTGTGAGTTCCTCATGCTATCAACCTAATTATTTCATGCATTATTATAAATTTGAAGCCAATAGTGGCCTCTCATTAGAAAAGTTAAAGGGGTCCTAAATAGTACAGCACAATGTGCTATATCACTTGGACACTTCTATGAAGCAATTGTGAGAGATAGTTCATGAACAAACATTACAGGTATATCAATGAGATCTATGTAACATCAAGAATCTGTCGAGCCAGCCCTTACCCGTGAGTCCTCTATACTCTCCTCTATCACAAGGTCTAACTTTAAGACGACTTATTCTAAATCTAAAGCCCAGCTTCTCCGGCTTGCACCTTCTCTAGCCCTTGTTTTGCAACATTTTCGACGGAAACCTTGCCGTTGTAGATGTCCTTGGTAGTGGCAAGAATTGTGGACCAGTCCTCGAAGACGGTGAACGGCATTCCCTCGCGCTCGCAGAACCGAATCAAGTCTGCATCAGTTAGTAAGGATTGAATTCGAGCATAGTCTTGGGGAAATTTTCATACCGTGTCCCTTCTTGGCGAAGAGAAGGTCAGTCTCGGCCGCAGCGGACAAGTCAGACACACCGTCACCAGCATACAAGAGTATAGGACGCTTATCAGCCGGCAGGGCAGCATATGGCTTGATCTCGAGTGATTTGTTATGACCGAAGTGGCTGTCGTCCCGTCAATAAAAAAAGCTCCATATCCCTCTAATGTTAAATACGCACCTGTCATCGTGGTACTTGATCTGCCAACCTCCAGGAGTGTTAATGTCCTTGCCATCCCGACTCTCGACGTCGTTGGCCACAATAGCCAAATGCTTAGGATCCGGCTTATGGCCAAGCAACTCCTCGAACAATCCGCTAATGATCGGAACCATCCCCGAAGACAAAACAACAATGGGTACGTTGTTTTCCTTGGCCCAATTATAGAATTCTTCGAAGTATGGATCCAATTTCATGTTTTCCTTTAAGATCTGGATGCACTCGGCGAAACCGGGCTTGACACTGTCCAACATTTCGCGGAAGGAATCTCTGTAAAGAAGGGGCCATCAATTGGAAGCCACGGAGGTGGGGATTTCAGCATGAAACCGACCGGAAAGACGATTTGCCTGTGAGGACATCCTCGTTGCCTTGTTTCCGTTTGACCTGGCCGTATCCTAGGTTATCGGTCTAGAAGTGTACGTGTTAGAGGGGTACTCGGCGAGAGCGATGCGATGCGACTGCGTACCAAGAAGTCATTGCCTATCGACGGTGGATTTATCAGTACGAGGCGCATTCCAATCGCGAAAAGGCACAAAACAGAAGCAATTGATAGCTGACTCACTGTCTTTCAATGTGATTGTCCCGTCAAAATCGGTAAAGAAAATGATCTTCGGACTGGACTGAATGTAAGGAAGATTGGACGAATCGGTAGAACCCATGGTAAGTTTGTGAGAATGCAAGACGTGAAACGAATGGAGTAGTGTTGGAGGAAGGTGAGCGATGGAGTAGAAAAGAAATTAATGATCTGGAAGAAAAGCGCAGTCAAAGAAAGACAGATTTATGACGATAAAAGATCAGGGACGGAGTATAGGCCGGTGAAGTCTCCATGGAGGGGCGTTGCGGGGCTCCAGACAGCCAGCCTCTAGGCCCATGCCATAGCTTGGAGCGCCGCCAAAGACCCGCTCATGCTCACCGGATCGCCAGAATATTCAGTGGATTGGATTTGATGATGGATGAAGAGCCATTCTTGCGATTGCTTGAGATTTGGTGGAAATATCGAGAGAAAAGACTGCGTGGAATCACATGTGAATCGTCAGTTACACATGTAACTATCGAATAGATATATGTCGTAACTATCGTACCATCGTACGTATCTGGATTAAGACTTGGAATCAATACGTGCCGTAACGATACGTATTGTAACCATACAGTATCATAACCGCGGAATTGTTTCCTTCGCGTTTAAATCTACATCAAAAAAAGTTGTCTCTAACTTTGGGAACATCGACAGCATCGCAAACAAGCCACCCGAGTCTTGTCTTACTCTCACCATCAATTGAAAAGTAGCATCATTACAATGGGATGGCTCGCCTTCTACAATCCTTCCGTCGCATCTTAGGGATCGCTACAAGCTCTGCGGCGCCGACTACTTCGACCCGTTCGTCCTTTCCCCGATCAATCGATACAGACTTTTCTGTCTTTCGCGGTGCGTATATTCATGGTATCATAAGAGATCTAAACCAGGCTAACGATTTTATCATACGACAGAAGGCGACAGGGCGATCATTCAGGGCCGGATCCCACACATCACGAAACCGTTGAAACATGGCAATCGCACCGAAGTAGCTCGAGGATATCTCAATCACAGCGATGTCATAGGTAGTCGAGTCTGGAATCCTATCCAAGCACAAAAGGGTATGCTACGTGAGGGATCTGATTTGGCTATAAGCAAAGAACATAACGCTAACAAATTGACAATAGGCAAGGAATATCGGCTTAGCTTACCTACATTGGAAGAATACGTCGTCTATACACCCCGACTAGTCACACCGGTACGATTCATGTCGATGAGATTGATAAACTGGTATTGATTGTGAATAGTAGATCTATGGAGCAGACGCCAATTTGATTGTATCGTTGCTTGATATCCACGCCGTGCCCCCCGCCGAAGGCACCGGAGACCAACCACCTAGACTCGAAATTCTCGAAGCAGGTACCGGCCATGGCTCTCTCMCCCTCCACCTGGCACGAGCAATTCAAGCCGCGAATCCCAATCCCCCCTCTCTACCGCAGAAATCGCAGGTTCGCATACTCGAAGAGCGAACAATGAGTCCGTATGAGGAACACGCAGGAGAAAAGCGCACAGAAGAAGACATTGCTGGAGATCGGAAAAATACTACCATCCAAAAGGACTGGGACGAATGGCGCGCCCAGCGAAGAGCCGTCATCCATACCGTCGACGTCTCGCCCAAATTCTCGACACATGCAGAGCAAGTCGTCCGCGGTTTCCGACGAGGCATCTATGCTGGAAACGTAGATTTCCACGTCGGCGCGGTTGAGGATTGGATCAAAGATCAATTACAGCGTCGCCGCAGCAGTAGTTCGAAGGGATTATTCAGCAACCCCGGGAGTGCGACTGAGCCTTTCTTGTCGTATGCCATACTCGACATGCCATCTGCGCACCAACGGATACCGCATGTGGTACCTGCCCTAAAAGGGGATGGCCTGCTTGTCGTGTTCATGCCGAGTATTACCCAGATTGGAGACTGTGTGCAACTCATTCAGAAAGAGAAACTGCCGTTCGTTATGGAGAGAGTTGTCGAATTGGGGATGGGCATTAGCGGTGGTCGACTATGGGATGTTCGCATGGCTGTCAAGAAGAGTCGTGCGGATCCATCGTCATGGGCGAAAGAAAGTCGTGATGAAGCCGAACAAAGCACAACGGAGGAGACAGACATCACTGAGTCGGTCAGCACTTCCACAGCTTCTGAGCAGGAAAGTACTCAGGATAATGTGCTCGTGTGCAGACCTAAGGTTGGGTCCAAGATTGTCGGAGGTGGCTTTGTCGGGATATGGCGAAGAATCGAAGATTCGCCGAAAAAGAAATTATGATTGATATACACTGTATTATTAGACTATTGTGTAACTATATATAACTTGTACCATAGCAGCTCATTGCCTCTCAGGCATATAAGATACAAAGGCTTCCTCCCAGCGAGGGGAATTATAAACCCGTATCGTAACCATCAGCAAGCAGACAAATCAGGCATCATCCTTCACCAACCTCGCCTCAATCCACTCCGTGACGTCTTTCGTCATCCCCTCCCCAACCCCATCCGGCTCATTCATCAACTTATGATACGCACCCACATACTCCTTAAAAGTCTTATCTCCATGCCACTCCAACCCTTCCACCAACTTCTTCGTAGCCTCAAACCATGTAACCCGATCCTCCGTGCCATGTCCCACCCACAACGGCGGCACATCCCTCTTATGAACCGTCGCCTTTTTGTAGCACTCATTCAGCCACGCGCCACGATCCAACATACCCGCCAACCCTTCCAAGGTACCCGTACTATGAAATAAAACGCCCTTATCGTTGATGATATCCGCCTCAACGGCGGTGTTTTTGGATACCCATTTGGGCTCTACCTTTTGCACCATGGTCATTTTGGGCACGATGTGTCTTGCGATGCGGCCCGCGAATTCCACGATTTTGAGCGGTTGGGTTGACGGATGCACAGCAACCAAGGGTGCCACGGACAGGATACCTGCAACCTTGACTTTGGTTGTTGGAGTGCTGTCTTGTTGGTGATGGTATGGTGATTCGGGGTTCAGAACGTAGTACAATACGTTCATACCACCCATACTATGTCCCATCAAAAACAGAGGGATTGAGCCTTCTTTGGTGAATGGGATGAGAGACTGCAGGAAGAAGTGTAAGTCTGCCATGACGGTGGTTGTTGAGCCGAAGTTACCGCGGAGTTTGCGGTTGTTGATGACGGATCGTCCCCATCCTCTGTACGAAAATTAGCATGCATCTTATAACGCGAGATGGCTGAGACGTACCGTTGATCGACGGAGCGCACCTCGAGCCCAGATGATGCTAGGGTTGGGAAAAATTCAAAAAACGAGTTGCCTTATATACGATTAGTACGTGGAAGAAAGTCTAAAATAGCGTCACTTACAATGGTCACTGTATCCATGGTAAAACGCAAGGATTGCTCGGGGGGTTCCCTCAGGCTATCATCAGAATACTGTCAGTGATAAATCCCAGCTAAACGATAGAAATGAAGTAGACATAGAAAGTGACATACCTTCCAGGTCTTTGTATACAAGCTGGTTCCATCCGGCAACACCAACGAACCTTCTTCCTCGGTAAACCCGCCCATGTTGTTACTCGCAGTCGCCCTGTCTGTATCTGTATTGACTATAGGCGTATTCTCAATGCCAGAGAAAGCAAGCATATCTCGAATATTTTTCTGTTGACTATGTACAGAGTTAATGAATGTTCAAGTGATGGCTGGGGTCAGACTCCAGGCTAATCAATACGAACAAGGAGGAACAAATCACATGAAGATTCGTCGTCCCGGGAATTAGCCAGCTTTGGGTCCGGACTCGGCAAAGGGACAAACCCTAACTTTACCAGAATAAATTATTACTGATACTATAATATTTGAAGAAATGATAGGAAGAAGACTTGAAAAAAATTCCGCTGCCTGTCCTAGTTGAAATACTCGTAAGAACGCAAAACCAGATGATAACGTAGCAGCAAAACATAACGTTGAATACGTAGATGAATGGAAGCGCAAATTTCCAAGATACAACTAAACACAGATTGCCCCAGCCAATAAACGGTAAACCAAACTAATACAACGAATAAGAAGAGCGGTGATTTAGGGAATGAACGATAGTCATACCACGCCAGAAGTCTTTTTAGAATAAAGTTGTTATTTCAAGAAGGAGAAGAGGAAAGAAGGCAATGCTTGATAATACGGACCAAAAGTGATAACAATAGAGAGGAAGGAAGACAGGGAGAGAAGAGGTAGAGGTAGATCATAACACAGACCAAGGAAGCGAAGACGATGGGAGACAAAAGACATCAACCCGCGCAACAAAACTAAGAAACAGATTCCGAGATGAAAAGATAAAAAAAAAAGGCGAGCAAAAAGACGAACCCTCAATCAAGCACACAGTTGAACAACACCAGCCCCTCATTATATGCTAACATGCACAACTGAATTACATCAATCAATTCGACCTATCTCGTGACGGACCAAAATCCGCTTCTATAACCTTGCCCTTTTTCCCCTTGACTGAAAACTCCGCCAGCAATGCGAGATGGTCACTAGGAAAATGATAGTTGGGAAACCCCGGAACCCTCTGGAGATACTCCTTGTCCACCTCGCCCAGTAACGCTGACACGTGCAGGGCGGTAGACGAAAACCAGATATAATCAAGAATGGAACTGAAATCAGGCGTATAATTCGTAAAGGACAGCTCACCAATGGCGCTGTATGCAGATTTGAGTTTGAACGGATGGGTCATGCCGACGCGGCTTAGGTTGCCGTATAGACGCTTTTCCAGGTCAGGATGTGCCTCTGTCAGTCCACCGTGTGCGAGGAGGTTGTATGCTGCTTCGCCCGGCGCAGAGTTGAAATCACCGCAAATCAAGAGCGGAATTTGGTCGCCGGATGTGTAATCAGCAGACGGCGCAGGCTCGACCGGGGTTGTGGCCTCGCGTGCACCATCTTCGGCTTCTGAAAATCGGAATGCCGTCTTGTCTGTGCATGGCGGGAATTTGGAATACTTCTCGGAGAGTTTCGTAATCTCCTCCATCAAGATGGCCGTCTGAATGAGTTTCACATCTCTGAATGCCGGATCCCAGTAAAGATGAGCATTGACGACAATCAACCGCGTTCCGGTCATTCGGTTCTCCAAAAACACCACGACAGCAATGTGATCCTTTTGCCAAAGACGATTGTAAATATCATCTTGACCCTTGGCATCTGGTCGCCGCACAGCTGTCTGGCCAAAGTTGATCAACTGCTTGTCTAGAAGAATATACTTGCTAGCCTTGAAGAATGTTGCACAGCCATCAACGCTCTTAGCTTCCTCTTCATGCATACCCATGGCACGGCCACGAGGCCAGTATACGCCTTTGTAGTCGTTGTATGCAAGCTGTTCTCTGAAAAAGTCGTTGTAATTTCCTTGGTCGATTTCTTGGAGACAAGCAATATCCGCATCGTGGCTTCGAATCTCGTTGAGAATAAGGTCTCTTCGGAATTCCCACGCCAAGGCGCGCGATGGAACATATCCATAGTGTGATGGAGTTGCCGATTGGTCGCACAGAGTGTTGTATGATAGAACGGTGAACTTGTCTGCTTGAGCTTGGGAGGACTTGGTTTCGTCGAGAACGATCCAGTCTCGATCAGAAGGAGGAAGATGCACTGCATAATAATCAGTATTCTGTAATAATGAAGCTATCAAAAGACATCATACCTGGCATTTCTTCAATCAAATATTTGATAAGAGCCTTTGTGCCATGAGTCTTGATCTGAGACATCAAGACCTCGTTCAACGGATTGCCGTAAATGCCTAACATTTCTAGTCGATAAAGATAACCCAGTTCATATGGAAGGCTTCGTATATGGTTGTCAAATGCGTAGAGTGTGCGTAGATTTGTGAGCATACCGATCTCGACAGGCAATTCGGTGAGTTCGTTAGCCGACACATCCAAGTGTGTCAAGCTGCGGAGTTGGCCAAGCGCAGGTGGCAACGCTTTCAGCTTGTTGTTGCTCAAGTACAGTTTATTCAAAAATTTGTAATTGAAAAGGGCTGTAGATATAGCACGGAGTCCCTGACTTGTGAAATCAAGTGCCGTCCAACCCTGTCTCTTGCTGTCCTTGGAGGCCACCGCGCTCGGCCGGTTGTCGTTGGAGGTATCATTTCCATCTGCCGTGCTCGGAGCAATTTGAATGCCTTTTGTCTGTTGAGCAATTGTCCGTGCGTAGTAATGAGGGGATGTTGCCTGTCTAGCTTCATTGGCAAGCTGCAATTGCTGTTGCCAGTGTTCGTTTATGGAGTCGTCTATTTCGTCTTCAACGTTCCCGGGTGTTCCATTCTGTATGTGGCTAGGAGTAAAATGAGGAGTTGTGCTTGCTAAGGCGCCGGCGGGGAAGTTCGGTTGATGGCTGAGTTGATGAGTCGCTTGGTTGTGGTGAGTGTGATGGTGTTGTTGTGCATGATGAGGATGGTGGTTCTGGTGTTGAAACTTGGGCATTTGCATCGCAAACCGTTGGTGGGTCTGGCTGCCATTCAACATGGCCGCATGTTGAGCCTGGTGGCCTTGACTGTACATGCTGTAGGTGTTGGAAGTCGTATCAGGAATTGAGTGCGGGGATCGAGATGTTGGGGTAGAGTCGGATTGAAGTTTTGCTCTGCGAGGCGAGCCCGTGTAATTGCGTAAGAGAATCGATTGTTGGGCCGTATTCTGAGCTAATGGCGCTGGAAAAGAGAACTGCCCGACACCAGGCTGTTGAAACCTATAGAGACCATCTGCCATTAACGTGGCAGACGAGTCCGAAAAGGGAGCCCTTGGCGGGGAAGCTTAATCGAGGGGACTCGATTCCTCGCCAAGAACGTTTCTGGGTCTGACGAACAGTCGGAGGAGATGGAAATGAAAGATCGCACTCGTTCTCTCCTTCTCTTCAACATGGGGTCCTGGATGGAACCTCCTTCACACAATGCTAAGCGGGCAACGTCTGACTACCCTATCTCATTCGGACTCACGCACTGTGGGTTTGGAGTATCCGTCTTAGGAAGCTGGCATATGTGTTCTTTATCGCAAATCGTGATACGGCGGGRGGACAGCGAGTCAACGAGGCTGGGAGTCACGAGCTGGAAGTCAGTAGAAGTACGCAAGGGACAGTCAGAAGTCAGAACTCCGAACCGGTCGCAAGAGATTGATGCGCAGTATTACCAAGTGTTCTCTCTACACTCGATCTCGTAGAAATGCTAGGAACGTGGGTTGTGGTCGGACGAAGGTGTTCAATCAGCTGGCTGGTCGACCTGGTGGAAGCGGTTTGCATCGAAGACGGAGATCCAGTTGGCTCACGTGACTCGATGATGGCGAAAGCGGAAATATCATTGGCCTGCTGAAAAGCGCCAAGACATCGCACTTGGACAGCGGTGGGCTTGGCGGGACGAACTTCGAATGCTAAAGAACAACCTGCTTCTTGTCTACCTGGTGATTTTGATGTTGGGCAGTATAACTATATCCTGTCTTGCGAGATGCTCTCTAATCTCGTTGGTGGCGGTTGCAAATTCAGTTCCTGCACGTCAATTGTGAGCTTATGCCCGAAATCTTTAATATCGCGTGGCGTACTCGACCAGATCTGTATCAGTGCACGCTTGAGGTCATTGATTCAACAGGTTACCTCAACTCAAATCTACACGACTTCTTATTCTGAAATTGACAGTATCATTCGATTAAAGAAAATGCTACAAAGAAATCTACTGTTATTTCGGGAGAATTCCGAATGCTGCTTGGTTCCCAACGAAGTCACGGAGGATATATGCCCCGGGTACTGATCAATTCTGAACGCCTTATCAGGCGCCAGCTAAGCATTATTTTTCTATTCAACCAGGCCCTCGTTCTACACTAACCAGCAAATGCTCCACGAAACCAACTGTCTTTTCACATAGACTGCCAATTGCTCTTCTTCAGTTGAATCGTGACTCGATTCAACGGTCAGTAATTTATTCACGCGATTATTCGTCCATACACTAATACGATACTTACCAGCCGTTCTGGCCAGACCGTCCATCTTAGTGTCTTCACCATACCGCCCATAGCGGCCCTTGTAATTTAGGTTCAACTAAGCGTGGTGCTGTGATGATGCGACCATTTCGTCTAGATAATAGTTTGACTCATAATTGTGCTCGTTAACGGTCAGCGAGCTCACGAACATTCCGACTTCCAGTTTAGCCCTGAATCCTTCGACCTTATCCCCCGGCCGAGGCGTAAGTTCGCTCTATCTACTGTGTACTACTATCTCACGAGGGGCTGGCAGGGTCTATGCTACGTGAAACTTTTGCGGCGTAGTGCCCCCGTTAGAGGAGGCTGACGAGGGGGCGAAACAATCGACCGATTGTTCTAGGAAACTTCTGGCGCGAGAATACACACCACAATTTATATTAATCCACCACTGCTAGCTACGAACTAACTTGACTAAGAGATTATTTATATTAAATTTTGGCTTCTCTTTGATTAAGGCACGGCTTCTTTTTTTCTTCTTCTTTTCCCGCCTGCCAGAACCCGCATGCCTGCTTACCTTTTGGGTATTCAGTGTGCCTATCGATTCTTAATTTTGTTGAACCTATTTTTGTACTCGTGCTTTTTGCTTCCAACGATAACCTCAGCCTCATGTCATCGCCCTTCATTGGTCGGTAGACGCCAACGACTTCCGTGCATACCTATCACGATTCAGGACTCGCAGATAACAGTATTATGCACTTTCTGGGACGAATCGCGTAACAAAGGACGCCGCATCGAATCAGAACTCAAAGGTAAATCAAACCCGATCGCTTCAGCCGACAGATAAGATCGTTTATCTTATTATATATATCAGGTTAATGCCTATCATTATCAAATCCGTTTGTCACAACCTGCGTCCAGTCGAGATCAGTTGATTATCCAATTTCCCAATCGGATAATCATGAATGGTCCTTCGTGGGCGGGGTCCTCTGCGTATGTGCACCCTTCTCTCTTAGCATCCCACTTGGAGGCATTTGCGAACGCGCATGCACCTATCGGTTCACCCTCGACTAATTCTCGGCCTCGTTCTGCGCCCAACACAAATAGCTCTTCTTTATCTACTCCTTCTCAAACCACACATAATGGCGGCCCCGGTGGCCCTGGCGCTGCCGCCTCTACATCCTCTTTGTCTTCTTCTCCCCCTGCTCCACCGGATTATGTTGCGAAACCGTTTACCAGAATAAATGACCGGACGTACTTTCGCGACCCTGAAAACCCATACCCGCTACCATGCGATCTTCCAGAAATACATCGGCAATCTCTCCGGACGATGACCCTTATTCGAGTTTTCGGTACGCCGTACTGCGCGCCGCAGTTGAAAGATAAGCGACCGAAGAAAGTGCTCGAATTGGCGTGTGGTTCGGGTCTATGGTCGCATGCCTGCCACGACTATTTTCTTGAACACGACGTCGGTAGTCCGAAATCGCCAAAGGATACATCGAAGGATGACAGTAATACTACATCCTTTACGGGACTTGACATCGTCGCGATTGCGCCGAATCTGCGCAAAAAGGGAGTCAATTGGCAGTTTGTCCGACACGATATTCGCAAGCCTACTCTACCGTTTCCGTCGGAGCACTTCGATTTTGTATTCATCAAGGACGCCGGACTTTGTCAGTCTGCCACAGCGCAACAGATAGATCTGCTAGGTGAACCGTTGCGAGTACTCAAGCGTGGTGGTATTCTTGAAGTTTGGGATTCCGACCATGTATTCCGTGCTCTTCTACCTAATCCTACCGCGCCGCCCAACCTATCCAAAAAAGACCAAAATCATGCCGACGCCACGGCGACATACACCATTTCCTCCGCGACCCCGTTTGCAGCAGCACAGAACAAGTACCTGCTCAACTACAATTCATGGATCGAAAAGGCATTCGAGAAGCGCAAACTCACACCCATGCCATGCGCTACCATTGGTCTTTCATTCACAACCGAGGCCGACGCGTTCCAAAGCTCTGGCAGTCGTCGTATCGCAATCCCGCTTGGCGCAGAGGTGCGGTGGGAACAGACCAGTGGGCGGGGAAAGTTGAATGCTGATCAATTGGCTCTGCGACACACTGCACTCACCACTACCATCCAGATGATAGAGGGCATGGAGCCGATGTTGATGGAGGCTAGCGGGAAGAGTCGAGACGAATGGGACCGTTGGTGGGCAGCCATGACCACGGACCTGTTGCAAAAGAACGGTCTTGCCAATGGCGAGTGTCTCGAAGTCGGTGCTTGGTGGGGACAGAAGAGATAGTCGCACGTCCCTATTCCATCTTTGACGCCAGTGGACAAAGAGGGTGGATCGCTTTCACCTTGTTGGTTTTTGAAAAATAATGTAAGCAGCAAAGCGAACGTGACGGCATGGTGTATTATTCTCAAGGATACCCCGGGGATCATTTTGCTAGGAATAGGAACGGGCGTTTTGGCAGAACACAATGGAAAGCGGCGTTATAATGGCGTTATACTTAATCATCGGGTCTGATATCTTTGTTTGAGTGTTCGATATTTTTTCAAGAAATACCTGAAGTGAATCTTTTATCAGTGTTTTCTCAAGTCATTTGTATGATGGGAGAGGTGCCGTGTATATATCTCAGAACATTAAAACATAATAAACTTACAATGCTTCCACTTCTAATCAAGACAATCCCACGGTCAGTAGTCATATACTAGAAAAGATCGGACAAGACAAACCCTTCTTCACAAATTCAGCCCTCTTGATGCCCTCCTCAATCTCCTTTGTGTCGGTGAGATTCATCTTCGCTGCGAATGCGCCATGTAGTCTTGTCCGGAAGTAGTCGTATCCCAGCGGGTATTCACGGCCCAGGTAGAGTAACTCTTATGAGACGTCAATGTTGTATCAACATTATTTTGATGCAGTCAATTTAGTTACATACCCTTGTAGACCCGAATGACTTGTCTGCGAAGCTCTTGGGTTGCCATTGTTTCTCCGGTTATATGGGTATTGCGTGGGTTGTATGTCGGCAGATACGGAAAGTCTGTCGACCGCAAATCTGGATCCGCGCAAACCAATTCAATAACTGGAGTTGAAGGGAGGAAATTCCGATATCAACTCCAGACTAAATGAAAGGCGGAAGACAGGTATCCTAGATACTAGTCTTATCCAATGGTTTAAAACTCTGTTGTTGATTGTCAGACGTGAGAGAGTTAACAGAAAGATGAGTGACGTTATGCCCAGGGAAGTCAGGGACCACTCAGACCTTGGCGGCAGAGGTCTTATCTGTTATCGATAAGGGATATACAAAGGGATAAGCTTTGAGCCTTACGCCCAAGGCTCACAATCAGCTTACGTTTCTATTAGTATTGACAATACACCTGCTACTTTCATGCCACAAATTTGAGGACGAGCTTTGACAAATTAATGGATGCAAGAAAGCGCAGGTTATCCCAAGCCATCTTTGCTTACATGGGCAAGTTCAGAAAGACGCCTTACAAGCGGCGTCAAGTCAAGCCAGATTCTCCCAAGTACAACAAGGCTGGGATCAAATCACTGGGATATAGGAAATGATTGGATATCGTTTCTCTAAAGAGTCTGGCGGCACTGTCTGTCTGTCTGTCTGTCTGTCTGAGCCGAGCAAACAAACGGAAGTTTCCCGACAAACGAAATGACCTGCCTTTTTTACTGCATACGGGCTGGTGCAGCCTTGTGCCTTCCCAATCGACCAATTTGATGCCTGAAACTCGTTGATTGCCTGAGCTCTTATCTGACATATCTGCATCCTCCAAGACTTCTCTCTCTCTCTCTCTCTCTCTCTCTCTCTCTTCTTGTCCTCTCTCTTTCCCTCTTGATTTTACCATATCCATTCTCTCTAACCTTTCTGTCTCATACCTTCTCTCCTACCGATTCCATACTCCATGCAACATGACAAACAACTCGAGTACCCTGGAGCTCACCTTCAACCACCTCGCTTTCCCACCAAAACTTCCTGGGACGCGAGACCCCAAGGTCGAACTTGTTGAACGAGATATCTTGACGCGTTTACGCACTGCCGTGCACACCACCAAGGCATATTCATCAAACAATGACGCTATGTCTGTTTGGGAAAGCCTGGAAGGATCCTTGGAAATATGTCAGTTCGTCAATGAAAATGGCTTCATCAACCGAGAAGCCCTGGAGTCGACATTACGATCCCTCAATCCCGATCACACCCTCATCTTACATGTCACTCAGCAAAATGCAGGCCTCATCATTCGATCATCCGGGTAAGTATTGAGTATCCGTTAGTTTCATACTAGTATACCTTTCTCACATCCAATCTATTCAGGGAAGACTTCATCTTTGAATCGTTCGAAGCTTCCCCTTCAGCTGAACAGACCCTGGCTGCCAAGGGCGCCATGCAGTGGGATTTTCCCACCGTGGCCGTGTCTCTACCACGTCAAGACCTGGTGTCCCCCCAGTTCCAGGAGAATCTAACGTACTTCTTGGAGGGAGCCAGTTTGGATGCTGTTGATGAGTTTACCGCGAAAACTCACAAAGCTGGAATTGCCATTTCTGAGCCTCGAGACACTACACATCCCGCCCTCATAACTGACTTTCTCATGACATTGCTGGAAGTCAATGGTACTCGCGCAAACCTACCATTGCTTCGAAAGCGCGTCAAAGACGACGTTTGCTGGGACAATGCAGAGTTGCCCTGGCGAAGGAGCCCATTCTGGCTTATCCTCCGCGTCGCTGTGCAGCGATCACTTTACCTGGCATTTGGAGAACAGGAAGGACGCCCTCGTTACAAATTTCTGTTGTGCGTATTAATGTCACAGCTCTTGACAGATTGCGTACAAGCTTCCTTCAATCCAGAATTGTGCAACTTCCTGAGAGCCAAGCTGTGCAGACGTTTGGCCAAACTCGAGACTGAAAAGCTCCATGGAAATTCATCTGTTGTACATACATACTCGGAGCTTTTTGAAAGCATCGGCCCCATCTGCCGTAAAGCCATTGATATGACTACAACGTCCATAGAAAAACAATGGGTCGCATTCAAAGCACAATCTCTGCGCAAGATACCATCCCTTCCTCCGTTCGCTGATGAAGATGACCTGCATTTGACTTTACCAAATAGTGGCTCTTACTTGCGAGGTGTTCTCAATCAATCCTATTATCGACCACCAGCAAACCCCTCAATCATTGATGCAGCAACACTTGGGGCCAGTACTAGCAAAGCCACTACGGAGTTCTACAGCTCCCTACTTGCACGTTACAATAAATTACAAGATTGGGAAAATCAATTTGAAACGACTACAGCGGAAGTCCCCCAATCCCAATCCGAATGTTCCAAAAAATGTCAAAGCTTGGCCAAGTATTTACTTTCGTATCTGGAGGCTGTCGGAGATGCATACGATGGAAACAGTGAACAGATGAGCATTTTTATATTGAACGTTTTTGAGACCTGGGTCTACATGGACCAGTGTGCGCTCAAGGTTCATCCATTACTGAGTCAATATCATCCGTTTTTCGAACCAGGTATGCTTGACGTACTGCTTTTGACGCGCCTTCACGACATGAAACGTCTACAAGCCATTCAGGAGTACATCTCAAAACGCTGTACTCAGGCAGAGAGACTATTGGACATCTTCGCAGATCCTCAACAGGGCTATTTTGCGGACCAGATTTTCACACTCGGTGAGACTGGCACCATTACAAAACTGGATGCCCTCCATGCCATCATCGAAACCGCATCAGGACTTTCAAGAGCTACAAAGGAAGGGGAGCTGCAAAAAACAAATGACGAATATAAAAACCGCACCGAGAACATGATGAGACATTCATGTACACAACGCCGGAATCCAGACGGAACTCATGACATACGGGGTTGCACCCATTGTTGGCATGTGCGATCGCGTAGAAGACTGAAAATTGAGGTCCATGAGGATTTTCTGCCCTCTGAAGATGTCAAGAGGAAGAATAACCTGATTCATAAGCGAGCTATACTGTTTGAGCTTGATACTCCGCCGGCGTTTTCTGCTTATCGAACAGCCACGTGGGAAATTATTCAGCGTCTATCTTGTCCAATCCCACAGAATTCTTCGATTGCCCCAGAAATGCTTCTTAAGGATTATCCTCAACTTAAGACCTATTACCACGACTCTGGAAATTTCTCTCTGGCGTCCACCACGAAGTCATTTCTTGGCACCCACTACAATTTCAGGTTCCTTCCTACGACTTTAGCCAAGGTTCTTATGCCTTTTGGCCCAACATTTTACTCTTACTATGATTCAGGTCGCAAAATCTGGGCGAAATCTGTTCAACGACCACTGTCTCTAGCTCATCATTTTGCATTGCGGCTACCTAAAGAATTTCCATTTTCGACCCTTTACTCGTCGGCCGATTTTGCTGCTGATGGCAATGGCCCATCTTCGTATGATACTATCGCCAGCATCGCCGAATGTCCTTCAGATTTGACTGTTCACGAGTACACTGCCCACCAAAGCTTGGTATCTGGAAAGCATCGGAGATGGCTCTCTATCTTGATCGAGCTGGGATCCTCAAATGTCAACTTCAGTCTACAAGATACGATGATTCTCTTCCAGCACCTAATCCTTCAGGCAGGGCCCATGATGGAACATGACGACCTCCGCACTGTCAATGCTGTGTTTAGAGATGTCATATTTTGTCGTAAGCTTCTGGATCAGATTGAACAGCATATCAAGGCTATATCACAAAATTGGCGGGAGAATTATTATATGGAGACATTGTTGACGCTCGTAATTCGAGTGTGCACTCTTGGCCACAAACTTGTACTTCCTAGAGCTCAATCACTTCTCACATCCATACGGAACATTACGCTTACATGGATCAATACCTTGCGTCATGAAATGAGGACTACGCAAGAACATGACGTTGCTGAGAGGTCTGCCCGATATGGATTCTTAGCGGCTCTTTTGTGCCGGCGTACATTCTACCTCGCGGCCTACGATGGTACGCCAATGGATCAGGAACATTTCAAGGCGTTCGTGGAGGCAACTCTGGCTATGCAAGAGAATCTTGTGGTTGATGTGACTCGATTCACGGATGCCACCTTGAACATGCTGATTCGAGATATCAAGATGACATATCGTATGAAGTCAGCAATTCGCCACTCTGTTCACCAGCACCCACTAGGCTTACAGTCAGCAATTGACACTGTTTGGCCAAACGCAGCATCAGAGGCGCGGCAATACGGCGCATGGAAGCCTCTAGATGCGCCATATGAGTGGTGGGTGACCTCCACGGTATCTTCTACTGAAAATACGATATCACAGGTTGTACATTACCATCTGCTCGAAGGCCATCTTTTGATTGATGGGAGAGCCTTGGGGAAATTGCCTCCTGCTATACGTGACTCAACAACTCTTAAAGAGCTGTTTGGTAATCAACGGCTCGTCGCCTTTCCATCAAATGTTTATGGAATGAGCTACGTACTAGGCATCCAGCAAGACAACCATGACATCCATTTGGGATTCCGGGGCAGTGATCTCGTGGTTCAGGCTCGGAAAGGCCGCGACACCAAGGAATTTGTACCTTCACATGTTTTTGGAAGTGGCTTTAAGCTTGATCTCCCAAGGTCTCTGATTGATGACATCGTACACTGGGTAGACCTCCGGAGTGGAATCCTCGAAGCGCGACGCAGACCCAAAATTTGGCGAAACACAATGGGGAATTGGAATATAGATCTACGCACGTATCGGGCACGAAGGCATAAATCAACTTTGGTAAATCCTCAGAGCAGGATATTTGGTCTCATATCTCAGATTTTCCGTGATTTCGTACCCGCCCCCATGTTGACAGTGTATCAGCCATTGAAGGGCACCCTGGTTGTGGAAATCAAGAGCATGGATCTCATGTTTAGAGTCAATCGACAGAAATTACTTCATTGTGAACAGCTAGGGTCGGAGATAGACCCAAATCAAGACCCTGGCACGTTCTATGGACTCCGCAGTATGATCGTTTTACGGGATGCATCCAATCCTTCACAACGGAGCCTCCTCACTACCTTGGGTCCTGTGAAATATCGACGATCCGGTGTGCATGTGGAGGTCTATATGGAGAATGATGGAAGATATGCAAAATATTCAATTGATTCCACTTTGGGACGGCTACACTGTCCACCGGAACCGCGACTTCTGTACACCAAGGCCCAGTTGCATGCGTACACTTCGTTTGTGGTACCAGATCCCCTCACAGGACACAATGGCACTGAGGAAGCCTTACATTGCCTGCAATCAAGCTCGTGTCAACCATGGAATCCATTGATACCCCCCCTCGTTGCGATACTACAAACAATTGCAGAATTGTCACCGACGCGAAGTTATTACCCGAAGGACTTGAGGAAGCAGCAGTCGGTTTCTTGGAATCCCAACCTTACCACAACAATTCAGCATGACGCGTATCGGTCCGTCATTGATTCCATTGTCAAGAAGTCCGAGCGGTTGTGGCTTTTTCACGCCAAAGTGGCCGAATCTGAAATAAAAGCTACTGAAGCCCCCCCGACACTACTTTGTGAGCGTTCTTACTGGCGCCGGTCAATATATGAACGCCTAGAGTCTTTGGACCTTCCAACGTCAATTGATGACTTTATCTACAATGTCCGGGGGAAATGGAGGCAGCCTTGGAGAGCATCCAATACTCGGGAGATCGTCAGTTTACTACGCCACAAGCCGGAATCCCTCCCTACAACCCATGGTCTGAAAGACATCATGAGGACATGGCCGCTTATCGGCGGTTATGAAAATTCTTTTGCTCCGCGTGTGGTTGGTGACTGGTTGGGAGCCGACCTTGCCCAAGAATGGGGTGGGTTGGTGAAGATCTGTGGTGATAAATCTCGGGAGGGCTACAGCATAATGTTTATCTTGGGCCTCATGGCATTCGCTGATGGCGCTAACATGGAAATTCTACGGACGTTGAGTGCATTCAGTATCTTGCAAGATCTGAAAGCCCTTAATCTACCCAATGTCTCGTCGTTGAGTGGACCCCGTATGGATCAGGCACCACTTCTAGAAGAGCTCATAAGTCTCATACGTCCGTTCTGCGAAGTCTACAAAAATCCCATATCATCTCGTGGGAAGAGAAGTAGAAAAGATATACAATCCCATGAAGATGCACGACAGGCGCATGAGCTGAAATGCTCAGAGGCAAGTACTTCTTTTGCAAAACATCTCCTGCGCCAATGGCCGAATAGGGATCCCTCCGCAGATGAATTTAGCGAAGGCATCCTCAACAAATACGGCGCATTGGATGCTGTTGTTCCTTATTGGCACACGTTTCATGATGCTTTGCAATTTTCAAAGCACATATCTGAGGTGCAGACAATCCTCGATCGACACCACGCAAAACGTAGTCTTGAAGGACCTATGGCCATTCTTTCTGATGTTGAGGTGTACGGATCGCAGAAGAAACAGAACGCCGTAATCCCTCATTTGTTTCAGCTTCTTAGCAACAGGCATGGGAAAGTATCTCCAGTCGCCGAACATTTGATTGACAATATACATCGAATCAATCACAGATCTGCTGGTTCAGACGCAAAGCGGGGTACGAATCAGAAGCCGGTAACTAATGCTGAGATCAGAGAGCTGGAGAAAATTGTCACTACCCATTTTGTGCATTCTGACAGTTATGTACAATCAAGTTACGGGCGTGACTTGACACGTAGTATCGATGCTTTCAAACGTCTTCAACCCGAGAGCTCTCCGGAAGCGAGTCTAAACTTGGAGAACGAAATTATGAGTGCTAGAAAAAGCATGAGGCTCCATCACAACATAATTCAAGATCAGATTCAAGATGCTCGATATACTTGGCTTAGCCAAGCTAATCTCTGGCCATCTCTTAGTCCGATCTCGATATTAGAGCACCTCAGATCTCATAACAGCTTCAAATTGCAGAGCAGTACAAAAAAAGAACTTGTCGACTACGCAACATCTATCTCCAAGGTTCAGCATCTACGCCGAATGGAAAATGCCACCTTGAAACGCGATCGAAAACGATTGAACGCAGAACAGGGGAATCGTGGCTACATTAACTGGGTACCTGGTGACTTCCCCGACTGGTTACTCCTGGAAATCGACGCCAACATTCATATTCGAAAAGATCAGGTTAATGTGGCATTGGAGATGATATCCCCGACATCGGGCTCTAACTCTGTGTTGCAGATGAATATGGGCCAAGGAAAGACCTCTGTCATTATGCCGATGGTTGCATGTGTCTTGGCTAATAGGGAAATGCTTACAAGGCTATTGGTTCCTGATGCTCTTCTGTCTCAAACAGCGCAGATTCTCCAATCTCGACTTGGTGGCCTTGTCGGTAGGGAAATCACGCATATTCCCTTTTCTCGTCGAACACCAACGACGGAGAATCATATTCAGGAGTATCGCCGGCTCCACGAGGAAATGCTCCACTCAGGCGGTATCATCCTGACCATTCCAGAACACGTACTTTCATTTAAGCTGTGCGGGTTACAACGAATCTCTGATGGGAAAATCCCTGAAGCAAAACAGATGGTCGCCATTCAGGGTTGGATGAATGAAGTTTGCCGAGATATTTTAGACGAATGTGACTTTACATTGGCTACAAAGACACAACTCGTATACCCGAGTGGAACATTGTTAAATGTTGATGGCCATCCGGACAGGTGGAAGGTCACGGAGTTTATTCTTGACTTGATCGCACATCATCTGCGTGATTTGGCGCAGCAATATCCACGGAGCATCGATGTTGTAGAACGAGGGGAGTCAGCATTCCCCATTACCCATATTCTACGAAAAGATGTTGAGCAGGCTCTCATTCAAAAGATCGTCGATGACATTTGTGCAAGCCGCACCCCGATACTGTCGCTGTGGGAATACACATTCGAGCAGCGAAGGGCAATCCGAACATTCATCTCGCAGGAGGAAATTGAGGAAACCACCATCAGAATTGTGAACAAGACACTGGCTGATACTCCAGTTTTCAGGAAAATTGTGTATCTTATTCGGGGACTTCTCGTGCACGGTATTCTCTTGCTTTGTCTTAAGAAGAGGTGGAATGTACAGTATGGGTTGCATCCTCGGAGAGATCCAGTGGCTGTCCCATTCCATGCCAAGGGCGTGCCATCAGAACAAGCCGAATGGGGGCATCCTGATGTGGCGATACTTTTCACTTGTCTTGCTTTCTACTATCAAGGCCTTGATCAAAAGCAACTGCGACAGAGTCTACAGCTAGTTCTGAAATCTGATGATCCTGCCACAGAATACGATCAGTGGACACAAGCCTCGACCTCGCTTCCAGAGGCTTTGCGACACTGGAACATAATCAACATTGATGACGAGGGCCAAGTTGCAGAGATTTGGCGTCATTTGCGTTTTGCAACTGTTGTGGTGAATCATTTCTTGAACCACTTTGTTTTCCCAGCTCATGCAAAACAATTTAGCATTAAATTACAAGCCTCAGGATGGGATGTTCCTCTGTTTTCTTTTGATAGGGAAAACACTTCGAAAGGCAGCAGACGACCGGGTGTCACGACTGGCTTCAGTGGTACCAACGACAGTAGGAACTTACTACCACTGACAATCAAGCAGCACGACCTTCCGGGGCTTTTGCACACGAATGCAGAAGTCCTCACTTATCTACTACAAGAGAGGAACCGAGGGTATGTTTTGGCAACAAATAGAGATGGTAGGCGCTTTTCAGAGCATCAACTCCTAGAGCATCTGAACAACATGAAGATTCGTGTCCTTATCGACGCGGGTGCATTTATTTTGGAAATGGACAATAGGACATTGGTCAAAGAATGGTTACAGCTTGACTACTCAGCACACGCAGCTGTCTACTTTGGTTCCGATAACAAAGCTTGGGTCCAGTATCGAGCTGGCAAAATTGCTCCTCTACTCGCCACTCCTTTTGCGGATAATTTAGACGGCTGCTTGGTGTATTTGGATCAGGCTCACACTCGAGGTACTGATTTATTGCTCCCAGTCAAAGCAAAGGGTGCACTTACTCTGGGTCCCAATCAAACGAAAGACCACACGGTGCAAGCGGCCATGCGACTCCGCCAACTTGGCACCACTCAGTCGATAGCATACATTGTACCACCTGAAGTCCATCAGAGTATCCAAGATGTCTGCAATAAACGCACTAGGGATTTATTTGACTCCTCAGACGTTGTGACATGGTTACTCCATCAAACTTGCAACAACATTGAGGAATTGCAGCCGCTGTACCTATCCCAAGGCAAGGACTTTTGCAATCGAATGCAGGCGGCGAAAACGTACAAAGATTTCTTGGTCAACCGCTTCCATCAAGAAGCATTCATGGAGGTGTTACAGCAGCCTGAACAGCAGAACTTGGAGCAGCTGTACAGGCCTGGAATATCCCCTTCTAGTGAAATTTCTCAGTCTAATCTAGGGCTTACAGGACAACTTGTTGCGTTCCAGAAAGATCTGAGAAAGCGACAATTAGCTTCTAAGGATGCCTTCAGTTATGCTAAAAGTTCAGCGCTCGAAGAGGTCGAACAAGAACGAGAGGTCGCCTTTCAAGTTGAGGAAGAACGAGAAGTCCAACGACCCTCGCGCATGCGAGCTTTGCAATTCGCAGGACTACATAAGACTATCCGCGAATTTGTGACTACCGGCGCCTTATTTGGCCAGGAAGGGTATACAAAGGCAACGACAGTCCTAGAGAGGACCAAGGTCGGGACCAAATATGGAAACCACATATCTCGGCTTCTTGGGCATTTATATGTCTCTACCGAGTTTTTGAGAACCGTTAGGACTAAGGATAAGGATATCCTTGATAATTACACTGTAAGTTCATAACATACTATTTTGCATAGCGCAGCACTAAAGACTTTCTGTTCAGCGACCGGTCAATTGGATCCTCTGGAGTGAGGTTTCCCGTATTGCCATGGTGATCATCCCAGAAGAAGCCGAGGAAGTGATACCTATGTTGAGAGCTGCATGGGGTTCGCCCGTTCATCTGCTTCTGTACGCTGCACCAGTCACTCGTAAAATGCTGCAATTCGATGCCCTCACCTACTATGCCTCTCCGAATCTGCCGTTCATGTGGAAACCACCAACGTGGCTGCCATTCGAACTAGCAATACTTTCCGGGAGACTTTACTTCAACTTCTCAGACTATGAGGCATTGTTGCAAAGCATTAATGCTGCTGAACAAGATGAAGATAGACCAAGCTCATCATCGGACGACCAGGCAAGCGCCAAGAACGTCCTTGCATTCCTGAATGAATGGCTCGCGATTCGACGCCAAGGGCAGGATATCACACATACTCCCATGGGCTATGTGTGCCAGGGCCGCAAGCTTCGCAGCGACCATCCGTTCTTTGTGCAGCGGTCTGAGCAAGTCGATTTGGCCAGTGGGTTTATTGCAAGCTACCAAACTGGTGTCAATGAAGAGGAAGAAGATGATTTTTTTGATGACGACGATGAGATTGAAGGATCTGTTGGTGGTGATTCCTGCAAAGAGGAAGAGAACGAGGTGGCTGTGAAGGAGGAGGAAGATGACGATGTGAAGGGGGTGCAAGATGGGGACGTCAAGGGGATACAAGTTGAATATTTGAAGCGGGAGCAAGATGAAAAGGTTATGAAAGAAGAAGTAAACGAGGTCACAGAGGAGGATAACATGTCTGTTACAATGGACACATCTTCAGAACCATCGATTGTCTACTCATGATATGGTATTGTATGGTTTACGATGTTGTATCCGTGGGGTCATTTGATTACTGTCATGTACGATAGAAATTGGTTGCAAAGGGGTTGAATACTGATTTTTCCATTTGGTATTTAAATTTGGTGTATAAATTCTATTTTCTATTGATTTGTTTTTTTTTTTATAACCCCATGTACGAGTCCTTTAGATATTAAATTAGGTGCGCGAATCCGTCCGCGCGCAGCGCGCTCACCTTATTTGGGTGTTGAATTTGGTGCACAAATTCTCCAATCCTTTAATCTAGTTGATACACGCTTATATAAGAATCTAGGTTTACAATTTTCCTAATGAGGCCTCATCTTGATGTCGATTTCGGTGTGAGAATCCCCCTAATCCCCTAGTCTAACGCGCGCTCATGTACAAATCTAGGCTTACAACCTCATGTATGAGGCCTTCTTCTGGCGTTGAATTTGGTATGTGATTCCCTTCAACCCCCAATCTAGTTGACATGCGCGCTTATATATAAATCTAGGGCACGAATCTATATCAAGCCTATGAATAAGCCTACGTACGTACGAGATTGGTGGTGGATGAGGTGGTGGGTGTTGTGTATTTTCAGGAGCGTTGACGCGTCTCATAGCTATAATCTATGTTGGTAATTATATGTAAAACATAACATTTAAATACATGTATGAATATATAGATAACAATAGTAATAGTACTGTTATATGTTAAAGGCACTACTGTACTCTTACTTATAACCTTACCATTATGTTACAGAGATCTCACTGTTATCTTACAAAGATCTGTCATATGTTAAATCTTGTAATGATCATATATGTATTACCTTTTTCGCCAGATGACAGCGCGCTGTAGTATCACAGAGCTGTCACCAGGCCTTACTGGGCCCTTAAAAATATCCATATATTCCCGCTATTGGTTTACTTTTTCCAGATTTCTGTAGTTCCAAGAAGATTTCTCTAATATAAAATCTGCGTGATTTCGTCGATGATAGCTTGTCCCTCAGGTAAAAATTAATCAACATAGGTGTTGTGAATAACATTAAAACGTACATAGTCTTCAATTGCTAGTGTGGATTTTGACGTAGAATGTATAGTAATCGTGTCCATTTCCCCATCATGTTTGCCTTCATTGCTTTCATTTCTTCCTTTTTGGATTCGGACACGACGAGTGATATCAATATGTGGAGAGAGTTCCATTATGGAAGCGTATCGCTGAGTGTTCGAGTCGACGCATTGTATACTCCTCCGTAGAGACATCAATCCGAATACGCACGCATCCATCCAGGATAAAAGAGACGGGCCCGTGGTCTGATACCAATGGCATGCGGATCTATCTTAAGTTCGAATGGCACATGATTTAGGTATTTGCACCACGTCGCTCGACGACAACTGTTTCGATGGCGATGATGATTTGTTTGCAGTACTGGTAATAATTCTGTTTTGAGTCTCGATTTCTGCTGCTTCCCTCAGCGGTGGCGACCATAACAATGATTTTGACGACGACAACGAATGATCCATTGGGGATGATGGCTCTTTCGTAGTCCTGGTAGTAGTCTCGTTTTGAGTCTCGATTCCTTTGCCCTTCCCTTTGGGCGACTGTTCCAATGGCAATGATGAATTTTTCATAGCACTATTACTCGGTTTCGGCTTCTGTATCGACGAGCTCGACGACGGTTGGGCGTCTGACCGCGATGATGATCCTTTCGTAGTAGGAGGAGTAGGAGTAATTTTAATTTGAGCCTCAATATCTGTAGCCTCCTCCCTCAAAAACACCGATAACTGCTCTTTTATCGCAGTATTGTCGGTAGTTCCAGTGCCATTCTGAGCCTCGAGGTCTGTGGCTGTGGTTTTCTTTTCTCTGTTGCACCACTTGAGAAACCGTAGAGCGTAACGGCCCAAGAGTATAACATAGAAGAAACCAAGTATGGTCACGGCTACAATCTCTTCCGTTGTGAGCTCCATTTTGGAAATGTTTTTATCAATTGATTGATGCGCGGCGGTGGGATATTAGAATTGATGCAAGAAGATGATGTCAGGAGAAAAACGTGTGTTGAATGTGCGGCTGTGTATTTAATATGAAGGAAGCGACAGCTTGTATGGATCAATTGAGGAAGGAAAGATATAGGACTCTGTGGATTGGTAGTAGAGGGAGTCTGTCAATAAATAGACAAGACCTCAGGCAGAAGAGTACATGCCTAGGAAGGCAATTGCCGGAAACTCAGGCAGCCGTAGGCATTTATAGCCTTGAAGGGTTGCCTTCTTCGTACATGTTCTAGGTATTCAAATCTCTATATCGGCTATGAAATCTATCTCTTTGACCTAGATTGTCTTCTAAACTATCATGCACAATCGGCAAAAGTCAATTCATAGAAGGTCGTCGACCAGCGCATGTAGCAAGTTAGGGCTAGATATATTACGCTAATCCCCTTTGGCACGACGCTAATCCACAAAGGGATGATGGTTCCTGTTTGAACCAAATAATCGAGGAATTTTGAAAGGAAAAGTAACAATACATAACTATGGTAGAGAGAACAACATACTTGCTCTCAGGTCATGATATTTGTAAAGTTACTCGTGAAAAGCTTCCATGTTGCTGCTGGATATTTTCGGGGCATAGGAATCACTGGTCCAACAACCAAGACGTGCCTCCGCAATTTGGCTGCGGGGAAAGCGCCTAGGGAATCACGTAATTCCAAGCTACATTCAACCTCCGGCGGACATCTTCATGTCTGCACCGTCATTCGCTACGTTTGCCGTTGAGCACTACAGAAAACAATGTCTGCTACTCATGGGCTCAAAAGGTACCAATTGAGTCACTTACTGACATTGGGATCCTCACCGCGCAATGTGCGTCTCTTCTCCGCGGCCAGCTGGAGGTGCACCTCTCCTCACTCGCCGCCTTCCCGATCAACACCACCGCACCACAAACCATACTCTACAGTCGTGACCAAAGCGAAACCACACACGATAGACCCGCGATGGCTAACGGACACCAAACGACGGATCGGAAAATGTCTCATGTTCGGCTTGAAGCCGGCGCAGGTGGACGAGGCAGGCAGGATATTACAACGCTTGGCGAGGGATTGGAGAGAATTGATTGCTGGGAGTGACGGGTTTTTGACGCATGCAACGAGACGAGCGCTTTTTCAACGGGATGTTGTGTGGGGGGATATGGTAATTTTTCCTTGCTTGAGATTTCAATCCTGTGGCAGTGACTGATGTTTGTCTTGAAACAGGACTCCATGGTAAGAAACCATTGCATGAATGGGGCGTATTGATGGTGATGTCCTTTTTCGATTGATTATAGTCTCTTAGGGTCACATTAATAATGTAGCATATGTACGATACGCTGAAACAGCACGAGTCAACTTGATGCACAACTACGCAACGAACATCGATCCCGCGCATCAAATGGAATGGCTAAACACGGTCGGAAATAAAGGAATCGGCTTGATATTGCAAAGTATCAAGATAGATTATAAATTTGTCCGTTCCCTTTGCTGCAACGGGATAATGACGGTGCGCTAACGAAACCCCGATCTAGCCCATGACATGGCCCGACAAAATCACCGTCTACCACCGACTCACCCAAAATCCCTCCGATACTCTGAACAAATCATACTTCCAGCAAGAAGCTTTGATCCTGTCGGAATACAAACAGCGTCCAGCCGCACGAGTCATCGAGCAGAATTACCTATACGACTACACACAACTTCGCAAAACGAATACTCCGCCGGAATTCATTCTGCGACAGTTCCAAGAGACATGGGCGCTGCAAGAAGAGAGTAAAAAGCAATGGCAGCAGCAAGTTGCGAATATCGAGAATGAGGTGCGCAGGTTGGAGTTGGAGAGTTGGGATAATCCGGATGCCGTTGAAGATATGGGGTCTGCTGGATAGAGTACATATATATATATGGTCGCAAGTACATACCGATAGATTCGATACCTGTATATATACAAAGTCGCGTATGATTGGCCGTCATGCCAATATCACATGATGGCAACGATTGGATCATCTAGGTGAAACGTTTCACCTGCACCCTAAGAACCGAAGCTAAGCTCGTATGATGACAATCACATGAGGAACGAATCTGCAACTACCCCTTAGGCCGGCACTACCACTGTCCTCCCAAACGAAGACGGAGTATGGAGTACGTACGAAGTACGAAATACTAAAGCTGACGCAATTATTTCTACATGGCTTAATATGCCAGATGGTGTAGATAAGTGAAGCCTGATTTATAATTGGGTCGAATATTCTCCATGATCAGCCAACCAAACGCCGATGATCTACGGCCTGTGTCCGTATCAGGCCAAAGTCAAACAGAGGTTCAAATACATAGTGCGTATCGCTGCGTATTTGCGGTCCGTACTCTGTAAATATGAACGCAAAACGCATAAAGTTTTGCGTTCTTTTTTTGCAGATTTTCCTTGTTGCGGTGTTCTAACATCATGCAAGGACGATCATGTTTATTACCCCTCTTGTCGCTTAATCCTTCGACTGAGCCCTAAGCAAATTGCGATAGTTGCTGTTACGTATGTTTGCTTTGACCACGTCTGAGATTGGATCATCGGATGATATTGGCTGTTTGTCTGACTGATCTTATTACGAGGATATCATCAAATGTTGAATATGAGTATGAGTATGCAATTTTTTTTGGTCTTTTTAAATAGTTGTACGGAGAATAATCCGACCGTTGTGATTGGCGAATTAAATGTTGCTTTTTGTCGCTTTCGGCAAGTCTAGACGAACGGTATGGTTAGTAATGGTATTTCGTCAACTACCGCGGGAAGATTATGGTCTGTTGCACCGCGTTGGTGTACATGAAGTATATTGATGAGCCGATGGCATAGAGTCATTGTGTTCATTTCAATCGATGTAAGACAGCTTATGACGAAGTCGTTGTCTTTTGCCTATTGTTGGGCAATCGTCTCTTTGAAGTTTGAAGACCTATTGGTGAAACACGATCGTTCTGAATACTCCAGCGAACGAAACGTCTTGTCCTACATGAAATCATGAATGGACAGACCACTGCGAGACAGCTGTCCCTCCTCCGTGTGTTGATCCAGTCTCTTTGTGGGGGACTGTGGAGTATTGTATGATTATCGGATGCAGAGTAGATCAATTCCTCATACTCTGTAGGCAAGTGAATAGCACGTTATGCTAGTAGTAGCATAGGTACTACCTATGATATCAAACTGACCGCCTGTCAACGTTTGATGATCACTAGTGTACTGCATGAGAATGTGCCAAGCGCAGCCAGGATTACCTACATCCTGGACTGAGGAATGCTGTGCTACATGAGTTTGAAGAAGTATATCTACATAAAAAGTATATATATCTGCGCCACCTATGTACCGATGTATCTGTACCAGTACATAGAAAAATACGAATGCAGATGTTCCGCGGATTCGGATCGAGGCTTGTTTGGAAAGGTGCAGAAAATTGGAAAATAAAAATCAAACGCTGGCGCACTGGGCTTCTGATTGGGCAGCCTGCATGACGATCGACAGTTGCCCCCCAATGCGATCTAGCGCGCTGCATCAGCCAACCTAATTTTCTCGACTGACGCCTTGTTAGGGAAGGCGCTTTACTTCTTCGGGCCAAGTGCTTACAGCTGGGTGTCCCCTTCGGGTAATTTACAGAGCGCTAGTATTTGTGGTTATCGGTTTGTAAGCATACATTCCAGTGACTCAGTCTGATCAGCCACATCCAGCCCAGCCGAAAACTTCGTCCTTCGCTGCAGACTAAGAATACAATGCCAATCGGATTGCACCACCTCACGAACTCTTCTTGCTGTACATAGTACAATGTAGACTGTACGTACTCGACCTGGTAATACTATGTAATTCATTAGATTCGTTGAATGTACTGCGTACTGCCAATCATCATCTATTGCTAATGCTAAGACTAACAGTAATACTCACTGCTCAATACTTGCTGGGTCTTGGCAGATCCGTTTTTCCGCCGTGTCGCCTTCCGACCATCCCTTCTGCCCTTCTGCTCTAGCCTAAATTAATTTCCTTCCTCTCACTTCCACCTCTCTCTATCCATACCCTCTTTCCCACCACCACCATCCTCGTTGAGGAATCTCACAATACATATTATCCTCACCTTTCAGTATATACTCGCATCCCGTGCGACCGACTAATTTACCCTCCTCCACCCTTTAGCCTACACTGCCTGGTCCCTAGTCCTTGGCTGCTCGCTCGCCAAGCTGACTCGGTGCTGGGCTCTGACGCCGTTCGCTCGTCCATGCCACGCTCAGCCGCTGCGGCTCGAAGAGGKCACAACAACAGCAACAATAATACCAGCAGTGTCAATGGCAACGGTCGGAATGAAAATGGGCACCCCGTCAATGGAAAGCGTTTAAACAAGCAAAAGTCATCGAGCCATCTGAACGGCAATGCTAGCGGCAGCAGCACTGCGCACTCCGCCCACCATCTCGAGCTTCGTTCGTCTAGCGATTCGTCGGTCGTGACAACCTCAAGGGCAGACGCTGCAGCGACCGATGGACTCAAGGCAGACGGTGCCGACAACGTTTATACCAACGGTACTGACCACAAAACGAATGGCGATATGGCGTACGGACACTCCAACGGTACTGCCTCGGCGGATTGCGGATCGGCTTCTTCTAAACCGGCATCAGCATCCAAACGCAACAATTCATCGAGTGTAAATCCTTTTCTCTTGGCGTCGACAATCCTCCGGTCATGCCCTCTGTACGATACTATCGCCATCCTGATTTTCCTTCTACAGCTTCCTCCGATTGTCCTCACTTTGGTTCAGTTTCTGTTTGCCTCCTTGACATTTATGCCCCCGGGCGGTGGACATGGCTCGTTTACCTCGAATTTCGATWTTTTCCARGGMCCCGCCGGTACGCCTTCGTTTGGAACCATGATTGCCATGGATGGATTTTGTCTTTTACTTTGGGGTCTGTTTATGTGGACTTGGGCACAGAACTTTGCCTTGGATTTGGCTCATGTACAGGTTGCCATTACCCTCGGAGGCGGCGGTTCAGGTAAAAATGGCGGTGTCAATGCGTTCTGTGTCGGTATAGTATTACTTTTGCATATCGTCAGAAGTAAAGGCATACAGGACTTTGTCATCGGCCATTTATCCTCCGCCCAACTTATAAACCCGGATATTTTATCGCGCTGGTCACATTTGATTCCCCAAGAATTTCGAAGAACGGAGCCACAAACATCTCCAAGTTGGCTGAGAAGTCTTCTTGCTATTCATATTTTAGCACAGGCAGGTACTGCCATGGCCAGACGGTCGATGGCTCGAAATCGAACGCCTCAGCCGTCTCGTTCCGGAAAACGTATCGACGCCGAGGCCTCCGCTGGTTCTCAGGCTCAGATTGATTCTGCATTTGAGTCTACGGCAAGCATGACGTCTTACGGCGTTGATGGCTCGATATCCGGTCCGTCTGCGTTAAAAGAAAGCAGAGAACGACTTCAAAGCGCCAAAAAACGAAGAAGACAGGCAAATCAGGTTCGAAGTAGACAGCCGTTTTGGGCTGCACTTGCAAGCACCAAAGTTACCGTTATGAGAGAATATGAGCATTCCAGAGCTGTTTCGAAAACTACCCGCGGCCTTCCGATGACCGAGGATGACCTACAGGGTATCACACTTGACGACGGTTTGGTTTGGATTACAAGCGTGGACAGTTCGACTATCAAATTTGCTGCTGGCGACTTGGCCACAGCGGAAGACAATTCGAGTTCGACTAGATGCGACGATGCACAGCTGGAAAGTAACGAAGTGGAACCATTCTACGTCTGTGTCAACGGAGCGTTATGGGCTACGACCAATATGTGCAAAGTCACCGATGGACCCAAGGGCACCAGCGCTGTTCAGTGGAGGGGTGAGATTTCTGGACTGGCTCCAAATTGTGCTTACACATGCTCCTTTGTTCGCAACGACACAGAGGAAGAAATCTGTTCTCTGAGCGTCAAGACACCCGCAGCACCGGACACAGATCAGAGTACAATTTCCATGATGCCAACTCCGCCTCGCCCTTTCCATCGGCCTTCCTCACCGACCACAACGCTGAGGAATTCGATTGCTAACGCGGAAGCAAAGCTGAACGAAAAGCGCTCTCGTTTGAAAAAGGCCAAAGGTGACCACAAGATTGCCATATCTCGCATCAAAAAGGAAGTAGACAATTACACCCATCGACTAAGCAGTGGAAGTGACGAAAACAAACAAAAACAACGATCATTACAACTAGAACGAAATATTCGCCAGACCGAGGAAGCCACGGCCGCTCTTGAATCGCAACTCGGCAGCTTGGACAAGATACCCGAGGAGGAGCTTGAAGAGTGGCAGAAGCAAAAGGCCGAGTTCGATCAGGAAATGGAACGACTAAAATCCGCCAAAGAGGAACTATTGAACGCCCGTACATCCGTCTCCCGCGACCTCGCTAATCTTGAGTCAGATCTCGCCTCTTCTGTTCAAAAGCGTGACCGACTGCAAAGTCGTAAGACCCGGCTTAATGAACAGTATGAGAGAATCATCTCTGCCAATGCTCAAGGTCTGAACGAACGAGAACGACGAGCTGCGGAGCAGTTTGCTCGGGAGCAAGAACAAGCCAAGATCGAAGCCAATTTTAATGAGCAGCTAGCAAGCATCACCCGGGCCGTTCAAGACTATCAACTGCGCACAAATCAGTTGTGGCAACAAGCGTCCGGCATCGAGCAAGCCATACAGCAACAACAGCAACAGATGCTTTTTGAGACTGGGCCTCTGACTCCTGAGGGGATACTCCCTGGAACTCGTCATTTGCCAGAGGAAGGAGAAGAGGACGAAGAGGACGAGCTCGACAATGGCCCTGCTTATAACAACTTGACCATCACGCCTGCCAACAGTCGGTCAATCTTGGGCGCGAGCTTCTCTGCGCTTAGATCTAGCCCGCAGACGTCTTCCTCGTTTCTTGCTGGCTCGACCTCTCAAACTGCCAGTCCGTTGCAAGCTACCCTTCAACAGCCGACCGGATACCAAGCCTCCCCCCGTGTGAACGTGAACAACTATTTTGGAGGACGCGATTTTGCTTATCGAGATCGGTCGTCTTCCAACCGCTCAGCACGTAGCAGCTTGTACGCTGATCTTGATATCGACATCAACCGCTACCTACTTGATCCGGTTGATCGCCTCAGTTCTGGATCCGATGGTAAAGGCCAAACCAGCCCGACTTATGGTCCTGTCGGCAGTCCGTTCACCCGAGCCGGAAGTCGTGGTAGTGGAGGCAGCAGTGGTAACAGCGGAAGTGGCAGTGGGAGCGGTTCTCCTCGGTCTACGCGGGCAGAAGGATTGTAATGTCATTACGCGCGCGGCAGCGGTCGTCCATGCTTTGGTTTTCGTTCTGGATAATCCAATCTTCTTATCTTCTCTGTGCTTAGTGCGATGGTCTTGCGGAATGAACTTTTCGTCCTTCCAGCTGGTCGGTCAGTACTATTTCGAATCGTGGTTCATCCACATTGACAAATTCCTGGATGAATCCACATATGTATGTACTTTTTGACTAGATAGATAGATCAGCTCAGTGACAGCCTCGGAGCTTCAATCAAAAGAACCTGCCTATTCATGCTTCTATTATACTCGTATCTGGATATCTAAATATTGTACACTATTTATACATTCATTCAAACCTTCCGTTGTGTCTCCGGGCGTGTCACGACGTCTCCTCGCCCATTCCCCAAAACCGGGTATCAGCATACATCAAACAGAAATCCTCTTTCACATGTCGCCTTCCTTCTTCATTTATAGCATTTGTGCCACCAGGCGCTATGATCCTGCGCACATTGCCTAGCACAATCATATGATCGTATACCTGCACCGATTTGTCGGGCAGATAGTCGCATTCTAGAATAAACGTGAAATCTCCTCCTTCTTTTTCTTTGGTATTCTCGTCGACGCTGTGATTATTTCGCTGTCGACTAAGCCGCGGTAACAACATGGACTGATTCTCAGTCTCAGTCTCATGATCTGTAAATTCAAACCGATCTAGTTCGACATTCTCATTTCCGCGCGAAAAATTCCGCGCTAGCCTTGCCATTGACGCTGTTGGAGAGAGTATATGTACCAGAAACCGTCTAGAGGATTGTAGTGCTGCAAGAGTCTCAGAGGGTTGGCGTACGTTGAATGTTATTATTGGTGATGGGTGGAGGGTGACGGTATTGAAGGAGGAGACGGTCATTCCTCTGGGTATCGGTTTGGATGATGGTGGGGAAGAAGAGGAGGCAGTCACGATTGCGACAGGGTGAGGAATGCGGCGCATGAGGAGGCGGATTTTGTGGGATAGGGAGGAGTCGTTTTGTTCTTGTGATTCTGGTGTTTGGTTGTATTTAGAGGGTGTCGATGAGAAGCGTCGATATCGACATATTGATGTCGTTAGTTGTTGATATATGGGTTGTGAATCTATCATATCTCGAAATCAGTAATCAGTCTGGAGTGCCAGCACGAAGCTAGTACTTACTGCTGAGTTCATATAATATTCGTCTTTGCGCTGCTCGTCGCACGGAAAGCTGCGGCGATATCAGTAGCTTCATCTTGCTCTGTGTTGTGGGCGCACAAAAGCCACTTCGAAAATAATAGTACACGCGGCGTCTAGAAGGTCGCTGAAGTCATCATATCGTGTTCTAACGAGTTCAATGCTGATATCTGTTGTATATATCTTCATGATGACCGAAAATCTATCGATCAAGTTAAAGTTGATTTAAGCCTGTTTTGGTTAGAGGGCGCTTACATAATATAAACCTTAAATTATCTCGACCTCCGCAAGTTTTGTCGGACTTCCGCAACAACGACTCTGCGACTTTGTCAGTGTCAACAACGGTGTGCAATTGACTCGGCATACATACGATCAAAGCCATGTCGCTCAACACCTCCTTCCGCCGTGCTACAACCGGCACCGGCCCCTCCAAGACCCTCCTCAAATCTACATCCACAACATCTCCATCAACATACATCTGCACCCAATGCCGACACGCAAGTCTCCTCCGCCGCCCCAAACGACCCTACACATTCACGCAACTCATCGCCCTCTCGGACGGAAGCACATTCCTGCACCGCACCACCTCGCCCACGCCCGTTTATCGCTCAACGCGTGACACACGCAACTCCCTACTTTGGAATCCGACAAGCAAGAAACTGCTAACCGTGGAGGACGACGAGGCGGGTCGCTTGGCCGCTTTCCGTGCGAAATTCGGAAGGAGTTTTGATGCCGCGGGCACCGCTGCAGAGGAGGCTGCTGCTGCCGTTTCTGGAGGACCACCTACAGCGAAGGGCCAGAACGTCGATATGAAACAAGCGCAGGACGCGGCGATTGATGCTGCAGCTGAGAAGGCACTAGCACAGGAGGAGGCAGATCTCCAAGAGGAGGAGGATAGCTTGTTGGATCTGATTAGTTCGTTTGGGCAGGAGAATAATGGGAAGAAGAAATAGGGTTCTTGGTCTGATTGACTAGACTACATGCATCCAAGGATATACCGAACAATCCGTCAGATACAGCAACTTCTGTCCGGCATTCATGATTTCTTTTCTTTCTTATTTTGTACTTTAAGTTTTCGATGTATATTAGAACCAATATCCGATTCTATTTTCTTGTGTTCCCTTTTCTACACCAAACTAATCCAACTGCTAATCCAACTGGTTTTATGTATTCAGAACTTGACTCAATCAAAACTCAAACTCATACTCGGCAGTCGTACTCGACCCGAAGCCAGAGACACCTTCATGTCGCCAATTGTTTAAAGCATTAACATCAACGACCCTCCTAGTCCGTCCGCGGTTACGCCCGCCGCTACCACCATCAAATTCATCCAATTTATGTGCCTCCTGATCATCGCCTGCACCCCCTGTAGGATTATAATGGAATGGTCGTCGAGCCCTAGGGTTCGCGCGCCGAAGCCATCGTCCAAAGGGTGTGCAGAAGATGGTTGCCAGGAGCCATATGAAACATAGCACTCCGAATGCGATTTTGGCGAAGTTTGTGAATGGTTCGCCTTCTGCCATTTTGTTTATTTGTATAGGTTTGATGGGGTTAATATCTCAAGATTGGAGTTTCCCGTGTTGAGTTAGGTTTTCGTATGATAGAACTGTGTGAGGGAGTAAGAGTTGAATGATACATGTAGCGGACATACTCTCCCCATCTATATATGATTACTGGCCGCTCTATGTGTTTCCCTTTTGACGTCCTTCTCCATCAAAACCTGCTGCTTTTGGTACAGTCATCCTGGGCTTCCCTGTTCATTTCGAGAGTACCTGGAAATCTGGAAACCACGGGTAGTTGCCGCCGAAATTGCTATTTTTCATGTAAATATGATCTATTCGTAAACATCATCATCGTAATCCCGTCTCGGCCACAAATAGAATTCAGGATTGGTCTCATAGCCCGTTTCGCAGGAGCACTGCGACGTCTTCGTACTTCCGGCTCAGGTTGTGTAGCTGCGGGTGTGAATTGCGCTGGTTGAGGTTGAGCAGATTCAATAGGCCGAGTAGTGAAGATATAACAAAGTGCTCTCTTACATGTCAATATCATACAGCTTCTTTCACCTCCCTCCATGCTAGCATACATGAGACAGTAGTAGCTTGACCAAGCTGAAGGGTTGAGAGTGAGGCAGTATCAACCATGTTACATGTGAATGGCTTCGAAGGTAGAAGCATGCTTATGAATCTAGAGTAAGGAAGAGAGTGGTATCCATTAATCTACCGAGATAAGCAAAGAATCAATGTCATAGTCTTGCGTGCAAGATACAGGTATTTGAAAAAGCCCCATCCAGCCCCGGAATATCCATTCCAATCTGCTTCAAGTTTCCAAGATCATTCTCCAAGAGCTGGCAGTCGTTGCTGTGAATTGTTCACTGAGTCTGGTGTTTGAGGTGCCCTAGTCCCGAATAATGCAGTCTGCTTTCCATCATCAATCAGTCCTTCTCCTCTTGAGCGAAGGCCGAACATCGTGAGAAAGTTGACCCTGAACCACCTGACTCTTGATTCGCTGACTACCACCCTGTTTTCTACCCTGCTGCTCAAGGCCGGTTGCGATCTTCGGATAATCTTTTTTAGACTGCTCATCGATTTCCTCAGACGTACGTTTCTTGCCATGTAAGGCCCGACAAAGCCTGAACATAACGTACCCTGCGAGATACGAAAAGCATAACATTGCAAAAAGGACCAAGAAAGGAGTCAAAAGGAGCTGCACCAGATTCCGCAGAATCTCACACAGGCTGAACTCGATGCATTGAGGTCGGGATCGGGATTGAAGACGGGGTGGGAACATTGCGCTTTGTTCACAAGAGTCTGGTGTTGTTGTAGTTTGAAAGGAGAGATCGTCAGACCGTATGGCTGCGTGAGGTTTTTGTTGGCTTGTCAATCTTTGTAGAGAGGTATCAGTGTGCAAAGAGGCGTGAGAGAAGGTAAAGAATTCACAATATATATAGACATCCTTTTCTATTTATACCCTGCTGTTTCGAGTCCCTGTTTCCTTGTTTACGGCTTTTTCCATCAGGATGACTGTTTTGGGTACCGCCAGACATTCTACAAAGAGTATAGTGAACATCGGTGATTGCCGTTAATGTTGCTGTTTGATATGACGTGACTGTCAACAGCTGATTGCAGAATGTAGGGTTCACTCGTTATGGATGACCCATCAGAAATACAGCTAGACTCATAAAGGGTCCATTCATTTACAAAGAACGAAAAAAATCTCATAGCAATAATGGTATACTCGGTACAGAAGTGTCGAAATCTCCATCTAATGTGTTTCCTCTGCTGCCACAGCGGCAGCAACAGCAGCAGCCCTCTCCTCTTCAGCATCGGTTGCAGATTCATTGTTAGACTCGACTGCTGCTGGTTCTTCTTCATGATTCTCCGGCTGAGGTGGATACAATGGGTTCCCTTCTTCTCCAGCATCGAGTTGCAGCAAGAAGCTCTCCCATAGTTCAATGAGCTAGAAATAGTAAGCAATGAATCTGCAAAACGTGTATATGATTGATGTACCTCTTTCTGAGCCTCAACAGCTCCCTCCAAGAAAGTCTCTACACCCGACTTGAAATCCTCGACCTTCTCCTTCTCGAACCTCTCTAGTTCATTCCTCATCAATCGGCCCATATCCTCAAACAATAACCGACTCTGATGGACCTTTCGCTCTGCATCAGCCACATCAGCGTTGATCTGGTTGATACGATCTTGTTGCGATTTTCCTTGTCGAAGCAACTTCTCTTGCGTGTGTCTTCTCTTTTGGAGCTCTGCTTCTGCCGCATGCCAGCTGTGAAATGACTTTTGTCGCTGAGAGAAAGCGGTCTTGATACTACCAATAAGTCGGATATACTCGTCAATCGTAATTCCTAACGTAAGCACATCTTGCTGGGCCTGTCGCTCATAAAGTTCACGTATCCGTAGCTGGAGCTCTGATAGACCTTCTAGCGGACCTGAAAGAACCGGGGAAAGCTCAACTGCCGCTAAAGCATGGAGAGAAGCCGAAAAGTCACCAGCAGCCTCGGCGAGACCTTTCCGCTGAGCAACAACAGTGTCGATGCCTTTCATCAATGCTTTGAGCTGATTCTCCAGAGCATCGAGGTAGACTTTGCGATCATGGAACCACTAGTTTATGTCAGCTCAGCTGGCCTCGTAAGAGATGAAAAGGTACTCACATCATCATGCTCAATGAACTTGCCACCTCCACCAACGGAGATACCCAAAGAACTAAACATGCCCTTGCTCTGACCCAGATCAGGCTCACGGTTCTCTTTATTCTTCACGTCCGCTCCAAAGGTCTCGCTTTCCAAGAATATCTTGAGATCTGCATCATGTTGAAGGATCGGATGCGCTGCAATCTTATTAACCATGCGCTCCAAAGCAGCTCTTCGGGATTCTACAAAGTTGGTATCGAAACGGCCAACGGCTTGTTTCTCTGGTGGCGGGGGAACAACGACACCGGGGTTGTTGTTGTGTAGCTGGTTGTAAATCCACAGAAAGTCTCTGTAGCGGCGACTGACTTCGAATTCTGGCCGACGGTATGCTTTTGACGTTGTCTATACGCGATTAGCTTAGCTAGATGTGAGACTTTGTTGAACTTACCTTGGTACGAATCTGATATACGATATGACTGCTAGTCAAATCGCCAACCTTGTGAGGATCGCCCACCGTAATGTTGAACGTCGGCTTGGCAGCTTGTTCAATACTTATACTAGGCTGAGTCTGTCTCTTCTGCGTCGCCTCAGCACCCGGGAACTGCACCGGTGGTGGATTGACGGTTCGTTGCTGTTCCTCGCTGCGGTCGACGGGTGCCCCGGCCGATGATTGCGCCGCCGAATAAGCTGGCTGCGCAACTCGTACGCCTACTGCTTCTTTGAGTGGTGGTGTAGGCGCCTCCTCTATTATAGTTGATTCTCCTAGCGGTCCCAGAGGATCGGAGGTGTCGTCGACAGCTTCCAATTTGGTGACCTGCGCGCTGACTTTTCGCGCTGTTCTGGGTCCACGGCGAGCGGGCGATTGAGGAACGGCTGAGGGTTCGTGTGTCGTCGTTTGTGTGGTTGTAGAAGGGGTTGTTGAGCTCTCTATCAATCACTTGTTAGCATGTAACGCCGTTATTCTGTCCGAGAGCAACACCTACCGTTTGGTCTGGTCGAGGTCGAGGGTTCGTCTGGCACCACTATCAGCTCAACGGCTTATGCATAACGGGAAATTACCTACCACCCCAGGGTGATTCGCCGCCGTCCAAATCCATGCTTAAGTCAAATCGCGATTGTCTTAAACACCTGAGTCAAATAATGAGCACCTGGCAATGGGAGTTTATGAGTATGAGGGGAGATGACGGAAGTCGGGGCTGTGTGGAGATGGCGGCCGCTTCTAAGCTCGTGGTTGGACAGGCAGCCGCATATTTACATCTGCATAGTACACCCTCTAGAATTAATTGAATGCTGTTATTCAAAATCTTTTATTTAACGTCCTCAGGAAATTATCTTCATTGTACTACGAGATATTGAAAATCTTCAAAGGACGATTACCTCATGTAGACTCATACTCATTGGTCGCATTATCGGATATCGTTTGCTCGTGCGCTATTTTGCCTTGTTGATATCCCATGGAAGTCCGAGTTTGTGCATTTCCACAGCAAGTTGGAAGAGCCAGTCCAGACTCTCGCACTGGGTCTTCGCCTTGGCGGGAGTATCACCCCAAACATAACTAACATGGTTAGTACCTTGATTTGACCTTGAACATACTCAGAACTTACATTCCGTGACGACGAACCAACACCGCATATGTATCTGGGTTGGCGTTGATGGCTCTTTCGAGTCCTTCGGTAAGGTCCTCCTCAAAAGGGGTGTTTTCAATAATGGGGATCCGGAGCGTGTCGTGATAGTTGTGCATTCCCTTTCCTTTCCCTTTAGGAATTCCCTTGATCTGCTCGATATTGCTTATCTCGAAGTAGCCCTCTCTTCCGTACTCCCGCTCCACCAACAATGTCACGAGCACAGCCCATTGGGAGTGTGTATGGATACAGCATCCGGCCCCGCGCTCGAAGGCAGTAAGAAACAATGGCGTACAGTCGGATGGCTTTAGGTTCTTTGGTTTGCGAATATATTTCCTCTCGGAGGGCGGGTATTTGGGAGTTGGAAATTGCATCACAAACATATTCTCAGGCTGTATGAGCTCCTTTTGCACGCCGGACGGGGCAATGAAAATGTGATCTCCATGGCGGATTGACGTCTGCAAAGTCGGCATAAGCGATCGGATCAATAGATCAAGAGCGACTGTTGTTGTAGACACTTACCCCGCCACCAGTACCTGTAACCCATCCCCAAGTGTAGAACTTTCGGCACATCTCTGGGATCAGGTTTGCTGGATGTTGGGGATCCGAGGACTGGATAAGATGATCATTGTTGTCCTCATCTTCGTGGCCGTTCGCAACGGCGACCTGGTTAGAAGTCTCTGCCATGATACGAAGAATTGTTTATTCCAATCGTGGTTGTAAAGACACAACTTCAGTTGAATCTCGAAATTCTTTGGCCGCGGGGCATGATGTCGCAATCGCTGCTCTCATTGGTCAATCAGTCGCAACGAGGGAGGGGCGCCTGATTGGGTGCTGCGTCAATACAGCAGTTTGAACTTTCCTCTTATAAAGTCGCTGACATAAGCCAGTCACTCCCTCCGTATACCTAGCGCATACTGATCGATGTCTCTTAACGGACATAGCATGGCAGAGAATCAGCCAGATGTTGCAATGTGTCCAGTCCAGTGTCCAAAGAAGCTCATAGAACAGCGTGCGGAGAAGACTAAGTACGGCTGGGCTAAGCCGAGTGGAGTCGGCGTTCAATGTACGGGTTCAAGGCGCCGCATCTCAAAAAACAGCACATAATGTAAACAAGCAGAGTCGCGGGTAGTAGACTGAGATCATCGCAGGGGTACAATGAAAAAGCCAAAAATATCGACAATAAAGGAATAAAGAAAGAACGAAAGAAAAGAAAGAAGCAAGGAAGGAGCGACTGAAGGAACATTGCAGGAAGGCGGATTATCTAATCGAGGCTAATCCCAAAGAATCCACGGGAAGCTCACCCAACGGACCAGTGAGAAGAGGCCACCTTTGACGATTGCTTGGAGCTTCAAGTTATAAGCCAGATTTCCAGCACCCGCCCTCCACCACATCTTCCTTCCTCTTGTGTTGTTGTCGCTGCTGTTGTCTTTTGCCTCCCTCCACTGGAAGTTTGAAACTAATCTTTCCCTCTTCCACTTGTTTCTGGATAGCTGTTTGTCACTATGCGTTTCAACGCCGCTTTGACATCGGCCTTGGTCTCGTCGGCTGGCCTGATGGGCCATGTGCTCGCCGACGAGGTTGACGTGCCGGCACCTGATGCCACTTCCTCTGCCATTGAGCGCCCTACCTTCACCGTGAGACTATTAACTTCATCCTTTGCTTTATCTCTTGCTAACAGCATCGCTTCTACAGCCCACATCCCTCAAGGCTCCTTTCCTAGAGCAGTTCACCGATGACTGGAACAAGCGCTGGACTCCTTCCCATGCCAAGAAGGAGGATTCCGCCTCAGATGAAGACTGGGCCTACGTTGGAGAATGGTCTGTTGAAGAGCCTACTGTCTTCAAGGGCATCGAAGGCGACAAGGGTTTGGTGCTGAAGAATCCCGCTGCGCATCACGCGATCTCGGCCAAGTTCCCCAAGAAAATTGACAACAAGGGCAAGACCCTCGTTGTTCAGTATGAAGTTAAGCCACAGAGTGAGTCTTGTCATAGTCACAGCTAAACCAACGCTAACGTTTCAGACTCCCTTGTTTGTGGTGGCGCCTACTTGAAGCTTCTCCAGGAGAACAAGAAGCTCCACGCCGAGGAATTCTCTAACGCCTCTCCCTATGTGATCATGTTCGGTCCCGACAAGTGCGGTAGCACCAACAAGGTAAGAATCATTGCAAGCAAGTTAGAATGAAATACTGACTCGACTAGGTTCACTTCATCTTCAAACACAAGAACCCCAAGACTGGTGAATACGAGGAGAAGCACATGACCAGCCCACCAGTCCCTCGCACCGAGAAGACCACCTCTGTCTACACCCTCATCGTCAAGCCTGACCAGACCTTCGAGATCCTGATTAACGGCGACAACGTCAAGAACGGTACTCTCTTGGAGGACTTTGCTCCTCCCGTCAACCCTCCCAAGGAGATTGACGATCCTAAGGACAAGAAGCCTAGTGACTGGGTTGACGAAGCCAAGATCGCTGACCCCGAAGCTACCAAGCCTGAAGACTGGGATGAGGAGGCTCCTTATGAGATTGTCGACGAGGAAGCTACTAAGCCTGAAGACTGGTTGGAGGATGAGCCATTGACCATCGCTGACCCTGAGGCCGAGAAGCCCGAAGACTGGGATGACGAGGAAGATGGTGACTGGCTCGCTCCTACCGTCCCCAACCCCGCTTGTGCCGATGTCTCTGGCTGTGGCCCCTGGACCGCTCCTCTGAAGAAGAACCCTGACTACAAGGGCAAGTGGTCTGCACCTCTTATCGACAACCCCGCCTACAAGGGACCCTGGGCTCCTCGCAAGATCGCCAACCCTGACTACTTTGAGGACAAGACTCCTTCCAACTTTGAGCCTATGGGAGCTGTAAGTCTGCAAAGCCTTCGATTCCAGGAATGCTAGCTAACTATTCTAGATTGGATTCGAGCTCTGGACCATGCAGAACGATATCCTCTTCGATAACATTTACATTGGCCACTCTATCGAAGACGCTGCTACTCTCCGCGAGGAGACCTACGTTGTCAAGAAGGCTATCGAGGTTGCTGAGGAAGAGGCCTCCAAGCCCAAGCCTGAGAAGAAGCCTGAGGCCGGCGTTACCTTCCAGGAGGACCCCGTTGCCTTTATTCGTCAGAAGGTCGACCTTTTCGTCAGCCTCGTCCAGCAAGACCCTATTGAGGCGGTCAAGACTGTTCCCGAAGTCGCCGGCGGTCTGGGTGCTATTTTGCTTGCTACCGTCTTGTTCATCTTTGGTGCGATTAGTGCCAGCAGCCCTGCTCCTGCTAAGGCTGCCGAGAAGGGCAAGGCCGCCGCTACCGCTACCAAGGAGAAGGCTGCTCAGGCTGTCAGCTCTGCCACTGACGCTGCTAAGAGCGCTACCAAGCGTACCACCCGATCCTCTGCCGAGTAAATTAGTCGAGAGAGGAAAGAGTCATTTCGTGATATACCATGCAGCCTGTACTGCACCCACTCTGAGTCCGTTTCTCGTTTCAAACAATGGTCAAACCCAGATCATAGGAGAGGCATACAGCAGCAGATACAAAAGGTGTTTTGCTATTCGTTCATGGATTCGACAGTTCTGTTTAGGAAGGCGTTAGTATCTTAGTCTTTGCTTGCAGCACGTGTATACTGTTCTTATGCATTCAATATCACCATGTTTAAATGTTCATTGCTTCTAAATGGAGGTTTAACAAGAATATACGATGATACCGCATCGGACCGTTGTCCCGCTGATCCCGCATTATCCATATTATCCGTGAAGCGCGGAATGCCCTCGGCAGGAAAGCCGAGGGACCGAGAGTAACCTACAGTAGCCCTTTGTAGCCGTTGGACTTTAATTGTACGGAACTGAATATTTCCTCATATCAACTGCCTGGAGAATACACGGATCATTCTGAATGCAACTGAGATAGACATTGAACAATTCCGTATAAACAATAAAATGCGGTAATAGACAACAGCGGTGGACCAGCGGTGGGCTATCTAATCAGGGAGATAGGCGTTTCTCAGCGGGAGCAGCTCGGAAATGTCCGTTGCTTCGGCGACCCCAGCCAATCAACTTTACCTCGGTGGGAGCTCCCAGCTTGCGGGTTGAACTGGTTTGTGGGGGATAAGGGCGCGCCAGCTACCTCTCTATTACATACATCTACGTAGTACATCTACTTCTACTTCTGCTTCCTCTCAAACTATTTCTAGTTTCTTCATTCCTACTCTCGGTCTTTTCTCAAGTGAGTCTGGTTTGTGATTGTTGCCCCTACACAAGAACATCATCAACATGGCCGCTCGTCGTTCTCTGGCCCGGGGTATTCCCGCTCTCCGCACAGTCTCTCCCCGCATTGGCCTCACCACGAAACCAGTCGCTGGGACGTGGGCGACCTCGAAATCGCCATCGTCACTGTCGCAGTCCGTGGTGTCGCAGAACACCAGAAGACACATTCACATTACTGCTCGTCGCTCCTCCCAGCAGCAGTACGGCACCCAATCTGCCGCTTCTACCACCACCGAATATCCTACATCCCACGAACAGATCACAAGCCCCCTCGACACAACCAACTTCATCGACAACGAATTTGTCACCTCCAAGGCGTCCGAATGGATTGATTTGCACGACCCTGCTACAAATAATCTCGTAACTCGTGTCCCCCAGAGCACAGATGAAGAGCTCAAGGCCGCTGTCGCCTCAGCTGAGAAGGCCTTCCCTGAGTGGCGAGCTACCAGTATCATCGCCAGGCAAGAGATTATGTTCAAGTTTGTGAGCTTGATTCGTCGTGATTGGGATCGACTTGCGGCTTCGATTACCCTTGAGCAGGGTAAGACATTTGCCGATGCTAAGGGTGATGTCCTCCGTGGTCTGCAGGTTGCCGAGACGGCCTGTGGTATTACCTCTCAGATCACGGGAGATATTCTCGAGGTTGCCAAGGATATGGAAACTCGCAGCTACCGAGAGCCCCTTGGTGTCGTTGCTGCTATTTGCCCTTTTAGTGAGTCTCTGCCAATAAGTTGTCTCTGGCCATGAAGCTGATATGTATAGACTTCCCTGCTATGATCCCTCTCTGGTGTATCCCCGTTGCCACCGTCACCGGAAACACCATCGTTATCAAACCCTCTGAACGTGACCCCGGTGCGGCCATGATCCTGGCCGAGCTCGCCCGTGAAGCCGGTTTCCCGCCCGGTGTTATCAACATCGTCCATGGCGCCCACAAAACCGTAAACTTCATCCTCGACGAGCCCGCTATCAAGGCTATCTCTTTCGTCGGTGGCAACAAAGCCGGCGAATACATCTACTCCCGCGGCAGCGCCAACGGTAAGCGCGTACAGGCCAACCTGGGGGCCAAGAACCACGCCACCGTTCTCCCCGACAGCAACAAGAACCATGCCCTAAATGCCATTGCCGGCGCCGCTTTTGGGGCTGCTGGTCAGCGATGCATGGCTCTGAGCACATTGGTGATGGTCGGCGAGACCAAAGAATGGCTGCCCGAGCTTGCAGAGCGCGCAAAGCAGCTTCAGGTCAATGGCGGATTTGAGGCTGGTGCCGATCTCGGCCCTGTTATCAGCCCGCATAGCAAGAAGCGTATTGAGGATTTGATTGCTTCTGCGGAGAAGGAGGGTGCCACTATTCTTTTGGATGGTCGGGGCTACAAGCCGGAGAAGTATCCTAACGGAAACTGGGTATGCAACTCTCCTTTACTTTGAAAACTTTTCTTTGAGGATCGGTATAATTAATGTTATGGCAGATCGCCCCCACAATCATCACAAACGTTACGCCCGACATGACCTGCTACAAAGAAGAAATCTTCGGCCCCGTCCTGGTCTGCCTCAACGTCGAAACCCTCGACGACGCCATCGCACTCACCAACGCCAACGACTACGGCAACGGCGCCGCCATCTTCACCACCTCCGGCTCCTCTGCGTCCCGATTCCAAAAGAACATCGAAGCCGGTCAACTAGGCATCAACGTGCCCATCCCTGTTCCTTTGCCCATGTTCTCTTTCACCGGAAACAAGAAGAGTGTCGCCGGTGGCGGTGCAAGCACTTTCTACGGTAAACCCGGTCTGCAGTTCTATACCCAGCAAAAGACCGTGACGAGTTTGTGGCGTAGTGAGGATGCTTCGCATACCCGTGCTAGTGTTGTTATGCCTACCCATAAATAGGTATCAGTCTGTATGTAATTGGCGTTGCTTCCTCTGTGATTACCCAATGTGGTTATTTAGTTTTTCAAAAGCAAATTCAGTATGGAATAATTGGCGATATTATAATTGCAATGCATTGGTGTTCATATCAAAAACGATCTATCTACACGAGCAAGATCGAATGGTCCGTCTTTGATGTGTATCAAAATTCACTGCACTTGACATGTCATCGTGAAAATAGAGAGGAGACTCTATATCAGGCCGCTGCAACTCTACTAACCCTGGAAGTCGTATACCAAGCGTCCAAAGAGGTACTTGCCCTCTTGGGTAGCAACAACGAGACGACGGCTGTGGTATCGCTGGCCATTGATAGTCTCAAAGCCCCAGATCTAACAACTATCAGTATATGTTTTACGTCGGAAAGAGAGAATGCATACCTGCTCAGCAGACCAAGGAGCCTCCTCACTCCTCACAAAGCTTTGCAACCACAACCCCTCACCCTCGGGATAAGTCACGCCATCCTTCTCCTGCACATCATCCACCAAAAACCCCTCGGGATCTTCCTCGCCATCAACCGTAATCTCACCCCTCAAAAACCTCTGGATTTTCTCCTCCTTGGGCTCCGTTTGCACCTCAAACACAGGCCTTATTTTGCCATCTGCACCCTTCTGTCCACGAACAAGCCGACTCTGAGCCGCACATTTCCCAAATGTGCGATCCTTATGTTCGCGAACGCGCCAGTCTGTGGTGCGCGATTCGGTAGACTTTATGCCGCCTGTGGCGGTCTGTTCGATGTTGATTTTTGTGATGGGGGCGTTGGAGGGGTCGTCAGCGTTGGGCTCGACGTGTTGGGTTACGGCGAGAGTTATGGTGGCGACGCCGATTGCTTTGCGGGTTAGCCAGCCGATGCCTTGCTGTAATACTCGTTAGTTGGTACGGGATGTTTGGCTGGTGTGTTGAGGGGTAGTTTACGAGAGCGAGGAGGGCGTCAGTGTCGGTGGAGAGAGTTTTGTTCTGGAGATGTCAGTTTTCTCTTGCTATTAGTGATAATGGGAATGACTTACCAGAACCCAGGTTCCATTGAGGTTCTGGATGGTGGTGTCTGCGGGGGCGGCCATGTTGGATGATGGATGTTATGGATGGTACGAGATAGGTAGAGTATGGTAATATCGCGAGATGCGAGATCTAACAATTTATGAGGGAAGCAAAGTCAAGAGGTAAAGATAGAAAAAGACTAAAGGCACCGCCTGATATTTATACTCTAGTCCAGCAAGGCAGCCGGCATTCATGAATCATGTGAAAGCAAAAACAAACGTTCCTGCATCAACATGAACCAATTGCGTGTCCTCACAACATCGAACGAAGTTATTGCCTGATTTGTCCAAGTCAATCTGCTCGCAACCCTCGCTATTCGTTTGGACTTAAGTGGTCCGAGGTATCCAAAGGCGCAATGACAAGAGAGCTGAGGACACTTCCCTACGTAGATTAATTTGCATGTGCCCGGCTCCCCGCTCCCCGCTCTTGGGATTTACGCTATGTCACCATACTACTCTGGATACAGTCCTACAATGTTCTTTATACGTTTGACTCGTGGATGATGGAACTTAATGATGTAATTATACATTCTGTTTGACGGAATAATCTGTTTCGAGCCACAGGGATTGACGGTCCGAATATACGCCCTGGCTGATATCGTTCCTTTGTTGTAATCGGCTGTTATTGCTTTCTGTAATGATGCATTGCCCGTCGCTTGTAATCGCTGGGAAAAAAAATGCATTGAGTTCGTCATCGCCTAATATTGACCCTATGCATTTTGCAGTGATTACTCCAGCCAGCCTCAGGGCTGGAGTGGGACGGTGCCTCGGTCAGAGTGATGAGCGCTGCTTGCCAGATCGACTCGAGAGCTCGGAGGAACATAAATTTCAGTTCAAGTAATGGCACAATGCAGTCCAATGCAATAACACACTGGCTATTGTCGACTCATCTGGGATGTCGTGAATGACTGAATGTTGTAACCAAGTTGTACGGTAGAATTAAGAAAATGGCGGAGTTGGGTAAGCTTTGAGCTGCCCCTGGCGGTCCCACTAAGAACTAAGCCCAATCGCGCCTTCCGAGTCAACAACAACTCTTCTTCGTTCAACGTGTGATATACAACACATTAAGAGAAACCATGTCGCTGAATAAGAAATATGCCAATTTACCCGATCTGGTGTGTCCAAACATCTGCCCTGGCTCTACCAGCACCAACTAATTCGTCCAGGACCTTGCACCAGATGTCTACGAAACTCCAGACTTGACCGATGGCGCATCTACAGTTCCAGTATGTCTGGTCTACGCTCTACAAAACCATCGTATTATCAGCTAATTCGGGTATAGACAACAACTGTACGTACGAACTCCGACTCAGACGACGAATCTAACCCCGACATCGACCGCAACAATCTCAACGCCGACGAGGCAAGACTACACTTCCTCCGCGCCAGCGGCGTGAATGCCCGCGAAGTCGACTTTTCGGATACAATCGCCACAAAAAGGAAAGCATACAAATCGCGCTCGGGGCAGCGAAGACGTCGCCGTGATGATGGGACAGAGGATATTGGGGATATCAGTGACAGCGATGCGGAGGGTCAGGAGTCGTTTGAGCGGAAGTTGGCCCGGCTCAGAAGGGAGACGGAGGAGCTGAAGGCTGAGATGGAGAGGAGGGATCAGGCGAGGCAAAACGATGGGCCGAAAAATGAAGAGGAAGATGATGATGGGATCGACGAATTGAGCAAGGCTTTGGATAGTATCCATTACTCGTCTACACGGGCCAACGCTACATCGGACGCAATTCTTTCGCGGAAACTGGCAGCAGCTGTAAACGCATCAAAGGACGCCAACACAGCGGATAAGAAGAAACCTCCGTCTCAAGCTACATTGCCAGCACCGGCATCAGGCCTTCTCGAACATGCAGCATCCTTTGATACTCGTCTCACCCTGATGGAAGCTGCAATGGGCATCTCAAGCGGCTCGAATCCATTTTTCGCAGCAAAAGATGCTCAACCACGACTACAACCCGTGCTCCCTGCCCTCGAACATCTCACATCCCAGATCACCGCGCTAACAGGCACCCTCGGCGGACCAACCGCCTCATCCACCGCCGCCACCACAACAACCGCACAACTCGAATCCTTATCCTCGCGCATCAAACGCCTCACCGCCGATGCCGAGAATCTCGCCAACGCCCGCCGTCACGCCAGCGAAGTCGCAGCTAGAGCAGTCCCCGACTCTCCTTCTGGTGCCGGCGGCGGCGACGCATCAACATCCTCCGGCGGTACAGAAGTCAACAACAACACAGAATCCAACACCCAGCGTGAAGAGCAAGCCGCCAAAATCCAAGCCCTCTACGCAACTCTCCCAACCATCCAGTCCCTCCACCCCCTCCTCCCCAGCGTCCTCGAACGTCTCCGCAGCTTACGCGCAATTCATGCCGGCGCCGCACAAGCTAGCGAGACTCTCGACGCCCTAGAAAAGGATCAAGCAGAAATGAGTAAAGAGATTGAACAATGGCGCGAAGGGCTAGAGACCGTCGAAGGCAAAATTCGCGAAAGTGAGGTGTCGATGAAGAAGAATATTGAGTATGTGGGACCGTGGGTGGAAGATTTGAAGAAGAGGATGGATAGGTTGGAGCAGTTTTAACTTAAAAAGTGCATAGTGTAAATGAGGGGGCCGCGTCGAGTATTTTAGATACCCTTACCTGAACATATATTTCTAATTTGTGATTTGTATACTTCCATGGCGAAGTTGAAATAGTTGAAACACAAACAACCTACCATCTATTCGTCTATTTATCTATCTAATGCATTTCAAGTCGTCGACCCGTGAGAAGAAGAGGAGGTGGAAGAGAAAAATGGTCGCTAAATATCAAAAGAGAATCTATAAATTGAGGAGAAAAGAACAGGATTATAGCAATGGGTTCTCTTTGTATTCCGCTACGGCCGGAGCGTTGTCTTTCTTCTGAGCGGCGCTCTGGGGATCTTGTTCGATGACGGCGACTTCGATGCGTGAGTGTCCGACTTCAGTCTTAACGGTGGGTTCTTCGCCTTCGCCGGCTTCTTCTTCGGCAAGGAACTTCTCGGCTTCAAGGGCGGCGATACAGCCGGAGCCTGCATTCATATCAGTGACGAGTTGAAGTAAAAGTATATTTGGGGAGATTACGTACCAGCGCTGGTAATGGCCTGTCGGTAACGCTTGTCCTGCACGTCACCGGCTGCGAACACACCAGGAACAGAAGTGTAGCTTGTTCCGGGTTGAGTAACGATGTAGCCTTCGCTGTCCAATTCGATCTGGCCCTTGACCAAGGCAGTTGCGGGGTCATGGCCAACAGCATAGAACAAACCATTGGCATCGTGAGTCTCTTCCTCACCAGTGACCACATTCTTGACCTTGAGATGGGTCATGAGTCCTCGGGGACCCTCCTCACCAACAACCTGCGTAGCAACACAGTTGAAACGCACGGTAACCTTGGGGTTGGCCAACAGACGGTTGGCCATGGCCTTACTAGCACGCAGCTTATCCTTGCGCACAAGCACCGTAACATGGCTACCGTACTTGGTCAAGAACATAGCCTCCTCAGCAGCAGAGTCACCGCCACCAATCACGAACAAAGGCTTGTTACGGAAAATCGGCACTGCACCATCGCAAACAGCGCATGCCGAAATACCATTCTGCCAGTATTGTTCTTCGCCCGAGAGATCGAGACGGCGGGCATTGGCGCCTGTGGCGATAATGACAGCGTCTGCGGTGTGTGCGGGTTCCTCATCGGGGCCATCGGACCATTCTTTCCACAGGCGGAAAGGACGCTTGCTGAAGTCGACGCGAGTGATGGTCTCGGTGATGATCTCCGTTCCGAATCGCTTGGATTGGTTGCGCATGTTGTCCATGAGTTCGGAGCCGCCGATACCGTTAGGGAAACCGGGGAAGTTCTCGATATCGGTTGTGGTGGTCAGTTGACCACCGGCTGCGGTTCCTCCCGCAAGCATGCCCTCGTACATGACGGGTTTCAGCTCGGCCCGCGAGAGGTAGATGGCTGCGGTATGGGCAGCAGGGCCGGAGCCAATGACTTGAACTGTTTAGCATATTTTCTCCTCGATTGATTTATAGTTCCGAAAGACAGTGTACATACTGACGACCTTAGAGTGAACCATCTTTCTTTGTGAACCGGCACGCAGTGGCGTTACCGAAGCTGATGACGATGTGGTGTTTTGCTGCAAAGACGACGCGGCCGCAGCAGAAGCTCCGAGAGATCTAAAAGAAAAAGAAGAAAAACGTCGAAAAGCCGAGGAAAACACGGTGAATAGTTGTATCGCTCAGCGAGTGAGCGAAGTAAGCGGGGTTGGTTATCGGTAGGAGATTTCGAGGGGCAACAAAATCTGCTGTCTGGGTCAGTTAGATTCAACCGAAAAGTTTATTTTCGACGGGCGAACAGAGTAGATATACTCACGTCAGACGCAGTAATGACCTGGTGTGAAATAATGCAAAGACGAGACCAATTGATTTATCATCCGAAGAGTCGAAAGTTGCACGATGGTTCTTTCCACTGCGACACTGGTCACGTGCGCCGAAATCTTGCTTACCAACCGCCGACTGTCTCGACCACCAGATTGACTAACCACCAATCCGTCGCGGCGTCGCCCCTTTCACAATTCGAGAACCCTCGCTCCACAGAACCACAGAGTCCACTCTGTAGATGCTGGATACGGTCCTCATAGGCCGTGGCATCATCTGCCGCGAATCATTCCGAGCCGATGATTTTCGTCGGCGATTGATAAAGATTCGACCCACTATCTGGTGCTAGATCTTGATTCTTGATAAGCATACTGTACACAAGATGGGGGCAGCTTTCTTTTCGCCCAGGATTCGGCCCTGTCAATTGCCATGTACGCCAGTCTGAAAGTGAAGATATTCGCAACTGTAAACAAAGTACTTTTTGTACGTCATGATAACCAGTATATGGTAGGCAGCCATTCAGGCAGCATCTCTGTCTGAACTATAAGATGGAGAATAGGGGAGCCCAGCAAAGCTTGCATAGTCAGACTTTGCATCGTTCTGTTGGACTATTCTAAAGCAAGCTCGATCACCAGTGAAATACCAAGCAAGATGAGTCCCGTGATCTTTAATTGTGTTGTCTGTGGTCAATATGTTTATCCCTCGAGCGGTTCCGAAGCCTGGCTGCAAAGATATCGGATCCGTAAGTCTATTCATAGTTGATATTTGCACTCTAATGTTAACATCTGCAGTTTATTCTAGTCCAGAGGGAACATTTGTCTCTGGCGTTGGTCTTTACAAAAATCCTGGTGGAGGCGCCTTTGTAGTCCCTTTGGATTATGCTGCAAGATGGGATGATCCAGTATGTCGTCTCCATCAAATTGGCGTGATGACTCGTGGTCCGTTCGAGCAGCGTCATGGCTTCATATTCCACGAGGCCTGTTGGTCGCTTCTGGAAAAGACACATCATGCTCAACCAGTTCCATACTCGCGACTTTACGAGGTTTGCCATTCGATGCCATTCCCATTGCGAGATTGTGGCCTGAGCTTTGGCCATGACTTTGGCGGGCTCGTCCTTATAGATAACAAAAATTATTATTCATGGGAGGATAGGGTCTTTGAGAGGGACCCCCAAAACTTCAAACAGCTTCAACTTACCTATAGGAATCCACTGAATGTGCCAGAAGTTGGACAGCTTCTCAAAAAACGACGTCAGGTCATATCAAAATCAAGAAATCTCCGCTGTACAAGACAGACCCGACAGAATGGAAACAATCTCAGCAAGTCACCTTCAGAGGAAGACACCTTCGGCAAGTTACTTTCGAGTTCGCATATCTTCAATAGGTTGCCTATAGAGATACGCGACATGATTGCATATTTACTTCCTACATCAGATATATGCAACCTTCGTCTAGCCTCAAAGGCATTCTTCTCTGTTTTGGAAGATCAACGATTCTGGGCCACCCGATTCAGTCCACATTCCGATCGCTCGTGGTTACCTGAATTATGGAACCCTTCGGGACAAAAAAATTGGAAATGGCTGTATCGATGCACAAACGATACCCATTTGAAGTTTGCGTTCCGGAACAGGAAGAGAGTCTGGAAATTGGCTGAACATCTCAGGGATTTAGCTAGTCTGCAGTGGAAGGCACCATCTACAACATTCATGCAGCATAAAAAGGCTAGTTCGGGCTATCGACAAGTCAGTGGAGATTTGACGCTAGCAAATTCTGCTCATGGTTTTAATGAAGGCTGTCGTCTCTTGCATCAGCAATGCGTATCCATTCCACAATCGCTTACCCAAATTGCATTCTCCGTTGTTCATGTTGGTGATACCGAGTATATCTCAGGTTTACGATTTGTTTCTTCTGACGGGACTGCCATAGAATTCGGCTACTGGTCAGAGAAGAAAGTATACTCTGCGAATATCACGAGTTTATGGGGGTTTCATGTCGCAGCAGGTATACGAGGCATCCAAGCGTTACAAGTCATCGCCGATGAGCAGCATAAATCTCAATGGTGCGGTCTTTCGGACGAGTGTCCTAAGACACGATATCTAGCGGTTTCTAAGCCTGTCAAGGCTTTGAAATTGGGGTTTGATGTAAGTAACAGTCAAGCCCCATGGTTATTTTTTTCTAAAAAATAAAATTACATGTGCTGTAGACTCACCGAAATATAGGGATGCAAAATGGTCAGTCTTGGAATTGAATATGAAGATTCATCTGCCAATGATCAATCGATTGAGGAGACGAAGTCATTGAGAGACATAGAATTGTGGTTTCCCGGTATCCCAGGCCATCATTTATTATTGAATGAGTATCCGACTCTAATGGCTGATTACTATCGTCCATTATGCTGGGTCTCGTTCGGAGGTGCAGGCGGAGAATACCTCAAGTCCCTAACGGGGATGATGGCATATGGCAGAGGAAGTATACGTCACATAGAATTCAGTTATGACACGAATGATGTACCAGCACAGATTCGAAAGCAAAACGTCTATGAAATTTTCAAAGGTCAGGCAACGACACATTTCCCCATTGACGGAGCAAGCGGAGAAACTATCGACGCTGTAGAAGTTCGTCTGGAATACGTGACTTCACCAAGCGCATATAGCTACGCTAAACATGGTGCATTGACTTCCCTCAAGGTAACTCAGAAATCTACCAAACTCTCCAGGATTTTCAGCTTACTGTCTAGATTTCCACGAATCGTGGGCGAAATTGTACTTTTGGTTCACCTAGAAATGGAGAAGAAATTAAGAAGCATGCTATAAACATTACACGTGGAACCACTATTACTGGATTCTACTTTAGCCGGGTACGTCTATTCTACGCTTTCCCCAGCCCTTACTTATCATATACTTAGCATAACCAATGGGGAATCACCTGCCTCGGTGTCATATCGGAGGTCATTAGGAACGAGACAGACAGTAAGTCGGTCTGATGACATATCAGCAACTAAGGATTTGGCGGCAACTGAGGGCCATTGTTATATCTAGCGAGTGCTGACGGACAGACATTTCAGCAATCTCTTAGTCGATTGAATGGGTGGGCAAGACGTCTTGATATTGGATGAGAAGGCTTTGCTAATGTTCGCATTCTGACTTCCTGAATCTGTACTGTGCAATTCTAAGTTCCTGTCGGTCAAGAAGCCCGCTCTTTTGATTGTAATCACGTCCAATGGCGGAGGGTACGACTCCAGAGCGAAGTCTTGTTGAAATTATCTAGGTAGGTGAATTAATAAACTAGGATTCGAGTTTGCTTTCTCAAAGACGTTCGTCGTCAATGCATGTGATAAGATATACATGGAAAAATACACAATTCCTCCCCATGGTTAATAAAAGCTTTTTTGATTTTCGCAAACATCGTAATTGACTGGTCGAAATAGTAGTAGATGTAGGGATCTGGTATCTCAAGACAATCATTTCCACACTAGGGATTACTTAGCACTGTCAATGGTATTACGGACTGCTGAAGTTGCTGAAGCTGAATAGCTGTTGGCGGCTGTTTCCTTTCATTGGCGCGGGACTGCTGAACAATGGTGGGACTAGACCAATTGAAGACAAATTCGTATCCACGTTACCGTGGCAACCCGGAAATTGACAAGATGTCTCATTCTTTTATCGCGAACAAAACTCCTCCCCATACTCCACAAAGAGTTCTCCACAGGGAGTTTCCCCAAGTCGCAATGACACATTTTCTCCATAATTATCTTGTCCGTTGAACTTAAGCAATCGTGAAACGAGATCGGAACCAGTATGGCGACCAAGGCGCTCGAGGCTCATTTCAGGCATCTATCTGTTCATGATGAGAACGATGGACACGAACATCAAATCTCCAAAGTAAGTCCATTGCATGAAGCTCTTGCAACATGCGTCGAGAGCACAATTGATGACAAGTGGTAGCTTGCAACTACCAAGCTCCGTCCATCGGAAAGAAACCAACAACCAAAAAGCTCTACTGTTTTGCGAACTCGAAAGCCCCTCTCAGGTATTTCGATAAATACGCCTGAAGGAGTGGCCAAGACAAAAGAACATCACATCACTATCATCAAGCAACAAAGCACAGCCTTAGACCATGTTGCTTCGCAAGTAGCTCAAGCTAAGGGCGGACAAGCTCTTTCCGTGGCTCAACACCCCCGCACTGTTGCGTTATCGGAGGCATCCAAGGCAGAAAAACACTCCACTCAACTTATAAAGCAACCTGCCGCTAGGTCATTGCATCTAGGTATGTTCGAAATCGGCCGGGCCCTAGGAAAGGGCAAGTTTGGACGAGTATATCTTGCGAGAGAACAACAAAGTGGTTTCGTTTGTGCGCTAAAGGTGCTACACAAGGATGAGATCCAACAATACAAGATGGAAAAACAAGTGGCTCGGGAAATTGAGATTCAAAGTAATTTGCGTCACCCGAATATTCTACGACTATATGGCCACTTTCATGATCGGAAACGAATAATGTTGGTTCTTGAATATGCTTGCAAAGGAGAGTTGTACAAGCACTTGCGAAAGGCGGATCGTTTTCCAGAATGGAAGGCAGCCCAATATATTGCTCAAATGGCAAGTGCTTTACAATGCTTGCATCGAAAACACGTCATTCACCGGGACATCAAGCCTGAGAATATCCTTGTTGGTCTTTATGGAGAGCTAAAGGTGTCGGATTTTGGTTGGAGTGTTCATGCGCCAAGTGGTCGCAGACTCACCCAATGTGGAACACTGGACTACTTGCCTCCTGAGATGGCTGATCCGAGGAAGTACGGAAAGCCATATGATGAAAAGGTGGATCTATGGGCCCTAGGTGTTTTGATGTACGAGTTCCTGGTTGGAACGGCACCCTTTGAGGATACGCCTGCTATGACACACAAGCGAATCGCTCGGGGGGATATGAGGATTCCTTCTTTTGTTAGTCCTGAAGCTAGAGATCTTATCCAAAAGGTGAGTCCATATTCGAAAATAGTATTGACCAAGTACTAAAAATGATCAAGCTACTGGTCCTTGATCCGGATCAGAGAATTCCGTTGGAGAAAGTGCAAGAACACCCCTGGATTATCAAATACTGTAAGAGCGTTGCAAAACATGATAAATCCCCACCTCCCAAGATAAATGCCCGCATGCCTCGCCCTGTGAAGTGACGGAACGGCGGTTTGATAAGGCTGGCCGTTTTATCTGGAGGCTACATGACCTTTGTGGGTAGCGCTGATGTGGCCGCCACCACCACAAATACAACGCATTTCCCCAATAAATTTTGAGAGAAAAGTCAAGCTGCTGCTCGTGATGCGAGGTGTCTTTTCCCAAAGAAATATGCTTAGCAAAAAGAGAAGCAAGAAGATTAAAATTTGAGTGAACATACGTCTTCAGGATGCAGGTTTATGTTGGCTCGCCCTGCGGTGATTTCAATACGGCCCTCGAAATCATCTCCTGGGTATCGACAGAGGCCGAATAGGCCTAAGGCGTCATTCTGGCGGAGAAACTGGTTGAAGGCTGTATTTCGGGATCGCTTGGTGATTCAGCCTCGTCATTCAAATTGTCTTCTGGAGAGTGGTGGAACTCCTATGGCTGACAATCGTCGCGTTCCAAGAAGTCAGCTGCTTGGTCGAGTATTCTCAAGCATTGTGTCCCAGGGAACTGATGTTCCACGATATTTGACAAGCCTTTCGGCTTGGTTCATATCGAATTGTCGGTGGTTCAAGATGAGGCCGAAGGCGCGATCTGCGTTATGTTGTTGGAAGAGCACGTGGAAATCATCAATAAGATCTTGCCCTTTTTGGTAGGATCATTAACGCACCACATGCCAAAGCTGGCCACTCGGATGATGACCCCTGACATCCAACCTACATAATATAACGCCACTTCTATGGAGACATACAATTGGTTTATGTGGTTTTTCTCTGTCTCGGAACCATCCAATTGCATGTGGACATGGAGTATATGTTCTCCCCAACGGGGCCTCATCATTAAACCATTAAAATTTCTCACCCTTGTCATCTGAACATCATTTTTCTGTCAACCGGCCTTACCTAGGCAGTCTTTGAGTAGCATCATTTGAATTTCGATGAGAAGATAAAGTGAGAACAGATAGGTAACGAGGGCACGTCGTTGCTAGCCCTAGATAAAAATAGAAAACGATCATGATGTCATAAGAAACGTGCCCGTGGCCCTGATCCATTATTAGCATCTTTGATACGGGCGTACCCCGGCAGGCCAGATTATTGCCACAACGTTTGCTTCCTTGTGTACTTTTTTTCTTAGCCGTCGACTATAGGACTAGACCTGGGATAGATCATTGTTTCTGTTTCTGTTGCCAATTTTTTCACGATTTTAAGAAGGAGTGCTATAACATCCGCAATTATCGGCTTGACAAAGTTTCTGGAGAATAAAGTCGAGTGTTGATATATACATGTTGGAACATCCTACCAATCTCACAGCATTATGATCATCTTCACTAGCTATCACATACCATACTAGATCACCTAGTATGCGCGCAGCTTTTCGGTCTAGTCGGCTGCACCCAGAATACATGATAAGATATACAGCCTCCTCCTTCTTATGTACGTAAGTTCTTTTCTCTAGACCGTATTTCGACAACGGACTTCGCGAGCTTGATTTCGCCTTCTGTACCTTACAACAAAGTTTGCGCATCGAACTGGAGTTGAAGAAGAGTTTCAGCATAGCCAACTTCGACAGCAATAGTCGGCATTCCCATGTTGTCAGCAGGACAAAAAGCGGTGTCCAGTCCCTTGTTACTAAAACAAGTCAGTATACAGACGAAACTATAGCACATAGATGGTACATAAATGGTACAAATTGGACAACAACTTACTAGCTGCTGAAATTTCCCCTAAGTCTCTCTATCAAGCCAGCTGAACTCTGGGACGTCGAGAGTTGTGGGAGTTGTGCCAAACTCAAATTTTCAGTACCCTTCGTGTATGATCTTTGTTTTTCCAGGCAAGTCGTACTCGTCGTACGTGGTGTTGAGCGGCATGTACGACCGGAATCGGGGCAGAGGCCACAAGGCATGCCCAAATCAGGAAAAAATCAAAGAATTTCCTGATGACAGATTTCAATTTTCGGCCACGATGGCGTCGTTTTTCGTGCTTTTTACAGCAAATTGTATGTCAGGAGGGCGCCTGACATGCAGGTATCTGTACTACCCAAGAGTCAGCGTCTGATAACATGAGCAAACCATGAAAAGTAGCTCACCAACTTAGGCCATGGATGGCACGGCACTTCAATACTAAAAATGCTCTCAACTTGGAAGTAGAGTAGTAGAATAGAAGCCTATATCCTCTTTCTACTAACAGTATCCTCCAAAGAAGCGGCCGAGAGACGGTAGACACGAATCATGAAAACGAGTTGAGAGAAAGACAGAGAACGAGGAATATTTGTAGGGGGAGGAAGATGTGTATGAGAAGGAGGGGGAGAGGGAGAAGAACGGATAGGGAAAGATATCTGATCCGGGAAGACACCCTTGCCCTAAAAGGAAAGAGCAAACGGTGAACGATGTCCGGGCCCAGCAGGGCAACTGTTGTCACGTGTGTACGTCGGGTGCTTTGGTCCGGTCGAATCAAAAAACGTTTGCTTTACAAATGAATAGCTACAGAGTTTACCAATACGATATCGACAGGGTGTCCAATCCTTTGATGCCCGAGTGAAAGCAATTTTGATGGATTCAAAATTTGGATAATATTCAAAAACGGATATGACGTGCACGAAGCCTGCTATGCAGAATGATATAACCAAGAGAACAGAAAGTGCGCTGAATGGTGAATGCATAAGAAATGCTTGGGTATCGAGTTTGTACACTTTTCATCAAAAATCGAAGTGCGACTGAAAAACATGAAATGAGCATGCAAAAAGATCAAAAAACAAAAAGATTTCACGTCATTAGACAAGACCTAACCACTTCTTCCTTTTGGGCGGCGTTTCTGGCTCCTCATCACTGTACGCCTCATCGTCATACTGCTGCGAATCTTGCTGGTAAGGATGGGACTGCTGCACGCCGTGAGCAGCAGCTTGATGGTATTCCTCCTCGTACTCGTCATCATCTTCATAAGCATATGAGCCCCCATTCGCATCTCTCGCCTGCTGTGGACTAGCGGCATGGTGTTGCTCCTGATGTTCTTCATGGTGATCATCATGTTGTTGCGGATGTTGACCACGTTTAGGCTTCCCTCTACCAAGCCACTTCTTCCACCCTTTTCTTATAGGCTGTGGCTCTGGATCGAAGCCGTCACCTTCGAACCACAGGGCTGGAACGAGGAGTTTGTATGGAGTTGTGATACCGGCGGGATCTTGGGGGTTGACTTCACAGTTCAATGTGATATCTAATCCGCCTTCGAGGTTGACAAAGTTTTCTCCTTCGGTGTCCGGAGCTGCCTTTTTGGATGCTTTGGTAGAGAGGTCGGTGGTTCGACGATGGAATGGGCTTGGTCGTGGCTCGTCGGATGCGGCGAAGTAGCTGTCGCCGTTCTCCGGTGGGCGGTTTGTAGCGGTAGCGTCGGTACTGAAGCGACGTCGTTGCGCGTTGTCGAGGTTGAAGTCTTTTGTTGGTGGAGGACCTCTGCCGGACAGACGTCGAAGTAACCCGGTGCTTGGACGGGGTTGGCTCTCTCCGCGACCCAGGGACAGAGTTCGTTTGAGTAGTCCTGGTCGTGCACTGTCTGGTTCGATGTCAGGTGTTTCGACAGGTGTTGGTGGTGTTGGTGGGGGAGTCGTTCCTGTAGATCGTTAGGGCTAAAAAGCTAGAAGGCGCAAGGCAGGAAAACCTTACCTGGACGATACTCGCGAATAGAACACCAGTTTCTCCGCGGAAGCAATCTCTTATTATTCCTGTTCTTACCATCCACATCATGCGTGAAAATGGGGATCATATCTTCATCCGTATTCGAATCCATATGATGGATCTTGTTTCGCTTGTTGAGGAAATCTGACAGCATTTCGGGAGGCGGTGCGTTCACAATAGCGGATGAAATGACATTTGGCATGTAGCGGTAATCTTTGTCTTTGGAGATACCAAGAGTAGGATTTGAGTAGAACTGGCCGATGGCAGCGAGATGGACGTCGCCACTGTTCAAATTAGTATTGAGATGATTGCCAGAATGGAGAATGACGGTGCATACCCTAGTATTGTAATGCGCACAGACTTCTCTGCAGCGAGATCTTGCAAGTCCTCAATCAACAATGTTCGCTCTGTCTTGTGATGCTTCGCCGTCCAGTGGTCGTCCACATCGTCTAGAACCTCAACACCGCCATCGAATTTGTTGACTAAGCCAGAGAAGAGGCCTGCCTTTGTCAACGCTTTGACGGGATCCATTGCTCGGCTGCTTAAGAGGTTTTCGAGCCAGACCTGTACATCGGAACTGTTAGCAAACAGAGCACTCTCAGCATCGAAAGAATACTTACAAGTCGAGGGTAGGCAATAGGCACTCCTAAGAGTACAATCAAGTGTTTGACTTGACCTCGCTCGATTTCACGATAACATCGGTCCCAGATCAAATCGTACGTATGCTCGCTGACAACTTCATCGCGCTAAACAGACAGTCAGCATGAATTCATAAAAGAGAGAGACAAACATACCATGCGTTCAGTACGACAATCAATACCCAAGAATGAAACCCCTTTTCCTAGAGACATGAAGAGACTGCGGCTTCTTTCCTTGATATATGGGCCCACGTCAGCTCCAAGAAGCCAGCTAGGTTCGTCAGCCTCAGTCTCCTCGGGCAAACTTTGATGCTGGAAAAGCATATAGTATTTGAAAGCAACATTGCCCAGTCCAGAAAAGACAGGTGAACGCATGAGATGGTCAGGATACGAGCCAAATCCATCGATAATGTCATGGTCATCCCAAATATTGACCATGGGGATTTGACAATTAGCCAGACTGAAAAGACCGCGCGAGAAGCATGCAGCGTAATGATTGAGGTAGAAGGTCTCTAATTCAGCCTTGAATGCCGGGCTGAATGGTGCATTGTTCTTGTGGTGTGGATTCTTGATGCGTGTCCACTCTTCGAATTGTTCCGAATCCTGCATAACTTTGTCGCAGTAAAGCTGATCTCCGCCACCAATCATCACGTGGAAAGGACGTGTCTGATGTTCGTTGAGCACGTCTCGCCAAAGAGGGTCGGGTCCGCTGAACTTATTGCGATCGACAGAAAGACTGAATCCGTTGCATGAATGAAACATGATATTCATCGACTGACCCTTTGCCGGAACCCAAAATCCAATTGCCGGCCCTTCGTTGATGCGATATGAGATCCGCTCTTGCTTGTCGCCTAGTTCAACTTCGATGTTGAAACGCCAGAATGTCACATCTCTCGCAGGATCAGAATACAGACGGAATCCCTGAATCTCCTCGTACAAACCGCTGTTCTCGCCGTTAACTGGATGAAGTCTGTTACTCGGGATAGACGTCGAGCCTTTGTTCTTGTCGGTTCCGTAATCTATCGGACTAGGGAAGCTTTCGAAAAGACCGTCTTCACTTTCCACGCCTGATAGATCAACCCCTTCTTCCAAATGATCCACGGGTTTGACGTATAGGGCGCGTCCATCACGGCCGAGTTTCACCAAACCAGCGACAGGGTCTACATACTCAGGAGCTAGCTGAGCTCCCTCCTCGTCATTGATCTGTCGCGGAGGGGGTGGCAGAAGATCCATGGGCTGAGCAAAGAGACGCAAAGTTGGCGGTGTTTCTAACGACGATAAGGAGTCCGTTGTGACAATCATGACACTTCCGCGCCATACTTCCTGCTCAGTAGGTCCCTGCGGTCCATCAACGGTAGTCTTTCTGATACCAAGGTAGCGCAGCAACGGGCCACACTTCAAAAAGAGTAGAGGATTGAATCGATTGCGCTCGTTCACTTTGGGTGTAGGTTTGCGATAATTGTTCGGAAGACCACGGCTCTGTCGTCGCTTTGAGCTGCCTTTTTCCCACCATGCCTTCCCTTTATCCACGTCAAGACGCTCAAAGTCTCGGTCGATGAGACGTAATCGTGCCACCGGAGCTTTTCGCCACTCATCCAAGGGCGGAGGTGTTGGTGGTGGGACATCAAAGGAGACGGTATTTCGTTTTGATTTTTTCAATGCAGGGGTCACTTCACGATCTTCTGGGGTATGCTGCTGTCCACTAACAGCCTGGTTGAGACCCTCGCCAGCAAAATGAGTGGGCCGAACTCCAGTGTCGGGATCCAGGAATGTTTGTTCATTATAGGAGGTCACAGGACGAGTATCTTGAGCGGTGGTCATTGGCTGACGACCTGCGGAAGTTATAGGCCGCTGCGCATCATAGTTTGATATAGGTCTCTGTGCCTTGATGCTTCCTGTCCTTTGGATGCCTGCTTCTATTGGCGATGGGTCATAAATGCCTGGGCTGTACACGTTCCTATTGCGGTATTGTGCTGATGAAGCGGGTTGTCCATTCCCAGGAGGAATACGCTGGCTCCCACTTGGCTGCCTCTGCGGTGCTTGTGCAGAAGGGCCTGGTACCCGATGACTATTCTGACCGTGCGCGTACTGGGGCTCTTGAGCTGTCTGCACCGTTGCATATTGAGACTGTTCCGGAGCAATGGGTTTGCGACTGATCGATGGCTGTCGTCGCTGGGGTTGATAATCAGGTATATCTCTAGAAGAATCCGATTGCGAGACATCTTGTTGATTTTTTGCTGCGTCTGCTGCTGTGGCATTCAAGGGAGCATCTGGCACAGTAAGACTTGCTCGCTGGCTCTCACGTTTTGCCATCTTCTCACGCAATCTCCTTTCGGCTTCTATCACTCGCGCTCTCTTTTCTTCCTTGCTCATTCCAACGAGCCTACCCTCTAATTGCTGTAGGGGAGATCGACCAGTCGGTGCGTTGAATTTATCGCCCGTTGTGGATCGAACAGTGCTCGAGCGGCTCACTGGGGATGCCTGACTTCCTGATGTTGGCCGCGAAAGTGCCTCTGAAGGTTCTCGAGAGTTTCGTACTCTATTCATTGGCGACGCCTGTGAGGGCGAATTGGTCATGGCCGGTGGTGGACTTGCATATGTTGGGTGTCCTGTTGAAGCACGCCGCCCTGAAGGTGGATATTGAAGCTGCTCATAAGGTGCGCCGTTGCTAACATCATATCCAACAGCTTCTGGCGCATGTATATTTTCAGGAGTTTGGTTTCTCGACCTAACAGAAAATGATCGAGGCACGGCAGCTCGATATGGGATATCCGCTCGGTCTAGCATTGGGCTATTTCGGAACGAGACTGGAGGCCCTCTTGGCGCCTCTGGAGCAGCTGGTGCCATAGGTGGTATCATTCCATAATTTTGCGCTGCGAGCTCTTCTGCGCTTCCAATGCTCAGCCTTTTTGATCGAGCGGAGCCTGGACGGCCGAGTCCGCTGCCTGACCTCTGTGGGGGTCCATTGGGTGCGCTGTTGAATGGCACTGGGGACGTTTGTGAGCTTGTCGTTGCCATCTTGTCAGTCAGTTTTAATACTGAGTGGTTTTTGGTGGAGTTGATGATATGAATATAGCAGTCTGCGGTAAAAATAGAGCTCGCAATTCAGTAACCAAACTTATTGCAGCGTGTCAATTGACTGGACAGAGGTCACGTCAATCTGCCCGGCCGTGGAGTATCGCTCTGGAGCTATTGCATGCAAAGAATTCGAGCGCTGGCCTCGCGAGTCGATGACAATGAGATAAGAATATTCCTTTGAGTTCTTCGCAACCAAACAAACCAAGCGACGATTACTGAAGACCCAAGACTGCCAGCGGAGCCAGTGATAAACAATCAGCCCAAACGGGTAAAGACGAAGCGGAGCTTCCCCAGCCTTGTCTGTAAGGGCTCTCTCTCTTTTGGAGGAGTGTCGAGAATTAAAATGTAAACGATTAGAGGACAGAGACAAAACAAGAGAGAGTAAAAGATAAGTAGAAGAAACGAACAAGACAGAATAAAGAAAAGAAGAAAAGCAGGTGGTTGTCGAATTGACGTTGGGCCAGCCGATCGGATCAAATTAAGCTGGTGGCTGGTGTCAGACTAGCCATATGACGGCGTGCGTCCAGGTCAACAGCCAATAGTGTTAGTCTACAACACCGGACTGGCCAGTGGCTACTCTTGTTCTGGATGCATGGCTATGTATTGACTATTTATGCTCCTGTGGGTATTGTGTATAGCTGCAAGGAAGAACTGGAAATAGTTGTATGTGCGCACTAGTACTACACCTTGAGCGTCTTAACATAGACCGAATCGGCCAGCCCGTAAACCAGCTGGGGAAGAATTAACTGGATTACCTTTGCAATTTTCAAGTCCTTTCACCTTTGTTTAAATTAATACTGGGTATTCAGGTATCCAAATCAATCAGGTATCACCGAGGCTGGTGTTCTGTGCGAGTGGTATCTGAGACCCACTGCAGCCCGATGCACGTATATCGAGTAGTTGACAGTCCCGATGACGAGTCGGGAAAAAGCCAATAGGTACGAAATACGCAGATTGCATCACGAAATCTGCATAGTATCTACACAAGAATTGTGCACGTAAGCTGAAGAAGAAAACGAGTGTTAGACGGCGAGGATTTAGTGTCCGCAACACCTTTGCAAGGTGATTGGCCGAACCCCTTTAGTCAGTCTCCGCCTTCAAGGCGATCATTATTCATCCAGAAGAACTGTCTGTCCTCTTTAGCCATTTACTGAAAGACTTGATATTATCACTTTTGAAGTTCCATGCACATTTAATATATAATCAGAGCTCAGTGGTATCCTCGATTTTTCTACGACTCTACCATCAATCACTGCCATCCTTGTTTTTCGCCCCAGAGGCCAGCTTTCGTTGATGGCAAATCAGCTCGTCGGTCGCCTTCTGCATATACTGTGAAAACACCGCCAGGTGCTTTCATCCGACATAAGAGAAAATGCGTCTTTCGAATTCCTTATCGATACTCTCGCTGTTACTCACATCCTCCCTCGCCGAATTACTCCCACGTACCTACGAAACCCATGACTTCTTCGCCCTCCACTTAGATGATTCTCTAACGCCGGAATATGTCGCGGACGTTCTAGGAGCCCGTCATGAAGGACAGATTGGCAGTCTACCGGGGCATCACAAATTCTCCATAACTCAAGATCAGTCGTCCGCCGTTGAATCGTTGTTGGAAGATCTGCGCGGGTGGCGGAAATTGAATAAGCGTTCGAATATATATGACAAGCGCGGAGATGGGCTGGATGGTGTCCTCTGGTCGCAGAAGCTGGCTCTGAAGGAGCGTTTACATAAAAGAGCCCCCGTTGAGCTGGCCGCGAGAGTCGGAACGCCAGTGGCGGCAGCCGTGGAGGCGCGGAAGCGCCTTGAGTCAGACCTGGCTATCAAAGATCCCGAATTTGAGAAACAATGGCATCTGTTCAATACAGTAGAAGTCGGACATGATTTGAATGTCACCGGATTATGGCTGGAGGGCATCACTGGAGCAGGAGTGGTTACAGCGATTGTGGACGATGGCTTGGATCTGTACAGTGAAGACTTGAAGGATAACTATTTTGCCGAAGGCTCCTGGGATTTCAACGAAAACTACCAAGACCCGAAGCCATTGCTACGCGAGGACAAACACGGTACTAGGTGCGCCGGTGAGGTGGCAGCGGTCCGAAACGGCGTTTGTGGTGTTGGCATGGCTTACGACAGCAAAGTCGCAGGTATTCGAATCCTTGGAAAGCCCATTGATGATGCAGATGAGGCTGCATCCATTAACTACGGTTTCCAAAGGAATGATATCTACTCTTGTTCCTGGGGTCCTCGTGACGACGGTGAAACCATGGAAGCTCCCGGCATACTGGTTAAGCGTGCAATGGTGAATGGTGTCGTACAAGGACGCGGCGGGAAAGGCTCGATTTTTGTCTTTGCTGCAGGTAACGGTGGCGGTTCTGAGGATAACTGCAATTTCGATGGTTATACAAACAGTATCTACAGTGTCACTGTGGGCGCCATTGACTGGCAAGGAAACCATCCAACTTATTCCGAAGCCTGCTCCGCGCAGTTGGTTGTTGCTTATAGCAGCGGCGGTGGTAAAAATATCCATACTACTGATGTGGGTCTCGCTAGCTGTAGCGCTGGCCACGGTGGTACATCGGCAGCCGGTCCTCTTGCAGCCGCAGCTATCGCGCTTGCATTGAGCGTGAGGCCTGAATTGACTTGGCGAGACGTGCAGTATCTCTTGCTCGAAACTTCGGTGCCAATTCAAGCAGACGGCGATGAGTTGCAAATGACACCAATGGGCAAGGCATTTAGTCATCAATATGGTTACGGAAAGGTGGACGCCTATAGTTTCGTCCATAAGGCTAAAACTTGGGATCTTGTGAAGCCGCAGGCTTGGTACACTACACCTTGGTTGAGAGTGGAAAAGGATGTTCCCCAAGGAGATCAAGGCTTGGCTAGCTACTTTGAAGTGACTTCGGATATGCTGAAAGCTGCCAACCTTGAGCAGATTGAACATGTCACTGTCACTATGAACGTCAATCACACGCGCAGAGGCGATTTGAGTGTTGAGCTGCGTGGTCCGCAGGGCATTGTCAGCCATCTCAGTGTTCCTAGGAGTAAGGACGCCACACAAGCTGGGTATGAAGATTGGACATTTATGTCTGTCGCACATTGGTAAGTTCCTTATCTACCATTATTATTAAACGCGTCTACTGACTCAATTTTAGGGGCGAAACTGGCGAAGGAGTCTGGACCGTAGTGGTCAAAGATACCGTTGTGAACGATAATACTGGGGTATTCACCGACTGGCGCATGACCCTCTGGGGGGTTTCTATCGATGCTGCTATCCAAAAGCCCCACCCTCTTCCTGATGAGCACGACGATGATCATAATATTGAAGATGCTGTCTACGCAACTGTCAGCATTAAACCACATACGCAGGCCACTCCCGCACCAACTGCCACCGACCACGCCGAACGGCCCACAAAGCCCACCAATGTGGAATCCGCTCCTACTGCCACACCCGGAGTCGCTACTCCTGTTGATGAGGAGCTATCAACAGAACCAACTACCGGTTCCGACACCGCACAGCCGACTGCGTCCACATCTCCTGGATTCTTACCGTCGTTCTTGCCTACTTTTGGAGCAACCCCTCATACCCAAGTCTGGATCTACGCTTCCATCGCCCTCATCCTCATTTTCTGCCTAGCTCTAGGCATATACTTTTATGTCCAACGCCGCAACCGACTCCGTACCAACCCTCACGACGACTACGAGTTTGAGCTTGTCGACGATGAAGACGATGCCGAGGTGCCGCTGGCTGGGCGACGTGGACGCAAACGACGAGGTGGTGAATTGTATAATGCGTTTGCCGAGGAGAGCGACGATGAGCTTCTCAGCGGAGAAGATGAGGATGAAGGTCCTTTCCGAGATCAATACAAGGAAAAGGACGGTGAACATTAGGTTGGTAGGCCGGCACCTACTATTTGTTGGTTGGGTATAGTGTATATAGTTGTTGTTTCTTGGCGTACAGCGTATACATGAATATAAGCATACTGAGTTTTTCATTGACTTTTCCAAAGTAAAACTATTGATGGTACTTGATTCTCTGATAACCATTTTCATGTTTGTATTGTTTGCATCCTGCACCTTGTAAAGTATACAAATCCCACACGGACTCTCCGCGGAGGCTCCGAGATATTCGTTGCCTCCCCATGATCCGCATGCTGGGCTGATGGTCTGGAGTCTGGAGTCTGGGGATAAAGACCGGGGGAGGGCTCTGGTCTTATCAGCCGTCGGAGCCAGAATTTCTGAACTCTTCCCATCCTACCTTTCCACCGTTCGCGTGACCGAGGGGACAATGTCAATATCAACTAGAACACAAAACTAAAAATGCCCAAGCGCAGTCAGTACTCTAGCTGTGACGCCTGTCGCAAGTCAAAACGACGATGTGAACCCCAGTGGGAGACCAGTTCTTCATCTCAGGAGCGCAGTACGTGCAGTAATTGTTTGCGTCTACGATTGAACTGCACGTATCATTTTGCGACGTGCAAAACACAGGCAATCGAGAATCGAAAACAACAAAAAGAATCTCAGAAGCGACGTCTATCCAACGCAAATAGCTCCAGTAGCGCTATTTGGGGCCTTGAAAGCCTGCTTGATACGAGCAGCTCTCTTGATTTCAAAGACAATACTCTGCTTCCCCTGTTTCCAGAGATATCAGAGCCCTCTGGAAACTCGTTCAGTCTCTCTCCATTCGAATGTTTGGGAGATGAACTGATGATGGAGGACCAAAATCGTACCTGTCTTGATGACATTATGCCCCGAGACTCTACTACAACGGTCGACGAATATGAAGATCTATTTGATTTGTTACCTAGTGATATTCAATCCAACATCGAGGTAGAGCATGTGCCACTATCTCTAACGAAGTTCAGTGACGGAAGCTGGTCCTTTCAATCACTCACAAGTCCAGTGACCACTCTCAACCAGTCATACATATCCAGAATACTGCACGAGACCATGCACCGAATCTATAACAACATTATGTTTCTGTCCGTTTCGTCGTTTCTTGGCAGTGAATGTAATCCGTTTACTGATACAAGGTATTCGCTTGAAGAAAATGGAAATCAGGGGTCTATTTTCTGTAGAATATCTGACAGCGGCAAACATCTCCTGTCGCTACCGTCATGGTCTGAAAAGACTTCGTTATCCACACCTTCCTCTTTGATCCAGACAATGCTGGGTGCCGTGTCATTTCTAGATCACTTTGGAACTCTTTATGGGAATAAGTTGAGTAAGGAGGACCATCAACGTGCAGAGACTGCTCTGGGACACGCATTGCACGCGTTCTCAAGCCAGTGGATAACTGGAGGTATTAATCTGCGGTTGAACACACGTTCCGAGTCCCCGCCTCCGCTACAAACTGAGTGCTCCCATCAGGATATTCGGGCGTATTACTGGCATAAAGCCCGGTCTAGCCTGGCCGAGACAAAGCGGGTTAAGTGTTTCAAGATCGTATACGCCATGCTCCTTTTCAACATGACTACGCCCCCTGTGCCACTTGAGAAACCAAATCTCCTACCTAATGAACAACAAACCGATTTTTGGCAGGAATTCATTGCAATTTTGTGTCCCTTGCGAGTGAAGGTGTTGAAATATAGTGATAATCTAGGTTCTAGTTCTACCTACGCTGGGGCCCTAAGGGTTGGCCTTGGGATTATTAGCTGGCTAGCTTTCCTACGGGATACGATGAGATCTGCCATAAGTCTAAAACCGCCAATGTTCGACGATGTCTCGTTTGAATCTTACGGAGGTGTGTTTTCCACTCCTACAATTGATTGTTAGTCGACAAATATTAACATAACGATTAGAACTCTCGCATAAGTCGCAGTCCACATCGACGCACATCCCTATGGACACCGAAGACACGGCAATTTTCATGAAATGCAGCTCTGCAATTTCTCAGATGGTCTTCTTGTGGCGCCGACTCCATCCTGAACTTCATCCTAACCTCGGGAACTACGGTACAGAAAAGGAGCTAATATTCATAACTACTGTGGAAAGCCATGAAGATCGAATAAGAAGGTTCTTAAATGTAGCATCAGCGCTTGATGACTACGAGATGAAGTATAAAAGTCTGATGAGATACACGCTAGTTAACCACCAAGGGTTGTCCCCGCGGACAAAATTCTTTTCATGTGAGTTTTATTCTCTATCCCGCGAGTGGTGCGTCGCATATGCTGTTTACAGCTAACTTGAACTTCAATCCAGCTATCTGGATTATATTCTGGGGATACTGGGTTCTCCGCCACGCTGATGCGCTCGAACAAATGGCTCTATCTACGTCCACGACTTTCATGTCGAAAATTCAACAATTTAAATGGACTAGTGCCCAATCCATTGCTGCAATAACAAGCAGTGACATCTTGAATACACTGTCATCTCTCGAGTCATCACACTCGGAAGAATTGGTATCTTCAGCATCTGTAGATGACCTGTGGAGTGACCACCAGTCGACCCCTGTTATTTCCGCTCACGCAACATGTGGTATTGTTGTCAATGCCATCCAGAAGGCCATTGAGAGTTTGATTCACTTGTGGATTGAGACGGGTCCAAGACACCTACATGCCCCTTTTATGGGCTTAGGAATTGACAGTGATCCGCAGACTGTATGGTCACGGACGCTAAGTTCACTCTTGTCATCTTTGATTTCACTGCAGAAGGTTCCGAGCACATCGCAGATAGCTACCGCCAAAGCTGGCGAGCTGTTCCAGCAACATGGTGATTTGATTTCGGAGCACTGGGTGATGGAGTATTGAATAAATGACGTATGTTCTCCGTAGATAAACAATTAAATTACAACAAGTCACGTATTCAACAAGCCAGAGTCCACTGTTCAGGTTCACTAACATTTTTTTCTCATGGAAAGAGAAAGATTTCCATTAAAAATACTGTGATGGGGTGGAATAGCCGGCCTGCCTGGGTTGTTACTATTCATTAACATAATTTAACCTATGTTAAAACCATAACAATTGTTAGATAATCGGCATGATGATGCCTAATTTGCAACAGCTTATAACATTACCTGGAAACGCCACATATTAGTATGAGGGTGGAAATATAGGGGACATCGCTCTCACACAAACTTTATGTTGAAGGGCAAATAAGCGTACCCTTTTCTCGAATTTAATATACTATGTAATAGGTTCCATTTACAGACTTGCCAATGGTCCACCTGGCAACAGTAATTCTGCCTTCGCATTTCCAAGACATGCCTTTCCCGTTTCTGCTATAATAGCTTGAATCCAAACTCTTTGTGATCCCTCCCTCCAAAGTGAAACCCGCAGAGTTTGACCTGGCAGAACCGGTGACAGAAACCTCGCATTGAATTTCCTGTATGAACCAAACCTCTCCTGTATAATCCGACCCACGTAGCCCAGCGTGCATAGGCCATGGAGAATTGGTCGCTGAAAGCCTGCGTGTCGTGCCATGACAGGGTCGATGTGTACGGGATGTAGATCGGCATTTAGGCGATACAGGGCGGCCGCCTCAGTAGGAATTCGCTCCGTAACAACCAGATCTGGGGCTCTAGTACCACTTGGATCGTCCATTGCGGCCATCGATGACGACCGTCGCGTTGCTGCCAGCTCCATAGGAACGCCAGTGCCAGCACCACCGCGGACAAATATCGCCATTTCATTATAAAAGACCAACTCTCCAGTTTGTTCATTTCGGGTATTCAATTCAAAAAATGCATAAGCATTCTTTCCTTTATCCACAACATCAATCAGGCGGATATCAGTGACCATAGAAGCACTTCTCGGGATTGGAAACCGAGCTATTTCCAGGTACTGCTCTGCGTGTAGAAGATCCGCCGAAGAAACATTTGGAAACAAGTAATCCAGACCGTAGGGCGCTTGGTTCCCAAAGAGCGGAATGGATTGAAAGCCAGGGATTACGCCGAAGGTGGGGACTGCACAGAAGTCGGGAGCATTTTCATATACTAGGGATAAAGATTCCCAACGGGCTCCTACGCTGAGATCTGTTGGAAGAAGTATGTCACATCAGTGCTGGTGTCAGCTGACAATAAAATCGAAACAAGCTTACTATACAAGAGCACATCCTTCGGTGTGTAGGTGTACCGTACGCCTTTTGATTGCAAAGCTTTAGCCGCCGCAATGTTCTGTTTTGCCCCTACACATTGAGTTAGCCTTCAATCTGTGCCATGCGATGGTATATCCGAGTTACGGTTAATATCGAGATTGGCCGAGGAGCGCCGGACTGAATTTTCCATCTGAAAAGATGGAAGAGGAAATATTCGCTGTCTGGTTGCAGCAACCCAACCACATCCTTGCTCAAAGATGTAGTCACCAGTTGATGCAGGTGCTTTGTCACTCCCCAAGAGCGCTACAAGGGGACAGTTATATTCGGCCTTCAGGGACGGTGGAAGATTCCAACCTCGATTCATTGCATCTTGAGACCCTGCCACCGGAGCAATAGCGTAGGCGTGAATATTATGTGCCGCACCTTCACGAGCGAGTGCTTGTGTGAGGCCCACAATGCCCAGTTTAGCAGACGAATAGTTTGCCTGACCAAAAAACCCGTAGATACCACTTGTACTAGATGTGTTGATGATTCGACCGTAACCCTGACGGATAAAATACGGCCAAGCCGCCTTGGTCATCGCGTACGTCCCTTGCAAATGCACCAACATTACTGCATCCCATTTATCTTCGGTCAGCTTAAGAAACGTCTGATCGAGGAGGAACCCTGCATTGTTGACTAAAACATCTATTCGGCCGAAGTGGCGTATAGCCGCCTCAACGACACTGTTTGCAGCTTCGACAACCGAGTCACAGTTTGCTACAGCCTTGCCTCCCTGGTTGTTAATTTCGGCCACGACTTTTTCCGCGTTTTCTCGATTGAAGTCATTCACAAGGACATTTGCGCCGAGTTTGCTGAAGAGACGGGAATATGATGCACCGAGGCTGAGAGAGCAGCTCAACTTGTGTTCTGTGGTCGTTGAACCGGAAAGGGAGGAGAACTTACTTTCCACCAGCTCCCGTAATCACGACTMCCCTGCCGTTATATGAGATAGAATCGTTCGGTTCTTCGCAATGAGGGAGTGTCTTAGTTTTTTCGAGAATAGATATGAAATCATTGGCTTTGTCTGGATAAGTTGGATTCGAGAAGTCACGCACATGTGACCACTGCTTTAGAAGCGCCATGGGCGTGAAGGATGGGGAATCGGGATTCAAGAAAGATCCTTGAGAACGTTCCCATCGAATACAGGAAACACCCTTGCTAGTAGCTTCGAACAGTGACCCATTACTTGTGCTTGAAGATCGAGCAAGTTCTGCAATAAATGGCAGTCCTGATTCGATTGTCTCTGGGTGCAAACAATTAGCATATTTCGATTGCTAGTTTTCTCATTCCGGCGTCACTTTCGTACCGTCGACCAAGACCATGTTAACGCGCATGTTGTATTTCTTACCCTCTTTTGCAAGGGTTTGTACTAAGCCGTAAGCTGACATTGACGCAGCTATTCCCAGAAGACGTTAGGAACCGTTGCCTCTGGGTTATAACCGAAGGAAGCACAAAAATCAATACGTACTAGATTCAAGGAGACTCCCACTCCTCAAAGACTTTGCTGCGGCAACATGTATAATTGTTCCCCGGTTTTCTTTCCTAAATAAAGCCCACGCAGATTTCAAGGACTATGACTGGTTAAAAATCAAAGTGAATCTGCGCGGAACGCTCTCAGTCTTACCTTGAACCTTGATTTCTGGTGACAGCTCAGATGCTCTTGCCATTGATTGTCAGTAACTTGCGTAAACGGCTTCTCATTCTGGAATGCCATATCTGCCACGTTGATCAACGTATGGATAGTTCCGAACTTCTCATTCACTCGTGCCACAAATTTCTCCGTATTAGCGAGGTCTTCATGGCCAACGAGGACTCGGTCTCGGCCATTTTTGAGCGTATCAAGAGTCGCGGGTGCATTCGTTCCAATAACCTGAACAGCAATATTGACGCCTTGAGTAGCAAAGAACTGAATCAATGTACCAGCGGTGCTAACAGTAGAGCCAATAATTACGACTATTTGCCGTTGGATGTGTTGTTTTGAGGCCATACCGTGGTAAATTTGACCGGTTTGAATCAGTTTATTCGTCTGAACTATAGCCAACCGAAGACTATGTTTGAACTATACGTTATAGTTCGTATTTATAATCATATACTTGTAATGTAAAGATAAATATAGCATCAAACCATAGCAAGGTCGGAAGTGCGGATCCGACTGATAGAAAATCACCATTTTATTAGGGCTGCTGTTCTAAACGAAAAGAAACCCCACGGGTGTATCGGAGCCGGACGACACTGAACATGGATCGGGTCCGATACAAAGTAGGAGAGCAACTCCTCTCATATGAGCAATTGTGCACTCTCTCTACACTTATTCTAAATAAAAACAAGAGGTCATAACCGTACTAGGGTCACCACGAACTTAGCCTTATATTCAACACGATATTGTATCAGGGCCGACTTCTCTCCAATATGCCATTTAACACCGAGCTGACTCGACGATTAGGCATCAATAGTAAGATGGTGGATATACAATCAGATTGATTGGCGTTAATGAAACTATCTAGTTCCTGTCGTCCAGGGGGGAATGCAATGGGTCGGGTATGCAGAATTGGCGGCGGCCGTAAGCAACGCTGGAGGACTGGGATTGGTAAGCATATGACCCAAGCCTGGAGAATATGTGTCTTTCAGAGGTGTAATGGTGGCATTTAGATTACCGCTCTCACCCAACCTACGCCTGAAGACCTCCGTCAAGAAATCCGCAAGTGCCACGGCTTGACCAGCCATCCATTTGGAGTGAATCTCTCCATTCTTCCGGCGATCAATGCGCCAGACTACGATTCCTACGCGCGGGTTATTATCGAGGAAGGGATTAGAATTGTTGAAACTGCTGGGAACAATCCTGTGGCGGTGGTCCAGCAACTCAAGGACTCCAACATTATTGTAATTCACAAATGTACAAGTGTGCGTCATGCGCTAAGTGCTGCCAAAATGGGAGTGGACTTCGTGTCTATCGACGGATTCGAGTGTGCCGGTCACGTTGGAGAGTCCGATGTCACGAACATGGTGCTTCTGAATAAGGCACGCACACAGCTGCACATCCCGTACATAGCGTCTGGAGGATTTGCGGATGGGTACGGACTTGCTGCCGCATTATGTCTGGGAGCACAAGGTGTGAATATGGGCACACGGTTCATGGCAACGATTGATGCACCAATACATTACAACGTAAAGAAGGCTATTGTGGACGCCGAAGAAACAGATACAATTCTCGTGCTCCGGAAATGGCGGAATACGATGCGATTGTACAAGAACAAGATTGCATCGGAGGCAATGAGGGTGGAAATAGAAAATACCAGCGGCAAGTTCGACGAAATGGCTCCATTGGTGACAGGGAAACGAGCAAAAGAGGTATTTGCAAATGGTGACACGGAATATGGAGTATGGAGCATTGGCCAGGTAGCAGGATTGATTTACGACATCCCGACCTGTAGGGAACTCCTCGCTCGCATGGAGAGAGAGGCAATCACAGTCCTGACTCAAGCGAATGTGGCATTTACACCCAAGGCCCATGTTTGATAAATTATAGTTGCACATAACAATCGTTGCAAATTCTCTTGATACCTTTCGAATTTAAATCTCCCAGAAGTACACCTCGATATCGCCCGGAATATCCAATTATATTACACGCTAGCGGGACTTCTTAGATTTGATATTAATTAAAAATAGAAATAAGTAACTATTATCTAGGATAAAAGAGGATCCATGGGATATTCGAGAGTGACTTCGAAGAGTTGTCTAGGAACCCCGTAATTACATACATAACACAAACAAAGGCAGAGGAAGAAGGAAACCAATAGGACGCAGCTGTAACTGCTCAACTTTTCTCGACAATGAATAATCGGCAAGATGACCACTGTTCAGTTTGACACCTTCCACTAATCATACTCCAATTTCATTCTCACTTGAAGCGAACGGAAATATATTGTCACTACATGCCGTCAACGGCGGCTGTTCAGTGACATAAATGTAGCCAATGGTCCTAGACGGAGTAGGCGGCTATTGCTGTGTCGAAATCAGTGGAAAGCTGAGCTTGCACTGCGACAGCCGCGGCTTTTAGAAGAATGGGCTCGCTTGCTATCAAAGCGTTGGCGAAAGTGTAGAAGACCGTGTTAAGAGATTGGAGATCTTTCAGAACCAGAGCGGTGCCCCCTGGAATAGCTGCCCAAGAAGGCTCTTGAGCTTCAATAGCAACCAAAGTATCCGAGAGCGAAGGGAGCAGCTCTTGGACAGCGGCAAGAATAGAGGTTCCAGATAAAGTGCCGAAGGACCCGGCTGCTTTGATATCGCTAATTGCATGATTTATGACAACAATAAGATTCCCAAAATCGCTGTTAATATTTTCTGCTCCGGTTGAACCACTAGCAGGGAAACCATTGACGTCGCTGTTAAGGGTTGCAATTTGCGGGCCGATTTGTTGCGTTATATCATTCTCAACCGTAGCGGCATCGCGGCGGAGGATAGGTGTGGCAGCAGCAGTCAATGCCAGAACGAGAAGTTTAGCAAAAAGTACCATCTTGGTTTCGTTTTGGTAAGAGTTATTGGAGCATAATAATGGATTAAGAGAGCCGAAAAAGCGAGCCCTTGCGCACTATATATATTGCAACAGTCGAATAAAGGTAACACCGGGGTATGAGACAGGTGATCGTAACTCATTCAGCACAGCTAGGCTTATTCTGCAAATGCAAATTTGCCTAACACGAGCTACGCTTTGTCGCAGATGAAGAGAGAAGCATTCTCCACTACTACTTCTTTCCGCAAGATGCTGGCATAAACTCAGAACTAGCACAAGACCCTACCGCATTGGTCAAGCCTCTGCGGGCGGATATCGCGAGCTAATGAAGTTTAGATTCCAGGAGTCTTAGATACGGCCGTCTAAGACTACTGGAATCTAGCTTCGATAGGGCAATAGGTGGGCCATTCTGTCGATGTTTTGTACCGGTGCAGTTGAGTCGGACAACCGCCTGGGGAAGATCATTTAATTAGAGCGCTTCTATGACTAGTGAACTAGATAGTGAAGAGTAGCACGAGTGGATCGATGATTCTGACTATCGACAGTATGCGGGTAGGGTCTTGGGCACTCTTAACCTAGCTAGGTCGTCTAAAAGATAATAAATGTCGTGAGCCCTGAGAGAAGTGTATGGTGGATCCCTTGGTTCAGTCCCCGAAGGATTCGCTTTCTCGATTTTCGCCCTGTCGCATTTTTGAGGCTTTTTCGGACACGCGGGACGATCACAGATCGACCCAACCTTTCGCAGCCATCATCTACTTTTCCCGAATCAAATTCGCTACACCTAGACCGCTATTTGCGGTGCGACAAAATAATCAAGAGAGAAGTCTCCTATTCCGGATATTGAATCATGGACGATTCTTCATCTACATCTAAGGTAGATACTTGATTGAATGTACCCTCTTTGGCAAGATCGGATCGGGAGACACCAGGTTACTTTATTTTACACTAAAATAATCTCTATTCTGGTGAAATGGGGTCACGGACCTGGATCCACCTTAGTTGAACAGCGTTGTGTCGAGGTACGCCAGGCTTGGTTGAACCACATAAAGGTTCCTGGGATTGTCGTCAATACAGCAGGCTAAGTAAATAGAATAACAATAGTCAAATTCGTGTATAGAAGTCTTAACATAATTAAGGAAGAGATCCCCTATATAGCCTAGTATCTATACAAGTATAAATGCCATGCTGACTCTCACTATCGTTTTCACGTAACTTATATTAAAAAGCTATTACTAACTAAATACATAATAAACAAATATGTTTATATGCCTCCTCTCTTGGGATATACGACTGATCAACGTATTGGAAAGACTGTGCTGACGCTTTCTCATTCTGGTGGACTTATTTTTCTTGTTGGTGTGAGCCAACCAGTTACGAGAAATGAGCTTGTTTAGGATCCTTGATGTACAACAAGTAGGGGTTGTGCATGCCCGGTTCAGGCGCAAACAGTAGGACATGACAGCGGCAGTAAGTCCATCTGACTTATGTAGTTAACTCGTCGTCTGTGTGTAATCTGTTTTGGTGTGTTTTATATACCACTATCATTAGAATGTAAAACAAGATATAGTTTGATTCTATACCGGACTTATAGGTTTTATTTTAGTATATATAAAATGAGATACAGTTTGATTGCACCTAAAGTGACGGCCACCACGACCTCCTTCCTCTCTCGTTAGTCAACAAGATATTCTCAGACCCTAAATGTTCGGCAACAAACCCCAATCGATCAAACCCCCAAAAAGTGTCCCGCTTGCCGCTGGAGCTGGTGGCTATAATCCAAGGTAATCCAAACGATCCAGAGTCGAAGCATTCTTTGGTATTCTTTCGCAGTAGGTTTTTCACCTCGATACAATCGATTTGGGCCATAACATCCGCAGTTATTTCCTTCCCCAGAGCATTTTCGAGAATCGGTATCATTGCATTTAGATCCTGGACCGACTTACAGTCGACCCAAAACGCCGTGAAAAGCGCTCTCATAGCAGAACGAAGAAGCACCGTGTCCGACGAGATTGCTGCAAGTGCACGCTGAACCTATCTAGAGAGTTATTCCATGTACTGCAACGAGGTTACCTTGGTGAAATACCTTAATGGTCGAAGCTAAGGGCCACCCGTTCGGTAAATCTGTGGACATCGGGATACCACAACGCCGCGCCCATTCAAGGCGTTCCCTTTCTAACCAGCGACGTTTATCTGTAATTTATTATTCAAACTGTTAGAAAGGTTCCATATCCCAAAATAACAAGGTGACGTGACTTGCTAGTGACTCGCCATGGTGCTGATGAGCTATTTAGTGAAACTAAGCCTCCTATGGCGACGGGTACATAGGTAATATTGCACTCTCTAAACGTCGGCGATGACTGTAATCCCAACATGTCATGTTTAGAAGTGTTAGTTGAGAAAACAGGAAGCAGGTACGCACCTCGAGCACATGGAAGACCATGTACGAGAAGGGACTTTGCAAGTCAAAGTACAAGGTTATCGTGCCACGCGTCATTCTATTCTCTCTGCTTCTAAGATGCTTCCAAGTTGAAGAGTCTGCTCGAAATTATTTCCCTCCTATGTCCTATGTCCCATGTCCAATGTCCAATGTCCTGTGTTGTGCTCTGAACGCAAGGCTTCGCGGAACCAGGTGCCGGCTCCGAATCTGCATCGGCTCCGAATCTCAGTGTTAGCATGGGGCGGTACTGTAAGAACTATTCACACAGTTTTGCCCTAATGAATGGGACCTAGTAAAACTGAACAAACAATTTCACCAATAAATAATGGTTTCGAGACATTTACTGGTTTATTTTGGCATCACAGAGTAACGACTTTGTATGCTTCCTTGTTTCCACATCGATTACCATGGCCAAGGGACGTTCCTTCATTATTGGGGTCGGTATGACAAAGTTTGTCAAACCAACTTCAGAGGTTGATTACCCAAAAATGGGCCGCGAAGCTATTACCAAGGCCCTCCTAGACGCCCACATCACGTACAATGAGGTTCAGCAGGCAGTGGCAAGCTACTGCTACGGTGACAGCACTTGCGGTCAACGGGTGCTGTATCAGCTCGGCATGACCCAGATCCCAATCTACAACGTCAACAATAACTGTGCATCGGGATCGTCCGCCATTGTGCTAGCTCGGAATTTGGTCAGTCACGGTGCGGCTGGCTGCGTACTCGTTGTCGGTTTTGAAAAGATGTCTACTGGCAGTCTCGGCGCCAATTTCCATGACCGTGCTGATCCGTTGGGTCCAGTGGCGGCGATGTCATCTCGGATCAACCGAAACTATGATGGTGTTTCGGATCAAGTACCGTTTGCTATACGGATGTTTGGTGACGCTGCGCGGGAATATATGCAGCTATATGGCGCGGAGTCTGATGATTTTGCGGAGATTGCACGAGTTAATCATGCCCATTCAAGAAACAACCCGTACGCGCAATTTAGGGATGTCTATTCTATGGAGGAGATCAAAGGCTCACCCACGATATATGCGCCTCTGACCAAGTTGCAATGTTGCCCGACAAGTAATGGGGCCAGTGCTGCAGTTGTGGTTTCGGAGTCATTTTTGAGCTCCCATCCGCAGCTATGGCCTCAGGCTGTTGAAATTATCGGGCAGAGTATAGTGACCGACTCTCCGGCCACATATAACGGATCGGCGATGAACGCAGTGGGCTACGAGATGTCCAAGAAAGCGGGTGCCAATGCCTTGCGCGAGGGTGGCGTGTCAATTACCGACGTGAAGATAGTTGAACTCCATGACTGTTTCTCCAGCAGTGAGATGATTACACTGGATGCGCTTGGTCTCGCATCTCATGGAAAGGCACACGAGTACGTGCGTCGAGGGGGCCTGACATTTGGAAGCGGAGCGGCCATCATCAACCCGTCGGGGGGTCTTCTCTCCAAAGGGCATCCACTAGGTGCGACGGGCATCGCACAATGTGCCGAGCTTGTTTGGCATCTTCGAGGCTGGGCAAATAATAGGTACATACCATTGAAATCGAATGAGGTGACTCTACAACATAATGTTGGGCTTGGAGGGGCTGGAGTCGTGACTATTCTACGTCGAGCAGATTGTAAACCAAACACCAAGATGACAGACAAGGAGGTGGCAGAAATAACAGGCATAGGATATAATCCAGCCACCGAAGCAAGACCCCTTACCGTGGAGCAGGCACAGAAGGTTCGGGCTCTTGAGAGGAGTGATTGGATGTTTCGATATAAGCAAGAGGGCAGCGCGAGACCTAATATCTGAAACTTGCTAGGCACGGCCGCGGAGTAAGCGTAGGCACCGTTTAGTATTGTTATATTTATATTGAATATTTGAATTATAGAATTGCAAACGGTGAGCTTTCCCAATAGCATAAAACATCAGCCAATTGTAGGCTTCATACCTCGCACTGGCGTGCTAGAGTATAAGGATTTTGAACTGCAATTTAAGAATATATTATAGAATGTCAAAACAAAGTAGTCTCTAATCATACATTTCCCATCGGGCTCGCATAGACAAAGGACAAAAGTTTTTCAAACAGGTCTTCGTCGTCATGGACCAGCCGCGAAGAATTACAACTCATGCTTCCTGTCGTTAACAGATCACATGAAATTCGATGATGAGTATCGATCCGGTGCTCTATGTAAAACTTGACTTGAATCGAGTCTGATTGACTCGTTCGGTCATGCTTAACACTGAGCTGGGAGATGTTGCTATCCGCGGGAATGAGGACTCGCAATTTATAGCGCGAGAGGTCGCCAATGGATAGGTTAATTGGAATAGAAGACTTAAGCGGCATATCTTCAACAGCAGTATTGAGACTCAATTCAGAAGGGGAGTCAACAGGTATGGACGTTTCTTGTTGCTTTCCTCCTTGGGAACGGGAGAAAAGCAGTTCGTCGGAATGGGAACTACAGCACGGCCCAGTCCAGGAGTCAGAGGGGGTTGTGTTCACCATTGACAGCTTTCTGTCCGTGCTTTGTATCTCATCATGAGAACCACTCCTAGGTACAAACTCCAAAGTTATTTGCGATGTTTGCTGTGGTGGTAGTGGCTCSGGKGGKGATTGATCCTGTTGTTTCCGGCTGGACTGACTGAAACACTCTTGATGGGTTGTCGACTGGGAATATTGACAGATCCGCGCCTCATCCGCTTTGTCTAATTCCCCAGATGACTTGTGTCTCTTTCGAGGCCCTATTAAGCATCTCTCTCCATCTAAGCGACAGTTCGTACAGACAGAATCCTGGCTGTTGGTCATATCACACCGTACCTTGCGAGTACGACAGCGCCAACAGGCTATCGGTGCTCGCTTTCGACAGTAATTTGTCTCTCGGCGCTGATTTCTGATGGTATACATAGTACCATTAATAGTGTCATCCATAAGAGGGCTTGGAATAGATGGTTTTGGTTTTGTGGTTTCCATCTTTCTGATCAGAGTCATGCTCTATACACAATGATGGCTTCCAATATAAGGTTTCTAAATATTTGTAATTGAAAATAATACTATCTGGTGTAGTTTGCTTTGACGTTCGCTTAGCTGATGAGAGGTTGGGCGCTCTCCGACCCTGCGGCTCCGCAAAGAACAGGTCGGAACCGATGTAGCTTGAAGTCCGAAGCTGAGCAATAAACCAGGGGTATTTCATGTTCAGGTGGAGAAATATTTGCTTATACAAATGTCACGTAGTTTAACGTTCCTCTTGACTCAATACTTCGTAATCAGCAGTTTCGAAACTAATTAACATGGCCCCGTCAACGTCTCAACTGGCACAGCCTAGTCGTTCAAGGTGGACCGTCACCATTCCCTCCATCTCAGTACCAGAAATGATATTTCAGTCTGCTGCTGGATCTGTACCTCAATGTCTCCTCTATATTGATGCGGCAGCTCCAAACACGTTTCAGGTGACTTTTCATTCGCTTCGAGAATGGTCGAAGCGCCTCGCCGGTGGGTTGAGACGGCGTGGGCTGCAAAAAGGAGATCGAGTTTTGCTCGTCTCTCGGAACACGATATTTCTACCCATCATCATCATGGGCATCATGATGGCAGGCGGCATTTACGTTCCAGCGAATCCACGGTCCGTTCCTAGAGAGCTACTGACTCAGATGCAGGACGCTACTCCTCGCTTTGTGCTCACTGAGGAGGCTTTCGTGAATACCGTGCTTAGTGTACTCGAATCCGATCAGGTCCAGTCTCTAGGGAGAGATGATATTTTTGTCCTACAACGCAGCTTTGACGAGTCGAAAGGAGAGGCGGCGCCCGAGGGGTTCAAACATTGGTTTTCAATCCTATTACCCATAGAGGAAGCTGCTAGTTTTGACTGGAAAACAGTTGAGAATCCTGTTGGACCAGATGATACAGCCATGTTACTCTATTCATCAGGGACGACAGGGCTTCCCAAAGGGGTGGAAGTAACCCATTTCAACCTTGTAGCAAATGCATTGCAAATGTCTCACATGTGGGATCTTGATCCAAGGAATAGAGATCCCCAGATGCAAACGCAAGAATACCAGTCCCGATGGCTTTGCTGTCTTCCTATGTATCATGGCCTGGCCACTGTCGTTTATCTCACAGTTGCTCCTCTACGACGAACCCCAACATACATCATGCGTGATTATGAGATAAATAACATGTTAAGGTACATTCAAGAGTTTCGTGTAACCAACTTGTTAATGGTACCTCCAATACTGGTTGCTATGTCCAAGAATACAGAAGCTCGCCGTGGTCATTTCGATCTCAATAGCGTTCGGGAAGTCATTTGTGGGGCGGCTCCTCTAGGGCGAGAACAAGCTGCAACACTTGAGCAGTTATGGCCAAAAGGACATGTGAATGTGAAACAAGCATTTGGGATGACCGAGTAAAATTTCCGCTCTGACATGAATAGTCTGGCCTTCTTAGCTGACTGATATAGAATGTCTGGACTGCCTATCATGTGGGACCCTACCCTGTATTCCGATTCGGCGGCTGTTGGTGAGCTGGTGCCAAATTGCGAAGCAAAAATAATGTATGAGGATGGGCTGAGAGCCCTGCCAGATGGTCAAAGAGGGGAGCTCTGGTGCCGAGGTCCTAGCATGATGAAGGGATATTGGAACAATCCGACGGCTACCAAGAACACGATTGTCGAGGGAGGTTGGTTGAAGACGGGAGATATCGCCATTCGAGATGCTGAGGGCAGGTACTATATTGTGGATCGGAAGAAAGAATTTATCAAGGTTAAAGGCGTGCAAGTAGCACCCGCTGAGCTGGAAGCACTGCTCCTGGAACATCCGCAAATTCATGATGCGGCTGTAGTGGGAGTGAAGATGTAAGTAGTCAGAAAATAATCCGGGCATGACAGGATGACATACTAACTGCAAGGAATCGGCTATCGTATTTAGGGAGGACACTGAAGTCCCACGGGCATACATTGTTCGTCGCCAAGACTCCACCGTCTCTGTTCAGGATATACTAGATTTCATGGCCCCAAAGACTTCTAAAATAAAAAGGCTCCAAGGTGGAATCAGATTTGTGGACACTATCCCACGGAATCCGGTTGGTAACGTCCTCAGCTCCCGCATGTCGTTACTGACTCCTCCAGTCAGGGAAGATCCTCCGTAATGTTCTCCGTGCACGGGTGGCCACAGAACGCAACTCCGCTATTGTTCAGGCCAAGATCTGAAGGAGGTCCTGTGACAGTGGTATCAACAGCTGGCAAAGCGCCATCGCTGGTTGGGAAGGCTTATTTCCTATCCATTTGTAACCTATACATTTGTAACACGGATAAGTTCAGGGAGCGTGATATTGCCAAATCCGGCAAGACCGGGGATTTCCAAGATATCTCCGAGGTCAATTATAATATACCATCATTGATGATTGAAGCCATAAGACTCCGGATAAATGATATATAGTGTACCTACACCAAAGGGTAGATGTAATATAGTTGCCCCAGCAGTGTTTACTGTGTAGTATATAGTCGACTACGTATTGGATTGGCTTGGCAAATGAACTKACGGGAACGGAGTGGGTCCAGACCCAAAGGACCTCTCAGCTTGGTCGCGATGTCGCCCATTAGGATCGGTGACATCGTCATGGTTGATTTCATGCACACTACATACAACATAGTATCGGGAACACCGATCTGGCTGCCATCCCCTCCCATTCTGCAATAACTTTTTTCTCAAGAGTTCTGTCGAGTCACTGTACATCTAGCACCCAGCTCACTCGCACGGTGATTTATCCAGCGCGCTCACTTCATCCCGACCCAGCCCCGCCTCGTGCGGAAGCACAGCACCATGGCATCGCACGACGACGATTTCGACAGTGTCTCATGGCGAAACGACCCTAGCAGCGACGCATCGCGACCGACAACTTCCGGTACAGATGCCGATGACTCCGCTCAGCCGCATCGCGACACCAATGGAAAGCGCAGGATGAGTGTTGCTCAGGACGAACCCCAGGCAGGACCGTTGGCCGATGCAGTTGACCTCGCTGGGATCGGAGACGGCATGCTCGAGTGTTCCGTCGATGCTCCTTTGAAAGAAAACGATGGTACAAAGGATGCCTACATCTCGTACCTCGTCACAACTCACGTAGGTTACTTGAGTCAATAGTAGAATCCGCTGCTTACAAACAAAAACAGACAGACTTCAAGACCTTCCAGAAAACAGACTTCACAGTCCGCCGCCGATTCCGTGACTTTTTCTTTCTCTACAAAACCCTATACCGAGAATATCCTGCCTGTGCAGTACCACCGCTACCCGACAAACACAAAGTAGAAAGCTATGTCACCGGCGACAGATTCGGGCCGGACTTTACGCAACGCCGAGCATGGTCGCTACATAGGTTTATCAAGCGGTTGACACTACACCCGGTGCTACGACGCGCGCCGTTGCTCGCTATTTTTCTAGAGTCGCCTGACTGGAATGCGCATATGAGGTTGCATGGAGGTCGGACCTCGACTAGCACAACGGACTCTTCGGGTGGTATTTTTGATAATTTTGCCGACACCTTTGTCAATGCATTCACAAAAGTCCACAAGCCCGATCGACGATTCATCGAAGTGCGAGAAAAGGCCGACAAATTGGATGAAGACCTCAACCATGTGGAGAAGATAGTTGCCCGGGTTGCCCGCCGCGAGGCAGACCTTGAAGCAGATTACGTGGATTTGGCGACACAGTTCCGCAAATTGGTGCCGTTAGAACCAGAGGTCGAAATGCCGTTGCAGGTATTCGCAGCCTCTGTGGATGAGACGTCGCGCGGGTTGAAGGGACTCAAAGATCATACAGACCAAAACTACCTCGGCTCGCTGCGAGATATGGAGGCATATATACTATCGGTGAAATCGCTCCTCAAAACACGAGAGCAAAAGCAACTCGACTTTGAGGCGTTGGTTGAATACCGAAACAAAGCCGTGTCCGATAGAGACTCGCTCGTGAACAATCCGTCCTCAGCCTATGCGTCGAATCCGCTTACATCATCACCGGCATCATTCATTCGGTCAAAGATGGAAGACATGCGCGGCGTCGACCACGAACAATCCCGCCGCGAACGAATACGCAAACTTGAACTCCGTATCGATGAATTGACCCGCGAAGTCGACTCTGCAAAGACGACTTCCGAAATGTTCGACGAGGAAGTCGTGCGCGAAGTCGCAGACTTTGAGCGCATCAAAGCTGTTGAGTTCCGGGACTCCTTGGGTGCTCTGGCCGAGAATCATATTGAGTTTTACCAGGGGGTGATTAATACCTGGGAACGCTTCATATCGGAAATGGACAGCGAATATGGCGGTGGCGATGATCAGTTCCGGACAAGAAGTGAGGTTGTATCCTGATCGTTCCTGCGATCTTTTGTCAATTTGGCAGAGAACTAATATTAATATATTTTTTTATTGTTATGTATTATCTCTTTATGATATACTGGTGTTACTGATGTCGTAAATGCCATTTCTCATCTCATGGCTTTCCCTTTCCTGGTAGGTACTGTTTTGCCAAACTCTCGTAGCTTCATTTCGCGCCATCATCCCCATCATCCGCAAATCTATAGACATCGACATCCAACTCCAGCGGCCCCGACAACACAGCCGGATTCCGCGCTCTTAGGCTTCGTTCCTTTGCTCGTTCCTATCCCTATCAGCCAGCACCCTAAATCGTCTGCGGTAGAAAGAGTGGGTGAAGGGAATAAGCATACCTCTTCATAAACCTGACTAGCTGTCTTTTCGACACTATTGCTTTCGCCGGCTAGAAGTTCGAGGTATGTTTCGTGGTCGTATTGGATTGTCGAGGTTGAGGTTTTGCCGTGGGGTGGTTGTGTTGTCGCTGAGGCCGTTGGCGATGTTGGGGATGGTGATGCATTCTTGGAGGAGGGTTGGGCGAAGTTTGGGTGGACGATAGGTTTATCCATTACTCCTCCTGAGTTACCAGACAGACAGACTTGGGAAGAATCAAGATCAATTAATTTGGACAGAGAGTCCTGACTTAGTTCTCGGGAGTCCGCCTGACGGGGGCCGGATCTTATACCTAATAACCTATGTAGGTAATCAACAAGTATATGACTTCCTGATGTGCGCCCCCAGCCGTTCCCTCAAAATTAAAAATGAAGCAACAAAAGACAGATAATGCGAAACCGCTAGTTTTCTCCCAATATGATAATCCATTCCCTTCCTGGGCATACGGCTGACTGGGGCGAATATGCAACAAACCCGGAAATGTGGCTGTGTACAAGGTCCCTGCAGGCATGATGCATCGTAGAACACGAATGGAAGGTCTCACCGTTTATTTTGAAGTCTATATATAGAAGATATGGTGCTTCGTCAGTCGGGTACGTAATCATATAAATAACTAGGTGAGTCCTTTTCGGCAGTTATACCTACATGCATCGATGTACGTACGTACGTACATCGCCATGACGCCTGTTTTAGTGCATACATGTGAAATGACTGCAAGTCGACACACTTTGACGTTTTACATGCATGCATTGATATCATGAATATTAAATATGGGCATTCGAAAGTCTTGATAAGTAGATACAATACAAGTATGGAAATCAGAACCCCCCAAATTAGGGTTAGGTCCCAACCCTCATAGCCCTGATACAAATGTACAGATCAAGCAGCTTTATGCACTACTTGGGGAACCTGAATCTGATCACTCCTTGTGACGGCGCCAGTCTCAATCTGTATCGGCCCATCATTCGGCTTATAAGCCACTTTCCGTCCACAATTCCCGCATCTGTGCTCGATGTTCTGATACCATCCCAAACAGCTGGGGAGACAGACAGTGATTATGCCGCAGCATAGACAGCACAAAATCGCCGCGATCCTGTTCCACAGTCAGTGCCGTGCATAGAATAGAGCTGAGCCAGGAAATAATGTGGGGAAGTACGTGGTCTGGGAAGAATCAGTCTTTTGCACTGTCGTTAGAGATATGGCGTTGCAAAAGGGACAGTTTATGTGTGCGGGCGCTTCGCCGAGGCGTTCGAGGGGCGTGACTGCTATTCTGATGCGGGATGGATCGTAGCCGGGGTATGGATTATTGTTGGCAATGAAGGTTGTTGGTTTGTCACTGTCGTTGTATGGAGGAGGTACTGGTCTGGATCAACAGTTAGTATTTACGCTTCGTTGATTTCGGGGAATGAGAAAACTCACCCGTCCGAGTTGACGGGCAGGTCGGGCTCGATCGTGTGGGTATCCGGTACAGGATTGATATTCTCTGGTTGCTCGTATTTGACAGCATTGATAGATTGATCATTAGACGTGCTGCCGTGCATCTCTCTCACTGTCTCCGGAGCAGTTGAAGGCGCATTTTTTGACTCGTCCATTGTGACTGATGCGTTCTCTATTGTTTCCTTTTTTTACTTGCATAAGGTTTTTTTGTTCATGGGGTTGAACTTTGGAGAACTTCTGAAGACCTAGAGATTCTTATAATTACGCACGTATTCTAGTAGTGTGGTAGTACAAGGCTGTCTTCAGGGGCTAGATTCGAGACAAAAGTCAAGACTCAGCCACTCAGATCATTCCATTAGCCCCTTCCACTTTTAAGAATGCCGTTTTACCTATTCTATAGAACAAAGAATTTCAAATACAGGCCAATGATAGAGGTCGTACGAACACGCAATCCATCCTGGATGGCTATTCGCATTCTACTCCATAAAGATCGACGGGGCTGAAGCACTTCGGCGAGTATTTGAGATGACTTGATGATGATGCTCATTCATCTATAATATGCATGTTACGCATTGAATTAAGGGCTGTGTGATTATATCCTTGTAGTAATTGTTATTACAGGCTCATGAGGTGAAAGCCAATGGTCATTAGGGTTTGGGATGTACCCCACAGTCTTGACTGCTATAGCCTTAATTCATCGTGCCACTGTCAGACAACATCATATTTCAACCATATGCATGCATCCAGTCTCGTTTCCACTGGTCCACGGATTTATGCATGCCTCCATGACCTGTCATATTCGTTTCTGGGAGTTTACTATATAGGTGGTAATGACTCTTCCTAACGTTGGAAGTACTTCAGAAGTCAAACTTTTTTTCAATCTGCTTATTCGAATTACAAAGTAACAAAATGGATGAACTTGCTCCGCAGATCAAAGACTCGGCCACGGCACAGCCTGAGCAATCAGTAGCCATTTCGAGAAAAAGCTTGTATCTGAAGTAAGCCAAGGTTACGCGTTCTTTTTTTGTTTCCGAAGAGAAGTACTAAATTTCCAAGGGCCTTACAAAGTGAACGCATTCAGGTTCTTGTCGGCCCCCAACAACAAAGCTTTCAAGTTCCCAGAGACCTTTTGTTCAAATGCTCTCCAGTTTTCAACGCCATGTGCAATTCTTCCTTCAAGGAGTCTATCGATGGCTGTATCAAGCTTCCCGAAGTTGACGTGACAACATTTGAAGACTTTATGCTATGGCTTCATTGTTATACTCCTTCTCAGACAATACAGAAGGAATTTCCCGCTGTATTAGAACTTGCCATATTCGCTGATATGTATAAAATATTGCCTTTGCAAAACCAAACTTCGGATATCATTCTGCAATTGTTACTTGATGATCGGTCTGTCATTACCTCGGACATCATATCTCAAATCTATGAGTCTACACCAGACGGTTCGGTGCTCAGGAGACATTTTTGTTTGGCGTTTTGCACGCTTCACGATCCATCTTTCCGAAATCAAAACTCCAGTAAAGATGAGACGTCGTCAGATTGGAAAGCCGTTTTTGATGCATTTCCTAATTTTGGTCGTGATTTCTTCATCTACACTCGGAGTTCTCCGGAGACTGAATTCCAGAATAAAGATTTTTGCTCTTTTCATGACCATGGAAATATGATTGACTGGGTTCGTCAAGACAAGGGAAAACCTTGTCCATATCAAGTAGGAGATTGGTTCGAAAATGAAGTCATCACGGAGAAATTGAGAGAAGCGGAGAAATTGACGAAGGAGAGGGAGAAAGAAGCGCTGGCAAGGATTCGTAAGAAATTTGGTACCTTCCATTAGTGAGTGAAACAGAAAGAATAACCACCACCCTTTAACATTTTTGTTGACGTGGGAAAGTTTGTAAGAAGGGAAGAAATATTGCTTGATTGTGTTATCTAACTTATTTCTGTACTGGCTGTGGGCAACGCTCACTATTTATGCTTGTAGCCACATACCAATACTTCTAATCTAAAAATATCAATTTCTTGCAACTCCAACATAAAGCAATTTAGTCAAAGAGTTGTATCAAATATCAAACCTGCCTTTGTATATGAAGCAATCTGTACAAAGGCGGAAACGTATGGCAGAAATAACACAAAGATTATTTATGCCAACAATTTTGTTGAGATATTAGCCGTTCTTTGGCACAGGAAGTTGGTTTGATGTACTAGGCGGCTAGTCGGGCCTATTTCTCCCCCGCATAGCGGGTATCTCAACGACACGTACCAGTCAAACAGTCGGAACGATGAATAGAGAAAGCCGTAATGACCGTAAAACACCGAGGGTACTGAATGCCTTGCTTCCGTAATTCCTTGCTCTTTACTAAGAAGCTCATTCCGCGTCACGACAATTTTGGGCATTGGCATGTAAGTCATAACAAGATGGTTTCCGCTAACCATGATGTCTGCTCGTTTCTCGCAGGAACTACAATCGAATTGGACCAGACTGATACTCAGGACACCGATTCCCGGTAGGTCCTTAGGTACTTCATCCTTCTACGCCTCATTTATTTGAGAATTGCTTTTGTGCAATACTATCACTATCTATGTACCGACCCATGTAAGTTATTACACATCAATTGGACAATATTTTTGGTCCCTGGAGGACCTCCAGACACCAAAACACAAGCAATATACAACTTTCTTCTCATTCGAATGTGGAATAACAGTACTGCCTAGGTCAGTGAAGAAAATTCCCAGTTGTTTACAATAGTCCTTTGAACAMCCCTGACTAGCCACAACATGACCAGTCGGTTAGGGCTAATTACCTAATATAGTAATTTAAATAACATCTTCACCATTGCTTTCTCCATTTTTGCCGCCAAGTTGTGTTGCCCCTCTACCTTCCCAAAGCAGAAGCACGTCACGAAGAGACAAAGCTTTTATCTCCCTTAGCCTCTATTTATTCGCCTTCTCCCGTCTTCTCTTCCTCTTCCCTTACCCTTCCTTTCCGTCCCCATTCAACTTCTACATCACCATCCCCTTTTCTTCAACCCATCTCGACCACTTTAACTCATTCTCTCTCTCTCTCTCTCTCTCTCTCTCTCTGCTTCTATTCCATCTACGAGTTTCACCAACATGTTGGTTTTGATCTTGAAAACCAGAAAAAAGACCGCTGCACCAAAGACTAGTCCCTATTAGACGGATGCTATATTTCAATGGCCTGCGTGCCTGCCGATCCAGCATGAGAATGTAGGACAACAATGACCCTGTCATGACTGTCAAGAAGTTGCAATTCCTGCCTCTCTATCTGATCAACGTCGGTTTGTATGCCTATAAAGTCGATAGGTGCATTCGTATTGGGGAGATTGATGGCGTTTGTTTTCATAGCCCTGAATTTGAGGGAAAGATACTAAGAGATCCCATGAAGCTCAAGTATTCCATGCACTGTAGACTAGCAGAATTACTGAACGTGTGTTCTTGTCCATCTTCTGGCGGCCTATCTTCCCATAGTGGGCAACGCTGCACCCTGGCCGGTGAAAATGAAAGCTACCTTCTCAACTGGTGTAGAGCTTGACCTGAACCTGAAATTTTCGCCATTCATATCCTTGGCTACAGCCTGCTCGGTAGTAATGATGAAGCCCTTGGTACTTAAAACGCTGCGCTTATTGTTAAGTGTGTACCCCTTGTTTGGCGAAAGTACGAGTTGGGCCGATGGGTGTGAGGGACATTCATAACTGTAGATAGTGCTCCCCTACCCACTGCCATAACAATGGAATCACATTCTCGTACCGACAGCTCAATGGCCGAGTAGCTCATTTCTTCCAAATCGGGAAATGGTAATTAGGGTTTCCGCTTGAAGCCAATCAGGAGCAACCGCCTCCGGAGTATTTTGTCCGATGGCGACCAACAAGAGCGCATGTTACCATGCTATCTTGTATAGGTCGAAGAAGGAATATTGGTGCATGAGATAGCTGAAAAGCTGGATGGATTCGAGTTAGTGAGTAGATGTCGATCCTGTGAATGGCTACCCATGAATTCGATTTGATGTAGAAAGGCAGCCATTGACCTGGTCCCCTACTCAAATACCCCTACTCAAATACCCCTACTCAAATACTGTTAAGCCACCACTACCACCACATCTCAAAAACTCACATATACAGTATAAAGGTACCGGGAGACACTCATGTAAAGAAGAATCTATTGAGAAATGGCATCCAAAGTGTCCCATATCCCCATTGATCTTCGCTATACCGCCCTCATACTTGCAGACACTCGGAACGAACTTTCTAGCTCGCTTAGCGGCGCCCAAAGTGAACAGTCTCTGCAGGAAGTGCACTATATAATCCAACTGTTTCGAAACCATATTGCCAAACAGCGCACCATCTAACCTTCAGCTGATGGCCTAGATGCATACGAAGGCGTCCGCTAATCATACACCACGTCCTTCCGTACGGCTACAGCAACAACGCATTCATATCACCCTACAATAAACTCGCTCCATGTGCGAAATCCCTGCAAGAGCAAGGGTTCTTTCCTGTCCCTGGAGGAGCTACGAATCCTGCTACGCCGATTTTACCCGATTCCGGAGATATTGCTTCCCGAAGGTAGGAAGTTTGGAACCCCCTCTACTGCCAGCGCTACGAAAAAATCAAGTCGGTGAAGTCCACGTGGTAAGGCTTTTAGACCAGTACTTTTGGTTCAAGCGACTTACTGGGATGTCTGCATGCGCCGCGGAATTTTGACATGTTGCCTTGAGCGGATTGACGACTGTGGCTGCCATTTTGGGGTCCGTGAGATAAGGCGCCAATTTGGATTGTCAAATTGTGATTGCTAGAAGTGGGGTGATGGATGACGAGGATGAGGTTAATGAATTTGTTTTGGACAGGTTGTTACCAAAGTTTGTGGACATTGTTAAATAGACGACGTGAAGGGTTGGTTGTTTCACTAGCTCTATGGTTAGGAGTCTTATCAACAGGGTGCGTTGAGAATCCTGATTTATATAGATTCTACGGCGTTATGAGTCGAATGAGATTTAATCCGTTTATGATCATTAGTTGCTTAAATATGGTCCTGGCTTGTACTATATGATTGAGGATGCTGGTAAGGAGGCTGAGAGAAAGAGGGAGCAAGAATTTTCTTCAAACAATTATATCGATGAATCATAATGAAATATTATTGCACTTCTTTATCCATCCTACCTAAATAATTGATAGTCTGCTTTGTCACAGCTTAGACAATCATTAACTAATCAAAGAGGGCCCCACAGGCCACATATAAATGCTATGCTATACACCTGCAGGGGTGTCTTAGAGCATCCTATCAATCTCACGGCATCCATCACAGGCATCCTCACTAGCTTTATCATATATTCTAGTGCACATGCAGCCTTTCTGGTTGATGATCTGGCAGTGGCTTAGTAGCCTTGGCTGCATTGGATATGAGGCTATTCCGAAGTTGCATCCCACCGCACTCCATTTTTCACACATCACATCTAATTGATATGCAATGGACCTTCCATAATCGGAATATGGGGTAAGAATTTTAGAGTATCTAAGTTACGGTAATAGGAATAGTTTAAGCAGATAGATCATTTACGTACATATACGGACGCTAGGATCCATCTTCCCGCTTGACAGCGGGCCGAAATTAAATTGAAGCTCTTGGCCTGCATCTGTCAGAACTAACCAGAGACCCATCGAGTTTCTTCAAGCGGATTATTGTCTGCCATCCGAAACACCATGCCAGTGCATTTTCAACTGCTACCGGGGAATATAACTGTTCAGCAGTGTAGGAGCAGTTTACCTCTGCCACTAAGTTCAAGATCCCATGAGTTAGGAAACGATATTCGTTTCTCCCAGCCTGCTGCCATAAAAACTTCAACATCTGTTCATTGTATGTATGCAAGCAGATAAAATCCGAATAGCACAGTCACCGTAGCGTGTATCTCAACTACCCGTCTGGTGTCTCCACGGTTGTTTATTAGGCATTCCCACTTCCAACCCGTGTCTTATCCAAGAGGAAATGATAGGACGTACTTCATTAGAACTATGCAGGCCAAGAGATGGCTGTAGCGGTCTCGTTTGCAATTGTACGTACAGCTCCTTCAATTACTGTAGATGAATTGTCCACAAGGGTATCGACTAGCCTCGTCGATGGGTATAAAAGGGTGTTGGATTCCCAGGTTCTTGTCATTTTGATCATCAAGCATCAAAGCAGAAACTACTCAGACAGCATCAAACAACTTGTCTCGTCAATCGACAGAAATATTTTCACAATGTTCTTCTCCAAAGCCATCTTTGCCTCTCTTCTACTGGCCATGACTGCACCTGTGCAGGCATGGAACAGAATCGACAAGAATAACACGGTAAGCTCCTCGCGTTATAAAACAAAATGGGGAGAGTAAAGAGACTTGCTGATAAGCAACCAAAACGTAGGCCCTGCTTGTCATCGACCACCAAGTCGGTCTAGCCCAACTGGTCCGTGATTACAACACAAACGACTTCCGCAACAGCATGCTCGCGCATGCGGAGATAGGAAACCTCTTCAACCTACCCACTGTTCTCACTTCATCCTCAGATACTGGACCTAATGGTCTCTTGATGAAGGAAATCGTGGCAATGCACCCCAACGCCACCTTTGTCCATCGTCAGGGGGAGGTGAATGCCTGGGACAATGCTGATTTCCGCGCTGCTGTGAAGGCTACTGGAAAGAAGCAGCTGATCATTGGCGGAATCGTGACAGAAGTTTGTATGTTTGCATTATATGTTTCTCTTGGTGTATGATTGCATCCATGGATGTCCCTATTCTCATACCTTGACAGGCACCGAATTCCTAGCCCTTTCGCTCGTGGATGCCGGATACGAAGTCTATGCCAACACCGAAGCCAGCGGCACATTCGACGTTCGTCTTGCGAACGACGCCAACCGCCGCATGGAGAAAGCGGGCGTGACTCTGATGTCCATGTTTGGTATTGTCTGTGACCTCATGAGGGACTGGAGAAACACCCCCGGTTTTGACCAGGTGCTCCCTTTCCTTGACAAGTAAGTTCTCTCGATTCTACGCATTAACGGAGGCCTATACTAATCTTGAGTGTAGATACCAATTCGCTTATGGCTTKCTTGCTCGTCAATACGCTGGTGCTGTGCAAAACGGGACTTTGCTTGCCCCTGAAGCGGCCTTGATTAACAACTAATTCCATTCGCGGCAGTCCCTGAATCAAAGTGTTTGAATCAAACATCGCCCACCTGTGGGTAGATGGAATTTTAGATCTGTTTCGGTGTGATAGGAGGTGAACTTGTTCAGTGATGAATTAGAAGCTTAAGTCTCATATTATACATGTTTATACTTAATGTGCAATGGGATATAGAATAAAATAGAAAGTTGAATAGACAAATCCTCCTGCATCAGTCTTACGATGAAGCCCGGATATCAAACCCATACAAAAATATGTAAAGTTGGTCGGTAACTGCCTGGCCAGAGCAAGTGAAGGTAGTTGTAGAAGACGTCGCAGTAAAACCTCCTGAAACCGTCTGGAATGACCCAATAGTAGTCGTTGGGATGGGAAAGACCGTTGAGCCGGCAGTGCAGCGGAAAACGCTGCTCGAAGGGACGGCATACGGGAAATAATATTGAAATTCAACAGAATAGTATTGCCCCACGTAAGTGTTGATCGTCTGCGTAAGCTCGAAAGTGCCAACGCTGGTCCCGGTAAAATCAGAGAACATGATACAGTTACTGTCCGAGTAAATGAGGGTGTTGCAGGTGCTGTCCAGAGTTTCGTAGAAGTTATTGAGGGTCCTTGTCCAAGGGGATATTGCTCCACCTGTGAAACCGGGATTTACGAGGACGTTAGTTGGGGCCGGAGTAGTGGTGGTGGTGGTCGTAGCAGGCACGGTGACGGTTACATACTCGTCCACGAATGTTGCTGTGGCTGTGACGGTCTGGAAAGCCGTGACATCCTCAGTTTGATCAACCGTTGTGTAGACGGTCGTTGATTCCGTCAAAGTGGCAGTAGTAGTCACAGTCGACAGTTGGGTAACGACAGCGGTGAGGTCCACGGTGGACGTGCTGACGATGGTGTCGGTCTCACTGATGGTGCGGATGACAGCCACGCTCGAGGGCACAGTCGAGGGAATGACAATGGTCTGTGTTTGAGTGGTCGGTGGCAGTGTGGCGGTTACTGTGACAGTGTCGAACTCGACGCACCAGCACGCGTCAACCAGCTCATCATTGGAATAAGACTGTAGCACCGCTGGTAGGCCAACACTTCTGCGCTTGTCGGTGGGAGCGGCCTGGCCTGCAGAAGTGACAGTGACAGTTGTCGTGACGGTTTCAAAGATGATATCCTCAGTGGTCAGGGTAAAAGTTTGCGTGACTGTTGCTTGATGGGTCTGAGTGAGGGTGTTGGTCTCAGTGATGGGCACGGTTTCAGTGTCAACGGCCGTGGCCGTCACCCGCACTGACTGGATTGCAGTGGAGGAAAAGCGATTAGTGACAACGGCCTGAGAGGACTGGGTGACGACGGCAACCACAGAGGATGTCCGGCTAACAGGACTGCCTACGGTGCGGTAGCTGGTAGTCGTGACTGTGGCGGCAGGCAGGGAGTCGGTGATTGTGACAGTGGTAGGGCCGAGAGCTTCCGGATCGATCTGCTGGCAGACTTCCTTCACGTTCAAGAGTCCCAATAACACATCTACAAGCGGCTCCAGCGGCGGACAGACTTCCCACTCCGACAGGCACGCGTCGTCGGACCCATCGACGTGGGCGGCTGCGAGAGCCCCCAGACCTAAAAAGAGAGAAATACCGGAGAGACGCATGGTGAACGAGTGAACCAGCTTATCTGCATCAAGCGAATGAAAGAAATATCATGGGCATCCAGAAAAGGAACCACGGGGTTAGTATTTAAGAGCCAGGCCCGTTCATGGCCACTAGCAAGTTGGTGCCTTAGTAGATGGGTCCATCGCTTAAAATATCCTGTCTATCAGGAACGCTGGCGCGGCACCGTATGGTGATTGGCAGGCACTAGCTGCTCAAATTTCGACTTGTAGCTATCCATCCTATCTCATGGCCAGTTCTGGTATTTTATCGTAGGGCTAAGCTAGTGTGGCAGTTTTTTGTGTGGACGGATATTGCTACCAATGTCCAATGCTGTCGACCGTCGGAATGGATAATCCAAGCGAGCAAAAACCAACCACGACCCTTGTGGATTTTGTTGTTGGTAAGAAAGCAATTCACAAACAGAGTTATGAAAAGCGATGCCAGAGGAATCGCTACCATCAGATATAATGTCTTAAGATACAGGGGAGGGGAATAATGGGACGAAAGATCAAACTCTCCGGAAGGCGTCATTGTACTGTATATTCAATGCCTTGTAGCTCAACTCGTCATTACTTTTAGTGCAGTAGAAACTGGGTGATCATAACCCAAGGGATCATTCAATGAAAAACATTTCAGCAAAATATCTAGACAAGTTTACGAATCTTTCAGAGAAGTATGAAGTCGGGCGCGTATAGTACTAATCCATATCGGGACTAGTCTCGGGGGAGGCCGTAAATATCCGTCGTCATTCGACCAAGCTCAGACAATCTGTAAGTCACCATACAACAGCTCAATGCTATAGCAGACACAATGCGACTACTGAGCCAGTCGCTTTTACGCAGCTACGTCTGCCCATCATGCCGGTCTAGTTTGACAAAAGGCMCCCGCCGAGCCTTCTCGAACACCCCAAATGTCCGGACAACTCCCGACATCTACGATGTCGTCTGTGTTGGCGGGGGTCCTGCAGGTCTCGCTCTGGTCGCTGCTCTTCGTATGACATTTATTTACCCAATTCTTTCACATTTGATCACTAACAGTAATCAGGGGCATCTCCAGTTACTTCCAACCTCAGAATCGCATTAATCGAGAGCCAAGACCTCAACAAATCGCGTACCTGGAACCCGCCGGCGAGCGAATTCTCCAATCGCTGCAGCAGTCTCACACTTACATCGGTCTCATTTCTACAAAAGATTGGCGCCTGGAACCATGTCGACAATTCACGCGTTCAGCCATACCATGAAATGCAGGTATGGGACGGACAGACCGGGTCGAAGATATCCTTCGACTGGTCGGTGGACACATCGCCATTCGAGGATATACGGCCGGTGGCTACGATGACGGAGAATGCCAATCTTGTCCGAGGCCTGTTGCGTCGAATTCAGGAGTTAGAGGAGACTAATGGTAGTGGTAACGGCTCGCTTTCAATATTCTCCAACACAATGGTATCATCCATTGAAAATGGGTCTCAAAGTGCAGACGGTCCCAATCTATCAGCTTGGCCTGTCGTGTCCCTGAAAGCATCTCCAACATCAACTTCGTCAGTCTCCGGACCTATCGCTGCACGACTTCTCATCGGCGCAGATGGAATCAACAGTCCCGTCCGCTCTTTTGCCGACATCACGACAAGCGGATGGGATTACGACCGCCACGGCGTTGTCGCAACCCTCTCTCTCTCGGACGAATTCTCCTCTCTCCTAAACACTCGCACAGCATACCAACGATTCCTCCCCTCACTAGGCAGCCCAATCGCTCTCCTCCCCCTTCCCAACAACAAAGCCACCTTAGTCTGGTCCACCAAACCCGAAAACGCAGCATATCTCAAATCCCTTCCCGAGGAAGCGTTCCTGGCCATGATCAACGCCGCATTCCGTCTCTCAATGACCGACCTTACATACATGCTCTCTCTCGACCCCTCTGCCACCGTCGGCAGTCAAAGTCAACATGAAGAAGAACTCACCTGGCGACTCCAACACACCCCTCAACCTCCCTACATCCCACCATTCGTCACATCTATCCAACCCAACACCACAGCCTCCTTCCCCCTCCGCTTCCGCCACGCCTCATCCTACATCTCCCCTCGCATCGCCCTTGTCGGCGACGCAGCACACGTAATCCACCCCTTAGCCGGTCAAGGCCTCAATCTCGGAATCGGCGACGTCGCCTCCCTCAGCTCCACAATCGAGTACGCCGTCAACCACGGCATGGATATAGGCGACCATTTGGCGCTGGAGCCGTACATGACAGCACGGTATGCCGCAAACACGAAGATAGGCGCTATGTGCGATATATTACACAAATTGTACAACGTGCCTGGTAACGGGCCTATACCGTTTGTGCGCAGTCTGGGATTAGGGGTTGTTGATCGCGTGCCGTGGCTGAAGGGATTTGTTATGAAGCAGGCTGATTAATCTCTACTCTTCAGTATGGTTGTATATTATATATGGTTGTTTATGTATGATAGCTTTGAACAAGTGGAATATGCATTTGTGTCATGAGAATCGACTAAATCTATTTTTATCCATCCATCCTTCTCCCTATTTTAGGACGTCCATCTATTCAACAGACCCGACCAATAAACCCATCATAATGCATCACTATCAATGTAATAATGGTATATGCGCAGAAATGCAACGACAATTAAACGAAACGAAGATCTTCACGAATCAAACACCCGCATCTTCCGTCTTTTGTTGAGCGGCAGCGGCGTCACCCCCCACAGACAGATTCGCTGCTGCTGCAGTCGTAGACTCCACGGCGTCGGAGGTGGTGGTGGTCTCGACGCCTTTGTTCTTCATATCTATTCGTAGTTTGATTTCGTCCACTAGGTTCGTGATATCGACTGATACGCCTTCTTTCTCCGGGTGGCCTTCGGGAAGACCCATTTCTTTGATCTTTACTTGGCCGGCGGCGAGCTCGTCTTCGCCGAGGATCACGCCAAAGGGAATACCTGACGTCTCGGCAGCTTTGAATTGTTGTGGGAGCTTGGGTTTGAGTTTATATGAGAATTCGGCCTAGCATCTTGAGTTAGAAGAAGTCTCTTGAGTAAAGTTGCAACATAGACAAGGAATACCTTCACGCCTGCAGCCCATAAGGTCTTGCAGATATCCATACGCTCCTTGAGCATACCGGTGAACCCCTTTCCTCCAAAAGCCATGACGTACACGTCAACTTCAGAGCTACGGACCACGCTGGCCTTTTCTCTCTCCATGCGAGCTTTGGTGATGGAGAATATACGATCGACACCGAATGAAATGCCAACACAAGGAATCTGCGCCTTGGGGGAGAACATGCCCACAAGGTTATCATATCGACCACCAGCTGCGATACTACCCACACCAATAGTTGGATCGTTTGATCGGTCATCGTCATCGCCCGTCGTAGCTTTCGACTTTTTCGATGATCGCTGTACGGCCTTTGCTTCTTGTGCCGATGTCGATGTCGTCGGTGCCGAGCCTTCTGTGACAACCTCATAAATGACTCCAGTGTAGTAATCCAAACCACGTGCCAGACTGAGATCAAAAGAGATCGTGTCCAACACGCCGAAAGCTTCGAGATAGTCCATCAAAAGTCCCATTTCCTCAACACCTTGCTTGGCTGCCGCGTTGGCCATCAGTTCCTCATCTTTTAACAACTCTTCGAACAAATCCTTGCGACCCTTTTTGCTGACGTATTTCTCGATTTTATCCGCAACAGCCGCATCGAGACCCTTCTCTTCGACCATCTCCTTCCGCACATCTGCCCAGGGCGCTTTATCAAGCTTATCAACGGCACTAGAAATCGGTCGAATCTTATCCGAAGGCACGCCGCATACCTCGAACATACCATCCAGAACCTTTCGGTGATTGATTTTGATTGTGAATTTTCCCTGCCAGCCCAAATCCTCAAACACTTCATTGATAACCTTCAAGACCTCCGCGTCAGGCACCATGGGATCAAAGTTGGCACCCGCGATATCGAAATCGCACTGATAAAACTCGCGCATACGACCCTTTGCCACGGCCGGTTGGTCACGTCGGTAGACCTTGGCGATGTGATAACGCTTAATGCTGCGGATTTCGGGGTTCATAGCGAGCCATCGCGCGAAGGGGACGGTCAAATCGTATCGTAGCGAGCAGATCTCACCACCTTGATCTTGCAAATCGTAGATGAGTTTGGAGTCTTCGCCGTATTTGCCAGCCAAAATTTCTCGCAGCTCGAAAACCGGGGTATCGAGGGCGGTTCCGCCGTGACGTCGAAAGACATTGGTGATGGAAGAAAAGATACGATCGCGAATGAGGGTGTCGGCACCGGACCAATCCCTCGTTCCCTTGGGGGTCTTGAGGTTGAAAGTAACCTTGCTATCCTTATCTTTACCCATGTCGTCTGAGAGGGATCTGAGCGTTTTCGTGTAGGAGAGGAAACGACGGCGGTCGACCGTATGAGAGGTGGTGGTGTTGTTGATAGTGGTGTTTTTGCAGGGACCAAAATTTGTAGCAGCGAACCCCACCACCGCCTTCCCCCGCCGAAAACGGGCAGCAAGTCTGGCTGGGCTGGCTCTGCGCGCAAAGCAGGAAAGGCCGGGAGTGGCCTGCATATATCCTAATATCAATATATCGAGGAAATACAAAAATATAATCAAAGAATATAAGCAGTAAAACACAAATTCACTATTTAGTCAATTGAATACTAAATAATGATGCCCTTGGAATTGTTGATGCACTGTACAATGACTGTCGTCATTCACCAGCCAACCCCTGGACTCCGAGACTTTTCTTCGACAACACTTGGACCAGCCATCCGCATTAGGATGTAGATTAGGGCTTAGGGCTAGAATGTCTAACAACGCGGTCATCCTAACCCCACGAATCGACCTCCAACTACAATAACGTGTGCTCTTTGATAGAGAAAATCCTTAATCGACAGAGATAAGGAGTTCCGTATGATCACATGGAGCAATCTGAATGCCTGCCTAGCAAAGTCCAGTGGTCACTCACTCTTTGATAAAAACCCTGCATATAACAACCACTTGCATTTCTCCGAAGTGCATTAGAACCACATACTCAAGCTAGTGGGTTGAGACTTGCACCGAATTAACTACTTGATAGGGTACAGATTCGCTTAGGTGGCAAGCCATGACTCAGTTCCGCCCTCGACAAGGCGTCTGGGACTGAAAGAGACCCCAAGTCCCAACAGATCGACAGTGTCAAAAGCTGGGGTAAAATGAATTCATCCAGACGGGCTGCGTACTGGATAAATGAATGGCTCCGTACCGATATACGTAGACTGTATTGGAATTGGCTGGTTACCGTACGCACTACTATGTACACAGTATTGCATTGGCAGACCCATGAATACTGGTCAAACTTACCACGCCGACTGGACTCCGGTTCCGCCAATGACCACTCCGCATGAATTACTCCATCCAACTTACCAACCTTCCAAGAGTCTACCAAGCCAGTGGCTAAGGTACAACAACACAAGGCTGTATCCTAGCGTTTACGTACTGGCTAAGTGCGTACGTGTCTATGCAATAATCGCTGATATGTGCTAGGGTAGCATCAAGGTCTTTCGAGAAGTGAGGGGGTTGCTTTGGCCTTTGGTCATCGATCGGTCCACTCACAATCCCAGTTGACATGAACTCTAAGTCGTCTCTCTCCATGCGTAAAGATGTGATCTGACTCCCTCATCGGAGTACTTGCCGACTCGCAAGCCATCCATCAACTCTATCTGCTTCCTTGTACGGACAGAGGCATTTGTACGCGAGCGGGGCAGGCGGCGCAGGACATGGTAACTATACTGTACGTATCGGCGTAACAAAGTTTTCCGTCATGTTCTACGCATCTCGTTTAGCGGGCGTCAGACAGGCGCTAAACATGCAGGATGTAGCTGCAGCGAACCAACGCGCCGTCTTCGGTGGGCCACTCGCACATGTGTCTCGCGTGGCATTATCGGATCAGGCAAAGCGCCAGTCCCCCCGTGTCCCCCACTTGCTTAACGGCGAGCGAACGCTCGGAACTTTTGGTGTGTATTGATCTGTATCGGTACGTATTCGTACGTAAATCTGTAACAGACAGCTTGATGCCTGTACGTAGACTTTAATAAAGATTACTACATTAGGGCTTGATGATGATGCCCTTGTGATTGACTGTCAGCCATGGTTGGCACTTGTATGTACAATACGGGCATCATGCAGTAGGTATACTGCCAAGGCTTGATTGCAGTTCAACCAGCCAGGCGGCGCGAGTCCCGTTTGACTTCGCATTCTCCCAAATTGGAAATATCGCTCGGTCGCTTGTTTACCCTGGTCAGATGAGCTTTCGCGTTTAGTCGTGCATTGGCAGCTTAATCTATATTACTTTATCCAGCATAAACATCAACATCCAAGCCTCAATGCCAGTGAATCCTGATGGAATGTGACACAGGGATTGGTGCAATCGGATACTCGGTATTACGCTACTTTCCAGGAAAGATCGGCAGGTTCTGTCGTCACTTTTCCCACACAAACTGCTCGAGATCTGACATGAGAAAGTAAGGATTGCTGTTATCTACATAGTATGTACTTACTATTCAACTGTGGAACATACTCCGAATTTGCCGCGTAACGCAGTACCAGTGGGGAGTACCAGATACCGGCTTTCTGTCGGCATCAATTCCGCCCTGCACAGAGTCTAAATGATAAGGGATATTATATACTTTTTTGGATATTTCATCTCTTCAAATCCCTCTGAACATCGATATAGATAATAAATACATGATTTACCCGGGGTCAGGAGACTCTGAATCAGAGCACTTACTATCGGCGTATTGAGAGTCGTAAGTAAATAATACGTACAGTATTAATAACGAACCCAAGTATCCGCCACCCACTGTTCTCCAGCCAGTCAGAGCGCAGCGTCAATATCCAACAGCCAAACAGCTGCGCCGTCTGAATTGTCTCTGCGAACAAACTTGAGACTAACATGACAGTAAGACTGAGTGGGTTAAGTTATTTTACAGTAGCCAAATGCTAAGACTGCTACTTTAGTACCTAACAACGCGACACGCTAGGACGGGCTGTACTTAGTGGTTATGTCCGAGCTTAGAAATAGCCTTCCCCATTGCTTTTGTTGCCCGCAGCCCCAGACAAAGTCTCTTAGTGAACCAGTACCTGCGCCATCTGGCCTTCCTCCACCTACCCATACTTTGCCTGCCCTCTTCCGACTGTTCCTATTTCTTGAGCAATCTTTACATTTTTCCTCTTTATTTCATTTCCTGATCATTTTCAACAACTCATCTTTCGATCACCAGCCTGGTTCTTGAATTGCTGCGGATCAGCCTAGGAAGGTACAAGGCAGACAGAGCTACGCTGATCTCGGCCGTCGCCGACCATAGTGAGAAAACCTTACATCCCTACGAATCTCACGTCCATTGTTCGAGGGGCGGCTCTCGCGCATTGCATCTCTACGGTCGCCCCATTATATTGTCGACAATTGGTGGCCTTTTTTCTTCGTTGTCGCCGGACATTCTCACGAACTTTCTCGTTGCTCGCAGCCCGCGGCGTATCGCGGCCGGAATCCCGTTAACCTTGACCTCTATCTTTCGAACAGCCGACGACTACCTAGTTGGGATCAGACACCAGATGAGTGCGAATTGAGCGTGGTTCGATCAATATGGGGTCTTTTTTCAAGAATCTGAGGTCTACTAATGTATGTTCTTGTCTCTGCATTTTGCGGCTGGCTTGCTCAGGCTCAATTGCAGCCTGTGCCATCATCCACGGCTAGGCAGACAGCCATGATGGTACCTTCTTTCTCGATGTGTTCATACTAATTTGTTTATCGCAGGGCCCATTATCGCCCACAACGAATATATCGTCCCCGAAAAAAGACAATCATGTATTACCAATCAGCCCTCTGGAGCGAATGCTGCAGGAAGACCGGAGCCCTGTGSGAGCCGATGGAAGCGATAAGTTCTTTGGCATGGAGAATGTAAGTCATTTTCAATTTCCTCGTTCATAAAAATCCAAAACTAACAATACCTAGTATGGAAACACATGGTACAATATCCGTTCGGGTTCCGCTTGTCACCGCACTAACCGCTGAGCACAGTTATTGCAACTCCATCCTACAATGTCTATACTATTCGGTCCCCTTCCGAGAGTCCGTCATAAACTATCCGAAGCGCACGCCGATCGAATCGCTCGAAACTGCTCTTTCCAGAAACCTAAAATACCAGAGTCCAGAAGCCTTCTTCGAAGCCGAAGCGGCCGCCGCAAAGGCAAAGCATACGGCAGGTCAATCGTCATCTCGCAATGCAGGCGTGACTCCGGTCCAGCCGCAGAAACCTGAAGACAAAGACTCGCCCGAGTATAAGAAAAAGGTCGCTATTCAAACGCTCCCGCTCCTCGAAACGAAAGATAATTCGGCGAGTTATGGAATGTCAGAGTCGCTATTCACATCGCTGAAAGATATCTTCGAGTCCGTGGTGGGCAGCCAGTCAAAACTCGGCGTTGTCAGGCCACACCATTTTTTGGAGGTTCTTCGCCGTGAGAACGAGATGTTCCGCACTGCAATGCACCAAGACGCGCACGAATTTCTGAATCTTCTACTCAACGAAGTGGTCACAAACGTGGAGGCCGAATCGATGAAACAGATTGAAAACTTCCCCACCGATAACACCGATTCCGAGCAAACTGTCGCCGTAACGGACTCATCCACGACCTCCACCGGAACACAAGTGAGCGGTTCCACAGGATCGAAGACACCCAATACCACTCGCTGGGTGCATGAATTATTCGAGGGTACATTAACATCAGAAACGCAGTGTCTGACTTGCGAGAAAGTTTCACAACGAGATGAAGTGTTTTTGGATCTATCGGTAGATTTAGAACAGCATTCGTCAGTTACATCGTGTTTGCGGAAATTTTCCGCAGAGGAAATGCTTTGCGAAAGAAACAAATTCCATTGCGACAACTGCGGTGGTTTGCAGGAAGCCGAAAAGCGCATGAAAATCAAGCGACTACCAAAAATTCTTGCTCTGCACCTGAAGCGTTTCAAATATACAGAGGATCTACAAAGACTACAGAAGCTATTTCATCGCGTCGTCTACCCCTATCATCTTCGCTTGTTCAACACTACGGACGATGCCGAAGATCCAGATCGTCTTTACGAGTTGTACGCGGTAGTGGTGCATATCGGAGGCGGTCCCTATCACGGTCACTATGTATCTATTATCAAAACCGAAGATCGCGGCTGGCTATTGTTTGACGACGAGATGGTGGAACCGGTAGACAAGAGCTACGTGCGCAACTTCTTCGGGGATCGACCGGGACTCGCCTGCGCTTATGTTCTGTTTTACCAAGAAACCACCTTGGAAGCCGTACAACGAGAACAAGAGCAAGAAGGCCACAACCCAATGAATGGGGCTGCGGATTTGAGGAACGAAATTCCTCTGACTTCACCCCTCAATCATATCCACACTTACACAGGACCGCCCGAAGATGAAGCGCATCGTTTGACGCCTCTGAGAGCTGTTCCCACCGCACCTCAAATGTCAACTCATCCAGAACATGCATTCTCGACGAGTCCTCCCGCACCTGTTCTGCCACAAATTCCGGTGGATACAGGAGCCAGCAAAAAAGCCGAAGCACAGTCTCGAAAGGAGCGGGCCAAAGAAGATAAAGAACGAAAGGCGGCTGAAAAGGAAAAGGAAAAAGCCGACAGACTAAAACGCAAAGAGCTAGAGGCGAAGCGCAGGGAGGACTTGAAGCGCGAAGACGCCGAAATGAAGGCCGTTCTTGAGCTCAGCAAGGCAACAAAAGCCGAAGAAGATCGAAAGACCAGCACGGAGAATGGAGAGAACGGACAACACAAATCACTGGCAGGTGGTTTGAACCGGTTCCGACGAAGCAGCAAGAGCTTGAGTCATAGATTTGCATTACCGAAAGAAGGCGGCAAAAGAGCAGCGTCATCAGAATTTGCACGCCCAGATGTTCTTTCTGAGAATGGCCATCCTCCGGACATGAAGTTGCACGAGCATGTCATTGAAGAGGATGCCCCAGCGGAAACGCCGCCGCCACCTCGTAGCGCTATTCCAGAAACAGTCACCCAGATCCCTGCAATTGCTCCTCGCAGCAAAGCCGACAAAACCGACAAAGCCGATAAAGATAAGGGCAACAAATGGAAGGGTTTCGGAATCAGGAAAAAATCAATGAGCTTACTGGGCTGAGCCCGTTATATTATTTTCGCTTAATGATCTTCGATTCTGGTACATACTTAGGTGCGAAATGAGGTTGACTCTCTTTCTCCAAAAAATGAGCATCGGTGCATTGCTTTGCGTCGGTAGCGTTGTGTATTCGGTCTTTTTGTCACTACCCAAAAAATCTTGCTTTCTTTTTTCCCTTGTCACTGTGCTTATGTGCGTCGGCTCTGGATCTGTCAGTCCGATACCCTTTGCTTGGCTTTCTGTTGAATTGGGAACTGTCTCATTAACCGTGGCGTTTTATATCATGAAGGCAACTCGGTTCGGTGCGTTTGTAGCTTACTATCGCTTCTGTTGAATGACTATTATTATTGCATGCACACACTCGCTCGAGTCGGGACTTCGAAATTATACATTTGTACACTAGGTATCCTAGGTTTATCGCTTAATAGGATCTGTGCAATTTGCTTTACATGAACTCTTCGCTGATAAAATTTCCCTGTCCGAGTAATCTAGTCTATTAATGGTCTAAACTGGCATGATTTTCAGATCCTGTTCGTCAAACGAGCTACGTGACAGTAACTGATTCACTCGGATTTCCATTATTGCGGACAGGAAAGCAACATCTAGCCATGGAGAATAGAAAGAGAGAACAAAGATCGAAAATCAATACCAAAAAGCCCTATCCACGCAACCTTCCCTAGCCCATCTCCGCCTCCTTTTCAAAATGATAGTGCTTGGATCGCCCCCGCCGATCCAATAATTTGGCCGCCACTTCCAAGACGAATGATACTGGATAAGTCCTTACTATGTTGTACTCTGCGAAGGCAATCACCACACGAAGCAGACACATATAACCCTACACGTATGATAAGCGGAAAATTTCAAAGGGTGGTTTCTCTCGGCGAGAAGACTCAAGACACAGTAATTCTGGCATACTGTTGCTCACTAGTCGGAGTTTCGTCTGATTCATAGGCCAGTGGAGGATAATATCGATGCCTGACCCTCAACCTTGCAACTATCCGAGTCTTAGGGTCCTTCCTTCTCGGTGGATTCCTCTTTCAGGGCATCGTTTGAGCCGTGGATATGATACTTAGAAGGCTCAATTGTCGACCGAATACCGCCTCTAAGGTCCAACAACTCCGCAGCAAGCTCAAAGAGAAAAGGTTGTGGGACAGTGGAGCGGTCTTTGGTTTCCCGAAGCCATGTACCAGTCCCAGCCATCAAAAACATATCGACAAGCATTGTACGAATGGAAGCCGACTCCTTCGTATTGTGATATACATACTGGACTATCTGCATACCAGGATACCACAAGCTCCCATCCGCAAGACCTACTTGACTTGCATCGACAATGGCGTCTATCGTAGCGTCTTGAAATCCAACATCCATGAGCTTATCTCCAAGTGTATAAGCCTTGGCAAGATTAAGATATTCGACACCTTTCATTTCAACTGTCTCATCACAGACCACGGGCACCGTGCCGTAATAGAGCCAGTGAACGTAAATGGCGAATATTTCTGGTTCATCTTCGGGCAGCCGAACAGTGCGTTCACGGGACTCTTGCCACGCACCCGATAAGGCCTTGTCGAAGAAAGGGGATGATTTACGAATCAGTTTCTCATGAACGCTGGAGATCTCGCCTTGAGGCCCGACAGCGATGTCAACTGTTCTCCCCATGAGCCTGATAAAATATAAGCATATACAGTTGTGAACAGATATTTGATTGGTTCATACTTCTCCCCATCATTTTTAGAAACTCGGATCGGCAGCGAAGACATGTTGTCTAAGTGAGTCTGAAAGTTGTTTGGAATTTTCTCAAGGAGGGCAGCTTAGCGCGGGTTCGGATCAAGTTGATGTGGCTGAGATGCTTTGTGGAGGATGGCAGTTCGAGAGCTTGATAGGTTGAAAGTGGCAACTTAACAAGGATGTTTCCTTTACCTCAATGCCCCGGAACGGTTGGTACATATTGTACATGAAGCACAAAGCAAAAAGACCACAAATTCTGATGAGGGCTCATAACTGTCTGTATTGAGGCATCCATTCTATCTACTCTGTGTGCACCTAGGCGAGGGCATATAGATCAATACTATGCCTGACCAGGCACCGCCTACCACACACGGGGGATCTCGTCAAGTTCTGTCTTCAATACCTATCAAATTACTAGTAAATGCTTAGAATTTGCTGGTCAAATACAGCGCTGCTAGGGAACTGCCATCAATAAGAGAGACGGCCCCCTAAACGAGCTCAACCTTCAGGTCACTGGAGGCAGCCCGCAACGCTATAATCATTAGGTATAAGTTGGCTGACAATTGAGCGCCCAGCCTGTTGACGGTGACTCCCGAGATGTGCTGTATTCTACCAGCAGCTTCCAGCCAATTACTGATAGTTTTATAATCATTAAAGACAAAATGTCTAGTCTTTGTGCTTCTTACGGTATATGGATTGGCCCTTGCCGGCCGAAGATCGAGGGCCTCGTGAGACCGTTCTATATTTTTGTTCGAGATTTCTCACTTAATTTCCTCTCTTTCTGTTAAGTGCACGACTTGTTCTGCCGAAGGTATTTCCAAGACTGAGGTTAGCACGATGTTTTCCACGGCAATTAGAGTCGCGAAAAATGAAGGCGAAAAGTATGATGCCACACGTTGACCTTGATTCAAGATATCTCATGCTAATGTCTTATAGATTTATGGGGAGAGCAGTTGAATTCTTATTGGGCAAAGGAAAAGAGAGATTCTTCGTCCATGAAAAATTGATTCGTGCCTCGTCCCCTTTCTTCGATAAGGTCATGTCAGCTACCTGCCTCGAATCCATGCAGCATACTGGCACCATTCAGCTATCAGAAGACGAGCCAGAGATATTCGGCATCTACGTCCATTGGCTCTACTACAACAAGCTTCCTGTATGCTGTAACGAACCAGGATGTGCGGCAAACCAGGAATACCTCAAACTCGTCAAGGCTTATACACTCGGGAACAAATTGATGGACACGGGGTTCCAGAATGCAGCGATTGATGCTATTGTTGAGAAAAGTACATCGGCAGCATCGGATGGGAAGAGGTATTATCCTGTTACAGAAGTGGTTGAATACGCCTACAACAACACTCATCTTTTAGCTCCCATTCGTCGATTACTTGTAGATATGCACGTCTCTGTTGGCAGTGGTAAATGGCTTGACTATGGGAACTTCAACTCAGAGAGAGTGCCGCAGCGTTTTCTCTTTGAGCTTAGTTCAAAGTTGTTGGATCTGCGACGCGGAACTAGGGCGGAGGTCAAAGCTTCTGACTATCATGTTCATGTAGCAGCTGACATGAAAATGGAGACTGAGAAGACTGAGATGGAGATTTTTTGAGGCAAGTTGCAATTTGCAGAAGCAGGGATTCTTGATCATGTGCGACAAATACAATCAAAGCAATCAACAATACTCAATTGAGTTCAAGCTTGACCTGGTGGGCGCCTGAAGGGATTCATGCAATTTAGAGCCTTTCAAAATAATTCCAAGGGCTTACACACTCTTATTCTTCTACCGTCAACGCTGTAAATTGGCTCGCACACAAATCACAATGACCGACCTAGAAGCCTGCGGGCCCCGTCATCGATCATGTCCACTGGTAGCTATATATCTGGAGGGATAAGTATATAAGTAATTATTCGTAGCTTTACCTCTCATGTGTTGGAGAATAGATCATGACCATACTACCTTCCTTCGGACAGATCAAGGTCCTCTTGAATACCGATGGTCGTGACCTTGTAGAAAGCCCATCTTAGATAGTTTTAGAATAAGTCACATAAAATCTCATAGTAACCGAAATCATTCCGCGATGATATCGTTAGCCCTCATCCACCAGACCTAGCATTGTTAAAGAAAAGTGCGGATTAACGACTCAATTTCTCATGAACGCCAAAACTTTTAAGTTGTGGGCCCCCCCCCTTTTCCTCCCCAATAGATATGTCGACCATGCTCCCCGAAAGCCTGGTTACCGATTAAATTCGTAATGATACTTCATGGAAGGTCTCGCATACATATCCCCTTCCGTTATCGAAAACTACTCGAATCAATAGTGAAGCCATCGTATCTACAGCAATTAGAGCACTAAAACCAACGATATGCTCGAAAAGCGCACCTAGATAGTGGGGAGCTGCTGCTAGAATAAATACAAATTGGCATGACCTTGTTTGCAAAGGTGCTGTTGAAGATCACAAAAAAATCTTTCCAGGTTTGCCAAGATAGAAGCCAGCTGGATACATTTGATGCATCGTCTTCCGGTTCCAATCGTCACTTCCGCATATGTCAATTGATCACCTGGGCATTTTGCGTATGAGTGGTGACATGAATCAGAAAAAAATCTATCTTAAGAGTCGTCTGCAACAGATCAATCTTGATGCAAATGGACGATCTAGCATCAAAACTGTAAGTAAGACGCAGCAAATCAGCATGGCATGTTAGACTATTATAGTACATGAATAGAAACTCATCTGGTTTACTTTTCCATCCCTTAGATGTCAATATTCAGTGTTTCGCCTACACTGGTGAGTAGGACGATCAATACAGCGATTGGGCTGCTCACGACTTTATTCAAAGACCCATCGTAGGAAGGCTGAAAATATCGAATGTCGATCATCACCTCTTACCTATTATCATCTAACATCGTGTACCTAGTGCTTACGGTTGACGTCAACTTCGAGGGGTCCAAACCCTAATCCGACCCCCACAAGATGTCAAGCAACCAACTTACAGTTCTTAAACTATAAGAAAACTGCTTACATTTTACGTATGTTCAAAGTTTGTTTGATCGCGCGTGGAATTACTAGTATTGATTAAGCCGAATCCCAAATATAGAACTGGGCCGAATTTTGGGGCCAAAACCACATGCAACCAAGATCTGCGGATGTAGATACATAACTAGGAGATCGACAGATGCTTTCCGTTGTACAATAACTTATCAGGTCTCTGCAGAGACGTTTGCCAAGCGACTTAAAGGTTCCATTAAGGGTGATTTTCACGACATGTGTGCGAAGTCGGATGGATGCAACCGAGCATATTGCTTCAATGATGTTAATCATGTCATGAAAAGGCGAGGACGCCCAGATGACATCAACGTACGACCAAATCCAATAAAAGAGAGAAAATGCGATATTAGATGTGGTTACCATGCTTGACATTCTGGCTATAAGAAGACGATGTTTTCCCAGGTCAGTTGGCATTCATATCAACCACCACAACAAAGGAACCTTCGCCTAGACAAGAAAAACCCCATTCATAACTTATCTCAATCTCTACTTCGCAAATTAACATCATGAAGTCATCCGTAACCAAGATTCTCAGCGGCCTATTTATCGGCCTCCTCCTTGGAGCCCCTGCCTTGGGCAACCCTGTCCCTATCGAAGGTGAGAAAGGAGTCGAAAAGCGCCAATTCCTAGAAGAACTCATCATTGCTGCTATTACCGGCGCTGGCTCTGGTGCTTTGAATAGTCTCCTTGGCCCTGAACAACCGTAAGCCTGGCCCATATTCCTTACATTACCACCCCTCATAGGAAAACTAACTTGGTGAATAGAGGATGCACCTGGAAAAGCACCCATGACGACCAAAACTGGTGGGCACGAGTCTATACTGAGATATCCGGCACAAACTACACAGCAGCCGACATCTGCTGGACCCAAGGCGGCTACACCATCACCGACAATGACGCCCAAGCCGCCACCTGTCTGCTCAACGAACACATCAACCAGGATTTTTCATGCATCAGCCAAGACGACACCAACTGCAACTACCCGAACTCTGCGTTTGGGAATGTGCGTATCTTGCACGATTTGAGTACGAGTGCGCACCAGCAATTGGATTCTTTTGCTGGTCAACGGGCGATTAATGTTACAAACACGATCCCAGGTCTTGAGCATGGATTTGATATTTCGACCAACGTGAACATGTTGATATACAACAACGATGGAACATCGACTGGATGGACTGTTGAGCTTCGTGGCACTGGTGATGAGGACTGTTAAAAAGGGGATTGCGGAACCATGACGAATTAATTGATGTATTTATGCTTAAGCGATAACAATAGCTGCTCTTATAGTCCAAACAACCTCTACAGATATTATGTTAAAAAGTTCACCTCGTACAAACGTAGATTTCAAATATGAGTCTAAATTTGCACACTTGATAGTTGAAAAGCAGGCATGACGTGCTCGAATTGTTGCGGATCATAATTGCCTAAAGAGGAAACTTTTCTGACATCCCGGCGTCGTCAGTTTGTCAGAAAAGCCGAACCACGAACCAACGAAGCAGCCAGATATCTCATTAAGTTTATAGATTGAGCGTAAATCTAGTGAAAGCATCAGATTTCTGACATGCTCACAAATATTAAATCATGATTTATAATCGTCCTTTCGACATGCCGAGCGTAACTATGTTCGCTGAGAGCACATAAATACGAGTCAAAGCCTAGGATGTAGTCTGAAATTAACAATCAATACATTCAAATCATTTCAAAATTTGCAAGGCAGTCTACATACATCAGCACATTATCAAAATGTCCAAGCCAACCATCGTCATCGTCCCTGGCTCCTTCACATCTGCAGCAGCCTACGAGACACTCGCTTCCGTCTTAGCCAAACAATACAACTACGAAGTCATCGTCGGCACTCTCCAATCTACCATCCGCGCACCTCCCGAAAAGGCAGCAACATTACAAGAAGACGCCGCCTATTTCCGGGGAGTCATCGAAGCGCTCTTAAACCAGGGTAAAGACGTTGTCGTCGTTGGACATTCTTATGGCGGCATTGTAGCTACCGAAAGTGTCAAAAAGGTCACTCATAGCGAGCGTCAAGCGCAGGGCAAGAGCACCGGTGGTGTTACTAAGATTATCTATGTGGCTTCTATAGTTGCAGAGATTGGAGAGACTGCTATTCAGGCGATGGGAGGGCAATTGGGTCCTACCATCAAGATATTGGTGTGTCTTTCATTCACCCGTATTCGGAACAATATTCTGACTTTTTATAGGGCGACTACATGTATTTCGATACAGAAGCTGGTGCCTCTTACCTCTACGACGGGCTATCGTCAAACGAGGCCCTGGAAACAGGCCGGAAATACACTACCATCCATGCGACGACAAGCTTCCTTGATCCGGCCACAAACGCTGCGGTTGACCATGTCCCCGTGACATACATACACACTGCGAAAGACAATATCGTCCCCCCGGAAAGACAGCAGCAAATTGTGGAGAGTCTCAAGTCGAGGAATGCGAGAAATGTGTCTACAATCACCATCAACGAGGGCCATATGCCGCAAGTATTGGCTCCGGAGGTGTTGGCGAAGGCGATTGTTGAAGGTATTTCTCAAGAGTAAGAATTGAATCCATATTTGTACCTTGGTTCTCACACCCAGGCATACCCACCTAGTTCATATTGGCAGGTAGCAATAAGAAGTAGTACCATGTAAACATCAAGCTGATTAGATGCTCTTTGACTAAGTCACATACGCTGGCCGTATGAATTGTAAGCAGCAAAAATATTGCACCAACCGCCCAGATAAACATCTAAAAATAAAACTGCGCCGTAGAACAAAAGTATGGACCGGTGTTGTAAGAAATTTGAGACCCGAGCTCGTAAATCCCAGATGCATTATTCATATCGATTGCCAAAACCCCAGCATTATCCCAGTATCAACTCGTAGACAATGATAACCGTATTTATCACAATCAAGGGTACTATAGCGAAATGTTATCAGCACATGCCCCTCGAAATCGTAGTACTTCATCAAAGGACATACTTCGCATCACAGTCCGCACACTCGTAATCAGATTTACTGTCCGCGCTTTTATGCTTGAATTGTCATGACTCGAACCGAAGCCTGGTTCTGGTTGCGCACGACCCCAGCCAACTAATCAAATATCCATGTCAGAGTCGATTCTGAGATAGCAGCATGTATTGGAGATTATACGAATTGTAACGTACTTCTTGCGAGGAACCGGTCTTCTGAGAGAACTGCGACAGCATTTATAAGGAGTATTGCAACTGTTGCAATTAGCCAGTTAGTCAATCGGTCGTTTTGGGTAAAAGTGGTATGCAGAGGAGGATATACCATATATCAATCTGCCGAAGCCGAACAACATCTTGCCGGAGGATTTTATTATTCTGGCTGATAGTTTGACACGAAGTCGTGATATGGCAAGCTGCGAAAGGAATCTGTGATGTGGTTGTTTCTCGAAGCTGGCCAGGCTGGCGGATGATGTTGATGTTTGCTCTGTTTGACTGCTTTTCTGCCACCGCCTGTTGTGCTTTATTAGGGTTAGGGTCATACGCTTATCAGACCCACCGCCTAAGCATGTGGCCACTGCCGACTGGCTGGAAATCTATCTGATGAAGACATACTGCCACTTGCCAGATTGAACATCATCAATGCCATCCTCGACAAGATGGCCATATTAGCAGGTAGGCTAAGTCGATTGGGTTGATAAAGAACCCATACACTAACTCTAAGTAGGCTTGATTCTCTATGCATCTATMCCCGCCATCATCCTTCTACATCTGCTTGCCTCGCCACATACAAAAGTCGAGGAATCGTTCCACATTCAAGCAACGCATGATATCTTAACATTTGGGATTCCGTCACCTCTTCAACTCAATCGTAGTGCAATTGCCGAAAAATTCCAGGCTAACTATGATCACTTCAGCTTTCCGGGAGCTGTTCCCCGCACTTTCATTGGAGCACTAGCGCTCGCGAGTGCTTCGGGGCCCGTCATCTGGTTTCAAGAGAACGTTGATAGACAATTATTGGGTAAGTTATCCAGTGATGACGTGTAGCACCAGTGCTAATTGAAGCTACTTCATGATAGTTCGCGCAATCCTTGGCCTGTTCAATGCCGTATCCTTGATTGTATTCGCGCGGGGCATACAGAAGTCCTTCGGCAACGTGACGGCTTACTGGTACCTACTATTTCAGGCCAGCCAGTTCCACGTTGCTTACTATGCGTCGCGAACTCTGTCAAACATGTTTGCCTTTGGCATGAGTAAGCTTATTGCTTCATAGTCACTTTTGAATCTCATAATATTGACACATTTTAGCCACACTTGCGTTGCGACTTCTTCTTCCGGAGCCTGTCAGAAATGATGCAAAAAGTGTTAAATCTACAAGGACAAAGGAAAAAGCCACAAAAGCTACAAGGGACACCAAAAAAGGTACTACGGTCTTACCTAACTATTCAAGATATCGGCTTGCACTCGTCCTTTTCACTGTCGCTGGCATTATATTCCGTTCGGAGCTCGCACTTTTGCTAGCGACGAACACTATTTATTATTTCCTGACACGGCGGATTCGTATCTGGCAAGATATAATACCAGCCGGGATCATTGGGCTTCTTGTTGGTCTTACAGCCACTGTGATCGTCGATTCCTACTTCTGGCAAGAATTTCCCCTTTGGCCCGAATTCAGTGCATTCAAATTCAACGTGGTGTCAGGTCAAGCCTCCGCCTGGGGGACTGATCCCTGGTACTTCTACTTTACTAGTGCTCTGCCTCGCCTCCTTCTCAACCCATTGACCTGGTTGGTATGCATACCTGCTTCGCTCTTAGTATGCAAAAACAGACAGGCATCTCTATCTTTCATTGTTCCATCGCTTGCTTTTGTTGCGGTGTATAGTTTTCAACCACACAAAGAGTGGCGGTTCATTATCTATATTATCCCGGCATTGACAGCAGCAGCAGCTCAAGGCGCGGCGAATATATGGACCAATCGTGGAAAGTCAATACTTTATCGCTTACTCTCCTTCTCATTGGTGGTGTCCACGCTCGGCTCCTTTTTATTTTCCACTTTTATCCTCCTGCCGATTTCGTCGGCAAACTATCCAGGGGCTCAGGCTATTCAACGAGCTCACTTCCACGGTCAAGGCAGTCAACCCCGCATTACCCTGTACATGGGTAACCTGGCATGCCAGACAGGTGTCACTAGATTTCTACAACAATCTCAGAACTCTACCTTTGTAGGTGGGAGTGAAAAGGAGGCCAACATTGCCACAAAATGGGAATACGATAAAACAGAAGACCCGGTCTTGAAGTCTACACCAGAGTTTTGGTCAAACATTGATTATGCACTGGTCGAAGACCAAGAATTTGAGCAACTTAAATTACATTCATCAGACGCCGATTCGTGGGAAATCATAGATACTATCGTCGGATTCGGCGGATTCAAGCTCATCAAACCATCCGAGCCACGCCAGCACGACGATAGAAGCAGCATAGAGATCGACGCAATCAGATATATTGCGGGTGATAAAGGTGTTATTTACTACAAAATAATGCGAGACGAAATTACTCGACGCTTGACGAGAGGGTACTGGGCCGAGATGAGTCTGGTGCCGAGGATCAGGGTCGTGAGGCATTCGCGAGCTATCTGATTCGCTCTATTCTTGTATGATTATTTATTGAATCGGTTAATCATGTCGAATCCACATGAAAGCATATTGCAGTCAACTTGCATGAACCTGGGAAATCATCTCCAGATCCTACCTAGTGATAAGCCACTAACAGCAAAAGGAGTTGGGAAACAAAGAGGCACCATATTTGCTAACAAAGACCTTTGCACTAATAGTTCACTAAAAGAGAGAACGATGGCTAGCTATTGCCGTCTAGACTGAAAATAATGATCAAATGACATAAAGATTGATTATCCTCAATAATAGCCGGAAGGTGAGTGAGTTTACTGCGAATATGATACCGGAGCACTCTATCGTGGTTGCTTTCAGCCATTTTGAACAGACACCAGTAGCCATGCCTAAACCCCTCGAGTATTTGTTCTCGTTCTCCTACCTCGACTTCTTCTCCTTTTCTTCTCTTCTTGATCTCTCCATCTTGTACCTCGCACTTACATGACATCAGACCGGTACATCGAGTCAGTGCTTACACTACGATGATCATCAACATTACAATCGCGCTAGTTGGCATCCTTGCCAGCTTTGCTTACTTCCTGCTGATCTCCGGCAGTCGAGACAAGCGATTTCCAACAGGTATAGACCCATAGTGATAGATTTCCACTAAGAAGAATCATTTTCTGACATTGTATAGGTCCGCCAACACTACCCATCATCGGAAACCTCCATCAGCTTCCTCGACGTCGAGCCCATCTAAAGTAAGTCTTTTATTCTCATGTTTTTTAAGAGACGTCTCACAAGATCCAGATACACTGAATTGGCCAAGCAATATGGAGGCCTCTACACTGTCAAGGCCGGTCATCACACCATAGCCGTTATCACGGATCGCCGCATTGTGCGCGAGTTGATCGAAGAAAGGGGCTCTACGGCTAGTAATCGACCCTCATCATACATAATCCAGCATCTCATTGGCAAGAATGACCATCTACTCACCCTGCAATACGGCCAAAACTGGCGTGTTATTCGAAAGTTGATCCATCAGCACTTTACGGACTCGATGTGCGACAAAGCACACGTTCATCTTCAACATGCCGAGGGGGTGCAGATGCTGAGAGATTTTATTGTTGATCCAGATAATCATATGCAGCATCCTCGACGCTATTCGTGTAGTATCATGACCAGTACCAGTATGTTACGCCTGTCTCAGTCGTTGCTGCCACGGTTGCTAATTATGATAGTCTACGGTGTCCGCATACCCTCCATAAAGTCAACTTATATGGAGCACTTATATGAAATGCTTGATACATTTACTGCCCTTCTGGAACTTGGAGCCACCCCACCAGTCGATTTTTATCCATTCTTGAAATGGATTCCTGAACGTTTTCTCGGAAACTGGCGCACTAGATCCTACCACGTCAAAGGAATCATGGAATCCCTGCACCAAGGCATGTACAAACATGTTCTTGCCCGACGGGCCTCAGTCCACGAAAAGGAGAAAGCCACCCGCATCAAATCTCCATCTCTCATGGACAAAATATTCGACGTCCGGGAGGACCTCAACTTCTCAACCCACAAGCTATCCTTCATCGGTGGCGGTCTCGTAGAAGGCGGCTCCGAAACACCCGCCTGCATGATCCTAACCTTTATTGGCGCAATGACCAAATGGCCCTCAATTCAGAAAAGAGCACAAGCAGAAATTGACTCCATTATCGGCGAAGATCGTTCACCGACCTGGGCTGATTATGCGCGTCTTCCATATGTCGCGGCTATTGTCAAGGAGTGTTCTAGATGGAGACCCGTGGCGCCGTTGGGGATGCCTCATTCTCTTGATGCAGGTGAAATCCTCCCAATATCCATTTAGCAAGAACCCACTGACGTCTGATACATAGACGAATGGATTGACGGCCACCTCCTCCCGCGCGGCGCAACTCTAATAATAAATATCTGGGGCCTCAACCACGACGAAACTTATTACCCCAATCCTGAATCGTTCAACCCAGACCGCTTCTACATCCCCGGCACAGCCGTCCCCCTTGCACACGAATACATGAACAAAGCAGACTACAACACGCGCGACCATTACAGCTACGGCGCCGGTCGCCGCTTCTGTACCGGCATCCACCTCGCGGAACGCGACATGTTTATCGCCATGGCAATGTTGCTCTGGGCCTTCAACTTTGAGAAGCCTTTCGACCCCACGACGGGTTTGCCGATGGAGCCAGATCTGAGTCCCGATACGGGGTTTGTGGAGGGTTTGGTGGCGTGCCCGGCGCCGTTTCCGTGTAAGGTCTCACTGCGCTCTGGGAGGAGGTATGAGACGATCATGCGGGAATTTGAGGAAGCGAAGATTCATGTTTTTGCCAAGTACGATGAGAAGGTTGAGCTGTAGGCGATGCTGAGCCAGGGTGGCAGTGGATTAATGAGGATGAGGCGGACGAGCAAAGGTAGCTGATAGTCTCGATTGCCGTTCTATTAATGTACCTACTTGCTACAACTGATATAATCACACGCAATTGAACGATTCCGATACGCCTAATATGCATACATAAATTGTAATGATATCATGGATTCATAGATGCCCACATCTCAAACGTAAACCCCTTCGCAACTTCTATGCTCTTGATCTCATACTCTCTCATAGCTTGGCCCCACGCCTTGGCCGTCTCATCGTTCGTTCTCCTATTCACAATCATCTGTTCCTGATACGGCCGCTTAGTTTCTTCGTCGGCTTCGCGCCACATCTGCCCAAGTACAGCGCGAATTTCGTCTCGCGCAGCCTTAGCTTCGGGATTATTAGTGGCTTGTCGTTTATTTTCCTCGCATTGCTGTTTTGCGCGGATCCAATAGTCCTTTTGAAATGTGAGGAAGGGGTTGAGGGCGATTTTGGCTGGTTTGGCGGGTAGCTCGCCGATTTTGGCGCGGATGTGTTTCTCAAGGGCTTGTTTGTAGAGTTGCTGCTGTCGTTGTTCTTCGGTTGTCGGGGTGTTGGTGGATATGGCTGGCATAGGGGCTGGTACCGAGAAAGTTGGCTTGGATGTGGGAGCTTTGTTGATGGGCTTTGGCTTTGATGGCGTCGATGATTTTGGGCTCTGCTTTGCCGGTATGGATATGCTTTGTTTGAAAGAATCGACCGTCGGATAACGCACAGGTGTGATGTTGGCGTTGGGCTTAGATGACAGCGGAACTAACGGCGTCGGTATAGGAATAGGCCCTAGTATCTCCTCCATAATCTCTGCTGCCGCTCTCAATCCTGACAAGTATGCTCCATGCACAGTCGCTGGGTGTGTGGCACATGTAGCTTCGCCTGCAAAGTGAAGATTCCCAACAGCTTGTGCCATCAGATCGTAATCTCCAGGCAACGCATCAGCCGCTACATATGAGTATGTGCCACGGGTGAACTTGTCTGCTTTCCAACGCGTGACAATTGTTTCTAGTGGGTCCGGAACAGTTTTCGACTTGAAGATATTGCGAAGTTCAGAAAGCACTTCCGCGACAATCTCTTGATCCGGCATTGTTTCGGCTTGATGAGCAGCATCTCCAGCCATCAATGCAATCAGGACCGGAATACCGGATGTTTTGATGCAATTCCAAAACAAGTAGAATCTGCCTCGATTCTTGGCGTAGTGTGCTTGCGACATACTACCCGGGACTTCTGCATCGCGGAGAAGGCCAAACATGTCTCTATTGGTATCCCAGAATGGCTGATCAAATACCAAGACAACTTTGTTGAGCACACCAAAACCGAGACGATCCACTGCGCCGATTTTCCATTGCGGTAGGGAAGGAGCAAATTCTACTGAGCGATGTTTGAGTGTGCCCAATGACCCCGTGTATACAACGTGATCGGCATGGATGGGTCCATTTTCAGTATGGACAGTCGTCTTGCGATTCTTCGACTTGCCAGCCGCATCATACGTGATGTTGATAACGGTTTCATGGGTCCGAACGTCGAGTTTCGTGGGAAAAGCCCAAAGCCCCCGTGGTAGTTGTTGATATCCGCCAATGACCTGACTATGTTCACCTTCAAACTCATTCCCCATATCTTGATCCCATCCTGATAGGCTTAACGCGTTCAGATTGGTAGCATTAGCATACTCCAAATTTGCATAGTGCCAGTTCAAAAGCCGCATGTCCTTTGGTGTCAGAGGGAGCATATGCTGATATTGCCTGACACCTTCATCCATGACAGCTCCAAGAGTCTGCGTGGGTGACGTTTTGGCAATTTCATCAAGTTGTAAATCGGTCCGAGGTGAAACACCGCCCCGTAAATTCCAGCCCATGCTTTGACACTCCATGGCTGCCGGTAACTCTTCATCCGGGCCAAGATCTGGAATTTGGGCGGTTGATGGTGGGGGTAGGATTCGAGAAGCATTGTGACCTATTCCACGACGGAACCTTGCTGCAGGAAGCATCAAATGATGAGTTCCAGCGGCCCGAGCTTCTTCGTATTGATGTACTGTGACGCCATCATCAATAGGAATGTCACGACCATGGTTTATCATCTCGCGGTCTCCCTCTGCAGTAGGCTGAATAGCTGCTTTATGCCTATAATTACCGGAACGGTCGAGGACATCGTTGTACAGCCGTTCGTCCATTGCGTCTTGCATTTCGTCGACAGCCGAGCCGTCAATGTCGTAAATTGTGGAGATATCCCGGAGCAAGTGATAACGTAGCGCAAGTTGTGACCTGATAATCGGATCTAACGGATTCCCTCGGTCAAACCCAACTATAATCTGAGCGCCCATTTCAGCAGTTGGCCGCAGCCCCTTTGGAAGGGTAGTCTTCTGATGGCTTTTAAGGGGATGCGAGTATATACGTCCGCCGATTCGACGCCTTCCCTCGAGCACTATAATCTTCAACGATGTGACTTTGTCTCTATACTGCTGATATAACCCTTCTAACTGTCTAGCACAAGCTAGGCCTGCAACACCGGCCCCCACAATAACAATGACCGGTCCGTCATCTCTGCGCCGGCCTTTCTTGGGTGTAACGAGAGCCGGAGGAACCTCGACACAGCCAAAGTTGATATATCCATTGCGTAACAGCCACTCATACGCAAAGTCTGCCAAGCCCATCCATCTGAAATCTTTAGCACAGCCAAGTGCTTCCTCACGGGTCACGCTGATCATTGGGTTGCGGGTCCATAGGCGCAAAATGCCGTTTCGGATATTGAGGTATGTCGTGACATGAAGATGGCATAGATGATGTTGCAATACATTCTGCTCGTTCTTGTGAAGGGCGAAAGGATTGAGTCGTGAAGAGTATGCAGCTGTTATACATTGTTGAGCATAGACTGGTCCGGGAAGTGTACTCGGTATTGAAGAGCGTGGTTTGAACTCCTCGTAGTTGGGTGCCTCCACATCGGCCGCGTAGACCTGCTTCAGTATGTTAGCAGGCTTCGTGGCCGCCGCCGGAGACGTTGATTTAATTCGAGGCCACGGGGATGTGTTCGAAACGGAGGTGTTGGGTGTATTGTGGCCTGTGAGATCTGAATCCTGTTCTGCCGGGTATGACTTTTCGGATGCGCTTTGCAAAGAGAACGAAGCCGAGTCTCCTAAAACAGTATTGTGCAATATTCCATTTTGAGGTGATTGATTTAGAGAGTTCACGTTATACGAACCATTGAGACCTTGCGTGGAGATCTCCAAGTCGGCGCCCTTGATACATGGATATGTCGGTGCTGTTTCAATGATGCGTCGGCGTTTTGACGGAGGCAGGGGCAGCTGCTGAGAAGCAGGTGCGAATGCATAGTGTTTGAAGGTCAGTGATTTCAAAGCGCCTGCACTCATTCTTGCGCTATTATCTCCTTGCCCGGTCGCCATTGCCGTGGATGCGGAGATTGAGAGGATCGGAGTAGGGCTTCTGTCTGCCGGGGTATACGGATGCATGCAGGTGGATATGATTTTTCCTCTATTTCAGTTTTTTGAGCCCAGCGGCCATTTATTCAGGTGGTTATTCCATACACGACCGTCCAGATATCTCGTTCCTATCAATATCGTGTAGGTGCGGGACATGCATCTCGGATGTGAAGATGAAGATGATATAGTGGAGGGCTATCGGCCAAGGGCGCAGATTGTAGCCATTGATGGAAACTAGAATTTCATTGATCAGAAGATGTCAAATATAGCGATATCATCTCAGGTTCATGATAGAGAGTAATTGGTGTATCTGGTGCGGAGATGTATAGAGAATGAACAGATCAGAATGGGGAAGCGGGAGGGTCACTGTGGCCTTACTCTTTCCGGACGCTCTTTCCTTCGCACCTCTGCAGCAATTTACTTCTTAATCCCTTCAACAATTGCCCCGTCTTCTCAATTCCAGTTTTTCGGCAACATTTGATTCTACCGTACAGTCTTGACGACAGATATCGAACAATTGCTCTATTCGGCTTGGCTTTTTACTTCGTCTGTCCCGTTCGGCGGGTCCAGCGTATTTCTCAGACCGATGCACATTCTTTGCACGCTGACTCAACCCTATTATTCACGATAAATTTACTAACAATATGATCGTACCCTAGCTTTCTGTTGATACTGACAGACTATGTGTATGCTCGCCAGTGATCTGGCCATACCCGATCATATTGATGTCCAACTTAATCCTATCTCAGCAGCCTACCTGAACGAACGCCGGTACGAACAATATGAATCGAGATCTAGAGGCCAAGAACGGAGACAAGGAAATACACGAAGGAGCTACAATGGCAATCGGGGCATATGGTAGAAAATTGAATATATGTGATTATCAGCTGATAATAGAGCCGGCATATAGATCATATGTTCCGTTTATGATGATTGTATGACTGTACAGTGCCGCTACAATTTCGCCCTCTCCTTCTTGACCTTCTGATCCCAGCTCTTTTGCGAGCCGAAATTGACCGCCATATTCCACACCGCAGCAGCCACACCCACCGGCGGCGCAAGCAAAAGAACCCATGCCCACCATCGAGGACTATTGTCCTGGATCGTAAGAATCGCCTTATCCACCTCCTTGGCAAGATCGGCTTTATCACCATCATTCCAAACAATCACGCCACGCGAGCCCTTGTCGAGATCCTGCTCCGAAGCTTTATTTCTATACAATGCCTTCTTAACTTTTCCCTGCACATCACCCTGGCTCTTGACTCGATTCTCGGCATCCTCTGCTGTTAAATGCGGATCTCGCGCGCGTAATCGCGACATTTGCACCGCTGGATCCTTGACTGCCACCACAATCACTGTTCCACAGATGACATCCATTCCCGACTCAAATAGTAGCGGCACATCCAGCACCACAGCCCAATTACCGCGCAAGTAGTAATATAATAAAGACTTATAAACCTCCCATCGCACCGCCGGATGTACAATCTTATTAAGTATCGTCCTATCGCGTTTCCGTTCGTCGCTATCGCCAAATACTCGTCTACCCAGCGCGGGCCGATTTAATCCTTGTTTCCCTTCGGCATCTGCCGGTAGTAGCAGGTCTGGTGTGGTGGAGCCAAAGTAGTTGACTATAGCTTTGTAGCCTGCTGTACCTGGTTCGACGACTTTACGGGCAAGGATGTCAGCGTCGATAATGGGGAGGTTGTGTGGTGGCGAGGAGAGGAGGGAGGACACGGTGGATTTGCCGGTGGCTATAGAGCCGGTGAGACCGATAATCAGCATTTTCTTTGTTGTAGGTAGTCAGCTATGAGATCGGTTAATTTGCTTGGATGTGTTGCAATTGCAAATCAGTAGGCACTGTTGAGGACCACTGTATTAGGTGAGGTTTGATGTGGAGGCCTAGATTCTCTAGATAGTGATTAACTCTGTACTGAAGCTTGAATAAACATTGAAGAGAACAAGAGTGATAATTGACACAGGAAGATGACATCGGGACCAACGTCACTAAAGAAGCCGAGCCGAGGCCTCGCGGTATGAGCAGGGTTACTTAGGGTTACGTGTACTGTGCCAAGATATCGCCTTTCGTGCCGTCTCCCCATTCCTCTTTCTCTTCGCATCTTACATCTCCAAATTCAAGCATCGCCAACATGCCACACGAACCAGGAGCCAAATAACATGTCGACAAGAGAAACTTATTCAGGCGCAAGCTGAGCAGCGAAATGACACAAAGTCACCGCCGATATCTACTGATTTGGCTATCAAGCCGGGCTCTACGACCGCATTTCAGATACAGCCCAGTCGGAAAGAGGATACCAGTGCCAAAGACCGAGTCAAGAACCAAATGTTTTTAAAGTGGCGAAAACGACGTCAAAGAGAAAGCACTTGGAGATTGATCGATAGATAGAAGACAGTTTCGAAGTCTTCTATCAGAACATGACGCAATCCCTAAGACTCCTGCTCTAGTTTTGACTGCTTCCTCTCCCCAGCCTGCAACAGACTCGAACGCTGAAAGTAGATAACACCGCAAATTTACTCTAAAAGATAGACACGATGGCATCGCACATGTAGTCGACTTCAGAAAGAATCATTCTCTTCTATAGAGGAGCTGAATGCGCACAGTCCCATGGCAACCCAGCCAAAAGGTTTGAAACTACCTAACTTCTACTAACTAGGGATACCATCGCCATGGCCGTAACGGCCGAGGCAAGAGTGAGAACAAGCTTTAAGCCTCGAGCTTCCAACACCGTTGTTATCAGTCCTCGCAAGATCTCGAGATCTTCGGGTTTTGTAGTGTCCTCAATTGTCCCTGCATACTCCGATCACAACACGGACTTACTTGTGTAATTACCTTAGATACGTACTCTCTCATAAACGTTGTTTGAAACATCCTACTCAAGTCGCAAGAGAATGGTCCAATTCATCACCATAGGAATGATTGACTGCGAAGGGGGTGGTTAGTTGGGCGGCACTGGGGCGAGGTGTGTGGGTTGGTTGGAGGTATTCTCCTAGAATGATATCAGCGGCATTGAATGATGGTGGCGTTTAAAAGTATTAAATAGTAGATAGTATCTATTCCTGTATTATATAAATCTCATCTTTTGTCTATGTCCAGTTAGTCTAGTAGTAAAGAAAACGCCGTCCAGTATTATCCTGCCAGTCCGAAATCCCAAATCGCAATGCACCCGTAACAAAAGAACGCCGTTGTATGCAGTGAGCAAGTAAAATGTTCGAAAGCAAAAAATCTAAAAGGCAAAGAGTGTCGAGATAATCAATCTACCAAAGGAAGCCCCCCTTTACTCGGGTTCTGAGGCTTCCCATTCCATCCAATTTGCGGCCACCCATCGGGCAATGTCGAATAAGGAGGCAACGCGTAGCGGTTTTCGCATTCATCCTGAGTACATTTCAGATCGCACAGTCCCCAGACATTGCAATAGCACTCTGCAGCATTAGGACAATGAATCGGATCCATTCCAAAGATCACTAGACACATGTTAGTCACCTCAAGACAGTCTCTACAAGACCAAGAACGTACTATGCCATGAATACTCCATTATCCGACCGCTCATCGCATCATCCAAATTCGTCTTGAGGAGCCACTGCTTATACCGCTCGTAATCACTCTTTGGCCGCTCACGAATCTTCCACCGCGCAACCCCAAACTGTGCACAGCAAGACACCGCAACGGTCTCTGGGACCTTGGCTCCGGGAAACAATTCCCTAAATCCATTATAAAAATATGCGCCTGCATGAACAGTTTCATCACTGTTGGTGTCCGTCATAGGATGGATCTCGTCGGGACATCCGAGCACCCAGGCGCAACGCAGATTCACATAGCCGATCAACTCGAGATACGGGAGCTGGAATCGTTTGATCATTGGCACTCCGTCATAGTACGGATCATCGTTGTGCCATTGGTAGCGCTGAGAATGTATAAAGAGCATATAATCCGGCAATTGATCATAATTATCAATGATGTATCTGCAAATATCAGCACCAAATCCATAGCCATATTTCAGAGACAGACATACGTAAGATAGACCATGGACTCCCGGCCTTTGTTGGTTGACACCGTCAAGTCTGCATATTCATCGTCCACGATGTAGATGCTCTTATGCCAGTCCGGAAGCCAGTCGTAGAGCCAGGTGGTGTTGTCTCCAACCATACTCGCCACAATCAGATCTTTTTTGATTGCTCCTCTTGTGGAGGTAGGGCCCGGTGCGGGTATCGCAGCTTGAGCCGCCTCCATCTGTCGTGAGCGTCCATTGCTGTTCGTACCAAACCTCCAATTAGGGCTCGCGAAATTTTTCGTCTTTGGCGATGCTCTGATAGGTCCTTTTTGTGTGCTTAGCCTAGCTGACGAAGACCTAGTAATAAAGTAGTAGAGAGTGCATAATAGAAAGAAAACAATGACCGACAGTCGTAATCGACGGGTAGATGATGAGCGTCCAGTGTTGATAGCTCCGGTGTAGAGCATGTTGGCGGCGATTGGCCTGGTGGCGGCGCTCGAAGACCCCTAAATCATTGAGTCATAAAAATGTGTACTTGCGAGTACTATGACTACAATCCAAAGAGCTCAACAATATACAAAAGAACAAGGGTGGTGACCATTTACAAGAAGAAAGAGGGAAATAATAACAGAAGAGGGTTGTCAGGAATGAAGAATGCTTGCGTGTTTCCCTGCGAATCTCGGTGGGTCGTGCCTGCCTGCCGCCAGTCCAGTCAGTCAGTGCGAGACGTCATCCCCTTTTTCTTTTTCCTCTACACACTCTCTTCTACTGCCTTATTGCATTAATAGCATATATAAACACCATTAATGAAACAGTTCGTTATTCTCTCCCTATTTTCTCGTGTCCACTGTCGAGACTCCGTCGCATTCCATGCCACAAGCAAATTGATCAATGATCAATCCGATAGCTCGCAGAGCACAGACAATGTCTAGCGTACGTACTACGTGACGCCTCCACCCCGAACGGCCAGCACGCCGTCCAGAAACCCTGCGTGCTCGCGTTAGACTCCGTTAGTCAGGGATCCGGCCCGATGCCCACAAAAGTCTCGACTGCTCCTTGCCAAATATAGACGCTGGCTGTGGCTGAGTCGGTGCGGGATAAACAATTACTGTGGAGCTGGTGGATCTGATTCGAGAAAGATAGGCGATTAGAGGCATAAATAGCCTGTCCCGTCAGCGATCCCGGCTTGCCGATGACGATGTACGACCCCTGAACTTGTGCATCATTCGACAATCGAAAGTCTCCCATCCTTCCTATTGGAAACAGTTCGATATGTGGTTTTTCCTCCTTCTAGAAACTATGTCGCTCGCTCCTAGTCCTTCGGAAATAACAAAATGTTCGAGGCACCCTAGCCCATGTGCGAACCCCGGATTGATTTGATGCAATACAATCGCTCCGTATTCCCATGTGCCTGGAAAAGTCTTCGGTGAAATTGAATGGACCGCTTGCATTTCTTCACAGGCCAGCCAATTATGCTTCTTCAACATGCAGGCGCTTCATCTACCTGACAGTCACCAGGTTTAGCCCCGAATTCAACTTTTGACTACTTAATACTTTGACCGATCAGGAAATCTTACATGCCCTCAAGCTCTCCTAACACCTTGACAGAAAATGATCGACTGTCACAACATAATCAGATATCTCTTCACCAGAAACAAAGTTTTATTCTGCCCAATCAGCGAACTGGATATGTAGGAATACCATCATACAGTGTCTTGAAAGAAATGCCCCCCCGGGTGTTTTTTTGAGTTTACTGTGATTATACTATGATTATTTGCTCCATAAAATTCCGTCTAAAGAGAAACTAGTAAAACAATTGAAAGCAGCTCGAGAGCCCCACAGACCGTTAGAAACACATGTACTTCCCAGATTTTCAAAATCAAAGTTGCGCGGTTGGCAGCCCGGCGAACCGTCTATTATACCCAAGAATAATTGCTCTCTCGGTGTTATTCTTGATAAAGTCGAATTCAACCTCATCGAAGTCCCCTGTTGCCTCTTCTCTCAACGACAGAGATTTCCTATGTGCGTTGAATCCATTTCGGTAATGAAGGAGGAAAATGATCTATGAATGGGAAACCGACATGGGTATGATCTGCCGATACGTAGACACTGCGTAAATGACAAGCTCCTTCTCTGTCTATCAAGTCCCAAATCGTTCTAGCCGCCTCCTTCAATGGTAGGTCCCGATTTCGCCCAGAAAACGTCAGATCAAGTGGTCGGAGGGATCTGACATTTGGTCAAAATTCCGCAATACTGCAGTCTCAGAAAGTAGGTGCTGCTAGAGTATGAAACTGTGATACTAACATACTCTAGAGCAGGGCATCAAGGCTCATACTTTTGGATTAGCTCTGTTGATGACGGGGTTTGAAGCGGGTATTGGTCATTTTTGCTGCAACACAAGATTGATGATTCGCGCAATGTTGGACCATGTCTTTGAAGAAGCCAGTCTACTAAAGTATATGTCAGGCAACCTTGCAGAGGAATCTTTCTTAAAGGGCGTAGGCGCCCCAACGAAGATTCATACAAGGAGCTCATCAAATGCTAGTCGGTACCCCTAGTTGGCGACAAATTCAGACAAAGCGTCTCAAGCGAGTCAAAGTTGACAGTCTTGTTCATAAGCTAAGTATCTGGGGATCAAACACGCTACCAATATTAAGATGGCGAATTTTAAATAAGTCGGTGTATCTCGACAATTGTACTATTCTCTCATCTTTGGAAGTATTTTATTCGCCTAATCACTTCCCTCTACAGCCAGTTTTGCGTATCATGGCTAAGACTAAGCAAAGATTCAGTAAAAGATTTGGTGATATCTTACTACAGATAATATAGGTATAGTGTGAGAACTCACACACACACACACCATATAGTTCTATTTAGGTAGACAAGTGTTCTATAACCAAGATTAAGTAGGTAAAGAGCCGTGCCGGCACACCCAGCCGTGCGATACAGGCTTGCGTTGATTATACGGAAAGGCTTGCATCTGGTGTCCACGATCTTAAGAAATGTAATTAGACGGTCCAGTGCGCCCCAATTTGCCGTATGTCGTTGATCAAGGCAGGCGGATTGTCCAAGCCTGGAAAGTGTCCACCGAAACTGTGCTCTAAATCGAGGTTAATAAGCAAAAGACTTGTCTCATTTTACCTACGCATAAGAAACTTAAAAATGTTGACATACCATTATATAAAACAAGATTTGATACTGACTTCACTAGTTCCAAGGGCCAGAACCCAATATTATACATAAAGATACTAACCAGGAACGGCGCGTCATTATGAGACGACACATATTGGGGTGGAGGTGCCGCCGCGTTTTGATAATAGATGAAGGCGGACGAAGTGAAAGTCTGCGTCAGATAGGATAGTGACACTTGACGAAGGATAGCGGTGTGGTTTAAGACGGAGGGTGGTGTGCCAGCGCGAGGATCGGACCCTACAATCTTTGTTTAACGACTAGTGTAACTTTATTGAATGTAGCCGACACCAGAAAAATAGAATGCTCATGTATGGGGGGCTAATACATGGGAAGAATATGTGGAGAAGGAGGCAGGTGAACTCACATTCAATCATTTTTTCTCCGATCCACGCTAATTGGCCTACAGGATTATCTTCTAGCGCAAACCCAATAGTTTGTGGCTTTGAATCAAATCATCTCGTCAGTATCGTCTCGGCTGTAAGGGAGTCGAGATTCTATCTAGGTGGACACATCAAGGGTTGAGTTCCTCCGGTCAGCTCCTACTTACCTTCGTACCCTGCTCAACACGATAACCTTGTCCTGATTCTATCCAGTTTTCGGCAGCCTGGAGATTGATAGAATCCACCTGGTCGAGAGAAATATTCAACGCAGCAAGCTGCGTCCCATTCAGAATTGGAAAGGGAAGATATGAGAAATGTGCTGCCCGCACGGATGTCTCATAGCTATTGTACATGGCATAGCTTATGGGCGACCCCCAGTCAGTCCCTGACACGGCATAGGTTCGATAACCAAGGACATCCGTCATTAAGGTGTTGAAGACCCGAGCAGTATCCTCAGTAGTAAAGTTGATATTGGTAGGGGGACTAGAGAAGCCGAACCCTGGCAGGGAGGGAATGACAACATGGAAAGATACATTAATGCTATAGCTCCCAGTATAAGGGGCGGAAAATGTAGCATTGAGAGAAGGAATCTCGCTGGGTTGAACAAGAGCATCAACAAGGGGTAAAAATTCCAGAAAAGAGCTTGGCCATCCGTGATTCAGTATAAGCGGTATCGCCGTAGGTGATGCAGATCTCTCGTGAATGTAGTGGATAGTCAGGCCTTCAATATCAGCTGTATAATGCCGGTATCGGTTCATGGTGGCTTGTTCGTCGTACCAGGTAAAGTTCGTGAGCCACTCTGTTTGAAGGTCTTGAAGAACATCAAGATCTATGCCTGTTGACTCGCCAATACCGTAATAAATTGGCTTCTTTGGAAGTTGAGTTCTCCCTATGAGATCTTTCATATGTGGCACAGAAGATGAGAGATCAATGTGAAAGGGCTGAACATTATAAGAGCTTCCATTTTCGTGGTGTTTCATTGCCACCACCAAACCAGTGTGGACGATGCCGTAGACAATCACTATAAGTAAAAGTCGCAACATGATAGTAGCGAGCGTGAGAGATGAATTGTTGGATGTGTCGTTGGTCAGAGGGAGTGTTTCAAAGATTCGGAAGGTATTTTGATAAAGACTGAGACAAGACCACAAGCGCGAAAAATACAAATCTGGAAATCAATCCGTTCCGGAAGATCACAGCCAAAAGGAGCATAGCATAAGTACCATTCGGTAGGTATTTTGCGCGTTATCCGAAATGGAATAATGAAATTCTCTTTGGCTTGAAAATAGTAAGCCTGTGAGGACTGGCTTCCAAAATATAGCACCTAGATGTGCTCAGTTTTCTTCGTTTAAAACCTGGATGGAAATTAATGAGCTGTTGCCCGTGCCGCTTATCCGGAGGATAAGGTCGATTATTTCAGAAGTAACAATTGTCTCTTTCTGGTATGCATGCATTTTAGCACTCCGTATAATATAGCCTGAACACGGAAGGTTGTGCTGCCGAATTTGAATGCATAAAATGGGCCTAACAGAACAGATATGAAACGTACTAGAAAGCATACGTAGGCCAGAGTAAGGCAGATTGGAGGATATAAATGGTGTAAGGGACTGCTCCCAAAACACTTAATATTGTTCTAATCACAGTTCCAAAGACTCTCTCACAACGTACATCATCATGAACTCGACCGAAGCTCCCGCTACGCTCACAGCATTAAAGGAGAAGTATGCTGAAGAGCGTAGCAAACGGCTCCGTTCAGATGGAACCGCTCAGTATCTAAATGTTCGCTCCCCAGAAATCCAGGATCTGGCACAAGATCCTTGGGTGGACTACGAAGCTATCGCGAGTCAGGATGCGCCCTTGAAACCCGGTGGCAGCATAAAATTCCTCATCGTCGGTGCCGGACACAATGGTTGTTTATTCGCCGCTCGCTTGATGGAAGCTGGGTTTCGCCGTGAGGATATCGTTCTTGTTGATATTGCGGGCGGGTATGGAGGCACCTGGTACTGGAACCGCTACCCGGGCCTAATGTGCGACGTCGAGGGCTATTGCTACCTTCCATTGTTGGAAGAGACAGGATATATCCCAAAACATAAATACTCATTCGGGGCCGAGATCAGAGGCCAGTCAGAACGGATTGCCGCCCAGTACCGCTTCCAGGCCATGTTTTGCACGAAGGTTGACAAGCAGGTCTGGGACGAGACCAAAGGCCGCTGGATTGTCGATCTAACCCAATCTCTGGGTCACGTACGACAACCGACTCAGATCACTGTGGATGCTCAGTTTGTGCTCCTTGCGGGTGGTATACTCGCTATTCCGAAAATCCCCAACGCGCCGGGCTTTGCCGAATTCCGCACAAGCCACAAGGTATTTCATACCTCTCGGTGGGATTATGCTGTCACTGGAGGCAGCGAGAAACAGCCAGATATGGTCAACTTGCGAGATAAACGCGTCGCAATCATCGGTACTGGGGCGACGTCGGTCCAGGCGACGCCGCATCTTGCGAAGTGGGCGAAGCATCTCTATGTGATCCAACGAACGCCATCGTACTGCGGAGAACGAGGACAGAGAGAAACAACACCCGCAGACTGGAATGAGATAGCCGATGGGCCTGGTTGGCAGCGCCGCCGGGTTAGAAATCTAAACAGTTACTTGACTGCAGATCCGGAGTCCGTTGATCTAGTCAATGATGGCTGGTCCCAGAACCAAGCCCGAGCTGGCCTGATAGGCAGTAGCTCCAGATTAGTGGATCCCGAATCAGTGGAGGAGCATTACAACAAATTGGTTGAAATGGACCTCCCTTTCGCTGAAGCACTTCGTGCCCGCATTGATCAGTTGGTGAAAGACCCCGACACAGCCGAGAAGCTGAAACCCTGGTATCCCGGATGGTGCAAGAGACCTACATTCAACGATGACTATCTAGAGGCTTTCAATAAGGACAATGTCAGCCTTGTGAACACAGATGGCAAGGGGATCGAGAGTTATACAACACGAGGTATTGTGGTTGCGAACCAGGAGCTTGACATTGATGTACTTGTATTGGCTACGGGCTTCAGCACGGCGTCTCAGTACACTCCGGCTGGTCGACAAAATGCCCCTATCATCGGTCGTGGAGGTCGACACATTGATGACAAGTGGGACAACCCAGACTTTGGGACAATATTTGGTATCGCTTCGCATGACTATCCTAATTTCTTTTCCTATCACAGTAGAGGAACGGCAAGCTCGTTCAATATGACCTCTGCGTTCGATGCAGCAGCTCGTTTGGTAGCCTATATCGTTCGTGAAGCATCACAGCAATCCGATGACCCGGGGAAGCTGATCATTGAGGCATCCAAAGAGGCCGAGGATAGGTGGACTGATGAGGTAGCAAAGAGGGCAGCATGGTTTTCCGTAGTTGTGAGATGTACGCCGTCGTATTTCAATCGGGAGGGAGAGGGATCGGCTTCACAATTATCGCCCCAGGAGTCTGCGCGAAAGGCTAGGAAAGCTGCCTGGGGTTCGGGTATCAATGATTACGAGCGTGTCACTGAAGCATACATGAAAAGGGTTGAAAAAAGGCTTGAGGGCTTTATTCTCACTCAAGCCTCTATATAATTCGGAGTGACAGAGAAACTGGAGTGATAGAGAAGATAATCTGCATCCTTTACTTCGTCGGAACAGATTTGGTGGACAAAGTTAGATTATCAATAGCCTTTTCAACGAATCAACTTGCATAACGCGAAAAAAGTATCAAAAAGAGAAAATTACTACTGTGTAATTATACGGAGAAACAACGAGGTATCGGAGCATAGTGTCGAGACTTAAACACGGTCCGGACAGGCTGCCCCCCGTCGTTAGGAGCTCCCTCTCGGGTTACTCGTGCCAGGTAACCGTAACACAAATGGAGTGGGATCTTTGGATTATGCGCTTTGAACCACTGAAGTGCATATGCATAACTACTACTACTCCTACTATAGAAATGAAATAAATAGAGCTTGTCACAATAATAATATTAAATCGCCCAGTTATTGCTTCTATTACAAATTTAAATGAAATTAATCTCTTGTTTTAACCCCAATAAAGGATGTTTCTGCTAAATTTCTAGTAGAAACTGAAACAATTCAGAAGGATTACAGTGAACTTTCAAAATTTCAGTATGAGAAATAGATTAAATTAATAGTCCATAAGGTCCCTACAAAACCTGTCAATCACCATGACAAAAAGATATGTGCCCAACAGTATCCATTCTGAGGGTACACTGTAACAATAGAATAGCTAGATGGACTCAAAGTACATCAAGACGAAATTGTTTCATAGATTCATTTCACAAGCCATCCATTGCATTTTCAAGTATGTGGCCTCGGGATGCTTCGTCTGCATCGCAGCAATACCTAGAGAGGCGCAAAAAACATTCTCAAACTTCTGAATGCTGTATAACCACGGAAACACGCTTCATTGTCTAAACTCTCGCTTTTTGACTCGCGCATGGAAGTTACCTGGATGGATTCCAGCTCTGTGAGACCATATAAGCATATTCCTTGTCAATTGCATTTTGAAATGGTGCTTACCCGGAAACAACGGTCCAGTCGGACTTGGGATCCGGAGCTTCGAAATCCAAAGATAAGAGAAGTGATGGTACAATCTATTGAGCTTCATTAGACTTCTTGTTTCGATGGTCTACCCGGGAACGACGAATGACAGACCTTCCTCATCAACAGCCACGAAAGATCTGAGAACGATTAGAGAATACACTTTTGGGAGAGAGGAGAGGAGTCTGGTTTTACATACTTTTACCAAGACATGTCCGGGACCCTAGACCAAATCCCATCGAGAATCGTGCTAGGTATAGTGTCAAACCTGGATTAAACATGGGCACTCTTGAAAGAACCTACACATATTTGGTTGGCTATCCTCAAGCCACCGTTCAGGCACGAAAGATGACGTGTCCGCACCAAAGATCTCCGGCATCCGACTTATCGCGAATGCTGGTGATCCAACCGTTACCTATGTAACACAGTCTGTAAGCTGGGCTAAGCAAGAGAGTCAGGTGCTGGAGTTACATACTCCTGCTGGAATGCGCTGGCCGAGTATTTCGGCTCCGCCTTTGGGTGTTTCTCTAGGCAGGATACCACCAATACTGGGATACATACGTTGCGCTTCTTGAATGACTGCGTTAAGATAAGGACAGGCTGCAGCCTGTTGTGAGGTGCAAATAATATCCAATTTCCCATGACTTAGTTGTTGATCAAGCTCCTGCATAAGTTTGTCAAGTTTGTCTCGGTTGTTGATAAGATGGTAGAACACAGAGTTCAACCAAGAGCCACCATCAGTTACACCAGCATTCACACCAAAACTAAGAAGGTGTGTCACTTCCTCATCTGTGAATACGTTGGAACCCTTAGAGGACTGTACACGCAATAGCCTTGAGGCAATATTGCGTTGCGTTTCTCCTATATGAGTATTGCTGGGATCTTTGAGAGCCCCTAGGAATGTTCCGATGATTCGGCTGACCACATCTGGAGTCTCTTTCTGTGAAAACAAATGTTTGCTTACAAAATTTGAAGCCTTTGCAGCGTAAAACAGCCATGGTGTCATTCCATGCAAATGAGCCTGCTTGGTAAACCGGTCCACTGCGTCAAACGGGTTGTCCGCGGGACTACTATCAATGTATCCTACATTTTGTTCAAATGTGAGGTCCAACATACAATCTATTGAGTGTCAGCGATGTCATTTCAGCAAGATGAAAGACTTAAGTACCACACAAAAGTCTCTCGAACCATTTTCCGAGATTAATATTCGCCCCTTCAGTTCTCTGAATCTGCTCAATGAATTTCTTGATTGAACCATCGATATTTGCGTCCAGGTCTTTCAAGCCGCTAGCGCTGTATATATGCGAGAATTGTTTTCTGAATTTGCCGTGCAGGGTTTCGTTTTTCTCGACAAAAATATCGATCTTTGGACCTGGAATACGGAACGGTTGGTAATAATCGCTCTTCTGAAAAGGCGCTGCAATGTTGTAGATCTTGCGAAAGGTAGCTGCATCTGTAACGCTCCTGATGGAAACATACTTCGTGAGTGACCGACCCCAAGAATTATGGCAACTGACCGTCGTACAATTTAGAGGGACCTATTCGGACGACCGGGCCATACTGCGCATGCAGTTCATACAATGTGATATATTCTTTGCCTGTCAATATCACATTCATGTGCCATAGATTCGTGAGTCGGGCCCAAAATGGGCCTGGGAACCGTGCAAGAGGAGAAATAAACAGCCGATAAATGCTGCGGCATATAAGAAACAGCAGAAATACACCTCCCAGCATGAGTATGCGCTGGGGTAGAGTCAAGCCCAGGCAGGCACTTAAGAAGGTTGCCAGAAGCGTCATTTTGGCACTATAGCAGTAAAACAGGTAAACAAGAGAATACTTCAGGTGGGATGGGTCTTGTTCTTATCATTTGTGCTAAACCGTTATCAGGCTGCTTTCTATCAATGCGGAAATTCTGTAGCTTAGTAGTTGAACCCAGCGGAAAGTCCGTCCATCCTGGCAACTCCGCTCCTGAGATCTGTCCCAGATACGATTGATTAAGACCAACCCTTCAGGTAGTGCGGGGGTCCCACAATTTGGACCTGTCATGGCTATACCAAACTTCCTAGATCAACCTCGGAGCCTCTCTACTGACCGTAACCCACTGTCTGTTACGACGCTGTTTGCGTGTCTAAAAAGCCTGGCAACTCTCTCTAGGGGTTGTCCACGTCCCCAGTGGAGTTCTGCTAAGCGAATCGTTTCTTAAAAGCCCCTTAATCCCGGGCGACTAGATAGAATAATCCGAATTTCCAGATGCTCGAAAATTGCCGAGGAGATAAGCGTTCAGGTTCGGGGCGAGTGATTTGACAGTATGAGACTTGATACCTCGAAAGCCTTGACCAGACTTAGTTGCGAAAAGGGGATAGGTTCGGTATTAGGAGTCTCACTCTCGGAAAGTCCGACAAGTGAGCAACAAAGCTTCGATTTCCGAGGCCGACCAGTATATCATCAAAATAAGTAATTTTTCATAGAGTAGAGCTAATTACTATTAGCCACCTAGAGATTTACCACTTCATTATAGATAATTTTTTTAACTTTTTGTAACGATAGACGGTGAACGATAGTTTGAATGTGCGTATGGGCTACAGAACATTTGCCGAGCCTGGTCAACAATGAAGCGATCGATGAGGTCCCTGATCAGTACAGCTCCCAGGGAGTGAAAGGGGTTAGTGCCCTGAAACGAGGAACGAAGTGGAGGGGTTTACCCTGCGCGAGCTGCCCGAGGGTCTTCTGCTGCCTTTTCCCCGCGTCCCAACGCCTCGCCAATCCTTCGTTTTCGCGATCCTGATTGGTCCGTTTCGTGTGCTAATAATTGGTCTTATTTGCTATTGATTTCTGCCTTCTACTTTCCAGTTTGGATCATTGCGAAGTACTTGATAATGCACGTGATACACGGTTGTCACGTGCTTGCTTTGCCATCGTGCCCCGAGGAGTAGAGTTTATTTAGTCTATTCTCTTATACCCCCTTAACACCTCCTTTTTTATCAATAAAAGCTCTATGGCTTCTCCTCTAGGTTTCTCAGATGATTATTCTTGCTAAACATATCGGTTGACTGACTTGGTTATAGTGGACCCGAATGTTAAGTCGACTCCGTTTCGTTTCCTGGACTTGCCCTTTGAGCTTCGAAGTCAGATAATTAAATTGTCAATCGGCAGCAAGCGCCCTAAGTCAAAGCCGCAGCATGGTACTTTCAGAACCGGATTTGAGATAGAGCCACACGATTTCACTATTAGCTCCACGGGTCTCAAATGCCACTCCTTTACATCTTTCAACCTTCTTTCTATCTGTCGGCAGATCCGCCATGAATCAATGACCATCATTTTCCAAAACGCCTCAGTATGCCTTCAAGTCGAGATTCCCAGATATGGTGGATTAAGTAATGTGGCTGCATCAGTATCTAGAAACCTTGAGGCTCTGAAAGCATATCCTCTACTTTGCGACTTGGCACAAGGGGCCACCATTATTTTTCGCCCCGAGTCTGCCTACGTTAGTGGCCCATTAATAGAGACCCAGGGTAACATGGTCCCTTTGCTAAGAGAGCACCCGGCGGTCATGATGTTTATCGGACTGTGCGTGGGCATTTATGCTCCGGTATTCGCTTTGGCAAAGTCGGCTAGCTGGATTCACAGGACTGCTCCTTTCCAAAGGAGACACGCCGATCTTCAAGCTCTTGTTGACACTCTTGCACATGGGTTCAGAAGCCGCAAGTCTCTGAAAATAATTATATATTTAAACGACTTATATTTACAAGATCTGTCGATTATTTTGCGCTTGTTTGAAGCGCCGTCTGGCTCCTTCACATTAGAAGAGCGATGGATACAGTGGCATTACCCTGTTATGCAAGACCGTGTCTGGGAAAATTATGAAGCGAACTACAAATCCTTGATCCCGGCTGCTGCTGAAGAAGTTAGGCACAACCCGCTTCTAGCTGTTTCTCCGAAACTAGACATTTTTGAGGTGGATGAGACCGATGATAGTAATACGCTAGGCTCTAAGATTATTGGGAAAAGGCGAAGGATCTGGATCGAGGAATCTCTATGAGTCGCAATTGGAGGCTGTAGTACGTCTTATTAAGATGCAACAAACACGCTTTGTAATAATATCGGATGTGGGGCAATGAGTTTAGTAGTTGCCTAGCTAAGATAGGGTTTGCAGCACTCTTTGGATATATAGTGGTAGTGAAGGGTTTGTTAAAGAGGAGCGGTGGACGGGGTCTCCTTTCGCTGGTTCCAAGTGAGCACTCCGGGACCTAATAGCCAGGGATTATATTGGCCATAATCAGTCGTATATGAAGGAACCAAGAAGTATTATTCTTGCAGTGGTATTGGCTAAAAACGATTTAGCAAATTAGATTGTGCTTCGCCTGGCTCGGTGTACAGATGAATCCGGAGGTCGAACGATGGGCGTGGTAACTAAACCCGACGTACTGACTCTTGGAGTAGAAATTGAGAAAATGTTCGCTTCTCTGGCTAAGAACTAGGAAGTTGAGTTTCGTCTTGGATGGCATGTGCTTATAAATATGGACTCTGAATAGGCTCGTGGGACTCTAATTGATGGGATGCTCAACGGCAAAATATCTTCTCCCAAGGTGTTAAGGAATTTATGTCCAGAACGCTGCTCAAAATCTAAGGATTGCGAGATTGTCTTAGCAAGATCTTGCAGTGTCAAATCGCAACTGAGCTACCATGCTTGATTGAGGAGATTAAGGTTGAAGTCGATGAAGCTAATGAGCAAATAAAGTGCCTCGGTGACACTCGGGAGACATTGCAGCATCAGTAAGTGTACCTTTTCAGATTAGCCAATCGTTCCATCTGCGGTCAAGGCTGCCGTCGATGGCACGTGTAATAGCCATCTTTCCGGTGATATACATGTATGATCGGGATATCCAAAACGCCTACGGGCAGTGGTTCAAAATCTAAACGAAGAATCTGCAGGAGACTTCAACTTCCATAATACACGGGACATTTTCAGGATTATCTAGGACCCGCCTAATCTGATTGCAGGCTAGGATTTTAATTTACAAACTCCTATGGATATTGTCAAGATCTAGTCAATAGCTATTTCATTATAGGTTGAACATGGTCAGTGGAGCGAGACAGTTGACTGATCTGACGCCTTTTACGCTTCAGTGCCACGCGTGTTGCTCCAGCTCCGACTACTGAGGGATCTTCAACTTTATAAAATGATTGAAAGGATAAATCAAACTCTAAGATGACTGGAAATACTCAGCGCGTAGGAACGTATTTTCCCTTCGCGATTAGCGCGGCGTCCTGCATCGGAAGATAGCAAGCTTTGATAATTTGGTCATGCCTCGTTTTTGAAGGACTAGGAGGACTTTTACGATATTGCTTAAGCAAGTTCTCTAGCGACCTGGTCGTCTTTTCTATTCGGGTAGCTGTTTTGGGTGTCCTTGTAACGGACCCGGCAGTAAACCATGTGCCATGGCCTTACAGATGACGTTGATAGGGGGATGTAGTAATAGTAGTGGTGGTATTCATACTCGGAGCTGTCAGGCGTGAGCCCGATTTGCCGGCAGGAGACTGTGACTAGCTAGTACACTTACTACAAGAGTGATGCATGCAGCGGACTATCTTCCTCAAGCTTTGTATTCTGAATAGCATGGCTCAATTTGAATGAGCCTAAATGCAAGCTCTGGAAAACTTTCTCGGGATCGTAGACCTTGGCCACCTCGGACAAGAACTTCACGTTAGCGTCACCGTAGCTGCCAATAACATCCTGCCATTCGCCGGCATAGTTTGCGAAAAGAAAGGGGTGGTAACGATTCCGCTTTAGCGCTTCATCCTTAACCCTTCCAATAATACGTTTCTGGATGGCGATGACTTCGGCGTTATATCGTTCTAGCTTGGTGCTGAATATCAGCAAAAAGGAGATGAGGGGCTCCTTGATATCATCCAGCCCGAACACATTGCCTGCAGGACTTAGGGTACGAGGGATTGCATGAAACTCCATCGTCCCTCTGATGTGTGGTGAAACGGGCGCAGCCTCTTGGACGAAAACATTGAAAGCAAATTCGAGTAGCTCCTTATCTAGTCTGAATGTTAGGGTGGCAATCGCTGCACGATCTCCATTGAAATCTTGGAGATTGGCTATATTCGAAGCCAGGGTAGAGTAGTCGGTCATTCCGAGTGAAGATTCGGTTGCTGGCACTTTACGAAGGTCGTCAAACACAGGCAAATCTTCAACAGGTTCTGTATGGACAAGGTACTGAAGTAGCTGAAGAGGCCCCTCGTCGTAAGTGAAAATAATAATAGTATGGCCTTTAGGATTAGCCTCCAATTTTTGTACAAAGCCAGCGTATGCGTCGATGGCCTGCTTGGCGTGTACACTCTCGATAAATCGGCGACCACCCCACATCCCCCTGTATGGATAGGTTTCCAACTCGAAAGCCGTGATAATGCCAAAATTTGAGCCTCCACCCCGTAGGGCCTTGAAAAGGATGGGCTCGCTTTCTTGGCTGGCGGTAACAACACTGCCGTTGCTGAGAACAACCTCGAAAGATCGGACGTGGTTGATGGCCCAGCCACGGCGAGCGGCATAGAATGACAGACCTCCTGCGTTGTCCAGTATGAGTACGACACCCTTGAATTTGAAATTCAGCATTCACATACCTCCAACTAAGAAGCCCCCAACCCCGACATCGAAAGCTCTTCCACCAACCGCGATCAATCCTTCTTTCTGTAGTTTTGTGTATACAGACCCCCAGGTACTGCCTGCACCAACAAGCACGGTCCCTTTGCTTCTGTCAATGGAGATGGTATTAAGCTTGGCCAAATCTAGTTGTACACCCCCATCAAGGCAGGACTGCCCCGCGAAGTGCCCATGACCACCGCTCTTCACGCCAAAGGGACATCTTGATCTTGCGCAGAGAGCGACAGCTCGAGCGAGGTCTTGCGCGCTATGTGGTTGGAAGAAACATCGAGGTTTTAGGGCCTTTTGATTTCCAGACCAATAGCTATCCTGAAGAGATTTGTAGGAAGAATCGCTCTCGTCGAAGACCTGTCCGGGAAACTGTCGACGGAGCTCAGAAGCCTATGATAGCGTCAATAAAAGCGCAGAACGCAGACCGGAATGATCAATAGAATACCCACTACATCGTCAGTGATTGATGAAATAGTCATTCTGACCACGACTGGGTTTATGGAATGCAACTTGATGGGTGTCTTGGAGAATTGTGCAGGTTTCGACTTGGGTGGCAGATCTTGTCAATCGAGAGTTGCGCGCCTCGGGCCCTCTTTATTTGCGTACATCATGCAAAGATCTAAATTTGGGGCTAATTCCAGAAATCAAAGAAATTAGAGGAGAAGCATAACATAAACTTGTTTCATTGGCACTGCTAACGCTGTTGAGCTTGTCATTCCGATTCTGCGAATATCCGAGATTATAGAGATTGCTGGAATTCGGTACGTCTGATGGCTCACAGCATAGAAATTCCGAAGTTTCGGTTATTCAACTTCGCAAGAGTAACTAAATAATATTCGGAATTATCAAGAACCTAGTAAGACCTCAGGCTTCGGTCCACACTAGATTCCGTCGGAAACACCGAGCGCCTCTAGGCTTCTCGGAGGTCTATGCTCCGTAAGACGCGCGACGAAAACCCCCAGAACGTTCCTTGTTAAAGAGAGTACTGTTCATGGTCTGATCCTCTCTCTATGACTGACCACAAATTTGGTTCACGCAGAGCGCCTAACTTTTAACTCTGGTTGTTCACTACCGGTAACCCATGGATAATTCCTCTGCGCGGCTATTCGAACGAATTCTACTTCATTGCTTAATTCAGCGTCAAAAAAGATTCCAGCTGAGGATCTCTGAAGTAGAAAGATTTCGAAGTCGTTTTTGATTATCACTAGCCATCACTGCAACGATATATTCCTTACTATCACGGAGAAAATGGCGGCGAGTTTTAGGCCAGTCTCCTGTGTTAACGGTCCAGTGCATTTAGTGCTGAACAAATCAAGTCAAATTGCCTATATTTTGTACTAGATACGGAGGTTTTCTCAGAACATAGAAACACAATCGTCTTCATGGTAATATTCTCGAGTTCATCTGATAATGTCTCCCACGTATCCAGAAATCATCCAGTATCCATTATCCGAAATCCATTGAGTAACCGAGGGTTGCGGACCAGTGTATGTTCAGTGCTTTTCCACCTTACGCTCCATTGTGTTCCCCGTATTCAGCATTTCCCAATCAATCTTTGGTCCTTTAAATTGGTGCCCAAAGACAAACCAACCCACAATTATCAGGAGGGTAACGGCAATCAAGACTGGCGACGTGTAGTTCATGGATCCAACTGTGACTGGTAGACCTGGAGGCATACACACCAGAACTATCAGAACCGGGATCCAAAGGGTTGAGAATATATTGCAGAACAATCCGAGATACCCGAGTTTGAACGGCCGCTCTGGAAGGGCTTTGTTACGGCCGCGTAGGACAAGGATGGTCTGTGGTGCCGCAAGTGTGATGTTGAGAAAAAGAACTGCGGACGTAATGATAGAATTGAATGCAGTTGTACTAGCAAGGTAGAGCAGTCCGTATAAGGCGTTAAACGCCAGTGCTGCCACCGTAGCTCGTGCCGGAAATTCCAACTTCGTATCAACATGTGCAAAGTAGTCTGGGAACGGGGTTCCTCCGTCTCGTGCAAATGCCCAAGCGATACGACCGCAGGCAACAAACTGGGGTGGCATAGCGGCTGACATATAAAGGTCAGCTATATAGGATCGACAGTAGGGAAACGCATTTATGGGGATTCAATGGGACTCACAGGCATATACAATAATCAGCCAGGCGGCCAAGAATATCGTCAAGGGACGATTTCCAGTAGCCTGGTACATAAGATCAACAGCAGGGAAGCCAGAATTCATAACTTCCGTCATGTCGGTCATTGTGAACATGCCAGCCACCACGACAGGGACGCTGGTTAGTAAGCCAATAATCATGGTAAGATTCCTAGATCACGTATGTTAGCGGGAGACAAGAACGTAGGTGTATTAAATACTTACATGACCACAGGCAACCTACGTCCCGGAGCCTGCATTTCTTCCGCGATATGGATAGCTGAATCTGATCCTTGAAAACAGTACATGGCGTTTGTGATTCCTAAGGCCCATGCCGTTCCTTGACCCCAACCGCTAGTACCCAGGTCTGATTTCAGAATAAATGAACCATCGTTTGTATGCTGTCTCATCGCCAGAAAGATGATGAACCAGGCCAAGCAACCACTCAGACTCAGATACATCGAGCCAGACGCGATTTTTGGAAGCGACTTCGGAAATAGGAAAAGTGGAACGACTACTACTGGTCAGTTCAAGGCCCCCGAGCCAGGTTTATCGACGTACCAGAGATCACGGCCATCGCAAGATAGCAAAGGTAGATATGCCAGTCCTTAGGTGTGTAGCTTGGATTCACAAAAGCGGCCAGGCCAGTGCCCGCGATTGCCACCAGGGAAAGCCCAGAGGTCGTCGCGAGCCACCAAGCAAGAACGGACATCCACCCGACAACGAAAGCGCTGAACCGCTTGAATTTCTCGGGCGCAAGGATATATGTAAAATGATACTGGCCCTATATCGAGGTTAATATTGGAACAGTACAGAACTGGGGTAGACCTCGCGCGTACACCCGAGCTAGGGAAAGCAGAGGCGAGCTCTGCCAAACCCAGTGTAACTATCCATTGGACAAAGACGGCCGTCACAAGCGCAAAAATGGCACATTGTGGCCCACCATAGCGCAGGCTTTGTCCAAACGTACTCATTGCCCCTATCCAGGAATTCATAACGCTAATCTATCGTGTTAGCTGATCGTGCGCTGAAAACCCGGAACATAGAGGGAGGAATTACCAGAACATCAATCCCAGAGAGGACATAGCAGAGAAGAGACGAGGCATTGCAGCCTTGTGGCCCTGGGCACGTAGGATAGCATCGTCAATGGCATTCGCATCGCTCGACACGTATTCTACGCCGCCACTTTCGACGGAACCAATTCGCAGAGCCTGCGACGATTCATCCATACCTTGAGAGCTGCTTCCCTCTAGTTTGGTCTTGGTCCCAGCGTCAGAGTTCATATTGTAGAAGATAGTTTCCGATTGCATTTCGAATAAGATTGATTGTCTGCAACGCTTCGACGAAGGTGAAGCCAGCTGTTTAAATGTACGGATCCTCCGAAGGAGAACAATCCGAGAAATGGGTTATCACTGAATCCGGCTCCAAGACGAACCAATCATTTCGCTTTCATCGTGTAGGTTGCCTCTTATCTTACTACTATGTAGTAGTTTATAACCAAGCTACCGGTGACCCCAAACTCCGGAACGCGGGGATGCGGCGGTCTTTGAGGAGTGATAATGGTTGCTCCACCGAATTAAGTTTGCCCGCTAGCTAGCGCCTAAAACGAATAATAATAAGGAAAGTCAGGACGAGGGTTGAGATAAGGATGCTGTTCATGGGCCCGCTCTCTCTTCCGTTTCTGCCCTTCGGCCTTTCCACCCGCTGCTACCCCTAGATGGCATAGATAGCTAACGTCCAATCGGCCTCATTATGCTACGTCTGTGAACATACTATCATCTATGCAATTCAGAGTCGGGTCGGACAAAGCCCGGACGCGTCCAAACACCCTACCGGTATTCTCATGACGTAACGGACTCGGCAATCTGAGATCAGGTGATAGCCGCCTGCGTGCGACCGCTTAATTCCAGCTTCCAGGGGCTTCCCTAACACTATCTCGGAAATTACTCGAGTCTCCGGCTGATTTTCAACAAAGGCCAGTTTTATCGACCTGCCCCTGGACATTGGTTATACTATGACAGGGACAAAACTGCTCACGTCATGCGACGCCTGTCGAACGCGCAAAGTGCGCTGCCTAAGTAGGCCTTCCAGCCATAAATCGTGTTACTCGCTTCTTGTGACCTGACAGAATATTAGAGCAGCGCGAGGAAGACCTTACTTGTATTAACTGCCACGTACGCTCCACATCCAGATCTACTATGTATGCAGGTCCGGCGGTCGCCATGCTTACTAGTGTTAGAAACGTGGAGACACCTGCCAGTTCTCGCGTATGAAGAAACGACGAACGCAGGATCAATCAGCTTCCGGACCGTCCATCACCAATGTAGATATCATTGAAAGCACCGCTGTCGTAACACCAAGGCACTTTGAGAGTGGTACAACTCCTAGCCTCTCGACAGGAACGCCTAGGCAGCCATCAGGCTTATTGTCATCGCTTCAAACTACGTCTCGCCCAGTAGCACGCAGGTCGCCTGCAATTACACCGCCCCCTACGCGCCCCAAAGACACTTTACCTGAATTATGTATAGATCGGATTCTGAAAGGCGACTATGAGCCACCTACCTATATTCAACAATCGATATTCATTGTACGTCCACCCAAGCTTGATTCAAATAATTCAGCTGACTCTGCCAGACAAGCAATGCCCATGGTGAAGCTCCTCCCCTCCCGCCCAACAAGAAGGTCAGATTTGGCAAGCTGACATCGCAATACATCAGTCGCCAGTTCAACACAAGCCTTCTTCTCTGAACGCAAGATCAAGGTCCTGTCGGATATTCTCGGCCACAATCTATTAGGACCTCTTATTAAGGGACTTGACGATGCAACGTCCGCAAAGCTAAAGGGTTTCTCCCGAATGGCCGACAAACCCTTGGCAGCAGGGTCGCCTTTAACGAAAGCAAATATCACCGAAGAAGACATTTTGCATGCAAAAGTCTATGTTGAATCATTCTTCCAATATGTGCATCCGATGTACCCTTTCCTCGACAGGGATGAGTTCGAGAAAGCCACATCCAGGACAGATCTCGAGGACTTTCTTTCCAGAAATGTTATGTGGCAGGCTCTATACTACGCCATCTTGGGTCTTGGATCTATGTATCACAATGGTGGCTCCTTTCTACCGGGGGAAGGGTTATCTTGGAAGTTTTTCCAAGCAGCGTTGAATCTTATGCCGGAGCTCTTGCTAATTCGGAGGACGATAGAGACAGCACAGGTATGAAACAATAACACTGCCCTCCTTTGCCACTAAGTAGACTCAATAACATACCTACTAACAGTAAGACAGGCACTTATTGCTATGGTATCATGCCCTTGACTATAAGCAACATCCGATATATGTTTTCTAACATGAGTAGGCTATTTTTGCCCAGGTTCACGCGTCCCTTCCGGTTGATGAGATCCCTGTGAACGAGGCTGCCAGAATTACCATCTCGCTAGGTCTCGGGAAGAGACCTAAAGCGCCAAGTAGTTTTCAGAATCGCTCCAAAGCGTTTTGGGTAGTCTATTGTATGGAGAAGGATTTTGCATTCAATGTTGGCAGGTCCTCGGTTAGTATACTTCTTACCCTTCACGAACTTACCGCTCAAGGAAATTACTGAACAGGGGGTTCTAGCTCATCAACGATTGCGATATAGCTTGCCCTCTTCCATCTCATGTTGACCCCGTTCTCGGAGAATTGGACTGGATTCGAGCTTGGGCTTCGTTTTCCCGACTGACATCTAAAGCGTATGACCTTCTATTCTCTATCAGTGCAACTCTCTCGGAACAAGATACTTATTTCAGGCATACCGATTCCATTCTGGCTGATCTTGACGCTTGGAAAGAAGCCCTTCCTCAGCAATTTCGGCCTGGGTCGGCTATCAAACTTCACTTATTCAACGGTTCGGTGTCCCTGACTCTGGCGATCAGAATCCATTTTTATTATTACAATTTGCAAATTGCCATTGCTCGACTGATCCTACATCTGAGTGACGGTGAACATACAGCACGACAATCTCAAAGCAAGCTGATGCTCATGCACGCTGCACGGTCGATTGTCAGTCTCACAAACTTCCTGGCCATTGAGCCCTTCACCCCTTGTTGGTATGTACGGGCTTGGCGCTTTCATAGAATGGACATAGAGTGCTTTTTGTTTTATTAATATTCTTTTAGGATGCTTATCCAAATGCCAATGGTTGCTGTGTTCATATTGTTTGAACTAGTTATCCATAACCCAGTACACCGCGAAACTACGAACAACTTGATCTACCTTGACTTAGCTTCTGGATACTTTGCTCGGATGCAGATGACTCAAGGCGCCGATAGGGATCTTTCTATATCAATGACGCAGTTGATTCAATTGGCGAGGGATTTTGTCCAGCAATCTCGTCAAACATACACACACGCTGAAGAGCCTGAGCACCAAGTTGAAACCATATCCACCATATCCTCTTATAGCAATCTGCATGGAAGCCACGGTTCGGAAACTCGGCATATAGCGCACACACCCCAAGAAGCCCAACAAACTGATCTGAATACCTCAATCAACCCGCTTAACTTTAGGCAGTCGACTGATTTTCCGATTGATGGTGCGGTGAGTATCCCCAAGCTCTACGGGAAGAAGGAAGGATATTAATTACAAGATAGATCCCAAGCATTTACGCCGAGTCGATGGAATCTCTTGTTTTCCCTATCGATAGCGGGCTTTTTCACAATACTGGATTCCACGATTCGTTTGCTTGCGATGGGAATGACCTGAGATTCCTGGATTTTCTCGAAATAAGGCGGTAGCGTACGGAAGCGAAAGCCTGCAGTTACAGTATTATGACTGCTTGTGACAGTCGCTTCGTCGAATGGTCATGATGCTAAGGAGATTCTGAGTCTGGCAGAAGCCCCTCAGTCCATAGAGTCGGCTTGCACAATTTCCCCTACGGTTTTAGCCTAGAGTCCCAGCTGCCTATAGTCCGAGGATGCTGAGCCGCGATCAGATAACAATCAGGACTTGAAATTTAAAGGTCCCTTGATTTCTTTATCTGGATCTCTTCAAGATTCAGTTTTGTGTTCTTGATACATACAGAATTTACTTATACTGATTTACCACAGTTCCTCTGAAAGATTCTCATAATTAAACGAAGAGGATGGAACAGCCTCATCAAATATAATTGAGAATCCCTGAGCAGGTGAAGGTCAGTTTGACTAAAATTAAATATGCTAAAAGCAGGGTTACCTATCAACCCGAGTCACTCCATCCAAGTCCTCGATCTCAAAATCGTGAAATTGCACAACAAGAGGCTTAGTCGTGGTCCTAGCAGCGTCAGGTCTTGAAACATAAACTGCTACCCAGATATCTGGGTCATCCTTGCTCTCATTCACAAAACACCACGGGACAATACGGATCATTCTCTTCACTGTATGGGGTCCTTGTCCGTAGATGGCGTGAATGGCAAGACGATCGCCAAATCTCGAAATTTCCATTGTAATATCCTTTTCGTTTTCATAGGCTTCAGGAATTGCGTGCAAGCTCCAGTCAGTCAGGTCTTCGTGACTGGAACAGATCATATGATAAATTTTCCCTTCCCAAAACTCAATTCCAATCTTGATAAATGAAGGTGCAGTGCCTGAACTTCCCGGATGCTCTGCCGATGGCTCAGGAAGCTCCGCTTTTGGGCGCACAAACAGGAATCCAGCTTGATCCCATTCGCAGGAATAGCCTTCAGTCGGTCTAAAGCTAACGGTTGCACGTTTGAGGTGGGTGGATGGTAGTGCAACACGCGACATAGCGGACTTAAAGGAATAAGCCGGTAACGAAGGGTCAGAGGAGAGCGGCACGCCAAGGACATCGACATTATTGATCGAGGTGAGTGTAAGAGGGTTTGACCACTCTTGGTGATTGACCGGCACAACCTGATATTTTGCCATGGTGTGTGTTTCAAATTCGTTGACTTCGAACAATCTCAAATCTGTGAAAATTGAAAATATTTCTGAATGCGAGTCCTTCGCCTATATATGTCTCTGACATCACGGTAATGTGTCTGGGTCAAATTCTCTATAACAAATCCGCTCATAAGTCCTCCTGACCATGAATGAACTGTGGACCACACACAAGGGTCCGAACTACTATAATTTCTCCAGTCGGTCTCAGAACTCAAAGCTCTTTTCATCATTTGTCGGACTTTCGAGAGTGAGACGGCTAATGTGGATTTTCCGGTTGACTACATTATGTAGAGAGCAACATGAAACATCAGGAACCAACAAATTTAGACTGTTTTTACATAACATTCTGGTGGGCACAAAAAGTTTCTTCTGTAAGTGGCATGCTGCTTCCTCTTCCCCTTTCCATTTTGCCATCCCGAGTTCAACTGCTCATCGATTTTGCAGATGTCCGAAAGTCCGAGGGCGCTGCAAGTCGGTATTTCCGGTAGCCACAGCATGGGATCCCGAAACAGATTGCCTCTACTCCTTTCTTGACCGAGCCAAGTCCGAGGACGTAGCAAAGCCGACAGAGGTTCATATTGCCCATATAAATCGATCGCATAACTTCTACTATCTCCGCGAGAAATTCGATAAGCACATAACTTCCAGCTTGTTCCTGCATTGTCTAGAGAAGAACACTACTCCGCGATGGGTTCCCTCGATCATCAAATGCCGCCCACACAAGATGATTTTGCGTCGTATGAGGGCTATTCAATCCCTGATACCCCCATGGGTACCGCGCGATACCTGAAGATCATCTGCATCGGTGCTGGTGCGTCCGGTCTCAATTTAGCCTTCCAGATCCGTAAGAACATGCGCAATGTAGACTTTGTTATATTTGAAAAAAACGAAGATGTGGGTGGTACATGGTACGAGAATCGGTAGGTTTCACTGTATTTAGTACGTCACAAAAGATATCTTAGCTTATACGTGGATACAGATATCCTGGGTGTGCCTGCGATATTCCGGCGCACAACTACCAGTTCTCATGGGCTGCAAATCCGAACTGGAGTGAATTGTATGTCACCTACCCTCCGTCCTGTTAATATAGGACCTCGGTATGAAAACACCTCGACTAATGGTACTCCAGCTACGCTAAGTCGTCAGAAATTCTCGAATACTTGAGAGCTACGTCGTACAAATACGACCTTCGACGGTACATTCGGTTCCAAAACCGGATTTTAGATTGCACTTGGGATGAAGAAAGCGGCATGTGGAATCTCCATATTCAAGATGAAACTTCTGGGCAAGTCATCACAGAGTCATGCCACTTTCTGTTCAATGGCGGGGGCTATCTAAAGTAGGTACCTTATCATAAATTGTATTCAATATAGGCTAACATGTGGTTTTAGTCACTGGAAATGGCCTAGTATTGCAGGTCTTGACACCTTTGGAGGCGATCTCGTGCACACAGCAAACTGGAAAGAAGGTATTGATCTTCGAGGCAAAAGAGTCGGTGTCATTGGTAATGGCTCTTCTGGAATGCAGGTTCTTCCTGCTATATACCCAGGTAAGTTCCCGCCATTGTTGGGGTTCTCTCCAGGAAACCAAGGTTAATTTGAATTTAGATGTCGAAAGTCTCGTTTCATTTTCAAGGAGCCCAACTTGGGTGACACCGACATTTGCGAGTGAATTTGCAGGCCCAAACGGAGCGAATTTTGGCTGTAAGCTATTTTCACCGCCCAATACGTTCAATAATTCTGATTTTACCCAAGACAGCGAAGAACAAAAACGACAATTCTCGGAGGACCCAGAAAAGTTTTTGGAATATCGAAAGGCCCTCGAAAAGACAATGACTGGAAATTTCAAGCTCGTAAGTATCTGCTAAGCTGATACAGACGTAAACTCGAGCCTGACTTGGAGAAACAGAATCTCAAAGACTCGGAAATGCAAAAAGAAACACAACAATTTTTGAAGGATTATATGAAAGGGGTGTTAAGGGAAGATAGGCTAATCAAACCCTTGATTCCAGAGTTTGGCGTCGGCTGCAGGTAAAAATCCGAAAGCGAATTCCAGATTCTCTACTAACACCATATCAGGCGTCCTACGCCAGGGCTAGGATATCTTGAGACATTGACAAAGCCTAATGTCCGCTTGGTCACAGATGCGATTTCGGAAATTGTCCCACAGGGAATCAAGCTTGAAACAGGAGAAATCATTGAGCTGGATGTCATAGTCTGTGCGACTGGCTTTGATTATTCCTGGATCCCGCGGTTTCCAGTGACAGGGCGCAATAACGTGACCCTAAGTTCGCTTTGGAAGGACCGTCCTACAGCATACTTTGGACTGGCCGTCGCCGAACTCCCCAATTACTTTGGTGAGTCCATCCACTTATTTTATGAAAAGCATGTATCTCATGTTAACAATTTCACAGTGTTCCTTGGACCCAGTTCCGCACTTTCGCACGGGTCAGCCATACCCACCATAGAGGCAGTCACAAAGTACATGCTCCGTATCGTCTGGAAGGCACAAACAGAAACATATAAAGCTGTTGTGCCTTCGACGGAAGCAGTAAATGACTTCATTCTTCACAATGACACATTCCACCAGAGAACTATCTGGGGAACAAAGTGTCGATCATGGCTGAAGGGTGGCAAAGAGGATGGCAAGGTCTTGACTCACCCAGGGAGCCGTGTTCAGAACATCCACTGTCTGCTCAATCCGCGCTTCGAAGATTGGACCTGGACACCGCTTGCTAAGAACCGCTTTGCCTTTATGGGTAATGGCATGACAGTCCTTGAAGAGGATGGAAGAGATGTTACGTGGTATATCAATGACTCAAATACCGGTTACGAAGGGATTTTCTATTAGGGAACTAGGAGGAAATGGGACTTGATGTATTAGATTTTCATTTCGAATGTTCATATGTTATTTTTGAAATGCGTTAAGAGTAAAATCTCCCGCCGTCAATGTGGAGTAGCTGTACTAGTGCAAGATATCCTAACAGAAAACAAAGATGAAACAAACGAATGCTGTATTCTAGATACTCTTTCCACCATCTATGTCACATCTAGCGATGAAGGGACACGATGCTAATATCTTTATCGCAGTAAACTGTATAACCCAACAGTGACAACTCCGTCCACTCCTGGAAGATGTGCCAAACTTTCTCCAACTGAATTAGCTCTAAAAGTTTTATCTGAAACCCTTTTTTTCAGCACCTCTGGTCTGGAAATGCCGTCTAAATCTTGGATTACTTTTCAATTTACTAAGTGGTCCGCGCAATTCTCTTCAAATTCTAAACGACCTCCACTTGAAGAGCGTTCATTTACCTAGATAGCTAGCGCATAAAGGAAATATGTTTTCAATATTCAAGTCTTCCTGAACTCATCGCGGGTAGCATGCCCATCTAAGTGACTTTTTCTGTGATTAAAGCAAAAGAATATCAATCTTGAGATGATACTGGACCCGTCGCCAGTCTAATACGACATATTCTGGTTCAATATCTCTCAACAATGCTTCCTGATCACGCTGTTTCCAGACTTCCTCAATGACACATCGAGCTGCATGACGATTACTGATGCCTAATTTGCAGGAGTAATCCAACCATTGTCTCGCCAAGTCTCTCTCCTTTCTTGAGCACGCCTCCACTGCAGCAATGAAGACAGGCCAAAGCGAAACGCTACCACCCTGCAGGTCAAGGAAGCTAATGGTATCACAAAGGACGTTGAGAACATGGTCTCGAACAGCAATGGGCGCAACGTCATAAATGGCCCGATGCAAATAAATCACGGCAGCATTGCGGAATATACGTTGATGCAGGCTGTTCAGATAATCCTGGCGACTGTGAGAGGGCTGCGTGATTATCCAGTCTGATTTTGTGGTACCAAGCTCGCCGAGAATCTTTCCGCATTGAACTTCGACTTCTATAAGCGACTCACCACTTCCCAAAGCCTCTACAAGCCGATGCACCTTAAATATTGACTGTAACACAGCGCTACTCGCACCAATTGTGTAACCGAAATGACTTTTTCGTGATATGGACTCCAAAAGGTGATCAGTGTTACGGAAACAGTCAAAGGATCCTCCAGAGCCGGTGCGAGCAATCTCCAAAGAGAGAGCCAAGTTCTGTGAAAGCACCCAAGCATCGAACGACATTTTCCAGGGGCTGTCCTGTGAGAAAAAGCTAAGCAACCCATACATACCGAGAAGATGCTTGCGCCATTCGTCGTGTTCAGGCGCATAACAGCCCTGTCGCAGAAAATTTAGTCACTTGAGTGAAATTAAGAGTAAGTTCACTTACCTCTATCTGCGCGAGTGTGAAAAGCGTAGCAGCACAGGCACTGAAATCGTCGACCTGCTGATCCAGGCTGGTACGCAAGGACCTAATGGCGGAAGAGTATCGCATTATTGCCTGCAGCTTGTACCGCTGCGCTAAATCGTGTCTAGTATTCGCGTGAAGAACAGAGAGGTGGAAGGCTGACTGTGATAGCAGGGCGTCAAATAAGCCCTTACTGCCCAATGACCTATCCTGAATCGCAATGTATGGATAGACATGACGCCAAGGATTACTTTTAGTATCGACAGGCATCATGAGAAATGCGACGTGGTTCATGTAATGATGTAATAGCATATCTTCAATCCAAGTCCTATTCGAACATAGACTCTGCGATATTGGTGTGGTTGGCAAGGAATCTGCATTGCTCGTCACGTCTGAGGCGTTCCCTGATGAATCCACAGTATCCGTCTCTTGAGAATTATCTGCTTGTCTGAAGATGCGGAAAGGGTTTGACGTCTCTTGGTGTAATAAGCACTGACAGCATTCCTCTTCACAGCCAGTGCCTATCAAGTGCTCTAACTGGGAAGTGCTGTATGGTTGTTGTCCTGACCACGTTGAAAGTGGATCTAGTGAGCGTCGTGAATGAGACACATACATGCCCTTTTCGCTGTCGACCCAGACGAGTCGGACACTATAGCCTTCACACCTTCTTGAAACTTTCCGGCAGGTCGAACACGCCGGTGCGACGCCATCACACGCTACTCGGCGGCGTCGGCAGGTCCAGCATGCATGAAATGAACGTCGGACTTTCTTAGGCATGATGTTACTTTAGGATCTAAGGGTCAAACTCACGTTGATCGAATGAGTGATTCATGTTATGTTGTGTGATCGCCGAAACCGGGGGAACGTGGGAATTCAGCTTATCAGTGAGCCTTGAGGAGTTTCGGAACTTCGGGGTTTCGATTCATTTCGGTATCTAGCTCAATTACCGATCATGGCAATCAGGCCTCGCTTTCGGAGTATGCTACGTATATGCTCCGGAGTTAACGATGCTAGTGCACTTAATAGTAATATATACCGGCTCATGGACAGATCCTTACTGGACTCACTAGGTGGATGGTAGCTCTGTCGTCCTCGACTTCCTTACTATTGATCAGCCGTCCAGTCCCAACAGTGCTTTTGTACAACGAACCATTGTTGTAAATTGCCCTGATCACAAGTATAAAAGGGGCTGGGACCTACTTTTCTTTGTCACTCTAAACCCCCCCACACAGTACTTGGACTCAAAGAGGCACGGAAGAGCATACTTTTGCGACCCCGTCAAAATGGCCATTCATCCTGTCAGCGTGGCTCTCACGACAGCACGAGATAAATACATCCAGCGCAATCCCGTTTCGAAGAAGCTGCATGAAGAATCACACGAATTCATGCCCGGCGGGAACACAAGAACGGTTCTACATGTTTCGCCCTTCCCCATCACCTTTGCAAGCGGCAAGGATGCCACATTAAGTTCCGTCGACAATGACACCTATGTTGATTTTCTCGGAGAGTACAGCGCCGGTATTTTCGGCCACTCAAATTCCCGTATTGCAGAGGCTGTCCACGAGGCGCTCTCAAAGGGGTGGAACTACGGTGGTCATACTGTTATGGAGAAGATTCTGGCCAAGAAGGTTGTCACTCGATTCCGTCCCAGCGGCATGGACTTGGTTCGATTCACCAACTCTGGCACTGAATCCAACACCGTGGCCATTGCCGCCGCCCTAGCCATTACTGGGCGCCGAAAGATCCTGGTCTTCAGCAACGGTTACCATGGCGGCACACTGATCTTCCCAATGGACCTGATAAACAACCCAGCCACACGCAATGTCAACCTTCCTCACGACTTTGTATTCGCGCCTTACAACAATATCGAGGAAACCGAAGCCATTATTAGCGCCCTGGCCTCACAGAGTCTCGCAGCGATTCTTGTCGAACCTGTTCAGGGCTCTGGTGGGTGCCGACCAGCAACAAAGGGTTTCCTTCGTTATCTGCGTGAAAAGGCTGACGAGCAGCAATGCTTGCTGATTATTGACGAAGTCATGGCTTCAAGGCTCGGCCCCAACGGCTGCAGCGCCGCTATGGGGATTAAAGCGGATATTATAACCCTAGGAAAGTACGTCGGAGGTGGTATGACCTTCGGAGCTTTCGGTGGAAGACGAGATATCATGGAGGTCTTTGATCCCGAAAAAGGCGGCCTCCAACACCCTGGCACTTACAATAACAATGTCATTACCATGTCAGCCGGTGTCGTTGGGTTGGACATCTATAACGCCTCAGAGGTGGAAAGGCTGAATGTACTTGGCACCAACTTCAAGACAAACCTTCAAGGGGTCCTCATTAAGTACGGCATTTACCCTGAACATGCAGCTGGTGCATGCCGAGACATCATTGAGGTAGACAGCTTCAAGAACGATACCCTCATATACCCCGAAGATTTATCATTGACACCCCATGAACCGCTACCGATTATGTTTATCACCGGCTACGGTAGTATGGTGAATGTCCGATTCAGCGGGCCTTCCGCTGCGGATCTCAGAGCTCTATACTACTTTCACATGCTTGAGAACAATATTTACCTGGCTCCTCGAGGATACACACCATTGAATCTTGAGCTCAACGACAATGATTTGGTGAAGTACTTGACGGCATTTGAAGATTTTGTGAATAAGTATAAGGCCCTCTTGGGACTTTGAAGTGGATGGGGTTGGTAGTGATCATATCCAGGTCTGAAGTGGATGAGTAGATTATGGATTGTTTTATCGGAATATAGGGATGAGTCTCATTTTCAGGCAAATAGTGCTAAATCGCACATAATTTTAGACCGGGCGTTTGAGTATCACAAAGCAGCATCATATTTGGCTATCCGTTTCGATGGTATAGTATCCGTAGCTCCATTTTTTGCCCCTCACAAAAGATGACATAATCAGCGGAAAGTCCGAGATTCCGAGGTTATTCTGCCTTCGAGTATCAACCTAAAGACATGCTGACACCGTATATTTGCCTGGTTTCGATTCCCCTTGAATCTTATTGTCTTGATAGCGGGAAACTTAACCATCATCTACCGGTACTAGCACCAGAATATAGTCATTTGTGCTCAAAGCAAGAGATAAACATATGATTAATATTCTCGCCAAACTTAAAACCCCTTTAATAGGTCCATTAGTTCAATTCACAAACGCTGGAAAGGCCAAAGGTAGTGGGAAAGGAAGTCAAAATGGTTTCAATCTGACAATTCTGGTTATTAGTCCAAGCTGATGATCTACGAGGTACAGGAAAAGTGCGAGCAAGCCTGGCAGTTAGTCCAATGGGTATATGATGAATCAATCCAACTTAAGTACCCTCCGAATTCGCCGGCACTTCCACCTTGGAATAAATATATGGTCATGGGTTATGAGGCATATGGGATGCACGAGGAAGCATAACAACTTGTTTGCCATATTCATGATAGCTTTCTTTAGAATATCTGGCCCTTTCGCTCGCCAGCCCTTGTATATTGGAATGAATGTATGGTTCTGGGCTAAGAGGCCTGTGGGATGGATGAGGAAGCGTGGCAACTTCAATATCTGTTAAATTTATCAAAGTTTCTATGACTGATATTACCGATTTTCTGATTAGTCTCTGGACCTAAGATTGAACTTATGGTGCGGGAATATCATGCTTGTGGGGAGGACAAGGAAGCCTAGTACCTCACTCACTAAGTATATGATTTTGTTAATCAAGAAATTGATTATCCTGTATTCGTGACGCTCTTAGGACTCTTAGTGAAGATTCTTCAACGCTATAAATGCTTCGTTGAACTTCCCCGCGAAAGCTCCCTCATGGGCTTGATTACCTATGAGGAGAAACTGAGTATGCTTCTTCTTTCTTCTGAAAAACAATTGTCTACCTTCATTTACTCTTGGGAATACTGAGTATTATAGCTGAAAAATTTAGTACTAGCCTTTGCATTATAGACTACTACGTACTTGAAGGACTGACTGAAACTATATGGGTAGAAAACGCCTCTATGATGTTAGATTGAAACCTTGAAGGCGTAAATAGCCCCCTTATTGCACCGAGCACTTTCGTGCGACGCGAAAAATGAGGTATTAAACAGCGATATAGAACTTAAATGGCAAGTTCTTTCCTTCGGGTTGATTAGCCTCTAGAATATGTATGCTTAGTAGACCACTCAAACATTGTAATGTATTTCCTGGTTCGGGTTGGCCACCCTAAAACACTATATTTGTGATATTTGTTGGAATATATTGTATGGTCTGATACTGACTACTTTGGGTTTTAGTGATATAATCTATAACAGACCCGCCTACCTATCCTAAATCTGATGTTACTAAAACGCCAATATATAGAGTGGATGCATTAGTATACTATCTAACCCTCGCTAAGGCTACGAGTGCGTACATGGAAAAAAATGTGCCGACGAGTGTGTATATAATGGAATGTATGTTGTTGTATTGCCCGATTTAATATGGGACTAACTATATCGGCATCTAGCCCTATGTAAGTTAAATCTGTGTTATCCATGACAAGATGCTTGAGATTAGGAGTCAATACAATCACTTGGAAAATCACAGCAACTACTTAGATTTTCTCTCGACAGCCCACGAACTTGACCTATCTCATACTAGCTCTATCCGACGTGGCATTTTGAGAGGCTACCAGGGTCATTTCGAACTGCACTACTGTAGTCTCGCGAGCAGGCCCCCGAGCCTTACATAGCGATATTATGGCTATTCATCCATTTTAGGCTAAGGTTGACAGTACGACTTGCTGTACGACTGGGGTTTGCATTTTCTAGCGCCAAAAAATTCGCAGACCTCCCTTATCAAAAGTAGAGCCGTGGCCCGACATCTCATTCGACAGTGCTAGATCTGCGAAGCAACCCGTCGAAGCACGTGCTTCTCGTACCAATTTTATGGTGTACACGTCTCACCGGACGTTTTGTATATATCTATTATGAAGAATACTAGCCCACAGATCGTGCACTGCGTACGACATGCTCAAGGTATACATAATCTCACCATCGAGAATCACGGACTTCTTGATCCTGTCCTTACTGTTTTCGGTGAGCAACAATGCCATGAATTGGCTAGAGACTTCACTCGACACAACAACGTTGATTTGGTCATTGCATCGCCTCTTAAAAGGACGGTATACACAGCCCTGTCCGCATTTGCGCCGGTGTTGAGTCGCGGCCAAGCGGTCATGTGCTTGCCAGAGATCCAAGAAACCACGGACCTTCCTTGTGATACAGGCAGCGATCTCCAAACGATTCAGCAAGTATTCAAGGATTTACCAGTAGATCTAAGTCTGGTGGTGGAAGGTTGGCAGACCAAGGTAAGACATCATTCACGTCTGCATTTTTCAGTCACCGTTCCTTAATAAAATCGTTCACATAATCTCTATCATACAATACTGATCCTATGGGTATTTAAAGCGTGGTAGGTGGGCGAAATCAGTTACCGCAATTGAGCAAAGAGTCGATGGTACCCTCAAGTGGTTGAGATCGCGGCCGGAACGTGAAATTGTCTTAGTTTCCCATGGTTGCTTCCTTCACTTCCTCTCTGAAGACTGGGTCGATGCCGTGAACAATCAAGGTAAGTTTACCTGGAGCCCAACGCTGAAAAAGTATTCAGACAGTTGATTGAAAGTAAATCATTAGCAACTAGTTGGAAAAACTGCGAGTATCGGTCTTTTATCTTGGATGAGGATACTGAATGTCGAATTTTGTTGACTGAGACCAGTGAGTCACGACGTAGAAGAGGATTAGAAGAAATTGTACCAAATCGTGATCAACAGTTAAAAATGAAGCAAGTAGTGTTACAGACTTGGGAACAATGGGGTATCATTTCTAATAGTCGGGAACAACAAGATTGAGATAGGCTGCGACGTATTTTCAAACATTGAACAGCGGTTGTTGTACCCTAAGTTTGGTACTGGGCATGATCAGTACGCAGTCCACTAGAGGTTACTTAAGTACATTAGGTAGAAAACCATTCAAGTCGCTCTCTATGTGCACTTTATTTCGCTTTTCGAACCCAGCAGACAGATGATGGATCCCCGAAAACAACACGTTCGCTTACTGCTGAAGTCATCAACTTATCGAAAAAGTAAGGTTCAAGGACTAAGTGCATCGCGCAGAAAAGTCGACTGACCAAAACTGCTTAGCAAGTCCGGAATGGACCAGTCACTTACAGCATAGTCCTCCCGGCTCGACCTGGCATTCGACAGATGCTGTAATTTGTACCAAAATCTTCGATCAATGAGGACACAGTTATAGACTTGGTTCTGAACGAAGGCAAGCAACTTTTAATAGACTTAATAGACAATGTCGAAGCCACAGTGAATTATTCGGCACCATCGACGCAATGCAGTATCTTTTGGACTGTCTGACTGCCACTTATGCTCCATTTCCTCCTTCCGCCTACACTGCCAAGTTCATTGCTTTTAAGTCACACGGGCAACCGTTACGTTCTAACATTATACCTCTCAGACTTTGGGGCTGCGATTGGGCAGATTCAGTTGTGTCCCCAGCCTACTTTTGACTTAGTGGCCAATACAGATTCATAACTTATTCTATCTGTACCGTACCTGGTGAAAGCAGCAAGGTTAGCTGCAAGAATAAGTATGTGAGAGTCGTACGTCTTACGAGCTAGGCTCAGTCCTTTGTTATACCGTGACAGGACCCCGAGTCCTAAGCCCTGCGACGGACCATCCCTTTGTTGTCATGCCTTCCTAATTAGGCACCGCTTTCAAGGCCCCTACGCGACAGTTGTGCAGGGCATCAACCAATCAGGCCACGTATGTGCTCAATAGTTGATTAATATGTCACTAATCCCAGGTAGGCAAGGCGCTTATGGCATGTTCTTTGACATCTACATCCTATTGACTCTTGTTCTCTCGCCTCTTTCACACCCTGCCGGAGCACTCCATACTTTAAATATTTCAACAAACATGCCACTGTATTTGAGAAATAGACTCCAAGCCTACACTGAGCTGTGGCAGCCTATGGTGTATGGCGTATGGTGTAAGTTTTTAACTAACGAATGGTACTTTTCAAGGCAGTTAGCTAACTCGGCTGCTCGTTTCAAAGACTTTATCCAAAACCTTTCCTTTTCCTTGCATAGGGCTCGTAGTCGCGGTTTCGCAACATGGTATTCAAGACTTGGTTTGTATACTCATTTATCCATTTCAACGAATTCTTTTATTCGTTGATAAGAATAAGAATAAGAATAACAATGATGAATTGGGCATAGGCCAATATTTTGCTGCATATGAAGAAGCAGCTACACCAGTGCCGCGTTTAGTCGAAGCAGCGAACGGAGTGGTCTTGGAGATTGGGCCAGGCTCAGGAAATCAGTTTTCGCGATTCAACAAAACAGTGATTTCTCGCATATATGGTATTGAGCCTAATGAGCAGTTATTTAATCAACTTCGCAATGAGACGATCCAATTGCACCATCTCAGTGACATCTATGTTCCGATAAATGCTGCCTTTGAGGATAAGAACATCCTTGAAGAGTGGAATATTCGTGATGAAAGTATCGACTCTGTTGTATGCATGCAAGCATTATGTTCAGTCTCAGATTCAACTGCAGCTGTGAAGCAGATATATCGCTTGTTGAAGTCAGGCGGACAGCTCTTATTTTGGGAGCATACAGCTAGTCAGGATTGGGTTACAAGGCAAATACAAGGTTAGAGAAAAAGAATCATACTGAAAGTCAATAACAATAATAATAATGACATACTCGACAGGCATTTGGAATCTATTTTGGAAGCGATTGATTGGCAACTGTGATCTTCGTCGGAACATTGAACAAGCCGTGATGGAAGCGGGGGACTGGAAAATTATAGAGCTCGGCCATGATAATATTGAGCCGTGGCAGATGATGCCAAGAGTTTGGGGACATCTCATCAAGATTTAAGCCCTGGGATTGAAGGAAGGACGATGCGGATGTAGCCGGAGAAAATTCGCATTGAGGAATAATTCCCTCGCGTGATGTGTAGGTTTTCATTCATAAAACTAGACAGACCCAGGTAGCTACGTGCACCATCAAACTATTACAACTCAATCATCATTTCCATGCCATCTATGAGGATGCTCTTTCCTTGTTAAAACGCTCTTGTAATAGCAGATTTGTACTAGTCATAGTCTAGCACCGTCGAAGTCAGATTATATCTAACTGTCATATGTCGCCAATGTAGTGCATACTCTTGGAAGCTACTAGTACTATAACCTCTATAACATATTCAATATGTTTGTCACAATATGTCACTACTAATGGCAGTCTCTCTTGTAATGAAGCTCCCTTCAAATTCTTGAATTCTTGTTCTATTGACGAAATGACGGGGGAGAACTGTCTGAGCCCACAAGTACCTGGTATGCTGAGTAGAGCCCAGAGCTTTCTAATTCGAGGATTGGCTTCAAAGCCAATTGAGAGTACGACTTAAAAACATGGTGACTATCCAAATAGACACTTTCTAGGCCTTCGATCGAGAAGCCTAAACACATTCTGACCTGGAGAGCACTTCCATATGCTGGTATTTTAGATAATAGACCGTGATACTGATAGGATACTGAGAGTCTTTCGAATTGTTATTCCAAGATCTACAGCAGGACAATATTAACTGACATTTCCCAACCCAACAAACATACATGAAATATAGCGCACTTCCAGACAATCGGATGCATAGTTGTCACGGATACAGTTTGAATCTTCAACTTGTCACCTATCAAACTCCTACAGCCATCATTCCACACACTCCATTCCACTCGGAACCACGGCCAAAGAGCGGTAGCCCTAATATCCGCAACTATCCAGAAGTAGGCGAGATGCCTCTCAACTGCTACCGGGCGACTCAAATGCACTTCGCCACCTCATTAAAGTACCACAAATGAGCTGGAATGTCGAATATTGGAGGCGTTCCGCCATTACCGAAAGGTGTCTCTGTGCCACTAAGCTTCGTTATATCAGTCGTATGCACAGCCTGGCCCGTCGGAGCTCGGATCCAATACTCGGGACCCCATTGCAAATAGCCAAGAGCACGGCTGGGAAATTTCGGAATCGGGTCATCAGTATGAGTTGCTCGGAAGTTGATGGCATCATTTCCTGTGGTGACAAAAGTTGCAAATATGGCATTTCCGACACGGGGGCTGCCGTATGTATACTTAGGGCGTATTCTTAGCTGTTTTGGTTCTTCGCTGTACAATTTATATTGTCAACAGAACACTTACCAAATCTATAGTTGTAACAGCAGCTACAGGTGGTGTGGTACGATATAGGGTTGCTGCAAGGGTAGCCAAAGCTCCTCCAACGCCGTGCCCAGTAACTACAAGCGTAGTGAATGTGGTAGCAGCTTGGGCATTGGCAATTTCCCTGGTGATTCTGGCAGACACTGAATCCCAGGAGTCCTGAAAGCCTTCGTTCACCTGGCAGCCCACTGTCGCGCCGCACAAAGAGGTATCCACAAGTCTAGTATCAAGCGTAGTGATACCAGTCTCTACGCTTCGAATGCCACGGAAAGCTAGAACGAGGATTCTATTGGTGTTGTCCGCAGCAACAAAGCCACTGACACCACCTTTTCCGACACTACAGTCAATCTCACAGTCAGATCATTTCCTCTAGTCTGTTGCAGCTCAGACATTATCTTTACTTACTCCAAAAATGAAAAAGACACAGTGGCAAGGTTCGTTTCCACCAACGGACAGTTTCCTGCTGCGCAACGAATGGGGGTACCGGGTGTAGCAATGTCATTTGCGAAACAATACGCCGCAGCTGAGTATTGTTCGTACAGATTCAGATTACCCAGGGTCGTCGTATCGACATCCATGGCAGTTTCGTTATCTAGGCTGATTATCAATCCTCTCGTCTAAATGTAGAAAATGGCTAGTTTCAACATTCAGAATATGTCCTTACCACGACGAACCACCCCAGCAGTGACTGTAGCAGCCAATGCCGCAACTGTTGTAATCAATCTAAGTAGAATCATATTGCTCTTTGAATGCTTGAATGTTTTTGGTTTCGATATACTTGAATGTGAGGCAAATCACCTTTCTTATAAGGTTTTTTGATCAAAATAAAGCAACATAGACTAACTGGAATTCCTACCAGCCCTGGTCTCAAGTATATACATATATCTATTTTTAATCAAACCCATGGGCATCTACATATTGAGCAAATTCTCATACTTCCATTTCCCAAAGCTATGCACAAGCCTAAGACCGTGTGCGACTACAACAGCCTTCAGCACAGCATATGCATTACCCAATGTACCCACTTAGGTTTCGATGTGCTACCAGCACATGTCATTTTATATGCCTCACTCTAAAACGCGATTACCCTCACGCAAGAACCCTAATATCACCTGATTTTTGTCTTGAAGGCGAAGAGATTCAACGACAGTAGGCTATTAGGGTTGGCGATATACCGATTGTGTAACTTTTAAAGTAGTATTGATGATACTACCTATTACTACCTAGGTGCGCTCCTACTTCCGTACCTGAGCCTTGAATTCTGAAACATTGCTACATGTAGAGATCACTTGCAGCTACCTACGAAGCATACATTTTATATATGTTAAAGCCTAATGCATATTCCTAAGCCTTGAACGACGTCGGAGTTCTATACCGTAGAAGTGGTTTTGATAGCATGTGCACTGTAACATGCAGCTCGAGAAATCTAAACAAATATAGATGGTCTAGTTGCTGTCTCTATTGCAGTGAATTGGTGGACAAAATGATTGCATTCCTGATACTCAAGTACACCCTGAAACGCCGGCCAATAATCTGAACCTTGAACCTTTTGAATGAGAATTTACTAGGTCCCTTGAACTGCACCTCACCGGACGAAAGGTACTCGCCTCACTCTCGCTACTTCGATCATCCCCAAGTAGATCAATCTTGTGCATCCCTAAGATCAATTACACCATATCTCACGGACACCTACCAATCATTCATCTTGCTCATGTCAATCACGAAATCTGATCCTCCTGCTTAACCTCCGCCGCATCCTCCATACCCGTATCCTCACCCTCTGCTGCACCACCAGCACCACCCGCCAAAACCTTCGTCTTAAGCTCATCGATGCCCGGATGAGGCGTACCCGGTGTCACCGCGACAACATTATCATTCTCATCCACAAACTCGAAATTGTAACGCGACAACAAATGCGGAATAGCCGATAACTGAGGGCCGTATCTAGCCGTGTTGTCGTACAGCTCAAACAGTGGGACGGCGAGAAGTTTCATGTTTTTCGGCACACTTAACACCTCTATTCACATACATTAGCTCGCTTTTCGGACGGAGAAACGGACCGGTTGAATGGAAAGAGAAACGTACTCTTCTTCGGAAGCTGAATCAAGTACAACTTCTTACACTCCTTCGGCCGCGTAACATGTCCCGGCAAAAAAGGGTACATAAAAGTCTCAAAATTGGGACGCCACCACTGCGCCAGCGTATCGCCTACTTCCCAGTCCTCGTTTACGCCTTCGCCACTGAATTGGGAGCCCACGGGGGCCAGGCGTTCGTTCAAGCGGGTTTTGAAGCCGGTGATTTCGTCGTCGTCGTGGTGGAGGTAATCTCCTGGTCTGTCAACCAAAATAACCTTCTAGTCAGTATGCAGCGTGATACAAAGAATAATGTGGGTGAAGGGCGGACAATTTAAAAAACGCATTCGCAATCTGCAACATCAACACATGCGGATGATTATGCTCATGACAAACCAGCACACCCTCGCACGTGCGACGCATGCCATGTAAATCATAATGCTCCTCCAACCGTTTCAGACGCGCCAGCACAGAAGGGTCTTCTTCTGGTTGATTCTCTTTTGTGCCGAATGTGTAGTTGCTGAGTGGGTACAGGCGGATCGTTTGTGGTTGTTTGGCGTCGAAAGATTTGGGGATTATGGGCCTGTCAACCTGTCAGCTCAGTCCATTCTTTGTATGGTATCGAAGTGCTATGCGTTTTGTCTTAGCTTGGGATGGACGTACGGCTTGGAGCTCTGCATGGCAGTGACTGTGACTGTAGACATGGCGGCGGTAATGTTGGCAGTCCGCTAATCACTAAAATTTTGTGTACTTGATCTTCGACTGGTGAGACAAGGACTCAATCAGGAGAATGAGAGTTGCGATAGCGTTGAAGATGACCTCCGCGGGATGTTTGTCGAGGTTCAGTTAAGCTGAGAGCTCTGGCCAATCATATCGATATCAGACCCACTTTCACTTTATCTATTACTTTGTAGATTTCAACTTTTCTAGTTCTCTTTCAATAATCTAGTAGCTCATGACTCTATCTATCCACTAAATATACAGCCAAACGCAAAACTACAACTTTGAATCAAAATCCCCAAACTCACTCAAATCCACAATCGGGCTGGGCCCAGGACTGACGGGCAATCGTGCCTTGAACTGGGGCACGTTGGTGATGTAGATGGGCTGTCTGGTAGTTGCCTTGATGGTAGTCGCATCCCCATTGCTGATACTAACGCTCGTAAGCTGATTGTGTAGAGACTCTGCACCTTCAGCGGTCTCCGACGTGTCGACGGGCAAGTCGTCTGTCTCCGCGGACTGCGCGTTCAAGTGAATCGAAATCTTGGCGCGAGTTTCTGAGGAGGGTTCAATGTATTGTTTGAAAAATGCGACGATGTCTGGTTTCGTCAATGTGCGGACTGTCGCGGCATCGATCTCATGTTGCAAAAAGTTGAAGTACTCTGATCCAATATGTGTCCAGAAACGAGAGGTCTCAGAACCGAGGTTCTTCAACTTTTCAAGTCTCTTGTTGATGATACTGCGCTTGTGGCTCTCAAATTCTTCGTCTGTCATTTCGTCAAGCGTTTTGGCGAATTGGGCGAGGAAGTTGTCGATACGGCCCTCCAGATACTGCGCTGTACGCTCACTCTGGATGATAACCCGGTATCCAATCGTAGTAGCAGAGTAGCGCGCACCGCTCCAAACAACGTAGCCAAGCTGTTCTTTGCTTCGAAGCTGATCAAAAGCCGGCTCTTCGGTCATTTGGGCCAACAGCAGTAACTTAGCTCGTAGCACTTCATCTGTGATTTTACCGACAAAGAGATAGTACTCGATACAGTTATTGACGTTTTGAGGATCCTTCAACTGGCGTTCGTACACGTAGTTGCTGCCAGGTGGGAAGATGATGTTCCTACGCACATGCCATTGAGATTGCGGGAGCGTGCGGCTGCGCATGACATTCTCGACAATGTCGGTCATTTTCAGCGCATCCTCCTTGTACAAGTTTCCATGAGCCAGAACTTCAATGTGGTTTTGCTGTAAAAGTTGAGGGAAGAATGCCGCGACATCCTCAGCCTCAATATGCTCCAGCTCAGCGGCATACTGTTCGTTGATCCAGGTCTTTTCTGCCGTGAGATAGCGGGTCATGTCACCGACTTGATAGTATGGTTGTTGGTACTCTGCATTTCGATACGCTCTCGTCAACCGTTCCTTGATAATTTTGAAGCGTTCCGGGTGGACAACGAGATCCCGCATTGTAGCCACAACCTTCTCAAGAAGCACCGACATTTTATCATTGTACCCTCCAACCGAGACATCCAGACCAAAAATGCTTGCTGATAGATTGTAGTCCAAACCAGCGAGCTCGGCGTCGTATGAATACTCGACCAAAGCATCTCGCACCAACTCACAATACAGCTTGGCCTTGACATGATTAGCAGGCGTAGCCCAGACGAGCGAGTTTCTCAACGTAATATGGACCGTGGCCTTGGGTACCCAGAATCTATCGTCCTTCTTGTACCATACGCGAACATGGTCGTCCAATCGAATAAGTTTCGGCGTATTCGCTGGCTGAGCGACTTCCTTCTTTTCGACTGACAGCCGAGTAGGAATAAACTCGTTTTTATGCGGCATATGCAAGTCCGAAACTCGTTCCGCAGGTGAAGACGCCAGGGCACTGCCAATCTCTTTCAAGAAGTCTTGAGGGATCTTCTCTTCCTTGTAATCTGTTCCGTACCATTTCTCCTTTGCATTCCAATCACCCGGAACATGCTGTGACACAATCATAAGTCTGAAATTGTCGCTGCGTAGATACGACATGGCCTTGGTAATCAAATCGGCATCAAATTTTCGGAACAGATTGTTACCGCTGAGCAACCATTCACGTGGCAAAGGCTTCTGCATGACACTACTCAATCGGCTGGTGAACCGAGACGCGGGCGACTTTTGCTTGAATCTGAACTCGACTTCAGCGAGGTTCTGCATTTCATCAAAGATCCATTTCTCGGGTGCTCGCTCCTTGATCATGGCGATGTACTGGAAGATAATCTTGACAATCTCCTTGTAATGAGTCAGACCGTCCTCTGTCAACCGCACGGAGATGGTAAAGAAAGCCGATCCCGGCCCAACAGACATCGCACCAGCTGAAAGCCCATTTGCCCAACCCTTGGCCTTGATATACGACAAAATACTACCCGGTCCTTCGTGGCCGATCAAATGGCTGATATACCTGCTAGGCAGCGTCTCGTACAGCTCCTCCTCGTCCAAAAACGGGAAATAAATATCCAACGACCGCGAGTCCATAACAGGCTTTGCAAAGATCTGCGTGCAAAGCTGCTTCTCCGAAAAGGGTTGCACATCATCCCATTTATTCTGTGGCAGATTCTTGTTCTTTACCTCCGAAAATAATTCCACCACCCAACTCTCGAGTTGATCAAGCGATTCCCGACCCAGAACAACAAGCTTCATACGATTTGCCGAGTAGTGCTTCTTGTGAAACTCGATGAATTTGCTGCGCACTTCCACGCCTCGACTCTGCGGCTCATCGCGTAGAGTTTGCAGGTTTCCCGTGGAAAACTTGTGATATGGATGCTCCGGATTCGACAGGGACTTGTTCAGCTGCATCAACCGCCACACATCGCTCTGTAAATTTTTCTTGTTTTCTGAATCTACTGCCCTCAACTCCCGATCTAGCGTAGACTCTAGGAATAGCGGCGCAATGAAAAATTGCGCAAATCTGTCCAAAGCACCGTATAACGGAGACGTGGTTGCGCTATCCTTTGACAATGACGTTGTCGACGACGAAGGGCCGCTTTTCTCTCCGTTCGTAGTGCCGTTAGTAGTACCGTTGGTACTCTCTGAAGCTTCACTCTCGCCGGTGGCGGCGACTTCGAAGAAGTAATTCGTCTCTATGGCGCCGGTGTATGCGTTCGAGGAGCCCGAGTGGGCGGCGAGGTATTGGTTATACGCATTCTCTATGGGATACTACATAATGAGCATCCTCACTCAAGTCGGGGTCGGAATGACTCACCTTTTCAGTGCCCATGAACAATAAATGCTATCCCCGAGAAGCAAATGATCAGTATTCCCTTACAAACCAGTATATTCTCCCCGTTACGCCACTCGCAAATGCCACTCACCTCCACAGCATGCGCCATGCCCGGCATAGCCTCCTCATCCGAGAAATTCCCAACATTCACATTCGCTGACGCACTCGCCTTATCCGTATCCGGGTCATGCACCAGCAGCGCCTCTAATTGATTTCCCAGCTTGATGACACGGTACGAGCGATCATCGAGCTCAGGCTTTTCGAGCCGGTCGGTAATGTGTGTGACTTCCGACATGGTCGGGTGGTAGAACGAAAATCGGCGAGATGCAGTAAACGGAGCTGACGAACGACAAGAATGAAAAGAAGAAGTAAGCAAAGAAAGATGGTTTCGTGCAGTGCAGTGAGTCAGCCTCTTTCGGCCCACCGACGACAAGGGCGATGGCGATGATGATGCGATCAAAGATAGGGATGAAGAACTCCGCAATAGCGCTGGTAGGCCCAATGACGAGGACCTTGGAGGCATCCGTTGACGCAAGGGTAGACAACAAATACTTAAGAATTCTCAACAATAATAAAACCACAATTAATGGTTGAATGTGGTAGAAGTCCTGAGGCGAAGGCGCAATGGATCTCCGCCGTTAGTTTGAATAAAGCACGGACTTGATCCGCTGCTTATCAAATAGTATGGCCAAGCTTGGGAACTCCTACAGTGGCCAATTTTAAAGCCAACTGGAAATTAAGAATGAAGAAACGAAAGAAAGAGGAGAGGAGAGACCTGAAACCCCTACTGTATGAATAATTTATGAAGCAGACTAAGCAAGGGTGACGATGGCAAAGATGAACAAAAATGAGGCAACACTTGGTTCCTTACTTTTCAGGTATCTACCTGTCCATGAACAAAGTATATATCACTCTATTTTACTCAACAATGAGTGCTCGCTCAGTACAATTTCTTTACGAGGTGCAAATCTACCTAACATGCATTAGATAGGGAATAGGAAAGGAAATCTTATTTTGAGTCTATGCCTACGTAGCTACTACTGTCGCACATGTACCTGACCCAATGGTGCCAGCGCAGCCAGAATCAAAATTCCAGACCTGTCTTGACGATCGAGCGAATCACATCTGCTACAAAATCGAGGCTTGAATAATCACATTGCAATCATCTCATTGGTTTAGTGATCGAGATACCTGAATGATTCATGTAGAACAATAGCAGCAGGTCAAATCTGTATTCCTGCCTGTGTAAATACGACGCCTGGGATAACTACTTTCCTTAAACTCCATGTCCTTTAACTACCGCAGTCGCAAATACAGTGACAAGCGCGCGCATTCAAGCGTTGCCTTCGTCGCCCTCCTCTTCATCCGACTCAGCACCCTTGACCCGCTTCTCAATCCATGTAAACACCTCCCCCTTATGCTGAAGAAGCATCTCATTCAACCCCGTCTTGGGCGACCGTTGCAATCGGCCGTATCGCTTGGAGGGCTTGCGACGGTTCTCGTTGTGCCATACGCCGTGGGTGTGGGAGACGAAGACTAGGGAGTTCTATCGAACCGAATTAGTTCATGCACGCATACATATATTGTAGGATGAGGAAGAGGCATACATCTTTGTACCATCGCGAAAGCCAGGTCTGAGTTGGTGATGCGACAGCGCGGACGGGGTTTTCGGCGACGAATGAAATCACGCTATTGACGCGTTGGTAGATGCTGTCTGCTGGGAGTTAGCTTTTATGTAGCTCATGACTAGCTAAGAACTTACCTCGATTGATAAGAAGATTGGCCACGCCATAGAACGCGTCGCCGACTCCAATAAAAAAGACATGGGTAGCTTCATTTGGCCTGTCACGCAGTCAGTCTCAACTCATCATGGACTTTCGAGGATAAACTCTTACTCAATGTAATTGTCCCACAAATATCCCGCCAATTCTTCAGTCTGACTTGGACGATCAACATCTTCTTCCTCATATTTCCCCACGTCAGAAGTATCTGCAGTAACATGTTTGGGGATGTTGACGTCGATAACGGCGTAAGTGCGCTGAGTTGCCCATGCGATATAGTCCTTCACCGCGTCGGCCTGAAAATCATTAGCAGCTCGATTCTGGTTGTTAGGGGTGAGGTCATACCATCCAGCAGTTGTGTGGCTCCAGTTTATTTGTGACTGGGTGATGTACGCCCATCATTTCAGGTCTGTCGGTGTTAGCAAGCATCCTTGACGCGATGAGAGCTTAAACTTACGGGTCATGAAAAATCACGATGAGGGGAACCGCCCTGTCATAGTTGGCACTGTATAATGTCAGTCTTCCATCACCGAAAGCGAATGCCGATCGACCTACCTCGCAAGAACCTGATTTTCAAACGACTTCGAAATCGAGGCACGATAGATCCACAGACTAGTGAGTTTGTAATTGTTGTAGAGTTGTTGGGCCTGATATTGACGGATGACATCTACTTGAATCAGTTTTGCGTTAAATTCGAATACGGCGGGRTGAATTACCATGAAATCGGTCGGTGAAGAGCCCTTCCTGCGTTGGGATTTTTGGATACATGCACCGCCAATACTTCGACTGGGCAGCCATAACGGTGCGTACAACCTGTACAGCTGGATTGGATGGCGTTGTGGCTGCGAGTCGCGCGGGGGGCTCTCCCATGAGAGTCTTTGTCACTGCCAACGCCGACTTGGAAATAGAGCGGAAATTATAACCGCCCTTTGATGTGTCAGTTGGATAAACTTTACTGAGATGAATGTGGAAGAGGGGAAAAAGAAGAGATTTCTCACCTCGAGACAAACGGCCACTTTCCCATTAGCCAGCGTCATGAGCATATGGGTCATGTGAGAATAACAAGCAGGCGTCACAAAACAACCACCCAGCTCATCGCCAGCTGCTGCATCAAACCCTGAGGCCACTTTTGGTCAATTAGCCTTTGTTTACAATTCCTCTTTATGACATATCACAACTGTTTGACAAACAACAAGCAACTTACCAATTACCAAATCAGGATCAAACTCAGTTGCAATGGGCATTACAACCTGCTGAAATGCGTACATGTAATCACCATCTCCCATTCCTTGCGATGGCCAGGGTATATTGATATTTCTAAAGTCGCTTAATATGAAGCAATGCAAGATGGTACGGGTTGACTTACTTTCCCAGTCCAGCACCTTCTCCAACATGATCCCAGTTTCCCTCATTGCCTCCAGGATAAAATTTACCATCGGCATAGACATGTGGTGAAATGTAGAGGACATTAGGGTCATCATAGAATGCTTTTTGGATACCGTTTCCTGCAACAGTGAGTTTTATGCCGTCTCAAGAGCTAAATACCGCTTACCATGATGGACATCCCTATTTAAATTAGCCTTGTAAGTCAACAAAACGGAGGAAACTTACCAATCAACAATCAAGATCTTTCGACATGCCTCGCCCAATTGACGTTGACATACTTTAGCAGCTATAGATACATTATTGAACAGACAAAATCCCATGGTCTTATCATGCTCAGCATGGTGTCCCGGCGGTCGAATCACTGCAATGGCGTTCTTAACTTTACGGGTAGCGACTGCCAAACACGTCTCGATTGCGCCGCCTGCCGATAATAGAGCAGAGGCAAACGTGAGTCGATTGAAGTAGATGGAATCACGCGTCTCTTCAAGCATGATCAGAGTTTCGTCGGGTAGATCTATGCAAGGTCAGTCATCCGTCCTAAATGTTCCTAGAGGAGAAACTAAACTTACTCTGCGTATCCGACACAAACTGATAATGCTCATCCGTATGCACCAACTCAACCTCCTCCTTCGTCGCATTCCGCACATCAATCCTCTTCAACGGCATCGGCGCCAACATCTTCGGCGCCGGCACAATATCCAAATCCTCAATCAACCCCGCCCGACAAATCTCCTTGTAAATATAGTAAATCCTCCGCGGATCCTCAGGATGCACTTCCGCAGCCGGGCGAACCTCGCAATGATACCGCATGCGAATATCATAGCACAACCCAGTAGCCAGCGACGCGACAGGTAAACCTACTGCTGATGTCGCAGCAGAAGGGTCGTCGACGGACCAGTCTGAGTTTTCTTCTATTAAACTATCGGATTCTTCGCTTGATTTCATCATCATAGTGTGCAGAGCTTCATCTTCGATGGATTTGGTCAAGCCTGTGATTTCTGTAGCAGCCCCCATAGACATAGGCATTGGGATTGCGGCTGGCGGTGACATGAGACTTGATGGAAGCTTAGGCATTCCAAACAAAGTCGCTGGTTGTACGCCATCGCCATTTGGTCTTGTGCCAGTAGTAAATGTAGTGGCGGCAGCATCAGTAGAGGATGATGGCATGTCGGTCGAAGATCCAGGATCCCGCATCACCGTATCCTCATCTTGATCCATTTCTTCTGTGTCTTCCCAGTCCTGAATCCAAATAAATCCAAGATGGAGGAAGGCGCTCGTGGGCTCGTTGTACCAGGCCGTTCGAGAGCTTATCCCCTCATGGCCTCCTCCCTTCGCGTTTGGCCAGTTGATGCTTTTGTTGATCCCTTGCTTGCTTGTGACACAGCGGTGCAAAGTTTTGTAACCAGTAAAAATCTGGAACTGCAATTACAAGGAATCCTGCAACAAGTGACAGACACTCTCACTAGACAGTAGATGAATGCAGGACAACAACAGCACAAGCCAACACACAGGCAACAGATAACAAATAAACGTACACGATAGAAAAGCTTGAAAATTAAACAGCCAACAGATATAATGAAAAGTAAAGCACTGTTTTCCTTGTTAATAGATTGTATGCATACAAGCAGTCAGATGGGACGTGATAGCAAAATAGGGCAGAAATAGAGAGCTCCGGGTTAAGTAATTTCGAAGTTTGGCAGGCACGTGATAAAACATCTGTCAAAAATACAGCCTATGTTACCATTCCATACAACATGTATTTTTTCTGAATGCTTCGAAGATCACACGCAATTCACAACAATTATTTGACGTTGTCAAATAAAGCGTCATGACAGTGTCAAATATTTGTCGTGAAAGCGATCATCTTCTCGAAAACTCTCTAACCCAGGCATCGAATGGCATTCAATCTTCAAAGAAGCCTCGGTAACTGCCCAGGTGGCAAGACAAATACGCTCTACACGACATGCGACACAACTGAGCAAATAACATCAATTCATTAAACTATTTATTGTCATTGAAGTAGTTGATAACATCTTCGTTCTAATTTTCGGAGCACTTCATGATATGCCAATTCGTAACCCTCGTTCCAGACCTATCAAAATTGGAACGAGTTTCCTTCCTGTATATTGGGTAAGGACAGTATTCAGCATTTAGAGCACACTCCGAAGAGTGGCTGCTGATTCCTAGGCGCTAGCATCGACCTTGGAGATGTAGACTAGATACTGTTAGTTGATTTTCATGATAGGAAGACGAAAAACGTACCGATGAGGTCAACAACACGGCGAGAGTAACCCCACTCGTTGTCGTACCAGCTAACGAGCTTGATGAAGTTGGAGTTAAGGGMGATACCAGCCTTGGCATCGAAGATGGAGCTGTTGGTGTTGCCGTTCAAGTCGGAGGAGACAACGTCGTCCTCAGTGTAGCCGACGATTCCTACGTGGCACTGTCAGCATTGGACACACAAGAAAGAGATGACCTATGACATACCCTTGAGCTCGCCTTCAGCGTACTTCTTGACAACAGCCTTGATCTCGTCGTAGGTGACGGGCTTCTCAGTGCGGCAGGTCAAGTCAACAACGGAGACGTTGGAGGTGGGAACACGCATGGACATTCCAGTGAGCTTTCCGTTAAGGGCAGGAATGACCTTTCCGACAGCCTTGGCGGCACCGGTGCTGCTGGGAATGATGTTCTGGGCAGCAGTACGACCACCACGCCAGTCCTTGGCGGAGGGACCATCGACAGTCTTCTGGGTGGCAGTGTAGGAGTGGATGGTGGTCATGAGACCCTCAACGAGACCCCAGTTGTCGTTGACGATCTTGGCGAGAGGAGCCAAGCAGTTGGTGGTGCAAGAAGCGTTGGAGATGATGGTGTTTTCACTCTTGTAGGTCTCGTGGTTGACACCCATGACGAACATCTACACACGTCAGCTAAGATCACAGAGACAAGAGAGAGAAGACTGACAGGAGCATCTGCGGAAGGAGCAGAGATGACGACCTTCTTGGCGCCACCCTTCAAGTGGGCAGAGGCCTTCTCGGTGGTGGTGAAGACACCGGTGGACTCGACAATGTAAGCGGCGCCGGTCTCGGACCACTTGATGTTGGCGGGATCACGCTCCTGGTAGAACTTGACGCGCTTGCCGTTGACGATGAGGTCGGTACCGTCGACCTCGATGGTACCCTTGAACTGACCGTGCTGGGTATCATACTTGAGCATGTAGGCCTGTGATTGTCAGTACGCTCTGTTAATACTCCTTATCAAGTCGATGAGGGGCGGATAAGACACCCGGCGGATGCATCGGATATACGTACAGCGTAGTGAGACTCAATGAAAGGGTCGTTGACAGCGACAACCTCAGCCTCACCGTGCTCGATGCTAGATCAGTCAGAATATGTTCATCAGAGAAAATGGTTCGATCGTGAAGCATACACGTTACGGAAGACCTGTAGCTCGTTATTAGCTCGACGTCATCACGGTGCCATCTGTCCCGAGACAGACTGCTCAGAATGAACAATACTTACAATACGACCGATACGGCCGAAACCGTTGATGCCAACCTATGCCAGAATGTCAGTTAATTTTCTCCAGCTGTGGATTATTGACGCGACGTACCTTGGTAACCATGATTGCGGTGATAGTTGCTTGGGAAGAAAGTCGTGGCTAGCGGCGGGGTAAGCTTATCAGCAGAGCTCTCCACCACGAGTATGAAGCAGTCGACAGTAATAACTCACAGTAAGGTAGACGAGTGTGGATGAATTGATGGATGTAGAGAGAAGAGAGGAGAGAAAGAAGAGAGAGGAAGAGAAAGAATCAGGGGATAATTTTTTGTCTTAATAAGAAAAGGTGGTCTGGCGGGGTAGCTTTGACGAAAGAGGCAGACTCGGTGAATGTCCTGTTGTTGACGCAACGACTGGGTCACTAGCTTAGTTCTTTCGGCGTAGACTGATTTAGCGCAGATTCTAGCCTGGTCGTAGTGGCCTGAGGCAAACGGCTCTCTTTCGTCTCACCGGGCGGCCACACTTACATACTTCAGGCAAAATGACTGGCAGCCCTCCGTACTACGTACGGGTATATGTATTTTAAATCCAAATATTCCGTAATCATTGATTCTATTCACATCTCGCTTTCTGAGTCTACTATGTATGTTCAACTTCACCCCTCCCCCTGACCAATTCCGGATGCACCGTATTAGATCGCACCCGTCCGGTTGCAGACCACCGGGCAAAACAGGAGCACAGCTATCAGATCAGGTCGAGCCTCGTGCCGACACGACCAATTAGAGGCCTGCAACCGCCTTCATCGCAGCATTTACTGCCCTTCGTCGCTTGATGGTTTTCCCGGAGACACGATAATTGCCAATTGATTGTTCGGCTATGTCCTGTGTCTGACGTACGGTTGTACCCGATCAAGGCTGGAGTCGGATCGTGACCTGGCATTGATTGTTTGCATTTACTGTGTACAATATCAAATCCCAAGGTACTTGATGCAGTTGTAGTACGTACTACGAAATACATTACCATGTATACATGTACGTACGAGTGATCGGTATTACCGGTGTAACCGCACTCTAGCTCCGCACATCGTACATCAATACAACGTACCATCGGTACAGCAGAACAAGCTATAAAGAGTAAGGGGCCATCCGCCGGTCAACAGTATCGGACAAGCTTGCTACTTTGGTCAAGGCATGACCAGAGGCAAATACATGGGTCATGCCAGCAATGCAACTTCTGATTGTCCGCTGATGATCATCCGATGGCAACGCAGGTCCTGCTGAGAAATGCATCAATAGACTGACTCATAGCCACATCGTGCCGACTTGCCGGTCGCAGTGGCGAGTATCATTATTAATGTCGCCGTGTACCTGGCTACGGTGTACCAGTACGGAAAAACTACCGTAGTAGGTACGGAACTTTACCATCATGGGTCGTCATATGATATGAGCTTTAGGTAAGCCAAGCATACAGAATCGTAATTATATTTATTATATTCAGGTTTCAAGCGAGAACGTGAATCTCTAGTACATATGCAAACCAGCAATCCCTATATCCATGGATCGTCCAAATGAGCTATCCAAAGAGCAATTTTGAAGAATAGTTGGAAAGACGGCGGAAAATATTTACTCCTCCTTAACMCCGCCCCGCCAGTTCTTCTCCGCACTCTCAATCGAAGCCTTGTCGCTCTTGATCTCGCCCTGCCCCATTCCCATGAAACCAGCAGCAGCCTTGAAGGGGCGCTGAAGATCGCCAGTGGCCGGCTTTCCGAAAACATGAATCTTGACCAAGTTGGATTCGAGCGCGCTCTTGACGGGAAGGATCGACTGGATCAATAGCGGGTTGGTGTACTTGAAGTACAAGTGCATGACGGCCATCATGCCGACGCCCATGAGCTGGGAGCGCATCAGCTGGCGGAGCTGCTGCTTGTCGTACTCCATGACGGTAGTCGTCACGGGACGCGGTTCTTCGCCGGAGCCCATCGGGGCGGGCTCAACGTACTTGAGGGTGGTCAAGTCTGTCTTGGGTCAGTAACCGTTATTTCATTTTCCATCGATATCAAGGAGGAATACCCTTCTTTTTGTTGATCTTGGACTGCACATAGAGGTAGATGCCCAAAATGATCACGTTGGACACAATGTACAGAGCACGGACGCCGAGGAGCACATCAGGGTTGTCGAAAGGAATCCGCTTGGAGACCTGCATCATCCCGAGGATGACGACGAGGTTGGTACTATATCCGTAAGCATATGTCTGCAAGCATGTTGTCTCGTTGCGACGGAAGGCAAGACAATTTCGAGGTGCACGAGAAAAAAAGGAGAACTCACACTTGGGAAGCCATGATGAACGAGGCGGATTATCCAGAAACTGTGGAACGTGAAATTGATATCGCAATGGAATAGGTTACTATTCAGGATAGATGTAATTCGCAACAGAAGACTGGACGTGAGGTTGTCTCGTTACACAACAAGAAGGCGAAATGTTCTCGAGGAAGGAGGACACTTTGCCCGTTGGAGGAAATCGATCACGTGAGCCCACCATCCGTGGCAACGGCGGAGCACGGCGGACAGAGCGAGCCAACCAGCAGCCGTAAAACACAGAAGCTAATCTAATTTATAGAACGATTTGGAAGCTCTACGATGGCGCCACTGATAGCAGTCATGCTGATACATTGTATAGTGAGATCTGAGTATGAGCATTAGGTTTCCAAAGTATGAAAGACAATCAAATAGTTTGATACGAGTAATCAGCTATACAGAGCATTTATCACATTCTCAGCACAAGTACTTTGATTGTCACGTGACTTGTATCACGTGCCGCAATTTGCTATGCGCCGCGCCGTCTTGGATCTCCCCATGCCAGTGCTCTCGAAGCATCTCGCTCAAGAATGTCACCATCGACATCTTAAATGCCTCACTGGATGATAAGTGGAAAATGATCGATAGGCTATTTTGCGTTGACGTGCCCTTCTGCCTTATCCATTATGAAGCCTCTTTATCATGACGGATTACCTAGCTGATCGATCATGACGAGACTGTTGGACGGCACCCGGGCCTATGGCTGGGACCGTCCTCCACCACGGAATTTGGCAGAGTTGTTACATTTACCAGACTTGTCCAGACAGACACTCTACGGTTCAATAACACACGGACGATCACTAACGACCAGTCAAAAGACCCTCGATTGATCCAGCCATACCACCGCGAGTCGATGAGGGACAGAAGGAACGCCCAGACGCGGGTGCCCGCTGATTGGCCGAGCCGAGTGACAGGCTCCAGCTTGACCAGCCTCCTTGAGACAAAGTACTTCTTCTCCAACAAAAACAAGCCAGACAAAAAAATCCCCCGACAACGCGCGCGCTATCATCAACCCTTACCCGCCCAACACCATCGCACTACCATCCACACGTCGCTTCATCCCCAAATTATCGCGGTTTCAGTCTCACTCAACACACAACTACCTGAAATAGATCACAGAAAAAATGGCTGGCGGTAAAGGAAAGTCCATCGGCGGGAAAGGTGCCCCTGGCAAGGATGCAGCGGGGAAAACGCAGAAATCTCACAGCGCAAAGGCTGGCTTGCAGGTCAGTTATTTTGTTACTTGCTTGTTATTGACGTTTTAGAATATGCTTTTATTCTTATTTAAGATTTCTTTTGCGATGCTATTATCATGCGACACGGATACAGCGATGAAACAGTGCAAGCTGTCGACTTTTACGCGTCGAGTCGAGTGCGCCGGTTGTGGTGATGTCTTCTTTGTTTCGCTAGAACAATATGTGTTTTGAAATTTATTGCTTGTATCTTTGTCGCGTGTATCTGTTGTATACTTTGATGCTATCTTGCTCTTGTCTCAAGCCAACCATACTGATGCCGACTCTTATAGTTCCCTTGTGGTCGTGTGAAGCGTTTCCTCAAGAATAACACACAAAACAAAATGCGCGTTGGTGCCAAAGGTATGCGCTCTCATGGCCTTGATTACAAGTGACCAAAACAATTAACAACGCGTAGCTGCCGTCTACGTCACAGCCGTCCTCGAATACCTCACTGCAGAAGTGCTCGAATTAGCAGGCAACGCCGCCAAGGATCTCAAAGTCAAGCGTATTACACCGCGTCACTTGCAACTCGCCATCCGTGGTGACGAGGAACTCGACACTCTGATTCGCGCCACTATCGCCTACGGTGGTGTCCTACCCCGTATCAACCGTGCGTTGTTGCTCAAGGTCGAACAAAAGAAGAAGGGCAAGGTTGATGCTTAAATATCCTTTCGAATTTCACTTTCTCGACTTCGACCTGTTATGAATCAATCAAGCTGGACTTTGCACTTTCGATCGACGACTTGACAAGAGGTGGATGAACAGCTCTATTTTTTTCGAATCTCCCTTTCCGACCATTCTTCTGATTGATTACCCTTAGGTTGGGTTCCGTTTAATGCTACGCTTTTCTTTTGTGTTTCTACTTTGATTTGATCAAGGGCGGTGTTTACGTGTCGGGTTCTATTTCTCTTTTTATTTCTATTATCCTCTACTCTGATTTGTGAAAAGTGGCTGTCTATTCTATTTTTCAAATTATTTCTCTCCTTGGTCGAGGAAAATATACAGACAGAGATGGATAAAATTGGTTGGTTGGTGCTTTGTGCGTATAAATTGTGTGTCTATGAATACAAATCGTATCTTGCTTATACTATCGGCCTGGCAATTATAGTAGAACTTGGCTTTAATAAATTATCACTACATCGATATCAGATTAGATATTATCCATATGGATATGATCAGACACGTTGGTGTGTCAGACCGAGTACTCCTGTATGAACTCAAATCTCTAGATAACCGCTACAAATGTCTGAAAGTACAGCCAGGTTCTGTAGTATTCAATTAAAACATGCTGCCTCTGACCATCAACCCCAAGAGGCCTCCTCACCTGCAAATACCCTTCCACCGCTATTCACGGCGAAGTGTCCGGCCTCATGTGCCCATCCTCAACATCTAGTAATTTAAACTCAGTCTCTCCATCATCTCGCTACCAGGAAGGCTGCAGCCACACCCACTCCTCCGTCATCTTCTTGCTTTGTCTCGGTAACAAAGTGAAGAGCTTATGTTTGTAGTGTTATAAGAGAGCAACGAAATGATGACTGCGGAAGTAATTCACGTCAATCTCAGGGATAGTATACTTCAATTCTCGATCATGATGGCATATGAAGTTCTTGGGACGATATTTGGCTTTAGCAGGCTATAGGTAAATGCCCAAATGACATTCGAAAGGCAGATAATTTGATGCTAAACAAATTCATTATATGACGAATTTAACTCCACAGCATTATCGGATTATGCTGTCCCCCTGCCCCCCCTGGAATGTTGTCTGGACCGATTCTTTCTTCATAATGATCCTTACCATTACATCGTCCCGAGTGGCCTGTCTGTGCCCCAAGAGAGCATCCGTACTTTCTATCTAGACGACGGTTGGCTGGATGCTTTTATAGATGGTGCTCTGAGTCTAGTGAATTACTATGCACGCGATACAGACTGTATCAAGAAAACGTTTAACGGATACCTGAATCAAATCTGCCGAATGGTCATCCACCACCGATTCCTCGCTGGGATCCTTCTCCGGTCCGAAATTGTTGCCAATTTTCCAGGCCTAGTCTTATCACCACTTTGGCCAGAGACAGACAAGAATAGACTAGGTCGAAATCGAAAAACCAGATGCCGATCATCCTGCTTTGTCTGTTTGATAGGACACCAGAATATGGCGCCTTCCCGAATAAGATTACTTTCATACCTCCAGAGCACCAGGCGTCTTAATTTGGCGTCGAACTAACACCCGACGATTGAGTGAAAGAGAGTAAATACTGGCTCAGATTGTCAGTCGACGGATTACAGACCGCTGGCACACAAGACTTCAAAGCTGAGGACCACATCTTTGATTCCAACAATCAATGTTTGATCTTTCCATAATTTGCCAAAAGGGTGAGTTACACGTTAAAAAGAGAATCGAATTACGATGTTGCTCCGATGCCAGCATTGACTGGAGTACAGCTTATTACAGACAAACCGAAGCTAGAAGTTGGCTGATGGCACTTACGCATACAGAACGCCGGCTCAGCGACAGGTATATATTTGGGAACGAAAGATTGCGAGTCGCTCAATGATTTGTCTCAGAAGACTGGCTACGAACAGAAGAACAAAAGCTGCAAATCAAAAATCTGATAAAGACCAGGAGTGTCACGTATCGAACAGTCACAGCATCTGAGGAACTGTCAGCAGTAAATGCAGCCGTCAATAGTCACCAGGCTGCCCTCAGACACATCATCAAATAGCTCGAATATACCGAACCCGAGCGATCCGCCTTGTCCAGAGATCGCAAGGAACGCCTTACCGTCTTAGCTGCAATGCAGGTTCGTCTGCGGTGCATTATCTTGCGGAACTGAAATCCCAGTGAGCTCACTCACCCATTATTACCGCCGCCGGATTTTGCTTTTGAGGGGCCAACACCAGAGTGGTCCAGTCAATTACCTTCGCTAGGCGACCATAGCCATTTGACGAGATGGAGTTCTTATGGCTGAGCACCAACTTCTCACAGGTAAAGATTGCCCTGCTAACTGAACAAAGAGTTCTTTGACCAACGGACAACAAAAATTTGCCAGTGTCATCTAGTGGCAACGATATTGAATACAACAAGACAGTCCGCACCATTCCCTGTCAAACGAAGTCAATTGTTAAGTTCCGGGCTGGGACTTGCTTATAAAGATGGCGAAGTTGTAATTTCTCCTAACGCATCTATGTCTATGGGCCCGGTGACCGGCACACTAAACTCTTTATCTATATCTGTGCCCGTCAGTAAGCTTACAAAATTGAGAATTGCAGACATAGAAGTTTGCCTACAAGGTATTGGACTAACATTCGAGAAACATCCAATTGTCGATGTCTGGTACTCATCAAAGAGGACGACGTATCTTAGGCTGGTGGGGTATCCATCTACTAAGCCCCCTACACATTCATGGCTGGAGGAATATATCAATGAGCTTTACCCCAGAAAGCCCTAATTGCCTATTTAGGCAAACCTCCACAATCTGCTTGACATTTCAAATCCACGCTCTTCTCAACTTACCATGGGATTCAAACTAGCTTCCGATGCCTACTAGAGAATGTCGGAGATGAAATGGTAACGTCACAATCAGTTTAAAAGTCAATGAGATCAAATATTACTCTACTAAACTAATCCAGACAAATCCTAGATCATACCTAAACAACAACCACAACAACAAGCAAACAACCCACGCCCTAACAAGCCTTGGAAACATACATACCAGACAAGACGCAACAAAACAGAAGCCAAACAACCTACCCAACAAAGCCATTGCACAAACACGAATCCATGTGTAGAAGGGAGATAGATAGCTGGAAAGTGGAATGGAGACGATGTAGGGAAACAAACACAACACAACATAACGCGAAACACTCAACAATAACAAACAGGCAGGAGAGCAACGTTCATGGACAATAAAAACGTTACAAGAGGCGAAATTGCTGCTCTCGAAAACCAACGCAATAGGGACTTTTTGACAGAATTGCTCTTCCGGCTCGTCGTCGTTGTCGTAGTCCTTCTCCTCGATCAGGACAAATGGTATCTTTTCTTTTTTCGCTTTTCTTCGTGGCAGTCATGTTGCTCATTTCATTCTCGTGTGTGGGGGGGTCGGTCAGTCAGTCAGTCAATCATTTTTCATCAGACTTCGTTTCGATTGCCCCCGTTTTCTCATCATGATCATGATCGTTGTTGGTCGTTATAATCAACAGACGCTCAAACCCAAGTGCTCGCTGGCGCTCATGCTCGTTCATATTGATGCTGATGCTTCGCTCTCGCTCTCGCTCACTCTTCGTCATGCCATATACCATGCAATATTCAATCTTATCAAAACCATTCAAATTCGGAAAATTTTTGCTCAGTCGTTTGCGTCGTCCAATCATGTTCATAATCTGTTCATGCTGGGCTGCCCCAAGGAGAATATATCTAAAACATGAAGAATAAAGTAATAATAATCATAGTGGTAACACGCGACAAGGGGGAGAAAAAGGCGAATATAAAAAATCAAAGTGAATAGATAGATAGGATTATGAGCTCATCGCAGGAAAAAGATAACAATAGCATATTTTCTCTTCGGATTCTTTCTTTCTTGGAGTCATCTCGTCGTCCATCATCGAATCGTTATATTGAAAACAAGTCTGCATGTAACAGCGGAGACTTTCGTGTCAAATTACAATTGTCGTAATCATTTCCTCTCCCCAACTTTCTTCTTGTGCGATATTATTTTTTGTCATTCTCTTGAAACATTTGCACTTGCATGTCGTCTGAATCTAGACCTCGTTCTAGTCATAATCCAGTCATGATTTATCCGTCCTACTCAACAATAATTTCCACGCCGGACCCCGTACGAAGTTCGTCGCTGCCGCGCGATTGGTGGCCGTTTTGGCGTCTAAATCCGGAGCCGCGCTCAGGAGCGGGTCCTCGAGGCTGTCGCATAGGAATACGTTCCTGAGACTGGTTGTCAAAACCGACTCCGATAGAGCGATTGCTACCAATAGCTCCAGCTGGCGCACCTTGGTTATCCTGTTCCCAAGAAAACATCCCGCGTAAGCGTCTGGGACTACCAGCGGGGCCACCGAGACTCGTGCCGAGGGAAAGGCCTCCAAGACTGTTGACGAGAAGTCCATCATCTCGCTGAAGACCAAGGGAGGCACCGGACGGTGTAGGAGTCAAAGTAGGAGTGTTGGACGTGCCGCTTGCTGCACCATCATATTGTTGCTGGAGGCGTGCGCCATTGGTCTGTAGTGTGGCAGGAAAGCTTGCAGATGACGGCACTGGAGACGGTGTGTAGGAGCGCAAATCAGCGAACGACTTGGCGGCCCGCAAGTTCTGTGGGTTGCCGAATCCTCCAGGCGATTCCAGTACCCCTAGAAATCCAGATGTCTGTCCACGCATAGTACTGAACGGACCGGGTCCCTCGCTGCGGGACTCGCTGAAATCGATAGTCGCAGCGCGGTTCAAACCACGGCGAGATGCTTCGGCGGCGTGTACGGTTGCGGGGATCGAGGACAATGGCGGGCTGACGTTAGAGCCCGGGGGCGCGCGAAAGACGTGCACTTGGCGCTGCTCCCCAGTTCCTCGCGACGCATGGCTCAAGCCCATGTTGTGTGCAAGGGTGTGAACCGTTCGACGCTGAACTGGCGTGAGATTGGACGGGAATATCAGAGCTTCGCGGCCCATGTCTTCCTTGAATAAGAGCATCTGTGAGTAGAACTGCAAAGTTTGGCTATCGTTCAAATCGACATCTAATATCATGTTAGTCAAAAAATCTTGTAACCAAGACGGATGGAAGAAGTCAAATATACCAAGCTTTGGTCCGCGTTGCGAGACCGGTGAAGGCGATGTCGCCGGGATGTGCGAAGCTAATGAAGACATGGAGCTTTGTGTCTGCAGCTGGGATGCAGCAATAGGCCGGTGCTGCTCTTCTAATTGTCCGCGACGCTCTCGCTTCTCCCGTTCAATACGCTCCCGCTCCTGTAGTGGAAGCATCTTTTTATATTCAACGCGCAATTTGCGACCCTGGAGTTCGAAATGGTTGAGCATGTCGATCACGGTGGCAGTTTCCTCGGCGGATGTAAAGTTCGCAAAGGCAAGACCACGGAAAACGCCGTTGTCGAAGTGGTAATTAAAAGCATATGGAAGAGGAAGGTTCATCTCGGTCATCAGTTGCACGAGCTGTTCCTTCTTGACTGCAAAAGGAATGTTCTTGATTACGATCGCAGTAGGGATCAGCTCATCATCTCCGTCCTGGCTAGAAGAGGACTGCATTTGTGTACCAGCGAGCGGACCCGGGGCTAGGCCGGCCAAGGACGGAGGGACACCTGATTGTTGATCGAGCCAAGGCTACGTACGCGTCAGTATTATTATCCGCTACAAGCGACCTCAAGGACTTACCGTTGGAAGTCCAGTCCTGCCTCGAGAAGGCTTCATCCTACCAGTGGCAGAGCCGATTCCAGCAAGAGAATGTCCACCAGCGAATCCATTGGGATTCCAGGTCTGCGAACCAGAAAGTTCATAAGCGTAATTTGTGCCACCGTGGAGCGGGTTGAGGCGATCAAGCCGGGAGGTATCGTATCTCGCTAGCGGATCATCATAAGGATTCGTGGGCATCGGGCCGTACGCGTCAAACTGGCGTGATGGCTGCCTGTGGAGGGTTTGAGGATGACGTTGCGATCCTGGCGATCGCGATGAAGAGTTGTCGTGATACATTGTATGTCACGTCGAGTCGGATCGGAGTAAAAAGGAACAGACTAGTCAGATCTGAGAAGAAGATGTAATCGATTAAATGAGCATAGGCGCAGGTTACCGCAAGTAAATGAGTAATGGCCTGGGTGGTAGTTTTTAGCGACGGGGGCGCTGAGAAGACGAAAAGTGGGTTGGTTTGTTGGTAGATGCGGGATCGGATCGAATATTATTTATTGTGTCCAAGGGATCGCGAGGTAAGGATCCAAAAAATCCCGCTCACTAATAAATGTCCGAAGGCTTATACTCGGCCGATGCACAGGTATCGTAGGCGAGGAAATGCAGCGAAAATATAATGTGCAACAGAAGGACAATCGTTATCGCAGGAGTAAACAGAGAATGCTGAAACAGGTGGTGGCACTCTCCTCGCTGTTAAATTTTTCGCTGGTGGCCGGAGTGGATCGGTCAATAACAACAACACGACGACAGACAGGGAGGAAGAAGGGAGGAAAAGGCGGGCGAGGGAGAAAAAAAGGGAAAGTGATGAAGCATCTACTTCCTCAGGGCATCGAGAATCAAGAAGATAGAGAGAAGGAGAAAAGAAGATGGATGGACAGGACGGGGAGACGAGGATACAAAATAGAGAGGAAGAAGAGGAGGAGAAAGAAGGAGCGAAGGAGAGAGAGGGGACTGACGAGGGAAAGAAGGAAAGGGCGGCAGCCACTGAAAGGCGGTGATTGTGGACTAAGGGCCGCCAGTGTGGGGTGCCGGCCTTGGGCTAGTCTCCTTATTACCACTCCCTACACCTTACTGCGCCTTCACTTTACCACCTCTTATTTTGTCTTATATCGATTATCAAGCTGTGCAGACTTACAGTACTACGTAAGTGTCAGCAGAAGTCCTGGTCGGCGGCCCAAACCGTCAGACGATTTATTTCACAACAGCTCAGTTATTGCAGCTGAAGTTCGGCACTCATCGTTCTGTCTCAATCACTACAACGCAATCCCTGACATCTTCAAAAGGAGCTACGCACTACTATGGATCCATCATTCGCTGGACTACGCAATAAGATTCTATTTATTTGCTATGGGGCTCGTCGAGTTTATCAGAGACTGCTATAGTGCTCACAGTTCGACCGCCGTACATCGCTTGCCGTAGTACCCCTCCATATGTATATGTGCCATGATTCATTTGCCGCATGTTTCATGTCTGACCTGACATACGAAAAAGGAAAACAAATACAATGCGATATGCTACGGTTCTAATATCAACCCATCATCCAACTATAGATGTGGACTGCTCAAGCTCCGGAGCATGGGAATATGGGCCGCCCCGTGCAAGCGCCGGTCCGCCACGGCCGGATGAACGTCCCTAGCTTTTAGCATGTCTCTGTCCATTCAATTTCCTGGCATCTCTCCCATGATTTGCTGCTCACTTCCTCCTCTTTGCGACTATGCAAACTCAATCAGATTTAATCGGGTCCAACAACACGTCCGTTGGCTGTCGTCTTGTTCCAACCATCTGGAATTCGGAATGAGGACCTGCCAGTGGAGCACGAGACCTGAATGGATAATCACCCAGTTTCAAGTTTTAGGGCACCCCTTTCTGGTCATCCGTCCTGACCAGTGCTACGTACTGCAAATCTACGTACTAGATCGTCGGCTGTGTACAGGAAGTACTCGTAGTAGGTATCGTTACTACTAATCAGGCGGCGAGTATTCCATGTACATGCGCTCATAATTGGGCATACGAGGTCTCCGAGTCCTTCCTCTATCTGATCGAGGGGCTAGTATGCTATTCATGGTGGACCGGCATCCCAGCAACAAACGTTCCGGCGATCTCCTTATTAGTCCTTGACCGGGTTCCTTAATTAAGGGGGCGCCTGTGGAATACCTGGTTAATTCTAGAAGCAGATTCGACTTACTCGAGTCTTCAAAGTTTCAATCGCCTTTGCCACGACCCATAAGTGGTTAGACTATCACGGAGAAAGCTATTATTGTCGATACGAGTGTAACGCGATTCACATTGGCTATCACTTCTGAAACAAGACTCTTACCGGCAGTCGTAGGCCCTGGCACGGGAAGATCAGGGTTGTCTTGAGTCATCTGGCATCTGGTGGTCATTCCTGAGAACCACATGATTCGATGCAGTACACTGATTCGCGCGCATAGTCAAGGGTCGCGTCAAGAAAATAGCTTGCCAAATCTATTCATCTTGATCATTGCAGACAGTCATCCAAGACCGCATTTTTCGTATAACTGTCACAACCTGGTTCTGTTATTATGAACAAGAGCCCAAACTTTCTGGCCAAAAGGGGACCCCCATCACGCTAAACCATAATGGGATTAGTGTCACACAGCATCCAATAGTTGGGCGATCCGGCATCTCTTACCTTTTTGGCTTCGATATTTTGACTCTGACAGGCGACAGGACTCCACGACAAGACTTCAATCTAGTCCGGGTGTTCTTTATTCATCTTGACGACCAGCTCTACTATATTTCCCCACCTGTTGCCTACTAGGTAAACCCCTTGTCCCGCAAATGCATCCTCCGTGCCCTCCTGTCACTGCCGACAAGCATACTAAGACGGTGATCTCATGACTGCAATATGTGGTCATATGAATCTACACTACACACCACTATGTAACCCACAGTAGTTATGACCACACTCCTCGTGTTGTAGTCACCAAAACCGCGTCGTGATTTCCTCTTTCGCTCTTGCCGCTACACTAGGCCTACAAGTGTGGAGGCACCGTCTGGAATCTACTGTGGCGAAGTCGGCTTCACGTCGAACATTGGTCGAGCTATTTGTCCAATTGTTCCCCCTTATTTTCTTGTTCTGGAGTCGACTTTTAGCAAAAGAAACAAAAATGAGGCTGAGCCGTGGGTGATTACTTCATTTAATTACTATTGCATATCCACAATGACTTACTACGTACGCAGTCATATTGTGTCTTTCAATGCTGATAAGCTATATCTTTCATAGCTACTAATATTGGTGTACAGGAGGTAATGAATCGGTTGGATGAACGTGAGCGAAGGTCAACGCCATCAGTATCGATGATGCTATAGCTAGCTCTGCGGACGCTGCCTTGCTACCTTTCTATCGTCATCAGGTGTAATATCAAGTTCCTGTTGATCAGTGAAATTCATTACGCAGTTCGGAGTGTGGGACTACGAGCCCCCTACACGATATCGGAATAACCACTTCTTTCCGGCATTCATCCTTCTAGAAGCCTAGAAGGCGCTGTCACCATACGCCACAAACGCCTTTCCCTGCGCACAGTTCGACACGAATATTCTTGACCAGTACTCTCTTCATTCACTTAGTGGGGCCAGCTGCGCATGACTCCATATTACCATCACCGAACGTCATTGCTTGGGTCTCTTCACTAGGTCAATCTGGTCCGGATGGCCCGAATAAAGGGGCATATTCCAATCTCTTGTTCGCCTGTTTCTTCCCTCTTTCGCTGATTGTTCGTAAATTTGCTCCGCGTAGCAGTTCAGGAGCCTTCACAGCCTATGGTTTACTCTATCGTGGAGGCTCTTGAGCCTTGACACAGGTATTGGAAAGAACCACAACTCACAAAATATCATTTCTTTGGAAGAGCGCCATCGTCTCAAGAATCTAAGTACCATATCAATGAATCACGACTGTCCTCGCCCCAAGCATTCCAAAAGGCGCTCTGCGAAGACCGTCCGCCACGCGTGTTCATCTTCAAGCTTAACAATATCAAGTGAAGCTTCGTGTTGTTGTCTATCAGTGAATCAGTCACTTGACTTCTGTATAGACACATTGACTGAAGCTCAATCAGGAATAATAGCCTAGGGAGTCGCTGTTGTGTCTACCATTGAAACCAACTGCCATGGAGCTCCGAGTACAAGCCACGCTTCAACGTTGGCACCGATGACACTTTAATTTCTTTTCATCATCTGTCGATCTTTAGTAGGCAATCTTCGGCGCATGAAATGGTAAGACTCACATCTCAGATGCCGGCCTGCATTATGCAAGTTCTATCAAAAGTTTTCGAGCAGGGAATACTCACTCACGACAGCATTGCCGACTGTAAATGACATTAGAATGCATTATTATCGAGTAATCTTACAGATCGAGTCAAACTGGGATCATTAGTTTCACCAAACAACTCTTCTCTGCTCTGGGCTTGTACTCTGTATGAAGACATACGAAAATGTAATGCATCGATGGGATATGGTGGATGGTGCTGAAGTTCGAATAATTCTACAATCATTCATTAGCTTAAAAAATGCTGAGGTGGTGGTGTGAAATGTTGCATATATGTAGATTTAAATCAAATGCAACATAAATATGCTTTCATCATTTCAAACAAGATCTCTGGTTGATCAAACGTGTGGCAATGTTCCACCTCCCATAGCTATCAATTTGTGCCGTGTCGGAGGTGAGTCAGATGTCAGTGTTCATCGAAAACCCATGCTCAGCCATATACTTAGCCAAGTTCGCATCCTCTTCCTCCAGATTGACATCTCCACTCTCCGGCAGAAACCAATACACAATCATACCAAGCACACCAACACCACCAGCAAGATAAAATGTAGAGCTTTTGCCTGCAACTTGTTCCAGCGGCGTAAAGCATTCAGTACCTACCGCGGCTCCAGTCCGACCAAAAGCATTGGAAACACTATATCCCATCCCTCTCATCGCAGTCGGAAAAGCCTCAGAACTGATCAGGCCGATAGTTGCCCCAGGTCCCATGTGGCCAAATGCTTGCAATAGACCGTAGAGAACGACAAAGGCGGCAATATGATTCGACAATTTCGAATACGTGCCACCGATAATAAACCCCAAAACTACATACCCAGCAAACCCAATGATACCGGTATACCGTCGACCGACAACATTGCTAAGCCAAGCACCGACGACAACACCGGGGACCGGAAGAACTGCCAGAATAACCTGCCAAATTGCACTTGTTTGAATGTTGCCATCTTTCACCAAAGATGAAATAATAGTGCTTGACATAATCCCATTGGGAAAGTTGATGAAATCGTAGAGGAAAAAAGCTAGAGATGTAGTGAAGAGTCGGAAACGGTATCGACAGATCAAAAGCCAATAGAAACGCAGCGGTTTCTTCTTTTGCGACTTGAAGTTCGAGTGGTGATACAAAGTTGAGTCAACCATGAAAAACCGGAGAACCATGATAATAGCTGGGAGGATAGTTGCGATGGAGTAGAGAGCACGGAAAGTAACGGGTAGGTTGTTATTGCTTGCCTTCAGACAGATCAGGTAAATGATCATCTGAACAGGAGAAGCCACTGTAGCCATCAATGTTGTGAAAGAGATAAAAATCGGCCCTCGGTAGCGGCGAGCAAACTGAAAACATTAGCCTAGACTCTGATCTGACAGGTCAAGCTTCTTTCTTCTCACATCATCGGATTCCTCCAAACCGGCTGCTGCACTGGGCGGATATTCACCTCCCACACCAAAGCCACAAATACCTCGGACGATTACAAAGAACCACAACATGTTCGAGCTAGGTACTTGCAGGGCAAGAGTTGCCATTAAAGTGCTGATGGTGACTAGAAAAGAAGTAAAGAGCAGACCGGCGCGCCGGGATACCATATCAGTGACATAGCCAAACACAATGACACCCAGAATGGCACCTATCAAAAGCGAGTTACTGATCCTCGTCTGTATCTCAGCTGGATAGCCTTTCGCGCCGAGCAGCATTTTGAATATGACATTTGTGGGGTTGGCCAGGCCATTCTGGTAGCCATCACTGAAATTGGCTATGTACTAGTCACAATTAATTATTTACTATATATGAAAAAAAGTGATCAAAGCACTTACACAGCTCAATAAAGTCAGGTTACTCTGCCATTTCGTGGGACGATAGGCACGGCTATTTCCGATTCCGATTTCACTGTCTCTCACGACGGCTTCTTTCGAGTCGGGTACGGGGTTTATATCTGAAATCACCTCGGACATCTCACCGTTGGCTTGAACTTGATTGATATTTGTTGTCTGTGAAAAATGGAAAAAGAGGGGAACAGCGTACAAATTTCTAACATTGATAAGCGGGTCTCGGAGGGGTTCCTTTTCGGCATGCCGATCACCCTCGGGTCGGATCAACAGCAGTAGCCTTATCAGTACCAATGAATATATATGAGCAATGCGTTGTATCAAACGAGTTATTTAACTATCAAGTACAAAGTTGTCCAATTTGAGTTTGATAAAGCTAATAGATGCTCCGAAATAGAATTACAAATGATCTCCCGACTAACTGGGCACGGAGATACCTTTCCACATGATCCTCCTTTGCATAACCCATGCTTCCGTGTGCACCATAACAGCTCTCTCACAGGCCTGGAAGGCACTCCTATGCCAATAAAAATCTATAAATAATTACTCTCAGATCTCTTTCAAGGCTACCTATGGCTGTACTGACAGAAGTATGAAAACAACTAGATACGTACTAGGTAAATGGATAGATCAATCCTCAAACTTGTCTCTAACCGGGGGGGCTACAACCTTCAAACGAGCCAGATCGCGGATGGTGTTGAAAGCTGTCTCGTACGAGTCCACAGTGCCCAAAAAACCTAATTTGCGGGCCTTTCGCATACTAAGTGAAAGTGCCCAGCCTCCAATGACTGCAGAGTCTGTCATTGCAAAAATCTGTGTGCGGTTCGTTTCGGTGAATGGATCAATCACAAGACCGTGTTTCTCGGCGAGCTCCTTCCATGCTTGCTGTACCTCTGGACGCTCAGCCCATTCCTGCAAGCTGAATGTAGAACGCGTTACGCCAACGGGGCCGTATCTGTCAGATGTAGAGAGCATGTTAGCATTGGTGCCGCAAGTTATCTACGAGGCTCAAGCTCATACCCTCGTGGTGTTCCAACGTGTCTCGATTTAGTGATTCGATACTTAGACTCATCCTCTTCCGGGGGGGTCCATGTCGTCCCGAACCAATTGGCCAAATAGACCCAGAATCGTCCCCATGTAAAAGGAAGTCCGTCTTGAATGTTAAATGCTTCATTAGCAGCTCCCTGTGTCAAGGCAGCCCATTCTTCAAAGTAGGCATTCAGCAACGAAGTGCTTTGACAGTACTCACGGTCCCAAGCAGCATAATCACCAGGGAAGGCAAGAGATTGCTTCAGATGTGCTTGGATAGCTCCGTAAATAGCGAGTCCGACCAGATGATTTAAAGCACTATCACGCACAGCACCTATAATGTATGATGGACGAACGACGCTCCAGTCGACGCCCGTATCTTTGCAATAATCAGCCAGCACATCCTCTTGTGGGTAATAGAAGTTGGCTTCCAATGGGATCCTCGGGTCGCTCTCGAATGATGGGTTGGTTGCTGGTCCTATATGGAAGCCATAATGTTTCGCCCCTGTCTGCAACAAGAACCGTTTAGGTTGCAGGCCGGATTGACGTAGAGCACCAATAAAGTTTTTGATGAGCGTTGCTGCCTCTATCTTTAGCCTTTTCCGTGATCTTGATGGAAGTTGGAACATGTTACATACAATTGACCCTTGCCAATTCCTCGGCATCTGACCACATGCCCAAAATGTTGCCTTTTTGCTGAGGCTGCATATATGAGAAGAAGAAAACATAATCCCTTTGACGCGTCAGCAAACGATTTTCATTTCTTGTAAAGAGTGTGCATTACATACACTTTCTGGATCCGTTCCCTCAATCTGTCTGCAATCTCTGACTCTTCTTCCAGAAAGTCCACCAAAATATGCTCTACTCTCTTTGCGCCCTGCCCCAGGTCTTCGAAGAAGTTGCCAGGAGGCGATCGGCGGGACAGACAATAGATCTTGCTCCATCTCTCCGGCGCAGAGGCGAGCACGCGAACCATATGATACCCCGACATGCCATTAGCACCAGTTATTACCGCAGTCAAGTTCGAAAGCTCCGCCGTTTGTGGATAAGTAGGTAAGCCCTGAAAGGGACCATGCGACTGTACAACTTGAGAGGAAGCCATGCTTAATCTGACAACTGATGATACTGGAATTGAATATCCTCAGCAAGCTCCCTTCATAGCGCGCACAAAAGAAAAGGCACAGCCTCACAGTTTATAAATGTTTCATTCATCACAGTTCACAGAAAACCCAGCGTCAAATCAAATGAGGCCATCTCCTCGAGGTTAGTTTCCCGGATTCCCCGCACGCTCCACGGCGCTTGAGCACTTTGCGGGGTTCGGCTCGGCTTTTCCTGCAGTCTATTTTTGGTGATATTGGACCCTTCGTCTACTTAATGCCCTTCTCCTCCATCATTTTTTCAGCCCATAAATCACCTTTACCACCGTAGTGGGCTGTATAATTGCATAAATTGCTTTCCGCACCAGTGATCTCGGATTATAATAGACACATACCAGCACGCAAATCAACATCAGAATCAGTCTTCATTATCAGCGAAACTGTTCTATCTTCTCATCACTCATGATCAAATACGCTTCACGACCCCAAAACAATGAATAGATAAATCAGGGATCACCCAAGTAACTTGGAATCCTCTTACCAATACTATCCCTGAACATAATGGGCGGACTCATCTCGCTCCTGACCCAAGTTCTTCCTTCCCAAATCGCTTCATTAGGTTTCCGGCCCTCAGCTTGAATACGTTGAGCAACCTTCTCAACCTCGCTCCATACACGGAGAATGTTGTCACCAGCAAATTTACGGATTTGATCATCTGTTGCACCTCGTTCCATCAAGAGTTCTACCAGACGGGGGTATTTCGAGACGTCCTGAATAATTTGTTAGAGTCTAAATCGAATATGAGAACGTGATGAATTGCATACCTCTAAACCCTTGGGAGTCACAGGCGTTCCATCAAAGTCGGATCCAACACCAACATGATCCCAACCAGCGACTTGAGCGACATGCCAGATGTGGTCAACAACGTCATGAATGGTAGCTGCGTCCGGATCATCAGGTCTTAAGAACCTATTAATGAACGTAATCATAATAATACCACCCTTTTCAGCGGTAGCTTTCAAAACATCATCAGGCGCGAACCGTAATACTTTGGAAAGCGCATATGCGCCTGTATGCGAGAATATGACTGGCGCTTCACTGAGACGCAGTGTATCCCGCATCGTCTCATGAGATACATGCGACAGGTCAAGCATCATACCCAGTCGGTTCATTTCTGCGACATACTCTTCTCCAAAGAGAGTAAGTCCCTTATCTTCCCGACCGGCTGATACGCTGCTCGCCGCCGTACCAAAGACATTATCGCAGTTGTGAGTTGTCGTGATGTATCGCGCGCCGAGGTCATATAATTGTCTTAATGATGCGAGCGAATTGCCGATTTGATGCGCGCCTTCTATGCCAATGAAGCTGCCGATTTTGCCATTTGAGAACGCCTCACGAGCGCATGTCGAGTTTGAGCAAAATTGGAAAAGGTCGGGAAACTCGTCAACAAAGCGTTTTGTGATGTCGATTTGTTCAAGGGTGTCGCGGAGTGTCCACTAAAGATATCGTGAGCATTAACCCCACGTGGGAATATCACCTTTCCCAGTGGATCTTAAAACGTACGGTAGCCTCGTCTAACGGAACATCCTTCTTTGTCTCACTATCCTTCGGACAGTGAATATAAGCCGACCAAAACTGCCCTCCTACCATTCCATCCCTCAACTTCTTCCGGTCAGTATTACTCAAAAGCCCCGTATTGAACGTAAACCGTTCATTGTAGATCTGATGCTTCAACTCCGTACGAATCAGATATGGAAGGTCATTGTGACCATCAATAAGAGGTGTGGTGCTGAGAACATGCTTTGTTCGAGCTGCGTAGTCGGTGGGATCGATGTTTGGGATGCTTTCTTGGGGAGATGTGAAAGGGCTGAGGAGCACGCTGGTGAGAATGACGCCTAGTGTACCCAGACCGAAGAGCCAGGCTCGTCGTGAGTTTGGAGACCCTCTTGCGCCAGACAAGACTACGGCTTGACTGGATTCTGTACTTGATGAGAGGACGTTCGATGCTAGGCCATTTCCTCTGGTGTTCAGGGTAGCCATGCTGATAGCTCAGAGGATAGGATCATCAATCGATTCTAAACAAGCTTATTGAAGATTGATTGGAATCTCTGAAAAATATTTTTGGTTGTCATTTCTATTTCCCCCCATACATGTGACCCACGACAGCTTTGCGTGCTACACTGCGTACATACTTCCCAGCTCCATCGGCTTCACTCCGATAGTGGAGAAGCCTTAACACTATCAACCATATCGGCGACTCACTCGGGGACTCATTTTCATCTCTAGCCAACGGGCCAATATTATCGATAAGGATGTCTTAGCTTAATGAAAGTCGGCGAATGACCTTACTCATGGATCGCATGTGGTTATTCGCGCAATTATCGTTTTGAAAATTCGTCCTAGAGAGATACTTCAAATCAAGTCCAGGACCACGTAGCTAAGTTACACGATTACGAATTATTGCGTCTTTTTTGCTCAGTATATTGTAGACGTTTTATGAGGTTGATATCGCCCAGTATTCCTTGACAAATTTACCACCGGCTAACTATCCCCATACCCAGGGCGCTAACTCCGGCGAACCGAACTGCCCATCAATCGACATCCATGCATTATCCAATTGAAACGCAAAATCATTAGGTTGTGACACGAACCCTACAGCAGGATTATATGCAGCGGATGATGCCCCGTCCTCATCTTGCTGGGTAGCTGTCACCGGTGGTGCCGAAGACATCGAGGTAGCGACCGATCTGATCTGGAACAGAATTGCAGCAACTCTTCGCAGTTTCTGGTGAATAACCTTTGACAGAGGCCAAGTCTCGCTAGCAGACCTCAAGAGACCGTTCAATAGTCGGACTCGGTCGCGATGTTGTTCCAGACATTTACCGGCACCGTCGAATCGGACATGAGCGATGAAAGTCGAGCACTGTACAACGCCGCAGAGGGATAAACCAAACATGAAGAGAGGACTGTGCTTTTGCATCGAAGTACATATAGAAAACAGATTTGAGAGCCGTTTAGAGGCCTCTGTGGCCTTTATGCCATGAATATGTCGTGTGGATGATGGCGGCAGTTTATGCGAGATCGGACCGCAGAGAAGGTTGTCAACACAAGAAGTGTCATTTGCTTCAGGGTCAGCACAAAAGTCAAGGATCAAGTTACTGCGTGGGAAGTGAAGCAATATTGCGGCAAATTGTACCATCATGTGCGCCTGCAGTAACATTTCATCAATCTCGCCGTATGCATTAACAATATCGGTCTTGTTGGACGGCAGATAGTGCGCCCAGCTAGCGAGAGTGTTGTCAACTGCCTGCGCTTTATCACGATGTGCACGATTTGGGTCTCTAACAGCGAGAACCCGAGCAATAAGATCAATTGCATCGACACGATATGTGAATGAAGAGAGATCGGTCGTGTCTTCTGAGTCTACCTCTCCAAAGATACGTGCTTCAAGTTCTTGGCGCGATGAAGGATGGGGCATTGGCGCTCTACCCTCTGCATATATGCTTTCTTCGCAAGGCATTTCAACATCATTACTAATCGAATTCATGCGGAAGCTGGATGGGCCTTTTGGATCAATAGCTGTCAGGTAACCGTCAAGAACGTATAGTTCCCACCAGGTTCGTCTCATGCTCTCTGCGTCCAAATCGTTTCCTTGTCTAGAATAAAAGTTAGAGAATTCCTTTTTATTCATGCCCATTGCAAGGGCCATGTCTATAGCCTCATGAAGCCGGGTGCGAGCCTCTTTTATCTCGCCATTTCCATGTAACACAATTGCATAGAGCAATCTAGCTTGAACAATTTGTGGCGAATTCTCACTGCCAATAGTTCGAGCAAGCTCGGTCGCAGCGAGTTCTCTGAGCGGTGCTGCGGAAATGACGGAATAATGGCTACCGATGTACTGAACCACGGCATTCAAGTAACTTGGATATCGCCGACCGCTATCATAGACCCTTTTGGGAAATAATATAGGATGGGAGCGATGGAAGTTTTCGTAGTAAAGCTCGACTAGCGTCTCCTCCGCGGGACCTCGTAGCACCCCATCGCTGTCCTGTGTGACCCGTTGTTCTTGTAAAGAACGAAGTGACTGAGGTGAAGATGATACGATTACGTCGGTAGCTCCAGTAGCATGAGTAGCATGACCGATACTGGTAGCTACCGACACATTAACCAGCGACTGCGCATCAAGATTATGAACACCGGCAGTACTGTCCGTATTCGTCAAATCCGCAGACAATATGGCCGTCGGCCGTGACTGATTTAGATATATCAACGCAGCTGCAGGCGATGTATCCATCCACTGCCGTTGCGGTGATTGAGGTCGTTGCTGATGTTGGACCGGCGAAGAATCTCCCACAGCAGAATCTGTAACCGACCGGGAATACTTGCGTTTGCCCCCTCGCTTCGACTTCAAGTAACTACACCGGAAGCCTGCTTCGTGGCATCGGGAGCACACAGGTAATTTCGCGTCACATTTGAGATGTCTTCGTCGGCATTCGATACAAGCTAAGGCAGCGGGACGTGGTAGGCGCGCTTTTTCCTGCTGCGAGGGGGAGTGCGGCATGTCATCGACATTGGCAGCTCGGGTATGAGGCTAAGAGTGGACACTGGATGACTAGGAGTTGTGGTCAAGGGGGGTTGAAATGAAGAAAATATTCTATCGGCGACTCATTGCCGGAGGCTCCGTTACAATAAATCATGTTGTATTATGTCTACATCGGGATTGATGCGATGTGGACGAGAAAAGGAGAGATAAAGATCACGCCATCTTGCAGCAGATATCGTCAATTTAGAGTTTGAGGGGCACTGTGATTCGTCCGATTGCTGGTCTTATCTCTTATTTTGCCCTAGCCCTAGCCCTAACTCTAGATACATACGTCTCTACATCTCAGTTGCTCTATTAATTGTGATCTTATATTCAATTTATCTTAGTTTAGAGATCAATTTTGAACGCATTGCGTGGCTCAAACCTTGCCCGCGTGTGTAACGGTGGCGTCGATACTGAACTAGCTCCCCCACCGCCAGTAATGGGATCTGCCACACTAGCTGGCTCGTCATCTGTAGCTGGGAGAATTTTGAAATGCGCAATGAGGTGAAGGAAGGCAAGATAGAGGGCTTTATGCGCTAGGTTCGCTGCCACACACATACGTGAACCCATTCCAAAGGCGAATTGGTGGGCTTGTTGATGCGACTCGGAACCTGCGATCCAGCGTTCGGGTTTGAAATCATATGGATCTTCGAATAGTTCAGGATCTATATGACAGGTTAGCACTGTCGAATCAAAAAGCATAGTAGTGGCCCACCTCGATTGCATGCCCATGAATTCAGAATGATCATAGTGCCCTTCGGGATCGTAACGCCATTGTACACAACTGGTGCTGTTACCTCTTTCGGCATGGCGAGGCGAAGAATTGTGTAGTATCTACCCAGCTCCTTGGTAACGGCATCGACATACGGTACTTTACCGTTTCCAAATGGATCAGCGTCAAGGATATGGGACTTCTTGATCTCCTGGAAGGCCTTTTCTTGTATTTCTGGATGATGAGCCAGAAAAATAATTCCCCACGCAACCGTTGGTGTATTGCTGTCGGCGCCCTATGGCTCGCAACTCGCAAGTAATTAGTTTCGCGCTCTTGATACAGAATCTGATAGAAGATTAACCTACCGCCATAATGCTCAGGCTCACGCTGAGACGCTCCAAATCCGTCAAACTTCTCGTATCCGGATTTTTTAGCATGTTGCCTTGAATACAAGGTTTGTCGGTCTTTTGATTGATTTCCGTTTTCAGTCCCTCTAAAAGTGCTCCGTGGTATCTTAGACGTCGTCGTCCGATATCCAATGCTTTCTGCAGGGGATTTCCCGGAATCATGAGCATGATCGGGTCAAGTAAGCGTAACAGCGGCACATAGTTCTTGATGTTACTTGAAGTCGACCGGTATTTGCCAATATTACTCTCAACATCGTTGATTTCGGTAATCATAGAATTACCCTCAAAGTCTTTTTGATTGTCGGCCCTACATACTTGCATGTCAGTCACGGCAATCTTCCAATGTAACAGAAGAAAATATCAATTTACCTGGTTCCGTAATTGAGTGTCAAGGATAGATTCATAGAAAATCGTCGGGCATAAGATAAAAAGTTTAATGCTGTGCGACCGTTATCACATGCTTTGCGCAGTTCATGGATAAATTCACTTGACTCCAATCTTAAGATCTAAGTCCTCAATCAGTCAATTGTTTTTAATGGTTGGTATTTTCGAACATCATGAGACAAAGCCTACCGGAGCGTACGAGTCAACCTGGACCACATTCAAAGCCGAAGCAGCCGCTTTTCTTCTCTTCTTGCAGCTCTCGTCCCAAGGGCTAGTCCCAATACTCGCAATCTCTTTACTAACAAATTTATGAAACACATAGAATAGAGGCCGCGAATTCAGCGAACCGCTCTCCTTGATCAGTAAATCCTTCGCGGCTGCTGCGCTGTTGATGACCAAGATGGGCTTGTTCCCTAGCTGAATCTGGAATACAGGGCCGTATTTCAAAGACCATAATCTGTATTGTTCAGGTGGTATAACTTTCTTGCCAATTTGATGAAGATTTCCGACGATAGGAAGACCTCTGGGACCTGGGATTCCCCGAACGCGGATGGACCATCGGTATAGCTCGTTGAGCAGGAATATGAGGATAGTGACAAGAGCGATTGCTTTGATGTATGAAACTAGAGACGTGTTAACCACCGAGAGGAGGTCGACGTTCATCTTCGATAAATGGTTTGCCATGACGAGATGTATTTTATGAAAATATTTGCTTGGCGGAGAATCGTCTCAATTTGAAAATATCCAAGTCTGAAATATGAATTGAAAATGGTCAGAAGCGTAATGTCAAGTCCCACCCCACCATGATAGGGCTCATCAGACTACGCCATGGGCCGATGAAATGGTAAATTGACTTCTACATGAGTCAAGAGTAGACACCCAAAGTTCTAAGAATTATTGGTAATCACCTGATTGATTAACCTGATTCATGCCTGTCCGGCTTTACCACCGGGTCACCGAGACGGCGACTCAACATCGCGAGAAACGGAAAGGGGTGGAGACTGAACCGATATCAACTTTTTAGTGCTAGAATCGTCAACTTTTGTCAGGTTTCTTCGCTTCGTGTTAGTGCGTGGCCTGTGTCTAGAAAGATAATGATGGGTAACATACCAATCAACTAGCTGTTTCTGTGGCAAATTGCGACATCTTTGTCGCGATTGCGTTGAAGCTTTATGGATCTTTCCAAATTCTCTGTAGATGTCAGTCAATGTTGAATTTATGCCAGGTCTCTTTGTTTATAACTCTATCGAACTCGTTTCGGGAGCAAAAGGTATAATAGTGCCCGACCTATCCAATGATAGTTATCGTCGGTACAATTTAAGTCAGGTTACATAGACTTTCAAACACCAAATTCTTTGCTTGCCCTAAGGTTTTTCCTGGATTATTCTACCCAGATACTTGGTACAGTTTTGTGACTACCATGACCGACATCAAAGTTGCCAACTCGCCAAGCGTGTTGTCCGTCCCTACAGATCCGGAAAAGGATATCTCGACGCGCATTGATGAAGAAATTACTGGAAATGAATATGTCGATCCCAAAATTGAAAGATCCTTGGTTCGGAAATTCGATCTTTTCATTCTGCCAATGTGTGGTATGTATAAATAGGACTGTTGACATCTAAAGTCGTGCCGAGCAAGGGCTAACTCTGTTTTGCCATAACTACATAGCTCTTGTCTATTACAGCCATACACTCGATCGGGCAAACTTGGGAAACGCGAAAACAATGGGACTTGAGACAGACCTCGGCCTTGTAGACAACGAATATTCACTTGTCCTCATTCTGTTCTATATTCCCTACGGTTTGTGCAATATTCCCGCAGCTCTGTAAGTTTCACACCCCGGAATCGTCGTTGATGATCACTCCAGACTAATGACCTTCTCTCAGCCTTGCAAAACGTTTCAATCCTGCTAGAGTCATTCCCATTATGATGGGGATTTGGGGATCGCTCTCCATGATCACTGCTTCCACTACAAATTTTGGCGGTCTTCTAGCAGTGAGAGTTCTCATTGGCGTGGTCGAAGCCAGTTTCATGCCTTGCGTGTATTTGTATTACTCGCTGTTCTATACAAGAAAGGAACTTGGTTTGAGGACTGCGGCTTGGGGGTTTACCGGTTTCATTGCTGTACGTCTCTTTTCAATTTTGAGGGTAATAACGTCTTCTTGGCTGACAATATTCCGAACAAGGGCGCAACAAGCGGTTTGATTTCATGGGATGTTTCTCAGTGGCATCGGTCTTTGACCGTAGGTTCACCCAATCCAACTATGACAGTCTGAGGCTAATTCTATTAGGGCTGGCAATACCTATTCCTCATCGAGGGTGGCATGACCGTCGGCCTCGCCGTCATAATCTTCTTCATCCTACCCCGGGATACTAACACGAGATGGTTTACCGACGAAGAGCGACGAGTTGCACAGATTCGCTTACGTCGTGAATCCAACTTGGAAGGGGCTGGTCAGATCTCTTGGAATGTCGCTTTCCAGGTTGTTCGAAAATGGCAAGTTTGGGCTTTTGCAGCTATGGCTTTTCTATGTGGTGTTGGTGTTGCTAGCGCTTCCAACTTTCTTCCGGTAAGCTTTTCATGGCTTTACTTCTCCCTGCTTGTGCTAATAATCAAACCAGACCATGGTCAAGCGAATCGCGCAATCTACACCTCAAGGTAACTTGTACACCGTCGGTCCCAACCTTGTCGCCGCGTTTGTACAGATCGTCTCCGCTTGGTTGTCCGATCGCTACCAACAACGTGCGTTGGTATCCTTCTGCACTTTGATCGTCTCCATGATCGGTTTTATTCTTCTTGCTACTCTCGACCTCGTCCATCATACTCACGTGGGATATTTCCTTACCTACATGATCACCTTCGGTACATATATGCCCGAACTCTTGATGCCCCTTTGGCTCAGTAGCAATCTGACCAACGCGTCTTCACGAGCCGTCGCATTGGGCCTGTTTATTGGTGGGCAGAATATTGGTGGTATTCTTTCAAGTGCCGTCTTCAGGGCTCAGTACGCACCAGTATATGCACCGGCTTTGATTACCGTGGCGATCTGTCAGGGGCTTTTGTTGGTAGCATTGATTGCTATGAGACAATATTACGTCTTCCAGAACAAGAAATTGGCCACAGGCGAACTGGCACCGCCCAAGGAATTGGAGAATAATCATGACTTCAAGTATGCCATATGAGCTTCATTTGGGAAGCAATCATTAATCCTCGGTCACTCAGTTTGGACTATTTGATTTACCAGATCTTGATTATTCCAAGGTGGTTGAACAAAAACGTACGCATGTCCATAGCCCTAATTGCTACTTACTCTAAGCACTGAATTCCACGTCCAAGTACTATTCTTAAAATTCCATGGCCTTGTGCATGACAACTGGTGCTTAAGTATATTTTATGAACCCAGAGATCAAATCTCTACGTAGTGGATGACTGCCAGGTATGGTGATTTCATTGGGCCCAACCCTAATTCACATCTCAATCTTTGGTCTTTCAAATACAGACGACCTGGAGTTCATAAAAAGTACTAGTAAGTTCCGTAAATAACTTGGAATTTCCGCGGAAATTACCATTACTATATATTATATAAACACGCCAATGCCCCACTGTTTCCTTTAATTTTATACAATTCTAATTAGCTAATGAATTTATATCTCTCTTTCTAAAAGCACTTTTGTTAGGGAGCTTAAAAATAATTATGCTTTTAGCTAATATCCAGGGATTACGCAGGGAACAAAAAATTTTCAGAATTCTGGTGTGATAGATCGGGCCGTGCTATTAGCCGGGGATCTTATAAGCAAGATTTTCTGGAAATAAGTTGTGTTTAGACATTGCTGAACAAACTCAGACCAACAAATTTGCCATTCAACAACTTGTCGGGTATCATCTCACTTGTCGGGCCACGTCCAGTTCAGCAATGTTACAACCAATTCTCACGCCTGAAAATCTGTGGCCAGGCGGCATTCCATCGTTTATCCGTCCTCATCCAACTGGGGAATTAACCATTGGACCAGAAGATTGGAAGGATTAGAAAGAGGAATGTAAAGGATGGTGTCAGTTTGTAGAGGTATAATCCTTCAATTTCACAACCATGCTGCATACATTTTAATCCTATGAATTGCAGCAAGCTAGTACTGATCTATCATTAGGAGAAATGGGTTGCAAAAACCGATATTGATGAGGAAATGCAGCAACGACGAGCACTCATTACCAAATGGGCCTCCTCCGATCAGGCTTTTCGAGATGTACGCTATTGATTCAAATATGAAGCGATTACATTTGTCTAGAGTCGAACTAAAAGAAAAATCTAGTCTTACCAAGAACGCGCTCCTTCACGAAACTCGGCATTGGACTACCCTCCACATCTTCTCTCCAAGGTTAGATCCAGCCGGAAACGCTTCTTCTGCCTAGCCTCAGTGGATAAGGAGAACCATGCAGATAACTATATACGCTTGGTCAAATGCCTTATTCTTCTATATTTCCACAATAATAGAGCAGCTACCCACCCCCTATGTCATGCAAGCCGGGAGTCTTCTCAAATTCCCGATATTCTGGTTGACTCATCCACTACACCAGAGTATACTAATTTTTTTTTTTTCACATCACGAATTGTTGATCAACCTCTTTCTGCACCCAGCTGACTTCCGCGCTGTCTCTATGACCCACTCTGGCACGGTGGTTTTCCCCAATGAATACTCAACTACTCCCTATACCGTGATTAACCAGGACCATTTAAACAGAGGGCGGGTGGCGGTGATGACTTTTAAACCTATTGGGGAGATAGGAGAATATGCTGATCTACTGCCTTGGAATTTTGCTCAGATAATACAGTATCGTTATGGGCTGGGCTGGGCTTTTTCAGAGCTATTTGATTATGAGAATGGAAGGGCATTCGCGGCTCCTTATGAGAATGAACCGTAAGATCCCTCTATTTTGATATCGGTTGAAAAATCTGACATTGAATTAGAATCAATATGGCCGAGCCCCTTTTATCCATCGTGGACGTGCTTATACAAAGGCAAGATCTCACAACAAACCATTTTCAATTAGCAGACTAGGAGGACGAAATCGAGATTTTTGCTCCAGGGTTTCTGGAATTAGAAGCTCAGGGACGAGCAATTGATTTCGATTTGGCAAACTTGTGGAATGAGGATGGATTGAGTTACTCTCATCATACACGAGAGCAGAAAAGAAGACTGCGGGAAACGGGGTCTTTATTTTCGAACTATCCTGGTCAACAGATTTAATTGAAAGTTTCTAGAGTTAGACGCTGACTGTATTGAAAGGCGGCATTCGTGATTAACTATTTACAATGTCTATTATTTTGAGCCACCTCCAAGGATGAACACAGGGCAGGCATCTACTCAGGCTACTAGAAAGAGGGAGCAGTATGATTCAAGAACCCTTGTTTGCAAATTTGCTACATATCAATCGATGGCCGCCTAGGTTTTGTCAACAGTACAAAAATATTCTCTAATAAGATATATGGCATTTACAAAGATCTCCGAGATGTAAATTGAGTAGACCGTTTGAAAAAGTATTTTCCCAAGGTATCTAACTGAATTTGGAGTATTCATGGATGAAGGCTTTAGGTGACTTATCATCCTGACTAGTTTCTCTGTTGTCTCCGTCACAGACCACTGGGTAGGATAAATTCGCTGGCCTGGTGAAATTGTTGTCGATCGTTTTGCAGGCTATGAGACCTCCAAACAAGGACTACCTGTAATGTTGGCAACTAAATTTGAGAGGGAGTCCCTCTTTTCAAGTCCGTCATCGCTGGAATAGCTGATGCAGGTCCCTGGCACTCGTTCGATGGGATCACTCGGAAATACGAATATCAGGATTTTCATTCATGTTCAGCGCTACCTCAGACGAATCACTGCACATAATCACAAAATATCCAAGGTTCTGACTATGGCCGTTGACCGTCTGTCAACCTCACTTGAAATATACTCGGGCATAATAATACTTAAATGAGGTCGAAACGAGACCGTGTCATTATATTATCAACGCTATGTTGTATTCATTTTCAAATTAGACTAACGTTGCGTATTATATCGTCTTCTGCGCGTTACGACAAAGTATATTTTGGAAGTAGATTGTGCTGCTGGATGAAACTAGGCACCTAACGAATTTTGTTGGGATGCTTTGATCGAATAGTTCGAAAAGTTAACGCCACCAAAATTAGCCTTCCAAATTTGCATATCAAACTTCACGTCCACACATGCTCTCAGCGTTCTACCGTCGACGCTATTTCGTTAGTAAATTGGTATTGCCCCTTTGCGGCTCCTAGTCTGTGCCTGGCCCACTGTGGAATCTTATTTTGTGTGCTGCCTTCGGTTACGACGGTCCATCTGGAGTCTATGGATAATTCTTATTCCACGCCAGCATCGCTACTTAAGGAGCAAAAATAAGTTGAAAAGCTATTGTTTCATATGACAGAATGTTTTGGGCCAAGGCAGAATACCTCTAAGGTTACACATCACGTACTTATCAACATATCGGACCATATTTGGAATTGTTCATCAACTCAGTCCTATTCGCTTCCAGATTCCCAGGATATGTCCAATTCAAGAATCTCGCAACCAATACTTACAGCTGAGAAATTGTGGCCGGGCGGAATTCCAGAGTTCGTTCGTGTTCATCCAACTGACGACTTGATCGATGGCCCTGAAGAATGGAATTGGAAGAATTGGACAATAGAATGTAAAGGATGGTGCCAGTTTGTTGAGGTACGATCATCCTACCACGGCTCCTATGACTCACCAATTCCAATTATGCTAATATTCCACTAGGAGGAGTGGGTTCCAATGACTGATCTCAATGAGGAAATGCGACAAAGACGGAAGCTCATCGAAAGATGGGCCTCCGCGGATCAGGCCTTTCGAGATGTACGCCATACGGTCATATGAACCAACTCACTCCGGACAACTACTAATTCACACTTCTAGTCTTTTCATGCGCGCTCTCCTGAACGAGAGTCAGCATTGGACTATCCTGCACATCTTCTTTCGGAAGAAGGACTAGATGAACAGCCCTTCGTCTGTCTCGCTTCGGTGGATAAGGAGCTCTATCCCGACAACTATATACGATTTGTCAAGAACCTCATTCTTTTATATCTACACGATAATCAAGGAGGAGGCTACCATCCGATGTCTCGGAGAGACTGGAAGAGGGACCCATCCCCTACAATTCCGGATATCTTGATTGATTCATCTACAACCCCGGATTATATTAAGTTCTTCTCTCATCACGATTTATTGATTAACCTCTACCTACATCCAGCTGATTTCCGTGCTGTTTCCATGACCCGACTGGGAACAGTTGTTTTCCCTCACGAACGCTCAAATTCAATCTACACTGTGATCGACCAGGATAATCTGGATCTAGGGCGTGTGGCGGTGATGACATTCAAACCTAATGGAAAGATAGGAGAATACGCTAATGTCTTTGCGTGGAATTTTGCCTGGATGGACTCTTATCACTATGGACTTGGCTGGGGTTATGATCTGCTGTTTAATGGGGAGGACTGTAATTATGCAACCCCCTATTGTAACGAACCGTAAGGTTTCCGTATATTCTTGAACCATCCAATAGAATACTAACAGGACGATAGTGTCAAAATGGACGACCCCCTCATGTGCATTGTGGACTCTCTTATACAAAGAAGAAATCTCAATAGTTTTGGTTCTCGCTCAGAAGAGTGGGAGGACGAAATCCAAAGGTTGGCACCAGGATATCTCGCATTAGAAGCTCAGGGACGAGAAGTTGAGTTTGATTTGGCGGACTTGTGGAACGAAGAAGGCTTGTGCTACAATCACTATACACTGGAGCAGAAAAAACATTACCGGGAGACTGGATCATATTTCATGCCCCCTCGTCGCTTCATACCTCCTTCCCCCAAGCCTGTCCCGGCGACCACCCTCCCACCACCTTCCGGTGCTCTTGGGATGTCCTTTCATCAACTCTTTCAAGACAAACTTGGGGTAAAAGCCGACAAGAAGTGAAAAAATTGAGGGTTGTTTGGGTCGACGATTTTCTGTAATCAAAGGCAATGATAGATACAACTTGGTCTGAAAAAATAAATCCGAAAAAGCAGTCCAATCATCAAGGCACTTACTACGTCACTAATAGCCAGATTTTAATTAGAATTTTACCTCCCGATTGGACTGATAGGAAGACTTAATATGATTTGCTAACTTGATATATAAACATAAGACGCATCATCACAAATTTGGGTACCACTTATATATTGTCCCAGCCTCTTATGCTATTATGGCTTCTTGGATGGTGACATAACATTAATGCTGGCTGATCTCCACCAATGCAATATTTTATGCCCCGAATTATCGAGAGTCCGGTAAATAGCCGGCAATGTAAAGAGGAGACATTTAGCTCAATATTCGACCAAAACATCCCACCTTTAGATTGGTGCACATAGAAAAGATTCTTACGAGACTTGCGTATCCATTTTAGGTAGGTGATCAAAAGCCCAGATGTATCGACTGATACAACGCGCGAATTCTAAATGTATTCAACATCACAAGCCTCTAGTTCCTATCATTACCCTTTGTGCAGTATGAATGAGATTTCCTTTTGAAACCAGAAAAAAAAGGAGAAAAAACTACGGTTCCACTAGGAACGAACCTTATAAAATACTGGGAATGGTCACGCTGCTCAACGACCTGTAGAATCTTAGTGATTCTCTATATTCAATGCATAAAAAGGTGGAAGAGTGATACGTCATGATTATTTCCCCGCTCCTACACTGAGTATACCGAGGGTAGTTGTAAAACATAGCTAGGGGAAACCTACCCTACAACTACCGCGGTACTTAAAGCATCACTTCCTACTCCAAATAATCTACTTGCCGTGAATTTCATCCGATCCAGCAGCACAAAAACACCAGAGTCGACCTCCATCAAGAACGGAAGGGAAAAGGAAAAACAAGGCCAAACTGCGGGGTCCTTAATGCCTATGTTGCCTGAAAATTGCAACGCTATAATAGAGCCCAGTCGGCTCTTATAATATCCCCGAAGAAATCATTCCAATCATCAGCGAGGATGGCATATGATTTGCAACCATGGTGTGCAGCTAAAAGTGTCTAAAATGTGGAGAAGGCTGAGGATATGGGGTAGAGACAAGGTTAAATGGGGCGGGAGAGCGGACTGTTACTCGATTAGGAAAGTACTTAGGGCTTTGTGATCACGTTGCCGGCACGCAATGTAGCTGTTCAAATCGTCACTGCTGGCAGAGTCAGAATAACGTATGGTCAAGTTGTGGGACATAGCAGAGAGTTCAAGCTTCAACGGTGGAGATCCCATCAATCGGATAAATTATCTGTCAGGAAAGCCCCGCATGATGGATTGGAGGGAGAACGGTTTTCAAAGTACTATAAATCAGAGCATGACGACTGCAGAGGATTTGAGGACTAGGAATTGTTTCGTCACTCAGACGCCTAAGTCCCTTTAAAGACAACATGGTGCCCGACTTATTCCCTCGCAGTTTGCTGCTGCTAAATATACTCACTTCTGCTTCTGCAGCAGTTCTTGGAAAGAGAACCTATGTCGAAACCGACAATGTCCCCAAAGGAGCTCCAACAGTAACCCTCAAAAACGGAAGTTACTATGGAGTTCACAATTCCTACTATGACCAAGATTTCTTCTTGGGCATACCCTACACCCAACCACCCGTAGGAGAACTTCGATTACAGGTACCACAATCACTTAATGAGACATGGACCGGGACAAGAAACGCCACCCAATACAGTCCCGAATGTATCGGTTATGGCAGTGATCAATGGGTTCTCGGCAACGATATTTCAGAAGATTGTCTAACCATCAATGTCGTGCGACCTAGTAACATCGCTGCTGACGCAAAGCTTCCTGTTCTGTTCTGGATTCATGGTGGTGGCTTTTTCGAGGGCGGCAGTAGGGATCCTCGATACAATCAATCGTTCTTAGTCCAGCGCTCAGTTGAGATTGGAAAGCCCATCATAGGTGTCAGTGTGAACTACAGGTTGTCTGGGTGGGGATTCCTCTGGGGCGAAGAGGTTGCTGCAGCCGGTGTTACCAATCTCGGTATTCGTGATCAACGTTTAGCACTGCATTGGGTTCAGGAGAACATTGCTGCTTTTGGTGGCGACCCATCTAAGGTAACTATTCAGGGAGAATCTGCTGGTGGAGCCTCCGTGGGTACGCAGCTCATCGCTTATGGAGGCCGTAACGACGGCCTATTCCGAGGTGGCATTGCGCAATCTGGTGGTCCAACGGCATTAGGTTCTTATGTCAACGCTTCAGCCTGGGAACCAAACTATCAGAAAATTGTCGAGCTAGCAGGTTGTAGTAGTGCAAGCGACACCCTCGCTTGCTTAAGGACTCTACCAACCGAGCAACTTAGCACAATCTTCAATTCTACCGGTGTCACTTCGTCAGGCGGTGTCGTTATCGATGGCGATATTCTCACAGAGTCGGCTACCACATTGACCAAGACTGGAAAGTTTGTCAGAGTACCCCTCTTGATAGGCACAAACTTTGACGAAGGCACGGCGTTCGGTATTCCTGGTATCAACACCACGGAGGAATTCAAAGAGTCGCTTCTATACGAGGCGCCGTCGCTCACGGAAGAGGTTATCAACAAAGTCGCTGAGCTCTACCCCGACGATCCTAATCAGGGTATTCCATCTACTCTCAAGGGTCGCCCTCCACCAGGATCACCTTTTGGAACGCAATGGAAACGCTCAGCTGCATACGGCGGTGACCTGACAATGCACACCGGCCGAAGAATCTCAACCGAGGCTTGGGCCCGGTACGGCGTTCCCGCATATTCATACCATTTCGATGTGCTCGTCAACGGAGTCAGCGAGTACATCGGCAGCACGCACTTTCAGGAAGTAGCCTTCGTATTTGACAATACTGCTGGCCAGGGCTATGAGAATGCGGTTGCTGTTGATCCTTTTGCCAATGAGCCTGCGACTTTCGACGAATTGGCTAGTATCATGTCTACCGCTTGGATCAGCTTCGCGCACGACTTGGATCCCAATAATAATGCTTTCAGTAATAAGAAAGGTATCAATAAGGAAGGCTTGCAGTGGCCTGTCTATGGTCAGAAGAATCCGTCAAACATTGCGTTCAATGTGAATGTAACGGGGCTAGCGTATGTCGAGCCAGACACTTTCCGGGCTGATGCCATTGCTTATATGGCGGATAATTTTGAGAGGTATTGGGGACGGTAATACATTGATCATGTTATCTCGGCAGAGACCTGATGTAATTGCAGGTAGTCCTATTAACATTACTTCAATGAATCACGCTGGTTCTCCAATCAATTGTTTGAAGCCCTTGACCAGACCTTGCCATTCTTGCTGGTGTTCTCCACTAAACTCCTCAATCTTTGAAAACAGCTCCAGATCCTCTTTCATATGGACTTCACTCTTCGTTCCATCAAGCACCGAAACCTTTCCTAGACTCATCACAAGCGCGTACAAAGCAGCTGCAACACTGATCCCCACATTTTCTGAAAGTTGCTGTACCTGCTCACTCTCGATAAGCTCCGGGTTGGCCGTCAGTGTCCAGAAAGACTGGTACATAATGTCATTTTCGCGAGCAAAAGAGCGTAATTTCACGTCGTAGTCTTCATCAGGGTAAAAGCGATTCTGAACCACAGCCGGCTTGATTTTGATCTCAGGTGAGGAACAAAGCGCTTTCAGTATCGGAAGTGGGCAATTTGATATTCCGAGGTTGTGTATAACGTCGGGCACAAAGCTCTCGGCTGCGATCCAGGCCTCTATAGTCTGTTCAATGGCTCTTAACGGTGAATGGAGTACCAGTGTGTCGATATAGGTACCATTAGCCGTATTTGCCTCATCTTGTGCAAGGCCTAAATTGTGGAGAGACGAGTGGATTGATGCCTTGACTTGCTCGCTTATACTAAGACTTGCATCATATGGCATATCATGTGGATTCTGTCCTGATATCGGTGTGTATTTTGTTTGGATCTTTTGGTCCATTATTTTTTGGATTTCATATAGAGAGGTCTCCTGGGATGCATGATTCCAAAACACTCACGTAGATTTCCTCGCGCTTGACAATACCCTCGGCAATCGCTTTTCTAATTCCTTCTCCCACTAGATCTTCACGATAATGTTTCGGCTGTGCTGCAGTGTCTACGGCACGAAATCCGGCTTTTAGAGCTGTATATACAAGCTCTGCGCTACGGTTTTTTTTCCAAGCCGTCCCATAGATCAAAGTGGGCATCTGGGTTGGAGGGGTGCGACCATTGGATCGTAGCAGCAGATAGGCAGTGGGCATTTTGAGTATATTAGTTGCAGGTTTGGCCATTGAAGTGCTTCAGCCTTGAGAACGGATGAAATATGGTTTCATAAATGGTATTTGAGGTTGAAGCTGACCTCACGAAGCCCTGTCTGAGGCTGATTCGGAAGGGGCCGTTGGTACTAACCTCAAATGGTTAGCGTTAATTATCTCGCTCCTGCCCCACAATATCCCCTAAAATACGTAGTACGTAACAGTGATGCTTATTCATTTCGTTAGTAAGCAGACTCCTTCCCTAGGTAGATTCCTTTCGGGAAGGTCAGCAGATATGCTGCAACATTCACTCTCGTCTGAGGACGTCTGGCCGCGAGGAATACCATCTTCGGTCCAGCTTCACCCGGAAGATGATTTGTCCGAGGATGGCCTGACAAAGGAATCAAAAGACTACGTATGTATATTGCTTTGATGATGTAAAAATGATAAGTTCTCAATTGTAGGAGGAATGGGTCCCAAAGACTGGCCTCAGCGAGGACAATGCGAAAATGGCGAGCGCTAATTGAAAGATGGGCTTCTGCGGATCAGGCTTTTTCTTACACACCCTCATGAAAAGTCTTACGCTCTCTGATCATTTTCAATTCTACTGTCATGATAACCTTCGAGCTGATTCATTCTAATCCTACCACAACCGTGCGCCTCTACGAGAATCGGCAATAGAGTATCCGCGATATCTCCCCAACCAGGCGCCTGACAAGAAGCGCTTCATGTGTCTAGTCCCCGTTGATAAGGATTACCATACCGACAACTACATAGATCTTTTGAAAGTCCTTATTTTAATTCATTTCCATGTATTCTTATTGGGATAATCCTCTAACGCCTAGTATAGTTATTAATCCATCATCTACCACGCCCAATCTGTTAAACACCAACTCTTATAAAAATCTGTTGAGCAGCCACTACCTTCAGCCAGCTGACTTTCGCGTAGTTTTTATTCCTCATAGAGAGGGTAAAATAGAAGCTAGCAGGATTTAATTGTAGTAGATAAGAACTCTATAAAAGATAATTGAGTCGCGCTAATGAACTTTGAACGTAATGACTAGGTAAAACACTAGACAAAGATTACGATCTCACTCACTGGTCCGTACAATAATATATTGCCATGTCTTATGCTATTGGGAGTATATTAGTCCTAATGGTAATACGTTTCGGAATAATCTGTGAGGCTTGTCCATTCTATCTGGATAATCTCAGAAAGAGATTAATATAAGCAATTTTAGCATTGATGTCAATTCGCCTTTTACTGCTATATTAGATATATTGGTAAGTATTGCTACACACAGAAAAGGTCCGAGTCGGTATCCTCTAGATTATTGGGTGTGTGAGATGAGAAGTAGAAGACTGAGAGCTTGACTAAAATCTAACAACCCGATCTACTATGACCTTGTATATGATTTTCATTCTCTGCTAGAACAATAAGATAATCGATCCGATCGATACAACGAGCGAATTGAGGCTGAAGTCATAAAAGCACACGGCGACGAGACTAGGCAGTGCTATCTTGAGAACTACTAGGCATTTTGATGGTAGGGAATTGCCGAAACCCTACTTGAAAAGCTGATGCATTGCAGAAAGCAAAGTATTAGTGTTGTTGAACTCATTTCTTCAGTTGATGCAATTGAAATAGCCTAAACCTAATATAAATAAACGGATCACGTGGGTGCACGAGTCACAGAGCGGTCAGGACGCGGCGTGACTTCACATTGAAACAAGCTCGGGGCGGGATGAAGTCAGTTTGGCCGAAAGAAAACTAAAAGAACCAACTTACGACTGAACTCATCAGAAGCAAACCAGCGCGCGCTGCCCTCTCCTCTCTATCGACAATCCCTAATAATACCTACGACTGGCTTGGGTTTCCACTTCGCATACAATATCTTCTGCGACCATTGTCCTCTGCGATCCACTGAAAAACGTTATTCTACCCGCATCGGTGTTCGCTCATCGGCAGGCTTCTAGATTTACCAGCTCGCTGACTACGAACAATACCACAACCTAGCACGCGTTTCATCCCCTATTGAACATCCTGCGCGACTATTGTGCCATTTACAACCCGTTCCGGTTGAGAAAGCCATCCTATTGTCTTCAGCTGTCCCAGATCATTGCGTCAACTTCAGCCCCCCCACCCGCGATACCATCACATAACCCATATCAATGCGCATTTCAAATAATTGGTGTCACAACACGATTTGACTGTTCTCGCTTTTTGGCGCTGCATCTATCAACGTATCTCAAGACTACGATCGACTTTGTTCAACTCCGCCGGCCTCGTCAATTTACAAGGCCACGATAGTGAAGAAAATCAACTTTTCAAGAGTGACCTTTGGGTCCTCTTCTATCTTTTAATACCCACCAGCAAGTTGACAACAGGTAAATCACACAAACACATTAAAGATGACTTCCCAAGGGGTGCCGTCTCGTAAGCGTGCTGCCCCAGGAACGTCGCCTGTTGTGCATGCGCCTATTGGGTCTATCCCAAGTTACACAGACACCACCAATCAATTGTCAGACGACCAATTTCTTCAATGGGGTCAAGATCCTCATGCCGCCGCTGCTGTCGCGCAACCATTTCCTATCGATCCGAACCCATATACCACCATGTCATATGTCGCCGCCAACCAGGACATTCCAGTACCCACAAATCAACCCTCCAACCAGCTCACCAGGAGACCTGTGAACCAGTTGATGAATCGAAATCGCTCGTTTGAGCAATCGTCTGTTTCGTCTGTTCCAGAGAGCGGTGGCGATGGATGGGGAGAAAGTCTAGCAGAACTCGAACAGCGAGCGCTAATTGCGAAGCGGGAGGCTCAGGCCAAGCGAAAGCAAATTCCTCCTTTTGTTCAGAAGCTCCGCAGGTATGTTATGTTTCTTGTCTGTGCTCATCACATGGTGGGAATTTTACACTAATGGTTGGGTTCAACTAGTTTTCTCGATGAACCACAATACGCTGATTTCATTCGATGGTCGGATGACGGAAACTCGTTCATCGTGCTCGATGAAGACGAGTTCGCCCGCAGGCTCATTCCAGAGCTTTTCAAACACAACAAATATGCCTCCTTCGTACGTCAATTAAACATGTATGGCTTTCACAAAAAGGTCGGCCTGTCCGATAATTCGATGCGAGCCAGCGAAAGAAAAAACAAGAGCCCGAGTGAATACGCCAACCCGTACTTTAAGCGCGGTCACCCGGATCTCCTTTGGCTGATTCAGAAACCCAAGAATGCGCCTGGTCAGGGTAGTAAAGGCGCCAAAGGTGCTAAGATCAAGACTGAGGATGGCGAAGAGCATGATCCTGACGAATTGGTTGATGATATCGGCCGCGACGAACGACCACGACTTGGCGGTCAGCTTGCGATAACCAACGGGCAAGATGTCATGCCCAAAGATCAACTAGCAGGTGTATATCGTGAGCTCCAAACTATCCGCCAACAACAGCAGATTATTTCAAGTACGATATCCAAATTACGCCGTGAACATGAGCAGTTGTATGCCCAAGCTGCAAATTTTCAAGAACAGCACAGCCGCCATGAAAACTCTATCAACGCAATTCTCACGTTCCTTGCTACCGTTTACAATCGCAGCCTTCAGGGGCATGACGGACCACAAAATATCGCCAATTCGTTTTCCGGAATTATATCTCAAGATCAGGGCAACTTTGTTGATGTCGGTGACGACTTTGCTCTGAGTACTTTGGGCAACGATCTTGCTTCAGGGACACCACGATTCAAGAAACAACCATTGCTTCTTAAAGCCCCCCCTCAGGCCAACACGACGACCAGTGACCGCGCCACCACATTGTCTCCGGCCGCCAGCAATTACGATACACTCTCGAACCGTAAATATTCCCGCCCAAGTACTACGCCGTCACATACTATTGAAGAAGTGCAAGATGCCACTAGTCCCCAAACGACAGCTTCCTCAAAACCCTCGCAAGATCAGCGCAAGCCACAGCGTGATATAATGTCCATGATTCAGCTTTCCAATGCCGCCAATGGGATTCCAACAACTTTTGCTGATTTTCCAAACATTGTTAATTCTCTCGAAACTTCTGGTGGCAAGTCGGCGCTTACTCCAAAACAGCGGGCAGACATGTTGCGGCAGATTGCGCGCGACACGACCGTTAGTGATCCAAGCTTAGCTTCTTCCAACAACGCCCTCATCACTCCTACTCCTCCACCAATGCCAGCCGACTATTCTGCTCAACTTGCAAACACCCGTACTGAAATTGATAATTTGATGAAGATGCAAGCAGAACAGGACCGTTCTGTACAGAACCTCACCAATTTGCTGCAGCCATTGAGCCCTACTGGTCAGATTCCAGGGCTTCAGGAGGGCCACGTTGTCCCTCCATCTCTTGACCTCGATCAGATCTTCAATAGCCAAGATTATTTCACGGACTATAATGATCTAGAAAACAAGGGAAATCTTGACCTTGGAGACACGTCTGCAAACTTAACGACAGGGATACCTTCCCAGGCTTATAGAGCAACTGCAAACGATCAAACCACCACCGATGATCTCTTCAACTTCGACAATCTCGGCAACGACGCTGTAGATACCGATCTATTCGGTGACGCTCGAGCTTCTAATGCGGGAGCAGGATACTTTGATAATTACGACGACTACCTCAAACCCGGCTTCAGCAATGACGACCTCAGCAACCGCAACACGGCTGCTACTGTCGCTGGTAATGGCAATAACACGAAGAGCGCCACCTCTCCAGAGACAGGACGAATCATCGAGACACTTACCGACAGCGAATCAACTAGTCCCACGAATACGGTGGATGAGAACTACCAAAGTCTCAACGCAAGCAATACATCTGACGTGAACACACAGAGCCCAAAGCGGCGACGGAGGGCTTGATTTCTGATCATACAAGTACGGATACCTTTATATACGGGAGGCATATATCTTCTTTGTTCTGAACAGCATGATTCATAATGACACGAAATACACTTATTCACGAGACTTGTCCAAAATTAAACATGGCGCAACTGGTTATCTTCATATACGAAGGAAAGGGGTGGATAAATTCAAATTGAGGAGACGCGGAGTACGGATTCTTCTCTGGTTTACTATGATACTTTTTCTTGACCTTGGGCCTGGCTACTATTCCCCAGGACTCATGTACCATCCACATATGATATGCTAAATCTACATACCGAGGCTGTGTAGGTTCATGGTAGATAAATATCTCATAGATCGTTTGATGGAGTTGGGTTATGCTTGACCAGTATATCATCACTTGATAGATCTAGACTCATTACCCAGGAATTCCAAACAGTAGTAGATGTAATGAACGGGAATGCAACGCTGCAATGATCACCTTAGCTTTACAACAGTTACAGGGTCTATGCAAACTCGAAACAAATGAAGTGATGATACCACCCCAAAACAAACCAAAACAGGGCCAATTACAAGCAAATTCAATATCGTAAAAAGTCATAATACATTATCATCAGTCCTACATAACAACGCAATCTTTATCTCTAGGTACTTGTCCCCTTCGGTCCGGTACGCTTTGCAGTGGTTGTCGTCGACCAGTTGACGACGGAGGTGTCCCACCGGGGTATTGCTGAATTCTTCGTGTTCCGTACTCCGTGTTTAGGGGCATTCCTGGTTGCGCTTGTTGCTGTCTGTTGAACATTTCTGCGGCTTTGTTGCGTGCTACTTGCTCATATGAAGGGGGCGGTGCGTCGTCTGCTATATCGTCGTCGTTATCGGTAACACCAGGTGCGTCTTGGGGTATGTTGTTTTGGTTATTATTGTTGTCGTTGGGTCTACGAGGAGGTGATTGGATGGAAGATGATGATACTGAGGGGTTGCGGAGACGGCTTGTTGAGGCCGATGCGGAGGATTGGGAGTATCGGTGTGCGGGTACCGTGTTGCGGGCGGTCGTACTTGCTACCCTGGTCGAGGAAGAACGAGCGTGTGGTTGTTGTTGCCGTTGCTGCTGTTGTTGCGCCTCTTCTTGGTATTGAAGTGATAGTGCATATGCATAATCTGCATCTTCTTGTTCGGTGTTGTGTGAAGGTGTCGAAGAAGTTGTAGTAGCATGGTTCCGGCTTGATGTTCGTTGTGAAACAAGATGCGACGGTTCATTAGGACCTGGAGCAGATGGAGCGTGGCCGACTGGCCTGAAATCGCCAGCATAGTATTCAGTGTTTGCACCTGTGATATCTACGAGCGACTCCCATACGATTTCTGCATGGTCAGCGTAGCCGGCATCGGTGATTAAAGTAAAAAGTTGTTCCGACTGTGGGTGTTTATAGAGAGTTGAAAAATGATCATTGCGGAACAAAATCGAAACTGATCCAGGTGGAAGCGTTTTGCCCAAATGATCAAGTCCGAATTCAGTCAGCTGTGTTGTATTTTCAACATTCACGAATTGATTGATGATCTGAATGTCGTCCATCATACGTTCCTCATCAGGAGTTAAAGTTGCCCCATTGCGAAACACGCGATCTTCTAATTCTTCTTTGCGGAATTGTAAGAGTTGAATATCCTCGTAGTACTGAGCAACTCGTACCATAGCATCGTGGACTCCACTTGTTGGTGTAGCGATCCATCCATGAACCAAGGGGACTTTGAACGAATCATATAACTGGATGTCCTTGGTCTCGTAAAATGATCCTAGAGCTGCCGGGGAATTGAGTGTGAGACGGGGATTGACATTCATTCCGGTATGCAGCATAGTTAGAAACCGACTGAGAGCCTCAATATCAGGAAGCTCATCATTCGAATATGTGACTAGCTCATCAAATAGAGCCTGAATCAGTAACCCTAATGAAATGTTCTCTCTGGTTTTCAATGCACGAACTATCGGCGGTTCGGTCTTTCTATCAGAGCGCATGATGAGTCCATTGACAAGAGCAAGCAAAGGACATGGTCCATTTCGACTCTGAACAAGCACGGGAGATTCACGCAACTGTCCTGTATAATCAGTCCAGTTTATGTGACGAATCGCATAGGTCTCCGCTTGTTTCTCTTGGAAACTCTTCAATTCAGCTTCAGACATCGGCGGCGGCGGCAGCGAATCCGACGTAGTTTGAGGCGGTCGTGAAGTCGGCGGTTGGGCTTGCATATTGTCCTTTGGGGGTGGATCCGGTCGCTTTTCGCTAGACCATGGATTGTCTTCAGTGTTTGTTGGGGTATCTTCAAGATCTATGAGTTGTGGCGACGAAGCCCGCGGAATCTGTTGTGAAGAGGACGCATTCGACGTATTGGCGGATTCCGGTCGTAGTGACAGTTCCTGCCAGTGATTATTCGTATCCCACTCTTGTTCGGTTTGGTTCAGAGTATATGTGTTGTCAGCGCCGCTTTCCGTGGAGGGCATTTTCCCCTTGTCCGACAAGGCTTGTGTAACCGTTCCGGCATTATGCAGAGATACTCCTCCATCTGGCTGTTGACTAGGCTGATTCCATGGATCTTCTGGTTGGTCGAATATCGACAACCGCGCTGTCATGGGGATAATCCCTGAAGCTTGGGGAAGTTAGCATTAATTTGTAAACATGAATAGTTACACGGGGACTTACTTTGGCTGTTTCTTTCAGATTGGTCCGGAGGCAGATTCGATGTAGATGAACCTTGTTCTGAGTGAGATGGTAACCGTTCGCGCCGACTATTATCTTCCCAAGGATTTGGGCTCGAGTTTTGAGCACGTAAAAAGGGGTTGTTGGAGCGGAATCGCTGTGGCGACGTCCCTAATACCGACTCTCCAGCCGACGGCTGTTTCCCAAAACCATCATCACTGTACTGTATGCTCGAGCCTGTATGTTGATACGCTGCGTTATTCGAGCCCGGCATCTGCTGTGAAGCTCCGCTCATATGCGCCATTCCCACAGGCCGTTCTACCAGCTCATCCTCCCACGGGCTACTGCTCGCCACCGGGGACTTTTGTGCTTCTTCAAGAGGCATTAGGTCAAATGCTGGGCTAGTCCGTAGGTCGGGTGAATATATAGAGTCCGTGTCAAGCTCCCAGCTATCTTTTCGAGAGGATTGCTGATGAGTAGCCGACCGTGGCGAGGTAGAGCTCCGCGAGACAGTCGATCGAGGATCCGAACCGTTTCTGGCTCGCGAAGGAACGTTAATCCCAGGCGGTGGAGATTTTCGGAGCACCATGGACACGATATAGTTTTGTGTTGTCAGTAATCAGAACGCTGGCCGCTAGAGTCCGGTATGTAAGTGTAGTTTATTTGACGGCATGAGACAGCTTATATTTGTCTAAGACAGCTATATCTTCTGGTCAACACTCAACAGTTGGTGGCGATGATCAGGGATGGACGTTGTCGTAGAGTCGGAGATCCGAGCGTAAATATTGCAATATGCAGGACCGACTGTCGTAATTGGAATGTGAGCAGCGAACTATACGTAACTCCCAAGCAGCAGTGACATAAATGTAAAAAAAATTGTTGAGCAGACAAATAGATGAACGCTTCAGTACTTGGGGCCGGTATAGGCTGCCATTTTTTCCCGCAGGCACACTCCAAGGCAGAGAAGATATGCCAGATGAAGTTGACTCTAAGCGCCGAAGGAAGGAAGGACGATGTCATAACGCGGGGAGAATGGGGCCTGTAGAGCCTAGGCAATCGTGTTACCACACATTACATGCATCGCGACCAGAACGCTGAGCAGATAAGCTGTTATGGCGTAACGTACTGTAATCCTTATCCGGAGCGGCACCACTTGTTTTCCCGAGGCGGGCAAGGTTGTGCTCCAATCAGAAGTTGCGATTGCGCCGCAAACAACTTTTTTATCCCAGTTCATTGCCCTCGCTTCAGATAGCTGAAGAGACTGTGAAGCTGAATCAGCTGGACATGGATTCATTTGTACGGCCTAATCAATGGGTGGCCATCCGGCTGTCTTCGGATATGTACAAGCTGGTCAAAGCAACTCCCAATACGTTAGTCTCAAATTTCTTGAACCTTCAAATGCACAGCTAATGTTTGTGTGAAACAGAACAATTTTGCTTGGTAAATACGGCAGCTTTTATACAAACCAGATCCTCGGTCGACCATTTCATTTAACCTATGAACTCTCGAATGAATCCGAAGAAGATGGATACAGTCTGCGTGTTGTGGCAGCCGCAGAGCTCCATGCGGAAGCTCTCATCAGTGAAGGATCCGGAGAAGCGGACGGCATAGTAGAGGAAGCAGACTCTGCAAATATAGAACAACCTATTCGTTCGAATCGCGATATCAATGACGACGGTTCGGCGCAGACTTTGACGTGGGAGGAAATCGAAGAGTTGAAACAGAATGCTACAGGCGCTGGAAAAGAGATTATCGATAAATTATTGGAGTCCCATTCGACCATTGACAAGAAGACGGCCTTTTCGCTGGCAAAATATAAGCTGCGCAAAGAGAAGAAGTACCTCAAAAGGTTCACCGTTGTGCCTTTGGACGTGAATATATTGACGGAGTACATGCTCGAGCAAAAAGAAGCAAGCAGGATAATGGAGCTTCGTCACGAGTCGATAGGGCTGTTAGGATGTTGGGGAAATGTTCATCACAGTGGAAATTTAGAAAATATCGATCCGAGCGGCAGATATCTTGTTCTAGATGACACAGGCGGCCTTGTCATTGCGGCCATGGCTGAGAGGATGGGTATACTCTATCCAACGGACGGAGATGAGGATAATGAAGAGCTTGGGAACTACTCGAATGTCAACGGAAAAGAAGAGACGACGACAGCTCCAAGTCAAACGAATAAGAAGCAAACAGGGGCAAAACCGCAGAACCAGCAACGCATCAGGAAACAGCCCATGACCGCAAAACAAAATACAATTACAGTTATCCACCCTCATTCACAACCCAACCTCAGCCTGTTGAAATATTTTGGATACGAAGCAGAAGAACCCGACGAGACACACCCTCTGTTTGACCATCTCAAAATGGCTACTTGGCTTCAAGTACTCGACCCAGAAGCTGACAACATATATTCCGACAAGCCAGAGGAAGTCGACGATGCGACATTAAAGTCGTACAAACCTCGACAACGCGGAACATATCACCGCAAACATGCTAGATGGGCTCGAGTCCGGGCTGTTGTTGACGAAGTACGAGAAGGCGGATATGACGGCCTCATAGTGGCCAGTGTCATGGATCCGGATTCTGTGCTGAAACATCTCGTTCCTTTACTTAATGGTGGTGCTCCAATTGTGGTATACTCGCCATCAGTAGAGCTACTCACGAACCTAATGGATCAGTACTCCACAGCCCGCCGCACAGCATACATCTACAAAAAGGCAGATCTTGAGAAAGAGCGAAGAAGCATTGACCCTGAAAACATGGATGTCGATCTTCCTTCCATTGAGTCACAATTATCGTCGGAATTCCCTCTTGATCCGACTTTAATATTAGCGCCTATGCTTCAGACATCGCGAGTCAGAGAATGGCAGGTTCTTCCGGGCCGGACACATCCTCTAATGACCGGCCGAGGCGGTGCAGAGGGATACATATTCCATGGTATTCGGGCCATCCCGCAATCACAGCATGTTCAGGCACGCGGAATCTCGACTCGCAAGAAGCGGAAGTTGGATGTCGGCGATATCGGAACACCTGAGGATGCATCGACGCCGATTACTGCATGACATCAGTCGGCAAAGACGGTGTTTGTATAGTAGATCTAGAGTAAGAGCGTAATGTACAATGATACGCCGCAAAGTTCAGAACAATGGAATCACATTGGTGCTACCTAATATTGACATCAACAGACATAACATTTATAGACTTTTTCCCATGAACTTTCTCTTTGCAAAACTAAGCCAGAACTACACACAATTAGCATTCGAGCGAGAAGTAATAGCAATAAAACACTGACCTTGGAAGGACCTTCACCACCGGGGTATAATCTAGTAAGTAAACGAATAGCGAGCTCTTGTCGGACTTGAGAGAGGTATCTACACCTATCAGCCAACGCATACTTTCCAAAACAAAGAGTCAATCTAACTCACTGTCGGAGCTGTTCTGCATCCTGTCGGTCGCGTGGACGCTCAAAAGCTTGGTTTAGAGGAAACGAGACATCGCCCGGAATAGCGAACTGTTCCAGCGCAACATTGATCAATGCCTAGCCACGATAATCAGTCATCAATTATCCCATAGATAATATAGAAGAATAGCACACCTTCTCGGCATCCCTCGCCGTCATAGTAGGCTTAACCTTTCCCAAACATTCACTCAAAAACAGTATACCATAAATCAACATGCGGTCCGCCGGACCCTTGATCTCAAAGTTGCGAAAGAGCACATTGGCGCGGAAAAGGGATAGGATCTCGTCGATGCAGTCGTACGACTCGCTATTGGGGTCGAGGTCGAGGTCGGACTCTGAGGGTGGAAGCGCGGGGAGTACGTATGCGGGGCCACGAGTGCGAGTGCGCAGGGGCAGGAGAGGGAAATTTCCTGTGTATTCTGTTAGATACGGTGGCCTAGAGCTAGCGACACAGTATACATGTTTATGCATGTATACGGAGACCGATTGGGTTGCGCACCGATAATTGGGAGATCGGCCTCGTCGAGGAAGATTGAATGGTATGCCTAATGCATGGTGAGCATGAGACGATCCTTGCGGTCAATTGCCGGGGAGTAAAGATACATACAGGCATCTTGTAAGACCAAATGAGTGACTGTGCTGTACTTTTGGTTTTGAGCAGAGCCTATCAGAGAAGAGTTGAATATGTGAAGTTGATGTTAGATAGGCTGTTGTGATGACGGAGCTGTTGGCGGTGCGGAGGGCCGGCTCGCTGTTGCTGCCTTGATGCCTGGAACTGCAGGCTGCAACATAGCTTTGTTGAGCTAGCTGTAACAGGTTAGCTTATCACTTTCCGCGAAGAACCTCTTTACGCGCTGTCCGCCGTCTTTACGCGTCAAACAATCGATAACAGCATTTAATCAATTACAGCCATACTCTACGTTCACAAGGAATCTTGATACACAGCTGCCACATAACAGAAAATACGAAGAGATAAAGCGACAGAAAATGTCGGACTACGATGAAGATGTTGACATGGATTCCACGGCGCAGACCGCAATAAAATTTAGCTCCGACAACACCAATACCAAAGGCAAGAAAATTGTTGCTGATCTACCCATTGGAGCTGAGGACAATTTACCATGGTATGCCTGACACTAGGCTATAGCTAAAGGACGGTTACTGACAGACCTAGGGTTGAAAAGTACCGACCAAGCTCGCTGGACGAGGTTCAAGGACACCAGGATATACTAGCCACAATTAACAGATTCATCGACTCACATGTATGTCAGACTATCCTTGGTTTCGGCATGAGTCTTTTCTAATTATATTCAGCGACTACCACATCTCCTCCTTTACGGGCCCCCCGGTACTGGAAAAACCACTACAATCCTCGCCCTCGCCCGACGAATCTATGGCAGCAAAAACATGCGACAAATGGTCTTGGAGCTCAACGCATCCGACGACAGAGGCATCGACGTAGTCCGCGAACAAATCAAGACTTTTGCAAGCACAAAACAAATCTTTTCCGTGGCCGCTCCCGCCGCAAAGGAGAATTCCCTGGGGGCATTCAAATTGATCATTCTCGACGAGGCCGATGCGATGACGGCTACTGCGCAGATGGCGCTTCGACGGATTATGGAGAAATATACCGCCAATACGAGATTCTGTATTATTGCGAACTACACACATAAGCTCTCGCCAGCTTTATTGTCGAGATGTACGAGATTCAGATTCAGTCCGTTGAAAGAAGTGGATATTCGGTCGTTAGTAGACAAGGTCATTGAAGCGGAGAATGTGCGGATACAACCTGAAGCAACCGAAAGTCTTGTCAGACTGAGCAAAGGTGATATGCGGCGAGCCTTGAACGTTCTTCAAGCTTGTCACGCGAGCAGTACGTCAACCAATCCATAGACCAAAGCAAAGCTGAGAACTAATCTACAATTAGGCATCCCACTCCCCATGCGCAACGCGCCCAAAGACCAACCACCCCCCGAACACGAACTCATCACCGACGCAACAATCTACAACTGTATCGCCGCCCCTCATCCCTCCGACATCCGCGAAATCATGACCACCCTCTTGTCCACCAGCGACGTAACATCGTGCCTCAACACAATCAACACATTGAAGACAAGCAAAGGTCTTGCCCTAGCGGACATACTCAGCGCGCTAGGTGAGCAGCTACAAACGCTAGAAGTCCCCGCTCAGACTCGGATTAGTTGGTTGGAGGGATTGGCGGAGGTGGAGTGGCGGKTATCTGGCGGAGGGAGCGAGATGGTGCAGACTGGAGGTCTGGTAGGCGTCATCAGGAATGGATGTGAGTTGATGGGTGATAAGGGTGTGGCGATGGAGTTGTAAAGTACATCTTATGGATGGAGTCAGGAATCTGGAACGATGAGCATGACCATGTATGAAGAAGCATACACCATTCAAAAATAAGATACTTTGATATTAATAGTATTACCACTATAATTTCAACTGAATTAGATTCAAAGCTCATAAGAATAAGCGCACAAACATAATTCATCGCTCATAACATCTTTTCCTGCCTATCCCCTCTACTTTCCAGCAGCAGCGCTCTCAGTGCCTGCAGCAGCCGCAGCCGCCAGGGACTTCTTCTTCACCAACCTCAATCCACCCAGCAACATAGCAAGAACCTCCAACCCCAGAATTACGCCAAGCGTAACCATAGCACCAATCACTCCCGCAACAGCATTCGAAATACCTGATCCACTGCTCGACGACGACGCCGAAGCAGACGAAGAACTCGTCGAAGCAGTGCTAGTCGCACAGACACCGGTAGTATTACCACAAACCTGGCACCACTGATCCTGGCTAGTGATGGCAAATTTCTGTGTCTGAGTCACAAAGTCGGACCAGGGTAGCTCGATCTCCGAGCCACCAAATAGCGGGTACGCGGTCAGATTTGTGGTGGTTGCTGAAGTGCCGTTGTTAAACAGGAAACGCACGCTGATGTCGGATGCAGATGGCAACGCGTCGCTGGTCACAGTGGCGTTGGTGACGAGTTCCCAGACCATGCTAGATGCGTAGTCTGGGATACCGTAGAAAATGGGGTCGGCGGCAGGGAGATTAGCAAGCCCAAAATAAGATTGGAAAGTGCCGTATGATCCGAATTGGACGTTGAGGAGGGGATCGGATCTCGTGGTGATGGTTTCATTGAGAGCAAGCAGGGCCTGGCTGGCAAGCTGGGCACCGGCAATGGCACGCGCGGTGCTAGAAGCGTTGTAGGCGAGATTGTATTCGTGAATGTTGGCCAGGACGAAAAGCTCATGCATAGTCTCGTTGCTCACGCTGCTCAATGCCGGGTAAGTCGTGGTCGAGTTGTGGATCAATGCAACATTAAGCAGATCCCAGATAACATATGCATTTTTAAAGCTCAACTGGGACGTGGTGAATGTGGCATTCACTGCAGGAGCCACACTCTGGTACAAATCAGTAGTGGAGTTGAGATACTCCAAGTAAATATCCGAGTTGAAGAATTCGTTACTGCTGATCAGGGCATTGTTGCAGGACGAAGAGCTCTGAAGCCAGGGGTTATTTTCACTTCCGCTGCCGGAGCTCGTGATACTGATCGGGATAAGCTGGTATCCATTCAGGGGAGCTTCAACGACAGTTCCATTGCGGAGAGTTTGGTTTGATGCACCACCGACAGGTGGGTAGAGACCCTGAAGCCAGCCCGCGGCCGAATTCTGGAGTACATTATCCAGAGGTGCACTAACGGCCAATTGCGACAATTTGACAGTCTCGCTCTGGATGCCATAGATCTGGGTCGCTGAGCCATCGGCAATGTAGCGATCGTGGAAATTGGTGCCTGCACCGAGCACTTCATGGTATCCCAAGTCAGTGAGGGAGGCAGGCGGGGTGCTTTTGGATGTGCGGTCGCCGTGGCGGTGGAAGATGTAAGCACCGAGAATAGTTTCAGCAGCAGAGAGCTGGATGGCTGGGACGAGAGCCGCAGCGGCGAGAAGATTGATTTTGTAATGCATTTTGTCTGATTGTTTCTACTTGGCTCAGAAGAGTTTCTACTTAGCTAAGAAGAGAGGAAAGGAAAGTCGAGAGGGGAAGAGGGGTAGACGCAGCTTAAGAAGGCAATCAATGAATCAATGACTCTCTTCTTAACCCTCAAGAAGAAGCATAATACCCACTTTACAGGCTTACCACAGTTAGCATTATTAGTTGCACGAATGGGTATCTTCCCTTTTTTAGCGGGATCCGCGGAAATATTTTTCTCGTTTCCCCTCGGAGATGGACAGACCACAGATACTACGTACTGTCGTAGCTACGCGGGGTAGGTGACTCTCTTCAGAGGGACTGAAAAGGATGTCCATTCGTCGATGCGTCAGTCAAAGCGGCGGGTTGCGATGCTCGGCCAGGCCCGATAAGCATGACACAGACAAAACGCACGCTATAGTTATCTCCGAACATCTTCCGGTTGGTTGTCGTGGCGTACTTGGCATTTGTTATCTGATTGATTGCTGTATATGGCTAGTACGTGTTGACTCACAGATCGAGTCACAACCAGAACGGGATTGAAGAAGAGTGGTCGAGAAGCGGGGTCACCACGGAGCCTCCCGGAGCCTTAGTGTAGCCTCATGTCGATGGCACCATCTTCGACAACTTACCGTCCAGCAACAAAGAGGTTATAGCGATCAATCAGTATAGTGGCGTTTTTGAAAGGTCAAAGATCGTCGGTGATAATCGTGTTTCCGCCATCCGGACCGTTGATTGACTCGGCAGTGGCTGATTATCGGGTGCCGTTTAAGCTTAATTATTGTGTCACCTGGTGTTAGGGCTGGGCATACAAAGCCCTAAGACACGACTCAGTCTACTTAACTAGTTTCTATTTTGATCTAAAGAGCTTTTTAGGCGGTTTTCGTCATGGAGTAGAATTTGTAAATTCTCACGCAAAGTCTACAATTGCCAAACGGTCGATAAACTCTTGATTGTGGTAGCGCATCCATATTACTTCGGGGCTTTGAATAAATGCCCGATTGTCTAGAATATTCTTACCCTCGCACGGAAAATCTCACAATTATCTTCAATCAAGGTCGGTACATATGTATTCGTGAACACTCGCAGTTCTCTTCTGGCGATAGTAACCAACTGAACGAGTGTCCCGGTCTAGTCGTTCATGTTACGTTGTACAGTAATAATCTGAGATACAAGGTATTCCAGCGAATATACTGCCGGAACTAATCGACCCTAGATCTCTATGAATCTACCATCTCATACATCGTGAAAAACGAAACATAATTCACCACATGCACTTCCTGGAGAATAAGAACCGCAAGCAGAAAAAATGAAGTTGAAACAACCGACTACAAACTAACGACTTGAATCGACAGCTCAAGTACCTAGCAACATTTGAACCTCCTATATATCCGCGTAATCAGCGGGGCGGGTTTACGTACGTCAATAATCACAAGACTTCAAATTAAGTACTTTAATCTCAACGTCAAACAAGCTTTTCGGCATCGTATAGTAGCATAATCAAACGTACAATTTTCAATGGGACGGAGAAATTGTGGCTTTGGATATTCCGTTTCAATGTCGATCGTGTTGTCTATATGAAATGAAGGAGCGGATCTAGAACGCTTGGAAGCAGGTGAGACCCAACTAAGCATTAAATTGACGATAAGTCGCTGTGATATTAATTTGATGGTTTGCTATGATTCGTTTCGTTGGCACTTGCAAGATGATGTAGACCGGGGAGTTAACACCGACTGTTTACTAGCAAATGTCGGCAGCATTTCCGCAGACAAGGTTATCTAAGGAGCAGTCTCAAATCTGAAACGGATGTTGACGACGACATTGGTGCAATTTCCCGCCACTAAGATCCGTCTTGTAAAACATGATATCAGCCTATGTGAAGGGAAGGTATATAAGATGATCCTTACTCCATTGACAATCCGAGATTCAGGAACCGCAACACACTCGTTTCAGTCAGTTCAAACCTACGCACAGGATGCCTTCTCTAGCTCAAGTCTCTCTTTTCCTTTCTTTGACCATCTCAGGTCTCGTACAGGCTGCGCCTGCGCCTGCACCTGCGCCTGCACCTGCACCTACCGCTCCTCCAAAGCTATCTGAGCGAGCCTCTAGCTGCACCTTTTCCGGTTCCAAAGGTGCATCTTCAGCGAGCAAGTCCAAAACGTCTTGCTCGACAATTGTCCTCTCCGACGTGGCTGTGCCATCCGGAACAACTCTGGACCTGACTGATCTGAATGACGGGACTTCCGTCATCTTCGAAGGTACTACCAGCTTCGGCTATGAAGAATGGGATGGACCTTTGATCTCTGTTTCCGGAACGGATATCACCGTCACCGGTGCCGAGGGCCATGTCATCGACGGTGATGGTTCTCGCTGGTGGGATGGCGAAGGCTCAAATGGCGGAACCACCAAGCCCAAATTCTTCTATGCCCATGATTTGACATCCTCGACAATTAGCGGTCTGAGCCTCAAGAATTCCCCGGTTCAGACGTTCAGCATTGATGGTTCTACCGACTTGACGCTCTCTGACATTACCATCGACGACTCTGATGGTGATGATGGTAGTGCGGCAAACACTGATGCTTTTGACGTTGGAGAAAGCACTGGCATTATTATTTCTGGTGCAACTGTCTACAATCAGGATGACTGCTTGGCTATCAACTCTGGAACGGTTAGTAGCTTGACATCTGGCAATATCATCATGTCGACGCGTAGATGGCTGACTTGACTAGAACATCACCTTCACCGGCGGCTATTGCTCTGGCGGACACGGACTTTCCATCGGATCTGTTGGTGGTAGAGACGACAACACAGTATCTGATGTTACTATCGAGAGCTCAACCATCATCGACTCAGCAAACGGTGCGTTCTCTCACACAAACTGATGAGTATGGCTGATTATCATAGGTGTTCGCATCAAAACCGTATACGATGCCACCGGTTCAGTCTCTGGAGTCACTTACAAAGACATCACCCTGTCTGGAATCACCGATTACGGCATTGTCATTGAACAGGACTACGAAAACGGCAGCCCTACCGGCACTCCTACAACTGGCGTACCCATCACTGACTTGACAATCGATAACGTCCAAGGAACGGTGGAGAGCGACGCAACGGAAATTTACATCTTGTGTGGTGACGGAAGCTGCTCCGACTGGACTTGGACCGATGTGAGCGTCACGGGCGGCAAGTCGAGCGACGCTTGCGAGAATGCCCCTGATGACATTAGCTGTTAATTTAGGATCGCACCTTGTTGAGGGTTGGTTGTGTTGCGTCGCGGTAAAATGCGCTTCAATACCTAGGTAGCAATAAATTATACCATCAGGGCCATTTCGGAGCTGAAAAGACACAATAGGAGTGACGAATCATAGGACTTGATTGAGCTATAATACGCACGTACGCACGCAGTAAAAAGTGCGCGAGTTCGTATCGACAAGGTCAGCCTTAAAAGTAATGGTAAGACTGAAGAAAGTAAAATAAAGGGGCAGGCTGGAAAGTCACGATGATAGGCGGTGCTTCCCCAAGAACAGGGGCGAGCGGGGGCCATGTGACCTGGCGATTGGCGGGCAGGAACGGGCTGAAGCTGGCTAGCCGCGCGCCTTCCCTACTAACCACCACACTATTACGGACGCAGTCAAGAGCAGAATACTCAGCTGCAGCCTCAGGCCCCCCGTTCGCAGCCTAAGGCGTCAGCTCAAACGCCCTGCCTCGTCTATCATCGCCATGCTCCTTCCTTGTTTTATCTTCTCTGCCTCCCTCCTGCTCTTGATTTTCCACAAAAAAATGATGCTCACCCTGACATGTTTCGCATTCGATCCCAGTAATAGGTGGCATTCCAGATACGGTGACTCCGTCASGAGCCACAAATTTAGGCGCCAAGCGATCGACAAACTGTCCGGCTGAGAGCCTTACAAGTGATTTCTGACGCAAAGTTCAGCACGTTCCGACTAGTACTGACTAACACTAAGTGCTATAAAAAGTAAAAGTCTCCGCTGGCGGAGCATTTCGCGCAGATGCCGGTGGTCAATAAAGAGTCTCTCAGCACGACTCTGGGTTCAAATTCGCAATCTCAAGGCAGCAAGAACAAGACTATCACTACTGCCACTGCCCCTGCTGCGTCAACTGGGGCCAGCAGGCCTGTCACCAGAAAGATTACAGACCCTAATATGTCAGATGGTCGACTGCTGGTCAATCGAAGATGTATCTATGAGCGCAAACTTCCTGGCGATGCATATGTCACCGCTCATGCAGAACGCCTACAACATGGCTACTTTAGCAGCAAGAACACTTCAGACCCCGAAATCGCCCACGTGGACTTTCTCGCTGTCAATATTGTGATGCATCCTGGCGACTCTGGGAAGCATCGCTTCAAATCTGCGACGATCAAAGCGAGCATACAAAATTCTCCCGTGGGCCCTAGTACTGAAAATCCCTACCCATATCCTCAAGAGAATCCCAAATTTTTGATGCATGCACCTCATCTGATCTATGGCGCCGTTTCTCCCGAAACCTTGCAGTGGACGTTTAGCTTGGCCGGATCGCTGGGCATTTCTGAAAGCCCAGTTGCGGCCTCAGTCACCCCGTCAGGCACAAGAAGTGCATCGTACAAAATTTACGAGATGATGAAGATTCAAGGCTCATGCCGGACTCTAAGAAGCCGTGATGGCCCGGAATTCAATGTGGAGGATGGTGAAGTCGTCTGGTCACTCAGCGAGAACGGTCTACAGAGATCTGGTCTTCCCAGGGAATTCACTTTCGTCATGTTGATACAGAAGCCGAGCGCCGACAGCAAAATTACATTCAAAATTGACATCGACCCAGTGATCGACGTTTGGTATGGGAGATATCCCGGTTGGTGGATCAACAGACCCATCTATCAACCTCTACACAAACGGGGAGTTAATTTCCGGACCGAGTTTGGGCAACGCTTTGCTCCTATCGATGACTCAGAGAAAAGATTCAATTTTGCTACACTTGCACAATCACTAGATGACTATGTGAACATGCCAGGTAGCACTTATTCGTCGAATGTATGTATCTCCCTTCTCATAGAAACTTACAAGCTATCACTGCCTGTCAGGCATCGCTCCGCTCGGCCGCATCTTGTGCTATGAAAGATTATGTATGTGACCGGCGGCCTCTACGGCTACTGATATAAAATCCGCGAAAGGGACCTTATATTTCTATAAGAAAAGAAAGATTCTTTATGCAGATTATACATAAGTAGTTGTAGGGGCCACCAGTTACATACACAATAATCCACTTAGCCCCAGCTTGCTACATAGGATCATGTATGTGACTGGCGACCCTTATGACTACTTATGTAGAATCTGCGAAAGGACCCTCTTCTCCATCCTCATGAAAATTCAAGGTTCTTTTCGTAGAATTTACATAACTAGTTGTACGGCCGCCAGTCAAATACCCTATGCACGTAACCAATGACTGGCCCACGGCTGGCTTTATACAATCTTTCGCAGCAAGCTGTGGCCAAGCGGACCGAAGTTTGACAGCTTGTGCACTATGGTAATTACAAATGATACTGACTGCTTTTAAACATAGGTGTCACCCGATGGTGTTTATAACGATCCCACTGGCACGAAAATCTCGAATCCAGGAAATGCCCCCCAGTCATCACTTCCTTCCGGTGATAATAGCAACAATAATGATTCTCAACCAGTGTATATTCCGGAGTACCCACAATACCCAGGATATCCTCAGTATCAGTATCCTCCGTCTCAGCCAACATATTACCCTCCGTATCCGAGCACAGGTCAGGTCTGGCCAACCGGTTCGCCATTTCAACGCGGCTGGCCGCGAGGTGGACCTTACTATGGAGGACCTCCTGGTAACGATGGCAACAATGCTGAGAGTACTATCAACGTAAGGATTTCTCTGGACAGCGCTATCGCCTCGAACATCGTGGCTGCCACTTTGGGGTCACCGATTCGACGTCCTTCTCCTTTTTTGACAGCTCCAAACAAATCAAATAATCTGGATTCGTCACCGCTTTCTAAAGCACCGCCATCTGATGGAACTTCGGCCATAAGAACAAAATCACTGCGACGAACCAAATCCCGTGATCGGCTGGACAGACTTTCATCAAGTCCGAGATCCTTAGTCAACACGGATCCCGCAAAGCATGATTCGTTCTATCAGAGACAATCAGATCATCTGAATTACGGAAACACAACAACCGATGATACATCGAACGGGTTGATAGCCAGTCCACAGCTTGATTCACCGACGATGTACGAAATCAACGACACTCCGCCCCCTAACAGCATCCGGGATCCCACTGTTGTCAACGGACATGATTTGGATACTCCATCTAGGTCTACGAACTATACCGGACTGTCGAATGGAATAAAACAATACACCCCTCTTACGAATGGCGTTCAGAGTACTACACCTCCCTCGAGCGGCATACAACGCATGCGCAATGGTATGGGTACTGGTCATCTTCGTCGAAGATCGGCTTCTTACGCGCAAAATGGATATCAAAATCAATACAATCGCTACTCTTATCCGATGGTATCAAATGAAGATGATCCTGGGATGTTTTAATGGTTTCTTATGTCTCGTCGCTTTGCACCATCTATTTTCTGTGATCTGGACTGCGGAAGTCCTCTAATTATGCATTTTGGGAGTTGAATATATAAATTGTTGGATTCAGCGTTTAGCAATTACTCTACATGTTGATTCTTGCTCTGCATTCCGCTTGCACGTTTAAAATGGGTGGTGTCTGTGAATGTTTCTCCCCTTAGAATATATCCAATTGAGATTGCTTTTTTTCTGAGACTAGGAATTTTCTACGTACTAATCCGTTCTCATAATAATGCCTAAGTGCGTTAGATTACGCCATCTAAATTCTCAATTTCTACGTAGAGGAATTGTTGTGATGATCAGATAAGATTAGATCACTGCAAGGCATATAATTGGCTAGCATGTCCGGGTCAATAAAAGCTGCCGTCGGAGCTCCTCTTCCGCTGACCTCACGATTCGCCCTGTGCTATTTTGTCGCAAAGCACTTGAGTTTTTATTGGCATAGAGGAACTCTCATTTACTGAACTATGACTTCAAAACCAGGCAGGATAATCTTCTATGTTCTATTTTGATTTTGAAAATCAACGAATCAACTTCCTGGCCATCAATCGTTGCTCGCGAACTGGCCGCGAAGTGCCCGAGCGACACATGAAAAGCGCGTTCGATACTCTCGACTGTCCGCAAAGTAACGTTATATAAAAATAAAACCCTCACATATCCAACGCCATGTCTTCACATTATAACACCGAACCTCCACCAACCGCCTCGGTGACACTCAACACAACCATCGGCGCCCTGCACATTTCCCTTTTCGCAAAACAGACACCCCTCGCCTGCAAAAACTTCATCCAACACTGTCTCGATGGCTACTACACAGGCACTGTCTTCCATCGCATTGTCCCCGGATTCGTAATCCAAGGCGGCGACCCGACGGGCACCGGTTCAGGCGGCTCATCAATCTACGAAGACCCGGAATTCGAATATGACCCCGAAGCTCGCGACCCGAACGAGAAAGTAGTCTTTCGCGATGAAATACACAGTCGATTACGATTCAACCGGCGCGGTCTTGTGGGTATGGCGAAAAGTGAGGATGGAACGTACGGGAGTCAGTTTTTTATTACCTTGGGAAACACAGAAAGAGAAATGAATGGGCAGTGTACGATGTTTGGGCGGATTGAGGGTGACAGTATCTATAATGTGGTTAAGATTGCGGAGGCAGAGTTGGTGGAGGGTACGGATCGGCCGGTTTTTGCGGTGAAGATTACGGGGKGTGAGGTTGGGGAAATGGGTCAGTTTGAAGGGAAGTTGAAGAAGAGGGAAAAGGTTGCGAGGGTGACTGAAACGGAAAAGAGTGACGTGACGATCAAGAAGAAAAAGAAGGCAAAGGGCGCGAAGACGTTGCTCAGTTTTGGAGGTGAGGAAGGAGAGGATGGGGAGGATGTGTCTGTCCTCAAGTCAAAAAAACCAAAATTCAACACCAAACTCGTTTCAGCTGGGGATTCACTGGAAATGGATCCGAAGACCCGTTCGATAGAAAGAAGGAGTTCCGTCACGGAAGAGAAACAAGCGGCTAAACGACTTAAACCTTCTACGGATATCCCAAGCACAAACAACCACGTACAAAAGTCACGACCTAAAACTCCAGATCCGTATGCGCAAATCCCAGTGAAAGATCCAGAAGAACCAGAAAGATCGCCATCTCCAACTCCGCCTCCAGCTGCCAGACAGTCAATACTGGAAAGAACGAATGCGCAGATTGCGTCTCTCAAGGCGTCGATGCGACGGGATATAGTGGCGCCTACAGAAACAGGCAGGGAGAAGTCGGCACTGGAGGCCATGATACCGGAAACTTCTATCAGAGGCCGCAAACGACCGGCGCCTGGTAGCGCAGCTATGAAGAGTGCAGGCAGAAATGGCCAAGGCTTTGGTTCGGGAGCTGAAGCTGACGCATTAAAGCTATTCAACGCATTCAAAGCGAAGCTCGAAAATTCAGATGTACAGAGTGGCCCGGGCAAGAAACAGAAAGACGAACCCAAAAAGACATTACAAAACACCAAATCCGAGGAGGAGGAGGATGAAGAGGGGCAACTATGCGATCTACACTTTATTGCAAACTGTCAGTCCTGTCAAAATTGGAACGAGAACGCCGAAGGGTCCAATGCAGAACAGGATCAAGACGAAGACTCGACAGATTGGCTGTCGCATCGATTGCAGTTTGGAAAGGACACTTTTGGAAAAGATTTGAAATGGAAGAAGGAGCATCGAGAGGATGTGGACTCTCTCATGGTTATTGATCCCCGTGAAAAGGAGAAAGAATATGTCCATCGAGGCGGCAAGAGTAGGAAGACGGGAAGAGACAGGGAGAGGGAGCATAAAAGAGAGAGGGCGGGCGAAAGAGAATGGGATCGACGATAATATGTAATCTAATGAAAGAATGATCTACAGCATATCAAATTACATTTGGCACTGTAACTACAAATTAACTTGGATGGCTGAAGCAAAAATCGCCATATCCCATCAACGCAAATGAGGCCCAAAATATTGGGCTCGTCCAGTCAATTTGAGGCAGCATCATCTTCTGCAAGGTCAGTAAATATCGTCCATCAGGCACAAACTCTTCTGGGCTTTTACTGCCAGAGTCTGTCACAGAGGTTGCGTCCCAAGCTTCTAGCAATTTATCAAGGAAAGCCGTAGCTTTCTCATTATCGAAATGCAAAAACTCCACTTGGGCACGGCGTAAGGATTCAGCCAACGACAGACCCGGAGCGTCTTTGATCTGCCGGTAAAACAGCGTCATCAAAACCATAGACGCGAAATCACTAATCTCAAACAGCGTGCCAATATACGCCTGACATCCAGTCCCGAGCACGACATGCGTGAACCCCAAAACATCGTTTCCAGCCGTGGCTTTCCCCAAACCACTAAGACAAGCCGCGAAGACGATTAGATTCGCACGACTCTGTATGGGTGACATGTCGATGACTCGAAAGTCTTCGCCGATGGAGATGGAGGAGAGAAGGGGACTGCCAGCGTTGACGGTTCCGTGGGTTCCTATATGCAGAATTGAGTTGTGGCCTTGGATGTGGTCGCGAAATTGAGCACGAGAGAGATTCGATGCTTCGATGGGCTGTAAACGAATTAGCTTTGTAGATATCAAAGACGAGGATGGAAGAAGACAATACCCAAGTTGAGAACATATTAGAGATACTTATTGCTTCGACGCCTGCCATCGGGAGAAATGTCTCTTTCGTGGCTCGATCGCTCGTCGAGGGCTGATCTCCGGCCAAGGCTTTGGTGAAAACTGAAACTGTTGGCACAGCTGAAGCTGCACGTCGTTTCGACAGGTGGTATAGAGCCGTCAAACTAGGTGTTTGAGAAACAGCTGCGTGCAAAACCAATGGCTTCCCGTCAAATATCAGGGCTGAAACCGGGAATGCAGTTAGGGGTTGAGATAGAGAGAAGATGATGTGACCCATTTTTCGAATGATAACCGCAAAAGGAGTCAAAAGAACGCCTGATATTTGCTCTGAGAGCTTCTCCATTCGTATTTTGCGCTCTTCTTCTTCGGGTTCTCGTAGCCCGGACATCTCTCTCATGATTTGCATCAATTCCATCGTCCATTTTCTAATGTCGACGTCACGAAGAGCGTTGGTTTCATATGCCTGTATGCCTTTATTGGTGATAGCCATCAAGATACATCCTGATCTATTAAAGCTCGCCTCAATTACAATCGTATCATCGTTAAGATGGCTGTACAAGTCACGCGGCAGTATTGTCGAATTCATAGTATCCATAAGATCCTTTGCTGATGACGACCAAGTCCCAACGTCCAGACGTTCGACATCTTTAACCAGCTCATCCAGCTCTCTGTCCTCGTCTTCGGTACGTTTCTGGATAGATCGAAGATGAGTTAGGGCTCGGCGTTTATATATGCTTTCTGACATTCTCCGTTTCTCTTCCTCATCCGATTGCTGCTGGGCTGATGCGACAAGTGAGTCGATCAAAGACCTCGCTCGCCCTTCTTCCATGAAAAGTAGCGCGTGCTCTTCCCAAGGTACCTGTGGATGACCGTGATCATATGCGTCGAGGATGCTCAGGGGCAAATTTAGACGAGCACATTGCAAACATATGATAACCAATTGTAGGAAGGTTTCAATCAGTCCTCTAGACAAAACTCCGACTTTGACATCCGTGTCACTGGCTTGACTCCGTCGCAGTTCAATGAGATATCTTGCCTTGAGCAACATCCGAAAAGCCAGTTCTGGTCGACAGTTCTTCAAGTAGATAGTAGCCGCATTGGCCTGTCTTATTGACAAATCAATCGGACTCTCACTCGGTGACTCATCAAAATAATTTGGACGAATCTTCGTGATCAGGTCTAAAACTCTCAGCCCTCGTTCCCAATCCGTGGTACTCACGCACACAAAGATTGCGTTATTGGCCAACGAGGGAAAAAACATGTCGACATTTTTATCTGCCAGAAACTCATCCAGTCTGTTATTGAACAACTCCTCATCGGTCACCGAATCCAATATCTCCCTCATTTTGGTGACGTCTCCGATTCGGCCATATGCAATCATTTGGTACATATATTGAGTGTATACTCTTTTGAATCCTCGCGCAGTCTTGATGAAATCATGCATAAACGATTCGGCTTTGTCCAGATTTCCGTCCAATATAGCCTGGTTGAACTCCATATCAGCGGTCCAGTATTTGTCTGATATAAGAGTGTCAAGCGCGAACACATCCATTACATCATCAAGAGATTGACCGAAATACTTTTTCGCGACGTCGGATTGCATTGGACCGGATTCTCCTCTGAAGAACGCAAAACTCTCGTCATTTTGCTCATACCAGAGAAACTTCTCCTTCCATCTGCGATAATTTTCTAATGTGTCCAAGGAGTCCCTTCGTGCGAGAATCCGGCTAATGCTACTGTTGAAAGTGGACATGAAATCAAATTTCCGAGTCAACAAATGCCGACGCTCAATGTTTCCAATGGGCGTCTGCGAATCGATCTTTTGGATTTGTTGACTGAGGCTTTCCACGACACTGTCGAACATTGTAATACACTGATCCCCCAACACTGCCGTAGCAGCGATATTGCTCATTTCGTTTTGAAGACCTACTCTGGCGAACAGAGATATGAAAGCTGGAACGAGAGCTCCGAGCTCTGTGCAACATTCATAGGCACATTCGTAACATGCATTTGCCGTATCAAAACGAGAGTATTTTCCCCATTCTCGCCGCGCAAATCGTATCATCACCGTCCCAATGTGAAAGGCGATGAGTTCATTTTGAGACTCGCGGCCCCATTTTCCGATTTCGCCAGCACGTTTTCTGAGGTCTGCAATATTCGCATTTTCCTGCGAGATTTCGACGAGAATCTGGTTTGCTTTGACGATCTGCACGTTTGCCTCGTCCATGTCGAATAGATCTATTGCATTGTCCAGGTACTCGCTCGCCTCCTGTAAAAGGGCTACTCTTTCGGTATCTGTAGGGTCATAATTGTAAGATTTGGCATGCAGTATACTGGCTTGACGTAGATAAACGGCAGCTTTCCCACGAGGACTGTTCGATGTTTCAAAAAGTTCTAATGCTTCTGTATAGCATCGAGAAACACCGTCAGAGTCTTTGGGTGTAATCTTGGCTTCTGGCGCATCCCAGATGGTGTTTTCTCCAGCGGCGTGACAACCGGGTACTGGGACGAGATTTTGAATTATCGGACTTGTGAATGGAGGCGAGTATAAACTGTCACCTTCAATAAGTTTGGCGTTTGCCATCCCAGCCTGATCTGAAAGACGCTCGTGTGCATGAAACAATTTCGCTAACAACGTCTCTAAAGACGGAGATTCCATGGCGTAATGAAGCTCAATATTGAGTCTGTGCCCGTACAAGAATGTCAAATCGGTCGTTTCCTCCAACGGTGCCATTTGCAAAAATTTGTGTAGATAAGGCGCTACAGAAACAATGACCTCCTCCGGAGTTTTGCCATCATTCGGCTTCCAGTTACCGTCTGGATAGGAAGAGTGTCGTAACGACAGTATTCTCAACTGTTGCGGAAACTGGAGCAAGACGAGAAAAAGCATGCAGGCATTGAGATCCGTTTGGTTATTGGCTGCTTCTTCCTCTGTTGCATTTGCGCAATACTTTTGGACATTCTGATTCAACTCTGCTGTGATCTCGTTTGGTCCTGAGATGCCTTCTATTAAGGCCGTGTTTGTTGGAGTCTGTGATTCATGCTGATACCGGAGGCAAGGCGGATATCGTCTGTAGTAGTCTACGAGGAGTTTAGACGCAGCGTATCGCAGACCCCAGTACGAAGCAAGTCTTTGTGGTTCACCGAGTACGTTGTCATCAACAAAAGTCTTGAACTCGTCTAGTGCAGCATAAGCATCGTTTAGTCTGCCGCGCAGCGTCAAAACTTGTACTTTTGATCGGAGAAAGTAAGCTCTTTGCTCAGGGTTGGACTCAGGATTTGTGTCCAGTTGCGATTCATGTTGGATAATGTCGTTGTATGCTCGGCGAAGATCTCCACGATATTCCTCCAGGAATAACGACTGTATATTGTCTTCAATCAGGGCTTGTAGATCCATGATGCACCCTAGTATTCATAATCTGTACCGACATAAAGTCAGAAGCCTGATCGAACGGACCGATCCCCAGAGTTCCACGTGGAGTTGACCCCGCTTGACTCAGCCACATCGCTTCTTTATCTTACAAACTACGAAGAGGAGTTGGCGTCAACAAGTATGAAGAATCAAATCAATTATCGTAACTGGCCACGGCCGCGTCCTCTAAGAGTTTTGGGGACAGGCTTCTCTTTACCCTCGTTTCGATAACCATCATCCAATAGCTCCTGTGGTGTCTCACCAGCTTTATTTCGCTGTTCCATCGAGCCTCCAATCTCTAGAAAATATTTGACCATTGTGTTATACATCTCCATCTGCTTTGTGTATCTTTCTTGATTTGGGTGGGTTCTTTTCAACCATTTACCCTGCCATCTGGTCAAAACGTGTAGAGCAGTATCGCCTTCCTCGTCAGCGTCGTTGATTCTGCCTCCATGCGCCACTAAGAGATCCAGTATGGCTCSATTGATGGGTGAACTTCCTACAATGCCACCCATCGTGCCTATATGATGAAAGACACTTTGTCCCTTTGGATCTTTTATCGCAGCATCCGCCCCGTGCTCACACAGGAATCGAACCACCTCCTCGAGACAACGACATGAAGCCCGGTATATCGCATGGTCCAAAACATAAAATAGAGCGGTCTTGCCTTCTTCGTCTTGGACGTTGATTGTGTCGGGATTGCTCTCTATAAGCAGCCTCAAAATACCTATGCAGCGAGCAGAGTCTTCTGCGTCACAGACATGACCGCTGTATGAACCTTCAAAGCCCCCGGCTGCCCAATGTATGGGAAGACATCCACGACTATTGCGCACAGATACCATTTCTGCAAGGTCGATTTCTCCGCGATTGTCTAGCAGCACTTTAAGTCCCTCAAGATTCCAGTAGAGACTGCCTATATGTAAAGCCGTCGTTTGATCAGCCTCGTCGAATCTAAAATAATCGTTCCACCATTGTCGAGCATGAACATCTGCCCCTTCGGCGATGAGACGGGATATCAACTTGGCGCTTGCACGAGTAATAGAATTCCCAAGCACGGTTCTCAAAACTTGATCTCTGTCCTTAACGTCGTTCTGTTGGTAGAACTGAATTGCGTCACGGACGGATGCGCCTCGGTCAAGGAGCATGTTAATCAAAGCCTCGCTCTCGTCAATCCACTCACGTAGCCACTCTGGTTCCTCATCTCTGCACCAGCTCAAATGCACCAGGGAATCTGCCGCCGCCAGCAGGGCCTTTCCACTGGGGTACTCTTTAGCATATACTGTGTCGCGTAAAGGATCATCGTCAAGCAAATACTTGACCATGTCAAAACGGCCAGAACTACACGCAGACTCCAACGCCGAGAAATTTGGAGGCCTATGGCATTTGCTCTGCGTGGGATTTGCATGAAAATCGGGATCTGTATGATAATGATCAATCATAACACGCATAGCGTCAACACTTCCACTTGACGCAGCAACACAGATCGTGTCATCTGAGTCCCCACATTCGCCCGGCCAAAAGATGTGCTTGGGATGCTTTTCGATGTAGTGCTTCAGTGTCGTCACATCGTTGTCGGTAATTATTCGACGTAGAAGATTGCCCCAAACATTTTCGTAGAGCAGTGTGCCACTTGAATCGAGGATGGGATCCCAATCTTGCATCTCCGGATCGGGAGTATGGAACGAACTGTAATCGAATCTAGGTCTTTTTTTCATGATTGGTTGATTTCAAAATTCCGTTTTGGCACTTCGTGTAAAGCGGTTGATGTACCATATGGTCAACACACATCATATTTTCCTGCACCGGAAATGCTCCGAGGTCCAGATGCTAGCACTTAGCTGCATCAACACACCAAGAACCTTTGACGACAACAAACAATAACAGGCTAACAACGAACCACAGTGGATATAATCCGAGTTTTAATGCTTGACTATAGTAAAGCATCGGCTATGATGAAGTCTAATTGGATTGGATCAGACGGACCGACCCGATCCGCTATCAGATCTTACGGTTAGGTACCAGTAACCCCACCACTATCACCTTTCTATTGAACATAGCGCTCGTGTATCGACTGCTTGGCACCTCATAGTTCCAAGCTAGCACCAGACCACAATGGACGACGACTCCTTCTTCCTCTACGGTATTGGCGAGAAACCGGATGCCCTGACTCTCGGTAGTTTGGTACTGGAGAAGTACTGGATGCCCCTCATCGCGCGGCATTACACACATGATCCACTCCGGTAGCCCCTCTTCTCTCCCTATAACTTCACAATATTCACATCTTCTTGATCCCTGACGAAGCAGTTAGAGGAGAGAAACTAGAGTCCCATGCCTGGACAAGTAAACTCAACAACCTCGTCCTCCACGGCCGCACGCGCTTCACCCCAGGCATCGGCGTAAGCGGCTTCGACATTGTCGATTTGCGCCTCGCTTGGAACAAAGATCAGGAGCGCTATGTGACTGCCAAATCAGGGCAAAAATTAACCCTAAAAGAGTAAACTCCCCCCTTCTCCTTCAACCCTCTCCCCTCAAGCGCCCAAAAAATGGGAGGCTGCTAACTAGCCCGTAGCCCAGAAACATTCCTAACAACCCAAGTCCTATCCAACCCTCAAGCCCGCGCCACCCTAAAACTATGGCTCTCCTCCGCCCGCAGCGACTACGTAATGAACATGCGGTGGGCGCGGCGACCCAAAATCTGGTTTCTCACGGGCCTTTACATGCTCTCAGACGCACACACAATCGTCCGCAAATCGTCTTCGTCTAGCATCGACGTCGGTCTCAGTTCTGCGATTGTCGGCGCATTGAGTGGTGTTCCCGTCGGCGGATCGGTCTCGTTGGGACAGGGCGATGCGTGGGAAATGGCCATGGGGATGGAAGGGGAGCATGTTTGGGCTGCGCAGTACCGTCTGCTGGACGCGAAATATATCTCTGCCTCCTCCTCATCGTCGCTGAGGAAGGACGTGGAGGTGGCGACTATGTCGTTGTATAAGGATATCCTGAGCGTGCGGAATAGACGCACGGCGAGTCAGATTGCGAGAGGTGCGGTGGATGTGGATGTTGAGTTGGGATTGGAGCCGTTGGTTGATACGGCGGATGTAGTAGTTGCGGAGGATGCGGCGCCGATGAATCGGACAGCGGAAGTCGTCGCTCTTGTTCCGCAGGAGGACAACGAAGCGAACGCTGCTGAAGAAGATGAGGAAGAAGATGAAGCGTCGTTTGAGGAATATGAAAAGAGACTTGAGGAGGCTATCCGGATGTTTGAGGTTGCGCCTCCGCGGTTTCTTGAGCGGTGATGTTTATATTTTAGATGTTAGGGGTTTTGTGATAGTAGCATTGTATTATACTTTAGATGGTAATACCCTTCTACATATAAATACTGAAGTACAAAGTCACAGTATCAGACGTCAAATCTATATTCATACATTTACATCGATCTCATCAACCAGCACAAGCCCCTAGCCACAAAACCTACTATACAATACAGTCACGAAACGGAATTAAAAACAAATGAAATCTCTTATAGACAGACACTGATATGAACAGACATCATTACATCTCTGTATACTTATCATCTCGATGGAGGCGCGGATCCTCCCTGACTATATACCCTATGATGACTAGGATGTTGAGGTTCGTGCGGGTGAGGATATGCATTGTGGTGCATATGTGCGCCGCCGGGTCCGTTAGGATACGGAATCCCTCCTAGCGTAGGAGCTGGTGGAGGCGCATGGACACCGGAGGGCGGTGTATAAGGTCGTGGAAGAGGATTGCCGAGTGAGCCAGGGCGGTACGGACCTCCAGACTGTTGCTGCTGCGGCTGCGCTGGAGGCGCTGATGATCCGTATGTTGATGGAGCGTTGGCGGCCATACCAATGGATGGTCGGCTAGAAGGTGGTGCAGGTTGTCCTTGCTGTCCGCTCACCATCGCCTGCACATGCTGTTGGTATGATTGATGACCGCTGTGGCTCGATCGGKGCTGAGGCGCCAATGGATGAGGTGACGACGTCTGTGGATGTGCCGACGAGCCATACGAAGGTCCAGGGCCAGAGGGTTGACGAGGCTGAGGCATACTTAATGAAGGGGCAGGGGACTGAGCCGGTGACTGCACCTGGCGCGAACCATACATCACATTTTGATGAGGGGGAGGAGACGCGGCATTTTGGCGGTAGGAGTCACGAGGATCGCGAATATCTCGAGGATCACGGTTGGACGCCAAAAGCGGCGGTGTAGGTGCACCTTGACCGTGTGGTGGCGGATATCCCTGATACCCACGATGACCTCCGCTTGGAGCATTGCTCTGAGGAGTAGGGGGTTGACTGTTTGATCCAGCTTGCGAAGATTGATAACCAGCACCATACTGACCCTGAGGAGCTTGCCGGACGGGTTCTGCAGATTGCTGGGTTTGACTACGCGGGTCAAACCTAGCCATCCAATCGTGATTTGGTGGACCGCCAGCGGGGGGGTTGCCTAAAGATGGTGCGTACGGAGGATAATCATATGCCGGACGTCCAGGAGGTGGCCCATGCGACGATTGTTGCTGAGCAGGAAAGTATGATGCTTTTTCCTCGTGGCGAAGATTTGAGGTCGCTGGAACCGCATCTGTCTGACCATAGGCCAACCTTGGCGACGAGACCATCTCGCTTGCAAAACGTTTGCGAGGTGGAAGTTCTTCTGGTTCGTCATTTAGAATGCTCATGATGTTAGATCGCTTGGCAGGCACCTGGCGAGGAGGCTCTTGTGAAGCAACGGGTGCAGGTAACTCCTTGACAGGTGAAACCGTCTTTGGAAGAACATTGGCTGCAGCATATCCATAGTATCCTGGCTGCGGTTGCGTCTGACCGAACGAAGAACGACGAATCGGAGAAATGTCAGGTGTATGCCGACGCAATTGTTGTGCTGGAGAGCCAGGTGCCGTTACGCCAGTCAGACTAGCATTTCGAGAATGTGAGCCTGGCATAGCTGATGGTTGTACACCTTGCTGAGCCTGCATATAAACCGGAGGTTGTCCAGGTTGATACTGTCCAGGCCCGTGGAAATCCGGTCGTGCTCGCAACTGCTGAGGCAAAGGCTCCATCCGACCGACATCATGGCTCTGCACAGTTGGGGCGACTCGAGGGGATGGCTGCAGTTCAGGACCACGTGATCCAGACAATGCGCCTCCTGAAGCCGTTCGTCCTTCGCGTCGATCTTCTGTAAAATATCCCATACGGGGACCGGGACCAGTGAAGCTTCGAGGCGCAGGAGGAGCTCCAGATGGACGCAGGCTACGCAACGGGTCATCCGACATGATCACACTTGTACCAGGTGCCCCAGTAGCTTGTGCCAATGGTTGGTACCTGCCCACGTTTCGATCGGGAGCAAGTTCTTGGACAGTACGCGGCGGGGATATAGCCGCAACCTTCTTCTGCCCCATACGACCATCTTCAGGATGATCCATGTCGGTGTGCGGAGCAAGTGGTCGGGGTGTTACTGCAGACGGTGTGGCTTCATAGCGCCTCTTGACGGTAGGATTTGGCGTTGGCAAGGGGCCAGTAGGTTCGCCTCGCATCTTCTTGACTTCGGTAACCTTGACAATCTCCTCGAACTCATTATTGCCGGAATCAATCTTGCGTTGGTAGTAATTTTTGACCTTAGAAGTTGTCAGTAGACAGAAAAACAGAGAAACAAAAATCAATCAGCACAAAAAGACCGTGCAGCGCTAATGACCTCACGGGACAGGATTGATGGTCCACGTCACAATCTGTGGGACAGTCCGGCCCAATCGGGGCTACCAGCATCGGAAGGATAAAAACACCGGATATAAAGGAAAAAAATATTGAGAGATGAAACTCACCATTATCGGGGTCTTTGTCTTCATGAAATTCGATATACCCTCAAAATCGCGCCCAAAATGCGCCAGCAAAATCGGAAAGTCTCGCACTTCCGGAACTGACCAGTAACTTGTCGGCTGCATTGCGCCATATCCCATTTCATAGGAAGGCTTAGGAGCGTCATAATCAACAGAAGCATCAAACACATAGATGGAATCTTTGTTGCGACGGGCAGGCTTGTTCCGTGGGATAATGTCCTCGTTGTTTGGCTCCGGCTCTTTGATCTTGACGGCTGGTTCGTATAGACTTTCAACCACATGAGGTTCCTGCTTCGCGATGAGCGGAACTCCAGGAGCGAGAGCTGTTGAAGACGGAAGAGGTTGCTGAGGAGGGGCAGTTTGTGGTTGTGCCTGTATGTGCAAAGGAGGCTGGACGGCTTGCGTTTGCTGTGGTAAAGATTGCGGTTGTACCTGGGGAAGCTGCGTAGGCGGCGGCTGCTGCGGTTGCTGTTGCTGTTGTTGTGCAGCAGCTCGACCTMTTCTTCCTCCTCTCGAACCAGCACCACCTCTACCACGTCTGCTAGCAGGCTTCTCGCCCTGTTCGTTCTCCTTGGTATTACCGCGACGTGAGTTTTCAGCTTCGGTTGTCGAGTCACCTCCAAACGTCGGAGCAGCTGCACGACGAGGTCGTCCGGTTTCGGTCATTTGAACACTCTCTTCATCATCACCATCCGCCTTCAAATCGGACATGAGAGCATTAGACTTGGGTCGCGTAGTCGACTTTCTTGCGCGTCGCTGGGATCGCCACCTCTTGTTCAGTTTCGCCTTGTACTTGATTTCCTCCTTGGTCATGTAATAATGACTGATGCATTGAGCATAAGTACGTCCCGGCAACTCTTCAGCAATTTTGCCCCATTTCTTGGGATAGGCCATGAAAGCGTCGGTAAACAACTTGTGTTCTTCTTCTGTAAAGTCGTCCGGTGGTGGATAGAAGCCATAAACCACCAAAGCATCGGCAGGGTCGATCTTGTTGTTGGTATCTTTGAAGATCCCAGCTTCAATCTCGTACTTTTCAAGCATATCCGGCACGACAGCCTCTTTGTCCAGGTCCGGCCGCGCTGTGGCCTCCATCCGACGACGACGCTCAAACTCTTCCTGGGCAGAAATTGCAGATGCTTTGAGCGCGTTCTGGAAATCGAGCTCGCTGTTACCTTTGTATCGTCTACCTTCACGGCCTTCAGGAGCTGGAGCTGGAGCTGGTGTCACAGGTGGTGTGGCTGCACTGGGCGTACTTTCTTTTCTCTCCTCGTCTTTCTTGTGGTCTAGTTCTCGTACAGTCAATCGCCAAGGTCTGTATAGCGTAGCATACTCCTCTCGTAATCGTTTGTTCTTTTCCGATGCATCTTTGCGCTGTTTTGCGACGGTGTTGCGAATTGCTTCTTGAATCCGCTCGTGGGTCTTGATATTCTCTTGATAAACGTCAAGTTCTGAAATCGGAGTGGGAGGACCAGAGACCAAGAACGGCAAACTATCAACAGTGATCGTCTCTTTCTTGACAGCCTCAGCTGGAGTGACTTCCTTTGCCGGGGCAGTAACAGTCCCATCAACATCCATCTCCTCTTTGTAGGTTGGAGCGGGCACTGCTTTGTTTGAAATTTCGTCCACATAAGTCTCAACAACAGATGCTTCTGGTTCTTCGGGGACACTGTCATCAATCATCATGCCCAACAACTGAACTTTCATGAGCAAGTTAACAATCACGGGATCCTCCAATATTGGCAGTGGTATTTGGCTTTCCAGAGCGCGCATGTCCGTTTCGTAGCGATTCTTTCGATCTTGAAGATAGTCTTCGGTGAAAATCATATTTTCTTCTTCTTCTTCCTCATCACTAGAACGTGTAAAGTCAGGTATAGAAGGAGTTCCATCGCCTTCATGCTTTGCTTCCAGACTTTGATCCTGTATCTTGGCTGCCTCAGTTGGTGCTTTCACTGACGGTGCGGTATCAAGTGGTTTGTCTTTTTCGATTTTGTGCGATTCAACCTTTTCAAGCACCTTGTCAACAGGCTGAAGTTCTTCGTCATGCTTGTCCTCAAGGGGCCTCTTCTCTTCAACAGCGGGGTTTGATTCGTCCAAGTCTGCATCTTCATGTGACTCCTGCCGGTTACCGAGGGAGGTGGTTGACGGAGGAACACGATTATATCCAGGACGGAGCCACTGCTTACTTTTTGCATGGCCACCGCGAGAAGACTGTCTAACTCCGGCACGAGGTCCAGTGGGAACACTGCCAAACGTCATTCGCGGTGAAGTCTGGGGAGAGCCACCACGACCTGCGGGTGGTAACTGTGACCGCGATTGTACTGGTGAGGTAGCTGCGGGACCTAACGGGGGAGAAGCGGTAGCAGAATTGTCATGGTGAGCTCGAGGCTCTGCTGGAATCGAGTCTCGCTTCAATGAAGCTGGAGCAGTGGGAGGAGACACATCGCGACTTGGTTGCTCGAGGGAGGCTGCGGGTCCCGTTGGAGCCGGCTTGGAAGCTCGACTTGGTAAATCCAAGCGAGAGGATTCAACATGTTCCTTCGGAGCAGGAATGCTGACCTGTGCCTTGTCACTGCGGTAGGCTTTGGGTTCTGTCGGAGCTTCTTTGGGAGGTTCCTTCGTGGCAGAAGATATGATATCTGCTCGACTCCGTTCGGGCTTGTTGGGTGTTGCTGTGACTGGCGGTGCTTGCGAAGGTGGCTGAGATGAAGGTTGTGAAGAGGACTTTTCAATCGAAAGAAGACTCGGAGGAAGAGTAACAGATCCAAAAGCAGGAACCTGGGGTGCAGATGGCGGTGGCGATCCCTTTGGCGCGATTGATTCTCTGAGCATTTCTGTGCGCGACAATGGAAGGTCGGGTCGGTCTGAATCCCTGCGAGGATCTCTTACGGGTGGTAGAGCTGCCACGGAAGGTTTGCGAGTTGGTTCGGCTGTTTGTTCTGGTTTAGGCTCAGGTCGTGAAGGATTCAGTGGACCCGCCGGTGAAATGGAACTGCTTCTTGGGCCGGAGGGAACACGAGCCTCTGACCGAGGTGGAATGATATCCTTCTTCCATGGTTCGATCGGGCGATCACGGTCATCTCGATCTGGTCGTCGTTCGTCATCGCGACGATCAAATCGATCTCGTCGGTCAAACTCGCGGTCGCGGTCTCTAAAGTCCCGTTCTCTTTCCCGCTCCCACCAACCGTCGCGGGACCTACTTCGACGGCGAAAGTTCTCGCGATCATCTAGAAAGTGTCCTCGACCTCGTCCGCGACCACCTTCCCAATCACCGCGACCACGACCGCGCCCGAGTCCACCTCTCATTGGAGGCGGATGCCCTATGCCCTGATTTCCTCTGATCTCTCTGATTTCTCTAATTTCAGATGGTCCATCACCGGGATTCGATGAGCTCGATACAAGACTATCCCTAGAGTTGCGCCGCATGCGCACAATGTCGCCGTCGCGGGGTCCAAGGTCGCGATTGTCTCTAAAGTCTCGCGGATCGCGTGGTTGAGGTGATCGCGACCGGCGAAAAGGCGGACGACCGTCGCGGGCATCGAAATCCCGATCTACGCGATCTCGACGAGGCCAATCTCTATCGCGGTCATCTCTGCGAAAGGGTGGTCCATCGCGAAAGTCTCGGTCACGGTCTCTGTCGCGATCTCTATCTCGGTCTCGATCGCGAAAGTCATTGCGTGGTGGATAGCCTCGACCGCGGCCGGAGTACCCTCCACGAGGCGCATCAATCAATGCCTTTGGGCCTCGCGGCGGTTCGCGACCTAATGGGGTCAGGTTCGGGTCATCTCGAGGACCCGGCGGTAATGAAGGTCGGCGATCTGAATAGCGCTGAGGTGGTGAACGATCTCCGCGGGAAGAATACCCGGATGAATTGGGGAAGCGCGAGGACATCACCGGCTCATGCTCAGTACGGAACCGTATCAGAAGGACCGAACAATGCGATTCGGATCAAACTGATCCTTTGCCAGGTACGTAGATCAGATCCAAAACTTGAAGATGAGAAACTATTGGTCTAGAAACGGTTAGTCACGGGACGCGCAGCACGTGACGTTGAAAACTGGGGTTGAGGCGACTCTCGGCCTCAGGCAGGGAACGGGTGCTGGATGCGGTTTAGTGCAACCGAGTGCAGGCGCCGGCGGCAAGAAGCCAGCCTTGATCAAGTCGATGTCGGAGCGTGTAGACGGTAGAAGAGAATCACTTAGTCGATGCGTATGAGGCGATGAGACACTGTAAAGGGTTATGCAGATTCCAAGGGATAGATCCGTGGTTGGCGGATGTTTGTCGCGAACAAGTCGTGCCAGTAACACAGGGGTTGGTGGCACGCGGTTCTTTTGGCCGGAATTCTTAGTGTTCTTGTCTTTGATGAACCTTGATGGAATTAGACGAAACAATGCGTAGTACGTAGTCTACCAAGTTCAATAAAGAAAAATCAAAGGAACAGTCAAAGCTTGATGTCGGTAGTTGAGTTGGGATGGTTTGCGACCGTGATAAGCTGCAGGAGCTGAGAGATTGAAATTTTGTTGGGCACACGTCCAATCGAGCAAGGGTGCAATCAAGCCAGACAGTCAAGAGCAGGAATGTGTGTATCAAAAGAGTGACCTAATCAAATCAAGAATCTTGTACATCATTTGATTATTCCAATGATGCACAGTGTATTGTGTGGTGATGACCCTCTGCAAGTGCGAATACCTGAAGGATGATCTCAGATTCAAGGAGAATAGAATGATGAGAGTTGGCAGAGGGAACGATGATCATGGGAGAGGCTAGCGTGGGAGAGACTAGCGTGACGGTGGTCTTACTGAGGCAGCAGCACTAGTGTTGGCCAGGCGGGTGGTTCCAGCGGTCGGCCAATGATGGGTGACAGCACGAAAATTCTACGATATACAGACAACTTACTACGAGTTAGAACTTTGGAAGAAGTGGTCGATATTGATAATTTGATGGCCGAATGTCTACCTGTATATTTCCGAGTATCTCGCAGAACGGTCAGCAATAACTGCTCTCGTAGTTAAGGACATAGAAGTAATGGTTAAGTGATACGTACGGAGTAGAGAATTCAAGAGTGGATCCATTTCAGATTCGTTCTTCTCTTACCACATACGTAGTAGTATGGTACACCATACTACTACGTAGTACATTCTTAGAGTCCAGCCCGCCCGCCCAGATCGCCAGGTCACATGCATTGCTGCGCTCTTATTGGCTGCCCAGCGCCTTTAAATTTAAGGTCATGCTGCACTCTTATTGGCCGGAGAGTTGAAGAAGGTCTGTGCTTGGCCCACCGCCTGCGCCGCGTGTTTCTTTTCTTTTTTTTTCTTTTTCCTTTCTGCCCTAACCGGGTTAGTACGGGGTATTATTCTATTTCCCGACATGCACAGCCAGCGTGCAGCAGTACTATGTACTACGTAGACAGCAGACAGGGATCTCATTTGACTAATCCAAATGATCTAACTTTCTGTAATTCGACTGATTCGAACGATTCATGAGTCGTGAGTCGATAGTCGGTGTGATGGATGATCAGCATACAACCAATCAGATGACGGATCAACGTCTTTCAGTCGCCACCTGTCCCCAGTCTGGTAGGTCCCCTATTACTACGTATCCACTATGCACAACCTCCGCTCGACCTCGGAGCCATTTGATATGTACTTCATTTGTATGGTTTGCACGACACAATGATAGTGATGTATTGTAAATCAATCTGGAACCACACGACTCTCTATACGATCTAGAAACAGTCACAAAAAGCATCATCTAAATCATGAAACAACATACATCAAAAGAAGGAAGCCAAAATCAACTCCACACCCCTTAGGGTCTCACGCAACTTGGGGTATTTTCAACATAAACAACGAAACGAAATAAACCTGCCCGGCGGTAAAATTACATTTTGTAGATCTTGACCACCTTGAGCACATTCTTGCGGCATATAGGGCAAATCTCGACTTCACGAGCACAAGTAACGCACGCACAAACGTGTCCACAGTCATAGAAAAGCGCATCTTGTTCCTCGCCGTAGCAAATCTGGCAGAGATCCATCTCCTCGTCTGCCACTTCCCAGTAGCTGATACCCTTGCCATGGCGCTTGCCCTCTTTGTAGCCACCGACGTATTTGTTGCCCGTCTTGCTCTCGATGAATGTGCCCTGGCCGTGGCGCTGGTCTTCTACCCAGTCACCCTCGTAGGTATCGCCAGATGGATACTCCATCTTACCTTGGCCATGACGCTGGCCAAATATGAACTCTCCATTGTACACGGTGCCGGTGTCGGAGATGTGTGTACCCTTGCCGTGGTAGTAGCCTTTGCTGAACTCACCACTGTAGTAATCGCCATTGAATGTGGCATCCACAGTCTTGGTGCCGGTGAAAGCACGAGTTGGGTGTCGTCGAGATGAGGCCCAGATATATTGAACTAGCCGGTCAGGGTTGGTAAACAATCCAGCTCCACCAAGTTTGGCACGTCTAGTAATCGTTAGTTTCAATAGTCATGTACGTAAGAGGAAGAAACTTACTGTTCTTTGTTGAGTCGGTCACCCACAATGAAACAATGCCCGTCGCCAACTGACATGGAAAATGTATCATTGCGAGAAACTGTGACGACCGAAGTGTTGTCAATACGAGACCACATAAGGAAGTCTTTGTTGTCCTCCCAGCCTAGATTCTTGCGAATCTCTGACATAACATTGTCGCTCAATGACGAGACAAAAGCACCAGCAGGCTTCAATGCTTGTTTTTCGGTGTCGAAGGTCTGGATGAAGTAGTACACATGAGGTACAGTGGGAACAGCTTCGGGCACATCAGCAGGTACTTCGTTACTATCAGGGGTCGACTCGGCGCTGTTTTCTTGACTGACGGATGGCGAGTCTTCCATAATTGTATCCTGCGCAGGCTGCTCAGTCTCAGCAGGCGCTGTCTCAGCGCTTGGCGCTTCGACAGATGTTGTTGTATCGATATCCATCGATTCTGCATCAGTGGCTATTGTGGCAGGAACATCGGATGTAGGCACATCAGTAGTGACAGTCTCAGATGGAACAGAAGCAGCTTCAGCGACTTCCGGTTGTTGGTCTTCCACAGGTTCAGCCACAGTAGCAGCGTCTGTCTGCGCAGAGTTCTCAGGCTCAGGAACAACTGCCGCGCCACTTCCAGATCCTTCAGCCGAAGATCTCTCCTCATCCGAGTCCTGAACATCACGAACCTCCACCGTCTCTTCAGGCTTCTCTTCCACTGTCTTGGCGACTACTGGCTCAGGTATAGCATATGACTTGGCTGCTTCCTCGGACAAGATATGAGTCCAGAATCGCACAATATTATCTTCCTTGGCCAAAGTCTCGGTCAAATCATCTTGTCGGTCGAACAAAAGACCAGCTCCAAGCTGCTTCTTGGTATGTCCAACTTTCCAGAGCTTCACGCGATGACTAGCAATCTGGTTGTTATCGCCAGACTTGGCAAAAGCAATCTTCTTGCGAAGTTCTGCAAAAGACGTGCTCTTTGGTAGAGTCAAGTACATGACATTGTTCGTGCGCTTTGCCTGAGACATCAAGTCATAGGTATCAAAGATGCTTGGAAGTGATTCTTCGATGGCAGGAAGGCCATACACTTCAACTTGAACGGTTTGCTCTGTTTTGGATTCGGCTTCCAAGTCTACTGCAGGGTAAGACTCTGTTTCGAAATAGGTTCTGAGTGGCTCAGCAACGTCCCAGTCTTCCATTTTCCCAGGAAGGTACTCTGGAGCAACATCGTGACGGACGTAAAGGGCCGCAACAGCGAAGTCATGGCCGGTCTTGTCATTAGCATCCTTGAGCTTGCTATCATCAAGTCCAACGTGAGACTCCAAAGCAGCCTTTCGTGTCAAGCACTCAACTCGGTTGTGGCTGCCATCGTCAAAGGCAACCCACTTGGAACCAGGACCACCAGGTCGCAGAATGCTAAAAAATTTGCCAGACGTACGACGGCCACGGTGAATCACGAATCCATAAAGATCATATTCACCGCACTGGCCATTGGCAACGTAGGGTGCCAAATCCAAGACCTCATCGAGATCAATTCGATTGTAGAGAAGCTTCCACTGACGAGAAGACTGATCGAAGCGTTGGCGATTAAGCTCAACGTGAAGAACAGGAGGCAAAGACCATTTTCCAGACTGCTCTTTAAAATACCGACCAAGAGCGCCTTGGATATTCTTTTCCTTGTCAACTGGAATTCGAACGCTGGTGATGAGCTGGGTGGGCAAGGTGTGAGTGACGTTGGATCCTTGAGGATCGCTCACAGCGACGGGGGGACTATCGAAAAGTCGAGCAAGCTCCTCGACTGCACCAGTACCCTCAAGCTCGATTTCGAGAGTTCGGCGCATTCTCTCCCAGAATTCCACCACATCGCTTGAGTATTCATGCAAGTTGCGCAAAGTCGATGTGACTTTATCGGTATCGACACACTGACTCTCTGGGCTCTGATGACGCAACCGCCACAAAAACTCCTGTAGAGCTTCACACAACGGACGAGGCTTCACATTACAGTTGCGGCGATGTTCCTGAACATCTACACTCTGAATGATCTTTCTGAAGGGCGCAAGATTGACCCAAGCAGCCAATCCCGCAACTTCGGCGCTGTGGTTGAGGACCGAATCGCCAATTGGGCGGTAGCCCGTCACGGCAAGACTGTCCCAAACCGGCTCCGAGTCGCTTGGGTGCCACCAGAGAGAGAGCGTTGGATCGTCGAAAACCCGAATATAAGCATCAAAAGCTAGAGTGTCGTTACGCAACAGTGCCTGGCGTTGGCCCTTCTGGCGAAGGTGAATCTCGTCCCAGGGACCGTGGAAATATGTCCAGCCCCAGTCAAGGTTGTGTGGGTTGAACTGATGGCAAGAAGACTGCATCCAGCCTGTGCGGGGCTCATTGGGGTTGTACATGATAACACCAATCTGTGCCGAAACTCTCCAAACATTCTTAGAACCTTCTGTTGTAGTATCTGTAGGAGTGCAGTCGACGCCAGTGTAGCCATAGCACTTTTTATAATTCTCGTACCATTCCTGAGAGTTTTCCAAGGCAGGAATCTTGATGCTCATTTTCGGCTCGCTTTCCTTCAAATTGTCCGTAGCGGCACCAGTGCGGACGGTAAACTCGGTCTCAGGAAATTTCTCGTCCACTACCGGCATATCTTTTGAGCATTCAACGTAGATACTCAAAGACTGGCTACCGTTTCCTCGCGGGAAGAACTTGATAGTCCACCAGTATCCTCCAACGTACGCAGGCGGGGAACGCATAACCTTTGCTCGATTTGGCTTCTCCTTGGTGCCTCGTACACCTTTGATTTGCCATGTGAGACGGGATTTTTCGGCTGGTCGATATTCTGGGTCATCGACGTCGCTGTAGAAGGATTTCTCCCAGTAATCATCTATCGACGAAATCCATTAATATCCGTTAATCTGAGCTACAAGCTCTTAAAGGGAAAGATGACATACATTCTAAAGCACTGTAATCGCCATCGCTGGACTCGATCTTTTTCAATTCCTCTTCATCAGGGGATGAAGTGTCCTCTTCAACACCAGCCCAGGTGGCAGGCTCCTCTTCCGGAGGTGCCGGAGCAGAGTCTGCTTGTTCGGTGGACTCGGTTTGTTCAGTAGTCTCAGCATCAGTGGGTTGAGCGTTTTCCTCGATAGTCTCTTCCGTAGCTGTGGGGTTGGACTCTGGGACCTCTGTCGCCGGAGCATCGGTTTGCATAGTGGTATCATCGGCGGTTTCTGTTGCGGCTTCTACTGAAACTTCTGGTGCAGTCTCTACTGCGGGCTCGGTGCTTTGAGTCTCTGCAGTAACCGATTCCTGGGGTTGTGTAGTATCTTCTGAAGTATCCATTTCGGTGTTCGGGGCTTGTCCGACCTCTTCTGGTCGATCGGGTGTGTTTGTGGGCTCTGTAGTGGTTTGGACGGCTAGACCAGCTGGCTCCGAGTGTGTCACGGAGGGCTCCTGAACGGGATCCATGGTGAGAGGAAAAGTAAATCAGAAAGACGACAAAAACCAAAACGAAGAATTCTCAAAATCAACTGCTTCTCAACCAAAAATCAACGGTACGCGAAAAACGAGAAAAACGCAGCCGGCAACTGTAATCTGCTTCCAGCACAGATCAAAAGACGCAGAACAGTTGGGGTGATAAGAATATAGAAGAACAAGGACCAACACCTTGAACGTAGTCTATACAATCTAAGCAGACGTGATGGGAGAGAAGTCCGGCTCTCTTAAGGCCAGATGAAAGAAAAGGAAGAAATAAGGAGAGGGAAAAAATAAATATGAGGCACGAGAGGGGAAGGAACGATAGATAAGTGACTGATTGGGGCAAGAACAGAGCGATTAGGCTAGGGCAGCTGATAAGTGATTAGCTGATTAGACTAGTGCGTGGACATAGTGGGGCACGGGGATTCGCCATGTTGGGGCGGGTAATCGGTATGGAGGACGCTGTACAGTGTATTACAGGTACGGCCGTAATTACACATGATTACTCCAATGATTAGCGGTCAGTCCTCGAATTTGTGCACAATATGTTACATAGTTTCAGAACCTGAGGCAGTCCACTAGTATTACTACATAGTAGTCTTCGTACTCTAGCCGCTGCGAAGCCGGGGAAGAAGCTTAGACGAGACGATGCGGTGATGGCCCAGCCCAGTCTACCAAATTCAAGTGCCTAGCTAAGTCTCGTGCAGCATTTGACAATGATACCCGGTCCAGATCTTTTTTAGTCTTTTGAACACTGAAAAAATTCTGAAAGTGGAAAAAGGCCTGTTCTGGATGTCGAGATCCCAAATCACTGGTCGGCTGGGCGGTAAAGTGAGGCGAAGCCGAGCTGTCAACGATCGACCCATCCTTTTTTTTGGGATCTGAAGGTTTTCTTGCTGCAGTTTCTCGTAACCTGCTCAAGTGTGAATACTCGGTGTGTAGTGCAGCCATCTATTTCTTCAGCCACACATCCATAACAATGCACAGCCCTGTGTAGAGTGCAATTTCACCAGGCTGACAGCCGGGTGACAGCTGATGAGGCTCTGGCATTGGCATAGCCAAAATAGTAGGACGGTAATATATCTTCAAGGCACTGTTTCGGGATTCCTAGCTGTCTATTATCAAGCGTTCGACTGGCTGACAGCTCTCCACCGCCATTCATCCATCCACTTTTGTACCGCTGTACTGTCACGATACACGTACCGCGCCGGACCCGTTCGGGACTTGCTCTCCCTCTTCCGCCAGTTCCTGCGGCCGGCCCCAATTATTTGGTGGAACCTCCTGGCACACCGCCTTAGCAGCTCTTCATCCTCGGTTTTGGATGCTCGGTTCAACTTCGTCTACTATCTACGGAGTGAGTCTGTGGCAAACTCGCTGACTTCCCGGCCAATACGATTTGTACAAGATTTGCAATTTGCAATTCATTCGGCGGAAAGAAAAATCGTTCCTGATTCGAGTATCGTAAGGAACCGTTATCTCCTCGGAAACTTTCCACTGCATAGACTGAGTCACCTATCATTCACTCATCACGTGCGTCAAGCAGAGCGCATTAGCCTTGCGGTCCTGCGTTTATTTCTGGCCAATCAATGCCTCGTGTTTCAACGAGCCCTTTTTTTCTTGACGGATACGGATGAGTCAATTTACAGTTACATATTTTACAGTTTGGAAGTGTAAGGAGATGTCTCTGCTGCCTCGTAGGCAGAAGCACACTTATGCATATTCAACTGAACGAGTCAAGGGTAGCTGTCAGATCACTGTTCTCGGCCAATCTGGAATCGTGGCATGCCTACTAGCTGCAAGACGGGAGGCTGACTTGTCGCAACATCTAATGCAGGTGGGCGATGCAGATTGGCCGCGCGTTTGATACGAGTCTGCCTTATTTCCCCCTCGTTCCCGACTACTCCTATGACATACATAGTAGATATGAATAGCTACTCGTAAATTGTCAACTGAAACAGAAACACATCTAGCCAGTCGTATGTCCCGTCAGACTCCGTAAGAAAGAAGACGAAGCATCGGATAAGMCCAGCCGATAAGAAAATGCTCCAGATGTGGCGGGCCCAGAGTGGATCGTCTGAAAAATCGGGGATCCAATTCAACGTCGCTCTAGAATTATACCGTATTTACAGTCCTGTATCGTACTGTATCGTATCATATTGTGCATAATACCGTGCCTTGTCGGACGTTACCCTTTGAGGACGCTTAGCTCCTCTTCATTGATCCACGTTGTGTCTGCTCTATGGATGGGTACAGTTGTCAAGATACGGAGTCATGATCTTCAGATATTCACAAATCACTTGATCGACTCGCTTTTACTCTGTACAGATAGCGAATCAATTCTCTGAAAAAAAGGAATTGAGTGTTCGATAATTTTCGATGGCAACCCACGGTTCCACCCATCCGGTATCGGTCTGGATGTGATTGAATTAAGGTACAGTGGCAAATCTGGAGCTTATGTTTATCCGTAACGTCTATGGACGGAGTATTATTCGACGTGGAAGATTTTATAATTTAAGCTCCATTTGATTCGGCAATTATGGACAGTGTTTCCGAATTGACTGTTTGATAGTATTTGGACAAATATGGCGGGCTATAACAATGGCGATTCGCCACGTGCCTTCAACCCATGATGTTTCGCGGGATATCGATCGAGCGTTGTCGAGTGACTCGAGTCATTTGGTAGATTATCATCTCGCCATAGAGAAGAGATATGGATACACCAGGGTGCCAGAGCTTATGCATAATGCCCCTCGGCCCACTTGGGGCTACGGCGGCGAACAGCATGTAGTCCAGACATGGGACGTAGCACATTGGTTCAAATGTAGTGCCAGATTCTGAGATCCCTGCAGTGAAGGTTCCCCGGGAATCTATTCAGGATCGACGAGACAAAAGTCAATCCGCTCAATTCTGCGGGGTCCCTTACTTTGATCCAGCATCGCCATCCCGACTGGCCCTTGCAAAAGTACTGGCAACAATCAATGGGAAAGCAACTGTAGCCTCCGCATAAACCTTGACACTATCCGCGCCAGCCTTGATCTTGCCCCAGCTAACGGCTTCGTCGGGACGTGCCCCCGCGTCACTCCCGTCAAATTCCTGGGCTGTATTGATATACACCGCGCTTTCTGCGCCGTTCCGCATCAGACATGCATTGGCAATGTGATGCTTAACAATTCCGCCTCCCAGTATAATCATTCCTGCCCTTTTAGCGCGTACAGACATGGTATTTATCCGTCTCACGTCGTCGACAATATCCACTCGGAGACGTTTGGGCGAGGTTTTGAATGTATGAAAGTAGAGCATGTCGCCCAATGATCCATCCGTCAATGCAGGACAAAAGATTGGAATGTCGTTCTTCCATGCCCAGTAGCACACCGACTCCTCATTGTTGATCTCTTTACCCAATCTGTTTATAATCTTCGATGGCGTCCAATGTAACTCATCATCTGGATCCCCAGACTTGGCGGCTACAACTTTCGAGTCCCCCTGCTCATCAACCATTTTATCCAGGATAGGAATCAACCAATCCTCAAATGCACAATAATTGCTATTCGGGACGATCAAATTTCCAATTCTGTTCAACCCTTGTGCCCTGAGCCCTGCACCCGGTGTACTGAAAGCGCCGAGATACGTCGGCGCAAGACACTTGATCAAATCCTCTTCAACGCCGCCAGCTGTGGTCACAATCGCCGAGACATGTTTATGCTGCACCAAAAACCGTAACGTCTCCCTCAACCCGGACGATATCAAATTACTCGTATACCCCATGAAAACAGTCGTGCCTTCGCCAGTCTCCGGATCGCGGAATGCGCGCATGTCATTTATGATCCGTACGGCCTCTCCGATGGCACTAGCCTGGAATCCCATGGTCGACATATTCGATACAAGCTCGGATACTGTTATGTCGCGATCGACGTAGTCGTTGAAATCGACGCCGCGGACTTTTCGAACGTCGTCTGGTACGGGCGCGGAGGGGACGAGGACGGCGGCGGTTGCGGAGGAGGGTGCCTGGTCGACATGGCTGGCATTGTTTGTCTGCTGAGTGGGCGTTTGAGATGACATTTTGAAAAGAGTGACTTCTACTTTCGAGAATTGGTGAGGTGCGAAGGATGAGTGCGACGGAGAAAATTTTTTGTATAAATGCCCCGCGGCGGGGGACGAAAGTCCTCTTTGAATTTGCGCTGCTTGTCGATTGTTTGGTTTCTTTTGTAATAATTACTATAGCTGCAAAGCTGTATTTATTGTGACGAAGGGAATTCCTATCAAATAGTTGCACTATTATGTAGAAAGAATTTGGTGTGGTAGCTGATGTTAGATCGTCGTATCCGTGTCGATAACGGAAATTTTATATTTCCGGTCAGTTCTTGCCTTTGAAACGGGCCAACGGCATTAATCATACGCATGTCTACAATAGTCATTTGGAGATATGCAACTATCTGAAAGAGAAACTCACGGAGGCTTGATTTACTGCTTACATAGTAATGAAGTTATTCTCGATTTTTTAAGGTGCGACAATTGTGATTAAGACTAACGGCATGTGAACTAAAAATGTCGACCAATGAGCGAGTCACGATTAGAAACACTCTATCTTTTCAGTATAGATTCGATTCCTATTGGCGCTAATGGCCCTGTTGTAACCTTTAAGATCTACCGAGTTCAGCCTCGGCTGAGCGCCGAGTCCGGTATAGCGCCCCTTCCCCGGATATCCTGTCAGCTGTTACTTGCTGCTTATATTTTCTTTGTCTTCATCTTCTCTTTTCAGACGAGTATATTCCAATCGATTGGTATGTCCAGTTAGGTCCTCATTATATGATCACTTGTTATTTGAACTCTTCCAGCCAGCACGAAGTTCATCATGCCGCACTCCGCCCTTAGCCGCGCCGAAGTGGCCAAGCACAACACCGCCGAAGACTGCTGGGTCATCATCGATCACAAAGTCTACGATCTCTCGGACTTTCTCGATGCCCATCCCGGTGGAAATGTGGTGTTGGCCCAAGTCGCCGGGAAAGATGCCACCGTCGACTTTTACCAGCTTCATCGCCAGGAAGTCTTGACGAAATACAAGGATCTCTGCATAGGAACACTTGAAGGCGAGACACCTGAGGTCATTGATCAGAAGCCTGGTGACCTCAGTGCTGTACCATACGCCGAGCCTTTGTGGTTGCGACCGGAGTTTAGCAGCCCATACTTCAATGAAAGCCACCGTCGTCTGCAGAAGGCTGCCCGCGAATTCACCGACAAGTATGTCACGCCGGAAGCCCAACAGAAGGAGAAGGATGGCACCTATATCAGTCAAGAAATGATCGACCGTATGGCGGAAACCAATATCTTGGCTATGAGATTGGGCCCGGGCGAACACCTTCACGGCCGCCAGTTGTTGGGTGGCGTGGTGGATGGTAAAGAATTTGATTCTTTCCACGATATGATTTTGACTCAGGAGATGGTTCGATCAAGTGCACGAGGTACGTCGTAAAGATTTGGCCATTGATATCAAGCTAATCGCGATATAGGCTACCAAGATGGTAATATGGCCGGCATGTCTATCAGTCTCACAGCTGTCAAGCAGTGGTTGAAGAATAAGCCTTTGAGAGATCAGTTGATGGAAGAGGTACTTTCCGGCAAGAAGAAGATGTGTCTCGCTATCACCGAGGCCTTTGCAGGCTCTGACGTCGCGGGTCTTCGCACCACTGCCGAGAAGACTCCAGATGGCAAACATTACATTATCAACGGAACCAAGAAATGGATCACAAACGGCATGTTCTCCGATTACTTTGTGACTGGATGCCGAACCAAGAAAGGTTTCTCTGTGATCTTGGTTCCCCGTAGCGAAGGCGTTGAGACCACCCTTATCAAGACGTCCTATTCCACAGCTGCAGGAACCGCCTTTGTGCAATACGATAATGTCAAGGTCCCCGTGGAAAATTTGCTGGGTGAAGAAGATAAGGGTTTCGTCGTTATCATGAGCAATTTCAACCACGAGCGATACATGATGGCAGCCGCCGTGATTCGCATGTCTCGTGTTATTGTTGAAGAATGCCTGAAGTGGTGCAACCAACGGGTTGTATTTAAGAAGCCACTCATTGAGCAGCCTGCTATTCGTCAGAAGTATGTCTCCATTCCACTCACACATTGTATAACAATTACTGACACAACTCGAACAGACTCGCCAAAATGATCTCCCAAGTGGAAGCAAATCAAGCCTGGCTTGAATCCCTCACGCACCAAATGTGCCAAATGAGCTACGCACAACAAGCGAAACATCTGGCCGGTCCCATTGCACTCCTTAAATCCTACTCAACCCAATGCGCCGGCGAAATCGCCAGTTCCGCAACCAACATCTTCGGTGGTCGTGGCCTGACTCAATCCGGTATGGGCAAGATTATCGAAAACTTCAACAGAGGTTACAAATTCGATGCCATTCTCGGCGGTACGGAAGAGATTTTGGCCGATTTGGGTGTTCGACAGGCAGTCAAGAATTTCCCTAAAGCCATGCTCTGATTTTTTTTTTAAATCGTTGGCATGACAAGTTTGTATATTATAGCATTTTTATATACTGAAGTATATGGGTTACACATCATTTACGTCTCCAGTTTCTAGCCCAAGAGGGAGCATTTCAATATACGAGTGACATGCACAGAGTTTTATTGTCTATTGATCATTGTAAAGCCTGAGCTAGACAGGAATGACTATCTAGAATCAAATATTTTTTTGGCTGCTTCTCTTCACAAACGTATCAGTACCTTATCTGTTGCAATACGCTAGATATAGACAAAAGCTTAATTAATTTACCATTAGTTAGGCAGCTCGCTTCCCGTCAGCTGGTCAAATAATCTGTCCCCCTCTTGTAATTGAACAGCCACCATGCTGTATCATCCCATCAAATCACGAGAATGGGATTGTCGGGGCCTTTTGTCTGCATAATTCCGGACTGTAGCAAGTCCTTTCTGCGCAAAGAGCATCTCAACCGCCATCTGGTGAGCCACACGTCCTCCCGCCCGCATAAGTGCTTGATCTGTGACCGAAGCTTTGCGCGAAAGTAAGTATGGAGAAGACATCCGTTTGCAAGAAATTCTATTGATTTCATTTTTTTCAGCGATATTCTGAGTCGTCATATGCTGCAGCACAATGTACCATCTCTAGACGAAGCTAAACGCACTCCGTCAGCCTGTCAGACCTGTCGGCGACGAAAGACTAAATGCGACTCTGCTCAACCATGTTCCGCATGTGTCGATTTGGGTGAGCCTTGCGTACGGGAATCGTCTGGCACGCAAGCATTGTCGTCAGGGACGCGAGACAGCTCATACTCGGGAGCAGTCACAGTAGTAGAAAGCGGTACAATCGTATCGAGTAGCATTCCTAATAGTGGAAGCAATAGCCTCTCCACAACGAGCATGAATCTGGATCCTATGCAGCTGCTTACAGAAGAAACCATTGAAATGCCTCCGGGAACCTCTCTACCCACCTCAGGCACAGATTCTTCAGCATATTGTGAGAACGTTCCTTCAGTCAAAGCATTGCCATTTGAACTCCCGCTACCTCTGTCTACGGAGACGGGGGGCCATTTGCCCTCTGATCTGTTGACGGAGATGCAGATGGTCGACAGCACAACTTTTGCGCCGCCTAGCCAAGCTCAGCTCATCACGGCACAAATAAAATCGGCCGAATTCAAGCAATTCCACCAGGCTTGGCCACTGCTGCATGTACCGACCTTTAAGGCCGAGACAACGAGTACACTACTGACGAGCGCTCTTATGTGGATGCAGAATGCCAACCGACACCACCTGCTTCTTGATGAGATAAGCCAGAAATTGACACGGGCATTGATAGTGAGAACAGTGAGTACTTCGCGCAACTGGTAGCTGTAGTTTTGATCCGAGACGCTGAAGGACGAAATAGACAGAGCAAGACTTAACCGATAAACCCGGGACGGAAACTCCATTGCAAACCCTGCAGGCGCTGGTAATCGCTTTGATCTACGCAATTTCGGTAGATGTAGGCCTCATCAAAAACATCCCGAGGTCAAACGAAACAGCGTGCTAACTCTTCACAGGCGTCAACATCCACCTTGAACTGGTCTGCGCAATGGATCGACATTGCCGTTTCGATGTTTCGACGGCTGGGTATCTTGAACAATCAATGGCTCCCTGAAGATCAAGGACAGTTGGCAGAAGAACGATGGGTGCAAGCAGAGCAGATGAAACGGTAATCCACAGCTTTCTCCCTTTCTCCAGAGTCTTTGTTGATCTTTTGGTGTTCTTCTTCTCAGACTGGTCTATGCTGTCCTGCGTATTGATGCATACCTGTGCATCATATTGGATCGCCCACCCACTCTCCGCTATCAGGAGATCCGACTATCGCTCCCTGTCTCCGACGAGCTATGGCGCGCTGAAACAAGAGAAGCTCGCACCCGCTTACACTGGTACGAGCCTGCAGGTCGGTCCCGAAGCGCCTTCTCGACCATGATGCGTGACGGGCTTGAAACACAGGGATTTATGACTGGGTACCTGCGCATGCCGCGGCTGTCCTTGGAAGACAATCACTTCAGTTTGTGTTCATTCATGTCTGAATTATGGGGAATTTGCCGTGAAACTCATGAGGAGCATCATCTAAGTTACCGATCACCTGAGCTCAATCGCACCGCGGATCGCGTCCGTACATGGAAGGGCTATCTTCAAGATTGGCGGGCCCATATAGAGCAAACAGATGATCTGGAACATACATTCTTTTCGGACTCGGCTGGAGATGTAAGTCCCTTTCTCGGCCTCAATCTCACTCTGCACCATCTTGTCTCGCTCAAGATGTATGCCAACCTCAGGCTCCTGGAGTACAAGCGGTGCTGTATTAACTGCCATGATGCCGACGTTGAGAATGTGCTTCGTGCCTGGACCCAGTCTGCCGATGGTCGCGAGGCTGTCTATCATGCTGTGCAGCTGAAAAAGATCTATGAGCATCAAAGCACATTATACAAGTCGAGCGATCACCGACTGGCGAACGTGCTCGGATCTGCAGGCCTGCTGGCCAGTGCTGTCGTCCTCTGCTTCTACAGTACCAAGGTATCAACTGTTGCTGCTGGAGGCAGAGGAACTGACAGCGATGAGGCTATCGTTGCAGAGAATGGAATAGAACTGGCGCAATCGAAACTCGTAGGCACGCCCGACTACCATACGTGGATCTCGCAAGGTGGACTTGCAACCGTCAATGGGGTGCCGTTACATGTATTCTCGGTGCCTCGTTTGTCATCATGGTATCATGATGAGCTAGCGCCTTACCCAGCATATTCATCACGGCTGGTAGATTTCCTACTCACTTTGAAGACATGAAATAATGTTGTAGTGGAAATCGTGTATGACATCAAGTTCCCTCATAGCAATAGTGTGTAGATATCAGATAAAAAAGGAAAGACGGAAAACTAACAAAACTTTTCGGGCCCAATCTCACAATATTGCCCGAGTGTGCTAATTATTCGTGAAGTAAAAGTGAAAGAAAGAAAAAGTATGCCATAACTCCAATGTAGTGGCTGAGTGGGATCCGGGATACCAAAGGATCATCCCACCTGATTCCGGCCGGATCCCACATGCTAGCCCTAATGTCCTTGCCGAAATTGCCAGCATGATCAATTCGTGATTCACTGAGAATATTCATCTATTCTTTCGGATAATGACGCTCAATCTCCTTAATGACAGACGTAGAAGTCGAATCCCAGTCAGGTTTGACGCTGTTTCTTATCCGTGCCAGGTGGGATGTAGTCGATTGAGAAGGTTATAAAAGACAGGATAATCCCCTTGTAAACATCAGTTCCTCTAGCTAGACAAACTAGCACTGTTCAACACATTATCGAATTTAGAAACTTTCATCCGCCTGATCCAACCTCTCAAAGGCACCGTGTACCAATCTGCACTTTCTATCTCTTTTGCTACATACTCGATACCTGTTTGGAACCTTCAACCACCACGATGCAGCTACTCCCCTCTATCCGATCCGTGACCGATCGCGACCAGCTTGCCATTGTCTTGATGCTTCGTGAAAAAGAAAAGGAAGAAGAAGAGGAGGAGGAAGAAGCATTCGCCAAGAAACACGCTATTGCTTCACTGCCTTCGCGAAAGACATCCACGGACTCAAATTCGGTGATTCGTTCCATCAAGACAGGTGAGTATCCAGTTATCTCAACTACACAGAGATTACCGGATTGCTGACTATACTTAGCATTTGAAGTTATTACTCATACTGACCGGAAGTGAGATGTCTCGATCCCGATTTTGTCTGGATATTCAGAGGAAAGGGGGCAGATGAGACTACTATGGACGAATGCCGAGTTTGTGGTTTAGCAACGGCCATTCATTTATATAAGATTGTTATGGTGCAGGAATATGATGTTTTTATACCATTTCGAGATTGATACACAGGCAGCGATTTAAAGTGCAATACAACGAGATTCGGCCCTCTGTATATGTGAATTAAGGTAGCCACTTTTGCTCAAGTCCACCAGCAAGAAATAGGCAGAAAACAGTAGCTTAGAATGACCATCCATAGAGATATCCCAGGTAATCTTATAAGACTCCTGCAATTCTTGTACTGCCCAGGGATTAAACTCATAAATACCCAGTCACACGTAAACGCAACAAACCCTATCTCATTGAGGCAGCGGTCATATATAGCAATGAAACATTACAATAAGATAGGATTCACTTTGAGGAATTTTGATTACAGTAGAAGACAACCGATGTACAATAGATAGATTCAACTTTTTCATAAAACGCCCGACCCAATGCCTGTAAACATGATAACAGAATGAACTTAAGCAAGTAAGAAGCATTGAGGAGGAATTTTTGCATAATTCACTCTCTACTTCTTTACCTTTTTGGTCTTCTTCGATTTCGAGGAAGAGGAAGGCGAAGAGGATGCATCTGCAACGGGTTTCTCTTCTTCCGGTGCTTTAGCTTCAGCTTCGGCAGCAGGCTTCTTTTCCTTCTTTTCCTTCTTGGAGCCCTTCTTTTTCTTGTCTACACTCTCCTCTTCTGTGGATGGTTGTTCCTTTTCCGACGCAGGGCTGGCTGCGGCATCCTCTTTATTGGCCTTCTTTTGGTCTTTCTTCGCTTTCTTGTCCAAGACGGCCTTGGGGTTGATACCCTTCCTCCTTAGTCGGTTGCGTTCGGCGCGAGCAATGAGTTCGGCGTCCTCGTCTTCATCGAATGGCCCAAAGGCTTCTTCACCGACGGTGTTGCCATTGTCATCTGTGATAGGGGTCTTGTCAATGACCTCGACATCAGTATCGCCAGCTTCCGAAGCGGATTTATCGGATTTCACGCCGTTGGAAGCTGCGGCACCATTCGTCTTGCTGGCTCCGGGGCTGGGGCCGGTCTTCTTGAGTTTGCAGACGAAAAACCCATCGACGTTCTCTCGGTGCGGGAAATAGCGTCTGGTCAAAGTCATCTTCTCGTCAAACTTCTTGCCCATGTAGCTCGTGAAACCCTCAGATCCGAAGCTTCCGAGACCGGTATCCACAATCTTGACGTTGGGACGTTTGCGTAGGACGTATTGGACGACTTGTTCATTCTCTTCGACGGTAACACTACATGTCGAGTAAACAATGTAACCCCCAGTCTTGGAGTGATGGTCTGTCGAGTCTATCGCGGCAAGCAAAAGTTGTCTTTGCATGTGTGGGATAGCCAAGAAATCGCGTTCTGACTTGTTGGTCTTGACACTAGGATCCTTGGAAATGACACCAGTACCGGTACAGGGAGCATCGAGCAATACTCGATCAAAACCACCGAGGATCTTGGGGAAAGCTTCTTGACCGTTGTAATTGCAGACGATCGTGTTTTTGCAGCCGAGACGGTGGATGTTACCAATCAAACCCTTGGTACGGACTTTGCTGGCATCGTTGGCCACGACTATACCAGTGTTGCGCATCAAGGCGGAGATGTATGTTGTCTTACCACCGGGAGCGGAGGCCATATCGAGAACGCGCTCGTTTTCTTGCGGGGCGAGCGCCATCACGGGAAGGAAAGATGACGCAGCTTGCAGAATGTAGTGGCCTGCAAGATATTCTGGTGTAGCACCAAGAGGGACAGCAGATTCGAAAACTTGCAACCCGACTTTGGACCATTTACCGACGGGTTGCAAAACCACACCTCGATTGATCAAAGCCTGTGCAAGTGTACGGCGATTGGTGCGCAGAGTATTGGTACGAATAACCACGGGACGAGGGATTTCGTTGGCCTCGAAAAAGGCGAATGCTTCCATAGGAGTGAAGAGTGACATGAGCTTTTCGGCCAGATAGGGGGTATAGCCGTAGTATGTGCAGATGTCGTCTAACAAAAGTTGCATGTAGTCTGCGCGAGACTTTCCAGGTTGCCCAAGAGATGCCATATCACCCAAGACTCTCAAGGTGTCTGTAATACGAGTGCGAAGTAGCTGCATGTTTGGCGCGATTCCTGCTTTTGCTGCTGTATCAGCCTCACCAAAGATATCAGGCCGTTCGCCGGCAATATTAGTCTGCATGGCCGAGTCTTGCAATTCCTGCCTAGCCTCTTCCTCCTCTAATTCGCGCTGTTCGTCGAGTTTTCGGGATAAGCCTTCAATGTTTGCTGCTGTAAGCTTCTCTTCAGCATCTGATTCATCTTCGTCGTCTGAAAACATCTTCTCTCGTGGGTGGTCCTCTTCTTCAGAGTCGAATACCGATCCTTCGTCGAATTTTCCATCTTCGGCGTCACTTCCATCGCTCACATCGTCCAATTCACCGAACTCATCTTGCATTAATTGATCGAGATCAGGAGCACTGCCGCTGCCCCAGCTTTCGTCATCGTCATCTTCCGATTCCGGTTCAGGCTCGACAGCCTTTTTTGCTGACTTTTTGCTCTTCTCAACCTTTGCAGAAGTTTTCTTGGGCGCTGCCGATTTCTGTTCTTTGCTAGATTTACCATTGGCGACGGCACCATTAGCTTTCGCCTTGACTGCTTTTGTCTTGATCTTCTTGGTTTCGGGCTCAGGCTCAGGTTCGGATTCTGCGACTGCCTTTCTTCTTTTTTTCCCGCCTTCTGCTTTCTCAGCTTCAGCAGCCTTTCGTTTCTTGATGAGATTTATGGTGGCCTGATCCAATGGAGCAGGAGGCCCCTGTTTTTTCATTCGACGACCGACACCCATTTTGTAGTCTGTAAAATTCGAGCAAACAAGAAAAACTGATCGTGATAAAAATTCATGGAGCAAATCTCACCGCGCCGACGATAAGAGGCTAAACATTTTTTTTTTCGGTATCGAAGCGGTGTGGCTCGGCAGAATCGGCCCCACTGTTTGTGGGCGGTGGAACTGGCCAGAGCTCCTTCTCTCATGACGCTTGATACACCCGACCAGACTGTTTACTTTCATTTGTTCTCAGTAATACAGATTACAGTTGGGGAAGACACATACTCAAAATGACCGAAGCATCATTCACCAGAAGCTTTTTACAGTCGGTAGACACAAAGCCCATCAGGCTGCCGTACGACTATGTTGCCGACCCGGTGACGACACGGCTGCCCGTGCCAGTACGTATCTGTCTTGACTGCATTGTGTCTCGGTCCCTCATTTGATATTTTGGCTCGATAAGATATATTCTGCAAGTTGAGGGCATAATGCTGACATCTGACCTTCGATAGTATACACTCCCCCGCCTACAAGCCCCGCACCCTCCAATGGCAAAGAAGATCAAAACCTCAGCTGCGCCGGGCTCCGCGAAATCAGTCACCATTCAATTGAAATCTGCAAGAAATCCCGTTCTCGACATATCGCTGGACAATGTCCCCCTCACGACGACAAGCATTCACGACTTGCGCGAAGCAGTGCGCCAACGGACCGTTGCGGCTGACGGGACGCAGCCGCCAGCAGCGGATAAGATCAAGATATTATATAAGAAGAAACCTGTCGGCGGGAGCTCAGAACGGACCCTAGCCGAGATTCTAGGCGATTCAGAACCCGAAGTCCTCGGCGGAGGTAAAACAGTCGAGTTCGGTATCATGATCATGGGAGGCGCATCGGTCAAACCAGAAGTCACAGAGTCGCCTACGGGTGCGGGAGCCAAGGTGACTGAAACGGAGCCGTATCCCTCGAAACCAGCGGAGGGCGCCAGTGGATTTGAGGTTCTGCAAACCGAGGAGTTTTGGAAAGATTTGGAAGGGTTCTTGGAATTACGAACAAAGGATACGGTGGAATCTCTGAGATTAGCGGGTATTTTCAAGAGGGCATGGCAGGCTGATGCTGCCCAGTCTAAGTCGTAATACAAATTGGCTATCAAAATCGAATTGATACCACTTGTACATTCATGGTTCCTTTCTTTGGACGAATGTAGGATGTCTTCGTAGAAAGTACATAGATATAGATCTGGCCAATCGGGGAAGTGAACGAAGCGGGGCGATCTGTATCAGATCCTACGTAATTGGCTGCCCGGCTGGAGCCTGCGGAATCCAGATGTGGCGGCCTTCACTTTCAACTTCATTTTCTCTTTTTGCAACCACAGTCTGGTATTGAGATCGATCAAGTCATACCATCATGGAGAGMCCTACCACTCCGCCAGCCCCGGCGGTGCAACAAGGCCAGCTTCCGCGTGGCCCTATCACGCCAGAACAACAGCGCCGAATAGTATGATCTACAACCTTTTGCATTTCATTTCAGGTCTAATTTGAGCAGGAAATCAACCGAATGAAAGCCAAAGCCATACGTGAGCAACGCGAAGCCGAATCTGCTGCAGCAGCAGGCCAGTCAACGAACGCTTCCAAAGTATCCGGCGTAAAGCGATCCTTCAACACGATGACATCAACCCAGGGACCTTCCACACTTCGCGATGCAGCCAACAACCGACCTCTCGAAAGCATCAAACCCGCGCGGGCATTCTCCAAATATGTCGAATACGAGTTTAGTAAGATGACCGATACAAAGGGTGGTTTCCTGACGCAGGAGGATGATCCACATAACAAAGTACTGCACGTAAGTGATGGCAAGGAGCAGAAGCCGGCGAATATGACGCAGAAGGAATGGGAGCGGAAACTGCTCTTGGACGATTTGAGGAGGAACAAGGCTGGTCCTTTCGAGCCAGGGTTGAGTGTGCTTGATGAACAGGCTAGTCAACGGGCGTGCAGAGAGTGTGGTAGCCTAGAGATTGATTGGAAGTGGGAGGAGGCGTTCAAGTGTTGCGTGTGCAACACTTGCAAAGACAAATTTCCAGAAAAGTATAGCATGTTGACAAAGACTGAAGCAAGGGAGGATTACCTTTTGACGGATCGTGAGTTCTATCCAGACCATGCAAACTTCTTACATAAATCTAACTTCTCAACAGCGGAACTTAAAGACGAGGAGCTTCTCCCGCATCTCAAAAAGCCCAACCCTCACAAATCCACCTGGAACGACATGATGCTCTACCTACGCTTCCAAGTCGAGGAGTACGCATTCTCACCTAAAAAATGGGGCTCACCGGAGGCTCTCGACGCAGAGTTTGAGAGACGCGAAGCAGAAAAGAAACGCAGGAGAGAAGTCAAATTCAAGCAAAAGCTGACTGACTTGAAAAAGCGAACTCGAGTCGAGGCTTATCGCCGTAATCGGCAGGGACCTGCTGGTGGTAATTTTGGTGATGACCTCGGTGGGAAGAAGAAGCATGTGCATGAATGGGGTCGACAGGTAGAAAATCCGGAGACGGGGATGACTGTGAAGACTTGCTTTGAATGTGGTATGGAGGTTGAGGAATTAGAGCTGTAACGAACGGCGGGAGGATACAGTACGGATTGGCGTTTGGTTTTGTGTTAGATACCCTATTGTTTGCAAAGTACTAGACGTTTGATTGAAATATCATTCATGGAAAATATTCTTGGTGTTATGCATACAATTATTTTTAATTCCAGGTTCGTATCTATGGGTGGTTACTTCCCACGTCATGGGATTGGGAAGTGTTTCCATATCGAACCTGTTTAAACAATTATGATTGGGAACTCCCTCCGTCATTGAACCTACCAGGGCCCAGATACCACGTATAGATATGAACCTCCCATTGTTCGTTATAGCAGTTGTGATGAGCTCACCTTAAGCAACCTGATTAAAATCCCCCGAGTATCCTTTGCGTAGCTTCTTGTACCTCCCGAACGATAGATCCTGCATCCTTAACTTCGCGAACCAATCCGACAGACGCCCCAGCGTAAGTGGCCAGTCTTCCCTCCGGTCCCCAGCCGCTGTCTCCGGCTTTCAGAGCCTCGTCATGAAGTTTCTTAAGATCCTCAAATGATGCACCTGCCAGCTGCTCTACATGAGACTTGTTAATGATCGTCCGTGGCATATATTCCTCCGGCCAGCCAAAGGTGCCTCGAAGGTGGTTATAAAGTAAGGTTCGCGTGGTGTTCACAGCTCCATCGTCAGCTCGCACAACTTCGTTTTGGTAACCACGACTAATGCGTGTCTCACTGGCAGCAAGGAACCGAGTCCCCATGACAATACCAGAAGCACCCAGACACAAAGCAGCAGCCGCGCCTCTTCCATCAGCAATTCCTCCCGCAGCAAATAGAGGAATCTGGCTCCCTTCAGCCATATCAGCCACTTCCGGTAACAGGGAGATAAGGCCTAGACCATCTTTCGCACGACCGTGACCGCCAGACTCCGAACCTTGAACCACGATTATATCCGGTAGCTGGGAGCTACGCAGAAGCTTTTTTGCCTCGGCCAATGTTCCTATCTGGATCCATATTTGTGTTTGAGGAGAGGCTGTGCGGATTTTAAGTGACCACTTATCCAGGTCCATTTGGCCGTGTCTCGGCGCATAAAGCCATGCAGCGCAAGGTTTGATTTCCTTGACAGCATCAGCGGCAATTTCGACATCGTCACTCCATAGCTGAAAGCCCACGCCAATGGGTAGAACCGAGTCAACAGAAGACAATATACTGGAGAACGACTCTGATCCGCGAATTATTGACGACGCTTCTCGTAAATCTGCCATAGAGTCTTCAGTTTTAGCACCTGGTCCGATGAATCCCAAGCCGCCGGCGCCGGAGACGGCCACAGCCAACGCTGGCCCTGACATTACACGCATTGGAGCGCTGACTATAAAAGGCTGCGAAACCCATGGATATCGCGACGTCAAAGTCTTTGCCATTGTGAGGAGCCTGGACATTTTGGTATGTTGATTTGATTGCGTCAATACGATTTTGGAGATGTTGAGCAACGCCTATATGTATCCCTTCATGTTACCGTTGTAGCCGATGATCCCGCACGAACCGACACTACATTACCGTATTCCATGAGCGCCTCAATTTGCCGGTTTGAGACTGGGAATCACATGAAGAAGACGATCGTTTTTTATTTTTATTTTTATTTTTTTCACGTAATCAAGTGAAGCTCGTTATACGTAAAAAGTTGAGGATGGTTTGAACGACAAGCTGTCTGGTATATGCTCCGAGACATCCTTGCCAGAAGTTCTTTGGTGCTATTTATATTAGAAAGAATAGGGATAAAAAAGAGTGATGGTATTTAATACAATATTCTTAACATCTATTTTCTTGTTGATTAGTAAAGTGTTTGATTTAAGTTGATACTCGAGCATTCTTCTCAATAATTTTGTGTAATTTAGACTCTGAATATCCATAGGCGCCAAATTGGGCTTAGAAGAGTGTTGTTATTGAGCGAGCGCGTTATGTAGCCTCATGTTTTGTTTTCTTCCTCATGCTTAATATTCTCGTACACAGAGACCAATCCATTCAGTGTTGCTTGCAGGCTTAGACACACATCTAGAATTCTAGATAGTAGCTCTGAGACAGTGAGACTATGGCTAGCCATAGTGGGTATATCAATTCCACTACTACTACTACTACTACTACTACTACTACTACTACTACTACTACTACTACTACTACTACTACTATAGTCAGGACAGCTCTCATCCAAACCAAGGGGTTTGCCTTATTTGACTCAAGTATTCACTTCACCGTCTTCATCAGCCTTGGAACTTGGCAATTGCGAAAACAAAAACAAAACAAAAAAGAAAACATTATTCCAACTCAACCAGTCTTCTCAGACCTTCAGCAGCGATTCCTCCCAGTCCTAAAACCGTTCCACAATTCATGATCTCCAAGACACTAACCTCTGCGCCAAAGCTCTGTTTCCACCACCTTCGCAACTCAATCGCCAGCAAGGAATCCAATCCTACTTGCACGAGACTAAGAGTTGTGTCAATGTCATCATCGCGTCCCGTGGTAAAGCTCAAAATCTTTTTGCCTATTTCCTGTGCCAAGTACTCCACGCTATCCTGTTCTCCTAGGAAATCAGGCTCATTTACCGCTCGACCCATGAATCTTTGGAACACGCTTCTATCGGGCTCATTCAAGAGTGTTGACGATGAATGGTTATTCATGGCGTTGTGATACGCACCCATTCGGCGGTCGCGTCGCCATATCGTGCGATTAGATGGATCACCAAGGCTTACTTCAGATCGGAGACCCATGACTATATGGCTGTGGTTGACCCAAGACTCTTGTTCGGCGTCTGTTGTAACTCCAATGTTCGACGCCACGATTGCCAATTGTAAGAATTCGAGTAGTACACGCTCATTTAAGAACCAATGTCCCCGAGACTTCAACTTCCTACGGGCATCGCTGTTCTCAGCCACAAAACCAACACCTTCAATGGGGCAAATGTTTATGACCGAGGCTGGAAGTCCTAAGCTGTGCCGATATTGGCAGAATGACTCCATAAATGTGTTCGCCGCGTTATAATTACCTTGACCAGGTTGACCGAGCACAGTACTAAGAGAGCTGGCCATAACGAAAAAGTCCAATGAGGTACCGAATTGCCCGTGTAGATTCCAGGTTCCCTCAACTTTCGGCATAGTGACGGTTTTAAGCTGCATCAGCAACCCTGTTTTCTCATGCAAGTTGCATGTTGCGCTGAGGCGCTTACGAATCTGTAAGTTGCACTAGCTTGGACTTTTGGACACAGACAAGGATCACCGCTCACCTACAGTACCAGGAAATAAAACTAGACAACAGAACCTCAAAGAATCCCTAATTTATTAAGATCTACATGCGACGCGATATGTACGAGTTTCTGTCAGCAGAATGATTGTGGTGTGGGAGTTTCGGATACGGGGGGTGCCAACACATATTCCTTTCCACTGTACTAACCATCTTACTTAGGTTTAAACACCAGGACTACTGCTGGCGATAACAAGTTATACCTTGTCTATTTCAATAACCCTCGTAAATAGCAAGCATGTCGCCAATAGGAAGGTGGGGAATAGAGTGGGCTCTTTTTTTCTTTGTTCTAATGCGGCTGTTTGCGTTTCTTATTCAATCTGAAAGCGAGTAAACTTCTATTTCCACCATCTTTCATCTAGTACCTAGGTAGACCACCAAGGGAAAAAAAAACACATCCTGGCTGCCGCAATGGACACACAGAAAATCATACTCGTCACCGGCGCCAACCGAGGCTTGGGTTACTGCATCGTCAGTGTCGCCGCCGCCCGACATCCCTCTGCACACTTTATCCTCGCCTGCCGCAGTGTTGAGGCGGGCAACAAGGCTGTTGATGAGCTCAAGAAGAGTGGCATCACAGCATCATTGGAGGTGTTGAAGCTCGACGTCACCAAAGATGATGAGATAGTTGCAGCGGTCGATGCAGTGACCGCAAAGCACGGTCGATTGGACGGTTAGTACTTTATCAGTGAGCTTTATACATTTAAATTAACTGTCTTTACCCAATAGTGCTAGTCAATAACGCCGGCATCTCCCGTTTTTCCCAAGACAGTTCGCTGCCTGCACTCCGTGCTGCCTACACAGATATGCTTAGTGTCAATGTCTCGTCAGTGGCCTGTGTAAGCGCCGGCTTTCGACCTCTGCTCGCCCAGTCCACCCAGCCAAAGGTGATTAACATTACGTCTGGTCTAGGCAGCATTACCAACTGCCTAACAAAGAAGATGCATAGGTTGCCGCCGTATGGCACGTCCAAGGTGGCTGTCAACGGGCTGACAGCACACCTCCAGACAGTCGAGAATGACCGTGTGACTGATGTTGGTATATTCGGGGACGGCGGTCCTAAGGTGAATTACTATTCAGCCGCACCTGGCTTCCTTAAAACAGCCTTTACACGGTTCAATGAGCGGGGAAAGGACCCATATGCAGGTGCCGAAGTGATCGTCCAGCTTATCCAAGGCGGTCCCGGAGAGTATCCAGGTGGCACTCAGTGGGAATTCGAGCAGGGAAAGATGCAACGGGTTCCGTGGTGAACAGCCAGTGCACCAATAATTTGTGATTGCTGTTGCCGCGATCGTGTTTATCGGGCATATGCAAGCTATTCTGTCAACAAGGAGAGGAGGCCGGGGGTGATAGCTGATAGCTGAATGCTTTCGCTCAGTCTTGCATGATTGGATTGCATGTTGCATCAAACAATGCATACCCTGTTTAGGAAATAATATGCCCTTCCAAGATGTCCGTATATCCATGAATGTTAGAAGTCCGGATAAGCGCAGATAGACCTATAAGTGTAAAATTCCCCTGGAGTGCATAGCAGTATGTACTATACCCCCTAGTCCGACGACCTAGCGTAATTAATATTTCCCTTGCATTATCAAACTTAGTGGCAAAGAATGAGTCTCCATTCAAACCATGTTGCATAAAAATACGGCCTTAGGATGGACAACGTTTTTTACGCTAATAATTAGGGCTGGTAATTTTACAGGTAAAGATCCTGCATGTATGGTGTCAGATGCCTTGCGTATTGTAAGCTTTTGTAACACAAATTTGCTAATAGAATTGTATTTGTACAAGTGATTGATTGTTTGTCCAACTTCTTCTGTTGCTAACATTCGAATCGGGCTTTCCAGTTGCGTTCAATCGTCACCGGGTTGACGAAACCGTGATCCGACGCTCTCATAACCCAGCAAAATGTCTACAACCCTTGCGGCATCAACACGACGAAAGCTCGTTCAGGGACAAAGCAGCATCCAAGCCCTGATTCATCAACTCAATGAAGAGGGTTTTTGGAGCCGTATTCAAGTAGATGCGGCCAATCGGCTGACCGCTATCTTCTTTGCCCATCAGAACTCAGTGACATAACTGCTGCAGAATCCGGATATCCTGATACTGGATTGCATCTATAAAACGAACAAGTATGGGCTCTCACTTCTTGATATGATCGGAGTGAATTGTTGCCAACGATCCTCTCTGTATTGCGTTTGCGTTTCTCCACAGTGAAGTAGAAGAACAATATACATGGGCACTGATTCAGCTCAAATCGCTCTACCGGAGAGCACTCCAATCCATCATCCTGACCGATCACTGCGTGGCAGCAATGAACACTGTTAAAAAATCTTTCTCAATGTCGAGAAGTTTGCTTTGTCTCTGGCATGCCAATCAAGCGGTGGTACACCACTGCCAGCCATCCTTTGGAGTAAAAAGAGGACAAGCAATCCATGCAGAGGAAAATTTGTGGAAAGAGTTCTACGCGCGCACGTGATTCCCGTAATCCCGAGCAAGAACCTGTAGAGAGAGATTATGAAGCATTAGAGGATGAGATGCAAGCATATAACAGTGACTACTTATTCAAGCATGGTCATTTACGTATGGGGGATGCGGACCGATATGATAAATATAGTATGCGCAGCTGTCGACATAGATCCTAACTATCCAATCCACTGAATGGTTCTTCATATACGAGGCAGTAAAGAAATTGTGAAGCCAATATTGGTGCAAGATTTCGATGTTTTCACATGCTTCGTCAGACTAGCACCCCGGGTATCCAAACTTGTAGTGTATTGGCCTTTGAAACAAGCGGATGACTCATTTGTGTGTTCAAATTTTGACGCTTGATTGCAACCGGGCTATAAAAAGGTTTCTATGAATGAGGATTTCTTCGAAGGTAATTTAAGATTGCGGTGACCATATGGCCGGGCTGGCCGTACGTCGTAGTGGGACAGTGATCGAGAACAGCTGTAAAGACAAGTCTAGGTGTCTGAGTGCGCCGAGGGGATGTAGACGTAAGGCCATGGCCATGGACATATGGGCACATGGATCCGTCCTGATAACCCCCGTGGCTCTATGGCCCCGGCAATAGAGCGCGAAAACCTCACTTTTAGTAATATATAGGGAGATGGTGAGAGCGAGGTATCCATGGATGTATGTCATGAAGCGGCAGAATGGGATTGGCGGTGAGCCGGATGAACCTCCTCGGCGACAACATGAATGATTTCAACCATTCCATGAAGTGTGGCCGTCATATCTAACCATGCTAGGCCTACGTCTACCGCACAGAGATGTCCCATATGAATGACGAATTGTCGCCCTTATCATCCGGAATTGACAGCATCACCCCTTTCCCTCAATTGGAAGACGACGTCGGTCAAACACCGGCAACCCACGACGACGATGAAGCACTACACATGAAGGCTACGTCTCGTCGTAATCGTGCTGGCACATCTCATTCTGTGATACGCGCTAGCCCATCCCCTGAATCGAAAAGCGAATCGCAATCGTCCACAGAATTGTCGGAAGATGGGAGAAACCCCAATGCTGATCAGATTCCATCGCCTAGCATAGAGATTCAAGAAGATTCGGAAGATGCCGAGTTCCAATCGCAGTACTACGTGGAAAATGAATCTTTGGAAGGCACAGAAGATATTTCGCTTGACTCTACCGGCGAGGAGTTCAATGACGACGACGATGACCTACAAGAGCTAAGCAGCGATGAGGACGAGGACGGTGAGGAGTCTCACGAGGGGGGTAGAAATAGCGTGAACATGCATCGACCATTTATGCAGTCCACGTCTTCCCTCACAGGCCCCAATGCGTTCGCGCCGCCATTCTATAATCGACCACCAACACCTCTACCACCTTCGCCGTCATTGACTTCATTGTTGCGACCCCCGTTTTCGACGACGACGTCGAGACCAACCACACCTGATACCTCTGACGCCGAGACGCCGAATGATACGGAAGCTGCAGTCGCGAAGTCCGCGCGAATCGCGACAACTGTTCCGAGAGCCAGTCCGAAAGTGCCGACGTATGAATATTACGGCTTCGTGCTCTACCTTACGTCTTCATTTGCATTCTGTATGTGGAACGGTGGAACACACAGTGGCAATTCTATGATCCACGGCTAACAGAGTCTAGTGATGTACCTCCTATGGTCGTATCTTCCATCTCCGTTCCTCCACCAACTCGGCATCTACTACTACCCTAATCGATGGTGGTCCCTTGCCATTCCGGCATGGCTCGTCATGTTCCTCGTTTACGTCTACGTTGCTCTAGCATGTTACAACACCGGCTATCTGACACTCCCGATGACATCCATTGAGAACATAGTCGACGACGCAGCCAATATCGCGGTAATTGACGGCAAAGGGCGGCGACGGCTTGGTGGTAGCGAGAAAATGAAGCCTGGTTCAGCGACGAGTCAACCCATGTCCACCGCACAGAACCGACGGGTACCTGGTCATGCCTCAACCAATAGTGCTAGCGGTAGCGGATACCTACTGTGGAAAGATGTCTGGGCCGAGAGCACCGATGCCGTCATGGATATACCAGTCGGAGGCGTATGCGAGATACTATATGGTCGAGATAGGGAAGAAGACCCTAGTGTTAGTGTCGATTCAGAAGGCTATGAATCGACGCATGATCCTCGGCGCAGGCGTCTCCGTGAGGATATACCATCCTTTAACAATTCGAGATATCGCCCCACCGAATACTCATCGCTTACCGATACTAGGCGTTCCTGGTAGAATATTTGTACTTATATAAATAATGAATGATACCCTCAACAAGATAAGTGATGTTATCAGTCAAATTAGTAAGACAATAAGTTAGTTATCATAAAATGCTAAGAAGGTCAAAGGGGCTAGAGCGGCAGCTGGACGATTTATTTGGCAGGCGGAGATCCGGCCAATAGCAGCAGCGAGCTAACTCCAGCTAAACACGCGCAACTGCCATAACGGACAGCTTCCCCATCTAAACTGAACTGTCGGAAAAGTCAACCACCTCACTTCGTCTCAACCACAGCCACCGAATTATCGTTGTACCGCTGTCTATCTACCTATAATTGCACACGACAACTCGCTGATGCAGATTACGTGTCGTTGCGCCGCCATACGGTACTCGGAAGCGTCCATACGGAGCTGATTATTACAATCCCGGACACACCTCCGCGCGCCGGACAGTCTGTGCTTTCAGCCTTCGACTTCGACATTCTTCATCTTGAGCTAATCTCCGGCGGAACAACTCGCAGAATTTTGCCTTCATGGCCTGGCAGTCTCCTTCTGCCATGGCTGGCAATGGAGGAGGACTCGGGGGTGCGCCAGGTGAGGGGATGCCAAATCATCCTCACCCACAAGGGACGGAGTACACATTACAAGGTAGGGCTCGGTCGAGGAGAGATATCTCTGCTTAATTTGTGTTGTTTGATTTTTTAATTCTGACGATCGCAGGGGTTATGCGCTTTCTTCAGACCGAATGGCATCGTCATGAGCGAGATCGCAACGCCTGGGAAATTGAACGTGCGGAGATGAAGTCTCGCATTGGGCGACTGGAGGGCGATCTACGAACGAGCAAACGATTACACGAATCGCTAGGCAAACATGTCAAAATGCTGGAAATTGCCTTGAAAAAGGAACGGGAAACGGTCCGCAGTCTACGCAACGGAGAGAAAGTCGAGGAGATTCGCGACCCCAAGGAAGTCGCTAGAGAAAACTTGAAACATCTTTCACAGAGTGCGTTACCTTTTTTTTTTTGCTATGGGTGGCTACTTACTAACTATAACAGCCAATAAAACACAGACTGCTTTCCTAGTCCCTGAAATCGACAACGACTCTGCTCATGCCGACTTTCGACAGGACGCAGAACGCGAGAAATCTCGTGTATATCTAAGTAAATGTGCACAAGAAGTCTCGTACCATGTTATACCTGCCTCGCATCCGCCCCCAGAATTCACCGGACAGGATTTGCAGAGCAATCTATACGGAGAACAACAGCTACCTCAGCAAAGTCTCGAGGAGGCTTATCACCAACAACGACAGAAACAACAGCAGCAGCAACAGAATAATATTATGGTTCGAGAATCTGCCATACAGAACCACCAGTCAATTCCCGCGAATTATGCAGAAAACCCTCGCTCAGCCATTTCGGCAGCTCATGCCGAGCGTCGACACCTTGCTTCCCAGATCCCAACAAACACCGGTGAAAATTTTGCGTCCGACATTTTGACGAATAATCAAAGCCACGGAGATGACTCCAGCATAATCCGTTCCTCCCAAGCTCCCCAGCAGCAAAAGCCCCAGGAGACGGATTCAGAGACCGGTGGCTGGAATTTTGAAGAGGCCGCTCCGATACCTGACGTGCAGGTCGAGTCGACACCGCATCATCGACCTGATACAGATGCGTTTCCAAAGGCCAATTTCGTGCCAGCTAAATCACCACCACGCGGATCTCATCGGCGCAAGAGCTCAGGCGCGACAAGGCGGAAAAGTGAAGGCGCTTTAGACAGAGAGTCTAGTGCATTGCAACAGAACATTGACACAACGTTCAAAGTTCGATTTGCTCTTCGTGGTCATCTCGACGTTGTGCGATCTGTTATCTTTACTGGTGGCGGCAGTCCATCTGAACCTGAAATATGCACGGGTAGTGACGATGGAACGATCAAACGTTGGATACTGCCTGCTTCCTACGGTAGTTTCGGGCCTGGTGCCGGAAACGATCTGGATATCACTAGCTACTTCACACATCGCGGTCACGTTGGTGCTGTCACTTCGCTTGCGGCTTGTCCTGCCTCGCCCAATTTCTCGAATGGTGGCCGGGCAGTAGGTGACGGCTGGGTTTTCTCTGGTGGACAGGATGCCAGCATTCGAGTCTGGGAACGTGGCCGAGTTGATCCCAAAGCCACTTTGGATGGCCATACAGATACCGTCTGGGGATTGTGCATTCTACCTGGTACAGCTGGGTCGGTCTTCGGTGATGTTTGCAGCAACTACGGTGGCCCTGATCGCATTCTGCTGGCTTCCGGTGGCGCTGATGGCCGTATTATCATCTGGGCAGTCAGTGCACCGCCTCAAGTCACCTCTCCTCAACCTGGCGCTCGGCGAGGCGCTGGCGGCCGTCGAKCCAATTCCATTTCTTCTGGGTCCAATTTCCCGTCTTCTCCACAGCCTCATACAACCACCAGCACAGTCTTTCACTACGCCATTGTCCACAATATCGTCCGAACCGAGTCACCGTCGCCGACCTGTATCAGTCCGTTGTCTCTTGCGGGAGTCAACTTTGTCGTCTCTTATACGGACGCGTCGATCCTCGTATATGATACTAGAACGGGTGAAGAGGTTGTGGGAATGGCCAGCCTGGAAACATATGATGGAACACCATCAACAGGTGTTAACTCTGTAGTGACTTCTACTATTGGCTTTGACGGAACGGCCAGTCTTGATCCGAATCGAGCATTGACAGAAGAAGAGGCAGTTGTCCATGGAGCAACAGGAACGAGTGGTGGCGTGGAGGGTGTTATTATTAGTGGCTATGAGGATAGATATATTCGATTCTTCGATGCAAACAGCGGTAAGTCAAACACATTTTCAGACTCAAAGTTAGCCCATCGTCTAACGGAATTGACAGGACAATGCACGTATACCATGCTGGCTCATCCCTCTGCCATTTCATCTCTGTCCTTGTCGCCCGATGGCCGCGAACTCGTCTCCGCTGGACATGATGCAAGTCTACGGTTCTGGTCGCTGGAAAAACGCAGTTGCACCCAAGAAATCACCAGTCACCGACTGATGCGTGGAGAAGGCGTATGCTCCGTTGTGTGGAGCCGCGATGGCCGCTGGGTAGTCAGTGGCGGAGGCGATGGTGTTGTCAAAGTATTCTCTCGATGACTGATGATGTAATATCTTGCTACTTTTTCCCCTTTCTGGTATCTGTATTTTCATTTCCCATGATAATTTTCTTCATCGCTTGCATTCTTTTTTCAACCGACTTTGATCTCTGGATCTACTATGAGCGAGCATTTGCAATTGGGAGTCGTTCAATAATCATCTCTTTTTGAAAGACGAGACGTGCATCTCTATTTGTTCTGACTCTTTCTGTCGCTGTTTTATTACAATACCAAAAACTTGAACCTTTCTTGTGGATACATGTATAATTTTCTTTTTTGTCTAAGAACTTTCCTATTCATCGAATTATGAGCTTGGATTTTTGGTGCTTGCCGCTGGACTGAGTTGTCTTGATACGTCTGCTCCATGTCTGAGATGGGATTGTATTTCGAGGCGTTGGATGTCTGCAATGATGAATGTCTATCCTCGAATATTGAATCACTCTTTTAGCAAGCCTGGTCAAGGAGAATACAGTTCCACCTTCATATGCTCATTCGTAAATCAGGTTTCCTCCCAAGTGTAATGAAAATATCATACAACCATGCGGTACTGCTTTCCATGATGAGAATGCATATATCATGTGCCCTCCAGACCTGCAAACGTGATACAGGCAGGCTCTGCCTGTTTTCAATGTTTTGCACCCCAGCCTCAATCAGGTAGACGATGCTGTCTGCCTAGCCAGGCAACTGATAGGGCAAACGCTCCACATATGAACAATCTCTAGCTTTGATTGCAGGAGTCAGGATTTTGACCAAATATTGCAAGCAGAACTTGTTCTTTTCCCCCCCTCGTGAGTGCAAGGCTATTTATTTAGTTCTGTAGGTGCTGTTTTGCTTGATCTTTTGATTATCGTTCTTATTTGTCCTGTATATTTCCCTTTTCAAGGAGATATTGTTTTTTAATTGTGTATGACTTTTTTCTTCCGTTCAAAAGCTTCACTACCCCGTTCAGGTTACAAGGCCAGATACCATTGCTCCTCAGATACCTGTCTCGACGTAGAAATTTGGTAGGGAACGATTTCTTCGTTGTCACAAAACACAAGTATATGTGTCACTTTTTTATCTACTTCTTGAAAATTATAAGCTTCTTATTGATGCTTGCCGCTGGATTGACTTGTCCAAATACGTGTTTTACATACGCTCAGCTGTATTTTGAGATGTTGAATATCTACAGTGACAGTTGTATATACTCATTCTTGGATAATAAAGCAATCCTTTATCAATGGCATTGGCAGACTGGTAGACAAGAGAATAAGTCCGTGATTACGAATTTAATTGCTCCAATTAAAGATATTCATACGCAAGTAACAAAGTATTAGCAGAGCGATGGCAAACGCGCAGTGTTCGTGAACTTTCACGGGCAATGCCTTCCTTTGATGAGCTACCGGGCGTAAATGCCTCTGGGGTGGCCTCCTCTATCTCATCCTCCTTCTCATCCTCCTTCTCATTCTTCTCTTGCCCTAAACCTCATCTTCATCCTCACCTATCATTTGTTCCAGGTCTTTCAACTTGATGCTTTCATCTCCAGCCATAATGGGTGTTCAGGGGCAACAGAAATCGGAAACGGAGGGGCAACAGGAAGACCAATATGGGAATTGCTACTAAAATTGCATATTTCACGACCGCTCCAAGCACAAAGACGAAATGGCTTCTATATGCTTCAATCAATGTTGAGGAATCCAAAAATCTAGGTCATTACAGACTTCTCATCCTTTAGGAAATATCTCAAAAGCATTTTCTTCTTTTGCGAACTCTCATCAAGAAAAAAGAACCAGGTTCATTCAGGTCAGAGGACTACAATTTAGAGGAGAAGATGAAAGAAGCACAAAATCTACTAGAAAGAACCAGAATTTCCAATCCCACCTCGACGCAATCAAAGACAAAATAGAGAGTGGCGCCGGCCACTTCTCTGAGGTGCGCAAACACCAGATCGAAATTCTACAAGGCACGAACGATGGCAATCCCCTGACAAAAACTGATGAGACCCCTATAAATTCGTACTTTATCATCCTTTTTTAGGACACTCGAATCTGTGGTACCCGATTTCAAATACTCGTGGAAATGGTCAAAACATCGCTTCGCCTTGAAATTCAGTAACAGAAAAACCAGGAAAGGCCAGAAATGCGGCTACACTGCTATCACAGATGGCCAATTACAAGATCGAAGATCTCACAACGTCCAGGCATTGATTTAAGGCAAAATGGAGAAACGGGATCCGACTAAACCAGCTGTTGATATGCAAGAGGCAGCACAAGTCGTGCCATGGATAAAAGGTTACCCATCTAAAGGAAGATTGTAAGTTTCTCCTAAAATTCTAGCATTACATAGCTAACAAAGATAGGCGTATGACACTTGCGCAGGCCGGCCAGGAAATGTACATCATCATATCCAAGTACAGCGACAATTATCTGGAATATATCAATGATAACCAGCCGACTGCGGATTTCATGACCATGACACAATATGGGTCATATAGCATCGATAGTGCGTAGTATGTGGCTGAATTTGCAAAAGTTGTCTTGTAATTCCTGATCTAGAAAACTGGGTACATCAGCTTCTACTTGTGTCTCTTCTTTCGATTCACTACCTTGCGCAGTTTTGTCTAGATTTCCTGTGGGTTGGCATGTCGCCCAGATATCATGTATAACCCGAGAGATGTATGCAGGGTATTTCGAAACGGTTTCCCCTGCAAAGCTTTATGCATATGTGTCAATAGAACTCAGGAGATTTGAACTAGGGGCGCAAATCCGCGCGCGCGCTCACGTACGAATCTAAGCTTACAATCTCACCAACGAGGCCTCATCTTAGTGTCGAATTCACAGTGCGAATCTCCCCCAAACCCCGATCTAGTTGACATGTGCGCTCACGTACAAATCTAGAGCACAAATTTACATTGAGCCTACAGCATTGAAACGAGCCTACGTACGTACGAGTTTGGTATTGGACGTGGTGTTAGGCGTGACCTTGGGTATTGTGTATATTCAAGAGCATTAACCTGTCTTATAAGTTAATCAATATTTATAATTACACGTAAAATATAATCTATGATTGTAAATATATAGATAATTATAGTAATATTACTATTATATTTTAAAAGTGCTATTATATTTTTACTTATAGCCTTACCGTCATGTATAGAGATCTCACCATCATATTGAAAAGATCCGTCATATATCAAATCTCGCAATAATCACACATTTATTAACTTTTTCGCCAGATGAAAATGCGCTGTAATATGATAGAGCTATGACCAGGCCTTACTAGGCTCTTACAAATATCCATATATTTCCGCTATTTTAGGGCTTTTAATCCCAATGTATTCCAATGAAGGATTTTGCATACGGTTGTCCCTACTAATACATACTTGTTTTTTCGAAGTTGCATTCGCTAGACGTAGAAGTATAAAAGCATCACTCTCAACAAGGACAATGTTTACACTTGTCAGAAAGGTATGAAGAAGCCTCGAAGTCTAAGCTCATGCCAAATATCACGTACGATCTTCGTAGCTATTAAACTGCTCACCTTCCTGGATGGGAAAGTATGCCTAACTTGTATACCACATAATTTGGCTAGTTTGTAGTATTTGGTTAGTAATTAGTGAAAACTCTGACACACAAATAATGAGGAGATACGACCAAGTCAGTTGAGTTAGAGCTTTTTCAAGAATACTCGAAAAGTCCTACATCCACGTTGCTAGAACAAGGCATCGTAATTCTGGCAACTTGCCCATGCTCGTCTCTGGCAGAGGATCTTTGCTAGAAGAGTGAGCAGACACGTGGAATTACATCCACGAACACAAGCGGTGTGAACTATGTGGAACAACACATACATACCGTTGGCTGTGGCGATTGAGTATTAGCAAATGACACCTCCTTGCATCTGCGCAGCTGCATGGCATAAGCCTGACAGACACCAAAGTGACACTTTCCCAGGAAGATTTCTTCGGGTTTAGACATGGTTCATTAGTCCGATTCTCCAAAGTAAGATTCTCATTTATCGAAGGTCATCAGTTTATACGAGAGCCAAACTCGAGAAGTTCTGAAGGCAGGGAAGAGAGCCCCAGCAACTAATCGAAGTTACACAACGTTTGGGGCTTGCATCAATTATGAACCGTGCTTTCTAGAATTGTGTGAATTTGGTGGGTATTTAATGTTGCATTGACCGGTGATTTCCATCATAGGGATACTTCGTGAGAATTATCTGCGCTGTATCAAGTAGATAAGTAATTAGTGTATATCCTTAACATTCACTTTCAGGATTCGGTTTCGATCCGCAATATTACACAAAAACAGCATCAAGATCAAGTTTGTTGCTTGAGGTACGATACGACCAAGGAATACAATACCACTTATGTCATAGAAGCAAAAATGGTGCACGTAGTATGACCTGGATGGAATGTTCGCAAAGAAGTGTCTTGACATTATGACTTTACTGTTATGTTTGTGTGTTCTCCTCACGGAGCGTCGTCAGCTCAGGGCTTCAACCATGTAAGTAGCTACGGAGGAAGAGAACAATCGGCTGCTGAAGGGCTCACAGACATGGCTTGCCATCAGTCTCAGAGCAGTGCCACTATGATTCTCTTCCAATCTTTAAGCAGAATCCGCATTACCCTCGTTTGTAGAAGCCATTGACCCGGATGGTCTGCATACCCATATTTTTAGCCATCCCAGTACATCTGAAACGCCGCAATAGTAAGGCTGAGTCGATTAGCCTAGCTTCGAATGGACTCTTTGTTTCAAAGTCCCAATTTGTCGGCAATAATTCGGACATTCACTGAATGACAGTGAAGAAAAAGAAAAGTGAACATGTTTGCATGCTATGTAGTTAATGAAGCGACTGAATGGTCAAAGTGAGCATTGACCTCGCTGATCGATAGAAAAGTTACTAAGCACACTATTGGAGCGCTAGGTAGGCATCGTCGCACGCTTGTTGCTGTCTGTTGTGCGTAGCTTGACGCTACCAGGTAGATTTGACACGCTCATTCGCTCATACCGATTTGGTATCTGCCAGGTTCCACTGCGTCTCGAATTTGGCACTTTGGGTTCCGTGCGGTGGTGGGTCGAATTTTCGACGCTAAATGAAGATTCTCCCCTTTTCGAATTTGATGGTCAGCCATGCGGTTTTTTGAGATACTGGATGGATCCATTGTAGTCATTGTGATTGAGCTAAATGGGGGCGAATCGGTAGATATATCGGCTTKTCAAATGAGGAGTCACTCTTGTGCGGCACGTCCAATGCAAAATACCTTGACCCAGGCAGTTAAATGCATATTCTAGCCCGTAACAAAAACGCGCATCTCAATCGAGTTGCTGCTCTTTTGCAGAGATTGACACATCAGCCTAGCCCTTTCCTGGAATTCAACCGGCTCCGTGTAACATGGCAGTCGATTGTAGAGTCGTTAATTGTCAATCAGCTCGCCGAGAATGATGATGTACTGGGTCAATGCATGACTGGCATGCGCAGCACTGTAAATGTTGACGTGTAGAGAAAAATACAGCAAAAGGAAGTTGTTGACATCGCGATCGCGAGAAGGAAAGTACCCGGTGGTGTCCCGGGATCTAGTCGCGCTTTCCAACTTTGAAGGTTCCCTTGTGATCTTCGACTTCACCTTAGGGACCAGCCATCACCGTCACGGCGTCATCCTCCGCCTTGTACTACATACTACACGCCGCGATCTGTCGTTCTTGGGATTACCGATCCCGGAACGAGCCGCTGCTGTTGGCCATCCGCCATCTGATTGGTCTGATCCTGGGTTCGCGGAGTTGATAGATCCATTTCTGTGTATGCCAGGCGACCAGATTAGGCTATGAGAAACGAATATGCAATTCTGACATTCCTTGTGGCGCCCGTCGCGGGACGCGCTGATCCCTTTAGTCCTGGCACCTAGAAGAGATCTGAAGGACCTAGTACTGCGAAGCCCGGACTGGTGGACCGAGATCGAGATTGCAGACATGATGGCACAGAGCACAGACAGATGGGTCTTTATTAAATAGTCACTGCCCCTCTAGGTTATCCCTAGAAGCTGGGACCATGTGGTTGGAACAAGTACCTGCTAGTTCTCGTCGGATACAGAGACAGCCTCCTGCCCGCTACCCATCATGGCTGGCCTGATGCTTGAGTATATGGTCAGACGTGACAATATCGCAGTATGATTGATAATTCCGATATACTCTTCATCTTTACTGACAACCAACGAGTAGAACCCTAATAATGACCCCAATATCGGCTCTTCTCGTGGTAACGCAAGCTCAACGTCAGGGGACGTTGTCAAGGGCTTGACAGGCGGGGGTTCCACATCAGATTCTGCACTGGTGTCTACTCTGCTTCCTGCTTTGGTAATTGCTGGCTTCTGGTTTGGCTTGTTCCTCATCTGTCGCCGCAGTCAGCAACGTTGGTATTCGCCTCGGTCACATCTACCAAATCTTCACCACTAGTATGATTCCTCTATACATTAATATTGCATTTTCCAATCTAATCCTCAGATAGTGAACGGAGCCCGGAGCTGCCACGTGGGTTCATTAACTGGTTCGGTACTTTTTTCCAGATATCCGACTCTCACGTACTACACCATTCCTCCCTCGATGGCTATCTATTCTTGCGCTTCTTGAGAAACTTGTGCATCATATGTTTCGCAGGAATTGTGATTCTATGGCCTGTGCTGTTACCTGTCCATGCTACGGGCGGGGCCGGCAACTCTCAAATGGATCAATTCAGCTTTAGTAACGTCGCCAACCCAACCAAATACTATGCGCACGCCGTGATGGGAATGGTCTATTTCAGTAAGCAACTACCGGATCACTATTGACGTTATTTATGGAGTATGAAGCTCACTTTGAATATTATGTAGCATATGTGTTTTTCGTGATCACTCGCGAGAGCCTTTTCTACGCAAACCTGCGGCAAACATATCTCAATTCACCTGCTTATGTGAACCGTATTTCATCCCGAACGGTCCTGTTTATGTCCGTGCCCGAGTCTTACAAAAGCGAAAAGAAGCTGCGTCAAGTTTTTGGCGATAGCATTTGCCGTATCTGGATTACCTCAGATTGCAAGGAGCTCAATAAGAAGGTTGATCAACGAGACAAATTAGCTTATAGACTCGAGAGAGCGGAGATTAAACTCATACGTGGTGCCAATGCCTCTCGATTAAAAACAGAAGCCACGAGAAAAAAGAATGGCCTCGGAATCTGCGACGACTGCGAGTTGGCCGATCCGCTAACGGCCACAAAGATCAAACGTCCAATGCATCGTGCCAACTTTTTCGGAAAAAAAGTTGACAGTATCCAGTACTATCGCTCCCGCCTTGCCGTGGCGATCAAGGAAGTTGAAGAATTGCAGCAAAAACACCGAGATGGAGATGCAAAATACCTGACTGCGGTATTTGTGGAATTCAAGACCCAGTCAGATGCTCAAGTCGCATTACAAACTCTGTCTCATCATCAACCTATGCATATGACGCCTCGTTATACCGGGATAGCACCACGCGAGGTGATATGGTCTTCTCTCAACTTGAGCTGGTGGCAGAGAATCGTTCGCATGTTTATGGTGCAAGGTGGAATTGCTGCCTTGATCATATTTTGGTCCGTTCCTGCAGCCATTGTTGGAACAATCTCGAATGTCACATATCTTGCGCACTTGATTCCATTCCTGGGGTGGCTAGCCGATCTTCCTGGTTTTATTGAAGGTATTATAACAGGTTTACTGCCATCGGCTGCCTTAATCATGCTCATGTCGTTAGTACCTCCTCTATGTCGGCGTAAGTGATCACATTCTAAGTTCTTGATAATCGATCTGGGACTAACCATTTTACTATTTAAAGTCTTCGCAAGAAAAGCTGGCTTACCTTCTCTATCGCGAGTCGAGCTATTTACTCAATCCGCGCACTTCTGCTTTCAAGTTGTGCAAGTATTTCTGGTGACAACTATCACGTCTGCAGCTTCAGCAGCTGTGAGTCAGATTATCAAGAATCCACTGTCAGCAAAGGATTTGTTGGCGCAAAATCTGCCCAAGGCATCCAACTTTTACATTTCCTACTTTTTGCTGCAAGGATTGGCGATGAGCTCGGGTGCCGTCGTACAAATCATGAGTGCTTTAATATTTAAGATTCTATCTGTCTTTTTTGCTACGACTCCAAGACGTCTGTTCAACCGTTGGACACAATTGACGGGACTCAGCTGGGGCAGTATTCTTCCCGTATTCACCAACATGGGTGTCATTGCTTTGACATACTCTTGCATTGCGCCTCTCATTCTGGCATTTGCCTTCATTGGGCTTTTCCTCGTTTACCAAGCTTACCGCTACAATCTTTTGTTCGTATACAATCTCGATATCGATACCAAGGGGTTGATATATCCGCGCGCACTACAACATTTGCTTACTGGGGTATATTTGGCGGAAATATGCATGATCGGGCTTTTCTCGATCAAAGCGGCAATTGGTCCGTTGATTATCATGGCATTCTACACGATTCTCACGATCCTCGCCCATATCTCTCTTAATGACATGCTGAGACCACTTATGGATTTTCTCCCACGAAGTCTCGATACCGAAGAGGAAGAAATACAATTAAACCAAGAAGCGGCAGAAGCCTACAGACATGCAATGACTCGACACGGACGAATCTGGAAATGGTTCCATCCAAATCTGTACAGAGACTATGCGGATCTGCGGCGTAAAGTTCGAAGGGATCATATTCAAGTCGAATATTCGGAGAAGGAACTAGCGGATGCTTACTACGAGCCATGTATTACTGCCGAGACACCCCAGCTGTGGATACCCAGAGATCCTGGTGGACTCAGCCAGGAGGAGATTCGACACACGAGTGCTATCATTCCCATATCCGATCATGGTGCGCATCTCGATGCAAAGAACAAAATTCAGTGGAATAAACATGATGAAGATCTGCATATGTGGGAAAGGAGAGTGTTATACTAATCACCCGTTTGAAGATGACAAAGTTATTCGAGATAGGGTTCATGACTACTCATATCTATTATGAATGATACGAATAAGACTATGAAATGTTCCTTGAAAATAATCTCTCCGTAAATGATGGATTGGATCCATCATGTCATGTTATCGAATAGCTCGAACGTGATAGGAGCTCGCAGTTATGGCTGTAGTCTAAGAGTCGTTGTCTAGTATTTGGCTTTATTTAAGGTCATTTATTGATATTAAGTTATTGATAGCTTGTGTCTAACTACGTCTTTCCAAGTTGAGACCCGATAATCAATCAGTTGGGAATGTTTTCTTTGAAGCAAACAAATTCCCAGATTCCTCTAATACTTCAGCCCAGTCTGGGCATGTACCTATGGACTATAGGGTCACACGAGACCGAGACATGACCGCATCTTCTAGCTGATTCGGTTCTCGCGTACATTTACATGTGAGACATAAAGCAGGTCGGTGGATACTGCCTACGTCAGGTCTATGAGAATATTTGTTTAATTGATCTGGTGTTGTATTATACTTTATCATCTTGTATCGAAGTATTAAGGAGATCGACAGAGCAGTATTGGAGCGATACCCAAGCAAAAAATACTTGGTACCTATCAGCATACTTGAGCACTGAATTACTTACACCGAGAAATGTTAAAATGTTGGAAGAATGACTCATTATTGTGTATGTTTGGTATAATTGTGTCCATGAGAAGATAATTGCATCTGTCGGAAGATTTGACTGAGTAAACATACGTTATTATTTACTCCGCTTTTATCGGTATCCATCCGAACTGGGGCAGTCTGTATACATCCGTCTTGTGACATGTACAACCATATCGATGGGGACATACTCCACAGCTACGGAGAATTTGGAAATCAGCTGGGCAGGAAAGGGCTGTTGAGATTATTTGAACAGTGGGAACTCCTGTAGCGACCTCGATAGTCCTTTCGTCCAGGCTAAAGCAACCTTCACTACTCATTCATATCACTCGATCTTTCAGCTTGATATATCACTCTCGTTTTGAAGTATCAATCCCCTTGCTTACGATCTACGTTCTATTCTTCTTTGTGACTGTCAGTTCTCCAAACACAGTCTCACACCGGAGCAACATGAAAAACTTCGCTGCCACTGCCATAGCTGCACTCCTGGCACTCACTGCCAATGCAGCACCTGCCGACCCTACATCCACAACACCCTCAGCGAGTCCAGCAGCTCAAACCTCAGTATCTGTGCAATACGATACAACATACGACAACTCCTCCTTCCCCATCAGCCACGTAGCATGCTCCGATGGTCCCAACGGTCTCGAAGGCAAAGGCTACAACACACTAGGTCAATTGCCTGACTTCCCTTACGTGGGAGCCTCGCCCACTATCCCCGGTTGGGATAGCCCTAACTGCGGCGCATGTTACAACATCACCTACAACACCGTTTCGCTTTATGTAATGGGTATCGACTCTTCGACCAGTGCGTTCGTCCTGAGTCAGGCGGCGTTGGATCGATTGACTGGTGGTCAAGCTGTGGCTTTGGGCCAGGTTACTGCTTTCTATGATTCGGTCGACTCAAGTCACTGCGTTACATGATGCGATCTGCAATGGGCGGCGCAATGCTCCTAGCATTTCATTGGGTTTGGTCCTGTTTGATAGTGTAATCTTCTTTCATTGGGCCGAGATAATTCCAACTGCATCAAATTGGTCTTTCAGGATAACTTGGAACACGAGCCAGCTATAAAAGGGTCTAGAACAATTGAACAAGACATCATCAAAGAGAATAGATTCAAGTAGATATGAAGAATGGCGCATCTTTCAACGTGAAACCAAATCTCGCAAAAAGTAAAGACACGTAAACTGCCTAGGTAGGTATATACTAAAATCATAGACGAAGTATATCACCATCGGTCATCATATCGGTCCTCAAAACGGCGTTCATCATCGATAATCCGCTCGTCTTCGATAAATCGACGATCGTCCTCAAAACGTCTTTCGTCATCATAGCGCCTTTCATCCTCAACCCGCTCCTCAAAGCGTCTTTCATCATCAAAGCGACGCTCCTCGTCATAACGGCGTTCATTCTCATAAAGAGCTTCGGCTTCGTAGCGCTCATCGCGTTCGCGCTGGACTACGCGCTGCTCGTCGTATAATTCTTGGCGCTGTTCCTGGATCTCACGCTCCTGCTCACGTTCTCGGACATGTTCGCGTTGTTCCCGGCGTTTCTCTTCTTCGCGCCATTCTTCCTCTTTCTCCTCTTCCTTGTCTGTTGCAAGGTACACATTAGACAAGGTATACATAAAGTAGACGGTCTCGGAATGGTTTACTCACGCTTGTCATGCTCGTGCATTGCCCAGGCACCTACTGCGGCACCGAGAACGCCACCGCCGATACCGTATGCCATGTTGTGATTCTTCTGCTGTGCAGGTGCTGGACTTCCATATCCTTGAGGAGGTGGTGTATTATAACCCTGTGGAGGATGGGGACTGCCATAACCCTGTGGAGGAGGCGGACTGCCGTAGCCTCGACCGCCCGGAGAGGGACTGCCGTAACCAGGAGGGGGAGGACCACCATATCCACGGCCGCCTGGSGGGGGAGGGCCGCCGTATCCAGAGCCCGGAGGAGGCGGACCACCACCATAGCCACGATTGCTTGGTGGAGGAGGGCCGCCGCCGTAACCACGACCCCCCGGAGGAGGACCGCCGTAGCCACCTTGGCTGGGAGGTCCTCCAATATCTCTAGTGCCGGACCCGTAGTTTCCGCCGGAATGCGGTACTTCAGGATGGTGCCATGATCGCTGACCAGTGCGCTCGTTGATGAACATATATTGATTCTCTTCCGGCACCCATTGGGCCCTCCAGTCGGGAGGCAGAGGGGGGTGGCCGTGATCTTGATGAGAGTATTGGTACGACATGATTGTTATTGTTATTTCTTGTGTATTTCGCCCGCGTCTAAATTAATCCCGTAATTCTTCTTGATAAATGATATCGAGTCGTTGCGCTACCGGTACCGGTACCAGTAATAATTCCAGATGTGATGAGTGATGAATGCGACAGAGACAGCAGTCTGCAAAGAAGAAGACAGAATAAAGAATAATATGCCGAAGGCGCGGGGTATATAATTTATTCGCTATCAACCAACTAATACGAGCAATTTAAAAAAATGCTTAGTACCTGCATGCTATCTTAGTTTCGTCGTCAGCGTTGCTGATTTGCTTATCCACTTGACATCCTTGGGTTCGTCTGAAACCATCACTACGATCACTTGACTCCACAGTCCTAGTGCGTTAATTAGAGACATGTTTGACAGCCGGCCTGTGATTTGACTGACTGACCAGTGTCTAAGTCTGAGTCTGAGTCCCCTGACCATCCAATCTCTGCGTTCTCCGCTTGCCGATGTCTTCCGTGACCCCTGAAGTTCATGTCTGTTCAGGCTAATGGAGGGGCTGACTCCACTTTCCAATCTACAAAAAAGACTCATAGGCGCCGGTGGATGTATGTTACATTAATATGAGGAATTGTCGCAAATCGCGATGGATATTGCACACTGCACAGCCTCGTGCGGATATCTACACGTGGCTGTTACAACAGTAGTAGCCAGAGCTGAACAGTCGAACATAGAGGAAATGTAGGGAAGTTGGTGACCTGAGTTAGAATATGGATGCCTAGTTATTGATTGGGACTCGGTTTAGAACCTTTTCGAAATGTCCGACTTGACTTGTGTCGATGTTTGGTGGAAAATTCCATGGGAGGCCTGATTGATCAGGCGATAATCTCGGAGACTCGTTGCGCCGCTCCGAGGCAGCAAGCACGTGATGTAAATTAGTAATCCATCCTTCGACCAATGAATCTTCCCAGTCATCCTGGCTTCTTTCTCTTTCACTCTTCATTTCCCATCTTGATGACAATTTGCATTTCTGATCTCAGCAAATGGCATCAATAATACGCCCAAAGATAGACGATGATGTCGATAACTGGTTTATCGTGGAAAATCGGAAAGAACGAAAACGGATCCAAGATCGCCTAGCACAGCGGGCTAGACGTATGAACTCTTCATCAGCATTATTGCAGCAGATATAAGAACACGGATTGACTTCTTTATAGGCAAAAGGTTGGCTGAACTCAAAAGCAGTCGCTCTGAAAACGATGGTGTGGTTGCTGGTAAAACAAGTAATCTGGCATTGAGAAGGGAGACGTCTTTAGGTTGCAACTCGCCTGTGGCTTCGTCGGTACCTTTGCCACCAGTGAAGGGCAACCCCGTGGAGGTAGAAATGTCTATGAATGTTTGGACTGCTCTTTACGTGAATGGCTCCATGATGGGACTGAGCTGCTCAACCGCTTTCCCAGCCAAGTCTCGGCCTGTAGATCCAAGCATACCTAGCACACTACAGCCGACTACATTACAGCTGATAACCATCCATCCGACATGGATTGATCGTTTCCCGTTCCCTGAAATGCGTGATAATTTAATAAATGCCATCAGTCTTGTGGAAGAGGAGGATTTTTTGCGAGATCTATTTTGCATGAGTAGCTTCGAGATCAAGCCCGGTGGCGCACCGTGGGATCCAACTGCATGGATCATAGGCGAAGCATTTCGTGTGAAGTGGGGGTTTTTGTTCACGGAGCAGTTTATATAAATGTCCTGTCAGATCTGGTATATGCCTACATCCTCAAAAATGATGAATGACTTGAGACGGATGCAATATGTGATTGACTGATACGGGAACATTACACGAATACTCGATTACGTGGTGAATAGAGTCAATCAGGACTTACGGGGCAAAATCAATACTCGACCTGACTATGTACGACCTATATCAGACTCATCTCGAATCGTTCCATCAAGAGCCCATCCTTCCACTCCTCATCGCCGAGTATCACCTCTCTCGAATGCTCGACTACGTCCCAGATGAAACTGACTCTGGTGGGATTCGATTCCGATTGTTCCCCTTGTTCTTCATGTCTCTGAGCGTTCCTTCGTCGTTTGTGCTGCCGGGGTATATAGCATTTCCCATGAACCTCCGCCACGTAGCTCTCTACGTACTCCTGGCCAGGTTTCTGCACGAGCCACGGCTTTTCTTCCGCATACCTGTCCAGCATACTCAAAATTGTCAAAGGGCGCATCTTGTCATTTTGCGTGTTTGAATATATCCATTTTGTTCGGTTTGCATTCATCGGGACAAAGGCATAAATTTCCCACGGACCGGAGTGACCTGTGTGCCACCACGCTGCTTCTTCACTGGTGCTGACGAAGTGAAGAAAGGATTCAAGCCATCGAACGACTGCATCATCAGAGAGTGAATTCGGAATACGCCCGAAAATGGCTCCCGATCTGGATGAAAAGATAATAACGTCGTCTGTCAGACGCTTCCCAGCCGTTGAGAAGCTGTCGAGGGTATCATGGGCAGTCACTTCGAGCTTATGATGACATTTATGAATCCCTAATGGTATCACATGAACTTCATTGGACTGTACTAGGATGGTGGGTTCTCTGGGAGGGGCATCCCAAGGACAAAAGTTGGGGCCTGTCTCGTTCGATGCTTCTGAACCGCCAGAACCGCTGTTCGCTGATGGAAACAATGCCATTTTGAAACAGCCAAATTGAAATTCTCGTCAAATCGGAATCGTGGTCAAAGTTTGCCGGTGCGGTACGGGGATACTCTGTGATGAGCGTTGTTGTGAAGTAGTAGTATTTGCATATATCACGGGGTAAAAAAAGATGAAGCCTGAATCCTGAGCGAAGAGAAACTCGCAATGAAGGCTTTTAATTGCCATCTTACGAATACGCTCGAAGCTCCCTGTGGCTGGACAGATCAGATCAGATTTAAGACAAAGAGCTCGGCCATGTATGGTTTCTTTGTGGAATACTAGACATATCATATTGTTGTTCATTGCCGGATTCAATCATAAAAGAACCCCAGAACATCAGACCAATTCCTTCAGATACCTCTGCTATTTGCGACTAGCTATCTTCGTCTGATGTCTTGTCATTTCACTATGGGATGATATCAAACTTGCCTCGCAAGATAGGTCTACTTGACTTTCTAGGAACACGGCGCGAAACCCCATACACGCCGGCGGCTTGGTAGTTAGCCAAATTTTTCATGATCCACACTGCAACAGCTGTAAAAATTTTTTTGTATTTTTCCAAAATCGAGAGCGACTAGTTTCAGCTTGTAAGGATGATGATCCATGCTCATACACGTAAGATGGTGTGTTTTGCTATGAGTATGACTCACATACAACACCAAAAGATGATGCGGAGACCAAATGTGTACTAAGTCCTTGCGCCCTATAGACTACATCTCATCTTTAAAGGTTTACATTTTATCATCAATTCCTTTATATTACAATAGTTTTACCGAGAAGACCATTTCATTTGCCGTTTTCGTATACATAGACGTATCTATCCAGAATGCCTCCTCGAGTCAACATCACAAGCGACATTCGCGCCATCTCCAATCTCTTCGCATTGGCCTTCCGAGACAGCGCACCTACTGTGTATGTGCTACGAGCGTGTGACTCAACATGGCCCGTGTCCAGTATTCCACTAAGCCTCCTCGGTCCGAAGATGATCGAATGGACGACCTACAAGCAATCAAGGGGTGGAGAGCTGGTTGAAGCCGATAATTTTGCCGCTGCGGCGATATGGTATGTTCCATCTTACTTCATCGACATTGATGCATCTTCAATGATACTAAAATGAACACATGAGCCAGGTTTCCGCCCGGTGCTGACTTACCCGCAAGTGCAAACGACGATGAAAGGCTCGTCGAATACAGAGCAATGGCCGGCAAAGCCAAGAAAGAGTATCTTGGAGACAGAAAGTACTGGTATTTAAACATGATCGCAAGACATCCAGAAAGAAAGGATCCAGGTAGGCTGAATGCAATTCCATATCAATAGAGAACACAAGCACTGACTACTGAAGGGGTCATTCGTGCTCTCTTTGAGCCTTATATTGCACGCGCCAAAGAGGACGGTGTACCGATCTGGCTGGAGGCTGTTACCGAGCACAGCAAGCAAGTCTATGAGCATTTAGGCTTCCGTACAGTGGCAACTCTGCGCATGGGGCCAGGAAAGGCTTCTCCGGATGGCGAGTTACAGGATGGCGGAGAGGGAATTCCGATTTATGCAATGATCTTGGAGTAAGCAAAAATGCATGAAATCTTATCATCGTACAACCTTGGAAGAACAAATTATGATTTATCTCAATCCTGTAAAGTGGCTGCAGACATGACAAAGTTCCCAAAGTCATCAATCTCTGATAGCCAATAGTCCAGACCCCCGTCATTTTTGAGATTATAATCCAAAAGATCTGCATAGGTCAATTTTGACTTTGAACTGTGAGGCATGAGCCTGCGATCTTGCATATCATATTCTCGTAGCCATGCCGCTTTCGAGTTTGCTTGCCATATATTTCGCCCGCTTGGTAATCGACTGTTGCGTAGAGACTCTCCGCTACAATGATGGAACAGCACGATAGCGGGGTATATATCGAAGAAATATGGCATTATGCATAAAAATATAGACGTACTGTTTGAAGTCGATCAGTAAGTATAAGCTGGACATAAATACGAGATAGATCGACGTACCGAATTGTCGATTCCGTCAAAATCCAGTCCTCCCAGTCTGAAAGATTAAGCCGAGAACGATTTTTCTCCAGTCGGGCTAAATGAACCGCAAGCTCCTATTGAACAGTTAGTAATCATTTAATCTCTCCTCAAAATACATATTGACAATATGACTCACCAGCATAGTCTGCACCAGCGGAACATCAAAGTCGGTTGCCTCTTCGTTTTTCTCAAAGATACGGAGAATAAAGTATATGGATATGGCCTGAAGAGCAGCAAGGGTATGGTGGTAGTCATAGCCGCGGCACTGAGTCTGTTAGCATTCATTCGAGATCTCTCCTCGTTTCCTTCGCCTCTTATTTCTAGAAATTGTATCGCGGTGGACTTAGTTTTAACAGACCTCTGACAATAATCTCTCTTGCTCCATTCTGATAGCTCGCCAAATTTGGACAACATTATCCCGATTCTTCATCGTGAACATTTGCAAAAGCTCATTGCAAACTGCCAGCGGCCCTGCCTTCATTTTTCGCCTAGGTCCGAAATCTTCAGGTTCGTCGAAGATGGTACGTGGGTGGATGAACGGGGGATTCTGGCCGCGAAGCATCATGACAGGATACGAACGGAGCGTACACAGGAGATAACGCTGGGTAAGGGGAGATTTGCTACCAGCAAAACATTGTGGGATAAAAAGTCTCAACGGCCGTGGAAACAGTGTTGTTAGGGAATCTTGTGTGACCGATTCGGTCTCATCAGAAAACTCCCAGGCTTCGCCACCTGTGAGCTGGAACTCTTCTGCGTCATTTTTCACGCTGTCGAAGTTGGCGACATTGGTAGTGACCGAGTAAGGGTCATAATCATGATAGGCTCGGGTTTCAACAATATCCAAGTTAGTGACTTGGTGATTTCTAAGAGTATCAACGGGATAATCCAACGCTCCCTGAGATATCGCGTGGCTTGTTCGCGACTTCGATATCTGTAATTGATATTGAGTATGAGAGTCAGGGGCATAGTCACATGTAAGACTACGCGCCAAACACCGCGAACAATGTGGAAGAGAAGCATCGCAACGTGCTTTGGCTTTAGTACAAGCCTGGCATGCTCGCTTTCTAGAGCGCACGCGTCCGATGGCCTTTCGGCAGTATGAAGTATGTCGTACTAGTGTTTTCTCTATATATCTGTTAGTCCTTTACCTAAAATCATGCGCTGTGGATAATACTGTTGGTCAAACTCACTGTTATTGAACCCTTTCGCGCAAATAAGACACGTGAGCGGCTCCGGCGCATTCATCTTGACTGACTTTTTGTCCGCGGGAGCTGTATACTGCGCCATAGATGATATTGATCCGGAAAAAAATAATGTATTATCGATAAGAGCTGTGAATGTATTGACTAATGAATTAATTATGCATGTAATGTAGTTTTTAGGTCGAGGTGCTGAAGTAAGCCTTGAGTTGACAACGGAGTTCCGTGCAAAAAGAAAATCTTCCGTAGTGGATTACTAATATCATTTTCTGCCCTAATTAGTTCTCTCTATCTTTTCTGCAACAAAAGCTTTCGACTAAAGTGAGAGAGTATGCTCGGCAACCCTAGCTCTAACCCTGGTAGCTGCGTTTATGCCCACTCCAGTATTCATTCCTTGAACATACCCTTGGAAGACAATGATGCATAGATCGAAGTATGGATCTTCAGATATATATTATGGAGTACCTGTGAGATCGCTTTACTCCTAATTTGTCTTAGGGTTATACATGTCTTCTGGACTGCATCGCGATAAGCAATGTGCTACCAGCCCCTCTTACCATCTTCGCAACATTTGTCGGGCTTCACGGGGGGTTGGTAGAAGGTAGGCTAAGAAAGGCCTTTGCTGCTTCGATACTCATCACTGTCGGGGTATTGGCTCCATGCTCTATTCTCACGATTGTCGGGCATTGTTCATTGGAGAAATTGGTTCGTAATAAGGTCGGTTATCTACCAGCATCATTACAGGGCCATACGAAAATGTTGACTCGGCTCTCGGTAGCTTCTTGCTGATTTCTTTGACGGACTGTGCGCAGCTGTCATCGGTGTAATTGCCGTGATAGCAATTCAGATCCTACAATCAAGTGTCAGCTTGCCTGCTTTTAACGGCAGTACCATTTCTAATTTTTCGGACAGTTCTCTTGCAGCAGTACTCTATTTGTTAGCAATTGGTGCTCTCTACAAGTTTGCCAATAAATACACTTCGCTATTCCTTGTGACAATGAGTGCTATCACCGGCCAGTTTTTCTTTGTCCAAAGAATGGTGCATAGGTCTTCACGAATTGGAAAAAGGACAAGAGACTCAGGAAATAGAAAACGTTGCTCAATGGGAAAAGGGGCGTGGCAGTAAGTAATGGGCGTCTTAGCTGAGACTCATGAATGAATTAAAGTAAATTTACATAACCATTGTGTACCGACTAGTTTATATAGAAATAGATTGTTGATACAGTAATATTAGAAAAACGAAGAGTACGTGGTAATTCTCATCATTGAGAAACGCCTCATCTAGGGCTAAGCAGTCTTTGCAATTTCCACCACAATCTTCTGAGCAGAAACACCCTTTTTGAGTACGTCTATTCCATCCTGTATCTTCTCAAGTCCACCCTCAATTACATAGGGGTCCGGTTTAGCTTGAAATTTTCCCAATTCGAGGGCCTTTGTAATGTAGTTGCCCCAAACTGACTTGCCGATGCTGGTATCAATGAGTCCTGGAAGGAGGCCATTGACTAAGTAATTAAAGTATGGTTAGCATGGAACTCTCTGATTTTGTGTTTGAGGCATTTTCGCATAAATAGGTGTACACACCAAACTCGACCTTCACATTCCCGGTCTCGGTAGGCGCAAACCAGCGGACAGTTGGGAGTGTTCCACCCCCTATCTTTTGAAGAATTTCTGTACATGTCGCTCGGACCTTATCACCCCCGATACAATCGTACACCAAATCTCCTGGTTGTAAGACAGTCGTGATTTTATTGATCACTTCCGGATCATTGTAATCAAAAACATGTCGGGCTCCTAGGCTTTTCACGTGCTCGTGATTTTTCGAACTGGCTGTGGCAGCAACTTCGAGTCCAGCTGCGATTGCTAGCCTATGCGAATCCCAACTCCGTTAGCTTGATTTCATGCCCCCCATATCATCATGCCTGCAATATGCTCATGGAGGAAATATCAAAGGACCAAGGTGTCACTCACTGGATAGCACAAGAACCCACCGACGAACTTCCGCCCCAGATGAGTATCTTGCGTCCGACTGGCTGCGGATTAATTACAGGTAAAGGCAACTTGAGAATGGAAAATAATCCCGTCGATGCTGTATCGACCGCAAGTGGAAGCACCGCGGCATTGACCAAAGGCACCGAATCTGGAATATGGCAAACCAACACCTCAAGACATGTTGCGTATTCCTGAAATGCCGAGTTCGTTTTTTTCTTGGTGAGTAGAGAATCGCAGTGTCCGGTCACGCGCTGCCCGACTTTAAATCGTGTCACGCCAGATCCCAAAGCAACAACTGTACCAGACAAATCAACTCCTAAGATGAAGGGGTATGGAAGTTCCAAAGCAGGACTTTCTTGCATCTACATGCAGCCAGTAATTAGCTTCTGGGCCCATGAAAATCAAGATTAGGACGAGAAAATAGGGGCCGAACTGACTATCACGTCGACTGGATTCATCGCCGTATAAGCAACTTTGATGACGACTTCGTTCTCAGCAGGATTTGGTATAGGCCCTGGGCCAACTTTGAACGGCCTTGCTCCTTTCTCGGTAATCCATGCGGCCTTGTTTTCAGTAATCTGAGACATGGTTGTTGCGATCTATATCAAGCTCTGGACAGTCTAGGAGGAATAAAGCGAGATAGATAATGGTAGAGACTAAAGGGATTTCTGAAAGATAATGTTCGTTTTGAGCGCACGGAATATTGGTCATTTATAATATTTCATGGCTTGTATTTCCAAATTGTGAGTGTTTAATTCATAATTTTTTTCAGTGACACGGAGCTCCATGCCCTGACCATCGTTGCTTACAAACACGTTATCCTCATATTTATGGGGCAAAAAGAGAAGCGACCAAGAAAAACCACGTCCTTGATTATGAATTACGTCCATAATTTTAAATTATTATATGTTGTGTACAAGACGAGAATTAGTCACTATTATGAATGATGGTGTCCCCTTTCATAGTGATACCCGGATATTGGGATGGTTTCAAAAACCCTAACGCTTCACCAGACACAAAACCACAAGCAGCCCCAAAATTGCTTAAAACCGTTTGGMACCAATCGTATCTGGAATCCTGGCAGATATCATAGAATTGTTGCGCTGCCCAAAGAGGGACCATGACGATCTGAAATCCATATCCACCTTTGAGACTTGCGGTGGATTGACAGATCTTGGTTGCGTAGTAATCACCCGTTTTTTGTAGCCTTTCTCTCGAAGTCTTGTGAATACCCTTGTACTCTGAAGGGAATGCGTCAGAGTTGAGTCTGTTTTGATGCTTTTCTCTGGCAACATAAAGCTGGACCATTGAAGTATGGACAACAAGCTGACCGAACCAATACATCAGCATGTTTTGAGCCACATAAGTATCTCTGAAAGATATGACCTGTGGGAACATCGAGTACAAGTGCGGCTTCGCCGCATCAAGATATGGATGACTGTTTGGACCAAGTGGTCCGCATTCATAAAGGCCCTCCAGCTCGTCGTCCTCAAATGTTACATACCACTGCGTAAGCCGCACGTGAATTGCATGCCAGAAACTGAGAAGCTCATCAATAGCTGCAATATCGACTTTTCCCGACTGACTTGATGAGAGAATATCGTCCGTGGCCTCTAAAAGACCCGGTATACAGGTCAAAGAGTCCAGGAGGATATCATGAGGAGTATCGGACAGATTCTGCCATTCGGAGTGAGCCAAAAATGACATTTTCCGGCTGCCATATGCGTCCCACAGCTGCGATCCCGAATCAGCTAAGATAGAACCCCGCTATCTGTTGAAATAGACTCACTACAGTGTTTCTCACGCGGTTATATAGACTCATATTAAGAGGTCTTTCTTCTGTAGGTGGGCCTCGAAGCTCCAGAAGTCGGCCCGCACCTTTGACGTGGACCATCCAGCCCTGGAGACGACCATAGGTACTATGAAAGAGCTATTAAACGTCAGCCATGCATATTAGGTTTCGGCAAGAATATGAAATACTATACCTCATACATGGCCATCGTCATAGTCGTTGTAAGAACGCCCTCATTGGACAATTTCAGCGAATCAAGTGACATGGACCCTAGCTTCTGCAATACATCGTTATAAAAGCGTTGACTTTCATGCGAATGCACGCGATCTTGATGTACATCGCCTATGTATGCAAGGCAAAGCGCGGACAAAGCGGTATCGAGCACTTCCCACCGACCTAGTAGGCTCGGCAGACTCCGCACCCATGACGACGGAGTAATAAATTTGCGTTGACTAGTCATAGAAGCCGGCAAATAACGTTCCAGGAAATAGGACAGGACCTGCATCCTATTTTCCGGGGCTACATTGATATAAGATTCGGGCAATAGCCTGGTTACTTTGGTAGTGTCATCTCGCTTCATCTCGGTGTTCGTATTGTTGCTCGTGCCATCTTCCTGCATGGTTGGACTGTCCCCATTTCCCTTGCCTTTGGTACGCCTTAATCTGACCTTATTATTTCCATCACCCAGAGCCCGAGTGGGAACTACAAGGACAAACGAATCGGACGTATAGCCGCCACACTGCAGCCCAGCCTTTTGACATCGTTGACAATCCGGTTTGGCTCGGTCACACTATGAAACAAGAACAAGCAGCGTCAAATTTAGTCGCTGCAAACATTTAATGCTCTGACTAAAGTCGGTTGAATCACGAACCTTTATTTTCCGACGTTGACAGGTTAGACAAGGCCGACCAACTAATGCCTTCTTGCTCGCGGAGATGTTCGGCATCTTGACTGCGTTCAGGCAATTTATTGCCCTTAATTGACCGAGTGTCTCGAATAAATCGCGTAACGATATGAAACAGACAATGAATCGGGCCAAAGTCTCACGGTTCCAGGGGAACTGGCTTCCGATCTGTAGCCTGATTTCTCATCCACTTGGTACTTGTCGATGCCACTTTTTCCTTCTTTCTTTGCACTGATGTTGGATGTTGACCGTTGTCTGTCAGCCCCGCCCTTTGGCTACATTGGGCAGAAAATTCCGAGCCTTTCGCTCTAGGGTCTGAATTGCTTAAAAGCTGTTGCTATAGGGGTAAACTAAACCTATTTCAGCTTCACAAATTGCTTAATTTAGTGGGGAGAAGGATGAAGCGAACGCATGAATCGTGTTCATCCCGATCGCATCCGGCGGGTACGTGCGTCGTGTTATGTTACACAACTTGGCTTTTGTATCGTTGGTATTATTGAGATAATGTTATACGTTGACAGAGCACATGTAAGAACATATCTCTTCGAGACCCATGAATGAAGTTATTTGATATGTTGCTAGATGTTGCGATTTAGCCAATAAGGGCCATGATGAGCAATGGCACCGCGGATGATGCTGACAAAAGTCTCTGTCAACTGTCTTATATCTCCGGGAAGGAAGTTGTACAAGGTTATTTTACTTCCGCAAAATCATAAGAACGCTCCGGGTTCGCGTTCTAATACTAATCTGAAATATCCAACTCGCTGGTTCTAAATATTGAGAACCTTGAAAATAGATACTTATTTCAACACGAAGAATTCAAATCTTGCAAGATGTCTATTGCGTTTCCAGCTTTGGTTCAATTTGTGTCCCTCTGCAATGGAAATGAAACTTACTCGCTGGTGTTGCGTTGTGCAACGTCTACGGCTATTATTTTGTGCAAGAAGACTGTTTTTTTGCACTGGTAAATGCAACCTAACCATTCTTGTAGGACAGTCTATGATTGCATTACACAGTTGCCCTAGGGAGGGGCTGGAATTAAGTGAGAGATAACTTATTACTATCGGCTTGTGACCMGTTTGACAGCTTCTCAATTTTCGAAAGAATAGCCTGATGAAAAAGGCTCATTTGATCCAACCAAGAATAAATCAGTAGAGTGTGATTATACTAATACATGGGAAAAAGGACTTCCTACTGCTGGTATATTCTTCGCCAACATTTTAACCCATTGTGGGCGCATCATCTTTGGTATGAGTGGGAAGTTTCTTCACAGGAACAGCCAGAGTGCACAGGCATGCAGTACCACAGAAAGCAATAGCGACTATAAAGGCCGCTTTGATCCCAGCCATATATGCCTGCAGAACTCCCGGAAGCACATCCGGTGGGAACACAGTTTGAAGATCTGAGGCGCCTGTAATGAGCACTTGTCCGGGGTTCACACTTGGAGCGGTCTTCGGCAGAGTTGTGAGTAATCTATTCACGAAGGCGGATTGTGCTGCTGAAGTGCTGAATGCGCCTCCCAGTGTTTGGAAGACTATTATTCTTATGTTAGCAGCAGATTGGATAATAATAAGAACTGGAGACCTACAGAGAAGATTTGCAGTGACGGCTGAAAGATCGTTTGCATCTACGTTAGCCTGAGCGATAGTCAAGCCGTGCATGATGGCAGAGGCCATGGAGCATCCAACAAAAAACTGATATCCGACCCATTTGGAGGTAGGAGTACCAATATCGAGCGTGTATATCAAGCCAACTGCAACTGTGGAAAGCATAGAGCCGACAAACATGACTTGTTGAGGGCGACCAGTTGACATGACAACTGCTCCTCCGGCTAGGGCAAACACTGCTGCTGCAAGGACCAGGGGGAGATTGTCGACGCCGGATCTGATTGCACTTGCCCCAAGAATGCTCTGGAAGTATATGGGTAGATAATACAAGAGAGCAACATAGCTACCCATAAAGAAGAACTGATAAGGCGCTGTAGCTGACAATGATCTGTGCTTCCATAGTCTAGGTAGCATCATGGCATACTCTCCGAGCCAAATCTCCCAACCGATCAGGGCAATGACAATCAGCACAAAGCCAACAAGAAGGCCAATGACAACGCCGCTGTTCCATGGGTGAGAATTTCCTCCATACTGGAGAGCGAGGATACAGCAGGTAATGCCTCCCATAGCCAGCGTGATCCCGACTGGATCTATGTGCAGTAGCTTCCTCGTAAAAGGGACCTTAGGTGGTGTGGCCGCAGCTGGAAGGTAAAAGAAGAAGAAAACAGATACAGCAGCAACACCACCAATCGGCAGGTTGATATAGAAACACCATCTCCAAGTAACATGATCCGTAAATGCTCCGCCAATTAGCGGCCCTAGAACTGCAGCAACAGCATACGTCATACCAATAATACCCATCAGCATTGGTCGCTTTGCAGGTGCGACGGTAAGAGTCACGATGTTTGTTCCACCGACAGATAGGCCGGCGCCACCTAAGCCAGCAACGGCGCGACCAACGATCAACGTCTTGGAGTTTGGTGCAACTCCGCATAGCAGACTTCCCAATTCGAAGATAAACATGGATATCAAGAAGGTCCATTTGAGGTTAAAGTACGTGTAGATCTTGCCAGCAGAAGTCTGAGCTGAACCGAAAGTCATGAAGTAGGCAGCTGCGTACCAGGAGATGTCATTGAGGCCATGGAACTCGTCTGTTATCTTAGGGATAGCCGTGCCAACGATAGTCTATCGTCAATTTTCGTCAATACCAGCCTTGCCATGAGGAAGAAGATTATTGATGTGTCTTTTTGGTACCTGATCTAATGCAATGAGGAAAACTGCAATAATAGACGCCCCTGCCAGAGCCACAAACTTGAATCCCCGTGGATATTCGGTGTTAGCTATTGCCTTGGGGACATCCTTATCACGAGTATCCGTTTCCGGTTCCGTATTTTCAATTCCTTCGCGTGGCTTCGCTTCAATTGCAGCCATGTTTGTATTTCTATACAAGAAGGCTGAAGTGATGTGTTTCTGTCGGATAACCTCCTCGATAGGTGAATGGATAATTGTAGGCGTAATCCAGTTCGCTTCCTTGATCTCAGCTCAAAATTCGACCCAGTACCTATAGTATATGAATAACTCGAGCTGACTACAGTAGAATCATAGGTAAGAAAAGTCACATAGATCCAACGGACTTTCGGATGTGAACTCCATTGGTATTGCTTGTCTCCGCTCAATATGCTTATAACCCGTCGGCAACTCGACTAACGAGCCCAAATCAATCGAAAATCTTCTGCTAGACATGCCAGATATTTGCAATTGTATCGATTTGAAATATGGTTTTATCGTTTTAGTACTAGGGCTCTCCGTTGAGCGGATATTATCTAATATCTGTGTATCGGGCCCCGAATACTGCCAGTGAGGAACAGGCAAAACTGAATTGAGTATAAAAGTAACCCCCATAACAGGCAGTAACGGATAGAATGCCGTTTGGATATATTTATCGCATCCATATCTTTTACTCCGGTTCTTGCCGGCCAATACGGTGTATCAGAACCGGGCTACCGTGGATCGGATTTTGATCTCAGAATCCGACGGAATGAATGTCGCTGTTGGAAGCTTTCCAGCCGTGGAAATAGCAATATGCACTGCTGGGGCTAGTGATGGAGAGCCGAGTAAAGTGACATTCTTCTGAGCTGAATTGTTTGTTTTAATAAATGTGGACACATAGGTTTTACGGTCCACTCATAAATATGGCCCCTTTTCTGACCATCTTCACAAGTTGCTCAACCTCATTGTTCGTAGTAACTAGTATTGAGGATGAGTTTAATTCAAGGCGCTCCTCGTTTTTATTGTCCGAATCTATGGTTGGGATACGAAGCAGCACACTGACACGCAGGGATTGCTCGCGGATCCACTCGTACTGCCCAGGTCTGAGAAAGTCCATCATAGCTCTATCGTCGTCTTCTAAGAAGAATGCCATCAGGCGACTCAGGGGGCTCATGATACTCCATAGCCCTTGGCTGACAATATGGCGTCTGTGCTCGTCCCTCGACATTTTCGGATCCTGACTTCTTTGATTTAAGCCATTCTTGTTCTCAGGAAACAGGATGTGGTCGCTTGGAAAGAGAATTGTTGGGTCGTTGAAGTCGACCATGCTTGACGGTTTTGTTCGGTTGCCAAGGTAAAATGGTACGCTGTAGCACACCGAATCTACAAGCTCTTGAACAACTTGTTTGCATTCAACAAAGTCTTCATTTTCAGCTAATATTTGATCATTGATAGACCCGGACGATCCCCCATACAAGATCGTATAAAGCGAATTGAAGCGAATCTTGACCAGTAAGAGGCGTTGGACGCGCCACAAGTTCCAAATGGTTGCGATTTGGCAGGTAGGGTAAACCTCACAGACAGATCGATATGTGGGAATCGATGGGTCAATGTCTTGTGCACTTACAAGTTTCACCGGTCGCCAATAATCCGGCACGTTTCGCACCCATTCCAGAAGTTGTTCATCAATGCCCTTTGCCTCGGCTATCCAACCCTGTAGCTTATGCAGAGCCAAAGGAACAATCGCGTTCTGCGTTACTGCTCGCAAATATTTGGCTTGCAACTCGGCGACAGACGCGCCTATAGCATCAAGTGCAGAGCTTGGATTAACCGGCGCACCTATCAGCTCTTTGCTCCCAAGCCATGTGTATGCAATGCTCCGTAATGACCTTTTCTGACGCATTGCCGATGAAACCTCAGTATGCAGAATGTATCTTCGGATATACGCGCCAATCATGTCATCCACTTGATGCACATTTGAGAATGGCAGCAAAGACATTGCGCCGTCAAGGTGTATTCGAGTGGCTGAATTACGGCCGTATATGGCGGCAATATTCTCGTATAAGTGTAGCGCCAACACTGCTAACAAGGTTGCGGGATTGCTCCGCTCAATGCGATCCTGTAATGCACTCCGAAGAGACGTGATGGCTTGTGTATAAGTCCCCCGTGGCGATTGGATGCTATCCGGGCCGTATCGCCATATGGACAGTATCCTTGACGCCACGGCTGACACGGCGAGCGATAGCGCCGAGTTCTGCGGCTGCGAGCAAAAGACTGGAACTAGGATCTCAAAGAAACCGCGTGCAGATTCTAAATTGCGGCCGATATTGGCGTAATATCCAAGAAAAAATGATACGGCATTGTCGGGCTCAGCGAGCGGACGAGGAGCAGATACTTGGTCCGCGCCCTGTACAGCGTTGCTGAAGAATTTGTGATTTTGATCTTTAAACTTGATTTCGGTACATTTTGTTCTGTAGCCCCCGCAGAGTAAGCCGAGACGCTGGCATGCCTGACATTTCGGTTTTTCTTCGTCACATTTGACGCGGCGTTGTTTACAAGTAACGCATCCTCCGGAACGTCCACGATTGACCATAGCGAGACAGTGGTATTGCCAGAAAGAAGCATCGTGTCGCGACGTTCGTCGATAAACATATTAAACAACGTCACCAGCTCCAGGCTCCACCATTTTCAGCCCAGACGCCCAGCCGGATGTCGGCAAAAGAAGATCATTCTTTCGTCGATCTAAAGTTCGCGGCCAAATCACAACGCAGCGATTGATCAGTGGCGATTACAGAATTCGGATGTGATTTCACCCTTCTTTGTCTGGTTGGAGTATGGAATTATTGTAAAAAGAGCTAAAATGGAGAAGGGGCATTCAGCAAGAACAGGTTCAGTTCGCATGCGACCAAGCTCACTGTGTAGACTTTTCGCCAGGGTCCTTTGTGCCACATGATTGCTTTTTCGTCCAGTAGCCGGCGCTAGCAACAGCAATAATGATCCTGAGGCCGGATTCTGCATTCGATTCTCAATTTCTGATACCGCTCCTGCGCTAATTAGGCGTTGCTCAAAATATCGAATCTGGGGACATGGCTTCTTATAACGAGCAATTCTACAGGATTGTCAATTGGACCACGGGTGAGGCAGAAATTCCGGGGAATGCATCTGAAGATCAGAGCTGGGCAAGCTATGATAAGAGCCATGTTTGCATGGTTGAAATTGACACTGGGTCGCGGAAAATGGATGTCGAGATTGATTGTATTTCAAATATCTCAGTGAAGAGGATTAGTTTGCAACCGACTTAGTACCTCTTTGCTGCAGCTGCATTCCTTCCCGGCAATCTTGTCAACTCTTACCAACGGGCCCCTTTCATGTAGAAAACCTTACAGTCTACCTCTGTGTCAGGATTATCTAGCCATATTTGATTCTCCGTAGAGATCTTGCTGTGGGTTGGAGGTCTCCTTGCATAATGGTTCCGTTGAGAAAAGCGTTCAGTCTTTATGCAACAATTGTTGAATGTAAGCTCTTGGCCAATCGTTCTTCACGAATCGTACGACAAGAACATTGTTTCCCACTATATATTATAGAGAATTCATTGTTGTACAGCTGTTGATATCAGCGATGCGCCTCGAAGTGAAGTTGCGACGCGCAGGAACTCGCAATCAATCCGATTTCTAAAAATCCTAGTGTGGGGGTATTTTCGTCGATGACCTTATATCAGGATGGATCATAGCTAAAACTACGAGTAGCAAACAAGATAGAGCTTAGTTTATGGCTTATCATTGGCGAGGAAGGATCTCGACTTTCTACATTCGTCAGCTGGTGTCGGCATTCTCTCCGCTGAAAAATAGGGCTACGCCATATCTCCGCTGCTTATGGTAACTGACTCGACGATCGCATCTACATGGGGTGGAGAAATCGAGAACGTGCCGCAAATGAATTGTACAGTGCAATTGCCAAAGGATGGTCTGACGTGGATGCAGTCAGGTTTGATACTGCCCCCGTGGGGGGGAACAGGCCAAAAAGCTTCATGGAGTACCCCCAAAGGTTAATCCTTAGGGACTATTCTCCGTTACTCCAGCAATCTCCACTCCACGGGATTATTCTGGGGTACGAATATTCTTCTCCGGAATATCGAGTACATATCAATGTGCAATCCGTTCTCAGATTCATCGGTGCATTCAGTTTTAGGACTTGCAGGACAGCTTCTCTAAATTAGATTTGTTCCACTACTGTGTGACGTACGGTTTCAATTGTCAAAATGCCATATCTAGGACTCAAAGGCAATGGCCTGCTGGCAGGAATCGCCTTGTCATCTGGCATGGGCTTTGTTCTGTTTGGTAAGGACCACCTTCTTTTCCTTCGTCCTCTAGTTCTGCTCTACGAATCGAGATATGCATCTTTCGTTCCACGTTACTTACTCATGTCATTTATACTTAGGCTACGATGACGGGGTTATTGGTGGTCTTCTTACCTCTCCCACTTTCGAGAGTACTTTCCATCTCAGCAGCGGCATGCAAGGAACTGTTACATCCCTATTCATCATCGGTTGTTTAGTCGGTTGTCTGTTCACCAGTATCACCAACGGTAGATGGGGTCGTCTCACAATCACTCATGCCGGATCCATAATTCTCAGCTTCGGTGCTACATTGCAGGCTTCTAGCTTTGGTGTACCACAGCTGATAGTTGGGAGAATCGTCGCTGGAATTGGCCTCGGTCTAATCACAAGTAATGTGATTGTTTGGCAGTCGGAGAGCGCTCCGAGGAAAGTTCGAGGCATGCTTGTTGCTAGTGCGTTGAGTTTATTGATCGTTGGCCAGGTAAGACTTCCATCAATATTCAAGTGACCTAAATCGGTTACGGGTCTGACATCCTTGATATAGCTTCTTGCCTACTGGATAGACTATGCAATGGCAGATTACTCTTCCAGTGTAGGTTGGAGATTTCCGTTGGCCTTCCAAGCATTCATTGCCATTTTGACTAGTGTCATGCTGTGCTTCATGCCTGAGTGTAAGTTGTCTGAGAGTCAATCATTAACAAAAAAGGGAACTAATCCGACCATTTAGCTCCCCGTTGGCTCTTCCAACAAGACCGTACCGAAGAAGCAACGCAGATTTTACGCCTACTGCAAACCCACAAGGGTGTCGTGGACGAAGACGCTCTCAGTATTACGATTTCCGATATCGTAGAAGCCCTTGAGATGGAAAAGAAACAAGCTGGGTGGAGAGACCTACTTAAAGAAGATGCGGTTTGCTCCCGACGTCGAGTTCTACTGGCCTGTCTGTTGAACTCCTGCCAGGCTTGGAGTGGAAGTACCCCAATAAGCTACTACACTACAGTTATGTGAGTTTGAGCAGATAACAAAATCCAGCAAAAGATCATACAAATCAGGAATTCTAACAACAGTTTCGTTTAGATTTCAAGACTCCGTCGGATTATCCTATAACCTTTCACTCTTGATGTCCGGCTTTCTACAAATCTGGTTCTTAGTGGCATCCTTTGGAACCTGGTACACTATTGAAAAAGCTGGTCGTCGGAAGTCATTCATGGTCTCTGCAGCCTGTATGGCAGCTGTCATGGCAGCCTTGGCGGCTTGTATTGCGGTTGACACTCATGCAAGTGGTATCGTTGCTGCAGTCATGATTTTCTTATACCAGAGTTTCTACACGTGGGGATTTATGGGAGGTCTTTGGGTATGTCTCAATGAGTACCTACCTTGTACCGCTATGTTCCGTTGAAATTCGATCATTAACAAGTCTTTTTTATTACTATAGTGCTACGGGCCTGAGATTCTACCTCTTGCTCACCGTACCAAAGGCTCCGGCTTAGCAACCGCTTGCCTCTGGCTATCAACCTTTGTCGTTGTCGAATTCGTGCCAACAGCAATCAGTAACATCGGCTGGCGTGTCTACATTATCTTCGCCGTCTTTAATCTCGCCTTTATCCCGATGATCTATTTCTTGTTCCCTGAGACGGCGGGATTTACGCTTGAGGCTGTTGATCTTGCATTCATGGACAAGGAAAAGGGACCAGTCAAGCGGGCGAATGAGCTATGGGGGATTATCAAAAAGGGTGGAGATGTTGGCCTAAGAGGGGAACTGCACGGTGAGAAGAAAGAGATGGGAGGCGTGGAGATGATCGAAAAGGCGTGAATTCTCAATATTTAAACAACTAGTGGCTTTGATCCATCGAAACGCTAGTCTCTACTTCCTTGCACAATCAAAATCCTGCTTCGGGATTTTCAAAGAGCTGGAGTATCACCAAACTCATAGCCTTCCGGGAAACTATCTTTCAGTTAGAAACATGTCTTGACAGAGAAGTGAAAATAGATCTGGGATATATTAGACTCACCCTTCGGGATATCTGCCTCCTTCGAATTTAGTCGCATAAATAATGTCCGACAAAGTCTTGTCTTCCTCTGGAGTCAGGGTAATATGTTGCGTGGCGAAATTCTCTTCTAGGTACTTGATCTTTCTTGTACCTGGAATGACAAACACGTCTTCACCACGATTCAAAACCCATGCCATAGCCAACTGACCTGTCGTGCATCCTTTCTCCTTTGCTACTCGCTCAAACGTCGTGATCATGGCCAGGATCTTGGCATAGTTTTCTTTCGAGAAACGTGGGAGCATAGCCAGGAAAGGGTCTTTGGCATGAACCTCTTCAGCCGTCTTGTAACCACCGCTGATGACCCCGCGACCCATGGGACTGTAGGCCACAATAGCAACTCCCAGTTCTCGGGCGGTTTGGAGCAACCCAATTTTTGGATCTTCAATCTCGATTGCAATTGGGCTGTACTCTACTTGGACAGCGGCTATGGGGTGGACTGCATGCGCACGACGAAGCGTTGAAGCAGAAACCTCACTGAGACCGAGATGGCGTATCTTTCCTTGACTATTACATGTCAGTCTCATGAACTTTGTGATCAAATTTATTGTAAAGCAGAAATCGTACTTTTTCAATTCAACCAAAGCCTCGACAGTCTTCTCAATAGGTGTTTTTCCATCGACACGATGGCAATAGTACAAATCGATATAGTCTGTATTCAACCTCTTCAAGCTTCTTTCACAGGCTTCTTTGATATACTCAGGATCGGAGCGCAAAGTCTGCGTGAAAGTAGCCGGGTCAAATTGGATACCGAATTTTGTGGCCAGAAAGATGTCTTTCCGTTTTTCTGGGTTTTGCTTCACCCACAGACCAACGGCATCTTCCGAGTCGGCGTAGATGTCTGCAGTATCCCAGAAGCGCTCACCAATGGCATGTGCATGGTCTAGCAAAGCGCTTCGTTCTTCGTTGCTTGGGACAGCACCATATACACCGCCAATGCTCATAAGACCAAAGCCTATTGCTGGCACAGAGGGACCGTTTTTACCGAGAGTGCGGGTAACGGGGGCCATGACTGAGGATTAAAGGGGAATAGACGATATGATCTTGAAAGTCAAAGCAAATCGTAATGTAAGATGTCTATGAATAGCAAAAGACTTCAGTTCAACTCGAAATTCGAGGGAGCAGTCGCTGTCTTTTATATGCACTTCTGAAATACGTACTCAAAGAATCCCACAGACGCAGGTTATTTCCTAAAGCCGAGAGAATTCTGTCTATTTCTAATCAAGAGAATTTGTGACTCCAAAATGACCAATGCGGCCATTTCGTCGCGGTTCTTCTTGTAACCAATCAGTGTCGCAGAAACACGGACCAGCCAATCAGCGCCAGAGAAAGACGAATTACCTTTTTGGGCTGTTGTTGAGATTTGCGCAAAAGATTTCATTTTTCTTTCAACATATGTGGTTGATAGTTTCCGAGAAGAATGTGTCTAGATTTCAATATAGTTCCTACATATAAATCATGAAAGTTGGGCTTCTTTCTCATCTAAGGCCGTAGGTACACTTTCATCGCCCTAATCATGTATTCTATCTGTGACATACCTACCTACGTGTGTAAATAGGTTGGTCCCATCATTCAACCAGACTTCATCTACCTAGGATGGTAGGTAACGTAACTTATGTGTAGGGGGTTTAGAAAGAGAATATCTATTACACCTCAATTGCATTACCACCGATCCAACATCCGCCGGTATCCTCTTGAAATCTCACACATATCTCAGATGGGCATCCCATCTCCCACCCTTGCCTCACTGTAATATATTGATCAGCGTACTTTACAAGCCCATTCTCCAGAAGACCATAGGCGAGCGCAGCAGCTGCAATACCTGTAGCGGGGTCTTCATTGTAGCCAGAAGACTTTGGAAACTGTCTCGCACAGATGATCTGTTTCTCATTATCTAGAACTGCATAAGGGTAGAGACCGGTGCTATCAATAACCTCGCAGAGCTGTTTAACGCGGTGAAATTGCGGTTTTAAAGCATTGAGAAGAGCGACCGATTTCAATGGGATCAGTGTCTTTACTCTACTGGTTTTTGAGTTTTGAATTGGCATAGAGGCCAAGTCATCTGTCGATATGTTCAGAATAGAGGCGATTTCCTCCAGAGAGTCGACATCCGTCAACTTTTGCACAACGCCTCGCGGTTGCGAAACCTCAATCCACTTTTCCCTCGAGAGAGTTTCAGAAACTCGAGTTTCCACAATCCCACTCTTTGTCAGAACTCGAACATGACCATCTGCATGTCTCGTTGTTGGCAAGCGATTCAGCTTCTCGAGTAACCAAATCGCCCCCACTGTCGCATGGCCACACATTTCCATTTCATGCTCCGGAACCCAAAAGACGAACTTGAAATCGCACCCAGATCCTTCAGGAGCAGGTAATACGAATCCGCTCTCATGGCCATGGTCCGCTGCGACTGCTTTCATCTCTGCGTCTGACATGCTCTCTGCATCGAGCACGACGGAGGTTGGATTCCCACCATTCGGACCCGCGGCGAACACGCGTAAATTATATAATTTTGGTGGCATGGAGAAGACTGCTGTATTTTGTTGTGACCCTCAAAATCGAAAGCCGTTCCTCTATTCTTCTTTATGATGTTGGTAATTACCGAGGCTACTATACTAATCCACAATGGCCGCCCGGTTTCCGGACATCCTTCGCTCAGCCCTACTAGTGATCGAGGCAGCTGAAGGTTCATTCTATCAATCCCTCTAATTCTAGATGTGGTTAAGTTACACATTAGATAATCGAGTCGATGGCGTCATTCATCGAGAGCCCGCTTCAATCTTTGCTCCTTCTTCCAGTTCTCTTTACAGATTTTTCTTTTATCTAACTCTAAGTATTAACTTCAAAGGACCTCCAAAATTAGCCAAATGTCTATAGAAACACAGTCAGCGCCCATCCACCAAGCCGGAACAAATGATGGATGGCACGGAGTGATCGAGTCTGGCGGGGAATTCGAGCCGGAAGCGGGGCGATATCATCTCTACATTGGTACGACCACATAACAACCCTAACCCTGATCCAGTTTTTATCATTTTGACCTTACTCATCGTTATAGGATTGTTCTGTCCATTTGCACACCGGGCCAATCTTGTTCGTCATATCAAGGGCTTACAGTCCGCGATTGACGTGTCGATAGTTCGCCCATATCCCAAAGGCGACTCCAAGGGTTGGCCTGGTTGGAAGTTTCCTGCTAACGAACAAGAGTATGAAGGCGCGACAGTTGACAAGCTCTTCGGAAGTGAATATCTTCATGAAGTTTACTTTAAGGATGACAAGGATTATAAAGGACGATACTCGGTTCCTTTGCTGTGGGACAAGAAGACCAATAAAATTGTTAACAATGTATGCCAGCCAATCCTGAATCGACCGTATGGAATGGGCTGCTAAACCGTCAATAGGAAAGTGCTGAAATACTGAGGTGGCTACCTACGGCATACAATGGCACGTCCATCATATCTGCAGAGGCGGCGGAAATTGATCTCTACCCGGAGTCCCATCGCAAAGAGATCGATTCCTTGTCTGAATGGATTCAACGAGACCTGAACTCAGGTGTCTACAAAGCCGGATTTGCTACCACCCAAGCAGACTACGACAAAGCCGTGATACCGGTGTTCGGCGCTCTTAACGTCCTGGAAAAACTGATCTACGACAAGGGTGGTCCATATGTGCTTGGCGAACATCTTACGGAGCTAGATATACGGTTATATGCGACTTTGGTCCGTTTTGATACGGTCTATGTTCAGCACTTCAAATGCAATCTGGGAACTATCCGTCATGACTATCCTGTGCTTAATGCATGGTTATCCCATTTGTACTGGAAAGTCCCGGGATTCAAAGAAACCACCGACTTCAAACACATCAAGGAGAATGTGAGATTACAGCATAATTTGATCATATTCAAGACGCAGGCACTGACAATATTACAAATAGTACACCAAAAGTCATGACGACATCAACCCTAGGGCTATCACGCCTCGTGGTCCTTTCCCTGATGTCGAGAATTATATCCCGGAGAAGCCAACGAATTACGGAGGTGTGAGTTTGCCAGAGGTATTGGAGTATGAAAAGAAGCTTGAAAGTGAGGTGTTTGGTAAACAGAAGCTTTGAGCGATTACAATAATATCCTGATGAAGGTTACTTCAAAAGTTTGACTTGGCTAACTCATGGATCTAAAACCAGAAAAGCATTGCTTAACACCAAGTACTAACCTTAGTTAGTGATACGCTTATTAATACAAATTGGTAACATCATATTATACACAACATCAAAAAAACATCAAGCCTTGTCCGACTTTGAGACAGACGGTCTCGCAGGCAATCCAGCAGCCTTGTAAATCGCATCAATAGTCGCCATCTGCAAAATGCTCTCTTCACCCGGAATCCAGCAAGGCACATGCTTCCCTCGCACCTTTTCGGTAAAGGCCTCAAGTTGGTACCGATACGTGCTCCAATAGGACTTTCCACCTTTCCCGCCCGTGGTCCAAGCCTCGCCCCAGCATGGTCCACCCCTGTACTGTTTCTTATACTGCGTCTTTCCGGTCGACTTATCCGTGATGGAAATGTAGTGATACAAATGCGGCATCATGGCATTGTAAAAGTAGATGATCGCTTTGTCGGTCTCTACTTCAATGGACGGAAGTTCCCAGACACGCGGAACGATCCCCTTGATAGCCCATTGGCGAGCCATGTCCGTGTAAACTCGACTTTGGATCAAATGACCGTCTTTGGAGTCTTCGAAGAGAATGAGAGAATGCATTGCTTCGTCGACTCGCTGATCCCTGGAATATGGTCTAGCGACTGCCGATTGAATTTCTTTGAGCTTGGAGCCGTGGACGGCGAAGCGGGTGAATGATAGAGCATATGTCATGTCCATCAACGAGCCGCCTATAAACATACTATTAGTGTAACAGGATCCTATATACTGTGACCGATGTTTTCGGGTTTCTTACCAGAGAGCTCAAATTGCCATCTGATATCGCCATGTGGTACACCCGGACTGGCCGTCATGACAGCATTCGTTCGCAAAACACGACCATATTTACCCGAATCCAGAATCTCCCGGAAAAGGTGTGCAGCGGGATGAAATTGCCAGTGAAACTGCAAGACAACTCGATCAGCACCAATTTGCTACTGCAAAGCAGAACATGACAAACCGCTTCTTCACACACAAGACCCGTCTCCTTTGCCAACTGAATCAATTTATGAGCCTCTTCCGCGTTGGAAGTAAACGGCTTTTCGCAAAGGACATGCTTGCCAGCCCTGAGTGCCTTGCTGGCCCATTCAAAATGCAGTCCATTGGGGGTCGAAATTTACACAATATCAATGTCGGAATCATCTAGAAGGTCCTGATATGAACCATAGGCTTTCTTGAAGTGGTATTTCTGAGCCGCTTGCCGTGCGGATTCGAGGTTGCGAGAGGCGATTGCGTGGAGGATGACGTCTGGATGAGTTTCTGCGGGATGTATGACTTTTACTATTAGCTCAGTTGCATATAGGCGAATGTTACAAATATACTAGCAGCAGGATTGATTTGAGCTGTCGATATGACGCCCAACTTGAGACCCATTGCTGATTTTGTAGGGGTCGGGTGCAGCACGGATGCGACATACTGCTGGGCGAACGTGCAAGCTTGGAGAACGAGGGCCATGATGTCTGTTGGTCTTATTTAATATTATCGGTATTGATTGAAGTGTAAATAATGAGTATATTCTATTGCGAGAGAGGAAAAGTACTACGAAATGTCCTTCGCTTCATATTATTCAGAATGTCTACATGACGACATCATATCGTCAACGTGACCTTCATAGTTACGGCGGGCTCTGGAATGCCAACCACCGTGATTTCTGTGTAAACAAGTAGCATAAAAGTATGGAATATCTATAGACTCATTGAAGCTTCATTTTCTTCTCTCTTGATTTCTCAGAGTGCATCGCAGGGCAGATGCTGAGCTACAAAAGTAGACTGCCTCTGCCAAGCGGCAGTTAGGGTTCGTTGGATCTCGTGCCGTCTTGTACCCCTCACCACCACGGTGTATTAACGCCAATCAATTAACACTAGTATAGTATGGTTAACGATTAATTTGTCATATTGCATATTCAATCTCGGTGATTTCTCGGATCTCGTGTGTACCGACTGCTACCTCGGCAGTCTTGCGTTACCTGCTTTTTTCACGCCAGTCATCAATTTGGTAGTTGTTCAAACTGTCAAAGTCAATGTAGCCGAGACGTGAAACCTGAACTTTCACCCCAATTCGTCGACAATAAGCGAGCATGACAGGGATATTGGTTTCCAGAAAAATGGCAGGCATATGAAGGATTTAGATCACGGCGTCTGGACCTGTCAGATTCAGCCAGCAAAATACGAGTTAAGCCCGGCATGTTGCCGATACGTAGGCAGCCATGTGGTTGACATCTTACAGTCAATCCTGCATGTACAACTTCCATACATTTACTCCCTGTTAGAGAAAATGGAAACAATCACCGAAGCATGCTCTTCGCCATTGACCATATTTGGGCATCCGCCCGTTCTCGGTATTTGGAATGCTCCACGGCAAGACCGATAAACCAGATACCCAACCTAATCGTAAAGCCTCTTATGGTAGGCCCATAAAACCAAGCTAAAAACTTCATCCAGAAGGACCTGAACAAATCAACCAGACCAAAATGCCCCGCAGTCTCCGTCTGGGTTCCACGTGGTCATTTATCTGTTTCGAATTTCCGCCCGCTTCCAAACTCTAACCTACTTTTTTCTTTCGTGCAGCCAGATCTGATGATGGATCGAAACTCTAGCGACTTATCAGATACCGGAGAATTTTTTTTTTAATTAGGGCTTCCCAAGCCGACTGCAAGGGACCGTCATCAAGCATGTGGTGCTACGTTCTGCTTATCTCTTCACGTGTCGGTGCGGCGTCTCTTTTCCCAACCAACCGCTAGTAAAGCCCTAACCAGAACTAGCTGCCTCCGTACTAGGGTAGTCATCAATCTGTGACTGAACCTTGGCGCTTCGTCTGATTTTTCTTCTTTTCACCGGTTTCTATCGGTCGATCGGATTGAGTCGGTCTTTCACACAGCCCCTCTCTCGAGTCAGAGAGCTTCGATTTCCGTGGGTAGGGAGCAAGCCATCTACTCCGCGATATGTGCACGATCTTCGAGAGGGTTTCATACGTACTATGCACAATATGCACTATGCAACCAGTTCTGCACTAGATGAGTCAATGCGACTGCATCTCGTGCCGTTTTGTGATAACACACATTGCACCACGTACTATGTACACTCCCATCTTTGAACATTCCATCGGAAATTTCCTTTACTAAGTCTATCTCGGCTAGCTTATCACGTAGTACGAGTATGCGTTGTGTGAAACTCGTGGCTAACAAAGTTAACAAACACTGGAAAAGTACGAAAGACACAATCAGACACGCTAGCAACGAAATCAGACTAGGCATGCCGCATTAGGCAGGGGAATGTCTCGATCGGGCTGGTCAACTAGGCTGGGCTGAACTGTATCCTTGTAGCTCGTACAACTTGTAGCCTTGTACCACAGGATTCGTATCCTTCCTCTGCCCCGTTCTCGGTCTCCAGAGCCAAGGGATCGCTCCTTTCGGTATTGCGCGTAACCAGTGAAATTCGCTCAACAATCGACATGGGTTCCGCTCCAGCTTACACCTTTTCTCTATTCGGGTTACCTAGTCCTCTCCCACGTGGTGATTCACATCTAAAACACCCCCAAATCCTGCTTGATCGAACTCTAATTGTCCCTTGATTCGTTTTCTGTTGCCGCGTTTCCGTTGGGTCTCCTTTTTTCTCGGTATGACTTACATCTTAGTGAGATCTTCCCTCGTCTTTTGCTCCACTTATGAATTCGATTTGGTGAATACAGTATGGATATTCGCGTGTAGTCTCCTTGTCTGTGCTTGCGTGTGAAGATCGTTCAGCCATACGGTGTACTTACTTTTCTTGCTCTTTTATCTTCATGTTCCCATAGCTTATCCGTCCTTGACCGACTTTTCGCTTCTTCTTTTGTCATTAAAATCGTGTCCCACGCCCTTATTTCCGCTGACGTATAATCTGTTTTTGAGTCAACTGGGGGCCTGTTGGGGGCTAAATTTACGGATCTCGCGTGGCAGATCTGTTGAATACCTACACTGTATACATACATCGGTGTCACGCACACTCTTGCCATATTCTGCAATCTCGAAGCAGTCAATCTAGGTCACAATCTGTGGTCCATTATTCCATACAGCCACTCCCCGCATCCAGAACTTTTTACAGAAACCGCGGTCGGAGGTAATCTAAGATATTCAGAGGATCAAGAACAAAGGCACTCTCTTAGCAACCGATGGTCGCCCCAATCATCAGTCCGCCCATCATGTCGGATGCAACCAGGAAGTCCGGGTCGCGGATGTTGCGAACAACAGATGAAGATAGGCCATTTACCAGAGTATGTTCGGACCGCTTATAACTTTCTTTGTCTTACTCAATGCAATCAAAAAAACCAGGAACAATGGCTAACCTTCACAGGATTTCAAAGATCTCTTCTCAACTCTCATGGTTAGCCTTGAACTCGGTTCACGTCGAGTGCGATTTACTAAGATCGACTTTACCTTCACCGTGGAAGAAGCCTTAAACAACCTTAGCTCTCTTCGATTCACTCAATCCGCTCGCATGCCTGATCCCAATGACGCCTCTCGCATTATCACTACGACTTCGACGACCACATTCACAATGGCAAAGGAAATGGCACGCTCCATATTCCAGAACTTTATACAAGCGCGATTCTTGGAACCTCTAAACGCCACATTTTCGAGTCTCAGTAAAGGCACAGTATGTACAATGACGGCCAAGGGAATTGCAGTGCTGCACCGATTTTGTAACCGGAACGGTATCACTGCGCCGCATGTAATGAGAGTGTTACAGTCACCACGTAACAAGATGACTCTTCTTATTCTTGAACGCGATCTTACAACGGACAAACTGGTGGTTGATCGAGCGACCATTGAAGTAATATTCCGTCGTTTTGCCGGTGTTCAGGCGCCCGGTGCGATCAATGGCTCACCAGCCTGGGAAGATCGTACCGATTACCCGAATGGTCTTGTCGGCGTTGAGGGAATGCAAGACATTCGGGTAAACGGATCAAAGTATAAGTATGCCTTCACCGGCAAGTCCGCTATTAATTGGCTCATGGACTGTTGTACCACTATTGACGAACGCGAGACGTACCGGGTCTGCGAGCAGTTCATTGAGCACGGTCTAGTCATTGGCGTCGTTGAGGACAAGTCTTATATTGAAGAAAACGGCCAGGCTGCTCTCAACTTTCAACCTACACGACAAGCCATATATTCCCTCACGCCACGGGCTCTGAAAGTGTGCGGCTGGGCCGTATCTGATAGGCTATCAGATGAAAGCATAAATAGGAAGAGAGAAAGCAGGGCTGCCAATAACTCTCCAGCTTCATCCAATCCGGCGATACCGTCTGGTGCAACTGGTGATGTCTCCAATAAATCGCGGTTGCAGTATATACTCAACGACCCTTCACTTCGTCTCCTGTTCCGCGAGTATCTCGCTGCATCATTCTGTGAGGAGAATTTAGCATTCTATCAGGATGTGACGGAATATCTTGACAACTACAACAAATCCAAGATGTCGGATGAGCTGAAGGATTATCACAAGCTGCAAGATTATATTGCTGGCGTATTTGGTAAGTCTGGTCTTGTAATGAGAGCATTGACTGTGGTGAGGGAGATAATTAATATACATCTATAGGATTATACAACTCTTTCCTCGCGCCCGGATCGCCGTGCGAGTTAAACATTGATCACGCTTTGCGAAATCGTATATCCTCAGAAATGACTGGACTGAGCGGAGATGAGCAAAGAATTGCCCGCAATCTAGATGAAGTCGTCAGTCTCTGTCAGCTTGCTCAGGTGACCATTTTCAAGCTTATGGCTAGTGTAAGTATCCCAGTTCTGCTTTTTTGAAGTGCGTTCTGATCTAATCTGTCGCACAGGACTCCGTTCCCAAGTTCTGCCGTCAGCCTAGGTACGCGGTCATTCTGCAGGAACATGATTTTGAAACTATTTCTGGAAATGGCAGTCGTCCTGCTTCTCCAGTTAGTGCGCCGATGAGGTCAGCAGAGCGATAATCTGCGACTTCTGACATGATTTTGTTATGATTTCTGCTTTTGTCGGAGTTTGGATCGTTTACGATGTTTGGCAATGCATGATACACAAGCGTGACGACTTGACCTGTCAATTCTCTTTCCTTTCTACGCAGCATTCTTTTGCATGGTGGCTTTCTGTTTCGATTTTTAATTCTTGTTCGTGACTGTTGCATTACTGGTGGCTAGATTGCGTTCTTTCGCGTGGGCGGTTCATTTTATATGTTCATTTACCGACATAGACAATTGCATAATAGACTGATCATTATGAGAAATTGTGTCGGCTATCTTTGGATTTGGCATCAATAGAGAGGCTAGTAGAAACTGGCAGAAAACTGGGTTTCACAAATATATCGTTATATGTTCGGTACACTACATAATTAAACAAGATCTGCCTCCCACAAGCCAAACCAGTATCGTAGCTAAAAGTGACATGAAACAAAAATTAGAGGAAAGAAAAAATATGACACGCTAAGCATTAGCCACCTTTTGCATTTGCTCCTTCAACGGGCCCTTGAACCTGGTCTTAGCTCCGAAGAACCAGTCAATGACCAAAAGGATAGCCATACCAACGAATACGGGGCCGGAGTAATTCATATTCTCCGCTGTGACTGGTAGCATCGATGGGAAGGGGGTAAAGACGATGATGAAAAGGCCAAACACGATGGAATAGATATTCACCACCAGGCCAACCCATGGCCTCATAGTCCATGGACCCCAATTTATCTGGGTGCCGGACTTATCGAAACGTCGGAAAACGAGTAATATGATGGGAATCAGATATGAGATATAGAGCGAGCATGTGCTGAGGGCAAGGATTGCATTAAGTGCTGTGGTAGAGCCAATGTTGATTAGGGAAAGGAGAACGACAACCACACAGACAAGACCGATGGCACGAAAGGGGACGTGGAAACGGCTGTCAATTTGAGAGAAGAACTTGGAAAAGGGAAGTCCTCCGTCGCGAGCAAAGGCCCATGTCAAACGCGAAACCGAGGCGACGACTCCAATACTAGACATCAGTCCAATGGCGGTGATGCCGCATTGCATAGCAGTTGCAGCTTTTGCGGAGCCTGTGGCTTGATAAAATATGGCGATACTGGGAAATCCGGATGCAGGATCGAGAGCAGCACCGACGTCGCCGATGAAGAAGAGTAGGATGAGAACGAATCCGAAGGCTAACACGCCATTGATAACCACGGATTGTACGATAATACGTGGTACAACCTTCGCAGGATTGCGGACTTCCTCACTCATGTGAACGGCACCATCAAAGCCTAGGGCAAGTTAGATATCGCAAGAATTGACATGAGAGCATATAAGATCGACTCACCTAGAAAACAGTAGGTTACTGTAAGCATGCCGATACACCACGAAATGCCATCACTTTGCCACCCGCCTTCGCTCATAACCGTTTTGAATACGAATTCAGGCGTGCTTCGTGGTGCTAGCAAGATCAATGGGACAGAAAGCGCAATGAAGAAGACCACATGAAAGATCCCCCCGAAAAGCTGAAGAAGCGGCAGAATCTGAATACCCCAAACATTGACTGCAAAAGAGAAAGCTGTAAAAGCCCACATGAGCAAGGTACTCTGCCATTGGGTTGGATTGTATTCTGGATAGTTGATTGTGATCAACCCCTGGACCTGTTTTGCCACAAGCAGGAAGATACTAGTCGTTGATGACTGCCATGCAAAAACTGTAGCCCAGCCTTGCATCCATGTAATAAAAGGTCGAATTCCGGGCGGCGCAAACATCGCAGTCCAATGATACTGTGCGCCGGCAATAGGGCAAATGGAGGCCATCTCGGCCAGCGAGAAAGCCATTGCCAATGTGCCAGTGAGTGACAACAACAGTCCCCAGACCAACGAGGATGGACCGCCATTCAACAACGATGATGAAAGTGTACTTGCAAGACCTTCCCATGATGCGAGCAGCGTTACGGAGAGGGCGAGGATGGAGAGCGAGTCGAATTTTCGCTGCGCATCATTGTGTTAGCTCTTCATATACATGGAAAATATACTCCAACCCAACCAGAAATACTTGCATCGAGATTCCGCCTCCCACTCGATCCTGTAGAATGACCGTATGTTTGTCCGACATCCTTCCTAGAGGACTGAGGTCGCGTCGTCGGCCCCTCTTCGATCGTGATATTCCTTTTGTTATCGTACCGGCCCAATTCTATATCATTTCTCCCATCCATTTTGGTGCCTGTGCGCGCGGGGTCTATAACGATGGGTGGCGACGATGTTTTGTTGCTTTAATTTCGTGAACGAGGATAATGTTGTTTATTTGGTATTGGCGATAACAATCGACATGGCGACTATTCCGATTACTCAATCCATAACAGAAGCGCTCCGAGCGAACAAAGGGCCTCAAAGCCAGTAAAGACCGTCGATTTTAGTTGGTGAATTGGTCACAAAATTTGGTGGATGGATCAATCCCACGAAAATACTGGTGTACTGATGTTGAGGATAGAGTATATTAATGGCCACTGACAGAAATGAATAGAGAGGCGAAAATTACGCTATTCGATTACTGTCGCTGCTAATTCTACCACACAAAAGCCATATAGCGAAAGAGGACACAAGCTTTGAGCGCAGGAACAATCGCCGCCAAATGAGCAGATAAGAAATTACGCCAAAGCATATGACAAGAATAATGCGACTAACAATATGGGTCATTGGAGACTAGAATGCCTAGTGTGCAAGAAGTTTCAAGCCATTTATCTCGACTATCGTCCAGTCCGATCCGGATCAGACAATTGGAGCCGGCGCTACATTAGTTTAGGCCTAGTCCATGTCACAGCCCACTAAGCTTGGTAGTAATCACACATGATTGATTGATTTTCAGTACTTGCTAGTGATGACACTATCACGCCTTTAGGTTCTTTTCTCTCCTCAGCCCTGGACTGAATTCTAATAGGGGCCAACGACGGTTGGTAGGGTCTCCTATGAGTCCTATCGGAAGCACCAAGACAGATATACATCAATTAGTGTTGATGATCATTGTGATTCCATTGTACACTCGAGTCGAATCACCTTTGTTTTCAAACTTTTCAATCATTTAGCGATACAGTTGACATCGTGCAAAATCGTCCGATCAGTTCCGGTCGGCGCATTTCTGCGATTTGTACATTGAACTATGCGCCATATCCCGACAGGGGCTTACGCAAGGGAAAAGGATGTACTTATCAATAGCCAGGATAGGAAGGAGATTCATCGCCATATGCCAATGGCTGCCATAAAGTTTGATCGAAACTGAGGGTGTAAGAACTAGCTAGATTCTGGAACTGGAACGACTTACAAGTCTTGATTTAGCGTCCGAGACCCTCATCATTCCACCGCAGGCCGCCAGGCGGAGCAGTCTTTCAAGTCTCCTCCCCCATGTTTAGGTGATTAAGTTTTTCCTCGTGGTTAAAACTCGGTAGAAATTTGGCGCGAATTCCAAGGTCGGACATGTGTTTCGCTTAGGAAGAAGGCACCGAGGGGAGTGGCGGCAGCTTTTTCTGGGCCGGAATCCCACTGCGTACTAGCCAGCAGGCTGTGGACACGGATCCGTGGATTATATGGCTGGTTAATATAGATTAATATATGGCAACAAGGAGGCAAGAGATTAATGAGCGGTTTCTCATTGCTCCGGTTCGAACAAGTGACAAAGAAGAATACTTGTCGAAAAGCTCACAACACAATGAATATATGTTATCTAGTCTTGGAAGTACATGCACCTCTCGTCACCTCGAGAAAAAGTACGAGTGACAGGTGCCAGGATTATCCAGCGTGTGACAGATCTTCAGATTGTCCCGATTCCCGAGCCCCCAGGAAATTTCTCCCACCAAGGAAATGAGATGTGCTGATTGGACATTGCACAACCCTAACCTGCATAAATTAGCGAATTGCGAAGCACAGACGCTAACTAGTAGCAACATGTAACGCTCCAGGATAGTGGATCGCCGTGAATAAGCCTTCATCTTCCCACGGTACTTGAGAACATCTTCCAGACTCGCAAGACCCGGTGTGACGCTTTGAGACTCGGGACAGAGCATCCTTTCCTGTGCACTCCGTAGATGTGTTCACGTTTCTGGATTTGAACACGAGAAAATTGTCCCTGAGAGTTGCCCCGGAGTAACTCGGGATTTGGACCCCTTACAAGGTTAGATCACCTTTATTATGAAGCAACTACGATCGCGATAATATCATATGGTAGCAGTACTAATTTCTAGTACTTAACACTCAACCGAAATCACGCTACGTATCTACATCCCTGTATTATTGATTCAGACAGGGTACGGCATAATTCTAGGAACAACCGGACGCTAATTGCCATGCGGTGGGTGGTCAGTGGTCATTACTATCTTTCTATGACTTGCATTAGCCACTGATAAGTGCAAACAATAGGTGGAATATACGTAACTTGAGACAGATATCACAAATCTGGTCGTGCATGTACAAGTGTCATTTAAGTTGCGAGATAGACCAGCAAATGCCGAAGGATACTCGTTTAAAAACAGATTTATCTACTTCCGATCAATAGTCCGCTTATAGTGACAGCTCTAATGGTTTCCCTTTCTTCTACAGATCATGGTTCTGGCCATTCGTCCTCTTATCTGCAGCCATGACTCAATTAGCAAGACAACGACCCACCTTCAGCCACCTCATGGCCGATGGCGGAATGCGCCTTCTCTTCTCAGTTGTACGTACGTCCTTAGCAAAGAGTCTTAATTTCACGTGAGAATTGCTCCACCCAAATTACTCCATGTGCACTTCTACGCGATTCCGGACGACGATGATACGAGGAAGAACAGCGCCATCCAATCTCGTGTGTCAGCCTCCAAAGGGTGCGTGACCACCTACTTGATTGGATGCTTGATAGAACTAATGTTTTTAATTGTAAGCGCTTTGAAATTCATGAAGTAAGCTAAATCAGCTTGGTTTTTACTAGACTATTGGTGGCTTGTCTAAGCATTTTTGCTTTCGGAACAAGCAAAAGTCATGCACTGTGTTCCGCCTTTTCTAGGGCGATTCGTTTTCTTACGCAGGCGACATCTCTTTCATTTAATTTAGTAACCAGTCAGATATTTGTTCCGACTTCCTGGAACTTGTACCTGATGCGACTTGACTGTCTTATAGGTTGAGATAAAATAGCTTGATTCATGCGGGTCGCTTTTATCTTCTCATCGGTTCCTGCCAACAATCACTGTCCAATCGAAGGGAAAAATTGGACAAAATATAGAAGACGACACCGTGAGAAGGCCATCTCATCCCCTGACCCATCAAACTACCATATTCCTTGCTCTTACCCCGCGGCGGGCTTCGCGTGTTCATAAAAAAGGTCAAAGCTCGAAGGCCTACCTTTTCGGGGATCGAAAGTCGGAGACTCCTCGTAAGGTAGTACATACGTCAAGAAAAGTCGAAAAAACATTACAAAGATGGAATTGAACATAACAGGGGCAGGCACATTGCCACCGATATTTCCAATCACAGATGAAGACCATGGTGGTTACGCTGCTGTGTCTCTCTACACTCTCTTAGCTTTGAGTGTGTTTGTGGTAGCTACACGATTATCTGCGAGGTATTACATAGGGAAGGTAGTGCAGATTGATGATTATCTACTTGGATTTGGCACAGTGAGTGACACACAATACAGATTTCCGAATTATTTATCAAATGCTCGTACTAATCACGCCATCACATTCATAGTTAATAGCTATATTGCAAAGTGTGTTTGTGCAATTATCAATCAGTCATGGCCTGGGCAAAAAACAAGATATTGTGTCCACACATGACTTGGGTCTTTTTGAAAAGGTAATTCAGACTAGCTAATATGCCAAAACCACCGAACACTGCTTACTGACATGCGAAATAGTACATATATGTGGCCCAAATCCTCATGATAGTCTCTGTCGCTCTGAGTAAACTCTCCATCGGCCTACTTTTTAAAAGTTTGATGAATAGAGGGATCACTCTCTGGGCCAACTGGGGCTTGATCGGTGCGGTTATCGCGTGGGCTGTTGCATCGATAGTCGCTCTTGCAGCACGATGCTCATCGCCTCATCCATGGAGCTTTGTGGACGGAAAATGCGATTACCAGGTGAGAATCTCGCAATGGAAATACTATTCGGATGAGTAAGGTTCTAACAGAGCTTAAAATAGGTCGCCATGTTTCAAGGAATTGGTGCAGTCAATATTATCACTGATGTGGCCTTGGTTTTTTTGTCCTGCGCCGTGCTCTGGACTGTGCAAGTATCTTTGGGCAAGAAATTGCGAATCATCAGTTTGCTTGCGATCCGCCTCGTGTAAGTTTGTTTCTCTCATAAATTGTGGAAATTGAAAATTGACTAAGAATCAACAATAGCGTCGTTATTGCGGTGGCATTCCAGATACACTACTACATCATTCTCTCACAGTCCGCCGACAAAACATGGGCACAGATGAATGCAAGCATTTGGGATCAGTAAGTCTACTACCCTTCAGTTACGGAACGACTCTAACTATAAATCAGAGCTGTGTTGAATCTCAGCATAATCGCAACCTCAATCCCATCCCTGGGCCGTCTCGCCCACGAGTTGCAACCAAATGTCAACGCCTTCGCAATGACCGAGAACCACGGTCTTCGATCTCGCGACAAATACGCAATATCATCGCTAGCGAACCATTACCCACGCGAAACCGCCGAGCAGAATATGCTAGGCACGCATACTTCCATTCATGGAAGTGTCGATGGTGAAACGGAGAGCATGGAAGGACTCGTCAGAGATGGTATTCAGCAAAATGTTTTCATATCAAGGACTGTAGAGCTCAAAGTTGAGTAGAGATTAGATCATGATGTAAATTAATATTATATAATTTATTTGTGTAACGTTCTACTAAGGTATTTCAATGTGGCACAGGGTCTAAAGAATTCTACTATGAATCTCGGGTTGACTGCTTTTCCCCCTCGCTTTAAGGTTTGATAGCAAAGCCTTCAAAGAAGCGCGTTAGTATATCATAGTCTTTGAGACTACTGATTAGAGAAATATCTGGAGAGGATTAGAAGCTGTAGCCTTCGTCAAGTTTGAGGATGGAAATCATACAATGATCTGGACGCACAACCACGACCGCGCCTTCGCTTTTATCGATATTATATGTATCGTACGTGTGGCCATGACCAGAATTATAGCTTTCACAATCCGCGAATGTTTTGAAAAGATCTGCAATTGCAAGCATCAGGATCAGAGTCTCTAAGGATTTATATGGTCTGAAAAGCATACCTTTCATACGCCACTTGCCATTCACTGGTGTAAAATACTCCGGTATCTGCTCCTGCTCAATCTGAGCCGCTTCACCATGGAGTACCAATATAGGCTCAATAATAGAATCACGGTCGGCAGTAGATGGGGTGACTCGTAAAACAGGGCCTACCTCAGAGGACAGAAAGTCGGCCAGCTAGACGCAAGGTTAATATATGATCGTCAAACTAGCCTGAGTGGATTTAAACCCACCTTATTCAGTCTTTCTGAACAGACAGGAGTCGAAATATCCCCCGCAAAAACAACAATCCGCCATCTTCCATCGGCAGGAAATGCGCGTACCAACTGCATAGCTCTTGCATCACATAACCGCACAACCTGGGTGCTCGGAAATCTCATTCCTACAGTCAAACCGCTAGCCAGCTCAGGTCGACTGCTGGCGGCCGATGTAAATACAGAATCATCATACTTTGCAGTCAAACCAGCAGTATATCTACCAGCTTTGATGAAATGCTCCGGGAAATTTTCCGGTTTATGTTCCGCCTTTTTGGATGAAAAGATACTTGAGAAGAATCTATCAAACTCGATCAAATCAGCAGCAACCTTTTCTCGTTCCAGACAATACGTCTTAAGTATAGAGCTGGGCGCTTGCCCTTTCAGGATCGCAGCTAACTTCCATCCAAGGTTGTAACCGTCTTGAAGGCTGACATTCATTCCTTGACCTGCCTTGGGGCTGTGTGTATGACATGCATCTCCGGTTAGAAAGATGCGATAGTCTTTGTGAAAATGGTCGACAAGACGTTGTCCAATAGAGTATGCCGACCACCACATCGTCTCTGCAATGTCCATTGTATATGGCGCAAATATTTTTTTGGCTGTCTGGTGCAAATCCTCAAGGGTCACACTCTTGGCTACTGTGCCGGCCGGAAGCTCAATATAGAACCGAACAAGCGAATTTCCTTCTCGGGGGATGATCTTGGATCCAATCAGACATTAAACTCTTTGAATAGGGGAATGGAGAGAACATACCATCAAATTTCCACTCTTTGTGTGTAGTGTCACCTTTTTCCGGATATCTGGGAAGTTTGTTTGAGGATAGACATCCATTACTCCCCATACAGCGTCTGTACTGTCACCAATCATTTTATATCCAAGTGAGCGTCTTACGGTACTATGCGCTCCGTCGCATCCCTTTTTTACATTTAGCACACGCGCATTGAAATTATTTGATATTTTGGAGAGTCACTTACCAGGACATATTTGGCACGCATGGTTGTTTCCGGCCCATCCAGTCCCTTCTTAGCCACGACCACACAAGGAAAATCCGAGTCACCCTCCAGATCTACCGTGACATTTGTAACATGCCAATCATAATCAACTGCTATTCCGGCATCATCGTGCATTTTTTTGAGTAGCATTCCATTCATTCGTGCTTGATTGAGGATAACATGTGGATGGTGTGAAAGTCCAGGCATGGTGTCGGCCGTCCGCCTCGTTCTCACCAGTTGTTTCGAGCTGGACGCAGAATCTTCCTTTTCAGCCCAAAAGCAAACCTCCAACACATGGTAAGACTCTTTGAGTAGCTGTTCTGAAAGACCAAACGACTCGAATACTTCCACTGTACGACATTGAACTCCGTCAGCCTGCCCAATCTGCATCGGACCCGCGCTTCGTTCCAGGATCTTGACATTGTCCGCAGGAATGCCTGCGCTGGCCATGAACGTAGCAGCACAGAGACCAGCTGAGCCAGCGCCACATATAATAATAGGAATTTTCTGAACAGACATGATGGCCAGCCTAGCTAATTTGAGTTCAAACTTCCTTTGTAGTACAAAATATGAAGGTTGCGGGGAAGGTTTAGACGAAGGGTTCTTGATCCGGGGTAATTGACCCACATGCAACGTCGAAATAAACAAGTCTATACTTCAAATAGAGGGCTGTTTGATATGTGAAGAATGTATAAGGACTTATTAATGGAATATTAAATAGCTATAGAGTAAACGATTTGTAGTCTTGTGTCTATCCATGAGTTGTGAACATAACCGAGGGCATCCGTCCGAACGGCAAATATGGAACGGCAGTTCATTGTAGTCCGGAAAAGTTCAAAGCCAATATATGGTTTGGAATGGCTTCATGGATATCCAAAAGCAATCAACCCTTAATCATTTTACGGGAACGAATGTAATAGATTGAAATTCATTGCCGAAATCCCTCTCGGCTTTTGGCTTGAACTTTTCCGGGGCCATGTGAAGCTACAAACTCCGGCAAATTTAAGTAGACAACTTGCCGAGAACTAGTCTTATATAATACTTTGCCTGACTGGAAGATAACATTATCATCAGAATTTAGTAGTCATTGATTTGTACAATCTATTTGAAATCAATGCAATATGCCTGACCCTGAGAGCATGAGCTCGGTGACCGACTTACTCGATCAAGTAATTGCTAACCTTTTCAGCCTCGCTATTAAGAAACAGTCTTACCCCTTTTGGGCAACTTTACACAAGAACAACGTCAATTTTGCGCGTGGAAAGAAGAAATGTAGAAGATTCAAGATGTTCATGCTCAAACGCCGCGACCATGCAAGGAAACTACTCGCCGATCAAGACTACTACCTTAATCGTAGCCAGATTCTTGTTCTTTGCCAGAACAGTTTTCAAAGTAATTTGCAAAGGCAGTGCGTTATCTTATGATTCCGCAACAACTGCTTCCGCCACCGTTTTGGGGACTCTGTCTTGTAGACTACATCTTGATGTCAGTAAAGCTTGTAATAAAGAGMCCTGCCATATTGTACAAGTAGCTCGGATTAGACGCTAGAAACTTACTACCAATAATTCACAAAGCGCATCATCTGGATTGATTGAGCGCCGACATTGACTGTGTGCATAGCGAATAGCAAGTAATTTTTTGGCCTCACTGCGAGGGAATATCTCATTAACAATGCCGAGCAAACGATGAATGCGCCTGTCATTCGTCCTGAGATGCTATATCATGACGAACTGGTTAGTCACAGCTCATTTGTAAGTCTTGAAGCATAGAAGCCGATCAGACAAAGAAAGTACAAAATAAAGGCAATCTCACATTTCAGGGTCTTTCTTAATGTCCGAGACGGCAGCAATCGGTATACCAAAATTGGAGGCAGGGCCCCAGAAATCTGGCGAAGTCAATACCAGTTATTCCAGCAGGTAGATTGCAAGACGTACGTGTTGAGCAGAAGTAATCGAGAGTCTTATTAGAGCGAATCCTCGCGTTGATAGCTTTGATGGCGGCAAACATATTGAAACTAAAGCACTTTTATATTGCGCAACAGCAAGAGGAACTTCTAGAAAGTTGGAATATATCCGTCAAATCCGGTTTGATTGGACAGTAGACAGAATGGAATGAGATTCAATAGACCTTGAGAATCAAATATCGTGAGAATTGTCATTACAAAACAAGTAAGGGACGGCCAGAAGAAAAGTTCTGCGAACATTCCGGAGATTCACGGCTATCCACGGCTAACCCGAGTTCTCCGTGACTCATTGGCTGTCAGCCTCCGCTGTCGGTCGGACTCTCCACGATTATGTCACCGCCGACCGATATCGGCACTAGCCCTAACCCTACCCTAACCCTTTTTCGTTCTCCGGACCTATACAATGCAAGACACTCCTTTCCAAAACATCTTCAGATGACACCTAGTGGAACTTCTGATCTTCGTCCAATATTTGGTCTCTTACTCAATGCCCTGATATCCTCCACGCTCAAGCCCTCACTTCCATCGGGCTTCATTTTGGCCAGTACCTCCCTAGACCACTCGTCCGGGTCAAATTCGACACCAAGTGGGTTCTCTGCAAATTCGTTGCCTTTCATATATGCATCGGCCTCCTCCATTGTTTGGAAGTTATCAAATTGCATCTCGATCTTGTTTCCCAGCGGGTCATGATAATATAGGGAAGTGGTAGGGCCGTGGTTGATACTCCAAATCGGCATTAGTGGATCGTTTGGACGATCGCGTAGACTAACATAGACCTGTGCCAGTTCCGTCAGAGTCTTGTAGGTAAAGGCGATATGGTCCAGGCCTGCTCGTGGTAAGTCATCTGAGGCAGGGACGGTAAGTCCAGGAACGGCTAAAATGGCGATTCGATGGTGTTCTTCATCAAAGGACAAGAAGGCTATCTTTCCAGGGTCTTCGTGTCGGATGCTTGCATTCAATATTTCCAAGTAGAAATTGACCAATATCTGATATTTATCTGGAGTTGTGCGAAACACAACATGCGCCAATTTCTGCGGCGAAGGAAGGCCTCGACGACGAGAAGACATCTGATTTTAGGTGACTATGGGGTATTGTTTGCAAGATCGTGGATGATCACAAGAAAACAGACGCCTTGTCAACGTTATGTCTGCTTTTTTAATACTTCATCAGTGGAGGAACTCTAAGCTTGCATGACGTGGAATATGGCTCTGATTCGCTCAACACTCATCGAATTTAAATATCAACTGCTCTTGTTCGCACTTTAAGTTCCGAGACATCCTAAGTATTTAACCCTGTCAGGTGAGTGATTGTCGATCGATGATCACGGAAGAAATTCATGGATATCCGTATCTCCGTCAAATCGAACAACTAGTGTACTAATATTCCCATTATTATCATCACAGTTGACTCTACTACCCAGTCAAAATACAACTCTGCTCTACGTTGTGTGTACTACTTAAGCACAAAGTAATTAGTGTATGTAACGCTGCTGAGCGTTACCCCAGACTCCCCCGCAGCCTATTTAGTATGTCGCCCGATTTTATATTATTCTGGGGAAGAGATCAAATGAAGTTGTCTTCATTCAATTTGCTTTTCTGTTTCGCGAACTCATGTCACACAACATAATCTGTCATCCTCGGGCGACAGGACAACCGTAGGTAGCTTCCGAGCCATCTACTTCGCAGCACTCTGTTGCATTGGGTAAGTCTTGTTCGTATGACACCGGAATCCTCGGAAGTGTCCTCGCCTTGCAGGCATTCGAGACCGATTTTTTCTACGCGAAGGGCCAGGCAACAAACATCAACTCGAACTTTGTCGCCATTCTCAAGGCGGTGCTTTAATTTTCTAGTATTTTATTGATGGCATTGTTCAGATTATTAATACACATTTGATTGGTGCCTTATATGCTGGTAGGATCATCTCCGGGCTACGTGTTGGTGCTGCTCCCGTCTTGCTCCCTATACTCTCTGGGGAATCGACGAAGAATATACGAGGTCAACCCGGATCGTTCTTTCAATTACTTTTTTTCTCTTGGTGTACTTTTTAGCTATCGGTAAGTACATTAAATATACTAAGTTCTTCCTCTTTGGCAATTGGTCACTGATGTATGCTTTATTAAGGTTAATTACGGAGTGCAACGGTACATCAAGCTGACTATGCGGCAATGGCAGATTCCAATCGGATTAAAATGCGTTCCTGGCTGGCTGATAGGGCTGAGAACACTTCTAGTAAAAGAATACTTCTGAAGTTAGAGCAGAGTTTGACGAAACCCCTGTAGGTCTTCAAGAGATCCGGGCTACTGAAGGCGTTACATGGAAAGAAGTGCTGCTTCCTGCAAATCCCCTCCGGGTCTTCGTGGTAATTACCATGCAACTCGGGGTGCAGCTGACAGGTAACACGCCGCTGGCATACTATGCGCCGCAGATCTTCAACGCTATCGGGGCTGGCCACTCTGCTTTGCTAATTACGGGCTTTTTGGTGCTGTCAAAACCTGTGCGGCGTTTTTCTGTCTTTATGTCCTCGGCAGGATCCGCCGAAAGACAGCGTTCAGGAGCTGTGCTGCAGCAGTGGCGAGTTTCATGCTTGCTATCGCCGTTATTGACGCCACACACCCACCCTCTTCGTCCAATAGCCACATAAGCAGCGCATTATTAAAGCTATTGCAAAGGTTTTTCATGGATCAGCCTCATATAATAAGTCGTAGAGTCAGGTGTCATGGATATATTTTGGTGAGATTTTCCCGACACGCATTCGTGACTTCAGCATCACCATTGGTGCAGTGGCGTAATGGTTATTCAATTTCATGCTATCTGAGATTACGCCGATGTAGGAAAGTCTCCGAAAGAAATGGAAGCTGTATATGAGTCGAAGGAAACCGCCATCGACACCGAGAATAATCGTGACAAAATGGCAGAGTAACCTCGATTGGAGCACGCAGAATGAATAGTTCTTCATCGTGTTTAAGTCATATATATAAGACAATGAAAAAAAAAAACGGCAGTTTTTTATGAAAAGACATCCATCAGGAGGAAAGGTCTTTCGTGATTGCAGGGCTTTGGGCTGTCAAATGACTCGAACTATCATTTGTTATTTGTCGATCCGTTATGATATATTAGATATGCCCTTATCAACGCTATCATTTTCCGCTTTGGTGTATTTATATTACCTAAATAAAAATAAATTGAAAGGAGCTATTTACTTTCGAGAGATATATTCCTTGGGGATTTTTAAGTTACAAGCTGCGAACTTCTACCTGTATGTTCACTCGCGTAGTTGCACCAAATCTGGATTCGATAGTCCAGGACCTAGGCTTTAAAGTCAAAGTCAGATATGTGAACAACTGAGTTTTCCATGCATTAAACTCCGAGAAGTTTTGTTGATGACTACTTGCTACTGGTTGAGTTGTATAGCCGGCATCCGTTCCTATGGGCTGGGTCCTTTTATGACATTCTCACAATGCAGCTAAAAAGACCAGTTTACGCGATGCGAGCCGAAACTTGACATGAAAGCCTGTAATTTCGAATTATTCGGTGCCATTAAACTGGTTGTGGATGCTTTTAATGAGCTAAGTGGTTGTTCGGGGCAAAAAGTGACCTGTCAAATGAAGTATGTGATGTGTCCCGGGGCTGACGAAATCCACAAATTTGGACTCACACTAGAGCATGCAGACAAGAATAGCTGTGCAGATGAGCCACCCTGACGGAAAGAACCCCCCATGCATTTTTCAAGAATGCGTTTCACACAGTGATACTCCGACCTCTTCATTCTTTCATTCGGAGGATAAGAGACATCAGATACCTCCAGTTGGAAGAACCGACGGTGTCTTCGACAGAATACAATAGCATGCCTTTTTGTCTACTCATGCCGACCACAAAAATGTTCAAATTGTCCAAATCTCGATTTAGCACCGTCGTTTCCGAAGGTAGCTCCCGCATATCATCGGTGCAAAGCATGGACTTGAAAAGAGACCCTTCCGAACCGAGTCAGCAAAAATGTAAAGAGCTGCAAACACAGATCTTAAATATGTGGCGGCGAATATGGCTCSGKCTCTACCAAGTCCACGACAACCACGGACCTTATCATGTGGAAAGATTGACCCAGCTCTATTTGGGAGCAGGGATGGCAGTTCCCGACATGATTAATAAACCGGAAGACTCATATGGACGCTACAAAACAGCAAAAGGTCCATTAGGATTGCTAGGATGTGCACTTGCGAGTCAAGGTGTCAGCCGCCTAAGGTTGTTTGAAGGGTTGTCAGTGGAATCACTCAAAGCAGTCATCCAGCTTTTGGAATCGTATAAACATGAAGTTGGTGCACTGGGCGAGGTTTATGAGCTTTTGCGCAGTCTCCAGGTCGGTTTGCGGGAGACAACGGATCACGACGAGAAAGCTGTATCGGAACATTTTCCGCCACTGGCAGAGCCACTTGCTCGACGGCTCATACATCTTGATGCTAGGTTGGATGTTCTTGTGGCGGATTTGGAGGATGAGCACATGGAAGCATTCGGCGATTCGATCGAGAGAAATGGGTGGCTAGTGAAGGATAGGGTATTTCCTAAAAGAAACTTAACCCCGACGAAGCAGTCGCAGTAGACATGAGACTGATTTATTATCGTACCATATGAACAACGCAATTTCCTCAGCACCTTAGCAGAGCAATTTAAATATTGGACCCCAGAACTAAAGATCGAGTCGTATGAGTCGTAAGCTAGATTACGCTAAAAGATAGTATTGTACATTATTCCAAATGGGGTATTTCAATGCGCTGGCTGCCTAGCTTACATCTAGTAGAGTTTTGGACAAAAGCTTGATTTTGATTTGTAAGAACAACATCAGAGCAATTGATTCAATCAATAATAGGGTCAGCAGTAGATGCATTGTCCCTTCTCCGAATAGCGAATATGCGGACATTGTAATTCCGATGCTACGCTGTTTATCCCAACAACTGTCCTAGCGAATGCAAAGTAAACAAGCTTGTCGATGTTGCTGTTTGATGAGAATAACTAACTAGTCCAAGATGAGCATGTATACCAGATCATCCCGTATGGTAAGATGTGGCTAGCAAGAATCGTCATCTACTTAGTGTAGAGCGAGGGAGCCGGAATCCCCGAAATCATTTGTTACTAATGAGAAATAGAATCATTCCCTGATATTGTCCTCCTTCAGATGTACTACATGCTACCAACTAATTTTAGAAGGCGACAGTAGAATTCAAACTTCCGTGCGTACAGATGTAGCAAACTATTCCCAACACCCTACGGTATTAAGTACTATGCTAGCTTCTGCTACATCCTTCCCGCTACTAATGTTCCTCGATAACCGTACTAAATTAGTTTATACTCTCTATCCTTGCTGGTGCCAGAAGTGGAACGCCTATAGCAACTCAGCCCTCTGGCAGGAGTTTGCGATGCCAACTCACGATTGAGCAGGCTAGCGAAGGTTGAAGGGCACTTTTCTATCGGATGATGTTTGGTAATAATCCGTGTAAGGATGCTGATAAGAGATGGATGTATATAATGGGGATCTTAATGCATGATCTACCTAATGAAGTCTTTTTTGCGACTTTGTGGAACTTTTATGTCAAATTCCCTGCAGGATGACTAAACAAGACCCGGAACATTTGACACACACTTTAAAAGAAGATATAGAGCTGAAGAGCGAGCCCCACGACTAGTCCTTGATCTAAAAACTTCAAACATAATACAGGAGTTACAGCACATTCCAAGAGATTGGTATAGAACGAAGTATTAGTAGGCTTATTAGGCGATGTTGCTTAGGGTAAATGCTGTGATTTCATGTGCGACTAGTGCAAAGGAAGTGGTATGCAAAGAATCATGTAGCTTACATTAGCGTAGCCAGGATATCTACCTCCTCTTATAAGGCAGCGCGGAATTTCTGTTTGCTTTCCTACCTGGGCAAGTATATAGCGTGTGGGAATGATACCCTGGCTGATTACACGTATTTGAATGACGCGGAACTTTTCGGAGAACTGTAGGCTGATGCTGTATGGGTCAGATTGTCACTGTACATTCAAGCTATCGTATTTCACGAGGTTGATACCTAGGCTTAATTGGGAATTTCCAGCGGGTTAGGGCTCTAGAACTATATTGTACGTAGGTAGTATATCTTGATTAGTTTTGATTAGAAATACGGACTTTTTCTTGCGCTAGCTGCACCCTTTTATCCTTCATCCGCATTAGTCTTGAAATGCTAATTATATACCCAATCTAATCTAGTACTGCTACGGACATGACACCCCCTTGGTCGTGACGAAGCATGGTTCGGGACGTTTTGGTTGGTCGTCCATATCTACACGGTAGCCGCAGCAATTATTACGGTGGATCTTCAGTGACTTTATAAAGGCGTGAAATGTTGGTTTCGTATAAAGTACCCCTCACCGAACTGAAGATCGTCTCATTAGGATTCTCGCCCCAGACCCTGGTCGCTAGTGATTACAGCATATATAATCGCGCCCAGTAGGAGATGCACAAGTAATGCTCATCTATGTACACTACTTTCAGCCATGCCGCGGCCACTACCATGGATTTTTGCCTTTATCCGTAGCCGACAAATCACGATGAGCAAAAAGGTAGAGTCGTATATAGCACAAATCGCTGCATCAAGGGTGTCTCACGTCATACGTGGGATTAGTATAAGTAGTAATAAAGCCGTCCATCGACCGGGGAATCGAGAAATGATTTAAGCTTTCTTTCGGGGCCTGAACTCTATTTCTACTTGGCACCCTGGCCTGATCCTGGTTGAACTCAGCTGTCAATAAACTCCACCGAAGGCATAACCTAATCCCTGGGAAGTGCCATGTCGACTGCCACATTGCCCCCTAGCAACCAGCCCAAACGCGCGTCATGCGATCGCTGCCACTCTCAGAAGCTACGATGTCCACGACGAACGGCTAATGATGAAGACAGCTGTGCACGGTGCTTTCGTCAGGGTGCCGCATGTGTGTATAGCTCCCCGCTCCCCAAGGGGCGCCCCCGCGGGAATAAGTCCACCATGAGTCGCGCCACAGAAACCGAGCGTTCAACGTTCAATCAAAGCAATCGCAGTAGCAACAGTACCTGTAATAGCCTCTTACCGCCAAACCACGTACATGCATCCTCACTCCTCCCGACACTCGATGCCTGTCAACCCAGCACTGGGTTTTCTGAGGAGGAATTGGGTTTCGTCGCCAATTCCTGGTCAACATCCGATTGGGATTGGACATCAGAGGACCAAGCTTTAGATACCCTTGCATCTTTACCCATTGGTGTTACTATAGGTGCCGAGCCGAGCGAATTGATTCCTCAGTCCCTTTCACATCCACATCCTATTCTCTCAGCCGCACTAGAAAGCTTTGATGATTTCTATAGCCATGAGAGAATACCTCCATCGTCGTCTTTGCCATCTCCTTCACGCATCGATGATACTGAGCTACGCGTCGAGCAGCTGTCGGAGCTCACTTCTCGCCTCTATCTGATTTACAGGGCCAGTTGTGGGCTCACCGGCGTACCCCAAAATGAACATTCAGGCTCTCAAATCACCACAACCGTGTTCGAAGCTGTCACAACCTTGTTTCAAGAAGATGCGGCCCCGATGGCGGGAAACACAATTTACAGTTCTTTGAACGAGACTTTCACTGCTTGCCGGACGCTGCTGGAAATACTTTCCCGACTGCTGGAGAACGTCGAACCAGGTAGACCGGGTAATAGGACTGGACCACCCCAGAACCAACCTCCACTCCCGGGCCAGCCTACCAATTCTAGAGCAAATATCAATAGCATCGGTACCAGGACCGGCGGTGACTCACAGGAGCCAGTCTTATACCACATGACGACCACCTGTTATAATCTACTTCTCTTGATTCACGTCACTCTAATTAGCGCACTCCATCGTGACGCTATCTCACACGCTTCACGGGTAACAAATCCGAGCTTGGTCACTTCTCCATCTTCCTCTCCCAACTCTCAATCTATGTACTCAGCCCCCTCTATGGTGGAGCTGCAGCTAGTTTTGCTAGTTCAGGTCATGACATACTTCCTTGACCGGTTACAGCAGACGATGGGCGCTTATTCAGCACAGGTTGCGCAGCACCAGAGACGTCGGTCGCTAGACAGACTTGTGGAAGAGCCAGATGAAATGTTACCATACCAGATGGTGCCTCCAGACACAATCTCGGCGTTGGAGAATAGGGCGAGATCGAAGCTGAATCAGCTGCGACGGGCATTACATGATTCTCGTTCTCGAAATTGATCTAACTTGGAAGTGAAAGTTTGCGAAAAGTTATAGATTTAAGCGTGTGTGGAAACGCGCCACGGCCCTGGAAGATTGGAACGTATCAAAGTAATAGAGATAGATAGATAGATAAATAAATATGCATATATAATAGTCAAAAGGAGTACGCCGTTTCGGACAGGAAATTCTTTCGGAAACAGAAAATAAACACACTGCAAAATAAGACCACTTTGTGAATCTCAACATAAAATCTTATGCTCCGAATACTGCTGACAAATTCGCTAGTCTGTACTAACAAACATACGCGGAGCAATCTCTCTATACTCAGTGTATCATGATAATCGTTAGAGAAAGCACTGCGGTAGTGTGTATGTATCTTGGAGGAGCCTAGCTGGTTGATTCAAGAACTCTTTTGACAGAAACACGAAGCAAGCTGATAATTGGGTACAAGATGGACGGGAAAAAAGTGTAGAGACCGGGGATTGACTACTGTAATAGAATAGGGACGCGTGTGAAATGCAGTTGGTTTTCCTTCATAGCCCAAATGCTTTAAGTCAGGAATTGATTCAGTTGTATGGTTAGGGGTGCATTGCGCTCCCTTTCAAAAAATTCCCGCGGAAATAGCAAATCTGTGAGATAGACGGTCATTTCTGTGAGCCAGGATTTGAGAGCCACAGGACCTCCGCATTTATATATGAAAGATGATTTCTTGCCAGTATATACCTATGTATACTCCATTACAACAGGTTTGAGCTTTCGACATAAGTTACGTAGTGTCCAGATAAATGTGAAGCTGCACAAATCAATAAATTAAATTCTTTCGGGCTTTGCTGTTATGAAACAAGAACTAAAAAAAATATTACGAGAGATCGGCAATGGATCTTTTCAGCACTTACCTTGATACCGTATCAACTTTTCCACGTGTGCTTGAGGCTTATATACAGTGACAGCCCGCGCGCTTCTCATTGGCACGGAGGCTGACGGGGCTTTTGCAAGCTTTGCTAAGCTTTGTAGATACTTACTACTTACGCCGGAGCCGTACATCTCACTCTAGTGAAATTACATACCTAGTTAGGGGTGCGTGCACTACTTACTGATGACATTCGCTTCATTATTTAATGGTGCAAAGCAAATGAGGTAGTAGCTAGTTGGTGTTGATGCGTATAGTGTATAGCGGCCATAGCGCATAGTCTCCGTAAACTACGGGTACGCCTTCATCGCCCTAAAAAAAACCCTGATTGCCATTTATAACATATACCGCCCATTTGAGATACATAGCATCCATTCCAAGAACAAAGACAGCACACGTGGGTTGCCTACATGAAGACCAGTCAGGATGCTGTCGAAGACTACCCAGGTATAAAACTGGGTGATTTTGCCGGTCGTAAGCAAATCTTCGTTTTCTTGAAGTCAGTAACGATTGGTCTTCCAAATTTTCTTCAAGTACCCAGAGCACTACATCCACGATGCATGTCTTCGCTACTGCTGCCACGGCTGCTGCGGTCATGGGCCGTGTGGTCTCTGCGCAATACAGCTTGCCCGACAGCCAGGTTCCTTTCCAGGGTGGTAACGTCTTCAAGCGCAATGACAGCGCAGTTTCCAACTACACCTTCTCTTATAAGGTGCCATTTCAGCCTACGCATTATGGTGGCTACTATACCTGGGCCGTGAACAACAATACTGTCGCCGGTGCAAACTTCACTAGCCCCCATATGCCGAATGGATATGACTACATCCCCGACGGGTCATTCAAGATCAACCCATACTTCATGGTCAACGAGGGTACACCTAAGTCCCTTAACAAGACCAAGCTCTTCGGCAGCTGCAAGTCCTCACGTGCTCATGCTCGGGATGACTCTCCCTGTGAGTTGAACGACCAATGCGAGGGCAAGGTCCAGAAGATTGTGCATGTCATCTTTGAGAATGAAGTCTACAATTGGACTATCTCTGATCCCTTCTGGAAAATGCTCGCCACCAAAGGCAAGTCTTTGACAAATTCTCACGCCATCACTCACCCTTCCCTTCCCAATTACGCTGCCATCGTTGCTGGTGACTTCTTCGGCATGGCCAGCGAGGACTTTTACAACGTTATTACTACCACTATATACGATCTGCTGGACCTCAAGAACATTTCATATGCTACCTACAGCGAGTGGTACGACCCAATTGCTACTCACCGTGGCCCCAATGACTGCAACAACTACATCACCAACGGTCCCATCGACAGCACTAACCCTGACTGGAACAGCCAGATCTATCGCCGTCTGGACGTCCCAGCTCTTCTATTCTCTACATACACCACCAACTACGAGCGTTGTACCAAGTTGTATGATGCCAATAACACTTTCTACGATCACGTCATGAGCCATAGTCTCCCAGCGTACACCTACTTTGTGCCGGACATGCTACACAACGGTCACGACCCCGAATCCAACAGTGACTATGTCCACCAGCCTGAAACTGCTGCCATCTGGTTCAACTCCTGGCTCGATCTATACCTCCCTGAACTTGAGGCTCAGGGCGCCCTTGTCGTTGCTACCTTTGACGAAGCTACCTGGACAAATGATGACGACTACAACCCTAACAACGACAACCACATTGTGACTATGCTCTTCGGTGCCGGTATCACTCCTGACACCACAGACGACAGTTACATTACTACTTACGGTTTCTTGCGAGGTGCTATTCAAAACTTCGGTCTTGGTTCTTTGGGCCGAAACGATACAAACACTACCAACGGCAACCTTTACGATCTGATCTACTAAACCGAATGACAAAGTTATTCCAGCAATCATTATCCCGTGGTTGTGATGCTGATGCTCATACCTGATTACGCGCGGATATGGCACCTGCGCGTCAGATATGTGTCTTCGACTGCCTGTCCACGTACAAGCCCCTTTGATTCCTACTTTCACATGCTCATCTTGTCGTTTTTCTCATGATATCGCTCGTGATATCCTATATATTATAATTGCTAGACTAGCTTATAGAAATATTCTCCTTTTGGTACAGCTTTCTACCTAATATATATCCGTATCCCTGAGGGTTAAAGTACTTGAGATGCATCTTATACATCCAAAATATGGACAAGTGATTAAACCCGCGACGAGTACTCATTACTATCCCACTACAGTAGTACTAGAAGCATCAATCGATGCTCATGTATATACGTAGGGAGGAGTATTTCAAATGCTACCGTTACCTATGTAGTTTATGGTAGGAAAATAGAATTACTTGATCGGATGAATGGATATAATTGATTGCGGAATGTTACTTAGCTATTTCACTCTGGTAATGTACGTACACTCAATGTTGAAATTCGGTACATGATTAAAATGGACGCCAAACTGGAACCTTCATATCTTATTACCACACATATAATCATCTTCTCGATTCCAAAATCTCCATACCCCCATCCTCTGTTGCTCCCTCCATGCGCAGCGTCTGCGAAGTAACGAAGTATTGCAGCCCAAGGGCCTTCATTCGCCCAACGAACTTCAACAATGGCAATCTTGGTAGGCCCTTGTCTCCACGCCGAGCCTCAAGAAACGCCTGCATATCGGCTATCTCAATACGAATAGGGCATTCATGGTGGTAAAAGTCTAGGATTTTAGCCGCCTTCGAATCGTATAGAGCCGTTGCTAGCTGACTAGCCGCCACCTCCACGGGTAAAATTTCAAAATGGCCACGAATCCCTGTAAAATCAGGCATCAGTGACATCTTGTCAACGAATGTGATAAAGTCTTCTAGTGCCGCCGTTACAGTAGATACAGGCGTTGTGGTCGATCCTGGTACGAAACGGTGAATGGAGACTGAGACATTCAGTGTTGACGCCGCTCGCTCGAGGACTTGCTCAGATACCCATCGACTGGCCGTGTAGCCGTTTGAGCCATCTACAGGGGGTGGATACGCTGATGTGGACTCGGCTTTGTTCGGAACGTCTTGGGGCAACACACCGGCAGTAGAAACGTAATGGATTGGGACTCGGTGCGCGGCAGCCATGCGAATAAGTTGCTTGGTGGGAAGCACATTACTTTGACGGAGAAGATGGTAACTATCCCAGAAGGAACGTACCGCCGCCATGTGAAGGATAGAGTCGACTTCGTTCACGAGCTTCATAAAAGTTTCCACACCTAGACCGAGCCATTGCTCACTGAGATCGCCACGATGGAGAATGATTTTGGGTGACGAGATAGMAAGCTCGCGAGGTTTGCCAGTCGGCTTATCGCGMAAGCCGATGCAGTGAATCCGGGAGATCTCCGAACTGGCGACGAGCTGCTGGAGAATATGTTTACCTAAGAAACCACCTGCGCCCGTGATGAGTACGACCTTGTCAGTGCTCCGGACTGAACGAAGACTGGAAAGTGCACCAGGCAGGGTTAGGTCGGGTAGGGCAATTTCATGCTCCCAGTCAATTTGACGCGCAGAACTGGTACTCTCCTCGATACGTTGCGCCATCTCGCCAAGGGTGCTGGCCCCCAGAAGATCAACTAGTGGCAGTGTCACATTGAAGACATAAGTGATGCGCGACTGTAAACGAACCGCAAGCAAGGAGTTGCCGCCAATGGAGAAAAAATCGATGTTGGGGGTTATTTTAAGCCCAAGTTCCTTGGTCTTCAGGACTTCTTCCCATATCTGGCGTAGTCGAGTCATCGTCGGTGACAGTTGTAACTGTTCACTTGTTTCATCGGAGCTGGTCGCCGATATAACAGGCAGTGACAGAGCCTTGAGAGCCTTGCGGTCGACCTTGGAGTGGTTGCTGAGCGGCATGCGTTCTAGTGGTATTGCCATTACTGGAATCATGTACTGCGGAACTTGGAGCTTGCGAAGTAATTGCTGCAAGTACAAAGTAGTGTTAGATATAGTGTGATGGGGTGCAAAAACGACATGTGCGACCAAGAACGGAGGATCGCCGTCGCGAAGCGTAACTGCAGCCTCCTTTAGAGCACCTTCTGCAGCCGCGACAATGTTGCTCTCAATATCACCGAGCTCAATGCGAAGGCCCCGTATCTTGACCTGGCTATCACCTTCGACACGGTGATGGAAGACCATCGCTCCGTCACTCTGGAGGTGGGCTATGTCGCCTGTGCGGTACATGCGCGTCCATCCCTGCGCAATATACTCCGGTGTCGCATATGGATCAGGCACAAAATGCTCATCCGTAAGGTCCTGGTTGTCGAGGTATCCCAACGAGACACCTGCGCCACCAATCCATAGCTCGCCTGGCATACCGATAGGAACAGGCTTGCGCTGCTCATCAAGGATGTACGCGGTATAGTTTGGCAGGGAGTAACCGCATGGTATGCGACCTTGTGGCGGTGGATCGCGATACGCAATTTCCATTTTGGTTGATGAAATAGAGATTTCTGTTGGACCATAGGAATTGAAGAAGCGGAGCGCAGGCAAGTCGAGTGCTGCTAGCGATCGGGTAAGTGTGCTTGTGAGTGATTCCCCGCCCCCAAAAGCAAAGTGCCAGCTGGAAGCTTGCTTGAGATGATCACGGCCGTAGTCCAGCCAGAGGGAATACTCCGCCGGCGTGGCCTTAGTGTAAGTAATGCCTTCGTCTCGGATGATCTTGGTGATCTCAATGGGATCGCCGCGCTTGCTCCAGGGTACAATATAGACGCTGCCACCATTAACTAGTCCGGTGTACATCTGATCTGAAGAGTGATTGAAAGTAAAGGCGCTTTGCTGAAGCACCCGCTCTGCTTGGAGGCCCCATGTCTTGGTGTACCCTTCAATTTCATTGCGCAACCCAGAGTGCTTGACCATGATACCTTTTGGTTTTCCTGTAGAGCCACTGGTGTACAAGATTGCTGCAATCGAATCAGCGCGGGCAGAGTTGGGTATAGGAGACGAAGGCTTGGCAGGAACACTGGATATGTCGACAATTTGGCTATTAGCAATATTGAGCTGTGGTGCGTCACCGGCAGTAGTCTTATCGACGAGTATCGCAACGGGCTTGCAACTAGCGGCGACGTCTGCCAAGCGGGCTAGAGGGTTGCGAAGATCAAGTGGAACATAAATGGCTCCTATGCGCATGATGGCAAGCATTGAGCATGGCCAATCTGCAGTGGCATCTTCGAAAACAAGAACACGAGAGCCTTGGGTGACTCCAGCCGTCTGAAGGGCCTCTGCAATAGCCTGAATTCGGTCGTGCATGGTAGCGTATGTAAGTACATTGCCATGGCCGTCCATGACTGCCACGGAATTTTGGTTCTTCGCTGCAATTTGTTCGATACGATGTGGTAACGTTCCCCCAGGCCAATTTGTTGTCAGGGTTGGTCCTAAGGAAGAGATTATTCGTCAGGGCAAAGTTATTTCAATTATGCGAGAAAATGTGATACTTACCTCGACCTACGTCTAGTGCCCGCCTGAGCTCCGAGTCGCTAGAGAGGGGAGGATCTTCTAGTTTTAAGAAAGTGTCACTGGCAAACGCCTCAAGTAGATGGACGTAAGTATTTAGCAACAGTTGTGCTGCTGTCATGTCATAAAGGGCAGCCTGTGTTCGCAACAAAATGCGAGCTCCATCCTGTGTATCAGTTATGTCAAGAGTCAAATCATAGGCGGTACGGCCGGGTGAGAGTTCCAGGAGCTCTAACTGGGTATTGCCAAAAGGTTGCTTCCAGTGTGTGCCTTGACGGTAGTCAAAGAAGGCCTGGAAGAATGGACTGTATGCTGAAGATCGGCGGATATTAAGCTCTTGAAGGAGGACATCAAAGGGGACCCTTGAATTCGCTAGCGCGTTATACGTCTTTGTCCGGGCCTCAGCGACAGATTCATGAAAGGGCTGAGCCAGGTCGCGCTTGAAGCGCAGTGTAAGTAAATTGAGTAGAAGCCCTACCACCCCAATGGCGTCTTCATCAGTTCGGTTGGCATCAGCAATGCCAATAGTCAGATCATCTACATCCGTGAATCGCATCAACATGGATTTGAACACTGCAAGATAGAAGTGGAAAGTAGTCGACCGACTAGCCTTTGATGCTTCTCGGATGCGGGCCATCAACGCAGGCTCGATGTCACATCCAACCTGGTGAACCTCAAAAGACTTTGTCGGTATCCGAGAGCTGACATGAGCCATGGGTAGCAGCGGTAGAACAGGGTGATCTCCGTGAGGGAACTCGCTACGCCAGTATGCGACTTCTTCATCGAAATCTCCGTTTTCGAAAGCTACGCGTTGCCGGCGAGACAAATCAGGGAGTTGATATGGTGTAGCGCCTAAAGGCTGTCGCTGGTAGGCCTTTTCTAAATCAGCTAGAAAGTTTTGAACACTGACACCGTCCATGAGAATATGATGGTAATTAAAAAGCAAATAATGCTCCGTTGCGGATAGCGATAACAAGATTAGACGTAGTAACTTGCCGCTGGTCAAATCAAACGGTGTGGCTTTCATGGCCATATATTCGACCGCAACGTCCTCGAATCGGTTAATCTTCTTCCTTTCGAGTCGTACTAGCGAGCTCGGTAGGATCTTTTGGTACGCTAGATCGGCTTCTGTTTCGTCCGCCACGAAGGACGTTCTACATGACTCGTGCCGATTGGTGACGAGACGAACTGCGCGTTCTAGGTCGCCAATTCGTAGATTACCTGTCACACGGTAGTAAAAGGCGACGTTGAATGTTGTCTGGTCGTCTATTAAGAGTCTCAGGAACCAGAACCGAGACTGTGGAAAAGAAATATTTTCTTTTCTCACGTAAGGTGTCTCGGGCTTCTTCACATGGTCAACATCTTGCTTCTGATTTTCTGAAAGCCCTGCCAAGTCAAGGTTCGAGGGCATAGCTGAGATTGACGTAGCTGGAGTGTCAATGGGAGACCGACTCCCCGATGATGTTCCAGCTGACGGCGCCGTAGACCTCTCACTCACCGGCTCTACTTTGGAAGCGGGCGGTTTGGATATTGGCAACACTTTTGTGGCTACCTTGAATGGTTTTGATGATCCCTTCGTCCCCAAGGCTGGAAGATAAGTGTCTGGAAGCTTCTCCAGTGCTTCTTGACAAAGCACAGCTACAGATCCACCCCCCAGTACCTTCAATACTGGCATGTCCGTTTTCAACTCTTTCAAGAACCAACCTCGTACTTCCACGGCTACCAAAGAGTCAATACCGTATTCGACCAGGGGAATATTGTGATCAACAGTCTGTCCCTCGGCGAGTCGCGAGATCATTGCCAACTTTGTAGCGAAACAACCTTGTAGTCCTAGTTAGCATTATAAAAGAACCAATGAATAGGCTTTAAATAATTACCTTTCAGTACTTCTAGAGCCTCCTCCTTGGTTGTCACTTTGGCAAGTTGCTCGCGAACAGGAAGATTACTCTTCATGCCTTCCGCCTTAGCGTCTTGAGAGCGAGCTTCGATAACCACCTTGTGAGAAAGACGAGAGTCGTTGAACCAAGGGACAAGGACATCGTCATCCTCTCGCGCGGTGCGGCATCCCGTAGTCAGAATTGGGCCAGTAACCGAGCCCGGATAGCCCGCAAAAATTGCCTCCGCGAGCAACTGATGCAGGTCGCCCTCCGAAATAGCCATGAAGCCGCACCGAATCAATTGTTGTCGAACCGTGTCACCAGCTCTTTCTACAAATCCGATACCAGCAAGGCGACCTATGTCAAGCGATGTACCAGCCAGGCCACGTTTTCTCCGCTGACTGACAAGACCTGTCATATATGCATTTGCAGCAGTATAATTCGATTGACCACTATTTCCGACGACGCTAGTCAATGACGAGAACACAATAAAGAAGTCCAGTTTCGAGTCGCTAAACACCTCATCGAGGTATCTTGTCCCGTCAATCTTGGGCTTTAGGACCTTTTCCATAATTTCGAGGGACATTTCTGAGAAGGCAGCATCATGGAAGACGGCGGCGCCGTTCATGACTCCCGCAATGGGGGGATATGTCTGTCTGATTTCAGCCACGGTTCTCTCCAAGTCCTGCTTCTTGGTCACGTCCCTGTAAAATAGGTCAGTAATTTGAGGCCTTGAATTTTAACGCATCAGTCGGGTACTTACATGGTATAGAATCTAACCTCAGTCCCAGCTTTCTTCATTGCCGTCTGCCACTTGTTATCTGATTTGCAGCTACGACTAGTCAAACAAATGTAGCCTGCTCCATTTTGAGACATCCACTCGCAAATGGACCGACCAAGGGCTCCAGATAGACCAACAAGCACGTAGGTCTTGTTTCGTGAAAATAGGCGATGAGCGTTGATCGGTTGTACGGTCACTGGAATAGTCTTCTCTGATGTCCAATCTATCACAGTGAATGGATTGTGGTTGACTGTGTTTTCGCTTAGTTGACTAGGTCTGACCATGCCGTGTGGCGGTGGGCTGTTGGCGATTGCCGTCTGGACACAGTTAACAGCCTCCTGAAGTGTAGCAAGAATGTTACTGTCTCCACTGGATCGTTGCAATTGTGACTGAGGACGGAAAAGATCGGACGAGTCGATTTCCCTGCAACCGGCTGGTAAGGCTTCACGAATCCTCGCGGTAGCGCGTTTCCCTTCATCATCTGTGGCTAGATTGACGAAATGTGTAAGGTTCACCGGTAGGCTCTCCTTGATCATATGGGACGAGCTCCAAGGACTCAGTTGTACCCACGATTTACTTTTATCCAATTTCGTTGTGCTGAAGGTGATACTGATGTTATAAATCACTGCCTGTCGCGCTAACGCCATAGACACGGCCTTGTCTAGCCCAGATTCGTGGACAAGGACGTGGCTTGACTGCGGAAGCGCTGAAAGGAGAGATGTTGCCAAGAGCTCGCTCGCAACGGCAGTAAGGAATCCTGGCTCTTGTCCCGATGGTATGGTGATCCGCTGACCGATAGACGTGACTGTCTGAGATGCGTTGATCTCAGAAAGTTCGATAACAGCCTCGCCCGTGGTCCGGTCCGCACCAAGTCCAAGGAACAAATAGGTCTCCTGCCCAACCTTCATAGCAGACAGAACCGAGTGACTTACTTGAACCGACATCATATCGTCTTCCAGGGTCGGTGGAATGCATTCTTCTCGCAAGACTACCGCTGCGTCGGTACCATGAGAGATGCGCACTATCGCATTCTCCGAATCAACCAACTTAGTGACTGGACGCCGTAAGGAATTGATACGAGCATTCTGATCGTCAACGGGAAGAATTCGAGGTATCATGAGTCGGCCATTCTCTAAGTACAACTCCAATTCTTTTGACCATAGTATTTCTTGGTGTAATGTTCCTTTTTCGTCCCACATTTCCAGAGCAGCCAAGCGCAAGACCGCTTCGCTGATAAGACGAGAAGCCGAGACTCCAGCGCCGGCTGAGTCAATGAACTGCAGAGACAAGTGAGACATTTCAGCAGAGATGGTTCTACCAAAGCCAAGACTGGCGTTATGGTAGGGTTCATCTGTCCGGGCCCCTTCGATGACCCAAACAACGTTACTCGCGAGCTCGAAGAGGCACTTTAACCCTTCCATGGTATCCTCTGTCAAGTTTTTGAAGATGGGCTCTTCCAAGTCCATGAGATTAATGAAAGTAGACATCGGTGGAATTTCGTCATCGTCTGTTGGCAAGCCCTCGAGTATCGTAACCTTGGTGCCGAGCGGGCTGATAAGCTCAGAAATCTCCTCGGCCAAGCGAGCCGTTTTCAAAGTACCATTCCCGAGAATTACGAGCTCATCTAGACACTCCGGTGAGGGAGACATCAGTGGCTTCCGGAGGAAATTGATCCGATCATCGACAGCCTGGGCAGCAATCGCAGAAAATGGCCAAGCTACCCCGTCAATTTCCGGCACTATAGTATCAATACCGGCAAATCCAACTTTTCGCAAAGTATTGTGCCATGTGGATATTCTCGCTGAGTTCTTCTTTCGACCMCCCCCGTTGCTACCCGCCAGCCATTCTGTTTGCCCTCCCATTAACGTCAACATTCGGATCGACTGATCGTTGGTAATCCCAGAAGCCAAGAGGAAGCCACCGGGTCTGAGAAGACGACGAACATTGGCTAATTTACTCTCCAGTGAGGATTTTGCGTGAAGTGCGTTGGATGCAATAATTACATCGTATGAGTTTTCTTCAAATCCTTGGGAAGATGGTGTTTGCTCGGGGTCGAGAACCTTGAATGTTAGTTTCTGACCATATATTTTGAATTCCTCTGCCGCAGTTTTGACGAATTCTGGCGAGGGATCAGTGTAAGAATATGAAGCAAAGGAATTGCCGATGGATTCCAAGATCCCTCTTGTTGCATGGCCAGCACGAGCATCTATAAATCATACATTAGTAAGCGCGGATTTCAATAAATTTCATATTTGTAGATATGCTTACCTAGTTCTAGTATCTTGATATGTGGATACCGGTGTGTAATTTGCTTCGTCAGCTGGGCCAAGATTATGTTATACCTGGAGAATCCAAGGCCATCGCTGTACAGCTGGTCGACCATGTTATGCTGCCTCGCGTTGTTCAAGTCAGTAGACTGTCCACGTATAACCGCAGGCATATTCTCTCCAATGGAACGAATAAACTTGATGTCGATCTTCTCCGCATATCTGCATGAATTAGTGAACAACTAGCTCTTCAAAACTAGATATGATGGTATTATACCTGCTTAGCAATGACTCGATTCGGTCGATGGTGTCCGTCGTCCATTCCTCCTTTACTGAAGGATGTTGACTGCTATCGACTTTCATTAATAGTTGATTGATTGCGTTCCGTAGATATCCGTAGTCTGTCTTGCTACTTTCCCATTCATCCTCTGCAATCTCAGAATTCCACTTTCTGATATAGTAGTATGCAAGTCTCTCACATAATTCAGCCGCTTCTGTCTCTTCAACTGAAGGCCTATCATAGCCGATAGCGGTGTTCCCATCTGGCATGGCCACACCATATTGAGTTGTGGAAAACATGGGCCGGTCATCAGAGGCAGTTGCCGGGGAGAAGGGCTTCATTACTAGATCCTCCACCTGGAGCAGTGTCTCCTGGCCGTTCTCGTCGAACACATCAATACTACTGCGTACGCTAATTCCGTCCGGTTCATGTAAGACGGCAGAGAGCGGCAGTTGGGTGGATGATCCTGGTAGCGACCCGCATAGCTCTGGGTTGACTCGAATGCACTTGATCGACGTGGGCACATGTAGGGACCAAAGTTGCTCGTCACCGGGAGCCGACTGTGCAAGGAAGGAAGCTTGGAAAGCGACATCGAGCATGCTCGGATGAACGATTAGAGGCTGATCATCATCCTGGTAGTTATAGGTGGACAATATGGCTGAGGCATGGTTAAACCTCCTTTTTGTAGATGTCAAGGTCTTGAAGGGGCCGTTATAACCGTATCCTAGATCAAGAAGAGACTCGTAAAAGCGATCGCTATCGACTTCTACCATCTCCCCTGCGTCGAGCGGGGAAGAAGATAGCGTGGAGAAAGAAGAGTTGCCATAAAAGATCTTGACCTTACCGCTCGACACTAGGTCCATGGACATGGTCCCCGTGTTGGGGCATGAATACACAGCAAAATCAGCGGTCTGCGTCCTTGCATTCGGACCACCGGCGGATATTCCAGTCAAGGCCACCAAAGTCTCGACCGCGAAGCTGGCTCCGTCATCAAAAGTAATGGCCTTGTGAATTGTGAGGTCCTGCACTTCGAACACTTGAACATTCCTGCTACCAGCTAAAAATTGACTGGCTTCCAGAGCCATCGCGACATATCCTGCAGCGGGAAAAACTGTCTGACCTTGCAATTGATGTCCGTCTAGCCAAGCGATTTCGTTTGCTTTGAGGAAATTTGTCCAGCGGAGGTCATGATCGGTATTGTTGGAAGATGGAACGCCCAACAGCTCGTGAAACGCAGATCCCCTAAGAGCAGTCCTTTTTGCTTTACGCGACTCGTGCCAGTTAGTTTGACTGTGATTCCAAGGATACGAAGGTAAGGCAACTGTCAGCTTTGGCGTAGGTCCCGGGGATACCAAACTTTGATACGCTTGAAAGTCCACCGTACCCGGCCCAAGGTGCGTCCATAAAAACCCCAAAGCGTCCGAAAAAGCTTCAACGTCGTTTTGGTTACGGCTCAAGACACCGGTGTATGGAAGCGATTTGTCGATATCGGATAGAGACTGAGTGGCTGGGCCCTTCAAAGCTGGGTGTGGGCCGACTTCTACGGCCATATTCAACTCTTCGGCTGTGGCTGCGCTCTGAACAGCCTCCGTAAAGAGTACCGCGTTGACCATGTTGTCTCTCCAGTACAAATCGCACAGGTCTGGGCTGGCTTCCATTCGTTCGCCAGGCTTGACACTGGAGTACCAGGTGCAAGAAGTGTCGCGGTCCGATTTCACTTTGATACCACAGGACCGTAATGAATCAACATAGGGATCACTACACGGAATCATATGATGAGAATGATATGCAGTGTCTACAATCAACCGCCGTGCAAACTTCTTCTCTTCATCGAAAACCCTTTTGGCGTGGTCAATACCATCACTATCTCCAGATAAAGTTACGCTAGCACCGGAGTTATGAGCAGCTATCTTCGCCCGCCCTTTGAATGCCGGAAGATCCAGCAATTCTTGTGCATCGTCCCACGAGGTTCCAACAGCCAGCATTGCGCCTTTCTGTCCCTTCGGCCCTTTCGCGTGTTTTGCGTGAACACCTCTGTAATAAGCAATGCGGACAGCGTCTTTGGCAGAAATGAAGTCCGCTGCATAAGCAGCTGCTATTTCACCAGATGAGTGACCAACGACGGCTTGGAAGGTGATACCTGCGCTCCGTAGTAAGTCAACCAAGACTACTTGAATAGCTGTACACAACGGCTGCGACAGGGCGGCCTCGCCGAGGCGGGAAGTATCCTTGCCAGCCAACAACTCGTCTGCAATCCGCCACGATGGACGGTCACTTTCCGGGAGAGTAGCCAATGCTTGATCGAGTTCTTCCAATTTGGTACGTACCACGGCCGAAGACCGGATTAGATAGGCACCCATCGTCGCCCATTGAGCGCCTTGGCCAGTAAAGACCCCCAGTAGCCGGGGCTTAGCTGGTCTCGATCGCACACCAATCTTATTTTCTGGTGATTTCTTGGCTTGTTCGAGCTTGCGATCGATTTGAGACACTAAGTCCTCAATGGTAGAGGCGGACAGTGCCGTCTTGACAGGGAGTGCAGAGCGGCGAGATTGCAGCGTCCAAGCCAGGTCACGAAGATATGACGGGTTATGTGTCTTTAGAAATTCGGAATAGCTTTGCAGAAGGGCTACAAGTGATTCTTCGCTAGCAGCTGAAAAGGTGAAGGGAGTGAAAGGCGCAAGGTCAGCCGCAGACTCAGCTGCTCTTTCCTTCGTCGAAGACTGGTAGCTTTCCACAATTGCATGTCCATTAGTACCTCCAAAACCTATTGACTAGATGTCAGCTATTTCAACCCGACCTTTAGGTCCGTACATGAATTGTAAATACCAAAACTATTGACACTCGCTCGTCGCGGCACACCCGCGGGTAACGAGGGCCACGGAATCGCGTCAGTGGGAACATGTAAGTTCTGACAGTATTGCTGAACATCGGGATTCAGTCGGTTGAGCAGCATATTTGGAGGAATGGTACCATTTCTAATGGCGAGTGCCGCCTTGAGCACTCCCGCTAGTCCGGCTGTGCCCTCTGTATGTCCAATGATTGTTTTGATTGATCCTACATAAAGAGGGTTGCCGTTCACCGCCGGACCGTTGAACGCAGTTTGAATTGCGTTGGCTTCACGAGGATCGCCAACCTTGGTGCCCGTACCATGGGCTTCAAAGTATTGAGGCCAATCTCGCGTATCGGAGAGGTCTAACCCGGCACGGGAGTATGTACTTCGAATCAGCGCAGCTTGCGCCTCTGAGCTGGGAACTGTCAAGCCCGTGGACTTTCCATCCTGATTGACACCTGTCTCTCGAATCAGGCACTCAATTTCGTCGCCATCCGCAATGGCATCACTAAGCCTTTTCAATACAACGGCAGCTATCCCATCGCCTCGTGCATAGCCATTCGCCTCGGCATCCCACATACGTGAAGTACCCGTTGGAGAAAGCAAGTTCATCTTGCTCTCGCTCACAAATTGCTCTGCAGTTTTTCAGTCACTGAGCTTTTCGTTTTATTTTTATTGAAGAAACACACCTGGGCCCAAAAGGAGCTCTGTGCCACCAGCCACGGCCACCCGCGATTCACCGGTTCGAAGCGATTGCACGCATTGATGTAATGCTACCATACTCGAGGAACAGGCTGTATCGATAGTCATGGACGGCCCATGCCAGTCGAAGAAGTATGAGATGCGGTTTGCAAGGATGGCACGAGAACTGCCAGTTGCAAAGTAGGTCGGAGTTGTGTCAATATCGCGCATAACGATGTCGTTGTAGTCGACAGACATTGTACCGACAAAGACAGCCGTGTCAGAGCCTCGAAGCCCTTCTATCGTGTGACCACCGGCTTCCAGAGCCTCATACACTACTTCCATGAGTAATCGCTGCTGTGGATCTGTTTTCGCACCGTCAATTAGAATCAAGAATTTTAAAAGCAATCACTGCCTGGCAAAGTTCTCATTCGCAACTCCTTTGTAGAAGCGAAAGACCAAGTTCGGGGTTAAAACTGAGGGATATGATTACCCATTGATTCTGCCTCATTGGGACTAATATTGAAAAATCCCGTGTCAAATTTGCGAAAGTCTTCCTGCAACATGTATGCGCGTTGCACATTTGTCGTTCCATGGTGGGCGCCTTTGGGGTGATAATAGCCCTTTAATTCAAACCGGTCATCGGGAATCTCTGTTGATACATCCCTGGGCTTCTCTAGGAGTTTCCATAATGATGATGGCGAGCTTGCGCCTCCAGGGAAACGACAACCACTACCGACTATGGCTATCGGTTCTGGATTATTCAGATGCATGGCGACTGTTGGAGTATGGAATATGTCGTGAGAGCTTTAGTGACAGTATATCATGAATTGGGTGTTTTATGTTAGTAGCCTTCTTCAAGGCTATCCATGCAATACATAATCCCAAGATTAGTCACTGTGAAGCTACCGCCTTCATTATCGTATAAGCCGCCGAAAGCTACATATGAGTGGGTGGTCAATTCGGGTGTTTGAAATCATTATCGCTACGCTCGTTTTCTCATTTCCTATTCAAAGTAACCCTTACGGCTCACTTTGACAAATGTGAACAGCGCGCCATATTGGCTGGTTTTGCACCATGTTTCACGTAATACTATGGTAACAGATCCATACATACCGAATTTACCAGTAAAGTTCGTCTCAGGTCGGGCATTTCAGCCCTGCATCATGCATGACACACCAGACAGATACAGCACTTCAAGACGACTATCCGCTTTTTTGCTGTTTCGTAACGGAGGATCATGCATAATCGAAGTTAGAAAATGCAGTAGATCGTTTATTCAGCAATACACGAGTGATAACTGCAAACGGGACCCTAATTGTGGAAACCACCGAATAGTCATAAAAGCGCCGAAAAACAGATCGCAAAGATCTGTAGTGCCAATAATCATTTTATCCCGCTAAGCCATTCTAGTCGTCATGAAAGTTTCTCGTATCTTGTTCGATTCAACGGGCACATCGTATTGCCTAAGTATATCTGCGATATAAAACATATAGAGTTGATTCTGGTAAAGCTATCAACCCCACGAGCTCACCCTGTGACCTCGCGTATTTGATTTCACAAATCGAATTTTCAAGCACAGAAATTATTTCCATATCTCCTTTTGTGACAGCCCCAATGGAGTACATTGACAATGGAGTGGTGAAGCCATCCGTTGCTCTAGGAGCCATCGGCACCCTGGTAAATCACGACGCCTTAGGCTCTTACGTAGAACATAGTACTGATCCCAGCGTCAGTTCCTGCTTTACCTCTTAGGCAATGTCATCTACGCGTTATACTTTCATCCGCTGCGACACATACCCGGCCCTTGGGTCAATGCTCTCTCAATGATCCCGTATGCCCGGCACATGTTGGCTGGTACGACCGCTGAAAACAGTCTCCGTCTACACGAAAAGTACGGTGAGGTAGTTAGAATTTCTCCGAATGAGGTATCTTTTATCTCTGGGGAGACCGCATTCCCAGATATCTACGGTATGTAATTTCACGCCCGTTAACTTCGATTACAACGACATTGTCCTAAGAGTTATGAGGATTTCGAACTGGAAAATTGAAGGGCCGTCCAAATATGCAAAAGGTATGCAATACCGCTTCTCTGGGAAACTTACTGAGTCTTATTGTCTTTTGCAGGATCCCGCATGGTATGTCAAGCCGAGTAACGGAGTCGCATCTATCTTGCAGGCGAACGACGATGACCATGCTCGAGGTAGGTTCTCTTTGAGTACATGTGTGGCGTTGTAAAGCGTCGCCAGGTTCTCGCTTTGATTGACGTCTTCTCACCTGACTCTAGGTCGTCGTGTTCTTGCACACGCATTTAGTAATACAGCAGTTACTGCGCAAGAACCCTTGGTGCAACGGTTCGTAGACCAATTCATCGATAAATTAAAAGAAGCCGCAAGTAGCGGTGAGGGTGCCGTCGATATGGTGCAATGGTATACCTGGTAAATTCTGCTAGCATTTCTCGTATCACTATTATATGGTAATCTAACAACAAAAAAGGATCACGTTCGATATTATAGCGGACTTGACATTCGGTGCGTTCCATTTTGACTTATCAAACTTCGCCCACGGGATACTCAATAACGCTGATCCCAACCCTCTACCTTACAGGTGAACCCTTCGGATGTCTGCAGAATCGTGCTAGCCATGAAATCATTAAACTCCTCGAAGAGTCTGCTAGGGCTCTCAGGTTACTCTATATCCTTGCCCATTACCCTTGGCTGAAATACCTGGGCAAGTTGATCATTGACAAGGATGCGGTTGCGAAGCGCAAGCAATGGTTGGTGCGTGACTACTCGATCTCCCTTTTATTCTATAAGGAAACTCTCATTAATGAGAAGGTCAGGTGTGGGTTGCAGCTCAGGTGAAACGTCGGATGGAACGAGAAACCACCAGGCCTGATTTCATGACCTTGATCTTAGCCAACAATCGCGACAAGGGCGCTAAGCTATCGCAGGCAGAAATCGATTCTAACTCATTTTTCTTAATGAATGCTGGCTCTGAAACCACCGCAACTGCGCTCAGCGGCGTTACTTATCATTTGCTGATCAACCCTACTGTCTTGCGCAAGCTTCAAGACGAAATCCGAGGCAAATTTGCCACGTATGATGAGATCACGCTGACTGCCGTTAACGATTCACCATACTTGATCGCAACTCTATCTGAAGGCTTGAGGACCTTTCCACCAGCCGCAGCCGGTTTTGGAAGAGTATGCCCCAAGGGTGGTGAGTCGGTTAGTGGCTACTATATTCCAGAAGGCACGGTAGTTTCAGTAAGCCATCATGCTGCATACCGCTCAGAACGCAATTTCAAGAATCCAAACGCCTTCGTTCCCGAGAGATGGTAGGTGATTCCCATCACCGCTTAAGCTATTTTAGTACCTAACGCAGTCGTTGATACAGGATGGGCGATCCCGAGTATCGTAATGACAAGAGAGATGCATGCCAACCATTCAACTTTGGCCCTCGCGGCTGTTTGGGCAATAATCTGGCACACGCCGAAATGCGACTAATTCTGGCCAAGTTCGTATGGTCCTTTGACATGGAGTTAGAAGAGAAGAGCCGAGACTGGCTTGACCGGKGTCGGGKGATGAGATTTTGGATGAAGCCGGAGTTGGCAGTGAGGCTAACAGAGGTTGAAAGGGGTTAGATATTCTCAAAATTAAGACATGGTTAAAGTAGTACTAGCTATATATGCATGATGGGCATCGCAAAATAGTGATAATACAACGAGGTCATATATTGTATTGTAATCGTTATATGGTTTCCATTCGCATTTTACATTCACTGCTACCGATTGCACAGGTTTAACACCCAAATGAACCAATCCTATAAGACAACTTCAGTACTTATGCGGTAATGATTTACCTAAGTTCATATTCAACTTAGCTGTCTTTTCTAAATATCTTTACAAGGGGTAATTATAATAATTTTATATCTTTTAGTACATCAATAGAAGCAGTAGAAGAGCGATAAATCAATATGAGGTAATTTCGACTACGATTTCTGTCTTATCTTTGTCAAAGTAACAAAAATGTGGAATTCCCAAATTTCGGTATCAACACTGCTACAGGTCTGGATATTCAAGTCACAACCGTCTCCGCCGGAATTCCGTAGCCTTTGTAGAACTTCTTCCGAATGAATTCTTGCACCGTCTCCGGGTTTGGATCATTTGAATCGAAGGGATTCGTCGCGCTGAAATCACCATGCCAAAAGGCCGGTACGGCGTATCTCTCACCACCAACCTTGTTGATGACGCGGTGGAGCGTACTCTTATATACACCTCCTGTCCATCGCTGGATCAAGTCACCCAGATTAATAACAAATTTGTCTTCGAGTGCGGGGAGCTCGATCCATTGGTGTGTAGCCGCGTGCCAGACTTCTAGGCCATCCTTACCCGGCTGTTGGAGGAGGATGGTCAATCCGCCATAGTCGGTATGCTGGCCAGCTCCAAATTGTCGCTTGTCTGTAAAGGTATGCGGTGGATATTTAAGAAGCTTGAGGAACCTGAAAAATGGGATATACTAATCAGCCTTTACTTTACCCTGAATACAATAATCATAGTCCATTGGGGGCTTTTTCCACGGTTGAAGCGGCTTACAGGGCAATGTCTCGCGTGAACGTATCTAGGACGTCTGGCTTATATCCCAAACTCACGGCTAGGACCTCCATCACCTTGAGTCCGACTTGTTTCATATGGGCGAAGTACTCCATCACCGGTTCGCGAAATTCGCTGTCGGCCAAGTCGGGCGGCCAGATATTTGGACCCTTGCCAAAGCCGACATCGTGCAGAGGCAACTCATTGCCTACAAAGAAGCCCTATTGTTTACTCAGACTAATGGCATAAAACAAGGAAGTGAAGTAAATAGGCGGAACTTGAACTAACCTCCTTCTGATCGGGCAGAAGATCTCCCTGATGCGGATCATTGGCCTGTTGCTGGCCTGGCGCCTCATATCCTCGTCTCCAGGAATACTTGTGGAGCGAGAGGCGCACTTTCTTCTCCTTGGGTTGATCAAAGAATGTTTTGCAGGCCGCCAGCATCCGCCGTTGACTTTCGACGGGGACACCATGGCCTACGACTTGGAAGAATCCGTGGTCTAGGCACGCTCTTCGGACTTGTTCGCACAGTTCGGCTTTGCTAGTGGGTGACTCAGGCTCAAAGTATGCACGCAGGTCAATTGTAGGGATGTATTTCTCCTCATTTTTGACCACTGCGGCGTTGACATCCGCTGTCACAGTATTCTCCGGCGACATTTTTACTCGTTTTGCATGTACACTCTAATCTTTTCATGAACATGAAAATTCAGACGAAGACAGCCTGTAAGGTGCTTCGCCGCCGATTGCCTCTAGGTGACTAGTTATAGCCTTTGCTGCGCGGGATCACATATTGATCTCCTGACACTTTCCAAGTCAGCTCTATTATGCTGCGAGGGGTCTGGATTCATTTCTTCCAATCATAAAATTCCGCGCGGACAGCCATTCAATGTTCGGTGTTTTCTAGGGCTAGAGATATTAGGGTTACTAACCCTAGTAAAACACCGTTTCGGTGTTAATTGCGGGCTTACTCTAATTGGTGGTGCGTCTTAATCACCGAACTAATAATTAATTATTTCTTTCGGCGATATAGATAAGATAACAGCGGGGGATAGAATCATGACATTTTCGTGTCCCGGTCTTTGTCAACAATTGGAATGACCATATTCCCTTACCCAAGTGTGTTACCCGGGAGAACGAGACAGCCTTACAGATTGTACTTTGTAGTCCGCATTCGAGACAATCCCCATTGTTCTGCTATGCCAGCAGCTCGACTTTTTTTCTTTGTTCTCTACTMCCCCGCCATACGGACATACTCCTCGACGCTAAAGTCCTCTAACTCCGTCGCTGGAGATAAACGGGGATAAACAATTAGCAGCAAACAAAGAAGCCTAACCACATATAACCCGGACCTCTCGGGGTGTTTGTACAACGCCAAGTTGCTTTATCCATCCTATACGCCGTACAGCAAATAAAAATCATCTTTTCATTAAATTAATGCTTTAGAGTTCAAGGCACAAGCCAAGCTTTGACCGACTTTCTTGTACCAACTCTGATTTCTATCACACCGTCATTCATCCACCATGGCGTCGATCCCCTCCTTGCCCGCCACGTTGTCTCCCGCCCTGACCGGCCGCGACGCCATTGCTGACGTTCTCTATCGTCTCGTGCTGGGGCTGGACACCAATAACAAGGAACTCTTTGACTCAGCTTTCGTTCCCAACTCCACCTTTGCAATTAATGGCCGGGTCTCCGAAGGCCTACCAGCTATCCACACCGACTGCTTCGAGCCAATCAGCAAGCTGGACACCACCCACTTTATCACCAATGTCCGAACCACCATCGACGAGAGCGGCTCCAAGGCAGCCGTGACCGCCTCGGCTCTCGCCCAGCACTMCCGSGGTGGGAARGGGCTSGAGCCAAGCCAGACGCGTCTGTTGGCGGGAAGCCTGTACTATGCAGATCTAGTCAAGGATGAGACTAGTGGTTTGTGGAAGGTCAAGGACTTTAAGATGCAGTCGTCCTGGGCGGAGGGTGACTGGGGTGTGTTGACTGGAAACTAGAAGCGACGGGCGTCTCTACACAATAAGCAGCACCACTCTTGTATAGAAATTCCAGTATTCCTTTCCGTTATGCCAATGAAATAAGTCCTTACTCCTTCAATCCCCAATGAATTTATTCGTACCTTTTGTTTCGGCTGTAGCTTAAGTTATTGGATGAGGATAGCCCTAATCCTAAGTGGATCTTGGCCATATCTTAGCATCTATTTGACTAAATCGGGGATATTTGCGACATCGCTTTACATACTATTTAGCACTACATAGTAGTAGGCCTAGAAGCCCTTCCTCGGCTTCTTGAAACTCATTTGAATTGTCGTGCACTTCAACAGGTTCATCTGGCATCATTTTGTACCCCAGTCAGCATTGCACTTCGCTGAGTTGTGTTGAGTAAAACCCATAGCTTGAACAACTTGATTTGTTACGCAAAGCACGGATGGAGGTTTTGAAATCGGGTTGCAAATGAACGCTTTATCGCGTACAGTCGTACCTTCACGGAATCAGATAAAGAACAAGAACAGACAAATTAAAAGAGATTATAGCTTGACCTCACCTAATCTACGGCACAGAGAAAAATCTTAAACGTCTTTGGTTTTCACCCCAGGCTATCAGAAGGAAGGTTTCATGTATTACGTGACGATGTCAAGCGATATGTAACAACCCATGAAAAGCCTACCTGTGAGACTCCAAGGCGGACATCATGATCGGTTGACTGAGCCGTCACAGATAGTTTTTTTTCGGGGTCTCGTCGAAGCGGTGTCTGAACTTGGCTACATGGTCCACTTGTTATACTTTTACAATATTCTACAACATTTGCGTGGCATATATGATTAAGGCCAGAGATTAAAAGTGGTTAGAAATAGGTTCACCGCTAGCAAAGCTAGGATTAATGTATTTTACGACTTAAGCGGTTAAGTTCAGCACTAGAGAATAGCCAGGAGTAGATGATTAGTACGTATTTAAGTTTTTTCGGGGTGTGCTAAGTTATACTCAGTGCCTTATATGTGCTTCACATAAGCTGTATCATACTGTATGCATTTGTGGCGCTACGGAAAACCATATACTTTCTCAAACATTACCAAGATCGCTAGCGCTTCTCTCAGACGGTCTAGGAGCCTCAACTTCAGCGAAATTCCAAATACCTACCGGTTTCCGAATTTTAACTCGCCCATCACCCGCAAAAGAAGTAGATCATCTGTGAGACAATCTTTGCGGCAAGATATCAAATCGGGTCTAACTTAATTGCCCATGCCGGAAGCCTACCTATGAGATAGCTATTTTTTTACTCCTTCGGTTTCAAGACTACCCGAAAGGAAATATGGACCGGGCCCGATTGAGCCTCAAGGGGCCAAGCTCCATGCATTTAACATAATGCAGCAAGTGCCGACGGGCCTTAATGTTATCTTGAGCATCTTGGCATATTTTTTCTTCAGCCGCGACGACATGTAAAACCCTTATGAGACCATTACAGTTGGTCGAGGCTTGAAGCTGGACAAACCTACAGTCCTAGTTCGTTCGGCATCAAAGTATGAGATGCCTTTGATGTAGTTATGTATATATACTATATGTTCACGTCTTTGGATTGCCATTCTACGAATATACTATCGTTCTTCAAAATTCAACTGACGAGACAGCGGCGGGCCGTTTTCTAATTTCTCTTCTTGACGCTCTTTTGACTGAGTTTCTCTTTGGCTTTCTCTCCCTTACTATACATCCATTGAAACTTTTCGTATTTCCATCACTATGATTTTTACTTCCCGAGCTGTGCTCGCTTGCTATCTTTTTCTTTGTGCCGCTACAGGTGTCCTGTCTCGCCCTCTAACACGTCGCCAGCAAGCCATCTCTGATATAGACATATTGCAGTTTGCATTAACGGTGAGCCTTCCAACAGAAATTTGGCGTCCCAAAATATGTTCTGATGATATGTAAATAGCTGGAACATCTCGAGAACACTTTTTACAAAAAGGCTCTCTCTACATTCTCGGAAGTTGATTTTATCGCTGCAGGCTTTGACGAGGCTTTCGTTAAGAACCTGGGATTTGTGGCCCACGACGAAGAGCAGCATGTTGTCTTTTTGGAAGCAGCCATTACGCAAGCTGGGGCAACGCCTGTGGCTAGTTGTCAATACAATTTCCCCATAACAGACGTATTGAGTTTTGTCAATCTTGCGACGGTCTTGGAAGGTGTCGGAGTCTCGGCGTACCTAGGTGCGGCCACCGCAATTTCTTCAAAGTCAATACTCAATGTCGCCGCTGCTATTACTGTTTCAGAGGGTCTGCATCTGGCGGTTCAGCGTGCTAGTATTTTCGACGTGGTGTCTGCCAATATCGCTGGTACTCCATTGTCACCTAACGCCATATTCACCATTGCCAGTGCCTTCATAACGAGCTGCCCTTCATCAAATGCAGCCTTGCCATTCACAGCCTTTCCATCATTATCAGTCAATGGTGTTTCCAATTCCGCTCAGTCACTTGCTGCTAATACAGTTGCAACTCTTAGCATGACTGGTGGGAATGGTACAGCAATTCCTTCGTCCGCGTTTGTCACGTTTATCAGTGGTATTGATATAATCAGTGTACCGGCCCAGGTCTCTAATGGAGCTATCTCTGTAACGGTTCCTCAACAGGTTTCTGGTCAGACATTTGGTCTCCTAACGAGCGCGCCGATGAATGGAACTGGTGCGATATTTGATGATAGCAAAGTGATCGCGGGTCCAGCAATTATGGAAATTCAACCAGCCTCACCTACAATTGACTTTAGTATCTTGTGATTGATAAGTCGGCAGTGGTACTTAGTACTCGGCGCGGTACTATCTATCGATGCTGGGATATTAAATAACCACAAGGGACTGCTTTGTCCTTTTCTCCATGCATTCATCCATCAGGATTGCATGAGTTGGTCATTGTTGTAGGAAGATGAATATCAAGATCAAGTGTGCTCTGATGAAGGGGGCAAGCAACGCCAAGCCAGTTTATATCAGTGTCAGCTTACAGTAGTAGTATATCATGATAGAATATACCTACCCTTGACCAGTCTAACTAAAATCACTCGTAAGCGCAACCACAATTCAATATTGATAGCCGCACAATCAATCTATTTAATAAAACGCAATGATAAAAGGGTTCTGCGGCGAAAAATTAATTGGATGACTGCTCCTTATCTTGGCGCTCGAACAGTAAGTAATTTAGCTCATATTCTGCACTATCGCCATACAAAATTCTTCCTAACCCAGTCTATCTAAAACAAAAATTATTTCTATCAATGATTATTTCCCATTTTCCCAATCTATCAGTCTCTTCTTAATACGGGCTGAACTTGCTCCACTTGCGAATTCTTTCTCCGTAGATATAAAACAAAAAAGGCACCGGCACCATGGTAGTGCATAGCAAGGCAAGCAAAGTCATCGCCCACGGCACGCCCAGATTATTAAACTAAAGGAACACAGAAACGTCAGCCTTTCACAATCAAATTGGAGAACGGAAATCATATAAGTACCATGTAAGTGGCAAACATGGGAAATCCTCCACCCAAAAGACCCCGAAACATCGCGTTCGCCGATATGGCCGAGTTGGCATTCATTCTGTACACGTCAATCAGGTAATTGAGACCCTGCATAAATATGAGCAGAATACCACATCCCAGAAAGGCGCCGGAGATCACTTGGGGAACCCAGGTGATGTGTGGATTTGAGGTCCCTTGAATTGTTTCTAATCAGTGAACAGTCCAAGACTTGAAGACCGCGAAGAGGAAAACGCACAGGCAAACCAAAACATTCCAATCGGCAGCAGGAAACTCCCAAGCATCATCGGTACCAAGCGTTCCTCGGGGGCCACCGCTCCGCGTTCGTTCATTTGGCGTTGCACGCGGGTCTTGGTATGGAAGATAATAAGTGCCACGCCAACAAGCACTCCAACGGTGATTGCTAGAAAAGGCAAAGCGCCCACTCCCTTATTCCAACCGCGTTTCTCCTGGAAGGTAATTGGAAAGGCTTCGAAGCACAGATACAGGAAGCCGTATATGAAACCAAGGTAAAGAGTAATCAGCGCGAGTATCGGTTCCTGGATCAGCATGATCCACGGTTTAAGAACATAAATGCGACCCATATCGCTGATTTTAATCTTTCGTTCACTTGTCAATGAATGCAGCGCCATGTTTCCGGTCTCACGTCGCAGTTTCTTGGCTCGTCGTGTGAGCAGCACAGGGGCGTAGGTCTCGGGAACCGTAAAAAAGTAGACCAGAAGAAAGAAGAGAGCAAGGATCAGCGTAAGCCATTGCGTCCAGCGCCAACCCAGGTGTGACATGGTGATAAATCCTCCCACTGTATATTATCCTCATAAGGTCTCCAGTCAGTGCTACTCGATTGTCTTCCAGGCTCCGAGAATATTCGCTCACCAATTGGTCCCAAAACTGGTCCAAGAAATGTCGCACTGGCGAATCCGGCAACCGCAATTCCACGGGAAATGGGATCAAAAATATCAGCAAGCGTTCCGCCCGACTAAAAGCGTTCTCTGGTCAGTGGATTTGGACCGATGTTCATGGCGCCCTATGGAATTTTACTTACAATGGCTAGAGGCGCAGCTCCAAAAACGCCCGCAATGAAACGACAGACAAAAATCGTCGCTGCATTCTTGGCCACAGCTACGGGAATCGCGAAAATTGCAAAGACAAACACTCCTACAGTCATGGGATACTTGCGACCGACCACTTCAGAAGCTGGACCAAAGGCCATAGGCCCAACTGCAAAGCCAAGCACAAATAGTGCAGTCGAAAGAATTGCAACTTCAGCTGAGACGCCGAACTCTATGGCGATATCAGACACGCCCGGACTCATTACAGATGACGCGAAGGTGGACATGCATGTTAACATAGCCAGATTGCCAGCAATATACACCTTTTTGACGGTCGAGAAGTTTTGAGGGTTGCCCTAATATTTTTTTCATTGCGATGTTAGTCTCCTTGCAATCGTGCCGTACTTTCAGAATTGTCTTTCTGTCTTACCGGGTCATCTGGGCCGTCATATTCGACTAGATTGGGGTCTTTCTTCTCGGTCACATTGCCAATTTCTGCTGTGGCCTCCACGTCCACCGGCTTGTCCTCGTCGGTGGACCGAATGGAAGATAGCTCTGGACTTTCGGCTGTCATGTTCAACTCAGCAACAAGGTCTGGTTCACATATAATATAGATATATGGGGATGTCCAGAAAACTTTATTTCACCACTAGAACATGTCTTCGTGTTTACTGGTGTATTTTCAATAAAGAAACTGAGTCAGTCGACACAAGATCAAGCCTGGTTTGTCATCACATTAACTGCCCCTGGACCCCTAGACAGACTAGTTGACGCCATAGTACCCCTGCTTCCGGACTTTAGTGTGACGACGGTTATATCCGTCGCGGAACGGGCTGAAGGAGTTAAAAAACCCCGAATATGCATTGTTATGCAGCCATTTAAGGGCGTTCGGTGGTTTTTCTTTTCGGGTTAGACGCGAGGGCGGGGTATCTATATAACCCTAACGAAATTCCTCACTCTAGCCCTCCTACCCTAATAACCTAGGAGTTCGATTGGAGATAGGCGAATAAATCTATTCTATTTGATTCGAGCACATCGTGATTGCTCGATATGCTCGGCATGGGGAGAAAAGGAGTAAAATAATACAGCGATACCTCATCTGAAAGATAGAATATGTGTTGTAGTTCGCAATAAGATTAAAATGTCGACAACACACATAATCTTTCCTCATTTTCATGTTAATTTACGTTATACTTGAAAATATCAAACGTTTCAGTGATTAAGGAGAATGAGTGTAAGCTGATATCCCACGTGTGGATTGTTTTATCATTTCCGGTTGTCTCCATACGGACTCCAGAACACACCAGACTCATCCCAGAGTTTCTTGATCCTCTTCAGTTCCTTAATGCGATCAACTGTATGCAATTCCTCCAATGGTGTGTCTGATTGCATGTTATTCGGGAAGGTCCTTGGGACATCCAAATCAGGCTGAGCTTTGCGGTAAAGCGCTTTGATTTTCTTTGCAAAGGCGCGCATGGGCTCAACTGTCTCCGGGTTGTTGGTCCAGGGCATCACCAGCATACACGTACCGCGATCACGACTCTCGAAGTATTTAGCCTGTCCTTCTGGCGTTTCACTAATTGCCACATGCTTCTTTGGGTTGTGAGTGGCATGGACAATGGTGGATCGAGTAGCATCTTTGTAGTGATCGGTGAACTCCACATATTGCTGGAAGGAGGCCTTCATTGTCTCAACAGGCGTAGTTCTGAGCCATGCTGATGATATATCCTTGTATTCTCCGTGTACACTGAATGGAGCCCAGGCCTCATTCATTTGGGACAGAGGCGTCAAAATTGTTTCAGGATGTATATTTGTATTATTGACAACCGCATCATCGAATAATGGCTTAGAAGCCTGCTCTCCCTCCTCCTGTGGGCCATAGTAAAGGGATGACAGAATGATTATTGGAGCACCTGGACCCGTTGATGTGACAGGCTCCCTCGCAAACATTAGTAGCACATACTGAGAGGGTTTCGGTGGCAGCAACTGCATGTACTTTTCGGCTGCCAGGTTGATTGCGTCTGCCGGAAAAGTGACTCGGCGGCACCAGACCTCATCGTTCTTCATCCGAAGTGCTGCAAGTGGAAAGGCTTTTAAAGTCATAGATGTCACGACCCCAAGACCGTGTCCCGCGCCACATAGTGCATGAAATAGGGCCAACTCCTCCCCTTCCGAAGATGAATCCAGTTCCAACACCTCTCCCGCAGCAGTGATGAGCCTGATCGAAATCAATTGATCCATAATCATACCATGTAGTCCATTAAGAGGTTGCTATATATCAAAGTGTTTCAGCCATAGATTCAACGCGTGTCTGCAGGTGTAATCACACTACTCACGCTGCCTCCACCCAACACACTCCCCACCATCCCGACGCCATAACTGTTTGTCCAAGTGGTATAAAACCCCTTGGATGTGCATGCATCAATGACCCGACGAGTCAGAGTCCCTCCACCGAAGCTGATCTTGGCCTGCTCTTGGCTTGTATCCAAGACCACCTTGTCAAACCGCTTCAAGTCGAGATAGAGCGTTTTCTCAGTGATAGAGACAAAGGGTCCGTGGCCACCGCCGCCAGGGATTAACTCCAAGCCTTTATTCTTCGCATAAAGTACTGTATCGATGATGTCTTGCTCGGTGTCTGGCACTACCACCAGTGCTGGGCGATTTAGACCAATGTCAGACCATCGATCCAAGACAAAGCGAACTGGCGTGTCAGGATTCGGTATTACCACCTCACACTTCAAAGGTATTGAATCTCTAGTGATCATTGTGAAAATGTATTCTGGATGCGACTGTCCTACAAATCGAACATATCGCTGTAAGGCCAAATCTACGGACCATTAGAATACCTCAAAATTAATTTACAGGATTCTAGCTCTGCTTTTTCGATATTCAACACACTGTCATTGCAGAACGCCGCTAATAAGGGACATAAGGTTCTCCGGTCCCGTGAACCGCTTAATTGCACCAGCGTATAGTTACCAGTTCGTACCGGACTTAAGGTCTTACCAGCAAACTGCGTAGGAATTACGAGAGCATTTCCTATCGAATAGGAGCTGTAGAACTAGTATAGAGACCAAAAAGATCAAGCGCCCATAGGAGCAGCAATCTAAGCTTGCGCCATTCAAGGCGATCTTCCATGGGCATGGAATATTCGCTGGAGATTACCGGATTTAAGCAGGAGACGTGAAGGCTAGTTCGGTGAGATTTCTTGAATGGCTAGCTTGTACTTTTCCCCTTTCTTCCCGGTGGAAAGACCGCCACATTAAGTATTATATCACCGAACCTCCACGGATCCGCGGACAGTCCGGCACGCTAGCGTTAACCCTAAAGACTTTTCCACTGACTACGCGAATCGGAGGAGGAGGCATCAATAGTAGAAAGGTCGTTAAATACGTAATGAGCTTCATCTTCAAAGCACCGACTTCATCATATACAGCCAGTAATTCGGTTCATTCTAATCATGCTTGTGAATTGGAACCAACCTTTCACATAGCTGCTGGTCCGAGTCCAAATATAGTATGTGTAGAGAGTATAGATAATCGACGTTAGAGCCAGACCATACGTCTTCAAGCCTAAGCTACAAACATGCCTTCCGCTACCCATATTCTTCCAAATCACCAAACGGCCATCGTGGCCGAAGGCCCTGGGCAGCTCCGTGTTCGCCACGATGCTCCCGTCCCGGCCCTCGAGCCGGGTGTAGCTTTGGTCAAGACTGCTGCCGTAGCCATCAACCCAGTAGATGCCAAGATGGTCGACTACAGTCCAGTCCCGGGTGCTATTCACGGATACGACTTCGCTGGTACAGTAGTGGCGCTAGGGGCTGGCACTACACACATCCAGATAGGGGATCGTGTGGCTGGCTTTGTGCACGGTATGAGCAAGACGCGGCCGGACATTGGTGCATTTGCCGAATACGTGTCCTCCCCAGCAAATCTACTGCTGAGGCTACCTGCTGATATGGCCTTTGAGGACGCTGCTTCGCTGGGTCTGGGATTATTTACTGCCGGTTTGGGACTCTTCCGCGAGCTCCAAGTGCCCGCGTCCATTGACCCGGTGAACCCCGGTCCTGAAGATCATTCCCGAGCAGACTTCGTTCTAGTTGCAGGTGGTAGTACTGCCACAGGAACACGAGCTATTCGCTTACTAAAACTGTATGGAGACCTCCTGCCTTTAATTGACTGTAAAGTATATATCTTCGTACTGACTGGAGTCTGTTCTCGTCTTTCGTACGTCCAGCGCTGGTCTTCGCCCCATCGCTACTTGCTCAAAACGCAATTTTGATCTAGTCCGCCGATTTGGTGCAGAGAAAGTGTTCGATTACAGCAATCCGGATTGTGCCTCAGAAATCCGTGCCTTTACTGGCAACACCCTTGCCTACGCCCTCGACTGTATTGCTGCGGCAGAAACGACACAACTTTGCTATGGTGCTATCGGTCGGGCGGGCGGGCGTTATGTCACCGTCGAGCCGTATCGCGAGACGGTGGTCTCGCAGCGGCCACTGACCATACAACCGTCCTGGCTCTTAGCCGTCACGATATTTGGACGTAAAGTGGAGATGGATGGCGAGTATGCGCGAGATGTCAGACCCGAGGATCAGCAATTCGCGGTTAAATTCACGGCTCAGGTACAAGCATTATTAGATCAAGGTAAGTTGGATCCGCATCCAGTCAAAGTGATGGCAGGTGGCTGGGAAGGCGTTATCGAGGGGGTGGATATCATTCGCAAGCAGGCCATGTCGGGGCAGAAGTTGGTTTATCCTGTATGAGGTAGAAATACCTGCTATGCCATTTGGTCTTTCAATTCCTTCCATCGATCCGTCACATGGTATTCGGGGGGAAAAGGTTGATAGAATTTAATCTCAACTAAGCGTTTGAGAATTCATAAATTATAAACTAGTGGCTCGAGGCTGGCCATGGCATCAAGGGAATATTGACATGCTATCTAGGTAGATCACATGCTGGGTAGGATCACGATCGTAGAGTCCCTAGATATCTGCGAGCTTACACTGCTTGTGTGAATCTCTGTTATGTTTTTCTTGATGCGAAGTACCTGCGTGACCTTGGAAGTGCGGAAAATTGAGTTCTTTGTGATACATGTATTGATATATGTATCTAAGTATATACGTCTGGTAGCACTACCACATAGGCACCAGGTCATACAACAGAAGACATACCTGTCCACAGTTCAACCATTCGTTTCTCGGTATTTAAGCGCACAGAATTTACCACGGAAAGGTAATGGTAGGTCTTTGCTCTCGGATCTGGAACTCGGACAATATGTTTACACTCGGGGTTGGGGGCTAAGACTGTTGCGAGGTGCGAGCCGGAGCTACATATTTATCATTATACGGTGTTGGGCTGAGCACAAAGTAGCGGGAAGCTGTTCGAATTGATGTCGTATAATCATTTCCATAAACGATTTTGTCCCTACACTGCCCTCAATTTCATTCACGGAAATACTTGTTCGAGAAAGGGCAAATAATGGGAAGCGCGCTATCTTCCCCATATTCTCTGGTGTATGACGTCTTCCGATCACTTGGACAATTGTATGGAACTAATATAATGCTGTAGCTGGCACAATTTGACTGTTCAAGACAGGCAGAAAACCTGATCCCAAAGGCATCTATATCATATTGCGTGGCGATCGTGTCTAGAACGCTTGAAGCTTTAGCCGCCAAGCCGCCGTGACGTTGAGTTTATTCGAGATTTGGCTCGGATAGTTCAGCTATTTCAGATTATATGTTAGTTGGGTTTATTGCCGCTTATATAAAAGAGCTGGACTGAAACCCGGTAGTACAACGGGCTGTGAGCGCGTGTAGACGCCGGAGATGCCTATTTTGGCTTACCGGTAAGCGTATAGCCTAACGACAGAAGGCCCTGTGGCGAGTCCGAGACACGAAGATATCGCATGTAGTGACTCGCGAAGCGCGGAATCGTTCATTCTGATAAGCGATATAGCGTGGGTCCAGAAAGATTGCAACCGACGTGTAACCGTACCCAACACAGCCTAACAGACAACATCGGAACTATAATTCTGGGAAGAACGGAGCTGAACGAAGAGGTGAAGTCGGGATTTTCAGTCAATGTTGCGAATTAGACTGGCACGACGTCCATAATTCCATGACGTAGCTTCGCAGGAAAGTCGTCTTGAATGCATTTATAACGCATGTATCCTAAACGTTATTTTCCACGACGGGGCCATCCATTACCCAAGGTCAATGATTTTCTGCCCATCTCCACTTGACCATCGTTTTTGTACCTTATCTCACGTTCATCAGGAGCCAGCGTCCTAATGTTGACCAATTAATTCCCAGCACTTCAACGTGAGCGAGCAGGCTGCCCGGTGCGGACAGGTGAGTTTCCTCGTCCTGTGTGCATTTGGATGCGAGTTGTGGGCGCCATGGAGCGAGGAATTTGGTCGATGGCCGATTATGCAGCTGAGTTTGTTTTTGGTCAACATGATGCAGGTTCCCTGTGCTCGGACCCCCAACGTAAGGCACTACCATTGTTTACCACGCGTTAGACGGTCTATCTTCCGCTGGAGGTTCGGTAAGATTGAGCATGACCGCGGACAGGGGGGAGCCGAATGACCAGGGCGTCACAGTAGCCTACGTTGTGCTCTCATCTATTAGGGTACCACTATTCGGACCCATATTTAAAGATTTCATTGGATAATACTTCAATTGGCATGGAAATTTTGGATTCAACTCATTTTTGGTAGCGGTACTCAATTAATGCACTTTTCCCTCGTCAGTGAAACTCGAACGACTGTGCTCAATGACCACGAAGCAAAACTACGCTGGAAGTCCGGTGAGGACCCTAATGTTTATGGACCCAATGAGTTGAAAGAAAATTGGTCCAATATCAAGGAGGTCCTGCGTATTTGGCGACGTCCCTTTGAGATGTTTATTCGAGAACCTATCGTGCTGAGTCTTTCTATTCTATCAGGCTTTTTGGACGCTTTGATATTTGTCTTCACTGAGACTTTCACATTGGTCTTTGAACAGTGGGGCTTTAATACCGTTCAGTGTGGCCTGACTTTCATCACAATCTTTATTGGCTACCTATTAGCTTATGCTATTTTCCTACCGGACCTTGCTCGCCAGCTTTATATTCGCAGCAAAGACGGGGATGTATCTCGTATAACAGAGCGTCGTATTCTACTCTTACTTGTCCTAGCTCCACTGGAGAAAATAGGATTTTTTGGATTTGCCTGGACATCGATGGGTCCTGAGTATACCCCCAGAATTGTTATTGCCAATCCCGCAATTTATCTGACGACAATTGATTATATGGTTGCATCATGCGGAGAATATTCTGCATCTGCTACAGGTGGAAATGGCTTTGCCTGTGACTTTCTAGCAGGAATATCGGCTATGCATGCGACACCCACGTATACCAACATTGGGGGCAAATTTCATCTCCAATGGCGAGTACAATACTCGGGGTTCTGGCATTGCTTGTAACAATTCCAATCTATATTTTCTATTGGAAAGGTCCCACAATTAGGGAGAAGAGTAAATTCGCCCAGACTCTTGAAGCCGATAGAGTATTGAAAAGGGAAGGAGACAAAGCCACACAGACCAGCAGAGAAGAGTTGGTCGTATTTGACTGGAAGAAGATCCTTATTAGTCCACAGCCATCTTTCTGCTTGGTGTTGGTTGCTCAATTTATCCGTTGCTTTGGCTAATAGCATCGACAGTGCGAGAATTAGGACTTGGCACTAGCTTACGGAATGGAATATATTAATCAATGTATGACAGTAAAGAAATACATCCTACGTCCAGTGTGGAGGAAGGACAACAGGGGCAAAATAAAACTTTGGCCGATAGCAGAAACAAAATAGTATCTCACTCAACCTTCTCCTTCGTGATTGAAGGGCACAAAGATATATTGACAACAAATCCAACAATTACTTCAAACCGAGGTTCAAATTATGAGAAATTGCTAACGCGTCTTGAATAGACCAGTCTATTATCGAATAGTATACCTTCTAAAGTTAATTACCGATACAAATGCCGTCTCAATTGGAAAGCACACGCTATCCCCCAAGTGTCCTACTTGGTTTATGAGTTAGAAGTCATTGTTGTACAATGTGCAGCCCTGGTTGGCCAATCATGCGGTCGCAATTAATAAGAAGATGACATATACTCTTTCCTCATAAGTGAGCACTCTGAGTTTTTTCCGGAACTCCACATTAACGATAATGGCTGTTGTATTAATTGCATGACGCGTCCTCGACTTAGTGTTGGTGATCTACGGCCTGGACTGCACACCGAATCTCTTATTGGCTGTACAAGACCATGTTGGATTATTATGCAGTTTGGACGCTACCTAATTAGCTGCTCATCAATCCACCCCTTGCCCCAGCTTGCGTAGCTTATTTGAACATTTTCATGTTATCGTTCATGTCGGTCTTGAGTCTTAATTCTGAGTCATTTTGAGCTATGGACATTCTAAGCGCATATAATGGGCAATGCGGAGGATGGACTTGACATGACCTAGATACTGAAGCCCGCACCAAACCTGCGACACTTTGATTCAGCGTTCAATGAGCACCTTTGGAAAACGCATACATTATCTTCTTGCAACCCAAGGTTCTGCTTCCCTTTCAATGAAACAACTCTCCTTCTTGGCATGCGGGCGGACTGTGGATTTTCCCGACAACTCCTGCTCCATTCGTATATAAGTATTCTCTAATGCCGCTAGCAAGACTGAGGATTCGTAATCCTCTTTCTCTCATGGTTAAGCAAAGACTTGGCAACAAGGCATCCCTGAATATTGAATCAGCGAATTCCACATCTGGATTCTTGGCCCGTATGGAACGAAGGAGTGTGCCCTTAGGTGGTAGGAGTGGTGTTTCTTGCAAACATGGTTTTTTATGCCAGTGTGGGATGAGCTTACGCATGCACAGAAATGTTTGCGTAGATCACTTGTCATTGTTGAAACAAGAGGACTATAAAAGGAGGAATGAGGTCGACATTGAACAGGACTTGCAAATCAAAGCATCAAACTACACAATAACAAGTTCCTCATCTTGAAAAATTTCATCTCATTCTCTCCTGTTCCATATTTAGTTTTCCAAAATGGTTCAGCTTTTGAAAACAACCGCAAGCATCCTTCTTGGGATTGCTGTCCTATCCCGGGCTCATCCAGGCCACGACGTTAAAGTCGAAGCTGCTGAGAGAGCAGCCGCCCTGAAGGGAAAACGCGGTCTTTCTGGGTGTACTGATAACCTCAAGGCCCGTGGCTTTGAGGCTAGAAATATTGCCCGTCGTGAGCTTGCTGTTAGCAAGCTCCGACACAAGCTCGCTGCCAAAAGTATGCACTCTGTTCTTTATACCTTGCCTTTATTCTTATTCTAACAATATTATATTTCAGGACAAGTACAGCTGGACACTCGTGACCTCAGCTCGTTGAATACCAGCCACTTTTCTTCCTTGGACGTTGATTTTGATACCGACCCAGAAGTGATCTTTACTTCCAATGCAACCTGCATTCTAGGACCGGATGTGACCCAGGGCCCATACTGTAAGCTGAGTATGCATATTTGATTTGACATGTTATTAAATGAATCACAAGATATCACCGGAGAATACATCCGCGAAAATGTCATCGAAGACCAGGCAGGTGTACCTTTGTACCTCGATATCCAAATTGTCGACTCAAGCACATGCGAACCGGTACCTCAGTCATACATTGACATCTGGCACTGTAACTCAACTGTAGGTCCTCGGTCGCCATATTGAGTGTGATGTGAGTCTGACTATATAGGGCGTGTACTCTGGTGTTGTTGCCAATGGAAATGGAAACTCCGCGGATGCTACAAACATCAACAATACCTTCCTCCGTGGTATCCAACAGAGTGACGACGACGGAGTTGTCAAATTTGAAACCCTTTTCCCAGGTCATTATACCGGTCGTGCAACTCATATCCATGGTACGTATCAATGGCTATTAAGATGCAAACTATACTAATTTTATAACAGTCCTTAGCCACACTGTGAACGAGACCGAACGTCTCAGCAATGATACCATCTCGGGTCTCTATACTGCACAAGCCTCACATGTCGGACAGATCTTCTTCGACCAGTCCCTCATTTCGGAAGTGGAGAACCAGTCACCGTATAACGAAAACACGCAAACTCTGACAGAGAATGCCGATGACAGTATTCTACTACAAGAAGCTGATGATATTGATCCCTTCGTTCAATACGTTTATGTGAACGGTGCAGATGTGACTGATGGCATTTTTGCCTGGATTTCCCTTGCTATCGACTCTTCGGAAGACTCTTCCGTTACACCGGCTGGGTATTTGACTTCCTCGGGAGGTGTTGCTAACCCCAACAGTGGTGCTGGAGGACCTGGAGGCCCGCAATAAGTGAGAAACAGAGCTGCTCCTTTTGACCCTGATGTTCAAGCTGAGTGATTGAACGTTTGAAAGTCTAGACATGGAGTAGTTATCGAGTAGTAATCAGCTTGGGTATCGTACTTGATTTGTCGCGTTCTGTTCCATGTCCACTCTCTCTACATCATCAACCAGCCTGGAGCTTGCAGACCTCTGTTGAAAATGTTCAGTCGATCTACCATGGCTAGCAAGGTACTTTATGAGTGCATTTCATTCTCAGGTATACAATTTACGTCACCTGGATTTTCTAAGTTGATCTATGTCAATCTAGATTTAGCTATTAAATTTGAATGAGAATTATTTCTCATATGATATGATAGATTTCCCCTATACTTTCAATTCCGCTCATGAAAGCAGTCTATTTATGTCTGACTTTCTCTCGATTCCATTCATCGATGTCGTTCATTAGAGCTAGCTACTATCGAAAGTGTCAATTTTCCAGGTAATCAAGTAAGCGAATATCGGTTGAAGAAGTCAATGATGAGCTCATTCGCTTCAATCGGCTGAGGTCCCATCCCAGCGACTAACATGTTGATGTTTCGCGATTTTGACGGCCAGTCGTGTCCTGGGTTCATTCACGTTAACATCAATTTTTGCTGCTGTTTTCTGGAAGATAACCAACCGTTTGCATCAACTTTCCAGTGCTGCAGTATTCCTCTCTGTCCACCACACGTCCATGATGTATGGTGGACATTCCCGTCAATACTGTGAGCAGTAGAGTTACTTGTACATTTGTTTCGCTTTGCCCAATCATCCAACCTTTACAAATTCATATGTTAGTTGAGTGATGTTGAAAAGGCAACTTCAATGGTACGTGAAATAAAAGTGCATMCCACACTGGGATKGGCGGCAARGGCCCGCCGTATCCCATGCCCCCAGCATAGTGAACTCCTTTGTCAAGTGCACCATGTATCTCCAAAAATGGAAGAGGTGATCGCGCTGACAAACAGTCATAACCATTGACACTTGTGTAAAAGGAGCCAGCAACAGACGCAAATGCTGCAAACTTTGAACCAAGTTCGCTGCAGGCGATTGTGTCAACAAAACCGCCGCCATTCGACATTCCTGCAGCATATATACGGTTGCTATCAATACTGTATTTTGACTTCAAATCATCAATCATGTCGCTAACAAATCGTAGGTCCTCTTCCACAGAAACTTCGGCGTAAGTCGGCCCTGCCCACACACCACCCACACCATTTGGATATATGAAATATTTCTGGTTTCCATTCATTAGCTATAACTTTATCTGTTTGGTTCGTTCTGTAATACTAGTACTAACATCCGTGGAGTAGACTGTCTGAACTAGAGGCAACGACATCCTCAAGTCCAGCTCCATAGCGAGTCCATCGGCATCAGAACCTATTCTACCTCCTCCGTGAAACATAATCACAGCAGGATATTTCTGTCCTTCCTTCAAGTTTTCAGGGGCATGAACCCAGTAGCTGCGAGTGCGATTGCTGCTTGACAGGTACTGCACATCTGCGATGGCTGGCGCTATGAGTAGAAACCCTGCGAGCATAAGCTCAAGGATTATCCGCAGTAGCCGTCGTGGACTAAGAATATCTCCTGTAAGGAGCTGAACAACTGCGGAAAGCGTTACGCCTATAGCATCTCTGATACTGGTGATGAGGAGTTTGACTGTGTCCGTGGGAAGACTCGACATGATTGCGGCCTGTTGATTTTACATTGAAGATTTTCCATGCGCATGTAGGGGTGCCGATATGCTCTGGGATTCTGTTTTTTCGGAGATGAAGCCAAGTAATACAAAGATAAAAGGCAAAGGGTACAAAATGTAGAGATGAAAAGAAAGAGGTCATTGCGAAAGCTGGAATGTTGATCTTATTGTACGCTATTCCTCTTTAAAACTAGCCTTGGGATTAGGGTTGATGTGTGTCCTACTCATTGCTGCCTCAGGCTCCAACATCGTCTGGTCTCTGTTAGACACGACAAATGATCTCAAGTTTGACAGGATTTGCATCTACGAGATGCAATGACAACTTTCAAGCTTATGAGATCTCTAGATATCTGGTGTTACATGGAAATTGATCCTTCCTATCCAAATGAATGATTAGTCGAGCGAAGTATCTACTAAACTAGTTCAAGGTTGTCTTCGCTTCGAATAATAGAAAAAAGTGGTCAAAGTAATTAATTATCATCCACGTAGCTCCATGGGGTTCTATATATTTCTAAATCTAACCTGGATATCAAACATTAAAAAAAAGAAAGTCATCGCAACTTTTAACGAAGTTCCAGTTCGTTCAATCAATCAAACACCGATACACCATAACCAATAACGAAAAGCCCATCATAGTTCAAGTCCAGGCGCCATGAGAAGACATAACTATCGTGAAGAATCAAATCTCTTGTACCCTAGGCCATGTGCTCTAGAATCTCAGCTCGGGAGGTTTCTGAAGAGCTCTTCATTGATGCAGAATGGTCGTTTTTCAGGAAGAATACTGCAAAGATGAGTCCAATGCCGGCGATAACCGAGGTACACCAGAGACCAGTTGTGTACTGCTGGGCAACATCATGGTCTTTATTGATGTCAATTCCTTGCACAACGGCAGAGCATATAGCCAGGGAAACTCCACCACCGATCTGGTACGCGGTATTGATCTACAAATCACAGTTAGCTTCAGAAAGTGAAAACTTATCAATTATCGGATCAACTAACCATGCCTCCGCATAGACTTTTCACATTCATGGGAGCATTGACCAACATGAGGGTACTGCATGTGATATAGGCAATCGAAATTCCGGTGATACTCAAAAACGAGGTTGGCATGACATTGACCCAGCTAGATTAGGATGTTAAAAGTCTTGGACAACAGCTGATGTGACTTGTTTAAGTTATTTAACAAGAAAGATATGTCGGAAGGACTCACAAATTGGAGCTCGACAATAAACAGCTTGGCAGCGGGGCCAGGACTTCGAACAACAATCCCGTAATCAATATGTACTTTCCATCAAAAGATTCAATAGCTCTTGTAGTGGCAAGCGTTACCACAAAGCCGAGCACTCCGGAAGGTATGAAGCGAATTGCGGTTTCAAGTGGGGAAAGCTTATCGACTTGTTGAGATATGAGTACTGTATAATATAAGACTGTTGTATAGCTGCCATTCACAGCTACAAATATGAAAGTTAGCGAAGAAGTTACCCTATAGCAGAGTCGATAAGGGATAAGACATACCGAATCCGCATACCCACAAGCTTGCAAAATTGCGGATCTTCCATAATGATAGTGGCATGATCGGGTTACTAATCTTGCTCTCATAGACGACAAATGTAACAAGAAGAGTAACAGACAATATGAGAAGGACAACGATAAATGCCTTCCCCCAACCATAGACACCACCACCAGATAACACAAACGCTAGAAGGATAAGTCCAGCAGTTGAAAGAAAAGCGCCCAAAAAGTCCATTCTGGACTTGGAATGTTTTTTGATGGGGGTGGAAGGAAGCGCTATGAAACCAAGTATGGCTAACAGGGCACTGACAATAACTGACAATCGGAATATGTATCGCCAGCCAAGGGACGAAGAGAGAAGTCCGCCCAACACAAGACCGGCTGTGAAACCGACCGCACCAGAAGCCGCATATATACCCAGGGCGCGCGTCCTGTCTTGACCAGTAAAGTATGAGCTGATTATCCCCACAGCTGAGGGGATCGTAAACGCGGCGCCCATTCCTTGAAGGCCTCTGAAGACAGTCATTTGAATGAAAGAGGATGTAAAACCTATTGCGAGAGTCCATATTGAGAGCCAAATCAGACCGGCAATCAACATGGGCTTCCGGCCATATCTAAAAGTAAATAGTCAGCAAGTGTAAAAGATTACTTGTATAAAACTCGGCAGGAAAGAAAATTTCAACATACCTATCAGACAAGACACCAGATAGCAAAAGACATCCTCCAAAGGCGAGGGTATACGCTGAAATCATCCATTGTAACTCTGATGACTGGATACTGAATTCCTCTTGCACATCGGACAGTGCGATGTTTATACTGGTGATGAATACATTATCCATAAACATAGCTCCTGCGGTGACTAATAATATCAGGGCGCCTTTCCATGACGAGAGCTTTCCGATTTCCGGCTCAGTCGATTCTTTCTGTGCTTCTGGATTGTGTTCCTCGGCTGTTTCAGTATATAATTTGGTATCCAAACTGCTCTTGACTATTTTTTCATCGAGCTCTTGAGCGACAAGAGTGCTTTCCGACCTTGTAAATCCGGGTCGAACAGTTGGGGTTGGCTTGGAAAGGACAGAGGTGTCATCAGTACGGTCTTGATGAACCTCCACCACAGTGATGCTAGTTCCCATATTGTTCCTGTCTAGGAATTATATTGCCCCTGAAAATTTGGAGGGATGAAAGGTGTGCAATTCTTCGAGACGTCCATCGTACACAACGGATAGGGTAAATCTTTTTATACTACGCAGTCACTACGTATTCGAAGTGGCGGGCTGAGTAATGCCTATTATCAGCACTCTGACTGTGCGCTATCTAGTCGAAGAAGTAGTGGGCCGATTTTTATAGAGTAGCTCCGTGGGATACAGCCCATAAGAGTCTGGACTGTAGACTCGGGCATTGGAATATTGAGACACCTCTCAGCCATCCTTCACCGACAAGTCACATCATAATAGCACGATGGCGCATTGCTGCCCTACATCCCCATATATGCAACGCCGCTGTGGACGGCTCCATCTATTCAGCAGAATGTTGGAGGTCGGAGGAGCTTATCAAGAGCAGGTCAACCCGCATGGTGGATCCGGCATCTTTCATATGCGTTGTGGCCGACAAGGTAGATCGGACATTCCCCCGAGACGGACTGGGTCTCGCTAGAACCACAATATAAAGTGTGTGTCATGGAACGTTCTTTTCATAGGGCTTGCTCTGAGATTAGCTCAATTTGAGTGCCGTCTACTGAGCAAGCGAGCCGACAAAAGTAGATTTGATTGTATGAATGACAATGATTGGAATAAATGTCTTCTTTGACACTTCCTTATGCACCGACATGAATCAGATGTAAGATAAGGGCAATACTCGTTATATCTTTACTATGTACAACGATCGTGCGGCAACGTGGGTAGATTGACGGCATCGGTTCGGGAAATGGATTCCACGAACAGAGTTCCCAATCCAGCAGGTTAGTCGAGGTTCCACAGCTTCTTTTGTGCGTGACTGTGGCCGAGAAGACATGTTGTGGGCAGCATTTTCAAGTCAATTGGATGTCAGGTCTCAAATTTCTCCGTTTTTCCGGCTAAATTGATGGACTTATAATGCAGGTCTATGTGCATTTAGTCCAAGTCGTGATCGCTTTTTAAAGATTTTTTCCCTCCTTCGCTCCACCGACCCACGCAAAAAAAGCTAGCTACTGCGTAGCTAGAGCCTACTGTTGATGCTATCAGCGCCTCTTGAAAATTTTCTCTGTCACACGTTGGGTACAATAGCGCTGCTCCAGCTGCACAGTCCCTGAAATTGACTGTATATAGAGGTCGATTAAGCACAAAGGTTGCGATAACCTCCTGGCCCACCTGCATCGGAAAGATTTGCGCGTCGGACCAATAGCCGACTCGGCCGCTTAGCTTGCACCGCTGCATTGTGTCTTAGACCTGGGCTTTGATTTATCTTCGGTCGGCATGACTCTTCCAGTCTTCCTCAGTTATATGGGGATGCCAACAAACGGACCCATGCCCTAATTCATCGTCCCATGTGATCAAAAGAGACGAGTCCAGAACATTGATGAATTTAGGCTACAGAGTAGTATCAGAGTATATCTGTGTTTCATCTTTCGATTTTGAAAATCAAGTGAATCATTGGCTGTTTACCTAATGTGATCTATACCGACCGCCTCTCGCCAATTCAAATTTGCACCGCGACGTTTCCATCTGCTGATGGCGTGTTATGTTTCTGAGTCAAACAAGCTCAGCCACTTGATTTTTTCTCCCATAGTCGATCCTCAGAGCACCGCATTAATTACCCAGATACCAATCTCTTTCCATCAGCATCCAGACTAACATTGTTGTCGGAATGAAAAAAGTGGGAATAGTTTCCCGCCTTCTAGCATTCCCCCAGATCAACCACTCTGTTCCATATAAAAACAACGGACCGATATATGTAATTATAGCCAACGTATACAGTTCTCGACTATGGATATTATGTGCCGCATATAATCGGATCAAGGCTGTGTAGACGTTCTTGACGCCGTATACGTGTGCTGTGAGCGCGTTCGGTGCCGGTGCCGAAGGACCGGAGAATCCTTTCATAGACGACAGCGGTCGGATGTACGTGACGACCGTATGGATTAAAGCCATAGTGCTTGTCTATGACAAGAGGAAACCCAATTAGGACTTGGCTTTCTAAAGATCATTCCTTGAAAGTATGGGATGGGGATCATTGGCATACCATGACCAAACCAAATGGCAAATAGCCATGGTCGGCAGACGGTAAGAGCTCCATGTGCAGTGTAAGCTGAGGTATATAGAATTCTCTTGACTTCTAATGAGGTGAGCGAATTCATTCATGATATGATCCCAAGTCCAAGCTTCTCCAGCAGACTGATCCTCTACAACTATTTATCGCTGCCTACCCGTGACCGGATCGCCTTCAGCCGCACCAGTTGACGCGTTCAATCCATAGATTGCTACATCTGACCAATGATCGTGAGGCAATTTATGTGCATCCATGTGCAAGTGGTATTCTCTATATTAAAAGTCGGTATTTGAAAAGCTATCTTTGAAAGAACAGAGCCAAGGGAAAATGAAAACGAGCACGAGGTATTCCTTCAACCCGGCCGCATCTGGTTACGGATGTATCGGCGTGTACCAGTTGCTCGCCTACTTACATAACCGCTAGGTACACACATAGGTATATATTTAGATGGCATCCGTTAGACATATTGGAGTGTACATACTTCGATGTCCTGGAAAGATAAATGATCCCGCTTACTTATGTTCAATTTCGAGTACAAATCTATTCTAGAAACCGACCTTGAGAAAATGTACAAAATGGAACAAGTATGTATTATTAAAATTATTCACTGACTATATACAGCCTGCAACATAGAAAATTACACATCAGAGAAGGAAAACTATCTAATCGAGAAAAGAAGAAACAAAATAGACAGAAAAACGAAAGAAATGCATCACTTAGGTACAGAAAGCTTGGATTTCGCCAATATCAATTCAGCAAGCTTGATCAATGATTCGCTGGACAATAGTTCGAGCACCTGCACATTCGCGTCTGCTTCTCGGGCAATCCAGTTTCGAATCTCGATCGCAACCAAAGAATCCAGGCCCAAAGAGGAGACTCGAGTCGAAACGTCCATATCTTCTGGACTCATGCCCAGGACCGCTGCCAATTTGGCCGCTAGAGCTTCGTAACAAACATGGATAGCGTCGGCTCTGGTAGAAGCAGACTGAACTGCTATGCGCAGTGGAAGCTCTTTGCCATCTTTTTGCGATTCGTTCATGACTGACTCGACAGCCTCGCGGATAGATGAGAATTTGGGATCGTGAAGCCAGAAACTATCTAGTGAATCTGTTGCTTCTAAGCCCGTGACGAACTGACTTTGACTAGATTTATTCAAGTCACTGGTAATAGCCAAGGCGAGGAGTGCCAGAACTTCGGATTCGTTGATTGTAGCGCCTCCAATATTCTTCGCCACCTCTTGTTGTCTTGAGGGATCGCTATCGGCTAGGTAACCAACTTCGGTAACCGCGGCAAGATCGATTGACTTTCCAGGAAGACCTTGAGATCGCCGGTACTCCATGAAACCATCAAGGAATACGTTAGCTGCCGAGTAAGCAGCTTGACCTCGATTACCGACCACCCCAGCGACAGATGACAAGGCGATGAAAAAGTCCAGCGATGATTGCGCTAGGCAGTGGTGCAGATTCCAAGCACCGTCGACTTTGCAAGCAGACACCGATTTGAAATCTTCAAGAGTCATGTTTTCAAACAGCATATCCTATAGATGTTCGATTAGTTACCGGCAAGTTGAGACAGTGACAGCATCAATTGATTAACTCACTCGAAGAACCATGGCCCCATGAACGAGGCCACGCACAGGTGGAAGATGGACAAGTTCCTCGTCCACGAGTCTTTCGACATCAGCTCTGGAGCTAACATCACAAGCTTTGACGAAAATCTGCGTTCCGTGAGAAGCCAGCTCGTGGATCAGAGATTCCAACTTGTCGCTCACAGAGCCCGATCGTGAAACAAGTACGATGTTTCGAGCTCCCTTGGTGGACATCCATTTGGCCATACTTCTACCCAGACCGCCCGTTCCACCAATAATGAGATATGTTGCGTCATGCCGCAGAAGGTTACTAGACGTCTTGAGAGATACGGCCTATAACAAGGGATTAGTTGTTTCTGGGCTGATAAAAAAAAAATAATTGGTACAAAAACTTGAACATACCTTGACCTGATCATCAGCATTAGGAACAACAACAGATTTTCCCATGTTCTTTCCAGTCTGCAAAGCTCTAAATCCTGCCTCAACCTCCGAAATGGAGTACTTTGTAATAGGGTAAACTGGCTTAATGCTACCTTCGCCCAGAAGCCGGCAAACGTCATTCAGCAATCGCTTCATTAACCTGGGCCGAAACTTGGCAACTTTGGTCAGATCAACAGAAGCAAATGTGACGTTATGCTCGAATTTTAACATCTCCAAGCGACTATTCTTGGTTATGTCGGCCTTTCCGATTTCGATAAACCTTCCAAAAGGCGCCAGGCAGTCCCAACTTTCTCGTAAGAGGTCGCCAGCAAGAGAGTTCAGGACAACGTCGACACCCTCACCACTAGTGGCTCTTCGGATCGCTGCACCAAAGGAGTTGTCGCGACTGTATAGAATGCGGTCTTGAGGAATGTTGTAGCGCTCCATGAGAAACGTCTTTTTTTCTTGACTGCCCACTGTCACGAAGATATCAGCGCCCACCATTTGAGCCAGCTGAATGGCCGCTTGTCCAACACCACCAGCACCAGCATGTATCAAGACACGCTCGCCAGCGGAAAGACGGCCCAAGTCGAACAGCCCATAATAGGCCGTGCAAAATATGATGGGAATGGTAGCCGCTTCTTCCATGGACATGGAGTCCGGTATGGTAGCGATGCTAGTACTGGGGCATCGTGCGTAAGTTGAGTATGCTCCTTCTGGCATGGCCATAACCCGCTGCCCAGGAAATACATCTGTGACATTCTTCCCAACCGATGTGACAGTGCCACTGCACTCAACACCGATGTATGGCTGAATGAGCTGACCCATGGACACCACAACATCTTTGAAATTGATACCCGTGGCTTGGACCTCAATCTCTACGGACTCATCTCCCAACTCGGCGACATCGTCATCGGTAAAGTAGATTGTGTCAAGCGATCCAGGCTGAGCAATCTTCAATTTCAATCGTCTACCCGACTGATGGAAAGGCTGTACGGATAAGCTCATTTCGCTGTTCTCGTTATGAATGAACGCATTTGAGTGTATATCCTCCACAGTCCGCAATACGAGAAGCTGAGAATCAGTTGACTTGAATTCGGACTCTTTGCAAGGTTCAGCACCGTCTGTAGGCCATATTGCATCCATAACTTTGGAGACAGTGCTAGCGGCAATGATGGGATCTTCGCTATGGAGACCTAGAGTTACTATTTTAGCCATGGTCTCGGATCGGACGCTTCGTGTCATTCCAACAGTCATCTGGGCATCTGGTGAGCTATTCGGATAGACCCAGAGAATGTTGGCTGCAGTGAGAAGGATCTTGCGAATAGTCTCAAATTCCTCAGCAGTCGCATCTCTTAAGGAAGCATCAGGCGATTGAAGGATGATAACGTTGCTGTCGGTATATTGGGTTGTTAATTCCGCTGCGGATAGATTTCTGTATGATGTTTGGCCTAAATCCTTTGCAATTTCTGTAGCGATGGGATCAGTATCGCGTTGTCGTGAAAATCGTACGATGACAACGCGGTCATCTCGAATCGTCAGTTCGTTAGATGTATCTCTCCTATTGTCATGCGTAATTGAGGTCCCATTGGTCTGGTGATGGCAATTTGAACCATTGGCCAAACTGTGATTTGTTCCGTTGACACCATTCTGGCCATTTTGAACGTCAATATGAGAGTGTCCGTTTGTAAGTTCATGTGATCTACCATTAGACATGTCAGCAGGCTGCGCATGTCCATTAGACGCATGACTCTTTTTTTCCCACGCCTGCCATTCGAGCTTGTAACATAGTTTGCGAACTTCGCTGCCAGCTCCTAATCCCGCATCACGAATGGGAGTCATGACAAGGCCATCTAGTACTATCAAAGGATCCGAAGTATTGTCCTCGGCGACAGCAAAGAGGTCAAAGTGAGTCGGTTCAGGGGAAGGTAGGTCCGGATTTCCAGTTCCAAACGCTCTCACATGCTGGCCAGCAGCAAATGGAATCTCAGAACTGATCATTGCGTGCTTGATTAAGGTGGGCATATAGAGTGTCTCCAGCGTCATGCGACCGTGACCGAGAATAGGCCAGACGAGATGGAGCAAGCCGTCTAGAAAAGCCGGGTGAGCGAATAGAGGCGACTGATAGTTCTTAGGCATCAAAGCGGTCGTATCTCGAATAAAAAGATCGGCATGGCTGTGATGTGAGTCAGCGTAGCAATTCTCAAGGCCCTTGAATGTTGGCCCATAGTCCGCTCCAAGGTCCGTAAGAACCTGATAAAGGCGATCTTCGGAAATATGGTTGGTTGAAGATGAGATAATTTTCGACTTCCTGTTCTGTATATGGCTTTTATTTTTCAAACTGGATCCGGAAATATTAGAAGCATCACCATGAAAGGAGTTCCGAACTCCAACAAGACCATGGCAGTGCTTGATCCAGCCCCTTTGAGAGCTCCAGGAATGAATCTTAAATTCATCCCAAACATCCGAGGCACCACGGGTGCCTTCATCGTAAGGCCGCAATGAGATGGTCGTTTCTACATCAGCATCATCACTGAGCACTAATGCAGACTCAACAACAACTTCTCGAAACTCGAAGGCGTTAAATGTGATATTACGGTGGTGAGCGCGTCGAGCGGCTGCCTCTATAGCCATGGCGAGCTTTTAATTGTTAGTCTCCTGTATAACAATATGAAATAACCCACAGGGAAACTGATAACACAACTTACATATCCAGCAAGCGGGTAGACAACCATGCCCTGCATTTTATGATCCCTGAGCCAAGGGATATCATCCAGCCGCACAATATTTCTCCACGTAGGCTCCATATCGTTCGAATAGTTTGCCATAACACCTAGTACGTCATTTCTCGCACCGTCACGAATTTGATGTTTCTTTGCAATTCGAGGTTCGTGCCAGTAGCGTGTGTGGTGCTGCCAAGGATAACGAGGCAGATCCGTCAAAAAACTATAATTCCGAGCTCCAGTGCATGGAAAGTTGATTGCGTATGGATCTAGATTTGCACCTCGAACGTAGGCAGCCGCAGCAGTATTCATGAGTGTTTCAACCGCTTTTTCTTTGCGAACGATTGTAGGCGCGTACGCAATCTTGGCGGAAGTAATTCCCAAATGTTTCAGTGTATCGCCAATCGGGCCTTTCAAGGCTGCGTGAGGTCCAACTTCTATTAGTAGGTTAGGAGTCCCGCCGTCTTGCTTACACATTTGTTCCAACGTGTCGGGGAATAGAACGGGAGAAGTAAGATTTTGAACCCAATATGAGGCATTGAAGGTTGTTGAATCTGCGACGCGGCCCAGAACTGAAGAGATAAAAATTACGTCGCTCTGCAACGTAGACTTCCGTTTTATATGTGCAATGGAATCAAAATAAGCGTCGGATATCTTTTTCATGTGGTCTGAATGGTAGGCGACATCTATCTTCAGGCGTCTGTTAAAGATTTGTTCTGTCTGGAGTATGCTTTCGAGCTCATCGATTGCAGAAAGATCACCAGACACAGTAACACTTGTTGGACTGTTAATACAAGCTACGGTCGCATAACCTTTTCGAAGCATTTTGAGCATTGGGCGAATAATACTAGCCCCAGTGCCAACTGCTATCATGGCACCTCGGAGGGAAGGGTAAGTTTCTTTCAGCAGTCTGGTCATCTGTCCTCTATAGTAAGATAGAGCCATGGCTGAGTGCAAGTCATATACGCCCGCGGCATATGATGCAGCAATCTCACCGGAGCTGTGACCGACCACATACTTTGGACGTATGCCCCAGGATTCTAACAGTGTCACCAGAGCAATTTGGATGGCTGTACAGGCCGGCTGGCTTAGCTCAGGAGAGTCGATCCGAGAATCAGCGGGATCCTTCTTGATTTCTGCTTCCAAAGACCATTCAGCATGCAGTTGGCGTAGATAGCCGTCTGCCTGCTGAATCACTGCCCTAAAGATTGGATATTCGTCTATAAGAGCACATCCCATCTGAGCCCATTGCGCCCCTTGTCCCGTAAAGACGTAACCTATCTTGGGGTCGCCTAGAACCTTGGAGGCATTGACTTTCAACTGAGCCAAGCGGATGCCCAAATCATCTAATGAGCATGCTGGAAGAGCGATTCGATACGAAAGGTGGGACAGTTTGCTCCCCACGGTAAAGGCAAAATTTCCGAACAACAATTTTTCGAATACTTCAGGTCTCTGCTCGAAGTATATGCCGAAATCCTTGATTCTTTGCTGCAAGGAATCTTTATCATTCGCTGATATGAATATTAGCTTATGCTTTGGGTCATTATACATGTGCGTATCGTCGATATCGCTGGAAAGAGTGTCTGGTGTATTTGTATTCAATGGTGCCTTTTCCAGTACGACATGTGCATTTGTGCCTCCGAAGCCGTAGTTTGAGACACTGATAAATCTCTTGCCTCGTGGCCATGGTCTGGTCGATGTCACAACCTGCATCCAATTGCTTAGTATCTCTGGTTAATCTCGACCATCATGAAAAACCCACCTTCATGTTCCACTCATTCAGTGGTATATTATCGTTTGCCTTTTTAAAATCGGCGTTGGGCAATAGAAGATCATGATCTAGCATCATGGCTGCTTTGATCAAGGAAATCACTCCACTGGCCCCTTCAAGATGGCCAACGTTCGACTTCACCGAGCCAATGTACAGGGGATTTTTTGGAGACCTTCCATCTCCGAGAGCCGCATGCACAGCTGTCGCTTCAATTGGATCCCCGACTTTGGTTCCCGTTCCATGCATTTCCACAAATCCACAATCTTCAGGATTAATATGAGCCTCGTTATAGACACGCCGAATTAGCTCCTCTTGTGCATGCCCATTTGGCATTGTAATTCCCTGGGTTCGTCCGTCCTGACTCACTCCCGAATTCACAATGACGGCACGAATTGGGTCTTTGTCTCTGATAGCGTCTTCCAGAGGCTTCAAGAGCACTACACCGGCGCCCTCTCCTCTGGCGAACCCGGATGTGGCCCGATTGTCAAAAGCGTACGTTTTCCCTTCATCGTTGAACAACCTATGATTGTGAGTCAGCGCGAAATTGGCAATGGATCGGTGTAAACATACTGGGACATTGACATGGAGACAAACAAGTCCGGTACGATATTCAATCTGCATCCGGCAACCAGCGCCTCTGTGGACTCACCACTTCGTAAGCTCTGTACGGCAGCATTTAGTGCGACCAATGAGGAGGAACATGCCGTATCGACGGTGAAACTAGGGCCACGAAAATCGAAGTAGTAGGATATTCGATTTGACTGCAGAGAGGGAGCACACCCCGTAGCCTGGTACATGGGAATCGTCTCAACATCGCGCACGTTGTGAAGTTCATAATCCGCAAAGTTGCCGCCGACAAAAACGCCAACGTTTCTCCCAGCTAATGACTCTTTTGGTATTCCCGCACTTTCGACGGCTTCATATGAACACTCGAGTAGCAATCGTTGTTGGGGGTCCATAGAGATCGCCTCCTGGGCGGTTATATTGAAGAACGGCGCATCGAAGCGAGAGATGTCATCTTGCAGAAAGTAACCGCCTGAGGGATTGAACGCTCCCACTTTCGAAGGATTGGGGTGGTGGAATGCCTCAGACGCGAAGCGATCGTTTGGAATGGGTGACCATCCGCTGCGTTTCCGGGTACAAAGCTCCCACAGGTCGGCAGGAGACGATACATCGCCTGGTAGACGACAAGCATAACCAATTATGGCAATGCGCTGCCTGTTGTTTTCGTGGCAGCAGCTGACATCGTGATTCAGTGCTGCTGACGCTGGATGTGTATCTGGAATGCCCGAAAACCCGTTCATGGCTCAGAAACTCCAGGGAGTGATTGTTGTAAGCGATGGAAGACCATAAGAAAGAATGCAATGGGAAGAAAGAGCTTCTAGCAATATCAGAACGCGCTCTTTCTGTCTTCTTTTAGCCTTGGCTTTTCGTTCCGTGGTGACTGCGCATGCTCACCATGGTTTATAATGCTCCCTGTAGTCTGCCGATCTTTCGCGTCATCAAATGCTAGTCGACTAGCGTTATCATCTTGTGGAGTGAAAGGTTTGTAGTCCCTGAGAGGACGCAAGGGGCTGGTTCCGAGGTCATGCTGATTCGGCAAGAGCATGATTGCGGAGCGGAATCGATCATCTTTAGCGTTTGCCTCAGTCGAAGGAGTGCGTTGGATAGCCGTGAGACTGCAGACCGCGACACAAATCAGGCATGTCAAATCACTAGCATTCGCCATTGCAGTTGGCATCCTGTCATGAGACATTTGCCTCGGCGGTGGACTCGAAGATGTATTCCTCATGCACCTGAAGTCAGGTTGACTGCTTAGCACTTAGCTCATTTGGCATCTCAAGTTGTTGATCAGCGTGGTCACAGCTCCGCTAAGATAGTTAGAGATGAGGTCTTTCCACGGTGGGGCTTGCCCTGGCAGGGATTCAAGCTTGTTTCGAATGTTTGTTTGTCCCTTCGCGCTTTCCTTCTGTACCGCAAGTCCCGCACCCCCACTACTACCCACCTTCCCTACCGCACCCACCGAGCTTGCGCCTTCCCTGGGCCTAGTGCAGTGGGTACGTACCTTCCTTTTGGTACCTGGATGATTTATCCCTACGCCAGGCACGTCCATCCTGGAGTCGTCCCTAAGTTTCATTTTCGATTCACGCAATGCGCACTAATAAAAGGCCATGCCGCTTCGTGTGCTATTGCATGCCGTCTAGGTTTGATCTACTCGACGTACGCCAGCTGACCAGAACTACGGTATGAACGTTGATTATAGCCACATTTGAAGTATTTGGATACATAGACAATCACCAACATGCAATTCTTGTGCCTACACGGCGCTATCGGTAACATCGATGTGAGTGCAACAGGCTTCGAAACCGTCATAATACCAGAGCTAACATACACAGAATATCAGTATTCAGTTAGGTGAGTTGCCACATGACGTCGCTGTCGAATGTACATCAAGACTGACAGATAGCCTGGAGACCCTCTGCGGAAGGAACTGGAAAGCGACCAAGCCGCTACTTTCCATTTCATCAATGCCCCGGTGTCCGTGGAACCCCCTGAAGGTAAGAGAGTATACCAATACATCTTTGGAAACACCAGTGATTACATGTGACAGCGTCCAAGTGCTAACTACATACGACCGCAGGCTTCAGCGAATATTTTGGTCCTGGACCGCATTATCGATGGATGGACGACGAGGGCGCCGGAGAAGAGTCCATGATCAATCGTATACGGCAGCTACCGACTGGTCGAAATCCTGAAGATGTTATGCGAAGCCTGGCCACTTCCGAGAAGACTTGGAAAAATCGGGAGACTGTCATGCAGTATCTCTATGATACACTAGAGGCACATCCTGAGGTCGAGGGTATAGTCGGGTACAGCGAGGGATCTGCGATGGCGGCTACACTGATTCTGGACGAAGTGCATAGATTGGAAAAGGAGGGGCGACCCAGGAGGATCAAGTGTGCAGTTTTCTTTACGGGTTGGCCCCCGGTCTCGCCAGACAATAAATTGGTTCTTTCAGACGAGACTGAAATCGTGCTTGATGTCCCCACTTTGCACATCGTTGGGGCTAATGGTGAGTGTGTCTCTTGGTCTTGATGAGATTGGATGATTTTCCTAAATTTGAGATTTCTTGGACTAACTTTTTCAATGTAGATCCTTATCGTTATGGCGCCCTAGCCCTATACAATGTTTGTGACGCGGATACCGCCAATATGTTTGATACGGGAAAGGKCCATACAATCCCTCGTACAGGGAAAGTGATATCCGAGCTGGGTGATGCCGTTAGGGAGCTTATCTCTTGCACCGAAGAATAATTTGACTTGGGCCTGCGGGTCCAGGCTAGTAAAATAGACTAAAGAATGGACTAGCAGTCTTGATCATCGTCATCGAGATGTATCTTAGTGTTTCCGGAAATTTTTATAGCTCCCTGAAGAAGCAATCAATCAGTGGGACTTTTACTCTCAAAATCTTTTTTAGTGCAAATTGTTCCAAGGTTTCTGTTTCCTAGTACCATAGTAGATGCCAAGTTTTCTCCTGCGTCGAGCCTGTGGCTAGCTGATAAGCTTGATAATTTCCATTGTGCGCCGATCTAGCGCCACATGTCGAATTGACTTTCACGATATCTTACGGTATACCTCGGTGTCAAAAGCTCCACAAGCCTCCATCTCACCGAAAAATCAAACCTAGGCCGTCTTTAGAGGCTCTACTCAAATAAGCAACATACGCGGCACCAATACCGGGAGGCGATTCGAGTAAAAAAAAACGATATCTACAAGTGGCCCATGTGATCGTGCGGAGGCGTTCCAAGCCGACATGGCTCTCATGTGAAATGATGCAATGACGTTATAAATGAGACTGATGGTGAGTACGTTCGTTATCACAACTCCCGAATACGAGTTGCAGCACGAGGCTGAAACGCACATTACCTCAATATATTTCCCAGGAGATAATGCCATGACTCGCATGTGGAACTATCTAGCAATCGGAAGTTTGTCCATAGCATTGCGATCGACACGAGCTCTGTTCTGCGAGTAGGTAACTTGGCACTAAGTAGTGCTCTAGACTGAGGACTCGGGTGTTTGTACCTGCACGTACCTACAGGTACCGGCACTTGCTCCTGTTAGTCAATCCATGGTTCAATGAGATCGCCCACCCCACCTGCTCGATCCGTCCGCAATTGACCAATAGAGAAAGCAATCTTGATGAGATTTTGGTCTAGTCGATTGGCGCTAAGCCAGATACAATACTGATCTGCCCCGTCCGCTGCACGTCCATGTATGAGTGGAGGATCGTTCCAGAAAATAGAAGGTATCGGAATCAATGGTACATGTAGGTACAACATACGAAGCTTATGAGAAATATCACAGTTAATCACAACATCCATGCTTCCCTGCAGTGCTCCTCGGCTTCATAAACAATCTTTCGTAGCGTTGATAATCCGGCTGTAGCTCTCAGATCTAACAATTAGCCATGCTGTCGAGGCATGTGCAATGAATAATATGTTCCGAGCTAATCACCAAGATTTAGGATCTTCTAGCGCCGTCACAATTTAGTAAAACTTAATGCTGCTCGTGCCTTGGAATAGCTAGTGATTTTCATTGTTGCCGCAGCTGTAAACCGTCGACGATTTGTGTTGATCGAATGATAATGGGTTCTCATTTCCGGGATAATTTCCAGTTGGCTAGCCCCTGAGTACTTCGACTAGACCCAGTGAAGGTTGTCCCGATAGGAGCCATCGCTTCTCGACGAAGTAGGCCAAGCGTTAAATATGAATGAAAAAACTAGTCGGCGGTTTGTATACTACAATCATTGGAAAGAATATCTTGGCCCAACCTTTCTTTCCACTGTTCTATTGCGCTCTGCGCCTGATTAGTTTTTTCATCTTTTTGGAATCAGCAAACTGCCCAAAAAGTTGTCTTTCATCCAGCGGTATCGCAATATATCGCAATATGACGATCACATGTTTTAATCTTTGGCTACTGGCCTTGGCGACTTTCGTCATCCCAAGCATAGCTCAAACGGTAGACCCAACCAGCTGTGCTTCTGGCGTCCATCTGCTTCTCCTCCGTGGTGAAGGTACCGGCGATGATCTCAACGTTCTTGATAGCATCCAGAGTGTAGTTCTCGAACAGATCCCTGGCTCGACATCACTCGGTTTACCATATCAGCATGGCGATTCCGACAAGCAGTTTGCAGCGTATAATGGTAGTTTGCTCTTGCAGCAATACATTGCCGAGTATGCATCCAGTTGTCCGAGTAGCAAGATAGCTATACTGGGATATTCGTTGGTATGGTTTATTCATTGTTCTGTCACGTATGAAATCATATCTTATTGATCCTTATAATTGAACGATATAGGGAGCTGTTGCAACAATGGATGCAATTTGTGGCGTGAGCTCTCTTCTCGTCACCTATAACGTCAACGCTCTCGATCCACAATATGCACAAAATGGTACGTTTCATGATCACTGTATATACCCGATCAATTATGCTAACCAGAAGTTCAGTGATTGCGGTAGTGGCCTATGGCGATGAAACATACGTTCCTTTCCAGCCTTGGAATGTAGGAAATTGTACCATTGGTGCTGGTGTAAGTTGCTCTATGTCACATTAATCGTTTTTCTGGTACTATTATACTGACTCTTTCGTCAATAGATATACCCACGTCTGGACCCAGCTGCGTGCGAGCCTTTTGCAAGCTCTTTGCAGAGCTACTGTGACTATGGCGACGAGCAATGTTGTTCCGTCTTCCCATTAGACGATAATGCCGCGCATCATACATATTTCACCAAGTACAACCAAGATGTGGTTACTTTTATCCAGAGTCGGCTCTGATAAGTTTAATTTGATGTATCCACACTTATGTGGTCTATGTATCAAATGAAAAGAATGCCATTGCTTTGCCAATATACGTCAAGACATCTGAACATTGAGTTTCTGCTAGCAGGGACAGCTATTTTCGTGCTTAGAAATGATAAAAAGAATTACAAATGGTATGCCAGGCTTGGTGACAGCCAACACGAACATCAGATTTGGTAGACCGTGGACTCGGTCAAATATCTGCTGAAAAAGAGTCGAGCCATCTGGAAATCTGTCTGGCTCTCACCGCTGCATCTTCCAAATCAACATATCCTTTCTGGTTTTTCTCGGCAACACTGACCAGACACGTCTGCACTGATCTTGACAGAATAGGAACATCTAGCTGAGCCTCCGACCACGACCATTCACCCTGCTCTACCTTGTCCGTCTGATATTGATGTACTGAAATAGTGACCGGCGATTCATACGCGTTGGCATGCAAAGCAATTCCCGATGGAGAAACCAGTCTAATAGTTCCTTTCTCGCAATTCAATGTCCAAGTAAGTGAGGGGTCACCGGGGTAAGGCTGACCCCTTGCGAAATATGCTACAAGGCTGGCTTTTCGGGAAGTAAAATCGGACTCTGGGAGCGTGCCTATAATATAGTCAGAGATTTGAACGACTCATAGTAAGTATATTTTTCTCAACTTGAAAAGACACGTACCATGTAGACTTAGCAAGTCCGGGACATCTGATCGAACAGTGTCTATGATATTTCCACTCTCCGGGTCTCTGAGACCAACCTCTGGATGCTGGAGCCCGAAATGCACATGATCTGTCCCAGGGACGACATCACCCACAACGGATTGAACATAATCGATAACTGGCATTAAATTCATTAGTAAAAATTCTCACACGGCGTTTTTATCTATATAGACATGTGGCGAAAGAAGGAGATGAAGACCTACCATGACCGAATCCTATAGTAATAGCATTACCTCCGATTTCCCTTTGGGTAAAATATTTCAATCCACTGGTCAAAGTCTGACGATCTTTTGTCCCTCCGAAAAACCTCACTTCGGTACTGACCAGCTTTCCTACCTTTCCAGACTGAAGGACTTCTTTGATTTTGACAACTGGAGGAGCGAATCGACCCTGGAGGCCAACGGCAGCCACTTGATCTATATTTCGACGAGCACGATAAGTTGCCACCAGTTCTTCAATATGTGCCAAATTACTCGCGATTGGCCATTCTATGTATACGGATTTCCCGGCTTGAATGCTTGGAAGAATAGTCTCGTAATGCTTGTCGACCCGCGTGTTGCATAGAACAAGCTCAACATCAGGGTCAGCAGCGAGATCTGCTGGGCTGCCATAAGCTTTCACCGTTGAAGAATCGAGTTTGTATTGTGCAATCGCTGATTTTGCAGCGTCGACGCTGCTGTTGCAGAGAGCTGTGATTTGGAAAAGGTCCCGGTTGCGGGCACCGACAAGGACTGGTAAATGTGCAGCCGCCGCCCATGAAGTGACAGCGGAGGACGACAGTCCTATAACTGCCGTGCGAACGGGACGTGAAGCCGGCATTCTTATCTATTTGGGGACCCTGCTCCAAAGCGCTGTGCGTACACAAGGTCGTATTAGAAAATCGAAGACTTGATTTGGTGGTTTCTGAATATCATGTATCTATTACCACATGGATTTTGCATCGTTCTTGATGCGTTAAGGCATATGGCTTATCTTTAGTAGAAATTCACTGCTTGTACAAGTCACATAATTGTTGTCTTTGATGACGATGAAAATCAATTAGTAATGCCGGCAACAAAAAGTCTCCGAGCACATCAACGATTTGACAACATGGATGACAAATGCAAAAACAACTTTATACATTTAACATATAGGTACTATGAGCCTTAAACGAATAAACAGTTATACTTCTTAATTCTCCTTAGTAGTGCGCCTCTCAGCACAAGATAATCTCGTGTTTATTAAACCATAGTCTTGAGCTTATGTTTTACTTTAAGCCACCATTTTTGCTTTGCTTCGCATTGTATTAATCATACTGTGATACGGCTTTTGAAAGAGTCTCTGCCCAACGGTCACTGAAAACCGTTTCAATCCAGTATTAGCTATCTTTCAAAAGCCAAACACAAGTGAACGAGTATGAATCACTGACCAGTCCTCCTCGCTTGTAAGTGCTGCTAGGTTGTGATTAATTCGACTTTTAGAAAGAAATATATACTTGAATCAGCAACATGTCGAACATAGACCAAAGCGATCGGMCCCCCCGCCACTACTAGCCTCAGAATGGACCTGGAATATACTCCGAGAATATGTAGCATTAGATAGATAGACGCAAATATACGAGTACATACAATCTACTTCTAGAAAGACTGCTTCAGCAAGACTAATGACCCCGCGGCGTGAAAACAGCTAGACTAGATTAGGTTAGTCGACGGCCACGGACGGCCCGCACCAATAGGCACGGGTTTTCTTATCGCCCGCCGGCCATATCTTATCGGCGATCGGGCGATACGGGGATGGATGCCTTAGGGTCAAGATATACTGCCTGAGGTTCAGAACAGATAAAGCAGTTAAGCTTTTGCTCTTCCTTCTGCATTTTACTTTTGTCTTTTCTTGCTGGAATCTCGTTGTCGTCTATCATCGTCCATAGACGAGCATCGCAATGTTTGACTCAGCGTTCGACTGTGTTGTCCTGGATGGCACGGTAGTCACCGCTGCCGATGTCGGCCGGTACGATATAGCTATCAAAGATGGAAAGATAGCTCTGCTTGCTCCCGCTAGGTCCTTGTCAAAGGTGAAGGCCACTCGGATTATTGACGCACAGGGCGCATACGTGATGGTACGGGATAGAATCTTAATACGTAGTTAAAAGAGAACAGTTCACTAACACGTTGACTAGCCCGGGGGTGTAGATGCCCATGTTCACTTGTCAGAGCCTCAACTTTTCGGCAAAGGCAGGCCCGCAGATGATTTTACTTCAGGTGAAGATTGTCGGTCATGAGAATGTACCATAATGGTCTTGATACTGAGTCTTTTTCTTAGGAAGTCGGTCCGCTATCGCCGGCGGAACAACTACTATAATTGCCTTCGCTCCTCAAGATAGATCAGATCCATCAATTCTGAATGCATTGGACGAAGCTCAGCAAAAAGCACGAGATGCTGCGTATTGCGATTATTCTCTTCACCTCTTGATTTCTAACCCAACCGAGCAAGCTCTGGAGGAGTTTGCAGTCCTTCGTGAACGGGGCGTTTCTTCAATCAAGATCTATATGACTTACGAGGTACTTCAATTGCGTGACAATCAAATATTAGATGTCTTACTACAAGCCCGCAAAGATTTGATCACCACAATGATTCATGCGGAAAATGGGGATATGCTCACGTGGATGACAGAACAGCTGGAGCGTCGGCGATTGCTAGCTCCCAAATACCATGCAACTTCACGCCCACAGATACTAGAAAGCGAAGCCACCAACAGAGCCATTGCCTTAAGCCAATTAGTAGAAACACCCATCCTAATTGTGCACGTGTCGTCGCCACTGGCAGCGAATAATATCCGGACTGCACAAACGAGCGGCCTTCCTGTCTTTGCCGAGACATGTCCGCAATACATGTTCTTGACACGCAAGGCTTTAGATCAGCCAGGATTTGAGGGGGCTAAGTGTGTTTGCTCTCCCCCGCCCCGTGATGGCGAGGCAGATTTGGAGAGTATCTGGAGGGGTATTGAGAATGGAACATTCACCATCCTCTCTTCAGATCATTGTCCCTTTATTTATGACGACAATGTCGATGGCAAGAAATCGGCAATTTCTGAAGACGCACCTCTGGGGCGATTCCGCTACATTCCAAACGGTTGCCCCGGCGTTGAAACACGTTTGGCCTTGGTCTTGAGTGCTGACCGACTTTCACCTCAGAAGTTTGTCGAGGTGACAAGTACCAACCCCGCCAAATTATACGGTCTATATCCGCAGAAAGGGGCGCTGATACCCGGACTTTCAGATGCCGATCTCACCATCTGGTATCCGCCGTCTTCTCTAGAGCCGTTTCCTGTCACAAATTCTGCCCTGCATCATAATGTAGATTATATACCGTACGAAGGACAGATTGTTTCAAACTGGCCTCGATATACGCTGGTTCGCGGTGAAGTTGTTTGGGATCGCGACAATGGGGGCATCGTGGGTCGGAAAGGATATGGACAATTCGTGAAAAGGGGACCCAGCGCCTTTTGTCGCGAGCAGCCGGAGTGGGATGTCGAGAGATATTAGTGTCAATAGCTACTTTTACCGGAAGAATACAATCTAGGTACTCTTGATAGCCGTCTCATATCAGGAGAGATGTATTTTCTGTGAAAAGCGGAAAACTAAACAAACATCGACCTTAGGGAATAATCCTGTGGGTTTTCGAACAGGAATACTTAAGGAAAAAGATATTCATTGTTCTTTTTTATCAAATCACGAAAGCACCTATTATCAACCACGATGGCGGCTGACTTCATTGGTACACGACCCCTGTCGATTTTAGCCCCAAGAGCGTGGCTGTGTCGTTAGGGAAAGACTTCGCATGCAATACGCCAATTCCTTAATATAACAAATCAGCCTCATCCAGATTACAATTACTTAGTCCCACCATCTGCAAACCAAATTTACTAGACCTTAGATGTGTGGGAATTTCAGAAATGGCAACATCATTAACAAGAATTGGAAAGTTAACACCAGAGGTCCAACTTGCACAGGCCGTTTCGGAGTTTGAAGCGATCTTGACTCTCGACGAAAAAATAAGATTAAAGAATCTGAAAAGCACACACCATCCAGACGCAATTGACATTGTCAGATTAACATCTGATATTGACCGATCATCCCAATTAACCAGAAAATGTGTCGGCACCCGCTTTGCAAATGTGCTTCGAGCGATCCAGGCATTTACTTCTATCGGAGATATGGTGGTCGGAGGATCGCAAAATATGATGGCTAGTGGTATCTGGGCCTCAGTAAGATTTACTCTTCAGGTAGGCATCTACAACTATTCGGCGCATTTCGAGTCACCAGATTCCTTATATCGCTCGTTCTCTACTTCAGGAGCTTACGAATCAATCTACAGCTGGCAACAAACCATGCCTCGTTCCTGGAAAAACTATCGACCTTATTCATGGAAATTGGCCGCTCTGCGCCACGCTATCAAGAGCTTGCTCTGGTATACCACAGATCTTCTGATCTACAGAAACGAACTTGTGAATACTTTATTACTCTTGTGCAACTATGCACCAAAGCCGTACAGTTCACTCGTCGCAACGGTCTGAACCGACTTTTATTTACCACACTGAGGTCATTTCAAGACGAGTTTGGAGACTACACGCAGAAGTTCGGGGCTCTTGGAAATTCAATCAAAGAAGAGGTCATGCTCCTTTCTGCTAAAACTCAGGAAGAAGAAGCCCGCCAAAACTCCACGTTTCGCTCGATACTGTTGGACAGATTCGATAAAAGCTATGAAGCTAGACGAAAATTGGCATCCAAATTATTATTGCTAGATGCTTGCTCGGTATATGACTATACATCGACGTGGCGGCAAGTCAGGAAGAAAGGAAATACCGCGTCATTGTCCGGTTGCAACGAGTATATCACCTGGAGAGATAATCTGGATGCCACAAACACATTGGTTTGCTTCGGTAAATTAGGATCCGGAAAGTCGGTTTTTGCAGCTAATCTGATCGAAGATTTGCTGTTGAACGCGCCTAAAGGAACAACGGCCTACTTTATTTGTAGGCATGATGTGACAGAGTCATTGCAATCAAGGACGATTTTGGGGTCCCTCTTACGACAATGGTTAGAATTTATGGATATGGAAAATATACTAGCTCAACGACTAGTACACAAATTGGACCTTGACATGCTCGTTACGGTGTATCGCGAACATCTTGCGCCAAAGCTGAAAGAAAAGCCCGTTTATGTGGTCATTGATGGTCTTGACGACTGCGTGGAACATGAAAAACAGACCGTGATAAAGTACCTACGCGATATCGCTGAATATAGCACACTCCGATTATTTCTCACAACAAGATCAGAACTAGAGTTGACAACGTTACTGATTGATAGGCATTTTCCATGCCGTTCTGATTTGCAAATATCGATACAGGATAACGATATCGCCGACTATGTGAATGACGAGCTCCAGCGACGCTTGGAGTCTGGTTCTCTCTCACTGAATGATCCTGAGATAATCGTTGAAATTCAACATACGTTGGTAACGAATGCTCACGGAATGTAAGGATACAATTTGATCTATTAGGATGTCTTCTTATCTGACACTACCGATAGGTTCCTATGGGTGGTCCTGCAGATAGATAGCATATGCAGTGAGGAAACAGACAATGGTATCTTGAAAGCATTGAGAAATCTACCTCGAGATCTGCCTGAAGTATACGACCGTATCTTGGAGAGAAATTCACGATCCGCTTACACCAAAAAATTATTGCAACTTGTTTTTGCGGCATATCGACCCTTGACACTATGGGAACTTCGGGAGGCCTTGAGCATAACACCTGGTGATGATACCATTGATAAAAAAAATTTCATCACCGACATACAAAAGACGATTTCGTCATGTGGTAGTCTTCTCGAGGTTGATGAAGAATCTCTAACGGTCCACTATATACATCCCTCAGCGAAACAACACCTTTCATATTCAGATACAGACTCGTCTCCTGACACGGGAACTGTCTCGGTTGTTTCATTAAGGTTCAGCGACGTGGAAGCAAACTGTTTGATGGGAGGTATATGCCTTACATATCTGAACTGGAGCGTTTTTGAGACCCAACTTACGTCTCACCATACACCATGGCAAATAAGCGGATCCGATGCGGTGTCAGCTTCAGTCAAATCTCCTTTAAGATCTGCGAGTATTGCAGGGAAAGTTGCACAGATGTATCTGAAAAGAACAAGGCGGATATCTCCATCTACTAACACCTCCTTCGACTTCAAAGGAGCACTCATGGAAGCCTATTCTGGGAAAGACAGCAAGCAGCCAGTGGGGGAATTCTTCTTCCTGTCCTATGCGATCAAGCATTGGATCGAGCACTGTGGTAATATGGATGATTCGATGGGTAAAACCTGGAATTTATGGCATAAGCTGATCAATAACCCCCCATCAATCATAACCAGGCTTCCCTGGGACATGTCGGATGATTATGTTTCTCTCGATACTCATATGCGGCGCGCACAGTGGGCACTTGACAATTGTCACCAGGCTCTTGTTCTTTTCCTATTGAAACACGACAGGGAGTATTACTTGGGGTTGATCGAAAAAACCGAGGAAATCGCTTTGAAGCATCAATTAAAGGGCGATTGGGGAGAAGCCGCAAATATTCGCCACCGTATCGTCAAATCTATAGCATTGTCATTCGCAGCCGCCCCTTCAGACTTCTTGAGAGCAACATGGAATTTGGTTTTGTCGTTGCAAGCCTTGGAAAAAGAGGATGAAATAGTAGAATCATTTCTAACACACATCTTGCTCAGATTGAAAGAGGACAACAGTCCATTTATTGACAGCATATTGGACTCCTCGACTGCGTTTCAGAAGGCACGAAACAATATTCGTCAAAGGGAAGTTGCAAAACAAATCCTGCATCTCGCATATTCAATGAGTTCAAGGATACTGGGGAAACGTGACGTGAACACATTACGCCTGCGGCATGATATTGAACATTTTGAAGAGAAGCACGCCAAGAGTCTGGCATTATAATGTCATTAATGCATCGTAAATGATCAACGAAATGAAACGAGTGTTCAAAATCATTATTTTGTATGGGTACCACTTCAATGATGCCAGTTTCGGCGAACTCGAAACAGACACGCAAGGCCTGGATTGATAGAAATCCTACCCAGAGTTGTATATTCTGCGGCTTTTATGCAGCCGCGAGCCTCTCTTCGTAAGCGACTCCGTATGCCAATGGTCCGTCATCAATAATTGTCGATCGTCGCACGTCCCTAGCTGTCATGGTTTCTGTATATGGATTTGCGCGGTGCATCGATTGTCTAAGCCCATTTAGATCTCAACGTCTTTCAAACCAACGAATCTCGGAGCAGAGGAAACATCATACCTATTATCCCACCATACCATATCGCCCCCGGAGAGCCATTCCATGCTAAAAACATACTAGGGCACACATTTTGATTAGCCAATTTGACAAACACCTGGGGAAAACATTTGATAGAGTACCTTTGGCTGAGTGCAGTGGTCAATCAGTTCCCATAACAATTTTTGACTCTCCTCAAACGACCGGCCTAGGATCAGCTTAGCATGGGCGGCGAGATATAAAGTTTGACGCCCATCAGGTGCTGTTTGAACAAGACGGTGATACGCTGGCGGTTTTGCAGCCAATTCATGTGGCAGAGGATTTCCGTATACAATCGGCGATGCCAGCTTCCTCGAGTGCCATAGACTAGAGAAACGGAACGCATTAGATGAAAGGAGCTTGTGTGCTGGAAATTCGATTATCTTACTCGTGTTCCACAATCAAATTTTCGAGTTCCTCCTTTTTCGACTCGGGAAGGTCGGCATATGCGCGACGCGTATCAGCAAAATGTGTCCATGATCCGCCCTTGACCGGATTACCATGAGACAATAGTATGGAGTATTTGGATCGTTGTTGATGATATGTTGAGTCCTGCTTGATTCTCAGCAAGTAGATGACTGGGGTGTCTTTTTTCTCGGATCCCTTACTGTATGCCAAAGAGCATTTCCCAGGCTGTGGTGCCATCTTCTGCTATCTTTCTTTACCAAAGTGCCGTCCAACTCTATGCTAATGCCTATTAATATTTGTATACTTCGTAATCATATTAGCCGAATTTTAGACCTACTTTCCGACGTCAAACAGAAACGGCTCCCCAAGTCTATCATTTTCACGTCCATAGTAAAATGGGTTGACCTCTAGCTTTTCTCCCAGTTGTTGTGAAAAGGCAATATGACGCGCATTGTCCAAATTCGTTTTTCGAAATATGAGCACACCATACTTATCTTGCAGCGCGATAAGCTACATCGAGCGTTAGAAACGTATTCTACTCTCCGTCGCACGCACTTACCTGTGACACTGTTTCTGCAGGCACGGGATTTGTCCAATCGACTCCGGATACCTCCGCCCCAAACACCGAATTCTCGGTTTGGAGAATTGGTATCACTGTCAAGCTTCCATCTTGGATAGGTTTCTGTTTCTCTGATAGAGGTGGAGAGGTGTTTTCGTATGTCCGAATGTGCAAGTGAGATAGCGCCATGTTGACTGGATTATCTAATGACCCGAAGTGCATCTATCGTTCTATTCATACTTCTTCCCTCAAAACTCTGTTCTCCGAACATTTGAACTTATATGCATACGTTATTGTTTGCATAGCCGCGCCGCGACGACTCCATACTGCGGCGTTGATGCCGTGCGGGCCGAAGCCGACATACCCGATGATAAGGGATACCTGGAGAGATAAGAAGGCGTTGGGAGAAGCGGGACGAAAAGAAAGAAATTAATAATAATTGCGAAAATCACGACATACAGAAGTAAGATAGATAGCGAGGAAGAATTAAGAGTTGCCGCGGTACAGTGAAACTTTCTGGGAAATATTCTGCATGAAGCCTCGATTGATTTCAAGATACCTTCACCTAGTAATTATTGAAAATATCATCAATTTAGACCACCGAGCATACTACCAAAATGGCTGAATCTGAAGTCATCCTTATAACGGCAGGACCGTATCAATTTCTCGCCACATTCGAGTCGGACGCACCAAAAACAAGCACGTTATTCTGGAGCCTACTCCCATACCATCAGAAACTGATCCATGTCCGCTGGAGCGGCGAAGGATTATGGATACCGCTAGGTGAAACAAAATTTGGCGTTTCTTACGAGAATCACACGTCTCATCCATCGGCCGGGCAGATTTTACTCTATCCAGGTGGGATTTCGGAGACAGAATTCCTTTTTTGCTATGGAGGAGTCTCCTTTGCGAGTAGAATGGGCCCGCTAGCTGCGAATCATTTCCTTACTGTGAGGGAGGGCAATGAGAATCTCAAGGCACTAGGAGAGTTGGTCTTGTGGAAAGGAGCACAGGACGTGGTTTTTGAAATAGCCGATGAAGAGAAGTATGTCAATCTATGAGCTCTGCTTCTGCTGTTCTCTAGATATAGTGCTGATACAGCAAACAGGATCCGCAACTTTCGGAGTCGGCGTTCTGCCAAATTATAGGGTTAATTGATGGGTATTTCAAGGTTATAGGACGACTAAACGAATTGTTTGGAGTGACAGTGTCTAATATATTTTTATGTGCTAAATAGCCCACTATTTTCCCAGCTAGCATTAAAGTCATTCGAAAAATCTGCGATGTTTCCCGGCCATTCTAGCCCTGCATCATTCATTAAATCCAGAAGAGACTGAAGCGCTAGTTCATCAATCTCTTGCGTTCCATGGTCACCAGAGTTCCCAGGAGCCATTACGAGCGTTGTAGCTCCGTGCACGACGGCTCTAAATTCGTAGGCCGGGTGATAGCTCATTGTTGAGCAAACACTATCGAATATGTCCGTAGCGAGTTTTAGAAGACACGCAATGATGGATCTCGGGTTGGCGGGGAATAGAAGCGCATTCTCCGGGGATGTGATGTTGGAGTGGTGTATTTGCAAGTCCTCTAAAGCACAAATATGAGGAACTTGGTCAGCAAGGCGAAAGAGAGACTTATGTGGGTTGGGTTTCTCATCATACCATCAATTACCCCTCGTATGTAACAGAGTGCCAGGAATGTCACAGCAAAGGTATATGAAATCCAAGTAGGATCGACTGCATAGTATAGACGCCGGACTGCAGCGATATCAACATTGAACGGACGATTGGGAAAGCTGGGAAGGCTTTGCGATTCAAGACCCCAGACATAAGTTTCACCGTCGCTGCATAGCGAGATTAGCATCTGTGCTGCAGCAGTAAGACTGATTTCAAGAGACTGTAGTTGAGACGCTCGAGATGTTGGATGCGACTTTTGTGCTGCCGGCGATAGTAATGGGCCCAGTGAAGCGCTATTTAGAGCGAGGCGGTAGGACTAAAATGCTAGTGTATTAGATCTAAAATACTTCGTCCTATTGGTGCTGGCTGACTTACTCGGACTGAATTAAACGGAAGTTGATTGTGCTGGGATTCCGTATTTCCTGGGTGACATTAGTAAAATGTTTTTTACGGCATGAAAAAAATTGTGCACCAACGTAGCCGCATATACCAGGTTCTGTTCACAAAGAGGTTAGCAAAAGATTAAGATTTAAGTATAAAACGCGATGGCTCACCGTTCCCATTTTTCCAAGTCGATGTTCAGTTTTCTCAGACAAGATGGGCTCAACTGATGTCCAGACATGTCACCACAGCTTTGCATGGCACGGTGAACTATCGATACAAGCTCTACAAGACCTGAAACTCTGATATCGCCCGGTTGTTTACTATAAATGCTAGAAGCAAAGCGTCCTGCGACTTGGGCTGATGGTGCTGGATCAACGGACGCCGGAAGTCCAGATATAAGCATGAGGTTGAAGTCACAATTTAGTAAGTTATACCACACTCGTAACCGACAGACATCATTTTCTGTTATTGTATCAACGGGACCATGGAAGGGAGCGATGGCCGCCCTATCTAGGCCTAGTAGTAGAGCATAGCGAAGAGCAAGACCCAATACAGCCCATGCGCTTACCTCATTGTAGCGACTATTAGGTGGCCCTGTTGCCCCTGTGCTGATTTCAGATTGATCGCTTTCGTTACCCCAATTGCAGGGCATCCACTGTGCGTACAAAAGAAGGACAAGAATAGAGTCCAAAGAAACATCTGAAGGCGTTGGTCGAAGAAGAAGCTTTGAAACAGCTTGGTCAAGCATTGCCGTAACTTCCGAGAAGCGGGGATATGTACTAGGTGTAAGGCCGGGTCTAGCGAACAAATTGAGTCCCAATCAACTACATCATTTATCAATTCTTGTGGTGAGGCACTCACTGTATCTGATCTGTCTCCCAAAACCGTAATCCAACGGAGCAGATGGCGAGGAATAGATTGGGATTTGAGGTACGCAAGTTTGACCAAGTATTCCGAATACTTTCACTCAAGACGGGTGCCATAGAATGACAATGCGTGAAGTATCTATAAGCAAATGTAAGCGGGCGGTATTTAAACATATAAAGGACGACAGTCTGGAGGATGGACATTTCTCACATTTCAACAGCTTTCCCGGCATCATTAAGTGATAAGATTCCTCGCGATACTGGGTCATAAACACTTCGATGAGATGACCGGTTCGTTTTCTTAGCTTGTGGTTTGGAATCAAAGGCCGATTCGTCTCTCGCCAGGGCGCCGAGTGACCTAAGTGTTGCGAAAGGTGTTCCTAAGGATATCCTCTCGATACTGAGTGGGTTTGAGTCTGGTAGCTCTACTGCATATGGCGATAGTTCTAGCTGGTGGCTATCCGAGCTATTTTGGCGGTCTTCCTTTGTGGAGGTATCTCCAGAATCAAGCGGAGTCCTATTTGAGGATATTAGCTGCCATCGAGAGATCAATTCAATTGGAACGGTAATCAATACCCTTGATCGCTTAATGTGGTCTCTGGAGACGAGGCTTTTTCGAGCTCAGAAATTCTAGTCTCATGCTGAATGATTCTGTTGGGGTCATCAGCATGTTCCCACCTATAGATTACTTGCTGCGTTTTTCAACCTTTGATGAAGCTCAACAACCAGCTGTGCAATGCGTGATGGCCCGGGGTTTTCGGTAGGCCCAAGTGCACTATCAGTCTGGAATGAACAAGTGATTTGATATTTTCGGCACCGCTGACAGGGCGCTTGTACATTGATCGGTTCGGACGGAGGCGCGCATCGCTGCTTTCTCGCCCGACACTGTCCAATCCACGGTCAATATATTTGCCGACGTATTGCTCGCAGAGCCGAATAGCTATTGACACCTACTTGGAGGCAAGCTCGGGAAACGCGACGCGTCTTACTAGGTGGTTCGTCGTCGGAGCTGATGCTTGTTAGTGCATACAATCTATCTCGATTTGGCAAGATACATCTATCCTAAAGGACGGGATAGAGGGGGGCCTTACAGCATTGTTGGGGGATTCGTCCGTTGGAGACTTCTCAGTTCTGGGTTGCTGCTCAGAAAATGACTAATTTACATATTATTACATCCTACAACGTTTTTCGCAGTTCAAAACTATTTGTTATGGTTGGTGATAATTCTATCCAGAAATTCATCGGAGAATGCTCCGCTATTATCTTATCTCTGGTCAAGTGTCCACTACGTAGATAACATTATGCTTTCCGATTGGTGGCTATATGGGTTGATCAAGCCCGATGGCTCTTTGCACTCAGCCCTAATTACTCCCGTCTCCCTTTTCACGCTTCAACACAATTGTATGGCAAGGAATTTGTTGTCGGGATTCCTGTGAGTGGCTAATAATTAAACTTATTTTTGAGTATACTCTGCCTCCAAGTCAATCATCTCGCGAAGGATATCCATAAAAGCTTCTCCCTCCAATTTCTTCAACGGTAGCAACGGCTTGCGCGGTGCTACACCGTAGCCATGCAACTTGTTTAATGCATATTCTGCATTCCAGAACTTAGCAACAAGCTTAAAGAAAGGAGAAGTCAAGAATCTGAACTTACTCATAGCTCGGATCCCACCCGGTACAGCTGCGACGTCAGCGTTGGATAGAATTGCCTGCAATCTTTTGCATTCGGTGGCCTCTTCCGCTGTAAGAGACTCGATGTTGAGCAATTCCCAGAGCCTCATGGAAGCTGCCGGAGCAAAGTTAGGGATTCCGCTGACAGTCCCATGTCCGCCGCATTGCATCCATGGTGTCAGGTCGGCGATCAGTCCATCCAGGAGGAGGAAGGGGTAAGCCCGAGCCTCGTTGATTTTGGGATTTCCTTCAATCTCCGCAGTAAGGCGCACAAGTTTTGCTATGCTACCTCCACATCTGTTATATTGTTGGATCAGTTTGTATGCTAAAGTCATGGTGGGTGTTTTACTAAGCTCACGTAAGTTTGACTCCACATAGATTTGGAGCCTTGTTTATAATTTCACTGATCACAGCTGATGGCATATCCTGGCCACCTGCGTTGGCTGGGAAATTGTAAAGTAGTAGGGGTATCTTTTATGTATAGTCAGAAACGGGCAACACTCAAAACTCAGTGATAATATATACCGGAGACTCTTTGCAAATATCAATGTAATATTGAACGACTTGCTGTGAGTCTGTGTTCAGGCTTGCAGCATAGTAAGCAGGAAGAATTACCATTCCAGCATCACTGGCCAATACTCAGCAAAGGTCCATAAACCCCAAAGGAAGTAAAATGCATGAATAAACACTTACGCTCCGGCCTTTGCTGCTGCCTTTGAAAGCTCGATAGTCTCTCTGGTACTCAAACCGCCCACTCCAGCAACTATGGGAGTTGATGTTAGACCCGCTTCATCAAGTGTAGCCCTGATGAATTGAATCAAGGCTATCCTCTCATCATAACTCTGAAAATATATCCAGTTAGTTCCTTCAAAAAATCAAATTATTGTTCTTTTAAATACCAGATGAACAGCCTCTCCAAGTGAGCCTGCGCATACAGGAACTGTAAAGATTCGTAGAGTCAGTAAGTACACTGAATCCACCGCATACTTCGGACTACCTACCCATGCCCCTGGTGGCTAAATCTATAGTACTGATTAGTAACATGTATTGTCCAATTACAAAGATTCTTGGTTCTGTACTCAGTAAATGCTTTTTGTAGCTGACATAGTCAATTTCTTGGTTGTCATCAAAGAAAGTTGGGAGAGGCGCATATACACCTGGGCGAAGTGGCCGGTGGACCATTGTGAGGGGTTTTCCTGATACTTTTGCTATGGAAGATGCGACTCTTGCGAATGACTTGACATGGATATAAAATGTCAATTATAAATTCCTATGAAGATCCACAAGGACTTTCCATTATCGTGACCCAGTAGCATCTCCTCTCCGTGTCGGCAAAGTCGGATGCCCCGCCGCTCGATTTTCGGGCACTGATAAGGAGACCAGCGTAACAGCGGCAAAGCGCCGTCTGAGCCGCCCATCGTTGCTCTTATCACGACAGACCCGCTTTTTGTAAGTCATTAAGATTCGAGCTTATCAATTCAAGTTGAGCGTGGATGATATGAAACAGAGACAGAAACAGAAGGCTTAAAGCATGGGTTAAATACAGGGGCTGCCCCGGAGCGCTTACAGTGTATAGTAGCTTAGTAGAGGGAATTCCACTAAATAGCAATCATGATTTCTGAAAAGGTAAGGAAATACACGAATGGGTCGTTAGACAAGGAGGCTAATATGATAAATAATACGTAGGAAAGTGAAATTGGTGTTCAAGATGGAGCAAAAACCCCAGTCTCTACGGGCACAGTCAAGGAGACCTACAATGTCGACATCGCGACAGCTGCAGATCATGCCCTGCAGCGCAAGCTAAAGGTAAAAGAAAAAACATGTTGACTTATTTCTTAAAGAGATGTGGCTAACACTTCTTTCTAGCCTCGTCATATGTGAGTGATCAAGAATGAGAACTCCCATTCCCTTAGGCTAATCGATTTGTGGAGGCAAATGATCACAATCGGTGGTGTCATTGTCAGTATCTTTCCTTCTTACGGAGGCATTGGTCAAAAAGCTGACTTTATTAGGGCACGGGTCTCTTCCTGGGTACAGGAAGCAATTTGGAGAATGGGGGTCCTGCAGGTCTTCTCATCAGTTACTGCATCATGGCCTCCCTGCTTTTCTCGGTCATGGTATGTCTGTATCCTTGCATGAAAACAGCATCGGTTTCCTAATACTCTGTCAAGGTTGCTTTAGGTGAAATGGTGTCTCAGTTTCCCATACCTGGTGGTCAATTCGCGCTTGCTGATCGCTTCGTCTCTCGTGAGCTGGGCTTCGCCATGGGAATTCTGTACTGGTACAAGTAAGTTTCTGTATCCGGTTTCTTCCAGTCTATGTGTGACTTGAATGCTAAATCTAGTTTCCAAAACAGTTATATCAGTGAGTCTACCACTTGTCATATGCTACGGAGAATGTCACTAATATCATCTTTCTGCAGTTGTACTTCCTGCAGAAATTTCAGCAGCCGCTGTTCTCGTCTCTTACTGGACTCCAGCAGGGGATGTCAATGCAACATGTACAACTGGTATCTGCAACAATGCACTGTGGGTAGCTTTGATGCTGCTGATAGTGGTAAGTCGATGAGCATGAGTAGTCGCATCAAGTTATAGAATTGACCGTGTGACAGTGGGCGGTCAATGCTGCTGGGACACGATTTTTCGGAGAGATGGAGTTCTGGTTTTGTTCAATCAAGGTAAATATGCACGGTTCTTAGCCGAAGTGTTTGTATACCGTACATTAACGAAGCGCTCTCCCTAGGTCATAACTATCGTCGGTCTTATCATCACCGGTATCATTATCACCGCCGGGGGTGGTCCGAATCACGAATCAATCGGGTTCAGATACTGGAATGAAACTGGGGGATTTGTACAATACGAAGGCATTGGTAAGCTACGACCATTTTTCGCATCGATTCTTGTGTCACAAAATTAATCATAAGTAGGAGGTGCCAAGGGACGATTTCTCGGGTTCTTCAGTGGTATGTCAAATTCGAATTTTGTGACAAGGTCCGATAAATACTGATCTGCACACCTTACTATACAGTTCTCATCCAAGCCGCGTTCGCTTTTATCGGGACCGAAATCACCGCTATTGCATCGGCTGAAACCGCTAACGTGAGTATTCTTCGCAATCAAAACTACATTATCGACGATACTAAGGCGCTCATAGCCCCGAAAGAACGTGCCTCGTGCCATTAAGGGCGTCTGGATAAGACTTGTGCTATGTATGTTGGCCACCCAGTCACTATTATCATGAAATGCTGACCTTTTGTTTTCTTTTAAAGTCTATGTTTGCAGCGCATTCATGGTATGAGATATTCTTGTCATCTGAAATGCTCGTCGTCACTGATGTCGCTATAGGTCGGCCTCTTGGTGTCCCCCTCAGATCCATCTCTTAATTTATCGTCTACCGCAGCCAAGAGTCCATTTGTGATCGCTATCAAAGTAAGCAACCATTTCTTCATAATTCTCTGTAATTTCAATCCCGAAACATGAGAGAAATTCGCAGAATACAAACTAACGGAAGCAGAATGCTGGAATTCCGGCTCTGCCATCAATAATCAACGCAGCACTTCTCACAAGTGCCTGGTCCTCCGGCTGCGCGGATCTTTTCGTCTCGTCTCGTACTCTTTACGGTCTCGCTGCACGTGGCCATGCACCAAAAATCTTCCTAACGACCCGTAAAGACGGCCTTCCGTGGATTAGTGTCATCTTTTGTGGCGCCTTTTCCTTACTCTCCTTTATGGCAGCTTCTAAAGGTCAAGCGGGCACTGTTTTCGGATACTGTAAGATATTTCTCCAAGTACTCATTCTATGGGATATTGACATGAGTTAAAACAGTCTCGAATATGACTGCAATCTGCGGCATGATATCCTGGATTTGCATCCTCTGGACTAGCTTACGGTGGCATAAAGGGCTTAAAGCTCATGGCATTGACCGGAAGACTCTTGCATACACTGCGCCTTTACAGCCATATCTCTCATACTGTGCGTATTTCTCACATTGATCGGCGAGCCATCAAGCTAACAAATCGATCAAGATGGCATGTTTGTCTGTATTATGGTAATGATCTTCGGAGGTTTCGGATCTTTCAGTGAGTTCTCATTTCATCGTCAATCCGAGAGAAAATCTATTGACCAACGCAACTTTTAGTCCACACGTTTAACACCTCGTCGTTCATTACAACGTACTTCCCCATACCTTTCTTTGCTGTACTTTTTTTCGCATACAAATTTTGGAACAAGTCCAAAATGATCAGTTACGCGGATATGGACTTTACAACCGGCTCGTCCATGGATATTCCAGAAGAGGTATGATTGAACAGAGTCTCAAATATCATTTGCAAGGTTTTATTGTATACTAACGAATTCATAGCCGGCACCTCAAACACTCTGGAAAAAGATAGCAGAAAGAATCTGATTGGGTAGACCGTAGAGATATTTCAATTCAGGACGCCACTAAACTCTGGGAATAACGTGAGCATTTTTCTTAAATTATTGGAATGTAGAATAATGAATGTTACATCGCCAGGCGTGACTCTTTAGAGCTACCTAGGCTTTCTTCCATGAAGAAATAATATGTCCAAATTTCAAAGACTTTCTGTGTTTAATACACATGATATAATCTCCATTATCGCTACAGTTTCCATGCGTTGCTATTGAAAATATAACAATCTGACTAAGTAGTGAGTTTGGGGCCGGAAGGGTGTTATTGTGACATTGTTCCTTCCTGTTTGCCACGGTATTCGATCCTTGTCCATTGCCAAATATTACTCGTTTTCTTGAACGCCGATAACGGTCGACTTGAACTTCCGGGCGGAAACTTTGCGTTTGAACAAGATATCGCTCTCACGGTAAGAACGGTGCTTTAGCTCTGGAAGGAAGAAGTAGGCCATCACCCAACAAAAAGCTGCGGTACCTCCCCAGACATAACCACACTTTCCTGCCAAGTTCCATCCAGTAGTGTTAAGCATCCTGGAAGAAAGATAGATCATAGGAATCTCAGCGACATAGTAAGCAGCACGACCGACACCGGTACTCAAAGCACGAAGACGGACCGAAGATGTCTCGGCGACGATAGTGTATGAAATGGGACCCATAGTACCGGCAAAGACGAAGGAAATTAGAATGCCTAGCGCAGCCTGGGTGAGATTGGTGTTGTTATTCTGTGGAATTGAAGCGACAATGCCGAGTATCATGAGCAAAGTGACATTGACGGCTGTACCGTAGAGGTAGATGGTTCGACGGCCGAACCAGGAGCTAAGAAACCAAGAGCATGCGTTGGCAACGAATTGGAGACACGAGTTGACTAGGCTGAGTTTAAAAGCGCCGTCCGAGGAGATACCGGCCTCTTCTTGAGCAGTTAGTGACTGAGCTACGAAAAGTGATTGCAGTAGCTACTTACGTTCGAAGAAAAATGTAGCTTGATTGGCAATGAGATTACCAGCGAAGTTCTGGGAAGCGTAGATTAGGCAAATAATAGTTGTTCGCCTCAAGTCGGTACCCTTGAAGAGGTCAAGGAGAGTAGGAGCACCGCCCAGTTGCTCTTCAATCTTAACGGTTCGCTCTATCATAGCAAATGACTGTGGTGCAGCCTCTAATTTTGAACCAAGACGCTCAACGGAGCGGAAAGCTTCTTCTTTCCGTCCTCGACGAATTAGCCACCAGGGAGACTCTGGGGCGAGGAATACAAGTACTAGGAGTGGTGTCTAAGCACGTCAGCAGTGGTAGATGTGAGATTCAGATGGAAAGCGCTTACAGGAAAGAGCCACTGTAAGGCAAGAGGCAGTCGCCAAGCCCAATGATCAGTCCTTTTATTGGTTGCATAGGTGGCACCGGAGACGATAATCTGACCGATAGACCAGCTCATTTGTAACGTAGCCGTAACAGCACTTCGGAGGGGCAGAGGAACAATCTCGCTAGCATAGGCAGGAGAGTTTGCAATGAATAAACCCCAAGGGACACCCTCGAATGCTTGACCAATCACGAGGACGGTGAGAGAGTCAGCCTAGATCAGAGTATTAAAATCAGTGTCTTCATGAACCAGAGCTTGAGCTCACTAACAAAGAATGATATGAAAATTGTAGCATTCATAAGAACTAGGCCCAAGATTGTAGTCCAGCGGTAGCCGATACGGTTTGTAATAGGGCCGGCTAAGAAGACACCGACGAAAGCACCGCATTGTCCTGCTTGGAATAAGGAACTCTGCCATTTCGTTGGGATCGCATAGGTATCCGTAGCGGCGTCAGTGAGCACACCATACGTCCTTTGGAAAGTCTTTTGTGCGACAAAGTTGCTGTTCAAGAACATGTCGAAAGACTCCATAACCTACTCAATTATTAGCTATTAGTTCAGGCGATCGAACAAATATTCGCGATGCTAGAGCAGGAACTCACAATTGTAAAACACATGGTGAAGGCCCAGAGACATGCCCATGGATGAGACTTGGCAGCCTCCCAGACACCCATCTCGTGCTCACGGTTCTCACCATCGAAGGCATCATTCATGAGATCTGGCTTGGTGAAGTCTTCAGAATGAAGGACGTCGGACTTCTCAGTCCTATCAACCTCATCCTTATGTTCCATCACGGCCGACGACATGTTTGGTTTTTTTTTTCTATCTCACCTTTTCAGTGCGATGCGAATGAGATGCAGGAAATCCAGAAAACAAGAAGAAGAATAAGTAGCGGTATGGACGGTCTTATGTGGGTTTTGTTACATCTCCGCATTAGTTATTACTCATCGATGCTATTTCCGCTCCTGGATTGATCCGTTTTATATGTGGTATTCCAAGTGTATTGAGCAGAGGCAATGATAGCTGTACGATTTATCCGAGGGTTAAGCTAGAGTACGACCTTGTCAACAATGGTTATAACGGGGCGGATGCAATGGGAGTGTAATTATCCGAAACCAGTCAAAGCCGGACCTGCATCATTCTAAGTCTCGGTTGCTCACAAGCTCATAAGGCTACTTGATTGGACGTGCAGCTCGCCTGCGACCGGATAAGGTTAGCCACGGACGTCGGAGGCGTTGGAATGATCTGCCTAGAAAGATCGTGGCGCTCGGGTAGGCCGGCTGAGGTGTTTACTATGTAAAATAGGACGGCATCTGACGCCTGTGACCGGGGGGTGAAGCAAGAACAGTGATGAGCCATGTGTCTGAAATTTATCCGTCTTGCAAGTCTCGAGGGTAGAATATGTTTGGGGATGCGGGGCCCCAGGAAACAAAAGCTTGTTTCCATTGTACGGACTACAGAGTATGACATTATGCGTATGGAGATCATACCCAATACTGAATACATCCTTGTGCGCGGAGTAGTTCTCGTCAAGCTTCGACACCAATCGGCCCGAGTCATTTCCCTGAATATTAGCCGGTTTGGGCACGATATTCGGGAATGATCCAGTCAGAAGTCCGATAATTTGCCGTGAGACAAACATCACAATACTTACGACACGAATGATGTCATATTGTCAGACAACGCGTAATCGTAGCAACGGCGTCGAGTAGTACTAGTAGGGTAGTTGGTTAGTTATCGTGGACCTGAGTTGCGGAGAAGCGTTTTTCTGTTTGGCTATGGAAACAGCGGGAAAGCGCGGTATTTGGTGCCGACGATTCGATTGGTGGAAAATCTTTGGCGGGTTCGGGCGGCTTCCCGTTTTTGGACTAGAGTGTTAGACTCGAGCCCTAAGATCATGCCGAATGGGTACTAGTTCAATTCGCTTTCGTACGTACCCGCCCTCTATGGAATGAAAACATTGGCTTATTCTGTACGACTGGCTGACCTGCGGTCCGAACAATGTCTAGAGAAATCAAGCATTCTGCGATCACTGTGTCATCCTTAAACCAGGAAAACTTTCAAAGCACCCGACGGCTCCTGTCAAGTTCAATATACGTGAATGTATATGGATGTGCATAGATATAGATGTGTGTATATACACCTCCGAGCGTAGTTGGATTCTCAAAATGCCAGCTAGAAACATTTACAATTGAAGAAGACTAGAACTTGTTTAAACCTATTTTGACAATGAACCAAACAGTGTCTCGTCGAATTACCCATACTTTATTTGAGAAGCCTGTGGTAGTGGTGGTGTCATGTCCATTGTCTACAGTTCTAACATTCTAAATTCTTACATGTGTGGAATATCTTCCGACTATGCCCCGTGACCTTTCTCCAAATGAGTTTATGATCCGGACATGTACTCGCCAGGTCATAACGCAATCCGGCAATCATTTACTTTGTTTTGCATTTCAATCTCCTCACGAGTAAACTGTTTTTGACGCGATGACTCCAAGTTCTCCTTCCCTTCTATGCCTTTTTCGTGGCCTGGGCTAACAAATCCTGCATCTTTGGGGGGGATCGAGTCGTCCGCTGCATGAGTATACCCCTTGTGACGGTCATTACGATCGCGGAAGCCAATGTGTTATCAGGGAGTTGTGGTATAGTCTGGTTCATTTCCGATTTCTTATACAGAGGAGCCAGCGTGACTCCCATCAGTCGTGTATAGCACTGTGTTGTTGCCACATCAGAGCGGAGGGCAGAATTACTAAAGCAAATCGACAGCCTTTGCAAACTCAAGAGGATATACAAAACGCCACATTCTGATGGAGGAGAAAAGATGCACTTTTCGGTCATAAATAAGTCGTAATGTAATACGTCACGTTGTTGCAATATCCGCGGAGAACTACAGTCCCTAACCCTCTCAACCCTATTTCTATGGAAGCAGAACACATGGAGTCGTCTTTCTAATAGGGCACGTTGACTTTCTCGCTCTCATGTTTATCTGTCTTTAGTTGTGAACACTGACAGGAGTCTTAGAAAGATAGCCTTCTCAGTATGGCAAAGGGTGGCAATGGGGATCACCCTATCGATTAGACAGTTGGGCACTCTAGGTTTTACTTTTAATAATATCTGGCAGGTCATCTATGATTTTCCGACCTTATTCGACGTCAAAGAGACGGATCGGTATCCTTGCGCCACGGAAACCCTCGATTTCAAGCCAAATATATAGTCCGGGAACAAGAGACGATACTTGTGAATTGTCTTATAAAATCCGACGTGATTCCGACTATGCATCACTATATCATCATCCTAGGATATTGGCTGCATGGTCTGGAATGGAAATGTGCTTGAACGGGATTTTTCAAGACGTCAATATCTACACCCGGTCTTCGACGAGCGTTGATGGTGAAGGCTTTAGACATGCGCGGGCTTCTTGAACGATGAAATGTCAAAAATACCGCTTCGATTCCCTGACCCAAATTAATAGGTAATTTTTTTCACACTAGCTTACCATATTTTCATGCGCCCAGCTCCTTGCTTTGATTGAACAGAAGTAATGATGTTCTTTGTTGATAATAGCGTTCCGTGCCCAAATACGACAAACAAAGCCCCTAAAAAAATTGCCGTACCACTTTCTTCCAATTAGGCGACAGAATTCTACTTTCTGGAATTTCCCAAAGACACGCTACTTACAGCCAGATGAACAAAGACTTCGTCTGATGCGAGTCAAATGAAAAATAAAGCATGACTGACAAAGGAAGAGACGGTACTCATCCATGACTGAGCCCCTGGACGGACTCTTCTGACGAGCTTACAAGATGATGGGTAGTCCTTTTATTGAGAAAAGGGCAAGTTGAGATCAAGACTTTAAAGTTTAGAAGCGATAAAATGGCTCTAATTTGAGAGCAAGGTTGTTGGTTTGGTCTATCACAATGAAAAGACTGCACTAGTATGCTGATGCACATTATGATCCATGGATTCCAAATGAAGCTAAAATAAAAGAAATGAAAGAAAGATCCCCAACTACAAGATTTAAGACTTTCGCCACCAGCCCATGCGTTTGGCAAGGTCTTGCAAAGTCTATATTTTGTTGTAGATTTCGGCCAAAAATTCAGATCCTTGTTGTATGGTGTTGCTTGATAACTGTTTCCTGATTTTAACAACCTAAGACCAGCTCCAAAAAGAAAATGGCTTCACAAATTATCTGGAGTCTATTTTTCATTCCTGCACTTGTGGCATTTACCCTTCGATCTTTGCGAAAGGGAATCAAATGGAAGCGTGGAACGAGGCCTAGAAATCCATCTAGGGTTTTCTGGCTTGGTAGAGGAAATGGCGTATTTGCCGATGCGCGATCCAAACTTTGGACGTTTATCAGGGGGAGACAGCTTTTTGCTGAGGCTTACTTCAAGGCAAGAACAGAAACTCTATAAGCGCTAGTTGTATCCAGGAAGCTAACGCGAAGGCTTGTCATGAACAGTATAGCAGTAAAGACCTGGTGACGAAAATATCAACTATCTCTATACCCCTGGTACTGGTTCCGAAGAATCAACATAGGTGGTTTTTTCATGAAAGATCAGACGTTCTAGACCACAGGGCAACAGGTTTTGATGCCGTGGAGTCCCTCTACACGATGCCATGCGGATATATTCTGGACTTTCCAGCACATGTTAAGCTCATCCATAAGATTCTCACCAGGGAGTTACCAAATCTTACGGAAAGTCTCGTTCATGCCATAGAAGAGAGTTTACTGAGCACCTGGGTTTGCGATACGGAAAAGTGGAAAGACGCTGAACTTTGGCACACAGTACTCATGCTAGTGACCCGTACATTCAATGAGGTTTCTGTTGGAAACCCTCTCTGTGCCGATCAACGCTATCTAGATAACACCAGACGTTATGTGACTAGTATCCACACAATGTCAGCCATTATCCGAGTGTTCCCTAGCTGGACCAAACCAATTGTTGGTCCGATACTTTCTATTCCCTGTTGGTTTTTATATTGGCGCGGCAAGGGATTTGCGATGCCTCTGATCAAAAGTTATTTAGAAGAGGCAAAGATGGAGATGGCTACTTACGGAAAATTCTCAAAAACACACAACGTCTTCGCTATGTGGCTTGTTCACGAGGCCATACGCTCTGATATACCGCGTGAACTGGACCCAGAAACCATATACGCACGTTTGATGACTATGAATTTCGCTGGCATCCATACATCTACCTTCACAACGGTCAATATGCTACTCGACTCATTGTCCCGGCCGGATGTTTTCAACGCGATGAAGGAAGAAATCAATATGGAATATCAGCGCTCTGGATGCGAATGGAACAAACCTGCGGTAGACAATCTTAGATTTACCGATAATGTCCTCCGTGAGAGTATGCGTTTGTCTGGTCCTATTGTACGTCTGATCAGAGAGATAAATGCCGAAAATGGAGTGCAGTTAAACGGCGTGTCACTTCCCAAGGGAACAAAGATTGCTGCCGATATGCACAATATGCATCGTGACGAGGAAATATATAAGGACGCCAACACTTTCGACCCATTGCGCTTGAATCCTTGCACCGGCCAGCCAATGCCACCGGCTGTCGAGACGAGCGAAAATTTTTTGCCTTTCGGGCACGGCCGAGTATGTGCCCTCTCAATGATCCATGTTCTAGCTTTTTCGATTACCCAAGCTGACCAGCATCATTTCTAGCATCCGTGTCCCGGTCGTTACTTCGCGAGCCATGAGATTAAATTGATCATTGCGATTATTGTTCTGAAATATGATGTCAAGTTCCTGGAGAAACGTCCACCAAATGTATGGATGGGCGACTCGCTGATACCTCCTCATACTATACTCAGGTTGAAACGACGGAGCTAGATGGTTCACGCATTCTTCAGATTCAGAACTCGAAAGTTCCTGAATTCGGATCTATCCCGTTGCTACAATCGCGTTCAGTACCAGGTTCGGTATATTCTTGATACCGCTACTTTCTAAGATGAGGCTTATCTTTACTTGACCGGTCACCTGTATAAATAATTTCCTGACTGATGAGAGATTTTGTCACCCGAATTACCATATCGGACGCTGGGACGCGCAGGTCATTGTCGAGAACAAAACTTGATGCCTTGGAATTCTCTACTAGTCATTGTTTTATTATGATTTACCATGTCGTTATTTGATTATAAATTCGGTGAATAGACGCTACCTCAGTGGTGCCCACTAATGCTGAGCGGAACCAAAAAAATAACGCAATGTAAGAATGTGGTTGATAACAAGATCGTAACTGATGTCTGGATTTCCTATCCTAGGATCACCAAGAGCGTATGTTATTCTGTATTGTGATAAAATGAGGTCGATTGATGTTGAGAGCGAACGCGCAGATTGATTTCAGTTGAAGATGTACACTTTACTTCGACTTAGGCAACATTATGCCACCAACGCAATATAACATAGTACCCAGGATGATAGCGCCACCATCACGACTTCTCCGCCAGCATCTTTCTCGTCATGTCTCTATCCCTCGGGACAAAACGCACATGGCGAATAGACGGTGTCACTCTCGAATTTTCCTTTTCGAGCAGACCTTTCAGCGGATCTGCGGCATCTGAATTTGGACTATCTTCGGCGGGAAAAAGCTCAAAATGCGCAATGAGATGCAAAAATACAGTATAAAGTGCCTTTGTCGCGAGTTGACTGGCTACGCACATACGGCCCCCAATACCGAACGCGTACTGATGTTGATGAGACTGGTTTTCGCCCTGAAGCCAGCGCTCGGGAGCAAAGGTATCTGGATCTGGAAAAACGGCCGGATCTGCGGAGCGTCAGCGAAGAACATTGAGATCAAAGAATTTGATCCAGGTATGAAGTTGAAATAATAACTGCGTACCTCTCGAGCAGGCCCATGAATTCAGAAAAACCATAGTCCCGGCAGGAATAACTGCCCCGTTCCATCGAACTTCACTATGTGTTGCTTTCGGCAATGCTAGCCTCAGCACGATGAAATACCTTCCAATTTCCTTCGTTAATGCTTCGATGTAGGCAACTCGCGAATGCGCCACATCCGGATTTGTCAGTAAAGTCTGATCCGTCTCTTTTATGGCCTGGTACGCTCGCTGCTGAAGATCGGGACGATGTGCCAGTAAAAGACAAGCCCACATGAGGGTTCGCTTACTTGTGTCCGCACCAGCCATCATGCTGAGACTTATGCTCAGCAACTCACCTTCTGATAATCCTTTGCTCTCGGGATCTCGAAGCACATTTCCCTGGATGCATGGCTGGTCAGTACCAGACGCAATGTCATCTCGTAGCCTAGCCTGCAGCTTGGCGTGATACGCATGGCGTCGTTTGCCTATTGATGCGAGATGCTCAGAGTTTACGAGGCCGATAGCAGAGGCAAGAGATTTTATTGGTCGGAGGAGAGGGATGTAGTTGTCATAATTGCTAGATGTCTCCCTGAGGCGGGAAATTTCTTCTTCAATGTAAATGATCTCTTTGAGGACATCGTTGGTCGAAAATTCCTTCATATCTTCAATACTAGTCGATTCATGCATCAGTAAAAATTTCAAGCAGATTCATGGTGTGGTATGCCCACCGTGTCCCATAACTAACTGTAAGACTCAAATTGATCGCAAACTTGCGAGCGGGTAGCATAATGTCCAGCGCAGTGTTGCCATTATCGCAATCTCGAAGTATGTCTAGCAGATAGGCTCTGGATTCTTTATTGAGAACCTAGTAGGCCCGTCAGCCACAAACCCCTTCTATTGATCATAAAGAGGAACATGCCGGCAAATAACTCTCAACACTGACGCGATTCAACGCCGATGCGGCAACCTTACGCCTCCGTTTGCAGCTATCATCCCACGGACTAGTGCCAATGCTCGTGACCTTTCCATTTTGCTGGACCTTTTTATGCAAGACATAGAATATAGGTCGCGAATTCGTAGCCTCACGCTGGCGGATAAAAAGGGCTTCTGCAGCAACTGTTGTGTTAACTATAACAATCGTGGAATTTCCCAGTTGTATCTGAAAGACATCGCCATATCGGCGAGCCCATTTACGCAGCTCGTCAGATGTGATCTTGCCGCGTAGAGAGGGCAAACTACCGACAAGGGGAAAGCCTCGCGGACCAGGGAGGTTGGGAACTCTAAGGCGAAAGCGAAGCAGCTCGTTGTATAATAAATAAAGGATGAACAAAGCTCCTGGCGCAAGCAATGCGAACTGTAAATAGCGATCCCAGTTTTTGCTAGACGCTGAAGACATAAACATGGTTTCCATTTTGAGGGTTGGCACCTAGGTAATTCCAAGTTACAGGAACAATCTTGCTCAATTAAAGCCCGCTATGTTTAAGGATTATAGTATCAATCTTCGATTATGAGATAAAAAAAAAGGCGACTGATGATCCTCGAGCGATGAGTAGTTTGACCCTACCTAGGCAAAGAATAAGAGGAGGGGCTACAGGACGTGCCCTAACTTGCCGGGACAGTGGAACTTGTACCCACCAACACGAATCTTTCCTAAGCAGGAAATAAATGCGGCAGGAGTCACCGAGTCGCCGATCCACGATATCACGCTATCATTGCTGTGATCACGACATATTGACTACCTTAGCTGGTCTATTCTGTCAGTCTGGATTCCGGAGGTATGTTTTACTACGTACGATATGATGGGCCTACATGCGATACATTATAGCTTGCATGCGATCAGAGTCATGGCTCSGAAATATCTATTCTCCCCGGGTATCAAGCGTCTCGTAGCGAAAATTCACAGGAGTTGTCTCTTTAGAAAATATTTGACCAGTCAGATATCGTCATCGGCCTTGAAAATCTGCTCGTGTTTGCCCGTTTTGCCCACGTTGAACTGATTAGGCTCGCCCCATCCCTCCCTGATAGCTCTCTCCCGAGTAGACCGATACATATAGGGTGAACTCCTGTAATGTGTGTGCCATTTTCGGCCTTCCCACTCGTCCTCGATCGGCCTGGAACCCTCTGCTTGGATCTCCCGTCCTCGTCGCTCAATGTCCGCCCAGACGCGAAGTAAATTCTCACCAACGAGGAGTCGTATTTGATCATCTGTCGCCCCGCGAGCCATGAGTAGTTCAACCAAGTCCGGAAACTTTGATACGTCCTAATTGTATTGAGAATAGTTAGTTGATGAGAAGAAGGGTGGATCACTTCGTATACATGCATCCAAGAACACGCACCTCAAGTCCGGCCGGTGTGTGCGGCGTTCCACTAAAGTCGGAGCCAAGGCCGACATGTTCCCAGCCTGTGACATCGGCCAGATGCCAGATGTGGTCGACGACATCGTGGATTGTCACTGCGCTAGGCTCCTCCATGTTAAGAAATCGGTTAACAAATACGGCCATCACGATGCCACCATTTCTGCGGACGCTCCGAAGCACATCATCTGGAACGTTACGTAGGTGTGGTGTGATTGCAAAAGCTCCCGAGTGAGAGAAGATAATAGGTGCCCGAGTAATTGACAAAACATCTCGCATTGTCTGATGGGACACGTGTGACAAGTCGAGCATCATTCCAAGTCGATTCATCTCTTGCACATAGGCGGCACCAAATGTCGTGAGTCCCTGATCCCTACCTCCTGCCGCTACTGTTGACGCCGATGTGGCCCATGCATTGTCGCAATTATGCGTCGTTGTAATATACCGTACCCCTAGTTCGTAGGCTTGCCTAATCGAAGCTATAGAACCTCCCAGCTGATGGCCGCCCTCGATACCGAGCATGCTGGATATTTTGCCGGACTTGAAAGCAGTGCGTACGCATGAAGGGGTGGTACAGTACGTAAACACATCTGGATACTCGGCAATAAATCGTTTGGCGACGTCTATCTGCTCCAACGTGTCTCGTACCAGCCACTGAGACTACCGTCAGTTGGTATTGCCGAATGGTTCAATATTGTCTTACCGACGGATCATCGAAGTGCTTTTGCGCCTTGTCGCAATGGACATGGACACTCCAGAATTGCCCACCCATTAAACCCTGCTTCATGCGATTGATGTCGGTATGACCTAGTAGACGCTGTGTTGGATCGAAGCGTCCGTTGTAGATACGATTTTGCAGTTCGACTCGTAACAGCCACGGCAAATCATTATGTCCATCGATCAGCGGCGATGACTGCAATACCCGCCTCGTTCGTAGAGCATAGTCAGTAGGGTCGATAGGTATCTCTCCCGGAATTAGCCAACTGACCACCGAGGTCAATGGGGAAAAGAGAACAGCGAGCCCTGCAATTCCTAGAGTATATCGCCAATTCCAAATTCCAGAAATCCGGCGCCGAGGTTGAACGATGAGCGCCGTTTCATATTGTTGATTGCTGTTGCTCTCCAGCTCCTCTGGGATGCTTAATGGCCTGTCTGCCACCAGATCTGTCATGACACTGATATATGAAAAAGGTTAGAAAACCCTTGCCTGAGGCAGGAGCTCGGTAGTGGGAGGCCATACCTTATAAGACGGCGTGCAATCTGTACCAAGCCCTAAAGATCATAAACCCCGACTTCGGCATAATTGATTCGAACACCAGTGTGGCAAGGCTCCATCCAACCCTATTACTTGCTAAACCCACAAAAGTCTTCGTAATCAGAAGCTAGAACGATCACCCCACTTCCTCGAACTTACTTAATGTACGATTTAGAGTGTAAGCTCTCGGGGAGTCGGGGACTCATTTTCTGGGCCATCTAATTTCTCATAATTCCGGTATCAAGTGTTTTTGGTAATCTCTTTATTCAAACTTGTAGATAAGTTGTCAGGAATAAAGCACTACTCCGCTATGGCGCAATTGCACCCACTCCTGGTGTTTGGCATAAGTAGGTAGCTCTGGTGTAGTATATCCAGTTTGACTTGGAATATATATTGAAAATACGTCCTTGCCTAGATCAACAAGTCGCTCTACTGTAAATCAACCAACGTACAAATAGCAGGCACCATGGATGATAATAATGATGATGAAAAGCATGTCGTTGTGAACGAAAGCTCCCAGGCTAGCGAAACCGTTCTGCGGAGACGACTTCTTAGAAAAACTGATCTTTTAGTGCTTCCAGGATTATGTGTGTACAAGTTCGAGCCCAAAAATTCAGGCTAACAGTTCCACACTAGGTATCGCCTACTTCACGAATACACTCGATCGCGCGAATCTAGGAAATGCAAAGACGGACGGTTTGGAGAAAGACTTAGGACTAGTCGGCAATCAGTACTCGCTTTTACTTGTTCTTTTCTATATCCCTTACGCTCTCTTCAATGTTCCATGGACTCTTGCTGCCAAACGCCTCAATCCGAGCGTGATAATTCCGCTTGCCATTTGTGTTTGGGGAGTCTGTACGATGGCATCAACAGCAGCCACAAACTTCGGCGGTATCATGGCGACTCGCATTGTCATGGGCGCGGCGGAGGCTGCATATAAACCCTGCGAGGTCTACTATCTTACACTTTTCTACACGCGTAACGAAATTGGAGTTCGAGTGTCAATTATCGGGCAGATGGGTTTCATTGCTGGCGCAGTCAGCGGTCTTATCTCCTGGAGCGTATTTCGTTGGAATGGTGGTTTATATGTAAGATCCCAATTACTGGCTCSTGTGCTCAGTTTTGAACACCAATATCAATGATTCCACATTGGTATCAGTTTAATTTGTCACTGTGCTAAGGAAGAGTGACAATTTAGGGCTGGCAGTACCTATTTCTGATCGAAGGTTCGATAACCATTGCAGGCGCCATCTTCCTCTTCCTTTTTGCTCCCCGGAGTGTACAGAAAAGCAAATGGTACTCCCAAGGAGAGAAAGAGTTAGCCGAGCGGCGCCTTGCCGAGGACACAGAAGAGCGCGATGATCGCTTCCGATGGAATGATGCCAAAGCCCAGCTTCTACATTGGCCCACTTGGGCATTTGCCTTTCTCGCCTTGATGTATGGTGTTGGGGTGGCGAGCAGTTCCAACTTTTTGCCAGTAGGTGCTCTTGCAATCCAATGTGTTGAAGCTCCTTGTTAAATCTAATTTTCTTCCTTCTTGGCAGACCCTCATTAAACGTCTCACCAATAATACTGTCAAGGCTAACCTCTACACCATCGGGCCAAATCTCGTAGCCTCCGTTATCCAGATTTCAGCAACCTGGGCATCTGACCGACTACAACAACGGTCCATCATTGCTTCCTGCACAATTGTCATCTCATTACTGGGGTGGATCCTTCTCGGGACTCTCGACTTAGACTCCAGACCCGGCGTCGGCTACTTCTTGACTTTCCTTACCACCGGCTTCACTTTTATCCCTAGCAACATCATTCCTGTGTGGTTAGCTTCAAATGTACCAACAACAACTGGCCGAGCTGTTGCATTGGGACTGAACTACATGGCTATGAATATCGCTGGTATTGTCTCGTCGGTATCATTCCGTACACAAGACGCACCAGTATATGTGCCAGCGTTAATCACCTGTGGCGTGACTCAAGGTGTATTCATGCTAGCTTCATTGGGTCTAAGACAGTATTATGTTCATTTAAATGGCAAGCTAGACCGTGGAGATATACCTCATGCCCCTGGTATGGAGAGACGACCGGATTACCGCTATGCTATATGACACGTTAAAACAAGATGTATTTTGTTCATGTCACCAACTCATCTTTTTCTTGTTGGTAAACCAATGTTAAATCCAACTGAGCTAGAAAAGGGATATCGAATAATACCTTGATTTCAATAAAGGCTCCACGTGGTTGTTAGAAGGAATAGAGAAAAGCTACTTACCGAGTTATTCATTAATGCCATTGTATGCAGCGAAGGTTTGATTGAAGTACTTCGTACCCAGGGTCTTACAGCCCGCAGATATCGCCCTTCATGAAAAGCTCACTGAAAAACACTAAGCCCATAGTACATAGCGGGAATAACAAATCGCCAAAAAAAAAGTAGAAAAGCACCAATGTATATAGCGGGTGGATTGATTAATTACTGGTAGAAAATAAGACCTATCATTGATATATGTACACATGAATCAAGCTAGCTATCAAAACTATTCATTGCGATTGTTCGCAACCTACGACTCTTATGTGAAGAATGGTTGCTTTCGCTTGCTCGACTATCTCGTCGCCCTTGCTGGGTCTAGTCACACATGCTCGCATTGACTTCCTAGATTGCTAGGATTCACACACAACTGTACGACGGAAAGTAGGATCTGGATGCTGCCAACATTGCTGCGGAATCGAGCATTCGCATTCTCTATCTCAGGCCGCCGTCTTTCGCGCTTGAAATGCTCGGAAGTCCTTCTCACTATTGTGTTGCTCGGACTATTATACGGCCGGGCCAAATTGTTGTAGTATTTTCTGTAGTCCTCAGCGATTTCTTGTACCAATTTATGAGTCTCCCTTATGTCTTGGTCGTAGGGTTGTCCGACATTTTCAGTTCCCAGCTGTGAGATCGGTAGGCTGACTGTGCTTAGAGAGAGCCGGAGGCCTTGAAAATAGCTATTCTGGAACTCCTCGCGTTTCTGACATTGTTTATAGACCGTGCCCGTCGGAGGTGATGTTTCTTTTTGTACTCGAGTAAGATGTTTCCTATGGTCCACTGTGGTGTGTATCAACCCCTTAAACCTCTTCGCGCAAAATTAAACGCCAAAACAAACTGAAACAATCTCAAGAGGCGGGCATGTCTCTTAGCTGCTCAGTAAACTTTGTTCTGGCAGGGGCCTTCGCTTTCACAGTACCCCAATTTCAAGTCCATCTAGGCCAAATGCGCCTTCTTTACCTTTTCGCGTTAGTCTTGACCTACCCAAATAATCTAGAAGACAACATTTGTTCGGAAAATACTGACGAAAAAAGAGGGCTCGACGCACTTGCAGTCATATTAGTGTGGCTCTTTATGCCTGGCACAAGTAAATCTGTCACTTTAGCCGAATTCAATTACATATTTGGCGTTCCCACTCGATTGCATATCAAATATCAATTTTAACCGTTGTGTATTGGGTGCTACAGTCGTGTATTCCTTGGGTGATTGAAGACTACTTTCCCTGGATTTTGAGGAGGTATTTCTGTTGCGGAGCTGGAAGCGAGGAACACTTCAAGATCAGGGATCGCCTGCCTATTTGTCAGAGTTGTATTTTTGGAGCACAATTAGGATAATAAACAGCAGTGTGAGTGAACAAAGTCAGCGCACTGATGAAGATTTTGATACTACGACGGTTGATGATAAGTTATGAGGTCTATCATCATGGAGATGTGCTATTCTGACAAATGAGCGCTGGCTAGCTGTGTTAAATATAGTAGGCTTTCTGTTACACTAATTATCTGCGTTGAAGAAGGTGCTAGGTCCCGAAACGAATGGTATTGGTAACTTTGAAGTGAAAACGACGAAATGCCGAGGATTTATTTGCATACTTGGTATCTCTCATCCCCTAAAATGATTACATCTTCCATTACAACCTAGTTGGACATGGCACAGATGCTGTCGCGGGTTGTCGGCATTTTTGACTTCAGAGCTTGCTAAATCATGTGTCAAAAAATCAACAGTGATGGCGCTAGACAGAATAAAAAAAGGGAGACGTTGTCATCGAGTATCTCATCATAATCCCATTTCCAAAAGCTTAAGGATTCAAGTAGGAAAACACAACTGGAAACTAATTCTAGTACTCACAACAAAGAAACTACTGGTTTTCCAGTACAAAATTTGACGTAGGGTATGATGCCTAGTGGAGTAATGAGCGCTCTATCGTCAGTAGTACCGCAAATTTCTTCCAGGATATAATAAACAATTAAGAAGAACTGTTTGGTATAGGATTGCGTGTGATCTTGACATTCGACAATTGGAAGCAATCAAAGGGCTAATTCCGAGTATCCGCGCTGAATGCAACAACACTAGGTGAGCGCGCAGCAGTCTTCACCAGTCAGACCCCTTTGATCAAAGCCACACAAAATTCGTGATCGAAATGCGGACTGGCCGGAGTATTTCTGAATTGATTATCAAATCTGATCCCTCTCTTGTGCATCGAATCCACGATCCATCTATTAGATCTATACAGGACTCGTTCTTCATTTCCCTCGGTTATATAACCCTTGCCCACGGTGGAATTTCACCTTTTATCCACCAATAACTCCAGTATACATCAGTGGGCAAGAAGAAGTAAAATCGCGAAGTGGAAACATGTGACCAACTTAAGGCTCGTTGTGAATACTTGAAATCTTTCTGTTACATCTATTCATCCATTGATGTGTTCTACTATGGCGTGTCCATTATTAATATAAACGTCCTCCTTTCCGCCTAGTCGAGAATTTGAGCATCTTGTATTTCAAACCGATCTTCAATTGACTTCTTGATTAGCATCATGATATTTGATATAGCAACGACAGCTGTGCTTACTGTTGGCTTGCTGGCTAGTTCAGTCAGCAGTGCCGCATCACAAAGCTATACATGGAATAATGTAAAGACCGGAGGTCAGTGATTGTGTATCTTCTTCTTTTGAGACGACTTAGCTGATCGGATATGGTATGTTTCCCATCACAGGTGGAGGAGGTTTCACTCCCGGCATCGTTTTCAATCCGTCAGCTAAAGGTGTTGCGTATGCTCGCACCGACATTGGAGGCCCGTATCGTCTCAATGCGGATGATACATGGACACCTCTACTAGACTCGGTGAACAATAGTAACTGGTGAGTCAGGTACCACACTGATGGTCAAAGTAGGACGATCAGGCTGATTTAGTGTGATCAGGCACAACTGGGGTATTGATGCACTTGCTACTGATCCAGTAGACACCGAGCGCTTGTATCTGGCTGTCGGCATGTATACAAATGAATGGGATCCCAATCCTGGCTCCATTTTGCGATCGACAGATATGGGTAATACGTGGCAGGAGACAGTATTACCATTCAAAGTAGGAGGTAACATGCCTGGTCGTGGCGTTGGAGAGGTATGTTGATCTCCGCCTTATAGAGTTGTGTCGATCATGGATTGAGATCTCAAATCTAGCGCCTTGCGGTCGATCCCAATGACAACAGTATCATCTATTTTGGGGCCAGGAGTGGTCATGGTTTGTGGAAAAGTACGAATTATGGTGTTACATGGTCGAACGTCACTTCCTTTACCTGGACTGGTAAGAGAGTCCGATTCTTCCGCAATTAACATGAAGAAGACTGGTCTCAAAACTCCCTAGGTACATACTTTCAAAATTCCAGTTCATCTTATACATCAGATCCTGTGGGAATCGCATGGGTGACCTTCGACACCACCTCTGGGACTAAAGGATCTCCAACCCCGAGAATCTTCGTCGGTAAGTCATGCTACTTCCGAAAATACCTAAATTCAGGGGTTAATGGAGTCAGGTGTTGTGGATACTGGAAAATCGGTCTTTAAGTCTGAAGATGGCGGTGTAACCTGTAAGTTCATTTTGCCTTCTCGTAACTCCCATTTGACGGTTGTTCGCAATAGGGGCTTGGGTTTCGGGAGAGCCTCTGTACGGATTCCTGCCTCACAAGGGCATCTTATCTCCACAAGAAAAGACCTTGTACATATCCTACTCCAATGGCGCCGGCCCGTACGATGGTACGAATGGCACTGTACACAAGTATAATATCTCAACAGGCGTCTGGACAGATATCAGTCCAACCCCGATGGCAAGTACATACTACGGGTATGGCGGTCTAGCTGTTGACTTGCAGGTTCCTGGTACTGTAATGGTGGCAGCATTGAACTGTTGGTGGCCGGATGAACTTATATGGAGAAGCTTAGATTCGGGTGCGACATGGTCGCCTATCTGGGCTTGGAATGGATATCCGAATATTGATTACTACTACAGTTATGATATCTCGAATGCGCCTTGGCTGCAAGACAATACCTCTACCGCTCAATTTCCAGTCCGTGTTGGATGGATGGTAGAGGCGCTGGCCATCGACCCATTTGATTCAAACCACTGGTTATATGGCACTGGAGAAACTATCTACGGAGGCCATGACCTACTGAAATGGGATTCGAGTCACAATATCACATTGAAGTCACTGGCTGTGGGTATTGAGGAAATGGCCGTGCTTGGTCTCATCGCACCTTCAGGAGGACCACCCCTTCTATCCGCCGTGGGAGACGATGGAGGCTTTTATCATGTCGATTTGAATACAGCACCGAGCCAATATTTCCACGATCCTACTTATAGCTCGACGAACGGGATAGACTACGCTGGAAACAAACCATCTTACATAGTGCGTGCGGGGTCGAGTTCAACTTTACCTACTGTTTCACTCTCAACGGATTATGGTTTGACCTGGTCTGCCGACTATGCTGCATCATCCAGTACAGTTCCTGGAGCTGTGGCCCTTTCTGCGGATGGTGATACCGTGCTTTTGATGCCTACCTCGGGTAGTCCTCTCATTTCAAAATACACTAGCAGCTTCAGCACCGTGTCCGGTCTACCACCATTAGCAGTGATTGCGTCCGATAAATCTAACAACACAGTCTTCTACGGAGGATATGCTGGTAGCTTCTACACATCCACTGACGGTGGTGTTACTTTTACCAAACAGGTTAGCCTTGGGTCCAGCAGTGCTGTCAATGCAATTCGGGCTCATCCTACTATTGCTGGCGACGTCTGGGCTTCCACAGATACCGGACTTTGGCATTCCACCAACTCGGGCTCAAGCTTTATACAAATAGGCAGCGGCTGCACAGCTGGCTGGAGCTTTGGCTTGGGTAAAGCGGCAAACACAACATCATATCCCGTAATCTTTGGATTCTTCACTGTTGACGGTGTCACTGCCTTGTTCAAGACCGAAGATAAAGGTGTTAATTGGCAAATAATTTCCGATGCTGCCCACGGGTTTGGGGCGTCATCGGCCAACGTTGTGAATGGAGACTTGTCCAACTATGGTAGGGTCTTTGTAGGGACTAATGGAAGGGGAATATGGTACGGCGAGCCCAGTGGCAGTCTACCATCGTCAACAGCATCTGGGACTACGACATCGTCAACCGCTACCACTCCATCAACGTCGTCATCCAAATCGACTTCCACGATTATAACTACATCTAGCACAAAATCAACTTCCTCCTCATCCAAATCAACTTCTACAATTATAACTACATCTAGCACAACATCAGCATCGTCAACTTCCCGTACATCATCTGTGGCTACAACGACCTCGTCAGGCGCTAGTGCCACGGCATCGCCATACGGCCAGTGTGGTGGTTCTGGATACACAGGTCCAACCGTGTGTCCTAGTGGATGGACCTGCACTACTGAGAACGCTTGGTACTCTCAATGTAAGTTTTACCAATCATCCGCCTTTTGAGATTATCTTTGAGCAATATCTGACATTCACAAGGCGTGCAATCTTAGTGTCAATGTAGTGTAGGATGAGAATGAAATTAGGCGACACAAGAATCGAAGCAAAGTAGGTCCAGGCTGTGCTGGCGATTCGCATTAACGTCATGGAAGCTAGTAATGTGGAATTGAGCTGTCAATTTTCATGTCCAACATAGCCGTGGACAGTCTTGTCCATTTAGTTCTCGGCATTATCGTAAATGTGCATATCTTCTGCAGTCCGTTACCAAATACACATACAGGTATACACGTTGTAGCTGTTGAATAGAATAATATGTGCACGGTCAAATTGATGTAATCTTATGTATATACAATAAACACGCACTTGACCGGTAGTTATGAAATGAATATTTATCATGCGTTGATAACACCGAAGCTTCTCAAGCCTGTAAAAGCCTGTAAACTATTACTAAACATATCACTGTAAAAAAGCGACGTCGGACACAAGGCGAACACCATAAGCGATGTTCTTATTCTAGCCTCTCAAAGTCTTCCTTGTCTTCTCTCTCAGGGGCAGGAGCAGGTGGGTAAATCTGAAGAATACGTTTTTCAGAGGCTAATAAAAGGGAGTAATTGCCAACGTTCCTAAAAAAAAATGGTACAGGTTGTCTCAGAATCGGAACAAGAGCGACTCAATGTCTATGGTGACCATACTTCGACGTAATATAACTACTACCATTGCCGACATCACATGGATCAAACACACCAAAAAGCTTCGTAAGGGAAAATTTGTTGTTTTGCGATATCCCACCCGACACCCTTTTCGGTCTCAGGCCAAGTAGCATTAGGGTTCTCTTTTAAAAGCTCGCGGATTGCCTGGCTTCCAGACTTAGGCTCTCTTCCTAAAAGTTCACCCATCAATGGATGAGACATTTCGGTATCCCCTTTCGCAAAACCGTCAAGCCAGTTGAGTATCTGTTGCCAATAAGAGTCAGGCTTTGTGGACTCATCGTTTGCCTTCCGAAACTCGACATATTTTTCCGGCGTTGTTAGTGTTAACTCTACTTGCCGGTTCGTAGTCTCGTTAATGATCTTAACGAGATCGGCGGCATGGAGTGCTTCATTCGCAGTCAAAAGAATAATCTCATTTTCATAGCCACCTCGAATAAGTAATTTCCCATTTGCTTCGCCCAGTTCATCACGCGATGTGAATGTCATCGAGGTTGAATCTGAAGTGTAGACTGTCTTGGTATCGGGATACCACTGAAGGAAAATGGGGAAAATTTCGGCGTAGAGGCCTTCTCGGATGGAGGTATACGTCACACCAGACCTGTTTCATTGTACAGTGTTAACGTTACTCCAATACGAAATGCATAAAGCAAAGTCAATAATCGACCAACATAGAACTTACTCTTGAAGAATCCTCTCGGTTTCTAGGTGGGCTCTTTGTACACCAATCTTCGAGTCTGAGCGCAGACCACCGAAGGCAAGAGACGTATACCATACCTATTATTGAAATATAAGCATTCATTCACATCTTTTGATATTTACGGAAATAGCAGAGAAGTCGTACATGTTTAACACCCGTCCGCTTCGCAGCCTCGACAACATTACGGTGCTGCCGTATACGCCCGGCAGTGTCAAAGTTTTCTGTACTAACGAAAAACAAGTTCTCGACGTCATTGAAAGCAGTATCTAGAGTTGCAGGGTCGTCATAGTTGGCAACTCGAAAGGCAATTCCATTCTTTTCAAACAAGGCTCGATTTGCTTCCTGGGAAGAGGTTGCAGCATATTCTGACCGTGGCACATTGGCAACCAAGTAAGCAAGCACACGGCTACCAAGACCGCCAGTAGCACCTGTAATCAGATATTTAAGCGTCATGGTGGTATTCAAGCAGTTTAAAGATAATATTGGTGACGATAAGAATTCAAAAGTGGTCAAACACGATATGCAACGCCCTCTTCGGAGGTATCCAGTAGAGCCTATAGAATCGAGCAAGGAATCTATGCACAGTAAGATGCAAGGATGACAATAGCATATTCAGCCTTTGGAAGGTATATATACACCACATTCATAGCCACACAAGACCCCTATATGTCTCTGAACTCATTACAAATCAACGGTTGACGTTATCGTTCTACAGAAACCTTAAAGGTACGGACTAAGTACGCCGCGTTTACGAGGATGGCGATGGGCACTTTCAACCATCAATAGAGTAGCATAAAAGTATATCGTCCAATTCAATCCCCAGATTGATGAAAACTATACTCCGGACATGGGCGCCATTCACACATACGCCGTTGCTAGACCTAGATGGGCAAAGGGGCAGGGGTATTCGCAAGAAAATAAAGCGTAACTTTGGAGAACGGCCCTCGGCAGAAAACTAAGTGGAGAGATAGGAGTTTTCTAGGTATTGGTCGAAATATTCATTTAGACCCCAGCTAGGTAGAGGCTCTGGTTGTTCAAGATCAGGTTCTATACATCCATTGTTGCGATTTCCGCCAAGGTAGACTAGAATAAGATTGCTTCTTGTATATGGGGCGTAAGAAATTTATTAGCAATATGTACTCGTTCACTCTTACTAATATTCAAACAATAAATATGTCAAGGCTGCGAGCTCAGGTCATTTCTATCTGGCTAGATGACCAACGGTGCGTCTCATGTTCTTACCCTGGAAATTCCAAACAATTAGGAACACCGCAGCTGAAGCGGAGCGGGCCGCCTCGGATAAACTTCAGCCCGAATTCCGCCGCCAGATTAATCTTCGGCTTCAGAAATCCTCCAGATCGACATTAATTACCTACTAAATACCTTCTGACATTAGCGTGAGCGTGCAGGGCTGACGTTCCGTGAACTACGCTTATTAATTCAACGGTGCGTTCAGCGGAACCACGAAGAAGATCAGAGGATGGCGTCTAGTGACTAAGCTATTGAGAAATGAGCCGGTATTACTCTGAGGTCAAAGTCAGGTATGCTTCGACTTCCAACCCATCCCCATGCAACGTTAATCACAGCCGATACGATATCACCGAGCCTTTTTAAAGCAATGCCAATGAGCAGCAGTCCGGAGAATTGGTAGACAGCCGAGAGCTGAGGTCATGGCTTTCTTCTCAACTACAATTGGGAAAAGAGGTAGGCGAATGTTGCCTTGGACTTCAACTTAGATTTCAGGATGTGTACAATTCAATTTGGGGACCTATTCAAGTACGTCACCAAATTACCCTAGTTGAAGCCGAAGCCAATATCACAGACTTCGTTGGACATAGACATATATGGCTGGACGCCTAAGCTACTATCTAGCTATGAAAGCCGCTGACAATCTGTTCGACCTGACTAACAATGGCAGCCATTTGAACACCTGGGGAAAATATTTATTTAGTTCATGTTAAATTAGTGAAAAGTTTCTTGGGAAGGATACGTACCACCAATCTGATCAGCATTACTTCCATACCAGCCTACCCAGTCCCAGCAACCATTGGGGTTAGAAAGCACTCCTCCATTCCAGATAGTATGTATCGTATAGTCTGGGATGGCTTGTGGATACAGGACAATCATGTTGTTCGTGTCTGGGACAAACATCAGCCAATATTAATAACTTTATGCGACATTCCGGAATGCGCTTGATCAGTGAGCCCTTACCTGCCCATTTATTGTAACCGGTATTTTGTATAAAGTGGGAGCCAATCGAGCTATAGCTTTGCAGACACCCATGCAGGGCGACATGCAAAGAACAAACTGTCGCACCACTTGCACAGCTCTGAGGCACGTACAGATACCCCGCGGTGTCCATACCAGGAGCTCCATAGCTAGCAGACTGATCAAAAGAGAGCACTGATCCCGACAAAGTGCCTGTATTTCTTGCATTCAGAGACCCATAAATCCACTCCAGAGCAGCGCCGGCACCATCATAGTTGCAGTTACTAATATAGGGGGAGGTGGAGAGGCTGCAAGAGTTATCTCCGCCGCCGTTGAAATCCGTGGGAAATGTGTGAACGGCGCCACTTGTTGTAACGTATGAGACATTTGCTGAATTATCGAAGTTGTCCAACTGTGTCTTTAGCTGATTCATGACGTTTGGCCCGACTGTGGTGTCGGCAGATCCAGTCCACAAGTAAATCTTTCGTTGTTTGAGATTGGCCACGCTGGCGATTTGTTTTCCACTCCAGGATTTCATATTGGCGGTGGGAATGGTGATAGAAGGGTATCCATTGTACATACACGCAGTATACTTGTTATTTTCAACAAGAATATATCAGCAGTCGTCATTCTGTAGCTGGCTAGAGAACATACGTATTGGCTACGAGCACAGTCATAAGGTCCACCTGCAAAGACTCCGAATCCAACATTGAAAGTTTCAGAATACGCTACTCCAAGTTGAGCCGCCATGAACCCACCACTCGATAGACCGGAGACGGAAACAGAGTCTGGATTGACATTGAAGGCTGGTAGAGCCGTCGCCGCGACTTGAGTAGCACCAAGTGCCACAAACCATGCAATCTTTGCAGAGCAGAGCATGATTGTGTAATACATTAGTGAAGATATAGTAATAAATTTTGATCGTTGACTAGATATGTTGCGAGTGCTTTGAATGTGAAATTATCGTGGATTTTGAATGAGATGCTATCTTCACATTATATACCAGTTCCCAGCAACATTCATTCACCGATTGTGCATACTAATCGACATCCCCTTCATTTACTTCTCTCCCGTGAGAGGCATGAATTCCAACATAGATGAAAGTACGACGTTGGAGAAAGCTCCATGCATACACGGCAAGCGTTCGAGAAAGTAACCTCAGGGAGATTTTCGGATCCGAAGTCAGCGGAGTAACATCATTCATATCTAGCATGACACGAGATCGGTCTTTCGTCTTATCCTGCGGGGGATCTGTAGGGTCCCTGCCATTATTACTTTGCGGGGAGAATGTGCAAAGTCTGGGGTAATTTGATCTCGGTCTCGGCTCGTATTTCTTATTTAAGACTCATTTTTCGGCGCTTCTTTCCGCTTCCCGCATCTTCTAGGCGTCTTAGAAGTGTTTGTTGACATCTCGGATCCGAGACCATTACCATGTGGCCGGATCCGTAGTACATAGACTCCTCGCACAGAACTCCCTCTAAGCTTGGAAATTGCTATCACTAGGCGCCCTTGACAACGTTAAGCTCGGATTGCAAAGGAGCACAGTGAGCTCTCTTTATTTACGAATGAAGTAGTCCAAGAATACAGAAGTGCGCTGATGATCACGAGACGTTTGCATCATATGTCTACTAGTGAAGTTTAATGGTCAAGTAACGTGTGATAGCAGGTACTGATTGAAGTAAAGTACACCCAATCAAAGTATATTCAAAACGGACAACTTGGTGTACAACTTTTCATAGGCGAACATTCCGATTATGTAAAATCCTAAGAAGTTATGAGTTCAAATCATACCGATATCGAAGAAAAGATGCTTCCGCTTGCTGTCTCGCTGTCCTCACAGATTTGGATGCCTGTGGAAGCAATCTCAACGCATTGAGCATTGTATCTTGCATGTGCTCCGCGACACCATGATCGAGCCAGCCGTTTTCAAGATCTCTTTCGACAGCCTTCCAAAGAATTCGCACCCCGGCAACAACATGGTGAGGATAAGGGTCGACAGCAATCAAGGGCACCTTCCTTGTCGAATGTGCTACTGCTTTCTCAGTATCTTCATCGCGTTGTATACTATACTGAGCTTCCCTCATTGGTCTGTTCTCTCGAGGAAGAAAATAGTGATTACTCAGTCCGAATATGAGGCAATTGAATAAGGTTCCTTCCGCATCGGCTTTGACAACTTTCAACTTTTCCAACAGATCCGTGCGACCGGCAATTTCCACCGCGTCCAGCATAATCAGTATGCTGAGATTATAGTGTAGTAGGAGCTCATCTAGAATAGAATGTTCTTAGGTCGGGTGATTACTAGAATTTGAAGGCACAGAACTCGTAAGATGTAGGGAGAAATTTGAAGAAAAGAAGAAAAGAAAAGAAAAACGGTGGGGGGAGAACAAAATGGACTTACACCAACGGAGCTTCGTTTTGTGGCCAAAAAACTGAATTCGGCGCTCACATGCTGCTAATAAGTCATGGTAGGTAAGGCTGTATTGATTGATTGCATCCACTGCTGTATCAAAAGCCATTTGGACTGTTTCCTCTTCCCTGCCCTCTCGGAGAGCTTCTTTGACCAACGCCGCGGCTTTCCACACGAATAGTTTCCACGAAGCCGCTGACGCAATGATTTGATTGGCTCTTTCTTCGGTGATATGAATCCCTTGTGCTCTCCAGGCTTCAGTTTCTTCGTGGAAAACATTGGTGCAAGTGCGAACGAGTCGCCATGATGGCTCTTGATCCAAGCCGGGACTCAATCCCGGCGATAACAGGGATTTGGTATTTAACGTAAGTGATGATGAGGTATCAAAAGTCATTGCTGCCCAATAGATCATGCTTTCGATACTCAGAAAATCTCTTGTTACTGGTGCTGGGCTGGTGGTTGTATTTGACAGTGCCGATGATGAGATCGAACTGACCTTAGATCCGTTGAATTCTAGGCTTTTTTGTTGTGCACGCAATGTGAGTACCTGTTGCAAGGCTACCTGGACGCAAAACTGCGCTGGAATACCGTCTTTTTCTTCTTCTTCGGACACACGAGCTGGAATTGGTGTGAGTGCAAATAAAAACAATGTTAACGCTGAACGATAACAAGGACGATTGATAACTCGAAGAATGTCACGTCTTACTTCTCTCCAGAGGCTCTCAACGGTGTCCATGACCGAAGCTTCGCTCGATGTTGACAATCCTTTAAGAGTCAGCCATCGAGCGGAAAATGCAGACACTGCGCATGACAAGGAATGATTAATCTGTCGGTCGATATCAATCTCGCCAGGAGATTCCCCTCCCTCAGACGGCAGATTGATTCCCTGGCCCTGCACTCTTTTCATCCAGTAGTCGCACTCCTGGCAAAGTCTAGAAAGGCTAACAGACAAAGCTAATTGCTGTGGACCCTGTCGGCCATTGTCACGAAAACTGATAGAATAATCAGCCAATCTGCTCGGTCACATGGTTGATGCGCTCAAGTAGGCAGCACAGACATATAAGGACAGCTATAATTCCCCAGCCAGGATCCAAAAACATCTTCAAAGATGCCCTCATAAATTTCTCGCAGCCATTCATGGGTGTCATCGGCTATCGATGGAGGGTTTTGCCTGTCACATGCGGGACTTTCAGTTTCGTCAATACAGTGGTCGCTACCAAACTATAACAGGGAGTCTTACCTCTCCATCGAGGATGGCATGGAGTACATGTTACGATTCTCAACCGAGCGTCTGTGATCGACCGGAGTTTCCGGGGTTGCGAGCGCTTCTGGTGAAGTTGATCCAGTCTCGACAACGTCTCTGAGGACATCATATTTTCGTTTACTATTAGGCAACGCAGCTTTCTCAATCCACTGCGGCTGTGATTAATATGCCATTATTTCCCTGTTTCGAGAGCTCATTACCTCAAAGGTACAATGGCGACCGCGGTTTTGACAGCGAGTGCAAGAGTTCATCCATGTCGGATTTGTCAGAGCGGAGCGCCCTTTCATTGCGTCGCACGCCACGCGAGATTTGCGACAGGCATCGCAGCTTGAGTATTGCGTGCGCCGAGGGACCAGATGATCTTTGATGGCGGAGGGTGGAGTATCTCTCATGATGGCTTTTACGTAGGAAGATAGGTAGATGAAGACGAGAAGAAGAAAGGAAGGATCAGTGGAGACTGGAGAGTGGAGAGTGACATAAGTGGAAAGTCCGGAGACTCCACAGTCCGCGCACGCGCACCTCGGGTTTTGAAGAGCTAATAAATCTCAGGGTCCGGGCTAAATACGACCTTTGTGGTTATGATAGCTGCTGTCTAACATGAAGATATTTATTGCCTGAACAAGTTTCTCTATCCGTTTCAACGTGATCAGTAGATTTAATGTGTACAATTTTAATTTTTACTGTGTTAATAGGTCCTAATATACAATCAAGTATTGTACTTTCCATGCTTGGTCCCTCCCCGGTGATGAAGGAGATAGATATTTAAGTATTAGACCTGGGTATTGGAAAATTGGTCCTCTTCTCTTACGTAGGTAATTCCAAATACAAAGTCCGAGCCTACAACATGTACCTGAACAAGGGCGACCGATCGCCCATCTGCGCCATTTGGCTGGCATCATATTGAGATACGTCCATCTGATCACGCCGACGGTTGATAGTCTGGTATGACCGGCGTAAAATAAGCACGGCAATTATCCCAGCGATGCAAAATCCGAGCTCCAAGGCATGGCCGAGAATGTATTTGGGCGCATCCTGTCCACGGTAGAAGTTGGATGCCATTGCTGTCGAGCACGAAAAAAAATTAGCCTTTGGCCAGGAACCAGTATGCTTAGCAAATCTCACCTCCAGCCATGTTACCCAAACCAATGTGCAATGCCATCCCAGCAGCTCGTTTGTAGTCTCCAGCGAGATTGACTGCGATCCACGTGACGTTGCCGGGAAAAGCAGGATAGATACCTGAAAAGAGCAGATGCGTTAGGTTAAGATTTGCCGAGCACGTAGAAATAGCATAACGTACCAACAACTGCGATAAAGACTCCCAAGTAGACAACACCCGGAACTCCACGTCCTGAGGAGGCAATCACGATGATGAAGCCGATGGCAATTAGCGACATGAAAAACAGAATGAACGGAGATCGCTGTTTTCTGCGATCGGATAGCCAGGCAGCGCCAATAGCGACTATAGCGGCAGTGATGTAGATGGGCACTGTGAGTAGCTGTGCTGTGGATGAGGTGTAACCCAAGTCTTTGATGATGGAAGGAAGAAAAAAAGAGATGCCGTATAGTGGACAAGTGATACCCCAGTACACTAGATACGACATAGTATTAGAGGATAGTCACCAAAAAGGTAAGTTGAATACGCACTGAACAAGCCTAGATAAATCTGCCAATCGGTTAAGGCATCGATCACGTAGCGGGCTCGAAACTTGGACTCTTCTTGAATGGCATCAGAATTGACGTATCCTTCATTGGTCGTCTGGTTACGCAGCATGGTAATAACAAGTTCTCTCTCCTCTTCGGTAAGAAATTTTGCGGTCTCCGGGAAGTCGTGAATTGCAAATGGTGCGATGAGTGAGACTACAACTGTTAAGAGACCCTCCAGAATGAAGATCCAACGCCAGCCAGCATATCCGCCGACACCGTTCATTTTCTGCAGTAATCTAAGTTACTAAAAGGGATGGTTGTTCAAGAGATTGGATACATACAGCAATTCCATACGCTAAAAGGCCGGAAAAGGCACCAGCGACACTGGCCGCACTGAAGAACAGAGCCTGACGATATTGAGCACGGTCACGGGGATACCACAGGGTGATATAATAGGCAATTCCAGGATAGAGACCAGCCTCTGTGTGGTAAATACTGATGTCAGTCATTGGAGCCTCAAGGTTAATTGTTGTAGTTACGATAACGGACATACCAGCCACGCCCAAAAAAAGACGGCATATCAGCAGGCCATGATAGTTCTGTACGATTCCCATCAATGTCTATGTAGGGAAATGTCAGGATCTTGCGAAATGTGATTTATCTACGCAGGAATGGAATAAATACCATGACAATGCCCCAGGCTAACATAAGAAGGGGCAACAATCGTGAAGGCCTCAATTTTTTCAATAGCAAGTTGCTGGGTAGTTCAAACGCAACATATGTAAAGAAAAACACCGTCACTGAATGATGATTAGTATTTTGATCCATCACACAAAAACAGCTGGGTCATATCGTACGAGCGAGGCTGTATTGCTGTCCTGTCATGTGCAAATCAGTCAACATTCCTTCGATTTTTGCATTGCCGATGTTTCCACGATCGAGAAAGGCCAGCAAATATAAAAGTGCTAGCATAGGGATCAGCCGGATGTCCATCTTGCGTAGAAGCTTGTTCTCCCTCTCCCTGGAGTGCAGCGGATCGTGAATTCCATTTTCGATGGCGCTCGTACTGGGCTTCTCTGTGTCGGAGTGGGTGGGAGAAGACGCCATTGTGATAAAGAGTTTCAGTAATGGATATAGGACCAGCAGAACCCTGACTGTTTGTCACTGTGAACAGAGTCGAGAAGTTGAGATGACCTCGCTGTTAAATAGTCGTTGCATTACAGGGTACGTGCCAAGCTTCCCCTCATTCAAGGGGAATGGTCCACTGGCATCTGGGGAAATGAGATCAAGGCCAAAGACGAAAATTGTAGACATCGGATCCGAAATTGTGGGACAGTGCCGTCGCCGTCGAATGGCCACTTGCTGATCAGCGAAGCGTCTCGTCCGTCACTCACATGATGTATGTCTGTGCGCCTTACGTGCCGCCCCAGATCTACCATGCTCCGTGCGATTCACGAATGAAATAGCGGGGAAGTGGACACAACTAATTCATTTCCAGCAGGTAGGTAGAATTCAGATGAGCTACGCATTAGTGCGGGGAGCGTAATTGATCAATGGCAAATCAGGACTCATTATTCCTGGATCGGATCCGATGGATCGGATCCGATACTACCTAATACAAAAATCACATGGAGAGTAATTCTATAAATCATCGATACTTGAAGAAATGTTTCAATTCATTGAGTAGAATCAGCACGACATAAGAAAAATGGCACGCTCAAAACTTCTGCAAGAGGCTGTGGTAATCCTCGGGGCTGGTACTCAAGGCAGACGTTTAGCCTACATGGTATGTGATGGTGCATGATAAAAAATCAAGTTTAGGGTATTAGGATGCATGAATTGATTTTTCTGATGGTCACTTTGATCTTAGTAGTGGTCCAGTACTGGCAAGCCTGTGCATTTGATTGACCGGCAAGACAAACAACTCTCAGAAGGCGTCGAATACGTCCAGCAACTGCGCGCATCACCAACTGCTATTTCTAAGAACTGGGGAAAAATTACCACCTCTTCACCTCATGGCTTGAGTACAGCGTTGAAAAACGCGTGGTTGGCAATTGAGGTTTGTGGAAGAGACATATATAGCCCACTTTGATCTTTTGCTTACTCGATCTGTTTATGGATAGTGCGTCCCGGAGAACATCGAATTAAAGCGAACGGTTATCGGCGAACTTGATGCTTTGGCTCCAGAGCAGACCATAATTGCCTCTAATTCGAGCAGCTATGTGATCAGTGAAATCATCGAAACTCTGTCTCTTAATCACTCGTCCCGAGTCTTGAGCGCTCATTGTTGTAAGTCTAACGAGAGCACCAATCTGATGACAACCTTGAATACTAATTTCGTACTTTGTGCACACAAAGATTGGCCACCGGAGACTCCAGGTAGGTAAATTCCAATGTTTAAAAAATATATACTTCAACTGAACTCAATGTCTACATGTAGCGATTGAGATTATGGGACACGATGAGACCGATCCATCAATAATTGAATTTATGCTCGAGCGATGCAAGGGGCATGGTTTCTCGCCTTATCATGTCAAATCTACATCAATCGGATACATCTATAACCGGTGAGTTGTACTATAAGTTGTYCCCGCCACAAGTTATCAATACACGAAAACTAACCAATGTTCTTGGCGGCGTCCAGAATCTGGGCGGCCATTAAACGAGAAACTCTCCTTGCGCTTCATGAGGGTGTCGCAACCCCAAAAGAGATTGATGCCATTTTCAAAGACGTCTTGAAAACACCAAGAGGACCATGTGAGCTAATGGATGTTGTTGGGCTGGATGTTGTGCTGGACATTGAAAAACACTATGCAGACTCGCGAAAGGGTCTTCCTATTGAGCCTCGAGAGTATCTCCATACCATGATCGAGAACGGTAAGCTTGGATTGAAGAATGGCAGAGGATTTTATGATTACGGTTCGTGAGCCAACCCGCGAATCGAGGATTGTCTGCTCCGCGTGTGAGGATGAGTAACATATGGAGCATCTGTCTCAAATTTTAGAGGTAAATCAGCGCGAATGATGAGAAAGGAATTCAATGCTTGCTGGCCAAATAGTTGTTGGACCATGCCTAGGCTAATTGAACTCTTTTTATTGAAAAACTATTGTGGACTATGAAGCTAAGAAGTCCTTGATCTTATACATTATGAGCTAGAATCTCGTTAAGCATGTATATATACAAACTTATATCGTTTCATCAGTACCGCTGATTTGTTAGAGAATTGGCAATCCTAACTAGCTTTTATGGTGATGAACGACGCGTGCCAACAATTAAGGCGAGCTCATCAAGAAGGACAATACACTGCCAGCATCGCAATCGATTTGCGATTGTTGTAGAACCTCATACATGCTTGAAATACACAATAGTACAGATTTCCGTGGATACTATCGAATCCGATCGATGGTCATCGCCATGTGCACATCGAGCAGTTACACTGCAGTCCAGGACCCTATTGAGCAAGGCGAGTCAACCTATTCCAGGCTCCTTACTAAGTACACATCCTAGGATAATAAAAAGAAACCCTTGACAGTACACTATCCGAAACCAGATCATTTCAACAACAATTGGTGGAACATCGTACGTGATGGAACAAAGAGATTGTCATTGTGGTTATATTACCGGCGTCAAGGCCTACAAACCGTCTCGTACTGCATGATACCGTAACGTACGTCGGATCTAACAAATATATTACCTTTGTTCCATCTCGCTTCCTCGTGCTAATTTCGGACACCTGAGACTAGCCTGGATAATACGTCGAAGATAAGCATAGCTTTAAGTGGGTTATAGCATGCGGAGGCTGGCGTGTCGGTAACAATTCGGAGACTATAACGAGCCACCAGTCTGTGTTCGCAAATACAATATACGTGACAATATCATGTACCATCTCCGGGGCTCAAATGGCTTGAATTGTTGCCTCGAGTTAGTAGGCTGACTAGAGAGAACTTGAGAGAAGTATGGACGCCTAACGCCCAGGATCAGTGAAACGAACGTAGGCGTTGCATTTGGTGGCTGGAATTCTGGTAATTATTCGGATAATATACCAAGCCACATGTGTTCCAATCTTGGTTGGTGAAATTTATTACTGTACAACAAACTGACTAGCTGAGTACAAAATAGATGGAAATATGGTGCTTATGTATGAAGTGACTCGCGTAGCCGCGTTGAGCACCAAACATGGGATTTATGCACCCATTTATGTAATTAAACTATTTAGTCGCCGACGCCATGTAACATTCCAGCCCGTTCCCTCGTGCAGTGACAGACACTGTGATATGCAGGCCGGTTCAACTGCTACAGACAACCCTAATTGAACAATCCTACTGGGCAATTTGAGTGGCCAATAATAAATTAAGCTATAAATTAAGGCCTTTCAGGTCACGGTCCAGACAATTTGTCAGGTGGCCTGTGCGATGTAGCATGCATTTGAAATCCCTAAGCAGTCAATCTAAGGCGATAAAAGTAGGATAGTAGGAAAACCTTTATCAGGATCTAGGTCTCCTATGACCTCTTCACCATGATCTATTCATTAGTAGCGGTCTATACACAATTTGGTAACTTGTGGTTATTTGCCAGAATGAAGCCGCGATCAATTAAGCAAATCCCAAATGCACATAGTACGTATATAGACCTAACTTTTCTACTTGCAATGTTCACTTTGCCTGACTGGTAGTTAAGGTAGCCGGTGTACCTATGAATTTTCTAGCATTGCTCATCAGTCAGTATCGAACTTAGCCTTTGCCGCTTTTCCGCAGATTGATTCACTCAAGATTTGTCTCATATGAGAATGATTACTATGCATGAGTAGCTGCCCCCGGACTTGACCAGATTCATTGATGCGCTATCACATACGTAATACTGTCCAACACCGCTCTGCAGAATACGAATGGCGTCGTTAACATGACTCGAAGGCTTGAAATATTAGCCGCTGTCTTCATCTGCGTGTATGTCACTCTTATGGAGGGGAAAACTTCCTGGGGCGGGAAAGGCTTTTTCGGGCTTCATGAGAATAGGATAAATACCGTCCCAAGATGCTGAAGACTACCCCTTCAGAGGAAAACAATATGACAAACGAGGCCTGCAACGAGGATGTCTCCACACACTAACACCGAGTCTGGTCATAATGCACAGTCGTTCTTCAGCAAGGCTTATGCTTTGGGAGAATTGATCCGTGTGCATAGACCGATTGGAGTTGTCATAATCAATTTTCCTTATGTTCATGGTGTGCTGTTTGCTGCAAGTCTTTCGACCACTTTAATTCGCCCAGTTGAAGTCCTTTCCGCTCTTCTGAAAGTGACGTGGGGAACATTCTGGCTTCGCTCGTGGGCTTGTGCCTGGAATGACATGGCCGACAGAAACCTTGACCGTCAGGTCGAAAGATGCCGCAATAGACCAATGGCCCGTGGTGCCATTTCATATTCTACTGCTTTTTCATTCACTTCGATCATTCTTACGGTCTGGTATATCAGCATGAATCGCATCTGCAGTTCCTTCCGTCAGTACGGGCCATATCTCCTACTGCTATCGGCCTTGTATCCATACACAAAACGATTCACTAGTCATACACCGGTGTTCTTGGGGGTTACTTTCGCGTGTGGGGCACTCATTGGAAGTGCAACTGGAGAAGTAGATCCTTTGAAAGTTCTTGAACACGGACCTTCGGCAACGGGATGGGCCATACTTGCTTTATTTCTTTACCATGTCGTATGGACCACGATATTTGAAACTGTTTATGCATTTCAGGACATTCATGATGATACCAAGGCAGGAATATATTCGATGGCTGTACTATATCAAAAATCCATCAGACCTCTCCTGGCAATGTTGAGTGTCGCCCAAGTGTCTCTGCTTGTTGCAGTTGGCATTTTGTCGTCAGCAAATCTGCTTTATTACCTTCTGGCTCCGTTATTGAATGCAGTACTCCTCATTTGGATGGTCGGTACTGTTGATTTTGACAAGCCCGAGCAATGTGGTTGGTGGTTCGCGAATGGACCGTTGCTCGCTGGATTGGCCACAAGCGGAGGGCTTCTCGCTAACTATTTTGTCCGAGTCTAGAACAGACGATCGTGTGTCTTCATTGCTTCTCCTTCACAATTTTCGTTTTATTATCTATCTTTTTTGTTTCCATACATTACGTAGTCATGAAATTTTTAATGGAGCCGATATACTTTATCAAATACTGAAATAAATTTGATTTTGGCGATTCTGATATAAAGTTTAAATATATTCAAAGGTATTATTCATCCTCAGACAACAAGATGGCCTTCCTTGTCATGCAAACAACGTCGTACCCATATATATAAGGCCTCATGACTGGATCTGACAGAAAGTTAGCCCATTCTCCACGGGGCTTTTCATGAAGCAGGGCTCTATCTCTTTTCTCTTGCTGAGGTCCATCTGGAAGTGTGTATACATCTTTCAGAGCCTCACTGCGACGGCGGACCTCAAGAGCACGGGGCTTTCGGATTCTTTCGTAGGTCCGTAGAAGCTTTGGTAGATCACGCAAGTCCCTTATGTACTCTAGTAGTGTTCCTAGAACTCCTGCATCTTCAATTCCCATCGCCGCTCCTTGGGCCCTGAAGGTGCGTGTTAATATTTCTGTATTTAACGCCTCCTTGAAATACTGAGCGTTTGAGGTATCTGGAGGCTATACTCACATATAAGGAAAAGCTGCATGGGCCGCATCGCCAATCAAAGCTAAGTGCCCGGTTTCATGGGTCCAGCGAGTGCATTCATCAGCATAAAGCATTGTACGCTTTCCGGAGTGGGGAGCCATCTCCATGATTTTGTGCAATCGCGGATCCCATCCTTTGAAATCACTTTGAATTTCTTCTATCGTCAAAGGCTGGGGATAGATGATCATGGGTCGCTCCGGATCATGTTGCCGTGTGAATACCACATTTAAAGCATCATGGGTTCCCAGAGGATACAAAATCATATGTGCCCCCGGTCCGACCCACATGCGTATGCTATATGGCTCAATCAATGGAAGTAAGTCAGGATTCTCCAGAACCCTTGATCGAGGAACGGTAAAGCGATAGACATCATAGCCACTATCTTTCATTAGATTCCAGTTTCCATCCAGGTTGCTACGAACGATGGAACGCTCGCCATCGGCCCCAAGTATCAAATCGCTGGTTATCAACTCTCCATTTCCAAGGACGATAGTCGATAATGGAATGTCAATTTTTTCAACTGCACAACCAAGGCGGATAGAAACGCCCAATTTTCGAGCTTCATCGGCCAGAAATTTCTGGAAATCGGCGCGGTGAGCGACAAGGTACGGCGTCGAATATTCTATCTCGAAGGCTGGATGAAGTTCGGTAGCCGAGAGCGGCTGGCCAGACGACCATGAGTGCATTTCAGCTAATACTGGCTTGATACAAATTTTTTCTAACTGTTCAAGCAAGCCCCATTCTCGGAAGACCTTCGTTGCATTAGGGGAGATGTTGATACCCGCCCCGATCTGTGAAGAACATTAACTTGGGCAAAGAAAGGAACTCAATAATACTACCTGATATGTAGTATTCGTGATTTCATCTTTTTGAAACAATTATGGACAACGGAGGCGTGTAATAGTAGATGAAAGAATCTAGGCTCACCTCTTTCAACTCCGAGGCCTTCTCGAGGATTGTTACCTTATGGCCGGACCGCTGAAGGCCGATGGCAGACGTGAGACCAGAAAGCCCGGCTCCAACGACGGTAACTCTTAAAAATGGCTTCATACTTGTAATGTCTATATCGTCCAACTTTTTAGCGTTGAATGTGGGAATCTGTAATGCGTTTACCACCGTCAAAAACCTGGCTGTCTAGGAATTACAAATTATGTTAAGTCCAGTAGTCATTTTATAAATGCCTCATTCAAGCATTGGATCATGATATGTCTAATCGCTGCTGGCGTAAAGCGCCAAATATTTATGTTGATGAGAAAGTACTGATGGGGCTAGTTTTTCAGCCACAAATGTAGTGCAAATGTGGTTTCTAGAAAACCCATGAATGTTTCTTGAGAGTACACGTCGGATAGTCAGCAAATTTGTCAATCAATTTGCTTTAAAAGCCCCATGTCTTCGTACATATGGTATTACATACTATCATGCATCTACTGGCAGCCTAAAAAGGTGTGTCGTATTCGGAGCGTATATTACTTAGTTTCCAAGCCACATACTATAGCGCTTGTCATCAAACCTCAAGCGTAGAATATATGGGAAAAGCCTGTTGAGAGATATCACTTTACCAACAGTGGGGTTTTTTGGCTCGATCAAAGGTGAGTTTGACAGTAGAGGGGTGGAGCTACATAGAGAGAGACGCATGGAAGAGTCGGACGTCTTGAAATAGGAATCGATCGTGATAACACAAACTGATGGCTTAAATACTAGCATTCCCTAGAGATGGGCCTCTTTAATAATTAGGATATCTAGGCAAAAGTCCATCCCCAGATATTAAATACACTTCGGTGTGCCTCAGAATCTAAACAATCTCTCGTCGCTAGTCTTCAGCAAGTACCCGATATGTCCTGGATTTTTCAAGCAGTGGCTCTCGTGACAACTCTCATTTCAAGTCTTTCTCAGGATCTGACGAACGGTTTGCTCTTCAATGTTCCTAGCTTACATAAACTCCTGTACTAATATACTTCCGAAAGGCCTATCTTCATATGGTACTCTAGAATGCCAACAATTGCCATTTTACCTAGGATCTACTGTAAGTCAGGTCTCAGAAGTTCATTATAATAGTATAAATGTGCTAATAGTTTGCAGCCGAGCCCATGGGGTAAAAGTGATCCTGCATCTTCGGATGTCCCTGATACAGGGGCTGTTCGTTCCTACACATTCTCCATATCACGAGCTACAAAGGCACCCGATGGCTACCAGAAAAGTGTTATCCTGATCAATGGTCAATTTCCAGGGCCCTTGATTGAAGCTAACTGGGGAGACACTATTGAGGTTACTGTTTACAATGATATTAAAGATACTGCCGAAGGCGTAACTCTTCACTGGCACGGGCAACCGCAGCGCCTTAGCCCTGGAGAAGATGGTGTTCCAGGAGTCTCTCAATGTCCAATCCCTCCAGGAAGCTCTCTGACATACCGCTTTCGTGCCGAATACTTTGGAACTGGATGGTATCATTCACACATGAGCGGTCAGTATACAGACGGCTTATACGGTCCGATGGTGATATATGGACCAACGCAGGTTCCGTATGATATTGACCTTGGCCCGATTATGCTATCGGATTATAGCCACACTTCATACTATGATATACTGAAGTCTGCATATCTGTTTCCTCCCGTGTTTCCAACCATAGACAATAATTTGATAAATGGAAAAGGAATTTTCGAGTGCAGCCTTGCCAATGAAACCATCTGCACTCCGTGGGCTGGCCTGTCCAAATTTGCATTCCAGGCCGGTAAAGTTCACCGTCTCCGGCTCATCAATACGGGAGGTGAGGGTTCGCAGAAGTTCAGCATCGATGGTCATATCTTGAAGGTTATCGCTAATGACTACGTGTCGGTCGAGCCTTATGAAACGGACGTTGTGACTCTTGGTATTGGCCAACGTACTGATGTCCTGGTGACCGCATCGGGAGCTGCAAATGGAGCGTACTGGATGCGATCCGACATTGACGAGGATTGCCTCAATTTAACCTCTGTCAATAGTCATGCACTGGCCGCAGTATATTATCCTCACTCCAGCACCAACGCCGTCCCAAACACAACTGCAACAACGTGGTCGAGCAACAACTGTCAGAATGACCCCCTCAATCAGACAATTCCATACTACCCAACGACTCCGCCTTCACAACCAACAACAACGGCTTATGTGAACATCACCGTTGGTCAGAACGCTACTGGCGAATTTATCTTTTTCATAAATGGGACTTCTTTCGAAGTGGACTATAAGTGCATACCCCTTTCCCTTGCGCCCTATCTCAAATCTACCTAAGGATCCTTGACCTCAATGACTATTCCCATGAAATTGTTGCTTTGAAAATTTTCTTACAAGGAATCCATTTTTTCGTACATCGCTAATGGGCGGAAACAGCGCTCCTCTCCTACCTATTGCACAATCTGGCAACATCTCTCAAGTACCCACAGCGCGCAATCTCTACGACTTCGGCACTAACACCTCCGTCCGAATCGTACTGGAGAATTTCTGGCCAACTGTACATCCCATACATCTTCACGGGCACAATTTCTGGGTTTTAGCTAGCGGTTTTGGTAGCTGGGATGGCACCGTTGTCAATAGCGATAACCCCCAACGACGTGACACACATTTAATGATGCCCAGCGCTCCTGACGGTACACCGAGTTACTTAGTGATTGAATTCAACACTGACAATCCAGGAGTATGGCCGATGCATTGCCATACTTCTATTCACGCTAGTGCAGGTTTGTTGTTCAACGTGCTCGAGAGATCGGATCTATTGCAAAGCCAAGCTAGTCCCTCAAGCATGCAAGACAATTGTGTGGCATGGGCGGCCTGGACAAGCAAGGACTTTGTTGACCAGATTGACTCTGGACTTTGATCAAGAGCAAGAAAAAGATTATTCATGTAATCGCCATAGATTGAGCCAATTGTGCGTCTTATATTCAGAAATTCAATGAAACAACTACCTTTTCATATCCTGAAAAACAATAACATAAACTTAAGTTTTATGAGACTCTCACAGTAGTTGATTATAAATTGCTATATTAACGACAATAGTCCACTTGTATTCCATAGCATCCCTTCTAAAGTCTCAAGTCGGGGACCTTGGTAAAATTCCGAGGAACTCCATTATGCGCCAGAAACCTCTATACAGTTCATACCTCGTCATGCTCACTGCCGTTATTTCCAAAAGGATATCTTGGTGAATTATGATCGCTTGATCGAGGTATAAAGGCTGCACCAGATACTTGGATGTCGATGGTCTTAGGAGGATACGTTACGAGCTGTTCACCATCAGTATCGTCAGATACTTTGGCAATAAGACTGCTACCACCATGTCGTGACGCTGTTGAATGATTGGCTCCTGAGCCAAAGCTGTTTGCCATTCTCTGCGATGTGGATCGGTATTGATAACGCGACCCTGGCGGCCCAAATTGTTTCCTTCCGCCTCGTCGCATGTGCTGATATAGCGGCTTGAGTGTGGGCACCGAGCCACAGATGATGACAATGAAAACTTCAGCCCTAATATTCGATTATTTGTCGGTCAGAATCTTTTCTGGTAGTCGGCCAAGATGACTAGGCGATTGGAAGAACGACTCACTGTGCCCATAAGAAAACCTCATAAGTATTCCAAGTGAAGTCAATAACATTGGCGAACTCCTTCAGCTTCACTGTTTTCATAGCTGCGCAAACGCCAGCGCTATCCGAGTGTTAATTACAGTTCAATGGACGTATCAGTGAAAACCTACAAGGTACCGAGTCCGAAGAGAACACAAAGCCCCATCTTGTCTTTCAGACTCATATTCAATCGCCTGATCATATAGGATGGCGCTAATGCTAACAGAAAGTCTATAAACGTTCCGACCGCTGTCCGTTCCAGTCATTAGCACTACCGACTAGGATCACTTTATAGTTGTTATAGAGAAAGCATTCCCCACTTACATGATTGTGCAATAATGTAGTCAATGTAGATTGACTTTTTCCAACAACGGGCATTTTTAATCGTTGTGTCCCAAAGAGCGGCCGTTGGGTTACATTGGACGAAGACAAATATCACAACCAGGATACTCATAACCATATAGATGGCCATGATGATATGAAGACACCATAATTGCCATTTCCAGACGTTAGTACTTCTCCCCAATAGTCGAACCATCACAGCTGCGACACTCATCTTGCCCAATGCAGGAGTGAGCACCCCCAGTGCTTGGGCAATTAGACTATCCCTTATAACAACAGGTACTTTCTCTGGGGCTATGTAGTAAACATGGCGCGCACCGCCGTTCTCGGTATATACAGTGGTAACAGCAATGGTCGCTATCCAGAGCAGCTTGAAAGGATCATAATTAGCCTGACTTAGATGCAGGTGCATAGACAAAGGGTATTGCTCTTACCCAGGTACCAACCATGAGATAGTCGTCGATACCGTGACTGCGCATTTTTAGTCTTACATATAGCCTCAGTGCCAGGATGAAAGTCGTGAAAGCAAAAGGAATGTATATGAAAGCCAGTAAGCTGACTGCTCTGCTATCGTTGTGCGGTAGGTCCATTGAAGACAGTAATGCTAAGGATTGAAAGTCAACAAAGTACAGTTGGAAAGGATGATGACTTGATAGGTGTAACTGGGGTGAGTTGATTGCTTCTTAAAACAAGATATGTACCGCAGCTGCTTTCTCAAGTCCGACTGCCAATTATTCAGATGTCCTGCTCTCTTAGAGATACTATTGCCACAAAGTGCCAGGACATAAAACTGGCCCATCTTTAGTACATAATCAGGCTTTGGGTGCAACTGAACGGCCTAAGTAAGTGAACACAGTGTAAATCAGCAATACTTCAAGACCCCTGTCAGCGCCCATGTCAGCACAGATGGGGTTTCGACCTATTGCATACCCCATCGGTTCCTCTTGGGGTGGGTGTGGAAGTTACGGCGCTACCAGTGAATAGATACTCACCGAAAATCATCGCTTTCGTCATCTATTATTAGCTAAATTGCGGACTGCACCATGTTAAACATTTCATTAAGAGGGTTGATATTAAAGCTGACTTTGTGGCGCATATGCAAGGTATTCCACCGACTATGATATGATGCATGTATCATGGTTGATGTTCGATGACGCACTGCTCTCTGTAATCAGCGGGGTATACTCCGAATTCGACATGAGCCCAAATTAATTGAGATGCATCTACAGGGGTGGATGTGAATTCTTAAGAAAGAACGGACATGGATGCGTATCGTATTGTCCGATACGGTTTCGTACACGTCCAAACAGTATTTTCATGAACCGCACTCAGCATTATAAAATAAGGTGCAAGCAGCCTTTTTCAAGCAGGAAGGATTGTCGAGTCGTACAAGCTTGGATTTCGTTACCCTATTCTCTGATACATTTTATACCAAATCATCCACTATGTCTTCCATCGAACAGCTTACAACACTCTTGAATGAAGCAGCAAAGAGTTTACCTGCACAAGGTCCTATCAATGACGAGAAGCGAAATGCGTTCTACGCTGCTTACGAGAATCTCCGAAACGCGATTGAAACTCCAATCGATGCTGCAGTAAGAGTGCTGTTTGGTGTAGGTCTTATCCCCTAGCTATCCCCGGGTAAAGTTTATGGATAACTGAGCTTGCCTGTACATTAGGGCTATGATGCCGTAGCTCTACGAGTTGCGATGGACACACAAATCTTTAATCAACTTGCAATGGCCGAGGGCCAGTCAAAGAGCATCTCTGAGCTGGCCAAGCCGTCCGGTGCAGACCCGCTCTTGCTCAGTCAGTATTGCCAACTGTCATCAATTTTCGTAGACACTGAACCAGTGTAGATCGGTTCATCCGCGTTTTGGCTGCAAGTGGGCTAGTCAAGGAAACCGGCGAGGGCGAGTATGCAGCGGTTCCTCTTACCGGGGCATTTTCGGACATGTCACCTCTCTCGAAATCGGCCTTCCATATGTACGTCTCTCATCCTACATAAATATTGCACTAGACTGTTAGACACAAGTTCTGACAAAGCACAAACGAGCAGCCTTTCAAATGCCAATTCGTTGGCCAAACTCCCACAATACCTGCAAAAAACGAATTACCAGAACCCAAACGACAGCTGGGATGGCCCTTTTCAATTTGGCGAACCGACGAATCTGCAATATTTTGAGTGGATAGAACAGGACCCAAAGCACCAAGAGGCATTCAATACACACATGACACTGCAACGAATAGAGCGTGGCCCCAACTGGTTTGACTTTTATCCGGTTCAGGAACGCTTGCTAGACACTGACAAAGACACTTCCAAGAAATTCCTGGTCGACCTGGGTGGTGGTGTTGGTCATGACCTGGCGGCCTTCACTGAGAAGTATCCGGACCTTGCTCCAAGGCTCGTTCTCGAGGATCTCGGTCATGTTCTGGCAGATGTTGACAAGCAGGAATTCAAGCTACACCCCCAAATCGAGCGAGTGCCAACGGATCTTTTTAAAGAACAGACTGTCAAGGGCGCAAAGGTGTACTATCTGCGCACCGTACTTCATGATTGGCCGGACAAGCAAGCCAAGCAAATTCTGAGCAACATTCACGAAGCAATGACCGACGACTCGGTCTTGATTTTGAACGAGAATGCGCTACCAGACGAAAATGTCGCTGGATTCCAGGCCAGGGTTGACATTCTCATGATGTCCATCTTGTCGGGAATTGATCGTACCTATAAACAGTTCCACACACTTTTGGAAGAGAGTGGATTTGAGGTTCTTGGGACTTATCGACCTCAGACACTTTCACCAGGAGCTGGAACGATTTTCGAGGCTGTCAAAAAGCATTGAACGGGGCCATGGAGTGTAGAATGGAAGCGGTAGCACGACAGGCAAAGGGAGCATCGTGGTGGGTGGTAGAGACCTGACTTGGCGATATTGTGTATGTAATCACATTGAGGCTGAAATGGAAGCTGAAAGGTAGAATCATGCTTACATGTATCGTTGTGTAAATAACGCGAACAAGCAGTCCAACGCGTCAGCGAACGGAGCGGAATATTCGTTAGTCCGTGGCTGCTTACAGTCTCTCTTCGGGGCCAAGATATTCCGGTTCCGAAAGTCGCTTTCCGGGCAGTTAACAGAATACCGACACTAATAGTTAGTACATAGTATGTAGTACAGAGTATACAGAGCACCGGTAGCCGATCTACTGTTGCAGGGAATCTCGATCTTAACAGCAGGACTTGCCCATCGTTTGTCCAAAAAGCACGCAGGTTGAACGGCAACATGACGGTTATGAAATATTAGTAATGTACCGACGAGTAAAGTGTTACCGTTATGTTACCCAAAAATATCCTGCTTTTCCAGCAATGTCGCCGTAAGCTAGCCGTATTCAGCTAGCCCCTGTTATACAATTACAGAACGTAATTTCCATCACGACGTTGTCAACTTTCACGACACCTGAGGCTTCACAGCGATACATCCCGATTGGTGGCTAATGAACCTTGTGACTCAGTATCATTCTTCATTAATTAAGAAATTGTAAGGCATTACCAGGTATCTCATGTATGCGGTAGTCAAACATACGAACCTCTTCGCCGTACGTACCTCGGAGGTCGGCGTAAACATCAATATATATATACGTTGATACATCCTGCCTATCGCAAGGTCTACATCAACCACCTAGCACACAAAGCACTACCCAGGTGGGCAATTTTCATAATCCTAGTTCGATGAGTGCTAGCTCCATAGCGTTGGAACATTTTTAAACACTGCCCAATACCCGAGAGGCCTAAAAACTAAATATCTAATTTCAGGAACCTGAGACTACATAGCTCCCTCATTGGAATACTTTTTGCAATGTTCAAGATTGGATGAGCTTTTACTACCTAGCCTCGCAGATTCTGAAGCGTACAGCTTGATATCTACTTAGGTACGGTCGGAGGCCTTCAATGTTGCTCACCTCGTGCTGCAATTTCGTTGAGACCTTTGGAATTCCTCAATTCCTCAACTTTCGATGCGCTTCTCGTGATGCGCTCAATGTCTCTGCCTACAATTTACGCGAACTTCTAAATATCGCGCTCCGGCTGATGTACGTCGACAGGCATAGATTGTGCGTACGCTCGACCTTACCATCATTCCCGCGCTATATTATTTCGGGTTGATCTTGAAGCGCTGTAGGGTTATAGTTCATTCTACCGAGAATGTACGAAAATCGAGTTTGACGCTAAGGTATACGTAGAATGTACTACGTAGTAACGAATTTGACCATAGCCACTGAGCGCGGGCCGGGTTTATCCCGACCTATAAGCGACCAATAATACAAACCTCCATCTTAACGACCAATAGTCTGTACGTGGATAGGATGTTAGGATCGCAACGTTACGGCGCTGTTTTGGTTGTTGATCCCAACGCGTTGCGGACGCGGCTGTATCGTACCATTATAGATTACATGGAATACCACACGCATCGTAAATTCTATCAGCTCCGCCAATACTGTGTAAGATAAGGACGTAATGGCGGGKAACACTCGTACGCTTTCTCCCTTCGCTCTTTAATGATAATAAACATCCTCTGAAAACGCTCAAAGAGTTAACGTTCATCCACAACGGCATTAGTCATGCCTGGCCTACCGGTGTCCGACGACCACAACTGTTATCCAATCCTATAGATTGACAATATGGATGATCCCGTCGCGCGCTGCAGCGAGAGATGTGATGGTGGTGGCGAAGCTGCTTCTCAAGCATGGCGCTAGAGAGACATCATGTGCAATCTCGCACCTGGGAATTGAGGGGTCGCTGAAAACATCGGCCGCGGAAATAAGTACCTAGTACAGCCTTGTGAGGCTTAGATAGGTAGTCGATCGATCAATAAGAGTAATTTCCCACATGGACATCTTGAAATTTATCATCACTAACATACGACGTACAGAGTCTGCCCACCATGTCACTAACCGATTCCGAGGATTCCGATGCTGTCTGGATCAGCCCAGACGATATTCGTGATTTCAACGAAGATCATATACTTCCCCTTCCCCCGGATGAACTTGAAAATATTAGAACCTGGCTGCAGCCTACACCTTATGACCTAGAGCGATCTGAGTTTTCAAGACATCTGGCGTCGTACCTTCAAGGCACTGGCCAGTGGTTGTTATCCACAAGAAACTACAAAGAGTGGCACCAAGGCGTCGATAATGGCCTCCTCTGGATCAAGGGTATACCGGGGTCAGGGAAGTCCGTCATGGTTGCCTCGATCATCCAACAGTTGCGTGAAGAGAAGGTACCCGTTCTCTACTTCTTTTTCCGACAGATTATCAATGCAAATCATGAACCGGTTGCCGCCCTTCGCGACTGGCTTTGCCAAATACTCCCCTTTAGCCCGCCCTTGCAGGTTAGGATGAGAGACGAATACCTGCAGGAGAAACGCAGTATCGATAGCTTAGGTATGAGCGACCTCTGGAAAGATCTCAAATTTGCTATGTCTACTTTTCCCAAGGTCTACTGTGTCACAGACGCGTTGGACGAAATGGACCAAGGCAATGATGACTTTCTTCACGCCTTGGCCAAACTGGGTCGATGGCGCCCTGCAAATGTCAAAGTCCTCATAACCTCCCGCCCAGTTATTGCGGTTGAGTCTCCGCTACGGCACCTCGGTATACCTCATCTCCAATTGCAAGATCGACTTGTGGACATGGACATTGCTGCCTATGTGCGATACAGATTGCGGAACTCGTCTATTCCCCACGAACACTGGAACCTGATAACTGGAGCCGTACCCGGTCGCGCAAATGGACTGTTCCTATATGCGAAGCTTGCAATGGATGCCTTCGTCGATCGCAGTGCTGATGTTGAGCTGGTACTCGAGAAGTTACCAGCGGATCTGAACGTGATGTATAACGATCTATTGTGTGACCATGCCAAGCGCTCGAACGTTCCAGACGAGTTTCAGCTTCTTGTCTTGCAGTTTGTTACCCATGCAACTCGACCTCTCCGTTTACTGGAACTCGCTGAGATGACTAAAACTTCATATGTTCCATTCCGGAACTACACGTTGAAAGAGATCAAAGACCTGGTTCGAGCTGCTTGTGGTCCGCTGTTACAAGTCCTGCACGATGAGACTGTCTCTGTTGTTCATCACTCATTTACCGAGTTTCTCAAAGGACTCACGCGCTCAAAGCATTTGAACGATGCGGGCTACCCTATCTTGGAAGTCGGCCCAACCAACAAACGTCTTGCCATTGCATGCATGGATTATCTTACCTCTGGATGCTTGGACGAGATTGAGGTCAAGATGCGCAGTGAAGCGAATGATCTTTATGGACCTAAAAAATCCGAACAAAGTGACAGCAGGCTCCGGTTTCCATTCCTCGAATATGCAGCTACTAATTGGTACATCCATGTCCGTCGCGCAGTCTTGGCCGGTGCAGATATGTCATTATTTTATTTGTCACTCGACAATTTTTTTGCCAACAAGCAGAGATTTCTTAGTTGGCTGGATATCGACTGGCCAGAGAATACGATCCAAGGCCTCACTCCACTTCATGCTGCTGCTCGCATTGGATTGACCGAGTATGTCAGACACTTGCTTCAGGAAAGAGATGCTCAACCCAATGTCAAAAGCCATCGAGGCGACCCCCCTCTCTATTGGGCCGCTCTTAGTGGGCATGCGGATGTCGCGCAGGTTCTCATAGACAATGGAGCGGATCCGGATGGAGAGGCAAACCAAGGATATAAACCTCTTCATAAAGCTGCTAGCTGTAACCAAGCTGATGTGGTTAAGGTTTTACTTGTAGTCGGTGTGAGCCCACTCACACCCAAGACCAAAGAAACCCCTGGCAGAAGATGTGGCAATGCACCGACGTCGATCGGTCATACCCCGTGGATGTACGCTTGCAAGAATGGAGGAATTGAGACACTGGCCGAGTTCCTGCCTTATATCAAATCTTCTGAGCAGATGCTACGAGGCCTTTTTTGGATGACAGAATCAGGACATGCGGTCTGTGTCGAACTGATCCTTCAACAGCCAAGCCTAGACGTCAATTCCAAGTACCTAGGCAAAACAGCTCTTTTCCAAGCCTGCTCGGAAGGGCATATAGATGCGATAAATGTTCTTCTCAAAGTGGGAGCCGATCCCAATGTTCTTTGCGATTACTCCGTGGATGCAGTTGACGATATGCATTTCGCGGAAATGCATATCCGATCTAAAGACGCGAACCAAAGTGAACAACCACGGGGTTACACTGCTCTGCATGCTCTATGTGGAATTAACAGCAGAATGCCACGCATAAGGTCCGCTGGAGATCGCGCACTTGGCGTTCGACTCCTCCTAGAAGCTGGGGCAAATGTTCATTTGAAGTCTCCAGATGGTAAAACTGCCTTGCATTTTGCCTGTTCAAATGAGATCAAGGTGGTGAGACTTCTGTTGGATGCAGGTGCAGACCCCACCGTAGAAACGAATGATGGGAGCACAATAATACACACTGATGGATCCACGGATAAGGAACTGCTACCTCTGCTGTTGGGATCGGGCCGTGTTGATGTCAATGAGCTAATGACGAAAGGACGGGAAAATCCTCTATTCCTTCGGCTTCAGGGACATTATCCGGAATCAATCATTGAGCTTCTCAAATACAAATTAGATGTAAATAAGGCAAGATCAGACGGAAATCGCCCTCTACATATTTCTTTTAGCTCGTGGTCATTCCGTCCTAAGAATATTGTTGTTGATGCCCTTCTCGCAGCCGGTGCTGATCCGAACTTGCAGAATGCGAAGGGTGAGACGCCATTACATCTACTGGGACATTGCGCCAAGCTTGAAATAGTCTCCAAGCTTGTGAATGCGGGCGCCGACCTTGAGCTTCGTGATATGGAAGGCCAGACAGCTCTTTTCAAGAATGTCATGACCGACGACCTAGCCAGTGACAAAGTTACGCTTTCCAATATTCTGATTGAGCTAGGCGCTCGGCTGGACACACGGGACAACAAAGGCAGGACTCTATTTCATCAGGTTGTGCTCAAAAGGCTTGGTAATTTAGAATATCTCATGTCGCGAATGGACTTCGATCCTTCTGTTGTGGATGATAAAGGAAATACACTTTTTCATGAGGCGGCATCAAAGAAATGGCAATCTGAGAAATTGGAGATATTCATTCATCTGACCAAGCTGGGTGTTGATATTGACAAACCCAACAACCGTGGTAAGACCATTTTACACAAGATGTGTGCGAGGGAATGCAGACGCTCCAGCTGGAACCCTTCTGTGAAGACCGCTTTCGACTATGTCCTTCAAGAATGTAAAATCTTGAATCCTCGTGACATAAATGGAATCCAACCCTTGCATGTTGCCGCCGCTGTCTCCGAGGTTTATGTGTTTAAGCTTCTTGAAGCTGGGGCTTATCTGTTCGGGACCACGAATGAGGGCTTGACGGTGCTTCACGTTGCAGCTCGGGCTCGAAACCCTGGTGTTATTGGCGTAGTTCTTCGAAGGCTTGCTGATCTGGAAGATGCTGCATTCAAAGCATTTATCAATCAGCAGACTGTGGAAGGGAAAACAGCGCTTCACTATGCTTGCCTCGCTGGTCGATCCGAAAGCGTTGATCTTTTGCTGGACGCTGGCGCAGATCCTAATTTACCGGGCAAGGATGGGTACACGCCGCTCAGGACATGTGCTGATTTTGAAGTTGAACAATCACGGTGGAACATAGTTGTCCAAAGGGACGATCACCGAAAGGGTCGTTTTAAAGCACAAAGTCAAGCACCAAGACAAGCACAAAGAGCGATCAGTATGCTACTACATAGCCACGATCTGCCAACAACTGTTGACGATTCCGGGAGGCTCAATTGGCGTAGCCATAGTATAAAGCAGGAGTCAGCTTCAACTCATCTCGACGGCATTTTGAATTCTTTGGTTCTTCACGGGGCAGATATTACCGGGCATGAAAGCTCTCTCCGTGAGGCGGTCCATACTGCCATACTTCATCGTCGAGACTATACCGCTAAGTGTTTGTTAAGATTACAGTCTCGTTTTGTTCCTAACATGAAGTTAGATGACGATGGCTTCGTTGCCACGAGGTCTCGCTTGGAAAGTGAAAGGTCATCTTTGAGGCAGGAGAATTGTAACAACAATCGGCAAACGAATGATGCAAACCGCCGTGCTAGAAGAGCTTTTTATCTCACTAAGCTACTGGGTCTTCGTCAGTACGAAATGGTGAAAGAAACGACGTCAGACATGGACGTTTTAGATCTTGAGGCGTTTCGGATGTTCGGTGAAATTTCTCTCTTGCATACCCTTGCGAATTTTGGCTTGTCAGATGTTCTAAAGTCTGTCTGTACCCGTGCCGTCGCACTGAAGTTTGATGACCACGAGTGGTGCAACGAAGCAGAGGCTGCAAATCGTATGAACAGACTCAAGATAGAGCCACTTATTATGGTCGCGTGCAATCGGGAAATCCCGAATATGGCAGTGCTGAGATTCCTTGTCGAAGAAATGGGTGTTGACGTCAATGCAACAAGCAGAAAAATTATTTTCCGTGATAATGGGAAGCGCCGCGAGTTCGTACCAGGCAAAAGCGTACTGCATGATCTTGCCGAGGGCAACAGTTGGTGGAATGTACATGAGGCGCTGCCTTACCTGATGCAAAAAGGAGCTGATCTGAATCTGCGCAATGAGGTTGGGGACACTCCATTGCACATTGCTGTGGAGGAAAAAAGGTACAAAGGCGTCTTCTACAAAGAGGCTATAGAAGTCCTTTTGGAAGGCGGTGCAGATGCCAATGCTGTGAATTACCACGGGGAGTCAAGCCTCTCAAAAGCTGGCACTGACACTGGGCTGATCAAGCGGCTTCTATCGTACGGTGCTAAGATTTCCCCAGCAGCCATATTCTCCGCGATCGAGCTCCAGCAAGTTGAACTTTTGGAATTTTTTCTTGCTCAAGGAGACTTTGCAAATCTAAGGCAGCCTGCGTCTGAAAGCTCGGAAAGAAATGCAGTACACGTGCAATCTGTAGTTCCCACATCTGAGAAGTACCCTTTATTTCATGCAGCGTTTTACACAGTTCGAGACATTAGAGGGAGAGAAAAGGATCTTAGCCCTGCACGAATAAGCATGATGACAGCGCTCCTTCGCCATGGGGCAAATCCATACGCCACTTTTGTCAAGCTTCATCGGGTCAAAAATAAATCATTCAAAAATGACGTAAAAGATGAGAGTGATGCAGGAGTAGAGTGGAAATCGGAAACGTGCACCATCATACATGAGATATTGCAGAGTGGACGGGTAGTCGAACCCCTATTTGATCTTCCGTCTCTTGAGCTTGAAACACGCGATGCCAAAGGCCAAACATTGCTTCTGGCTGTTTCCCGCGGCCCAATAAAGCGCCTTGAGGAACTGATCACCCGTGGATCGGACGTCACCTCTCAAGATCATGAAGGCAGAACTATTGCGCACAATCTCACGCAACATCAACCCACAGAAGAAAATTACAAGTTCCTCAAGACTCTATTCAGTCACCACCCGCGTCTGATCCACATGACTGACAACGCCGGTGATACTCCGCTTCATTACGTACTGAAAGCAAAGGAAATACGCCTTGACTACATCGATATCTTGGTCGCACACGGTGCCAATCCACTTCAACCAGATTCGGACGGCAACACAGCTCTCCATTTCTTCGCCCAGAAGCCTCGCACTTACCAGTCACGTATTGAGCAATTTCAAGAAATGGGTGTGGATATTAATGCACGCAACAAGATGGGGGACTCCCCCATCTTCGGGTATATTGCACACGGCTGGCTGAGAGCTGGAGGACAATCTGCGTATTTTTACAACAAGGGACACGAGAACCATGATGATGTTCACTATTTACGATATTTCCAGCAAATTGGAGCTGACTTTTTCGTACGTAATCATGCAGGATCGTCGCTCCTTCATGTTTTGGCCGGCCGAAAGTTGAATGTTAGTCCTTTCATGGACAAAGCAGAGATTACAGTACCGATCAAGAATGTTGTCAACTGGTTTGAGTTTCTTACGGGTATGGGTCTGGATCCTATGCTCGAAGATGCTCAACAGCGCACTTGTTTAGATGTCGCTGCCGCTTGTGAGAGCGAACATATTCTGAAATTGTTTCAACAAAAAGCGGTAGAATGTGATTGATTGGTTGGTTCATTTACTTAAATATACATGTATCTTACCTGGGTGGCAAGTGCATTTCAACAAGCCAAAGTCAACATCAACACGTCAACAGTAGTACTAAAGTTTTCCGGGATGGCTCTGCCAGTCGTTATTGGAATTTTTGTGAGCGACTAGCCCTATCCTAGATGCGTATAGTTTCTAGATTGAGCTTAATGGAGCTACATAGGAACCTCTACGTCGCCAAAGACGTCTCATTTCATATAAGCCTAAGAGACTAGTGACTAGTTGCACTGTCATCTTTCATGGGCTATGGTAGATGAAACCTATTCTGTCTTTGGGTTTCCCTGATATTTCTCCTTCAGCCGTTCAACAGCAAGCCGTCCCAAAGTCTCAATCGTGCCTCCGTTCAATATTTCCAGAGTACTCGCTTCGACCTGTAGTCTCTGGCGCAACCAGTTCCGGATTTCGACGATCACGAGGGAATCTACTCCAAGAGTTACTAGCGCCTTGGTCACGTCAAGCTCCTCTAGCGGTTGTAGCATGAGATTGCAGATATTGACACCGATCTCATATGTGAGGAAGACCACGGCCTCTGGTTGATCCAACACGGAGGTGTTGGATTGGATCTGAGCTATAAAAGCGGCTATTTTGTCTTCATTGCCTCCATCCCCTCTGTCTGTACCGTCTTCGAAGCGGGCAGCTTCAATATTCCGGTAAATGTCTGCACGTCGATCATGCTTCCAAAGTACGCGGTTGCTAGGGTCGTCCATTGGCTTGGTGGAACGAATGCCTAGTGTTAGCTGGCTCCTATTGTAAATTCCTGGACCACCTCGAGTGGCTTCAAAACCCGCTTCAACAGGAAATTGTTGGCAAATAGACAAATGGAGGCATTCGAAGAAGTCTGCTTCAGACATGAATGGCATACCAGCCCCGCGGAGGTAGTCCTCGACTCCTCGGTTCTCGCTCACGTATCCGACGTCTGCCATTGCGCCGATGTTCAAGACAGAGGCAGGAAGTCCTTGGGCATGACGATACTGGACAAAGGCATCCTGGAAGGTGTTTGCTGCCGAATAATTTGCCTGATGAGCCAAGCCAAACGTACCGGATACAGATCCGAGGATGACGAAGAAATCGAGTTTCGTGTGTCGTAGGGCTTCGTGAAGGTTACAAGTACCATTGACCTTCGGCTTGATGGCGGTGCTCCACTCATCATGTGTCATGCTCATAAATGGACTATCATTTAGTACCATCGCCATCTGAAAAACACCGGCAATGGGCAGATTTATTTCTTGCACAGCTGCTTTGACGTGTTCCAAGTTAGTGACATCGGCTTTTGCGACGTGAACAGAGCATCCCTGGACTTCAAGTTCACGGAAGAATCGTTGATGTTTTTCGGACTCCCCGGCTCTTCGAGATAAGTAGAGAAGGTGGCGGGCACCATGTTCGACGAGGTAAGTCGAGATGGACTGTCCTAATCCTCCGAGACCCCCGACAAGGAGATATGTCCTGTCTTCTCTAAGCATCAATTCGGGTTGCATTGGGAACACAGAGAGAGCTTCAACTGTCGGCAGGATTTTGACAAGGAGCTTTTCTTCTGTCACACCGTGGTGTATAACGGTAGAGATCTTTTCAATCTCATCACTGTCAAAGACAGAATTGGGTTTGATAGGCTGTATATGTCCGTCGGCGTAGAGCCCAATTGTTTCACTAAGGAGCCTAGTCCAATGTCAGTATAAATCAAAATTACATCTTTGCTTGTATTGCGGGTATGGGCTTATACCCTTCATATAAGTCTTGGAGAGCCATGGTATCGACACCGATAAAGCTTCTATTCCCAGCGAATAGGTCGATATCTAATTGAGCGCGACCGACGAAGTTATGCTTCCCTAGTTCAATCATCTAGACAATAATATTAGCCTGCATTGTATGGCTGTCGATATATGATCCTTGTACCTTTCCTCGGGGTGCAACACATTTCCATGACGCGTGAAGCAAGTCGCCCGATAGTGAGTTGAGAACGACGTCCACGCCTAAGTTTGCCGTCATGCTCATCAACTCTGGCAAGAAAGATGTATTTCCAGAGTATAGTATGTGATGGCGAGGGATATCAAATGAATTTATTAGATATTCTGCAGATTCATCGTTGTCCACGGTGCAGAATATCTTCACCCAACAGTTAGCGTCCCATCCCTCAGTAAGGGCTTTCGAGGTTGAGCTCACCTCAGCACTAGCAATCTGTGACAGCTGAATAGCGGCTAGACCAATGCTACCGCAAGCAGAGTGAATCAGAATACTTTGTCCTTTTTGGAGATTTGCGACCTTCCTGATTGTATAGATAGCTGTGCAGAATGACAGGGGCATAGTCGCTGCGTCTTCAAATGTTAAAGAGTCAGGTATTTTCGTCACCTGAACTGCTGAAACAGTAACTCTACTGGAAAGGAAGCTTTGCCCGAGGCCCATCACCCGATCTCCAACCTGGAGCGTCCGTACTTGGGTCCCAACGGCTGCCACCGTACCAGAGCCCTCCAGTCCAAGTAAAGAGTTACCTTCTCCCGAGCCCTGTGAGGTATGTCAGTGATATATGTACATATATTGTGCCAAAGTGGGCGGATATACGAACTGGCTCAAGCGAGACGCCTGAACAGGCAGGGATGATAAGAACATCCTTTTCACTTAGGGGTCTGGGTGAATATGGAGTCCAGACAATCTCCTTCAAGCCTCGAACTCGTCTCACATCTAGTCTCAATGGTTTTTGAGATTTATCATCGGATTCCGCAAGCTCCTTCGAAACCTGTGTCCAATGATACCTACCAACATAAACAATGCCATTTTTCAAAGCGTACTCCTGCTCAGGGTTCACCGACGAAGCTGTATCCTGGAATTTCTCAAAGACCTTCACGATTATTTCAGCATCTCCGTGCTCTAAATGATCAACTTCCAACGTGGCCATGACAGGAGCTAGCTCTGCTCGGATGCTTCGCATGAAGCCCAGAGTCAAGCCGTAATCTGGATTCTGTACTCCGATTTGAGCAGATCCCATTACCCAAAGCAATCGAGAAGAACCAAGATTCCCAATCAACCTCCGAAGAGACTCAAATTCATCGGAAGAAAACCCGCTAATGAATGGTGAATCTACCTCAAGAAGTGAAATAATGTCTTGAAAAACAATCGGTTGTTGGATACCCAAGAAGCACGTGTCAATATGATAGCCTTTCTGGCTCAGTGACTCTTTGACATGTTTAACTGATTCAGAATCAAGTTGACTTTCACGGAGCAACAGAGTAGCACTCCTGAAATTGGTAGTGGTCCGGACAGGTGTGGCGATCATGTTAACCCCAATATGATGAATACGGTCAGGATCGTCATGTACTAAACATTCAATGCCGGAGAATCCAGCGCTACGTAGTTCCAGATCCCACCTCCCAGGAGATATTATCGGCTCTGTTGGACGCTGGTCCGCCTCTCCAAGCCACCAACCCGGCAAAGGCCCCATGATGAAATTGACCATCTTCGCCACGGAAGGTGTGTGCTCTTGAAGGAAGAATCTCCCACGGGAATTCAGCAAATTGCGGACATTTCTCAGCGTGGTTCTCAGAGTTTCCGTGGCATGAATCACATTGGAGGCGATAATCAAGTCATACGTCTCTAGCTCGAATCCTTGCTCCAATGGATCCTTACTGATATCCAAAGTCTTAAACTCAAGCCCAGGATAGTCGAAGAATCTCTCCTTGGCAGCCGAGAAAAATCCGGAAGAGATATCGGTGAACCTGTCAGGTTTGGAGTCAGCGAGTGGAAAGCCAAAAAAGTCGTGGACTGCGAAATTGGACTTACGTATAGTTGGCGTACATAGGCTCTCCATTGAGGGAGGTTAGTGCTTGCAAAGCTATCAGAGTGGTACCTCCAGTCCCCGCCCCGATTTCCAAGACACGCATACGAGGGTTTGTATGGCCAGCGGTGACGAAAAATTCCGTAGAATCAATCCTATCGCCATTCATATCATATAAATTCGTTAATCCGTTATCCCGCAGGTAAACGTCGAGGATTTCTGTTTCTCCGTTGAACACTCCAACACAATTATTTAGCAGACGAGTGACAAGCTCAGCAGCGGGCTCGAATTCGGTATCCTTGAGTTGTTCTCGTATCAAAGAAATCATCGCCAGCCGATCGTTTCCTGAAAGTTTCACAAGATCATTGCTGTTAGTAACAATTCCGTTATTTCCCAGGTGTCCTTCTTCGATGATCTGATCGATCCAGCACCGGAATTTCTCAAAATGAACCGCATTGGAAGGACAGCTCCGAATTCGCTCTTGAATCTCGAGCATACAAAGAAAAGAGTAAATCTCTATGCGCCGAAGTTTCTCGGTATCTTTCACACGAGCAGTCATCAAGCTATCAATAGGGATGAAATCCAAATCTGGTCTCCAATTTAATCGCGCGGCGGCGATTCGGGCATCACTGTTTTGATCCTGCTCCTGCTGCTCAAAAATAGACAATTTACATCCCTGGATAGAGAGGAGGACCTCATCATTCTTAGATATAGTGATATTGCCTTGAACGTTTCCGGTGTTACGAGGAAGGGTAACAGCCTTGGCCATTGCCTGCATTGGAGCATGCTCTTTCGAAGCTGGCTGGATATATAACTGCTCGACTGCAGTGGGAAGAAGAGCGTTTTGAAATAAATAGGGCCGACCATCTACAGAAGCTAACCCGAGAAGCTGAAGACATTGATCAATAGTTGTCGGGTGGAGGGAATAAGCCGAGCTTGTCGTTGGTGGCGGGTCTAGTAATGCGACAGATTCTTTCTTGCCTGGCATTGCGGACACGCTCCGTAGGGCCTGAAAGTTTGGCCCATAATGCAGACCAATCCGGGTAAAAATGGCATAGGGGAAGTTAATCTCACGGGGAAGCTGGGCAGGATTTTCAGGGACTTGAGGCTTTGCCATTTCATTGTTTTTACCTCCTTTTGCCTGTCCATCGCAATGCTTTGTCCAAGTATTTCCATTATGCGAATATATAGAAAATTCGTACCATTCCGAGCTACTAGCGGTTGATAATTTCAATTTCTTAAAAGTTGTAATCACCTCTACCGTTTTGTCATCATTTAAGATCATTGCAGTTTTGATGTTAAGATAGCGGATGCTGAAGTCGTCGGCCATTGTTAGCTGTCGAATCGCCTCACCCACCATGGAAATATATCCAGCGCAAGGGAATACGACATCACTGAAAACTTTATGATCTTGAAGCCAGAGTGTGTTCTTCAGGTTAAGCATATTACGCCAAGTGGGCTCGAAGTCATTGCCTTCAAGAATTCGCGACCCGAGAAGTTCATGAGGCGCGAAGCTTCGGGTTCTCCATTCCTTCAAAGCTCGATTTTCAACCCAGTGAGAGACATCATGCTGCCATGGATAGACTGGGAGATCTGTCAAAACCTCTGCCCCAGGGTTTAATTGTTTCATGTCAATATCTACTGTTTGCAAGTACAATTGACCGCATGTCTCCAAGATGCTTTCCACGGAGTTCTTGCCCCGAATGAGGGTGGGCAAATAGCTAAGTCGTCCTTTTGATGCTGTATTCTGAAAAATCTGCCTTAGTGGTCCTGACAAAGCAGAATGAGGCCCGATTTCCAAAAAGACATGATCTGTTGCCTGCTGTGATCTGATCAACGCTTTGACCGCAGGGAAGAACTTGACCGGCGACTCCAGATTTTGTCTCCAATACTCGGCTCCAAATACTGTCGCTGGTGTGGACACGCCTGTCACACTTGAGAAGAATGGGATGGCTGGAGTCTGGGTATTCAATAAAGGCCGTAGGTGTTGTTCGTATTCGGACCCCAACTTGAGCATGTGATGAGAATGGTATGCCATGCCATCCGTTTTCAGTAAACGGACGAAGACATCCTGGTCATCAACTTTCATCTGCTCAATAACAGTATCTAGAGCTTCTCTATCCCCCGATAAGGTGACACTGTTTGGGCTATTATCGCATGCAATCGACACGCCGTCTTCAAGGTAAAGAGTAGCCTCCGCTCGACCCATACCGACAGCAGCCATAGCTCCAGTACGTGTGGAGCGGAGTGCACAGCGACCTCGATAATATGCAATGGTAACGGCTTCATCCGCTGTAATGGCACCCGAAGCGTACGCAGCGGCTATCTCCCCACTGGAGTGGCCAACAACAGCTGCTGGCAAGATACCTATTTTCGCCAAAAAATTGACCAAGGCTACTTGTATTGCGGTGCATAATGGCTGAGCAAACTCTGCTTCGTTCAGGCGACTCTCATTTTCCGGTTTGAGCATTTCAGTAATCAAATCCCACGATGGTGGATGAGGTAATCGAGCGAGAACCTTGCCAAGATGAGAAAGGTCATCCTTGAATTCTGGATAATTCTTCACGAGATCTTTCCCCATTGTAGGCCATTGTGCCCCTTGACCAGTGAAAACAAAATTGAGTTTAGGGACCTCTTTGAGCTTCTCGGACATGGAATAGATTTTTTTGGTTCCAGTGATGCAGAATGCACGGGAAACGAGATGTGTGCGTCGACACCCAAGCGTATACGAGAGATTCTTATTCCGCTCCGGATGGGCCGCGGCATAGTCTTGCAGCTCTGATGCTCTCCTCTGAAGCGACTCCGGGGTATTTGCAGAAAATAGCAATAATCTGGGGGGAGGGGGAGTAGGCACAGTACTGTCCTCTATTGAATCGTTCAGACGAGCCTGAATGCCATGAGACGCGGCGGACTCAATAATGACATGGGCATTTGCGCCAGTGATACCAAAGGAATTGACACTGATGCGCTCCGGCCGGCCAGCCGGCCATTTTGTTGGCTCTAATGGCACGACTAGATGCGCTTCATCAAATGGAATCTTAGGGTTAGGCGTAAAGAAATTTACCTGAGGCGGAATGATTCCTTGTTCGAGGATCATCACAGCTTTGATTACGCTAGTGATACCTGACGCTCCCTCTCCATGACCAACATTGGCTTTCACACTCCCTATATACGTTTCCTGATCGCCTCCAAATATGCCAGCAATCGCCTGCAGTTCGAGGGGGTCACCACTAGGAGTTCCCGTGCCATGGACCTCCACAAATGGCGTGTCGGCAGCATTATTCGTTAGTCCTGCAACCTTGTAGGCTCGTCTGATCAGTCTTTCATGAGCCAAGGGGTTCGGTGCACTGATGCCTGCGCTTCGCCCATCGCAGTTGACGGCTGTGCCTCGAATGACTGCCCGGATCGGGTCCTGGTCGCGTATGGCGTCACCGAGCTTCTTGATTAGAATGGCATTGATGGCTTCACCACGAGCGTAGCCATTAGCCGATGCATCAAATGTACGGCATTCGCCAGTTGGAGATATAACACCCGCCTCTGTCTGAGCTATCGTGCAAGTTGGGGTGATGATTAGATTCGTCCCAGCAACAATGGCTGCGTCACAAGAACCCTCACGAAGTGATTGACAGGCCTACGGGATCACATTAATTGATTCCAAACTTGTTCCCTTGATTTCAACCTTTCACGTTACCTCGTGGAGACAGATCATGGCAGACGCACAGGCAGTTTTGATGGTCATACTGCTTGCTATTAGCCGAGTGCTCGCGGCTGAGGAGCGCTACTAGCTACTAGCATCTCTTACCTTGGACCGTGCAAGTTGTATTCATATGAGACTCGGTTGGATATTGCAAAGTCTCCTGCGCCAGAGACATTCAGCATCCCTCCAGTTTGCTGGGGGTCTTTCGCCAATAAATCTAGCCAATCCTGGGAGACCTTATTAGCCGAAATCAAGGACGCCAGAACAATACGGAAAAAAAATAGACCTACATCTCCCCAAGTTCCCACGAAGACTCCAGTGTTGGAACCTCTCCAGTCCCGCTGACCGGAATTCTCCATACATTCCCAGACCACTTCCAATAGCATGCGTTGTTGGGGGTCCATCTTCTCTACTTCGGCTTTACTCATGCTAAAAAATGACGTGTCAAGACGGTCCAATCCATCTGAATCATCCAGAAAGTGTCCACGTTGAACCACAATGGTGCCTGGTCTCTTGGAGGCCGAATAAAAACCGGCAGTGTTGTATCTACTTGGCGGTATTGGGCCACTGGTCTCCTTCTTATTGACAAGTAGCTCCCACAGTGACTCGGGCGAGTGTACCCTACCAGGCAATCTTAAGCCCATACCTAATATCGCAATGGGCTCATGAAGGACATTGTTATCAGGCTCAAAATGAGCATGCCCGTTCATTGCGGCCCCGTTGGAGGAATCATCCATTGTGAGATTCCGCATGAGTGATCGTCCGTGAATAGTCAACAAGAACAAAAATAATAGTGACAATAGAAGATCATTGCAAAAGATGCTATCCAATTGATTTTCGCAGCAACCCAGTAAGATATATCTATATATGTACTGGAGCACCGAAATAGGGATCAAAAGTTATTACGTCGCAATACCGTAATAAAAGAGGACGGTAATACATGGTATCAGCATAGCCCGAAACCGGTATTTACCAGTGGGGGCCCAGTTCCCCCGCCTGGGCCCCGTATAAACCTTGTGAGATTATGAGGTGAATATTTAACTGAATATTTATAATTGACCACGGCAAGTAAGAGCTAGACCTGGTCGCGGCGCTATTCCGAGTAGGACGCGGAGACCCTCTCGACTGTTATTTCAAATGACTCGCGAAAAATATGCCTTACCAATCCATTAGCTAATGACTAAGTAGGTTTGACGATAACTAAGCCAATGGGTTGGATAATGGACCTAATGACAGTCGAACCATCTTTCGGGCTTCTACTACGCACCTCTGCTATACGCAACTTTCATTTTGAAGCCTCCTTCAATGATGAAGGTCTACCAGAATGTGCAGTTTAAAACTCTCGACGGCATCTACCTTCGTGGAAGACTGTATGCGGCCGCCCAAAAAGGTCCAGCGGTAATTCTTTGTCCCGGGGTACGTTCATGTCCTTGTGTTGAGTCCACGTTTATGTAGTGCGGTATTTTGATTATCTTGCCAATGAACTAGTACAACTCCGTTGTAGACTCTTTTCCGGAAACTGTCCCAGAGGAGTTCCAAAAGGCTGGCATCACGGCTCTTTTGTATGATCCGCGAAATACAGGCAAGAGTGGTGGCTTCCCACGCAACGACATCGATCCTTTCAAGCAGGTAGAGGACTACTCAGATGCTTTCTGTTACCTGACCACTCTTCCCATCGTGGATACTAAAGCTATTGTGTTCTGGGGTATATCTCTATCCGCCGGGATTGCGCTGTCTGCTGCATCCCTAGACAAGCGCATTGCGGCGGTCATTGCAATTGCCCCGGTGTTCAAGTTTCTACCAGTTACGGAGAAAGATGCGCGCCGACTTAAGACTAAGATGATAAAAGACCGTGAATCCCAGCTGCTCCACGGGAACCCTCCCTATGTCCTGCCCATCGCAGAGTCCTTGGCTGAAATCCCCTTCAATTCACACGTCAATGCCAATCGCGGGGACGATGAGGAGCAGAGAAAGCGAGCGGAAGAACAGCAGATGCGCCAGCAGCAGGAGCGCTGGAAAGAAGAAGCAGTCGAGGCGAATCAAGAGTTTGACGAAAAATTGATTCATAATCCGTATGGAACGACTATCCAGTCTTATCATCGGATGTTCCTCTTTGAGTCTATCCCATTATCAATGGTAAAAGGTGTCTGGCCAACGCCCGTCATGTTTCTCACTCCTGAGAAGGACCAGATTTCACCACCTCAGCACCAGATCGAGGTGTTCGAATCGCTACAGGACCCTAAGCGTCAGGTGTTTGCGCCGGGCAAGGAGCACGTCTACGTGTTGGAGGGTTCGGATGTACCATTTTTGATGAAATTGCAAGTTGAGTTCCTCTGGCAAGCAGTGAGAGGCCGTCTGAAGGCTGCTACGTAGACCTAAATATAGTAATTTTGGATTAATTGGAGCTCAGCGAAACACACGAACTTGCTTAATCCAAAATCGTTGTGAATATTTTCCTCTTTCCCTTTGCCTCATTCTTCATAAGCAGAGAAGACTGAGATCCTGGTGAGCGATCCCAACTTTCCGATATCGCTCAAAGAGCTTCAAGATCCATCCGAATATAAGACGGAAATTGCGGCAGGCGCAAGGCTAATCTGTTGGGGATCACACTCAATTAGATGCACGGGCATAGTATTCTCCAATGTCATGTATCGTATAAAGCGACGAGATGTTGGTGCATCTCTTGACTACCAGCTGATACTTAGATGATTAATGTGTAGTGCGTACTAGCTAACAATAAAGCGACTGCCGCCAACAGTCTGGGGTCAACGGTGACAATTTACAGGTCAGTGAGGCGGTCACCAATTGTTCAGCTTGTTTCTGATCGCGGAATATATCCTCGATTCCGCTATCAGTCTGGAATAGAGTAGTCAACCAACGTACCGCAGTAAACATCTCCAGTACATGGGATGCTATTCTCTACTATTTTAGCACGTCTTGTATTTTAGCTTTTCTGGTCTGTATTTTTTGCTCCTCGTATTTAAAATAAAATACCGGACAGTGGATAATAACACTTGTTCCCGATATTACTCCGTACAATTATGCGGGTTATTTTCTAACATTGAATGTTCATTTAGTTGGTTTTTTCAGCCCATTGGTGCTAATTCGTATAGATTACTCACTGAAAATGAAACAGAGAATATCACTGTATATCACTCCAAAAGTGGCTACACATTAATAGGTCAACTAGTTTTGTATGTCAATTCACCGAATGCCTGAGGCATATCAAACCGGTTGTAGTTTTGTTTACGTATATACATGTCTCACCCGGTGAACCTGACATTTCCAAGTTTATTCACCTTCTTTATTTGCAGCTTTGATAACGCATCGTATATTCAAGATGGAAGGGATCAATATGTTAATTTCAGAAGTAGAGCCAATAGCAATCGTCGGCCTTAGCTGTCGTTTACCGGGTGGCGCGGACACACCAGAGAAACTTTGGGACCTGGTTCATGAGGGACGACAATGCTGGCAGGATGTTCCATCAGATAGATACAATTGGAAAGCCTTCCATCACCCAGACCCAGATACAAAGGGAACGCATAATTCGCGTGGTGGCTTCTTTCTTGATCAGAACCTTGCGGAATTTGACGCAGGTTTCTTCGGCATACCGGCCGCGGAAGCGGCCGCCATGGATCCGCAACAGAGAATACTCCTCGAGGTCTCATACGAGGCTTTCGAAAATACTGGGATGTCATTAGAGAGTCTCCGAGGTTCGCGGACAGGGGTGTATGTCGCGTTAGTGAGTCGCGACTATGAACGCCAGACCTACAAGGATCCATACCAAATCCCTAAACATCATCTGACCGGCTGTGGAGATGCAACGGCTTGCGGTCGTATTTCGTATGTATTTGACTTGAAGGGACCGTGTATGAGTCTGGACACGGGGTGTTCTGGTGGAATGGTGGCTTTGCATTTGGCTTGCCAGGCCTTAAGACTTGGGGAGAGTGATGCAGCAATCGTCGGAGGAACGAACCTGTTGCTGGGTCCGGATATGACAATTGCGATGAGTGCTCTACGGTATGCTCTACTTTTTCATTAGCGAGAAGGATCAATGGGTCTTTCGACTAATTGTTGTCTCTAGTATGATAAACGACGAAGGTCGATGCTATCCTTTCGACAGCCGCGGTGCCGGATACGGCCGTGCCGAAGGTGTTGCGGCTCTGGTCCTCAAAAGGCTGAAAGATGCCGTGAAAGATGGTGATAATGTTAGAGCTATAATTCGTAATTCAGGCGTCAATCAAGACGGTAAGACGAATGGTATTTTGCTTCCGAGCTCCGAAGCGCAGGGACAATTGACAGCTGCTCTTTATCGCCAGGTTGGAATTCACCCGCGAGAAGTTTCCTATGTTGAAGCTCATGGAACAGGAACACAGGCAGGTGATGCAGCAGAGTTCAATTCAATCAAGCAAGTGTTTGTGGATATGGAGACGCAAAGAGACCATCCGCTGTTTTTAGGATCAATCAAAGCCAATCTTGGGCATTCGGAAAGTACCAGTGGTCTTGCTGGTGTGATAAAGACGGTTATGGCCCTAGAGAAATCTGTTATCCCACCCGTTTCTGGACTAGAAATAGTCAAACCAAGTTTATACAAAATGTTGGAGTCTGGTGATATCATTGTAAGCTATTATACTGCCTTGCTTAGCTTGTCACTAACGTTTTACTCAGCTTCCCAAAGAACCTCATCAGTGGCCTCACTCAGGCCGTCGATTGGCGTCTGTAAATAGTTTCGGATTTGGAGGCACGAACGCGCACGTCATCCTAGAATCTGCCCCTGCATTGAGCCATAATATGAATTACGCAAATGGATGGGATGAAAAGAATGGGAATGGCTCTTATACAAGAATGAGGTCAGTCGCTGAGAAGCGATAATGAGCATTTAAGAGTATTTCCATAACTGACCTTTAATAACTTGTTTTAGATTCTCTGACGTATCGGAAAATCTAATAAGTCCAGCAGATGGGCTGGTGAACACGCATGATGATAGTCATGATAGAAATAAAGCACGAGTCGAGAATATTTCATCTCCCTCGCTGGATAAAGTTGAACCCCAGCTCTTCGTTATATCAGCTAAATCCAGGACCTCATTGGAAGGAGCCGTCCGGAATCTCAAAAATTGGGTCTCAAATCATTGCGCAACGGATGGAACAGTACTCAATCAGCTAGCAAAGACGCTCTCATCTCGCCGATCTCAATTCAAGTGGCGTTCGAGTGTGATCGCATCCTCACACTTAGGTCTCCTGTCAGGCTTAGAAAATGTCCGTACGACCAAATGTTCGCCTAAAAACCAGGTTGTATTTTTGTTCACCGGTCAGGGAGCCCAGTATCCTGGAATGGGAAGGGAGCTACTGGTTCTGCACACAAGCTTTGCCCAATCTCTTTATCGGTCACAGGATATTCTGAAAAGTCTCGGGGCTTCCTGGAGTCTGGTCGATGAAATCCTTTGTGAGGAGTCAAAATCGCGAATCAACTCGAGCGAGCTTTCCCAACCAGCAACAACCGCCATCCAAATTGCCCTTGTCGATATGATTTTGGAGACCAATGTCCGACCAGCGATGGTTCTTGGGCATTCTAGCGGCGAAGTTGCCGCTGCCTACGCTGCCGGAATTCTGAATCATAAGGATGCATTGACAATTTCATATTATAAGGGGTTTGTATCCGGCTGGTGCAAAGAGACATTGCCATCAAAAGGAGCAATGCTGGCAGTTGGCCTTGGGGAAAAGGAAATAATGCGATATTTGCAGTCATGCCACTCCGGCCGGTGCGTGATAGGTTGTGTCAATAGCCCCTCCAGTTTGACACTATCTGGGGACGAGTTGGCAATCATGGAGATACAAGAGATGCTAGACAAAGACTCAGTTTTCAATCGACGGCTTAAAGTTGATATCGCCTATCACTCTCACCACATGAAAGCCATCTCAGATAGGTTTCTACAATGTCTGGACGGGCTAATGGTGAAGCCACCTCAAAATTCTGTCCGTTTCTTTTCTTCCGTAACCGGATCAGAGGAGTTTTTACCTCTTAGTGCGAAGTACTGGGTAGATAATCTGATATCCCAGGTACGCTTTGCTCCTGCACTAGAGACGCTTACGCGCATGCACTTTGAGTCAAGTTCAGAGAGTCTCGTTCTGCTAGAAATCGGACCACATGCCGCTCTGCAGGGTCCAATCCGTCAGATCTTGACCTCCGCAGGGCCCAGATCAAGCAAATGGTTATATAGCCCTACTTTGGTGCGAAATAAGGATGCCCATGTGGCTGCCCTTGAAATGGTGGCAAGTCTCTTCGAAAGTGGCATAAAAATTAATATTCCAGCAAACTTCTCCCGTCCAGAAAATTATTGTCTACAGCTCAGGCTTCCTGTGCTTTTAAACCTTCCTCCGTATTCATGGGACCACTCCAATCAGTACTGGCATGAAGGCCGCCTGAGCAAGGAGTACCGCTTCCGACAGCACGCTCCTCATGACCTTTTGGGTCTCCGACTCACCGGGACAAGTACAATAGAGCCGATCTTTCGACATATTCTGAATGTTGATGATTTTCCGTGGCTGAAAGAGCACATCATTGATGGATTTGCGCTATATCCCGGATCAGCGTTTCTATGTATGGCGATTGAAGCCATGCGACAAGTCTCGAAAGACAGAGGAGAGAAAAGTGAAATATCTAAATACATTTTCCAGGAGGTATCCTTTTCGAAAGCCTTAGTTATCCCAGATTCTCCCGCTAGTATCGAGGTTTTACTCAGTTTTAAACCCTCTCAGTCATCATCAGAAAGGCTAGATATTACATGGGAAGAATTCAGAGTCACATCCGTTACTGCCAACGGGAAATGGAACGAACACTGTCGTGGGTTAATCCGCGCTGACTACCGCTCGAACCTACTGAGGGATGTTGTTGGAGGAGCTGTGGGCCTAGATTTTAAACCGTCACTTGCAAGGGAACGATTGCAGGCCATGAGCCAAGACTGCTCGGAGAGTGTTACTACTGAAGCTATCTATGATGAGATGCGTCGCAACGGGATCGACTACGGTGATGCATTTGCTATCATTCAAGACCTCCAGCTCGGAGACCACCAGGCGTTTGGCAAGGTCAAAGTTCCCGAGATTGGAGCTTTGACACCGTCCCAGTACATGCAGCCACACATTATACACCCAGCTGTTTTTGATGCTTTTATGCACATTGCGCTACCCCTTTACCACCGACATTGCAGCCAAGGTCCTGTTATGCTGGTGTCTATTGCAGAGGTCTCAATATCGGCGGACATTTTAAACAAACCCGGGGATGATCTACTCGTAGCATGTCGGTTGACTGAAGCGGGACGGAGGCAAGGGTCTGTCGAGGTATCAATCTTGCAAGAAGACTTACAGGGAAACCTGAAAGAAGTTGGGCATCTCTTGCAGGAAAACTTTTGCGCTATCGGAGAAGGCGAATCCGCGGAGAATGCGCCATCATCTAGGTCATCATCGGCCGGATTCCCTCCACCCTGCTACCACTTAGAATGGGTTCCAGCATCTTGGGTCCCGAAAGTACATCAAAAGGACCATGTAATGACCATGAAAAGAGTCAGTGTATTCTGTTTCTCCGATAACGCAATTGCGGAGTCCTTGGCGAAGAGAGTTTCGTCTCGCCTTGGGGTCAGATGGGACGGTCGCAGTTGTGCTGTTGTCCCACAAACTCCAGACTCAATGGATCCAGAAAATATTCATATTATATTCATTGATGAGAATAGTTCAATGTCAACACTAAAGGAGTTATTTGTGGCTCTCTCCAACCTCAAGTCAGTTCTGTGGGTTAATATTGCAACCCCCAAGAGTCCTAGTGTTGGAAGATACGTATATGCCCTCGCACGAAGTGTACAACAAGAAGTGGAAGGCTATAATGGTGTTGTGCTAGACTATCATCTAGACGCATCCTTAGAAGAGGAGCTTCAATTATCTGACGTAGTGTTGCAAGTTCTGCTCAGATGTTTTGTGGACGCTATTGATCCGGAGAATCCCATTGATCGTGAATATGTCTATTGGAAGGGCGATCTGCTTGTTTCCCGACTAGTACTACACAATTCATCCAACGAGTGGCTAGATGCTAAAGTCAATGGCAAAAATGTCGAGAAGATCGCTGCTTTTCATGCGGATGACAACGGGATCAAGTTAGACTTCAAGACGCCGGGATTGCTTGATAGTGGATTGTTTGTCCCAATAGAAAATAGCGCATCAGACTTGGACGCCGATGAAGTTCTAGTGAGAATATACGCGCACGCGGTAAACCAAACGGATGTTCTGATTGCATTGGGACGTGGTCAATCTTCGGATTTGATGGTAGGCGAGTTTTCCGGCGAGATTCTAGCAGTTGGATCCCTCTCATGGGATATTTACAAGCCTGGAGACAGAGTCTGTGGATGGGGAGCCCTACCTTATGCTAATATTGCGCGAGTCCAATGTCATCGCGTACATCGCGTCGGTGGGTCTATCTCATTTGTGGAAGCTGCATCAATCCCCCTGGCATTTCAGACAGCTGCTCATGCCTTAATGAACATTGCACAACTTGGACCATCCCAGAAAATTCTCATTCACGGCGCTGCAGGTGCGATTGGCCAAGCTGCTGTTTCTATCGCTCAGTATTTAGGGGCAGAAGTCTACGCCACGGTAGGTTCTAGCGAGAAACAGCAGCTTTTAATGGAGGATAAGAATATTCCAGGAGCAAGAATCTTCTCAAGTATGTCAAACACGTTTTCAGACGCTATTCTGAGCCAGACAGCCGGAAGAGGAGTGGACGTAGTTCTCAACTGTTCGTCTGGAGACTTGAATATGGAGAGCATCTCGTGCATCGCCGATTTTGGATACTTGATCGATATTACGAAATCACGGAAACCATTGATATTCAATAGCCGCGCAAGAAAGAACATTACTGTTTCATCTGTTGATATGGAGCTGTTAGCAAAGCGACGGCCCACCCAAGTCCAGCAGATGTTCGCAAAAGTGATGGCGTTATATGAGGGGGGAAGGTTGACGCCAATCACACCTATAACAACGAAGTCAATCACGGATTTTGCCAACGCATTTAGACACGTTCAAGGCCAGCACCATTATGGAAAAACTGTACTCAAGTGTGATAAAGAGGTCTCCGTCAAGCAAATGGCCCGTAAATCGAGTCCTTTGCGTCTGTCGGCAGATGGGGTTTATATTGTCCTGGGAGGAGATGAGACTCTTAATCATTCTCTCTGCATGTTCCTTAAAGACCATGGAGCCATAAGTATTGTGAGTGTTATGTTCTTTGGGAATGCTATACAAGCAGACTCCAATGACTGGTCTGCATTCGAGAGAATTCGATTGGATATAGGCAATGAGACTGGGGTGCCGATCGTCTTGTCTTCCAGACTGGGATTGGATAGGGTGTCCGTGATGGGGGTTTTGTTTGTTGAAGAAATTTTCAAGGCAAGTAAAAGTTTCATACCTATGTAGGTACCGTTGGAAAGATGTTTCAGGTCACTAATACTATATATAGCCGACCTCACTGAGTCAGACCAATGGACTTCAAGATACCAAAAAAGATATTGAAGACTTATTCAAAGATGTTCCTCTCCAATTTTTCATTACTATCAGCTCAATACATTGCCTGATCAGTCCCAAAGGACAAGCAATCTGTCCCACGGGTAGTCCATTAGTTGGTTGGATGCCAACATTGCCGCCAATCCCTAAGAACTCCATGACCTTACGGTTGGGGGGTATTATTGGTACTGACTTCCCCGGTGTTGGAGTTCAACTCAATGACCCAGTTGTTGCTGCTACAATAAGTATGCCTGACCTACATAGAATTCTCGAGTACTGTATAAGACGGGACGCACGACAGGACAGCTCCAGTGATTTGTTCGTCGGCTTGAAAAAAATCACTCGTCACGTCAAGAATCCCGTTTTCAGCGCTCTCAACGACAAAAATGCCGATGGCGAGTCTCGAGACACAAAATTGAGTCCGACCAGTATTAGTCAGCGGCTCGCAGACATAGAGACCCTGGATGATTTGCACACGATGGTGATGGCGGCTCTGGTCGAACAACTGGCTTCACTCCTGGCCTTGGACCCCGATGACATCCAAGTGAGAGGAGCCGCGATAGACATTGGATTAGATTCCATCCTAGCGATCGAATTTAAAAAGTGGGTGGTGAGAACGATACAAGCACCGATTCAGACGTCGGAAATCTTGGACGCACCGACTCTTACACAGCTGACCCAGCTCATTGTGCAAAGGTCAAAGCTATGCCAGAGTTTATTACTGCCGAGATCGAGGAGTGAGGATTTTGGTCGTCATTATGAGGCTACGGCTACTCCTAGTCCTAACGGACACCCCTTATTAATTCCCGTCAGTTGTTCCACTGACACTAACGAGAATGAAAAGGGGTTGACTACTGATTTACTCCCTGCACTCCCTATTCCCGATCTCAAAGTCATTATTGAAAGACATCTTTCATATATGCGCGCATTTGCGACGGACGAGGAATTTAGAAACACCTTGGAAATAGCCGCAGAGTTTCAGGCCACAGGCAGTATTGGAAAAAGACTTTATGACCGCCTGCAGGCGATCAAACGAGCAGACCCGGATAATTGGTATCACGATCTATACTTGAGAAATCAGTATCTCGCACGCAAAGGTGGGTTGGCACCGTATATGAGCTTTTTCTTCACGCATCCAACAGCTCCAATGCCGGGTTCGCAGGCCGCGCGTGCAGCTATCGTCGTATCAGCTGTGATTGAGCACAAGTATCAGTTAGACAGGAAACAAGTCAAGACTCGATATATGAATGAACAGCCGCTATGTATGGATCTCTCCAGGTACTTATTCAATGCTTGCCGTGAACCCAAAGCTGGCTTAGACGTCATGCATCAATATTCCAGGAACGACTACTTTATAGTTCTGAGGCGTGGGCATGTATTCAAAATTGACTTCCAGGAACTTGATAATTTTACGCAACGAGAGCGGTTAGAGTCTATTTTTGAGACTATTCTTGATGCTAGCCTCGGAAATGTGGACTGGTTGGGACTGCTTACTGCAGATGACCGTAGATCATGGGCAAAGGTATGCATACAGGCACATCCTGGAACCGATCTTTGAAATCAAACGACTGACCGTAATCATAGAACCGCGAGGCATTTGTGAATTTCAGTGAGGCAAATGCGGCCTATATTCGAACTATCGAGGAATCCGCATTTCTGGTTTGCCTGGACGATGGCAGCCCAGAAACGGCAGAAGAGCGAGGCCGCCATTTCCATTTCGGAGACGGATCCAATCGATGGAATGACAAACCAATTGAATATGTAATCACTGCCAATGGGGTTTCAGGCATTGTAGGTGACCATACCGGACTGGATGCGGGAACAATCCTCGACCTGAATCAGAAGATTTCGGAACAAATCCGCTGTTACCAGTCACCGGAACCATCTCAGAGAAGCTTTGCTAGGATCCCTGTGATTCTGAAAAAGATTACATACACCGAAGTCCCATCGAATATCGCAGCCAACATCGAAAAGGTGCGGTCCGATTATCAGAAGGCCATCGCTCTGCGAGAACATCGATATCCGCCTTCCCTTCCTTATGGAGCTTTATTTATGAAGACACACAAGATCCCAGCGAATAGCGGGGCTCAGCTTCTCATCCAGCTCGCTGCTCGATACTACTTCGGGTATATCAATCCATGTTGGGAGACAGTCCTGCAATCCAATTTTCAGAAGGGCCGCGTGGAGCTCAACCAGGTGGTGACGACGCAAGTAGCTGCGTTCATAAATGCGGCCGCCGATGATTCCATCACCTTGTCCACTTGCAAGAGATTATTCATTGAGGCTGCGCGCACTCACTCGAGTGCCGTTTTGAGTTGCACAAGGGGTAATGGTTCAGACAGGCTTTTGTCAATACTTAAAGAAATCCTTGAAGAAGGCGAGGAGGTCCCTAGACTTTTTCAAGATCCAGTGTATCAGCGGTCTCGGCCAAGAAAGTTTTGTAGTAATTGCTTTACGTCTGGCATGGCAGAGGATGGGTGTTGCCTGCGTGATGAGACTGGGATTTGGGTACATCATGAGGTCCAACCTGAACAGTGAGTTATCATGCGATACACATACCCCATTTTACATGACAGAGTAATGATTAATGGGATTAGAGTCAAATTTTCGATTGTTGGACCTACCGGAAAGACCTCTGAGTTCTACAAGAGCTTGGTTAAGGCTGGAGAAAGGGTGAAAGAAATACTAAATGCATAGAATATGGGCATTGAGCAGACAAGCTAGAGTCAAGTATTATATACTAAATACTAAAAGAGTGGTGCTTTCTGATACCCTTTATAATCACTTAATAAACTTCAAGAAGGCATAATATCAGTAAAACGTTCCCACCCTGGGGGCAATTGTGACATGAATATCCACCATTCTCACTGTGTTTGTCTAGGTCTTTCTTTTTGAAGGGCAGGCTGAGTAGATATGTCACCAGAAGACAAATCGTGAAAAATTGGCAACTGCGTAGGGGTAGTGGACTTTAAGGCGCCAAAAGATTGTAAACTGCTTCAATTGCAATCAATTAATCAGTCACGCTTGCCGAGCACTCGAAATCTAATGCCTCGAGATTCAGGGCTTGCAAGGCCCACAAAGCAATCTCTGACAACATCAATATCGCGTTCTTTTACTACGTCGTGGAGTTCAAAATCAAAGCGTCTCAAAACCACAGCCGATCCGAGATAAATCTGAGCGTATGCCAAACTAAGGTTCAAGTATAAGTCAGTTAGAGTATCGGTGTGTGAACAAAAATCAGAATTTACTTCTAAATTGGAAAAGGGAAAAAGGGCTTGTAAAGAAAACGAAACTTACTTGACACCAAGGCATGCTCGATTCCCTTTCGAAAAAGGGGCAAAATATTTCTCCAGATCCACTCCAGTGGCTTTGGTATTCCTCCACCGAGATGGATTGAATGTGTTTGGCTCAGGAAAGATCCTTTCATCCATATGTAAGTGAGATAGGGTCATTCCAACCGCAGTCCCTGGCGGTATCATCCATTCCTTGTAGATAAGAGGTGCTTCAGGTTCGATTAACATGATGCTATCCGTTACGAGGTAACTGATTCTCAGAGTTTCTTTGATACATGAGGAGAACACTGGAAGTATTTCCAGTTCAGAAAGTGTGATTGGGGAGCTGGGAAATATCATGACTGAATCCAGTTCCTGGCGAACACGATTTAGCCATTCGGGATTGGCGTGGAGATGGTATAGTAGATTAGCCATCGCTCTTCCAGTTGTGTCCCCCCCAGCAACTATCATGCCAAATGCTTCCTCAGCCATTCGCTGGGGGGTCTTTTCTTCTGGAGGAAGAACTGCGCTGTCCATGATATCATAAAAAATGGTTCTCTTCTTTTTCTTAAACAGAGCGTTTTTCCGCGGCGCATCCAGTCCAGCTTCAGATAGCTTAGCTTTCTTAATCTGATCCTCATTCCACTCTTTGCAAATCTCTGCGACTTTTTGTCGATTGGCTTTCTCAAGAATGAAAAATTGCGTTAGGGAAGGGTTTGTCATCCGAACAATCACAGGCGGAACTAAAAAGAGCAAATTGGCAAAGAATGTCCAATTTTTCAGGAGCGGGATATTTTCAAACATATCCCAGAACGTTTTTCTCCACTCCGGAGCAAAGTCTGACTTGTCTAAGCAGCCGAAACTTTGATCAAAGCAGTAATCTGTAATCGTGTCTAATGTGAGAGCGACAAACGCGACACTAGCGTTCAGGATTGCACCGGTGTTGAGGAAGTTCTTCTCTACGCCAGCTGATAATTTCTCGACCTTCGCCTGGATAGAAGGCTCAAGGTTAAGGATTGAACGCTTTGAAAAGAATCGGGTCAAGGCGCCTCGCCGTTTCTTGTGAAGGGTTCGTGATAAAGTTGACTGGACCGAACCATTAGAGTCCTTGCCTTGTCGACTCCATTTGTCACGGCGACCAGCGACGAATAGCACATCAAACCAGTCGGGATCCTCTACAGAGAGTTCATCCGGACTCCGTCGGATAATAGGTCCGTACTTTTGATGTAGTTCGATGAGGTGCCAGGCATTACGTCCTTTGTATGGGCCGTTGAACCAATCGTAGTATACCTCATAATAGTACGTAGCCGCCGCGAGCTTGGGGCCAGGAAAGTGGCGAAGGGGATGGAAGCAAAGACGATAAACGACAAGATAAATACCATACGCCGTGTAGAGTAAAGAAAACCACAAGAGCACCCAAGCGAACTGCTGGAGCGATGTAGAAAGCTCCGCCATAAGTACGATTTTTTTAGTAGTGTGTTTGCTCGAAGTACAAGAATCATGATGATCATGAATGACATCTCATAAGTACAGGTAAACCTTCAACCCTAGAATAGAGGTAATAGTAGGCTAGTCTACGATGGTGCTTAGCCAGACTATCGAACCTCGTGGCTTGGGAGCTTGTTGGTTCTTAGCCCTAACTCTCCCAGATTTGGCACGGGGCCCGATTTCCAAACTTGACACGGACGTCTACGACAAACCCTAAGTTACGAGCAAAGGCACCCCAGGCGATATTCCGCATGTTCCCCATTTAGCTCCCTTTTAGGGCTGGTGGATCTGACGTTGGATTCTTCAGGGCGTTACGGGTATTTACTTGTACCGTACGGTGACTATACTGTGAATTACCGTACACTGTCACGCCGAGTTCTGGCATTACAGAGGGGTCGAGGGTGGCTAAAAGAGGGGGTTTAACATGGATGATGCAAAAAAAAAAAATATTTACCACTTGACTGGAGTAATTCCGAAGTCGCTGTCTATCCTACTTCTTCCTTCCGCTGAATTTCAAGGTCAGATTCTCATATGATGTCGTCGCCTGCGGAGGAGAGCGAGGAGCAAACCTCGGGCACTCCCGCCGAAAAGAAAGTCGTGCTTGATATTGAAGACAAAACACCTGATAATTCAAGTAACAACAGGCTGGTCCTGAGCTTCTATTTTCGAATCTGGCAGTACTCCACGCCGCTCGACCATGTCTTGAGGACGTGTGCTATCATTTCTGCCGTAGTGTGCGGTGCAGCATTACCGCTGATGACTCTAGTATTTGGAAACCTGATTGATAATTTCAATGACTGGGACGCTGGGAAGCTCTCTCCCTCTGAGTTTCGAGATAAAGTCTCTAAAAACGCACTGTGGTTTACCTATCTATTCATTGGTATCTTTGTTCTTGCCTCGTTCAACACTTTATGTTTCCGTTTCACAGCCACTCGCTGCGTCAAGGCGCTCCGACGCGATTACCTTCGATCCATTCTGCGACAAGACCTACCATTCTTTGATACCAGTCTTCCAGGTACTGTCGCAGCCCTCTTGTCTAATAATGCGGACCTGGTCGAAGTCGGGCTCGGAGAGAAACTCGGCGTTTTTGTGGAGGGTATTAGCCAGCTGGGCGCCGCATTCATAGTAGCTTTCACACGACAATGGAAATTGACGCTGGTAGTTGCTGCAACTCTCCCATTGACCATGCTAGTGGTTATAATAGCAGTGATCTTTGATACCAAGATTGATTCCAAGATTCTCGCAATCTATAGCAAGGCTGGTGGTTTGGCGGAGGAAGCGCTGTCCACAATTCGGATAGTGACAGCATTTAATGCTGGTGGAAAGCTACGGGCCCGATATGATGTATACCTAGAAAACGCAAAGCAGCATGGGATCAAAAGAGGACCTATCCGTGGAATCATGTACGGAGTGCAATTCGCAGCCATGTTCTGTGCTTACGCGTTCGCTTGGTTCTATGGCATTCGACTTCTGGCCTGGAGGGAGATTAGCAGCGGAGGGCATTTGATCACGTAAGCTAGCTGGCCAGAAACACTGGAAGGCCGTTATCCTCTAACTTGTCTTTGTGGATCTCAGGGTCCTCACTTCTGTCTTGATCGGCACTCAATCGTTGACGATTATCGCACCTAGCATTGGCGAGCTCACTAAAACGACTGCTGCTGCCCAAGAATTATTTCAGACAATAGATAAGGAGTCTAAGCTTGATTCTATGACGAGCGATGGAGCAACTCCTATGGAAGTGACGGGTCATATCTCACTGCAAAATGTCACATTTGCATACCCCTCTCGGCCTACTGTGAAGGTTCTAGACAACTTGACCATTGAATTTGAGGCTGGAAAGACAATTGCCATTGTGGGAAGTTCAGGTACTGGCAAGAGTACTATTCTAGCCCTGATCGCTCGGTTATTCGATCCTCTTGCTGGTACGATTCTGCTTGACGGAAATCCCATTGACAGTTTAAATATCCGCTGGCTTCGAAGTCACATCGGGTTCGTCCAACAAGAACCGTTTCTATTCAGCGATACCATATTCACCAACGTTTGTCATGGCTTCTTTGGTACAGCGATGGATCATCTACCGGAGCAAAAACGGCGCGCTCTAGTCGAGAAAGCGTGCGAGGAGGCCTTTGCCCATAAATTCATTCAAAATCTGCCTGATAACTATGATACGCAGATTGGCGATGGAGATGGGCGTCTAAGTGGAGGGCAGAAGCAGCGCATTGCAATTGCTCGTAGTATCATCCGGAACCCACCTGTACTTCTTCTCGACGAGGCTACTTCTGCACTTGATCCAAAAGCCGAGCGAATTGTTCAGGCAGCCCTCGATAATGTGTCCAAGGCTCGGACTACAATCATCGTGGCCCATAAACTTTCAACCGTGCAGCGGGCTGACAGAATTATTGTGCTAAGCAAAGGACGACTGGTCGAACAGGGAACACATCAAGAGCTTCTTGTCCGGAAAGAAGCTTACTTTAACCTTGTCAATGCTCAGACTCGAGACGAGCACCGGGACTTACAACATATAAATCATAACACAGTGTCCTTGAAGATAGAAGAGGCACAAAATTCTGATCTTATCCCAGGGGAAAATGATGTTAGCGTGATTTCAGTCAAATCTACCTCCGAATTACCAACACCTCAAATTCAAGGCCGATCGCAACAACTCTCTTTAGTAAGATGCTTCGCCATCCTGCTAAGGGGTCGGATACAGCTGTGGCCCTTATTTCTATTTGGTCTGATCGCATCAGTTGGCTCCGGAGCTGTCTTTCCAATTCAAGCCATCGTCTTCAGTAGAGCTGTCCTTATCTTTCAGCTCCCTCTCCCACGACTAGCAGACCATATGATCCACGAGGGTACATTTTGGGGAATTATCTACCTGGTCCTTGCTGCCGCCATGCTCATGTGCTATGCGGGGTTAGGGTTCTTCTTCACAGTCGCAGCATCGGACATGATGTCCTTCTACCGCAGTCGATATTTTGGGGCAATGATCAATCAGGACGTTGGCTTCTTCGAATCCGAAGGTCAGTCAGCCGGAGTCATGACCGGTTGGCTCTCAACAGACCCCCAGCGTGTTGAGGATGTTATTTCCACAACCGCTGGGTTCTTGCTCATTACAATTGTCAATGTATTAGGATCATGTATACTAGCTCTAGTGGTTGGGTGGAAGCTTGCCCTGGTCGCCATATTCGGATGTCTGCCTCCGCTATTTATAGTTGGCTACGTGAAGATAAGGCTAGAACTCACTACCCACGCTCGAACCACGAAAATGTATCTAGAAAGCGCACGTTTCGCGACCGAGGCAATCACTGCCATCCGGACCGTAGCTAGCCTCACTTTAGAAGAGAAAGTGGTTAAGATGTACGACGAGCGACTGGCGCGTACATCTCCTAGATTTATCAAGATCGCTGTGACCTCTGCGATTCTATTTGGTTTATGCGAAAGTCTTTACCTCGCCACTCTCGGTCTCATATTTTGGTATGGGGTCAAGTTGCTTTCGCAGGGAGAGTACGATGTTCAATCATTCTTCACCGTATTCGTTGCTGTGATCTTTGGAGGTCAAGCAGCCGGATTCCTCTTTGGCTATACAGTCAGTAAGTAAATCCACAGGCTCCTTCTCCCCATTCGAGTAATTGGTCGTTATCATCATCATTATTTTCATCGTCACTTGATACCTTCTAATAGCGGAAAACATCAGACACGACAAAGGCACACGCCGCAGCAAATAACATTATCCATCTGCTTCGATCGCAACCTAAGATCAATACCTCAATTGCCAGTGAAAATACCTCTCCCTCTGATACGAATATCTCTATCGAATTTAAGGCAGTGCGCTTCAATTATCCAACAAGACCTAAAGTTCCCGTGCTACAAGGGTTGAGCTTTAAGATCAAGCGAGGCGAACGCGTTGGAATCGTTGGAGCATCTGGCTGCGGGAAAACCACGGTCATTTCGCTTCTGGAGCGATTTTACGAGATTTGTTCCGGTGAAATCCTGATCAACGGCGTCCCACTCCAAAACCTCGATGTGCACCACCACCGCGCCCGAATCGGCTTGGTATCTCAGAGTACAACGCTTTACCAAGGTTCAATTCGCGATAACGTTATGGTCGGTGTGTCTCCAGACTTAGAAAATGCTTCAGATGAGATAATGCGCAAAGCCTGCAAGGATGCCAACATTCATGATTTTATCGAGTCTCTTCCGGAAGGATACGATACTGATGCGGGGGCCCGAGGTTTGTCCCTGTCCGGAGGACAGCGGCAACGCATTGCCATTGCTCGAGCACTGATCCGAGAGCCACAGTTTCTCCTTTTTGACGAAGCGACTAGTGCTCTAGACACTGAAAATGAGATCATTGTGCAAGAGGCCATCAACGTGGCATCTAAAGGCCCCGGTAGAACGACAATTTCTGTAGCCCATCGCCTATCTACCATACGAAGATGTGATCGAATATTGGTCTTGGAAGCTGGAAGGGTTGTAGAAGAAGGGAATCACAATGAGCTCATGGCTCAAAGAGGCCAGTATTACGAGATGGTTCGTGCACAGGGTCTTGATAGGGAAGTTATTACGTGATTACGTGATTTTCATCTCATCAGCACGCTTTCAGATGAATCTGACACCCGATCCCCTTCTATAGATTAGCCTGCCAATCGCTGCGTTTCAAATGTGACCGAGGTGTGTATGTAATATCTTCAAATAGTCTCTGCATATCGTGAAACTTGCAGTGTTATATGAAACTGTGACAAGTTATGATATATTTACTTTAATATCTAAGCACTTTCGTACTGTAAGAGGACGTATCCGTGTAGCCGCTTTACATTGGTCAGAACGGGATTGTATTACAGCGAAGACAACGTCTAGCTCAAATCTCAAGTCTGAGGGCTTTTCTAGGTTGTTCGACTGGGTTCGCTAGTGGTGCTGAGTTCGTCTCGATGTTCAAATACAAAACAATTTCTTTGTTCTTTGATTACTGAAAACGTGAGGACATTCATTGGGAGCGGACGCTTTTCTGCTCTCAATATCCGCCAGCTCCACGGATAAAGATGGCTTCGGGAACTATCTAAGCCTGAGACCTCAAAAATGCCCAACTCGGAGAGATCATGGGTCAACTGGAATACTGTGCTTTGTCATACTGGATTGTAAACTTTGCAAGGTTCTTTCTCGTTAATAAAAAACGAATGACGTAAGTTCAACTGAAAGTTCATACTGCACATAGTATGATGATCTGGAGATTCCATGCATCGAAGACGGTCGGTGACATTGTGAACCCGGTCTTCGTACGGATATAGAGGTGCGGTGTATACCTGTATTCAAGGAGTGCCTTAATGAGATGCCTATAGAAACAATCAACACGATGGCATAGCTCAATGGCATTCGAGTATAAATATGCTGGGTATCTCTGGAAGTAGAGGTGTCAAGAGCTACATCCCGCTGTCCTACTAACAAACCAACATGCGGTCACTACACATACTAGCTTTTGGCTTCGGCTCTCTTTGCGCTGCTGCAGGCACATTTTCAGTTCCAAATGTTAATGCCACCTTTAGCAACTCCCCCCGGCCATTCATCCTCCAAGTCGATCCAAACTTTATCGAAGACACCCGGCAGCGTGTTGCGCACGCAAGGGCCCCGGTATTCCTGAACATGACGGGCGACGGCCCAAGTGCTGAAAACTTCACCAGTGTTCGTGATTTCTGGGTCAATGAGTATGACTGGAATAAGACACAGGCATCTATCAACGACAAGTAAGTAGTGCAAGTACGAACACTGCTGCCAGACTCTAATAACACACTGGTAAGATTCCAGCAGTTCACGACTGTTGTSGAGCCGATAATCAATAACGTCACCTATCAAGTGCCACTCCACTTTGTCCATCACCGCTCAAACCGGTCGGATGCTATTCCGCTGCTGTTTATTCATGGATGGCCAGGTTCATTTCTTGAAGTTGGCCACATCATTGGCAACTTAACAAACCCGCCTAATGCATCCGTGCCAGCTTTCCACGTTGTAGCACCCTCAATCCCAGGTTTCGGGTTTTCTCCGGCGCCGGAAAGTCCTGGATTTGGTCCTGCTAACGCTGGGCGCGCTTTCAACGAGTTAATGCAACAACTTGGATACTCCAAATATGTGATTCAAGGTGGAGATTTTGGTGGTGTAACACTTCGCTATCAAGCCCATCTCTTTCCCCAGCAGGTGGTATCAGCACTAAGTAACTTCTGGATCATCCAACCCGGGGACAATGACATGCAGGTGTTCGCGGAAGGAAAGGCAACATCCGACGAGGTTGCTTACATCAACATCATAGAGACTTATATCAATCAATGGTCCGGATACCGCTTAATTCAGTCGACGGAACCACTCACAATCGCATATGGCATGACGGACTCGCCTCTAGGCAATGCCTTGTGGATATACTCTATTATGGCCAAGGTTATTGATCCGGCTCTAACATCCTGGACACCCGAGGAAATCATCACTTGGTCATTGATGTATTACATTCAGGGTCCATATGGTGGCATGCGCTTTTACAAAGAAGTTCAAAATGATGGAGGTTTTGCAACGCTCAACTTTGGTGTCCTGCCCCAGGTAGAGGTCCCAGTTGCTATCAGCCAATTCCCTTACGATCTTACTTATCGAATGCCATTGGAATGGGCCCAGCGAGGGGGAAATGTCCTGAAGAGGACTGTGCATGACCATGGCGGACATTTTGCTGCCTATGAGGTGCCTGACCTGCTCCTCAACGATATCTGGTCATGGTTCGGTGATAAGGAGCTTTCGGGAACAGAAGCGTTCATACATTGATTGACCAATGTGTGAGGTCTCCACCATAGCGCCGCTTTCCAAATTGAAGATACACTAATGGAGGTTAGAAATTTGTACCGAAACTATAATGGACAGAAAATTATTTTGATATATTACACATAATACATCTTCTCCATTATATCACCATAACACCATAATAGTCTTGTTTGCTAGCTCCAGTCATATCATTACGGACAGTAACAACTACCACGCGATTTTCAGATATTATGACATCAGGGCACATTCCCACGAGCTATATTATTTTTCCTCCCAATAAGGCCAATATAATGTATCCGGGATCTAGCTTTCGTAAGTACGAGGATCCAATGCTCAATCTTTATGAACTGGCTGATCCGTGCCTCTTTTCATATGGTTAGAATCATGGCATGTATAATACCTCAAGTGAAAAAACAGACTCCAGTCTAGGAACCTGATAGATAGTCCATGGAATTAACTCCCTTATAGACATAGGTTCTGGGCCCATTTCCCCAACAGAATGCAGCGTATGTCGAATTATCTATATAGCATTTTGCCTTAGTGTGATGTTATTACGCACAAAGCAGTATATTAGTTCCAGAGGAGGTGCTTTGCTGACATTTCAATGGCCAGCCTGGAATATGAGTATGCAGAGTTGACATTTTCCAGGGTATGAGATGTTTACCATGAACATGTACCGGATATTGAGATATCTAGGTACTTACTATTCAAAGCAGGAGTTGTTTAAATCTTACTTGGTCCTTGATTTCATGTTACTCATAATCTATGGATAGCAGTGAAGAGTGGTGCGAAGAGAAGCAGGAGTGGAGTATTAAATTAAACATTTAGATGTGCATCTACTATTACGTTGCCTAAATCCGGCTCACGGCGTCGCTATTTAACCCAAATTCATCGTCTGGTTTGACTTCTAACCCACTCGTTTTTCCACTCTATAAGAGATTTCCTTATGAATTTTCGGGTCCAAGCCAACGCAAAGGAATAAGATAACCACGGTCTGGTTGCAACATTACGTCGCGAACTTGCTGAGAGCTCGCAATTTGGCGCCGTGGAAGAACAGAGCCCACATGCCAAAGATACCAATGACGCTCAAACCACCAAGGAGACTCGTGCCTTTGGCGAACCCGAGGTTGTGGTACAATGGATGCGCGAATAGAATACTTCCGCTAGCTAGCGCGCTTCGAAAAAAGTCATTGGCGGCGAATAGGGAGGCGGCATATTGAGGGTAACTGAGGGGAATGTAGAGAAATACACACTGTAGCACGGTGAATACCGAGCCAGCGTATATTGTGACTCCAAGGGTTGGGACAATCCAGTGGATAGAAGCCCTCGCCGTCCATGCGAATATAAAAAGGCCAATTGGAGGACCAAAGGATGCTGGCAGTCCGGGTATGAGTACGGTCTCTTGTGGGCCGATACCAGACTTCTTCATCCGTGGTATGAGCACATAGTACAGATATAAGCCGTAGAGAATAATAGCTATAATGCACCCAACAGCAATGCAGATGAAGACGAGGCCAACCTCGCCAAGATTCATGCCATATTGAACTGGAAAAACCAACGGGAAAACCTCGAAGTCTAAATGGTCAGCTGGGAACTGCAACAACGCCACAATTTACTTACAGGAATAGTATATCCCATAGATGATTGCCGCATAGATCTGTACAAACATGACAGCTGGATCTTTGAGGGTGATTTCCAAAGGCTTAATCAAGGCATCTACAGCTATGCTCGAGACTGTGAGGTGTGCCTGATCGATTTCGCTCTGGGATTTCAACCTCTGGCTGTTGGCGAATTTGCGTAGGCGCTCGGCGCGGCGAAGTAAGATGTTGGGAGCGCTCGTCTCTGGCATGAAGACGAAAAGGAGAATAAGTACCGGCGCCGATACCCATATTGATTCATACAGAGACCATCGCCAGCCCTTTGCTGCCACAGCGAATCCACTGAGCAGAGGGCCGAGGGAGGCTGCGACCAGCTTAGATACTATATATGGAATAGCCGGCGGGAGAACTTACGACCACAAGACATAGCTCCAACCCAGGCAATCATCGCCAAGGGCATATGAATCATGCCATACATGTCGCCCAATGAAGCACCACCTGTGGCTAAGCAAGGAGACCCGAAGAACCCCTGCAGGAATCGCAGCACAATGAGACCCGCAAAGGAATTAACAAAAGCCGTCGGAAATGAGAGAATGAAAAACAGCGCGAACGTGATAATATAGACCGGGTTGCGACCGATGCGAGGGATCTCTGCGAGAGGCGAGAACAACAATGGGCCCACACCATATCCCAGCACGTACATGGCGAGACCGAGCGTTGCCTTGAGATTACTAACGCCAAAACGCTCCATGACACCCTCCGTGGACGGTGAATAGATCGCGGAACTCAGGTATACCACGAATGTGTAGAGGCAGATTACCAAACCAATGAGGGCACGACGAAGACTTGACCAATTTTGCGGATTGTCAGGATCGTGGTCGGAGTACCAATCAACTAGAATGGTACCGTCATTAGCCACTTTCGCTATCGAATAGCTAGTCTTGTCTTCATTGGCATGGCCGCTTTCGACATCCGGTTTCTCTGAGGTAGTATCGCTGATAGTATTCTGATCGGAAGGCAAGGTCGTAACGGTGGAAGGTGTAGCTGACCCATTTTGCTTTGTTTCAGGCAGTTTTGTAGTTCCCAGCATATGGGCCCACGGATCAGGAAGTTCGAAGCCCGCATGTTCTTCAGGATATTGAAAGAGACGATTGTTGGTGAAGTAGCGCAGGAGCTGTCCGAGCGGGGCGTCCCGGACGACGTCGTGTAAAGCGGCGAAGGCCATCATCAGTCCGTAGCTGCTAAATAGAATCTGCTGAAGAAGATGTGACAACCTCATGAACTGAACACAAAGATGAGATTGAATGAAGAAGATGACGATAACTCGTTATATATACTTTATACCGCGTCCGCAAGGACGGGTATCGACTAGATCGCATTACGGAATCAAAGTCAGAATTCTCCGAGGATAACATGCTGATTATCAATCATATAGACCCTTTTTGTGAAGAAAGCGATACTGAGGGAAACCAACCGTGTCCGAAGCTGATATACATCAAAGCCGTCGTTAGCTGGACCTGACCCACTCAAAAACCAATCACAGATTGACTGCTAGGTAAGCCTATATCCGGGAGATCCTCGGATGTCGTTAGTATCATGCTCTCCAATCAAATCACACCAACCCTGCCATTAGTGGAACCCAGTTGCACGGTCCCAGAATACGAGGATGGCCATTGGCCATTCAATGAAATTCTGAATCGCTGGGTTACGGAGTGCCGCAGAAGCCATGCTAGAAAATCTAATCAAGCCCAGTTCTATTTCCGGTCGACTTCAGGTTACCTACAAATGACACCTATACTCTATCAACACGCAGACCTTGTGTTGAATTTGTCGAAACTCTGATCTAGTGGAGCACGTCTACATGGCTCGCGCGGCAAAGAGCCCTGTAATGCGAAGTCGCCGTACGACGCGCAATCCAACGGCATGCGAGCACTGCCGTACAGCCAGGATCAGATGCCAGTCTAGTGAACAACCAGGCGTTTGTGCCAGGTAAATATTGTTTTATCGTGCTCCTTGTGCTCATAAAGGTATACTCATCGCCCATGGTAGATGTCTCGCTTTGAAAAGAGAATGTGTGATGCGTACTAAGTCACGACCTCTTCGACGAGGACGCGATTCGGCGTAAGAACCACAATTGCCAGCATCTGTCTTGAGTTCTGATGCGTTGTTCTGTCTAGCATTGATGATGCCGAGCCCACATCCCAGCCACCAGCCCATCGTGGCACATTCAGCATCAATTACCCCGTACCAGACAGAGTTGACTTCAGCAACACAATCGAGGCTCTACGAGGCTTACATGATCACGCCCATACTTCGATAATTTTTGGGGGAGAACTCGGCGATAGTGCGGAAATAGCAAATCAGCCTACCAGTCTCTCAAAAGTTTCGACGTTACCAAGCGGACGTGATGTGGACACCAACATCTGGCGTCAACCTTTATTTGACGTGGCATCCGCGGAAACTCTCCTCAAAAGCTTCAAATCTACATTTGGTTATCTGCCCTTTATAGTATTCCCCGACGATATCACGATCTCGCATCTAGCTACGACGAAACCCTTTGTTCTTCTGGCCATTTTAACAGTGGCATCAGGATCCAGGATGGTACAGAAACACGCTCTATACGATGACGAGTTTCGGAAGGCCCTTGGTTTGAAGTATGGCTCTGGTGGTGAAAGGAGTCTCGAACTATTACAGGGCATATTGATTTACTGTGCATGGTATGTTGCAATCCTCAAGTGCTTCTGCCCGTTCACAACTCATGCACTCAGGCATCCCTTCCAATTGCGGCCGAAAAATGGACAGTTAGATCACTGTCTACGGATCGCCGGCGATCTCGTTCATGATCTTGATTTAGACGAAGACTTTCTCTCATCCTCTGATCCTGTGCCTCGAAAACTGACAGATAACGAACTTGACAAGATTCGAGCATATCTTGCCTATATATATATCAGTCTCACGTAAGATGAATTGTATACAGATCACAGCCTTTTGTTCTATTCTCACGTTTTGGCTTATCAACAGATATGGTGTTATTTGGAGAGGGAAACGAGACCTGCCTAATATTCACCCATTGTGGATCAGCATCGCTACCGAAACTCTTCAATATAACGCTCAGGTCGATGGTGATAGCACGCTAGTGGCTCTCGTCCGGACTTCAAGTCTGTTTGCGGATGTATCTGCGATCAAGGAGGGAGACTCGCAGATGGCCGCGAACTGCCAACTGATTCTGAGGAGACTCGAAGAGGAGTTCTTGGAGATGCAGACATCCACCAAGCAGCTAATGACAGGACTAGGTGAAGGACCCATGTTCGGAAAAACGTTTCTGCAAGATACTGACAAAGAATTAAGGGGCGATTCGAATGCAGGCCATGTTTGTCGATATATTCCTTGATTGCGGTGGTCTACTCGTCTTACCAGTTTCCAAGACATACTCTAAAACTGGCTTTTGCCCACCCTTACCACAAGTCTATCGCGGTATTAAGAAGATCCGAGCATTTCTGGATTTCGTTGTAAATTTGGATGATACGGCCCTTCTTTCATTTACAGTCAATGACTGGACCAGATTTATCGTCGTTCTTACATTGTCATTCCGCCTATCTTTTCCTCTCACATTGTGCCCTGAACTTGATTCAACGTATGCTCGTTCGGAGATTCGCTTGGATGATTTTTTAGAAAAAATGTCGCGAGGTACAGATATCACAGGTCAAAGCGATCTCCTGTCGGCTAGCCGCTACATGCTAGGCCTTGCCAAATCAAAGTATGATCTTCGATTGGCCTCCTTGAAAGACTTGCAATTCGCTCAACCTGTCAGTCGCTTTTTCGGATGTCCTGTCATGCGCAGAAACTTGGATAAATCCACGGAGAACTGGCAATCTATCTCCAGAGGACTATCAGGGTGGATCAATACTAGCTAGCATACCAAGTGAATGAGTTATGCGTATTATAAGGGAGCAAATCGACGATATTCTCTAACGCGGATTTGCTGCCGTGGTTTCGGCGTGAAGTTGCAAGGTTGTAGAAGACCTCCCAATATTACTTTAGGCACTTTAAGTATTCTATGGCTAGTTGATGAAATCATAGCTTTTACACTACGCTATGGGGCTTATGCGTTTAGTTGAAAATCTTAACATTTGTTATTGTCTATGAAGCAAGCCCAAAACCAGCGACAAGCGGCAAGACTACCTGCACATTCTCTTGATAAGTCTATGACAAATATCACATTAGCTAAAAATTTGTCAGCATGCTTATAAAGTGCGATGAACTAATCAACTAGGGGTCCAGATCTATATCCGGGAGGCTTACGGAATGACCCCTTGAATGAACTTTGCAAAACCCTGAGTCATAATTTCTCTCTTCATTGAAGTGACTAGCTACTAGAATCTGCTCGATAAATAAGTCAGCGCCAGCATCTCTGCCTTCCGTCAATAGTCAACTTTCACTAATGTCTATTGCACCATACTTTCGTCTCTGTCGCTTACTGGCCTTATCACTTGAACCACCATTATGGCTACTGTTCAGTTCGGAATTTTAGCCTTTGCTTATCAAGTGATTGACACAATTGGGCCAATCGATCTCCTCTTCTCTGCGAATAGGATTGCCTTCCAGTTCAACAGAGAATACGGGCCTGTTAGCGATGAACTCATATCGCAAGCTCCACAGTTCACATTCCACCACATCGGCGTGACAGAAGATCCCATTGAACTAGGTACTGGTAACATGACAATAATCCCCACAACAACCGTGGATAAATGTCCTGAGCTGGATATTTTGCTCGTCGCAGGCCCATACTTGGGTAATTTTGAGCTTCACCCCAAGCATGCCGACTTTATACGGAGACATGTTGCGGCGGGCAAGCTACTCTTCACAACCTGCACTGGGGCTAGTGTCGTCGCATCGACGGGTGTTTTGGATGGAAAGACCGCCACTGTCAACAATATCGAGTTCGAATGGGTTCGGAATCGCTGGCCAAAGGTCAATTGGACACGGGAGAAGAAGTGGATCGTCGACGGAAATTTATGGACAGGGTCCGGGGCCGTTGCCGCAATGGACATGGTTGCCCATTGGCTGAAGGAGAACTATGGACTACCCGTACTTGTCCAGGCTGCCTCGACATTGGACTATGAGCCTCGGGATGCAGATGGTTTGTTCAATGTTTTACCTCAGAGATATGGCACAAAGGGGGAGAAGATTTCTACTCATGTATTCAAATATTATACGGAGTCGTAGCCCGTTAGTTACGAGCCTCTCCAGTCTAAGGTGCTGAAACCCAGAAGCAAGTTATTTAGGATTCAAATGTGGTCCCTTATGAAATGTCCATACTTCATCAACTTAGTTGTTTTGCATCTGCTGTCTAAGAATGCAGCTCTTGTCACAATCGTGGAGATTGCTTAAGCACAGTAACATAGTTATCCTTGTTTATTTGTATGGGTAAAGATGATCTATTGCTGTATCTAGATACAGGGCTAAGAAATTATAGAGGGTTCATTATCTCAATCTGATTCTCTAGCACTAGATTGTACGTTAATGTTAGGGCCTAAGGGGAGGCTTGATAGGCTAGCAATGAGAAGAAATCAGTACTTGAATCAAAATGTAGGGTACGATTCGTAAGTACATTAAAGCCTAAGCAGTAGATATTTCTAGGTGAAATATGGAGCTATATCGACACGTGTGCGCTTTATGGCGGTTTCAGCGGAATAATAAATGAAATAAGATAGAATAACTAATAATCTGATATATACGAAATCAAAACACAGGAAGAAAAGACGTCGTAAAATATGACTACATCATGAATTAAGTTTCGTAAACTCACACTTGTCTTAATTTTTCTGCCATATAAAAGCCCTTAAGCCAGATAACACGACGCTGTAATACACAACATTATCACCCAGACCTTACTAGGTCCTTACAAATATTCATATATGTCCCCCATCGTTGCAGTATTGTTCTACGACCATTACCCAGATTGTTACTGCGCCGATTTCGACAGAGCTTTTGTGAAAAGTTATTATCATCTATACGAATTACCAATCAGCTATTAAAAGCTATAAAGAATTGGTGAGGAATTCAAGGGAGCTTTCCTGTTGGCTATGAACCTAAGATTAGAGCTGTGCTCAGTTCAGATTAGATATCAAGGAATAATGAAAAGGAATCTAATTATATTGTTGAAGCTAGAATGGTTTTACGAGAAGCCGTCACACTGTCTACAGCTTATTATCCCAAGATTTTAGGTCCACCTTTTGCGCCGTTCTCTGGGCAGTAGCGAAAGGGATATTACGAGGATATGATTGCTATAAATAGCCAACCCCGAATTGATATTTAAGTCCTCGGGAACCTTGACCCGGAAAATCTCGCATATGTATGGAGGGCTAGGAAATTGTATAAAGTTTCTTGTATGCCGATCCCTTATAAAATCTGTCAAGTTGGTAACGAGCAATTATGGCAACGAAAAAGGCTTTGATCATCACTATGTATAAGGAGATCATTCTATGTTTGAATCGTAACAGAATGTAATCACAATTTCATCATTCATAGAAGTGAGTCACAAGAGGATCATGGGTGGCATTTCCATAAGCATCTCCACCGTATGTCAAGTAGCCAGCAACTAAGCCAGGTGCTGTACCCTGAGTAATTTCGGCTGCATTGCCAGTAAACCATACAGCTTGCATTCCCAATATCATGTGTTGTAGGATATGACAATGTAGCATCCAAACGCTAGAAAAACAGTGAGCAAGAACAGAAATGGTGGAGGAAATAAAATGAACTTACCCTGGGCCTGTTGCTTTCAACCTCCAGGCTCGCCATCCTTGAATTGTAGCATTATTAGGATCATCAAATCGGTACAAAGCGGTAGTATCTCTAAGAACTGGATTATAGCCCTGAAGCTTTGCTTCGTTGGCTGTGGCATTGTAAGTTCCTGGACCACAACCCAAGTCCCAGTAGTGGGTTCCGTGCAGGTGAAAAGGATGAGCATCATTGGGAGCATGAGCACCGATTGCATCATATTGTATTATGATGTCTATCACTTCGCCAAGTTTTGCTGGATAGACGTTGAGCTCGGGATCCCAGCCACCATGCCGAAGCGCATTCTCATAATTCGGAATGGCTTGTTCGCCTCGATTATAAATATCAACAAGGTATGGTACGTCGTATACAGGAATTGTATTGTTGAATGGGGTGTCATTCTCATGCTGATTGGTCTCCGTCCATGTGTGATTATTGAGAGCCAGGAATTGACCAGCAGTGACGGTCAGTTGTTGTTGAGTGATGTAGACTTGGCGCGTCACTTGATCCGAGCTTGGAAATCCGTTTGGCAGCAAGGGCTCTAAGGTATACTCCATAAAGTTCCGTAAATCGGCCGTAATTCCCTGAACAGGCTTTTGATCAGGTGGTGTGTTGGGTATAGTGCTGGCGTTTGTCGAGGTATATGACAGAACTGCGTAATAAGTGGCATTTATGGGCCGGTTTCTCAGTTCGATTTGTATCCAGAATTCTGTTTTACCCAGCATTTTTAATTCTTCTTCTGTTTTTGTGTGCACCAAAAAGTCATATCGTTGGCCAGTTGTGAACAGTATTTTGTCTGCGTTGAATGATTGTGTGTAAGAGGCGTCCGCAGCAACAATAGTGAGGTTGTTGTGATCTTCAAAAGCGAAAACATACGTGCCCAATGAGCCTGCTCCAAAGGCTCTGAAACGGTAGGTTCTATTCGGTTCGACATGGATGATATCTGGATGACATGTCGCGTTTGTGTCGGAAACTGTTGCATTTGCAGCGGGCAATGGAGAGTCCGTCTCGTTCCATGGCAGCGCTGGGAAGCTATTCCCATTTACAAGTAATGACTCCGCGTCTCCAGCCCTGTGTATATCCAAGCAAAGGTCAATTTTTACGCCGAAAAATAGTTTAGGCTTTACAAAACAAAACAAAAAAACAATAATTTGAACCTACCACAAATATGTCGCCAACGGAGCAATAAGTCCTTCCATCGTTTCCTTGTCCGTATGATTATACAATTCGGAGAAGAACAACAGTCTTTCCTCATCGTATTCGTAAGGTCTAGTACCGTCTGCTTCTTCTATGATCAGCGGTCCAGCAGCTGTAGTGGCTTGAAGTCCAACGTGAGAATGATAATAATACGATCCGGCGTCACCAATCCGTGGTCGAATTTCGTAGTCAAAAAAATGTTGAGCCTTCACCATTGTAAGAACCATGTTTACCACTTTGTGTACAAACGGAAATCCCTACTTTGATGGGCCATTGGCTAGCCTGAGGAGATCCATCAGAGTAGGGAGCGATGGAGCTGAGACCGTGCCAGTGCTAAAATGATTGAGCGATTTCCCGGTATCCCTGATGATAGTTTCTGCGTACCATTGTGGTATTATCCTCGGGCAAATCGTTGTAGACTCGAACCCAAGTTGTCTGGTTTTCTTTCAAATAGAGAGCAGGTCCGGGCACGGTCCCTAGACATATCAGCGTGTCATGAATTTATACAATGGCAAAACAAGTTCATGAAGTACCATTAACCACAGTAGACAGTCTTGTTCTGCATGCTAGTGTCATAATTTCACTACTGATCCTCAAGATGTAATCGGGATGAAAGCTATCGTCATGCCTGACCTGTATGACAGCCAAGCCGAAAGGCAAAGCAGCCAAAAGCAGGGCAAATCGTAAGACAAAGATAAAGATAGCCATGATTCTGCAGTGTTTTATTGATGCCCTATCTGCTTGATCCCAGTTATTGGAGAGCAAAAAAAATTCAATTCGTGTACAGAAAGGGTACTGCCGGATTTTTATAGTTAATCTGCCCAGACGCAGATCTTATTATGAGGACATGCAAATCGTTTCGATCGCTACTCAATTCGGAGTTTCTTGCAAAAGAAATTCGTTGTGGGATGTATGCAGCTGTCGCATCGGGAATTGAGCTATTGGCAATGTGAGAGACGTACCCTTGCCGTTTTGGCAATAGATCTTCGGAGATGTCTTTTAGCTTGACCCAATCAACCTGTTTCTTGACAAGGAGCATGCTTAGAATTTGCAGTACATATCAAAATACGATTTCACAATTCCCAAGGAACAGCACTTGGTCTTATTCGCTGTTACGTGGCATTCCTGATCCGCTCACGCCTTACGGATTGATTTACGGTTAGCTAGAGGCATTCATGCACCACGAATCACAATTATCTAGAAGCTATAAGATAAAGTGTCCGGAAAACAATTTTACTTGGGAAAATTAGTGTTAATATAGAAACAATCCAGAACTAGACTATCCCAGTACCGTTAGCATCTAAATTCTCTCAAAAATCGCGAATGATATCGGTCTCTTTCAAGTTACTGGACTTGAAAAAAGGGTCGGGTGCTTCTTTTATCCTGCTTCTGTCCTACTACAGTACTACGAAATTCGATGGCACCTTGAGTCTCTTCATAAATAGGATATGAGCGACAAATGCCGCCTCAATGTCGAGCCCTGATAAAACCAATTGTTTAAGCTTCTCGGATCTCGACACCTTTAGCATTTTGACTCCCGACTTGTACCGTATGGCTATTCTATTACATTTCGTTGGGATTTCTTGCAGGTACATCTTCATCTTGATGGACGTAAACACCTGTCATACTTCCAGTAATCATTTACATAGCTAGCCAATAATTAATCGCCGTTAATATGGTAGATTCCCCTTCTTTTATTGAAAAATTCATTACGCTGCTTGGAGTGGCCTTTGGTTTTTATGTGCTCACGGATTAACACCGACCTTGGTCACATAGGCGCTACGCTAATCTATCTATAGATTGCATTTAATTTAATCGATATTTCTGATTTATGTAATATCTCTGTAAGAGTCGTACATAAATGTTGGAATATGAATCCCATGATTCGGCACTCTGCCTCCCTGGGGCAGAAGCTGGCGTGTACGCATGGAACTGGATTACTATAATCCCTGCGTGTATGTGATGACCTCCAAAGCTAGCTGACACTCACCTCCTTTGTTCTAGGGGGTAGTTATTATAATATAGAATTGTGCTCATAGGCAGGCTCATTATTATAGGGTTGTTGGATCACGCTTACTACTATCTATGCTTTGTGATACAGACCGTACTTAAACCGATAATAGTTGATAGTTGAACAATCTACCTAGAATCCTATGCCTGATATATATATATAAATTTACATACATATGGTCATCGGGTACGCGTGGACACGAAATAAGGATTCCAACGGGATCCGGTCGACAATAAACCTGGTAGAGCCTGAAAACTTCAGTATAAATCAAAAGAGTAAGTATACCGATACAGCCATTATAAAAAGAGTATGCGCGACGCTTGTGAATCTACTAAGCAGGAAATAGCTATCTGTATTCCACTAGAGACGACAAATCAATTGGGCACTACGACCTTTTGTGGAAAAGCCGGATATAATGAGAAGCCATCACTGGTGAATTACATCTTCATAAAATGCTGTAACCAGATCAAGTAGAGTCAAAGTTCTAGTTATTGCTATAAAATCCAACGAACCAAATATTTCCAATATACAAATACTCTTGGCCAGAAGCTAAGCCCCATCCAACTCCTCTTAATGTTCAACCATAGTTCACCTCCACGAGAGGTATTGTATTCCCTCAATTGCTAGCAAAGCAATTATTACTTTTCTCGCTGCGCGAGCCTTCTCTCGTGTGCAAAGAACGGCAGGAACACCCTTTTTGCAGTCGACTGCTGACAGCACATGCAGACATCGATGTTTTGAGGTCAATATTTTCATATTGCACAGCTCTCCTACGCCTTGATGGCGACTTTAAAACCAACTTTTAGTGTTCGAGTCACGAGAAGCGCCACTGCGCCTAGGAGAACGGTCAGTCCTCCCCATAGGAATACACCCCAGTACACGCTCCTTTCCGGGGACTGAGCATCGATAATGGCACCACCGATGGGCGACCCCACAAGCAAACCAAGACCACACATGAAAAGTGTCATTCCAATTCGAACACCAGCCTTGGAAAGATCAGGAGCAAGCCAGACAACAACGGATGGGATCAGGGCCTGAGCGGAACCACTGAAGAAACCGAAAAGGATTGAAATAACAATCAGCGATCCAAGAGACTTGATGGCGATCCAGCAAAGCATGAGAATGCCGCAGATGAACGTGGCGGGAAGCATCACGTTAACGTTTCCGATTCTGTTTGCCCGCAAAATTTGATTAGCGTCGTTGTCAAGGAGAGGAAAGAGAAATACCGACTTATCAGCAAAGTACGGTGGAGCCACACGGCCCGGAATACTTCCAGCACTCATAATAATCAAGGTGTAGAAGGAGAGATTTTCGTCTATCCCAAGACTCAGAGCATAGTCCGTGATGTAAAAAAACGGTATATAAAGCCCCATGTAGGTGAAGAGCATGGCTATGTGCAGTATCAGCCAAGATGTGATTTACATGTATATAGCCAACATACAAAGCAGGAAAAAGAAATAAGGAAGATCCTTGAGAGCTTGTAAGTCAAGCAAAGGGCCCAGCTTCTTTGGTGGTAACCGTGGCCGCAAGAGTGAAATGGAAATGGCAAGAGTGCCTAGGACAATAAAGCCCATGGCTCGAACTGCCCATGGGAACCCAACTTGGACGATGAGGCGGCGGACGACAATGGGGTAGATGATACCGCCTATTCAAAAGAAAGAATTTATATAGCATTAGTGCGACTTCTTATTTCAGCTCTAGATGCTCACAACACATACCAACTGAACTCCCTGTCGCTGTCCAGCCCATCGCATATGAGCGCCGAGTCGAAAAGTACGTTCCAACAATGGTAAAAGCCGAAACCAAGAAGCAGCCAGAGCCGATTCCCACACATATTCCTTGCGCCAGAACCAGTTGCCAGTATTCTTCACACAAAGAGGTCATCATTAGTCCAAGAACCTGAAATACGACCCCGAAAGCGGAGAGAAGAAAGAAATAGCCCGCATCGAGAGCCCAACCAAAAATCACCGCCAGGATAAGCATCAGAAAGCCCTGAATAGAACCAATCCATGCAATGTCCGACGGTGAAGTGTCAGGCAAGAGGGTTGTTGTGTAGTAGGTTTGAAAAACACCGTACGCGTTTATTAGACCCCTTACGAGAGCATTAGAAACGCATCAATTGGACAGATTTGGCTGCAATGCGATGTGATCCTACCAGGTATTTACCATCAAAAAAAATGCCCCCAAAACCTGAGACCATGCTTTCAGTCCGCCATTGGGAGGCGGCCCTACAGCTGGAGGAGCCGCTACAGGTGCCGGGGCAGCGATTGGTAGTGTGCTATTGCCAAAGTCATCGACTCCTCTCTTTTCCTCAACATCGGACTGCGAGCTCATTTTGGTTGAAAACCGTAATAGAACAGATCAATTTGGGTCGCTGTGAGGCTCTCTGTGCAATAGACACGCTAGGGTCAAAAATATTTGTAGCGAGGTACAATCACCGATGTACAGTAATGATGTAGTGAAAGATAAGAGAGGGAATGAATGGATGGCATCAGAACGCCGCTGCTTCGCAGGTTTGTTCTATAAATACGCTCGCGCCAGTTAAAGGGAGAAGAAAGATTTACAGAAGTGGCTGACTAAAGTTTCAGTATGTCCATCTTAGAGATATCATCGCTAATGCAATATTTTGTCAGCAGTCCTATGGTTTTAGTAACCAGCGTTCGCGCTTCGACGCGGAGCGAGGTGATTGCTCATTCGGGCTAGGGCATAAACCACCATTCCTCCATTTGGAAAAACAAAGTTACCCCATCCGGAAATTCAATCCTTTGACTAGATTGGATTCTGCAAACGTGTGTGATAGTGTAGACAGTTCATTGATTGCTCAGCGACCGACCCCAACTCTAGCCCGTTTCGATGGGTTTTGTGGGTCACATATTACCACTACCTTCTATAACCACCTGTATACCTGGCTTTGGAAATTAGGTAGTGGCGTTAGCTGCTATAGCTAAACCCCTTTCCCAAATAGTACTAGTTTTCTTTTTAGCATCATGCAAGTTGGTTTCGTAACTTTAACTCATATTCCACCTTCACCTGTTTTGTGCTAGTGTGTAAAATCCTCCATTGATACTTGCATCGCGTGGTACTCGACAGTTAGAAGACCCGTATATCTGGAATCTATAGAGTATTCTAGATACCCCTCAAGACCATAATGTCGCAGTTCTATTGGTCAGCAGTATGTTTCTTTCGGGCTATACCGAAGGCAGATGGATGTATATATGTATTGTATTATGAAAGCATCATTTGACGCTTATCTAGAGCACAAGAGTAAGATGGGCTGCACACGTCAGATTAGCCTCGATGTGGAGATTTGCTACTCTAATGATGTGCTTGGACCATTTCAAAATGTAATCTTATTCGTCACGTCGGCGGTAGATTCTGATGAATACGAACTTACAAAAACCTACATCAATATAGCTAGTCCTAACATCACTTAGTCCCACACAATGTTTGTGCTGACAATCTTCAGACAATTACCGAGGCTCAAAGGATGAGAGACATGACTTATTCTGAGCCTATAAATACATGTCATTGATTATCAGATTAATCTGTTCCTCTGTTGGCACATCGCTCGTCCATCCATATTGAATACTCATCATCACTCTTCGTCGATATGTCCAAGGAAACTTACGAGTTATCCAGCCAGCTAGGTGGACTAGTATCCGGAGTCAGCATCGCGGAGCTCTTTCTGGTCCTGACTATTACAGGATTCCTCGCTCTAGTGTATGTTACGTGTTATAACAAATATGGGTATGGATTGAATCATTTACCCGGACCCTGGTTGGCGAGCTTTTCAAACATTTATCGTGTCTTGCGAGTTGCCAAAGGAACTGCTCATCTACAAGATATCAATCTTCATCGAAAATATGGTAGTGTGGTCCGATTGGGCCCTAATGTAGTGTCGATCGGAGATCCGAAGGCCATACAGAAGATTTATGGCATTACAGCTAATCTTCCTAAAGTCAGTCAGCCCTGATTTTCCTTTGACCCCACAAAATTTTCCTCCTATCTCCTCGAATATCATAATTTCTTTCCTGCTCTTGCTCGAGTTAACGGTGAGATCTATGGTTGAACTTCCAATGGGCAGTCCGGTTTTTACCCTGTCAATTATACATACTCTCATGGAAAACTTGTCCCCGGCATTTTTGCAACGACAGATGAAGGCTTACACCGCAAAATGAAAAGACCTATTGCCAACTTGTACTCAATGTCAAGCGTTCTTGCCTACGAAACTCTTGTTGAGGATACTGTTCGTGTCATGATTGATCAATTGGACAAACGGTTCGCGAGCACGGGACAGCCTTGTGATCTCAGCAGCTGGTTGCAATTTTACGCTTTCGATGTTATTAGTGCTGCCACATTCTCTAGCAGAGTTGGATTCATCGATAACGGCGAGGACGTTGGAGGAGTTATGGAGGGTATATGGAGCCGCTTCAAGTATTTTGCGACGGTACAATCCCCGCTCGTAATGCCAGCATTAGAAAATCATAAGAACAACAAAAATTGCGGTAAGGCTGACTACGTGGAACACAGATCGGGCAAATGCCATGGCTTGATAAGTTTTGGGATAAAAGTCCCTTGATTAATACGCTCTTTCCAGCCAAGTCGTCCCCAATTGCCGCATTCGCGATGAATCTTACAGGCAAAAGACTGGGGGAGTTATCCGCATCGGAAAATAATGAGAAGGAGGCCACAAAGAAGAGTGACTTCCTCTCCAAGTTCCTTGAGATCAAAGCAAAACACAAAGATTTGCCTGATTGGTACGATTTTATCTCAATTCTACCTTGATATATTCGCCTTCTGAACTTGTTCCCTTTCGCGTAGGTATCTTACTTCATGGACTATATCCAACATGCTTGCTGGTAGTGATACTACAGCGATCAACCTTAGAGCAATATTCTACTACTTGCTGCGGCATCCACATAGTCTTCAGCGAGTATTGGATGAGATCAAGGAAGCGGAGGCCGAAAATCGCCTCTCAGAGATAATAACATACAATGAGAGCAAAACCCTAAAATACTTAGATGCTTGCATTAAGGAATCTGGTCGTCTTCATCCTTCTATTGGGCTTCCTCTTGAACGAGTTGTTCCCCCGGGTGGCATGGAAATAAATGGACATCGTCTTCCTGGCGGGACTATCATTGGAATTAATGCGTGGACGTGTCAGCGTGATTACAATGTGTTCGGTGAAGATGCTGATGAGTGGAAACCGGAGAGGTGGCTGGTTGATGATGCTCGCGCAAATGAGATGAGTCGTGCGATATTGCTGGTGAGTAATAGTTTTCTCATTCTTGCCCTCTTTTCTTCTGCAGAGACGTCGGAGTCTTGATAAATCCTGGTCCTTACTAATTTTTTCTCTTGCAGTTCGGCTCTGGTCATCGATCGTGTATTGGAAAGCATATTTCTCTCATTGAAATATATAAGATCGTTCCGCAACTGTTGAGAGAATTTGAGGTAAGATATGATAGGTGTGCATTCAAAATGAACTTTCTCTCAGTTTTGACAACACTTCCAGTTTAAATTCGTTCACCCGGATCGTCCGTGGACTACTGTGGGATTTTGGGCAGTCAGACAAACAGACATGAATGTTTGGCTCCAACGGAGGACCAAATTGTAAATCACCGGGCTATCGCGGTTGGCGATGTAGTCGGATGCTCTAAATTCTCACGGTTGGTCGGCTTCAGATCATTATATAGTTTGGTGACGTTCCACTTAATAGCTGGAGCACCCGCATTCAACTGTGTACGGATCCTGGGCTATACAAAGTAGATATGCTCCAGATTTGTCAGCAAGTTTTTATGGGGAGGCTTTATCATGTAATGAATTTTGTGGAAGAAATTCAAACCATATTCAAAGTTGCGGAAATACATATTTGCTTAAAACATCTTCATAAATCGGACCCATGCACACTAGATACTGGCTTGACATTCGGAAAAGAACTCCTCCAGATACTGATTTACCGTGTCCTTGGCCTCGAGATGCACCCAATGTCCAGTGGGCACAGGCCGGCTTCTCAAATGTGGGATATAGCTTCTCACAAAATCCAAAAGCTGAGAAACAGCAATCTTATCCTCACTCCCTTGTATTACCAATGTTGGGAGAGACAGTGTTGGGTCCAGCTCGGCCGTGATCTCGTCATCATAGTCGTAATTTTTGATTCGGTTCCTGTACCAATTAAGAGCAGGACCGTAATCTCCTTGGAAAATGTTGAAATGGGTCTCTCGCTCCTATTGTTTCATCAATTAGCTCCTCAATACGCACATTATATGAGCAAAGATACCAGACACCTCTTCTGTGATAAATGGAGCTAAAGTGCCACCACGACCTTCGTAGAGCCAAGTTTCGAGGCCACCCGATGGGCCTAAGTATGTCTTCCAATAAGATGGATCTTCCGGGTAAAAAATTGAGAAGAAAGATTTTGCCTTGAAATATTAGCCGACCAAAGACTACATATTAGTTAAGAGTAGAGAGAAAAAAGAAATGTCTCTTCACACATGTTCACGTATAATAGCTGCGGCCTCCTCTTTTTCAAAAAAGTTCCAATACCCAAACCTTTCGAACCCTGCAACCTGTTTGGTGAGAGCATTCACTTTTGCCAGGTCGAACTTTTGACCCGGCAAGGAATACGGCACGGCGAGAAAAGTTGTAGTGTAGAGTCTGTCTGGGTAGTAATTGGCAATTCGCGATAAAAGCAGGGAACCGAAATCGTGAGCAACTCCGTGGACTTTTCTGATGTTTTCCAGGTTCAGTATCTCAATAATCTCGGTAGCTATCTTCTTCGTCTTGTATTCTGACGCAGACAAAGGTTTATCAGTGTCTCCGTATCCCAGGAGGTCAACAGCCAAAATGCCAAACCCCTTCGACGAGAAATACTGAATTTGATGTCGCCAGTCATATGAGGAAGAAGGAAATCCATGCAAAAACAATATTGTTACACTCCCATCTTTGGGCTCGGTGTGAACATAGCCATATCGCCTTGAAGTAGTAAGTGTAGTGGTCTTGAACTTTTCAGGTACAGTCAGGGACGCCATTGGGATCTTTTGTGGTCGCTTAGCAGCTACTGCTGTAATCGTATAATAGAGAAAGTTGAGTAATATGGAGGAAAGTGAAGCCTCGTCGTAGGGCTCGGTAGACTTTGCTGCCTTATATCCGGTTTTCTATGTCGTCATCGCGATCCACGATCTTTGCGTATATTGCATATGATAAATATTACAAATATAGTATTATTAATGTTTTGATTGCTCAACTGGCGGCTATTTGGCGTCCAAAGAGTTTCCCCCATTCATACTAGACAATCTTATCCAGGCCTTTTGTCAGCATGAGCATTTTTTTCCAAACAAGCAAAGTCCGCTACTATTTGCTCATAGGTCCAGTACAGGAAGGGGCAGTGCATGTCCATTCAAGAGTGGCCAATTACATATGCGATAGAGAATCCGTACAACAGCACCGTTTATGGCCTTTTTTTTTGTAGTGGAATCGACTTCGGACGAAGAAATATGTCCATATTCGACTGTCTGGTTATCCAGTAGGTCTTAATCCTCCAACTCTGAGTAGGGTTTACCAATTCGATCTTGAGTATAGTATTGTCAGTATATGTACAGTCGAGATGTGCAGGTGTCGTGAGAGGGAGGGGAAAGACCTCAAAATTTCTCAACAGCTGCGGTATAAGCTTGTATATTTCTAGCAAAGCAATGTGCCTCCCAAGGCATGCCCTGTGGCCGCCTCCCCACTATAAAATGTGGTAGGATTAGTCAAATTGTCTTGTATCAAAAGAGACAGAATTAGGTATTGTTTGCTTACTACAAGCATTGAACTTTCCATGCGATGTTGTTCCGATTTTTCGACCAGCCATCTGTCTGGATTCCATGCTTCCGCATCGTCGCCGAAAACTGTTTTGTCACGGTGCGAAACCCATGGGTTGATGCCGACTACAGTGCCTTCAGGTATGAAATGACCGTTGACGGTGATTCCTCCTATAGGGGCTACCCTCTCGAATTGCTGTCCAACGACTGGATGAAGACGGCCAGCTTCTTTGATACAAGCGTCAAGATAATTCAAGGACTTCGCTTCGGCCCATGTAATAACTTTCGAAATCTTTCCTGTGTTTTCATGATCTGATAATTCTTCCAAAACTTTGCGATAGCTTTTGGGATTTTTTAAGAGGTAATAGATAATGGACCGGAGATATACAGCTGTTGAGTCACTTCCAGCAAGCATATTTGACGTTGTCCAGGATGTGAGGTACCTTATTTTACAACAAAAGTCAGATCCCGTTCCAATGATTGAATTATCTCGTCTTGCAAACTGAAAGAGTGCGGAAAATATTAAGAGAGAAGAACTCTTACCAATCCGGTATTTCTGGATGATTGAACTTGGCTTTCAGAAACTGCGAAAAGAAGTCAATTGGCTGTCCGCTGTTCTTCTCAATGGGCCCCTCAGTGGTATTCTTGAAGTCCTCGATCCGCTTTTTTATTTGCATGAAGGTGAACGTCACAATTGCTGATGACTTGGCCGGAAGCAAAGCATTGATGAGTGGACTCTTATCCCACAGCTTATCTAGCCAGGGCATCTGTCCTACCTGTCATGGACGTTCCAATGCATGAGTAAACAGCACAGCTAGAACGAGCAGTTACTCACAATTCCGAAATATCGAAATCTTTTCCATATGCCGGCAATAGTGCCGTCAACGTCAGTGCCTCTTTCGATGAATCCGATTCGACGGGCAAAGGTCACTTCACTCATCACATCAAACGCAAAGAAATGCAACCAATCGTCAATATTGCACGCTGAGTCGGTGTCTGCAAACTTCCTCTTGAGCTCAGAGATGAACAATTCTATGGTATGATCAACGAGGCCTTCATGGTGAAGAACATTGGACAGCGAATACAGGTTAGACACTGGGCGTTTCATATCTTTGTTCAGTCGTTCGTCGGTAGTAGTGAATATTCCAGGAATGAGTTTCCCGTTGGAATAGCTGTATTGAACTGGGTAAAGATCGGACTACGAAGAAGTCAGTTTAGATTGGAAATGAATCACCAAGAATTGGTAGATATCCTCCCGATTGTCACTCATCTTTGTTAGGAGGGGACGGTTTCTTACTTTTCGAAGACCGGCGCCTATACCATAAACAGCTTTTGTAGCAGTAGCACTGCCTATAGATACGGCATTTGGCCCAATGCGAACGGTATCACCATATTTTCGATGAAGCTTTATATCATGGGAATGGGCATGTCCCATGACAMCCCTGGCAAGCCTATATATGTTCGAAACGCTTGCAATCCATGGGCCAGGAATGTTGCGAAGATTCTTCTGATATCTAGTTTGCACAACATATTTCAGTAGAAAAAGAAGGATAAACGATGTAACAAAAGATAACAGTCGATGATCCAGAAGAAAGTGAAAAGGGGGGTTACTCTGAAATATAGTCATTCTCTGTAAAATCTATCTTGTATGATATGGAAAAGAACTTTGACAAACAAACAGCCTTTCAAGACAGAAAGTAGGCTTCTTTATGACAGTGGTACAGACGCTGGCTTAAAAATTACTACATTTCGAAAGTGGAGAAAACCCCATAAAAAGGAAGTACCATTGGTTTGAATTTGCCTCATTTAAGCTAGGATTGCGATATATACGCGATACTCTTAGGTGTTGTTTCCTCCGGTGGTCGTAATAGGGAATGTGGTAATGACTGACATCAATTGATTGTTGAGACCAGTATGCCGAATGCCGAATTTTACAAATTTCACCCGACTCGCAATATTCCTCCATTCAGTCATAGTACAGTCGCCCTTGAAAGCGTAACTCGATTGCAAATTAAGCCACATGTATGATGTTTACTTCGAACAACAAGTGTACTTCTTAGTCTACAAATTCTTATGTTAATACTGTGGATTTTCTGCCTTTGATGGACAGAGTTAAACGTACATAAATGAACGATACTTGATCTAAGACTGCGTTAACAGTAAGAACCGTCGAAGTTGATGTTACAACGAAGAAATGGCCGTTTCTGAAGATGATCAGCATCCACGGTTTTTCCGTAGCACGCTGTTTGTGATAATCATTGTATCCATTACGGCATTTACATGTCCAGGGCTATACTATGCTTTGAACAACCTTGGAGCAGGGGGAGGAACGAACCCGACTATCGTTAATGCTGCTAATGCAATCATCTTCGGCGTCATTGCTGTAAGCAGTCCCTTCATCGGGGCAATCGTCAACCGCATCAATCCTAGACTTGGTCTATTGGTAGGCACTTGATCATGAACCGCCAACATGGTTTGGACTACTAACCGTTCATATGCATCTCATAGATCGGATCTGCTTTTTATACGCCATATGCAGGGGCATTGTACTGCGCCGACAAGTTCCATACAACGTGGTTCTTGCTTTTCGCCGCTGTTCTGCTTGGCTTATCTGGTGCTTTTTTATGGATATCATCAGCGGCTATTCTACTTGGCTACTGCGAAGAAGACAGAAAAGGACTGGCTAGTAAGTCTAAAAATGGAGTTTTGGCTACTCATCTGAGGACGAGGCTTACTGAGAACGATAGTGTCTGTCAAGTTCGCCATGCAGAATTTAGGTGGTTGTGTGGGTGCTGCTGTAAGCTTGGGACTTAATATCGACCGGAACTATAATGGAGGGGTCAGTCGCGGCACATATATCGTTTTCATGCTCCTGATGGCCCTAGGGCCGATATTTGGGGCCATGTTGCCTGCCTCTAAACATGTGCGGCGAAGGGATAGCAAGCCGGTCGTGGTCAAGAAACAGCCGAATATTTTTCGGGAATTTGTTACACTGAAACTTTTACTTAAGGCACCCGCGGTCCTGGCTCTCATACCTTTGATGATTTATGTGCAATGGGTTTTGTCCTATCAGTGGCAGTTCAATTACGCCTATTTTACCGTTCGGGCTCGTGCACTCAACTCCTTTGTGTTCTATTTCTTGGGTCTTATCAGTTCCCTGGGTATAGGTCAGGTGCTTGATACACCACTTCTTGACCGGCGCAATAGAGCTAAGGTTGGCTTCATCATCTCGACTCTATTTGGAGCAGCAGCTTGGATATTGGCAGAAGTGACGCAGATGCGTTATTCCAAAACACGTCCGAGTCTGGACTTTGTTGATGAACGATATGGCCTTGGTGCCGCGACATTTGCGTTGTGGGGATGCTCTGATGCCTTGTAAGTGCCGTGCTGCTAAAAACATATTCTTAGACCAGGATTTTTGCTAACTGATTGGCCTGTGCAGAACGACGACATATCTTTTCTGGCTTGTCGGAACACTTACAAACGATGTTAACGAATCCGCTCTCCTGGGATCGATCGTAGGATCCACCGGTTGTGTGGGATCAGCCTTGGCTTTCGTGGTAACAGTCGAGAACTTTCATTTAGAGGGTGCTTGCTCTATCAATCTAGCTCTCTTTTTCCTCTCGGTGCCCTCTCTATTTTGGGTCAGTTTCACTCAAATATCCTCGAAAACAGAAGGGCTAATGACGGTCAATTCTGAGGAGGGAGGGCCCGTACAAAAATAAGTTGGAAGAGGGAAGTGATTAGACTTCTGCATAACCCAGGATGGGTCACAAGCATCAACCCAAAACCCAGTAGAAACCTAGTTTGACCCAGTTTCAGTATACGATGTTAAATATATCACATTTCATAAACGAAGAGCTGGTTGATCTATTTAACGTCCGGTGTAGCTCCCATGATTGTTCTGGTGCTATGCAGACTCCAACAAGTTAAATACATGAATCCTGCCTCTGCTATTTACATAATATGTTAAGAGGGAAAATTTCAAAAGCCTCTCAAAGAACCGTGGAATATTCAGCATAGAGTAACTGGAGGGAGGCATACATTGAGAACCATGCTCCATCCTACCCCTATTTCTCCTCATACACGTCGAACATCTTGATAACCCGTAAACCCCTCTATCCATTCGCAGAGGCCTCTTCCCACCAGGGGATTTAGGGGCCATGGAATTCAAACCCAAGTGCTCTTGTATAAAGTGATGGCTAGGGGCATAAACGAAGAGTTTGTCTGTAGTTATTGCTTGATATAACTACGTAATATCTATAAGTTCTTGGCATATTTGTTGAATCTAGAACCTATAGTGGCACGATATAGACCCAAAGGCTAAGCCAGACATAGTTGGACCGGTTTGTAGCCGAAGTCTAAATCGCACTAACATTATATATTACCCCATGGAGTAATTATTGCTTTCGGGCTAACCCCATCTAGTCAATTACTGTGGATTGCGAGGCACAACATGCTGGAACATATCGGGGTGTGGCGCAGATGCTGAAATTATCCCAGCCATTATAAAGAAACCGCCAAGCCTACTAATTTTGAACTGTCAGAGAATCAGCACGTCACAGCCAATAGATTGCCTAGCGCTAGTTATGTAATCATGGAACTGAMCCTGCCACTTGGTTACTTATATTGTAACTTAGTCCATGTAACCGACTCTTTGTGGTTTCAGTCTCGCCCTCGGCTGTTTACCATATTATTATGGACACCGCCTTCTGATATAGGCTACATTAAAGGCTCCTGAACCCTAATACTTCGTGTACCAGCCATCCAGGCAAATTTTTGCCAGCAATAATTGTTGGCAGTAAGCACGGGGTGTTAACATTACTGCACCCCCACTGTAAGTATAAGCGGGACTCTGGATGACTAAGGAAGGGTCGGTTAGGGGTACTTCGGAAGTGATCAGCAGTTCCCTCTAGTCTTGACGGAGAGAAGAAACCGTTTGCAATCCATCGTTGCAATGCCGCCCTTCAAAATAGTCACTGCAAAGGCCTTTTCTGAGAAATCCAATCGAAACCATCGGAGAAACGGACATGCCCAGAGGTCATGCGTTCAATGTCGAACTGCAAAGCTGCGATGTGATAGAGGTGTTCCATGTCGGCAGTGTGTGTCCTCTGGCCACCCCACGGCGTGCAAGTATAACAGTAACATCGCACCACCGGAACTGACTGGCGCACCAGCGGAATTGATTGGGCTACAAGAAGATCCCATAGGTGACCGTGTTCGGAAAAAAAGACAATATGCTACTGGATCACCTCGCTTCTCTGCTCCTGACTGCTCATCCGAAAGCGTGTCAACCAACCAGCAAACCATGGAACGAGCTGCAGGTATGCCTGAGGCGCAAATACCTCCGCATTTACATTACTACTCTGAGGATGGACCGTCGATAGATCACTTGATATACTCCATCCGGGGAACACTTCTTTCAAATGCTTCAGACAATAATTTCGCCCACGGACGATACTTGGGGAGCACTCATTGGGCAATTTTTGTCTCTGAAGTAAGACTTAATCCCAGCTGGCTAATAAGAATATTACGCTTAAGCGACTGATCACAATTTAGTTTCTTGAAGTACGTCGATTCTTGGAAAGGGATCCCGTGTTTCACGAAAGTTGGGAATATCTGTCTCAAATCAGCCGCCTATACCACGAGCTTCACAACGGGCCAGATAATGGGCTGTCGCATGGTCGGGTCCAGGACGTTACAAAATATCTTTTAGGAATCTTGCCTCCCAAGTCTATCTGCGATGGCCTACTTGAAAATTATTGGGCAACCGTCGGTCAGATAATGCCTTTTGTTCATCGAGATAGTTTTTTCCAAAAATACGTCCTTTTTGACAAGGACGGCACGATAGACAATATATGGCTCTTGCAATTTACTGTCATGCTGAGTCTCGGGTACATATGTGACGTTTCTACCAATGGCCTTGGAAGAACCTCTCTATCTTCCAAGTAGAGCAGAGGTGGTAGTCTTGTGAAAGCCGTTGAAATGGTAGTTCTTACGCATAAAGGAATGCGAAAGCCTTCCCTTGGTCTTTTGGAAGTTTTCCTACTCATATTTATGGCTAAGCATATGCTAACTGAGGTGGATGGACCCAATGGCATGTGTGCGATTTTGGGAGTCATGCAGAAGATGGCATTCACATTGGGACTTCACAGAGATCCACTCGCATTTGACAACAGAAGGAAATTTTCGGCGGAAGAGGTGGAAAGAAGGCGTCAGCTCTGGGCAATCTATCGCGTCATGGACTACGAGTACTCGATACAAAATGGGGTGCCACACACCATTCGTGATGACCAGTGTGATTGTCGATTGCCGATGGAATCCGTAACTCTTGGAGACACAAGGATCCGGGAAGAAGATTTTAATTTGTCCTGTTTCATCTCTCTAGCCACACTGACCGCTCTTGCCGCAAGTATGGAGCAGAAAACATCTCAAAGATCAAGGTCAACACAATCATTTGAACATATCCTGCCTTTTGAAATCCAGGCTGCGGAGGAAACACAGCTCTTTAAATCTGCTCTCGACGAGGAGATTTCCCGTTTGACGAAGTTGTGGATATCGAGTAATATGCCGAGAACTTTTGCATTCTACCACTTCCTATTTGATATTTTATGGCACCGAACGACAATGCTTCGCTATCAATGGGCTCTGAGTCAAAAGCCTGATCAATGCCATATAAGTTGGCCTCCTTTCATACGAGCTGCTTTAGCTATTCTCATTGCGTACCGGGATTTTGCTCGATCTCAAGGCGGTGTTTCCGACTCATGGTGGAATTTCTACCAGTCTTTCATCACACACGATATTTACCGCGCGAGCCTAGGTCTTTGCTATGCAGTTTCACGAATGATACGAGATCATTTAATTTTACCTGACAGAAATATGAACCGAACTGTTTCTGGAACCAGCGGAAGTTCTCGAATACAACAGAACCCCACATTCTCCTCATTAGACGTATCACCTTTACCGAATATTCATTCAATAATTGAAACCGTCGAGATTACAAGAGATCTGTGGGCGAGAAACATTGTCTTAGGAATTAATTATGTCAAGGGATTTCAAATTCTAAGCATGGTTCTAGCTCGGACCAAATCTGATTTGGAGAACACGAACGGTCTGAATGAAGTTTGTCTTGAGGCAGGGAAGTCTCTCAAGTTGGCTCAGAATGTCTTGGAGAGTAGCAAGTCTAGACTCGAAACCACCGCCACTGTTCTTAACTTCCTCACAAATACAGGGGGAATGCCACAGAATGCGATCAATGCGATTTCTCTCTCAACTCTTTCGACTACACTCACTGGCGAGGCAACAACCACGAGCGGAGCATCATTTGATGATCTCGAATCCTATAAACAACACGATTTTGACTGGCAAAGCTCAGAAGTTGGCGAAGACATTATTGACTGGGTAAGTACGCAATGCGAATGGGAATGTTTTACAATATAGTTAATGACTAATAATTCTTACGCTTTCTGAATCCAGGAATGGTTCGATCAATTGGTTAGCGGTTGAGCAATGCTACTTGGCTATTTTATAATCAAAATTTTATTTTATAACGTCAGATCTCTATAATTTAGAGTGGTGGGACTTACAGTACATGATAGTCTAGCTCACATTTGTCAACCCAGGTATTAAGACCACGAGGCTACCACATTGCTATCGAGCGTTTGTTCTGCCCCGATAGTCATTTTTAATTCAAGCGTACTCTTCTGATGAAAATTCTTATAGTGGCTACAACCAGCCGTTGATTTGATTTTTGATAGAGTTCCGCATCAAGCTAGATAATCTCAACATGGGTCAAGCGGTTCATAAAGACCACAGCAAGCCTCTGTTCCGTAGTGAGCAGCAGGGCTGGGGGCAGCGTGGTGATTGATCCGAGTCATATTAGTGTTGAGATTGCTTAGGGTACATATAGCGTGATATAACAAGCAGTGAAACAAGCAATCTAGGAGAATGTTGCCCTCGGGGGACTGAGGCACCTCCACCAAGAGTAGATAAGACAACTCTACTAACTTCCAAGGATGCATAACACTAATTGTAGATTATGTATCTACTATCTGGCATAACCCACTGAAATATGAGACACAACTAATAATACGAAGAACTATATAGCGAATCGCCCTCTTTTGTATCTCTCTATCTTCAAGATAGTATCTACTAGAGGCAGAAGCATATATGCTATCAGACAAATTACAGATTAAACAACGCACTTAGATAGTAGCTTCATGCCTTAGCAACTCTTCTAAAGAACTATTCAGGCACAGATAATGACAGTTTGCTTGTCGACCTTGTTTGTTGTTGAAAAAGGTTTACCATGTGCTGGTGTAAGCAATCTTGAAGCCCCAAACATACTGGTCTCCTGAGATGATGGCCGAGCTCAAATTCAAGACCAAGTTTCCACTGGTATTCTTCGAGGCGCTGAGCACTGTGCCATTCTGACTACCACCAAGGACAGTGATAGTGTCTCCTGGTAGCCAGGGAACTGGATCAGGAATCACAAGCTGGCTGGGAGGTGCTTGTAGGTAGAAGATATAGAAAGCGTTCTGGGTTGTGGTGTAACGGAAATTATTCAGTCCTGGGGTAACACTCCAATATCTTGTGCTGTAGATACCCTCGCCATGAGTTTGGAGCCAACTTCCAGCATTGCGAAGACCAGTCTGCATGATCTGTGGAATAGTGCCATCATGCATAGGCCCAATATCCAGAAGAAAATTTCCATTCTTACTAGTAATATCCACTAGGCTTTGGATAATATCGTTACCAGTAAGATAGGAGCTGAGAGGGGTTTGGTAATTATATCCAAAGGAGAAGGGATCCATGCCACGATTAGATTCCCATTTACGTGAGACTGTTCCAGAGTTCGTAGTATATCTGTAAGTAATGACAATCTTAGTCGTGTGTACAAAAATCAAAGATACCTCGACGATTAAGATAGGATTCCACTCACTCGGGTGTGTCAAAATCTCCCTGGATACCGCAGCGGTTGTTAAATGTGACTTGTCGTCCCTGCTGGGTAGCCCAATTAAGCCATGCTGAAGCAAAATTTACCATATCATTTGCGCCACCAATATCACACCACATAATCTCAGTGTCATAAGTGTAGGCAAGCTGTTCCATTTGAGGGACTTGAATATCAGCAACAAAGTCTTCTACCTCAACATAGCCAGTGTATGGAATCGTTGCGTTTGTGTAAGGGTTTTGGTTAGGCAGACCAAAATCGCCGAATGCGTATTTCTCATAGGCTGGATTGTACCATTCCGGAAGACTGAAATAAGTGCCTATTATTGATTCCGTTATTAATTTCTTTTTCCCGTCTATTCTATGATATATAAGCAAGTGCTTACCTCTGCGAATTTCGGGGTGATACTGCTTCGCGGCCGCAAGCAGGTCACCAATCAGATCTCTCTTAGGTCCATAATGAATCGACGAGCGCTGACTGATGCTCGTGGAGAAATTAAAGAGTGCGAATCCATCATGGTGCTCTGTCGAGATAGGTCTTTTATGAGTAAAGTATCCGTTGATAGTCAACAAGGGAAGAACTCCAGAACTGACTTACTAGTAACAGGAACAAAATACTTAGCGCCAGCAGCCGCGATCAAATCGACCCACGCCTGTGGATCAAAGTTACTGTCGGTGAAATTAGACATAAACTGGTCGTAGTTGAAGTTCTCGCCATAGGTTTGGAGATGGTATTGATACGTTTTAGTCTTGTAGGTCGGCTCATGCTGACGACGCCAGTACCTGCAAAAGTCAATAGATGTCAGCTGAAGAGTCTGCAATCCAAAAGGGAACGAATGTTTCACTAACCATTCAGCATAGTCCTCATTAGGAGCAACACTTCCATACGCAGGAGCTGAGTATAGACCCCAATGGATGAAGATTCCGAATTTTACTTCATTGAACCAGTCTGGATTCCAGTGATAATCCACGCTTGACACAGACGCAGAATAACTACCAAACCCACACGGTCCTGAGATCGTCTCATTAGTAGTAATTGCAGGGCCATACTGTGTGCCATATGTTGCAACAACGGCGGCCTGGCATGTGCTGCCAGGAGTAACGCCGGGTTTATTTTGGACACCAACCTGCACCACAGCTGACTGTGACGGTGCCAGACGAGTGAGAGTCCCAGGTACAACAGTGATCAAGGAATCCGATTCAACAGTAATACTTAGAGTATCAGCCAGGGTAAGGTAGTTTTGCTTGTTGGAATTGGTGATAACCATCTCTACTACCTGCGTGTAGTTACTGCCTTCAATCCATTTTGAAGTTAAGGTAGCACCTGTTATTGCAAGGGTTGGAGGATAACCACCTAATTATATTGCAATTAGTATTGAGAATATCAATAGATACGAGAGATACTCGCAAAAAACAATAGATTCACTCACGAGCAGATCGTTGAGACAGGTCTTTATCATCATTCACCAGCAGAGACGCAGTTACCGCCCTGGAAAAAATCAAGGCCTGGATATATAGCCTACTGAAGGATAAAAATTTCATCCTGTATTTGCTATGTAGATAACTTTGCTTTTAACAATTGATTAGCAGATGCAAGAGTCAGATGACAACTTCTAGAAATATGTACAACGTGATATTTATACGTGAATAAGAAAACATATTATCCTACATTCTTCCAGTTTAAATTTCCTTCGGAGAATTTCTACTAAGAGGCGATAGAAGAGGAGATAAATATACAGTACAGCGAAAGGAAGAAGATCAAATAGCCGAAATTCATCTCCGTGATTGGCATATGATTGTAATTCAGCGGTGGTGTAAGCTTTGGCTGGATAGGAAGCTTTACTTATTACTGCTATTGGCGGATGAAATTCTTTTCGCTTGGAAATCAAGACGGTCTATGAAAATTAACAAGCAAGCACTTGAGAATCACCACGGAAAATTTGTAACTGGAGATAACCTGACCCTATGTATCCACTACCTGATATACAAGCGGGGTAAGTGGCATTAAAGTTGTAGTATACAGCAACCTTGCCAAAATAAGATAATTACCCGATATTTTGCCTCCAGGGGCATTGCTGCGGTTAGATCTACGAAGGACTGCAATGGCGATCGTTCCCATGTCCATCCGGCGTTCGTAGCGCGCGATCGAAGATTTTCAAAGGCCATTCCGGATTAGCATGGGGGTCGGCGTGAGCGGATGCACTGTGACCAGCAATCATGCCGGATGAATGATCCTGCTTTTGTAGACAATGAGGCTGGGCGTTGCGGTTGATCATTTGGCTTAGTACTGGAAGATACACAAGTGCAGTATAAAATTGCAATAATAGCATTAAATAAGTAATGGGAACGTCCTATATATTTGATTTACTTTTACATTTGAGGCAAATCTAGAGTGAATTCATATTTAAAGGTCTAGCCTTCGACCATTATTATATAAGCGTTCTTACATAAAGTTAGATTTAAAATTGTTCTTTGCTACCCCAGGCCAACTGCGCACTCAGTGATAGTAAAGCATCTTCTTATAGGACTGGGGCATGTTTTCTCGGCCAGTGGCATCTATATACGATAATAGCTAAGACTGAACTCAGAGAAGCTACCAGGACGCGGCGGGGTTTTGCATTATCGCCCACAAGAGGAAGACTTGGCTTACCTAGGTAGAAACTCTCTATATATTGCTCATGGATTCCGAAGTAATATTTACGCGCTTTTCCATTAATGGACCGTTCTCATGTAGAGTTGTTGGTTTAAAAACTCAGCCTTCAACCGTAAAGATTCATGAGCCCCAGAATCGGTTTTAACACCAACCCTGCGCTACAACACGAACTCGCAGCATGGCAATCACAAGTAAACCAACAATGCCTCCGAGGCAGCGATGGTGAGCGTCACCTCACCTCTGGACGCAGTAGTACTTTCGTATTTCAAAGCACCAATGGATGAGCAGTCGACATCAGAGAAATACTGGCCTAGGCAAAGAAGATCAGTCAAAGGTTGTACTTTATAACTGGAACTTTCATATCGTATCCTCTACCTCCAATGGTGGGATAAGTCCCATTGCGGTTGGTGGTTACATCGCTTGACATTGCCGTCATTCGCAGAGCCTTGACCTTGGAAGACACGAGGCCGTCGAGGGTGATGCTGATGCTAGTCCGCTCGCCGCTGCCAGAATAGTAGTCGGTGTTCAGAAGTACAACTTTTGTTGGCCGTCCTTGGCGATAAATCACGTACTGGGCGTACGAGTTGCTTCCAGAGTCCAGTTCGACAATATGATCCCCCCCCGCGAGTGCGAGGGCCGCGAAATATCCGCCATAGAAAGGGGCATTGATCTGGTTATCGGACCACCAGTTAAAAAGAGCTGCAAAGGAAGACGGGCGTCATTAGTTTCTCATGTCCTCTTCATACATGTCGGTCGTGAATCATTTTAACCAGTTCCGGAGCCAGACACGTGGGAAAATAAATCTGTACCTTGATTGATGGTTCCCTGATGGAAGAACAAACGTTTGATCCCTAGTGTCACTGCGCGCAAGGATTTATCTAAGGTCTGCAATGCAGCGCCAAAGGTTGCATCCATGTCCACGTCGAAAGGATGGAAGTTCGTTTCCCCTGCGACACAACACAACGGCCAGCATTGGTCAGTCAATGTCTCTTTTTCAGCCGTGAACGGATGAAGAGGATGTTGGGTACCAAGAATAAAAGACCGATTGACTGATGCAGCGGTAGCCACTCTATCAGCATAAACGGACAAATCCGAGACCGTTTTGGCATGATTCATTTCCGTCGCCAGGGTATTGTTCCCCGGCGGAGCGGCATATAAATGGCCAACGTAGACCCTAACTGCGGCTTTGACAGCGTCATTATAGGCCGTGTCAATGAGATAGTCAGTATTTGGCCATTCGGGGTTATCGGTGTAGGCGACTGCGTAGGAACCAGCAGTGAGGATCGGAAGGGGCGACTGCCATGCATCAATAAAGCCTTGCGCCCAGTCGGCCGCATCTGCTCCCTCTTGGCTTGCATTCCATGGACTGACAGCGTCAGGTTTGTCTTGCAAGAGGTAAACTAAAGAGGTTTGACAATTAGATTAAGATATCATATATGGATGTGCCTTGGAGACGCTACGAGGGCTTCCATACCATCCGGCTCGTTCCCCAGCTCCACAGCCCACAGATTGCTGAGGACCCGTTCCTTCGCATCGACGACAGCAAGATAGGTATTATTCTGATTATCGTCGCCGCGATTGAATCCTTGGGAAATTGGTGAGAAGATAGTGGAAGTGCGAGTAGGACAGTTACTTACCAAGTATTGTTTCACCCTCATGTACATCTGATAGTAGCAGTCAGTCTCGGGATTAGATAGATAGAAAGAAAAAATAGGTTACTAATCAAATCCCAAAATCTCGGTCCGTATGTCAAGGTATCAGGAGCATCCAGCGGATTCGCCACAGTATATGACACATAGCCGTCAAAGCTCGGGTCGTACGTCGCGCGGTCCTGGGTTGTACCTCCGATACGGATGGGCATTTTCTCACCATATATATCAGTGAAGCGAGAGATACATTGCATGGGCGGGGTAATGTTGGTCATGTAGGATGGCCACATAAAAAATTCCATCCTATGAAGGCAATTGAGGGTTAGCAAGGAGCGTAATTCAGAGACATTCTGCACATACGACACTCCCACAGGAGTGCAATCCAAAGGTATTGCATCGCGGGGAACGCTGCTGGGCACCGTATATTGCAAATTGGATGCCTTGGCTGTCAGAGACAGACCTGCGAGCATTATCGAAACGGATATGGTTGGGTGCACCATTGTTGCTGCTCGGCGATAAATGTAACCTTCTACGTGTGCTGCGCTCTGGGAGGATTCAGTCGGATGATTGTAGTATTAGACGGTGTCGCTTATGGTTTATATGTTGAAGCGCTTTCTAGGAAATGCAGCCCATGACTAGCTGCCAAGGATACATCTTCTCTCTGCTAAGTACGTTACTCAACGCTAGAGACAGTAAAGTAGATACGACGAACCCATTATTGAGTCGGTGGATACTCTAGCTTCGTACGGTGTTTGATCAGTACCCGCCATGGAAGCACGTGGTAATTAAAATAATAAATTTGCTCATTTATCACAGATTCCATACGGAGGAGGTACAGCTGCTCGTATGAAGAATTGAAATGCGGAACGAGCTTTTTCTTTCTTTCCGGGGTACTCGGCCTAACATTCACCGGTCTGACGGATGCTGTTTCGCCGAGGCGTTGTTTCCCAGTGAAAAGAAACAGAGATGAAGCCAAGGTTTGGCCAGCGACGAAAGGGGAATTTGAAGTCCTGAACGTCATTTAATTTTATCTTACCCTCACTAGCGAGAGTAGCGTACAATCGCTGATTAAAACAAGTCTGATGCCCTTTACTCGGATTAAGAGGAGGTGAAGTATTAGGCGTATCTACTTTCTGGAACGAACCTAGATCTAGATTTCAGTACCTTCATGGGTGCTACTATGACCGATAGATGTCAGGTAAAAATCTTCGTAAAAACATCCTCTGACGGGTGCAAAATGGTTCTTGAAAGAGCCAAACAAAAGGAGTATAAAACGATGGGGGCGGTATAGCAGAGTCCACGAGTAACACGTGGCCATGACCAGTGCAACCTGCAAGCTAACGCCAGTAAAAAAATTCGAAGACGCTATTGAAGAGTCCACCTTCCCCCTTGGATCCCAGAGGCTGTTCCGTCAATCAACGGTACCCGACTACCTGAAGAGGAAACCAAGACGCCTTTGGCTCCAGGTATCCGAACGGTACCGGATGTTTCTATCGGAGTTGTGAAAGCGAAATATTGATATACGCCACTCCTCTCGCTGCGCCTGAAAGTCACAGAGAAGCTACCGAGGAGGGTAGTATAGCCAGCATCCACTGAGATGAGATCTCCCGGCTGAGGAGCAATTACCCAAGTCGCACCGCCTCCCTCGATCACTTGTATTCCTGCGGCATAGAAAAGTAAGGCAGACGTAGGACCAGTTGACCAACCATGAGCGTGAGAGACGCGGGCATCGTTGGTGTAAGGCGCATAATGCAAGCTTCCATCGGTCGAGAACCCTTCGATGAAGGAAGAACCGGTCATGCGTGGATCCTGAAGCATAAACCCCCATTGCCGCCGAATCAAGTCCAGAGCCGTGCTCCCTTGCCCAGCGAGATAGTGCGCCTGCAGCTCAAAACCGCCGATAAAGGGAGAGACGGTGGAAGATCCGGCTTCTGGGGACGGAGCACCAAATGGACCCCAACGAGAATGCAACTCGGAAGATATACGTGCTCTCTGCGACTGGGATTGCGTCAGATTTGCCTTGATAGCCCATGAATTGCCATCTTGGGGATACAAAGTTGCTGTTTCATTGTCGCGGTAGAGGCCTGACGTCCCATTCCATAGCAGGGCATTTGCAGCAACTTTGAGATTTTCCGCGAGAGAAGTCCACTTTGCAAGCGAGACTGAATCCTGAACCACGGCCGCCAGATGAATGCCTTGTTGAAGGACATAATACAGCATGGCATTTGCTTCGATATTCTGGGGAATATAGTCACCGTTAAGTGTGCTTTGCAACTACTACAAATTTTTGGAATCACTCACATGGCCGCCCATACCACTTCGAAGCCAGTCGGAGCTCGCACTCGGCGATACACTAGCCAGATTCGTTTCATCTACACTACGAAGTGCCCAATTGATGCCCCTTTGCAGTTGGGCCCAGTACGAGACAAGCCAGGCATAGTCTGCAGAATAACGGCAGTAATTCGCTGAATTAATCAACGTGTGCAGGTGATATGTAAAACTCTCCTGGTCTGGGAAGGGAAGCGAGGCGTATGGAAATCTCCCATCGGCCGTCTGTAGTGCAAGAAGCGCCTCAAGGGAGTTTCGCACACTGGGTAGATCATAGGTGCTCACTATGGCAGTCTCTAGTGAGATGGACATGTCGCCGGCCCAGACTAAGCGGTCTCTTTTGCCTCCGTCCGTCAGAGCAGTGGTGCCGTTTGTGATTGTGTAGTTGTTGTACCAATCGTCATATTTTGACGGCGTAGCTGAGGGCCATGTAACCAATACAGTCAGAGAGTTCCCATACTTCGGATTAATGGTAGCAAGTTGCACAGTATAGGCACCAGCGTACCAGATCCGGTTGATCAGCTCATCATTACAATGGAAGTAGCCGGTGTAGCCCTGTAGGTCCTGAGTGGGCGCCGCCGTGTAGTTGACTGACACTGATCGTAGAGTGATACTGGCGGGACTGTTGCTTATGAGGGTAAGATAACGGAAGCCTCCCCGTCCCTGGGCTGGCATGGAAGTGTACTTTGCTCCGGCAGTGTCCAGAGTAAACCAAAGGATTGCATCGAGGCCCGAATCTGCTGTCGCGTCGCTGGAGAGGTTACTTATCCATAGAGAAGACTCGGTGAAGGTGATTCCCAGCTGAGCGTTGGCCGAAACCACAGATTCCACTTCAAACGTGACGATACCTGCGATATTCTTGTGGAAATCATAGGTCACAGACGCATTTCCACTGATAGTCATGGTTGACTCCGTGGAATCGCATAGATTTTGAGGATTTCTAACCGAGCCAAAAGACTGGTAAACTGTCGCTGGGATGAGATTGCGAGTTGAAGGAGCGAGGATATAGTCAGAGTATGCCACAGCTACTGCCTGGTGAGCCAGGAGTAGCAGCACTACAAGAAGAGACACAAGAGGGCTGGACATATCTAACTTCTTTCTCTCTATCTCTCTCTTTTGAGATGGTAACGTCAACAGCTTTAAACTTACAATGCCTGTTCTTTTATAAGAAACTGTACTTATTTTACTACTTGGAACACGCTCACCCACATAGAACATTCCATTGCATTCATCGATCGGGACAGAAAAAGGATGTCCACCGCTTCCTCCATCGACACCTCAGGTAGAGATCTCCACGTGGCACGACAACCCACGGTCCAGGGTATTTCCGGGTATGCCCGGGCTATATTCCACCGAGATCTGTGCGGGGAAGTGCTTGCTGGAGAATCCGGAGAATCTGGAAATGCGGAGGATTTGGCGTGAGGAAGCTCATCTGCGAGCTCATTCTGGGACTACATCTGGGACGAAAAATTGGATCAAATTCATGACAGTTAACTCAACTCACTAGCAATGCGTTTGCATGAAACATATATCGGGCTCGTGACCATTGGCCCAGTCTTTGTTCAAACCACTTTTGTGTTACGAAACCAACTTGCATGATACCAGGCAGAATCTAATCGGCTCAGCAAATGTTCTGTAGCCCATACCCACATTCGAACTATCGTTCAACTCCATCGTTGTAGATGGTCAATTCAATAGGACTCTTTTTGATAAATTTTACGACTTTAGTAGGCATAGAAGGTATAGTTTTTCATGTACCTAGCTAATAAAAATATCTTCGAAGCATAACCTGTTTTCAATGGCTTGGTTGTACATAAAACCTGTACAAACTTCTTTGATGTTAAAGGAGGTCAGACATTCACCTTTGAGCAGATAAGTTGAGTTTTTCCTGAGCAGAAGCAAATAAGAAAGGAACTGTTTAGTCCGGGAGCGTGAACAACGATTCCGCTATTGTACTCAAACATGTAAGCTTTCTCTAATCTGGCTGTCCTAACTGTAATTTTACTCTCACGATTCGACCAACCATGACCTCTTTCCTTCGGCGGAATTGAATTGTTTGGTCATTCGCGTATATATCTCGACTTACCATTGTTGCATACCGCAGCCCTCGCGTAAACGAATCACCTACCGTACAGCAAGCGCAAACTTGGAATAAACCCAAGCTAAATCTCTAATTAGTAGTCAATAGCAAAGACCTTATTTCCTTTTTCCGAATTTTGTGTGTCATCCGAATTATCAAGTGCATCATTATTATCGCAGAGTCCTTCCTGTCTTTATCAGAATTTCAATTGCTAGCTTCCGGCTGTACAACTCTTCTTGACTACTGTCACTCTCCAACGTCTATTATTCCCTTCTCGATTTGTATTCAAGATAAATACTAATCCGTGAACCACGAGCCTCGCCTCGGTGGACTTCATGTCAATGGGCGGAAGGGGGGGCCGGCGTGAATTTACACGTGGACCAACATACTCCGTGAGAACAAGGGAGTGCGGTGTATGTTGATCCGGACATCCATTTTACAAGAAAAATAAACCGTCCATTGGCAAATAGGCGCTGATGATCCTCCTCGCTTTCTTCCATGGAAAAGAAAAAAAATCCAGTTCTTCAATCCGCGCATTACAGCCTCAAGCGCATATTCACTCTTCCAACTCCAAACGAATCTGGACCACCATGGCGGCTGAAGTATTCGACACCAATTGGATGTGGCATCCTTCTTTCACCGAGAGCCGCGCCGAGACAGCAGGCCTTTTTGTGCACTTCCGACGAGATTTTGTACTGGAAAAGATCCCTCCGGGGAGGTGTTGTCAAATTCGAATCACTGCAGATACGCGATACAAGCTATATGTTAACAAGGAGTTTGTGAGTTCTGGACCAGTAAAGGGAGATCAGAGCCTATGGTTCTACGATGAAGTCGACATAAGCCCGAGCCTACGCCTTGGGAAGAACCGAATCGGCATCTATGTTCTGCGCTTCTTTTATGCCACGAGATTTGCGACCAGTTTCCCCCGTCTATCCACAGGCGGGGTCTACATAGCCCATGTCGATTCCCAGGTCCCCCAGAGCTTTGACATAGGGAGTGGCTCATTGTGGCAGACGGCGATCGATCAATCGACCATACTCTGCATCGACCAAGCCGAAGACGACTTCTTGCACATATACGAAAGGATTGACAGAAATACCGACGTGCAATTAGACTGGGTCCCAGCAGTCCTACTGCCTTTCCAGAATTCTACTGGAGTCTCTCCGCCATGGAAACTCTCCCCGCGGCTAATCCCACGCCTACAACGCGAAATTGCGCAATTTAGCATGATTCATAATATACAGAGCTGCGTACAACGTACTGCATGGGAAAGAAGTCTCATTACGACACCGTGGCAAGAAGTGCATCTTCCACCTGGAACCAGGCATGAGCTGGAGCTCGAAGTCCCCTACCACATGACAGCGTTTCTCCGCTTCTGCTTTCAACGGCCGCAAGTGGGAGGAAGCACCGTGGTGATCACGTACGCTGAGAGCTATGAAGACCCGCCTACGTTGGTCCCATATCTGAGACGAAAGGGTCAACGTTGCAATGTTAGTAAGTCCCTGTTCGGGCCTCAAGATACATACGTCTTTGGAGGCAGCAGCCGTTGTTTAGGCCTCTGTTACGAGAATGACGAGGACGTCGACGAAACATTCACACCGTTTCATTTCCGCACGTTCCGTTTCATCAGGATCTCGATAGAAGTTAGCAGCGCCTCTGAACTAGTTTTCAAAGGCATTGATGTACAAAGAGCCAAGTATCCCCTCGACGTTCTCGCCACCCTCAAGGTTAATCCGAATGAAAGTGTCACAGCAATGAGACTCTGGGATATCAGTATTCGGACGCTCGAAAATTGCATGCATGATTGCTACGAGGACTGTCCTATGTATGAACAGCTGCAGTATGCCATGGATACCCGAAGCTCTGCCCTGTTCACTTATTACATCTCGGGAGATGATCGACTTGCGAAACAGGCCATCATACAGCTCCATAACTCCTTCCAGCCTCGTCTAGGCTTGACATCAAGCCGTGCACCGACACACCAGCCTCAAATCATCCCTCATTTCTCCCTATATTGGATCTGCATGCTGGCTGACCACTGGACATTCTTTGGCGACCCGGGATTTCTCCGCCCCTTTATTCCAGTTGCTGATGCTATTTTGGCATACTTCGACTCACGAATCGACTCCGATACTGGGTTGGTCAAGGTAGCAGATGAGATCGGGATCTGGCATTTTCATGATTGGGCAGAGGCATGGCGTCCATATGGCATTCCACCGGCTGTCACTCAGACAGGAATCTCCACGTACTCCAACAATCTGTATGCTTACACCCTTCAGCAAGCATCCATCTTGCAGTCGACATGCGCTGAAAGAGACACGATTGCACAGGAATACATCCTTCGGTCCCAGCGGGTGGTTGAAGCGGTGCAGAAATTCTGTTTTGACGGAGAATTTTTTAGTGACACGGTCGTAACAGCGAGTTCCGATAAATGCCATCATCGAAGTCAACACAATCAAGTGTGGGCAGTACTTAGCGGCGCATCAAGCGGAAAGCAAGGGGAGGATCTCCTCCGCCGGACTCTGAGCCCTGTGACCGGCCAATTACTTACTCCTGCCTCTATTTCCATGTCTTTCTATACGCTACGGGCGTTGAGCATGGTCGGGGGTGATTTGTACGAGGAGTCTTTCCACCGATTTTGGGGACCATGGAATACGCAGATAGCTTTAGGCTTGACCACGTGGGAAGAAGATAGTGTATCGCAGCGCTCCGACTGTCATGCATGGGGAAGCGCACCGATTCATGAATACATGGCCGAAGTCATTGGTCTAAGACCAGCCAAGCCTGGCTGGACATGCCTGGAGTTTCAGCCGAGACTGAGTCTCTATCGAGAGATTGAAGCAACCGTCCCGTTCCGCTACAATGGTAGTACGGCTCTGGCGAAAGTGTCATGGAAGACTTCTCCGTCAAATGAAATTGTAGTTTCTATGAAAGCGTTGGGCATACCTACAGCCATTCCGGTTTCTGTCAAACTCCCATGCAAGCCAGAAATATTCATACAGAGCGCGGACGAAATCAAATTCCGCTTAAGCAAAAGTCAAGTCAAATCAAAGGGTTCAGAAGTGCACTTAATAGTTAGAATATCAGGTAACATCATAGAAGATATGCAATCTGGGGAATAATAGCCCGTTTCTCCTGCCCATCCATATACTTGTCTGCTCAGTTGCTCCGTTAGTTATAATCCACTCGACTCACAACGTTCTATAGGGACTCATCATGGTCCTGCTGGTAAGCCGAAGAACTGAACAAAGGAATATGAAACCAGTTGTCTGATGTCGGGTCTGTCAGGTTGAAATAATTGTTTTCAGGCAGGGTTGGGTGTCTGTCTGGATCTAAGATGTTGTTTGTAACAGAACTAGGATTCTCCCCAGTGGATTCATATCGTAGGATCGGATCAACTCGGAACTGATCCTCCAGATCCGCTGTCGAAATGCGGAAGTCGGCTAGAAGTCGGAGGATCCCCCCTTCGCCGTGTGCGTTGGGCAGGTTCCCAGCTTGGAGTTCTGTGGTGGCTTGTTTAAGCAGCCTCCAGTACTTGCCACTGATTTGCCAATATGGGCTCATTCTCCGTAAGCAATTCAGTAAGATGGAGAATTTCTCTGGCGCCAAGTGTCTGCCATGAGTCTCTTGCACTAGTAGATAACGAGCGCCGATCCAGACAGCCCATGCTATCGGCCATCCGAGCTTGTCATAACTTTTAGCTGTCCAGCGAGAGGCAATATCGGTCAAGATGTTGACACTGCATACGCAACGAACTTGGCTGTCTGCTCGTGTATCATCAAACGGTTGTGACAGCAGCGCTTCGTACGGTGGGTCGCTCAGCAAACAGTGAGTATGAATGACCAGAGCATGGTAGTATGCGTGAAGCATGACAATTGATGGCACAAAATTGAGCGCCGCGGCCGTCAGCGTGCCATCGTCCCTGATATTTAGCTGGATACATGATGGTAGGCCTTGGACCCAATCAGTCAACTCTGTAGAACATCTCTGGAACTGATCAAACCAATTGAAAAAGGAGTCGCTGTCCTGTCTCAAAGATGCGTATTCGAGGTGTAGCATGTGTAGCTTCCTGGACACATCGAGTAGCCGCAACTGATAGCCGCAAACATAAAGTGGTGTCAGCGTCGTATCGGAGGCTGGCATTCGCCATATGAGCTGTCTGGTGTAGAAGATACTATCCACCTGTTCATTTCTTAGGCATGATGGACGGCTCGTTGTGATATAAATGTAACAGTCGAGCATATATATAGCCCAGAACAGCTTCTGCCGGTACAATTGATCAACGCTACTCAACGCATTGCTGTCACTCTCAGCAATAGACGTTCGGAAGACTGGCGCCCCTCCGTTATGCAGTTTGACCAGGAGTGTGGTGGCAATTGCTAAAGGTCCCCAGACTTGCGGTCCAGTAGTCATCCCCGACAAATCCAGGATCAAGACTGTCAAGGCTTCTAAAGAATTGAATGAGGGCTCTTCAAGGACCTCCAATAGGATCTGGCGCTTGGCATATTTCCAAAAGGAGTCGCTAGACTTTTGATCCAGTCGCGAGTCAAAGGAATAGGGTAGGCTAACGCCGAAGAGCGCGTAATGTAGAAGTGTGGGATCATCCGATGCGCTCATTGCGATGCATACCCGTTGGATGTCCAGGAATGGGAACCAGGGGTGGATATGGCGGAAAAACAAGGACGTTAAGGACATAACGAGGTCGGTCGGAGGCCGTCGCTCTTGAATCTGTCGAGTTCTTTGCGACGTTGGTCCAGGAGCCTCGTCGACTGGAGACCGAGTTGCACGCAGCCCATGGGGGGATTCGGAGCTATCGATGTCATGCATGTCAAAGTTGGTACGTACGCCGCCGCTTCTACTACCACCTCCCCCACCACGAAGACTCTGCAGCTCTTCTTCAAGTTTTCCTGGAAAAATAAAATATGAGCATGGTAAGGAGATTTCTTCCCATGGAGTCTCAACTTGGTCGACATACGAAGTTTCTCCTCCAGCAATTGCCGGTGGCCGGCGGGAAATCCTGGCTTTCTTCGGCCAGCATACTCGCAGCTCACCCCAAGTCTCTCGCACCGCTGGCAGGTTGGATGCCTACGGTCGCACCGTGTTTTCCGCTGCTTGCAGCGTTCGCATCTGTGCACTCAGCATCCGAGGCTTTACAGACTGCGGGGGAAGAAGAGAAAACTTACGACGCACTGCTTGGTGGGTCTGAACCTCCCATCGGAAATCAAGCTCTCTCTCTCTCTCCTTCGCTCGGTTTAATAGGAACCGAGACTTGAGGGTGTGTAAATGGAAACGCCACCGTCCAGTTCTCATCGGGGGATGTTACGTCTTAAATAATCGGAGGATGCTTTCTCCGTCCGGTCCTCTTCTTTTCCCGCTTGACCCACTTACCTTTCCACATGATCCATCATTCATCCTTCGGCATGATAACTCCCGGGAACATGTAGGTAGACATATCCGGGTTTTTGGGGACGAGTTCTCTGGGGAAATAACAAAGATGACTAGCTATATATATATCTATATTCCGTAGCCTCCCAATTGCCAGGGCTATATTACAACCTCCGCGACTTACCCTCGAACTTGAACTTTTCACCAACTCCTTCGCCCGAAACTTGCAGTCTCAGGCTCCAGCAATCCTGGATGCCACAGATGGCTTCACACAAGACTCTTTCTCACCCGCCTGTAGGTGCAGCCATGCCTGAAAGCAAGCTGGACATCAAGCACTGGTGGCGACACCGCAACCTTCGCACCCTCAACCTGTTACTATTGATTCCACTCCTATCGATCTTTTCTCAAGGGTAGGTATGTACATGCCTTCCAAACACACAAAAGTAAGGGCTGATCTTTGTGATGAAACGATAGCTTTGACGGATCCATGATGAATGGTCTCCAGTCGGTCTCGCATTGGCAAAACTACTTTGGAACCCCCACAGGTGCAACTCTCGGTTTCTTCAATGCAGCATATCCTCTCGGCGGCATCGCCGGTGTCTTCCTCATCTCCCCTATCGCTGATGGGCTGGGACGGCGTGTGGGCTTGGCAACAGGAGCCGCGTTGTGCTGCCTTGGTGCGGCCCTCCAGGGAGGCGCCATCAATATCGCTATGTTCGTCATTTCGCGTGTGATCATCGGCGCAGGCAGTGTCGTCGTAGCGGGCGTGGGAGCTCCATATATCACGGAGATTGCTCATCCTGCACAGCGCAGCACGGCAACCGCAATGTTCCTTACATTCTACTCCGTAGGCTCCATCGTGGCTGGCTGGTGCACATTTGGAACCTTCCACATCAATGGTACGGCTTCGTGGAGAATTCCGTCTGCTCTGCAAGGGTTCCCATCTGTCATTCAGCTGCTATTTGTATGGTTTGTTCCGGAATCTCCACGTTGGCTCATCAGCAAGGGGCGCAACATGGAAGCATTGGCGATTCTGGCAAAGTATCATGGAGAAGGTGACGAGGATGACGCGGTCGTTCAGTTCGAATATACCGAAATCCAAGGTGCGCTCAGTGCAGAGCATTCGACTGCCGATTTGACACTTTTGTCTTTTCTAAATGAGTTGGTAACGGGGTCAGGCAACCGCAAACGGCTGTTCATCATGGTATGGGCGGCCATCAGCTCACAAATGTCCGGAAACGCCTTCGTATCTTATTACCTGTCTCCAATTCTGGCTTCGGTGGGCCTAACCTCGGATCTACAGCAGACGCTCATCAATGCAACAAACCAGATGCTCTCCTGGTTTAGCGCTGTGTATTTTGCAACCCTGCCTGCGAAGCTTGGCCGGCGGACGCTTTTCCTCGCCTCTCTGTGCGCCATGTGGGTGGTCGATATCTGTATTACGGCCGGAAGCGCCATGTTCGCTAAGGACCCTGCAAACAAGGCCGCTTCCTACACCGTTGTTGTTTTCCTCTATCTATTTTCGCCAGCGTACAATCTCGGGTTCAATGGAAATCTCGGTCTATATATCCCGGAGATTCTCCCCTTCCACCTCCGCACGAAGGGTCTATCCTTCTTTTACTTTGTGCAGTTCTCTTTCATGATCCTGTCGACTTTTGCCGTGCCGATCGGCCTGGAGAATATCCACTGGCGCTTTTACATCATCTTCGTGGTATGGGTCATTGTGGAGTTCATCGGGGTGTATTTGATGTTTCCTGAGACGAAGGGCCCAGCACTAGAGGATATTGCGTATATCTTTGACGGGCCAAAGGCTAAAACCAGTGAAAACTGCGAAGTTGGAGAGATTGAGAGCAAGATCAACCATAATCATCAGGAGAAGGAGCTCATGTGACTTTTCGAGGGACAAGGGAACCTCTACGCTTTCGCCTCCCGGTGGAACAGTTCGGTCTATTGATAGCAAGCATTTGGATTTACAGAGTAGTTGGTGTAATGTAACGTCAACCTCAGTGTGACCGGTTGTTGTCATTCATCCATATGAAATTATGCCGCCGTACCGCTCATCATCATAAGTCGAGGTGGCCAAGACAATCAAATCAGATACAACCACAACGTGGCTCTTGCGAGATGCTTCAAACTTTGCGTCCCCACGTCTCCTACCGAATATCGCGTGTACGATGTAAAGCCTCTTACACAAGCCTTGTTGACAATAGGTTGTTGCCTTCAAATCACATATGACAGCAAAGCCTTTCCTGTATAATTAACTACTTTCATTGCTGTAATAACCCTAGGCTATAATAAATAAGGTCTACTATATTGATCATTATAATTTGACTTCTGCAAGTCCCATGGGATTGAGTAAAACAGTTTATCCCATGCATAGAAGTCCCATAGAACTTCCATGAGACTCCCATAAAAAATCGTGATTAATATTCTCCGACTTCTAAGTGCTGCGCTCATCTGGCTCATGATATTTGTAAAGTAATTCTGTCCAGTCTAATAAAGCTTGAGGATATTTCACACAGTCACTCCTGCCGTAGCAATACTCTTGGCATTGCAAGTCCGTACAAGATTTTTGCATTCCAAAATTCAAATTCAGTATCATGGGACAAGGTCATACGAAAATAAAAAAACGGAGAAAAAAGATAAAGCAGATTCTCCATTGTTCACCTCTGTCTCAACATATCCACAATTTCAAATGACAAAGTGCACACCCGCTCTCGTATATCTGAGCCTAGTTTATTGAACCATGTTGAAGACATAAATTGTGGAGCAGTATCCCTCTCATTGCTATCTGCAACCTCGCAGTCAGTCCTATCAGGTTCTCTAGATCTGAGTCGGTCTGACATCAAATTCACTAATCGCTGGACTCGATGCAGTTCGCTCAGGACAAGTTGTGCAGCCATGCGACCCTTATGGTCTCCATCAATGTGATAGCCGCACACAACTGCTGGAGTCTGGAGGACCACCTGTTCTGAATGACACAAAATGCGTCGGGATTTTATTCCCCATTTACTATTGTGAATGGTGCTGTCGTTATCGCTATCATCTAACCCAAGTTGAGCTTCCTGAGCTCCGTGCACAACTGCAGTATACCAATCCAGCACCTTGAAGACAACAAGCGATATAATGACCAACAAATATTCACCACCGGAGCACGGACACTGCAGCATATTATCAATCGCCTCCAAAGTTCTCTTGTTTTCTTGGATTACAGACTCGATATTATGGGTTCTGTAATGTATTGTACGCGCGTCATCCTCGGCTCCTCCATGGGTGGTGGTTTCGCATGCGCAGGCATTGGACCTGGGAAACTGCTTTTTGAGAAGCTCCAAAGAGCGTGTCAGACAACAATAGGGGGAGTTATCTAGAGTCTTGTCTCCATCTGTCGTCGTTGTCATTCTGTTATCGGTGCCAGTCGCAGCTTGGGTCTTGAGAACAACAGAAGTGGTAGATCGATTCAATACTTCTGAAGTCGACATATCCATGAAAAACGATAAATCCTGGAGTGGTGTAAGTGGATCCGAGTCATCGCCGCCACTTGTTTGAGAAGGGAGTTGGCCCTGTCCTAGAATATCGGTGCTGAATGTCTCCGAAACAGGATACGATAGGGAAATGGATGATGATGATGGCAGAGTAAATAGATCGTTGAAATCAGAACTGCGAGGTGTGGGTATCCACCAAGTTGTGGGATCATTCGGGATCACAGCTTGCGTTGATGATACGTCAAGCGGTGCGATGGTAGAGCTTTGCTGTTGTATATCCAGAGAAGCATACAGAGAGTTACTGTCTAACATCAAGATATCCACTTCGGAAGAAGATGCCGCAGATGAAGGATGGTTGTCATTAATGTCATGATTGTTGTGATTTTCATGATTGTCGGTGGATTTAGTTGCCGCTATTTCTGTTGGTGGTCGTGGCTCATGCCTCCGACCAGCTCGCTTCGTTATGAAGTACTCGCACTTCAAGGAACGCTTTACGCAACGTGCACATACTGGCTTTTCTTTGTTGCATCTGACCTTGGAAATAGCGCAAGATTGACAGCTATCTCGCAATTTCGGTTGTTTGTTCGATACTGTCGACGCTTCAGCACCTTTGGGGGAAAGGGGATTTGAGCTTGTCATATTGCAAATTCATAAACACATCTGATTTGAGCATATATGTGAATAATATCATCCGAGCCCCCTACAAGTTCAAACTCCCAGACACAATACAGAACCGCAGTACTTATTGTTTGGTGTTTCTTCTCCGCCCCCACTTGTTCTCTGATGGGGCAATATTCCATTCAAAAGTGTCGGCCAGGCTAGCCAGCTGCAAGCTAGTAGATCACGCTTTTAGATTATAGTTGGATTCTATCAAAAAACCCTGCAATCACAACATAGCTCTGCCTAAAGACGTTTGTATGGCCACACTTGATCAGCTGCAGATGATCCTTATGCGGCTATCGGCAGGCTATCGTCCGGATTCTCAGGAATCGCGGCCAGGAAGTGATACCAGTTTCTCTACTTGAACAAAGTTCTGAATTAGAGGCCAAATCATGAACGAATGGTTCAAGGTGTAAGAATACGTACTCAACAAATTGAAACCCTATGGAGCTTCGTCGTGCAATTAAGCCTTTCGTATGGGCTAGCTTAGTCAGATTGATCAACCGAGCTCGGGTTGTACTGCAGCTGGTCGGTGCGAGAAGGATTGACTAGCAAGATTGTATCATGTATGTATTGAATTGTTTTTCCGTTTGTCACGATATATTGGATTGACAAGTCAGGGTTTTCGAACATCCTGGCGATGAGGGGTAGATTTGGGGGCTAAATGGGGTTTCTAATCAATCATCCAAATCACTTGAGCAGATTTGCAGGATATCAGGATTGTCCAAAATAGGGAATGGGTAAGCCTCCTCGTATTGCATGTAGTATCGATAAGGATTTGTTGACTCGCCCTATTAAATGCTAACCCTTCTCCATTGTACGGGAACGTTCGTATCATAAATTCAACCGTCCAGGACTGGTGCAATAGAAGCCGAAAATTTTCCGGATAGAAGGTATGAGTTCTTCTGCGACTCATGCATGATTTGTGCATGAAGTAATTTGCATTTTCGTCTCCGTCGGCGTTAAGAAGGCGTTGCCGAAGCGATTGAGCTGTTGACGAAAAGGACCAATTTGTCCGTTTCACAAAGAAAGAAAAAAATTGCTATAGCAAACAGCCATTAGTACAGCGATTTTTGATACCTAATAAATCACCAAAAATTAAGGTTTCTTACGATTAGATGCGTTAAATCGAAATCTCCGTGTATGGGAATTCATGAATAATCGACTATGCTTTCTCGAAGCGTTGCTATTACACTAGCTAACTATAAGATGTTCAAACTATCTTATTTTGCACAAGTAGGTGTCTGATTCCGAATCTAATGCCAGTCTTAAAACATATCAATCTTTTCTAAACCTACCAAGGAGTGGTGTGGCGTCTTTTGGCGTTTCCGCTCGCTAAGTAGCCAGTTCACAGTCTTTTAGCTCAATAAATCAATATAAACTTATAACGAATGCCTCGGATCACGCCATAACCAACTTGCAGAATCGATCCGTCACAAGCCGGTTTTATTGTAGTTTCACACCACCCTGGCAGTAGAGCTCTGAAGAAGTGTCGCATTTTCGTTATCTGATAGACTAATAACTGTTAGGGCCGGAGTATTGTCCGATTTTCCTCGGTGCACATGTAAGGACTAATGACTCGCACTAAGTTGGAACTTGACACCCAACGCCACAACCGCATTATTCTTCGAACGGATCTTGCTGACCACCATCAGTTTTCCCATGCCGTCATTAATGTCTTGAATGAGATCTATCGCTTCAGAGACCTCGAATTCGCGCTCGTTGGCCAGCTGAAGTAGCGTCATATCGCGTGTGCGAGCGACACATTCTATTTCGGGGTCAACTGCCCCGTGTTCGGGTAAGAATCGCATACGAAGGATGAGCATAGTGGAGCTATTCTCGCGGAGAACTCCTAAGTGGGCTCGTAATTCCGCGATAAGCCTCGACTGGATTGCATGAAATGATAAGCCATTTCGGGGAGAGGGTGATGGGAGACAGAGGATATAAACGCCGACATTCTTTATTGTCTGCGGCTGGCCAGGGGCCCGTCTGTGCAGAAATATATTACTATTAGCCTCTGCAGCAGGCGGCCCTTGTTGTCTCCGTCCCGTCACCATAGGGACAAATGGCGAATTAGACTGAGTTATCGAATTCTGGTGGATGTTGCTATAATTGTTTTTGCTGCTGTCAGCGCCATGTTTTAGTTTATTCCCGTTTTCGCATATCTGAAGAGTAATACGGAGGCTAGGATGACGTTCCGCCATGATAGCTGCCATGATTGATGGCGATGAATCAACCTAGAATCGCGAAATAATTCAATAAATCCAGGTAGTAGAATTAGCTTATACCCAAAGACCAGAACTTACTTCAATAATACAGGCAGCACCAAGCCGTGGCCAGTCCAGCTGACGAAAAACATCCGTGGCACCTTCGTCGATCTCGGGCTCAGCTAAAGACCCAAGATAGGTAATCCATTGGCGTTGAAGCTTTGGCGCCTGCTCAAACAAAGATTGAAACGACTGCGCTGTATTGAGCGGCAGTGAAATTCCTCGAGTCAATTCTCGGAACCTAATTTCCTGAGTAGCTGAAGCCATCCGTAAGGCTGCTGGTGCAGCCGTTCCTGCGATGAACTTTGTAGCATCTAAGAAATCGGGTTTCGTCACGAATGGCGCCGATAGAGTCGTGTGTGCAATGTGATTCGGCTGTGGCTCGCAGAGGAATCTCACTGTCGCTGTCACGCGAACGACACGCGTGAGCACGGATACTGGAACTCCCACAAGCTCAGCAACATCTTTCATAGGTACACTGCCACTGAGAGGTATGCAAGCAAGGACTTGAAATTCACCAAGCCATTGTATACTTCCGAGCAGCTGGATCTGCAGTTCGAGCGGGTGAAGATGAGTAGGGAGTCAATCTCATGATCCTCAACGGCTCGCGGGGAGGCAGCCTAACCTTACTAGCAAGATTCTGAAGAAAGTCCTCAGGTTTGCTAATTAACGCCTGGATCTTAGCCACGGTGGTCAGTATATTTCGTCTCGCTTGCTGCACTTGATCGTCAGTCTCCGCTGGGATAATTGGAAGAGCTGCTGTAATTGAATCGATCTCGGTAGTCCGACAGTAGTCACTAAAGTTCTTGACTGCGCTGGCCAGATCTTTGGCGTAGCTTTCAAGCTTTTCCGAGTTATTCATCTTGCTTGTGTCGCGATGGTTTTTGTGAGTACTTTTTTACGTTGAGATTTGCTATGTTTAAGTATTGGGCTTTTAATCTTGTAGCCGCACTATTACAGACTTAAGAATGTACCAGTAAGCCACGAAAAAGGAAATATTAAATGGAATTTCTAGCATTGTAAATAATTTCGCTGTCAAGAACTTAGCAAATGGCCCCCAAGCAAAAGTACTATAATCTACCCAGACAATTTTATCAGTACTGCGCACGGACTTCGTATACTCGTGTTGATTCTACACAATCCCAGCACACGAAGCTGGGATTGATGTAAGACTAATACCACAAGCTTATGCAGATAACCTGTTCAACATGATGAAGTAACTTCAAATACGTGCCTAGTTTATAGAACCATGTGTTGGGAAAGGTGGATCTTATTTATAGCCATACAAAAGGCTTCTTCCCCATGATCGTACGAAGATGTCCATCCGATGTAGAAAATGAGTCCATTTTTCAGTGTATACATTAACAAAGACATGAAGCTATTCGTACATCCCGAAACGCATATGAAAAAGATCGACAGGGCCTCGGTGGGATGTTGCAATGTACACAACCAGCCGATTGACTTCGAATATTTTAGTTCTCTAAGTTAGTGAGCTTAGATTTGAACTGACTAATAATTTTACATCTAGCTAACTAGAGCGGTTGCGAAACTGTCAAGATCAAGAAATGATTCAAAAGTCTACTTCCCAATGATTGAGTTGCTATCACCGTCGGCGATCATATTAGAACTCGGCAGTTTTAGAAAGTATTCGACAGGAAGATCAAGCTACGTAACCAGATAATCTCAGCCGGACGTAAAAGTATACCTGTCTAATTCTATGGTCAATCAGCTGCAGGCCGGAGCTCGGGACTGCTGTCGGCCAGAACCTCGGGGATTTTATGGTAAGCGGATTAAAATTTCCTAAATTGGTATAAAGCCTTCACCTCTTCCATGTTCCTCCGTCGGGGAGTTGGAGAACTGGAGCACCGCCGGAAATACCGTAGCAGCGCTTTTTGCATTATCTACCATCACTAGCTTTCTCCCCAAGACGCACCTTCTGAGTAAATCTTGATTTTTTAATTCCAAAACAGGAGAAGATAAAAAAGCAAAAATGCCAAGCCTGGCAGAACAGGAAGCTACACTCAACCAGTTCATTCAAGGCTGGCGAAAATGGTCTACAAAAGAAATGCTTGCATCCTGGGACGAGAGTGCTACACAAAAGGCGTTACCATTCTCTTTGGGTCACCCAGCTCGTACTCGTGCTCAAGTTGAAGATACTTTGCCCATTCTTCAGCGGGTAGTGACCAACTATGAAGTAAGCAGAATCATAACACAGACCAATGCGTACATATATGTTATGAAGCACGAAAAAGCTGATTATTCCCCAAAGCTAAAAATCCATGAGATTGTGCAGGATGTCGCTCGAGGCAAGGCTGTTGTATATGCTATCTCAAAAGGAGACACCCCATTTGGAAATTGGACTAATGAATATGCGGTATTCATTACGTTCGATGAGAGCAGGCGGAAGATTATAAAAATTGAGGAAATGGTTGATTCAGCCTTTATGAATGAGTTTTTCCCGAAATTCCAGGATTATTTACGCCAGCAACAAGGTGCCGCTAGTGGGCCGGCATCTTAATGGCCATTCTTTCCCAGGATACACATTGAAGGGAAGAAATATGGCGGTGATATCCAATTTCTCAATTCGTCTCAATTTATATTCAGTAGTTACTTGAATTGGGAATGGCTAGATAGAATATAATTGACTGTCACGCTCATACAGATGCGAATAGACTTTTATGGTAATTTGCCTGTGGTAGCATCCAAATCCCAGCTACAGTTCAACTTTGACTCGGTGAAAGCCAACTGCGAGTAACAGAATTAAGAATGTCGGTACCCGACTGTAGATTTTTAAAAGCAGCCTCGAACGAATAAATTAGAATGAACATAGATAAGCAGTTCATCTCATCTCATATAAGACTTGGCACTGCTATGTATTTGTCGGTTATACAGTACATCTACAAAGAGACCATTATGTCTACCTACACAGTTTTGGGTGCAACTGGCAACACCGGCAGAGCGCTCATTGAGACTCTGCTACAAAATCCAGATGCCAAGGTTAATGCCTTTTGCCGCAATAGAAGAAAGCTCATTCAACTCCTGCCACAAACTGAATCAAACCCACAGATTGAGATATTCGAAGGCGGTATTAATGACGTTTCACTTCTCGCTTTAGCTATACAAGAGGCTTCAACTGTCTTTCTTGTTATATCAACGAACGACAATGTCCCGGGATACCGTGTCGGACAAGATGTTGCCATCAACGTTATTCGTGCACTTGAAAAATACAAATTACAGTCTTCCAGTGGTGCAAAGCCACCAAAGCTCATCCTCCTGTCGTCAGCCACGATCGATGACCAATTATCCCGCCATACGCCGTATATTCTTCGGCAGATCTTGCTCTTATCCGCTTCTAATGTCTATAATGACCTAAGAGAGACAGAAAGGATTCTAAGGGCAGAGCAGAGTTGGCTAATTACTATTTTCATCAAACCTGGAGCATTGACCGTGGATAGAAAAAGAGGTCATGCACTAAGTTTCTCGGAGGAATCGAGTCCTTTGTCATATCTCGACCTTGCAGCTGGGATGATTGAGGCAGCGGATGCCGTTGATGGACGCTTCGATATGCAAAACGTCGGGGTTGTGAATACGACTGGGAGGGGTAAATTTCCCTCGGGGACACCGTTGTGTATTCTCACGGGCCTATTAAGGCATTTCTTTCCTTTTTTACACCCGTACCTACCGTCTACGGGACCTAATTAGTTTTGAATCAATCATTGGTATATATAATTTAATTCGCTAGACGCTTGTAGAGGTTGAAGGCCTCGGGGATTAGGGCTAGCACCCAAAAGCCAACCGTCGGGGTGGGGCGATAGTTATACATACCACTTATAGTGCTTAAGCTGTCCCAGTTGTGTTCAGCTTGTTAATTTTTACAGTTTTTACGATATCTGACTCTAGGAAAATGCTGTTGAAGCTTACTCTCCTTCTTTTTCCGCTGCTATCAGTAACAGTGGCCACTAGTCCCTCGTCATCTTCGGTATGCGCAGATTTCTTGATCCCGGTCAATATCACCTCGCAGCATGCCATTCTTGATATTGAAATTGGCGATAACTGGGACGTGGAGGATTATATCTTCAATTCTACCCGTCGGGACTCCTTGACGACTTTCAAGCCCATCATCGGAGAGGTCAATGCTTCTGCTGAGTACCGTATCGGTGCTACCTTTTGTACTCCTAAATCAAAGATTAATGCTACTGGGACTGCTTTACTTTTGACTCATGGCTCAATGGTAGATCGGAAGTACTATATTCTATCTTTGATACCGCTGCAGAAAGACGTTTGCTGATATGTGTATATCCTTTTAGGTATTGGAATCCGATATTTAACGGCTCCGAAATATACAATTTTGTTCAACACGCTGTTAATAGAGGATATTCGGTCTTTTTTTATGATCGCCTGGGGAATGGGGAGTCATCCACGTAACAATGACTTCCTAATTTGAAATTTTGTGCTCAATACTAATCAAGAATAAAGTCCCGATCCCATTGCTGACGTTCAATTCCAACCCCAAGTCGAGATTCTATCAATCCTCACCAACTTACTGAAACAGCCGGATTCTCCATACACTCAAGGCATCAAAGTCTCCAAGATTGTCCATGTCGGTCACTCCTTTGGTTCCTTCCTCACTCTTGCAGCTATCACAACAAACCCAGAGAATTTTTCAGATGCAGTTATCCTTACGGGCTACTCAGGTGTGTATGATTGGCTGGAGCTGTTCACTTCTGGCGGTCAAGCACGTATTGCTGCTCTTTCAAAGCCAGAGAAATGGGGATTATTACCTCATGGCTATCTAGTCCCCGTAGATGCTTACGCCGCGTCTTATGGAGGATTTAAGTCGCCCTTTTTTGATCATGCTGTTGCTCAGTGGTTGAGTGAGACACAGGTTCCGTATGCAATTGGTGAATTATTGACAGCTTCTACAATCATTCCAGACTTGTCATTGATCAAGACTCCTGTTCAAGTTGGTTACTATGATTTAACAAAGCAAAGAAAAAGAAACACACTAACTGCATTCTACAGGTGGTACAAGGACGGTATGATTTACCTGCGTGTGGCGGAAATTGCGACGGAGTTTTGAACACGACAGTTACACTTTTCCCTAATTCTAGTCGACTCCAAGTCACTGGCCTTTTTAACGCGGGACACATGTTAAATTACCATTATGAGGCAAGCAGTGCGTTCGATTCAATTACCAGCTTTCTTGAAGGCGGTATATGAATAGCAAACTGAATGTTTAAAGAGATATTATGAAGAGAGCTTACCGCTCCGTGATCCGTTCTCCTTTTCAAGATATTCCTCCCAAACTTTCTTGACATCACTTCCATAGACAAATTCTAAAAACTCTGAAGATCGTCTTCCTCCCAGTCCGTCCTTCGACATCAACTCTCGCAATCTTTCATTGAAACCCTCTCGACTTTTTTGTCCTGATTTCTTGAGAGATAACTGTTGGGTTTCGCGGAATTCGAACCTTGAAAGATAGTCGATCGTCAATTAGTATTATTGAAAGTTAAAACGATGAGAAATTTAATACTCACATCTTTTTGTAGTATGGTGCTCTAATTGAATTGTATATCCTCAAGGCATCTGCGACACCTCCAGAAATCGAACGGGAATACTCGATAGTCCGAGCGAGTATCCAACTATCTTCCATCGCGAAAGCCGAACCGGAACCGAAGCCGCCTGATTTGTCGTAAGCAGTTGCGTTTGTAGTATTGAAGAATAAAGCCTACCTCCTGATGGATGACTTGCATCCCCAATAAGGACCAGCTTACCCCAACCGGTGAGGTTCTCTATAAATGGCCCTGCATATCCAGAGAATTCTTTCCATCCACCTTCGGGAACTTGCTTAAGAACTTCAACCATTGGTGGATAATAGTCCTGTAAAAAGGTATAAACCATTCAATTTCATAATAGGGCCTTTTCCTCTGAATCTCGGGTCAATTTACCTGGAAACGCGATAACACCTTCTCGTTACCAACTGGTTTTCCCCAGCTGACTGTTTCCCCTGGAACTTCGGGCTCGTTAACCGAACGGCACGAGACTTCCATATGTTCTAGATTCGAAAGTTCGTCTACAGGAGACATATAGATTGCAGAGCCAGCACCACGCCACCAATTGGTCACCGTGAGCGAGATATCTGGGATGTGAGAGATCGCCGAGACAGGGACCAATGTCCTCCAGCCTACAGAACCTAATTTTGGAAGCCGATCAGACGAAGCTTGAACAAGACCAAGTTGGACATACATACCAACATAATTAATCTTATAGTCCGGGTATATATGCTGTCTGACAACCTGTATTTCGCAGTCATCGTGTGAGAATCGGGACGTGGTGTACATGTGGGCGGGTGTAACTAACAGAACGAATTCCATCTCCTCCAACCACGATATCCGCAGTCGTTTGAGAACCATCCGCAAAAATTAACCTCACGCCTTTCTCCTCGAGGTTCTCTAAGGTTACAAGTTTTTTGTTGAAATGCACTGTATTTTTCGGAACTTCGGTGTATAGGGCATTCTGCAGACGCGACCTCCGGGTCCTACGAGCTTGATACAGATCGTTTGGGTTATGCTTGAAGCCGGGGTCAACGACTTCTCCAGTGTACGCATTTCTGAAGTTCACGGGTCGTCAATCTGTGTTTTGATAAAAAAATACGGATTGTGAAAAAGAATGCACACCTCTGTACAGTTGGAACGGTCGCTGCGCCGGTAACTGCTTTTCTGGCGCCAAGGTACTCTAGCACTTTCCAGCCATTGTGGTTGATGCTGATACCTCCACCGAGATCTGATATCGCGGGCGCCTTCTCAAATATTCTCACATAGACATTAGGTAGTTGAGAAAGGGCGATTCCAGCAGAGAGCCCGCCAGGTCCACTACCAATTATGGCAATACTGAGCACTTCTGGCTGCGTACTGGAGGGCATTATGGTGAATAAAATGCTGACCGAGGCGGTAAATTTCCTATGTCAAATTATGGCTTTATGTCCTTGTATATATTATCCTGCGATAACAACGATCGAACCACAGATAGCGAAATATTTTTTTTAGGGTTTCTCCGAGAAGGAACAATTCGCTGCATTATTATTTATGTACCCATTGCGCCATTCGCGTGGCTTGTAACGCAAGTCGCTTAGGTATCAATGAATCGCTTTCGTTTTCCCGGTGCACTGAGTTCGACAGCTCGAGCTGCGCCGGAGTTTGGCTACAGCGTTTCTGTATCCCTGCGGAATCAAATTACCGAGTTCGTCATGTCGTGTCGGACTGTGGAACACACATCTCAAAATGGCGTGTTTTCGACAAACAATCACGTCTATTTCAACACTTATACAACAGCGCTTATTGAAAGATATAAGGCTGGAGTTATGGATATTCAATATGAGGGTTGAACCGCAACTTATCACCTGGGAGCGAAAAAAACTTCCGTGCTCTCGGTTCGAATCGAATACTGTAAACATTCAAGATGTCGACAGACGCGGAGAGTGGCCAAGTCTCAGAAGAGAATAAAGAGAGGAAGAGCTGGAAAAGTTTTGTCTGGGATAGTCTTGACAAATCCCCTGAGGAGAGACGATTGGTCCTGAAGCTTGACCTGACATTGCTAACATTGGGATGCCTCGGTAAATTGTTAAGAATATCTTCAAAACACGAATTATTACTAAATGTTTCATAGGTTACTTTACAAAATACCTTGATCAGGCAAACCTGACCAATGCCTTCGTGTCTGGAATGTATACAAGCTCTTTGATCTTGACAAAGGAAACAAATGCTAACCGTCTCAAATAGGAAGGAAGACCTTCATATGTTCGGAAACCAACTGAATTACGCGACCACTTGCTTCACTGTCGGATATATTGTTGCCGAAATCCCGAGTAATTTAATATTAACAAGAGTTCGACCATCAATTTTCATACCTACTTGTCAGGTAAATAAAAAATACTCGTTGTGGAAATGCTTATTGACTTCAATTTTAAGATGTTATGGACCGGTCTTACTATGTGCACTGCAGCTTGCAAGACTCCAACCCAGCTCTACGTGCTCCGATTCTTCGTTGGTATGTTTTACTAAATTCGAGAACATGCTAAAGTCAAGATTATTGTTCTGACCGGCCATTACAGGTGTTGCTGAAGCCGGATACTATCCGGGCATGAATTATATGATCGGTTCCTGGTACGGCAAAGACGAGATGGCGAAACGAGCCTGTATCCTCAACGGAAGTGGTTCAGCAGCCCTCATGTTCTCTGGTTTCTTGATGACCGCAGTGATTAATTTAGGCGGAAAAGGTGGACTTCCGGGATGGAAATGGTATATCAGCCGAAATTGCTTGCGTTGCGTTCCATATCAGTACTGTGGCTGACTCATTCTTGTTCAAGGTTGTTCATCATGGACGGCGTGATATCTTTCCCTATTGCTGTTGTTAGCTACATCTTTTTGCCAGACTCACCGGAGACCTGCCGAGGTTTTCTATTCACGAAAGAGGTGAGACATCTGATTGGGAACTCTCTTTCTCAATCCATGAATTATAATAAGCTAATATTGAAATTCTTACCAGCAAATTACTCTTGCCAAAAAACGAATGGTACTCGCGGAGCGTCGTCTGAAACAACCCATCACATGGGCAAAAGTGAAGAAAATTTTTTCATCTTGGCATATTTATCTTCTCAGCCTATATTATATGTGAGTAGGAGAAGTAGCTCCTTCGAAAAAGATAATTGTCCTTGCTTACTTCCATAAAGCATGATCAGCGGAACAAGCGGAACTCCTATTTTCCCACAATACCTCAAAGATCATGTGAAACCCAAATACAGTGTTCAACAAATTAACCTTTATCCAACAGGAACTTATGCGGTTCAAATATTCTCTGCACTGGTCTTTGCATGGGTGTCGGATGCATTCTTAAATGGACAGCGATGGGGAGTCCTACTCTTTGGAGCGGTATGTTGCCTGGGTCCCCTCTGTTTCTCTTACCATCGCTAGGAATAAACAGTTATACTAAATTTTATTTAAGGTTTTTAACCTCATTACTATGGGTTCACTCGCCGCTTGGAATATCGCTGAGGGTTGGCGCTGGGCCTGTTACTATCTGGCCGGCATACACGTCGGTGCGTCGGGTATAGTTTTCACGTCAGTCTCGTTTTTCCTTTCCAAAAATATAATGTAATGATACCCTCCCTAACAACCGAATAGCTGGGCGAATGAAATTTGTACCGACGATACTGAAGAGCGTGCCCTTGTTCTAGCAACAATGAATTCAATGGTCAGTGTCGTTGGGGCTTGGCTTCCACTCCTGGTCTGGCAGCAAGTCGATGCTCCAGTATATCATAAAGGGTTTATCACAGCTACTGTGTTTGGTGCTATTGCTGTGATCCTTATTCCTGTCATGAAAATACTTCAGGATAAGGAGGTTAAGGAGTAAGTTCTCTATATTTCATTTGATAGAAATTACGACTGGCAGAGGATAAGCTGACCAAAATCCTTTTAGGAGACGTCAACATCGAGAGTTAGATACAGATGTCAGTGTCGTTAATCACAGTGGGAAAGAGCTCAAGTAGGTATCTGCAAGTCTGTACTCTCTTTGCATCTAGGATTAGAAGGTACAGATATCGGGAAACCACAGGAAGAGATAATATTCAGACACAAGTATTGGAAAAGGGATCTGAGCTTTTAGTTTTTGGGATTCATGCGCTTTATCAGGTGCATAAACATAATCGAATAATAGAATCTTACATTTATATTTCATGTAAAGAGATAGCTCTTTCTTGACACATTGGCATCAATAGCCCGAAGCAATGGTGAGCCCCGATGCGTGGTACAATGTCGGAGTCCGACGGTTCCTTTCAGGGCTACCTACAAATATTCGCTCAATTATATATGTCGTCTGTTTAGGTAACCTGCTTTTTAGGCAACAGAAAAACTACTTCGTGGAGCTACTACTTCTCCCTTTGATTCGCTTTGGTTGCTATCGAGGATGGAAAATGGCTCTCTTCTCCAGTTTCTCATATGAATATGCCGCCTATGGTGGTCTCTTTTTGCTGGTATGGATTGTGCTGTATCCGTTGTTTTTTTCATGGAGCAGAAGCATCCCCGGTCCCGTACTCGCGAGATATACACGATTCTGGTATGTCTGGAACGTTTTTAACTATAAATTTCACTTGGCCAATAAGAAACTACATGAAAAATATGGTAATATTGATATTTTCTCAAATCTGGGAAATGATTTCGTTCTTGGTTAACAAACTCAGGGAAAATCGTACAGGTGATGCCGGGATACTTCAGTATCGACGACCCAACAACACATAAAATCATTTATAGTCACGGCAACCCATGGACAAAAGGAGAGTCATATGAAGCTTGGCATGTCGGGCCAAATATGTCCAATCTATTCAGCGAACGAGATCCGGCGAAACATGCCGCGATGCGTCGCAAGGTTGCATCAATGTACTCTATGTCATCGATGGTCTCCTATGAGTCGTATGTGGACAGCTGCATTGAGTTACTTCAAAATCAGTTTTCTAGAATTGAGGGTTTTCGGTCCGATATCGATCTGGCATATTGGTTCCGTTGTTATGCGTTTGACGTGATATTTATGATTACAGTACTGAAAATTTCACACCCCCTTCTCTTGGAAATTAATGTTTTATGCTAACGTTTATTGATATACGTTATAGTTCAGTGAGAGGCTAGGATTCCTCACCAAAGGCGAGGATATTGCAGGTCTCATGAAATCGCTTGACACAATCTTACACCTCCATACCTTCCTTAGTGTATTCCCCTGGCTGATGCCTATGGTTCATTTTATACATGGCATTCTCTCCAAGAATAAGGAAGTTTATCACCAGAAATTTGGGAATGAGAAGATCAAGTTGAAACGCCAAGAAACAGCAGATGCGGACGAAACAGGACCCGTATGCATGGTCAAGAAGTTCATCGACGCCCAAAGGAGGAAAGATGACAATAAGGGCATCACGGACTGGGATATTTCGCTCAACGCTGGTGCAAATATCGGTGCTGGAAGTGATACAACGGCCATTACCCTTAGTTCTATTGTATACTTCATATATCAAAACCCTCAGGTCCTCGAAAAGGTTAGAGATGAGATTGAGACTGCTAGACTTGCACCAATACCGACGTTCCAGTCGGTACAACAGTTGCCCTATTTGCAGGCTGTTATCAAAGAGGTGACCCGTGTAAACCCAGCGAGCGGGTTGCCACTGTGGAGAGAGGTTCCAAAGGGAGGTGCAGTTCTATGTGGCCAGTATTTTCCAGAAGGGGTATGTTCTCGACTACTTTTCCATAGTCGAACGAGAAAATCATTGAAACTCGGGCTAACTTGGGAACCTAGACAAATATCGGCGTAAATTCCTGGGTTGCAAATTTCAATAAAGACACGTACGGACCGGATGCTGACCAATTTCGACCAGAACGCTGGATCGAAGCTTTCAACAGCAGCAAACCTTTCAGAGAAGATAGTTATCTCACGTTTGGGCTTGGATCTCGAACTTGCATAGGAAAAAACATCTCACTGTTGGAAATAAATAAGGTCATTCCCCTGCTTGTACGTGACTATGATATCGAATTTATCGCCAGAGATGGCGCTAGGGATCGGCGGACTCGAAATCTTGTTGGGAGGAATATGTTCTTTGTCAAGCCAGATTATCTCCACGCCCATATTTCAAAAAGAAGATAGAGAATGACTGAATATCACGACTAGAAATTGATATCTTCATTATTGTAATCATAAAATTTGACATTAATTTAGGTTGGACTAGCTGAGAGTGTAAGACGGGTTAGGAGTAAGGTAGTGGTATAAATGTTCAGCATGGGCGAGTTGTCATGTTGGGAACTGGATCGTGAAGGCGTGAATTTAAACCTAAATCATACCGAATTACCGAACTAAGGGGTCCAATCATTTAGTTTTGTTGTGAAGTCCTCATAATGTTTGGCGGTCCCCGGGTGATTGAGCCGGAGACTCGAGAGGGGTGGTATGGCTTTTCCTATTGGCCAATTTTAAGAGGCCTAGCGAGTGGAGAGATCTTGCGCCATCGTTCTCTTCGACCGCAAGTCCAACTTGAGCAGTCACAGATATCATTGTATTCTGTTGCCTGCTCGCCTATTATGAATTCTTCGCTGGTCCGCCGGAATGGCCGACAGCAATCCTGCGAGCGGTGCCGCAAGCTGAAAATCCGTTGCGACCACACAATCCCTCAATGCCTTCGCTGCTCAGCTAGAAAACTGGTCTGTGTCTACGATTCGGCCCCGATGACCAAGAGATTCCGCCCGGCTCGTTTCCATATGGGTTCAGGATCTGAAAGGGTTCGTGCTACAACCAAAGAGGCGGATGCAAATGCAGATGTGGGGGCTGATACCGAGACAGATATTATCGTGCCTGAGCCAATGTAAGTGTGAAAAAAGCCTCTCTTTTGACCGTGATCCTCAAGCCACATCTGATATGGCCGCTTACTAGCATGTGTGTAGCCCAGCAAATCATGGCTCCGATAAAGCGCCTTCTGTCTCCCCTATATCAGTATCGCCTACACAACCCATCGAAATCACAGTCTCCTCACCCAAAAGTGGCATGTTTCTTGGCCCTATTAGTTACCGGGCTCTCTTGCAAGAGCGTCAGAACTCCCAAGATCAGATGAATATAGATAGTGGCGGCCCAACAACATACCTTTCTGCTATGACCACCCACACAATAGATTCCAAGAGACTTGATCTGGGACTACAGGTGGTCAATTTTCTCCGGGGTCACGCGCAGTTGTTGCGTAACTTGATGAACCATATCTATCGTGTAATACGGATGGCTGTGATGTCGCAAACATTGATGATGCCTACACTCGACTCTCTCTGGAACCTTATAGATGATCATGCAGTGTCCGACGACGATGCAAAATTACGCATCACTATCCGCATATTCCAGAACTCATATCAACCCATACCCATGACAAAGTCAATGACAGCGACTGAATTTTGCCAATTGATCAGTGGAGAAAATCTGCGCTGGGAAACAATTGGCAATGTACTCGTGATGGCCAATCTATGCCTCGTTCATATTCATGAACGAGATCTCTCTCTTCTTGACCCAGAGCGCCGGAGCAAGCAAGATCTGATGGCCCTGTTTTATGATATCACCGACTGTCTGATTTTGTTGACCAATGCGTCACCTGTGGTAAATGAACTCTCTGTTTGCTTGAAATACAATCAGTTGTTACTTATTTTCCATCGATTTGGTGATTCAAGTATAGACCCCCTCCTCATCGTCTTCCATAGCTTGCCTCTGCTCACATTTGCTATCAGGTCAATACCTATATTCCGTGTTTATGGAGCTTACATCTTCCATTTACGCGACTGGTATTCATCAGGATACCAGTGCAGCTGGTAAGTATCCCACCTTCATTCATCAATGGCGCCGGAAATGTTTCATTTCCGTCTACTCAATGGACAAGACTCTTGCAACCATCCTCGGTAGACCACCAGTAATGCATCGACATTATTGTATTCTAGAACCTCCACTGGATATCGACGATAATTTAATCGGTTCGGACCTGGATAACGAGCTACGTAAATTGGATCAGCATGGATGGAACAGCGATGGTAGATGTCGTCCTACCAGTTTCATGCGTCTACGATATCTTCTTGCAACAGTTCGGGAGGAAATCCTTGAGCTTCATCTGGGAGTGAGAAGTGGGAATAGTACCGATAGAGCGCAGTATGGCAAATCGCCCTCGAGCCGATCAACTGAACTGACTTGAACAGACTTGTACTACAAAAACTACAGTTCATGTGGGAAAACTGTCCCAATCATTTGAAGTACTCCTCTGAGATGTGGGATAGTACATCTTTAAGTACTCATGACATATGGTTCCTTCTCTGCTTTTATATCGAATATCTTTATTCCACATTTTTGATATTTCGAATCGCTGCTCAGGATCACACGCAGCCTCGAAGTAAAGACTTGATGCTATCCGTGGCGGGGGATGTGCTATCGACTGTCTTGGTCTTCAATGAGCAGCGTGAAAGACTAAGAGAAGTCCGCAGTGACTTCTCTGGAATAGTGAGTTTCTTTCATCGCCAGTATTATCAGGTGGACTGAGAGTCTGGCTATATAGTTCCTACCATATGGACTTCCCTGCGTTGAAGTTCTTACAAAGGAACTGCTTCAGCACTCTATCTCTCCTAATCGAGTAGGAGCAGATTCAACAACGGCATCTCCCACCAACTGTAGCACACTTCCCCGTGTGAAAACAATCCGTCAACTCACGCTTTACCTTTCATGTTTGAGCTGGGTACCACGGCCGGGAAGTACCAATTCTGATTTCTGCAAAAAGGTAAAGGAAAGGCTTTCACCGACTTTGGATCAAATCATTGATTCTCCACACCTAATACCATCCAATGTCAATGACACTAACTCGGGCTCTCGCTCTGGTGAGGATGGAACAATTGCAGTATTCCAGGGCTTCCATACTGCTGGCCAGGAATTACTTGACCCATACTCGGTTAGTTGGACCAATGGGACTATTTTTGATTGGGATACTGGCACATATTGGGATTCCAATGGGCTAGATCTATTCTCGGGTCCAGTTTTCTGAAGCTCCAGGTCACTTTTGAAAGCCTTTCCTGGCGAACCTTGAAATCCATATAGGTATGAATTCGGATGGAGAGTGGGAAAATCGGCAATAAGATAGAGATTCTACCCAGTAATTTTATTGTTAATGCGTTAAGAGGCTGTTACAAGGTTGTTGGAATCCTTAGATATATAGACCGAATTGATGGGACATTAAATATCGAAAACATGGCTGGTTTTGAGCGCTCACTGCTACCTAACAAAGCGAACTAAATTCGTTCGTGAACACAACTAATATGATCTCTTACTGCAACTTTCCTCCCTGACCAAGTCCAGCTTGAACCGCCGGCCGCGCAAGTAATTTATCGAGCCAAGCCTTTACATGAGGATAATCATCAGGATTGTACTCCTCCACACTATGAATCTTGGTAACAAGTCTCTGCCAGGAGATCCAGGCTATATCCGCGAACGAATACTTGTTGCCAACAAGCCAGGGACCATCGCTACCTTCTGGCACTTTTTGTTCCGAGAGATGCTTCTCCAAAACAGCCGTCACGCGGTTGATTTCTTTCACGTAACGCTCAACAGCGCTGGGCAGCTTTTCTGGATGAAAGTTCTTGAACCAAGCAGCTTGCCCATAATAAGGCCCTTGCCCGGAGACTTGAAAAAAAAGGAATTGCTTTGCGTGATATGATTCAGCAGTTCCGGGGGGAAAACTGAGCTTGTAATCCTTGTCGTATTTCTCTATCAGATACTCAAGGATTGCCCCGGATTCCCAAACTTTGATATCCGTATTTGGGTCATAAATCGTTGGTAGGCGGCCATTAGGGTTGACGGCTGTATATTCCGGTTTTTTGACGTCCGAAAGGGGGACAGCAATAGCTTCGTAAGGAATTCCGAGTTCTTCGAGAAGAATGGCCACTTTTGGAGGGTTTGGGCCACCTTTACCCCAGACGGTGATTGGCTTGAGCGACGACATTTCTTTTGACTTGACAAATATGTGGGCGATGTTTGAAGATAGCGAGAAGTTCAATAGTTGTTCTTACCACATACGAGTATCCACCAGAGCCAAGAGAAAGGCTTGGCTTTTATAATCAGGAATCAGGAAAGATATTGTTCAGCAAAGACTGAGGCGCGAGGGGTAAAGACAATGAAACTCATTCTCGGCATCCGGAGTTCGGCTTCCAACTTCCCGATTTGGCTCCTATCGAGATTGGTATCAATAATCCTTGTGTGATCATCCCTCCTTCGGAAAGATAATAAAGTTGCTATATATAGTTTGATTGGGTAGGAGAAAATGTTGTGATATTGCTGAATTTCTAAATTCCACTACACCACTTGGCTTATCCACCACTGTTTTATTGGTGGATATCTATGTCGGAAATTGTGGGTTTAATTGATATAATTAGCTCCTCCGTTATCTTTGAGTGTAGCTAAAATGCGTGGTTCGATATCAAGTAGGCTCATGGTATCAAAATGTGCAACACGAAAGAGCAATTCATATGTGAGTCTTAAAGCCCCGAATCAATCTGATCCACGACCGTCGCGTTAGTATAAGCCCACCAGTTCCTGCATGTCTGCGCCACGGTACTGGGAATCTTGTAGTTGGCAATGTCATCTGGCCTCTCTAGAACTGTGACATAAAGACCTGCTGCCACATGCCATGCAACATGACAATGGAAAGGCCAAGCACCGGGGTTATCCGCTGTAAATGAGATAACCATGTATCCGTTTCCGGGCACAAGCTGCGTATCTCTTCGTTGAGGATTATCCGGTCGGGTTATAATACCATCCCAAGTGCCATTTCCGACTGCTTCGACCAGATAATTATGACCGTGAAGATGCATCGGATGGGTACGAGGGTTGGCATTGTTTACAACCATTCTAATAGAAGAATTGGATCCAAAATTTTCCACGTTCCATTCCGGGTTGGGATAAGAGTTGTTACCCAGATTGGAAAGGAGTAGGATCGGATGATTGTAGTCACCCCGGAATGTGATATTATTCATGTACCAGAGATAAGAACCCGTTTCGTTCTGAGCAAGAGTTATATTTAGGTCCCAGGTCGTCGCGGGATTGGATGGTGATGCGATGGGATATAATGGAACGGTAGTTTCAAGAGGATCCTGTGAATATATCATTAGCCTCAGTCTCTGGCTCATAAAGGATGATGTAATCTTTGGAAATGAGAGAGACATACATTTGCACAAACCTGAACGGCGTCGGTAAAAGCTGGCCATGGGTCTGGCTCCGGTAGGTACTCGTTTCGGTAGTAGATAATAGCCGTGGCATTCGGCTGGATTGTATCAGCACATGGCTTCGCTGGACTTTGCGATCTCAAAAAGTACGAGCCCGTGGCATCTGGAAGACCCTCAACAATCACGTCCGTACGTTGACCAACCCCTAATTTAATATCTATAAGAAAAATTTCCTTTCTTCAGTTCATTGGATCTCAAATTTTGATGATGGTCATCACGAACATTGAGTTTGATATGGCACGACTGGAACGAAGTCATTCGCAATAACAGTCAGGTTATGTCCGTCTATTGAAATTGTCTGAAGAGCACTTGCACCAGCATTGACGAAGCGCAGTCGGTGTTTCTTCCCCGCTGTAAATTGAAAAGTGGAAACCCCTGCATTGCTCACACATGGGCTTGTGTCACCTTCGTCAACCAGAGAGCAGTTGTAGTTATTTCGTCCATTGATGAGACTATTAACGCCTGGCACGGTCTATCAATTGGTCAGTAACGAATTCGATGGCAATCCAATGGTAAAACTCACTACAACCGAAAAATTAGAACTGAAAGCTCTCTCGTTGATAGTGGTGTAATTCAAGTGATAGTAGTCTGTTACCAACACCGGACCTATATCTAGAACGGTTTCAGTATTTATCGTTTTAAATTTCTTGATGATATATGATCTTTGACATACCTAAGTCATAATCCGATGCTGTAGGGCCGTGAATAACAATTGGCCCAAAAACTCCATCTGCATATTGAGCTGAGTAATGAGAATGATACCAAGATGATCCGTATGTGTCTGCGATAAATGAATAGGTGAAGCTATCGCCAGGGGCGATTGGGCATTGCGTAACAGCAGGGACACCGTCATTCCATCTAATCGCATATGCGTCTTAGTCCGATCCTGCACAGTTTTGTTACTTTTGTTCTTACGGAGAATCTTTTTGCAAGAGTCCATGCCAATGAATTGATGTTCCCTCTACAGGATCCACAATATCATTTTTAACGGTGACTTGAATAGTGTCGCCCCTACCGTATCGCACGTCAGATTCCTTTTTTCCTCGGTGATAGCACTTCTTGTCAATCCCTACCAGTTTGCTTCAATCAGCGGCCCGGGAAACTGTCCATTAATAACTAAAGAATTCTTTGTATATCCGTCGGGTGCAATCTCCTTCCTTCCGATAGAGAAATCATATTTTCGGATAACACTAGATCCATGTAAGTATGTTATGGAATGACGACACGAAATGGGAGTCACAATTTATTTACCCAGTACACGGAATATCTAGCAGCCATTAGTTTGTAAAAAGTAGAGAGATTTGAAGGTATATACTGACCATCTGTATTCCTGTTGTGTAAGTAAAATATTGCTTTAGAGCAGGTAAACCAAAGAAAAAAGATCCATATACCTACCAGGGCTAGTTGCATTAGCAGTTCTACTTCCCCACGGTGTTCCTTGCGGCAATGGCTTGTGGTATCTATTAGTAAATGAGGCCAATTATATGACATTATGAATATGTCCATAACAACGGGCTCACCGTAATTGGATTTGTGGTATAAAGGTATGGGACACCGAGGTTGGCGTACTCAGCTCCTATTAATTTGGATTAGTCTCAAAATAGGAATACTGTTGTTATCTAGTGTGCCATTACCTGCGGCAATTTGAGTCAGAGCTAGAGAAGTCATGAGATAGACTAAACGAAGCATTTTTTAGAGACTTTAAACACAGAGGCAATACAAAGCAAGAATGAAGAAAATTGGAATATAAAACTCATGAATTGACTTGCACGAGAGCTCTTTCGTAAATATATAGACCTTAAGGGCAAAAGAGACTAGTAAACCATTAACAAGAAGCTCGTAAGCTAGACTACTTCAAAGTCAATTTGTCCGTGACCTGAGATATGAACAGAAAGTATGATACCGCGCTATAAATGATTCTAACGGAGTCCGTCCAATAGTTCTGTAGTGGACCAATTTTGATCTCAAAGGCTCGGTATCTATCTGACTTGGTGTTACAGTTGGTCGTTGATATACGAGTTGGGGGCCTTACCGGCCTCGTGGCAATTATTCTAGAATATGCATGCTTGTCCCTTGTAAATATTCCTTAGCTCGAGCCCAAAGGACTGGACCACATTCAGTATATTTCTAGCCCTACGTTGCCTTTGGTGAACACAACATTACATAAAATATTTTCCAAGTCTATCGGCAGTGAACGGGCATCATGGAAAAGTATAGATTCGAGCATATCTCGTGTCCCTCGTATAGCCCAGTCGCTAATTTTAACGACTCATTGTAAAAGGTACTTGGGTACCCTATTTCTGAATCAGGAAATTTAATACCGCTTACCAGCTTCCTAAAGCGGCACTTTTAATCCGTTGCCCAACCTCTCAACGCTATGGCATCATCTTGCAATCACAAAACGTATACTCACTTTCCATGACTATTTCTGTCGGTTTCCGATATTACGTCGCAAGATCATCATCGGGTTCCGGAAATACTGACGCTGCTTAAGGGCGGGCCTTTATTCATTGGAAAGATTAGGTTAGTAGCATACCCGCGAACTTGTCGATTTGATACATAGAAGAAATATACGATAACCAAGATCATATTCAGACAAACCCTAGAGCCTTGCTAGTATTGGAGGCTTTGAGCATGCGCATCAACTAGGAATGAAATGAACAAAGAGAGGAAGCAAATATCGACTGAGAATAAGCACGCTATTGACGAATTTCCCTATATTATCTACGATATCCTTATCCCGTCTATATGTAAAAACTGTCCAATTTCATTCCTAGTTGGTGCGCATGCTACAATTCCTCCAGAACTGCACAGAAAAGGCTCAAATACAGATTTCATCATAGCATTCCAGAATCACGCTCACATTCGATATCTTAAGTGATTTAGAGTCGTTTGTCATTAATTAGAATCAGCGCTGATCGCTTCCTACAGTTAGCGCTTGGTGTAATTCTGGCGAGAATGGATCACAAAGCAATAATAAGAAAATATGAAAGATCGTTAAATGCAGTCTAAAGACAAATGATTCTGAACAATATCACCGTCTAACATCGCTTTGCTAAGATAATTTTAGCAGGGAAATATCCTTCAACCACCCGTCCGTCTTTGAGCAGCTCTTCTAGTTCTTGCCATAATTTATTGTAACTAGAGGGATCGATAGCTGAGAATGGGAATGTCTTAAAATGTTCCTTGAGACCATCTAGATCGGTCTTGAAGCTCCAACCGTCTTCGTTTTCGAAGGTAACGATATCGTTTGGTCCAGTATAGTCGGGTTCAGACGCTTTCTGTCCGTACTCAGGTGGTAGGAGAGGTGTCAACCCTCCCTGGTCCATATTTAGGTGAATTCTTTTTGCACCAGGCTGAAAAAACTTTTCGTCTAAAGGCACCACGTTGTAATAGTTTGAACTTCGTTCCATAATTTTGATCGTTTCTTCAAGCTCGTCTGATGTTTTGAGAACAGCTCGACCACCTTGATGGTAAATACCAGACCATGCACCCTGTACTTTCGGGTCCACAAACCGCGCAGGCCCAAAGCCAGCAGCAACAAATGTACCGTTACTTTTCAATTGGTTTGAAATAGCCTGAGCTGTCAATTTTTGGTCAGCAAAATGTACTACATTTGTTGCAAAGACCAAATCGACGCTGTAGCATGGTATGTCGCTGGCTTCCTCAATTTTAGCAACACGATAAGTGAAGCCATTGTCGGATCCCAACCTATCCTTCGCGAGTTTGACATTTTCTGAGACAATATCTGAGATTATAACGCGCTGGAACTTCGAACGTAGAATCTGAGCATATGGCCCATTCCCAGCTCCTGCGTCGTGGGCAGTACCGAATTGCCCGCCACTCTCCTCGTGATACCGAAAAATACGCTCAAAAAAGACATCAGGTGCGCGTGGTCGACCCCTGAGATAATTTTCCCAGAATCCTTTGTCACGAGCGAATATGGTATCGTTTGTGTTAGCCATTGCTATGACTGTAAATGTAAGAACTTCTCGGAATAAAGAAATTTTTGAATTTAAACACTCTGTCGTGCCTCGTTTTAATTTTGACTGTGAATCTAGTTATTATGCTAAAATATGTCATCAAAAACCGGACTGCAAAATGATAGGCCCTTCGTAAGTCCGCACGTCACCTTGTAATCTCCGGTTTGAATGAGAATCAGAAATTCCTAAGACCGCATCCCGTGAGTGGATGCACCTCACGAGATTTTGACTCAAAAACACGATTTATTTACCGAGTGCATGAACAAGCAGGACTGGCCGCCATCAGAAGCTCCATAGCGTCGGAGATCAAGAGCCCCAGGATAACTTCCCTTCGGAATTTTATGCTTCGGTAAAGATTACCTAGGATCTAGCTTACAATGCCATACCCTACCTACATTTGGTCACTCTTGGATATTGAAGGAAACCCCTAAAGCCTTTCTCGATTTCTGACAACTATGTAGTCACAGCTTTCCACATATGCTGAATTCTAACCCTTACGCTAAACCTGATTCCAACTTAAAATTTCTCCATACATTAACATCATATTCTTTCGCCATATGTAGTTTACATGTGACTTAGAAAAATACACAATGTACTTACGTGAGGATATCTTGTAAGGTGCCCGTCAGTCCGAAAGTCACTCCAACAAGTGGAAGTAACGAGCGTACAATATGCAACCAACGCCATTTGTTAACCAACACTTGAACGTAAGTAAAGTCCGTTACTCCTGTTTGAGCATTCAGCTCAAAGAGAAGATCGTTCGTAGGCAACATTATAAACTTGGTGTACGGTATAATGCTGAGAGTGGAAAATGCAGCCAATGCATATACAATCCATGACTTCGATGCACGAAGATTGTTGAATATAGCATATATGTAAAGAGTAGCTGTAGCTATAGCGCCTGGGGGCATCAACTGGATGCCGTATTGATAGAGTCGTGCCCATTGGCGGAGCAGATGTGAGGGCTCATTGTTAATTTCCAGAAACACCGGAATAGTAACGAGAGAAATGCTCAACATAGCACCTGTATAAAAATTAGAAATTGTCATCAATGGCGATTCACCGCCAAGATAAGTCCTCGTCATACATACCTGAAAGAAAGGCACCAGTAACGACAGCAATGGCCTGAGCAGTTGTACCGGAGGATGATCTCTGGCGTGCCATGAGTTATACTTGGGCTAATACAGTATCAAATGTGTGTGTTGGGATTTGCGGGAGGTAAAACTCGTTGATACAATGTATTTGATATTCTTTCACGATATATATATATATATATTTTTTTTTTTGGTGTAGTTTCCAGATGTTTCGGCGGAAAAGCATCCCGGCAATACATAGCTCTGGTATATACCGAGAAGGCGTCGGGGATCAATATAGGCTGTAGGTTCTGATTAATTGCACCGTCACATTCCCGCTATGCCAGGTGTTTCACATGGATGCCAGCTACTTCTGAGAAAGTAGTGAAAGATTGCTCAGCTTGAACACTCAAACCAAGCCTACTACGCAACTTAGGAGTCCATTATGTAGGCAATATGTGAAAGTACATATGCAAATTACTACGCTATGGCTCTCTATGGATATGGGTAGAAGTAATCGTGGAGTAAAAGCGTTATACCTATACAGGCTCTATAGTAAACCATTTCTTCTGCCCCCCCTTTATCTCGAAAGCCACCTTGCAATCGCCGGCCAATTTTCGTAGTACCTCGTCCGTAAAAGGCTCCACTGCCATCTGCCTCACATGCTCATCAAGTGTATCGCCGTAAATTGCCGTGACAAGTTGCTTCACAGTCACACTGCCCTTACCGCTTCCGGCGCTCTGCTCCTCGCTTTTGATGCGACGCAAAGCGTGCAAAACCTGTCTCTCTCGTCTTTCCTTTGACCCTAGCTCCGTTGTAATCTTTGAGGGTAAATCACGAATAACTTCGCCGTGTGCAGGGTAGCCAATAGCGCAGTTATGACTTCGCATAATCCGCAATGACTCCATCCAAGTGGGAAGAATTTCAACGGCAGCAGTTCCGTGGCCGAGAACGTTGTCACCCGTAAACATGGCATTTTCTTCTTCCAAGATAAAGCACATGTGATCATGTGAGTGCCCAGGGGCATGAACAGCGCGAACAGTGGCTCCCTCAACTTTGAAAATCTGCCCGTCGGAAATTGGTTGTTGATTTCTGTCAGGGCTGTGCTTGTAGATTGAATTCTCGAGATAAGGGTACAAACGGAGCAAATCAGGTACTCCACCCGTGTGGTCACCATGCCAGTGGGTAAGAAGTACTTCAGAAAGGTGTACATGTGAATCCGCAAGAGTGGACTCGATCAAGTCGGCCCATTCCGGAATACCCTGGGCTGTATCAATGATGAGCCGCTTGGAGCCTGTACCGATAATATATGTATTCGTTCCTTGTAGGGTAAACTAAGTTTCACAGTCAGCAACTTGTGATCAATTTGTATTTCAATAACATGAGGTATCACTTCTGGCATAGCGAGATGTCCTACCTTTCCTTCGTTTTGACCCAAAACGCGAAGAACGCGAGGGGTGATTTGTTCTACATCATTTAGTCTAGGTAAACGTGCAACCTGTGTGTCAAGGTAGTCCTCGAAAGCACAGATGTTGAGTGTCTTGTTGATTTGACGGTATCCTCCTCGACCCATTTTGGCAGATATGAATCTGTCCTATAGAAAACAATGCTGCCTGGTGGGAAAAGAGGACTAATATCCAAGCTATCAATAATAGAGAATCTGTCCGATAGCTTATTAATCAAGAAATTTAATGTCGAGAAACCCCGATAGTTAATGAATTTTCATAGGATCTGCGGGCCTGCGGCACCGCTGCATCTCACTGCTACGGGGATCACTTTTTCAAAATTCCGAAAGTGTATCCCATCTGGGACTCTACATTCACGGAGTTGATATCAGTTTTCGGTAAATATTTTGTTAGATGTACTTGATAGTAGCAGAAACGGCCAAATAACCTGGTTTATTCAGCTGTATGCTAGATAGCGCTCAAGTGTACATATGACCAAAGGCATTGGCTTATAATAATCCCTCCTACCAAGGCCATTATGTCCTGCTTCTTTTTGTCTTTCCAAAATTCCTCTCAACAGGTATATTTCTTTTTGTGAAAACTGCATTCCCGCACATCCTAAGGTGGCCATTCAAAATGACACTTCGCCCCAACACTACACCATCTGACTCCCAGGGAGACTTTGTAAAGTTAAAACTCGCTTACTTTAGCAATGAGTTCCCAAGAGATGATTTGCATGACCTTCTCCGTCTACTGTGGTCCCGCAGTAAGGATAGGACACACCCTATCTTGGCCAACTTCATTGATGAAGCTACCCTAGCTATTCGCGAGGAGATACGGCTGTTACCGAATGCGCTGAGGACATTGATTCCGCCTTTCCAAACAATTTTCAACTTTGCAGACTATCCAGAGCTTCGTAAAGGCCAACTATCGGGATCCATAGACGGAGTCTTGCTCGTTGCTGTTGAGCTGGCCACATTCATAGGGTAAGTTTGAAAGGCTGACCATCATTTTAGAATGCGTTTCATTTCAGGTTCTAAATATCTATACAGGTACTATGAAAGTCATCCTGATCAATTTGATTTCGATTCTGCAAACAGCTTTCTGGCTGGATTGGGTATCGGATTGTTGGCAACTACCGCCATATCTTTGTCTTCGACGCTGGCAGACATTCCCGTCGCTGGAGCAGAAGTGACTCGCCTTGCTTTTCGACTTGGGGTCTTAGTGGATGACATTTCAATTAATTTGCAGCAACGTGACTGGAGTAGCCCAGATACACCTGATTCTTGGGCTTATGTAATACCCAATGTTGAAGCGGACGTGGTCCAGAAGGAACTTGACATAATTCATGCGAAAGAGGTAACCCATGCTCCGTGTCTCCACCTTCGAAGCTGGCTGAAACTAATACGAAGAAAAGAAAGCGCCCGAGGCGAGTAAGATCTTTATTAGCGCTCTCAGTCAGACATCCGTGACTGTAAGTGGTCCACCAGCAAGGCTGAAGAACGTCTTCCGCGTATCGGATTTTTTCCGTGACCGCAAATTCATTTCATTGCCTGTGTTCTCTGGTTTATGTCATGCAAGCCACATTTATGACGAGAAACATGTGAGAGAGGTAGTCAGAAAAAGCCCTCTAGACTCAAGCTTTAAGTATTCCCCGGGTATACCAATCTTTTCTACGAGCACAGGAAGACCGTTTGAGGCCTCGACGGCTACAGAGCTGTTCGAACGCGTTATTCATGAGATCCTAACGCAAAAGATTCAATGGGAGAAAGTTGTTGATGGCATTATCGAAAATGCTAACAATTCTGGGACTGTCGACGTTCAAGTGCTCGTCTTCCGTGTATCTCTACCAATTCATGACCTAGTGGAAGCCGTGAAAACCCACTTGCCACAGGCTAATGCGACTACCGATGAACTCATTTCATGGGCACATGAGGGGTCTCTTTCGATCTCCCCAAGGGGATCATTGCAGTCGAAAATTGCCATCGTGGGCATGTCGTGTAGACTGCCTGGGGGAGCGACAGATACCGAAAGTTTTTGGGAGCTACTTGAAAAGGGACTCGATGTACACAAAAAAATCCCAGCAGACAGATTTGACGTGGACTCTCACTATGACCCTGCTGGAAAGAGAGTAAATGCTAGCCATACACCCTATGGTTGCTTTATCGATGAACCTGGGTTGTTTGATGCGCCATTCTTTAACATGTCCCCTCGTGAAGCAGAACAGACAGACCCCATGCAACGATTAGCATTAGTTACAGCATATGAAGCACTCGAAAGGGCAGGATACGTTGCGAACCGCACAGAGTCCACAAATTTACATCGCATTGGAACTTTCTATGGGCAAGCAAGCGATGATTATAGAGAGGTCAATACAGCTCAAGAAATTAGTACTTATTTTATTCCAGGTGGTTGCAGAGCCTTTGGCCCAGGCCGTATCAACTATTTCTTCAAGTTTTCAGGTCCCAGTTACAGCATTGACACCGCGTGCTCATCCAGTCTGGCCACAATCCAAGTACGTTATAATTATTCCAGTTTAATCAGTGCTGACTCGTTTTAGGCCGCATGCACATCTCTTTGGAATGGTGATACAGATACAGTGGTAGCTGGAGGAATGAATGTCCTTACTAACTCTGATGCTTTTGCTGGCCTGAGCCATGGCCACTTCCTGTCCAAAACGCCCAATGCTTGCAAAACATGGGATTCGCAAGCGGATGGCTACTGTAGAGCCGATGGTATTGGGTCAATTGTCCTCAAACGCTTCGAAGATGCAGAGGCAGATAATGATAATATACTAGGTATCATCCTCGGCGCAGGGACTAATCATTCCGCCGATGCGATCTCAATCACTCATCCTCATGCAGGATCCCAATCATATCTTTCTCGAGAGATATTGTCTGCTTCGGGTATCAATCCTCTCGACGTTAGCTATGTGGAAATGCATGGAACCGGGACTCAGGCAGGCGACAAGGAAGAAATCCAATCTGTCTCCAATGTATATGCGCCTATCACGGGAAATCGACGTCATTCAAAGCAGCCGCTCTATATAGGTGCAGTGAAGGCAAACGTGGGCCATGGAGAAGCTGTCGCTGGCGTGACTGCTTTGCTAAAGGTCTTGTTGATGTTCGACAAAGAAATGATTCCTCCGCACGTAGGTGTCAGAAATGGCATCAATCCTACATTCCCGAAGGACTTGGATAAGCGGAACCTCCACATACCCTTTGAGAAAACCCCATGGATTCGAGACCCCGGGAGGAAGCGGATCGCAGCAATTAACAACTTTAGCGCAGCGGGCGGCAATACAACGCTTTTGATTGAGGAAGGGCCCATACGTGAGGTTACTGCCGTAGACCCTCGCTCAACTCATGTGGTGGCCGTATCTGCAAAAAGCAAGGGGTCACTGAAGAGAAACCTAGAGAGATTTATAACTTATTTGGGAAAGAATCCTGGTGCTTCTATATCGAACTTGTCATACTCATCAACAGCCAGACGTTACCATCACAACTACAGAATTGCTGTGGGGACTTCAGATATTCAGGAATTAAAGAAGCAACTCAACTTCCACCTCAATAAAGTTGATTCACATAAGCCGATTCCGAACACTGGGCCGCCCTCCGTTGTCTTTGCCTTTACCGGTCAGGGCTCATCTCATAAATCTTCGGACCTAGCACTTTTCAAACAATCTCCTGTATTTCGTTCCCATATCTTGACTCTCGATGGCCTGGCACAGAAACAAGGTTTTCCCTCGTTCGTTCCTTCAATTGACGGCAGCTTTCTCAAAGACCACAAACACTCTCCAGTGGTGGTACAGCTTGCTCTTCTCTGTACTGAGATTGCATTGGCGAAATATTGGGGCAGCCTTGGTATTAAACCTGATGTTGTTATCGGCCACAGTCTAGGAGAGTATGCAGCAATGCACGTCGCTGGTATACTTTCAGCAAATGATGCTATCTTCCTGGTAGGTAAGAGGGCACAGCTTCTACAAGAGAAAGTTGCCATCGGCAGTCACAAGATGATGGCAGTCAGAGCATCAGTTGAGCAAATTCAGGACGCTGCAGGAGACAAATCATTTGAAATTGTCTGCATAAACGGGCCCAAGGAGACCGTGCTTAGTGGGACTAGTGAGGAAATCCAGGCAATTTATGAGCCTCTTCAAGTTGCTGGTTACAAAACTCACATTCTTGATATCGATTTCGCATTCCATTCGTCTCAGACCGACCCTATCCTAGACGATTTCGAGGAGATTGCTAGAAGTAGTACTCTTTTCCAGGAGCCTCATGTTCCTATCATATCCCCGCTGCTTGAAAGGGTCGTATTTGATGATAAAACCATTGACGCAAAATACCTGAGACAATCAACTCGGCAGACGGTCAACTTTCTTTCTGCACTTCGATTTGCAAAAGATATTTCAATAATTGATGAAACGCAGGTATGGATTGAAATTGGTCCGCACCCAGTTGCTACCAGCTTTGTGAAAGCTACATTACCATCTGTCAATGTCACAGTCCCATCGCTACGCCGTGACGAGGACAACTTCTTCACGTTGGCCCACAGCCTTGCAGCCCTTCATGTTGCTGGAGTTCAAATCAACTGGAGTGAATTTCATCGACCATATGAAAGTGCACTTCGTCTCTTAGATCTACCTACGTATGCTTGGAACGACAAAAACTACTGGATTCAATATAATGGCGATTGGGCACTTACCAAGGGAAATACTTTCTACAATGCTGAAAAGGGTCTTGCAGCAGCAAAGACGACTCCAGTAGTAAGCTCGAGCTTGAGGACTTCTACTGTCCAGCAAATAATAGAGGAAAGCTTTAATGGGTCTGCGGGAAAAGTCACTATGCAGTCTGATTTGATGCAGCCAGACTTTCTTGCTGCTGCTTATGGACATAAGATGAATGGATGCGGTGTGGTTACTTCTGTGAGTCAACTGATTATTTAAGTTTCAGACCTCAGGAACGTGTGTATTCTGACATGCCATGATAGTCTATTCACGCTGATATTGCGTATACTCTGGGAGAATATCTTCACAAGAAACTTATCCCCAATACTAAGACTGTTGACATCAATGTTGCGAATCTTGAGGTTTCTAAGGGTCTAGTTGCCCGAAAGAATACTAGCGTCCCTCAATACATCCAAGTCTCTCTATCCACGGCAGATATCCATTCTGGAGTTGCAGTGCTCAAATGGTACAATGTCCAAACTAATGGGATGATTGCTGAGCCATTTGCCACTGCCAATATCTTTTATGGTAATTCGAATCAATGGTTGGATTCTTGGATACCAGTTACACATCTCGTTCAAGGCCGTATCGAGGCTCTTGAGAGGCTCGCTGCAGAAGGTGTCGCTAATCGATTCTCTCGTACAATGGCTTACACTCTTTTTGCCAGCAATCTAGTAGACTATGCCGACAAATACCGTGGCATGCAATCAGTGGTTCTTCACCAACTAGAAGCATTTGCAGACGTGAAGCTTACTGAAGAAAAGAGCGGCACCTGGACAGTCCCGCCCTACTTCATTGATAGTGTCGCCCATCTCGCAGGATTTATTATGAATGTTTCGGATGCAATTGATACGAAGAGAGATTTCAGTGTAACTCCAGGATGGAGCTCCATGCGGTTTGCGAAGCCTCTTATTGCCAGAAGCAGATATCGTTCATACGTCCGGATGATACCTACCACTGAAGACACAAATGTCTATCTGGGAGATGTTTACATTTTGCAGGATGATGTTATCATTGGTATGGTTGGCGGTATTAAGTTCCGCAGGTATCCACGTCTTTTGCTCAGCCGATTCTTCTCCGCTCCAGACGAAGCTGGTACTGCTGCCGCCGCAATAGCTCCGAAACCTGTAATATCAACACCTGCTGTGACTGTTGTAGCGGAGCCTGCTAAACCCGATCCTTCTCCTGAAATTCTACAACCCTCATCTACAGCTCCAGCGCTAGGAGTAAATTCTATCGATTCAGATAGCACAGCCGCCAAAGCCATGTTGCTCGTCGCTAATGAAGCAGGCCTGGAACTGGATGACTTGAAAGACGAAGCGAGCTTTGCAAGCTTGGGCATTGACAGCCTCATGAGCCTGGTTATCGCAGAGAAGTTTAGAGAAGAGCTTGGTATCACGGTGGGAGGCAGTTTGTTTTTAGAATATCCGACTGTTGGAGACTTGAGAGCCTGGCTCGTTGAGTATTATAGCTAAGTAGAAATTAATTAGGGCATATGTTTGATAGAATGAAATTGAAACATGAATTCGTCTTTTTTATAAAACAATCAACATAATGATACTGTTTTAATACATAATCCGCGTATTGTAAAGCACTCTTTAGGACCTGCTGTGTTCAACCTCTAAGAAAGTCTGGAATTTACATCATTCTCGAAAAGGCTATTTCCATTGACTGACTAACTATTAACTAATTATACACGTGCGGACTCGTCAGAAAGGCACATACTTATTTACACAATCACAAACTCAGCTTGGCGGCCTTTCGAAGGCATACGAAGCTCGAAATCCGTTCATATCTCCGAGGAAGATCTTGATGTGGTAACGATTATGAGCAGTGAGTAGTAATAGAATCAACAATTGCACAATTCCGTTTGATGGACAATGAGATCGTAATGGAATGTTCTCAACACTCTTGCTCAATTGGTCTCTTCTTGAATGATGGGAAAGCCATGCCTATTGTAGCTAATCAACTAGGCGATCTAAATCAGGAAGTCTGCCTGTAAATTTCCGTCGGGCTACGGGAAATGCCTAATTTTGATGCCCGCTTCGTGACGGAATATCTTGCGCAAATTTGAAATCCCCGATATAGTCACGCCAAGTTCGGTATGCGAGGTATCCAACGACCATTCTTTCTCGGATGCGATACTCAACCAATCTTATAGCTATGTCGGTCAATAGGGAATATGATCCTGTTTAGGGCAATAACAAAAAGAGATTGCTAGGAAAATATATTTCTTATTCTCTATAATAATTTTATCCTCACGGATGCTTATACTAATGAGCCATTAGCGTTTAACATGGCTTCCACATCATCCACAACCGAAGAACAGCCACAAGTAAAGGGTGTTTCAAAAAAGGCAAAGTTCTTGTGTCTTACAATATGTGGCTACCGTAAACCGGGGATGAGTGAAGAAGACTATAGATACCACATGACAAAAGTTTCAGCTCCAATGACCCAGGACTTGATGGTGAAATATGGCGTAAAACGGTGGACCCAGGTTTGTTCCTTTAAGGTCTTTATAGACTCAACATATGAAGGAGTCATTACTGATCAAGAAAATAAGATCCACAATACATCCTCTACTCGTGCACTCATGGCTCAACTTTACGACCCACAAATGGCAAACGTAGCCGATTATGATTGTTTCAGTCAGGTTGTTTTCAATAGCATCGAGGATTATAAACGGATGAAACAGGATCCTTGGTATAAGGAGCACTTAGTGGGTGACCATGAGAGGTTTGCGGATACTAAGAAGAGTAGGTAAGTTATACGTGGTCAAATATTGCGATTACAGAAAGTATCCGAATAACTGATATGTTTTGTACATAAACGAAACAGAATGACTATCGGTTGGATTGAGGAGTTTATTCGCGACGGCGAAGTTGTTGATGGGTTTCAGGGTGTTTGATATCAATAGAAGTAGCTATCCTCAAAGATGCTGTAAGAGAGGGTCAATCGCACAGTTAGTTGTTTGGGCAGAGACAAAAAACAAAAATATACTCTGGGCCATGCCAATTACAAAGAATATCCATTCGGCTAATGATTAAGTTCCTGGTTTCTTTCGACAAATACAAATTCTAAGTTAAAATCCCAGAGCTTCTCGAAGAACGGCGGAGAATAAAGACTGACGAACAACGCTAGTCATCACCATCTAGTTTGTTTTTTCTTTTTGTAGCGAGGACCAAAGCCACGGGGAAAGTAACTTTGCGTCTGGATTTTCCTCCTCCAAGAGCCTGTCGAAGCTGTTCAAGATCCTCCTCAATTTCGCGGTATTTGTCGCTAGCCTTTTTTTGGTAGCTAGGGTATACTGAACTCAAATATTCTTTGACCCGATCAACATCCCATTCATCCTGCCACCAGGTCCGGTCAGTGATCTCCTTTGTGATTTCTCCCTCTTGTCGTCGGTCTACAGGTGCAAAGTCGAAGTCGTAGCCCTCCTTGCTATTGAACAACAGAGGTACGTCGTAGTTCCATTTGTATCTCACGACATCTGACCATTCCGCGGCTGGGAATGCAATATTATCAAGATAGCTGATCAGGGCCTCCGCTGCACGCTGGTGTATAGGGAAGCCTGGTGATTCTTTGAAGGGCAGTAAGAATTGGCAAATGCGTGTAGCAATGCGATCATACATGGCATTCAGCTTTCCAGAGTCGTCAGCATCGGTAAAGATGGGCCGTCCGTAAAAGTAGATTGCAACAGTTCCGCCGGGACGAAGGAGGTTATGGAATGCCTCTAGGGCCTTCGGAGCGTCTAGGAGTGGGATACACTCGCTCACAATAATAAGATCAGTCTTTCCACGTCCGACACTGTCTGGAACGACTCCATCGGTAGCGAGGCCTTCAGCTGGAGACTTGACGAACGTCAGTCGCTGGATCTTCTCGACAGGTATCAGCAGCGGTGCAGCAGCAAGTGCTCGCTCGTTAACGTCTGAACCGACAACATGATCATAATACTTTAAAAGTCTTTCTGCAATATTTCCGGGCCCTGTACCGACATCGTGTGCAATGGCAGTTGTTGGGTCGCCGTGTGAAGTGTGATACTCGTGAATCAAGCGAAAAAATTCTTCAGACGGTGATGGACGAGAAGCAATATACTCTGCCCAAAATCCAGTCTCAGTGGTAAGAGCACCGGTCAGAAAGGGAGTCTCGGCCTCTTGGGCACTTTCTCCTGACATTTTGCTTAGTGACTATCTCGAAAATAAGCTGCAAAGGCTATGGCTATTTCTGGTTACAAAGAGCAGGTAAAGTGATATAGATATTAATGAACCCTTGCTCGTACTCCGGCACCTTACGGTTCTACTACCAATCGATGGATTGCTCGGTTCGGGCTATTGATATTTTTCGACCATCATATTACGTCGGGATTGCTTTCAATTGTATATGCCCGAGAGTACCTTGCATATGATCTAACAGCACTTCACTCAAGAACAATGGTCCGAGAACATTTGCCGACAAGTCCGTCATAGTAATAATGACTGAACTTCAGCAGTGTCATATACACCTCCAACTGCAATTGACCTTTCCAATTCCAAGGGAAGGCACAAATAATTTAACCGCAGTACTCAAATTTAAAAAACAAACAACTATAGCCATGGCAACAACCACCACCACCACTCAACAAATTCGTCTATCAGGAGAAAATCTGGGCCTTGGTCGCATTTCAAAAAACCCAGCTGGCTCTATTGAGACAGCTAATTCGTTATTGCAGAAGAATCACGATATATACCACATCTTTTGGAGAGATGTAGGCGGGCATAATCACATTGCACATTCTGTGCTCAGTATTCTAGCCCTTGGTGGTAGCCCTTCTGATTTGCAGCGAGCATATGACGATGGCGCCGAAATTCAACGTCCAATTCCTCCTGTGAACCTTGATATTGTTAAGGGGCTTGCTGATCCTGTATTTTTCCGCAAACATATTGGAGATATCGATCAGTACACCAATTTTCTTGTCTTTTTTGAGCAGGAAATTGCTGTCAAGGGCAGGGAACAAGTTCTTCAAGAATACGTTTTTGGTCGTGCTCCAAATGCCGAGACTATATTTGCCCAGCTTTATGAGGGTGCCTATCATCCTATTATACATCTTGGTTTCGGCGTCGAATTTGAGTTGCCCACCATCATTGCCGAGGGTCTGGCACAGGCTGCAGTGCACGACTCTGCCGGGCTTGAGGCCTTTTTCAATGAAACCGAGGAGTTGGCTGCTGCTGCCGTGGCTTCTGGACTAGACCGCAAACCTTTAAATACTTTGTATGATGAAGTCCGTGTAAACGACAAGATTCGGACTGCAGCCCGTCTTCAAGATGGTCCAGTACGAGTTCGGGACGGCGTCCTTGGACGGGCGGGTAAAGAAATAGCAGCCCTCGCATCACAATACCGCATCAAACCCACAGAACTCGAACGAGCAACTGCGGAGATGATCAATCTCAGTGCGTACTCCGCTGGAGCAGCTCAAAGACCGGGAAAGAAACGGAAGATCGATTTCTTCCACATGCACAATGTCAATTGCTCGATTTTTTTTACTGCATTTAACAACCAATCATGGATTAGTCTGGAAGATAAGGTCCGTTTAGTTGAACGTAAGGCGCGCCTTGATCTTGTCTGGTATGCCGCTAGTGCCGCAGCGGAACTTCATCTTGAGGCTATCGTGAATTATAAGCCCACTTTCAGTGCAGGTCTGGACTGGAAGGGACTTTATGACGCAGTGAACAAAACTCATGACGACGGTCATGTGGCAAAGTTCGTGCGGGCCATCAAGAATGGAGAGGAAGTGTCTAAACCATTCGAGGAAGGTGAGGGATCAGATCACTTGCCTGTCAAGGGAGAGTCATGGTTTAAACTTGCTCAGATGGCTTATGACACTACTTATAATCAAGAAGTAGATGATAAGTGGATCTGGGGTGTTGGTTACGATCCTCTCTGGGCTAAGATCCCAGCACTTGAGGAATGAAAAGGCTACTCTACTTAATTCTAAAGTTACACCAATCTCATACTACTCGAATACTTGATTATGAGAAGCTCTTCACAACACTTTCACTTAGGGAATATTGAGACTTGTTGTCAGCGGTCAGATTGATAGTTTTGGTATATCAAAGTCAGTCTATTCAGTACTATATTTAGCTATAGATATCTTCCTTTTGAACTTGAACTATAAATGCGTTGTCATATCATTCATTTATTAACATATAAAGCATGAACATTGCTCATTCTATATATTGTCGGATTCAAATTTTAGATACCCGAATCCTCCTGCAAGGTACCAGTCTTCTCGTTCACATTGGTGTACCAATCAGTCCACTCGTCGCACGTCTTAGAAAATTCACCAAGAACGTCTGCATTCTCCAAAAGATCTTTTATCTTACTTGGCTGCTCAATGTACTGTATAGAAAGGCCGTCACTGGCATGCCACGCAATATGGCAATGCATGAGCCAGGCACCCGGGTTATTGACCTGAAAAGCAATCCACAGATACCCATTCAAAGGACAATTTGCGACATCCCTTCTGGCAGGATTATCAAGATTTGGCACGATATCGCTCGTGAAAATACCCTCACCCTGGGCTAGAATGACAAAGTCATGTCCATGCAAATGGATTGGATGGACAGACTGCGGCAGAGTTCGAGCAGGTTCTACCCCGTCGACGGTGTAATTGTTCGTGATTACGAAGTATACCCATTCACCTGTGTCGAAGTCTAGAGTTATGGGCTGGGTTTCAAGTGAGAAAGTGGAGTTTTTATCCAAGGCGAGCCTTTTGAGACTTGGATCTTCCCAGTCAACTAACATGGGAACATCTTTAAGCACCCACTTGTGGATTCGTGAATTAGGATCTGACGCATTAGGCCATGCCTCTAACCCAATTTTGAGGTAATCGTCAGGGTCCATGCCGTTCACTCTGTTCCCAACTTTTCTCTTCACAATTGGGACGAGGCTGTTGGGATCCGGGTCTGCACAGCCATAATCTTGATATTGAGGTGGTGGTGTATACGGGTCGCTAATATTGCCTATGTCGTACCGGATTATCCCAACCCTTGAGTCCATCAACGTTGGCCCATTGCAGTATTGTGAGTGAATCCAGAAATTCGTTCCGTTCTTGAAATCTGCGTTTGCTTCGACAATAATTTCATACCGTTGACCTAGCAAATTTGCCTAGTCAATAAAAATACTTCGCGGTTGAACAGAACAACATACCAATTCCAAGTGTGATAACATTCGTGACGTATGGCTCGATTGGGACAAAGTCATTTTCAATTACCGTAAAGTTATGACCGTCAATCCAAAAAGTCTGTGTTCTAAGCGTCCCCGTGTGAGCAATAGCTATTTTATACCTCGTGCCCTGGTTAAAGTTGACTTCATAGAGCCGGTCATGTCCGGTGCAGCGCGTGTCGTTGGCTGGGGTACAATTGTAGATACCTTTCCCATTCAGAAGCATCGAATCAGGAGGTGCTGCTCGCGGCGTCTCGATTTCATAGTAATACAGCTTGAACGCATCAGCATGATACCAGTCGGTAATCAGCCAGGTTTTCAATTCCACGTCCCAATTTGCGCTGGATGGTCCATGAATAACCAAAGGCCCTGTAATAGATCTGTCAATTAAACCTCGCACTAGGAATTTCTGGAACTTTATCTACGTGCCCACAAGTCCGTTGCTGTCTAGAATAAATTAGCGACTTCGAAAGAGGTGAAATGAAATGCCTTGACAAAGTATTACTTGCATTGTAAACTGAAATGCGAATGGTACCACGACGTACCATACTGCAAAGCCCGAAATTCATATACTTGTGACGATCCCGGCTAAATGTATTCTTTTAGCTTGAAGGCTCTATTTCATAAATCCAATGCAGAATATTGGGAGGGGAATCTCTACTTTAATAGGACATTGTGTGACCCCCGGTACACCATCCTGCCAATTGGTCTCGAATTGGCGTATACCGTGCCAGTGAACCGAAGTACCGTTTTCGTTCGTCAAATTATTGTGAATGGTAATTCCTAAACAGGCGCTGTTAGAGTGCTGGAGTATGAGTTGCTCATACTATGAATCGGAACCGTACTAAGAGTGTCTCCCCAATCTGCTTCAATTAAGGGTCCGGGATATTGCCCTGTAAGATTCAGAAGTACGAATCAATAAGTTTGAAGTTTCGGGCGGTTTTCGAATGACTTGAGTAGGGGCTATACCGTTGAAAACTGTTCCCTCGACCAGATATCCATCCGGTGCTATTGTCTCTTGAGTGACTGTCAGTTCGTACTATGGTTTTTGTTAGCTTTTAAATTCTTTTTATTTTTTTTTTATTTTTGAATCTTTTTACTCAAGCAAGTAACGACCTACCTCGCGGAGTCTACCCTTAGGCGCCTGTTCCTCGTAATCCGTATAGAGACTGAAACCATCTGTCCACTGATCTCGGGTTTGAGGAGTATTGGGATAAGACCATTGACTAGGATAGGAGCTAGTTCCCACAGCCAGAAATAGCAAGCTCGAAACCACCAATTGGGTGGAAGTAAACACAGTGGCAATCATCTCGGCATGAAGACTTGAAGATGAAGAGCTACATGGTAAACAGAGTGGCTATTAAGTACTTTGATCAAATAATTCCTATGAAGATTCTACGTGAAAGCTACCTATTCCTTCCCGATATTGTACCTCATAAGCCGGGTTTCCATAGTTCTTGAAGCTCGCGATGTAATATACATGTAGTTAGTTATTGGCCCAGTAGCGAGTGAAAATGCGAGTTCTAAACCCGATAACTTCTCCTAGCTAGTAAAACTCATACATAAATACAAGCTGAATGATGACCACGACGTGGTCAAAGATTCGTATACGTTTGACGGTCACGTTTTAATAGCTAGGTTCATACAGAGATTCTGACCCCGGATCCATAACATGTGCCAAAATTCTCCGACGTATTCGGTATATTGATAGACTCCATCAAAATCAATAATTATATTTCGCATAATTCTCCTCCAAACATTAATCACAATGGACTACAGGAAAGAAATTGTGTTTCTCATTTTCCTTGAAAGCGGGATTGAAATCATGGCGTCATTCCGAGATAACAGTCCGTTCCGTACACTATGCCACTGTTGCAGTCTCCGCCCTAAATGCACATTCTCTAATGTACATAGTGATTTAGTATCGGGGACCCACTTTTACATGGGTGTGGATTTTGGAATTTTCATCTGTCGGACTCCGACGTCTGGAAACCGATTGTATTGATTGTTCATGGTAGAGCATCAGGAACACCACTCTCATGTATGCAGGAGCAGTAAGTGCAAGCGTACTCATACCAGGTATCATCCAGCCGCGAGTCACATTTTTCTTGAACAATCAAATACAACGCGTCATTCGTCAAACCCGCTGCTTCTGTTTCAAAGCATATGACATTTGACACTGGGACCCGTGGTATATTGATCCCCGGTTCGCGTGATTATGGTTTTATAGTGGACTTGGATCTGCCCCTTGGACTGATTTCTGTCGGTACGACGGTACGATCATTCATCATGTCCTTCTTACATTCGCTGCAATAATGTTTCAATCCCCCTTCCCCCCTCCCCGGTTCATGATGAAGATAACCCAGTCGTTATGGAGAATATCATTCAGGTCGCAAATTACTGAAGTGATAGTTATCCATCCATACGTTTAATATGCTCCGTAACTTGATCCGGTTTTGCAGGACCACTGAAATATGCATCTTATCTCGATGGTAACACCTAGCAACGAGTCGAAAATGTACATTCACCTGATCAGTCTGCACATACCCGCCGTCCGACACTGTGTCATGTGGTCATATTGCACCACCCCGCTATACGACTTCACCAACTACAGCTGCAACGCTAAGTTTATTCCCATACGAAACTCATATAGCACGTGGTTGTCACTCAAGTACTTGAGTGACCGGACATGTCGATAACAATACTTCAATATCGGCTGGATTGTGCCCTCGAAAAGCAATATAAAGTCAACAGTCAAAAGCTAGACTCGGAGATTGATGAAACTGAAGAGGCCTATGCTTAAACCTAGCCCGTAGATTCCAACGCAGCGATGCACACTTGCCCCCACTTCCCATATAAAATCAGGACTGCACTACAGCCTTGAAATATATTTTTACTATATAACATATTAATCTATTATTAAGATAGTAGTGCTACCTATAAATATTTATTAGTAGCTTAATCATTTTTGTATGAATCAATCAATCAATAACCACCCTCCGCTTTGACCGACCACCTAGACCTGTGATTTTCTCCACGAGGTCGTGGGAATGCTGCCGTGGGGAAGTGGTCGTGGAGACAGTGGTCCGCCTTCGTGCCGTGGGGATCGACGATCCTAAAGACCGCGATGGTGGACTATTACTATGAGTACGTACGTTTGATCGCAATTTGAAACCACGTATGTAAGTAAAGATCCTACCAACGTCGCAAGAAGATGAGAGAGTCAAGTCGAAGGTCTTTTGATACTGCCAAATCCCACCATCTTCTCCACATATTGCTTTACTCGAGATTGTGCTCGCCTACGCCTACCCCAATGGATTACCAAGATACCAAACAGGTTGGCGCATAATCTGGGAAGCTTCTCCGCGCAGCTGCATCGCTGCCACCACAACCACCCTCTACAGCCAGTCATTAAAATCCATGATGCCGGCACCCCGGACGCGAAATCGACAGTCTCGTACCTCTCTCTAATGTCTCGTATGCCACAAGACTTATTCCAAGGCTGAGCATCTGCAGGTATTGGAATTCTCTCACGCATTTGATGATTGGTTCGCTAGGATGTGCGCTACCTTCAGGTTGCTAGAGGCATGAACGTACCCGTGAGCAGAAACCACTTCTGAAGAACCATGCGAACACCACTTTGCTAACCTATACGCTGGGTCAGACACAGGAGTCAAGCCCTTTGCCTGCCAGACCTGTGGTCGGCACTTCAGCAGGTGTGATTCACTTAGCAGACATCAAAGCACGCATGTTCGCGATCATCCACTCCCTCAACCTTCCAAAAACTCGTGGCAGTCAGCTTCAGAATCTGCCCAGTATAAAGTTGTTGAGTATGCGTCGCTTGACCTCGACGGTAGTTGATACCCCTCGGCGATGGACACAGCCTCCCTGACAGATGATCATGGCTTCTCAGAAGCCACAGGCTCTACCAACTTTGGTGTGACCCTAGAGTGGCCAGACTCGGAGGCTATACTACAGAGTATTGTATCATCCGATTGGAATACCTTCCCATTGCCTCCAGGAACTCTTCCTATGACACCGCCTCCGCCCATGCCGCCACCTCTACAGTTGCAGCATGCAGGAGCAGCTCCCACCACTGAAACGATCATATCTCGCCGGAACGAGGATCCCGAGCAACTTTCACCAGAAATGGTTTTCAAGAAGCGGTCCAGAGTCTGAGTGATATGGTGTCAAGTCTAGTAAGTCTTGCCAATGCAAACTCAACAATGTGAACACTGACTTACACTCAACCACAGTCAAAGACCGTTACATCTGCTGTGGATTCTATGCTGGAGCTGACTTCCGTATTCATGGACAACTGCCTTCAGGCCTATTTCGATCACTTCAACACACACTTCCTAATACTTCACAGGCCGACCTTTTTATTTAGAGACTGCTCGCCAAGTCCGATACTAAATGCTATTGCTCTTGGATCGCTGTATCTTGGCACGCCAGATGCCAATGTTAAAGTAACACCCTGCCCGGCGGCTTTATAGGTTATACAACATAAAAGCGATTGCTAAGATATCTATAGGGCGAAGCTTTGTGGAGGCTGGCACATACAGATGTGGCAACATCAGTATGTACACTCATCCCGAATCCTGAATTCAGCTGTACCAATCTCACAACGAAAGTGGCCGAACTTATACGCTGTAAAGGCCCTTATAACACTCCCAGGAGAGTCCGGTTGTTGCTTACAGCCCTGCTTGGACAGTGCTACGCAATGATGTCAAAGGTACGAGTTTGCGCCCCACAGCTCCGCGCCCGTCAACTGACCTGACCAGAATGAGAATCTTCGCCTTGCAAGCCAGACTTTCCATAGCCTTGGCTTTAACTGGGCGAACCAGTGCAATATGTACACATATCAACACCTACAGATTTTCTGGACTCGCCAGGATGGGAAGATCAATTACGTGCGTGGAAGATCTAGGCTTCTAGGGAAGTACACCAGCGAGCCCTATTGGGCCACTACATAATTGACGGGCAACTGGCATATCTCTCCGGCCAGTCGCAATGCACTGCTCACACCAGCAATACACTTGGGCTATCTGCATCCTCACGGGTGTTTGAGGCGCAGACTGCGGAGGAGTGGTACGCAGCATTGGCTCAAGAACCCAAGGAGAGTTCGTCCTTCCGGAATATTTACAACTCGCTTTTCTCCGTAGACCACAACAAGAGTGATCTAGACAGTTGCTTGGGACTCGTGCGAGCGCCACTCGATGCGCGTGTTATTCTCGAGTGCCTGCATGTCCTTGTTCGGGAGCAACAACCTTCCCAGAGCTTTGGACCAATAATCAGTACCCCATCACTGCCTCAGATGAGGAAAGCGCTGTTCCGACTTGACTGATTGATAAATAACGTATGGACCTTGAGTTACACTGAAAGTTTAGAGCTTTGGGTTCAATAGCACTTCATTTGCATCGAATCCCTCTGCGACTCCATCGAGGTCATAGACCAGCTCTGTCGTCACTTTGGAATCAATCAGCGAATCTTCAGGTCAAGAAGGGGCCGGCTGGACCTTACCAATCATTTTGCCTAGGTCAAGGAGTCTCCAGAAACCAAGAGCGCGCTGCTGCATGCCATTGCTATGCAAGACATCACGAGCCAATTGCCGCTCAATTGCACACAGGCTTTCTGGATGGCATCGCCTGTGATCGCTATGTCCACAGTTTACGCTGCATTCATATTGATCGGAACATCCTCTATATCCGTTCCCTCCTATATTCACTGGCAGTCGACATTATTTGAACAAGTAACCCGCACTCAAAATAGCTATGGCGAGCAGGAATCCGCTTGCCAAAAGACCAGAGATTTCCTCGGGGCCGGCTCAGTGGCTTCCAAATATGGGCGAGGCCCAGCTCGAAACTTGCCTTTCGATATAAAGAAGCTGCAGTCTACGCTGCACTTTCTGGCAATCCAGTGGGGAATCTCGTCTAAGATGGGAGACATCAAAATACATCTCCAGAAATCCGGTCCTAACATGCAGTAATTAAACAGTAAATGTATTAAGAAACTTGTAAAGATATTGATCTTCAGGTCCATGAGTTATGAGTGAGGGAAAAGGTTGCAGGCCTACGATAAATTTATCGATAGAAGGGTGAACCGATACTCTCGTCTCGCCTGTGACTTCCCGTTGCATTTTCTCACGAAAATTACCTTATAAAAAAAACCAATAGCGACAAACAAAGTCATTTCAGTATAAACAAGCTTAGGTTTATAGTCTATTTGCTAATATACGGAAAGGCGTTGACAGACATCGCAAACAGTTTGCGTTACTTCAGTTGATATCCCGCCACGATCTCTCATAAATTGCATCTTCATGAAGTCCGTGTCTCAAGCTGCTCTCTCAACTGGCGCGATCTCCGCATGCTCGGCGTGTTCAATCGATTTGGACGAAGTAGCATCCCCAAATTTGCGATCCACGTCTACTGGCGCGTCGATATGGGCATTGAAATCGGACTTTGAGTTGCGCAAGAAGAGTGAAGCTGTGTGTAGGGTTTATGAGCTGACTTTGCTTCTCACAGTATCAAGGATTGAAACAACGTGACTTACAGAGTAGACCTGCAGCACAGAAGCAGGTGGCAGCAATCCAAACATGGCGAAATGAGATCGAGTATGCTTCATACAAGCCCCCTTGCGCGGCAAGGCTAATTTCAGAAGTAATCCCAGGCACTTTCGCTACCAAGTCCGCATTATTGCTGAGCAGTGCTTGGATAAGATCCTTCAGGTTTTTCGGAGGGAAGCCTAGGGGTAGAACCGCGCCAGCGACCTTTGAGGGTACCTCTTTGTCCATGCTGTTATTGTAGATAACGTTGTTGACTGCCAGAGCAACGGTGGCACCAACACTGCGAGTGGCAATTATCAGGCCCGTGGCCACTGAAATCAGTTCTGGAGGAGCGCTCATTTGAGCGACAATGGTTACGGTTGTTAAAGCAAACCCCTGGCCGATGCTTCCGAGCACAGCAAAGCCCCAAAATGGACCTGTGCCTGAGCTAGGCGTAATGCTATTCATGCAAGCATTGTATGCCAGGAGCGCGACGAAGCCGAATACCAATGGCTCTCTCACCAATTTTGTATAAGTGATTAGCACTCCCGCCAAAGCTGCGAATATCACAGCTCCAAAAAAGAGGATGGAAAAGTGCAGAGCTGCGTCGAAGAGACTGACACGAGCCAAGACTGATACCTCAAATGCGAAATAGCTATTGCTAGTCAGGAAGGATAAGCCTTCAGTAAAAACGGAAAATAAAGCAATAGCGAAGTTTCTGTCGCCGAAGAGGCCATGGTGGACCAATCCATCAGCCCGTCCGAGCCACTCGTAAAGGAAGAAGGCAATAAGTAAGCATAGACCGCTAATGAAGGGAGCCAGAACTGGAGCATCTGAGAAGGAGTATGGATTGCCGTAGAATTGGAGACCAACAGCGAAGAGCGTAAGCCCGGCAGTGATTAGCAATATTCCCACCCAGTCTAGCGCTCGGAGCTTTTGGACAGAGGTCATGGTCTTCTGTAAAGCCCGAGGAGGTGGATTATAGCCGACAAGCACTCCAACAGTAGCCACAGCGTAGATACCACAAGTGATATACCAAAAGATGCGAAAGTGTCCAGGGATCTGGCGGATGAGAGCGCCTCCAACCAGCAGGCCAAAGATGCCGCCTAAGCCGGACGAAATATTGACTGATGCTTGGCCAATCCCTCTGTACTTCCGTGGTAGAATCTCTGAAGCCACAGAGAATAGCAAAGATTGAGACCCCCAAGCAAGTCCCATGATGCAGAAACCTGCAATGGCGGTCCCTATGTTGTTTGCTCTTGAGATGATGATGCAGCCTGGAATTGCAATCGCGTTTGGTATAACCACGAACCATTTCCTTCCCCAAAAGTCTGCCGCTTGACTGATGGGTGGATTTAATGTAATATTAGCGATAGTGATCGATGTACTAAACCATACAGCTTTGGAGGTGTCACCCAGAAAACCAGCCATGGTCTGGGCGAGGAATCCGGAGCCGACCAAGGATACTACTTGACCAAATACAGCGAAGTTGATGGCCTGAGCCTATGTCAGCATCAATGTCATGACTGCCACATGTTGTGCGTCGAGAGCGCAAGCATCAACTTACAACAATAGCAATTATTGTCCGGATGCGAACGGGGGATTCAGTGGGAGGCGAAGCAAGATCGCCATGTTGAAAGGTTGGGACATTCTCGACTTTGGTAGACTTGGAATTACCCATGTTGCTCTAGAGTAAGGTATCAGTCTTTCCAGCCGTTCGATGAGAAGTTGAGGTGACAAGTATCAATTTGACCGGACAGCCTGAGTCACAGCAGCCTCTATAAATGTATTGTTATGAGAGTTGACTATGCCGGAGGGCGCGGAAAGAGATGCGGTAAGAGATGAAAGGTCCCCAAACCCCCCCGGTTTCCACCCCAGATTGACTTTGTGTAATTCCCCGCTCCCCACAATGTGCTATTGTTTTCGGAAGCGGGGACTATACCTCATGAAAGTGGATGCTAGCTACTGGTAATAGTCCGATCTGAATTGATAATGATCTCGCTTACGGGGGGG